GGTGTGTCTAGTAGACGCATAACATATACAAAATGAGTGTACGGAGTATTTTGTAGTATTACTGCACTCCGTACGTCCCTGACGTACTTGGAGTTTCTTATCCTCTTTGAGATGTAATTCTCCATGACTCCATGAGAACATTCTGGACTCCTTCTTTCTCCGTCAACAACCCTCTCTCAGGACTGCAGAAAATAGCTACCTAGCCCAGATCCACCCCCATAAATCCCTGTCAACTACGGAGTCCTGGTTACTCCGTACGGACGTATGAGAGCGAAGCATGTACATATTCAAGTAGATTTGACGACACAGCTTCTCTTCTTGCGTCAGCTCTAGACTTTCGCCACACTGGAGCCGGGTGAGTGGCTCCCCCCATCCAGCCACAGCTCCTTCTACAGATGTTGTTCGCTATTATAGTTTCCTCCTCCATTTCCTGACTTGCCAGGTGTCCCCAACAACCCTGCTCCATTGGTTCGTAAGCTTGTTTCAGCCGTCTGGCCCAACACGCTAAGGATGAAATTAGGGGGAGTCAAAACGATGGCTATGCTCAACTATACTCGGTACTGCTCACCACCTAGTCGATATTGGAGTTTGAAATTCCTGGTGTTTCTTAGCGGTTTGTTGATAATAATCTATTGAAATCGAGCCTGGTGATCTACCGGGGAATATCCTCCGGAGCCGTTAGCGAGATCCAGAGGGAGACACGGGCAGGCGAAACTTCGGCTCTATGTCTGCTATTTGGGTCTATAGTCGATGATCCTCTTTTAGGTTGCGATGGTACGCACCACGTGTCGTTCTATAGAGGGACTACCGTACTGTAACTTATTTCCCCTCTTTTTTCTTCTAATGGCACGTTTTCCTATTCGTGGTTTATCGATTTTGGGACCTGGGGATGATGATGATCACCTTTCTCCATTGGCGGAGGGAAAGAGGGAGAACATAATAAATAACGTCTACTATGGGTTTTATTGGATGTACCGAATTTGTACGATATATTGTAGTCAACGAGCTCCATTGATTATGTTCCTTCCGGGCGGGGGGAAGCGCTGGTCCGCCGGGGGAATACCACCCAAAAAAGGAGACGGGATTGACTGTCAGGGAAACGAGCTTCCCTTTCCTCCTTGGTGGACCCGGCAACTGCCTCCATCGCATCGGGTAGGCCCCGTTTCTTTTACAGCTAGAATCGCGCTAGAAACGGGAGAATAAGAAGAAAACATAACTAAGAACTCTCTCTCTCCATCGCCTCACGGGCTCATCCAAGCCTGGCGATTGGGTTAAATGCGGTTCCTGGCCCCAGTGGATGTCCGCCGTCGTCCGCGCCGGCCTCTGGCTCCGTCTTCCCCGTTGAGTACCCTGTGCCGTGCCCCTGGGATGTGTATACTAGTGGATAAGCTAGTCTGTAAAGTGGTTACAGAATAATAGATCGATACTTATTAAGGGCGGAGAAAAGTAGTTGACCTATAACGCGTCCAATGGAAAAACTACGGGGGGGGGGATTGTATGTATCGCGTGTTAGTATACACGGAGGAGCATGTCTTTTTGAGGACTCCGTAGAAAAGTCAATCGTTACCTGAAGCAATGAGGATTTTCCATTAGGCACAACGGCTCTCCCCAATTTCAGGGCTGTGGTTCTCCAGTCGAGCCTGACCCAGTCGGATGCGAGTTCGCCACATCGGGTTCCTGAGAAACGCGTCTCCAGACTGCGGCTCGATGCATTAGTTCTCCCGCAAAAAACAAGGTTTAGCTGGATTGCATGAACGCTTTTTGGGCCCCTCATAGCCGGACGGAGTTGAATGCAGGGCACAAAGTTTAGTTAATGCCTCGGCTGTTCCAGCCTATATGACTCCATATAGTACAAAAGTAGATTTTAATAGTCAAGATAGCGAGTCTATGGTCTGCTTTGCTGCCTGAAATCTTGATATTGAACATGATCTACGTCCCATACATACGTATGTAGATTGTGTATTCTGTCGTACTCCGTGCATGTCAAATTTCCCCGATCAAGAATCCTCCGCAGGATACATCTGCCGCCGCCGCCCAAGTACCGTGCGCGTCTGCACCTACAGGGTGGCGCGGCCGCGCGATGCAGGAGCAGGGATCGGGGAGGAGATTATATTACGGGATAACCAGCCGGTCGCATTATTCAATGTACTCCGTACGGTGTAGACAATTGATAACCGCCTTGCAGTAGGATAATCTCTAATCTCCAAGCAGGGGGCGTTTTAGGGAGGTGTGACGATCCTAGTCGGTCAACTCTTGTCAAAAGTACGCTCGATATTTAGCTCGATCAGAGATTCTTTGTTCTCACTTTGACAGCCGTCGATCGATGTGTCAATCTCTCAAAAAATGGAATCTGTGGCGGCCGTTTCATTGTGTCGTGGACCACTTTTTCCAGCCCAGCCCAGCCCAGTCCGTCTTTGTTAGACCCAACTCCCAACACGCCTGGCTGTTGGTCTCCGCCGGACAGGATATGGCAGGTCCTAGGCAGCATGACGCTAGGGCTGCGCGGAACCCAAGCCGGCCGATCCTGGTGTGTGTTTCTTAGGCAGGTGAGGAGGTAAATAGTACATAATACAGGACATTTTTTAGGCTGAAAGAGGAGTTGGAAGATTCGGGCTCCATAGAAAGAAGCCTTCTGGAACATAGTGGGAATGATCCATATTGAATGTATCCATCCAAGATGGACTCTCGCGGTTAGTAGGTCTCCACCAAGTCCACAAAGTTAGGTCCAGTTAGGTCTGGAGCGTATTCCGCCGTACGCCGGACTCCGCAGTGGATAGTACACTGCTATCATTAGCTATAGCAACTATTATTGTCGTTAATTCTTACGAAGCAGTCCCTCGGCAAGCACGAAGCGATCGTGAAGGGAAGCTGCATTCTCCCGCAATAATGGAGAGCCCTACGTTAGCCCTAGTCTTCAGTTACCCAGGCCCTACAGCCATGACCAATGAAGCCGAAAAGTCTAGAGCAGGTACTACTGCATCCAACTCATTGCTTAGCCCTCAATCGACGGCCCCTTTTTTCCGTTAGTAGATGTTGTCAAGGATCTCTGTGCCGCCACGGGATGATCATCGGAAAACCGCACCACGGCGAGTCCCGCGAAACTTCTGGGCTGATTGAATTGGATTGCCGTTATCGACCAGCCGGAAGACATCCAGAACATCCCAGTGGAGTCTTTGGATTGGTCGCCATTTCAGGAACAGGCTCGGCCTCAGCCTCAACCCTCTTCCGGTCTTGGGACCTCGTCCTCTTTCTGACCCAACGATCGATTAACTTGCAGGTGACACGATCATTGAACAAGAGAGGGCAAAAAAGAAAAACTAGCAGATGACGATCGCCGGCCACCAGCCTCCACGGCCCCAGCATCCACCGTGTCGGGTACGATCATCCTGCTTTTCCTCCCTGTCGGGTCTGCTACTCCTGGCAGAAACGAGCTTTAATGGGATAAGTGGATGTATGAGGTGCTTCTGCTGGGACCAAATTACCGACATTCTCTCTCGGTTACAGCTTTGCATCTTCCTCACAGCTGCAGCGCCCTTGAGATTTCATAGATTCTAAAAGAATCGAGACGGATCGGGCCATAAACAAAGTGACGATACAGCAATGAATGCCAATGATGGAGCTTGACGCCAAAAAAGACCCACCAAAGACGCCTCTTGGAGCCCGGAATCTCGTTAGAACTTCCGCGACCAGTGGAAGCTCAACGGCTAATGCTTCCAAGCCAGCCTAACTTGACTAACTGCACCGATTCGGGTCGGCCAGTGGAGATCCTGCAAGATGGCGCGAGGTTGGGATGGGCCTCCTCCTGGAGTTGGAAACAATACTCCGTCCATTATCGATTGACTACCAGCCACCCAGCAGATGCATCACCAGGTCATGAACATCAACTCGCATCAAACTCCATAGTTACATGGTGAACCGATGACACACTTGCCACTGTCGGAATGTACCTCAAGCACGACACTCTTGCGGCGATGCCGATCTCGGTAGTCTTTCTTGTAGGAAGCCAAAATAAAAGTACCGAGAATGGAGTCCACCTGCATGTTGCCTGACTTCTCAATTCTTCAGTCTTCCTCCAAGCAGCTCAGCCACAGTGTGGTGTGCCACATCTCATTGATCGACTAGTCCTGCTCCTAACAGTATTATCCTTTTTCACTGTAAACCCAGGGATCAGATCGAATATCAAACATATCCAACTTAATTTCCCATTCAAAACCTCAGATCGCTCGCAAAAAGAAAATAAAAAGCATCCTTTACATACAGATCGGCTTTCCCGCTTCATCCAGACCCGACCGATCGTCTCCAGTCCCCTTCGGACCTTCACAAAAGTACAATTGGACTTTGTTTTTGTATTCCTCGATCGCGATCTCACACCTCCTCGCCCCCTTTCCCCCCATCGTGCATTAAACTAGGGGATCACCAAACTTACCTGAGTACTGGGGCATCGGGGATCGGGGTACCCGGATTCCCCCCGATGCAAGCTGTCGTTTCCAGCAGTCTGGGTCCAAATGATGTATCACATCATTCCCAATTTCTGTCTTGCCGTCCAATCCTGAAGGACACGTACCTAGACCGACCGTCTTGGCTTTCCGTTGTGTCCGCTGATTAGGTGGGAGGAGGGCGGCGCTGGTATGTAGGGACCTTGTTCGCTGCAGAGGACTGGAATGGACAACCCCAAGTACATAACTCTATGATTATCTATCGATTGCAAGATGCAATTGGACGCCGTCACGAGCTAATTGAACAGGGGTGCTTGACTTCAATTCTCAAAAACTTGATCGAGCCTGCGAATCAAGGTCGACGTATTCTGATCCTACACTCGTCATTTAACAAAGGGACGAGTTGCATGAATCGTGTCTCATTGTCAACTGTACTACTTCCCCTCCGTACTTCTGTCGTCCACACATATCACATCTGATTTGGAATTATGTGCGGAGTTCTCCATACAGGACCATTTTTCGGTCACAGCCAGATTCATCAAGACTCGCCCAATTCGACTGCTCTCAAAGTCGCAATTGAACGGTGTGGTATGCCATCTCAAACTATTGATGACTCGTTAGTATATCACAAACACCCCCTCAATTTCCCCTTCCCCGCCACTCTCTATGCCAAGACTCACCTGCTCATTGGTTTGGCAGATCAGCACTCGAGGCCCCTTGCCGGCGCCCTGGGAGATGTCCTTGACCGTCGCTTTATCTTCTGGCCCCTTGTCATTAGCCTTTGCGTCAATTGCTATGCCCAGGCACTGGCATTTTTCGGCCAGTGTACGCCGTAGTAGTGCGCTCTTCTCGCCGATGCCGCCAGCAAAGACGAGGGCGTCTACTTGCCCGCCTAGCTTCAAGTAGTAGTTACCGATGTACCCCAGCATTCGGTCAACTAGGATATCAAAGGCAAGTTTGTGAGCCCCGGACGGGAAGTTCTCAACTGCAATCTTGGAAAAATCGGTTGTGCCGGTCAGAGCCTTCCATCCAGACTGCTTGTTCAGGATCTCTTCAGCCTATATGCCATAAAGTGCTTAGCCATTGTAGTGGGATAAGAAGTAAAGTGGCTTGGTTTACCGTGCTGATATGCATCTCCTTGGTGCTTCCAGGGCTCAATTTGCCGGCCTCGCTGGTGTAGTGGAATACCAAGCTTTCCCCAAGAGATCAGCATTCTTCACGATTATCCCCGCATCTGCGATTGATGTGGACTCACGAAGGATCAATATCACCGCTGCGTGTTGCGCCTGGCAATCCTGCCAACGGAGTCAGGCCCATGCTAGAAGAACTGTTAGTATCCAGTCTAGTTCATTGCAACTCGAACACCTCACGAAGTATCGATTGATTTGCCTTCCTTGATAGCACAAATTGAAGCTCCACTTCCGATATGCATTGCGATCAGGTTGGTCTGCTCTTGGGGTTTGTTCAAGAACTGAGCGACTGAGCGCAGAATGAATGAGTAACTGATGCCGTGGAAGCCATATTTCCGCAATCCGTTTGCCTTGGCTACCTGCTGGTTAATCGGATATGTTCTCACGTAGCCAGGAAGGGTCTGGTGGAAGGCCGAGTCGAAATAAGTGATGCTCGTGACACTCGGGAGTTCTTTCTTGCACAGGCGCACGATTTCCAGGGCGGAGAAATTGTGTCTAGATGTCATACGATCGAGCTTGTTAGCTTAGGGTTGTGCTCTCTCTCCCCCTCTCGTTGTGTAGACTTCTGCGCATCTGTTTTCACCTACAATGGCGCCAGATCTTCCAATGCCTCCAGATGATGGAGTGTCTCGTCGTTTATCTCGACAGCCTCACGGTAGTCCCCGCCGTGCACCACCCGGTGACAGATGTAAGCTAGATCACGATCGCTAGCAACCTCGGACAGCTCGGGATCGTTGAAGCAGCGATGTAAGATGTACTGGAACGCATCCTGTGGACTATTCATCTTCTCCTTCAGCTCCTCTTTCATTTTCACGGTTCCCCGCTGGTATTTGAGGGTGGGTGGCGGGGCCGTGATGCCCGAGACCTGCGCATCGGCGATAGCTTGCGGGGGATTCTCAAAGGTATAGAAGGTGACTTTCACGGACGAGGAGCCGGCGTTGACGGCCAGGATATACTTCCCCATGATAGGCAGTAATCACAGGACTCGAGTGTATCTTCTGTCGCAAGAATGAGGTTGGTTCCTGTCTGTTGGGACGGGGATTAATCGTCCGAGGTGGAGGGTGATGTCAGAGTTGGTGAACGGAGGGTGACGTCGGTCGAGTTGAGGGAACAAGGCGGATCAAATAGCCATTTTCTTGCGGATGAACTCCTCAATGGCATGACCCATTCATGCGGTAATCTCCTGATTGCAGCTTATGGCACTTTAGTTATTTCTTTGGTTTTCTTCTTCTTACATTGTCGTGCTCTCGTATCGACATCGTCCCACCGATTGAACTTTGTACTCCTCCCGTGTTCATCTCCCGTCGCCAAGAGATACCGTTTTCGTCCTTTGAACGTGCTTTGGTGCGACCATGCCAGGACAAGTTATCGATCGGCCAAATCCAGAGTCATTGCCCTCGAATCTGCCAGAATGTGTAGCAGAGTTACAAGTCGCAATTTCTCGTCAGACTCTAGATGAGAAGACCTGCGATGCATTGCTTAAATTCCGCAGAGCAGCATCCTACATCGCTGCGGGTATGGAACCCAAATTTACTTACTCTGGAATAGATCATATCACTAACTCTCGTTCGAAGCGATGATTTTCCTGCAGCAAAACACTTTGATGGAAAGAGATCTGATATTTCATGATATCAAGCCACGATTATTAGGTAGGCACACCTCTCGACATGCTCCCAACCAAGCTGAAGTATACTTATGTCATTATTTCACAGGTCACTGGGGAACGTGTCCGGGACTTATCCTAGTCTATTCCCATCTCAATTATCTTATTCGAACCAAGGACCTTGACATGCTTTATGTGGTTGGCCCGGGACATGGCGCACCCGCTCTTCTCGCAACGCTATGGCTAGAGGGCTCGCTGGAGAAGTTCTATCCAGAATACACCCGTGACGGTGCTGGTCTCCATCGTTTGATTTCAACCTTCAGTACCACCACTGGATTCCCTAGGTAAGTGCCTTGGCTGACGTGTACATGAATCTAGCTAACTCTTACATCAAGCCATATCAACGCCCAGACTCCGGGTGCAATCCACGAGGGTGGAGAGCTGGGATACGCCTTGTCCGTATCATTCGGTGCGGTTATGGACAGCCCAGATCTCATTGTGACTTGCATAGTCGGAGATGGAGAGGCGGAAACGGGTCCAACTGCTACGTTCGTATTTCTTGTATCCACTTATACGAGCGCAATTCTGACCATACTTGATTAGCTCGTGGCACGGAATCAAGTTCATTGACCCCAAAGAGTCTGGTGCCGTCCTTCCAATTCTTCATCTCAATGGCTTCAAGATCAGCGAGCGTACCATTTTTGGCTGCATGGATCACAAGGAGCTCTCTACGTTGTTTAGTGGATACGGCTACCAGGTTCGTTTCGTCGAAGACCTCGACGATATCGATACCGATCTCCACTACTCGATGGCATGGGCTGTGGATGAGATTCACAAAATCCAGAATGCAGCCCGCTCTGGCAATCCAATTCTCAAGCCTAGATGGCCAATGCTGATTCTACGGACGCCCAAGGTAGGGTTGGAAATGATCATAATGCGTTCGAGCGGGCTGACAATAAATAGGGCTGGTCCGGACCGAAGCAACTGCATGGCGAATATATCGAAGGCTCTTTTAATTCACATCAAGTGCCATTGCCAAAGGCGAAGACTGACGGGGAGCAACTGGAACTTCTTCAGAACTGGCTTGCGGGCTACAAGCCCAAGGAACTCTTCACCGAGAATGGAGATATCATCGACGAAATCAAGTCTGTGATTCCAGAGAACAACGAGAAGAAGCTGGGTCAGCGCATTGAAGCATACGGCAAATACAAGCCACCTTCTCTACCAGATTGGACAAATTTCTGTGCAAATGAAGGAGGCCAGGAAAGTGCCATGAAGGCGATTGGTCGATTCCTCAAAAGTGTTATCAGGGAGAATCCCGACACGGTGCGGCTGTTTAGTCCCGACGAACTCGAAAGCAATAAGCTGGATGCGGTGTTTGAGACCACCAGTCGGAACTTCCAGTGGGATCAATTCTCCAATGATCGTGGAGGCCGTGTCATCGAGGTGCTGAGTGAACATTTATGTCAGGGCTTCATGCAGGGGTATACTTTGACTGGCCGGGTGGGGATCTTCCCATCATATGAGAGCTTCCTTGGAATCATCCACACCATGATGGTGCAGTATGCCAAATTCATCAAGATGGTAAGTCATTCCCCTATTCTCATGTCTCATCGTAACTCATCCATCGCTCTTTAGGCTCGCGAAACCAAATGGCACTGTGCCGTTAGCAGTCTCAATTACATTGAAACCAGCACCTGGGCTCGCCAAGATCATAATGGATTCTCCCACCAGAATCCATCATTCATTGGATCCGTGTTGAAGCTCAAGCCTTACGCAGCCCGAGTGTATCTCCCACCAGACGCAAACACGTTCTTGACAACCATGCATCACTGCTTAAGGTCAAGGAACTACGTCAACCTTATGGTAGGCGCGAAGCAGCCAACCCCAGTGTATCTGAACCCGGAAGAAGCAGAAAATCATTGTCGTGCCGGTGCCTCGGTCTTCAAATTCTGCAGCACTGGCGATGGCCTAGATCCGGACGTGGTCCTGGTAGGTATCGGCGTCGAAGTGATGTTCGAAGTGATCCAAGCCGCGGTGATTCTGCGCGAGCGCGCACCAGCCCTGCGCGTGCGTGTGGTAAACGTGACTGATTTACTCATCCTCGAGAACGCGGGCCAACATCCGCACGCCTTGACGACTGAAGAATTCGATAATCTGCTCACGGCTGATAAATCCATCCACTTCAACTACCATGGTTATCCGATGGAATTACAGGGCTTGCTTTTCGGTCGTCCGCGTCTCGACCGTGTCTCCATTGCCGGTTACATGGAGGAAGGAAGTACGACGACACCCTTCGATATGATGCTCGTCAATCGTACCTCCCGCTTCCATGTTGCGCAGGCTGCTGTTCGGGGTGCTGCGAAGCGTAATGAGAGAGTCCGGATCCATCAGCAGGAGCTCAACTCTGAGTTGGGCCACAATATTGTGGAGACGAGGAAGTACATCATCGCTAACGGCGAAGGTAAGAAGAATTATGTTGCCCCTCAAGATATACCGAGTGCGGTGCAGTGCTGACATGGCCCGTAGATCCCCCCGGGTTTTATGATTTGCCGAAATTCACGAAGCCGCCAGCTAAGTGAGGTTATGCGCATGTTGTCCAAAGTGGATTGTTTGCAGCAAAGCCTCCTTGATAGATCTTTTTCTGATGTAATTCGTTGAATGTCAAACGTTTAATCAATCACAAGCTGAGAAGCACGATCGAGCCTCATGATGCAAATGTCAAGTTGTAGCTGTTCCATATATGATTCAAGCAATTGCAAACGAAGCTATGCCGACTTTTGACTTTCCAGTGGGTCCTATCAGGCTGGAACAACTATGTATCAAGTCAAAGGTCTATTTTTAGGCTGCTTCGAGGGAACCAAGCATTTTGACAGTCGATATGATGATTCTGGTCCTCGCTAACAGGTAGGAATCAGAGCATTTGGAAATTGGGCGTGTTGAATCTACCTTGAGAGGTATGCAGGGTAGCGTTTCAAGAACAGAAATTTGAGTATTCTCAGGGTGAGAAAACGCAATGAAGGCCTAAATTCTTACAGAGGAAACCGATTCAGGCCCCCAGAGCAGATAAGAAGCACGAAATTTGTGTCTTTGGCCGTTTGTATGGCTTTATGAGACTCGATGGAGGCACCAATCAGGTGACCCCGTGAAACCCCAAGGTCAGCTTTGCCCTCGCGTTACACGTTTGGCCCCAACCCCAAACGTCAAATATGAGTCAAGAAGTATGCAGCAGCCTGATTTCAAAGGCGTCGCACGCACGAGTGGACGAGAAATGCGCAGAGATCGTGGGGTCCAGGCCCTGATCTCGGCGCAATTCTATCCCTCGATTCGCACAGCACATCGAGCCTCAGCTACTTGGCAACCCATTTTTCCTGCATGGCAATTCGTGGCGCTCCATTGAAAGACTCAAATCTTGCGTGTCCGTCTTACGCGGGAGCATCGGATCGGAGTTAAGGCATCAGAGTTGGCGGCCAAGGTTGAGCGGCGCCAAGAACTCCCCGACTCCATCGAGGCTAAACCCAGAAGGGATCTTCTTGCGAGATCCAAGTCTTCCCTCCGACGGGGAGTATCGTTCGGCCCGAAATCCTATCAGATCTGGCACTTTTTACTATCTGGCGTCGGGCTTGTTGATGTCATCTTCGTACACAACGTACTAATCAACAACGGGCTATGCTGCCTATGCATAGGATGCATAGTACATACCTATCCACCCCGTTGTTGCGAACCCCACAATCGTTTGATTTTTTTTGATAGTCCCGCTCTCATTCGCTAGTTGCACAACGTTCTCTGTCTACACAGGATTGCTCTCGACCTGTTCGCCCTCGCTGGTCGGGATTGGGTGTCTCCGACTAGCGAACGGCGTGTAAACCCGGTAGATCTTGCGAGTTATAGTGGGACGGTCCAGAAATAATCGATCCTTTTCGCAAGCATTTCTATCGTTGGGGGTTAGTGCTGATGGCTCAGCCTCTTCCTTCCTGCCTCATTCTTATATGTATACTCCCGTAGTTGGCTCCAATTAACATGGCAGCCTTCTTATTTCCTTTCTTTATTATATCTTACCCCGTAATCTTGAAGCCTATTTTATTTTGATCTCTCTATCACCGACCCGTTTCAGCCTTGCCACGTCAAACGGCGTACCATTCTTTCATTCCTATATAGTTGCCACTCAATTCGGCGCTTCATCGGGGGTTTTTTTTCTTCGACAAGCCTATCCATCCGGGTTATATCCGCCTGTTTAACACACAACTGCTTCTTCCATTCTTCTTACCTACGTTAATTTGCTCGACATATCAATTGGCCGACTTGCACGACACTTCCTCGATCTCACCATGTCTGACAGTCGGGCACTGTTAGATGGCTGCCATGCCAAAGTCGATGGAATTGATACATCATACGGTTATGTACCAACACTAGCGGCTGGAATTGCCTATTGCGCTCTCTTTGGCGTCTCGATGCTTCTTCACACGGCTCAATTCTGCTGGAAGCGAACGTGGTGGTGCGGTGTTTTCAGTATTGGCTGCTTAGGTACGCAGGATCCTCTCAAGTTGAATCTAATTCCTAGAAATATGAACTAGGAACTATTTAAATGGAACATTTCACTAACCCTGTACACTATAGTCGAAGTCATTGGCTGGGCCGGTCGAACCTGGTCATCCAAATGTCCATATAACTCAACCGCATTCCTAATGCAAATCTCTACCCTTATCATCGGTGAGCATCGATGCACTCTTTTACTCCCCCCAAGTAACCTATCTAATCATCATCAATTAGCACCCACCTTCTTCACAGCGGGCATCTACGTCCTCCTAGGCCGCTTCATCCAAATCCTCGGCCGAGAATCATCCATTCTCAAACCCAGCCTCTACCTCTGGATCTTCTGCACCTGCGACATCGTCTCCCTCGTCATCCAAGCCATCGGTGGTGGCATGGCCTCCTCCGAAGCAGACAAAGTCAACGGCGACACCGCGACAGGTACCCACATCATGGTAGCCGGTATCATCTTCCAGCTGTTCTCGATCACCATTTTCGTCTTTTTTGCTGCCGATTTCATGCTGCGTACCCTGCGCCACAAGCTCCTCCAGTCTCTGACTGGGTCTGTCGTGCCCCTGCTCGGCGCAATGATCTTCTCCGTGTTGTGCATTTATGTGCGGAGTATCTACCGTACTATCGAGCTGTTGCAGGGTTGGCATGGATTCTTGATCACTCACGAGAAATACTTCATTGCACTTGATGGTGCTATGATGGTTGCTGCCGTCGTTGTGTTTAATGTTGTTCACCCTGGCTGGCTGTTACCCGATCAGCACAAGTCCGCCAAGCCGAAGCGAGACTATGCATCTGATGAGATTGAGATGAACCGTCCTATGTCTTGAAGAGAGATCCTCTGGGTGGGATCTTTGCTTTCTTGATTTTTCAGTGCTTAAGTTACTGTTTTATATGCGAGTGCCTGTGGCAGATGAGTATTTGGTTAGATCATTTGTGAAGCCCTTTTGAGCGATAAATAAACATAGACCTTTCTGATCATATGACGATTCGAATGACATCTCACTGGTATCTAGAGTCATTGTCGTGAAATTTCCCTATCAACCGTGTACGGGTATGAAAGTGATAAAGCGAAATACGTAAAATGAGTCGTTAATAAAACGAGTTAACCAATGGTATATTCATACAGTCCTCGCATGGACATTGACTTCTGAGTGTCAGGAAACAACAAGAATTGCTTGAAGAAGACTTCACCGAGCACCGAGCGCCATCCGAAACAACGCTGATAAATCATCAACTCCCCATCCGTCTCGTACACCGTCCCGTTTCTTGAAATCAAAGTTTATACCCCATCTACCGCCTCAATCCAACCAAAGGTTGCACCCACTGCCACTGTCGAAACAGCCCAGACCGCTCCCCAAGTAGACGCGCCCTCAATGGAAACACCCCGAATGGTGCCCGCCACCTGAACTGCGGTGTTGACAAGCACGCCAGTGGCGAGGAGTATAGTCCGCGAAGCGAGGATCCTAGTCTTTGTCGACAATTGGCCCCAGGTCTTTCGGTACACCGCCGTGACCAAGTACTCCCCCTCACGGCTCGCAGACTGATCCACTTCCTCGGTAGTTCCCTCTGAATGGCCCGTGGAGCTCACAAACAAGAAGTCACGCGCAGCGATGCCAGCGGGGATCAGAGTCAGGAACAGGGCGGGAAGGCCGGCAGGGCCAGCGTGCGCGGCACTAATATCCGGCATGCTCTCGAAGTGTACGACGAGCTTGGCGGGAAGCCACGATGCATAGCTGGCGTACAGGATGACGCTGAAAATAGAGGTCGCGGCCAGAGTGGTGTAGATAGTCGTTGGTCGGTCCTGCAATATAGCGCGATTGGCAACGGTACCGGAGGGCGCGTGGGAAAGATCATGGACTGAGGCAGGTCGGCGCAGGAGCGCGAATGGAATCACCGTCGAGAGGATTGTGATCGCATATGAGGCCAGTACTGAGGTTGGTCGGACATTGTAGAAGTAGGACAGAAGGGTGTAGGTTGGTAGGTGTGTCAGGTAGAGGAACGAGGCCACATCTCGGCCTAAAACCCGCTAAGTTAGCCCATTCTAGTCTCCCAGTGTTTGCGACAGATATTTTGCCCACTGAAAGGAGGAGAACTCACCATCAAACCCGAGAAGCCATGCCAAAGCGACTTCCACACCCCTCCACGCGATCAAGCCCCCCACTTCCCACCATTCCTCTAGGTGCTTGCTCACCAGCCCGAGATCACCTTGCGTGAAACCAGCAATGGAAGTGAACAGCACCGAGCTCAGGATCAAACTTCCGAAGACAACCAAGAAAAAGCGAGCTGGTGAGGGGATGCGCGCCAAGCGCGACTTGGGCGAGACACTCTTCAAGACATCTTTCGGATCATTGGGATCTGGTGTAGGTTGCACTTGAGCGCTTTCAGGTGAGATTCTCTTTCGAGGAGACATTGTGAAGCTTTGCGAGAGATCACAGGCACGCACTTGAATGTTGGAGGAGTAAAGAGCTTGGGGGCTGGAGAGATGAAGACGGAGGCAAGCGCGATGATTGTGCTTGGCGGTGAGTGCGTGATGATGTCACTGGTGAGAGCTTCCAAGGTCATGTCTAAAAGAATTCAAGATACTTAATCTGCTTATCTCCACAATTGAAATGGATGCTACTAAGACATTCTGCTGTTTAAAGCAGTAAGAACTATTCGGCATCCATTCATGAATTTTTCTCATACAAATCATGCTCTTTATCAGTGTGGAAAAGAACGCCGAATACGGGGGAGGTCACCAATTTGATCTCGGGATACTGGACTGCCACGACAGTAGATATCTCCGGGGCGGCTAGAGTCAATAGGCTTGTAGGTTTCATAGGTTGGGAGCATATACATTAACATAAAAGTAAGTAGGTAACGTGAAAGTGATAGTACATAATCTCAAAACATCTTAATCTTCATCCTCGCCTTCGCGTTCCGCAACTGCGAACTCTACCGTGCCACTCTCGCGTCCTTTGGTATCGCGGACCACAATCCGGTACTTGCCTTGGTTCCAGAGGTCCTTGATCGTCAGTTCACGTGTACGACCAAGACTTTCAATGTCACCAATGCGCTCCAGAGTGTCCTCCAGGTGCTTCTCGAATCCTTCCATGGCACAGATTTCCCGGAAGGCCTGCTGCATGGGGACGGAGTCGGCACGGACCATGGCTCGTGAATCAATGGTGAAAATGTTCTCGTGATCGTAGGACTGGACGAAATCGGCACGAGTCATAATCTCGCGCGCCTTGTGAAGGGGAATTTCGGGCAGAATGTGGCCCTTGTGCGGGTCGTAGCTCTTCTCCATATCCTTTTCGACATCCACGAGCGCCTTAGCCAGGACCATGGCAGCAGACTACGCTTACATTAGCATATCCCATAATTCACACGCCTTCAAGTAGATCAGAGGCAAGGAAATCTTACCGAATACTTCTGCTCGTCCATCACATCATCATCCATCTCCATGCCCAGAATCCAACACTTGTTGAGGAACCAGGTCTTCTCGGCCTTACAGATCTCATTGCAAGTCTTCAAGACATCCTGAGATTTGGCAACGCGATTCAAGAAGGAGAGGCGACCACCGACTTTGTCGTAAACATGTTCGAGAACCGAGCCGGGCAGGTCCTCATGGCAGAACTGCTTACGGTATTTCCAGAGCGCGGTCATTGCCTTGTCTTTCGGCAGATCCGAAACTGCGATAACCTCCATACGGGTCGCGTAGCGCTTCAGGCGCTCATATACCCAGTAGTCATCGCTGTTGAGAACTGTTGAAGCATGTTAGAGGATTAAATGAAGGATGAAAAATAGTGGAGACAAGGCTTGATAACTTACTGGTTGTGACGAGGCCACTTGCAGCCCACTGCTCCGCACGCTGCTGGATCATCTCGAGCAAGTCTTGCCCATCGTGATCATCGCGGACAAGGTGTGTGCTATTGACAATGAGGACGAGAGGTGGAGAACCACCCTGTCTTCTTTTCAATGCGACTTTCTCCAATTTGTTGAAAGCCCGCTCGATATCCAACAGCGGAGTGGTGTCTCTTGGGCCGCGAATGCTAAACAGACTGCCGATATAACTGTGTATCCATTGTCAGAACCATTCATATATTTTGGTAAGGAAGGACTAGAAAATTGGCGTACTCCTCGTGGAATTCGTAGTCAAGGGCTTTTCCAAGCCGAATACGGAAGATCTCCAGATCAGCATGTGCCTCAAACATGGCACAGCTGTTACCATCAATCTTGCGCATGGCTTCTAGGAGCATGGATGTCTTTCCAGTGCCCTTTTCGCCAACGATCAGATAGTAATGACCGCCACGTCGACCGGCCACAATGTCGTCAATTCGGGGCTGTTCGTCCCGAACAACCCAGTGCTCTTCATCTTGATAATGGTGTTTCCCCGAAACTACACCCGCGACCTCGAGAGCAGGATCACCTGGCTTGAATGCATTGTCCATTTTATCCAGGATCAGGTACTTGTAGTACTGGTGGTAGGAATATCCCGCCACTCTATAAACTTCAGATTAGCGATCAAGCTCAAGTCATCCATAGCAAAAGTAGACCTACCCTAGAATCGCAATTGACGCAGCAGTTGTTGCGGCTGACTCGAGCATCTTTAAGATTGTAGATTTCAGATTGGGATCTGAATCGTTCTTGCGACCCTTGCCCTGACCCTCTTCCGACTCATTCTGGTCGGTGGGATCGGGCGTGTATTGACCCGTGCTTTGCGGGTTTGAGGAGTTAAACCGCTGGCCAGCAGTTTGCAGAGCTCTGGCATTGTACCGAAGTGGTCTGGCCAATCCCCGCCGGGCAAGGGATGAAAGAGGATGTGTCAACCGGTTCCAAAGCATCTTGGAATCAATTGACTTGATACAATGTTCTGGCTGAGGCTGGAGAGGGTTCACGACTTTTTACGCCACACCACCAGGGGGTAAGGCGTATCAGGGATAAGAGAATGGACAGGGTCTGAGACCCAACTTGATGAGAATATACAGAGAGAAGAAGACGAGACTGGAAAAGATGTTAATGAAAGACTGGAAACATGTTGGATGGAAGTCAACGAGGGGAGGGAGTTCAGGTCAGGAAGGAGAGCATTGTGGCTTAGTCGCGGTGGAGTCGAGCCCAAGAGCTGAACGAACAACTGGAGGCTTGGCAGTCGTATTTGGAGTTTTGGTGGTTCGGCACTTGAGACTTCTCCCTCACGGCTCTTTGGAGATTGCATGAATACTTTTCCTAGGGCAATCATCTATTTAGTGATAGTCTACATAAGATAGTCTATTCAAATACTATTAGTAGGTGCAGCCTCCATTTTTTGGAAGCCCCTATATAACACTGTCTTAGGATTTGCTTCAAGGTCGCGGCTATATATTTCCAGCACTAGGTCCTAAACAGGCTAAGACGCGTGCCTACTTCAATTTAGATAATGAGGTTAATGGAGGCTCGGCGGATACAAAAACCACCCGCTGGTATTTGATTATTCATTTGATTATTCTCTTTTAACTTATGGACAATCTCCTTAAGTCCTCTTTTGTTCAAAACTTGTTGAGTTTGCTAGGAACAATACACATCCGAAACTAAGCGGGCACCACCGCTAGAGCTCTGTGTTCTATCCTCAAGTGAATGGATTTGATGTTTATAGGATACTTGAAAACTCAAAAAGAAAGAATGAGAATTTCCATCTATAATTCCAACTCCCTACATAGACATACATATGGTAGTTCAGGTTCTGAAATTCTCCGACCCTAACATATGGCAGCCTGAGGCACCAAACACAACTATGTCATCACCTTAAAATTGACACTAACTTCCAAAATAAATACTTTCCTAATAGACGCAAGATATATAGACAACCCTAGATTATTAACAAGCATAATGACTATTTTTTTGTGATAATTCCTCCACCCTTCTTCCCGTTGTCTGTCTCCTTTGTATACATTGTGGAGAAAGAGACTCTCCGCGGCGTCTTCCCCGAAGTTGAACCCACCGCCCGAGCACTTCCGAGGGTATGCCGTATCCGCGAAATTTTCTCCTCCGTTCCACCGCTGTTCCTTCCCCCATACCGGACGATTTTCTTTTGCATCTCTATCTGGGGTCCGGGGTTATTGGCTTACCTGGTTCAATTGCCCTGATCTTTTGTACTATAGCGACTTTTTATTTCTTTTCCATTCCTGCTCAATCGCCGCAGGGTCCTCGCTTCTTCTTCCCTTCCTTCTTGACCGGTTTCGTCTCAAAACTTCACTCCGCAGCTGTGAGGTAGCTCGTCGCAACTTGACGTCGTCAAAGTTATCTATACAACAATTGGACATTATGGCGCAACCCAATGGAGAGCTGGAGCACTCGAAAGGTCCGTCCTATTCCTCAAGGGTCTAGTGCGGCAACGGTCACACGAGACCCCAAATATACTGCTGCGACAACAATTGCTTCAACAATGGTATACTGACCCTCAAATAGAGGTTGCTCAGGCTTCGCAAGAACCCACCAACGGCACCCAGCCCGAGGGTGTTACCGAGGATGACAATGCGGGTGGTATGTGGCATCATTGGAGCTAGGGCGTTACGGCGGTTTTCTGATTTGTGTGCAGGTCTCTTCCAGATCTCCGTGAAGCTTCCTCATGAGCCGCACAAGATCCAGGTGATGGTATGTACTTTACCATAGCATGTCTCCATAAAGATATGTCTATCTGACTCATCTTCCTCCCCCTCCACAGGTCTCTAGCCAAGAACAGGTCCAAGATGTCCGCCAATCGATCGTCGAGCTGCCCGGTACCTTCCAGTACACATGCTTCCATCTTGAGTTCAACGGAACCCGCATCAACGATTTCGTCGAGCTGTCCGAGGTCCCCGACTTGAAGGCGAACTCCGAGATCGTCCTGGTGGAGGATCCCTACACCGAGAAGGAGGCTCGCATGCATGTTGTGCGAACCCGGGAGCTGGTTGGTGCTGCTGGTGACCGTGTGGATAACCTTCACGGTATCTCCGCTGGCCTTTCGCTGCACGATGCCATCTCGGCTGAGGCTGCTCAGGCTGGCGAGTCTGAAAAGGATCACTCCCTCGCCAAGTACAACCTGACCGGCGAGTCCTCGCTCGAGACTATCCTGCCCAAGGAACAGACTCCCCTCCCTAAGACTGTCAAGTCGATCTCACTATCACCGTGGAACCCGGTGCCCTATAACCTTCGTCAAAAGGGCCACCTCCTCTACCTCCAGGTCATCACCAACGAGGGTGAGCAGTTCCCCATCACATCCCACGTCTCGGGCTTCTTCGTGAACAAGTGCTCAAACACCAAGTTCGATCCTTTCCCCCGAACTATCATGCCCAAGAATGTCAAGGGTAACGCCCACTCTCTCCTCACTTTGATCTCTCAGTTGTCGCCCTCCTTCAACACTGCATTTGAGGCTCTGCAGGAGTCTAACAACCAGAAGGATCTCCTGACCACCTTCCCCTTCCAAAACGCCATTCCTAACAGCCCCTGGCTCGTTGCCCCCACTACTTCGAGCCAGAACGCCCACCAGGCGGATATCACTCGTTCTCAGGAGAGCTATCTGATCTCCGGTGTTGATAATGCCGAGACTCTGCGGGACTGGAACGAGGAGTTCCAGACTACCCGTGAGCTGCCCCGGGACACCGTTCAGGATCGCGTGTTCCGTGAGCGCTTGACCTCCAAGCTGTTCGCTGACTATAACGAGGCTGCTGCTCGTGGTGCTGTGTTGGTCGCCCGCGGCGAGGTCGCTCCTCTCAACCCCACCGAGGCTCGGGATGCCCAGATCTTCGTCTATAACAACATCTTCTACTCCTTCGGTGCTGATGGCGTTGGTACTTTCACCTCCGAGGGTGGTGACGAGGCCGCTCGCGTCGCTGTTGGCAAGGACGTTCTGGGCATCAAGGCTGTGAACCAGCTTGATATCCAGGGTCTTTTCACTCCCGGCACTGTCGTGGTCGACTACCTCGGCAAGCGTATTGTCGGCCAGAGCATCGTTCCTGGTATCTTCAAGCAGCGGGAGCCCGGTGAGCACCAGATTGACTATGGCGGTGTTGAGGGCAAGGAGGTTGTGGCCACTCACCCTGACTTCCAACCTGTCTTCGAGAAGCTGTCCAAGGCCCTTCGCATTAAGCAGCACCCTGTCTGGGACAAGGATGGCAAGCGTCATGATCTCGAGGGTAGTGTTGAGACCAAGGGTCTCCTCGGTACTGATGGACGCAAGTACGTTCTTGATCTCTACCGTGTGGCTCCTCTGGATGCTCTGTGGCAGGAAGAGGATGGCAGCGATGCCTATCCCCACCGCATGTCGGTTCTGCGTCTTGAGCTCGTTGAGTCGTACTGGCGTTCCAAGATGAGCGCGTACGTCAAGGCTGAGGTTGAGCGTCGCAAGGCTGCCAAGGCCGAGGAGGGTTCGGAGGAGAAGACCGAAGAGAAGACTGAGGAGAAGACCGAGGATCAGGACCGTGTTGACATCTCTGGATTCAACTTGGCCCTCAACCCTGATGTTTTCAGCGGCCAGGTTCCCCAGACCGAGGAGGAGAAGGAGCAGTGGACCCAGGATGAGAAGGAAGTGCGGGAAGCTTGTGAGCACCTGCGGTCCAAGATCATGCCTGACCTGGTTCAGGACTTGCATGATGGCGACGTTGGCTTCCCCATGGACGGCCAATCGCTTACCCAGCTGCTGCACAAGCGTGGTATCAACGTCCGCTACCTCGGCAAGCTCGCCCAGCTCTCCGCCGAGAAGGGTCCCCGTCTCCAGGCTCTGTCTACTCTCCTGATTCAGGAGATGATCGCCCGTGCCTTCAAGCACGTTGCCAACCACTACCTCCGCAATGTTCCCGCCCCCTTCGTTGCTCCCTGCATCACTCACCTCCTGAACTGCCTGCTGGGCACTGATGTTAACGCTGCTCCTCGCCCTGAGATCGACCAGTCTCTGCGTGATATCTACCCCGAGGGTGACTTCTCCTTCGAGAAGCTCACTCCCGAGTCCCTTCGCGTCGAGATCGAGAAGCAGGTTTCCATCCGCTACCGCTTCTCTCTCGCGGAGGGATGGGTTAGCTCTCTGCGCCACCTGCAGCTCCTGCGTGACATCTCTATCAAGCTGGGTCTCCAGCTCGGTGCTCGCGAGTTCGCTTTCACCAAGGACCAGGTCAAGGAGCCGGCTCCTGTCACCAACGGCTCCAACGGTAGTGGCCAGGAGGATGGTACCAACAAGAAGAAGAAAAAGAAGGGCGGTGACAACAAGTCCCCCACCCGCGCCCCCGTCCAGACCAAGCCGGCCGTGGCTGTCACTTTCACCACTGATGATATTCTGAACATCGTCCCGCTGGTCAAGGATGCTTCCCCGCGCAGTGCTTTGGCTGAGGAGGCCCTGGAGGCTGGCCGCATCTCGCTCATGCAGAACCAGAAGCAACTGGGCCAGGAGCTCATTCTGGAGTCTCTGTCTCTCCACGAGCAGATCTACGGCATTCTCCACCCCGAGGTCGCCAAGCTCTACCACCAGCTTTCCATGCTGTACTACCAGACCGATGAGAAGGAGGCCGCTGTGGAGCTGGCTCGCAAGGCTGTCATCGTCACTGAGCGCACTCTTGGTGTGGATTCCGCTGACACCATTCTGGCGTACCTGAACCTGAGCTTGTTTGAGCACGCTTCTGGTAACACCAAGACTGCTCTGGTGTACATCAAGCACGCCATGGATCTCTGGAAGATCATCTACGGTCCTAACCACCCCGACTCGATCACCACCATGAATAACGCTGCCGTCATGCTGCAGCACCTCAAGCAGTACGCCGACTCTCGCAAGTGGTTCGAGGCTTCCCTGTCCGTGTGCGAGAACCTGTTCGGCCCGCAGTCCATCAACACTGCCACTATCCTCTTCCAACTTGCCCAGGCTCTTGCTTTGGACCAGGACTCCAAGGCTGCCGTTGGCAAGATGCGTGAAGCCTACAACATCTTCCTTGCCCAGCTTGGTCCCGAGGACCGCAACACCAAGGAGGCTGAGACCTGGCTCGAGCAGCTCACTCAGAACGCCGTCTCCATTGCGAAGCACGCCAAGGATATCCAGGCCCGTCGCCTGCGCCGCATCAACATCAACCCCCGCGTTTCCTCCATGGGAACTCGGGTCCAGCCTCAGGTCGGTCAGACCGCTCCTGAGACTGTTGGTGCGGCCAGCACCTCTGCGTCTGGCCTGGACTCCCGCAACATTGACGATTTGCTGAAGTTCATCGAGGGCACTGACCAGACCTCCTCGCGCTCCAAGAAGAAGCGCACCGCCGCCAACCCTAAGCTCCGTGGATCTAAGCAGTCCAAGGCTTAAATTCATTCCGAGCGAATGACTTTTCTTCCATTTGACTCCATTCTATGATCTTTCTCATTTCTCATCTTCTTTTCTTGGCCTTCTCTTGTCTTAACAATAAAATACTCCATGATCGTTTTTCTGAGGGGGACCTGGTTCGGCTTGATGAGCGGGAAAATACTGTATTATTCTAGATCTCTCTCCTCTCTATTTCCTTTTTTGTGTTCTGGGTCTGTTGATCTTATTCCTGGGCAGTGCATGGGAATGTTCATGGATTTGGTTGTACTTATATGGCCCTATATTCGATGTGCATTGACGATGCGACGGCCCTGTGTACCTGAGAATTTTACATTTAGCATTGTGACTTGGGTCATAATATATGATGACGGATCAAAACAATAATGCCTATTTCTTTCATCCATCTTATAAGGGAAAAGAGCTCGTACATCACAGTCTGGACTGTAGCGGGCCTCGGCGCTTTACGCTTGACCGCATTCGGGACCCACCTTTGTTTACTTTGTTTTGCCGGCCGCAGACTTTCGATTATTTGCCCGACGTGCCCTTTGTTGATTTTACCTGCATTCTACCTTGCTACGCAGCTCTTATTCTCGAGTTGCAGTACATAAATTACCATCCTTGTCACCTTCTGATCTTAGACTGGCGGCTGGCAATGCCTGGACGCTGCTAGGCGTGATCATTGCTATGTGTGCATCATGACGAGTCGGTGTTGAGCCTCGTTACTCAAGTACGTCCCAAGACATTTTGAAAGAGTCAGATTGAGACTAACGCTTTCTTGCACAGCTGTATGGCTATATTTGGCAGAGTTACCTCGAATTACCCCTCATGGACGACGTGAAGCCCACCGCAAGATGGGCCAACCGCATGTTGCGCCCCTTGGCCTCAATCTACCGCCGACTCGAGAAGCATCATGAGACATTAGCGATTATTGCAGCCGATTCGAACATACGTGAACATAATACAAACATTCATACGCACACACAAGGGACATGTGAGGCTGTGAAGGCACAAGACAATGACTCCGGGTCGGACGCGGATGAGGATGACCCGGTCTGGGTGCCAGGGAAGAAGCCTGATCAGCGGCGCGTGCGGCACAAATACTCGTCGAGGGGAGAAGGCAGAGCAGGGAAAAGGCGAACGCGACTGTCCATACATAGCCCGGAAGCCAGTCGTACTCTCCCCGGCGCGATCGAGCTTGCAACCCCGGTGATCACTGGCAAGCGATGGGAGGCGCCAACGAGTGCTCAATCACAACTCTCAGTCGAACAGAAGAGGCAATCAAACGCGCATGGACAATTACAGGCCTTTCGCGACAAGTACCCTCTTCACAAGAGCCCCTGGCAAGAACTCCTTGGTCAATCTGGCGACACGGGATTCGCCAGCATCGTACATAATCTCGATCGCATTCTTCAAAACTTTTTGTGCAATACTCGCATTACAAAACGTGATAACAATGATGCATCAGCCCAGCCTTTCCGTGGAACTCGATCTCTGTTGTCGACAGTGGTACGACGACTGCCCGAATTCATCGCAAACGAGCAGGACGCTCAGGACGAGCTGGAAGAGGACGGGGACGAGGACATGTGTGACGCATATTTCACCGAACTGGAAAATTATTACGCCGTCCATGGTCAAGGATGGAAGCCGCTTCGGGAGGCTGTTCGAGCACAGGGCATCTACCTGGTTTCGACCATGATAACGAACAGGTGGTTAACGGATCCGATCGCGTGTGCATTGATTGAAAAGTGTCGATATCACGAACCAGACGCGTGTGAATCATTGCTATCGATATTCCTGTCTACACGAACAGGCTATCATTACCCCGTCGCCCTCAAGCCTCCTACCGACTCGAACGAGCCGGGTGATCCTATCAGATTACTCCGCAAATACGCACATTATGGCCCGGCCCACCGCTCGTACATTTTTGATGAACTTTCCAAGCTTCTTACGCGTGGTGTTTTGCCTCCAGAGTGGATGGCGACTAAGTCATGGACTAGTTGGATGACTCGGGCAACGATATCATTTTCGAGAGGGGATAGTGATTGTGCCGCTGCCTCGCGGCTGATAGAAGCCGTGCCCGTAGCAGCTGCTGATATTTTGCCGACTGCCGCTGTCTCAAGGTCGGAACGAGGTGATACAAATGACCTCGGTCCTGTCCAGGGCAGGCAAACGCGGACCTGTTCTTTCTCAGCTGCGGACAACCCGGATCTCTCTTGGAAGTGCCCTGTACCAGTGGAGGATGCGCTGAGCAACCATGTGACGAGTCTCCTGGCAGCGCTGTGCGGCATGCACATCTCGCGATCCCGTGAGCTTGATGATCTGGACGACTTTGAAGGAACAAAAGCTGGCCATATCATCAACTACCTCTGCTCCATCCTCGAGAAAGACTTAGAATTGCAGCCGCCTTCTCATGTTACCACTTTGACCTTCCATCAGTTACTGAGGCGCGGTAGCATCTTACTAGCGGATTGTCTGTTACAATGCAACGATGCAGTTTTAAAGACGGACCATCGACATGTTGTTGGCTCTACGCCCATTCTTGAACGATACTGTGAGACATTGGCATCTCGCTCCGGTCTAGTCAAAGAATTCGCCTTGTTTGTGCGACAAGCTTTCCGATGTTTTGGCAGTAGCACGGATGATGAACGCCTCTACATGGGCCGAGAGGTTCGTCGCATGGTGTCTCGGCTTCCTAGAATGTCCGACGCGCCAGCTTTGTCTACTTTTCTAGGTCGGGTGGCCGTCGAGGTCGCTATGGAGTTTGCAGAGAGCACCGGCGAGCCAGATGATCATGTGTGGGCGGTTGAGGTTCAAGAGACGGTCATTTCTCTCTTGGGTAAGAAGGAACCTAGTCCGGAATCTTCGGAGGAATCGGAGGACCAGAGACCTCGAAGTGGTTGTTTCCGCTGGGAGGAGAGCATTGGTGAATGGGTTGCTCGCACTCCGGCAGTCAAATCAAACGCACCACCGAGTGCCGTGACTAGGGGTCGTCCCTCTTTGACTCCAAGGCTAATTCCCTGCATTCCCTGTTCAACAGACAGCAGCTCGCCCGAACCAGACCACGAATCTGATCGCTTCATGGGAACCCCTTCGAGCTTGACCTCCTCGCCTCCATCGACTGGGTTGAAACGAACATTTGAGTGCACAGAGTCTTCGCCCCTGCGACCAGCTAAACGCCGACAGCCAGCCCCTGTCATCGTGGAACAACACGGAAGGAACCTCAGGAGAAGGAGTGGGCTCTCGTCCGCTACTATTGCCCCTAAAACTCCATCCTTAGAGCCTGTGCCCTCACAGCGTCGGGCTCTACGTGAGCTATCGAGTCGCATGAAAAATACGCAGGCGCCCAGGCCGACAGAAAAACCCGCCACCAAGGTCGAGGTAGTTATTATCAACAAGGCTCCTGAGACCGCGCCTGTCGAATCCGCTTCCGAGTCAGAGCCGGATTTGTTTGAGAAGCAGATTCATCGACCCGTGGAGCGGCGCAGGTCTGGGCGATCTCGTATCTCGATCCTTCCCAGTCGAGTCGCACCAGTGGTGGCCCGGCGCAAGTCGATGGTGATACCTTGCTCAGAAGACGACAGCGATGACGAGCTTAGCTTCCTCTGAACGAGCTACAGATTGAAATCAAGGACTCAGTGCCGATCAGGGTCTGGTGGTCTATCCCTGGTTCAGACTGTTACTCTATCGCAGTTTTACATTGCGAATGGGCGTCTTTGATAGATTGATGCACGCGTGAGAGTGTGATGTGCCCAAACGCGTCTGGGCGCCTACATGAGTCTTCATTTTCCTGCCTTCCCCATGGGTGAATGTGAGCGGTTAGGAGATGATTGAGTGGGCTCAAGGCCCGCTTCTTATTTGGATTTTGGTGTTTGGGACATGCTGTATTATGCTTTGATACCCCCGGCTTTGGACTGGTTTTGGTCGTTATTTCGGTTTTCGCCTTGTACTGATTACTTTTGACATCTTTTCCTTGTTGTCTATTCATTTACTTGTTTGATTACCCGTTCGTGGGTCGAGAGTGAGACCCATAGCTCAGCCCGGATGTGCACCTCCACCTCCCTGATTTGTATACGGAGTTGAGTTTGAGTATACAGTGCTCTTCATAGTAGAGTGATAGCGTGACACCTGTCAATCGGGGGCTTGAAACATTTACCGTCGAAGACCTAGACCACTTTATCTGGGGGGCTCAGGAAAAATTGACCGTCCACCAAAGAGGAGAGACGGCCGATGCCTTCACTAGGCTCGGGGGTATGTAGTGCTAGTTATCGGCCTCTTCAAAAGATGGGCGTGACTCCGAGACCTTCTATGAGTCTAGCTATGTACTATCCTCGTTTCAGCCGCCTGCACTGATAATAGGCAGATTTGGATTAGTGGACGCTAGTGTCTATAGTTGTGGGATCTTATTAGTATTCGGGTAATTACTCTCTCGACTTTTATAGGCCTTGCAGGTGGACTCGACGGGAAAGACTCCATTGTTAAGGGGAGATTAAGGTCTGACATAAATGAAGGCCCGGCGTGCCAAGCATTATGAACCGAGATATCGGAGAGTACCAGGAGCAATAGCCTAATCAAAGGATTTAGTCGAATAGCAGGAAATAGAGTACTTCGTACAAGTTTGAAGAAAGTACCGAGTAAGATAGCTTCGATCAAGTGTTTCAAGGATGCTTTATGGTTGCAGCCACACATGATGAATATGATTGCAGAAGATGATCTTGATTCAATCACACGATCAAAGTTACTTATACTGTAAGTCCGAAACCCGTGACTCGTTAGCGACTCCCAAGCGTGTCGCAGAGTTCCAACTTCCACCAAACTTCCATCCGCAAAACACCACCCTTGACCCCTTTGGTCACTTCCCGTCTCCACTCTACATCCACCCATTGGCCCATCATTCAAGCAAGGCCCAATCTCAAACAACCAGTCGTCCGCCAACCCTGGCCATGACGAGGATCAGCGCCATCAGCGCTCGGCTCCTGCTGGCTGGCTGGCGCTTGTTGCTTCACGGCTAGTGCTGGGATGTTTCATCGCGAGCCAGTCACATTCCCCCGACCGCGTTCCCGCCACTCGCGGGCGCCAAGAGTGCCTCGACCCTCGACTCCTCGACCTGTCGCATGTCGCATGTCAGGTTACTGTTGACAGCACAAGTCGAGATCTGATACGATGGGTCTCTCTCCAGGTACCCGATTTGATCCATGGAAATCATCGAAGGTCGCCTCCGGACGCCATACTACGTACTCCTCCATCCTGAGCCCCATCCAAACAAGCTTGACGATTCGATTCTTCGATTCGTGACAGGGCAATCCCATCTTCTTGCCCCTCCTGCTGATCGATGATGGGATGAACATTCCTTGCCGAAGGCTTGATAATAGCTCGGCGCCAAACATTTCTCCCCTTTCCCCTCCCCGACGAGGGTTCGGAGTAGATAGGCCGAACAGGATGGAGATGATACATAGTTCGTCCGCATGAATACTAGGGTCTGAATCTGTCGGCCCAGCCTTACTCGTTTCTACATATTCTCCTAGTTGGCCCTGGGCGGACTTGGCCTGTCTCATATATCCCCACCCTTCAGGAAAGGCGTGGAACGCTTCCAAGGGAAAAAAGTGGTTCTTTCTATTCAATTCCCCCTTTGTAGACAAGCTTCTTCTATTGTTCCCCTCTCTTCATTTTTTCCCTTCGTTTCTTTGCCTCGACAAAAGGCTGTTGTCGTTCTTTGCTTCTTCTTTTTTCTTTGCCTTTGTCGCCTCCTTTCGTTTCTCGGACAATCGTCTATCAACGTGGTGGACGAGCTCCATTCGCGATTTTTGCCCTTGCCAGTGACCGGATCACCAGCATTCCTTTCGTTGCCCACCGACAAAAAAAATACACAGCCTCTGCGAGCTATTCGGCCGGCTCTGTCATTCCTGTCCGTCCCGTGCTGTGCACACAATTGACCAACGGAACTTTCCATCGACTGAGGTCCTGGATTTCCATTTCTCTTCAATTCTCGCCCGATTCAACCGTTCAATCTAGGCAGGCCCTATCGTCGTCTCCAGCAGATTAGCGACATATTGATAGACCCCTTGGACGTTGTTGGGCAACCACCATCTCTTCTTTCTCGTGCCTTCTGAAGCGGCCTGGTGTTGTCTTGGTTTGCATTCGTCCAAAACACTTCTAACTAGGAGAAACGACAACGCTTCTAGAAAGCTTTGTCGAATTGGGCCTTGCCTTCCAACTCACCCACCTCTGCAGCAAGCTGGTCTTGCTCAAACTCAACTAGAACTCTCATCTTTTCAAGGCTACTGTCTCAACTAGTGACATCATGCAATCCTTGCTCCTGGCTCTGTCCCTCGTGGGACTGAGCAGTGCCCAAGAGATTATCTTCGAGAAGCGAGGAGGGCACAGTGCCATGTCGATGTGGTATGAAGCCTACAATGATGACCTGGCACGCTATACTATTCTCTCACTCGGCTGCGCTGCTGCCGCATACTACGTCTGGTCTCTCGCCTTCCGATTCTCTGGTCACCTGCGACGACTGGCTACTTTCACCGATGACAAGCAGAAGTATTTCGTCCCGGCCCACGACAAATTCTGCTGGCTCAAGGAGCACTTGATCTACGCTCCGCTGTTCGGGACCCGCCATAATCGCGAGTTCCAACTATCTTCCGCTATCAACATGGGTAACCTGCCCAGCCGATTCCATGGTTTCCTCGTTGTCAGCGTTGTGGCCATGAATGTAGTTCTTTGCACAGTGACTACTCCTTACAACTCCGAGGAAGACACTCTGGCAGGCATCGTGCGTAACCGTACCGGCACTATGGCTACCGTCAACCTGATTCCTCTGATCCTCATGTCTGGTCGCAACAACCCCTTGATCGCTATGCTGCATGTTCCCTTCGACACATGGAACCTTCTCCACCGCTGGCTGGGCCGTATCGTGGTGCTTGAGGCTCTTGCTCACACCTTCGCCTGGGCAATCCCCAAGGGCCAAGAAGCGGGATGGAGTATCGTTGGAAAGGCCCTAGCTTCTAGCAGCTTCCTCTTCGCCGGTCTGATTGCTACTGCTGCATTCACGGCCCTGTTGCTCCATTCGCCGTCAGCCATCCGTCACGCTTTCTATGAGACATTCCTTCACCTCCACATCGCCATCGCCGCCGTATCGTTCGGCTTCCTGTGGGTGCATCTGAATGGCCTGGTTGCTCAAAAGTATCTGCTTGCCGCCATTATTCTCTGGGCGCTGGAGCGTGCCACTCGCCTCTTTATCATCGTGTACCGCAACTTCGGCCGCGAGTCCACCAGTGCGACTATTGAGGCTATGCCAGGTGACTGCATGCGCATCAGTCTCCGCATGGCTCGGCCCTGGACCTTCAAGCCTGGCCAACACATTTACCTTTACATCCCAGCCGTTGGCTGGTGGACCGCGCACCCCTTCTCCGTTGGCTGGAGCGAAGTTGAGGAGACCATGTCTGATGAGAAGGCCCTCCCTGTGGCCAGACAAGATCTGCTCGGTGGACCGAAGAAGACTACTCTATCCCTGCTCATTCGCCGCCGTACCGGTATGACCGACAAGCTCTTCCAGCGTGCTTCGAATGCCCTTGGCTCGCGCATTACCCTCCGCGCCTACGCCGAAGGACCCTATGGCAACATCCATTCCATGGACTCTTACGGCACGGTGATGCTCTTCGCTGGTGGCGTGGGTATCACACACCACGTCCCCTTCGTTCGACACTTGGTTGCCGGTTTCGCTGACGGCACCGTTGCAACCCGCCGCCTCACCTTGGTCTGGATCATCCAGTCCCCCGAGCACCTGGAGTGGATCCGACCCTGGATGACCAGTATCCTGGCTATGGAGCGCCGCCGTGAAGTCCTCCGCATCATGCTCTTCGTCACTCGACCCCGCAACACTAAGGAGATCCAGAGTCCCTCCGCGACCGTGCAGATGTTCCCCGGCCGACCCAACATTGACACGCTCATCGGCATGGAGGCGGAGAACCAAATTGGTGCCATGGGTGTGCTGGTCTGCGGAAACGGTGGCTTGAGCGATGACGTGCGTAAGGTGTGCCGTAGGCGACAGGCTAAGTCGAACATTGACTACGTCGAGGAGAGTTTCTCCTGGTAAATCATGTTTGCTATGCCTGTCCTATCCACGCAGGACATTTGATGTGATGTTGTTTGAGCGGGTTGTTGGTGAATGTTCTCATGTCTTGGTCGCCTCTTTGGTTTTTCTTTTCTCTACATTCCTTTCTTGGGCTGCAAAGCCTTCCCTTTTTAACATGACCCTTTTGGATATGATGTACTCTCGAACTTGGGTTATAGAGTATGTCATACCGTCTTTCTTTTTATCTTCTTTTGGAATTGAAGCTTTTACTTTCGTGTGTACTTTGGCTTTATATTCTATCTTCGATCGTGGTTCATATTTCATGATATGTTTGGGCTGTCTTCGGAGAGTTGTACATATCTTTCTTGCCTACCAATTCAAGATATCTGGTGCTTTCGCTGAGAAGCAATGAGCTTATTGTAGTTGGAATAATCATTCCTTTACTCCTGGGCCGTATCTGCTTCTTGTCATCCATATAGCCTAAGTTATACAAAGTCTTTCTTCCACTAACCATGCACGCCTCCGGTTGGTTATCCACACTGTTCCCACTTGTAGATCCTTTGATCTTGTCATCTTAGCACCTTCTTAAAGCTCGGTATGACAATGAAACCGAAGAAAATCCGTTCTTTCCCCAACCCTGGACGGATAATCACAAAATTCGGATATTTCCCTTGATATCTCACACGGGCCATTTCGTTCCTGGTGGTCCAGCCATGCAACAACCTTGTTAGTCGATCAGGCCCCCAATTGTGGAGCTTAAAATCGGTTCGCGATGGATTCCCCGAAGATCTTCTCACCAACACTGTCCAATGTGACCTTGAACCATTGATCTGATTTGAGGATAACTTGGGGCCAAATGATGCGGGTCCTTTCAGTCCCTCGTGCTGATGAGATGAGGATGAGCCGGCAGCGATATTTAAGGCTGAATGCCTGCCTGTGTCCCGGAAATGGTTAATCACTTGCTCTAACTAAGTGCAGCATCAATCTGCCCTAAATACCTGCCATCCTATGCACCAACACTAGAGATAATACCCAACCTGGTCACCATGCCGACCCAAAAACCAACGGCAATTCTGATTGTCCACGGAGCCTTCTTCCTCCCCTCGAGCTGGCAACCCCTCGTCAACGACTTCACCAACTCCCAATACACAGTTCGATGCCCGCGCCTCCCTAGTTGCGGCGACGAACGGCCCCCAAAGGCAACCCGAAACGATGACGTCGCCGCCGTACGCACAGCGGCCAAACAACTCATCGAGGCCGGCCACAACATCCTCGTCCTGGCCCATTCCTACGGTGGAATGGTCACCTGCGACGCAATAACCGAAGACCTATACGCCTCCACCAAAAGCAATGGCATCGTCTCCCTCGTGTTGCTGAGCGCCTGGCTAATCCAGCCGGGTAACAAATTTGAAGATGTTATCGAGAAATACGGTCACCAGAGCGAAGTAGATCTGGGCAGTAACGAGGACGGAACTTTCTTTGCGAAGAATGCGCCCGCTTCGTTTTATAATGATATCGATCCCTTAGAAGCGCAGGAACTGGCCAAGGCGAATGTCACGCATAACCTGTTCGCTGCGTCTGGGGCTATTACTTACGCGCCGTGGAAAGATTTATCGACCATGTATGTGTTTTGTACGCGGGATTTGGCTATTATGTTGCCTTTACAGCGGAGTATGGTTCAGGATGCTGTGGATGCGGGTGGAAAGGGCGGGTTTGTTACTGAGGAGATTGACTCGGGGCATTGTCCTTTTTTGAGTAAGCCAGAGGAGGTGATTCGAGTTGTGAATAAGGCTCTGGGTGGGTTTGAGTGAGGATTGTCCGTTGATATGGTAGAGGCGTAGAGTTAGATGTACTTGAGGTTTTATACTACTTAGACATCCCTTTCGGCTCAATTTGTTCTGTTATGGTGAAAGACGAATATCAGAATTAGTAGCTTTTGAATTGAATTGATTACATGGTTTCATAGAACCATTCTAATTTAGATAGATAGTCTCTCCTATCAAGTACTAGGTTCGTGATGAGAGCCATCATGTATACAAGAGGAGAGAGCATGGCTAACAGGCCCGGCACATTCATCTGCTAAGAGATGGATATACTTAGATGTTTATCGTGGATTCAATGGCTTTTATTTGATCTTGGAATAATAATTAATCAGGTAGTAGTCCCTAGGTCCTAAGTTAACAGCTGCTTGTTGCATTGTCCCAATCGCTTCGGCAATGCCCCACCATCTCCGAGCGGAACTTTTTCACCTCCAGCTTCCTCTCGACCTCCAACTAAAACAACCTTCAGCTCTCGACACCGTCATCTCCCATTGCTACGCCCCCTACTCACCACAATGGCCGACGAATATAAACCTCCGGCCCTGCCGTCCCCCTTCACCAACACTACACCAGCCCCCACACTCCTCGTGCAAGGCGCCGAGGCCCACCTCTACAAGACCGTCTCTCTCGACCCCTCCATCCCAGCAGCCCTCAAAGTCCGCCCCTCCAAGCCTTACCGCCACCCCATTCTCGACCGCCGCTTGACTCGTCAACGGATCATCCAAGAAGCTCGATGCCTAGTGAAACTGGTTCGGGAAGGGGTGAGTGTCCCCGCCGTGCTGGCGATGGATTGGGAAGGGCAGGGCGGCGAGAGCGCGTGGGGAGGTGCGTGGTTGATGATGGAGTGGATTGAGGGACCTGTGGTGCGAGTGGTTCTCGAGCAGTGGGAGGCTTGGATGAAGAAGAATGCCGCCTCATTGGACCAGAGTCAGATCCAGAAGGAAGAGGACCGATTGCGGGGTCTGATGAAGCGCATTGGACATACACTCGGTGGTCTGCACAAGGCTGGCGTCGTGCACGGAGATCTGACGACGAGTAACCTGATGCTGCGCTCGCCCGCTCAGGAAACCACCGACAGCCCGACGGGAGTCTCCATGGAGGGCGAGGTCGTCCTGATCGATTTTGGTCTGGCGGGACAAAGTACGCAGGATGAGGATCGCGCGGTGGATTTGTATGTGCTGGAGCGTGCCATTGGCAGCACGCACCCCCGATCGGAGCCTTTCTTCGAGGAAGTCCTGAATGGATATCGGGCCAGCCACAAGGGAACTGGATCTACGCTTAAGAAGCTGGAGGATGTGCGGTTGAGAGGCCGCAAGCGGAGCATGATTGGATAAAGGGAACTGCCCTTGTCTTCATATACATTGTCCGAATGGCGGATGCAAACGACTTCCATCTCATCTGGACCCTCGAAAAAGAAACGCCACGCTGAATCATGAAAAAAAGAACCTGAACTGTTATCAACCCTCCCCCTCCTATCTCCGCCGGGCATTATGACCGGGCCTTGACGCATGTGCCCACATCTGCCAGAGCGAAATATCCCTTGTTCTCGACCACTCCGCGATCCTTCACCACCGCCGTATACTTCACGACCCACTGCGTCTCGATGTGACCCTGAATCCCGTCGTTGGCATCTGGCGCCGAAGCCAAAATGCCCGCACCGCCCTTATCCGCAGGCCCCAATAGCTCGCGTGTCGTGCCGACCGGAAGGATATCATTGCAGTCGTTGTGGGTCAGGAGCTGGATCTTCTCCTCCTTGGCATAGAGAATGAGGGACTTGGGCACCACGCAACAGTCCTTCAGGTTGATCTGGTCCACGGAGGGCTTGACTGTGGTGTGAGGAAGGAAGCGCGCTAGCCGCTCGCTGCCAAACTCAGCGACGCCCAATTGAGCAATCATGCCCTGCTCGTGCAGAGACTCTAGCACGTGCCATGTCTGCACCATACTGTCAAAGTCATCTTCTCCACTGGACTCGGACCCTTCATCATCGCTGTCGTCATCCGCATCGAATAGAATCCCGGGGAACGAGACAATCAGCAAATCGATAGACTTGACATGTAGCTCCTTCAATACCAAATCAATTGCCTCCCTGGTGTGTGCGCAGCGTCTCGAGGCCGGGATTCCTGGCAGATAGAATAGTTTCACTGTGATATCGTATTGATCCCGCTCCTCGGAAAGACCAGGCTGTGAAAAGTCCACAGCCGGAATGTAGAGAGCACTATCGCGATCCTCCGTCCAGGTAGAATAGTCACGGCACTTCTCGGTGTGTGTTCCATTAGCCCCGCCGTTGGTCCCATTCGGAACCTCTGTATCGATCGCTTGCGAGGCCACGAAGTTCGACCGTAGGGAAGTAATCAGCTCGACGTTGGATTTCTGCGTCAGCGGCTGGCGGATGACAGACGGACGACCGCCGTTCATGATATTCCTATTGCGACAAGCAAGTTAGCCACCGTTAGCCACCGAGTTGGTCGAAGATCGTCCGGCGCGGATTGAGGCGAGCGGCGACTTACGAGGTAGAGAGGATCAACTTCATGATTGCGGTGATTAGCGGGATAACAGTGGAGACCTCGAATAGATTATTTTCTTATGCGGCTCACACGGCCGGGGGTTTTATGAAGGAGGGAGGGCGAAGAAAGAGAATTGAACAAATTCCCGCCGGAGGCGCAAACCCCGCGATGGTTCGGCTGCCCCTCCGGAGTCCCTGACAAATCCACCTTTTTCCACTGGAAATCCGGCTCCACGCGATTCGACGCTTTACTTTGGCAAGTCGGGGCAGTTTTTGTCTGTGTTATAACTACTTCAACTCCATTTCCTCAGCGACTATCTATCTAGTCATCATCTACGGTAGGATCCCAGTCGGTAGGACTATACTCGCCCGTATCCAACAACTTCATATCCTCCTCCGATAATTGAAAATCAAACACCTCCGAATTCTCTTGAATGCGCTGCGGAGTCACAGACTTTGGCAATGGAACGAATCCCTAATATCCCAATTAGCATCTCCGTATTCACTTGAGACATCAATTTCAGAACCAGCCCTCAGTGGCACCTACCATCTGCAAACTCCACCGAATCAACACCTGCGCAGGCGACTTCTTATACTTCTCCCCAATAGCCCTTAACACCGGTTCTCTGAACCGCGTCCCATGTGCCAAAGGAGAATACGCTTCGACAACGATGCCCCGACTCTGGCACCACTCCGCGATATCCGAGTGATCCAGCCATGGGTGTAACTCGTACTGGCCGACGGAGATCTCGCCGCCGCCTCCGCTTTGGATGTACGCCTCTAGCTCTTCGAGGTGGTGGATGCCATAGTTGGATACGCCGATGGATTTGGTCTTGCCTGCTTCCTGGGCTTCCACGAGGGCACGCCAGGAGCCGAGGCGAGCTTCCTTGCCACCGTAGGGGGCGTGGATAAGGATGCTGAGTCGTGTAAGCTGCTATGTAATGGTGTTTTGAGTGGAGGAGGTTTGGGAAGATGAGACTTAGACGTACAGATCGAAGTATTCTTGTCCTGCAGCACGGAGACTAGTATCAACAGCCCGCTTGGTCTCTTCGTAGCCCATTGATTCGGGGGGAATCTTAGTCGTAAGGAAAACCTCGGATCTGTCGAGTTCTGAATTCTGGATAGCTCGGCCACAGCCTTTCTCGTTGCGATACATAATTGCAGAGTCGACCTGGAATGCATAGTTAGCCCTGGATCTCAAGATAATCTGCTGACTCAAGAGGACTTACATGTCGGAATCCCACTTTGAAGGCTTCCAAGGTGACCTTTTCAGTTGAAGAAGGTGGACTAGAAACTATTAGAAGTAGGAAGGTTCAGAATAATGATAGATGCGTACATCATATACACCTATCCAACCCGTTAGCCATGGACGTTGAAGTCAGCAAAAGAATGCTTACCCCATATCCCAAGACTGGAATCTCATGACCGGAGAGCAGTTTATATTTAGACTGGAGAGTCTGCTTGGGCACCATGTTCAAGGAGAGAGGTCTCGCAGGACGATTAAGCCGAATTGATAGAACTGAGAGAGTTTGTGAAAGGCGAGGTTGTTGGCAAGAAGATAACCGCCGGAGCGATGAGATCATTCCAAGTGGGGGTGTCGGCGTGGGGTTGTGTATTTGCAGAGATCAAGGACCCAAATACGCGCGCAGAATATGAAGCTTGTATGGATGATATTCTTTAATCCGACTAGTTAGATCGGACTTCTCTTAAAAAGGAGTCGGTTTTATAATAAAATGGAATGAATGTTATTTGGCATCAACTGAGCTATCGGCCGATTGCCAGGGGCTTCTCGCATGCTCCGCCAAGATTAGCATGCATTAACGTCCTGTCATCCTGTCATATGTGACTTACGAAGCTTGCCTCCAATTTGGAGGATTTTCCTAGACAAAATAGGGTTTCCCCTTAATTTATTAGCCGCCGACTGGAGTATCCTCATATTATAGGCTTCAACCTTCTTCAGCTTCTCTGATCGAATACTTCATGTACTGCAAATCACGCAAGCGAGGCCACACTTCTTTTATGCTATCAGTCTAATTCAATATGATCTTATTGATATCTGGCTCATTCATAAAGTAATACATGACAAGGATGTTTGACCCTTCCTAGCTCACATAAAACCATCATGTTGAGTATCATCGTCGATCAAAGTCATGACCCAAAGGCCAGTTGGAGTCGAAGTATTCCATGAGATCCCCTACCAGACGTAAAAGTTCGTAACGATAGACCTGCATCTTGGCATTGACAACCCAGCCCCTTTATTTTTCTATCGTGGTCACACTTGGAGCTTTCAATACAAATATTTGGTCTTGAGTTTTGGGCAGACATTCAAATCCAGCAGGAGCTCACACTCATCGAGCACCCAATCCAGCCAATCCTCGTTAAAATATGGTATGGATAAGAACTCCAATGAAGTTGGAAGTCGATCAACTAAACTTTGCGTCGGCATGTCATTATCATCCATTTCCACAATGGTGTAGGGAGAAATATGTAGAACTTCCAAGTTCGTGAAGCCTGCAAATGATCCCATGAAATAGTCCCCACTCATGCGTGATCTCGACCACACATACTCATCAAGACGTAAATCACTTGTAATGTTGTCTTGTGGAATAAGAGAGCCTCATAAAGTCTCCTCAGGTTGGATGACTTGTAGGTACCATGGACCCGCCGTCGCTGATTCGGAATGTTTTCAACGCCCTGCAGGATCGTATCCAGGTCTGCCATCGGCTGCGTTACTAAAACACAAATCAATATCGGTGATGTTTGAGCAACCAATGTCAATGGGAAGACCCCATGGATTCCGTTGATTTCCTTCCTCAGTCCACTCCCATCTATCATAGAGCGAGAAGCCAACCACTTTTCGCATGGCAGGGAACTTACAGAACGGCAGCATCAATTCAGTCTCTGACGTAAACACCATGTAGCACGGCATGGTCCAGGCCTCCTCGAGATGCGGGAAGACGGGGGTCCCTGACTTGGCCGCATCTATGAACATGCCAGGAATGTATTCTGCACAATCAGACCAGGGAAGGCTGATTTCGCGCAGATTGTTCAGCCGAGGAATAATCAGGGCCAGCCAGGCATCCGTTATTCCACACTCGAGGTCTTTGATCCATTTTTCTTGTCGGGAACTGTCACTAGCTGCTTCTTGGACTAGTCTTTCCCTGATGTCGCGGTCAAAATTGACAGCGCTTGGATAACCATGATTTTCGTAGGTCGCCTTAGTCGTCCAGAAGCCCAAGAACAGCACGTGGACTGCGCTCGCGAGTTTGGGGTTTCGGACTATCGTGTAGAGGAACTAGGATACTCTGCTGATTTCTGAAATTTCGTAGCAGTCGCACAGCTTGACTTTGACGAAGATGGTCCGGTGCAGTGCAATATACAGTCGTCGACATGAGGATGCCAGGTGCAGGCGATCCTGTTGATGTTCTAACTGCGTGGAAATGAGGCAGAGGATTTCGTCTGGAAGTTGAAGAAGCATGGCGAAGATGACAAGGTGAAGTCAAGTGAATGTTGAGTTGAGGAGAAAAGGACTTGGGAGGCATGGAAATATCACTTGGTTAGGGAGTTGTGTAGGAAGTCAAGTTGGTAAGTCAAAGCTCAGGAAGTTGTTGTTATTTGCACGACAAAGAGCCAGCCCGCACCACAAACTATGCATCATTACCTAGTACCTCCACTCATCGCTTTTTCTCGATACTTGTATACATAGTAATCTACTGCCCGCCCAAAGCGGACTATTGGAAAGATCGATGGAAGACAGCTCCCATTACCAAAAAAGGGGATGCATCTGTAGGGCGCGGGACCCCTAGAATCGAGCGAGTAGCAAAAGACTTGAGATAATGAAATAATAGAGTAATGAAGCTATGGAGCTCTAGATCAATAGCCTCGACAGACCCATGTATTAAATGTCATGCAGTTCTATGAACCAATCTTCCCCTCTATGAATACAATACAGAAAGACGTTCAAATATTCATCTCTTCTCGTCACATCTAGACCTTCCGCTGCTGCTCCTTCTCAGCCTCAGCCTCGGCAGCCTCCTTGGCCTTGCGTTCAGCCTCACGCTTCAGCTGATCGGGCCGGCGGACGGCGATATCCTTAGGGCGGAAGTCGCTGAACAGGTTCTTGAGAACATTCTCAATTAGCCAGCAACCGCCGTAGTCGAAGATCATCAGCACAGTGAGTGTAACCTTAAACTCAGTGCTGAAGGGAACCAGACGCAGCTTCTCGTTGATCTCAGGTACGAACTCGGTGGCGCAGGAGAATGCGATGGCGGTGGCACCGACCAGACCCCAGTACATAGCCCGGTTCTCACGAATAGACTCGCGGAAAGGACGGCCCTGGTAGTTGATGGAGAACGTCGAAATTTGCTGGATCAACTGGAGCAGGTAGATGGCGCTGTTCAAAAGGGATGGCTCGAACTCGCCCTCGAGATCGATGTTGTCTCCTCTCCTATAGAACTTGTTAGCAACCAAATAATTGTTCGTATCATCCGAGAGAGGACTTACGGCTCAATCTTGTAGACATATTGGGTCAGGTAAATCAAAGTCACGATATGAATGGCGAACTGGCCAAGAACGGAGCCAATAATATACACGTTGAAGATATTCGGCTGGGGACGCTCCTTGGAGAGACCCTCGACAGACTGGGTAGAAAACGATCAGTATAAGCAAACACGAGAACGGGCGACGAAGATCACCATACCTTTGCACGAGAGATAGACAAAAAGCAAACGCTCATCATCATACCGCTGATAGTGACCTGACCATCACCAAACTTGATACCATCAAGGTAGATGACACTCAAACTGTAGGCACTAATCAAGCAGTTCAAAGCAAGAATCTTGTACATCTGGATCGTGGCGACCAAAGTGCAACGACCCTGGCGGATAATGTTCGGAATAGCGATAACGTTGGCCAGCTTGCTGGTGAAAGGCGCAGCACAAGAGGCGTCACCCAGCTTAATGGTAGGCGGCTCGCTATCATCCAACTCCGCCTCCAACATAGATGAGGTAAGTCGATCAGCAAGACCGGCAGCGGCAGCCTGGGCCTGCTGCTGGCGCTGTTGCTGGGGGGTCAGATTGGCATTTGCTTGCTGTAGAGCTTGAGCGCCAGGCGAGGTGATGGTCGGGATCTCTTCACCAGGCTTGGCGGCGGCGGCAGCAGCGACGGCGGCAGCACCCTTCTTCTGGATCTCTCTCTCAATAGCCTTCTGGTAGTGGGGGTTGGTAGGTCCAGGGGGGTAAAGGTGGGCAATGTGCACGGGCACTGGGGGAGCAGGCTGGTTGAATCTTTGCATCATGCCAACCTGCTTCTCGTACAGCTCCTTCATCTTGGTGGTCCGGTAGTGATCGGCGATCTTAGTCAAATCCTCGGGCGAACCGTTCAGAAGAGCAACACCGACGTGGGCCTGCTTAAGAGCACCAACATCATTGGTACCGTCACCGCACATGAGAGTAGTGTAGCCAGCATCCTTGAGACCGAGAAGAATCTCTTCTTTCTGCTTAGGGGACACACGGGCGTAAACCCAGGTGTGGCGAAGCAAGTCAGGGAGAGCCTTCTGGTCCTTGAACTTGGCCAAAGCGTAACCAGTAACACAGATATCCTTGTTCTTGAGAATTTCCGGGTCCAGAGGCTGGGTCGGGTCAACGTCAGTGTTCAACTTGTCGTCAATAGTACGCCAGACAAGTCTAGTTCCAGAGTTGTCATGCTCAGGGGCATCGAGAATAACAACCTCTCGGTCCACAATCTCAACTTGACGGGCGACGTGGACGGCAGTCAACGGGTTGTCACCAGTGATCATGACGACACGGTGGCTGCTTTCGTTCAGCATGCGGACAGACTTGATGGCATCCTCCTTGAGAGGGCATTGCAGGACCAGGAAACCGGCGAAGATCAGCTCAGACTCAATTTCCTCACGAACAAAGTTGTTCACGCGGCCTTGAGAAAGCTCAGATTCGGTGGAGAGATACTTGTACGCAAGAGCGAGGACACGAGCACCGTTCCGGGTGAAGTACTTGAACGTCTCCTCGTAGTTGGGAGGAGTGTTGACAAGCATGGTCTGGATAGTCTCGGGAGCACCCTTGACACCAACAAAAGTGGACTTGCTCTTCTTGGAGGTCTTGGGCTCAAACGAGGTAACGGTGGCGATAGTACTCTGGCGCTTCAGGGCGGAAGAGAACTGGAATCTTCTCTTAACGTGAACAGACTCAACGGGACGAGAACCAATAACTGGTGCGGAACCCTTGCAAGTAAGGGTGTCGTTCCTGCCGAGAGTCCAGCCAAGCCACTGCAAAGTAGCCTTCTCCATTGGGTCGCCAACGACTTCGCCCTCGTCCAGCTTCACCAGGGCGTGAGCACTAGCGAGAACAAGAGTGGTGTCGGCGGTAATGGCCGATGCCTTGGACAGATCCGTGTGGGCACCATCGGCTTCAACGGTAGCACCGGCCTGACCCAAAGTGAGTCCAGCAATGCCATCGACAACCAGGTCTTCTCCAGTCAGGGTACCAGTCTTATCAAAGCAGGCAATATCAACGCGGCCAGCGAACGGAATGCGGAAAGGCTCGGTGCAGAAAATGGCAAACTTGCTGAGAGCGGCGAGACTGGTGTTGACAGCAAGACTCAGCTCCATGGGAAGCTCGGGAGGAACAACACTCGTGATGATGAGAACACAGTCCAAAAGCAACTTGGAACGCTTGCGATCCTTCTGCACGCCCTCCTGCCAGACGTACCACGAGGCAGCAATTGCGAAAATCAGGAGGAAGAGAATGAACAGGAGAGCCTCGGCGTTGTTGGCAGAAACACGCTCAGTGGAGTAGATCATGGTCCGCACCAGGCTACCCTGGCTGGTCTCGAAGCCGGTCTTCACAACCACACCCACGGCGCCATTGTCGGGAGGAGAAGTAACACCATTTGGCAAGCTCTTAGAGATGTCTTCGCCATTAGAGTTGGGGTGAGTAATCTGGAGAACCTTGGTACCTCCGTGCACGAACGAATTCTTGTCCAATCCTTCGGGCTCGATCAAGTCCTCGCCAGGTCGGAGCTGAACCGATTCCTTGAGAAGCGGGGTGCTCTCTCCAGAAAGCATGGCCTCGTTCACGATCACACTTCCCTCGATCAGAAGGATATCGCAAGCGACACCGCCATCTTCCTTGGTACGGTTGACGGACATCAGATCACCGGGGAGTAGCTTGTCACTAGTAATTTCCTGCCACTTGTTCTCGCGGTAGACCCACACATCGTAGGGCTTGATGTTCATTCCGCGGAACTCGTTAAGAGTCCTCTGGCGCTGCCAAACGACAGTGCTTTCGAAGGCGACCAGCATGAAGAGTGTGAAGAGCGAGTAGTACCAGTATTCATCCAACATCCACAGTCCAACACAGAACACCTGGAACACGAAGAATGGAGCCACGGCATGCTCCTGAAAGAGCTCGACAAAGGTAGGAACGGGGATATCGAAGGTGTTGTCGCCATAGTGGTGTTGCACGCGGTCAATTTCGGCCTTGGTGGAGAGACCCTTGGTCTGCTGGAATTCCTTGAGGGCTGGCTTAGGCTCCGCATCGAGGGCGTAGGACAGCGGCGCGAAGGAGCCAGTATCGGGATAGAAAAGGAACCGACGCTTCTGGAACAGGAACGAGATGGTCTTCTTGCCACCGGAGTTGTCGCGAAGGAGTGGGCAAATCTCGGCGGAGCCAGCGTTGGTGATGGGGATAATCTTGATCAGTTGAGCAGTGTCGACGGACTTGGCACGGGTAGAAGTGAAGAGGGTGTTGATGTTGATGTTCCACTTGGTCATCAACCACAGGAGCGACTGGGCCGTGATGATGGACCCCGCGAAAACGAAGGTCCACTCCTGACCCTGAATGTAGGTATCATAGCGCTCGGGGGACAGGTAGAAGGCGAAGAAGATGGGCCAAATGATCAAGAACGGCCAAGCGTAGGTATGCAGTTGGAGTGGGAGAGGGTTATGCAGGGACGCATGTTGGATCTGGGGGTCATCTGCGAGTTTTGCCCTGGATACGATCAGCATCGTGAAATAGGCTCCTGGGCATCGGGGATTGAACGCGAAAACTCACATTTTGGCAACCGGGTGACCACGATGAAGGTCCGACAGAATCCAGGAGGAAATCGAAGAGGCCACCGTTCGCCGCCCCGAACATACTAGGCGCTTATGTAACGGTGGACCCGCCCCGGTTTTGTCGAGAAAGTGAGCGTGTTGCAGAGAACAAGTGGGCGTATTTGTTGAGGAAGAATGAGAATAGGAATGAGCGTGTTTTGGCCATAAGTGAGAGGTAAGTGAAAGTTCACTCCTTGAGAGGACTCCCCCCTCTTCTGTGGTGAACTGAGGGCGATGAGGCTTGAATATCTCTCGCATCGTAGCTAAAAGGGAACAAATTGAGGTTGACGCTCGAGGTTCTCCCTGACACCGCTTGAGGGGGCTTTTGAGGAATGGATGGTTTCATCCTCTTTTCCCCCACGAGTTTCTTCCTCTGTTCTCACGGTCCAGGCTGGCTCAACTGTGCCGCCGTGTCCACCACTTCCAACGTGTTCAACCGTTGAGTCGTGGGTTTCACTGAGCGGAGACCTCAAACCACCCCTTCCCTTCTCCAGACTGCTCTCTACATGCCCACTGGCCCCAGAGGACCCGGACACCGAGCTCTTCTGGGCCTGAACTTTGCTCCCAAAGCCAGGAGGGGGAAGAAACCACCACCAACGACAAAGCCGGTCCCATCGATCATAGATCCGCCCCCAAGGCCGGCGAAGATACCGCCAAACCCGGTCCGGAAGTCAGGCAGGGCCTAGTTCCAAAACAGGAGGGTCGTCCACCAAAGGAGGTACTCTCTGACCAGTATTGATTTCATATCTACATGTATCAGTCAGTAAGATGCAAAGCAGCAAGAACCTAGACAGGGGGCTTTGGTAAGTGGTCTCCTTTGCTTCTCCCAAAATCACAAGACGAGTTGGGATGATAATGACGGAGTGATGAGAGGAATCCAATCACCCTTCAACCCCCGTCATGATCATTCCAACAAGGCCTCTCGAGCTTTTGGGAGTAGTCAAGAAGATTCACTGACCGGGAAATATGGGAAAGGAGCAGACATCTACTATACCGTGCACGAATAGCAAGATGAAACCAAAACCCTACAAGCATGAGCCCAAGATAGGCCGTAGCCCACGCAAAGGCCGCCCAAGAACTGTCCCGGAGGGCAGAAGAAGGAACCGAGATTGATGGAAGGCTCAAGCCCAAGCTTGAGCTATCTGTGCTGTTTGTGCTGTTGCTCATGGTGTTGTCCGAAGTAACGAAGATGTGTGGTTGATGAGAGTTGTGTTGGGATGTTTACGTCCTGTAGTTTTCCATTCTACCTGTACTCGTGCCTTCCTTCCTACCTTCGTAGCCCTCCTAAATTGGCAAGCACGTCTGGTAAAGCCCGGAACGGCAACTAAAATCTCTTTGAGAGTAAAATTTTCGCGAGCTTGGTTAGATCTCTACGCTCTTTCCAGAATAATCCTAGAGGAAAACCATTGATATCCTTCTGACCAGAAGAGCATATATACTATAGTACTATAGCAAATACGAGATAAAAGACGAGATAAAAGATCAGATTAATTATTTGAAGATGAGCAGATCATAACTCACCCGATAGCCATGCGATTCAGGCTATGATACAGGAAAGTACATGCCGGCCTGGCCCTAATTTCCTCTCGGATGATTAAATATACACGGTTTCAACGGAGCGCAGGAGGCAATGGTACTAAATACTACATAATAATTCCTTATTATAGCCCGTTGATCAGGTAATAAGGTAACAAGCATCCATACCCCTCTTGTGGTAAAAATGGGCGGTAAGGGCGATGCCACGACGCTTGAAAAAGAGGCGGCCCTAGTAAAATATTGGAAGTAAAATGACACTGCTAAGCTCGAATTGGGAAGGACTAGACCTTTTAAACAACGTTTTGGTTCCAACATGCACATCGTGACGCAATATTGTGACGCAAGACCTTTGCTCTATACTAGTCAGTTTCCCCTAGAGTGTTCAGGCTTGACGCTTTATCTTACTCGCTGTACTTTAAGCCCCAACACACCGCAATCTCGGACTTCCTAAATATGTCTTGCCAACCAATCCTACAATTTTCGAGAATGTTTGTCGAAAGCCTACCGTATGCTGCATATGGGCTTTCCTTATGGGCTTTGGCAACATTGGCATTCCTCGCTTTCATCGCCCATGCGGCTTACGAAAACGACCCAGCTAAGAACAACAACTTCACTATAGCGTATGGCATAACTATGCACGGCTTGCTCAGTATAGCTTTTTTTATATTCATTCTGGCTATTTACCTTATACCAGTCTCGTACAGCCTCAAGCTGCTTCTCCGGGCTGTCGATACTGGTCTCGCCATGAATGGTTGTTGAGTGATTGACGGAAAGCCCGGTGGCCATCTCCTGAGTCCCTGATAGGCATGGTTTTCGCCTTGGCCTCTCAAGTGCTGGCGTAAGTTCTGTGATCTTACTATGGAGTGTTGAAAGTTGCTACTTGGGACATGCGATTATGTTGTTGATTCAAATGTTACGGACTGGCGATTGTGACCTTTTAAACCTGGAGATAATTTCATTCTACCGGGTATCTACTTAGGGACTTGCCTGTCTTGCTATATACTTGGGCTCTCTTCCCATATTCAACAGTCATTTTCTCTCCTTCCTCTCCGGCCTTTTACACCATAATGCTAGGTGACGGTAAATCGACGCCGAAAACGGCTACTTTTGATGCTGTTTTAAGCGTCCCTTTTACCACAATATTAGTCACTAATGTTTCACATGATCTGTTTCTGCCCTACATTTCCGTATACCCTGAGTGATCATGAATTACTCCCTGAGCATGTAGGGATCTTTGAGGCTATTTTACTGAAATGAGCTATTACTAACCTCTTTAGCAAGCACTGGATCATTACGGGGCTTAGGTATATTGCATAAGTTCTCGTAAATATAGTATGGTTGGCTTAAGTGGCCACTTGGTACCCAGAGATACCACTCCACCTACACCGCCATAAATAGCCCTGCTGGCCCCGTGACACGATTAAACATAAGCAATAAGGGAAGTGAATCCAGACGAGTGTTCATTAGACATGGGAAGCACATAGTTAAACGGTAGACACGCGTAAACGACTAAGAACGTGAGGCATCACGTAACGGTAATGCATTTCATTAAGCTAGGCTAGCTAACTATGGATATACATACTCACGTTTAACTAAGTTCCCTTAAACGTTAGAATCATTTGCAAGAATACTGCCGGTGCACCTACATAGAAAGTTACCAAACTCTTAAGAACCTAACGTTTCTTTCTCCGATTTAAGTGTACAGCTATAGACCACAGAAAAGTTTTAAAGTCATCTATCTATTATATACCATAGACTGGCAAACCTTCAATGTAAGCAGACAAAGATGAGACCGATAATGATATGTCGGTGCCTCCCAAGAGATAGTGGCTTATAGATTTACTTAATATGTGTTGGTGATGCTAACTTCTACACCCGTTTATTGTACTTTACACTTTCGCATTCGTTACAGTAGTAATGAATAGAAATTTCGGCTCTTTAAATCAACATACATACACCCTAATTACTCTTAGTATAGGCAAGCATAAAAAACTTAGTGCGAACCCGAGGTTATTCTGGCGTGAATTAGCAGTAGATCACTAACTAAAGTTAGTTTCTAAACTATTCATTAGTATTTTTGCTCCGCGTGTTGGTATTCATTTGAAAAACTTAACGTGTTCATAGGATGAGAACCCATATCTTGAGAGGAAGAAAGTATCTATCAACTCATATAAAGAAAACTGCATTGAAGGGACCACCCAAGCAAGGGGCGTGTTTTATCAAAAATATACAATGATCCACCATGGTATAAACGAGAGTTAACTGTACTATATGTAGTATATCATGGCCGTTCATACAACTCATTATTACTACGTGTATTATCGTTCGTTTCGATCACCTGTGTAGAGCCGTCCACTTCTGGAATAACTAGCACCCCGCTTACTTCAAATAATGCCGAGCTTGTACCTTCTAGTTCGGCTATTTACTTTGAGTAGGCCTCAGCAGTGTATATAGACTGTGAACCCTGCATCTCTGGAGTTATTTGCGTATTCTCCATTCGTCTTGTCAGTGTAGACCTTTACTATGAGACCAAATCAGATTTACAGCTAGCTCCCTTGCCGAAAGCCCCTGGCTTAAATCCGGCTCTAGATCCATCCTTGCTTTTGGTGTGGTCACTTAATGAATCCATGAGACTATTCTCTTCGGTACCAAACCAATATGAGTAGAGCAATTATACACACTACACCCACTATAATGCCAGCAATCGGTCCTCCAGAGAGCCCCTTAGATCCGGAAGAGACGGTGTTGGTCGATAAACCCTCGAAAGATGTACTGCTGTAGCTTGTTGCTATAGCCGTAGCCGTTGCTGAAGCAGGGGAGATCGTAAAGGAATTTGTGGTGGTAGTAGCCGATGTCATCTAAGGCCAGGAATCGTTTAGACAGTTGATTAAAGTAGTCAGGGGTATGAGTTCAAAAAGTACTATGACATATTCCACCCCAAAGCCGTTAAAGTGTCAGTCAGGTGACATTTTGACAGTTTTTGTACCTTGATTCTGTGTTCCATTGAATATGGAGATCGACGTAGCTATGTAGGTCGCCCAGGTTGTCCACTTAAAGTAACAGCTAAGAGTTTTAACAGAGAGGGATTTTGCGGCACCAGGGCAGGACATAGTAAGCGCTCTAGTTACAGAAGACGTCAGATGAGTTCATCGTAGCGTACGTCGACCGCGGATTTAGCGGAACTTACGTTAGACACCACACAGTTATTGTTTCATCACTGGTTGTTTACTCGCATACGGAGGTATACCCAGTTGGACAGGCAGCAGCAGCGTAGGGACTAGTAGGGGTGAAATTCGGTGGTGCACATTCAGATGTCGCAGTTATAGGGCCCAGCAAATAGATAGCTTCGGTACTATCGTAATGAATTTCCCGAATATCTGTTAACGCTAGGCAGCTCACTGTGCTCTAAGTAGAGACTAGAGTCGAGAGAGTCATGTTGCAAGATGCAAGCTGGCGTCACACCACCCGCCTTCTAAACGGTAGAATTTGTATCGCCTAAGAAGAAAGGCCATTATGAGCAGTATGAGTAGTGTTAATAAAAATTATTAAGGGAGCTATGAAAGGTGGATTAGGGGCCATTTTGACGCAAAAGATATTTATCACTTAATTAGCCGGAATTAAACACGATCTTGCTCCTCTAATACAGATGTGGTTAAGTTTAGCCCGCCTCTCCACGGCATTTTTAGCCCCCAGGTACAAAGTTATTATGCAGCTCGTGACACCCAGGGGTAAATCCCACTCATTTAGACTGCTTAAAAACACATTTGAAGGATGTAGACTTCTGAGATCGAATTTGAATGGCAAAGATCCGTACAAATTCAACCTCTACCTAAATACGACCAGGTCTCTCAAGAAGAGCCCCAATCAGTTAGCTGAGACCATGTAAGTGCTAATGCGAAGCTAAAGCAAGAAAGGAATGTTTTCCGTGGCTACATAGAATCCTTGTCGATGCGCAGGTCGGGTAGCCCTTGAACAACGTGGCTTGCTCACGTCTGTACGGCCAGATACGCCGTAATCATTACCATTGTCTGATTTGGCTTCGGTGGCTTCTCTCTAGGGGAGCAGTAAAGATTTTCTCCACGAAGGACGCGCAGAGCAAACTGGATGAGCAGGGGCAAAATGGCAATACTTAAATCAGTACCCTGCCCTAGGGCAGTCTGGGCGAGCGGCCACTACGGACGGGACGAATTGGACTGATCTTCTATCACGACCCCATGCTGATAGTCCCTGGAGCACGAATATCTCAATAAGATTGCACTTTCACTCCCCCTGTGTGCTCGGGCGCTTCTAACAACACTAGGACATATTAGAGGGTGCCTCCGGTAGGTAGATGCATTAGCCTGTGGTGAAGCGAAGATTTACTACTTCAGTGATATGGGGCCAGAAATAGGTACTGGTCTGGTGTATTCCGTTTTCCATCCTGAGCCCCTGCACTTTTGAATTTTACATCTTTCTTTACATTAAAAAGTCATTTCTTCTCTCCCCCGGATACGAGCAAGACTAAGATTCAAACATTTGGCGGCCATGATTTCACCCAGGCACCTCTCCAGCGGTCAGGAAACCGACGAAAGTACCCAACTCCATCTGATGCAGGCAAAACATTCAAGTACCGCTCTACCCACGACCGAGTCACAAGAGGTTCATCCCGAAGTAGATTCATCTGAAGTTCATGACGATCATTCAGCGCGCTACGAGTTGCTTAGCTCTTCGAACAAGCATAGAAATTGCCGGCCTGTGTTAGCCACTCTCAAAAATTGGGGCTGGGAAGCTGCTGGAATAATTGTATCAGCTGCCATTATCATTGCAATTGTTGCTATCCTTCGAAAATACAACAGGCGCCCACAACAGGATTGGAAGCAAATCTCACTCAATTCTGTAATTTCTTGGTTAAGCACCCTCGCCAAAGCTTGCGTGGTTTTCTCTGTTAGCCAAGGAATTGGTCAATTGAAATGGGCCTGGTTTTCACAACGCAGCCGACCATTATCTGATCTAGATGTGTTCGACTCGGCAAGCAGAGGAGCCACCGGAAGTGTGTTCCTTCTATGGCTTATCAAGGGGCGGTATGTAAAATCTCAACACTTTCCACCTCCAAGGCAGGAGATCATACTCCAGCTCGTTTTCTAATTGTCCACGTTCAGGGATGTAGCTTTGCTTGGGAGTCTAGCTATGGTTTTGGCGATAGGGTTTGACCCTTTTATCCAAAATCTAGTACACTATGTGCCAGGTAACATTGACAGCCCCTCTGAGATCTCATTTCTGGGAAATACATCATTGTATAACACAGTAGGACCATTGATGGGAGGCGACCGTATGTAAACGTTGATTTTGAGTGTTTTCAACTTTTGCTGACAGAATTTAACAGTATATTACGTTGATCCAATTCTAAAGGCAAATGTCTATAGTGCCTTGCTCAATACAAACCCAGCACAGCCATGGGCAGTTCCACAATTTACATGCCCGACGGGAAACTGCACTTGGGACCCAATGGCAACTGTGGAAATCCGTGCGCTTTGCTCTAATCTTACATCGAGTCTGAGCACGTCATGCACCCAGGGAAAAAGTTACACCAACTGCACTGTATCACTGAACAGCGGTGTCGCATTATGGTATTTGACCAGCGGTGCCTCTGCCAGGCCTATGGTTATTAATGTACTATCGGGAAGCTCTAAGACTTTCTATAAGAATAGCAGTTTCCCTGTAATACAGTACATTTTGGCAAAAGGGTCAAATGACAACCCATCCGCGGGTGGCGGAATCTCTACCGAGATTGGGAACAATACTCAGTTTGTCGCCACAGAGTGTGTCCTTCAAACAGGGGTTCGAAGCTTTCAATCGACCGTTATCATGGGGGATTATCAAGAAACACAGCTTGCAGAGTGGCCGGTGCTGAATAACACGGTTGAGGATCTCGGCTATGCATATTCTTTCACACCTCCATGGAATGAGAGCCTGGGGGCAAAAGAAAATCAAACTTTCGGCCTAGGCTTTGAAGCATGGGACTCAATCTCTGTTTTCCTCGAGTTTCTTTTCGCCGGCTATGTCTCTGCATTCTCGGATAATTTCAATTTCCAGCCATCGCAATCGGGGGGTGCATACGCTACGGCTGATGCCTTGGAGGCCGTCTTCTATGGCAATTTTTCAGGAACCAATTGCCAAGATACCGACCAATTGTCTTGCGCCATAAAGAATGTTGCTGCTGCTATGTCCAAAACTATAAGGGACTCCGCATTTACTTACAGTACCAGTTATCAACCAATTAATTTCACCGAGGCAAACACGACTACTGGAAAAACTCAAATCTCGGTCTCGTTTGTGGATGTTCACTGGGAGTGGCTCGCTCTTCCGGTTATTGTCTGGGTCCTAGGAGCACTATCTTGTGTTTGTACCGCATGGACGACCCGACAGGCTCAAATACAAACCTGGATGAATAGCGTTCTGCCTTTCATCTTCCTTCATCTCGATGGCGACAACATCGTCGATTTTCAGGGCAGTGGTAATGAAAGTAGTGAACCACAGATCATGGGAGAGCAAAGAAGGAATGAAAGTGATTCGAAGGGTTATAGTTTGGTTGGGCGTGACGATTCTTTAGAAGCATGTCTTCGAATGGCAAAAAAGACACAGGCAAGGCTTCAACCTGGACCATAGTATATCGAAATACTAGAGGGTTCGGGATAGAAGCCTGAATACCAGGCCGGGTATAGCTGGCAAGAAATAGGGATAAGGGACCAAAATGAGCATCAAAAATGAATGGGCTTGGACACCACTGTCATGGGCTACTCCCGACTTTTGAGGACAGGTGTCTGCTCTTCAGACGAAAGGCTGAATGAAACCCGAATAGGGCAGCGAGCCGCCATTGACAAAAATTGTGGTCGCTAAGCAACCCCCAACAAAGCGTTCGATCAGACTCCTATCAAGATCCGTTAGATCCCCGCACACGTAGGCGTTCCTGGCAATAAGACCGCCGAGTTGAAGCAAAGTTAGCAGCAATATGAGAGGGAGTAAAAAATGGAGCGGAACAATCCTACCCCGAGTGGGCTGCTAGTCGAGTCTTCTAACATCGACCGCGAAGCGTCGAGCGTGGTGACGTATTGAAGAGAGATAGGCATAAGAGAAGGCAAAAGAACGAAATAGCAAACCGAATCAGTACTTAGTAAAGGCTCTAGACAAGAAGATGCTTCAGCTATTTGATCCACTATCGAAGCTATATTGCTCGATTTAATTTAAATAAGATTAACACGCATCGCACTAAATCATTTCTTGTTCAAAATTAAGGGAGTCGAACCAGATGAATTTTACTATAGAGAAGACTTAAACACCGAGACAAATTTTAATACAGTGCCCGTTATACGCTAATCTAAGGCGGACCTTTCTTAATAAGATCTAGATAACCGATCTTAGGGATTCGACTGATTACTCTTGGAAATCGTCCAGAGATTCGTACTATGACAGCGATCAACAATACGCTTCATGAGCTTAACGAAGCACAACGAGAACGAGACTAGTCCACCGTAAAGATATGTAAAACCTTGATACCAATTACCATAAGCCACTATTTGAAAATGTACGAACCTCTCACGCTTGGTGAATCATCAACGCTTAATCAAGTAGATTTGGCTTTGTTGCTACTCATCTCATGTCGTGACAGCTATACGGACATCTTAACGTAGCTTACCGCAGAGGCAGATTTTCTCTCTTTAACCAATCAATCATCTATTGAAATGCATCCAAATTAACTCCATATGTCCTATTCATAAGTATGCGTCCTAGTCAATACCGTGTGCAGTCCAAAGCTCTTCTCAATCACGTGCCCAATACTTGAAGTATCACGTGACATGCATCGGATCCACTCGAGTCTCCACCGCACAACCAGGCTGATGTAGCCATAAAACTCTTCGATCTTCAACCAGCCCTGCCGGGCTAGCTCAATCGGTAGAGCGTGAGACTCTTAATCTCAAGGTTGCGGGTTCGACCCCCGCGTTCGGCTATTCCTACAAAAAACCTGAGATCCTTTCTTTTTTGCTGTTTTTTATACCTCGTTGGTGGACCTAAAGCGGTTTGGGATTGATTCATTTGGTCAACTGGGTGGCTGATTGAGGCGTGGGGAAGGCACAATGCCTTTTTTTTCTTTTTGTTTCTTTTGATGATAAGCCAATTGAGTTTCTGGATGTGGAATTTGATGTAGCTAGGGGTATTGACAGGAGGTCGAGAGAAACCAACCTTAGGTCTGGATATATATCTGCCAACCTTGCATGTGTCTACCGCTTATAGAGTAACTTGAAGAGCATGAACCCCCGAATAACGAAATGGATGCGAATCCACCAGCATGTAATCCAACCAAACCCCAGACTAAGCCAGCAACCTAGTCCCTCAATTCACACCATCCACACCCTCAGTCTTCTCAGTGAGCTTCTTAACTAACTCTGTCAACGCAGCGACCTGCTCCTTCAGTTGTCGGACCTCCAGAGTACAGCTGTCCACCCTGATATCCGGCGTGCTCTGCTTGACCTCCTCCATCCAGCTGTCATCGAGATCAAAATTCACATCTCCGGCTACATGCTCCCACTCCTGCTCACAGTCATCATCTTCTTCCCCATGTCGTCGATTCCATCTAATCCGTTTCGCCTGACGAGTCTCAATCCACGCAGTCAACACTAGCAGAGGTGAGTAAATCACGCCCATGACGATGTCATTGAGCCTGGCGTAACGGCTGGGTGAGAGCCACCACTCGAATGGTGCGACCAAGAATAGCATCTCGATGAGATTGAAAGCTGGCGAGCAGTTAGACTCTTATTCCATATGCACACAACTTGGAAGGGGAACTTACGTGGAATGAAAACATTCTCATCTGGAGCCCGCACAAATTGCATGGTCTTCTGCGCAAAGATTGCCATATACTCATCGGTGGCATTGCCAGAGATATCCTCATACGCACTGTTATAAAGCGCAATGAGAATATTCAGCAGCACTAAAAGTAGGTTAGCAAGAAATGCCAAAAAAGTCCGGGGAAAGCCCGACAACTTACCAATCATAACAACAAAGTTAAAGACATAGTACAGAATGATGCCAAAGGGAAAAGCAAAATCCTGGAAAATCTCAAACTCGGGGCTCTGCATGACACTATTGGCCATACCCTGAATAATGGGTCTGGTCATATCGACATCGGAATCAACCTGAGCCATACCAATAAATGCTTGGAAGAAACCCGCGAGAACCACAAAGAGCAAAGCGAAGAAAATGATACTCTCCTTCATCATGACTCGCAGAACCACAAACATGGCACCGAAGAATCGGAAGGAATCGAGGTAGAGCATCATGCGCATCCAGAACATCGGGCCTGAGAATGCAAGAAAGTTGTAACTCAAGCCGTTATAGAGCTGCCGTTCTGCGTCGTGGGTCGACGAAGAGTGTGCCAAAGCGACGACACGCAAGACAAATGAAATGACAAGTAACGCGTAGAGGGTCGAGTTGAAAGCGTTCCAGAATTCGATGTAATTCCGTCCCACCTTCCAGAACTTTGTTGCCTCGTCACAGATGAACGCGAGGGTCATTCCGTAAAGAATACACTCAGCAGTGTCCAGATCTCCAGTAGGGTTGACAGTGTTGATCACGGCTGTGTACAGTACAAGAAAGATCAGGGAGAACAGGATCTGACAGATATTCTGGTACAAAGGGGTCCTCATCCGATCCGGGTGGAAATGAACCCAGTAATCGGTGCTAGACTTGTCCTTGTACTCCACAAAATTAGTCGGATTGCCCTCTTCTTGACAGATCCAGCCACGCCAGAGATACTGAATGCACTTCTGGTAGCCGGCAGAGCTAATGACTCTGAGTGCGTGGAGGTCAACAGAGCGCTCGATGACATTGGCGGGGGCAGTCTCCTCTCCCTCGGTGAAGATAGAGTAGCGCTTCAGCAGGATACTCTTGAGCAGATAGTCCTGATCCGGTTCACTCTCGATGCTACAGAATCCCAGTTAGAAATCTCGATTCATAGAATTAGTGGCCAATGAGAAGCTCGTACATGCGCTTAGCGATAACCTCGCAAGCCACAGCTCGTCCAATATGGAGATCAGCATCCCACAGCTCGATATTGGACTGCATCTTGAACCATCGCAGACAAATGAGAAGACAAAAGACTACACAGGCCTTGTAGTCCTCACCGCCAGCCCGTCTGGCTGTTTCGATCACATCCTGGGAGATAATGCGGCTGTTGGGGTTGGTCAGGACCTCTTCATCGACCTCACAGGAGACAACCTGTTCAATCTGGTATTTCAATCGCAGAGCGACCTTAGCAATCTCCTTGGAAGATTCCGACGATTCACTCTCGTCGTTGGCGTGGGTGGGAAGCACTACGATGCGGTTAGTTGTGTACACAAACGGTGATGTTTATGACGTACGTCGGCGACGTTCGACCGCGGCGCGATGATGCGCTTCGCGATTAAAGCCGAAGAGATCATTTAAAACACCCATTTCGAGTATTTCAGGAGTAAATTCAGGGGATTAGGTCCGAGGAATGATCGAACACTCTCGGTTGACAAAGGAAGGAGGCGCGGTGAGGGCGATCGGCGGACGAAGCCACACGCGTAAGTTTTCCCCGCTATCACAGCCATTCTGGGCCATTCCTGGTTTCGCTAGTTATCTCCGCGTACGTCAAATCTTTCTGATTTCATAAAAAATCGGGTTATTGGGAAAATTAGGTTATGCTTAGGGATTGATTAAAAGAGCTTTAGAAGCATCACTGGCATTGAACGTCTCGGTTGCATCACAACAAATATACATCAGAACCTGCACCTCGTTCCACGCAAGCCACCATCAAAGAAAATGGGTACCGGAGCATGAGGCCCTTATCGACTGGCACATGGCGCCTGCGTCGAAAGGGACAGGATAGAATCGTCCCCGGACCCGAGGTGCAGGCGAATGCCCTTGGATCAAAGGCAATGTCTGACTGCAATCGTGCCCTGTAGCACGTAGAGACCATCAAGCCTTTTTTTTCTTCATCTCATTGATCGCGTAAATGTGCATAGTTTTTCTCTATCCAGTTCGCCCGGTCTTCTCCATCTTTCTCTCCACCTGTCCTTTGCGCGGGTCGCGAGCAGCGATGCAACGCTGGACGCCCCTTGGTATGGAAGTAAGCTGCAGAAGTTTACTCGGGAACACCCTCATCGCTCTCGGAATCGTCCTCATCACCGCTGACCTGCATGTTCTCCCGCTCGCGCTTGTCCATGAGCTCCTGGAGAATGGCATCATCGTGCTCGGTGACGGCCTTGGGCGCCATCTTGACGGTGCAGTTACCACCGGCCTCCTTGATCTTGGTGGTGATGTTCTCGATGGCAGCCTCGAGCATCTGGATACCCTGGTTCTTGTCCAGAGACTGGTTGGTAAGGACGTAGAGGGGAGGAGCGACCAGCTTGACCTTGATCTGGTTCTCGGGGGTGTTGTTGGCCTCGGCGGTGCGGAGAGCCTCCTTGACGGCGTCGATACCCTCGTAGCCGAAGCAGGTAACCTCGATATCGGCACGGACCTTGGTAGGGTGGGGAGTGAGCTTCTTGCTGATGTACTGCTGCAGCTCCTTCTTCACGGGCTCGCTGGGGAACTCGATCTCGTTCCAGACGTCGGGGTTACTGAGAGATACCCAAGCATGGTTAGTATGTCTCCTATCAGAGGCGAAAGAAGAAATTGCAGCACGTACGTGATAGAGATCTTGAAAGCATCGTGGGAGTGGCCGTATTTCCGGTTCAAGGGCCAGGCGATCTGCTGGTAGAGAGTCTCCAGGGGAGTCTGAGTCGCCTCGGCGACGTGGCGCATGATGGAGTGCACCGCCTTGCTCTTGTTGTACCGCTCCTCGCACTTGATCACATCCTCGGGGGAGACACGACGCTTGGAAAGATCGATGTAACCTGTGCAGAACCTATGAGTCAGCCATTGGGCTCTTTCCTTCCATGATGATACTGTTGCTAGCGTACCCTTCTCCTTATCGACACGGAGGACGATAACAACCTCGTTCCGCCCAATGCGAATGAGCTTCTGAATACTACGGATACGTCTCCGCGACAGCTCAGAGAGCAGAATCATGCCGTCGATGTTGTCGTATTCGAGCAGCTTCACGTATGCGCCCATCTCGGCGATCTATCACAATGGCGGAACTGTCAGCTAAGAATGTCCTGAGTGCACTCAAGAGAGCAAGAAAAGACTGTACCTGCTTGACATTGACCATGACATAGCTGTCCACCTCCGGGTACTTCTCCTCGTAGAATCGGCAATTTGTTAACGACATTTTGGCGGGGTTGCACTCTGATTTTCAGCGAGAAATTTTCGGTCAAAAAGAGGACTGGGAAGGCGGCAGTCCAAGTTGTGTGACGAACTCGAGCCTTGTAAGAAAGGATCTGAGCGAAGCGAAGGGAGATAGGGTCTCGAGCGAGGGACTTTGAGGCAGAAGCACGATTGAAATCGCTCTTTGTGGCGGGCTCAAAACCCACATTGCCCGCGGTCACGGGATCTGAGATGTATATGGTCACGTGATTGGCTGGGCCAACGGAGGGCAGGAAGTACGGAGTGACATGTGCGAACTGGATAGCCAGGTGCACGACCAGATAGTTACTTAGGAGTTACAGTAGATTATTTTCAATTCTATTTCGAGAAACATGTCTCATTTTTCACTAAATTCCGTACCTTCTCTTACACAAGATCCATTACATGGATGTCGTACATATCATATCTTAGAGAGCCTGAACATAATAATTGGATCTACTAATAGAAGCGGAGTGAAGATATAATATTCAATGATAGAAGCATCTGATTGGATTAACTAGTACAATTCCTTACGATTAACTACCTCCTATAATATGGTCTGTATACTCCTTCAGCCGTCAAGCTTAGGCTCACCGCCTGGAGATTGCCGAGCAACATCAGAGGCAATAATTCATCGGACGAATCAAGAGGGCGGACAAGCTCATCCTCGAATGGACGCGGCCCTATTATTTGCCCGGGTTCTGGTGGATGCAATCAAGGACTGGCCCTGCCCTTCTCATACTACTGTTTTAGCTGCAACTGGCCCCGCTTATCCTTATCAGTGAACTAATTGATTCCTGCCACCGCCCCTGCGTAAACGTAGTTGGTCGGCAAAACCCAGAGAACTTGCTCGGTCTCAGCCGGGCCCTCGTTCTTCTCTTCTCTTCTTGTTTCTGTCTCAGATGAAGATTCTCGAGTCCTGGTGACCGAATCAAAGCTGTGACTGACTTTCACCTCGGCGCAATCCATCATGTCAGAGTCGAGTCCACTTCTCCGCCAGGACTCGGAGGGACACCGCTCACTCCAGAACCGCATCATCGACATCTTCCGCATTCCCGGCGGCCGAAGGGCTTCTCCAGGACCCGATTCCAGTGATGGTGGACAAGCTACTCCGGGGCTGGGAATCACCACGACGAGCGAGCCTGACGCAAGAACCCGTCTCTTAGAGTCCTATCATCAGGCGGACCCGATATGCGGTGAACGGCGCTGTAGCCATGGGACCTTCTCTCCCCGGCCAGAAGGAGCAGATGGGCAGGACTACTCGGTGCCATCCAGCGTTCACTTTGGATACAATAGCAATGGAGAAACGGGGGAAACGCCTAGTCACTCACACGACCATCCTGGATCACGACCGGATTCCGAGTACACGTCGCAAATGAAGTCGTCCTTTTCCGCTCTATCTATGAACGAGGATAAGAAACTGTATGCATCTCTCCAGTAGATTCGGGAGATTGTCTTCGTAAGCCAAGTATGGTTGACCGAGAGCTAACGGGTTCCTGCAGGTACATATCATATTACATCCCATTCTTCAACTGGATCAGCCAATATCGATGGTCATTCCTTCGTGGGGACCTGGTCGCCGCACTGACTATCTCATCCATCTACATTCCCATGGCCTTGTCGCTGGCCTCCAACCTCGCCCATGCGCCCCCCGTTAATGGTCTCTATGCCTTCGTGATTCATCCCTTCGTCTATGCCATCCTGGGAAGCTGCCCGCTATTGGTGGTCGGCCCAGAGGCGGCCGGGTCCTTGCTAACGGGTGCTATTGTCAAGGCTAGCATGCCGAGTAGTAGCCCCAAAGATGATGATCTCATGGAAAGTGCTATCATCATTGGAATTTCCACTGCCATGGCGGGAGCCATGATCCTGGTCGCGGGAATCACTCGACTTGGATTCCTGGATAATGTGCTGAGCCGACCCTTCCTCCGAGGTTTCATCACGGCTATTGGCTTTGTCATTTTCGTGGACCAGTTGATCCCGGAGCTGGGCCTTGCAGGGCTAGCTAAGGAGGGCGGGGCCAGTCATGGCACCACTGTTGAAAAGCTGACATTCATCATTCGCAACGCTGGGAGCAGTCATGGACTCACGGCGACAGTCTCGCTTGTCAGCTTTTCTATCATCATGTTCTTCCGGTGAGTATACATGCCTTCGGATGTGGGATTCCCTGTCTAACTGGTTTTCTCATAGAACGTTGAAAAAATGGATGATGCCTCGATTCCCTCAAGTGATTTACTTCCCAGACCGTTTCATTGTCGTCGTTCTATCAGCAGTGCTAGCATATGCCTTGAACTGGGAGGATAAAGGACTAGAACTTCTCGGACATACCGAGATCAGCTCCAGCCAACTCTTTGCCTTCAATTGGCCATTCCGATTCGACCACATGAAGCATGTCCGTACCGCAATGAGCAAGGCCTTTATTATCACCCTCTTGGGCTTCTTCGAGTCCTCCGTCGCGGCTAAGGGGCTCGGTGATAGCAAGCCCGATGGCATCCAAGGCATGCACATGAGTGCAAACCGGGAGATGGTAGCACTGGGCGTGGCCAATCTGCTCGGTGGTTGCTTCATGTCTCTTCCGGCATTTGGTGGATACGGCCGCAGCAAGGTCAACGCTCAAACTGGCGCACGCACTCCAATGAGCAGTATCTTCCTTAGCCTAATCACCCTCATCTCCATTCTAGTGCTCCTACCATACCTCTCCTACCTTCCTGTAAGTCCCCCTACCGATCCAATACCCGACCAGAAACTAATATCCAAACAGAAAGCCGTCCTCTCCTCCATGATCTCCGTTGTCGCCTACACCCTCGTCGAAGAATGCCCCCACGACATAATCTTTTTCCTCCGCCTCCGCGGCTGGGCCGAACTAGTTCTCATGCTCCTCATCTTCACCGCAACAATCTTCTACTCCCTCGAACTCGGCATGGCCATGGGTATCGGCCTCTCCGTGATAATCCTCATCCGCCACGCTACCCAGCCCCGAATCCAAATCCTCGGCAAAGTCCCCGGCACACACACTCGCTTCGAGAATGCCGAACTCCAACGCGAAAATGTGGAACTCATCGAGGGCGCTCTTATCGTTAAGATTCCCGAACCACTTACCTTTGCCAATACGGGCGATCTTAAGAATCGTCTTCGTCGGTTGGAGCTCTACGGCTCGAGTCGGACGCACCCGTCTCGTCCTCGTATGCGTCCTGCGGAGTATAACAAGAATATTATATTCGATGTGCACGGCGTCACGAGCATCGATGGTTCTGGGACGCAGGTTCTTTACGAGATCGTGCGTGCCTACGCAGAAGACGGGGTGAGGGTCTTCTTCTGCCGTGTGCCCAACTCCAACGTCTACCGTATGTTTGAACGAAGTGGAATCGTCGAACAGTGTGGTGGGCTCACCCATTTCGTGCCTCATGTTGATGAGGCGCTGCGGTTGGCTGAAACTGAGGACCAGACTGAAATCTAGTCGTCCTCGCATCGTACATATGACTTGTAGATTTTGATTTTTTACCTCGCCTTTGTGAATAGGCGAGTGTTCAAAATTTTTCTTCTGTATATCACGAGATTACCTTGTTATCTTTGGTTGTTGTTACTGAGCATGTTTATTTGTGAGCGAACAATAATGATGTGATTCAGCGATTCTGTTTGATTATTGTGCCTTTGGTATCTTCTGTTCCTAATCCAATCCAGTCGCATGATCTGGTCGTGTCTAGGCCATCTTGTAAACAGACCAACTCATAGTTCATAGTTCATGAGTGCCAATAGACGTTCTGAGGCTTGTTTTGCGCAGCCAGACCCATTTCTCCCGTACAGTCCACTCCCAGTGGAGCGAGCTTTGGGTAGTGATATTCCGAAAGAGTCATCTCGAGTTCATGGTCTCAGGAGATCCACACAGGTAGCTTTAAGCGTAGAGGGTTGGTGCAACAGCAAGTCATTGTCATTGAACACCACGCTGCTATTGGCGTGTGTAGCCAACGCATTCGACAAAGTCCGCCTGGGTCATCGATGGCCAAACTCGTCAAAAATTGATATCTCGTCTTCCAATGCAGACCCAAGACTCCTCATGTGGTCACTTGCTCCCCAGCAAAACTCTTCCGAATAACAGCACGAAGCAACCTCTCATTCGCCCGCAAAGAAGAAATATCTTGATCTCCCCTGTCCCCGTCCTCGTCCGCGTTCTCACCAGCTCGTTTAGCATCGACGATGAGCTTCAATCGCCCATCGCTGGATATCACAAATGCAGCACAAGCAACCTTCGACAACCGCACATGCTGTCTGGCGACAGTATTGTGTTGCGAACCGTCCAGGTCCAACTTCATTGCCAGATGCGTCTCCAGGTAAGACGTGATATTTTCGACCAAGGGGATTCTTGCTTTTCCCTGTACAGCCTTCCCTTTCGAATTTCCCGCATCCTGGTCCAGGAAAGAAACCAACGAGGCACGAGGAATACCGACATTGATATTCCTTAACGCCGGCGTAATAGACGAAGAAAACGATAGCGTGAGCTGTAACTCCTTAATCACATCTTCGACCTCGGAGCCCGGCACAACACTAACGAAATTCTCAAGCGCATCACATAAAAACCGCGAAGAAAGTCCCAGCGTTGAACAGTACGTGTCGAAATTGGAATACATAAACGTGATGAATGTCTGGCGCAGTGCGATGGGGAATTTAGTCAATAGTAGCGGCAGAGCCGTAACGCCCTTTCGCGGTTGAGTAGTTGAATCGGTATCAGCCAGGAGGGCGGCTTTGTATGTGGCATTCTCATATTCGAGGGTGACCAGAATACCCGGGAATGAGGCCTTGGGATATACGCCACGCTGCCGGGATGGTCCCGCGGCAAAGAACTCCCACCGGCACTCTTGGAGGGACCCTGATTTTGAAAAGGTGTCGTTTTCTGCTGTGTTGATTGTTGATTGGAAGCCTGCGAGGACATCGCCTGTGAGTTGGTCGCGCAATCGCGTAGCGTATGTTTTCAAGGCGGCTTCGTTGTTGAGCAGGGTTTCGAAGTCTTTGCCATGGTGGAGGGGGGAGATGCGGTGGGTTGTCCACGAGGTATTGAATAATTGCCACCGTGAGGCTTGCTCCATTTTTAAATTTGATTTTGTCACGATATTGATGGCTTGGCTTTTGTATGTCGTTGTTGCGGTTGATATTCGGCGACGCGCCCTCGGTTGCAAACAAAACAAACATTCGAGAATACAGTGTTTCCAACGCAATCAGTAAATTGACGTATAATGATAAAGGTATGTTCCAATCATTCAATAATGATAAACTCCGGATACTCTAATGTACTGCTAACATCTACCCAACGCCACAACGCTCAAAAACCAATGCAAATGCATCCCCGTCATCATGCCCGCCAACCCGAAGTCGACCTACAATCGTGACATCCAAACAAAATCGGAATACCATTCCAAGTCCAACCAATCTCTACATCATGCGGCATCGCGTGTCGAGTTTCCAATTCTCTCGATGCAGCATCAAACCACAAGTCTCGCACCGAACTATGCGAATTGCGCTGCGACGATCGACCAAAGATCACCGAGTTCATGCGATCTTTCTCATAGGCCGTCGTGTCGCGGTAGAAATTATACATAAAGTCTTTCCGCTGCATGCGCTGGTTGCCTCCATCACCGATCTCGGCGGAGAAAAACTCGACGATCCGAGTGAAAGGGGATACCGTGAGGAGAGAGCTGATCCACGAGTCGTCTATTTCTGCCTCCGGCGCCATTGTATATCGGATGTACGAGACTAGCAGGTGCATGCAGTGGTGCGTCGCTACCAGTGCGGCGGTATTATTGAACGGGGGTGCTTGGAGGATTCGAGTTTGCAGGTCGCGATACATCCGTCGGCGTGTTTCGACCGGGATCGGGACTGAGAGGCGCCCGGCTTCGTGTTCACGGAGAAGCATATTCGTATGCTCGCGCCTGGCAGAGGCGTAGGATTCAAGGAAGTATAATGTGTAGTACCTGTATCGTTTAGAACTAGGCCCCCCACAGCATTCGCGTTTCAATTGCCCGAGTCGCAACTTACATGAGCGGTGCGAGATTGAACCATATGCTCGCCTTGCCTCTCTTTACCAAAGCAGTTCGCTCGGTCTTTCTTGTGGGAAATGAGGATCGGAGGAAGATGGGCTCTGTCTGTACAAATCGCTCCATGATCCGGTCTGCGAGGTAGTAGCATAGCATTGAGCATTGCTTCTGCCTTGACCTTAGACCATGGAGGTATCTGAAGGTATAGAGATGACCTCCCCTAGCGCTCTTGGACGGCGGGAACAAGTCCGACAGGAGCACGACATCGTCCTCCGGGTTTCGGGTATAGGTTCGCTCGGTGTCGATCGGGGAAGGCAGGGTGCCATGACGGCGTTGGCGGAGGTACTGGCGCACGATCTCGTGTTCGTTGGAGGATAGGAGAGCATTGAAGGCCTTGCAGACAAGCTTCAGGGTATAGAAATCGGGGCTACCGCAGTACCCAAATATTTGAATTTGGATCTCGACCGGAAGGCCCCACGGGGACGGAGGAGGAGGAGGATCGGCATTGAGGCTGTCACCAGAGCGAGACGAATGAGTTAGGGAGAATTTTCAAAAGTAAAAAGTAAAAATAAAAAAAGCTTCGAGTATCGGCATGGGGTCCAAGCAATAATAGCGCCACTCACCCTATTGAAGAGGAGGATTCGAATCGATCCTTGGACTCCTTCCTCCGGTTAAGCGCAGCTCGAAACTTGTGCACCGTTGGCAGTATTTTAGAGAAGCCGGTCATGCTTGGGCTTGCGACCACATGGGATGACCAGCGCCGGCGAGGCCACGCAAGGAAGCGACAAGAAATGAGTTTACGTCAAGAAAATGTTTCGTTCAAAAAGACCAGCTCCTTTTCTCATCTGACTAAGCGCTATAGGGGAGCACTGGAACTCGAGTGAAGAATCCGGGGGAAAAGAGTGTACGGAGTCCTGTATTGTCTCAGAACCGATTCTTTATCTTCCGAATTAGCCCCCAAAAGCGAAGAGACATTTCCTCGGATTCTGGAAATTGTTCATTTGAATGTTCCAGCCTGGTGGGCGGGGGGCTGGTTGAAGTGGAGGTTTGTCTCGGACGATCAACTCGGACAGATGTTCATGACAGGCTAAAGATACGAAGCTGATAGGTTGATAGGAATGAAGAATTGAATTAAAGTATTTGGAGTTTACAGCACTGCAACCCTTCTATACACTTCTTCCGACCGGACCGAATCAACCTGTGGATGTGCAACTATCAAGAACTAGAGATCGCCCGTTGATCAAGTTAATTTGACGAGTTTCTATTTTCGGAGATCGATACAGCCACAACCTGAAGCCAACCCAATCATCGTCCGTCCATGTCCACTGTATACGCGTTTGCACAAACTTCCGATCTACCAGGCTTATGGATAGCCATAACAGTCATTGAGATGAGGACATGTTAGTATCACGTTGTCTTTTACTGTATGCTTTCCATATCTTAATATCCTAATAATATCCTAAGTGCTTCGTTATAGAATGCGGCATTCCGTACCATTACGTCATCGCTCTTGCGTCAGGCGCTTCTGCAAAGATGCAAACCCCAAGATTCTGATGATATATAATCCCTTCGCTTCAACTCAACCATCCTCCTCAGTTACTTGAACACCGGATAGGTCAGAGCATCTACCAGTATGAGTAACAATATCCTCATCGTGGGGGCCACTCGAGGGCTGGGGGCTTCCCTAGCCGCCCTATACTCGAAGAAGCCTACCAACTACGTATTCGGGACCTCCAGATCCTCAACGCTACCCTCAGAGACCAAAATAACCTGGCTGACAGGACTCGATGTTTCTGAATCTAATGTCGGGGAGAAATTAGTCTCACAAGTCCCCGCGTCAACCAAATTCTCAACCGTCATCATCACAGCGGGGTACTTTGGCTTCGAGACCTTCGACACTCCCGACTGGGAGAAACAGACCAAAATGTACACCATATCCGCTATAAGCCCGGTCTTTATCGTGCATCACCTCGTTAAAGCGGGCTTTCTGGACAATGGGAGCAAAGTAATCATCGTCAGCAGCGAGAGCGGTAGTATCACGCTTCGGCACGAGAAGGAAGGTGGGGGCAACTATGGCCATCATGCTAGTAAAGCGGCGTCGAATATGGTTGGGAAGCTGTTGAGTTTGGATCTCAAGCCTCATGGTATTGCAGTGGGCTTGGTTCATCCGGGGTTCATGCGTACCGAGATGACCAAGGGTGTTGGATTTGATAAGTATTGGGATGATGGTGGAGGTTAGTATACCATGCAGCAGACCTTCATTTGTCTGCTGGGATGAGTAACGCATACTGATGATCCTGGAACAGCTGTGACACCCGACGAAGCTGCTGAATCGCTAGCCTCGTTTATCGAGACCTTTGATATAAGCAAGACCGGTCAGTATTGGGCGCCAAGGGGCCCGCGGTAAGTTGCTCTGCCTTTATTCAATGCAGAGAGTCATGCTCATCATCTTATGCAGGGATATTGGAACGGCGGAGAGCGTCCTCGGCAAGGACTTGCCAACTCCATTACAGTTGCCGTGGTAATAACTCGGTCTACGAGGCTTTGTCTTGAGATGGATGAAATTCATTCATTGCACTATTTCTGTTTTGTTGTTTTGTTGTTGTCGGAGTTCTTTTTGTAACAGCATTATCAAGACGGAAGATATTGAGCAATTTATGCCCAAAACCAAGATCACAACTAAGATCAAATGTAAGAACCGGGTCATGGCTCAGTAGATGTCTCCTCATCGAGAACAGAACGATGGATGATGATAGCCGAAGAAAAGGAGTATCCAGGGCTCCGAGGAAAGATCAATCAGTAGGCGATTGAGTATTGGCTGTGGATTCGAGAAGAGGATGGTCCAGGATGGTCAATGTAACCATGGACGGTGCCCAGATAAGAGGTAATGATGGCGGTCCCAGGTGAAGAGCTTGGAGAGTATCCAGCGGAGAACGGAGTAGTCTTCAGTGGTAGAGATATCTGATGTCCAAGGACTTGTTAGACCAAATAACACTGGATGTAAGTAAAATAGGATTCGGGGACTCACGTTGTCCGGGCCCATCATAAACTTCATGAATGAGAAGGGAGATGTATGACTGGTTGGCGCTTCTTCGCCTCTTAGTCGCCCATTTTTGTCCGATGCTTCTTCACCCTGGACTCCAACCCTGCGGCTTGTGCCTCCACACCGCTCCTCCAATTTCCCGGGTTACAACCGTGAACACTGCGGAGTGTTCGCTCGGGGGGAGCTCGTTTCGGAGGCTCGTTCGGAGGGTTCGTTCGTAGGTCTCGATCGTAGGTCCGGATTCCTCCCACAATTCCCGATGCTTCTTCACCCTGGGCTCCAGTCCTGCGGCTTGTGCCTCCACACCGCTCCTGTATATCCTCCACCTTCCCGGGTTACAACAAAGAACAATTTGAAATGGTTTGATCGCTGTCCAAGGCCACGTCCTGCGGCTGGATGTTGTGGTTGTGGAGACCCAGAGAGATATCAGATTCGTCTTTGTTGGATGAAACGCAAGACTTGGGAGGAGGTATCAACAGCATGTTGAAAGGGTGTGCCAGTATTGGATACTGTAACAGGGACGAGGCATGTAGGCTGTTGACATGACCCCAAACTAGGTTAACAACCATGTTTCACGGAGGTGGAGATAGGGTTTACCTGGACTTGGACGCGATCTCGAGTTCAAAGTAGCCGGTGAGTCGGCTTTGTGAGAAAAGGAAAGAAAAGAAAAGAAAAGTGGCCGAGAGGGAGACACGGCAGGGGTTTGATATTGTGAGGTTGAAAGTTGCTTGTTGTTGAGTGTAGACGAATATGTTGAGGGCCAGAGGAGGAGGAATTGAAATGAATATCAAGAAGGAAGAGTATGATGTAGGACGGACTTGGTTAAACGATATTTTAGAATAGATAGGGCTTGCATGAAGAAAGAGAGAGAGCTCTGAAAGATACGGGATCGGACAAGGTAAGACCAGAAGAGGTCACTGATATGTTGGATCTGGGACGAAGTTGAACATTAGAGGCGTCGTATAGCAGTGTCAATGATGTAGGACTTACCTTGTTATGGGGATGGTATGGTAGTAAGGTGTCATGGGAAGGTCTGGATGAGAGAGGGTAAGAGGATGTAAACAAGTCCACATGTTGACATGGATGAGAAAGGGTATGTACGCGGACGCGTCGGTGTTGACGTGTTACTGGGGGAGTGACTCGAGATCTGATGTCAACAACCCCAGGGAAATTCATCACGAAGAAAAGTGGTAGAAGTAGTTTGAGATCGACTGATAAAGTCTCAAAGGCCTGATCAGGTAGATAAACAGGCGAATGGATGAGAAGTTGATGAATGAGTAGAAGGAGGAGTTGATCAAGGACCTGATGAAGGAGTTTATGGAAGAGGTTGATGGAAGAGGTTGATGGAAGAGGTTGATGGAAGAGGTTGATGGAAGAGGTTGATGGAAGAGGTTGATGGAAGAGGTTGATGGAAGAGGTTGATGGAAGAGGTTGATGGAAGAGGTTGATGGAAGAGGTTGATGGAAGAGGTTGATGGAAGAGGTTGATGGAAGAGGTTGATGGAAGAGGTTGATGGAAGAGGTTGATGGAAGAGGTTGATGGAAGAGGTTGATGGAAGAGGTTGATGGAAGAGGTTGATGGAAGAGGTTGATGGAAGAGGTTGATGGAAGAGGTTGATGGAAGAGGTTGATGGAGGAGTTGAAAGGATGAGGAGGGAGAGTTGGGAGGAGGAGAGTTGTGATGGGAAGAAGGGGAGGAGGGGAGAAGTTGAATATAAAGGAAACCCAGAGGATGCCTCTATTCCCAAATGGGACATTTTCTGGATATACAGAGAGACAGACACACACGCTTAGAGACGCGAAGAGGAATATTCGGTCCTTTGGCGTGTTCAGCATATGAACAGCCCCCTCCATCAACATATTGCACAGGCCCGGGGGTGCAGATTGAGCATCAATGGTCTATAAGTTGATTCATGAGAGTAGAGATTAGCTAAATATACATCAAAGAATCTGGATGCAAGCCCGTTATTCTCTGTCATTTCGATTCTGATACTCAAGACTTCTTTGCATTCGGCCGAGCACACATAAAGACCAAATCCTGCCCAATATCCGGCCGACGCTCGTGTGCAATCACCTCCATACCAAAGATCTTAGTATACCAATCCTGCATTCGCTTGTCACCGGTCAAAAGCATGATCCGGCGTAGATATGGCATGTTCTCTGTGGAAAACACCTCCGAGATGCAGTTCATAAGCCATCTCCCGAGTCCATGGCCTTGATATTCTGGGAGCACGTAAACATCTGAGAGGTATCCATACGTGGTACCATCTGTCACCATCCGTGCAAGGCCGATTTGTTCCGTATTTTCTGCAGTGGGAGAGAACGGTTCACCCTCAGTCTGGGGTTGGGTGTGCTTGTAGACGCCGAAACTCATGGAGCCGTGGAGCATCTGGTGCATAACTTCTTCGGGAAAAGGTTTGCCCCAGTAGAGAAATTCTTGCCCAAAGGCATCATTAACAGCCTTGACTGATAGAAGGGACGGATTGTTTGAGATGAAGAACTCGCTGTTCGGCCGTGTCCATGTTTGAGGGGCTGTCGTGGTTGTTGGTGGGGCAGTGGACATGATGGAAAAATTGCAACGAGCGGGTGGACTGAAGCTATTGGGGGTTCAGAAGATAGCGGTACCCCAGTTTGAGGACGAGCTCTGGGGGTTTCGGTCTTTTGTTTAGCTACCAACGGCAGTTGGTTTGCTCAAAGTAGTTGTTTTTAGGTGAGTCATCGGCAGTGAGGTTGAAATGTGGCAGAAGGATGCCGAGCCTTGTATGTTCCGCCCGCCGTCATGTTGCGACAACCTCGTATCCGAATGATATCCAGGTCGATATGACGTATTTTTGGTGACAGTGACTGGATAAGTAGGTACAGTCTGTGATTGTTGCAGTCACTTGTTTGATGGACGGGAATCCCATTTCTCCATGGGTTTTCTTGGTCTTGGCCTGAAGGTGTGTCTGTAGTGGAGCAACAATTTACCAAGGGAATCCCCCCCCTCAAGTACGATGTGATGTTTATTGAGTCTGGAGCTATTCATTCTATCTGAATTCTCCAGATAGAGATTCTCTATGTAAACCCTATCAGCAAGTGTGAGATGTATAGCACCACAATTCTGGCGAGGGCTACATGATTTGTGTAGGTAATACTTTATACATCATTCAGGACTAGCAGGAATAATTCATCAACAATAACTCATGATATTTCAATGAATATCACGTGCTATACACCCATCAGTCTTTGTCAATAGAATTGGAGTCTCTACAAGTCGGCCGAGAGACAGGCTCAAAGCTCAACCCGACGAATCGGCTACAGTACGGTTGCTTATCAGCAACGAGCCGAAAGCAGTATGAGTCGCGCCATGGTGTCCGGGGACCTGCACAAGTTGAAAAAAGGGTAATATTAAACCGTGGTCTACCCCACAATGGCGATTACAGTGGGGTTGATGGTGTTGTTGACACAAGATACATCTCCAACTCCCTGACGCCATCGGCCTCGGCAATGGTGTTAGTAACGCCAAATCAGGCGAGTTCAAATCTAAGCATGGCCACACCTCTCGGCGTTATAGCGAGAATTCCAAGTCATCATCTTTTATGGCTACCTACTTAGATTATGATTCGGGTTGCGTGTGAAATGTTCCAGATGGCGTGCAGAATACCGCGAGGGGTCGACCCATACATTAATGCTAGTATTCCCAATTTGAGATACGTTGGATCTATCTGCCATATTTCCTCAACTTTAAAAAGCAGAATCAGTGTACATCTGTGATAAATCAGCATGGCGCTTCTGGAGGACCCCCAAATTACGGCTGTGCCGCAAAATACCTACATTACGAAGCCATTCAAAGGTCCTACGGTGACAATCGAAAGCACAGTCGAAGAAACCAAATCCAATGCGGCCACTCCGAAGCCCCAGTTTGAGCTGGAGGAACACCCAGTTGATCAAGTAAGACCGATTAAAGTGGGCATCATCGGTGCTGGTCTCTCGGGAATTACTGCTGGTATTCTACTCCCTGCCAAGCTACCTGGTTTGGACCTTCGCATCTGGGATAAAAACGCGGACGTGGTATGTTCTTACATTCGGTGATCTGATTTGTTCTTTCTCCTAGAATGCTAACATGTTCGTCTAGGGAGGTACTTGGTAAGACGCCTTCGCCTGGTTTCATATCAGCCACGGCATTCCATCAAGTGGATTGCGACTCTAACGAGAGAAACAGGTTCGAGAATACTTATCCTGGTGTGAGATGCGACATTCCTGCCCATGCCTATCAATCAGTCTTTTCTCCAAATACACAGTGGACAGAAGAGTTTGCCCAGGGTGCAGAGATCAGAGATTACTGGCAAGGAGTAGCAAAAAAGTACAACGTATACCAGTATCTTCGGCAACAGCAACAAGTACAGAAAGCAGAGTGGCTTGCTGAAGAGGGAAAGTGGAAAGTTACTATCCAGCATGTTGATGGCTCAAATAAGGTAATATCATATTCCGTATCCTGAGACAAGCATTTTAGACTGACGAAAGTCTTCAGGTCTACGAAGAAAAGGTGGATATCGTTATCAACGCCATTGGCCACTTCAACGCTTGGAGACTGCCCGACTACGAAGGAATCAAGGACTTCAAGGGTCCACTTTTCCACTCCTCTAACTGGAATCACAATATCGAGTTGAAGGGGAAACGGATTGCACTGATCGGAAACGGTGCCTCAGGCTTGCAGGTGCTTCCGTCCATTCAACCCATCGCCAGTCACGTCGATCACTACGCTCGAAACCCCACCTGGGTTGCAGACTCTTTCAGCAGTGGAAACACCGGTGTCCGCAGACTAGAGCCAAATCTCTTCTCCAAGGACCAGCTAGAGTCTTTCAAAGATCCCAAGAAATATCTAGAGTACCGCACGGAAGTGGAGCGTGGATTCTTCCAGCGCTTTGGAGCTATCTTCAAAGACACCGCAGAAAACCAAGAACTGAAGGACAAATGGACAGAACTGATGCTGAAGCGCATTGCAGACAAGCCAGAGCTGGCAGAGCTGATTCTCCCAGATTTTCCACCCAACTGCCGCCGTCCTACTCCCGGACCGGGCTATCTCGAGGCCCTCGCCAAGGATAATGTCAGCTACATCCGCCCACGCATCAAGCGGTTCACAGAAGACGGAATCATCACGGAAGACGGCGTCGAGCGAAAAGTTGATGTAACAATCTGCTCAACAGGAGCAAACGTGGACCACGCCCCGCCATTCTCCATCATCGCCAACGGGATCGACCTGAAATCCGCCTGGAAGAAAGACGGCCTTTTCGGGTTCCCATACTCCTACCTTGGCTTTGCAACTCCGGGCTTCCCCAACCTTCTCTGGCTAGGTGGACCCTACTCCTCCGGCCACAGTGGTACTGTCCCCAACAGCGTCGAGAACCAGGTCACGTACATCGCAAAGGTGATTCGCAAATTCCGCAGCCAGGGGATCAAATCTATCGTGCCCTCGAAGCAAGCTGCAGATGACTTTGTCGAGTACTGTGACTCGTTCTATCCGCGCACGGTGTGGACGGCCAACTGCAGTTCGTGGTATAATGGTGGTCAACCCGGGGCTCGGATTCACGGATTATTCCCTGGTAGTGCGGCTCATGCAAATTATATTCGTCGGGATCCTCGGTGGGAGGATTGGGAGTATAGCTATGTCAATGGTAGTGGGAATCGGTTTGCTTTCTTTGGGAATGGGTGGACTTCGAGGGAGCTTGAGCCGGAGCATGCCAACTTGACGCCTCATCTGAAGTTGCCAGAGGATATTGATTTGAGATCGCATTTGGAGGGATGGTGGGATGTTTGAAACTTTATATAAAATTTCAAATGCATTTTTCTCGGCTTTTGAAAATACAAATTCGAATATCAACGAGACTCGTCTTCCAACCACGGAACCCGTTATATCTCCAGGGTATCGAGTCCTGTTCCCTTGAAAGCAAGTTTATTCTGCATGCCGTTAGTAAGATCACTTCCATCGCTCATTCGTTTTAGTTCTTACCAGCAACCAAGTTGGAATGATAGACATAGCGATTCTAATAGTACTTGACTGTGCACCTCGCCATATCGTCCCTTCAGCTCCACCGAGGACATCACCCACAACCTTCTCTGCATACACCTTGGGCTCCATTTCCGGATGCCCTTGTTCTCCCCTCGCAAAGACCCCAATCTGGTCAATAATCGAGGCATAGTAAGAACCCTCTGGTAGTTCAAACCTTGGGGAGTTGGTGAACCATCGTGTCCGGATGTTTCCCGTGATAACAATAATCACTTTCACACCCAGTGGTTTCATCTCCAATGCCAACGTTTCACTCATTAATCGAATCGCCGCTTTGGAGCCGCAGTACATTCCTAATTTCTGTTAAAAGAATAATCCGATGTAAAAATGCTGCCGCTAGTCCAAGAACATACCTTGATATGGTAACCCCAAACAAGAAGCCGTGGACACATTATTCACAACAGTCCCCTTCGCATTAACCACCAGCGACGCAAAAGCCTGAGTGACTCGAACAACGCCCCAAACATTAACATCAAACATCTTCTGTCCCATCTCAGCATCCGAGTCTAAGAGAGGCATCACGAAGCCCGCGCCAGAGTTGTTAACCAGATAATGTAGTTTGCCATTAGTCTCTCGTTCAACAATCTTGTACGCTGCCGCAATGCTTTCGGGGGATGTCACGTCCAGTTGAAGGAATTTTATATTGGAGAGATCTTGTAGGCCTTGAAGTTTGGAGATATCTCGAGCCGTGGCGAAGACGTGGATGCCCTTGCTGTGGAATGCTTGGGCGAGGGCTGAGCCGATGCCGCCATCGCTACAGCCTGTGATTAGGGCGTACTTTGTTTGTGAGTCCATCGTTGTGACACTGATTGACCTTGAGATCAAAGTGCTCGATTATGAAACTATGTATTAAATAAACAATAACGCTCTAGCATTTGCTGTATACAAAGATGTCCCGTCGGGGGAATTCATGTTGCCGAGCCTGATGACAACGGGCTAGAATCCTTCCGGTTCTCACTAGATCCTAGTATGCTCAAAAACACAGCATAATTTGAGTTTCTATACCAATTTTACGGGGTATCAGCGAAACTATCTAAGTAGGAGTACCTACAAGAGGGTTGCGTGCTTTTGATTGTGATTCTTTTTCTTCTATTGCTACCCATAAACTATCATACTTCATGACACAGCATCTCCGTTTATGCCGACTCCTCCAAGGAGTATGGAGGCACATCCTGACCGTCCTTCCAGAAATACTTGGCTCCAGCATGAGCCTCCGGAAGTCTCGACAATCCCCGCTGTCCATACATATTCTCCCGCAACGTTCCCCCTTTGACAGCATAATCCTCCCAGAACAAACCCCGCCGACGCAACTCCGGCAACAAAAGCTCAATAATATCATCAAAGGTATCCGGCAAACTGGCATAGCTCAGATTAAACCCATCCACATCACCAACACTCACCCACCGCTCCAACTCATCCGCAACAGTCTTGACACTGCCAATAATCTTGACTCCGTTTCCCCCGAGAACAAGGTAATCCGCAATCGTCCTCTTATCCCACTTCACACCCTCCGTGCCAGGAACCGTACTCGCCCAGTGATTCACCATGCTTCGAACGGCGGGTAACTCGACGAAGCGGAAGTCCTGGTCGTCTGCGTACGTGGAGAGATCGTAGCCCGTCCAGCCACCGAACAGAGCCAATGCACCCTCCCGATCACCGTATTTCTTGAATTCGTCGAACTTGGCCTGCGCAGCTTCATCGGTCTCGGCCACAATCACCAATGCGCCCGCAATAACCTTGATATCGCTCGGGTTCCGACCCAATGCGGCAGCTTGTTGACGGATACTGTCCACCGAGGGACGCACCAGCTCAGGTTTCTGCGCATGGAGGAAGACTGCCTCGGCATGTTTAGCCGCAAAGGCCTTTCCAGCCGTCGAAGTACCAGCCTGCAACAAGAACGGGGTCCGCTGGGGACTCGGTTCACACAAATGCGGGCCAGGAACCTGGAAGTACTTCCCCTTGTGATTGATCTGGCGCACACGAGTCGGATCCGCATACTGCGAGTTCTTCTTCGCCTTCGAAGAATCATCACCACTCCCCCAAACAACGGCATCATCCCTCCAAGACCCCTCCCACAATTTATAAGTAACATCCAAATACTCATCCGCAATGCGATACCGCTCATCATGCTCAACCTGGGTATCCAGCCCAAAATTCCTCGCCGCAGAATCCAAATAAGAAGTAACAATATTCCACCCAACGCGTCCCCCACTCAAATGATCCACCGTCGAAAACCGTCTCGCCAACGCATACGGCGCATCATACGTCGTCGACGCCGTCACGCCAAACCCAATACTCTCCGTCACCGCCGCCATGGCGGGGATACTGTATAGCGGGTCGTTGATGGGGAATTGAGCTGCGGCGGGGATGGTGGGATCTAGATTTCCGGGTCCCTTGTAGACGTCGTAGCCGCCCAGGACGTCGGCGAAGAAGATTGCGTGGAATTTGGCGGCTTCGAGCTTTTGGGCGAGGTTTGTCCAGGTTTGGATGTTTTTGTAGGAGGGGCCTTGGTCGGTTGGGTAGCGGAATAGACCTGGGTTTAGGTGACTGGGGGAATGCATTGCGAAGGCATTGATGATGAGTTGTTTTTTGGGTGTTTCCGACATGATGATGGTGATGGATATGGAGAAGTACAGAGATAGAAAGAGAAGAGGAGGAGGGATTGGAGAAGCTATCCTGTCCTGTGTTGTTTTCCGAACTTTTTTGGTTTTCTATGTATTTTCGAGGGGTAGTTCTTCTAAATTTATTGTTCCTGGCCTGTCACCCCCGCAGGTCTCTCCCTGTGCAGATCTGGATGGCGTGCATGCTGGTGCAAGACGTGAAGTTGGAGTCCGATGGCGTCAGCAAGACATTGGTGGGGTGAGTCGCAAAGGGACCGATAGCATTGGAGGGGTATTATTTAATGAATTGATAATACCATTAGTTTGTCGGGATCAATCTCACTGTTCCGTCCTGTTGTCCCTCGGCCGATAGACGCAAAGGCTAGAGTTGAAGATGTGAAGCTGTACTAGTCCCGTTCTTGGCAAATGGGTCAACCAGCAACCACCTTTCCATCTGCTTTCCCACCATCCCTTAGATTAGCGAGTTCTTTATCATTAAGAGGCACAAGTTTACTATTAGAATGAACCGCGTTATGATGAAAGCAAATTGTATTATGCTATAAGCTCAGAGCATCAAACTAATTAAGAGCGCAATAAGCAAAGGTATCACCATGGAGCAAGGTACAGCAAAAGAAGGTGGGGTATCGTCATGGTTCCAAATTGCGTCCAACCATAGTACAAAGCGTCAAAAGATCCGGAAGAGTGGACTTGGAAGGCAAGGAAATACTCCATACCACCCAAGCATTAACCACCTCAGGATCAAGCGTGATAAATAACAAGGCGAAGATAAAAGGTCATATCGTCATGGAGCCAAAGCTAAACAGCCATAAAGCACTGCACTGCAACTCAAATTACGCAGTCATGGCATCTAGATATCCTCAACGACGCGAGCGTTGATCGCACGCTGGAAACCATCGTCTTGGTGGTGGTTGTCCGTGGCACCATAGTTGCTCGGGCCCTCACCAGCGCTATCAGCCGCAGCAAGTTGCTGCTGCATGGTCTGGTTCATAGCAGGCAAGAAGATAACCTTGCTGTTGGCAGTCTTTGCCATCGCCTGCATGGCCTCAAGGTAACGGATCTGCATGGCAGGAGCCGAAGACAGGATATCGGCAGCCTGGCGCATCAACTTGGCAGACTCGACTTCGGCGCGGGCGGCGATAACCTTGCTCTCACCGATACGCTTGGACTGGGCAGCCATGGAGAGCGAATCCTGAAGGTCATTGCTGAAGATGATGTCCTTGATGAGCATGGACTCGACCTGGACACCCCAGCCAGAGGCAACCTCCTCGATGATCTCCGCTGTAGACTGGGCGATCTCCTCGCGGCGCTCAATAACGTCTTGCAGGACACGGGCACCGATGACATGGCGCAGGGTGGTCTGAGTGCGCTCAACGAGAGCCTGCTTCACGTTGGAGATACCGAAAGCGGCCTTGTGTGGGGAGGTGACTTGGTAGTAGATGACGGAGGTCAGGTTGAGGGTAACGTTGTCCTTGGTCATGCAGACCTGGCGGGGCACTTCGACGATTTGGATCTTCACGTCCACGGTGGTCAGGTGTTCGCTGAGGGGGTTGACCTTGACCAGACCGGGGTCTACCGAGCGCTCGAATCGTCCGAATCTGGAGACGAGACCGACTTGACCTTGGTCGACGGGCTTGAATGGGTTGGGGCAGCAGATGCAGCAGGGGATGGCACCGCAGAAGCCGATACATTCTCCCAGGCTGTGGACTAAACGGATGTGAAACATTAGATGATTAGAATTGACAACACCTTGATTCAAGCTGCAGGCCACTTACTCAGTTGCGCATACCAACCATGCGCGTCGGGGTTGTCATCATCGTGCTGGATGGTCGCGGCATAGCGAGGCTGCAAGTCACCCAGGCGGGCAGGCTGGACATTGACGAGGCCGTGGGCTGGGCGAGAGGAGGATGGCTCGTTGACCGAAGCCTTGCCAGTGCTAGCACCGTTGACGGACATGCTGTATGTAGATGGATGGTTGATCGGGGAGTAGAAGGGTTGATAGAATGGAGGGAAGTTCTAGAAAAGACGGGGATGATGCAGGAAGAATGAGGGGGAGCTGCAAGGTTTAAATACAACCTTGGGGAAGGTAAACAGAAGCTAAACTCGTACAGTCCCGATGGGCCGCCTTGTGAAAAAGGGAACTTGGGCCTCCTCCAGTCCAACTACTGTTAGTACTACTGTTAGTCCTGTAAGCCAAGAAGGAGGATCCAAACTTGCCAGCTTTCTCCGCAGTGGGGCCCAGCCCTGCATAGGAAAAAGGTCGGTTTCTCAAGATTGAATCATCCTGGATTTCCTCACCAATGGCACCCCAGCCTTGGTTCGTTGCCCCCCGAGTCCCGGCGATTTTCCTTCTAAGCCTCCCTCATGGCCGCCATGTCATGGCTGTGTCTTTCGGGCGCAAAGACCTTTGATCCACTTGGCCATGATCCGTTGAATACATTGGTCGCCCCGGTTGCCGACTAACCGAACTATCAACTTCGGGGGTGATCATCTGCATTCATTCACCTTCTGTTTCCAGACCTACGAGTACGATAGCAGAGTTGCGATATTTTGTTAAGAGTATGGAAGTAAAGATGGTATGTCCATTTTGGGCAGCTCCGTATTCGCGTACGGAGGTATGCAACCGATTATTATCTACACATCGTTATGTCTGGAATTCTTCCATTCCTGGACTCTTCTCCTGTTGCCATCGTCGCGTTGGCATGCCATGCCGGGTTCCACTTTTCCGTGCAAACACGAGTTGAAAGGATCGGGGATGTGTCTGATCGTTTGCGGGCAAATTGGCGCATCCTGGGCATGCTCGGCCATCGTCATGGCCAGGATGAGAGGCCCACAATCTTCCAGATGTCTTCTAGTAGTGGGGCGGGTGCCCTGCGAGGCAGACCGGGGCTTGGAGCCTTGGAGGGTCTTGGACAAGAGGCTATGGGCCTTGTCCGATTCATCGAACCCATCGATTATTATTCTTCCACGGAAATGTCATGTTGGCACTATGATAGTTGAGGTTATTAGAGTCTTTTGAGCGATTAATTTGTCCGAATCAAATCCCTAACTCAATCAAGGGGGGGCTTAGAGCTTGTTCGACGAGGAACGAAAACGAGGGAGATCGAGTGACGTAAAAGACCAACGCGCGCTGCTCACTGGTTCATGGCCCCCAAATTGCAGGATCCCCTAACCATCCGATCGTACGGTCCATGAGGGGGCAGTGCCGGGCCTGGTGACTGGATACCATTGAGGCTCATATGTCGGGGGAGTGGTTGGAAAAAGAATAGAGGAGGGTTATCAGGACAAGAGCTAATTTACCTTAGGATTACTTCAAGGTAGAGAAAGATGACCTGGGTATGCTTGTAACTTACAAACTGGAATATAATACACTTATGTTGTCACTCTTACATCAACCAGCATCATTGGTCTAGTGGTAGAATTCGTCGTTGCCATCGACGAGGCCCGTGTTCGATTCACGGATGATGCACACTTCTTCTTTTTTTTTTTTCCCATTGATTCCCCATATTTTTGGATTGACGAGTCTGAATGCCCGGTACCGGGCTTTTGTTTTTGTGTTTTTTCTAGAGGCTGTAGCTTAGTGTATCTCAATTTCCCAGTGAGAGCATATATTCTCGCGCCGGTGAAGCTGGAGATATATTTTGTTCTACTTACTCAGGTTACCAAGTTGAGGGCTCCCAGACTTGTGCCTTTTTACCCCTAACACCCCCCGCTGTAGTGATTATAATACATATACCTAGTATAGAATACAGTAGACACTCCGAATAGCTCTTTAAAACCTTACCTTGACCATCTGTCTAGAATCGAATAATAGCATATTGAACAGTGATACATTTGGACTTATACTGACCCGCAAGGCGGTGAATAGTTGGGAATGCGGAGATGTTGCGGCCAACACAACAAGTAGACTTGAAAAGCCCCTGCTCCCAAAGACATCAACGGTCCATTGCAATAATTTATGACCTAGTGGAACAGGCCAATGCCAACAAAGCAGTCACAGCCAACCTGCAATGGTATCTCAAAGCTACAGCTCGACCGCACGAGCTGGTGGTAAACCATCCACCCAGTCCGAGAACACCCCCAACTTCCAAGACCCGACCTTTGACCCCGCCGAGTTCCTCAACGAGACACTGTCGCCATTGACAGTATCATCCTTCCAGCCCAATGCATCCCGGGCGCCAGGCTCCGTGCCCCTGACGGAGCTGTCAGCTCAAGTCCAGTCATTGCTATCGCAGATCAGCGCACAGAACGTCCGTCTATCGAGTACACTCTCCCAACTCAGCGATGAGATTCTTCGCAGCGGTGGACGGCTAGCCTACGAAGTGGAAGTGCTACGGGGAGAAACAATTGGACTGTCCGAGACCCTGACCGAGGTCTTGCGCGAGGACATTACCAAGTTTGTCACCGACTTACCCTCAGAGGCAAAGACCAGCGCGGCCAATCGCAAGAAGGAGGAATCTACAAAAGAGACGACCGAAGAGATCACTGCCATCCAGGAAGACGCAGAGCCCACCGAGGAGCAGGAGGAACCCCTAGCTACGAACGACCCCGAATACATTACCAATCTCCGCACCCTCAACCAAGTCCGCTCCCGGCTCGAAGACGTTGTCCAGACCTTTGGCGATGCAATGGAATGGCCACTTCCACCCTCCGAAATCTCCTTCTCCTCGTCCTTTATCTCCGTATCGGGTCCCGAGCTAGGCACCGAGGGCCACAGCCAAGAAGAAAAGGGACAGGAAATCATGAAGAAAATACGAACCGAGATCACAGACCTACTGGATCGTGATGGGGGTGGGCGTGATGGACTGGAGGCCGCTACTCGCCGCGTCGAGGCTCTGCGGAACCTTTCGGTGGTTTGGAAGGGTTCTGCGGAGGAGAAGGCACGCCAAAGATTCGTGGATGCCTTGGCTAGGATCGTGGACGAGAGGCGTCGGATTCTAGAGCACCAGCAGGCCATGGCCGAGCAGAGTCAACGAGGGCCTCGATCGCGAACGGAGCAAAGGCGCGATAGTGACAGTGGAGGACCCGGGGGCGGACTATTCCGCAACTTGCAGCGCCTGCGGGAGGAGATTTATTTAGAGTAGAGAGTAGAGAAGCTTAATATTACTAGACAGAGTGATTCTCAGACCATCTCTCATATTGTTGAACTAGACTACAATGAATGCGTCCAATGTCATATTGCCAAGTTGTACGAAAGCGGGAAAGGCGCGCCGATCACTGCGGTTGCCTCTCCACGTCAAAACGTCGAATGGTCGATTGCGTACTTCCCGCGTGGCCTTCCCAGTTTAATTATCTGAAACGCTCTCCCGCCCGCACCCTTGGACGCTGCGGGCTGCAATGTTGAATTTGTCCAACCTCACTCGCATCTGAGTGTCTCTCCTTCAGAATGGCGTCGTCGAGCACGTCGTTCTCGCAGTTCGACGAGGCCAAGCCCTCCGCTACGACCCTTTTATGGCAGGCCTCCCAGTATCGACCGCGAACACACAGGACCAAGGCAATTGCCTTTTCCATACTTTCCTTTTTGTTGCTACTATGGATGATATCTTCGTCTCGGGTATGTGGTGATCTCTTCCCCTAACGGGCTGTGGAATGGGCCATGTCTCGATCGAGGCATGTTAGCTGAAAGTCGCCGCAAGTGCTAACGACTACTATCTCTCATCTAGCAACAAGCCGAGCCGGACTTCTGGGCCAAGTTCCCATCGCGTCACCCCTTTCCTGAACGCCCGGAAGATGCGCAGGTCGCTCTTCCTCGAAAGTCAGATCTCTCCGTGAACGATACCCTCCCCCATGACCTGGGAAAGACCAACCCCCACCTCCATGTCCTCGTGCCGACCGTGAAGGGCTCCCGCGGCGCCTGTCGCACGATGACGTCTGCCATGATTCTCGGATATCCACCTCCAACATTGATCGGTTACGGCCATGAAAGGCCCGGGGCGACCGAGTTCGAGCGTACGGTGGAGCAAATCACTCGCGTGCGGGATTATCTCAAGAACAGCCGCGTGGTCAAGGATCGGGATTTCGTGTTGATTGTCGACGCCCAGGATGTCTTCTTCCAATTACCCCCGCGGGTCTTGGTAGAGCGATTCCAGGAGCTTCTGCGGAAGAACAATCAGAAGCTGCAGAAGAAGTATGGCTATGCAGTGGTAGAGAAACCCAATGGTGCTCCTCCGGATCTGGTGCAGAAATATACCCAGCGCGTTCTGTTCGGGGCCAGCAAGCTTTGTTACGGTGCCTTGGACAGTGATCCTGGATGCGTGTCTGTCCCAGAGTCAACTCTACCCCCAGATGTCTACGGATGGAAGACGGACGTCTATCCGGATGGACATTTGAATCGACCTCGGTGGTTGAATCCTGGTGCAGTGATTGGCCAGGCCGCCGACCTGAGAATCATCTATGATGAAGTTCTACGTGTGATGGAGCAGCGCCGCAAGAAGCATGGCGACTACCAGGCCCTGACCCAGATCTTTGGACGACAGGAAGTGGTCCGAGAGCTGGAGCGGCTTCGTACCGTCAACAAGATTAAGGAATGGGTCTACGGAATGCTGGGTATATCAGATGCAGTCAACATTGATGGTATCAGTGTTCGCCTCGAGACTGGCCATCGCTACGAGTACGGCATTGGCGTGGACTACGAGTCCCAGCTCTTCTTCAACCAGATCCTCTCACGCAACGACGTCGAGTGGATCAAGTTCAATAATATCACCAAGACCTCCCTCCTCCAAGGGCAATTCGGTGTTCCTCGAGAACACCGTCTTCTTCTACCAGCAGACATTGCAGCTTTGCCAAACCCCTTCAATCAGACTCGCTTCGCCAGGGAACAAACCACTCCACCTGCGTACAACGCAACCCTGGACAAGCTCCCAAACCCAAAAGACCACACCTGGAACAATATCCCCCTCATGACAAACCCCCACTCGGCCTCCGTCCCAGTTCTGGCCCATCTCAACGGAGACCCTAAACTACGCAATGCCTGGTGGGAGAAGATGTGGTTCTTCCCATGGGCCCGTGCCTTGCTCCGTCGATATGTCCGCTCCTCGCACGGCTTTGATGCTGCGCAGTCTGCGCTCCTGGGTGGCCAGGAGTGGTGGGATATGCGTGGTGGCCGTGGTGGGCTGTGGACGGACGACGAGAATTGGGTTACACTCTCTGAAGTCTGCGAGGGCCAGGAGCGGGATCTGTTTGACGACGATCTCGGTCCTTGGGCTAAGGAGAATGGCGATCCGGACGTGCCGGTTTATAATCAGTTTGGAAACTTGATCAAGGGGAAAGAGAAAGAAGAGGAAGAGTTCCTCTAGAGATGTGAATGGTCCCATTTGGTCTCTTGTTGCACATGGCATAGAGAGAGTCTTTAGGAAGAAGGCCTTTCAAGTTTCTCACTTTTGAATCTCGAGCTTCGGATCTACTACCACCCCAAGCTCCCATTGCTGTAAGACTACCCAGCACTTTCTTTTCGCTTGATACCACTGTTTTTGATTCTGGCTAGGACCATGGCAATCTGGCCATGTTCATAGCCATTTTTATGGAGTTCCGGTTTATTGTTTGGGTTGTATCATAGATAGATGCCAAAGTCATTATTCAAATGGCGTACATAATGAAATCAAGTCTACAAGCTCCAAACCCCGAATTCAATAAAGACATTCATGTAGTCTAATAGCAGTGAGGCACCAAGCCTCGGGATATCAAATCAAACTTCCTAAACACAAGTACCACCTCTCCCACCCCCAGCTCATCAACCCCGATAATTCTCCGCCAACGTCTCCCGAATAATCTCCAAAATAGCCACAAAATCCTCATTCGAAATCCGATACTCCCTCTCCTCAATAACGGCATCAAAAAGCGCCAACGCCCCAAAATCACCCTCCCCTTCTTCGGCCTCTTCACCCTCCTCCCCTTCCCCATTCACAGCGGGATCCTCATCAAGGTCCATGACACCCTCACCATTCGCTTCACCGGTCTGATCCTCCGATTCACCCGCAGACAGACCGATGCCCAGATTGATGATAGTTAGGACTTCGGCTTTTGTCAGGCCGTAGGGTCGCAGTTTGAGGATTAGATCGCGCATTGCGCGGTCCATGGGGGTTGATTCGTTTGTGGGTTGGTGCGGGGTGGACGTGGTTTCTTCTGTTGGGGCGTTTGGGCGCATTGTTCTGGTCATTGCTGCTTGGGTTTGGGAGTGGGAGGAGCTGGGTCGGTCTGTGTAGCGGGGGTATTTGAGGAGGTGTGGGGAGATGCGGGTGACATAGTTGTGGAACTGGTGAGAAATGGGTTGTTAGTTGGGGATGTGTTTCTTGGTTGTCGCTTTTTTTTTCTTCATGGTTCGGGGAGATTTGGTATGCCTTGATCTTGCGATAGGCAGGCTTGGATTGACATGTTGAGATTCAGGCACAGGGGACTTTGTGCAGAAGTGTACGGATGGCTTGTGAGGACTCACCTCTTTAACGACCGTGTTGTGGTCTCTTAGATCTGGGCTTGGGACCCATTGTCGTGCATTTGGAGGCCGACTTGGTGGACGGCGGGGTGGGTTGGCCGTAAGGTAGGCCAGTACCTCGACATTGGTGAGGACTGCAGCTTGTGGGTCAAGAATCTATGTATGTGTATTAGTGATGATCAATCACATAGGGCCATCTCTCTTACCTTCATGGTGTTGCTTGGTTAGATTGAAGCTGTGAAGGTGGAGATGAGAGTGGTGGTGATGGAAAAAAGCTTATTGTGCCGGCAGAATCTCGTGGTACATGAATGGGCGGTATGACAAGCGGTCCAACCTGGACTAGCGCTGGCGGCTGAAAGCGGTGCTTGGAGGCGGTGCCTTGGCCTGAAGATATACTACAGAATATACTACTACTGTATACTCCATCTAGAATCTACAAACTATTCAAAAACTGAAGTATAAACAGATTATTCAGCTTAAAAACTGTACTGCCTTGTACCATAAAGCACCGTCTGCGCCAGAAATAAAACAAACAACAGGTAGATCAACCTTGAAATGCCCCCAAACATGCGTGTAGCGAGCAAGGCCGCGAAACAAAAAAAGTGATATCATACAGATTCGCGAAAGCCATCCATCACATTGCACGAAACTTTTTGAAACAAGATATAGCCACTTACTCGCCCTTGCTCTTCTTCTTCTTCTTCTTCTCGCTGTCGTCACCGTCATCACGCTTGCGCTTCTTGCCGTCCTCCTTGTCGGCCTTCTTGGCATCCTTCTTGGCCTTCTTCAGATCTTTCTTGCTAACTGCCGTTGGGTTGCCAGCATCATCGAAAGTGATCTCACCCCGCTCCAGCTTGCGCTGGTACCGCTTCACGCTGAGACCAGCCTTGGCAGCGAGCTTCTCGAGCTCAGAGTCTCCAGAGCTTTCGGATTCCTCGTCAGAGTCAGCATCCTCCATCTCCTCATCCTCATCGACATCCTCGACAAGCTTCTTCTTGTCCTTCTTGGACTTCTTGGCAGATGTTGGCTCCGCGGGCTCGTCGCTGGCCAGAGCATCGGCATCGGGGTTGTACTTGCGGGCCTCCTTCAGGTCGAACTTCTGGGGCTGAGCAGCGCCGTTGGGGGCAATGTTGACGCCGCGGGGCTTCATGGGCTTGCCCTCCATGGCAGCAAGCTTGCGCTCGAGGTTGAAGCGAGCCTCGGTACCGAGAGCAGCCTTCTCCTCCTCAGTGACATCCTCGTCCCACTCAGCAAGAGCATCGACACGGAGACCGAGGGAAGCCTTGGCAGCGAGAATACGAGCCATCTTGCCCTTGTTGCGGCCGGTAGCCTGGCCGATCAGAGAGGCGTGGTAGATCAGACCGTACTTGGGAGTGTCGTGCTTAGTCTTGAGGGCACGGAAGAGAGCCTTCTCAGCACCAAGGATCTGGATGGTACTGGCGGGGCTCTTGGAAAGGCTGGTCAAGCTACCAGCGTGGGCAATGAGACGAGCACCGACGAGATCACCAACGAGAGCAGTCAAGTTGGGAGCAATGGCGTTCATACGGGAGGTCAGGTAGCTGGCGAGACGCTGGCGGTACTCGGCAAACTCAACGACCTGGGTGGCAAGAGCCTGGATGTTCTCGAGATCCTCCTCGCTGATCTCGGTACCCATGGAACGATCAGCAGCGGTCTTGACGGCACCCTCAATCTCCTCGGGCAGAATCTCGGCGAGATCAGTGGTCTCCCAGTTGGTGCGCATGCCCATCTTCAGGACAAGCTTGGAGTAGGCAATGTTGTCGTTCAGGATCTTGGCCAACTCGGGGAAGTGCCAGCCGTACCATTCCTTAACACGCATGGCATAGGTGTTGAGCTCCTTGTCAAGATCATCGAGCAGACCGATGGCCTGGACGATCATGGTATCGATCTTATCGGGGGAGAACTTGAGCTTGTGACGAGCGAGAGAGTGGGAAAGACCAAGGGACATGGCAGACATATCACTGGGGGCAAGGCCGGGAATGAGGGTGATCAGGTTCTCACGAATGGCACGGAAGGCATCGGCGGTGGTGGAGTCAGCAATCAGCTCGAGGGAGAGACCAGGAACCTTGCTAATGGCATTTCCTGAATGGCGATTGAGGTCAGCAGAATATTCGAGGACGGTTCAATCAGCAGTACCTACCGAGCTTGACATCGGCAACGGCCAGAGAGGCCTTCTTCTCGTCCTTGAGGTCGTTCAGGACCTCAGTCAGAAGGGGAGTGACCTTGCCCTCAATGATAGAGGCAGCCTCCTCCACAGCTGTAGCGGCGCTGTCGAACTTCTTGAAGTTCTTCAACTTGAAGCTATACGCGGAAAAAAAGTCAGTACGGCTATCGACTGCAAAACCCGGATTTTTTTTTGCGTTGGCTGCGCGGGGGTTTCTTGCTCGCCCAAGAGGGCGTTTTTCTTTCGCTAGAACAGGAATTGCACATACAGGTTAGAGATGCCCTCGGCGGTGTTAGCATCCTCGGGGAGAGACTCCCGCTTGAAGAGCTTCTTGTCCTTGGACTTCAGCAGGGCGTAACCCGCGCTGGTTTCGGTAAGGATGAAAAGCGACATGGTGGGCGACCACGGCTAGCGGGCTTTTATGGGAACAGAGAATTCGACTGAAAGACGAGGGGGCCCAGGTCGAAATTAAAAAAAGAAAGACGAGAGGGGGATTGTGGACCGTGGACGCAATTCACCGTTGAGGAGAAATCTAGAAATTTTGCACGGAAGAAAAAAGTGCAAAAGCGCAAGCCACACGTCGTGGCTGTGGCTGTGGCTTATGTAAGACCCGCCCAGCATACGGCGTCGAGGGAGCTACAGCTGTTCCTCCCCCAAGTTAATCGTCCCAGTTCACACACCATGGAGGGCCTCTTCTTTAATGTGAATGGCGGGTTAGTGAATTTGCAGCAGCATGAAGGTATATGGTACTGATCTCTTCCCAGATTCGTCGAGGGCATTGTTCGAGGATATCGGAACAGCCTTCTGACCGGCCAGAACTACTCCAACTTGACACAATGCGAGACCATTGACGGTATATACCCTTTGATTCCTCGAATGTAGGCTGTCATATCTAACGATTATAATCACAGATGTGAAGCTGCAGCTTGGCCCGGCTTATGGCGACTTTCTTGCCTCTCTTCCCCCGAACCCCTCCACCTCCGCCCTCGCAGGCAAGATGACCGACAAGCTGGTCTCCGAGTTCCGATACCTCGTCGCACAGTCCGTCGGCTCAACTGCCAAGTTCCTTGAGTACTTGACGTATGGCTACATGATCGACAACATCGCCCTCCTGATTACCGGTACCCTGCACGAGCGAGACACACGGGAACTCCTGGAGCGATGCCACCCGCTGGGTTGGTTCGAGACGCTGCCGGTGTTGTGTGTCGCAACCAACATCGAGGAGCTGTACAACTCGGTGCTCATCGAAACCCCCCTCGCTCCGTACTTCAAGGGCAGCCTGAGCCACCATGATTTGGATGAATTGAACATTGAGATTGTGCGCAACACTCTGTACAAGAACTATCTGGAGGACTTCTACAACTTTGTGCAAACCCACCCAGACTTCTCTGGCCCGACCCAGGAGATCATGTCAGAGATCTTGCAATTCGAGGCCGATCGCCGCGCTATCAACATTACCCTCAACTCCTTCGGCACTGAGCTTTCCAAGCAGGAGCGGAGGAAGCTCTATCCCGAATTCGGCAACCTCTATCCCGAGGGTAGCTTGATGCTCTCCCGTGCCGAAGATGTCGAGGGTGTTGCCTTGGCTGTCAGTGCTGTCTCCGATTACAAGAGCTTCTTTGACGCCGTAGGCCTGAGCCAAGGTGGTGGCGGCCTCGGTGGAATGGGCGGAGGCCCTGCCGATGGTAAGAGTCTGGAGGATCTCTTCTACCAGAAGGAGATGGAGATGTCCAAGTTTGTGTTCACCCGACAATTCACCCCGGCGGTGGTCTACGCGTGGATGAAGCTTAAGGAGCAGGTAAGGACCAGCCATTTAAACAAAACATTCCTTGGGATCTGCAAAGCTGACAATTACCAGGAAATCCGCAACGTAACCTGGATCTCGGAGTGTATTGCCCAGAACCAGAAGGAGAGAATTGGAAACTTCATTTCCGTTTTCTAAAGCCCGGATATCTCATGACCTTTGTTCTCATTGTACTTACCTTTTCCACGGCTGTGTGTATTTGCTTTTTTTTGGCGGGCAGCCGATTTTGTTGTATCGAGTACCCAAGTTCCGTTTCTTTTCTCAGTATCAAAGTCAGCGCATCACCTTCCTCGGTCAGGGCCATGACCACATCTGGTTTCGGCTTTCTTGGCTTTTTGTTTTCCTAAGGCGTTGGGCAAATTTGCGTGTGATCTCTTTCGTGAAATAGAAGAGCAATCATCATCAACTAGATGAGCTATCTCCTGGGTTACATCTTCAATCACTGCTAGGGTAGTCTGAAGAGTTCACCAACAATATCGCAGACTGTTCGATAGATCTCTTCACGGAAGGTCGCCGAGTCCAAGATAATAGATCCCAGAACTGTTCAAAGTCAAACAATCGACGATACACTGGATTTCCTCGACCGCTCTGATACACTAGTACTTCACTCTTTCACGAGATTGCCCTGCCCCTTGCTGATTTGGCGCTTCTACCTCTAAATAACAGCCTTCCACATCCATGTCGCAGCGTCCCCTGCTCCCTGCTCGTTCTACTCCCTATGGTAGTGCAGCGCTCTAAATATTGCCTCCGGAGGAGCACGAAAGGTTCGCATAGTGACAAAAAAACGACAGCAATCAAAAATATCTTGTCAATCCTTAGCCAAGTAGAGTATGTACAAATAAAGCAGGCGGCCCAAGACAAAGCTAGTTTCAAGCATGACTCGAATAAAAAACAGCCGGCCAAGTCCCAGCGACCGGACTAGAGAGCGAGAGCAACAGGAACGCACGGTAATACAAGAACACGCTCTCAAAGCACCAAGCCTACTGGGACCGAGGTTTCTATGTTGTAGAGAATATAACAAAGATTGTGGTAAACAATGGAATAGAAAGATGACTCTGGGTCAATGACAACGCCCATAGATCCAAAGAAATTCATTTAGAGCATGCCAGCTTGATGTAGAAGATGAAGCCAGTATTTTTTTGTGATTTTTCAGTCGGTCTGTTTCCAGTTCCTCTCATGCAAAAATTGTAGGAAATCAATCGTACTGGAACAGAACGCTGATACTTTCACCGTGGTGGACACGGCGGATGGCCTAGAGTTTGAGCGGTCAGCAAATGCAAGTGGCGTCATCCACAAAATTTCGACGTATCTGACTCACCTCAGCGAAAACGTGGCCGACCTCCAAGACCTCGAGCTTGGGGCAGCGGCGCAGGTGCTCACTCTGGTCCACACTGTTGGTCACCACGACCTTATCAAGGGCGCTGGCATTGATGCGCTCAATGGCATCGCCGCTCAGGATGCCGTGGGTGACGAGAGCGTACACCTTGGAGGCACCCTCCTTCTTGAGGAGCTTGGCCGCCCGGGTAATGGTGTTGGAGGTATCCGCCAGATCGTCAATAAGAATTGCGGTCCGGTCGCGGACATCACCGACCAGCATCATAGTGGCATTCTGGCGGTCAGTAATTTTCGTGGGGCGGCGCTCCTGCAAATATGATTAGATGAATACTCCTAGAAAGTGGGAGATACTCAGAACCAATGCCGTACCTTGTGAATAAGAGCAAACTCCATGCCCATGGAGTCGGCAATGGCCGTGGCGCGCTTGGCACCACCGGCATCAGGGCTGACTACGACAGCCTGCTTGTAGTCGGGAATGTTCCGCTGAATATAGCTCTTCAGCAGAGGACGTCCGTAAAGGTTGTCCACGGGGATATCGAAGTAACCCTGGTATTGCGGGTCGTGCAGATCCATGGTGATGATGTGATCCGCGCCAGCGCAGGTGAGCAGGTCTGCCACCAGGGTGCCTGCCTGCGCAACCCACTGCTTGTAGCCCGGTCGCGGCTGGAAAGAGTTAATCTTGGACGAGTTGGAAACGTTGCTGGAGGAATCTTCGTGCACGCCGTTGGTCAAAGACTTGAGAGAGTCAGCAGTGTCACTCCGCGGAAGCCCGTTCGCAGGGCGCCGTTTTACCGGACTGCCATTGCTCTCTTCAATTTGGGCCTTGGCAAGGCTCTTTTGCAAGTTTTCCATGCCGTTCATGAGGCCCAGACCCTCAGTCTTCATTCCAGGGCCGGGTGTGGGGGGAGTGCTCTCGAAAGTGTAACCATTGCTGGGACGATCCCGCACGGAAGACTTGACGAGGGGAGCTCCGGCCTTGTCGTAAGGGATATCACTCTGGCGAGAGTAAGGGAAGAGAGGAAGAACGGCGGTGACTCGGCGGGCCGAGGCCGTTTTGCAGGCGGAGATGGTGATCAGAAGCTCAAGCAGGTGGTCGTTGACCTTGCCGCCACCGGACTGAATGATATAGACGTCCTTTTCACGGACAGACTCTTGGATCTCGACTCGGGTCTCACCGACAGCAAACTTGGAGAGCAGGACGTCCGCCGGGGGAATGCCAAGCACACCACAGATGGTCTGAGTCAACTGGGGGTGGGAGTTGCCCCCGATAACGACGATGTTGCGAACCATATCGCTCGACTTGAGTGTTTCCGACGAAATAATGGCGAAGGCGGGAGCTATCAAGATCTCAAAATGGAGAGATCGAGGGGAAGCGCTGGACCGGGTGGAGGAGGGCGAGGAATCTTGCGGAGGGACGGAAAAACTGGGGCCGGAAGGATATGCTCAGTGCAAGAAAAGCAACTGGAGGAGAAAGGAGAACTGTGGAAGAGTGGAGAGTAAAAGCGATCACTTCATCGCGGGGAGGACTCGAACAAGTCAGGGAGCTTTTGTTCAGGTAAGTGGCATTAGAGAAAAAAAGAAACTGCCCATGTGAGGTCCCGCGATCGAAAAAAAGCCTCTTTGGAGAGTGGACCGCCGGCTCGTCCTCGGGTTGGTTGCCGGCGGATGCCTCAGGCAGGATCAGGCAGTCGACCTGCGGCATCGGTGCAAGCGGGCTGCTTAAGGCCTTAGCCCCGCAGGAAAAAACGGCAAACGGGAATGCAGCACTGGTAAGCGAACTCTGGAGGAGAGATACCTTACGTCTCGTTACCCAGGAACCTTAATTGGTGGAAGACTCGGCTGAGTCATCATTTGTTGGTTGGAAAGGTAGATGATCCGGATCTATAGGTCCGTATTGTATGTCCATATGGCCGTCTGTCCACATGGATATGCAATATTCCTATCCATAGACCCATATGCTCATAGACCAGTGGGATGCAACAAAAGGGGAAAAAAAGAGCAAAGCAAGATGAGATAAGAGACGCAGACAAAACAAAAAGCATCATAACGCTTTATGACCCAGATCCGTGGAATTTTGATAACGCCGAACTGTCCCGCCGAACACCCTGATTTCATTTGGGCAATGATTCCTTTTAATCGCCGGTTCCAACTTCCCTGTAAAGCAGTCAGCATCAAACGTGGTCAAATAGAGGGCAGGGGCAAGTGTGAAGGCTCACAGGTCAAGCTGTACTCCGTTGCTCACGCCGTAGTCTTCCAATGTCAACTGGTCCTTGAAGGGGCGTTCGCCCTGGCGCTTTAACATGATTTCGTGGGGCTCGCGACCGATCCGGGCGGCCACTTGGGCCTTGAAGAGCTCTAAAGAGAACATCATATTAGTAAATTTGGCCGAGAGAGTCTCGCCAAAGCTGCAGGGTGTGACACTCACTGATCGGATCCGAAGCTAAGCAGGGAATCGCAGCTTTGGTACCCAGACGGTCATTCACATGGACGACGATCATGGGCTCGGATGACTGCGGTACAACGGGCTTCCTCTCTTTCTTCTCCTTCTTTTCGACCTTTTTCTCGCGGTCTTCTCGGGGCGCGTCGCGGTCGTCACGTCGTCGGGGCTCACGATCACGGTCAGCACGGTCACGATCGCCATCCCTGTATCGGTCTCCAGGACGGTCTCCATCGCGATCTCTCCGAGGCGATCGTGGGCGGTCGCTCCGGTCTCTGTAGCCACGGTCTAGGCGGCGGTCATCGCCGCGGGAATCGTCGTCGCGCCGTTTCTCCTTCCAGCGGAAGCCACTCGTCTTTTTCGGTCGGTCTCGGTCGCCGTTATCACGCCGGCGTGGAGACCGGCTTCGATCTCGGTCACCCATTCTGGCGAAGTTGAGAGAGGGGGAGAAGAAGGTTTTGGTGCCCGATAGGCCAGCCCCAGTGTCAACGGAGGCTTGCAGCTGGAGACACGTGACTGGACACTGCAGATGCCAAACCCAAAGGCCTAAAAGGGGACTAGCGTGTGTTTGGTTCGGGGGTGAGCTTCTCCCGCGGGTTGCGCCAACTTCTCGAGGGGGCAGTGTTCTTTTATAGACTCCAATTGAATCGTCAGGGCTTTCGGGATTAGATTGTAAGCCCCGGATCCCCCGCACATCGACCATGCCGGGCCGCCTCACAGTCCAGCGGCCTACGCCGACAACCGTCAGCTTCACCGTCTCCAATGCGCCGCGGCGATCCAGTTCCCCCGCGAAGGTCCTCTTTGGCCTCGAGATCCTCCTACGGGCTTTGCTTTTCTGCTGTGTAATAGTGGTAGGCATTACACGGCTACGACGACATTTCTTTGAGAAGGGGAGCTTGTTTATCATATCATGGGAAGATGTATGGTCAAGTTCTCTCGGAGCGCATGTCTGCCGCCGGGTGGACTCTTACAACCCCTGGGTGACTGCTATCGTCAGTGCATTGGTGCTATACGGAGTCTTCAGAAGGGGCTATACTGGTAAGAGGGAGCTACATAACCGTGGATGTTGCTTGTACATGCCCTAACACTTTGCCAGAGGAATCCCTCCTGGTCATTCGAGGCTTTGGAATCCAGACATCCACATCATCCTCCACCTATCTCTCAACAGCTGCGACAAGATTTATCCCTACTACGCAGATCCAGGACATTGTCATTCATGAGGCCTTCAAAGGATTCGAGGTCCGTTTCTATCTGGCTGTCATTGTGGAGGGTGAGCCCGGTGTCTTGGTGGTCTTTCCTGTAAGTTGCTCCCTGGCTGGCATACATTCTATGCGAATGTGAATTGATCAATTATAGCAAATGCTTCCCAAACGAGAGATTCTAGAGGAAGTCTGGAGAGGTTCTCGACGCTGTCTTTACGACGCGAAGTCCTGATGTGCCAGAATCACATATCTTCATTGCGAAAGAGATAGTGAATATCTACTACAGAGCACGGTGTAAGCTCATGAAAGTATACAATGCTTCATATGTGAGTATATACATGCATCTTTAAGCCTCGTCTTTCTGCGCCGCAGCCGCCTTGATGGCGTCTTTGCGCTGCTTAGCCGCGAGCCACTTCGCGTTCCGGACATCCACGGACTCCGTTTTCGCTTTCTGCAGAACGGGGACATATCTTCCTCCGGTGCGAGCTTCGTCTCCTCCCAACCAGATCTTAGCGCCCCTGCTCTGCTTCTTGCCAGTCCCTTGCTTGCCGTCCATCTTTGTCACCATGCTGTGGTCACCTTGACTGACGACCAAGTCCAGCAGTGCTCCAGCCAAAATCTCGTCCATCTTGCGTTGTCTCCAGACTGTCCACAGGCTCTCGACAGCACCATTCAGGCCGTACTTGCTATCGCCCTTGGCACTGCGGCTTCTGTTGAGGCGTGGGTCGCCGGCATAAACCCAGTCCAGGGCGTCCGCACGGCTGCCAGTGCTCTCGTCTGGGAAGATAGTGTCCCACAGAACCAGAGGCGCATCGGAGGCCATCTCATAGGATGGCTTGCAAGGGTTCTTGGTAATATCCAACAGGTCCGGAACAATGGACGGAGACTCGAGTCCTTGACCAACCAAGAAAAGGATGGCCACCATGTGGCGGACCTGGTGCCACAAGAAGGCAGATCCGTACAAGTTGAAAGAGTACACCTGAGGAGTAGTAGGTTCGGGTTGTTGCGAAGACAGCATGTCCACATCTGCTTCAAAGTCCTCCGTGATCTGGAATCCAGATTGGCCGACGTATCCCAGAGGGTTCGTCTTTGGGTTCACAAGTTGGATATCGGAATGATAGATAATCCGCTCAAAGTTCTCAATCTGCTTGCTTGTATCGAGTTTGCAGAAGTTTCGGAAGTCATGAGTTCCCTCAAAGTGCTTGGCAGCTTCACGCATGGCATCAATATTTAGCCAGCCCTCGCGGTACTTGGTGCGCTCGCCTTGACCAGTTCCGGCACGGTTCTCAAAGCCAAACGCGCCAGGCGTGGGGGAGAAAGCTGGCTGGGTGAAGAAGTACCGGTAGCGGCGCTCACGGCAGGAGAAACGGGCATCGAATCCCTCCGGAGGGTGAGGGCACCAAGCAAGAACACGGATATCCTCTGGGAGCACCCTGTTCAGAACCTGTATATAGGCAATTTCATCCGCGATATCATCCCAGTCCGCATCTGCAGCTGGCTCTTCGACCTGCATCGCATCGACCTCTTGTAGACCCTCCTGCTCGGTTGAAGCCTTGGACTTGGGCTGCGGCCTCGCAGAACGAACTCTAAGACCAACGACCTGGCCAAAAGCACTCACACCTCGATCAGTTCTTCCAGCCTTAGAGTAATCACACCCATCCCAATGGATAGAGTAGGGCCGCTGCTCCCTTGGGTGAGCATCATCGGGCTCGTCCTCTGGAGAAGAGGTCTGCGGAAGAATCAATCGTGTCCGGCGCAGCGCCTTCCACAGAGTCTCCTCGATTGTAGGCAGAGGCGTAGTGTTCCCATTTGTATGTTCCAAGCCATTGTACCGTTGACCCAAGTAGGCGAACTTGAGCGCAATGAACCGTGTCTGATACTTCGACGGATCAAACCCACGCTCGTCCTTGTGAGGACGCGACCGCCCAGGTGTATGACAAATATCGCCATCCGGAGAGTGCATACGCTTCTTCTTTTTCGAGGAGCTGGCATATGCGTCGGCAAGAGGGATCGCAGGTTCGCTGACATCCGTGGCAATCGGTGCGCGGGGTATCGCATCACCGACTGCGGGAGTCGGTGCCGTGTACTGCGTAGTCTGCGAGTGCAGTTGGCGCTCGAGTTCGGTGATGCGCTCAATCAGGCTGGAATTACTCCAGGTGCTGTAGTCGGGGCTCCCCTCATCGTTGGTGCCCGCCATGATTCTTGTCTTGGATGAGCGGTACTCGCTCACGAATCGCGTTTGCGGTTTGATGGTGTGGGATCGAAGCAAAGTCAATAGAATGGGCCTCGATTGTGGTCTCCACATGCCACTGGAGAGTGAATGCGAAATCGGTCCACCCTGTCTTTGGGCGAGTTAATTGGAGGAGGGCAGAAATTTGAAGTCCGCGGAGCTTTGTGTATTTGCCGTAATATACTTGGTAATGTAATGTCATTCATGCGGAGGCGTCCTCATACTCTCGATTTAGTGTTGTAATTGACTGTATCCATGGAATCAAAGACTACATAACATACAACACTGCTTAGCCAGTGGGATTTAACTATCATATCTATCGCTGGATTCGGCTTTTATCCACAAATACTCTCCCTAGAGTGCGGCCATGTGGGCATTTATATCTCGGTGTAGATCCATCCAGTCAGCAGCTCCTCCGCGCTTCGACCACCAACCTTATTTTTGCACCTGGTCACCAATCTTGCTGCCATCGATTTGGAAATGAGATCCTTCACTCAAGACAGATAATCACAGAAATAACCCAAGCAATATGGCTGAACCAGAGCCTCTGGAGACTGAAACAACGGTCACAATGCTGCTCTTGGGCGACCCAGGCTGTGGAAAGTCCACCTTCTTATCGTGAGTCCCTAGCAACACCAGGTCCGAATTTGAAGCCATCGTTGCTCTTCATGAGTTGCAAAGAAGAAAATGATTCTTTGAAGATAGAGGCTGATCGGATTATAGGCGCCTGAAGAGTGGCAAGAGGATGACGCCGTCCCAGCCCGGGACTACTCCAGATACCCAATTTGAGATCCTGCGGGACAGCGATCAGCCGTTCATTTATGATATACGATTCTCAAAAAAGAAGTTCACATTGGAGCTATATGACACGTCTAATCCAAATCAGCACTGGACAAGTCTTCATCCGAATGTTGTCCTCCTGGCGTTCGACATTTCAAACCGCCAAACGCTAGAGGGGCTAAAAGCCGTAAGCTTTCTGTCCTACATTGCTCGTTATTTATCCTGTTCAAAGCGCTGACCAAGTTACATAGTGGCGAAACGATATTATACGTTATTTCCAACATGGCCATGGCGAGCGCATTCCTGTCATGATGCTGGGATTGAAACGAGACCTGAGGAAAGAAGGCGAGGGTATCATTTACCCACAGGAGGTACGGAGCGACAACCCTGAGAGATATCCCTAAAATCTGACTGACAGTTCTGTATAGACCTACCGTATTGCCCAAGAGCTCCGTTGTGACCGGTATGCCGAGTGCTCAGCACTCACTGGTGAACTACTAGCAGAGACCTTCGAAGATCTGGCGAGGCTTGCGGGCATGACTACCACTGATAAAGGTGGACAAAGTGCAGGTGGTTGTAATATTCTCTAAGTTTCAATCAGATAGCTGTTATTTATGGGACAAGAGACCTGTAGATCGCGAACAGGACGTTCGTCTCTCTAAGTAAAGCTCCTGCGCATGACGCATACCTCGTGGGCAAGAACTGGCACCTTGTAGCAATTTGACAACCCTACCTATAACCACAGACGGAGATATGCAGCCAGACGCGTACACAAAGCTGTTACTGGGCCATGGCTCGGCTCCGCTTGGTCCCCTGTAGAGTTCCACGATGCTGATCTCCAGATCGCGGGAACTTGGAAGCGTGAATATCCTAGTTGTTGTTGGCAATACACAGTTTTTGTACTCGACCGAAGTGCAACATACTTGGTCAAGTACAATAATTACAAGCCTATTGTTGAAATGCCTACAAGGGGATTTATACTACGTGACCAAAATGTAACCGAGCACAACCTTCTTTCCGATCACTAGAATAAACAAACAGGGAGAAACCAAGGTAACGATCAAGTCCACCTTGTTTGATTGACAGCACAGGGCTTTCCCCCAGTTACAGAACGCAACTGGATCTCTTTCCCTCATAAGCGCCAGGTCAATGGTTGTCATCGCTATTCCTCCCCGATGCGACAAAACATAAAATCGAAATAAAGAATTGTGCTGGTAAAAAAGATTGAGGCCACTGATGCAAAAGGACTGGAAGGTTCCCGGTGAAAGCTCGTTTTTTCTTCTGCTTTTTTTCAGTTTCTTGCTTTTTGGATCATTTGACAGAAACTAGGATAGACATGTCAAGGGGGTTTTTTTGCGGGAAAATGGTGTGAATCCCATTGTTGCCAACGGAATTGAACGTGATAGAACAGACAAGAGCTTTTCCCCTCGTTCCTCGTGCCCTTTTGGGGGGACAAGAGCAACCCTTACAGTAATCCCAACATGGCTTTTGAAATTGAGATCGAATATCTCTCCTTTCAACGCCTATCCTCGTCACCACCGATTTGGTATTTACCAAGTGGCCTCGCCGGAGGCAGCAGCGGGCTGGGGCTCAGCGGCGGTAGCCCAGTCAGCATCACCGGCCTGGTCCCAGGAGGTGGCAGCGGCAGCGGCGGAAGCGGCAGCGAAGGCAGTGCCGGGGTTACCAGCACCAGGAGCGGAAGCATCCCAGTTCTCACCAGCGAAGCCAGACTCGACGGCAGCGGCGCCAACCTCCTCGGTGGTGGCGACCTTGGCCTCATCAGCGATCTCCTTGTTCTCCTCGGCCTCGGGGTCGCGGTAGAAGTAGAGATCGACAACGGTGTCCCACTCGGTCTCACGGGTGGCCAGGGTGCCGCGGAGACGGAGGATCTCACGGGCGAGCATCCACCAGACGAGACCGATGGCGTGACGACCCTTGTTGTTGGTGGGGATGGCAACATCGACGAAGTCGGTGGGGGAGTCAGTGTCGCAAAGGGCAATGACGGGGATGTTGACGTAGCTGGCCTCCTTGATGGCCTGGGCGTCGGTGCGAGGATCGGTCACGACGATGAGGCGGGGCTCCTTGAAAGAGCGGGTGATGTAGTTGGTGAAGTTACCGGGGGTGAAGCGACCGGCAATGGCGGTGGCACCGGTGTGGGCGGCGAACTTCAGGACAGCGCGCTGGCCGTAGGGACGAGCGGAGATGACACAGACATCGGCGGGGTTGTCGATGGCAGCGATGATACGGGCAGCCAGAACGATCTTCTCCCTATTCAAGTGCGCAAAGCACGTTAGACTCCAGCGCACAACATTTGATCGAGCCGCGATCCAATTCTTCCTACATACCAGGTCTTGCCGATGTTGAGGACGTTGACACCATCGGGACGGGTCTTCCAGAGGTAGGGCTCCATGTGCACCTGGAGGTTCTTGGAACCGAGGTGGCACTGAGCAGCAAGGAGCATCTCAATGTCCTGCGAGGTAGGGTTGAAAACCGGGGGGAGCTGGGAGGGGGCCATGGTGGGCGATTGATTGATTGATGATGTTGGAAAGATCAATCGTCTGGCTCTTGTCGTGGGGATGGAGGGAAGAGGTCGAAAGCCGAACCACGAAATGTTTCACGCCGCGCTTCGGGAGAATTTCGCTTGCGGGTTGTGAGAATTAGGGCTAGGGCAGTATGTGATTACGTAAGGACCATCAGGTCTTGGCGGCATGAGCCCCTGGTGCCTGAGGCATAATTCGTATGGTCCCCAAATTGGACTAGCGTATTCTCGGCCGGCCGTATGATTTCCCGACCAAAAGGTTGATGCGAAGAACTTCAGGCTTGTCCCGGGCCATTCAATATTGAGAGAGGATAACAGTCCGGCCACCATGCCTCCACGTATCTCTGTGCAGCCTTCTTGGAAGGCCCTTACAGGTACTGTACTTGCTCACTTCTATAAAGAATCTCGCTTTACGCTGTTCAATGCTAACACCACCGACTTCAACAGGCAGCTTGTATGGACAGACCTCGGGGGCCGCCGGTCTGCCACACGCGACCAATGCCTCTCTACGATCAGCATCCACAAAGGCCAAGGCTCAACCTCAAAAGCGGTCCGACTTTTTCATGATTGCACAAGCCCGTCAGCGAAAGGCTGCCAATCTCTCTCGACAAAAAGTTCTCCAGACAGAACGGGAAGCCTCGCTTGGCGACCCCGTTCAGAGCAAGCCCACGCCTTTTATTCAAGAGATTGAAGCGATTCAAAATGGATCACAGGTCCCCTCTGCAGGCTCAGGGCTTAACTATTACCTGAAGTCGGACGAGCTCAGCAGCGCGTTGCAGTTCTCGATGGACCTGACGGAACCGCTCCAGAACCCGGACCGTGACACCGCCGACCCCCAGTTGGAGAAGGAAGCAGCGGAGCTACATCAGAAGGAGCACCAAATTGCAGAGGATGCAATCCAGCGCATCGTCAACCTCAGCAACGGAAATACAAAAGATCGCCTGCGTCTGAATGTGCAGAGGTGTATTGAGCAATTCGGGCGACACAACACCGACTCTATCCTCCCACCAAAGCCATCCGGTGCGCCACAGGGATCTGTCTCTGCCCACCAAGAGAAGATTCCTCGCATTGGAGTGGATACCGGCTCCCCCGAAGTGCAGGCCGCCATCCTGACCGTCAAGATTATGAACTTGTCCCGGCATCTACAAAGCGCGAACAAGGATAAGCACAACAAGCGCAATCTTCAAGTTCTTGTTCACAAGCGCCAGAAGCTTCTTCGGTATATCCGGCAAAAGGAGCGTGGCGGCCCTCGGTGGCAGAACTTGATGGAGACATTGGGATTGTCCGATGCTGCATGGAAGGGCGAGATTGCTCTTTAGAGCCTTTGTAACATAGCAAGATATCATTTTCTTTTTTTCCCCTTTCTCTTTCTTTCAGAAGAGATACTTGTGAAATGTACCAATAGCACTGTTTTCCCTTTATTGACATTGTTCCCTGATTCTCGTAGATCCCAATCTAAGGATGATTACCCACGTCGCATCATATTCATACATTGGAGGGTCTTGACAATGGTATTGATGTAGTGTTCCTTAGACCAATTATCCATTCGCAAAAATATAGTATAACACCTTTACAAGCTCCGGACTTAAAGCTCTTCTAGTAGTTTCGTCGAGTCTAGCCAAGTGATCATGCTGCCTGGTGCCTAATCCCTCAGGCACCAATATAATTTAGGCTCACCGCCCTGCGGGCTGGAGATATTCTGCCTGTCGCGAGAATGATTTTTGGCACGTCACAGTCATGATCCCATGGTAGGCAAACAAAAGGTAGGCATCACTTCTTCTGCCCACAGTGGGAAGCAGGCAACTATCGTGCCTGCCTTGTTTGTCCCAAACACGTCGCCATCACAACAGACCCAAACAACACGTCAATTTGGCACACATAAATATCTCCTGCCTCATCCTCCTTCTCTTCTTTCTTCTCTCCTCTCTCTCTCTCCACGTTACTGATCGTTCACAAGTTTCTGAGGATACCCTTCCTCCCCGCTCACCTTCAGTTACGTTTCAACAATCAAAACCTTTTCCAAACCCTCGTTCCCGGCTTGTTGCCGAGGTGGTAGTAGCCATGCCACCACGCCTCCGCTCCAAGCCTTACGGCCCCAACTCCCCGAACGCTGCTCAGGCCCTGCCTGACCCGGCTCCTCGTCGTCGCCGAGCGACGCGTTCTGCGTCTGCTCAACCGCAGGAAGAACAGCCTGCCCCGCCAGTGCGCGAGCCCAAGGCTCGCAAGACCCGTGGCAAGGCCGCCTCCCGCGGCAAAAAAGTATGTTGTTTGAGACACCTCGAGCAAAAGCTCCTGACTGACTGTTTTACTTTAGAAGACGACTCGCCGTACCTCCTCCCCCCCTCCCCCCTCTCCCCCCGAAGACCCCCAGCCGGAAGAGCTGGAGGGTGATGAGACCACCTCGGGTGTCGTGGCCCAGGCACTCAGTGCAAAGGTGGAGTCCCCCCAAGTCGAACTTGGCGCCAGCCAAGAGCACGACGAACCCCACGGGGTAAATGTCGACGTGCCCCCCGTCGACCAGATGCAGGGTGTCCAGGCGCAGGAATCGCGCAACCTATCAGAAGGACCCAGCGCTGACGAGTCTGTGGCCGAGCAGAATCGCCCAGACCTTGACCAGGAACAGCCTGCAATTCCGTCCGTCGAGATCCCCGTCACTGTCCTCCCGTCAATTGAGCCCAGTGACCCTGAGTTGATGACTCCGGCCGTCGGAGTCCGTGAGTCTCCCGATTCCTTCTTTTCTCTCCCCGTTCCCCCTGCCTCCTTTTTCCCCGTCCGCTCGTCGTCTGTCGCTTCGGCCGCTTCCTTGCCGAGCGACTCGTCTAGTTCGACGGCCTCCACCCCGGCCACTGAGGACGCTGGCAACCACCGCCATGGCTGGTTGATGTCCAAGTTGCGGTCCATTTACCGCCTGTGCACCAGCAGCAATGGTGCCCCCGCAGTACCCGCCCCCGCCATCACTGCTCCCGCAGTTAGATGGTCCCTGGAAATCCCCATGTTGAACCTGGACATGGGCCAGTCGACATCCGCCCTGGACGACTTTGAACTGATTTCTATCCTTCGCGCAGTGCGGTCCACCGGAACAGCATCAAGCCGCCGTCACAGCCGCACCGGAGGCTCGCCGTCCTCATCCTCCGAGCAGTCCCGAGTGCTACGTGCCCAAGGGGCCACGCCAATCCGCCGGTCTCGCACACCTCACGCCAACAGGTCCAATTCTCGCCGCATCGAGAGCCGTGGTAGTCTCGGCCGGACCTTGTATCGCCTTCCGCAGCTTCTGTCCTTCGGCAGCCAGTCTGAGCTCCAGGATGACGTTGGAGAAGAGACCAACCGTGTGGACGAGCGTGACTCTTTGAACATTCCCCCGGAAACTGCAGCTCCCGAGGCAACCCCCCCCTCGACTCCCGAGCGTGCCCCCCTGCCACCCCCGTGGCTCCTTTGACCGCCCCTCCCGCGGGTACTGATGTTTCTCCAGGATGGAGCAGATGGATTTTCAACGGTGTCTCGAGACGATGGACGGTTCTGAGAGGCCGGTTTGCTCATGATGATGACAATCGTAATGAAGCTGCCGAGCCAACCGTTCCCACCGTTCCCGATTCTCCTGCCGAAGCCGTCTCAGCTGCCAATGCCACGACTTCGCCAACCGCTCGAGCAGTCGTTACCGACCCATCCATTGCTTCCAGCGCATCACCTGCAAAGACTAACACACCGAGATCTCCACCAGTGGACAGTGGCGCCCACAGAAAGTCGCCTCTGAATCGCCCCCCACCTCATTTCATCCCCCACTCTCGTATTCCCCCCGAACCTCGTCCACGGCGTCGTAGTGCGTCGTTTGTGGACTCAAGGGATCTGCTTGGTGTCGGTGCGCCAAGGTCAGCCAATGATCCTTATGCCTACGAGACCCAACGGGAATTCGTGAAGCGTCGACAAATTGCTCGGGCGGAACGCGACAGACAGATTCGAGAGGCGAAAGCCCGTGAAGAAGCAGAAGCCAGGTATGCCGCCGCCGCCGCCGCCGCCGAGGAAGCCCGCCGGAAGCAATCTCTTCTTTCTCCTACCCCCGCAAAGACCCTGACCAGTGTTTCCAGAGCATCACAAGTTACTTCTAACACTGCAACACGGGGTCCTATTTTCTTCTTTGAAAGACCCAGTCAGACAACGCCTATCACCGCTTCAATCAACCCAGCTTCGCGCGGAAGAGCGTCCGAAGCGGCTGCTGTTCAGACCGCAGCAAAATCGAATGCCGAGAATCAAAATCCACGCAAGCGGAGTCGCGGGTTTGGGCTTGATGAGGATGACCTAGCTGTCCACGAGGAAGATTTCACTTCCGAGGAATGGGAAGCCCTAAAGGCACAGGTTGAGAAGGCCGAGGAAGATGCTGCGAAAGCAGCTCAACGAAGTGCCCCCCTACCAAGAAGCGACGTGTTGATCAATCCTCCCAGCAGAAGAAGCGTACTCAGCAATCAGCCCGCCGTCAGAGCTCTGGGACACCTCGCCAAACCGAGGCTCCCAACCGCACTCCTGGTTATGTTCCAAACAAACGAGGAACTCTTGCGCTGCCCGAACTGTCCCCCATCGATTCGAGCCGATTGTTCACCGATCCCGAATCACCTTCGAATTCTCAAACTCCTCAGGCCTCAACCCAGCCTGCCTCACAAAAGCGCTTAAAATCTCGTCGCGGGACCACTACCTCAAAATCCCGAGGTTCCTCTAAAAAAGGTATGATCATCAACGGCGTCTTCATTTCTGAGCGTCAACTCCCAAATTGCGATGTGGAAATCCAAAGGGAATGGAGAAGAAGATTCCAGGTGCTTGCAAGGCTCCCTAAGCTTCCTACGACTGCTGCTGAGAGGGACGCAAAGCGTAATAAGCCTTCTCCTTATGTGGCTTATCTCCAGTCCTTCAGAGCGAGGCAAGAGGAGCTGAAGCGCAAAGCAGCCAAAGAGGCAGAGGCAAGGGCAGAAGTAGCGAAGAAAGAAGCAGCAAAACAAAAAGAACGGGAAATTGCAGAAATCAACAGGCGCTGGGAAGCTCGACGTCGTGCATCTGGCTATCCCCCGTCCCGAACTCCTCGGCGGTCTAACACGTCACGGATGTTCGAGAACACTTTCCTGAGAGCTTCCTCTCCGGCTGCATCCCCAGCTTTGCCGACCCCGCGGCGCCGCTTGATCAAGCGAAAGCGAGAACCCGAAACATCGGACCCCGAAGCTTTGCCTTCTGTAGCGCGGCCTCTAAAGCGCAGCCGAGGATTTGAAGCTCCAGATCCGTTTGCCTCTTCTTCGTCACCTTCTGCCTCTCCTGCTTCGCTTCCTCCGCGATCCCCTTACGACGCAGCTTCGTATTTTGCAGGCCTGCAGCCTCAGCGGCATTCGCCCCAAGAGGGCTCATTTATGACCACCATCGCTAACTCTTCCAATCCCCAAACAGCCGAGGACGAAAATCTTGAGACCGGCGACGAAACGAACGATCTCCAAGACCCCTCTCCTCTCAGCCGCGCACGCAACATGGCCGAGCAGTTCAAGCCAAAGACCCCAAGTCGTCTGCGGGAATCTGCTCGAATCCCAAACAGCAACACCTCGACGCCGTCCGCCCTCGGCTTCTCTTCGCCGTCCTTCCTTGGTGTGTCCATCAATAATACTCCCCTCCGCTCCGATCCGATGTCCATAGATGGCTCATCGTTTGTCGTAAATCCAGATGCGACTCCAGCTGGGACCCAAGCCTGCACCACCCAGTCTGTCTCTACTGATACCCACAGGGAAGATATTGTTCCCCTACAACCCCAAGCATCCTCAACTGCAGTCGTTGCCAACACCACCGAAAGCGCCGAGCATAGTCTCGCCGACGATGTCGCCTGGCTGAAGGAGACATTACCGAGTGGAAAATTCGCCGACCTACAGTTCCCGCCACCCAGAAGCCTCGTTGAAGAGTTGAATATTCATCCAGAGGCTGTGGCAATTGTGGAACAAAATTGGGAGGAGAAGGGGCCCGAACTCGTGAAATATTTCGGGGACCTCTTCGAGGCCTTCCAAGCCGACCCCGAGAATTTCCCCGTTGAGGACTATGTATGATTGTTACGACGAGCCGGAATGCGCTTAGCCCTTTTGCATTTGCACATTCGTTGCCTTCATTCATGTTGTTTTTGATGCCTGCCTTAGTGCAGATGGATAGTTTGATTACTTGTGCCTGCCTTAGCGCAGATGGTTTTTATTGTTTTGCGAGAGAGAATCTATATTTTTCTTACAGCGACGATGCTGTCTTTTGGTTGCCACTGGCAATGTTGCGGAACCTCGTGACCCCCATCACGAGGAAGCTCAGAGATAGCTCTTCGTAGTTAGAAGAATCCAAGACTTGACGATCTCATCACTCATCAATAGTAGCAACAGATATCTTTGTCTGAATACAAAATGAAGTTCCAGCTAATTTTATTGTAACCGAATAGGAGAATCTCTGACCTAAAAACGCGAGGGCTCGTGAGTCGGGGTGGAATTAAGCATGGAAGGATTGCCACGGGTTTGTTATAATTATCTAACATTATATACCGACGATGATGATTGTGCCCGAAGAGGCTGGTCACATTTTCAATCGAATCCTTCAAAGTCATCACCGCTACCTGCATCATTCGAGGCTTTCGCATTGCCTGAATGGTTTGATAAATACCGCTGCTCATTTTTGCGACGAATTTCCTCGACCATCCGCTTTGTCTCAAGGGATTTCTGCTTCTCTTCCTCCGGTAGCTGTTCCCACTTCTCCTGGTCTTTCCGTGCTTTCTTGAGTTCCTTGCGCCTGAGCTTCTTCTCTCGGCTCTCCATATTCTGGCTCCAGGAGGCATTCTCAGCAGCACGGCGCTTCCGCGAATCCTGCTGCTGGTTGCCGTCGCCATGTGCAGCCTCTTCCATCATCTCTTTGCGTCGTTTCTCACGCTGTTTGTCCTTGTAGGTATAGTTGTCCCATTCCATACTAACACCTAGGGTCTTATCCCCAGTGAAGTTACGGAGCTCGGGCATCTTGGGGAGCTTGAGAAGACCCCATGCTTTACCGAGGGCCTCCCAGTCTAGATCAGCAACTCGGAAGATGCTGGCTGCTTGGTGCTTGCTGTAGCTGCGAAGCCAGCTGACAAAGGCCTTCTGGCCCTTATCATGGAGAGCGCGGTCTTTCGAGATGGCATTGCGAACTAGTTGGGTTGCGGAAGCAGCATCGCTATCGCTGGGAGAATCTGGGAGATTGTAGGGCGCAACAGGCGTCTTGCGCACCTCCAAGAATGAAACGTAGTCCTCTTCGCGGCCGGGATGGAGAAGGACGATGCTGAGACCCCGTCGGCCAGCACGGCCAGCCCGGCCGCATCTGTGGATGAATGTCTTAGGGTCAGAGGGAGGATCGATCTGTACAACTAGATCGACAGACGGAATGTCCAGTCCTCGGGAAGCGACGTCGGTGGTTAGGAGAATGGAGGGGGTGGTGGAGGTGGTGAAGCGGGTGAAGTTCTTCTGGCGGACGTTGGCAGCATGTTTTCCGTGAAGAGGAACGAGGAGGAATTCATCCCCAAGAGTGATAGGTAATATAATGGCGAGATAGTCCACACTGGAGCATGTTGAGACAAAGAAGATCGTTTTTTGAGGGGTAGGTTGAACGGTTGTCAGAATTTGTTTCAAAATGGAGAATTTATGTGCTGGAGGAGTAGCCAAATAGGTCATTTGAAGACTGGAAAGGAATTAGTGAGAGTCCACTGGGTCATTATACAGGCATTTGGAAACATACCTCGCAGGAGTACGCTTGTCTTCGGAACCAGCACCGCCCTTGACCTTGACGGCGACCTTTACGGGATTGCGAAGACCCACTCGGACAATCTGATCAACAGCTTCACTGATACTGGCACTGAAAAGACCCGTCCTTCGCTGCTTGGGAAGATGACGCAGAATTCTTTGCAGGTCGTCCTTGAATCCGAGATCTAACAGGCGATCGGCTTCATCCAATACCAGCATCTCAAAGGATGATTGTGCACAGTGAACATGAGGCGAGGAAAGCAGTTCCAACAGTCTGCCAGGTGTGGAAACGAGCACATTTGGGGATTTTTTGAGGAAAGAGCTCAAATCTTCCGCGGGAGACGTAGAACCGCCTAGGAGGAGTTGTGGAACGACTTTCAGGACCGAGGAGGAGGACTTCGAACGGGGCGCATCGCCTTCGGGGGGATGGATCGCTGCAGCCGATGCAGGGTGGAACTCAAGCAAAGACAAAAGGACTTGATAGATTTGTGATGCCAATTCTCTGTGCAGTCAATATTAGCAGGAGATTTTGAGTAACATTCGCTCAGGGTGTAACGGACCTTGTTGGAGAGATAATGATAGCTCCAATATGATGCTTCTTGATCGGATCTTCAAGGCGCAAAAGCTTTTCTACGATTGGGATCAGGAACGACAGCGTTTTCCCACTGCCAGTAACTGCTTCCACAACCACATCCTTATGCGTCATGAATAGAGGGATGGCCGAGGCCTGGACGGGCGTCATGCGTGTAAAGCCCATCGATGCCACGGCATCGAGGGTCCATTGCGACAATGATGGCGTGAGGCCATCCCACGCCCTCGAGGACGAAGAAGCCTTAGGAGCCATGTGTTGTCGAGGCAGATCAAGAACGATCACAAATTGACCTTTAGTTGCTCTTCCGATCGCAAAATCGCAAAGTCGCAACGAAAAAAAATCCGTTATCGATTAGATAGGAGGCACGTGACAGCGGGTTTGAGCGGAAACGGAGATCGCAAATCATCAGCTCTTCTTGCTTTTTGCGCCAGCACAGCCTCGATTCGACCAGATTTACCTTGTCCTGTACTGATACCCTAGGGCACAAGCCATGCACTGTGATTTACTTTGGTGCCCTTGAAATCCCCTCCTTCGACCGCTCTTCCAAAAGACCGCCCATCATTCAGTCGTTAGGAAGTCTATTGATTCCCTGCGGCCGCAGTCTTGCCTGGGACAGCGTCGAGCCCTGTACACGACCATTGCTCGGACTTATCTGGACACCAGTACTCCCACAGTTTTCCATACGAGCACCCGAGATGTCTGCCTCTACAAATACTGTCCCCGAGACTCCTCGAGTCATATCTCCCTCGCCCTCGCTGTCCGACAGATCAGAAGCACGTGATGGTTATTTTGCGCCGACGACGAGATCAGCATCGCGTCGACAGCAGTTATCTGGGGTCACAGAGGAAGGTTCTGGCCCAGAGAGGTCGCATAGCCCGCCTGGTTCGACGCCCTCGACCTCGCGCAACCGTCGACCCAAACGGCGGTCAAACCCAAAAATTCCAGCCTCGCCCCCGGCCACGAACGGCATATCCTCCAACGGTTTTCTGTCGCCCAAACTTCCAGATGCTTTGCGCGATATTTCACGCTCTCCCTCGCCTCTCGGCCTGATCCCTTTACACACGCGGTATCGCAGTTTCATTCATCGCCATGAAATTCCTCGGAAGCTTCTACATGTCTCGATCGGATTCTTGACGCTCGACCTCTACCGCCGCGGCGTTCAGACATCTCAAATCACACCAGTGCTCTTTACCGCACTAGTCCCCATCGCAGCAACGGATATCATACGCCATCGCTCGGAGAAAGTCAACAAGTTGTACATCCGGTGTATGGGTGCGCTTATGCGAGAGACCGAGGTCTCTGGATACAATGGTGTGATCTGGTATCTCCTCGGCGCATACGTCGTCTTGAGGTTCTTCCCTAAGGACGTTGGTGTTATGGGTGTCCTGCTTTTGAGCTGGTGTGATACCGCTGCATCCACCTTCGGCCGACTCTATGGCCGCTATACACCACATCTGCGCCCTGGGAAGAGCCTGGCTGGAACCATGGCCGCTTGGGCTGTTGGTGTCGTCACGGCTGCAGCATTCTGGGGCTGGTTTGTCCCCTATATGGGCGCCTTCCCGAACGATCCCCAGGATGCGTTCATGTTCACGGGTCGCTTGAACCTGCTCCCGAATTGCGTTCGGGGTCTTTTGGGGTGGGAAACTGGCGTCACTTCCACTACGGTTACCGGCTCCGTGGCTCTGGGTGTGATGAGTGTTGTCTCCGGCATTGTGGCCGCCGGCAGCGAGTTCATTGATCTGTGGGGCTGGGATGATAATCTGACGATCCCTGTCCTTAGTGGACTTGGCCTCTGGGGGTTCCTGAAAGTTTTCGGCTAAATATCTCATCATTCTTTCGTACAACTCCCCATATTATTCCCCCCAATGTCTCCTCTTTTCTTTCATTTCTCGGATTTTAATGTCTAGATGACTGGATGGTTCATTTACCCTCTCCAACATGGCATTGCATCAGATCTGGTTTCTGGCTTAGACATGGTACATGACCCAAGCTATCTTGCCCGTCTGGATATCTTCTCTCTTCTCTTGTGGTCTTTCGGCGTTGAATTGCCTTTGAATTTGATTTATTCCCTGCGCTATGGCTCTGCATGCTTCGATATATTGCTTCATCTCCCCAGAAAGTCCATAAAGGTGGGCGGCAGCGTGGAAAGACATTGCGCATCTCCAACGTATCTTCATATCTACATCACTACAGAACTCACGAATATATTCATACATGTCTGTGCTTGTTGCTTATATCCTTCCCCAGAGGAAGTGGACCCTTGACTGTACCCCAGTACGTTGTTTGATCAAACCTGACTCGCCAATCCTTAGAATCTCCAGTGGATCTCCAACGTATGTGGGGCGATGCGTCTTGGCTTCCTTGATAGGATTAGCGCGATATTCCCGAGGAATATCGCCTTCCCACGGCGGTATGAATTCATGTCTTTCAAACTTCTCGTGGTTGAGATGCACTCCCTTGGGCGCTTTATGTGCCATGGACCGGGTTTCCTCGAATCAAGCTGATGATTCCTGTTGGACGTGTCGCCGTCGTCGATGGAAATGCGATCGGACACTCCCATCTTGCTGCAAATGTGCCGCTGTGGGACAGCCCTGCTTGGGATATGGCAAGGAGCGACCACTGAGATGGACAAATAGTGTGGCAAGCAGAGGTAAACTGATGGGGAAGACTGTGCCACGCCAAGCAACCTTCTTCTCCATCGGAAGGCTCCTTGTCGATCCTGACCTGCAGGATTTGCCTACTACAACTCGTGGTTATATCGCATACTGTAAGTGGAGTCGCTGCATCTGCGCTGAAGTGCCTGCTAAAGAGAAAATAAGTCGAACAGGAATGCTGCCATGAGTTTGTGCTAGATGTTACAGAGCCTACCAATTCTGTAAAAGAGTTGATGCGACTGATTCCATCATCTCCTGGTTTTCGCCATACGGTCGTCTCGGTTGCAGCGCTACATCAAGCAAACCGGCAGTTAACGAGTCCTGCTCATGGGCATCGGAGTTTCATGTCTGTACTGAAGGGAGTCAACATACCAGAAATCTCGACACAACTTCTCCAAGTGCCAGCATACTACGATGCTCTCTATCATAAACAGAAGACCCTCGCTTTCCTCAGAGACCAATGCACAAGGGGAGAATTGCGAAATCCAGATGAAGTATTTGCTTCGATACTCTTGTCAATCTGGTTCGAGCTTATGGATTCCGGGAAAGATCGCTGGAAGGATCATCTACATGGATTGCAAAAGATCATGCAGACCTTCAACTTCCCCAGGGGCTTAGCGGCGTCTATCCCGCAATTTTCTGAATGCTTTGACACTAATTATGCCATGTACGCTTTTGCTGGACTCAATTACCCGTCCTATTGAATCGGCTAATCCTTTATCGCAGATTTGGGATCATTGGCCCGACATTCGTCAAAACCAAACTGCCCTACCAACCTATTTTCACCACGATACCCGTTATCGACGTCTTAAAACTCTCTGAGTCCCAGACATGGGCCGGATGCCCCGCAGAGCTTCTTTTTGCACTATCACTTATCAACGCCGCCTCATCAAATCTAGAACAGACTCCTGACCTGGTATATCACATATGCTCTCTCCTTCAAAAGTTCTCTCCTATACAATGGGCTACCACCGGAAGCAAGGCAGACAACGTCATGCCGCGATATCATTTTGCCAGGATTTGGCGAGCAGCAGTGGAGATATATGCATCGCAGGTCTTCAGCGCCTTTGAAGATTTCGATATGAATCTGCAATATCCCACGAGTTCGCTCGACTCAATTATCTCAAGTATTGGATCCATGGACGCGTCAAATGCACACTACAGAGGTCTGCTATGGCCTACATTTGTCATCGGTGCCGAGGCACACACGCCCGCTCAGAAAAGTATCATTGTCGAATCCTATGGTCATTCGTGGACGATATGGCGCTGTGAAAATGTGACCAATGCCTTGAGACTTCTGCAGAAGATTTGGAAGCTAAGAGAGACGGGAGGAATGCCGCAGCGGTGGATTGAATATGTATATGAATCTGGAGAAGCATGGATGTTTGTATGAAGTATTGCCGTAACGAATTGGAATGAAATCAAAGCGCGAAGATACCAGCAGGGCTAGAGAAGTGAACAAAATCCACGCCACAGGACCAAGAAGGTCTCAGGTACTAGCGGCCCTCCAAGCCACAAAAGGCTAATAATTTGGAGTCTGACTGGCTTGATATGCCCCTTGGCATGCCCAATGTGATGCAAACCCGCTGCCGTGGCTTAATTTTCGAAATTTGCAACAGGCAGAAGATACCTTGGATTTAAAAAAGAGTATAGCCTACGAGAACTGAATCTGCAGTCAAGGAGGTTACACTCAATGTTTGCTCGTCCTTTTGGCCACCCCGAATTTGCTCTCACACCAGCAGTGGAATAGCGAAGACGATTGGGTGGTGCCTTGTTCAGCTAATAAATATGATGTTCCGAAATGGATTAGTCTCCTCCGTTCCTGATGTTAGTGTGAAGCCACCCGATGGTACTCCGTGTGGGAGATGATGCTTGTGTTGAAACAATTGCCAGTGTTAATTCCGTAATCTTGACACGACCTCGAGCACCTAGAAATAACGAGCACTTTAGTACTTTAGTAAGGGTCAGATTTTATTATTCGCCTAGTGGTAAAATTGAGGGCGTCATTGATTGCACTGTAGTGATAACCAGACAGCACCGGCTGGTTTCTTTCAGCTTTAGCCACAGAAAAATAGATCGTGATGGCTGATGCAGTACTGTAATTGAAGAGGTGAATAGAGACCGAATGAGAGGAAATATTTTCTGCTGAAGAATGCTAATTTGCCTACGTCCGCCCGGTGCTGGCCGAGTCTTGCGGGGTAATTCGCGTTAAGCATAGTGCTGCCTATCTAGTGCAATTTCACGAATCTTATCTACCGGCCCGGCTCTCGACCTTGAGTATTATCTACTACTTAGACTACTACTAGTACCTATCAGTGACCACTGAAATGTGAATATCGATCGGGTTTAGTTTGTCTCTCGGCTAATCGTCGCCTCGGACTCCCGACGGAGGTATCATGAACTAGCCAAAGTTCGGCTTTCCCGGGGAGATATGGTGCTACACCAAAGTTCCATGATTGAGGAAGGTATTATGGGTTTGATCACGTCTTCTTTTAGCATTTTAGTCAATGGATATGATAAATTCAAAAGCTGTAAGTATGCTGTATTGGTCATATCAGGGGATCAAAACGATCACAATGTTGTTCAGGTGGACCGCATTGCATGCAGCTAGCTTTGCACTAGAACTATCGCGTGATAGTAAGTACTTGCTTCAACCCCAAATGGTTACTATCACAACCCCCCGCTCCGGTGATGTGCCGGCACGAAATGCTCCCCAATTTACTGGAGCATCCCGTCTTTTGTGGACCTAGAATACTACCATGAGCGTCGTGTGCAGTGGTGGCTCAAGCGGGTTGCTTAGTGACAATCAAGCGATCATATAAAGGGGACGCTTTGGTCTGCTAGTATGAAACTTGAGGGGAAATCTGCTAGGGTATAGCTCATACCCCAAGGATTCGCGATGTATTTTCCAATTCGCGTAGCGTTGCCTGCACTTTGTGCTTCGGTCGCCCATGCGGCCATTGCACCAAAGCCTGTCCCTCCTCCTTCGACAGCTGCTTCAACTGCGACTTCTGGCCAGTCAACCTTTCAGCAGTTGATCGACCATAAGAATCCTAGCTTGGGTACATTTTCTCAACGTTACTGGTGGAACTCGGCCTGGTGGAGCGGAGAGGGTGCACCGGTAGAATCTTCTATTTGCTTGGTGATATTGCTCAATGTATTGACTCAAGAACTGCCAGGTGATTTTGTTCACTCCCGGAGAGGAAGCGGCCGACGAGTACACGGGATACTTGACCAACAGGACTATCACCGGTGTGTATGCACAGGAAGTTAAGGGTGCTGTGGTAATGCTTGAGCGTAGGTGTCCTTTTTTCCCACCACCAACTTCAATAGTGCTGACTTTTGTTGGACAAAAGACCGTTACTGGGGAGACTCATCACCCTATCTGGAGCTGACTGCTGAAAACCTGCAACAACTGACTTTGGAGAATTCAATTGCGGACCTTACTTACTTCGCAAAGAATGTCGAGCTTCCCTTTGATACAAACAGCAGCAGCAACGCTCAGAATGCGGTATGATGTCTCCTTTATTCATAGCAAAGCCACTTAACTGATCCAATGTATAAACAATAGCCATGGGTCTTGAGCGGAGGATCTTATAGTGGTGCCCTGTCAGCTTGGACTGAGTCTACATCCCCCGGAACATTCTGGGCGTATCATGCGTCCAGCGCCCCAGTCGAGGCCATCGATGACTATGTCAGTAATATTTTACTATGTGGGTTGAGCAAGCAGACTGAACAATTGCTGACTTTTAATCTAGTGGCAATACTTTTCCCCTGTTCAAGAAGGAATGCCCACAAACTGCAGCCGGGATATCAGCAGAGTTGTGAACTACATTGATAAAATCAACGAGTCCGGATCAAAGAAGCAGGTCCAGGAACTGAAGGACTTGTTTGGTCTTGGTGATATCGAACATTTCAATGACTTTGCTAGGTATTTACTCACGGGGTTCAGCATGAGGTGCCATAGAAGCTGACTCGCATTCTGTTCAGTGCCCTCGAGAATGGACCGTGGCTATGGCAGTCCAATAGTTTCTACACAGGCTACTCCGGGTTCTTTGAGTTTTGTGATTATGTTGAGGTATGAGAAATCTAAAATTCTCATGATCTTGGGAATTGTTGGTGCTGACTTCGACATAGAACGTTGAGAACGGGACGAGCAAAATCCCTGGATCAGATGGTGTCGGCCTTCACAAGGCACTCCAAGGTTATGCGAGATGGTTCAAGAACGTTTACTTCCCTGGATGTGAGTTACAACTTCCGACGAATATATCGCAATTACTGATAGGGGGACCAGCATGCGCGAACTATGGTTACTGGACTGATGAATCGACTACTGCATGCTTCAACACATACAATGCGTCCAGCCCTATCTTCACGGATACTTCCGTGAACAATACCGTTGACCGACAATGGCAGTGGTTCCTTTGTAATGAGCCTCTGTTCTACTGGCAAGAGTATGTCACTCCTTATTCGAGATCGGGCCTGGGTTTCTAATATTTTCTTTTCTCAGCGGCGCGCCATCTGGCGTTTCAAGTCTCGTGTCTCGCACCGTCAACGCGGAGTACTGGCAGAGACAGTGCTCGCTCTTCTTCCCCGAAGTGAACGGCTACACTTTTGGTAGTGCGAAGGGCAAGACCGAAGCGGAGGTCAACGCGTGGACCAAGGGTTGGGAACTGACCGACACCACTCGACTGATTTGGGCCAATGGGTATGATCATGATACCCCTATTGAATAGGATTTCTATTGGATGAAGCTGACCAAGTCACAGTCAATATGATCCGTGGAGATCGGCCGGTGTTTCCTCCTCTTTCCGACCTGGAGGGCCACTTGAGTCACGGGAATCCGCCCCGTTGAATGTCATCCCAGGAGGTTTCCACTGCTCGGATCTGATTGTGAAGAATGGTGCTGTGAACGAGGGGGTACAGAAGATCATTGATGCTGAAGTGGCACAGATCAAAACTTGGGTCGAGGAATACTATAAGCAATGAGAGGAGAAAGGAGAAGGCGGGATAAGCAATCGAACGATGCTCTGTAGTAATCCATCAATTTGGGAATTATATAGCCCAGGAGACAAAGTTTCTGTCTTGATCAATTCTTTGCAACGTCTGAATTTTTCAATAGAGCTTCATGTTGCAACTATCCCATTCCAGCTGGCTGGGATGCCATATCTAGAGAAAATGGAGCTATCGGTGTAGTGTACATTCTGTTGGAGACACCCATTTCGCGTCCACTTTGCCCCCTCTTGCGATGCTATCGACACTTTAAGAGGCTTGTCTAGGAAGGCATGATTTCAAGGTATGCAGAAAACGAGTAGCAAAATGACCGCTAGATTGGAGACATAATCCCAAAAAACCCAAGAAGCAGATCTATGCGTATGAAGTGTTGCTATGCATTGCCCTAATTATCCCATTAAACGCCATTTTTGTAACGATGGTATTAAGAAATAAAATAAGGGTATCTCAATCGTATCAAATCATGTCCACAATGCTCACCCGGGCCACACGCCTCCTCCGAGGGTTCTTTGTAGATTGTGCATCGTTCTTTGTATCGGTCTGACGAGCATCTGAGTTGACCGGATCCATACCGGTGGCAGAGAATGTATCAACTGTCCAGAAGCCATCCAATATCGTGATGTTTTCGATATGGCCTTTTGTTCGCGTATTGATTGAGGTCTGCTGCTCTGCCTTTAAAGAAGTCATCGAGTGGTCCTTTGAGGTGGCGCGAGATTTCTTGGACGACGCAATGGTCTTTGAATGAATGGCATGCTTATCGCGTTCCTGGTTCGGCTTGATTGAGTATTTGGGTTGGGCTCTTAGCGGGATCTTTTGCGACAAAGCCTGTTCCGATGCCTGCATAGTTTTCACAGGACTGGTTTGCGAAGGACGCCCGGTGGTGCCATCATCCGCCTTTGATAACCTAGGTTTACGCAATGAGCGGGCTGGGAGATCATGTTTTTGCTCATCATGTTCCTCGGAAATTGATAGTGAACCCATAGGTCCCTCCAAGTAGTCGAGACTGAAGGCGTCCTCAAGAGCGTGTGAGCTCATATCGGGCTTGTGTGTAGTGTTGGAAGTCTTTTGCTTGAGCTTGCGTGAGGTACCCCCAAGACTCTTTCCTGCGGCTCCACCTTCATTTTTTGAGCTTCTCGATTTGACTGAATGGCTTGACGGTTCTGCTGACGAATTCGAGGATTCCTGCACACCAACAGACTCGACAGCCGATAGGGTTGATTTGTTGACATCAAACGCATCATTTGACACCGGCCGAGCTCGGGATCGTATAGAAAACTGGTCAACTGCTGGAGGGCCCTTCACTCTTGATGATGGTGGTCTAGTTGTTAGCGAGGAGAACGTCTCAATTAACTCGTCCACCTCACGTGAGGAAGCACGCGTATGACCCGAGGATTGTTGCTGGGAGTACATACTCAGCGTGAAAGAATCATCCTCGAGGTCTATGACCTGAGATGAAGAAGACAAAGCCCGAAGCAAGGCCGGCTGTTGTTTTGTAGAAGCACTTTCCAGCAAGTATGACTTATTGGATGCAGAAAGGTTGGATCTTTCCTTCGTAAGCGTTCCATATTTCAATATGCTACCACGCTTCATTCCCGGGTCGATGGCCCCCTTCTTCTTCGGGCCCGTTCGTCGGGTACCCGACTTCTTGGGAGCAGCGGCCTTCTTGGCCTTCTCAGCTTGCTCATCCTCCCACTTTTTGACAATAGTGGGAAGGCCAAGCTTGGCGACGGACTCCAGCACCCACATCTTTTGAACAGCATAGACATCATAGCGCTTTGTGACTCGAGCCTTAGAAGACGTTGCGGGTTGAGGTTCATCGGCGGCAAGCTCTGCCTCGTCTTCTTCGCCTTCAATCTGAGCCGTGTCGACGGAAGGCTCCGTCTCCGAAGACGGGAGTGGAGGATTTGGTTCTTCCTTCATAAGGTCAAGGCCAACGACGTCAATTGGGAGCATATCAATTTGCAACTCGGTCATGCCATCTGTACCGAAGCTAACACGGCTTTTGTAAACCTTTTGGAGCCATGGTGTATCGCACTCCGGTGCAAGCGAGGGACCCGAGATGGCCGATACTGGTCTTTGGCGGCGAAGTCTGTATGTAACCAAAGGCTCGGCTAGGTTCTTGATCACTTTCCGAGCACCGGAGCGATATTTCCAATCCAAGAACTCGGCAGCGAAGCTTCTGATCGCTAGTGGGTCGATTTCGCGATCCCAGGCATGTTTCAGCCGATGCCTAAGAGCTGCCATTTCCTCATCGGTGGAAACCTCTGGCTCAGCATAGTACTTGAGAATAGTTGGATCGGGAAAGTTCTCCGGGATTCGGACTGCTGGGTGTTTGTTGACAAAGTAGCCACTCTCATTTGAATCCAACTCGTATTGCAGTCGGTCTCGCCATTCGCGGAGTTTCGAGTCAAGGTCTGGCGCGTCCGAGGTGATTATTCCATCAGGTTCCGGCGGATCTGAGGCGATTAATCCAAGAAGATCCTCGCCAAACTGAGCCTTTGCAATTTCTGCAGCGGTACCAGGACCACACTTCTCGACCCCGGACGGAAGGTAATCTCCTCCGCTTAGCATAGCGAAGAGGATCATTCCAGCCCTATCCAAGGATATATTTGACACATAGCCCTGGTCACCCAAGTGATAGCAAGTGACGTGTGTTGCACCAGATGCCCCACTTCCGCTCTCGTTCGAGAAGTTCATCATTGTGAAAGTCGACCCGAACATCAGAGCATCAACGTCATTGCTTATAACTGCATCGACAATGCCAGCCTGTTGTAACCGAGCGCACTCGGCTTCCGCTTCCCCGGGTGCTTCATGCCATGGAAACCGAAATCGCTCGATAAGGTCCCTCGAGCGTTTGATGATTGGTAAATTGCCCGAGTTGCGCGATACCGCTTTGCCTCGCTTGAACGGGGGCTTATGAGGGCCATCATAGACGAAGAGTGGGTGTACAGGCAAAGCAAGTAGCTTTAGCAGTCGAAAATAAAGGGTTCGTAGTTCCGGGTTCTTTCCTCCGCGCGATGCTTGGACCTGGAAAAGCCAAATGGAGATATCAACGGCGATTCGGATGGGCCTCGCAGTTCGTTCCAGGTGCAATCCGGCCACTTTGGCCAGGGAGACCCGCTCTCCTGCACCTATGGCGCCGATGAGCCTGTTTCCAGTTAGTTGAGGGTTCTCAAGGTCATGGATGCGCCCCGATATGATCCCCGAAGGGCCGTTGCTAGGCGAGCGTGTTCATGGTTGACCCCGCAGATCTGGCCATGCATTCGAGCTACAAAACGACTGAAAATACGTACCCTGGGATACCCATTAGGCCGGTCAGCAAGTCGGTAGCTTCAGAACGAGAAGTATATGGCCATGCAGGGCAAGTGGTGAGGAGTTTTCAGAGGGACAGGTTGAATGTTGACGAGTAAATAAACCACGGCCCGAAGAAGTTCCGTTGCTTCTAGTACCAGCGCGTCCAGCTCCGCGACCCCATTCACCAATCAACCTCTGGCTTCCCACATCTGCTGTCAGTACTGCCCCTTACTGAGAGGAGACTTTCTCTAACAAACAGAAGCGACTTTTATGGCGGTTTGTCACCGGTCGGCGTCCCGCTAAAGCGAGTTCTTTGTGCCGCGGATTTCTGAACCTCCGAGGGGCACCGCAACTCTCCAACACGCATACGAGCTCGCTAACAGAGCAAAAAGCGCATTGCCGTCTGGCGATCAACGCAAATCCAAGATGTCAGCGCCCTCGAATTTGCGTCATACACAGACAGCTCGGCCCTCCTCCCCTCATACGCCCCAACAAGCTCCGCGCTCCGGCAATACCTCCTTTGCTAGTACGACGTCACCAGGCTCAACGTTTCGCAACGAGGATGATGCGATTATCTTTGAGATAGGCGCACGATGGCTCCGCGCAGGATTTGAAGGCAATGGTACTCCTGTCTGTGCGGTGGGATTCGGTCCTGAAGAATCGAGAAGAGTTGGGGACTATCGAGGATGGATTCAGGGCGCTGCGGGCAATGGGCCATTGCCAAAACCCCTCGATGCGGAGGACTGGGTACGAGACTATGAATTGTGGCAACCAGACCTTCGTAAGATTGATTTGGGCTTGCTGGAGGATAAGATCGAGCGCCTCTTTCGCGAAACATACAACAATTACCTCTTGACAGACGCCGGTTCCTCTCGCCTGGTCCTGACCCTTCCCTCTCTCATGCCGCATCCATTGCTTTCGTCGCTACTCTCTACCTTGTTCAGCCGCTGGCGGTTTCCTAGCATCACCCTTCTTCCGAGTGCGACCATGTCGGCAACCGCTGCGGGATTGCGGTCGGCTTTGGTGGTGGACCTTGGATGGGCGGAAACTACGGCGACCGGTCTTTACGAGTACAGAGAAATCACCACAAAGCGAAGCACGAGGTCAATGAAATCTCTTCAACAGGAGATGGGACGGCTGCTCTCTTGCCTCGAGACTGGCGAGGATCACGTGGCACAGGGCAAGGATGTGATCTCCGTTGGGTTCGCATACTGTGAGGAGGTTCTCACTCGATTCGCCTGGTGCAAGCCATTCGCAGAGGGTGGAGAAGAACCGGTCCAATCCGTTCGCACCGTTTCAATACCTTCTCCCAGAAATCCAGCGCAAGAGTTCATCGATATACCGTTCTCCCGCCTGGCAGAGCCTGTTGAAACAGTTCTCTTTGCAACGGGCATCCCCGAAAGCGAATTGGATGACGAGGAGAAGACGATTCCCTTGCTCATTTACAAAACTCTCCTGGCTTTACCGCCTGATGCACGCGGGACGTGCATGTCACGCATTGTCTTTGTGGGCGGTGGAGCTCGAATTCCTGGAATTCGAAAGAGGATTCTTCATGAAGTGTCTGCTCTGATAAAGACATACGGATGGAGTGCGGTTCGAGGCAAGGCTATTGAACGACAACGCCAACGAATGGAGGATCTGCGGATCTCGTCTCTCTCGATTCAGAGTAATGGACAGAAGCAGAAGCCACCAGCTGGCAAAAATGGAGAGAGCCCAGCCGAGGACGAGAAAATAGAGCCTTCCCAGGAAGAGCCGGAGATCGACTTTGTGGAACAGAAGTTGCGCCGACAGAACAAAGATACGCCTGTTCCTGTGCAGGGAGTCCTACGAGAAGTCGAATCTCTCGGCGCCTGGGCTGGAGCTAGTCTAGTGACTAGCTTGAAGTTACGTGGAATGGTCGAGATCGAGCGAGAGAAGTTCCTGCAGAACGGGCTTGCTGGTGCGACGCGCGACTCCGAGCCTCCTGTTCCTGATCGCCGATCGGGTCTGAGAGCCGGCGATCGATCTAGCTGGACCCTGGCTGGGTGGGCATGATGCTGTACATTAAACAATCTTGCGTTACATAAAGAAGATACCTCAATAGATACCCCCACAATTCACCACCAAATCTGGCTGTGTTGCCAACTTGCCTCGGACCGGAAAATGCGGGGAACAGACCCACGCTTCCTTGGCCCGTTCGATGCCAACGTGAATGGGCATTGCGACTTGCGTGCACGGTAGACCTACGATACTTATTGCGATGAAGGACTTTAGTCCGCCACCATTACGCGCACCCAAGGCGTGTGTCGCCTGTAACAAAAAGAAGGTCAGATCGGACCTCCCTCGCAAGGGCGAGGATACGACATAGCTGACCATCGTAGGTTCGATGCATCTTTCAAGGCTCTACCAGCTCATGCTTGAATTGCTTGCGACACCAATGGCCCTGCTGGTAAGTGGGCTTCCACATATTATCACAATCGGGTGATTCAGACGAATAACCCTATAATAGCCAGCGAGAGCGCAAGCGTAAACGCCAGAGAGCCAGCGATGGTGAATTCGACACTGAAGTTGTCAAGGAAAGACAACATCGACGCCGATTGAGTTGGAACGAAGGGGAGTCTGTGCACTTACAAACTTCAAGAAATGCCGCACGTTCTTCAATCGAACATTCTGAGGACGAGCCTAGTCCACTAGATGTCTCGGGTATCGAGGAGAGGTCGAGATTTACCAACTCCCCTCACGCGTCCAACCCGTATTCATCAGCTTCTAGTCTGAGTTTCATGGCGCGGTCAAGATATTTCGAAGATACCGTGGTTATCAATGAAGACCAAGCTAGGTCATATCCCATGGGAGAGGCCGATGGCCCTTCCGATGATGACATTCAAGTACTTCGGTTACAAGGTGCATTTGAGCTTCCTCAACGCGCAATCCGTGATGGCTTGATCAATACCTTTATGGAACGCTGCTCACCCTGGATGCCCATTGTTGAGCGTAGCTGGTTAGAGGAAAGTGGTGCCCAGAAACCTTCAATCCTTCTCTTGCAATCAATATTCGTCGCGGCAAGTCGAGTCAGTTCTGCACCGGCTATCACTGCGTATGCATCACCTCATCAATTCTATCGCCGTGCGAAAGCCCTCTTCTGGTCTGGATATGAAAAGAACCCGGTTACTGTCGTCGCAGCCGTATGCATTCTGCATTGGTATAATCCTGAAGGCCCTGAACACGTCTCTACAAACACCAGCGGTTTCTGGCGGTACGTTGGGGTCGGACTCGCTCACCAAATAGGTCTACACAAGGAGCCCACGAACAAGAGAGAAGCTGGCCTCAGGCGTAGGCTTTGGTGGACACTATTTGTAAGTCACACTCCGGGAGCTAATTGTGATACAATATCCGATGTCTGATCTGATTATTGTTAGGCCAGGGATTGCTTGATTTCTGCAGGACAAGGGCGTCCACTTGCAGTCAACATAGATGACTGTGAACTGGCACCACCGTGCCTGGAAGATTTTGATGACTCCAGCTCAGACGGTGCTCTTTTTATTGCATATGTCGAGATTGGCTCTATCCTTGGCCACCTCACACAGTGCTACCGGCGCAAGAGCTTCACACGGCACATGCGACAAAGTATCGAAAATCGTCTTTACCGGTGGATGCGAGATCTTCCAGCTTCCCTGAGACTTTTTAATCGGCACTCGCCTTCATCAGAATGGGAGGCTTCAAAAAACACTCTAGCTCCATATCGCTTTGAAGCCCGCCAGCTCCACATCCCATACTTCATCTGCCTCGCTATCATGTGCCGTCCCAGCCCGGGAAACTCACCATCTCCAGCCGTGGTGCTCGCATCTTCTTTTGTAGCAGGTATATTCGAAGACTTCCTAGCCCGAGATGAGATTCAGTTCTTGGGCCCGATCTTCACATTCCACTTGCTGGCAGCCGGCATTGGGTTACTCTCGTGCCGCCACATACCCAACTTATGGAGGAAAGCAGCCACTGATCTCGAGAATATTTATTTATCTCTAGAGGTTCTTGCCAAACGTTGGTCCTCCGCCAAAGGTAGCCTCAGGGCCTTGAGGAGCATCGCCGAGAAGCAGCAACGAGCGACGAGATCAGAGGCGACCCCGCTGCAGAAGCTTCCACGAGAACATCAACCATTCTTTAAACAATTCGGACTGGATTTATCCTGGGCCTGGCAGTGTTTTATGCCCTCGGAATCTACCCCTACATTTCAAAATCCATCCGGTGCCTCGCCGATTACCGAGACTGGCGATGTCCCACTTGAAGGGTTTACTAAATCCCGTCCTCCGGCTGTCGTGCCATCTACGGAGGAATACCGGCCTCTTAATACGATTTTGGATCCTCACATGGGATTTTCAATGGGGAATATGTCAGGGGGGATGCCTGATGAGTTTTTCCACAATCAATACCAGGGTATGGGTGATTGGCTATTCGAAGACCTGGAATGGACTGGCGATATTCAGTGGTAGGACTACTTGCAGACTTATTAAACGATAGAAACCCGATCGAAATTCACGTCAAACAAGAAAGAAGTATGTCAACTAGTTTCAAAAAGGGTATAATGACCTGTAGAGTGCACAATTGCCGTCTTGCCTTTCTCCGGCATTCGGCAATCGGTGAATTTGGCAGATTGTGGGGTCCGAGGGATCAGCGCGTGCGGGGGAAGCATTCAAGCTCGGCTCAAGGATATTCGCAGATGTGGCCTAGAGGAAAAGAAGTATTAGATTAACAAGATCAGCTTACAAGATTTTTTTCCTTCTTCTAGTGACTTGACTTCAGGTTGGGGAAAAATGCCCGACAATATGACTGATATCCCGACCTTTCGCAATCTCTCACTCGAGAGACATGGCAATGTTTTCGTCTTGACCATGCAGAAGCCTCCAGAGAACCGGTTGAACTCTTGGTATTGCCAGGAAATGATACGCGCTTATCGTACAGTGGAGAGACTCTTAGGTCCCGACTCTGAAGGTGCTGTTATCACCCGAGGCAGTGATGCAAAGTTCTGGTGCACTGTATGTGTTACTTCTGGTTTACTTCTCGTAAATATGGAAAGCTGATCAGCATCTAAAGGGCCTCGAGTTGGACGAAGCTGATACCAACCAATTTGCTAACACGGATGGCTTTTACCCGGTATGCACTTCTTTCAGAAGTCATGAGCCAGCTGGGGCAATTCGACCTACAGATGATGCTAATCTACCACCAGCTTATCCATACCATCCTCGATTTCCCATTCCCGACCATCGCATTACTCACCGGCCACACATTCGGCGGTGCCTGTCCTCTTGCATTGGCACACGATTATCGTATCATGAACTCACGCCGAGGTTTCATTTCCATGCCCCCTGTGAACCTGGGTTTGCATTTTGATGGAATTGGCTCCTTGCCGAGGCTCAAGTTGCGTCCTCAAATCGCACGCAAAATGCTTCTCGAGGCACACAAGTGGACCGGGAAGGAGGCGTTAGAAGATGGAATTGTTGACGCTATTGCTGAACCGGAGAAAATGCTCGATGCTGCACTTGAGCTTGGGAATAAGGTAGCACCAAAGGCTAAAATGGGGTGAGTTTTTGGATGCTAGCCCAGGTTTAGGACCTGTGTCTTTAGCCACCTTGCAGTATCTTCAATGCTAACAATACTCGCAGGGTATATGCGCTGCTGCGCCAGGAGCTTTGGGGTGATGCAATCAAGAAATTCCAGCGGATTAGCTATGTTCATAGTCGTATGACTACTGCCCCTGCAAAGGCAAAGATATGATCTTCCAGAAATTATCGATTTAGTTGTACATAGTTCAATGAGATACCTGTTACCTCAATGGATCATTTAAACATGGGGCTTATATTCTTGTATTTAGAGAAGTTCTATCATGTAAATGCGTTCTTTTAAAGTATCTATAGTTTCGACCGCTTCTCTTTGCTCCATACCTGAACCTCAGGAATATCACGATAGTTTGGTGGGAAGAACTTCGGTCCCAAAATCTTCTTTTGCACCTTGGCCGTGCCTGACTTGGGCAATTCCCCCTTAACCAGCCGCAAAATAGTTGGCATCTTGTACCCGTTCAACTTGGTACGGAGATCTTCTCTCAACTCGGCCAGAGTGAGACTATTGCGGGTGGTGTTTGGGTCCGTCTTGAGACTGATGGTGGCTGCTACTCGTTGTCCGAATTCTTCGTCTTCAACGCCGACCACCATTACCTCGGAAACGTAATCCAGTCCCAGAATCTCTCGCTCAACATCCAATGCCGAGATCTTATAACCACCAGACTTGATGATGTCGATGGAGGCACGACCGAGAATGAAATAGTACTTCCCTTCCCTGCGGGCAATGTCACCCGACTTGAAGTATCCGTCTTTGTCGTGGGCATCCATTGTGGCTTTCTCATCGTGAAGATATCTGTCAGGTAGACGACGTGTCAATAAAGCCCGAGGGAATTTGCTAGGAACGCTTGTCACTCACTTTGAAAACATGAAGGGACACTTGACAAGAAGATGACCATCCTCTTCGAGCTTAAGGGATACCGACTCGACCACTCGACCAACGCTGTTCCGTGGCGTACCCGTGGGATCCAGGTCTGTCTTGATCACTGCCCCAAACTCCGTAGCACCATACCGAGTCAGGATTGGCAGCTGTCGCAAATTCTCCCAGAATTCCTGCACAGGGCCAGGAAGCGCAGACGAGCCACATAACATGGTGCGGATGCTACGCGCTCCAGCGATGTATTCATCACGCACCTTGGGTGCTTGATTGGCAATATTTTCCTCATAATACCGCATCATACGCATATAGATGGTGGGCACACCGGAGAAAAATGTCAGTCCTCCACGACGCCAGCGCTCCCAGGTCCATGCCGTATCAAAGCCACCGCTCCGGAATTCGATGCATGCACCGGCTGTCAGGAAAGGAAGGAATGTAAGTCCCACACCGGAGGCGTGATGAACTGGCAATACGTGAAGCACGACGTCACTCTCGGTGATTCGATAGAAGTCTGCGTCGGTTTCGGCATTGCCCGTCAACCAAGTACGCCGCTGAACTGCACCCTTGGGCGGGCCTGTCGTCCCTGATGTGAATATCACTGCACTTGCACCGTTCATATCAAGCATTCTGTTTGAGGAAATAACGACATCCTCGGCCGAAATGGGTGTAGGAAGGAAGAACGACGCGATAGGCGAAAGACAGGGAATAGCGAAGTTTTTCTTCTCAGCCATAGATTGGACAATGGACTGGCCGAGCGCTTCGCTGGTTGTACTGGCCACCAGGGCTACACATTGAGCCTTGTGGAGAAAGTAAGACGCTTCTTCTACCGGTAATCCAGCAGCTTCTCAATGTCAGTTATGCCTTTCATTGTTACTACCGGAATTGAACTCACCCATTGGCACCACTGCAGCGCCCATAGCAAGGATGGCAATGAACCCCACAGTATATTCATAACCACCCGGTGCCAGTAAACCAATATAGACTTCTTTATCTTCAGATAGGTCGCGAAGAGTCTTTTGACTAAGCACCTTCTCCAACTCGACACGAAGCGCAAGAGCATCGGACAGCACGTCGTGGTATGTTTTCTCCAAGCCTGCGTTTACATCTCGGACAGCTGTGCGCGAAGGTTTGCGCTGAGCATATCGAAGCAGCTTATGAAAGAAAGGAAGATTGGGAAGCACGTTTCTCCCCCAATGGGAGGGTACATAAAGAGTTCGGTCACCCATTGCTATCGAATATCCTTCAGAACCGACCAGTTTGCCCGCTGTTGATAAGGGGAAATGCCGAACCTTTAAAAGCTCTTCACTTTAATACACTGAAATCTGGCCATAGAAATCTCCCCGCGTTAATCTTCTTATTTCCGAGATCTTCAAGTCGGCTACTTACTTCCCCACGATCTGCCCCGCAGCAGGAAGACCGGCCGGCATTCGGCACTCGGCGAATTTGGGCAGCCTCACCAGAAGCCTAGGTTAAATTCGGGAAGAAGATGGACCTACAAAGATTGAACCCATATAAGCTGGCTATGGGTTGTCATAGTATCCTGATTTTCATAGGTTGTCACAGTCAAACTCAACAATATGCCCGACTTCACTGACAAGCTCCGCCCAAGTCAACCAGATGGCCCTACAACCCTCGCTCGTGAGCGAGGGCAGTCCAATATCTCGGTGGATGAGCTCAGCAAACATCTATTTTCTGTAGATAACTTCCTCGAGAGACAAGCTCAGATACTTCCCATCGTGCAGAAAGAGCCACTTTTCTCCAAGGAGAAACAGCAAAATCTGTCACGAGTGGAACGATTCAAGCTCGGTCTGGCGCGTGCAAAGTTACTGCGTCGAATGACTGACCGGCATCGATGGGACCATGAAGATTATAAGATGGCCCAGTACTTGGTTGATGATGTCTCCCCCTACTTCCTGCACATGGAGATGTTCGTCACAACCATTCGTGAGCAAGCAAGCGAAGAGCAGCGCGCCTACTGGATGCCTTTGATTGAATCGTGGAAGATCGTTGGTGCTTACGCTCAAACTGAGCTTGGCCATGGTAGCAATGTTCGAGGATTGGAGCTTGAGGCACGTTGGGATAGCAGTACCAAGGAGTTTGTACTTCACAGTCCCACACTTACGGCGAGCAAGTGGTGGAATGGAAGCTTGGGTCGCGTTGCCAATCACGCCATCGTCGTCGCCCAGCTGCTTCTTCCAAAGCCGGGGTCACCGGTCAAATACGTGTCTCATGGCCCTCATCCGTTCATTGTGCAAGTGCGCGATATGAAGACCCATCAGCCTCTCAATGGCGTGGTCATCGGTGATATTGGGCCCAAGTATGGTTATATCACCATGGATAATGCCTACATGCTATTTGATAACTTCCGGTAGGCCAGGAGTCTTCTCCTTGGAGCAAATGTGAGCTAATACGACGGTCAGTATCCCTCATTCTGCAATGCTATGCCGGTACTCCAGCGTCGATCCCACCTCTGGGGCGTATGCAAAGCCAGAGCAGCCAGCTTTAGTTTATGGATCTCTGACATACGTCCGCGCAAACATCGTGCATCATGCCCGATTAGTGCTTGCAAGAGCAGTGACAGTGGCAGTCCGGTACACAGCTATTCGGCGGCAATTCCAAGATCGAGACGGTGACAAAAATGGGCCCGAAATGTCCGTCCTTGACTACCCGACTGTCCAAATCCGCATTCTCCCCCTCCTAGCGACCGCATTTGCACTTCATTACACCGGCCTGTCTATGCAGAATGTGTACCAAGCTACCCGGAAGGACATTGAAGGCGGTGATTTCCGTTCCTTGGCTCATATGCATAGCATGTCATCAGGACTAAAGAGTCTATGCACTATGCTTGCTGCAGATGGGATCGAAACTTGCAGACGTGCGATGGGTGGACACGGCTTCGGAGGTGGAAGCGGCCTTATTCAGTTAAACAACGACTATCTTTCCAAGCCAACAGTTGAGGGAGATAATTGGATGATCACGCAACAAGTTGCCGCCTATCTGATCAAGAAGATGACCGCTGCTGTCGAATCTGTTAACGCCCCCGGCACAGATGAGACAGATGCTAGATTCAAAGAGTTTGTTCGGAACAAGCAAAGTGCTGGCTCCAACCAGCCTGTATACACTTCATTGTCGAGCGACCAAGATATTGTCAAGAGCTTCGAACTTCGAGCAACAGCTTTGGTATGTCAATATATTTGGTTCAAGTCCATTTTATCAGTGGTTTCTCTGACAATCTGTAGGCATATGATGCATATGAGCAGCGGGTATTGAAGAAGCAAAATTGGAATAGCCTGCTCATTCAGCTTCACAAGTTGAGCAAAGGTATAACCCATTCCTCCGAAATTCTCAGCCATTGTGCTCACTCATATTTTAAACTAGCTCAATCCCAGTCGATACTTGTGGCAACCTTCTTCGAAGCACTGTCAAGCGACAAGTCTCTATCTGGCCCAGCAAAAACCGTTCTATGTGACCTCTTCCGCCTGTTTGCCTACTATACCATGGAGAATGAAGGATATGAATGTGAGAAAATATCATTCCCACAATCTTGTCCATGCTGCATCACTAATTGAACGCTCAAAATTTTAGTTTTCCGCTGCAATGCTGTGTCTCAATCCGATCTCAACGCCCTTCCATCCCGCATTCAGGAATTGATGGCCCGAATCCGCCCACATGCTGTCAACCTGGTTGACTCGTGGAAGATTCCTGACTATCTATTAGATAGGTAATAATTTCCTTGCCCAGTCAATAACACGAGTGCTGGAGACGAACTAACCACGATTACAGTGCTCTGGGGCGATACGATGGCCGTGTATATGAGGATCTCTACAACAGAGCCCATCGCTTGAACCCGCTGAACCGGATCACATTCAACCCTAATTACTGGGATGAGGAAATTGTTATGGGAACAGGGGAGAATGGGCGAAACATTTTATCCAAGTTGTAACCTAGAGGCCACATAATCTTGTTCACTGAGTTAGATATCAGGTAAAGGGAGTTCATTCCGAATGGTGGCCTGATGTCTACTTGAAAGCATCTTGAATCAAACCAATATATATTCGGTACTTAGTTCCCAACTCAGGATGCCACCAGGATGTAGGCTAGACTTAAGGTCACCCAAGGGCGATCAAGGATATAGATCGCTGAAACTACAGTCACGACTATAGTACGGCTAGACTGTCCGGCAATGCAGAGGTGTATGGAATCAAAACAACAAGGTCCTTCGGAGGTTTCGGAGGTTTCGGAGGCTGTCTTGCAGAGGTAAAGTTTGCGCTAGTATATTTTAGGTTTAGGTAAATATGCAATATGGTGTGGGGTAAGAATTGCTTCTTATTATTGGCTGTTCTAGCTGTCCATCCCGCCTTCAATTTTGCCTTGGGGGTGCAGCGGCGATTCGGAACCTCGCAAGGTCCCCACTGTGGGAGGACATCATCTGGAGCCGAGTAAGTGATTGAGCTACTGTTGATTATTTGTAGCTACGAACTCGCCTCTTTTTTTGGCTGTCACTTTCTCACTACAAGTGCACGCGCTAAACAACCTCGCTTCTGTCGCAATGGCGATCACTGCTAAGTGCCACAAGCTCCTGGAGGCTGAAATCCTTCAGCGATCCTCGCAAATCGTCTCGGTTGTTGGCGAACAAGCATATATCTTCGGAGGAGAGCTACGACCTCGTGAGCCTCGAGACAATGATGTGCACGCCGTATCTCTGGACAACGGTAAGCTGCATGCTACTTCGAGACAGCCCTCAAATTTCAACAATGCTAATAGTTTCACTTCATAGCTACTGCCTCAATAAGTTCTCAGCCCCAATCCTCCCAATCTCCCTCTGCCCGAGTCGGAACAGCATCTGCCACTCTCAATGGAAAAATATATCTTTTCTCTGGCCGTGGGGGTGTCGCAATGGCCCCTATCGAAGAACAAGGCGCGATCTGGGAATATGACCCTTCCACTTCCACCTGGTGTCTGATCGAACCATCAACAACCAAGTCGGCTGCCATCCCAGCTGCTCGCAGCTATCATTGCATGACCAGCAACGGAAAAGACACACTCTACATCCACGCAGGATGTCCCGAATCAGGACGACTATCAGACTTGTGGGCGTTCAATGTCTCACGCAAAGAATGGACCGAACTTGCTCCAGCCTTCGATCCCCCTCGTGGTGGTACATCCATTGCCTTTGCGGATGGAAAATTGTACCGTATGAATGGGTTTGACGGGAAGACCGAGCAGGGTGGAAACTTGGACATTTATACTCCAGAGACCAATTCTTGGGAGACCCATGTCTATGCCCCCGGCGGAAAGGAAGGCCCTTCTCCACGAAGTGTTAGCGCCTTGTTGGCTATTTCCATCAGTGGCCGGTCCTATCTGATTACCTTGTTCGGAGAGCGGGACCCCAGTTCATTGGGCCATCAGGGTGCGGGCAAGATGTTGGGTGATGTGTGGGGCTTTGATATTGAGAATAAGAAGTGGGAACAGGTGGACATGCAGGGTAGTGAACTCCCACTTGCTAGGGGTTGGTTTGATGCCGATGTTGCCGCTTCAAATTCAATCATTGTTCATGGTGGTCTGGGAGAGTCCAATGATCGGCTTGGGGATGTCTGGAAGTTTGAGTTTGCCTAGACTTGAGCCGAGCGTACACTAGAACGCTAGATAACAGTGAATTCGACGCCGAAAACGGCTACTCTTGACGCTGTTTGTCTAGCCGATATACCCAGGTTGAATCAATTTGCCGGGGATGTGCAAGAGTACAGAGGAGATTATGTCAAACGGCGCTGAACTTTCCAAATTGCACACTACTCGTAGTCAGTTGTGAACAGGTTTTGAGATATGAAAGCTCCATTACCATAAGCCAGCGGAGTTCTCTCACGCTCCTGTAGCTTTATCAACGAAGGTCGGGATATTTAGCGATGTACAACTTAGACTAAGCCTCTTGAGGCCTCTCTTCGCCCTCCAGACGTTGCTCGACTGTATAATTTCTGGGCACCCTTGGATAACCCAGAACCATTTCTTGATAAAAAATTCAGACACTTCCCAGCTTGAGGCCAGCCACGGGTCACCCCATATAACCATGCCAACATTTCTATCTGCGGGATCCATGATGTCTGTACAGAGATCACAGTCATTGAATAGATGCGCGACTAGGATCAAGTTGTCCCGGATTTGCGGAAAGGGAAAGCAATCTAGCCAGGGATGGTGAGGGACATGAATCTGGACAGCGGTTGGGAAAAGCCCAGGGGGAAGTTTTCTGTCTTCATAAGGGGATGGCTGGGGTGTATTGAATGGGGATGGGATATCGTCTTCGATGTCCTGAAGCGGAATACTAAGGAGGCTTAGGTTCTGCATGAAGGCACGTAGGACGTTGAACTTGGATAGGGTTATGAGATGGTCCAAGCAAGGGTTCCCTGTGGAATACCTTTCATATGCGTCTTGGTCGAATTGTGCCATCATGAGAGCCGCTTCTGCAAGGCTTGCTGGCTGCTGATACTTTGCTACCTGTGTCGGCCTTGGGAGAATGAAGGCTTTCCTTGGATTACCCTTTCTCTGCTGCATAGCTTCTTTTTGCTGCTCGCGTATAATTTTCCGTCTTTCTCCTGAAATGAAACTTAGTGGGTCTGCGAATGAGATTCAAATAGAGCATATTTGACCAATCTACCTACTTTGAGCACGTTGGTTCAGCTTATTTTGCATTCTCCGTCGTGCACTTGGGTCGGTGATCCCTGTCCAGTCTTCCTCGGGCTGGCGAATCCGCGCCCGAGATGAAATCGCACCAGCATCAATATTTAGCTTGGACAGGTTTGAATCCATTGGCTGCAAAACAGTCACCAGCCTGTTGGGTGTGCAAGGAGGAAAGGAGAATAGAAGTTTCGGCGAGGCAGGTGGAGTAGTAAAATACGCCAAAAAAGCCTCATTTTTCGGCCGTTACTGTGTTTGTTTGTTGGTTGGTATATAGCCATTCTAGGGCAATCTCGACATTCGCAGACATCAATAGGTCCTTACTTCTATGGGCTTTTTTTCATCTTCTCTCCGATCGGTTCAACTCATATTTTCAACTCAGACTTGGGTCCTGAGGTAATTTTTTTCTTTGCCAAATTGCCACCCTTGTAGTGTACCGTACTCACTACGTACCGAATGCGGCTGATATCCGCGATGGACCGATTGGAGCAAAAGTGACTAACGTAGTTCCCTCTAAAAGCGCTTTTTTACAGCTCCATATTTCAACACTCCAGGCTGTTTTTGTAGTCCTAGGATATCTTGGTATTTAATATATCATACTAGGTGTTTTTATCGGGTCGAGTACTATCTTAGGCCTTCATAATGTAGACGAATATATCCACGTCACGGGTCGAGCAGAGTCTTGGTAATAGCAGTAATTAATCATACCCTGAAGATATCAATTGTTCTCAACGTTTCTAAAGCTCAGAAATCATATTTTACTAGAACTGAAGTAGAAATATCTCCTCGTTATTGATAATATTGTGACTTGAAAAATCGCATTTAGTGTTAGGGTGCCCGGGAACTACGTTAGACCCGTGGGTTATGGCTTTGCTGACGCGAATTGGACCAATCAGTTCTCTTCAAGAGATTTCAGGTAGTTTGGCTTCCTATCGTGTTTTTGATGAAAAGCCTATAAGAAAGAGCATGTGGAAGCACTTTCTCAACCAAATTCCGATCTTCTTTTTAACTAGGATAGGAGCGCCAATCTGACAGCTCAGTCTTCGATTGATTCACCCCTGCGATGCCGAAGATGCCTACATTCTCCAGCAATAACATCCCCGATCTCCGTGAGCAAGTCATCATTGTCACTGGAGGCAATATAGGGCTCGGTTATGAAACCATTCTCCAGCTCAGCTTGCACAACCCAGCAAGAGTCTACCTCGCTGCTCGATCGAAAGAGAAGGCCACAAAAGCAATCCATGACCTACGCGAATCTCATCCGAAGGCTGCTGATATCCAATTCCTCCAGCTTGACCTTGCATCATTCGAAAGTGTGAAGGCAGCTGCTGCCGAGTACCTTCACCGAGAGTCTCGCTTGGACATCCTTGTCAACAATGCTGGAATAATGATGACGCCGGAAGGACTCACAAAGGAGGGCTATGAGATACAATTCGGAACAAACGTGGTTGGCCCAGCATTGTTCACACAGATTTTGTTGCCAACATTGCGAAAAACGGTCAAAATCAACCCTCAGGCCCGAGTCGTGATGCTGAGTTCTGCTGCCCACGCTCGCGCCCCCGATGATGTTTACAAGTTCGACGAGGTCCGTACAACAATGTCCGACCGACACACGACTGCACGGTATACAATGTCGAAACTCGCCGATCTTCATTATGCAAAGGCTCTGGCCGAGAGAGAAAAGGAGTTCAAGATAATTCCTGTTCACCCGGGCATGGTGGCAACCAATCTCCATCATGCCTCAACTGGTTACTTTCTGAAGCCTTTCCTCTATGCTGCGATCATGTTCGCGACACCTGTCGAGAAGGGCGCTCTCTCCCAGATCTTTGCTGCCGTGAGTCCTGATGTCAAAACTGGACAGTACTATGGTCCCGTAGGAAAAGAAGAATCAGGATCCAAACTTGCTCAAAATCGTGCCCTTCAAGAAAGGTTGTTCAAATGGGTCCAAGGCGAGCTTCTAGGGCATGTCGAGACAATCGAGGAATAGGTCCTGCTTTGCTTTCTTGTGAAATACTTTGTGACCATTTCTGAGTCTTCTTATCAAATCGTCTTGTGCCTAAATTAGATCATTTTCGTTGAGTCTAACTACTGCCTGTTTTACCCAGTCGCCCCCTTATTCGGTGTGGCTTGCTCTAAGTGTCCTGACCTCTCTCGCTTGGGATGCTCGGTTTTAAATTCGCTATTGCGAATAAGTCAAACGAAGAGGATTTGGTCGTACTTTGAATAAATTTAGCAAAGCTAGAAACTAAGAACGATTTACCATATTTGCTTTCTTTCCCGGAATTACCCCGAATTCCATTTTAGACCCTATACTCACTTCAGACAGACACTTTATTATGGACATGAGCAAAAACGCTAACGGTATGGTTCCAGATCAGGCTTCTCACCCCTTCCGCACGGTAGCGCTCCATGATTTTACTAGGTTTATAGGTAGAGCCATCTGAGCTCAGCCTGTAGAATCCACTGCCATTGCGACCATCTGATCCTTCCGCAGGATCGATGGAGCTGTCCTTGTATGCAAGCGGTGGAAACGTCGGACTCGCGGCGGCGTATAGGTGTCTCTCTCCGCTTTCATTGAAGGGAATCTCCCACGGTTTGGCAATGGCTACTAAGGCATTGACGGCGCACTTAGCGACGGTGCCCAAATCTCGATTAAGGCGTGTTCGAACAATGCCTGGGAAACTGTGGATGAATGATACTTGCGGATAGTGAGAGGCCAGGTGCTCCATTGAGACAGAGTTCATGGTGATGGCATGTTTTGCGCAGTTGCGGAGCGAGTAGTGGGTCTTGAGCGACAGATCATCCAAGTTCATCGCAGCTTCACTTCCAGCTTCGAGAACGGAGACCACGCGCGATAAAGAGGGCTGAGACTCTGTGGCTCGGGTTATATCAGCGCCCTTTACCAGCTGTGGCAGGAGGTTCTGCACAAATCGCATGCGGGAATAATAGTGAAGGTTGAGCTTCCTGTCAAGGCCTTCGTCTGTTTCTGGTATAGGGGAGAAATATCAGTATTAGATCAAAGTTTCCACTTGATAATAGAACACTATACCATCACGGCCCTTCATAGTACCTATGCCGGGACTCAGAAACAGAATATTCACTTTGTCTTCGTTCCGCTGAATGAGACTGCATGCATCGTCCACCTCGCGCAACAAGGACACGTCCGATTTGATGAAGGTAATTTGTGCGTCCGGTTTCATCTGCTGTAATTCTCTGATAATCTCTGCTGCCCTTGCCTGATCTCGTCCAACAAGGTAAGCATGAGAGGCATCGGTGTTCCGGATAAATGCTCGAGCGGTGGATTCGCCTATTCCACTGGTGCCACCGACTGTACTGCTCAGTATAAATTCAAAAATTTCAATCAAGAAAGGGCGTAATCCTGGACCCTCGCGTTGGGGGAAAACTGCAGCCACAAAACGTAGAAGACTCACCAAAGACAGCGACCAAACCTGGCCCATAACGCCGGGTGATTGCAGAGTTGTTATCCAGTACTGCGGCAATCGAGGCCATTATGTTCTTACGCAGTATCTGTGAGCGCGAGCCCTCAGTCTCACCTTGGGTGAGAATTTATGTTACTAGATGGTGGCGATACGGAAGTAAATAGAGAAATCTTCAATGTGAATATCTAGTTTAGACCCTACGTTTTGATTGGACGAAAAAGCGTCATCCAAGCATTAGTGCAGAACCAGGTGGGGCCCACGGCCCGCTAACTTCAAGGAGGCGCTGAAGTATTCACAAGATTGAACCCTTGTCCTGGGAGTCAATATGAATCAGTTGGTATGGAGACCATACAGCAGTCAATCATCACGCCACCGCATGGTGAGGGGTATGGATCCTACCACGAGGAGTGACAGCCTGCAGCCTCGGTACCTTAGACTTCGGATAGGATTTCGTCCGTCTAAGCACCACTATCTACAAGGATTAGGGACCAGTCAGTACTGATCGAAAAGAAATTCAATTAATCTCGTATTCCTTTCTTTCTTAATGGATAAATAACAAGCAATATAATGTCGTATATACTAAACTCTATTTGAGTACCTTCTAAACGACCTTTTCATCTGCTACGATAGTTCTAATAGAAAAGGAAATTCGGCAAGACAACTTGATAATCTAACGGTTAAGTAGAGAATACTTGTACAAGGGTATCTATCAAGGAAGTAAACCATGAACATAAAGATAGAATTTTAATTAGGAAATACATGGCTCTCGGAACATCGTTCAGTCTTTGGATATCATTGGGTTCCCAAATAAGATCAAGTTATTTTATGCAGGAAAAGCTCGTCGCATAAGTACGTAGTTAGCAGTAAAATTTACATTTTTAGAGCCACACCGCGTGTTCTGTATCCACGCGGCAAAGTCAAGTTCCCTTTCCCTCATCTCTTCTGTATAGAATACATTTTCTAGGCACCGAGATTGCTGTGACGGTCGAAAAACAATTACATATCGGAAAAGGAGGATATTCTGTCTAGAGCTCGTTGTCCAGAACGATGTAGGCGGTCATGGGTAAAGCAACTCGGCAGGTGCAACAAATGCCCCCTTTGGATCCGTACGAATATTGCGTACAGAAGACCAGCAAGAGCAACAGCAATCACACTGATAAGGGCTGGCCATCTGAATTGATCTGGGCGCGAGAATATCACGGTGGAGAGATAGGAGCAAATCTCAAATAAATTCTGCCAGGCCACTTCAGTCGAGGAGAAGGAGCCTCGAGCCTCGGCTTCAATGCCCTGTGGAGTTTAACGAACGTCAGATTTTCTTCCTCTGCTAAAATATCACATTGATCATGCTTTAACAACTCACCTCTTGAACCAAGATCTGTGCACAGAGATCAAACCCTCGCAAGCCTAACCTGCTGAGAATTACGCCACCGACAAGACCAGATGCCGAGAGAAAAGGTTCGCTCGCGAAGCGCCAAAAGATAGCCAGACCAACTGCCAGACATGTAATTTGCCAGCTTGCCAGCCAAAGTCCAGCTCGAGTGGGCCCTATCCTCCCCATCAGCCAGGGAGCGACCCACGTGGCCAATACCTCAAACGCAACCGCCAAAGTCCTTGCAACAGCAACCTGCGTCGAGTCGTAGCCTGTCGATAGAAGCCATGTGACCATCTGCCCCGAGAAAGATAGAACTGTCAAGTACAGCAAAGCTCCAGCAAATGACGGGAGGAAGACTCGGTGTCGGATATAGAAACTGGAGTCTTTTAGAGCCTGTCGTACGCCTTGGCGGACAGCTCCATTGGCACGTGAAAAGACGCTTTGCTCTACAGATTGCCCACTTGGGGCCCCGGGAGGAGATGCCTTTGCTTCCTGCAGCTCAGGCACTTCATCGTACACCTAAGGCAAACAGTGAGGAAAGCGCTCCGTAGCAGTTGAGGGTATAGATTAAGGGTGTCTCTCACCTTGGCGATTGAGTAATACTCCACCACAACAGAAGAGACATTCATCCCGAAATTGACAATGATGGCGGTTTCAGTGGATATGCCATCGATAAGGGCGATGAATAGAGGTCCGAGTAGCTTGCAGATCAAGTCGATTCGTCGCATCTGGGCGTTCATTGCTGTGGTAAATGAGTTAGCTTTGAAATTCTCAATCCGTTTCGAAATCTTCGCAGCATACTTCTCAAGCCTGCATGGTCGGTTCCAGCAACGACTACAACCTGTAATACCAGTCAGTAGGAATTGGCATTCAAAAAATTCTATGCAATCTTACCCAGTCTTTCTCCACAGATACCATGTTCAAAATAGAACATAGCTTTTCAATACAGGCCAAAAAGGTCAGAGCTGCCAGCAAACACACGTTGACGATGCGTGTCATAGGACGACCAATCGCCAGTATGTAAAAGATTACACACGATGCAGCCACGACAAGTCGTTGCAGCACTGTAAGATGGTTAGTAGTTTGCTCGGCACATCTGCCTGTCTCTGAGGAGTGGGAAAGCCTACCAATTGAAACTCGAACGACCTGCAAACGGTTACCAACGTCGATGTAATAGCCCACCGGTGAAGAGAAGATAATTGCCACGAGCCCACGACAGAGTGCATATGCTGACATGGGAAGTAGCGTCCCTGGATAGACCGTGGCCAGGTACAGGACAGCTCCGAATTCGAAAACGCGAGAATTCCATGTTGATAGAAAATGTGATATGTAGAGACGAGAAGCTATCCTACTCGAGATCTGGCCTTGTGGATGCTCTTCATTCTCGGAGAACGTTGAAGGTGCAGTCTCAGCGTTTTCAGGGTCAACGATGAGAGGTACGCTCTCATCAGGCGTCGCTTGCGGGCAATGGCGGGCGGCCATCGTTCACACGGCCTTTGGGAAGAGTTGTATCGGGGGTGAGAGCTATTCCCGCAAAGCCAGGGGCTCTAGTCTGGGAATAGAGTCTGGCATGATGGCACAGAATTGTCGCAAGTTTAATCTCACGATCCGGGGTGCTCAGGTTCCGAGCGCCGCTGGAAACTGAAGGTCAAAGGGAGTGGAGAACCAAGGCCAATCGCTATTGGCAGTAACGTGACAGAATCGAAACTAAGCTCTGCTTGCTGGACCGCTCAGCCAATGACACTCCAGTGGAACCAGCACTCAATATCACATGATCAGATAGCGGCCTCCGAAACCTCCGAAGATTCTCACGATCTCCGAAAAGTAAACGCCCCGTTTGAATGAATGACTAGTCACCGCCAGATGCCTCCGAAGAGACCTTTACGTCAGAAAAAGGCTTGTGACGTTTGTTATCGGAGAAAGGTGATTATCTTGGAATCTGAGTTAAGGTTTCTGAGTTCAGAATGCCCATGTTGACCACCTCGAATCCAGGTTCAATGCTCACTTCCGAACCCAGATGGCCCTTGTGAGTGGTGCAATCAGCGTGGCCTCGAATGTACATTCCAAAGGGAAAATCCACGGAAGAAAAGGCGTAACAGGTCTGAATCCTCACCCGTGTCCCCTACCGCTGTTTCAACGACTCGATTCTGAACCTTTAACTTTCGGGTTCTAGTGATGTACAGAACTTATTCCAACGTATCCAGGAGCTGGAAGGCGCCTTGTCGCGGGTTGGAACCACCCCAGAGTCGTCTGGCCAGGCTTTGGATAACACCGAAGAATTAGCGACACCAGTGCGCTCGACTATCGACACTACTCATGCTTCAACCGTCGCAAGTTGTAGGGAAGGACTGACCTTTTCTGGGAGCTCTCTATCACCCATTACCTTCGCACAGACGCCTACTAGTTCCTATAGCCATATCACCACAGAGCGTTCTGCCCAGGTGGATAGATCTGCACGTCAATGGGGACCCAACTGGTACTTCAATGGTATACCCATCTCCTCCGAAGCAGGCCGAGAATGGGTCTCCAAAAGAACCGGCCAGCCAGTCTCATGGGCTGATTTCAGTATCCCGATCGTGCAAACTTCGGAAGCCTCTACTCTTGCGCAATCTCTCTCGCCAGCTCTATGCGAACTACCGGATAAGGAGGCGACCCGAGAAGTCATGACTGCGTTCCTCAAGTCCTCATTCCGACTCGCCTTCCCAGTTTTGGATGAAGTTCTGTTTCAAACAACGCTGGAGATCGCATACGAGCATGTGGATGGGATTTCATACTCGCCAATGCAAATCTCAGCTAAGGCATGCATTCTGAGCATGTTGGCTATTGCACCTCGCATCGACATGTCGAGGCAACTCTCCGTCCCTATAGATACGGATCTATGCGCAGCCAAGGCACATTGTCTCTTGTTACGCGTCGCCGAGGATACCAGCTTGCCGACACTGCAGACTGCAATCATGTTGGTCAGTTTTTGTCTAATCATGATGATCAAAATGATAGAGACTGATATTTCAATAGCAAATACAGCGTACATTTTGCACCGACTGGCAAGGCGCTACCTTTTTCCAATCGATTGCGTGTCGCATAGTGTGCGCTTTAAAAGGACACATGGGCCAATCGCCTAGTTCCCCTGGACTCGAGATTACTCGTCCAGAACGGGAGATTAGCCACATCCGAACGCTATTTTGGCTATGCTACATGCTCGACAAAGATATCTCGCTCTTCACCGGCAACCCCCCTCTACTCAGCGAAGTCTACTGTGACCTGACTTTGCATGACAACTACTACGACCATTACACATACTTACCAAGCCTGAACACTTCCTTAACGGGCGATGAAAAAAGTCAAAGAAATATCAGCCCCTATCTCCCGGGAGACCCTCACCTAAGCCACCTAAAAGAGAAAGTCTACCGACAACTTCTATCCGCCCGAGCGCTGAAGGATAATGATAACCAACTCCTGCTAAATATCCGACAATTAGACGACGAGATAGAACAATGGCGACTCTCCATCCCGGTCAATTTTCGTCCCGCGCTATTCGTCTCGAAGAATACCATGCCAAATGCATCCGATGAAGGTATCCCATTCATTATTCGACGCATGTCTTTACAATTAGACTATCACCACCTGATGACCGTCATCCATACAACGGTGAGAAAATGCACCGTCGAGACCAGTGACGAGACGCCCGATCTGCATAGTGTGGTTCATTCGAGTTTCGATTTGTCTCTGGTAGCTGGTCGTTCAACGCTATGGTGTTTGAGGACGCTTGTCGGTTTGATTGCGGAAGATGCGTTTCGGTAAGTACTCGCTCTATTTTGACACTCCTGGACGTGATTTTTGTGCGGCGGGTACTAACTGAGGCTGAACATTCGTCACTTTCTATTCTACTGCGGCTGCTTTGACGCTCTTTCTCAATATCGTTATTCATCCCCTCGACGCACAGTCGCGGATTGATCTGGAGCTGCTCATATCGGCTGCCAATACGATCCGCAATATGCCCGTGCGAGCTTTGACGAAAACCGAGGTTTCGCATATTCGGGAACTTAGCAAGTTTGTTATGAGGCTGGTGTGGCTTGGGACATGTGCGGTGACCAAGGCAGAGAAGGAGAACGATTAAAAAGACTTATATGTCGCTGGTGGCGTAGAGAAGCTGGTCAGCGCTTGCGATCTCTAATGAGAGTTTGGTCTACGTTATGAGGAATAATTTAATGCATGGAGTGCAGATTACTATGAAGTGTGCGGCTGCCAAGACTGGATATGTACATGATTGGGGCCAACGGCCTCCGTAGTCACCTATTGACAGTCCAAAATAAAGAATTAAGAGGATATTACGGTTCCCAAGCACTTGGATGACGCAAGGAGAACCTTAGAATACCATGTCTCCTTTACACGGTACCAAACTGGTAAGTAGCAAAGTTGACGATGGGGCCATCGTCAGGGCCAGCAATCTGGTAAGGGCGGCGACCCCATTGAGGCTGGTTGATCCCATCAATCCAGTCCTCGGTCTCGAAGACGATGCAACCGTACTTGTTGACGTAGGCAGCGCCAGAGTTGCCATCCTGGGCCTTGTTACGCTTGGCCTGCGACTCCTTGGTCGCGATGGTACCGTTCTGGCCGTTGCAGGAGTAGACCTGCATAGCGGCCTGGTTGGTGGCAATCTCCAGGGAGATACCAGTGGTGTCAGAGGAGACGCGCACGGTGGGGACGACCGCGTCGCCGCCACCGTAAGCAGCTGGGCGGTCCACCAGCCAGCAGGTGTCATAGCCGGTGCAGCCAGTGCCGCACAGACCGGCAGTCTTGTCAATGTCCTTGCCGACGAGCTTGGGCTCGGTGAAGTCCAGAGCACCCTCGTAGGCGGTGTCCACGTCGTCGATCTCGCCAGTTGGGATCAGAATGCCATCTCCAACGATGAATCGCTCGGAGAGAGGGAGCTGCAGGGTGGTGTCGTTCAGGATGGTGGGGTTCTTGAACGCGTTCAGGTTCCAGTAGATGTGGTTGGCAAGCATAATGGGGGTCTTCTCGGTCAGAGCCAGCGACACAAGCTTGGTTGTCAGCTGGGGCAGACCCTTGGGGTTCTCTGCCGACTTCTCGGTGGAGACACTGTAGGTGGCATGGGAGATCACGTCGCCGGGGAAGTTCTCAAAGCCCTGGTCCAAAAGGGTGAAGGTAACGGACGAGTCAGTGTGCGAAGTGACGGTCCAATTGCGCATGTCATAACCGACAGGGCCACCGTGGAGGGTATCGAGACCACCGTGCTCGTTCTCCGGGATGTGGTAGGCGGTGCCATCAATTGAGAAGGTTCCGTTCTTAATACGGTTCGCGTAGCGACCGACGACGGCACCGAAGAAAGTACGGTTGGTTTCACTGTCGTGAAGGTAGTATTTGGGGTCATCATAGCCAACGATGACATCCTGCACTTGGCCCTTACGGTCTGGCACCAAGAGAGAAGTGAGACGTGCACCGTAAGGGATCAGGGTGGCAGTGATATTCTCGGCCTTGATGGTGTAGGTCTTGAAGTGAGGGTCGCTCGAGCTCGCAGAGGAAGACGAAGCTCCAGAGGGTGCGGCCTGCGCAAGAGCCGGCAGGCCATAAATGGCAGCGGCGATGTACGACTTGAAATGCATCCTGATGCCCAGAAGTAGAGTGACGGTAAGGAACAGGGAGCAGTAAACAAAGAGGAGTCGAGGTGTAACACGCGCCGGACACAGGAATGAGCGGATGCAGCCGAGGGGGAGACTGCGCATTTTATGGAATTGGAAGCTCCTTTCCGATTGTAGCAAACATCGTCATTCGCCGCTAACTTCTCTCCGCATGGCTGGACGCTAGGGGGCAGGCGGGGGGCTAGCAGGGGCTTCAGGAAACCGGGGTAAGATGCAGTTCGGATGGTCTGAGGGTCTCTCAGTAATCACGAATTATCCGACAGCAGTGACGTGAAGAGATCATACACGACCATTGGATGGCCCAAGTGGAGAATGAAAGGATTGAGGGGAAAACCCGAGTGCTTTGGGCTGTGGAGATGCAATTGTGCATGGAGGCCAGGCTTAAGGGGGGAGAAAATGTGAGGTGTGAGGCTGTCGATGAGCGGAGAAGCGCATTGCGCTAGTCTCCTCCGAGGTTAGTCTTGTTGACCTTCGGTTGGATCCAGTTGGATCCCAAGTTGAATCCATCTCCCACGGAAAAGTGGCTTACTGGGGCTTTGTTTAGGCCCGCCAGTGGCCAACAAGCTCTGAGAGGCGCATCTTAACGGGACGGTTAAAATGTTACATCAATCTTAGCCCCGCGAATTCCAAGCACGAGCGGCAAAACTCCGGTGGAGTATCCTGACTGATTTCCCCCAAGAAGATTAATCTATACGAATGTGTACCGAACGACGGAGGAGTAGCAAGAGTTACTCCGAGCAATGGAGTTGATACCATTCTAGTCCTAGTCCAAGGATGCAGGATATTGGTGGAATGCCCATCCCTGGCTGGCAATGGGAGTAGAAAATGAAGGGAAATGCCGATCGCTAGTTAATTGGTACTTTTGCTTCTTCCAGAAAAATTAATTATTGTAGCACATTGATTTTTTTTTTCTCTTGATAATTAAAATCCATTATTCTATTAGGCAGTTAACTGGTCCCTTTGTGATCAGATGGCGGTCTGACTGCCTTCGTCTCGTCGTCGCTCGCCCGGAGTATATCCATTTCGAGCACCCCGGTATCCGGACATTTAAATCGCTGATTTCCGAGATTGCAACATGCTCGGCTACTCGCTTATCGCCTCGAGAGAACATGATTGAATTTAACCATGGCCATCATACTGGGTTCACTTAGCGAGCTGGGCGAGAAAGCAAGCCATGCTATGCCACAGATTCCGTTCAATTCGGTCCCTTGGTTCAAGTCAAAGCCCTTCCTATGTGCTAGATCATTTTAACAAGCGGAAAGCAGAGCTTTGTGACTGGTGCCACGTCCTAGATTATACTCCTGCCAGGCACAGAGCAGCAGGGACAGCTTGGACGTAGGAATGCCCGATCAGTCCAGGCCGCGGGGTAATGCTGATCAACCTGATTCTGTTACTTCCATAGAAGGCCAAGGCGCCTCGCGTGGTATCATGGACTCTCTCATGCACGATTAACTCAACTTTAGTGACGCGGGCCTCTTTTCCAGTTGCTCACATGGCATGAGTGATCGTCTCTACCTGTTAGGAAAGATCTGCGCTGAGCTGGTTCGTGCTTCCCAAGTCGGGCGCTCCTGGACCTAACCAAGTTGAATGTAAGAAAGCTGCCTTGTTAGCATTTTTGACAATTGAATGTTGCTAGAAACAAGGGAAAAGTTACTATACTTACTCTATATATCCCTCAAACTGCAACAGAGAGCTCGACACCATATTCTTACGACCTCTACAAGCCTGATATAATCGCACTGAGCCGCAAAAGCAAGAGCATCGACTTACCGAAATGAGCGACAAATAGCTAAAATCAGGGCCCTTCACGGAGCGAATAGGATCGAGGTTGATAGATCCAAGGGAGACTTGACCAGGGGCCTTCTAGCTGGTAGGGCTGTCCCTGTTGATCATCCAGTGATAGTCTGAAGCCAAGAAACTGGCGCAGTATGTCAAGTGCCGACATGCATTGAGGATGCCGGTAATAGCTAGGTTGATAGAAGCAGATCGATCGACAATGGAACCAGCCCAGGGGCTAGACTAGATACCGCGTTGAACTACTCGTGACTAGTAATTCTGCGGCATCATGCATGTACTATGGACCTATAGTAGATTGAAAGCAAGATGAAAGTAGATTATATGGAGACATGTCGAGATATGCGGGAAATACCCTACATGGTTCACATTTGATGTTTATCTCAAAGTAATGGCATTTTTATATCAGTTTAACCAAGGGTTTGACCATGCTCGAGGAACTGAAATCCGTGGATTGCCACTCCATATCAGGTCACTTCAGTCATGCGTCATTGGGGTGAGCGGGCGAAAACTAAAACCTCCTCAACTTTGTCCTCTTATGCAATATAATGCCTCGAGGTATTTTTGTGAATATGCTTTCCAGGTTGGATACCATGTCGACCTGAGCATGGCTAGTGAAGCCCCCGTCGTCGACCGCTCTTCCGTGGATCCCCGATGCGACAAGCTCTTCCGTGAAATCGAGGCTAAATTCGATGCTTCAAATATTCCGACCGACAAGTGGTATCTCACAACACTCGGTGCTATCATCCCAAGCGCAGAGCCATGCATGGCAGGTCAATTATACCTGTACTTGCTCAGCCAGCCTCCATACTCGACACCCGACGGGCGTAAAACCCTGACCCTCCGCTTTCATGAAGTGATTCTCAAGGCTGTGGCATTACTGGGAATCCCGAAACCAGCCGAAGCTACCATTGCCATCGCTAATATAGAGCCAGTGGACCACGAAGAACTACCCTTTAGTCGAGAAGGATGGCAATGTGACGAAGCAAACCACCAGCGTGGGATGTCGTGGTTACAAAAAATATATGCTCAGAATACGCCTGCCCTACTTGATTTGTTTAAGAAGCATCGTGACTTTGGAGCTGCCGTCTGCGACATTGCTTATGGCCTATGTTTGTCTGATCGTCAGATTCTAGATGATATGGATACGGAGCTTGTTGTTTTGCCTGCTGTGATGGGTCAGAATCTTCCGCGGATGACATATTGGCATATAAGGGGCTGTAGAAGAGTTGGGGTTTCCAAAGAGGACGTTGAGATGCTCTGCGAATGTGTTCATGCTGTTGCGCATGCCTGTGGAACGGCGCTAGATCGCGTGCGGGATATGCAGATCGACGAGGATGGGATATGAATGTAAATACTGATATCTTTACACTCCATGTATAGATCTGCACGATGCTAGCAGCTTTGGAAATTATTATTAACTTCAAACGTCGAGGTCTTGAGAGTCATGGGAGATTCAATGTGCAATCAGACTTGGACGCAAAGAAGGTTTTATAGTGGTCGAGACACTGGTTGCAAGCATGATGGACGCGGTAGAGCAACGGAGGAGGAAATTTAATTATGATCTCACCACGAATATTTAGAATGAACTAAACTGCTCAGATGCAGTTCCATCAGAACATCAAAAAGCAAGAGTCTCTGCAACAAAACGCTCTGGATATTTACATGGTTTCCTAATCGGGACACGATTACATAATCTTCATTATCGACCTACCTACAGGTGGACACCGACTCGTGCCGCTTCGGGAGAGTTGTTTACGCCATTGCCCCGCGGTATTTGGTCTACTTGTGTACATATCCCCTACTCATTGCTACCTTCGTCCTCGGGGCATTCCACAAGGGGCGCCCTCTCCCCCTCCCTAGCGGCACGCGTGCCCAAGACTCCATCGTTCGAGTACGCCATGTCAATCACGTCGCGCAGCCAAAGCTCCTCCCCCGACATCTTGGGCCCTCCAGGCGATGCCGACTACCTTATTTCGTCCCCTATAAAACCCTTCACGGGTCGCCAGAGCTGGCTGTCACCTGCGACCGTGAAACGCCAAAGGACCCCCGCGAAACGGCGGCGCGTGACGCTCAGCCCGACGAGAAGCGCGCACTCGATTCGCTTTGACGATGTCCTCCTCCCTGGGTCGCCTACAATGAAACTTGATAGTCGGCAAAGGTCGCTTTCGCCGGAGAAGTTTGGACAAGATGGAAACGTGAGCCCATGGCGGATTCGGGTCACGCTCGAGGCGACGCAGGACGAGGACAACCAGGGTAACTCGAGCCCGTCGCGGAAACGGTTAAGGCCCTCGACGGTGACAACAAAGGTTCCCTTGAAGGACGACGGGAGTCCTCTGAAACAGAAAACACCTGCGAAGCGACGCGGCCGTCCACGGAAGTCAGATATTCAGAATGGCTCGCCATGGCCTGGAAGTCCAGGGAATACGCCAGGGCCGGCGGGAACTACGCCTAACAGGAGAGTGGGACAGCTGCGCAAGAATACGCCAAAGCCTCAGCCGCAAGTAATCTCGATGCTAGCAGACGACCCAGAAGATGAGCCTGAAGACGAGCTACAAGACGAGCCTACTCCAACAGTTGAGCCGACGCAACAACATTTTAGTCCGATGGATATAACAGCTGATGGCAGCGCGAACCCCAACCGGCAATGGAGCCCGATGAACCTTGCTACGGATGGAGCATACGATAGCGATTCCCTCGGCGCGGATGATTTACCTGTCGCAGACCTTCGTGCTCCAACGCCAGCGCATAGGCAGACCCAAGAAAACAATCCAGGTCATGAATACGGCAGAGCTACCTACGATACCCCAATCATCGGTGCTACCGAACACCATTTCCTCGATAATGATGAGAACATACATTCCACTCCTTCCAAGATGCCATCGCCTACACGAGAAAGACTGGAATCATCCGCAAGATCTTCCCGCCTTGCCGGAAGCACCGTGTCTCCACGTACCTACCCGACTCCAACCCCGACTTCCTCGCTGGCCGATGAAGATAATCAACCCGGGGAGCAGACCCTGGAGGTTCGAGAAGAAACGCGACGGACAAGCACCGATCAGGAGCCCCAGACCGATCCCTTGGCGGATCCTACGGACGAGCATGTTGAATTCGACTCTATCATGGAGAGCGAAGGATTTACTATGGTCTCTCTTGACACATTGCCATCGGCGAAGCAATATGGTCTCGGATCCAGCGCTAAACTCAATTCAGATGGCTCCGGAAAAGAGCGAGAAGCCGGACGCATTGGCGACCGGCTGAAGCGTAAATTGTCAGGAACAATTGACAGCTTCCGAAGTGATGCGCAAAGCTCGACAAGGCCTAGCCAAGTGATTCAAACCCACTCTCCTAAACCACATACCCTAGCACGCAGCAATCCCAAGCCACATACTGTGAACACGCGAGCTCCAGTTCAGGTTTCCTACCCCGAGCTTCCTGTAACGCGTTTGGCGGAGAAGCCGCTAGACGACACACCGAGACGGACTCCCATCAGCTTGGCCAGGGTAGTCCGCGTCGGTATGGCACTCCAAGGCACCTTCAAGCCCGGTGAAAATGAAGTCCCGGGAAGCGGCAATGCGAGTCGAAAGAAGCGACTCGAGGGCGTCTTTAGCAGCTTTAGCCCTGCTACGCAGCGAGAATTGCGGGCTGCTCTTGGAATCGGCCAAGAGCTCGCAATGCGCCAAGCACTAGCAGCGGAGGAGCGAGCTAGAGAAGCCGAGGAACTGGAGGACGAAAATGTCCCTGTGAATGATTATGACTATCCGATGGAAGAGCCGCAAGGAGGCGACTTGAGCGAGGGTGATGAGGAGGTAGAGGAAGAGGATGATGAGCCTATGGTGGTATCAGTCCAGCCTCGGCAGAAAAATTCCCCGCCAGTCCACAGCTACGACATTGCAAGGACAGAGCGAGAGCAAGAGTGGCAGCGGGAGCGCGAAATTGTCAGTCGCCATGCTAGGGACCCGAAAAACTCAGAAAGGCTCATTTACATTGAGAGTGATGAGGACATCCCACAAGAGGAACCCAAGTATGCCTCTGGTGGTCATCTGGAAGCTGACGTTGAGTCTGTTGTCGATGAACCCCCGCTCGACGAGGAGCCATTTGAAGAGGAGCCACTTGACGATGAAGTCCCTGATGACGCATCTTTCGATGAACAGCCTGAGCACCTCTCGCCGGATGTTGTACCCCTTTCCCAGCCTGTCGCAACCCAAGCGTTACACATGGATGAGGAACCTATCTACGAGGATGATGACGACGGCTCTGAAGACATATGGCGACAAGATACTTTCCATTCTGAGCCCGAGCATGCACCTGAACCGTTTCAACCACATGATCAAAATATGGAGTTGGAGCAAGAGGCCTTGAATGATGACGATGGTGATGATGACATATGGCAACTGGAGGCTAGGGATCAAAGCAACCTCTCGCAACATTCCCAGAGTCGGGCCGAGAAGGACGTTGTTCAAGTCCCTTCTAGCCCCTGGAGAAAGGTTGCGAGCTTTTCTGCAGATCACGATCATTTGAGCTCTTCTCCAGCTTACGTGACCGTGGAACACAACGATGGGCTACACCAGGTGCCGACACATATTCGAAAGCTACGCGATCAGGATGTCGATCTGTCTGCAATTCTTGCAGAAGAAGAGACACCCAACCGTGCTCGCTACTATAACGGCACAAGCACGCCTCGAGAGCTGCCTAACCGCCGACCTGGAGCTCCACTTTCCTCCGCCATGAAATCTGCAAACTCCACGCGGAAGACGGGCCAACGGGTGCGCCTGCAGCCTATCCCCCAGTCTAGCCCGGAAATAGGCTCGGAGGCAGAGTTCAGCTACTCTCCTGCCTTCAAACCCAATATCTCTCACCACGATCCGATCGAGGTTGAGGCCGACGAACCAGGGAATTTCTCTGATCGTGCTCACGAGATCGAACCCGGTTATACGGATGCAGAAACCGCCACTCCGAAGCCTCCACGCCAATCAGACCAGGATGCCCCGGCATCAACTTGGTTCCAGCGAATTACCAGTCTCACCCCCAGGTGGCTGAAAGCGCCCAACAGAGATGATGATGACAGTTCCAGTTCGGCGGCAGCTTCTGAGGACGAATATGAAGACGATGACAAGGAGAATCAGGTGGAAATTGCCAACATCGAGTTAGCCAACCATATTCACGAAAACTATGAGCAAGCACCTCGTTCAGACCGTTCAAGCATGTCACCTTCAAGATACTTGGAAGAATCGGCCAGTCCACCGCAGTTAAATGGCCATGGTTATGTGCCTTCCATTGAACAAGGCGATGAACATTCTTCCGAGCAAGGTGACTTTGATCATGTGCAAGACGATGTTCCAAAGGACCATGCAGAAGGCAGCACTGCCCAAGATGATGCTGTGGAAGACGATGTTGTCGAGGCCGACCCTATCGAGATGATCAACGGCGACCATGCCGAATCAGTATGGGCCAGACCTCTACCAACATTCGGCTACTTTTCCGACGACCACTACAAAGCCCTTCGGCGCATCTACCGAATGACAAAGCGCTACCCAGAGCGCTTCCCCTACTACGACTCGCCAGGGCGTGCTGAGATCATCGGTGATTGGATCTGGACTTCGGACGGCCATCATGGGGTCCCCATCACCGAAGTACAATTTGCCATCATCGACCGCTTTGTGCATGACCTCTCACGCGCCGACGTTGCGTATGGTGGAAGTGGGCAGGTCGATTGGACCGAAGCTGACCTACATCGGAGATTGATAAGCATCATTATTGGCGAGCAGATCCGAGAGAATCAAAAGGCCAAGTCGGCCCGGGGAGTGTCTGTTGATACATGGCGTTGAGTGTGTACAGATGGGGATGTATACATGGGTTTGATCTGTTTTCCCTTTTGTCTCTTTACTTTTTTGTCTTGGAGTAGTGTTGGGGTGTTGGGGCTTTGGGCATTTTGGATGGAGGCGTTGGTTTTTGTTCCAACGCGGGTACCCTTTGTCTTCTTTTCTTTTTGTTCTTTCATGATTCCCTCACGGTTTTCTTTTGGGCTGGATTGTGCCCATCTTGTTTATGGATTTGACTGGTATTCAAGCACATTGTATGTAACAGGGGTTAACCCCCTTTGGCCTGGACTATGCAATTTGAACAATGACCATGTCCCTGAAGTGGATCCTTGGGCCACTGCGAACATCTTGTATTGAGTTTCAAATGCTGCAACTTTGTCGGAAAGACCTGGCCACGAACGCTCGGATCGTTCATCATGCTTCCTTGTTTTCCCGATGGCCAGCAAGGCTAGCCTTGGAGTGGCAAACAAGTAGATACTTCACTGCGGTTAACCATCTGATAATCTATGATTATCTCCAGCCATACAAGCCATCTATGCCATCTACTTCCAGATGGTATTGACCATCATGAAACGCTCATAAAATCTTCAAGAACACAGTATCCTCCAAAACTTGAAATCAAGAAAATGTATGTACAACCACTTACATCTTCGAGGTACACCCGCACAACGCTCAAGCTGGGCAGCCGTTGCAGTCTCGACCAAAGCTGCAGTCAACACTGGGGGGCTGGACCAACCATAGACGCCGAAAATCTCGTGTCTCTCGCGTGGACAGCCAAGTAGGAGACGTATCTGATCGAACCCCACTTTGGTGTAAATCGCCGCTGCATGATCGTTTTCGTGTCTGGAGGGATCGGGTCTGGCTAGAACTATAGGTACAACGCTTGAGAAACGACGAGAACATTATAAAAGAAGCAGGGGTGGAACAACTTCAGGGCGAAAAAAAAGAATGCATGCTCAACTACTCCTCGATTCTCATTAAAGATACTTCTTCTTCTTCTTTTTCTTTCTTTTCTTTTTCCCCCCACGCCTTCCATGTCCCCCCAGCGTGCCCATGTCGGTCCTGACTATTGTACACCGCGCTTTCCCCTTTGCCCTCCCCTGGAAGCGCCGGTCCTCCACCGACAAAGGGAAAGACAAAGAGATCGATATCGAAGTATACACTTCCGATCGTGACTCACACGATCACTTCCATCTCGGCACTCTCGATGCCGATACCCCTACCCCAGGCACGGCATCCCTGCATTGTGACGTCTCGCACACCTTGCATATAGCGGTGAAGCCGAGCCCGGACCATACCACGAGTCCGGAGGATTCAAGCGAGTCATCTGGAACGGACTCTGATTCTGAGTCCCAATTCGAGAATGATCACCGCCGTCCCTCGCATGGCAGTGCGTCGTCCGCGCGGGCGCGGCTTGCTCGCGTGGTTAGCTGGGCGAGTATCGTTCGAAGTCAATGCCGCTGGACGAATGAACAAGAGAAGCAGCTGCTTATGGCGGAGAAGCAACTTGCCAGATGTCAAAAGGCTTGGAGCTCAGAGCAGGAAGTTTGGATTGCCTATGTACGTGTCTTTATTCTCTTCTATTTTGATTTACGCTTGTCTGGGTGGAAAGTAGATAATTGTTTCTGCCAAGACATCCACCCCCATACATACAGACCATACCCCTGGACCCCCATGGACTATCAAGAAATGAGTTTGATTCTAATGCGCTTGCCACTAAACCTAAGATTCATGAATTGAGTGAAGAGAAAGCTGCCCATGAAGGGTTCATGCTGATGCGCACCAGACAGCAAGAGGAAGAGAGAAATCAGTTCCGCAAGGCATGGAAGAGACGTCGTTCGTTGGAGAATGCAGTGACTACCAAGGAGGAGACTGCGATTACAAGGAGTGATACTAATAGGTTTATTAAAATTCGTCGACTGCAGAGATATGGACACTGGGGGTCTACTTTGGCAACGACGGAGTCGACTGTGTTGACATGTCAGGCTTGAAAGATGCTGCTACTCGGATAATACTTGACTGGAATATAATCAATGGACTAGGATTTCTAAAATATATGAAAAACATCCCACTAATCGTTACTCTATATACTTCTCGTGATTACCACTCTACTGAACGATAGATGTCTTCCTGCCCTTCGCCTCATCCTCGTCAGGATGAGGCCACTTCCGAAACAAATCAGCAACTATATCAACCGGCGCCGTCAACAATCCCACCGCCGTCTCAAACGGCGGCTTATTCGGCGCCGTAGGATGCGACCTCGACGGCACAAACATCTTCGTCCGATCCAACGACCTACTCAACGCCTCACTCTCCGCCCTAGAAAGCACTTCCTCCAATCTAACCAAATCCTCTCCCTCCTCCTGCTCAATATGTCGCTCCAAATCCTTCAACAGACCCTGCAACGCCGGCTTAAACTGTGCATCCGTCGCAGACAACCCCTGAAAGTTCTTCAACTGCCGCTTCATATCCTGATGTTCGGACCGGTTCTTGTCGGCGAGGTCTTGGCCTTGCTTGACGTACTTGGCTAGTGCGGGGTAGACGACTAGCTCCTCGCCGATGGTGTGTCGGGCTAGTTCCCAGATGAATTGGTTCTTGTAGCGGGTTTGTTCGTCTGGGTCTGTGGAGTGGAGGATCTTGTAGATGTGGGCTTCTAGTTCGCGGTGGTCGTGTTTTATGGCGGGGAGGATGCGGGTGTGTGCTGCTGGTGCGGCTGCGGCGTCTGTAAAGGTGCGTAGGGGAGGGCCGATGTTGCCACGGAAGAATGGGTGTTGGGATGGGCCAGAGGAGGTTGCTGTGTCGCTGGATGGACGGGGCATTGTGGGTGTAGATGCGGATGTAATTATGAAGGGATTGATATGTTTGTACATGTAGGTTGGGATTATGTATTTAGTCGTTTGATAATGGCAAAAGCAAGAGTCTTAGATGAAGTTGATTATCAAGACCGGCCTTTATTTCCGAGTCTTTCATCATGATGATATTGAGCCCTAACTCGGGGAATAGAGCTGGGAGGCGCCATCTGCCAGTTTCCACGGACTGACTGTGGAAGTGGCAACGGTTAGCTATGAACTGAGTTGTTTCTTATTGGCTACTATGGAAGTATACACTTCGACCAGCCTTGAAGTATAGAAGTTCCTTTACAAGTTCAATGATAGATTCCATGAAACATTTAATTAACAAATCAAATAACAGTTGATTAATATAGATCATGAAACCCGAAATCATAGACGTTGTATACCCTCCCATTAAACTAGCAATATATTATAAATCAAGTCCAAGCAACCCAGAAGCATCTGTGCATCACCGAGATCAACCAAAGACCAAAGCCCTCACTTCAATACTCTCCCTAGGCCTCGCCCCCTCCGGCGTCCTCACATCCGTAAACGCCGTATGAGGCACCCACTGCGCAACATCCCCATCCCTGAACCCCTTCGAATCCGAACACTTAAGCAACAACCTCTCACTCCCCGTCATCCCAGACCAATAAAACCACCTCTGCCCAGGATTAAACTTAACCCCCATCGTCTCACCATTCCGATTCGGATACCGATGCTGCACAGCAACCAAATCAGTCTCCTCAACCGACTGCGCAGACGCAAACGCCAACGGCGACGACTGCACCGGGTCCGCACTCAGCGGTCGCCAGACGTTAACGATTCGGTAGCGTCCTTCTGCTAGGGCTTTCGCTTCGGCTTCATCGGTGATGTGCAGGTTTACGCGGGCCAGGGCTGCGGCGGCGGTTTGGTCGACGTGGACGCGGTTAACGGGTTGACGGGGGGCACCCGTTTTCGCGCGGCGAATTGTGTGGTCGAAGAGGATTATTTTATGGGCATTAGGGATGTGTTGTAACAGCAGTGCTTCGACTTCTGGGTAGTATTTTTCGCGGATGGAGGTTTCCGAGTCGAAAGTTGCGTATGTTGTGGTTGAGGGGATGTTTTGGAGGGCTTGGAAGGAGTCTTTGTCTAGGGTGAAGATGTTTTCGGTGCCGCGGATGTCGGTTAGGGAGACTACTTGCGTGTCGTCGCCGTAGTTGCGTTGTGGTTGGCCTTCTGGTGGGGATTCGACGTAGTTGAAGGGCGCGGAGTTATCTGCCGGAGGGGCGTAGAAGGTGAGAGAGGCGGTTGTTGGGCCCCGAGGTATGTAGTCTGATGCTGCTTCTGCCCGGGTAGCAGTGATAGTTGAAGTGGTGGTTGTGGTAGTAGTCGACATATTGTCTTTTTATCGAGGTAGTTGCGGAGTTGGTATGCCGAGTAGTTGATATAGTTGGAAGCAGCAAGTCAAGAAGTAAAGATGCAGAACACTGCAGATAGACACACTCGATGAGAATCTGCTATCTTCAACAGGATGCAACTATCCTCTTAAATATCCCCCGTATCAACAAAATATCCTCGACTGACAAAACACGAGACAATTAGTGATCAAACCCGTCATCGTCGCATTTGTCATCTCGGCGAGAATTGCGGAGAAGTGACCACTCAACGGCCACCCTCGATTGCGCAACGCAGCCGATGACTCCATATCTCTCCGAAATCACCTCATTTCGTCAACTTAAGCTTGCCCGATCTCCGAGTCAAACCGCTTTTCTGACGCACTCACAAAATGTCCTTACTGTAGTTTCGTAGATTGACATGAATGATAGCGATAACGTTATCCAGCTTATCAAGCCGATGGCGTCATGCCGATGTATCCCTGATTATTCAGGTGTCAACCGCTTCCGCCGGATTCGATAGCCACTACAGTAGTATAGTGTCTATCAAAAAGCAATGTGTAAGAGATGGAGAAATAAGAATTGGAAATTCAAGCAGGCAATACCTGCGGGGAATTCCACCACCAGAGAAACAAGACTAGAACTGGTTCTCAAATATGAACATGAAAACATGAGAATCCAAAATTTACACCAAACGCCAAATGCCACTCCAAACCCACCCAACTCCCCACGAGAACTCAAAGCAAAGAAAGAGAAAAGAGACACCGAACTGAAGCCGCACATAACACCGTGGGAGACAACCCGATCCCTATCCTAACATATACTCATGCAACTATCACACCGTCAACACCCCCACGGATCGCGACCACCACTGAGGCGACCACTCTCAGTGATGGCGCGTCCGCTTACTGCTTCGCTCGCGCTCCATCCCGACGGACGGGAACATCTCCGCACCAAGATTAGGTCGTGCGGGCTGGAGTTGCACCCCGACTACCGAAGGGAAGTCAGGGTGCAGCGAGGTGAAGCGGTCGGGGTTGGGCGGTTGCCCGTTGACTGGCTCGGTCGGCAACGGCGCCACGACCAAATCGATAAGGGAGGAGTCAATCCATCCCACCGGCTTGCTGCTGTGTAGCCGGTCTACTCTCGACAGGTCGTCGTCGACCTCCTCATTCAGGAGAGAGGTCAACGGAGGCGCGTTACCGTTCGGCCGAGCGTGATAGTTGGAGAGCACATGGTAGGGCAGGGCGGGGCGCGTCGCGTTTTTATCGGCGAGATCGGCCAGAGCGCTGAGAGCGCTGTGAGCGGCCGTGCCCCGGGTCGACCGGGTAACGTGGAAATTTTGGCTTGCAGTGCGCATCATATCTGCAGCACTGGGGGTCCCGTTATCCTCGTGGCCGGTGCCATCGGGTGTCTCCTCGGTTTCGGTGTTGTTGCCGTTGGTCACGGCACCAGCGCCCTGCTCGGCCCGCTTCGACGTAGAGAAGAAGTGGACGGTCGCGACATGGGCCTGGTTTGAGTGCGCACTGAGCTCCTTGTCGGTGAAGAGGGATTGGATCGAGTAGGTCGGCGCCGCCTGCTTCTCCAGGTATGCCTTGGAGCGCTCGGCCGGGGTGGTGCCGCCGGCCTCCCGTACTGGCGATCCAGTCTCCTCCTCTGGCGCCTTGCGCTTGCGCTTGTTCAGCTCAGAGACGATGCCGTTGCCCAGCTCGTCTAGGTCAACCCGGTGACGGGTGTGACGAGTCTTGCGGTTCCCGTGGATACCGCCAGGGCTGGCAGGGTTGGTTATGCTGAACTGATTGGGATGGAGGAGAAGGGCGTTGGTATCGGCGATATCCAGCTGCTCCTTCTCGCGCATCAGACGAGACCTCTTGCTGGAAATGCTTTGCATGAGGCGCTCGCGCAAGGTGCCAGAAAGATGGTTGAACTCTTCCTTGGCAAAGTGGACTCGGAAATCGTACTCGCGACGGTGTCGCTCGAGGCTGTTCTGGTGTCGGTTCTGCGCAAGACAATTCCATAATCAGTAACGGCAGGTAAAGGACAGGACCAAAAAATGTAATGCAATGCAGCATCTGTGCGTCGTGTGAAGTAAACGAAAGAAAAGAGAACATACCATGATCTGTGCCAGGTCTGAATCCTTCTGCTCCTTGACATTATTAATCTCTTGAACAAACTTGGAGTACCAAGTGCCAGACAGGGTCGCCATCTCCTTGGCGAATTTCCCCCACCAACGGTCTCCTCAATCAGATTTGCAATGTCCTCAGAAGAGTCTGGCAGCGGGCCAGACTGGTACGGATCAGCGTTGTTGATGAGAGTCATATCGCACTGGAGGGAGTGGAGTTGCTGTCGGAACTGGGCGTCGCGGTTTTGGGAGAAAGTAGCCGTCAAATCGTGGAGTCGTTCCTGCAGGGCAGTTCGACGTTTATCTCTCTTAGAGAGAGTCCCAGATGCACCGGGAGGACTGGCTGAGCGTGTGCGCGAGGTCAGACCGCCATGGTAGGCAGGCCCGCCGCCGGGGGATTGGGGCCCTGGGGAGTAGGCCATTGAGTTGAGTGAAGAAACAAGATGTGAGTGCGGGAGGTGATCGGGAGGAAAAGTTGATAAATGCAGCCAAGATTGGCTCGAAGGAGGATGTGTGGGAGCAGCGCGGGAGACGGGGAGAAAAGAGTTGAGGAGGGGGAAAAGAGAAGTTGTTCTGTCGTCAGAAAAGCAGACGGCGCTGAAGCATGGGCTACTTTCCCGGGCTGGCGGTAGATTGTCGGATCAAAGTTTGACCGGAACGAAGCATAAAAGTGTGGAGTTGAAGTGGACGGTTTGGGTAGTGGAGAGGAGGAAAGGAGGATGCTTAAAGAGCTGGATGGGGCAGGAAAAGAAAGCAACCGTTGGGGTTTTCTAAGGCAGCTGGTCTTCGCAGGCAGCGTGTACGTGTTGTTGTCTATTCTGATGGTTGTTATTGTTCCGAGGCGCGTGTAGGAGGAGCGTCCGATTAACCGCGCATGAGCAGGCATCATGCAAACTTTCAGTACCTTCCCGATTGGAAGAGACTGCAGCCTTATGACGCCTGCTCACCATTGCCTACATAGGATTGCGGACGTTAAGTAACAAAAGAAGAAGGGTGGTCAAGGATGCCATACACGCTGTCTACGTTAGGCTGCCTGATCAGGCGAATCTCCACAGACCAATCTCGATACAATCTTTACGAATACTCTTCTAGTTGTTCTTCAAAAAAGCCTCGTTCACATACTCGACTTGATCATGTATTTTATGTCGCTATATTCATCGCCAGGGATCTAACAACCGAAACCATCATCACATCTTGATCTGCCACAGAAAAGAAAACAAGCACCAACATCATGGGTATTCACGTTCGTTTCAATCCAACCAGGGGAAATGCAAAAGGGGACACCAACAACTCGAGCCCGGGAAAATAAGGCAGCGAGACAAGAAAATAGAAAACATCCAACTCCCAAGGACCACTCGCCAGGGTCCAGTATGACGTTCGTTGCAGCCTCAGGCCGAGGCTGCCGGGGTAAAAAGAGAAAGAGAGAGATTTTGGCTGCGCTTTAAATATTCGGTATGTGTGTAAGAGAGGATAGGAGAAGGGAGGATGTGTTATCGGGGGAGCGGTGGTAGGTATTGAAGGGAGAGAGGAGGGTTGATTAGTGGCTGCGTCGGATCACGAACACACCCAGCTCAACACCATCCCTAGGCTCATTGTCCTCGCCATAGTGGCGCTTGCGGATGCCGTCGAAGATCTCGCCCAGAAGCATGGAAGAGGTAACTTCCTTGTCGGGCATAAGACCGCTGGAGCCACCGGTGGTGAGGGCCTTGCTGATCGGTGGACGGCGGCCATTCTGGCAGTACAGGCTCAGCACCTCCTTCATCCGGGCCTTCTCTTGATGGATATACCATTCCACCCAGAGATCACGGTCCAGATGGGCGCTGGCCTTGCCGGCATCCGCAACGTGGAACTGCGAGGATGAAGAACTCAGATCCTCGCAGAGGGCAACGATGTTGGCCTTCATCGTGGCAAAGTCGTCCATCATGGAAACAGTTGAGAGCTTGCCCAGATAACGGCCCACATCGGCAGAGAGACCATTGACTACGACCAGCTGGCGTAGCAGCGGGTCAAGAAGGGGACCCAAGTACTGGGACTTGAAGGTCGAGGCACCCTTCTTGGTGGGGTAGACGAAGAGGAGAGAGCCGCCGTCTGGAGACAGCTCACAAAGACGATCGACTAGGAAAGATGGGCGAGTAGCGCAAAAGACATCGCGGTACTCTTGAGCAGATGGTGGAGGGAGGTATCGCTCAAGAACGGAGATATGAACACTGTGGGGTGGTACAATGGGCATCGGGGCGTGTGCAATCTGCCGTTGGATGGGCCCACGGTAGTCATGGTAGGCACCTACAACGGCAGCGCTGGAAAAGACAGTTGCGTTGAAGTATTCATCGGCAGCGGTGGGGGAGTGAGGGGTACTGGGGGGAGAGTGGGGGAGGTTGGAGAGACTGAATTGTTCGGGGACGGCGTGGGTGACATTGATATAAGGGGAGTGGCCGGGCTGTAGGTGGTTGTGCACAGATCGGACAATGGAGTAGAAGATACTGTCGTTCCTTGGGACAGAGATCGACTGGTCGGAAGGTCGTGGGTATGGAAGTGTTTGCGAGACAATCTTGACGGCTTCCCCTCGCGGGTTAGAAATCCCCAATGAAGATACTATCGCAGTCGTTAGTCACTGCCCGGGAAAAAAGCCACTCAAAACGCTGAATGGTGCTTGCTTACCAGTCACATTGATGCCATGGTCCAGCCACGATCCTACATCCTGTTGCAAATCCATCTCGTCCTGAGGACCGGGACTACCACCCGAGCTCGAAGACCCATGAGTAGACCCGTCGGACGGACTGCTCAGAGTGTCCGAACGACCCGTCGACGAAGTATCTATCCCGGGACCCTCATCCATCATGGCCGAAGAGCCCGCCTCTTGGTGCGGTTGATCATCAAAGAGCAGCATTTCCGACTGGGGGTTCCACGCAATGTGGCTATCGTCCTCCGGCGGCGTAGGCGGCAAAGTAGCCGGGTAATCCGACTGGAAAGAAGATGGAGGCGAATTCCACGGCGAAGAAGATGCTGAAGGAGAGCGGGAATGAGCCGTCAACGGTCTCGGCCCGCGAGACACGGTGGTGGACAAGCGCAGTCGGGAATCGGCCGAGCGGTTTCGAGATGGCAAGACCGGGGAGGAGCTACGTTGGTCCCAGGAAGGAAAGTGGACAGCCACACTGCTCTTGGATAGAAAGCGTGAGACGGGGGATGGCTTGGTTCGTAGAGATCCTTGAGATGCTCTTCGACGGAGCTTAGCTGGACTGGGGCCCTCGTTAGATGAGTCGAGCGCGGCGTGGTGGGAGAAACGACGGTCGGTATCAATTTTCAAGGCAGCGCGAGAGGTATGCATGTTTCGGTCGTCTAGGAGGGCAGTTGCAGGCCCACACCGTCCATTGCAGTGCTGTGAATTCATCCAGTGAGTCCAGTCGGTCCGGTCGGGAGGGCGAAGGGCGACAACGGACGGCATGGGAATAGTTCCCAGCTGAAGAGAGAAGACAGAGGGAGGAGGCGGAGGGGGGTGGAAAGAAGCGGGGGAGGGAGTAGAGCGATGAAGGACAGTTGGAGGATGACGACGAAGGATATGAAGCAAGAAAGATCGGAAAAAGGATTGAGAGTTGAGGGAGTCGACGAGTTGAAGAATGAGAGTAAGGGGAGGCGGAAAGGGAAAAGGGCGAAGGTAGCGGGTACTTGGCCAAAGTATGACGGGCACAGCTGGAGGAAAGGTACTCGGTACGTGGAGAGTCCAGACTCGGGCAGATGGGGCAGGTTCTAGACCTTCAGTCATCGAGTCATCGGATCCAAGTTTCGTCGTGGATTTCCGGGCATTATTGAATCATTATAATAAGAGTCCACCGGATTCACTCGATTTCAATCTTGTTGCCTTTCATCTTACTTTTCTCCCCGACATATTGCCAACTCTCAGGGACCATGTCTCGTACATTCAAATAGGACGCCCAGTTCTGCACGATACAGAGAGAACGGAGGCTACGGCAGGAAAAAAAAAGAGGCCCAGTCTAGACACTTGGTCTCAGGCGGGTGGGCCCTGTGACTAGACCCGTGATTGGCTGATCAGGTGCCCCGCCTGGCCCCGTTGGGTGGTGGCTTTCTGGACCAAAAGCCTGGCCAAGTCCCACTCGGGGGCGATCATCCTTTTTATGTACGACTGTACAACAATATAATCCTCATCATCAACTTGGGTCGCATCATTAATATGAGAATGCCCCCTCTCGAAATCTCTTCACTCCCGGTGGAGTGATATGAAACTATGCTCGGTTATGTATCTATGCGCCTCACTGTGACCTCCTGTCATTATCTGAACCAAGGGCCTTCTAGTTTGGTCTCCTCCAAATCTGGGTCCCGATTAATCCGAGAGTCGCAACGGCAGTACATACTAGAGTACTAGAGTACTTTGCATATTATGTACTATCGGTCCTTACCCACGAATGATATACAATACTTACATGCTTTCTGTGCCTACCCAACTTTTCTTTCAAATCAAAGAACCCAAATCATCATGTATAAAGTACCTACCAGTAAATCACTTTCTATGCCGTCCTCCCCGGTCTACCCAATAATACCTTCCTGGCTCTTCGACGTTTCCGGCCAGATCGGGCGACCTCGCCACTGAGGGGTTAGGCCTCCCTTGGGTTTCCTGCATTTTTCTTTTTCCTTTTGGCTTCGCGAAGAGGATCCCAGTAGCCAGGTAATGGAGTTGGTAACTATCTCCAAGGTGTACAAACTCTGGCTGTTTATTACCTTGTGTAAGTGTGCCCTATTCCAGTTACCTACAGGTATCTATCTCCTTTGACCGAAGCGGAATTGGTATCCTGGTGACCATCTCGACTACGTAAACACAGTGTTAGTAGTTAATCTAGTTTGACTGGTCTTCATTTAATCAATTAATTCACTCAGTCACCTGGCGAATGTATGACTTTATTAATACCTGACCACTCCTCTACTGTAAATGGCTTTGCTAAAAGCTTCAATTGGAAACAGATGCGTAAGTACTCGGTACTTTCTCCCCTCCTTAACTACCTCTTAGTTCTAGCCTTCTACGCAGTACATACCTACATGCATCTCTCTCTTTACCAACGATCCTTCCCCCAGAATCCTTTCTAGACCCTTGCCCCTCCCTCAACGATCGGATCAGTCCGACCGAGTGGACACCAAAGCGCAATGACAGGGACCCCCCCCCCCCCATAGTCTAGTCCACACCTCATTCTGCAAGTATTAAATTAGATTAAACCCGTCCATGCTAATAAATTAATAACCTGTCAACTCCGTAGTATAATTTCACGATCCAACAAAAATCGAGCACCCTATAGTAGTAAGAGTGCGACCATTAGTTACAATAACACCCCGCCCTTCAAGGTTTCAACCGTTTAATTTCCACAGTTGGCCGTGATCTGGTTCGTCGTCCAGGGTTATCTCCCTGGCTCCACCGAGGGGTCTCGGATAGAGTACACTCTTGCCACCACCCGGCACGGAAAACGTGTCAGCTCTTACGTGGGAGAGCTTGGGACACGAGGGATGGGAGGCGTCGAGGATGGAGGGGTGACGAATGCCCTGCAAAAGGATGGATTTTGCTTATTTGTGAGAAATATTACTATCTGGTTTGCTATTGCTAGGTGGGTTGGTATGAATATATTCCTAGAGTTCGTTGTTTTACCCACAGTACTCAATCTAGACACGGGAAGATGTGGAAATTGGTGGCAGAGTATACGGTGTAGTGGGGGAGAGTACTCTACGGTTGTACAGCATTCAGTTGAGGTGGGTTGCAGGAAACGGGATGAGATAGCAAGATTGGTATCATTATCATTATAATTAGTATTATAATAAGCTGGCGTGTAGTAATTGTCACCATCACGTCGAGCACAATTGCAAACGCTTGGCAGCATATAGCATGATAGCTGAGATGGTAGATAGCAGATTGTTGATGGTTGACGCTTGGCAGATTGCACAAGACGACCTCCATTCGCGGTTCGACGAGTCTGGCCCGCCGCCGTGCAACCCAGATAGCACACGCTGCCCCAACATGTTCCGTGATCGAGGGGGATTGCCCGCCCAGTTCTCGGGTCATGGTCGCGTATCCATCACTACAATGCAGGGGGTTGCGGGTGCAGCTGTCGCTGTCCGTCGATCCTTGAGTCGCGAGAACCCTCACGGTCGCAAATCGGTAAGGGGGGAGGCCGGGTGCGGGGATGACGCCATGAGTCTGCGGCATGGAGAGACTTGGGTTGTACATCCAAGAGAGATCCCCGCAGTCCTGGGACTCCGTTCCACGGGAAAATGTGATCAAGTATCTTTTCCAGGAGTCGTGGCCAGACGCCAGAATGTCTCCTTTCACGGTAAGGGGTTAGGTGTCAAGATGAGTTGCACCGAGGTGTTCATGTTAAATGGATATGGGCATGTAATACCATGCCCATGATTCTCTGCGACCCCACTCATGAAGTCATAGAACGGCGGCGAGGCTGATTCGGGGTGCTGCCACCCAGTGGCTGACGCATTTCCCGAGAGCAGTTCCACGAGTTCCAGACCAGCGACGACCGATAACGCTGCTCCTCACGGCTGAGACGAACTTGTTTCCGAGCGAAACTGGAGGGTTTCAAGGGGATTGTGCAAGTCGACGCGGAACGTTCGCAGACGGTGGTAGAAGTCTTGGCGAGTGTGGGAGTCGCGAGGGTCGGGCTATCCAGTGTGGTGCGGAGCTCGTGACACTGACGGACCAGCTGCTGGACACCGTCGGCCAGACGGGCAGCGCGGTCCTCGATTTCGGGCCAGAATGCGTCGCCCCAGAATGGATCCTCGCGCACGGCGGTCTCCAGAGCGGCCAGCCAACAGTCGAAGCCGGAGCGGGGGCCGGCTAGCAGGGCCGCGACGGTGACGAAACGGATAGTGGGTTCGGAGTGGAGGACATGCAGGACGATACAGGCCGGGCACCGCGCGGTCAGGTACCAATCGTGCTCTTCAATCAGGATACATGAGAGCCAGGCAAAGGCACTGCGGGCTTCGCCCCTGAACGCACGCTCGGGCTCGGCGCCCTTCTTGTTGGGGAGTGCGCGGGCAGCGACTCGCTCGGCTTGGTGGTTAATCAGGAAGAGGGGAACCAGGAGGGTGTGAATGATGTCGCGATGGAGGCGGAAGGACTCTTGATCGGCGGAGCTGCACGAGTGGCGGTGGGTAGCGCAGAAGCTGGGTCCTTCCATACCGCAATCTTGGCGGCGTAGTTGCTCCCGCATGGCGCGAAAGGCCTCATTACGTTCCAACTGGAGGAGATCGTGGGTCGAGACCCGAAAAGGGGAAGTAGCTTCGTAGCTCGACATGTTGGGCGAGGTCGTGTGTGTGTGCGTGTAGTATATAATGTACTCTCCTTTTTTTGGCTTCTTTTCCTGGGAGGTTATAGCGACGTGATCGATAATGAGGTCGGCCAGATTAAAGAATCATGTCGATAATATGCGATCATAGGAAAGATTGGGCCCTAAGGGGTAGGGTCAGGGGGGTAAAGAGGAAAGGAAGTAAAAGAAAGCGAGATCGTGTGGGGGGGGGTCTTGGGTCGCCGGATGCGGGCAGGACGTTATTATAGTCCAAAACCTGGTGAGCTTAAAAGGTCCCAGGCAAGGAAAGGGGCCCCCTTTGAGGAAACGTCATGAGGGCGAGTCGATGGGGATTGCAGATCGAAGCGCAATTTGCCTCTGGAACGGGCGCCAGGCCAAGCTGGTCCAGGGTCAAGTCCAGGGTCGACGCAGTCGATCGCAATGGATCCGGGTCCACTGCTGACGAACACAAATGATATTGCATAGTATAATTGGCGGAGGAGGTCGGAATGGGTGGGGGCAAGTGGAGTGGCTTCCAGAGTCTGGCCGGTCTGGACGAAGTCTCTTGGAGTTTCTTTGAAGTCTCTTTGGGTGGGAAGGTGGGATGGTGGTGGTGTGCTGGTGCGTTGCGGTGGTGAAAAGAGGAGATTATTGGGGAGAGTTGTGTTTGGCGGTGGTCCTGACCGGGCCTGCTACCGTGCCTTCGTGCCTTTCTGAGACCTTTCTATACTTAGAGATAACAGTCCTCTACCCCCCATCCACTCAGCATGTCGTATTTGCCCTATCTATCAAGCCCACCGACTCCAAGACTGACTTGCTGATGTCTTTGACTTCGGGTATCTAATCCTGACTCGATCACCGTGCCACCAGCTGTAACGATGCACCATCTAAACATGGATGCCCAGTGCCAGCGTGGCCAGGGTCCGATCCTCGCTACTTGTTCTTTGATACTCCAACGATGGATACATTCTCCAATTTAATAGGCAGATATCATGAGCTTGATACGGCGGAAGCAGGTCGAGCAGCTCCCTCCTCCCGATCGGCAAGCCCACCGCGGCCCAAGGCCCCCTCCATACCCAATAACATCGGCGTCTGCCGGAGGCCTTAGTGTCCCCGATGGTCACGATATCTCGGTCGCGGGTGAACGCTATCTGACCGCTAATCGGAGAGGGGATCCTAAAGATTCCAGACTCTAGAAGCCTTCGGTTCAAATTCGCTGAGGGGGGTTAATCCCTCCCGACTAAGGTAGTGGATAACGAAGGACTCCATCGGGCCATGCTTAACAAGTTAAAGATTGGCAGGGTTCCTTTGGCAGCCCCGATGGGAATAGAGTAAGTGGAAACACACACAAATCTTCCGCTTCGTCCTTTATTGTGCGAAGTAGATTATTTGTCGTCGTAATGTTTGCCTCTCCTTGGTGCGACCATGTGGTGATCCTCCATTCCGATGCGTGGTGGAATGGAGGAGATTCGTCAGATATCCCTCCTTTTTATTAATAGTAATGATGGCACAGGGGCCGTGGCTTGGAGAAGAGGGGAAATGAGGAGCAGCGGGAGAAATCCAAAATGTAAAATGAATTTCAAGTGGAACTCGGCAGACTCCGGGCTGATCAAAAAAAAAAAGATTGTGGTCCTGTTGATGTTCGGCGAGGAGAGTCAGGATTCTATTAAATTGAATGGTCTGGTCGGCCACGTTCCGATGCTTATCGAGGAGAAGCTTATTCTTTGTGTGATTAGACTTCCTCAGAGCCCTGGAACGAAGTGCTTATTTGCTATCGAATCTCCTCTCCCCAACATCGTTTTAAGAGAATATGAAATTTCTATTACTTACTCCCCTCTTCTCTACTATCTCTTGTAGTCGTCATGACAGCACGCCATATGATGGCATACATACCCCATCCGGAGTACATGCAGACTCCACGCGGACGATGCCATGCGGGCCACTCGGATATCCGCATTTCCACTGGATTAGGATTAGGGCTAGGGCAAGTCTAGAGCCGATAGCGGCGAGATACTGGATCTAGAGCAGGGGCTGCTTTATTCATGTTAAAGTTGGCCTTTTAGAAATAAAAAAGCCGATTATTTAATGATTCACCAGCCAATTAGACGATTGTACTGCATCACATCAAGTCAAATCTCATGAGAAATTGTGGGTTGGGTGGCTACGCTGCATGAGATGATTGTTCTTTAGGGTACCTAAAGATATACATAGAAAGATTGAAGAACATTCAGGATCAAATTCTAGGAGGGAGTAGACCTTGACCTACCAGGGAAATAACCAGAGATTAACTAATTGTACATGAGGAACTGAGATAAACTCGATGGATCTCACACCTCGTGCATGAGATCCTGGCGGTGAGAGATAGCCATGGCAGAAATGGCCAATCACCAATGTAACGGTGTGGGCGGTCAAAAACAGGCACAAGCCTTTCGGAGCTTCCCGTTCTCCACCAAACAATTCAAACGGTCGACAATTGCTGGGCTTGGGACATTATCTAGTCTATTCGATATGCTACATGCTGTGGCCTGTCATTGATGTTGATCTATACAACAGATCGATCTTCGTTGTCCTCAATCTTCAATGCCCGCCCTTCACCCGGATAAAATATCCTGCCTTCTGCCCGGGCCCCCTGGCATGTCGCGGACTAGGGCCAGAATGAAGGCCCTGGGCACGCTAGTTGGGTAGTGGCTGCCACTGCAATCTGCGAACACCGGTTGCCAAGGTCTCTGATCCAAGTATCTGCCCCTGCTCCTGCCAACTTTTGGTGCAGTTGCTGTTTTTTCCACTCTTTTGTCTTGATCTGCTTTGATCGATTCTCAAGCCCCCCAGGTGGTTCTTTCCTACAAACACGGCCAGAGACTGCCAGAGACTGCCCGCGACTCCCTCGTTGTCCAGCGCAGAACTTCGTTCATTTCCTTTTTGCATTTCCAATTATTCACGCAGACCTCTCTACGAGTATTACGAATCTATACAAATACCCAATCGCAACGCATCTTATCATCGATCATTGATCATGCTGTCCTCCCTCGCGCTCTCCGCGGTCCCGTTGCTGCTGGCTGGCCTACAGGCTGCGACGGTGGGCGCCGTTCCAACCATCTCGGCGGTCGGATCCAAGTTCTTCTATGAGAATGGCACACAGTACTACCTCAAGGGTACGTTTGGGCAACCATCGCATCGCATTGCCCCGGAAAATCCGTGTTGCTAACTGGCCTGGGCAGGTATCGCCTATCAGTTGACTCCCAACGATCCCCTTATCGACACCGCCCAGTGCAAGCGCGATATCGTCCGCATGTCCGAGCTGGGCGCCAACGCCATCCGAGTGTACCACGTGGATCCAAATGGCGACCACACGGGCTGCATGACGGCCTTTGCAGATGCTGGCATCTACCTGTTCGTAGATCTCGATACCTTTACGACCCAAATTGAGCAGGTATGGACCACGGGAGTTATGGCTAGTGAAACGAGTTGACACTTATCATTGACGCTCGCGTATAGGAATCCCCTCACTGGAACGAGACCCAATTCGACCGTTTCAAGGAAGTCCTGGATGAGTTCCAACAGTTCGATAACACCGCCGGTGTCTTTGTCGGCAACGAAGTCCTAACCATGGCCAATGGCTCCCATGCTGCCCCCTACGTTCTGGCTGCTGCCCGTGATATCAAGGCCTACCGTGACCAGAAGGGTTATCGGGACATCCCAGTTGGCTATTCCGCCGCAGATATCGCTGACCTGCGCCCCATGCTCCAGAACTACCTTGCATGCTCCAAGAACGAATCGGAGCGCCTGGACTTCTACTCGCTGAATGCCTACGAATGGTGCGGCGAGTCTAGCTACGAGGTTTCGGGGTACAACATGCTGCAGAAGAATGCCACGGACTACCCCATTCCCATTTTCTTCTCCGAGACGGGTTGCAACACTCCCGCACCTCGTACCTTTGACGACCAGGACTCTATCTTTGGCTCGAAGATGTCCGGCACATGGTCCGGTGCGATCATCTATGAGTGGATCGAGGAGACCAACGACTACGGTTTGATCAGCTACGGCCCCTCGGTTAGCGCTGCGACCAACACCATCGTCGAGGATGGCTACACCCGCAAGGGCACACCAACCCCAGTGTCGCCTGACTTTTCCAACCTCAAGTCCCACTGGGCGACGCTGAACCCGACTGGAGTTGCCCTTTCCAGCTATAAGAAGGAGACGGCCAGTATCTCGGCCATGGAGTGTCCTGCTTACACCTCTGGCGGCTGGGAGGTCGATCCAAGCTCCTCTCTCCCCACTCTGGGTCAGACCTACAAGGAGGTGGTGTCTGGAAGTACTGCCACTGCTTCGGGCAAGGGCTCGACAGCCTCTGGCACCGGCGCCAGCTCAAGCTCTACCAAGAACGCCGCCAGCACCGTTGGAGTTCATGGCTCCTCGGCTCCTGCTCATCTGTTGACGATTTCTGTTCTGCTCTCCGCTGGCGTGGGAGCAATTGCCATCTGGCTGTGAGGGGAACGAGTCGACGTACACTGTGTACGTTGGTGACGACAGTGATGTGAATCCACAATTGTATCAATACGCATTCTTGCAACTACAGGATAGACAGGAGTTTTCGTGAGAGTTACACCGTACACCAAGTGTCTCAAACAAATCAAATATATTCATAATGACAATAGGTGCACACCTTTTGAAGTTTAATGACGTGGTCATTCTTGTACATTCGCCTTGAGATGCCGCCTGTTTTTGGGCAGTGTTCATGTTCTACGATCTATACAAAGGGGACTAGGTTTCGGAGGCAATTCGGGTAAGAAATTAGATATATATCTCATCCAGTCGTTCTTTCATACAATAGGTTCCAACAGGTATACAAGTACAATACAACAATCCACCACCCCATGTCAGCGACAGAAGGACTCACTATCAAACTCGAGCTAGCCAGAATCAGTCCAGAAATATATATCAGCGAAAGGTCAATCCTTCTATCCCGCGGATTTGCACATCGAGGTTAGGCAGTGATAACTTCGGAGATACTCGCTTGACCTGGATAGGGACGTCGTCTTCCTCCAAAATTGACCGATCAATCACATCCATATCCTCCTGGTCCTCATTAGTCTCGCTATCACTGCCCGCATCAGTGAATCCGAAGTCGAAATCGGACACGGACGAGGAGTCCAGGAAAGCCTCTTCCTTTGCCACATCCACCTCCTTTGCCCTGTTCTCTTTCTTCACTGGCTCCTCCTTCATCTTTCTCTCCTTCTGAGCAGCTATCTCTGCTTCCACCTTCCGCCTCCTTCTCTCCTCCTTATCAGCCTCTAAACAATGCAACACTACCCCCTCCCCACCCTTAACAGGGACTTCCCGAATGGCTGAAGCAAAGCTCTTCTTCACTCGTTTCGCGGGGGGTCTCTTCTCCGGCTCGACAGCCAACATCGCCCTCAACACGATCAGCATCCTTGGCACGGCGTGATACGCCCGATCACTACCCCTGTCTCGCCGGCATCGTTTCAATGCATCACCTTCTAACAGGGCAATCCAGGATTGTACCTGGACTGCGTTTCGGTCAAGGTGGAACGATGCATCGGCCATACCGCCGCCACGACCGGCGGAGCGGTTCCGCGCGGAACGGTGCGATGAGAAGGAGGAGAGGGATCGCTTGCATAGGTGCGTGAGGATGTCGAGGATTACTGCTGCGAGGGAGAAGAGGTCTGCAGCTGTGGGGTTTGTTTGGGTTGAGTGCCATGTGTGGAGGGAGGGTTGGGCAGGGTTTGAAGCGGGGATGTTTGTGGATGTTATTGTTGTTGGGCGGGTTGGGGGTGGTGTTACTAGGGAGGTTGTTGATGCCGATGAGGAAGAGGAGTTGGAAGATGTTATTGATGGTGTTGAGAGGAGGGCTCTTGGTCTGCTCCAGATTGCGCTGCGGTGGTGTTTGAGTGTTGTGCCTCGGGAGCTGTCTGTGTATCCTGAGGTTGATGCTGCGGAGGATGAGGAGGATGAAGAGGAGAAGGCGAAGGAGAAGCGGGATGGTGAGCCTGGTAGGCCGATGCGGATAACGGTTCCCTTTGATGCCGCCGAGTCTGGGCGTGGGAAGTCTGGGGATGAGGGGGGGCTTTCTTTCAGAGTTGATAGGGCTAGTCGGGGTGGCTTCTTGCGTCGTCCTGTTCGACCGCCGGATGGGAGGAGGGTTTTGTTAGGGACTGTGGGTTGGATGGTTGGTGCTGCTGTGCGGACCCAGCGCTCTGGCGCGGAGTATTGGTATGACTCTAGGTCATTGACTCGGGGTGGTGCTAGGAGCGAGTCCAGCGCTTGGAATTGGCCCAGATAGATGTGGTAATTGGGGTCGACGAGGATGTTGGATGGCCGGATAGCGGCGTGCGCATAGCCACGGGCATGAAGCCATGCCACGGCCGATGCGAGACAATGCGGCCAGGTGATCAAGGTCTGCCGACGGAATTCCTTGGACTGTCGCTTGAATGCCGGCGGTTCATCCGTCAAGAAGCTGTGTAGAGTGCGGTCGGTATCGGCGCCGGTGAACAGGGCACAGACCGTGTCGTCGACGAAATACGAGGCATGGATCGAGATGACATGTTGATGCGCTAACTTGCGCAGACCTCGAACTTCCTCGAGCACCTCTGCCGCGGAAAAGAAATGGGGTGCACCGCCCACTTGGATCTGCGTTCGCAAGTAGGCGCGACATACTACGCCGGCGAGAACGACCTTATCGGCGGTGTCGTCACGGCCTTGCACGCCACTGTTGGTAGCAGTGCGAACAACTTCCACGGGCACGCCTTCGTTCTGCGTATAGGTGACGTGTTCTCCTTCTCCAATGCCGCGTACTAGATACCGCCATTGAGTATGGAAGAACTTGGTATCGAGGGCGAGATCGTTCCCCACCGGCGAGAGACCCAGTCGATCCACGTTCTGTTCGGCGATCGGGAGATCATCGTCATCACACGACTCGTCGACGAGTGCAAAGATACGGTCGGGAATTCCGATGGTATCGAGGATTAAAAAGAGACGGCCAGCTTTGAGCAGAATCCATTCCATGTACGTCTCGCTGGTTAAACCCTCGCCCCAGCGTGGAAGGTCGAATAGTCGCGGGACGTTTTCGGGTCGGAGGCGACTCACGACATATTTAGTGTTGAGAGTGGCTTTAATACGGTCTTCGGGCCACCAGACGGAGTCGTGATCTTGTGGTTGGGGTTGTGCCATGATGGTTGAAGCATGGTTCATGGAGAAGAATAAGAGAAGAAGAAGAAACTACCAAGGTGGATAATAGAGAGAAAGCAAAAGAGTGCGGAGTGTATAGATCGGGGATGTTCCCTCGGCGAGAAGACCAGATGGAGCGACTGGGGTTCACTATAAAGCCCCGATCCACAGGTCCACACTTTCAATCACAAGAGAAATGATATTGCACCCGGTTCGAGCGTTTGTACTATTTTCAAGTTGATTAATTGGCGTCAGCTCCCCCGGTCCAACGGTCAACTTTGTTCTAGTCTTCCTCGAAGGTTGTGCTGAACGCCTACTGGCCGAGGGTGATGCTTATCTCGACCTCCGCAAGGGGAGCTCCGGATAGCAAGTCGATAGTTTTTTTTTGGAAAGCATGTTTGAGGAGTAGTTATTGATGTCAGCACTTGTGTTTCTAATTAGCTCGTGAATATTTTGGGTCTTATTGTTCTAGAGGATTTCAATGGGGCCAATGCCCATTGTACAGCGCAGAAAGTACCCTTTGTTCCTTTTCAATATTATTCCCTGGATGGACCGGGATGCGGCGAAAGCCAAGAAATGATGGATCGCGTGGGAAATAATGGATGGCCTTGGACCACAGCATCATCGCCCTTGACTGGTCGGGGTCCATTGGCCTATCGTAAGTCGCGAGCTTATCAGTGCATCTTCGTTGGTCCACTAAGATCACTCAGGGCCACTAGCGCGCTAGGGCACCCTACATATACTTACTACATACAGTGACTGTCAACATTGATTTCTTAACGGAAAGCCGAGATAAGCGGGTTGATCCTCCGCCTGACGGCCTTCTTTTCTTTTCTGACACCCCAGAGCTAGTCCTTCCTCTTGCAAGGAGGCAAATTCGATAATTGAACGCCATCCAAATGATGCTGCACGAAGAAATCAGTGGATGCATGCGGGATAGTTGGTGATCATGATGGCCATAAAGAGTACAAAGTACATACAAAACACTGTGTATATACTGAAGTACTCTGTACCCCATCCATTCTACTGTTCGTCCGGTCATACTCCGTGTTTAGCTCTTGGAGAGGGGCGCTGACGACGCCACAAAGCTGAACGCAAACTATGTACTCCATATGTAAACAGAGATAAAGCGATTGTTGACACTTTGCAATCAAACTACTTAGAACAACACAATCAGAATCTCTCATTATCTACGGACCTATTCAATCGGTGTCCTGTTTAATAACTCATATACTCTCTGACCCCCTGGTTATCCGCCTGGTCGGCTGGACCCCCCGCTTTGGGCTATTCCCGGGCCTTTGCGCCTCTGGACCATCAAATGGCTTCATTCTCGAATCATCACAGTAGCCAAGAGTTATCTCGCTGACTCGAAGATGCCCCGCGTGGCGTTGCCATTGTCGTGTGTGCAACAAAGTGTCGCAATCGTGGCTGGTCCCCGAATTCTATCAGCATTTTGCTTGTTTCGGGGGTTGCCCGCCCCCGTCAGCATGTGCAGGACGGAGGACTCCGTAAATGCCGAGGGGATATCAAGGGAGGGTTAATGACTAGGATATTGAGATAGACTTTGGAAGAAACCCCTTTAGTCAATATGTTCCTGGTACGGTATTTGCATCGTGTCAGATCTTTATCTGTAGAAACCGGGGGGTTTTCTCGGTGACGAATCCTTCCATTGGTCTCGACTGCAAAGGGCAGGTTCTGGATTACCCCTCAGACAGCCCCCTGGATGGTATATCATTGAACGTACGACCGTTTATCAAGGTCAAACTCGAGGTTCGATCCCCTAAAGCAAAACTAGCGATGTATGATCTCGCCCCTGTCAAGCATACAGTAAACTTAAAGCAGCCATACCCTAGCCCTATAATCCACGATATCAATATATCAAAAGCAAAATCTCCTAACTGCAGACCATCTTTCAATAGTCGCTATATGATGCAAGCGTGTCTGCTCTGTGCATCTACATAAAGTACCAAACGGTGAAGAATAGGGCGTGGCGCGCCGGTAGTTTTCGAAGGATTCTCTCTATTCCTCGGATAGTGGGGCTGATCATCCTGAACTATTGCCTTTGTTTCTGATGGAAAACGGATTATATGGAGTATACCACACTGACCATATGTTCGTGTTGTATCCACAATCGTTGCTTTTTGTAGATCACGGCGATCTCTGATATGGAGGCGTTTTCTGCGGGAGGGGATCTTCATGGGGTCCTTGAAGTATGTGTCTGGGCGTTAGTGGAGCACTAACGGGATCCATTCCAGAATGACTTTTGGGCATTGCTTCTTCCTGTTTTCCCGGCGGGTTTGGACGCAGTTGGATAGCTCAAGTTGCCTGACGCTGGACTGGGTGCAATGTTTCTCTTCCAACCGACAAGGTAAGCCAACCTGCCTTCGGGGCTTCGACAAGGTTCTGTCAACTTTTGGTGCTCATTCATTTCTCTCATGTAAATCAATTGACTAAATGATAGTAGTATACAGTGCCTACAGGAGCGACAGTTCTCTCCTGCCAAAGCCTTGAATCAACCCCCGCTAACAAGATGAGAGCTGTCTCTTCTGGGAAAGCATCTAAATCCTCTTTCGAGTCTCCTGGCTTTGGCGAGTCAAATTCTCCGGCCACAGCTTCGTAACCCAGTACGACACCAAAACATCCAACAGTGATTATCTAGGATATTGTTACCAGCACCCCGGTTTCAGGGGGCACGATAAAGTACTTCACCTGATTTGGTACGTTCTCTCTCTGGGATCTGGCGACAGTGAGTTATAGGGAGAAAAATGACGTCTAAGGTTGTTTTCAAATGGAATTTCCTTTGCGGGGCTAGTTTGTGGACGGCTAGATATATATACAACGCATTTCTAGCCTTCTGTCTGCTACGAAGGGTGAGTAGCCTCGCGCCCGGATTGGACCCATAGGCTAAGAAGGTTATCTGCATTGCATTTATTTTCCTAGGAAATTATTAGACAGTTTCATCTCTGCCATACTTTTGAAAAGAAATGGACCTAAAATTTGAAGCTGATGTTTCATCACCTGATCACGAGAGACAAACAGCGAAGGCTCAGTCTTGGCACCACGTCGCAGCCTCCTTCCCATCAACATCATCGACGAGGTTTTATTCCTGTTCTTCCCTGAATAGAACAATTTCGCTGAAATTTGGCCAATATGTTAGTCTCCGGGCTTCTTTTGTGTCTGTTGGCGCTGTTTCAACATGCACACGGGATTAAATGTGTCATGTATCTCACGGGGTAGGTTCGCTCCATCTGGATAGCTACTCGACACGCGAATTAATGCTCGAAATCATTAGACAGCACGATGTTGTCCCTGAGTTATCCCTTGTGTCAGATGTGACACATGTTGCCCTGGCATTTATGCGATCATCTGTCTTTAATAACAAGGATGACACCTCAGACTGGCCTCTGTTTACCACCGTTAATGCAGTCCGAACAAAATTCTCGGTCGGAACATCGATTCTTGTCGCCATCGGTGGATGGGGCGATACGCAAGGGTTTTCCGAGGCGGCATTGACAGATGAGAGCCGGAAGCTATTCGCACACAACATCAAAAGGATGGTTGAAGACACTGGCGCAGATGGTAAATTATACTCCCTGGCATGCGTGTTCGACTGCTGACAAGCTTCCCAGGAGTGGATATCGACTGGGAGTATCCAGGGTGTGTTCATGTTTCTTTCAATCGGGCTCTCCTACGCCTCATGAGCCTGGGAACTTTCTTTGTGTCTTTTTTCTAACTAGCCACAGAGGCAACGGAGAGGACTATAAACAAATCCCTAATGTCGAAAAGGCATGGGAAGTCGAGGCATATCCGAAGCTCCTCGAAGAGATCAGAAAGGCACTAGGTCCTGAGAAGCTCATCACCGCCGCTGTCCCAGGTCTCCGGCGAGACATGATCGCGTTTACAAAGGAAACTATTCCTGCAATCAGCGGCTCCATTGACTTTCTCAACGTCATGACATATGACCTGATGAACAGACGAGATACCGTCACCAAGCATCATACAGGCGTACAGCTGTCTATTGACTCCATTGACGCCTACCTGGAAAATGGCATGCCGCCCGAGAAGCTGAACTTGGGACTCGCTTACTACGTAAAGTGGTTCAAGACGGCTGACAGCCATGTTGCAGAGTGTGCAGAACATCCCATCGGATGTCAAACTGCATTGATGGAAGACCCATACACGGGGGCTGACCTTGGGCAAGCAGGGGCATTTTCATGGCATGATCAAGTTCCCTCAGAGCTAGCTACATCCTTTGAGAGAGCAAAGGAAAGCGGCAAATATGATCCTGTTGAAGGTGGGTACTACTTCTGGGATTCGGAGGAAAACATCTTCTGGTCCTGGGATACACCAGAAGCCATCCAGAAGAAGTTCCCCGCGATAGTGGAAGAAAAGCAGTTGGGTGGTGTGTTTGCATGGGGCCTAGGCGAGGATGCTCCTGACTTTACACACCTGAAAGCTACAGTTGCCAGCTTGAAGCAATACTTGCCAGACTGGCGAGAGAGTCGAAGGGACAACCCCGAGGCCAGGAATGGTAAAGATGAATTATGAATGTCTGAGTTCTCGGCGTATTCTTATTACATCAAGCTTCGATTAGTAGTTTTATGAAGGCTGAGATCTCGGAATAGATTCCGCCTTGGAGCGGGGGTAAATTGTTATCCGACCATCCGACACTGTTCAGCCTGACCCCCTACTCCACCTTTCCAACAATCTCCATCGCCCTCATTAGTGGGATGGGACTTTTGCGGCATCATGTACGAGCGGCAGCGGGTCTGGCGAGCTTGTCAAGCATGTCGAAGGAAGAAGGTCAAATGTGACGGCGAGCATCCTTGTCAAAGTTGTACACGTAACAAGGCGGAATGTCTCTACGTCGAACCTCAGGGCAATTCGAGACTCGTGGACCCCCAGTGAGTGCTTCTCCATGTTCTTATGATTACAGGTCTATGTATACAATCCGGGATAACGGGCTGACTCTCGCTGTAGATATGTGTTGAAGCTGGAGAGCCGCATATCGCTCATGGAGCAAAGACTCCGAGAACAATCACTTGCACTGGAGGCCAGAGAGGAGGCTCTACCTTTGGATGCCTCTGCTATGATCGCTATTAGTGATTATAACGATACTGACCATTGTTCTGGTGTTGAAAGCCAGTCGGTCACTGCCGGAGCCCCTGCAGCCGACAAGAGTGCGCTTTCCGACCCGCCAGGGGGATTCCGAGGATCCTCGGTGGATGCGGTGGTCCAGACACCACAGCGACCTTCGACAACTCGTCTGCGCGAGAGAACTTACGGCGATGACCAGGTGGTCGAAACTTTAGCCTTTGATTGCTTTGATACGGAAAATGTCTCGACAGACGTAACAAAGCTTGAACAGCCACTTTTGCAAGCATTAATCGACTTCTTTTATCAATCTATCTACTCCATTTTCCCAATCATCCACCGTCGCAGATTCCAACCACATTTTGATCATTGGTCTTCTTATGGCAGGGACAATGGTCCTAGTGCAGCTGATCATGATTTTCAACCTCTTCTGTATGCACTTCTCGCGGTCGCTGCTTCGGTAATGCCCGAAAATCACCCAATCTTTGAGAACTCAAGCTTCGAAATCTACAAATGGATGGATCTTGGAGACCTGTTGTACCATCATGCTATCTCGCTGAGTGCCGGCAGATCTTGCCAAGAAAGCCCCTCGGCGGCTATAAACACTATCGCTGCACAGGGGCTTCTCAGTCTCTACCTGATCGAGCGAGGCAAAGTGAATGACGCGTGGGTCACTGCAGGGCATGCAATTCGCCTATATCAGGGCTTCGATCTTGAGGATAACGTCAGTGCTGCTAGCGATGCAAAGGACCTACGTCTCGCACATAGAAATCTCTGGTGGTGTCTCTATATCTTGGATCGCTCATTGTCAACGGCACTTCTGAAACCATTGGCTATTGACGACGCTGAGAGCGATATTGAATCTTGCGACGGAGAAGAATACCTCACACCTTCGACCCTGGGACAAGCAGATCTCTGGTTCTCGGTCGTTGCCGACTTTCATATCACTATGGGCCGCATTTACCGATCGGTGAGGTTAATTCGAAAAGCCGAGTCTTCCCGGAATGCAAATCTCAAGGATACAGTTCGATCCCACGTCAAGAGACATGACGCAGAGCTCGAGAAGTACTATAAAGACCAAGTCCTGCCGAAAATCGAGACCTCCAACTCACAGGTGGGACCTCTTGCATTGCAAACAATTGCTGTATCGTCATACTACATCGGGCTTGTCCTCCTTTATCGCACTTTTATCGAACGGTTCGATATTACCGAGCCGGACTCCCTTTTGCGATGCGCCGAGGCTGCGTCTAACTGCATCAAAGTCACCCCTCAAGTAATTGCCCATGTACCGGCGAGCCACTTTGTGATCCAACAAAGTCGAGCTATCTTTGCTAGTACAAAGGTGCTCCTCCACTGTATGCGATTGGCCCGAAACCCAAGCTTTACCAGAAAGGCCTGGTCAGATGTTGAGAGCGGCCTGAAAATGCTGCGAGAGGTGAAGATTCAGTGGCCTGAGATCAAGAAGTACCAACTTCTGACTGAAGAGGATATGCATCACACTCAAACTGAACTTCACAAACATGATCTCTATTACAAGACTTTTGACTCTTTTGGGCAGACGCTTGGTACAGGGGAGACCAGTGAAAGAGCGACACCACCCTTCAACAGAACATATCCGAGTCAACGCCCCAAAGATTTCCTCGATTTGCAAGGCCTCGATAATCTACAGTGGGAGCTTTCAAATGGCACCACAAATAGCGTACTCGCAACAGAGTCCTCCCAAATTGCAGTTTCAGCAAAACACAGCCAGCCTGAAGAGCCTTCTCAACAACAATCCAAGCGGAGAAAACTGCGTCAATTTCCATCGCAATCACCCTTACCTGTCAATGATACCCTTGCTTTGGATCTGCTCCCAATGCTGAGAGATTCAACTGATTGTCCCATAATGGACCACATGATTACGACTGGAGATCTCCTACTTCCTGATATTTCCCCAAGGTCAACTAATTCGGAGGAACTGTCCACTTCTTTCTTCGGCGATGCATTGTTGATGACCTCGATTGATCAATTTTTCTCTCAATCCGAAGCCTAATAGCATATTGATGATAACATGAATATAAGTACTGAATATGGCCTTCTTTCGCACGTCTTACACCTCATAATAATCTGAATATCCTTGAGTCGTATTCCATCAAGTACAAAGGCCATTATCGTGTACAACATGACGCCTTCCAGGCAACGATCTTACAAAGTTCTAAAACCAAGATCAATGAGCAGGAGCGATCTCTCCACAGCTGCCACACCTCCGGCTATTCTCGTCCTCCATCCAGTTATCGATAACCTCTTTGAGGTGTATTTCAATATCTGCGCAGTAGAATGCCTCCTCTCTGATGATTGTAGGGACTGCGCCATGGGCCGCTTTATTATCACAATACCACCGAATTCGATCGATCATCTGTGCTGGACGAGCACGTTCCATTACCAGGCCTATCGTGTCCTTTGATCTTCTTGGAGAGTGAGGCGTGTTTCCTGTGAAATAGACATGTGTAGATAAGTGATATGTACTCGCAAGATTGTCCGAGTTTGAAGGACAACCAGGTGAAATAACCCTTGTCATACCTGGTAGGAGAAATGATTCGCCTTCGTGAATTACAATGTCGCGGAAATCATTGTTCTCAACGATCTTCAGCAACATGTCCCCTTTGATCTGGTAGAACCATTCCTAAATCACGACAGTCAGATACTATCATTCAAATCCAGTGGCGAGATAGTTACCTCTGTCTGGTTAACTTCATAGTCTCCATTAGCCTTAACCTGTGGATATTGTAACGGCGTTGTGAGAACAAACTCACTATGATAATCATTCCTCGTGTTTGGTCCTCCAACGGCCATCAAAATAAAGTCCTTCCCTGAGTATAAGCACATGTTATTCACCGGTGGCTTCAACTTTTCTGAGTTGATAGCAAGCCAAGAAGATAGGCCTATTGGGCCCGGAATAGAAGGCATAGATGACGATTGTGATTCCATGGTATTTTCCTGTTAGGAGTAAAGGCGAAGAACGGCAACGATGTCCTGGTTTGCCAGGAAACAATTTAACACATGTATCAATGATCAAGATAGTAGTAGGACTCCAGTATTCTCCGCATGCTTTATCCAGCTGTTGTCATCCCCCTCCCCAGACATAGTCTTGGCATGGATGTAGCCGACCCGCAACGGCATCCGATTGAACCACCGGATAGATCCGAGACTACTACAATTTACTCTGTGCAATTGACGAAAGTAAAGGACACGAAGAGGCCACCCGACGCTGGCATTGAATTTCAAAACAGCTTGTGTTGAGTGGCTACTAGGTCATAAAAGCGTGATTGGTGAAAGGCACCCCCACCCATCCAAAAGTGACGGCAACTTACCCCGATCTATATAATTTACGAACTTGTCTTTAACTTCACCGTGTTCAAGAATTTGAAAGCGATCAACACAATGACTATCAACTCGAGCTGTTGCTCTTGCAACTCTGGCCAGCAACGATGGGCCAAATCCAACGAGCCTCGCAGCGCCACTGCGCCTTTCCGAATTGATATGCACACGCATATTATGCCGCCAAATTTACCCGACTTCTCCAAGTTATACGGGTCAACAGAAGAGAATGGAGAAGGCTGGATGACACTTCGGTCACATTATGTCTCTACTGGTGGAGTTTCTGATCTGACTGGCGCGGAATTAAACAAAGTCGATATGTACGTTGGAGAGAAGTTCTTCAGGACGGTAGAGCCAAACTGTTTTGACCCTGTCGTCCGTATGAAAGAAATGGATGCCACGGGGGTAGATGTCCAGGTCATCAGTACCGTACCTATCCTTTTTTCATACGACAAACCGATCGAACCCGCTGCGGCATTGGCCCGTTACTTGAACGATCATATCGCGTCAGTCTGCCGAGATAACCCACAAAGATTTGTTGGACTTGCTACGGTTCCACTGCAAGATGTCTCTAGTTCGGTGGCTGAACTTCGACGAGCAAAGTCTGAGCTAGGGCTGAAGGGTGTTGAAATCGGGACCGAGATTAATGGTTGCTCTCTCGATGACCCCAAATTCGATCTCTTTTGGGCTGCATGCGAAGAACTGGACATGCCTATCTTTGTACACCCTTTGGGCTATGAGTTAGAACGGGAAAACAAGAGCCGATGGGGCAACTACTGGTCTGCATGGCTAATTGGAATGTGAGTAACGCACTGGGACGCACATGAAATAATACAAAATAATCTAACGTGAGAAATTATACCAGGCCAAGTGAGACTGCACTCTCGATCCACACCATTCTTTCATCCGGCGTTTTGGTACGACACCCAAAACTACGCTTCTGCTTTGCACACGCTGGCGGTGCATACTTGCCGCTTCTGGGGCGAATCCAGCACGGCTACGATTGTCGACCAGACCTGGTAGCCCATCGTTCTGAAGGTGTATCTCCACAGAACTATCTCGAGTCACACCAGCACAATATTTGGATTGATAGCTTGGTACATGATCCGGATCTACTGCAGCTTATTTGCAAGAAGATCGGCCCGAACAGGATTGTTATGGGGAGCGACTACCCTTTCCCGCTTGGCGAAATGCCTAATCCAGGTGAGATGTTAAGTAGTGATGCAAAGGTGGGCGAGTTATTTTCCAGCGAGACGAGGGCACGCATGCTTGCGGGTAATGCGATTGAATTTCTAGGATTGGGGGATATGTACCAGGAGCATAAGATTTAGGGAATCTAGTTAGTCACCCATTGAACTTGGTCTTGAAAACAATTGTAGCTCAATTACCTCATTCATATCCGACTATATTGACAGAAAAATACCCGTAATTTGACCTTGACCTCGTCCTCGTTACTGGTGGGCCAAAGAGCACAAGCAATGGTCAAATCGGATGCCTCTCCGGGGCGGATGAGGACTCGCGCGTCGGAACGACCACCATGCATTATCTTGTACATTATAACGGGGACTTTAGCCCATATTCGAACAATGTCATGATATAGACAGTAATAGCTGAAAAAAGATTTCAATTTTCAATTTCTATTATACTCCCATCTAAAGATGAACCTCATTTCTTCGCTTTGGGAACTCGACACTACGGAACGAGCCGACGCATACCTAACCAGCCTCGCCAGACCAATCCGCCTCCAAAACTACATTGAAAATAATTATTCAGATCATTCAGAGCCCAGCCACTGGATCGACTCATTCAACCCTCGAACTGGCGAATTATTGGCACAGGTCCCTCGCAGTGCGCTATCCGACGTCGATCATGCTGTGGATGCCGCCTCACGGGCGTTCCCGACATGGTCGCGAACCTCGCGACAAGAGCGTTCAGAAGTTCTCCTCCGGATCGCCGGTATCTTGAGTGAGAAGAAAGAATTATTTGCTGTTTGGGAGAGTATTGATCAGGGGAAGACTATTAGTCGTGCCCGTGTGGAGGTTGACCGCGCGATTTCTAATTTCCGGTATGCAAGTTTTGGCTAGAAAGTAAACAGAGCCTGCCTGGGATGCTGATATACCATTAGATACTTTGCAACCTACATTCTCCATGAAGAAGGTGCAGTTCGCTATGTTGACGGCCCGGTGTCCACCATGACTTATGAGCACCGGTCGCCGGTGGGTGTTTTCGCTCTAATCTCGCCTTGGAACATGCCGCTTTACCTCCTGACATGGAAGATTGCTCCTTGCATTGCATTCGGATGCACTGGGGTGGCAAAGCCCAGTGAAGTGACTAGCATGACTGCATTCTGTGAGTTATTTCTCTTCGTACAACAATATTCCGATAGACGACTAATTCGAAAGCAAGTGCTTGGAGAGGTCTTCCGACAAGCGAAACTCCCGCCTGGCGTGATGAACATTATCTTTGGAGACGGACCTGGCACAGGCTCAGCTCTCGTCAAGTCTCCTCGTGTTCGAGGAGTCTCCTTTACTGGTGGCACGGCTACGGGAATCCGCATTAGACAGGATACTGTGGCTGATATTGGCAAGCATCTGTCACTGGAACTGGGTGGGAAGAATCCTACATTGATATTCGACGATGTTGATCTGGCTGAGGCTGTACCACTAGCTGCTCAGGCTGCATTTGAAAATAGCGGACAGATATGCCTCTGCGGCTCTCGGATCTACGTCCACCGCGCCATCTACGAGAATTTCCTGTCGAAGTTGGCGGATTATGTCCAGAAGAACTACCGCTGCGGAGAGACTATTGGGCCGGTGGTCTCCCGGGAGCATTATACCAAGATATCATCCTATCTCAAACTAGCCAAGGAGGAGGGCGCCGAATTTCTCACTGGAGAAGTTCCATCGGTAGTGGCCCAGCAGGGTTTCTGGATCACTCCAACCGTGTTGAGTAACGTACGGACCGACAGTCGCATTATGCGGGAAGAAATCTTTGGACCGGTCGTTACAGTCTCTCCTTTTGATACGGAGGAAGAGGCCATTGAACTGGCAAATGACAACCCGAACGGTCTGGCAAGCATTCTCATGACCAAGGACCTCTCCCGGATGCGCCGAGTCGGAGAGAGAATCGATGCTGGATTGGTATGGGTCAATTGTTGGCTGGTACGTGAACTTGGCACGGCATTTGGGGGAATGAAAGCATCTGGCATTGGCCGTGAGGGAGGGTCCCAAAGCCGCGATGTGTTTACCAATTTGCGAACTCTTCATGTTCGATAAGCAGCTCTTTCTCGGATGACGTTGCGGGTCGGTTCCGGCCTGGCCCCAATTGCCTCGGATATCGGGCCGGTCGGATACATCCGGTGGAGACCTACGATCTGTGCAAGATAAATCATATGGAATAGAATTCATTCATAGTAGATGAACAATTGACTATCTTTTTTATCATCTAAGTTGATCGCCCTTCATCAAACATTGTCCAGTCATTGCTATTGACACCCCCCAACCCACCATCATGTCCCAAAGCACACCCTACTTCCGTCCTGCAACCCACGCCCAGGGACTTGCCAATTACCCCCACGCCCGGACAATAACCTCGCCCGATGGCCATGGGTCATATATCTACGTCTCTGGGACTTCATCCCGCCGCGGTGATGGGACTTTTGTCGGAGCTACACTTTCAGAAGACGGCACAATTACCCTCGACATCCGAGAACAAACCGCTGCCGTGTTATCCAATATCGACGCCATCATCCAAGGTGCTTCGGAAGGCAAAGCGAGCATTCATGATGTGGCCGATGCAACGGTGTTTTTGACAAATATGAAGGATGATTACAAGGGGATGAATGAGGAGTGGAATCGCATTTGGCCCGATCGTAATACTGCGCCTGCGAGAACGACGGTGGAAGTGAGGGCCTTACCACGGGAGGAGATTTTGGTGGAGATTAAATGCACTGTGTACTATAAGTGATATAGTAGTATAAAATTAGGGCGAGGCTGCTGCTACTGCCTGAGTTAATAATAATAATACGTAGTCTTCGACATAGTAAGGCATCATTGACGCTTCACTTGCGGAACACGCTCACCGTTCTTAGACTTCTTGAGACAGCGGGACTATAGTTGGCTCATAGTCTCATACGATCTTCTCTCTATCCTAGATTTTCTTTCTCCTTTACACCTATCTCTCCATAAATTTCTTTCGCGCCTTCACGATGTTATCGATTTCTCTTTGTCAAACGGATCCACCAAGGACTGTGATATCCGCGAATCAGTTCTAGCTTGAATCTCAGTTTCAGGAAGCCATTGTGGAAGTATTAAACCAAGCTCAGTGATTTCAAGAGCTAGTGATCAAGGACATCCCCCAGGGCTGGGAGACTTTCGTTTGGCAAAATGCCGAGACTCTCCCTTGTCATTTTCAGCTTTCATACGATTCAAATACACTACGACTCTCAACCATACAGACTTGGACTCATATTTGCGTCATTACATGGCTCGCAGATACAAAGTCAGGGTGGTACGGTAATGGAATTATAAATCATTCCGAGAATAAACTTCTCCGGGTCTCATATAATACAAGTTCGGTTATCATATCCTTCCTCCATCGTGAACTTACAGTGCCGCCCGATATTGCCTTCCATATCTTACAGTCCTAATCACATGGTACGCTAAACCTAAGATGAATTTTGCGTAAATTACCATTTTTGAATATACAAACCAACGATACCGGATTTGGTACCTATTCGTATGGATACCAGTCTCTGAAAGCCTGAACGAATAGAAGGATTTATACAAAACGCAGCAAATTAAGCGACTGTCGGCAACCTGCCAGCTTCTCTCCCTCAAGAACAGATTGATTAAAAAGTATTGTACGTACACCCAGGAAATATCTTCTCGTTGAAAGCTGCCTTCCCTTCTCTCCCATGACAGAAACCCTTACAAGAAAAGGGATGCCCAATATCAAGGCGGACAAATCGACATCACGGAAAAGAGGGCATTGAATCGGTGGCACCATATCTCACATAGTTAAAGGCGGACTTTAAGAGAGACAATTTCGCACAGTTTCAGATGGCGAAGCACCCTTTCCTTTTCGTTAGTACATCAGAATAATATAAACCTAAATAACAGTAATCACTTACATCCTATAGTTAACACCTCTGTTAGCACTATATCGTAGAAGGAACATCAATCTACGCGGGAACAAAATTGAAGATTATCACTCACACGGCAGATTTCATCTTCTAAAACCTTCACAGTACCGTCCAGATATCTCAAAATAGGGATTCTATAAGCCACTTCATCCTGAACCTATTTATTTCATATTAGTAATACTGGTATACTGTTGGTCATAACTGCCACGTAATACACTCACCACGAAGAAGACCAACTTCTCACCGGCCACCACCTGGCTGGTGACCCCCGAAATCTCTGCCCCGGGAACTTGTATAAGTTGTGCGGCTTCCTTTACGCTCTCCTCATTACAATCGACATTGGAGAAACCACCGGGCGCCGCCGATGGGATACCAAGGCCGCCGTGACACATTTCGACAGTTTTGTCGAGAGAGACAACCTGGGATGAAACCAGAATGGCAAAGAGCACGGACGAAAAGAGGGTGGTTAGAGGGAAATGCATACTGGATGAATTAGGGTCGTTAACATTAACTGTAACCTCAGTGGCTTCCAATGTTGATAGATGTGAGCTTTTATAGTTTTCTGTAAGACTAGGCAAGTGTTTAGAGAGGGAAAATCCCCTTTATTAAGCATAACAGAGCTAGTTTAGCCACTTGATAAACCTATACAAAGGCGCACAATAAATTGCTTTAGGGAAGACTTGGCACGTAATGACCAATGATGTTATCAATGATTAAACAGTTAGTTGATTCAATTAATAACTAAATACGGACTAATCAGTTCATAGTCTACGCCATCTTGTTGTGAATGTGGGGTTATGTGGGTCCTAAACTAGTAACTAGCACTTCAAATATGGGAACCCTATGACAGGATCAGCACTTTATATAACTAGTGTTTGAAATGGCGTCTTTCTATTCCCGACACAGAAGCTAGATAATGACAACTATCGTTTATTTTGAGGTAATTGTAGCGTTGAGGAGAGTTCCATTGTCTCGGTGCTATATTGTGCAGATGTTTAAGGTAAAACGCGAGACGATATTGCTCCTGTAAAAAGATAGCTCCCCGGGTCTGAGGAGCACAGCGGCTATGTATAATATAATACTATACCTTATACATTGCTCCCAGGAAGAAAAAGCCACTACTATTAGGAAAGTTTGTGTTAAGTTGTGGTTCGGGAAACAACTTGTGAGAAGATACTACAAATCAGGGTAGAAGTCCGTCAATCAGGTAGGAGAAAGGAAACAAGTCAGATTATTTCACGACTGTTTCTTGAGGATTGTTAACACTCCTCTTCATAACTCGATTTATATATAGCCTCATTGTTCAGAACAGGAAGGAGGTACATCCTTGTAGAGAGAGAGGATTAGGGGGGAAACACGAGGCTTATTCAAGCTCCATCAAAGGTCTTCCTTGCACCGTAGGACACCCAGGACAGCGCCAACCCTCCATAATGAAGAAAGTGAGGGATGGAGGAGGGAAGTTAGCAGATTGCTAATGGTCGCTGAGTTTACTTGGGTTGCACGAAGCCCGCTAGCCGTCCAGGGTCCAGGGTCTGTATCCATACGAATAGGTACAAAATCCGGGTCGTTGCTATGTATGTATATTCAAAACCGGTAATTTACGCAAAATCCACATTAGGTTTAGCGTATTATGTGATCAGAGTTTCAAACAGCAACTCTGTGTTTTCGGATATGGAAGGCAATAGCGGGCGGCACTGTAACTAATCTTTCCAGTACTTACTTTCACCCACGGTCTATATTCCAGTTTTCTAAAGCAGCCAGATGCTTATATCTATGTCCCTCATTAGAGGCATCCCGCCCTCATAGTAGAGGCTGGATTCAACGAATCTTATAATGACCTTTTCGATGATATGAGGCGGTTGCCTATCGGTGGCGATGGGGATATCAAGGTTGTTATTATCGTGAAATGAACAAAACACGCAAATTTACACGTGGATGGAATTGTCGAAGTCTACCGAAATGACCGACAGGGAATACCGAAACTTGACCAGAGAGAGATCATTTTCCCGGAGCCAGCGGGTAACCATTCCCAGCCACTTGACATTCGACGAGGCGAACTTTGTGGAGGAGGTCAAAATGCTAGCGACGTTCTGCCTTTACTCTTTCGTGAACTTCGTAATTTTGCCAGAGATACCCTTGCTGCAGATGGTCTCATTCCGGCCTAAGTGTTTAGGCAGAGCCTCTATTTACTACGTTCCGGTGGTCGAAGGATGTCGTTTACTTATAACATAAGTATGCATGGCCCACCTGCCAAAAGAAAGAGTTGGATTCAACTCCGGACACTCCTTACACAGAAAACGAGTTGTAAGTTTGATGGCGGATTCCACCCCCGGTGCCATGTCGAATAGCGCTTTTCCCGCGGCTTAACCACTCCTTTTATCGACTTGAGTACCCTAGAGTGGTCCCCGTGAACTCGATTTCGGTGGGCATTGAATGCCACCTCTGTAAGGACTTCTCGGGGACACTGGGGGCTTTTCGAGGACACTGGGGAAACTCGTGGATTGTGTATACCTCGATTGTCCGGTAGCCGTCGGACTTTTTGGTAGGCTATATCGTTTGATATTAGTGAGAAGGCTCCCTCTAGTTCTGGAGAGAGGGCGTCAAATAAACCTTGTGCCTTTTCCCAATCCGGGTTCGTGAGTTACCCGGATTCACCCTTTTGAGGTCCTTTGCAGCATTTAAGAGGCCACGTCGCTTCTCACTTACTCGATGTAGGAATGCTGCAACACGAAAAATTGTGTCGGAGGGGGGGAAGCTGTGCCATAGGCGATTCCTAGTCAGCCCGGAGTTGAGCCATATTGATTGGAACGAATTCGTCATTATGTGAAACGTAGACGGACAAGCCCAAGTTGATACCACCAAAGTGGTCAAAGAATGCGCAGAGGTTGACCTTGCCTATGAGGAAGCCCTCAAAACCAGCAATGACCAACTCAACTTGAACGTGATCTCGCCATTGACCCAACAGGCAGCTGAACATGCCCATATATTTCTGCTTCATGGGCTGTATGGCGCATTAGACTACAGCCACATGCTCGGTTGGACAATCCAGCGTGCTCGGGTCTAGTAGGGACCGGTGCCTTTTCCAGCGAGCTTCGAGCTCAACACAGAAACGAAGTAGCCCAGCCTCCTATTGACCGACATAACTAGAGGTGGTCGGGACACTAGATGAGCAGAAAAAGAAAAATACCGCTGTTGGGGATGAGACAGCGAGAGTCTGGGAGTTGTGAGGAGCTGGGGCGAGGAGAAGAGTGTCGGAATTCGTGTCATCATCATCACTGGCGACCGAAATGAGGTGATGCTAAACTAAATTGATCTTATCTTTTTTCTCATCTTTTATTTCTACCAATGTTTCCTACGTATACCTTTCTCATTCCACTACTATACTCTGATTATATGGTTGGTTTGTGGCTAATTTCAAGCTAGCCAGTGCTACCTATCTAGAAAGGGAAACTGGTCTGAAGTCGAGTGTATCCACAAGAAAGTGGCTTCATGTCTGTTACGAGAGCTTTTCGCAGGGCCATACATACTTATGTTCTAAGTAAACGGCATCCTTCAACCACTGGAACGTAGTAAATAGAGGCTCTGCCTAAACACTTAGGCCGGAATGAGACGTACGTTCAGTGCGCGTCTCTACCACCCAACGATCCTTGGGAAGTGGTGGTTCCCCCCACGCAGATTGATCAGTACTTTGACACACAGTTCAAGGCGCTGATTTTCTTGGGGAGCACCCAATTATATTAGTAGTGTCACGAAATTCTCTTGCAGTGTCATGTATTTGATCCTGTTCTTATAGCTTACAGATGCTTCTACCGCCATGACAGAGGCTTGACCTATCTAGCTTTATGACCACCTTTTCGATAATATGAAATGCGAATATGTTGCGTAGTAACAGGGGAATTCAAATCGCTATCATTGTGAAAATGGACAAAGCTACACAAGTTGACATGTAGGTAGAATTATAAATCGGGGAGGAGTTTTCGAGGCCTTCGAGGCTCCCGGTTCAAAGTCGCAGGAAGGGTGCGGCCTAGAATAGCCTGTTAGCTTCTAATTTGCCTCGCAAGGTCTGGAAGTTATTTTGAAGATTTTGGAAAAACTAGGCTGAAGTTCTTTTGCCTGTTTCTGGTAAAAATTTCAGTGGACTCCAAGGCCCCGATTGTAGGTTGTGCTGCCTTGGGCTTGTCTTCCTTCGCTGCCCTTGGTATTTCTACCGCGACGCCACCTCCTCTTGTTCTCTCCCTCCCACTCAACTCTTTTCCTTTCCCACCCAACCCTTTTCCCTCAACACCAACCTCTTACCATTGTAAACTGCAATCAACCAGAATATTCTGGTGCTCTCTGCACCCCTTTTCTCCCCTCTTAACCTTTTGCGTTTGCAAACTCCTCTGACCACAACCCCCGCTCACGATGCCGTACCGTATCGGTAAGATTCTCCCCTTTGTTCTTGTTAAACAGTACCAAGAGACACTTCATGTTTCTTGCCGGCATCTGCGGGCAAGTGCATTTACTGCTTGATGCCCAGATTCATTAACACTGCTCTCGACGCGTCAATGCACGCGATGTGGAGTCGTGATGGTCAAGCTGTCCATCAGGTGGCCCGTGCACCACATGTCCTTGGCCTGGATGCTCAATACCACCTTTTGATACATTGATCATTACAAAAATCTGACTCTTTTTACAGAGGCCTCTCCGAACAACCGTGCTGGTTGTTCGAACAAGGAATGCAAGGATCAGAAGATCAAGATCACCAAGGGTGAAATCCGAGTCGGAACCTGGGTCGAAACCGAGAACTACCAAAGCTGGAACTGGCGCCACTGGTAAGTTTTCTCTATCATTGAGATATCAAAAAATTACATAGCTGATTACTTCAAGGGGTTGTACTACTCCACTTGTTCTCTCTCACATCGTCAAAGATGTCTTCGAGAAGGACAAGGTGACTGGCGATGAGAAATTCGACCTCATCGATGGCTGGGAGGACCTGCCTGAGGTGTACCAGGAGACTATCCGCAACGCTCTGACTCAGGGACATGTCGCCGATGATGCCTGGAAGGGTGTAAGTTCCTGCCATTCATTTGACTACAGTCCTTTGACAGTATGTCTTTGTTATGATTCAATCCCACTGACGGCCAATACTAGGACCCTGAATGCAACCGACCTGGTATGCGTGGCTTCCGTCGCGCCGGAAAGAAGAAGGCCGCCCCCAAGGAAGCTGTTCGTCATCCACAATTACTCGTTATTTGCTAAGGCTTGAACTGACATACCTACAGGATGCCGATGGCGAGGGCGAGGAAGCCAAGCCTGAAACCTCGAAGGAAGTCAAGGATGAGCCTAAGAATGATGGCGCCGCCAATGTTGAGGATATCAAGCCTGCCAAGGAAGTGAAGAAGGCTTCCAGCGCCAAGAACAAGAAGCCGGCCAATGATGAGAAGGCGGATAACGACAAGGCCGGTGAGGATGAGAAGCCCGCCAAGGCCAAGAGAAGCACTCGTGCCAAGAAGACCACGACCAACGAGTCCGCTGAGGATGAGACTACTGAGTCTGCTGCAAAGGCCAACGCCAAGGCCAAGCGAACTCCTCGTGCTAAGGCTGCTCCCAAGGAGGATGCTGATGCCGAGACTCAGCCTGCTAAGCGTCGCGGTCGTCCCGCCAAGTCTGCCGATGCCGCTGAGGGATCGACCAAGCCTGCTGCAAAGGGAACCAAGCGCAAGGCTCCCGTTGATGATGATCAGGATGAGACTGCTGAGAAGCCCAAGCGTGGCCGCAAGAAGGCTGCGGTGGTCGAGAAGGAGACCGAGGAGCAGGAAGCTGCCCCTGAGAAGCCCAAGCGCGGTCGCAAGAAGGCTGTCCCCGAGAAGGAGACTGAAGATCAAGAGGCTGTCCCCGAGAAGCCCAAGCGTGGCCGCAAGCGCGCTGCCCCCGAGACCGAGGAGCAGGAAGCTGTTGCTGAGAAGCCTAAGCGCGGCCGCAAGAAGGCCACCAAGGAGTAGAGTCCTCCCGGATTCTACGAGTCACCGGTCCTATCGATCGAAGCTTGTACTGTACCTACGTCAACCGGGATGATCGTGGATCGATGCTACGTTTTCGACAGTGAATGTTGAAGCATGTTTTCAGTTCTCATGCACATGGGAGGAATGTCCTCTAAGGTGATCTCCATGAGACGTCTCAACGGTTATTTGTTTCTTTTCTTTCAAGGGTGGTTTCTTCGCGTTTAGTCCATGACTGGTGAGAGATGGTGCCATGGACAATCATGTATGAATATTTCGAAGTCTGTCATATCGCGTCCGAGGACTGCAATTTTAATCTGAACATTTCCCACCCGATCGGACCTCCTCTTCGTAAATTTTGCTCATAGTGGTAAATGAAGCTTGCTTGCGTTGAATACGATCTCATACTAACCATTGACAACGAAGGGAGACGTGCGATGGACACCTGACTTCTAGGTACATGCCTTGTAACTGGAAGGTGTTTGTCGTTTCGTCTTATAATGTTTCTGACAATTGGTACCATACAACTGGTACCACGGTTCTCGTGTATACAATTTCAAGTGTTCCCATCCCTGGGCTCGAGTCTGCAAGAGCGTGCGACTCTCTTTCCTCGACCGACAATATAATCCAGCTCTATGAACATACGTCGACTGGACTGTAATTCATGATTATACTTTATGTAGCCCACATCTATTGCCATCAACACATTCCGAAACCGTCATCCCACTTCCGATCTATGTCAGTAGTTTAACGTATTTTAGCAGATCAACGATAGCCGAGGCATCAACAGCTTTAATAGCCGCAGCAAAGTACGGAATTTCCACCCCATTATAGGCGCAACTGTGCCCTTTGACACCAATCGTGACGTCGCCGCTATCACCATCGCCCCATACAAATTCCTGAATGAGCATCGACTCGTCGACATTTCCGAGGACGATGGCTGTGGTGTTCTCCTGCTGGAGCGTCAGGTTTGGTATATCCACGTATCCTAGATTTGAGCCGGCCAAGCTAAGGTTGAAGGTGACATGGCCCTTGGTAAGTTAGTAAGGCTTGATATTTCCTGTCATGCTCAGAGTCCAGTTACGTACCATCTCCACGGTAAACGGGGTCGGGTTTCTGAGGGCGAGTGTGGCGTTGAAGTTAAATCCGTCTACTGTTGGATTTAAGAGCTCCAGGCTTGTGATGTTGAATGCGCCTTGTGAGTTGACGAAATCTGGGGTAGAAGGTTAGGACATGTATGTATGTGATGAAGCTCGGAAGGGTGTCAGCACACACCGGTGACATTGTAACCTATGAACCGTGAAGTATCAGCATCGCTAATCAAGATGACGAGTATAAGGAGTGTCCACTCTTACCATTCATATTCATCGTCTTATGAATATTCAAGTGAGCAGTTGGAAGCGCACCGAACTTCAAGTCCGGATCGCCCGTAACCAACGCACCAAAGCTTTCGTTCGTAGCGGCCGCAACGGCCAACTTGGAGAGACAATCCACACACGACAAGTCAAGGTCTTGATCAATATTGATGTCCGCGCCATTCTTAAAATCAATCTGGGGCACCGGGAACAGGGCGAATTCCTCGTTGCTGGACGGGACTCGAATGCTTGCATTGAATGCCGTCAAGTGGCCGCTGCCACTGAATCCACCTCCCATACTGATCTTCTTCGACATGCTAACGCGGAATGAAGTTGGCCGTGGGTTGGTAATCGCGATTCCGTCATAGTCGAATTGATACTTGTTGATATAGTCGTTGGCAAAATGAGGGATGCCCACGTAGAGACTTATCGGCATTAGCAATGGTACTCCGAACTTGCAGCTGGGGACATGAAACTTACAGCGGAAGCACAGTTACAAGAACAATGCAGCAGAATGCTATCAAATACACCCACCACCATTTCTTCATATGTGTCTTGAATCGTTGCCATACTGTAGGCTTTTTCGCTAGTGCCTCGGTCGCGACATTCGTATCAGAGCCGGAGCTATCTTCGAGGTCGGATTTGGACATCTTTTCAATGCGGACTGTTGATTTTTGGTTAATTTGTCCCTCGATGCTGCGAGACCTCGTGCAAAGCTGTTGGCAATATTCGATCAAGTGAAGGCTAGAAACATAGACAACGAAATAACCCTTCCCATCGTAATTCGTGAAACGTCTGAATTGTGGGGAAAGGAGAGGAAAACCCCCGACTGGACTGGTCGTGATTCTGGGGCGAACTCCAGCTATTTGAATCCGCAATCGGCAAGGGTCGCAATTCCCCGCGGGGGCGCTAGTTGATGTCAATCATAGATCCATTTCACATGTGAACCCCCAAAATCGTTGCTTAGGGCTGCGTATTCGGCTTCCGAATACGCAGCCGCAGATCGATCGGCGTCAAAATGCACCAGAACGGGAAAATGGCCGAATGTTGATCTTTGGCCCAAAAGTGGCAATTGACACGCGAGAGAGCCTTGTTTCAAGTAGTTGGCTATTTGGTTACAAGGAGTTCAACTACTGCTATCACCGCATATTTGGAAAGATGCGAATGCAGCCAATTGGAGATACTACTCTCTCCTCTCGGCGATGAGACGAAGTTAAAGAGATTCTAAGATACAAAATGTCGGCCAACGGAATGGAAGATGCAATTTTGTCAATTTCAAGAACTGCGACGCCTATGAATATAGTCAAAATCAACGTTGCTTAAACCTGCTAACGAAAGCACCATTTCTTGTTGGCGGAAGCTTTTCGCCGAGTCTGCTGGAAATAACAATATGGCGTGCTGAATGATATAACCCAAATTGACTGCAGAACGCACGTAGTCTTCATATTAACCCACCCGACCGTCACCTAGAATTGTAACGTAACGCATGAAAATTCAAAAATGACATAGGCGCGTGTTGATTCAGAAATCATCGATGCCGCGTTGGCGGATCTGATCTCGGGGATTAGCATGTCTCTCTGGGATTTTGCGGTTCAGCTCCGAGCGCATTCGGGTGACAGAGTTGTAGAGATCAGGTTGGCCCCTCATAAGCGCCCAGTAACGATGGGGGCACTGGTAGAAGATCAAGTCCAGGGTATCGGCAATGAACTTCACCAGCCAATCCTGGAAGTGATCAGTGCAGGTGGAATCCTTAAATGCCATTGCAGTCACGTCCAGCAAAGATTCTAGCTGTGACAGGCCCGGGTAAGAATTCCAGGCAGCTTGTAATTTGAACGTGATCTTTTCCACAAGGTCAACCATGTTCAGGCGACGGGCATAGGAATAGAGTCTTCCCAGCTGAGCGATCTGCTCGTGAAGATCCGTAGAGTTTGTAACTCCGTGAAGCTGGAATTGGCGGTGGATCCCGAGGCAGTCGCCGATTTCAAACTCTTCGCCTTCTCCAGAGTTTCCTTGTCGGGCGAGAGACGTCCTCAGTAGATGAGGAGTGAATTCTTGAGTCTTGAGGAATGATATCAGCTTGCCAGACTCGGGCTCTTGAACAGTGGAAATGTCACGGAATACGGCAAGGAGTCCCTGTGAGTTCTCTTTTCCTAGGAGAATATGCTCAATCATGGCCGCTAGAGTCCAAGTCTGTTCGAAGACCGAGCTTTGCTGCTCGAGTAAGGCATTGTTGACACCCTCGACGGGCTTTTCCTCCACCTTAAGCAGCGCACCCTTCCCTGAGACCTGGGTTCTTGCTTTGGTTGACATTGAGGTAGTTTGCGCAAACTGGGAGCCTCCAGCTAATTCAGACGTTCCAACGTGGAAGCTGGGGAATGGGGTTTTCTCTCCTGGGAAAGTGAGAGATTTCGGACTCTTCTCACGTTGACGAGAGGGGCCAGCCAGACCCTTTGATGAAGAGAATGAGCCAGTCACTGCTAGCACCTTGCGCGGCGGCTCTCCTTCAAGCTCCGCTACGTCTGGTTGATTTTCCGCGTCGCTGGTATCGCTGGCATCGCTGGCATCGCTGGCATCGTTATCCGAATCGTCATCGCCAAGGGTGGGAATCCCTTCAAGTATGTCCTCGAAGCCATCAGGGAGTACAAGTTCAACATTTTTGCCGCGCTTGCCCTTCGCCAATGACTCTTTTTTGGCCATGCTTTTCCAGAATTCTATACCGGGTTCCTTGTCGATTATCGCGAGTAGGTCACGGTAGACCTTGAGCTCCTTTTTGTGATAACGACTGGGGGTTTGGACGAAAATGTGAGGAGGCTTGTTTGTGAGTACAAACAAGTCAGTAACGTGGACCCAGCGACTAGAATAACGATTAACAAGGAGGCCTCAAACCCAATCATGTTATCGAGTGTCTCAAGATGAGCGAGCTATAAAGTCTCCGCCCGAGTTCGTATCGGGCTAGAAACTCATTTTAAAAAGAGGTACAAAAAGACGTCTCAAGAGAGGGTAACATAATGATGTATCGAAGGAACTGTGAGATAGAAGGTCTGACTTACTATAGATTTACTCCAGGAAGATAGGCCGGGTATACGCGCTTGTCAGGATCTGTAGTCCACTCGCCCGATGCTGGCTTCGCCCCTTTGGGCGGCCTTTGGAGGCCAAACGCAGCCTGGAAGTCATCCGGAAGCAGCACCGCAATCCAGAGGTCTGTGTTGTAATTGCGGGCTCTGTTCTTGTACCGGACAATGAAAAGGCAGCCGGGATTGAGGTCTTTCGCAGGCGAGACGTGTTTCAGTCCCGTTATCAGAGAGGCGTAAGTGTTCATCTTGCGGGGCGGATGTGACTTTCGATTGATCGTAGAAGGAGGTTGTTTCGGGAGGATAGAGGTCGAAATTCGCGTGCACGATACTTGACCTGCAATGCGGAGATGGTTAGACCTCGAAGCAAAACCAAGCATATTCAATGGAGGTCATATAGTCCTTCATCGCAACCTCACCCTATATAGCCTTTCCTGATCAGATGAAGATAGACTCACCTTGGCCAAGACGGGAAATACCGAAGTATTTCAGCCAGAGAACGCGGATTATTTGTTAGAGTGTGCTATCAAGGATGTGGTGTAGAGATCGAAAAGGGAGGTTCGTAGATACTTGTTGGAGATAGCTTTGTGGAGGGAATTGCGGTAGCTTTGAGCTTCAGGTGGAAGGAGCGCAGGAAGAATTGGGGAAGAGGATCGTCGCGTAACGTCTTCTTGAATCAAAAGACGTTTTTTAACTCGTGATTCTGAACGTTCTGAATACTGTTCAGAGAGAGCTATCGGGATAGGGGAGAAACAGAGGTGAAGAAGAAGGAGACTTGCGAGCAAATAGAAGAAACGAGATTCTGATCTGATAGATGAGAAAGAGCTCGGTTCACGGAGAGGTATCAATAATGGAGGCGAGCGGTATAGGTTAATGATGAGGTACCTTGTGATGAAAATGTTAATAAAGTCTTGACATAGGAAGGGTATCAGAAAGTACGTGGATATAGGAAGAGTGAGATGCAGGAAAGAGAAAGGGCGGGAATTGATGCCGGCTGCCCAGAGATGATAAAAAGTGCAATGGTGACGGACACACAATTCGGCAGAGGTAAATTGATGAGTTAGGTGTAGTGTGAAAGAGCTGGACGGAGCTCACAGCCACGATGGCGTAACGATGTCAGGAAAGATTGGGCAAACGTTCATAGAGCCCTGACTTACCCACGCTTCGGTCGGATCAAGGAGTTCTACGTAGGGAAACAACACGAGACGAAGAAATAGTGAATAGAGACAAATGGAAATTACATACATCGATTATGCGGTTTGTATTGATCATCGAAGGATGATTCCCGTCGAATGCTCTGGGTATTTCGGTGCGCCAAATAGTAGCATATGCTAACGTTGGATTATCGGAGGATCCTAGGACTGAGTAAGGAGAGAATTGCCACGATAATAATAGGCAATGAGACAAAGAATGGCAGCCCGGTTGACAGAGGGTGATGCTAGGGGTAGCAACGCTGAGATAACAGGTCAAAGGTAAGGATACTTCACTTCTATTGACCTCGAGGTGATTCTTATATCCAGACCATGGATCATCGGCAAACATACAAGTTCTAACGCATATACACACAAGTCTACAGATCATATAGGCCCAAACTCCTTAGTTATCTATCTCTCTGAGAATAGCACTTTCAAGAGAACTCCGATTGTGTCACGCAAGTCTCGTTAAAGATATGTGGCCTAGGTCTGAGCCAAAATTTCGGGCATCTGGTTTGCGAGATGAGATACGAACGTTGCGGACTTCTACAAGCATTACGAAACAAAAGTTTGAGGCGGCCGTATTTCTCATTTTCCTATTTCTCAATCATCATATGGGCGTGTAGCCCAAAAGCAACACACGGTGACCAGTCACGGTGCACTCAAGGAGTGGAGACATAATGTCGACAAATTAAACAAAAGCGCAGAACGCAGACGAAAAACGCATGCAGTCAGTCAGTGGATATGCTGTTGGGACTCGACAAATCAAATCAACGGATGAGCGTATCAATCAATACAAGTCACCATGCGCCGGGGAGCATCAATTAAAAATGACTAGGGGGGTGGTTCATTCAAACCATCAAATGGCGGCCAACCTCGATAGAAGCGAAGAAGTCGATTTTGCCGTCAAGGCAGAATCATGAACTGGTTCAAATATCAAAAATCGCAGTCAGATAAAAGCCATTCTGGTTGAAATCAGCATGCAGCCCGTAATCAATTTCGAAATCGAAGTCGCTTGAACTGAGACAAAAATACAGGCGATGAAATGACCGACTAGAACAACCCACGGTTCCGCTTGGGGCTAAAAAATGATAATAGTAAGCATCCATGAGCCAAGTTTGCAAATACTGATAGGGGGATAAAATGACCAAAAGACGAACAGACCCAAAAGGCAAAAACGAGAAGACGGGAACAGAAGGATCCTACCGGATCTCCACGAGGTCGTCCATGTGGTTGCACATTGCCACGAACAGATCAAAAAACATCTTGCCACCCATCTCCATTTCCATCTGCATGGTTCCACTTCTCTTAAAAGTCCTGCGAGTACGGATGATGAGAGCCAGGTAGTGAGCGCGCAGTCGAGACTCCGAGTCCGGTGTGTTGTCATACGCATACCGAGCAGATCGCAAGATCACGTCGGCTGGAATCCCCATCTGAAGGCCCTGCTTTCGGAGAGCAAGGCGCTTCAGGTCTTCCAGGCCGTACTTCTCAGCAACGCAGTACACGACCGTGTCCCGGAGCACAACGTCTCCTACACCAGGGTGGAAGAACGTTGCCTCGCTCGACCCGCGGCCTCCGTTGTTGCTGGTATCCTGTGCATTCTCGAGGTGCCAAGAGTCTCGACGCTTGCCATGCAGCAAGCGTGGGTAGTAGTCGCCCTTGTATAAAAACTCCAGAACGCAAGACAGGATTTCAGGCTCCCTATTCAGTTCATAAGTTTGGTTCATATCAATATATCAAAGTTGGCACTCACTCGTCAGGTAAAGCAAGTTGCTTTGAACCGTCTTCCAAGAATTTTTCCTTCAAAGCCGAGCGAAAGTACGGCGAGACGGACAAGACATCCTCGTGAGCGGCGAAAAGACGCTGATCCTGGCCTACCACCATGGTGATGATGGGGCTGGTAAGAGGGCTACAATGAAGCTTTCATTAGTCTTGACTTGATAGAACACTCTACTATTCGAAATTTACCACCTTCCCGCGGACGAGGTTTCGCCTTTGTCCATACTCTCCTGCATCTTGTCTTTCGCTTGCTCGTCGTATTTCTTCTTGGAAGGCTTGACGGTCTTCCCTGCCCGGTTCTTCGACGAAAAGGAACGTTTGAACATCGTGGGTATAACGGTATGTGTTCGATTCGAATAACTACGAAGTGTCGGAGGAATCCTGAACGATCAGAAGGAGCGATACGAGTTGGTCAAAAAGAAGGAATAGTTGACGCTGCAGATCACACGAGCATGTGAGGGTCGGAGTCTGGAAGCCTTCGTCCGAAACAGTCTTCCCGTGTCATCAAGAGACGGGTTGAAAGAGATTCGGGATGATGGCTTAGCATTCGAGAGTCCTTGGAAGACTCACGGGCGCGGATTTGTCGACTCTGGCAGGCGTAAGAAGAAGAACGGCAGGAGGAGGGGGTCACGGCGCTATTTAAGATACGGGGTCAGGTGATATCAACTGCAGGTGCCCTTGTCACCCGGGCGCAGGCCGGTGCAAGCCAGTGTAGGCCAATGCAGGCCAGATACAGACCAGGCCTGGATGACTGGGATCTGCCTAGCCTCGTTGGTGACTGGCGTTCGGATGGTGGCGCTAACAGCTGGCACCGGATTGGCGGGGCGAGTCGGCGATCGGCGTGGAGAAATGCACGGTCGCCTAGTCTTATCTAAGAAGTATAGATGGAAGTACATATCCGATGCTACTGCCTAGGGCGTTACGGAATCAATAAGGAGAGTTTGGTCAATGTCGACATTCTGATAACGCTTCGGTGAGTACATAGCTTGTAAATCAATACATGAACACAGGCTGTGGGTCATGTTGAATGGCCAAGCCTCCAATCTCAAGCTGACGAGTCCCTAGCATAGTAATTCCTCGCCCGCGAGAAAAGTACTCTGCCTGAACAACGACTCCGGGCTAGGTGCCGACTCGTTCAATCAAGCACGGGCACGAAGCACTTTATCATCCAGGTCCACGTCAAGATCAACATCCAGCTGAGCCCAGGGTGATTCCAAAGCTTTGGAAGTGCCCAATAGTGACACCGTACTGACCATTTCCAGCAGAGCATGAAGTATCGCGCTCACCGGAACACTGTACACACGTCGCGGAAGTACCCGAACTGTAGTACTCCTATAGTATGAAAAGACATCAGCAATTAGACTAGTAATGGGTAGATTTAGCAGTGCAAGTTACTTACAACTCCATAGTGCTGGAATTTATATGGCGACTGGATATACATGTTCTAGAGAGGCTTTGTTAGACAATATGATAAGGTCATTTCAACCCGATTACGGACTTACCGGAACTCCATCGGCAATGTTGTTGCCTCGGTTCAAGGTACCGTTCTGAGCACTACCAAAGCTTGCCCAAGCAGCGTTTCCGATTGGGAATGCAGCCAATGCATTGCTGGTGATTGAGATTCCAGGGAAGTTCTGAGCGAGAGCCACATAGGAGACGTAGGTAAGTGCACCACCAAGTGAATGGCCAGTCGATTCCAGTGTATAGTCCGGATACTTCGCCACGAGAGATTTCACTTCAGTAATCACGTCATCGTGTACAGAAGCCCATGGGCTATAGACACCATTCATGATCTGAACTCCAGAAGGAAATGTCACTCCCGACAGAGAGGGAGTGACCAAGGTAGTATCAACATCGTTGAGGATATCGGTGACTGAAAGTTCTTAGTCTTTGTGACCATCAATAGAAGCAAGACCTTATTACTAACCAGTAGTTGAGCCTCTCATAACGACAGAAATCTTCTTTTGCGTCGAAGAGTATCCAATGTAGCCCTGGACTGGTTAATTTCGCACCTTTCGCAAATTTTTGAACATATACTCACCTGAGTATCGGTAAGAGCGTTGTAGATCTGCTTGGTGATGGTCACATCGAAGGCAGTTCCCAGACAGCCGGTGTATGCGGCAGATGACAGCTTGGCAGCTCGCTGAAGCGAAGTGAAAGCGGATGGATCTGCATATATTTGAGTAAGATTTTGTCCTTACAATCACTCGAGCCGTATTTACAGACCGGATGTAGCTCGCTTCTCAAGTGTCGGGGCTGCATTGACCTGGGAGGCCAATGCAATGATGGCGAGGAAAGAGAGGCTGTTAGAAAACATGTTGAACAAAGAATAGAAGAGGTAGAACTTTTCAATAGAGGAGATATTCCAAACTCAAGAAGCACAAACTGATCCTGATTCTTGTCTTGATACACAGCAAGATGGATCGCTTCTCATTTATATACATTTTGCTCCCTTCTCCATCAAGGGATACCCATATACAAAGTATTGAGTGCCGAGTACATTCTGGCACTTACCCACGATATTTTGTCGGCGCCATTGGTATGAAAAAAGTGAGCTCTACCAGGATTAAGCAATCTGATCCATATAGACTTTCGGAGATACCTCCAACCTGGGGTTCCCCCGGATTTTCAAAGGCGGGGAAAACAGACTCGACCCAATCATCCGATGCAGAAACAGAGAGGGTCCAGCGAGCCGAGGAAGTAAAATTGACTTTCAGTGCCTTGTTTGCATCGTGCCCCGCTCAGGCTAATCTCGAGTCGCGACTTTATTGGCACATCGTGGTTGTCTCGCCATGAAACTTTGGAGAATGATCATAGTCAGGGAATGGAATTGGAGAATGGATCCTCGGCCCTGATCAAAATAACGAAGGACTTGGTCGTCCGAAGAATATCCTAACAAGGCTAGTGACAATTTCCTGTAATTGCAGCGCATGAACCTAAAGAAGCCCTCGAGTGGTCTAGAAAACAGAATTGTAGATGAATCGGTCCGAGTAGTCCCGTCGCAGGAACGGCTCTAACTCTACGTCGGTTCTAGTATAACAAGATCTTCCAGGCCACAAAAGACCTTTAATTCTGAATCTATGGGCTATGGCTAGAGAGGTCCTTTTTGAATTTAACACTGGTGGTTGCTTGCTCTCTAAACTACTGACTAGTGGCTTGGGTTCGATGAATCTCACAGCTGGGGGTTTCATGGTCAAAGTTCGCCGAGGATATACCGACTATATTCTCTTTCATTTAGAGAAATGCCGCGTTGTAGATTTCGTTTGTTAGTGTCGGGATCTGATTTGGCTTGTCGCACTAATTTGAGAATATAAGGTCGTATCGCATATTGAAACCCCGCTTCACGAAAATAGCTCGGAGATGATCGATCATCTGTGCCCTGTCTCGATTCAAGTCTTCTCTAGCGCCATCATCAAAGATGCTACGAACCCTACCATTATCGGAGATTGATACCAATAGATGAGGTCACAAGGCTTTGCGCATGATACTAGTGAAACTCGTATCTGCAAGTTCTATGTATTTGATCGGACAGAATGTGGGGTCCAACTGAAGTCCCGAGTGCAGGGGTATTGATTCAAAGCTTACAGGGCCGAAAAAAGGCTGATGCCAAGTCGGCACATGAGGTTCGGCATTTGAGACCGAGGTTGAAGCCTAGCTGCCTCCCGGCTTTTTGTCAACGGAAACTACTCCGAAACGTAAATGTCTTGAATTCGGCATGGTGTAACTCAATCTATAGTATATGATTTTTCCACCCATCATGGGAGAGGACTCTCTTCAAGGAACTTGGTATACTGACTACCTCCATATTCATCTAGCAAATTGCTCCTACATCATGTAATTGGGGTTGGACTAATGTGAAATACATCGTCCACGCGGGGCCGGCGGTCATGTTTTCAAAGTACAGCCCTGTAGCCCCTGGCGCCTTGGTACTAGATTTTTCTAATAGATTGGATCTATGTGATGCAATTTTTGTTTCCTCTGAGTCATATGATTTGCAAGCTCCTCCGGTCATGCGAATCCTCCAAAAGAAGTTCTGTGGTACACGAGGAGCATGTAGCTATATATCCCCAGACCAGGTTGAGGTCAATTTTCATGATATCCTACCCTAACTGACAAAAGAGTGCAAAATGACAATATTAGATGCCAACCCACTCCATGTTTTATTTTAACCCAATAGTCCTGTATCTCTTCCCTGTATTCACCAGGTTACCCACCCAACCTTACCCTCATGATTGACACCGCCACATGACAGAAAGCTTACTTGGACCCTCACGTGGCGGTGCAGAACGAACATGTGGCGGTGCGATGGGGAGGTTGTGGGGTTTGTCCCGCACGCCAGCCACCGGTGATATCATCGCCTTCCAGGAACACGATTGAGCTAAGAAACATCCAACAATTTTACATCCGTCGTCCAGGACTCCCGATCGGCCAAGACGCCACTGTCAATAGTCTGGAGTTTGGACTTGGGTTTTCTGCATCTTTAGCCGCCACACCAGGTGATCTGTCAATCAGGTGCCCGTGCAAACCCCCTGCCTCGACTACGCGCTATTGCTTTTCAATAATTTATTTCTTCTTTCAACCTCCCTCTTTCGCCCGAGTTGCCAGAACTTCATACAAACACACTTTTGATGGCGATGCAATACTTTAATCAGATCAAAAACCGGCGACGGTCGTCGCATATCGTGAACCCTCCGAAACCCGTCCTAACTCCGGAGGACGAAGCCTTCCTACAACAGCTCACGTCCGATCCAGAGCACAGGCCAGATTTATCTGCCCAGAACGATGCCCAGACCTTGGAAGGTCTAGCAGAGAGCTCTCAGAAGCCTATTGTCGATGAGGGTGCTCTAGATGTCCCACTGCCTTCCTCGCCGGTGGAGGAGTTCGGGAAGGAGCTTGGCGAGGAAGAAAGAAAGGCACGAGAGCAGCCTGAAGATGCTAGAACCAAGTCCGAACCGGCTAAACCGCAAGATGCCTTCGTACCGGAAAAGAAGAAACGATGGAGCACGATGTTCTGGAAGAAGCCTGCGGATACAAAGAAGGTACGTGTCCCACGCTTCGAGGACGCTCGTTCTAGCTTACAAGGCCCCTCGATACTGATGTCACCATTTTCTCTACAGAACAAGGAGTCGGAATCCACAGACAAATCGAAAACCGATACGAACGCTCCCCCCTCCACCACAACAGCTGCAACAGACAATGGAGACGAAGCGCGAAAGGACCAGGAAGATATGTCTGATATCCTGGAACGCTTGAACCTAGCTGCGGATAACAACCGGGTCTTCTCAGTCAGCGAGGAAACTCAGGAGCTGCTCCGCAAGTTCAAGCTGATCTTCAAAGATCTGATAAACGGCGTTCCAACAGCCTACCATGACCTGGAAATGTTGTTGACGAACGGCAACCGGCAACTACAAGATACATACACGAAGCTACCCGGTTTCATGCAGAAACTCATTGAGAAACTTCCAGAAAAATGGACCGAGTCACTGGCTCCGGAGATGCTCGCTGTCGCCAGTGAACGGGCCGGTCGGAGTGGAATTAATATGGAGAATGTGGGCAAAGCAGCTGCAGTCGCTGAAAAGGCGGGCCTCAATGTTCCAAGCCTCAAGGAACTTGTTTCCAAGCCCGCCGCGATCGTTGGCATGCTACGGTCCATCATGCAATTCCTGCGGGCTCGTTTCCCAGCTGTGCTGGGCATGAATGTCCTCTGGTCGCTGGCACTATTCAGTAAGTAGCCATGAGCGGGGAGCTGCTCACATTCGAATGTTGAGGCTGATTGATATCTAGTTCTGCTTTTCGTCCTTTGGTACTGCCACAAACGTGGCCGTGAAGTTCGTCTCGAGAACGAGCGCCTGGTTACCGAGGAAGAAATTAAGAAGTTGAATAAGGAGAACCCCGATGGCCAGATCCGGCCGACTGAGACGTTGACAACCACCGCACCCCAGGGTGCTTCGGCTGAGGAAGTCCGTGAGGGTGTGAGGAGAGTGGAAGAGGCCAGAGCTTCGGCGGCCGACGTTGCGGCAGCCTCAGAACCCGAGCTGGAGACTCAGAGGGTAACCGATGAAGCCCCTCGCCCAGCTGCGGTTCCGACACGGTCAAAGTCCCGTCTGGCTATTTGGACTCGATCCAAGCCTGAGCCAACTCCGAGCAATATCGCGCCTTATCCCGGGACCTAGAACCGGCAAAGTAGATACATCAATTCACCCAGGTCTGTTGTTAGCAAGGGGATCTGTTAGAAAGGATACAATGGCTTCAATATACGACAGAAAGTACAGGACGATGACGATTTATGGGATTTATGGTACAAAGAGTTCTGCTGTTTTGAAGATACTTAAGGGAATAGTTTATGCAGTTTATAATTTGACCAGTCAGTTCCCACTACTCCGTAGACATAGTGGATTTGTATAGTATCTCCACTATGTTGTGCATCCTAGGAACTTCCTTGATCGTATGCCCGTGGACAGCAGACTCTAGTACCGAACATGCTAGAGTCGACATTCTCCAATACATTTATCCAGGAGTACTGTAGTTAATGCCACGTTTTCAAGCCGACCTCCAGCGGATCTGCTCATTATCCCTTATGTGGAGAAGTGTAAACAGAATGTTCTGGTCTGCAAGGTGGAGTTACCTCCTCATCCGCCGGGAGCTCCATCGAAACGAATTTTCTCGAACCTCGGCCGGTGATGGATCCCTGAGCTTTACCGCATTCAGAATAATTGACTCCATACAGGACAAACTTCCGGCTCGACAGATAATGAACACGGTGGCGCTTCCACGGAAGAAGGAAAAAAAAAGCACGCTACGGTATCACTTGCAAGTTCCAACGGGCAAGGCCGTTCTCCGAAGCGCCGACTTAAAAATAGGCTAGCGCTGTGAGGATTTTCTCATAGTGGAGCTTGATTATTGGCGCCTGGGAGAATTTTCATATCCACCCCAGCCACTGCGGGGCGAAGATGATCTTGCAGGAGACCACGAGAGGATTGGAAAAAGCAGAAGTGGCACCGACTCCAAGGAATATGCACTATTGCCCCTTGCGTACGGTTGGGAGTCCATTCCCGCGTTGCGATCACGATCCTGGGGGATCAGTGATGTCCAGCGGCCCAATATGTGACGGGGACAGAGAGTACAGGCGATCTATCTCATGCAGGTTGCCGCGTCTGCCATGTTGTCCACCCTTGCTTACCGCCTCTTTAGAGTAAACGGTAGATATCAGGAGTACTTCTATATTATCATACTATTATTGCGCAAAACTATTACTGCAGAGCTTTCCCAAGTCGCAAAGGACCCGCCAAATTGGGCCGGAATGGAGAATCCCGAGTTGCCACCGAAAAAGCAACACGATGAATGGATCCAACCAATAGGAAGGAACCGAATAGCTAGCTTAATCATATCTGACCATGTCCAACCATGTTCGGGAACGGTCGAGTCATCAAACAATATGATTCATTCTCTCCCAGTTTCCGCATCAAATCAGGTCTGATCAGGCGATGAATCATAAGTCTGCACGGGTCAAGTGCTGCACCTAGCGGGAGGGGGGCTGACATCGTATGTACAGCAGTTCACTAGTTAGTGTTTGTACTAGCGCGAGGAAAGAAGTAAGCCCTCTTTTGCCTCATCCTTGGAGAGGAAGGATCATAACAAATCCTTGTCGAGTCATCCGTATTAATGATATGCGAGTATGAATGGTTTCTTCTTCCGGTGGCAGGACCCGCTGGATATATCCGAAGCGCTGCGCTTGTTCTTTGGAGCTGATGACTTTTTTTTTCTGCCCCCCCCCCCTCTTTTGTCAACTCCGTCATCAAGTTTGGAATTTTTTTTTATTTTGAATTTTTTCCCTCCCATAATTGAAGCACTCCTAATCCTTGTCCTTTTCTAATCATTGACCTAATCCGAATACATAGGTCAGCATCTTAGATTTCGTTGAGTCACCAGCCATTTTCTCCTTCATTCCCAGCCAAGTAGAATGTAGCCATCAGTAGCATCATCATCATCATCGAGAGAGAACTGCAGATTTGCCGCGCTGCGATTGGCGCGAAAGATGCGGTGAAGTGAAGCCAGCGAATGGAGATTGGGCGAGTTCACTCCCCGCCCAATCAAAGCGGAGCCTCGGCCGTCCCCCCAGCTCCACTTTGCGGGCGGGAAAAATCGTCTTTACTTTTGGCTTCGAATCCCTCCCCTTCCCTTCTTTTTCTTTCCCCCCCTTCTTTCTTCTTCTTCCCCCACCACCATCTCAACGACTTCGCTCCTCGGCTCATTATCCCACTCAATCCACTAACCCCTTTACAACTGTCACCCACAAAATATCGTCGAGAATTCCTGCCAAATGGCTTTCGCTGAGCTGTAAATCGCCCCGCTGGGGAGCCTGTTCTCGCCGGCTCCCCAGTCCAGCAGCTCCGATCTTCAATTCCCACTTGACGATATTTGTTTCCCTCTTTCGACGCCCGCTGTGAAGCGTCGGAATTGCCCCCCAGTACAGTCCCAGAAGGAGCACTTTCAGCGTCCGCCACGGACTGCAGGTGCTTGCGTGGTTACGATATTCCAAGTCTTCTCCCCCTCTCTCATCCGACCTCCCTCGACCTCCTTCGATACCTCTTCTCCATCCTTCCTCAAGCGAACTCTCCTCCAATCTTCCTTATATCTCTCCGACGCTACTTGCCTATTCCTGTGGAACATTACGAAGATAAACCCGACTTCTCGTCCTACAACTTCTTACTCGACCCTAAAAAAGACTTGATATCATTTCATCCCCTACGACACAAAACCCTCAAATATCTTCAAAACAACCTACAAAATACCCACCATAATGCCTCAATCAAACCCCTATGCCTCTAAGAAGGCCCCTAAGGGTTCCTCCAAAACCGTCCGTCCCTCGACCCCGGATGCCAACATCCTGCGACAACTCGACTTGTCCCCTCAGACGGCGAACCAGAACAAAAAGCAGAGTAACGGGCGCATGGGCGGACAGAACTCGTCTGGCCGGAAACGACGGGCGTCAACGTCTTCCGTCTCAAGTGTCTCATCCGTTTCATCCATTGACGATCTTGAACTCGAGAGTGGCCTCAGTGACGACCTGGATGATTCGGAAGATGATGCGGATGACGAAGAAGACCGCCCACGTGCCGTCGCCCCGTCCTACGGTCGTCGTCCATCCACTTCCCGGAAGACGGGGCGCCAGCCTGCCAAAAGCAAACGAAGACGGGTCTCTGACGACGAAGACTCGGACAGTCACTTTATTACCGATCTGAGCGATCTTAGCGATTCCGAGCTCTCGGATGACGTTTACGCCGCAGTAGACTATATTACTGATGGAGACGATGAGGAAGGCGATGTGGAAAAGTTAGAGGAGCTCATGATCATGGAATCTGAGAACAAACACCGGGTCCTGCCCTCTTCGGAAATCTCGGAGAGCCAATGGGTTGGCACTGAGATGTTTGGCGACTCTATGCTCCTACCCGCTGCATCCTTCTTTGATGAAGAGCAGCTTTACAGCGCTATGGAGACTTTTGGCGAGACCGATATGGCCAGTGAGGCCGTGGAAACTCCCGTGGCTCGTCGGGTCCACTTTGAGGAGCGGTCGGACTCATCTTCCGATAGTGACTCTCACTCGGATGATGAGATTCCTAGCGATTTCCTCCAGCAAGATGCCTTGGACCCACAACTGCGTCGCATGATCGAAAACGACAACAACGAATACTACCGCAGCCACCGTCAAAAGTCCGAGGAGATGTATGGCGACGCTGATTACGGCCACGGAAACATTTACCACGTTGAATCCGAGGGGACGTCCGAGGGCAGCCTCAGTGGTTATGAGAGTATGCTGGCTGTCCATTCGCATTGTACTGTACTAATTTGCTGACGAACCCTTTTAAGCCGATGATGGTGATACCACAGATGAAGACCTGCCTCCCCCTGCTACCATTACCCACCCGCGTTCTCTTCTTCGCCGAGACTCTACCGACTCTTTGGTCGCCCCCGGTGAGGACAAGGCGGACACTGTCCCTCGCCGCCGAGGCCCAATCATGGGAACTTTCGTGGCCGATCCAAACAAGCCTGTTGCATTGGTTGACTGCACTGGCAAGCACCTCGTTATCATTCCCGCATATGCCTCTTCTCGTCATGACTGGCTGGACTCTGCTGCCAACAGTATGCCCGGAACTGCCAACAACAGCCCTCGTCAGACCACCCTGCAATTGATTGATGAGAGCGATACCGATGCCCTTGCATCTCCGAACCAGACTGATTTCAGTCCCATGCTGGCCTCTAGTGCCAATCTGATGATGACCGCCCTCGGCAACGATTTGACGCCGGGTGGCCAGGTCATGGGTCCTCCCGAGGCTTTCTACCCCTCTCAAGACTTCACCATTGATAGCTCTTTCGAGGATGATGACGAGGACGATCCCGAGGCTGCTCTCAATGTGGATGACTTTATCGACTTTGGCAATGGATCCTCCGACGAGGAAGACAATGACCAGGATAACGACGCCTTCAATGGTTTCGACGATGAGGCTCTCATTTCTCCCATGGCGACCTCATCTATGCAGCCCATGGGTACTCCTACACCTACTCGCAACTCGGTGTCCCAGCAGGATAATAACGCAGAGCGCTTCCTGAACCATCTGGACAAGGGTATCGTCACGGCCTTCCGTCGTAACCACAATCGGTACCAGGCACTCCTCCGCCTTCCTCAACACCGCGAGTTCATGCCCGCCAACTCCCCCTCGCGTCCTGCCAGTGTCTTCCGACACGCCAAGCATCAAGACGTGCGCACTCCAGTCCGGAAGCGCAAGGCCAGTGGCTATGCAGGTGGTGAGGCTGTGCGGCGCAAGCTTATGGATGCCCACCGCCGCACCCAGCTCCCATTCTGAGCACCCCTCGCACCACCTCCCCGCTTGTTCAGTCTTGTACAAGTGCCCTCGGCTGGCTGACCCCCCAGCTCCTCCCTTAACGATTTCGACGAAGTTTGGATTTTGTTCCTCCCAAGATCGCATGATACACACGGACGCTGTTAAATATGTTTCGAGTCGCTGGCAGACTTGGCCCAAGGAGACAGTCGATGTTTTTCTTCGTGTCTAGATTAGACACTCAGAAGAGGTCTTTCTTTTCACACCGAGGCGGCATGTAGCCCGCGTCTCCGGTTTATAGACAAGATCAATCTTGCCCTTCTCGTTTTTTGTATCTCAAAGAATAAACTGGAGGCAGATTCATTGCACCTCCCCTCGCACATTCTATGTTGTTTACCCAAAAAGAAGATCGATGGATGATGGCTCACGAGCTCAAAAGTTGATCGATTTCTTGTGTTTTCGCATTGAGTGACATGTTTTTGCCATTCTTTCACTCCTTTTTCTCCTCTTACTTTCTTTTCTATATTGTCTTCTTTTTTTTCCTTGCCATGTGCTCCCTCGCTGTGTGCGGGGTATGGTGATACCTTTGGATATCTTATGGAGTTTAAGTGAGGTTCATACTTTTCAATCAATCTTTTAAAACATTCAGTCGTTGCTCGTAGGCCAAATTGTAGAGTAGACACACCGAGACCTGTTGTCTCATGTCCTATGTAAATAGTCAATTGATACGGTATGCCTAGGTCAGATCTCCAATTGAGGCCCGTGACTTCTCTATTCCTAGCCTATGATGATCACTCCGGTTCAAACTATCCTCCAAAGAGTCGTCCGAGACAAATAGATCCCTCGTATTGCCAACCTGGAAGCCTGGCAGCAGCCGAGACAACGGCTTTCTATTTTCAAGTACCATAATGTACCCTCAATTTCATTTTAGGGCTCCACACGCCTTGGAAATTCACAGTCGGCCGTTGAGTTGAAGACAAGGGGCATTGCTCCTCGAAATAGCCACAAAGATGCATTGTATACACGAGCTGACTTGAAGACAAGAGGCTTTAGCCTTCGAAATAGAACACAATGGGCCATTGTTTACGTCGGTCGAGATGAACCACAGCACATGGAGATTCGAACAAAGGACCGTCGGCGACAAGATGTTTGTTTCACATCGAGATAAAGGACATCTAGGAATAAATTGGTGATAGTTTATTTCTTGTATAGATTTCAATTGACGAAGACTAGGTATTTAAGCATCCTTCTCCTCCGTCCATTAGACCAGCCATCAACTCATCAGTTCTTCCATACCACTCCATCATCACAATACCTCTCCATCAAAACCTCACTAAGCCTCCAATCAATTCAACATACTCAAAAAAATGCAGCCACCCGCTGATTACACTCAATCCCAACCCACAACCCCACCACCACCACCAAACCCCTCCAGAACCACAATCTACGTCTGCGTCCCCCTCGACAACAGAACCATCGACGCCTTCAAAGCTTCCCCCAACAAGGACCTAGCAATCCTCATAAGAGCAACCCACGAACTCCTCGTCCCAAACAACAGAGACCTGGAAATGGTCATCGGGGACGGACCCCTGGTGAAGGATAATTTCGTGCCTGTTGCAGTTAATCTCAAACCTAAGGATGGGACTGATCCTGCCGGTGAGTTTGATCTGTATGATGAAGATGAGAGGGAGTGGTTGATTAAGCAGGCGGAAATTAACGTTGCCGGGTGGATGTTTCGGTATAGGGAGTTTGGGAGGATTTCGTTTGGGATGAAGATCTTTTTGCAGGAGATTGGGTTTATTTGATGAGAGGGAGAAGGAGGGGGGAGGGTCAACTTTGGTAAGTTCTCTTAGTAGGTTTGTTCTTGCTAATGAGTGAAGTCTAGCTTTCTATCTGAGTTATTAGATGTGATAAGGAGGGTTTGAGGGATTCTTTGCGAAAGATATCAAATTCACAATCGATCAATTCTTTCGTATTTCGACTGTTATTGTGAGTCGTTGCTAGTGGATTTAATCCGTAGAGTAGAACAGCCGAGAACTGTGTAGATGATGTTTCATCCCTTAGTTATAATGTCAATTTCTTAGTTTTGACTCCCTCTAATGTTATATGGCTCTCAGGCACTACGACATGACGCCCTGGTTAGTCTTTTGCTTTTTCGGTATATATGCGAAGACATTTTCTGTAAGATCAGTTAAGGTGACCCGATATCCGTCTATTCCATTTTCTCCATATCGTATCCTGGATAATGCCTACTTTGTTCTCAGGCAAAACTATCACTTCATTCGTTAGAGTTGCCGTACCCGCCTTGAGATCTAGAAATAAGCCTTTCACTCGAAGACAAGGGACATTGTTCCTCGAAATAGGCATAAAGAATCATTGTCTACACTGGTTTTACATCGAGGCAAGAGTCTTTGGTCGAGTAGAAATACATCGTATGAAAATTCGAACAAAGAACTCTGGACGACAACGCCTTTGTATCACGCACTCAGAATAAGAAAAGGAGCTCTAAAATTATCGTACTATTGTTCCATATCTCTGCAGCTATAATAAGTATGCCTAATCTCGACTATATAAACCCCCCCGTCCTCATAATATCATCCTAGTATCATTCCTCAAGGTCCCCTCAACATCCTTACCAATCCACAAGACTCCTCGAAGAGATACGCGCAGACTAATTCTCCTCCACGTGATATTTTACAATACTCCAGCTTTTCAAACCCCAATCATAAACTCAGACTCAACAAATATGTGGACATACTTCATCATTGTCCCTTTGGACGACCATATCGTCGAGGACTACCAGCTTTTCCAGAATTCCGCATTGGCCCTCCTTGCAATCCGCGACTCTCTAACCACAAGCAACACAGCCGTAACGATAATCCAGGGTGACGATCCAATGCCTATAGTGAGACATGCTATCCCTATCAGGATCGAATGCGATACCCCTATGGATGTAGATGGCCAAGATAGACATTATCTTATCTCTCGGGGGATTCTGGTAGTCTCGGATTGGCTTCATATGCTTTGGCAGTTTGGTGAGGTTCCCACAATCCTTAACCTTCTTTTGGCGCGGCGCGGTGAGCGTTGATTATGAGGCTTCTTTTTCGTTGATATCGAGGCTTTTCAGTAGGCCGATTCATGTTTGGCAGGTTTTTAGGGCGGGTGTTTGGTGGTGGCTTACAAGATGAGTATTTTACATCTTGAATATGATGGAAAGCGCAAATATTTGCTGTTATTTTATTTAGGCTGGAATCAAGACAATGGTAAATAACTTTCGAATCGCGTATTTATAGGTAAGTCAAGTCTAAGAATCTTTCTGTAGGTGAGTCTTGAACTTTCCGCTGCATTTCAGCAATATGTAAACATATGGATTAGATGACTATATTACACCATGAGGACTCCGTCTTCTCACATAAAGTTAAGTAACTTATAGTACACTACAATCGTCGATGTTTACCGCGCTGGTTTGCGAAATGTAAAGTGTAGGCTGTCTTACATTTGCGACATCGAATCACAAATCGAAGCAAGATACTATCCTAGTTCACTACCATGCCCAAATATACTGTAATATTTATCGAGAACACAAAACTAAAATTGATGACCGGACCTATCCCGTCCAGAATGAGCTTAGAATGGCACCGACAACGTTACCCCGATGAAATCTCAACGGGGTTTGCAACGAATCTGAGCGATCCCACTTCAATGAATGCAAGAAGAACCTATTTGGGATAGGGAGGCGCACTGGCTCGTTTTGACAAGGTCAACTTATCTCGACCTGATGGGACCGCAAAAAAGGAAACCTTGACCCGATGCTACTACCGGCTGGAATGTTGGTACGGTGTACGTAGTCAAATGGGAGAACTCCCAATCTGCCCCAGGACATCAATGAATACTGACAGACCTCAAAGACCATCGAGATGGGCTTCACTGAGAGTTCTTTGGCTAGGCAAGTACTAGAGAAAGACATGGATTGAGTAAACTATCGACCTCAAGTGTCGGATAAAAGACTTGATTAGGATGGTATATCCTATCCCTCTTATTTTTAGGACAGGTTCACCGTCTCGGCCGGAACATGCTTGAGCTCTAAGTTGCCAAGGAACTACCCTATTCAGATATAGCACGATATGCTTCATTCTCATATCCTGCTCGCGATCTATCTCACGCCCTCCCGACGCCTGACACATAGCGGTTTTCTCAGATTTGTGACTGAGCTTCCTGCAAGTCTCAAAAATCAGGGATCAGTGATCAGTGGGTTACGAGTCGTAGACGTAAAATCCATCTGGTACGTCTGCACGGGCATCCAGGGGCTCTGCGTTGTATCTGTCAAGTGTCAACAAAATTCCCGCCCGAAACATATCCACCACGGAAAATTTCCCACGCGAGCTGGGGTAGCTCTGTCCGACAGTCTAAAGTCTCGTGTGGCACCAATGGTCTCAACAAGGCCGGTTTATGGACTAGCAGGATTTAGTCCGGAGTTGTGGTGGACTAGAGAGGTTCTTAACTTTAGCGACAAGCCTCCCCCGCTAAGGAATACTCTAAGGAGCAACCGCTGGATTGGGTTAGTTATGGCTAGGAAACAGCGAACAGTCAACAGTGATATTTCATGCTGATCGATGAAACGTGTGTGACTCTTCAGAAAAAAGAAAAAAAGCAAAAGAAAAGCCACGCTGCAAGTGTGAGGAACGATGATGCAACGTTGTTTAAAGCGAAACGTTCTCCTCGCGATGCAAGCGGGATCCTGCATTTAGGGTCCTATCTGGAGCTAAAAACCGAGAACGAACCTCTGGTTTGAAGAATCATGGATAGGTTCCTGTAGACATGGTTAGGATTTTCCCTAATACTTGCCTTAGGGCGCCAAGTGATGCTTGTAGCGGGTACCATTCGCCGGTATTTTTAGAGGGCGCCTTAGCCTGCAAACAAAGCAATCGTGCGACACATGGCCAGGGGCGGCAAAACCTTGGCCTTGGTCTTGACCACGAACGTTGATATCCGTTTCGTGAAACGAAATGTGAGCAATTCATGCGAAACACATCACATCCGGGGAACTCAGTCGGTGCCTGATAAAATCCGATGAAGATGTGGAAGGTCGCCGAGTTCGCCGAGTACCTTTAACCGACGCGACATCTCTCGCATCCAGCATAGCAGATTCTGGTTCCAGTGGAGCAATCGATCGGGACTTGAAGGTGGAGAGGCCCATCTTTGGCATCGGTTGCACACGATGGATGCAGGAACAAAGACTTGCTCCGTCGCTAACGCCGGGGCCAAGATGGTCTAACCAGTCAGGGCGGCGCCGGGGACCACTCCCCCCACCGAGGAACGTTAGTGCAAAGGGTTCCTTCTGGATGGGCTAACAAGTGAGCTGATTAGTTCGCTAGTCAGTAGGAAGAAGTTGCATGTACTGTACTTTGCCAGTTCGTAGTATGTAATAATAATGTGTAGTGAGCAGGCTTTTCCAGAGGTTGTCAGGTCATCGACCCCTGCTTGGCATGAATCAAGACCAGCAGACTCATCTCTCTCTAGCGAGAAGTTTCAGGGCGAGACGCCGGCGGCAAACTGGCTATTCCACCCTGCAGATGCGGAGCCCTGAGGATGCTGGGTTTTCTGATCGGTCGCTCTCCGACGAAGTGGGTTGCAGAATGTAGGGTAGTAGTAATGCACAATGGACTGCGGTACTCGGTCTGTACGGTGGACGAGTCCTACATCGTCTGTCCGTACCTCGTACTTCGTACCTGAAAATTAATCAATGGCAAGCAAAGTCGATGCGGGCTTGATCCTGGCTCCCAGCCTGGCAGCCTCGTCGGTAAAGCCGGGACCGAGGAGGCTAGCCCCGCCAGTGGAGACATGAAAGAGACGGGCGATGCACCTCGGGAAAGGAAGCGATGATCGTAGCCCGAATTTGACCTGATGAAATCAAGCATCGGCATTGAGGATTATCTGTAGGGCGAGCTGGACATCCAAAGTGTCGATCGCCTCCAAAGTCTTGGGAACTCCATTGTTCTTCGGTCGGCTTTGTGTCTGCAAGTCCATGTCGATCTGGCGCCAGCCTTTCGTTCGTCACATCGGGCCTGACGGACCGCCGAAAGAAAAAGCGCAAGGGTGAAAACCCCCCCCATCATTCATTCATCAAGGTCTGCAGGGACTCAGGAACTCAGGGACTGGTCTGAATGGGGCGCTATTTTTAAACCATCCCCGGATCTTGCCCATTGGTCCAGGGACGTAGGGTGGTCAGGTATAGTGGACATCGTCGCTTGACGGATAGCACCGGGTCCATCTGAGCAAGTTGACTGGGTCTTGTTTGGACCATTCTGATGCCGGCGCTAGACCTTGTTGCAGCTTGCTCCAGCCAGTTCCTGCACTAGAAGCATGTCCGGTTCGCGCTGAAGCCCAACCCTGGGCTGCTTTGGGGAGGGACCCCGTTTCATCTGTTCCTCTAGCGTTGAGCCGATTGGCGGACTAGAAACGCCTTCTGTGACGGGATGTCTTACCATTTGTCCATTCCCTTCTATGCCTCCCAGCACCAAGAACTCCGTAGAGCAAGTACTTACCGAATCAAGCTGCAAGCCACCAGGGGAACAGGGTCTCCTTTGTGTGGTTTGTGGATTGGTTGTTTGTGGGTTGTTGTGGCGGTTGGAGAAGATGGAAGAATGGAGGAACCTCGTAGCCTCAACGAGTCTTAAAAGGCAGCAGCCTCCCCAGGCAAGCAGGAAGTTGGCTTCTCCATTGTTTCGTCTTTTCGTTATTTTTCCTTGTTTTCCTTTTCGGCCCTCTTTTTTTATATTCCTTCTCTCCACACTCCACATCGTTTCGACACTCACCACACTCGCTCAGGGATTGTCCCTCTCGCTGTGTCTTCAGCATCAAAACTTGATCTGGGATTCGCCTCCCCCCAATCACTCATTCTGATTGTTGCTGGTCTGCAATCTGCCATAAGAATAGACTTACTGCTCCCTTTTGGCCCTCTTTTGCCAATTCTTTCTATTCATCCAACTACGTCGCTCGTTGACAATCCAACTTCATCATGAAGGCCGTTACTTCAATCGCCTTCCTGTCGCTCCTGGCTTCGGCCCAGGCTTCTTATGAGGTATGCAAACACGTCGTTGAATGTGCGGGTGTGTGATATTGGTTTCGTGATGCTAACATATTCTGGATATTTAGTACTGGGGCTCAGAGAAGTGCTACTCTAGCCCAAGCCGCTCTTCCAACAAGTGTAACGAGCAGCAGCAGAAGGGCTTCGACTGGTCGGATCTCTCTACTGGTTCGTTCTCATCTTATGGAGGCTTCGATTTCTCTGGTTTCTCCTGCAGCAACAGCTTCGGTGGTGCCAGCCACTCCAAGCGTGGTGTATGTTACATATCCTCCCACTTGGATATCAAATGATTTCACACTCGGACTCTGTGTACTAACTTGGAGGTCTTACAGGAGAAATGCATCACTGGTACTGCTTCGAAGAGTGGTAGCTCTTCCTCCTCCTCCTCGGGCAGCAGCTCTCACAGCAGTGGCTCGTCCAGTGGAAGCTCCAGCTCCAGCTCGAGCTCTAGCAGCAGCGGCTCCTCTGCTCCTTCGTTCTCTTGCGGCTCCGACGAGAGTGGCTTCTCCATCACTCACTTCCACATCTCCACCGACAAGGATACCGATATGAACATCGTTTATAGCATGCCCGACGGTTCGTCGTGCCGCAACACCGCTTCTTGCTCGTCTGCCGGAACTACTGTGACCAACGACCAGTGTGGTGGTGCTACCTCCGTCTCCTTTGAGCTGCCCGACCACAGTGACCACGATAGCTGCGACTTTGGCATCTACAGCGTGGGCTTTGACTGCACTCCCGGTACTACTTCGGCCTTGCCTACCCCCACCCCCTCCAGCGGTAGCTCTTCGTCCTCGATTGCTTCAGTGCCCACTGCTTCAGTGCCTACTGCCTCTAGCCCCGTTGGCTCATCCGTGCCTGGTGTGCCTTCTCATTCTGTGCCCGCTGGTACTTCGCCTGCTGCGACCTCCCCGGCTGCCGGTACCACTCCTGGTGCTAGCTCTCCTCCTAAGTGGACTACCTCCACTGTGTACACCACTAGCGAGGTCACTATCACTAGCTGTGCTCCTACCGTTACCAACTGCCCGGCTGATTCCACCACTGTCGTCACCTCGACCATTGCTATCTCAACCACCGTGTGCCCTGTGACTGAGACTACTCCCGCCGCTGGCCAGTCTACTCCTGCTGGATCTACTCCCACCGAGACCGCCCCTGCTGGCTCTACTCCCACTGAGAGTGTCCCCGCTGGCTCTACGCCAACTGAGTCCACCCCTGCCGGCCCTAGCGGTAGCTCTCCAGTGACTAGCCCTGCTGGTCCCAGCGGTAGCTCGCCCGTTACATCGCCTGCTCCTGGTGACAGCTCCTCCCCCAGCTCGCCTTCTGGATCTGTTCCCGCTGGTTCTTCGCCTGCTGCGACCTCCCCAGCTGCCGTTACGACGCCCGGTGCCAGCTCTCCTCCTCAGTGGACTACCTCCACTGTGTACACCACTAGCGAGATCACTATCACTAGCTGTGCTCCTACCGTTACCAACTGCCCGGCTGATTCCACCACTGTCGTCACCTCGACCATTGCTATCTCAACCACCGTGTGCCCTGTGACTGAGACTACTCCCGCCGCTGGCCAGTCTACTCCTGTTGGATCTACTCCCACTGAGACTGCCCCTGCAGGATCTTCCTCCACCGAGAGTGCCCCTGCTGGATCTACCGCCAGCCCATCGGAGTCGGCCCCTACCGGTGTTAGCCCTACGGAGACTGCCCCTGGCTCCAGCGAGTCTAGCCCTGCTCCCTCTGGCACTGTCCCTGCCAGCTCCATCCCCACTGGCGCTAGCGCTGGCTCTACCTCCGTTCCCTCTGAGGATACCACCACCTACATCACTACCTACGAGACTGTCACTACTTGCCCTGTCACCAGCACTGTCAGCTCTGGCTCTTCCACCACTGTGATCACCACCAGCACCGAGTCCACCATCACCGTGACTTCCACTCACACCGTTTGCACTAAGTGCAGTGCTAGCGCGACCGCCACTGCTTCATCTGGCTCCGGTACCACCCCCGTTGGTGCTGGCGCTACCGAGACCTCGCCTGTCTCTAGCCCTGTGCCTACCTCGTCTTGCCCCAATGTTGTGCCCCAGTGCATCAACACCTGGCTCAGCCTCGTTCCCAAGTGTACCTCCAACAGTGATGCCAAGTGCTTCTGCCCTAACAGCGAGTTCACCGACAAGGTCATCTCTTGTGTCCAGGCCTGGGGTTCCTCCAAGGAGGAGATCCAGAATGCTCTGTCTTACTTCACCGGTATTTGCGCCGCTTGGGTTCCTACTAACCCTGGCATCGTGACTGCTATTCCTTCCACCATTACTCTGGTCCCCACCGTTGTTCCTAGCGGTGCCAGCGGTGCCACTGCCAGCGCTGGTGTTACCTCGCCTGCTGTCACCTCTGCCCCCGCGGCCCCTTGCACTACCATCACCTACTCGACCTACACCGTCACCGTTCCCCAGGTTAGCTTCGTGACTGAGACTGCCTCGGGCTCAGCTACCACTGTCGGTCTGGTTCCTGCTGCTCCCAGCGGTGCCTCTCCCGCCAACACTGGCAAGGTTCCTTCCCCGGTTGCTGCCTCGTCTACCTGGGTCACCGCCGCTGTGAGCTCCACTCCCTATGTCAGCACTAAGGCCACTGCCACCGCCTCGCCCACTGCCTTCAACTCGGCCTCGACCGTGTCGATCGCTTCCAGCCTCCTTCTGGGCTCCGTGGCTGCCTTCCTTGGCCTGATGCTCTAAACGTGCTATGCTCTGCCATTTCTTTCTCCAAAGTGATCTCTTTGCTGGGCATTGGATGCCCCATGTGACATTTTATCTTCTTTTACATATGTGTTCTGAAATTCGATCTTTGTGCTTTACATATCACCGTGCAAGTCTGGCACCTGAAATTTTCCTTTCTGATCTTTTCTCAGTGTTCCCGACTTTTGTGTCTCGTCGACGCTCCCATCGCTGATGATTGAGCCGAGTACGCGACTAAAGCCGTGGACGGACTGATTGATTTGAATGCCCACCACGAGGGAATTTGATTTTGTATTCTAATATTCACTCCCTAATTGCATACAATAGACCTCGTGAATTATCTGAGTGGATAAGGCTATATGTAGATCCATATAGACTCTTGATCATCCATGTAATCTCATATCCATTCTACTACTTGATAATGGCTATCAAATACCCCAACTTCATACCAACCTCTCACTTCTAGTACACAGTGCATTTATCTCCGCCAAATCTCCTGCCGTGGCAAGGCCCTCGCTTCCACCGTCATTTGCGCTGCCGCAATACTACGGCCTGCCTGAATATGACAAAGCCCATCGGATCATCAAGTTAAACTATGACTTCCGACAGACCGACTATGGCTGGGTGGCGTCCGATGACCAGCCTCAGCCCCCAACTATCGAGGAAGTTCTCGGCCACACTTGGCTTTGATGCCCGCTCAGACCTTCCGGACAATTTCCACATCAGTGAAACTGCCAATTTCTTCACTATGTGGTACGCCTGCCAGCTCATGAAGGCGGTTCCATCACTGTTTGCGAAGTCCCAATTAACCAAACATCCCTTCAAGGTGGATCCTTACGAGGCGATATACGGTCTCTGCCTAATGTGCGTTTATCATAAGACCCGGCAAACGCATAAGGGTAAAATGTCTAACAGGCAACAGGACTTCGCTTCGATTCGCCTGGCGGGATGGCAAACGAAAGACCACGGCTTCGGCTAGTGGTGGTCCTGCCAGTAGTGGTGGTGCTTTGTCGACAGATCGTGAGGGAGATCTGGAGTGGTATTACTTTGGCACCTTGTGCCAGCAGCAGCGTGAGGTCATCATTGACAGACTCATAGATACCAGCGATACGACCATGTCGAAGGATTTGGTGCGTAGCTTGACCGACAATATCAGCAAGCAAAGCATCAAGACGAACACCGTTTCTGCGCCCCGATCCATAGATAACGCGCAACGCAAGGCCCTATTACAACGGTGTGCTGGTGATGATCACCTCTGGTGCTGTGCTATGCACGCGCTAATCGACATAACCTCTCTGCCTGCAACTTCTAGCTCTGACATGTTTACATCGGAGGTTCTCTGTGCTGGTGACAATATTCCGGCCCATTCGAAGAGGAATTGGAGAATCGCCTGGCCATGGAGAAGAAAAAGACGAGAAAAAAAAGATGAGATCGATTTAGTTTAATATCATAACTCCCCTAGCTATACTACTAATAAATAAAACCGGCAGAATCTGCCTCCCGCCCCGAGCTCCCCGCGGTCTTTTTCGCTGCTAATGACAACCTCTCACCTTGCCTCAATCGCAACTATACTCTAGTTTCTAGTCTGCAAGAACATTCGTGAGACATACCATTTTTCAACAACAAGCCACCCTGGTCTGAAGCCCCGCAACACCTCCGGCCACAAAGCCATATCAATCGCAACGTCCCGACAAGACTGGGCGCAACAGCTATCCCGTTCAGCCCTGTGTTATCTACATCTTCTCCCAACCTACCTCCTACCAAATCACCATCATGTCGGAACCAGGCCCCGAGTCCGTCCCTACAAGCGCCGACCCACGCAGCAAACGGCCCACCAAACGCCGCGCCATAACCCCCGTCTCCGAACACGCCAACCAAATTGAAACCCTCTTCAAAGACCCTTCAAAGGAGCTCCGACTCCCCGGGGCCCCGAAAGAACGCACCTCATCCTCACTCGCCCCGCCACCAGAAATCGTCGCCAATGTGCAGGGTTCATCGGCGGGTGCGGGCTCCGGCGAGTTCCACGTCTACAAGGCGAGTCGGCGGCGCGAATATGAGCGTCTGCGACTGATGCAGTCTGAGGTGGATCGGGAGAAGGGGGATGCGGAGTGGGAGAAGCAGCGGGAGGAGACTAAGCGCAAGGATGAGGAGAAGACGGAGAAGAATCGGCGGAGGAGGGAGAAGAAGCGCGCGGCGAGGAGTGGGAATAAGAAGGCCGATGGTGGGAATGGGGCTATGGATGTTGATAGGCCGTCGATGAAGGGACTTCTGCCGCCGAACCGGGATATGGATCAGTCTGCGGATGGTGTCGAGGGTTATCCATCGGCCGAGGTACCTGGTGTGATTATCCATGATGAAGATTGAAGAATTGCCCTAGTTTGGAGAGCCATCATAGCTGTTACTTGTACAATATTATACGAAGATACCCATATGACAGTTCATTTTGGTCTAGGATATTCATACAGAAAAGAAACACCCCAGAGGCAGTCGTGTAGCATTATATGTACGGACCTCAAGTCCATGGATCATTGTCTCCTGTTCTTTTTCTTTTTTGTCTTGCTCGTCTATTACTCCTCGCCACCGCCAACGTTGCCAGCCTGTTGCGCCGACTTGCCGCTGCAAATGTCGTCGACACGGAGGAGCAGGCATGCAGACTATAGGCAGTTAGTACAATGTGATTACAGAGGTGGGATTGTGGATAGCTTACCTCGACTGCGGTCTTGATGCTCTGGAGCTTGACAGCCTCCGGCTCCCAAACACCGTACTCCTTCATGTCAACCAGGTTGCCGGACTCGCCGTCCAGACCCCAGGTGGTGTGACCCTCGACGTGCTTAGCACGGAGGCGAGTCAGCACGCGGATGGGGCTGGCACCAGCGTTCTGGGCCAATGTCCGCGGGATGACCTCCATGGCGTCAGCAACGGCCTTGTAGGGCCACTGCTGCACACCCTCGACAGAGCGAGCCAGCTGTCCAAGCTTCACAGAGACAGCCATCTCGATGGCACCACCACCGGGTGACAGGCGAGGGTGGAAGATGACGTTACGGGCAACGGCCATAGCGTCCTGGAGGTTGCGCTCAATCTCGTTCAGGATATCCTTGGACGGGCCGCGCAGGAGGATAGTGCAGGCCTTCGGGGACGTGCACTTGCGCATGAATGTGAAATACTCGTCACCAATCTTCTCAATCTCGAACAGACCGCACCGGGTACCAATATCGGACTCCTGGATGTCGTCGACACGGTTGACGATGGTGGCACCGGTAGCACGGGCGATACGGTTGTTGTCGGTCTTTCGCACACGACGGAGGGCGGTGACGTTGGCCTTCATCAGGAAGTGCTGTGCAAGATCTAGTGTTGACGGAAAGTTAGAATGGAAGCACTGTTGCCGCCGTCACGGGGCTGACTTACCGGAAACACCCTTCTCGGTGATGACAACGTCGGGCTTGAAGGCCAAGATAGCCTCACACATGTGCTTCACCTGCTCCTCCTCGATCTGCAGGATACGGTTCCAGTCGTCCTCCTTGGAGACCTCGATGTTGGTCTGGGACTCGCCCTTCTTGTACTCCAGGGGGCAATCCAGCAGGAGAATGCGGGGGTTCTCGATTCTCCTCCGCATCTTGGGGTGAGTGATATCCTTGTTGACCATGACACCATCGATGACCTCGGAATCCTCAATCTGACCACCGGGAACCTTCTCGATACGGGCGTACCGCTTGATATCCACCTCCTGCTTGCCACCACCCACATCGAAGGAGACCGTCCGCACTGCGCGGAGGGCCAAGCTGCACATCAGATCGGACCACCGAGAGACAAACTTGGTTCCGATGGAGGACTGGATAAGAGTGTACATGGCCTTGTCATCGTGGATATCGACGGGTACGGAAACCTCCTCGATGATCTGGAGAGCGTCGGCCAGGGCGCGCTTGAAGGCGGAGATGATGACGACGGGGTGGATGTTACGTTCGAGCTGGGGGAGAGCCTGGGCGAGCATTTCACCGGCTAGTAAAATGTCAGCAAGCGTCCATCGAGCATTCCCCCTCCAAGTGGGATCAGATCCATACCCAAGATAATGACCGTTGTGGTTCCGTCTCCAACCTCCTCATCCTGGGTCCGGCTGAGCTCGATCATGCTCTTCGCAGCGGGGTGCGAGACTTCAATCTCACGCAGAATGGCGTGGCCGTCGTTGGTCAGAACAATGCCGCCCATGGGGTCGAGCAGCATCTTCAGCATGGCCTTGGGACCGAGACATGACCGAATGATGTCGGCAACACTGTGGAATGTATTAGCACCGGAGGCGATGGTTAGGCCTTGAAATGGGTCATGGGAATTGCGTACGTCTTCGCAGCGGTAATGTTGGAAAGCTGTGCGCGGCGACCGACCTGACGGTCACCGGCATTGGTGTCTATTCGGCGGGTTAGCATCAGCCGGGAGGACGATAAACGGGAATGAGGGGCATCGTACTCATCACCACCACTGGAGCCTGCATGTTGGCGGAGGGTCTAGTGTGGGATCGGAGGAATGTAAAAAGTGAACTTGAGGCAGATGGAACAAGAACACTCCCAATGGACACAGAAAAGGAGCCAACTCGGATCCACGTCGAAGGTCGCCCGCATCCCAAATTTCCAAAGTGGGAGCTCCCTGACACTAAACCCAAACGGGCATGACAAACCAGGCAAACAGATCTACTCCGGCCAGTTGAGTATTCCCCGCTAGGAACTATTGAGTGTTGTAGATTGATATTGATTTCATTATTGAACTGAAATTATACTGAAAGGGGAAGATCAAAGACAACTTATCATGGGCCTAGTTCATGATAAATCACAAATTATGGTAGATTGTCATCCATAGATGGCTATTCACCTCGTATGTGCTTCAACTATCGTACAGTAGATGATTTTCCATTAAACATCCATCCAGCGCCATCTGGTCAAAACTCCCGGCTCTCTCCAATTTCACACACGTCAAATACACCCTTCTCCGGCAGGCCGAATTTCTTGAGTGCGGTCTTGAGTTTCTCAGGTGGCTCGAGCACGTCTTCCTCGGTGAGCACCCACGTACCCCAATGCATACCCAATGCCTTCTTGCACTTGGTTTCTTGGAAAATATGCACCGCATCATGGGGATCCACATGTGCAGAACTGAACATATGGCGAGGGGCATATGCACCAATGGGGATCAGTCCCAAGTCGAATGGTCCACGGAACTCACCAATCTGCTTGAAAGCAGGGCAGATGGGAAAATCGTACTTAGGATCATGATCGTCTTCTCCCTCAGGCACTTCAGGGACAGTGCGGTATCCAGTATCGCTGTTATAAGGTCAGCCAATCTCCCTATCCAGCAAAGGTTCATTGCCCAGACATACCCTGTGAAGTAAAGGTGCTTGCCTCCAGACTCAACGGCCCAGGAGCCCCAGAGAGTTTGGTGCCGATCGAATGGGGTACGAGCGGTAACATGCTGGCAGGGTAGGAACCCGATCCGCGCCTTGATCCCTGCTGCAGTGGAAGCAGCATCTCCAACTACTTCGACCTTAACCTCCTTTTGCTCCGAAGGTGACAGTGTGATATCACGCTCATCCCACCAGTCCAGCTCGGTGACCTGGTTAATACCACAGCTCTTGAACCAGGCCTTTACGCCCAATGGAACGAAAAAGTGACAGTTCGGGTGTCGCTTCGCGATCTCCATAACTCCGGGGTATGAGAGGTGGTCATAATGATTGTGAGATATGAAGACTGCGTCAATCATGGGGATGTCCTTGATCTTGCACGGGGCATCCGTGAATCGCTTCGGGCCCAACATGTTGTAAGGACCGCAACGTTCTTCTAGTACGGGATCAAAGAGTGCCCGCAGGCCACCGGGGAATTCGACATAGTAGCAGGCGTGTCCGAGCCATGTTGCGCGGAGGTTAGGAGTTTCTCGACTCGGAAGGAATTCGGGCTTGCGGACGGGGACTGTCGGCGCAGTTGTATTAGGGACATTTGCCTTGCCCATCAAGCGACGCCTATTGGGAAAGCAAAAGACGTCAGAATATGGGTAATAAAGCATAAAATTGTCACAGTTGAGCTTACATCAGAATTTCGGCAGGAATCTTCATGGTGACATCTTTCCATGAGCTGTATGCGATCGTCTGATTAGCATCATAGTCTCACATAAGACGCTGGGAGGGAATATGAAGTACACAACTTACTCCCAGGGGTTCCTATAGCCCGATTTCGCATGATGACTCTTCGCCGAAGCATCTTCTGGGGCAGGTCTGGCCGGTGAGGTGGCCACACTGAGGGCATACAGCACGCCAGTAGTGGTTGATCCCATATTTCGTACAGGACAGGAGGAAACACGCCAAAGATTTGTCGGTTGACAAAACCGGGGGCGCTGTAGGAAGCTTCGCATCGATGGGGAACTTGGGATGCTTTAAGGCCAGCAATTTACCCCTCGAATCGAACAGCGCGCGGACCCTACGCCAGGCGTCCCGGTTATGTGATTGGGGAAGTACAGTAAGATGACGAGGAAGGAAAAAGCCATCGATAGCTAAGCCCGGTAACTCCGCGTCGGAGAGTCTCACACTCCGACGGCAACATGCGAACCCCGTAACCGGCTTAGAATCATGATTGGAATCATGATCGATGATGATCGGGTACCAATGGAGTTTTGTTTAGACCGGCGAGATAGGCGAATAAACTTGCATCGATCCAGGCTTCTGTAGATCATTCCATGGCTGACTTGCCGCTGTGCAACCGGGGGGAGGCAACGATCATCGGCCCGTTGTAACTCCGATATCTGATGATGTTTCTTATCGTCGATTGGACCTTTTGACGTCCACAACTTCAACTCGATAAGGCCGGCATGGAGCCCAATGGTGCTTCTAATGTGGTGCCTTCAGCTGCTCCGTCTGCCACAGATTTGATTCTGCAGCAAAGGACTGGGGGATCCCCATCTGCCCAGGCGACGGTGCAGCAAGTGGTATCGAAGGGAGATGGCAGCCTCTGGTCGCAGGTCACGAGCAATCCCTTGTTCACGGCTGTATGTGGCCCTATCCCGATGACTCTTGGTGTCGCAAAGACATTGAATTGCTGACGAACATGTTCCTGTCCAGGGTTTCGGCCTCGGAGCGCTAGGTGCAGGTTTGACGTTTGCGCAGAGGGGAGTTCGCCATGGCGCAGCTCTCCTGCGTCGCCGAATGCTAGTGGATGTGGAGATCAGCATCAAGGACGACTCATACCCATGGTTCCTCCACTGGATGACGCTTTATCAACAATCGCAGCTCAACACCACCCGCGCAGCTGCCAACAGTACCGGCTTCGTCGACCGCCTCCTCCACAAAATGACCCCCGGCATGCGCCACCTCTCTATCCAGACCTCGAAGGTTGAACACTCCAATGGCGCTATTCATACACACTTCTCGTTAGTTCCAGGTCCCGGCAAGCATATTCTACGGTATAAAAACGCGTTTGTCTTCGTGAACCGAGTGCGAGAATCCAAATCCCGCGACATCCAAACTGGAAAGCCTTGGGAGACCATCACCCTGACTACTCTCTACTCTCAACGCCATATCTTCGAAGACCTCTTTACGGAAGCTCATGCGTACGCTGCAAAGTCACATGAGGGGAAGACAACAATCTACAACAGTTGGGGAACAGAATGGAGGCCATTTGGCAACCCTCGACGCAAGCGTCCTCTGGAATCAGTTGTGCTTGCTGAGGGTGTCTCGGAGCGTATTGTAGATGATGTCCAAGATTTCATCTCGAGCTCTGCATGGTACCATGACCGTGGTATTCCCTACCGTCGAGGATATCTTTTGTATGGTCCTCCTGGTACGGGTAAAAGTTCATTTATCCAGGCGCTAGCGGGAGAGTTGGACTACGATATCGCAATCTTGAACCTTAGTGAACGTGGCTTGACTGATGACCGGCTCAACCATCTTCTCACCATCGTTCCGAATCGAACCCTTGTTCTACTAGAGGATGTAGATGCCGCTTTCTCTAATCGGCGCGTTCAAACCGACTCTGACGGCTATCGCGGCGCGAATGTCACGTTCTCTGGCCTGCTGAATGCGCTTGATGGCGTTGCCAGCGCCGAGGAACGCATTATCTTCCTCACCACCAATCACGTCGAACGCCTGGACGAGGCCCTGGTCCGACCGGGGCGCGTAGACATGACGGTGCGTCTCGGAGAAGTGACACGATACCAAGTCGGCCGTCTTTGGGACCGTTTCTATGAAGAGATCGACACCGATGGCTCCAACCGAAAGATCTTCCTTGACCGACTCCAGCAGCTCGGCTTGATCGAGGATGAGCAAGGTCACAAAGCTGACCGATCGAAGAACACGAGCGCAGCGGCTCTACAAGGGCTGTTTTTGTACAACAAGGGAAATATGGAGGGCGCGATTGCCATGGCAGAGGGACTTACCTATTCCGTCCATGATGAGGCTTCGGGGCATGACCAGGGTCGAAGCGAATAACTTGTACCATATGATGTAAATATGATCCTGCATGATCGAGTCAATGTATAGATATCCTCGTTTTTTTACCGACAACCCTGCAGGTGCGTTCCTTTGCCCAACCCCCCGCGGGGTTGTGCCGCCAAAGCCTGTTGTGTATGCGCCGACGCTCAACACAACAAAACCTAACGGTGTGACTTCTGCACAATGCCAACCACCAATCTGAGGTCAGAGTGGCTAGAAGTAAATGAATTTGAAGGATTCAAAACCAATCAGCGGCTCTCATCGTAGCGCCCTCCTGCACTTAGCATCCTCGTCCCACCGCGGCGGCCCAATCACACCCGCCATCTGCTAAGCGCCTACACCAAAAATAGGGTTGTCACATACTATGGCCGCAGAATATCAGCACATCTTACTGCGATTCCGCAAGATCCAGCAGATTTCATCAATTGCCATGGAGTATATGTCAGTCGAAACATCCCTCCCCCTGGTCGCGCTCTTTCGCGTCTCCTGTCAAGCTTGCTCGGGACACCGAACGAGCCTACCATATCCTCTCCAAGTGCAGTTGTCACTGAAAGCACTGTATCATTCTACTACGACACGACTGCCGCGATGAGTCAATTTCAGTTATTTCCTCCGCCTTCGCCGGAGGTAAAAGCGGCCAAGAACCCGTTTCGCAGAGGCGTCAAGAAACCACCCGCTGTGAAAGTTGAGCCTGCATCTCCGATTTCTCTCAATGAAATCAAAGATTCGACTAAAGCCGAGTCTGTGCTGCTACAAATCATCGAAGACACTTCTTCATTTCCTCCCCCGCCATCTCAACCACCAAATACACGGACCAAATCTCCGTCCGTGGCGGAATCATCACCTAGTTCCAAGTCACCTCGGTCCCCTCGCAGCCGAAGCCGTCAAGAGAACAAGTCATCTGCACGAGTTTTGCAATCACAAGGCAGCGTTAGCACTAGCAGTAGTAGCAGTAATCATACTGCCAGCTCAACGGCTTCACCTCAATCGTCTCAGTCCTCTGTCTCGCCAGTTCCCATGAGATCAATGTTTCCTCGCTTCGATCCCAAACTCCCTCTGAGCAATCAAACTACGCAATCCCAGATGTCGAGTGATGATAAACCTTCTAAGAAGTCACGCAGACCGCAACTCACCCTAACTACTTCTTCCGAGATCGATCATGTCTTGGGCCCAAAGACTGTTCCCGCGAGCGTTTTGAACTTTCCAAATGGTGTTTCGGATTCGGAGGAGATTCGATACTCGACTCCATATGAGTTGGAGATGCTATGGGAGGCTGCTAATGGCCAACGGCCTCAAAATCTCGCTGGAACATTCAACCTCCACATGACAAGGTATTTATTCCCAAAACTATACGTTATGTGGCCAGTGGCTAACTCCAATCAAGAACTGGACCCGCGACCTTCACATTTGGCAATTCTCAACAGCCATTTTACACGCTACAGACCTATGAAAATGACGAACTATCGATCTCGCGAGGAGCTCCATGTAAAGCTAACAGCGATGTACCCATCATGACTTTGAGTCTGGAAGACCGTGGACGTCGTGAGCATCCCCATGATGGCCTTGTTGCTCTTCTCTTCTCGAGGCTAGCCGCCATGCTTGCTATCGAGCAAGCAGATGAAATCAGCAAACTCCATCAACTCGCTCCATCCGAGGCTGCGGATGTAGAGAATCAAGCTCTCAGGCGGGCAGCTGCGCAAGAGTCGTGCCGTTTATCCTGGAATCGCAACTCAAGGCTCTACGAGCTTCGGCATCCCTCGCTGTCCAAACGACAGCCCCCAGCGCTGGTGGGAGCTGAGGGTATCCCTCTCTCCCCCGTGCGATCCAAGTCTTCGGGAATCTTGTACATCACGGTTTCTGCACCATCCAACGACGCGATGCCTCATCAAGCCCCAACGATCCTCGTTACTGGTCCCCCATCATCGATGGCCCTGGCAGCGGCGCAGCAAGCTGCTAACCCACGCACTTCAACTCTCCCAGTTGCTGACTCGGATGAGGCGTTGGCATCTCTGGACTTTGCAACCAGGACCCTGACCATCTCACCTGCTGCTGTCATTGCCACTATTCCTTCGCTCTATGCTATCGACTCGCTCATCGCAGCCATGCTCGCAGTCGCAGTCTCGGACGAAGCTACGAATCCAATCTTGGCAGACATGGAACTCCGATCGCCTAGTTTCACCGAGCCGGGTTCGTTACAGGGTGTTAGTGCACCGTACCGCGGGCCGCTCATCACGACACAGGCAGAACGAGAAGACTACGCCGAAAGTCTCCAGCTCGCGTCTCAGATTCGGGCTGCAAATACCAAAGCAGAGGGGGCTTCGAAAAGAAAAAGTTTCTTTAAATTCTGGGATAGATACCAGTCCACGCCGTCAGGTCAGGTGCGGACTACGAAGAAAGGCCAAGAGATTGTGGTCGAGGAATTCGACCTCGAGAAATATGGCCGCTACGGCAAGGGATCGTCGCGAGAAGGCGAGAAGCTTCCTGGCATTACGCGGACCTTGTTGAAAATATTGTTTTTCGGACTGGAGATGTTGGTGAAGGGGTTGACGTTGATGGTCAAAATCCTGGCATGGTTGTTGGTTCACTCGACGCGTTGCGTGACGAGTGAGAAGTTCTGAGCTGGTCTCGGATCGAGTCTTTGGTGCTTTATATCTGCTGTTTTAGAGCGACGGGAGTAATGATCTGGCTTGCTATACCCAATGAATTGTGATTGTTTATGCGTCTTCGTTCGAATCCACCCTATCCCAAGAATCAGCTCGGCACACTTGCTCCACTCCAACGCCACCAGCCCTAGGACGGAAATTAGCCAAGCGGGGGAGAACGAGTATAATATTCCGGGCTCATTTGCGATCCTTATCGCATTCTGTATTTGAAGAATCATGCAAGCAGATCCATGGGTCTAGGCTTCGGCGAGTCTGTACAGTACATACAGACTGTGACGGTGAAAGATGGAGAAAGCCCACGCGATAGCGCCTCGTTTTCCCTGCGTCAATGGGCCAAAGCGTCCTGGACTCGGGGCTGTGATTTCTCGGCGCCAACGGGCCATTAGACTTTCGATCGATAACTACTCCGGGCTTGAGACCCCTAATGGAGGCTCTATGTGGGTCATGGCCCTTGGACCCCTATTCCTCCACAGTACGGAGTGCTAGTCTCCTCCTCACCGTACCTTAATGAGGCCCTTCCTGAGCTAGCAATCCTGTCAAAAATATGTCCAGGAAGATAGAAAATATATGGGGAATGGAAATTAACATGCATCCTGATCCTTGGTCTTGGGCATCATCAATCACTATCCTGAGACCCATCCAATCTGCTGCTTAGCCGACCTCGTATTCACGAGGTTGTTCTGGAGGCTAAAGCCTTCGGCTCACGCTAAGGCACAAACTTACCACTCATACGAGGCTGAGAAGCGAGCATGTGGGGAATTTCCAGCCGAAGCCTATCAAACTCGGTACGATCGTGCTCCGTATGAAAAAGCAAGCTAAAGGCCAGTCGGGAAATGAGGAATTTTCTTGCTGAGAGGGGGTCTTGGTCGGCTGCACTCCGGAGTATATAGGGGACTTGGGTGCCGTGCGCCACGCGCACACTGTCACGAATTTTCACACCCTACCACTATCGAGATGGTTCAAAAACAATCTATAGGGCTCTATGCCCTCTTATTATTACCATTGACAAAGGCCATGGTGTATCCGACGGCTTCTACAACTGCCGCTGCTCATGATTCATTGCGGCCGGATCTCGCTGAAGCAACACCCTGGGCAGACTCCGGTCTTAGGGGATTACATCGACGTGATAGTGGTTATAACGACTCTTATACAGGAACTATTGTCTCTGCAACTGGAAGTGCAGCGCTCCCTGCGACAACTACATATACGGAATGGGCAAGTGCGAGCGTATGTGGTTTCGTCGACGGAATTCTAGACTACTGTACGCTCTCCCACTCTCTATTACTCCACGAAACCCATGCACTGTTCAATTCTGACTCTTTTAGCCTCCGAAATCGCATGCTACGGCTACACACAATGCGTCTTCCATACAGCAGATGTCAATTATCCCGCCATGGTAGGCTGTTGCGACAATGCCTATTCCCAACAATGCCTGTTCGAGACCACTTGCTACGACAGCGCCCAAGTCGCCGCAACTCCTACTCTGACTGAGTCACCTGCAAATGAATTCGCAATCTTCTGCACGAAGCCTACCGCTGCCTCTTGTATTCAGTGGACATACCCAGAGCTGTCCATCACAGACTACGGATGCTCGAATATACATACGACCCAGACACTATATTTGACGGCCCACCCATACTCGAACAACGTCCCAATTAGCAAGAGTCTCAGCTATTACAACGGAATACCCACAGTTGCATCTGTGATCGGATCTCTGGTGAACGACAACTTCATCTCGGACTACTTCAACCAAGCTGCCGCCACAGGATCAGTGAATCGAAACGTACCAACATCCTCTGGCGCTGCTTCATCAGGTGCGGCCTCAGGTTCAGCAACAGGATCGTCGGCGGCATCTAATTCCGGGTCTCACCATTCCAACACCGCCGCAATTGCTGGAGGTGTGGTGGGTGGAGTAGTAGGCCTGGCTGGCATCGGTGCAGCCATCTTCATGTTCTTCTTGATGAAAAAGAAGAAGAAGAATCAACAGCCCACGTACGAGCCAGCTCCTACGGGGGGTAGCACTATGTCATCACCACCACCTCCTCCCCCTCCCCCTCCCATGAGCGATGTTCCCTCACCGTCGGAGGTCAGTGGATCCTCGTACCACAAATACGCCGCTGTCGATGCATACCAAGCAGAACAGAAGTTCCAATCCGGTCCCCTACCACAAGAGATGGATGCGCGAAGCTTTGTTGCCGAGCTTCCTGTGTCGGCTCCGGATCAGCGGCCTCTTTCGTACGCGGAGACGCCGATTTCCTATACATCGGGGCATAGGTATTGAAAGTAAATGTTGACATGCGGATATTGGACGTTCATACATAATACCCTGCCATCTTTTATTGAGTTTTTCTATGTAATTAGCTTCATCATATTCATGTCTTCATAGGTTCCTGGTGTGTCTGGAAATCCCTTTCATCGCTTTCATGCGTTTTACAACTAGAATATAGGGACCTGTGAAAACGACGCCGAAAATGACAGCCTCTGACGCCAGAAACGGCCGCCTTTCTACCCATAACCCTCGTCATCCCGTCGATAGCTATAGAACAACGATTCATTGGTCCACTGATTCCTATTACATTATTTTTTAGGGATATAGTCTCTTCTTCGTCTCTAGGGTCACTGACGGTACTGTATTTAGATTCATTGTGCTAAGCTATACGGTGAGTGGAGCCTTCTACTAACTTAAGCTCTCCGTTATTTTCTACCCTAGATCTATCTAAGCTATATTACCAGTATATACTCTACCTCACTACGTAGCCGGTTATTAACCGTGGAACTTTGATTAAATAAGTCCAAATTACCTTCATTATTCAGAGTGATGATGTCAGTCTGTCATAAATCCCTTTATAGAGAGTTGCGGGCACTCCTCTTTCTATACACTCTAGAGGCTGTACTTTACTGACAGCTAAGTGGACTCTGGTCCCGGATTCAGATCCTAGGAATTGTGGTGGAGTGATTAATGGAGTGATTAATGGGGAGAGGATGAGAGTGGTTTCAGGCGTAATTAATTTGATTTGATCTGCTATATCACAAATAAGCCATCATTCGTCGTCAAGTCTGGTCATAGTTTCACCAGCCCCATAAATGTTTCTTGAGCATAATAATGGGCTTTGAATCTCTGCGTTGATTGTGATCTGTATACTGTAGACAGTACCCAGTGATTGCCAGTTTTATTTCTGGCCGGATCGGTTTATTTGGGCATTCAAAGCACTCGACCGAAATTCAGCTTGTGTACTCCGTAAAGACCCAACCTTCTACGATGTCAATTCTAATATTAATGTCTTTACCTACCAGCAAGATCGGGCATTTCGTCATATGGCCCTGAGGTTGACTTAGACGAAAGGTCCAGCCACGCCAGTGCAATCTTATTGGTTGGCTACGGTCTATATAACCCTCCGAGGCTCATAAAGACCTCGGGAGGTTAAACTGGTTATAACTCATCCTCCGTGCAGTTGCCTTCAAACCACTTAAAAGAATCCGAAATAAGCAACCCCTCTACCACATAAATTGAATATCAGCTATCTCTGTCCTGGGGGTGATTGAAAGTTGGTGATAGCCCACGTCAAGTGATTGGAATTGGTCCAGTTCGTATAACAGTTGTAGGATGAGATCTATCCAACTTTTATCATCATGTAATCCTAGTCTTCCAACATCAAATTCTCAGTTCTATTTTTGACAATCGCTGAATCATTGATAAGTGCTCCGTATTCAAATCAGAATTAGCGAGCGACGAATTGACATGGGACATTCCTCGGAGAAAAGGGTATCCAGGGATACAGTAGTGTGCCAGGCACAACAACAGAGGACACGGTACCAGACTGGCACATTCCTTGACCATTCCACAGAGATCAACATGGGCAGTGCAGATGTTTTGTTATGTGTGAAACCACGTACTGCTCCGAGGTCCCTGGTCGAAGACCTGGCCCAGATACCAGTCAAAGCTTGTCCATTTGATAAACGCCACCATCCCCTTGGCTACTGGAACATCTCCAGAATGTTTCTCACGTCATAGTGTGCTTCTCTCAATTTCAATGGCATCAAGGGATACTAAAGGGCCAATTATGTGCACTGTTTGTTATGACCGCGTCTCTCTACTTAAATCGACACCGACGCCCGTGGCCGCCGTGGTCGACCACCTTCAAAAGACATTCATACTTGTTTCAATACTAGATCCAATCGGCTAGTATCCTTTCGGTCGTTTCAATTCTATCTTCTCGTTGAACCATCATTCGATATGCGTTCCTTCATCGCTGCTCTCTTCCTTGCCAGTGCTGCTGCGGTCAGCGCGCAGGATCAGGGGGACTTCCTTAGCTGCGCTGTAAGTTACAATACAACCCCCTTGACAAGCCAATTACTAACCAGATCTAGAATGCTGCTCTTGATGGTGTTGATACCTCAACGCTCTCCGGCTGCACTGATCTGAGCAGCATCGACTGCTTCTGTGCCAACACAGATGTTCTCACCAAGCTGTCCGACGCAGCCACGACTGCCTGCAAGGCTGCCGGAGTTGGTACGTTAATTCCCACATACACTATATACCAATCACCAAACTAACAATACCGCTAGACTTCACCAAATTGGCATCCTCCATCTGCCCTGACAGTACCAAGGGCGCCGTCGCCCCAGAACGCCACGCCAGCAAGCCCATGGAGCCCGCCAGCGGCTTCGGCATGATGGAGCACAACAAGCGTGCCTTCCGATCTCCCTACGAAGACACCGCCGCTCCTCGCGTCGTCTATGTGACCGAGACAGTCACCCAATGCAGCTGCAAGAGCACCCCGGCGCCCTACGACCCTATGCACATTTCCCAGATCCCCGTTAGCGTGCCCGTGCGCAGCAGCATGGGCGCCATGGTGTCAGCTTCTTCTCCTGCCCCTTCGAACGGTGCTATGATGGCTGCGTCTTCTTCTGTTATCTTTGGTTCCCAGATGTCTGCTGCTACTCCTACTCCTAGCGGTGCTAGTGCCAACCGTTTCAACACTTTCCAGGGTGCTGCCCCCAAGACTAATGCTGTCCAGGGCGGTATTGCTGCCCTTGGTGTTGCTGCTATTATGGGATTGATGATCGCTCTGTAAGTCATACTGAGCTAAAAACTGATGGGAGGTTTTGGGCAAAGCTTTATGTAGTTGATGGATTTATTTTTTTTTCTTATTTTGAAGTCTTGACGGATGTGTGAAATTGTTTCTGTATAACATTATGTTTGACATTTAGGATTGAGACTGTAATGATCAATGAAATACGAGTACCATTCTTGAATTAAATTAGGGATTTTCCTATCCAGACCCCGATGTCTAGTCATAGTAGATAACCCAGGCAGACTGACAGATAAAGCTGTGTTCCACAACGTTGAAATATTAGGCGTGAATGGCTTGCTGCACACGAGGGTATAGCTCTACCAGCTTGTAATAGATATCCGGGTGATCGTTGATCATGACCTGAGGATCCCAGCCCATAGCAACAAAGATTGTCTCAACGCCACTGCCAATGGGGGTCATAAAGACCTGGCATATCTGTAAACCAATCACAAAGGCAAAGGCCATGATAACGGCAGTAAAGTCACCGTCGGTGTTGTAAGCAGGCTTGGTGAACTGCAGGTAGAGATAGGCCAGCAGCGCGCAGACGTAAGCAACGAAAGTTGAGCCCATAGTCAAAACAGGACCCATTAAGCAGTCTTGCACAAGGGCGTCAATTCCCCGATCCCGCATCATCTTCCAGGTGTCTTTAGCTGCTGGGATGTAGGCTTTGCCGTAAAGGGCGATGTGACAGAAGGCATAGCGATTGAATAGCGTGACGAGCCAGTCAAGCAGCGAGATGAAGCATCCCAAGATGCAGAAAAAGATGCTGCCGATAATGTTCCCTTGTGCGGCTTCTTGTCGTTGCGCGACCGAGCATGCTTGGCGAAGCATGTTGATAAAGGCAATGATCAAACTGCCAAAACTGATGCTACCAAAGGAGTAGGTCGTTGCCCGTCGGAAGGCGCCACGAGTCGAGCCCTTTGGCATTCCACCGGCAGACTTGCTCCAGAAGTACCACGATCCGTACACGCCAGCAATGGTTGTGTGCACAGTGTTCTTGATCCACTCACTGAACCAGTACATAGCGAACGTCACATACACCGTCAACCCGATAACCTTGGCGGTACTGCAACCGCCGTTCGCACAGGCTGGGTTGATGCCAGAGGAGTCAGGCTCGTAGGCGACATAGATCGAAACCAAAGTCACAGAAAACCAGGCGGCAAACGCCACGGTCACTATTCCTCCCAGTGCGCTAACGAGGAAGACATGGCCGTAATTGCGTGCAACATCCATAGTCGTCTGCAACATGAAAGCCGTGAAGGGGATACGCGGAATCCAGCTGATAAAGCAAATGATCGCGAAGACGCCAAAAACGAGGAACACGATTCCTCCTCCATATTGCTTTTTGGCAATGTAGTAGATTCCGGTTGCGAGTGCGAAAACGATATTCAGAATTCCGGTGGCCCAGATGAAAGTTTTCGTGAAATATCGAGCGGCCATGAAATACGCCCATGAGAAGACGAGAGCGACACAAAGGACGAAGATGAAGAGCACCAGAGTGTTCGTGTTAAGTGAGAAATCATTCGAGGAATCGTAGATACCACCTCCACTGAATCCCTTGTTCGAGGCATACTTGTGGATGGTCACTCCGGACACTGCGACGTAGCCCAGGAAAACAGCAATCAACTTTGATGAATGTTAGCCTTGCTACTTTGCGCCACTATAATCTGGTCGAGAGCGGTTGTCCGACCGTTCTGACCATGCAGTGGTTCAGAGACTTACCAAAAGACCCGCCCAGATATCATTGTACTTGGGCTTCTCGATCTTGAAAGCTTCATCAAATGTACTGTAGGGGGGTGGATTATCAGGGTACGGAGGCTGCTGAGGCTTCTGCTCAGGACCAGGTTGCTGATAGTTTGCCGGTTGCTGGTAGTTTGCTGGTTGTTGTTGGTAATTGACTGGTGGCTGGTAATTACCATTATTGCGCTGATCATAACCATTCGTGTAATTGTCGTTCTTTTTCTCGTAAGGAGCTGATTGACCTGGGCCATCAAAGCCCTGGCCAGGGTCATAATAACTAGCAGCTTGTCCACTCATAGCTGCACACCGGGACGATCAGGACGTCGAAATTCAAAATGAGGAATTGCCAGAAGAAAAGAGAGAATAAGAGTTGCGCAAAACCTGGTGGGCATGTAAGGAGCTTTATTTCCGCATTTGAATCATGACGACATGCAGCTGGTTGGCCCGAGGAACCACGATCGGCCCAATGATCAGCCCTGTAGGGTTCAAAGATCCAATAGTTCGTGCCAGATCCCGGCCAAACCCAGTTTTCAGGTCTTTCAATCTTGCCAAGAGGTCAAGCAGGTTGCCTGCTGGGCAACCCTTGGCGGTTGATTTTTCATGTGCTATAATATGTACAGGTAATGCAAGAAACATGCTAGGAAGAAAAAAAAAACGAAAAATAAACATACAAAATGCAGACAGGATATCTAATATGACAGATGCGAGTGTGATGCCTTTTCCCCCGACCTTCGAGACGCCCATAAAATGCAAGGGCTTCCCCCGCCAAATTGTGCTGCGAGGTGCCCGACATGCCTTGATTTGACAAGGTCAATTACAATTAAGAAAACAAAGATTTAGAGCAGAGAGCCTTTTGGTCTGGCTCTGATTACCCGCTTCAGCCCAAATGAATGCGATCGTGTCTACAGGGATGATCCTCGAAAACAACTCAATTAACGAGTTGGTTCCCTATGGAAGGCATGCTGCTTGAGGTGACGCCAGGAGTTTGCAACCCGCTGCTCGATATCGGGACCCCCATTTCGTGGACGATTTGGGAAATTGTCAGTCGCGGACTGAATCTGGCCCTTGCTGAAAGCGACCGAGCGCCGCAGTTTCTCCTGTCGGACAGCGACACGTCGGGCGGCTCGCAGTTCTTCGATACGGCCCTGGCCAACACGATGGCGTCGCACGAAACAGTCCTCGAGGAGAGCGTTGGCATCCAACAACCTCTTAGGAACCGTTTGAACCACTTGGAAGACTTCCATGGGATCCGAAACGGCGAGAATGTCTCTTTCACAAGCCTTGAAGATTGCAAGTGAAACGCGGAAAAACGTCTTGGAACCTTCGTAGAAGAAAATGTCCCAAACCCGAAGCGTTGTTTCGAGAGGCAGCGTTCCGATGAAAATGGACATGAGCCAATTGGTCAATCCCAATGTGATGTCAGGGAGTCGCGAATTCACCGTGAGGGCAGGTGCTTTGCCACGACTGGAGGATCCATCCATACTGGCAATCTTGGAATAGATACCCGGCATGGAATCTCGGAGCAAAACCATGAGAATCCAAAGATCAATATTTGCACCTTCCAGACTAACCTCATGAGTACCTGGTAGATACACGGAGGTGATGATATGCAACATCCAAAAGGCCTTCTCTTCAGGAAGGAATAACAGGAGCATGCCGGTGATGAAGTTAAGCGACTGCGTGTAACCGACTTTTGGATTATGAAGCGCGAAAGCGTACAATACTCGGCGCAATGATTGGATCATTTGGGTCTCAGTCGTGATATTCGAGTTTTGAGGACCACCAGTATCCACAGGTTCCGGTTTGAAATGGAGATTATCCGGGAATGTGCGATGCAGGTCACGTTCAATGTGTTCCTTGTCATCATTACTAGGAGAGGCCATCACCTTCTCCACGAGTTGATCGTAATGACCAGGGTTGCGGTTCAGGAGCTCGTACCCGCCGGCATACCAAAACCAAGCAGCACCCCGGAATTCGGAGGGGATGCCCTTGCGCACGAAACGTTTGACCTTATTGGACTGTGCTGGAAACACAGTGGGTTCGGTGGTTTGAAGGCCATGCTCCTTGAGCAATTCATACCACTTATTCCGACGATGCGCAGCATAGTTGGAATAAGGTCCCTTCCAAGCTTCGTACTGGTCTAAAGTCACATATTGTGTTGCTTTTCGAAATCCATAGTCATCGCGTGTGGCACTCGCGGAGGTGAGAGGCGGGGGAACCGGCCCGGGTATGATTATCCTCGACGGCTGTCGCTGGTGAGTAGATTTTGAATTAGGCGATGCTTGGTCGGGAAGAACGGGTTCTGGAGCCGAAGGGTGGGAAGTAATAGGTGGAGGAGGAGGTGGAGTCTGTGGTGGAGAGGCAATCTCTAGAATAGGCTCGGGCATTGAAGGTTGTGATGATTCAGACTCGAAGAGTTCTGCCTCTGGCAGATCGGACTGCGGAGGTGAAGGGATAGGGGGTACGTGTTCGAGGGAGGTCGTCCTTGGTGGAAACATAATTGGCTCCTCTAGGTAGGTATCTCTCGAAGGAGGAGGTGTGACTGAGGGCGCCTTGCTCTCGGTGCGCGACATGGGCGACGAGGGCTCCTCGGCCACGTCGCTGAATCCATCGAGATACATGGAAATCGCATCTTCCACACTCATGCCACCATCCATTCCATACGGAGCGTCGGGAGTATCCGGTGATAGATCGGTAATCGAACTGCTCTTCGTCAGGACACTACTCCGCTCGGTACCGGAATGCTGTTCAATGCTAGATCTCGAAGTCATAGCGGAATTGAAGCTTGTCCGGAGAGTATTATCATCGGTGGGTCCCTTCGACGGGAACCGGGGCAATGGCAGGCCACGGGCACCGGCATCCTGGGAACGGTCGGGGGATACTTGCGGCCGTGGTCGTCTGCTGGGCAGTCGGGAGGTCGACATAGAAATACGCAGACCACCTCTGGCCGGCGGGGCCTTGCGGTGGTTAGGCCGGTCAGAGTCGTTGTCACGATACCACATTGGGGGGGTTCGATCTGGAGGTGGCGTGAAAGGGGGGCGTGACTCGAATTCTGTTTCGCTCTCCATTCTTCTCTACCTTGCGGTGAACCCGCTCGGAGTGATTCAGGGAGCCATGGTCGGTCATCTGTGGTAGTCTGTGCCCCGGGAGGTAGAGGTGAATGCGAGCGAGGGTGATACGGGGAGTGGGGAGAGCGCGGCGACGATCTCGGAGTCGATTTTACGGTTTGCGGCGCGCGTGGATCAATCTTCAAAGGGTCCAGCCGCGGTGGATGCGGAATCTTTCGACGACCACGCAGGTCAGATTCACCCAAGGGAGGAGGGTATCGAGGGGTTCCATTTTCTGTGACCATGGCCACGAGCTCGCACCCAGATCCCGCTGGACATTGGTTTTCGTGACTGGCAAGGGAATGCTCAATATGAGGGTAGCCGAGGACCCTTCAAGGTTTGGGAAAGTCGGTAGTGAATGTTTAAAGAGGTGAAAGGAAGGGAAATATCACGGCGGGTGTACACTGTACACTGTAACCCGTATACGAGGGCGTTCGGCGTTGAGAATGCACGGGCGAAGCTGAAGAAAAGCGAAAAGGGTTGAGCGGGTGGCTCGTCGGACGCTGGGTAAGGTTCCAGCAAGAGGAATGGACAATTTGAATAGCCACGGAAAGGACAGAAGATTATTAAAGAAGCAGAGAACCCGACGACCCCGACACAGCCTGCCAGAGGAGTGGAATGAGAGGGCGACAGGAATCTGGAATGAAGAAACCGGAAAAGAAGTGGTCGATGAGACAAAAATCAACAGACCCCGATTGAGGCTAGCGTCACATGACGTAAAGGACGACGGCGGTTTCAGGATTCGCTTCGATCGAGATTAATCACTTTTGCTTTTCTTGGTGATTCGTATTATTTTGGAGTAGATGTTTAATTTGTAGGCGCCAATGGCTAACTCAACCATATTAAATATGACGGCTCGCGCGTTCGGATGGCTCATCATCACATAATACTACGTCTTGGCCTACATACTGTGTCTCCGTGGCTACAACCTCCTGTGCATGATGCAGAGTGCGAACAATAGCCTTCCCCAGTACCTTAATAACTGAAAGGCATTGCCTGCTCCTCGGGTATCTCCCGGGAAGAAGCCGACCATTGATGCGTTGTCGATCAGGGTAATCTGCTTGTTGTTGTTGGTCTTTGTTTGCAAGAACAAGAAGGTCCGCGCCTAAGCCCCTAACAGCAAACGATTATTGCAATGGAAAATTGGTTTTCCAAAATTACGAAGTCGCCAAACTCCCCCATTAGGGAGTTTTACCTGTCCAATTCCAGGCCTAGGCCATCCCCTAACCGAGGAACCAGGATCGGAGCTTCGGCTGCGGCTTCACCTCCGACGCCCCATTCCTTCTAGAATGGTAAAAGTCAAGATTTAAATGACGATCGCTAAGCTATGACACGGCACACTCAAATGAATCATTTGACACGTTTGATATCGTCAAGGAGCAATTACACTACCTACGTATGTACTGTACTGGTCAGAGCGTAAGAAGTGACAAAATCCTGCATGATCGATCTATATATCTGGAACGAACGACTGCTGAGAAACCTGTAGGCGCTGAACCAATCCATCCCGACCATGCTCCCGTTTGCGAGTTGAATCGTTCCTGATAGGTTGGGCCAATTGGACCCTAGTGCGGATCCACCCCAGCGGCTCGCCCCCCGATTGTACCGTGCAAATGCAAGTGCGAGGCCTGGTTTTCAACCAAACCCCCCTTTCCCGCGCCAACAAAGATGCCGCTGAAGGTTTTGCGCCCATTGGCTCTCCTAAACTTCCCATTCTCGGCATTGTGCGGGGTTGCGAACAAGTCGGCGCTATCTTAGCGCTAATTCTTCTTTGCTGGTGTGTCAGAATCAACATGTCTATTTCTCTAGCAGTCGAAGACGACATACCTCCACCTCACTATACCTAGATCTATGGAAAACTATAGCGAGCCAACCTGACGTCCATATTCTTTTGACGCACAAACCACGCATTGACAGTCTGCCAATCCTTGTCCGGATGCTCAAGCTCGATCTGCATGAACCACGCGTCAGATAGATATATATTTTGGAAATGGAAGATAGCAACTCCCGTCTCACCTTATATGTCAGAAATAGAGAAGGAACCAGCTTGTAAATTTCTAACAGACTAATGTTCTTCCCAATGCACGTCCGCGGTCCAGCTCCAAAAGTGAACGTTGCTCGGAGCATCTGTTGCCTCCGCGTGTGAAAGGTCGTTTCAGACTCGCCATCTGCCTGCAGCCAACGTTCCGGCACAAAGGAGTCAACTTCCACTCCGAAGATGGAGTGACGGTGGATAATCCAGGGGTTAGCGCCGACAATGGTGCCGGCCGGCAAAAATGGCCCACCGTTGGGAAGCTGGAGTCCACCGGTGGGGACGATTCGTTCGAGAAGTAGTCCGACAGCGGGATGGAGGCGGAGTGCTTCCTTGATCACTGCGTCGAGATAGGGTAGCTCTTCTTGACTTTGCTTCCAAGATACGGGCAAGGTGATCCTGCCTTCTTGATAAGCTGTGGTGAATTCTTCATTTAGCTTCGCCATGACCCTTGGGTTTTTGAGGGTGTAGTAAAGAATGGCTCTCAGCGAGATGGCTGTGGTATCGGAGCCGGCATTCATATTGCTCACGGTATATGAGAAGACCTGGTTATCGGTCACAATATCTGGGTATTCCTTCTTTGCCTCTAGGAAACGCGAGAGGAAATCCCTGTGTGACTTGCTGGGGTCTTCAGCCTTCTTCGCGGTCGACCTTGAGTGCGTCAACCTTTCATCCAGGCGAGCCCGCGCAAACCGAGCCACGGCACCTGTTGAACCTCCCTGAATGAGCTGTCTCAGGGGGTTCTTGATAAAAATATAATCAAGCCACGGCATTTGGCCAATCTGTAAATGTTTCAGCAAGCGGTTCGCTTACGAGTATGGTGAATCATACCTTCCCCGAGTAGTCTAGCATATTCTCAAGAGCCGCAATAATGCCGTCAACATCGGCGCCTTCCTCTAAGAACCCGAGAGGCTTGCTGAACGTCAATTCCCCGATCACATCGAATGCATCTGCTGATGTTAGTGCATGGGCCAGTCAAGCAGGTTGTTCCGGGACAAGCTTGTAAAGGCAGAAAGAAGCGTACAGTATTGCAACCAGACCGCAATATCACAAATCTCGTTCCCGTCCACAAACTCGTCAAGTTTCTTGAACAGAGTTTGAATTGTCTTGTCGACAAAGGGCTCAAACTCGGTCAGGGTACTCATCGAGTATGCACCTGATATAGGCCGTTTGATAGCCGCATGGAAGTCTTCATCAGTTGTGGTAAAGAGCGTGGGAGTCGGCTTTCCCTTGGCCAACTGCTGCTGCACATGGTAGAAATTCGTCTTCGGATGTACTCATGTCAGCCCCATTGTACCATATAGTTTCAAGCACGGCATACCTTCCGATACCCCTTGTTGATACCATATATAGCTTTCAACGCATCCAAGTCTCGTACGCTCACTACATTTGGTCCCAGTCGTACATAGTCCCCGTGCTTCTGATGTAATTTGTACAAAGTGGCCTCAGCATGGCCATTTGCGACGTCAAGGAACCTCCACAGATTGGTAAATTTTGCTAGGAAGGGCCCCGGCACGGTGCATACCCCTGGAGTGAGGTAATTGGAAGCCAGATAGAGCGCAGCGAGAAGGAAAAGGACACCCCCGACATGCTGCGATACAAATGATATTGATTCAGAGATGACTGCCATCGTTTTGCGACTTCGAATTGACACGAAGCAGCAGATCAAAGAACCTTGATATTTAAACAATGCCCCAGGACGCTACATTCCCGAGGCATCAAGTACCGTAGAGATAAATGGGCCAACCAGATACCGTGGGGCGTGTGCCCCCGTGGGGTCATTTGCGGGGAAGTAGTGATTGCTTGAGGTGTAATTCCGCTGCTGCACCATCCTATCGACCTTGATCAGCATGGGGAACCATGATCATACAGGCTAAATTCCTAAAGTACCGTGACACGGAGAGCGTATGCCATGGAAATGTTCCGCAATAGAGGGCACGGAGGACCATTCGGAATCTTAACTATAAGAAAGATTCCGAAAAAAACCACCACCCTTTGAGCACGTAGCAGATTTGGAGTAAAATATTCGGAGAAGCTTGCGCAATCGGATGAGTCGGATGAGCTCTTCTCTTCCCTTCAGGCCTCGTTCTATGTGAAGCTGGAGGGGCTCATGTACATATACGACATTCGCCCAATAGGACAGGGCTTGAAAGAGGCTAACATGCGGAACAGACATCTGCTGGTAGCGGGCAATCCCTTATTTAATTGTATATGTTCATCGCACGAGGACTATCGCGAATCCCCGATTTCTTCCAGGCCCGTCTCACCCAGCTGTAGGCGAGCGAGCAAGTATGTTGACATTGAAATTTCGCACGAAACTCGAACCTCAGATCATAAAACAAAACTCAAATGTTTATCCCATCCTCCCATCCTCCACAATAACTATTCAGAAACAGCCCATTTCCGAGTCCACTCCTTCGCAATCTCGTCGTAGCGCTTCCGGTCGTTCTTGTATTGCTCTGCGATCCGTCCTTCGATAGCGTCATCGGGCATGGGTTCCTGAAGTAGCTGGCGTGCGAATTGTAGGACAGCTGCGATCTTGGAGCTGGGTTTCCACTCGTCCGCCCGCAACATTCCCAAGCACATACTCCCCTTTTCGTCATTCGTGACATTTGGGTGGTAGATTTTCGTTCCGAACGAGACGGTCGGGGGCTTGAAAGGGTATTCGGTGGGTAGGGTGAGGTTGACGATGAATTTGCCGCCCTGAAGTAGTGAGTATAAATGTTAGAATAGCGCTTCACATGGAGAATGGAACGGTGGGTTCGATGTCGCTGCCTCCCCCCTTGTCCAGCCAGCAGTTTGAGATGCGTGTGATATTGGAGGAGCTTATCTCGAATGCTAGTAATGTTTGAATAGGACATACTTGGTATGGTGACCCTTCTGGCCCTTCCATGAACACCTTCCACTTGTAGAGATTGGCCTCATCGGCCAATTCAACGATGATGCCCTCCGGAGGCGACTCGACGAGCTCGCTCAGCTCCTGTTCGCGAAGTAAGAGTAAGCAGACGTGTATCAGCCAAATAAGGAGCAGTTAGACAATACCATACCTTAGCTATGCGTTTTTGGCTGCCCATCTTGTCCAATGTGGTCAAGCCGTGGCTGGGCGCGTGCGGGGTGGTGGATGGAGGAAAATGGGTGGCAAGGGAGACAAAAGTGACCGGCTAAGGAGAACCCCTTGCAAGCGAGCGAAAGAGTCAATCAAAGACTAGGGAAATCTCCTGGCAAGACCAAAGACGGCCGTGTGGTGATTCGAGTGGAGAGATCCAGAAAGGAGGGGGGTAGCTTGGAAGCTTTCTAGCTTGCGGAGTGGGGTGAAACGTCAGTCTGTTATCGGCCAACTCAACCTTGTCTCCAGAGGCTGCTTATCTTTGAGCATACCATTCGATAACCACAGCCCAACTGTTGTGGATGCTTTGTCAATTTGATATTTGAGGTCTTTTTCATGGCTCGGTTTATATGTTATGCTAATTTGATCGGGCCAGCCTGTTCTAGCTAGCTATTCAGCCCTTTTGCCTCTACCAAAACACCATTTACTCCCGCTGAAGCATGACCATCAAGCCCATTATACCCAGAAGAACCGACTTCAACCATGGGTGCTCTGATAGCATAATTGTAACGTATCCCACCATCGGGATGTACCCTCGTACACTCCCTACAATATCCTCAGAACGGTTGAGGTGATCCTGGTCGTGCGCATAGCTGAAGATAACAAAAATAGTTAGATAAGAAAGGCATTCATGGGTAGCAGGAGGTAGAGGGAATAATCTCACAGTTCAGTGTCATCGGCGAGGTTGTTATCACCCTATTAGCGAAAGGTATACGAGATTAGCCCGAGAAGACCTTAGGACGTGATCGATGTGGATGAACATACCTTGGTCAGCAGCATATGAGAAGGAGTTGAGTCACTGTAGTTCTAAATTAGTGCCCCGTATGTTGTAGATATCGAATGGCCAGCAACATACACTGTGATCTCCTTGACTTTCTTGGCCTTTCCCTCGACCTCGGGGAAGGTTCGGACGACGCGGTGGACGATGGGGATGTCCTTGCCTCGCACCTTTCATTTGAATGTCAGCAAGACACGAAATTCATACAAAGGATTAAAGAGCTGCCTCACATTGTACACCACAATTTCTCCCACCTCCGTTCGAGGGCTGCGATTCCATAGGAACAGAAGATCACCTCGTTGGAAGGCAGGCTCCATACTACCCGAGAGGACGACCACAATTGGGGAGCTAGATGCAGACGCGACCGATAATCCCTTCCATAACATAAAGGCAGTCGATAGGACCTGTGGATCGAAGGAAAGTGTTAGCGTTATGCTGGCATGACGGGAGCGCAGGGACGGTTCTCATTCTGTGGGAAGGTTCCTGAAGTAAAGACAACACATACTAAAGCGAAGTTTAGCACCTGCGCCACGGTAGTCCGGGCATTATTCAGGCTGGATGAGAGTGAAGACAGCATGTTGGATAGACCAGCGCGAAGTGACACCAGCTATGCTCTGAGCTTTGTTATGGCCGAGCTGGGCGGGCAGAATATTGCGGAGAGGTGGCCTCGCTGATCTGAGGCGTTGGGCGGTCAGCCCGCTTGGCGCTCATCTGATCAATTACCTTAACGGGTTTAGGATGCTCTTCTACACTTGGAACTGGAGTCATCAAAACGCATCATATCCTATTGATTCTACCAACTTGTACCTGGCTGTTGTTACATTACTGACTTATGAGTGAACCATCTTGATCCACAGGAGAGGTTACCGTTTCAAGACTGGCCAAGAGACAGGGGGCCTGAACAAGCAAGCGACCGGAAAACCTCCTACATTGGGGCAGATCTAATAAGGTATTTTTTTGTGGATTGGATTGACGTTGAATGATTGATTATTATGCTTTACTACTCGATCAGAAAGGGGAAGCCAGAAACCAATGATAACTGAGTGCTCGCCTCGAGTTACCGAGTTTATCCTTCCAAGACCGACATTTCTCTAATCCATTGTTCGATGAATTCTAATTTTCGAACATTTGACCGCTCTGCCTGATAATTTGTGGGCTGGACCCAGAGTACCTTTTGACAGGTTACTAAGATTCCTCGAACTCACATGTGGTGGAACCATGCAAGTCAATTTTGACGAACCGCGTAATAGAAGCCAAGTAGAACTGGCATGACTTTCCTAATCAGTCCTCTGGCATATCTTTAGTTTCACACAATAACAATAGCACTGTAGCAAGTAGTAGTAAGCACATAAGCAACGCAATCCAATCCTTTTTCGCTTCCCTGCTTCTCTTGTACATACTGTCCTCGGCCACTCGGAGGATAATACAAATGCAGGCTGGTGTCAATCCTGTCACATCCATGATTTACCGTGCTGCCGCCCCGCAACAACCCGTGGCGGCAGCCTTGACGGGACGGCACGTCTGTCCCCGGCATCCACTAAACCGTAATACGCAGGAGGGCCGGGGATGTGCAACGGTCTTGCATCGGAAGGTCGAGGTTGCGGGCCCCACTATGATTGCGTTGCGAGTTCTTTGTTAAACCGCCGCCCCTCCCTGTCTCTGGGAACTTTTCCTTGTCTGTCTGCCCGCGTCAATGAAAAGGTGATCATGAATGACCAGGTCATCGCTGTGGTAAGAACGGCTCTTTTTTCAAGGGTACTATTTTTATTGGTATGTTTCTCTTGCTGACGTTTAACCCTAGGATACAGATCTGTATCAGATCAGAGATGGCGAATACTACCCCGAGGATTGGCAGTCGTGAGTGCTTATTCTTTGTCTACGTGGCTTCGTTTCTTTCAAAAGTCTTAACTGGATCGCCATAGGGAAACGACATCCATCGGATCCTCAATTTATCGAGGTTTGATGGAAAATGGTCGACGGTGAGGGTGTAATAACCGGAGAACCATTGTGGCTCCCAACTGACCTCTATGTCCTAGATATCAAAATCTTCGAGATGAGGGATATCTGTAAGGACAATTCGATATATTATCATCACCACTGATACCTGACACTCGATCACAGCGTCCCATCGGATGATCAAATGTTCGAGACATACGAAGCCGGGTAAGTGCGGTGCTTTATACGGATACCTAAACAATTCTGACTCTGGCAGACACCTCGTAGCTCTTGTTTTGGAATCAGATAGGCCGAACCCGCTTTTCCGATCCCCGATTGGCACAGACCCCAAGCACATTCTTGATCTTGGGACTGGAAAGGGCGTTTGGGCAATGTATGTTCTCGAATGATCTCAGTCTGGAGGATAGAATGCTAACGACAGTCTCAGCGACGTGGCTGACATGTTTCCTAATGGCAAGTACCCAATACAGTGCACAAGGTAACAAAGTACTAAACGATTCCAGCGACGGTACGCGGAGTCGATCTATTCCCCCTCCAGTATCCTGGATGCCACCAAATTGCATTCTCGAGGTCGACGACGCCCTGCAAGAGTGGACCTGGCGTGAGCCATTCGACTTGATACACATGCGAATCATGATCGGATCATTTACTGAGCCGGAGTGGGATCGAGTGTACAAACAATGCTACGAGTAAGCACTTATTTGCGATGTCTTCTCCACGGCCATATCTGACAACTCGATTATCTAGCAAGCTACAGCCTGGCGGATGGATCGAACAAGTCGAAGCCAGCCCTATGATATTATGCGATGACGGTAGTCTCCCTCCAGATAGCATCCTTCATACTTGGGGAGTCTACACGATGGAGTGTGCTAAGAAAGCCGGCCGCGAGTTGGATGCTATCGACACCATGAGCGACAGCATTCGCAAGGCCGGCTTTGTCGACATCCACGAAAAGCAATATAAGTGGCCCATCGGCCCATGGCCCAAAGATAAGAAGCTCAAAGAAGCTGGCATGGTCAATTTCCAACACTGGATGTCTGGAATGGAAGGATGGTGTATGTGGTTGTTGACCAAATTTGGATCACCACAGCCGTGGACAAAGGAGGAGGTCCAAGTGTACGTCGCGAAACTACGTGCGGAATTGAAGACCCCACGATATCACATCTATCAGAGAGCGTGAGTTTTTAGTGCAGCTTACAGGAAGATCGTCACTAACAAAATCCAACAGACGAAGGGTATGGGCTCGGAAGCCCTTTGTGGATGAGCTAGAGCCTGAGATCAAAAGGGAGCCATCGCCTTGATGGCGGGCGTGAAGTTACGATTCTTGGCTCGGCGATGAGTCCACGAGCTAAAACTACATATATCGTACAGATATTTAACACCGTGGATATATGTCAATCGTGAGATCTCTCTCCAAGTAGAACAACGTAGGGAATCGTTTGTTAATACATGGAAAAAGAGAAAGCTCATACACGTAATTATAGGAGGAAGGTCCGCCTCAAGCAGATTTCAGTAGATGGCTTTCGCTCCTAATAGTCCCATTGAGCCGGCGACCCGATCAAGCCACGTAAAGGCCCGTGGATCGTCTTTTTGAATACCCTCTCCAAGCTCGCAAGTGAGACGAAAATCAAGACATGGACGGCTAGTATTACTTGGGCTTGTATTTTGGGGGTCGGGTGATGATACCACACTTTCCCAGGAGGAAGCTCCTTCGTCGATGTAGACAGGCATATTTAATCGAGAAAGGAGGTTTTCGAGTATTTCGAGAGTATTGACTGCTGCACTGAGAAGTAGTGATGGGCTTGTCTCAGGAAACCCGTTCGGCTCCGGACCGATGAAACCACGGAAGAGTATTCCCAACTTTCGCTGGTTATTCGATGCCAGCTGCGATCGTAACTCGTCGGTGAGTGTCCGGAGTTGATTACAGGTCATGGCAATCCTTCGCTCTAGGATTCGGGCTTCTGCAGTGGTAATGGAAGTAATCTCTCGTACCTCTTGCAGGTACTTAGGGCATTTGACCAGCTCCATGAAAATGGTTTCGTAAACATCGATATAGAACGACCACTCGCTCTTCTTTTGGGAGTCTTCGGCTCGAAGGGCAGCTGCCAGGTCTTGCCAATCGTCTTCACCGAGGAAACACGGTTCGCCTTCATAAATTGCGGCCGCAATCAGGAACGGTCGGTACGCAAAATGACAGACACGACCGGCGCCAGAGAGATGAAGATTCATTCCCCGTTTCATCATTATGTGTTTTACCGCCCTGGAATGACAGACCCAAGCATCTCGGGTAGTCCGCGTACTCATTTCATAGAAAGAGAGAAGAATGACCGCTATCAGCAACGCATCCGAGGACGCCTCCTCGTCTGAGTTTAGAACTTGCCTGATTGCCGCCAGAGCTTGTGAATATTTCTGTCGGCTAAAGTGTTTGATACTTGGGTCTCCAGTGAGATGGGCGAGGTATTGCGCTGAAAGACACGAGACGGACGCATCGAAGTAAGGCTTGCTACCAAAATGTTTTAGAGCCCAGTCTGGGAAGGTGAAGCCGTCTCCGAACCGGAACTCATTGTGAAAGAACATCGTGGGGAAAGCAGCGCAGATAAATTCTTTAAATACCCGCGGCTGTTGGCTGATGAAGCATTGTTGAATCAGAGCCGGATAAACACGTTCATCAATCGAAACGTGAGGATAGACTTGGCTTTGTATAGAGCCGTTACGACGGATGGCCTCGGGGTCATGCTTCACTTTACTATGACCGGCACTTGGCAGTTTCTTCTGATAACGTTTCTGGAGATGCGGCCCCTCATCCTGGAATTGCCAAGGACGTTTATATCCAGGACATGTCACGCCGTATTTGCGACACCGTATGCAATGTGGCATAGATTGGTCACACTAATCCAAAGTCAGCTTCGTGTCAGACTGTAAGCGTGGAGAACTGCTGACTCTGATGCGTCGCTCTCGGCAGAGCAGACAGCCCTTGCTGTAAGGTACGCCAACCATAATGGCAGTTCAATATTCAATAATGTGACCCGCCAGTCTGCCACCCTCGTATGCCTGCCATACCCCGAATCCTCCAGGTGGGGTGTGATTGAATTCCAGCTAACGCCAGATTTGAAAGGCACCCCCTGAGCAAAGCGACCAGCATCTCACCGCCCATCTGATTTGGTCCATCGTACTTTGTTCTGCTCGTCGCTGAGAACGCCCATTGGCTGTCGGTTGCAACGCCTCGTATTCCCGCGGCAGGAACCCACATGATACATCACCAAGAAGGAGCCCGCGTGTGTCACGTGATATATATGTCTTCCATGAGTGTTAGATTGAACATGGCCTTATTGATGGTTTTAAAAATTGGAAAAACATCTAAATATCGTCAAAATGGCTATGTATTCCCCTCCTTCAGCTCGCCATCAAAGACTAGACATTTCATGCAACCAACGCTTGTCTACTGCGGTACTAGACATTTGATGATTTTAGAACCTTGGGCAAAACACCACCTAAGAAGTATAAGGAACGTCCTACGTATTAGAAAGTTCAATGTATGTCTAAATTCTGCATGATGGTAGAATTGCCCAGATTACTACAGAAAGATTGCTAATTTGAAGGACATCGAGATTTACAGCTGTCAGGTAGAAATATGCCGCTGATGGCCAGTGAGGAGCTCCAAAGACATGCAAAATTCAACTCTGACATCACATTGATGTTCATACAACATTTCAGTCGCCGAAAACTTTATTCATTAAGCCGAATGAGTGGATTACCGGGGATATAGTCCCCCTTGATTCCACCAAGAATGCTGTTAATTCTCCATCCCTAGAACTCGATGTCACAGGATTAAAGAAAAGGAACAGCTAGAAATGATTCTCGCGATTATGTTCGGACCAAACTTGAAGAGATTTTAGGGGATTACAAGAGCCATTTGTAGTATGCTACATAAGTTTCTCCTAGGTCTTTACAAGCTCTCTTCCGTACTAAGCGGAGAATATATCTGGTCGATGGTGATATAGTTGGAGGTTTTGTTCAGTGGAGTGCAGATCACAAGGGGAGTTATTCCATTCTTCGGGGTTAAACCCCCCTGGTTTCCCTAATGCGCTATGCAAAAGACCTAAGCCAAGACAATTATGTCAAACCTTCTGAGCTTTGACAAATGCTGGACTACTTCTCACGAGCAAGTTTCAGAGCTTTTCCATTCTCTTTGCACAGAATGAACGGCCAATCTGCGGTCTTTCAAGATGAAATGCCACTCAAACGACACCATGGAAGAGATCAAGTTCTCAATTCAAGAGTATCTACGAAACCACCATCTTGAGCTCACACCGGACGGAAGCTTTGTACGATGGCTAAGAGAGAATCCGAAACATCCAAGGAACTGGTCTGTCCTTCGGAAGACATATGATACTGGGCTTATATGTGCTTTGGATCTTTTTATGTATGACCGCCCTCACCTATTCATGCCCGACCAGCCTTGATGACTAACTTTCTTCTGCTTGAAAAGAACTGCTAGCAGCACGGCGGGAGTGAGTCCTCAGAACCATGTCACAACAATAGAAGTTCTAACGACAGGCGCAGGCAGCGGCAGCAGCGCAAGCTAAACATGAATATCATTTGAATCATACCTTTGCAACCTTCTGTTTCGTCACATTGTGAGAGGTTTCCGTACACGTGGGCTCATCTTGTGAAGGAACTGAGCTGATTATGCGACAGATTCCTTCTAGGCCAGTCCATTGGCACGATCGTGTTCCCACCTTGGTCCGAATCATTCGGTCGCAAAAAGATGTACCTTCTTAGCAGTGGTCTGAGCTCTATTTGTTGTCTCGTCATCGGATTTTCACAGTCACTTACCGGAGCTGTTATCATGCGAACACTGGCTGGATTGCTATCAGCAGTTCCTAGTACTATTGTGGGCGGGAGCATTGAAGATATGTTCAACTCGCAGGCCCGTATTTGGGTTGTCTTCTTTTGGACCGTGGCCTCAAATATTGGGTTGATTGTTGGTCCAATCATGAGCAGTCACGTTATTGAACTTCTCAACTGGTAAGACCATCTCATCATCATTATCGAGAACCCAACACTGATCAAGTTACAGGAGGTGGGTATTTTTTACATATGCAATCATCATCGGTGGCATTACTGGCCTCCTTTGCCTTATTCGAGAATCCCGGTCATCCTACATTTTGACTCGCGAAGTTGACCGACTACGACACGAGATCCCAGAAGTACCTCCCGCATTGAACCATGACCACTCGCCAAACTTACAAACTTTCGTCAAAGAGGCACTCTTCCGTCCTGCGCAGCTATTCTTCCAAGAGCCCATCATATTTACGATTGCAATGATGATATCCGTCGCGATGTCCCTTATCTATATCTTCACCGAAGCCTTACAACCAATATATCAATCCATGGGATTTTCTGCATCGCAGGCGTCTCTCATTTTCATGGCTATCGGGCTCGGGACATGTGTCAGCACTTTTACTCGCATTTTGGATTGCTATATCTTTAACAAGCGCAGGATGCGAGGTAAGCCCATCAGACCTGAAGACAAGCTTGTAGGCTTGGCACTCGGGGCTCCATTCCTAGCTATCGGTCTATGGTGGTTTGGCTGGACAATCCCACCCAAGACACCAGGACCCGACACGCCGTGGATTGTACCGACGATCTCCCTCGTTCTGGTTGGGTATGCTCTGACGGAAATGGACACCGTGCTATATGGGTATATCTCAGATAGCTATTTGAGTTACTCCGCTAGTGCTACCGCAGCGGTGGCGTTCCTACGAGGCATGCTGTCCGGAGCATTCCCGCTTTTCACGAATCAAATGTTCGACGGACTAGGAGCTAATATTGCTGTCTCGGTTCTGGCAACTGTGGCAACTGTCTTTTGTATTGTGCCTCCGTTGTTTTTGTGTTATGGTGAGAGGATTCGACGGAGAAGTCGATTTGCAAGGTATAGCTGGGAGATTCAAGAGGAAATGGGAAAGGATGAGTACGATATCTGATGTTGTATGTAAATGAGAGGGAGAATCATGTCCGACTAAATTCTCGCTTCAAGAATCCTATAACTATGTATTCTCATTGGTGGCTGTGTAGACGTGGAGCTGTCTCAACACATACCGCAAGCCCAAAGTCGGTGTGTTGAGCTTACCCCCGCCCCCCCTAAGAGCGCCGCTTCGTCCTCTTCAATCCTTAAGCATCTGGTACATTTGCGTTATTGTCCCTTTCGCCCAAGGTTTCAGAGATGCGGACTCGCATATGCTTTGACGATGTCGCGTGGGAACGGAGTGAGGCCATCCAAGACTCCTGGGTACACGAATTGTTCAATGAAGAGAGATGGCTATAGGTAAATTTATCCTAAAACATCGAAGATGAGCGCCTATAGAGCTATGCAATCTAAAAGCTGGGGCTTTCAGTGTTTCTTTCAGAATGAAGTTCGAGGACGGCGGTTCAGCTATCATTCGATTTCCTAACCCCGGTGCTACGATGTTTCCCGATGAGAAGGTGCGCAATAAAGTCGATATAATTAGGTATCTTTAATAGTTTACGACGATTCCCGTACTATTTGTCCTACACTAGGGCACTAAAGAGGATAATCCCCTTAGCCTTAGTCTATTTATTATTATGGAAAATATTGAATATACAATGGACCTAAGCGACGTCCTTAATACCCTAGATTTATGATTAAGGATCGTCCGATCCTTGACCTAAACGTTAATAAAACTAAGCTCAAACTATTATACGGATAATTTATAGATATTTTGCTTTAGTTATCTACGCTACGGGTGCCTAGAATAGGATCGTGGGTTTAGGCTAACGATTTTACCTAGGAGGTGGTATAAAGACTATTACCTAATAACGCAAATGAACTCGTCCGTCTAGGGACTCTCCTACGCTCGAAGCTACTAAGGAGGGACATAACTTTTTAATTAGCGTCGTCCTACTTTAATACACTAGTAGATCTCTACCTCGGGTATCTTATACACTAAAAGAACGGTACTATTAATTCCGCGGATAACTATCGACGTAGATATATTACAAGATTGTTATTTAGTAGGCTCGCTAGGGAGGGTCGATTCACGACCTCTTCCACGGATATCAGGCCGTTTAATATCTAGTATAACGACCTACGGCCCTCTAACGTCTTAGTCGACGATTAACTTTAAATCGTAGGGGTTATGGACTAGGAATTCACTTATGCTACACTAGTGGAGTTCTCCTACGCCCCACCGTGGTGGCTACTTCTTGAGTAACTAGTATTAACCGGATAGGATAGAGGTATGGATAATAGTGTATAAGTCACGACTTTAGACGTTCTTAAAGGCGCTACGTAAATAGGAGGACGTGGCTATAGACCGCGGTAGACTAAAAGATAAATAAAGGCTCTCTAGGCTAATGTAATAAAGCTAGGAGAGCGGTGATTTTTGGGTTGCTTATGTAGCGAGGAAAAACTTTGCTTTCGACGCAATTTTCTGGAAAAAGCTTAATAGCCGATTCTTTAGACCCGGAACGACCACTGAGGACGACCATTGGAAAGAACGGATAAACCTTCGTACTGAAGAAGAAAAAGTAGATATAGAGAAGGTAGTCGAGAAGAAACTAGAAGAGACGAGAATGAGGGTTTTAGCCTAGGAACCTGATAACCTTGACCTAAAGATCTCGAGCTAGTACTTGAGATAGGAACACACGAAAGGGCACGGCTTTAAGGAAGCCATCTTCATTCCCATTCGCTAGCCTCTGTTAATTACTTTCGAGCCCTGTTTAGGAATGGTAGTCACGAGTTTACGCACTAGGCCTTCGCATCCGGCGGTCTTGCTAACCTTCAAGACTTTGCCTTTGGAGACTTTTCATATGGGAGCCTTACGCCGAAAACAATGGTTGACTTTATAGACTAGAAGCCGCTATGCCAAATTAAGTCATGCTGAAAGCCCGGATTGAGATCTAGCCCAAAGCCACATGGGCACGTTGAAAGTGTATCCTTTCCATTCCATCATGGACTAAGGGCCATTTTCATCAACTGTGAGGTCTTTTCCATACATACGTTCATGCATCTAGGCATTGTGACAGTGCAGGAGTTTGCATAACAAATGCAAAACCCGGATTCAGATAGGTCACTTGAAAAACTCACCGGTCAGTCTTAGCAAGTAGTCAGCTTTAACACTCTTCAACGATCTCATGCATCTGGGAGTATGAGGTTCCTCTCCTGGAAGCCATTTTGATCCTAGAAATCTAGGTAAGGCTCCTGGAGCAGTCACTAGTCCAATCTAAGTGTCGACATCAGAGCCAAGCTGGTGTATTGCCTCACCGTGGCACCAACCCTCGTCAACATGGAGCAGGATGGGATTGGAAGCCGAGCCAATGACGCTAGATCATCTCCGATCACTAGGGGATTTGCCTGCGTGCCTAGCTTCAGGGAGATGATGGAGTCGCATACGAGCACTTCAGGCCATTCACACGGCCTAGTGGGGATTGAAGCTTCGCAATGTTAATTAGGTAGCGAAATCAATCATGCGTGTAGAGGAACTCTTACCCAAGAATTCGTGTGCTTTTTGTTATCAAAATTGTCTTATTAGGCCATTAGAAGAGATGGAAACGAATACGTACTGGATGAGGAAGGGAAAAGTGAGCACGTGGTGGAGATAAAATGATCAAACTGGATTTCTTTTACGCAGATGGCGGGCGAGATACACGGCTTTATCTCTCGTCAGACGGTTATGCGATTTTCAACCTGTAAGCTAAGGCATAATTGCTCAGATTGCTACTGATGAGATTTTCAGGGCTAGTTCATTCGGCCCGTGAGTTGTTACACACTCCTTAGCGGATTCCGACTTCCATGGCCACCGTCGGGCTGTCTAGATGAAACCAACACCTTTGGTGGTGTCTGATGAGTGTGTATTCCGGCACCTTAACCTCACGCTCGGTTCATCCCGCATCGCCAGTTTTGCTTACCAAAAATGGCCCACTAGTAACGCATCATTCTAATACCCACGGTCAATTAAGCAACAAGGGCGTAGATGGAGCGTGGAATAGGCCATCGAAGGCATACCAGCATATTGCAGACACAGAGGAGAACAGCCCCGGCTAATATGACCTGTTTAAAATTGTAACGTTGCATCCACCTATCTGTGATGATAGTATTTCAAGAATACTTGCCAGCAAGAGTTGTCCCTTCAATGTTTCGAGGAGAGAACCTAGGCACCAACTTGACCGAGGCAGCGGTGTCAGTATTTGGACATTTTGGTGAACCGAACCACCAAGATAGAATCACGTCCAGAAGAAGCAGGCCTAACCACCGCTACGGGGCTTTCAAGAAGCGCTAAGTCAAGGGTTTTAATCCTCCCCATGTTCCCCGCACTGAGTTGCGAACTTCTCCACAGCGTGAAGGGAATAATTTGCCGCCTATGAAGATCTTTCCAGAATACCCGGGGCGACGAGCCCCACATCACAGGAGTAACAGGTACAATGCTTTAGGATTTGGGGTAAGAATAACCACGGGAAAACTAACCAGGTCCTTTACAATAGAGACTGTGAGGTTTCTTTAAATCCAGCAAGCTTGCTGCCGGAGTCAGGATGAAGAATCTTGCAAATCAAGACCGCATCCTTCCAAGGCGCACCACCTCCTTCAACCGATGCTTTTTCTCGACTACCTTCTGGTTGCGGCTGGCCTGCTGGCCACCGCTCTACCTACAGCCGAGGGATATGCTAGTAAAAGGTCACAAATGGTTCGCACTGTCGTTACAACCGACATGGAGCAAGACGACCTAGCCTCCCTGGTCCGCTATCTGCTCTACACCAATGAGCTCGATACCCAGGGTATTATTTACACAGCTAGTCGATATCATTGGGCCGGGGATGGGAATGGTACCAAATTCTTTCTTTCTGACAGAGAATACACCACCCCACAATGGGCATGGCGTTGGACCGGTACGCGGACCATCCAGGATAAAGTCCTCCAGGCGTATGCCGAGATTTATCCCAATCTGAATTGCCACGATCCTTTTTACCCCACGCCGGATGAGTTGCTTTCTATGGTCAAGATTGGCAATATTGATTTCGAAGGTGAAATGGAGCATGACACCGATGGTTCGAATCATGTCCGGTCATTGCTACTAGATGATGACCCACGACCTTTATACCTGCAGGCATGGGGTGGAACCAACACTATTGCCCGTGCCCTCAAATCAATCGAGGAGCAATACTCAAAGTCCCAGCATTGGAATAGCACTAGAGAATTTGTCTCCCGCAAGGCTATCATCCTGGCTAGTGGCTTCCAGGACGAGACATACACAAATTACATCGCTCCCAACTGGCCACAGATTCGCGTCGAGGAGCTGTCAGCTGGATACAAGACGTGGGGATACAACTGCCAGGGCTCAGGCAATCCCCGTGGCTACCCAGATGACGAAGAATACTTTTCGGGTGACTGGATCAAGGCGCATATCGAAACCGGGCCATATGGGAAACTCTATCGTTCTTGGCTCGATGGCCAGTCCATGCCTGGTGACCCCGAGGATGTATTTGGCAACTTGACAGAGCTAGAATCTTCAAGCCAGTGGTGCAAATCTACTGGCCCATACGGATTTTTGTCCGAGGGTGATAACGTGGTGTTTAACCCCTTGTTGACGACCGGCCTCCAAGACCCAACTAATCCAGCGCTTGGTGGCTGGGGCGGCCGGTCCGTTCAGAACAGCACCTCACCAAATCTGTGGGAGATGGTCAGTAAAGAGAAGAACCAAAATGGTGATGACGTTGCCTACTATACAACGAATCGCTGGTCGGCTGCAGTCCAGAATGACTTTGCGGCTCGCATTCAGTGGACATTGACGGCGAACTATACTCGCGCCAACCATGCGCCCAATGTCGAGTGTCTGAATGGAACTGCAGTAAAGGCGCAGGCAGGGAAGACGGTCATCCTCGCAGGTTCAGTTAGTGACCCGGATCTCGACGATGTCACCACATCCTGGTGGCAGTTCTTCGAAGAAGGCACATACCCAGGGTCTGTGACTGTGACTGATCGTGGGGATCATACTGCGAATATCGAGATCCCCGCCGACGCAAAGGCTGGCCAAACCATTTCCATGATTTTACAAGGGACGGATAACGGGAAATTCCCATTGACCCGATATAGTCGCACCTTCATTCATGTGATCTAATCAGATTTCGGTTCATTATGTCCCCTCGGCATCAACAATTTGATATCATCAGGCAAGATAGTCCCCTAGATAGCCAGCAATATATTGGGGGCCAGTGCCCAATTTTTGACAAGGATAAAGTCTAGCCCAATTCTAATATGGAATATCGTCTTTGTGAAAAGTTCTGAAATGATAAATGGTCTTCAGTGGTTAAGAGAGGGGGAGGGGCGGATCTCAGTGCTTGACAGAAGGGATAGCATACTCGATAAAGCAATCTCTGGCGTAAATATACGCTACGAACCGACAATTTTTTCATTATGTATTTTTTGTAAATACCATACGAGTGAAGCACCTTACCCACTTAGCTACACAAGCTAAATGTCTGTTTATCAACGTAATTCATGACCACCCTAGGGACAAGGGAGTGCAGGTCCCGTGACTGTCATGATAAAAGGTTGCCAGGGAAACGCAAGACTAGCCGGATTTGGAAAAGGCGGTGTTGACTTGGACGTCTCAACTTGCTGCCTCTCCAACTCAACGGCCTTTAACCTCCATATTCGATTTTAACGGTAGACTCGTACCAAGACACTTGAGTCAAGATGCCGTCCAAACAGCCCCAGAATGCGCTGTTCCAGGTCTACCTGCGCCTGCGACCCCCGATGACCCAAAGACACGACGATGCCGAACGTTTCCTGACCGTTGAAGCCCCAGAGGCGTCCCACGATGACGGAGAGATCGTCGCGCCCGTTCCGACTCACATCACCCTGCAGCCGCCCAACGATACGCGCAAACGTGCCATCGAGAAATTTGGCTTCACAAAGGTCTTTGAGGAAAATGCGACGCAATTGGATATCTTCCACGACACAGGGATGGAATCCATCGTGAGAGGGGTTCTGAAAGAAGGCCGGGATGGATTGGTTGCTACACTCGGAGTGACAGGAAGTGGAAAGGTTCGAATACGTTGGTTTCGATATATGGCATTCATAAAAGCTGACTGGGTACGCGCGCACAGAGTCACACTATTCTAGGAGATAAATCGCAACGAGGCATTACTCAGATGGCACTCGACGTCATTTTCCGGTCCCTGGAGCCCACCAAGAAAACCGAGGATGGTAGCATCAGCCCTTTGATGCTCGCCTCATTAGCTGCATCGGACGCCTCCGAGGCCCAGCTATTCTCGGCCCAAACTTTTCTGGAAGCCGTATACGGCGAGCCCAATGCTGGCCGTAGCTCAAGAGCCCAAACTCCCATGAGCCCGTCTCGTGCGCACACCCCATCAACGGTACGGAGCCCCGAATCCCTGAACCCCCAGGAAGGATCGCCAAGCAAGCGAGTACCTGTACTTGGACCCGGTATCCCCAGGCCAGACCCCAGCCGGATCTACTGTCCCAATGGCATGGAACAACTCAGCTTTGACCCACAGTCAACTGAGCAGTCTAGAAGGATCGACCCCGGATCCCTAAATCCTCTTCCCTTTACCCGCATCAATACCTACGAGACCCGTTTAGCTAAATCACGACTTTATGTCTTCAAGGAGCCGACCCCCGCATTGATTTTTCCCCGTCGTCAGCCCCGCGAACGACCTCCGACTACCCAAAAACTACCCGATGTGAGCCATCTTGCCGTGGATCTTAATTCAAGCTCAGACTACGTTGTTCTGGTATCCATGTACGAGGTTTATAATGACCGCATCTTCGATTTGTTGTCGCCTTCGATTGTACCTGGCCAAGGGAGCACCATGTCCCGTGGAAACGCCCAGAAGGACCGACGCCGCCCCTTGTTGTTCAAACCTACCGAGGGATCTCCGGACCGGAAGCTGGTCGCAGGTCTACGTAAGATTGCCTGCAGTAGTTACGAGGAGGCTTTGGCTATTCTTGATGTCGGGTTGACAGAGCGCAAAGTCACTGGTACTGGAGCTAATAGTGTTAGCTCACGGAGCCATGGCTTTTTCTGTCTCGAGGTTAAGAAGCTGGCACATAGCAAGCGACAGGGCGAAGCAATCTGGACCGGAAACACTCTGACAGTGGTTGACCTAGCGGGTAATATTGAACTCTCCTGTACCGTAGATTGCACTGGAATGCTAACGGTAAAAAGGATCTGAACGAGCCAGAACCGCGAAAACTGCTGGCGCAACTCTTGCAGAGGCTGGCAAAATCAACGAGAGTCTCATGTACCTCGGTCAATGTCTGCAAATGCAAAGCAATCTCCAAGATGGAGTCAAGGTAAGAATCCTTCTTAAACTACCTATTGAGTAACTGCTAACTTTGACAGACTGCCCTCGTTCCATACCGTCAGTGTAAACTCACTGAACTCCTATTCTCTAATTCCTTCCCCTCATCCAACCAAATGTCTCGGGGCCAGTATCCTCAAAAGGCCGTCATGGTTGTGACTGCTGATCCGGTTGGCGACTTTAACGCAACCTCTCAAATCCTGCGCTACTCAGCACTAGCACGCGAGGTGACAGTGCCACGGGTACCATCTCTGACCGAGTCAATCATTTCTGTGGCCTCTGCTCGGGGTCGATCAACCAGCGGTCGCGCTTCCCCCAACGATGCTTCAGCAGAAGATCTAGATCGTGCGATGGCTGAAATTGCCAGGCTGACGAAAGATTGCCACGGCCTCGCCGTGCGATTGGCTGAAGAAGAGATTGTTCGCTCTGAGGTCGAGCTGAGGCTGCAAGCTGCCGAAGATCGATGTGTCATGATCGAACAAGAGGTTCGTGAAGAATGCTGGGCTGATATGGATGAGCAAATGGAGCAAGAGCGAAGGCGCTGGCAGGCTGCATGGGATGAGCAGGTGAGTAGCATGGATTTCCGACAAGGCCAATGGCAAGCATGCAATTGCTAACCCCAACATCTTCAGATCGGCCGCAATGATGACCACATCGACAAGAAGATTGAGCTAGTCTCTCGCGGGTTCAACATCTACGAAGACCCCGAGCAGTCAACGAATGATAGAGTGGAAGAACTGGAAAACGAAAACGAGCAACTTCGTCGCCGATTGGCCATTCTTGAACGTGAAATGTCGTCTCACTCACCAACTCGCAAGCCAAGGGCAAGACACGCCCCGCCATCTCCCACCAGATCCGCCAACCGTCTTGGCCGGGAGAGTGACATTGAAAACGCTCTACAGCGCATGAACCAACTCAACCTTACCGACAGCATGTTCTCGCCACCATCTCCCACGCCTAAGTCTTCTTCACCCGGTAAGAAGACGAGGAAGATCTCGACTCGCAAGTGGGATTTGGCGCCAGAGAGCGAGATCTAGGATTTTGCAGTGATCCTTGTCATGACTTTACGATTTGATTTTAATTGTTTTTGGCAAGCTGGATTGGTTAGATACACCCCGGGCAAGGAAGGATATTGTTGATTGAGGCGTTCTAATTGGTTACATGGGTGTTTTACTTCTATTGTTTTAATACTTTCGATAATTTTCAATTTCTTTGCTATTTGTTGATTGTCTTGCTGAATTGTCAATACCCTCAAATGAGTGATGACAAGCTACGTATGGACTATGCAGGGGGGGACGCCGAGGAATAGTTTACCTCGTCATTTCGTCGCCCGCAAAGAGAAAGAAATAGACGCAAAATCAAATATCTGGTTGGTATCAAAAGTATAGTATATCCTGCAATATCCAAACGCCCCGCCGGTACACCCTGAAAGAAATCCCCGGTACATGCGAGCCATACGCCACCATTGCTAAAGAAGCAAGGAAAATAATAGATTGGAAATTTCTCACGGTGTGAGGTCCATGGGCTCCGGGGTTTCGGCAATTTCGTCCTGGATTGAATCATCAGGGTCTTTGTGATCAGGCTGGTCTTCATCGGCCTCTTTGTCGGTAGCTTCGACATCATCATCGAGCTTGGTCTCGTCGCCATCTGGACCAACTTCGTCTTCGTCTTGGATTTCTTCATCGTCCCCCTCATCACCTTGTTCATCATCGCCACCAGCTTCAGGTTCTGTGGCGGCAGGGTCATCTTCATCCTCGCCCTCATCGTTCTCATCGCCTTCTTCATCTTCCCCCTCCCCCTCGTCGGCGCCATCATTCTCAGTTTCGGTTTCGATGTCACCTGCGTCGGCATGATGGATTTTGGAAAAGAGAGATTTGTGTTCTGGGTTCAGCTTGTTCAGCTTGTTCAGCTTGTTCAGCTTGTTCAGCTTGCTCTCATCGACGTCAGTCAGATCGCTCTCGTCTGCAGTGTCGTTGAAGCTATTTTGATCGCTCCTTTGTACACCAGCATTGTCACCCGCACCAGATGTCTGTTCCCCTGCTCCATAAGGAGCTGAAGTAGGTCCCGAGGATGCGTTGAGGCCCTGTAAAGCAGAGGAAGGCTGGTCTGCATCAGCCGCGGTGGTGAACTTGCTCGCTGCCGTTCGCGGGCCAAGTTTGAGGTTCACAATAGTGTCGGCGCGCTTTTGAACATCACGACGAGCAATTCCCTTCGTTCTACCTCGAGGGGCAGGAGTGTCAGAAGCTGGAAGAGAGGCTGCAGGTGTAGATGCCTCTGTATTTCCATCCCCAGTCATCAGAAGATGGTCAACCTTCATCTTTTCCTTGTTTTCTTCATTTACCTGCTCAATGAGCAACGGCATATTCAACTCGTAGACTCGGGCGTACAGATCCGCAACGAGGTCTTCAAACATGGTCACCTTCATCAAGTTGTTGTTGAGCTTCTTCAACTCTAACGAGTCACGAATCAGCTCGAGGAGGGGAAGACTGTCGTGAGACAATTGTGACAAAGTCTCTAGACGAGCTGTTTTCGTGGAGAACTCTTCCCATCCGATGGGCTTGAATACGCTCTCTTCGTGGCCCTCGTTGATATGCGCAGCTCTGCGGATCATCTTCGCGTAGGTCAAGCACACGTCTTCCCACAACTTGGTGTGGTCAATGAAATCTCCTTGTTTCTTCCTCACGCGACGCAGCAGCTGATCTAAGCTCGCCCGATCATCCAGCTGATCCAATAGGCTCACAAAGAAGTACACGTAACGAGTGGTATACACGAAGTGCCTCCCTGGACGTTCGAATTCAGGTCGCCAGACCTGAATGGTGAGCGTTTTTGTGAAGATCTGTGAAAGTTCTTGCTTGGCAGCGGTCGCGGCGGTTGCGTTTTTGTCGTCATCATAGATGATGTGGGCAGCCTAATCCCGTTAGAAAGAGGACAGGTCAAAATACGTAAGATGAAGGCAATAGTATTTACCTTGGCGCTCATTCGATGGTGCCAGTTAGACTTGTCGGCGCTCTTGAACTTCCTGACTACCTCGAGGATATATGGCTTCCATCCATCCATATTCTCAGGCTCTTCCACTTTGCGAGCCCAAGGCGTTACTTGAAGGGCTTGGCTAGCCTCGGTCGGCTGCGTAGGTGTCAGCTACTGGACCCGGGAAATTTATGATCCAGACTTACAGTCATGTCTCCGCGGAGAACCAGCTTGTGAACAATAGATACGAGCTTGAAATGTGGCTCAAAGACAGGGTCTGCGCGCGAGTCCTTTTTCTTGGGAAGACTCAAGATGGCATCATGAAAAGCATCCAAGACATCGTGCGTTTCAACGCGCTTCGAAGTCGTTCTCAAAGAATCATCACAACTGAACATCTTCCAGAGACACTTGCCAATGAAATAATGTGTTCTAAAAGCTTGTTAGCTATTCCCCCATCGTGAAAGTAGTAGTCGATGGTTTGACACTTACGTCCACCGTTTCGGTTTATCCACGAGCGCTCTCTTAAGGAGGTTGCAGGCAAAGTTCCACACGGAGTATGAGGACATCTCCTTGAAAGGCTGCCCTTTGTACATCTGCTGACTCTCCTCGCTACTGAAGTGGCGAGAGAAATCCGAAAGACCAAAGGCCCCCATTGAGAGTGGTCCACGAGACGAAGAGTACATCCGGATTCCGAAATCAGTGTAAAGGTCTGACAGAAGCGCCCGGGTTTCATTTGTCGGCTCTGCACTTCTCATTGCTACTGAGACGGCCATTGCATAACAATGGATTGCATACCGCTGAGTGGCTGCCAGGTCACTGCGGTTGTTGTTGATCTTGTCGGCTGTCCACGTTATTTCTTCCTCAAGCTTGGTATCATACGCCTGGGCCAGGCGATACCAGGTCTCCCAGCGCCCGGATCCATGATCGATATCCAGTCTGAAGAAATTGATGGCATCATCGAGCTCCGTCGTCGAGCCAGGACTGAGGCGTTTCTGAGACCGGAACTTTGTCAACGCGGCATGACCGAGGAGGAAATACCATCCCTTGGCGGCGATTTGAGCATTCTCGCCCGGGACAGTTAGCATTGAAAGTTCCAATACTCCCTGGACAGCCCGGAGAAGAATGCATGGGTTGACTGCCGCCTTGATGTAGCCATGGAAGATCCGTCGATTGAAAGACATTTGGGGCGAGGATGAAATCTTGGCTGGAACGATAGTTTGTTGCATCTTTTCGATAGTCGTCTTCAAGTCAGACTTGGATAAATCCTTCATGTTCATGTTTCGTGCCTGTCTCATCACGAAGTCGATCATCATGATAGCAGTAGGGCGGTCTAGTTTTTCAGGGGAGCATCCGTGGTCAGAAGTCCCATCAAATGGCGAAAATTTGATGCCATGAAGATCCAAGAGCACCTGGCAGATATCGAGTTCATAATCGCCCTTGGTCTCCAGATCCAGCAGCTCGGACTTCATGAGCTTCAGGAATCGCTTCTGAGAGTATCTGCACATAGAGCGAACACCAAGTGCGTTATGCACCGACCGAAGAACCCTGATCCGATCTTCCAGTGGTTCCTCAAAGACATCCTTGTTCTGGGAGATTGCCTCCACGAACAAGGTATACTGTAGGATCCAACAGCGGACATAGAGCTCTCGCATCCTTTCTTTGAAATTTTCGAAGGACTTTGCCAATGATCCACGAAGTTCACGGCCCGACGTTTGGCCCACACGGATCGAATCCTCGTATAACACAAAAGTATGAACGAGTCGGGTGAGACGGGCTACTGCTGACATGGAAGATTGAAGGTGCTCCATATCAACACACTCATATGCTTTGTCGACCAGTTGGAGAATGAGTGGAATTGCCTTTCCCATGAGTGAATCCAGTGACTTTAGCCAGCCAAGTAAGGTCACTTGTCGGTGTCCACTCGTCTCTTCAAGGTGCTTGGCGTCCTCTAGCTCCTTCATGATGATTTCAATGCTCCGCAGATAGCATGATACAATCTTCGGTGGATAATCAATAGCCTGATACGCTTCTTGGAGCCTTCGCCATAGGAACAGTCGTAATGTGGCATCACCACGATCTAGGAATGCGCCCATTTCACTGGATATAGAGGATGGGCCATTCAAGCCATTCTGCTCCGGCGACCCATCTGCATACTCAATAGATGAAGGTTCAAGGATAGGCTCGATAGCTTCGATGAGGGATACAGGATCTTCATCTTCGGGGTTGAAAACTTTAGCGAAGAAATCCATACACTTGAGCTTGAGAACCTCTTGATCAACTGTCGCAACAGACAGCTCAGACATGGTAGGGTTATTCAAAAGAGTGAGACATGGGTCACCGATGGCCTGAAGTATGTCCTTCAAGTCTTGGAGACAAAGCAAGATATGCTCACGATCAGCCTCGCCGGCAAGGTTCACGTGAAACGTCGAGGCCCACAGATGGCGAAGGGCGAGATTTTGGCGGCAGTCTTCTGACGGACAGTAGTCGAGAAGGAGGTCCAGCGCTGATCGGGCGAGGATACCCCATCTGGCAAGGCGGTCATTCTGGGCGTGTCGCTTTTCTTGACTATCCTCGCTGGCAGCGTTCTCGATGGAGGCAAATACATCCAAATGAAGTTCGTAGATGGACTGAATCATTTCGAGTTCAGAAAGGTCGCTTTTTCGATACTCGAAAGAGGACTCGGAGCTTGACTCAAGAACACGCCTTTGAGTGTCTGCGACAAGTTCGCTCATCCTTGAAAAGATGAATTCATCCTCGCGCAGCAAAAGTTCCAAAGCGGTCTCTTTGAGATCCTTGGACCACAAGAGTGCCGTGTATGTTGACTTCATGACCGGCCATTTTGAAGGTTCGTTTCCAAACTCTGGCATGAGGAGACATTTAAGCCACTCGTATGAGGTTTGATGTGGATGTAGCCAGCTGCCGTTTACCGTTTCTGAGAACTGATAAAGCTCCTCTCCTGAGCCCAACTCTTGCTGAACAACGGGCTTCCGAGTACCACTTCTAGAGTGTTCGAGGAATACGGACAATCCCGACTTGTTGGAACCACGGATGTCCTTCAATGAAGACAGATCGTCTTTTTGCTGCATCAAGCGAGACTTTTCATCGTTCCAAGTCTTAGAGATTCCACGTAGATCCTGAATCAGTCGTGTCTCCGGCTCATGGGCAGCTTCATCAGAATCATTCAACGCTGCGACCGTTTCTCTAAGACTCTCAATAGTTCCTAGGGCTTCGTTGCCAACGTTTGAGTACAAGGAACTGAGAGTGTTGAACATCCAGTCATCTGCATTGACATAGATCTCCAAACGGTCTTCGTAGTATTTCTCTTGATCAAAAGCAACTTCATCAGGTTGAGCCAATGCATCAGCATTCGACTCTCGAGCTCGGGTTCGTCGGCTCTTCATTCTGCCTCCCTCTGGCTGTTCATCGTTGGCAGCCGATGCGGATGATCTCTTTCGGGTATCAGATGGAGACTTTAGCTCGGCTTCTTCAGGGTTGGCATCCTCTTCAGGGGCTTGTGTTTCGGGTGGGTGAACGGATTGTCGCTCCAGGGATTCCATCAGCTGTTTCTCTGCGCTTTGATCAATTGAAGACTGTTCCTCGGTCGTCTGATCCTGTCCATTCTCCTCTGTAGGCTTTTCAGTCTCAGCGTGTTCTTCGCCTTCTTTGAGCATATCCACATCTTCATTCTCGGGCTTTCCTGCCTTGTCTGCCGCGTCGTCTTCGGGAACTGTGTCCATCTCCTCAATTTCAAGAGAATCAAGAGCCTCGGAGCTTTTGGGAGGCAGTGAGACGCATATGGCTTTACTGGGGCTATCAGCAATAGACGAATCTTCCTCGTCATCTAGAGCTTCGAGAAGAGCTTGGCCGACAGCTTCCCACGTTGCTTCGGAGGGTCTTATTTCCCGGCGCGACGTCGAGAGGGCGAGAGGGCCTTTGGCCGAGTCCAGAAACTGTATGTCGGTCGGCAGAGTAGGTAGGTACGAATACAAATCGGCGTGCTGTTTAAGATATTTCTCGAGTGCCTTTTTCGGCTTCTTGACTGGAATCTGGGATGCGGAGAGCCCATCAAAGAGGGACTGGAGAGTGCTCCGCAGGCGTTCTTCTGAGAATGTTTCTTCCAAGCCAAGTTGCGTCGATCGCACTTCCAAGCGATTGTCATCATCTGCTAGGACACTCTCGAGACAAAACCGGTTCAGGCGATAGCTTTGGAGAGCACTACCGAGTCTGGCGCTCTGCCTCCACAGATTCAGGTCGGTATCATCACGCTCGAGCGCCTCTGCAAATGACTGTACCGCATCCTTCGCTGCCTTTGCCGTCCTTCGCGCAACATCTTGTGATTCCTCGGTTTCCTGAGGTGTATTCCGTAGAGTCTCGTGAAGCGAATCGAGGAGGTATTTGCCGTGATTCTTATAGGAGAGGTAGAGGGTTTGGAAAAGGCTGGATGTAGAATCGTTGACATTAAACTCCGCGACCGCATCTGCTGCTGCAGCGGCGGCGTCGTCAGGAACAGCAGCAGCTGTTTGCGCATCCGCTAGATCGGGCCGCTTGAAGTCGGAGAGAGATTCGGGATATTTGAAGATCTCAGAATTGAGCAAAGAGTCATATGCCTCTGCTGCTTGAGGATAATACTCCGGGCCTTGCGAGTGGAGCTTCAGAGCAGTATGATACAGCTTCAGAGCTTCTTCAATTTGGAGTTCCTTGGTGTCGTCAACCTCCTCCTCAATACCATCGTCCGGTTCCACGTTCAGCGCGACCCAGCTTGCCATGTTGCCAGCTTCCTGTGGGTTATTTTCAATGACAATAAACGAATGTGAGAGTAATCAGATGCATCGCCGATCGCCCTGACGACAGCTGGGCTCGGTGTACGGCGAAAGATGAACAAGCAAGCGCCCGGCGCAAGTTAATCGCGGTTCACGCGTTGGCTGCCAAATCAGGCAAGGGCGCCCTCTCTCCGCCTTGTTGCCTGATGGCCTGAAGCTCTTTCAGGCTGTTTAGTTACAACTTCCCCTCGACAGTGCTGGCTTCGATAAACCCCTCTCTTTCTCGATCTGTTCTCTGATATTGAACCCTTATTACTTCTTATTCTACACTACAGGTGCAGGCGCCATGGTCGCGCCCGCTGTCCCCGAGTAAGTGCTCCTGAAAACACCCCCGGGGTTACGTGTTCCCCGGAGATGCATGCGCATAGCCATTGCTCGCTCTGGATAAGGATTGAAAGCTGCGCAACTTACAGGATATGTAACTGACTACTTTGGAATTGCCTAGGATCCATGAGGAGGAGGAACTGTTCGTTGCGGTCGATGCGCGCACAGAGTCGCTGCAGAGCTTGCGGGAATTGGGTCCCCCGGACCTGGTCTACTTGGTGAAGCAACCAAAGGCCAATTCAACCCGCCAGGTATGGTTCCAGGCCCTTTCTTCTCTGGCTATACTCGGTTTCTAACAATCGATACTATTTTTGGCAGACCGGTGTGTATCACCATGTTACCGGAATCGATGCGTCCTCGTCCGCTAGTCTAGCCGCCTATGTCAACACCCTTACATTCTCACCCCTCGATAAGACGCATAAAGTGGTGTCGGGGATTTACTGGTTAGATTTTTTGATTGTCGTCGGTTCGAATCCTGTCGCTAATATCTGCACAGTTGCTACAATGCGTTCTCCCACCTTGACATGCGAGTCGAAGTGAAGATTCCCGGCAGTCTAGAGGCATACTGTATCGATGAGCACGGAGATAAGCGTGTGGCTACGGAGGCGCTCTGGTTGGAGACGTTCTTGTGCGCTGTTCTGAGGGCTTATCTGTACGCTGATGATGGGAGCGGAGATGCTATCAAGAAGATTGTGGGCGTTAGACGGTTCAACCCAGTGACGAACACGGAGATGGAACACAAGTTCTTGGATGCTGCTGAAAAGCTGTTTTTCCTTGGTACGTCTAGATGAAACTGGTGCTTGCGGTTGGTCTATTCTAACATTGCCATAGGTCGCCAGCTCAGCTCCGATCCCGAGACGCAAGTCCCCAACACCGTTAGCAACCACTTGACCTCCGGCATCCTCAAATACATTTACACAACCGGTCGTTACACATCCGGAATCAATCTATTCGAGAAGCTACGCACACGCGACGTGGAGGTCTCATCACTTCTGGCCCGTGTACAGATCATGGCAGACGAGGAGGTACAAGCAGTGCGCTTAATGTATGATGCCCTGCAGGATGTGCCGATGGACTACGCTCTCCTCGATTGCCAGGCAAACTTCTGCCAGAGCAAGGGTGAAGGCGAAATGGCCCTCGAGTGTGCTAAGCGGGCTGTAACTGCCGCGCCAAGTGAGTTCAGCACCTGGGCCCGCTTGGCTGAAGTCTATGTTGGCTTGGAACAGTGGGATTTGGCGCTTTTGACTCTCAACTCGTGCCCAATGTTCACATACCAGGATAAGGATACCCCGCGCATGCCACAGCCGTCTCGTATCATGCTTCCCATCCTATCAGAGAGCATTCTGGATGAGATTGATGAGGGCCAACCTAAGCAAGGGGATCCTCACGACTATGTTCATCCTTCTTTGAGGAAACTGCACGCTGCTGGATACCAGGGAACGTTCCTCAAGGCCTACAACCTGCTTACCAAGATTGCTGCTGCAATTGGATGGGACCAATTGCTCAAGACTCGTAGCGAGGTCTTTGTTATGGAAGAGGAATACCGTGTCGAGCGCCAGCATGTCCCGAAACCCGCACAGTCACTCGGAGCCGAGACGAATGGGGTGTCGATCGAGGATGATGATGACGATGATTCAGGATCCGTTTCTGGCCCTGGTCCCGCAGAGTCTGCGTCCACCAACGGCAATGGAGATGAGACAAACGTCGAAAGCTCCATTGAGCGACCTGAGCAAAGCATGGCCTCCGAGGTGGTCAAGTCTGGCAATGATGATGTAGGCCCTCTCTCGCCTTCTGGCCTCCTAGGATTCTTGATATGTTTACTAATGATTTTTTTTCACAGCCCGACCCGTCCCACAGCACATACACACAATTCCGGAATAAGCGCCTTTGTGAGCGGTGGCTGGACAACCTTTTTATGGTGCTCTACGAGGATCTCCGCATCTACACGATCTGGCGGACCGAGATGGCCCAGTTCCGCCAGCAAGCCATGGAGTACAAGAAGTCAGCTACCGAATGGGAAATCCTCGGTGAACTCGCAGAGCGACTGCACCACTTTGACGAGAGTATCGAGGCCTACCAGAGTTGTTTAGGAATTCGATTCTCGCCTAAGGCCATGCGTGGTCTTCTCAAGCTGTACGAAAAGAGGAATGATACCCGGGGCATGCTGGGTGCTTTGATTCGTTTGATCGCTTGGCAGTACCGCTGGTACTCTGAGGTAAGAGCTCCCTCCAGCCTAGTCTACGAAGTTCATGTTCCAATACTGACCCCCAATTTAGTTCTCCCCGGAACTTTTGTACCTGGTACGGAAGCTGATCGAGGACGAGGGTGCCGTCAAGGTCCGCAGCATTGTTCAAGCGACCAACCTACCGCAACCCGTCCTGGATCTCACACACCAATACTGCCAGCTGTGTGCTACATTCCGCAGCAGTGGTAGTGACGCTTAGTCGAAAGCTGTTTTAAGCTGGTAAATATGGATTGTTGCGGGACGGCGTCTAGGTCCTCAGGATATGTCGGGATGCCAAGGGAGAGAAATGCGTTGGCAGGGTTAATGACCGATATTGATGTGGCCAGTTCCATAATTCGTTTTTCTCATTTCTTACTACGTATGTAGCTTAGACGGTATATAGGTAAATGGTTGATCTCATTGTTCATTATTCCTTGCCATTCTGAACCCTTTGAATCAGAAAATCGGTTTAAGACGCATGCCCCGAGGCTCTCCTTTCGGCCACATGTCCACCAAGACCAGAAGCATACCAATGATATGGTCCCAGTCTCAATAATTACGGGCCTGGGAAGATTAATCTCAAGGCAGGCACTCATGAGGAGTGTAAAATAGTTTCTCTGGGCGATCGAGCCATACCCAACTGGCCACACGCCAAATGTTATAATCCAGGAAATATGACCCTCCGTTCCATGAATCGAACCCCCGACTTTCATGTTCCCTATATACCTGACCAAAATGCTCCATCGCGATCCCACGATGCCGAAGTCCACACCCTCCGGGACTAAACCCACCAAACAATCTCCCTTTACACTGCCATAATAGCTTTAAATATATTATATTTAATCTAGAATAGAAGATATAAACGAGATCTATCTATTCAATAAAAAAAATAAAAACAAAAGAAGAAATCGGCGAGCGAGGGGGATTAGCTCGCTCGCCCACTCTCCCCCTTGGGTGTGCCCGGTCATCCGTGGAGCGATGCTCGACATCGGATACCAGTCAACCATATTTCCCCTCAAATTTTCCTTCACAGGGGCACACCCTTGGCCAACCAGGTGGCGCAAACCTGGCTGACCAACTAGGCCATATGAGGGGGGAGATTACCTGGAAGAACTGGAAGTTGGTGATAACCCTTCGTTGCGGGATAATCCACATGGGCCTTTACCATCGTGTCACGATGAATTCGCACCCTTAAATACACTTTTCGTGTTCAACATCACTATGGGGTCCTTTCCTGTCGGCATGAGGTCGTTATCAAGACGCCTTCCCTGTCGCTTTTGGTGTATCTTATTCTGCAGGCTGAACATAAGCGATGGATGGAGCCAACATCAGTCTCGGTCCGAGATACATGATCTACTGTACAAGGGGAGTTTCGACCTTGTACACAAGTATGTCTATTCATACGTGTTACTAACCACGACTTCGTGGTCATTATCAATCTACACTAGTTAGCTGCAATGATATGCTCAGACAGGATTCGTTGACCATCTCAGCCGGGTTGTTTTGCTTCGAACGGTAAATACACCCGAACTACCCCATACTATCCAACCCGATTCATTGGCGCCTTGATGCTCGGCTCATTAAAATATCGGAAAGCTATCCGACCTCCTCACCTTACCCATTTCTGCGATCATTTTTATACCATTTACTCAACATCCAACTTGACCGGGTTATCACTTCCCAGCAATACACACTCTCGCCCCTTCGATCAATCTCCGCATCATACCATGGCGGAAATCAAACAATACCACCTCTTCCCAACGGGTCTAATCCCAAACTCCCCCCGCCCTCTACTACACTACAAGAAAGTTCTCGCAAAACGCCTCAACACCTCACACTGCGACCCAGTCGAAGTCTGGAACACATTCACAAAGAACGAATGGGACGTACAATGGATCTTCCGATACGGCCCCACACAAGTCTCCCATTACCACTCCAAGGCACACGAGTGTATGGCCGTTCTCTCGGGGACAGCCAAGATCCGCTTCGGCGTGGCAGATACCTCGCCAGATATGCATGCGAATACGTACGGGTCAGCATGGGAAGATGGCGGTGTCGTGTTACAGGCTGAAGCTGGGGATGTGTTTGTCATTCCGGCTGGTGTCGCTCACAAGACGCATGAGACTAAGCCTGATGCGGAGTTTGCGTTGTTATCGCCTGGGACAGGGCATGGTATTGAGGCTGAGGATCCGGGCAAGGCTTTGTCGAAGGTTGAACTGGATGGGTTTACTATGATGGGGGCTTATAGTGGAGGGGAATGGGATTTTGTTGCTGCGGGGGGTGACTTTGAGAAGGTGTGGAGTGTGCCGAAGCCTAAGCTTGATCCTATTTTTGGGGTCTCGGAGAATGGGCTTCGGGGGAGGTGGCAGGGGAGTGGTACTGTTGCTAAAGCTCGTCTGTGATATCGATGGATTCACGCGTGGCATTTTTTTTAGTATTATTCTGGACGAGAAGGGAATCAGTCTAAGGACCTGTGGTTAGAGGGCATCTTGAGGTAGAGGCCCACCTCTTAACCTACATGTAGTTATGTAGCCCGTGCACAACAGAGAGCCCCGGCCAGATCCATAATTAGATCCATAACTTACTGCAGTATCCATCCCCATAAGGACCCATTCATTGGAGGAATATAATATCGAGAGAGCAAGAGTAGTACGATCATACAGCGACCCCGAAGGTTATCGTTTTAATTCAATTGTCATACAGCAGAGCTAGCCTATGCACCTCATCATCCGAGGTCATTTCCAATAACTACTCAGCAGCATCAACCTCGGGAAGATCAGATTCCTTCGGAACAACACCACCCTTAGCCTTCGCAGCAGCCGCAGCAGGACCACTAGTCTCCGCAGTATCGTCTGCATCCTCGTCCTCGCCTTCATCCTCGGCGGGCTCTTCTTCTTCCTCCTCCTCCTCCTCCTCCTCCTCCTCCTCCTCCTCTTCCTCCTCGTCCTTTTTGCCATTGGTGCGCTCAGTCTTCTGCTTCTTGTGGGCGGGAGGACCTAGTGCGTATATCCGTTAGTAAGTGGAATTGACCACGGTATGGGGGATGGTATCTTGATATCGATGGGCATGGTTCATGATTACCTTCTCCTTCGCCCTCTTCCTCTCCCTCTTCTTCCTCGCTTTCGTCGTATTCCCCACCTTCCTCCTCCTCGCCCTCGTCACTCACGTCCGAAAGATCGGGCTCGGAGTCTTCATACCTAGATTGATGCGCGCAGAGTATTAGCAGAGATTCCATACAGGAGTGGAGTTGCAAGGGGGATATCTTAGCCCAGAAGAGCGCCGCAATTAATACGCGATCACGGGGGCGTAAGCAGAAGGAGACAGGTATCTTGCGCGCATCGTAATTGCGCAGTTGGGTAATACGACCGCGACAAGGAATAGAAACAGCTCTCGCTGTTATACCGCGCAGCATTGCATAGAAAACAAATTGAATACTTACTCCTCTTCCTCCTCGCTCTCATCGCTAGGGAGAGCCTGGAGCTCCTCCTCAGGATCCGCCTTTCTCTTGCGGGTAGACATTATGTCAGAATATATGTGGGATAAGAAAAAGAGAAAAAGGTTCAGTAGAATTGGCGCAAAATCAAGGCTGGCAAGGGGTGGGCGTGGACCCGGTTATATAGATGGGGGAAATGGGGAGAAAGGGAATAGGGAGGAATTGGGGTCGGCAGTACTAGCACAATTTATAAGGGAGTGAGAAAAAACACGAGAGGGAAGGGAAAGGGAAAGGGGAAAGAGTGGCAGTACGAATCGAAGCTGGGCGTAAAGGAAGAGCTGGGGGGGGGAACCAAGGGAGAGGGGGCGCAATCAACCGGGAGGTGACGAGGTGACGACATGGGGTCGACTACATACTGAGACTATGTGGGAAAGGTAAAGTGATGAGAGCTTACACACTTGCCAGGTGGAGACTCGAGTGCGTGGTCATATTCTAGACAGTGCGTGTATATACAGTCTATTTACATTCCAGAACACCTAATCCTAATCCTAATCCTGATCCTGGTAGTTGACTAATATTTCTAGGCTGCGTAAGAATGGCTCAGACCCGCTCATACTTGCAGATAGCGCTACGCAGGGGGAGAGTCAAAGCCAGCCTTTTGCCCATGTCCCCCCGTCTGACTCTCTCTGCGCTACTGCGCCAAGAACTCAAAGTTCGCCATACTCGGGTCCAACAGGTTCTCATCAAGCCCAAACCCATAGGTGCCCACCATATCGTAGATCAGATCGGGCGGTGGGAACCCCTGTGCCATCGCATTCGCACCCCCGGGCACATCAACGTCGCTGCCGTTGTGGTTAGTGCCCACCTGCCAGCCAGCCTCCCAAGAGTCGAAGCGCTCCAGCATTTTGCCGAGTCCACGTGCAATGTGTCGGGTAAGATGGCGCTCCCCGGCCGAGACGCAATTCATTAGCTCAATTACTCGCTCAACGAGTCGCCGCACTTGTCGCGCATTGATGCTGAGGTACGCCGTGTTCCAATTAATTGCGACCTTTAACAGGAAGACGGCGGAGAAGGTCACCATGGTATGAGTGAAAATGGGCACCCCGACGATCGCATCCCGGATATCGGGCTCTTCAAGCACCATATTCAAGCATGCCATGGCTGACGAAATAGCAATGTTGGCGGACTCCTTCCGGTCCATGGAGAAGACTGGGGTATTCGAAGGGGAAAGCCCACGGAGCGAGAGCGAATTGAGCTGGAATTTTGCGAAATGGTAGTGCAACACCACTCCCTTTGAGGGATATGTTCGCACGTATGAGCTGTCGGCTAGACGGGAAAATCAGTAACCAAAACATCGCGCAAAAGAGCGACTGCAGATCAAACTTACCCGACCGAGGCTGCCAAAGTAATCGCCATTGATCCACTGCAACATTATATACCCGCAACTGACCAAAATCTGCCTCCGTCAACGCTTGCTCCGTATCGCTCCCAAACATGCGGTACGCCTCGGTCAGAATCATGAATAGAGCGACCTGCGCCAGAAGCCGAATGTCACCAGGAACCACCATGGGCAATTCCAAGAAGGCCTCGTAATTTCGAATCGCAACATCTTCGTGGATGACGGGAGGCCGGCCGTAAGCGATACTAAAATGATGATCGCACACATACAGCAAATACCATAATTGAGCGCGTTCATATTGATCGGTATGCCCGCGAGTCAGGCGCTGGTAGCTCTGATGCAGACCAAGCTCGGTCGCGACTCGCACAGCGTGTCCAGAGAGCTTCCAGCTCAGCTCGGATAGCCAGAACGCACCGACACAGAGGCCCCGAATATCATCCAGCGTATGGGCTCGCGTGAGAGCCATGCTGGACACCAATGAGACATACTCGTGATAGCATCGGTTTAGCGTGTCGGTCCGATTGGGTATATGCAGAGCCGCAACGGTCAGGACTGCCGCCGAGAGCAAGGTGGAAGCGCGACGGACGGATGTCAGATCGCGATGCACCAGGATGATTCCACCCCACAGCAGCTGATTCATTGTTCGACTAAAGTACGCAAACAGCTCCTCGGCCTCGTGGATTGAGATCAACCCTCGCGTGATAAAGTCTTCCTCCAATAGTGTCTTCTTGGGTGCCTCGATATGATTGTTTCGTAGATTGCGCAGCTTGGTGACCTCGTAGAGACTCCGCATAGGTGCCGGCACCAGTTCCGGGTCTTGGAGGTCGGGTTCCTGAGATGGCTCCCGGGTGACATCCATCACTACCCCTGGCCCCTCGTGATGACTGTGGTGCGATTGGGAGGCATCAATGGATGGCCGATGGGTGTGATGCGAGGCGGCCGGACTGGGTCCGCTACGGGTGTCACCGCTGCCAAAGGTCGAGAGGTCTGGCAGGCCTGCTTGTCGCAAAAGCTGCGAGACTGCGGCCTGCAATTGCTGCATACTTGACGCTGCCTGCGACTTCCATCTACACGAGAGAGTATTAGCAATTGCGATCAATTTTGTAGTGTCTGCCTCCTTGAGAGAACAAGAGTGAGGCGGGGCTCCGCCGGGAAACGTACACTCCGTCATCGTCAACGAATTTCTGGGAAAAGTCGTTCACCACGCATTTGATGCCGCTGCGAATACATTTAGTGCAATTGTTCTCTCCCGGTCGGAATTCGCAGCGAATCTTGTGTCGCTTGCATTCTGCGCCTAGAATCCCGAGTCAGTCATGGACAGGACTCGGTCGGACAATGTGGGGGAGGCCGCTGACTTACAGGCTCGGGCTTTGGATATCCTAGGAGCTACCGGTCGTGATTCTGTTGAGCGATTCGACTCGCGAGGCGAATCGAGTCCGGCATCGGTCGATGACCGCTTCAGTGGAGTAGAAGCATCCATTTTGGAGCTGGAGAGAGAAGCAGTCGGTGATGCTCCGCGCGGGTTAGGGGCAAAACTTGGGGCGGGGCAGGAGAGAGGGAGAAAGTCGGGGGAGGCCGAGTGGGTTCGTTTTAGTGACTTTTGCCCGTCGGACCCCGAGGCAGTTGCGGATGCTACAATGGTAGACACCTTTTCGGTATTTCCCCTTTATTGTTTCCTATGATGGATTAACTATGACCGAGGCACTACGGTCTCCCAATGGTTCAGTATCGCCGTGATCTCGCGGTCCCTGGTCTATGGATTTCTTCTCCCGCAGAGGAGTCCGACAGAATGACGTGCCATTCCCCCCACCATCATCGCTCTGATCTCCGGATCAATACTACAGTCTCTAAACACACTCGCAGATGATATCTCGGTCCTTGTGAGGACCCTGAAGAGCCGAGCATACCCTTCCGATCATTTACACTGCAGATCCACCCCGAACGCTGGCAACCTGCCGGGCAAAGTCCGGTGCGGAGGAGCCACAACAGATCGCCTCGGACTTGATGCGAATGCGGAGAACTGCGTGCTGTCCTCATAAACCCGCCTCGGCGACAGAATCTCCAAGGTTGGGAATCCAGTACATCGGCAATATTCTCACACCACAATGCAGATTCTCATCACCGGTGCTGCCGGCTTCATCGGCCAGCTGCTCGCTACAGAGCTACTAAACGATCCTACCTACCATGTCACTCTGACCGATGTCGTCCAACCTCCCATCCCCAAGGGCGTTCGCCATCCCGAGAATGCCACGGCAGTCAAGGCCGATCTCCTCAATGCCGCCAAAGATGTGGTCAATTCCTCGTTAGATGCAGTCTACGCCTTCCACGGTATCATGTCCTCTGGTTCAGAGGCCAATTTCGACCTCGGCATGAGTGTCAACATCGACGCGACTCGCAACTTGTTGGAAGCCCTGCGCCATACCTGTCCCGGAGTACGAGTCATCTACTCATCCAGTCAAGCTGTCTACGGTCAGCCATTACCCGAGATCGTGACCGACAGCGTCATCCCAACACCCGAGTCCTCATACGGTGCTGAGAAAGTCGTGTGCGAAACACTGATCAATGAGTACACCCGTCGCAAGTTCATCAACGGCTTCACACTGCGATTTCCTACAATCTCCGTTCGCCCCGGTGCTCCGACAGCTGCCGCTTCATCCTTCCTCTCCGGCATGATTCGCGAGCCACTGGACGGCAAGCAATGCGTCATTCCTATCGAAGACCGGTCCTTCAAGTCCTGGCTCTGCTCGCCCAAGACTCTTGTGCAAAATCTCCTTCTCACACTGCGTCTACCCACTGACTCTGTGCCTCCTCATATTCGTCAGATCAACGTCCCGGGTATCTGTGTGACGGTGCAAGGAATGATGGACGCGCTGGAGAAGGTGGGTGGCAAGGATAAGCTGGACTTGCTGACGGAGAAAGAAGATCCTGCGCTGGTTCCAATTTTGAAGTCTTGGCCTACGCAGTTTGATAACTCTCAGGCCATCTCTCTCGGGTTCAAGCGCGATGAATCTTTCGAGCAAACTGTAAGAGATTATAAAGTCGCATTGGAGCGGTCATGATCTCGGCTATAGAGTTTCGTTATCGGTTATGAGTAATACCAAAGATAATGAACCACAAATTGTATGGATGATCAGCTTCAGAACAAATAAGCAAGTGCGGGAAACTTGCGCATGTGCAGAGACGGATGACGATGTAGCATGGATGACACTCTCGTCCAAATATCGATGCCTATTAGACGGATAGACATTTGGACTAATGCAAGGGAAACAATGGTAAGCATGCACAGGGTGCTGCACACTATACCATAAATTGCATAGTGTAGTTTCCCCTTAAAGAAAGAAGATGCGAAGTCGAGTCGCTAAAACGGTTACCTAAAATCATCGGACGATGCGGTGTCATTTTAAGACTGATGGACCTATTCGATCTAATCTATAAGCGAATAACCGACGCCACAACAACCCCTTGTGGATCCCGTCTCTAGCGGTGGATTGGGCCACTGCCGAAGGCAGTGCATACCTTGATTATGAATATCAGACGATCTGGATGGACGGATGACATCCGACTAAACCTAAACCCACGCGATAATTTGGAATGTACCAGACCCATGTCTCACACGAGAGAGATCAATGCTTCACACCAGAGCAAATTATTTATCAGCATTCGAAGTGCATAGAGCATGAAGGCATAGCGGGCTGTGAAGTTCATAATTTTGCCCCGCTCCCAAGCTTATGGGTATACCTCAGCCGCAGCAGAAGAACGCTATTTGTACCCTTGTCCCCACAATTGTCCGCAAAAGTCCGCACCGCGCCCGCGCCAGGTCCGCGCCTGACTGGAAGAATCCCTGAGAAGGCCGCGGAGATCATTTAACGCCAAACCTCCCTTTGGTTAGGCTTTTTCATTCTATAGGGCAAATTGACTTTATTCAGCTTCGTTCGCCTTCCAGTATTCAGGATAGGGTCTCGATGCATAAATTTATCATCTGACGCCAAGAGTTACCTTATGCTTAATTTAGACTAGCTTGATGCTCAATTTAAACAAACCCGCGAAACGACGTTCATGCGGAACGAATGGAAAAAGAGGGGAACAAAGTTGGCTCTCCGGGCCGTTAACGGCTTCAAATCCCAGCAGTCTGTAAAGACTATCGTAGCCATCGTTTTCTGTTGTAACTTGGAAAGGGGTCTTCTCAAGCTCCATTCTTCAACGTGATCCGGCTCATCCCGACACTCCCGATCTACGGCAGTCTCTGATTTAAGCTATCGTACGCTCCACAATAGTTTTGCATAGCTAAAAAATTGGGCCGGTCGATGGGCCGGTCGAACTGCACCGTTGGTCCGGGTCAAAGTACAGTCAGCTCCGAGCATTTTCCCAAATCGTGGAATGCCTTCTGCCCCAAGCTTGCGCTAATTGAAAAGTGGCGTTTCAGTGGTCACCACTCGAATGGAGCCCGGTTTGAGAGAGCTCGCCAGCTCGCTTAGGACCCTGTTGGAAAAACTTCTGGATGCGTTAATTAGGTAGGATCGGCACTTTCCCGAAGTTTTGCCTGTCGATTTGCTGAACCGTTGGATATCGTGCATTCTGTTATGCGGTGTATATAATCCCGAGGATCCCCACAGGCTGGACAAAATGAAATCCAGGTTTTGGATATCTTCACGTCTGAGTTTGTTGATCAACAGCAGGAGCAAAAAGATTCCAAGTGGGGCATTTTTGACAAGATGCCGAGACAACGACAAAAATCAACGCGAGCCCAAGCGGGCATTCACTTCATCATCGCAGATCCATCCTCTAGTCGAGAACGACCAGATAATCTTCGGATAGTCCGATCGCATGTTGGGAGATGGAGGTGGCAGCAAGCGAAGCAGAACTCACAAAAGGAGAGTCAAAGGAGTAGTGGCACCGACCACTTCCCCGCTGCCGAGTCCCCTCACGACTACCGAAGTTCCCCGGATTCTGAAACGAATGAATTCTCAACTGGTGATATATCTGGAGACGCGTCTCCAGATACAGAATCGTACCCATTCCTGATACCAGAGTCGGCGGTGCCTGACCAGCCATACCTTGGGCATGACCTGCCCGACGAGGATGTCTTCACCTTCTCTAATCAAGAAAGTGAGATAGGCCTACCCGACCCCTGGGATGAGCACAACACAGCGACGGATTTTGACTTTGGCTCGTCTATGTGTCTGAGCGGGATCAGCCCGACCATTTTGGATCCTTTCCAGACCATTGGGGCATCGCCCTTGTCACTAGGCCTCGTTAGTAGCTCTAACAAATACTGTATGTTTCTCAACCTACCTTGATTCCAAAGTTCTGTCGACTAACATGTAGTCATAAGCTTTATCAATATTGTGGCCTGGCCTGATGCCCAAGTCATCCTCGGGGACAACTCATGTCGGCGTGCAAAGATGGTTCGCAACTTCTACTTGCAACGCAGCAGTCCATAGTACCCTGTTATATGGATCGTACTCCCACCGACGAGCACTATGGATGGTGAAGCAACGAGGTCATTTCAGCACTGAGGATGCCAAGCAAATGGCAGCCTGCGAGGCGGATGCTATTGCAAGAATCAACCGAGCCATCAAGATTCCTTCTGAGGCCGTCACGGATTCGTTGATCTTGTGCGTGTTGTGTATGGCCACAAACAAGTTGGAGAATCCGTTATGGGAAGACATCACGGAGTCTCCATTTAAATCTCCATTGCGAAGTTTGCAGTGGCTTGACGTGTACGGCCGCTTGTCTCCACATCCAGTTCACCAAGCTGGCTTGCGGCAGCTGGTGTCGCTCAGAGGTGGTTTAGAGAAAATTGAACTGCCCGGACTCGCCACTGTGATCGCCTAGTAAGTGATGGCCTGCGTCAAACCCCATAATAAAAGACCGCTTGAGTGTGAAATACTGACGGCCGAGTATAGTTCCAGCGTCCTGGGCGCCAGCCGAGCACTTACCCGACCTACCTTCCCGTACATTTCAATTCGTGGAGGCACTCGAATGACCTTGCAGGACGTACTTGGGATTGACGACTTTTTAGAACACCCAAAGTCTGAAATTTCCGAGGGCGAGCATGTCATGCCGGAGATGCAAAGGATTTTCCGAAGCTTGCGGATATACCTTGAACTCATCGAAGCGTACCAAGATGGAATTCAGATGGGCATGGACACACTTTGTGACTACCGAAACGTCATTCAGTGGCACATCATGTCCTTACTGCCTTCTAGTCAGCTTGGGTCAGCCCATGTTAGCTTCTATCCCTTGTATGAGTGCTGTCGTCTGGCTTTGGTTACCTTTGGGATTGGCGTCATATTCCCTCTCCCGCCCCAAAATTCTCCGATGGCGAGCCTCGCTCGGATGCTGCAGATTGAACTTCAAGCATACAGCCAAGTGGTTCAAGACGAATCACTTGAAGTTCAAAAATTGTATGGTTGGTGTCTCATGATGGGTGGGATCGCAGCAAAGTCGTCATCACAGAGGAGCTGGTATGCAGACAAGCTCAAGCTCTATGCCGGATCACGGTGCTTATTGACTTGGCATGAGATGAAGATGGAGTTGGGGGCCGTTTTGTGGCTCAATAGCGCCTGTGACGGGGCGGGGAAGATGATGTGGGATGAAGCGATGAGGGCATGATCTTGTCATTCTGGTTGTCAATTTAGCGAGCTTACATAGAATATGAGAATACTCACCACCCAGCCGGGACTGACAGAGGATAAATGTAAGGATTCTCGATGAATTGTTGAACGGGGGAGTGGAGGGAATTTTTGACATACCGGGGGGCCTTAGGCTTCCTTCGGTAAGTGCCCTCTACCTTCCTAATTGGGAAAGTGTATTCCCCAACCGAGAAGCTCGGACCACTTGAATTTTATAGCCAACAGGTACGAAGTAGATTAAGGTTGAATAATCAATATATCTCGGATGTCTTGGTCATTTTGACATCAAAAATCCTGTAATGGCTCATTGATCGGTTTCGAGGATTTCAATAGCTATTCACACATGACTGTTCTCGCCCAGAATTATTATCAATTGCATCTGGTTACCCGCAAGGCAGACTACGCCTCGTTCACCTAGCAGGCTTCCCCTCCGTCTAGAGTTTGAATATATTCCGCAGCGACCGGCCAAAATGCATAGCTAGATACACTGTAAATTCCTCTCCGTTGGAAGATCCTTGTAAAGGTTTTCTGATCTTCCCCCTATATAGCTTTAAAGTCACCCCTTAGCTTGTCTTCGGAGCATAATCATCAACATCGGTTTGAGGCTTAGTCGGGGAGTAGATCCTGCCGAGCGAATTACAAGCAATGGAGCATGAACAATATGAACCAGCCCTAATTTGTCGAGCGAGCTCGTTCTATGTCAACGTGGACCAGAAAGAATGAATACCGATGAAGTTGATTTAATCGATATCGACAGGACTACTCCAAAATTGCTCCACATTGGAAACGGTTTCTTGAAGTCCCCCGCATGGTTCAAAAAGAAAGTCAGGTCCATCGATGGTCCGAAACCTAAAAATACTCTATCTCCAAACCTGGGATTGATTCAGCGTGCATTCTTAGAATTGTCATGTCAAAAGCTCGCCCAAACCTGTCCATCGATAGCAATCAACCGATTAAACAGCTGATTCCTCATGCCCATGGCTGTTATTTGGTATGATTGCCTGGGATCCTTGCCGACAATGAGCAAGCCATCAACAACCTCCTTTCCACCGATCGCCCAGCCAACAACGAGCTTTCCCTTCCAGCCCATGCCGCCAAGCTTTCTCATTTCCCGGATATCCGTAACTGGTATAGAGAAAAGCACTGATCCCTTCTTGCGATGCCCCACATAGAGATCGCCGTCTTGTGGGATGTCGGTGGTAAAGTAAAGCACCGGCGGTTCCTGTGTCGAGTCAATAACCACAGCCCCGTGGGCACCCTTGTATCGGGCATCGAAATCGACAGGGCCAACTGGTGTTTCCGTACGTCCCTTCGGGCGCAGAACACCGACTCGATTCTTGGCATGGCGAGAACCGACAACTGCTCGCATTCGATCGATCGCTTGCTTGCTTTCCACTCCCGTAGCAGTTGTCCCACGGAAGAAGCCGACAACTCTGGAGGCAAAATTCTTCTTTTGGGGGGTCCCGGGCGACAATTGAGGTCCTTGCAGTTGGTGATTTGGTTGAGCCGACGCCGCTTGGTGAATTTCCTCACTAGTAGCACCTAAAGTAAGCTCCTCGTGACGGAGCGAGGCTGGCCGGGAAGGAGGTTTGGCTCGAGAGGTAGGAGGAGGTGGCAACGGTGATGCATTAGCCTCGCCTAAGCGCAAGAGGGTTAGAGTAAGTTGAGCATTTGTTGGAATTCCTTTCAGAAGCGAACTATGAAGCTGTTAGTGAAGCATCGGATGACCCGGCAGGTAATATGAAGGACTTGCTTCTGCAGTTCGAATATCTTTTGCCAGTGAGGGAAATCCCGCTCGAGGATGGCAAGGCCACGCTTAATTATTGGATCTCCAAAGAAGCCAAGGCCCACACCGAGTCCAGCTAGTTTCGAACAGATGTAGAGGGGAGTACAAGCTGATAGAAGGCATGCTGGAACCAAAACGGCTGCCAATCGCAGGCGAGGTTTAAGTTGCGGGAATGGCGGCGTAGGAGACAGCGCACTGTACTTGTCAATACGAAATCGAGTGCAAAGAAGGGAGAGTCAAGCGCGAGACTTACTTCTCGAATTTCTCGAAGGCATCTGTGACATCAGAAATGATTTGCATCAGCATGTTAGCTCCTTCCATGACAGATTTCTTCATCGGTTGCCGAGTCTTGTCATAATGATCAGATGGCACTTTACCGTGCGCTTTACTCTGCGCATCGGCCGTGTGAGAGACCAAATCTGTGGCATCAGGGACACTATCTTCCAAAGGCGCATCATCCGGCACTCCTTGGTCGTGTTTTCCAACAGCACTGCCCACAGCAACGCCAGCAACACCTGCCACTAGATTACTGGCTTCTTGCTCAGCTGCTTCGCCTTTGAAGTTCTGTGGAGCCCCCGTTATACTATCGTGAGATCCGAGTACTCCAGCTTTAGGCTTTTGGACACCACCCGTGTCTTTGTCGACCAACGCAATAGGTGCTGGTGGAAACATGACTGCCCGGCATGGTGGGTATACAACCAAGGCGACGAGGACAGCGAAGAAAGTGGGAACGAGAAGGCCCAGAAGCCAGGCGATGCAGTATACCTATCACCTCATTTAATCAGTGCTGAGTACTTAGAGAGCGTCTTCCTAAGGTTGACCTACGGCGCAGAAGACAGACGTCCTTCGAGTCTCCTTCCAAGATCGCAACCGCGCAATGTGCTTGACGAAGCTGGTGAGCTTGACGATTACCGTGGTATAAAAGCGTTCGATTGTTGCCCGTAGCTTGTCTGGCGAAAATTCATCGTCATCCGCTCGAGTCAGATCAAGATTTTGAAGCGGTGCTTCGGGAACGGCTTTGACATTATAGACTTGCTACAAACAGGTCAGCATACGCTTTGGATACGATGAATATTCTCGTTGAGCAAAGATACCTTGTCAAACCGTCGAATGAGCATCCATAGATCTTCATTCGATAAGCCGGCAATCAGCGGTTCAGTGTGGTCCGCGAGATTATTCCATCCGACGTCAGTGACGTGGGCTGTTTCGCCAGCTTTTTGAATCAAGCCCTTGTCTTCTTGCTCAAGCTGCGATAGTACATGGCTATCCGTTGGCCCTGCTGGAGTTGGGGGTTTCTCGGCATTATCAACGGCGGTGTTGACCTTGGGATCCGTGGTGGTGACGGAGTTCCAAATAGGGATTTCGTCGTCGTTATTTGACATCGTGTAAAGAGATTTCAATCAAATGAATCTGGACTTGAGTGTGAGGACTAAGGGAATTATAAAAGATACAATCAATCCACGGATTAGGCAGGGGTTTTCAGCCATGGATATGAAGTAGTTCTTGCGGTCCGGGCAACTGGGTTGGCTACGTCATCCTTGCGCAGTCCAGTATCTACGACAGGACATGCTCCACCACACAGGGCACTCTAGTCACAAGGCTGGAGTATTGAACTGCTCATTGGGCTTCATTTCTCCAGAAACCCGACCTTTACAGGTTAATGCTCACTAGTTCGTCACAATATGAGGTGTTCCTCAACCTTAAATAATTGCTTACCCATCTGGAGTCACATGACCGCAATCGTTCCTAAAGGGGAAATAAAGGAAATACACGTCGCGTCCATCAACTAACCTTCGACTCAACACTCACTCATAGCCTGACCGGCGAAAGGGCACCATGAGCGAGGAGTGTGCTAATCCCCTCCTTTTGGGGTGGATCAAAGAATGGCTGGATCAGGCCCGCGAACGCAACAGCAAAGGCGTGACAGTGTAGGCACCCCACGCGTACCTTGCTTGAATACTCCATGCCTAATTTATGTCCAGGTACAAAAAAGCCTATGAGTCGATGAAAGCGTGCCCCCTGGCTTTTGAGCACCCTTCACAAGCACAACAATTGAATGGACTCGGCCCAAAACTGTGTGACCGCCTGACGGAGAAGCTGAAGGCCTACTGCCAAGAGAATGGACTTCCTCTGCCACAAGTCCCTAGTCAAGGTGTGTCGTGGGCACATTCCCTCATCAGGGCTTGTGAACTAACTTCAATTTTCAGGCAAAAAAAGGACATCAGATACAGGTGTTGCTGAACAACCGACGAAGAAGCCACGAAAAGCCAAACCTTATGTACCGACTCTACGGTCTGGACCATATGCGCTGTTGTTGGGCCTGGCTACTCAAGACGAGAACTCAGATCAAGGCATGACAAAATCTCATCTGATAGAGGTGGCACAGCCGTACTGTGACAGTTCGTTTACTGCACCTCCGGATCCATCGAAATTCTACACCGCGTGGAATTCCATGAAGACATTGATCCAAAAGGACCTCGTCACCGAACGCGGTCGCCCACTCAGAAAATATGCGCTTTCTGAGGAAGGCTGGGAAGTGGCCAAGCGTATTCAAAAGACTTTGCCCGGCGCATCTAAGAATATTGCCGCCCCTACAGAGAGCAGTTCTCGAATCCAGCCGACGCAAATGGGCCCTGCAGTTGGGAACAGATCTCCTCCAGGCGACGAAGACGACGGCGACGTTGTAATACAAGCGCAGCCTACCTCTTTTCTTGGGCAAAGCGCTCACACCGACGGCCCTACGGAACCTATCACCCTCCCCCCAGGAAGTTTCACCATTGAATTAGTGCTTGATACTCGAGAGGTACGCAGTAAAGACGACCGAGACTACATCGCCAACGAGCTCATAAAAAAAGGCATCACGCCACAGGTGCGGGCTCTGGAGTTAGGCGACATCATGTGGGTGGCCAAGTGTCGGGACCCTGCATATCTCACGCGTTATGGCGAGGAAGGTAATGAGGTAATGCTGGATTGGATCGTCGAAAGAAAGCGTCTTGACGATCTCATTGGTTCTATCAAAGACGGACGATTCCATGAGCAGAAATTTCGTCTCAAACGATCGGGTATCAAAAATGTCATCTACCTCATCGAAGAATTCTCAGTAACTCACGCCGACGCTGGTCCCGGCAGTGCAGCGAAGTACCAGGAGATGGCTGCTTCGGCTATTGCATCAACGCAAGTGGTTAATGGGTATTTCCTGAAGCAAACTCGTTCTCTCGATGACTCGATCCGATATCTCGCCCGCATGACTCGACTTCTTCGCAAAATGTACGGCGCGCAAGATTCGCCGAATGACGAGCCTCAATCTGGCTCCACATCGAGTCCAACCTCGGTTGCTGTTGTTCCAAGCCGGCGCATCTCCTCGATCAAATCATATCTCAGTCTACTAGATGACCTCCGAGCGAAGGATCTGTCCGTCACGTACGGTGTCACATTCTCCACATTCTCAGCTCTTGCTTCCAAGTCAAACACCTTAACCCTCCGGGACGTCTTCTTGAAGATGCTCATGTGTATGCGTCAGGTGACCGGTGAGAGAGCAATGGCGATTCAGCGACTATGGCCAACGCCACGACACCTCGTCGAAGCATACATGGCGCTGGAGCCTAGCGAGCGAGAAACATTGATGTCAGATAAACTACATTCTGTCGTTGGCCGGAAAACCTTCGGCAAAGTACTGAGCAAGAAGATTGCCGAAGTTTGGGGAGAATCCGGATGATCAGTGTCTTTTATTAACAGAGCTACATAGATAAGACTTGAAATCACAGGATGAAATGAATGAAATTCTATTCAATGGGAATTGGTAAAGGAACGCTCAGGCGACAAACTGTACAAGAGATTTCTAATCATGAATCACGCTCTGATCTCTTCCAAGTCAACAACCTCCTCACACTCTCCATATTAATCCTCAAAGCCAGGCTACTCGAAATAACCGAAATACTACTCAGCGCCATGGCCAATGCAGCCCATACAGGGCTTAACCTCCAGTGTTCATTCACGGTGATCATTTCACCACCAATGTCCTTCTGATGATGACCACTCACAATCGGGTAGAAGACACCAGCAGCGACGGGAACAAGACACAGATTGTAAACCACAGCCCATCCAAAGTTCATCCGGACACGGTTGAACACACGACGACTGAGAATGACAAGTTGTAAAATTGTACTCAGATCTGAATTGAGCAGGATGAAGCTGGCAGAGTTGATAGCGACGTCCGAGCCGGATGCCATTGCAATACTAACATCTGCGGCAGCAAGGGCAGGTGAGTCATTGACTCCGTCTCCGACGAAGGCAACAATGAAACGCCTTTCCGTCTTGTCTTGAGGACCCTGCGCCTCGGAGCTGTGTGCTGTTGCGTGGACGGAGCCGTCTTGGACTTGCCGCACAAAGCTGGCCTTCTCTGCCGGCAACACGTTGGCCATGACGTTCGAACGGGGAATACCCAGCATTTCGGCGACTGCGCGCGCAGTGATCTGGTTGTCACCCGTACACATGAAGACTTCAACGTGCCGTTTGTTGAGTTGAGAGATAACATCAACTGCCTCGGGTCGAATCGTGTCCGATGTCGCAAAGACGATCACCGGGACAAACGGTGATGATTCGGAAGAGTTACGACGCAAGGATAGGATGGCGGTGGATTTGCCGCCCGATTGAAACTTTGAGAGCAGACTGGAGACGAAGTATGTGTCGCTGTTGGCTGGGAGGACACTGTAAAGAAGGCGCTCATTGCCAATTGCAGCTTCATACTGTTCGCTGCTGCCAGAGTTCTCTACTGCCACTGTGAAAACGCCCTTCATTCCCTGACCCGAAATTTCTTGGATATCGGAGGATACAACATTGACCATGGACTGTGATTGGCAGAAAGTAGAGATTGCCTGGGCAATGGGGTGATTGCTACTCTCCTCCAGTTTTCGTGCAAGCGTCCAAGCGACTTTCAGAAGATCATCATCCTTGGTCAGAACCTCGTGCTCTGTGACTTTGAGGCTTCCTCCCTCGGTTAGAGTGCCGGTCTTGTCGAACACGATAGCATCAAGGCGACTGGCTTCCTGGAAGGCTTCACCTCCACCTTTCACAAGGATACCATGCTTTGCCGCAAGGCCACCACCAACGAAGAGGGCAGTAGGTGCAGCTAGTGCTAGGCCACATGGGCAGGCAACGACAAAGACAGCAATAGCAAATTCCAGGCTCCAGAAAGTCCAGCCACCACGAGCAATGTCGAGATAGTCAGTAGGAAGGACACCCGAGTGGCCAAGGGCAAGCCAGATGACAAAGGTAAGAATAGCGATCAAGGTAATGACAGGAACGAAATGGGAAATGAGCAGATCGGCAACCCTTTCCAAGGGAGCGCGTTTGCTTTGGCCCTCGCGAACCACGGCGATGATTCGGTCGAGCATAGATGAACCACCAAGCTCAGTGATGCGAATCTGCACAGGCTGGCCCACGTTGACTGACCCAGTGAAGACTTGATCACCGACAGTTTTCTTGACAGGCCGAGACTCGCCTGTGAGAGAACTCTCGTCAAACTGGTAGGAACCTTCACCAACCACCAGGCCATCGGCCGGCGGAGATGCACCGTGAGGAATGCGAACCATATCGCCGACCTCGAGGAGATCAATGCCAACGCGAGTCACTTGATCTGAGCCAAGTGCACCGGAAGAATCCACACCCATGGCCTGATTCTCTACTAGCAAGGCATCGGAAGGGCGAAGATTGCCAAGGGAGGAAACGGCATCACCAGTCCGGGCCTTACTGTATGCCTCCAAGAAACGACCAGCCAGAATAAACAATGTGAGAAAGACGACAGAGTCAAAGTAGGTGGTACTATGCGCGCTTATTTTAGTTCCAACCACCGCATCAACAATCAGCACGGCCAGAGAAGAGAAGTAAGCAACTGCTGTGCCTGCCGAGATCAAGAGGTTCATGCTGCCAAAGCGATAGAATCTCCGCAAAATGGGAACTCGGCTTCCTGGGCGCCACAAAGCGTGAATCTCCTTTAGCGCGCGTGTGTGGAAAACATCGGTTCCGTAAAACATGACCGGCGTTGACATGATGAACAACGCCCATTCGATGCGAGTGACACTGCCAGACCAAATAGTCTGCTCCAGGTACATCCGGGTCGAGTTTTGAGACGGGACGAGTGACATGAACACGATTCCAATGAGGAAGGTCGGGATTGCGACGGCAAAGACAAATAGTAGGCGGACAAGTAGCCTGCGTCGTTCATGGAGCTGCATCGCTCGGGAGCGATCTTCAATGGTAGGCGGGTGGTATATGCTTGCGTTGAACGCACCATTTGCCTCATTGATGGTCGTGAGAATTGAACGGACCGTCAATGTAGGCGGCGCAGGAGTGTACGTGACCCTGATAATGGGCTGTTTCTCGGTGGGGTCCTCTTCCACGGTGACATTGTGAAGCAGCTCCAAGGATGCCAGGACTTTCTCTGGGCAATGATGACAAAACATGCCATCGACACGGATCGAGATCGTTCTCTTTTGAACGGGTTCAGAGACATCCTCCTCTGCAGAGATGGCATGGACACTGCTAACGGCAGCATCATATCCCATGTCTTCAATCTTCTCCACAATTTGATCCAAGTTATCTCGTCCTTCAAACTCAATCTTTCCACTGTGAGACAGCAGATTAATAGAGACATTGCGGATGAAGGCTAGCTCTTCTAAGCCTCGAGTCACTGTGCCTACGCAGGAGCCACAAGTCATGCCCGTGATGGCAATCTCAGTAACATATGTTGTTGGAACCGTTTGAGGGTTCGAGGACCTTGAAACTGGGTTAACTTCATCAACGAAGGCTTCAAACCCAATGTCCTCGATTTCCCCAACGATGGTGTCAATATTTCCTCGAGGTCCTGTGTATATAAGAGCCGCGCTGTTTGTGAGCAGGTTGACGGTAATCTCCTTAACACAATCAAGCTCTTGAATGGCACCAGTAATACTATTGACACAGGATGCACAAGTCATGCCACTAAGGCTGATCCTCGCGGCGAAATCTTGGCTCGTGTCAGCTGGCGGTGATTGAGGCGTTTCATTGATTTCGGGGGGAATCGATATAGAGAAACCCGTTGAACGTTCCACCCGAGTTTCCGAGGTGGCAGCCGACGACGGCGTGTGAGAAATTGGACTTGTTGGTGTTTGTTCTAATTTTTCAGTGCGTCGAGCGTGTTCATCGTCGTCAGTTTCCTTCCAGGTGGGAACCCGAGGAGACTTTTCATTGAAAGTGTCAATTTCAGTCTGGGTCGAGTTCCGAGACAGTTCAAGAGCTTCTTCTTTCTTGCAAGCATCACAGTTGGCAATATGACGTTTCTCTCGGCTATTATGTAGCCGTTCTTTGATGTTGGACGAGAGGCTAGAATAAGAGGCACGAGGCGTGAAAAGTGCCGAACCACGATGATTCCACAACGTTGTATCAAGCTCGGAAACGATGACTCCCCGGTCATCGTAGGTCGTGGCATGATGAACTTCGAAGGCAGCTTGAATTAGAGCAGCAACCAAGTCTGCTGCTTGTACGGAAGTTCCATGAGATACACGCACTTCGTGTGTCAAGATCGACACATCGATATCTTGGACTGTGGGAATCTCAGAGAGGACCTCGGTGATATAGGCCACACACGAAGCGCAGTGGACGTTGCTGACCCAAAAGAGACTTCTCCTCATGATCGTATTAGAGAGAGAATCCTGTTGGACTTTTGGGGTATGCGGAGGATTGTGAGGAAGTTCTCGCTCGGGAGACATGATCCACAGAAGGTTTGGCTATCGATCGCACAGACTGCGGGTACCAATAATGAAAGACAAGTTGACAATGGTCGCGAACTTGTTTTCAAAGAGAGTGATAATGATAGGTGCCAGGAGGTAATGATATTCCCCAGATGTATTTGAAGACACGTGGAGAGTAGGTTGTTTTTCGAGTATTCCGATGCCACAGGGTAGCGGGCAGGCAGGTATATTAAGGAATTTCCTCTTAAGAAAACAGCAACCGCGACAGCACCAATTGCATCATAAAGGGAGAAAGAGTCATGAAAGTACAAAAGGGATGGTCAGCGGGGAGATTGATAATCAAAAAGCAAAGAAAAATCAAATTAGAATCAAGTAGACAAGACGCGAAAGGCGACGATGAGAGATTTTCGCGGGAGTACGCACAAATGCCGCAAGAAGGCCAACAACATTCCAACTCTATCGAGTGCCATGACCCCCATGCAGGTATGCCCCTCCATATTTCGGGATGAACAGCCACCAGGTATGGAAAACTAGCTTCGGAACCCGATCGTAAAATCAACCACCCTCCATGTGTCTGTCTGCTGCAGTGTGAGCATGACGGGCTCGTGGCAATATGCATGGTGGCCTTGATGCCTAAATAGTTCATTGCCACTTATTTCAGGCGCCAAGGCAACAGTCAGGCAACACTCGATTCATGGAATCAATATGACCCTTTTAGGACTAGTGCCCACTCTTACTTGAGTCAATCCCAGTCATGTGACGTGGTCTTTGGAAACTTCCCTTAGGTAGACTGGAAGAGCCTCGGACCAGCATCAGAGTAGACAGATAAATCATGGTTCAGGATAGCCATCTTTCCATTTTATCCTTCTCTCAAACTCTCAAACCCTGTACATCGCCCTTCATTTCCCCTTGCAAAGGTGGAAATCACTGAATTTACACATTCAACCTCTGCCAGCTGAACGAGTCGAACGTGCGCCCCGCCAGCTGAACCAGCCAGCCACGTGATCCCACCACTGAGCCACGGGTGACGTCCACTCGAAAAAACTTCATTGTCGCCAGCCTCCCCACCTCACACGTTCCCTTGCCCTTATCACTTATCTTTTTCTTTTTCCGGACGCGCATCGACATTCGCGACACGCGACTCAAGGCTTCCTGGCCATTACAGACTAAGGTAGCGCTGCAGCGCTCGGTCGGAAATACCTCAGTCGCTCCCTCATCGTCATATTGATCAGAAACCCCCTCCTCCATCCTAGACCTCACTTCCTAGATTCTCATCTTTACCGCAAGCACGAACCCCGCGACCCCGTCAGTGTCCTTGACCTAAAGATCTACTTGAAAGGCCATTCGACCACCGGAGGAGTTCCAAAGATAATTACAGTTCGTCCTGGTCACTATTACATCTTATCTGCATACGCCTCTCACCCGCGGCCATGTCGGCGTCTCGGTCTGCCAGCATTTCCGTGACCCCTCGTGGTCCGCGGCCTCCTGTTGGACGCCTGGCTAGTTTGAAGCCCCCGACTTCAATCCCAATCAAACGCCCACAACCAATTGGGCGCCCTCAAGCTGCACGCCCTACGACACACCCGAAGACTCAAAGCTGTCCCAACCCTGGGTGTCCTGCCCCGCATATCGTCGAGGATGAAGGCCAAAAAGTGTGCTCCGGGTGTGGTACTGTTATCAGTGAATCAAACATTGTGTCCGAGGTGACATTTGGCGAGACATCATCTGGTGCCGCGGTTGTACAAGGATCTTTCGTCGGATCAGACCAGACCCATGTACGGAGCTTCGGACCAGGTTTTGCGCGGAATGGTGGCATGGAAAGCCGGGAGGTCACTGAACAGACTGGAAATCGATTCATCAATCAACTGGCCCGAACTCTACACATCCCCGAGAGCGCCACGAAAGCTGCTGGTCAGGTTTTCAAGCTCGCTGTTGGCCTTAACTTCATTCAGGGTCGACGCACAAAGAATGTCGCTGGCGTTGCCCTGTACATTGCTTGCCGTCGTCAGGATGGCAACACGGCAATGTTGATCGACTTTGCAGATATTTTGATGGTCAATGTCTTCAAACTTGGTCGCACGTACAAAGCCCTTCTCGACGAACTTCGGCTGGGTGGCAACGTGTTCCTAATGAACCCTATCGATCCGGAAAGCTTGATCTACCGATTCGCCAAGCAACTGGAGTTTGGTCCGGCCACGATGCAAGTGGCCGGCGAGGCTGTTCGTATCATTCAGCGGATGAACCGTGATTGGATGTCAACCGGTCGACGCCCTGCGGGTCTTTGTGGCGCGGCATTGATCCTGGCTGCGCGGATGAACAATTTCCGTCGAACTATCCGCGAGGTTGTCTACGTCGTCAAGGTCACCGAGGTCACCATTAGTCAACGTCTTTACGAGTTCGGTTCGACAGAGAGCGGCGAGCTTACTGTGGACCAATTCCGCTCCGTACAATTGGAGAATTCCCACGATCCACCATCTTTTACTCGGGGCCGAGAAGGGAAAAAGTCCATTCGAGCTACGACCAAACACCCCGAGACCGCAGCAGAAATCGAGGGAGACTACGGAGAAAGCGACGCGGAATCAACTCAGCCACCACGGTTTGATGCCGACGGATTTGCCATTCCAAATCTCCCCATCGATCCCGCTTTGATGGATAATCCTCAACGACGAGGATCTATCACCAAGGCTGTTAATGAGGCCGTTGAGGACGCCGAGAAGGAGAAGGCCGACCTCAAGGACGTCAAAGTCAAGGGCTCTCGACGCCCATCTTATCCCGCACCTTCTGCGGATCAAGTCGCATCGGAGAATGCACTAGAAGAAGAGATTCAGACCATGCTGGCCAAAGGTTCGGACCTAGTTGATAGCATCATGGAGCCGAAACCAGATAGTGCCGTTCCTGACAGCGTTGATATTGATGAGGCCGAGTTTGCGGACGATCCCGAGGTTGCCAATTGCCTGCTCTCGAGCGAAGAAATTGAGCTGAAGGAGCATATTTGGGTCCATGAAAATAAAGAATATCTTCGCACACAACAAGCCAAGGCCCTGAAGCGTGCACTCGCTGAAGCGACCGCCGGTCCCTCCTCATCCAAGCCCCGAAAGCGCCGGAAGGGTCGTCTTGGCGATGTGGCCTACCTTGAAGGCGAGGGCGACGGTGAAGATGGCCGTAGCTCTCGTGCTGCCACCCCCGCAGAGGCCACTCGACGCATGTTGGAGAAGCGTGGATACAGCAAGAAGATTAATTACTCCCTTCTTGACAACTTGTACGACCAGGATGGACCAGGCGATGCAAATGCAAAGGTTGAATCCTTGAGTCGAAGCGACAGTCGCAGTCGCAGCCGGAGCGTTGTCTCACGCCGCAGCGCAAGTGTCCAACCCGAGCCAGCACGATCCCGCCGTACAGCCCGGGCAACCTCACGAGCCCCTTCGGTTGTGACCAGCAAGCCCGTGATATTCTCTAGTCACCAACCAACTCCGCCTCCCTCCGCACCAGCCGTCTCGGCTGTGCTGACACCTCCGGCGACTGCCCCGTCTGGCCCCATGGATGATAAGGATCCTCCAGCCACCGATCTAGATGATATGGATGAGGAGGATGACGATGTTGAGGATGACCACGTTGACGACGCATTCGCAGGAGATTACCACAATGATTACCAGGACGACTACTACGATGCGGGCAGCGACTACGACTATGATTAAGGGTGGTTTTTCAAAAACGAGGCTCTCAACACTGAGCCCTACATCGTGTTTTTTAATAGAAGCGATCTTGCTTTTTGCGCTCTCATAGCTAGAGATGATGCCCTGTACCAACACAACTACCAAGATCCCACTTGGCATAGAAGAATAAAGAAATGATTCAGAAATCAAATATCTCCAAGTGTTACGCATATTCGCGTAAAACACTGGGAACTCCTCGGGTTATCGTAATCGGAACTACGGGCCAATGGAAGGAAAGAGGAAGTGGAGTCCTGACAGAAAAGGCCATTTCCCCGGGTAGCTTATACTTAGCTTCCTACGCAACTCCTCCACTTTCTCGTGCTAGATTTGGTATTCCGATTGATCGATTTTCCAACCAGATTTGACATGCCTCGAGGGCAACCAAGGTCCAACGTTCGGCGGGCCAATGTCACAGCCTGCACCAGGTGTAAATCACGCAAACAGCGGTGTGATCAGAGGATTCCAGCCTGTTCAAATTGCGAGCGTGCCGGAGTGGAGTGCGTGAGCACTGATACAGATGGAAGCACTGTCCCTAGAAGGTTTTTTCTTCCCGCTCAATGTTTGTAGCATTTGACTAACATAAAAAAAAATTCAGCTATGTGAAGAGCCTTGAGGATCACGTCGCATTCCTCGAGGCTCAAATCTCAGCTCGCGGCGCTCAACCTAGTCAATCGTCATCGCCAGATTTCATCTTATCGACTACCGACTTGAACACTGCTTCCTCGTCAGCTCTACTCCACGAGGCACGAGAAGAGTCCCAAGATTTGGTGGATCAAATAGCGTCTAGCTGCATGAGACAGCAGCCTTTTTCAACCGTCTTTCGAAGCCCGGATGGCCTCTCAACTCTCAATTCTCTTCTGTCCGGCCCAGTATCAGAACTATCTGTTCCTGAAAAGTCTGACGGCCGGTCACTCTTGGACGAAATTCCACCCGAAACCATGTCCACTCTACCCCGACGTGAAACGGTCACAAAATTACTAGACGTTTATTTTGAACATTGCGAGTTCTTTTCCCCAATACTATCTTCTCGCCAAGAATTCGTACAATCCGTCGAGCTCTTATACGAAAATTCCACAGCCGATCAATCCCTGGCGAACATTCGTTATCGTGCTATGATCGTCTTTGCAACATCTGTCTTGCTTCTGAATCGAGTCGATTTCACGGTTCCTTCATCGAAGGCGGAAAGATTCTTCAACACTGCGATCCGGATATTTTCACAAAACACGGATTTGACGTGCACCGGTGATCTAAATCACCTTGAAAACTTGCTCTTCATTATTCAGTATTGTTGTTTCGCTGCTAACATAACGGCTGCGTGGCACTTCCTTGGGCTCGCGACCCGACTTGCGGTTGAATTGAACCTACAGAAAGAAACGGCCTGTCTTCTAACACCTCATCCAAGTCAATCAAATCACAGAAGATGGTTATTTTGGACGATGTATACCTTCGAACGCAATCTCTGCGTCATTATCGGTCGGCCATTTTCTATACCGGACGGTGCCATCGAGACTCCTCTTCCAGTACAAGACCCACAGCGTGCGCTTGCGATTCATCTACTCAAGTATCGACTGCTTGAATCGGAAATATATTCAATACTCAATGAAAGGCAATATCACCGCACCTCTTTCACTAAAGATACGTGGAGAGAAAACATGCACCAACGACTACAAGAGTGGCATTCTTCTACCCCCTCGGTCCACAAGTCCACTCATCTGACACCCATGGAGATATTCAATGGCAGCTTTCTGAATGGATTAGTCTTACTTTACTATCCGTCACGACCCTTCCCAAGCCCAACGGCCGAAAACATGACTGTCTTGACTCGGAGTGCGACGGACGCAATTGCTTGCTATAAAGATGGATTTCGATCTGGAGAGCTACGATTTTTCTGGAGAACAGTGCATAATCTATTTCGAAGTGGAGTTGCCATTGTCTACTGTGCTCATCAAAATCGAATAAATCGCGTCTCTGGATTCGATCCGGAGAGCACAAGGATGTCAATCAATTCATGTTCCTCGCTTCTTTGGGGAATGGTGGAGAGATATCCAGCAGGGCAAGCATACCGAGACATTTTTGATAAATTGGCCAACTCGGTTCTGTCTCAGAAAGACGGAGCTGGAGGCATGGGTCATGAGGTATCATTTGAAACTCCAGGGCCTCTCCCAATTCTGGATGATATAACTCTGGGGGCAGATGCTAGTCTTCTGTCTTCTAGTGCTTTTGATTTATTGTTTATGGGGTTCACTCCTTCATGAGGTACTCGGAGGGAAAGTATAGTGTAATATGTATATTTGTTTTGTATATAGCTGAAGAAGAAGAAGTGATCTATCTACCATTGTTTCAGTGGGTCCGGCGGAGCAGGGTCATACTTGAGGCTTCGTTCAAACTCCGTTTTGAGTTTCATCATCGGCTGCATAACCCAGGTATTGAAAGCAAGGATGTCCGACTCTTCCTTGGGGTCTCGCACAGTATTAAATAGATAAGGACTCTCAAGACGCCCAGAAGATTGGTTTACCTTTGGCTCCCACACAAGGTGTAATTTCCAGTCCTTCCATTTGATAGCACGCAGTTCTTCTTTGATGTAAAACAGAAATCCTGTCCTTGGGGACTTTGTTCCTACAGGGTCCCGGAAGAATGTCGTTTGGTCCACTCCGTCAATTGGCCGATCGGATGGGACCTCTGACCCAGCAATGGAAAGAAGTGTCGAAAATATGTCGGTGACATGAACAATCTCATTGGACGTTGTCCCCTGGGGGACCTGCCCGGGCCATCGAATGATAAATGGCACGCGTAGGCTGCCTTCCATAGCAGTATGATATGTTCCTGACCATGGGCCTGCAGTTCCGCGGTACGGCTCGCGGAATTCTGGGCCATTGTCGGATGCGAAGATAAACACCGTGTTGTCCTGGACCCCGAGTTCATCAATATGATCCAGAATTTCCCCGACCCGGTAGTCCATTTCAGCCATTGAATCAGCAAAGTCTCCTTGGCCTGTAGTTCCTTTGAAATCGTTGTGGGGTAGAGTCGGAAAATGAAGGTGAACAAGTGGATGATAGAGGAAGAATGGCTTTTGTTCTTGGACCTTTCTGGTGAGCCAGTCTTTTGATCTCGCAACGAGCATCTCATCGATTAGCCTTCGGCTTTCTAAGTCATAGATCTGGACGTTCTTGGATTTTTCACCCGCTTTACCCTCCATTATGTATGGAAGCTCGGCGACCTCTGGGGTATAACCGATTGCGGAGGTGAACTGGGTTTCGTCCGTTGTCCTAGGGATACCGAACCATTCGTCGAAGCCTCGATCAGATGGATACCGGCCCTCGATATCTCCAAGATGCCACTTTCCATGGTGGGCAGTGGCATAATCATTTGTCTTGAGACACTCTGCAAGAGTCTTCTCCCATGTTGTCAGGCCTTGCGGGAATCCTGCTGGAACAGACTGGCGGCAACCGGTGCGAATCGGGTGTCGTCCAGACATCAGGGCCGATCTTGTCGGTACACAATCGCTCTCGACATTGAAGTTATGCAACAAAAGACCCTCCGATGCGAGCTTGTCAATACGGGGAGTTGCGGCCCCTCGAAGAATACCACCACCATAGCACCCCAACTCTCCCCATCCTAAGTTATCCGCAAGGACGAGGACGATATTGGGTCGAGCAGGATCATTGGACATTGTAACTTGTTGACCAGAAATCTGGATGGAACAGAAAGATGTGAAAAAAAGAAAGAGGAGATAATTGTTTGAGGCTCATGACGAATCCTAGCTGAGGAGCCGTTTTTTGCGCTATCGCTCACCTCCGACGCTCACTGCCGAAACTATATCTTCACTGTCCTTCATCGGCACTAATCCCGTCGCTCACCTCCTATCCCCTTGGATAAATAGCACACCAATAGCACGCAATCAGACCTCCCCTTGTCGTGATATGCTTCGATGCTGAAGACAGTAAATACAACCTCCCGAAACTGTGATCCCTTTTGTTTTGACTCCAACCCCAATGAACCGCAACAGCAACTCATTTCCAAATACTCCTGGGTATCATCTTTCAAAAGCGTTCTAAATGACTGAGATAAAAGCTGCTCCGTTGAGTGAAAATGGCAAGGATCTCGTTGATTCCCTTGTGAATGAAGAGGGTAATTACCTCGAATGGAGCGAAGATGAAGAGAAAGCGTTGCGCAGAAAGTTGGTTCTTCCTGGATAACTCTAGCTCTAAATTCTGACGTGCAAATACTATGCTTCAGACTCGATTTCTTCCTCATGCCTCTTCTTATTTTTGGGCTCTTTGTTCTTCAACTTGATCGAAGCAACATTTCCAACGCACTGTCAAACACCATTGCTGAGGATCTCCACATCACATCCGATCAAGTCAATTTCGGGAGCCAGCTTTCCTCGATCGGGATAATCATCTCCGAGATTCCTGCAAATCTGATTCTACAGAAGTTGGGTGCCTCGGTTTGGTTAACGGCTCAAATGCTGATATGGGGCACCATTGCTCTTACTCAGACCTGGTGTACGAATATCCGTTCCTTTTATGCAACTCGGTTCCTGCTTGGATTGTTTGAAGGAGGATATCTTCCCGGGGCGCAGTACATTCTAGCTCTATTCTATACTCGGAAAGAGTTAGCACGACGGACTGCAATATTTTATTTCGGCAACTACGGAGCTACTGCTACGGGGTCTCTGATAGCTGCGGGTGTGCTGCAAATGGCGGGTATCCAAGGCCTTTCCGGCTGGCAGTGGCTTTTTCTCTGTAAGTAAAGGCATAATTGTGATCTACTCTCAAGACTAACAAAATTTGCAGTAGAGGGAACGCTTACGCTGCTGGTTTTCATGATATTCGCGGCGTTTCTTCCTCGAAGCCCGACCCATACGGCCCTGATGCATGGTCGTTGGGATTTCTTTTCAGATCGTGAACGGTTCATTCTTCGGTCCCGCGTCGTAGCAGACGATGACACCAAAGGTGATGATAAGGTTTCGATATCTTTGAAACCCGTTCTCCGAGGTCTTGTGGACTACCGACTCTGGATACATATGATCCTCAACATCGTCAGCCTTGCCCCAAAAGGTGGGTTGCAACTCTACGGCCCGACTATTATCAAGTCCCTGGGATTTTCGACAGTAAACGCGAATCTCCTGAATGCCGTGAGCAGTGTTCTTGTTATAATATTTTCATACCTGATTTCGCTCGGGTCTGACAGAACAAACCTCCGAGGACCGTGGTGCATTATTGCTTTTACATGGTCCATCGTTTTTTCTGGCGCGCTATTTGGCATGGCAAGCAGAGGGAGCAAATGGACCCGGTATTCGATATTTACCTTGCTGGCTGGAGGTAATGCCTTGGCGCAAGGTCTCAATGATGCCTGGGTAAACATCAACGCAACCAGTTCCATCAACCGAAGTCTGGGACTTGCCATGGCTGTCATGGGAAGTAATATCGGAGGCCTTGCAGGCCAACAACTTTTCCGGTCTTCAGATGCCCCCATGTATACCGAATCCTTTTTGGCTATCCTGTTACTGTATATTGCATCAATCCCAGTCACACTGTTGCTCATGTGGGTATACTGGCGAAGAAACAAGGCTGAAGTGGAATCTGCCAGGAGATCCTCAATTGCCGTCAGAAGATTTGATCTCTAATAAATGAACATTGGATATCCATTCAACGAAAGTGAGGAGCACGATAATATCGATTCAAGTCCTATGAAGACTTAAAATAAAATATATTGGCAGATTGTTCCACTGAATTGAAAGATATCCAGCACATGATGCCGGTATGTACAAAATTCTAAGTGCTTAATAGATAGCCGAGTCTGAGCCTGGTTCGAAATTTACTGAGTGAGTCTGATTCTAAGCGCCCTCATTAAAGCGGCGGCATCTCAGAAAGCAATGGCGAGGGGAAATGATAGGTAGAGTGTCCTACATACGTCGTACAAATCGATCATGTTTTAACATCACGGATTTCCCGTACACTCGAGCCCATCAGCAAACCCACCCCACTCCAACTTCTCCAACTACTTATCAAATATGGCAATTGGAAGCGCTCATTGCGTAGAAGATACTTACCAGAAACATGCATGCGCCTGCAGATCTTCAACTTACTTTAGCCGAGCCCGCGATACGATCGGCTTGCACCCCGACCGTCAGATGCGGGGGCACTCGAACTTCTTCCCCAGATTCCATCCCCCGCAAAAAGCAAAAATCACCTGAAGAACCAAGAATGAGGATGTTGGATTCGATAGTATAAATTTGGTGATAGTCAAACTAGTCAACCCACTATACCTTTCACATACAGAAAGTAGCTGAGAAATGGGAAAGGAGTACATGAAGCAATCCCTGTAGAAGCATCTAAAACTCCAACGCACCTCAAGACCTGCCCAATAATTCACTGCCTTTGTCCCTTTTACCCGTTAGCACTCTATACAGCAACCCTTCTACCTAGTCACGGTGCTTAAAGATACCCTTACCGATCATACACCGGCCAAACTCCGTGTTCCAGTTCAATTATAGACAAAGCCGGCGCTCTGGAATGCCAATTTCGGAGAACAGGCTCGTGGGACACTCTTGTCATGCAAGGGGATTGGTCGATCCGGCAACTGACTGACTTGGTTGTACGGGGTAAACGTAGTATCCAGATCCTGTATCTCAACTCGGACGCTTCTGTTAAAAGGGGGATCGGTGCCTTGGAGAATCGAAATTGATGTTAGTTTTTATTGCTTCTTATATACCTGCATTGTTATTTTGGAGTAGGACGAGAAGACTGAAATCTCCTGCTACACCTCAGAATGGTCAAGCTCAATCTATATGGCCGCGGGCGGCCGCTCAGAATGGCTATTATGTTTACGTGCCAATTGGCGTTTATTCTCTTTGGTATGTGTTTCGTCGCTCATCAACCGAGTATAAATGTCTACAGAAACTGACCCACGCTATGACCCATTCAAGGATACGATCAAGGAGTGTTCTCAGGAATCGTAGGCAATGACGACTTCCTCGAGGTCGTACACCACCCCAGCGCAGGCATTCTAGGAATCATTGTCTCGATATACAACCTAGGCTGTTTCAGTGGTACTATCGTCTCATTCGTAACGGGCGATCGACTCGGTCCACGAAAGTCGATGTGGTTTGCGATGGTATGGATTATCGTGAGTTTTCTCGTCTTTCCTCCTCTCGTTCCTCCTCTCGTTCCTCCTCTCGTTCCTTCTTAGCAATAATCAGCATCTCGGCGAAGGAAAGACATCAAGAGAAGATCAATGCGATAGACATCTCACCATATTTTAATACAGATCGGCGCAACCCTCCAAACAACAGCCTTCTCACGAGCCCAACTCCTAGTAGCCCGTTTCATCACGGGTATTGGCACGGGCATCGAAACGACCACCGTCCCCGTATATCAATCCGAACTCTGCGAAGCCAAGAAACGAGGCAAGTACGTGAGTAGTGAGCCGTTATTCGTCGGCGTCGGGATCGTGATTGCATACTGGTTCGATTATGGGATGTCGTATGTGCCCGGCGCAATTAATTGGCGTCTTCCCATCGCTTGTCAGATGATTTTCGCTATTATGGTTATTTTGTTGGTGTTTGGGTGAGTTGTCTTCCCTGCGATAAATAAGTCTTTTCCTTAAGAGTGTTTCTGATGGGAGGTCGCGGTGTGCAGTTTGCCCGAAAGTCCGCGCTGGTTATACAGACATAACCGGCCTGATGAGGCGCTGCAGGTTCTATGTGATGTGTATAACATGCAACCCGATGATCCAAAGGTTGTATCCGAGTCGGAGGGGATCCTGGAAGCTATTGAGCTTGAGACTCTTCATGGTGAATATAAGTGGTCGCAGATTCTCAAGAGGGATGAGGTTCAGACGGGGAAGCGTGTGTTGTTGGCTTATGGGATTCAATTTATGAACCAGATGGGCGGTATCAATCTGGTTGTCGTAAGTGGTTTCCTTCCAGGTGATATGATGGCTTTTTGTTTGGGGTTAGCTAACCTTCTTGCCTTTATTAATAGTACTATGTTACTTCGGTCTTGCAGTACAATGTTGGTTTGGACCGAAAATTGAGTCTCCTGCTCGGAGGAGTCATTCAGATTATGTTTGTGATTGGTATGCCATCTACATCGATCCTCGATATTCAAAGACTCCTTGTTAATGACAATCTAACCAGGCTCCTTCTACCCAACATTCTTCTCCGACAAATACGGTCGTCGCCAACCCATGATGTGGGGATCCTTCGGTCTCTCCATATCCATGATGATGATTGCCATTCTACTCTCATTCAAGGGTATGCAAATAGCCACACACTGTTATCGCTTAGTTGTGAAAAGATCCCTCTAACTGAGAATGTCCAGGAACATCCGTCGAAAAACCAACGGCCTCAGCCTCAGTCGCCTTCTTCTTCCTCTTCATGCTCATCTTCGGAGCCTCGGTCAACTGTATTCCAAAAGGGTTACGTACTACCACATATGGAAGCTTGCCCTGGTATACCCCCGCTAAGTTAGTGCTTTCCCAGACAAGCCATCGGTATATCCGCAAACTGGCTCTGGAATTTCTTCGTCGTCATGATCACCCCGACATTAATTGAGAATCTAGCTTGGAAGGGCTATCTCATTTTTATGTGTTTGAATCTTGCTTTTGTCCCGGTTAGTCTCTTTCCCCACCCCCCTGGAGTCATCCATCCGTCGAGCACAATACTAACCTCGCCGCCTTGTTCTCACTTATAGATTGTCTACTTCTTCTACCCCGAAACAGCAAATCTCACCCTCGAAGAAATCGATTTCCTCTTCACCGACCGTGCAAGACATCCGTCTTTGCGGGGTCATGTTGGTGTCAACGGTGATGACGGTGATGCGGCTAATGCTGGCAAGGAGAGTGGGAGTACCAGTCCAGTGGAAGTGCGGGAGGATCATGTCAAGGAAGAAATTTAACTATGGGGTGCCCGGTTTTAGAGAGCGAGGAGGCATTTTGTTTCACTTGGGATGGAGAGATTGGAGAAGTGGTGGTTGATGGTAGTATGGTCGTTGGACCTAAGATATATATTTTGGTTTGCTGAGCTTGCCTAACCCCGACCGCAAGTTTTGTCGTATAAGGTTCAATTTTAATTGATTTCACGTGTAAGCAGACGGCATTGTTGTAAACTACACTCTTTATGCCAGATAGCCCCGACGGGATGGCTAAGCCGAGGATTGTATACAGCAGCAAAAAGTTGTGACGAATTGATTGTCTCGTCGACTCCACTGTCGAGGACGTCACGTTGCGGGTTGAACCAGCATCTACCTACTCCAGTGCTTTTTACGAACTGCCTAAAGAAGCTCTCCTACATCTCAACTCAAATCTCAAATTCAGATCTCTTATTTCATTTGCGTCATGATATAAATTTAAGGGTAGATAAATAGAGCCCAAAGCCAAGAAAGAAATCGAGAAAGGAAAACATGCAGCACAACCTCCCCGAAAGACGATTACGACGCCAGAGCCTTAAGTCCCCACCAAAAATAGAGAGAAAGAGAAAAAAAAATTAAGAAAACCAGTAAAACACCATACCCACTCACCCTCCTGGGGCGAGTTTTGACCCGAAAGTCCGAACTGGATCGGTTAGGCGCGGGCGGAGAAAGCAGAGAAATAAAGACTAGAAAATCCAGTAATCAAGAAGAATCAGAAGAAGCAAGGACGAAACATGAAACCGCCCCGAGCAAGCGGATCGATCGGGCGACGGCATGAGGAGATTCGTCTACAGTCGAATGGTCGGCGGTCCGGTGCTGCGCAAGTTCGATGATCGAGAGTGACATTTTGGGGCGAGGTGATGATCGAGAGCGAGTGTTTAGGAGTCAATTTCCATTCCCATTTCGACGCCTCCGTTCAGTCCCGTTCCCGCGTCCATACCGCAGGTGGATGAGTACGGGTGACCAGAGAGAGCCTGCTGCAGAAGAGGCACGCCAGGTTCGGCGACGGTAGTGAAGGGGTTGGCAGCGGATTGGGGACGGCCGGCAGCAGCGATAGGAGCGGCTCCTTGGAAGACGGGAGGAGTAGAGCGGAGATTAAGCAGGCATGCTTCCCAAGAGGTGGCCACGAGTTGACCTTGAGTGAGGTCTTCGTTGAAGAGGTAGAAAGCCGGAGAGAATGCAGTGTTCGGCGTGGCGGCAACAAGATAGGCATTCAGCGCGCGGCTTTTCATGAGCATCTGTGAGTGGTGCAGATAGGCGGCGTATTGATTGTCGATATATTTGGTCCAACCACGGACAGCTGGGGCCATGTCGTCGTCGGTATCAATGCGCTGCCAACTGATGCCAAGAAGGCGAGTGGCATCGTCGATGAGTGGCTCGGCTGGAGGAGTAGACGGGGCGGTGCGGTGCTGGTCAGCCATTTCGGAGCCGTTCAGGCGCTGGTGCATAGAGGCGAGAGCAATATCATCTAAGCCCGGGGCGGAGGTATCGAGCCGCTGGGCCTTGCGACTGATTTCGGCACCATCTGACTGGAGCGCAACGGATCGCGACGAGATTGGGGCGGCCGCGGCTTGCTGCGACTCGGCCTTTTCTTCATACCAGGTACCCGTCTGGCTCTCAGCAGAGACAGCCAGACCCGTCTGCGGGTTCAACAGAACCATGCCTTCGCCATAGATAGGCTCTACCTTGGGAGCGGGAGCAGGTTGGGGCACCGGAGGCGTATTGACGGCGAGGGCATCGTCAAAGGCAGCCTCGTCACGCGACCTCTTGCGAGAGGGCTTGGGAGGCACGGGAGCAGCGGATACACTGGCGTTCACGGCTGGCTGGGCATAGCCGTTGCCGGCGAAAGCAGAGTTGAAGGTACCCGTGTAGGTGTGGAAGCTGGTAGGAGTATCCAGCAGGGACTGGGAGGGAGCTGGCCGAAGGCGTTTTCCTGGGAAGGAGAGAGGACCATAGCGGGACCATCGGACAGGCGATTGAGGATCATAGGACACATGATGAACGGGTTGGCGAGGTCCCAGACGAGAGGCACTGTACTGTAGGGTTAAGTGAGCAACACACCATAAGCTTCAACCACCTAGTATATAGACCACGAGCTAAGAGGCGAGCACGTTGCAAGATGGAGAGAGAGGGAGAAAGAGGACGAGTAAGTCAAGAAGTATAGAGGAGAGGTAGGTGGGATGTAAAAGTAAGAAGAGGAGTCCAAATGGTGGTAGGACAGAAGAGGGCGAGGGGGAAGATGATTGGCAAGAAAGTAGGCCGAGCGTTCAAAGAGGTAGAGAGGAAAGAGAAGAAGGAAGAGGAAGAGAGCGCAGCAGAAGAAGAGCGCAAAAGACGATCTGAGGCGATCGGAGGGGGGATCCGCAATGCGGAGGGAACGGTACGAAACGACAGTACGCGGGCGTGTAGAAGAGTTCCGATCGGCCATGACCATACGGGGACGATACCAGTGGAGCCCCGAGCACTGGTCGACGTCGTTTGGCTGCGGCCAGTGGGGCTCCGCTGCATGCCATTGGCCAATCAGAGTACTGAATCAGTCAGCCCAGCATGGGCCCAGCCCCGTCGCCAGTCACGGTTCCTGCCAGTCATTTTCACGTTGCTCTGCCAGTTCGGAGCTGCCATCGGCCAGTCCGCCTTTTTGGCCCCGTCAGCCAGTCACCTGGGTAATAATCAGCGTAGTCACCCTATCACCCTAGGGCTACCAATCATAATGTCCCAGCTCAGAACTCCTCATGCAAAGCCCGGGTCGAATATAACGTCAAAGAAACCTTCCAAATAAAAGTCTATTGTCAAACTATGAAGACAGCCAGAAAAAAAAAGGTGAAACCCCAGAACGAGTCAAGTCCAAAGCAAACCGACACCAGAGCTCGTGCAAGTCTAACATTCAAATCAATGTTTCGTCGAATCAAAAAAGAAACAGGTAGGGAGAGCAAGGAGGAAACAAAGAACACGGAAATACACTGCCAGCAAACACCCGTCCCTAGTCACTGTATACATTTGCGGGAATGCGGTCGAGGAAAGAATGGAAAGGAGAAAAGATGGGAGCTCTCCGTTTCCCCATCACGCGAGAGTTCTCCGGAATTGGAGACCGGCCAACGGCTGCATTTCCTGCATGCCGCCGAAGCCAGCTCCCGAGCCAAAAAAAAAAGAGGGTAGGTTGAGAGAAGGTAGAAAGAAAGGGCAGGAAGAGAAGATCAGAGTGACAAGGATTTTTCTAGATGCAACTATGCTCTCTCTCGCGCTTTTTGTAACAGCGGTGGCGCAACGGCCCCAATACTCTAACACAGTAGAGTCCATTAGAGAATTTGTGGGAAGCTAGCCACCTCGCCCGACCCTTCATTATCTTTTGAAGATGGACTCCGTGCGCATTTCAGCAGTTATGGAGCGACACCACTCCAAAGAGATGTGTGGGGGACATGTCATGCATTTAAGCATTGCCAGCGGTGGCACCGCCCAGCATGCCCTTGACGCGGTCGACCTGGCCCGGAGCGTAGCTGGGAGCCATCGAGCCAACGAAGAGGAAGAAGATGAGGGCGGCAGCACCGAAAATAACAAACTTGCGCTGGGCGGGGTGGGTGTTGCCATACTCAGCCCAGGCGCGGTTGGCCTGGCCGGTGTACTCACGGATCTTGTCAGCACCGAGCTTGTAGTAGACCAGGCCGACAAGAGCCAGGGAGTAACCGAAGAACTGCAGGCCAGTGACGGGGGTGCTCCAGATGAACATGGAGGCAGCCACCAGCAGGATATCCTTGAGGACACCGCACAGGGTCATGACCAGGGAGGAGGTCTTGCCGATCAGGAACACCACGGAGACGTTCAGCAGGAAGGCAACCATGGCGTTGGCCAGCAGGACCCAGATACCGACACCGTAGATGTGGTCCATGGTCAGACGGGGGAATTCCAGGAAGAGAGCGACGAGACCGTTCATGACAGCGCAAATGGGAGCAAAGTAGTACAGAGAGACCATGGGGTCCATCTTGTACTCGGCAGAGCTAAGCAGACGCTGCACCATGACCAGACGAGTGGCCTCGAAGACGATACCACCAAGCTGGAACAAGAAACCGACCAGGACGAACTTGATCTCACCGAAGGAGGCAATGATGACACCAACAACGATGATGGAGACGTTGGCGAGGGTCTTGTAGTTGACGGGGGCCATGCCCATACCCCAGGTAGCGATCAGGACAGCCACGGGAGTGGTAGCCTTGAGCATCTGGATGAAGGCAACGCTGAGGTATAGATATGTCATGTTACCGCAAATCAGACTCAAACTGAACATGAGACCAATGGGAACAATCGCACGGAGGTAGACACGGCCAGTCATCTTGACAGACTTGCGGCCGTCCAGGACAGTGGTGAAGCGGGCCAGAAGCTGGGTCATGATCGTCGCAAAGGTCAAGTGCCATGTTGTCAGAACGATAGGGAAGCCTGTAAAGAGAGAGCAGAATGGTTAGAACTGCAAGTCCAGTTGTCGCGTGCGGAGGATTCGGAGACTCACGGAAGTTGGCATAGTCGAGGAGGTGCTTGTTGAACAGAATAACGGAAGAACTGAGAGTGATCCAGACACTGCACAATGTGTTAGTCGCGATGTCATCTTCTTCAAAGTCCCCAATCTCTGGTTTGCAATCTTCCCCGGAGCGGGCTTTCGAAATCTCACCTCACGTAGACAGCGGGGTGAAACGCGGCCTTGGGAGGCTCCTGCTTCTCAGCAGCCGGGTTAACGGTAGGCAGAGTCTCGCGAGGAGTCTCGCCAGAGGCGCGGACTTTCTCGCCTTCGGAACTCATATTGAATGTTCGAGTCTGGTCGGAGAGAAACTGTCGGAATTCAAAGGGCCGGGGCCGGGTCAGGCTTCCTTGGCTAAACGCGGAGGAAGCCACGAGGGGTAGAGAACGGGGGGAGATTAAAAGGCGATAAGGGACACTGGAGGTCGGGAATGGTTAACGAGAGTGTGATTGGAGTTGGACCCAGAAAGACAAGTGAAAAAGAATGCGCCAACACAAAAAGCGTTTTTTTCAAGGAGCGTGGGGGAGGAAGAAGAAATGATGATGGAACGAGCAGCGCAACAGGGTGAAGGGATGGAATGAAGTACGTACTGTAAATTTTGGGAGGAGAATAGAACCACTGGGTCCGCTGGAAAGTTTCGGGAACCACTGAAGGAGGGCTAGGCGAGGCAAGAGAGAGCTAGAGAGATGATCTGGACCTGGGAAATTGAAGTGAAATTGAGGGCATCTGTTTAGTTGTAAAATAACCGTCGAAAAGGCTCCGCTTGGAGTCTCCGCTGCAAACAGAGTTGAAACCGAAACGGGGGCTGCAGTGTTGACGAGGCTCGTGAGTCGTCACGTACGAACGGTGACCGTGGCGGCAAAGGCCACCTGGACTTTATCGAGAGGCGAGGGGGTGGATTTAGAGTGAATATCCTAAAATAACCAAGAATACAATACGGTAATGACGGAACCAGTACAGCTCTTACGCAAAACGCCGACGACTCGTGGCAACTTCTTTTCGACGAAGTCCAATCAGAATGGTCATCTTCACCCACGCTCCACTGGCGTCCTCTCTGGTTCTCCTTACAAGAGTACGGAGTGCTTGTTCATGGTATTTCTATATTTTCAATTATTGGTGCTTGGATTTTTGACGCTATTCTTAGATTGGTATTCTGTGACCATGACAGCCGATTACTAACTCCAGTGTGTACTCTAACTATTGTATCCCCCTATACTTCCCAATGCGGTTATTCAAGATAAGACTTTGACGAGCAACGTCAAGAACAAACAAATGTAACCGACCTTGGCCCCGTCCTCCCCCGATCGGTTTGAGATAGAGAGACCTCCCGACCATCCTCGGCCAGGCAAAACACTGCTGATCCAAATTACATGGACGGTCCAAAGGTTTGACAAGCAGGCGGACATTACGCAAGCAGCTCTTAGTCCCGACCCACCGGGCCCGCGTTCAGCGACCCTCAGAGCCATTTGCATCCGCCCTGGTCCCTTGCGAGTGGAGAATGCGGCGATCGCCTTGGGAGGCTGTGTCTGACGCCATTGCCCCCTCCATCCAGGGACTTGTCTCCACAACCAGGGGGGTGGAAAAAGGGAACAATCCAGAGCCAACGGGAGGCTAAAGAAGAAGCACCGAAACGGTGCCTGGCAAGGCCCGGGGAACGGGGGGAGGACTGATAAGTGGAGAGTTGACCAAATCTCTATTTTGCCCCCCGATGAAAAGAAGCTTTTTTGACCTTTTTCATGCCAGATGCCATAGGCCCCTGCAGCCATCCATATTGAAATCCTTCTCCGCTGGGTAAGAGTGGTTGTAGCACTGTACCAACCCGGTTGTCCGTCCTCCGTATGGAAGAGATCCATCATCCTACAGAAAGGAAATGAGGGGCCAACAACTGCCAGCGAGGCTGGTTCAAGAACTTTCTCGGGGCAACTTTGTCGATCAATGAGATCGGAGCCTGGTTCTTTCACTGAGAAGATCCTCGTTAGTCTTCCCGTCTTGGGTAGGGAAGGACGGACAATCAGTGGACCCTTTCTTCGCCTGCACAGTGCGCACACGCCGTACCGCTGCTCAATACCCTGATCTCTCGGAGGACCGCTGGACGATCGTCCTACGGATGCTGGTCCGCGAAGGGTTCAAGGACCACAGTCTGTAGAAGGAAAGAGATTTACAAAAAGAAATTGAAATGCAGAAAAAAGAAACACTGTGTCGGGCCTTTTCGATATGATCCATGCACATAGGTTACGCAAGCTGTAACACTCGAAGGAAGTCTAAGTAAACTACTTCTCAATGTTTGTTACTCTATAGGTCACCAGACACTGACTACAGTATCAGAATCCTTCTGTACGAATTTACCAGAGCATAGAGAATCCACGTCAAGAGGCAACAACCGATACTAGTCGCTGTATCACAACCCACTAACGGACACCAATTTCTCAGGACCAGAGCTTAGCGGTCCCTCCAAACGTGCCAAACGACATCGGTGGCGTTTTTAGCCCGCCCGAAGAACCGATCGGGAAGCGTTCTTCGCTGCTTCAGTTCTTCCCCTTGCCTGCCGCAAGTAATAATAATAAAAAAATCTTCAACTAGAGTAAGTGTCGCCCCCTCGAAGATGCGAATCAAAATACTCCGAGATAGGAAGCTGATAACAACATTCCTAATTCGTGCCGAGACCCTGAAATCTGCTGCCAAGGCCGAGGGGATGAATTTGTCGGATGTAGAAGGGGATTGCATCGTCTTAGGAAAAAGTAACCAATAGCAATGTTATATGGAATTCCTGTGGTGGACGGATTAAAATGATCATGATAAGCCCTGCCCCTCCTCTCTGAAGTTGGAGACCCAACGGCCTTGCGTGGTTTGTGATAGATTTGATAGTTTAAAAACCAGGGTCCGGCAGGTGGCGCTGTGATGGCGAATGAGATGATCACTAAAAAGACTTGGCAATCAAGTAAAAACAATCCATTTGACCCAGGAATCAAAATAACAAAAAAGGGGCGATAATTTTTTAAAAAAAAATTTCCTTCCCCCAGGTCCCCAGGCCTAAGCGTACGTGTTCTGGTGTGTCGTTGACCATATCCGGTGCCTCCTCTAAGTATGGGGCAGCCCTCTCTGTTCGCGGCAGCGCCACTGGTCCATTAATGATGGTCTTTTGGACAATGTGATCGTTATCAAGGGGGCTAGACTGGTCGTTGGCTGCATTCATAGAGTGTGATAAGGCAAAGGAAAGGGAATTCGGTTATTAGTTTCTACGAGGACACGGTCTTGTATCAATAGGGGAGGGAATTGGCTATATGGTCGTATAGCTCGCAGTTAATTCGAGTGTAAAGAGGGAATCTGATCAATCAGATGATAAATCTATCAGTCTGCAGACTGTACTCCGTACCTATTGCATATATGAAGTACAAAATGAATATCAAATAATTGTGGCTCAATCTATTCATTCTCATACACCTCCATAGTGCCTCCAGGGCGTCTAGACACAAAATGTAAACCTGAAACAGGCACGGCACCCCACTCACGACACGACTGGAAACACTGGAAAGTACCGGGTCCGTTTCCATGCCCCCTGAATGGAGTCCATCCATTGGCTGCCCCTTAACTTTGTGCGGAAGCACGACGGGCTTCTGGACTGTCGTCTCCACCGCCCACACCAAAAAGTCGCAGTCCACACGGACTCCTGGCCACCAGTCCACCGTCCACGGTACACCACTGCTTGTCGTCTCCTCCCACTTTCCTCCCTTCACCCCCATCCTCATCCTTTATCATCCTCCCCGTCTCCCTTCTCTCGCCAGTTTCTCGCAGTCTCTCTGCTGCTACTGCTTTCTCTTATGCTGAACATCGCTCGTCGAACTTTTAAACGCGTGCCCAGCTTCCAGGACCTCCTTCAAGGCAGGATGACCCACCCCGACATGTAAGGATTCCTCGTCCTCGTCGCCGAACCCTCTTCCTCTCTCCATTGAACATCCCCGAACTGACTGCTTCACTTAGTACTGTTGACGTTCTCGTCATTGGTGCTGGCCCGACTGGTTTGGGTGCGGCCAAGCGTCTCAACCAGATCGTAAGTCTTCTCTCTTTTCCTTGTGAACTCGGCGGTGAAGCCTCCCCCTCTCTGTCCCCGAAAAAAAATAAGGGGTTGATGGAGGGGTAAGCGCGAGAATCAAAAACCAAACTGACACCAATTCAAATAGGATGGCCCCTCTTGGTTGATTATCGACTCCAACGAGATCCCCGGTGGTCTTGCTTCCACTGATGTGACCCCTGAGGGCTTCGTATGTTTACCTTTCCCCCCGTCCCTGGACGAGAGCTCCGCTCGCCCTCCGCAAATTCGAACAATCGCTGACCTGAGTTTTCCCCTGCGTTCTTTCCAGCTGTACGATGTCGGTGGCCACGTTATCTTCTCCCACTACAAGTACTTCGATGACTGCATCGATGAGGCCCTCCCCAAGGAGGACGACTGGTACACCCACGAGCGTATCTCCTACGTCCGCTGCCAGGAGCAATGGGTCCCCTACCCCTTCCAGAACAACATCTCCATGCTGCCCAAGGCCGAGCAGGTCAAGTGCATTGACGGCATGATCGATGCCGCCATGGAGGCTCGCGTTGCCAACACCAAGCCCAAGAACTTCGACGAGTGGATCGTCCGTATGATGGGTACTGGTATCGCCGACCTGTTCATGCGTCCCTACAACTACAAGGTCTGGGCCGTTCCCACCACCAAGGTAAGTGATAATAAAATCTCCGTTCATCTGGCCTCCCACGCCTCGCCCCCATGTTCCCAGGCTAACGGACCCTCCTCCGCTTTCAGATGCAATGTGCTTGGCTCGGTGAGCGTGTCGCTGCTCCCAACCTCAAGGCCGTGACCACCAACGTCATCCTCAACAAGACCGCCGGTAACTGGGGTCCTAACGCTACCTTCCGTTTCCCCGCCCGCGACGGTACCGGTGGTATCTGGATTGCCGTTGCCAACACCCTCCCCAAGGAGAAGACTCGCTTCGGTGAGAAGGGCAAGGTCACCAAGGTTAACGCCAACAACAAGACCGTCACCCTTGCCGACGGCACCACCATTGGCTACTCCAAGCTGGTCTCCACCATGGCTGTCGACTTCCTGGCTGAGGCCATGGACGACAAGGAGCTGATGCCCCTCACCAAGCAGCTCTTCTTCTCCTCTACCCACGTCATCGGTGTTGGTATCCGTGGCTCTCGCCCCGAGCGCATTGGTGACAAGTGCTGGCTGTACTTCCCCGAGGACAACTGCCCCTTCTACCGTGCCACCATCTTCTCCAACTACTCCCCCTACAACCAGCCCGATGCCTCCAAGAAGCTGCCTACCCTCCAGCTGGCTGATGGCTCCAAGCCCAGCAGCGACGAGGCCAAGGAGGGCCCCTACTGGTCCATTATGTTGGAGGTTTCCGAGTCTTCTATGAAGCCCGTCAACCACGAGACCCTCATGGCCGACTCCATCCAGGGTCTGGTCAACACCGACATGCTCAAGGCTGGTGATGAGATCGTCTCCACCTACCACCGCCGCTTCGACCACGGTTACCCCACTCCCTCTCTGGAGCGCGAGGGTGCCCTCACCCAGATCCTGCCCAAGCTCCAGGAGAAGGGTATCTGGTCTCGTGGTCGCTTCGGTAGCTGGCGCTACGAGGTCGGCAACCAGGACCACTCCTTCATGCTGGGTGTCGAGGCTGTCGACAACATTGTCAACGGTGCCGTTGAGCTGACCCTCAACTACCCTGACTTTGTCAACGGCCGCCAGAACACCGAGCGCCGCCTGGTTGATGGTGCCCAGGTCTTCGCCAAGAAGCAGTAGATAATTTGTTGCTCTCTCTTCTTTCCATCTGAATGCCTTTTTCTTTTCCTTTCCTTTTTTGGTACACTTGCACGAGATCACACTGTCACGGGAAAAATACACATGCAAAGGGAGCATCTGAAGCGGCATCTGGGAGATGATCTTTGTTGGCGTTTCATGTGATTCTTATCCTATATCTCCCTCCATTTTCTTCTTACACACTATCTATCTTTTTTTCTTTCCACATCTATCTCTCCGCCTCATCTTTTCCCCCCTTGTCACCTAGAGCTGGACGTTGCTTGTGGGCCTTCTTTTCTCGATACACACTTTTTTAGACTTGCTTGATGCGGTGATGTTGCTCTAATTGAAGCCTGTTGATGAACATGGATTTTGCATTCCTCGTAGACAATACGTATATCAAGCATCGACTTGTGTCCTTCTCACTGGTCCCAAGCCAACCCAGACCTCCACTACATCTCACCTCCTCCGAAACGCCTCACTCCACCACACAGCGATAGACAAGAAGCCAGCACAAAATATTGATGCATCTCCAGCCCTAGCGTCGAGCCATAGGTACATACAGCACGGACACGGAGCACACAAGCGCATATACGTATCCGACCAACTACTACATAAAACTACCAATGATCTCCGGGTATCATAACCTCCATCACAAAACGGACGCGTCCAGCCCGCGCCATGGTTCGGCTGAGTTCGAGGGGGAGATTGGGGTGGCGTTTACTATGTGGGCCCCCACGAGCCAAGACTAGCGGTGGAGTTGGGATACTCTCCAATCGTCTGCACAGACTGAAAATGTGGCTGGCCGGACCAGGACTGGATTGGGGGGTTAATAGGGAGGATTCTGGGAGGATTTTAGGATTTTGGTGGTTGGTCAAAGTTGGTACGACCGTGTTTTGAAAATTTGAGGGTTGTGGAATTGGAAGAAGGGTACCCGTAGCCAGTGTCCATTGTAGGGAGTACTTTTTTGTTGCTATCTATAGATTATAGTTGCATTGTTGCGAATGAAGGGTTTTTGGGGGATTGGGCCCTGGATTTGAGTGGTTCGGGTTCGTCGCTTGGGAGGATTGAAATTTGGGTACTGTACATATTGTATGAGTGTATGCCGGGCTGTCATCGTCGCAGATTAAGGCGAAAATTTTAGCGTAACGGCTTGAACCAGGACGCGTGGATGGATGGCGATATGTAACGAAGATAAGGAGTTGAAACAGGCCTTGTCTGCAGTAAGGTTTGATGAAATGAAAGTTCTTCTTATCAATATGCCGGAGCCTTATACACCATGACCATTTAAGGGCTCTTCTCCGTAATTAAACAGCAGTGTTTGGTTCTTGTCTCCCGGCGAGTGACGGACCCTGGTGGCTGTCATTAGCGCTCGCCTAAAGATACGGATTATGAGATTAACTAGTGGGTATCCAACATTTGTAGCTTTTATTTTATCAGGCTGCCATGAAAGTTTAAGCCACCGGCTTTGGAGATTACGTTGCGAGCGGCAGTTAGAGATAAAGTTGCCGACGGCTAACTGATGGCCGTGTTTCAAGTTTGATGTGCAGAGCGGTCTGAATGTTTGAGGGCTGAGATGCGTCGTCAACGGGTAGTTTAGTATGCGAGCACGTCAGTTTAGTCTATCATATGGTAATATGGCTCCATTGAAGGGCTTGATAATATTGCTTGTTTGACGCGTATTCAAAGAGACTAGGACAGGATACTAATGGTCGCTAATTATCAGGTATTGACTGCAGGCGTCGCTGTCATACTTGTAGTTATCTAATGTCGAGACGTCTTGAGAACCGTGAGCGTAAGCGATATAGAGGAGAACTGAGTATGGCTACATTGTCGTCGCGTACCGCTCGAGGTTATTTCTTACAAAAGACCCAATAACCTAGAGATATCTGTCGTGGTGGAGATGTCATTTGATCTATGATATTGGACCTATGTCCATCTGACCTATACGTCTTCGCTTCCTTGATGGTCGATGGTGTATCCAAATCGTCTTCTACCCAGCAGCTCTACCAGCTCTACCTAACATAGAAGCATTTCAAAAAGCAATATAACCTTAATAGTTACTTATAAATCTATAGAATTAGTATAAAGGCTATAGAATTATTAGAATAGGCTTAGTTAATCTTACTACTTCAAATCTTTCTCTTAGTCCTATCTACTTAAGAAATCCACCCCGCGAAGGGATAGTTATTCCTTTACTTAAGTTAGAGACCATTAGAGGAAATTGAATGCTGCCCATTTTCACACTGAGTTTGATACATAATTTATCCTTGAATAAGTGACAACGATGCAAGTGCTTGTTTACTGGTGATCGTGTTGGGCAAATGAGGAGTGGTCTAAGGTCGATAGAGAATAAAAGTTGGATAGAATTCCATCTTTACTAAACAATCTTAGGTTACCAAGTGCCCCGATCTGACTTTGGCTCTTGTGGCATAAGGGTGGCGGAAAACCATGCACTGTCTGTTCATATAAATGCAGGTCAAAGGACCCTTCTAGCAGCTAAAGATAGCTTCCCACGAGTACAGTATGTTGTTGTTCTCGGACTCCAGCGTCTAAAAAACGCATGATACTCCGCACAGAAGGGAGGTCCAGCCTTAATTCAAGGAATGTAGCCCAGGGGTTCAGCAGTGCGGAAGTGAGGTCATAGGGATAAATATCAGGATCTTTATATAGTGGAAAGCCAGACTTCCCGATCCCAGCTGGTTGTTCTTATACGCCGCTAGAATGACCGAGAAATCATTAGTAGATAGTTTTGAAAAGCGTGATATAACTTACTAGGTCTCATAATGATTTTCTGTACCTTGCCTCTTAACCCCCAGACCTTTGTAGATTGACAAAACTGGCACTGTTAAGATTGGTAATAGCGGTATATCTCGTACGGTGATCTCCTAAGTGAATAGTCATGTTCTGACTGTTTTGGCATATGAACTTAAGCTCACCAGTCTTCTTGGAAACCTGGTTGAGTGTTTTTAAACCTTGAATTTTGTATATTGAAATCTCATCTGATATTTCCCGTGTCTCTTGCTTCAGGCTATACTCGTTCTTCATCATTCCGCAAAATTCTTTATTTTTCGCTGCTCTCTAGATGAAAAAAAGCCCCAGAGAGGGATGTAGTTTCTGAAATAGACTTGGCCCCTAAGGTGGGCGTTGATCGCGTGGCGGAGAGCATCGCCATCCGCAAGGCCCCCCGCATCGACGTCGGCCAAGCATTATTGTTGGTGTTTAAATGGCACGATTGTGCGCCCGTACTCCCCTCGGGCAACTAACTTTACAGAGCCAACACGCAGATTGGTGGTAGGTACATTCAGGAAATATTCAAGAACCTTGGCAGTTGGATTCAGAACCGCACCACGGCTGGGGTATGTAAAGGAACCGTTTTCTTCCACTCGCCCCAAAATCTTTTAGACTTGTCAACAACTATTCGTCTCGAGTTATAACCATCACTATGCTGCTCTCTCAAGCTTTTCTTTGCACAGTCAGTGTCATGGCCTCGGTCGTGATTGGTTATAAACTAGACTTTTATGACTTTGACGGGTCCCCCGGCACTGGGTGCGAGAGTGATCAACTCGTCCGGCGGGGTACATGGAGTGGCGATGCAAGCGCAGAGTGTACACCTTTTAAATCGGATGGAGTGAAGTACGTCCGCATCACAAAGAACGACAAGACCGATGATGAGCACCAAGTCCTCTTCTCCAACTCCGATGACTGCAGCGAGACCAATGCCTTGCGTTTCCAGGAAGGCTGCTTCGATATCTCCGAAATCTTCCCAGATGTCAAATCGTACCGAATTATTCCCCTCAACAACCATACAAGCTTAGAAAAGGCAGTCGATTCCTGGTGGGCTTCTAATAGTGACTCATGGTCACCCATCTATATAGGGATGACCACGGCCGCAGGCGTAACCGCAGTCAACGCGATACGATCGAGCCATGGCGAACAAATCGCAACTGCGTTTGCAGCCATAGGCAGGCCACTGTGGGCATTTGTTAGCTCGCGCTTCATCTCGTCGATTCTGATTGCACAGGTGTTTGCTATAGGAGCGGTGTACTTGAAGCAACACTGGCTTCTTGGGAATGAGACCGGAGGATCTTGTGAGAAATCCGAGTCGAAGCTGGATGTCTTGACTCAAATCATTACGAAAGTTGTCCCTGCGGATGATATCGAATCTATCAAGGCGGTGGTTAAGTTCAAAGATGGACGCACTATGACTATCAGTCACCCGGCAGTCGATGAGAAGGCGAAATAGGCCAATGAGTTTTGCACGGGGATACCCTCGATGTTGATCTATGAAACAGGAGGATAGGTTGGATGTGATGGATCTACGCTAGAGCGAAAGTCTCGCGAGGAGAAATACGGGCAAATGAGCAGCTTGCCCATAGTTTGAAGCACGGGCACGGCTGATTCTTTCATATTGGCGAACTGTCTGTGGCAATGAATCTTGTATGGAGGAAAACCGCCGTAAGGAGAAACCGAAAGTGTGGATATACAAAATCTTAATGGGGTTACCTAAGCGGTCCCGTAGACCATCCATGTTGTGTGATGAGCCAGAAATGTGTTCATTCTTTCTAAAGCTAGGCTGGCTACGTGGAATAAGAAATAACTAATCACGTGTGCCGTCACATGCGTTGCGACGTAGGACCGCAACTACAACATGTACTGTAACAATGCCGGCTTGGAAAAAGACAACGTCCCCGTTGTCGACGCGCAAGAGAAAACATAGGAAACATAAAAGAAGACGTGGGCTACGTAAGGGAATGAGGACAAGGACAAAGCCCACGGGCTATGGGTGGACTTTTCGTCGCCAGAGAGTGTCAAGGCGGATCTTGCAGCCCTACATAAACGCACGCGCCATCATATTCTGAATGCCAACGACTCCAAGGCCGACGACTCAGAATGCGTGACCGATCCGAAAGAAATCATCGGTACCAAAACAGGATCAACTGGACTCTCGGGTTTACTGCTTCACCCTACTTACGTTCAGAGAGCTTGATGGCCGGAAATTACATTTCCTCTCTTCATTTCGACCTGCAGCAAGGTATCTCTATTTCCATTACTGCATCCAGGTGCTACGACTTGCTTGGCAACACAATGAAGCAAAAAGTCCAACAAAAGCCGCGGGTGCTCTAAAGGATGAGAACGGCAAGCCATACTGGGGCACACCTGGTAGATATCTGCCAAAGAACATGCTCCTAGCAATTGTTGAAGAGCTTAGGCACGAGTACAAGTCTCTTCTCGATGGAGCAGGTTCTAATAAGAAAGGGGACGCTAACTTCCTATTGGATATTGCTACAAATCAAGTGAAATCACATCCGTCTATTTTAGATGGTTCTTATAAGGAGGAAGATTCGGAGTCGGACTCAGACTGTGATGATTCTCATGAGGAGTAATGGCTAGTGTATGATTGTTTGTCTCCTATGGGTGGGGCGGACGATAAACGCCAGTTATTCAAACCCCATAATTAGTTAACTTATCGACCGCTTTCATAGCCGCCTTTGCCCTGATGCCTTCTTCTTTAGGCCAGGGTGACGCTATGACTGTAGTACCGATTTAACTACCCTCTTCCTTGTCTTTTCTCTTTTGTAGGTTATGTGAATTCTGCCGGACTTTCTGCCTTAGAAAATTGGGGTTGGACAATTGGCGCTTATCGTCTACCTCACTATGGGAAAGTGTGTATCTATATTATTATGCTGTGTATTATTATCAAGACATCATCAAAGATATTCTCCACGATACAGGTGTGTCTCGCCGGTTTTTCTCCTACCGGTCAATTTTGGTTTCTCCTGAGCTAAGAATTCCCGGTTTCTTATTCTAATTAATCTTCATAGTCATCTCATGAGTCTTCGAATATAGGGTCCCGTTTGTTGTAGTGGTCAGTGTCTTGAGTACTTTCTTGATTCTTTTCTACTTTGGTTGCTTTTGTGAAACTTTCGAAGTTTCTTGCACCATACAGACAGAGGAGAAGCTACTCCTACAGTATCCAGCACTGCGAGAACATGAACAAGCCGGATCTGACTGATAACTTTTAGTTTTGACCGCTCTGAAGATGTTTCATTATGGGAAGCGAGAACTATGAAGCATGAATCTCTTGAGTATGACCGATGGCTATGAGCAATGTCACTACCGCAATGGGTATATCCATCTATAGATAAGTTGTGACCCATTCGATATGATGCATAATATGCGTTGTCAAGTTCACCGTGGCTCTCCCGGGTCTTTGAATTGTTGGATCTATTCATAGGTAGTGAATTGGGCTGTGTAACCAGATATCCCGAGGCTCAAATAATCAACAATTGTGAGCTCGACCAGGTCAGCATGATGGATGCACTGCATGACGTATGTTTCTCATGCATCGACGCAAGATAACAATACATGATATCTTTCTACTGGACTACCTCCCCAGAATGTCTCAACTATCGTATCCTAAGAGGGAGGATAAGCCATCGAGGCCGAATCTAATCAAATCCGGATTTGCGGGGTATGAAACCTGTGGAATTTCGATGCAATTCCAGGTTTCCGTGCTTCTATATTTAATTCTCATGCATATCAGACTAAAGACTTGGCTGTAGCCTGGCGGGGTGCAAATACGAGAACATCAGCATAAGCGAACTTCTGCCGAAGCACAAATTTTAACCCTATATATGTTACGACCAGAGATACTGTAGGCAGCATCGACGGAGGGAGCCGAAGGCTTAATAAATCCAAGCATTGGACTTGGTCGATCGTGAAAATTCCATAAATAGGGCCGTGACAGGAGGGACGCGTCATTCCGTGGGGCGGCAAAGGCGACCGAACTGTGGGCGGAGGCGGTTGTTTCTCCGCCCGGGAACTATACATAGCTTTGGGCAGTTTGGCTGTATGTTTCAGCCTAAATCTAGACTCTGAGAGACACATACTGTTCTTTGGATAGACTGAGACATTGAGCGGCAGGTATGTAAGAGAATAAGCAGTTCGGGGATTGTTCTAGAGCTTGGGGAATGCATCGCAGTGAGCCCGGGGCTTGCTTACCTGATAAGCTAGCTAAACCTACATGTAGAATGATTTCAAGATTTGATTGGTCGATTTTAAATACTCTATCTACATCTTCCTTTGGACTACTATTAACATCATTGAGAAGAGCAGTAGTGGAACTCATCCTGTCATGGCGATACTGTCCTCTTCTTTCTTGTTGCAACCGAGGCGGGCACCGAATGAGGAAAGTTTTTATCACGGATCTCGGAGCTCGTATGGCTCCGTCACAAAAGACGACTTCTCGATATAAGATTCAGTCGCATCCAAATTTCAGAAAATGAAATAAAAAAAAACAACTGCTATACTAGCGCACTGCCCGACCTCAAGATGCATGCCAGAACACAAAACATCTACGACGACCCACAGTTCTTTTCGGCGTACAGTACACTGCAGCGATCTCAGCAAGGACTCGCCGCAGCACCAGAATGGCCATCCCTGCGCCATATGATTCTCGGCTCAGCCAGCAATGCCCTCCCACAATCTCGAGTCCTTGATCTGGGATGTGGATATGGCTGGTTTGTCCGCTGGGCCCGCGAAAATGGGGCCAGTTACGTGAAGGGCGTGGAAATCTCCGAGAAGATGATTGAGAAAGCAAAGTCATTCGATGCAGATACAGCGTCCACTTTCCCGGGGGAGATATGCTATGAAAGACATGATCTTGAAACAATCACCTTGGATGAGAATCCTAACCGCGAATCCTACGATCTGGTCTACAGTTCTTTGACATTGCACTACATCGAAGATCTTGGCCGATTGTTTCGGCAGATCCACTCTTTTTTGAAGAAAGGCAATGGGTCTGCGAGCGGGAAATTAGTTTTCTCTGTGGAGCATCCGATCTATTCCGCGCCTGTTCGACCTGCGGCAGATTGGATTGATGTCCCGGTTGATGAGGGCAAGGGCAAGGCGTGGCCGTTGAATTCCTATAGCGAGGAAGGATTACGGGTTACGAGCTGGCTGGGTACTGATGGGGTGAGGAAGTATCATCGAACGACGGAGACATATGTGTCGTTGTTGTTGGAGAATGGATTTGCCTTGACAGGACTGAAGGACTGGGCTCCATCGCAGGATGATATTGCAGCGCATCCAGAGTGGAGCGTTGAGCGTCACCGGCCGTTTTTCTTACTCCTCGCGGCGGAGGCTCGATAGGAAGCTACCGTTTTAATGGGCATTTACGGATTGGCTGATGCGGGATTAAACAAGTGTATTTGATAATGTTGATATCTTAGCCAAGCTCAAACCGGTGGTCAGCTTGATCTGCTGCATGAGTAGGGGCTGGGATATTGAAATGCCTGGATAGACCTAAGATAGACAGAGCACAGAGCATAAAAACATGCACTCTCTCGGGGGTTGGAAGATGAATAGTTAGCAACAATGATGTGTGCGTCTGGCAAGCGCAGACCGCGCGTAATCCAGCCCGGCACGCCACCATCGGAGATTCAGACACGCCTTCGATCCGCACAGAAAGCTTCAAATAACCAAATCAGGTGGGAATGGCGTCAAATTTCTTAGTTGGTATCCGCCATCGTGGGCGAGACCTTCGTGTCGGCCAAGCCTGCCTCGTAAGACTCTGTAGACGCTAAGGCTAGGTCCCGCTGTGGAACAAGGTCGATGGTCAGATCCGGAAAGGCAGTGGGAGATAGGCGGAAAGACTGGGAGGTGGAAACCCGCGACTCATCCTTGTTTAGAGTGGTCCATGCATCCTGGGGATGACTACGACGGTGATTTTCTGCGCGAGGGCCTAGTCAACGACTGGATGCTGGATGGTGTGGCACGATCAACGCCCTTGTCAGTTTTGACTTCCAGGGACAGCAGACCGACCTTTCTTGCGGTCTGGGGATGGGAGGATGTGGGGATCTAGAAACTCTTGTGGCGGGATGGTCAATTCGGTCCTTGGCTGCGAGGGCGAGGGCGAGGGCTCTCGAAGCCGGGAAGCTCGAGTCTGTGGGAGATTAGATGATATCAGTTGGGCCGTGGTGGCAGCAGTTGTGGAAGCCTGGTTTGGGTCAACAATAGTTCGGTGGGTCGAACCATTCATCATCGAAGCAGGGAGGGACGCTGGGTGCGTCCGAGCTACAGCTGGAGAGGAGCGCGTCATGCACGAGAGACTCTCATTCGAGCCATGCAGAGGATGATGAGGATCGAACCGACCGGTAGGATCGTTGGTCGAGGGCTGTTGGACTTCAGAGGTTGGGTCTTGATCAGCACCATTCTCGTCCGTTTCCTCGAGGCTCAGGTGGTCAATATTGACTGGGAGGGACTGAGCGAAGATTCGTGGTAGGTGGAATTGAAGATCATCTTCAGTCAGATAAATCACGGCTGGAGGTCGTCTCAGCATGTTGGCTGGTGGCTGTTTGATCTGTGTTGTCTTGGTTGGTGAGATTGAAGGTTGAGAGAGAGAGAGAGAGGGAAGGAAATCACCACGGAGCAAGAGCAGTCGGTCTGCCCTGTCCTGCGTAAAGTATCGAGTGTTTGACGTGTTAGTTTATTTTGATCGATATGAGACATCATGGATCTCTCCAGGGAACACCATGTCATCTCTGGAGGCCAGATCTAGGTTGATCCCGTAGCATCAATGCAGTCGTGACGACGAGGCCCGACAAGATCGTATACTCGAGATATTCTGACAGTCACCTATGGATAATCGAGTGGTTAATAGTATGGTTGAAATGCATCTGTATTATGAGAATGTAGAGTTATAGCAGATTGAAAATAGATTCTTTTCGTAGACAGATGTTAGTATATACACGTCCATATTTACACGGACTACCAACTCCGTGCTTATTAGGCAGTCTCCATTCCTCCTTGTCGAGCTATTATTAACTATGGAGTAACTACTGAGATAATCCTATAATCATCCCTATTTCCACTTCCTAAAAAGCTGTCAATCGCATGCTCCGCCCCCCCTCGAGACTAAACCCACCAACGGAGCCTCCTGTTGATCTTCTTCTCCCCCCTCTTCTCACTAACTTCTTTCTTCACTCTCTTCACTCGCTGATCCTTTTCCATCACCCTCCCTATCCTTTCCCCTAATATCCTCTCGCTGGACCATGCCTCCGCGGTGTCAACCTTCGCCGTCTTAGTCCGTCGGCCGCCTCTCGTTTCTTCCCCTGGCGAGCCCACGCAATCCACCCCCAATCTTGACATTTCTCTCTTCTCCGACCCCAACACGCCCACCTTCTCATCTCACCGGTCGCCCGTCCTCCGCCCGGCATGAACGGAGATCTCAGTCTCTCCCAATCGCTGGGAGGGCTCCGCATTGCGAATCCGGACGATTCACCCCTCCAATCTGAGGTCGCCAGTCCGGTTCCAACGGCTCAACCGGACGGTTCGGTATCAACACCTCCACAAGTTCCCGCGCCGCTCGACGAGCGCCCGACGACCTTTCCTCCTGCGCCTCTCGACAATCCCCCGTTCAACGAGAATCGCTCCTCCGTCATCTATCCCGTCTCTGATCCCTCCCAATCAGCGTCGGCCTCCCATCAACATTACTCGACGCAGCAGTTTGGTACGCCCCCAAATCCGAACCGCCCCCTTTCCTCTGTCTACACCAACGGCTCCGTCTCCTCTCTTCTCCCGCGTGATAATACCTATCGCATACGAACCGATTCTGGTGCTTCGTCCACTTCCACATCACATTCGCGAGTAGACACCCGCGGCGGGTCGGCAGCTTTGCAAGCGGGGGTTCTGGCGCGCGACAACTCACACAGCGATCGCTCCTACCGCACAGCTCAGATTCCGGCCAATGGGCCGGCGGTAATGCGACAATCGTCTCGAGCACATGCCCGTGGTGGGAATACAGCTCAGATGTCGCGAACACCCTACGGTATGGAGAACGGTCCCGCGCCCAGCAGTGAGGATTGGCAGGACCGTGGAGCTGCGGTCGCGGTGCGACAGGAAGTCGATGCCAACGGGAAGACGGTCGCTCGGTATATCAAGAAAGGTGTGCGGGATTTCTCATTTGGAAACACGCTCGGTGAGGGATCCTATAGTACGGTGGTTTTTGCGACGGATCGACAGACTTTGAAGGAATACGCCATCAAGATTCTGGACAAGCGACACATCATCAAGGAGAAGAAGGTTAAATACGTCAACATCGAGAAAGACACGTTGAACCGTCTGACCGACCACCCGGGTATCGTCCGCCTCTACTATACCTTCCAGGATGAACGATCACTTTACTTCGTACTGGACCTGTGCAAAGGAGGAGAGCTCCTTGGGGTCTTGAAGCGCATGACCACCTTTGATGAAGAGTGCACCAGGTTCTACGGCGCCCAGATTCTCGACACGATAGACTATATGCACAAACGTGGCGTGATCCACCGCGACTTGAAGCCAGAGAATGTGTTGCTGGACCACCAGATGTATGTGAAGATTACCGACTTTGGAACCGCTAAGATCCTCAAGACGCGGCGACCGGACGAAAGCCAGACCTCTATCCCACCGATCGACTCGACCGAGATTCCTGAAGAGGAACGAGCAAGCTCCTTTGTTGGTACCGCGGAGTATGTCAGCCCGGAATTGCTGGTTGACAAGAACGCGTGCAAGGCTAGTGATCTGTGGGCGTTTGGATGCATCATCTACCAACTCCTGGCCGGTCGTCCGCCCTTCAAGGCGGGTAATGAGTACCAGACTTTCCAAAAGATTGTTGCACTGGACTACGAATTCCCGATCGGATTCCCCGCGGTGGCTCGCGACCTCGTTGAGCGTCTTCTTGTCCTCGACCCCGCTCGTCGTCTACAGATTGAGCATATCAAGAACCATGAATTCTTTGACGGTATTTCATGGGGCCCGGAGTTGTGGAAGCAAAAGGCGCCTCGATTGAAGGCGTACGTACCTCCCGCGCGTGAGCCTATCAAGCTCAATGGTGGCGAAGGTGGTGATAGTTTTCCTCCGGTCATTTCGACTGCGCCATCAAATGCGACAAGCAACAATTCGCGTGCGCTCCCCCGAGTAGTCACCGAGCTACCTCCTCCCAGTCAGCTGGATATCGAGTGGTCTCCTGTGCTTAGCAAGACGAACGAACGGATCTTGAAACTTGGTAACATGGTCGTCTTGTCTTCGCCCGCATCGCACAGTCCGACATCGAAGAATGGCAGTGGCGAGAGTGAGGCACCCAAGAAGTTCTCGCGTTTCTTCTCGGGCACAGCAACAAAGAAGCGATCGCGCTTGGTGATGGTTACATCCTCCGCGCGGATTATCTTGGCTGCAGCTGGCGGCGACGAAAAGAAAGCGAAGACAGAGATTTCGCTGCTTGCGCCGGGGACACACTATCGAAGCACGACGGATGCCAAGGGTCACTCCTCGTGGATTGTGGACACGGTATGTCGTCGACGAACACAAGTTATAGACGATGAAATCAATTTACTAACATGACTACAGAGAGATAAACACTTCGTCTTTGAAGATCCTAAGCCCTCCTCCAGCAATATCGGAGCCACTGCGGTATCAGCGCAAGAGTGGTTGGATGCACTGGACCGGGCCAAGGAGATGGCCTCAATGCATCAAAGTGCTGGCCCTTACTCCGCCGAAGACGCTTTCCGCGATATTTCATCTGGGTTCTCTAGTCATGCCAACACACTCGATCGGAGTACGGAGCTTCAGAATGAGGCCAATGTGCCTCCTCCGGGGCGAAATCACTTGGTGAAGCACCAAGCCAACGACTCGGAATCGGTGAAGGGGAAGAAGAGATTCAGCCGACGCCATTCGAAGAACGGCCTTGCTGCTGTGTTCTAAACATTGGCGCCTAGCCATCTTGCTCCCCCAGAAGGGATTTGTGCTAGATGATATTCCTGCACCCAACCCCCAGAGGTTCCTTAAATATGAACTAGACTTTACTCTTGTTCGGTTTTTTCCCTAGGCATGCGGCCTTGTCCTCGCTACATGCTACCAGCCGTTGACGGACGTCTTTTCTTGGCTACCGGGGCCTTGATCCCATCTTATTGCTATTTCCTTTTCATCCCCCCACTGGCCTTCCCGCTTCAAGCGTACAGAAAGTACGGTGTTTCCTTTGCATATTGGTTGTTCTACCCTTTTTGCATTTTACAGTGACGAGCGTGTTTTGTTCGTTTTGGAATATGTTTTCTGCATTTAGAACTGGAAGGGAGCATGCGTGATTCCATCTTTGCTGTTGCTTTGCGTCTATTCCAAGTCTTACTTCTTTTCTTCGCGTCTCTCTTCTGTGTCTTGCTTCGGTCAATTGTTATATATCCCTGATTTGATCTGAAGCATATTGTCGACAAACCTCGCAACGCAGCTGGTATTCTCCCCTATACTTTGTTATCTCCATTCCCCCTTTCTGCATCTGGCGACCTGGCTTCTTTGTGTCTACGAGATGTTGATTTACTGCCGGGTTATTGTTGAGGCTACGGTAGAGAAGCTGTTTAGCCATTTCGCAACATGAATGTTTTACCTCTATACTCCTCTCCCACTCGCCCGTGTGCTTTTGAGAACCCCCGAGCAAGACTCGATACCTTCTTTTCTTTCTCTTGAATTTCTCATGTCACCTTCCTTGCTTACCCCCGCATATCCAATTTTTACTACTCACCATTAATCTGGCTGAACACCTTCATTGTGACTTTCTTTCCACTTCCCAATTTTCAATTCCTTCTTTCACACACTTAACTCTTCTCTGCAACTTTCCTTTTTAACCCCTTTTCCTCTCTTGACAGATTATAGTCTGTGTTCCCTTTGGCTGAACTCGAAAATTGATATACCCGGCTTTTTTCTTTTTCCTTTCCCTTCTTTTTTCTATCAATTCTGCTGCCGCCGAGCTGGTTGAACACTTTGTGGCGATTAAGATGAATTTTCTGTGCTGAGAAAAGTATCTTTCTAAGCGAGCATATCATGAATTTTTGATCTGAATCAGATATACTATAAACACCTACAAAAGGATTCTTGAGGACGAATCTCCTTTTATTATTCTCTTTGTATATCAAGTATAGCGTGTACGAATATTCAAGGTGAGGCTTAACGTGCTATGGTTTACATGGAGATTTGAAGAATACTGGTATTCCAACGAACAGTCTACAAAAGGAAAGCTCCGTCTATCAATGTTAATGTAGTATATGGTCGTCAGTAAAAGACTGCCTTTCAATTTCATCCGAGTCATTAATAAACACTTATCAGGATTATGTACAAGTAATAAAAGCCCGAATTGGCAGAGGAAAGAAGAGCACCGGACCATTTTTATACACAAGAATTCCCCTGGCAAACGCTATATCAAATAAACAGCCAATCAAGCCGTGACTCATCCAACTCATCAACCCAGTCAAACGTATTATCATAATCTTCGTCATCATCATGGTCGATATTGACATTAATAGTTCCACCACCACCATCCACATCCTCAAGCCCAAGATCAGAAAGTGTATTCAAGCACTTCTCGCGCCGTTTTTGATCATGTTTCTGCCACATCAATCGCAGAACCCACGCGGCATTTTGAACGTTGACGCTCGTTACGGCTTGGTAGAGAGCACCGAGTTTTTCCAGGACAAGGGGACGCTGGGAGGTACGCCGGCATTCGGCACCGGCGATGAATGTAGGCCATATCAGGCATTTGAAGTGTGGATCTGAGTAGGGTACGGAGCATATTTGATTGAGGAGGTCGCTCGCCACGGCAGAGTGGTCGGCGGGGAGGCTTACGTCCACCCAGGGAGGGGTGTAGCCCTCGCGGGTGCGGGATAGTACGCGGCTGGTGTAGAGGTAGACGGCTGTTTGGTAGGATCTTGCGAGGGCGATGCGGGTGGAGAGGTCGGAGAGGAAATGGGAGGATTGCATGTGGTGGGCCCAGGCCACGGGGTCGAAGTCGCGGATTCCCTGGAGGAGGGCCAGGTATGATTCCAGGGAGAGGGGTTGGCCTTGTTGCATTGAGGCGGGGAGGGCGGATGGTTGAGGGGTTGCAGTGGTGATTTCCGAGTCTGGATACCAGAGGGTGTGGATGAAGAAGATTACTTCTAGGAGGTAGGCGGGACAGCCGACCCAGGATGTTTCTTCGAGACGCTTGAGCATGGCGGGGCCCATGGCGGCGGAGTAGAATGGTTTAGAGAGGGCGCCTGGGCGGGCGAGAGTTGAACCCATGATTTCCATACTGGGGAAGAGGTTAGTTGGGTATTTGTGTGGGGGGCACAGTGGAAATTCTTACATTAAGCATCCGTCAATAGCAAAGGTTTCGAGTCCGTCAAGGATACCTCGGCCGAGGTTGTTCTCTGGACGGTCCCTCAAGAGCTTCTTCGCGCCTTCGATATGATAACTCCATGCTCCGCTTCCCGATTCGAATATATCCAGAAGAGCAAGCACGACGATAGTTGCCAATGTTCTGTCGTCCTTTTGCATCACGGGATTTGACAGGTCTTTGGACAGCTGATGGAGCGTGCGTTGCTTGAATTCAAGGAAGTGTTTGAATGCCCTTGAAGATGGCCGCCGATTACCTGCTGGGGAGACGATGGATTCAATATCTTCGGGCGAAAGAGGTGAGCTGCTGGCCAAGAGGTTGTTCGACGACCAAGGCATTTGGGAGGAGTCCGAGTCCGACATCAACGAATAGTGTAGAGCGCCCATGGCGCATAACCCGTGTGCGAGAAGCGGCGAGTCACCGACTAGAGAAATGATGTCGCGCCATGGGTTCTTGGACTGAGAATACACAACAAAGTCGTTGGTCATATGTTGATTGTCTAGACACACAAAAGTCAGCAGGAAGGTCAAATTTATCACTTAGCATATGCTTACACAACATACAGTGAAAAAGATAGAACCGAGACATTTGACTCATGTCTTTGAACAACGGGTCTACTAGACCCCACGGGGCTTGAATGTAATCCGTAGAGGCAGCTCGAGGAACATGTACCACCCTGTTGTCCGGTTCTTCTGCGAAGCCCGACCCATACATTATCTCCTCGTCGGCATTTTCCAAGCCTTCGTGTTCCACGCTCTCTTGTACATATGTATCGGATTCCGGGCTCGTATGTGCTCCAGAGCTCGGCGAGCTCGTAGCAGAGGAAGATTCGGCGATGGAGAAGAACCCAAAGCCGGAAGTATTTGTCGCCGCGGTCGTCTTAGCTTGAGTAGAGCTCTGGGCTTTGGAATCGCCGTCTGGTTTCTTGACATCGTCGAAGCTGCGACCCATCATCTTGCCTCGACTAGCCACGCCACCTTTCACCCAAACCAGCGGCTTCTGATAACCCAGACATTCTTTCCCGGCGTCGCGGCACTTTCTGCAAGTCGGCTGGCCATTGTCGCAGATAATGCGACGGCGTCGACAGGTATAGCAACCCTTGGTCATGATCGAAGTCGCAATAGTTGGAGATGTGAATTTCTAGAATCGTAGTTGAAAGAGGCTGGCCATTTGGAGAGTGCTTCCGTACTCCCCATCGCGGTCAGGAATCTGTGAATCGTTGGCAAGGCCACTCCGTCATTGCTGGACTGGAGTAGTTCAGGGACAGAGCATTTCCCCAGCTGTCAAAAAGTTGTGCTGGGAAAGAGTCAGCGGGTCCCAGAGTCCCGCCGGGTAATTCGGTGCGGGGCTTACCTAAGGAGACGAAGCTGGAGGACTTCTCCATGTTCTCCTCCGCGAACACCATCTAAGTCCATCACTTGAACAAAGTCAAGTCGATCACCACCTGTCGATATGGTATTCCATCTGTTCGGGCTGCGGGCCTTGGAGGTAAGTGGATTCCAGTGTTGTTGAGGTCGTGCCTCCCCGCTAACGGTTTGCAGGTCTGGTTGTACGGTCGAGTACGTTGAAATCCATCGCATCTCATCGCAAGTCCACGATATTAACCCCCCATCCAGCTCATCCGAAGCCCCCTCTTCCATCAAATGGTCGGTCGCGTTCATCAACGCGTGGAGCAGATTCGTCACGGTATACCTCCGGAGCCATCACGGACAACCCTCGAGGAAAAAGGTACGAACCCCGGTCGCGAAATGGGTAGCCTCGTTGTACTGTACAGCTGATCAGTTATTATTTGGCAGGATCCCTCGATAAGTTCGTTCGATATTTTAAGGAGGAAATTCAAGATCAGATGAAGGGAAAGCCGCCTAACAAGTTGTAACGGCCCATCGATCTTCTTTCTTCCGTTGGCGTTTGGTGACAAAACTGCATGATACCCATCAATTTGAATCTTCATCTCATTTCTTTTTTTTTCCTCTCTTCTTTCCATCTCTCATACCGAGCAGTGCCATCGGTCAAGGGGGTTTGTATCCTCGTGAGATCCAGCTCTGCGTGCGCTTTTGGCTGAAACGTATTGATCGCCCTCTCATTCTGCTACTTGTGGCTCTGTAACAGCATGGCTGCGATTTGCAAGGAGCGTGTACGAAAGATGTCAAAACGGAGCAAATGAAAAACTCTTTGAATCATGACTCTCTATCTAGTTATAGATTACGATGAGAAGTAAGCACCTTGAAGAAAAAAAAATGGGGTAAACAGTCGATAGGTATTTGGACTATTGGCTCCAGATAAGAACGCAGGAGCTGCGCGAATCAAATAAAAGCCGCGCGCGTCTCAGCCCAACGACGGGTCTCCAAGGTTAATAGTCGCCGAGAAATCCCTCACATGTGGGGTTTGACTTGACGGGCAGAAATGGAATTAGAATCAGGGCCAAAGGCTGGGCACCGATAAGGCCTGCGCGAGCCCTTGGTTAGACCGCAATTTAACATTGAACTGACTTGTTATTTGCACGACCACTAGCCCTATTAGGCTTAGCCCGTGTAACTTTCAGTCTTCTCAGCTTGGTTTGATTAGTATGTATTAGTGAATCTTGCTAAGTTGCCCTCACATTATACCTATGAAGGAGTTACCGCCAAACCAGGGTCCTTCCTTTTCTCCTGCATGGCTCCTTCGTAAGAAGGGCAATTGACCGGTTTGCAATGGCTAAACAACTGCCAATAGGCATTCGTTCCGGGAAGTATTCCATTACTCTTGATAGGTATCCTGTCGACGACGAAGGAAACCGCCCTGGCATCTACAATGAAGACACGGCAGTTGATATTGCCGATGAAGTGGAGCAAAACAAGTTGAATCATGTTCATTCGAGCTGAGCTGCTTGGGACAAATTGACCTAGGCTGGTAGTGATCCGGTTCCAGCATTCATCAGCCAGATGATTTTACCCTACTACATATTAGATTGCTGCTAGTTACGATATAACTACTAACTACTAAAGCACATTGTTCAAGACGGACTTCATGGGCATTCATTATTGCGAGGTTCCCCCGAATTCGTCTTAGGGGCGGGGAGATGGGTTCAATCATGCTCTTTGAAGATGGAAGTGGAGGTGACGGCTATAATTCCATGGGATTTTAAAGATAAGTCCGTGGAGGTCGAACTCCACGGAACCAAGATACTGGGAGGGGCTAGCAACAAACAAATATCTTGGCCAATGGGGTTGAACCAACTATGCTCCCATAGGGCCGGGTCATCCATTGTTTGGGAGTTTCTGTATACTCGCTGCCAACCACCATCTGTAGATAGGAGTAAGCAAAGCAGCTGGCTTTTCTACTGGCTGCCGACGAAACATTGACAGATATCCACTATAGCTAGGGCCTCCCCGCAATATCAGACGGGAGTGGGTCAACCCCGGATATCCCCAGACATCGGCATAAATAGTAATTTTTAAAGTCATCCTCCACGATCTCACTACAAACCCCCCTTTCTGGCCTTGTTTCCATCTTAAAGAAGACGATCGAGAGCATCCCACTTGATATGGAGACAAGCAAGCAGCATGTTGAGATGGTTGAGGATGTGCAACCTCTTCCTCCAGCTCCGCAAGAGCAGAAGTTCCCATCGGCACCACCAGTAATCGCTCTGATAGTAAGTCTCATGTCACCCCCCGCTCTTCCTTGAACATAGCGGTGATTAAAGCACATTCCTTCTCTAGGCAATCAACTCGATGGCCCTTGCTCAAATCATCAGCGTCGTTGGCTCTGGCGTTCTTGCCAACCAAACGACCGCCTACTTGGGTGATTCTTCGAAAGCAGGATGGCTGAGCATGCCTTTGACCATATTTACACTTGCCTTCAGCCCTCTTCTCAGCCAGGCTGCTGATTATTGGGGGAGGAAGTGGATAATCGTTACGACCGCAGTCGGCGGGCTTACAGGCTCGATCATCATCTCTAGAGCTCAGACTGTAAATGCTCTGATTGCCGGTTTCTGTATAGTTGGATTCTCGTTTGGAGGCCAGGCACTCTTCTATACGGTCGTCTCCGAGATTGTGCCCCGGCGATTTCGAGCTGTTGCACAGGCCACGCTCAACTTCACTAGTGGAATCGGAGGTATTATTTCTTTACTGATGGGAGGAGCTCTATTGAAAGACGGGGATTATGGAAAATACCGTATCTATTGGTATGTGGTTGCGGGTCTGTTCTTTATCTCGATCGCTGGCGTGGCGTTTTGCTTCAACCCCCCGCCACGGCAGCTCGAGAGCATTCTTACAACTAGACAAAAGTTGGCCTCACTGGACTGGATCGGTGCAGGCCTCCTAACTGGCAGTCTGACACTCCTTGCAATTGCCTTGGAGTGGTCGGGTAATCCCTATACGTGGGGTGACGCCGACCCCCATATCATTGCACCATTTACGATCGCCATTGTTCTTCTCATGGCCTTTGGCTTCTACGAGTGGAAAGTGAAGAAGGACGGACTCCTAGACCACAGGATGTTTCATGACAGGAACTTTCTCATTTGCCTGGTTACCATCTTTACCGAGGGCATGTCATACTTCACCAGCAACAGCTACTATGCCTATGAGGTGCAGGTCTTGACTGATGAGAACCTCTTTGACGCGGGCCTCAAGTACTCGATTGTATTTTTCTCAGCAGGTTTCGTCTCAGTCTTAGTAGCCGCCTATACAACCTGGACTAGGCAGCTGCGAGAGCCCTTGATCCTTGGATTCATCTTCTTGACGGTATTCAATTCTCTCATGGCAACCGTCACCTCGCACACCTCGAGCAACGTCTTCTGGGGCTATCCAGTGATCTGTGGAATGGGTATAGGCGTCTTGCTGACGAACTTGACGGTAATTACTCAGATGAGCACCCCTCCAGAGATGGTATCTATCACTACCGGTATTCTCACGGCAACCCGAAGTCTCGGCGCCACGGTGGCCCTTGCCGTCAATGGCGCCATCTTCAACGGCGCCCTCACCTCGAATGTTGGATCCAAGGTAGCTTCCGCGGTTCTTCCCCTCGGGTACCCACCCGATGAGCTAGGGGTCTTGATCCCAGCTTTCCTATCTGGAGATCAGTCAGCAATTCAATCTATCCCGGACTCGACCCCCGAGGTGCTTGAGGCGGCCGGAAGCGCCGTGAAGAGCGCATATGCTGCCTCGTTCCGGAATGTGTGGATTTGTGCAGCTTCATTTTCGGCCGTGGGCCTTCTAAGTATGTTCTCAGGTTCTCACACCGGTTCTTATACGCAGGGCTGACCTTATGACCTAGTCGCGTGCTTCTTACGAAATGTCAAGTCGGAATTCACTTCCACCATTGACGCCCCGCTTGTTGTTGCCCCATCGAAGTATGATGAAGAGGGCGAGAAGCGTGGGTGAATAGAGACAAGTACTCTAAGGGAATGCGGAATATGGCACGGATATCGTGGCCGGAAAGTGGAGCAGAGAGCACCTTATCTATATTCAGGAATACTGCATGTAGTTATGGGATTGGAAATATTTAGGCAGATTCTCACTATCCATTGTTGTCAAACGAATTCTACCATGGACCAGCACTTTCTCCGTGGAATTATCGTACAGTTACAGTCTATTTATACCCGTAGCTTGCCCCATGGTGTAGCCAGCAAGGCACCGCGATAATGAACGAATTCCATCACCTTGTCCGCTTCGAGAGCAAGGAAGGACACATTTTTATAGGGGACATTACAGAAGATGTGTCACATCTTGAGTCTCTAGTTGGTGTTGAAGCCGAGGTGTTCGAAGGTACCTCACCGTGGGACTCTGGATTCCGTAAAGTTGGTCATAAACAACGCATTTATCGAGTGAGGCTACCGTCTTGGGTTTTTGGAATCCCTCTAACACACGTTGCAGGTTCTCGCTCCGCTCCCGTCTGTGCCGATTTTTCCTTGCGTCGGGCTGAACTATCAGCACCACGCAGCGGAAGTGAACGTGTGTTCACCCGGAAGCATACGATCACAGTGACTGACACTTTGGGAACAGGTCGATATACCTTCGACTCCTCCCTTGTTCTACAAGCCACCAGGTGCACAAGAAGACTTTTTTTTCGTGCCGTGGATATGCCGTCGCTAACTCCGCTGTGATCAGATGCCCTAGCGGGTCCCGATGAGGACATTCACGTCCATCCGACAGCTCGATGTCTTGATTATGAAGGCGAACTATGCATCGTTATAGGTCGTGACTGTAAAAACCTCGCCGAGGACGACAATCCCCTGGACTATGTGTTTGGGTATACAGTGGGGAATGATATCTCTTCGAGGTACTGGCAGGCTCCAGCCATATCTAGTAATCAGGCAGGCTATGCGAAAGGATTCGACCAGTTCGCTCCTATCGGCCCTGTCATTACCTCAAGCCGACTTCTTCCGGATCTGTCCTGTCTGATGCTGACAACGCATGTCAATGGGGAGGAACGACAGCGCCATCGCCTGGATGACATGATCTTCGATGTTCCCGCTATTATTCGATTTATCAGCACAGGGAGAACGATCAAACAAGGGACAGTAATCATGACGGGTACTCCGAGTGGCGTGATTGCTGGAATGAGAGACAAGGTCTGGCTGAAGAATGGAGATACGGTCGAGGTTACGATTGAAAAAGTCGGACGGATCAAGAACAGAATGGTGATGGAGGAGGGGAGAGATGGTCCGTGAATTCTTTAAAATAAGAATGCGTGATCTAGTTTAACCTCCTGCAATACGCATTACTATCATATGCCCCCGAATGCCTCACGTCGTGTCCAAAGTAGTTCCGGATAGGCCAAAGTGCCGTCCTAAAAAGAATACTGTCAGCAATATTCGGGCAAGGTTGGGTCAAACAAGCATGCCTTCAAATAGAAGTCTCCGACGGGCTTCAACAGCATAGTCGTCTGTCCATCTGCGTTAGAGTACACGAGATTGCGCTTTTGGATCGACCCGAGGCGTTGCGGGTCACTCGCAGCCTCCACAGTGATCTCGAGACGAAGCGTGCCATCCGACTCTTCGAACAGCTGGACTTGTCCGCAGTAATGGGATACAGCTCGCAAAATTTCGGCCAGCTGTGCGTCCGTGGCCTCGGAGAGAGACACTTGACTATACTGTCGGAGCGTCTGCGGATTCACATTGTGCGCAGAGGAGAACCCCCCGGGAGTGATGACGGATCGACCTAGGGGCTCGACGCCATTGGGCTGCGACAAGAGCTTTCTCCCGGAACCATTGCGGTCCCAGATGTCAAAGGAGGTCAACTCCCAGACGCCGGCGATCGAGGATCGGTGTTGCAGCCAAACATTTGCCATTGTGATGGTGATGTGGACATACATAGACTGTGGCCATTCGATGCGCTTTAATTCATTTTCCTGATACCTGGTTGTTTCTCCCCGGATATTTGTTCTAGGGGTTTTTACTATAAGCAGCCTGGGAAATTCCCCGGAAATTTGCAGTATATCTACATCCACTGGGAAATTCCGGCTACATTAACCATTAATAAACTGACAGCACCATGGAAAATTACTCGCCAGTGTTTCTAACCAATCGCCGCTGGATAGAATGGCAACGATGGACACAATTGCCCTTACAGAATACCTTTTCATCCGGCTTCGACAGCTGGGGCTGGACACGATCCACGGTGTGCCCGGGGACTACAATCTCAGCGCACTGGACTTTATCGAACCACTGGGCCTGCGATGGGCGGGAAACTCCAACGAGCTCAACGCAAGCTATGCGGCAGATGGCTACGCCAGGGTGAAGGGAATTGGTGCTCTTGTCACCACGTCCGGGGTGGGCGAATTGTCCGCAATCAACGGGATTGCAGGCGCGTATGCAGAGCGCTCGCCAGTGGTTCATATCGTCGGCACCCCGCCGGTTGAAATACAAGCGTCGGGCATGTGTCTTCACCACACCTTTGGAGATGGCAACTTCCGCCGGTTTGCTCAAATGGCAGAGCATGTTGTAGTCGCCCACGCCAACCTGACCACGGTCGAGACCAGCGCCGAGGAAGTTGACCGCGTATTGACCATGTGCAAACTGCACAGCCGCCCCGTGTACATCGAGCTGCCAACAAACATGGTCAAGGCCCAAGTCTCCCGGGCCCGACTGGAAGAAGTCATTCCACCAGCGGACACATGCGTCTTGAACCGTGAGATCGTGGAAACCACGTCTCAGGCGATTTTGACGAGACTCTATGCTGCGCAGCAGCCGATGCTTTTACTGGATGGATTTGTGAGCCGATACAACGCGCGAGCAGAGGCCCAAGAGTTGGCACGAGCGCTTGGGATCCCGACCTACTCGACTGCCTTCGGTAGGAGCGTTCTGGAAGAGCCGCTACCAAACTTCCACGGGGTTTACTCAGGGCCCACCGGAAACTCCAAGCTGCACGCCTGGGCCCAGAGTTGCGATCTGGTCCTGACGTTGGGACCGCTATTCTCGGACTCCAATACCTTTGGATTCACCACCAAGCCCGATCCGAAAGTTTCGATTGCCATTCATAGAGAGCATGTGGAGCTTCCTGGGTCAGATCCTAACCGGAGCGAGACCATACACGGGGTGTCTATGAACCAGCTCCTGCGGAGCATCCTCAACCTTCTGGACACCGCGCAGCTGCTCTCAGTGCAGCACCCAGCCATAGCAGGACAGGATGTGCCCCTCCAGATCCCATCTTACGACGAACCCTTAAAACAGCAGACGCTATGGGACTTCCTGTCACAGCATCTTCTCCCCGGCGACATTGTTCTTGCTGACACCGGAACCAGCTCAATTGGATCTAGTACAATGGTACTTCCTCCACTGTGCACCTATATCACCTCTCCAATCTGGCTTTCTATCGGATTTGCACTCCCTGCAACCGCCGGGGCCGCAGCGGCGAAGAGAGATCTAGTTCTGACAGGACAGGCCAGTCGTGGTCGCACGATCGTATTCGAGGGGGACGGCAGTTTCCAGATGACCGCACAGTCAGTCAGTGATATGATTCGCGCCCGGCTGGATGTAATCATCATCGTGCTCAATAATCAGGGATACACGGTGGAGCGGTGGATCCATGGAATGAAGGCGCACTATAACGATATTATGCCCTGGCGGTATCTTCAGACAGCTGACTACTTCGGGGCCGTGCAGGACGATAGCTATCCGATTCTCACTCAGCGGGCATCCAATTGGAGGGAGCTGGCACAAGCGCTGCAGGCCCCTCAAGTTGTCAAGGGTAAAGGATTGACGATCGTGGAGCTGTTGTTGGAAGAGTCGGATGCCCCTTTGCCACTGCAGCAAATGGCTGGCGCTGCGGCCAAGCGATTCTGCACTTAGCAGGCAAAGCAAACCTGAAATTACAGCAGTATGATCTCTCAAGTAGAAGTCATGTTGTATCAGTACTATTTCTTTTCATTTCAATGTTAATCAACATGAGAGTTTCTGAAATTTTAAAGGTAATTATGATACACTTTTAGCTGTGGGGGTGAACGAAATTGTAATACTATTCATACCATGTACGTTACGCCATAGAATACGGCGCAGACATTTGGAATCGATTTAGCTATGTCGTGATTTAGGATGTACTAATTTTGATTCCTTCCTCCCTGTGTAGTGCCCCCTAGTTAGAACAAACTAGCAATGGTATATTTTTCCTTCCTACGCGTCCTCTTTAAGCTCCTCGTCGAGAAATCTATTTAAATGTAAGGATAGGGACCGGGGCGGGCTTGGCGGGTACTTTACATAAGGATCGCTTGGAATAACTAGTTTTGCGATGACCCCCATAACTAAGCGGGCCATTGTCTAGCCGGGGAGTCTCCGAAGGATTTTATGATGCACAACTTCCAGTTGTCTTATTAGTCGCGTGGCTTGCACCTTCCCCGCATAATGTTCTGTCCCCCCGGATTCCGGGCTTTTCACTCTCAGCCTCCTGATTCTGTCGGTTTCCTGCATTGATTCTGGCTTTGGCATTTCTGTTAAACCCTTATCCTGGACACGACCAATCTGATGACTCCTTCCGAAAGGCCTCCACAACGACATGGCCAGCAGCGTGCCAGTCGAGCGTGCGAGTACTGCCGAAAGAAGAGAGTAAGAAAGTCTCCGGAAGCGCAACTGGAATGGACTTCTGACTGGGAAAACAGCTTAAATGTACCCCTGAACAGCACCCTTGTCTCAACTGTCAACTATATCGGGAAGAGTGTGTCTATACTGAACGCAAAAAACGCAATTCCGGAGTGGGCCGCCCTTTCAGAAGCAGTGGAAGCGTAGGACGAAAGCCACTGCAACGAACGAACCAAGTTATAGAGACGCAGGAAATGGTTTCGAATGCAGGGGAACCCACTGCGATAATTGTGGACTCTCTCCTTGCGGAGCAAACTGACACAAACCCGAAACGGCCTCAAAATACGCTGGTGTCTCCGGGTCCTACAGACACTCTACCATCTAATAATGGCACGGGAGACTCGCTGCAATGGGACTTGGAGTACCCGAGCGCAGTGGACCAATTACATCAACAACACTCGCTAGAGACGACAGCATACTCCGAGGTAGAAAATGGTTATACCTCATTGGCACAAGGGTGGGAATTGCAAGTTCCTATGGACTACTGGGACCTCGATCTTCCCGTCAACATGGAGGCTTTCGGTAAGTCATATCAAGGGGTGGCGCTTCTAAGACATCAATGTCTCTAATCGTCTTTCGCAGAGCCGGAATCAACCATACTGGGCCCGAAAACAGTGTCAACATTGTCGGAGACTGGTAGAGTATCTGGCATATTCTCCTTTGCCGGCGATCAAACCGAGACCAATCTCCAGCCAGCCATCCCCGTAGGCCTATTTATCGCCAAGGATCCTCGAGTTAATTCCTTCATCGGTGCGTATGCTACTCCTTGTATAATGTATACTTAAACTGACATTTTGCCCCAGGTCTTCACTCAGCGGGATCAACACTGGCGATATGCCTGAAGGACTGTTCCGCCAGCTCACAGATTTTAGGCCAGCTGGACCATGTCCAGTTTCTTTTCAATGCGGGGCCGCATATCAATGAGTGTAATGTTCCAGAGGAGACGAAAACCTTATCGAGAGAATTCCCAGCGAGAGATTTCGCAGAATTTGGGATTCGGGGTATGATTACACCTGTCAAGTGATGCTAGAAGTGGTACTGATATGGTGTGCCAAAGCATATTTCAGAAATATTCACCCGATATACCCCATAATTGACCGACAAATATTCCTCGAAAACTGGCCTTCCCTGTACAATACGGAACCCGAACAGCTGGACGCTATCACATACTCTGCTTTTGTCCTCCTGGTCGCCATTGGAGCCCTGAGTGATTCTTCCCGATGTGGCGTGACTGACTACCAGACCTCGGTCTTGAAATTATACTGGCAGAGCTGGTATCTTCTAGACAAGGTGACTGGCTCTCCATTTCTCCCGTCCGTCCAGGTATTGGTTCTACATGTAATCCTTCAGATCCAGCTTAACAAGGAGGGGTTTGCATGGGTTCTCTGTGGTACTGCCAGTCGTATGGCACAGTCTCTTGGCCTTCATCGCCGTAGCCCAACCAGATTCAACCTTGGGGAGCCGGAGGTCTACCTCCGCTCCCATCTCTGGTGGGCTATACTCAGCCTGGATTCATTTCTTTCTGCAGTCGAGTGCCGGCCACCCAGCCTGCCGCCAAGCATGTGTGACCATGATATATTACCACTCAACATCAACACTCTCCCTATGGACGCTTGTACGGGCGATGTGGCAGACACTTACTATTGGAGTCTGAGGCTTACTCGCATCCGGCATGAATACTGCGTCATTGTAAATCGTTGCGAGAGCGTGTATTCACGGCTTGATGCGCTAGCTACGCTGGACCACAGGCTATTGCAATGGCGGGAGGAAGTTCCGCCAGATATTCGTCCTGGACAACAGATCATAGCGCCCAAGGCTCTGTATCATTTTGTTGCCCTACTCCATCTAGATTATTTTCACATTTTGTGCTCAATTCACTGGGCATCCATATTGTCAACCACCAATCCCGTTATTCTGAAGGCTCATCAGAGCATTCGGATCCAATCCAGCGAACATATTTGCGTCGCAGCTGCTCGATCATTCGTCGATGTGCTCAATGGTCTCAACACAGAGTATGACGGCAGCACGTTATTTCCAATCACGTAAAGTCTCCACTTGAAACGATGTATCCTGTTACGTGGTTCTGACAATCAATTAGCTTTCACAGTCATAGCTGCATTATCGTTAGCTCGCTGTTGTACCGCAACGTGATCTTGCATCCGCACCGTATCACCGCCAAGGGCGATCTGGAGTATTTTCGTGCGGGCAAACTTCATCTTGAGGGACAAAGATACCCGGGCACTTTATCCCCAACGCTCCAGGGGCTCTTTGAAAGTATGCTACAGGCAGCAGAAAATCTCCTGGCGACGACGGCAACGATGACATCGACGACATCGACAACATCGGCGACATCGGCGACATCGGCGACAACGAGATCAGCTTAAGTCATAGTTGTCTTGATATTTGTAGTTTGATTTGTCTGGCATGCCGATGTGGCCTGGTAGAATAGCTACCTACCTAGCTCTTGCGATAAAACATGTTTGACATTACACGATACCCACCTCCAACTTCCACGGAAGTATACACTCCAGCTCCACGGCTTTCCGAACACAAGGGTATCTCCAGCTCCCAGCGCCTGTCCCCGCTACCCTAGATCGTACGATCTGCCGATGATCGATTCCCCTCATATTTAATTCTATCGACTGCTCTTTGGAGTGGATTTGTTTCTCAACACGTAAGGCCCCAGTACCACTCAAAGTGACACACGATTAATCGGAAACGCAATGGCGACCACTGCGAGCATCCCGAAAAACGACTTTCGCGACGAGAAATACTCGAAGCTGGAAAGCCATTTTATTGGGCTTGACAAAAACGATGTCTATGCCTATTCCAAAGCCCTGCTCTCACGTGCAGAATTCAAGCCCATCTTTGACCCTTGGGTAGAGTCTGTGAAGACCCCATTCAGCGGCATCACCACCGACGGAACCAAGATCGAAGGTGTCTATAAGCTCGAGGAGAACAGAGCACCTACAGACGAAATGGTTAGTGGTCCTTTGAATTAGAAGGCTATCATCTTAATGATCCCTCGGAACAGGTGGCCGCCGCCAATCTAGTGCTCGAAGTTTTGACCCCAGAGGAACGGGCCAGGGTCACTGGCGACCTAGACGCTGAACACTGGTATAAGACATTGATTCAACCGTTGCCATCTTTGGCGGTATCTAACGGCATATCTCTTCCAGGAGAAAGTGGTCAAATCCCGAATTTATCTTCTTCAACGACTGCGGCCTACGACTAGACCACGGCGTGAAAAAAGAGACGATCGATGTCATCCTAGGCTTACTTCGGGCAAGCTTGAGCCAGAAAGGTTACGAAAAGGTTCAAGCAGGCCTGGTTACCAATGAGTTCCTTGGCGACCTAATCAACCTGCCCAAGATACTTAACAGATGGAGTTATTTGTATGTGTCTACATAATTGCTACTTCTCAGCAGTGTCACTAAGCGTTTCTTCTAGCTTTATGCTGCACGGTACCCCAAGTACCACCGAACCCTGGGGCTTTACGTGGCACGGCCACCACGTGTGCGTCAACGTCTTTGTGGTCGGAAAGCAAATGGTGATCGGTCCTTGTTTCATTGGCGCAGAGCCCAACGTGCGTCTTACCTCCTTAGTCTGCACGTTCTTGCCTTTATTTCTGACCGAATCATGTATTATAGGTCATTGACGAGGGTCCACACAAGGGCACCTTCTTGCTACAAGAGGAGGAGGTCACTGGGCTGCAGCTTATGCAGTCTCTTACCCCCGAACAGGCAAAGATTGCAGTGCTCTACCCTGAGATGGATGGCGAACTCCTTCCCAAGTGGCGATATAATCCTGCGGACCAGCGTCATCTTGCCGGGGCCTATCAAGATAACCGGCAGATCCCATATGAAGGGATCAACTGCAGTGAATTGAACGACACTCAACAGGCCTTGCTGTGGACTGTCATCGAGAGCTTTCAAAATATCCTGCCCGAGGAGCCTCGCAAGCAGCGCATGGCTGAAGTTCGGGCATACTTGGCCGAGACGTTCTTCTGCTGGATTGGCCGCTATGGTGACGATGATCCATTCTACTATCGCATCCAAAGCCCGGTGATTCTCCTCGAATTTGATCACCACTCGGGCCTCGCGTTAGATAGTGAGCGTAAGCCGGTCAAGCACCATATCCATACCATACAGCGTCTCCCGAATGGGAATGACTATGGCAGGGAAGTTATCCGTTTATTCCGCGAAAGTCGTTGATATTATGCTGGAGAGGACAGGGAAAGGCTTGAGACGTACATAGTCATTAATCTGAGGCCCTGATTTGCTTCTGCCTTTGATCATTCTGGTGGACCTCGGTATTAGTATATGGGATTTCGAGCTAGGTAAACAGACAATGGATATGTTCATTTGGACTCTACTTTACACATCGGAATTAGGACATGGAAATCACAGGTCCGTTTAAGATGGAAGTCCTCGGAAGACTTCACATTTCTCTATCTAATCAACGTCATTTAAAACCTATAGGATGAAAGGGACAGACCTTATCTATGTCGGCTCGAATGTGCGCCGGCAATGATGGAAATAGATGGATGATGCGTCAACTAGCAAGCAAAATCTGGAGATAGCATCCATATCACTGGATTGGAATGGCAGAAGCCAGAATGTACACCCCGTCACATACTACCGGCTCTGAACTGCTGACTCCATTCTATAACAAACCTCGATTTGGGCGGACGCATTCATTTCGTAACTTACCGTAGTATCCGCGTAATTTCAGTACGTACGAGCACGCCTCGTATTAATACCACGGAACACGGGACCGCCCGTGGTCCTGGTGCCGCTGACTCAGCGGAATCTTCCCCCGCCAAGGTTCCTTCCGTGGAACCTTAAGATATCGTCTCTCCACACTTTGGAGACGCACGGATTCTTCGGAATTGGCATTTTGACCCTGATAAACGACTCGAGGTAGTCTGCACGATGCAGTACAACAGAAAACCCGGGAATCGTGTTTTGAAGTATCGACTTATACTACGGTATCCGGCTAGAGCCCGATCTCCAGATGCATCGTAATGGAGAGACAACTACCTGAAAACCCGGGCATATGCATCTTAACCATGCGGGGGTTATGCATTCCTAAATGCAATGCCCTGCAAAGCTCCCCATGGTATTCCGGGGATCAAGAACTTGGATGCCGGATCTCTAATTCCACAGTATGACTATTAAGGGATTCGAATACCACCTAGCTCGATGAGTGTAGCATCGTCATATCTGCTAAACAACCCCCCCCCCCCCCCCCCCCATGGCTTCCATCGCACCCGAGAAGATTGGATCTCTTACTGCCCCCGAGGTGCGATCTCTTCAGAGTACTCCTAGTAATACCACAGCTGACTAGGTTCAGGTCGAACATGCGCCGGACAAAATCGGCCATGATGGTTGCAAAGATTTAGCGGGGCATACCTTCGAATACACTTATTCCTCAGGCGTCCACTACCGCATCAGTTTTGACGAGGAGAAAGCTTACTTCTCACTTCCATGGAGAATCGATGGCCTCACCTATGGTGGCCTTTCTTATAGAGCGCGTCAGTTACGAGACAATCAGTATTTGGTCCATTGGTTAATTCCAGGACGTGTAGGCGCTGTGGCACTTGTGTTTGATTTGACGCACAAGCGCGTTGATGCAGCAGCATTGATGCCTGGAAAATTTGAACTGTTCGACCGGGCGACATTTGACGAATTTAAATCCGGTGGAGAAGGCGCATTATACCATAAGAGCCCGGAGGAAGAAATTGATCCTTGGTAAACTAGAGATAGTTTGTTTGCAGTACCTCTAACAGTACGCATTCTGAATCAATATGAGTTTCTTGAGCCCTGGAATTGTTGCAGAGTAAAGCGGAGCGTATGTACGATGAAACCGAACACTCTAAATCCGGATCCTACGATTTGATTGGCAGGCTGAGAGCTTAAATCACCTGGCCTCGTGTGACACATGATTTTCAGGTCCTTAGTATTCAGCTATCAACATACTATTAATCTAAGTCATCTACACACGAGCTAAGGCTAAGATGGAGGACACTGAATCTTGCGCGTGGGGTTATCTCCTGGCTATTATCTGTTCGCCTATGGCGGTAGAAATTGAGAAAGCGTTTTAGTGCCTTCTACGTACTATCGCCGGAATGTCATCAAGCAGTGTAACTACTTCCCTTCTGGATGGCAAATGTCTCATTTCTCACAATTGACAGTTTATTGTTGAAGTAATACATTCCAGCCAATCGAAACCGGTCTTGCGGTTAACAGGCCCGTTTGTGTTTGTGGGGCAATCCGAGCTATTGAATATCCGAGGAAGTCCCACTTTAGTCCGGGGGAGTATGGAAGGCAGCCACACACGAACGTGGCATCGGGAGGTACATCGTTGAAACTACATCTTTGAAACTCCTATATCATACTTGAATGTCGCCTCTGTTACGTTGAGCCAGCCACTACTTCCCATTCATATATTCGAACATCCTTCTACATACAACCTCTGTATTGGACATTGGCAACGCCATGGACGCTGCTGTTATCATCATTGGTGGCGGCCCTGTTGGACTATGGGCGTCCTACGAGCTTCGCCTCGCCGGCATAAGCGTCATTGTCCTGGAATCAGATTTGGAAATATCCAACGCCATGAGAGGTGCCACAATCCATACTCGGACTATGGAGGTGTTCACAATGCGCGGTATTCACGAGGACCTTCTCGAGAATTCCGGTAAGCTCGTTCATGCTGCCTACGGCCAGCTGCCAACGCCAATTAGCTTCGCAACCCAAGATTCCGACTATCCGTTCGTCGTTATGCAAATTCAGCCTCGCACTACCGCAGTCATCCAGAAGCATGCCATCAAGCTCGGGCTTGATATCCGCCGTGGTCATGCAGCTACTGAAATCCACCAATCGAAGGACTCCGTGTCCGTCACTGTGCGAAATGACGCGGATGGAAGCACCTACGAACTTAAAGCCCAGTATCTCATCGGTGCCGACGGCGCAGATAGCATGGTCCGCAAAAAAGCGGGGATCACATTCGAGGGCGAAGGAGGCACGGTGTGGGTATGGGGCGACGACTTGACGCTCACTGACCCTCCTTCAACGCTTCCAGGGTCTTTATGGTCCCCCGAAGGCTCCCTTACCATTTTCCCCTTGCCTGGAGGGAAATTCCGTGTGGCGGGTATGAACCCAGATAACGTTGGCGCGGACGGGAAACGCGTTATGGATTTCGATGATCTGCGAGACAGAGTTGTGCGAATTGCAGGGAAAGATTTCGGAATGCACCACAGTGATACTATCTCCTCAACTAGCACCGCCAGCCTCATCGCTTCGAAGTACCGGGAGGGCCGGATCTTTATCGCGGGGGATGCGGCGCATAGGCATTCACCGACGGGTGGAATGGGTATGAACGTGGGCATTCAGGACGCCATGAATCTCGGGTGGAAGCTTGCAGCCGTGATTAATGGCTTGATGCCGCCAAGTCTGCTGGATACGTATGAGGCGGAGCGATGGCCGGTTGGGAGGGAATTGCTCCGGCAGACGCGCGCGCTGACTGGACTCGGCACTCTATTCGGATCTGATGGTATAGGGATACGAGAATTGTTTGATGGCTGTATCCAGAATTCCTCATATTTCAACAATTATCTTGCAGAGCACATGTCTGGGCTCTTCGTTCGGTATGCCTCGACTGACAGCAGCGGGCATGCGCTGGTCGGTGCGAGAGTGCCTAATTTGGTCTTTACGGACAACGGAGGCGCCAGACTCTACCCGCTCTTCAAATCCGGGCGGTATCTACTGCTGACGCTGACGTCGCAGCCACTCTACAATGGAGAGTATATAGTTGACGATAAGTTACCTGTCACCTACTGCTCGCGAAATCTCGACCGCACGGCAACCAAAGCCCAGGAGTGGGGCGACATTGCAGCAGCATTGATCCGACCAGATGGGCATGTCGCCTGGGCCAAAGCAGACTCGGATCTCGACGACCTTCGAAAGGAAATATCCACTGTGGTTGAAAAGACTTTCAGCAAGGAGCCCTCCTCTGCATCGGCTGATTGAGTGCCAATTCGATTCCATGAGATTCAACATGGCAACTCTCGCTCTACTTCGAGTCTTTCGAATTTCCAACTGTGATTGTCAATCTAGAAGCAAACGCATTTGACTACTGCTTTTTGAATGTTCTTATGTTGCGAACACCCACTAGGTACACATAGAATTTTCAACGCGCTATTATTCAACCGTAACACCGTCATACAATATTTCGATTTAATGTCTCGACAAGAGCACCTATCGATCTTCGTCCTAGTATAAAGTGACCAATAAATTTGGAAACATATGTTGGAGTTGGCTCAGGAAGCGATATAGGCTGATGAACGAGATTAAATTTCTCATGTTGAAGCATTTTAGCTCACACCGAGGTGGAAGATAAGCGCCAATTGCTCAAACCTAATTTTCTAAGGCAAGACAAGGAAGGGGATAGTTAAATCGGTACTACAGGAATAGCGGCACCCTGGCCTAAAGAAGAAGGCATTACCGCAAAGGCGGCTATAGAAGCGGTCGATAAATTGACCAATTATGGGTTTGAGCAACTGGCGTTTATCGTCCGCCTCACTCACACTAGTCACGATTTCTGAGGTAGACTTCTCGAATTATTGATATCAGAAAAACCAGCATTAGATTTTTTTTGACTCGATAATATCCTCTCTTGGCGCTTTTTCCTCATTGAAACCCGATAGACACCTATATAACAGTGTTATGCAGCGTACAATCTCACCCTGTTGAGGGTAGCTGTAGCGTATTCGGATCCAACTTTGGACTTTGACAGGATGTAAATCAGCAATTTCCTCCGTACAACATGCCAGTGCTGTAGGCGAGTCTTCTCTTCAGCACGTCTTGCGACGGGGTCGACAGAGTTGACGGGTTTGACGGGGTTTCTACGGGCAAGTTGATACATTGTTGGTCGACCCGGTGCGTCTATTCCTAATTCTTAAGTTCTTGATAAGAAAAGACAGAAAAAAGAAAAGAAAAACCCTCGATTGACTCTAGAAGGGTAACCTCTTGTACGTTTTGATTGTTTATACACAGCCCATATATACATGTGCGTACTCAACATTTAAGCCCAGATTGGATTCAGGCAAGCACCCATAGAGCAGACAAACCATGCCTATCATGCCTAAAAGCTAACTGGTGGCTGGATCTCGACGACTCCATAGCCAGATACGCCTTCTCCTTCAACATTAACGAACCCTTCGTAAGTTGAGGTTAAGGCCTGAGAGTCAATCATCTCTTGATCCTTGCGAATAGACGTGATGTTGAAAAATGACCCATCTGCAAGTTTGAGCGTCCATGCCGTTGCATATTCATTCCCACTGTGAGGAGAGAGCCAGGAAGAGCCGCGAGTTGTCAAGTTGGCAGCAACCACTACTTGGACGCCATCTTGAGCACGCACAGTAGCAAAGCCCTTGGTCCCACCCTGCCCATCTGGCGAGAACCAGATTGAGTATGATTTGCGGGCTTTGGTAAGAGAGTTTGTTGTATGAAGGGCAAACCAGGTCCATTGAGATGCTCCGGACGACTGGAACTGGCGGTCATACCAGGTGAATGACCTCTTGGGGTCAATGGCAATGGATTTGCCACCAGAGGTCAAGGAACCAGTTGTAGTGCCTTTGGGCATGGACCACTCATTTGCTATGACGGTTTCTGAAATGTTTATTAGTTAGAGCGTTCTAATGTCGGTCAGATAGAGCCTACCCCAAAGGAAACTGCCCTGTCCGCCATTGAGGATCACAGGGGAGGTCAGAGAAAACGTGATGTTAAAGATGGATGCTGGATCAGTACTGTAGATATTGATCGAACCAAGAGGATCGTCTGTAGTCGAGATAAATCCGTAGTCATCAAATTTGATCTTGACACCGGTTGTGTTTCCACTAACACTTGATGGCAGGCCAGCAATTGTTGTGGACTGGTTATAGAAACACGAGTTGGTTACATCAAGGATAGAAGAGCGCCGCACAGAAACACCCGATTCCAGGGAGAGGAAGTGGGATACTGCCAAATACTGGTGGTTATCGCTACCATAGATGTAGGAGGATGCCCAGTATGAACTCGAGATATTGGACTTGAAAGCTTGCGACCCGGCCAGGTCATATTGAACAGGTAAGGGATCCACCTGTTTAGATGTCAAGTTAGTTACTGCCTTTGTGCTGGGAGGGATGAGACAAACGAATTTTCCAAGCTGCATCCCTGTAACGTCTGGGACAAAGTCATATGAAGCCAGCGCCTGGAGGGCGCAGCCTCCCACGACGAAAGCGTAGCTAAATATCCCCCACATTTAAACTGCTTGTCACAACAAAGGAACACAAAATTATGATTGTCTTTTAGTCAGTCAATTGTAGGTTTTCAAAACAGTTCCTTGTTCAGAATATATATACAGGTTTAACTAATTCTTAAACCCCCTGGAGGTCCCTTATCCCATTACATAATATTCTGCCTGCCAAAAAGCTTCTATTAAGAGTCCAAGGAATCGATTTCATAGCGGTGGATAGAAATTTGAATGAAATGAAGGATTTATGCGCCCGTGGAACTAGAATTTCACTACATATTTTGTAACCAAGCGGGTATGGCAGGCGGTAGGGAGTCTACTGGGCGGTGTCACTGTATACTTCCCCGGGTAAGATGTTCTTCCCTGGATCTTAAAGCTCATCCTTTTGGGCTCCAAGAATGAGCTCCTATCCTAGTTCCGTCAAGTCGCATGGATATCTTACCTTTCCGCTTATTCAGCGGAACCGGCGCCGAGTCTTGACTAACTACAGATTCATGAAAGCCTCGAATACCCCCGCCCTTCAAGTGGAGGACGAGGCATCCCCCCACCCCCACAGTGCCAGATTATCGGGGTACAGGGTAGTAGGGTACGAGGGTCGCACTCAGGCCTGTAGAATACTTGATAGATGATAGTCATGTCCATGGGAGGGAGTCCCACGGGAATGTAGCTGGTTTAAAATCCCCCTTCGCAGACATCCTCTAACCCAGTCGCAAAAACAGAGTCAAATTTCTTTATAACATCAAAATGGAAATCAACGTCGATGTCATCATCGTCGGCTATGGGCCTGCAGGCGCCGTTTTGGCCTCCCTATTGGGTCAAAGAGGTCACCGAGTCGCTGTTTTGGAGAAATTTCCCAGCCCTTATAATCTGCCCCGGATGAGCACCCTTGATGGTGAAATCGCGCGTGTGCTACAACACACCGCAGACCCTGAGAAGGCGCTCGAGGACTCGTTACCGCAGCCTGCAGCATACCTATATGGAGCGGATGGTGAGCTCGTCAGCCGCGCAGACTGGAACACTGTTGTCTGCGGACACCCTGAAAGGCTGAGTCTGCATCAACCGAACATCGAATCCGCCATGCATACTCGTGTCGACAGCTGCTCGTCGGTTCAAGTGTTTTGGGGCACGGAAGCCACGGCTATTGATAATCTTGAGGACCACGTGGTCATCACTGCTACGAAAGTAGCAAGCGATGATACCAATACTCCAGCTGAGGAGTTCAAAGTGCGTGCCCGCTACGCGGTTGGCATGGATGGAGGATCGAGCTTCGTCCGCGAGGCGGTGGGCATCAAGATGGAGGTGCTGAAAGTCCACGATGATGAGTGGCAGCTAACCGACTACGATATTCTTGATCCCGCCGTAGAGGCCACAAGAACGGAGGTGCATATGGACGTTCCACGCCCCTACTATTGGGGACCAAACGGAGCTCGCCGCTGTCGTATTGATATGAAACTCCTTCCGGACGACGGGCCTGAGGTTAGAACGCATGCCGCAGCCCTCGCCTACCTAAAAGAGAAGACTGGGATTTTACCGGAGGCGGTACGCATCACGAGGCAGGTCATCTACAGATTTCGCTCGGCGATCGCCCAATGTATGCGGGTAGGAAACGTCTTTATTGGCGGCGACGCAGCCCATCTGATGACCCCCGGTATGGCACAGGGCTGCTGCAGTGCGATCCGCGACGGTATCAACCTTGCATGGCGTCTTGACCTGGTCCTGACCTCCCGCGCAAACGCAGCCATCCTCGATAGCTACGGACCCGAGCGCCTGGGACACGTTACGCCCCTCGTACAAGGGTCTATTCTAGGCTGGCAGATGACAACGGAGACCGATCCGGCCAAAGCTGCTACTCGCGATAACTTTATTCGAGCAGGGCTAGCGCCAGCGCCGCCTAAGCCAACTCTCACGACAGGCATCCTTCAACGAACAGCTGATAACCTCGCCCAGCTAGCAGGCACGTTAAGCCCTCAAGGACGTGTGCGGATTGATGGGCGCGAAGGGCTTCTTGACAGCCTAGTCGGCTTTGGATTCCAGTTAGTGAGCCGGATCCCCGTTGACGCTCTGCTGTCGCCTGCTCAGCAAGAACTACTCGACAAGCTCGGCGCCCATATTGTGGTCCTTGGATCTGAAGCCGCCGTCGACCTCGATATGACCTACCAAAATTATCTGGAAGCGCATGGACTAGTGGCGTACCTGAGCCGGCCCGATTTCTATATATTTGGGACCGCAGCTACTGCAGATGATATTCCCGTGATGGTGGACGCCTTGGCCAAGCAACTCGCCCAGCCGGTACCAGATACAGAACAACTTTCTGCAATCGATGAGCCTGTCACACTACCTGGGGCCAAATTTGTGCACAAGACTATCCCGGCGCTCGAATTCACGATCCACTATGCGGAAGCAGGGCCATCCAATCCAGCCGGGACAATCGTCTCGATACCAGGATCCGCAGGTCTGGAGATGTCCACGGCGAAGGATCAGCTCGCGGGGCGATATCGAGTCTTGGAGGTGAACCCTCCTGGCTGGGGCGATCAGACGGACGTCTCACGGCCCATGCCCCAGAGCGAGATCGGTGTGATTCTAGCTCGGGCGGTTGAGCAGTTGGTGGATGGGCCGTTCGTGCTGATTGCCACTTCCATGGGCGGCGGGAACGCGATGTACCTTGCTTCACAGATGCCCGATCGTGTGCGCGGTATCATTCTCGAGGGATCGATGACCCCCTGTCGGCCGCAGGATCTCCGGCCTATGTCCACGAGTCAACCGCCCATCCACCCAAAGAAGCCATGGGCAACGCAGGCCTATGTCGCCCATCAGATGTCTAATCGGATGCGCATGGTGCAGAACACCCCACCCGATATGGAGGCCACACCGGCAATCACCACGGTGCGTGAACGCGGGATTCCCGTGCTTAGTTTGGTCGGCGACGCAGACGAGGTGATGAAGCCAAATCAGGAGACGGTTCAAGCTGTACTGCCGCAAGCAGAATTTCAGCTGGTGCCAGAAGGCCGGCACGACTTGCAGAACACAGTTCCCGAGGAGTTTGTTTCCCGTGTAGAGTCCTTAATCGATGAGCGGCTCGCGTAGGCGCCTGTATATGGACAAAACGGGGAATCATAGATCAAAGTACAATTCATTGGCAGAGTAGTTTTGTGGAAATGTAATAGAATGTATCCATTTGACAACCTGACAAACTCAGTTCAATAATAATGCAGGGCTGTACCATAGACCAATCGGAGAGCGTGAAAGTTCGCGCCGTTTAACTAAAAGGTCCAGCAAGACTTCTGAATGACCAGAAGTCTTAATAGTTGACTAGTTATGGGATTCATAGACTATCTGTCAGCCGGGAAATTCGGACAAACTCGCACTGGCATGACAGGTCCATTTGATAGATTCTGCTACGCCTTATGGCCAAGGGAGAAGATGATTTGCGCAAGTGGGCTTCAGAGTTTGGCCCTGCGAGTCTAGAACTCGAGCGACGAGTCACGTCTCCGGGCTACTCTGCACCGAGGAAGGACTCATACCGACCCTGCAGTATGGAGTACTGTAGGTTGTGCAGTGCGTGTCTGGCGTCATGTACCCCTTGAAGTGACAGCGCGTTGTCGCCAGCGTTAACGCCACGGGGGCCAACTCAGGGCTAGTCGCCGGGTACGTCGGCTTCATTTCGCCTAGCGGATGAGGTCGGGTATGAATGGTGGAAATACTGGATGGGTCAGGAACCGTCAGATTGTAAACAATGCCTGTTGATTATTGAACGCTGGAATGTCTCCATGATGATATGCTATTTTGAGAGCACAGCTGTGATCGACGAGGGCCAAGGGTCGCATTTAATATATGCAGACCTCCATGTGTTCAATAAGCAGAACAGAATGGGCGAGGATGCACCAGATGCTAAATATGGCAGGATTGAGTGTGGGTCGTTGGCCGGTGGGGGCTTATTGGTTGGCCAGAGACGCGAATCCTTTGAGGGTGGTACACACAGTACTCGATCCGGAGTACACCAAAAAAAATGACCTGCTGGGTGGGATTATCAGAGAAATGGACTTGGCTGCATCAACCATCAGGGAAACTTATCCAATGTATTCGCATACGGCCAGTGTAACCCTTGGAGCATAGCCATTCAGGCAACCCAGGAGTCTTTAGGGGGGAAAAGACCTGAGACTAGGGCCGGGCTAGCGTGCCCAATTAGGATTAGCGGCACCTGCCTGTTGTTTCCACCTGACTTGGGCTGACTCTCCTCCCTTTTTCCCACGCCGTTTCGCTTTCGCTTTCGCCTTCCACTCTCTTTACTCCACGATCGTTCCTGTCTTTCTCCCCTCGTTCAGAGAAAAGACTTCTTCCATCCAACCACCTCCCCGTCCATCGTTCATCACCCATCGCCTATCATGCGTCTCTCAAAGCTCTCGTTCCTCGTCCAGGCTCTGCTCCTGGCCGCTGTTGCGGCTCAAAGCGCGGACGCTACCAACGTCCTCAGCGATATCACCAGCGGATCTTCATCCACCAGCAGCTCATCCTCTGAGCCTACCTCTGCTCCTTCCAGCACCTCTTCCACCACATCATCAACTTCCTCGACCACCGAGCCTCCCAGCACCACCTCCACCACGCACACGACTTCCACCACTTCCTCTACTTCCGAGGCCCCATCCACGACCTCCTCCACTTCTTCGACTACCTCATCTAAGGATTCCTCCACCACCAGTGTTGCCGACAAGACTACCGCAGCGGATACGGCTTCAACTACCCAGAGTAATGTGGTCAAGACCATCACCTCCGAGGTGACCATCAGCGGTACCACCAAGGCCACTGTCATGGTCACCACTTCCCCGGCTTCTCAGACCACCTCTCCTTCTCTCAACGGCAACAACAGCTCCTCCAGCAGTGGTATTTCTTCCTCGGATAAGAAGATCATCATCGGTGTCGTGGTCGGTGTCGGTGGTGCCATCCTGATCGGTGTTCTGGGTGTCGTCTTCTGGCGCATCCAGAAGAAGCGCAACGAGGCTTACAACGATGAAGATGATGATCTGATGGGCGGTACCGCCGTCGGCAGCGGCCCTCGTGAGAAGGCCCCTAGCCCGTCCCAGGGCGGTACCCCCTTCAAGAACACACTTGACCAGTACCACAACCCGGGTCCTGTTAACGCTGCATCCAACTTCTAAGTGATGCCCAAACCTTTTACTCATTCTGGACTGTATAACAGCTAGATTGAAGCAGTGCTTTGGTGCGACAACTTTAGTCGCAGTGTAAAAAGTTCCCATTTCTTGTGTACGATCATCATGCAAATTCTCCTCAGGCGCAATGGGCTGGTCAGGCGAAGGTCACGACTGCGTTTTTTTTCTTCTTCTCTGGTTGCCGATATCTTTTGTGCATTGGGGGCCTCTCATTTGGACTGCTCCCCTTCCATTCCTTTTTTTCGGCACAGCATCATAGATCAAATGTGCTTCCACTCCTTGAGCGTTTTTTGTCTTCTCAGCAACCTTCCACACTCCCTCAATGTGATCGCCTCTGTCGATACTTCTGCTACACCTACTAATCTTTCGGGACCTCTCTCCCTTTCCATATCTTCCTCTCGGCTTTCTCGGCCTCGCTATCTTGTGTCTCGTTTTGATTCCCCATGTAGGAGCGTTGAGTTCCTTGTTCTTTTTGATATAGCTATTGGAACAAATACATAAGACAATATCTGACAGTACAGAGCTTTCTCTTTCCATCGTAGTGCTAACAAGTCGTCGCTATTGATGACTGGTAGATTGGTGCAGGATCTGGGTTTACGAAGGGGTCTGCAGGAGATGCTCCAAGGGGTTTGTTTACCAGTGAGCTATTTCCTGGCTAGGCATGAGAGTACTGTATCGGCGACTGCATAATCCCCTCGTGGCTGTCGTTGAATTTCCTACATTTTGAGCCATTTTTATAAGACAGAACTATGGCTGATGTAGGAGGAGAATGTGTCTCATCAACTCGTCTCCTGCCTATCGAAGTCGAGGTGGACCTATTTACTTGGCGATTGCCCAATGGATGACGGATTAGTCAGATCACCCCAGGATTTCCATCCCACCGGCAACGTTGACAACGCTCCCGGTGGGATGAGACTGACGTTTCTATTCGCATCCTCACGAGACTGGCGAGTTGTTTGCTCATTTGACTATCAATTCATCTTCTAAGTCTTGCTTAACAAAATATGCCTCCTTCCAAGACTTCCACCAAACCATTCGCTTGTCAATTCCCCGGCTGTACGTCAAGCTATCAGCGGAAGGAACACCTGAATCGACACGAAGCACAGCATACCGGCGTTCTCGCCAGCGTGTGTTCTCTCTGCAATCGCACCTTCTCTCGAAAGTACTTCTCCATCTCGGCAACCTTACGTCTAATTGTGGAGTTGTTGAGTAATCGCTAATTCCGATGTAGTGACTCGTTGAGACGCCATATTCGTCAAGACCATAGTATTTCCGAACAGCACTCCACCCGATCTGCCCTAGCCTGTAATGCTTGTCGTCTCGCCAAGACACGATGTCATGGTGGGACTCCCTGCTTGCAATGCCGTACCAAGGGACAAGCGTGTACTTTTGAAACGGCCGCATCGACAACTTCACGCTCGCCATCGGACGAGGAGGTCTTTGCGGCCAGTGTAGAGGCTGCAGTCCCTATGGAAGACCGTACGGCCCAGACGAAGCACTATGTGGATCTTTACTTTACACACTTCCATCCCCATTGGCCTTTTTTGCATCGCGCAACGTTCAGCATCCCGGATGAGCCACCGTTACTGGTTCAGGCAGTCCTGATGATCGGTCTGTGGGTGAGTGAGAAACCGTCGGCACGACAGGCCGCGGTAGATCTGCATCAGAAGCTGGGATCATGGATTCGCGAACAGAGAGTACGTTTATCACTATTCTTATATGATGTCTACTAACAGATCCAGGTTCAATGGGAGAATCTCATACCCCGAAAAGAAAACGGAGAAGAAGGCCCCGTCTCTATATGTCCCATTGCCACATACCAGGGTATCCTACTATACCTGATCTTCTCATTAATCCAGGATACCAACTCCCGCTCTCTAAGCCTAAATCTATCCCTTTCACAATCCGACTATGAAATCCTCTGCGTGCTAGTACAAGTCTGTCGCCGGAATCATGTATTCTACTACCCCGGTATGCTGGAACGATACCAGGACGTTGATTCTATGGCTTGTATCTGGATTGGGGTGGAAGAGATGGGTCGGTTAGGGCTGGCGATGTACAAGGTCTCGTCTTTGTGCACAGCTGGGAATTTGGAGGATAAGGAGAATGCATTGCTTCAGTTGTCGGATTTGCAGTTTCCTGTTCCGGATAGTCGGACGTTGTGGGATGCAAAGTCTGATATGGAACTGTCGCAATTATTGCAGTTGGAGGCTGGTCGGGAGAGGCTTGATGCTAGTGATATGGCGAATTGGATCTCGGGTTGTGGGAAGGTGTTGGAATCGGGCAGTGAGAGGTGGTGGTTTTGATAATTGGCTCTTCGAGAATATTGCATGGAAGAGCAGGGGAATATTCTGTTATTCATAATTCCCTCGTTAAGCAAGACATAATTAATACAAGCTTTGTACTCGTCTGGGAAAGGTTTCGTATTCCGTAAATCAGTGCAACTCGCACGATACATGCCCTATCGACAAACCTAGGTCATAACGCAAAAGATTATTCAGTAATATCGGCAGCCTGGATAATAGAAGCAAATCCATCTCCCAATTCACAAAGCACAACAGAAACCAAAGTCTCCGCCTGAACACCGGGGATGTGCCGGTCACCAATAGCATCCGACACAACCAAGACGTCATACTCAAGATCGTTTCCAGCCCGCGCGGTAGTAGACACACAGACATGCGCCATATATCCCACAAGAACAATCTTCTTCCCCGTACTTCCCAGTCCCTGAAGATACTCATGCAAATCAGTCTGAGCAAACGAGCTCACATAATGCTTAGTGACAATCTTCTCGCCAGACTGGGGCTTCAACTCGTCAAATACAGATGCGAACGGCGTGCCGGGTGTGAAAACCGGTGCTCCCTCGGGTACTTCGTGGACGACGTGGACAATGTTACTGCCATTACCGCCACGGCGGTATCGAGATAGTAAATCTGCAATGACTTTGCGGCTTGCGTCGACATTTTCGACTTTCAGTTTGCCTGAGGCGTATTCGTTTTGGGCATCGATGATGATTAAGGTGGAGTCTTGCACGGATGCTGTGGATGGGGTGACGCCAACTAATTGGCGGAAGGATTTGGTGTCGGTAGACATGGTGGAGTTTATGTTTGTATGATAGAGGACTTGAGTGAAGTAGAGGTTGGGTTTATCCTGTTCGATGAGTAGATGGAAGGCTTATATACTATGCAGAGAGCTTCGGATCTACTTACTTCATCCGCTCAGGCTCTGTTATTAATCAGGACTGTTGGTGGGATGCCGGTGGGATACCTGTGGGATACCGGTGGGCGGATTTTGGGGAACTAGGACCATGTCGGCAGGTACAGTAAGTCATTGAAAAGCCAATCATTCTTTAGATTAGATTCATATTTCCAGGTCGAGACTATACTCGGAAGGGCTGCACAGAGTGGCGCTCCGAACGGGTCTGCTTCGTGCAGGCGACACTTATCTATCGCTCCCGAGCAATCATTCCAGGTCGCTCCTTTTCTACTCGAGTTTCTACTTTCTTCTTGAAAAGTACTCATCAATATAATTCTAGATATACAGTACATACAAACGCTGATGTCATGAAGGATTCGCGATCATTTCATCAGTCCGCCAGAAACTCTCATCCGAATCTCGCCTATGTACAATTGAAACCAGCATGCCCAACACGGCAAATTCAAGCTTCAACTTGACACTATAAACTGTCGCTTTGAAAATCACCTGCGTAAAATAGTAGTTCAAATACTGGAGAATCACCAGGGCCAAGTCCATGATAATAACGACGACGTTGACGGCCAGCAATTCGGACAGAATTTTATGCCGTTTCGCATCTCCAGTCGGACTCAATCGAATCAACCGCGTCGTATTCCAGATATATATCCCCGAGATAAAACATTCCTGCGCGGTAAACCAGGTCACTTGAATGCGCTCCATGGCAAAGTACCCGCGACTCCAACTAGGAGACTCGGGGTTGTAACTCCAACCCGCATTCAACACGATAGTCGGGACGACTATCACGACCAGGCTCAGCACGATCAGCCACCGCACGGTCTTCAGTATCGTCGTATTTTGCGACACCAAGTGTAGTCGTGAGTAGAGAACCACAGACTGGTTGGGTACCATCAGGATCCATGCAACATTCTGCACGACGACGCTCGCGCTGAGTGGCTCCAGATTGAAGTATTGCAACCCTCCCGCAATCGACTGGGGAGCCACGCCGAGGACGGCGGATGTCAACAGAGACCAAAAGTAGAGGCTGCGATAGCGGTGAAAGGATAGCGGGATGAGAATTGCTAGTTCGAGGGCATTGTACAAGGCGATGGCCATGAACACGATGATGCTGATATCGAGGGCATCGTCGATCTTGTTGTTCCCCGTCCCATGCGGGGATGATGGGTTCTGGGGATCCTGCAGGGATCCAGACATGCTGTAATGTGATGGGGTGTGGTAGGCCGACCAGCAGGAGGACCTGTGGGATGCATGCCCACGCAGATGGCAACGTGTGCCGTGTAGACGGAGGTTTGGCAGTGGGGGAGGAGTAGCATGCGGTCCAAGAGGGGAGGCCTGAAGGTAAAGTAAAGTTCTCTTACCCCATGTCTTCAGCCCGGTCTCCTGCCACGGTCGGCATGATGGGGGAAAGGACTCCCAGTAAAGTGGGCGAGTCGAAGTTTACCGGGGATCATGACCATTTAAACTTCAGGTAGGCCAATGATCCGGCTGAAGAACGAGGGCCAAGCGCGGTCCCGAGAGCAGAAGAAGGACTACCCCGCAAAAAGAGGCAAATTGCCATTGCCGTGCTAAGTTTCCAGACTTTTGGGTCTATAAGCGATTAGATCGTCCTCTTGGATAAATAATGTTTAATAAATTAAAGAGTACCAGGAGATAATGAGTCGAGTATGTGTATTTTTGAAACAAAAATAGAGAAACACCCTTTGCAGCGAGACCGTAACAGGCAGACGGTAAACTCTTGGATCATCGAGATCCGGCCTCTTACTGAAGTATACATATTAGTGGGTGGATACCTGGGACTTCACCTCTGGCCAGCCTTCAAATGCATCTTTCTACGTTCAATCCAGAAGCGTTCTACCTGGTAGAGGCCTCGAAGGCGTTGATGATAGCCCGATCTCAGACGATATTTTTTACTTTTAGCTGAAGAAAGACATGGTAGACAGGTATGTCCAATCCCATCGCGATTCAATCCAACTTAATATTATTCTCGAGTGCCATGGTTTATTTTGTAGACTGTGTACTTATACTCGTCTTATCTACGACTAAAATTGGGTAGGACTAGAATGAGCGCGTGAAGCACCGCTTACTCTATTTCCAAATGGCTGTACAGCATAATAGCAATCAGTCCTTACATGTTCTTCCGGTTGCGGATATAGAGGGTTTAGATAGAGACGCTCGACGGGCATATGCTCTATTCGCGAGATCCACTAGAGGCAGACTCATAATTTATGCATTTCTGATACCAAGATTGATAATTCTCCACTGCCTCAGCTAAGACTGTAGATCCCCTTGTCGAATCCAGGATCGACAGCATTTGACGTGCCGACGCGATCATCACGTGGCGCGCGGAATGCGCGTCGCGAAGCCATTTGAATGGGACTCGTCCACTCTCCAGCATCCCCACTCCATCCCCATACAAAAAGTCGCGACCAGCAGCGCGACCTTGGACTAACACTAAACCTCATTCGAGCCTGAGAAAGTGGAACTTCATCCATAAACCCCAGTTCTCAACCTAAAGGTCCCAATCCCCCTACAACAAGCTACCAAATCGCCGAATCCAGCAAAACCACATCACACTTCTACATCCGAACCGCGGAACCACATCTCTCCACTCTCTAATCTCCAAACCGTCACATCTCATCATGTTCGCAACACAAACCATCCCCTCATCACCCACCACTCCCTTCCGCCAAACAGGCCACTACACACCAGCCCGTCCATCCCCGCTCGGCCCACGAAGCACAAATATCGCCACACCCTCATGGACAATGGGCTCTCCCACACGCGCTGGCAACCTGCAAAAGCCAACCGGCCATGACGAAAACGCGCAAATCTCGCCCATCTCCTTTCCAACATTTGCTGTGCACACGGAGCAGCCACAGCGATACCATAACCCTAATCCCGTCTCCGTGTCAAACGAACACTCCAATTCCCCCAGCTTCGTCAACATCGCCTCCTCTCCCGCTCCATTCACCTTCCACTCAACTTCCCAGCAGCAGCAGCAGCAGCAGCAGCAACAACCCAACATCTTCTCACCAACATCACCCTCCCCGGCCTCCCCAACCCCATCAACACGCCCCCGCTTCGCAGAGCGGTACGCGACGCAAATCGCAAACCCCATGCGCACCACGACTTCCCTCGCGCGCTCCAAGACCCGCAAGATGTTCCTGAACCGGGTTAAGAGCGAGCGTGATGCGGGACGGTTCGAGGCGCGCGGGGAACAGATGATGATGGCGGAGTATTTGGCGGATAAGAGGCGGTGGGAGGAGAGTATGGCGCGGGATGTGGATGGGGTCCTGCGTGGGGTTGAAGGGGATATTGAGGATGATGGGATGCTTCCTGGTAAGTTTGGGCTTGGGCTTGGGCTTGTGTTTGGGGTGTTTGGGGGTCGTTTGCTAATCCTTGTTTTTTGGTATAGATGAAGCTGAGTTGAGGGCGTTGGATGAGTTTGTTTCGCAGGAGGAGGCGATGGAGAGGGCGTGGCAGGAGTCGTTGGGTAATAGGCATGGACTTGTGGAACAGGATGTTCCGTTTAGTGATGCTGAGTATGATGATCTTTTTATGCATTTGGAGGAACCTGCGCAGGATATGGATATGTCTTAGGTTGGGTTGGGTGTGGATGTGGATGTGGGTAGTCTATTGACCTAATCTGTTCGGTTCTTGTCTGTTTTAGCGTGGGATTTTGCATATGGCGGCGTTGTGGGTATAATCTTTTCGAATGTGGAATCTGTAAGATTCGATGCGTGGATATCTCGGAGTAAATAAGGGTATCGACGTGGTTGTGTATATGTACAAGTACAAAGCAAGCCGATGAGCATCAACATGAATGTGTATCTTTCTGTACGAAGAGCCAAATCCTCTTCTCATCCCATCTCTTCCTCGTTATTCTTGTACAGATCGTAAGATCTTATTGCTGTGGGCAATCAGGGATTCCGCCCGGTGCACCTCCAGGCGCACCACCCAGCTCTCCCATCAGCGGATTCGAAATCAACTCCTCCGGCGGGCTGCCAGCAGCTTGCATCTATACCGCAAATCATCAGCATCCTGCAACGAAAGAACGAAGAAAAAATCAATCAAAAACTCACCTCCTGCATGCGCTCCCACACATACTCCCGACACTTAGCATCCTCATCCGAGTACCCCGGCTCCTCAAACTTGAGCACAATCTGCTTCACAACGCGAGCCTGCGTCTCATACCGCTCCATATCCTCCACCGGCACCGTCCCCTCAGCCTTACTCTTCGCAATCCAAGGTCCAAACTTGCCATCCAACTCCTTCATCGGCTCATAAAGCATCTCCTTATTCGACAACTGCTCCATCATCCCCATAAACATCTTCGTCAGATCACCGTCCTCACCCGCCCCAGATGCACCAGCCTCCACAGCCTTGAGTAACTGCGCGATCAAATCATCGTCTAACCCGTCACCTGTCGTCGCAGCTTCCGTCGCACGATCACCGGATTGCTTCATTCGCTCGATGGTGCGCTGAATCGCATCGTTGAAGTTCTCGGGTTGTTCCCCGTCCGCGATACCAGCTGGCGGTGGCGTAGCCGAGGCTGCTGATGGACCCTTTGCGATACCTTCTGCACCGGCGCTACCATTTTCCTCGGCCATCACGTCTGCAAGCAGCTGTTTCAGGAAATCACCTGGTGGAATCCCGCTCTCCTCGAGCTGTTTCGCAAAGGCGTCTGCGCCTTGGTCGACGGCCGATTGGAAGTCTTGTGCGTCGGCGGCGCCGGGCCTGCGGCACCAGGGTTGGCCATCATGTTGGCCATGTCTTTCTCCAGTTGCTTGAGGAAGGCATCCTCGTCGAAATCGGGCGGGGCGATGCCGGTGGCGGGGTCGGATTGTGTAGCTGCCGGCGCGGGTGCAGGCACAGCTTTGGGTTTAGAGAAGTCATCTAGCACGTCTGTTGGTGAAAAGTTTGAGGTTAGTTTATGTGCGAGGAGAGGGCTGCGTGGTGTGGTGTGGCTTTGGTGTATGTGATGGCGGGGTTGAATTGATAGTTGCTTACCATCCAATTCATCAAAGTCCGAGTCTTCATCGTCCTCGTCTCCGACTTGTGGATTTGTGGCCTGCGGCTTCTGTGTAGACTCTGCTGATGCAGGCGCGGCATTCTCGGGAGCAGACTGGTCGCCGGTCACCGTCGTCGTGGCCGCTGGAGTCGCGGGGGTTTCTTCGCGGGGATGGTCGCCCGAGCCGGAGGCAGGGTTCGCCATGGTGGTAAATTCCTATGACGGAGGGGGAGAAAGGGGGGGAAGCCGAGTAAAAGCTTGTCGTGCGCGAGAAAATCAGCTCGGCGAGCTAGATCTAGCGACCGGGTTTAGAAAGGAGGGTTGGGCTGGTTGAAGGAGACGGTCACGGCATGTGATGGGATGGGAATTTGGCGGGGAACCGACCGCCGATCGCCGAGGGAACAACGCCGGCGGTTCGGCAAGTCCTTTTGATGAGGCATTGAGAGGGTATGAAGGGTGAGAGTATAAGATGGGATGGTATGGAATTAGGATTTGCATTTTGAAGTGAACTCCGTGATACTTTGCAGAGAAATGCTCATGTCATGTGTGTGGTCCAGCCAGAGCCAACTTCGTTAGAGTGTATATAGTTTAGTTTCTACAGGGTGCTTCCAAGCAATGAGAAGGGGTCCAGGCACCGAGTATGGAATGCATAAACACCGAGATCTAGTTCTGAAGAGTTCAAGCAGAAGCGGGATGGATTCTTAGAGTCAACATCAACATTCCCCATTCGTAGAGTGCCTCAGGCCATACAAACAACGTGTTCATCGATGCGTCCGAGTCTGCATGGCCACCCCGCACCGGAAGTTGGGGGAAGCGAGTCTGCATTGCATCATCCCAGCAAGAATCTGGGGCCGGATCTGGGCACTAGAGAGAGAAATGCAGCCATCATGTGGAATTCGGCCAATAAAAAGCGCTTCTGGTGATCAAACAGAATGCTAGGGTGGTCTTAGTATTATTTCACTAGGGGGATATTATTGAGCAGCCGCAGGCCCGTGTTGCCCTCTTCTGTCCTCGTGATGAGGGGGCCAAGGTCATGTGGCCTAGGGGCAAAGAAAAATCAAAAACCCTTGGTACCCGGGGAACATGAAATACCTCACATGTAGACCGGGCGTACGAGGATATACTAGGAGATGCCGGATGCAAGTTGCATGTCTATGCTAGAGTAGTATGACGTTGATGGTATACAGAGGCTGTCGCGGTAGGAAAGGAAAAAGCGAGAGAACAAAAGTACTCGTACTATACTCTATATAGAGCACTTGGTACGATGTCGGCAGAACCGTCATAACGGTGGCCTTGACTGGCATGTACCCCTGAAACCCCACGGTGAGCTGAGTCTGGACTAGGCGCGGCGGAAGACGCCGATGGGAGGAGAGTGTTAGGTATGCATAGGCCGTAGGCCCTAGAGTCCCTAGACTCGAGCAGGCTGTTAACTATGGACTGCATAGTGGTGGTGTGAGGCTGGGCTGACCCCCGGTTCGCCCCGGTATCGGCTATTCGGCCTCTGGGCTGTCTTGGCTCTGAAGTCTCTGTTCTAGTCTTTTGGTACCTTCGCCACCTACTAATAGTTGTTTTTCAAACTACTCCCTATATTCATCAATTTGTTCTACTCCTGTCGTTCATACTTTTATAGAACTCATGTAGACTCCTTATAACTACTGTAGTCACTTTATTTGTTCTCATACTCATTTATAGACTTACCGACGTAGTTATACTCAAGCCAACGTCCCTCCCGCCTTCTCCGCGGAAGCCCTAGGACTGTTGTTTGATTTTTTTTCCTTCCCTCTCTTTCTCCACGGCCAGATGGCCCGTACGACACGAGGGGGACTTTGCGACTTGGCCACCAACCATTCTGCCTTGAGTGGACCCGTGCCGTCACCGAGAGGAGAGGGCGGCCATTCATGGAGGTGGAGTCGCCAACAGGGCAAAGGGGAGAAATGAACAGGAAAAAAAGGAAAAAAAAGAAAGTCAAAGGAACTAAGGCAAAGAAAAGAAAATTCTGTCCAGGTCTCTAGGAGTGAATTCTCTCGTCTGACCCCCAAAGAACCCACCGAAAACCCGCCCAACCCGCTCAACTCGAAAAGAGGAGCCAAGGGCAACAATATTATTATTCGTTTAGTCAATCGCTTTACCTCACATTAATTCTTCTTCCCTTCCACCCCCCGCCTTCCTTCCCACCCCGTTTACGTTTTATCTCAAATTCTCTGACTCTTCCTTTCTCATAATCATCAATTTCTTTTATGTCACTCTCTCGCCTCCCTTCCGCACGTCCCTTCTAACCGCTTAGCCGCGCGTCTCCTGCGTCTGCTCGTCTCTTTTTTTTCCCTCCTCTTTTTTTCGCGGTCCCAAAGCCCGTGGCTCGGCGGGGGGAAAAGAGGCCGGAGGGGAAACGTATTCTCTATAGCAAAACCCGACTAGAAAGACTAACCCCCCTGTGCGGGTGTGCTTTACTGGTCGTGTCTTCTGTTCAATCAACCATCGTTGGAGAGTGTGAGAGAGAGGGTTGGTGGAAGAGTCTTGGGGGGAGGTTCGATAAGTTAAAAACCACCTATCTCTGATAACGAGAACGCGCCTGTTGGGCTCCAATGGTCTCTATGGTCGAGACCGCCTCCCATCCCGAACACAATGACACCGTCATGGACCCGGTCGTCCCCAAGTCGGAGCCTTTACCTGATGGTTCCATCAGCTCGACGGTGTCAACGCCAGACGCTGAGGCTGAACCATTAACCCAAGATACCACCCAGACTCAAAAGCGAAAAGGTGGTCGCAAACCTGTACGTCACCACCACCTCCCAACTTTCTTTTTTTTTCCTTTTTCCTTTTTTTGGGCTTGTGCTTGATGCATCTTTGATGCAATAATCCGGGGCCCCGCATTCCTTTCCCTTTCCCGATTACATTGATATGCTTCCCTTGCGATGGCCTCTATAATATCGCCGTCCCCATCGTTACCGTTTATGATCATTGGCTCATACCATCCTAGATTTATGCTACCTCGGAGGAACGGAAGCAGCGCAACCGACAGGCTCAGGCTGCCTTCCGAGAACGTCGTACGGAGTACATTCGTCAGCTAGAGACTACCATCAAGCGCAATGAGGAGTCTCTGCAGAGTCTACAGCAGAGCCATCGCAGCGCCGCAGATGAGTGTTTGATGCTGCGGTATAAGAACTCGTTGCTAGAGCGAATCTTGCTCGAGAAAGGTTTGTCCTATTTTCACCCTTTTTTTATCTTGCTATCTATACTAACTGTCAATTCAATCAGGCATTGATGTCCAAGCTGAGCTACGGCTGAAGACCGGGGCTCCAGGCTCATCGGCCAAACCCAATCCCGTACCAGCCAAGTCGGGTCCTATCCCTCGTCCTACCCAGAGACATCCGGCAGGTATCGCCTCCAAGCCGGATGCATTTGCGATCTCTCAACGTGAAGGTGCCTATGCTGTACCATCGCCGCAGTTCCAGGCCACCCCAACCTCCCATGTATCATCGCCATCACACGCCAAGTCACCGGGTTATGGCTTCCAGGGTGGTATGTCGCCCGTTGAAGTCAACGCCCAAGGAGGCGGCCGTCCCCAACTGTTGCCCCAGCCACGGACATTCACCAGCCAAACATCCCCAGGCGCGATCAGCATGCCCCAAACCGACCCCACGGAAAAGGCTCGTGGGCCTCGCGGTGCGCGAGTGGCGGCTGCCTATTACCCATCTCCATTCCAGAAACATTACGACCAACTCGGTGAGCAATACCTCTCTCATCTTCCTATTCATTCCAACCAAGTGAATGCTTTGCTGACCACGGCCAGAACAAGAGTACGACGCACAAGCCGATCTCGTCGATGATGACCATGACGGCTCCGTCAATGCCTCCTACGTCCCGGGCTTCACCCCACAGTCGGTGGCCTCGGGCTCTCACAACATGACGGGTTATAATCCATCTCAAGATGGAGCGCCCGGAGATTACGGCAATGCCAATCAGCTCATGGCTCAATACGAGCCCATGTTGGACGCAGATCCATTCGGGTTGAGTGCTAGCATGCACTTCCCGACGCCGTTCAACTACGAACAGAACAATCCTCGTTCTTGACCAGAGGATAGAAAACGAAAATCCAAAAAGTACATTCTCACTTGTCGGCCAACTTTTTTGCGTCATCTTGTCCGAAATCCTTGAATTCGTCTTTACTGCAAAAAAAGTCATTTTTTGAGCATTGCCCGGCGTTGTTGGAATGAATCGATACCAGGGAATACAACGGCACCATCCAGATTTTATGGTCTGGATGAATTGACTGAATTGCAAATGCAGTACATGTTCTAAACCCGTTGCGTATATAGTTCATGGGTTCAATAGTTAACCTTCCGGGGACGATGACGACGGTTATACATATTTACGACTCGTCCGGTAGAATATCAAAACTACCTAGCTACACCAGGAATTAGCTCCGTCAAACCCCACTAAAGCAAGCGTAATGTGACTAAGGTCAAATCTAAAATTTCATGAAAATGCGACAGCAAATGTATGATGCCGGAAGCTCCGCCAGTGACGCCATGATACCCTAAGCCCTAGCCTGATTCGCTTAGTAAATGGCGCCTAACCGGATTCGGGGTGCACCACAAACCTCCCCTTCTTCCCTCGATCACTCGGTACTCGGTACGATCACCCGCTTCATCATCATCCCTTCGCATTCAAAAGGCCGGATCTGCTGAGGTTCTGCCTTGTGTGCCCTCTTCCCCCCTTTTTTTTACACAAGTCGAGCGCCTTCCTGCCCGGAAGGACTCACGCAACACCAGGCGTCATGGTGGACGTCCGGTCCAAGGTACGCTGAGAACCGATGAAACAGCTCTCGCCTGTGCCCGCGAGGGCTTCCTGGAAGCTCACGGGTCGACTTGAGAGCTGGCGGAGGCTGTGGCTAACGTGTGATTGTGCTTTTCTTTCGATTTTATAGAACCTCTATGAGCTTCTTGGTAAATATTTCCCTTTTCTACGCTTTCTTTTTTTGGGGGTTTCTTGGGGATGCTTGTGTGCTCTCGAGCTTCAGCTCGGGTTCCGTCGGAACTCTTCTCCCCCCGCGAACCACATTCAAATGGATTCCTTCCATTTCAATTCTAATCAGAGTTCTAATATCATTCGAATTTAACAGGCAATGACCCCGAGCTCGACCCTAACAGACCCCCTGCGCCTCCCGCCAAGGCTGTCGACCGTCCCGCTCCCCGCGTTGGCAAGCGTGATGCTCCCAAGGAGGCTCCCTCCACCCAGCCCCGTGAGAACGCTGGCCGCCGTGGTGGCCGTGTGACCGGTGGCAACGATGCCGGTATGTGAATTGATAGGGTTCCATCTATTACAAAAGGTGGAGATGGAGAAATTGTCTGCATAGATGGCTGACAATCCGGTACAGCTTTCCGTGACCGCAACGCCGGCCGCACCAACAACCGCCAGAAGCCCACCGATGAGGCCGAGCAGCCCTCCCGCCCCCGTGGCGGCAACCGTGGCCGTGGCGACCGCCAGTCCCGCACTGGCCAGACGTAAGAGATACCCGTTTCCGATGACGAAGCAGACTCGAATGGGAACAGAGGAGGCAACCGCATAGAAGCCCCCCGCATCCTACAGGAGCTTGCTTCGACGAAGCAATTGAGACTAACCTTTCTATCTAGTGACACCCGCAAGCAGGTCCAGCAGGGCTGGGGCGGCGAGTCCGGCGAGAAGAACTGGGACGATGAGCGTGTTGGCGAGACCATCGCCAAGGCCGATGAGACCGAGCCCCAGACCCCCGCTGAGGAGGTTGAGGAGGCCGACAAGTCCAAGTCCTACACCGACTACCTGGCTGAGAAGGCTGCTAAGGACAGCCTCGCTGCCAAGCCCGTCCGTGCCGCCAACGAGGGCACCAAGGAGGACAAGAAGTGGGCTGCTGCCAAGGAGCTGAAGCACGAGGAGGCCCAGACCTACTTCCAGGGTGCCTCTGAGAAGACCAAGCGCGAGAAGCAGCGCAAGGAGAAGAACTACCTTGACGTCGACATGCGCTTCGTTGAGCAGCCCCGCCCTGCTCCCACCGGTGGCCGTGGTGGCCGTGGCGGCCGTGGTGGTGACCGCGCTCCCCGTGGTGACCGTCCCGCTCGTGGTGGTGACCGCCCTGCTCGCGGTGCTCCCCGTGGTGGTGCTCCCTCTGCTGCTCCCCGTGGTGCTGCTCCCTCTGCTGCTCCCCGTGGTGGCCGTGGTGGTGCCCGCGCCCCCGCCGGCCCTACCGTCGACGAGAAGAACTTCCCCAGCCTGGGCGGCAACTAAAAAATGAACACCCAAAAAAGCCTTTGGCCCAAGCGCTGTTTGAACGAGTGTCCTCGGTTTTAGAAACTGGGAGGCATTTCGCTCTTCTCGCAGACTGCCCTTCCCTGCTTTGTGTTCTCTTCTGTTTCCCACCCCGTTCTCTCTCTCTGTCTATCTCTCTGGCCCGTTCTCTCTCTATCTTCCTCTCTCTCTCCTCTTCTCTTCTGGATGTAACTTCCGTATTACATCACCCAGAGAGTCGTTATTCTATGTCTTGTTCTAGTCGTCCATGGGGGAAATGTCCAAACTCGTGCAATGGCAATAAATGGTGTGACGAATTGATTTTCGATGAAAAAAATTGTTCAAATTGTTTTTTCTCTCCCCCTTTTGCTCGGGTTTTTACCTTTTTTCCTCCATTTCCTTTTATTTACTATTCCGATACGACTGGGCTTTCTCGTGGGATGATGGATGACGATTTGGAGAGGGCGGAACGGTGTGTGGGAAAGAGAGGGCATGGTGGATTCTTCTGTCTTGTCCGGGAATGTGCTCTCTAAAATTCAAAAATTATCTAGGGGCTCTGGGTTGTTTCGTTTCTTGCCCCCGATGGAGAGGGGATGGAGATGATAATCCGGGGTCTATGTGTCTTGTGCTCTCTTGACATTTTTTTCTTATTTTCCTACCTTCGGATGTGGAAGGTGTGCAAACGTGAATTGGATGAACTGAAATTTCAATTGGCTCTTCTATGTAGTTTGTAGATCTCGTTTAATAAGAATAAGATGTCTAGAACGTGACTGTAGTACCTCGATGCCTCCATCGGTTTGGCGGGGGTCTACTACTGTCGCTGGTTTCTTAGTAGTTCAAAATCATGACGACATTGGGTGGGACTTTAAGATTTCAATGCTCAATCCATTTGAATTCCAAGTTACCGAATGGATTTTAATAAGTACTTACATGCTCGCTCCAGATCTTTACACCTGCGTATGTAGTCGAGAGGCCGATCCCTATAGTTCCTTTGCCCGGTACTGCTATACTAAGGCCGGTCTTAAAAAGAGTCGCCCTCGCCATGAATCGAACCTGCGACCTCTCGCTCCCTATATCAGTAGCTCTCACAGACATACCGAAATGATGTTCTCTCTTGTCTGGGCATGTCTTGCCGCACTCGTTTCAGAGGCTCGCGGGGACTTTGTGTCAGTTAACTATCACAAGTACAATGATGGAGAATTGGGCCACCGTCCTCATCTCGAATTCCACTCAAGCAGCGAATATTCACCCGTGCTACAAGTTAATATATGGGACAGGGATGCTATATCTCAAGAGGGCTCTTATATCTTTCTTCGACATAACGGTAACGAATCGTCACCTCTCTCATCACCGCTTATCCTTGACGCTAACGATCTAAACGCTACATTCATGAACCGATCCTTTCAGAATATCTTCGGTACTCGAGTATAGGAGAATTTCGGCAAGAAGTACTTAACGTTTTGGGCGGGAGATAAAGGCGAAGGGATTAGTGACGGCTATAGTTTTGCGTATAACGATCCCTATCGCCTAGCCTATAAAGTATCGGTAGAGAATCTTAGGATATATAGTAACCTCCACGAGTTTATATTTATAGGAAATAGAATAGCGTTAGTCACCGGAGTTAATAAGATACGCGTTCGAGGTACGAACTATAAGGGATAGAATTTACCCTTCTTATTCGAGATTCTAGACGGTATTATCTAGGAGATTAATCTCGAGATAAATAAGGTACTTTTTAACTAGCGCGCTCTCGACTACGTTAACCCTCTCGACTCGTCCGAGAGAAGGGGCTTAGGCAAGGATACCTATTACTTAAATAATATCGAAAAAGTTAGACGATACCTAGCTATTAAGTCACTTTTTTTAATAGTAGTAATATAAATTCTAATACGCTACGATATTTAGACTTAGGCTAGAAATTACCTTATCTCGATACGCTATCTCTACTCTATTATCCTGATTAACGGAAAAACGGGTAAGATTATGTCGGACTTTAGGCGGTGACTATAAAGTCGTGGTAGGATAGGACTTAATGTAGTGTCTAGTTATACTATATAGTATCTGGTTACACTGGTATGAGTATGTCGGTCGTGCGTACTTATAAGGAGAAGTGACAGATCCTAGTATACCGGGGATTGATCCACATAGGACGAAAGGGGACTAGGCAGTAGCTTCCTCTTGGTTATAGGATCCTACTGTCTAGGAAGGGAAAGAAGGTCTTGAGAACAATAAAGTCGATTGAACTGCTAGCTAAACAGTGGTGTAAACGAGCGTTTAAATACACTATTTGCAGTGGTTTAGGCAGCAAGGGAATAGGGCAGAGATCTAATAATCTGATAGATCTCAACGCAGGATGGAAATGTGCAGAAAGGACGTCAGGATCCTTAGTCAAATAGCCAATTAGGCCATGGTCGGTATCTCTGTTGAAGAGGTGTATATAGAGGGGTTTTCTGCAGGAAAAACCATGGTCCAGCCCGGTCAGGCAACACACACGCACATATAGGCATATACACCCACACACCTACATAGGCTGACAGGGGTGTTATCCTGTGGCATCGCTATAAGAACTATAACCGTCTTAATACCGGGGACACTGTTTGGAGAGAACCAGAATCTCAAGAAGACCCTGGTACAGTGACTTTTATCGCAGACAAAAGTCTTGGGTATATTGATAAAACAGATGACCCACTTTGGAGCCATCTTTGCTACAACCCGGAGGGAAGCACCGAGTATGTCGCTCCTAGCTTTCATCTACATTTGAACTATCATGCTGACTACTTTCAGGTGTGCATCTCTTGACTTGAGGAGTGGGTCAAAGATTCATCACACTCAGTCGAGCGAACCAGTATGGGTTCGTTTTTCACCAAGCGCACCATTCGTTGTACGACGCGCTTTGCGTGATTCGTAGTATACTTTACCGTCTATCAACTAGCTACTCCTACTGTGATTGCTCAGACCTAAACTTCTTCCCATAATTTGTTGCTTGCGTATGTTGTCAGTCTTGCAGCTAATTTAGTGGCTTATACAGGATGGATTTGCAGACCATCTGAACACTCGGCCTTCAAAAAAGAACGGATCCTTTTCATTTCCGATGAACATTCTATTGGAAGCTTCGATTCAAGGATTTTTCATATACTTAATTGCTAGGTTAAGCTCGTTTAATAGGTGTGTGTAGGACTACATAGTCCTCGCTACCATCATCTCTCTTCTCCTTCCAGGTATAGTTATTCATAGAGATAGTTCCATGAAGATTGATTCCAGATCCCCTGCTTTCGTTTGTAGTAGGCCATTTCTAATGAAACTCAAACTCAACCAGGTCTTAACAAGTCAAATACGCGTGATGTTTATCGACTCTAATAATCTGGGGGTCCTACGGGCTTCTGTTGTTCCCACACGATATGATAGGGCGGACCATAGGGGGCAGTGGTCATTACCCTCAATCTCTTTAAAGACCAATTCACCGCGCTGTTCGTCCGCCCCTTTACTCTAATTAGCCCAAGTACACTTTCATGGTTACCACTTAGATAAGGTGACAGCCTGTTTCAACTAGTAAAAGAGTAATAAGAATATCTGTTTCGACTTGCCCGGCTTCATATAATCAAGATTATACCTAGGACCCCTGGTGTTTATAACAATAGGAGATTAGCTAGGAGACTAATAGGGAAACTATTTAGGAAACAGTCTCAATCGGGCTCCGGTAATAACGCGTGTATGACGGTCACATATAAGTTTTTGAAGCGAATTGCCAGGGACGGATAAGGATAATGCAGAAACTTAGGCGACACAACTCCTACATTTCCTTTCGACCGCCAGATAGGCGCACAATCGTGATCGCGACATCAAGTTCATTGAGAGGATTTTGCCTATAGGAACGACTGACCACGAAGATCCGCATAGGTATGGCACAGCGTACGCAGAGCGACGGTCAGAGCGACGATCAGACCGAGCACACGAATCAGGAGATTGAGATGGCTAGTAGATTTACGGTAGAGGACACACGATTCGACGACTAGGAGTGTGCTATGCCTACGACTGTGCGCACGTATAACGCATCTCGTTCCGCATCCATCGGAATATCTCCGGACGAGATCGTCTTTAGATTCTAATAATTTACGTCTGGCAGTATCCAACATTCCCGAAGAGCGTACTTAGAAGCCACCGACTGACTTGCGTACAGCGAACTGGTGATGACGGAACGCTACAACGCGGACCGTAAACTATGGTTTCCGACAGTTGGCGACCTCGTTTACGTGCAGTTACACAAATGATGCCAAGTCGCATCTAAGAAACACCACAAACTTAGCACTGAAAGTACAGGACCCTTCAAGCAGGAATCCGTCGAGGAATCTACCTATGAAACTATTAACATTTTCTAGAAACCTGTCTAAGAGGTTATACCTAGGAATCTCCGCCGTTGGTAGGTTAATCTAAGTACTAGTTCGGTAGCATCACCGCCGGGGGCTCGATTACAACATCAATTAAATTCATAAGATCATGAAAATATAGGGCTCAGGGCTTACACCTCCGTCCTAGTTGCGATTATAGCATTGGTGGGATTAGGTGAAGTCGGGCTGTAAGAGGTTTCAACATCAAGCTAGAGAGGGTTTAGAGAGGATTTAACATCAAATCTGTAGATTATATCTAATATTGGCTCTAGTAATCCCATTAGTCACTTAATCTCAAACAATTTTTCAATCGTTTTCCTGCGTTAATTTGCACTTTATAGAGGGTATGAAGGATATGCATAGATTGTATGGGAGGAATAATGCCTGAAATTGAGATTCTGCCGATTCTGAAAGCTGAGAAAGGGATATTGGCTTCACCTTAAAGTCTGCTGTAGTATGAGAGCCTGAGACAGAATGGCCTCAAGACGGCCAGTTGTGAATTATCACGTATGGGCAAAGTGTGTCAAAATTGATCAATTTCCCCCCACTTTTTCCCCACTTCACATTGATGTTGATACTATCCCACCCAGCATAGTGAGACCTAGCATTCTCAGCATATCTTTATATTGTGTGTTCTTACCGTATTCCAAGCGGCTCGACGAGGTTGCAGTCATCCACAGGCAGTTCTTATCCAGGGCACACACAAATCGACAAGTTTCACCGGAGAAGCCTGAAACTGGCCATCTTTAGGTAGATCAATCACAGGCTGATTCTAAATCAAAGCACACGCATGCGACGTCCATGCTGTCTTCTTCCCACACCAGACATACCGCAACCTCGATATCTCGACCCTCCATCCTTCTCGTTCTTAGTTTATCACTCTGGATGAAAGTGAAAGATTCTTTTTGATCTGGGCCTTAGAACAGTTTTTCGAAGTCACTCTCCAGCCGTCTGAAAGTTTCTTGCCGAATCTAGCTAGGATTTGCAAGAGAATAAGGATATCCCTGAAATCCTGAAAGAAGGTAATCTATCCCTAAAGAATATCCGAGTCTGTATCCTTCAGCTACCGTCTCTTCAACCATTTAGTTAATTTAAATTAGCTGACTTCAACCACTGAAGTCGTTAATGGCCCTAGCTTTCAAAACGTTTATTTACCCGGGTGGACTATGAACCCGGAATTTTCGTTTATTGACGAAATATCGAAAACCTATAATATTCGGAGAAAATCTCTCGATTATAGGCTAAAGAGCCTCTTAAATTGTGTATTTTCAGCTATTAAATATATTAGGGATAGAAGTTTCTTTCTACTTAATACACTAAGGCATACAATTCGGCACCTAGCTACTCTCGTGCGGGTTTCTCTAGTAAGCACCTTATCTATAGGATATCGGAGCGATAGATTAGTGCTCCTGATCTCTGCGAGTATCCGGGCGATTTCGTCTCACGAAGTATTCGCCTTTAGATTCTAAGGGCTAAGCTATGTTGTTCAACTGTCTAGCGTCCTTCTTCCTCGGTGTCTATCCTAAGAAGAGTTGTGAGACGCCCCACTACAAGGTGTTAGTACATTTTCTGGTGTATTAGGATTTTGCTAAGCGTACAATTCAAAGCTTAGTGAATTCGACTCAGAGGAGTTGCTGACTTCAACTGGAAGTAAATGATAACACCTCGTGCGATTCCAAGAACTCTCAAGGTGTCTGTTCTTTAGTGCACTCAATCGTATCGCCAGCTCATCAACATCAAAGTACCTCATCTACTCACCCCTATAAAAGTCTTGAATACGGCAGGGACACCAGTGGCTGGTCTTATAGATCTCAATAATATTCGAATCTATCTAACATCAAGTCGAGGGGAATGAAATAACTTAGCTATGTAGACCTCCAGCAAACAGGCCAAGCACCTCCCGAAAACTCAGCTCCAACCTGGGTGAGCTGCCAACTATCAACTATGAAAACGGCAAAACGCAATGCACTGAAAACTACCATCACCTCCCCAAAATCCAAGTCAAGCCAAGCAACGAGAGAAGCCCCAAGTTTCTCTCTCTCCCCTCACACCTTACAGCTCATCATCACCATGATGCAACTTCCAAGGCTTTCCAAACTCACTGGCCGCAACTTCCGCAGCCTTAGCCCATTCCTGCAAAGTCCCCTCGTCGAGCTCATCCAAAAAGCTCAACCCGGCCATAGCCTTGCCCCCACATGCACGCTCCAGCGCCAAAAAAGCAAAATGCCCACCAATAACGGGCCGAGCAAAGAAATGCGGTCCGGGGAAGTTCCCATCACCCTCCGTATTATGCAGATCTGTGAATGGACGATCGGTGACGGTTTCGTTCACCCACCGCGCGACGGATTCGAGAATCTCTGTGCGCACGGGCTTGGATGCCACGGCCATCGAGAAGAATTCCCAGTCTGTCTTTGTGTAGAGGTGACGGCTGTCGAGGGGGAGACCGTATTTTTGGCGCACGTAGTGGTACCAGATGGATTGCTTTTGGTAGATGTGGCGGGGCACGAAGCCTGGGGCCTTGTTACTGGAGGAGGAGTTTGTGTTTTCGAGGTGGAAGCATAGTTGGGCGTCGGCGTAAAGGTTGTAGATTGTTGTCCAGGAGCCGTACCAGTCGTAGGCAAGTTTGGCATGGGAACCATCACGGGACATGCCGAATTCTTCCCATTTAGCGATGTATTTGTTGGCCGTTTCCTTCAAGATAGTGTGAGTCACTGTTTCGTTAGGGGTGCTCAGAGCAAATTACCTTGAAGTAGGAAGCATCTTTCTCATTGCCGACCAGCTCGGAGAGCTTGCTCATGGCGTTGATCCCGACGATGCCCTTCAGGGCAAGATTGGTTTGAAGGGCCAGCCAGCCAGCAAAATCATCAGTGGACACTGTATCACCGTATCAGTATCTTGTCAGTCGAGTGGGGTTTTTCATTATAACTTACACTGGTTAGCGGGTTCCAGGGAGAATTCGACCAAGTAGCCGGTCCATTGCTTCCAAAGACGGTAGCTTCGCTGCACCCATTTCTTTGCAAGGCTCTTGCCTTCAATACCCCCGCCCCATTTGCTGTCCTGGTAACCAATACCGGACATGACTTGCAGATCATCCAGAGGGAATAGACCCGACTTCAGCGTCGAGAACTTTGATCGCGGCTCACCCTGTGTAGACCAAATAGAAGCAGCCTCAGAGCTATCCTCGTACTGGAGTGAGTTGGCAATCGCAAGACCCATGATCAGGATATTACCACATTCCTCCACTGGCATATACTCATCATTACCGTCAGGGTGGCCAGTGGCATTGGGGAAATGTGAGCCCAGATCGTGCATCGCATAGGTGTTGGGGTATTGTCCGCTGAGCATATGCTCGATCAATGGCTCCAGGAGATACGCCAACCAGCGGGGGTTGGTGTACAGGAAGAATGGGAAGGACGGGAAGATAACGTCGATGGTCTGGAAGTTACCGTTGGAAGAAATCTCCTTCAAGAATAGGATAGGGTTGTCTGGAGTACCCGAAAATTGAGTCGCACCCATCACCTGTCGGGCAGTCAGGGCAACAATTTCGACGTAGTCCTCCGCTCCCGAGAGATATGCGTCCTTGGCCAATTGTTCAGAGTAGTTCAATGCCAGGGCGCTCGCTGCAGCATGGTCGTTGTAGTGGAAAATAAGCAGTTGCTCGGTAGATGGGAAAAAGGATTCCCAAAGAGGCCGCATCATGGTGATTCCACGAGCAGCGGCATACTGAACGACGGGGGATTGGATAAGAGCCACGGTAAACGTGACACTTTGCGAAGGCCGCTCGGATTTGGCAAGCTTGAACGACTTGGAGAATGCAAAGACGGGCGAGCGATCCCGAATAGCTCGGAATTGGCCATCGTTCGAGTTACTCAGGGCTCCGCTTTTGGCAAATTGCCGTCGCACCTGTGATGCTTCTCCGGACTCGTATTTTGCATCCTGTAAAAGGCCATAGGTTAGTATAGGAGCACATTGACGAGAAGATACTAGCACTTACGTCGGGTCCAGTGAAGTGGAGAGTACCCCACTCGGCACGATCGCGGATTTCAGACAAATCGAGCTCGGCATCCCGGCGAATCTGCCATCTCTGCAGGCCAGAACTCTTTTTGCTGTTGCTCATTTCGGCCTCGACGTCTAGCGTGTCCCACTGCCAGTTGAGTCGACTGCCTCCGTCTCCACTTACCCATCGCCCATCGATATCCATATAGACATTGACATCGACATTGCCCTGTACGTCGATTGTCACATAGGAAGCCGGAATCGACTGTCGCAAAGTCGAAGTCGGCGTGATGGGCGAGAGGAAGGAGACAGTAATGTCGAGGGGCTTGGAATCAATGTCAATCCGATAGGTAAAGTTGGTTGTGGAGGCGTCATAATTGGGTCCCAGGTATTCGGGGTATTTCACTTGGGATCTAGAGTCCATCATTAGCTCACAAAATCACAGAGTATAGTAAGAGGAGCTCATCATACCCAGAATTCGAGTTCAAAGAATCCTGTGGCCTACCAACCAAAGGATAAACCGTTCCCTGGCTGGGCACGTGGGCCATCAAGGCGAGGCCAAGTTCCTCTCCAGTGTAGAACATGGGCCATTTTGTCCAAGGAGCGTCTCGAGCATTTCCCTGCCAGGTGCTCAGGTAGGGATTCCGCACGATCAACGGGAGCACTGGCGGGGTGAGCGTGGAAGCCGTGCTAACGACAGCATGGCTGAGAGCCGCAGCCAATACGGCAACAGAGAGTTGCATGATTGGCCGCTTTGAAATGAACGATGGGTGAAGAGTATTGAGAAGGTAACCAAGGTCACCGGGAACACAAGACGAGTGTGTAACGAGAAAGGTGAAACACAGGGGCCGAAGGTAAAGGAATGTAAAATGCGGGGGGAGCCAGGGGCCAGCTTTGATCAGCTTGGTGGAGTTTGCCTCTTGGTTGGTTGCGGCAAACTCTGAGAGAGGTCAGGAAGGAAGTTGATGATGCAAGGTTGAGATCTGTGCGTTTGCTGTTTTCACTGCACCCCAGTGGTTGCCAGTCCTGCACGATGGTTCTTTGGGAAGGACCCTCGGTGGAGGTCTGATGATGTCATGCGGAGACGAGTTCGATCTGATTATGAGCGTCCCTAAGTACCGTTCAGGAACACTCGGTTAAGTTTGTCGGATAGTTGGTAAGATAGAGATAAGGTTTATAGATTTCATTCAAATTTGATTGATTGATAATGTTAGAGTCAGTGTAAGATAAAGGGTTACATAGATAGCTATATAGCGTGATATATTAAGGGCGAGGCTACTGCCACCCTCTGGGGCCTTACATTTCTGGCATAATGATACAAAATATTCAACTGTTACGGTAAATTCAGAAGCTTGACTAACAAACTTCAAACCCATTTTATTCCTCATACTTTGAAAGATATCTCTCGAGACCTTCTGAAAGATATTTGTACTCAAGATTTAGCCCGCCAGGCAGAGATCTAAGGCCCCAGAGTATTTAGCCTTAGCCATTTATTCATGACGCCTTCGATCATAAGAGGTTCAAGTTGACCTATATTCGCAGATAACATAAATATATATGAAGTCTAAACAGATTAGATTCAATATGGGAAAAAAGGAGCAACCTACAGCTATTATGGTAGTCCCCGTACTAGATTAACCAGGCTCAAGTTGAGTAGCGCGCCCACTAAGCGCGTCTCGGCGCGACTTGATGGAGGCACATGACCATCAACGTGACGGGATCAAGAAAGTTCAAATGCATTTTAAAAGGAGTCCTAAATTCCATTCAAATCTTAATTTACAAATACACAGCGACGTGCTGAATCATAACAATCATAACAATCACAATTCATAAGGGTTTGTGAAGCTATGGACATTTCGACGTGTTGCCGATAGTCATACCTAATCCTGCAAGATTAAGTACTTTGTAGACGTACTTGGTAGATTCCATGAGCATGATCTATTAGTCTACTCAAGTTTCTCGATTATCCACAGATAAAAGTGCCTCTCAGAGATTATAATAAAGAATGAATGTTTGATTTTCGTACAATCCGAGGAAGCTAAAGGCGCTAGGGTCGAGGCAACCCGTGGACGCGTGCTCAACACGACCAGTGGAGCCCGTGTCCGTGCTTCTATACAGAGCTAGTAAGGTACCGGGGGTTCGGACTATACGCGATTGACGCGACCGTTTTGTGTTGAGAATCTCTTTCTCTTCCTCTCCCCTTTCCTCATTCCCCTTTATCACTCTGATCAATTCCTTTGTCAACTTCCCTTGGTGGTTTGCTTCATTCGCGTGGACCCTCCCCCATCCTCTTTGCCCGCCTCTTCCCCGCGCGGCGTATCTTTTTTTCTCAAGACCCTACAACACACATCCCTCCACGTCCACCGTTGGTCCTAGACGACCTTCCACCTCGAGAGAATGCAGTCAGTCTCAGTCCAATTCAGCCCCGTTAAGGATGGCCGCCGTATTCTCGGCGAGAAGGACTCCAACGCGTGTCTGTCCCCCGCCCACCACGGCAAACAATCCCTCTCGGTTACCAGCACACCCGTCAAACGGACCCTATTCACGACTATCTCGCCCAAGAAACTCCTCCCTTCTCCCATTTTTGCAGGCCAAAAGCGAACGATAGACCAAGTGGAAGAGGTTGATGTAAACGACGCACCCGTGCAAGCCCCGCGCGAGCTTCGCGTGGAGAGCCCACCATGCACCGTGGAACATGAGAGCCAACAGGTAAGCTATGGTCTTGAAGCTATATGGAGAAATCTACAATCAGAATATCAGATCAACAATTTGGCTAACACAAAATGTCATTGCTATAGCTGAGCCCAGAATCGGACGCGATGGAAATCCCCCTCCCAGCTCCATCATCACAACCCACACGCGACCAACCCCAAGAAATGGATACCACCAGATCCCGCAGCGCGTCACGAGCCTCAGACTCAGATACAAGATCAATCCCCGACGATCCTGACGCGCGAAAGGTATTCATCCAAGAAGTAAGCAATAGCCATCCCATCCATCACCTTCAACATGCCTACCGAACACGTTCCTAACTATAAACCTTCCACCCTCCAGAAAGCAGCTCTCCTCCGAAACAAACTCCAAACCGCCATGCGCAACGTCCCAGACCACCAAATTGACCGACGCGTCTCGGAACTGGAAGCACACAGTCGCAAAGTGCCCCGACTCTCCTTCTCCGCCCTCTCTTCTTCCCCGGTCACCTCATTCCGCCACACCTTCACGCCTTCTCAGCTCAAGACGCCGCGAATTGGCTCGACGGAAAACATGAGCTCTACCCCTTACCAACAAACACCCGACCTCCCCCGACAACCCTCTTCAATCATTCAGAGCACGAATTATGCGAAGCGTTGTCAACGGACTCCACCCCGCACCCTGGGATCGCCGATGCAACTAAGTAGTCCGCCCGCTACGGTGGTCCGCTATAGTCGGAGTCGGGATATCACGGATGGGGTAGACGTTGAGGAAGCACATGTATCGCACGATGCTCTCTCGCCCTCGCAGAGAGGTGACGCGGTAGATGGGTTGCTCAAGCTTATGAGCACGTCGGATAGGCATGATAACACCGAGGTATGGAGTGGGTAATCGCGTGGCAGTCGATGCCCACTTCAGAGGCTTCTTGGCCTAGACATGATGAAGTATACCCTGACGAATACTTGCTTGTTGACTACCTTGGATATGCGAGGATGGGCTCTCTAATACTGCAATCATGTGGCGTCTTGTTAGACTATTGTTTATTTTGTTACTTTGCAATCAATGATACCATTCGTGTCTTCTGGAAGCTGCGTTTCTAGCGGTCTACACTCACGGAAGCATTTGATTAAAGGTCAATGCCTTCAGTAGAACTGTATGCCCGACGAGGCAGCGTGACATGGTATTGTGTCACCGAGGAGTGTGACCGATCACCAGATCTGGACGACGCGAGGGGTGGGTAGGGCAATGCTGAATGACGCAAATAGAAACGTATGCCATCGTGCTATCTGCAAGTCATTCATTTGGGTCTTGATGCATCGGGAGATTCATCAGTGTGATTGTATTCATTACGGGGATCATACCCTTCTCACAGCATTCGATGTTGGGCATTCTGAGAAACTACCAACTCGGATTTCGTCTACCCATATTTGATCTGGTCGAGCAAGGACATTCATCTCTACTTGCTTTTCCATGATCAGCGCAATGCCTATCTGCACGGACGACGCATTTCAATAAAGACTCGCTAAAGACATCTCATCGGCCATGAATATGGTATCAAACAGATAGGTATATACAGACTAGTACTCCATCATTCACCGGACCTTCTTCAACTTATTCCGCTTGCGACCCAGCACATCACGGCCTTCTTCAATTTCTCCAGCAGCCTCGCGCTTCGCAGCGCCAACATCCTTAAGAATGGTGGTTCTCGTCACACGACTCTCAATATTAACACCTTCCTCAGCCCACTCTACCATCTCCCGTCCAACACGCTTCTCAATGGCGAGGACGAGCTCAACATCTCGCTGGCCGACCAAGGTGACGGCTTCACCATTCCGGCCGGCACGGGCAGTACGACCAACACGGTGCACGTAGTCATCCGGGTTCCGCGGCACGTCGAAATTAACAACCAGGCTAACGATGGGAATATCGAGACCACGAGATGCAACATCAGTGGCAACGAGGACCCGGGCAGCTGCGGCTCGGAATCGGGCAAGATTCGACGTTCGCTCGGATTGTGGGAGCAGACTGTGTAGGGAAGTAGCGCGGTGACCGAGTCGACGCAACATACGCTCAAGTAGATCGGCAGTCTTGGTATGGTTGCAGAAAATAATAACGGGCCTGGAGATGTTTTCTTCGGTCGCAAGCAAAGCGTGCAAGAACGCTTCGCGATGCGTCATGGGCACCTTGAGATATGTCTGCTTGAGAGTTGGCGGGATGCTACCCTGGTTTTCGGTCGAGATCTCGGTCACGAAGATTGGCGGCTTGTCACCGGTGCGCGGCAACGACTTTAGTGCCCGCACCTCGGCCGTCAGAGTCGCAGTGAACAAGAGGGTTTGGCGTTCGGAGGAGGGAGGAACTGCTGAAAGGCAGGTTTCGACATCTGGCAGCATACTGCCGTGTCCGCTTGCGAGAAGTCGGTCGGCTTCATCGAGAACGACCATCTTCACACGGCGAAGACCGGCAATCGTATCCTGACCGGACGTCTTGACGTGATCGGCTAAGCGACCCGGGGTCGCAATGACGACGTGTGGTCGTGATGCGAGCTCGATTGCCTGCTGGCGCATATCTGTGCCTCCGGTAATGAGGATGGGCTTCATACTCTGCGGCGCGGAGATAGCCTTGAACTGCTCAAAGATTTGAAGGGCCAACTCTCTATCAGTTTCAAAAACGATACATTAGTATATGATGGCTTATTACTTTAAATCCCATCCATTTGCACATATTGAACATACCTCGTCGGGGTCAAAACCAAAGCAAAGACACCAAATGGATCCTGCGCCCACTTCTGAATGATAGGAACGGCAAAGGCCATGGTCTTTCCTGAACCAGTTCGACTTCCACCAATACAGTCTCGCCCCTTCAGAATCTCAGGAATACAAGCCTTCTGAATAGCGGTAGGTCGTCGAATAGCCATCGTCGTCAAAGAACCCACAAGCCATGGTGACACGTTCAAAGCGCCGAATGTCGATTCCTCCGCGCGAAGTCCAATTTCAAGCGCATCACGGATTGTGACAGGGTTCTCCTCCTCCGTGGGCTCGGGTTTCTTTGCATTCTCGTCCTTCTTCTTGATTCGGGAGACAGTGGGGAGCGGTGCTGGCGCAACGTACTCATCGTCGTCGTCCTCGGACTCGGAGAGGCGGCGGCGCTTAGGGGCGCGGTCTTCGGTGTCGGGTCGATTTATGTCAGAGGTCTCGGAGAGATAACTGTCGTCCGATTGGGGGTCATCTTTTGAGGGCGCCATTGTTGCTTGCGCTTCTATTCTTTGTTTCTGAGAAATAATTTTGTGGCAGAAAAAGTTATCTCTATCTGGCGGTGAGATTAACCTTTGCCTGGTGGGTAAGGCTCCAAACAACATACATAAGTACAAAACTGGATCACGTGAGGAAATCAACTATTGGTGGACACTGCTTTGATTTTGGTTATACTTTATGTACTAACAATCTCCAAATGATGTATGTTGACTTGGCTTTTGAAGTCAATTGATGAAAATTTCCAAATATGGACCCGGCATGTCGGCCTATATAGTGATGGCCAAGAACTTTTTCTGCAGTCACATTAGTCAACGCGACTGTGACTGCTGCGTCGATGAAGGGTCGATTGAAGTTCGTATGCCTCTCCTCTCTCTAGATCATCCTCCTCAAACGCAGAATCCGAGGACGAAGATGGTCGGCCTCTGAGAACTCCATTACCACCGCTTGAGGGAATTTCTACCCCCGTAGCCGCCAAATCTGCAGACTCTTCTTCCAACCCATGAGTACCGCCAACACTTTCCATAGTGAAAGGGCTGGCAGTAGGGGCATCCAGAACGTTCAGTTCTTCTCGAGTGAACCACATCGGGAACAGGAAAGATCGAACTGGGATAAGCAGGAGAATGATCACGGGGAAACCGATAGCAGCGATGGTCTGGGTGATAGCGAATGTGGCACCGAAGCCAATTAGCTCGACAATGACAAACGCCCAGATAGCTCCGCGACGGTCAAGCCTCTTCAAGGGGTTGGATCCTGGCGTAAAGTCTTTGTCTTGGGCGAGGAAGATCAATTTCTGGGTAATGCCATTACCTTGGAGAGCTTGGACTCCCATGATGAAGAAGAGACCAGCCATGACGCCCTGTGGAATCAAGTGGAGAACGATGAGGAGGGGACCGGTCATCGTGCCCAGAGTCAAGAGACCCTGAGCAAGATTGCTGACTCGCTGCTCTACCACGTGGTCGGTAACTCGGATGGCCTTTCCCTTGTTTGTGTCATCTTCATCGGCTACTTGGCGGGTGACGCAGAGAGCAGCAGTGTGGAAAGGCGCCTGGGGAATGAGTCCATTGGGGAAGGGAATGCCAAGAATTCCGGCAACAAAGGTAGTAAGACCGAGAAGCCAAATGTCCCAGTGGAAGCCAGCGGGCTTTTTAAGAGGGAACTCCGTGCCTTGGGCGATGAGAGACGAGACTAGAGAACGGTTAACAGCCGAACAAGTAAGCTTATCGCACCTTCGGAACTTACCATTGTGATCAAAGTAGAACAGGATTGTCAGAAGAATGGCGAATGGAATGGCCAAGAAGATATCGCCAACATCAATATCCCAGAAATGCACCAGCCAGGGTCGGTCGAGCGTTGGGAAGAAAGCCTTGCTCGTCGGCAAGGTAGAAACATCCACGTCCCGCATGTGTCCAATGTGCACGAAGCCAGTGAAGAAAATAATTGTCAACGGGGTACCATAGTCCTCCAAGAATTTCCGAACAAATCGCGTGAAGAGGTTGCTATTGCCCAACTCTCCACAGATCCAAGCTACCATGAGGACGAGAAGCGCCACCATGATAGCCAGATATGCCGAAGTCTCCCCAACGGCACCCCATTGGCGAGTTAGAACCTGGATACCCTTTTGAAGGTAGATGAATGCAACGTAGAACCCAAAAATATCACACGAAAATCGGGTGACATAGGTGAGTCCGTTGCAAGCGTTTGTAATGGCAAGAGCCCAGTGCATAATCAATGACCAGCTGCAAAACACGTCAGAGACTGTTCTAGTGGGGTTTGATGATTCCACTTACATTCCGATCCAACACATAAAGGCCAGGTAAGGCGTACCCCTCGGAGTGATGATATCGTAAACAGTATAGTTGAACACGGTAATCGGACCTAATCCATGCTCAGCTTCGACCTTTTATTTGCTGCAGACCGAAGAACTCACCAGTAACGCCAACAATGACCAATGGTTGAGCAGCAAAGACAGAAAACACGACGGCGCCGAGGACAGACGCAAGCAAGACTTCATTAACGCCGAAGCTCTGGTTTGTCTTTTCAAACATATCCAACGAGAAAGCCAGGGCGGGAAGGATACTGTAGCCATTGTAAGCTTATTGGTTGAATATATCGAGTGCTATCGTCATTTTGATAGGGGTATCAAAGACTATGCGTCTGGAAAAAGCAAATACTAGTATTGAAAACATACTTAGCAAAGTACATGTACACCGTAGCGGGCACAATACGATAGTCCCACGCATCAGTCCAATCACTCCAATAATACGGCGCTCTACGCTTGACATCATTCATCATGCCACGGAAGAAACGAATCCGCCACCATTTGGACTGGGATGACTGCGTAGATGCTGAAAGCGAAGCACGGCGAAGCTGCTCCTGTTCAAGCTGCTGCTGCTGCGACGAAGCATTGCGTGCATTGGCAGACGAGACTGAGTGCCGTGACGAAAGAGCATGTCCAGAGTTTCCAGAGCGGATGGATGATCGTCGCCGGGACTGCCAAGAAGGTCTTCGCTGCTCGGTAGAGGACGCAGAAGCATGCATCTTCGCGCCCAGAGGTAAGGAGAACTCCTCGTGTGGAGTCTGCATTTGCCGAATGAACCCAGATAAGGTGTGTTAAAGTGATACACCCGAAATTGGACTCAGACGGTCCTCTTTGGATTCGATCTGTGTGGAAAAAGGGCGCATAAGTACACTGTAAATTTGCGGGGATGAAGAAGTTGGGAAGAAAGCAGAGATCAGGCTATAAATGTTGATGCCTGAGGCGTCACATATGTCAAGTGGGGCCGCCACAAACAGCCACAGACAGTTTTATGTGAAGTTGGTTCTTACAGTATATGATCTCTACACTGTCGTTTTTACACATTCTATGCTGAAGGAGTACTATGTTCGACAGCCGGCTGTGCTACGTAGTTTAAAAAATTGCAAGTTTTGAAATATCATCAAATTAATCCGCTACGGATGTGTTGCAGCTTTTGCATTATCAACCTAAAGCCAAGAGATTCCACTTATTTTGGAAACTTCATGCGGAGTGAAAAGAAAGAAACGACGAATAAACCATTTTCCACCCGGTATCTTCGAAAGCAAAAAAGCAAACGATTCCGCCGACTCTTAGTTTTCCATTGATCGACGGGACTAGAAGGTTTCTCACGCAGGGGGAGGCGGGGGTGGGGGCTGGTCGCTGGGAGGGGGGGGGAGGAGGCCCATCACCAGGAGGCGGGGGAGGTGGAGGACTGCCAGCGCCGCCATAACCACCCATAGAAGGCATGCCCGGAGGTGGTGGCGGGGCTGCCATACCGGGTGCTGCCATACCAGGAGGATAGGCATAGCCTGCGTAGGCTCCATATCCATATCCGGGAGCAGCAGGAGCAGCAGGGGGAGCGCCGCCGGGAGGAGCTTGCTGTTGCCAGGGAGCAGCACCGGATGCGGTGCCGGGAGCGGAATATCCACCCTGAGATCCGTAGCCGTAGTCGTTGCCACCACGGTTTTGGGTAGCCCAAGGAGCGGGACCACCTTGATCGCGAGAACCGTAGTCGTCGCGAGGACGCTGCTCACGTCGCTGCTGCCAGGGAGCCACATCGCTTGCAGGCGGGCCACGCTGCCATGGCTTGGAATCACGATCATCTGGCTGGTAGCCGCCTTGATCGGGACCGGCTTCAATGCGGCGAGGCGGGTACTCGCCAGGAGCGCCGCCGGAGAGTTCGTTCATGAGTTGCTATTTGGAACGTTAGTTAATGATTCGACTATACTCTAGCGAGAGTGAAAACCTACCTCCATCTCACGGTCAACAGCATCACCAGTGCCAATAGCACGAGGGTTGCGAGGACCACCACCACCATAGCCGCCACCGTTGCGCCAGTCGCTGCCTCTCTGGCGATCGGGACAATCACGAGCCATGTGACCAGCATTGCCACAAACACGACAGATGATGTTGGCGGTGAAGTTGCGCTGCTCGGGACAGTCATACTTGCGATGTCCGATTTGACCACCTATTAGAAGGTTAGAAATCATGAAAAACAGGCAAGATGGTATAGGGAATACTCACAGTTCTGGCAAGCCTGGTTCTCGTCGTCACGGAGAGTACCGTTGAGGGCAGCCAGCTCACGAAGCTGGTTGCGCTTGAGTTCGTTCTGGCCCTCAGGGATGGATGCAGCCTAGGAGACAATTAGTATATGTAGAAAAAATAAGAAGAAAGGAGTGTAATAACTTACCGTCTCAATGACGTTGTGAACAAGCTTCTTGGCCTTGTTCACCTTTTCCTCGGTGTCAGCCATAATCAGACAGTGGAGATCTTCTTCCTGGTTGCTAGCGTGAGCGGCATCAGATCGGCCCTTGCCCTCCTTGACGGAGCCCTTGCCTCGAATGGCAATCTTGGCTCCAGACTCGGTTTCCATCTTCTTGAGGGTATTTCCACGAGGTCCTATGAGTAAGCCAACTTTGAAAAAGATAGCAAAGAGCTAAGTGTTAGTAATCCTGTGTTTGTGAAGTGTGTTCAAGTAATGTGCAACATCAAGCACTGAGGGTTAGCAAGAAACGGGCCGACGAGGTCCAGGGGAATTATCTCGTCAGCTCGAGTCGAGCAAAAAGTCATGGCAGACATCAGAGGGGAACGGTTAGGAGTTAGAGGGTTAGTTATCATACTGAAGTTAATCTCTGGATAGTCATTCACTGGGACGTAGACCTTCTCTTGGGTCTTGGTCGGACGTCTGTAGTCAGAGGGCGGGTGGTAGTTAGGGATGGTCTTCATGGCCTTTTCGACCAGCTTATGACGCTCATCCTCGAGTCGCTTGCGATAGCGGTACTCGCGAGTGTTCACACGTCTACCGAAGTTGTCATACTGCGGCGGTGGCGAGGGAGACCTGTCCGAATGTTAGAAGGATTCAGTGAACAACAAAACTGGGGTTATACATACCGATCACCATCAGCAGGGACGACATCGTTAATCCGCAGCTTCTGGCTGATCTCCTCGATGCGCAGATGCAGAGTGTACGCCTCGAGCTGTTCGCTAGTGAAGTTCGCCATGATCATGGTGGGCAAGCCCATCAAACCGGCCGCCTTGTTTTCTTGCTGGTCGCCCCAGCGGTTGCGCTTCTTGCGGCGCTTGACACCATCGGCTGCGGGCTCGGGTGCTTTTAAAGAAATTCGATTAGCATCAGTGCAACAAGTTGTTTCAAAGAAAGGCAACTTACCTCGAACTGGACTGCGACCACGCTTCGGTCCATCAGGCATAGACGAAGGAGAAGCGGTGCGACTCTCATCTTCCTCCTCGCCCCCGAAGCGGCGGCGCCCCAGGGGGATGTTGTTGGAGCCTGTGATTCCTTGATTGCGCCAGGCCATAGCTTCTGCTTGAAGTCAAAGGATGGCAGGTTAGTTGATACAAGAGATCTGGAGATGAAAGAAAGCTAAGGAGGCCCGTGAAAAGTGCCAATTTATACACGTGATTTACCAAAGGCGGTGATTACTTTGGCCACCGCCCTGAGCCCTAGAGCTTCCAAGGTTGGATTCGACCCAAACAACCATGACAGCTACCAAGCCAAACATTGGAAAGCTTCATTATTTGTCAGGTTCAGACCACATTGATGGCTATATACATAATACGAGGCATTACTCTCTTAATCTCGACTTAGATCTTGTTCTTTGCATCATCCTTCATGCCAGCCTGGACCCACTCCCGAGTCTGCGCAGCGCTCTTCTCCACAGCTTCCTTGTCCTTCAGCAGCTCCTTAATAGTATGCGGGTTTGGAACATGACGGCCCTTCTCAAGGCCCGGCCGTGAGGCCATAAGCTCCTCCCACGCCTTCACATGCGGGAACTCATCGATATTAATACCAGCCCACCCGGCGGCGGCGACCCAGCCCCAGTGCGAGATATCGGCGATGGTAACGTGGTCGCCCACCAGATATCCGGACTTTGACTTTGCGAGATGCTTGTCGAGAACGCCGTACAGGCGACGAGACTCATTGACGTAGCGATTCACGCCGTACTCGATGCGCTCGGGCGCGTATCGCACGAAATGATTAGCTTGTCCCTGCATGGGACCTAGGCCTGCATTTTGGAAGAAGAGCCAGTTGTTGGTCTCGTAGTATTCGCGGGTACCCTTGGGATAGGAGATTTTGTACTCCGTGTCATACTGCTCGGCCAAGTATTGCAAGATGCTACCAGACTCGAACAGACGGATCGTCTGGCCGTCACTGAAGGTATCGGTCAATGCGGGGATGCGACCGTTGGGGTTGATCTCGAGGAACCAGCTGAGCAATAGGTTAGTCTGGGGTCATTTAGGTTGTTTTAGCATGCAGACATTATTGCAGATTCAGCACGTACTCTTCCTTTTGCGTATTCTTGGAGATGTCGATCTTCTCAACCTTGTAGGGCAGCCTGCCATCTTGTTAGTTCACATGGCCCTAACATAATTGGGCAGATTGCCTACCCTAGCTCTTCCAGAGCGATTGAGATCTTGATCCCATTGGGAGTCTGGGTAGTATAGAGTGTGATATTGGGTTGGCTCATTTTGGGCGATGTGATTGATTTAGATGGTATGAAGAAAGTCCAGAATCAAATCGTTTTAGAGGGCTCAAGTGGGGTTTTTGAATGACGAGGCTCGAGTTCATTTTGATTTCCCCCACTTCGATTTATAATCCCCGAAGCTTCCACCATCTTTTTGCATTATTCATCCGACATATGTCTCCGGGCTTGTCATAGGTCATGATTGTACCAAACAAAAGGTGTAATCAACGGCGCGTGTTCGTGATTACTATGTTAGTCGACGCCACTCATCCAGGAACACGAGGCAATTCGCAGGCAATTCTGTAATGCTCCGAGAAATCAGATTGCGGCTTCACAGGCTACATTCAAGTAGAATGATTCCAAATGATTGCTTTCACTCTTTTGAATTGTGCTGTACTAAATCAAATGCTAGACAATAATAGCCAGCCGTGACGCCATTCAAGCGGTTATCAATCCAAGCTGTCATCTATCTGTTTCTTGGCATTTTAAGATCTTGTGGGGTCTCCAAGACAAGTACATACAGATAACCTTGCGGAGCTCCGTCGGAAGCCTCGTATAACAAGATCTAAAGATGAGTAACACGATGCGCCACATATTCTTCTCCGACGACTCTCATATTATTAAGTACTACTCCTATTAATTCCTATGCCTACTACATCATGCCATAGCTCCATTCACAGCCACAACCTGGCCTGAGATCCAACTGCTGTCCTTCCCCGACAAAAACGCCATAACTGCTGCAATTTCCTCGGGCTCGCCAATCCGATTGAAAGGACTAAACCCAGAGATAGCCTTGATCATTTGCTCCGGCTTTCCCTCGAGGAAGAGCTCGGTTGATGTTGGACCGGGAGCAACCGCATTCACCAAGATGCCCCTTCGCGCCAAATCCTTAGCCATGATGCGGGTCATCTGCTCGATCGCGCCTTTGGAGGAGGTGTAGAGTAGGTATGCGGGGGCAACACTTGCGAACCGAGCGGTTGAGGTGGAGACAAAGATGATTCGTCCGCCAGAGGGCATATGCCTAACGGCTTTCTGTGCAAATACTTAGCTTGGGGTGAGATTGAGAGATTGGAGGGATTTAGTGTACGTACCTGGGCCAGGAAGTATGGTCCCTTTACCATCAGATTGTAGGTTCGGTCAAAGTCCTCTTCAGTGGTATGCTCCAAGTCTCTAAGTGGAAGGATTCCGGCGTTTGGAATTAGGACATCGATCTTGCCAAATCTTGCTACTGCAGCATCGACGAGGCGATCGAGGTCGGCCATCTTTGAGGCATCGGCTTGGACAGCAAGGGCGCGGTCGGCGCCGATTTGGTCGACAAGAGTGTTGGCTGCAGCCGGGTCGCGAAGATAATTAATTACGACGTTGGCACCCTCGATAGCGACGCGAAGGGCGGCGGCTTTGCCGATTCCCTTGGAGGAGCCGGTGATGAGGACGACTTTGCCAGACAGAGACATTGTAGTGTTTGAGTGTGTGTTTTAAGATATGAAGATTGATGTGAAGATTGAATATTGAAGCTTCTGAGATGTGATTATAATTGAGTTGATTCAGACAAGATCGGTGGCTCTTCAATTCGGTTTAAATCCCCCGAAAACGAGGAGAAGCGATAGAAAGCACTGTCGCGACATGACTGATGGCGACGGAGTTAAGCAGTCAAACAGATCTCTGAAGTTATTCACGGATGGAATTATCACGGCGAACAGTAAAGCCGACCGAACATCTGGAATAATATAAAGTCCATCCGTCATCTGTTAGGAATGGTGATGGAGTAATTACGGATTAAACGACCGGTTTAAGAGCGTTGCGCACTCCGGGGCTTCAGCCGAGATGCTTGATCAAACAGCGGCCCGAATCCGGATTTAACTCCCCGGAGTCCGGTTACGCCGTGCCATTCGGAGATGGGGATATTACGCTCTTACGAGTTTTCAACCAAATCCCTAGAATTATTAGTAGTGGTGTGACTACTAAAATAACACTCATCTTGATTAGCATAACATTATAAGCATCAAGGCACAATCAGAAAAAGAACTATCCAGCAAGCCAGTTAATAATGTGTACTGTACGAGGTATACACGTTGAATCCAACTTATTATTGGTGGGTCGGGTGGGTCTCCTTACTGATACCCCAGATATTGCTACACCTCTCATCGGTAGTGGCAGTGGCAACGAGGGCTTATGAAGTATATATGGAGCTACTGACAGATGTTCGGGCTTGCATAGTTATAGGACGTGTGATCATCTCTAAGCCCTAGTTAGAGAGTGGGTCTATGGTTATAGCCGCAGGTGACGTCATATCCCGTCCAGCAGACCAAGCTCTCTGGAAAGAACATCATGCTGGGCTAAGAAGTATAAAGTAGTAGACAAACTCCAAAACATCTCAGGAGAGATACCGAGACGGTTCTGGCTGACACGGATCCATTTAGGTCAATACTACTGCGTCTCTCAATTTCACACCCTTGTCTCTCTTTTCAACCTCTAGCTTTGGCCTTAACCCTCAAGCCTTAGCTCAAGCCCATAGTCCCCTCTCTCTTCTTCAAATCCTTCGCCATCACTTTTGTGGTTTTCTTTCTGCTACATGGAGTGCCATCCACTCGCTTCCTTTTGAATTATGCTCAAGTTCAGGCGTTTCCAAGGTTGACCGTGGAGCATCATCCCGGCATAAACCCATGTACAGAGAATTAGGGAGTTGTAAAACACTGCAAATACATACACCGTCTCTCTGCCAAGAATGAATTCTTTGTGGTCTCTATCTTACGATTGAAAAGAAAAATCCAGATTTGATCATAATCATAGCTTTTTTTGTATTCTTATTTTGGGTGGATCACCCATTCCTCTAGTCGGTTGTCTGTATAAAACCGAATCCTCATCTCTGAGTAGCAGCTAGGTAGGTAGATGCATAAGCAGTAAACCACACAACTTCAATGAAACATCGCCAAATCCAAGACAGGGTCGTCTGCGCTGAAAAATCAAAACAAAAGTCATGCGAGCTCAAACAGTTCACAGTGCGGAGACGATAGCAGCAACGGGCGGCTAGGTTCAAATGCACTGATGACCTCTTGGAGTCTCTCAATCATGCAAATAAACCTCGTCTATCTTAGATGATAGACGTTTGCAACGATTGCAATGATTTCCTCGCAGACATCAGCTGGCTACCCACAAGGGATATGCACTTGCCAATTGACTGTTCGGACCAAGAAGCAAATGAGACAGATGAAAGCCCAATGCCAGCAAATGCTGACACGGTGCTTGAAAAGAGGCCACCCAGTTGGGTGGAAATCGACCGACCAGCAAGGCTGTTTGGTCCAGATTGAAGGTTCGGACAAGAGCTGCGCGGTGAATTGGAGCGGCGATCTTGGGAAGACACTTCCACTTGCGCCCGGGCGAGAGTGGAGAGTATTTCCAATGGCTTCTTGAAGCCGGCCATAGATCGCTGCGTGTTGTTGGTTGCCAGTACACCCAAGTTTCCCGATGTCCGGCCGGTTGTCGGCACAGTCGAGGGTAGGACTTGGGATGAAACTGGAGTGTTTGACGACACGGTGCTGTCTACGCGGTGAGCAGACAACGTGTGTCGGGGACGTCGGACATCCAAGTTTGGAGTGTGTGTAACGCTTGACTTTGATATAGTCGAAGTCGACGTGGTCTGTCTGGTGTTGCTGTTCTCCTGGACACCGCTGGCAACACCAGCGTCGGTTGTCGGTGAGAATCCAACAATGCGCCAGCGCAGGTTTGGCTGGGCAATAGCCTGCCGGTTGGTTGCTTTGACGGATTGAGGGACGCTCGGGGATTGGCGTGATACATTCTGGCCCACAGAGCCAGCAGCCTTGTCGGCTGTCTTGACGTACGACAGGCCAGCGGTAGCGCCGCGCAGATTCGTCTGGGTGACACCACGGCTGGTTGTCGCTTGAACGGGTTGAGAGACGCTCGTAGTTGGTCGCGAGACATTCTGTCCCGATGAAACAACATTCCTGCCCGCATCCTTGACGGGGGTCAAGAAGACGGAAGCGTTGTATTGAAGATCGTGTCCGCGGACACCGCTGAGGTTCCGCGTGACATGGAGTGCCCGATCGGATTGAACGGCAATCTTGCCAGCTTGCTTGGCTGGAGCCGAGAAAGCGGATACGCTGAATTGAGGGTTGTGTCCAGGGACACCGCTTGTGCGCTTCATCGTGGCCCTTACGGCCGGGAGCACGCCGCTCGAGTTGATCGATGGGTCGTGTCCTGAAGAGTTTTTGATGGCCCTCTTGAGCACCTCGACGGTTGGCACCGGGGCCATTGGTCGGAGTGTAGGTGAGACAGATCTGTCATGGCCTGGGACACTAGAGACACGTGAATCTGGAAGAACCGGTGACGAATGTGCCGGTTGTTGTGGCCGTTCCTTGTAAGCCACGTTCATTGGAACATCATTGACGCCCATGCGGGCAGCGGCCTTCTCCAAGCAGTTGCACTATTCCATGGTTAGCATCTTACGAGGAACTGACATGAAGACAAGACGATGAACTTACTCGCTTGTGCTGCTTCTTGTGCTTCTCACAAGCTCCATACTTGCGAGCCTTGATGTAGTTCTCCTTCTGTGCCTGAGAACGGGGCTTCTGCTTCTTAGGCAGGTTCGCAGCGGCATTCATGTTCAGGTCCAGGACCATTTCGACTCCTCCAGTGCCAGCAGCAGGGGCAGGGGCGGAAGGGGTCTTCGGGCTAGCGCTAGCGCTAGCGGATTGCGGAGAGTTACTTCCACGAACATAGTCCGACCAGGCTGGGGAGGAGAAGCTGGTGTTGGAGTCGGAAGACATGTCGAGATCGAGGGCCGTGGCCTCGCACAGCCGCTGTAGATGCAACGCAATGGCAGCTTCGCGGCGCTTCTCCTTGATGGATGCAGCACGCGGGTCGGCGGCAGCCTGCGCTTCGACAACCTGACGGAAGTCGAAAGAAGCATCGTATTGTGGGTAGTTATAGAAAGCGCTGTCATCCATCGCAACCGCATGGTCGGGGATCGTGCCCATCTCTGGGGATAGATCCGCGAAGAAGCTCTCCTGTGACGCATCATAGTTGATCATGTCTGGGAATGCGGATTGGCTGAAGTCCAGTAGGTCAGTGCCTAGCATCTCAGCATCATAGGGCAAGGCCATGTCTGGCGAGACCGAGTTGGTCGAGACCGAGGCAGAATATTCGTCGCCATAGGCGGATGGCAGATCCAAGAATTGGTCAAAGTCGACCCACTCCTCGAATTGAGTCGGGCTATCAAGATAGAAGAACTGATCGGAGGTAGACGCCATGATTTCGGATATCACTTGGCGACTTTTTTTGGTATGGGGGAGTGGGGGTTCGGATAGTAGATAAGGAGGATTAAAGGAAGAATGAGAGTATGAGAATAGGATGTAGAGAGTATCGGGGTATCGGGTATATTGGGGGGTATCAAATTGGGCAAGAGGCCAACAATCCCTTAGTGATGAGGCCGAGGGGGAGGTAGGGGGGAAAGAAAGAGAAGAACCTGAAGACTGAGGCAGAGGGGGAAAGGACCGTGTTGTATAGGGACTCAAGGCGGAGCAGTAGTCCAGAGGGTCGCAGAAGGTCGCAAAATGAAGCCCCACTCGACTCGGCGGAGCAGCGCGCAGCCCATTCCTCTTTGGGGTCCCCGACTTCCACTAAACTGCTTTGGGACCCCGACACTGCCTTCTTCCTCGTTCATTATTGGCTTTTTACTGGTTCAGCCTCCGTTGACTCATTCTGCGTTCCATCGTTCCCATCTCCGCTGCACAGTGGCTGAGATGACCACCAAGCGGGACCTCCATGAGACAGTCACGGTATTTCCAGGCCTTTGATTGGGTCAATTCTTCTTCAATGCACATGAGTTAATTGAAATTTCGACATCATTCAAGCATTGACCTCTCCCATTGGTTGACAACCTCAACAACAGGGCTACGCCTCTCCCGAGGTCTATGAAGTAATTGTTAGTTTGTTCATTCGATTGCCTGCATAACTTTTCCTGCCGAGCAAATACTTTTCTACACAGCGATTCCATCAGTGGTCATAAGTGAACCCAGATCTTACCTGCACTGGCCGATAAGCCGATTGTTTGAGGTAAGGGTGGGGGCCAATCACAGTACGAGGCCCTGCGGACTGATTTTCATCTAGGACAAGGGACGAATAGCGACGAGGATACAAAAGATGATTAACCTTAAAGGAATGCAAGTAGTCATAATAAGTGAAATTTTGAATTTGGGGTTATACCAGTCGGCATAGGTACTTGACCTCGATGTCAAACCTAGAATATATATTTCGGCGCCACATCTTAAGAACCTTTTAAGCCCAGATTCAAAATAGGAACAGAACCACGAATCTGAATAGGTCTTGAGATCCCTATCTAGATCCTCTAACCTGGAGCTAAGCTTTTCTTAGTATATATTCCAGTATACCTACCTCCAGGAGGGGCAAGGCTCCTCCAAGTGGAAGCAGGCGGTAAACATAGTGCTGTAAGACCCTGGAAGTAAATGGGACTCGTTGGCATTATTCCACCAAGATCACCAGTTCCAAATTTCAGTAGGGTTTCGAGGTAATGCCCGGATGTTGGAGTCACAAGTAGGGCCATCCTTATTGAAGGACTGTTAGGATATCATCCAGCCTGAAGCTCGTCCTACGGGACCCCACTGCCCGCCCCACCTTGCAAGTCAGACGCTGAAGCCTCCAAGTCGATTCTTCCCCTGTGCTGCTAAGGTGGAAAAGCCTCGTCTTAGGAAAACAGGAATACGGACCTGCAGCATGACTCTCACGAAACTCACGACAGAGCCAGACTCATTCAAGTTTAGCACAGTCCCAGGCTATTTCCTCCAAGATGAGCCAACCACTGACCCAGACACCTTTGACTATGTAAGCCCCTAAGACTTCGGTTCAAATGGATCATATCTCAAGACACCAAGCACTAATAAGACATCAGTCAGCCCAAAATTTTGGCTTGATTCCGAAAGAATATGACAGCGGGATTGCGAATTCCCATGAAACCCAATGGCAACGCTTTAGCCGGCACATTACACATCTCAACGAGACCGCTAGTCCGCAAACCAAGTATAAAGTACTTTTCCTGGGACGACACGGTGAAGGTGTACACAATGTCGCTGAGCGGAGATACGGGACTAAAGCATGGGATGTAAGTTCAACCTATACGCTTTACCAGATGTAGAGCTGACGTTTCTTTCAGGAGTACTGGTCCCTTCTGGACGGGGATGAATACGGCACTTGGCTAGATGCCCACCTCACAGAGGTAGGCATCGCCCAAGCTCAAACTGCTCACGATACGTGGGCTCGGCAGTTGGAGACTGGTATCCCGGCACCACAGTCTTACTATGTCAGTCCGCTGCATCGGTGCTGTCAGACGGCGCAGGTTACGTTTGAAGGGCTCGACATGCCCTTGGTGAATCCTTTTCAACCGCTTGTAAAGGAGGTACGAAGAACCTACTGCACTCTAGGCTCGATGAGCTAGAATTTTTCGATGGTCACAATTTAGTATACGTATTAACCTCGATCTATACAGTTACTCCGTGAAACCATGGGCGAGCACACTTGCGACCGCCGTTCGACCAAGTCGGCTATCGCCGCTGATTTTCCACGGTACCGGTTCGAGCCGCGCTTCACAGAGGAAGATGAGCTTTGGGATCCGAAGGTTCGCGAGGCGGATGGACACCGTGACCGGCGATTGCTGGACTTGTTGAATGATATTTTCGCTACGGATGAGAATGTCTTTCTTTCTTTGACGGCGCATTCGGGGGCTATTACTAGTATCTTGAGTGTTATTGGTCACCGCAAGTTCTCGCTGGCGACTGGGGCGGTTATTCCAGTTGTTGTGAAGGCAGAGAAGAGATAGTATCTATTCCCGAGATCTTGGATGTATGAGGGGTAATATCCTTGAGATGTGTGTTTAAATCTTGTATATATTGTACATGGGCAGGATCGCCCTACTTTCTACTACAATGCAAATTCTCCCTGCTCCAACCCGGCCGGTAGTAGCACAGAAACAAAGGAGACTGGGTGATGTCCAAAAGAGGAAATAATACAGCGCAACGCCAAAAAAAGGGAAATCAACTCGGTAGAAAACCTGCGCGATTTTACCAGCTGTAGTACTGGTTCTGTGCGGAGACCTTGCGGTCTGGCAGTTGGGTCCAGAGCTGGGCCTTGCGCTTGCGCAGGGCGTCAGCCTCACGCTGCTGCCATTCGCGGATGCGAGTCTTCTCCTCCTTCAACACGACCGAGATACCAGTCGCTGGGGGGCGGAGACGGTTGATCTGACCACGGGCACGGTGGTCCATGCCGAAGCCGTAAGGGCCACGGTTCACCCACGCCTGCTGAATATAGATCGATGTCGGGTCGTTGATCTTCTTGCGCTCACCAGACTTCAGAGTGACGGTGACGGGTTCGGCAGAGGTACCGGCAGGAGCTCCCAGGCCCATGCCGGCACGGACCATGGCGACGTTCTTTGCGTGCTCTAGATGTCCCAGCACGTCCTTGGCAGCCTTCTTCTTGCTGAAGCGCATCTGCAAGATCGCCTCGTCGAGAGGCTTACCCGCAATCTGCCGGGCAAGGGGGCCGAGTTTCTTGACGGAGGTCTTGAACCAGTGTGACTTGGACATGGACTCGCGCTCGGTACGCTTGATCTGGACCTCCTTCGAAACGCGGCCGCGCTTGCGGATCTCGCGGATCACCACCCTCTTCTCCCACCGCAGCTGGGCCTTGGGGTTTGGGTTCAAGGCCATCTGCATGCGATCCTTGTTGCGCTTCTCCAGAGGCACATCCTCCTCCCCTTGTTGTTGTTGGTCTTGGATTTGCTTCTTCTGCTTGCTGGGCTTGGGACCGGATGCGTGGCCTACGTCGTCGGCGAAAATGGAGCTAGCACCGAGTCCACCTTCTTCGCGCTTCGGAGCGACCGGGGTAAAGGCAGCCTTGGGTTTGGATTCACCGAGGACCCAATCCTTCATGGAGGAGAGGAATCCGGACTTTTTCTTGTTCGGGGTGGCATTGTCGTTCTGTGCCTGGCAGGTGACGGTCGAGGTGAAGGTCCGTCGGGGAACGCATGAGATTTGGGCCCGGGCCGCTGATCACAGAGTTAGCAAAAGGAATTGAGTGAATCAAGAAGACTCAGAGGGTACTCACCGGTCCGGACCAGCTGTCCATATGGAGAGACAGCACCCATTGCAGCCATGGCGATGTGATGTTGATCTAATGATGTCGGGGAAGCCGGTGCGGAAAAAAGGTCAAACTTGGCGGTTGCGCGGTTGGTCCAACTTGCTACCCGTAATTGCCTCAGGCCAACTCAGAGCCATGCAGTCGCGACGTGATCAATCAGAAAGGATGCACCTCCACGATGTTAGAGGAGATCGTAGCTTAAGACAAGGGTCCAGTAAAGCGGCATATCCTCTTATAGGGGAGCTGTATTTGATGTTTCCCTAATCACTAATTATCCACTTGATCTTTCCAAACTTGCTGCTGGGCATTTCCCTCTCACCGTCATCTCCACAGTGAAGATCCACTAGCCATCATCTTCCCTCTTTCAGGGCCTTCAGTGCTCTCCTTCTTCAACTGCCCGGCACCTTTCCCTTTCTTCATCCTCCTCCCCCCCCACCCCTCCAACCTTCCCAGGCTTCTCGCCTGTGGTCTTTTACCTCTTCTCCTCTTCCTCCTTCTTTCTCCGGCTGTGCTTCTCACACGCACTCGGACACTCCTACCTGGTGATCGATCGACCACGCCCTGGCGACTATCTCTCCCGCTCCTTCTCGCGCTCATCCGTTGTCGCCAGCTTTGCGGATCTCTTTCCATCGCTCTTTACGAAAGCCGCAAGCGTTCAAGTACACCGTTCTTTGCGCGACCGGTATTGCGCCGAAAAAAAGAAAAGCATCGCTCGCGATCTCGGCCACCTACCCCACGAGCCGGGATTTGAACATCGAGCTACGTTTGCCGGTGCAGGAATGGACATGTTGTTGAGACTCCTCTTGGCTACTGTCTGATCTGGATCTCTGCTACCTTTAGCACTATCCGCGGCCTTTGGTCACTGACATTATTCTTTGGGTGTTGATCACTCTTTCTTTCCCTTGGACGTGTTGCAGGTTCTCCCCTCTTCGAAATCGGCCATTATGGACATCAATTCATTGCTTTCTCCGGACTCGAATCCGAAGCCTGGGAACTCGACGCCCGTGCCCGGTCCTACGTCGAACAACGCACCGACCCCGGCTGCAGGGCCATCCCCCCACAAGGCAGTTCAGCGGGCGCGTTCAGGTCCTGGCCGCAAAAACAAGACATCTTCGCCTCTTGCGCAGCAAGTCTATGCTCCCACGGGGATACCTGAATCATCGCCCCCCGTTACTAGCCCCGGTGTTGGTCCCAGTGTCAGTGCTACCGGGAATGGAACTTCTCCTGTGACGGAGCGGCCGCCATCGAGACAGCCCTCCACGGGAATGGATACGCTGGCAGACCTGGCCTCAATGCAGCACCACCAACCTCCTCCCCCGCCACCACCTCAACAACAGCAGCAGCAGCCGCAACAACAACAGCAGCAGCAACAACAACAACAGCAAAAGCATCAACACGCGCAGCATCCCCAGCGCACGGCGCGCCAGAACGCACCTAACATGTTGAGAAATGCCGAGTTCCACCAGAGCCAACTCTCTCCATCCACCATCCACCCTCACGTGAACCAAATCAACCACAACACTCCCACCCCTCGCACATCGTTCGATTTGGCCATGGCGGAAGGTCCACGGGAATCCGCGCAAAGGAACTACGTCCAAACATCTTTGGAGCCCGAAGCGCAGCTGTTGGCAACCGAGTTGTTCAATAAAATTCAAGAGAATCCCCACACCTACGAGGCGCATGTTCAATTTATTGGATTGCTGCATGCAGGCTTTGTGAACCACGTCTATCCACCCAATAATCCCGATATCCACGGCGACCCACGTCGGTATGATCTCCTCAAGGATTTGAGGACCGCACGTGAGGAGATGGATAAGCTTTTTGCCATGGGTGAGGATCTTTGGGCAGAGTGGATTCAAGATGAGAGCATGCTTGCGCATACGGTGATGGAGCGCACCTCTGTAATGGAGCTGTGTCAGCGATCGGTCGAGGAAGAGTTTGGCTGCACTAAGCTTTGGCACATCTATGGCGAATGGGTGCTCTATTTGTACAATGCAACAGCCGGCGAACACGGAGCTGGCCAGTGGACCGAAGAAGACCGGATGATCGGCCGCGAAGTGTTCACTTGGCAGACCGTCTTGGACGTGTGGCAGCGAGCCGCGGAAGCGACGCAGTGGCGTATTAATAACAGCCATCTCGTTTGGGATCGATTCCTGGAGCTTTTGACTCAGGATCTAAGCCGAGGACCATCTCAAGAAAAGATCAACCACCTCCGCGGTCTCTATGAGGTGCGGCTACAGACTCCTCATGCTACCTGGGACCAGACCTTCCAATCATTCTCCAGTTTCATTTCTTCTTACTTTGAATCCAACTATGAGGAGATCATGTCGGAGACCGTTGCCCAAGCGTCGGCTGCAAAGAACTTCTATGCCGCGCGAGAAGAGTTTGAGCACCGACTGACCAAGGCCCAGGATTCTGGTGACAAGTCTGTTGAGTGGAACCTGTACAGAGAATATATTGATTGGGAACTCTGCCGCAACCGCCGAAGACGAGAATTCCACTTTGAGCTCGTCAATGCTGTTTACCAGCGGGCTGTTTTGCGTTTCCCTACGGACGTCTCGTTGTGGGAGGACTATGTCATGTTCCTCATTGCTGAATCCATGCATGGCCATGCTTCTACGACGACAATTTCAACCTTGGACCGTGCGACTCGCCACTGCCCTTGGTCCGGTAATCTCTGGTCCCAGTACCTGATGAGTTCTGAGCGAGAAGGCCAGTCTTTCTCCAAGATCTCCGGTATTAAGCACAGAGCTACCAGTACGGGTTTGCTAGACGCAGGTGGCATGGAAGAGGTGCTGAAAGTTCACACGACCTGGTGCAGCTATCTCCGACGACGAGCCTTCCTTTCCGATGCCACCGACGAGGACTTGGATGTGGCCGAGGTGGGTATTCGATCCGCAATTGAAAGCGTGCAGGAATTGGGCGAGAAGAAGTATGGTCGGTCGTACCAGGGAGACCCTCACTTCCGCCTGGAGCGTATCTATATCCGCTACCTCAGTGAAAGTGGCAGTTGGGACAGTGCGCGGGAGACTTTCAAGGGCCTCGTTCCTCGTCGTGGTGATAGCTACGAGTTCTGGCTCACCTATTACAACTGGGAACTTGTCTGCTGGAGCAAGTTCGTTCAGGGTGAGGCCACTGTGGATGCTGCCCGGCGCACTCCCAATCCTAGCTTTGCAACGGCGGTCCTCAAACAGGCAATCAAGCGGGAGGACCTTGACTGGCCTGAGAAGCTCGTGCAGACCTACATCGCCCACTGCGAGGATTATGAGGATGCAGATGAGTTGCAGCTTGCCGTGATCGAGACTCGCAAAGCTGTCCGAGCCGTTACGGCTCGAAGAGAGCGAGAGGCGCGCGAAGCTGCCGCCGCACAGCAGCAGCAACAGGAGCAGCAGCAACAGCAGTGGGAAGCCGCAGCCGAAGCTGCTTCTACGTCGGAGAAGCGAAAGCGCGAAGACGAGAAGGATGCAAATGGGCAGCCCACTAGCAAGAAAGTGCGCGCTGAAGAAGAGGTGGCCCAGGAACAGGAGGCTGCCGAGACTCAGCCTCCTGCCCGCGACCGTGAGCATGCTACTGTCGTGGTCAAGAATCTCCCTCGGGAGACTACTGAGCACAATGTTCGGCAGTTCTTCCGCCACATTGGCACGATCAACGGGGTCAAGATGCTTCCCGGGCAGGACGGAAATTCTGAAGTTGCGGTTATTGAGTTTGAGACCAAGGATGAAGCCCTGGCTGCTCTGACGCGTGACCAGAAGATCTTCAATGAAAACACTATTGAAGTGACGCTGGAGTCTGAATCGACCTTGTGGGTCACGAATTTCCCCCCTACCGCAGACGAGGAGTACATCCGCAACCTCTTCAGCAAGTACGGCCACATCGTCGACATTCGCTTCCCATCGCTCAAGTTCCAAACCAATCGTCGGTTCTGCTATGTGCAGTTTGCTGCTGCTAGTGCAGCACACCAAGCTACGGAGCTTAGTGGAACCGAAGTAGAGAAAGGCTACAAGGTTGTTGCAAAGATCTCTGACCCATCCCAGAAGGAAAAGCGTAGTGGAGCAATGCACGAAGGTCGTGAACTTTTCTGCAAAAGCTTTGACTGGAAGCTCAAGGAGAGCGATGCTCGAGATGCATTTTCCAAGTTCGGCACCATTGAAAATCTTCACCTCCCACTCAACGCCGACGGTTCCCACCGAGGGTACTTTTTCGTGGCCTATTCTTCTAAGGTATGTGTGAATCTTTTTGAGTTTCTTTGCCTTTTTGGTAATAATTGATTCTAATAAATTCTACAGGAAGAAGCAGAGGCAGCCCTCGCAATGGACAAACAAACCCTCGGAAGACGCCAGCTAGCTGTGAGCTTGAGCGGCAACACTGGCGCTAAGCGTATCGCTAGTACCATCATCTCTCAGATTGCCTCATCGGCATCACCGCCAGCCGAGGCCAATGGCAACACCGGAGGTGTGGTTGAAACCGTCGGTGGCCGATCGGAACGTACCCTCGCCTTGATGAATGTGCCCGATACTGTTAATGACGCTCGCGTCCGCGCTTTGGTTGAGCCGTTTGGGCGACTGGTCAAGATTGTCCTTAGACCGGATCACCAGGGTGCCATCGTCGAATACGTTGATGTCCATGATGCCGGCAAGGCCTCTTTAGCACTCGAAGGCAAGGAGATTGCTCCCGGACGCCCGCTTCACATCGGCAGTGTCGATGAGATGAAGCAACTGCAGGCGGAGAAGAAGACGGACCGCATCACCTCGATCAAGCAGGAGAAGCCGAAACCCTCGCTCCAACCTGCGGGTCCTATCAAGCGCCCTCAGCAGCCAGGTGCCCGTGGCGGCCGTCGAGGTGGCCTGGGTTTAAAGCGGGCTCCCGTTGCACCCCAAAATTCCACTGCCTCCGGTGCAGCTTCGGAAAAGGACAAGATGGACACCACCGCTGACAGCAAGGCCGGCGAGAGTGTCCCGTCCAAAAAGAGCAATGATGATTTCCGCGCGATGCTGGGACAGAAGCGCACGGAGTGAAGTGACATGGCAAACGACAACGATGACCTCGGCGCAACATTCGGTCTGACATGAAATCTGGTTGGCGTTTGTTCTTTCGGTAGTCATTCTTTCCCGATGCTACCTCGAGCATGAGATTGTGCCTGTACATCACTCGGGCCGGCCTTTTCGTGTCGTGGCTTGATCAATTTTGCTCGTGTTTTTAATTTCCTTTCTACCCCCCCATTTTCTTTTCTATGATGTTCGCTGGGCATGCGTGTCCTGCCTGTATATTATGCCTCATGTATCTTGCTGGTTCGTAACTTCTTGCCTAGTTTTTAATGATGACGGCCATTTTTGGGATGCCTCTTTGGGCAGATCTGGTAGATCGGTTCATGAGTGTGTGTTCTTGCAATGATGTGTGTTTCTTGTCCATTTTCGTATTGTGTAACCTTCGATGAGTATCGTGCCTTGGAGATGGAACCATGTAGGACTGGTTTGATGATAGCCTGAGGAGTGAAGAGATGCTAAATACGCCGAAAAATGCATACTAGTATGGATTCAGACCCCGGCCTATCAGGTAGGGAGTTGCGCCCATCCAATCTGATATTCTCGTGTAGACCGCTTTTACCGCCTCTTTCTCTTAAGTATGGGGAAAGGTGATCGCCGCCTCTGCGCCTCCTGCAGGTGCTTGGACGGTCCTTCTGCCTTGTTTTGCGGGCGAGTTGCCCGCGATAAGAGACACCCCCGTTGCAATTAGCCAGGAAATACGAAGTACTGGAGTTCAGACCGGGGGAATGAAGGTGGGACGAGAGTGGAGGGCGTGATTATCTGGATTTCTGGATTCCTGGTCATTGTAACCTTCAGTCAAGCAAGTAGGTAACTAGCAGAAATCACCAGACTCTCGCCGCGAAACTCTTTTTCCTTCCCCCTTACCTTCGTGAAAGTGCATATAGTTGGCCTCGATCTTCTTCTTCTGGACTATTCTATTTGTTTTGATTCTCTGTAGAATCCTCTACAAGTTGCTGCCTACAGATCTAGGTGTCGTGTCCACTCCCCGAAATTCCAGCCTCATCGGATGTACCGCCCTGTCGCACGGGCCAAATCTCGTCCTGAACACCTACGCCATCCCCCATCAGTACATCTTCTCCTCCCTTTTCTCCTCCTTCCTGTCCCTCGCCCCCTCCTCTGCCCGCCATGGATTTCCACCTGGTACCGAGGGGCACTGACCGGAACTATACGGGCTTCCTAACCAAGACAATCGTCTACTCAGGCACACTGGTGCTGTTCCTAGCTTGTGAGTTAACATCGAAGCTCTCCCCGCGCTACGATGGGATGGATCCACACGCCTATCCGCCTACATATCACCCGGATAACAGCTCCAAAAAGTTCTGGCTGACAAGTATATACACTACAGCTTTTGCGTTGACACTATGCTCCATCGTCATTCCAAAATGGGTTAGCTATCATAGCGAGAAGGTAGGTCAAGGTTACCTATGAAATTACATATGCGACCGGAACTGCGTATAACTAACCACTGCAATTACTCTCTCCTCCAGCCCGCCCACCACTATTCCTACGGTCTCCACCAACGCTGCTCTTCGCTCACCGATACCTGCGAGAATTTCCCACAGAGCCAAGACTGCCATGGAGATGACCGGTATTTCTGCTCGATGTGGCGATCCGTCGGGTTCTTGATGTCCTTTGCCGTGGTGTTGGAAGGCATGAGCATCGTCGCCTACCTGATTATCCTCGGCGGTGGGAAGCGGCTGCGAGAGAATGGTTGGCGGGTTCTCAGTCTGTTGATTATTTTGTCTGCTATTGTGCAAGCTGCGGGCATGTCGATTGTGGTAGGTCCCCTTCCCAATGGAAACAACAGCCGGATGACCCGGCCATTCCTAACCTTGGGTGGCTACGGCATTGAATATATACTGACGAGTGTTTTGGCAGGCATATCTGTTCGATAACGAGGACCGGTTCTTCGTTGGCTGGCGTTTGGACCAGTCTTGGGTTTTCTGTACTGTCAGTTGGTGCTTTAGTCTGATCTGCGCGGGCGCGATCGTTATTGCTGCTCAGATCTTGCCTTCCGAGGGAGGCTATGAGCTTATCCCGGATCATGATACGCTTAGGGTGACCTCTTGATGGGGACTGGACTAACTTTGTGATATATGGTGGTTGTCTCATCATTTTATGCGAATTCGAGTCGTCCGAGAAACGAACTATTCTTATGAATTCGAACCGGCGGGCCAAACAGATCGAGTTGCTCGATTTTATGCGACACTAATATCCCGCTCCGATTTGATGATCTACTTTGGCGTTTCCCCCTCTTATCTCTTATCTTTGTCCTGGCGATAATCTGCTTCTTCGGGCGTAGGGGATGTAAATAACTTTTTATCTTGCGTGCCTCGGTGGTAGTTTACGACTAATATGGATCATCATGCCTTTACTTGATATCATTTTTGTTGAAAACTTTAAGCATAGAGCAAGTCTGAGTGATAGGCGTGAGATGAGCCTCAATATCAATCATATCTTCGTGATACGGGTTGGAGACCTTTAACAAGCAACAATCAGAACGAAGACATGATCAGCGCGGTCTAAAAGGAAAAGAGGGAAGTAACAACAGCCTTCATACACCGGACACAGCTTAAAACACGCAGGTGCAGAACCAAAAAAAATGCTTCATCGAGATTCATTCCATACAATATACATGACGGGGGGGGACATCTTTCTCCTTATTCAAAACTCAAACCACCTACCAAACAATTTCCTTCGCGTTCAACCCCTCCACAGCGGGAATCTGAGCACGCAAAGCATGTCCGTAATCACCTGCGTTGGGAGTGCGCAGCAAAGTATGAATATGGAACTTCTTAGGCTCCTCATTATTCAAGAAAACGCCCGAGTGATGATCAAACTCGACCAGAATCACGGGGCTCTGAATCCGATAATAAAACGCATCTTCATCTCCATACCCACCGATCCAGCAGAAGTACGTCTCGTCCTCGAACCGACGCACCTGCTCGATCTTCATTGCCCGGGCCTTGGCGGGCAGATACAGTAGGTACTGCTCCAGGATCCCATACATAAGATCCTTTTGCTCTGCGCTGAAGGTAGACGCGAGGATACCCTCGTACGGCACTTCACGGTTATCACGGTATGCGCCGCACACGTGGCGCTGGTCATCCTTGTTCCAGCGACCGGTAGGCATAGCGGGATCCTTCATCTGGGCAAAGACACGAGCGCGAGACTGCAACTCGGCAGAGAGGGACTGCATCAATTGCAGACCTAGTTTCTCCTCAACCTGCATAATGCGGGTACCCGCGTACGGGCCGGCGTCAATCTCATTAGGCTCTGCGCCGGTGAACCAGGGCGAGGCGATAATCTGACCCTTGTACAGGAAGATATTCAGACAGAGGTGGTGGCCGTAGAAGGACCAGCCCCAGGGCCGGGTGGTGGAGGGACGACCGAAGAGGGCGAAGTTGTAGGAGAATTCGTTCATGACGCGCGGGGATTTGACGAGTTCGCCGAGGAAGTGGTTGATGCGCATGGCTTTGACGGCCTTGTCGTAACCTTCTGGGGAGAGGGTGGTTTGCAGGATGTTCATGACTGCGTCGCGGATGGTCGGGGTCACCTCGTCGAGGCGGACGCCCTTGTGGGAGAGGAGGAACTCTGGGTTCGACCAGGTGCGCCATTGCGGGGAGTCGATGTGGTAGCAGACGGCTTCCTTTTGTTTGTCGTCGAGGAGAGACAGGAGAGATTGTGTTGCGTCGACGATCTGTTGGATGGGGACATCCTCATCTTGTAGTGTGAACAGATCGGGACGGACGTTGCCTGTAGGTTTTAGTTAGAATTGATTTTCAAATTTATTCCTTGTTGCTAAGCTAGCTAGCTCTGGGGTTGCAATTGAGTTTCTTACCGTCGGTGGTGACACCCTTGAAGGGCTCCTGCAACAGATCCAACCAATGCATGTACAGCGCATGCAACCATGGGGGCTGCTTCCCCGTCTTAAAGGCATGCGCATACTCGTGAGCATCCTGCGTGCACATCACCTGGAAGCGCGGCAGGTTCAAATCAGGCAGATACTGGCGGTACTCGCCCGTAGGCTTTGCCAGCTGTGCATCAGATGTAGTCGCCATGTTGTGTTCAATGTTGTAAAAGAGTGAGGAGAAACCAAGGAGAGGGGCAGCAAGTGTACCCTCCCCAGAGTATTATAGTCCCTCGCAGGACCACAAACCCCACACGATTCGGGCTGAGGCGGCGTCCCCACGAACGTGGGGATTGTGGGTGATTTCTTATCCGATCGATGAATCTGAAGGGAATCTGGCGATGACTAACGGGGTTACGGGGTGGCGAGGAACGGTTTTTTAAATCTGGGAACCAATCCGGATGCTTCGGATAGGCATTTACGAGTGAATTTCGTCTGAGACTGCGTACAGCACTCTGGGAAAGAATTAAGTAAGGCAGAGAGAAGGTGGGAATGGGTCTTTTTCACTGTGGCATCAGCCCATCGACCGGCTGGGGCTCAATGTGGGAGAGCCGATTGCTTCGGAGACTGGCTTCCGGGGAAAAAGAACCCTAGAAGGACGAATGATGAGGGAATCTGGGGCTAGAGCAGAGTCTATGGTCATCATTATCAATTGATGTTTTAAATCAGGTGATCCTGGTCTTAGGTAGCTATGATTGTGTACTTTGACCAACTCCAACCGCGTCGACGTGTCGCGGGGCAGGATTCCACGGACTATCCGAGTTACCCCGCCATCCGAAAATATTGGAGTAAATGTACAATCTAGTTTCTTAGATTATCTTCCTTAGCAGGAAATTTAATGGCCTAGGTCCAATGAGTCCACCGGCTTAGTGCCACATTGTCTCCTCCGGAGATGAATCACTGCCGTGAAAAAAAAATCGGCAGCCAGCCAGACGGAGGCCGACTCGCACTTCGGCCTCTTCTCGCACCGACTCCGTGTAGGAAGATGGTCCAATTGACCGACTCAGGCAGAAGCCAATAACTGGGGCCATAGAATGGACAAATCAAAATTCACAATGAATTCCTTCCCCAAACAAAACCTCCTCCAGAGACAACTCGGATCTTCCGAGGACGGCTTCTCCGCCCTCGGCATCAGGTCCCCCGCATCCCGACCAGCTGCAACTTTCGGCAAGTTTAAAACTAAAAAAGCTCCCTCCGCCACTCCAAGGACCTTCGATCGATTCTTCCCCTTGAACATCTTCCTGCAAAAAATACCCCCTCCACACACAATGTCTCTCCCATTCTCAAATCAGCCCCCCGCTGAGCGGGTGCCTTATGCTATCCCTCAACTCGAGGGCGAGCGCATCACCATTCCCGGCAGTAAGGGTGTGTTCCGCATTCTGACTTCCTCCAAGCAGACCAATGGTCTCATGGCGGTCTTCCAGAGTGGCGCGACTGTCTCTGATGCTCCGGGTTTCCACTACCACGAGAAGGCCCACGATGTCTTCTTGGTCACAAAGGGCTATCTGAAGCTGTGGAACGGTCCTCAGTGCCGTATTCTGGGCCCTGGCGACTTTGCCTATATTCCTCCCGTATGTGCACTTCTTCCTGTTAAGCTGTGGACTTGGTAAGACGTTAAACTAACACTGTCCCTTATAGACTGTCATTCACAACCCCGAAATGGTCGGTCCCCACACGGAGCTCCAGGGCCTGATCACCCCCGGTGACTGGGTGGACTTCTTCCGTTACGTCTCCGAGCCCTACGAGGGTATCCTGGTGCCCGAGACCGACAACCGCGATCTCAAGTCTCTGTTGATCCCCAAGGTCATGGCCGCCAAGGGCAAGTTCGACGTCGTCTTCCAGCCCCACTACGTGCCCCCCGAGGTTAGCGACTGGACCAAGGAGGACGAGAAGCTTCCCGAGGGCCACCAGGGTTACTTCCTGCGCGCCAACACCGGTCCTCGCTGGATGTTGGGTGGTGTTATGTCTCGTCCTTTCGTTACGACGAAGCAGAGCACCGGTGTCTGTGCGATTTCTAGCATCGAGTCTTCCAAGGACTACGGCGAGACTGTGTTCTCCAAGTATATCACTTTCGCCTCTGTGGACCACTGTCTCTGCGTCATGGAGGGTGCTCTCAAGGTGAGCCTGGAGGGTGTGGGCGAGACTATCTTCCGCGAGGGCGAGACCGTGGTGATTCCTGCCGGCCAGGCTTTCTCCCTCGGCTTCGAGAGCAAATATGTCAAGGTCCACTCCTTTGCCGACGGTGATGGTATTGAGTCTCTGATCCACCAGGCCGGTAAGCAGATCGAGGAAGTCGTTCTGCCAGACCAGGCCCCCGAGTACGATTCATCAAAGCTGGCCTCGGTTGCGGAGGAGCTTAAGATTACCTTCTAAGATGATTATGTGTATGAGCCAAATGAATAGATCTAAATGTATATAGCGGCATATGAAATCTCATTTTTTTTTCAGTCCAAATTCCAGACATACCAATGTGGATCTCCAACACACACGCCCGTAGTACATCGGCAAATAGGCCATTAACCACAGCCACTATCTGTCTGCATTTGCCGAACTATCTTGCCCCCAACCCAACATTAATAATGTGACACCACTTAGCACCAATTAGCCCCAGTACCTCCTCTCCCTGATTGGCCCCCGGATTCCCACGGACACGACCGTCCCCGCGGAGTGTCACGTGGACCAAGGGGGGGCACGTCCGACAATCCGGATTTTCCGGACGTTGCGTCGTTATCACCATCTGCATTGAACTAGCGCCCATCTCCACGCCAATATACGCGCGAGATACCCCATTACCCCGGACGTGACAGATTTCGCGGGCTGCGAACGATGTCTGGATAATGCAAACTCACCAGAGTACGCCGCCCTTTGCTGCGGATGAACCGGCGCCCAAGCGGACGAAGAGGCCACGCGCCGCGCAGGCTTGCGACCGCTGCAGGACGAAGAAGTATAAGTGCGATGAGCAGTATCCGTGCTCGCATTGTAAAAGTGGGGTCTCTTCGAGCGAGTGTTCGAATTTCTGTACGATCGGATCCGCTAACGAGTGCTACAGAGAGTCAGTTGAATTGTGTGTACCAGGGGAATTATCGGGAACGGGAAAGCAACCGATCTGCCAGGTAGGATATGATTGACATCGCACCATGTGTTGCACCGTAGCTAACATCTCCTGCAGCTATGTCACCGACCTCGAGAAAAAGGTCGAGGAACTGGCTTCGAGGTTGCGTAATGCCGAAGCTCGAGTCACAGCATCCCCGCAATCAACAAAACTACCAGTAACCCAGCCCCCAGCACCGACAGGAATAGAAACCACTCCATGCTCGATGCCCCGAACGGGGTCTACGCCCCAGGAACCAGCCAAATTACCGGGTGACACGACACATGAAGAGTCCGCCGAGAGCGCAGACGACGAAATCAAAGAATTGAACCACCACACAAACGGCATCGAGTTCTACGGGAGTACCTCATCAGCAGCGATTATCGGCCATTTGAAAAAGGCACGAGAACCGAAGAGCCACGAAGAGCCGTATCCCCGACCATCCGATTTCTCGCTAATCTCCACCCTACACAATCCAAGTTTCTCGCCGTCTTATGCCACCGGGCCGACCGCTGCGATTGAGCAGCAGAACTATTACTTTGACCAGGCCCATGTGTTTATGAACGGGTATTTCGAGAATATCCATTTCATCCACCCATTCATCGACAAAGAGGACTTTTTATTACGTGCAAATGACCTCTGGTTCAACCGGTCACATACACCGGAGCCTAGCTTCGTCGCTCTATATCTGAGCGTACTATCCTTTGGCGCATTGGTGCGTGTTTGGGACGAAGATAAGCTTGCTGGGCTAGGGCGCTTTGAGTGGAGCCGGAAATTGTTTGGTGAGGCTCAGGCGTATCTGAATTATTTGCGGTTTTCGAATGACCTTGAAACGGTGCAGTGTCTTTACATGATGGTATGTGAGGATCATTCTGGCTGTGAGGACCGTGCTTACAATTGCTAGGCCAAGATCTGCCAAAACGAGTTGAATCCAAATTGTGAGTATATTCAACTGCTTGATATGCAGGGTATGCTAATGTTGGTTAGTGGCTTATATGTACTTGGGTCTGGCGGTACGCACATGTCTCTCTGCTGGGTTCAATCGAGAAGTGGAGTGCCCCAAAGATCCTCGTTCGAGCTGGATCTCGAAGACTTGGTGGTAAGTCGACAACCTCGTCTTCATGATTTGCAATGTTTTACTTGCTGACTGGTTATTCAGGGGCATGTTCTCGCTGGAAATGTAGGAAATTTGGGCATCTACCTTTCCCCTATAGAGTAGTTACTGATTGATCATAGTGAAATGAGCTTTTCCGTGGGCAGACCAGATACTCTTGGAATGGACGAATACCACAACAGAGCCATTCCAGACCGCGATGACACCGAATATGCCATTATCCCGTGGATGATTGACTTTGCCCAGATCATACGACGAGTATCTGTTCAAATTTACCATTCACGCATCACTCTCCAAGAGAAACTCCAGCTAGCTCTGCAAATCGAGATGGAGATGGATCGCTGGCTCGCGAGGCTACCGGAGAGGATTAAGCCAGATATCGGCGCTTATAGGCTGTCGCGTAGCGCACTTCGTGATCCCAAGTGGGCTCGGAGGCAGCGCCTCGTGCTGGCAATTCGTGAGTTTTTAACACCATACTCACGCTAGTACAAAATCTAACCTTCTTCCAGGATATTACAATGTGAAAATGCTGTTGTTCCGACCATTCCTGAGCCATTTCACTCGCAAACTCCGACATCCACCCAATGAACTAGAAGAAACGATTGCCAAGTGTTTGGATGCGGCCATGAAGACAATCGAGGTGATTCATGACATCTACCGAGTGCACACATTTTTCCGATGCTGGTACGTACCTTATAACCAAAGGTCAACCTCACCCACCGCAATATTAACATCTAACTAGGTGGTACAACACAACCTATGTAATGTTCGCCACATCCACCCTCCTCCTCCCCATGTCCAAACTTGGAATGTGCGCCGACACCATGCCCCTTCTCCGTTCCGTCGAGATGGGCGTGGAAATCCTCGAGTCCATGGATGAATCCGTCGTCGCCCGGAAATCAGTCGAGATTATACGGCAGTATCTTCGTGATTTCCGAGCTTCCGGTGCGCAGCAGCCTGCGTCCGGTCCAGGTGATGGCACTGAGGAAGTGCCGGCATCTACGGAAGCAGGGGTTGGCCAGGGCTTTGAAATTCCAGAGTGGGCTTATGGATTCGGGTTCCCGGATTATTCCTTTGATGGGATTGCCCGGCTTTTTGATGATATCGGGGGCTTGCCTATGCTGGATGGTGATTAGGGTGTGGGGGGGGGGGGGGCTATAAGGTGGATAATTGTGTATGAGGATGTATAGATATTTATGAATTATTATGTCGAGTCATGAATTTACTCGTGGTTTTACGGAGGAGTCCTACCTTTCTTGTCTTAGTGCTGACCGTGCGGACTTATCGAATGCTTAAACCCGTTTTCCTTTCTGCCTTGGCAAGGCTGGCATAGCACTAAGTTTGACTCACAGTAGTAGTTGGTTACTATCGATTATCAGATCGTCGATCTAGATTCTAGACTCTGATTATTGGTCATAAATCTTATTCGACGTCATACCCCAGACCTCGAAACACGAGGTACACGAGTGTAACCTCAGCTTTTAGCAAGCTATTTAAAGCCGAGGAACTTCCCCGATCGACAATACTTTAAATTCCAGGCCATTATTTTCTTCAAGAACATCTCCTCACCGTCTCACCTACACATAATTGTCCCATTGTACAGCCACTCCTATTACTCGCAAAAATGCCACTCACCCTGCACCACCTGGGCCTCTCCCAATCCGAGCGCATAATCTGGCTCGCCGAAGAACTCAACCTAGACTACAAACTCGTCCACCACAAGCGAGACCCCATCTTCGCCCCCCAATCAATCAAAGACCTCCACCCAGCCGGAACAGCCCCAGTCATGGAAGACGATCCATCCACCGTCACCCAATCCCGCGTCGTCCTCGCCGAATCAGGCGCTATCATCGACTACATCATCGCCGTCCACGGAAAGGGAGCACTCGCGCCTACCCCGAAAGACGGATCGGCGTACCCGAATTACCTAGAATGGTATCATTTCGCTAATGGAAGCCTTCAACCGGCTCTCTTCCGGGTTCTTATGGCTCGCGGCCCGGCGTCGGATCCTAACTCCCCCGTTGTTGTGCGGACGTTGGCAAAGTGGGATCATTTATTGTCTATGATGGAGGATAGACTTGCTGAGACGGGCGCGTATCTTGCTGGTGAGATGCTTACGGCTGCGGACATTATGACTTTTTTCACGTTGACTACTATGCGTGGCTTTTGTCCTGTTGAGTATGATGTGGAGAAGCATAGGCATATCTTGGCTTATTTGAAGAGGGTTGGGGAGAGACCGGCGTATCGGAAAGCCATGGAGATTTGTGAGGGAAAGGACTTTGTGCCTTTGTTGAGTGCGAAGGCCGAACAGTTCTCGTTGATGAAGAGGTGAGTATGGAACCTCCTGGGGCGAAGTTCTCGCGGGTATAGTGTACATTATTGAAACAATCTATAGATCTCGACTCTGATAGCTTTTTACTGTAAACAAGATTTAATGAGTCTTCCATGTATAATGCATATATTGAAACAGAACTATATGAAATGCTAAATTGTGTATAAAAGGTTTACAAAACTGAACAGGATGATCGAGAAGTCTGCTTTCCGAAGACTTCTGGGTTCTGAGCCACAGCCTTCTCGACCTCCTTGATGGCATCGTAGCCGTATAGCCAGGGCTGAACTTCCGGGCATGTCCTGTTCGGAGATTTGTATTAGACATGTACTTTGAAGACGGGGTCGAGACTTCTTACCATCGACTGGGGAAAGCTCCCTTAATCTCCTTGCCAAGCTGCGAGAGGAAAACCTCATCACGCTTCTTCTGCTCTTCACCATCCACCATGTGGAAGTCGTGTCTCTGTAGATACGGCTGTTAGATATTACATTCTCATGACACTGAGAAGGGAAAGTTTCAAAGCTTACCTGCTTGAACGTCTCCCGAACGATAGCCTCTCCTCGAGACTTGCGAAGGCTCTCATATAGACGCAGGATACGTGGCAGCTGGGCCTTATCCGTCATGTGTCCCAGCAAGAGGCCGAGAACGGCACCGTCCTCTAATGAGGAGTTGGCACCTTGTGCCAGATAGGGAAGCATAGGGTGGCAAGAGTCGCCGCTATTCGAAATAATTAGTTAATAATCTCAAAGATACCTTGATGTCAATTGGCACATACATGAAGACAAGGTTCGACTTGTCATTGACCCACTTCTCCATCTCACCGTCTAAATTCATGTTAGTATCAATCTTGAACTGAATTCACAATGTACTTAAACTTACGGTGCATCAGCTTCCACTTGTCGATGCTACCGGTTGTGACATAGTCCAGGAACTTGGTAAGACTGAGGACAATGGGTTAGCCAGTGAAACTCCACATGTGTAACCAGATACACATACATTGGATCCCAACCAACAAACAGCTCCTTCATTTCATCCACCGAGCCAGCCTGTCTTGAGACACCCGGTGGCAAATTATCAGGCACCAGCAAGACAATGTTGTACATGCTTCCTCCTCGGACAGAGTAGCCCACAGCATGAGCGCCAGGTCCAACCCAGAAGTGCACCTCGGGGTTCTCCACGAGCGCCTTGAGCGTCGGGTCAGTAACCTGGTCAGAAGTCAAGACAATCCGATACGCCAGATCACCCGTCGGAAGAGGCTCATCCTTTCTTCCTTCGAATGCCTCTCGGCACTGAGACCACAAGCCGTCCGCCGCGACAATCAGATCACCGGTGTATTGGTTTCCCGCCACCGAGTGGACGGTGGTAGTATCAAAGTCGACACGCTCAATTCTCTCACCCAGGTGGAAGGTCACGCCCAGGTCTTGAGCGCGCGCATACAAGCCTTGTTGGAGATCCACTCGGTGCAAATCAACAAAGGGTGCATCATCATACTTAGCATGGATGCCCTTATCGAAAGCGTCGTCGTGAGCCAACACTTCGCCCGAGTACCGGTGGACGGTCAGCTTCGTGGGCTCGGCCGCTGCCTCCCATAGTGAATCCCGGAGCTTCCAGTATTTGAGGAGACGCGAGGCATTCGGGGTAATCTGCAGACCAGCGCCAACCTCGGCTAGCTCCGGTGCTTGCTCGATGACCTGGACGGAGTGACCAGAGAGGGCGGCAGAGATGGCCGTGGCAATGCCACTAAGGCCAGCGCCGACAATGACAACGCGGAGACGAGCTTCTTGGGAGACCTGTGTTGTTTGAATCTCAGCAGGGGGGTAAGCAGATGGAAAGTCTGCACTAAACTTACCATGTTGAAGGGTTGTAATGGCTGACGACTCGGATGTCAAAAGAGATAGATATACCAGCCACAACAATGAGAACTCAACGCAAACGAGGTCTCTCTTGAATATTTCAAAGAAGAAGGACCTTCTCACGCTCAAGAAGTTATTCGTAGCTCGCGCTGTCGGTGTTAATTTCGCCGGAAAGGCCGAGGCCGACCGGAACTTGAACTCGCCCCGCGCTCGGGAAAGCCGACGCTCGGAATTTCCAGTCTCAACGAATTCAACCACGAAACTGTCAATGCACGAGCAAGTCCAGCGAGACGCCTTCTCGGTGGATACCTTCATCCACTCGGTAACGCGGCTTGCCGTCAGTGTCCGGGGTGCATATCATCGCGGGGGAGCTGAACTTTCATACCCTCGTGGGTCAGCCTGGGGTACCAAGACTAGACCGACAAGAATCTGGGGAAGTCGACACCAGATCAAGAATATTGAGTCACTATGATGGGAATACATTCTCCATTCAGCCGACAAGGTATGGGTCTGGTCATCCCATCAAACCTCATGACCATATTCGTTGACCGAGTCTCGTTTAGTGGCGCTTTAGAGGCTTGCGGCTTTAGGGCTTGACCGAGCATCTCGACTCTCCCAAGAACCTCACTCTATCACGGCAGGCGGCTCAAATAAAGAACCGCCAAAGAGCTTGACAGGATTTACATGGGTTCCCGGATTCCGGACCCTGAAGAAGAAAATAAACCATCACTTTTCTCATCGCCAATCGCCAAACTCTACCAATGAATCCTGATGAATGCTCGCTTAAAGAGGCGTCGTAGGGATGTGGACCCGACGCGCATCCGAATCTCCCCCACGGACATCCCGAAGACCCTCTCCAGCAACCCCAGTCAATTTTGATTCGTGATCACGGCTCATCCGCGGGGAAATGGACCTATCAATGCTAGTATGCTAGGCTAAGCCAGCAATGGAACTTCCAGCGCGGCTTGTGCATTTCCCGAGCGTTGATGCCGGAGCTGCTGCTTATATGGGGCGACTCCCCCTTCTGTCTTGATCATCCCAGAATCGTACGACTTTCCCCACGTTTGATACCTTCCCCAGCGGTTGGACGTTTACCCACAATGACGGTTGTCGATCCCAGAGTATGTAGCCTCCTGTCGTTTACTCCTGGAATGACTTTGAATGGCTAATGTCGGCAGCTTTTCCCGCAACGGGTGCGGTATGCCGCCTTGCTCACTGTCAATGTCTACGTTTTTATGGGAAATATGTACTCGGTGAGTTTCATCCTTACTATTTCTGCTTCACCACGGCCATATTCCTAATTTCGGCTATGAATAGTCGGGAATCACGACGGGATTCGGATCTCTTGCTGCCTATTTCCATGCCGACAATGACATGCTATCGGCACTAGTCACATATTCCGTACTGGCCATGGGTTTGGCTAACCTATTCTGGATGCCTCTTGCCTTGTGCTTTGGAAAGCGTCCGGTTGTTATCTTCTCTATGGCGATGTTCTTGGGTGGAATCATCTGGAGTGCCGTTGCCCCCACGTACAACAGCCTGCTCGCATCGCGAGTCTTTGCCAGTTTCGGTAAGTTGGATACATCAAGTAATTTTCGATTGCACCTTGGCTAATTTAACATAGGATATGGTGCTATCGAGTCGCTGGGACCCAGTATCCTCGCAGGTATGTCACGACCCTCTCCTTTTCCCGATCGCGAAAGCATCAACCTAACAACCCCCCATAGATCTCTTCTTCGAGCGAAACTATGCCAGTGCAATGGCAGTTTATGCTGCCTTCCTGTCCGGTGGTTCCCAGATTGGACCCATGATTGCCGGCTACCTCATCGAGGCCCGTGGCTGGCGCTGGTTCTTCATCCTCTGCGCCATCATCGCCGCAGTCAACTTTGTGACCACCATCTTCATGCTGCCGGAGACCATCTACGAGCCCGATGTTGATGAGACCGAAGAGCAGACCGAGGAGGTTGAAAAGGACGCCCATAGCCACCTGGAGTCTATCCCGACGAGATCGCAGGTCGGCGACCGTGCCAGCATGGACTATGGTGAATACTTCAAGGGACTCTTCACCGTGGGCCTCACCAAGGGTGCCCAGAAAGCTGGCGTGGCCAAGTACTTCGCCTACCTTTTCGTTCTTCCCTTCCCTCTGCTCCTTATTCCTGGCGTGTTGATCGCCTCGATCATGTACGGTGTTGTCCTTGGCGGGTAAGTAAACGACTTCCTTGAACATTGTCTATCTCTCTCTGAATCAGTCTTCTAACCTTGATTAGTGTCGTCGCCATTTCAACCCTCACCCCTTCTCTGCTATCGGCACCTCCTTACCTCTTCACCTCTGCCGACCTCGGTCTCTTCACCCTCAGCAGCTTCGTTGGCATCGTGATCGCCTGGCCGATCGCCGGTCCTCTGACCGATCTCCTCTCCCGCTGGCTTCGCAAGCGTAACAACAATGTCCACAAGCCCGAGCACCGTCTGCCCGCCTTGATCTTCCCCTTCCTTATTTGCCCCGTCGGTCTGGTCATCTTCGGATATACCATCGCTCGCCAAGAGCACTACGTCAAGCCCGCCGTCGGTGCAGCCATCTCCGCCGCCGGTCTGACCTTGGTGCCTTCGGTCATGCTGTCCTATGTTGTGGACTCATACCCCAGGACTAGCGGCGAGGCGCTTGTGCTGGTCAACGCCTCGAAGAACGTGGTTGCATTCGGACTGGCCAAGGGTGCCTATGCTTGGATGGCCAAGGAGGGCGTCGCGAAGATGTTCTATGAGTTTGCTGGTATTCAGTGGGCTTGCATCTTCCTGGCTCTGCCTTTGTATATCTTTGGACCGATGCTCCGGGCTCGGACCCAGAAGTTGTTCTAGTTATTTGTCAGGTTACATCTAGATATAAGGCAAAGGGACCACTAAACTTCTAATGACATGGAATTCTTTTATCAAAACTATATTTTACACATAAAGATTCTGGTTGACGTTGCATTGACCTACTGCTGTGGAGAGAGTGTGCCGGTTACAAGGAGAGATTCTGTCGAATAACGTGAAATGAAGTTTCGGATGGATGGGAATACCGTGTTGCAACCCTCGTAGTAGAAATGATCCATCAAACCAAGGATCATACTCACGGCACTACAAGAAACGTTCGTTCCACTACAACGCTAGGCCTAATTAAAAACGTACCTCCTCGATGAGTATAAAACGGTACAATGAAACCAAGATTATCCGTGACCTTGGCAGCAGAGATACGTGAATTACTAAAAGCTTGACCCCCTAACTGGGCTTCTAAATCATCTTGTTCGCTATACTTTGAAAGATAAATCGAGAGAGCTTACTAGGATTCTCTAAAAAGATAACTAGAAAGACATTCTAAATGACCTTTATAGACAGAAGAGGTTAAATAGTATCTAGCTAGGCCTTTCTTTCCCGCTCCTGTTTCAAAAAAAACGAACTCTCCCTAATATACAGAAGGGTTTAATAGATAGATATCGAATGAACTATGTGCTACTCATAAGGTTTGTTTCTAAGCGTCGTAGTGTTACAATAATTTCTTATAGTGCCATGAATATGATCCCAAATCAATTGTGTGCATTCCGGATGCTAGTGATAAACGAACAAAACTACAAAAATAAAGACCGAAACATACACCAACCCAATTTGCGCCCATGCCACAGAATTCCTCAAGGCCAGACCATAAATGTCGAAGTATACCAACAGAAATATTGCATCCAGTGAGATCAGCGCTACATGTAGAAAAAAGAAGCAAAACAAGGCTGCATACCAGCCCCTTGCAGATAATCACCACCTAGTTTGTGAAGAGACTCAGCCAGAGAGCCCATCATAGATCAAAGATTGCGTGGTGTTTTTGTTCCCACACGTCCACAATTTGTTCCATCTCTAGAATCACCAGGTGGCCTCCACGCTCGACCCGTTCGGGGGTCACTATGTGACGGATAGGAAGTAGATGGGCTCCGACTTAGTGAGCCGGGAGAAGATGGTGCGGATGAGCCTGGTGTTGTGCTGGCTGTAGCGGAAGCCCCGGTAGTACTGGAGAGACTAGAAGCTGCTACTACTGCTGATGGATTGCAGTGACCACAGGTGAAAATGTTGAAGCCACGACCGCCGCAACTAGTACAGATCGCGCCTCTAGAAGTCGGGTAAGTATTCCATGCGAGACCAGAAGATTTGAGGATTTGGTAGCTACCTTGGAGCATTGCCAGCGCAGTCTCGGCATGTTACAACTGTTCGACCGCCGATACATGAGATATGGTCCGGGTCGAGGTGGAAACTTGAAAATTTCAAAGAGGTCATTGTGTTGGTAGTGGTAGAGCGGCTCGGCAAGTGGAATGGTCGCTCAAAGTTGGAAGAGGTATTCTGAGATGAATGTGGCGAGGTACGCAAGCTACCGTAGAATATGCAGTTAATATAGTTGATATGGAGAAGCAGATGGTTTTCTTCTTTCCGGTTTAACTGGTTGATAATTGTAAATGAGGGTGCGAGGGCAACGAGAAATCACAGCCTTATGAATATATCTTTAATGATGACCAACAACGGAACCAACAGGAAAGCAGGCAACGTGTTGGAGTCAGCAATCTAACAAGGATAAAATCCTACCCAGTCCAGAGTGCAACAAGTCCGGAAATAGAGTAGACAAGGAGCGAGGACTCTTATACATGCGAGGGGGGCGTGTTAGTGGCACACGACCTCTCAAGCTTAAACGGTTACATTGTCCGATAATCTAACAAAAAGATCAATAAAAATAAAAATTCGATAACCCCAGCGATCCTAGATAAATGGGGACCGTCCGGCTGATCAGCAGGACATTGTGTCGTAACGACTGGCGGCTTCGCAGGCCGAGGATTAAGCCTTATCCAATATTGAGGTCGGTCACCCTGGGGCAGACGACATATTTCCAGAATCCGATCTACCAATGAGACCGGCAGTTGTAGATCTGGCATGTACAGAGAACGGTGCATGCGCCATCTTAGGTCTAGTCTGGTCCCGAAGCTCAAGAGGGGTACATATTGGAGGGGCGCAAGATGGCGCACCTAGATCTTAGGCCAATGTATCCTAAGATGCAAGTTCAGGGTTGTTGAAACTGGCCAAGCTGGCTGGGCCGGGCATTTGATTTTGTGGGTCATAGCGATCAATGTTAGTCAACTGAGTTATGGAGAATGCCCTGATGACCCTCAAGTTCACAAGAGGGCCAAGGTTGAATAGCAGTTGCTACGATTTGACTGCAACGGTGTCCTGGGTTGGACGGCTGTTCTTCAATAGCGGCGGCTCGAGACGACGAAACCAGCGGAATAACGCAGGGATTATCGCACGGGAATCATTCGTAAACCGCGAATCAGAGACAGGCTGATTGTTGGGCAGGGGATCACCAATCCTGGACTCGGTGTTGCCAGGCGGAAAATAAGTCCCCAATCGCATGGCAGCCACCACAGCCTTGTGTTACGACTAGCGAACATGTATGATGGATATCCAGGATCGTCGGGCCTTGACCGTATCACAATTGCATGTGTATTAGTAAAAATCCACTTACCCGGGCTGGGGGTTCAATTGCATAGGGGTTCAATTGCATAGGGGTTCAATTGCATAGATGTTCTCGCTAGAGAAAGCCCGAATGAGTTGGCCCGTCCACGGATAGCTGCAGAAAGCCATGCGTGTATGATCTCATTTCCGAGACTTACGAAGCACCCAGACGAGGCCGAGGGCAAGTTAACTCATATAGGTGTTATTTTTCAGCCAAGGCGGCTGCATCTAAGAGTTTCATACGAATACTTACCCCTTTTAGACAAGACGTTCTTTGTATCTTGACGGGAGTAGGGGGTGGCGTTGCTTGAGACGACCATGTCACCAATTCATGTTAGTAGTCAGATGGCCATCCGCATGCATTGAAAGCAGAGGAAACGGGATATTGAACGCCCACTTCACATTCAACTTCGTGGCGGACAAGTAGGTTGGTGGGAGGGCGCTGGGGGCGGTGCCTCGTGCATGAAATGTTGGAGTGCATGTGCCCCCAAGGTGCATGCAATGCACAACTCTGGTTTCGCCGTCTTAGAAAGGGTCCAAGACGATCAGATATGCCCAATGGGCACGAGATAGGCATCGACGGATTGAAGGAACGTGGTCACGGACAATCCTGATGCATGAGGGGCCTGTTCCAGAGCTCCGAGGGCAAGTGTATTTCCCTGGCTTGAATCATGATGTGTGGGTCACCACAATTCTCTTGCATAGGATGGGGAGGTATTAAACGGGCGAATAGCAGCGCCTGTAACACGTCGAAAAGCCAACCTCGGGGCCAATAGTATGTAACCAAGATCACAGCGTACAAGAGAGTGACCAACGAAAAATCATGGAAAGAAATGCAGGCGTGGGCCACGACTGTAAGTTTTGTTTCCTTAAGCAAGTATCCGTCAACAAGGTAGAGACCTCAAAAAACCGGAAAGTTGTTTCCACTCTGGGATGGGATTGCAAGATGGGCACAAATTCTCCCGTGTTAAGACTCAGGGCCAGACTTGAGATGTGTCGGAGACAAGGGGACCCCTGGCAGCCGTTGAGATCCAAAGATGATCCACGATCCACACTAGAGCTGAGGTGTCTGGGTGACGTATTGCAAGAGGTGGATATTCTCCGCTCAGGAATCCCGTGCAGCCACTCAGCATTAGATATGTGCCTGGAGTTGTGGGACGGCTGATACTGTAGTCGTTCTCATCGGTTCGTACGGAAGGGCCGGCCCTCAAGGATTTTTGTTGCATGAAAGAGAGGACAAGAGAAGCAGCTCCAGGCGGGGTCCAACTAGGGCTTGTTCGAGTCCTGTAGATCGAAGCGCTCACTGAGAGAAAGCTGCAGCCAGCCATCCTCCATCACGCGCTAGGCTCGGGATTTCGATGCAGGCTGGGGAAGGGGCTTGACATCGGCGGTAACAGACGTTCTCGGCCATGGCCCCGGATCCACCATCAGAGCATTGAAGAGGCTAATTGAGACCAGCGGGGTTGAAAGAAGCCTGGAAGATCTTTCATAGCTCTGATTCTTTCGGACTTGCCGCTCGATGAGCCAGGGGGTAGTGGCATGATCCTCGACAGAGAAAGAAAAAGAAAAGCCAGTTGCCGCGGAGTCACGCAGTCGAGGACACTCTCTAGTCAGCTGACATGAATCGGTAGGGAAGCTGCAGCCCAATTGACAAGGATCCTTGTGATATCTCCGCTATGCGCTCTGATCAACGAGAATGCGTAATCTGATTTGGTCCTGGCAAGAGGATGGCCGCCTATTGTTGTTTTTCTATTCAAAGGCACTCGACTTTACTTGGCTTGGGAGGATCAAAAGTTGAGCAACGAGTAAACCGAAGCTCTCTAGGACTAATGATATAATTGCAATGGCACCGTCTCTTCAGTCGAAAGACAATTGTGAATTATCCAGATTTGACCCGTCTCATGACATCACAGTGCTCCTCATCCTTTTAAACGTGTCCAGCGGTCGAAGGGCCGTACCTGGCAGCACCGAGCATCGCCGAGAATGAGGGGCATCACACGAGGGAGGAGGGATGGCATGGCCGATTTTACAAGATGGAACGAACTCTGCATGAGAACTAGGGAAGGGAACTTCAAGATAGGAGATTCATTCATTCTTGCAAGTCATTATCATCTGCAGAGTAACCAAGAGAGTAACGGGGGGTAGATATCATAAAGCAACGCCGAGTAAAAGCCCAGAAACAAGGCCATGGCCGTGAAGCTCAAACCCATGTTACTGGACAGTCAAAGCAATGAGAAAAACAAAAAAGAATAGCAGTGTAAAAGGAGAGAAACCAGAGTAGCCACCGGCCCCAACGCACGAACTCCTCGTCCCTGCAACTCCGATCCTCCCGTGACTCAAAGCCAACATGCATCGTGCTTTGTGCCCACAAGAGTAGTGCATAGACAGAAAAAAAGAAAAGGGAAAAAAAAGAGGGTTAGACCAGAAAACTCCCGTCCATGTGTTGAAAGTATATTCGGTCTGCAATCACTGGAAATATTCTGCTGGAAGCGCAGCCAGAAGAGCAATGGTACCCAGACCACCGAGCAATGCACTGATCACGGCGGTGGCCGTGTAACTTGCCATGTTGTTGGATGTATCGTGTGTGGCTTTGACTCGTTTCTTCGGAGGCTCACTTTCAGGGCTCTCTGAAAGCGCAGAGCTGATTGCCTCGGCCACCTGAGACTGGGAGATGGTCTCGAGATCTAGCTTCTCAGATGGTGGCACAACCGAATCGATAATCTGAGCATCCTGAGACTCCATCTCAGAAGCCTTTCGCTTGAGTGGGGCCGGGCTAGAAGACTCGGCCACTACTTCCTCTTCCAGAGAGGAGTCCTTGAATGCCGAGTCACTGGGGCCAGCGAAAGGTCCATCTTGGTAATGATTAAGCATATCGCGGATGCTCAGGCGACCAAGACGTTGGGATCCATCATCTTCCTCGCGCTTTTGTTCCAGCACGGGAGTAATAGGAGTCAGAGGGAAAGGGCTGGGGAAGAAAATGTGCTGGTTCTGCACTGAGCTGGGACCTTGCTCTTGAGTCTCAACCTTGAAAAGTGGCTTGGGGATTCCACCACTGGGGGTGAAGCTGTGCACAACCTCGGCAAAGTTGTGTACGGCTTCGTTGAGGGTGGGCGGTGCCACGTTGTCCTCATGAGTCAGAATACTCGGGTCGATACACTCATCCTCATCCTCATCCTGGCCCACAGAGTATTCGTCCTCATAATCGGCATCAGAATCAACATCAGAGCCATCCTCCGAACCTGAAAGTTCGTCGTCACTGATTGGATAATGAAATTCTAGGTAGTCAAAGTGATCCCCTTCCTCCTCCTCAGAATCGCCGACCTGGCTGAAAGAGGAGGGGTCAGAGTCGAATTCCGAATCCTCTCCACTGCTTGATTCTGAATAGTTTTCACGGGAGCTCTCCATGTGGAAGGCCTCCTCGCATTCAGAACCATAGACTCCGGAATCCAAAGGCAACTCGGGTCTGTGTGAGGCTTGATGACTAGCCTGGATATTTTCATCATAGAGAACCGTGATATCGCCATCGCCGATCTTGAAAGGGGGAATCTGGTTGGCCTTGATCTCCCCTACGTCACTCTCATCATCATCTGGAACACAGAATGTGTTTGAGCTTGGACGAAGCTCGGAGGCTGGTTTGGACTCAGATGTAGTTGGTGCTGGATCAGTGGTCTCGTCGTATAGCATGTCCGATGGATCGCACGGGGAGATCTCGAGATTAGAGGTGGGCTCGGACCACGTAACGTCGCAGCGGACGCTCAAAGCTGGAAACTCTTCTATAACAAGTATTAGTCGATCATGTTTGTCAGAAGCAGGGTGAGAGTAACTATGACGCACCATCACCACGGTCGACGTCAATGCCGAACCGTAAGATGTCTCCATTAAGCAATGGGGTGGCCTCGTCGGTAACAAGCTTGACGTTGTTCAGCCATGTTCCGTGGGTCGACCCGAAATCGCGAATGTAGATCATCTTCTGCGAGTATCTTGGCTTAGCACATCCCATCCGGCGAGGGAGGCAGCTAAAGGGTGGGTAGTATGATGATAATACCTCGTTATCTATGTTGAAGCCCAACTCAGCATGATCGCGAGACATCACCCGAGAGTCGAACCACCCATTATCCTTGGCTGGGGTGCGATTCTTCACTTCGCGTTTCGACGACCGACCGATCTCGAAGATAGGGTTGGTGTTGGAGAGGGTGAAGGTGCGGGTGATCGAGGATTCGGGGCCTAAAGGGCCGACGGGGTGGAGAACGACCGTTGCTGGTAGGGGGAAATATGTCAGCCCGGGCGCAACTATCTCGACGGGACGTTGCTTGTATATGCCTGCAGTACATACCTTGAGCCTCAGACATGGTGACTGAGGGGAATCGTGGTTGCCCAGAAGCTCCAGTTTCATATGATATTAAAAAAGAAGAGGAACCAGGAGCTAAAAGCCGGCAGAGAAGGCTGTAATCTATTAGGCCCGAGGAGTCAGCAGACAGAAGGAGACAGTAAAAGGATGTCCAACGGGCAGAGCAAGTCGGCGAAGCCAGGCTGCTGCAGCTGCCGTGTAAGCAAAAGCGGCGGGGGAAGCGAAGGATACTCACCGGATATCCCCGGTCTAGAGGAACAAAGAAGGCCAACGAGCTGCCAGGACTGGAAAATCAGAAACGGGCCCTGTGGCGGGATATGGATGACGGTAGAGGGGAAGGTGGGAGGTTGAAAGGTGGGAGTGGAAGGGAGAGAGGGAAGAGGGGTAGATGATGATGAATCAGAATCAGGTTGAGGTCAAGGCTTCTAAGAGGTTTGGGGGCCCGGCCCTATGGGGATCCTTGGGCCAGCAGGCACGGAACCACTGGTGAGGAAAGTGATCGGAGACAGCTCCTTTCCCTTATTGGGGGGGGGGTAAAGGTTCAAGGTTTCAACGAGGCGATAAGAGGTTGAACATGGGCAGGACAAGATACTGTAGTTAGTCGACTTACTCCTAGGATATAGTTAGCAGTAGATCGGTCGGGTGGGGCATCGTGTTATCCTCCTCCTTATCCTTTTCCTTATCGCCGCTTGGACGGCCCCAAGTGGAGACTGCCCCAGACTTGCACTGCTCCATACAATGTCTTGTGGCTATCACCACTGCCATACCTTCGGCAGAGAGAGATTTTTTCATACTATTGCTATGTATATCACAAGACTAGGTAATCCATCATCCATATCCTTTTCGAGTTCCCAACCCCTGATCCTTGAGAGATCTACTCTACTACAGTAGTGAATGCCAAGTGCTTTACCACCATTACACTCTTGACACAAATCTGCATATCAAAAGACATCACATTCACCTCTATGGTACATAGATTACTCGCCACATGTTCTCAGCCCTATGCAGAAGTTGGCTTGGGCCCCGTGCTGGCCCAAACATCCCGGTTCGCATCCCCTTGGGTATCTCTCTGCTCGGTGCCCCACAAAAAAAGATAAAAAAAAGACCAAACAAAAATGAGAACCAACAAGGTGGTAAGAGGGAATATGTCGAGAGACGGAGGATACTAAATACAAGGAGGAGAAAAAACCGCTGGTCGGGACAACCGAGAGATGAACCAAAGACCGGAATCGAAAGGGGGTTAATTAGACAGGCACCCGACTCCAGATCCAGGAGACGACGAAACGAAGCGAACGAAGAGGGAAGATGAGAGGCATGACGACGATGGGGGAAACACAAACAAAAGAATAACCAGACCGATCATATTGCTTTTACATGCCGGGGGGAGCTCCACCCATGGCACCCATGGCATTCAGGCGGGCAGCCAGCTGAGGGTACTTCTCCTGGACCTCCAGCTGGGTGCGGGTAGCCTCGGCGTAGGAGATGGCGTTGATGATCTCGGCCTCGGTGCGAGCGAGTTCGGCGGCACGCTCGAAGTACTTGAGGGCCTGCGAGACCTTGCCCTGCTGGAGGAGCAGCTGGGCCATGGTGCCAACGGCGATATCACACTCGGGGTCAACTGTATCAGAAATGAGTACTCGTAATTACCAACAGTTGAACGGGGTATATGCGCTGGTAAACTTACTGATAAGCGCCTTCTGGCACAGGTTCTCGGCTTCCTGGAAGTCTTGCTTCCACTGGAAGAGAGCCAGAGCCTTGTTGATGAGGGGCAAAACGTTGATACCCATGGGCTTGCTAAGCTTCTCCATCTCAACGGCCTTGTCGAACTTCTCGATGGCCTCGGGGTAGTTCTGCTGGTCGAGGAGCAGCTCACCGTAGTAGTTGTAGACATCGGGAACCTCCTCGAAGTTCTTTACCGAGCGGCGGAAAGTAGCCATGGCTGAAGCAACAGAGCCCATCTTGTACTGAGTCACACCGAGCTGAATGTGAGAGTAAATGAAAGAACGGTCGAGGTCGATGGACTTCTGGTAGTCCTTGGCGGCCTCGGCGAACTCGCCCAGGATGAAGTGGAGCTGGGCGCGGTGGTAGTAGATGTCGGGGTCGTCCTTGTTGTGAGTGATGGCGAGCTCGAAGTCATCTGCAGCAGCATCCTTGTTGCCTAACGAACAGTCAGTAAAGAGATCAAGCATAGATTTACTCAAAAGGTAGCTTACCGAGCTCAAGGTGCAAGCTAGCACGCTTGATGTAACTCTGGACAAGGGAAGGCTGGAGCTCAACACTCTTGTTCAGACCTTCCAACGCACCGCTGGCGTTACCACCGAGATATGTGAAAGTGGCCTTCATATTGAGAGCCAAAGCCTCGAATTCACCGAGATCGCCAGCCTCGAGCGCCTTGTCGAAAGCAGCAGCGGCCTCTTCGTAACCATCGCCAGTCTTCTTGGCCATGGCAATCAGACCCTTGCGCAGCAGAGCCTTGCCAGAATCCTCGCTCAGCTCAACGGACTCCTCCAGGCCCTCGGGAAGTTCCTGGGAGCGGAAGCTCTGCAGGTAGTTGGAGACGAAGGTGGCGCTGGGCAGCTTCTTGGTACGGGCATCGAGGATAGCCTTGCTCTTCTGCTCGGCAACCTTCTTCAGCAGGCGCTCGAGGGAGTTACGGCTGACATCGTTGGAGAACCCGTCGATGATGCAGCTAGCAGTGAAGTCGAGGAGAGCCTCGCTGAACTTGCCAAGGTGCTCGTAGGCAATGGCTCTCCGGTTCAGGGCCTTCACGTACTCACTATCCATGGCGATCGCGGCGCTGGTGTCCTCCACAACCTTTTCCCACTCGGACAGAACATTGTAGCAGGCGGCGCGGTTCGAGTAGAAGACGGGGTCGGGCTTGCAAATGATGGCTTTTCCGTACAGTTCAATGGCGTTGTTGTAATCCTTGGAGCCGTAAGCCTTGTTACCGGCGGCCTTCAGTTTGGCGGCGTATTCATTGCGGGTCTTCAAAGGAGTTTGTTAGTGACTGTCCGGCAATCCACGAGATTGGATCAAGGTGAGCAATCATACCTCCTCAGAAAGCTGACCAACGGTGGCCTCATCAACCTCCGGCAACTCGTCAGCAGGCTCCTCGGCCTTCTTAGCCGCAGGTTCTATAATGATGTCAGTCGCGGTTCAACCATCGTGTTATGACCGACTGGTAGGTGACAAACCGTCCTGGACGGAAGCAGCCTTGGTCTTCTTCTCTTCCTCAGCCTTCTTCTTCTCTTTCCGTCGTTGGTTCTTGCTCTTCTTGGGGGCGGAGGGAGTAGATGAAGCGCTCGACTTGCTGGAGTCGGACAAGTAGTAGACAACACCAGCGCCAGTAACGACAACGGCGACACCGGCAATGGTGTAGACAACGGCCTTGTTCTCCGAAACCCAGTTTGAGATACGATCCCAAACTGAGGATGTGGTCGAGGCAGACAGCTTCGAGGTGTCCAGCACCACGTTCTGCGTGGGCGTGGGCAATGGCGACTGGCTGGACATGGTTGTATTGGACGCGGTGGCCAATGCTGTGAGAGTCCTGATTCTGGGCGCGGTCAGTACAGAATGATTCAAACGAGCAATGCGCTGATTAATATAGGGCCCAACGACGCGAAACGTACCAGTCCTTGGCCAGAAGGCGGGAAGTGTGAGATAGGGAGGAATAATGACGGAAGCTTGGAGGAAAAGTCGAGAGTTCGGCCACTGCGCACGGGCCAACCACGGCAACGATTCGGCGTAGTTGCTCCACATATCTGCTTTGCATCACCCGGTTTGCCCGACGAAAAGCGATGTGTTCGCCTGTGCCAGTGCTTGATTAATGTCGATTGACTTTCATCGGTGCTCAATTGGATTGCATCTCGATACAAGACACCAGAGGCAGCGCTGGACTGAGCTCGTGTGCCGCGCCGTTCCCGTGGATGACGCAGCTCACCACTAACGTCAGGATAGAACGGAGCAAAGAATTGAAGACACGAGACAATGGCCTCGACTTCCATACCGGCCGCTGCGCCATCGTTTGAAATAATCTCATCCCTCCGATATGATCCTGCCCTGCCAAACGTGACCTCTCACGGTGCGAATGATGAGAGCTATCCAGCCCCAGCGGACTCGCCTTATTACCTCCTCTCCTACCACCGAGACCGACTGCTTAACGCTGCGCATCATTTTGAATGGGACCATGCGATAGACTTTCTACGACAAGATCTAGACCGTTTCGAGAGATTTCTGGACGGCTCAATACCCGACAGGGAGAAGCCATGGCGGTTGCGAATCGCGGTGGATTGCAATGGCAAGGGCTCGGTCGAGGTCAATCCTACTGTAGCGATTGACCCTTTGAACCTATTAATCCCTTCCCTCCACCGCGATATACAACCCACCATTTGGAAGGTCTTTGTTGATTCACAATCCATAGCCCCATCTGGCTTCACAACACACAAAACTACCGCCCGAGACGATTACACAGCCGCTCGCGTGCGCGCGGGAATCACCTCTCCGGCAGAGACATCTGAGGTTTTAGTAGTAAACTCAGACGGAGAAATTATGGAAGGAAGCATTACCACGCCCTACTTTCGACGGCGCATCGTGGGCAGGGAGACCGACGCAAATGAGGCAGTTTGGGTCACTCCGCCATTGAAAAGTGGTGGAAATGCAGGCACAAGTAGGAGATATGCCTTGACTCAAGGATTTTGTATAGAGCAAGTGATCACCAAGGCCGACCTGGTAGATGGTGAGGAGTGCTGGCTCAGTAATGGAGTACGTGGGTTCATTCGCGGCGTGGTCGTCTTGAGTCGATAAATACATCTTAGAAAGGCCCCAGCCATGCCAGAATACATAATGGAGATGGTCATATATTTATATCCGGAGCATGCAGCAATCGCATACAATCCAGTTTACTCTTTTTAAGAGATACAGATAATGTAAATGATCATGGAATCGAGTGAGGTATGCAGGTTGATTTTGATTTTGAGATCATAGTTTAGACAGTTCAGCTCCTGATGGACTTTAATTCTTCTCAGCAACCACCGGGTTAAGGTTGCCTTTCCACTCCAAAGGACGCGGGCGCATGTACTCGGCCACAATCTCATCGGTGACCTGAGCCCGGCGCTCTTGGAATCCCTTCACGTAGGTCTGCAGCTCTGTAATACAGAGTTGCTTCAATTCACCCGTGAGCATCTCACCCTTCTCATAAGCGGCGCGAATGCGCTCAAGCTCATCATCATCCTCGAGGAAGAAGGTCAGGTACTGGAAGGGCACATCGACCTTTGTGTTACCACCCAGCTCGCGGTGAAGCTCCATGGTCTCTTGGCCACCGGAGAAGGCGTACTTGTTGATCTTGTTCTTAATCTGCTTGGGGGTATCGTTCATGAAGATGGCGGAGGTTTCAACACTAGCAGACATCTTAGAGCCAGGGCCCTGGAGAGCGGGCAGGAAGACAGCGTGGATGAGCGAAGGCTTCTTATACTTCATCTTTTCGGCGTGTTCACGACATTGGCGGAAGTAGGGATCCTGGTCAATGGCACAGGGAATCAGACAGGGGATGGAAGAGACCTTCTTGCGGTCGGTACCGAAGATCTGAGGGAAGCTAGTCGCGAATGCAGTCGCGGACTGGGTGGCGCAGAAGTGGAACTCTCCGATGTTGTTGCTGTCGTTGAAGCCAAAGGTGCCTCGCACTTGGTTGATCGTAATGCGCTTGGCCATTCGGCAGATATTCTCGTAGAATGCGCCGCCAACAAAGTCAAAGTCACTGAAGATGAAGGTCTTCTTCATGTCGAATCCGACAGCAATGATATCCTTGGCATTGGCCTTTGTGAAGCGCTTGGCGTCCTCAATCTCGATCTTCTGAGAATGCATATACTTCTCGTCGTCGGTCATCATGATGACGAGGGGAACATCGAACACATCTTGCAGCCATCTAATTGCGGAAAGAGAAAGAGATTAGTATCGCATTTACTAAGGAGGCACATAACAATGAGGGCGCATACTTGGTGAACTCGAAGGGGACAGTGTGTCCCACGTGCATGCTGTCACTGCTGGGTCCACGTCCAGTGTAAAGGTAGAAAGGTTGGCCCTTCTCATGGCGGTCCAGGATCTTTCCCAGCTCGCGGTGACTGAACACAACGCCGCGGCGCATGAAACGGTGCGGGCGGTGGCCGGTGACCTTCTCGAAGCGCTCGAGCAGGTCGGGAGTGAGAGGAGTGGCGCCGAACTCGCGGACGAGCTTGTCATAGTCGACGGGCAAAAGCTTGCCAGTCTCATCGACACCGCCAGACACATCGAACGGGGTGATGACCTGGCCGACAGCCTTTGAGGCGGGCGCCTGTTCGGCGAGGCTCAACGTGGTGAGCGCTGGGGGTTGTCCTGGTTCGTCCGCCATGATGTGAGCTGCTCAAGAGCTAATTAGAATGAATCATTATCAATTAAAGGGATTGAATTCGTACTCTGTGCTTTGATGGGCTGCTTGCGTTGACAATCTACAATTCTTGGGCGGGGGAATTTCTGCCCCTCGACGATGAGTCAGACCCACCTTGCTATCAAGGGGTATGATATGATTGGTGGATACCACTATATCTCACGTGACAATCTATAGATACTGTATTCGCATTGAACGAAGGAGATGGATAGACTGATTTGATCACAGATTAGGAGGAATCACTATGACAGCTAACAATTTCATGTTAAGATAGTTCATTTCTATGAGAAACCCGTTATCTATACACACAAGAAGAATCCCAGGGCCTCCCATTGACGCAAGGGTATCGCTATGCTTAAAATGAAACACAAGGAAGCAAACAAAACACCAACCCCATAGATGCTTTTTAGAGAATTGAGACGGCAAGTCATCGGGCAGTTTACTTGCGGAATGTCAAAGACTTTCCAGCATCGTTGCGCTTCTGCTTGCGTGCGCCGGAGGGAGCCTCCAGGGCCTTAGCATAGGGGTTGAAGGGCTTCTTTCTCTGTTGAACGCTCGGCGCAGCTGTGGAAGCCACGTTGAGGATTGAATCCGCAGTGTTATAGTCAAAGGGAGTGGAGTCAGCCTCGGATTGAGAGGCAGCTTGGGCAGCCTTCTGAGTCTTCTTCTTCTCCTTGCGTAGTTTTTTGCGTTGCTTCTCGGTCAACTCTGGTTCGTCGCTTGGTCCGGCCAAGCTATCGGGCGTAGACAGTTCTTCGTCGGGAGTGGCAACTGCAGCAACCTTTCGCTTGCGTGGAGCACCGAGGTCTTTCACAGTGAAGTACTTGGGCTCTTCGGGAACAGGAGCGGGCTCAGGGGCCGCTTGTGGAGCCGGGGTTGGTTGGGCATTGGCTGAGACAACAAGCTTTTCACGAGCTTGGGAGACGGTAGTAGGCATTGGCGGCAAAGGAAGAGAAAGTCGGAGAGCTTCCAACGATGCAACAGCGGAGTATGATGCAGGGGCAGAGGGCTCTTGGACTTGCAGAATGTCGCCCCAGAACTGAGATGTCTCGTAACGCTCAGCAATGGGGAAATCGACATCTTCCATGTCGACAGCCAGGGCCGTTCGAAGACCTTTGGGTGGGGGTGCGATATCGCGCCATTCCGGACCTGTAGCCCCAGCAGCATGAGCCTCCTTGATAGTAGCAAGCAGATCACTAGCCCGGCTCTTGGTGAGGGGGGTCATGGGTGAAAGGGTGCGCAACAAGGTCCCCATGTCAAGGGGCATAACTTGAGCAAGCTTGAAAAGCATATGCTTGGGGAACACGCATTGCCAGCCCTCATCCTCGGCACGTGCTACCTCGTCGCGCCACTGGTGAATGGCTTTGAAGACCGCAAATTGCTCTTTGGAAAGCGCTCCGCCTGGGTTTCTAGAAAGCAGATCGTACCAACCTCCAGCACCTTGGCCCTTCTCCGCATCGTAGACAGGGCGTTCGTATCTCTGCAAGGCCTCGTTCTTTGAGCGCTCTTGCACATAGTCGATGAGGCTTTCTTCCGGCGTTGAAGCCGCAATGAGTGCATTGCGCAAAGAATCATAGATAAACAGGAGATAGTGAGTATCCGATCGGGCGTAGTCAAACATGCCAGATGGAAGTGGACGAACACGCCAATCGGCCATCTGATACCGCTTATCGGCTTCAAAGTCGACAAACTTCTTAAGCAGGTACTTCAAGCTCCTCTTAGGGTATCCTAGGGCAGATGCGGCATGGAAGGTGTCGAACATGCCAACCACGTACAATCCGAGATCACGCTGCAACCAGATGATATCCATAGTGGATCCGTGAAGCACCTTCAGAATTTTGGGGTCCGCGAAGACTTCGTTGAGAATCTGGAGTTCTTCCCTCCACGGCTTCAGGGTATCAACCACCCAGTCCTTGTTCCGTGTGCTAATTTGCATCAAAGACACCAGGCCGTGATAGGAATGTACATCGTGGTGTTCCAAATCAATCGCGATCTCCTTAGCCTGCTTCAGCTCTTCAAGCATCTCCTTAACACCTTCCAAGGTGTCAACAAAGGTAGCGGTTGTGCCCTCGAATGAAAGATAATCGATGGCAGGAGATGTCTTGTAAACAGGCTTTGGGTATTGCGCATTGCGAATCTCGGTCTCGTAAGGATGCGGGTAGGCAGTTGCGCCATCGATTTGTCGTTGTTTCAGAGATTTTTCAAGAGGAATACTGGCATGAGGTTTGGTCTTGAGAAGAGGATGGAAAGGGCCCAGGTCTGAATTATCGGGCTTGCGATCGAACAGCAGCTGCGGCTTGGGGATTTTTGATGGGCCGTAGTCGAAGGTGGTTGGGAATCTAGATGTTTTTCTAACCACCGGTGCCTGTTCTTCTTGTGAGGGGCTCAACTTCTTGATCACACCCGTGAACTCGTCCAAACAAGCATCGGCTTTCTCGAGAAGCGAATCGATCACATCCACGACACCACGCCAATTGTCCTCGATCGAATCTTCCGTGTCCAGTGTAGGCGCAGCGACTTCAGTGCCAGCGGTAGCAGCCTTGAGCAAGGCAGTCGTCAGGGTAAGAATCCGATCGCTTTGGTCATCGAGCGACTCTGTGAAGTCTGCGCTCGAAGTACGGTGGAAACCTAGGTCCTCCGACGCCAGCTGACCGACGGTGCGGCTCACCTGCACCAAAGCGGCGGTAACCTGGTCGTGAAACGGAGCGAGCTCTGCAGAATCCATGACAAGCAGAGCTATAACGCCGTTGTAGATGTCAAATGAGAGTAGTCGGCACCTTTTGAAGAAAAAAAAGTGGAAGCGTGAAGAGTTGCGCTGTGACCGCCTGCCGAAAGAAGGTGGTAAGGTGCGGGTCTTTAATTGGCCAAACTCCGAGGCTCCGCGGCGACTTTCTTCTCCTGCGGAGCTTCCAACACGTCAAACATATCCAACTTACAAAGAGTCCACCTTGAAGCAAGCCCAGTGGAACTTGCAGAATCTGTTTTGCATCTCTACTATTCTTTCAATCCTCTCTTATCAAAAATGGCCGCCTCGATTGCTCCCGAATGCAACGACATTAAAGAGTAAGTTCCATGTCACTCTTCCAGTTTCTACATTGCGTGGCTACGAAAGATACAGAGAATTGACATATATCCACCAGGAGATATGATACCTGCTTTTTGAAGTGGTATAGTGAGAGTCAGTCTTATCTCTTGATCACCTAGGCTCTACAAGCAGCAAATATAGCTGACAACAAGACAGAATATCTTCGAGGCAACACCTCATCAAATGACTGTGAGGAGCTGTTCAAGAAGTATAAAACGTGTCTGCATGTGCGTTATTTCTCTGAAAACTTACTTGACATCGAGACCTCGAGCTAACCATCTTTTCGTGCCGCATAGAAATCTCTCAAAGAGAAAGGCATCGACACAATGCTCGATGATGCTCGGAAGAGCAGCAGTGAGACTGATGCCGAGTTTCTTAAAAAGTCATGAGACGTGGCTGATCTCTCCCTCGCAATTCTTCTCATCTCTACTCTATGCATTCTCTGTGATTATCTCTCGTCTATCTCCTGGTGGCGAAGACAATGTTTAATAAACTTGGGCGCAACGGCAACGGGTGCATGTGTTATATACAGGCAAGCGTGATCTCTCTTCTCTTCATACCATCAAGTCTAAATGTATCACCATGATTCTACTATTAATTTTCCGTGAGACTCTACCAAAATCATCTCGTTGCCTAGTTGCAAGTTGGAGACTATTCGTACGCTATTCAGTGGTAGTATTGTCCACTACATAGCGAATCGGATATGTGTAGACTGGGTTTCAAGCAAGTGTTCAAAATGTAATATGCCCCAAAGGCAAAAATTATTAAAGAATCAAAAGCGAACACGATCTATATACTAGGGTATTATTTTAAAACTCATCATCACCGATGCCCCCGTCGACGAACATCTCCCTGTCCAAAATTAGGCGGAACCTTGGGAACCGGATTGCCTAAAGCCCCCATTCCCCCCACGGAGCCAGAGCTTCCACTCCCACTACCGCCCTTCTTGGGCTGTGTCAACATTGACCAAACTTCCGCCATGCCTGCACGCCGTGCGGGCAGCATACTGTATTGCATGCTGTACAGGTTGCGGCGGTGAATGGGCGGGACGAAGCGGCCCGTCATAAGACAAAAGATGACTCGGGGTGCTAGATAATGTGTGCGGAGTCGGTGGCCGAGTTGGAAGTATTGGTCGAACATCGCGCGGAGCGGGAGGGGGATGGACTAGAAATCGGATTAGCGGGTGTGATTCTGGTAGTCATGTTATGATATGACAAACCTCGAGGTGAATGTAAGAGACAGCCGGGGACTCTGTTTCATTAGGTCCCTTTGTCAATGCATCCCGGAGTTCGAACCGGATGCCACCGGGTAGTCGTCTCGAGTCTTTCACACGCAACATCAATGCGAAGAGTGGGAAATGATTCAAAAAGGCCAGGCACGTATCGAATCCAGCCTTTATAGTGATGATCAACATTCGAGCCGAGGCGAAGGTTAGATAAAAGACAATCACAGTAGGGAGGAGGAAGAAGAGGACGGTAAACAGAATGGTGCCAAGCAAGAGTTGGTCGAGGTCGTAATCGCATGAATCTATCCGATTGCGCAAAACGTTGCGCTTCTTTCCACGGAAGAGATGGAACAGAGAAATGATGATGGTAAGTTGCCAGTTGAAGATTCTAGCAGAGGCAATGTAGAAAGAGTAGATGTGGACGGTGAGAATCGAGAGAAGGTCGGAGAATAGGGCGATGGGCATGCTGGCGCCGGCGAAGCTGGAGCAACCCACAATGTAGATAACATGTGGGAGGTATGGTTGCAAATTGGCAATGCACGCGGCCCAGTTTTCAATAACCCACAAGAACAAGTCACCAAGGAATGCTGCGAGTTCGTTGTTCAACTTCAAACCAGCAGGCCAATCCATCAACCAAGAGATGGTGCGTTGCAGGCCTTCCACAGTCCAGCCCGTCAGGACAGTATTGATTTGCGATGCTACCCAGTTTGCATTGTCGATGATATACGACCCGAGAGCGATGCCGATGATCACATCATTAGCGACGAGCCACAAGCTGTTATAGAACCGGATATAATCCGGGTGGCTGGTAGTCACGCTTTCCCAGTTATCTTTTCGTTGTCGAAGTTTGACATACTGAATAGGCCAGTAGCAGAATTGCTGCAATCGAATATCCACTTGCTGGGCGGTCGCAGAGATATCCTTGAGAGCAGCAGCATCCGGTCGAGCTCGCCACTCAAGGATTTGCAAAACAATCTCTGCGACAGATCGATGACCCACAAGTCCTATAACGAAGATCCTAGTGATGACGGGCCATATCCACTGCCAAAAGACGTGAGCTAGGCAGAGGACAATGAATCCCCACAATGTCGTAGCAGACTCGACCACGCGCTCTCCAACACTCATACTCCGCTTGGCACGGATACCGATGAGGTGAGTATTCTTGTGCATCAGCTGGGCCATTTCGTATGCACAATTGACCTGGTTGATGATCAATGGAAGGGCCTGTTCCTTCTGCGAGGGCGCATGCTTCACAACTGTGTGAAACTTGAGTTTCTCAACCAGCAGCCGGCCCCTCACTTTTTCCCTCTCCTCTTCCGACTCAATCTTGTCCGAAACTGGGCCAAACTTTTCTGACGCCGCGACCTTATCACCCAATGCCAGCGAGATGGGATTCAAAGACATGTACTCCATACGAGTCGGATGCGGGCGATCATACATGATAACCTGAACAGACAAATTCGTGCCCGGAGGACAATATATCTGAGGAACCTTGGATGTGGATTGTGTATTCACGTAAAGATGGGAAGGATTGAACGAGGTCGAAGGTGACTGCGGATTCGTCGAGCCAAGGACGTGCATCTGCGATCGGCCGCACAAGGTAAAGATGCGAACGATCGGGTGTGGGCTATTCCTAAAGAGAATACCTGCGCGGAGCGCATTGTCGACATTGCGTGGCTGTTCCGTATAGAAGTGCAATCAGTATGTTGTTGCGCAAGACCATATACCCCTCCACCGATAACCCACTCACCTCGACATCTTCCAACACCGTGAGCACGAATAGATCTAGCTCCGAGTTCCGCCATCCAACAATTACTCCTGGCGACGAGGATCGCGGGAGATCATATGGCCAGAATACCCGCAATAGCCCATCACTCATGAGCATATTGTCATCCTTCTCCGGACTCTTAGAACGAGCCTCGACGGCGCAGCTGTTCTCGCGCGGAGACACCGAGATTCACGTGGCGTGGGTGCTAATAAGCAGTAAATATATTAGTATATCTGTTGGCAATGGGTGATCTCCCATGTTGCAAAGCTGATTTACAGCAGTTCAACGCTTGAGCACTTCGGGTTGAGCTTACCAGATTCCCCTCTCTCGATGCCAGGTGATTGATTGGCAGGACCAGGAGGAAGAAAAAGACGGAGAGGAATAGAAAACCTTTCAGTGTTCTTGTCTATATTCAATCGCAACACCAATGAGCGTCAGCAACAAGTCCACAGTCCCGCGCGCCGAGATCCCCACTGAGCAACGGAGGGAGGGGTGTGTCCTCTCCGAATCCCCAGCAACGAAACATACCACAACGCCGTGGTCCCACGCAAAAATAGCCAATTCGTACAGGCGGGTTACAAGGTCCCACCGAGCGGTGATGTAGCCCGCGACAAAGATCCCAAGGGTGAGGATGGAAAAGGGGTGCATGAATCAGGGTGGTTCAAGCGGTCCGCGGTTTAGTTGGCGCGCATAGTTGGAGGGGGCGAATATCGAGCAAGGGACTTTTTTGTCAGAGGTTTAGGACGAGAGGATAGTCAGCAGTGTTCAACTGGTGAGGATGAGGTTCTTGGAAGAATCATGAACGAGTGAATGAAGAATAACAGACAAGCTTTGGACAAGCCGCCCGCTCTGGTTGCTCCGAGGCGCGTTGGCGTCTAGACCGGCATGGTTGGCCCACGTGACTGTCCCTGGATCTACATCTTTTGTTGGCAGTTTCAACATTCACGAAGTCATTGGACTTTTAATATTGTGCATCATTTGATCAGATTGAGTATAGATAAGACGACTGTACCCGAAATAATTGTAAAGTACGTCCTCGTCAAATGCATTTCCCTTTACCCCCAATCCCTGACTCCGGACTCCATGACAAAACCTCAATCCTCGCCCATTACTTATTTGTATCCCTAAAGAGCCTTGATACCCTGGAACACCTTGTTCGCCTGCAACTTCTCATCACCCTTGACAAGATCGCGCATGATCTGGCGCTTCTGCTCAGACGAAAGTTCTTTACCTTCAATCTCGGCCTTCCACTTCAACAGCATCTCCTTGAGAAGGGCATTGCCTTCTTCCACCTCTTCTTGGGAGTACTTGTCCAATGACGGAGTAGGCTGCTGGTTCTCAGCAGTCTCAGCAGAGGAAAAGTCCTCCAACTCCTCGGCCTTCTGACGGGCCATGTTGACAACCTTCTCAGGGAATCGAACGAGCTCGGCAACGTGGATACCGAATGATTGATCGCAAATACCAGGTTCCACGCGGTACAGCAATGTAACTTGCCGCTTCTTCTTTTCGGCACCGTCATCAGCCTCGTTTTCAGTTCCGTCGCCGATGAATGCCACGACATGGAGGTTCTTCACAGCCTTCTGGTAACGGTCCGCTAACGCGGTCAGCTCGTGGAAATGGGTCGCGAAGAGACCAAAGCAACGGATCTCAGTGACGATATGCTCCGAGATAGCCCATGCCAGGCCAAACCCATCGTAGGTACTAGTTCCACGACCGAGCTCGTCGATGATAATCAGGGACTCCGAGGTGGCAGACTTGAGAATGTTGGCGGTCTCGAGCATCTCCGCCATAAAGGTGGACACGCCCTTGAGTTGGGAGTCACTAGCACCGACTCGGGCAAGGATACAGTCAAAGATTGTCAATTCTGCTTCGGTGCAGGGCACGAAGCAGCCAGTCTGGGCCATGAGCGCGATGACACCGATTTGGCGGATGTAGGTAGATTTACCACCCATGTTGGGGCCGGTAATGATGAGGAACGAGGACTCATCGCGGATCAAAGAGACGTCGTTGGTGATGAAGGAAATATCGTCTTGCATTTCCATGCAGGGGTGACGAGCTTCCTTGAGTACGGTGTTACCTGTGCCTCGGGGGTGCATCTTGGGTCGAACATATCCGGCAGGCGCATGGACTGCTGCATGTGCGAAGCTCACGATCACATCAAGATGTGCCAGAACGCCGGCAAGCTGTTCCAAGACAGGGCAATAGGAAGCAGCAACGTTGACAACTTCGTTGACGAGGCCGGTCTGAGTTCGGTTGTAATTGGAAGAGAGCTGGTCGTGCTCCCGACGGAGAGATTGCATGGTGGAGGTGGTGAAGTAAACGCCGTTCTTCTGCGTCGAGCACTCTTGGTACCCCTTCTTATTGCGAATGCAGCCCGCTTCAGTGCGGGTCAAACGGAAGCACCAGCCATGTACACGGTGGTTTTCCATGAATAGCTTCTTCTCCATATCCTGGTTCAGATCCTTGGCAACTCGTCGGTGCTCCATATCCATATCATATCGGACCTTATCCAACTTCTTGCGGATAACGCGAAGCCCCTCGTCAAACTCCGGCTTGATGATGAATTCATGGTTCTCGAGTGCAGCAAGGTCAACCGTAGTCTCCACCATCTCCTCCAACCTGGCCAAGCTATCCGAGTGACCGCGGAGTTTAGTCGTATACTCCTTGTCTAGCGGCACTTGATATTGCTCATCCATAACATCTTCCAGAGCCCGAACAAACCCAGGTAGCCGGATAGCCACCTGATAAACTCGGACAACATCCTCCAAATTAGCCTGCTTCCGCTGGAACCGCTTGGCAAGACGGTAGAGATCAGGAATAGCACGGAGATGCTCCTCCTGCATCGTCTGACGCAGTTCCGTGTTGACCACAAATGCCTCCACCAGTTGCTGCCGCTGCTCAATAGCGGCAAGATCCATCAAAGGCTGCTTCAACCACTGCGACAGTAGGCGACTTCCTACGGGCGTCTTGCAATGGTTCAATAGACCGAACAGACTCATACTCTTCGATCCGTCCCGCGGGCCAGGCATAAGGTTCAAAGCACGCAGCGCAGACGCATCAAGCTTCATATACTGCGACAAATCATGCTGATAAAGCTGGTACTGGCCGAAATTGGTCGGGTCGGTCATAACACCAAGGTACTTGATCAACGCAGACGCAGACCCCATAGCAAGCTTCAGCTCCGTCTGGGGCAGTGTACCCGCGGACCGCTCATCACGTAACAACCGTGTGAGATCCTGTTCGATATCGCGCACGCCATAGTCTGCCGCCGGCCGCTCGGAGATCGCAATACCACAGCTATCAGCGATAGCACGAATCTTGGCAAGTTCGACATCCTTCCCGGCAGAATCCATAACAACCAGACACTCCTTGACACCGAGTTGAATAACCAGAGACTCAAAGTTGGAGTAAATATCATTATCGAGGAACTCGCTCACGCCGAGCTCGCGCACGCTCGCATCCGCAAAACACACACCGACATTCCGCGCCTCTGCAGCACGCGCAGAAATCTTCACAGCCAAGATGATAGGTGCTGAATCCATTGACATAGCACCCACACTGCCGAGTTCATCTTCCACATCTTGCAGGTTGCCGGGACTAGCTTGCTTGCCCAGTTTCCAATTTCCCTTGCCCGTGCCGCCGGACACCCAGATCTCGACGCGCTTGTTGAGGCGGAAGAGGGCTTCGCGGAGGAAATTGCGGAATACGGTCACGCTCATGGTGACGGAGGGTAGGCCGCTGGTCTCGCTGCGACCTAGGTTTCGGAGGACGGAGGTGGTTTTGTAGACGGTACGGGCGATGAACTCGGCATCGGCACCGTGTGATGAGTACCAGTCGCCTCGGTCGAAGACGCGGATTGTCTCATTGTTGTCTGCGTTGGGGAGGGAGCGGTAGAAGCGGATGAAACCGACTTCGTCGTCGACCTGGTCAGGTTAGGAGCATTGGTTAGTTATTTGTTTTCAGCGGGGATTTCTTTTGAGATAGATGGGTAATAGTGGTGAATACCTTCAGGTCTGGTCGAGATGACATTTTGTCGGTGATTCTGCTATTGATTGCAGTATTTTAAACAATCACCGAGCTTTGGTTGTTCGATGGCAATTGGTGTGAGCTCGAGACGCGTTTTGGGGGGACACGGTCACGTGGGACGCGTCGCGCGTTAAGTGGTGTGTCACATTAGGGACTCTACTCATTTTAGGAACTATTGTGTACTAAATCTAGATACTTAAGGAAGGAAGAGACAAGTTCTCTGGTGACAGTCATTAAGATTTATTGATGAGGTAATGGGTATGATGGTAGGTAAGATGTATGCTAACAGACATGATGTTCACAAAGTACAGGGTATCAGAACAACGCTTCAATGCAAGATCGCGAGCAAAACCGGCTCCACGAATGCGAGGTATACAACAAAGAAATTCAAAACAATAATCCACCGAGGATCCTTCAGATCTTCAAGATGGGGGCCGATACACAAGCCACGGGCTTTTCCCACTCGGCCTTCAATTGAGCCACCTTGGCTCCAAGTTCATTCGCCTCGATGTCCTTGCAAGACTTCAGCACCACCGAGCGGATATCTTTCACAGTGACCATAGTCACCCAGTGACCGGCCACACGGGTATCTGCCAGAATCTCGAGGCACGCTTCGACTTCGTCCCGAGGGATGGGAATTCGGACAGAATCACGAACATGGTCGACCATCGTGTCCAACTTGAAGGGCTTGCGCTGGCTAGCGAACATGGCCTTGATGCCAGTGCCCACATAGGTAGCTGGTCGCAGAAGAGCCAGAACACCGGCAACTTCCTCGACACGATCAGCAGCTGATCGACGGATCATCTCCTTCTTAGTTGGCGGAGGGGGCAGCTTGGACTGGCGCAGCTCCTTATTCTTAATGCGATCCAGAAGACTCTGTCGACGGTTGATCGCAGGAGCCAGAGGTTTGGACTCTCCAACCTCTCCCTCCGCACGCAATTTCTCGGTCTTCATGCGGATCACGCCAGACCTCAAGTCCTGCAGACGCTGCTGGCCCTTCTTGAACGCAGTGAAGGGCGTGAGGGATTCGTGAATCGGCGCGAGACCGAGAGACTCGAGAAATAGTGCCGGGCGATCCTCTTCTTTGGCGATTTCGAGAGAAGGCTCCGTCTGCTCCCAAAGTAGATCCAAAGCCTGCTCGAATGCATCCTGCAGAGCAGGGGGCTGCTCATCCACCTGCACGGTTCTTTCCAGACACACTTTGCCCAAGCCGTAGTTTGCCAGGCGATAAGAGACATCCTTGGCCTTCAAGCTGCGGTCCCAGACCCACAATAGGCGTTGAAGATCTTTCGGCTGCACCTTGCGCTTCTTCCAAATTCTGGTCACGCTGGGAAGAAACTCGCGGAAATCGGCTGGGGAAATGGGGCCATTGTGAGCGAAGTGAATGGACAGAGCCTGAACGAAAGCAGAGTGTAGATTCAAGAAATCATTGACACAGGGTGCGCGAGGTGCAAGTTTCGGCTCGGGGATGACCTTTTCAAAGGTGATGGTACGCTGTTTCGAGGGGGTGTCGGGAACTTCGGGGATATTGGCGACGGTCGAGACACGAGTGCGACGACTCGGGGTCCGCTTTGGCGACGCATAGTGACCGCTGCGCGGTGATGAAACGGATAATTGGCTGATTTTCAAAGTCTTGGAAGGCGTGTTGGCCTCCTCCTCGACCGATTGCCGACCGTTACCGTCCACATTCTCGAGCTCCTGCAGCTTCCTTTTCTTCGACGGGGAAACGGGCAAAGAGGCAGTCTTTTTCGCAGGTAACGATGGCGTAATACCGGCCTTGGTTGCCCGGCCAAAGCTTTGAATTGCGGGTTGGCCTTGGAGCAGGGCGCTCTGTCTGGCGGTGCGCGGCATCGCGGCTGCAAATTTTCCCCTTCGGACGGGAGCGGGTTCAGGGGGGTGTGGAGGTAGTTGCGATCGATAAATTCGACTGAAAATATAATCAGAGTAAGAGATACCGAGTATGCGGGGGGTAAAAGGGTGGTAAGAGGTGGGAAGGTGGGATGATGTAGAGGAGAGAAGGGAGGAGTGATGCAGTGTTTAAGGAGGAGCACTTAGCACTTTATCACTTGAAAAGGAAAACAGGGCGCGAAAAGGCTCGACGCGTCCAGACGCGTGTGGAGACGTTAGTCCGTTTCGGGGTTAATGACGCGTCGGAGGAGTTTCACAGTGATACCACTAAGAATACCACAAGATAACGAGTCTTTTTGCGCAAGCACTAGTTTAGAGCAGAGAATTGAGGACTCTTAAGCACCATTTGAGAAAAAAAAATGGATGGGCTGGAAGGGCAGTAGATTGTGGGGTTAGCATCCTCGTCACTGTGGTAATCCTCCGGCATGGGAATGCTGCGTCCAGACCGACCCTGCGCAAGAAATACTCCGAATATGCAAGCAAGATATCTCACAGATCAATAATTAGCTAATCCCTGCTTCGAGGCGCTAGTAGTTTGATCTAGTCTATCATTCGCGCATATAGATCATCCAGTCCTACCGTCCTCGAGTTCCTTCCTGGACGACGAGAGTCACCCAAAGAAACGTTCCTTTGGCTTTCCTTTGAAGGACCTATTATTATTAAGCAACTCTTATAACTAGTGTCTGGCTATAAGAAGGCTCTCGGTCCAGATCATCCTTCCGCGCTTAATACTTCGGCAGTCTTAGGAATATCTACAGATATCAGGGGAAACGGCACTGGCTGGCCAGGAGAGTGTCCTGGATGAAAACCATCATTTTCAATGGGATGACAATTCGTTGACTGTACAATTTCGCAATGCTAAAAGCTAGAAAAGAACGTTGATTTGTGACCACCAATTAGACTCAAGTCGCCCCAGTATAACCGTCTAGTGTTCTTCCTAAAAAGACCCTTCCCTGTATAAACCTACTTCAACCACACGTCTTGTCAATGGCTAGAGCTCGTTAGTTATATGATTTTTGAGGAAGTTTTCGTCCTAATAGGGCTTTCTTACATATAACCTTTTAGCATAGTCCAGGGTAGCCCGGGCAGACTGATCTCGGATCCTCAAACCCAAACCCATCGTATCTCAGCTCGCCATCATTGACATTCTTGTTTCCTTCAGGAGCCCAATAAGGCACAGCGCCGCACGTCTTGCACCCGTGGCCTGGAATCAAACCCGCAAGCTCCTTAACTCGGGCCCCGTCGCCACCGCCAGAGTTCTGGAAGAAAGCACAGACTGTGTAGTTCGGGACCGAAGGCGCGTCGGTGGCCGGGCCTTCAACGCACGCGATATATTGGCCATTGTCGTACCATTGGTGGTCGTAGACGCCGGAAAGGTAGTTTGCGAGTTCCTGGGCAGTATCCGCTCCCTTCTGGATATATGGGCAGGAAGAACTACCTCGGCAGTTGATGCCTAGTGCATTGGCAGAGGTAAAGGCCGAGACGACCACGAGGCCGAGCGAGAGTAGGCGAACCATTGTAGTGTATATGAGTTGCAACCTTGATGATTGCCAGAACGTTGTTTAGAGTTATGATTGACGAGGGACTTTGTCTCTTATATACCCGCTTGAAAGGTATTACCATCATAGTACTCAGCTCTTTTAACTATAACCGAGAGGATCTACTTTGGAGCTTGCTGGCTGGGGTCCAGCTGAGGTACCTCCTCCTTCCCTTCACGGATAGCTATAGATAGTTAACTAACTAGAATAGCGGTATTACATAAGTTTTCGACCTGGACCCCCTTTTTGCCAGCCGTGCCAAGACTTGTCAGCCGCGAATCATCACCAAAACTGCTTTAATTCACAAGTATTCCGTATATCCGTATACCACCCATCTGCCTCGGTAATTGCCTGCACCCTGTGTAGCATAGTGGCTAGTAAATAAACAGGGATATCTAGATCTAGCTGTTTCAAGCTCCCTGCGCCTTTTCGATTAAATTCGCGTGTAAAGGGCCGTTATTACTCTAGATTTTGAGAATAGAAGAAAAAAGGAAGTATATTTACTTTACTGCCTTGTAATCTAGCGTTGTGGTGAAATTGTAATCAACCTTCTTGACAGTCTTTAATCCTCAACCACCTGGAATTCACCATCAGGACTTGAAATACTACAACAAATTCAATACCAATACAAGGCTCAAGCAAGAACTAAACAGTTGCATCTGCAAACGATTAAATTCATTGTCTCATAATTGACTTCCCATCCTCGACAACCCAGACAATCCACAGAATCCCAGGTAGTCTGCCATTAACCATCAATTTCCATAGAGTTACTCCTTCTCAGCGTTTCAATCCAAGCAGCGCCCTCATCATCTATTTCTTCCCACCAAACCACGAAGAAACAGTCCCCTTAGCCTCAGCCGCCTTCTCCTCCACCGTACGATCAACCTTGTCCACGGTGGCATTGAACTGATCAACCGCCTCCTTGCGGAGCCCATCGAGTTGCTTCTTGCCATCCTCTAGATGCTTCTTGCCATCTTCCAAGTGCTGTTTGCCATTATCGATGAGGGCGGGAATGCGCTCGTCCAATTTAGCCTTGGAGCGGGCATTGTTAATCTAGTAAAGAACCGGTTAGAAAGAATTGTTTTGTTGGTGTTGTTTAGTACATTGTAGATTCAAGGCGTGGTCTTTCAATCTCGAAAATGTGTGATGGGAGGCGGTGGCCACAGTGGCTGGTAGTATGACCCCAGTGGCCAAGCCGATGCAATGAAAAGCAAGACAAGGAAATAGAAACAAGAGAAGAGGGAGGGAGAGGCATACAGCTTCATCGATATTAGAACCAGCTTCCTTGCCCACACTCTCGCCGAACTTCTCCGCGCTGGTACCGCGGGGAAGCTTCTCGCGCGCCTTGTCGGCATCAACTAGTGGAGGAACAAAAGTCAGTCATTATAATTCAACGAGGTATCCTGATAGCAAAGTCCTTTCAAACAACGAAGAATAAAAAAAACATACTCTTCATCTCCTGCTTAGCACCCTTGACATCTCCGCCCGCGCGATACAGGTAGTATCCGCCCGCACCGGCCGCGGCGAGGCCCAAGTAAAGGCCCGTTCTGTTCTTGGACATGATGTCGCTGTGTTGGGAGGGTGGTGCTTTGTAAATCGGAGTCGAAGTACCACGGGGTCGAAGTACGGGAATCCTGGATTAATTCGAGTATGTAGACTGGGAGTATTTAAAGGAGGAGGGAGATGGGTTGGAAGAGCTCAGAGACAGGTTCAGAACTGGGCGGTTTCCCAGTCACAGGACGATGACGTCTGTCCTCCCCGTTGGCAACCTTCGGCCCTGCATGAGGGCGGCCAGACTCTTTGGTTTGCCGTTGCCGTTACATTATTGGGTGTAGAACTTTGAGGGTGGTTTGAGCTTGGATTGTGTTTTGTAGAGTTTGAGGGTATATGGCTCGTGGTATATAGCTGGTGGAAAACTTGTATACTTTAACTACGAGGTTCATCGAACCAGTCTATTCCCTTGTCTCTTTTCTTTCTATCTTCGTTTTCTCCCATATTTTCCATCTTTTGAGTAAAGCTGGGGTCTAATTAGCTCGGCGCTAGGCGGGTCCACTTTCAATGTACCCAGACGACGTCACTAGCGAGTCATTGCCGCATGTGGTTCCGATCTTGAACGGGAGAGCTTCTGAGCTTCCGAGCCATAGTTGGCTACGGCACGCAGAAGTACATACAGGAACCAGCCCTGGTTTCTATTAATCTCCTCAGCTCTACTAAAACAAGGGAGGAAAGCAGCTGTATTTGTTCAAAATTGGCATTGCAGTCATATCGAGGTCAAAACCTAAGTTCATAACAATCCTAACAACGGCCGTAGACGACATAAAACATTGACATGATGAATTCCACCACATAAAAAAAGGTTAATAATAAGACAAAAGCAGAAACTATGAGACCCACCACACAAAACAAGTTGCATGAACACCATCGGGAAAGAGTGAGGTGATGGAGAGTAGGAGTGAAGGATGTAAAGCTAAACGTGTTCGAGATGATCGAAATCACGCTTAGACCAGAAGAGAAGGAGGAGGGAGGCTTGATAGAGGGGGAGGTGAGATGGATTGAGAACAAGACGCCAAACCAATTGATTCGAGGCGGGTATCGCATGCACACACGATGCCATCCATACGCTCCTGCTCGAAACGCCAAAACATGCAGCAGAGAAATCGGCAACTCTGGAAGACCAGACACGAGACTGCCGAACAGGAAAATGGGAAACGCAGAGCAGATCAGATCAGATAGAAAAGAGAGATGAAAAGTTCCAGTTTCATGTATAAATCATCAAGGTCGTTACTTCGTCAAGGGTGGGCAGTTCTCAAGGAGAGAGGTCCGCTCGTTTTTCCGGATGGTAAATGGAAAAAAAAGATTGTCTCACAATGGATGAGCATTGGGTTATGGGTTTCGGAGCGAATGTTGAGTAGGGTTGTTAGCGAAAAGCTTAGATTCGCAAAGCCGGGAGAAGAGGCCATTCTCGTGGAAAGAAGATGAAGAGAGAAGATAGTGGCGGGTTAGAGTAAAAATGTTAAAGGCAAATAGGTATTATAGGCGAGGCCACGTGAATCTCCCGGTTATGTCGAATATCAATTTTACAAGAACAATCTGGCGGCACCTTTGTTCTCACTCGTTGCGACGGCAACCAGGGCCTCGAGCCGGCCCATACCGCTGTCTCGTGCAGACGAGTCAGAATATACATCGGGTCGGGGCTCTTGCTCGGCGTGTCCCGGGTAGCCGTCGGCGTGAGAGGCTTGTCGCCCACAGATCTATGACGGCATTAGTATCCGGGTCGCGTGCCGTCCGTTCGAAGGAGAGGGTCCTACCGGTTGAGGATGCTCGGATGGTAACGAGGAGTCGTGCGATTCAATATATCCACTGCTATGCACAATGGCAGGGTGGTACTCGACCGAGGCTGTGGACGGAGTGTGAACTCCCTCGCTGCTGCTAGAGTCTTCGGGTGATGTCTGCGCCGGGCGACTGCTCGTTGAGAGATTCGACGTATGGCCCCGATGCTCTTCTGGGCTACGCTCAACGGTGGGCGGGAATGTTGGCTGATACGAGGACGAAGGGCGGGAAGAGACGTTTTGAATTTCAGCAATAGTCTGTTGACTCCATTGGCTGGCATCCCGAGACGCCCGTCGGTCTCGAATGTCGAGTCCAGTGAGATTGTGATGCAGGGACATGTCCCACGACACGTGGCCGCGACGGTGACCGGGCCCCGAAATTGGAGGCGCTGGGCGCACTGATGGAGCGCCGTAGTTGTAGCCAGAACCAAAATTATGGTTTGGTGGTGGTGGAGGGGGTCGGTATTGATTGTCGATCTGCATGGGGCTCGCTTTGCGGGTGGGCGGAGTCAGAGGGCGGTGCTGAGACACGACTTTGTCAAAACTCTCAATTCCGGGTAGCCGGGGCGGTTGCTCTGCAGAGTTGTTTCCTCCCATCAAAGGCGGTCCCTGAACGGTATCAGGCGTGTGATATTGGCTTAACCCGCTTGTAGATGGCCGGCCAAATACGGGATATGTCGAGGGATGCCACGTTCGCCTCCGCATCTCAGCCTCGGCGGCGCTGAGGGTGCTCTCGTCCCGAGATGCAGGGTAGTTTGTACTAGTGGGGCTTGCAAAGACACCGGCTGCATTCGGGTATGGATGGCCAGCGGGCGAGCCATATGGTGGGGGATATGCACCACCATGCTGTGCGAGGAACGGATTGCTGCTGGTTGGCACGGACAGTCGGCGAGCGGCGGTCTTGCCTTCCCAGAAGCTATGTGTTGCGGACGACATGGGAGAGGTATATTGGGGGCTAGCCGTCGGGCCACCAGTGTAGACATTAGACGGAGTATAAGGCGACCCACCAGCCGAGGGGCCAGGAATTCCACGAATCTGGCCTGGCGGCGTACTCGGAGGCTCTCCCATCGGATCCAGTCCCAGGCGTGCCCGGCTGGTAGGGTCGTTGGCCATGATCAGTGGCGGGGGTCGTCGCCGAAGCTCCGGGGGTTGGCTAAAGGTGGACGTCGTAGATGCGATACTGGAGGTCGACAAATTCCTGCTATGTCCACGGCTATGGGCACCCTGGCTCCCTCCAGTCCCAGCACGAGCCCGGCCAGTCGGGCGCACTCGATCCGTCCGCACCTGGCGTTGGAACCGAGTGCCCGTAGCTGCCAGCGAATCTCCGGGGATCTCTTCATTGACATGCACCGTTTGCGCATGTTGCCGTAAATTATCCAGTCGCGAGAACCGTCGGGAACAGTGACATTGAAAGGGCCGTTCACCCGTATGCTTCCGAATATGTCGAGCCAGATGCTCGCTGCGTGTGAAGCTGAGGTTGCAAGGAGGAAAATCCGTGCAGAAGAAACGCTGTCCCTTCTTCTTTTTCGACGGAGGCGCACCGCCCGGTTCGGTCTCTTGATCAGATCCATCCCGTTCTCCATCCGAGTCGACATTCATCGCATCATCCGAAATACTCGAGGCGGTTCGAGAGTGACCCGAGACTGGTGCCCGCGTAGAGCCATCGCTTCGACTTGACTTTGCACCGGTATCCGGGTGTTGGTCCGCGGGGGAGGATCGATCTGAGGGGGGCGGCACGCCATTGGGATTCGCACGGGGGGTTGTCGCACCGTCCATGGCGTGGTCATCGGTCGCGGCCGAGGTGTTGACGGGAAGGAAAGAGGCCATGAGGGGGCGACGTAATCTGGGTGGAGGCGGGTGATGTCAAGGTTGGTCGCTTCGGAGACTGGGAAAAGGTCCCAAGAGGCGATGACCGCGGTCGCAAAGCTGGCCGATCCACGTCACTAGTATTGACCCCGGAATCCAGCGGGGAGGAGTCTATTTTGTTTTTCGTATCGCAAGAGCCGCAGCGCTACACCGGAGCAGGAGGGCAGAGAGAAGACGCGGAGAGTCTGAGGGCAACGCTCACTGTAAACATTTGCGCAAGAAACTTTTTTTTAGTCAGGGCCACTACAGGATAAAAATAGGATGCGAAAAAGAGGTAGAACGTAAGAGAGTGAAGAGGAACTTGGAGAGGAAGAGTTTCGACACGTACGATTTTGGTAGAGGCTGTGGCGCTTACTCGGGATCTTTGACCACAGCTCTCTCTGTCTCTCTCGGTCTCACGAGGAGGGGAAAGGCGAGGAGGGGAAGATGGCGGCAAAGAAGAAGCGAAGGGTGGGGGGGGAGGGATGGAGGGTCGGAGATGGAATGCACAACCGGATTTAGTCGAAACGACGCAAGGAGTTTGTGCAGGGGAAATATGAGAAAGGGAAGGGAGGAAGGAAGGATGGTTAGCCGATCTCGAGCATCTCTTGACGAAGAAACTGGGATCGGCCGGGAGGTTCAGGGTTGAGGGGGAGAGCTGGGAAAGGCTGAAATGGGCGGTTGGTGGAGAATCGGAGGGCGAATGTTTCAGGTTGGTTCCTGGGCGGGCTGCCGAGACGAGAGGGGGAGAGTCGAGCCGATCTGATATATAAGAAAAGATCGAGGAGAAGAGATGGTGTCGATAGTGTCGATAGTAGATGATGATAGATTATAAAAAAACGGGATCCAAGGGGAAAAAAAGTAAGATATCCGACCAGCCGGGTGTGATGATCGTCTCTGGGACGAGATGTGTATATATTCGGTGGTGATGTATAGAATGTAGTATATCGGACGAATAAGGAGGGCAGTATAGACGAGTATCCGTATGTAAAGGGGGCCAGGGGAAAAGGGGAAAGAAAAAGAAAAGCAAAGCAAACGGGGAGAAAAGAGTAAAAAAGACCAGGTCCCAAGAAAAGGAAGATCCCAAGTCGACCAGTGGTGACGACGAGAAGGAGGCTTATCGGTGGGAAGCGAGGGGCAAAAAGGTATTCACGGTTTCGAGTACCGACTCTATGAACACAGGATTACCCATAGGCCAACCTATGAGAACGAGACTCTCAGCTTACGCCAGATGGAAGATCCCAGGGGAAAGACGAGACGTGGAATCAAAACTGGATTAGGGGGCCTTCCGGACCTGCCGATGCAAATCATCGTTTCACCATATTGACTACATTATGAGTATGATGAGACTACGAGTATTACCGTTCCAGACCTCCCCCTCGGTTCGAGAACCCTCATCATAAATATCGTCCTAATTCATCTTTAGTTTTATCCATTCATGCTCCGTTATACCCGTCCATCTCGATCTCCCAGGAACGCTAGACTAAGAGCGGCGACGAGTAACTCCCGAACCAATCTCGACTCTTGCTTTGACCAAAGCGTAAAAGGCACCAGGCACCGGATGGCCTCGATAGATGATGATTCATAGGGCTCCAGTCTTCCAACCGAGTTCAACCAGTCACCAGGGTCCCCTTTGCATTTTCCTGACAGTCCCATGGGTCCCAAGGCAACCCTGAGCTCCCGGGAACCAGAACTCGAGAAGAGTCGAGAGGTAGTGCAAGAACTTTCGGAGCTAACAAAACAAGTCTTTGACGTTCACCATCCCGGCAGACCCTGGATGAACTCTTGAATCCACTCCAGGGCCCCCGCCAAGACCTTCGGGCAGTTTGGTACGGGTTTGGGGGGAGAGAGATCGGTCGAGAGTCTCGACCGTTTGGCCTACTGTTCCCCACTCGTTACTGAGTGACTGGTTTGCGGCTTTTCTTTTTTCTTTTTACTTGTTCTTTTTTTTCTCCCTGCCATGCGACCCCCTTGCATTGAACGGCGTGGGAGTGGATGTATCATATATCTAATTACGGTATCATCGAGGTTGGAACGAGGCTCAGCTCATACAAATGTCAGCTAGTTACAGAATAGTTAAATGGTCCCTGAAGGTTATGATGATGATGATGATATTCTAGAGAGAAGAAAACTCAACTCATCCTCTGATCCACTCTACCTTCGTCATACTCTCCAGACTTTCTGGACTTTGGAATGGTTACGCGGTAGGGGTTAATTCCGAATGGTCCGCCCTGATACGAAGACAGAAAATCTCCGCTCTATGGTACTTCTCCCCCTCCCCCTGGTCAAGAGCACTGACAGCGTCAGTGCTGAAATACCTAAGAGTCAGTGCTGGCTGCTCTGTACACCAGTAACGCCGGTTGGCTCGAGCCCGTTCGGCATGCGGCGGGAGGTACGATCTGGCATGGACCCCGGCCAGAGTTCGATGTATACAGTGTATTCGGTACGTGATAGTACGGGAACCTGAAGTATACAAGTGGGAAATGCAGGAGGATACAGACCTGTACTATCATTGGGCTAAGCGTTCGTCAATCTTTGCTGACGATAAGAAAGTGCTCACAATCTAGCTATCTAACCATCTACTGTAGCTATATCTGATATCGACCTATACCCGCCTCGTGTGGTACTTTTTTTTCTCCCTCGATAGGACCATATTTGCTTATCACAAGAGGGGAAATCCAGTTTTGCTTTGCTTCATTAAAACTATCATACGGAGTACACTGGGTAACATGACCTTCTTACTCCTCCATACAGTACCAAAATTCCCACCATGTTCAACGATCTCGATCTCTTTAGTCCTTTTCTCTTCTTTCCCCGCGTTCAGCTCCCAAATTCAAAATCCCCCTTCCAAACGGTGGTACACTTTTCCGTTAAAAACCCTCTCCCATCCCCATCCCATAAACCTTCAGGGCCCGGCGCCCACCGACTCGCCCGTTGACGGATCTCCGTGCCTGCGTCTGAGCTTCTCGCCTCCCCCACTTTGGCCCTATTCCACAAGAATATACTTTGCCTCCCCCAACCACCAACCAGTATTCCCTAATCCCGCCCAGCCCCCTCCGTCTCTTTCCCCGCTCCAGTAGTCTCGACTGGGGTCTGCGGACTCTGCAAACGGCAAGACTAGCGGGTTATCTGCGGGATCATGATATCGATGATCGGCGAGCGGAGTCGTCTAGAGAGGTGAGAAGCTCGCATGACGATGTCTGTATTCTGTCGTCCACGGTACACGGGGACTTTAATATGATCCTTAGTCTTTTTCTCCTTTAACTGGCTGAACCTTGCTCATTGCCTTTATTGTCTAATAAATTTTGTGTTTGTGGGCGGTTGCCCAGCACCCCCGTTGCTTTTTTTTTTTTTGCCCTGATCGAAATTTCGAGGTACGTACGGTATGTTCAGTGCCGGCATGTCGGGTTCAACTTTTTGACCACAAGTTTCGTGACGCCACTAGTGACATGTATGATGTGCTTCATTTCTTGCCAGGCTTGTTGCAAGTAATGTATTCGCGTCCCGTCTGGGGTTGCCTCAATGTCGCTGGTTGGAAGGTGGGATGTTTCATCTATTTCATCTATTCCCTCTCCAGTACCCAGTCTGCTGGAACCTGTTCTACGGACATACGACAGGGCCCTGACTTGGTGGCTGATATCTCCGGGCCGCTGATCGACCTGTTTGCCCCTCTTTAATTCCTGATTCTTTACCTGTTAATATCCGTATATTATAGTAGTGCGATATTGTGGTGTGCGAAGAGGGGCACATCATGAGTCTGTACAAAAAGACGCAGATGATGACCGGACCACTATTGAGCTTTGAGCCTCTCTAGCACAGTGGAGCAAAGGAGATCTTCACCCCGCGTACTCCTTGTGACAGCCGTTGATTGGGGGTTGTCTGTAAAAGTATACGTAAGGCGACGGGCTGTAAAGGGCCCAGTACCTGATGGTACTCCGCACTGCGCACACTTGCTGTTCTTACTACAGTGTACTTCAACGTGTATCTGTTCAAAATGTACACCTCCTCCGTATCTACCCCTCCATGATACAGTACACCATTACCTATTAACTACAGCATTCAAGTACTCCGTACATAGCCCACCTGCACGCCACCGCAGGGGGCAACTCCGTGAGGCACCCACAAGCCCAACTCCAAGTAGCGCCAGGTACCTGCAGGGCTTATCGATAACTGGATCCTTCGATCAGCCTGAATCATGGGCTGGATCGGCGGGGGTGGCAGGGATCGTATTCCCCTCCCCTTCCCCTCCCTCTGACGTCGTCGACTCGATACTCCACTCTCACTGGCCGAATCTAGCTTGACTCATAGTATACTACTGTATGCTACTGGACGCTAAGGATACCCCCCCTTGAGAGTTGAGAGAGATCTGTACAAATCACATACTTCATCTTGACTTCATTTTTACAACATGTAGGGTAGTTAATATGGTACTATTCAACGAATAATCCTCCAACCGGAAGATGGTTGATTCTCACCACATTCATATCGGGTTAACGAACCCGAATACGTTCCATCTATCTAGAGCTGTCGTTCTTGTTTTTCGGTATCTACTATCTAGTTTTAGTACTTCACTCACTCTCTAATTCCACGTTTCGAGTTTCAGATTTCCCATTATTTCGCCCCCAGCTCTGTCTAATCCATTTGCATTTGAAGCGGTCAAGCTATGTACACTAGTAACCCTCCCAACCCCCCTTCTCACCTTTCGCGCCGCACAGAAGAGGCACAGATGACAGGTCCAACCTCTCTTCAAATGTATTCGTGCCACGAGGCCAATCACACCCGCCCTGCATGTCCTGCCAGGAGTATCCATGTACCTAAGGGGAGCGGGCGTCCTAAGAAAGAAGGCGTGCCTGGAGGTCCCGGCCACGTATGTCCTCACCTCATCGTATGGAAATATTTGAGGAGGGATAAGTAGTTCAGCTGGGGCTCGAGATGACGAGAGTCGGTGGGATTAGCAAATAGGATTGTATTTCTGGATTGTCAGCTTTGTGTTGTTCTGTTGTGGTTGGTGTAGAGAGTATCTGGTAAGGTAGGTAAGGTATACGGTAGGTACCTAAAACCATGCGAGGTGGGTATATTAGGCGTTGGATATTTATAGTTGGGAAAGATGAGGCTACTCGGGCCATCGCCGACCGAACTGATTACCGCCGGGCAGGGCACCTGATAACCTTACCCAATCCCGATATACTTCTATAAACAGCCATCAAACAGAAAGATCAAAAAAAGTAAATTCTACAAGAAATGATCAGATAACTCTTATCCATCGACAATACCCAAACTCCTGATCACCCCAACTCCACAATTTAACCAAAACCATATCCATCTAGGTACATGCATACAGACGTACAGCAATCCACTCTCCCACATGTGATTTCAGAACGGTCGAACAAGGGCCCAACCCGCAACACAAAGAAAAAAGCTCACCACATACCTCTAACCTTACATCTCCATCTGACCTTAGCTTTCACACCCCATCTTTTCACGGGAGCCTAGCCCTGTACGCCTCGAAGCAATGTAAGGCAAGGCAACCCGAGTCCCATTTACCAGCCGCCTTCGAAACAAAACCAACAAAACTGCACCACCGTGCGGGAGTCATCTGACCTCGTCCCGAACCCCCCTCTGGGCCAGGATGGTAATTGTCCGAGATCCGGAGGTTTTGACAGATCTTGTCCTTCGTACCTGCCGGTGAACAGGGGATATTGGCGGCTCGAGGGTGAGAGGAGGGGGGTCGGATCTAGTTCGTGGTTGGGTTGTTCTAAGTTTCTTTGTTATGCGGTGCTGCATGTCGTTCGCCCTGGTGTTACCACCTATGAGCTTCTAATGGAGTGCGTGATTCGGGCTTTGCTTTGTTTGGGGCCCTAAGGGTTGGCGTTCCGGGGTTGTTGTCGTCTTGGGGGCCTGGTACCTGGTACCTGGGCCCTGGGGAAGGTAGCCGGCACATTGTTCCTGGATGCTGGGGCGGTTGATCCCTGGGGTGTGAGGATTGGATGGGATCGGGGGACCGTAGGATGGGTAAGTTTGGTTAGATATACAGTGACCTGTGGTTAGTTTATAGAGCTAAGAAATATAGTTCATGATCTACGTGGTCATGGAATATGATCCAGTGCATTTTATATCAGCGAATGCCCGTTCTATTCATGGTGAATTGGCATATATAAGGGTATCTTGTATTTTCATGCTTCGGCAGCTCTATCACATGCAATGATGGTATTCTCATCGGAATATAGGGTAATATGCTCTGCTTGCCAGTCTCACCTGCCCAGTGGGCCGACTACCGAGCTCACCATCACGGCAGCTTCGCGCTCCCAGTTGCCCACACTTACATTATCCGTGCCAGAGCGGCCCTTTTCGGCTAGTAGGCTGGCAGCAGACACCTGCGAAGCACGTAGAACACACTCTTTAATTTCCGTCTTGAGACGATCACGGTTGGATCGCAATGTCCGAGCGGAGACACCGCCTCGACCGATGATTTCTTGAACGCGTGACGTGAGCGAAGATGCGAGCGAACGCCAGTAATATGAAGGTAGTGACGAGGTGTCGAGGGCATTCAGTAGGGGCTGGAGCAAGTTGGTCTTATTTGCATTTCCTGCAGCCTCCGTGACCCCTTGGGATCCATCGCCAGGGCTAGATACCAGAAGAGGATGGGTTGGTGCGCGAAGGTTCCTGAGGAAGGACTCCAACGCAGCGATATCTTGGCATCGGGAAGCAACTTCGTTCAGAGTTCGGTCCATCGCGGGTAGCTGCGAGAGTGCCCTGGCGAGACTGTTTACCGAGGTCATAATGGCCGTGTGCATGTAGCCTTGCAACGTCGAGAGCAGAAGCTCCGGCTTGTACTCGGATACAGTTGCGCCACCCTTTGGAATAGGGGAGAGAAGATATAGAGTTGCGGCGGCGGGACCTAGGCGTGCCCGCGCATCACGGACTTGCTTGTAGCTCGAGGGAACCGGCGCATGGCCGTTGGATGGGGCCATTGGACTTGTCAAGGAGAATCGGTTGATAGTTTGTTGCGCCCTTGCTTTGACCATGTTTTCGGCTGGGATCACAAACTCGTTCCGCAACGTGCGCATCACCTTGACCCGTTCCAGTCCATAACCCTCGTCATCTTCCGTTTCAGCTGAGAACATCTGACGCAGGTTCAAGATTGTATAAGCCGCCCGCTCCAGCGCCCGGAATCCCTCTCTCACTGGCGGGGCTCCATCAGCCCCCGTTGTGGATGGTTGACCGGTGCCTCTGCCCGTGATTTCTCCAACCTGACTCTCCAGCTGCCGACCCAGCGTCAGACAACGCCCAACGGCCCGTGTCAGCCGGACCGTAGCCAAAGAGTTCTCCGCAGCGATGCGCGCTTCATCTGCTGCCTTCCATTTCTGCACCACCTCCTGTTCCAATCGCTCGTACCCTTGAGTCACGGAGGTGATTTGTGTCCCTGCCTCCTTCAGGACCCGTTCTGCGGCCTCGGTCTGGCCTTGGGTGTGTGATAATAGGGGCAGTGCGGACTTTGTGGTGAGGGTGTGGATGTGGGTATCGATTTCTTGCAGGTCGAAGAGGACTCGGGAGAGTGGAGTAGATAGATCGAGTGGCGTGTCGGTGGCATTGTTGGTGCTCAAGACAAGAGTATTGGCAAAGCTAGCCGGAGAGAAGTCGGGGTCGAGGAAGGCCTCGTAGTCGATATACGATGGCTCCCCTTCCGCCATTTCGAGGGATCCGACACTTTAGGAGTGTAAAATAATCAAGAGCTCGGCGATACTGTATCCGAGGATTTCTGAGGAGCAATGAAGTGGTTCCGAGTTTCAATTGGGGTCCTTCAAACACACTTGGACCTAGGCAACGTATAGCGGAGCTTGTGATTGGCGTCTATCAACCGCTGCGAGTTTTGTGGATTATTTAGGTGGTATCTTCGGGGGCCCCTTATTAAATGATAAAGGTTCGTGAGACGCAGTACCTCGATTGCGGGCATGCAAAGTGATTCCTGGAGAAAGACAGCTGTCGCTAGCTCCGCGATTATCCCACATGGTGCTGATAACACAGGTCACGTGAAGGGCCTTTGGCCTCAGGCCCTCAAGATTGCCAGAATAGGCAACTGGAAAGAGAGCCTCCGGGTGCCTGTACCCGGTTTCACGAGTAGACCGGGTACGGTCTTCCTATCCTGGAATCTCGTTGATTCTGTATGAACCTGTGTATACATTCGCTGCTAATTTGATTGTAACTATGGCTTCCTGAGGCAGCTGCACTCAGTCGCGTTTGAACGTCCTGCTTACAATATGGATCAATCCTCGGAGCCAACTAACAAAATGAGATGTAGATTTCGGATACGATGACCAACAGCAAAACTATCCGGCGTCGGGTTCCTCGGGAAGCAGTCCGAGCTACAGCCCGCCTTCCAACGACACGCGGGCGGGGTTTTGGGGGGTGTGGGGCTCACCTAGATAAGCGTTCAATTAAATAACTGCCATCTTTCTCCCTGGGTCATAAAAGTAGGTGGAAAGTTGAATCTTGAGCTGGTGTGTAACTCCTTCGGAGCCCCTGTTCGTGATTCTGACCCTTCTACAGACCTTCATCGAAGTATCAGAGCATCAGAGTCGTGCCCATTACAATCAACAAAATGTCGATATCTACAGTAACTACCCAGCAGACACAGCGATCTTTTCTCCTGGCTGGCGAGGAGCAGATCAAGTCAGCGGCCAACGACACTCAATTCCAGTCTGTGGCTCGTGGTAATCGCAATGGAACCCTGAAGCTACGCGGTATTCCTACCTTCACAGACCCGCTTGAGAAGCGCAAATGGATGAAGGAACACATGGCCGCTGCATTCCGTTACTTCGGCAAGATGGGATACGCCGAGGGTGTATCTGGACACATCTCTATGCGAGGTATACCTCAAACACCTCGGTAGTAATATTCTTGACTGTTGCTAATGCGTCATTCAGACCCCGTTCTGAAGGATCACTTCTGGATGAACCCCTTTGCCAAGCACTTTTCGACCATCAAGGCCTCTGACTTGGTCCTGGTTGATAGTGATGGTTATGTTACCGAGGGAGGTGCTCAATTGCCCATCAATGAGGCTGGCTTCATGATCCATTCTGAGATCCACAAGGCTCGTCCGGATGTCATTGCCGCGGCGCATACTCATGGTGTTTATGGCAAGACATGGAGTGCCTTTGGAAAGCCGATTGAGATGCTGACACAAGGTTTGTCTTCACTTCATAAGGAAAAACTTTTGTCTCAATCAACTATACTGATGAATGACAGATGCTTGCAACTTTTATGGCCGCCTAGGCGTATATGATGACCACGGTGGTGTTGCTCTCTCTCAAGAGGAAGGAAAGCAGATCGCTGAGGCCCTCGGCAAGGATAACATTGCATGCATTCTCCGGAATCACGGGTAAGTCATTTTCGGAAATTCTTTGCTTGCTCCTGTATTGTCTGGCAGATTCTAACTTAGGGTTATCAAGTCTTCTTACTGTCGGACGAACGGTCGACGAGGCTGCCATTCTTTATTCCATGCTGGATAATGCTTGCCACTCCCAGCTTCTTGCCGAGGCTGCTGCTGCAAATGGTATTCCCAAGCGTGTTATCAACAACGAGGTTGCCCAATACACTGCCGATTTTGCTCAGAACGCCGTAAGTCTTGTCTCACGAATCTGCTTTTACTGTAATGAAAATATGCTGATAACTTACAGCACAACCTGTACACCGAGTTCCAGCCTGAATTTGACTTGGTAGTGGAGGAGAGCAACGGACGGGTCTTTCAATGAGAGGTTTCTGGGTGTCTCTTAATAAATTATATCCTCTTGGCTGCGCCATCCAGAAAGGGGTATTCGACTGCGAAACGAATTCTCCTGCAGAAATTGATAATCTACTTATTTACCGTTAACACTCTGCAATTTTATTGAGCAGCACGTTGAATAACATGAAAAGTGAGATGAATCGAGATTTAGTCTCCAACACCGGGTCAACGGAACAAACTGCGGGGAAGCTACGTCTGATAAAGACCCTGCATGATCTATAGGGAAACCGGCAATTGAGGTCTGGTCAGTAGCCATTAAAAAACTTCCGATACAGTATACGAGAAAACACTACCATATCCGGGTCTCCGATAGAGAGGGGCAACTGCTCCAACGACCCCAACTTGGCGGCTTATCCTGATACGTTCTCGGAGTGCACAGATAACAGAAATGATAAGATAACATCAGTTTATCATGTCAATAACAACAGGTGAGACTGACTCTTGGTAATTGGAGATAATAAGTCAAAGATACATGAAGCGGGGTTGATTTGGGGCATTTAATGACCCTTCCCCCCCGCCTCCGGGGGGTTCGTCGAAGGGTTTGTCACATCACCAGCGCCAGCGCGAAACATTTGAGTTCAAAACTTGACCAAAACCTGTTTGAAACGACACTTACTAGCTGAAAACATGACTTCTACATGGGAAGAGTTAGCTGCCGACAAACGAAATCGCATCAATGAATCGATTCCCGAGGAATGGAGGATCAAAGACCCGCCCGCTGATGATTCCGTCTTCGAATTCCCGGCAAAGTCGGGCTTAATCTCGGATCAAGAAATCAGTATCACCGAATCAAGCGCTACTGATCTAGTCAAGCAGCTGGCGCAGGGAAAGTTGAAAGCAGTCGACGTGACAATCGCATTTTGCAAGAGAGCGGCACTGGCCCATCAATTGGTGAGCACAAAATGTTATTTAATGCCAACAAGTATTTTGTCTCTTAATCTTCGGACAGGTGAACTGTTGCTTGGAATTCTTCCCTGAAATGGCAATCGCTCAAGCAAAAGAACTTGATGCCTACTTCGAGGAACACAAGAAACCCGTGGGTCCGCTACATGGTCTACCCATCTCGCTCAAGGATCAGCTACGTGTGAAGGTGAGGAGCCCCTAGTCTCATCTTGCCAACCATAATGCTCATAATCTCTCCGAAACAGGGTCTTGAAACATCGATGGGATATGTCTCCTGGCTTGGTAAATATGACACGACTGAGTCGGTTCTCGTGACTCTTCTACGGAAGGCCGGCGCCATTTTCTACACGAAGACCAGTGTACCACAGACATTGATGGTTTGCGAGACAGTGAACAACATAATTGGAAGGACGCTCAACCCTCGCAATAAGAATTGGTCGTGTGGTGGGAGCTCGGGGGTGAGGGTGCCATGGTCGGTATTCGAGGCGGTGTTATTGGAGTAGGAACGGATATTGGTACGTACATTAACCAATGGCCATTGAGTGAGACTAATATAATCTCGTCCAAGGTGGTTCAATTCGTGTTCCATCTGCCTTCAACTTTTTATACGGCATCAGGCCGAGTCATGGCCGCATGCCGTACGCAAAAATGGCAAATAGTATGGAGGGCCAGGAGACTGTGCATAGTGTAGTTGGACCGATGGCCCATTCAGCAGCAGGTTAGTATGCCATTCATAGCGCAAGCTCAAATAAGCTCACAGTAGCAGATCTTAGGTTGTTCCTTACTTCCGTGTTGAGCCAGGAACCTTGGAAGTACGACTCAAAGGTTGTCCCACTCCCGTGGAGATCGACTGAGGAAGAGGTGACCAAATCGAAGATTCAAAGTGGACTCAACCTAGGATACTACTCCTGCGATGGTGTTGTAGGTCTTCCTGGGTCACTAGATATGAAACAAACTAAGGTGTTAAATGCCAGGTTCTCCCTCATCCTCCAATTCTAAGAGGTATTGAGATGGTGGTCTCAACTCTGAAGAAAAATGGACATACAGTCGCCCCCTGGACGCCGTACAAACACAATTTTGGGCACGATCTTATCAACGACATATACGCAGCAGATGGAAACGCCGTAAGAAGCCACCGCCGGAACCTTGACCCTCGAATGATAACTCACCTATCCAATATAGGATGTTTTCAAAGATATCAATGCTTCAGGGGAGCCATCAATCCCAAACATCAAAGACCTTTTGAACCCAGACAAGGAAAAGATTGACATGAACCAACTGTGGGGCACCCATCTCAAGAAATGGAACTATCAAAGCGAGTACCTCGATAAATGGCGTGAACTCGAGGAGCAACAAGGCAAGGAATTGGACGCAATCATTGCCCCAATTACAGCAACAGCAGCCATCCGCCATAATCAGTTCCGGTATTATGGGTATGCATCGGTGATTAACTTGCTCGACTTCACTAGCGTCGTTGTTCCAGTCACGTTTGCCGATAAGAAATTGGACGCGAAGAAAGACGATTACCAGCCGTTGAGTGAATTGGATGCCACTGTGCAAGCCGAGTATGACCCGGAGGTATATCATGGAGCCCCTGTGGCAGTTCAGGTCATTGGTCGCCGACTAAGTGAAGAGCGTACTCTGGCGATTGCAGAGGAAATTGGGAAGTTACTTGGTAACTCGGTGACACCATAGTTTGGAGTGTTTGGAGGGCTGGCTCTTACCTTTCGGAGTATTGGTCAGATATTCATATTTCTTAATCATAAATACGATACTTTGACTAGGAAACATGTGACAATTCTCTATATCTAGCGTGATTTAGTGCATCAATCCAACTCATTGATCATCCTGATAACAGTAAAGTCGCGAATCCCCTGTGAGAATGATCTCTGAAGGGGCCATCTAGATGCAAAACTCTCATTGTATACTTCTTTCCGTTCTAATAAGATCCTCCGCAAGCTGAAACGCCATCGCGATATTTCCACTCTTACTGATACCCTTGAGTTGCATGATGACCCATTGGCGATCTTGCAGACTGATCGTCGGACATTTGCCGACTGTATATAGATTCCAGATCAGCATATAACCACCCGACACGTTTGGTTCTTGGGGTACATAGGCACCAGATGCCGATATAAGCCCTAGGCCCTGCGGGGTGCTCGCGAGTATCTCCGCCGATCGTCTTGACATGATGTTCACTGCATACTGGAGCTTCGACTGAAGCTTCAGACGAGACTCAGCCGAATGAGCCGGATCCTCGGTTAAGATCTTGTTGATGAGCCAGCATATAATCTCGCAAACGATGATTTCAATCATTCGCGAGTTATTCCAGAGTCTTATTGCCCAGGATGACCTGTATAGGTCATATTGGCCATGAAAGGACATGGAAGTCGCATTCCCATCGGATTCACGGGTGGTCATGTACGGTTCTTGCATGGCAAGGATGCTTAGAGTATGTTGGAAATCACTCTGAATCGCGATCGCTTCTTCTAGGAAGTAAGGCCAGGACGTGGGTATGAGTGAAGCCTTGTCATTATTCTTCTTCGCGACAGCCGCGAAAAGGTTCGCACAACGAGTGGCAAGCACCCCGAGTAACCAAAATGCATCAGAGGGGTCTGTGTACTTGGTTGCCTCTTCCTGCAGCTCACCCAAGTCCTCTGGAAAGGGCTGTACGCATTGGATACAGGCAGCGGACATATCTGCGCGTACCTGGTTGAACATCAGGATGGCAGGCCTACGAGTAAATTGAGATTTACCCCGGGCAACCACCAGCGCGGCAGCTCCTTTGACATGTCGAACCCACGACTCAAAGTTGGAGACATGCTCAAAGACCCCCAGTGATATCACCGACATCAAGGTACTATCTTTGACTGACTCGACAGGGGATGCCAACGCATTGTTCACAAGGCGGATCGCCTCTGAGTACTTGGCATGCGCCTGGACGGTAAGCTCTGGCTGGCGAGTTGCCAACGCCACAAGACCCACGGCCGTCATACTAGTGACGAGAGTCAAATGCTCCGCATCAGCCGAATAGACAGTGGGGATATAGTTTAGATATCCACGCGAGGGACACCGGCCACCCGCAACAAATTCCTGCAGGAAATAATTCACACCTATGTCCTCGAGACTGGGACTCAGACCTCTGGTAGGTGGAGTCGACGGGGGAGTAAGCACGGTCGAAGCCCCATTACTCTCCGGTGTCCTGCTGGATCGCTTGATGGTGTGGGTTGTTTGGTCACGAAAGATCAGATCCCATTCATCGCGGTACCCAAGGCAAGTGTCGTGCGCGCGAATGCATTGACCGCATTTGGGAACCTGCTTATCGCACTGTTTCGCCGTGTAAGGTTAGTGCTAACTTCGCTGGGATGACAAGGAGAAAGACCCACGCGTCGCTTCAAGCGCCGACAATTCTCGCAACTCCTGGATGTTCTTGGGCGAGGCATATTGATGGCTCCGTCGACAAGGTTATCGCAAAGCTAATGACGAGAACTCAAGGAGTAAAGGGGGCCTTGTAAATGAAGACAGTCGTTCGCAGCAGAGCTGAGGCGAGCTGAAGATGGATTCCCCTGGAAACAAGCTACTTGCTAGTGCCCTCGGCTTCTTGGAGTGGTTCTTCCACACACAAGTTCGTTCGAGCTCTTCGCGGCCCGGGGGCGCCGTGGGGCTGAATTGATGAAAATTCGTGGCCCAAACAGACCCCACGGCCCCCATGCGCCACGGCCCCGATGCGCCACGGCCCCCAAATGTTGCGCACTAAAGATGCGCGATGACGACTAACAAGCGACGATCTGAAGATCTGCACTCCTTTACCAAGAAGGGTATCCCAGAAGTAGCTGGTTGGGTACAGCCCACTTAGGGCTGAAAAATGGAGTACGGTGAGTCCATCCGCGCTAGTCTGTTTTGGGTATCTGAGATGCACAGCCAATCGGAACGAGCATCTAGAGATGTCAAGATTTATCGCAAAGCTTAGTTTAAGGCTGTGGCTTGGTGACTCTAAATAGGGTATCCAGTATGCAAAACAAAAATCTTTTGCGCGTAAACAAGCACATAAAAGGGCCCATTTCTCCGCTGTCTAGAGGAGCATACGACAGCTAATTATTTTTCCATTCATCTCTTACCAACATCTTTCATAACTTCCTTCGATCTATTCCCTCTATATCAAGCAAGATCACTATGGGGAAAGTGACATACCAAGATGGAATAGCTATCCTTCAGCTCATCGTCTTCCCGTTCATCCTCGTCGCTTCCCTTTTCATCTGGAAACGAACAGGCTGGAGAGTTGGCGCCAAGATCTGGCGATATCCCTTCACCCTCTCTCTCATTCGGCTTGCTGGCAGTATTGCTACATTAATTTCCATCGATAATAATTCGGAAAATGTCCAAATTGCCATATTCGTGTGCCAGCTGATTGGCATTGCGCCCCTGTTGTTGGCTTATGTCGGAATGCTGAGACTGATGTGAGTTGATCATGGTTAACGGTGGAGCGCTAACATCCAATGAGTATGGGCTGATAAATGTCTATCTAGTGACTTGGAAAAGAAGATTCCTCCTCGTCCCCTCCTCCTGGTGACTCTTATGGCTATCATCGGCCTAATCCTTGGTATAGTCGGAATCAGCACCGCCGATACATCGCACGGATACACCCCAGGAACGTTGCCCAAAGCAGCCATGGGTCTCTTCCTCGCTGTATACGTCCTGGTCATCCTCCTTACCGCTTGGCTTTTCTACACCTACTCCTTCGCAACGCTCAAGTATCAGAAGAAGCTGTTCCTTGGTATTGCCTTGTCCGCTCCCTTCCTGTTGGTTCGGATGGTCTACTCGGCCCTCGGTGACTATTCCAACAATCCGAAGTTCTCGGTGGCTTCATTAGCCGAGAACAATCACACCAGCCTCACTGTCTATTTGTGCATGTCTGTACTTGAAGAGATTATCTCTATGGTCATCGCTATGATCTTTGGCGTGTCGGCTATCCTGCAGTCAGACTTTGTGAAGCCTACTCGGGAAGGAGAGGAGCCAAAGCCTAATGATGTGTGAGCATGGAAGGGAGCGTTATAGCACGGATTTTCTGAAGTCTCGAGTAGTTAAGCACCCAAAGACAACTTTCGAGCCGTTTTGCTGTTGCAATACGATGATGTGAACTGTTTCTCAAGCGATATCTGTTACAACCTATTTTGCATCTTGCTTTTAGCTGGGAACTATTAATTTTTGCACCCCCCGAAAAATTTGACCATTCTACTCATAATTTATTATCCTTACTATACTTGCAAAGCTGACCAGTGTAAAAATTTCCTCATCCATCACCTACTTGAACAAAACTTCCTGTAGCTTGTAAAGTAGTTCTTACTCGAAGAGGAGAGGAGAAGTGGATGATTGGGGATGCCTCAGAAGCTCGTTTCGAAACGCATTGTGTATCCCAAACTAGCGAGTTGTATGCCATAGACACTGGGTCTTGGACACCAACGCGAATTGATTCAATGTGGTGTGTAATCTATACCCTATACGGCTCAGTGAAGATTATTCTTATCACTGATTTTCTCCCTTTGAAATCAAGCCTTTGTCAGTAACCTCCCTCGGTTTTCGAGGCTGAGTTATGAAATACACGTCAGATACATGATTTTTAAAGTGGGCCTACGGCGGTAGTGCCCTGGTTTTCTACACGTCATCACGCCCACCTACGTACCCGCCTGCCCTGCCGAGATCGATTGAAACAATCGAAGTGTAACCATTCTACGTATTTCTACACTATCGCTCTTTCGCCTTCTTCCATTCGACATACACACCATTTACTACTAACTACGTAGATATATCTTCGGTTTCTTACTTCCTCTTACCCTCAACACCCAAACGCTATCAAATCTCAGTCCTATTTCTCACAATCTGCTAGTATTGTGTGCCGAGCCTAAGCGAAATATAAACCTCTCGGTGGGCTGAACTTGACATCTTTGAGTCCTCAAGCTCTTGCTTTCCCTTAAACCGGCCCAATCATGCCTTTGTCAGCTTCAGAGTTGAATCTCAAACGCGTAACCGGTTGAGTTAGTCGGCGGATCAAGAGTAATGGCGAGCTAGGGAACGGAGAAGTTAGTGGTACTTCCACCTGGCCACAAACATATAGTAACCGTGGCAACTTACTGTATCTGAGGAATAGCCATAGGAAGCCCTGCCCAGATCAACTGGGCTGTCGACTTTTACCTCAGAGCCACCCCAGTCAAATCGATAGCTTTGAACATCGAGCGTGCCCTCGGTAGCAAGCCCATGTTTACTGAATCCTGTGATGATAAGATCGTATGAGGCCTGGACAGTCCTGGTACCGGCAATAACTTTGAGAAGGTTCCCATCCGATAAAACGGCAAAGACGTCGAATAAGAGGTCTGAAGATGCAGTAGTTGCAATCCGATCACCTACCATTCCTCCGTAATATTTGTAAAGCTGCCAATCACCATTGGGATAATATCCCGAATCATCCGCGTAGATCAAGCTGGCCATGTAATTGTGCAAGTTTGAACCACCACCCCAATTAGCCCGCAAGGCTCGAATATTGTGACGCTCGAATTGCGAGAGATAGTAGATCGAGTTGGCGGGATTCTGCTCTGAGGGCCAACCATACTCATTGACATCGATTGGCTTCTCAGCAACGGAATAGGTCTCCCGTAAAGAGGTAAAAGCAGCCACTGTAAGATCAGGCTCGCGCTGCCATGACCCAATCTGGTGCCAAGAAAATCGGTCTGGAACCGTATCATTTCCAGAGATAGATGACATCCAGGCTTGCCAGTTAGTGTTGTCGGTGCTGGGCGAGTTTGCCATCGATGGACCTTCCACAGGAATATCAGGATAGTTAGATCTAGAGTCAAGTTAGTGTTTCAAGACGAGATTCTGATAGGGCGAGCATCGGCAATCAAATTACCGCAAGTATTGAGTGGCCTTGACGAAGTATTCCACATATTGAGACCAATCGGGGTACCAAAATATTTCGAGGTCAGGCTCATTCCAAATATCAACTATCAATCCCTCCAAGATGTCATTCGACTGGATATCAGATATCACCTGGTCGAGAAACAACTCCATTTCCGTCCAATTGCCATTGTCGCCTGGAAAAATGGAATCCGCCGTTGCACCGCCCTGAGCACCCCACAGGTCGCTCAGCATCAGGATGAATTCCCCATTATACTTGCGGGCCGAACGGTAGTTTGAAAGGGCTGAATCAAAACGCCCGATATAACCATCATAGCCGCCTTCTGCCCACCCGACAGCGTCGATCTGAGCGCCGCCACCGCGGCAAGTTCTAAGCTTGATATCGGCGAGGAGATAGTCAGGGATGCTATCTTCAGCGTTTGTGCCATTGTCTGGGAATCCATAGATGAAACCCGAGCCGAGGAAGGTCGCCGCGCCGTTGTTCTGAGAGAGATCAACGATAGCATTGCCTACGCTGTCGTCTCGTTGAGCTATGGTCGCCGCATAGGTAATAGATGGAGCCACAAGGGCCAGAAGAAGCGATGCGAAGGATTGATGCCACATTCTGAGAGTGCGGATAGAATCAAGTGGACTCGTGCTTTGATTCTCAAATCTATCTTCCATGCAGTAACCAGTGTCATTTTATAGTTCTTCGGAGGTGGCTATGATGCCTCCCCTGACTAATTTCTGAAGAAACTAGATCATTGGACTCCATAATCTTAGATTATTGTTCGCGGTTATGTTAGGGGGGTCGGTGGGGAATGTGGGGGAGTTGAGGGGAAGTAGAACGTGGAGAATTCAGGCAAAGATTATGAAGATTGCTCTCCATTATTGTTCGTCCAAGATGCAGATGGAGAAGGGAGCTGGTTACAAGTTGATGTCGGCGGGGGCCCCGCAGCACCAAATAGCCTAATACTTGACTGGTCAGAAACCCTGAGCGTAAATATTAGGCTATTTCAGCTGCGTAGATTCGTCTGAGTCCAGCTATGGCAGTTCCGACAAGTGGTGAAACGGAGGGCAATGCGCAGAATCCGCGACGGGGGCAAGATATTTTTGACCCCGTCGGAACTCAAAAGCAGCCTCACTATCGATGACAAGGGCAGGCTTGGCTTGGCTTTGTACTCCGGCGGGGTAGTTGTTTAGGGCCAACCGCCTCGATCCAATGAGACCAGATGAGCCCACTTAGTGAGTCTTTCCCCGGATTATGGAATCTTTATGGAGTATGGACCGATCAATGCGTGAAGGAGGTCGATGGCGACTATCCATGCTCGTTAAAAGGACGGTGGTGACCCTGTTTTTAAAATCTGACTTGACATACATCAGACCATCATCCGGGAACGAGATACATGAATCTTTCAACACGGGATTACATGTTAGTCAAATGATTTTCCCTTGCATACCGCACAACAATTATTGACCAGTCTTCCAGACTTTTGCATAACCACTCAACTTGTATTCTCCTACAAGCGCCCGACCATGGCATCCAATGAAAAAGTCGACGAGGAGGTGTCCTACATGGAGCACGGCCACGAAGACGATCATGTCAAATCCGATGATCTTGCAAGACAGGCAGCCGCAGCGGAGCACGAGTATACATTTATGCAAGCGATTCGCAAGTACCCTAAAGCGGCAATGTGGTCAGTCTTGCTTTCAACCTGCATTATCATGGAGGGCTACGATATTGTCCTCATGTCCTCCTTTTTCGCCCAACCAGCCTTTAAGGAACGATACGGCTCGTATATAGCTAGCAGCGACAGCTACCAGATCACTGCTTCCTGGCAGAATGGCCTCAGCAATGCAGTCTCTGTCGGCACTATCGTGGGCGCTTTCGCCAATGGTTATTTCACCCATCGCTTTGGCTACCGCAAGGTGCTGCTGGCAAGTTTGGTTGCAATCACCGTGTTCATATTCATTCCCTTCTTTGCGACAAACTTACCTGTCCTCTTGGTGGGTGAATTTTTATGCGGTATTCCTTGGGGAGTTTTTGCAACCATGGCACCTGCATACGCGTCTGAAGTCTGTCCCCTCCCCCTGCGCGGCTATCTTACTGTATATGTGAACCTATGCTGGGCGATTGGTCAGCTTATCTCGGCCGGAGTGCAGTCCGGGTTCTCTGAATACGCAACGGAGTGGGGTTATCGTATACCCTTTGCTATCCAGTGGGTGTGGCCAATTCCGCTGTTCGTGATCCTGCTGTTCGCTCCGGAGTCCCCATGGTATTTTGTCCGGCGAGGTGACTATGAATCTGCGGAGCGGAGCATGATTCGTCTAGGCTTTGACGCAAATGGTGGGGCGAAACAAGGTGTGGCGATGATGATCCACACTAACGAGCTGGAGAAACAAATCGACGAAGGCACAAGCTACTGGGATTGTTTCCGTGGTGTTGATCGTCGCCGAACTGAGATTGCCTGTATGGCCTTCGCCGCCCAACCATTCTGTGGCTCAGCTATGGGTGGCACTCCAACCTACTTCTTCGAACAGGCCGGCGTACCGTCTTCAATCTCATTCAAGATGTCCGTGGGAGGCCTTGGACTCGCCTTTGTTGGCACTGTTGTCTCATGGTATCTCCTGCATGCCTTCGGCCGTCGTACCCTTTATCTTTGGGGGTTGGGCCTTCTAACTATCATTTTGATGGTAGTGGGCTTTGTCTCCGTAGGCGCCGGAGATTCAGTTGAGGGGAACTACGCGCAAGCAACAATGATGCTTCTTTGGCTGCTTACATACTACCTCACTGTTGGGCCAATATGCTATGCGATTATCAGTGAGACCTCATCCACCCGCCTGCGGAACAAGTCTGTTTGTCTTGCTCGTATTGTCTACTACATTTCGCAGATTATCTGCAACGTCATCAATCCATACATGCTGAACCCTACAGCTGGAGATTGGAAGGGCAAGACTGGGTTTTTCTGGGGTGGCTGCGCCTTGGCTTTTTTTGTTTGGACATTCTTTAGGTTACCCGAGACGAAGGGTAAAACGTTCGAGGAGTTGGATATCCTATTTGCGCGCGAGGTTGGCGCTAGGGACTTTTCCAAGTATCGTGTTGATGCGTACGCTGAGGGTAACGATGCTGTCGCGTTGAAAGGCTAAATGGCATCTTGGAGAAGGTTTCGTGTCATACTGGAGTGGAAGGGGTTTGCCGCGGTAGCTAAATTGCCCAACTGTTCTCTATGGTGCACTTATTGCCCTATCTAGTCAACCACTAAATCTATAGGTTAACATCAGTGGAATACACTCTGCAGGTACTTTGAAAACGATCAAATGTTCAGAGCCTATACATAGTTTATCTGATTCCCTACTTCATAGCTCTGTTATTTAGTCATGCCGCGTCTACAGAATAGCTAAAATAATTTACGCTCAACACCATCATTTCGGAATTACTGTTAGACAAAGATTTGACAAGGTATATCATAGTAGACGCTATGATTGAGTTCCAGATGCACCGTGGATACGTTTTCTATGGAGAAGGAAAGAAAACCTCTATATGTTAGAGTAATGGCCAGAGGCCATTCCCTGTATGCACAGGCAACAGACTGTACATAGTTTCAGACTAAGAAAGCAGTGGCTGTAGGCTTGAGAAAATTGTTGATTGTTGGCGGTTAACCTGGCCCCTCAAGATGTTGCATGTGCTTACAGTATATAGTGCCGGCGTTAATGTAGTCTGAGCACATCCGCAGTACAGGAGTTACTCAGGACTGTCGTGGTGAATACAGGGTAATCAGGTAGTTAGAGAGCTTACGTCATTTTTATATTGCAGGCATTAGTTTATCCAATGAGGGACTGGGGCAAAGTGTCTAACAATATAGGAATGCTCTGTACCAAGGTGTGAAATTTGCAAAGTGAATTCATATTTTGGATGTCCCGTTAGGGGTTTTCCTTTTCAGCTAAGAAACCCCTGTCGCATCAATCAGGAACTGGATTGTTGATGCGTACGATCGCCGTATCTCCCACGTGCAATGTTTTGTCTCCCCTAGCACACTTTCATTGAATCTGCTGTCGAGGCTCCTATCATACTTGTTCCCGGTAAGTAGATGATACCCCTGCTTAAGAATCTTCAAGGGCGCATCGTGTTTGCCGATATCCCCGACCCCCTTTAGATGGGCAGACATTTTATTTCCGACACGTATGTATGTCTGGACAAGCTCATCGTCTAGAGGCCGATCAAGACGAATCCAAAGAGGCTCATCATCAGAATCATCTAGATCGACACCGTCGCCTCGCAAGGTCTCATCAGCTCTCATTGGACCACCGGAATTACTGACCGCGTACGTCGAAGCGCTGTAAGCCCAGAGGAGTAATGCTGCAATATATATGCTGAATGGTTCTATGGCGTTGTCAGTGCTGAAGCGGCGGACATGCCATAGCAAGGCACCAGCATGTACGACCGACAGTCGGGCCTTGAACTGATCGCGAATGGCCCATTGGAGGACCTGGTTACGTGCATTCTCATAATCATATTGGTTGGGAGGAATCGCGGGCCATTTCAAAGTGTGCGATGATGGAAATCTTGCCAGAGTCTGAAAATGAGCAATCGGAGCAAGGAGCATCAGCCGAGAAAGATGCAGATACAAAATGGTGGGCTCCTCCCAGCATAGTTCAGCAGCCTTGCTGTTGGCTGCCCAATTCAGAACATCGAGTGAGTCACAGGCCGCGTTGCGCCAGTTCGACGCCGTTGTGCTAGATGGTGGCCACTCCTGAACTGAATTAGGCTCGCTGCCCAAGACTTGCATACTGGATGTAGGGCTCCAGGATAACAGTCGCATGCAGCTTTCGTCGAGGACTTCAGTGGTGCGTCGGTAGATAGCGTGGATGAGCAGAACATGGCTGAATTCGCTAATGTGTGGGCTAACCCGCTTCTCAATGTATAACATATCGATCGCATCCACAAAAGATACTATTCAGACGGGACTCGTCAGTAAGGGGCGTTATATAGGGGATCCAAGCCGAGATGAAGTTCATACTTGAATACTTCTCAGCAAATTCAATATTTGCAATCGATGGCTGCTCCCATGCTACTTCAAGGCAGGGCAGCCATTTAGCGGTGTCACCGAGCTTCATGACATGCTTGCAATTCAACTCATAGGAAAGCATAGAATCCAAAAGCTGGACAACATGTCAGGACCCCATTACACTCATGGATTAGTATTTGCACTCACCCATATCATCATTCCCGCTCGGAGCCGTGACTGGGCTTTTACCCAGAGCTGCACATCCGTAGCGCCTTTGATAGATGTGGGAGCGTTTGATGTTGATAGTAGATTAAGATATGAACACCACTGTGTTAATTCAGCACGCTCAAAACCAGCACGTCGTGTAATATAGAGGGTGCTATTATGAAGCATGAACAGCATGTGCAAAATCTTGGCTTGAATGAGTGGCATGACCTCATCCACCAGCTCCATTGTGATATGTATATCCAAAGGTTGCATTGAATCAGCCTCTTGGGGGATATTTTGGTAGCGACTGAGGTGATTCGATAGAGTCGTTCCCATTATTTCCATCAGCGAGTTCTTCCATTGCGTCCCTAGCGGTGATTGTACATACGCCGCCCCTACACCAGCAACTGCGGTTAATAGGATCCAGTGGGGGTCAGTGGTTAGAAAGGTCGCTCGATTGATGAAGGGAAAATTGGGGTGCAAGCGGTCAAAGTAGAGGTGCACACAAAGCCGAAAGTACTCTAGCGGCGGAATTTGCGGCTGCGTCTTTATCTGCTCTTGTATGCTGAAAACAACTCTGGCATATACCTCTCGTGTCAGCCAATGGTCAACGGACGATGGGATATTGCTAGCAATGCTGGCAGATGTTGAAAGATCCGACGTCGAACCCTCAGGCACTGCCCCGGAATTACAAGACCTGCGTTGAAAAGGAGCTCTTGATGTAACCCCATGAACATAGTATTTGCTTTCAATTGACCCAGACGTGCCCGTTGACAGCCCGTCACGGAATGTTTCTGGTGACTTAGGCTCTCCGATCCCAGGGTGACCTTCCGTATCATCCCAGGATCCAAGCTGTGCGCAGCCTGAGAAAGGTTGACTGGGGTTCCCAGAGGCAATTTCCTGTTCAGTGCCAGCACTAACGAGCTGGGGCATCTCCGTTAGATCCATCATATTGAACATCGGCGGAAAAAACTCGTTGTCGGTGATTTCGGCCAGTTGACTTCCCCATTCTTGGAAAATTGCTTGGCCCGGGGAGAGCCAATTTATTCCTGATATGAATTCGGGACCGAGGGTCTGTCTTGAGCCAGGTTCATACACGATCGGACCAGGGGGAATGTCGGCGCTGATGGATATCTCACCATGATCATTGCGATTCAAGGGGACCCCTGAAGAGAGCGGATCTTGAGTGCTATGGCCGTCATCCAACGCGGCGGTTTGGCTCATGGGCCCGGCTATCGCATCATTGACAGCCACGTCATCTGGACTTGGATTTGGGTCGACTTCAGATACCCCTTCCTTGTCACGAAGCTTCCTAGTCGGCGACATCCCGTACTCGCAGCGGAGACCTTTTGAGTCGCAGCGCCCGCAAGGATTTTCCCTTGTACAGCGGATTCGACTCGTCGCACATTGCACACATGCCCTCTTCGAAAGGTGCTTTGTAGTATTTGGCTGTCGCTCCTGGGCATGGATCTCCGTATGACGGCTTAGGATGTCCCTAACGATGGACGATAGTCAGTTTCAGACAGTAAATATCGGGGGAAAGCTATTACTGACATCCGAGAGAACATCTTCCCACAAGTACCGCACGTAAATGGCTTTTCTTGTGTGTGGATCCGCAGATGTCGGACAAGGTGCTCCTTTCTCGCAAAACGCCGACAGCAAAGGGTACAGGTCAGAGGCGCACGGGTGCGCCTCGAGCCCTCGCCAGCATTCTGTTCGCTGGCAGTGCAAGGTTCACCCCCATCCATGGGAAAACTGGTCTGCGAATGGAAAACCCACGAAGATGGCAACGAAGGAAGCCAGAAGCTCCCTCATAGATGTTGGCAACAGGCCCCCTACCGCACGTTACTTGGCGGCCACTCCACGTTCCTGTGGGGAGTTCAGCTTCCCCCACATTTTCGGTCCGTTTTCCGGGAATGTTCAAGGAACTCAGCCAGTAGAATCCCGAGAGTACAAGCATTGGTGGAAACAAGAGATAGAGGTAAATGACCAGTCTTCCATCTCGTGATAAACGACTTATAGTCAACTACGTTCGAGGTTAGATGGTGATGACCCAGTAGTCATGTTCGAGATTAGTTCTATCGAACTGCATTCTTGCATTCTATAGCCTATTTACTGTCGACTCGGACAAACACCGGCATAGTGTCGATGGCGCAGTCGATCTCAATCTTCTGGTTTCCTTCCCAAGTTTCCTCCCCAGCGAACGCCTTCCACTTCTCACCAGCAATCAGGGTTGGCAGATAGACCGTCATCCTGGTCACCCCGGCCGTCAGCACAGGACAGCACAAGTACCGGTTGCCATACATATATTGTTCAGTCAATTCCCAGCACTTTTCATCATCAGGGAACTCGTAGAAAAGAGTCCGCATCACCGGTGTCCCCTTGTCGGCAGCCTCCTGCATCAGTCGCCTTGTATATGGTCGCAGCTCCTCGCGAATGAGCATATACTTCTTGCAGATCTCGTAGACCTTTGGCCCATAAGACCAAACCTCATTATCGGCACCGCTGCAACAGGATGCACCCCCGGTCGTGCCTTGTTGAGGCTGTCGAGGCTCACGGTCACCGTGCAGGCGCATAACCGGGCAGAAGGTGCCCCATTGGAACCAGCGCACAAACAGTTCGCGGAAGTGAGTGCTGTTAGGATCTCCTCCATGGAAGCCACCAATGTCAGTGGTCCACCAGGGGAAACCAGCAATGCCCATATTCAGGCCTGCAGCAAGCTGGTTCCGAAAGCTACTCCAGGACGAGGCGATGTCGCCACTCCAGACCAGTGCGCCGTACTTCTGACTGCCGGCCCAAGCACATCGCACCAAGTTGACGACATTCTTTTCTCCTTCGCGGGTCAGACCTTCATAGAAGGCTCGTGAATAGTCACTCGGATAGATGTTCCCAATAGCAAGATTTGACCCGAGGTGATACCGGTAAATATCGAAATCGTAAGCTGTGTATTCGGGTTCAGCTTCGTCAAGCCAGAAAACCTTGATGCCGTAGTTTTTGTAGTAGTTTTGCCGTGCTTTACCCCAGACATACTCTCTCGCCTTGGGGTTTGTGGCATCAAAATGAACAGTCTCGCCTTCAAAATCTAGACCAGTCCGAATACCGCGATCCACACGAATCAGAAGACCCTTTTCACGCATTTCTTCATAGTTCTCTGATTTTTTATCGACGGTCGGCCAGATAGAAACCATCAATTCAACATTCATTTCCTTCAACTCCTGAACCATTGCGGCTATAAGAATATTTCCGATTAGCTCACTGAAATTATTATGGAGCTCTAGAGACATACCTGGATTAGGCCAGTATATAGGGTCAAATTTCCACTCTCCTTGTTTAGGCCAGTGGAAAAAGTCAATCACAATAAGATCAATCGGTAAATTGCGGCGTTTATATTCCCTCGCCACACCAAGGAGCTCTTCCTGCGTTTGGTACCGTAGCTTACACTGCCAAAATCCTAGGCCAAATTCTGGCATCATAGGGACTTTGCCTGTTGCATTGGCATAAGCCTCTTCAATTTCAGCGGGCGAATCTCCTGCCACGATCCAAAAGTCCATTGCTTTGGTAGAATAGGCCTCGAAGCTCATGATGTTCTTCCCTAGGACAGCACGTCCGATTGCGGGATTGTTCCAGAGGAAGCCGTACCCCAGAGACGACAGTGTAAAGGGCACACTGGCCTGGGAGTTGCGATGAGCTAGTTCTAGATCATGGCCCTTTAGATCGAGGTATGGCATTTGATACTGGCCCATACCAAAGAGCTTTTCATTTGGGTCGATGCTCTCCAGTCGTAGGGTGAAATGGTAATCTCCACCAAGAATAGGTTTGAATTCCCGAGCTTCGACCTCAATAGCGCTGCATTTCGCATCAAGAATATCCCGACGAGTTCGTGTATACTCCTCAAGCAGTACTTTGCCATTAGAGTTGGTGATAGTGAGCTTCCCAAATTTCGAAATAACAGCCCGTATTTTGCCATTGCTGATACTTGCAGAGACGGAAGAGATAGAGATCTCTGGAGAAGTTGAATCAGCCAGCTTGTCGCTCAGAGCCCAATTCTCCATCGGCATGGTGGCGCATTTCGTGGCTCGGGTCCGGAACGCGTTCTCCCCCCACGGCTCAATCCAGAGCTGTTCGGAGTCATACTCATACACCAGTCGGTTTCCTTCTTCACGAAACATCTTGCCAGAGAATCAAAAATAAAAATTTGGTGAGATAGTTGGTGAGGATGGTCAAAAATTATTGGTATCCCTTTGATTTATTCTTATGAATTCGTCAATCTTTATCCATCGCGTCTCATACACTCTCCTCCCCCGCCGGAATGCCAAGTAGCGGCGGCGTAGCATACGCTTCTGGTCCCGGAGGGGACAGTTGGAAGATCCCATGGGATTATGGCACCCCCCGCTTCCTTCTTGCGCGTTTTCACCTTTGAATCGACGAATATTAGACACAACATGCTATAAACAAGGGGCGCAACAATGAAAACAACTTTTTGATCGGGTAGTTCTCCGCAATGACCGCTCGCATCGTTTTCAATTAGCGACCATGACGCTAAACACCTATTTTCTCACAAATAACCCATAAATATTCCATTTAGCTCTCCAGTGCCTTCGGCAATGTCCCAGCTAAGCCCCATAGATGCTATAAGACGCGGTTGTTAAACGAAGAAATCAACTAATAATCTCGCTTCAACATAGCTGATCAAATTAGCGGGTTACAACTTACAACTGACATGCCAGACTGGGTGTTGCGCCTCAATGATAATCTGCTCCATGTGGACCCATTGGTGATCCGTAGGAGAACTGCTAGGGGTTCGCGTGTTTGGGGCTGAGAGACGAATAGGCACTTTCAGCATGTTGATACCCGATCTGGTTTGGACTCAGGGGCCGAAGTCGACAAGGCTGTGAGAGCTAGTCTCTTTTTGGTAACTAAAATGCACAGCCAATGAGAAGAGGGCCGTGATCTCCATCAAACAAGGAGAAGAAGAAGCACAGCCGGGGCCAAAAGGTGGATATAGTCTAAATTTGTATGAAGATCAATGCAGTATTATGAAGTAATGAGCGACTGGAAGACCTGGATATCTCTATAAAGACCAACGTGCGAGCACCGCAAATGCTCTTGACTTCATCTCAACTTGACTCTTCAAATATTAGCAAAGATGAGGTTGCTTCTTCCAACTTCTTTGTCGGCCGTTGTAGCCACGGCTCTGGCTTCGCCTTCCGTTACCATTGATGCTGGTACTCTCAAGGGTGGAAAGTGCAGCAGTGGTGCGGTCTACTACAAGGGCGTTCCATTTGCAGAACCTCCGGTCGGGGACTTGCGATTCGAACCTCCCAAGGCCTACAACAAGAAGTACTCAAACGGAGTACTCAATTCAACCATCTCTGCTCCAACTTGTATTCAGTTTGGAAATCAAACTGTGCCATCTGGAAAGAAATCCGAAGACTGGTGAGGCAAACCTTTAGCTTGATAAACGACTAATTTATTAATGCATTTCTATTTTAGCCTTTACTTGGACATTTGGGCTCCATCTAGCGCGACAAAAGACTCCAAACTTCCTGTCAAGGTTTGGGTTTTCGGCGGATCCGACACTGAAGGAGGCATTGAATACCCTCTGTATGATGGTTGCAACCTAGCCGAGACAGGCTCAGTTGTTGTGTCATTGAACTACAGACTCGGGCCCCTCGGTTTCTTAGCACTCAACAGTGCTGGAATTTATGGTAATCAAGGCATTCAAGATCTTATTCTTGGATTTGAATGGGTTCAGAAAAGCATTTCTGCTTTTGGCGGTGACCCTGTATGTGATTTCGACTTGCTTCGAAGTTTTAAACTAATTGGATTGTCAATGTAGGAAAAAGTACTCGCTTTCGGACAATCAGCCGGTGCTACAGACGTGTACACTATTGCGACTCTTGCTGAGGCACCGTCTCTGTTCAAGAGCGCCATCATTGAATCAATTGCTCTACCCCAATTGACAAAGAATTTGACTGCCCAAAAGCTCGGTGCCTCGTTTGCGAAGGGGCTTTCATGCGGTCTCAGCGACGTGAGTGGACAAAACTTATCGTTACAAATAGGTACTGGACTGACTGTGCTATAGAAATCCTGTCTCCAGTCCGTTTCCTCTGCCGAGCTTCAGAAGGCATATTATGCCGATTCCTATATCGACTCAGGGGTCGGGGGACTTAGTGGAATTGGTGTTTCCAATAGCCAGACGCCTGAGTTCTGGCCAATTGTGGATGGCACTGTCATCAAAGAGAATCCTCTGCATCGTGGAGCACAAGTCCCGGCAGTCCTTGGATACAGTATGCACGCCTTCATTCTGTCGAATTATTGACTCAACGCTAACATGGTTAAACCACAAGACCAACAGGAGGGCACTCTGGATGCCATCGGGAAGTATCCGTCGGCCGAGCTCATCGCAAACCTCACGGCAGCTGATTACAAGGCTTTCCTCGAAGGAGACTTTGGCTCCGCAGCTCAGACTATCGAGAAATATTACCCGTTATCTGTGTTTGAGTCTGCTGTCAAGGAAGCCGGGTTGACGAGTGGAGCCGGTGTATTCAAGGCCATTTCGACGGTCATCACGGACGCACATTTCAAATGCCCGACATATGAGAGTGCGAAGTCTACCGCACGCAACGGTACCCCGGTATGGACCTATGAGTTCACTCACAATTCCACCTGTGCGTGGCTGGATACGCTCGTCGCGATCGCAGACGATTTGTCATTCCTTGGTGCTGCTCATACTGCCGAAATCCCATTCGTGTTCAGCAATTTGGATTTCAGCTATTCCGAAGACAATTATACCTGCAGTAGTTCGACAGCTGAGAGGGAATTGAGCAATGAGATGATCAGCCTATGGACTGCGATGGCAGAGAATGGAAAACCGTCGACCAAGGCTATTCAATGGCCGGAATTCAAAATTACATCAACGGGCTCGAAGACCCCTGGAATGGTCTTTGGAAACTCGAGTACGCCTGGCCAGATTGACTACTCCATCTGCAAGTTGTGGGCCCAGGTCAGCGCTTTGCTGGATGGAAGAAATTCCACGGCCACGGCAAAATCGTCTTCGAGCAGCAGTGTTACGCCTACCGCTTCACCGACCAGTTCTTTTGCAGTAAGTGGCGGAGTAACTGTTTCCCCTTCAACCGGAGGCTCCATCCTTTTGAGCGCTGTTTTGATGGGAGCCGCTATCTTGATGTGAAATAGTTAACTACCTATGAGCAGCTTGTTTATAATTAGGATAGATTCGGGATGGGAGGGGCGTTAAATATGGCTCCTGTATATTTCTCGAAGACTAGCAACGTCACTTACTACAAACAAGTAATCCGGTAACGCCATAGAATGGAAGAACGATGTCGAAAGAGCATTTCATCATACAAAATTCCTTTTTTTTCTCTCTCTATACTCCAGGATAACCCGGTTGTCCTGTGTGGAACTTTGTGAGCTGTTCCTTGAGTTATGCAGTTCATATATCATCCCCCTTTTTTTCAGGAATCTACATATATGCTTCTGACAGCCTAGACAAGCCTCAATACATAGCCTGATTCGCCAAATATGGTCATACGTATCAGGCACGAAGCCTATGATTAAAGCACCGAGGCTGCCGGTGAAATTGGCCAATTTCAGACGTCAAAGAGAAATCGAGGATCTTGCTACTTACAGCCGGGACTTGTCAAATCATAGAAGCCGACTTTCTAGATTGATTTTCGACTGTAATACAAGTACGATCCTCGGCTGCTTGGAAAACTCGGGTAGAAAGCCGCTTGTGGGGCTAGAAAGAAGCAAAGAGAAGGCTACATTTGGGGTGCATAAATAACCCCATGCCAAGAAAGTGGGGGATGAAGAAGCTGGGGTAACATAAAAGGTCACAATAATCCTAGACGTGATCCTGCTTTACCCCCACAGTCTTTGAAAATTACGACAATTCAACACGACGGCGGAATTCCAGTACCTGACCTCGCCCATGGATGTCAAAGGGAAAACCCTCGGTGGCCAAGCCGCACATATTGAACTAGCGCCTGCTGAATACAAAAAGCTCTTGCGAAAGATCGACTACCATGTGATCCCTATGTTGACGATTCTATACCTTTTGAGTTTTCTCGATCGAGGTCAGAAACAAAGCTTGCTATGAGATAGGTACATGGTGCGAACTGAATATGATAGGAAACATTGGTAACGCAAACGTCCAAGGACTTTCGACCTCGCTTGGATTAGTCGGTAATCAATATAATTGGTATGTCTGGTGCTGCGATGCAGAGACTGGAGTGACTCATTCTTCATAGGTGTTTGACAATATTTTTCTTCCCATACTCGTTTACCGAGCCCTTGTGCAATTTGCTACTTGTTCGACTCAAGCCTAGCATATGGCTCCCATCCATCATGGTCGCTTGGGGTATACTCCCATTGCTGAAAATAAGTGTCACGTTGTGCCATCTGACTTACTCTCTATAGGTATTGTGACAACTCTGACGGGAATTGTCCAGAGCTATACCGGACTGATGGTGGCTCGATTCTTCCTTGGTATGTAACGATGCGTCCTTATTGAAAAATAGTTCTAACATGTTGTAGGTCTGTCCGAGGCTGGTCTCTGTATGCCTTTACATCCGTTCTGAAACTATATATGCCGAGACGGGCGAGAATCTAACAATTATCAATATAGTTCCTGGTCTGGCGTTTTACGTCTCTCTATGGTAAGTGAGCCCTCCGAAGTTTAGAACATTACAACTCACCCAGAATAGGTATCCGCATGCTGATGCCCAGTTTCGGCTTGCTCTGATATTTGCATCGGCGTCTATGGCAGGCGCATTTTCCGGACTCCTAGCATACCTCATTGGCATGATGGATAAGGTTGGCGGTCTTGAAGGTTGGAGATGGATGTATGAAACTATGATTTTTCCCCGTTTGTCATATTCAGATACTGAATTATCGCTAGTTTCATTCTGGAGGGAATGCTCACAGTGATTGTTGCCATCATATCATTCTTCTACGTCTGGGATGAACCAGCCACTGCAAACTTCCTCACAGACCACGAAAAGGAAGCTCTACTGGATGCCCTACAGCCCACTCGGATAGCACAGTCAACAAACCCACAGCTTGGACACGGCCACTCTTTCAAGTGGAAACAAGTTATGGCTGCGCTTCTCGATTGGCAGGTATGTATTTCATCTTGATCAGGCGCAAGTCACCGCTGACAAGATGTTTTGCAGACCATCTTCCATTGCTTGGGATATTGGGGAATGGTTAGTATTTCCTTCTATTCGAGTTCAAAACTTAGGATGTTACTTACAGTATCCACTCATAGGCCTGTGCTGTATACGCCCTGTCATTATTTCTCCCCACAATCATCAAGGGTCTCGGCTATACAGCTGCCCATGCTCAACTCCTTACAATCCCAGTCTACGCAGCTGCAACCATCGCATGTATAAGCGTGGGATACTTCTCCGACAAGACAGGCAAAAGAAGCTTTTTCACTTTCATATGTTACGGCGCTGTCATGGTCGGGTATCTGATTGCCGTCGCTCCAGCCAAGTTCATCCCAGGGCTAACGTACGCTGGGTGTTTTATTGCGGCGTGTGGGATTTATCCGGGTAAGTCTCCTTTGTCTCCACTATAAAGACCCTAGCGAGTAGATATCGCTGACTCAAGCCGAATCATAGCAATCCCCGGCCTTCTCGTGTTGTCCTCAAATAACTGGGCCCCGAATGGCAAGCGTGCTGTCGGAATGGCTATCCAGATGGGATTCGGCACGATGGGAGGCGCTGCAGCCTCGAATTTCTATCGCAGCTCCGATGCTCCGCGATATCGCCTGGGCCATATATTAGTGCTTGTATTTGCTGTTCTTGGGCTGAGCAGCATGGCAACATACTACATAATCTGCACAAAGGTGAATGCAAAGAGGGAAGCAGAGGCTGATAGAGTCCTTCAATATACCGACGAGGAGTTGCTCGATATGGGCGACAAAGCACCGACTTATCGGTACAAGCTATGAAGATACAGTCGTTCCTGCAAAGCTGGGAAATCAAGGGGGGCTTATGGCAAAACCTAGACTTTAAAATATTACAGAGGGCTAGAATTATGACCGGAAGAGGATCGGAGAGGGATGAAGCTTAGTATCAGACATACATCAGATTTGTGAGATTCCATAGATACGATATGTGGATTAATAGATGATAGACGTACATTCAAAAGGTCATAAAGAGAGGCCAAGCCTCGAAGATAAATTATTCAAACATTATTTAACAAAAGAAAATGAGTATCCATTCCCTTCATCATCAGGGCAAACGCCATCTATACAGATGCAACCATGGCAGGGTATACGAAAACGAGAACGAGACATGCAAAAAGAGTCCTCGCAGACATGGGGAACAGCCCAAAGAATATCATAGCCCAAAGCGGCTGCAACAGAAAAGAAATCAAAGAAGGGGGAATGTCATAACAGAGCCTTTCATACAGTACGCTCGCCGGACTTCATCTCGTCCATCTCGTACTCGCCCGTTCCAGCCTGAAGACTACGTTCTCGGCCACGACCCCGACCAAATCCAGACTCGAGGTGGTTATCACCGGCGGGTTGTTGTGAGGAGGAGGCTTGGCTGGAGCTACCTCCGAGGCTCGCGAGTCCACCGAAGCTGATGGGCTTGAGTTCGCGGTGCTGGCATGCCCACATACCGAGGAAGGTCATTATGCCAGCGCTGGCGAATTGGAGGCCCCACCAGAGGAGGTTTGAAGGGACGGAGCGCGTGTAGAGGATGGTGGCGACAAGGTGGAGGAAGTGAATTGTGAGGGCGAAATCGGGGACCAACTTGGATCGGGAGACGAAAAGGAGGAGGAAGATCACACTGTATGATTTGAGATGACGATACGGTTAGTTTAAAGCCCAGAGATCTCGAGTGTATGCGCTCCCTTGTAGGAGGGTCTAGGCAACGTACCTGATAACACAATTCAACATCCAAACCAATCCCAACATCCAACCAACCGTAGTGTCACCCCTCAAATAGTCCCAACCGAATACAAGATTCAGCGAGAAAGGCGTGCCATAGACAACGGTCGTAAACAGGATAAGCACCGTTGCGCAGACATAATAGGCAACCTGGAGCAAGAGGATCTTGCGGATGATTTTCAGTGGCGGGAGGTCGGATCGCGACCCCGCTGGAAGGCGCCGGCGCCCGGGCATCAACTATGAGGCCAGGGATATCCCCTCAACGGCCTTTGTATAGAGGGTGTGAGAGGTATGAGCGGTGCGCTCGAGAGCGAGGAGAAGGACCGAGGAGCTTAGGAGGCGGCGGGTGCATGCAACGGTGGCCAGTTGCGAGTCACGGGTTGAAGGACGGCAGACCCAGAGTGCGTATTCCGAGTTGTGGTGTGCGTATAAAGCGCTTCGAAGTGATCTGGGGTAGTAATATCGAGTCGGCGCGAGGAAATGTGGAAAAAAAGGGAAACGGACAACGTCGAGCACTGTTGATCACCGATCAACAGTCTTGGCACCGCCGAGCCCGCGGGAGCAACGACCAACGCCGCCAATTCCTCCCGCATTACCACGAAACCCCATCTACCACAGCTCTTCCAAGCCACCACACACGCATTCGCGTACTCAGCTATCCTCCCAATCTATTTCAAAGCTCCCACTATACACCACACACCTCCACAAAAATGGGCTGGCTCCCTTGGTCATCCGGCGACTCCAACAAAGCCTCTGACGGCGGCCGCATTGCCCCGGATCGCACGAGTCGTGCGCGCTGCTGGGAGGGCAGGGATGCTTTCTTCGCCTGCTTGGATCGGAATGATATTCTCGACGGAATCAAAGATGATAAGGAGGCGCGTCGGAAATGCGCCAAGGAGGTTGCCGAGTTTGAGGCTGCTTGTTCGGCGACTTGGGTACGTTGGAATTACTTTTGCAGGGCTATATATCCTTGTTGAGGAGGGGAATCCAACACATTCGATTTCATAGATGTCCATTCTATGTGTTTGCTGTTTGGAACTCTATGCTGACTTTATTTTGAAACTGTCTAGGTCAAATACTTCAAGGAAAAGCGAGTGATGGAATATAACCGGGACAAAACGATCGAGCGGATCAAGAAGGAGGATGCGGAGAAAGTGAAGGAATTGAAGTCTCAAGGCTGGAAGTCCAGCTAGATGATTCAAGGCTACAGGTGAAGGGCAGACGGGTTACTTTTTTTTCTGTACATTATGTACCATATCCACTCTTGACGTATTTCCATGAGCACTCCAATTTATGCTACCCCCAATTCAAAGCAGTATCTATCAATCAAATGGACAGGAACGTAATCCTCTATATTCTATCTCTCGAGAGAAATGCTTAAAACTTGGGACCAAATGGATTGTGGTGTAGGAAAGACTTCACGCCTTTCTAGCTTTGGGATGAGACATGACCGACTGGGCGGTCTCTTCACTCCAAAATCACACAAGAGCAAGCGAGATAGTCACAATGATCATAAAGCACCATGTCCCAGAGGACGGGTCATATTATATCCACCTTGCCCAGCAAACAGATATCCCGAAGCTGTTAGCAAGAAATAGGAAAGCTTAGTACATGGAGATGGAAGACGGATGGTCAAACACCAAAAAAGAAAATACACAAGACAACTCCAACCTAGACACCGCCAATCACCCTAGTATCTAGAATCTTGTTGCCCTAGGGGGGCCCAATGAAACGCCAATTCTTGCAAAAGTCGCTGGGATGTTAGGAGAGAAATTCCAGCCATGAAAATGAAACATGAAGACAGAAAGCAAGATCTCGAAAAGAGAAAAACAGAAATGGTAGTCGCCGCTTTTCCAAGAAAGCCGAAGGCGATGGAAACGCCAAGCTCCGAAATATAAAACGTAAATGAGAAAGATGTGAAAGAATCATTAATTCATTGCTTCCATTTGGTCAGATGGTTCATAAGGTTTTGCACATTAGAACCAACTGGGGCCTGCCCCTGTGGTTGCTGGGCCCCAAGCCCTTTCGCCAAAAGCGAAAGCAGATTGGGGTCAGTGACCATGGGGGCGTTTGGATGTTGGAGATTATATGGTGGGTGGGGAAGAGGTTGTTGAGGATGAAGAGACGGCATAGGAGGAGCTCGGGTCGCACTACTGAACAGACTGGCCAGGTCGGCTGGTGGTGGAGGATTGGGAGAGGCGAAAGGTGACTGCGTGGCCGAGACGGGCTGTGATGAGGGGCCGGGGCGCTGCTGAAGAGCTGAGAGGAGAGACTGAAGAGCCGGCCCATCCAAAGTACTAATGAGATGGGCAATGTTGGGAGGATTCGAGAGAGTTGGCATGGGTGGATGAGGCATTGGCAGGGGCTGCATCGGAGCGAGACCGAATGCAGGGTTAGGCGCGAAAGAGGCTGCTGGTCCGCGTTGCATAGCCTGGGCTTGATGGAACATGACCTCCGCAGCGATGTTGGGGTCTAGTTCGGGGTAATCTAAAAACGAGATCAGCACGACCTTTGGTCACGAGGGAAGAGAGGTGGCGGTGAGATGGGGCATAGCATACCAGTGAAGCGGACATTATCTGGGCCCGCGCTTCGATCGAACATTTGAAGTGGGATTTTACGGGAAAATTGATTAGGGCGAGACAGCCTCACGACTGCCAAAACACCCTCGACATATTGGCGGTGGACGGCTGCGCCTAGAGGGATGCGAGGGCCAAGCACCAACACATCTACGCGCAGACCGCGGTTGCGGAAGGCATTCTCCACGTGGAGAATAAAATTCCTTTAAGAGATATTAGTTGTAGTCATAACGGAGACCGGGCAATATGTGCAAACTTACCGATCGAGCTCTTCCAGCACAAGAATCTGTACCTCCGGCACATCTCGTGGTGCCCGACGGGGCACTGGGAGGTCTGCTTCCCCTTCGTAGTTACCTCGAGGTCTCGGGCTGGGGCTTCGATACCGCCGATCGCGCGCATAGGGAGAGCGAGGTGAGCGGGGTGAGCGAGACCGTCTGCGCTCACGGCGATCAAATCGCTCTGGCGTCCTATCCCGTGAACGGTAGCCATCCCGAGTCCGAAAAGGTCGGGGCGAAGGAGACCGTGGAGGGCGATAGTCGTCACGACGGCGATGAGAAGGCTCATCGCGATAGTCACTGAATGGCAGCCGATTGGACTCGTGTGGCCGATCATAACGGTCGCCCGGAGCACGAGCGGCGCTGCGGGCAGGAGCAGTCCGGCTGAACTCGGGCGACCTGGAACGACGAGGCGGGGGTGCACGAGATGGCTCTGCAGGACCTGGTCGGGCAGTTGATCTTTGTGGCTTCGAGATTTCGAGGTCTGCGGACAATTAGGGAAATGTTTCCGGCGATCAGATAAGACGGTGGCACTCACGAATCTTTCTACCTCTTATCAAGGCCCCCTGCTCAGTCTGCAGTGCTGCATGACACGCACCGGCTTCCAAAAACTGGATAAAGCCGTAAGCCTGCTTGATTGAAATTTGGGCTAATTTGCCATAGTTGTGAAAGATATGGAACATGTCTCGTTTCGTTACTCGCTCGGTAGGAAGATTGCCTGAAAATAAAAATATAGATAACGTCAGTAATCATGGCCATACGAGAGGATAGTAGGGTTGAAGCATGGAGAAATGGATACTGACCGACAAACAACCTGGACCCAACGGGGAACCGGTCCCAGAGACCTTCGGTTACATAGATGCGCTCGTCGTGTAGGAACTCGTCATACTTCTTTTGCACTTCGGGGCCCCAGGGTTGATCATCATCACTTAGAGGTTTGCCCCCACGGGTTAGCAGCTTATCAAGGCGGCCTCTTTTGAACGCGGTAGAACCCTCTTGAGAGCCTTGCGACTCTGCGGCCGAAGAAGGGCCTTGCCGTTGGAAACTCGCCATGGGCGGCGGTGGGAGGTCTCCAGCACCGGACTCGGTACCGGGAGCGACCGGGGGGATAGATGGGGGATCGATTGGATGGGCATTGTTACTGGATTGGGCTGCTGCATAGGCGGAGGAGGGAGCAGTGTTTGGGGCGGCGGGGGTTTGGTGATGGGCATTCTCATTGCTCGGGGCGTAATTTGGGGGGAGGGAGGGGTCTTGGAGGGAAGGGCGGGCGGGGGAGGTCCACACACTGAGCATCCAGCGTGGGTGGGATACCGGGGTGAAGAGACTCGTCCTTGGGGGCTTGGTGAAAGGACGAGCCCTCCGCTAGAGAAGAGGCAGCCCCCGTAGCGTTCGCGTTGGCAGTGGCAGCAGAGTGTTGAGAAAGGTTGTCCAGCAGAGTCTGAAAGTTGACCCCCGCAGCACCCAAACCCATACCCTGCTTTCCATCATCTATGTGATCGGGCTTCAAGGACGAAACCGCATAACCGGCATTGTCTATGTCGCTAGCCGGGCCATAACCTTGAGAACCCGGAACAACCGGAGGCGCATGGGAATGACTGGAAGCTGCAAAGGCGAGGTTTGGGTTCATGTGCATATTCATGTTCATATTGCCCACCTGCTGTTGGGTGCCTGCGGTATTGGAAGGATAAAACTGCGCTGCCAAAGCAGGCATATCATTCATCACGGGCTGTTCCCTCGGTTGCGCACCCTGCAAGCTACTTGGGTCCCTGCGCAGCCCCAAGCCTAGATCCTGGCCATCCTGCGCAATCCTCGACCATCCATCTCGATCTTGTGTTTCAACGGGTTCCTGGGGATATTCTGGGCGTTGATATGTCGAAGTGTCATTAAAGACGGGGTCCATTTGATTCTCCAGGACGGGAATATTGGCCGGCTCCGGGATATGCAGTGGGCGCGGGCTTTCCGGAGTCAGTGTCTTTCCGCGGAAGTGAAGAGCTTCATCAGGAGGACTGGGCGTCATGTAGAGCGAGGGGGAGGTGGGCGTTTCATCTACAAGAGTAGAAAGGGGGGGAGGAGAAGGAGAGGGGAAGGAAGAAAAGAGTGGGGGGTAAGTAAGAAAGTCGAGGATCTTTTGGGGATCGAAGGTTCGAAGTCACGGGCCGAGAGGGTCAGATTGTGAATTTTGCGCAAGCTCAAGTGGGGCGATGAGAAAAAAAGAGTATTGAACCAAATGGGTCCGGAAGGGCGGTAAGGGTCCCTAATTAAGGCAGACGGGGCCGACACGGAAGGGAAGGAGATGGAGAGAAGTTCGGAGGGTTTACGAGGTGGAAAGAAAAGAATAAGAGAGAAGAAAGTGAAGGAGGAACGGATGATATCTCAGGATTAGGAAATTGCTGATATACTCCGTGGGGTAGGATGGAGGAGTAACCGTACAGGACTGGAGTATACTGCACTCTAGTACTGGACTACTCCGTACTGGTCTAGTCCTAGGCGCCTGCAGCCTTCATGTTCGAGGTCAGGAGTACATCCAGCTTGCAGGTGGCCAGTTGAATGAGAACTACCAGTTTAGCCCCGGTAGCTCCGCCAAAAAAACCTGTGCCTTTGACCACTTTCCGCCAATTACACGACCACCAGGTCTACCAGGTCAAGCATGCCAATCCTCCCGAAACTATTACGCAGAAGATGAAAGGGGGGGCCCATCAGTGCTTGGTGCCCTCATCGTTCTTACGTCGTTCACCACCTGCCACCTTATTACTAGTGGGAACCCACTGAAACTGCCCACGCTGAGGGGCTGGGCTTTCAGACTGGCCAGACCAGATCATCGACAAAAGTCGGAGAACCTCCTTTCCGCGGTGACCTGGAAATTTTTAATTTAGTCAGGGCAGCTCCACCCTAGAGGTTCATCTTTCTATTGCTTCAAAGTTGACTGTTTAGCATATCATATCATATTATTTGTCCTTTCTTCCCCTTCTCGGCGTTGGGCGCCAGCACCAAATGCCGCTCCGATCACGGTGGTGCGCGTTTCGCTCGTGGAGCAGAACGCCATCTTCTCCATTCCTACCATTCACTGCGCCCATTTCGTCCGGCCGGAGTGCAAAGTTTGCTTCCACGGGGTCATCTGACCCTCGAGACCCTCACGACCTCGAGCTAGCGAGGAGGTGGCTGAATGCCTTCGAGTCGGGCCTCAAGGCCATTCCCCGCCATGTCGGCCAGGTCTCGTTCAGCCGTTCAAGCGGGCCTGGCGGTCAGAACGTGAATAAGTCGGTGCAATTCCGATCCGTGCGAACGGTTCCCCCTCTCTAAGAAGTTCTAGGAACACATACTTTCTGCAGGGCTTCGGAGCTAACCGTGCGATCTTGGAAAAAACCTTACAGAGTCAATTCTAAAGCTACTTTAAAAGTACCGCTGGCCACGTTATTCCCTTTGGTGCCGCCTCTTTTACATCCTCAATTACGCGCCTCCCGCTACGCTACCGACCGTTCACAGGCATTGGTGATTCAATCGGACGAATCCCGGCAGCAGGCCTCCAACGTGGACTTGTGCTATGAAAAGCTTAATCGGCTCCTGGTGAGCTCGGCTAAGGAGGTCATTCCCGGCGAAACCTCCCAGGAACAGAAAGATCGCGTGAACAAATTGTAGGCCCACTGCTCCCTTTTTTGTGCTCTCTCTATTGCTTAAAATTAGCAGCATCATCCACATCCACCCCGTGGTAGTGGTACAGTACACACTTTCCTAACCAATGGCCTATAGACAACGCGCCCAAAATGAGGCCCGACTCAAGTCGAAAAAGTTCCACAGCAGCAAAAAGAGTAATCGGCGGGGAAATAAATACGATGATTGAGGATGGGGGGAGCTTTTTAGTTTTCCTCTTCCAAAAAGGAGCTAACATTATGACTAGCACATATACCACATAATAAACTATCTTCCCTGGGAATTCTTTTTTGCTTCCATGTCCAACCAAACAACGCCATTGAATGTGCAGGAGAATGTCCGAGTACGCTAAAAAAGGAATACAAATAGGGTTTTTTGGTTTACTCCTTGGAGGATGCACGCTCCGCGGTGCGCAATGTGGCCTGGATGACCTTCTTCAGCGAAGGGTCCAGGTCCTCCGTGTCCGCAATGGGTTGCAGCCAGCTCACCACCTCTTGGGCCAGATCATGGGTTAGAGCTGACTCGCGGAGACGGGCCAGAGAGGTACCAAGGGCTCGAGGGAACTCCGCAGATGTGACATGAATGCCTGCAGTGGGGAATTTGATGTAACAGATCTGCGTACGGGGACTGGTAGGTTTGTGCGCCCGCATGGTGTCCACCACGTGCCCCAGGATCTTCTGCAGGCAGGGCGCATCCCGGAATTCCAAAACCATCTCGTAGAATTCGGCGCCGAATCGGTCCTCGTTGTGGAAGTTCTTCATCGCAGCATCAAAGATGGCAATGGGGATCGCACCGGTCAGCGCCGGGGTGGAGTTCAGGTTTTGCAACGCTTGCTCATCGACTTCACCATCATTCCGTGTTGGGTTGACATCTTCGTCGGTAATGTCCGGAAGCGCAATCATGTCACCGTCCAGCCCTTCCCCGGCCACCTCGACTTTCGTCGGCCGCTCCTCGTCCAATCCCAATATCCGTTGACGAGCGATCAGCTTGGCGATGTAGATCAATTCCAACTTGGCATACTGAAGCCAGAGGTTTCTTGAGCTCTTGCAGAAACGGAGACCGCGCTGCATATAGCTTCGCGCCTGCGACATATCCGCATGGTCATCGAGCACGTACTTGGCGGCGTAGACCCATAACTCTGCGCTGGTCGGGTGGAACCGAAGGGCGTCCGTGAAGATGATGGAAAGCTTCTTGTTGGCTTTTTGTTTCCGCGCATATTCAATATACTGAATCCAGAGGTTGAGATCACCGTGGAACTTGCGAGTGGCACGATCCAGAATGAAGTAAATGCGCCGTTGGCCGCTGTGTCCAGCTGACCGAATTCCCAGTCTCTTTACTCGCTTCTTTCGCAGGGTCTCCAGATTCATCTCGTATTCGACATATCGGACAAAATCGACGGGAGCCGCTCCGCGCGCATTGAGCTTGTGCTCAAAGTCGGACCGCTTCTTGATGATCGAGGTGATTTCATCCTATGAACGAGAAAAAAGTCAACATTAGCGCAGGCCCAAATTTAGGCGGATCACGAGCGCGGGACCGACCTTAGTGAAAAGCTTCTTGCGCTCGTACTCCTTGAGCTCGGGCACCGACTGCTCGAGAAAGAATCGAGCCTTATCTGTGGCGGCGGACATGGTTGACGTTGTGATCTTCAAGGAAGAAAAAAAGTTGTCGGCATCCCGCATTGACCAAAGCACCGACCACCGGGACCACGCTAAACCACATCGGGTTAGCCAGCCAGCCAGCCCAAGGACACTCTGGAGCACCGGTGCATCCGAATGTTTTCCTTTCCTCAGGGGCCCTTGCTCTCTACAAGTCGTCATTCTCTAATCTTTCGATTCTTCACATTCGTTTCAGCCCTTTTTTTTTCAATCTCGGTCTCCCTATATATCGGTGCAGAGTTTCGACCTCCCTCTGCGCCGCCATGGCACCCAGATTCAAGGACGGTGATGCCGTGGTTGCCGTACGTGGCTTGACACACGCGATAAGCTCCTCGGATAGGCACTGACTTTTGAACAATGCAGATCAACGGAAAATGGATTTCATGGACTCACACTTTGTTCGCGTATGCCGCGTTCTTCAGCGCGTTGATTGTCGGTTGCGCGTTGCATTACCACAAGATCGTTCAGAATGAACACTATGGCTACCCCGACGAATGGTTTCCCTCCGTCTCCGCGACAATTGGCGATCGCTATCCCGAACGCTCGTTCTTCCAAGTCTTCATCGCCATCACTTCCGGTCCTCGCTTCGCTCTCGTCTTCCTGTGGTACGTGCTTACCGCACGTCCGAACTCGTCTCTCCCTAAGATCGTTGCCGGTGTTGGTGTCTTCCGCACCTTGACCTGTGGTGGATGGACCTATGTCACCTCCACTGACGATCATGACTGGCACGATATCTTCATGATCTCGTACCTCGTTGCGACCTTGCCATGGACGCTGGGCTGCCTTGCACTCAGCCCTAACAACCGTCGTGCCGTCAAGTACCGTAAGATCATGGCTAGCCTGTTCTTCGGAACTTTGGTGCCATTGATCTACTACTTCATCCAACACAAGGTCCACAAGGTGGCTGGAGGTAAGATTCAGCTTGACCCACTTCGATATTGCCTAGATAGGCTCACTAAGATATTTGTTTCCCATAGCATACACCCGTTACGCTTTCTTCGAGTGGTCCCTGATTCTGTTCGACGTCGGCTTCGATGCCATCACCGTGCTCGACTTTGAAGGATTCGAAATTGTGGTTCGGGATATCAAGGGTATCAGCAGAGGGTATGTACCGTGGCTTCCGAAATGACACCCACGACAAATGTATAGTGCCACATGTCACGTTTGGTTATGAAGAAAAGACATTTCCTAAATTGGCATTTATCAATTTAGACAGTTGAAAACGACCGCGGATTCTGTTCTTGAGAAAGAGTGCGTACATCCCAATTAAGTCCATTTTTTCGGCCCCATACGGAGGCTAACGTGTAGTATAGGAAGGGCAAGCCCGTTGGCAACACTTTCGGCGAGGGCTTCTTCTGGACTGAGATCGTTGACGCTGCCGCTGATGTTTATAATGGGGTATGACCTTGGGAATTGCAGTCTGATATCTGCTTCATCTACTAACTAGTGGCTATAGTTTGTCTTCTGGACTATTGTGACCGGTCTTCCCGTCCTGGTGTGGTGTGCGTACTTTTCCTCTCTCGACTACAATTTGTGCTAACCATGACAGACTTCCCTCTTTGGCACATGGGTATCTCGGGCTACGAGGTTGCGATTGCTGCTGTCGTTTCGCCTTTCTTCTTTGCCATCCCTTCTCTGCGACAGCTTGCAGTTAAGAACCTGCGACCCCTCCATCTGATCTCGCTGTCCGGTCTGCTGGCCTACAAGTTCCAGAATCCTGCCCACCGTCTGTTCGTGACTGCTTTTGCTCTCGCAATCACCTGTGCGGCATGGACTGCCACCTTCTTCGCCGAGCGTGCCAACACGCCGCGCTTGGAGACTCGCATCATGGCCTGGGGCATTGGTCTGATCATGTCCGTTGTTGCCAAGTTCGCTTGCTCCACCAACAACCCCCTCTGGCCCATCATGCACGCCGAGAACGGTGGTTGGAACAAGATTGGTCTTTTCCTTGCAATCTTCTCCGTTCTGCGCTCCCAGCGTCCCACGACTACCAGCGGTGGTGACTATCTCCCCGCTGGCGGTAAGAAGGGCTCGGCTCTCCTGGCCGGTCTTGGCTTTGGAGGTCTCCTCTTTGCCATTGTCTCTCTTCTGACTGACTCTAGCACCATGATCTCATGGGTCTGGGAAGGATATCCGGTTCGTGGTCCCATTGCCGTGCCGCACGGTGCCGTCACCATCTTCGCTATGGGCGCTGGTCTGGTCTATGGTATCTTCAACCCTGCGATTGCGGGTACCTGGACGGCCTTTGGACTTGGATCCATTGGCGCGACTCTCCTCACTTACTACCACCACTGGACTGGATTCTACGGTGCTCTGGCTCTGGCCTTCTACATCATGGCCGTTGCTCCTGTTCTCATTACCTCCTGCGTTCGCCACGGTGCTGCTAGCACCTTCGGTGTTGGTTTCCTGCTTTACGTCTTCCTCCTTCTCTTCCACGTCTGGGTCGTTGCCTACGCCTTCGTTCCCGGTGGCCCTCTGGTGCGTGAGCACACCGACTGGCTCATGATGACTACTATGCTCGCCATCGGTGCTGGTGTGTTCTCCGCTGCTACTACCAACTCTTCTCGCTCTCCCCGCAAGAAGCCCGTTAGCCCCAACAGCAAGCGCCAGCGCTCGTACTACATCTACGTCCTGGCGGCCCTGCAGCTGCTCTCCGTCTCCGTGGCTTACCTGCGCTTCCCTACCAATGACTACGTTCCCCACCACAAAGAGGACAAGGTTGTTACCGCCGGTATCTGGACCGTCCACTTCGGTCTGGACAACAACATGTGGGCTGCTGAGCGCCGTATGCGCGATGTTCTGGGTGAGCTCGAGCTCGACGTGATTGGCTTCCTCGAGTCCGACAACCAGCGCGTCATCATGGGTAACAAGGATGTCACCCAGTACATCGCAGAGGACCTCGGCTACTATGCTGACTTTGGCCCCGGCCCTAACAAGCACACCTGGGGCTCTGCCTTGCTGTCCAAGTTCCCCATTGTGAACTCTACCCACCACCTTCTCCCCTCGCCCGTTGGTGAGCTGGCTCCTGCCATCCACGCTACTCTCGACATGTACGGTGAGATGATTGACGTTGTCGTCTTCCACTCCGGTCAGGAGGAGGACCCCGAGGACCGTCGTCTGCAGACTGAGTATCTGTCTAAGCTGATGGGCTCGTCCCCTCGTCCCTTGATTCTGTTGAGTTATCTGGTCACCAAGCCGCTCGAGGGCAACTACAACACCTATGTCAGCGAGTTGAGCGGTATGAAGGATATCGATCCCACCGATTGGGACCGTTGGTGCGAGTACATTCTCTTCAAGAAGTTGAAGCGTACTGGTTACGCCCGTATTAGCCGTGATACTATCACCGACACTGAGATTCAGGTATGCTACTATTCCCCCAATACAAAGTTAACCGAAGACGTGACATGACTGACCCATAATACAGGTCGGCAAGTTCGTCATCGGCGAGCCCGAGCCCGAGGAGGAAGTCCGCGTTCCGGAGGAGTTGGTCCCAGTTGGCCGACGCTTCCCTGCACTCTTCCGTGGTGAGGGTGTTCGCGGTCACCGCTACCACGTCTTTGACGAGCCCAGGTATTGGCAGTAAACTGAGCTATACATAGCTCGTCAAAGCCTGGGACTATTTGACAGAAAATAATTGCTTGTTAGAGGTTACTAGGACTTATGATTTTGTGATGTGTGAAATACTGTGGAATAGGAAAGGCAGACATTCTATTGTCCTTGTGGATTGATCGCCTGCAGAGAATTAATCATTTGATTTGTTTCATTTTACGTGGTTGAGATGAATGGTTAACGTGCAGGAATGGCCTGCGCCTAGTTTAGCTTTGGCATTGTACAGCATGTAGAAACACATGGGTTTCTGCGGGCCTGAGATTTTCTTACGGTCAAGTTCAGTGGTGTGTACCATTCCTCGACGTCTCGACTTTCTGCAGTCAAAGCGGCGGGGGAAGGACAAAGCAAGACCCGAAAGTCATGGCATCCGAGTCAGCATCCAATTGAATATCCGTTTCTTTGTTTCTTGTATTCCTGGCACGATGACCTCATCAGGAACTCATTCTTTGATATGCTCCATCCAACGTCGTTCCAAGTTTTTGTCACTCGAGAGGTCTTACTCGATTCTGTTTCTGGTAGCTCGCCAGCACAGCCTCGAGGACCCGGCATAGTAGAGCAGTCGCATTTCGGGTTCGCGGCTGATTTCTTGGTTGTATGTGCTTCATTGGTCTTGTTCTTCCCTCTCCCACTCTACAGTACGAACTTATGGAGCAATAGCCACCATGCAAAACGCCTACTATAATATGTAGGCCTTTTCAAGGCGTGGGAAATTCAGAGGTGCACCCATGAATGCTCTTCCTCAATTGAGATGAACATTCTATGAACCCTTCTCCTGCTTCGGCAACGTAAATAAAGAATTTCTGGGCCTAATTATACGAGCCGAGGACAAAGCTTCCGACATCCTAGAGTGAATGTGATCTCTTCCTTTGTTGGGATTTCGACATTTATTTTTGATCATTTGGTTCAGAGGCAAGACGCCCTTGTTTCCGCTAAAGCTTCTTTCCTATGTCACCAGTCCACCTCCGAGTGGTCTAACAGACACTTATCGGTCGGGCAACTTGTACTCGAAAATTTTGTCTTGCATTCAGACAAAGAAAGACTCTTTCTAAGCCCCGGAGGATATAGTATTCTCAACGGCAGGTCGATGAGTTCGCTGTTGGTGTGGCGCATTTAGGAACAAAGAAACTATTCAATTCGCATACATAAGACATCCCTTTGTTTGGGCGAGTCCGCAGAGATTAAATTACCATGATCGCCTTCGGACTAAAGCCCCAGATCTTGCAATCCTTTTCTTCTTGAATCGAAAACAATAATTACAACCGCTTCTCGTTAGCACTATCAGTTCCTTCTTCGAGTCTCGTCGCAAAGAAATCAGTTTCGGTGTACAGGTAAAAGCTCTACCCTCCAGTATTCGCACATTCAAGTAAAAATTCATTGACTGTCAATTTATACAATAGACTAGAACCATGGCACCTCGAACACGATCTCAGACAGGTTCTATACCGAAGAAGGTAGTCCCGTTCGGCGATGAAGTCCCGACGAGAGGCGCGACTACAAGACTGGGAAGGAAGGCTGTTACCAAACCTGTGAAGAAGAAGAAGACGGAGAATGCACAGGAAAGGCTGCTTTTAGAGCCGCATCTCCCGAATCCACCAGCACAGCTGGACCTCAGCAAGCCTCTTCCCAGGGTTGGTTTATCGGAAACTGCGCTGGAGTTGCCTCTTGCAGCCGATGCTCCAACGGGTCAGCCCAGAATCTTCTATGGAGAAGATGCACCATATCCTCGTTGGAGAACCATACTGGATCAACGGCCCCTTGGCGAGGATCTTGAGAAAGATTTGATCAGGACACACCCTGGCAGAACTCATATCCCGGGGGTAGCACCAGGAAGCCACCCGAGGGCTAATGACTACACCATCGGCCTTGGATGTGTCAAGTGGGACTTTGAACCAGGTCCGGCTGCAGGCTGGGGTGGCTTGACAGGCCACCAGCTTTACGAACAAGCATGCATGCGTCTCAGAGCGGCATTGGATGATCCATGGGCTCGATGGCAACTGCAAGACGCTATACGAAAAGGCGAAAATGCGCGCTACATCGCCTATGTCGAGAATCCGGTACCGCCCCTAGTACGCTTCGGTGGCCGAGGTGCGTTGCAGGTGCCTCCCAACGACCCGCTCATTGTACGGATCAAAGAAAATGCTTATAAGATTGATCACATAGTCAAAAACAAACCCAAGTGGCTAGACATGCAGGAATTTGAACGGCCGTCACTTGCTTGGCGACCCGGTGAGGTCGAACCCGATATGGGAGATTATTCGCGGTTTGTTGGACTAATGAAGAACCATCGATTCGGGACGCTGGGTCCTCCGGGCTACCAAGATCCTTCTTTCGACCCAACTGCTAAGCTGAACGCCAAGCCTGTTGGAATACAGCCTCCCACTGGGGGAACAGGAGCAGCCGCCAACGCAGCTGGAGGGAGTGCTGTTCAACAGACAGAGAAAGCTGTCGGGAATCTACCTACTTTGAGTGGACAGAATCCGGAAACTTCTGAGGCCCAAAGTGTGGCTGGAGATGCAAAGAGGCTTATGCAAAATGGTGAGTACACTGGTGTTTGGTTTGTTGTCTTCGTCTTATTCAGCGGCCTGTTTCTGTATCTCTTCCTGTATGCTATCAAGATAATCAGATGCATCACCAGCACCCCTCGGGAGGAGATATGTCTGTCCTGGTGAAAAAGGAAGAAGCAGGATAGCCATGTGGTCGGCCATCAATCCCCATGGAGCCTTGCATGGATGCTCTGTTTCCTTTGAGATTAACTTGTATTCTGATCCTGATTCAGCACTGATACTGACTTGTCTACTTTCAACAGCGAAACGGTTTGTGAGAAACGAGCAACGTGAGTTCATCCATTCCCTTTTTTGAGGGACGCACCCTGTACCCGATGATACACCAGACACTAACAGTACTCTGGCTCAAGTACAATTTGTACACAAAGCTCAGGCTCAGCAACGAGGCCGTGGCAAAGCTGCAAAGAAAGCTCCCGTTCGGGGTGTAGCCCCAAAAGAAAACTTTGCTGCTCTTGCTGGAGCTGTCCAGGAGGATCTACCCAAGTTACAGCTTCCATCTAACGAGATGGATGAATCTTCCAAATATTTCCGTATGTGCAACGAAATCGTCGATGATCCCGAAGCGCGCCAGAAATACTATCCGAAAGTTGAGGCCTTTCGTCGGATTCGATCATGGGCTGGAGCTGTAATGCCCGCAGGTGTCGAAAGGGATGTCAAGGCAAATATTTCCAAGGTTCCCAGGGCTAACAGACCATTTTTGAATATGAAGAGGACACGGGAGGTGAGTGAGGAATAAAAATGGCCTGACAAAAAGCGCCGCTGATGACCAGTGCCTTAGGCTTCTAAGAATGGGTGAAGCTTTGGAGTTGTTTGACGAGTAGCAGCCCTGGAGGAGAACTTGAAATTTGATAGGGATCGTGGAGATAGGTATCTCCAGGCTAACAACTGGAAATCATGGACTTGGCCAAGCTTCCAGGAAGATATGTTGAGGGTGGGAAACCTGGGGGGTATATATTGTGATCAGGTTAAGACAAGGGTCCAGCGGGGTATCTGGGGGATCTTTGAACTTTGCGGGTGTCTGTTCTGCTCATTGTCATTTTGCAAGATTTGTTTGTAGTTTAATAGAGTTGTCGTTTTTTTGCATACTCGGTGTCATCACTCAATAGTTATCGATGACTTTGTCCATACTCATAGTTAGTCGGCCCAGATCACCTGATCGTCGACACAAACAGCACAAACACTTCGGGAAGGCAGCTTTGGCAGTGTCACCAAGGACCCGCTCACTCCTCAGCTTAACCCAGTCCCTTTCTTTCTGCGCTTCGATTGAGGGAAGGAGTTTTCACTGGCCAATATGAGATAATGAATTCCTCAATCTCTTGAACGAAAAATCCAACCCTTGGCTCCATTGCGCGTTGCGACATCGCGAAAACGCTGGGCGCATGCTCCCGTGTCTTAACGACAAGGAATCACAATGTTCACATTCACTCCCCTACTTGGGGCACAGTCGTCATACTCGAGAGCGTCACAGTCTATCCTAGAATTGGATGGTGGTATCAAGATCCTGGTGGACGTCGGTTGGGACGAGACTTTTGATACTCGTGACCTAACTGAGCTCGAGAAGTGAGCTCGAACCCGCATCTCTCATGCTCTTTGAACAATTTAAGCTGACCGAACATCTCCAATAGACATATCCCAACTCTCTCGTTGATTCTCCTGACTCATGCGACTCCAGCGCATATCGGTGCTTTCGTCCACTGCTGTCGAACTTTCCCTCTATTCACTCAGATTCCGATCTACGCGACGAGCCCCGTCATTGCCTTCGGCCGCACATGCTTGCAAGACCTCTATGTCTCGTCACCACTTGCGGCAACATTCCTTCCAAAAGCCTCGATCTCAGAACCCGGCGCGTCGTCGGCAGCATCCGTAGTAGGCTCGGTGGGAGATGGTGAAGATAGCACCGAAGCTGCTGGCAGCTCAGGTCGGATTCTTCTTCAAGCACCGACAACCGAGGAGATTGCCCGATACTTTTCCCTCATTCAACCTCTCAAATACTCTCAGCCTCACCAACCGCTCCCGTCTCCATTTTCGCCGCCCTTGGACGGACTCACCCTTACTGCCTACAACGCTGGACACACCGTCGGAGGAACGATATGGCACATTCAGCATGGGATGGAATCCATCGTTTATGCGATGGACTGGAACCAGGCTCGAGAGAGCGTCGTGGCAGGTGCTGCATGGTTCGGTGGCTCAGGAGCGAGTGGAACTGAGGTTATTGAGCAGTTGCGAAAGCCAACGGCCCTGATCTGCAGTACCAAGGGAGGTGATAAGTTAGCGGTTTCCGGTGGCCGCAAGAGGAGAGATGATCTTTTGCTGGACATGATTCGAAGCAGTCTGGCCAAAGGCGGTACAGTTCTCATCCCGACGGATACGAGTTCGCGTGTACTGGAACTGGCATATGCCCTCGAGCACGCTTGGCGTGATGCGTCGACTGGCGACAAGGGCGATGTACTCCAAAGTGCAGGTTTATACCTAGCTGGCAGGAAAGTCAACACTACGATGCGACTTGCCCGAAGTATGCTCGAGTGGATGGACGAGAATATCGTTCGAGAGTTTGAGGCGGCCGAGGGTGCCGATGGCCAAAAAGCTGGCGGCCAGGGACAAGACAAGGGAAGTGGGAAAGGCGTCGGTCCCTTTACTTTCAAGCACCTGAAGACTGTCGAGCGCAAGAAGCGTCTCGAAAAGCTGCTGGCCGAGCAAGGACCCAAAGTCATCCTTGCCTCGGACACCTCTTTGGCATGGGGGTTCTCAAAGGAGTCCCTGCGACAAGTCGCCGAAGGGCCTAATAACTTGCTGTTGCTGACCGAATCCTTCCGAAAAACGGTGTCCGAAGCAACCGAGGAAAATTCCAGCACCGCATCTCTTGGAAGTATGATATGGCAATGGTATGAGGAACGAAGGGACGGAGTCGCTTTGGAGAAAGGACCCGATGGTGAACTACTCGAACAAGTCCATAGCGGCGGACGAGAGTTGACTTGGACCGACGTACAGCGGGCCCCCCTGGATGCGAGGGACCAACTACTCTACCAGCAATATCTGGCTACAAAAAGACAACTCCAAGATACTTCCCAGGCACGAGGACAGGAGAATCTTGAGACCGCGGCAGATGCACTGGACGATCGTTCTAGCTCGACCTCTTCGGAAGACTCCGATTCCGAACAGCAGGGCCGAGTTCTCAACTTTTCAACAACCCTCGCGCACTCAAATCGGAGTAAACTGGCTCTTACTGACGAAGACCTGGGCATCAACGTCCTTCTTCGGCGCAAGAATGTCTACGACTACGACGTGCGAGGCAAGAAGGGGCGCGAACGCATGTTCCCGTACGTGGCGCCGCGGAAGAGAGGAGATGAATATGGAGAGTTCATTCGACCGGAGGAATACCTTCGCGCAGAGGAGCGTGAAGAAATCGACATGCAACAACGGCGATCTGACGCACAGACGAAGCTCGGCCAGAAGAGACGTTGGGACGAGGCGGCTGGGGCCGGTGGACGCAGGTTATCCGACAGCGCTGGGGGTCGCAAGCGCCAGCATTTGTCGACCAACGGCCAGAAAATTGACTCAGGCATTGCCGATGACCTCAGCCTCCCCTCGGACGGCGAAGGTGCCGATGCAGCTGCATCCTCGGAAGACGAGGCAGACATGCAATCATTCGAGGGTCCCGCCAAGGCTGTATACAACAAAGAGACTATCACGATCAACGCCCGCATTGCCTTTGTGGACTTTATGGGCTTGCACGACAAGCGCAGTTTGGAGATGTTGATCCCGCTTATCCAGCCACAAAAGTTGATCCTTGTTGGCGGAATGAAGGATGAAACCTCAGCATTGGCAGACGAATGCAAGAAGCTGCTCACTGTCAAGGTCGGCGGTGATGTCTCGACTACAAGTGCAGATGCCGCAGCTATCATCTTCACTCCTGCAAATGGAGAGGTCATTGACGCAAGTGTCGATACCAATGCCTGGACGGTCAAGTTGAGCAACAGTCTCGTCAGACGTCTCAACTGGCAGCATGTCCGCAGCCTGGGTGTTGTGGCGCTGACTGCGCAACTTCGGGCACCCGAGCTTCCCGCAGAGGAAGAAGATGCCGACGCTGATGCAGCTGGCAAGAAGATGAAGCTAGCCAAAGATGAAGCAGCTTCGTCTGCAGTGGCCCCGACTATCAACGGCGGTACCAAGACAGCTGAGAAGCACGAATCCTTCCCTCTTCTGGATATGTTACCAGCCAGCATGGCTGCCGGTACGCGGTCTATGGCCCGTCCACTTCACGTCGGCGATCTTCGTCTTGCCGATCTTCGCAAACTCATGCAAGCCGCTGGACACACGGCAGAATTCCGTGGCGAAGGTACTCTTCTCATCGACAAATCCGTCGCCGTGCGAAAGTCGGGCACTGGCAGAATTGAGATCGAAGCCGCGGCGCAAGCGTCAGCCAACCAGGCGGCACTTGGCCGTAACGCTGGGAGCTTCCTTGCGGTGAAGAGGAAGATTTACGAGGGCTTGGCCGTTGTGGCGGGAAATTAGGATGGCATGACATGTATTTGTATACTTCATGATGTATAACTTGATCGGCATTGAAGCATTCAGGAATTTCTATCATTGACATTTATGGAATTACGAACATCGACTCTTTCTTCCACCGCTGTAGCCTGTTAGTAGACCACAGGATTGGCACTCGGTCTGTTGGGGGATCTCCGTTTGTGCTGTCAGAAGGGCTTCCCGATCTCCAGATCCCCAAGTAGGTCTGGTCTGTCGGACAAGCTTGGATGGTGCTGTATCGCTATCAACCAAGTGTAAGAAAATAAGGGTTCCGTTGTAGGTACGGAATTTATGTTTATCCGTCCGAAGTAATAAATTGTGCCAAGACGGCTGAGTTAGAGTAGACCCAATTTGGCAGTTGTAGTTCCCTTAAATTGGCAGCTGTTGCTCTTACTAGCTGTTTTCAAACGCGATGGCTTGAGCCGCGTCGGACTTTCCAGCCTCGGTCTCCTTTAGTCTCATTCTAGTTTCCTTTCCCCCTCCTCGGACTTCCCGCTGCGCCTAATTCTGACTCGGCAATTTTTACTATGTAAGCTTTTCTTATTTAATGGCATCTTTCGCTTCTTCCATCTTGGATCCGGGTTGAATACTTATCTGTCGGGATTCTTCCCCCATATCACACTACATTCTTGGAGGTGTTCATATAATCTTTTACAATAATCATAATGCCCTCCCTTTTCCGAACCCTGCTCTTGGGAATTATCCCGGCAGGCCTCGTCAGCTGCCATGCAACTAATTCCCTGGGGTCCAATTATCGCATTGACGTCCATTCTCATGCTATTCCAACTATTTGGAAAGATGCGATGATCTCAGCAGGCTTCCCCGTCAAGAACGGTACTTTGTACAATGACGGCGCCCCCGTTCCTGATTGGACTCTGGACTCGCACATCAGCGCTATGGACAGCCTAGGAGTTAATTACTCGACCATCAGTATCACTGCACCAGGTGTTTCCTTCGTCAATGATGCTAAAAAGGCCAAGTCTTTGGCCCGAAGCATCAATCTCTTGCTTCATCAATATACCCAAACTTACCCGACTCGGCTTGGAGCGCTTTGTCTTCTCCCTCTTCCTCACGTCAAAGAAGCAGTCGAGGAGCTTCGAGTACGTTTATTTTGATACATGACACATGGCCTTTCAAATCATCTAATCTTGTTTTCCTTTTAGTTCTGCATGGACACCCTCAAGTTTGTGGGTGTAGGCATGTACACCAATGCTAATGGCACGTACTTGGGTGATTCTGCTTTGGACCCTGTTTTCTCAGCACTCAGTGCCCACAATGCCAGTGTATTCGTGCACCCAGCCTCCCCAAGTTGCACGTCCGTCGCTCTGGGTCACCCCATTCCGATGACCGAATATCCTTTCGATACCGTGCGGGCTATGGAGAATCTACTATTGTCTGGTCAGCGTGCCAAATACCCAGATCTCAAGATGATCTTCTCTCACGGTGGCGGTGCTATGCCCTATTTGGCCGCTCGCATTGCTGGTGTCGCGACACTCGACTACGCGGGCGGCATTCCTTTCGCCCAAACGATGGCTCAACTCGCTGGATATTATTTCGATCTCGCGAGCGCAACGACTGCCATCCAGCTTGCGGCTCTGAAGAGTTTCATCGGAGCCGGAAAGCTCGTGACTGGAATTGACTGTAGGCTCCCTTCCCTGCGCTATCTATACCCCAGGTTATGTGTAGATCCTGTATACTAACGAGGATAGATCCCTATGTGCCACTCACCCAGGCTTTGCCAGGCCTCAATGGCATCCAGACGAATGGCAATTTTACTAATGAGGAGATGGTCTCGATCAAATACGGAAATGCCTTGGAAATCTTCCCACGGATCTCCAAAGCCTTGAAACTGAATTAAAATAGCCTTCTAACAAGGTGATGTGTATTGCATATAAATAGAAGGAGAATGAACAAAATGGAAGAATATGTACAGAGAGTGACAGTCAGTCAGGCCTCTATCAATCATCACGTTGTCCCTGATCAACAGGATATGGATAGCGAAATATTTTCCAGAGATACGTAGATATACTCGCAAAGTCAGATCGACAAGTTAGCTGGATTCGCCTATATTTTCGTCTATGAAGCATCTCCGGTATGTTGCTAGTCGTGTAGCCAACAGGGCCGATATTTAACATTACGCGGAACATCAAAAAAGACTTTCGAAAGAGAGCTTTTGTTTATCTGATAGTTTCCATAATTCCATGTATGACGGTGTGAGGGAGCTTTCTCGGTATCCGATATCGTCTATATCGTCAGCTGGCCTGATTGCCAAGCCCGAACAACCAATCACTCCTACTCCCATTTAACTCTTGTCACCTCTTTGATACTTCACCATCTTGGGCTACTTTGATTTGGGGGCACGACAGCGGTTTCACTTAGAGTCTGGTGGCAAGGCTGGATGCTGACCGCTGATCCTTGTTGGGGCCGATTTATGCTGACGTAGAAGGCCATTGAAATTGAAACAAGTCCCTTCCGGTTTGCAAGATGAGCACGAGCGACCCTCAAACGCATTTCAACAGCTATGGCTTGCATTATTACGCTGAATTTACGAGAATCTGCAACGGATTTGGAGAAAGTATCGCATCCTTCTCATAATGTCTGGTACAAGAGTCTGGCGCGGCTGCGCGACGTGGGCCTGGACATACCTGGTACTCCGACCCGCGATCATAGCCAGATGATTGCAGAGTACAGCTACTGCTGTGTGGACCAGGAGAACCCTCATAGAGTGATATATCTATACCGTTAGTCTGCATCCCATGTGCCAATCTTCACAATTCTAACAATACCAGCACAATGCGCGGATGAAAAGCTCCAACGCATCCAGGCCGAGTGTATGTCCGAGGCCTCGACGCTGAACCGACGACTCTCACCCCTCTTGGAGTTTCCCATTTCCACAGAGTCTATTTTTAGACTACCCGATAGCATCGGACTCATATATCCGGGCGCAGACTCTGGCCCCAAGTGCTTGGAATTCATCACCTTTTACAGTCCTAAGCGTCCTATGATGCTCTACCCATTCCTTGAGCCCCACTGGCCTGGAGCGTCGTGTGCGGGGTTGGCACACGTCCCCGTCAGGTCATTCTCTGCTAAGACCATTGAGTCACCTAAAGGAAAGACGATTCTGTTTTGCTGCATCGAGTGGAAGAGCCTTCAGGATCGTGCAACTCTATATGCGGATCCATCTTTGAGAAAGGAGATGAAGAGAGCCAACGCGGAGTACCGAGCGGCTGTTATTCAAGCACTCGGAAAGACAGAGGAGGATTTGACTTGGGAAGAGGATCTCCAGGTCTTTTTTGAAAGCACCGGTGCGACCGATATCCAGCGTCAGTTTCTGACCGGAGTCTGGGTGAATGAGGCCTATTTGGGCTTGGGAAAGGATGGAAACAAGAAGTGGCGGTTATGTATGATCCTGTAAATTATGTCCAGGGTCTCATCTAAACAATCAATTTCTTGATAACGATAAAATGCATGCGACAATGGTAAAATAGAGCTATTCACAATCTGGCTAGCTGAATCCCTCCCATCTAACTATGAATATCCTTTTCCCCTCTCCTACTCCGTCGTCGCAATGCCAGTGTGCCATCGCACCTGAGAAAGATATGCCGCCACGGCAAAGTAGGGATAACTATCTGCGTTCATGGCTGCCTGATCGGGCTTACTCTCCCCTTGGGCCACGCTCACGAAGAAATACCCAAGACCAACTGGTGGTCCATCCGCTGCGGTAGACTGTGATCAGAACAAGAATGCGATTCTAAGCATAGGTAATTAGAAACATACCTGAACTAAATATCTGATGGGTCATCTCATGAAGCAGAGTAGCCCCGGGGGTCATATAACGATCAAGATACTGCGTCCCATCGGTTGCGATGGTGGTAGTCTTATAGTTCCTGACATCGTCCTTGAGTCGCGTGCCTATGTCATCCCAGAGACGAGGGCAGAAGTAAATAATCTGCTGGTCTTGGAGAGTCTGAGCATCTGGGTAAACTACTGGGGCGTCCTTTTTAATGCCGGTGCATGGACCTCCGGCAAGCCATCCTCTGTCTTGGGACATGTACCAAGTCATTTGAGTGGCATCGTCACTGTCGCTCTTTTCAGGTCTCAACGTCGGACCTCCTTTGTCAAAGAATGCCCAACTCCTGGTTATGCCTCCAAGTCCAGCTGTAGGAAGGGTTAGACGACTGGGCAGGATTGAAAGAGAGGGCTATACCTACGGACGTCCGTGATCGGAGTGCCTGATGGCATGCCTGCATACTCCGACTTCAACGTTTCAGTGTACTCGACCCATGAGTCGTCACAGCCAAATCGCCATTTCTGGTCCTTGGCATTAATTTGAGCCGTGATTTGATTGAATCTCCCTAATGTGATCGATCGGCATTGTTTCTCATCAAAGTACCATGACTTACTTACCCTTGACAGTTTGCAGCGTTCCCTCGCCTGATGTAACTTTGAGATACCTGTTGAATTTTATACCGAAGAACTGCTTCGCCAGCAGAAGAAGGCGTTCTCTATTTTTCTTCTTCGACGGAATCGCCAATGAACTAAACGTTGGTGTTGTTAGGAGGGTGTCGATTGCGTCGGTCGCCGCCGTGATCAAAGCCTGAATTTCAGGAACCATAGCATCGACCTGAGTCGTCCTGGAGTCGCAGCTTCCTCCCATATTGTCAGAGTCAGTAAGGACTTTGAAGGTGTTCGATGTCTTGATATCAGCGGCCATCGTCACTGGGGCTAACAAGCCCAGCAGTACGGTGGCCATCCATAGCAAGACTGGCCATCCGGAGGACAGAAGCATTTTGAGCCAGTGTAGGTCGGCCAGCGGAAAGAGAGCTGATTTTGAAAAATAAGAATATGAGTTATGTTGTTGAAGTTAACGAGTCGATTCTGAAATCAAAGGGGGTCAGGATCTATAAAAGATAATCGAAAACAGCCCCCTCCAACATATACTCAATACTAAGTCAGATGGCATAGGAGTAACCGATCGTCGGCCTCCATGGTAGATATCTCGCCTGCTATCGCCTTCGCCCCCATGCGCTATTTTATTCTGATATGTTCACGAGGTGATCCTTCGACATCAGCGTCGTCATCCCCTCGAATGGAAATCCGAAGTATACACAAATAGCATATTTCAGAAAGAGTCGAGCCTCATCGCGATTCTAGAGGTGAAACACGGCTGGAGGGGCCAACTTGAAGTAGAAAAGGAATATCCAGTGTAATCGACCATTTGATTTTAGCCTACAAGGGGTCTTTGGTCGAATGTCAGACTAGTTTCATCCTTTTATTGCGGTATAGCACATTATTCATGACAGCATCCATGTCTGGCCCCCAGGTACATACGTACCTGAATCTCTTATATACAGGGGTTATTCCATGCCCAGGAAGCTTGGGGTCTAATAGCCTTGCCAAGGGCCACGGTAAAGTATACAAAATAGATGTGCATACGCACGCTCGATGGCTTTTCTGCGATTCAAGACCCACTGTAAGCTAGGCTGATCAAGACTAATCCCCGACACCTAGGGCTCGGTCCAATGGACCGCGGAGAATATATGCCCCCACTGGTGCGATCACCCGCGCACTTTGTGGGGGCGCTGCAGGGGCCGAGTCTTGGTACTCGGAAGTTGGAAACTATACGAAGTACGAAGTATACCATAGGACTTCAACGCCAACTTTGCTGTCTCGTCGAGTTATCTCTACACTGTATAACGGGTAGATATCCCCATTTGTAAATCTGCTTATGTGGGGGCTAGGCCTTCAGCATGATGTTACTTTGGGGCGATGTCTGACAGGATATGCCGGATTGGAAGGATGTAGCTACTATGTAATTTGATAGCATAGGTCTGCGCGGCTTGGATTAGACCGCTATGAGATATAATTGAGGCCTGATCTGAACTTATTGACCTCTTCGATATAAAGCCTAAATACCCATCCAATTTATTGCCCTTTCTCTCATTCCAAAATCTTGATTAGATGGGCATCATGCTGCATCATCTGGTCCTGCTTCTTTTGGCGGCCGTATGGCCTGCCTTTGCATTTCCTCGTGCTGCTTTCAATCGAAGGATTCGCTCTGTCGGTGGCACTTCAATCCATGCACGAGCCAATGGCGTTACCGATGATATCCCCAATATGGAAGGCTTCAATATTACCCTAAGTCCTTCGAAATGGCAAGCCATTCTGGTCAGCTCTTTCGACCGACAGGCCACTGCAACACTCACCACGACTCTGACAATCTCGGATTATGAAACTGCTTTTACCATCAAGCCGTCCGATACTGCGGTGGACGCAGCCACTTTTACAGGCACGACTTCTGGCTATACCCTGACATCTATATGCTATCCTACCCTTGCTACGGTAGCGGGAAGCACGCAAACAAAGTGTATTAAAGATACCGTGACAACCCTCGGAGTCATTGATATTGGTTTGGTGGCCGTGACACCTAATCCAACTGGCTTTGCAGTGGGCACTCAAACCCTGACTCCCGGAGGAGAAGTGACAGTCGGTACGCATACCTTGTCGTTAGGGCCCAGCGGTGGCTTGATCATCGACGGGAGCTCTACTCATATCGACTCTCCATCGACGACCACAACTATTCTGGGCTCGACGACTATCCCGTCTCAGACGCCCAAGCAAACGCCTACATCCAGGACAAAAATACAGAGTACTCCTACGTCTACCAGCACGAGCACTCATACGACCAGCTCTAGGACAAGTACGAAGCCGTCGACCAATCCGACCACAAAAATTACCACTACCTCAAAAAAGCCAAGTGTAACCTCGACTAAGCCCAGCAATACATCTATCAAGCCAACCACTACTTCGGCTAAGCCTACCATTACTTCAACTAAGCCTATCACCCCCACTTCACACTCCACTCCCCAGTCATCTCATACCGATGAGATCTTGACAATTGGGACTCTTACCGTCACCGCGGATCCCAGTGGCTTCCAAGTTGGTTCTACCACTCTCACACCCGGTGGTATGATTACGGTTGGTACACAGACTGTTTCTCTAGAGACAGGTGGTGGCGGTGTCATTGTCGGTGGGGCTACCATTCCTCTCACGACGACTTCAAGCACATCAAGTCAATCATGGACCACGCTATCTGACGCATCCACCACTGGCCTCTACGGTATCGTCACTCTGCCAGACTTCGAGACTTTGACAACACCCACGATCATCACGACGGAGTACATCGTTTCGAGCACCCAAACCACGACAGGCCCTATCTACGTGGGAACTGGTGGTATCGTGCTTCAGTCATGGCCTCCATCTACGGATGACGACCATATCGGTACTAGTGGTGGCATCATCATCCCCGATCCCATTCGGCCGTCAATCTCGACTCCCACTTTGAAATGCCCAGCTATTCTCGCTTGGCTTTGTGGATCTGACCATACAAGCACGACGGACGATGGGTCGGATGTTGATCCGGATGATAAGCCCAATAGCAATCCTGCTGATGATCCGAACAAGGATGACAATCCTACAACGGAACCTACTTCGACTCACACCTCGACAACATCGACAACTTCGAAGACTTCATCAACTTCCACGACTTCGACTTCTACATGTACCAAAACTCAGACTGTGACCGACTGCGGTGTTACATGTAGCCCTACCGTCGTGAGTGGCCAGTCTACTACGACGACAACCTGCTTCACGACTTCGTGTAGTACCGTGGAGGGATGTTCTGCAACTGGCACGACATCAACTACCACCATTACATCTGAGGCATGCGGTACTGGAACCGCAAGCTCGGCTTGTCCGACATTCACCGATGGACCTGGATGGGTTTACCCTGATACCACCATCGACACAGCGGCAGTTAACTCGCTGGCGTCTTCTATCATGTCCGCAGACGCTTCGCTCCTGGCAGCATTCTCGTCGGCATTAGCGAGTAGCACTCCCACAACGATGGCCACAACCACCAGCACAACCCATAGCAGTGCTGTTACCAGAACGACAAGCCATACTGCGCCGTCGACTACCAAGACAACTTCTCAGACCACAAAAACCAGCACCAGCAGCAAATCCAAGACAACCTCCGCCACTACGACCTCTGCTCTAACTTGCATTAATCAATACGATTCCGAAACCGACGAGGATAGCTGCTACTGCGAGGGACACACCGGATCATACCAGACCATGAGTTCGACCTCCGGAATGACAAACTATCAACCTTGTGCCTGGACGACCCTGCCACCACTATACACGGACGTCAACGTCGGCCCGATCACAAGCACGCTCTCCGACGGAGACGTCGTCTACTGTACATCCGCCCACTGGGCCGAAGACGGAGGAAGCAGCAAGTACTGCCTAGGCTCAGTGTCCACCATCTCAACGGCATCTCACACGTCCACCACCACGAGCAAATCCTCCACGACATCCTCCGGCGTCTCCGCAACGGGAACCGGAAAGCCAACGGGGGAAATATACATCGGCATCGTCACCGAGGGATACACGTTTACCTGGAACGTCTACATCCCGGGCGTCATAGGTACCATTCCAGACTGGTGCGACGACTCGAATGGAACCATGACGGCGAGCGGGGATACCACGCGGTACTATTACCCTCCCGATATCAAATTCCAAGATTTGAATGGCAAGGCTAGTGAGTTGCCCTGCGTGTATACGGGAGATAAGGATACCGTGGGGACGTTGGGTTGTGAGGGGGTGGGAACGGTCCCGTGTACGAGTGATTTCGCGGAGAGTGATGCCTCGCCGATATGCTATAATAGCGTGTTATATGCGGGGTCTGCTTTCCCTCGGGTTTATTGCAAGTGGTATGGGAGTGATGGCGATGCGTGAGGAAGGCAATTTGCAGAGTAAACTTTGATGGATTATATTGTACGTTTTTTTGTTCAGGGGGCTTTGACTTGGGACATTTTCTGACTGCTCTAGTTTTTGGTTTTAGTCGCACTCTCAAGAGTATAGACAGATTGAATAGCAGTATGGAATTGAGTTTGCTGCGATAGCGAATCCAAATTTGTACATTCATCTTCTTTCATAAGACTATGATCAGTCATATTTCAACCATGGTGGTCTGTGGATGTTAGTTTAGTAGTACTTCACGCCACAGTACGCTCTGTATAGTCAGTTCCAGTATATAGACAGAATTCTCAAGTTCCGACCGTCTCATTAAGCATTTCAGCAATGCAGAGCAATGCAGCGTTGCTGATCGACTGGTCACAAGCATCTAGCTGGCGCAGAGATGGCGCAATCCGGTCATTCCCTGTTTACCCTGTTCAACAGTCCAGACGAGAGCAGGCGGTTTCTTCTTCCAACCCCGCAGAACCATGACCACCGACAATCCTCCCTTTCACCATCTTCTTTTCATCATCGTGCGAATCATCCAGGAACCGAGAAAGAATAATCACCCGGTGGCGGGATGTTTTACTCGATCAAAACCCAACTCACTCTCCTCATCCATCGGAGGCCGCCGACCGCAGAGGAGACTCCAGCAAAGAAAATGCGACCGCCGAGAGGGGCCGAATCCACCGTTTTCCAGCACTTTTTATTGCCAGCGCAGTCGGAGGCACTGCGATTCGCTCGAGGGTTTTCATCGAGTAAGGGAAAAGGATCGGAAGGGGCAGACGGGCAGTTTTGATCGAGTAACGGGCTGCTGATAAAACGGAGTCGCATTCGGATCGGACGGCCCAGTGATAAGCCTCTGGAGGTCTTCGGAGGTGCCCGACGTCTTTCAACGAGGCCTGGATCTCTTGGGTCTTTCCATGTTTCATCGGCCAACCATCGGCCGTGGTTTTCGTCTCCCTGAGAATTCTCCATTGGTGATTCCGAACCGTGGATCGAGAGTCGTGATTTAGTGCTTTGTATGGATGACTCCTGTGCCTTGTGACTATTAACCACTCGTTAATAGGGTCACCATCGACCAGCGCCACCCCCAGGACAATGTTATGGCAGATCCATCATCCTACGCCTGTAGGAGCCCGCCGCAAAGAGCCAAATGTCGGAAGACCGCGCTCAGACATCTTTCCCCTCCCGATACGGTAAAGGTGAGGGTATTCGGTAGGATCCTCTGCATGTGCACTGGCACCCAAGTCCGTGCTGACTGGCTCTTCATTCCGAGTACCCGCCATGCAGTTCAACAGCACTGCAGTTTAGCCACCCATTTGCCAATTATCGAGTAATCGCAACGACATCGGGGGTCTTGGGAAATGTCCTCGGCACTCGACCGGGTGGGACTTCCCCCAGTGGGTACATCTCGATGCTCTTTTTTTTTCTTTCCCGTTGACTGCCTGTGGGTCAACGGAGTTCCATAGGGTAAAGAAATTTTGAGTTTCCCCTTCTGGTCCATGGCTGTGCTTTGTTATTTATATCCCCCCGGACTTCCTTATCTCTGCCCCTCTTCATCCTTTACTTCCCCCTCCTGCAGATAACTCCAGATAATCTTATCTTCCCCCAATCCCGTCTCGACTTTCATCTATCGAAACCACCCGGACGAGCGCTCGTGCAGCCCGCTACGCTCTTATCAGTCGCCGCCACCTCGACTTTTGCTTCTTTCTATATAACCCTAACTGCAATCGGACCCGCTCCCTCTAATCTTATCCTTTTCTTATCCTCCCGCCACTACCGATCACTCGTCCTCCTTGGGATCTTCTGACCAGGCAAACAGAGCAAGCCCAACCCCCCCACATCGAAACTAGCGACCATGGCTACAACTAACATCCCCTCCATTACCGTGGTGGCTTCTTCCCGTGCGGTTATCTCCGGCCGTTTGACCTCTGCTACGGTGGTTATCTCCCGTACGACTGGCAAGATTACCGCCGTCTTTGACTCTATTATCCCCGCTGCGGAATTCCCCGAGGGTACCCCGTATACCGATTACTCGCCGTATGTGCTCTTGCCGGGTCTGGTCGATGCTCACGTTCACCTGAATGAGCCTGGCCGTACCGAATGGGAGGGCTTCTATACCGGCACCCAGGCTGCGGCCTTTGGCGGTGTGACCACCGTTATTGATATGCCTCTGAATGCTATCCCCCCGACTACCACTGTGGCCAACTTTAAGGAGAAGCTCGCTGCTGCCCAAGGCAAGTGCTGGGTTGATGTTGGCTTCTATGGCGGTATCATCCCCGGTAATGCCGGTGATCTCAAGAGTCTGGTCCAGGAGGGTGTTCGCGGATTCAAGGGTTTCTTGATTGACAGTGGTGTAAGTAATCACCAAGCGAATAATATTCGTCGAGACTCGCAATCCTAATAAAAATTTACAGGTTGACGAGTTCCCCGCTGTGGGCCAAGAGGATATTCAAAAGGCCATGGCTGAACTGGCAGATGAACCCACCACCCTCATGTTCCACGCCGAGATGGTTCCCCCCATCACTGCCTCGGTTGGTGACGATGTCCAGGCTTCCGAGCCCCCAGCGGCCCCAACTGGTCCTCTCGAGGCCTACTCGACTTTCCTGGCTTCCCGCCCCTCGGCCTTTGAGACTTGCGCCATCGAGAGCATCCTGTCCATGGCCCACCTTGCTCCTAACCTCCAATTGCACATCGTCCACTTGTCTGCCATGGAAGGTATCCCCCTCTTGCGGGAAGCCCGCGCCAAGGGCATCAAGATCACCGCCGAGACCTGCTTCCACTACCTCTCCCTAGCCGCCGAGGAGATCCGTGACGGTGATACCCGCCACAAGTGCTGCCCGCCTATCCGCTCCAAGCTGAACCAGGACGGTCTCTGGCAGGAGCTGGAGAAGCACAGCAGCGACGGTGTCATTCAGACCGTCGTCTCGGATCACTCTCCCTGCACCCCCAACTTGAAGCTGCTCCCCGCCCATGTTCCCGGATCCTGCTCCACCAACGGTGCCGTCGTCGAAGACACTGGCAACTTCTTCTCCGCCTGGGGTGGTATCTCCTCCGTTGGAATGGGCCTGCCCATCCTCTGGACCGAGCTCAGCCGTCGCAAGGGCCTGACCCCCTCCGCCGATGACGAGAACACCAAGAAGGCCCTGCAAGACATCGTCCGTCTCTGCTGCGCCAACACTGCTGCCCAGGTCGGTCTGCAGACTCGCAAGGGTGATCTGCGTGTCGGCTTCGACGCTGATATCTGTGTCTTCGATGACTCTGCCGAGTGGGTCGTCGAGCCTAGCACCATGCTCTTCCGCAACAAGTGCTCCCCCTACCAGGGCCGCACTCTGCGTGGTATGGTCCGCGAGACTTGGTTGCGTGGTGAGCGTGTTTTCAGCCGTGACGCGGGCTTTGACACCAAGGAACCTACCGGCAAGCTGCTCCTCGAGAAGCGGGTTTAAACAATCCTGTCCCTGCTTCTCTTTCGTCCTTTTTTTTTCTTTTCTCTTTCGCATTTCCTTTGTCACCGACGTGCGGGACAAGTTGACCTTGCTGGCAGCGCGCCATATGCGACGTCTTTCTCCATTTCCTTTTTTGCATCTCGTTTCTTGACGAGCAACTAATGACTGAACAGCATTCATACCCGTTAGAGTAATGACAGCGCGTTTGTAGCTTTAGGTATAGAATACAAAAAGTATATATGTTTGATATCATATCGCTCTGGGTATATTCTTCTATCTAGTATACAAGTCCTTGAAAAAGTCAAGGAGGATAATCCATGAAATTATCCTTCATTCTCCTTCGCATTCTCCTTCTCCCACTTCTCTCGAACTCTCCTCCTCACACCCCCATTAACTCCCTTGCCCCAAATCTCCTCCTTCTCATCCACATCCAAACCCACAGGGCCATCAACATCCACACTCTCCCCTCCCTTCTCACCCTCACCCTCCCCCTCAACCCTCCCAACAAAAACCTTCCTCTCCCTGATCCTCCCCTCCCTAGCTTTCGCCCTAGAAACCTTCTCAAGATAAGCCCCATACAAAAACGCCTCTGCAACAGCCACTGCCAACGCCGCGAAAAACGATATCAACACGCGCACCGCATCCGACGCTCCTCCCCCGCCCCCTCCTCCCTCCCCATCTCGTATCGCCGGCCCCGTCCACGAAGAGAATGTTCGCGCCAGGATAGCGGGCATGGTGAACTTGGTTAGCGCCCAGTATACGCTGAATCCGGTTATTACCACGGAGAGGAAGATGTTGAAGACTAAGCTCGGGGTGAGGGTGTCTTCTTCTGCGGAGGAGGAGGCGTGCGGGTCGGCGTGTTCTGGGGTTGGTGTGTAGGTTGGGTTTAGGAGGCGCTGGTAGGCTGCTTTTTCGGCTTCGGCGAGGAGGTGTGCTTTTGAGGCGAGGTATTCCGGGCTCTGGGGGTTGTTAGAGTGGGATGAGGAGTGCGTTGTTGCTTGTGGTTATTGGTGATACGTACGGGTTCGGGTTTCTTTGGGGGAGGAGGGATGTAGACTTTTGTCCCGTGGAGTAATGTGTTTAGTACAGTAGAGCGAGTCTCGCTGGTGGTGGTGGTGGCTTGATATGCGGCGTCATTCTGGAGATGCTTCGCAAGACGGAGGAGCTGCTCGTGTGTAATCGGCTCGTGGAGTTGTAGGGTCGCGGGGAGATTGAGCTCTGAACGCTGTGAATCAGATACAGCTTCGAGGGCTGCTACTATGCGCCGGGTCGCAGTGAGTTGGACCATCCTCGTGGATACAGTGTTGTTGTTGCGGAGGATGGGAAAGAACAGCTCCAAAAGCTCCGGCGGAGAGACCAACCGCCCGCCCAGAAACTCCGTTCGGGCAAGCTCTCTCTCCCCACTTTTGCTTCTTCACCACAGCGCCCAGCCATGGCGGACTCCAAATCCAAGGCGTGAGTACTCAATTCGATCCTGTACAACTCACGAGACAAGGAGACAATTCTCATCTCCAAAATCCCCATCCGCCCCGACCACAATCCACCCGCGAATATGCCCCGTCCAAACTAACCCCTCCATCAATTCCAGCCCGGTAACAACACAAACCAACCCACGCGGAATCCCCGCGGCGCCCTTCATCGATAACGTGAGCGACTACGTCTCCTCACGCGATGAGGTCGAACCCACCCTCCGCTCCTTCCAGGAGATGATCTCCAAGTACCAGTTCATGGAGGTCAACACCCAGCGGCGCGGGCAGGGACTGCGCGAGAAGATCCCCGATATCAAGAAGACCTTGGAGATGGTGCGCTTTTTGAAGTTGCGCAAGGAGGTACGTTGCGATACAATTAGAACTGAGATAGACGTATGTCTCCAGGGTATGAATGATCTAATCTTTTTTCTTCTTTTCTTGTTGCAGGCCAACCCAGATACCGACCTCGAAACCAACTTTGAACTCAATGATACCCTCTACGCCCGTGCTTCAGTCTCCCCCGCCGAAATGGAGGAGGTATACCTCTGGCTCGGCGCGAATGTCATGCTCGCCTACCCGCTGGATGAGGCCGAGAAGATGCTGGCGGAGAAATTGACGGCGGCGGAGTCTAGTCTTGCCCACTGCGAGGAGGACCTGGAGTTCTTGCGTGAACAGATTACGGTATGTATTGAGACTTTTTGTGTGGAACCTTGCAATCTCGATGGATTAGGAGCTAATATTTTGCTGGTTAGACTCTGGAGGTTGCGACGGCGCGGGTGTATAACTGGGATGTGGTGCAACGGCGTAAAGAGAAGGCTGATGGGAAGGGAGATGATACGAAATAGAGAAATTGGAGTATTTGGTTGACGGGATAAAGTTGATTTACTGGATACCTAAAATGAAACGACTTTTGATATAATACTCGAGTACCAGAAGTGGTAGATCTTTCACTCGAATGAGGCTTGAGGTTTCCGGTAGGGTATTTTCCCAATATGAGCATAGATGCTTCCTACAAGTCCATGGAAAATAATGCTATGATACATCTAGTGCTACGCTGAAGCCTCTTTGATAGGCGAGTCCGCGTACAGAATTCTGGCATCTTACATGGTTCTACGACCAACATATGCATGGCACCCGGATCAAGGAATAAGTAGTAAGCAGCTGAAACAAGAGACGGGAAATAAACTTCCTCTAAGCAAAACAAAAACTTCAAAGATCACGAAACTATGCTGTCGGCTCTGACAGATCCCATGTCATGTCTCCGGGCCAGTAGCTAGGTTATGATGTGAGTGTTAGCAGCCGTATCTTTCGAGGACCACCCTGGGTAATAAGCAAAATAATTTGTTAAGTGATGAACAAGCATTTGATCACCTGTCAATAAGCAGTCTGACCTCAGTCAACGCGCGAGAGCCGCGGGGATTGACTAACTCCTTTGGTACAGAAACGGGCTGTCAACAATAATCCCCCAGCGCGGGGCTCGTTGAACCTCGTGTGTCTTCCATCGACAACTATACCGTCAGCATGTGCTTCAACGTGGAAGATGTATCCGTTGAAGAGCTCCCTGACATGATAGCTGCAGAGAGATATGCCTTTGAGACTCCGCTGCAACCTATTTTCCGTTTATACTGCCCGATTATCGACAACGATCGCGAAAAGGCCATTGCTGACACCGCAGCCAAAGAGCAAGCACGAGCAAGAAACCCAGACGTCAACGAGAAAGACATGTGGATCAAAGCTGTTAGCTCACAAGAGTCCGAAACCGACGAGAAACTCGTCGGTGGTGCGCAGTGGATCTTTATCTCGAATGGATCAAGCGATCTTAAAGACCATATCGAGTCACTAGCCAAGCGTCATCCTGAGGGAGGGGCCAGACTCTTCGCAGAGCAATCCTTCCGAATCCTTTGCGAATGCGAAGAACGAAATCGATTAGGAATAACTGGAACCGGCCCGTATGCTACACTCGGCAGCTTTTTCACACTGCCAGAATATCGAAAGCTGGGGATAGGTCATCTGCTTATGCAGTGGGGACTGGAAAAGGCTGATGAAAAGGGCTTGGATGTATGGATTGAAGCTGCCCCGCCGGCAGTTCCGTTTTATGAGCGCCACGGCTTTATACAAAAGGAGGTCACCCATTTGCAGCCACGACAGCCAGATGGTCTCTCGGAGAAGGTTGCTGCGGAATGGGACGCCACGGCCAAGTCGCTTTTGCCTATAACTGCCGTTACCATGTGCCGGTTGGCAGGGAGTCACTGAATGGGCTTAATTTGTTATATGATTGGAAGTGGTTTTGAGAAATAGTACTGAAATGGGTTTCTTATATTTTATAAGGAAAGATTGCCTATAATTCTGTCTGACCTATAACATAGCCTTGCTTCAGCTCTGCATTTAGGCAAGACAACTCGACTTTTATCTGTATCTATTATGAGTGATTTTGAGCTCTTAACAATGTAAATTATTTTCACTAATTAATTAGTCTTCACTAAAATCGCCAGTCCACGTTGGAAGACTTGAAAGTCCGAAAGTCCGCACAACTCCGCAAGGTGAACATTATTGCCGAGAGGTGCAACATCCATTGTTGAAGGCTAGACTGTATTATAAAAGCTGTAGACCTACTTTCCAAAGATGTCTCTTCCCTTGAGACCACACAACACTATTAATTCTTCAATTCTCCCATTTGCCCAACCTGATAACAATGCCACTCCAACACCGCATCCTCGCCTTAGTCTACCATGACTTCGAAGCCCTGGACCTATTCGGACCATTAGGTACCATAGTTCCCCGTAGCGACTACTACACCCTAGAGCTGGTCAATGTCCACACCATGGCAGCCCCACAGGGCCTCGAATGTTCCATCAAAAACAGCATCGGAATAATGCCCAACATGTCCATCGCGGATGCCCTCAAAGACACCGAACCCTTTGACACTCTTTTCATTCCAGGTGGCCTGAGCATGATCCATCTACTGTCCGATCCAATGCTGCTCAAAAAGATCGGTCAGCTGGTTGATCGTGCTCGACTTGTCTTTACCGTTTGTACGGGGTCGTTGATCCTAGCTGCGACGGGACGGTTGAACGGACGCGAGGCAACATGTAACAAGCGGATATTTGATGAAATGACTCCAAAGTGTAAGTACAACGGGAGAAGGTTCCTTGTATATATAATGAATAATACTGACTGTTATAGACCCCGATGTCAAGTGGAAAAGACAAGGTCGTTGGGTGGACGATGGCAAGTTTCTAACGTCGTCAGGTATTACGGCTGGAATCGATGCGGGTTTTGCTTTCCTTGCAAAGACATATGTGGCTCCCGAAAGTCGATCTCGTGAAGTCCAACCACCCAGTGAGAATGGGGATGAGGTCGTCTTGCCCAACTTTGACAAGGAGAAGGCTCAGGAACATGCTCGATCCGTTGCGTGGGAGTTGGAGTATAGATGGAACGATGATTCCACTGACGATCCTTTTGTTTGAACGCCTGTTTCAAACTTAGTGCTTTTGAATGATTGCATCTCCTTATAACCTTGGATTGAAAGAGCCTTGATAGCATGTTTCCCGATTAGGCTTACATTGTGGGTTGTTCTGTAACCATGAGTTGAGTTGTGCGAATATCAAATTCGTCATCACCCATGCCATGCAGCAGTGAGAGGCTAATCTACTAGTATTTTTTGGTTGACAGAAATATACCTATTGTACAAGTACGTTCAGTGTTGGCCCAGTCCCGAATTCAGCTTATTTTTTACCAAGAAGTCAGCCTCGCTTGTGAGGTGTGACTTCTTATTGTTCGGCTTCGTTGTCTTGGATTTGAAGTTTATGATGTAGATCGCCAATAAGCAAGTTATTTCTTTGGCAAGAATCTTATAATAAAGACAAATTTTCTTGAGACGCTAGCAATCAAGTAGGAATGAAATCTTTGGTTGAAAGGCATTTTAAATTGCCTAATGAATGAACCCACGGAAATGAAAACAATCTAGCTGATTATAGGATATAACAAAACTTGGAAAATAGGAGAACATGGTGTATTCAATCAAAAACATCCCAGAGTAAGCAAAGAAATTAATCTGCGTAAGATCAAACTCGCAAACGCCAGATAATTAGGGACGCATGCATTCGTAAATCATGAAGACTCGCGTCCATGACATCATTAAACGGTCAAAATCACTCAAACCAAATGAGAGAAAAAAAGTCATAGAAAAAGAGGAACGTGAGAAAAGATCAATCAAGTAGCAGAGAAAGGTCACTGGAACATAGCCGAGGCCACTTTCTCCCGGTCTGATGTAGAGAGGTCACGCATTCGTTTCGTAAAATCCATTTCATTCTCGTCGCCGACAAAAGTCCACTCTTCAATGTCGTCAACATCGTCGTCGTCGTGATCTGGCGAGGCCTGAGCGGAAGGCGTGGGTGAAAAGGGCGTAGACGAGGCAATTGAACGCTGACGTGCGAGTGTCTTGGCATACTCCATATCTCTGTATAGAGATTGAATCGCTGTAGCAACTCCGTCCTCCTATATTTTACGCGTTAGCAGCAATATATCTAGTAGTCTCACTGTAAAAACTCACATTACGAATCTGAATGCCCAGATTTCGAGCCTTGACAATCATTCGCTCGCTGTGTGTAGCCTCCCAAAGTGCCCGCGAGAAGACACTGACATTTAGTTTCTTCATGCAGATTCCCACACCTAAATCTTCAACACGAGACCCGAAGAAAAACTGATCACCGAAGAATGGCTTGATGATGGTGGGAACGCCAGCTCGTAGGCTCGCTCCGGTGGTACCTGCTCCTCCATGATGAGCAGCAGCGTCAATCTGTGAGAAAAGCCAGTCGTGGGGCGCCGATTGAATTTGGTGAATTTCCGTTGGGAGAGGAATTTCAACCTTCTGGCTAGAAGGATCCCCCAGTCGGTCCGACCATCCTTTGGAGAGAATACATCGAACATCCGCTTTTCGAACCGACTCGATAACCGTTCGTGTCAAAGCAGCCGGGTCCGAGACAACTATCGACCCAAATCCAATATAGACAAGCTTTTTGCCATCAGCGCGAGCTCTTTCAATGAAGGCAGAGAGCTCAGCGGGCGGGGTCCAGTCGGAACCTTCGTTCAAGAACCAGTAGCCTGTGATGCGAATCCAATCTGGATAATCGAGGGGCGGTGGTACCACGGAAGGCGAGTAATTGTACAAAAATGGAACCTTGTTCTGTTGCATCTTGTCCAAAGTAGTAGGTTTGAGACCCAGCTCGTTAGCGCGCCACCGGTTCACCTGCCCTGCGATAGCTTTCCAAAAGATATTGTCAAACATCACGTAAGTGATGTAGTTGTAAGCCCCTCCCATACGAGTTTCCGGTACTGCAAAGGCATGTGGGTATGCGCGAGTTCTTGACCATGGCATGGTAAAGCCACGGAAATAAGGAATCCGAAGAGCCTCTGCGATATGAATGCCTGCCATTGCACTTGGCGATTCGATCAGCACATCACTCCCTTGACAACCGGCCCACGATGAGGAAAGCAAGTCATCAATCCATCCTCTAAACTTCGATGTAGCTTCCCGAAGGAAAGAGTAGGTGAACATCCCATTCTCCACACAGATCCGCATCAGCTCGGCAGGATCTCCGTCCACGAGAGCAAAGTCAATGCCATGACTGCGAATCCATGGCTCAAATTCAGCATGGGTTGCAATCTTTGGCTTGTGGCCTTCGGCGAGAAGTCCCTTGCACAAGGCAATGTAGGGTTGCACATCACCCCTAGAGCCGATGGTTAGACAAGTGATCTTCAGGGACTCGGTAGGCTTGAAATTAATGATCGAGGCGCGAGGGTCATCAAAAAATGGAGAGATTTCAGACGAGCTCTCATTGAGCGTTGGGTGGGTGTCATGCTCCTCTGGACTGTCAAGTCTAGCTTCTTCGAGCATGCGATGCTCCGCTTTAGCAGCCTCTACTCGGTCGCGCTCTTCCTCTGCGAGCATTCCCGACTCCACCAGGAACTTGACGGACTCCAGATTTTGATGCAGTGTGACAGCACAGTCATCTCGTGCATCGGCGGTATTGAACTCAAAGAAGAGCTCCTCGTGACCGCGAACTATGACAACAAGCCCGTGGTAGCCGAACCGGAAGCCCTTTTCCTTCTCCACGTTCTCGACATCTTTGAGCGGTAGAATCATCTTGGTGCGAGTACCGGGAAGCAGACTCCGGAAACAGATTTTCCTCTCACTGAGATATATTTTTCCGTATAGAGGGAGAACCCGGGTCAAGTACGCATAGTATGTTGCTTGGAGATGTTCGGTCGGAGGTAGACCGAAATGCGCTCGGAACCGGTCGCCATGCTTGAGCCCGTCTTCCTTGTCCTCTGGATCAACTGTCGGATCATCATGGATCACTTCTTCAGTTTCACCATAATGTTTTTGACCCCCTGCCCACATGCCAGAAACCTTCTCGATATAGCCCATTGATTCCGTTGCTAGCAAGCTGCTCATCTGCTTAGATCTGCTTTTGAGATATTCGGCGAACCCAGCGGCACGCTGGAGAGGATATGCGCCAGCTTTCACGATATCGTTCAAAGGCGCACCAGGGGGATACCGAGAAGAATTTGGGATCCTTTGATCTGCAGGCCCGCGAGCAACACGATGATCTTCTGCATTTCTGCTGGGGCTCGATAGTCCCGAGCTGTCCCTTCGTACCATATCGCCCAGTCGTGCGGATGCGGATCGAGCAGTATCATCTGATCGTCGCCGACCAGCGGCACCCACATCAGAGGGACGCCTCGGTAGTGATCGCATGGTAGGTGACTGGAAGACATCACTTCGATTGAGTATTTGACTCGCAGATTCATTGGTCTCGGTGATTGACTGGACGATAGGCGATGATTCCGTGCCTCGATCTATTGACGCAGCAAACGAATCTGCGGAATCTTGAGGGTCGTTCTCAATGCCTGTGCTTCGACCACGTGGGGACTGATCATCTGTCGGAAGAGACAAGCGTCGGCTGTTGGCAGCGATTATATTCGAATCCCTGGTACTAATTCCATATTGAGCTTTGTCGTCACTCTTGTGGGGGGAATCATCCGATAGATTCTTCGCGGAGGAGGAATTGACTAAGCTCTTTAAATAATTAAAGGCATCCTGACCAGAGTTGAAGAAAGTGAAGAAATACTAGAAATGGTTAGAGCTGCATGGGTAGATGTGGAGGTCGAATAATTACCTCGTCTATGGCATAGGTCTCGTTGTTATCAAGGACGCGGATTTTGAAGGTCTCGGCAAATTCGGCCATGGGACTCTCCTCCAAGTCAATCACACTCTCAACGGGAAATGCGATCTTCACACTGTCTCCTTCGTTGTGGGATCGGAATATGATCTGCTGGAGAGATTTCACCCACTCCTTCGCACTTGCTCCACTATCGGCCCTGAAATGATAAGTTCGCTGATCGGTGGTGACTTGAAAATCTTTCACATCAGAGCCTTGGGCCTTGGTCTCCGTGAGAGACGCAGAGATTCCGTACCGAAGATCTACATGGCCGCTGGGGAAGTATAGGTTTGAAGGATCGGCGTAGTATGATAAAACGTCACCCTTCAGGACAAACCAGTAGCGGTTGTATTTAGGATTTTTCCGGCCACGCTTCGAGAGAAACCCAGACTTGATGGCTGCAGTCGACTTCTTTGGGAGGTAGGCATAGAAGCAAATATGTCCTTCCGTGACATACATATATCCCTGGAGGAGCATACTCTGCAGTAGAGCACAAGCATATTCTACCAAAACCTTCTCAGGCCTTTCGAAACCAAACATTTCCATTAGCCTCGTGGACAAAGCCGAAGAGTCCGATGGCTCTGAGCGGTCATGACTCGGAGACTCTGGCCTGGATGGCGGGTTTTCGGGCTCCGTGGCGACATCGAAACGGTTCTGAGCTTGTACCATGCGAGTGAGGATGGGAGCTGCCCGGGGTGTGGCACTACGCGTTCGCCTCGTGGGTACTTTGAGAGTCGCTCCGCTAGCCGCTAGCGACTCGTCTGGTTTGTCCTGAGATCCAACTCCAGGTATCCTCCGTAGTAGTTTGTTCTCTGACTTCGTTCTTTGATGGCGACGTCCTCGTTCCTCGGCTTCGTCTCGTGAGTTTGTGTCCGTCTTCCTACCGGTACGACGTCGGTCCGATGAGCCTTCCCGACTAGATCCCGATTGTAGGCCGATATTTGTATGAGTTTCACCGGCTTCTCCATCGCTATCGCTCGAGTCGTCAAAGCGACCACGGAAATCAGATCTCGAGCCAACGGCAGCTAAAACGGAGAATAGAGACTGTTGCATATAGTGCATGTGGCCATCTCTGGAGCGCATGTTCTGCGGTGGAGCTGTGTAGTCAACCTGGGCGTCATCGCCATCTTTAAATCGCTCCGGCAATCGATCGGAAAGCAAACGCTGACCAGAGAAAGGCCTCATGCTAGCACTCAACCTCTGGTCTGCCCGTTCCGACTGCCGTTTGGCATCGTCTAGGAAAGGCCGCATCACAACTCGTTATTCCTGAAGAAAAGCTGAAGGCTAAAGTTGAGCAAGCCCAAAGCCGGTGTGGAGAAGAGTAGTAGCGATCGGGGGAATCAGGCCGGGGTGTGGATGGCAGCTCGGGGCCGATAGGGCGGTGATGAGGGATGGGTATTGGCCTCGAGGGGGCCCGCGTCAGGCGGGCTTCGATTACGGCAAGCCAAGCAGTAGATATGTAACTGACAAGGTCATATCAGATGAAGTGTGTATGGTCAGACGCTGGCAAGTGAATCATCCAGCAAGCGGGTCAGGCAGCTCAGACAGCTCCAACCAGGAGATAAGGAAGCTTTGCGGGATCGATAAGCAAATCAAACGTCCCCCGCAAGCAACCATTCAAAGACGAGAGACTGACAGGTGAGCGATAGTAAGTACCATGTAATGAGTCAGTCGATTCGAAAGAGTGCAAAAGGGTAAAGTGACCCTCTAATTAGTCCAGTGAGGCGCATCAGCTGCCTCGCAAGGTTCCGATGATTGCGATGGTTGGTTGGGATGATGAGTCGCATGTGATGGCGGCATCACTGGCTGTCAGGTGACTGTGCTTATATAATCGATGATGGGGCTGGAAGTCTAAGTAGTTATGAGGTTTCGAGTCTCTTGGAAGATTGTTTTGTCGAACTGGATAATAATTGTTCATTGAGCCTCAAATTCTGCCCAGATACCATCTTCTCAGGAGGATATGACATATAGCCAGTCATGGCGGATGTGACCCGATCGCCAAGAGGAACTGTTCAACGGAGCGGTGTACACTCAAACGTTGAATGCAACAGACAACAGACGTCTAAAGGTGAGAGCGTAAGGCTATGTTATGTATAAACCTCTCCGTCTCTTTTAGACTGAGATCCAAGATCCTATTCCCCGGAGGCAACATACACTTACCGCGTCGCATTCTCTCCGAATCACCACATATGGAAATGGGCTTTCCCGCTGTGCCTGGGGCGGGAGATAGACCATGCATTGGCCCCCTTGCTTTGACCAATCTACAAAGAAAGAAAGCCAAAGCTACTTGGTACACCGGGTGCTCTTCCAAGGCTGATCCAAAGACGCGCGTTCTGAATCCTGACAACCGCATTACCAAGGCTGTAAAGATACTATAGAACCCACAAAAAGGTGAACAAGAGATTTACGGACTAGAGGAACGATCCATTCCACCAGGCTTGATTTTCCTTTCTTCTCAAATCTCATTCTAGCTGTACTTGAATCATTTTTAAAACCCAAACATGATATACTAGTTTATCTTTCAACTCGTCGCCAACAGAAAGATTTTGAAGATTTGAAGGGTACATCCATAACACCATTGCACCATGTGAAGGCGTGCTTTCCTCCACCAACAAGGCAGGACTTAGGCCGCCTCAACCACCACTGATCTCTACGAACATACTACATATCGACATTTAACTAACGCTAGACTAGACTAAAGTCAACCCTGACTGGCGTCAGATGGGAAAGCACGCAAAAATATCCCTGTATCTGCTCACCAAAACCACTGTTTGCTATGCCATGGCGCTTCAACAGAAAAGCTTTATATGTCAGCTCTTGGCCTCGCCTTGGCTCTTATAGATCGTATCTTCGTATTCATTCCCTTAACTCCAATCACCATGGGGCTCTTCAGTATTCCTGAACTCAACACCCGCCTGGGCACCTGGCGGGCCTATCATCTGGCAGCGATCGTCTTGTAAGTTGCAGCTGATTACACTATTTACAAAATGAGCTATGTCTCAAACTAATATACTCTTCCTTCACAGCATCTCCTCTTTCCTCTCCGCCTATGACTCGGGAGTTGCTGGTGGAATCCTAAGCTTCACATCCTTTCAAAATGACTTTGGCTACACCAGCAAGCACCAGTCCAAGGTCTCGTCACTTACGGTGGGCTTGGGCCAACTAGGATCTTTCATCGCAGCTCTCTTCGTCTATCCGTTGACGAACAAATATGGGCGCAAAATCGCCATTATCGTCTCAACTGCCCTCTTCGTCGTTGGAGTTATTATTCAGCTTATCAACACCCACTCGCTAGCGGCTTGGTATGTTGGTCGCGTTGTGGCCGGTCTAGGCATGGGTGGACAGAGTGTCGTGATTCCCATGTACTCTGCAGAGATGACGCCCAAGGAGATTCGCGGTCGCTGTGGTTCATTCTACCAGTGGCTCTACACATGGGGAGTTTTCACTGCATACTGGGTTGACTATGTGAGAGCGCTCGAGTGTAGCTTTTCCCACGTAGATCAAATAAACTAACGACAGAATAGGGCGTCGCCAAGAGCACATCGATTTCGGGCACATCGCGTGAATGGCAAATTCCGGTCGGTCTCCAATTGATCTCTGGAGGCCTTCTCTTCATTGGCACTTTCACCCTCCCAGAATCTATCCGCTGGCTCTTGTCGCAGAACCGTACTGATGACGCCTGGAAGTCTATTGTTTGGATCCGCGGTGGTGATACACCGAAGACCCGTGATGAATTCGCAGAGACACAGTTGGGACTTGAAGCTGAGCGTGTCGAGCGAGAAGGATTCTCTCTTCGTGAGCTGCTGGAACCGGCCAATCGTCTCCGGTTTTTTGTTGGCCCTCTACTCTTCATCTTCCAGAATGCGACGGGTAGCAGTGCCTTGGCAGTATTTGCGCCGCAGTACTTCAAGTTGATTGCTGGCAGCGGGACTGACCGTAACATGCTTCTGACCGGTCTGTTCGGTGCTGTCAAGGTCATCTCATGCACATTCTTCATCGTTTTCCTAGCAGAGCGACTCAGTCGTCGTATGACGTTAGTGAGTGGCTCGGCTTTGATGTCTATTTGCATGTTGATTACTGCCCTGATCGTCGATTATATCCCGACCCAATCCGCAACTAGCGTCACAGCAGCTGGAAGGGCAACTGTAGCAATGATCTACCTCGACATCATGGTGAGAATTCCCCTTGGCTTTCCATTGATATACCCTTTGCTAACCTAGCAACTTTTAGATTTACAACTGCTCATGGGGCCCTCTGCCCTGGGCTTACGTCCCGGAAATTTTCCCTACACGCATTCGTGCTCTTGGTCTGGCAGTCAGCATGTTGGCTCACTGGGCGTCGTCGTTCTGCTTCTCCTTCGCGAGTCCCTACATGATTGCAAACGTCGGTGCCAACACCTTCCTGATTTTCATGGGATTTGACGCCGTTGCTGCTGTTTTCTGCTGGTTCTTTGTTCGGGAGACTCGTGGAAAGAACCTCGAGGTTGCTGCTGGCACGGAATGGGAGGCTGCTGAACGTAGCTCCTCTGACGATGGTGAGAAGGGCGGCATCCTTAATGCGGATGGAAAGAGAGTTCAGCTCGTCAGTGTGCATGAGAATTTCCACGCTAACATCAAACACCGGTCTTCGTGAGGTGGGAGCTGAGGGGTTTGTCGTGGTGAATAGTTTGTGTGGTTGATATGGACAATTGCTTGCCAGATGGATCACAACGAGTATAAGACGGAAAGACTATAATGAAAAAGATCACAATTGCTAATTGAATGAGCGGAAGACATTGTCAAATCTCTTGATCCTATTCGGTGACTCTATTTTACCTACCATTGTTGTCCTTTGAGTAGATGGAAAGGCACTCCAATTTGGAGCACTGTAAGTATGGTCCTCAAAATGGTAAAATTGTACATTGAAATTGTCCTGTAGATCATATAACGAAGATATCTTTTTGCTAAACAAACCCATAACACCAATTATGCCTTTTCGGACTTCTTCCGCTTCTTCTCTTCACGGTCCTTGTGAGACTTCTTTGACTTCTTTTGACTCCGCTCCTCATCATCCCCGGTTTCTTGTGTGTACTTCTTGGACTTCTTCCGAGGCTCAGCACTCGCTTGAGAGGCATCTCCTTCGGTGTGATGGTGCTTCCGCTTGCTACCCGCGGGGGCCTTGATTTGAGGCTCCTCAGACTCGGACTCCGAGCTTGCTCCAAGAGTTTCTGGCTCGCTGGGTAGGCTGCCGACGGGGCGGAAGCGCATCTTCATACCCTTTGGTTGAGGGCGGGGTGGCTTGACGAAATCCCGCAGTTTCTCGATTGTTGCAGCAGTGGACTTGGCAGCCTTCTCCGGTAGACCGATCAACTCCTGCACGTGGAAGCTTTGAATGTGGTCGGACTTGTTGCAATACGTTTGAGTGCTCTCATCGTAGACAAGCAAAGTCTTGCCCTCCGGGTCGTTATCGTTGATGGAATCGGCGGGGATTCCGTAGTTTTTGCCGTCGTATGCCAGGATCGGCTCGCCCTTCAGAACCTTGGACATGGTAATCTCCTTGACCTTGGACAACGGGAGGAACGACGGGGCGGTGATATGGAAAACCTGCTTGCCGCGGAGATTGGAAAGAACGGAGGAGGTGCTCGAGGAGGGGGGATTTTGCTTCTTTGCGGACTTGAACCCGAAGGGTGGCTTGTATGGCTGGTTCGGACCAGGAATGTGAATCCTATGGGTTTGGTTAATTCAAATGCGTTCAAGATGACAATTCAATGTAGCAAGGAATAAAACTACTCACTTCTTCGCTGGCGCCTTTGCGGCGTCCTCGCTGGTGTCCATCTCACTTGAGCTTCCAGACTCGCTCTCAGACTCTGACCCAGAGTCTGAGCTAGAGTCCGAATCGGACGAATCTGAAGAATCCGAGGACTCTGACGACTCATTCTCAACTTCGTCCTTATTCTTGGTCGCCGCCTTTACGGCCTTCTTCTGGGTGTTTTCGGGCTCGGGTGAGGTTGATCTGCTCGAGCTGCTGTCGCTCGAGGAAGAAGAAGCGGCAGCCATCGTGGCTTGGATTGGCGCTCTGCACTGCGCTCGGATAGATGGGAGCTGGTTGTGGGGTCGTAACAGCGCTTGAGGCCGGAGAGAGAGATTGAAAGCGAGGTGTAATGCGCAACAGGTAACTAATCGCTAGCCAACTATTCTCATAGCTATGCAAACCGTCGATTCCCTGTAACGTTGAAGGGAATGTTGGAGATTCCGGCCGATCTTTTTTTCTGCTCCGCGGGAGCACGGACCACCCGCCAACTTTTTTTGCTTATCGGCTTCATCGCCGCATTATCGACCCTCCACTGTGAAAATCGTGTCTTAGGACTGATCTCACGGCATAGAACGATGAAGCGAAAAGCCGAGAAACAACAATCCGCCGGTAACTAACCAGAATAAACGTCCACGAAATTGATCCCTCGTTAATGCCTTCGCCAGCTCCAGTCAGCGCTATGAGCGCTGTCGCGGCGCGCAAAGCTCGGCAGCAACAAGCGCAAGCTGCGAAGACCGAAGTCACCGTCGAGATTACGAACGAGCCACCTACGAAACGACCCCGAAGGTCTCTTGAGGGGCAACAGGTCACCCCCAATGGCGAAGAATCTAAAGGACCCCGCACGAGGTCGTCGACGAAGCAAGAGGCACCCTCGCCTGCAGTGACAAGGGCTGCGCGGCAAAAGAAGTCTTCAAAGTCTGAGCAATTGGAACCCCAGTCCAATAGGGTGGTTGAAGAGAATGGGGATTCAGAGCAGGAAGAAATTGAGCAGGATCAAACCGAGGTCGAGGAGGAAATGGCAGAAGATGAGGTCGCGTCTGTCATTGGAGACGCTGATGGATATGAATCGCCTGCGGAGACTCCAGCAGAGCTCCAAAACTTCCCTCTGTCCAAAGCACGGCTGAACAAGAGCAATATCCTGTACGCGGATGACGATGCCATGTGCGTTCGTATCAAAGAGAAGACGGTATGGCAAACACTCTCCCCTTGTAGCTTCAATGACGCTTACTCTTTGCATTAGAACTTGGCGTTGTTGGGACAGTATGATATTTGGGTTAAACGAGGAGTTGTGAGCCTCATGGGTGCTAAGCTACACCCATCTGCCCGAGCCTATAGGGTTTACGCTCCTTCAACCCATTCCTTGCCGGTCATCAAATGTGTCTCCGGTGTCGAGGGCGAGGCAGAGGTCGAAATCAAGTCTTGCAAAAGTGGCATTGCTCGCCTACGAGATATCTCACCCATCTATCAGAAGATTTGGAATGGGCAAAATACGGCCGCAGATAAATTCACTTTGAAAGGTGCCCTCAAAGATTCGCGACGAACCTTCTCTGTGGTACGTGAACTTTGGATTGCCCGCCCGCGTTTCTCTACGGTGAGACTAATTCTTCGATAGCTGTATACCTCCGCAGACGATCCTTTAAAAAGACATCTGCGCCCCCTTCATCTCGACAAGAAGTGGAGTGCATCTATGAAGGCACTCTCCCAGAGACATGGCCGACTACGAGTTCTGGTTTGCGGTCCAAAGGCCTCGGGGAAATCAACTTTCAGTCGCTACCTACTGAACCACGTCCTCAGCCCAGCCCCAGAAACTGAAAATGGTTACATTAATACCGACGGCTGTGCGTTCCTTGACTTAGACCCCGGCCAGCCCGAGTTCGCACCCATGGGGCAAGTCTACCTTGCGCATTTACGCGCTCCATTCTTTGGACCTCCGTTCACCCACCCCTCTCTCGATGACTCCCGTGATGGCCAGATTTTGCGAGCTCACCACATCGGGGCAACGTCACCTAAAGAAGACCCGGACCACTATGCTCTGGCTACCATGGATCTCATGGAGCAATATCGGTCCTTGTTAACAAGGTACCCCCAGTGCCCATTGATCATCAACTATCCCGGCTGGATCTTTGGACAGGGACTTGAAGTGGCGACTTGGCTGATCAAGACTCTCGGTCTATCCGATGTTGTGTATATGAGTGAGAAGGGGCCTTCAGAAGTCGTCGAGCCTCTGTCCATGGCTGCCAACGAGGCTCGGGTTCAGATGACCGTTCTGCCATCGCAGCCTACGGACTTTGTGAGCCGATCCAGCGCTCAATTGCGCTTGATGCAGATCCAATCTTACTTCCACATGTCTCACCCTAGTGGCCTTAACAATCCACTTTGGTCGGATGCACCTCTCTCCCGGACGAGGCCTATCACCGTGGACTACGCGGGTGATAAGCAGGGAATTCTAGGCATAATGGTCTTGGGATCCCACATCAACCCTGCAATGCTTCGCGAGGTTCTCGAAGGAGCGATTGTCGGAGTCGTTGCAGTTGAATCTCCGAGTGCCATCATGGGCACAGCTACTCATTCATCAACAACCAAGCCGGCTGATGACGATAACGAAGACGATATTGATGCAGATGAAGATATTGAAATGAACTCGGGCGAAGAGCAAGCCGAGAATGCCGCTTCTGAGTCCATGGCCGACAGCGTCTCCCGAACTCCCGAGGAAGACCTTCCCTACCTTTGCGTTGGTACTGGCACCTCCGTCCCTCTGAACCCCAGTGCCTCAAACTGCCTAGGGCTGGCCTTGATCCGATCCGTCGATGTCGCATCGCGTAGACTGGAACTCTCTACGCCTATTCCATCGTCCCGTCTGTCTGACGCTATTGAGCAAGGGCATGAGCTTGTCCTGGTTCGTGGCCAAGTGGATAACCCTAACTGGGCTATTAGCGAGGAATATTACGCAGCACGAGCCGCCGAGAGGCGATATCAGAAATCAATTGCCCGAGGAAAGAAGGCCAACGATCCTGCAGCTGGTAAGGAAGATGAGAGCAAGACACTTGCAGTTCTGCGCGAGAGAATCCGCCGTGCAAGCAATGTGCCGTGGATGACGGTAGTTGAGGATAATAGTCGCCGCCATCGTGAAGCTGCGGCGCAGCGTGAAAAGTCGCTGTGGAAATTGAGGAAGAAGGCATATCCAGGTAGTGAGAGCGAGACTGACTGGTAATATGCTTTGCATGTAATATACCTATTTTCCAACAATACTTGAATCATAAAAATCATCTCATTAGCATTCGATGGAATGCTTAAAAAATAAGAAACGTCAAACAAACCGATCTAGAAGAGTATCCAAGGGAATAGGTCCCGAAAGAAGTAGAGCTAAGCATGCCTAGTTGGACCATTTCCCTAGTCTCTAGACTTAGAATTGTGGAGCTACTACAGTACACGAACGAATGGCACAGGCCACTTGATTTTCGATTCCAACTTTGTCTCTTTGACTACGGTGAAGCTATCTTTCAGGCCGGTAAGGCACCAGCAGTAAGTAATGTTCGGGTTTAGCCAAAACCCGAAGCTCGGGAATTACTAACGCCCGAGACGACATCCCGTCATCTCTGAATCGTCTGACTCGGTTTGGAAAAATTATTTCTCTTTCATAAAGATTCTCCTGTCCAGGTTAGAGAGATTGAAATTTGCCTGTAAATCCATACTACGAGAGCCATGTCGATCCAAGGTCCCAGCAGTCCAGCTCCCTACCGGGCCCCGCATCACTCATCAATCAAGTCACAACGAGTCCTCGCCTGCATCCTCTGTCAACAGCGCAAGGTGAAATGCGACCGTAAATTTCCTTGCTCCAATTGCATTAAGCATCAAACGCAATGCGTTCCTTCTACGCAGACGCGTCCCCGACGACGTCGATTCCCCGAGCGCCAGCTACTGGAGCGACTCCGAAGCTATGAGGAGCTGCTGCGTCAGAACAAGATCAAGTTCGAGCCACTTCACAAAGATTCCAGCTCCACTGCGAGGAGTGAGGACTTGCAGGAAGATAGCGAAGATTCGGGTGCTGAACAGCCAGAATCCGAGAGGTCTGATGGGTCATTTCCGACTGGCCCGTCGAAGCCGAAAAGCGCATGTGAAGCTAAGTACGATGATTTCGAGTTTCCCTAAAAAAACAATGTTTATATGCTGTTCAGATCTTTCTATGACTAACTCTCCTTTGTAGAAACATATGGCATGCTCTGAGTCAAGGCGTGCGTTGCCCCCACCTTCATGAAGCCTACTTACTAACAATGTCAAACACAGTTCCGAGGAGTGAATAACGACGGCGATTTGAACGATGGTGTTCGAGAGGTCATGGTCGGGAAGACCTGGGATAATCTCTTCGATAACGATGATCATCTTCTTTTTGGTTCGCGACAGGCTGCCGTTGAACTTTCTACGCTCCATCCGGAGCCGGTACATATTTTCCGACTCTGGCAAATATATCTCGAGAATGTCAACCCGCTGCTCAGGGTCACACATACTCCAACATTACAGGGTCGTATCATTGAAGCTGCGAGTAATCTGACCAACGTGACTCCTGCTCTGGAAGCCCTAATGTTTGGCATTTATAGCATGGCTGTATTAAGCCTTGGCGAGGACTGTCAGACATCGTTCGGGATGCCGAAGAATGAGCTTCTTAGAAAGTTTCAGTTCGGCTGTCAGCAAGCTTTGTTAAATTGCGGCTTCTTACGATCGGCCGACCGCGACTGCTTAACGGCATTATATCTGTATCTTGTGAGTTCGGCTTGGCGATTTGTGGTATTCGGACTGCCCACTAAAAGTGTCCAGGTGTCGGTTCATCCTAGCACAAATCCTCGCTCTCTATCGTCCATGCTTGGAATTGCGAGTCGCATCGCCCAACGGATGGGGATTCAATCCGAGTCCAATAACTCAAAATACCCGGTCCTTGAAGCTGAAATGCGCCGAAGACTGTGGTGGTCATTTGTACTGTTCGACGCGCGAATAAGCGAGTTGTCTGATTATAGAACCACCTTACTGGCCCCAACCTGGGACTGCAAAATTCCTCTCAACGTGAATGACTTTGATATTCGCCCAGAGATGAAGGAGCCACCGGCAGTGCAGGGTAAAATCACAGAGGGATTATTCACGATTTTGCGCTGCGAATTAGGAGAGTTCATTCGGCACAGCTCCTTTCATCTTGAATTTACGAATCCATCTCTGAAGCGTGTTGCCAAGGATCTTCCTGGAGGGGGGAACCTTGATGCTCTGGAGAGGATTATCGAAAAAGGATATCTTGATCATTGCGATTCGCACAATTCACTTCACTTCATGACAATTTGGATGATGAGAACCACTATTTCGAAGCATCGACTGCTAGAATACTATTCACGGTGCTGTTATGAGTCTCAGACGGCGAACCAAAGTGATACCCCGATGCTATATGCATTCAAAGTGCTTGAGAGCGATACGAAAATCATCAGTTCGCCGCTGACCAAAGGCTTTACATGGTTTCTTCATTCCCACTTTCCTCTTCCAGCCTATATCCACATCGTCCAAGAGTTGATCAAACAGCCCACTCGTACCGAGGCGAAACAAGCCTGGGAGGTCATGAGCGACAATTACGAGGCCCGATTCAACGCTTCAATTTTGGTCGGCACTTCAGATTTTGTCAGCAATCCCGTTTTCAACACCTTTACCAAGATTCTTCTCCAGGCCTGGGATGCTCTCGAAAATGCCTCCAGAAACCTCGGAACAGCTGCTCAAGAGCCATTGGTTCCACCGAGAATCGTATCGAGTCTCAAAGTGAGAATGGCCGAGAAAGCACGGAATGAACAAAATGGCAACATGGGGCAGCAGCTCGGCGATTTTACCAACGTCGATATCACCGACTTACTCATGTCAATGCCGATGGGATTTGGCAACCCAAATTCTGGATATGGGATGACCGGAGCCGACACCTATCCAGTTGATCAAGTGCCATTAACAAACCCCAGTATTCCAGGGCAATCTCCGGGTCTACCCATTGCTCAGATGCATCAGATGAGTTGGGCCTCGATGGCTTGGGCCTTCCGTGAACGTCGTGGGTGGTGAGATATGAGCCAACACCGGGGTAGGGCTGGTTTCAAAAAGCATATCACTCCGGTAGTCTAGATTGGAGGCTATGCGCCTATAGGGTGAGATAGAAGAAGAATAGAATTAATTGCCTGGTAGATCCTATCGCTGGTACGGGATCACACAAGTGAGCTCCTCCTTATGCTATCACTCGGGGGTACCATTTATTATTAGGACGATGAGTTGCCGGTTGATATTATTCATTCAGCCTTGACGCATGTGAGAACTCGTGGAGTAGCGATGGTTGCAGAAGTGGACCCCCACGAGATCGTAGATTGGATATGAGGCAAAGATCACCCATGCATGATAGATTTTTAATATAACCTACACACGACGGAGTATCTACGGAGTACATCTTTAATACAAAGTACAGTGAAAAGAAGCAGTTCAAAGTCCAACAAGAACCGTGGACCAGGGAATTAAAAGGCCCGCACTTGACCAAATGCTCAATTCCTTCCAGCCTTCCGATTGGCGACGCGGTCCAGGAACAAAATCGCAATAATTAAATCGGGCCCCACGATGGCGACTTGATAGGTTGCCAGGCCCATCTGTACATGAAAAATTTCCTATGCAGGTTAGCAATGGCATACTACTGTATTGGACATTTTGATTCTTTAATTTAGGCTCCACGGGGGAAAACTTCGGTATGTACATGCTTTGGTTAACAGCAAGCCACCAATGGGGCCCATCCAGAGAAAAGCGATGAGTCGAAAGGGGTCATTAAGGGCACCATTTCTCGCACTCTTTCCTTTGTACCTGCGTTGGCGCCCACACAATTTTAGCCTCCGTTCAAAGCAGCCGAATATCGCCTACTCTTGTTAGCTGGGCTGGTCAGCCCAGTCAACTCGGGATGCGCGCCCGAGCGGGCCCGCGCCATTGTATCAGATTTGCCGGGCTAAAGCGCCTCGAACACTGGGGGAATTGGGGGTTATGGGGAGGCTATACGGAGTCTATGGGTCCATATGAGATGTTAGAGGGGACTCTTTTTTTCTAGTTTATAGAGAGTTAGGCATAGCAGGATGGAAAACGGATAGGCAATCACAATAGTTGCGTCTTTCCCGGACGATCTCACGTTGAACACGTATGTTCTAGGCTCATGTGGAAAGCCGGCAGAGATTAGGTCGACAAACGAGTGGGTCTCGTTCAGGCTTGGATGCTGAATTCACCAATTGGCATTCCCCTTTTATACCAAGCCAGCTCCACTCGAGTCCACTAGACGGCCGCTATGCTCCGTTGGTGGGCGAGTATACGTCAACTCCCGGAGCGACTAACAATCTCGTGAGAATTATGATAGAAAAAAAAACTCATTTTATCATTTTTAGGGCTGGCCATGCGTCTTCCAAGCCCATCATTAGCGCCTGGTGTACGTATAGCCCCCGCCTCGCTATCCCAACGCCATCGGGGGGGCCACACTAAATTAAAACTGAGGTCTGGCCCCCCTAAACCCTCTTGCCTTCTCTCTTCAGCACGCTCGTTCAATTCTCCTCCAGCGAAGTCGCTGTGCCGTTCTTTTTTATACCAGTCACTCTTTTGAATCACAATTTTGACCTGCTGCGTCTCTGTCGCTTAAGACGATACTTTGCAAGATTCAAGCGGTGCCCTTTGGTCTTGAATCAACTCTCCATCTTCTAGTGATTCTAGTGAAACCATGCACTTCTCTAAGTCTTTCACGCTGCTGGCAGCCCTGACCAGCGGCGCTGTGGCTCGCCATGGTCACAATGCCGTTCATGAAGATCATCTTCGTCGTCAGGATACCGGCAGCACCATCACTCTGACTACTACCAACACCGTCTATGTCTGCCCGTGTGATTCGTCGACCTCGACTAGTCTGGCGTCGATCTCGACGCCGATCCCCTCGACTACTTCGACCTCGACTGTTATCTCGACTACCTCTACTTCGACCTCTACCTCGACTTCTACTTCCACCTCCGTCTGGACCTCAACTTCCTCCTCGACCGAGGTCTCTACCTCTACTAGCTCCTCGTCGACCTCTACCACTGCTGCCACGACCACTTCGTCTGGCGCCAGTGCCGACTGGTCTACCTACCCCTCCAGCGGCGACTACTGCACTGACGGCTTCGGTGGTGTCACAAACTCCTCCGGCTCGGGCGATACTTACGTCGGCAACGTCGGCAGCCCTTACGGTAGCAACATCCAAGAGGTCTCCAGCTCCGATGCCAGCAGCTACAAATACGTCATTCAGTTCCAGGGTTCCAACACCGAGTCCTGGAAGGTCGTGATCTGGAACAAGATCGGCTCCGATGGCAAGATGGACGGCTGGTACGGCAACGCCTGCCACTCCTTCACCCTCGCCCCCGGTGCTACCAAGTACTACGCCTTCGACACCGACTCCCAGGGTGGTTGGACTGCCGCCAAGGGCTCCATCCCTCTCAACGACTACGGTAGCTACGCTTCCACCTGGGGTGAATTCGACTTCGGCTCTGACGCCAACGATGGCTGGTCCGGCTTCGACGTCTCCGCTATCCAAGCCCAGAACGCCAAGCTCACCGTCCAGGGTATGAAGATTTGCAGTGCCCTCTCCGACGGCACTTGCTCCTCCATCACCACCGATGCCGGTACCGTCGACAATGCCTACACCGCTGCTCTCGCTGACGAGGGTGGTATCGGTGGTAACCTGGTTGCCGGTCCCGTCCGTCTGGCTGTCACCCTGGACTACAGCGGCTAAATTCCGCATCTTTTGACTGAACGATCAATCCCGTATTTTCTTTCTTCTTTATCTTTTCTGATGTACCTACACTCATGAGTGTTAGGTGTTATGTGTGGGGGCGAGCTTGGTGTATGACCAGTGGTATAATTTTTTTTCATGTCCTTTTTCCATGTTCCCTTTCTCTTCTTGTCACCCTATTAATTCACCTAATATACCACCCTGGCTGCAAAAGCGTTGAGTAATTAGCATCACTCCGTCTCTTGATTTCTGCACTGCCGCGAGTGGAGTTACGCGTCATTAGCGGGTTTGGGCGTTCTTGGCCTTTTCTGGAGGACTTCCGGGCTCCAGGCTCGACTCCTATTTCTTGCGTTTGGAGCTTGAAGGGAGAGTATGGTCTTTCGCCTTGTTAAATTCGAATATACCCTTTTCTCTGTTTTTTATCAACCACAGTTTGAGGGTCTACGTAGTATGCTTAATCTGGCACGTGAGTTGAGAAACATGGTTCTATGAGATGCTATATTCAGGTCTTCATATTTAATCCAAGCTTGTGAAGAGGGCTAACCACTACCAGCTGGGCGCCAACGACACTATCTTCAATCCTATCAAGGAGTTTATAGCTGACTGAAACAGCGTTTTTAGCCCGGAGGAGACGTGTAAATTCGAGGAGACCCGTAAGATCGAGAGGCCCAGAGCAACGGTAGGGTAGAGTCCTTTCCAGGGCCCGTCCCAGATGATCAAGACCCGCCTCAACGTTTGTAGTAATGCCAGCACTTGATGGCTGATCATGGTCGAAGTTCGTCGAGTCCCTGTATGGGTTGGGTTGTTCAGGAATGAGATCCGCAAGCTTGGCCGCCAGCTGACGTCTCGCCCGCGGGAGCTGTTTTTCCGCCGCGTGGTAAGCGGTCTATACATCTAAGAAATCATCCACTGAATGCATGTTTTTTGTTGTATCTGGATTGATCTAGGCTACGAAAGAAAAGCCTTTGTTGATATAGGAGTTCAAATGATCAATGCTGTTTATGATTGAGTTGTATAGAGAAAGTCCAATTTCAATTTCATTTACATTTCAAACGAGAGGGCATGAATAGAACCTGTATAGTTTAGCTGGAAATACTATGCAGAACGATGATCAGAGTCCAGTTTCAGAGCTCCGTCTTCACACTCGATGATGAGCCACTTTTGTTCTCATTTTCCTTCTTCCACGACTGTACCATGAGCGTGGCAACGTTGCGACCCATCAAGGCGCTAGTCTCCATCGTCGAGATAAAGCTCTCAATTCCACTAGTGTACCAGACACCAGGAGCCAGGAGAGTCTCCTCAAAGGTTACTCTCGGGTATAAAAGCGGATAAGGGTGCCAAAGCTTCTCGTGAAACCAACTAATCTCCGTCTTGGGCAGATCGCCAATGGTAGTGTTGGCATGTGGAGTAGTTATCGAGCCAGTGTCTTGTCGATAGTCAATGTCAAATATCTGCGCGATGAATTCGGCCGTAGGTCGTTCAGGTGAGAATATCTTGTACACGTAGTGCACCTCTTGCTGCACTTCCCCATCCTTCACGGCTGAATAATCAACAGTTTGGAGTGTGCTGATACTCCAGAATTCAGCGGGCCCGACGCCGTGTGGGTTCTGTCCTAGATCCAGGCCTTCGGGAAGGGTTGTGAGAATGGCTTCTGGAACTTCATCCTTCTTCCCGTCAAGTCCAAAATACTTTGGGGAGATTCGATGAGGCGAGGCAAAAAGAGTGACGTGCAACTTCACATATGGAATCTCGTCTGGGATGTGCTCCAGTGGCGGAGATATGGAAATACCAGAATACTGCAGCGGCCCAGCAATGATGACCTCATCGAACTCAGTCTCATCAACAGACTGAGGAGAGTCAAGCTCAGCGCTCGGGTGCGATGTGATTCGGATAGTCCCGTCATCATTGCGAACGACTCCAGTGACGGTAGTATCCAATTTGATATCGGCCTTTGCAGCTTTGACAGCTCCATCAAAGATTCGCCAATTTCCACCATCGATCGACACAGCCCCATCTGTGGCCATACAGACCATTGACTCCAGACCGTGAATCAAGCCCAAATTCTGGCCATAGTTGACGCGAGTACTTGCTTGAATGATCTCCCGAGAGAACAACGAGGAGATCGAGCTGGATGCAAGAAAGTCACCACCGGTCGACGCAGTAACGTTGAGCAAACCGACTGCAGCGGCAGCCTCGGACAGCGACTGGAACGGAAAGAGGGGTTCCTCGTATAGACGCAGGAACTTGCCCACGATTTCCTTCATTAGATTCTGCGTACGTAGCGGAGCCATCCCATATCGCCAGAAAAGCCGACCAAGATTCCACCAGCTATAGGAATTCTTCATGGTAAACACAAACTGTTTTCCATCCCAAATACCGATCGATTCCTCGGATTCCCGAGGCCGCCCATGGTCGGCAGCACTAACAGTAAGACCTAGGTCACGGGAGGCATTCACCAGGTTTTCGTTAACCTCGACGAAGATCGAGGCTCCCAGCTCGATTGGGTATGCTGGGTGATCAAATACGTTTACTGTCGTCGAGCGTCCTCCGATGTATGAGGCACGCTCGTAGACAGTGACGTCGAGTGGAATCCCAGCCTCATCCGCAAGTTTGCGGAGCTCGTACGCAGCAAAAGAGCCTCCAGCACCGGCTCCTACAAATTATATTAGTACCTGCGAAATCGTGTGATGCAATCTTCCAGATTAAGGATCTCGAGGAAACTCTTGGGCGCCTACCGATGACAGCCACCCGCTTGGGCACATCTATAGCAGCTTGTAGTGGTTCCTGTGGCTGGATCGCATTGCTGAGCGGTAAAAGAATCGCCACAACAGTATATATTATCCACAGACCACTCAAAGATCGTGAAATAAAAGCCATCTTCGTAGACCCCAAATTCACATTCAGGAGATAGATGACAGAAGAAAAAGTAAAGTGAGCTGAGCTGAGGATGTCGATGTTGCAAGGGATCGAATGACGCGGTAATATTACGGCGTTGTGGGGCCGCCGTATCGCTTATCGCAACATTTTTTAGTGAGGGGGAACTTTTTCTTCTTTTCTGCTTTGCCTCGCCATTATCAGATACCCTTGTCCATTGAAACACCATGGATCCCTACGACAGCGACTCGAGTGTGGACGAAGATTTCACAGAGACCGGTGTGCTTCTCGGATACGCCGATGAGGAGGTCATAGAAGACACCATCAGCCATCTTGGTGGTTGGCCGGTGCGTACCCAACCAACTCCAAGCAAGAATCTATGCGCGGACTTATGAACTGACGATTCCTGTTTGCATTTCTAGTCATGGATCGATGAGAATACCCCTCCACCAGGCGACTACGCCAACTGCAAAGTCTGCAACAGCCCGATGCTACTCCTTCTCGAACTGCACGGCGATCTGCCCGACAACTTCCCCAATAACGAGCGCCGCCTGTACATATTTGGATGTCCCAGGAAACCATGCAATCGCAAGCCTGGCAGTATCCGGGCATACCGCGCAACTCGCAAGGTCAGTCTTCCCGGCCTACCACTGCCGCAGCCGCAGAAGGTGGAAAAGAAGAAACCCGATCCCAAGCCCGAGCCCGAGCCCGTCGCGCCCCCAAAGCCCAAGCTAGACCTGGGAGCAAGTTTGTTCGGCGCGACCGCGCTGACGAGCAGCGTGTCGGCAAACTCCAATCCCTTCTCGCTCACACCTGGCTCCGGCGCGGCGGCTGCGGGGGCCAATCCATTTGCGATGCCCAAGCCCGCGACGCCCGCTGGCCCGGCCCCTACCCCGGCTGCCAAATCTTCCACTACGACCTCTACAAGTGCGCTTGCTGAATCATTCGCCGATAAGGTCCGGATTTCCTCTCCCGCCCCGGCCAGCACTTCAGGCACGGCGACGAAGCAAACGCCCGAATCGACTGGCGTCCAGGCACCATGGCCCGCGCAGTCCGCCTTCCCGGCCCCATATAAGAAGTACTTCCTCGACGCCGAATACGAGACCATGTCGCGGCCTTCTACCCCTACGATCCCTGAAAACGTCACCGTGGAGCCTATGGAGGAAGATAGCGCTGGTGGTGAGGGTAACGTCGAGCTCAAGGATACATTCGAGTCAGAGATGGATAAGGCATTTATGAAGTTCTCCATGCGTCTTGCCCATAACCCTGAGCAAGTGCTGCGGTATGAGTACCGCGGTACTCCACTACTTTCTTCGTACACCGACCAGGTCGGCAAGCGTCTGCATCCTGAGCACAGCGCTGGTCGGGTGACGACTACCGGTGGTGGAAGTATGCCGCCGTGTGAGTACTGTGGTGCTCCACGTGTGTTCGAGGTGCAACTGGTGCCTCATGCTATCAGTATGCTTGAGGATGGGCGCGAGGGTGTTGGCCTTGGTGAAGGTGATGCCGGTATGGAATGGGGGACTATTATCTTCGGTGTGTGTGGGCAGGATTGTGCACCGGAGAAGATTGGGCAACTTGGTTGGCGTGAGGAATGGGTTGGTGTGCAGTGGGAGGAGACGAAGTAAAGAGAGGTCATTACGGCCACGAGAGTTGATATACCCAAGCGGTGGTTAGAGGGGGTAGAATGTACGCCCCTCTGGATACATAAAAACATAGATCTCCTTGGACTTACACATAGATCCATATGTCCATGTCTAATGACACTTCCTTTGATGCGCAAAGATACGCTGTTGTTCTTGAGACTATTGTCTGTTTCATTTTTCTGTCTATTGTAGCCAGCCAGAAAATAACAGTCCACTCGGTCTAGAAGGACCAGTAACTAGGTATCTATACTACACGCATTGCATTCTCCCGACAACTGAGTCTCGAGTTAGGACGACGCCGCGTTTATAAGGGGGCCCAGCATCGGCCTCAGGCTCACAAAGTAGTAGGCCTTTAGAAATACGTGACCGATCGACTGCTTTTGATTGCCGTCGTAACATTGACCAGTCATCAAATTCATAGCCTCCAACCCTATTCCTGGCTCGAGAATAGGTACTCATGTGGTCTGAAACCATCAATCAAGTGATGATATAAGAAAGCTCTCAAAAAATGGAATTCTGGGCTTGCGTCCAGATTAATTTGTACTCTCTAACATCAACATCGGAAGAATAGTGGTGTACGAAGGAGAAAGAAAAAAAGACGCATGATCCTTTGTACAAGCAAACAGATGTAATGGCATAGAAAAAACCAGACACCCTGGTTGAACCTACTATACAGGGCACTAGCCTAGACCACCATGACTGCCACCACTATAGGCATGTATAGGAGACATTCTTGCGGCCACTATTGAGTCTAGCTCTATACACTTGACATTATAAGGGGTTGCCTGAAAACAACATGATAATAATCAAAACATAAATATTCATTAACATGTACTTATTCAAACAAAATGGCCAAAAATTGCTCTGGGCAATCAAAGCGACGATCCCATCGAGCCACTAATGGTCACCCTTGACCTCAGTGCTGCTCACAATAGTGCCAGTAGCAATGTGGTCAAACTTGTACAGTGGCTCCAACTCCACCTTCTGCCGGAAGATGTAGCGCTTGAACCAGTATGGCAGAGCCTTGGTGACTTGGTAGTGAATGTGCACACGGGTAGGCACGGCAAAAATGTAGTCCAGTTCTTCCAGGGTGCGCTGCTTGGTCTCGGGCACGAAGAGGAAGATCATGACTAGTGCGGTTATGTTGAGGCCACTACGATGAGGTTAGTAATTGAGCCGAGACAAAATTTGTAGGAGTCAAACTTACGCGTAAAATCCGAATGCACCAGTGGGGGTCATGGCGTAAAGCATGCGGGGGAAAGTAATTGAGAGCACCGCGGCCCAGCCGAGACAGGTTGCGACGGCCCAGGACATGCCCACCTCTGAGGAATTTATCAGCGTTTGAGAGAAAGAAATGAGTGGATGGAATATACATACCGCGATGCGACAGAGGGAATACTTCGGCAGAGTAAGTGAAGGGTACCGGGCCTTCTCCGGGGGAGTAGAAGGCGGCGAAGAGGAAAACGAAAAGGGCAATTGTGCCCAGGTGAGCTCCTCCGCTTCCTGGCACATAGAAGCAGAACGCAGCCGCAAGGAGGGTCCAGGCCATCTGGGGGAAGGTGAACAGAAGCAAAGCCCGTCGTCCGTAGGTGTCGATTGTCCAGACGGCTGGGAAGGCGAAGAGGAAGTTCACCAGACCGAAACCCCAGGAAGCAAATAGAGCCCCCGTATCACTAGCACCTGCTTGGGAGAAGACGGTTGAGGAATAGAAGGCAATGATGTTGACTGAAAAGGAATCGTTAGTAGGGGAAACACTTAGATCGAAGGGTACAAGATTGACTTACTTCCGCACATCTGCTGCGCAATCATCACAGTGAACGAGGCCAAAGTAGCTCGGCGCACACGAGGAATAGTGAACAGCTCAACGAAACGAGTAATATAATTACTTTTGGCAACCATGCCTTGTTCAATCTGGATCTGTGCGTGGATGTAGTACAGATCCCGGGCAGCCTGCAGCGAGGTGTTACGAAGACGACAGAGAGACTGATAGGCCTTGCCCATCTCACCACGCCGGATGTACCAGCGGGGAGACTCGGGACAGAAATAAACACCGCACAACAGCGGAACTGCAGGGATGAAAGCCGATCCAAGCTGCAGTCGCCACGACAGTCTTCCAGTATCCTTGACAGCCAGGTTGGCGCTAAATCCGAGGAAAATGCCAAATGCCGTCCACAACTGCCAGCACATCACTAGCGAGCCACGGATCATGGCAGGTGTATTCTCAGCGCAGAAGATTGGAATGGTAGATGCTTTCAGTCCCATTCCAAGGCCGAGCAGCAAACGGGTGACGAAGAGCTGGGGCCATGTCTGGGTTAGAGCCGAACCAATGGGAGTTAGGACACAAAAGATCGCGGAAATGAAGATTACACCGCGACGACCGAGAATACGATTCAATGGGTCAGACAGCCAGCAGCCCAGGCAAGCACTAGCAATGTACGGAGCTGCGTTGACAATGCCGACGATCCATTGGTTGCGCGAGTTTCCTTTCTCGGGAATACCGAAGGCGTCAGGGAAGGAGAGGTTAGCACCATTGGAGCCGGTTTGATCCCAGCCTCTGATAAAGAGTCAGTACAATTTCACAACCATTCGGTGGAAAGATTCACATACTGCACAGCGGCACCGATCGAGCAGAGGATGATGGTGAAGTAAAGAGCCTTGGGCTGGCGCCACTTGTGGAGGACTTCGTCACGTAGTGCCATAATCTCTTGCTCAGTCAAGTCAGGAACAGTCTCGAAATCCTCCGGGTTGCGTGCCACAAGGGCACCCTTCTTCAGCTGGGGAAGGATATCGGTGACATTGTATTCATTGGCGAAGTCCTCCACATCACGCAGAACCTGGGGCTTGCTGAGGTCGGCGAGGGGGTTCTTGATCCTGGTTTTGGATGTTAGAAGCAGCTAGAGGGCCAACAGGAAGAGTTATTGCCAAGTTATGCCATATGAAATATCGAGGACTGGATATTCATTGGTTGGCAGTAGTATGAAGAATATAGGAACTCGGGACATACTTAGCGGAGACATTGTTCTGCAGGTTAATCTGCTCGAAATGGCCTTTTTCGGCGCCGTCATCGTTGCTGGAGCTATTTGGAATCGGTCTTGTCAGCTTATTGGGTTAAACGCGTATTCAAATGTGAAACTGACCGGTACGCGTAATCGAGACCATGTTGATCAACCTGAGCGATGGGTTCATGCTTCGCCGGCACAGTCAGCTCCTCAGCTGCCGGGGTGACCGTATCGGTCTTGTCTTTCTCCATCTTGGAGAAAGGGAACGGTATCAAAGGTAAGTGATGAAGAGTATCAGTGGATCAAAGATGGTAAAAGTGTGGAGTGAGAAGAGCAAGGATGATTCCAGTCAGGAAGCAGTGGGTGGGAGAAAGAAGAAGAAGAAAAAGAGTCCAGGGTGTGTCGAGAGAGAAGTCAGAGACGAAGCGGGACAATCAAGAAGGGAGGAAACTGCCTTTTATGCCTCCACGCACGATCGAATGCCTTTTTTCACCTCACACCGGCCCGTTTGACAAGCACTGCGCTCATTGGGTCTTTGACAAACAGGACATCTCAATATTCCCCTCCCCAACTAACCCCAGAGCAGAACTAGCCCCATGATGATGATGGGGACCTGATGGCACGAAGTGATTTAACTTCCTAAAACGGCCCCAATTATCTGGGGCTCTGGATCTCCGGGGCGCGGGGATTGGAGACATTGATTGTCATCATCCATACGAATCCTTCAACCTTCCCGGGTATTTTATGCTTGTACGATATCATTTTCTCAAGGCTCATCCCTGATAATCCGATCCCGAACATACTTGACCCGTCATACTGACCAGTTTCTAGGGATAAGCTTACTCCATGTGTTTTATTCCCCGGAGAAAGCGAGGCGAGGGGTATCATCCCCTTCGAGGCCGACTAGAGCACATTGACACGAGTCCGACCCTCGTGGTGTATCTTGGATACACTGGACCGGGATCCCAGTTCAATACCACATACCGGTTCAACAGCAGAGTGGATCATATCTGATGGGGTTGGATGTTTGGGGCAGTTGGAGAAACTCAGCGGGCTCGCAGCCCTCGCCCTGTTGAGTCTGCCTTCTGTTGCAGTCGAGGCAGACTACATAAATTACAAATACCCACTCTATTGACTTCTGTGGACCCAAGAAAGCCACATGTGGCCCTTGCTTCCTACAGCAGATGGTCGGTGCCCCATGTGGTTTCTGGTTGCGGAAATGGAGATAGGAGATGGTCGACGCCGGAAAAGGGATTATCGTGGGATGGGCGAAACATGCGAAGAACAACACTCTCGTTGAAAAGATGTGACTAATGAAAAGGCTTTGTATTGCCCTTTCAAGACCACCATCAAAAGTACTCCATCTTCGATCTGGACCCGACAATTCCATGCGGCCCGGTTTGGCTGGGCGTCGAGAACATACACGCCACCAAGCCCGCTGATTCGCTGGTCAAGGCAGGGCACACCAAAGCCAACCCCCCTGGAAGAAAGCCAGAAGAGCAGGCTACCACTGAATCGGGTCTAAACAGGTCAATCCTGTCAGCGCCACCATTATTTTACCTTTGTGGCCCTGGCTTGATCCTAGGGCCCTGGCGGTGATCGACGAGACGGAAATGGCGCTGCATCATCATCTGGGCCAGGTCATACGGGCCGAGAGTTGCAAAGATAAGAACGCATCCGGCGATGACTTTTGAAGGGGGTCTTTCCATGTGGTTGCAACGTGAAGGACGATGAGATCTCTCCCGTGTGGAGAGCCGGGGAAATTAATCTGGGGATTTCGCCCTTTCCCCCAACTCCTTACAGCTACTGGAAGCTGGAAACTGGAAACTAACGAGCGATAAATCTGCACAGAAGTACTCTGTACTGGAGACCGGAAACGGGAACCGAGCAACGAGCAACCAGCGACCGGCTACAAGCAACTGGAGTCCGCCCCCAGCGGTGGGACATGTTTAAGCTATGCATCAACGTATTTTGACTTGCTTCCCGACGCTAATCGGCGCCAGCCAAGTCCACTCTTTATCGTTTTGATGGTATCGCCCACATTATCTTCGGGCCTGGGTTTCCCTCCAGGGCAAAAAAGCCTCAATTATGGCCGAGAACACGGGGTACGCCTACCAGACAGGCCTTCGCATGGGGTAAATGGGGGACGAGGCTGGCTTCGGTCGGTACATTCACCAAAACCCATCGAAGCCGACGCGGCTCGGTCTTCCGAGGATATTTTCTACCATAAACCCCGCCATCCCTGGGCACTAAAGCTAGAATAATAATCATAAATGGCAAGTTAACTCCTGTACCACCTCGCCCTCGTATCAAGAGTCGTGTTGCCCTGCAGCAATTAATCCTAAAACCTTGCCAGTCACACCAATCCAAAAGAATGCAGGGGATAGGCCAAAGACATTAGGCGTCAAGATGGTCGGATCATACACTGTTCGAGCGTACTTTGCGTCTATGCCGCCCGTTCTCGGTCCGGCGAAAATACAACATCATCGAGGCTCTAGCTAACTTCCCCCATTGCCATTTTGATTTCCCCCACCCTGCACGGCCGGGGGATTGCACCATTCACTCGTGGCTTTGCCCCATGTGGGGATCGACGAGTTACACTTCTGCCCAATGCGTCTATCGCTGGTTATGGATGATCTGTGTTTTACTATTTAGCCGGCGAGGTCTATGTAATTCATGACGGATACGGTCAACCAACGGGTGAGATCAACTGGTATCTATGTTTCGGACGGAATTGATTCTTTTCGTGTTTGGTACTGTCCCAAGAGCAGCGGCTGAATGACTGACGGGGATTAATTCTTGTACTACATATTCCGCTTCATATTTCTTATCAAGTCATGTGGCTGCTTTCCCAAATACAGACAGTGAGATCCCCCAATCGACCCTCAAATTCGTTCACCGTAAAGTGGGAGGAAACTTTATGATGTTGCGATCCTGCAATGCCCCCCTAGATTATACCACCCGATCCTTCGGGCGCCATGCAGCGAGCCTTTCTAGAAAACGGGGGAATATACTTACTTTCCTCGCACAGAAATACACCTTTTCAATTGGATCAAAACACTGTCAGTCGCAAGTATGGCGGGCGGTTTCTAGGTTTCCTCTGTATGCTGCTGCACAGCCATTTTGTACAGTTTGGGGTCGAAACTTGCTAGAGCCATACCATCCCGTAAATCGACTCTTGGCCATTCTTCATGTGGTGCTTTCGCTGGAACGTTTTCTCTTGCTAAGCTGACTTAATGACACAGAAACTAATCAAAATTGACCAAAATGTCGACGCTCTGATACTTCATTAGGGGCCGAGGGGCGCCGTCAAACATGGTATAAATAAAAATTGTGGGGGTTTGTGTTCCGCGTGGGGAAGATACTGACTCACAGGCCTTTAAAGAGACCATCAAACCCTTGAATAGCAGCCCGGCTCAGTTTAAATTCGCCTTTATGGTGAGACAAAGTATGAAGTGTCTTGCAAGTCATCACCACGAATATCGTGTAAGAGTAATGAATATTTACTAGACTGAATATGCGTTAGGCGATATCTTTTATGAGCTTCCATAGAAGCAAAGATATGGTTAATTCTGCTAATACCAATAGGTCTCTCGAGACCCCATTCTTTTAATCTGGATTTGCAACTCGTGACAGTTTATTTGCCGCATTACTTATCGTTTGTTGAAGACTTGTTGAAAATTATTGCTCATAAGATTACTTGGCTAGTTCTGGTCTGGCAGATAGCTCTCCCTCTCAGGTTTATTTCCTTGCTTACTCATATGGCAAGTACAACGCCGAGTCCCCATTTTCATAAACCTCTCGGAAAACAGCACGATCGAATAGCTCGTATAGTCCGGCTGGCATCAAGGCTGCACAGTCAACTTTCCGTTGCTCTATGTCAAATACCAGGGCCACATGTCCCTTTCTTCCGGGTCCCATCCAATGTACCAAGAATAAATCCGGACGGACCTCCCGCTGTTGGTAGGGTACTGCAAGAACTGATGTTCCATCCGGCAAGGTAGGAACAGTGAAGTAAACCAGTTCTTTGCTAAAACTGATGCGGTACTGGGGGCCGGTGGGGTATTGATACTCGAATGTGCGGCCAACCATTCCAGTAGTCGTAGGTCCACCAACTTTGTCAGGAAGATGTTCCGGCTGCAACACAGTTATTAAGTGTTGCTTGGCTTTGCAGGTCAAGGTGAGGATAAATTGTAGATACCTCTCGCACATTGAGTGCTACGTTATCTGTCGGAGTAGGCATCTTGGTGAATGGGATTGTCAATTTAATTCAATTAGAAACGATTGTTGTACGTTAATGGGTAAATATAAGACTTTGGCCTTTCTACTGAATAGTTTATATAAAGCTGTGCAATATGTACTAAGATTATTTAGCTTACGGGTCCTCCCAAGCGGGGCGACGTGGGGAACCTGGTCGCGGAGATAACCCTAGCGGAATTCAATGGAGACGGGCCATTCGTATTGACCTCCGGTCTCATTTCCAACACCTGCGTCGTGGAATTGCCTGCGGAAAAGATGCCCCAGTGCTGAGCAACTTAATGCACTCCCTACTTTTGCGTGGGGATACAACGGGACTTGGGAGCGGGATCAGCCATTTCGGAACCGTCGGCCCCGCAAACCAACCAGCCTTAGCCCAAACAATTGCGTAAGCAGTGGTCACAAGTTGGATATGACCTGACATGTCATTTCTCCCCACTGACCCTTTCTGTCTAGTAAAAATTACCAATAGAGATAGATCAAGGTAATATTCCAAGAGTTCGAGGATTACGGTATTGCCAAAGATGAATAACCGTATAGACTAAGAATGTTGCTCATGAAGCATTTTTGGTCTAGCGATATTTTGCCCTAAAATTTGTGCGACAGGTGTCCATGTTAGAATGAAAAAGGAATTCACATATTGACTAAGACGGCTTCGATGATCTATCTGCGTTGCAGGGACTGGTCATCAATTGCCTTTTATTAGTCGTTAAACACAGATATCATCGGTGCATCTTAATTGTTCCCCAAACCATCCGATTCAATATCCTCATTTGATCAGAAACAAGACGACTTCCGAGACCATATATCACTATGAAGTTGAACCAAAGGCAGAACTTCCCAGAGCAGATAGGATAGCTGCAAATCTTTTAGTGATTCTCCAATGACCAGCATGCTGCAGGAAATCAATCATTGAAAAGAATATCAGCTTCAAAGGGAGAAGAACATGGGCGTTGGGAAATTCGATTTCGGAGACCAGCGTCTGTAGATCAATTCCCATTGACGAGAATTCCGGAAAGTCTAGACTTGTTAAGGGTTGAAAATCGTGGGTTGACGTTCCAAAGCGGATATAACAAAATAAAGCCAACCCGGCCCAAAACACTGCGCGTGGGGTGTGTAGCGCAGGCTCTAATGTCATGTTCCTCTCCTCCACATGCCGCTTGATTATGATGGCATGAAGGATGCAACGCTTCCCATTCACAGAGTTAGCCCACCCAGTGACGCTTGCAATTTCATCGGTGGTCAAGTTGAGGCCATCTCTACCGACGACCCGCTCCAACATATTGAAATCGGCGAGGGCTTCCATGTATATCAGACTTTGGAGAACACGGAGTTGAAGGGGCTCCTGTGCACTTCGAAAAAGACTGTTTGGCGGGCAATAGCGTAAGATATGATGATGAAGGTCTGCAAATGACTCCTGAATATCCCCAATCTTTGTCTGACAAGTTTCTTCATAGGAACGTCGAAGAAGCACTTGCGAGCTAATGCTTTCCAAAGCAGCGTAAGTGGTCAAGCTGCTAGTCTCAGGTACGTATGGAGACATAGGTAACAGTGGGGGTGTTGGTGCTTTGGAGACTTTGGATGGGAACGAGTTAGCTCGCTGTCGTTTCAAGTCCTCGCAGTAGATTGATTTCCAATCTCGGGCGTTTGAGGCTAAGAAGGCCCTTTCTGAACAAGCAGATGGAACTTTGTATGCTTTCCAACTTTGAATTGGCTCATGGTGCAGGGTACCTCCCAATTCTGCGTCCATGATAAATAGCCCATGAGCCACACGAACAATTTCTTCGTTACGAGCCCAATCATGCCAGATCTTTTCAAGCTCGTGGCCATCGATATCAGCGTCAATGTGAGTGATAACCGGGCGTGAATACAGACGCAAATATCGCGACCACGCTATGGGCGGGCCGTGGAAGGCATCCACAGTTAACAAGAGATGCGCGCTGCCAGATAGCAGGCCAAATAACTGCGATATAGCCGCGCCTTGAATTGCGATGGTTAACTCCTCCCTGCCCCTAGCCAGAAGTTGTTCCCAGTTGTGCAATGTAGCTTTCTGGACTCGTTCGAAGAGATAAATTCCCTGTTGAAGGCCTTGATCTGATCCAGTAAAAAGTCCACCTATTGCACACATCGCAATCACAAGGTCTGCATTGTCCCGACAAGGCTGGAAGGTGGCCGCATGAACTAACGGGAATATGGTATGGACCTTGGCAAAATAGAGACGAAGGCCCACATTCAAAAGATCGGTTGAAGGGATGGTCGGCTCGTATGTGAGTATCTGAAGGCGATCATAAATACTCTGGCGATGATTCTCATTTATTGTAGTGATCAAGGACTCAGGGGAGAGAAGCTCAGACGGTTGTCCGTGGTTCTGCATTAGGGTTGTGGTCTGTAGCGGATTTTCGACAATCGTCGTGAACCAAAGGTGCTGCACGCTCTGTGACGGAGATGCCCCCTGGCTCAGAGGCTGAGATAGAGTTGTTTGGAAGAGCTGAGTCCGCTGGGAAGAATGGAACTCCATGGCAGAGATCTCCTCACGTAGCCCTGCATCTATATGGCGAAGGACATCAAAGCCGCTCAGGTCAAACCCCCCTAGGCCGAATTGATCGATCTGGATGTTAGGCTCTTCTACCAGAATTGCATCAGCGGATGGGATGGGATTCGATTCCATCCATGTAGCTGGATTGTATGGTGGTGCAAACGAGAAATTCCCCACTTTCGGGCCTGGGTTATTCACTGACGTTTGTGCCGGCTGTTCTGCATTCCCCGAGATAGCAGTAATGAGTTCCGGCAATTCGGGAGTATTCATGGTTAGATTTGACGTAGACGAAGTTTCTTTCGGTTCTTTTTGACTCGACGCATCTGGATCTACCGTCGTGGTGTGTTTATCTGATGGTCGGCACTTAACATCACGACGATGCCGGATCAGGATATCCCTTTGCTTCGAATTAGCGCTTCTGTATCTGTTGGCGACTCCCATCAGGATTTCGATTACAACCTACTGTCTACTATATCGATTCCCACAGTCCGTACATGCGAAGGGCTTCTCTTTCGTATGAGACCGAACATGTCGCGCCAGATGCTCATTCTTCGAGAAGCTGGTCTTACAGATCCGGCATTGAAACAGCTTTGTATCTGTGCGTCGTGGAGTGTCTGACGGAGGCATGGTTGACGCAACTTGAGGCAATGGAGAGATTTCCTGCGAGACAAGAAAAAATCGCGATCCAACTTGGTTTGTTAAATCTAATTAAGGCTGTAATCCCGGATATTCGGGAAGACTAACCCCAGAAAATTCCCCCGCATCGGAAGACAGCCAAAAGTACTTAGATCTATTACTTAAACAACGTCTTGTTTTCATATGAAGTTTAGTGTTGTAGCTTGGTTTCTAAATAATTGAAAACGCGATAATTATGTAGCTCAAGCGAGGACCGAGCTTTTACTCTATTCATGCTCCCGCGAAAATGTTACCAACGGGTGGGAGAATCTTCCCAATATATAGATCGACGAAATTTGAGTCAACTACTTGAATCTGTCTTGTTCGGTGCTAAGTGCCAGCCTCTCCGGGTAAATCACCTCGTACAAGAATAAATGGTCTGAAGCAAACGCATCGCGAGCCGAAACAGACCTACCACTCCTTCAAGCCAATAGGCCCGGTACATGTCCAATGCTTATGGATCAGTCTTTTGTTCTCAACTTCATCCACGATAGCCACCGCCATGTCCTCGTTGTAAATTCCCTTGTCAATACCCTGCACAGCAGAACCGGCCGAATCATCCACATGGAACTCGTACTTTCCAGTGCGAATTCCTAGCAATTCAAGAGAATTAACATCGTTGACGTAGCTTATTACAAGATGACATTACCTTTATCACGCAGTTGCCACGGGGGTGACAAAAAGCTCCAGTTCATCTCCTGGACCCCTTCCCACATGGTCAGAGCCGCCCGAGAGCATAAAATAAGGCCGACTGTATCTGGCCTCGTCAAATTCTTTTTCGCGAGTCCCAAGAACCAGTTGGCGAAAGGCCTGAAAAGCCACGAAAACCCTGCAAAATAAGGCCAAGTCACAATTTGGTTAAAAAATGGACAAGAAACGTATGACTTACAGCCAGGATTCTCGCGGTTCCCTCTTGCCCATTTAAATAGACGGATAAATGTACCAAATGATCGTTGACCATGATCAAACATGCGAGTTGACATGTAATCTAGGTGGACATCTGGCCATGCGTACCTAAATTTTGTGAACTTTCTGACCGAAATACATTCAAAATCTTTCTGAGTACTTACCAGTGCTTGAAACAGAAGTCCTCATCGTCACACAATTGGACGCCATGCTTGTAATACAGTGAACCGGCGCCGCCTGGTTGTCAGAGTTAAACCATGATATCGATGAAAAGACTGTAAGGGATCAGATGATACCAATGATAATGAAACTCCCGCGAAAGGTTGATCTCAGGATTGCCATTTTGATATTGCCATGGCCCTCAACACCCACATTGTATACGGACTTCAGATCCACCAGAGGGGGAGCAAAGGCGGATATCACAGTGTCGAAGTTCCCATTAGATAAAATGTCACTGAGGCCTCTGATGTCGTTGAAGTCACACGGAATTCCCTCGTACTTTCCAGACTTTGCCCACGTCTGAGGGGGCGTACGGGAAATCCCGACCACGGAATGGCCTCTAGAAAGAAGCTCATCCACAACGCATGATCCACATTGTCCCTTCGGCCCCAATACTGCAACCCGGAGACTTCTAGACATGAGGACGAGACTTCCCTTCTCTATGTTCTGGTAAAGTCAAATAAATGGACTCGTAGATGAGCGGAGAGAAGAAAAAAACAACTCGTGAGATGAGTATTTAAGTCAACCCCCCGATTCACTTATAGCAGCTGCCCTTGAGGAAGCTATAAGCGCTTTGATTGATTGCAAAGGTACGTGGTCCGTCACTTGACGAAACTGGAATATCGGCACCACTTGAAAGCCTCCCCGTCGGAACGCTCAGTGTCCCACTTTCCCCGCACTCCCCCCCCTCCCGATTCCACGGTTTATTCGAAGCAGTTAACTGTTTACAATAATCCCCGTCACATAGATCGATTACGCGTTTACTTCGTCTCTTCCCAACGCGAGATACAATTTCACAATCCGAAGTGATATCTAATAGGTTCAAAATGCGAGCAGATAAATGTCCCCGAGCGCGTGGGTAGCTCACGGACGAATCCGGCCCACCCACCAGAGACAACAAGAATTCGCTGGGCCATCTCTGGGAATCGGTCCAAAATCAGCTCCAAGTTCCCGAATCCATGAATGCGTGTTTCCAAATGAGATTGTAGTGTATAATAAGACAGATTGCTAATTGCTATAGTCTTGGCATGTAATTAGGTCGTCAGGCAAGAAATTAGCCAAATTAGGCAATTGTTGGGTGTCCGGCCGAACCGCGCATAGCTGGCGCCAGCAGCGCCCTTTTTTCTCCGTTATTCGTTAATTATGGGCTACAAGTGTCCGATCGTCCATCTTGATTGATCTGCTGAGAAAACAATTTCGGATGGTCCGGTCAATTTTGGGTAATTATTAGGTGCATCGGATCTAATAGTCCGGCGGGGCCGACGGGAGTCTCCATTCTCGCGTCTGGGTTTCAAAGTTTCTGTTTTTATGTGATCATGGTTACGGTTGAAGCAAGATAGCCAATTTTTTAACACGCGATAGGTCTCCTGAATCAACACCATATAGAAACACGATCTCTGCCAGCTTTTTGTCGCGCAGTCTCTATCCACGGAACAGTGCAGGGCAATGACAAATCAGGATTCTTTCTCAAGCCTCTGGGGCATACCCAGTGTGCAGTTTTCCGCCACGGCTGCTACTCTGGCTTTGTTGGTCCTTGTGATGATCACTCAACTAGCCCTTCGGATTTACCGTTTATACATGCATCCCCTGAAATCGTTCAAAGGTCTCACAGAGGCATGCATTTCGGAGGACTGGCTATACAAGGTCACCAAGGACGGCACCGCTGAAGAGCAATTCGAAGCTCTTCACCAAAAGTTCAGTAAGGATTTAAATACCACGCCTCCGAATAAAATGGTGATACTCCAGTGGCTTCCAAACATGATGCTAATGTTTAATTTGACGGAAAGACACGAAGGCTCTTCGAATTGGACCAAACGAGCTTCATATTACCGACATCGAACTGTACAAAGTGATCTACAATCAATCCAAGCCATTCCTCAAGCATGCCCCGTTTTATGATGGATTCAACACACCCCACACGGTCTTTGCGGAACTCGATCCTCACTTGCATAAAGAGCGCCGACGCATGCTGAACCCATTGTTTTCGAAGGTCGGGGTTTACAAGCTGGAGCCTCTGATTCATGAGAAGATATACACTCTCTCATCCAAGATCAACCGTCTCTGTGGCTCTAAGAATATCGATATTTATAATGCAGTTCGGTAAGTGCATGTTGCTTAACCTGATATTTACAGTGTTTTTGACGACTAGGGGACAGCCTCTTGACGACAGATATTATTACAGAATTTGCTTTCGCAAAATCAGCTAATCTCATCGAAGAGAAGACTGATGAAATGGATTCGTGGTTTCTTGACGCTTTTGATGTTGGTTCACAAAGTGTGGTCGACTTGCAGTACAATACAATTCTTCAGAAACTCGTGGCCGTACTTCCAGTTTGGATTAGTGAGCTTTTCAACCCTAGGCTTGCCTCTATTCTTAATCTCCAAAAGGTACAGTAAGTGCCCCCTCGCGACTGGGCAATTTAACTGACGAATTTCCTTTTAAGTATGCCGGAGAATGTATGCGACACTGGCAGATGTCGTCAGGAAGCTCTTCTCACCCTGTCATCTTCGATAGCTTAAAGTCAATTTCGGACGAAGCTAAAGTTTCTGAGGCTATGGACATTCTCATCGCTGGTGCTGATACCACGGCATCTACGTTGGCAACTGGATTCTATCATATTCTTTCCGATCAAAGGCTCAAAGAACGCCTTGTCAGGGCACTCGATGTGGCCATGCCAGAGCCCGGAAAGCTAGTTTCACTGCAATCATTGGAGAAAGTGGAATACTTGGTACGTAAAGACTCTGCGAATCAAGGTTGACGGTAAACAATCTACAAGGCCGTTTGCTTACTTCAAACCACCGGCATTCCATCAGACGGCGTGTGTCAAAGAATCAATTAGGGTTGGTATGGCTGTACCTGGTCGCCTTCCTCGTGTCGTTCCCAATGGGGATCCATTCATTGTCGAGGGACAAGTCGTCCCCCCTGGTGTGAGTTCTGTCTCTCTTGGAAATCGCTTGTCAATTCATGATTGAGATGCTGACAGTATATCTACGGGGACCTTAGACAATCGTTGGAATGTCAGCTTACACCATGCATAACTCTGTGGAAGCTTGGGGATCTGACGCCCGCAAATTCAACCCTGACCGTTGGATTGGACCCGAGTCCAAGGATCAGGAGAAATGGATGTGCACGTTTTCCAAAGGCGCACGGATGTGCCTGGGGCAAAAGTAAGTTTGGATACCCTAAGTGGACTCGCAATTGCGGCATTGTTGCTATGTGTCTTCACATAATTGCTAACTTCTTTACTATTACAGTGTTGCACCGGCTGAGATTACTCTCGTATTTGCTTACTTGTTCCGTAATTTCGAGCTCAGCCTTCCTGAAGGGCACATGACACCGAAGGGGCTAGATCGCTTTACCTTACAGTACGAAATGCCCGGATTGCCCGTGGTGTTCAAAGCTCGTCAATAAAGGGCATCCTGGCCAAGGTGGCCGTAACCCCTTTCCTGGCTCATGGCTCATGTCTCTTCGCATTGCTACAGAGTGTCGTTTGGGGGCTCTGTGTCACTTTGAAGGGAAGGCCCAGGAGAAAAATTTGCTATGATATGAAGTAATGGCAACCAAAGCAGCTGGTAACCTCGACAGCAAGATCTGCAGCCATCAATCTATGTAAGAGCTAACTACTCCTAAACTTGATCTTCGCTATAAACCGCCACTTGAGCCCGCGCAAAGTCGTATTATCGATTCTTCTTGTAAACTGCAAGGAAAACAATCCGTGTGAATGAAATTGATACATTCATAGTCACTGCTTTCAATATGATTAAAAATCCTCATAAAGTAGTTGAAAAGCTAGTCCCAATGCGCAGAAAGAACTGTCGGAGCAGCAGGACAGGTGGACACACGGAGGTGTCTAGGAGAGGAGGTACTATAATCTACTTATATTAGTTAAATTATCAGTCTATGTTTCACAATATTATTCTCCAAGTCGGTCAAAATTGCCGGTGAAGGGCCTTCGTAGTGATTCAGAGCTCCTGCTATTCACTCTATTATCCTATTCGTGCACCATATGTTCCCTTCCCAAAATAAACTACTCCGGGATTTAAGTTTTCCCCAGATTCGATCATGTGATGCCCAACCAATCTCCGCTGACTCAGCATTACCGCCTAACCTAGGTAACTAGTTATAGCCCGGTAGGCGGATGCCCGCTTTCGATCACCCAGCTCATGTCGGGATCTCCTGGCTATATCATGTACCGTGCGTTCAAAATGGCAAATCTCCCTTCCGGGTCTTCAATATCCTACCAGCATAATGATCCTCATATACAACTACCACCTAGCCTGAACGAGGTCTCCTCCTCTCTGCCAAGAAGCTACGATTGTAGCGTCTGCTCAGCTTCCTTCCGCCGCCGTGAGCACTTTGAGCGTCATTTTAAAGGCCATTCTAAGAGCAAAGACTTCAGATGTGACGTTTGTAACAAACAGTTTGCTCGGAGGTAAGTGCCTAGGAGCATTTTTTGCCATAAAAATAGACTTAAAATTTTTCTCAGGGATACGTTGCAACGCCATTCAACGCTCCATGGGCAGGCAGCTACCAAAGTCCAAAAGACGCTCCCTAGAGCGTCGCGTGCTTGTCTTAACTGTGTCAAGTCTAAACAACGTTGTTCTGGATCCCATCCATGCGATCGCTGCAATCGGAAAAATTGGCCTTGCCAGTTCACCAAGGGCTCCAAGGAAGTTACGCGGCAAGAGCCGGAGATCTTGCCGAATGTACGCGAAGGAGCGACAAGTCGTGAGATATATCCCGATTCGGGCCATGATCATTCCTTTGAGGCATCTTTTGCGTGCGTACTATCTCCAATAAGCACTAGCCAAGCGAACCCTAGTGGCCCAGATAGTGACAACGGTGCTAGCGAACCATATGCGGATCTTCCTTTTTCAAGCCAGGCTCCACGAACCTCACAATATGGCGAACCTACCTCGCTATTCGACTCTTATCTTCTATGGCCTTTGGATGATCTAATTGAGCAGCCTCATATGGCTTCAATTGAGCCCTCGCGTTTTCCGATGCCATCTGGTGTTGCAGGGGCCGCGAATCAATCAATAGGAATGTCACTTACAGGAGATGCTCTTGTGGAGCATTCAGGTTTCCAGCAGGAGTATTCAAGACAGGCTGATTAGGCTCCCACGCCCTTCAATGGCCAGTCAGGTAAGTGCCTGTCAGAAGACAACCTTACTCAGGAAGACCGCGATGTCTTGATATCAGAAGACTATGGACATGTCCCCAAGCCGTCTATTGCAACATATGAACGAATCTGCGCTCACTATGCGGAAGTGAGCCAGTCTTCACCAGAAGCCGTACTGCCAGCCCTATATTCATTGGATATTCTGCACGTGTGTACGCAGCTATATTTCGAACATTTTCATCCAGGGTTTCCTATTCTTCACAAAGGTAGCTTCGAAGTTCGAAGCTCGTCGTGGCTTCTTTACATCGCTGTCGCTGCCATTGGAAGCCAGTATTCTCGACTTTCAAGCCGGAATACCATATTTTTTAACCTGGTGAAAGCCATCCGCATGTCTTTACTTCGGAAGGTATGTCTAATAATCGTCCCCCACGTTTTATTTCCGTCGCTTTGGTCTAAAATGGTGGCTTAGCTCGGCTCCAATCTGTCCCTTCAAAACAATCTCGAACTTGCTCAGGCAACACTGCTCTTCAATTTTGCTCTCCTCTTCGGGGGGACACGCCATAATGCAATGCATTTGCAGTACCAACGAAACCTGCTTGTCACAATGTGCCGCCCACTCCTAGTTCCCGGTATTCTCTTCGCGAAGAGCGCCATCTTATCGGACCAGCATATGCCGATCGGAGATTGGGCTGCATGGATCGCGACCGAGTCTTGCAAGAGGCTAGTGTACTTTGCGTGGTGTAAGGAGTGTCTTGATTTTCAACCCCCCCCCCCCCCCCCCAACGCCTGCCAGTGCATGCTCGCTGACTTACAAACTCGCAAAGTGAACGAGTTCTTTCAACTGGTCTTTTTTGACCTGCCACCTCTTTTCACTGTTGACGAGATACATCTGAGCATGCCGTGTAATGACGAACTCTGGCAGTCTGCAAACCTTCATGACTGGGAGAGGGCTAAAGAGTTACAAGGAGGTATTTGATGCCCTTTGTCAGCATTCACAAAGAGTTCCTTGACTAACCTAGTCTAGAAGATCCAGCAGAATGTCACAGCGCTGCTTCTCTGCTCAAAACAAAAGTCATCGACCAAGAGCGTACCCGCTCATTGAGTGACTCGGCGCTGTGGATATCAGTCTCCGCGGTGTATTTTCTGGAAAGACGCGCTCTTCCACCGCAGCTGTTCTACTCTTATCCCAGCATGCACGGTATCTCAACCTGCTGGAACCAACCTTGTCTGGAGGAAATCGTTGCCCCAGACCAAACTAAAGATCCCGTTGATACCATACTTGAGACTTTTCAGCAAGCTGCCACTCGACATCGCCAAGATTCGCCACTCTTTCTCACAATCACGAAATTCTCTCTCGTTCTTAGGCTACTGCGCTTCGTCAAATACCGCTTTTTGTATGTCTCTACGGGTTGGATGGCACAGCATCAAGAGGTTGACGCTGCGGCCCAACATATTTCACAGCTACTTAAGGCAAAGCCGAAACAGGCTCGTCAGGGTCTCTTGCACGCTGCTCAGTTGTTCCGAATGATCCGTTCTCAACGTCAATTTGACCCCTACGACTCCTTCTTTCTTCTTATGGCCGCTCTATACATCTGGAACTATGATAGATTCATGATTTCGGGCGAATCACAATTGCCTGTGGACGGAGCCGCCGAGGAGATTATTCGAATTGACCAAAATATGAAGAAGGAGTTACAGGATCAATGGATAACAGGCACAGTGGAACCTCCGAGGCTAGCTCATATTAGTGGGCTTGGGGTTCTCAACGGCCAGGATAGCCTGCCACGCATCTTGAGGGAATCAGTGAGAATTCTAAGCCATGGGAAGGCTTGGTCAACACACGCGCATGCTTTCAAACACTCATTGCTTCAAATGTTGTCAGGAAGTGCTCCCTCCTTTCCTGTTGAGGTCGAGAGATAAGTAAATTAATTGATATGAGGGTCGTCGTGGGGTCCTGGTCACCCTCCTTCCAACTTCATATATATTATTAGAAATTTTCTTGGCGGTTCTTTGCACGAAGTTGCTCGCAGATGCTGTGCGAAAGCTATCCTCTGGGTTTACTATGTATATGCTTATTCCGAGTTCTTGTGATTCACCTAGTAGGAAGGAAGCTTTCTACCTACACCTACACCCACGGCCGTCAAGTAATTAGCGGCACCCAAAGTCTCGTACCATTTTGTTACGGCACGTGCCCAGGCGCACTAGACGAACAGGTTAAGAAGACCGAATATGCTAGAACATAGCGTTCTAGCACGCCTGGGATCGATATAAGTAGCGCGCATCGTTAGGCCTCGGGGGACGAGGCCTAGGTCCTAACACATTTGCTCCGCAATAGCAGATAGATTTCTGTAAGTTGAAGCCTCCAGTCTCTTTATCCTTGATTTTTCGGTTTTTCAGTTGTCGGTGTTAAGGCGTCGGCGTCGTCGGCATTCAGTCATACCAACTAACGGTTTTTGTCGATGGCGAAAATCCAGCCTTTGGTTAACTTCGTTCTGCGGAGCCGAGACATGCTTCATAAATTCCCCACGTAAGTTTCGCCCTTCCCCCACTTTCCCCACGATTCGCGTCTTTTTTCCACACGGCTACTTTCCAAATCTAGGATGACACTCTACAAGAAGTGGATCGAAATAGCATAAAGAGGTTCTACCGGCATCAGAGCGAGGTGGTGTATATAACGGTCTCTTTATACTCCCACTGCCGAGGTTAACTCTGCACCTTCATATTTCAGATGGCCCTCAATCGTGAAACTACCGAGCGCATTCAGGTTACTCGGCGGGGTGGAAAGATCGCCCTTGAAGAGGCAGTCGGCAGCCCTGTCTTTGCTGCACATCAGAACTATCCGCCTCGACCAGCAATCAAAGGGCTGGGTGGCCTGCCGTTCAATCCTCAGTTCCTCGCCGATGTTGAAGAGAGATTAGACAATGTTGATCTTCGTCTTAAATCAATGGATCAGTGTGGTATCCAGTATGCCATTCTTAGTCTAACTTCACCTGGTATTGAGGGTGTTAGTGATGCTTCGACAGCTATTCGTTTCGCCAGAGAGACAAATGATGACATGTATCATAAATACGTTAAGCCACACCCTTTGCGATTCGGCTTCTTTGCATGTGTGGCAATGCATGACCCCAAAGAAGCTGCTAAGGAGCTCGAGAGAGCTGTCACACAGTTAGGCGCAAGGGAGCCTTGATCAACGGATTCACAAATCTCGATGACCATGATCAAAAGCTACGGTACCTTGATGCACCAGAATGTGTGCCTTTCTGGGCAATGCTATATCATCTCAAGGTGCCATTATATTTGCATCCCCGATTACCTCCAACTCATCAGCAAGTGCTGTATAGCCAGTACCCGAATCTGGCCTCGGCGTCATATGGCTTTGGAGTGGAGTGCGCGGGGCATGCTCTCAGAATCATGTGTTCGGGTATACTCGACAAATACCCTGTGAACATCATCCTAGGTCACTGTGCCGAGGCCCTCCCATTCCTCATCCATCGCGCGGATCATCGAATGAACATCGGAAATCTCGGAAGTAATGGCAAGCATATCAAGCCTCTCATGTATTATTTCAGATCTCATTTTTACGCAACATTGGCCGGGGTTCGCCGGTATAGTACGCTGAGAAATACTATTGAGGAACTAGGGGAGTCAAGAGTGATGTTCAGTGTCGATTATCCTTACGAAAGCAATGAGGATGCTGCGGACTGGTTCGATGCCCTCGAAATCAATGAGAATTCGAGGGCCGCTATTTCTAACCAGAATGCGATACGCCTATTCGGATTAAAAAGTGAGTGTATGAATCTTTCTGGTCCCAAAATATTGGGCCACCTTTGACAGCTCTTGATGATACTTTGATCTAAATTACTCATCCAATCTCTTGCTCTCCTATAATCTTCCTTGAAGTGGTAATCCCGTACCCTGATTTCTTATGAATAGACTCAGGTTCTTCAAGTTGAAGCTTGACGTAGGGCCTGAGTTCTTCAAGGATGGAGCCCCGATATGTCGACAGCATCATGAAGCTGATACCGGAAACTTATTTGGTAAACATTAATGGATTTGTGGAGAGAGATAGGGGAAAGTACATGATTGTGCTGTGTAAACGTCTGAAATACAGGTTATAACGTTAATCTTGAAACAGTTGGATATATTCATAAGGATTTTATCCCTCGCACTTCCTGTACATGATTATCAAAATGTAACCACAGCCACAAATACCCCCGTCGTATTTGTGTAAACCCGTCAAACAAGCCATGAATTTCCTTATATTTCGCGCTTTTTCAATGTTATTTGAAGCCCTTTCTGATTATAGAAAAGCTCCGTAACATGCTCTAAAGGCTTACTTAGATCAACCAGCCTCATATCATATCGATAGAGTATTTGAGGCAAACCTTTATTCAACTCAAAAAGAGCTAGATGTTTGCCAATACAGACATGAGATCCGCCTCCAAACTGGGTTTGATCAGGATCAGATTCCGTTGAATCACAAAATAATTTTGGAGGGGGCTCGAAAACAAAATTTCCAAGCCATACCTGAAACATGCATCTTTCCATTTTCTTCAGCCGGTCAACATCCGCCTCAAGCCATCTTTGAGGATTAAAAGAGATAGTATCAAGCCCGAAGACCGATTCATCGCGTTGAACCACCCATGCACTAACCGCAACTCTAGTGCCGCCGGGCAAGAACATACTGCTTACGGTAGAACCAGAATCTGGGACTGTACGCGTCATGTTAAACGGCAGTGCGGGCTGCAAACGCATCGTTTCTTTCAGACATGCCTGGAAATACGGGAGTGCTATCGCTTGGTCGTACTGTACCACAGGCGATAATTGCGCATCGACCAACTCTGCTATGAGTTTCTTGTGTACCTCTAGGTTTGTGAGGACATGCCAGCAAAAGCTATGCATAGTCGACGCTGTTGTATCTGAACCTGCAGCCCTATAAAGTTGTTAGTTGGTTTGTCAGACCTGACAAAATAATAATCAATCGTGGGATAGGTTGCCCGTACACAGCCCCCATAGATATTGCCAATACATCTTGCATTCCGAATACCTCCGGGTTTTTGTAGTGTGTATCCAGAAGAGACTTCAACAGACAGGCAGAAGTCTTCGCTTTATCACTGTCACCCCTTTGAAATTCCTGCAGCACTGAGCGGTTTGCGGCATCAGCCTCAGACTACTCTTCGGTAGGAATGGGATAATATTCCAGATTGGATTAGAACGCGTGAGCTGCTCGAATCTCGGCATCTGGCCGAGGAACGCGCTCTCGTACTGTGCTTGACTGATACCATCAAGAATTTCATCGATGTCTTCACCTTGCTCCAGAAATCCAACCGCTCTGTCAAAGGCAAACAGGGCGAGCACCTACCGAGTCAAGCCTTAGTAATCGTGCGTATTAAAGGAAGGCCCGACGTTGATCAATGGGTAGATTTCCTTACATCGATGACCAAGAAGTGCAACCAGCTTCCGAGATCGAAGGCCATCGTTTGACTTTCAGCCGCAGTAGAGTCCATTTTAGAAAGCAACTTCAATATGAGCGATTCGATCTGCTCGTTTTGTCGCTTCACCGATGCAAGGCTGTACGGTGGAGCAACATATCTCTTCTTCGTAGCATGCACTTTTTCTCGGATCTCGGTGAATATATCCTTGATGCCATCAGGGAGAAAAACAGTATAGAAATCCGTCTTGTGGAATCCCCGTCCTGTCCGAAATATATCTAGCGCAGCGTCGGGCGGGGGCAAAGGACAGTTCATTCGGGCCTATCCGCACTACTGGGCCTTTTATTGTTGTCAGTTTGCGAGCGTGGAGTCACAAGTCTCACTGAATCAAATACCATATCTACGATGCAATTTATGGTAATACTCTTCGACACGCCCAGTCCAAGCGATATATAATTTAAGATAATTTTCAATCAGCCTCCAAAGAGTCATGTGAGTGTTTATGCAGACCTACCAAGCCAGAGTCGCGTGCAGGAAGCGATAAGCGGGCCTGGGTATCGGCAAATTGGTCTAGCATATCGATTGTATAGCATGCGGGAGAGTATTCCAATTGCTGCGAGCAAAAAAAGACCGAGGTCGGAAGATCGCCATACTGGGTCAATATTCAAGCTGATCTGTCGTAATAACATGTTTATTGCGAGACACCTAAGGGACGGTGACCTAGCACAAATGTTGATGTATGAGAAATATTGATAGAAGGATAAATAATTGTAGTATTGATGATGGGACTCTGAGTTTTCATTCGCACAATTTATGTGATGTGCCGTCCATGAAATTTTTGGGCGCTCTCCAACCCAGCTGTCTCATTTTCGCCACGGTATGTCTTGGGCCCCTCCCCCGCACTTTCCCTTGATATATTCCCCACATTGCTTGAAATGCCTTATTAGTACTCTCTTCACCAGACCTTCATAATTCCGGATTGCCGATTCGGATGCGAGCCCTCGCCAAACTTCCATCCTCTAGATGTATCAAAACCCGCCCCGCATTGTTGCACTAAGTTCTACCTGCCGAAATATATGAATTCCTCAGTACCAAAAAGGCCAACTAATTTCAAATATTGCCTCCCACTGTTAGGTGTTCCTGCATAATTATCTAACATCGCTTATTGACTCGAGCTTGGATGCGACCGCCGAGTGTTGGTATGCCGCCTGGATCAGGAGAACTTCTCTGATCAGCATCCGGCCCTCCTCTCTTTGCATTAACTGATATGCGCCTCAGCTTGCTGCTCGTCGTGGTCTCATCTAAGATCGCTAGTTTTACTCCATTTTGATGCTAATACAATGAGTAATTGTAAAGAAGGGTGATTAAGGATATCGGTGAGATTAATTAATTTCCTTCCAACCTAACTAGGCCATTCCAAAACAAGTGCCACTGCTCAACAACCAAATTCCTTGTAGATAGAAAATTGGAAGCCAACATTCAAATAAGGCCACTGGAATGTTAGTAGATTTTCTGAATATCAAAGTGAGAAATTCTAGGGAAAGTTGTATTCAAGATTCAGTGCTTTAATTACATTGCGTTTTGCATTGACATAGGAAATCAGCTCAACATAGCCAATTGAAACACATGGCGCTGCTGCTCGTAAGAGCATGCTTCCTGTCAACTTAATGTATAGTCACACTTCTAAGATATAAGATTACGTTTGTGCGCATCTATCATGCGTGATTAAAGTAGCCCGCTCGGGCTAGTGGTACACTAGAGAAACGAGAGAGAGATACTATGGAAGAGGACGATGGTACGGTGGTCGCAGTCTATCCATTTAGATAGGTATATATCCCCTGAGAGAATTGACCATAGCCCTGACTTTATGTCTCACTACGCAAAACTGACAAATTTGCTCGATATTCAGCCACAAGATACATACACGTTTAATGTTATATTTATAATCTCATATGAACCATCGACGACTATGCCTCTAACGTCCTTCCAAATAGTTTGACATCAAAGTTGTTAACTTGAACGCATGTCTTCTCTTCTATCGCCGCCGAAAGCACTTACTCCGTTGTGCTAGCACTCTCTTTACGCCTTCGCATAGTTCTAGTCATTAATCGCTGGTGCACAAAAAGGCTTGATACTACCGAAGGGCAGATAGGTGGTCCGCAATAACAAGAGTTGTCAGAGAAATAGCTAGAGTGATGGATTCCATATGTTTAATAAGATCGCTCTGATTAGACAAACTTCTGGCCCTCAACGCTCCAAGTCATTAGTTTTGTTTCACTAAACTCCCGTAGACCCCAAAGGGCATTGTTTCGACCCCATCCACTCCCTTTAACTCCACCAATTGGGAAAGTCGCTGCGGAGTACAAAGTTAGTACATTATTGAATAGCAAGGGGATTCAAGGACTGTCTTCTTACGTTCATCATGGGGCGTCATATTATTGACATGAACTTGCCCAAAATCAAGCTCCTGAGTCATCTGCCAAGCTCGATTGAAATCTAGCGTGTGAATCGCAGCATTCAGTCCATAAGGGCTATCGTTGGCAATCTCGATGGCATGATTGTCATCACGGGCAACAAAAAGAGCTGCAGAAGGCCCGAAGGCTTCCTCATAATAGATATCCATGTCTTTCGTCACTCCTTCAAGAATGGTTGGGCGAAGCTTTGATGGTGACAGCTTGTCAGTGCCACCACAAAGGAAAACAACTCCCTTGCTCTCTGCGTCGAGAAGCTTTTGACGAGAAGCCTCCACGATCCTAGGACTGACTCCGTCCGTGACAGGGAAGGATTCAACTTCGGCTAGCAGTAGCTTGCGAAACTCGGATGCCACCTTCTCCGCGACTATGATTCTCTCTGTTGAGAAACAAAGCTGACCATGATGAAGAAAGGCTGTCTCACGGCTGAATTAGTACCAGCCTCACAGCGTTCGGAACATATTTTGGGTTAACGAGAGATTCACATACCTCCAAGTACACAACGTTTTGCAGCAGCCGCTAAATCAGCATCTTCCAGCACAATAGCGGGTCCTTTACCGCCCAGTTCCATGAATATAGGCTTCAAATACTTCGCGCAGAGCTGACCAATGGCACGACCAACTGAAGCACTGCCAACGAACTCGACTTTTCGGATGGCTTGATGGGCAATTACTGCCTCAGTCACTTCACTAGCCATTTCTCGACTTGCTTGGATTACATTGATTATGCCCTTAGGGAGGCCAGCATCTTCAAACAGCTGAACGAGAAGGTGGTGTAACTGAGGGCAATTCTCAGATACCTTGAACACAACTGTACAGCCCGCCGCGACAGCCGTTGCGATGTTTCTCGCACCAAGGATAATGGGAGAATTCCAGCTAAATAGATGGTCACATATTTCTCTTTGAACAGGGCAAAGGTTGAGAGACTTCAGCAAACGGGATAGGCTTACGGTGCAATGACCAGAACAGGACCGACCGGAACGGTGAACGCAAGAGATAGAACCGACGAGGAACTGGTTTGCGGAATGGATCCGTTCAACGAGGTAATGCATGCGGCGGTTTCCTCGACTAAGCCAACGGCAAGTTCGATATTCTTGCGGCACCATAACTCCGGTGCACTGGTCTCCTCCTGTTGAACAGCGACGAGCCTTTCCGTATTCGCGCGCAGAGATCTGGCGTAATTTTGCAGAAGCTCGCGACGATCTACTGCTGGAACTTTCTTCCAAGTCGTGAAAGCCTCAAGGGCGGCATCTGCAGCGCGTGCCGCCGTTGTCGCATCAGCAGACTCGGCCATATATACATCTTTCTGCTGTACGTTGGAGTATACAGGAAAGCGAATAGAAGGGGCCGATGCCGTATCTTTGCCGCCGATACGCAGCGGGATAATCGTGAGTTGATCCGACATTGCAGAGTATCAGATGAATGGAGTCACTCGGTTGATGGGACAAGCTTATTGTGCGAGTTGTATTTACAAATCGCCAGAGAAGTCCGTTGAAGTATCTTACATATGAATTGGATAGAATGGACATGCCACCCCGCACTACCCAGAAATTAAAACATAGCAGCAGGCCTACGACGTTAGGTAATGTGGGGTTCGCGGGGAACAGTCAACGTCAGCACAGACGAACTTGGGTAGTGGGGAATTATTTAATTGCCCCGAGAAAACATGCCAGCTCTTATTGATCCCACGATGACAGGTACGAGCTACCGCTTGGGGCAGTCCGTGGGGAAACTTTCAAAACAATAATTGATAGAACTTCAAATATATGTATAATATGAATGAATGTAAGGCGAATAATTGTCCCCTTTTATTAGTAACAATTACCCCCTCGGAATTCCAATCGATCATCTTTCAAATTCGACGACACGAAATTCTTGTAATATTGCCTGTCTGTCCTCACCTCTATGCATCCGGCCATGGAATCGTGGAAATTTCAAGCCATAAGGCGCAATGATGCCGACTACGAAAAGGCAAGGTGTTCGTCCGTGTGGAATGGACGTGTGCCAGATCGTTACCCGGCGTTGATCGTCTACCCCGAAACTGAGCAAGATGTTCAAGCGATCGTTGTGTATGCCAAGGAAAACAATATGTCAATTGGGACTAAGTCTGGTGGTCATTCCTGGACGGCCTCTTTTCTGCGCGACGGTGGAATCATGGTCGATATGATCCGCATGAACAAATTTCAGTTCGATGTGAAATCTCGAACAGCGGAAGTCCAACCGGCAGCTTATGGCTCTGATCTCAACGCCGCCCTAGAGAAGCACGACCTCATATTCCCTGGCGGTCACTGCCCGACAGTAGGGATGGGAGGGTTTCTGCTCCAAGGTGGATTTGGCTGGAACTCTCGAAAGTGGGGACTTGCATGTGAGAGCGTGTTAGCCATTGACGTCGTGAACGCTGACGGCAATTTGATACACGCCAGTGCCACAGATAATTCGGACTTCTACTGGGCTGCTCGGGGCGCTGGTTGTGGATATTTTGGTCTGGTGACCCGCTTCTACCTGAAGTTGTACCCCATGCCAAAGGGTATTCTGACTGCGCGTTACGTCTTTGAGCGAGATGTCTTCGATGAAGTTACACTTGCAGTAGAACGTATTTCAGATAAAGTTTCTGAAGATCTGGAGATAGGGATATTTGTCGCCTATGATCAAGATGGTTTCAATGGGCGATGCACAGTTGCTTTGACACTTGACGCACTCTCTGACACCGCAGAAGAGGCTTATCAAGCTCTTAAGCTCATACACGAACTTCCTATCGTACAGGAGAAGTCGATAAAATCATATCCTTATGTCAGTTGTACGCTTAAGGACATGCTTCAACGATTTGACGATATTCTCGATAACAAAGGACGCCGTTATGAGACCAACAACATGTGGACAGACGCTCCGGTGCAAAACTTGTTGGGGTCTATGAACGAAATCATCGATAACCTTCCACCAGCTCCATCACATTTGTATCTCCTTTGGTGGCTCCCAGTCCACAATCGACCTGATATGGCTTTCTCAATGGAAGCTCAATTATATGTCGCCCTTTACGCAATATCGACCGACTCTGGTTACGATGCGCGCAACTCCACGTATGTTGTCAACTCGCTCACTCGTATGGAACCTTTCCGCAAGGGCATTCAATTAGCGGATGAGAACTTGCCGTCCCATCCAGGAAAATTCATGCGAACACAGAACTATGTACGACTAGAGAAGCTTCGGCAGAAGCATGATCCCCAAGGTCGCTTCTATAGCTACATGCGCTTACCGGTGGAGTTTATGACATCGCTTGTCTCCCTTTGAGCAGTTCCGCCTTTTCCGGGTGAATACGGTCATGAAAATATTGCTCAATATTGTCTTTTCTTCAGCTTATTGCAACTAGTCTGCTCTTCATAGTCTGATGTCCCTATTGGAACTGATTACGGTTGGCTCATTATGTTCAATCAATCAAATCAAATCAACACTCTATTAACCTGTTGCAGCCTAACTAGTGGCGTATGGCTATGCAGGCGCTTCCTCCGGCGGAAGCAAGAGTGATCCGAACGCCAGTGCGCACGAAACAGTAAATACATAGGAGAACGGCGTCTTGCCATATAAAATAGCCCAAAATCAGTCCAAAACAGTACCAAAACGCCCGTAATACCCTCAATCCCACAATATATCTCTCAATCAGCCCTCACATTGACTTACCGCTTCCTTTGCATCTCCATCCCCGGTATCCTCCTGCTTCGTCCTCGATTTATAGCGTTCGTTGATGTTAGATGTAGTCGTCCGCGACCTCTCGGTAGGCCTCGGGTTTGGCGTTCCTCCTACCAGCGTCTTCACCCCCTATACCGTTACCAGATCATCCTTATAGATCGTTTTTACTACCCTGCGGGGGCTCTGGCTCGATTTCAACGTGCCGGAACTGTCCCAGAAGGCCTGTTTGTAACATGAATTCGGCCACGTAGCGGGTGGCCTGCGAGTGTGATACAATTGCATCGTAATCCGTCGAATCCCCAAGATCGGTCATCCGGATCTTGTCAAGAAAGGTCTTCCTCAGATCAGCGTACAACGGGCACTGCATTAAGATATGTCTCGGTGATTGAGACCCTTCTCCACAGTAACACTTATCTGATTTAACCGCCTTGGTTTTGTATAAGAAGTGATTCAGTGCGATACGCATTGAGCGCATCTGAATCACAATCGAGGTATACGGCTTCGAAAGAGATTCGAATAGCCGGAGTACCCTCTTGTCTGGTGTTTTCACTAGTCGCTGGTTCGGCTTGCCAGTTCGCTCCTTCGCCCACTCTTGTGCCCATCTCTCTTTGATGCGCCGCCGCACTCGACGCTTGGCGGTCGCTGCTAGAAGGACTCGACCGGTAGGCGCGAGCCCCTCGGGGTAGGGCTGTTCCGCTCCGTTCTCCACACCCCCCGTTGCCGCCAACTTTGCTTCAACGTCAGCGGTCTCGTTGCCAGGAACGCCCACGTGTGCGGGGATCCAACGGATCTCGATGGGAATCTGATCGAACATGGGCGTTTGCTGCAGTGACCGAAGGGTTCGTACGTGGTTATAGATGGAACTTAGCACGTACTGGCCCGACGGTCGCTTTGGGTTTTGCGCCGCCTGTTGGCTCATTATGTTCTACCCGGAACCCTTAGTGAAGTAAGAGAGAATTAAAGAATTCCGTAATCTGTCCAGGTCAAAGTGATTTAGGAAATTAACTTGGGCTGCAGAAGGTCTCACTCTACATCAATCTTGTTGAGTAGAAATAAACATCTCGTAAATTATGGCGCCGTGACGCAAACAAAATTATATTCTATCTGACCCTGCTCAAGGAGTCATAGCCGATACAATTTTACATCTCCGACACCAGTCCCTACGGCAGCCTTTTGACACAACATATCCCTCTATTCTCCATTATACTGATAATTTTATCAAAAGCAAAAACACAGGCCGATCAACAATAATTTGCAACTTCCTCTTGTCAAAGATGCAGAACCGGGAGGGACTATACCCGAAAGGAGCTGAAAACAGTGCTTCGTGGGGAACGGGTCATCCGACGCGGGGAAACTTGAGCTACGTGGGGCCGTACGGTAAGGTATCGACTTGACTTCTTCGTGGTACAACTGTGCCTATAATATTTGCCCTGAGCCCAAATCATGCTTGACAAGTACGTCAAAATTCACGAAGCTAAACCGTAAAATGACGGAAGGAAATCTGGCTCTCGTTTCATATGGCCCTATCAGTTCTGGTCAATGGAAATTAGAATCCGTCATCCCTCGTGCCGTCAAGAGTGACGAGCTGTTGATTCGTATGGTTGCTACGGGCATTTGCCGTGCCGACATTCACTTTGGAGACTTTGCCCTTGAGGAGACTGCCACGAATCCAGCGGCATTTTATCCTCGTGTGATGGGCCATGAAGGTTAGACTTATTCAGTTTGCCGGACATTGATGCTATTCTGAAAAGGTTAATTGACACTCTTGTCTCTTCTCTCAGGTGCAGGCTATGTGGAAATGGTCGGGAGCTCAGTGAAAGGGTTTAACCCCGGTGATCCCGTTATTCTTTCGATAATGTCCTGTGGGGAGTGCTACAACTGCGATGCCAAACACCCAGCATATTGCACCAAATCCTTCGAATGCAATTTCCTCGGTGATCAAAATGTCTATGCCAGCCAGGGCAAGTCAAGCTTCGACATCGCTGGTGCATTTTTCGGACAGTCTAGCTTTTCTGCCAAGGCAATCGTGAAAGAAGTATGCGTTGTCAACCTAAAAGGACTCGAAATCACGCATCGTGACCTACAAATGCTCGCCCCTATTGGATGCAGCGTTCAGACTGGAGCTGGAGCATTTACCAACATTGCCAACGTTCAACAGGATCACGATGTTGCAGTGCTTGGTGTAGGTGGAGTGGGTATGAGTGCGATTATGGTAAGATCAATATTCAATTTCCTGCACACATATGTACTGATCTTATATCATCTGGATCTTGATGCTAACTTGGCTTTCTTCTATAAAGGCAGCTGCAATTATTGGCTGCAAGACGATAATTGCAATTGATAATGTTCCATCTCGCTTACATGTAGCAAAGTCCCTGGGTGCCACCCACGCAATCGATACCTCAGACTCGAAAGTTGATCTCGTGGCTGAGGTTTTGAAGATTACAGACGGCCGAGGAGTACACGTATCCCTTGATACAACTGGCGTCCAGCGACTGGCTAGACAGTGGTGGAACTTTGTGCGCTTTCAGGGTAAAGTTTTACAGGTTGGGTTGGCGAAACCAGGCGACCAGTGGAATGTGTCCATGGCCGACCACATGAATACAGGGCGCCAGATTATTGGCTGCGTTCAGGGCGATTCAATTCCACAGATATACTTGCGAGATCTCGTGTCTTGGTATCTCGATGGAAAGCTTCCAGTTGACAAAATGGTCCGCCCTTATCCGATCGCAGACTGGCGGCAAGCAGTGGAGGATATGCAAACTGGGACTACCATAAAGCCTGTTCTAGTTTGGCCAGATGAACGATCATCAAAAATATAGGCGTTGGCAATTCTACAAAAGCTGCCACATATGTCATATCTCTATTCTTCCAGCGAATAACGACTTGGTTCATCTAAGAGTTGGCCTTATAAAAACCTCAATGCAGCTAGCTATCTGGCAGGCTGCCCTGACAATCGTCAGACTACTCTCGCTGATCGCATTATATGTGTTGCGTGGCCACGGTAGCGCATTTGACGATTTGGAATCCAGCCAAGGCCTGCCGTATAGAATGATTGCTGTTACAGTTATGATGTCCTTTTGAAGCGCAGCTCTCAAAATATTGCGGGATATGGACATGGCTAAAATTAGTTTACGGTCTCATTTCCGGAAGTTTTTTCGGCTCTATCCGAAAAGGAAAAGAAACCCAGAACAGAATTATTAAAGCTCCGGGAACCGCCTAATAGCGAATGGATTACACTATGATTAACAACAGTAGCCCACCGAAGTCTTCTAGCAAGACTAAATGCCAGAGCTATTACATTACCTTTAGAATTCTTCTTTTAGCTAGGACCTGTGAATGAAAACCGAAGGGACAGTGTCAAATATAAAAAATGGGGGAAGTTGTTCTCCTATTCATGTTATAGCTCAGTAAGCCCATTGTAGACATCAAAGACACGACTTGGAAGAGCAGCGGAATTCCCAAAATGGCTCCCCTTTCACCTTACATCAATCATTCAGTTTTCAGCTAATTTGAGTAAAGTAGATAATATGGAGTAAAGGCTATCATATTCTCCGATAAACCTACAGGACAACGTCACAAATTTCAATGGTTGATGAGCAATCGAGATGAATGGATCATTCTAGAACTCCAGTTGAGAGGATTGACTAGAAGTTCAGGTCCTTTGAAAATACAACGCCCTCCTTTCCTGCGACACTGATGGTTCTCTTCGGATCAAAAGAGGGAGGTAGATTCTGGAGCACTTGGACTCTAGAGGCATCTCCGAAAAATTCCATTGCAGCAGCCTCACTTCCAAACCAGTACTGCTCCATGGCCCCGATACTACTCCAATCTGCATTCTCGAACAATGTATCTTTGAAGAACACTGAGGGGTTTGCAGGAGTTATGTCACGATTCAAGACGTAGCGAAGAAGTCCTACTCCTTGCCCGATCTCCCTGACCACCTGTGCCCTAGACTTAAGGTCACTATCAGTGATGATCTGTCCCGTGGAAGACCTGGGTAAGAAAGCGACGACCTCAAAGGCGTTCTGACGATTTTCAAACATGATTGGATCAAAGACTATATCTTCAAAGGCTTGACTGAGCGATCCAATGAACGCCGACTCCGTGAAAACATGCTTTCCAGCACTGGCCTTGTAGCTCGGATGATGGAACGAGCCTTCTAATTTCGTGAGACTGGACCATCCAAGAACGGTTGCAACCTCAAATCTGGACTGGTTAATGCAAAAAGTATTCACGGACGGCTTAGGAACACCAACTACCTGCGTGTAGCTTCGCAGGAATGGAACAAATTGAGATAGTTGTTTCGTCATATTGGCATGGATACCGGTATACTCCGCGACAAACTTTTCATCAGACCAGCCTTTGACACGGTTGGCAACCATAGACATTTTGACTGTTTTTCCATGGTTTAAACTGGATCCTGAAACAGGAGGCAAGGTAGGAAGCTGAAGGAAGCTGTCGTATTTCCCACCGAAGTGAATGACATGTGTTCCCTGGTTGATTGTTTGGCCATGCCGGGCGACCGGGATCATCGGAGGGTATTTCTCGTAGTCATGTCCTGAAATACTAATTTGGAGACGGTCGCCTGCGCGGAATCGACAAGCTGTAGGCAGGATCTCAATATCCACCGGAACTACGTCGCCTGGTTCAAGCAGACGGTCCCTCTGGTGGCTGTGATAAGGCTGGAAATCCGTTGTTTTGGTCTCATCCAGCTCTCGCCTGGAGGCACGTAGATAGCCGAATGCAACTGGACCATTTTCGATGACTGTAAGCCAAGGGAAGTGAACTGTCCTGCCCTCTGCGTCCACTTTCTTCAGAACTACGAAGAGATCCATGTTATCAGCGCCACGGGCTTCAACCCAGAGACGAAGTTTAGCGTATCCGGCAAGCTCGTACGACTCCATGAAAGGGATTTCCCATGTGAGTTCACCTTCTAGAGCATCATATGTGACTTCGAACTCTGTAGGCTGAGCTACCTTTGACAGACTGCAAGACGGGGTCGGATAGTGCTTGCTATAGTCGGTTCCCGGAAAGGGGAAGGAGGGAGCAAAACGCCACTCAGAAACATAAAAGCTTTCACGCATGGCATATCGAACAGGTGGCCAGAACTTAAGCTCAGTCTCTTTTCCGTGCAGGTACGTATCGTAGAATGCCTTCTGTCTGCTAAGAGATTCTTCAGTCAGGATTCCCACCTAGGAAATATTGGTTAGTATAGAGCTGGAAATCTCGCTTAGGCCAATCGGACAATACTTTTGATGACTGTGAATTTCCAAATATTTATTTGGAGAATTGATCTGACGGTAGGCATTCAAGGTTCCGCGCGTGTGGATCCCATGATCACCCCAACCACAGACTATATAAGTTGGACATTTAATCTTTTCCAACCGGGGAATTTTACTGCGCCAGTAATCGTCAAAGAATGGATGCTCAAAATGAGCATTACCACTATCTTCAACCAAGCTTGTCCCCCAGTTGTATAGATGAGGGTACCTAAGCAATCGTTAGCAAGATGGCTCCTGACCTGTGATCGTGGTAGATGGACATACACGGCCATAAACTGCGTCTCAGGAATACCGCCCTTTCGAGCCATCTCTCGATATAGATCTGTCATACCATCGAATGGAAGGATCGCCTAATCTGGTCAACTTCTTCTCGTTCAGTTTTGACATGTTGTTGGCGAGGAACCTACCGTGAGGGATGGAGGCTGTTCAGCTGCAACCAGCCATTGAACCATAGCAAATGCACTGGCACCATACATTCCAACTTTGCCGCTTGACCAGTCCTGGACTGCAAGCCATTCAACTATATCGTATCCTAAACAAGCAAAATGTTTCAGTATAGGAACATATTCTGGAATGGGCACATGCTCTTACCATCAAGACCCACATCTCGAGAGTAGTAGCTCTTGTCACCTTCTGACTTGAAGGAGCCGCGAACATCCACGAAGGCAACCACATACCCTCTTTGAGTCCACCACGGTGCATCGCACGCTTCAAAGCTATAGTAAGGAGTGTGATGACTAGGATCCAATCTGCTGCCTTTCGGGAACATGCAAGCCTCGAGAGCTCCATCTTTACCATAGACAGAATAGTTCAGGAGAACTGGAAGTTTTCTGTCGCTCTGATTCTCTGGGCGGAAGATATTACCACACAACTTGACGCCGTCACGAGTGGGGATAATAACATCGGTATGAATGATCATGCCATCATGGCAGCTAGTGCTTTCACATGGCTCGAGCAGGCCCTGAATTTCAGGATCATTGGCTGTTCGATGGGAGGGTAAGTCAAGAAGATTCGGTCAAGTCATATGAGTAGGAATATGCCGGCGCACCCTTGATGAAACTGCCCAACTTTTTCGCTTTCTCTAGCTCCTGCAGTGTCTGCTGAACAAACGGAGATTGTGAACTCATTTTTGTGAGTCTAATTGAAAGAATGCCTGTATTTTGGAAAAAGCAATGTATCCAAGCCCAATCTAGCGAAACGATCTTATAACATAGTTTGGCGCCTCTAAGTCTGTCTGATCTACTAGTAGTCAATCATTTCTCCATCGTCGGCCCCCGTCGGCCCCGTCGGCTCCCCTCCTCCAACTCTACCTCCCTGTTCTACCCCGCTTGAGTGGGGATTTCTTGCGCTTGAACTTCTTGGTATATCGGATATCCGGATATAAAAAGTTCATCTTTCCATGGATATGAATGTCAATTGTGCAATGGTTAATTGCATTGTATTAATGTGGTATCATGTTATGCCCGTAACCCGCGGGGGATGCCAAGAGGCCAGCCGAACCCTTGTAGACGACAACAACGGTGGAAGTCAGGTGTGACCAATCAGAGGGGCACAACATACAAGACAAAAAGATCCAGGGAGCAAAATAGAACGTTTGTTCAATTAACTTAAGCAATTGATACGTTGGTTGATTAGTTGGTTCTAAGGCTGCTCCCTTTTTCCACTTTTTAATAGTCTTCACTTTGGAGTACAATTCTCAATCTATTGACAAAAGAAAGTACCTCAAGCTATAAGATAATATGGACAAAAGGCTCACGTGGTAGGACTATGCCTCAGAGATATTCTAGCCCATAACCAAACTTGAAGATGGGAAGTTCTGTGTCGTAGGGTAAATCTTCCTTGCTCTTCTCTACGGCTTCCATGCTGCTGGGTAGGTCAAAAGGAAGCCTGCCCTGTGGCTTGGCCCCATTAAATCCCAGGATAACGTCCAAGAATGCATCCTCACTGCTACCATAGCTTACTGTCAGTGCGTTAGCCTGGCTCACAATTTCCGGAATGACAGCAGGACGATCAAGATACACATCCACTATGCTGATAGGGACCTTGGAGAATATCTTAGCTTGGCGAATCTTTTCATCGGAGGAGAATTCCAAAGAGCCAGCACGGAAATGAGATTCGAAGCCGCCCTGGCGAGGCTCAAATGGGCATTTCAGGCGTAAGATAGCAATGTCAGCCTCATCCAAGGAGCTGAGTTCAAATCCTCTTGATGCGGCAGAGGACTGACTGACGCCTTCAACATAGACCTTCTTACCCAGGTAGTGTTCCTTTCGAAGTGGAAGAACACTATTCTGGTTTTTCAGGAGAGTCAATGCGTTTCTTTGAGCTGCCTTGCCCTCTTCTTTCCATGCAGGCTGTCCAACGATCATTTGTGCGGCCTCCGCATTAACAAATGGGTTTTCAAAAAGCCCGAGGTCGAATTTCTCTCGCAATATGCGCGATACGGACTGATCAATCCGCGACTCAGGAATAAGGCCACCCTTGACTAGTCGTATAATCAGATCTGTTCGTGCTTCGCCTCCCAATTGATCACATCCGGCATCGAGGATTTTCTTGGCTCGTTCCAATTCCGAAAGGCTCTCGCATCCCCAAGCGCGTGCTGGCATTGCCTGGCCTAGAATGACAGTATCCGTCAGAAGGCCCCAGTCGGTACAGATGATACCCTGAAACTTCATCCTGTTGCGGAGAATGCCTGTTATCACCGCTTTGTTGAATGCAAACCCAACTTCCTCCCATTCAGTGCCTACTGGCATGCCGTAGTATGGCATAATATGGCGGGTACCAGCACTAATAGCTTTTTCGAAGGGCTTCAGGTGATACTCGATGTTGTTTCCAGGATACACTTGCTCGCGACCATAAGTAAAATGAGGATCTTCTCCATTCAACTGTGGGCCACCTCCAGGGAAATGCTTGGTCATTGTTGACACGCTGGTGGAAGATAGATCCTTGCCCCCCTGGAAGCCACGAATATAAGCCTGGACTAGTTCCCCTGATAAATCTGCGTCTTCACCAAACGTGGCACTGATTCTGGCCCACCGATATTCTGTTGCTAGGTCGACTTGGGGGTGAAGGGAAACCCGCAAGCCCATTGCGATATACTCCTGCCTCGCGATATCGGCAAATCGCTCGACCAACTTGGTATCGCGTAAAGCTGCAAAGCCCAGTGTTTCGGGCCATAAACTCAGGGAGCCAGCAGAGAACGCGGTCCCCACGTTTTCGTTGAAATGGTTTCGAGGATCAGAGGAAATAGTAACAGGTATTCCCAGGCGAGTATGAGTCAGAACATACTCCTGGAGGGTGTTCTGCCATTTGGCAATCATTGATGGATCTTGAATTGCCCCAAGAAGATTGAAATGGCTTAGATATTTTTCGGAAAGAAGCGACTTCGTATCTTCAATGCCAAAGTTCAGCTCTGCTGGCGCAAGCGATCCTTCCGGTCCTGGAAGGAGCATCGTATGAAAAAGCTGTCCGGCTTTTTCGGCGAGAGTCATGCGACCCAACAGGTCTGAAACCCTTTCGTCGGTTGATCTTGAGCTATCACGGTAAAGAGGCTTTGCCTGCTCAGCCGCATAGGAAGCCATTCTCAATTGTCAGGCACTTGAAACAATGAGGGAAATCAAAAGTTGATATCGCTCAATGTAACTCAGCAAAAGTGATTGGGGATGCGTCTAGCGTGCTAGAAAGGCTAAACATCGTCCTGAAACGGTATTGTGCCAATTATTATATCCGAGTGAAAGCCAATTTCGCCGCCCTTCAAGAACGTGGTGAGGGGCACCGCAACTTCCGGGTGGTCCGCTCGAATTTTCGGGGCTAAATTAAGCGACAAATGCGGCATTTGAAAACACCACGCTCAGCAGTTTTGAGCGCCCAAAGGAGCAGTTGCGGTTTGGGTCCCCGCGCCCTACGGATGTAGTCGGTCGCTTCAATCCGATAGGCCCCCGCAACATCCGACTTTGCCCCAGGTTGGGCCATATGGGGTGTGGAGAGAAATAACTGTTCTCCAGGCAGAGAGAAAAGAGGCAACTTAGATAGCAACCTCTCAAATGGCGTCCAATTGAGTTCGTTCACTTACCCTTTCAGAATTACATGTCCAGAAACACCCTCGGCATACAGTGTCAACAATTTGACTTTCGACTCAAGCTCCCGGGGGTATATATTCCTCTTGGAGGCCTGTTCAATTCTCCGATCAGTAGTACGGGGAGATAGGATTTCCTTTCTTGTTTCAGAATGTCCAAAGCTCAAGCCATGGGTGGGAGCCCATCCGAGTCGACGCGTGATGCTCATGACTCCCAAAACCTCCCACTTAGAGACGTCGTCAAGTTGTACAAGAAAGCTATACTCTGGTCCTTGGCGATATCTTTGTCGACCATTATGGAGGGGTACGATGTCGTCCTTCTGGGAAGCTTCTTCGGGCTCACCCCCTTTTATCGAGAGGTAAGTCAGCTTTTCCATTCCGTATTGCTTGAACAGTATTAAATGTCCCCTGCAGGTATGGAGCAGTTGATTTGTCTGGTCATGCAGTTCTGTCAGCAGCCTGGCAGTCAGCAATCAACTGTGGAGGGCTGGTACGTATTATTTCACCAACATATACTGTCTTTTCATGTCACGGCTGCCATTCTCATCCTGTCAGCTGCTTGTGGATTTGAGACTAAAATCTTTGTCAGGCTGGGTGCATCATTGGTCTTTATCTGAACAGCTTGGTTGCCGATCAAATTGGTTACAAACTAACACTCATTGGCTCCTCGCTCTTAATGTGTGGTTTTATTTTTCTCACGTTCTTTGCACAAAATATTATCACTATCCAAGCCGGTGCTGTTCTGATTGGAATCCCTTGGTCAGTATCCACTTCAACTTCAAGCTTACTTTTTCCTTCCTTGCACTAAGAAAATCAAATAGGGGTGTATTCCAGATCCTACCACTTACGTATATTGCGGAGGTTATTCCTGTTCGACTAAGGGGGTATATGACCACTTTCATCAACCTCTGTTTTGTCACTGGTCAATTGGTCGGGTCCGGAGTGGTGAAAGCCTTTTCTTCGCGAATGGACCAATGGTCCTACCGCCTGCCTCTAGCTATACAGTGGGTCTGGCCGCTGCCTGTTATTCTTTTCACTCTTCTCGCACCCGACTCACCCTGGTGGTTGGTGCGTCGTGGGAGAATAGAGGACGCGAAGAAATCTCTGCGGAGGCTTACTTCTTCAACCTGTGGAGTTCCAATTGACATCGATTATGAAATCTCAATGATCCAGGCTACAAATGATCAAGAATTGTCGCTTAGCACAGGAACAAGCTACTTTGACTGCTTCAAAGGAACAAATCTTCGCCGAACGGAAATCGTGTCGGTTGCATGGCTCGCCCAGACATTTTGCGGGTTCGGCTTGGTTTCATACTCAGTGGTATTCTTGGAGCGCGCAGGCATCAGCGAGTCAAATAGCTTCTCCTTTACTCTGGGTATTTCTGGCTTGGGCTGGATCGGTACAGTGGGTATGTTGAATAAGATTATTCCTTCTATCCCCTTCCACATCTACTTGGAGCCTTCGTGAGGGTGGGTTGAGATTAATTATATTTTCATTAAACAGCATCTTGGTACCTACTTGATCATTTCGGGCGACGTACTCTATATCTCTCAGGATTAACTGGGATGTGCGCCGTTTTGCTTATTATCGGTGTACTTGGTGCTTGCCAACAAACAACAAACATCAGCTGGGCTATTGGATGTCTTTTGCTCGTGCTAGCTCTAGTATACGACCTCACTATTGGTCCCGTATGCTTTGCAATTGTCTCAGAAATTCCTTCAACACGCTTGAAAATCAAGTCTTTAGCGATTGCTCGCAACATTTACAACATGGTAAGACTCCTTCCGAATATGCAACTCAAAAACCTAAGTCACTTTCTGATCCCATCAAGGGCTTTATCGTCACCAATATCTTAGTACCTCGTATGATCAGCAGTGCCTCATGGAGCTGGGGTGCCAAGTGCGGATTCTTCTGGGCCGGAATGTGTGCGGTTTTGTTTATTTGGACCTTCATTCGTCTCCCAGGTACGAAAAGCCTACTTCTTAACTCAGACAACCGTTTAACACAAATTCAGAAACTTCTGGAAGGACCTTTGCCCAGATTGACCTTCTTTTTGAAAATAACATCAAGGCCCGGGATTTTGCGACAACGGACACTGCCCGTTTTTCATTGGAGATCGCTGCTGGCATGAAAAAACCAGATTATGAGTTAGCAGAGCACGTGGAGCGTGTGTGATTGTCTTGCAATAATATCTGTCTTCCAATGCCCCTCCGAGGTTCGGAATGAATCCCCATATTCCCTACTAGGGCTTTGGGAAGTGATTCTGTATGTTCACTATCCTGTTTGACAAAATCGGATCATTATCGGACCCACACTACATGGTTGAACGAACCCTTCACCTCCTATCTACAGTCATTGAATTTCATGGACTTACGCAATATTTCCCTTGTCCTAGAATTTAGAAAGGCAGGATCTTCGAAATACAAGAAGCAACGGCAGATAGAAGTGGCATATTTTCAATCAAGGTTTTGATACACATTGAAGTCATACAGACTCGTGTCGAGGTAGTCAAAGAGATATCCTTGAATATGTAGTTCAACTTGCTGCCCCTATTCTCTTGTATCGGGCCGCAGCTCTGGCGGGTTCCCTCTAATAGTAGCCTCAAATGGTGGGTCCACTATAGTCCATTATATTACGTTAGATCTAGAGATAGGTACACATAACGCGATATCTGATCGGGAGCAAAAGATTTGCCGACTAGTGTGTCCACAGGTGGCACGAGTCAATTCAAACAATAGTTGAGTTAGCCTCAGAATTCGCCCAACAATTGCGAATTCTACGGTTTACTCGCTTTGATGTCAACTAGCCTGCACAGCATATGTGATTGAGTTACCTTGAAAGAGATATACAATTATAGAGGCACCGTCTTCTTGCCGTTTCAATGAGCGATAGGATGCAGATTGAGACCAGGATGAAAGATTCAAGCACTCTTTCTACGATTTGAAGCATTTTAGAGGGCGAATATGAAATAAAAGTAATGGTCTATTGTCTATGTGTCAATGATATAGAAACAATGAGAGCGGACGTGACTGAGAGATGGAAGTGCGGGCCTATCAGATCAACTTTTTCAATAATAAGCCTTTCGATACGTACGAGATTGGCAGCGTGGAAAAATATGGGTACCCCGGCCTTCGTGTCTACAGAAAAGTTCTGATTAAAGCACTCCTTGCAAAGTGTGTTGAGAAGAACATCGAAATTATCTTCGGCAAGAAATTCACACGAATCTTATCGGAGTCTGAGGCCGGGGTGACCTGGGAATTTGAATATGGCACTGTTGGCCAAGCGGCCAGTCTCGTTGGTACCGACGGTATTCACTCTCGTGTTCGGTCTTACCCTCACCCTGATATTGAGCCAAAGTTCATGAATGTCATGGCAATTGGAGCGACAATTCCGACGAATCGGGTTACGCTGCCCGAGAAATATGCCTTGCCTGTTACAATCATGAGCAAAAACCATGGCGCTTACATCCTCGCCCCGAACTTTCCTGATGGCTCTGAATTAGTCATTGTCAAACAGAGAAGAGTTGAGGAACATGACCGGGAGGGCTGGAAGGATCTCTTGGCTGACAAAGAAGGATCTGATGATTTCCTTCGTCGGGGAGTGGAATATTTCCCAGACATTGTCCGTCAGGCTATCTCGGCAGTTACACAAGAGTCTGTATCCATCTGGCCCTTTTATCAAGTTCCGAAGATGGACAAGTGGACGTCAAAGGGAGGTCGCGTCTCCATTCTTGGAGATGCTGCTCATGCCATTCCCCCATCCTCGGGACAAGGGGCCAATCAAGTCTTTGAAGATGCCTACACCTATGCTCTGATGCGCGGTCAGTGCGATGGAGCCTCGTTGGATTTTGTTTTGGCAAAATGGCAACGTGGTCGACAGGAACAGATTGACCGTCTGATTGTTCTGGCCCAACAGATGAATGTCCGTCGCTTTCCCGAGTTGGCCCAAAATGGAATCAATAACGAGGTCTTTGGAACGGAGGACTTCAACATGGAGTGGCTTTTTAAACCGAACCTAGATAAGCTGGTTCAAGAATGGCTCGCTGCCTGATTTTGAAGGAGCTTACCAGTATTTTTTTTACTTTTAGTCACTAGATAGGTACTGTATACGCAATGAACGGTTTTCCACTCTCTTTAGTGCAAGTAGAACGATTCATAGGTTTTTATGGAATCTCCCCCGGGTCTTCCCCTCCTGGATTGTGCCAGCTGTTTACAGGGTCGGTTCTTGTGGGCCCATATTAGGCCGTTTTGCTTCTAGTACTCTCGTTAGATATGATCGAACTTCATTGGTTCTTCCACCTTCCTTACGCTTAGCGATCCTATCTCCATTTGGTTATATTATCCGATTCTTCTCATATTTGATGATTTGGCTATCTTTTTTTTTCCTCTACTAAACTCATGCTATAGACATCAAGGTGCGGAGGCCATGTTACGCGGTGTCAACTTATCACTGTGAATAGAGCTGACTACGGTTAGACTTGCTTAATTTCTATTGAATTCTTAGAGTATCTCACAACCATACTCTGAGCCTCATATATATTATATTTCGGCTATAAATCCATCAATCAGGCTAGTTTAGTAGTATTAAAACTTATTAATTAATTATATATAGATTCGAGATTGTTTAGGTAAGTAACATCGTATAGGTAGAGGACCCTCGCGCAGTACAGATCCTATTATGATTTTCGCTATAGTGCCGTTTGTAGATTAACACCTTAGGTCCTGATGAGTCTAAGTCGCTAAGGTAGTAGTATAGTGGGGGAACCCCTGACAGATTTTTGATGCCTTGCCAGATTGCGTAATTGGCTATTCTTTGCTTTGATGTGCTTTCTGCTCTCTGCTAAGTCTTTTGCCATTTTTGGTTAGTTTAATTTGTTAATTTGGAGAGTTATGGTGAAAAGCATCATGTAAATGGGAGGAGAAGGGAGATTGTACACAGACACAGTCTTTTCGGTCTACATACAATTTACGTGCACTTTTTACGAGTCTTCTATTATAATCAACTCAGTCTATTTCCTTCATCTTCTAGCGGTCACGTTCTCGTATCTAATTGACCCATCCAGTATTGTTTGTTGCGCGTACTTACTCTTCGGTAGGTTTTGTATGGCTTCTTGCCGCCTTATAGGCGGTGTTTTTCATAGCTTCGAGTCCCTCTCTAATTGTCTCTTTATTTCGTGCGTTGGCCTGTCTGTTTCTATCAGACTGCCACTGCGTATCCCCTCGTTTATTAGTTACTACACTTTCAGTAGAAATGATTTCTAGTGGAAGAATATCGTGAGATCTCAGAACTAACGATACTACTGAGAACAACGGGTCTGGTACATTCTTGAGGGGTTACGGAGGGTACTTATGGCTCGGGAAATATTCTGAAGTAATTCAAACCTATCTGAATCATTTGTGGTACTTAAATCACCGTCATTATTTAGAAGTACCTCCGCTGAACTTGAGTATTTGAGGCGCCTTAGATCTGACCATAGTAGTCCTAAGACTAAATATTGCATTCCTTAGTTTAGCGTTCAGTTCAAGATTATTATGAAGGAATTTACAAGGTGGACCCCTTTAGACAGACTTCCGAAGTCACCTCCCATCTTGCCATCAATTTTTTCACACAATACCTCCATTCCTATCAACCAAGTACGTGCTCCACATGTTGCGACTATTGATCAAATCGGCAAGGGGGAATAGTTAACTATAGTCAACTAACTAGTAAGAGAGTGGGTCCTCGATGACTCATATAGCCCTGCAAATTTTTCATTCATAATTTCATAATTTTCTTGCGAATATCAATAACAAGCAAGCTGGCGCATAGGAAGCGCGTCGGGCTCATAACCCGAAGGTACCTGGATCGAAACCAGGGTTTGCTATCTTTTTGCTCCCTTTTTTTCACCCACCCTACCACTTCCTACCCAGTCTCTTATCTCTCGCGCATTCTCTTTTTTTCTAAAATTGATGGTGTATTATTCTTACATATGAGGATTTTATTTTCAAATCAAAGATTCGTAAAATGCTGTTCAGACAATAGCCCGATCATGGCTTGAGAGGAGTTTTCCTGGCTATCGCATGATGGACGACTCTGGGTCTGGACTCGGGCACCACCACCAAATCCTGCAGAATTTGCCATCAAATAGGCGAGGAATAATCTGTTTGTTTTCATAATGTGGCATTCTAGGATTGGTAGGCTCGAGATACACTGCAGGCGTATACGTTGGCATGACTGACACGATATATATATATGGCAGGCAGCGATGATCTGCGGCCAGAACTCGTCCATTAACAGTCAAGCTTTGAGGCACCGCGTAAGGCTGTGCACGAGGTAGAATTATAGACATACAGCAATTACCCAGTTAAGTCTAACCAACTGTCTAAACTATGCATTGTACTCTTCAAACCTGAAGACACCACCCGTGATGATCCGCCAGTCCACAAGCAACTAGAATTTGGAGCAGACCGGATATACCCAAAAGCCAAACAGATGGAGTCCGGAATACAAAGTGAAATGCTTGGTCAGAATATCCTGTAATTAAGCTCAAATCTTTGAATATTAATAACCTTAAGGCCGGGAATCGCGGGGTTCGGGGTTAGATCCGGGCGTTGAAATGACATCATTACGAAGTTCGCAGCGAATGTTCCATTTATCATCACTCCGGGCGGGTTTAGCTCGAAGCTGACAAATTATTGACAGAGGCGGGGATTGTACTTATCTTCGGAGCTTGAGTGACAGAGTTTATGGTAGTCTTATCATTCTTAAATACACTGGGAATGCTCCCTCGCACCATAAATACCAGCTCACTCAAAGCTGCTTCCCGACTCTCCAGCCTATCCTCGACTATCCGAGCTGCCTACTCCACCATGTCGTCCAACATCACCCTTTATTCCTGGACCACGCCGAACGGCATCAAGGCCTCTATCACCTTGGAGGAGCTTGGTTTGCCCTACAAGATTGAGCCGATCGACATTAGCACCAATATTCAGAAGGAAGAGTAAGGAATTAACCAATAAATAATTCGAGAGGAGCGGCTTTTGCTGACGACCGTGCGAAAATAGCTGGTTCTTGAAGATTAACCCCAATGGTCGCATCCCCGCTCTCACAGATGGCTCGCAGCGTGTTTTCGAAAGCGGATCGATTATGCTGTACCTTGCCGACAAGTACGATACCGAGCGAAAGATTAGTTATGCGCCCGGCACCCCCGAATACATCGAGCAGCTCTCTTGGGTAATGTTCCAGATGGGTGGCCTGGGTCCCATGCAGGGTATGTCATGACACGCTACCTTTAGATACTCTACATCTGGTATATGCTAAACTTCGCTCTAGGTCAAGCAAACCACTTCCGGCTCTTTGCTGGTGTCCGCTCCGACTACGGCATTAAGCGATACACCGACGAGACGAAGCGACTCTACTCGGTCCTGGATTCCCGCTTGAAGGAAAGCCCATACCTCGCTGGCTCAAAGTACACAATTGCCGATATTGCCAACTACTCGTGGGTTCGCAGCGGTCCCGGCGCCCTAGAGATTGACCTCTCCGAATTCCCTGCTCTGAAGAAGTGGGCCGATGAGATTGGGCAGAGGGCTGCGGTGCAGAAGGGAGCAGATGTACCTCACACTGGTCGCACGGATGCGGATCGTGCGGAATTCTTCAAGAGCGCCCGTGCTAGAATTGACGGCATGGACAACTCCGATAAGCATTAAGTGGATACTATACACAACAAAGCGTTGATATGCAAATGACTGTCAATTGATGATACAAAAATGAATGCTAGCTAAAGCTCGTATATTATACTCATAGTAAAGTTTTTTCAAAAGCAAACCAAGTCGGTTGTCGTAGATAGCCAAATGGAAACCTTGAAGTCACAGGATGCTCATCTCGGGACACAATCATTTCGCCTCACCGGAAGCACTCGTCCCCTAGATTGAATATTGAATCGTTTGACCACCTGGAGAAAATCACTAATACGCTGGGCCATGCGCAATTTCTTCGACTGTGATTCATCCCATTCGGAGAGTGACGCTATCAAATACAGCCAAGATCGTCTGAACTCAGGCCCCTGATCTGGTTGGCGAGGAATCAATTCGTAACTACTGGTAAAAGGATCAGTCGAAGATATTTCTCCCTGATATCTCATTTCACTGTCAATGTCCCACAAGATACACAGAATTTCCAGGTACGGGTAGTCCGAACAGGTTCACGATTCGATCGGCCAGAAGCCCCATTTCCCATCGGTATCGAATGATCGAGGTAATTGTGGATGCAATTGGTTCTTGATCATCGGTACAGTCCCCCTCATAGAATGTCTGGAGGATTCTCCCCAATGCTGCCGTGGGTTCACAGTCCCAGTCACCGGGGCAGGTATTCTCATGGAAGAGTTGTGCTAGTTTCTTGACTAGACCCTCTCTGAGGTAATATGTCATTTGCTCCTTCAGTTCTGCCTCGCTTAATGGATCTTGGAGCTGTATGGCCCTTACTGGGGTATTGGGGCGTGGGTTTGAAAGTGGGTTCGACGTTCTGCTCATTCCGACTGTGAAGGGGAGATTTCCAGACGAGGGTAATAGTGTACTTGGGAGTTGGAGTAAGGATCGAGAAACTACACTAATGATAATATCTAAGGATGATCAAGTATCTGACCGTATTTTGCCTAGTTCCATATATACTTCCAAGGTTGGAAGGATGCCGCGTCCACACAGAGATAGGTCGGAGTAAGTCGTGATTTAAGGTTAACAGTGTGGTTGAACAAAGCTCTTTGTTGTACATAAGAGCTTAGCTTAGCCTCATTTTTGCTGAAGCGTCTGCCCCAATGTAAACTTATTTAATGTTTTACTTGACATGGACTTCTTTTAGTTCTGAATCTAATCTTACAAACCATCACTAGAGTAGCAGCTTTATAGCGTCTCTCACGATGAGACGTTGCATCCGCCAAGTGGATCCCCAGGAACGCGGAGTGCCACTATTTATCGCTCTGCCATTCCCCGCGCCGACCGTCAACCTTTCGTCAGTCAATCAGCGCAATGACAACGACAGAACTCCAGAAACAAGTTGGCCAGGTAAGGAGGCTTAGTGTTCTTATAAGAAGGCTATAAAGCTGACGATAACATAGCTCTTCGCGGTCGGCTTTCACGGTCATACGCCGAGCCCAGAGATCAAGACCTTGATTCACGATTATCACGTCGGTGGCATCGTCCTCTTTTCGCGCAATTTCCAGTCTGCCTCCGAGCTACGGGTAAAGCTCCAAAAATTTCAGTTTCCTATACCTCCATACCTTTGTGCTGACCGGTCAACCAACAGGCCTTGACACTGGCTTTGCAAAATGAAGCACGATCCGCGGGGCATGCTCAGCCTTTATTCATTGGAATAGACCAGGAAAATGGCCTGGTCACCCGAATCTTGCCTCCAATTGCCCCCCAAATTCCAGGGCCGATGGCCCTAGGTGCTGCACATGATCCAGAATTGGCCTACAGAGCCGGGAAAGCCACGGGTGAGATCTTGAACTTCTTTGGAGTCAACATGAACTATGCCCCGGTCTGCGATATCAACTCTGAGCCGTTGAACCCTGTCATTGGTGTTCGTAGCCCTGGCGATGATCCAGAATTTGTCGGACGGTTTGCTAGTGCTACGGCACGGGGACTGCGGGAAAAGAAGATCGTTCCCAGTGTGAAGCATTTCCCCGGGCATGGTGATACTGCTGTTGACTCGCACTACGGGCTGCCTGTCATCCCGAAAACGAGAGATCAACTTGAACGCTGCGAGCTGATTCCATTCCGCCGGGCTGTGGCGGAGCAGGTGGAAACTGTTATGACTGCCCATATCTCCCTTCCTAGCATTGATGACAAGTTCCCTGCAACGTTGTCGCCTAAAGCTCTGGGTATCCTGCGGAATGACATGGGCTACGACGGTATGGTTATCACTGACTGTTTGGAGATGAACGGTATTCGTGCCACGTTTGGCACGGAGCAGGGCTCGGTGCTCGCGTTGCAAGCTGGCAGTGACAGCATCATGATTTGTCACACATTCGAGGTGCAAGTAGGCTCCATCACGAAAGTCTGTGATGCAATTCAGTCTGGCGCAATCGAGTCGTCACGTCTGGCAGATGCCTGTCGCCGCGTGGCTCATGTAAAGGACAAGTTCTTGACTTGGGATGATGCATTGCGTGAACAGAGTCTTCAAGAGCTTGACATCTTGAATACGAGGATCTCGCCAATTTGCGAAGAAGCCTACGAAAAATCAGTCACGCTTGTTCGTGACAGCGCCTCAATTATTCCTCTTTCTAAGACTGCAAATATTGTCCTCCTCTTCCCGGGAGATAAAACCCCTGCTGGTGGCGCAGTCGATGGAGAGGGCATGGGTCGGCAGGGTTCATATGAGGCTACAGCCTATTTGGACGCCCTCCGACGACACAATCCATCAATAACAGAAATCAAATACGGAGAGACCGGTCTCCGTGATGACCAATGGGACATCGTCAAGGCAGCTGATGCTGTGATTTTCGTTTCGGTCAATGCGCGCGAATCTCCATACCAAGATTCGTTGGGTAAATTGCTTCCCAAAAACGCTCGGTCGCTGGTTGCCATTGCTGCCTGCAACCCTTATGATTTCTTGCAGGTGCTGGATATCCAGACATACCTTGCTACGTACGAGCCAACCGTTGAGGCGTTTTCTGTGGCTGCTGACATCATCTTTGGCGCAAAGACTGCCAAGGGGTCTCTGCCAGTCGGTCTGCCCGATCCGAAGAAATCTGATATGCATGTGGCGCGGTTTGATGCAGAGAAAGATATCGATTCTATCGTGTCTGTATGGAAGGAAGCGTTGCCAACGTACATCTTGCCTACTGATACTTTGCGATCTTTAATTGATCGGAAAAACGCATATCATTTTGTTGCTCGTATCGGATCCGAACTAGTCGGATTCTGTCTTGCTTATACTAATGCCCACGGAGGCCCAAAGCCCGTTCACCTTGCGGTACTAGCGGTGTTGCCCAAGTATCAGGGACAGGGCATTGGAACTGCGCTTCTGACCGAAACGCGATCGTACTTCCGAACGCAGTTTGACATCAATCAATTGAAGCTTGGTAGCTCATTCCCACGATTCTGGCCGGGAATACCCCGGGAGCTTCCAGAAACGGTGCAAGAGTTCTTCGTCCATCGTGGATTCCGACTCAGCCCGCCTGGTTCGAGGTCAGTTGACTTGTTCCAGGACATTCGGAATTTCCAGGCTCCAGAGAAGTATATCACGCGCGCGCAACAAGGAGGGTTCCGTTTTGCACCTTTGCGACCGGAGGACTATGAGGCATGCTTGGTCGGGCAGAGAAGGAACTTCTCGGATAAATCCGTATGAACACGAGTATTAACCCTTTGAAGAATTTACGAGCTAACAAAGCCAATGTTCATTATAGGGTTGGGTCGAAGCTTACGTCACTCTTCATCCTAAAGACTATCCCGATTGTGTGATGACTGCCTTTGATTCTCAAGGCCAACAAGTCGGATGGACCTTGATGCTGCCCCCCGTTCCAGCTCTAAACAAGGTCTGGGCGTTCCCCCAGATCTGCGGTCCTCAGACTGGTTTAATCGGCTGCGTGGGCATTGATGCATCTCACCGCAAGTCTGGTATTGGATTGGCAATGATCTGTCACGCGATTGAGAATATGAAGCAGCGTGGTATCGAGGGTGTCTTTGTAGATTGGGTTGCATTAGATGGATGGTATGAGCAGGTTGGGTTTAAGACCTGGCGCAGCTATCGGCCTGGTGAGATCTGATACGTGTCTCTTGGCTGTGATGTGACTACTTTAGGTGATACATACGAAGGTACTCTACTTCTCATGATGATAAAGTATGACTACTATGACAGGTGTGTGCCATGGACTGTATCGAGTAAATGGAGCAACTATACCGTAGCGGGATGCCCGAGCATGTATTGCAACCTTGGTCCGATAATTTGACCGACTCACGGGATTTACGGAGTTTGCACCACTAATGTCAGGGTCTACAAGACCCTGAAACTGGGTCCTTCGACCGACTTTTTCGCCCGCTTCCATGGAATTCGCCCGATTCTTATCTCCGGGAATCCTCCGAGAGGCCGAGCAAGACGGTTAAGGGGGGAAAATCGCGGGCTTGCAGCCTAATAGTACTTGGAATCGGTGTTGCTGAAGGCTAAATTGTTCCATGCACAGCTAATAGGTTAGATTGGATCTAGTGCTTATGTGACTCATCTGGACTAGTGTCCGAAAAGGGCAACTCGCACTTGCTTCCATATTTTTCACTTGCACCGGAGAATTGACGCGCTGAGGCTAATCGAACGCCTTCGAGCTCACTGATTGGTCCATTTCGAAAATCCCGACTCGTATTTGCTTCACGCTACTGCGCCAACCGCACCCGTCGTCCATGTGTCGCATGGAAAATTACGGTAAATCGGCTAGAAGACACGCCGATTTCCGATCTCGTAAAAAGGAAGGAATCGTCGTCATAGACCATATAATAATGGTTCCCCTCGTCGCGTGGTTTGAATGTTTACTAGAGGGAGAAACAGCGTGTGGATGGTATGCTATAACTTCTAATTAGCACTGACCAGAGGCCTTCTTTTCTTAATCCCCTAATTCTAGCCTGGTACGCTCAGGCCTCGGGACTTCACCTTCAATCAAAAGTTTCGAAACGAGTTTCCCGTCGTGATCTTCAGCAAAACATATCGACAATGACGGCCGCCAGCAGTACAACGGATGTCGAAACGGCGCCAGAGAAGGACATTAAGGATATCAAGGAGGAGGTACCGACACCAAAGGAGCCAGAATACCCTCCTCTAGCCAAGGTGATCGTCATTATTCTTGCCCTCTACCTGGCCGTCTTCTTGGTGGCCTTGGATCAAACCATCATTGGTGTGGCTATTCCCAAAATCACCGATCAATTCAAGAGTATTTCGGATATTGCCTGGTATGGCAGCGCATATTTCCTTACGTCGACGGCACTGCAACCGTCTTATGGCAGAATTTACAAGATTTTCAGCGTGAGTTTTTGCTAGCATTACTCCACCAAAGAACACCTACTGATCAACCTGTTTTTTTACAATCCAGGTTAAATGGGCCTTTTTAGCTGCCGTTCTGATCTTCGAAATTGGCAGTTTAATCTGCGCCGTGGCCCCTTCTAGTACCGTCTTGATCGTTGGACGAGCGATTGCAGGAATCGGTGTCGCGGGTATCTTCTCCGGTGCCCTTGTCATTATCTCTATGACAGTGCCTTTACCCAAGCGTCCTCTTGTTTTTGGCATGTTCGGCATGGTTTGGGGAATTGCCTCTATTGCAGGACCTCTTCTTGGAGGTGCTTTCACTGATGGCATCTCGTGGAGGTGGTGTTTCTATATCAACTTGCCGATTGGTGGGCTTTCGATTTTGGTCATCCTATTCTTCCTCCGACTCCCAGTCACAAATGAGTGGGCGGGAAAGCCAATTCTGGAACGAATCCGTCAATTGGATCTGATTGGCGCAAGTCTATTAATCCCCGCGATTGTCTGCCTTCTGCTTGCTCTCCAATGGGGAGGCAACAAGTACGCCTGGAACAACTCACGAATCATTGGCTTATTCGTGGGCTTCGGACTGCTAGCAATTCTCTTTGCTATTTCTCAATTGTGGATCGGAGAGAAGGCCACCCTGCCACCTCCCATCTTGAAACAACGAACTGTACTTTCGTCGTGCTTGTTCGCCCTGTTCTTCGGAGGTGCCTTCTTCCTACTCGTCTACTATGTGCCCATCTTTTTCCAGAGTGTGGAAGGATCTTCTGCGATGAAGTCTGGTATTCAGCTACTTCCTATGATGCTGGCCACTGTCGTCTCATCCGTGGTCGTCGGTGGACTGATCACCGCTGCCGGGTACTATACTCCCTTCCTGATCGTCAGTGCCGCTATCGCAGCTATCGGCACTGGTCTCATCACCTTGTACGACATTGATATTTCCTCCGGAAAGTGGATTGGCTATCAGATTGTTGTTGGTGCTGGTGTTGGTGCTGGATTCCAAGTTCCTATGACTGCCGTCCAGACCGTCCTCAAGCCGGAGGATATCCCCATCGGAACAGCCGCAGTGATGTTCTTCCAAACGCTAGGAGGTGCTCTTTTCATTGCAGTTGGTCAATCCGTCTTCCAGAATGGCTTGATCAGTGGAATCGTCAAGTATGCGCCTGATGTGGCGCCCAAGGCTATTATCGGAGCGGGTGCGACTGAAATGCGCCATGTTCTGAGCGAGTTGGGACAGCTTAGCCAGCTGGACGGTGTCATCAAGGCTTATATGAGTGGACTGCGGGATGCTTATCGGGTCAGTCTTGCGCTGGCTGTGGTGGCATTCGTGGCTAGTCTCTTCTTGGAGTGGAAGAGTGTGAAGAAGGCTGGAGGTAATAAGGACGAAGTTGCGGTTCCGGCTCTTTGAGTGTCGAGCGGATGATAATATGGGTTGGCTTTTTGCTTTAGCTTGAAAATATTTAATGACTGTAATACTATCCATAGATTGCTAATAATAAATCTCCTCTTCATGAGCATGCTTGAAACTACTTTTATCATCGTTTGATCTTCTGAAAAACTGGTAGCAGGCATGAGATGATGTATGTAAGCAGTCGGCACATGGCAACCTTAAAGTAAGGTTACTCCAACAGAGGGTCTCATGTGGACGGCTCCAATGTTACCTAACATTCAATGAGACCTAACCTTATCACTCCAACCTCGTTTGATACGGAATAGTGGATGATAAGAGGGGATCAACAGCGACTAGCCTGGTCGTGGAATGCGGGGTAACACTCGCGAGGGAGAAAGAGGACGACAGCTTAAAGTGAAATGAGCCCGGCTTGTTTTTGATCTTCACTTCACTCACTTCGGAACTACCAACGCAGCGACCGAGATGGAGAACTCAGCCGTGAGAGACCGCCGAGAACAGGGGTCCAAAACAGACGCCACGGTGGAGGTGGCTGCTACGCCCGCCCAGCCCGAGCATACCCTTGAGGAGTACGAGCGGCTATTTGGCGTCGATGAGGAGGCGTATGAGCAGCCCACCACCACCCGCAAAGAACTGTGGTCTTATTACCTCTACTACAACGGTGAGCTCATGAACTCGTGAGCTCGGAGGGCCATCCCTCGTCTCGTACTCTGATACTGACAAGATCAATCTAGGTGACAATGGAGTTGGCCCGGGTTCTTACAGCCAAGCCCTGTACGTGTACCACGCTATCAAACGAGGCTGAACCCCCAGAGCGACTAATTTTCTTCTAATAGCTTTCAATGGGCACTGAATGGTGCTGGCTTTCAGCCCGACACAAATCCACCCCAGCCCTGTACGACGTCCTCGGCATGCGTGGTACCTTGGGCAGGGGGCACGCGATCCATCTCATCGGTGGTTCTAATCGCCAATGGCCTCTGCTTCACCTTCATGACGGTCATCTTCGTGTGGCTAGGAAGTGCTGCTGACTACGGCTCATTCGGTCGGTGGCTACTCCTAGTCCTAACCGTAATCTGCTGGGCACTCCAGTACGGTATGATGGCGATTCGAGACCCGAGCCAATGGCCTGCAGCGATGGCAATGTACGTCGTTGCGTACATTGCTTACGGTGCTACGCTCGTCTTCTATGCTGCAGTCTTTCCTCGATTGGCGCGGTATATGCCTCATGTGCGAAAGGCGCGGGAGGAAGATCTGCGAGAGGGAAAGATTGACCAGAAGGAGTATGATGCGATCGAGTCACTGGAGCGAAATCATATCAGGTATTCATGGAAATATCCAATATCAAGAGCTGCTCATACTGACAGACTTGTATAGTAACGTTTCGACGGCGCATAGCAATATTGGATACTTGCTGACACTGGTGCTCAACCTGAGCGTCCTGCTGCCGATGCAGAATAACCAGTTTGCGAATAACCTGGCCTTGTGTCTCACTAATTCATGTAAGAGAAAATATTCCTTGGTGGTAATACCTTTACTAAGATCCCGCTTCAAAGACTGGGTAATTCTGGGTATTTGGTGGTTTCTATTCCAGCAGAAGCGACCAGGTCCCAAAATCCCCAAAGGCTCGAGTTATGCGACCATCGGGTTCAAGCAGATCTGGTTGGCAATCCGCGAGATTAGATCTCTCCCACAGACATTCCTCTATTTCTTCGCATATTTCCTCTTAGCAGACGGCCTGAACACAACTGGTAAGTCTGATCATAGCCTCGAAAAGGGAAGTACTTGGCTGATACTCCCTAGGAACCCTCGTCAGCATCATTCAAAATGATCAAGTATCATTCTCCTTCCTTCAAATTACCTACTTGGGAATCACACAGGCGGCTTGCTCAATCGCTTCGACTTTTGGCTTCTGGTATATTCAGAAGTACTTCAAGTTCAAGACGAAATCCATGTTCCTGTTCACCAATTTCTTTACCGTATTGATCCCCTTCTGGGGTATGCTCGGACTTTGGACGAATAAAATCGGATACCATCATACTGTGAGTAATAAGGTCCTCAATTGTTCGGTATTTCGATAACTGATCAGTTACAGTGGGAGTTCTATTTCTACAATGTCATTTTCGGGCTTTTCCAGGCACCCTACTATGCGGTAAGAGCTTCTCATCCAACGCCTCTTGTATCTGCTAATCGTGTCATGTATAGTATGCGCAAACAATGATAAGCGAGCTGATGCCTCGTGGATACGACAACATGTTCTTCGCGCTTTTTGGAATCACTAACCGTGCGGTACGTACCGAAGGGCTCATCCCTGTCAAGTCTCTCTTTACTAACTGTTTCAAAGTCGTCCATCATCGGGCCGAATGTAATCCAGGCTATCATCAACGACACACGCAATAATTGGATGGGCTTCCCATTCCTCTTTGCCATATGTGCGGCAGCAATGATCGCAATTTGCTTCGTAGATGTGGAAAAAGGTCGCGAGGATGGTAGGAGATTCACTGAGAGGCGCAAGGTAGATCGTGTTGCAGCAGAGACGGGACTAAGTGCCGATGCAATTGTTAAGGGCAAGGGCGTCATGGACAGCGGTGAGACAGGGAGGGCAGATGGTGATATCAATGGCAATGGACATAACTCCATAGAGCCTGTGGAATGAGACGGATCGGCCTGAGGCATTTGCCAATTTGGGCGTGATGAATGGCCGAACTTGTCTCAGGACCTAGAAGCTTTGGTACTAACACTATCACCCCTTCAGAGCAAATAGGAAAGCATAACGGTCATTATTCATTTCTATCTATTTGGCATTTCATTAAACGTTTTTTAGATAACCATAAGCTTCCAAGCAGCACAATCCACGGCAATTAGAAAGCAAAGCCCGGTCACGGGGCATATACATACCCCATTAAACCCCAGTCTTTTCAATATCACGCTCAACATGATTCTCCTGTACCTTTTTCTGCTCCTTGCGTTGATTCCTCTCATCAACTTGATTCCGCCACTTATCACCAAAGATAGTAGTGGCCCACACACACAGACCAGAGACAACCAAGAAAATCGCACTGATCGTACTGAACCACCCAACGCCGATAGCTTCCACGGCAGGAAGAACGGTGCCAGAGCCCAGCGCCGCAAAGACATACCTAAACATGTAGTTTCCCGCTACAACCTCTGCGCTTCGACCACTAGACTGCATCACGTCCAGACAGTAGGTGTTCAGACTGGGGAAGCAAAAGAGCTGCCCCACACCCTGAAGGAACATAGCCAACACGGGGACAGGAATACCGCCAACGGCCTTTTCGACTGTCCAGCCATAGACGAGGATGCATCCTGGAATGACAAATGTGATAAACACGAGACAAGACTTGAGTCTGTCCTCGGGTACACGGACACCTCCACGCTTGCGAATCCATTTCTTCACAATGTGATCAGCCCATCGACCGCCCATGAATGTCCCGACTAGATATCCGCATCCGGGGGCAATATAGAATAGGCCTGATTGAATGGGGCTCGTGAGATTGAAACGTGGGTTAAGCACGTATCGGATCGGGGTGAGCAGAGAGTACTGATTCCAGACCAGTGCCCCTGCAGCGAGGCCTGCGAAGAAGAGATTCGGGTATGAGAAGAGGAGTATGCCAACCCGTAGAGGGTTCACTTTGTGGCATAGGTACTTGGCCTTCTGAGCCGGGGTTTTGGAGGTCAGGTCAGACTTGTTGAGATGGGGGTATGTCTCGGGGAAGAAAAAGAAGACGAGTAGTGTGCCGCAGCCACCGAGGGCAGCCTGAAGCCAGAAGACTACCCGCCAGGAGCAAAATGTGACGATGACACCCTGTCGTGAACTGTTAGTGATTAGAGTGTCTAACGGCAAAATGCGAAACATACGCCGATAAAAGGACCAAAAGCTGGGCCGATGAGAGTGCCGGACAAGAACCACCCCAAAGCTGTAGCACGAGCCCGGGGTTCATAGATATCACCAAGGGCAGAACTTCCTACCACCAGGAACGATGTTCCTTGGAAGGCTGTCAAAACTCGAAAGATATAGTAGGCCGGTAGATTTGGCGCCAAGGCCGTGCCAATACTAAACGCGAAGAAAAGGAAAGCGCTGACAAGGAAGATCTATGAATTGAACGTTAGAACCTAGAACTTCAATAGAGACCACGAAGCTACTAAACCATCAGGAAAGATACTCACTGGACGACGTCCCCACACCTGACTGAAAGGACCCCAGAATGGAGCAGAGATTCCCATAAATGCCAAGTACAACGCATTGCTAGCATTGATGACGCTACCCGTAGTATTATAGGTCTTTGCCACTTCTGGAATACCAGAAAGGATCGAGGTTGAAGAGATGGGAGCCAGAAATGAGCAGAAGGATAGCACAAAGACAATGAGTGCTTTACGTGGTGGTGAGAAGCGCAAGTATTGCTCGGCGTCCACCTCGCGGAACTCAGTGGCCACGGGCATATCATGGTGTGATAGATGACTCTGTACGAGGTGGAGTTCATTTGTTGTCTCTGCGCCTTTTTGTGATTTAGAACCCTGGTTGGTTCTTATTGCCTCCATTGGTTGCGAGGTCTCCTCGATGCTCTCGAGAGAAGACTGGGAGTGTAATGGAGACATGGTTGATACTGCGATGATTTGTGATAATCAAAGCTGGTGAGCAAATTTTCTGGTATGAAACCTGGGTTCTATTCTCCGGATAATTGAATTTTTTGGCGACAGGTACAAGGGTACAATAGCGTTGTTAGGTCACCGGTATCTTTCCGAAAACATACTCCCCGGACGGACAAGTTCCGGAGCAGGAGGTAACAGAGAGTGCTTCAATTGAACTGAGTAGCAAGTATGTATGGGAAAAATCTTGAGATGATATACATTGAAGACAAAGAAAGTGAGTCACAGAAGAGAAGAAAATTTCAAGCCCTTCGGCGTTGGTTATCTTTGGCCGAGGATCGGCGTGCTCGGGGGTGGCATCTAGACGGCGCTGGATATAACTTCGTACAGTAGGGCCGGAGCAAAGAGCGATCCAGAAGCCAGCCAGGTAGGTGGCATTGATTGTCTAGGGTCCATTTGGGTACCAGATCGAGGGGTTCTGTGACCAATGATTCGGGCAGAAGACCGTGGACAGCTGGCTGGACTGGTTGGTTGCCACTCCCGACAACCGAGATAGGACGAGCAGCGCGGAAAAGAATCCGTGCGTGAGGGTTTTGGATGCACGCGACAGCCGACCACTAGTTAGTCAGTTCCAGGTTTGAGCAAGCATATCTCTGGACTTTGTTAGGAGTTGACCGGCAAGATCTTGGAAGAAGTCCATCGAGTGGCCAACCTGATCGGATTAGATCCATGCGCAACATTACTCCGTAGCTTAAGTCCCCCTCACAATAATGTTGGCCAGGCACCATCATGGACGGCTCCACCTTGTTCGGTCAAGTGGTCGTGGATACTGAACGTGACCTTGGCTGGTACTAGGTCATCTTATCATAGTCCTGACAGATCGAGAGACATGCAATCTTTCAGTGACATGAAGATCGAGGTGGTCTGTGAGTTTGAAAGTGGCCGAGTCCGATCATCCCCTGGGCGCCATGACGTTATCCTCTGACCGCCAACCACCACTTTCTCCCCCCACCCAATCTTTTGGAGACGTCAGGTCAACCCTTGTTTTTTTTTTTTTTTGTTGGACTTCGATATTAACCACCTCTATTTTGAAATTATTACCAAATCTACCAAACCATGTCATCCAAGAACGAGCCCCAGAGCCAGGTCCCGCCTCAAAGCAAGGGCTCATGGACCAGTTTCCTTAAGGTAAGTTGTCTACGTGACGTTCGATTCCCGGGATTCCGCAGACAAACAGGACTAACGCATATGATCGCAATAGTCAATCGCCTCCTTCAACGGTGACCTCTCCTCTCTGACGGCCCCGCCTTTTATCCTCTCAACCACCTCGCTCACCGAGTATTCGGCCTACTGGGCCGAACACCCTTCCGTCTTCGTGGCGCCCGCTAAGGAGGCCGATCCCGAGAAACGTGCCCTCCTCGTGCTCAAGTGGTTCCTCACCACCCTGCACCAGCAATACTGCAGCCGGAGTGAGAAGCTCGGTAGCGAGAAGAAGCCGCTGAATCCCTTCCTGGGTGAGCTGTTCATCGGCAAGTGGCTTGCCAACGGCGCCGACTCGGAGTTGGGCGAGACCACTCTGATCAGTGAGCAAGTGAGGTGCGTGAAACACCCAAATACTCTGCAAAGCATTGGGCACTCCTTACGAACATGACTGCTTTGTAGCCACCACCCTCCGGTCACCGCATACGCGATCCAGAACGAGAAGCATGGAGTCGAGGTAAGTAGAATAATTATGGTTGCCTGGTACGTGGCCAACAAGAATATCATCTAACTGACCCCTCACTACAGCTGCAAGGATACAACGCCCAGAAGGCCTCCTTCTCAAGCACCATCCAAGTGAAGCAGATCGGCCACGCCCAGTACACCATCACCCCGCCAGGCTCCAGCGAGAAGGAGAAATACCTGATCACCCTCCCCAACCTGCATATCGAGTCTCTCATCTACGGCACGCCCTTCGTCGAGCTGGAAAAGTCCACCAAGATCGCCAGCAGCAGCGGCTACGTCGCCAAGATCGATTACTCGGGCAAGGGCTGGCTGAGCGGCAAGAAGAACACCTTCACCGCGAGCTTGTACAAGGCCAGCGAGGGCGAGAAGAAGCCCCTCTACACCGTCGACGGCCAGTGGTCAGATACCTTCACTATCAAGGATGCCCGCACCAAGGCGGTCGTCGACCGTTGGGTCGTTAAGGACAACGCGGTTACCCCTCTCACCCTGGCCCCGCTCGACCAGCAGGATCTGTATGAGAGCCGTCGTGCTTGGGCAGATGTCGCCGACAACATCAAGAAGGGCGATATGGACGCCGTCTCGGGATACAAGTCCCGCATCGAGAACGCTCAGCGCGAACTGCGCCGCGTCGAAAAGGCCGAGGGCCGCGAGTGGGAGCGCCGCTTCTTCAACTGCGTTGACGAGAAGGACGATGACCCGCTGTTCCAGCAGGTGGCTAGCACAATTGATTTTGCCAGCTCTCTCGAGGCTGATAAGACTGGCGGTATCTGGCGCTTCGACACGACGCGCGCTGCCGGCGCTCAACCTCCTTATCACAAGACCGGTGGTGAGGGGCTGGGTCTTACCGAGTAAGAAAGTGTCTCGTCTTTTCTTTTATCTCTGATGGATCTAGGGCAAACACCCTCGGCGTCAATGTCAATTGGGACGGAAGCCGACCATGATATTTTCATTTATTTTGGATCCAAGGTTTCTCTTCTTGTTTTCCGGAGGGACCGCTCTTGAGTTGCGAACATCTCTCGGAACCAATTGTCTTCACACATAGATTTGACCGTTGTGGGGACTTCTGGTTCCTCTTGCTGCTAGGTTTGGCCTAGAATTTTTTTTTGGTTCTGCATTTCGATTGTATATAGTTTCCAGCCTGAGGCGAGGCTGTTTGGTTATATGCTTGTTCGAGCGGCGAGAATGCTGCTTCATCTAATCTGATGATATTACTTTTTTTGTTTTTCAAGCCATTCTCTTTGACCAACTAAAAGATGACCAGGGTCCTAAATCTAGAAAGAGAGCACGTGCGGATTCCCAAGTCACGAAAGACGTGCATACATAGTACCACAAACCCTAAGATGACCACGGCTGACAGCGGATGTCTTCTCCTACCTCCCACCCACACCCTTCGGCAAAGTAAATCCACCACCCAAACCCTTTCACATCATCTACACAAGTATCCTACAGATGCAAAACACCAAATATGGTCCTGGAATATCTGATTTGTATAGGTGCGTACATAACTCATCACACTTTTAGCCGTTAGCCGACCCCGTAAAACCCACCCAAGCAGTGTCCATCACGATCTCCCTCTCAACCCGATCCAGCGCAACCATCATAACCGATATTGCAAAACGGTAAAGAGGACAGGAAATGAAAATCACAAAAATGACACCCCCGGACCCAAATTGACACCTCATGAGCTAGGTTTTGAAGTAACAGGAACAGAAAAAAAGCGGGAAAAAGCGGGTAAAAAATAGGAGGGCAAAAATAAAAATAGAAAAAATAGAAAAGATCATCCCAAGGGGAGAATTGGTGGATTTAATACAGACTACATCGGGGAGGATGTAGTGGGAGCAAAAAAAAGGAGGAGGGAGGAGGAGTAGATGTAAGAAAAGCAAGACGCGAGAAAATGATGAATGAAAAGACCAGGAAAGCAGAAAAAAAAAGAACATAACGAAGACTCGATTCCCAAGCCCAGCCCAGCCCAAAGGCTCCCAGAAGAGAGAAGTGATTACACAAATGTTGAGGAAAGAAAAGATGAAGAGAAATTTCAAGGGTTCGTTTTTCATGATTTGCTCTTCTTGTCTGGCCCGAGTCAAACGAGTCGTATAAGGAATGTGGTTATCCTGCCTCGATGATGTTGAAGACAAGACAAAAGAAAAACACATGCCTCCCCTTTTATTTTCTCATTTCACCTGCAAATGCAACGCCATATGTGTGTTTGTGAGAGGCGGGGGAAGGTAACAATATGGAATAAAGGGAGGATTCTCATCAGCTCTAGTGGCCGTAGTTACCACCCCAGCCACCGTTGCCGCGGCCGGTGTTGCCATAGTAGTTACCAAAGCCTGCACCGTAGTTACCGTAGCCAGTCTGCTGTTGCTGTTGCTGCTGCTGGTGGGTCTGCGAACCGGCACCCTGGTGGCCACCAAGGCCGCCGAGACCACCGTACTGGGGGTTCAGGTGAGGGTAGCCGCTGAAGCCCTGCTGGCCCTGTTGGCCCTGGAGAGGGGGAGACCAGACTGAGTCTGAGCCTGACCAGGGGTGTTGGTGGCAGAACCGGGACGGTTGGCCTGGGCAAGAGACGGGGAGGGGCCACCGGTCTTGGACGCATCGAAGCCCTTAGACTCCTCGGTGGTCACAGGGGGTTGCTGGGCAACGGGAGGATTCTGGCCGAAGCCAGCCTGGGACCGTCCGAAGACGTCCGACATACCGGTACTGAAGGCATTCGAGCCCGCAGCAGTCTGCTGGGTGTCGGAAGGCTGAGCGGAGCCAGTGCGGCCGTACACGGAGTCGCGACCAGGGGCGCTTTGGTTGAAGCTGCTGGCAGCGGCGTTGGCGGGGGAGGAGGTGTGATCGTAGGAGAAACCGTGAGGCTGGCCGTACATACCGCCCTTGCCACCAGCACCACCGTAAGGACCGTACTGGTTACCATAACCGTACTGGGAGGTGTGGGGCATGCCGTAGTGTTGCTGCTCATCATAACGGCGGGCATCATCGTAAGGACGACCGGAGCGGCCATAGGCAGCGCCGGCGTGCTGACCCATCTGGTTCATGTACGAAGCGTAGTGGGGGTTGGAGTAGTAAGGATAGCCGTAGCCATAACCGTGGGCACTCTGCTGACCGGGCATGTGCTGAGCAGCAGGGGTCTGAGTGGCACCAGGGAGAGTCGGGTTGGGAGTGTTGTGACCACTGTTGGTGGCATCAACGGGGCCATAGCGACCGGCAGGCTGAGTGGTGGGGATCTGGGGCTGGGCTTCAGCGGCAGAGACACCACCGAAACCGGCACCGCGGGGGGCGGCATTGGCATCCTGGGACTGGCCGTAGCTGCCGTAGTAGTTGTAAGGGAAGCGCTGCTGGTCAACAGCATAGAAGGGAGAGTATTCGCTGCCAGTGGTGGCAGTAGGCTGAGCCGGAGCCTGGTTGGCGAACGGCTCTTGGATCTGCGGCTGGGGCTGGCCGACTTGCTGAGTGAAGGGGTCGAAGGGCTTCTGGGTCTCGGAGGAGTAGCGAGCGAAGTCGTTGAAGGTCTCGGCAGAGGCCTGAGGAACTGGAGGAAGACCTGGGGCAGGGCGAGTCTCGCCGGCACCCTGGGTCGCAGGAGGAAGGGAGGCACGAGGAGCAACGGGGGAGTGCTGAGGAGGTTGGGCGCGGGTCTCGGCCTCCTCGCGGTTCTCATCAATGTCAACAGCGTCACCGTTCAAGCCCATGCTACCAAATTGCACGGCGGCACGGTCCACAGCGTGGTTACCGGGCATCACAACAGCCTGTTGCTGCTCCATCACACGACGCTGGAAGCCAGGAGCGCGGCTGGTCTGCTTCAGGCCGCTACCAGGAAGAGTAGCTGGGGGCGCACGGGAGGGAGTGGCAGTCGCCGCAGCGGGGTCAAAGGCGCTACCGACAGTGCTGGCAGCAGTCGCAGTAGGAGCAGGAGCGGAAACGTCGGGAATCTGTTCGAGGTTGGTCTCGGTCAAGTCATCCTTGGGAGGCTTGACGGTGGTCTGAGGAATAACAGGAACGGTGACTTCGGCGGGCTTGGCAACGGGCGTCTTCTGTGTGGCGGCGGGGACGGGGACGGGGACGGGGACAGGAACTGGGGCGGGCTCGGGGGCCTTCTGCTGCTCAACAACAGGCTCTTCGGGCTGCACGGGGGCGGCAGGCTCGGGAGCAGGCTCGGGAGCCTTCTTGGGCTGCGGTGGAGGAGGAGGGGGTTTGGCGAAGAGACTGGCCCATCCCTTCTTTGTGCCCTCGGGGATCACACTGGTCTTGGGCTCAGTCGACTCTGTAGCTACCACTGTGGGCTCGCTCTCAACGTCTCCCCAGACTGCTGCAGGCGCGGGCTCGGTCGCTGGAGCAGTAGAAGTAGGAACAGAGACGTCTGCGGTACGGGCGCCGTTCGTGGCTTGGGCACCGGCCCGTCCACCACGTCCGCCACGACCGCGATCTCCACGAGCACGACCGCGGCCCTCAAAACCACCGCGGCCGCGACCTCCACGGGCAGAAGCTCCAGTCAACTCGGTCGAGGTGCTCTGGACTTCCTTGGGCTTGGGCCGAGATCGGTCTGTGGTCTTCTTCTTGACCTCTCCCCACTGCGACACATTGCCTACAATCAAAGAATCATCGGTCAGTATGAAAGGGCTTTGGTTTCTTTGAGGAATCAAGGGGTGAAAGATGGATGTCTATGAGCTGGACGAGGGAGATGGGGGGGAGATATCGACCTTCGGTAATGCGCTCAATGGCTTCCTCGATCTCGCCATTGGAGTCCTCGAGGGCAAACACGAGATCCTCATCCTTCCAGTCAGGGAACAGCTCCTTGAGAGTGGGCAGAGCGTCGGAGTATTTCTTCTTCATCTGTCCAATTTCACCCTCATCGAAGGGGGCAAGGTCTGAGTTGTCGGTGTTTGCGGCTCTGCTGTTTCCACCACGGCCACCTCTGGAGCTATAACCACCACGACCACCGCGGGTGGATACTCTGCCGCGCGCAGACGACCGGCTCTGAACTTCGGACATTGTGTCAAATGGATGTGTGAGATGAAAGAAGCGAAACGGGGAAGGAGGTCACGATGGAGGATGTCGCAAGGGTGTTCGTGGTAGGGAGGAAGGATCTGAATTGGAAACGAGTCGGGATGCAACCTCGCGAAAGAGGAACGGCACCAGGACCACAAGCGGGCCAGAAAAGAATCCAGAAACACCTGGTAAAAGAGGATCGATAACGGGGGAAGGTGGAAGGGGAGGGGAGGAAGGAACAGCAGTTGAATGGAGAAGGTAAAAGCTAAGGTTCTGATGTGTTGCTCGCAGTCACAGCTGGTCTTGGCACTGCCTGGCTTTTTAGCGAGTGGCGCCTATTGGGTCGATTCCCTCTTTTTGCCTTGATTCTCCCCCATCTTTTCCATGATTATCTACAACAAAGCACGGGGTAGATCTAGATAAAAACTACCCTGGATCTTCGACTCGAAGATTTTTCAACTACCATATATTTTCTTTTTCCCCCTCCATCATTGCTATTCTATATCGTTCGGAATTGTCGAGTCTTGCGTGCTTGCCTGGTCTCCTCGTCATCCACTTCGGGCACCCTCGTCTTCGCTCACCGCCCACCCCTCGCGGCGATCTCTCTTCACGATCCCTCCCTGTGCATCAACTCACGGATTGGGACTCACCGACACCGCAACCATGAAAGGCACTTCCATTTTCCAATTCAAATCTTGGCCGAAGATCCATCAGCCATTGCCTCGGACACCACGAGAGTCTCAGCAACTTCTCAACGCCCTCACCTCTTCCTTCCGACGCCAGCTGGACCGCGCGTACCCGGCCCCCAGCGGTTCTAACCCCAATAGCGATCGACAGCCCTTGAATACCGACTCCTCTATTCATGCAACCGACCAACACCTGCATAGTATTCTCGATAACCCTTTATTTCGCATTGTGCCGCAGAAAGCCAAGTCGGCCTCCCGTGATCATGCCACCGCATCGACCATCATTGAGTCCAAGCCAGCAGCAGTTCAGGATCCCATGGCTCTTTTCGATCAGGCTGTCGCCTCCGGATCTGCTACACCTTCCTTCATTACAGACTGTCTAAAGTCACAACTCCTTCTCGCCCGCTCATGGGGTGAAAATGGAGTTCGAGATGCCATGAAGATTACTCGAGCGGGCTCGAAAGTAGTTGACTGGTTCTGGGCTTCAGACGGTGCTTCCAGGCAGATGCTTTTACAGACTCGAGCTTCGACAGGCTCCTTGACCAAGTTCATGGTAGCAGAGGATCTACAAGATACCGTCATGGAGTGGCTGAAGATGCTCGTGAGCGGCAATCTTGGAGGCCTGGATGGCCAGATGGCGGAAGATCGGGCTCGGGCGTCCTTCAATTATCTTCTTCAGGATCTCGTGGATGCCGAAATCCGCTACGGATCTGGACTCGGCTCGGCCGTCAAGTATTACTTGCGTGCGTGCCAGCTGCATTTTTCCTCCGTGGAGTCGCAGGGTGATCTCAAGGTTTCCAAGTCAATGCTGCTCGCATCGGGCGCTCAACTAGCTCGCACGCTTATGGAGCAGAAGCCATCTAGTGATCAAATCCCCGTGCATACATTTGAAGAGTTTGCCGAGATTATCTCGACTCTGTCATCCTCTCGCTCCTTATTGTTCTCTTCCGTGGCCCTTTGCCATCCAACCCATCCGGATCCAACTCCTTTCATCCATTACGTGGATAGTTTATCCCCCAACAAGTTCCAGAAATGGAATCAAGCTCGGCGGGATGCTTTCCTCGGGATCAGCTGTGACGCTCTCCGCACGCTGATCGACCGCAAGAAGATCCGTCTTGCGACCAGCCTAGGACACCAAATTCAAGAACTTCTTCCCGAGGAGACTGCCACTGCGAGCGTTGAAGCGTCTCGCTCTCGCGCCGCTGTCGAAGAGGATACTCTCTTGCAACGCTTGGAGTTGAGTTGGACTTGATGAATTCATGTTCAATCTCTTTTCTTTCAAACGGACATCTACTACCAGATATTGATGCAATCCTCACCAGTATATTCCAGCGAGGCAGATTTTTCTTGGTTTATATCCTTTTATAGGCAGCGATGAGCTTGCCTCAAACCATGGGACTACGCCTGCCCTAATTGTCATTGGGAACATGGTCCAGTTTTACCCCTCTTCTTGAGACATCCAGAAGCCCCGGAGCGGCGATCGGTACCTAGGAGGCGCTCTGTCTCTCTCGGAGGACAGCGGTGCGATGACGATTTTCGCATCAGGTACTCCGCACTACTCCACCAGCCTCGGGAGGCTGCGTGATCTTGTGTGTACATAATCGGCGCCCGGTCTTGGCATTGCTTTACATAGTGCTTGGTGTTTGGAGGCATTCCAGGGCCTCAGGGCTTTTGCACGGATTCTCACTGTGGAGAAAGTCCAGGTTTGTGACGGAAGGCATGAATTGGGGGGTCTTTTTTGTCTTGGATTGAGGTAATTTTCTTGTTGTGTGACAGCCAGCCACTACAGCCGGAGGGAGGGTTGCAGACGGGGGCGAATCAGCCCAGTTTGTGGATCAATGGGGTTAGCGTGACCAGCTGCTTCTTAGTAAACGTCACCGCGCAACATCACCTCAAACTTCCCTCGAGCTCAATCGACTTCATTCCAACTCCCTGCTTTCTCTAGTAAATTCTCTATCTAGTTCGAATTGCAGTCGCATTCTATTTGCGATCGTTTTTCCTTCTCGCAAACCCTCCAACTTTCCAAAGCACGTGCCCTTGTCTGACATCATCGATCCACCATGGCCACTGAGGGCTTTCCAGAACAGAACGCTCCCCTTGCACCAGGTATGTTCTAGGGAGCCGTCACGGTACTCTTACAGGTGAATTGGACTCTTTGGAACTTGTCCAGCTTCGCCCATCCATCCGGATGAGAGCCCACACGAGCCTACTACTTTCTCGCCAGCAACTATAAATGCTGACTAAGTACAGCCGCTGTTGCGCCAGCGCCCCCGAAGATCAGCGAGCCTCCTCAGCCAATTCACAATGTGATGAACACTTGCCAGACGGATCCCGAGTCTCTTGCGGCTGAGACAGCACAGGTTGGCGCCGGGATCGAACTTCCAGAAGCTCCCAGGCCTGTGGAGACCACGCAAAGTCCCTTTATCCCGACCACAAATCACCCACTAGGCCCCTCCGTCGCAGCTTCTGAGCCCGAAGTCCCGGTCGTAGCTCAGCCAGCCCCAGAGGCCACAACGGAAGCTCCAAAGCCTGCCAGTGAGGCCGCTAAACCGGCGGTGGAGCCGTCTCAACCCACGGAGGAACCCCAACCCGCGGAAGAAGCCCCGAAGCCAGCCACGCAAGAGCCACAGACTGGAGAGAAGCGTGATCTTGATTCTATGGCAACTCAAGCTCCCGAACAGGGACAGCCACCCGAGCCTGCACCTGCCCCTGAGAAGGTCGAGGAGCCCGAGAGCAAGAAGCAGAAGACGGTCGAGGAGCCCGCCAAGGACATCAATGGTACTACAACTACTCCCGCGGCGGCGGCTGCTACCAGTACACCTACAGCTCCGGCGGCCGAACCCCATGAGGAACCAAAGAAGGCTGGTCGCTCCAAGAAGGAAAAGATCAAGGATGTCGTGAAGAAGATCATTCCGACCGATGGACCTGGCAGCCGCACTCGTAGCCGCACCAAGGATTCCTAAGGTCCGAAGGGATCGAGGAGACCTGTTCGAACAGGTCAAGCTTAGCCTTAGTTTTATCTTTAATCGGGGGTTGGCTGCATCTTGCAACGTTACTGATCTAACCATACACGCTGAATACGATCCGAACGCCACGATGCGCTGAAACTCATGGAGGTGATGTGATGAATATGAGGTTAATCAAAAATATTTTTACACCAGTGACTTCCTGAGTGGATGAAGCTATTTTTCCGTGTACAATTAGTGTCTCAATTATCCTACAATCCTACAACCAGATGATGTATCAGTAATTGTTCGTAGTATATCTCGTAGTCATAGTTTCCTGGAGCCCTAAATCACCCGGCTCAAGCGGCGCCGATCATCGGGCTGACTCATTTTGCCCCGGAACGGAACAACCGCCCCCGCTATCAGTGTGTCATTGGCGATAGAATAATATCGTTCCCAGGTGCTTTACTACTATCACTCATTTTTTTGGTCTTCTTATTCCATTGACCTCCAATTCTCCCACAATCACAATGGCTGGACAGAAGATTTGGCTGCGTGCTGAGACCAAGCCCGCCGAGGCTCGGTCTGCTTGTGAGTCGCCTGCCCCTCCCCCACATTGATTTGAATGGCGATGTTGACTCACAGCTTGCCGCAGTGACCCCGACTACCTGCAAGGCATTGATCGATGCCGGATACGATGTCACCGTTGAGCGCTCTACCCAGCGTATCTTTGATGGTTTGTTCACTCTAAATTGAAATTGTATGGAATTAGGACTAACGAATTCTCTCGATAGATGACGAGTTCGCCAAGGTTAGCCCGTTGTCGCCTTCCTTCCTCCCTATACAAAATCCGCAGAGGTCCTAACATACGCCAATGGCTTTAGATCGGAGCTCCTCTCGTTGAGGAGGGCTCGTGGGTCAAGGATGCCCCCAAGGATGCCGTTATCCTCGGTCTCAAGGAGCTGCCCGAGGATGACTTCCCTCTGGAGCACGTCCACGTCACTTTCGCCCACTGCTACAAGCAGCAGGGTGGCTGGGAGAATGTCCTGAGCCGCTGGCCTCGTGGTAAGGGTCTCCTGCTGGATCTGGAGTTCCTTACCGACGAGTCTGGCCGCCGTGTTGCTGCTTTCGGTTTCTCCGCTGGTTATGCTGGCTCTGCTCTCGCTATCAAGAACTGGGCTTGGCAATTGACTCACCCCGAGGGTGAGCCTCTGCCCGGTGAAGTCCCTTATGCAAACCAGGACCTCCTCATTGCTTCCGTGAAGGAGAGCGTTGAGGCTGGTAAGAAGGTTGCTGGTCACTACCCTAAGATTCTTGTCATTGGAGCGGTAAGTACTTTCCTTGGCTTAGTCTGGAGCGCATACTCATGACTATATAGCTGGGTCGCTGTGGCAAGGGTGCTGTTCAGTTGGCCAAGGATGTTGGTGTTCCCGAGTCCAACATCATCCAGTGGGATATGGCAGAGACCGCCAAGGGTGAGTTCCTGCAACCATACATACCCAACAAGAAGGGTTTGTGACTGACTTTTACCTCCAGGCGGCCCCTTCACCGAGATTGTTGAGAGCGACATCTTCGTCAAGTCAGTATCTCCATTACCCATTCGACTTTAATCGTGGTAACTAACATGTTCTCCAGCTGCATCTACTTGAGCTCTCCCATCCCTCCCTTCGTCAACGTCGAGACCCTCTCCTCTTCCAATCGCGCTCTGTCCGTTGTCTGCGACGTCAGCGCCGACACGTAAGTCATTTTCAAATTTAAATATGATGCTCCTCGTATTCTAACGAGTCTTATGCAGCACCAACCCTCACAACCCTATCCCCATCTACGACATCACCACCACCTTCGATAAGCCCACCGTGCCCGTCAAGCTGCCCGCCGACACCCAAGGCCTCCCTCTGAGCGTGATCAGCATTGACCACCTTCCCTCTCTGCTTCCCCGCGAGAGCTCCGAGCAGTTCAGCCAGGCCCTTCTGCCCAGCCTCCTCCAGCTGAAGGACCGCAGCACTGCCCGTGTCTGGACCCAGGCTGAGGATCTGTTCAACGAGAAGGTTGCTACTCTGCCTGCATCGTTGCGCCCGTAAACGATTGTAATGAGCGGTAGAGATGAAGAGATATGACTTGATGGCACATTGATAGATTTTGGATTGGAATTGGACTGAAAAGCAGGAATGCTATAAAAGTTGTTGTCCACATAGTATATTTCGGGAATACCATGTTTGTTGCCACAATTTTTTGCGAAATCTAACAAGACGTTGGTTGGTACCTAGACTAGCAACCACCCTTGGTTACGATCTTATCACCCTGTCGTTTCCATTGCAGTTAGCATCGTCAGATATTATTAGGGTTATTTCGTGTCAGCCTGGGAGCGGCGGCCATGTGCACTTAAGGGTCATAGTGAGGAGTTCGCTGTACAAGCTACTTGGTTGGAATGAATATTCAGCGACAGGAAAAATCCTGCTTGTTTAATTTATGCTAAACTCCTCTTATGACTACTTTTGTTCTCATTTAGACTTCCGACAAGGTCAGCAATCTACGAATCGCGGGTTTCGCCTGGAGGAAAGCCTATCGTTAGATACATCCAACAGGTACAAAAGCACATGAATATCGGCGAACTAGCGAACCCCCTCACCTCACGAGTTCTCCCGCACTTTACCCGATCTCAACCTCCCAGACCACTCTCGACGCAACCGTCTGGGGGTGTCAACCTCGAGTCCAATGCGGGGTCTACATCTCCCACGGACATCCGGAGGATCCGTCGCGGGGAGATGACTTAATGCAACGGCGTCTTGGCCCAAGAAAATGCCCCGGCCACCCTTATTATTGGGCGGGGGGAAACCAATTCCAAACAGCCCGAAGATCGCAGCCTAGCAAGAGATGAACCAGTAGTTCTCTGCCAGATCTCTGCATTGCTCTTATTCTCGAGGCTCGCTGAATTGACCGGTCGGAGTTTGCCCCGTTTGGACACTGTTGCGTTCTTCAGGCGATTTCCCCCCGTTCTTTCTCCTTCTCCGCATGAGACCCTTCGGTCCACTCTCCCCTCTTCCCCAGCCGAAACCCACTCCAACCAGCAGAATTCTTCACGAACGGTGCTGAACCACGATACTCAACCGGAGAGCTTCCAGGATATAGTCGTCGCCTCTCACCACGCTTATATCGAATATTGGGCGCCTTTCCTTGTCACCGTCACAGCCAATCTGAGAATGGCCCGATGAAGACGCTGAGCTGATTTGCCTCGAGACCAACCACCTACGCACCCGAACCACTCCCTCCTCGCCCACCGTTCCTCCCTCCTCGCCCACAGTACTTCCAATGCAAGAAAAGCCGAGCACGGTTGCGGCCTATGCGGCCGGAGCCTCACTCGCCGCCGTCGCCCTATTCTACGTCTTCGGGCCGAATTACACAATCGACGGCGACGAGTCCAGCGATAGTAACCGGAAGAAGAGCATCGTGGGATTGTCAAACCTGGCCAATGACTGCTTCATCAATTCGGTGCTACAGGCTCTGGCAGGCCTGGGAGATCTTCGAGTGTACTTGATTCGCGAGCTTCACCGGCGCGAACTGGACGGGCCAGAGATCTACAACACGGTACCAAGCCCGGATGAGCTGTCGCGCGCCGAACGACCGGACAAGCTGCGGGAGCTGCAGCAGGGTATTATTACGCGGGCGTTGAAGGAGATGCTGGACCGATTGAATGAGCGTCCAATTTATAAAAAGACAATCTCGGCGCGCGGGTTTATCCAGGCCTTGGAGTTCGCGTTCCGCACGCGCATTAGCCGTAATCAGCAGGACGCACAGGAATTTCTCCAGATTGTACTGGAGCGGCTATGTGACGAATATCATGCTGGTGTTCGCGCCAGGCAACGCGCCCTCGGCCCCATTGCCACGCCGGCTGGCTCGGGAGCAGTGGAGGCCGAGGCGGACGAGAATGCGGCCGAGGTGGAAGTGCGAATTGATGACGGATCACCCAATGGTCTGCCTGCAATAATCGACAATAAATTGAAGGAGATCGACAGGGAGGCTGGATTTCCGTTCGAGGGCAAGTTGGAATCACAGATTGTGTGCCAACATTGTCAATACCAGTATAAGCCGACCCAGACGGCTTTTGTCAACTTGACACTTCAGGTGCCACAGAAGAGCTCTACCACGCTCAATTCGTGTTTCGATGGTCTTTTGAAGACCGAGTACATTGATGACTTCCGATGCGACCGGTGTCGTCTGCAACATGCCATTGAGCTCAAAACGCAAGAGAAGTCCAGAGCTTATCCCCAATCTGAAAAGGAGCGACTTGACCAGGAAATCACGCGGATCCAAGAGGCATTGGAGTCGGACCCCGAGAATGAGCTAGAAGGCATTGTGATGCCACCGGCAGAACTCGCCCCGAAGCGAAAGATTGCTCGCCATATGCGTATCGTATCTTTCCCCAAAGTGATCGCAATTCACCTCTCACGCTCGATCTATGACCGCAACAGTTCCACCAAGAATGCGGCAAAGGTATCATTCCCTGAGCGATTGCCTCTGGGTGGGATCTTAAACCAGACATGGTACAAGCTGCTGGCAATCGTATGCCACAAGGGGAGCCATCACAGTGGCCATTACGAGTCTTTCCGGCGCAATCACCTTTATGCACCATTCTCGACCCCCGAGGCATTCAGTTCTTACGCGCAGAGCCGCGTTGCTAGCGAGACTCCCTCGGTGGCCCCCAGTCCTCGACTCGCACCGCGGAGTACCCCCGAGCTGGACGTGGAAGGCGAAAGCAGCAATCTCTCCTCAACGACTTCGTCCACGTCGCTATCAAACGTGTCCCCGGGAGCCTCGCAATTGACCCCTCCCATGCCCCGTCCTACCACCTCCAGCTCTCGCCGGTCCTTGCAGAGTACCAACTCCCGATCCTCTACACCCCAGCCTACCTCTGGATCGGACAGCAACCACAGCCCAGCCCCGGACCAAGGCCGGTTTAGTACCTCGTCTGCTCCGCGTCCTTCCCGCACTATTCCCCGGTCTTCGGGGGAGACCATGTCCGGAGTGAGTTCGCGGCTTCGACGTCGACGCAAGCCAAATGATCGCTGGTGGCGGATCTCCGACGAAAAGGTTAAAGAATGCAAGACGTCGGACGTGCTGGGGATGCAAAAGGAGGTGTACCTGCTCTTCTATGAGATGGAGCGGGCAGATTCGAGTCCCGTGGCTGCCGTTGGGCGACTTTGAGGAAGTTGCTGTGTGGGGGTTGTCTTTTCCATATTTTCTCTTCCGTTCTCCTTGTAGATGACTATGTCACGTACATAAATCTTGGATGTCTTGTGTATAGGGGACTTTGGTTTGGGTGCAGACGTGCTGCAAAGAGCCATTGGATATATATAGCTGACGCTCATAGAAGAGAAAGGGTTCTACAATGAATGTACCCGTCCTCCTTAGATGGTCTGGAGGCGACCTATTAGTTCAATTCCCGCGGACAAGTATGTATTCTCCGTCAATGATGCTTCATCCGGTTGTACTCGATAGAAGTGGGGGCTGCTGCATGGTCATGTGCCCATGACTAAAAAGGGTTGGGGAAAGCTCCTTGAAGCCTTACCCCGAGCCGATAGTAGAGAGTAAGTATTTACTTCTTCAGTATGGCTAGTAGCATTGAAATCGGAACAGTGAACAGGATTGAGGATCTATTTTAAGTCTACTCCGTAAAGAATCCAGACTCTATGATCCGACAAACGGAGGATTTCAAACGCGCCCGTGTTAAAGCGAAGCACGGCGAATGGCCTCGAATTCCTCGGCACCCCGCCTGGCGGACGAACAAATTACGGAGAAGACGGGAGGATCATGGATCAATTCTTTTCAGAGGTAAGGTCCATCGGGATCGGGGGTGGGAGTGGTATCAAGCTTGAGGTAGTTTTTCCGGAAGCTCTCTACTATAGAATCTTCATGTTAATTGCATACTCGTTGACTTGTTGCATGCTATGCTGGTGCCGAAGAAATCTAGTCGGGTTGGGGGCAGTGGAATACCCCGCCAACGGAGCTTTCTGAGACGATTCGACTCGAGGCCGCAGGTTGTAGAACCGGCAACGAACATCGGGCTATCACGGAGAGAGTCGGGAGAAGAGGAAGCTGGAGTGGAACGTCTGGACTGGAGGAGTTAGTTGACGGAGTACATATAGTAGGATGGCTGGTCCATCGAACCACCCCCTCTTTTTTTTCTTCCCTCTGAAAAAGTGCATTAAGTCATCACTCCCGCTGATTTCATTGTGACCTCAGTCCTCCCGTTCAGGACTCAGAGCTCCACCGACCCGGTGAGTAGTTGAACCCAGTCTGGAATTGCCCCCTACTCCCAGCAGTGGTGTTCCCATACCCAAGTGCCTCACCGATGACGATTCTGCCCCTCCATACCTCTAATTTGCCCCTCCTGATTTGCCTGCCCCTCGATGCAATTATTTAACCCTGCCCGCTTTCGTCCTTCGGTAAAGCCCAGAGCTTATTATATGGCATAACTTGCATTCTGACCTCTTCTCTCTTCTCTCTTCTTTTTCCAGCTCCATCACATCTTTTTTACAAACCTTCAATTCCACAACTACCATCATCATTCAATATGGGTGTCACTGAGAAGCTGAGCCGCAAGACCGGTGTCATCGTCGGCGACGACGTTCTCCGTCTCTTCGAGTACGCCCAGGAGAAGCAGTTTGCTATCCCCGCCATCGTAAGTGATTATCCTGGTGTATGACGATGGGTTATGATTTCCCCCGGTCATTATCATCACCACCTATAGTACCACCAGCAAAAGCTAACCATCTTTCAGAACGTCACCTCCTCCTCCACCGTCGTCGCTGCCCTCGAGGCCGCTCGCGACCAAAAGTCCCCCATCTGCCTGCAGGTCTCCCAGGGTGGTGCTGCTTACTTCGCCGGTAAGGGTGTTAGCAATGACGGCCAGGCCGCCTCCATTGCCGGTGCCATCGCCGCTGCTCACTACATCCGTGCCATTGCTCCCACCTACGGCATTCCCGTCGTTCTCCACACCGACCACTGCGCCAAGAAGCTCCTCCCATGGCTCGACGGCATGATGGATGAGGATGAGCGCTACTTCAAGCTCCACGGCGAGCCCCTCTTCTCCAGCCACATGATCGATCTGTCCGAGGAGCCCGTTGAGTGGAACATCTCTACCACCGCCGCCTACCTCAAGCGTGCTGCCCCCATGAAGCAGTGGCTCGAGATGGTAAGTTTTCGCTCCCAACAAATCTAGATTGTTGTATGAGGCGTATACTAATAATCCCTTGCAGGAGATCGGTATCACCGGTGGTGAGGAGGACGGTGTTAACAACGAGGATGTCGACAACAACTCCCTGTACACTCAGCCCGAGGATATCTTCGCCATCCAGCAGGCCCTCGCTCCCATCTCCCCCTACTTCTCCATTGCCGCTGGTTTCGGTAACGTCCACGGTGTCTACAAGCCCGGCAACGTCCGCCTGCACCCCGAGCTCCTCTCCAAGCACCAGGCCTACGTCAAGGAGCAGCTCAAGTCCGAGAAGGACAAGCCCGTCTTCTTCGTCTTCCACGGTGGTTCCGGTTCCTCCAAGGAGGAGTACAAGGAGGCCATCAGCTACGGTGTCGTCAAGGTTAACGTCGACACTGACATGCAGTACGCCTACCTGTCCGGTGTCCGTGACTACGTCCTGAACAAGAAGGACTACCTCATGACCACCGTCGGTAACCCCGATGGCGAGGACAAGCCCAACAAGAAGTACTTCGACCCCCGTGTCTGGGTTCGTGAGGGTGAGAAGAGCATGAGCAAGCGTACCCAGGTTGCTCTTGAGGACTTCAACACCTCCAACCAGATCTAAATGGTGGAAGGTTAATCCTCTTAGCTTTTTATTTTATCCCCGTTCATATCACCCACACACACTGATGCCGTCCTTCGAAGTGAAAGGGCGGCGATGACTTATTACCCAACTTTTTTTTGAAATCATTCCATGCTGCCGAAAAAGTGATCGCGCCTGGGGGATGTTGTGGCGTACCGGTTGTATGTAGCGATGTATTTCGACACGTTGTAATGAAATGAAATGTCCATATTACGGTTTTGATCCGTTGGAAGAAGGATTCATCTCTGGTTGTAGATATCAATATGTAAGGGGGGAGATTATGAGTGCATGACTGGTTCGTATTTTGGATGCACGAGTGCAGAGGCCATGTGACCTTAACAGGTGTCCCAAATCTGTGATTAGAATTTGTGGCCTGAGTGCCTTATTGCCTGGTTATAACACTTGATGCCTCAGGTGTCGACTCTCTAACATTGTTATGTAAGATCGACACATGTCGTCAGTGGCATTTCAAATTCTGCCCGGTCAACCAGCACAATCAAATACATGATGTACAGTATTCTAATTAAATTGCAATCCTCCACTCTTCGAGTCCTCCTCCTCCACTGACGTCTGGCGCATCCTACGCTGGCCCCTCCCACCATCACGGTGTTCCACAGGGACAGCGTGACCCTGGGTCTTTGCGGGAACCCGATTGTTGCAGTGTTCCAGATGTTCCAGACTTCTCCCCCACAACACATCTGATTGGATCATCTCGAGGCATCCTGGAGTCAGCCTGCCAATGAAATGGTGGGGATTGGGTCTCAGAGGGGAAGACCAAACGTGTCGATACCGCCACCCAGGCACACGGATGACAGCGTTGTACTGGAACGCAATGTGTTGGACGCACAAACCGGGTATTTTGGTATTTTGCAAATGGGGATTAAACTGCTGACCCTGTCATTGTTGATTTTTAGACGTGGCTGTTGCATCGAGCTCTTCTCGGTTAACGGCTGATCGGCAATGCCGCCTATTATTCATTATTCATTATTGACTATTGACTCTTTGACTATCGATCAACTTGTCTCTTCTAATAATAACCGAGCTAAACCAGTCTAGAGTCTGGACCCCCCGTCAGAAACCCACTTTTCTTTCATTCTTGGACTTGCTTGTCTCACATCGTTGATCATCCTTCGTTTTTCCGTCATCACTCCGCTTTTTCCTTCTCTCTTTTGGTCTCCCTCCGCTCCGCTACTTGTCGGTCGCTTTGCAATTCTCTACTCGACTACATCCCGTACACTTCTCGTCCACATTCATGTCGACTTGTCTTTCGTTTTTCTGGTGATCTTTTTCTGGCGGGACGTGATGGATTTGGATCTGCGACAAAGCTTATGGCCTCGGGCCGAAGAGTCTGGGACTGACAAGTTTCTCACGCTGATTTCGAATCCTTTTTACTCCCAGGTATGTTTGGATTGTCGCAAACACACAGAGAGAGAGAGGATTAAATGTATACTGACTAGCTACACACAGTTCCAAGTCAGCGCTATCTGGGCCTCACTAGGTACCTCTATCGGCATCTCCGTCCTCCTCGCTTTACTCTTCTCCCTCTTCCGACCCCGTCACAACGTCGTCTATGCGCCCAAAGTGAAACATGCCGATCGCAAACATGCTCCTCCCCCGGTGGGCAAGGGCTTTTTCTCCTGGGTCAAGCCTGTGATCAATACCCGTGAACCGCAACTCATCGAGACCGTCGGATTGGACGCTGCCATCTTCTTGCGCTTCACCAAGATGTGTCGCAACATCTTCATCTTCATCAGCATCATCGGATGTCTGGTTCTTATTCCGGTTAATATCTCGCAAAGTAAAACGACTGGATCCAGCGCCTCGACGGCATTGAGCAAAATGACTCCGCTCTTTGTAACGAATCCAACCGCTATCTGGAGTCAAGTCGTGTGCGCTTGGAGCTTCGATATTATCCTGGCGTTCTTCTTGTGGAGGAATTACAAGGCTGTCAGGGATCTTCGACGACAGTACTTCCAGAGCTCGGAGTATCAGCGGAGTCTGCATGCGCGAACCCTGATGGTCTCCGATATTCCTCCCTCGGACCGCTCTGATGAAGGCATTCTGCGCATCACCGATGAGGTCAATCCTACGGCTGCCCTTCCCCGGGCTGCCATTGGCCGCAATGTGCGTGACTTGCCCGTTATCATTAAAGAGCACGAGGATAATGTCCGTGAATTGGAATCTGTCCTCGCCAAATACCTCAAACGTCCCGACCAATTGCCCGCTAAACGACCCACCATGCGTCCGCCCAAGAGTCAGCGAAACAAGCATCCCGGTGGCAAGGTGGATGCTATTGATTACCTGACCGTGCGAATCCGCGTCTTGGAGGAAGAAATCAAGCACGGACGGGCCTCTATTGATCGCCGTAATGCGATGCCGTATGGATTTGCCAGTTGGGAGAATATCGAGCATGCGCATGCCGTGGCATGGACTGCCCGGAACAAGCATCCCAAGGGCACCACGATTGCTCTTGCACCTCGACCCAGTGATCTTATCTGGGAGAACTTGCCCTTGTCCAAGAAGGCGCGCAAGTGGAAGCGTTTCCTCAATGTCATTTGGGTTACTGCTCTCACTCTCGTGTGGATCGTTCCTAACGCTCTCATTGCGGTGTTCTTGTCCAACTTGAACAACTTGGGTTCCGTTTGGCCAAAGTTTCAAACTTCGCTCTCGGCAAATCCCACGGTCTGGGCTGCTGTTCAGGGTATTGCATCTCCTGCAATTACTTCACTCGTATACCTGGTGTTGCCGATTATTTTCCGACGCCTTTCGATCCAGAGTGGTAGCAAGACCAAGACTTCACGGGAACGACACGTCTTGGGCCAGTTGTATGCGTTCTTCGTGTTCAACAACTTGGTTGTTTTCTCGCTATTCTCTGCTGCGTGGGCCTTTGTCTCCGCTGTGATTGACAAGACTAACACTGATGAGGGCGCTTGGCAGGCTATTGTCGACAGTAACCTGTACCAGAAGTTGATGAGTGCATTGTGTACCGTCTCGCCTTTCTGGGTGACTTACATTCTGCAGCGCAACTTGGGAGCTACCATTGACCTGGTGCAAATGATCAGTTTGGCCTGGGTCTGGTTCGCCAAGACTTTCCTCGCGCCTACACCTCGCCAGTCGATTGAGTGGACCGCTCCGCCCTCGTTTGACTATGCCAGCTACTACAACTACTTCCTGTTCTACGCAACTGTTGCATTGTGCTTCGCCACCCTCCAGCCCATTGTGCTGCCTGTGACGGCACTCTACTTTGGTGTCGATGCCATGCTGAAGAAGTACTTGCTCATGTACGTGTTCGTGACCAAGAACGAGTCAGCCGGAGCCTTTTGGCGTGCCCTGTTCAACCGACTCGTCTTTGCAAGCATTCTCGCCAATGTCATCGTTGCACTCGTCGCAAAGGTTCAGGGTACCTGGACCATGGTCTTCTGCATCATCCCATTACCGTTCCTGATGCTGGGCTTCAAGTTCTACTGCATGAAGACCTTCGACGCCGACATCATGTACTATAACCGCGCCAACCTCACCGACGCCGAAGCCATCGGCGGGTCGAAGATAAGCAAAAAGGCCGCTGATCGCCTCAACTCCAAATTCGGTCACCCAGCCCTCTACAAACCCCTCATGACACCGATGGTCCACGCCAAGGCCGCTGAAGCTCTTAAGGAGATCTACCAGGGCCGACTAGACCACGGCGACATGAACAACGAATACTCCGACATCGCCATGAACCCCATGCTCCCCTCACAACCAGGCAAGGCCGAGCCCGCTCCATTCGAAGTCGTCCCCGAAGCCCACCTAGACTTCTCATACTTCAAGGACCGGGCCGACTTCCGCGACGAATTCGGCGGTGGTATTTATGGCAGACCAGAGGATTTGATGACGGAGCGCTCGCAAACACCGCGCAGCATGCTCGGCGGCGAATGGTCCCCTTCTTCATCACGCGCCTCCTCGCCCGCACCATCTCTCCCTTCGTTACCGGGATTGAAGTTGCAAGAAGGATACCAAGATCCAGACCAGGGTCAGGGCCACATCCACCCAGCCTTCCGTGTCCCACTCTCCCGAGGCGACAGCGGTAATGGGGCGTACGCATCAGACGACATTGGGGATCGTCTACTGAGTCACGCACAGACACCCGGACAGGTAGACATGAATCCGCTCGACCGCTGGCGGACCGGTGGATACGGTCCTGTCCAACAGGACGATGATCCGTATCAGACTTCGTACGAGGCGTACCGTGGAACCCGGTAGAGAGTAGAGAGTTCCTGACTGTACCGGCATCGGCATGTCTGGCGCTTTTCTCTCATCTCTGTGAAAATCATCTCTGTGTGCATATATTTATCTCATTTTTTCGGTCTTGTTTGTTTTGGCGATTTTCTTTTGGGCGAAGGGCGGCTGTTGAGGCGTTGGAGGGGCCTGGTTGTTCTTCTGTACATACATCTGTTGGATACGATATTACGAATATTTTACCTTTTGACCTCTGGGTTGAAGGGGTCTGTGAAAATAGCATCTCTATTGTACAAAATCACATTTTATTGGATGAATATTTCAAGTTGAATAAGAGCTAAAAGGGGTTGGGGTCTGGAAGACTTCGATTCGAGTGGTCTGAATGTGATCTATTGTAAAATCACCCTTCAGTGGAGGATGTTGCAAAGAGACCTTGACTTTGATGGTTCTTTATTGTAAACAGCCAGAGTCCAACCCCAATCTATACAACTCTAGAATGTAACATTAATCATAGAACAGACTCAATAAGACTCGTTCTGGACCTCAGCCAGTGACGAGACGTTCTGAATCTCCCTTTCATACTCCTGAACAGTCTGCTTGCGCTGAACATTCCCCTTGCCAGTCCTCAACATTGGCCGTGCCACATCTGTAACAATAATCCGACTCCGTTCCACTCGAGCATAAACAGGGAGGTCTTTGTTGATCCCCTCGATTGTCAGCCAAATCTGATCCATGAAGTCCCCGCCCGACACCTTCACTGTTGTTTCATCTCCACCTCCCTGTCTTGCATCAAGCTGAAGACGAAGTTTGGCAGTAGGTTCTAGTAAAACCACCGACTTATCAAGACCCGTCCCGATAACAAGAACCTCCTGAATAAGACCCGGATGCTCAGCAAGAATCCGACGCTCCGTCGAAACAGGATGCCATTTCCCTCCTGAATGGAAACACTGCAAATCATCACTGCGACCATGATGCGTCCAGAATCTCTCCTCCGCCGTCCCAGAAACAAGTCGGAATAAATCCTTAGTATCGAACTCGTCCAGTTCAGGGAAGACACAGAAAATAGACTGTTTGTCCTCTGAACTCGGATTTCTCACGAAAACAGCCGAATACAGATCATCCGTTTGACGGCGGAACTCGATATTCGCCTGTGGATGGAAACACAACGAGGTAAAGTCGTCTGGATTGTTGTTTCCTTCCAAATGACGAATTGAAGGCCACATGCCCGTCTCTGTTGATCCTAGACACGTAAACAGTCGTAGACGCGCTGAGACTCTATCGATAGATGACTGCATCACGGACCCACCAGCCCAAACGACCGTTTGGACTCCCCCGCACACCACGTCTTCCACAAGCGCACTATCACCACCGAGTTCATCCATGTGAACGGGTAACAAGAAAAGACACTCCACAGGCGGTGACGAGTTCCTCACGACTCCCGCCGCTGTCTCGATACTAGCCGGTAACCCAGCTGGTGGGTAAATGATGGTATTCCCACTATAAAAAGTAAGAAACAGACTGGCGAATAGCAATCCCGCATGGAAAGGCGGACACATGCTCAGCATACGCGTGCTCGTCATATAAGTATCGAGTAACTCGAAACCGACGGGTGGCCGTAGTTCTCGCTGACGACCGAATGAATAGCCAAACTCGTGCGTCCACAGGATTGGTTTGGGGAAACCGGATGTCCCAGAGGTATGGATTACCACGAGGGGTTCATCTTTGGCTTGTGAATAGGTCTTTGTATATGCGAACTCGCACTCAACATCGTATAGTTCTGCCAGATCGGGCAGTGTCCATATTTGTAGACTGCCGTGTTCTGCGGCGATGGCTGTTGCTGGGGTACTTGGGCTTGCGGATGAAATTAGGAGATGACTGCATTGTGTTTCTTTCATTAATCGGGCTTGGCCGATTGTTCCGTAGCGCGGGGATGTGAGGAGGAGTTTGTAGCCGGCTTTTATGGAGGCGATGAGGACTATGTTGTGACTTAGATCGTTGGGTCCGAGGTAGGATATTGTTGGGAAGTTTTTGCCAGGGCCGAGAGTATTGATGAGCCAGTGGGAGATGGCGTTTACGGCGTTGGCTAGTTTGCGATAGGTGATTTTTCTGGTTCCGAGGCCGTAGCCTGTAGGAGAGATGGGTATCTCGGCGAAAGGTTTTTCTGGGTCCAGCAAGGCGACTTCATCAAGAAGAGTTGGAATGAGTTTGGGAGCTCGTGTTACTTCATCAAGAGAAGCCATTTTGTTATTGGTGTTGCCTTTCTGAGCTAAGATTAGGTCCCGCTATAGTTCCCAATTGACTGGGTTGGGTAGAAAGTACCTTTGATAAGATGGAAATCAGATAAGATCACAATCACGAAGAGTGAGAAGACTTTAGAGAGGAAAAAGGCGCGGTCTTCATTAAATAAAATATCAAATCTCACCATGCCAAGACTTTGATGCTGTAGTAGCCCCCAACCTGCTAGCGGCTCAGCTCCGACTGGAGATTTGAAACTGATTGGTCGGCAAAGCTGACAGGCCGACAACAGTCCCAGAGAACGCAATATGACATATGCTTGGAAAGAAACCAAGGCTCTTCAATGAACGGGCTAGAATGACAAGTGGCCTGGCACTAGGCGTTTTGGGCAATTTAGCGTCCCATCCTTCGCAACTATAGCTTCAAAAGGAAAAGGATCTTCGACATAGTGGAATCTGAACGCGTTTTACGAATTAGAGATATTGATTCGTTGTGATGATAAAGCTGGTAAGATAAAAAAGGGTATCGTTGAATGTCATAAAAAGGAATCTCAATGACCATTAACTCATGTTTCCGGCGGCGGAGTCACCAACGTGGCCATAGATTGTTCCGCAAGTCTCCTATTCCGGAGTACCTGAATTTGTCGTCGTCGCTCTTCGAGTTCAGCCCGTCGCTCAGCCTCCCTGGCTGCCAATTTCTCTCGCCGCCGCTGCGTCTCCTCGCGAGCCTTCTTCAACTCCTCCATCTGCTTCTTTCTTTCCTCCTGGTCCTGTGAAAATGCATAGAAGCCCGTTCCGCGATTGCGAACTTCGGCATCGGCGTCGTAGTGTGCAAATTCCGGCTCGGGTGATAGGTCTCGCTTGGCTGCGAGGCGGGCCATTTGCGCCGCGATGTTCGCGTCTGGATTGAAAGCTTGGGATTGAATGGCTTCACCGTAGATCAGGTTTTCTGGCCGTGAGGGTCGCCAGCGTTCCTCTGTAGCTCGACCGCGATTCTCTTCTTCCTCTTTGGTGCGGGCTGCGCGTGCAGCCTCGGCCCTGGTGCCGTGACGCGTTCGACCAAACTCGTCTTCGTAGGAAACAACGGAAGCATTGTCGTCGTCCTCATTTTCTTCGTCTTCGTCACCGGAGCCACTTTTCTTGCGCTCCTCGTCGGCCCATTTCGTATCAAAGTCGACCAGTCCGGCTTTCTCTCTGCGTCGCAATCGTGATATGTAATCGTCTCCTCCATCCTCATCACTATCTTCACCAGTGAGGTGCACTCCCTTCTTCATATCCTCGTACATGCGCACTTTCTTCGCCATCCGTTGCTTGGATCGATTCAAGGTGGCGCCATCGATTGCCCCAATGTCACGGCTTCGCTTATGTACTTGATTGGAGACATGGTGGTCATCATCCTGGAGATCTGCAGCAGCGCGCTTCTCGGCGCCTTTGTTTTTCTTTGCGAAAAGGTCGCTTTTGGAGGTCTTGGATGGTCGTGGGCGTCCGTGAGAGGTTGTGCCAGAGCCCTGGGAGATGAGGGAGGATAGTTGGCTGGTGAAAGCGAGGTTGGACGATGATGTGATCTCTTGTGTCTTAGATGATTTGGCCTTGGGTTTGCCGTACAGCGATGACTGTTCCGAGGCCATGATGTAGCTGTTGCAGCTCCGCACGTGAATGTTGAAAGGACGGAGTCGAGAACAATCTCCGGAGTCGATAACGATATCGATAGCGCGATAAGAGTTTCGGCCTGGTTTCACAGGCTGAAATGGCTGAGTCATCCGCTGACTTAGCAGATGCCCCGCGGGCCCCACGAAGTGACGAGCTCGAGGATCTTTGACTCAATCCTTCTATTCTCTTATTTCTGATTTTCTAATTGTCACTTGTTCCATACGGTCAAAATCTGTGCATCTTCACATATCCCTGATTTTAAATATACCCCCAGAACTATCCAATTGACCGTTTCCATCAACATGTCCGCCAACCCTATCTATCTCGGCATTATTGGTAGGATACCCCTCCGCAATTTAAAGCTTCATGCTTCATCTATGGAATTCCCTCTAATATTTCCTTCCAGGCGTCGGCGGTGTTGGCACTGCGTTCCTCTCCCAGCTTGCCCGCCTCCCCAATGCTCCCAAGCTCGTCCTCCTCGCCCGTTCTTCGCAGACCCTCCTCGCTCCGACACCGGCCTACTCACCGGCCATTCCCGCGGCCGACTGGGCAACCGCCGCCGCAGGCCCTTCTCTGACCAAGACCGGTGCCCTGCCCGCCGAGGAGATTGCTACCTACCTTGCATCTGCCCCCGGACGTGCTATCCTGGTTGACAACACCTCCGACATCAACCTCGCCCGCCAGTACCCCACATTCCTGAAGAAGGGCATCTCAATCGTGACCCCCAACAAGAAGGGTTTCTCCGATGACCTCTCCCTGTGGAAGGATATCTTCGCCTCTGCCGCGGAGGGCAAGGCCCTCGTCTACCACGAGAGCACTGTCGGTGCTGGTCTGCCCGTGCTGTCGACCCTTAAGGACCTAGTCGCTACTGGCGATGAGGTTACTCGCATCGAGGGTGTCTTCTCCGGTACTCTCTCTTTCCTCTTCAACACCTTTGCCCCGGCCTCCGGCTCTTCGGATGCCAAGTGGAGCACCGTCGTTGCCCAGGCCAAGGAGCTTGGCTACACCGAGCCTGACCCTCGTGATGATCTGAACGGCATGGACGTCGCCCGCAAGCTGACCATCCTGGCCCGTCTGGCTGGTCTGGAGGTTTCCAGCCCGGACTCATTCCCTATTGAGTCTCTCATCCCTACCGAGCTGGCCTCGTTGCCTTCTTCGTCCGACGGCATTGCCGAGTTCATGAAGCGTCTGCCAGAGTTTGATGCTCAGATGGCTAACATCAAGGACACTGCCGAGAAGGAGGGCAAGGTTGTGCGTTACGTTGGTAGCATCGACGTTGCTGCCAAGAGCGTCAAGGTTGGTCTGCAGACTTTCGAGAAGGATAGCGCTATCGCTGGTCTGAAGGGCAGTGACAACATCATCAGCTTCTACACCAAGCGGTACGGTGCCAACCCGTTGATCGTGCAGGGTGCCGGTGCCGGTGGTGACGTTACTGCCATGGGTGTCTCGGCCGATCTGATCAAGGTCGTGCAGCGCCTGCAGTAATTCTATACAGAATAAAAGTAACTAGATATCCAACGACTTGAAAATTCGTCATGAAAAGCAATTGAAATGTCAGCGCTGAAGAATACGACCATTTTATATGTACGCTTCTTTTAATTGAAGGGTAGAGAGATGTTCCACATGCTGCTCCTTCGTCGTCGTCGTGTGTTTTCCTCCTGGGATATGCATGACTGGGACAGTTAGTGTTAGGTTCTCTGGGATTGCATCCAAAGATCATCTCTTTCTCAGAGAATGAATATCGAGGATTATTTCCATAGTCAGACCGCTATCTTGCTTGTCTGCATATGAGGATTGCACTCTTTCCACATGGATTGCTGAACCGGGGTTGTCGGTCGGCACCACAGTGTAGAAGAATCATAAATATATTCACAATAAGTATAACTGAAGCTTGGTCAAGTGTGGTCAGTCTCGATCGAGGTGGGCGTACCATATGAGACTGCCAACATGGGTATCGCCTTAACAGGTCGCAGGAAATAAACGCCACAAACTCCAGCATGACAAAACTCGCAAACAGACCGTGATCTGTGTAATAACAGTAAAATCCTCAAAGAAAAAGCAATCAAGCTCGTCGCGTCAATCGGCGTTTCACGTCTCCGTCAGCCCCGAAAGAAGTATGACCATCGGCAGTAGGAGCAGTATTCTCCCTCCCAGCATCTTGACTCCTCACCGTACCTTTGCTCCTTGACGTATGTCCGGACTTTCCAGAGTCACTATCCCCAGAATCCGTCTCGACGCCGCACAACCCAAATGCCCGTCTTTGCCCGCCAGGCCGTTCCTGCAAACTCGGTGCCCGTGGCCGTTGATGGCCCCGCGCGCGTCCTCCGATCCAGGGAAATTCCCATAGAATCATGCGGTAGATATAGAGACCAGCGTCGAAGACGATGAGAGCTGCCCATGGGACGATGGTGATGAGGCCGAGGAGGAACTATAGCAAGCGGAGAAGTCAGCCGGCGTGTTTGAACGGGAGAATACTTCTCCAACCATGAGAAAGAAGATTGACATACGAAGATGCGCACTGCCCAGCTCTCAAATTGGATGAGCTGCGGCGGGAGAATGGAGTACCACGCCATAATCTATGGCTGGCTACCTCGACAAGGTCCCCGATGACCGAGTCTGCAGTCGCTGCTTGCGAAACGGGCAATAGAGCTCGATACCTTCCTCTCTTAGACCTTTGTATTGTTGGCCAGTGACCCCCTCACAAGCCTGATGTCTCGGAAATTGACGCAGTCCGCTAGTCCTGTGTGATGCTGTCCTCCCCACTCCCCATAATCCGGGGTAATACGATACTCTGCCTGGGGCAGGTGGGACGTCCGAAGGGGGGTCCAGTGCACAGCGCAGAGCACACAAGTGCGCTTGGAACTCCGAGTTAAGAGGTATTCCAGAACACGCGCCCCTCCCCGCACAGTCCCTGTCTGGAGCCTGGGGAAAGGAACGAAGTTAGGACGGCTCGCGATGCGGAGGTAAGAAGGCGGTGTCGGAGCAGCCGAGGAAGCTCGGGATGCAGGGGCTAGGGGAGCTGTAGGGAATGAGACAGCTGACTTTGGAGAGTTCAAATGAAGGAGAGGAAGGGTTTCGAGGGTCCAGGGAGGAGCCTCACTGTCGTAGCTCGGAAGGTGTGGGAAGCTAAGAACGGGTGGAGTAAGGCAGAACGAACCGCGAGGCTGCGGACTTGAGCGGACTGAGCCCGATTAGGCAATTTATCAGCAGAGGGATTGGACATGCTATTTGCAACGATAAATAGCTCTAAGCGAAGTGTTTATAGTGGAATTTCCTGCTATGTATATAGCATAAAGGTCATCAATATAGATTTATCTCCAAGAGAAAAGCTAAATGGCAAATATGACTCTGAAGACCAGCACAGCACCTATCCTAGCCACAATCCAATTACAACTCGTCCAATATAAAGGATACCACCAGATCCCGCCAAAATAATTCCAAACAAGATCAAAATACCAATGGCGCCACCATGAGAAGCACCAAGATAGCCCCCCAAATCCAACTTTTGATCTTGTTCATGACAATCATATCAGCATAAACTCATCAGTCATAACCAAGGCTCGGTGGAACAATGTTGCCAGAAGCCTGAGGTGCAGCAACGCAGTTGCGCTAATATTTGGCCGCCAGGGCTTCCATTTGGTCCAAGAAGGAATCAGCATCTGTAGTTTGGGCATTTAGTTAGTTCTGTTGTAAAGGATCTGGACGGAAAGAAAAAAGCAGAATAGAACGTACCCTCGGTGGTTGCAAATGTCAGCTCATATTCATTGCGATCGTTCAGCGGGGGTGTATAGTCATCAGCTGGTATCAGAACGATAGGCTTCAGATTACGAATGATGACGGTTCGATGGTCGACGACACGCAGCCAGCTGCGTCGGCTAAGGTGGGAGGTGATAAAAGCAGTCCAGACGGGGGTGCTGTAGTTGGTACAATTAGAAGATCGCTTCTATACGGCTTGGTTATGGCGCATCACTTACTGGTCCATATCCCCTTTGTGGACAGAGGCCTGTAGCCTGACAGATTTGGTTGTCTTGTCACGGTAAACACGAAGAGCATGAGCATAATCGTCGTCGATAATTTGACTGTCGCTGGTTAGACGAGGCTTCTTAGGGCTGGAGTATGAGAATTGACTCACCCGCCATATATTTGTCGTTCACCTTCCAACTCATAGTCACGGATATCCTCGACGGGATGACCAGCGTCTTGAGAACGGAGGGCCAAAAACGCTACGTAGAACGCAACCATGCCTAATGATAAGTCGGTTAGCTTGCCGGTCTCAACATCTCCAAGTTTCTAGCTTTTGGTGGTACGTACTCTCCATGGTTGTAAATTGAATGCTTGCCCACAAGACAAGCTCACTGCCGCCATGACGTCTGCGGCACAGCTGGAGGCAGGACCCTTCCCGAATGACTTCCAATAGATTCAACGGCAAACAATAGTAATCGCTCGGTCGGGACCTATGCGGGACCTTGCAGACAATACGCACGCGATGGTCTCGTTCTCGCAGGTAGAAGAATACAGTCATATTCGAGTCGTCATTAAAGGCTCTGTGGAGGGTTAACTTATGAATTGCCATGACAAAGTCTGTGGAATGCCTTACAATTCAAGGAGCAAGTCGAAACCTTGCTCTCGAAGCCACGGTTTGATCCCAGCGTGTGCGTCGCCAAAGCAGCCGGCTCTATTACGATTGTTAGTGAACTATACTATGATGGTCTGATCGTGTGAGCGAGGTCTTCTCCCACCTTTCTCGTCCTGGGGGGATTGGTGTCTCGGTGTCATAGGTCGAAAAGACTTCTTTAACCCAATGGTATTCAATTACATCCGAATGAGTGGATTGACTAGTACCCGTTGCCGAAGCAGATCCCAGAGGCGAGCTCGGCACCTCCGGGACAGAAGGAGGGAAATCGGAGAAAGATGCCGAGGATGGTGATGTCGGGGACTGAGGGGATACATGTGGTGGACGGCTTCTCTCGTACGATCGTTGTCGAAGCGGTGGTCGACGTTCCTTTCGAGGACTAGGCTGATCCGTGCTGGTACTTCCGGTAGATGGTGGCTTACGACCCAGCGAGAGGCGAGCGAGTCGCGGTGCGAGGCGCTTCTCTTGCTCCACGAGTAACACTTTCGTGTTACTGCGGGAAACTGCGAGGAGCGGAGATTCATGGCGGGGGCTACGATGATCAGTCAGACCTCTTACTACAGCAATTTTCTCTTTGACGGTTATAATCTGCGGGGTATTGCTTACTCTCTCACCGCGTCGACGAGCTCCCTGAGAAAGCTCTTATACTTGGCCAAGCGAGTACCCAGCGAGTACTGGGCCTCGTTCCAGAAGAACCGTTCTATCGACAACCATGTTCGTTGGTACGTATCTGACGAGGCATGACCGCCGTCTAACCGGTTGAAAAAGTCCAGTATATCTTCGATGGTGTACTTCAGACTCGAGCGCAGCAATTCCACATCGGGGTGGACAAGCGCCCAACTACGGCGATAACGAGGATCTTTGGAGAGGTCATCCAGGCTCGATAGGGACGAACTGATAGCGTAAAAGTCAGAGATCAGACCGGTGATCTCGGTGGCATGTTCGGGAAGAGGGGCACGAAAGGAGCTGAAGCCGTCGGCGGCGCGTTCGGCCTGGTCGGCAGACGAGCGCAGGGCCATGAGCGCGTCAGGCCATCCGGGGATTTTTCGATATGAAGGTCGCAGTGGGGTGGGTTTGGGATACGAGGTTTCCAAGGGAGTAGCGAGCACCACCTCACGTGCAATGCGGCTCTTGACTTTTTTTTTTTTTTAATTTGGAATCCCTTGCGTTCTTGACGTGGTCGCCCGGGAATGGCGGGGCTCGGTGGGGTAGGAGGGGGATGAATCACCCAGCATGCGTGTGCAGTGCACAGTGGTCGAGGAATCCTGGTCCTCGACGGTCACGACAGCAGAGAGAGATAAGGAGGCGTAGCGATGGATGTACTGTTGTATTTGTATCCTGAAGGTTGTTTTAGTCCAGTTGGCAACCTTCCCCCGGGTTGGGGTCGATGCGTTTCCATGGTTCTGCTCTCCATCAAGTCCACACTTGACCCATAATAGAGCATAGGGCTGAGAGACAGAAGAGATGAAGATAGGAGAAATATTTATCTGGGCATATAATAGCTTTTTGTCAAACCAGACATGTCGATAGGCAGACTTGATTAGTGGTGAGGGGGCATGCAAGCCCACTGCAGTCGGGCCTAATCCGGTAAAAACAACAAAACGGAGTGAAAGATGATAGAAGTAGAAGAATAAAAAATAGCTATAACGAGGCGCACTCTTGAATATAAAGCTATGAGCCATGGCTTGACTCACAAAAGCAATAACGGCGCTGCCTGCTTAGCCCCGTCCTCCAACTTTCGTATCGGGGGCTGGGGCTGTGCCTTGGATGATAGAAGCTTCCATATTACTGGTCCGGAACCTGAGTCCATACGCCTTGGCTTGTCTCGGGAAAGAGCCTCTTCTTGTCTTTCTACACAGAGTCAACCTCTTACATGATTGACACCAGTTCGGGAGTATCACCCTCGGACCTCGTATAACATCTTCCTAGAGAAAGATAGAGTTTTGTGACAGTGGGGTTGCTTTCGAGAAAACTAAGCTATATTGAAAGATATAGCTTTCTATATAGATGAGCCTTGTGTTGTCCTAAATTCATCTCCTCTGTACATACCCTCCCTATATAATGGGCCTCGCCTATTGCTTAATGAGTGATCCTTGTAACCCCGAACTTCATCCGAGCAAAAGATTTCAGCGGCATCTCAAAATAATCCTCAGGAGTTTGAAGGCTTGACTGAGCGCAGCGAAATTGGGATAGCAGAGTCATCATCAGTGACATTCCACAGCAGAGAATAAACCCCCTCGCCCTCGGACGAAGCCTTGACATAGAAGCTGGAGGAGATATCCCCAGACTCGGTCTCGATCATCACCCACTGCCCGTAGAAGATAAAGCCGGTAGTGGTCTCGTTGGACTCGGCTTTCGAGGTGAAGCCCATCTGGTGCGAAGAAGATGATGAGCTGGGAATGTAAAGCATTTTATTGGACCAGCGGTCGGTATTGTCGGTATTGTCGGTAGAGGATGTGGTGTTCGGATTGGCAATCCATTTGCTCGAAGATGAGGAGGAGGATCGTTCAACTATATTTTAACTTGGTTAAAACCCCGGGTAGTTGTGCTAAAGAAGACCCAACTCACAAGAAACCGGGATGGCGGACGATGAAGTCGAGTTAGATGGGTCGCCGACGAATGCCTTGCCTATTTCGATTGATCAGCAACTTGCTTGTAGAGCATAGAGAGGTAGGGAGGGTCAAACCATCGGCGTAGAAAATTGAAAGACCACCGACAGAGTCACCATAGGCATACAAGCTGAAGCTCTCGTCAACGCCAGGTGCAGCCCGGGGAACAAAGCCAGAAGCCGATGCCACGAGGCACAGCATAGCACCAGAGATTAAATGGCGAAGCATACTGACAGGATTCAAAGGAGTGTAATAGATTGCAAAAAGATGTAGCAAAGGAATGTCTGAGTTTACTTCAATATTTTGCTGACAAGTTCAGACCCTATATACGCTGGCTGCCCCATACGTACCTCTTCAGGAACAGAATTTAACCTAATCATCAGCCGGAACGGCTTCGGGGGTCTAGCAGGCTGTCAAACCTATCTTTGCACTCAAACTACAGGGGTTTCGAGCTTGTGAACAATAATCGTTGGACAATTTTCTGGTCTGGACGTGTATGAACTCCACTCTCTGGGGCCGCGTGTTGGCTGACGTTGGTGCTGTTGGACTTGCGGGTACACAGGGAAAGTTGTCCGCGAACTGAGAATTGAAAGGTGGGGATTACTAGAGGCCTATTTAGTATGTACTCAATACTGGGCGAGTGCCTGCTTTTTTACTTGGCTAGAGATCCTAATCTCGGTTTATCTTAAGTATACGATTGGTGGCTGTTTGTCACCAAAATCTATATCAACCTAGCGAAAGACGTAACACCCTCCGCTGCGCACAGAGATCTAGCTCTCCAGTGCGCAGATATCTTATTGACATATCAAATTGTGTCAATATATACCTAAACGACCTGTTTTTGAGCTCGCTGCTGCCACGCAATCTACCTAATTTAGAGCATCGACCAGGCACCAGACCCACGCCGGCGGCAGTGGCGCGAACCCCTCCATGTTTAATATCAGATTCCGGCTTGTCGCGTGAGAGCTATCCATAGTTTAAAAATAAACAGCGAATAAGAGCACTATCGGACACCCCATCCGAATCTCCGGTTGCGTGGCGGCATTTAAGCTTACGATCCAGTGAGCGTACCTGGCACCACCTTGTCCAATGGGAAAAAAGAGGATTCAAAGCCAAGCAAGTTTATGATCCATCATTTTATATGGAGATGCACTAAGTTATCATGAATAAGCGGAAGAAGATGCCGAGTGGACTGCTATCAAGTTGGATACGAGTGTGAGAGTATTTCATGAACATCGCTTTACTATCTTGGTTCCTGTTGTCGTTGTGTCGAATTCACTCTTTTTCTACATCTTCAACTCTTGATTGCAGTCATACTTCCTTTTTATACTCTCCTTTCTTCTTCTATAATCCATAATTCTTTTGTCACTCCTTGAGACTCTTTCTTCCATTGATATTTTAGTCATTCCTTTTTCTCGTCTCTCTTTTACCGGAATCAACCATGAAGGCCGCATCACTCATTCTCGCCCTCATCGGTGTGACTACCGCAGCTTCTCTGCACCATCAACACCTCCATCCAAAGCTCAAGCGAGATGTCTGTCCTGGAAATACTCCGAGTAACAGGCAAAAATGGTGCAACTACAACGCCAGCACCAACTATTACGACGTGGTCCCCAACACGGGCGTGACTAGAGAATACTACTTCGATATCACAGAGGTCACAGTTGCCCCGGATGGCTATTCCCGATCCGCAATGGCGGTCAACGGCTCCATTCCCGGTCCTACCATCCACGCTGACTGGGGTGACCACGTTATTGTCCATGTCACCAATAATCTTGCCTCGGCGAAGAATGGATCAAGCATTCATTTCCATGGGATCCGTCAAAACTATACAAATCCTAATGATGGTGTCGTTTCGATCACACAATGCCCGACGGCACCGGGGAAAACTACTACCTATAAATGGCGTGCGACGCAGTATGGCTCGTCGTGGTATCATTCTCATATCGGGCTGCAGGCCTGGGAGGGTGTCTTTGGTGGTATTGTGATTAATGGCCCTGCTACGGAGAATTATGATGTTGACAAGGGGAGTCTGTTTTTGAATGACTGGAGTCATCAGACTGTTGATGAGTTGTATGATTCTGCTCAGTCGAACGGCCCGCCTACCTTGGACAATGGTCTGATTAATGGCACCAATGTCTATGGTTCTGATAACTCGAGTAGCCAGACTGGGTACCGGTTTAACACGTCCGTCACTGCGGGTACTTCGTACCGGTTCCGTTTGGTTAATGCTGCAATTGATACGCACTTCAAGTTTTCTATTGATAACCACACGCTCACTGTGATGGCGATGGATTTTGTTCCTGTTGAGCCTTTCAACACCACGGTTTTGAGCATCGGCATGGGTAAGATCAGAGTTCCTCTCGTTATGAATATCTAGCTAACCAATATCTACTACTTAGGTCAACGATACGACATCGTCGTTCACGCAGACCAGTCCACCGGCAATGACAGCTATTGGATACGCGCCATCCCCCAAGAAGCATGTTCCGACAACGACAGCGTAAACAACATCAAGGGAATAATGTACTATGGCAACACTCCTTCAACCCCGACCACCACCGAGTACACCTACACCGACAGCTGCGACGACATGGACATGTCCGATCTAGTCCCCTACCTGCCCCAAAGCGCCTCACTCCCCTACTACAACGCCAGCGAACCCGTCACGCTAGGCGAGAACTCTGAGAACCTCTTCCGCTGGAAAATGAACGGGACCTCGATGCAAGTCGAATGGGATAACCCCACTCTCCTCCAAATCTGGAACAACGATACCAGCTTCACAAACTCCAGCGGCGTGGTCGAACTACCCCGGGCCAACGAGTGGTCCTACGTCGTTATCGAGACTAGTCTCACTGTGCCGCACCCTATTCACCTGCACGGACATGACTTTTTCGTCCTTGCGCAGGGCTCTGGTACATACAGTGGATTCTCGGATATTACTAGTCTAACGAACCCGCCCCGGCGCGACGTGGCTATGCTGCCTAGTTCGGGGTATTTGGTCGTTGCGTTTAAGACTGATAATCCTGGCGCGTGGTTGATGCATTGTCATATTGGTTGGCATACGGAAGAGGGCTTTGCTATTCAGTTTTTGGAGAGGTATGAGGAAGCGCGGAAGTTGATTGATTATAGCTCTCTGCAGTCTGGGTGTAAGGCGTGGGATGAGTATGTGGAGGAGAGTAGTGTTGAGCAGGAGGATGATGGAATTTGATGGTTTGTACCTAGTTGTTTCAAGATTTTGGGTTTAGGCGGCATGACAGACGGAGATAGAGAGTTGGCGGTGCATTGGTAGGGCTGGAACTGTTTCGGTTATGGGTATAGAGGCTGGATGGAATGTAATGAGAACTAGTTGCATTAGCAATGAATAGACACCAGATATATGGATCTGGCAGAGTTTAACAACACGTTTGAGTGAGCTAAGTCGTTACATGAAATAATGGTTAGGTAGCCGTTCAGTGCCGTTACGATGGGTGGGGTCCAGAATTCGAGACAACCTTAGGTTTCGCCCTGCATATATAGTTTGATGCATGAAGAGTGCGTCCAAGACCCAGCATAGGCCTTAGCCAGTTAAAACCATCGTCTTAGTTGCTACACCTAAGGAGAAAGTCCGACAAGTCTAGTCTAGTATCTCCAATCAGACACTTGCTTTGAATGCCTGGTTCTCATACACAGGATATCCGAACTGATGAAGATACTATTCATAGACCAGGCAGCTAATAATAGCCTCAGGCCACCATCGGAGATACCCCGGACGCGTCGGAGTAAACAAACGGGGGAAGCTCGGGAGCTTGGGCCATCTCCGAAACCGCGGATTGAGGTCAACGCGCATCCACAGATGACGAGATCAACCATAGACGCGCATGGAGCAATTTACTGATTAACAGACCAAGGACTATATTTCAATGAGACAGTAGCATTGATTAAGCTAGTAGGTCAGACGGGGCATGCAATAGTATCTCGCAAAGCACAACGTCTAGGCCATTCCCAAAGAGTATCACTCGTGATCTTCACCCAGATAGCCCGGGAAATTCCAGACCACCAAGGGAAAGAAGCCAAGAGGGGGACACTGGGGAATGGAAGCCGAAAGTCTAAGCTAAAGTCCCACACACAAAACACTAAGCCCATCGGCCGGGGCGATCATAAAAAGCAAGTAAGAAACCACCGTAGAGACCATTCCGTAAGACCCGTGAGTGATAAAACGCAGAAAAGATAACCAGAAGAGTCAGCGAAAAGAAACACAAACGCCAGCAGCTGCGCAAATCAGATTTGCGGCGGGGCGTTTAAGAAGACTCGTCGTCCTCCTCGGCCTGCTGTAATGGTTGTTAGGATCGGGGGGTTTTGACAGGCGAGAGTGGGATCGCCATTGAGGCTGGGGGTGACGAAGGAAACTTACAGCGTTGTACTTGGCCTTCTCCTCCTCGTAGCGCTTCTTGTCAGCGGCGGCCTTGGCATCGTAGGGCTTGCGCTCAGCCTCGGTCAGGGCCTTCCACTTGTCACCGAGCATCTTGCCGACCTGGCCTGTATGGGGTGTTAGTTAGGATGCACCAGCGAGATGATGGGAAAGTAGCGAGCAAGACGTACCGAACGAGATGCCGGGGTTCTCCTCGCGGACCTTGTCGCGGTTGTCGTTGGCGAAGAACATGTAGGCGGACAGACCGCGCTTAGGGGCGTTCGGGTCTGGAGGGCAGGTTAGAATCCACGATTTGTAAGGACAAGTCAATTTCTCTTCAGACGGAACTTACCCTTCTTACGGCGTTGAACGCGCTCCTTGCCGCCCTTGCGAGTAGTCTTCTCCTTAGGCATGTTGGACTAGAAGAATAAGTTAGAAGTCGTTCCAAGAGTAGTTGGGGTGAGAGGCAATGGCGCCTAACTGAGGCGTAGAGCCCGAGAAAGGCAGGCAGACGAGTGCAATGAGTAGGGTAAGGCTATGCGACCGCAAGCGACCGCAATGCGACAAGCAATGAGGGGAAAAAGTTAAGTGAATTGGTGTGGTGAAGTGGGTAGTTGGTGCCGCGACGCGACTTGGTAACAAGCGCGCCGGCGGTCCTAACTCGACCATTTCACGGCGGAAGAAGACGGGACTTACTGTGTTTGGAAGGGGAAATGAGGTCGGTTCAAAGGAAATGAATCAGAGCGAATCTAATAAGCGGAATCTCATGTTAGTGGTGGTGTTGCAAGTAAACATAGGTGCGCGGTCGCGCGACCGAGCGAGAGGACTCGGTCGCGCGAGTGAAAAAATAGCATTGATGAGGACAGAATGACAGAATCAAGGGCGATGAGAGTAAAAAAAAAGGAGGGAGGAATAGTGGTGGTGGTTGTGTCGAGGATCGGGGACAGCAGAAGCGGGATATAGTAGTGTTGGGTGGGTGAGGATATGCAGTACCTGAGTTGTATGGGCAAATAGTGTAAGAGCGGTTGGTAGTAGTAGGAGAGATGGGAGAGAGAGGGAGAGGGGGGGAAGGCAGTAGTAGTAGGGGAAGAGAGAGAGAGACGGGACTAACTGTGGGAACGGGGCAGCACAGAGCAAGGGCAGCCCGCTGTTTGCTGACTGGCTGGGGAATGTAACGTATTGACTAATACACGTACACCTCAGTTTACAGTACACGCTCATAGTAATATACTAGGATACTACAATTCAACCTTGTGATTATATCGTTTTTATTGACTTTATACAAGTCATTCTATTCATGAGAATATTCTCACTCTAGAATATCCTCAAGAAAGAGAAAACTAGAGTTCTGGTGAGCGTATCCTAACAGATACAAGTCCCTGCTTGGTGTACGATTTACCATGGCACTTTTGGGCTTCCATCCTCTTGACTTGGCCATTTTCCCCCCATCTCTTTCGTGTCATGTTATCTTATCATCACTTAAATTTAGGGATCCTTTCATATTATTTTTCCATACGGAGTACTAGGCTTGCGTTGGATTTCGTATGTGTTGGGGGGGGGGGGTTTCTGGTGCTGTGAGTACGGGCGACCATACCAAACGGTAACATACCTCCAGCATCTCACAGTGGAGTATTACGCCTTGATCCATTCCCCTAAAACCGCGCACCCCATCGTATCAAGTACGCTGGTATTGCATAGTCAAGTGACGGCACAGGCAAGTACCCAGTACCGCCTCCATACGCGTTCCCTCCGTCATCCTGTTGCTTTCCCCTAGGGCAACCACCCAGGGAGAAAATACACAGAGTCAATAAATTGTGCAGCTGAAACCTGGAGATTCAATCGCTGGTCAATTATGCTTTTCCTTTTTGTATAATTTAGTCCATATATTGAAACTTAACTTGTTGCTCTGAAGATAGATCCAGCCTACTTAGGCCTGAGAGAGATCGTGATATCATTTTCAATACTTGAAATATGAAATAAAATAATGACCAGATCCTACCCATGGGCGCGTCGTCTAGTCGCAGCTTGCGCGATCACCCCCTTCAAAACCGTTGTGTCAACAAATAATACACCCGTTTGCGCTGCGTCGGAGCAGGGTTGCGCGATGCCCTTAGCGGAGGAATTGTGATCGCACAATGGCACCTTGGCTGTACTGGCAATATGTCCGAGACGATACGGGTAATGGAGAAGAGGAGGAAGAGGGAGCTAGTGTATGGAGTGAAATCAAGCCCAAGTACCGCAAGTACCATACTTTTCTACCCATGTCTCTGCTGGGCCCCCGGCAATACTCGTACTGTATGCCGGATGGAGGAGCTAGGACGAGAAGTACATCCGCCAGGGAGAACGGAGTCTGGCTAGAGAATTTTAATACCGCAGCAGATCCTGGGCGCAGCTCGGTCACGAGCAGATCAGAGAAAGAAAAAAGACCTGCCACCAGAACGACTGGAGAAACTACTGTATCAGTGTCTATCCTACAGACATCGGGCTACAGGATGGGTAGGGTTCCGTACGTAAAAGCTTCCCTAGGACAAGACTCGACGCAGTGACCTACATTACCCCATGTATTATGTACATATGTAGTCGGAGCAATGACCATCCACACCGTGTTGACTGGGCATGCAGAGCAATGCCGCGACCGAATTAGCTCGAGGTAAGGGTCTGGATCTTGTAACCGCCAGACGGTCAGAGCAGGTTGTTGCTCAATTCCCAGCGTGGCGTACTCTACTGGCCGAACCGCCCATTGTAAACACGGCCATAACTAGCGATTCAGGATCGTAATTAGCAAGAAAGGAGATCAGATTGAAAAATGGAAAGCGATAATCCCATAATGAAGTAATAAAAAGAATGGCTTTAACCTTTGGCCTAGCTGTCTGCGTATGGGTATTCTATCGGAATCTATGGGAATACTGTAGCTACCGATGGGAAATACCCCGAGACCATGATTATGGAGGACGGCAGTCATTATCAGAGTAATTTGGTATTATCAATCAGAACAGTGGTTCCCTGCGCCAGGCTCTTATCGCCGATGCGCTATGGTACATTTTCTGGATATCGTACTGTAATAATCCAGGTCGCTGGGCCAGCAGGAGGGGGGCCGTACATTGTTGGAGGTGGAGGTGGAGGTAGAGAACTCAATTGGAGCAGCAGGTTCCGTCCTTGCCTGGATCACACCATGATCACAAGCTCATTAGTATTGGCGTACCTATAGGATACCTGTTTACCCTCCCGTAAGAACATACTGTTAGGGGGAAGCAGTCGTAACGCGGTAGTTGGTGGTGGTGGACCGGGGTGCTGCGACGCGTCGAGTCCCTCGGTACATACTCGTACTCTTTGCCAGTCGGTACTCAGAACCTCGAGAACCCAAGTCGCAAAGTTCAACGCTTACACGACCACCCTATAGGGCATAGAGGTCCCTGTCATGTCGGTGGAGAGGAAACCACTGCAGATGGATTGGACTAATGCGATGCCCCTGCTGGGAAGCAACAGCGCCCAACTTGAGCCAGCGAAGGTTTCGGGGAAAGAGAATAGTGTATGCATTGATTTTTGCTCACATTCCCCGGGGAAACGACTGGCAGCTTGGAATATGGGTGGTACACAGCAACGTTAGCGTGCTCAGAGTCCTGGCAGAGCAATAGTAATAGTACTTTTGGTACTTTTAAGGGCAAGTAATGATAACTCGGTGTAATTAATGTGACAATACATCACACTGGCCGTACATCCGTCCCGCGTGAATCCACTGGTAACGTTACCAGCTTCCACTCCTTCCGAGAGGAGAGCGTCATAGAGTCGTTGCGTCGCGTCGGTATTCTGCTTTCCCCCCAATAATATGGTATTACTCGAAAACTCTGATGATCTTTGGAGCTGGGCCCATAGCCACACTCCTGTGTGATCCGTACTCCGTACCCAGGTAGTCCCAATCTTTGAGCAATTTCACCTGTCCCTCCGGAGCTGATCGCTGATCGCTGTTACATACCTGTTACCTGTTAGCAGGTAAAAGCTACTCCATAGCTCTCGCTAGCGATGGTTGATTTAAGCGAGGAATTGCAATATGATGTAGCACATTATTTCCTGATTCTTCTTCCCCGGGATATGTAATCCGCTGTTATTCTATCGAGGCCAGGACGGGTCCGAATCTCCGAGCGCGGACTCGCGCCCGTAAATGATTGCCCTTTTCTGCTTGATTTCCGTCATTGCGGGTGTCCAGTGATGTCGGCGTGGGTCGTCCTACACGGCCACACTCGACCCTGTCCTACGTACAAATTACCGGACGCTTGGGTTTGCTCGGTGATTCAGTTTTGGCAATTCCTTCTAGGAATAGTCACGTCCAACTAAGAATACTACTCATCCCTATGAGGCTAGTGGGAGGGGCTCTGCAGGGCCTAGGATCGCCATTGAAGAAATGCCATTATTAGATAAAACGGAGAATACAACGAGTACTCTGTAGCACCTGGAAACGCCAATACTATGAGGGTATGCCACCAGATGATAATCACCCACACCTCGAACTAAAAAAAACACAAGAAATCAGTCATCACTTTCATCCAGCACTAACGCACGGAGAGTATCATCATCAGCCCAGTCAAGTCCACTGCCGACCACTATCGCGCTGGCAATGTTCTTCATGGTTTCCCATTTCGCCTTGCTCGTCTTCAGCTCGGCCTCGAGCTGATCCAGCTGCGACGAGAGATCTGCGTCCTGGAGCCGCTCGCGCCAGGAGGAATCCTGCTTGGTGAGCTCGAGGAGCTCGCGCACTAGCTCCTGGTTCTCCTGATTGATTTTGAGATTCTCGACCTCGGCGTCAGATAGCTGTTTTAGCACTAGTTCATGGGCCGATGCTAAATTCTCCTGCGCGAGGGCGAGCACGTCGCGTCGGTTGACGAGACGGAGTAGAGCTCTGCGGGGATGAGATAAGAATCGGGTAACATTAGAGGTGCAGGAACTCACGTACCGTTCAGGAGGTGTAGTGGCTTTTAAGTGAACTGCCTTGAGAATGGGATCTGTCATGAGAATTGTTCGTGCGGCTTTCCTCCTCACGGTGTAGGAAGCGCGCGCCTCGAGGAACTCGCGTTCCGCGATCGCGAGCTCTTCTTCGACATTATCGCCCGACAATGATTCAGCTTCTACAGAGAAATGTGAGTAGTTTGAAAACAAGTGCGTAAAAGTATATAAAGGAATCAAATGGCACATGACACGGAAGAAAGCAAAGTAAAAGACCAAAAAAAAGCAATCAGGAATTCTTCGGAGGACTAAGTCCTGTCGCATGGTAGATCGTACCTTGCTCCAGCAATGCTTTCTCCAACTGTTGTTCCTGGACTTGACTAGCCAGCTGCAGCACCAGCGCCTCCTTATCGGACAAGGTCACGATATCGCGGACATCATCTGCCGAATAGTCCAGCAGGGCAAGCTCGTTAGAGAGCAGGTGAGGCCTTGTGAAGGCCAGTTTGGTCGCCATGGGGGGATCTCGTGGGCGGGCGGGCGTGTGCCTTGTGATATCTCCATGAGCGGAGGGCGGTGGGGAGTCGCTCACCTGGAGAGAGCTTCAGCCTCCCGATTTGTCCTCGTTAAACCCATCTCCCCTCCCACTTCCCTGGTCTTTCGAGCTCTTGCGCTCGGTGGTGAGGAGGGGAATCATGTCGCTGAATATCTATATTGCTCATTCCGGCGAGCATTTGCTGGCGGATCCGGTCGCTTCTGCTTCGTATGTTGATTAACCTGGTCCATGAGGGGGTGCCTTATGGGTGTCTTGTGCCTCCGAATCACCTCCGTATGCAAGCTAACGCCGTTCTGACTGATCTAGGCCGGATTCTTTGAAAACATGGATCGTTCGAAATACCTCGATTCCGATTGCCAGGCAGATCTTGATGACTGCCCGAGGGAAGAATGTCAAGACCCAGACGCTCGCCACCGAGGTATGAAAGCTATATTGGATCAAAGGCCCACAACCATCCTAAGGTGAAATTGAGCGAATTCTAATTTTGGAAACCCAGACCGAGATCTTTGTCTATGACCGGCAGTACGTGAGCGAACCCGCCGACTTCGAGCTCCCCGAGCTTCCTGCCCTGGAGCCATTCCAACCACAAAGCCCTCCGGCCTCGTTGACGGACCAAAACGACCTACAATCATGGCGGAATTTGTTCATGACAAGGAGAACTTGGGCGCTGGATCTATCTACTCGCTGTGGAACGATGGACAAGAATGTCAAGGAGCATAACGAGCGGACTGATGTCATCAACCGCGCCGTGGGTGTTGCCTTGGAGAACCTCAAATCACACGTGGGAACCTTGGAGCATCGCTTCCAGGAGGCACAGACATGGGCCAATAATTTACTTGAGGAGCAGCAGGCTGCTCTCGACGGCTGGCAGCGTGCTCTCCAGTCGCTGGAGAATATCCCGGCTCGGAAGGACTTCCCCATGCTCGGGCGCCCATCCACCCCTAAGAAGGATAAAGATCAGCCTACAGGAACGTTGCGTGACTTTATCGATCTCAATGAAGTTCAGCAAGCTGGCTCGGATGCAGCAGTCGTATCTCCACGCTTTGCGGGACAGGCTCGGGACCTTGAACAGGCCGTCAGTGATATCGCCTCGGATACACAGGCTTTGGTGGATGAGGTGGTTGTCGCATCTGCGGATGGCGAGGATGGGTTGCTTGAGGAAGTGGAAACTCTTGCAAAGAAGATCGGTTCCGATTACGAACATGTGCTCGGCTTGCCCAATAATCAGAAGATGCTGGCCAACGTGTCTCGGCTTGCGCTGAACCATACTCAGAATCTTCTGCCGTCATTGTTGGACCTCAGTGGCGATCTCCATCATGCCTTGCAGCAAGCAGTTCGCCGACGCGCCGCTGCTGAGAAGACAGCCTTGCAACACATGCGCACCATCTCGTTCATCGAGTCACGCCTTGCCGACGCTCATGCGCAGCTTGTCAACTTTGGGATTGACAGCAATGCATTTGATATTCTCTATGCTGTGTTCCAGATGCCAATGATTTACGGATCGGTTCTCATTGAGTCGGCTCGGCGGCGTGAATGGAATGATAAAATCAAGAGCGACTCGTTGACCCTGGCCGAAGAGATGGCCGTTTTGAGAGATGAAGAACAGCGCCGCCGGAAGAAGTGGGTCAAAACTATGGGCGACTTCATTTCCTTTGGAGACTCTACAACGCCAGGGATAGAAATCAACCTCCACGGGCAAGATAACGACTGGCCCGAAGTCAATCGAACCGAGATTGAGACATATATTGAAGACCTTCGAAATAAGCACTCTTTGTCGAATATTGCAGATGACCTGGCCCAGCAACTCAAGGACCTGGATGCGCCAACTCGCCAGCAAAGGCGACGAGCAAAAGCGTTCAAGAACGGGAGTGTCTTCGACCTGAGTCGGAGTTCTATGCTACTACGCGGCGACGACATGGTTCGAAGTCTGCAAGAGGAGAAAGGGAAGTTGGAGGAGAGGCTCAGGGGATCGGACAGTCGCATTCGAAAGTTGGAAGATCTTCTTCATCGCCAGAGCCATATGAGTCGGCCCTCGAGCGGCAATTTCGGACATGAGTTCCCCCTCTCTCCCGCGTCGCCACACCCCGATGCCCTCTCAAGGCGGTCTTCTGTCTCGTCGAGGCGTGTGTCGATGACGCAGTCCCCCGAGGATCGAGCTTTGGTCCAACGCATCGTCTCCCTAGAAGCGGAGCTCAATGTGGAGCGGGAGACAGTGCAACGACTTCATAAAGAAGCCCACGCGGAGCGTCAGTCAAACTCTGACAAGTACCAAGAGGCCCAGTCCACAAAACAAGATCTCATTGGGAACCTCGAAGCCCGACAACGCGAGTTTGAAGACGAGCGAAGATATCTGGAGGCAGAGGTCAAAAAGTTTCGACTGCGCACCGAAGAAGTGGAGGAAGAGCTGGATAGACTTGTTGACGGTCGGGAGCACGAGAAGCAAGAGGTTGATGAGCGGATTCTTCAACTCGAGACTGATCTGCAAACTGCTCATGAGAAATCTGCTGAGGCAACTCGCACGATTGGTGATCTCAACGAGCGGGTGGAATCTCTGCAACAGAACGAACAGAGTCTGCAAGCGAAGATTGAAGATTTCGAACGTCAGCATGGTGAATGGACTCAAAAGGATCAAGACCATTACAATGCTCTACACTCGGCCTTTATGAATCTGTCTCCTGGGGGCTCGGTTCCTATCGACGTTCCTGGTATCATCAAAGCTATTGAGGTACTATCTGAAGGCCTGTCGATCCATGTAAAGAGTGCAGAAGATAGTGCCGCGAAGTTGACGACCGAGAACAAGGCTCTGGAGGAGAGAATATCTCAGCTGGAATATGAGCTCGAGGGACGGTTGAAGGTTGCCGATGACCGTGAGGCCCAAATCAATCGATTGACGGAAGAACTTAAGAAAGAAAAGTCGGACCTGCACGTTGTCAAGGCTGAGCTGGACCAGGAGCGCTCCAAACTGAATACATTGCAGTCACAAGTTTCAGCTGGCGAAAGTGGTTCTGACGCGTTGCGAGAGCAGATTGCGGAAGAAGAACGAAAGCAGGCCGACTTGGCGCGGAAACTAGCCGATGCGGAGTCTCTAGCCCGGGATCTGAAATCCAAGGAGGCAGACTGGGAGAGGAAGGTCGAAGAAGCCTCCAAGGCAGAACAACACGCTGTGGCTAGACTGGATGCCCGAGGCACCAAGTCTCATGACCTGTCCAAGCAACTATATGCACAGGTTGAGAAACTTGAGCGTATGCTAGAGCAGCTCGGCTTCGCAATTATCCAACAGGACGGTCGCTTGATCGTCCAGCGTGCATCCAAGCTCAGCGCCTCATCTAGTCTGGGCGAAAGCATTGCTCAATCGGGTATCGTCACGGCGAGACCAGACTCGGGCCTTCTAGGCTGGATGCATGCAGACACCCCTGAAGACGAGGAGGCCAGATTCCAATCCTTCATGGATAGCCTAAACCACTTTGATGTTGCCGTCTTCGGAGATGTGGTGGTCAAGCGTGTTAAGGATATCGAGATATTGGCCCGCAAGTGGCAGAAAGAGGCCAAGGGCTACCGCGAAAAGTATCACCGAGTTCAAAGCGAAGCACATGAGAAGATTGCATATCGATCCTTTAAGGAAGGAGATCTTGCTCTGTTCCTCCCTACGCGCAACCAAGCCATCCGCTCCTGGGCCGCCTTCAATGTCGGTGCACCACACTATTTCCTACGCGAGCAGGACTCCCATAAACTCCAAACACGGGATTGGCTACTCGCCCGTATCAGCAAGATCGAAGAGCGCGTCGTTGACCTATCCAAGTCTTTGAATGGTGTCGCTCCAGACCGCCGCTCTCTTGGTGACGCTAGCGACGGCGCCTCCATTGACGAAAATCCCTTCGAGCTATCCGACGGCCTACGTTGGTACCTTCTGGATGCCACGGAAGAAAAGCCCGGTGCCCCTGCGACACCTGGCATTGCTAAGAGCACCGTTGCATCCGCCCACGTCGACGCCAAAGGGAGCATTCGTCTCAAGCGACCCACAGAGGAAAGCACCGTCGCCCAAACCTTGTCCAGAAGCCTCGAGAGCCGTCGCAACAGCTCAAACTCGAAACGAGGCACACCTACTCCCTCGCAGAAGGCCAACGACTCCTCCTCTGATCTAGTCCGCCCTGCCGAAGCGGATGCCGGCTCGCAGCCTCGCGAGTCAGCCCCGATCTTCGACGAGGTGCGCCGTGACCTGCTCCTCGGCCCGTGAAAAGTAGGACGCAGATCTATCTTTTCCCGGGTCTGATTTAAAGTACCAACACGCTAATCTGATATTGCTTTTATAGGTACAGAATCGAGCGCGGATCCCTATTTCTGCCAGCCAGTCTCTTAATCCGGGCGACATTGCCACATCTCCGGCATCCCCGCCTTCCCGATCAGCTTCTACTCGTCGTCAAAATGGGGCCCGGAGACCATGGGAGAAATTGTGGTCCCTTGATTATCGATTCGAAGATGCCTCTCAATAGAAGGGTATTGAAAGCCTGAGCGTCGGGCTGGGGTTTATGGAGTATTCGCGTTTCCTTTTCATTTCTTGTGATTTTGCTTTTTGGATCCTTTTTTTCTACTTGGTTGTTTTTGCTTGTTCCTCCTCCCGGGCCACATGTGTGGCCGGTGGAGATTTATATGCCCTTGATGGAATTTAGTTTGACGAGATACCCAATAGTACATAGCCTCATCTCTACGAATATTTCTGTTCCACTTACCACGTAGCCTCCACAACCTCCGTAAGCAAGCCTTGGTTGTTCGTGGTTTTAGTAGTACACATGGAATATTATTTTACAGAAGGAAATCTCTGGGTATATCTTGAAAACGGCCGTTAAAATGCTAAAATTAATAATGTAACCAGCCCAGCTATATGCATATGAAACGAAAAAAACCCCCTTGAATAGAGAACAAAACGAGACCAGGATCACGTCGCTGTCTCTTCAGCGCCGGCCATACCCACCAGTTCATCATCCCAGAACTGGCTGAAATCCACATTCTCCTCATCGAACATCTGCTTAGCCTGCACCATAGCACTCCGCTGCCTCTCTGGAGTGAACCCACCAGGTTGCGAGCTTTCCCACTGGACCAGCTCCACCCAGCGGAAGAACAAATCCTCCTTCCCCATGGCAGTCAACCTCTCCCTGAAAGCCAGGATCTGGTCTCGCTGAGCAGACTTTTGGCGTCCGGCGGGTGTGTTTTCGTCCGCAACGCGCCAGATCAACCAGCCATCCGAGTCGGTGTGAACCAGCACGGCCGTACGGAACTCGTCCAGCTGTACGCCCTCGCCCTTGCGGGTTAGGTCGACCAGAGCATGGGCGCGGACCATGGCGCTATAGTCCAGATTCCAGTCCTCGTCGACGAGTAGGTACCCCGTCTTACCGATACGCTCGGGCGTCACGGCGGCAACGATTTTGTCGCGCATAGCGTCGTTATCGCGGATCCATTTGTTGCGCTCGAGCTTCTTGCTCCAGCTGCGCTGGCTGCGACGGACGATAATCTCGCGGTCCCGGAAGCCGATGGCGCGACGCCAGCGCACGGGGCCGAGAAGGAAGTGGATGGGCCAGGATAGGAACAGCGTCACGAGGTAGTAGTCGATCAGGATGGTACCGACCCGGCGGAGAGTGATTTGTGCCAATTCCGTCCACGGTGTCGAGGCGACGTCCACGCTTAGTGAGCTTTCCATTCCGACGAGAATGGCTACTAGCGCTGGGTATGTGCTGAAGCCCCAGTATACGCGTAGAGCAATCACTGCTGCCACCACCACGTTGACCACTGTGGGGACAGTGAAGGTCTGCCATTTCAGCTCCGTTGCTGAGGTGTCGATATGGACTAGGTATACCTCCTCCGGGGAGAGCGGGTCGAGGAAAGGGTTGAGAATCGAGGGAGCCTTAGTGAAGGGTGGGATAGGTCCAGAGGAGACGGAACTTGGGGTCGAAGCGCCCGATGAAGCTGGTGTTGACGCAGGCGTCCTCCGGCGGGACGATTTCTTCGCCATGGCTGGAGTGTAACTGGATGGACAGCGGACTTGATAGTGTTTGTTCGGTTCTTTGGTGAAACCAGGATGCACAGCCGATCGGGGAGGTTTTTCCTTCTTATCTGTCGCGTAATTTGAAAGTGATAGATGATCGGGGCAAGTGAGCGGGTCACATGTCACAGCATCGAGTCACTTGCGTGGCAGGCGATGCTCGCATGATTTGGCACTCGCCAAATGAAGCAGCAGGCAGAAGTGGCTGCAGACACAAGGGTGGCAGTGTGAAAAAGGTACTGCACTGTTTGACTCGTAGGCAGAAGAGGTAATCGAAGTTGTTAAAATTAGAGACAGTAATGAAGCTTGTTGCGGGCCGCTCTAACCCCTTTGGGGAATGCGGGAGCTCCGTATTTACGTGAAGTACTTCGTTAACGTGGAAATAATCCAGGTACTCGATCTGTATCAACCAACAAAGGTATCGAAGGAGGGATCTTTTTCTAAAAAGTCTGCGGGAGAGCTGCCTTTCTCTTTTCCCTCCGTCGTCATGGCCTCTCCCCGCAAGAGCGACCGAGCTGCACTCGCGCGTCACCACCACCCGCAGTCGCCCTTTGCTCGCGCGCGAGAGCCCAGCTACGAATTCGATCTCGATAATTCAAATTTCCCTACACCCTCAAAACAGAACGGGACGCGTCAAAGACCCAGCTTCCGCACTGGAACACTTTCCGGCGCGTATCGAGCCACTTCACGTACGAGTATGTCCGACGACGGCGCCGGACTCGGGTTGACCACCAGCCCGCGACAGACCCGAGAATACATTAGTGCGCGTTCGCCCTCGTCGGATATGTCAAACCCACCGGAAGACCTCGCCGATGTATACAGGAGGATTGAGCAAGACGGAGCGCTGGCAGACTTTGCACCGCTGGACGATTGGGATGCTCCACTCGATACGCGTCCAGTAAGTCGGCTGAGTCGCTCGTCGCCTCGAGCGAGAGAACGAGAATTTGAAAGTCGCGCATTCTCAGAGGCGAGCTTTGCCAATGAAAACTCGCCACGCAGGAGGACTACCGATTACACCAGAGACGAACAGCGACTTCGACGTGTGACCGGCAAGGATTCGCCGGTGTTCAGCAAAGCCAAGGTCGGGAGTCGAGCTGCTCTCACGGCGGATAATTTACAGCGGAGGGAGGAGGAAGAACATGTTCACATATCAGAAGAGGATGACGGGGATATTGGTCCAGCGTTGAATTTACCCCGAACCTGGGGGAGTCGAGCTGGACGTGGTTCTGAATGGCTCAGGAACGTCAGCGGAAGCACTTCATCCGAGCAACAAGAGAGGAGGGAAGAGCAAATGCCCCTTGATGATGCCTTGCAAACACGAGTCAGGGCAGAAGATATCCCTCCCCGGGAATATTCCGGCCATTCATCCTCGCGGGCTATTGAACGAAGCAACCTTCCAGTCCGGAGCGCTCTTGGTGAACGTACCGCCAATCTTCACGCCCAGGGATTACCCCAAGACAACAAGAAGGCCGAGATACCTGGTCGTGACCAGAACGCACTGCAAGGCGAAGGAGTCCACGTACCAAACACCCCCATCGTTGTCTTTAAAAACTCCGGCTTGAACAGGCCAAGTGCACTGAAACGAGACTCGCAAGATTTGCTCCGCAAGCTTGCACGAACCGAAAGCCCGAAGCCTGAACAAATGCAGACACCTGATCAACCAAAGCTTTTTGAGCGGAGGATCTACGACAAGACACCCAGAGTGACGGGTGCCTGGATTGATACTCCGATGACTGAGCGGGTGAAGGAGATTCCTCCAGATTTGACCAAGGATATTGTTCTACCATCGGTGCCTGTGAAGGCACCGGAAGCTCCCAAACAGGAACAGGAGCCGCCAGTTGTTGTCCCACCACCAGTCACACAAGTGAAGCCAGAGTCGAGGGCTTCAGAAGAGCCCGTTGCTGAAGCCCAACCCGCCAAACGGAGCAGAGCATCTGTGATCCGACCTAAACTACCTAAGAGTGGCCTTCAGACAGTTATCGAGGACGTGAGCTCCGGCAAAGAGACTCTAGACCTGGGAGATGACACAATTGAATCACTCCAAGCAATTATGGACGACCAGACTGAGCTCAAAACTGAGGAAGAGGAGGAAGCTGCCTACGAACAGGAGGTGCTCAAAAGACTGGAGCTGGCCAATGCGAATGGTCAAGACTCAGTTGATATTGATCGTCTAAACGATAAACTTCATTCACTCGTGAGGAACATCAATGAAGTGAAGAAGGGGTTGAATAGCCTGGAAGATCATGTTATCCGAGATGCGGCTATTGTGTCGAACCCAGGCTCTCCTAAGAAAACTGGCGCGCAGACACTGCAATCTCACTCGAGTGAGAATTGCGAGAAATGCGTCCATGGTGATGGCCGTGTATACGCTGCTATCCCACTCCCCCGCCTCTGGAAATGGGATCCTATAACCCACCGTCGTCAACTCACCAAGTTGGGTTGGTTTACGTTTATCTCGCTCTCTTGGTATATCATTGAATGTCTGATGTGGGATCTATATGCCCACCCATCAGTCTCCGAGACCTGCGATGGTTATTGTCTACAAGCAGATGCGCCTGAGTTCCCATTTGTGACCGTGACCATGCTCTGGCGCTGGTCTCATCTGGGGTCTCTTTTGGCACCTATCGTCACCATCTGCGTTGCTTTCTTCCGTCTCACGGCACAGCTACTTGGTCTGTGGGATGGCTATGTTGATGAGCCGCTGCAGCTAAGCAACATTGTCGGCGAGATTCGTGTGAATGGCACGCCAGTCTCGTTCCCCTGGTTAACGTCTCCGAGTCAGACTGTTGTACCGTCACAACCATCTCCACCGCAACAGCCCGTGTGGACTCCTCGCAATGAAGTCCCACAAAATGAAGCTCCTATCCAGTGGACTGATGATCGAGTATCCATGGACGAGGATGAATATCTTTGATTTGTGTTTTATTAATGAGAATGGGCATTCATGGGTGCTCTTATAGCCGGAAAGGTGTTCTTGGTTTGGGAGCCTGGAAAAGGCATGAAAATTAGGGCATGGTATCAGCGCAGTATTTAACATTATTTACAATTCATATTTACCCTGTGGACTCTTACATTTTATGGTTGATAGGATCTGAAGCGCTGTTCAGCAGTACGTACTCATCATATTTACTAGATTTCAAACTTGTTAGGTGCGCGTAGTTGATTTGCTTAGGCCCCGGCGGCAATAAACTGTCGTTCAGGGGGCCTGCCATGGATCTGAGCCCCCAAACTCGCAGGGCCTTGCCCAAAACTACGCACTAACAATGTGTAGAGCAGGCCCTGGCGCAGGGACTTGCCTTCTAGGGTATAGTTCTATCTTTAGATCTCGAGTATGGCATCATAGTGGCTTTGGCCCCCGGACGCCACGCAGATCCCTGATCCCCCACAAAAGCAAAATTGATCTCCACTCTTTAATAGTGCCTCACGAACGACTGTTAAACTGCAATCTAAAGCTCCTAGAATCAACTCAAAATGCTAAAAGCCAAACTTGACCGCCAAAGCGGCTTCTACATCGACCTCGACGCGCCGCCAAAATGCTCCTTCGTTCCTGGTGACAATATCGCCGGCAACATAGTCCTGCAAAAAGATAATATTATCACGTCCAAGGCCACGCTCAAAGTGGAGTTGACGGGAATCGCAAAAACACAGATTGGACAAAGTGCTACGAATGATCAGTTGCATAGAACGTACCGCGATGAATGGCACTTCTTAGCCCCGAATCAGACGACGATTTTCCAAGGACCGCTACACATATCCAAGGGTAGCAGTGAGGCGTCTAGCTGGCCATTTCAATTCCAGATCCCAACCGAGCCAACGTGGCCGAAGCAAAAAATGCACATTGAAACCGAAGGCTTCATTTCCAAAGACAGGGATCATGAAGCGCACCGCGTCTTACCGGGATCCTTCTTTAGCAGTGGGGGCTTGGGACGGTTGTACTCCGAAGGTTCGATTGAATATGCACTACAAGCATGGCTTCACTATAAGCGAGGTGATACGCATCATATCGAGCGTGCAAGCTGGCCTATTGATGTGGGATTTCCCGTCTGGAGTACAACCGGGCAGCTTTATCAAACGATCAAGTCAGCTACTCCGGATATGATGATCCAGAGCCAGCGATTGCGCCCTGGAATGGAAAATGCCAGTTTATCGCTCAAACAAAATACCCAGAAACTCTTTGGCTCGTCCAAGATTCCGGAATGGCATTATAAGATTGTTGTTGAATCGCCGTCTGTCGTCCAGCTCGATAATCCAGTGCCACTCCCTATTACACTGCAATTCATCTCGTTGCCCGACAAATCTAGTATTGGTGTTAAAGATGTTGCTCCAACTGTCCGAATCAACTACGTGAAAATGGCCGTGGATACGGTAACGGGCATTCTAGTGCCCAGGGCGTTGAACATGTCTATTAACCGTGAGCACGATTCCTCTATCGATGTCGGGTTGGAAAAAGTCTTCGAGAATCTCGAGACGCCTTTGGAGGTGACTGTTAAGGCTGAGGGCACCGAGTCCGTTGATATTGGGAGCATGTTCAAGCTTGCCCTTCATACGGACTGTGCGACGGCCGGTGAGCGACAGCTGAACGGCTGGGTGGTTAATAAGATTGAGCCGGATTTCGTTTTCCCTACAATTCAGCGGAGGAATTATTTGCATTTGAAGATCAACGTTACTATAGCGGGGGAGACGAGAACTGTTGATTTTAAGAAGGCGATGATAGTACTTGCACAAGCTTGATGATGAATAGAATGGAATTTACGAAAGGGCTCGCTGTATGTAGGGGTTGTTTCGTATTCTCACATATATTTCGAACTTCCAGATGAATTCATTTCATGAATTTCTGGACAATATGACACATATAACATGGGTATAGAATGAGATCCATCTCAGATAGTCCTCGCACGTATTTACAGCTTCGCCTGTGCACGCCACTCCTTCAATAGAGCCTCCTCATCGCGGACTCGCCAACCGGCAGCCTTGCGCATCCGAATATCAACCTGGTCGTCATCAATCTCAGACACCTTCTCAAATGGGTACCCGAGGGATAATTGTAACCCGTGCTCAAACCATGTCCATAGCCCAGTTGGTTTGACACGGCCAGCCGCAGCATCTCGACAAAACTCGGACAGACTTTTGAAAAAACGCTTTCCAGTTGGGGTAGAGATCATCAGTATCCCATGACAATGCGGCATTCCCTCGAATTGCTCTGCGACAACGGGTACACCAGCTTTGTGCATGCGCCTTGCCAGGATGAGGCCTTCGTCTGTGAGTAGTTCTTCGCCTGTTGAGATAAAGACAGGCGGTGCGTCTTTCCACAGTTCCGGCTTCGCTGCGAGGGGAGAGGTGAGAGGGTGGAGCATCATGTTTGCGTTGACGAACATGTCTACTCGAGGCGGAGTCACCGGCCATATAGAGCCAGGTGGGAACGGCAATGGTGAAGCGGGAGCGGGTTCATCTGGGTCATCGGATGGTACGACCTTCATGTCGAGGTAGTCATAGTTTTTATTGCGGATGATGGAGGGCATGGCGTGGGTCATATCGCACCAGGGCGAGATTGTAGCTACGCCTGCCGGGAGCTCGATGTTTACCTCTTGGCCATGGAAGCAAACTGGTCGAGACGCTCGCTTCAAAGTGAGAAGTGTCTGTAACAGAACAAGAGACAGATTCCCGCCTGCAGAGTCACCCGCAATGATAATCTTGTTCGCTGGAACAGGCTTGTGTAGGGCACCCGGAGGCGGGTGAATCAGTGATAAGTATGCCGTTAGCGCATCGACCAGCGCCGCAGGAAAGGGGTTCTGCGGTGCAAGTCTGTATCGCACCGAGAGAACTGGGGCTCCCGTGAGACGGGAAAGATGTGCCACTGGTACGCGATGCGTGCAAGGGTCCATCAAGCTGTAACTATGAGTACTTGACGAGGGTATTAAGGATTTGAATTGTTCAACTCACAAGTAGGCACCGCCATGGAAATAAAGGATGGTCATATCAGAGGGAGATTCCCTTCGCAATTCGTGATACTTTTCTTCTTCTGAAAGATCAGGCTGTGGTGTCTTCTTGCCCACTCCACTGCGATAACCGGTCCATTCAGCCTCGACTGCTGCAATCGGGGGCATGTCGAATGTCTCATTTCCCGTCGTCTTAAGATCTTCAATGGCGCGAATAACAGCATCGCGCACATCGAATTCTGGCTGTGGTAGGGTGACCTTGGACACCCACATGGGTCCCTTGATGCCGGGATCGCGCATGCTACTCCTCTGCGTCTTATCGACGGGCGCACTGAAGGTCATGAAGGAGCGAATAATGGATGTCGTCAGCTCCGTGCGAATGTCTTGCTTCCCCTTGACGGGAGACATTTGAATTCCATGGAGGACGAGGGTTTTCAAAATCAATGGGATTCGGACAAGTAGCTCCTTAAGGAGGTGGATGGTCCGTTTGAAGTCGCCCATCTTGAGCAGAGTAAGGGAGTGACTTGGAGCACTGCTCCCGGTAGGTTGGACGAGGGATGACAGAGAATGATCCAACAGACTAGGAGAGCTTCCCTGTAGGGAACCAGCTGAGACCGTCAACTGGTTATAACTCATGAACTGGTCGAACACCTGGAGAAACCGGATCCTTGGGAGTGGCGCCAATCGAGCCGAGGTCCGTTTCTTTTGCGGGGTCCACTTGTGCCAACTTCTGACTGTAGAACACGTCGAAGACAAGACTAAAAGTTGAGAATTAAGCACATGCTACCGTACTATAAAGAGAGGAGATCTAGAAAAGTCTTTGCTGGAATTTGAGGAGAGATATGTCCGTTTTATGAACTTATGCCAGCCCTCCGTATATGTGCGGTTGGTATAGTCCCTGTTATCTGCACAACGTCGACCCTGACCCAGAACGCCGTTGCAAATCGTAAACTCATGGTATCGGATGCCAAAATGCAGCAAACCTAGATCAAGGTTGTGGGGAAAGATCCTCTGATCTCTCGGCATGAACTAGTGGTGCAGCCCCCACAGTCTCCGGGCTGCTCAGGCGATCTCGCGCTTGTTGAACATCGGGCACTCCACGGAGAGGATGCAGTTCTTTTTGATAAACAGCCTCTTCTTCTTCCTTCAGACCCGAGCCGGTCGGATCTCTACGAATGAGGAAACTCTGCACTCGAGCGTCATTGTGCGGCATCTGAGCGACCGTGTGCTGTCGACGGCCAGTCAAGAACCGCATCGAATCCTCGCTTACCTCGCGCAAACGCTGCTCATATCCTGAATTCAATTGTCCAATCCAGGAAGCTTGTACGGCACCGCCGAACAGAACGAGCAGAATGACGAGCCGGGTAAAGGTACGTTGGTCAACAACGTGTTGCTGTTTCCCTTGATGGCGATTATTCCATCGTTCCCAGTCTTCCCACGTCGCATTTGCATAGATAGTAGGCCCATAGGGTCCCCAATCGGCTGATGCATCGGCTACGGTGTTATACCGTTTAGGATTGTGGTTCCATCCGGCTCCCGTTTGATCGTAGGCAGCTCGTCTGGTCGGATCGGAGAGTATTTCATGTGCGGTGACCACAATATGATACCGTTGTAGACGAGCTTCGGGAGTAATATTTCGACAGAGAGGGTGCTCGTCACATGGCCGATCTGGATGGTAGATCTTTACCAGATCATAGTACCGAGCTTTGGAGTATGGGGCGTTGCGATGGAGGTTGAGGACTTCATATGGAGTGAAGGACGAGCTCGAGGGCCAGGAATATGGCTGATCCGAGGTATCCGACGCTGTGGCATAACCTCGATTGGACCGGGATGTCCAGAGTCCAGGGCATGAAGCACCGAAGCTCGCGCGAGTGGGTGGCAGAGTCGTGATGGACGGACTCAGGAGCTGAATACCGCCATAACTGAAGAAGCTGGCCTTCTTGAACATGGCCGCATGATTCTAGGAAGAGAGCAGGGTAAAACTCCCGATTGCTCTCTGGTGATTTGAAATGAAGACGGCAAGTAGTGAGGGGATTCGTCCCCTCACACGATGATTGGAGAAGGTCACGTGGGGTCGGAGCTTGATTTGCCGGATAATTCGTAAGAGCTCTGAGTGCCATCACTTCACAACAGCCTCATTCCTACTCGTCTCTACAAAATGGCTGGGTCGCAAGACGGCGACCGAGGTCGCCGGCAACGCTCGCCATCCAATTCTTCAAACCGGACCCGCGAACGCCGGCAAGACACCCGGGACGACTATAAGAGCTCGCGCCGGCGGGATGATGACCGTCGAAGCTCTCGTCGAGACAGTCCCCCCCGCAGATCGTCGCGCAGCCCTTCTGGGAGGGAATCTACTCGGAGAGACCATGAAAGATCCCGTCGGGATCGAAGGGATCGCTCTACAGACCCTGCCGACCAGGATCGCAGAAGAGATAGACACCGCAGCCATCGACATCGTGACGACCGCGACCGCGACCGCGATCGTGATCACGAACGATCCTCGAGAAGATATCGAAGCCCACGACCTCGATCTCGCTCTCCACGCCGATCAAAATCTCCAGCGCGTGCGCTACAACGGAGCGGCCCCCTGCCTTCACAATCCGACGCCTTTACAGGTGAATTGGTACAATCTGGCGATGCACCTCCACCCGAGAAGATCAAGCCCAATTTCAACCAGACCGGACGACTTGCAGCCGAAAGCAACACGGTCCAGGTCCAAGGGGGCGAAGGGATTGTCTTGAAATACCACGAGCCTCCCGAGGCCCGCAAACCTCCAGCCAAAGAGGCCTGGCGCCTCTACGTCTTCAAGGGAGAAGACTTGCTAGAAGTGGTGGAGCTTGGGGAACGAAGCTGCTGGCTGATCGGTCGTGAGAATCGTGTGGTGGACTTCCCCCTTGAACACCCAAGCTGTTCGAAGCAGCACGCTGCACTTCAGTTCCGCTACGTTGAGAAACGGAACGAATTCGGCGATCGAATTGGCAAGGTCAAGCCCTATCTAATTGACCTGGAGAGCGCGAATGGATCTCATGTCAATGGTGAGGCTATTCCCGCAGGTCGCTACGTGGAGGTCATGGACAAGGACGTCATCAAATTCGGGTTGAGTACCCGTGAATACGTTCTTATGCTGCCAAACTGAACACTCAGCTTCTTACATGCTTCATAACGAGCTGGAACTTTACGACCATTAATGAAAACATTTTGAATACAAACTTGATATCATGAGTTGTGATGTACAGTACAGAATGGTAGGGGCGTGACTATCCCCTACGCGGGGGAAGCGATGCAACGCCCTCAACCCAGATGCTCCCGCTTAGCCTGCTTGGCCTTGCCCTCCATCTCGTGCATCTTTCCCTTGACTTTCCCGGCGAGCTCCTCGGCCTGGCCCTTGCCCTTGCCCATATACTCTTGGGCTTCGCCCTTTACGTCTTGGGCCTTCGACTCGGCCTCTGCGCTGGTGGTACCGACGGTCTTCTTGACCTTCTCGCTAGCCTCTCCTGTATAGGTATCTCATATTAGCGTCCGGTTCTTCACAATATGTTTCCCGAGCTTCAAAGAATGAACATACTGCCGAGATCAATACCCTTGACTGCTGCGTCGGAGACAACCCGGTCGGCTGCCTTGAGGGTGTCCTTGGTAACATCCACGGGGCCCTTCTCCAGTCTGGCGGTCGTCGAGATAGATCGCAGTGTCACGGAAGTCGGGGCAGCAGCAGTGACCACCCGAGACCTGACAACTGGGACAAAGCGTGCGGCGGACATGGTGTGTGATTGTTGTATGAGAGTGCAAAGTACTGAGTTTGTAGAGAAGATGGGAGTTTAAGAAAACTTAATTGTTTCGAATTGTTTGCTGCTTGAAAATAGAGTAAGAATGTTTCAATGGTCAAACTTTTGGCGTGTCAATGGTGATTTATACCGGTTAACGTGAAGAGTTGGCCTTGTGTTGGCCGATACTTGGCAATCGCCGACGTCATCGGCATCGCATTCCTGACGTCGACAAACGATCACAATCCTGCCACCAGGTCTTGACTTGCTTACTTGCTACTTGATCTACGATTAACACTGGGGAAAATCGGAACCAGGCCTGATCCGGGTCATTCTTGTTGTTCTTGTTCATCGGGTGGGTTCTAGATTCGGCGCTCTCATGAACCTCTTGCTGTGGAGCTTGAGGGTAAACCTACAGGCCGTTTGAGTGGACGCACAGACTACCGTTCCCAAAAGATATACTAAATGTATTTAAACATTTCAAAATACTATCAACAGTCCTAGTTTCTAGCTCATGCAGTAATAGGTTTCCCCTGTGACAGTGCAAGACGATTCCGATGCCACTGAATCCCATGTCAGCTATAAAGTCACACACCAACAAGAAAAGGGAACCTACCTTTCCACAAGAAATAGGCTCGTACAGAGCAGGATGATCCTTATCAATGCACGACGGCACAACCTGACACACCGAATCAGGATTGAATCCCAAGAAAAACGGCATCGAATACCGAGACGTAGTCTGCCGATTATACACTCGATGCACCGTCGACTTGAACCGATTATTTGAAAGACGCTGTAAAAAGTCCCCGATATTCACCACTAAAGTCCCGGGTATAGGTCTCGCATCTAGCCACTCATCGCTCGCAGAGAGAACCTGTAGCCCGCCGGACATGTCCTGCCAGAGCAGCGTGACACATTGAATATCGGTATGCGAGCCGATTCCGACGTCTGTCTCGGTGTCCTCGGAGAGTGTCTCTGGGGATCCGGGGTAGTGGACGTATAGTCCGTCGGCGCCGGGGTTTGTTGTTACGGAGTCGAAGTAGTCCTCGGGCATGTCGAGAGCTAGGGCGAAGATGCGGATCATTTTGCGGGCGAGAGCTAGGCGTCGCTGCCAGAATTCAATGGTTGTTTCTCGGAATCCTGGGATGTGCGAAGTTCCCTCCCATAAGAACTCGTCGTTTCCGTAAGAATAGCTTGGATCGGAGAGAAGGGTTTCCGGGTTGGACATTGTTGGGTCATTCATGGGATTATAACGCAGTGAAAAGGTCTCCTTGCGATCTGAATGACACATGTTAATTTGAAATTCGGCCATCATGCCCTTTTTAATAGTAAATGCCTACCTCGAGTCTCTGTTTTGTTCACCTGCGTACTTCCAACACCATGGAAGCCATCCGCATGCTTGGACTTCTTATTCGAGACCAATTCTTTCTGCTCGATCGATTGACTGAAGAAAGCCTGAGCTGTGGAGAGAGCGCGATCCAGTAGCTCTTCCGAGATCCCATGATTCTTAATATAAAAGAATCCCGTACTCTCAGCCGCAGCTTTAACTTGGGATGCGATAGCTTTCCTCGCTTCAAAGCCGTTATCAATGGTGCTTAGATCGATGATTGGGATCTCATCTTCGGTAGGTAGTCGGGGCGGGGCAGTGGACACTCGACGAAACTCCGGTCCATGCAGAGTCAGTAGTTCTACCTGTGTGTATTGAGTGACTGTTGCCATGGCGTCTGCGAGAAGGGCAAGAATTGCGGGGTTTGAGTTGGACTGGGGGAGAGATTGAGGGGATGGCGTAAGCGGGTGGCTGCAGCAGATATCTATAACCGCGATACCAACATTCGGGGATTTTACAGATAACTATAGTCGAATCAACCAGTCATGAATCTCACGGAGAACGCCGATTTCCTATAGATTAGTGTTGACATTTCATGATAAGAATGTCTATCTATTCATGAGTCTGCGTCGGGTTTTCTTCGGTCTTATCACCGCGACTGTTCCAAGCCGAGTGGTGACTGGCAGTTCTTATCAGCGCGGTATGCGTGGCGTAGCCCTAACTACCGCTAGCATCTTGGCCTTGATTCTGTTATCCTGTTATCGCCTGATGTCTTGCTTCTTTATCTGATTGCGATAAACCATTTCGCATTATATTTCATTTACTTGAAGGTGGTCGCCCGGAGAATGCAAAGGAGAATCTCTCATTTCGCCTTTGAAAGAGAACGGCAGACTCCCACATCTGGAGAGTCTACTATACCAACGAAATCATGACAGTCTTACTATCACAGTTGAATGAGCGACTACTCGTCAAGGCCGTCGACAAGGATGGCGCACAGCGTCCCGTGGATATGTTGGACAATGACTCCATTCGACCAACACCAGCCAAAGATCGAACATGGACTCAATTCACTTACATGATGTTCTGGTTCTCTGCGACGGCAAACGTCAGCAATTTGTATTCTGCTTCCACGGGCATGACCATGGGCCTTACCATGTGGGAGGCCATTGCCTGCTCCTTTGGTGGGCAGATTCTAGCCGGATGCTTGATGGCGCTGAATGGTCGTGCCGGTGCAATGTATCGCATTCCTTTCCCCGTGCTGTGTCGGTCAAGCTTTGGTCCTTGGGGTGCTTTCTGGCCTACTTTAAATCGGGCAGTTATGTCGATCGTGTGGAATGGTGTTAATTCGGTTCAAGGAGCGCAGTGCTTATAGTAAGTTTACCATCGGATTTGGTGAAGAATGGAGAGGCTAATAGTGCCGTTTCAGTGTCTTCCTACATGCCATCTTCCCTTCAATCGAAAGAATCCCTGATAAGATGGGATCAAAGTCTGCCTTGACCTCAGCACAGATGATGTGCTTCTTCGTCTATTGGTACTGTCAAAATCAACTCCCAGCATAGCATATTAATCACTAACATCCAATAGGATCATCAACTGCGCATTCCTCGTTGTCCCCGTCCCGAAAATGAAATCGCTAGTCTATGCCAAAGTAGTAGTCTATTTTGCCGGTACCATCGCAATGCTAGCATGGACCGTTTCTCTTGCTGGCGGCTCTTCCCAGTTCCTTCACATGCCATCCACCGTTCACGGCACGGAGAAGAGCTACCTGATCTTAAAGTTCTTCTGGCTGGGTCTTGCATCTTGTGGAACATTCGTGTCCAACGCAGCCGATCTTCAACGCTACGCACGGAAACCCAACGATGTGCTCATTGGTCAGATTATCAGCTTTCCGTTATCGAATCTGTTGGTTGCGATCCTTGGAAATGTGATTGCATCGGCTAGTAAGGCGATCTTTGGAGAGGTACATTTCCTTCCCATATCAAAGCTTTCTACAGCCTTGCTAACCATCCATACCTTACAGTTGATCTGGAATCCTCTCAACTTTCTGGATAAGTTGATGGAAGGGGAGCGATATACCTCCGGAAACCGCGCAGCATGTGCCTTCATTTCGTTGGCATTCGTATATTCCACCGTTTTCTCCGCTATTTTCGAAAACTCCATTCCGTATGATCTTTCCACCAAATGCGACCACATATTAAGTCCACAGCTAACGCATCTACAGCGCCGGAAACGACATCGCTGCTCTCATGCCAAGATACATCACCATCAAGCGAGGATTCTTCATCTGCGCTGGTACGGCCCTCGCTTCCAACCTTCTTCGCACGCATCAATAGTATTTTGCTAACCACCGCTCCAGTCCTCTCATACGCAATCTGCCCCTGGTACCTCCTCTCCAGCGCCTCAATCTTCATCACATTCCTATCCTCCTACCAAATCTTCCTTTCCGCCATCGCCGGAATCCTAATCTGCGACTACTACGTAATCCGCCGCGGTAAGCTGAACATTCCAGCCCTGTACACCGCACACCCAGAGGGTCTGTACAGATACTTCTACGGATTCAACCTATGGGCATTCGCTACATATGTCATTGCCGTGGCGCCCAATTTCTACGGTTTCCTTAACCAGATGGGTGTTAAGGCACCGCTTGGGATTCAGAGATTCTATTATGTTGCTTATCCGACTGGGCTTTTGGTTGCTTTTTGTGTTTATTATGCTGGTTCTCTGGTTTTCTCGCCGAAGGGCATGGTCAAGGGGAGGGGTTGGAGGGAGCCCAAGGACTATGTTGATGAGAATGATCCGGCCGGGGAGGAGGGATATGCGATTGATGGGGTGGAAGTTGATGGTTCTGCGGCTGAGAAGGGGACTTTTACTGCTGCGAAGGAAGTAAAGTTTTGAGTTTAGACTTTGGATGGTTCTGGACCGTAGTTTTGATGAATTTAAGACGGTTCTTCTATCAAGTTATTTATAGGATCTTGTTGCTGGCCTGATTGGGATAGCTCCTGCTATACTCTGTTTCAAAAGAACTTCTGGGCATACCAGTAAGAAGATCCTAAGCATACAGATGAAACACAAAGCAAGTCATATAGAAAGGGTCAATACCTCAGCATAGCGTTTTCCGTCAAAGGGTATATTGTAACAGACAGAAGAAAGATCTTGAATAAGTGTACAAAGTAAAACATAACAATGCCCGAGCGAAGCAAATGCAAATCATAAAACAAAACCAAGTCCCACAACAACACCCACAGATGCAGATATCTCAGTCCCACCTAGTAGGTTTTATCTCCGTACCATGCACCGAGGAGTCCTCAAAAATGGCCCAGCCAGACTCCAGTCCTCTGCAAAACATCATATATCCCTTCCATGACGTGACACCTCATAGTACATATAGTATGCAACCCAACCGAATCCCAACAGAAAGCTAATCAGCAAGAAAACAATGAACAAAACGACACCTTCCGTAATGCAAATGCCCCCAACAAAACAAAACTCAATCAAAAACACGATCATTAAACTGCACACCCAGCCCGTTATAATTCGGTCTCGACGGGGAACTCCCACTCCTCGGCCGCATCCCATAAACCTCCAGCGCCAGCGCCGGGGCATAAACATGCCCATCAGGATCCAAAGGCCCCGACATATTCGAATGGTAAAGTTGATATGTAGGCATATGCCTCGGTGTCTGTAGTCGCCCTACCTCTTGTAGTCTCTGTCGCGCATCACGAACATCGACGCGGTGCCCCCCGAAATGTAAGACTTGTGCGGCAACCTCTGGATCCCAGGAGATATCCATGTGTCTGAGACGTTCGTCCACTGAGCCTAGTCTTCGATGGGTTGATGGTGGGTAGAGGTTGTCTGATTGGATTGCGCTGGCGCTGCTTGAGAAAGCTTGGTCAGAAGGCCAGCTTCCGCCGGTGGAAAGGGCTTGTTGATGCTGATGCAGTGGGGTTGGACTGCGCGTGATGTCAGTAGGCTGCGCGAAGCTAGATGCTGGCGAGAAGCGAGGTGGGGATCGAACGGGCTCCGTTGCCCAGGACTGATGTGAGAAACCAGATGACCCACGAGAGAGGGCTTCAGACCCAGGGCGTTCGGCGGCTACAACTGTTGAATCGGAAGGGGTAGCAGATAATGGGAGAGACCCTGGCATGATCGCGGAAGGATGTGCAACCGGCACATGCTTAGGGGCCATAGGAGAAGAGAAAGCGGGACCGGGGGCATGTTGAGGCACTGAACGCCTGTGCGGGATGGTTATGGCAATATCTTGATCGTAGGGTAAAGGCGGAGGAGGATATTGCAACGAAGGCGTGCTTGCGGATAGTTCTCGGATGGGAATTCCATATGGGAACAAAGGAGTGCTCGCAGACAAGTCTCGGATAATAGGCTCAATGTTAGCCTGTATGGAAGGACGACGAGAGTTTATCTGCGAGGTAGGGGCAGTATGCAGATCCAATGCTCCAAGCGAGTGTCCCAAATACTCTCGGCCTGGGTCACTGTAAGTTGATCGAGTCAATGGCTCGGCGATTATCTCGTGAGATATTAGGTCGTGAGACATTATCTCATGGGATAGTGGAGATGCAAAGACACGGCTTGCCTGGCTGTCTAGAGATTCCACGGAAGGCTTCATCTGTAGCCCCGAGATAATCTCTGGGCCCCAGGGAGCTGCTGGGATAGATGCTGGGCGTCTCATCTGAGCCTCATTTGCTTCTAGGATCCGCCTCGCGGCGATGCTCGCGTATGTTGGCACATTCTCCTGGTTGGAGGAAGGAGGGGTGTTTGAAGAAGATGAGCTCACGTTATCTGAGCTTGAGCCCGTCTGGCCACCACTGATCCGGCGAACGGCAGCCAATGCTGCTTCAGCCGCGGAAGACAAAATCGAAGAGCTTTCACTCTGACCCGAGGACACGCGACTAGATGATCCTCGTCCTTCGATTGGAGAGACCTTTACCAATGGGGTATCTGGCTTGGCGCCTCGAAATCGACCAGGCCCTCGTGGCCGCCTGTTCGGTTGCCTTGGTCCCGTTGAACGGGTTTTGAAGTGCCGCTCAACAAGCTGCCAGTCATGCGTATCCTCGCGAGGAACAGGTGGACTCGATGAGGGAGGAGACTGTTTCGGTCTCTCTGTGGCTTGACTCATCTGCGAGAGTGCCGGGGAAATACGAGGTGCTTCCTTTGCTTCGCCGTCCGTCTCATAGCCGTCCTCCGACTCAGAACCAGCTTGTCGGAATATATGAGGAGGAAAGAGCTCCAATTTAAATCGAGGGGGACCCATCATTTGCTCTGGTGATTCTGCACGAGACCCGGACTCGGTCCAGTTCCAGGTAGACTGGCGTGAGAGGCCACCTTCGTCGGCTGACGAATCAGGGAATGACGATGAGGAGCTGCTCGAACGGTCAAAGACGGACTTTTGGTTACGAGCCGACTCTTGCGAAGAGCTCGGGGACATGCGATCAATCTCGCTGCTGATACTTTTCATCAATTGTCGCAAACTCTCGCGTGCTTCACGAATGACGTGTGGGTGATTCCCAATTGCCGGTTTCTTGGGGAAGAGCTCCGCCAGGCGAGATGCATGAGTCTCGTATTCGCGATAGTCCCGGACGAGTCCGCAGTCATGATAATGAGCCATTCTCTCCTTGGCCATCTCGTAAGATTTGCAGAGGAAGCGAGTAGCAACGATGAGCCAGGAGTCATAAAACCCTGGGTTCTGCAGATCCTTATACTCTTCATCCTTGATTTTTAGCTCATCACGACAGAAGCCCTGCACGACGCTGTGGATCTTGACCACATCCACTACCGAATTACCTCGGTAAATGGAGAAGAATCCATCCTGGCTACTTTCCGTGAACGAATCCGTCAACTGAGGAGTCACTTTCTGTTCGACGTGCATTTCGTCACTCGAATTCTGTGCCGATTGCTGGAACATATCCGCGTCTGATGTCCGCTCGACCAAGCCATAATGGATCAAGGTGCCCAGGGTGGTATCAAGGTCAGGGTCCTCCCCGGATTGAGCGCTAGATAAGATCTCTGCATTCTCCATAGTCATGATTGATCTTCCAAGAACAAGGAGGCCGACAGGAACATGGTGACCGAGAAAGGAGAGCAGATTGATCAGGTTCAACGCCTCCCGCTGCTTTAAGCGATATAGATCGTTCATGATGCACAGAAACGGCTCGGCCAGCTTCTTGTCTGTCACTTGATGCTTGACTCGATATCTTTCAATCGGTTTTCCCGTCGCATTGAGACGGTGGCCTATAGCATGAATCGCGAGAGGAAGGCATTCATAATGTTCAACCAGTTCTGTAGCCTTGGAAGCTTGATCTGGGGTAGGTCTTCTGATCCCGAGATCCTTGTAAAGAAGCCTGCAGGCATCTTCGACTTTTAATCGAGGCATAGAAAGGCAGTATGGTTCAAACAAGCGCTGCTTCTTCCGTAGTGTGGCATCGATGGAAGTATAAATGATACTGCACCTTTTATTCCACGGCAAAAACGGCCGAAAATCGTTAATATCGTCATCGTGGTCAAACGTGATTCCATCAAAAATTAACAACCATTCATTCCGTGATTGAAGCCAATTCCGAACGGCGTTCACGTATGTACGCGACTCCTGGTAATTTGGATCTTCGGCCTCTTTATGGTCCACAAGGGTGGCGGCTTGAGCAATCTCCCAGAAGCACTTATACGCGGACTCACGAGATTTTGCATCAATCCAGAATATGCCACCCGTGTAGCACTCACGCTGTGTAAAAACGTACTGGCGTGCTAATTGAGTCTTTCCAGATCCTGGGACCCCAGCTATTAGAACGGCCATAGTCCGCTCTGCGCGTGCTTTAGCTTTGAAAAGCCGCCTGTGAAGCTCCTCCAGTTCCTTCTGCATTCCAAAAAAAGATGCATTTGGATGGAATCCTGGCGGAGCGACGAAAAGGGCAGGTTCTCTTTGCGATTGCGACGGAAGGCCTGTTATGGGTTAGTGATTGAGACGATGGAAAGGACAGTGGAAAAGACCACTCAAAAGACGTATGAGAGAAAGTCACACAAGACGTACTATTCAAAGAGCGAGATAACGGCCCCACGCCGCCTTTGCTTAGTTCTGACACTGGCGAATTCCGGCCATTAGTGGCAGACCCTCGAGCGAGAATGGGTACGGATTGACCTAGGGATTTGAATGCTAGTCAGCGTTGGCCTGACTGAGAAGAATATATTGTGAACAGGATTGAATGATATCAGCTAAATTGAAAGGAGAACAAGAACGGGAGCCACCCTGAAGACGATCAAACACAGCTAGATACACAAAGAAGCGAAGAGGGGAAAGGGTCATAAATCATAGCCAGGAAACAATCAAATAGCCAAACGCAATTTCCTCAAACAGCGGGCTCCTCGATCTCGTAATCCTTCAATGTAACGGTATCTTTCGGCGCAGGAAGGAGGTGGGTTTCCCTACCAGTAGCAGGAGTATTCAAGTTAGGCATGCTTTGGCCGACAGGGTCTTCTGCGCCGCCATCGTAAATCTCGCGGGCCTTGGCCTTCTTCTCTAGGGTGCGAGTTTTGCGCTCTTCGATCCAGCGATCAGCGATCACGGAAGGTGCCTGGCGTGAGTAGCGGAGAATCGCTTCCGCAACCACTTCATAGCCTGATGAATTTTCGTCGTCGAATTTGCACATGTGGCTGTGGTCGGCCTCGATTCCGCCTCGCTCAACGCCCTCAAAGTATGGTGCAGCGGAGGCTTCGTCAACGATGATCTCCCGTGTACCACGTACATCCATCGAACGAGTCTCATGGAAGAGATATATATGAAATCGGCTCATGATGTCGGCGAAGAGACTGTTGATGTGTTGTAGGGTCTCGTTGTTGGTCTGAAGGGCTTTGATCAACTGTGGTGAACCCTCCATGACCTTCTTGGGCAGGACAGCCGTACAGATCTTGTGTAGCAATAGGCCCCATTTCGCAATATCCGAACCGTTGTGCGGGGTACCGAGGAAGAGGATGCCAAACGTCGAGACATAGACGGAGCGCAAGTGTTCGGTCTTTTCGTTTGACAGATTGCGGGAGTAGATAAGGGCACGCTTGACGACAAGACCACCGAGAGAATGACAAACGAAGATAATCGGGCGATCGGAACAACTGCGTAGCTATATATAGGAGATATTTAGTCAGTCTTGACAACGGAGAGAAACGAGGTTACCGTTCACATACATTCCGGTTTGCGGCAAGGTTAGAGGCCAGCGTTTCCGCGTGGCTCACGATCGAATCGCGCGACGCGCCATCGGTAAACGCCGCGACGTTTGCGTTATACCCGTAGGTCAGAATTCTTGGACGCAACTGAGCGAGGACGTCGGGTAGCAGATCAACGGGCCAAAAACAACCGGAGGTCTTGCTGGTCCAAGAGTTCTCGGGGTGGCCGTTCAAGCCATGAACAAAGACTATATCGACGGTGGGGATTTCCCCGCGCGGAGGGGCATAGACCTGCGTCAAGCCAAATGGCTTGACAGAGGGGTGATGGGTCATGATCGGAGATGGTTGTGATCAAAGGACAAACATTTCCAGGGAGATGGAAAAGGATCTCTCAAGTGGCAGGTCCGAGCACTTTTATAAGAGGAAGGCAGCAGGTGATGGTTGCTAATGTTTACTTGGGGGAAGGTTCCCCCTGACCCATTCAGATGACTGCGATCCGCGGGTTGAAGGGGGCTGGTACATTAATTATTCTGTACATACTACGGTAAATACCCTAGGATAATCACTCCGGCCCGCTGCAGATTACTCGATCCCCCGCTGCCTAGTAGACTGATCTCATTTACATCTGGGGCTGAGGTACAAGCTCTGCGCCACGGGGTATTCCGTACAGAGCGATACGATATACATAGTCTTATGCAGGAACCCAGGGTTCCGAACATTTGCCCGGCAAGGTATATCCCAAGGAGTATGGACGCCTGTGACTCATGGTCTATCTGATCAGCCTAGGAAAGGTAGTCCTAGTTCCAACTCGAACCCCCACCCTTTTCAGTATGCTGAATCCGTGGAAAGACAGATGTCTGGTCGGGGTCTTAAAATGGGTGTGGGAAGTAACTGCGTCGTGACATCTGCAGGTCAAAATCGACGTATCCACCGAATACGAGGGTGAAACGAGGGTGGTCCAGTGATGATCTTTTAGAATTATCTTTTAAATGGTCTTTCTGGATACCCCTATCTATCTTGTCTTGCTTGTCCTGCTATGAGACCAGATACCTAGCCTATACTAACCAGTCAACAACGTCGAAGACCCTGGTTATCCAGTACCAAGGCTATACATATCTTGACTGTATACTGCACCGCGATGCTTTCTCCATGCTAAGACACCGTATACCCATAGCGGAGACCAGAACAAGAAATACCATTGCATTTCAATGCACTGTATCCTAAATCTAGCATTCCTACTTGCCACGCCCTTCCGGTACGATCCGTGGGTGGAGTTGCCCTGGTTCGGGTCGCCAGCCCTACTGTCATATCTGATAGTCCAGAACATGACACCTGTATGGTTCAGATGACTCCAATAGACCCTTCTGCCTAAGAACCCTCGATAATTATTTCCTTTCTCTTGTTGGTTTTCGGGCGCAACCACTTCCAGCATCGGCGCAGGCAGCCGAAATGGTTGCGTGGCTATACAGTACTTTTGAACGGGGCAACGTCATACTAGAACAAGTGTTTACTAGATAGATTCATTTTCAAACTAATTACAACCCAAATCCAAATTCGCCAATAGTAATTATAGTCCCTGCTTTCGCCATCTTTTACCAATTACAGTACCATATTCAATCTACCGCCCCCGGAAAGCGGGCTTGCGCTTCTCCGCAAAAGCACGCAGAGCCTCATATCGATCCTCAGTCTCAATCACCCCCTCATAAGCCTGATTCTCCGCCACCTCGCCCAAGGCAGATCCCTGCACAGCCAGCAACGCCTGCTTCAGGGCAATAGGTCCACCCTCGCAGATATCCAATGCCAACTTGATACTCTCCCGGAGAACCTTCTCACGCGCCACGCCTTCTTGTTGCCCTTCCTCGGGTAACACCTCCACCAAGCGATCACAGAGTCCGATAAAGTACGACTCGGGTCCGGAAACCCGTCGCCCTGTCAGAATGAGGTCGCGTGCCCGGGTGGGCCCGATCAGGGCTGGCAGACGGTAGGTACCTCCGGCGCCTGGAATGATCGCGAGGCGAGTCTCGGGTAGACCGACGGTGCTGGAGGAGCCGAATACGCGGAGGTGAGTGCAGAGCGCGAGCTCGAGGCCGCCGCCCAGAGCCATAGAAGAGATTGCGGAGATGGTGGGAATTTGGAGGCCGGCGAGGGCCTTGAAGGTGGCGCGGAGCTTTTCGAGGAATTGCTCAGTCCTGTAGCGATGTAAATTGGTTAGCGGGTGGAAGCTGCACCTGCGAAACACTCGGTTCTAGCTTGCTTGGGGCTCTTCTCACTCAGCATGTGTCATTTTAGCACGCTCCTTGAGATCTGCACCGGCACAGAAGGAAGCGTCGACGTTGCTTGCCACCACCAAGGCCCGGGTTGGTCCATTGCCATTCTCTGCGGCGATGGAGTTCACCTGCTTGGAGAGGGTTTCCAGTAGCTGTCGCGAGATCGCATTGCGGGCTTTGGGCCGATTAAGCAGCAGCACGCGAACATGCCCGGAACCCGGGGCTGGGATTTGCTGGACCTTGATGATTTCTTCTTCGGCGCTCGTGCTGTATCGTGAGGCGAATACCCGGGTGGAAAGGACGGTCGCGCGAGAGAGATGGCCGAGGGTGGTGAGGCGGACAAGCCGCGGGGACAGGGTGAGTGTTGCCATCGCCCGGGTCAATCTGGTGGGATATAGAGGCTCGACTCCAAATATTCTCACTCGATTAATTGTAAAGAACAATAGAGAGAGGCAAGTCTGAGGGTCTGAAGTTGAAAATGCGCGGAGCGGAGCTCGGGTGTGGGGAAAGCTTCTTGCGAAACGCCGACGCTTGCCGAAGCACGCGGAGCTAGTCAAGTGCTAGTCCGAAGCAATCGACGTGATCCAGCATTGTAACTACCACTCACTCATTCCACATCTGCGATAATGCCATCATTCTAAAATTATAGATTGTATCAGCGATAGAGAGACAAAGAAATGGGTAGAACATACCAGCTTGGAACCTAGGCGTACGGTTGGGAGCAGCAACTTACCCGCTCTCCATGTTCCAAATATCTGTCGCCAATAACATGAACATACTCCAGCGTGGTCCCTTATAGTATCACCGCCTGACGCTAAGACAACATAAAACCAAGGAGTGACAGCCCTGCAATTTCCTACGGGGATTCGCACGACCCATGAGTCAAGGTATTCCTGTCGCGGTGGTATAACTGGGACAACTTGCAGCGTGATTCACTGCGCGTTCATAGAACGTAGCCAACAACAAGAAGTTATATCTGCATTCAGCTCGCTCTGTTAATCTGGGTTGACCAATTTGAATAAAACCGAGCGACCACAACTGAGAAGTACTGCTCCTAGTTTTGTAATGTCTCTCCAACTCCTAGTCAGACTTCCTTTCCCGCCCCAGACATGGTTTTGTATGGTGTAGTGCGCGGAACGGGTCTAAAATATAGAGTACTCCATTTCATAAGATTCTTATACATGCTATATAGCCCTAGTAACGGAGCCTTCTTTTTGTTCCCTCTCCTACTCACAGGTAGGTCCAAAGACCATGCCAACCTACGATGAGCAACGCCACTGATGTTCCAGTAAATGGCTGGGTGTCGGCACCTGATAACAGAGGCACTAGTGATGTTATCTGGTCTTGCGGAATGACAATACTTCTTTGTTGCTGGGTGTCTGTTTATCCAAGCGTTGGTTCGCCAGGCGACAAGTGATATCACCCATTCCTTGACAAACTTAATCTCTTTTGCATTACTCTGTTGGGGCCAGACTTTCTATTTGGCATCGCATTTGGCCAGTGGTCAAAAGCACGGGCAAGCGTTAGGGTACGTGAACTACTTGAGGCAGCTCTCGGAGATGACTGACTAGCTGTGCCTCATCTAACTAACTATAATTTATGCTGATACCTCCTTTGACAATAAGCTTTTCTATAACTATCCAACTTCACAAAATAACGTTGAATGGAGATATGTTCACGCGTTCTTCGTTAATTCCGGAAGAGTTCACCTGAAAAGTCCAGATTTTCCCCGAGGTTTTCCTATCGATGCTTCACAGTTACATTATTTGATAAAGCATGATTTTGTCGCTCCGCTAGACTTAGACAGCATAGATATATCCGAAAGGAACTCGGTTGATTCCCTATCCCGGCAAGTATTCAATTCCCCCTAGCACTTAAGGCCCTAACTAATATCAGTCTGTATAAAGCTTGATAACAGTTCTGCAAACCTCTTGGTTTTTCGCTAGTATAATCCAGAGAGCTTATACTAGCCTCTCAATGACAATATTGGAATTAACAACGTCATCGTTCGCATTAATGATGTTTACTACATCTACAGTATAGTATCGCCAACCTTCTATCACCTAGCCCCGTTTCATTTGTACCAATAACTCGACGACGATATAGAATATCCGAGAGTTTTCCTAAGTCAACGTAAGTAAATAAAACGCGGTAAAGCTTGGAGGATACTCATAAAGCCTTATACCAGACCCACCTAACTCTACCTACTCAGTGGTATTGGACGCCTCTCGAATGTCTTAGCCAAGAGTACTTCGGTATCAACCTTCATTGGAGTTATTACACACGGCTTGTATATATGTTTTATATCCATGTATTCTCTAGAGCGGTCAAAACGCGACCGTGGGATCGTTTCCCGTCTGATACTTGGCTGTGTCCGTCCTTTGCTTGGATAATTCCTGCTACCTGCGTAACGGTGGTCTTTAGCATCCTCTTTATAGTAGGGTGGAACTTCCATTTCCCGACAAACACCGAAAAAATCATGTGGAGAGTATGTAGCGTCTACTATGTCGTTTTTTCCTTGTATGGCGTATCCTACTACTTGATTGAGATGTTGAAAACCAAGAAATGTCTATCACATTCGGCCCATTCTCGCCAACACTTGCACATAATCGAGGAAAGTCCCCATTTAAGGTCTAAGACCAGTCATTATTGGCCACCGATTTTTTCAAGCTTTCTAGACAAATGGTACAATACCTTGCCAATCCAAGATCCGGAGGCCAGAATACCTCTTCGGTTTCTGATCCCTGTGACGATGTTGTGTGCCATCTACGTTATATGTCGGGTTTATATCTATGTTGAGGATATTATCTCTCTTCGATCACAACGCATAGGGTGTGTGCTGTATTACTCTCTCTGTAGATACGGCAGCTCCAGCTAAACATCATGAAAGTGGTGTTTTCCTCATAAATCCCGATGACGTTGCCAATATCACAAGCCATCTACTCTTCTCCGCATTACCTAGACTGGCTAGTATATTTACGCCCAAAGTGGACCCAAACAATCACGCTAGAGTCATGGGGTTACCAACAAGCTTTGGAGGCCTCAAAGATGGGTATCACAATTCAAATCGACGAGTATGGTAATCTAAAAATACAAATATCTGTACACAAAGGCGCTGGCTTGAATCACCGGCAGTAATCTTCAACCTCTTCATCACTGGGCCAGTCCCAGCCGGGGGTCTGACTGATGATATCGTACGCCTCCTGCACTTTAGCAGGATCAGACGCGATCCGATCACAGTCAGTCGGCCCAGCTTGTAGTCGTTCCAAGGTCACTCGGACCGCCGCCAGGGTCTGCCGCCGCATTTTCTCCCCATTCAGTCGCTCATCAGCGGCTGCATTCAACGGAACAGCCGATCGGCTCATCCACTGCAGCAGATGCACCACTCCCCCGTCGTCCCCCACTGCTCCCAACACCCGAACGAAACGATGCAGTATCGCAAACGATGGCACATGAAGAATTGTGGGAACTTGAAGCTGTGAATCGATTGAGCTGTTCTCCGTGAATATGCTCTGCTCCGCTAGTTTTGAGGCCGAGGAGGCAGGGAGAACAAGGGAATCAAACTGTGATTTCAGGACAAGCAGTCCATTCTCAACCATTGCATCAAAGTGCTCATGTCCAAGAACCTCGCAGTCCTCGGCGCCGTGGGTAGCTTTTTGGACCAAGTTGAATGCCTCTTCAGCTTCATCTGGATGCTTAAGCCCCGCATTGACGGCTTCATTGAAGACCTTGCACATAGCATGGAAGCCATCCAAACTAGGTTCGATATCGTGGTCTTTCATCCATTTCAATGCCAAAAGGGCTTCGTGCCACGCGATAACACGCCTCCAGGCTTTGTTCTCCTTCAAATAATTGGAGCTTGTACTCCCCAAAGCGCTTAGTATGTGGGTCCAGGCCGGTGTGCAGGGAGTCTGCCGAGCCTTGACCAATTGAGTCGCGTGCCAGAAGGCCCTGGGGTGACACCCTTGGCGTGGATGATCTTCAAAGTCGGGAAGCACGGTCTTAGAATTTCGCGGCTGCCTTTCTGTTGCGAGGAAAGGGAACTGCTCGAGCGTGAGAGACTTGGGTCCCGCATGCAAAGTGGAACTCGAGGATACGCAAATGAATTTGATGAAGGAGGCAAACACACCGTCCGGCACGGTCTGCAGAACACCAGTGCTCTGTGCTTCGTAGTCGGATGAGTGGCCCAGGACAGTGCACAGCACTTTGATTTGATCCTTCGTGAGATCACTGACGATCAAATACTGCAGGCCGGTGCGAAAGTCCGGTTTCATCCGAAGCAACAGAGCGAGCAGTCGACTGGGGAAGCGAAGTCCCTGAGAAGTCATTTGCTCCAGAAAATCTTGGAGTACCGGGGGTTCGGTGTGAACATATATGATATCACGTGCAGATGCAGGCTCGGCGTAGACTTCACGGCCATCGCCAGGTAAAATGTGATCTGACTCATCGAAGCGGTTCTTGATAGCCAGTTGGCGATATATCAGCTTCTCGGCCATCTCGGTATATATGGCCGCGTTGGGAGGAAGATCGCGGTCCTGATAAGACAAAAAGCAAGCCCATGCTTCACGAACCGTTCTTGTAGCACGGATACGAGCAGTCCAGATAGCAGTATGATCAGGGCTGGTATGTGACGCACGGCTCAAAGTCCTTGACCAGCGCATAAAACCTCTGGTCTGAATTGTTGGGCTTCGATCAGTATCCCAGCCTGCCAGAATTGAGCATACATCTTCCCAGAGCTTGCTAGAATAGCCCGCATCTCGCATTTGCGACAGTACGTTCATCGCACGACTGTACATGCCTTCGTTGCCCCGAAGGGCATCTATTCCCAGCTTTCCTTCTTTCCACGGCGGCCACGAAGGAGCCTTTAACTCGGCTGACTGCCGCTCCTCCGATGTCTTCTTATGTGCTAGCTGGATGGCAGCAACGGCTCGATAACCTTTCCGTGTCAGAGGAAGCACTGGCTTGTGGCTAGCCATGGCTCGGAGGAGTTCAAACTGGGCTTGCTGTTGGAGAGGCGTAGATTGGAATGGCTGAGCTCTTGACGGAACTGAAAGTAGGCGAAGGAAAATGTTAAAGTTCTTGGTCTTCAGACGGTCGGCATTAGACTTCTTGAGAATTGAATCCTCTGCCTCGCCCGGCTTTGTGGCTATCATAAACCGCGAAAAGGCACTTGCAATGGTAGGCATTGCCTGAGGCCACACAATGCGAGCATGCCGAATCAAGCGGGCAAATAGACGCATGCCAGTAGAATGATCGACCTTGGACTGAAATTTGCCCGATGGCAGCTGTAAGTTCTCCTGCAGGGACTGTCCCACCATCTTTTCACATGGCAGTGGCTGGCCACTGATCAGATGCAACGAGTAAATCAAAAGTAATCGAAGAGAACGAGCCTCTAGATACGGTTGTTTCAAAAGGAAGAGAATCAGAAATGGAGGGGCGATGGGGGATTCAGAGCGGGATTTGGACTGGTGCTGGACTGCATGTGCAAATAACCGCGGAATAGCCTGGTTAGCATCTTTGCTCTTCAAAACCCATGCCCAGGCCACCACGTCGCCCACATCATAGCCACGGGTGGTCAAATAGCGATAGCTATTGTCCCTGAAGACTTCGCTTAGAGCAGAGTCTAACCGCTCCGTCAAATATGCTTCCGTAGAAGAAGAGATCAATGGATCCACCAGTCGTATATACTCTCCAAGGGTAGTTTGTAGTGAGAGTCGCGCGGGGCGACCATAGGTTGGCTGCAAAGCCTGCAGGTGCCGAACGGCATCAACATCCTGAGAGCCAAGATGATGATTTCCCAGGGGATGACCGGTTTGACGAAGAGCTTTGGCGAGATATTGTGATGGGGTAGGATTAGGTTGACCATAAGACTTCTTCAAACGTCGCCTCGACATCAAAGTGTCGGGTTGTGTTTGGTTTGACGCATCCTGCTCACTCGATTGTTGCGATTTAGGGTCATGGACCTCGTCACTCCGGCTGGTCGATGGGTCTTGAGGATGCAGTTTTTGCTCTTGGATAACTTTGGGGTCAGTTGCAAGCGGTTCGGGGTATCGGAGAGTCGCCTGAGAACGAAATAGACGTCGAATGCCTCCGGGGGTACTCCGCGGCAGGCCGGCGCAATTTGCGAAGGAATTATCACCGTAACGGTGGGCCTGAAGTTACAGAACCACAGATCAGTATAGCTCAAATTCACAGGGTCCAGTAGAAATAAACTGCTCGGAAGATTGCCTACCTTGCAACATTGACGGCCAGCCAGCTGCGCCGCTCTCAGAGGCACCCCCGAAAGGCCGCGAACATGATTGAGAGCCAATGACATCCATGAATGTCGTCATCAACGAGTCCTCCAATGCGATACACTCCAGCTAGGGGGCTGAAAGCTTCCAGTGCCCTCCTTTCCCTAGATAACGTAGTATTGAAAAACAAATCGGTTCAAATTGGCCGAATCAAGAACTCGAAAAAAGTAACGCGGCTCCCGAGCGACGCGGAAGAGACTGGGTCCAGGTCACGTGCAGGATCGTCACGGGCTGCGGTTTTCGGGATGGCGCGCATTCTGAGCGTCTCACGAACAAACGATATCCGCCTCGCCTGGGAAAAAACACTCCAAGTCACCCACTCGACCCGGTGAAGGCTTCAGTTTCATAGTGCCTCGGGCGATTAATACCTATTGTTCTTTCTATCCTTGCCTCACTCATCCTTTAGTTGTCTGGAAGGCGGAGAGGCAATCCGGTTCTTGTTTTGTCCCTCTCGTCGCGATCTCATCCTTTCCTGATCTCCTCTCGGCCCTCACATCAAAATCTACCTGCCCACCGATTCTGAACAAGCTCAAGGGCCACACTCAACCCCAACAACCCATTGAATATCTGCTATCCGGTCGCAAACTACCAATACTTTTTTACTCGGTCGTTCCCGGGGTCAATCGAGAACGCCCGCTTCGTTCGAGGGGATCGCGTCGACGCAAGTACTGTCAACCCTGTCCCCTGTCGCAACTTTTGCACAATCATGAGCGCCGACGAAAACGGAGACACCCCAATGATGCCGGCGACGAACGGTGAGCCTCACCCCGACTCCTCGGCGACCGCGATCCCAGGGAAAAGAAAGCGGTCTGCTCAAGAGGAGAACTCGGGTGTCGACTCCAACACATCCACCACATCGCGTGAGAGAGCAACTCTTCACGAGAATCTACGAAGCCTCGTGGGCCTCCTGATCAAGTCAGTTCCTTCAAAGAAAGTCGATGGCCTATCCCCACTAACAACATGGATCCAGACATGACACTGAGCTTCAGCTCCTATCCTGCCCCTTCCCCACGTCCGGAACGAAGCCGCGCACGAAGCGCGCCAAAACCTCGAGTGATCAAGAGACCACCAACGTACAAATTCGCGTCGAGTCTGGCCGGTATACCACGTTACAAGAGTTTCTTGGCGACATCGAAAAGGCATCCGCGGCCGTGATCGAGCGCAACCAGAACCAGCCAAATGGCACCAAGGCTGATGGCACACCTTTGACGGAGGTGGTAAACCGCATCGCAGCCTTCAAGAAGCACATGAATAGCATCGTTGGTCAATCCTTCGTCAATCAAACCGAGGTCAAGGCCGAAGCCTCAGAAGACGAGGCCGACCAGTCAGCAGAAGCTCTGGCATCCATTCCCGGTGTTCGCGAGGACCGACAAGCCTTGACTTTCTTCGGTGCGAACCCTTCAAACCAAGGACACCCGAAGCAGTTGTTCTCGAGTCTGCAAAAATCGGTCAAGGTGCCATTGCAGTCCTCTGAATCCGAGACGGAACAATTCGTTGAAGTTCAGGAGCCACTTCGCGAGACCGCCCTTCCTGCCGGCATCACATCCACCAAGGTGGTTCCATACAATCTCAATGTCACCAGGCCACAAAAGAGAACATTCGGTGAAGTTTTTGCCCCCCGCTCGGGTCTGCCACAAATGCAGCCCCCGCGCACACGAACCCATCGAAGCTCCTCAGCATCGTGGATCGATCCCTTCGACGCGGTCTTTGATACGAAGCATTTCTTGGGCGATCGCAATAGCTACTGCCTGACACCCCTACCGGCTAGTCAGTGGCTGCAGTATGGCGGCGTAACGTCATCACCCTCATACTGGTCCCGTGTGGAGAAGCAACACGCCGAGGTAGACAATGGCCCGAAACACGGCGATCCTGCACTTTGGACCGGTGATGACCCTTCTTTGCTGCAAGGTGTCTTTTCGTCATTTGCCCCGTCGTATGACAGCTCGGGAGCTGTCCTGCAAGTTGATACCAAGGACTTGGTGTGGTGGGGAAAGCAAGGCGCGAAGCGCTTGCGGGCTCTGCTCACTCTATCAGATGAAGAGGTTGAAACACCAGTGGTACAGCCGGGCAGTATCGGTGATCTCGATGAGAGCACCCTTGATGAAATGGTGAAACAGTTCAACCCCGAAGACTTCGCTTATGACCCCACTCAAGACGACCCCAGCAAAGAGGATCCTGAATCCCGAGAGGTTGAGGAGTTGCTTGGCGAAATTTCTGATCTGCTGGACACTCTGAGCTCGTATCAGAAGATTCGTAATCTTCAACTTCCCCCTTCGGGAGGCGAGACCTCGGAATCGAACGAACCCGCTGTTCCCATGTTCGGCACTGCCGAAACCCCCTCCGACGCCGAGCAAGCTGTCTACGAAACCCTCAGGGCGAGTCTTTTCGCCATCATCAACAATCTCCCTCCATTTGCGGTTGCGAAGCTCGACGGCGATCAACTCGCAGAGCTCAACATCAGCCAAAAGATTCTCGTCGAGAATCCGGATTACACCGGCACCATGGAGAAGGATGACTATACGCTCCATCAAGATCGTGCCGCAGCAATCGCCGCCGCCGCCGCCACGAGTGCTGCTGCCACTACATCGAATGCTATGAACCGTACCTCGACGCCTTCTGGGGCTCGTGCTGGATACCAACAAACCCCCCAAACGGCATACAACCAACGTGCTGTCCCACCTAATCCTCAAATGTCGCAGCCCCGGCCTGGATTCCAGGTCCCACAACAAGCTAGACAGCCATCCGCGGGAGGCTCATTTACACCTAATTACACAGCTCGTCCCCCAAGCACCCCTGGGCAACGGCCTGGCTACATGCCTCAGCAGCTCTCACAACAAGCGAACCCACAACACGGCCAAGTGAGCAACACGCCACAGTTCCAGCGGCCGCCATCCAATGGATACGCGCAATCTCCACAGCAGTACACTCCGCGACCTGGGCAACCGGCTGCTTACAATGCCACGCCTCAAGGTCGCACACCTTACGCCAACGCGGGCACTCCTCAGCCATACCAAAACGCGAACCTCACGCAGTCACAGGCTGCGTACTCGAATTCAGCTGCCGCCGCAATTTATGCGCGCAGCGCCGCTGAGAAGCAGCAAGCTGCAAAGGCTCAGCTTGCCACCCAGCAACGGCAAAGCCCGTCAACCCCACAACCTCATGGTCTTGATGCTCGCTCATCCCACGAGGGTAGCCTTACTCCTGGCAAGCAGAACGGCACCCCCGTTCAAACACCACAGGCAAGCTAAAACCAAGCTTGTCATAAGCCAGCCTGGTCCGTTCTGAGCAAGGTACACTTGATGATTTTCGGGAGACAGAGTTCTTCGTTCCCACATCGAGCTGATCATTCTATTCGTGAATCTCAATCCTGACCCGACATCCGGTCACGTCCTTTTTCTTGCCTTTGAACATGGCTTCCATGATGCGTGTTTCCATGATCTCTTTCTTCTTTTCTCAACGGTTTTCTTTCTCCATTGTGTTTTTAATGGTACTTGCCTTTTGATCTCTGCGGACTCATTGGTTCCTGTGTTTTCGGTGTTTTGCTGGGATGACAGCGATTGGCGTGCGGGTGTGGGTTTTAAGACGGGTTCTACCCCTGGGTGGTTTAGGCTGCTGGCAAGGTAGTCTGTTTCTGTGTCCCGTCTGTGGGCTTTTTTAGATGAGAAGAAGATTGCTTCCGCTTTTCAACATATGAACAATGGATTGTGTCAATGCTGATTTATCCTGTGTCCGATGGCCGATGATTACTTCGTAGAACGCATTTTCAGAACGCGTAGACTTGCAACTTCTGCTTGCGAGGACTGCACACCTCATGGGCTTGGTTTTGATAGTCGGTGTATTGCCCCCGCCTCTACTATGCAACTATATCGAGTGCCGCGAGTGGTCTCTGGAAGTGTAGAAGAAATAAACAATTTGTGATCTGCCCAAAAGGTTGAAAATCTACGTATAAGAGATCAGGCCGAAGAAATAACATCAAGACTCATAATCCCGGGATTCGTTAATATCGGATAATTCGTACATCCAAAGAAACATAAAACATTCAGTCGAAGTTCGGTAAACGGTCAAAATCTCTCCAACAAAATAAACTCCTCTTCCAAATATGCGAGGTATCTTCCGTCTTAATCACCGCTAACAGAGCCAACACCAATCTACCTTGCCATGATATTCCCATTGGTATAGTAAAATGAAAAGCAACAATTTCCTAACAATCTTGACACCATCGCTTCTGCTTCTCTGCGAGAACTTTTGGCTCGATGGCCCCCACATCTATAGAAACCACATCATGTTCAAGGAGTGACTGAGTGAGTGAGCGAAGAACGTATCAGGACCAGTGATGGCCGATCGAGTTCGACGCAGATATGAGATCAGGAATGATATGAGATCAGGAATGAAATTCGTGAGTCGTTACATAGTTTTCAATGTTGTTCAGGGGATGAACATGGCAGCGATGGTCATGAAACCAAAGTATCTGTTAACGGGTTAGCAAAATTTCGTCAGAAAGACCAGGACACGGGGTAAACGTACAATGTCGCACATCTCCATCCATCCCGAGAGTCCACCAGCGCTTCAATGCCAGTAGAGTAGTTCGCCGCAATGGCAGCTGCTGCACCGCCGGTGACAGTTACCACGACGAGTCGGCCGGAGAACTCGGCAATCATACTGAATGCGAGAAGCGGCATTAACAGAGCGCCGGAAGCGATGATGATGGCGATGTAAACCGGTGCTGCAGCTGCAGATGCTGCCAATCGCGGGGTGAGTGCGACTAGGTCAGCATCTTGGTCGAGGAAGCGAGTTTCAGCGGCGGCGATGGGGTTATGTTCTTTCATCCATGAGCGGTAGTTGGTGATGTCGTCTTCTGAGGCGCGGGGGAGAGTTTGGAGGACTTTGCTGTATGCACTTAGCGCGGTGTCTGTGGGACTGTCAGCTATATGCTTTATTCGCTTGGCACTGATGCAATCACTCACTGTATTGCTCTGTCTTCTGAACGAGGGCAGCCATCAGATCCATGCGCCGGTAGTGCAGCGATGGATATGCTTGGGACTGGATGTCGACTCGACGCGAAGCAGGTAGAGGTTTGGTGCCCTCTTGCTCGGCGGTAGCTACTCGATGCATCTCCTCGTACTCGTCGAGAGTGTGAAGATCTTCCTCCATCTGGGAGATCTCATCCTGGAGATGCAACAAGACACGATGATTGACGCTTTCAAAGCGTCGGTATAGCGGTGGGAAGGCAGCTTTCTCTTGCGTAGCAGACTTGGTGAGCTGTGTCGCAATGAGGCCATATCCTGATGATACTTGCGGCACATTCGAGTCTCGTCGTTTGGTTACGACGCCCCGGTGAAGGCTGTCTTCTGGACTGCTCGGTGGGGACGGAGGGAGAGGTGACCTGTGAATGGCAGTAGCGTCCTTCGATGTATAGTAACTTTCCGCTCGAGAAAGCTGCAATTGATGTTTCTCTGGTAAGTGAGACTCTATCGAAGGTACTCTGCGCGGCGGTGGTTGTCTTTGGGTGATCAACACTTGTCTCTCCGAGGGCGCTGGAGCAGTCGGCGCGGGCGGTGGTGGGCGCGAATCACTTGAGGTTCTCGGCGTTGTGGTGGACGCATGAGTTACTATTGGTTTCTGTGAAACCAGTATCGGGTGCGGGATAGGACTCGATCGAGGCTGTGGTGATTGTATTTTGGCGATAGCTTGGGCGTGCACTGGAGGTTTAGGTTCTTCGTCATCAGAAGATTCCGATTCTGACGACGATGACGAGGTTGATGACGAGTCATCTTCTTCTAAGAACTCGAACACATTGGGAACTTTCTTCGCTGGCTCGGTAGGCTTCTCTAGCGGGGCCTCAGGCGCCGGCGGCGGTTTCACGGTTTGTTTTGATACATTGGCTTGTTCAGTTGGTGATGATGGTTTGTTGGTAGTGATTTTTGGACTCTGCCCAGGGCCAGCCTGGGTGACGGTTGTGGAATTGGAAACGGTGGACGAGGTTCTTTTCCTGCCCTCCTTCTTGGGCTTCCTCAAGCGCAGACTATGAGTACCGGTATGGAGCGGCATGATGATCGGAGAAGGTCGGAAGTAGTACCCGGTTCATCACTCGAGCCCAAAAAGCAAATTAAAGAATACAGAAAGGCGTTTCAATTAGGGCATGCCCAGAAATCGGCGAATTCGATGCGTATAAGTGTATCGCAGAAAGTCGCGATCATAGCGGAATCAAAAGCGTCAGATGTATGGGGGGTCCGAGGCATGACACAAGGGAGGGGCAAGAATTCCGATCAGATCACAGCATCCACCTCGCGGAATCCAGGGATGTCCTGCGCGATGACCCAAAAGTCAAAAGGAGTAGGAAAAACAAAGGAAGAAGACACAAGAAAGCGACAAATGGGCAGCGAGAGTCGATAAGATGTGATGTCTCAACTCTCCCCGCGTCTTCCCCGTGACAGTCTTTCTTCCGATGTACCTGGGGATGTATACTTGTAGTTATACTTCCCCCAGGGCTGAAGATCCCGCCCCAAAATCAATAGTGTCGATAGTTTGAAATAGAATGATCACAGTCCCGGCCCCGTCAGCCCCCAAGGCCTGACTATGTTGGTGTCAGCGGGTGCAGGGCCAAAACCAGAGAAGTCGGGGCGAGTCGCTGGGAATGGAGGGTTGCAATTCGTCGTACCGGGAATCCCCAAACAATCTGAGGCAGATGAGAAGCGCCCAAGGCTTCAGATCGGCAGCCAATGACCGTGGAGTCGCAAGGAGGTACCTTGAATCCCTGTCGATCTCCAAAGGAGGGCCAGATAAGTCTTGGTAGAGTCAATCCTCCGTGACTCTTTGAAGATATTATTCCCTCGTTGTAGCCGATGTGAAGAACGAAGGAACTGGATTGAGTTGATCAACTGGAACTAGCGGGATGATGGGGTGCTAGTTGGGCCTTTGTGATCCCAGTGGACCAGTCAGGACAGGCGCAACAAATCAGCCTTCCTATCCGATCCGGATGATAATGCATGTGTCGCGAGTCCAGCCATTTGGAAATATCCATGCGCTGGCGATTCGCTCGTCGATCATCTCCTTGCATCCAGCGCATCTGGCGGTCTAGCGGCCCCAATATTCAAGCCATCGGAACTGGGGTTTTTGGGGGGGTATATTGATGGAGCATTGCCACGTTGATGCCTTTCCATCTCTTGTGTCATGCAGGATTGCTTCTGTCGTGCAGTATGGCGGGGGGAGAATAGAGAAGAAGCGTGGATTTTGGTTTGGTGGGAGGTTGTCCACGATTGCGTCCTGCACGTCGTGTCAATTGGAAGTGAACAGTTGCATGCCAACACGAGTCCCAAGTGAACTTCCCCGCCATCGGGTCCAGCATTATTACTCTGGAGTCGAGTTGATCACAGTACCATTGTTAGTATTACAATGACTTCTATCTATTATCATATGCAAAATAGTATACTTCTTCTATATTGTAATAGTCCTTAACTAATTAACTAGCGTTACTAACTATAGTAGTTTACTATGTCAAGACAAGCTGGGGGCGGCCCCCGTCATCGCAGGCGGTCCGCAGATCGTCTTCTTCCCGAGTTCCGCAGCTTTTTTGGCCCTTGAATCATCCTCCAACGGCCTTTGCAGTGCCCACAGTTCCCCCTCTCCATGCTTCGGCCATGGCCCAGCGGCGCTGTCCGCGTCCTTTGCCGGGTTAATCGGCCATTTTTGGCTCGATCCCAGGTTAACGCCGCTCGTTTCCCTTCGACTCGCAGTCTCCAATCCGCCGCTTCGACAGACCGCGTCCCGCTCCGCAAGCAGCTCAAGCAAGAGGCTAAAGCTCTCAAGGCACAGAAGAAGCTGCGTAAAGAGTCCGAGGAGGCCTCTAGGCAAGAATGGGAATTAACCGTGGGCGTTGAGATCCATGCACAACTGGATACCGAAGCAAAATTGTTCTCTCGTGAGTACTCACCTATGCATCCACGTCTTGTTGGCTGGGCAGCGTAGCTTACGATCCCCTTCTGGAACAGGTGCCCCGACATCTACGAGTGAGACTCCCAATTCCAATGTCGCCTTGTTCGACCTTGCCTTCCCTGGCAGTCAGCCGGTTCGTATTAAACTCAACCCGATGAACGGCGAGGGAATCCGAGAGCTCATGCGACACAGGAATTCCAAGCTGCCACCCTCCTCCCAGCCCTCCGCGCCGCTATCGCCTTGAACTGTCAGATTCAGCCCGTCAGCCGGTTCGATCGCAAACACTATTTCTATCAAGACCAGCCGGCTGGTTATCAAATCACACAATATTATGGTTGGTGTCATTTCGCTAGTGCTCATCGGTCGGCCAGGTTGCCAACTAAGTTGTTATAGAGCCCTTCGCACGGAATGGATACGTCGACCTATATGACTACGATGGCATTGCTCCGGAGGATGGTGATCGGGTCCGCGTAGACATCAAACAGGTCCAGCTAGAGCAGGATACCGCCAAATCCCAGGAATACCCGCCGGCTACACAGCTGCTCGACTTCAACCGCGTCTCCCATCCTCTGATCGAGATTATTACCATGCCGCAAATCCATACCCCTGCGACCGCTGCCGCCTGCGTCCGAAAACTCCAAGCGATTTTACAAGCATGTGGTGCCGTGACAACGGGAATGGAACTGGGTGGACTACGGGCCGATGTCAATGTCTCGATCCGTCGTCGAGGGGAGGCTCCAGGACAGCATAAATACGATGGGATTAGTGGACTGGGTCAGCGCACGGAAATTAAGAATCTGAGCAGTTTCAAGGCAGTGGAAGATGCCATTGTCGCGGAGAAGAATCGCCAGATTGCGGTTCTGGAGAGCGGCGGTGTGATCGAAGGTGAGACCCGTGGATGGACTATTGGCAGCACCGAGACACGCAGGTTGCGAGGCAAAGAGGGAGCGGTCGACTACCGCTACATGCCAGACCCAGATATTCCTCCGTTGGTCATCGGGGAGGATCTGATTTCGAGTCTGTCAGAATCGTTGCCGACCTCCCCAGATTCGCTGGTGGCACACCTGATCGGTCCTGAATACGGTCTTTCAATCGAAGACGCGAAGCCGTTGATTGAGCTAGATGATGGGGCTCGACTGGAGTATTACCAGGATGTGGTGGACATCCTCCGCTCTCTTCACCCCGACCAGGATCCCCAGACCCACGCGGCTGTCACGCGAATGGCGGGTAATTGGGTTCTCCACGAACTCGGCGGTCTGTTGACCAAAGCGGACCGGGCCTGGGACAACGAGATCGTGCCGGCCCGGGCACTGGCGGACCTCGTTGACCATCTGCAACAGAAGCGCATCACGGGATCTATTGCGAAGCAAGTCCTGGCAGCGGTATTTGACGGTGATCGGCGACCGGTACCTCAACTGCTGGAGGAAGATAATCTTCTGCTCCGGCCGCTGTCCCGCGAGGAGTACGTAGCGCTGGCCGAGACTGTCCTCGCGCAAAGACCAGAGATGGTTGAGCAGATCCGCAGCAAGAACCAGCTGGGGAAAATGGGCTGGTTCTTGGGCCAGATGATGCGCTTGGGGGAGAAGGGCCGCGTTGAGGCCCCCAAGGCCCAGGAGATTCTCCACGAGCTCATCCTGGGGAAACAGTAGAGCCCAGGCCCAAAAGGAATCCCGTGTATGAATACGTGTACTACATAGCCTTTTCTTTCATGATACCCGTACTTCTTTTTGAATTTGTGTCTCACTCTATCTAATAAAAAAGACCCGCTCTACTGTAGTCTGTAGATCCGCATCCTATCCAACGCAAGTACTCCGTACTCCGTACTCGTGCCTCAATTACCGCCGCAGACGCGCTTTAACTTCCAAACCCCTCAAAGTCTCTCCGATGCCATTACGACATTCCTCCGGCTTCGCCCCTCACTAAGACGTAAAATTGCAACGCAGTGGGACGGCAAAGGGCCCTAAACGGGGTCGCTCTCCTCAACCTGTACTTAACGGAAGTGATGGAGTACCCGGCGGAGCGCGATGATCCCTAAAAGCAGTTTTTAGCGACTGCGCAGTCACAGGAATGAAAGCATGGCCCGCGACTCGGAAAGGGGGGAAGGGTTATAAAGAAGAAGATTATCTCCCGTTGCATTTCAATTTCTTCTTCTTCTTTTCATCATCGTGGTTTATCTTGATTCAATAGAGTGTCTTCTTGTATACTTCGAGCCTCTTCATACCTCTCCGTCCCACCTGTTTCCCCCCCCTCCGATCCACTTTTTTGGCCCTTTTTTATCTTATCGCTGATCGGACTTTGCGATCTTGAAATCTTTGGGTCGCTGGATCTTTTTTTTCAGTCTTGTCTCTTTTTGCCTGGACAGCTATTCTCGACCTTATCGCATATACCTCATTGTGTTCGGCAAATAGTCCTGCATACCTGCATACTACATCCTTCCACAAAGCACGATGACGCAGCCATCCACTATCGCCTCCCACTTCCTTTCCCACCCCAACCAGCTGGGTGTGGTTGCTGTCGGCTTCAATGGCGGACAGGTAAGAAGTTGCTATAAACCCTGGCTACGCAGACACGCATGCTAATACTACAGTTTCATAGATGAAGAAGGGCGTCGAGGCCGCGCCTATGGCCCTGATCGAGTCCGGCCTGCTCACCCAGCTGCGCGAGGACCTCGACTACGAAATCCACCACGACGACATCATCCACTACTACGAGAAGGACATCCCCGCTGAGGACCCGGACCACCGCAACATGAAGAAGCCCCGTGCCGTCAGCGCCGTGACCGAGCGCCTCAGCTCGCAAGTCTACAACTACGCCAAGGACGGCAAGTTCGTGCTTACCTTGGGCGGCGACCACTCCATCGCCATCGGTACCATCTCCGGCACATCCAAGGCTATTCGCGAGCGATTGGGTCGCGAGATGGCCGTTATCTGGGTCGATGCTCACGCCGACATTAACGTCCCCGAGATGAGCCCCAGCGGTAACATTCACGGTATGCCCATGGCGTTCCTGACCCGGCTGGCCCGGGAGGATCGTCCCGATATCTTTGGCTGGTTGAAGGACGAGCATATCATCAGCACCCGCAAGCTGGTGTACATCGGTCTGCGGGATGTGGATCGTGGCGAGAAGAAGCTTCTCCGCGAGCACGGTATCAAGGCTTTCAGCATGCACGACATTGACCGGTATGTCCACTCCCGCCCCCAACCCTATTCCTCATGTGTGACAACCCAGCTAATCTCTGATTCTCTTCGCTGCATAGCCACGGTATCGGTCGCGTTGTTGAGATGGCCCTCGCTCACATTGGCAACGATACCCCCATCCACCTCTCGTTCGACGTTGATGCGCTGGACCCCCAGTGGGCTCCCAGCACCGGTACCCCCGTGCGCGGTGGTCTGACTCTCCGTGAAGGCGATTTCATCTGCGAGTGTGTCCATGAGACCGGCAACCTGGTTGCCATGGATCTGGTCGAGGTGAACCCCAGCTTGGAGGCTGTGGGCGCTGCCGAGACGATTCGTGCTGGATGCTCGTTGGTGCGGAGTGCCCTCGGCGATACCCTTTTGTAATGACTTGCACGATTTTGTATTTGTTTTTTTGGGATCCGGATTTCTCTTTGGGTAGTGAATTAGAAGGAAAAAGAACTACAGTATAGAAAATACAAGAGTTCCCTCGACCGATGACGCTGCAAGTGGATGCGGGTGGGCGGGTAACGCGTAAAAAAACATGGTCGAGTATACTTCCCGAGGGACTAAACTCAATCAACTCAAGATCCCCTGCCACCTCAATTTCCCGCCGATCATCAACAAACCCGCCCCTCCTGGCAACCTGCGACTTTCGGTTTTTCTACACCACCCACCTCTTGGCTGTGTTCCCCCGCATACCATCGCCGTTGCGATATTCGCATCGCTGCGACAAACATACAACAGTCATAAGGTCCCAGCTCGAGTCCTTCTCTCCACCCTACGCCTACTGGCGCCCGATGCGCTGTCAGCCCGCATTCCACCTCCCCCGAAGCCCACCTGGCACCGATCCATCCATTCACTACTCGCCTCGAGCTTGAGGCCAAATCGACTACCATACCCACTCTTGGGTCGCATTCTATTCGCGAACTGGCCACTGCCCATCAAATCCTCGAGAAAGACGGTGTATCGGGCACAGGCGCATTTCGATCCGTGCTTATATACCCCATCTCGCGGACAAGCTTGGATCGAGTTCAATACTCGCCGTCGCAACGTACTACGAGCATAGGACTGTGACACTGTGTTTTTCGATTCAATGGCCGGCACAATGAAGGCTGTTCGCGTGCGCCGTGAGACTCGACGTCTCCACCACTGGCCTGAGATTCAGCTGAATATCTGGTTGATCGTGGTACTTTCGGCCTCGGCAACATGTCTGGGAATCTTCTCTTGGTTCATGATCGTGCAATCGCAGATGGACCTGGGCACCCCTTGGTAGGTCATTCTCTGTCAATTTTCAAGCTGCGACTACCGATTCCATGGATTCAATTTGGTACTGACTCGATAACACCACAGGCTCTTCCCGTACATGGTCGTCGTGAGCGCCCTCGGTGTTACGTTCTTTTTCCTCATTCAAGTCCTTATTGCACGGGGACCGCTACTTCCGGGCATTCTTATCGTTGGCAGCTTCATTCTCTTCGTGCTCTGGTTAACAGGGTTGATCGAGACCTCGTTGCAGCTGTACGGTGTCTCTGGCAATGTCAATGATAATTGCCAGATCTGGGTGGTGGAGAACGAGTCCCGGGGTAACAGCATCAACACACTGGCTTGGTTGACGCAAAGCACAATCTGTAAGTTACTCTTTTCTCGTCTCTCCTATCTTGATGTGTTAAGCAATCCGTCTAACTATTCTTTGCAGGTAATTGCTGGAAAACGGCCTTTGCGTTCGAGCTCGTCAATACGATATTCTATCTATGGATGATGATCATGTCGTGGCAGGTCCATAAGGACTTTTATCACTGATGTTTTTGATGTTTCTATGCTTGATGCTTCTAATCCTGACGCCTCTGATCTTGATGCCCTGCTGTGTTTTATACTCGATCTATTTCCTCGTCATCTCCTGTGATACCATCTTCTTGCATGACCTATGGCGTTGACAAGCATTCTATGCTCTGTATTGTGCTCCATCTCTAGCGTTTCTATTCTATCATATCGTGCCATTCCCTTCTTTCAACTATTAATGAACAAAAGCTATTCTTCTATATGATTGCGGAGCGAAGCGGAGCAATATATTAGTATATACTATACTGTATAGTAGTTTTAAGAACCTTAGAATATAGGTATTAAGATATCCCTACTACCCTTATTACCCTTACTATCCCTACTATCTCTATAGTTGGTAGATAAGTTGGTAGATTTACTACTACCCCTCCACTTGAACTACCATACTTCTACCACTCAGCGAAAGTAAAGCGACTAGCGTGACTGGGGGGGGTTCTAGGGGCTATCCCCCCTTCTCAAGGTCGTTAAACGAAGAAGATTCAGCCGCTAAGTGAGGCAATTACTCTGCTAGACCTACCCAGGATGGGTCCCTGGGCGCGCAGACAGCTTGTATATCGTGCTTGTAGATGCGTTTTGATATCCAGTATTGTATGCAAGCTCGAGGGCCATACACTATCATGGCGGTGTTCCTCCATAAGTGCCGGTCTCGAGAATTTAGGACGCGTTGCGCGTCCCCTGCTTCGCGTTCGCGATGTTTGCCCCCATCACGAGGCATTCCCAAAAAGGCAGGAACGAGGTTATTCGCGTCCCGATTAGGAAAAATAGCCTAATCGCTAGCTCCAAACCTTGATTTTCTAGAGTATAAGAAGGGTCCCCCTCAGGTATAAATACCTCCTCCCACTTCCACGAACTCTCCTTTTTTCTCCTCCCTCCTCCAAGAATATCCACTCTCTCCAGTCCACCCCCATCCATCCTCCATCAAACCAACCTTCAACCTTCAACCTTCATCATACATCTGGACTTTACCTTGCGTTGTTGACACACACCTTGACTCACATCCAACCTTCATCCATCTGGGCCCTTCATTACTTTATTGAATTACTTTATTGAATTACTTGATTGATCCAACACCTCGACTCACAGTCAACCTTCTTCAAGTCTTTATCAACTTCTCCCATCAAAGTTCAACATGAACTCCACCATGAAGAAGCCCTTTACCCGCACCAAGAGCAAGCTTAAGCAGTTCTTGTTTACCTTCTCCCACTTTGCCGCTGTTGTACCAGCTCTTATCCGGTCCTGATCATCATCATCACCATCATCCTGATACAAGACATCCTCTCGTCCTTCACGTCCTTCCTGGCTACCCTCTTCTATCAACGGGTCTCTGCCTCGTGAGCTCACACTTTCTCGGTGTCACGTCAACATCCCCCTTCTGGTGGCTCGCAGATATAAACATACAGGTCAGTCTACTCACACATACCCTCATCCATCTTGCCTTTGACTAACCCCCTCAACAACAACAGGAGCCTACACTAACGTTCTTGAGTGAACCTCATCAGCAATGACCTTGTTGTTTGAGCCTGTGTAGGGCGTGATTGGCCTCAGGGTCCCACTGCCTCACATCTCAGCCTCCTCGTTTATCCCTCTGCTAGTACTCTCGATCAAAAGAGATTACTTCTTCGTTTCCCTGACATATCGGTCTTCGATGCTGTCCTCGTCAGATACTAGCTACGGTATCAATGACTCTTCCCCTTAACACTTCCCTTTCCCCTTTGACATATCCTATCTCATAACATCAGCCTCCTCCATCCTCTCGCCGGCTTGACAATACTCCACGTCCTCATCTTATTTCTGACCCCGGTAACGTCTCAACTCTTGGCCTCTCATCTTTGGTCCTTCTAACACTTGAACTTCGACTCATAATAACTCCGCCTCTTTCATGACACCTCATCACGTCAATACCCCTCCATTTGCTGCCATATATTGGCCTTCCTCCTTTTATCTCACTGCCTTAGCCGTCCAACTTCAAATAACTTCCATCCATCCTGGCCTTCTACACCTACCAATGAAACAAAAAGAAAAAAAGACAACGAAACAACAAACCACACACACATACACACATACACACATACACACATACACACATACACACATACACACATACACACATACACACACACAAAAACAAGACAAAAGAAAACCGCAGCCACCACAACAACAAAAAATGATTCGCATCCTCTTCGTCTGGCCACTCACCATCTGGCTTCATTTCCTTGTTGGCATGAAAAGTCAAACAAAAAGGCATCACCCCTTCAACCGTCTCGATCTTCTTTGAACCAGCTAACAATCTCATATCTTAGGAGCCTACACTGACGTTCTTGAGTGAACCTCGGCAGCAATGACCTTGTTGTCCGAGCCTGTGTAGGGCGTGGTTGACCAACAGTCTACAACAAAAACAACACCACCAAGTCACCACTGCCAGACATTTCAGCCTCCTACAGTTGTTTGCACTACCCTTTTGGTACTGACTCCGTCTTAGATTCCTCCTCCATCCTCTGGACACTTTCACTTCTCAATGTGCCCACCTTTGATACCATTATCTACCTCACATATCAAGCCAATTCTCCGCCTCCTCGGCCCTACACCTTTCGACCTTTCTGGCTCTCTACCTTCTGGCCTTCCACCTTCCGGCCCTCAAGTCTTTAGCCATCTATCCTCTGGCCTTTTGCCTTCTGGTCTTTCGTCTTCTGGCCACAATCTCTTGTTGGCCTGAAAAGTCAAACAAAAGGCATGAACCATTCCACTATCTTAATCTTCGGGCTAGCTAACAATTTCCTCAGGAGCCTACACTAACGTTCTTGAGTGAACCTCGGTAGCAATGACCTTGTTGTCCGAGCCTGTGTAGGGCGTGGTTGACCAACAGTCTACAATAACAACACAAGTCACCACTGCCACACATTTCAGCCTCCTACTATTATTTGAACTACCCTTTTTTGCTACTGACTCCGTCATAGATTCGTCCTTCTTCATGCTACCGATCCTTCCGCGATCTGCCTCACTCAGTCTCTTTCCACCATCGCTTGACACATTGACCTTCAATCACTGTCATGCACCTCCGATACCACAGAACTTCATCTACGTCCTCTCCCACAAGCCAAGGTTAGTAAATACCCAGCCCTGTTCACAATACCTACTAACAATCGCTGTTCTAGACTTGACCACATCTCGAAAAATTCGCTCTATCTAAGCAGACCCCATACCACAAATCTAACTGCTTGAGCCACACCCCGTCCAAACAACCACAACGAGTACACAACACTCAACCAAAAAACCGTACGCCGGACAAACTCGATATCATTGGCATACTGGGAAGGAAATCGGAGTCTCCTCGACTCTTCACACACATCTACCCACACAAACTAATTCGGATATCCCCACTCTGGATATCACTGTTCTCTACATCCCTCAGACCTTCACCTTATCTACTGAATACAACTACCTGATCCCACAAACTTCATATTCAACATTTACAGTAGCCTCTATTGACTTCAAATTGTTTTGCCCAGTAAGAACTTATCAACTGCCATTGCGAAAAGACCAGGCACAGTAGTAGTAATTCGAATTTGTGGATCTAAAATACTAAAATCAAGTACATCTACACTTACTGTAATCTTCTCGGGTGACCCAAGGATGACCCTTGAATTGATTCACCGAGGCATGTGAAAACCCATTATTCTAGACTACTGTTGGAGGTTTTTCTTTTCATGGACATATTCAATTTTTAGAACTTTACATAGCAAGATCCTGAGGCATACACCCCTCTTGTATGAAACACTAGCTACCTTTGACAAAATACACAGATACACAAGTAGAAGATCAAAAAAGACTCTGACAAACGCCACCGCTATGCCAGGCACGCATCGCAACTGCAAATCAGATATGACAACAGACAAGTCGAGGACACCGGAAAAAAGGAAGCCAAAGACTGAAGGGAGGAACCGGAACGCTGTAGGATAATCCCGAGTCATCAGGATAGGCCAAGATGGCTTGAGGCAAACAGACGCGGTTCTTTAGGTTTGCTCGGAAGCTGCCTCCTCGGCACCGGATTCTTTGCTGTAATCCGGATCATCAAAGGCTGCCATCATCTCGCGCTCAAAATCATCTGCGTCCGATTCGTCAACGGCCGTGTCAGATTGAATCTCCTGTTCACCGACAGCAGAAGCGGCCACCTCCTCCCCCTCGTCATCATCATCCGGGGCAGGGAATTGTCCCTTCTCGAACCGCGTCTCTTCCGTCTCCGAACCTCCCGCGGTAGCAACCTCTCTAAGGCCAGTACTCCGCTCATAGGACCGCTTGATGCGTTGTGAAAGACGTGAGCCCTTGGGATCTGACTCGTCGCCGTCTCCATCGGTGGATTCGTCGTCGGGGTTGCCATCGTTTCCTTCCCCGCGCTTGCGCTTCCGACTCGGCTCCGTGGCTTCCTCCGCCCAGAACTCGCTATCGCTCTCGCTTTCGTCGTCGCTGCCCAGGAACTCCTTCAGTTCGTCGTGCACCGCGGCCTGATCGTCTTCGTCATAGCTGAGGGGTGAAGACTCTGTGAGTCCGGTTTCCTTGAACATCTCGTCGCTAGCGTCGTCATCGGTCACGTTCGTCGCTTCGTCTGAAGAAGAAATCCACGAGCTATCGAGAAGTTCGCGGGAACCGGGCGAGAGGAGCTCGCCACGGTCATCTGGGTGAACGGGTAGCAGGTAAGGGTCCTCATCCATGTGTCTCCAGTTGATCAGAGAGTCGTAGAGCCATTGTGTCGTGACGATCTTGATGTTTGGCCAGCGCGTGGCTTCCCGTACTTTGGCGGTGCGATTCCGGCCAGCGACCAGGTGTGTTACGCGCTTGCCGATGTTCTTCAGGACGACTACGCCGAATGTCTTTGCCCAGAGAGAGACTTCTGCGTTCTGGAGATCTTGACCCAGCGGAATCACGCCGGAGAAAACCACCACCACGCCGCCGAGTACTTGGGCTTTGTACAGGGGCATAATGTCCTTGATATCGGGGACTAGTTTCAAGTCCACGTCTTTGTCTTTGGAAGGGGCTTTCTCGCCGCGGAGGGCGGCTACGCGGCCACCCAGAGCATGGGTTCTCTTCTTGTCATACTCCTCAAAGAAGATCTTATGTACCGCCTCCAGACGGTCTTGAAGATGGAAAAGCTCCGTGTCATGATCTACCAGTAGATGGTGTCGAGGTCTGGCCGTCTCCTGCGACTCATCCCCACTGGAAGACGATTCGCTACCATCAGCAGACGCATCGTCGTCTGCATCTAGCTCCTTTTGTTTCTGTAGCAAAGGACGATCTTCAACTTGATGCATGATCGTTTCCTCCTGTGCATCCGTCTGCTCCTGCAAAAGTCTGGGGTCATCCCCACCACCCATCGTCACCAACTGTTCCAAAGCCGAGACCTCCGTCTCCGACCCTGTCTTCATCGTTGCACCGTTGACATGGTGCTCCTGCAACTCCTTGTCCTTCCCCTTCTCTTTCGATGCTCTACTTAGTTTGGGTGGTGCCGCAATCTCTTGCTTCTTAGGCAAGAAGCTGGAATTGATATCGCCAATTCCAACAAAGAAGTCGTAGGGAACGACCTTGATCAAATTGGGAATCCATCGCCACACGTCACCGCGGTCATCAATAATGACGACCATTTTGGTGTCCACCGGGAAGAGTCGCTGCAGGTTCTTGGCCGTCAGACTTCCGCTCTCGTCACGGCTCAGGATGCGGTCTCCGAAGAGCTTGCGGGTTGGGTCAATGAGGTCGGCAATATTCTGGGCGTATGCTCGAGTACCCATGGTGTAAATGTGCAGTTCAAAGAGCTCGGCAACTTTCTCCAGGAAATCCTCCAGTCCGGGTCGGAGCTTGATGTAATACCAACATCCACGCGCCCCCGGAGTATCGTCAACCAATTGGAAAGATCGAACATCCTTCAATGCATCATAATTCGGATTATCCTTATCGTCCTTCCATTCTCCAACGGTGGGATCAACAGTGGCATGGATGATTGTCTGATCCAGATCCACCACCAGTGACAGACGCCGGGACGCCAAAAGACGACGCTTAGCATCCTCCTCAACGCGAGTGGCCTCCTTCTCACTGACGGTCAATGTGGTGTTGTCATGGGTCATCTGGATGGGAGCGCGGAAGGTTTCCGAGATCTCGGTGTTGTAGCTCGATCTAGAGAGACTCGGTCAGTATTGCGACGAAAAGCTAATCCCTCATCCGAGGTCGAATATTGGACGAATATACATACTCAGTCATATCCTTGCCACACTCAGCGCACATGCCACCGAACTGGACCTCATGTGCACACGGCTCCTCAACTTCGACCACATCCACACTAAAGACAACCAATCAGTTACAGCCCACGCAAAGTTGGAAGAAGCATCAGACGATATGACTCACGGTTCATCAATAATATCGCCCTTAGCGATATTCCATTTCACAACCGTGCCATCCACGGTAGATTCAAAACGTGTCGGAAACTTGCGCTGCACCATAACTTGGTTTCCCAGCCCGTCTCCCTCCTCCACAGTAGTCTGGTAAATGTACCAGAAGATAGCCTCATCCCGCGCCACCGTGTCCCCCTCCTTCTTGAGGAGAGAAGTCACGGTGATGGGATAGTGCAGGCTGGGGGGCAACCGGAGGTGCATCTTGGCTCCCAGTCCGCCCCTAAGCGATTGAAACCCACCTTTTCACTCGATATCTCAATCGGACCTGTCAGCAAAGATTGCGCTGAAGTCCTTAACTTCGTGATTCCGCGTCAATAGAAAGCGCGGATGTCGTGTGAGCTTGATCGCGTGCGCTGGCTACAGCGCCATGCCCGACACGAGACGTGTAACGACAACGACAACGGACGAGAATCGCAGAAAGGGTAAGATATGAGGTAAATGAGATTCAAGTAGGATGGATGAAGTGTTTGCGCTGTAGCAAGGACGAGTCCACCAGCGCGTGGGTGAAGTTGGTAGGCAGTCGAGTGGTTGGATATCGCCACACGAACGCAGAGGTGTAAAGGGGAACGTGCGCTTTGGAGGTTGCGGTGCGTGGAAAGATGAAAAGAGATGATACACGCACTGGGTTCTTCAAGCGACGGTGTGTAGGTGTTGTTTGGGATGGATGGGGTGTGTTTGTTCGGTGTGGATTGGAGAGAGGAAGAGCTCAGGCCGGGAACTTGTGCGGGGACAGGCTCAACCGGCTTCCCTTCCATTGAAGGAGCTCCGCTTATGTCAACATCCCATCCACTCCGGAGAGCTACACTACATGGAGGAGCTTGGTACTCTACAACAATAGGCTGAATATAAGTTACAGTCTTATTGTAGCTTTGTGCTATACTCTCTGAACCATTAGTATGTGCTTTTCCAGCTTAGTCCCGGCTTGAGACTGACTTGGGCTGAACAGCACTCATGATTGGCCATTTGAGTAGGAGACCGCTGCAGCCACGGACCTCTCTGGCTCCATCGAAGCTCCTCAGCCCACAGCCATTGGAGCAACTATTATACGCACCAACAGTATCTATGAGTGGAAAACTACCTTAGATCTACAAGAACAAAAGGACCAGGTCAAATACAGAGCTAGGAGGGGAAATTGATTGGTAATAGCTAGACAAATTCAACAAAATGCAAAGTAAATCCACGCTCTTGACAATCTGCACGATCCTCAGCGAGCAAATCCCCAGGAAGGACTGTGCCAGTGGATGGAACAGCATTAAAAAGGAAAAGAATTAAATCGGACAGCAGTCAAGATATGCTTGTAAGCCATGAGGCGCGGATGATAAAAGCAGGCACCTTTACAAACCACAGGTTCCCCCCGGAGAAGAGCCGCATGTACATTGCGTATATACGAGAGATGCGCTCGGCTCGTGTCTCCAGGGTTGTCGGCGGCTACAGCTTCCCCCTAGTGGGATAGTGGATAGACCGTATTTAGGTGGACTTGGCCTTGGCCAGACCAACGGAGCCCTTGCCGTGGTCGTACACGCTGTACCACTTGCGCAGGAACGCATCACCCAGAATGGCCAGGGGACCAACGGGCTCGGGGAAGTCCATGCCCATGAAGCTGCTGATGCAGGAGCCCTGGACCTCGAGAGTGTAGTCGAAGGGGCTGATGGTGAAGTTGTGGCCGGCCAGAGTGAAGGTGATGTCGGGCAGGCTGCTACGCTTGTCACAGTCCACGCTGTACTGGCCAGTGAAGCCCTTCTTGGCACCGATCTCCTTGTTCAGGAGCTCGGCCATGGTGGAGGGCAGAGCAATGAGCGAGGTGCCGGTGTCGAGGATGACACCGGTGTTCTCCAGCTCGGCAGTGGCGTCGCCAAGGGTGATGGCATCAAATTCCACCTCCCAGTAGGCCTTGCGGCGGAGAGGAATGTTGATCATCTCGCCGGTATAGTGGCTCTTGTCAACACCACCGAAAGTGACCTCGGAGTCGTCACCTTCCTTGTTGGCATCACCAAGGTAGAAGGCGAAGACGGGCTCGTCCAGGAGTCCCTGGTCCAGAGCGTTGTAGAAGGGAGGGACCATCTTGTTGACAGAGATGGTGTCAAAGCCCAGACCCAGGATACCGTCGAAACGGCCAAAGGCGAAAGCCAGACCAGGCTCCTCGGTCGCCTCGGCAAAGTCCTGGTGCTTAATCTCCAGGTCGCCGATCTTCAGGGTATCCTGAGACACGAAGCCGCTCAGGCTACCAGATCCGTACTGAATGGCGAACTCGGTACCGTTCTTCTTGTACGAGCTCGAGGAAGACGAGTCATACTTGCTGTGGAGGAAGCAGGCGATCGAGTTGCAGCCCGACGAGGGAACCCAGAGGTTGGAGCTACCAGTGTCGAGGACGACCTTGAAGGTCTGGGGAGGAGTACCCAGTGTGATCTCGGAGAAGTCTAGATAGAGTTAGTAAGGGTGCTTAAACTGTGGTTGACAGATGGTTGTGGATGGACTGTAGGGGAAGGGAGCGGTTTCATGGTTGGTGTGGAGACGATCTGCTTACACTGGGCATTCAGGAAGTTGTCGACCAGCACGTTGTGACCACCTTCGGGCTTGACGGAGGTGTCCTGGTAGCTAGAAGAAGGGCGGTAACCCATGTACTTCTGGCCGAGCGACTGAACATGTCGGTCGATGTTGGCAGCGGTCTGTGATGTTGTTGTTAGCTTTCGGGTACGAAGCACCGCTTCCGGGCGGGGGATAGGCTAATCTCACCAGCTGCTCTTCCAGCGGAATCTTGTTGAGCTTGAGCTTGTGGACCTCAGCAGAGGCAGCGCCCAACAGCGCGGAGGCTGTGAGCAGGGTAATGGACTTCATGATGGGTGTAGGATGAGGAGGGTGATAACGAAGGTGAGGAGGTGAGGGAAGATAAGGACGGGCTGGGGGCGGAGCCTGGAGGAACTGATCGGCATAACGTGATGGGAGTGCGTCATTGCCGGAATCAGCTGGGCCGACCACGGTCAACCCAACCAAGTTGGGGTTACACTCTGGGGACTAAGCTACTTCTGGGGACTGTCCCTAGTCCGGTTTTACCAGAATAAACAAGAAAGACGGTCAATACTGGCCATTTCTCGAGGTGTTTCTACTAGGTTGGAATACCCCCCATGTTACAATCATTGACATGGTAACCACTGGGAAAGGAGGAGGTGGCTGGGCGTTTTTGCCTGCTTGGCGCTAACCGGGGATAACCAGGGAGACGGTCGAAGCGCCGTACCTGGCAGATGCAGAATGAGGTGGCGACAGCTCCCAAGGACATTCTCCGCAAGGTCGCTGTAGGAGTAGTGTGACCAAAAAGATAGACTTATTCGCCTAGTTGTACTGAGTAAACCTCGAAAACACTAATTGAGGCTCTAGACTACTCCCCAAGACCTAGAATCAAGAATTATATCCTTGTAGGATATCGCCCTATCCACGCTAGGCGGAGATCATTTCCATACTACTGATCTGCTTATCTATAGGGTGATCGTCGACAGGTCCAAAATCATAAGTATTATACCCTCCTAATACACCCATATCGAAACAATACTAGCGGCCTGAACAATACCTTCCTACATATGTCCGGTATGATACGGTTTAACAGACCCTGCGTGGTACAATGCAGGTGAAATTTGTGCGTATCGCTTGACCCTTACGTAGTACGGAATGCCTCCTATCACATCGCATCTTATCACGAGTCAAGCCTCCAAAATTGAATCCTGCATGCATTCCCAAGTATCACAGATTATTGATAATACAACGGTCCGGGCCACGCTTTCACCACCCGCATCCACACACTTCCCAGCAAGATGAAGCTTACCGGTAGAAATCGAGACTGTAACAAAGTCAGTAACACAAGACATTGGCGGGCACGAGGCGAGACAAAAAGGCACATACCGGTCATCCTCATGGCCACTCTTCACCTGGGCTGCGTACGCATCCTCCAAGTCGCTCTGGATGATGTTGTATCGGTTCTTGCGCACCGCCCGAAGACCGGCCTCTTGCATGATGGCAGCGATCACGGCACCCGACAGCGGCTCATTACGAACAATCAAAGAGTCCAAATCCACCTCGGGCGACAGAGACATCTTTGATGCAATTGTGGTGAAGATCAGGCGGCGCTCACGGCGGTCGCGCAACGACGGGAACTCAATCTTACGGTCCAGACGACCAGGGCGAAGCAGAGCCGGGTCCAGGGTGTCTGCACGGTTGGTAGCCATGATGACCTTGACGTTGCTAGTTTGCTCGAAACCGTCCATCTGGTTCAGCAGCTCCAGCAAGATACGCTGCACCTCACGGTCGGCACCGGTCTGGGCATCGAAACGCTTGGTGGCGATGGCATCAATCTCATCGATGAAGATGATGGCGGGCGAGTTCTCACGCGCCATCCGGAAAACGTCACGAACCATACGAGGACCCTCACCCAGATACTTTTGTACGAACTCGGAGCCGTTCACGCGAATGAAGCTGGCGGTTGTGCTGTTGGCCACGGCCTTGACCAGCATGGTCTTACCGGTACCGGGGGGTCCATACAGCAAGACACCGCGGGGCGGGTCAATACCTGCATCGCTAGATTAGTATGGTCCCATCATCCATATAGCATCGTATTTGTACCCACCAATCTGTCTGTAAAGGTCAAAGTGTGTCAACGGCAACTCGACCGCTTCCCGGATCTCCTGCTTCTGCATATCCAGACCACCCACGTCGGCGTAAGTAACATCTGGCTTCTCGCTCTCACCCAACATCGCAATAGAGGAGTCGGCTTCGGGGGGAAGAATATCGACGAGGGCATTAGAGTGACGGTGGAGGGCGACCGAGGATGAGGGCTTCAGCTTCTCGCGGTCGAGTGTGGACAGGATGCGGACAACGTAATTCGACCCGGTCGAACTCTGCACGATACCAGTACTGGAAAGGAGCCTGTTAGAAAAAGATAACACCTCTCTTATTAGATTGTAGGGTCAAGCCTACTTCTGATCGATGGCCTCCATGAACTGCCCAATCACCAGTGGCACACTCTGTATCCGTTTGATCTCTTCTTGTGCTCGGACAAGCTCCCTCTTCAAGCTCCTATATTGAATCACAGAAGTCAATCATTGAGTCCGGTTTCCAACCTCCGACATGTTGGGAGGACTTACCTTTGCTCATCCTTGATGTATTCCTCCTGCAGCTGGATGTATCTGTCGAAGGCGTTAGTAACGTCGGAGAGGATTGGGGGCATCCTCATCATCACTGACTCTAGGTGTCTCTGTAGCCGCTTCAGGTTGGCATATTCATCGTTTCCATCGGCTCCAGTGCCCTCCAGCGAGTCCAGGTTAGCAAGGGCATCCAGGGCACCTGGCTTCGGGAGAGGCGTGACGTTGTTTGCCGGGTTCTCCACGGCGACGTCTCCCATGATTGCGATCTTCTATGTGATGGGGAATAAAAGCCGGATATTAGAGGAGATGATGGAGGGTGTTCAAAGATGGGCTCGTAGATCGACGTTGTGAGGCGCGTTGTGCAGGGTCCGGAGATGATGATGAGCCGGCCTTGGAGCTTGGATCGGGCAACATGGAGCTTAATGATCGGTCACGTGACGATGGTCATCGGCCAGCCACGAGCAATCTTACCAGGATATTATGGTGTGTCTTCGAGTTTCTTCCATTTTGAACTCGTCGATAAAGCAACAGTTTAGAGATGCGGTTTTTTGCCCAAATAGCTACTTACGTGCCGGGCAACTCTAGGTTAATCGTCTGCGACAGGTCCGTAATAAGTCTTGATTGACTATATATTTTGATGGCTCCCATCCCACACCACCCATCCATATGCTGGTATAGTACATGAGGCACCACCCCTATTTAACTGAGATAAACTAGGTACGCCGTAACCAATTAATCCATATTTACTGCGTACAAGATTACCTGGTCGGCCATCTCTGACAGCGGTCAGCTAAACATTGTAATTATAAGTGGCTGTTTCGCCCGGGAACCCATGGTCACCATAGAATGTATTGGGGCCAGGCCCAACTTCAGCCCATGGCCAATCAGCCCCATGGTCGGGGCTGTCTTGAGATGATTCGTAGAGATGAGATGATGCTGACAGCACGCTCTCTGTACATAGATCAAGGCAGCTGATCCTGTCCAACCGAGGAAGCAAGTCTAAGATTTTTCCATTATTCCTTATGATCCTTGGTCCTGGCTATTCTGGCTACTCTGGCTGATTAACGAACCCACCTAGGATCGCGGGGGCTCGTGCTGCCATTCACGTCGCTTAGGCTCAGATGTCATTTGAGCCATGAGAAAGCATAAATCCCGTTACGGTGGACCCCCCGGACCAGGATTGGGTTCGTCGATTTAAGTCGGTAGTGGTTGGGCAGATTGGCAGGCCGGCAGACTGGCAGGTTTAGCGGTGGTCGCAAAAGGTGGGACAGGCACAGAAACCATCACGATGCCCCATGCGGATCGAGTCGGATCCTTGCACCACTAGGGGAAGCCCTCTTGGCGGAGTTTTTCTTTTGGGTCCTGGGAACGGCTCCGAATTTCTGCGGAGAGTCTCTTTTTCTCGCTTTTCTTTTCTTGCCTCCTCGGTTTTCTGCGTGACCAGGGGATTGGTTGCGCTCGTCATGATTATCAGACGCTAGTCCGAGCTTTATATAAGGAGAGCCGCGCCCACCAACTGTACCAGTCACTGTGCCTGACGTGGAGATTTCCTTTTCCCCCAGGCCTTTTTCTTCTTTCCCCCAAGATTCCGTCACTTTGATCTTTACGATTCTTATTTTCCCCAGTCACTTCCTTTGGAAAACCATTAAACACTGCATTCTGCCTCTGCTGGGGTGACCCAGTAGTGGCTGGCAAGAGTATACACACTAACCGGACTGGGCGAAGACCGTTGGAATGGATCTTCGCCGAGCTCATTTTGCATCTCCGGCCTGCGACGAGGATTTTTTTTCTCTCCCTCTAATTCTCTTCCCTTGGATATTCCAGATCTTGATGATCTGCCTTTTATAAAGTTATCCTTCTCATCTTCGTGGCCTTGTCTCCTGTCTTCTATCGGTACCTTCGTATAGTTATGAAGACGGCCACCTGCCTAACAAACAGCCTTACTAACCCATGGGCTACAAACCAACAAGACAGAATGTTCAGCCAGGACGTTACTATCCCATTCAAGAAAACACAGAACCTCCTGAAGCATTTCCTGGATGATTAAAAAAAAACAGTGGACAGACAAAGCCAGAAACAGGACTGTGTACGTTACAGTATGAGAAGTGTATTGGTGATTACGAGTCCGCTTGGAACCCGTTGGCCGATGGACCACCGTTGGAGTGAATTACTTACCATACAGGGTATTATCTGGTATCACAGCCACCCAGCTGGGCCATTTCCGACTGCGATGACGGGAACGGGTCTCTTTCTCTCCCCGTATTTTTGTATTTTTCCCTCTTTTTCTCTCTCCACTTCGCCCTTCCATCCCTTAACTGCCTTTGCTTGCTGCCAAAAAGTATACGGTAGGTACGCCTTTTTATTTCTTGCTTCCGTTTGCTTGTATTGCGGCTTTTCTGACCCCCCGTTTCCCCCCCATATCTTCCCCCCCCCCCCCCCGAATTTCCTTCCCTATTGCCCTGTCGCCACGCACCCACCCACTTTTCCCCCTTCCCCCCCTTCTTCCGGGCAGCCCACCGACAGCACACCCCCAGCCCTTATTTGTCTATGATTTCTGGTTTCTGGACCGTCGTTATCGTGCCTCAGGAAAGATCAACAGGCCCTTCCAGCCCAATACTGTACATTTCCCGCCCCCCTTCCCTGCCTGAGCCTCCCTTCCCCAACGTTGGCCCTTCTTCAGACTTATCTTCCCTCCCCCCCCGTGACTCTGTTCCCGCCTCAGGCTCCCACACCACGTGATCCCGGGACCTCCGTCCAAACCTCTCCCCTTCGACCCATCTGCTAATTCCGGGACCCGGCCTTAGCCATCCGATCGCAAGTCGGGAATTTGAGTGATCCAGCCTTGTCGGTATGTATATCATTTTATTCTTCCTTCCCACTCGCCTTTTCCCAATGGTTATTGTTTGTTTCGCGGCTATGATCCCATCCCCCTTCCATCTGAGACCACCCCCGGAAGCGTGTCGCGACCGAGCGCGCAGGCCCTCAACACCGCCGCCCAAGACGCGTTCATTCCATCTTGAGCATTGATGAGAGGGTCACTTTCCCTTTTCCCATTGACGATGGAGATGGAATTGATTGGAGTTGCTCTTGTCGCGATGATGACGCGCCCGCTCAATGGACCTTGCTAACGTTGCCCGGGATGTAGATGGGTTGGAAAAACCACACGACATGAACGCTTGGCTCGCCGACGCCTCGACCATTCCTGGCCAGGATAACGGCGCATTCAATCCCTCTACCATCGACCCCTCAGCCGCCTTTCTCCATGCCTCCCCCAACCCCCAGGATCCAAACCAGTTCCAGCGCATGTTCAATGGCGTGCCAAGGAATGCCTCCCCGGGTTTCCACAACCCGAACCAAGTAATTCCTTCCAAGCGACCGCGGCCAGAAGATGGAATGCCTATGTCACCGCGCCCTGCCCCCGGTGCGGGTGTCACTGGGTCGCGATCGCAGACTCCCCATCAAGTACCATTCCCAGGCTACCAAGGTCCCGCAAATGGCGCCCAGTTCCCTCAACATCCGACTCCTTATCAACATCTCCAACAAGGTGCCTCACCCAATGTGGCCCAGTCACCTATCATCCAAGACTTTGAGCAACAAAGTGTACGCATGGGAACTACCTCACCAAGCCCTTATTCACCAGCCGGTCCACACGTGGGTGGCCCTCACATGTCACCCTCGCAATCGGATGGCAGCCGTGTGAACACCCCACAGAATGGCCAATTTATGCCTGGGCAGGGATTCCCTCAGTCCATGAACCCGCAATTTCAACAGGGACCTGGAATGACTTCGGCAGGACAGCAACCTCCGATGCAGGCACAACAATTTAATGGGATGCAGCAGGTGCCTCAGGGTTATCACCAAGCCATTGCGGCTCAGCAACAGCGGCTTCGTCAAATGCAAATGCAGCAAAGCCAACAGATGAATGCGAACCCTCAAATGGCCGGTCGCCCCCAAGTACCTGGTGGTATGAACCCCATGGCGAATCCCCAGCAAATGGCTGCTATTCGCCAGATGCAGCAGCAGCAACAACAGCAGCAGCAGCAGCAAAGCATGGGAAAGCCTAATAATCCGGAGATGTTTATGAGAACGTTACAAAAATTCATGATGTCACGAAACCTGCCTTTGGACCCCAACCCCATTATCAGCGGCCGTCCCATCAATGTCATGCAGTTGTATGGAACGGTTATGAAAATGGGCGGTTCCAAGAAAGTGACCGCGATGAACTTATGGCCGATGGTTGCACAGCAACTCCAATTCCCTCAAGTCCAGTTCCCCATGGCCGCACAGGAAGTTCGGGAGTACCACCAAAGGAACCTGGCTCCTTACGAGCAGGCATACTTCCAATCCCAATCCAAGCAGTTTGCTGAGATGCAGCAGCAGCAACAGCAGCAGCAGCAACAGCAACAGCAACACCATCAACAGCAGCAACCGCCACCTCCTCAGCAGCAGCAGCAGCAACAGCAACACCCGGTTGGGATTCCCCGCCAGCCGAGCGATCCATCGGCGATCCAATTCCAATCTCCGCAAGTCAAGCCGGGTCAAGGATTCGAGCAACCCCAGCCACCAATTCCCCACACACCTCAACATAGCACCCCCGTCTCCAATAATGCCCAAGCTACCCCGGCCAATGGGTTTGCCACACCCACTCAGGCCCGAAGCCAAAGCAAGCCACCTCAACAGGGTCATCGGCTTAGTGTCTCACGGCAGTCACAGCCCCCTGCTCCCCAATCAGAAGCCGCGGGACAGTTTGCCGCACCGTCTCCATCCCAGCAAGGGAAGTCTTCTATGACTCCAGTCCAGCAACCTGTGCAAGCTCCGGAACCTAAGCCAGACCAAGTAGTCAAGCGGCCGATTGAAGACCCCTTCAAGCCTATGATCATCACTGAGCAACGACTGCATGGTCCCATTCAAGTGGATGAAATGTACCAACTGGGCGAGGAGATTCGAACGCTCAGACCCACATTCCCGAGCTTCGCAGAAATGGGGTTGGTAGATATTCATGCGGTGACCATGAGCTTGAAATCTGGCATTCATGCCGAAGTTCGACTTGCCTTGGACACACTCACTACTCTTTCCTGCCAACATGGCGTTCAGGTCTCACTCGAGAATGCCGAGGACTTGATGGAGAGCCTGGTGGATTGTGCCGATGATCAGGCTGACTTCCTGGCCGAACATTCTCAAGAAGTCTCCGATGTGATATCTCTGCGTTCATATGAAGACGTCACTCGGGGATGTCAGTCCGAACACACATCCCTTGCCGATGTGCATGAATTCGGGAGCCTTGAGCACGAGCTGGACCGTGCGGTAGATCGATTGATATGCATCACGACCATTCTTCGAAACTTTTCGTTTACTGAACCCAACTTTGCGCCATTGGGAATGCCCTCCGTGACCCAGTGTCTTGCAAATATCGTCCGAAACATCGGCACTCGCGACAGGTATCTGCGAACTGACCAAAATCTGCTGGACTTGATGAAAGATGTTGTCATTTTCATGAGCAACTTGGCTCACGTCATGCAAATACCTGGGAAAGAAGAGGCCCTTAGCCTATTGCACTTCCTCCTGGCATTTTCGCCTTTGCCTGGCCCCATAGCTGTGAAGTCGGGCCAGATCATGTTTGCGGCATTTAATCCTTCTATCCACCGATATACCTCTTCTGCCGTCGATGCCCTGGCTAAGCTGTTGGCAAGAGATGACCCGAACCGTATTTACCTCGGTGCCATTTTCTCTGGGGACGGATCTGCACCTCCGCAGCCCGAGCTTCTCACCCGCACATTCGGTCTTGCCATCTGTGCTGTTCCGGATAAGAAGCCTCTGGCAGTTGTGGATGCCCGCATGGCCCTGCTCATGCAGGGTCTTCTGGCAGCTGACGTTCTGACCACGTTTGCCGATGGAGCTTTGGCCAAGCTATGGCTTGGTTCTGTCGACGGGTTTGCCATTCATCTCTTGCGCATTTCCTGTTTGTTGTGCACGGAGCGTCTTCCGAATATCAACCCACGTTCAAGCCGCCAGGCCGAGGCCGAAGCCTATGCATATGGCTCGATCATCCATCGTGGACTCGCCATCCTGCGCCGACTCGCCGAAAAGTCTAAGCAAGTGGACAACGCCTCCCCCCTTCACCTTCCCTCCGGTATCCTCCCCAGCAAAGAGAGCTTGCTTGGTGCCCTGCTTCTTGCGAACATGGACCCTACCATCATCCGTCAACTCCTCACATATGCCAATCTAGCAGAGTAGAGTACACTGTGGCGTTCTTTTCTTTTTGCATCTCGCCTCGCCCTATCAATGTGTTGTGTTCAAGAGACATTGGGTTTGGTGACCATCACGCAAGGTGAGGTGTTGGAAACGAGTTGATTTGCCGCGTGTCCGCTGCATATACGAGAATTTTTTTTTTGAATTTCTATCATGTCATTTGTACTCATGTCTCTAAGCCAGCCAATCTCAGCTTGTCTTTGCTGTCGGTTGTTAAGTCAGGTCGAGTCGGGTCTGGGCAGGCTCGACCTTGTGTTTCTTCCCTATGGATGGGTTCTTCTTTTTTGGGCGCGGGTGGATATCGGGGGTTCCTCTTTTCCTTTTTCTGTGTCCCTTTCTCTGATTACGGGTTTTTTGACCACTTGACTTCTATTGTGAGATAGCGTGTTCGTGTCTTCTCTTTTCTGTGTACAATGCTCAAAATACCCTCGGCTGAATGCGAGAGATTGAGGTTCATTTGATGGGTTATGCCCAAGTGGAATTTGTAAGGGGTTCGATCCTTTTGTAAGACGTGTATCTCTTGGCCTTTGTAGCCTGATGCAATTTCCGTGTGTCCTCATGGATAGAATGGCACTGGATACTGCAAACACCGACAAACATGGTTTCTTTCCACTCTCCTTACTTAACTGAGCACTTCCCCAACGACATCTCTCTTCACCCACCTCTGCTATATACCACTCGTTACCTTTTATATAGATAAGCTCATGGTTTGACTCTTGTCTGCTGCCTTCGATATCGTTTCGCTTCCGATACCTTGTGTTCCTCGCTAAATCGCGCCAGATTACCGTCCTTCCACTCTATTCCTTCTTGATGGAGTGGGGATACAACTCGCCGTCTCTCCAATAACTCGCGCTTCCCTTCCAGGAACTACATCTCATCGCTGTCACACTTGAGAAGCAAGTCAAAGGTTACCGTCGCGAAGATGGAACACTGTTATACTATCAACGATGAAGAAGAAAGATCTTGCCATCTTCAGAGATGGCTTCCTAGCCTGAAGATCATTGTCCGGTCTACCCAAGGCTCGCTTTCGCCAAGGAAACATGCTATACCTTTGAGCATGTTGTGCTTGACGAAGGCTAATATATTAAGTCAATCAAGAGTGGACAGCACCAGACGGTTGCCCTCATCAAATGAAACTCGATTATCGGTTTGACTGCGACACCAATGTGGAATCGAATCCATGATCTCTATGGGTACTTTAGTCTGCTTGGAGGGGGGCCAGAAAGTGGACCGCTAGAGTGACGTCCTATCGCTACCACGCCCGAAGAAGCTGGTTGGAATAATGAACGTACGGTTGAGTGTTCCAACATCAAAGAGCTCTACAAGGCATGGTCAGAGGTGCGGATCCTACCAAAAAGTTTTAGAAAGGTTCCGCACGCATTGGTGAATCCGGTTATGTTGTTTCGGTTGGCGCCTAAGGGCCATATTACTCCTGAGTTGAGTCACGATTGCTTCCCATTCCTGTTCCGTGCCTATCTACCCTATCTATTAGCATCTTCACGCTGGTGATATGCCAATATCTCAGACTGCGGACTACCCGGTGGGTGGTAACAAGCGGGAAGAGATGATTCCGTGTACCAACATGTGACCTCGTCGTCGTGTTCAAAATCAGTGATGAGACCGTGAACGCAGTGATGGCAATCCTCAGATTCACGCAGAACTTTCAGAGACTAGCATATGTTCTATTACGACTACCAATTCACATCATGTGTCTATGAAGACAACTCAATATGCCGGGGAAGTTGACCACAAATATCTTCCTGCCAATGACCTCTAGGTTCTCATGATATTCTCAGCCACAACATGATTCCTGATGGCCCTGTCCTCTTTGAGGCTCCCTCTTGGAGGTTTCAGGTCCAGCGTTCGGTGTTTGCCAGCCTATTCAGGCTGGCTCAAGGCCTTTTCCCTCCCTGTCTCCTAGATAGTCGAACACGCCGTTTTCACTCGACCTCTTGCCTTCTTTGCTCGCTTCCTCTGTGCACAACTACTGCCCTCAGCAGGATTTCCCTTAGGAAGTCTTTGACAGCGCTTGTACTTCAAGGAGCGAAAGGTTGGCACTGCCCCGAGCACTACCAGATTGTTGTACCTTGGACGATAGCCTGGTATTCATTCCTGACCATCTTATGTGTTACAATCACCGGTATGTTCCAGGAGGATGAAATTCGCATTCTCGCAACCATTGGAGCCTATGAGGAAGACTGACCAGTGACGTGGGTATTCAGGAATGAACCTACATCCATGCGATCAGGCCCGACACCTACCCGCGCACCGTGGTTCGCCAGCTCAACACCCATGACGGCAAGCATATCGACGAACTGTGGAGAGTCGAGAAGGCCGGGAAAATGCTTGACCTCGGTGACCAGCAGTATAATCACCTCGTCCTTCTTTTCCGCGGCCTCGTACACGTCGTCAAGTTCTGGACAATTTCGGCTGGGACCCGCGGTGATCCGGACACGCCCAAGCTGATGTTCTCCCGGCGGCCAAGGCAAAGACGATGGGCTTGACACTGAACCACGCCAAGCTCATCGACAGGGTCAAAACTTGCCTCGGTCTACGTATCCATAATTTTATATCTTATTGGGGCTTTCAAGGCGAGAGCGGGTCTCCTGGAAGATGAAGGTAAGGCTTTGTTACTGAGCAGCTTCTATCCATCCACCAGCCCGCAATCATTCCAGCTAACCATAAGCCATGTGACTCTGATAGAATCCCAGATATACACCTGCAATGCAACGCTCAAGCCAGCAGATAATCGACCTAGACGGAAACACTTTTCATACTTCCATTGGCCATACCCCGTTGTTCCAGGCATGACTCTCGGCGTTGGCTAGAGAAAATTGGCACACCCGCAGCATATATTAGCCTGGCTCGACTACATCAGGCGACACTCTACACATTTTACTACAAATCTGCCATTTGCAAGCTGTGCAATATCACATAACGAGAAGGAAAATCGGCATCACCACGAGCGTCTGCTCTTATCAATTTGTATGGCGTAATATAATCGAGTACGCCAGTCTGTGCACGCAGAAAAGCCTCGTTACTTCCTCTTGAATTCATGACCGGCGCCCACCATCACGTCTAAGTCAATGGCCTTCATTTGCATTATGGAGTTGTGAGCAGCTCTACTGGTATTGGCTGGGTGCCCAGTGCTTCGAGGTCAGCTAGTTCGCAACTTCCATGAGGCGCTTGAAAATGAGTAATTAGAGACAGAAACGATGTCAGGAGCTCTGGCTTGGCTTATGTCTACAGGAAGGCATTTGTCAACGGTGCCAAAGTTGCGATAAAAACCATGAAATCCAACGGCATGATTCTCCCGGCAGTACCGTCATACCTCCTCCCCGAACTCACCCAGGTTGAGGAGATGCTAACTGCCAGGGTATACAGTACGGTATAGGTGTATCAGGTACGTGGTCACCAATACAAGTACCGAGGCCATGTCGTATGGTTTTTCCAGAACGTGGCGCGTACGTACGAGATCCTTCCTCAGTTTCCGGAGGAGTCACAGGTCATTATTCTTCGGAAGTCATTTTCCTGCACTTTCAAGCGGCACTGGTGCTCAAATGCAATGTTGTCAAGAACAACCACTGGACGTAAAGGGGTTTCTTGAATTGAGGAAAGGTGGCCCTCAAGATTGACATCTCAGTGTGTACCAGATAGCCTCAGGTAGTGAGAGCCAACCTCTCTTCAATGATAGAAACCACTTCAGTCCATTCTCGCATGCCTCCAATTCCGATGTCTCCACAAGCGAGCATTTTCTGTGAATAGAGATTAGCCAAACGTCCAACATTGCAGCCTAGTGCTTCACATACCCCAATAGGGCTAAAAACTTCAAACCAGCCCTGATTATCCTTATCCTCGTCTCCCTCATCCTTCACCCCCCAATCTTCCTCGAGAACTTTTATTTGTTGCGTGGTAACCGGATGCAACCACATAGCCACATTCATAGCCGGAAACACCACAATCCGCTTCTTCATTCCATCCAACTGCCCCGACGTATCCCAAGCCCGAATTGTATCCGTCAACAAGTTATCTGACATCCCGTGGACAATCTTCGCCAGCGTATTCGCGCTCAGCGGCGCGATGACCAGTATATGTGCCCACTTGCGTAGATTGATATGCAGGATACCCGCGCCGCGAGTCCAGGATTCTCCCATTTCGTCCTTATCCTGGTATATTCCGTCGATGTTGGGGAGGGAAGCGAGCGATTCGATGGTGGGTTGTTCTTGGGATTGGCCGTTGAGAAAGTGTGCGGCGGATTTGGTCAGGATCACTCTGATGGATAGGTTATGGTGTTTTGAGAGAGCGGAGATTATGTTGGGGAGTTTAATAGTTGCGACAGATCCACTCCTAGTATCGGGTTGCAGGATTAGCGCAAGCCGAATGGAAGACGTTGGCAAGGGAACTTACGCAGCTAGGAGGAGATGCTTTTTGCCATCGTCCATTGCAGCGGCGACGGCGTCGGCTGGAGCTATTGAGCTTGCTCGCGACATATTATGGAATGATGCAATTTGCAGGTTCAGAAACAGCAGAGGAGTTGATGAACGCGATGTTAGAAATAGAGCTTGGAAATAAAGTGGAAGATGGGACACTCTCATCGGCGCGGGGGACCTCGCCGCTTGCTGATTAATCAACGCCTTGTGGCCGAGAATGCGGGGTATACAAAACGGGAAGTATATATTGGTTTAAATAACGACAGTTGTCTTTCGTTCTTAATGGTCTGATTATAGATAATATTTCCCATTCTTTAATCAAATGCTGTCCAGTACTCGAGATCACTATCGCAGAAAATGAAATCAAGTTTGTGCAACAAGCTGCCCATTAAGTTTGCACGACGAATGCCTCTGTAGTGGTGCTGTTCATGATCTCAGCCTTTCTCTTCTCCAATTCCTCGCGGATACGCTGCTCCTCTTTTTCTTCTCTTGCAGCGGCCTCCGCCTCTTCCTCGGCATCACTTTCGGTTACTCCAACCTTTGCGGACTCGAAGCCGAGCTCTTCAACCACCTCTACCTCTTCAGGGCCTGTCCGCAGGAAAGAGTTCGCCTGGGCTTGCTTGATGGGCTTTTTTGAGTCAGTATCGGGTATATCTGGCCCAGAGGTACCACTCACAACACTGCGGAATCGCTGGAATCGACGAGGCCTGAAGTGGGATCCGCCGAAGCAAACGACCAGTCCTTCGTCATCCTAGATCAAAGTGTAAGTATATGCTCTGTCATGGGGAAATAAATTATTGGATGTTACACTTACACCGGCAGACTTGTACGTAGTCCATCCCTCGTTCTTAAGCTTGTCAAACGTCCCACCTCCAGCCCCAGCCTTCGCAATACCCGTGGCAGCAATATCTAATCCAACCTCAATCTCCTTGTCAGAGCTGTTCGTCATATTTATCGCACATTCATCAGTCACCCAGGTATGCTGAATAATCCAGATACCATTCTTAGCAATGTCGGGCGCAAAGTCCGAGTCCAGCAGCGCTTGCGCATTCTCGCTTGCCCACGTCGACACGGGCTTATCGAATGGAGCGAGTACTTTCTCTCGCATAGCGGTTGAACCAGTCACCAGCGCAGCTTTGCCCGAGGTGCTGGTCCTGTGCTTGCCATCAGCTGAGACGTCGACTGGGACGGCGGCTGCTGCTGCGGCGGACAGGCCCCCGGATAGCTTGATGTGCTGACCGGCCTCAGACTCGGAAGATCGAGTTTTCCACATCGCGGCCTTGGGTCGCTCGTCTCTGGTTAACTGGCGTTTCAGAGGTGTGAAGCCATCAGCTTCGGGTTGGCCTTCCTTGGACAGATCGGTGATCTGGTTCCAGCCGCTGTACTCGTCAAAGAACCCCACGGAACCCGGGTGGAACTTGCGGAAGGTTGGTGGGCTGTACAAATAAGTGCCCTCCGGGTTGCGACTCATAAGAGAGGCATATTCAATATCGAGGGTTGTTTGTTTAACCATAGTTGTAGTTCTTTTTATGGTCAAGTCTTTTTTTAAGATAACGGAAATGAAGAATGTCAATATGGGAAGAAAACCTAACATTGGTGTTTACGGGGCTCCACTTATATAGAGGATCGGTGACTCTCGCTAGAAGTCTCAGTGTCGATCTAGATGTCATAATGGAGACGACGTGCATGATGATACTGTAGATCTCTCAGCAGGTGAAAGTGACATCAATTGCTGCGATTATTGCGCCCGTACTTCATCCAGCTGATGTGTCCAAATAGTATTTAGGAATTATCGAATTACTCTCTGGTCGAAATAGAAGATTACAAGCCAACATGCAGTATCGGTTCATGATCTTTCAAGTTGACAATTTTGATAGGGAAAATTAGCCACAGCCACGTCGAGCCGAGTTGAACTGCGGTGGCGACATGTTCGCCAATCGATCTCAAACACTAGGGTTGGTTGTGGTAAACATGAGTAAGGTGGACGATAAGCGCCAATTGCTCAAACCCAATTTTCTAAGGCAGAAAGTCCGGCAGAATTCACATAACCTACAGAAGACAAAAGATAAAACAAAAGATAAAACAAAAGACAAGGAAGGGGATAGTCAAATCGTTACTATAGTCATAGCGTCGACCTGGCCTTAAAAAGAAGGCATCAGGGCAAAGGTGGCTATGAAAGCGGTCGATAAGCTGACCAATTATGGGTTTTGAGCAACTGGCGCTTATCGTCTGCCCCACATAAGCGCTAATCAGTGGGTCTAGCTTTGGCGTCCCGCGCCCTTGGAACGAACTACGGTACATACTGTACGCCATGTATGACACAGTGATCTGGCCTCAGCTTGAACACGGGCCTAATTACACGCAACCTACACGATCGGCTTGAGGAGGTTCTCGGTTTTCGCCCGCAGTGCTTGCTCGAACCCCGCGAATGACGTCGCCATCACTAAGGACCACATATTCCCCGACTACAATCACCTGCTTACACTTCCGTGGACTGCGAACAACCCAATGGCCCCACGCCTGAACGTCCCACTGACGCCAGCGCAGACTCCCCAGAAGCCCAAGCCAGCAAAGCCAACGAGCGCCACAACGGACGCAGACACAAAGGACGCAAAGTCTACCGATGCTCAGATCGTTGACATCTACACGCCGGTGGCCGAAAAGATGGGCTTACCTCAGGTGGATTGCTCCGCCGATTGGGAGTTACCAACGTTGTCGCCGGAAGACCTAGTCGGGCCCTCCACAGGTCACAGGTTCAATCAATGGCCTATATAAACGCCCCCCCCCTCCCCCTTCTCTTATCTTCCTTCTTCTTTTCTTCTCCCCCAGAGCCAGATATCCCTTCGATAAAGACTGGCAAGATGCCTCCTCTCAGAGTTCCTTGCTTTCCTCCTTTGAGTAGGGATCACATCCCAGGTTCCCTCAAAGACACATTGCAAGAAACGGGATCTGACTCAGGAGCAGGCCGCTCGAGAGCTAAAGGGAAACTCTGAGCTCTCGCGCTACGTTCATGCATTCTATGGCTATACAGCGAAATACATGGAGGCCATCAAATCTCGCGCTGACGAGAATTGGCGCGGCGCGGCGTTGATTGACTGGTGCCTAGTACAATTGCAGTACCCGTGACTAACGGTTAACCCACGTCTGCGTAGCGCTGCTATCGCAGACATCGATGAGTTCATTGCGTCGAATGACTGCAACTTTGGCGCTGCGAATTTCCGAGAGAGCCTTTTCCAGAGGACGACCTCGATGTGGAAATCGAGGAAGAACCGGATTATGAAGAGGAGGACCTTACGTACAATGAGGCGGAATTTTGTTGATCGCCTTGATTTCCCGCGTTTTCTGAATGTCTTGCTGGTTTTATGGGATGAGTGCAGGGAATGGAGGTCCACGGAATCGTCAGATGGAATGGCTAGCTGTGCACACGGAATGGCGTTATCATGAACCTCTGTTACTTGTAGCCGCATCGCCCATACCATCTCATTTTCAGTTTTTGATCCACACTTCTCTCAAATATACTTGAAAGGTAGGCTTGCCATTCTCACATGGCACGTGATTAACTCAGCCCTAGGTAGCCGGTACAGATCCCAGAACAATGAAGAGTTGAGAGTTTACTACATCATCTTCCTTGTATCAATGAGTCCTCTGGCCAGAATCGTGATGAATGTTAGCATCTAGCTTCCCGCAATACGCTAAAGAATCATATGATATATCATCATACCTCGAGAGTTCTTGCGCCCTTTTCTCCAACGCCTTATCAATGCGCGACCTATTCCATGGCCGCCACCACCAAACAAACGCTTGCTGCAAAGTATAGAGCGCCATCAAAACCACGGCTATCGCAATAAACAGGCTGGGATTGGTGTGCATGTCTCCCACCTAGCTCTGCGATCCAGAACTGCGTGGGTATGTTGACGCGAAGAGGAGACGAGGCGAGAGAAAAGTCGAGAGAAATAGTGCAGCGTGCGGTAAGAAGGAAGCGCATGCAGCGACAAGGAAACTACGATGAGGAAAGCACAGCGAGACACTAACACAATGCCCAGGGCGTCGACTCCAGGTTTCTGAACATTATAAAAGGTCTGGGTAGATATGCTTTAGTTAGTTACTGCTCTTTTGAGAGAACTTTCTGAATGTCTTTTGAAAGATATTTCTGGAACGTCTTTTGGGACATCTTTTCAAACGTCTTTTGAATCGTCTCTGACTTTGGGGTTCTGATCAACGAAGTTCTTTTAAAATCCAGTCAAGGAATATGACAGAGAGTAGAAGAGGAACTATCCTAATCAGGCCGGCTTATCGTGCACACTGACTTTTTTACCGTGCCACTTATACGAGCTTTCCTTTTCGTGCTTCCTACTTGTTTGTAGACCAGATCACTTAATGACACCTATATATTTCTCTTTTGAGTGAGACCAAGTACATACGACCATAGGGTGTGGAGAACAGGGCTTCCCGTCCGCTCAGCCGTACTTAAGCCACACGCCGGTCAGTTAGTAGTATGGTGGGTGACCACATGCGAATCCTGACTGTTGTATGTTTTTTGGCACTTTTCTTGCTTGAATAGATAAAATCCGTTAGGTTTGATGCTCTGCTATTGATTTTCCACTCGTTATATATATCTTCTAACATTCTTGAATGCAAACATTCTTCATAAATGCAGCTTGGTGGGAAGTCTTTATTAAACTCCCGATTTCTTTCTTCCTAAGTTCTTTTGCTATAATATACCACTCTCATGCAGTAGAGAATTTGTCGACAACCTTAATAAATATTCCATCCCTCTTCCCTGTCAATGCTCACCAAAAGCCCGTGTATAGTCTGTGGTTTGCACTCATCATGCTCCCCTAAAGTGCCAGCCCACTCGTGGAGCACACTTATTTCTCTACAGCCCAAGGTGTTGTAAAAGAGGGGAACAAACGCGTCCATCATCGGAGTCTTACGTCCGCTTCCCGTCCCTGAACGAGCCTCGAAAGATATCCCTATGAACCTTTTCACGTCCCGGCAGATGAGCCGTGGCTATGACGTAACATTGGTGGTTAAGTATTTAACAATGGACTGTGTGCCTAACATAAGACATTTCATACCCTGTAAGGGAATCTGCAATACTAACCACTACGACAAGAAGATCATGTTGATTCCCACCCTGTTTGTAACTCTTCGAGCTACGTCTTATCTACGTATCTACGGATAGCCTGCTTGTAGACGGCCTATTACTTAAATTCCCAATATACCCGCCTCTCCAGACCCGCACTCGGACACAAGGATTGAAAAATTGTGCATCTGGCTATACACAACGCCCAAAAATATTCGCTATCAACCATGGCCGAAGGATGAGACGGATATTTTGCATAACAAGCTCGGGTGGCATACATGAGCCTTTAGATGACAATAATCGCTGGGTTTGGATGCATGGTATTCCGGGATTTAGTAACTTTGATACAGTTCTCTAGGATGTGAGGAGATGGGGTTCACTAAATACATCGAATTGCTAAATAAATAGATAGACATACAGAAGAAATTTCCCCGTTCGCCCGTCTGTCTCCCACCCATCCTGAATCCAAATGGTTGTGTTTCCCCAAGTTCTCTGACAGAATTGTGTCCCACTAATCTTCGTGGGCAAAAAAGAGCAGCGATGCAGTGACCGAGGATCCAATCTTATGCTTGAACCAAGTCATTCATAAAAGATGATCACCCGCCTGGCCCTGTTCCCTTCTCTTTACGCCTTGTTGGTAGACAGATGGTTCACCTCGGCTCCGTTATAGTGCGGTATTGAGAGAACTTGATTGCGAACACATCCATGTTTCATTGGAAGTTTGTCACCGTCACTATGGTTAGGTGATATGATGGATGGGGCGCGTGGAACACAAGTGGGCTAGAGTGGCACCTGAAAAAGGGGTAATATCAAATCAGACATCCTGAAGCAACCATATCAAGGAAGGAAAATATGGTTAATCCCCTAAGTATGTTATACCATTCCAGAAAATTACTCTGACACTGACCACAATGTGACCAGGATGATGTTTACAAGTACGCCTATAGATCCGAGCCCGTGTAAGCCCTGGAGGCCTTGGGCAACGGTACGATTGCGGAACACACTTAAGATATATATAGATCTTCCCTACAGGTAAGCCCAAGAGAAGAGGAGTAATTAGTTCAACTTAGCGACGTTTAAAGACAGTTATAGAGATGGTTAGAAACTATCAAATAGAACCAATTAGTGCTTAGGCTAGTATGAATTAGGAAGAGGTGTAACTACCGGAACTATCAGAAAAGAGTGATTGATTAAAGGAGAAATCTCTAAGGACATAGAGAGAGATAGGGGTCGGGTTAAACCGACCTACTATGATATAACCGAGTATTCGGGTAATAATACCGAAGTCGAGCTATTACCTATATTTATATATAAAATATATAGAAATCTAGGATCGTACCCGATACCTATCGGGTACCTAAAATGTGCGTCTCTACTTTTCCACGACAGAAACCTTGGAACAATGGTTAGTTTATTACCTATCTTGACCGCCTACTTAGCGCTTTTAAAACTGGGTCTTTGCGGGGCTTGCTGTATGAGATTCATTCCTCTCTAGTTGTACCTCTTTGACAAACACTTCATCCTTATTTCAATGGATTTTTCTCAACTTCCGGATATCACCAGCCTGCTTGTCAGGCCAAATAACCCTCCACGAGATGATCTCGAAGGAATGGACTACACGCGATGTGCAGCTCTACACAACTACCTGATCCAATATGCCTGGCTCGCTGAAGGCCGCCCACTGGAAACTCTGGATGCCAACAGCAACTTTTTCACGGGCTCCGGTGATGAAGATGAGGCCGAGGCTTGTCGTCCAAGGCTTCATCCGTCACTGGCGGCATTCTTTGACACCGCTATTATGCCCCCTTTTCCTTTTGATAATCCTCACGAATACATCCCGTTCTCAGTTTTTGCATGGGGTATCGATGGGCCACTAAGGCTTTTTGATGAAGATGCAGCTGATCTGCAAAATCAGCCCGTTGACAGCCTGGTGCGCTTGTACGCTGTCGATGGGGGCATATCGGCCGTGGAGGACAGTGATGGCGGTATTATCTACCACCAACGCCTCCACCGAGTCGCGAGCTTCATGCATCTTGATGAATATGACATTGGGTTTCCAGTGGAGGGTAGTACAAACGTATGGAACCCACTAGAGACACTACTCACCAACTGGATCGACCTTATTCATATTGGAAAAGTTGTGGCTTCGCCTCATGAAGAGCCAGCCCTGTTCGGCTGCGAGAAGGTCGGGCCCTGGGAGTGGCGGCCTTATAGCGACACCCAGGTTACTACGTGTGTCGCCGAGTGGGATCGACTGTGTCAAGCCATTACGGCGCGCATCTCGCAGCCGTCAAACCCACCATCAGAGCCGCTGGTTGCATCAAGTGTCCTGGACGCTGCTTCGGTGCCCGATCCTTCCTTTGCGCGTTCGTTTCTGACGCGCGCGAGGCGACCTCAGTTCCGCTACATCGCTCCGGGCCTTCTTCTGCCCCCAGCTGACTCGGTTGGATTTGTGGCAGCGCAGCCATTTAGCGTCTTACCCCGCTCCGAGTACACCGCACCGCCAGTGTGTCTTTTCCCGGCTGATACAGGAGACCAGCGTCCTATCCAGCTTACGAGAACAACATCTCCATTTTTACAGTCGGACTTCTATTCAAGGTCCACCCAAACGTGTACCCCATCTCGCGTCTCTGCAGGCCTGTATACTGAGGCAGTGGAGAGAAACGGCCTTGATGTGGCGGAGGAGGGATTTCGGTTGTTGCTTCCGTTCACCTTCAATGGGGATTGGGACAAGAGCGTGGGCGCACGAAAAAGCGATGGGTCCCTTGTTGATAGGGGCCGCTTTTCAGAGCTCTTTCAGCATGGATATAAGCCTTTTGGCGGTGATTACTACCGCTCCCAGCGCCTCGAGCGTTTGCTGGATTGTTGGCGCAAACTGGTTGAAAAAGGCGTCTGGTCTGTTGGGGCGGATGGGGTAGAAGGTACTATTGATACTTTCAAAGATGCCGAGTCCGATCGTTGGGAGGATTATTATATTTCACCCACATGGTAGGTATTCCAGCGCCACTCTGCTTTCCACCCGGAGAGGATTTCTGAGCTCCATTCTGCGGAAATGGAGTTCTAGTGCCGAGGAGGGTATGCAATTCCATAAGAAATCAGTCCTAAAGATAGCCATTTTCCTACCAATTGTGATTTATTTATAAATTTAGTCTCGACCCTTCCATTTTCTTCATCATATGTCTCCAACCCAGCCAAGAGCCTGTTATACCATCAAATGATATAATCCTAACCTCATAGCTTCCAAAGTTTCGTTTATCATTGACATGTTCGATGCTGTCAAAGACCGTACACATACGGCGCCGGTGTTACCACAGTTCCCGATGTCGTCTGCACGCCAATCGTACTGGCAGGGAACGTGGGTCGAGACTCGCTGCCCGCCGCAACGCCCGTCGTGACAGTGACGGTGGTGGGATCAACAGTCACCGTGTCCGACTTGGAACTTTTGAACGCCTCTCTTGTCCACGAACCAGCCTCCACGTCGCCCATATACATGTCCACGACATGTCCTTCCTCGTTCAGCATGAGACGTAGTTCAGAGTACGGGTCGTCATCTTCGTAGATGACATTACATGTCCGACCGTCGACAGGGTTGCCTTCCATATCGACAAAGAGCAGATTATCATAATCAAGATCAAGATAGGCATCCTGGTTGCCATTGCCAAGCGATCTGAGGTCTGCGTGGCAGACGCCAGCGGGGTCGCTATCTTCCTCAGACCATGTGCCGTTGCCGAGAAGGTCTCTTCGCTGGAATACGGCCGGTTGGGAGTCATAGGGCCGGTTTGGCTGGTTCGCGATCGGAGCTGGATCGAGGCGCCAGGACTGTCGAGGCCATCCATAGGCGTTACCGTACATGCTTATCAACACCGTCTTGTCAGCTATACTTTGAATACGTAGTCAGGTTGGAAGAGGCACACATACGGATCATCGTCGAGAACGCGAAAGCCATGGTCAACAACCGTGGAGGTGCTGATGACTCCAGGTGAATCAGTGTAAGTGTATGTAGCCCAGCAAGACGAGCCGGCCGTTTGATCGTCGAAACCGTAAGCATCGATGAAGTGTTGCCCACTGCCACTACCGCGACCCGCGGGCAGTGGCCCAAACGCCCTGTTTCAAGATCAGATATGCTCGCATGAGGGAAGCTTCGGTTTTACATACCAGGTTGCAGGCGGCCCACCGTCCTTACTACTGCACACGGCAGAGCGGTACGTCGAGCAAGGATGCCACTGCGCCGTTTTCCACGCCTTATAATCATTTCCCTGTCTCCCATTCGCAGGACCGTTAACTAGACGGCAAACTTGCGGGGCCTTATTTCCCGATTCTGCCAGGTTACCCATAGGAAATTCATCAACTTCACATCGAAATCTTGAGTCAGGAAGCCTTACTTGAGCCCTAGTTCGGTAGGCCCCAATGCGCTGGCCTCTCCATAGTGCTTGGTTAGCACCGACAGCGCGGCTCGTTGTCAATGGCTGATAGACGGTCCTTCCGTTGAGCAGCTTGTTGATTCCCCATCTTTGGTTATCACAAATCTCATCCCAACCCATGCCGTAGCGACACGTATATGTGACCACACAATCGCAGGTACTCGTCGTAGTGCCGCCGCTAAAGTCGAGAATAGGCCACTGGCCGTACGCAGCTCGGCCCGCTACTGTAGTTGGGACGCCCACGTTGGGTTTAGATGGAGATCCACCGAAAAGCCACCCACCTATGCTGGAAAGAATCGACCACCCGATGATGGCCGCAGTAGCAAGGCCGGCAAGGGCCGCAGCAGCGCATACTGCCCCCTCCCCAATAAGAGATAGGCCGAAAGACATGAATGCTCCAAGGGCTGACGGGAGGAGGTCAGCGACGCAGAGAGCGCCCAACTCGCCGGCTATCAAGGCCGCCAAACCTGCACCACGCTTTTCAACTGCGTGGCCGCCTGCATAGAGAACGAGACCATTCTTTGAACCGTCTCTCTTGCTGACCGTAGTAGTCGTCTGGCCATAAAGGTTTAGGGAGCCCGAATTGGTGATCGATGAAGGAACAAATCCCGTACAGCAATATGCCTGATAGCCACCAGTGCAGGTCAGATCTTCAAGCTGACCTCCATCATTCACCACGTATGAGTTGGTATTACGGGCGACAATGGTGGCGTCGGGGTCGGAGCATGCTGGTGAGCATGGCATTCCCACACCTCTCCAACCTTCCCATTGACAGGTGCCCATAGAGGTGCCTGGAGCGCAGCATAGTGTCTGGGCTTCGCCTGGAGAACATACGGGCTGCGACTGATAGCCGGCAATTTGGCCGCGGGCGTCAGTTACATCGAAATATCCGGTCGTACAGGTGTCTCCACACAGGGACCAGTAGCAGCTAGAGGCAACGGCGTTCTGCAGCGTGGCATTGGCCATCTGTTCCTTGAATGAAGCGGCAGCTGCCTCTGACACTCCGTTTGCTGTACCGATACCCATCAAGTCGTTCATACTATCGCCAGCGGTGTTGTCCTGGTCGATTGACCACTGGAATGAAGCCTTGGTTAGATATTTTTCCAAAAGATAAGAAACGAAGGAAGGAAGTGAATCGGTGACTCCGGTAGAAGGTGTTCTCTTACAATCATGATACCCCCAAGACACTGGCTATTCGCGAAGGAAATCTTCTGCTGCATTGTCACTCCATCGTCGAAGCTAACCCACTGGTTCGAATTAAAGGTGAGCCAGCGGACTCCAGCAGTGGCATCATATGATTCGGTTCCCGTTCCAGCCGCTAGAAGACGTTTGATCTCTGCGTTGGAAAGCGTGCCGGATGACTGCGTACACTCTCCCGCATTACCACCGGTGGTGAACTGGCATACACCATTAGGCGTGGTGCAAGACGAATCACCGAGCGTAAAGGAACGCCCGTACCATCCCAGCCCAAGCACAACTTTGGATGAGTCGACTCCGGCTCTCCACAGCAGGGACAAACCGTCGTTGATTTCAGTAAGATTGGTGTGCGGACGGATGTAAGGCCCCGTGAACTTATTGCTGGAGTCCCAGACGCCATGGATGTCGTAGCTCATAAAGTTGAACCAGTCGACGCTAGGCTCCATGTTCAGAACGTCGAAATGCTGAAGATACCAATATGAGGATGGCAGTGTGGTACTAATTCCCAATCCGCTTCCGAATGAGGCCCTCAATTCGGCCAGGAAGGTTGGGAAGTTGGAGAAATCGGCTGCAACGCCACCTCGATCGTCGGCAGCAGGGTACTCCCAATCAATATCCACACCGTCAAAGCCATATGTTTGCATGAAATTCCGCAGTGAAGTGATGAAGGCCTGGCGATTTGCCGAGGAGCTGACCATGTCACTGAAGGCATGCTGCGTGTCTGGCGTATTCGTCGCATCGTTGAAAGACCAGCCGCCGATTGATAGCCAAGCCTGCAGTCCCGGTTGCTTTGACTTGAGTGCTGTGAAACGAGATAAAAGGGAGGCCGCATTTGAGTCCATGGGTGAGATTTCGAAAGTAGATGGGTCGAAGAAGGAGAAAGCAAAATTGATGTGCGTTAGACCCGTCAGCTCGAGGTCTTCAGGTGTAAACACATCACAAGGCCGCTCCGTTGCCCAGCTCTCGTAGTACCCAATGCGCCGCGCCATTGCAGAGTTGCTACCACTAGAGCAAGAGGGAGTCGGAGCATCTCCACAGCCGCCATATCCCTCCTGACAACCAGTGCCACAGAAGTCATCAGTGCTGCCACCTGAGTAAAACAAGTCAGCTTTTGGTCCGAAGAATATGAACTGCCCCAGAAAACTTGAAATATTAAGACTTACAAAATCCGTATTGCGAACAGCACACGTTCAAAGGGCACGTTGCATTGTCGGGGTTCGCGTATTCGCCACAAGGAGCTTGCGCGTCGCAGTTGGAAATGCAGACATCAGCCCCGCAACTCGAGGGGGCATAGGAGCAAACGCCAGTGTTGGAACAACATGCTCCATTTGTGCATGGTACTCCAGGTGCGCAAGTGCCTGTGGGAAGGTCTCGTTTGCGCAGAGAGCCAGAATCAAGGTTGTCAATTCTTTTACCCGGATGCTGAGACAATTGCCGGATGAGGGCCTCGTTCTCGAACTTGGGCTTGCTCTTTGAATAAGCCTCGTAGAGAGGCCGCAGAGCCGAAGACGAGTTCTTTGGCAATTGGGGTGATGGAGTAAACTCTGGCAATTGTGTTGCGTTGTTGCGCTTCCCATGGCTATGGTGCTGTACATGGCCATGGGAAATCCCGCAACTTGCGAGAGCAAGAAGCGCTGGTAGAAGAATTTGCATTGAAGCTGCTGCCCAAGTACAACACGCAGATGGTATCAATGAGTGTCAGATGAACAAAAGCCAAGATGGCCTTTGTTGTTGAAGTATTCAAATGTTTGGAGCAACGGCGCAGCAGCCTCCAGTCTGTGGGGAAGAAAGGAGTACAATTTCTTTCAACCCAGATAACCGGAAATGATGGCAAAGAAGACGAAAAGCCGGTCACACGCCGCCGCCCTTTATTTTCCATCCACATGATTGAAGTGATGGTGAATGCATACCCGCCAGGGGCATTCTGCACCTCGAACCACTACCAAATTACCCAAAGAAGCTAGTTCCCCGAAGGACCCTGCAATGGCTTGTGCTAAGGGCTGAAGTCCAAAAGTGCCTGGCAATTTGGAATGGACAGAGATACGGACCACCGTGGCTGTATGGTTGTGCTCGCACTCAACGCTTCGTTTGACGGCCCTTGGGGCGGAAATAGAGGGGCTTGTGGAAAGTAGGCTAGTGCCTGGTGGAAGGTTGGACTGGGACGTGTAGCCGTGCTAAGAGCAGTACTAGGCCGAATAAGGTCTTGGACCATTACTTTTCAAACGTTGGGCCAATTGCTTTTACAATCAACTCCATGATGGCGCGGCCCGTACGGGAGATCAATAACAAGCATCTGTGAGAAATGCTTAAAATTTGATATTGTTTACCTGAAACCTCTTATGCAGCCTTCGGATGTAACCTTGGACCCTTAGACCCCTACTAGACCCTTAGACCCCTGGGAAATTCTTGGTTCATTTGTCCGCTTAATGATATATGCGCCAGCGAGGAGCCTCCGCACATTGCACTGAGAAGAGGCTATTCCTCAAGAGGTTAGTGACTCGGACGAGTGGGTTCAGCAAAATATACTTCAATGTTTGGCCCCCAACATTTAAAGTGAAAATGTCGGCCCTGGGGGCAATTATGAGAAAGATCTCGAGCTTGTGGAGATTTGCTTCGCACTCATACATACATAGATATTTGGATCCTTATCTGTAGCCTTGAGGCTTTTATTGGTCATTTGCGGTAAGAAGATCACATGAGTTTTCCGCTGCACTGCATTTCCCACTAGTAAATGTTACCCAGATGTGCTACTACTTCTTAGCTTCTCTGTAAGGCATTGGAGAGTCCGCCAGTCGCCTCGACTATTGGCTACAGAACACTGGCCCCCGGCCGGTGGCCAAATGAACGAGATATCCCGAGTGAGCCTCCACCTCGTCTCCCAGGTGCCGGTATTCTAGTGCAGGTTAGCTGGAAGCAAACCAAGTCCGCCGTCACAAGGCACGAACTTCCGAATTACCCGAAGTACCTTCGTACCTGCAGGATGCAGGGGCAAGCCGACAGGGTAAATGGTGGCGTTGGTCATCCAGGAGGGGCAGTTCAAGTAGCACTTCGTGTTGAGGGGAAGAAAGAAAAAGTGCCCCAAAATTCCTGTCCTCATGCCGTCGAGTCCATCCTCGTGCAAAGAGCAATTCGATCATCTTAGCTCCTTGCCTATTCAATAGACAAAATGTTCTCCTTCATGAGACTCTGTTTTGTCCTAGTTACCGCTTGGACAACTTCAGTTGCGGCCGATTTTGCGCTATATGAAAATCTTGATGCAGAGGCCTTGATTGCTGCGCTCTCTCTGAGTAGTACGTGTCTTGCAGCACTGTGAGTACTTTTCTCTGGTTCCATCTCCCTGAAATGCCTTATCACTCTAAAACCTCAACAGGAACACCACCGTTTCTTGCAATGGAACCGCTATTGCCCTATTAGGCCACGGGGCAGATATCCACTGTAAGACTGCCATGTTTAATTATGTTTTTGCTTGTCAGCGAAGAAATGAAGTTAATAAATGACGAAAGTTTGGACGACTTCTGAGGTAGAGAATCTCTGCACGACAGATTGTACCTCGTCCCTGAGTTCCTGGAAGGACAAGGTTGAAACAGTCTGTGCAGAAGAGACTACTCTCCAGGGCAATGTCGAGGTCAAGGCGAGAGCGCTCCCACTGACATTTACCCATAACACCGATCTTGTATGCATGCAGGATAGTTCATCGAATTGGTGTTTTGTCGAGTCTCAGACATGGCAAGGAAGTGACTATATTCGTTGGGATCCAACGATGTGCTTTGCCGATGGTGATGACAACAGCACAATCGCATCGCAATGTGACGATCCGGATTTTGATGTTAGTGATATCGATGATGAGATGGCCGCTCTAACCAATATATATGACGAGGAATTGGTACGTGATTAAAGTGCACCTGTGCCATCGAGACTGCCTACTAACTAGACGTCAACTGGTAGTACTGCAATGAGTGCTTCTTGAAACTTTTTCGCCAACGTCTCCTGGATCCCTGGCTGCCAGTCACAAATTTCACGGATTATTTAATCGACCAATTTGACCTTGTTCAAACGAACTGCTCTACAACGCTGCCTTACACCACTTCAGCCTCTACCTTATACGTAGGGACGGTAACTGCTACTGCTACTGCTACTACAACCAACGCAACGACGACAGGTTCCTCCGCAGTAACTACCGTGACCTGCCTGGGGCAAATGGTGCAGCCGCTGCAGAACTGGCTCACCTGCAATGATCTTTGCGATACGTATGAATGGAGGCCCTCCCATTGGAGACACCGCTGGTTGCTAATACTCTGCATACGACAACTAGGTACAATATATCAACGGGTGACGCTAGAGTTGTCACTGGAGATGATGCTTGCTATTTCAACGAGGCTACCTGTTTTCCCCTTCCATGCGAGATCGATACGGTTTGGGATGGACCAAGTTGGTATGTAGGAGAAAACGGTTACATGAACCCATGATACCATAATCTGTGCTAAGCCCTGTGAAAATAGTGACGAGCTTGCTACGAGATATTCCAACTCGACATACAACGTGACCACCTCTCAATTCCTTAGCTGGAACAGCAATATCCAGGGCAGTTGTTCAGGTATTGCACCGGGGCAGCGTGTCTGTAAAGGGTAAGTCTCAGATCAATGAGGACAACATGGAAACATTCATGAAGCTAAGCCGCGAGAAAAAAGTGCTCCTGGAGGAACTTTCCCTAAACCCAACGCGACCATCACGGCGCCCGGTGCAACCGGCCAGGCTACTTACTACACAGCAACCACTGCAGCCTACCCGACCCAGAGCGGAACCATCGACGAGTGTGGCGAATACTATCTCGTTGTAGCCGGCGACGACTGTTCCACCATTGACCTGCGCTTCGGTCTGAACTTTAGCCAGTTGCAAGAGTATAATACGTATCTTAACTCTACCTGCGGCAACCTGTGGCTTAATTACGACATTTGCGTCGCCCCTGTCACCCCTCAGACCGTTTCAACGGACGGTACGTGCCCCCCAGGGGTGACCTGCGAAGGAAGCGCGTTTGGCGACTGCTGCTCGCCCTTTGGCTACTGCGGAACCGGCTCAGATTATTGTGTTACCACAACCAACGGCACGGCGACGTCCGATGGTACCTGTGGGCCTGATTATGGGGGTACAACTTGTATTCCCCAGTTCGGAAACTGCTGCAGTATATACGTAAGTGACACGATATCCCTTCATAGCCATCGTTCCTATTCAGTATAGTCGCTGACCATAGACACAGGGCTACTGCGGCAATGGCACGACCTATTGTGGTGCCGGAAATTGCTACTCTGGCAGCTGTGACACCGATAATGGCGGCCCATCCACAAATGGAGAATGTGGCCCGAACTTTGCTGGCAACAAGACCTGCACTGGTACCCAGTTTGGGACATGTTGTTCCACGTCGGGTTATTGTGGAAGTACCAGTGACTACTGTTCTGGATCTAACTGCTATAGCGGCGCTTGCACGTAGAGTCCAAATGTTGCTCAGACTAGGAAGAGGAGTTTCTCAATGTACATACATGCCATGTCTAAGTAAACATTCAACCCACTTTTGAGACGGCATGGATGTGTGCGCCCTTTCGTCCCCAGAAACAGTAAGCGCTCTTGGGTAATACCAGTTGACGGATCGCGGACAGCTAGGATACATGCCACCAGGCGATCTCCTCATCAGTTTCGGTGATCACACCGCAGATGAAGTCATTCACCAATTTTCGACAAGTCATGTGGCCGGAATGAATCAACTTTCAATTCGACTCATGTCGCAAGCTTGCGACTCTTCTCTTCATTTTTGTTACAAGATAACAAGATCAGACTCTGATAGCTGTATCTTGGATCCGATGAATTAGAAATTGTGACCGTCTTCATCTGACCGTATCATAACAGATGGCAGTGATGGTTTAAGTGTACAGTAATATTCACAAGTCTGTAACAAGATTATAACACGAGCAGTGTGAAGAGGAAGGTCACAGTAATTTGGAGGCAGACCGGCCTTAGAAAATGCAGACGGCATCCTGGGAGGCCATTTGAGAAGGATGCCCTTCGGCCAGAGCTCTCTGTTCCACTGCGATTATCTGCTGAAAGACATTCGCTGCCTCCCCGATCTGCTCATTAGCTCGATATGCTCCCGCCAGAAGATACTGAGATGTCAGTTGATTCGGGTGCTCGTCCGCCAGGTTTTCCACCTCTATCGCAACCACGTGCTCGAGTACCTCCACAGCCTCCTTGATCTGACCATTGACTCTATATGCTGCTGCGAGTTCATGCTGAGCTTTGATTCGAAAGTGGTGTCCTCTGGCCAATGTCCTCTTTTGTACCGTGACCACATCCTCAAACAGTTCAATTGCCTCTATTATTTGCTCGTTTGCTGCACGTGTCTCTGCGAGTTCGTACTGGGACGCTAGAAAGGACAAGTGCGCTTCGTTCAGTGTCTCCTCCTTGATCTTGACCACACGCTCGAGTAGCTCCAATGCCTTCTTTATCTGACCATCTGCTCGATATGCTACTGCAAGTTCATGCTGAGACGCCAGTAGAGAGGGTTGCTCTGGGGCTAGTGTTCCTTCCTGTAGTGTGACCACATACTCGAGAAGTTTCACTGCCTGCTTGATCTGTCCACCGGTTCGGTAAACCCCAGCGAGTGCATGGTGAGATGTCAATAGATCAGGGTGCGCTTAAGGCAGTGTTCCCTTGATCTTGATCACATGCTCAAGTAACTCCATGACCTCCTGGATCTCCCCATTGGCTGCACACGCTCCTGCGAGTTCTTGCTGAGACGCCAGTAAAGAAAGGTCCTGTTGTGACCCCGTTCTCAATTTCACTGCGACTACGTGCCTGAGTAGCTTCACCGCCTCTGGAATCTGCGTATTGGCACGATATGCTGCTGCGAGCGTATACTGAGACCCCAGTAGACTAGGATGCTCTTCAGCCAGTGTTTCCCCCTCAATCGCAACCACACGCTCGAGTAGCTCCACTGCGTTTCTTGCACGTCCATTGACTAGATATGCTCTTGCAAGTTCATGCTGAGACGCCAATATAAATGGATGGTGTTGATCATATGGACTCTTCTGCCAGTCGTTGAGATCTGTAAGGTACTCAATAGCTTCTGTTGTCCGACCATCCGCTAAGAGACACAGTGAAACTTTGAATAGCAGCTCATATCTCTTTGGCATGTTTTGCACTTCATCCTTATGAACAACATTTAGGGCATGAGGCAGACATGCCTTCCACAGGGCCCTATTCGTATGATCGTCGTTCGGGAATACCTCTACCAACCTCGCGAGTGTCGTGACCGTCTGTGTCAATAAATTTCCATTCTTTCTTAACCAGCTACGCATTGCAAGGTGAACAAGCCGATGAAGGTCAAACCCCTGTTCTGTAGACCGCTTGGTGACGAATGAATACCCCCTCAAGATGCCAATGGCCTCAACCCAAGCCATCCGAGATGGTGCGGGTGGTAGAAGAGACTCAGGGATAGCTGTTGGCTGTACGCAAGCCATGAAAGAGAGAATATCGATGGCTAGGCGGTTCAGACGATAGATGCGTTCAAAAGACACAAGCCACGTTGTGGCGACTGCATTAGCGATGCCACGAGATCGCCAATGCGTCTCATTCTCGCTTACAAGATCAACTATCTTCTCCTCCGGTTGTGTCAAGAGATATCGGTACTCTGCAACCGAGGTTATGGTGTTCTCATTTATATAAGAAGCGGCCTGCACGATTGCCAACGGAAGGAACACAAGCTGCTTCAGAAGCAATGCAATTTCGGTTTCTTCGCGGAGCAAATCCTTATCATGTAAACGCATGGCGAAAAGTTCCTTTGCCTTTACGTCGTCCATCTCTCTAATTTCGATTGTGTTCTGCATCGCGAGCTTTGAAGCAAGCTTCTTAGAACGAGTAGTGAACAATATACTTCCAGTAGGACTCCAGGGAAGATAGTCGCTCAGACCATATAGCCCTGTATTACCTAAGGACTTGCCATACCACAAATCGATATCTTCGGCATCGTCAAAAATTAAGAGCCACTGTCCCGCGTTCTTGTCACCTAAGTAATTTTGGAGCAGCTTCTTGGGATCAGCCCCCTCTTCAAGTTCTGGGAATCGTAGCTTTTGAGCGATATCAAAATAGGCTTCTTGGAGACTTTCGGAAGTTGTAGCTGGAATCCAAAAAATAGAGAGCTCAGGCTGTGTCAATTGCAATCGGTGAGCGAGCTCAATTGCATCTTGTGTTTTACCAACACCGCCGAGGCCCGTAAGCGCAACCTTGCGCTGTTGACCCGGCGAAAATAATCGGTGTTCAAGCTCGGCTAACTGTCCATCGCGGACAATATACCCTTTATTCCTTTGATATGGAATATTCTGAAAAAGAGCGCAGCGGCCTGCTTACTTCTCAGTAAGGTTCAGATTCTAGAAAAGCCTTCCTCACATAAACCTGGACCAAGCAGCCAATGTGATTGTTGAGAACTTACGATTTAACGAATCCGGCCTGTCATGGGGAACATAATGCCCTAAGACTTCCTTTGCCGCCGCCGCCGCAACCGCCGCCGCATAACTCTGCCACTTCTTGTTCTTATGGCTGTCCGCATAGTCGCAGACCCCTTTCATGATTAGACAGTTGAACTTATCCCACACTCCCGCTCCTTCCATCTCAAAGGCTATGATACCTTCTGATGCAGAAAGCTGATTCCGATCCCACGCTGACTTCATGACTATGTCCGCGGTGCCGATCAAGCCAAAGTGGATCCGTTGATTGGGAATGCCCTGACCATCGCGTCCGGATCGCCGAACACGTTGAACAAGCATATCCTGATCGCACTCAAGCTCCTCGCAGGAGGCATTCAAGGCTGTGTCGCAGACTGATTCTGCCAAGCTACACTCAATACACCCAGTGTGATGCTTATGAATATAGTCCGGGGCAAACAGCTGATCAGATGAGGTCGGGTACTCCTTTCCGATACGGGGGTGCTGCATCAGGCCGATCAGATGCTGCATCATTTTCTCGTGCAACTGATGCGCCATAACCTGCGACTTCCAGTGCTGGAGAAGGCCCAGGATCTCTTCATTTGGTTTCCCCGGTCCATCCAGGATTGTGTCTTTGCGCTTGAACCCGGTCGGGTACTGGCGACCGAAATCGAGTCGAACGAGCACCTCGCTTATGATCACATCGCCTAGGATAATCTCTTGGCCGTCTGGCCGGTAAGGCACTGCCCCGCAGATCCCCACCAGTAACGCCAGTTGAATAGAGACGAAACTCATGCCGAGGGAGGCTGCCGCGGCGGCCGACTGGACATTTCCCATTCCAGGGAGCGTGACCACGAGACGACAGGATGTCTTCCACTTCTGCCGAAGGCATAATGATTTCGATCTCCAGGGGCCCGGCCGTAGATAGGGGGAGCGTCGTACCAAATTTCATCTAGAGAGCAGAGAACAGCGTTAGCCTCCAGGGCTAACGCGCAGATGATGGCGATATCAAATTGATCGCGGTTGAGGGGACGTTCATGACCGTCCATGATTGGGGTGAGAGGACGAGGAAAGAAAGGGTAGGTAGGGTAGGGACAGAGAATCTTGATGAATCCGACTAGGTGCTCGTGCGGTTGCGTAAGCCTCAGCCTCAGCTTCAGTATTCATGCGGCGTGCGGTCCCTTCAAGCCCATCCCGAATAACTGGAGCCACTGAACGTGCCTTGATGAAAGATTTTCTGACGTACCCAGTGAAGTCCTTGTTTATCAAGGATTTTCTTTCTATCCCATAGTTATTCATTGATGTTTGAGAGGTCACGTGATTTGTTTTACTCGGCCAGTTGGCTTCTTTATATCCACTTAGCACTATGAATCTACACTCACTTGAGCCATAAGTGTAAAGCTGGCATCAAGAGTTGAATGACCCACCATCGACAGTTGACCTGGGGCTCTGTATCCGGGGAAAGGATCCACCTCTTGAGCCTTGGTTTTCATGTTGTCCCCTCGGTGGATCTGGTAGATATATCCGAGCCCACCAGCTAACACACCAGCTAACTACACTGCTTTGCGCGGATACTGTTTCCTAGTTAAGGGACGAAAAGCCCTCCTGTTACGGCCCATGCCGTGTGGATCATTGTTCAGTGGCCCCATCATGACCACTCCGGCGAGGCGCCACACATCCAATTACGAGGCGTCTGTAACCGCCGCCGTTCGAAGCAAAGGATTCCTGCAGAATAGCTAGAGCAATCGAGGGGGTAGATATAGAGGAGTAAAGAGCAAGAGGGTTAGATTCAGAATAAGAATAATTCCAGGTAGGGAGTTTAATATATAACTCCCTTAGGCTATTTAACATGACTAAGATGTATAGATCCGAGAGGGCTTCGCCATCGAATCGTCCTACTATGAAGTCTTACTTGCAAACACGAGCTCCTTACTGGATATATGCTCCTTATGGTACACAAGCTGAATGTATGGAATTAGGTTCTCTGTAAGAGGAGAATATTGTTCACCGCAACCTCTACTTGGGAGAAAGGCTGTAACTCCCCGAGAGCCTTTCTCCTGACCCTTATGTAGGCGCCCTGTAACAATTCTACGTGCGACAAACTCTATAATGGCCTTAAAGGTTTAAATATCGGGCGGATTCACTTGCTTTCGGGTATAGTGAGATGAAACTAACGGAACTAATTAGAGACCTATAGCTAGCCGCCCGAAGATGAGGCATTATCAAGAGGCACTAACTTGTTAAAGATATAAAGGGCACGATAGTAGTCTCCTTTAGTTCTCGGGAGGACTGCACGTAAGATTTCTAAGTTGTTATGCTCACCGAAATGCACGATAGAAGTAAAATGGGCGGCTTCATCCTTGCTTTTGGTCATTTTCAGGGCGAGTATTGATTGTTTGACTGGCAGGTAGGAACTGCCGCCTGAAGCCCGCCTGAACAAAGCGGCAAGTCGCCCATGACCGAAAGATGGGCGCTAGGTATGCCCGGTCATACTTTTGGCTGTTGTATGTTTTTGTTTTTGTTCTGCATGTTTTTGCAAGCAGCATGCCATATAATTGTGGTTTATTGATGCCCTCAAAAGGTAATCAATACAATATGGATCGGTCCAACTACTTTACTTCAAATGGATATGACGATGCATAGATTCATTCGATTAGAAAAAGACCAGGGCCAACACCCATCGAGTCATTGAGCATGTACAGAGTAGGAGTGATACAGGGAGTGATGAAAGGAAACGCAAGCGCCGAAAAACAGGGCCACAGAAAGAAGAGACCAAGAGCAACAACACCCGCAAAAAAATGAAAAATGAAAAATGACCCCATAGACTGAGGCTAAGAAATACACACCAAGGGAAGTAGGGAATCAAGGAAATAGGGAAAGAAAAATAACCCATGGAACATCACATGCCCATGGACCCAAGTCTGATTTCCTCCTCTTACTGGTTCTCCAAATGCTTTTGTTCTCGCTTTTTGCTTCTCCCGCTTCCACACTCGTCCGGCACCCTCACTCATTGGGATCCCGGTCAATGCTTGGTGTAGACATCAAGGATGCAAATCAGGAGAGAAGAGTTTAAAAGTTGCGCTCCTGGAGGAACTTGACAATCTCGGGTTTCCGCCAGCCCTGTCGTAGAAACGTTAGTGCCATATTCAGCAAAATTTCCAGGCGACAAATATAATAGAAGCATACCTTCACGATTATGTGACCGGTAAGACGGTTGATCGAAACATCGGGGCTCCGAGTGTCGACACCCAGGGTAAGTGCCAAATCACTGCGCAACGCATCCAAATCACCCTCGGTCTTCTGGATCTTGGTGAGCTGCTTGGTGCCACCGGCTTTTGTGACGAGGTAGACAGGCAGCTGGTTGGATCCAGTCCGGCGAACAAAGTAAGGGAGGTTTGTTAGGGACAAAGTCGGCTTCGGTTGCTTGCCAGACTTGGGCAAGGGTGCGGAGGGTGAGATTGGCTGTTCCTTGAGAGCTTGCGCTTCACGGCGAAGTTGTGTCAAGAACGTGCGAGTCTGGCGGGCGGGAATAGAGATTTGAGAGGAGGTCGGACGGTATGAGGAGTGAAGGTAAGGGGCTGTAGGAGAGAGAGGATAACTTTGTTAGATAGGCTCTTGTTTAACGGTCCAAAATAGCATGATCGGAGATAGGTGCTGTCCTCTTGAATCTCAAGATGAAGTCGTCTATACCCAACCATTACGATGCAAGAAAGTAGACTCTTCAGGAGAGCCCACTAGGATAAGAGCAAGGTCGCAACACTCGGGACTTACAAGAAGATAATGAAGAGAATCGACTACATGTCTGAATGGAAGCGACGGACTGGGCGAAGCGGGGAGTACCAGTCTGCTTGCACACGGCGGAAGCGACCGAGGCCGACTGACGAAGAGACGCCATTGAAGATCTGAAGGGGAACCGGACGGGGGGAAAAGCCGGAGAACCTGTGGGGTGGGGAGAAAAGGTCGAAGATCGCCAGCACAAAAAAGAAACCCGCGATGCTCGACGGAATTGAAGCAGGTTTCTTCGCGCCGGTTTTCTGCCACCGCCCGATCACTCAACTACGGCCTAAAAGGGTTTAGCGCTACACACACCCTCCCGCACACAAATTCAAAGTGCAAAGTGCTTTGTGCCTCGTCTTCGGTCCTCGATCAACCCCATACCACCGTTCACCATGGCAGACAACGCCCCTCCCTCCGCTGAGAAGCTCAGCGGCGCTCAACCGACCGATGTCACCCCCGAGTATGACCTGCTCCCCCGCCTGATCCCATACCTCGACCGCCACCTGGTGTTCCCTCTGCTCGAATTCAGCGCCGGCACCGATGAGGAGGACAAAGAAATCACTCGCGCCAAGTATGAGTTGCTCAAGCACACCAACATGACCGACTACGTCGCCAACTTGTGGAAGGAGATCAACAATTCCGACGCTATTCCCGATGAGTTCGTCAAGAAGCGCGAGGAGGTTCTGGCCAAGCTGGAGCACTACCAGGTTCAGAGCGAGAAGATCACCGAGTTGTTGCAGGATGAGGAGGTTGTTGGCAACCTGCGAAGCGACAAGGCCGCCAACTTGCGGTTCCTCGAGGAGCAGCACGGTGTTACCAACGACATGGTTAACAGCCTGTACGATTACGGCCGGTTCCAGTACAGCTGCGGCAGTTACGGTAATGCCGCCGAGTTGCTCTACCAGTTCCGTGTCCTGTCCACCGACAACGACAAGGTCGCTTCTGCTACCTGGGGTAAGCTGGCATCCGAGATCCTGACCACCAACTGGGAGGGCGCTATGGAGGAGGTGCAGAAGGCCAAGGACTCGATCGAGACCCGCCTGTTCAACAACCCGCTGGCCCAGCTCACCAACCGCTCTTGGCTCATTCACTGGTCCCTGTTCCCCTTCTTCAACCACGACCCCGCCCGCGACGTCCTGACCGACCTCTTCTTCTCCCCCGCCTACATCAACACTATCCAGACCAGCTGCCCTTGGATCCTGCGTTACCTCGCTGCCGCCGTCATCACCAACCGCAGCCGCCCTCACAAGCACCACGGTGTCTACCAGAAGCAATTGAAGGATCTGATCCGTGTGGTGCGCCAGGAGGGCTACGAGTACACCGACCCCATCACCGACTTCATCAAGGCCCTCTATGTCGACTTTGACTTTGAGGAGGCCCAGCGCAAGCTGAGCGAGGCCGAGGAGGTTCTGCGCAGCGACTTCTTCCTTGTTTCTGCCGCGGACGCTTTCGTCGAGGCTGCCCGTCACCTCATTTCCGAGAGCTACTGCAAGATCCACCAGCGCATCGATATCAAGTGAGTTCAAGCCAGAGACTTGCAAATTAACAGAAGAGGATCATCAAATTCTAACATTTATGTTCAGGGATCTGTCCACTCGTCTCGGCCTGAGCCAGGATGAGGGTGAGAAGTGGATTGTTAACCTCATCCGCGACACCCGGGTTGATGCCAAGATCGACTACAAGGAGGGCACCGTTATCATGAACCACCCTCCCCAGTCGGTTTACCAGCAAGTCATTGAGAAGACCAAGGGCGCCTTCTTCCGGACACAAGTCCTGAGGTAAGCACATAGACCCGCCTATTGGCCATTTCTACTTCGAATATATCAACTAACAATCCTCTTTTAGCTCCGCTGTCGCGAAATGAAATACCTCTTGCATGAGCTGATGCCAAAAACCGAACTTCCTCTTCCATGTTATTATCGACCCATGTTTTTTCTCTGCCTACCCATTTTAATGATCTCCCCGTGTATGTCACAACACGGTTCTATGTGAGAGATGGGGACTCTGTGCAGGAGTGGCATCCGGCTGGCGTTCTTAGGTGGTCCACCTTTCTTTCTTATTGATGTTTATCTCCTTTTTTCTTTTAACCTCTTAGTCCACAGTCTCCCTATCCCCCTCTTCTCTCTGTGTGTGCCGTCAGATATATTCTTTTTTTCCCCTTCTTTTTTTTTATTTCTTCTTGGTTCTTTTTTGTCGTGTGTGCCAAGAAGGTCTTTCTGGCCCTGGTGGTTTTGCAGAGAAAGAGGAAAATCGAGGTCGGAAATGGAAGCCCTTCTACATCATAGGCTTGCATTTTGCATATGCATGGTGGGGAGAAAGAAGAGCATGACGCTTCCCTCGTGTCAGTCTCTTTTGATTTTGCGGAAGAAAAAAGATGGGAATCATGTAGAGGACCCCGGGGATTAGGTTGGGGTCTGATGGATCTATGCTGTTACGAATGGTCTATAGAGATGAGTGAAAAAAAACGATGTCTGACAATGTTTGGTCCAGCTGGTGTGTCTCTTATATTTGAAACTTGGTAATGAAAGAAGAACTCATGGAGATGATGATAATTTCCATATAGCGAGCGCTTTGGGCAGATCTTGGTGTGGACATGGTATAACGGTTTGTATAACTCCGCCGAACGTAAAGGGGGTATCTTCAAGAAACAGTAACAAAGTATGCTCGAAAACGCCATGAATGGGGATATACGGTGGGAGCTACTCTATCCTTCGTATCCCAGGGAATCCTTTCATCTGGACAGGAACCACGTCCATTGAGGAAATGAGCCGGTGGACCTGAGAGCCGGGATGCCATGTCTATCCTCGTGCCTGGGATTGAGGTATTGAAGACCTTGGCTTGAGACTTGGAAAAACGAGCAAGAGAATATCACAGCGGGGGAAAGTGAGAGAGAAGTGGCCACCAGTGCAGGGCTCCCAGATGGTCACAACCAGACGGATTGAGAAGTCTCCGGGAAGTCTCGTATAGGCACGACAGCATCCAAGGCTTTGACCAGGCAGGATTGCCAATTCCTTTCCGGGGACAATGGAAACCAGGAGAAAGGCGGTCCAGTCATCTCAACGGCTGTTCCGGAAGTCTTGTTCGCCAGGGCGTCTGCGCGCCCGATTAGGATCCACTGGAATGATCTCGTTGATATACGGCTCCGTCGGCTGTCGCGACGAGCCATCCCCATTATTGCTGCTAGCACCAGCACTAGGACTCTGATTGGTCATTCGCAGTGCTTCCTGCTTCTCATATTCCCGAGACATAGCTGCAAGGTCGTCGATTTGGTCCTGAGGTGTGAATGGAGTCAGCACGTGGATCGTTTCTTATATTCCTACCGCATGGAGACAGGACAGACCCGAGTAAGAGGCATGCCCGTGATGAGGTAACCTTCGCGCCCCTTTATTCAAAAACAGGATATCTGGTTAGAGCTTGTCAACCGTGGCGCGCAGCGGGAGGCGGTGCCATAAGTACCTGATAACTGTACGGCCTAACTGAAGCGGACGGGCCCAGGAAGTAGTGGATATGTCCGAGGACGATGTGCCGGGACAGACCATATCCTGGAAGCCAATACTGTTGAACTCGAGACATCTCAGGCCAGAGGTCTGTCTGCTGTTTAGGAAGGAAGAGGGAGGTTTGTGCGTTAGGTCTCAAGAGCCAAAACAGGGCTTATGCTTGGGCTTGGGCTTCAGGCGTGTAGGTTGAGCTTGCGGTCTGACAAGCCGGTGGCCAAACAAGCAGCAACCGGATGAGGGGATGGGCAGCGGAGATCTTTTGGTATCTTTTTCCATCTGGCATCAAGACATGAGGACCAAGCCTGGGGGTATAAATAACTAGCCGGGCGGGCCCCTCTCTTGGGGAAGCTCCCTCCCTCGTACAGCATGCGGTCAAGACACAAGTATCACGCTGGTCGGAGGATAGTCAGGAGCGAATGGAGACAAGCGCCCGGGCTGCAGTCCAGCTGCTACTGCTGCTGCCTCTCTCTCGATCTATTCGGGGAAAAGATAATCATACAGAGGCAGTCCAGGACGAGCAAAGACAATCGCGTACAACTTACCCAGTTCAGGTAGTACCTCCATCCGGCTAGTCGCGCCCTAGTACCCTCCCGCTAGCAACAAGCCGGAGGGGAAACCATCTTGGATCCACCGGTTCTTGATCTGCTGGAGTCCAGAACGACTTCCAGAGGTATTTCCGCGGCGGCGAGACCCAGGCAAAGACCCGAGCACAAAGATGGGTGTCGAATCTCTTACGGAACAAAGAAGGGGGGGGCCAGAAAGAGACCACGATGACGAACCACTCAGTTCCGAGCAGCCCTTTTGTTGGGAATGTCTGGTCATGGAGGATTCAACTCGGAACTGTCGGGGCGAGCAGAGAAAGGGGGTGTGCGCCTCACTTCGAAGAGACAACGACATCCAACCCTTTCGCTCTGTGTATCCGCATGCTTAAATTAAAACTCGAATCTGACTATGGCGGTCGCGGTTGGCGGACCTGTCAGAACCACGCAAAAAAGGCCAGACTTGCCTGAATTGTCTTTGCTGGAAATACCAGGAATATCAGAGGAAACGCCGAGGGTGGGTGCCAGCGCCCTCGTTGGTAGGGCCATGGACCAGGAATTGGGGGCGGGCCGGTGTCAAAGTGAGGCTTACTTGGGGATGCGATGCCCTCGAATCAATTTGACCTCGAAATGAACAACGCACCTGCAAGGGAGAGAAAACCACTGCAGAATTGCCGAGTTGTTGGATTTGCTGAAAAAAAAGTTGAAAATAATAGGCATAACAAGACCGCCAAAAGGGGGGTTTCGGTCTTGCACAACGTTTTCGCAAGCCATTGGAGCTAGTTTGAACGGATGTCAAGTTTCAACCAACTGAGTACCGAATTAGTTGCGGGTCATGTAGCTGGCATTCCAGGAAAAGCAGTGCAGACAAGGTTGTACAAAGCCCCCCAAAAAGATGATTCGAACATTCTACTCACCGCATCTCTCACCTCTTCTTTTGCTCTGCATTGCCAGATTGGCTTTACCTGCGGCGATGTCGTGGCACCATGGAGCCCGTCTCGTTTCGTCGCGGGGCCCAAACTGAGCTGCAGGAAGCATTTCTGCATCTTTTCGTTTTTGGGAGGGGCCCATTGACAGAGTCCGGAAGCCGAAGACTGATACAATCGAAGTTGTAATTGCGCTGGAGGGGGAGATTTGATGTCGAAACACATGGCAGGTGCAGGTGACATGGTGACGAGGGATTCATTCGAGACCTGCAGTCGGGCAATTAGGGTTTATCTGATTTGCTGTATGCTGACTGGTGGGGAGATAATCGAAGGAATGTAGCAAAGAAGTAGTTGCAAGTTGCAAGTTGTAAGTGGGAGAAGAAGGAGTAGAACATTCGGGGGGTTCATGTCTGGGCCATCGGCAATGAGATGTGACGAGGGCTGCATATGCCCCCGGTTATTGGATCTGACGTCTTCTACATTCCGGAAGTTCTTCGATCTTCTCTGCATAGCACTGACTCTTATACAGACTGTCATCATTCACCAAGTGTGGCCAGTGGGATGAAAGGCAATGGGGCCACCGAGTACGTGGAACGGGAAAGATTGGCATCAAAAGTATTATTGCTCTAGTCTTTTCATAATTCGTCCGACGAGATATCCCAGCTCGTACTCTCTTCACGCTCCAGTCAACCACTTACTGCGGGGGCACATACGGGTCTACCAACATGTCGCTGAACCTAAAGGAGAGAAGATGATGGTTAGCCGAGCCCGCCAAAAGCAAAGACTTTCTTCAGATGCAATAAACCCAAGGTTACTTACTTCTCCAGCTTGTCCTTCCCGCGAACCTCCTCCACCAATAGAGGCATGCGCACCACGTTGAAGTCCTCGTAGAGCTCCTCAATCTGCTCCAGGTACTTCTTCTGCATCTTCCTACGAGCGTTGCACTGGTCGCAGTTGCTCCCATCCTTGGGGAACAGCAACTGGTTGACCACAATCGAGTGGGTATCAATGCCGTAGCTGGTCAATTCCTGGATCATACGTTCCGTCTCGTATAGTGACAGGAACTCTGCAATGCAAACGCAGACAAAAGTAGTCATGTCGGGGTCCTTGAACTGCGAGTTGACCTCGCTGATCGTCTCACGGAGCGACTCCATCTTCTGGAGCAGCTCGTCCATGTTCTGGCCACCGGGGAGACCACCCCGTGCACCGAGGATTGAGTTCAGCATTGGGCCGAATTGGGAGGACAGCTGCGAAAGCTTCGCCAGGGCCTTCTCGAGGACGGTGGGGAATTGCAGGAAACGCAGAGTGTGGCCGGTCGGGGCGGTATCGAAGACAATGGTCTCGTAGGAGAGCGACTTGACTTGCTTCAGGACTTCAGCAAAGGACATAGCTTCGTCAACACCGGGGATCTAAGAAGCTCGAAAGAGTCGGGTTAGCAAGATTGTATCCATCGCTCGCCACGGATGCTGCTCGGAGGCCACTCACGCTGAACGCCAGGTCCTGCATCATGTTTCCCATGCCCAAACCTGCCATGGGATCTTCACCCTGGCCGTCGCCATTCGCCAAGAGGTCCTGGATACTACCGTTGGGGTCGATCTCCATGGCGCTCAGGTTGGTGTAGCCGTCGACCAGACGGGCCTCCTTTCCGAATTTCTGACCAAAAGCATCGCTGAGATTGTGGGCGGGATCGGTGGAGATCAGCAGGACCGACTTGCGGACCTTGGCCAGCTGAATGGCGAGGGAGCATGAGGTGGTGGTCTTGCCGACACCACCTTTCCCGCCGACGAAGATCCAGCGGAGGGTGTTCTGGTTCAGGATCGACTGGAGCGTGGGCTCCATGTCGAGTTCATCGCCATGGACCACGGCGGTAGATGACATGATCGGCTATACAAAAATTGCCGAAGGGAGGAGGGAGAGGGAGGATCGGGGGAGGTGGAGGAGTGGTCTGCTGTGTTGGTGCTATGGCGGGGAGAAGGAGTTGACGTTCGAAATTGAGGATTTGCCCCGCAAAGCGATCGAACGTTCGGGAAGATGATCTAGACGGACATGACAGAGTGTCCTGGACAGGGGAAATAAGAAGGAAGGATAGATCAAAGTCGCATTTAATATTCTATTCTTTCGTGACGTTAGGCCATAATAGCAGAGTAAAGAATGTCCTGTATGGGAGGTTGAGCCAATGGTTTGCGGTGTCCTGCCCGTTGATGCTTGCTGTACGGAGGTTTCAGTATACACCAACAGCTAAGCTACTGCCATTTGACTATTAACGAACGGTCTAATATTGCTATCTAAAAGACAGGATGACGATCTACATTTTTCAATCTCTCTACAAAGTGTACAATCTACAAAATCTCCCCAGAATTCTTTGCCCGCTCCACCCCGCCGTGGCATCCTCCGCAGCTATCGGTGCTCTCCGATGGCACTCCCGTAGAAATAATGGCAACACTCCCCGTCTGGTTATCTTTTTAGATCTTTTCCTCTCTTAAACAACTTCCCTCTCTTCTCTCCTCCTCAGCTCACCATCAATTTCATGGACTCTCGTGATTCCTCCCAAGGCCGCATCACCAACCGCCTCGCCCTCGTTCAGCAACAGCTCTCTCCCTCCAACAGCTCCACATCTACACCCTCCAACACCCAACCTCAACCACCCACCATGTCTCGCGATCCCATCACCTGCCACTGTCTCAACACCCTGACCGGCACCCCCGCCGCCAACCTCCCCGTCACCCTGACCCTGCTATCGGCGCCCGCTTCGCCCTCCAGCCCGGTCACCTTCCACGCCACGACCAACGCCGACGGCCGTGTCGCAAAGTGGACGCCCACCGGAGCCAGCGCCAGCGCCGCCGCCTCCGTCCCCGAGATCCTGGCTGCGCTCCCCGCGGCCGATAGCAAGACCAATTGGGCGGTGCGCTTCGAGGTTGGACCCTGGTATGAGGCTCAGGGTATTGAGAGCTTCTGGCCAGAGGTTGAGGTGAAGTTTACGGTTAAGGGCCGCGGTAAGGACGGCGAGGAGGGTTGGCGCCATTATCATGTGCCCGTGCTGTTGGGACCTTGGAATTACTCGACCTACCGGGGATCTTGATTGTGGTTTTTGGGTTTGATTTATTTATTTCTTGTTCCTCTGTATATAGATGTGTGAAATGGGACAGTCTTTATGAAAAAGTGTTTGCTATTCGAATTGTAAATTGTAAATTGTAAATAGTGTTCCTCGCAAAAGCTATCAAGTGTAGGGAGCTCTGACAGGGCATGATGCTTCGGATTTGTGGCACATTTTGTAGCATAGAATCATGAGCCCAAAGTTTGCCGAACCTTCCATCAAGTAAGGCAAGATGGCCGAGTTGGTCTATGGCGCACGGTTCAGGTTTACCTGATCCACAATTCCGTGTCTCGAAAGGGGCGTGGGTTCGAATCCCACTCTTGTCAAAGCATTATCTTTTTGTCCTATCTCTTTTTTGACCTCAATCAGATCGCGACTCGATGGTTTGACCATCGATTTATTGATTATGTTTTTGCTTCTGATGTTTTGATTGCTTTGAAGAGACTTTAAAAAGCATTCTTGGAAGCGGTGTCCAGACTATTTGGAGAATGAGCTTCTAGGTGGCAACTGTATATTTTGCACAGGTAACTGCGTGAATAATGTACAGCAATTCCGACACGAGTCACACCAACTAGGATATCATAGAAAATACCCAATCTGTTTCCTATACCACTAGGACCATTGCCATTGACTCTTTTCTAATTTCCAAGCAAAACAACAAAAACAGCAGTTTACTTATCCCTCCACTCACTCTCCTCCACACCCCCCAATCGGCAATGTGATTGTACGGTCGGTCATACCGATTCTCCACATCTTCATTATGTTTCTTCACATCCTCAGGCAGATCGTCCTTCAAGTTACCTTCAAAATCGGCAATAGGCGACGACCGACCATCTCTTAGCGTGGGCTTTGCATCGTTGGAAGGGATCGGGTGGTTGGGCAACGGGTTTTCTGGAGTGCCCGCATCCCGAGTCGCATTTTCCTTCCCGCCGCTCGATTTATTCGAATCCCGGGCATAGCTTCGTTGAGCGGGTAGCTTGGTCGGGCCAGTGATTGATGCGATGGAAGGACGCGCCATTTGGCGTGTTGATAGCCGTATTAGAGAAGTCATCCTGGGTATTCGAGACAAGTATGGAGTAAGGGAGGACAAAAAATCGCTCCGGATGCGACCTCACATTTTATTATCAGTGACGGGTATGAGTAAATAGCCCTTAACTAAGTGATCATCCTTGCTAGGTATTGAAATCAGGTTTCGCAGTTATTCCACGTTGAGTTGTGTTATCATTATCCATGGCTATGACGTCCTTCCTTGTCATAGCCGCCAAGGACCTAAAATGGTAATCAGCTTGTCGAGCTAAACGCCTGGATTGCCACGGTATTTCAACCAGTAATAATGGATATATATATATATATATATTCACCCGAGACACAGTTGATGCCGAGAGAATTTCAAGGAGAAACTCGTGCTCAATTGCCTGGCAGTGTATTCAAGCCAGCACGAAACTGACACCGACTACCGAGTCTACATTCAACTAGAAGTCCCAATTTAGCACCAAGGTAATTCCATCCGCAGAAAGATTGCAAAGCTGCAGTAATAAAACGGGTAATTGCTTATACCATGGTATGGAAATCGACGTGTTGGACTGGTTCTATCTTCTATCACACCCGCAGAAGTACTGACCTATCCACGGAGAAGGGGAAAAAAGTAGATGATGATATTAATTATCGCTCAGAGACGGACGAAGTATTTTCAGCATGATCATAGAGTAATGGGCGTATCGCCGGGGACATTAGGTCAACAAGACGTCGAGGAAAGAAAGAATATACAGTAACAAGTTCTCTTAGAAACGAAACGACTTGTCCTCAACAGTCCCTCATCCTCCTCCCAGCTCACAGCCAAGGTATATGTGGGTGCTGATCAATATTTTCGACTAGTCGTGGCTCGTTAGGGATGCATCCTGAGATTTGTTTTCGTTTTCGGGGTTTGGTTTGGGTTGGTTTGGAAGCAGGGTCATCAAAGGTAACTGCTCAGGTCAAGATATTCGATGTCAGCAGAGAGCACAACTTGCGTTACGAGTGGGTGCACCAACCTTTTCATCGACAAGACTTTGAGAGTAAGGAGGCCAAAGAGGTGTGGAAAACCCGAACAGTGATGGAGAATCGATGTGTCGGGATGGGGGGCTTTGAGGAGTTAGAGATGGCCAATCTATCGAGTTAGTATCTTCCAGCAGAGTACAAGCGAGGAGTCTGAGATGTGTGGCAGTGGTGACTTGTATTGTAGACTTGTAGTCAACCGCGCCCTACACAGGCTCGGACAACAAGGTCATTGCTACCGAGGTTCACTCAAGAACGTTAGTGTAGGCTCCTGACGAGAGTCTTGTCAGCTTGGTTACGCGTAGTGAAGGAACTGGAAGAAGGGTCCATACCTTTGTGCTTGACTCTGCATGCTATCAGACGAAGAGGGCAATGTTGACGTGCCAGATGACGGGTAGGCACAGAGTTGAAAATGCCAAGTGGGGAGGGACCATGCAGAATTGTCATGAAAGGGTCAAGTCCAGAAGTGAAGGGCCAAAACGATGTGCCACATGGTCAAGATGGGAAGTTCCATGTCCGAGGGAGATGAAACTGTTGACAGGCCATGGTGTGGTTGATATTGTGATAGAAAAACCTCGACAGAAGGTTTTTTCTGTAGCTGGCGCGTCAGTAGCTGCGAGCAAAACAGTTTGTTGAGGGAGGGGTGGCCGTCCCACCTGGAGGAAGCTGAAGCTCTTGAAGGCAAGGAAGACCTTTTTGATCAAGGGCGGGATGGATGTACAAGAGGTAGACCTGGATGAGGCGAGGTGGCAAGACCCAAGAGGGTGGCAGAAGATGGGAGGCCAGAAGGTGGGAGGCCAGGTGGATGTGAAGTTGAGAGGAGGAGGAGGGGAGTTAAAGAAAGAAGAAAAGATCGGTGGAGGCTGGGGAGGACAAGGTTTTGAAGCGTTTGGCAGAGGGCTCCTTCCTCCCCTAGAGAGTTCTGCCAATCGGCGAATGGCCTCGCCCCTTCCTAATCGGGCAGTCTATTACATTGCTGCCTTGCTATACCGGAAAATTACGCGGTTTTGCGTCACCAAGCCGACAGGATAAACAAGCATCACGAACAAGGTATGGCTACACGAAGCCGTCATGATTGGACATCGATGGATGAAGCTATTGTGGAACATACGCCTAGCGGGCATTAATACACCATCAACCTTGTGTCAAGGTCATTAATATCAGATAATATGAAAGTAGGGTAGCAGGACCCTGGGCAATAGAAACAAGGTACAAAACATTGTTGCGTTATAAGTTCCCAATGGAGAGTGTGAGTTCAAGAACCGAGACTCCCGGGCGTAGATGAACTGGAACCTGTGATGTATGCACAGGCTTACCTACTTTCGTTCGGAACGTCTTCTTGAAGATAGCTAAAGTATTTTATAAGTAGTGCTCTCCCACAAATTGCCGAGGAGGATAGCCAGGACTTATGCAATATCACTGCATACAAGCTGCGGCTCGTCCCACCATTTTCACTGAGACCTGGAGTAGCGAGGCTTGAGGATCGTGTATACGAATACGATGTTAACAGCAGTCAAAGAAGAAAGGGTATATTTGTAGGATCATACTAATAGCACTACGAAAAACTTTCGTGACACTACGATGCTAAGCTTAATCAGAAACGCACCTCCCATACGAGTATACAATGGTATAATGATACTAAGATTATCCGCGAACAGTATTATGGGCATATACGTTAGCGTCCTATATACTTAAACCTATAACTAAACCTTTGAATCATCTTACTAGTTATGCTTTGATCGACAAATCGCGATATCTTACTAGGGCTCTCTAAAAGGATCATTGGAAAGACCTTTAGAAAAACCGTTAGAAATAGAGGAGCTTAAATCGTATCTAGCTAGGCCTTTCTTTCTAGCTCTTATTTCCAAAATTTGAACTATCACTATACAAACATAAGAGCTTAATGGATTTTACAGATATCGAATGCTACTGTATTCGTAAGGCTTGTTCCGAATTAGGTTTAGAATCGTAGTGTCACGAGAGTTTCTTGTAGTCCCATGAGTATAATCCCAGTTATATTGGTATCGTATCTAAATCTATACACCAGCTGGTAGGTATCGATCAAACCGATTCACTGTGAACAGCCAACGACCTAGACTTGGCCTCGGCGGCCGTGGCTACCTCAGTAGTGTTGGCCACTAGGGCATCCGGACCGTCGAAGATCACAGCCACTTGCTCAAGAGTGTAGCCCTTGGTCTCGGGATAGTAGAAGTACGCGGTCAGACCAAAGGCCAGCAGCACCACGACGAACACGATGTAGTATTTCCATGCAATAGCCTCCAGAGCAATGGGGTTGACGAATGTGTTGAAGAAGATGCCAGAAATCGCAGCCACCCAGGTGACAGTCACTCCGCGAGACCGAAGACGGTACGGCCAGATTTCGCAGGGGTATGCCGTGAGGAAGGGTGTACTATAGAGCCAGTCATGTTAGAGTAGTGATAGGAAGCCACGGGAAAAAAAGAAACTCACAGGGCGATACAGTATCCGGCGAAGAAGGTGAAGAGGAACGGAATGGCGGCACCTCCAGTGGCCGCTTTGTTCGTCACTGCGAAGCTGCCAGACAGTGCGGTAACCAGGACATAGCTGACGAACATGATCACTGCCGATGCTAGGAAAAGAGGACGACGACCCAACCGATCAATCAGATATGCACTTAGAACGGCGAAGGCCAGATCCCACATCTGCAGGCAGGCCGAGATGAGAGTCTGATCGCGGACCTTGGTGACCCCAACAGAGTCCAGAATCAGAGACAAGTAATACGACACAAGGTTATTCCCTGCGAATTGGGAAAAAAGACCCAGACTAATGGAGATCATGAGGCGTCGACGGTTGCCGGGGGTTTGGACCATCTCCAGGTAGCTGCCGTTGTTGTTGGCCTCTTGCTCGGCTCGGATAGTGGTGATGATATCTTGCATCTCATAATTGACCAGAGGCGAAGAGGTATCGCCAGCAGCGTGATACTGAGCGAGAATTGCCTGGGCTTCGTCGTCTCTTCCAACCGACACCAGCCATCGAGGGCTTTCCGGAGCGAGCAGGAATCCGGGCAGGCCGATGAGTGGTACCAGGGCCTGGAGGATCGAGGGAAGGCGCCAAGCCCAGGATGAAGGGTATGTTCGTGATGCGAAGACAACCCAAGCTGCCACCGTTCCACCGACATACCAGCCCGACATGAAGAGCGAGTTCAAGATGCCGCGGTGTGTTGGGTAGGCGATCTCGTTGATGAGAAGAGGGACTGAGTTTCCAAACAGAGCAGACGCAAAGCCCAGGAATAGACGGGCAAAGAGGAACGTTGTGTCATTTTGCGCCGCAGTTTGAAGAGCGACTCCAAGTGCCAGGAAGACATAGCCCACGTAGACACCTGGCTTACGACCGTATCGATTGGCAATCCATGATGCTGTGGGATAACCCACACCACAGCCAAGCCAGTGGATCGCATTGATCCATCCAAGCCAGGAGCCAGCCGGATTGTTCATGAAGGCTTTCCATTGGGACAATGCCTCCAAACCGTTCATCAGAGATCCGTCATAACCGTTGGCCGAAGAGTACATCACTAGGGAGAAAATGATGAAGTTGAGACGTAGAAGATGGGATTGCCTATACCAGGGCTTCGCATCCTTTGGAAGAAATGCAGCCATGGGATCGGGCATTGGATCCCCTTCAGCAGGCTTGCTAACCACATCCACTCGATCAATCTCACTGGAACCCATGATGTATAAAGGGCCAAGAGGCTAGTATAAAGATACAGACAATAATCTGGGGTTAGGAGCAACGCAGGGGCTGCCACGAGGTTTTATGCACGGCGGGTAATATGCGTTGAAAATCCATCATCGCCCGATGATCGGGTTCCTGGAAGTCTCTTTTCCCGTGGATTTGAACGAATTCCGTAAACTAGAGCGGTCTCATGAGGAAACAGACGACGACATGCAACACCGACCAATCGCTTAGTTCCGAGTCAAGGCTCAATTGTCGTGGTTCGGTCACCAGGTCGTCAGAAAAACCACCATGTGCCGGCTGACGGCGTAGTCGGGGAAAGATTGTGGGGAGACACGGGGAGCCGGGGTCGGCATCGACACTGCGCATACTGGACCCGACGCGGAGAAACGGAGAAAAGGAGAAACGGAGAATCCCACGATGCTGTTCGAGATGGCGTCGATGGGGCTTGGACTTGCCGTTCAACCAGGATGCTTGCCGAAGTGGAGACATGGCCCGATATACTTCCCCATCGGCCGGTCTCCGAGTTGGGGAACCGGAGAGGAACACGACACGCGAAACCGGGGCCCGAAATTTGGATCGATTTCTGCGAGAAAGTACTTAGAAGACTGAATTTCGCGGAATGGAACGGAGAATGCGCGAAAGGAAAAATCTCCCTCGCTTTTCTTGACCCCGATTTTTCTTAGCGCGAGAGAATGTCGATTGGCGATAACGCGCCCGTTGCGGCGCAAGAAGCATTTGCACAGATCGCAACTGCCGATATTGAGGTCTTGCTCAAGCAGCTCACCCAAGATGAGAAGGTTGCACTGTTGACAGGTATGTCCACAAGCTCACGAATATTATCGCTGTCGGCAGTCAAGAGGCATTGCTAATGGTTATGTCATGTCGATACAGGCGAGGACTTCTGGCACACAGTTCCTATTCCAAGATTGGGAATCCCATCGATTCGACTTTCGGACGGGCCAAATGGCGTTCGTGGCACTCACTTCTTCAGCAGTGTCCCGGCGGCATGTCTGCCATGCGGAACAGCTATTGGGGCAACATTTGATCGAGATCTCCTGGTAGAGGTTGGTCACCTTCTGGCAGCCGAAGCTAAAGCCAAAGGTGCACACGTCATTCTCGGCCCAACAATCAACATAGCACGAGGTCCATTGGGAGGAAGAGGCTTTGAGTCTTATTCTGAAGATCCTTATTTGTCGGGTGTCTTGGCTGGTCACTACTGCAAGGGATTAAAAGAGAAGGGCATTGTCGCGACCCTCAAGCACTTTGTTTGCAATGACCAGGAGCACGAGCGTATGGCCGTGAGCTCGATTGTCACCGATCGAGCTCTGAGGGAGATCTACCTACTCCCATTTATGATTGCCATTGCTCTCGGAAAGCCAGAGGCAATCATGACGGCGTACAATAAAGTGAACGGAGTACATGCCTCTGAGAGCTCTCAGCTCCTGCAAGATATTCTTCGAGGAGAATGGGGCTGGGATGGGCTGGTGATGAGTGACTGGTAAGCATTAATATTGAGGAAGACGAGGGTCGCGAAATTTATCTTTGAGAAAACATGCTAATTCTGCTTCATCTCACCATAGGTTCGGAACGTACAGTACCTCCGAAGCCGTCAACGCAGGCCTAGATTTGGAGATGCCCGGACCGACAAGATGGCGCGGTGGCGCACTGAACCATGCAATCACATCCAACAAAATCCCCCTTGCCGCTCTTAACGATCGGGTTCGTGCAGTATTGAAGCTCGTCCAGCGAGCCAGCAAATCAGGCATTCCTGAACGGGCGCCAGAAACACAACTTAATCGCCCGGAGGATCGCAAGCTGTTGAGGAAGATCGGCTCTGAGGCTATCGTGCTCATGAAGAATGAGGAGAATATCCTTCCATTCAAGAAAGAGAAGAAAATCGCAGTTATTGGTCCCAATGCGAAGATTGCCACATATTGTGGAGGTGGCAGCGCCGCACTGAACCCCTATGAGACCATCACTCCGTTTGATGGAATTTCAAATGCAGCTCAAGGAGGTGTTGAATTTGCTCAGGGTATCTATGGACATCAAATGCTGCCACTGCTGGGTAAACAGCTTAAAACGGCTGATGAAGTTGTCGGGTTTACATTGAAAATTTTCAATGAGCCCCCATCCGTTCAGTCAAGAATCCCTATCGAGGAACGCCATGAGACAGATTCCATGGTAATCTTCATGGACTATGGCCACCCGAAGCTGCAACCAGTCTGGTACGCAGAAGCAGAAGGTTATTATGTCCCTGAAGAGTCTGGTCTCTACGACTTCGGACTCACAGTCCATGGAACGGGAAAGATGTTTATTGACGGCAAGCTCGTCATTAACAACGCCGACGTGCAAAGGGCCGGAACAAGCTTCTTTGGTAGCGGAACCTTCGAAGAGGTAGCTGCAGTTGAACTCGAAGCCGGGAGGAAATATAAGATTCACGTGCAATGGGGATGTGGCAGCACCAGCACGTTCAGAGTTCCAGGTGTGGTTGATTTCGGCCACGGAGGCTTCCGCTTTGGAGCCTGCAAGCAGTTGCCACCTAAACAGGGCATTGAAGAGGCTGTGAAGGTTGCTCAAAATGCCGAGCAAGTTGTTCTATTCGCTGGGTTGAGCGGTGAATGGGAGTCTGAGGGAGAAGATCGGGCCAACATGAGTCTGCCCCCCAATACGGATGAGCTGATCTCGAGAGTTCTCGAGGCCAATCCCAACACGGTCATTGTGCTCCAAAGCGGCACACCAGTTGAAATGCCCTGGATTAACAAGGCCAAAGCCCTGCTTCATGCATGGTACGGCGGAAACGAGACGGGAAACAGCATTGCTAATGTAGTCTTCGGCGATGTGAACCCGGTAAGTACATTTCCCTTCTTTCAGTTTAGACGAAGAATGCACTTATGACGCATGGGATTCCCAAACAGTCCGGAAAACTTCCTCTCACGTTCCCTCGTCGTCTTAAAGACAACCCAACATACTTCAACTATCGATCGGAAGGTGGGCGAGTTCTATATGGCGAGGACGTGTACGTGGGATACCGGTACTATGAAGGATTGGAGGTTGAGCCATTGTTCCCCTTCGGACACGGTCTCTCATATACCAAATTTGAGCTGTCTGATTTGAACTTGGGTAGAGATTCGGAAGGTATCATGCGTGTCTCTTGCAAGGTACGCAATACCGGATCTAGGGACGGAGCGGAAGTTGTCCAAGTTTATGTGTCGCCTGTCGCACCCCCGATCAAGCGCCCCCTGAAGGAACTCAAAGAGTTTTGCAAAATTCAGGTTCGGAGTGGTGCAGAGGAGGTCGTCACAATCCCAATGGACATCACCCGTGCGACCAGCTTCTGGGACGAGAAAACCAGCAGTTGGTGCAGCCACAGCGGCACTTATAACATCATGGTGGGGACCAGCAGCCAAGGCGACTTCTTGGAGAAGCCGTTCGAAATTAGTGAGACCACCTTTTGGTCTGGCAGCTGGGACGGGGAACTATGATTGCCACGCCCTTTCTAGACGTATGGAAAGCGGTCAATTTTGAATAAACAAACGAAAGATAATTATTTGAGAATTCGATCGGTATCAATCCATGTTTGTAGATGCATCGCATTCATACCCTCGCTGCTGTCAAGGCGGGACAGAATATCAGTTGAGCGTTGGACATACTCAGCCACTCTTTTGGCGATGGGATCTTCCGGATGAAACGGACACGCCAGAAGACTCGAAGCCATATCGCGCACCTTGTTGGCGGCATGTAATCCGTTGGATTCCAAACTTGGCTGGGGGAAGTTATACAAGATGAAGAAGAGCTGGCGACATAACTCCTCTCTATACAGCCACAGCGCCCTCTGATCAAAGGTTCCAGCGTGATCCGACTGACTAATTGCGGAGATTTGGCTGTGTTGATGGGACTGTGCTACTTCGAGCTGATCGAGAATAAGACTTTGTAGCCAGATATGGGTGATGTGAAGGTTGACTCGCATGGACGCAAACTGAGATTGAAGCGTTTCGAGATCGCCATTGTTTGACGACTCAATGCCGATGAAACTTGAGGTCAGAGCAGACAATTGAAGACAAGCAGGAATGTCAGCAAGCAAATGCCGAAGACAATCTAGACGCCCTTGAAAGTAGTGCACCTGAAGATTGAGATCATGGGTCCGGACACAGGGACAGGGCTCTTTTGCAGATGATTTGGAATAAGGGTCTCGAATGGCAGCCAGGAACACCCGAGAGTGATGAATAAAGCCTGTCACTAGACAAGGCCCAGGGGTCTCAGGAGCTGTGACCTCATTCTTGAAAATGAACTCATCGTCAACCTCCAATGGCATCAGATCATTCGGGTCGATGGAATCGAGCATGACTGGGTCAAGGTAGCTCAATCGTTCCCCATGTAAGTTTTGTAGATGGGCATGACTAAAACTCAACAAGGTCAGGAAAAAATCATAAAAGTGAGACAGGATCAGTGGGTGACCTACACATAACAGTAGAAAACGAGCCAGAAGCCCTTTTTCCGAAGTTGCGTTTCTATACAATTGAGACCTTCGTATTCTGAGGTTCGATGCAAATTTAGAAGCCTTGCAATTTGCATTGCTTCCACACTTAGCATACGAGACCAATTATGATCCCCGAGCTGTAGAAATGCTGCGAAAAACAAATAGGAAATGGCGAACTTCTGAAAATTGAGTTCGTCAAAGTAGGAGGATGCTCGCAAGGCAAGAACCCTTTGATAGCAGAAGTGGACCATCTCTTTTCGAGATGAGAATCGTAAAGGCGTAGTGTGAGACTGATAAACCCGGAACTTAGTGGCCATCGTTGCCACGACCAAAGCGGCGATAGAGATTGTCAGGGCGAGAAACCCATCATCTTCGTAGTCCCGATCCTCCTGGAGAGCTTCCACGAAGGATGGGCGGTGCACGACAGGGACCATTGGATAGATAAAATCTAGATAATCTTGCATGATTATCTTGAATAGCCCTCGATCACACAGATCGTCAGTCCTGTATTGAGTGCTAGAAACATGATGGTCTTTCACACTCGGGTCCACGACGGATGCCCTGGGTACAAAGTGAGCGACAGTTTTGCAAAGACTTTGGGGCCATGGGCATACCTTTTCTTGGGCCCACGAGTTTTGGAGGGTAATATGAAGGTGCATGCGAGGTTGAGTCTCTCACATCTTTCACACCTTGAATTGCTCCCAGGTTGAGCACCCTGAACTTGACATTTGACCTTGCGTCTTCGACAAATATCGCATGCCTGAGGTGATAGTTCCACACGAGGGCGACTACCGACCTGCGGCATCCTGAATGCAATAATGCATTCCAAGAGGGTTAATACAAATGATCGCTTAGAGTTGTGCAAATGCAGGGTAATTGGCTGGCGACATCCATCTAGTTAGTTGGGGTCACGCTGCCCCAGATTAGTCACCCATGAGTGGGGCGGGCCATGATCTGATCTCATTGGTTCTCAACTCAAGTATACCTTAGGGATCAAGGTGGCTCTATCGTCCATGAGGCAGTCAGAGTACATATTCTTGATCAAGCTGCAAAGAAATTAGTGAACGAGGATTTATCTCACTTCATATCTCAGAATCAGAGCACCAACTCTCAACAAGTTGCCCAGAGCCTTACTATGTTCATTGTTTTATCAATTTGTACTCCGTACAGAGTAAACTTAGCCTATCATCTTGGGTGCTATGACATGGTAATTTATGACTATACAACCTAATCCGAGATATCATGCTCTGAATGTGGCTAGTCAGTTAGAGCTGTACTGCATAAAACTTAGAAAATTTAAGCCAACATGAAGGACCTCCCAATATTACCCAATGCTTATCCTGCTGCATAACCATTTATGTGGATACCTGTGGCTGATATGCAATTGATCTCAAATTTTTCTCCTATTTTCTTCTTGTTCATCTTTAAGTGTACCAGCATTCGCTTGCGTCTTCTGGTAGATCGCCTGCCGACTCCGGCCTAAATACGCTCCAGATGCTGGATATGACGTGACAAACACGTGACCCTTCCGACAGCCGCGGGTCGCAGCCGAGATGCCCTTTTCAGACCAGCCTCCACTTAAGGCGGAGCTTCTCTCTTTCAGCGGACATGCTCCCCATAATTCTTCTGCTCTGTCATCATCCTTATGCTATTGACCCTCTCGGAAGATGCCTAGGTTATCTCCTCGCATTTGAGCTCGGTGATCTAACTCGATAAGCACACACATCCTTACTTTCTTCCTCGGCGTACCGCATTTCCTTCGCCCCCATCATTACATCTCCGCCATGGCTTCTCTCCCAAGCTACTCCGCCACTGGGAGGACGAGATCATCCGATGGTGCCACAACTTCCAGCACCGACGCAGGAATATCACCCGAGGGCACGACAGCCCAAGCAGGCCTACCGGAGGATGGAGAGACCGAGACCGTCATCTTGAACAAAGACACGCCCACATCGTCTGCGGAGACCATACCGGACATCGCCGACAAGACACTCATCAGACACTCAAATAATGCCGATAGCTCCAATCACCAGGAAGAGCCTCGCAAATGCTGGATCTGCTACACAGACGAGACGGAGGACTCGCCACTAAACTTGGAGTGGCGATCTCCCTGTCCTTGCGCGTTGACGGCCCACGAAGCATGTCTACTCGACTGGCTTGCAGATATGGAGAATCCTCGGTCTCGCAAGCGAAATGGTCGCGGGGCAAAGATGGTCTGCCCGCAATGCAAATCGGAGATTGTCGTTACTCGCCCTCGAAGCTACATCGTCGACACCCTGCGCCTTATGGAGAGAATTGCGGGGCGGCTGGTCCTTCCAGGCATGGTCTTTACCGTTGCTGGTACTGTGTGGGCCGGATGTTGTGCCCATGGCATATACTCGATGTATCTTGTGTTCGGTACAGATGAGGCGAAACAGATTCTCGAGGATAGCGTCGACGGCCCGTGGAATCCTGGCATGAACCTCGGCTTGCCTCTTATCCCCCTCGTCTTGATTTTCTCTCGGACTCGTTATGCCGAAGGTCTTCTCCCGGCGATCCCTGTCCTATTCTTCGCTGCGCATAGTCCTGGACAAGAGCCCGACTTTGACCTTTGGCCACCCACCCCGGCCATGACATTCGCTGCCCTACCGTATGTCAAGAGCTTTTACGGCGCACTGTATGACCGTCTATTCGGTGGTCTGGAGAGAAAATGGATCGCAGAGGTTCAGCCTCGCGCAGCGGAGGAGATCATGGACGAAGTTCAGCAGCAGGACCAGGCGGAGGGGCTTAATCGTTTCGGCGACAATGTGAATGGCCAAATACTTATGGAAATTGATCTTGAGTTGCAGGTAGGAATGGACGATGACGACGAGCCGCCCGAGGGTCAAGCTCTCCCTGCAGCAGAGAACCAAGATGGCGCTGACCAAGGCGCCCAGGACGGCCAAGCACAGGGACAGAATGCAGGCCACAACAACGGGCTAGGTCTCGGTCGTCGACAAAACGAGATCATCCACGATACCGGTAATATTGCCGACACTGTTCTCGGAGCACTCGTCTTCCCCGCTATCTCAGCGTCCATGGGCGGGCTTCTCAAGTATATTTTACCAAAGTCTTGGACAACTCCGTCGTCAGTTCTTGAGCGAAGTCGCCCAGGGCTTCTACAGACTCGCTGGGGTCGTAGTGTGGTTGGTGGCTGTATGTTTGTGCTGCTCAAAGATGCCCTTGTCCTTTACTGCCGATGGAAGCTCGCACAGACACACCGGCGCCGCAAGGTGCAGAATTACGATCGATCCAAAAAGCACAACGGGAAGAAGAGATAAAATGAAGGGACTTGTGCCATTTCTTTGGTCATGCTCTCCCTGACAACTGCTCTTCGTTCTTACTGGGCTGGTCTGACACATTGTTTGCATTCTACGGCGTTTCAGGGAAATCTACCCGGTGATATTTGGTGGGATACGCCACTTATTTGCATGTCGCTTTGACATATTATGCCTCTCATGACCTACAAGATACCGTTGGATATTACTACTAGCTTCTCATTTTCTATATCTTTTCCTTTGGCACTTAAAGCCCCGTTTTTTGTCTTCGTTGTAACTACGAAGATTCCAACGTGATCCTCCGTGTAGATGTCTGATAGGAGCCCGAAGTCTTCCTGTAATGTGTGGAGAAAGAGAAGACCATAAACCTTGTAATGAAATTTTTGCTTTGAGAAATCCACCTCGTTCTTGAAAAATTAGGCCGATCATTATGAAGTGTCAGTCAAATAACTAGTCACCTGGATGCGACGCGGCGATCTGGCAGTAAATTAAGCGCGCGGCTAAACCAGGGCGGACAAGATTCTGCCATCAGGGAATTATCCCCCGTACAGCGAACGCATCTCTCTGTGCCTTGCATCCCCCATATATCACCCAACATGCGGTCTCTATCACCAGCTCTCGCGTCTCTCGCGAATGTCTTCCGAATCTCGATGTCGCTAGCTCCGGTACGCCCAACCGCTTCGCGCGTGTGCCACGAAGTCCTCGCCCGTCGGACACAACAACCCGGTCCGATTACCGCAGCCGTGCAATCCGCGCCTTTCTCCTCGACAAGTACCCTGGAGGGGCGAAAGAACAGAGGTCCCAATGTGGATAAGCGAATCAGTATGTTATACTTGAGATCTAGCGCTGCTGAAAACCTCAATTGCCCGAGGCTTTTGGCTGGCCCCATCTTGCTTGATACCGCATCACACGAGCAAAATGGAAAGGCTTCATCGACACTAACGTGATTCTCTAGCTCTTATCCGCTACTTCCTCTACCACCCCCTCACTCCCCGCCCTCTGCGCTTCTCGCGAAACCGATACCTCCGCCATTGGACTATCCACCGCGCCTGGCAATTGTTCCAGGCCAAGCAGCGCCGTGGACGAGAACTCGAGCTGGAGCGTCAGTACCAGAGCATGCAGTCTGCTTGTGAGGAGCTACGGACTGGCGCCGGTGATGGTGGCAGACTGTTCCGCAAGTCGATGATCAAGAAGGGCATCTTCACTGATATGTTCCCCATCGAGTACGGCCGTATGCAGACCGATTACCCCCTGCCGAGGGGTGGAATCATGATTGGAAGCGTCCTGAGAAGAAGGACCGATAAATGTTCGTGATGGGCATGTTTTAAAGGGTCAGAGTGTGGATTGACTAGACCTGGATTTGTCCGGAGCTAGTGTTGGGTATCTTGTGTATCATTTGGCGCTATGTACTATACGCATTTTATTTGTTGGCCTCTATTCCGAGAGCATTTTTGAGTCATCTCTCGGATGGGCATATCGTGCTTTCATATGTTTTCTATAAGAGCTATTGTTCGAATATAAGAGCCAGTGGCTCGAAATATCTACAAGTTCAGTGATAACGAGACTGCCGGAGTTAGAGAACTGGATTGTTTGCTGTATAGTTCTGCAAAAGCAATGGCAAAAAGTGCGCTGTATGAAATGACTGGAGAAAAAAAGAATCGACAGGAATTACTACACGAGAAGAAGAAAAACCATCAAGGAACGACATTCGCAATGCACTTCGGGGAGAACAGTGACAAGAGATGGGAATCCGGAGACGCACGTGCATGAGATGATGGGGAAACCAAAAAGAAGGGAATGACGAAAAAGAAAGACATGAGAGAATGTACCCCGAGAGAACAGACAGGGCGAAAAAGAGCCGGAATAACAGTTAGAAGAGCAACAGATGTCATACCCGGACCAATCGACCCAAGAAATCAAAAGAACCTCCCGAACGCCAATGATGCATGATACAGCGGAGGCTGCTAATCGACACGGGTCAAAACAGGGACTGAGCAAAGTCCATCGACTTGTAAGGCGAAAGAAAAAAAATAACCGAACGCTGGGCAGAGAGAAAGAGTAATCGCAATGTCCGTTTCACGCAATCAGGTCGTTATAGAACAATGCAGCAGGAGCTCTTGCGCTTGTCGAAGGAGAGTAGAGCAGCTCGGGTAGCGGCCTCGAAGACATCATCGACGCCCTCGCCCGTGAGGGACGAGCACTCGAGATACTTGCGGGCGCCAACCTGAGCCCCCGTCTCGTTGCCTTCTTTGCTCGTTACGAATTTGAGAGACTTTTTGCGCATTTCTTCAATGGCCAATGGATCTTCACGGAGATCCTTCTTCAGGCCGACAAGGATAATGGGGACGCCGGGGCATCGTTCGTTGGCTTCTTCAATCCACTGCAACCAACGAGTCAGTGACATTCATTAGGACCCCCCTCCGCCCCGCCTGACGGATCAGTCTGACGCACCTTGTGTTTCACGTTCTCCAGTGAATCTGGGGAATCCACCGCGAAACCAATCAACAAAACATGTGCCTTCGAGTATGCCAGCGGCCGCAACCGCTCGTAGTCTTCTTGTCCTGCCGTATCCCAGAGGGCCAACTGTACCGACCGGCCATCAACTCGACAATCGGTCACGTAGTTTTCGAATACCGTGGGTACCTGATGATTTGGATGATTAGATAGATGGATCGTGGATGAGGTAGGATGATCGCAGACTAACGTAATGCTATGTGTTATATACGAATTAGCGATAGACTCGTCGGGTTGTCATTCCAGTTTACAACTCACAGTTGGAAAGTAGCCGAGCGTGAAGACACTCAGCAGACTGGTTTTTCCACAGGCACCATCACCGATGATCACGAGCTTCCTATACGCATAATTGTTGATTAGAATTTGACTGAGATGTTACAATCGTATGAATTTGTCGCTTGTTCTTAACAGAGAGCCTCTCAGCAACGCTACTGTTCATCGGCTGAGAAGGGGATCTCGGCTTGTTGTACCGGCTCGCACGATTGGGAGTATTTCGAGACGAGAACCACAAGATGCAAGAGAGGAATAAGCTGGTTGTGCGTACCTCCGCATCACATTATCATTCTGTTGTTGGGCCATGATCAATGGTGTCGGATGTGTTGAGCCCGGATATGTCGCAATACGGAAGGATGGGGAGGCAACGGGAGAATGGCGAGACCGATCACAACTTCGGGACACGAAGTTTCTCGAGTTAGGCCTGCAAGAGCTGATGATCGAAGATCGCGACACGAAATCAGGCAGGGGTAAGGGAAGTCCAGCCCTGTACACACGGTGTGTCCCGCCCAATAGCGTTCAGGGGGGTTGTTGCGAGGGGAGGCCTAACGATGCACCACAACAGTGACGTGACGGGGGGGGTGGTTCTGGTTCTGGTTTGTTTAAAGGCGGTCGCGTCGGGGCTGAAGGTCCGAATAAGTTGAAGGAGAAAGAGGGGAGGGAGGGGGGAAAATAGAGGAACGAATTGGATGGCCAGGCACGACGATCCTCACGATGATCCGATCCACTGCCAGAGAGAGTAGTTGAAATTGGGTAGTAAGCGAGAGCGGTTTAGTTGGATTTAGTAGCAAGTTGGTCTAGTCCGAGGCGTTTGGCCGGGCGGTCGGTAGATAAGATGAATGGGAGGAAGAATGCGGTTGTAGATTCCCGGAGATTTAAGGCTTGCCCCGGGGTTTGAACTACGGAGTCTGATACACACACGGCAGCTGCTCCGTTTGATTATCCTGGCTCTGTCCCTGATGTAATTTTTTTCCCTTAGCCACTTCCGGCGGGCTCTGGCTTTCTCGCCATGATGGAGTTATTTTTAATTAGCGCTGTCCGTGTCTCACAACGCGGTGGAGCAAATGAGGCGCCGATAGTTGCCTATCACGTGGATACACACCGCCTGCCAGTTTTTACAGGCAGAATAATAGGGCGGTGTATATCAAACCACGTGACCTCAGACGAACCTCAGTTTATGCATGAAAGGCCCTTTGAGGTCCTGAGATAGATAGTAAGAGCGTCAAAATAGAACATCGAAGGACTTGGAATACAAGTCAATCTCTCATTTCACCCAACCTCTTTCACATTTGTTTGTGGTGCCTGACCAGTCAGGCACCAGCTCGCTTGCGGCGGCTATCCCGTTGCGGCGGCACGACAACCAGCCAGAACGCAGGAAAGCCCATTGCTTCATCCATCACCCGCCATACGATCTCGCAACCTCCGTTCCACGCGCTCTCAGGGCTCTGCAACCGTCCTTGTCCTGGTGTTTCTTCACTGATCTCTTCCGCCCGAGGGTCTCCCAGCGCCCCGGTCTCCTCTCCGAGAAGCGAACACGACCTGACCCGCCGGGATCATTGGCCTTTCAACCCCCTCCTTGAGCCTGATCCCGCACTTCCCCCTCCCGTTTGCTACGCAAGAGGACCCCCTCACAAACAACTCACAAAGGGCGCGACTCTATTTTACTGTCCCTCCCCGGGGATCTCTTACTGGTGGCTTGGTCCCTGCATTGGATTGAACGGAGCTTTGTTGGTAGGTTCTTTCGCCCTCCCGCTCTCCGCTTTGGCCTACTCGCTCTTGTCCCCTCTCACGCAACGCCTTGGCTTCTTCCTCCTTCTCTTTTCGATCTGCTAAACTCGCTGCTGTCTGGAATAGACCACTGCGAAGGCAGTCGCTTCAAGCTCCACAGTCCACCATGGCGACCCATGCATCAGCTACTCCGACACTCTCCACCACCAACGGTGACGCGCGGGGACCTTTGAACAACTCGACTGCCGGAAACATGTCTGCACCAACACCTACTGTGAATCGCAAGAAACAAAAGCGTCGGCAGAAACAAGCTGCTCGCTTAGCGGCGGATCCATCCGAAAACCATGCCGCCGGAGTTGTCGCGGACCAGCCCGACGACCGACATGTCTACGATGATAACGCCGACCTTGACACTGCTGACTCCAACCACACGGATCCAGATAGCATGTATAAGAATGGAGAGCCTGGCTCTCAGCATGATCTAAACGGACCGATGATGTCGAATGACCCCGCCGACCATCCAGACCCACCTGGACATAAATCGAAAAAGAAGAAAAACAAGAAAGGCCGGTCTGGTTCTCATACTCTTGCAGACGGCAGCTCAACTCCTCTCTCGACTCCCTCCGCGACCTTCTCCCATCCGCCCCCGCATTCGCACTCCCTACCCTACGGCCACCGTTTCCCAGCTAGGTCGACCAAAGAAAGCAGTATCTGGAACCAGTCATCGTTGGAAGAACGTGAGAACATCCGGACCTTCTGGTTTGAACTGGGCGAAGAGGAACGCCGCCAACTCGTCAAAGTCGAGAAAGATGCCGTTTTGAAGAAGATGAAGGAACAACAGAAGCACTCTTGCAGTTGCACCGTCTGTGGCCGAAAGCGAACCGCAATTGAGGAAGAGCTGGAGGTCTTGTACGATGCATACTACGAAGAGCTTGAACAATACGCCAATAACAACCAAGGCTCCTTTGAAGAAGGAGCCCCCATTATCCCTCCCCCTCGACTGTACCAACCTCCTCTTCGATCACCTGGTCAACATACTCGCACGCATGGACAATTTCACCCGTCACGGGGCCGAGTGCAAGAACTGCCCGAGGACGACGAAGATGACTTTGAAGACGATTATGACGACGAAGACGAGGATGATGAAGATGAGGATGACTTGTACAGCGACGAGGAGTACGAGGACGAGGAAGCGCGTGCTGCTCGGGCCGACTTCTTTGCCTTCGGGAATAGTCTCACGGTGAAAGGTTTGTGTCTTACCAATTTTATTACGATCTACATGGGAAAGTGGCAACTAGCTGACTCCGTTCTTGCGCAGATGGTATTCTTACGGTGGCCGATGATCTACTGAAAAACGACGGTAAACACTTCATCGATATGATGGAGCAATTAGCCGAGCGCCGAATGCAAAGAGAAGAGGATACGCAGTACAACATCGCCGCCGCCCACCAATCTTTCCATGCCGGCCATAACCATGGTCCTCTCGACGATGAAGACTACGACGACGAGGAGGATGACGATTATGATAGTCAGGAGGAGGAAGAGTTTGATGAGGACGAGATGGTGTGTTGCCATTGGCAACCTTCTGAACAGGGAATGGTGACTGACAGATATGACCAGGATGCTATGACCGAAGAGCAGCGCATGCAAGAAGGGCGACGAATGTTTCAGATATTTGCTGCTCGAATGTTCGAACAACGAGTCATGACGGCATATCGAGAGAAAGTTGCCGAACAGCGACAGAAGCAGCTCATAGAAGAACTCCTGGAAGAGGAGAACCGAGAGGAGCAGCGGAATGCCAAGAAGGCCCGAGAGGCACAGAAGAAGAAGGACAAGAAGCGCCTGCAGAAGCAAGCGAAGGAAGAGGAAAAGGCTCGTCGTGATGCAGAGAAAGCCGCAGAGGAAGCCGCAGCGAAGGCTGCCCACGAGAAGAAGTTAGAAGAGCAGCGAATCAAGCGTGAGGAGCAACGGAAGAAGCGCGAAGCCGAACGCAAAGCACAGGAAGATGAGCGTGCTCGCAAAGAAGCCGAGAAGCAACGGCGTGCCAAAGAAGAGCGAGAGCGACAAGCCGAAGCCGAGCGGAAGCAGCGTGAGCAAAAGGAGGAGAAGAAGAGGCGTGATGAAGCGAAGCGCAAGGAGAAGGAAGAGCGTGATAGGAAGGCCAAGGAGGAACAGGAACGCAAAGCCCGTCAGGATCAGGCCAAGAAGGACCGTGACATTGCCACGAGGGCAGAGCAAGCCGCAAAGCCCTATATGCAGGCCCGGCCGATCTCCCACGCTGGCTCCATCCCTCTCACCTCCGCTCTTCAAACGCAGGCTCATCCTGGCTCATTCCAATCGCCACACTATGCTGTGGCCACTCCTGTCGCCCCGAAAGCTTCAACTCCCAGCAGGCCACGCCAGCCATCCCAGCAGGGATCTCACTCTTCATCTCCTCACTCGCAACCAGGAAGCTCAGACTTCCCTTTGCAGCCTTCAATCTCTCCGCGGTCTCTAGCACAGTCTCAATCGGGAGCACCAGGCCTTGGTCGACATGTCCAGCACCAGCAGCCCCATCTGCACCACCCTCAACCTTCCGCGCCTCTGTCGCCTTTGGGTCGTAGTAACCCCCCTGGCTTCCCGGCCCTCGGTGGCTTGCCAACAAACCCTCCAGGCTTACCAGGAATGGGGGGCCGACCGCTTCACCCGCCCGATCTGCCAATGTATTCTCCTAACTCGGCTATGATGAATCCTCTTCGAGGGTTCGGTCCTGGAAGTATCCCCGCGCCGCCTGGTATCAACGGAGTCCGCCCAATGCCTCCGGGCAGAGGGTTCCCGCTCCCTGAATCAGGGCACGGTCTGCCATTCCCGGGTCACCATGCTGTTCCTGGAGCATTCGGTATGCAACAGCCGGGTTTGTCGAAGACGCATTCGAGACAGCCATCTGGTTCGTTCGAACGCTCTCCTTTGGAATCCGGTACACAGCCGTTCCCCATTTCGCGCCCAAGCCCTATCAAGCGTCCCCCGAGCACTGCACAGGATCAGCATGAGCACCATGGCCATGGCCACCCTCCATCCCAGCGCGATATCGATGATTTGAGCACACAGCTGGGAAGTAGTGCGCTCCTCGACGAAACGGACGCTGCGTTCGCATCGAAGCTGTCACAATCATTGCCCGGTGCTCCTGCACCTGGGCCGTATGCGTCGCCAGCGAGAGCCAGTTTCCAGGGGTCGTTGTTTACGGACCCTCTAGGTAAGATTGGACCCTAATCAACCCGACGATGAATTTTGGACTGATTTTGTTGTAGGAGCCAAGCATGCACCTTTTGTAGGTGGTTCTAGCTGGGGTGCACCTGCACCTTTCGGAGGGCCCGCTTTCCCTGGTGCCTCTACCTGGGGAGCTACGACTGGTAGGAAACCCTTGAAATAAGTATGCATTTGTTGCGTCAAATTGCTAATGACTCTTACAGGAAGCGGTTGGTCTCACAACGCTTTTGCAGCTGGTGGCCATCATCGACCACACACCTCTCGCCCTGTTACTGTCCGCTTGCTCGTTATTCAAGCCTGCAAGTACCTCAACAGTCTAAGCCCACGCGTCGGCTCGGGTGGCTATCACGATGTGAACCTCGTTCTCGACCAAGTAGAGCAGCTGCGGTCTCCCTCTGAGCAGGCTATCTCTCTGGATGAGATGCTCGAGATCTGCGATACGGAAGGCAGTTCTCAAAATGGCGGTGGCTCTTTCTCCATTAAGAATGAAGGGAATGGCCAATTCGTCAAGTTCGAGCCGGACACGAACAGCGCCGTCGCTGGACATCGAGGCAGCATTGTGCCAGGCGATATCGGTAGCCCGATTCCTGCGCATAGCAACCCTGCCGTCTTTGGCGGATTCGGTGCGCCTGCTTCCTCGGTCCTGCGTCAGTACTCTTCACCTGCAGCTGGGTTGTTTGGCGGAACATCCTAAGTTTCTGCTTTCTTACGAGTCCATTTGATCGTTCAGGGTCTTGGCTCGTCCACCTTGTCCGATCTATGGGAATGATATCTAACATGACTCTTCTTTCTCCACCCCCTTTCCCACCCCTTTCCTCATCTGCGTTCCTCTTTTTGAATTCAAGCGTCACGGGTTAACGTCTCATCCACCACGTTCTGAACTGTCTTGATCTTTCTTCATTGATATGGGTTTCTTATTTTCGCGTCCAAGTCGGTCGGCTGCTGGACTTGGACCTGGGGCATCCTGGTTTGGATTTATGTGTACGGTATGATTCTTTGTGTTTACTGGCCTTTCTGCATTATGCAGCGATATCCGTGGAGAATGGGACAATCTCCCTCTCCTTCATCGTCCTTGACCCAATTGCATGATCGAAGGTTTCTTCGTCTTTTGCCATTATCTGTTGGATTTCATCTCGTAGATTTTCGCACTGCCTTCTATCTTGAATGGAGATTAGATGTATGAGACTAGTTGATTCTACTTGTCGAATAACTGGACATGTTGATCTTTGTGGGAAGCAAATCTGTAGTAGATGAAGGGTATGGAATGTTGTCCAGTGACAATAGTACACTTGTATGTACTCAAGAAACAAAAGAGAAAAGCAACATGGCAGAGGGCCGGCTTCCAGAAGAAGAACAAGGGCAGTGAAAGAGAAAGGAGATGAAAGGACAAAACTAAGGAGAAACCAGGATTCCAGAATCCCACGCCAACAACACATACACGAGACAGACAGCTCCTCACCTGAGGAATCGCCTTAATCTACACACGAACCTAGCCCGGTCGAGCAATGAGGGACATTTTCAATGCGCAGTGTGAATTTACTGCCGCTCGGTCACAACACCTTCATATTCCCGGGACCTGATGTACTCCAGTGTCCGCTCGAAGTGGCGCTTAGGACCCTCGAGGCTCGGGTTTGGTTCGTCCTCGCTGGTCTGAAGGTTGGAGTGAATGAGCTCAATCAGCCCATTGAGATACTTGGTCGTGACGGTTTCGTTTTGCTGGTCGAAGTAATAGACGTATCGGTTCAAGATCTCGACGAAAAGCTCCACGGAAACAGCCGTGTCCATGCAGGCATCAGCAACACGGAGGGCACGCTGGAGGCATTCGAGAACCCGTTTTCCATCGCGGTAGAGCTGTGATATGTGAGTATTTTGGAACATTAAATCATAGATGAGGGATTACTTACGTTCTTTGGATCCTCTTCCCCACGCTGAGGGTTCTCAACTACCCACCAGAGATGGCTGGCAAGGTACACTGCACGGCACTGGTCAGGCTTCTTGAGAAGCTTGCTTCCATGCAGAGCAGCCTTGGTGATCAATGTATCGTAATTCTCCTTGGAGAACCCTCGGGTTCCGTGCAGGGCACCTGCAATGATGCAGACGGCCTGGAACTGAGCTCGAGAGTCACTGATCGCATCTTCGTAGATGGTAAATGCCTGCGCGAAGAATTCGTAGCTGACTTCTTCGAATCCTGTTTGATCTGCAACTTCACCACACATGACGAACAACCGGAGGGCTAGGTCAGCACATCCGGGGTTCACCCGTTGGTACAAGTTGTTGACACATTGGTGCTGGAAGCGATAGAGAGCGGACGATTGTGACTGCCAGTTGTCATCGTAATGCTCGCGGGACTTCAGTTTACGGGCCAAGCGAATTGAGGCCGTGACGAGAGCTGGCGTAGTGTATCTGATGCGCTCGTTGCCATCGGCGTATACTTTTCGAGTTGCTTGAAGAAGCTAATAAGGGATGTTAGCATCGAAGACTGGTACTTGAAACATATCACAAAGCTTACCTTCAGTTGGGTGTCATTATCGGGTGCCTGAATCAAGTGCACCAATCTGGCAAGCCATCCTTGCTCCTCGATCGTCTCGTCCGTCTCCCCGCCACGCCGCTGCGAGGGTGCCCCGGGGTATCCAGTGGACTGTTGCAGACCCTCCTTGATCAAAACTCGGGCAACTTGCAACACGCGGTCTAGGTTCTCCGTAGTTGTGATTAGGGTCCTATTCTTAAGTAGACTCCGGACAATCTCGCCGGCGACCGCCCTACGGGTGGGATATGACTGTGATGTCAGAAGTGGTAGATAATGCGGCAGCGCCAAAGCTGTGAAGATCGAGACATATGAGCGAAGAGGTGCACTGAGAAGATGGAGAATGTGCTGTTGAGTGGGGGCCGAGTGAAGATCGGCGTGGTCGGTATATTCAGCAGTCTTTTCAGTCGCAAAATCGAGGACCTGATCGACATAGTGCAGCTCATCGGGGTAGATGTTTAGTGCCAGGTTGACAAGGGATACCAAAAGTGCCATGGTATCTTGGATCGGCAGTGCGCGCGTCTTAATCAGATTCACCACCTGATCATAGAAGATATCGTATAGCTTGACTTCTGCGGGAATGGCGGGTTTGGCATCGTCTCCATTTGTGGCCTGTTCCTGGCTATCGCTCTGTTCCTTCGGGGCTTCGGTTGACTCTTCCGTCTTCGGGGGCTCCTCAGTGCCATTCTCCTGTTCCTTATTCGCAACAGCCGCTTCTGCGTCTGCTTGCTTCTTCTTCTTCTCCTTGTCCAGTTCGAGCTTTTCCAACAACCGAACCACCGCTTCCTCCTCATTTTGTTTTCGCGCCTCTGGCTCTGCCGTGGATTCGTTGTCTTTTGTCGCGTATGTGGACAGGCGATCCATCAATCCGATCACAATCTTCTTCAGATCAACGTGTGGGTGGAGTCGAGCGATAGCAGACAAAAGGTGGTCCAGGGTGTGGAGGTGGAATTCGTCGGGGAAAACCTTCGTGATCACTGTAGATGCGATTAGTCTTTGAATTAAGGTCGGAAATGGTTGAGGATTTTACCTTCGAGAAGGTATTCTTGCGCCAGCACATCGCGACACTGTACCACCTGCTCGAGAAGCGCTTGTAGGATGCCGGACTTGTATCCTTCAAGGTCGACCAACTGGCTCAGCCGAACGATATTGCTACCAACAAGCAGCTCCAACTCGCGCCTTTCCTGTATCCGTCTCTCCCGCTCTCTGGATGGACCCTGGTGCTGCAGCCGAACCCAGAGCTTGTTCATCTCCACGAAATTCGTCAAAACGAAGTTAATTGAATCTTGTAGGTTGCCCTCGGGCCCATCGCCAGATCCTGATGGAAGGTAGTCGCGCGCCTGCCCGGACAGGTAGTATCGCAGGAAAAGGCCGCGGATCGGGTGCTGAATACCACGGCTCATCTCCATCATATCCTTCATAATCTCCTTGACCGGCGCATCCTCGACGGACATGTAAACTGTGCCGACGGTGATCATAAGATATAAACGGGGAACAATGTTTCCGGCATATTGAACCAGTTCGTAGAGGTCCGCCAGGTGGTTGACAGGGTGGTTCTCCTTGAGGTAGACGGACAGGTGTCGCAACGCGTCAAAAACAGCCATGTACAACTCATAATACTGCTTCGGACCAAGGCTAGGGGTTCGTAGTTCGGAGACAAGAGTTGATCTGTAGTGAGGAGTTCCCAACAGGGAGCAATTAGTACATAGGTTCATTACGCAGACATCCGGGGACCGCTGCCTGGAGGGACCAAAGTTGAGGCCAAGCTTACCCGCACTTGAGCGCATCCATGAGCTTGCCAGGAGTCTCTAAGCATTTGCGCATCATCGTTGACTGTTGCCTCACCACCCCCAATGCCTCCTCCAGGAGGCGGCTTTGGTCCTCGGCGACCGGCGGTGGGCTCGCCATCGTGGGAGTGAGTGAGGGGGAGCTGAGGATGGAGGTAGGCGGTAAACGAACTGCAGAGCAATTTAGGGAACTGGAAGCTCTTTCACCACGAGCGATCACAAGAACAGTTCATAGACTGTAGGGAGGTCGAGGGGGCAGAGAGGAGGCGAATGGGTCGGGGGTTGGGGGGGGGGGGTGAGGTGGGAAGTTGAGTTGGATGGAGTGCCGCGAAGCCAGCGAGGATAAGAGGATAAGCTCATTGGTGAGTCCACCCATTCCGCCGAAACGTCACTGCCTCTGCGGCTTCCGGGGGAAACTCCGGCCATCGCGCAAATATCTTAGCTAAAGCCTCAATACATTTTGCAATTTCTTTTCTTTTCTTTTCTATCCATAAATCTAATCGGATAGTTGGTTTTAATTTGTTGTGTTCTGCGTGCATTGAAGCCATATTAACAATTCCTCTACATAGTATTCTCTAGGATCTGTGTTCAAGAACACCTTTATATTATGAACCAAAGCTGCAATTGTCTAGTCTATCGAGTCTAAGATCTATCTAATCGAAATTAACAGGGGACAGCAATCCTGATACTTGTTCATATACCGAGAACACGATTCCACCGCTGAGGAATAGACGCCCAAGTCGCATAGAGCTTCCTTTCCAGAAGCCCTTGACACCATAATCACGCATTAAACTTTTAACTGCCTCTACAATACCAGCACCTTGAACACTTTGTGCCCTCGTCTTGATGGTATCGAAGGGTTGAGTTGCATAAACCGTCACGATTCCCGCCAAAGCTCCCGTTCCGAACGATGTAAACACGTTAGAGGCAATCCCTTGCTTTTTGGTCATTTCTTTGAGGATATTGTATGTTCCCATGCGCACTGCAGATGTAGCCGACTGCTTGATTGTGGTGGAAACGAGGCCTCGATAGAGTTCAGAAAGGCCTTGTCTTTGGACTAGCACTTTAGCAGCATGTATGCCGGATTTGAATTGGCGATTTGTTTTTGCATCATCGATCCTGTTCGATACAATGAGAAAGTGGTCTTCCCCTATAACTGTATACCAAAGATACTCACAAAGCAGTTTTGATTCGCTCGGTAGGGGTAACAGCTAAAACACTTTCAACAGCACCGGCTGCCATACCAGCCAAAATGCCTCCTCCTGCCGAAAGCTTCCCATGCTCATCGGATAAGAAATTGCGGATTGTGTCATAAGACACGAATCTTACTGCTGCTTTTCCAGCAGTGCCCTAACCATCGAATTTGGTATTAGTTGGGCTATTGGAACCTTGGTCAAATTCGAAATCAGATACTGACAACTATCAAGGTGGTACATCCTGTGTACAAGGAACGGACTCCTTCTTGTCGGGCTACATCCAAGATCAGCCGGAACGGGTTTTTCCTAGCCACTGAACCATGTTGAACAAGCTGGACTCTCGTTTTGGAGTACTCGAACGGGTACTATGAGAGTCAGCGACCGATCAAATAAGGTTGTGAAGCAGTGATATACCCACCGTTATTGCAGCCTCAACACCACCAGCTACACCTCCTGACACAAGTGAGACCCACTGGGGAGTGAGATGCTGGGGAAAGAGTCAGAAAATGATCATTGACGCCAGTAGATCGATCACAAATTGGGGACAGTGATGTAATAAACTACCTTTCGTGGCCCAATCTTGCCTGCGCTTGGCTGGACTGAAATTTGAGTGGCCATGACCAACGGCAAATGGTGACAGATTATTGTTGATCAACTAATATCATACAACTACAGCGAGCTAGACTGGTGGACATCTCGAACTTCTTGGACATATATCTTGATGGAAGCAGACTTGCCGCGGAGATTGGCATCCTGCAGAATACGGCGGACTATTGGGTTCACTTCCCCAAAGGCCTTAGTTAGCGATTTTCAAACCGGCAGAATCTCGATTTTACCACAGGAAAACGATTGAAGTTGATTTAGATCAACTTAACTAATTAGATTAGTAGAACTAAAATCTAATTGCGGAGCGAAGCGAAGCAATATATTGTATAATCTATAACTTATTAATCTAGGTACCTATAACTTATTAAATCTCAAGACCAATCTCAAGACCAATCTTAAGCCCAATCTCAAGACTAATCTTAAGACTAATCTTCTCATTAAACCGGCTATATTAGTATATAATACTAGTAAATGATGATTCTTTATTGACGAGATTATAGTAACTCAGATAAATATCTGTGTGATTTATAAGATAACCTCCACAGTTATACGCCAAGACAAGAATATTTAGTTAGAGCAGATAGGGCGGTGGAATAAGCGGTGAAGGTACTTGGTAGGATTTGGGGGTTTTGGGGAAGTGAACCCAATAGTCCGCCGTAGCAGAACCACCCAAAGATCCCACGGAGTCTACGGGTCTTCGTCCTTTCTTCGTCTTCCATCTCCCTCTACCATTGAGTCCATGGCGGAAATCCATCCACGGAGGCCACGACGGGCTGCGAAAGCATGCGCCTTCTGCCGGCGACGGAAGGTGAGTTTCTGAGATGCGATCAGTCGCGATGTGAACTCGTTCTGAGTGGGTCATTTAGTTGCGGTGCGATAACGGGAAGCCCACTTGTTCTAATTGCCGGGGGTACGGCAATGAATGTGTCTATCCCGCAGACATTGTAAGACAGAGGTATGATATGGGCTTTATCTACGGAAAAAGATCATCAATTGACAATCCCAAGGCCTACCAAGGCACGTCTCTCTCAGCTAGAAGCAGAGAATCAACAATTGCGTCGGCAATTAGGCGCTGTTGAGACGCAATCCATCCAAGGAAGGGGATCGCCTGAACACACTCCAACTTCATCGAGACAAGAAACACAAGAGCTTCCTGCTGAACCCCCCGGCGAATCCTCCTCCAACGGGGAACAACAGGAAGCTAGCACTGTGGAGCATTCTCAGTCCGCTGTCTCACGCATCTTTATTTCACCGAATGGAGACTCCAGCTATCACGGCCTCACCAGCACTCTGTTCGACGATGCTCCGACCGACAGGCGAGGTCAAGTGAGACCGACCGACCAGCAAATCCCTGCAGATCATGTTTCCAAGTGTCTGATGGGAGAGGCTGCTTATCAAAGTATGTTTCAAGATATACAAAGTTCTATATTCCGATCTGACCAGAGTTCAGGACAGCTTGAAGGGTTGAATATGCGTCATGGAAAGCTGGATTTTGATGGTGTCGACCCAGAATTGGGCATGCATCTACTGTCCCTTCACTGGAATCGCCAGCATCACTCATTCTTGATCACATACCGCCCGGCTTTCATGCGCGACATGGCCTGCAACGGGCCATATTTCTCAAAACTCCTTCTCAACGCCATATACTTCGGCGCCTCAAAGTTTAGTAATAGACCTGAGGTTCGCCGGGACCCCAACGATGTACGCACGGCGGGCTGGACCTTTCGTATGCGAGTCAAGGAGCTCCTTGGCAGTGCCCTTGACCGTAGCGAGATTACGACTATCCAAGCACTTCTGGTCATGACCAGCTCATTGTTTGCATTAGGCGATGAGCGTAGTGCCGCTTGGCTTTACGCCGGCACTGCCTTTCGAATGATCATCGATCTAGGGATGCACGTTGACGCGACAATGTTAACAAACATGCGTCGGCTCTCCGATGAAGATCTTGAGATTCGCCGACGCGTTTTCTGGGGGGCCTTCGTTGTCGATAAGATTCAATCCCTCTACCAAGGTCGTCCCGCAAGCCTCCAAGATTTTGATACCAAAGTCTCGCTGTCATTTTTGGACAACTACGAAGAGCTTGAGGAATGGCAGCCATTCGCGTATTCAGATGTTGAATCTTACCCTGGGTCTCCTGCTTATAGCGTGTCAACTTTCACGCAACTATGCAAGCTTTCCTTGATCCTCAATGGGATTTTAAACAAGGTCTACTCCGAGAGAAGCTCAGCGCGTTCACCGGATGAGCTCCTTGCAACCTTGAAGTCCTTGGATCTGCAACTCAAAACTTGGCATAATGCAATCCCTGATCACTTAAGATATAACCCGACCACAAGTCAGATCACGCCACCGCCACATGTTGTTTCACTACTTGCTCTATACAATGTCCTATTGATCCTCCTGCACCGACCCTTTGTAGCTGAAGGGCATCTCCACACCACGGATCTGACAGTCGCAATTACGTCATTCAGCACATGTACTGTTGCTGCAAACCGCATCATCCATCTTCTTCAAGCCTACGATCACACATACTCAATTCGGCGGGCACCGTATCTGATTTCATATGCGACCTACGTCGCTGCAACAATCTTTGTCCGAGTCGCTGCCCAGAAGGAAGGCGGTAGCCGAGCGCATGCCAGCTTGCGAGCCTGCTTTAGTATCTTTAAAAAAAATCAGGAGACAAATTGGGCTGTCCGGCGGGCTGAAAACGTCATTCGTCATTTGATGAACCGAATGGGAGTGGAGTTGAATACACACAATCACGAGGTTGATGTGCGAGGACCCTCCAGTCGTCCTGATGAAGCCGTCATTTTGGATCAAGCGCCCTACATAGCTGGAGATAGCTCCCATATAAGTACGGCAGTCATTACCAGCTACAGTACTCCATCTTCGGGGGAAATAGAAGATTCAGAACTCGACATCGACATGATAATCCAGAGCTTCATCCGACAAGATAACAGATCAAATGAAGGCCAAATCTACATTGACAGTGCCGATCATCCACTTCCTGGATCTGCTACAACGGCCTTTGGTACACAGAGTAATCTTGCGCCTACGGATATTTCCCATTATGATGATGCCTATCCTGGTCCCCGTTTTGATGACGACATGCTTTTTGGTTTCAATGGCTCCCTTCAGGATAGTATGATATATGAGTGATTGCAGAAATCGAATCTTTATATTATCAGCTGGCAATCTTGAATTGTTTCTATATGTTCAGATTCGTTAGCCGAGTATAACCAATCTCTACACCACCTTATTTTCTAATTCCTCGATCCCTGCCCAATATCTCGAGGAAGTTTAAGCACCATATAAAGAGACTGTCAAATGAATATCCCTGGAGAGCCCAGGAAGTAGTTTCTATATAATTATCGAAAACAGTGATTGAAAACTCAGTAAAATACATTCCCCTCAAAGAGCCGACGTGCGGTCCGTAACACAGCAACCCTTTCCACCTGTACATCCCCCTTGTGATTCATCTCCAACATAGTCTCTGTATGAATGATACCCGAACGATGTCGAATGCCCACTGGCAAAGGCGATGCAATATCTTGATTTGCAACGGACATTCCATGTTTCGGGACCATTTCAAGTTTCTTCCCTCCCGCCAATTCCCATGCTACAGTACCGGGTGTTGCCATCGCAGCTGCAATACATACTGCGCCAGTCAACTGAAGGCTCGGATGCGCCTTTCCCATGGAGAAAGAAAGAACCTCAATGTCTGCTTGATCAAGATCTCCGGTGGTTTCCGACAGGAATGCGATCTTGGGCGTTCCTCGAATGAGACCAGCCGCATTCGTATCCGTGGCAAGGCCGAATTGCACTGCCCCTGCGCGTCGAATTTCCTCAACCACAGAGAGCAAGTCGCTATCGTCAATTTTTAGTTGCAAAGAGTCCCTGGAAAAGGGCAGCGAAGATGCATCAACAAGAACGAATGGATTTGCAGCATCGACCAGGCTACAGCGTACTGAAAATGTCCCTTGTGTTTGGGAATCCACATTTAGGATTTGCTGTTTCATACCACTGGGAAACATCCTTCCAGTCATGCTACCTTGAGGTTTGACAAAAGCAAGTTTTATCGGGCTTGCAGTACCTGTCACACCGGCAAGCTCATATTCGCCATCTTCTCGAGAGGTACCGTCTGGAGCTACCTGAACGGTTTCCACAATGATCTGTTCGGTATTGGTGTTGAAGACCCGAATATCAATCTTGATAAGTGGGTTAGCAATGACTTTCTGGTCATTCTTTAAAGGCCATCGAAGCCTACCTCTGATTGTCCGGGACGAGCCATCACGATTCCTTCATCGAGGCTAAACGGTCCAACTCCCGATGCAATGTTGCCACAATTTCCGGTCATGTCAATTCTCGGCTGGTCCGGAGCGACTTGGATGAAGGTATAATCAACGTCGATATTTGACCGCTTTGATTTCGCAATAATGGCTACTTTAGATGTTGTTGATGTAGCACCACCGACTCCGTTGACCTGTCGCGAGTTTGCCTGAGAGGAGCCCATAGCTGAGAGCATAATGCTTTCCCAAAGCTTGGAAGAAGCAGGAAGATCTTTTTGGTGCAGGAAAAGACCCTTTGAGGTTCCTGCTCTCATCCAAACCGCAGGTATCTTTTTCCTTTTCTGGAAGTGGATGGGCGCATGGACTTGTTCCAAATTGGTTATCGTCATGATTTTGCTCAACTGCCGGGGCAGTTTGCATTAACAGATCTTGTGAAAGTTCTTGAAATTTCAGTCGTTAGACTGAAGAAATGAATAGATGATATAATTCCTATTTATTGTTTCATCCTCAGGGTGTGGGCAACGGGTCTTGGTTACAAGCATAAAACATAGCGAGGCCGCTCCGCGGGAACTAACTAACCTTCCGTGGCTCAGAATTGCCGCGATTCCCACGGCTCTTTCTTTCCCGTCCCAACTTTCTTGGATGGCGAATTCTCCGAGATTTCCTTTTCTGGGTCTGGGGTAATGCGGGGTGCATGTGCATAAAAGAGATCTGCCATCCGTAACATCCAATGCCGGCAATCTTACATTATTGATTATAGCTCTGTCAGTCTGGCCTTCCTCATGGCTAACACTTCGAGTGACATCGCGCACAGCGCACATCCCCACGCTATGCGCGTCTATCTTCTTGCAATCGTAACCTCAATGGGTGCATTTATGTTTGGTTACGACCTGGCATTCATTGGAACTTCGATTGACCTGAAATCATTCAAAAGGTATTACCTTCCCCAATACTAGGAATAATGCACACATCTAACCCTTTTCAGGGATTTTGGCCTTATCGGTGCATCTCAATCCGTCCAGGATGCATTTTCGGCCAACATAGTCTCACTACTACAAGCTGGATGCTTCTTTGGGGCCCTGGCTGCTGCGCCACTGGGAGACAAGCTCGGTCGGCGAATTGCATTGGCACTTGGTGCGATTTCATTTATTGTTGGCTCAATTATGCAAGTTGCCTCAGCGGGTAGTAAGCCCTTGATGTTCGTTGGCAGAGTGCTCGGTGGAATGGTAAGTTAGCAACATATAACTATAGTCAGCTTGCGCAATTACCATGGGGCCACAACTGACGGTTAACAGGGTGTCGGGGCTGCGAGTATGCTAGTTCCTTTGTACACCGCGGAATGCGCACCGCCGAAAATTCGAGGGCGACTAGTCGGCATCTATGAAATTGGTGTACAGGTCGGCACCTGCATGGGTTTCTGGATCAACTTTGGTGTCGAGCAACATATGGCACCGACATCTGCACAGTGGATGACCCCATTTGCTTTACAGCTCATCCCAGGCGGTCTCCTTTTGATTGGCCTCTGGTTTATGCCAGAGTCACCTCGATGGATGGCTAAATCCCATGGCAGATCTCGGGTAACCGAAGTTCTATCACTCCTACGAAATTTACCGGGCGATCATCCCGACGTACAACATGAAGTTGATAATATTGTACAGCAACTCGAGCTTGAACGAGCAACAAGCCCGGATGGGACGTTGTCATCCGTGAAAGAGCTCATGCAACCAGGTATCCGATACCGCGTGTTCCTGGGAGTAGTGATCATGATATTCTTCCAGATGGCCGGGTCGAATGCGATTAACTATTATTCCCCACGTATCTTTCGATCAATTGGACTCACTGGAACCAAGACAACATTGGTATCCACAGGGATCTATGGGATTGTCAGATTGGTAGCAGTGTTTTTCGCCATGTATTTTGTGGTCGATCGCTTTGGTCGAAAGCCTATGTTAATATTCGGCAGCATTGCGATGGTCAGTACTCTCAATTTGCTCCCTCCGCTGATTATGTTCATAAATGGCTCACTGGTTGTAGGCAATTTCCATGTGGCTCATTGGCGCCTTTGTCAAGATTCAAAGTGCAGAGGTCAAAACAGGCGAATCGATTAGCGGCACGTCTTATGCAGCAGCTGTGTTCATATATTTGTTCGCAGTATCGTTTTGCTTTAGCTGGGCTGGCGTCCCTTGGATTATCTGCTCCGAGATATACCCCTTGCAAGTACGCGGACTTGCCGTGAGTATCTGTGTCGCAACGCACTGGTTGTTCAACTTCGTCATCGCGAGAAGCGTCCCATACATGATCTCGAACATTTCCTTTGGGACATACTTTGTCTTTGCAGCCTGTACAACCCTGTCCGTACCATTTGTCTGGCTTATGATTCCAGAGACCAAAGGCTTGTCCTTGGAAGAGGTTGATCTCTTGTTTGAAGATCGTGTTTTCGGTCTTCGACCTCGAAGTTCGTCCTTCAGAAACGAAGTGTCCGATCACAAAGCAGCAGTGGAGCAGGTTGAATCCGTCTAGTTGTATAGGTACATATTTTTGAATTATAGGGATAAATGCCTAGCAGTAAAATATACTTATGATCAACGTGATCCATAAAGTTTTGACATTAAGGCCCATTCCCGAGCGCTCCAAATAGAAAGACTTGATTGAGGTTGGCAGGATTTGAGAAAATGCTGTCAAGGTTTATGAATTGTTCCTGAAAGTAAACCATAGTAAGCACAGAGCCCAACAGATTTGCTTTGATAATCTCCAGTGGATGGGGCATTTCCCTGGTTGACCCTGGTGGCAACAGGTATTCGACACCTCTTGCAGAAATCATGGGCATTCTGGGGCCAACTCCTTTGGATATATTCCAGCGTGGAAAACGCAGCCAGGGATTGTTTACCGAGGATGGTAAGTATAGCATTCTCGCATAGAGCGCCTTGCAAAGACTTGCGAAAACAACCTGGAAGGCAGCTGCAAACAATACATAATCATCCCAGCCGGAGTCAGTTTGGGACGTGGAAACAGTTCCTCAAAGGAAGAAATAAGGGGATAGTCCTAAGGTTGTCATCATGACGAAGATGCTTCAGTGGGGGCCTGAGAATAGAAAGACAGGGAGCTGTTGCTGTAGCTAAATGTTGAGATATAATTGTTTCGATGGTTCATTGCGTTATCGTCATCTGAGCACATATCTTTCCCCGCGACGTTTCTACCATCTCGGTAAGTTATGGACATGGTACGCGGAAGAGCAGTTTGGTTGTCAGATTTCTCACTAATCTCATGACTAGAGACCACTCACCGCTGATTCTTAGCCCGGATGCAGTAAATGAAGAAATTTATTGCTAGCTCCATTTTCCACGACAATCTTGTCACAAATTGGAATAATGCGTACATTTTCTGACTCAAAGGTACCATCCTTGCAGAAATGGTCACAAAAGGAGACTCGAAATTTCCATACTCCATTCGCCTAGTAGGTTGCCTGACTATTGTATCGGCCCCGTAATTGTACTAGTGGGAAGTGTCACATTCCTATCTGCTTTAGGAAACTCGTCAATTCGCTTGCAACGACTGGCGTCTAAGGCTAACCTTATTAGGCAACTAGCTGCGAAAATGGATCGCCAGCGGTACTTAAAAAGACAACCGGGCGATCTTCCGGCCAATAGAGAATCGACATGATCCGGAAATCCCCCTACGTACCGAATAGTGAATATCAGCGCTCGAAGCGGTTCAGACCTGCATGTGAAATCGACGGTCTCTAATTTTAGTATCGCATTCTAACGCATCAATCAAAGTCAATGTATGGGACCTGGTAAACTTTCAAGATGACCAAAAATGTGGAAGAAGAGGTTCTAGATCTGCCAAGAAACCTACAGCGAACCTAGTTTCAGTAAACTTGTCAACGGCTCCTAATTTCCCCCCTCGGGTAGATCTACCAGTCGACATCCCATTGGAAAACGAATAAGACTTCTCCGGCGGCTCAAGAACCGACGAGACCCGACCGGCCATACTCCGACAAAAGCGGGCCGGCCACACGGCACACACTCAAATCTTGGACCCTTTTGCGGGGCGGGCCACTCCGTACAAAAAATCGGCGTTAAATTGTCAAATCTTATCGAAATCTTGCCTAACCGTTGTCGGCAGGCGGCAGAGTGGGCTGCGGGGAGAAGCGTTGGAGGTATAGTAAGCTGACAAGCGCGCAGCAGCAACTTGGTTCATGGCAAATTGGCACCAATGACAGCCACAGGAGGCTCAAGTTGGAGTGGAGATACTAAGCGCTTTGTATGGACTTACCGGTGGGCACAAAATGGGAAAGTACAGTACTGTAAAGCAAGAGAAGCAAAGGCCAAGAATCAAAAGCAACTCCTAGGTATGAGATACGGGACTCTTTTCGGATCAAGCAGTATTGGTGGTAATCTCCTCATAGACGGCCCATGAACTTAGACAATCCCGGGATTTTGGATAATATGGAGTTTGACAAAGGAAGAAAGTTCGGAGGGAGTGGTTGATTAACAATTATAATCTTTACTAGCCTCGATAGTGGGTCAACCCAAACCCTATGAAACGCAGAAACGGACCTCCTCCGCACTCCATAAATTCGATAGGCGTTATGTCCGTTAAGTCTATTACCCGAATCCTGGGCTCCAATAAACGCCAAAAAATCAAAACAAAAAAAAAAAAAAATCAGGGCTTATCATTAGGCAAAGTCAAAGCATCCAAACATCGCAGGTAACGATCCAAATCGCTTATACCGGAACCAGAATCCTCCGGTTCCTCTTCGCCCCCAACTAGCATCGACAAAAGCTGCAAGCTCTTCGGTCGCTTCAAGAGGAGAAGTATTGACCGCCATCTTTGGCGCAGGTTCTCAATCTCCGACTTCAGCGCCTCGTTCTCAGTTTTCAATGAGCCGACATCTTTAGATTTTTGACTCAACTCGTCGGAGAGTTTTTGATGCTCTTCCTGTAACTCTGCCAATTTGCCCTGGAGGACTTTATTTTGCTCATCTCTCCGTTCGCGGAATCGACGCTGTGCAGCGCGGTTCTGAATTCGCCGGTTGACCTATTTGTCAAAATTAGCATGAATTGTAATTAAGTAAAAGAAAGAGCCACTTACGAGCTTTTGTCCGTCTTCTTGAGTGCTTAGGTTTGATGACCTACTGCCATCCGAGTTTGAATCCTGGCGTTCGGAAAATGCTGAAGGGTCGAAATACAATTCTGGAGATGCAGACTTGGTGGAAGTGGGTGAGGTGAAATCGTGTTTCAAAACGTTTGTATTTATTTCATTGATAGACAGCCGCGATCTAGTTTGCTTGGCGAACTGGTGCTCTAAGACTTGGTTTTGCTGACGAGGAATTAGCGATCGATCTTCCTGATTGATGTAATTGCCCTTACCAGTGGGTAGAGTAGGTGCAAGGACGGATCATTGCCTTCAGTTGTTGGAATTTCAGGCGAATCCAAGGGCAGGGAGTCAGTGCGCTGAGAAGGCCAGTAGGGGTATTGTTCCATTATGTCCATGATATCTCGAGGAGTGTTGGCGGTCGGGCAGTCTCGGAGTTATGAGAAGACTAAAAATTGAGAAGTAGATCGGGATGAAGCTGACAGTTATTTAACCTCAAGGATATAATGGTTCTTATATGCTCACCAGCTCGCGTAGTCAATGATACATGATTGTAACGACTCCTGTGCCCGAAAATATGCATCAGTTGTTCCAACGGGATGGATCGGATCTTCACCAATCGGAGCGTGAGCATCTTCAAGTGGGGCTTTCCCGAAAAAGTGTGATTATCATGGCGCATATGGCCAATCAGCGCAGGATCAGATATTCCTTTAAATGGTTTAGTGCCCTTGAAGATGGTTTCTCACACGGGTGACGTGCACCGTTGGCCCCATGGCTCGACAGACCAAGTCTGGGGACACACACCGCGCCTAGATGATGAACATGTTAGCGACCAGTTTGCATTCAATGACAGCATAGTCGGGATCTTTAGTCTTGTCGATTTCAAATCTCTATTCTAGAATATGCTGGTAATGTGCTTATAATATCTCTTATCGCTATAAAAGAAAAATAGAGTAGGATCGTTAGATTTAACGAGGATGTCTATCGAAATTCGGAATAAACTCACTACAAGATCTTTGACAAAGCTGTGATAAGTGCTATTAAAAATAATGATAATGACTGTACCACAATACCGTCCCCTGAACATCGGGAAATACGCAGGAGAAGCCAGAGATGCTGGCAGTATCCCACGCTTGTGGGCGAGCAAAGCCGCAGGCTATCCGGCATTACAAAGCTACATGCCATGTCAAGCAAGGATGCTAGCAAATCTGAAAACCCCATACTCGAACAGGTTCATCTATGATCTGAAGTGGGTCGCAGGATAGATCTCAGATTGCCCTGTCGCCACCACGAGCGCATCAACCTTAAAATACGTGCATCAGGATCTGCAGACATTTGGTCAAGCCAGAGACCCTTGGAACGGTGGCGGACAACCCAAAGAAGGTCTGCCTCTACATCAGGATGAGAGAGTAAATTTCTATATGATGAACTCGGAAAGCTGATGATAGCCAGGGCGCGAGTAGGATACCTATCTTGAGACTCAAGGGCTTGGAATCATCGACCTATCACTGAATTGCCAATCGTACTCTGGCCTCCTAGTCTGTCTGGTCGGTCATTGTACATATGTGCGGTATTTGTGCCAAGGTGGCTGTTCCCTAAGTGCCGACTGCGGATCCCCAGAGTATCCCACAACCGTACCATCGATTTGTGAAGCTATAAACGGGCTCGAGCCCTACTGAGTCTCTCCCAAGAGGTGCTATGTAATGTGCGAAGGAGATAAATCATATCATGAACTCCTTATTTTTTTTTTTAAAAAAAGGTTGTATTCAGAGTGAATTTTGAAGCGTAAAGTGTTATTCAAGGAATAACGTGCAATTGATTGTGAAGAACAAAACACAAGTGCAATAACGAGCCTTGTTATTGGCTAAGTCCTTTATGGTTAGTCCCGAAATGATTGCTTATGATGGTTAGTATACCAGACCCTGATGTTTGGTGATCCTTTACGATATACCCATGTATACCTTGGTGATAACTTGCTGCCTTGGCCACTGTCATTGTCACTTGGTGTTGGGACATAATCTTTTAGTCACCATGTATACAAATACTAGTACCGTGTCTAGAGATGAAATAGAATTGCTCTTTTTGACTAAAGTTGTAGGATAATTTCCCCGACATTAATTTCCCCGAGCATACTAACCCGGCGAACATGGCGAACACGGAGCCTCTCTTATTGAGCTTTTTGTGCACAATTTTGTAGTCTAACTAAATCGAATTCAAGCCTTGTTCCAGGGCTCCACACACAAGCGACACCCGATTGATTATCGTAAAATCAACGGATCCAAGCGGAGTATGACCGAAATGTGCGTGGTAGTCTGGTACGCTACACTATCCCCGACTCCCGACAGCTATGCAGAATTAGGAATGTCGCGACGAACCCGCCAGAGCGGTTCAGCCCGGGCCTAGGCCGGGCCGGGGTCTGAGCCGAGATCTTGGGACATCTTGGGTTATACAAGGGTCTAAGCACGTGCTATCCTAATTTGTTAAGGTTTAGCCTACTCCGTACTTGCAGGCCGAAGGCGCTGTCAATCAGATAAGAATGATAAAATCAGCCGACGTTGTGAGAAGAAGGTTTCTTGAGGAGTGAGTAGAGACCTCTCGCTTTCGAGATTTTGCTTAGACAGATAGATGCGATATCACCTTCGAGGGACCCAGAAGTTTTGGAAGCTAATCATGAGGGACAAGGGAAGATATTATGGGGTAAAATCGGCTAGCCAAGCCTCCGCTACTACTGTACCGATCTTCAACTGAGACAGCGCCGCTTTGCAGCGAGATCAGACGGACCGAATCCCGAAGGTGTGACTAGATTCACGTCAAAACCCTCATAATACCACATTTTCCATCACGCATGTAAACGAGTAGGCACGTCTGAGGGGGTAGATGAATGTCCATTATGGATCTACTTCAGCGAGCCAATGAAAAAGGGTCAAAATAGGACCGTGGCCACGCGCTCCAACGGTAACATTGTCAAATGATATCGTAACCCCATAAAACAATAAGCAACGTCGGCTCCGAGGCTCTATTTGTGGATAAGAAAAGCCACCAATCTTTTCCTTCTTTTGCTGATCTAGGAAATTGGGCGTTTTGTCTGCGCCTACTGGGTATCATATGAGTGATTGTATTATGCTGCCAAGGATCAAGATTTCTCAATGCCACGTGGCGGTTTGCTATGTTAGTGTCTCTCAATTTTATAGAATATCACGATTATTTTCGAATCGTTATAGAAAGAGAATTTTGCTCGCTCGGTTAAATGCGTCGTCTCGTTGCCCTGGACCGGAGGGGGTGCGAAATAGGAAATACGCAGTCCGCAAGAATGCTCGTGCGTATGCAGATTGCCGAGAAAAAACCCATTTACAACTGTTATTCTGTACTATCGTAAAGGGTTGGGTTTCAAAATCAAATTTCCAGGATCTCAACGGAGTAAACGAGACCTATAGATGCCAACAGCCAATGAAATTGCTCCAACATACCACCAGAATAGGACTAGCGTCGCCGCAGAGCATAGACTTCACGAGCGGAGTCACACCCGAAGCATATGTGCTAAAATTTAATTATTATTATTTAATTTGTTATTAATTTATTATGTACTCGTCACTAGCTTATTCTAAAACGGACTAATTTATTACAGCCAAGAAAATGATCGAAGATCACTGGACAAAGGGAGTGAACTTGAGGAGAGGGAAAAAGCCAGAACGGCTTGCCAAGATGTTCTGAAATGAGTCCCAATTCCACCTGAGCAAAATTTGTCTAAAATTTGTCTGCCTTATTTGGCATGTAAACTCCTATTCCCAACCCTTCAGTCCAGATCCACCAAATCCACCAAATATTCTCAACGCCGTAAAGACTCTGCTGTGTATATCTACAGGCGTTCACCCGTGCCAGTGACTTCTAATCTCTTCCACAGGCGATAACACCCCTCCGAGCATGCGACTTCCACCCAGGCAAAGGATTGCAGAATGTCGATGAAACATGTGTATGATGTGACCTTTAACTCCTGACAGAGTCTTTTGACAAGTTCAGCCAGCTGGCAGTTCTCTGGTGTCTCTTCTGCCGCGATGGCTGCCACGGTCGCACACCATAGAATTAATGGACTGGATGTGGTCTGCGTTATTTGGTCAAGCTTGCTGCTAAGAAGCGGAAGGATGATTGCACGAAGCAAAGCAGATCGCGGCACAGGAAAAGTGACATGTGTCGCATACAGCTTCGTTGCCAATCGGCAGGTAAGGTAAAGCTCATGGGATGCAGAAAAGTCATCAGGGGAAAAGTCACCCATATCAAAGACTGTTCCAGGGGGATCTTGCTCGTTAGGCAGGCTGAAGAGGGTGTGGTGGACTTGATTGCGGAAATCAGCGAAACGGTCGCAATCTGATGGTTCGAGGCTTTGATTGTAGAGCCGTTGTACCATCGTGGAGTATAGATTAAGGTGGAGGAAAACGTCCACGATGGCCTCTTTCACCGGCGGACGGGAGGATCGCAAAACCCTAAAACCAAGTTTTGTCTGCCTGGATGGATCACCCGGGAAGGGAAAGGCGTGCAGTGGAGGTAGAAAACTCGTCACATTTCCCTCGACGTCCACAATTGGGAAAAGTGGTTTAGTTAGAGAGTGGGCAGCGTTCATGAGATCCGCACTGGATAAAGTCTCAGCGAATACCCTGACATCCATAGGAACGCAGAAGGCGAACAGAACCGAGATGACTTACATTGAGGTCAACCAACCCACGCCGAATAGCTTGATGGACTGGATCCCGCCCAGTTGGGCGAGCAGATTACAGACCACACCCCAATGCATGGTGTGATAGTCCCGACTACCATAGAATGACAGCATTTGCATATCCAGGAACGGCGGCGTGAAAGGGCTTGAGTCGCGGCTAAGATCTCGTCTCTCAGTCTCGTTGACAGCCAGATACAAAATCGCCAAAATGACTCCATCTCGCCATTCTTCTTTGGTAAAGTCGGTCACATGCTCACGCAGCAGACTCAGAATCCGTCCCTTGTAGTACAGCTGGTCCTTAATGTCCAACACTGGATCGGCTCCGTAGCTAATACGCAGAACATCGCGATGACATGAGCCAGCCCATAGGTTACAGTAGATAACAAGTTTGTTTTCCGGGTTCGGTGCGATCCATGATTGGTAGCATCGCCTAGCGTAATCTGCGCGGCGGAAACTTGGCCAAATATTCTTGACGGCTAATAGTTCCAATGTTAGAATAGGTGCAGGAACGCAAGCGAACTATGCAGGAACCGATTTGTCTGACCAAACTGAACTAGATCTTCTACACCTGGCCCGAGGCTTGGATCCACCGATGAAAAAGGGTCTGCCCTGCCATTGACAGGACGCAGAGACGGGGCCAGGGCCTTGCTGCCATGCGCCTGGTGGACCACTCGGAACCCTCCGCAGGTGCCACATTGTATCTCGGCAACTGTTCCATCGCTTCTTCGCGTCCGGGGTACCGTTAACCTATTGGTGGCTACCTGGCGTTGGGCCTGGCCCCTAGCCGTTCCATGACAGGCACACCAACGCGCCGATGAGTATACATCACGCTCCTGACTTTGAACAATCAATTCCTGCCTCTTAACTTCTTCCTCCTGTCGGTATACACTCCGCTTTTCCGAGAGTCGCCGGCGAATCAAAACCGAGAGCGTGCCACGAGATTTGGAGTTGCCCCTTCGTTCCAGTGACGGGCCATCGACAAACAAGAACTGTGGTGGTTTTGAGGCTTCATGGGGTGCAGCGACATTCCCTTGGGATCCTCCGGTCCGCAAATTGAGGCTCTTGGTCGGAACCGGTTTTTTTTTGCTCGCCATTATTCGACGCGCCGACGCTGACGTAGGGTATGGGGATTTTTTCCCCCGCCACGTGCTAGGAGGTGGTTCGAGCGCCCCCGGAACCAACTTGCCGTTCTTCCTGGACCTGGATCTCGCGCTTAGTCAGCATACCGGTAACCTTAAAATCTGATTTCAAATTTTAGTGGAACTGTAGTAAGATCACGTGGATGCCAAGAGCCCTACTTTGCCAGTCATCCCAGTCCAAAGGTCTGGCTTCCTATACTTTACTATAAGTGGCAAGGTGATACTACTCTGCCTAGCTATATTCCAAAACTATAGTACAAACCTATTCCCCACTACACGTTTATCTAATCACAGAACTACCTTGCCGAGAGTATGCCCGGTATACTATAATAGCGTTTAAGGACACATTCAACCCATGAGTCTCGTACTATTACAGCAATCTATGGAAATGATAAAAAAATACTACTTCCCCATCTTAATACCTCCCTTTGTTTACCCTTCATCTTCCCCCCTCGCATCTTCCACCTTTTCCCATCCGCCTTCACCTTCAACATCTCATACACCATGACGCCACCAAGAACACCCAGGAAGCCTCGGTCTAAAGCCCATAGCTCAGACTAGTTTCAATGAAACACCTTTCATCCTTTCGGCTTCTGCCACATGAGGCCAAATATCTCTTACACTGCAGCGCTATCTGGACCATATTCTTTCGGAGATGGTCCCGAAATAAACTCCATAACGAGGCTGTTAGTGCTCTAATTAGAGTCTTGCGCAAATTGAACCTTGATGGTTCCTTGGGATTTATTGGATCAGAGTTGTGGTAGATGCCAGAAGGATGAAAGGTGTTCGTAGATTATGTGGGATGAAGAATAGCCGATTGAGATCCTGCGAGTTTAAAAATAGCTAGTTAACTAAGGGTTATGACAAAGTAATCCCCATAGGCCGTCTCAATTAATGATTGACCCACTTAATCTCAATCAAGTCGGGTACCAGGGTCTTCCAAGTTCTCCGTGGGGGGCATTTCCTGTAGCAGAGGGTTTTCTGAAGCCTCAAACGTACGTTCTGGGTGAGCGAAACCCTCAATCACATACTGCCGAAGATGAGCGCTTTGTGGGCCTGTCTGGGGAGGCTGGAGGTCCCTAATTCCCGCTGCTAGGGCAGTGCTAGCGTCAGTATCTTGTACTTCGGGGCTCGTTGCCTCAAATGTCTGTGTTGCCGTGATCTGCTCTGGAATTTCGCAGCCAGAGACACAGCGACTGAGCACGTTCAGGCTCGAGCTTTGAAGGTGTGCACCTCCTGATGGCCAGAGCTTCTTTGTCTCCATGGGGACTGTGATTACGGCTTTCTGGCGTCTTTTGGCGTGAAGGTATGAGATAACGAACCGGAAATAAATATAGGATGAGGGTTATGGCACGCGGATTTGCATAACACTAGTCCTAATTAGGAATCCTTTCCGCATCGCTCAAAATGATACATTCGATATCTACATAACCCTTGCCAAGCCCTTATGTATGCATTTCCCCATACATAAGCGCTTCTCGCGAATACTTCTGAAACAGCGCGCTTTGCAGGTGTGACCGCATGGTAGTGAGCCCCGACATTGAATGGTGCATTTGAAGTCTCTCGAGTCCACATTCACATGGCATGCGACAGTCACCGCATGCTTGCACCCCGGGACAACCTTTTCCACGCAAACGGGGCAAGGCACGTTCCTATCGTCCTGATCTTGCCACCATGGAAGATTCTGCATCAGATGCCCACACTTGAGTACCCGGTCTTCCTTGAAGATATTGACATTGCACTTGTTCGGGCAAGGATCACCACAACGTTTTGGACATGGGTGTGTGCACCCTTTGCGTGGTCTCGGGCATGGTTCCAGGCAGAAAACGGCGTCATGAAGGATGCCAGAGTGGCCTTTCTGCACACATGCATGTCCACGTGGGAGACGTTTGTCACATCGCAGATTGCAGCCGCCTTCGGGGGAGAGTCGTAGGAAGTCATCAGGCTGCGAGACACTAATTGGTGTATCTGGGTGGTGGGGGCATTGAAGCTCCAGTTCTTTGCCAATGTTGCCTCCCAGGCGCAAGATTCCGATGACCTGTGCCCACATGGGGACATGGTTGGAAGTCTCCGAGTTGCTGATGATGTACATGCCATGTTTTGCTCGAGATAGAAGAACGTTGATCCGGTTGCTTGTGCGTAGAAAGCCACACCTTTGTTGAGGATTACTTCTGACCAGGGAGATGACAAAGATCTTAGCCTCTTCACCTTGAAAGTTATCAACAGTTGCTACTCTGAGCACGCGAAGAAGGGATGCCTTGATAACAGAAGAGGCATTCTTTGGATCCTCCTGATCTCGCTCACCTAGCATCAAAGCATAGGAAGTTCCAAGCCTCTGGCGCAGCCTGTGAAACTGTCCAAGGTATGGAGTCAGTACCGCAATATCTTGCTCCATGTATTTCCCGTGCTGGACGAGATGATTGACCAGTGCGAGCGTCATGTCGATCTCGTACCTGTTCCAGTGGGAAGTATCATTCCCATCTGCCTCAGAAGAATCGTTCTCTGGCACGCGATGATCCAGCCAGAAAAGTCTTCTCCGCATCCCAGTGACTTTGGGATAGTCTGACACGGACTGGGAGTCCTCCAGATTGGGATAAAGAGTCTCCCGGATTAATTGTGCAATCGATGGGTGCATCCGCCGCTGAGTCTTGAGAGTACTGTAAGGCAGGCCACAGGCCAAAGGAGAGCTTGTAGAGGTCTCTCCGGAATCTACCAGTCTTTCAAACAGCGATAGATCAAGGGAGTACTGTGAGCCACCTTGATGGTTTGACCGGGAGAGCTCGTAATTGGCAATTTTGGGGGATAGCTGCTGATGATCCCCGATGAGAATCGCATGCTCTACCGATGGTAGAAATGCTGTCAAGAGGTGTAATTCGAGAACTTCCCCGGCCTCTTCGCATAACATGACCTTGCATTGAAGCTTCCGAAGCATGTTCAGTCGTCGGGCAAGACCCGTAGTGGTCATGCCTACGACATCCGCTTTAGCCAGGCAACGAAGGTGATATTCATCCCGAGAGTTGTCAAGACGAGACCTGGCTTGAGCATGCAGACGTGAGATATAGACGACCTGACCATGTATATCGCGCTCGAGCTCGTTATTCCACTCCCGGTGAAGTATTCGACGTTCTTCTTGAGACATGTCGAACACCTTGGTATTTCTGAGTTCCCTCACAGCCCGAGGTGGAGTAGTGCTTGATATTCCAGCATCAATCCAATACTTGATGGCAGAGCTGGGTCTCGAACTTGTGACAATCTGAGCCCCTTCATCATCCATACCAAATAGCTGTTGGTAATGATCAGGATAGTATTCATGGATATGCGGCACCAAGCGGTCATCCAGATCTGGCTTGAGTCCGAGGGAATGAAATTCTTTCTCGCACGCTTCCAAATCTCTGTGAGTACTCCATGTAACTTACTTTTCGAGTTTTGTGCGCCTCGCTTCTCCAGCAATGGAGCTTAGGTTAAAAGGTGCAAGACTGGCTGATTTGGACTGCGACCCTATGCGAACAAGGTTTTTCGTGATTTTCTTGTCCACCAAAGCCTCGAGAAGCTGGTCAAGGGCATGGTTTGTGAAGGTCACACAGATAATAGGCCCAGGCGAGGCCTTCTGGTGGCGCGAGTTTGCCAAGAGTACTTTGATAAGAGCGATTCCAGTGTAGCTTTTACCAATTCCTGGTGGCCCTTGAATGAGAGCAAGTTTTCGTTGGAGGCAATGCACCAGAGTTTTACCCTGAGATTTATCCAGACTTGAGTTCTCACTCAGTACTTGGAAATCAACAGGCTGATCGGGGCGAACGTGAAAGTCGGCCCCGTTGCTCATCAGGCAGCGGAGATTGAATGCGAACCCCGGGGCCAGGGAATAGACCGGAGGATTTACCAGGTTTGAGCTGGAGCTTTCTCCATTCCAGGCGACAAGAAGCTCAGAAAATGAAACATTGCCAGTAGATTTCATCTGCTTGAGGGCTTGCAATGTCGGCTCAAATGCTGCGAGTAGCACACCGGGAAATTCCACGAGAGACGCCGGGATTTTGGGGCTGAAGAGACCCAAGATAAATTTCAAGTTTGTCTCGCTGGAATCCACCAGATTTAAGACTACCGAAGCGGATTTGGGGTCTTTCCACCATGACCCTCCGCGAGAGGTCTCGCGGCTCGTAGAATCTAGAATCTTTGCTCTTCTTGGGGAGATTGTTCTCCGCAACCGTGCAAAACAACACCTCATCTTGATGAGTGACTAGGCACACCAAGGCTCCAGGTTGTAGATGTTTTGAATCCTGCCACCATGTCTCTATCTGATGTGTCGACTTTCCTTTCAGACTAGCAAGTTGAGGAAACGTAAGCTCAAACTGGATACCCGAGATGGAGTCGAAATGAATCTTAGTGATATTGGCATCACGATAGACGTTCTTGCGAATTGAGGACTTGGAAAAGCGATTCAGCGACAGTTGCCTCAGAAACTGGTGAACCGCATCTCGTAGTTGGCCAACGGTGTCCTCTCTCAGAAGCCGGAAATTGCGGTCTATCAATCCATCAAGACCATCGATATGCCACTGAGTTGGGTCAATGACTGGCAAATACTCTATGCTTGTGCTCTGGATCTCCTGAACAGTTGGCATAATTTTGATCTCACAGCTGTAGTCATGGTCATTATCGTGTCGGCCGCCGGGATTGTCGCGAAGGGGATTGAAGGCAGCAGTTGTGACCGGGTTCATAGCTTCATGATCAGGAAAATTGACTGGCAATGACTGACCAACAGAAAGCCGACGCTGAAGACGTTCCAAATATGCCTGAGCACGATGAAGCATGCTGTCAGTTCCTCTGTTGGCCATGGCAAGACCCAGCTCGGCGTCGAACTTTTTGGCCTGTGCATACAGATGCTCTTGGATAAGGGCTGTAGAATTGAGGTCTACAAGGCGAGAGAAGAACTGGAGGTATCCATTGAGGTCCACAAGGAGAGAGAAGAACAGGAGGGATACCTCCAGTTCTCGAAACTTGAATTCACCAACGGCCTCCCTGGAGATTGCATCCCCGATGAAGTCGAGAAATTTGCCTGCTCTGCCACCGCTGAGCCCAAAGAGGACATTGTAGATGGTTCCCACGGAGCTTTCGAGCACCAAAGAAGATAAAACGTTTGGATGCGTGACTGTCTCGAGGAACGGCAATACCTGCGAGGAGAACACAGTGCCTTTCAGCGTATTGGAAATAGCCCCGAAATCTCGCTCAACAAGTTCACGAATACATCGCAGTCCATCCTCATCGGCAAGAGTCTTGACAACAGCCTGTAAGACGGCCGCATCCGCATCCAGAAGCCGCCTCGCTTCTTGGAAGAAATGTTTCAATTTGATATGAAGCAGGTAAAGAGGTGTTGAATTTGACGGGATGCCTCGCTTCCACTCTTGAAGTTCCCTTTCCGAGTTGGAAAGTATTCGCTGTCGTCCGGAGTTGTTGGAGTTACCGCGCTGGGTTGGTTCCCCGGGAGGGCGAGCCTGGTCGCTTCCAGGCGTCAGGTGAAGGAATTTGCACTTTTTTCGCTTGCAATTTCCAGCACGGGCGAACTCGAAGCATTCGCTGTTTGAATCAGTCTCTGCGTTGATCATCACCATTCAAGAGATAAAATACTGACCGTTTAGAAGCCATCGTGGACCGAGAAGGGAGTTTGGCGGATGGAAGGCGGATGGAAGGCGGATAGAAGGTGGATGAAAGGTGGAAGGTGCTTGACAGGAAGAGGTCTGGTAAAATGGAAGGAAGGTGCGAGAGGATCAAGAGATTTATGGAAAGTTCCATCTTTCAAAAAGGAACTCACGACCTCATTGTTGTTATCAGCACTCTAGACTCAAACTGTGGAACACGACAAACAAAGCTTACCCAACTGGAGCAATTATCCATCGGCAACCGACATCATGGGCTTGGAACCTCCAAAAATTGATTGATATTCTCCAATAAAAGAGTAGACCATGTACAAAGAGAACCGTCAATGGCTAAGAAACGTAGGGTACAGTAGCCATCACCAAAACATTGAACCCTTGGTTAAATACGACGGATAATCAACCCCAGTACTCTCAATAACTCGAATCTCCGGTTTGAATGAAGGTCTGGCTTGAAAATATCCGTATTCCATATTGTAGATACTAGCTAGCCGATGGCTAGCAGTCTTCTAGCTGGACTTTTGAATGTGATCTATACTTCAGCCTTCCCTCGGTAGCTATTAATACACACCCTCCTGAGCATGGCTGGAAAGAGAGTTATCTTGTCGTCTAGCATTGAAGACGTAGATAGTTAGAACACTTGGCTTTCTGTACTCTCCAATTGAGCCTCCTTATGTTGGTAGCTGGCTCTGGTCTCGAATGCCTTGGAGCTGCATTCCCTTGCATACATGAAGCATGTCAAAGTATATTTGGCACAGGTCTCCCGACCTGCATCCCCAGAAAGCTGACCCCGCACGCTATTCCCTAGCTTGCATGAGATATTGTCCAATACGGTCGATTTATGCGATGATCCTCCGTAAATCGGACCCTGGGGTTGACTACCTTATTGTTGAGGAATCAAGTCTTCTGCGAAATTCGTTACTTGTAAGCGATAGAAATAGATTATGTGGCGTAAAAAACTTGAAATGTCTTCAGTGACTACTTGCTCCAATAACATAGCATCCGAAATGGCACATCTCCCCATCACGACCTATGACTCAAAAAGAAACACATGAACATTATATACACACGGGGCGAAATGAAGAAAAGATTGGCGGCATAGGTGGAATATAGGGGAAACCCGAAAGATGACGAAACAATCGCAATGCAGGTCATCAAAAAAGGGAGCTTCATCTCCCCACTCAAACAGTTGGTAATCCTTTCACAAGGCTACCGAACTGAAACTTTTTGCCATACCAGTCTGTCTGTAGGGGGTGAAGGGGGAAGGCAGTGGTTTTTGGTGCTAGAAAGATTGTCGAGTTCAACTGATTGATTTTTTTCCCAATCGCTTTTGGTGGACCCGCCAGGAAAACGCCATGGATATCAACGGTAAAAATAAATGACGGTCAAGATGGATGGGCTTCGTGTGTGGCTAGGATACCGTCCAGCCACTCGTGTCGAGCATTTACTCGCGCAGGTTGACTTCGGTGGGGGCATTGCGCTTCTTCATCATCTCCTTGCGCTCAACCTCCTTGGCTATTGAAAGAATTAGTATTTTGTTTCAAGGGTGATGATGGACGGATGTGCTTACCTTCGTCGTAAACCAGGAACTCGTGGAGGCCACGGCCGGAAGGAACCATGGGGAGAACAGGGACCTTGCGGGCAGTGATAACCTCAAGAAGGGCAGGGCCGGGCTGCTCGATCAGCCACTTCAGCTTAGCCTCGAGCTCAGAGGCCTTGGAGACACGCTCGGCGGCGACGCGCATGGAACGGGCAAGGGGAACGAAGTCGGGGTTTTGCTGGTGGGTGTGGGAGTAACGGTCCTCGTAGAACAGGTTCTGCCATTGAGTGACCATGCCCTGTTCCTCGTTGTTCAGCAGAAGAACCTTGACACCGATGTTGAACTGAGCAGCGGTGGAAAGCTCAGTCAGAGTCATGTTGAAGGAGGCGTCACCGTCGATATCGACGACCAGGCAGTCCGGACGGGCAACCTTGGCACCAATAGCGGAGGGAAGACCGTAACCCATAGTACCAAGACCACCAGAGGTAATCATGGTACGGGGATGGCGCCAGCGGAAGTGCTGAGCAGCCCACATCTGGTGTTGACCGACACCGGTGGTGATGATGGTCTTGTCCTTCATGTGAGCGGTGAGGTCGCTGAGCTTCTCAATGACAGCCTGGGGCTTGATGGTACCCTCAGCAGTCTGGCGCTCGTAGAGGGACAGAGGGAAGCGGGACTTCCAGTCGTTGATCTGGGCGAACCACTCAGGGCGCTCAGGAACGGCGTTGACCTGGGGCAGGAGCAGACGGAGGTTGTCGGCGCAGTCACCCTCGACAGCCTCGGTAGCCTGGACGACCTTGTTGATGTTCTTGGGCATAATCTCGAAGTGAACGATACCACCACGGCCCTCGGCAGCAGCGGCCTTTGCCTGGGGAGCGAACTTGGGAATGCTACCGGTGACACGGTCGTCGAAACGGGCACCAACCGCGATGATCAGATCGGCCTCCTGCATGGCCATGTTGGCGTACGCGGAACCGTGCATACCGAGCATGTGCAGAGCCTTGGGGTCCAGCTCGTCAAAGCCACCCAGACCCTGGAGGGTAGTGGTAACAGGGATGTTCGCCTTCTCAGCAAACTCCTTGAGGATCTCAGGACCATCGGGGCGGGCAAGGAGACCCTGACCAACGTAGAGAATGGGCTTCTCGGCCTTGTTGACGAGGCGAGCCACACGGCTAATGGTGCTCTCAAGCTGCTTCTGGCTCAGCTCGCGAGCAGCGACGGTAGCAGCACTGGGGAGGGATGGAATAGTGCTGTGCATGGGGATCGGGTTGCGGAGAATACCAGCGGTGACATCCTTGGGCAGATCGACAAGGACAGGGCCGGGGCGACCGCTAGTAGCGATCTCAAAGGCCTCCTGGATGCGGCGAGGCAGCTCACCAACGGACTTGACCATCACGTTCCACTTGGTGCAGGCACGAGAGATACCGATGACATCGGCCTCTTGGAAGGAGTCGGTACCAATGGCGCTAGTGGGCACCTGACCACAGAAGACGACCATGGGAGTACCGTCAGACAGGGCATCCTGCATAGGGGTAATGACGTTGGTAGCACCAGGGCCAGAGGTGACGAGAACAACACCGGGCTTGCCAGAAGCACGGGCGTAACCCTGGGCCATGTGACCGGCACCTTGTTCGTGCTTGGGGAGGACGAAGTCGAAGTGTTTTGAGTTGTAGATGGCATCGAACACGGGAAGAATGGCACCACCGGGGTAACCGACTGTTTTGAATCTTGTATAAGCCAAAATTTTGGAACCAAAACAGACATATCAAAGGGGGAAGGAGAGTAGAAAAGGGTAATGGAAAAAAAAAACACATTTCACTTACAGATCTGCTTCACGCCGAGGCGGAGCATCATCTCGTGGAAGATCTCACCACCGCTCATACCAACCATCCTATATTTGGATATCCATTAGTCTTAGTCCAACCTATTGTCGTACACCTTTCAACAGAGAAAGCCTTACGAGTCATCAAGCTCGGGGAGCTGGCGGTTCTGCAGAGGCGAAACTTCATTGCGGTGAGGTTCTTGGTTGAAGGCAGGGCTCGGCACGGGCCTGGAGTCACTGTTGAACGCAATTAGAATCCAATTCCAGACGAAAGCCTTCGAAAAAGACTCACGAAGTCGCCGTGGCGGTACTCTGAGCACGCTTCTGAGGAGAAGAGCGGTAGGGCGAAGCAGCCGAAGCCACGAACGAGGTCGAGAAGGGCCGACGACCAGAGGCAAGCTGCCTCTGGAGGTGAATGGCGCGCAGAGCGGTCTTTGACGGTCTGAGAGGCATCATCCTGACCGACAGCAGCCCAGCAGCACTTGAGGACTTGAGAAGGGAGGCGAATGAAGGGAAAAATAAGATTCCAATGGGCCCTTGCCGTGAATCTCTCTGGGGGAGACGAAAAACGCCTTAAACCCAAACCATCCGACCGCTCTGAGTCAAGAATTCGGCGTTGCTGATTGGTTGAGGTCGCCTCCGCACCTCCGACCTCGGCGAGTCTCGGAGTCACTGGATTCTCCGGGAGACGACTCGTCATGTGATTGTTGGCGGTCTGATTTCTCAGGCTACAGATCCGGGGAAGGGCCGGTGCAGGCAACTTGGCAACTTGGCATTGTACAGTAGTATGTAGTACATATCACCAACTTTCCATTCCCATCTTCGTCCTCAACCTGCACAGACTGCCCCCAGCTATCCCCACAACCTTAAATTCTCTCGTAATCTCTACCCTCCAGCTTCTCAGCCACTTATACCTGCGGGTCCTTACGATCGCCCTCCCCGACATTGGGGGGAGCCGATAGTAGCCGACACGGATATATTTTTCTTTTTTGCCGAAGTTCTCAAGAAATCCCGAACAACACTCGCTCGGAAAGCCGGGCGGGTCCCTTGCAAATCGGGCCGTCAACTTGTCTCCGTCCTACATAAGCTATAGTTTCCTTCTTTTGGACTCGATTGTCAGGATCCCGGAAGCTTGGAGATTGACATTGTCTAGGGCTGTTCTCCCATGCCCTGGGCTGGGCTTCAATTAGTCTCTCCTGCCAAATGATAGTTAGTTTCCTCTCTAAAAAAAACCACGACTAGCGCCACGAGGTCACGGGCTTTCTTACCCTAATTGCGGACTCGGGGCACGGGATATCTGTACCCGGTTGTAGCATGTACAAGAACAGATAACGTAGAGATAACTATATTGGCGGAGTATGATAATTGCAATTATGCAAAACCCCCAATTGCCCCTGATATATACTTCGTCATAAACTTTGACAGGATTCCATGGGGGCCCAAGCCAGAACCCCCCGCAAAGGCTACACTGTAAAGGGACACCGGGCCACGAAATCTCGCAAAAGCCACCTCCGGAGTCCGTCAACCCCCCACTACATGCAATTTACCCGGGGAATTTCATAAACCTGGGGGCTTGGCTGCCATCACTTGTACTTCTTTTTTTTCTTTTCCTTAAACAATTCCATTGTCACTCTACTACTTTCTTTTTGCTTCCTTTCCTTCCCCCCTCTCTACCCCGCCATAAAAAAAGAAAAAACGTCAAGACCCTGCACCCCGCCATGTCTGCCCCGCAGGAGCTCGTCCCGCAAACAGAATCCATCGCGGAGGTCTACGCGACCGACGATGCCTCCGTGAGCTCGGTTGCCCCAGAGCACCAGCAGCGCTGGACCGGTCTCATTACCAAGTTCAACAAGGAGTACAACCATCGCCCTGACTTCGTGGCCCGCAGTCCCGGCCGTGTCAACATCATCGGAGAGCACATCGACTACTCCCTCTACGATGTCCTCCCGACCGCCGTCAGCGTCGATGTGATCATGGCCGTCAAGGTCGTCCCCGCTGGTCCCTCCGGCTCGACCGTCAAGATTGCCAATGTCGCACCGGAAAAATTCCCCGCGCGCGAGTTTAGTGTCCCGCACGACACTGATATCGAGATCGATCCTAAGAAGCACGAGTGGGTGAACTACTTCAAGGCCGGCCTGCTCGGCGCTTTGAAGTTCTTGCGCAAGGAGAATGCTGGCTCGCTGGTCCCTGTTAGCATGGAGATCCTGGTCGACGGCAATGTGCCCCCCGGTGGTGGTATTTCTAGCAGCGCTGCCTTCGTGTGTGCTAGTGCCCTGGCCGTCATGAAGGCCAACAACCACAACGTGTCGAAGCAGGATCTCTTGGATCTCGCTGTTGTTTCCGAGCGTGCTGTCGGTGTCTACTCTGGCGGGTGAGTATTCCTCTTCTACCCAAAATGTGCAATTGGGACAACCCATTCCAAGGAACCCTCTCTAACGCTATTCATCTCTACCTACAGTATGGACCAAGCTGCCTCCATCTTCTCGAAGCGCGGCTTCCTCCTCTACACCAAATTCTACCCCCAATTCAAGGCCCAACACATCCCGATCCCCAAGGCCACCGACGAAATCACCTTCCTCATGGCCCAGAGCTTCGTCACCTCCAACAAAGCCGAGACCGCCCCGCGACACTACAACCTGCGCGTAGCCGAGGTCACCCTGGCCGCCGTGATCCTAGCCAAGAACTTCGGTCTGACCCTGCCCAAGGACAACAGCTCGCTGGGCTACAGCCTCCGCAACTTCCACGAAGAGCTGATGACCAAGGAAGAGCGCCTGCACGACCCGCTGGAGTACCAGATCGACTCCGTCATCCAGGCCGTCCAGGACGTACTCACCAAGGAAGAGGGCTACACTCGCGAGGAGATGGCCACCCTGCTGGACATCAGCGTCGCCGAGCTGGAGTCCAAGTTCCTGTCTTCATTCCCAGTGCAGGCCGAGCGGTTCCTCCTGCGCCAGCGTGCGCTGCACGTCTACAAGGAGGCTCGCCGTGTGTTGGACTTCAAGGCTTGCCTGGCCAAGGCGTCCAAGCTCGATGACAAGCGTATCCGCTATTTGGGCCAGCTGCTGAACGAGTCGCAGGAGTCGTGCCGTACCGCTTATGACTGCAGTGCTCCCGAGGTTGATGAGATTTGTACTATTGCCCGCAGCGCGGGTACGTGGGGTAGTCGCTTGACTGGTGCGGGTTGGGGTGGCTGCACTGTGCACATGCTGCCTCAGGGTAAGGTTGACGCTGTCACGACTGCCCTGCGGAACGAGTACTATCTCAAGAAGTTCCCTGATATGAGCGAGGAGAAGCTGAAGCAGGCTATGGTTATCAGCAAACCGTCTAATGGCTCGTTTGTGTACGTGATTTCTACAACATGATGAAGGGATGAGATTGAGCTAATATGCGTATAGGATTTTCGGTGCTGCTATTGACGAGGTTACCCTGTGAGATTCTTGATATAATGAACCTGGTGGGGTGGGATCTTCATATATAAATGTTCTAGAAACATTTCAAGTTCTGAAAGTGCCCTCAATCGACCCATAAAGTATTCACCATATACTCGATGTAGAACGGGGAGCGTCGGCTGTTGAAAGTATGCATGGCTCCCAGCAAAGCCTCTTAGAGCTTGGTACTTGTAGAGGAGGCCACTTGTAGAAGAAACAAGTTGAAACAGTCTCCGAAGGCCATTTTTGGCTTCATTCGGGAGCCTCGTGAAGAGTGACGCATTGGGGCTGGAGTTTTTGAAAACTGTACATCCCTCGCTGGGACCTTCAAGCGATGGGCTCTTCTCCTTCGGATGAGGGGGTGTTAGAAGAATATGACGGGTTACCAACAACTCATCAAGTCTTATTCTTAACGGCTGCCTTTCCGAAGAAGTCACTCATTTTCTTCATGCCAGTTGTGTTGACCTTCTTCAGGTCACGCACTCCCCGAGACTCAGATGCCTTGGCTTTCTTCTCTTCTTCATCCTTTCGCCGCTTCTTCTCAGCCCGATCCTCAACCTCTTCGTCATCCAACCCACGCTTGCGGCTGAAGTCAGACACGCCCCGCGAAGCTATAGCCTCCGCTCGTAGGGTGGCAAGCTCCTTGAGACGGTCGGTCAACGGCTTGAGATCCAAGGGTGAATCCGGGGAGGCGAGCATTTCATCGATTCGAGAGGATAGAGCGGACGACAAATAGGATTCCTTCATGAATGACAAGGAAATAGAAACCCGCTGCAAGCGGCGGATGTCGTCTGACTCGTCACCGGCAGGCTGAGGTACAGGAGTAGTTTCACCAGCAGGCGTTGACACCGAGGGAGTCGCAGTTGTGGCCATTGTCGAAGGCGAGTCTGACCTCTCATCCGATTCGACTGGGTTCGCCTCGCTCTCCTTTGAGCCCTGGTTTGTCAACGCATCGTCACGCTTGACCGACATCAATGGAGCAGCCAATGCCTGACGGATGAAACGCTCCTCCAAGCTCGCAGGTAGCCCCTGCGCGGCCATCCGCTCTGCCTTGGCGAGCAATTCCTTGAGAAGCTTGGTCTCGCTGAATCGGAACATGTTTTCATCACCAGCCTCCACGGTATCACAGACGGCCTCGGCGCGAGCAAGGAGAGTTTTGCGGAATGTTTCGTCGTAGAGGACGTGGCGGAAGTGTGGGTGTAGGTCATCATTCGAGTCAATTATGTCGTCCAGCGGCTGGAATAGGGATTGTCCGGTCTTCGAAGAGGATGAAAGAAGTGGGACCAGGAAGAAGGCTGCATCTATTGGTGTTGCGACCAGCAATTCAGCCTTCTTGGCAATTGACGCTGTCGCGGGTGACTTCTCATCTTTTGACGTGGACTCGGTCGATTGGTGTTTCTTAGGGGTGAACAGAATACTCCGAGGGGCTGATGCGGGTGATGCGACAACTGTAAACTCGAAAATTCCGCGTTCTGGGCAAAAAAGGTAGCGAGATAGGTCGCCGGACTGCGGGTTCGGCAGGGAGAGTAGACGCGCGTTGGCGCTGGTATTGGACGGAAGGATGAAGGTCTTGCTGGGCTTTTCGGCAGAGGTCAATGCTTTTGTCTGCTGCTCAGAGGCAGATTCAGACTTCGCCGGAGGAGCAGCAGAGCGAGTGCGGGGCATTTTTGCGACAGATGGGTGGACTGGCGAGGGAAGTGAGGCCGAGTGGATTTAAAAGGGAAATCGCGAAGACGCGCCTGGACGCGCCTTGCGGAATCATGTGCGGGCCGAGCCATGCAGGTGATCTCTCACATCTCACATCCCATGCGACGTCCTTGCGGCCTGAAACTATTGCGCATTCTTAACATTTCTTGCATCGTCGGCATTGGAGATTTTTTCTTATTTCTTATTTCTCTTTTATCGACAAGCTTCCTGCTCTTTTTGTCGTGACCAAGTCTTGACGTACGCCCGCGGGGCGGCTGAAGCTGCTGGGAATGCTGCCTCATGTTGATTTCGATTCTTGACCGATCCCTTGATTGCAAGCTACCAGTAAGTGATTTTTTTGTCATGGCAATGGCCTGAGTAGGCGATTTCTGATCTCTCCGCTAGTGGTGGACCCTGCATGGCCGCCGAAATCTCCCCGCGATGCCCTCCTCAGCTCGCCGGGAGGACGAAGGAAATACGAGGACATGCAACAGCGCCGACAACTCCTTTCCTCCCCGTTGAAACGCTCAAACACAACACCCAACTTCCGGTCAAAAGCCGATCAAATTCTGGACGAGGGCGTGGATGAGGATGACAGCGAAGAAGACGAAGAGACACTGCAGCTGAAGCTCGCGGAGATCCAGGCTCGCCTCAAGTTGAAACAACTACAAAAGAGTCGAGGGAGATCCGGAACTGCGAGCTCGCACACAGAAGATGGGGAGGAGAGGCGCCTTCGTCCTTCTTCCGGTATCATACGGTCTCAAAGCCACGCTTTGATCCCGAAAAGCCCCCAGGCAGTGCCACGAAAGGCACCCACGGATAGTGTTCAAGTGCCATTGTCGCCGACGCGACGAGAAGATCCCCCTAAGGCACCATGGTCCCCTCAGAGATATAAGATGGGCATCGACAAGGGCTGGACAGCTGCCGATGTCTCTCTCAAACGGCCCCCGCGGCCAACGAGTCAACTCGGAACTCGAAGCAATGCCATGTCGCGATCGAATGATGTGTTCTCAGAAAGGCCCCAAACCTCACCAAGCAGTGGAGGTTTGAATAGGATCAAAAGCTTCAGCGAGCGAATGGCCGAAGGCCGAGCGGCTGAGAAGCTCCGTATGGAGAAGGCCGAGAAGGCCGAGAGAGTCAAGGCAGGCCGGAGCTCAGGCTTCCAATTGGATAAATCTGAGATTGAGGCTTTCAAGATGGCGGCTGCAAAAGAACAGCCTTCGACTCCGTCGTCTGTGAGTCGGGAGCCGCAAGCGCCAAGTTTCAGTCGTGAGGATATCCTCAGATCTATGGGTACATCTCGTTCTGGAATGACAAAGCGCAGCCAGACAACACCCAGCGTCAGAAATAATGAAGGCCACATGAGAGCCTTGTCAGACAAGGCGTCTGACGGAACTGAACAGAGAGGAAGCACACCAGACCCGTCCAAGTTTGAGTCCTATTCTGGGCTCCACCTGTCGAATCGTATTCTTCCGCACTCCTTTTTGAGCCGCAGTCTGGCCGATAAGAGAACCCTCAAGATCCCTGATCTTCTCAAGACAGTCAAAGCGCCTGCTTTTGAACTTCCAGAAGAAATAGATGGCGATTTCGTGGTATTTGGAATTGTCGCGTCAAAGTCTGATACCAAGCAGACCAAGGATTCAGGAAAGGCCACTACCAAGACAGCTGACCCCTACGATGATGGGATGAATAATACCAACAGCTACATGGTCATGACATTGACTGACCTTGAGTGGACCATTGACTTGTTCCTTTTCGATACAGCATTTCCCCGGTACTACAAAATATCGGAGGGTACTCTCATCGCGATCCTGAACCCAACTATCATGCCTCCCCCAAAGCATAAGCTTGACACCAATCGGTTCAGTCTGGCTTTGTCCTCATCTGATGACAAGATTCTCGAAATAGGAAAAGCCCAAGACATTGGCTTCTGCAAGTCCGTCAGAAAAGATGGGAAAACATGCGAGTCTTGGGTAGATGCTCGAAAGACGGAATTTTGTGATTTTCATGTGGATCTTCAAGTGCGCCGCACTCAGGGTTCGCGCTCTGGTGTCAACAGCGGTACGGGTATGTTTGGTGGAGGCGGCAAATCCGGTTCACGTACTGGCGTTTGGCAAGAGTCGAAAGGCCGTGGTCGAGGCTCACGTTTTGGAGGCTCGGATGGTTCTAGACCAGATGGCAAATTGAAGGCAGAGGGTGCCCAATATCACATGGGGACCCAGTCCGTCTATTACGTCGCTCCTGGGCCCAGAAATGGGGGAGCTGGTCGCGCCTCATACAATCCCGCTGCGGGACACTCGGCCGCAAGGCTACTAGATGCCAACGACGATCCTTTCATTGCGGCCGGCATGATGGGCCGTGGCATGGAGAACAAGGAAGAGCGGATGAGAAGACGCCTGGCAGCTCAGCAGCGTGAGCGTGATATCACCCGAAAGCTTGTTGCTGGCCGCTCCGGTGGTGTCGGTGCAGATTATCTTCGGACCCGCACTGCCAATGAAGGCCAAGCCAACGGTGAAAACAAGGAGAAAACGCCGGGGACTCCTTCAACACCGAAGGCACTGCCCTCGAGTCAGAGTCTGAACTTTGTCACCTTCGGCAAAGCGAACAATGTTCGCCTTAGTCCTATGAAACGGGCCCATGATGGTGACAAACCTCATGGTAGTGGGGTCAAGAAAACTCGGTTTATCACCTCTAAAGGAATCAGAGAAGCCGGCCGAGATAGCCTGGGCGGGGATGCTACCCCCGGGCGACGGATACTTTCGGACGATGATGAAGAAGATGACTTGGAATTTATTTGATTGCATTGTTTGAGATACCACCTTGTGTTGGTCTTCCCAGCATCCAGTCCCCTGACCTGGTTGTTTTATGATGGTTACGACAGAACAAAAAAGGCACCTTGCATGAGACGAATTTCCTTTGTTATGCTATTCGAATAGGTGCCTATCTGACTCGCACCCCACTGGGCATAGATCAATAAAATCAGCATGCCTTGAATTTCATGGCGCTTTTCAATTGATAAACAGTATCCAGTTTTTGCAAATATCTAATGTTCTCCATTTTGTGCGGACATTGTTCTCTTCAATCTCCCATACCGCTCAACCGCCCCTTGCCTCCTTTTCCACATATATTTCCGTTTCTGATCACCTATCAAACTTGATGCTGCGACTGTTGCGATGGAGCCCGAAGCAGCGTGCCCCAAATCATGAGAGCCACAGCCAACATCGCCAGCAAAATGGGTTGTAGCACCGATACTCCCTTAGCCTGCGCAATAGCACCAATCATAAAAGGAAAGACAGCCCCTCCACCCATAGAAAACGCAGCCGCAAACCCAATAGCCGCGACATGCAAATGCTTTGGCAACATCCGAGTAGCAACGACCACAACACCCGGGAAAATTGTTCCCAGGAAAAACCCAACCAGCGCGACTGCCACCGCCGAAACGATGAAATCAGGAACGAGCCAGAAAATCAGTTCCAGCGCGATGGCAAGAACAATGTAGACGATAATGGAGAGTTTCTCTCCAATGCGAGGAGAGACAAATCCTAGCACGAATCGGCCAACCGTGACGCCGAGCCAGAAGCCTGTTTCGGCCATACCGGATGCAAAGGGACTGCCGTGGCGGACGTTCGTCATGAACACGACGATCCATCCTCCAATAGCGACTTCGCAGCCGCCATAGAGGAACAGGAAGATGGCGCATACCCAGGTAACTCTGTATGTGAGAGATAGTCTTGTCTGATTGAGGGATCCACCTCCTTCTCTGCCTGGGGCAGATGGGTGATCCTGTTGATACTTGGTGCCTGTTTCTGTCCAGAAGGCGCTGGTGGCATTGATGAGTTCAAGGACAGCGGCTCCAGTCTTGGGGTATTCGTCAGCCTTTGCAATATCCAGAAGCTACATAGCCCAGAGTGGAGAGGTAAGATACGTACCAGCAGATAATAGTATGAGTTCCACTGCCAGCCAGCTTTCGTGATCAGAGTTGTCGCTACCAGAGGACTAACTGTAGCTCCCACACCGTAGAATCCATGGAAACAACCGAGTACTTCGTGGGAATTCGCCAGACTGCTAATCCACACGTTCCACCCCGCATTCTGAATACCACTTCCCAGCCCAACAAAGATATACATGATCACCAGGACTGGGAATGGCGGGTTAGTCGATATGACTGCAAAGGCCAGTACATGACATGCTGGTCCGATAAACGCCACCCCTCGACGGCCGAGACGTTGATGAATCAGGTTACTTAGGATGGCAGACACAGTGTAGCCAAAGAATGGCGACAGGAACACCAGTGAAATAACCGTATAGTTCTTCTGGTAGGAAAGCTCGAGCTAGATAATGTATGGAAATCCCGATTAGTAATGTTTATTTTTCCTTTTAAAATTGTCCATGAAGGTAGTACAAACGTAAGGAATGATAGATCCATATGCAGCGTCGTTGGAGCCCATCACAAATGCACACCAGAATGTTGCGAGGACCCTCCATATCATAGTCTTTGACCCATTCCATCGGAGGGCGACGTTGACAGCATGCAGTGGAGGAGTGTCATCCTCGGATCTTGGAGTCACCGGGGTAGATGTAGGGTGTATCTCATCACTAGGAGAGACTGAGGGTGGGCCAGCAAGGCTCGGATCAGCAAGGATAGTCTGCTCTGTAGCCATGTCTCCTGATAAGCTAGAATCTGTGAAGGAAATGAGGCGTACTTGAAGTTGCTGATGGTGTTCCGGTGGATCTTTCCACTTACCTAAAAGCGGGGAAAATACGACCTCTTCATGTTTGATCAGTCATAGTTATACTACCACACTATATAGACTCACCCGGGGGGCCTGAATTCTACATTAGGCTTTTACAGTCTTGAAGATAAAAGTGCTTCATCATATGAGTGCTCTCAATTCATTGACAGGTCAGCGAAACCGCTGGTTTCTTGCTCTATCCATTGATGTCCGAATTACAATCCCACAGAGCCAGGGAAAGATATGATAATGACAGGACAGAAATTCAGAGAAGAACCAGAAACCGAAAACAGAAAAACAAAAAAGTAGATCCAAACTCCCCAAACCCATTCCTAGAAAAGACACGAGTTACCTGGTATCCTGATTCCACCATATTCAAACCCACGCGCCAAGTTGAAGCAGAAGAATCCAGTGCTCGGAAAGACACGCATGTCATGGCTAGGGTAAACATTAAATCGCTTGAGAAAGGGAATAAAAAATAAAGAAAAAGGGAGAGAAAAAAAAGAGACAACGACGCCACAGAGAATTCGGACGGCAATAAGCAGTATGGCAGTAGCTTGAATAAAGAATTGTCGTGCATCCGGAATTCCAAGCAGCAAAGGAACCTGCGGGTCGGGACGAACAGACCGAGCAGGACACAAAGACGAAAGCGAGAGAAACGAAGGCGCAATAAGTCGCTGATCGATGCACCATGTCAATGAAAAATCGTTGCGAGGCAACAGAGTCATCACTCTAGCTACTGAGAGTGCAGTAGTGAACACAGAAATGAGACTAAGTCGACGACGCAGTAGAAGCACCTGCCCGAGTGGTGCGGGTCTTCTTGGCAGAGGGTGGGGTCAACGGGGATTCGCCCGAAAGGTCGGCCTCGCGCTTTGTAGATGGGGCAGGGGAGGATGATTCCTCAATAGCCTGCTTCTTACGCAGCCACTGATCGAATGGGCTGATACGCTTCCGCTTGGCTGCGGCGTTCGTACCAGTCGGGGTCTCCTCATCCTGTGCTGTGAGACGAGCGTTTGATCGCAGAAGACGAGTCGAACCAGGAGCTTGGGGCGCTTGTGGGGACTTGGGGGTAACAGCGGGTGTCTTGGTGGTGATATGAGGGATCTGGGCCTCGGGAATCTGGGCTTCAGCCACCTCGGCATCCTCTTCGTCGGTGGCATCCTCTTCCTCGAGGGGGGGACTACTCTTGATCGCAGCAGGGAAGAGAACACGGGGCTTGATGGAGCTGCGAGTGAGAGGCTTGACCCGATGCAGAATGTCTGGGTTGGCTGCGAGAAGGTCCGGCCGGGAAGCAAACAGACCCAGGTCATCCTCATCATCGTCCTGCTCATCAAGATCAGCAAACTTGGTGAAGACCTTCTTACCACGGCTGCATAAAACGTCGTTAGAGAAAGTTCAAAGTTAGGAGAAGTGAGGTAAAGTGAAAATACTTACAAGATCATGGTAATTCCTTCATCCGAGTTGGGCGAGTGGTCTTCCTCGCTAGATGAACTCTGGTGGTGGCGTCTGCCGGAACAAGAGTTAGAGCCGTAAAAAATTCACAGAGGGGAATTAAAATAAACTCACCTGGGAGTAGTGACCGAGGTACGCTGCGAGCTAGCACCCTCACCAGCTCCCTGCATACGAGCAGCAGCCTTCTTACCCTTCTTAACAGGAGAGTCCGCCTGTGAAGAAAATGGGTTGCCCGAGGTAGGACCAGAAGTGGGGATACGATCACGGGAGTCGGTGAAGATTTGAATCTCGTTAGAGGAAGAGGTCTCAAAGCTCTCCAGTGAGAAAGGAGATGGCTTCTTGGATGACATCTTGCCGGTTGATGGGAAGAGAGTGCGAGATGTAGATGATAAATCGCCTTGGATCGTTCGCTTAGACGGGGTTTTAGCAGGAGTCGGCAGGGCCTGAGTCGCTGCGGGGCGAGGGTGAGAGAGTGAAGAAGGGTGACGATGAGAGACGGAAGAAGAAAGACGTTGAGGGTATCCGGAAATTTCAGAAATAGGCTCGCTTGTCGATAGCGAGGAGTCAGACTGCTGTCCAAAGGCTTCTTTCCTAATTGACTTCCAGCTCTGATCTGTCTCCCCATCAACTCTTGGATACTTCCTCGGTGACCCTCGAGATCGCATCTTGCTCGGTGAGCTTGGGCAAACTGGTTCGGGCGTTCTTTCCATTGATCTGGCTGCACGCTGGCTTGCTATTCTAGTCGAAAACCGAGGCGGATATGGCTCATATTGGTCGTATTTAGCCCCGTGGAGTGGTGCAGAGGGGACTCGCAGGTTTGACAGCGAGTCTGGCGGGGGAGTCTGCAGACGCGGTGGGGGAGTCGTCGCCATTGTGATCGATCGCGCTTGACGAGGAGTTCCAGAGGTCTATGGCGATCCAAGTGTCCAGACTTTGAGGACCTTCAAGGGATGTGTTGCTGGTTGCAACCCGGAACAGCCCTGATTCTCGATTGACGTTGACACTGGGTGAAACAAGGGCGCAAATGTACTTGATCGGAAGACGAGTAAAACGAATTCAGTCGAAAGGAACGATTCGATAACAGACGGAGTATAGCAGTTCTTTCGTGATTATCGAAGCAGTAATAGTTGCAACGTGAGTGAGGAAGAAGTGAAGAAAGGGCGAGGTCCCTTGGAAGGGCTGGAAGGGCGGCATGCTTGGAGGAGCCCAGCCACCTCAAATGTTCACCGCCCCCCAGTCGGTACCGCCTTGGCGATTAGACTTCCCGCCCCGCGGTTCGCTAGTCCCGCGTATCGATTGTTGACGTTCTTCCTGATTTGATTGCCCCGGACTTGGGTGCGATTATATGGGCCAGTTGCTGGTTTAGGGGTAATCGGACTGGCACTGGGTTTCAAAACCACATTATCCGCATTATACACGCCGAGACCACGGGTAACGCCACACATCTCGACGCGATGGCTGTCCGAAGCACCGCCGAAGAAATGGAGCGACTCCAGCTTTCAGACGAAGACACGGAGGATCTCTGGAACTCCCCATCAAAGCGAGGCGCACACAAAAGATTCCAATCTCGACCGTCTGATGAGATGCCTGCACCGGAGCCTCGACAAGCCCATGAGGGGGGCGATACTCTTTTCGATCGCCAAGAGGCCCGCGAAGCAGCCCTACAGCACGAGCTACATGCCGTGCGAAACATCAACGAAGTCATTGAAGGCCTGTTGAACAGTATTGACAAGGCGAAGGGCAACATGGAGGTCTGTCTTGGCTGCTCAGCACGCGTGCGAACTGAACCGCAGAAAAACTGACAATTCCTCTCTACAGACCGTATCGAAAACAGTCGCGTCTGCATCGACGCTTCTAAACACTTGGACCCGAATCCTATCCCAAACCGAGCATAATCAGCGCCTCATTCTGAATCCAAACTGGCAGGGTGCCACACAAGATGTGGCTGACATGGAGAATGAAGCGATTCAGAGACAGCAAGCGGCTGAGCGGCGTGAGCAAGCCCTCCAGCAGCAGCGGGAGGCAGCACTCCGTAAAGCCGAAGAGGAGGAGAGACGACGAATTGCCACTGGTCGTGGTGGTCGCGGAACTAGTCGTGGCACAGTACGCAGTACTGGATTGGGCAGGACGCCGAGTGTGAGCACCAACCGCACAGCAGCTACGAGAGGGGCATCCACTACAGCCACTCGACGACCGGCCAGTGGGATCGCACGTGGAAGTGGAATTGCACGAGGCCGGGGCAAGGCTTAAACTTATGAAATTTCTGTGTATGATACATTTTTTTTACTTTGGAGATAGAAAACACCACGAGCCCAATGAAGATGATACCCGAATACTCAAATATCTAATCTCAAATATCAAATATCTCGAATGTAAATAGATGAATGCCTGAGGCAGAAAGCCGCGAACACGCGACCCGCGCGATAAGCAACGCGATAAGGAAAGGAGGATAACGAGGATAAGGAGCTTCCCCCGAATAGTCGACGGGTTTCCCCAGCTTAGCTCTCATCGGCTCAGCTCTCGCCCAGCCCTCATCATGAACTTCGCCCCGTACCAGGACGAGTCTCCCGAGATCGAGCGGGCGCTGTCCCCTCCGACTCTGGACGGTCGCGTCAAATCTCCCGCCCTCCGGTCGCCGCGGGCGTCGACCGACTTGCCATCCCCAAGCCACTTTGCTGGAGGTGGACACGGCAACGGCGGCTACAGACATGACTTGGAGGGTGGTCGCGCAAGCTTGGGTGCCTTTGAGACTAGCCTCCCTATCCGCATGGATGTGGAAGCTGCCCTGGCATACTTGCTTCTACCTCCAGCGGGAGGCTTGTTTTTACTGCTGGCTGAACACAAGAGTGACTATGTGCGGTATGTACTTGACTTTAAACACCCGGCGCTAGTTGAGGGAAATGGAGTGTCTAATGCTAGGTTATAGATTCCACGCATGGCAGTCAAGTATGCTATTTGCGGTCATCTTCGTGAGTTCACTGTTCGATTTACCGAGATGGACTTCCGACTAATACAACATAGATAACTCACCTCATCTTTGCCTGGAGCAGCTTCATCTCCTGGACTCTCTTTATTATTGATCTAGCACTCATGGGAACTCTTAGCATGCGTGCTTATCGAGATGGTGAGTCGTACACCATATTCTGGCAGCCACCCTTCCATCGTTGCGACTCTCATAGCTGATGTTTTATTTCTACAGTTGACACGCTCGACCACTTCGAAGTCCCATTCTTCGGTCGCCTGGCTAATTCATTCGTTGATAATGAATAATCAATTCTGGTTATCATTCTCCAGGCTTTGCGTGTAATTGAAATTCTCGCCGAGGAGAAGCGTGCTCTTTTCCAATATACCCCTCGTCTACCACTACGTTAATAAGTTCGATGGATATTCTTGCTGCTACTACTTCTGTTCATATACTTGATACTTCTTTGATATGCACCTTCTTGGCGATGTGTGCTAGCTGTTTGGCTACTTTAATGAATGCTTGGAACCTGTGATCTGGACTGTTTGGACACTGGGCAGAGATCGCGCCACCCGTCCACAGCTTTTCAGGATCCCCATTTGCCTATGAATCTATACCTGGAATCGCAATCGAGGATTACGAGTGCTTGCCACATCTTCATTGACTACAGATCCTGGGCGGTACTTGCGATCTCGACGCCGATTTTCCCACCTAATCCAAAGTCCGTATGCCACCATCGAGATCACACTCATAAATATGTTGTTTGTCAAAACAGTAGAATGTTTAGGATGCTTTGCGTACCATGTTTCCTCTGCGAGGTGGAGCTTTCCTTTCTCAGCTACCCACTGGTGACTTAGAGACTCATTAGAGGCATCTATAGAAACCGAAACTCCGCCTTTCGAAGCAGGCTCGTGCTCGGCAGGCCACAAGGCATCCAAAGCGTGAATACCTGCTTCACATCAGGAAGCTTCATAACGTGAACCCTCCGTCTAAACTTTATATAGCTTTACTCTGCTCTTTCCTTTCCATTTTCCTTTTCACAATTTGTGATTCTTGGCATTTGGTTGGGATTTTTTCTAGTTAGAGGTAGAACGCTCTTCACTCCAAAAGATAAGATCGCCGAAGAGCGGCGCTAGAAGCAATTAGAGAAGAGCAGCTAGGGGGTTTGAGCGTTTATACAGATAAGGATTCTCTATGAGAGGAAGATAAAAGGATCGTAATATTTTAGGCTTACGTGGCCTATATAATAATAGACTATAAAGATACAGTATACCGAGGTCTATAGAGCTCCATAGAGCTGATCTTGGGCGGTCTGGGGCGGACGATAAACGCCAGTTGCTCAAAACCCATAATTGGTCAGCTTATCGATCGCTTTCATAGCCGCCTTGACCCTGATGCTTTCTTCTTTAGGCCAGGGCAACGCTATTACTGTAGTACCGACTTGACTATCCCCTTCCTTGTCTTTTCTCTTGTCTTTTCTCTTGTCTTTTCTCTTGTCTTTTCTCTTGTCTTTTCTCTTGTCTTTTCTCTTGTCTTTTCTCTTGTCTTTTCTCTTGTCTTTTCTCTTGTCTTTTCTCTTGTCTTTTCTCTTCCCTTCTATCTGTAGGTTATGTTAATTCTGCCGGACTTTCTACCTTAGAAAATTGGGTTTGAGCAATTGGCGCTTATCGTCCACCTCGGGCGGTCCAAATAGGGTTGTATACCACGTGCTGTACTGAGATATAGATAATCTTGGTCTACCCTATAATCCACGAACCACCTAATGACCAGATAAGTTGAATAATAATGGATTGAAAATACGCTAGCATATACAACAGCAACAGGACGACTGAGGCCCTGCGTCCACTTTCCTTTTAATGTTTTTTACATCCTCCTGAATCTTCCTCACTTCCCCAAGATCGGTCCGACGCCTCTTTTCGATACTTTGAATCCCCCCTCGCAAGTCGCCAATCCCCTGCTGTATATTTTGATCAACCTGGATGGCTTGATCCTTCATACTTTGAATGTCTTGGCGAATATCACTCTGCACCCCCTCCTGCCTTTTCAGCTCCACTTCAATATCTCCAAGTCTATCCTGAATCTTCGTTATGAGCACTCCATTTTCATCCCTCAGACGCAGATTCTCGCCTTCCATATCAGCTAAAAGGTCCTCAATCGCCTGCGGCTTCTGCTCGATAGACTGAAACGTGCGCTCGAAATTCACCGATTGCTGGGAGCTGCTACGACTAGGCCCGCCGCCGCTCGTGCGTATTGTGTCGTTAGAGGCCCCTCCCGTTCGCGAATCGTGAGATGCGATGGTTGCAGCGAGAGACGTCCTTCGTTTGTTTTCCCAGGTGAGAGGGATGGGTTTTGTTGTCTCCTGAGGGTTTGTTGCTGCTACTGCAATTATCAGGATTGCGGGGTGTCTTGGTACGATGCTAGAGGTAGACTAATACCGGCGGGATCCAGTCCTATGGGTTCTTCGCTCATTTCCTCCGTGTATTTCCCTTGGTTGTAGGTAGAAGATGCTGACATTGCGTTTGCATGTACGAAGTAAAGGGAATTGACTTGGGGCTTATTGATAAAGGAAAGAGGAACTGGGCGTGACGACTCCCAACCATAGAAAGTCCGGGCAACCACTGACGTGTCAATCCCCCTCATTTCGGAAACAGAAAGCAAAAAAAAAAAGAAACTACAGAAAATGCTCAAACAAAATGTACTTATGCGATCTCGCTATCAGCAGCAAAAGGAAAATTAAATTCAAAAAAAATAGAAAATTCTTTCCCCCTCTACCACAAGTTATCCATTTTGTAGCTAACTGGCCCTCATGCCTTGCCTATCATCACATTAGCCACCCGATCATTAGAAATACATAATTTATACTAGGGATGAATTATTCCACTTACCGGCTTTCATAGGTCTCTCAAAGTAACTATTCCGAGCGGCCAGGGTCTTGCTCAGCCTGTCATTGACAATCTTCACCCGCTCATACGCCGCCTTGTGTTTATGCAGCTGCTTGTCCCGTTCCTCAAGCTTACTCTTCATCTCAGCATCACTCTTCTGTAGCTTGAGGAGCTGGGCATTCTTTTCATCGCGACTCTTGGTCATGTCGGCCAGTCTCTTTGTTAGATCATCGACGCTCTTCTCTGACTGGGCGCGGCCCTTCAGGAGCTCTTCGATCCTGGCATGCATGATGTTGGTGAGGCTCACGGCCATGCCGGAATTCTCTTCCAGATCATCGAGGATGTCTTCATATTCTGTGGTGAGACTAGACTCCAGGAGGGGACCGTCTATGGTGGTGCGGCCAGCACCGCCTGGCGGTGGCTTGACGGCGTCTTTTGATGTGGTGTGTAGCCCATTCGATGCTATCCCCGGCACGTTCGGAGCCGGGGGTGGCCCCTTGGATAGGCTCTCTGATCGATGTGTGCCATTCGCAGCTTTATCGCCTCCGGGCATGGTACTGCCGGAAAGGTTTCCTGGATGGTTGGTTATTAGTTAGCGCGGCTGAGCCTTCTCATTCCTGTTGGGAGATCAGTAGAACATACGTGATGCTTGGTTTGACATTTTGTGGGTGGTCAAAGGACGTATAGTGGATTGTTGCTGGACTAAGCTGTCTTGGACTCAGTAGACTCACTTTGGGCTGCCGATGAGTAGGAGCTTCCTACAGACATGGCGATAGCCGGTGTTATATCCTACAATAAATTTGATCTTCTCCCAAACAACCTACGTTGTCATCGTCGCTGTCGCTGCCCGAGTATCTCGTATCAGGCACCACGAGTCCTGCTTATTTGGACCAGCTATAGTATCTACCCAAGAAAAATTGTGAACCATGTTAAACGTCAACTTTGGTCTGCTAGTGCCTGATTCAGAGCCGCAATTGCTGGAATCTTTCCATCAGGTGGCCTACCATTTGAGTTCCTTTGGGCCATGTCCTTCTGCGTCATGCAGCTTTTGAAACCCGTTATCTGTAATCTGACCAACCAAGATGGCCTCCCCATTATCAATCACATACGCAGCGCCAGTTTCATCTGCGAACCGAAGGGTGTATCCTCCATCTTCCGCCGCTGAAGTGGAAATGTGGCTCTTGCGATACTCGCTTCTGGTGCCAGCAATTTGGCGTTCTGCAGATTGCACAATCTCGTTAACCACCTTCCCAAGGCGCTAACGAGGGGACTACCTACCAGTCCATTGGCCATCTACAAGGCTAAGCTCATGGATTGAGTAGTCCTGATGGGCGTAAAGGACAACAACCCGATCATCGACTCTCGCAGCATGGATCATAGCGCCAGGTAACGGCTGAGTCGGCGGAAGGCCATTGTCAGGCTGCCACGGAGCGTCGCGACTTTCCCTATGGACAGCCTGGATGACGCCTGAAGACGCCTGGCTTATGACGAGGCTTGAATTTTCTTCCACCTGCATCGCTGCCAGTTTTGTTCCGGACAGAACCTCGATCCCCAATTCACTCAATTGACCGGGTTCCCACACCCCATCGCCGTCGTTGAACTCAAAATCCTGCAGGATGTTGATTTCTTCGACGTGTTCGTCTCCCTCTGCAATGCAGTAAATCGCGCGCTAGCAGGATGTCAACTCACTGCTGCGATTGGGTCGCATTTCAGATAAGATCACATGCACGTACCTGGCCCTCGCCCTGCACAATGTAGGCTGCTGCCGTGCCCGTCTTTGCTGTACCTACTTCCTCTGGTGGGAGCAGTTCTCCCCCATCCAAGTCTCTTTCTGTGAGAAAATTCCCGTCCTGACAGATGTAGTGGATTACCACGTCGTCTGTGATTTCTAGGATCGCATTCTCCGGGCGGATCTTATGAGCCATGCTGGAAGTACTTGGGCTGGCAGACCACCACCACAAACAGCGTTGGTGTCGGGATTCTTTGCCTTGGGTAACAAAAAGTTCTTCGAATACGGCTTTTTTCATGCCTTATTTATGGGAGGGTGTAGAGAACCCCTCCTGGTTGATCGCCCATGTTAGTCTGTGTGACCTGCTGACGGTTTGATTTGATACGAGGATATGCGGCGCTTGACGTACACGTCAGTCATCCTGCACAATTTTTTAACATGCAGGTAATCTTGGGCAATGTCGTCACCCTACGTGTATCATCTGGAAATATTTTTCCACGCTCTTTCCGAGGAGAACTCGCTATCAGCCTCATTGACCTCTCCCCCGTGGCCTCACGGAATAATGAACGTGGTAACGATGCCCAAATAGCAAAATATCATCTGTAATTCCTCTTATTATCTGTATAGGTGCCTTATTACATAGCCTTCCCAGGACAACCGAAACCACATGGTCCTTTACTTTTTTTTCTCTCTGTTAGCTGCAGCCAAGCTTTGTACTCGTAAAATTTGTGCATGCATATACTGAGATCCTACATACAAGCATATCTGACTGCTCCACCGCATCCTCTTGATTAAAAGTCGTTTCGGCATAAGCCTATATTAGACAAATCCCCTCATTTTTTAACAATATTTATAGGCTGGTAATACTAACGGCAAAATGACAACCAAGCCCCCTCGAAAAGTTACCGATGTGCTACCGCAACTCAGCGACGACCTTTATACCTACGGCATTCGGGACGTCGTGATCGAGTCTCTGAACGAAGCCGGCGAACCTTGCATGAGATTTGCGAATGATTATCTCCGCTTGTCCCCTCAACTGAAGGATCAATTATTCAAGGCCGAAGGAGTCCAGCGGAGAAAGCGGGACTTTCTTGAATTTATTCAATTGCTTGTGCGGGAATTGGGGGACGCGTTGGAGATTCTTCCTGAGGATGAGCAGGACGAACAGGACCAGAATGAGGACCATGACAACTGGCATTCGATGAAACCGCCGAATCCTTCGACAGGTATATCAGTCAACCAACCAGCAAAACACCAGGACCAGAAGCAGCCAGCTAAGGCACCATCGAGTAACTCTCCACCTACCAACGGGAACTCGGGCTTAAGCACCGGAAAGCCAGATATCAATCCTCCACTGCGACAACAGCCGGACTCCGACACAGCTCATAATAACAACAGCAACGGTCATTCCTCACTACCTTCTTCACCACCAGTCAATGGACTGACAGTAAAAGAACACTATCCCGAATCACCTCCCCCGTCTTTGAACCCAAGTAGATATAGCCCGACACTTCAAAAAGACTCTCAACCTCCCCCTTCTTTCAGTCCCACGGGGAACAAACACCCGCCTCCTAACAACCCCGAGTCCGTGGCTGCTTTGGGCATCCCTAGAGGTAGCCCCCAGCCAGTATTGAACCCGGAGAAACAAAAAGAGACATCGAGCGGGATCAGTCCTGGACTTCCTAAAGAATCAAACATTGCTCCCCCGGCATTGAATCCGAATATGACAAAGCCTTCACCTTTGAACCCTAAAGGAATCGAACCTACCCCAGGACTAAATAACAAGGGAAGCAAAACATTACCTGCTAGCAACCCTAACTCACCTCCTCTTGATTTGAAGCCTACATCAGCCGAACCTTCATCTTCAGGCTTGAACGGCTACCCACGCAAACCCCCGCCTTTGAGCCATGCGACTCCTTCTCCCTCCTTGAACTCTAATACAACCAAGCTTCCACTTCCAAACATCCCTGATCAGCCTCCTCCTTCGACGCTAGATGCGAAGGTTGACGTTCTTGAACCCCAAAAGAAGCCAAAGAAAACATGGACTGGTCTCAGCGATCCGAGTCAAAATCCAGACCCGAAAACGCCGAGCAATAGTCCTAAGAAACCAGAAGTTCAGGTAGATAAAGCCTCTCCTTTCTCTGATCACCGTGTGACTATGTGCCGTATAGAAGCGAGAATAGTAACAAGAATACCAGCTCCGAACAGCAGAGGAGTACTACGAGTACCTTAAATACTTCATCGACAAGAACTTAGGCCCGTTCGAGTTCGATGAGGTAATGACCAAAGACCTGGCTACTCGGGCAATGCAAGTCGCCAAACAGATCAAAGACGACTATGAGCTGTCGGACGAAGAGGTGGGGAAGATGGCGAGGCTATCTTTATTTGATATTTTTATCCTCTGCGGTAGGTTAATACACTCTCATACCCCCACATCCCGAGAACAGAAAAGCGGAATTTGTACTGATGATTTGGTATAGATAACAGCGGCTCCATGAAATTCGGCAACCGAGTCGAAACCCTCAATAAGACCCTGCAGGGTGTAGCACATTGGGCAACCCGCATCGAAAAGGATGGAATCTCTCTCCGCTTCCTGAACCGGGTTAAGGACGGCGACGGCCGGTTCGACAACCTGACGGACCTGCATAAAATCGACGATCTGATCTGCAGTATTCCCACTAAGGGCAACACGAGACTAGGGAACACCCTAGCAGGGAAAGTCATCCAACCACTACTTCAGCGGGCGGATAACCGGGCACAACAAGCGAGAGATGGCGTGAAGCGCAGTCAGCAAGTGTGTATTAAGCCGAGGATTATCTTCATTATCACGGATGGACAACCGGAAGGAGAGCCGAAGAATTGTCTCCGAGACCAGATTCTGGAGGCGAAGATGGGCAGGCTGGGGACAGCGTATGGCTCTGCGGCGACGATTTTCATCATTGCTCGTGTTGGACAAGATAATAGTGCGATTGAATTCATCGAAAGTTTGAGTGAGGATGAGCGGATCAGCGGGCTGATTCTTAGTGCGGCGGATCGGTTGGAGGATGTCATTGAGAAACTTATAGGAGATGAGGAGAGCGAAAAAGACCGGAATGCCTATGAGAGATATGTGAGTGCTTTCTTTCCACCTCCCCTGTCATAGGAAGAAGCAGTCGGGTACTAACGTTGGTAATATAGCTGATTAAGATGTTCCTGTGCGCTGTTGACTGTCAGACCAATCTATGAGAGCAGGCCACGTCCAGGAATTTAAGATTCAATTGGCAGACTTGATTCAAACAATACAAAGATACCTCATGCAAGAATGCCCAAGATCCCCTCTCATTCTATGCTTGGTTTCAAGTTCAACCCGACGAGGCTCCCTCGCCAATACAAAACGAGACTCCTTTCCTTACCTGTCTTTATTTCTTTTGGCTTCCCATAACCTCTTCCATATTCAAACACCCACCATGGACGCCACCAAATACACCGTAGGCTGGATCTGCGCCCTCCCTCTCGAAATGGCCGCCGCGATCACCATGCTCGATGAAGACCACGGCCGACCGTCCTCCCAAGCCCCAACAGACCACAACACCTACCGCCTGGGCCGAATAGGTGACCACAACGTCGTCCTCGGCTGTCTCCCCTCCGGTGTATACGGGATGACAACTGCCGCTTCAGTCGCTGTGCGGATGCTCAATACCTTCCCGTCCATCCGGATCGGCCTCCTCGTTGGCATAGGCGGCGGGGCTCCCACCCCCGAGGTCGATATCCGCTTGGGCGATGTCGTGGTTAGTAAACCAAGTAGTAACTCGGGTGCCGTGATCCAACATGATATGGGGAGGCTGGTGGCCGGAGAGTTTGTACTGAGAGGACAGCTGAACAAGCCTCCTCAGGTGTTATTAAGTGCTATCGCGAGCTTAGAAGCAGATCATATGCTAGGGGATAATCGGATTAGCGAGATTCTAACCGAGACAGCTAGGAAGAGGAAGCAATGGAGTGGCCAACGTTTCTATCAATCGCCCGATCCTGAAACGGACCTTCTTTTCCAGAGTGACTACATCCACGCCGGCACCTTGAATGGATCGTGCACCTCCTGTGACCATTCTCGACTCGTGAACCGCCCACCCCGTGAGACAGGAGAAGATCCCCAGATCCATTACGGGCTAATTGCATCCTCGAGCCATATCATGCAGGATGGCGAAATGCGAGACCAGCTCTCTAGGGAAAAGGGTGTGCTATGTTTCGAGACCGAGGCTGCGGGTCTGATGGACGTTTTCCCCTGTTTGGTCATCCGGGGGATATGCGACTATTCTGACTCGCATAAGAATAAGCTGTGGCAGAGGTTTGCGGCCATGACAGCGGCCGCGTGTGCGAAGGAGCTCTTGGTTGATGCAGTGCGGAGCCAGGCGGTTGGGGAGAGTCCGACGGTGCAGGAGGTGATTGAGGATCCGGGGGGAAAGACTGGTAGTGATATCCCGTCCAAGTCGCGAGCGCTCAATGTTTACCAAGAAGGAGGGAATTTTAACTGTACAAATCATGTGCATTCGGGGCGTCTCAATCAGATTGGGAATATTGCGGCCAGTGGGGATTTTGTTCTGCATTGAGGCTAGTTAGGGTATGAAGAAAAGAGCCGTATTTGAATCACCTGTTAAGAACATTAAGTCATGCTTGTAACCTTATGTTATACACACATTGGTAATATAGCTGTAAGACGTATCTATTGATGCCCATCAGGGCAGGTGGACAGACAAGTTTCGTCCCACGGATTACTGCCTGACGCGTTGAGCCCATCAGGCAGTTGTCCCAGGCGTGGTAGCTCTTCTTGATTCCTCTGCGTTCGCCAGCCTCAGCAAACCATCTCTACCAACTATCAGTCTCTAGACTGTATTTATCTCACCTGCTCGATGGAGCCACCAGCGGCAAATACGATTCAACATGGCAGCAAGTTTTCCGGGACACACTCCGTCCACGACAATGGACACCTGAACAACATCGGGACGGTGGCAGCCACAAATGTCATTTTCAATCAGAATAGTCTTGGCCATTTAAATACAGAAACCTCCAGACTCAAATATCCCCTTTCCCACGTCCTCCGGCGCAACCCCCGTTTCGTGGGCCGCCAGGATATCCTCAACCAGATCGACACGAGGATCCAACAATACGGAAGGGCAGCAATCAGCGGGATGGCCGGCGTTGGGTATGTTACTATGTCTCACCCCAAGTGCCTATCATCTATCTATTCTACTCTTTGAAGAAAAAAAAAGCGTCAAAGCTGACTACGGGTCGTGCTATAGCAAGTCCCAAATCGCACTCGAGTACTGCCACCGGGTCAAGGAACAACAGCCGCATATTAACATCTTCTTCGCGCATGCGGGCACCAGGGAGAGACTGGCAGCCGATTATACCACCCTCGCAGAGAGGTTGGGTATCCTCGGCCTGGATAATCCGAGGGTGGATATCCTTGCGCTCGTTGCGGAACGGCTGAGTGATGATTCCTACGGCCGGTGGCTGTTTGTGCTGGATGGTGCGGACGACCGGAGACTGCTTTCTAGGGGCGAGATGGGATCAACTTCGTTTACGAGATATATTCCTAACTGCGAGGGTTGTTCGGTCTTGGTCACGACAAAGGACAAGGTCGTTGCGCGGGAGTTGGATATGGGGCCTGTGATTCAGGTGGATTGTCCGGGAATGTGTGAGGTGAAGGAATTGTTTCGAGCCCAGATGATGAGCACCGGAGAAGATAAAACTGCAGCGGACGATGATACCGAGGCAATAATTACTTTGGCGAGTGAGGTAGGTAACCTGCCTCTGGCAATTAACCAGGCCGCTGCATTCATCCAGAACAGCATGATCTCCCTCCGGGAATATATCGAGATCCTTCAGGCAAGTCTCGGCAACAGGATGTATCTCCTTGGCTACGGAGAGGCCCATTCCGTGCTGCGTACCTTCCACCTCTCATTCAACCAGGCAGCTATGCTCCCTATCTCCGTTCGTCTTCTGTCAGTGATAGCTGTGTTCGATAGACAGGATATCCCACGGTGGCTTCTCCGTGAGACCACGAGAGATGAAAACACAACAGAAGCCGAGTTCACCGATTCTCTAGGAAAGCTGGTCTCTCTGTCTCTGTTAACCGACAACGGAAACGGCGAGGCGTTCTCAATGCACCAACAGGCGCAACTGGCTGTCCGGGACTGGCTCAAGGGCCAGAAGGAGACGAAGTACCATGAATGTGCTGTCGCAAAGCTGGCGGACATTTTTCCAACATCAGAATATCAGAACTGGAAAGAGTGTCGAGTTTTATTCCCGCATGCGCAGGCAGTGTTGGAATACGATAAGAACAGTTCCACACTACCGTACGCAGCATTACTGCACAAGGTCGCCCTCTATCAGTGGCAGCAGGAGAAGCTGGAACTTGCGCAGACCTACGCGCACGAAGCCTACACGATCCGGAAGAAGAATTCGGTCGTCCCTAGTAAGGAAAATCCAGCTATTATTGACAGTCTGGCTCTGCTCGCGTCCATCATGATGTATCGTGGACTTCACGCCGCGGCAGAGAAGAGACTCCGGGAGGTGTTAAATTGGAGGAAACGAGTGCTTGGCTACAACCATCCTCACAGCCTCGATAGCGTGAACGAGCTTGGTATACTGCTTCGACGAGCGCGTCGGTATACCGAGGCGGAAGCGATGCACCGCCGAGCACTGGAAGGTCGACGTAAGGTTCTGCGGGCGAACGACCCGGCCGTGTTTGCAACCATGGACGATCTAGGTGCAGTGCTTATAGATCAAGGGAGATATGAAGAGGCTAGCAAGCTACACCGAGAAGCCCTTAATGGAAATCTCGCCGCCCTAGGCCCGGAGCACCCAGCGACACTCACTAGCAGGGAAGATCTTGCTAGTGTGTTGAGTGAGATGGGCGATATGGATCAAGCACAGAATATGTACCAGCTGTCTCTCGACCATTACACGAAGCTTTTAGGGAAAGGGCATTCGGATACCCTGTCCTGCATGAACAATCTGGCGTGCGTACTCGTTAAACAAGAGCTATTTGCCGAGGCGGAGGAACAATACAAGCAGGTTTCAGAAGCCTACGCCAGGATCTTTACAAAGCAGCATCAGTATACCTTGACCGCTCTACAAAATCTTTCCAGAGCTCGAGTCCTCCAAGGACGATATGTGGACGCTGAAACACCCTGTCGCGATGCACTTACGGAAATGGAAACATTGTACGGAAATGATCATGCTACAACGCTCATCTGTCGGCGGCGATTGGCGGATATCCTGAAACTACAAGGTCGAAATGCAGATGCCGAGCAATTGTATCGGAGTGCATTGGAAGGCTGGGAAAATCGACTGATGGACAACCACGAAGAGCTAGATGGCTGTATTACTGGCTTGATCAATGTCTTACGGGCTGAGGGAAACCACGACGAGGTCGAACGAGTCCAGAGACAGTGGAATCGGACTTTTCTTTGGTTTGTTTGGGCCTTAGGTCGCAACTTAATCAGAAAAATTGTCTAGTGTGTGAGGGACATACACGACCCGCACTGATGGTGCCAGATAACACGCAATTGTGAGCTAGCAAAAACCGTTCAGTCAAGATTGTTCTTCCATTTGTCCCATGCCGTCTCCCCCATTCCATCCTTCAGCGAGGGGTCGGCACCCAGCTCCAGTAGCCTATTGACAGCAACGGTGCGACGATGTTTCGCAGCCAGCATCAACGGGGTTATCCCATTACGTCCCAGGGCATCAAGTTCCACTGGCACCCCACAGCCCATGTATCGCCAGAACGTGGAGATGACTTCGGTATGCCCCCGCTGAGCCGCATGATGGAGCGGCGTCATCATTCTATAATCAATCATGTTGGGTCGGGCGCCATACTCGAGTAGGAGACTCACGACTGCCTCATGACCGTTTTGCGCAGCGCGATGAAGCGGCGTAATCCCTCTCCCTCTGCTATCTGGCTCAGACACATCGATACCGGCATCACTCTGTAGGAGAAATCGCACTGCATTCACACGCCCGCTCTGAACTGCCAGGTCAAACCCCGAATCACCTTGCGCATCACGATGCCTCAGATCTACTCCACTCGCCATCAGTCCTTGCATCTCCGTGATACAGCCCTTTTTTGCGGCTTTCATGAACGCGTCCACGCGCTTGATCTTGTGTTGGTTGATCCGGAAGAGGACCGCCTCGTGTCCGTTGTGCCAGGCGAGGTCCTCGGGCGACTCTCCGTCAGCGTTTCTAGTGTTGAGTTTCGCTCCCTTCTGTAGGAGAAACGTGAGAACATCTAGGTTGCCGAGCTCTGCAGCCTTAGAGAGAGGGGTTGTTCCGCATCGACACCCGATGTCTGGGTTGGCGTTGTTCTCGAGAAGTATTTTGACTATTTCATTCTGGTCTGCCAATACGGCCATGTACAATACCGTTCGTCCATAGGGATCCCTAGTGTTCACTTCAACGGAATTGCGGCCCAGGATCGTCCGTAGTTCTTCCACGTTGCCGATCCTAATAGCCTCTTGCCAATCCATCGCTCCTAGTACTGGCGTAGAATAGGATATCGGAATTATTAGATGGGTTGCCAGTCTAGAGAAACCTCGTGTCATTTAACGCCTTCTTATTTCATGGCGTCTGCCAACAGCTCTCATGGTGGCATATGATGTGTTGCCATATGATTTGTGGTTGACCCCGTGCCCTAGATTGGGCATCCAACTAATCTCTGACCCTTGTCAGCTGTACCAATTTTCTTTTACAACCACGTTGAACCCAACCCCCTTCCAGGATATTCCTTTCTTTCTCAATTACGGATTAATAATTGAGAAAATGTCTATGGAATCGAGTGACGAACCATCCAAGTGGGTGTGTCGATTAGAATCCTATTTCGACAATGAACTCTACTGTGGTACCGGGTTCGTGGTGAATATCCCAGAGACCAATAAACTGTGTATTCTGACTGCTGGACACAATATCACCCGTAAAGGTGCTGGCGATTTGCGCAAGATTCAAGTGACTTTCCCCAACAAGCCGGTGATCGAAGATGTTAAACCCGAAGATTGCTTTACTTCTCACATCTACAAAGAAAACCCCACCATTGACTCCACCAGTGCGAGTGCATTTTGGGACTTCGGCTTGATATCTATTGACCCAGTGAAATATAAAGTCGCACCAGATCTCTTTCCAGGCGGTTGCGCCTTCAATGTTTGGAGAACCAAACAGGACCTACTTGCAAACCAAGTCACCGTGCATGGCTACCGGAAGGGTGAGCCAGGGCAGACGAAAGGCACCTCGTCCCTGGATAGAGTCGATGCCCATGCACTGTACTACTACATCGACACTATAGGGGGAGTAAGCGGAGGGCCAATATTCAGCTTGGATGATGATGGGAATTACGTCGCTGTTGGGATCCAGTGAAACTCCCCTTCCATACGTTATTAAGAACAGTGAAACTAATCCTCGAACAGCAATTATCACAGCCAAGGAACACGACTCACCCTGCGCATCATGTTGGAAGTCCTCTCATGGATAGACGACTACCCACTCCAACGGGTTATCCAAGTTAAACCCAAAACCTACCCTATGTACCTGCAAGCTACCAAAGGAACCCGGCCGAATATCGTCGCCCGTCCGTCCCCGGCAGAGCTTGTCTTTGTCGTCGTCGACGCACCCAAGTCCGGCCAATCGACTGTCGGGAGACCTCACTACTCAATCCTACCGGCCAGTGCTATGCGGTATCTCTTACTACGAGAGCAGTCATTCTTTATGCTGGCTCTTGACGAGGGTCGGTCACTGGTGTCGTTCGAGAAAGCCGCAACTCCTAGCCAAAGACAGGTAATTAGCATGTTGAGGAAGAAAACCTTGGCTTTACCGAACTCGAAATTTTCTCTCATGGTGTTTCCGTCCACAAGGGGGAGCTCGTGTGGGTGTGGATGCATCACTCAGGATCAGGTAGTTGGACTGAAGGAGGGTTCGGGGACAGCGTTCTGCCTCTAGATTGTATGTCAGCTTGGGGAAATTATACTATAGTGAGACTGTCTGTTTTAAAACTCAGCTAACTATTCCAAGTATTGTATTTCTTTTCATCCCCTTTTGGCCAATTGATTTGATCATTTCCAATTAGCTAATAAAGTACGATTTAGTCTGCTCACTTACATATGGCATACAATCCCCCTCAAGTATTTGACCACCCGTGTCTTCTATTTTCATACAGACTCGCCTCTATTTGACATATTAAATTTTTGAAAAATAATGGATTGTTCCTCGGCAGAAGCTTGTGTAACTGGAAGCAGAGCTGGTCAATTGCTTCTTGAGGGAGACTGTAGACGCGGGGGAGCTCTCTTCTTGTCTAGCATTGGAGCAACTATATTTCTCATGTGTTCCCCCTTAATTCTTATTCTGCCTTCTCTTACCCGCCAAATTTGCACAACTAACCTTTAAGGCAGCGAGAACATATGCATCCTGAATATATGAGATACCATGCAGAATTTTTCCGGTCCAGATCCGGTCCGGCTTGACTCCCAGTTGCCAGTTCCCCAACAAAAATTGCTTTCCTCGTGCGATTGCCAATTCGATGGGACTGGAGTCATCTCCAAGAGCAGCATGAGAACCCAGGTTTGCCAGAGCAATGATTGAATAAGCAGTTTCTTCCATTGAATGTATATCACCCCAAGCGCCGTCTGGGTGTTGCTGTTGCAGGATTCGTGTCGTCACCTCCCTCAAGCAGGACGGGATTATGCTTTGAACAAAATCATCTGGTATTGAGGGTAATCCCCCTTTATCCCAAAGGATCAGTACTCGTACTAGCGACTGTGCCATATGCATAAGGCCATAGTACTCGGATAGGTTCTAGTAATTATCTCTGTTAGCTAAGACAAATGGAATCCAGTTATTCACGACGTACCCAGTGATCCTCGAATTTCCCATCCGTGCGCCATCTCCCGCATATGAACCTTGCAATCTTCTCAATCTGAGGACTAAAAGCACTCGGGTCTGGGGCATGAAGGAGAGAGTTTAGGACATTGCCGTTAACGCTCACGCTCTTCACGCGGTTAGGTATCCTTGTGTCGAATGTCTCGAAACATTGATCAACTTCGAATTTTTCCGCCATTGCAGCTGGGCTGATCTTGTAATCATGCATATTCAAAATTGTAATGGCCCTCGAGGTGTCATCTGCATCTGGGAAGAATGCTTCGGCTGAGAGGATGTCAGTTAAAGATGAGACACGACAAGTTTGCCCGGCTTGCACTGACTGGCTCCGGTGACCCCATCCTCTAATTTGCTATGAATTATTTCAAGTATGCTGTTCACCTGGTCTCGGCCCAAGTTATCGGCCGTGAATCCATTTTCCAAGAGTGCAGTCAGAATCTGAGATTTCGTTAGAAGCTCAACATACCTACTACGTTCAGGGGAATGGCATACCTAACATGGTTCAAATATCTCCAGAGGAAATACACCTGCAACTGCGCCGGTTCGTTTGCCTTGACCATGTGATATAGCATGGCGTAAGTAAGCTTCACATTTATCATTCCATTTGGGCGAATAGATCAAATATGCCGCGGCTGAGGCAGGCGACGCAGCGATACCTGCTGTAGTAACAAGATGCTCCAGCCTAGTAAAGTCAATTTTCTCGAGAAATCCCTCCAAACAAAAGAGAGGAACCTTGCAAGGGCCACTATAAAGCCAACTGAGATCAATATCGGAGGACTTTTTGTATTTCTCAAGCAAGGCCTCCTTTTCCGGAAAATCGAAAGTCACACCTTCATCACCCAAGAGCCGCAAGAGTACGGGAACAAGCAACTCGTATCCAAAGTGAGTGGTTCCATCAAGCTTCCAGGCGTGCAACTTGACATCAAGGAATTGCTTTGCGCGGAACATCCTAGCTATCGAATCACCAGGGATGTTACCTCCTTCGCGCATGGCGCGGCGGATATGCCGGCACAGAGCAAGGAATGCGGCGAGCGAATGAATGATGCAATCGGGCAGCCAGATGTTGGCTGGGTATTTGGCAGTTCTAGTGGCCTGCTCTAGGGGATCCCACCCGCCGTCTGCGTTTTGGAGCTCAAGAAGGTATTCAAAACACTCAGGGAACAGCCATTGGGGTCCTTGATCTGTATTTTTCTCGACCATAGCAAGCCATGCTGTATCGTATATTGACGGCGCCATCGAACACATCCCATATTCCGACTTTATCTCTGAGGCAATCTTTTGGATAAGGTCGCTGGCACATTGGATTAGGATTGTGGAAGACATGTTTTCAAGACGAATGCTTAGAAAAAAGAATTGTACTGTTTGCCAATAGTGACGGTCGAATTAATATCTTTGAGAGGGATGTCAGTTAAGTTATAATTTATTTTGCAGGTTATATTTCCAATGGCCTAAAATATTTAGGCATCTTTGCATACCTAGGATCACATAGAGCATCTATTTATGCTGTGTCACTGTAGCCTGTCAATCTGTCGACCTTGCAGTTGCAGGAACCATGCTTCTTCCATAGGATGGCGGTCAATACACCGCGGGAAAAAGCGTCGTTTCGCCGTACGCGCTATATATACGATGGGAAACGATTTGCCATTCCAATTTTTCCTCGGACGCCATTGTTACACAACATGTAACATCAACATAAACAGCGCGAGATTAATTCTCCATATATCTTAATGAAACGTTAGGTTATGAATAATAATGCTTTTCGATAGGACAGTAGGGGCAATCTAAAGAACGAGAGTTTCACACTAGTGTTTTCTGCTTGCATCGGACACGATGTCTCATTATCCGATTGGTTCCTACTGAGCTAATTGTATTGTTAATTGGCGGCATTGGCCCTCGAGATATCTCAATGTTGTTATCGTCAGCAAAGCCGATCTATGCAGTCGATACCTAATGGTATCCCCTTGACTTCGCTTCTCCCGTACACCTGTCATCAATATCCGACAAAACTGGACCCATTAAATACATTGGCTTTAAAGCTAAGCTCCGTGTGCCATGCGCAGATGAGCGCAGATATCATCTATGTACATTTGAGCCTTATTGACCACTAGCATATGCATGAAGGGATGAGGAACCCCAGTGTATCGGCGAACGGTCACTTGCACACCGTTCTTGACGAGCTTTCGAGCATAGTCCTCGCCTTCGTCACGGAGCGGATCGCAACCAGCGGTAGCAACATAAGTCCTGCAGACACCTTCCAAGTTACCGTCAAGTGGACTTATATAGCATACCGGCCGGGCAACAATCTCGGCCTTTTCGGCATCAGTCTTTGGATCATACAGTGATCTGAAGAACTTCAGACGCTTCCAGTTGAGACATGGTGCATTCTCATTCTCGGATACAGAGGGATATGGTGAGTCGGAAGGTTCGTGCATGTCATCTCCTTTCCATGTCGCTGGCACAGAAAGGATTGCTGTTGCTCGATTAGCTAAACATTCATTTTCACTGGATCAAGTGCTAGATATAAACTAACCCAGCTTGAGGTCAATCTTTTCATCCCGGGCCAACTGTTGACAAACCGCACTGATGTGCCCACCGGCTGAGATGCCACCAATGGAGATAGAATCCGGCCGGCCGTTAAGCTCTTTGCCATTCTGAGCAGCCTAGAAAATTATTAGGTTAGAAACTGAAAACTATTCTCGCTATGCTCGTGGACTAAAACATACCCAGCAGATAGCAGCCCAAGCGTCATCGTGCCCTTTACCAAAGGTGTTCTCTATTTTATGTCAGACCTGCTCACTTAAATTGGATATGATAATTCTCACCAGGCGAAAGCCTATAGTCAACATCCATCACGATGATTCCAACTCGGTTTCGCATCAACATGCAAAGCTCTGCGTCTGCAGTCAGACCTCCCAGCACGAAGCCCCCACCTAAGTAGGAAGTTAGATCGTTGTATATGTCTTTATTAAATCGAGAGAAATCAAGTACCATGGAAATTAATATGGATAGGATACGGCCCTTCTCCAAAGGGAGAGGTTCTCGGATCAGGATGATAACATCTCACTACAAACTCGTGGCCATCCTCGGCTTTGAGCTTGATGTCCTTGACAAAAGGCTCGTAAGTAAAGTCCCGATACCATGGCAATGCAAACCTTTCTGGGGTCGCCCGGATATTCTCGATGGTGATGTTGTGAGTTGCCGGTTTAATGGCCAGATGTTTGTTGTAATACTCCACAAAGTCGTCGTCCAAGCGCGACAGGAATGCGGGATCGATGGGGCTAGGCAGAGCTGGTGCCGACATATTGTATGCTTTTGAAATCTGCAAGACTCAAGGTTGTTCCTCGTCTGGAGTTTGAATCTGCACAGGCCTTTTATAGGCCACGAAGTGGATAAAGGCCGGAGGAGCATGTGCGTGTGGCCTTTGCGACCGCAATTTTTTCCCAAACCCGACGGAAATACTTTTACCGTTGTCCTAACATACCGAGGAATAGGCTAAAAGCCGAGTGGTGCCAGGTCAGTTGACCTCTTACTATATGGGTTCAACCAAGTCTCCCATCGGATGTTAGATCGGCAAAGCCGAGATAAGAACTATGTTGGGCCGAGACCCACTGTATGTACAGGTCGATATCCAGAGTGAGAAAATACACATTCGATATTTATAAAGCCATCAGATTGTAGCCTGATTACATATAATAGGTGATATTACTGCCATTTCATCGATGCAGATGGTACCTGCTCCTGCATAGATTCATCCCAAGCACTGATATCAACGCTTTGCGGCCAACCCTGCGTAAGTGTGACCCAGATAGATGATTGATATTCCTCTCGTAGATTCAAATTTGCTGTTCTGTTCAACCGGAGAAGTGAATAGATATTCTTTGAGATGGTAGCTGGCGGCAAACCGTCCCCAGGACTAGGACGGTATTCTGGTGATTGCGGACTTTGGTTGGTGGGACTGCTACATCTCGATGGAGCTTCCATATGCACGCTATCATCAAGAATACCCATGTATGCAAAGCGGTAAAGCGAGCGCATCTCTTCTAACTGTCGTAACCAGGTGTGTGCAATATCCCAAGCGCCCCGCCAAGATCTGACTAGTCGTATGTAATTCTCGAAATAGGTGTCCGCAAGGTCTTTGTCTCCCTCAGAACTGCATTCATCTTGTGTGTATCGCAGCCAAAGCAGTGGACTGGCGGTGGATAGAACTGACAGAGCAAGGAATATCGACTGTCCTTGATTTTCAAGGTGTCGATCAAAGCTTAGATAGGCATCGATCAATTTCCCAACTTGCAAGGCATGAGATACACAGGTCGATATTAGAGTTTGCTCTCTATGGAGAAACGACCAGCCAGCCGGATCCATATAATCGAGAAGTATTGAATGCTCATCTGTCTGTGGCAGATAGTCTTGATGCGAAACGCACCAGGCGCTTTGTAGAAGACAATGTATTGCCATATACGCTGCTCCTTGGTTTAGATCAAGATGTATTCTGTAGTTCTCCTCCGACCATTGCATACGAGGTGGTAGGTTATCAGTCCAATCTTGAAGCGATGCGCAGAGTTGAGCAAATCGACTAGATGGATCGGTGGGCGGCAGTTTCGAAACCATGCGCTCTTGGGTGACATGGAAATCGGCAAAGTCGCTCCATATGCAAATGCTTTTAATCAAGTATGACTGGATACCAATGTCCGAAGGGTTTCCGTTGAAATTTGCTAGGGTCTCGAGAGTCACACCTCGAGTCTTCTCCCCATAGGCCAAGGATATATCAGTGCTTGGGAGTGAGATGTTCACATTTCTGAGAGACAATGTACGTGGTTTCACCAAGCTAAACGCAAGTAATCGGTCGATTTGCAAACATGCCCAGAATGTGCGCCGTCGGATCTCGCGTTCTTGTTCAGGGTGTCTAGAGTGGTACTCCTTATTGAGTCGCATGATTTGAGCCATTCGAATCGCGGTTCCAGCATACATCCAGTGGCTTGAGCCATTGTCAGAAAGAAGCTCTGACAAAGATAGAATGAGGTTGGCCTGGATGTTAAGAACTGCTGAAATCAGAACATGTCATCCAAAAAAGGATTGGTTGATGTATGTACCTGATGGTTGATCTGAGCTTTCACGAGCAAAGCGCTTAGCCAACCCAGAAGCATGCTTGTAAACATCACGCGTCGACGCTTTCCCAAATTCATGTTGCGCATCATGTACAGAAAGATATCGTGCACAGAGTGATACGACGGCAGTTGCGAGAAATGGATGAGCCACAGCCTTCTCCTCAAGGTGCGGCTTATACGAGAATGAGCAAAAGTCATTACTGAAATGTCTTTTGAAGAATTGAACTAAGCATCGCTGGAGTGCTCGACGGCTTGGCAGCCCCCCATCGGAGGCAGTGTCTTCCGTATGCAATACAGGCTCTAAAGAGCTTTCAGCAACAGCTGCAGTCTCCAGAGGCGATGTTGAATTATTCAACACCACAAAAGACGCTCTTGGCCATTCACAAGCGATCTTCCGTGATGAACAGTGGCCACATTTTGGCCGCACCCCGTTGCATTTCGTCTTCCGTCGGCGGCTAGGATAGTTCTTCAGAGACTATGCCCGGAATGGACCCATGTAGTGACATACCAAGTGCGACAGGCCTGTGGAGTCCGAGGCGAGCTTGTGCTGACCCGGAGTGACATCCTGCCCGGTACTGGATCTGCACAATCCTCGATCCTTACAGGAAGCAGATGTCGGCAGTGAAGTTCAAGAGCCGAACCCCTTGCGTCGGCATTGCCGATGGATCCCGACGGCGCCACGTAGGGCGGACGATAAACGCCAGTTGCTCAAAAGCCATAATTGGTCAGTTAATCGACCGCTTTCATAGCCGCCTTTGCCCTGATGCCTTCTTCTTTAGGCCAGGGTGACGCTATTACTGTAGTACTGATCTGACTATCCCCTTGTCTTTTCTCTTTTTCTGCCTTGGAAAATTAGGGTTGAGCAATTGGCGCTTATCGTCCTCCGCCACGTGAGTCGCTATCACTGCGAAACCATACACTGCCGTATATAGATAGACTTGGAGTTGTTTAGAACAAAAATTTATCTACGTGAACGCGTTTACTTGAATTACAATAAAAAGGAGATCAGATCATCTGGTATAGACGATTGACTGAGAGGATCCGCGAAGAAAGACGTCATAAATTAAAGAAATGGGAAAAGAGAAATATCCCATCGACCATGAGAGTCCTACCACTGTACATGATCCTAGATCGTTCGTTCCATCGTGCAATTTCCCTAGAACAGATCTCCAAACAAAAACGTACAGCTAAAAAAAGAAGACATAACCAAATCACCAGATGAAAACCACAAGCACGCTAAGCTCCCCAGAAAAATATCATCCGTTGGGCAGAACATCGAAAATATTGAACAGCTTGCCCAGTGAGAAAAAAAGGGATAAAATCAATGCGCAGGTACAGCGCCGAATAGATCAGAATCGAAATGGGTTGAAACAAGGATCGTGAATGTGCAAAAAAGGATTCGGAGAAAGGCATGTGGTATCTACGTGAGAGCATGAGCGTGACAAAAAGAAAGGTGTTCCGTCAGGACGAGAGATTGTGAGGGTCATGGCGGTTCGTTAAAAAGGTGGGCTGACCATCTAGATGATCTGCAGGTAGTTGCTCGGCACCAGGCCTGGGTGGCCTCGGGCGTTGGTGACTTCGGCTTCCCACCATCCGTCGTCTTGAAGGCGGATGACAGCAAGGACATCACCCTTACCGAAACCGAGTTCCTCGGGGATGGCGGCAGTGTAACTGTACATAGCACGAGCTGTGAATTTGAAGAAGGGTCAGAAAGGAATCAATATGGAGGGAGATCATGGCACTATGCTTACCGAAATGAAGGATGGGACGTCCATCGCGACTGAACTTTCTTCCGGGTTCAGCAACAGCAAGAGTGCGGCTTCGAGAGCGGCCCACTGGAGGCGGAGTATTGCTACTGTCACCGTACTGAGACATAGGTCGGCCATCGCCGCGACGAGTAGCCGAGCCATAACCATCGCGAGAGCCCGCGCCGTACATTTCAACTGGACCGCTAGAAAGCTGCAGCTCCATACCCCCAGCGCTGGAAGGACGGACCTGTTGCCTAAACTGGGGCTGAGGAGAAACTGCACGAGTTGATACAGCTGGGGAGGCCCGTCGAGCATAATCGTTAGGCGAGTATGGGGGGTCTTGTGCGCGACTGGGCGTAGGGGATTGGGTGTAACGGCTGCGCATACTGCTAGACTGGTATGCAGCTGGACTTTGCGCAGGGCTTGCAGATCCACTGTATTGGGCAGCCATGCGAGTATCAACTCGGGGAGAAGACACCTGAGGGCTGGCACTGCGGCGAGTGGACGGGGCCGGGGATCGTGCGCGAGGGACCTCAGTCCTGGGTGCAGGCGCCATGCTTGGACTGTTGGCACCGCCTCGTAGCATGCTTTGAGTCTGTCCAGTGTATCGCTGAGTAGTTTTTTGCATCTGTTTTTTCGTGAAAGCCGGCTCCGGGGCGTCAAGTCTCTTCACAGAAGGATCATTGTACGCAGGAGGAGCACCGGAAGAGCTACCACCATAGGTAGACGACGGGGCCGATGGGTTTGGTGTCTGGATACCGTGGTATCTATCCGCTGAGACACGCAGAGTGGACTGCTTTCCACCGGTCTTCAAATCTGCTAAAGCACGGGCAATGGGATCCACATTGTCTTCGGCAGCCTTAGCTTGCTGGGCTCCGGCCTTAGCATTCTTGTCAGGTGAAGCAACGTCAAAGACATTGTTGCCAACATTGAGCTGGAAGTTGGCGCGAGGATCGACGGGCTCAGGACTATGGCGTTCAGGCTGAGCTTGGGGAGCAGGCTTGGTAGGGCTAGCCGGCTTCGTGGGAGAGCCCCAAGGGCTGCTACGAGAGGAAGATTGACCACCAATCACCGGTCTCTCCTTGTCATGACGGCTCTTGCGACGGAAGGGACTGTTGCTAAAGAAGGCACTCTTCTTCTTTTGAACAGACTTGTCCTCACTTTGACTCGGGAGGGGTGCACTGTTGGTCGGCTTGGGTGGAGACTTGTGGGTTGTGATAGGAGCCTCGACGCTTGACATGGAAGTAGGGTTTGAGACTTCGCTTTGAGAATCCCGGCTAGAGGGGCGGTATGCACTGGCCGAGCTGCGTTCCGAAGGTGGCCCAGTGCGGCAGAACATTGTCATGCCATCGGTCGGGTAAGCATTGTGAGGAATTGCATTGATCTCGCCATGCTGCTGAGGGTCGTAGTTCGGCGGCAAATAGCCACCTCGGCGAAGGTCCAGTGGGGCTGGTGGCTGGGCAATGGGAGCTGGTGCCGGAACGGGAGCTGGAGCGGGAGCTTGAATCGGAGCTTGAATCGGAGCTTGAACGGGGGCCTGAATTGGAGCCTGAATTGGGGCTTGGGTTGGAGCTGGCGCTGGAGCCGGGGCCGGGTGGCCCATTTGTGCAGCGAGTTCAGAATCCGGGTCATGATGGGACTCGAAAGTGGATGGTTGAGGCGACGACGTGCGGAAAGCTGGATTCATAGCTCGCTGGAACTGGGCGACTGAATAGCCTTCCCCATCTTCGATATCCGACATATCATCATCCTCCTTGCAGAAGTTGATAAACCGAGGAGCATCCGGAATTTCCTGGCCGGTTCCTCGTTCTTTGATGAAGAAGACAATGTCCTTTTCAACCTCACAATTCTCCAGAGACAAACGGATCTTTTCGCAGGACTAAACGATGAGTTAGCATGTAAGACTGGAAAAAGGTGGCAATCGACATACTGCATCGTCGCTCACGCAAACGGTAGAGGCAATGTTGGCGTACGTCCATAGGCTGCTCTTTGTAAAGTCGAGACGCTCTTCTTCCAAGTCTTGGAATTTCTGCGATAGAGGATTAGTATTGAGAGCATTCGAATTCCCCAATAAGACGCATAACATACGTCACAAGCAGCCTTCCATTCCTTGTTCCAACGCCCAGTGGTCTCCTCAAGCGTCTTGATAGCAGCTTCGTATTCGTTGCTATTCGAGGCCAGTTGAATCTGTGTCTTCTCAAGCTTCGCCTTGTTCTTGCGTTCCTCTTGGCCCATCACCATGTGTCCTTGCGCAAGGTATCCCTTAATCCGTAGGCAGTCTTGCTCGAAGCGATCGCGAGTCTTGAGGAAAACAAAGTCAGCATATTATCCCTGTGAAATAACTTCGATACAGAGAGACCGACCTTGTTGACCAGTTGCGTTTGTTGCATCTTATTCTTATGAAGACGCTCAATGCCATCCTGGATAATTTTCCGCCTCTCTTTGATACCCTTCGAGAACGCATGTAGTGGCTCTTCAAGCTCAGTCTTCATCTGGCCCGCGATCGCGGCGTGTGCCTTCGCGATGGACTCGGTTTCCCCGCGGACCACATCCAGCGAAGAGCGAAGGGATCCTGATTCGACTGAGCCGAGGGTTTTGCGGCAGAGTGCCTGGAGTTTTCGGGCGTATTCGTCTTCAATCGCAGCGCGTACTGTTCATCCATGTTCATCCATTAGTCTCGGACAAAGCCCATTTCCAGTCGCAATTGGCGTACCGCTGTAGAAAACTTTCAATTCATCGCTTGTAACCTTTGATGCGTGCATGCGGTCAAGCATAGGTTGCAGTCCAGCATCATCCTTGCCCCAGAAATTGTTGGCAACTAATACAAGGTTAGGTCAAAATGTTGTGGCGTGTCAACCAGCATATTTCTCTTACAGGACATAGAGACCGACGGTCCCTCAGCCACGGTCCCAGGCATTGTTATCGGTGTCGAGCCTCGGCCAGCCTTTGCTCAATAATAGAGAAAAAAGAACAGGTACAATGAAAGAACGAAAATCAAAACGTAACGGGAATATGATAAAATGAGAACGCAAAAGAGACCAGGCGGTCGCTGAATGTTCAGGTGGTTGATCCGAGGGATGAGGCTTGGAGATGTTTACAGCGCGTCACTCGGGGCAACGGCGCTCATGTCCCAATACCCCGCTTATGTAATGTGACATCGCGCTGCCCAACCAAGGCAGCTAAATTGTGACGCGTCACTTTGACAGAAAACTACGATTCTTTTTGTAAATTTCGAATGATGATTTCATTCTATTTGTGGTCTCTCTAAGCCATAGGGGGTAGGGGGTCGTATGTTCAAATGCATTCTATGTAAACCGACCCCAAATCAACAACGCAAAACCAAAACCCATGTCCATGAAAATAGAAGAAGAATACATATTCTGAAGTAGCCCCTTCCGCAAAAACAGGAAAAACGCCGAGTATGTGACACTGTTGTCAGATATGATAACAATGGGAGCCGTGAAAGGAACACAAAAGGCAGCAAATAGCAGCAAAGATCATGATCATATGTCGTATGTTATCCCCCAATTTCATCGTGATTCATTCGAAGAAGACCTCTTCGATTCATAAAAGGTCATGTTTTTCATATCACTTCGGATTATTGAAGCATGGTCGTCGTAAAGTATACAATCTCCACTTAGTAAAGCAGAGCATTGGCAGAAGGGGGAAGAGTGAAGCTCGAGCTGGGAGTGGCCGAGCTGAAGACACTGGGGTAGTCCTGGTTGTAGAAGTCCCGAGCGATAACGGGAGTAGCAGCGAGAGGGATCGCAGTGACACTGGCCGTCGAGGACTCATCACCGCGAGCGAACTGAAGAGGATCACCAGTGGCCATCAAGCCACGGCGGAAGAATCCAGAGCCAGAACTCGGGGCAGGGAAGAAAGAAGCGCCCGGAGGAGGGGCGGCATGAGAGTGGGGAGTCGAGGTCGGGGTGGGAGTGCTGGACGGAGTGGCAGTGATGGTGACAGTCACTGGTGAAAGAGCAGTGCCCGTCGCAGTGGTAACGGACTGGATAGTTTCGGTCACAGTTTCAGTTTCTGGAGTGGCAGAGCTGGTCGGGTCTCCATCGACATTGACCACTTGGTAGCTGACTTTGCGGCGAGCGATCTCTGCTTGGGGATTGGTGAATGGGGCAGCGTATGTGAGGCCGATGGAGGAGAGGATGACAAGTGCTGCGGCGGAGGAGAAATGCATGATGGCGAGAATTTGAGAGTGAGAATGTCAAAGCACGTATGGAGATGAAGGAGTTTCGAGGTATGGTGACAATGCAATTAGGAATCGTGGAATATCGCTGGAATCGGAAGAATGGTCAGGTATGGAATTTGGTGTAGTCGCAGGTTGGGTTGAAGTGAGTTGGAAGATTGAAAGGACAAAGATGAAAGAGGTAGGGTTTAAAAATGAGAATCATTGCAATCGCGATCACAGTGTTGGACAGCATGAAGTATATGCGATCCACATGGCAATCTCGCGATTGGCTCTAGAAAATTCGGCAGGCTGGGATCGGCGTGGCTGGGGATTCGAAGCGACTCCGCAATCATGAAAACCAGCCACCTTCTTGCCTCAATGAGCTCTGACACGGCTCCACGCGGAAACGCCACCTGCACGTCGCAGAACGTGCCTGATCACCCGAGTGGGCAGTTGGCGCTTGTTGAAGACCAGTCAAGGGGCCAATAAAAACAGCCGTTGCTGGGGAGATTGAGTGTTTACATAAGCAATAGGCGTGGCTGGGGTTCCACACTGACAGATGGAGTCCACATCCTGCACATACTGCATCATATCACTGCACAATAATCCACATAATAATTAACACAAAACCTGGTGCCTAGTTACTTTTCTTAGCGCAGGGAGTAAAAGGTTGATTTCATTCACTTCATTGGATTATTCGCCTCTGATCGACCGGTAACTCGGAATCCACCGACTATATTGATCCTGGATCGACATTGTGCCGAGACAGGTCTCGGCCGGTGGCAGGGTAAATTAGATAGCAAGATCTTCAACACGCAACAGGCCACAGCCCATCCCAGCACAAGCCCAGCCTGCACTCGGGCGGTTCGGATTCCAACCCAGCGCGGTGACGTGTGTTCGCTCATCATGGACGGTGGTGAGAGAGGAGCCAAGTTGAGGGCGCTTGTCGCCCGACAGATTCCGGGCCAGACTCTGAGTTTCCGCCCGGTATCCCTCATAGAATCGACTAGCACCCGAGCTATCTTTGTCAAGGCCAGGTGCCCAGTCGTGGGAGAACCAGGTTTGTTGCCAGTGTTGCTCTTTGCTGTAGAGAAGCCGGCGGAATGGATTGGTAGCCACGACTTCGCCGCCTGCTGTGCCAAATAATAGAGATGGGTGGAAGAAATTACACGGTGCCAGACTGATCACCGAGCTAGGCATCCTGCCGGCTGATTGAGTCGCAAAAAACTTGTGAATTGGCATCAACCGACCAAAATCGTTCTCATCGTAGGAGTAAACGGACTGAAGGATGGGAGAGTAGCTCAGATGACCAGGAGCCTGGCGCTGTCGCACAGGAGTCGTGTTCTCGCTCTCGGGGTTGATCATGGACCAAAGCCTTGTTTCGCCATCAATAGATGTGGTGGCGATAAGATGAGGGTTGGTCGGGTAGGCTGATGTGATGCTGAGCACATAGGACGCATGGATAGGCTTGTAGAAATATGGAATGGGCTCGATATCGGACGTGGGTAAAATACTCCAAATCGCCACAAATCCGTCAGAGCATCCCACGGCGATGTCAGTGGGTGAGAGCCATGTTAAACATGAGGAGACATTGGAGGGCGATTTGGCCTCAAAGAAGGGTGAGTGGATTTTGACTAGATGCCGAGTCTGTCAGATTGCCATTTCTTAGTGATTAGAATCGCCATTTTCACATACCGAATTCCGTCTTCTTTCCGGGTCCCAACCTGACGTCTAGAACCCTTATCTTCCCATCTCCCCAAATGCCAGCCAACAGACCAATGGTTTTCATACCATTTTGGTCGTCCTCCTCTCGCTTTTGCCGAGCCATAGGGCACCAGGCTATGCGGCGTACATCACCCCAGTCAGTGCACAGAACCAGCCGAAGCAGTGGCTTGGTCTCCATGTCAAGCGTACGGGTAATAGAGCCTGCCTGTTTACCTGTAAATTCCCATAGTTGCACAGCACAAGGGTAAGAGGGCGCTGGTCGGAACGGCGAAAAGGGTTCACTTCCATGGGAGGCGTGTTTTTCCTTCTGTTCGGACGTGATTGGAGTGACCAAGGCCAGGTACTGGGAAAAGCCATCCTGGTTCGGAGCCCATGCCACGCATTGAATCTTCTGCTCGAAGCTGATCAACCAGCCCTCTCGGACGTTCTCACTAGCTCGGTCGCTCTTCTGGGCTTTGGTCTCTTCCCATGCCTGCCCAAAGTTTAGAGACTCGTGGTGGCCCAAGTGAAAGACTTTTTGATCGTTGGCAGCACCCATGAGAATGGTATGCTTTGCCTTCTTCGCCTTGGGTAAATATTTTCGACGCGCATCCGCGTCCTTGAGCTTTGGACCAACTTTCTGCGCCTCCCGGAACACCTCCCCAATGTCTTTGTCGTAATACCAGTCCCAGCCAGATGTTCGCTCTTTTTCCATATCCTCCGGAGCGACGCCCCAGGTTGGCCCGTACTCATAGTCATTAGCTGTTGATTGAATGTCCAGAGTGTGGCGAGTGGGAAGGCAAGTATCCACGCCTCGAGCCCATCGATCACGCGTGAAAAGAACAGCGAGTAGGTCTCTGTCATCGTCACCAAAGGTCGACATGTAGTACATAGGCTTTGACACGTTCTCTCTGGGATCAACACATCCACGAGCACGTATCTCACTCGCAGAGACCTTGATAGTTTGGTGGACAGCTCCTTTGTTCTCAAGGAATTTCTGCTGGCTTTGGACCGTGTTCGGTCGAGATCTTCCACCCGGAGTTCTTGGAGTCCTGGGGGTGGCTGCGGGTTCATCGACGTCCATTTCATCAACATAGTCAGGATACTGAGCTTCCCGAGCGTCGCCATCCTCGTCTTCCTCTTCCTCATCGTTCACTTCCCCGGCGACGAATTCGTCATCTGACGCGGAATCCTCGTCACGACGCCGCTTCCCCTTTTGAGTTGCAGATCTCTGCCGCTCCTCGGAATCAGATTCATCGGTGATCCCCGCTGACTCGAATGGGTCATTCGTATAGACCGCCCTTGGGCCCTTGAGACGGCCCGATCTGCGAGCAGAAGCCATCTCCAGTGATTTGAGAGTGGGGCACCGTGAATGTTTGAAATCACGATTCAGGGCCCCGGGGGCACTAAATTATTCTTCTCAAGTGACTGCCCGGATACGCAGTAGAAGCAGGATGTATGTGGTGGAGGATAGAAAGCGTGGGCGCTGGAATGCTGAAGCTAGCTTCTGGTTGACGGATGGTACCTCGAGAAGCTCGAAAAGGCGCTATACCCGATTGGGACGAGTCCACCAGATCACGAAACAAAGCAGATTTCAATTTCTGTGTGCTGCATCGTGGATGAAATCAAATAATATTTCTTAGAGAATAAAAACCGTGAAGATATAAGTAAATTACTATGGTACACTATAGGCAAGAGGGGAGATGATTGTTTATATTGTATATGAACCCTAGACTCCCAAGACTCCCTACATGATATCGTTCATCAGGATCCGATTTATCGTAACGAACCACTAAGGTATAAGAGCACTACCAGTCACAGTATGAAGTTATTTCGCGACCACCATCTCCGAAAGAATCTGATCCAGATGGCGCTGGAGTGTAAAATGGGTGGCCTCCGGAAACTCTTTCAGCTCGCAGTGAGGGAGACGCTCTGCCATATATCGCATCATCTCGACCGGTGCATTTGCATCCTTCGTTCCATGCCAGATTCTTATCTTGTTGTAAGTCACATCCTCAAACTTGATACCCCAGCTAGATGTCAAGAGTTGGGCATCGTACACGGCTGGACCTGTACCCTGGCGAAAAGCCTCAAATACCTGGCGAGCCAGGGTTGCTCTCAAATAATCAGCAGACTTGCTTGATTCCTGGTCTCCAACCTGGCTGGCAAGCACCTTGTCTATTCTTTGAATTCCAGAAGGTGATGATAAAGCCCTTCTAAACATCCATAGGAGTAGACCGAGGACTCCCCCATAACCAGAGGGCCAATGATGTGCCGTGAAAGCGCTGAGTCGGTATGGCAGAGACATATGATAAGCCCCTGCCTCCCATGGGCCCGCACCACACATGATGCCAACTGCAGAGAGCATCTCCGGGGGCAGCCGATATGCACATGCCAACGCATATGGACTGCCACCGGAGCCGCCGAGAACTGCGAAGCGGGTCAATCCAAGATGCTGAGCCAGTGCTTGAACATCATCCGGCCAGTCTAGGATCCTGCGCTCGGGGTCAAAAGTGGTGAGACCGTAGCCATTGCGGTCTGGTGTGATAATGCGAATCTTGTGGCGCTGGGCTGTATCATCGATGTCTAGGGTCTCAAGGCGCGAGCTAGGATATCCATGCATGAAGAGAACTGGGTAATCGCCGGGTCGGCCATGCTCCGCAAATCCTAAAGTACGACCATCGGGTAGGCGCATCGTCTGGCTTTCACGTCCACGAGCAGTGCTGACATGGCGGATCGCATTTCGACAATAACCGCGAACCAAGGGTGGGAAGAGCCTCGGGGCGGCGTTCATGATGGATGGAGATTATATCGACCTGAAGCCGCCCGAACAGGCGATCCAGGACCTTTAAAATACCTCCATCTGTAAGTGTCCATCCGGACTCAAACAAGGTCCGGGTTAAAGCCAAGCCCGTACCGATTGGCCCCCAAGCTTTAAAAGGAATCTCGCAGCGCTGGCTGACATCAGCAACGGTTTGAGGATCTTTTAGAGCTAAGGAGCATCTAAGAAAAGCCACAAAATATGGGGTTGGCTTTTCCTCATCTGGTCCCCGACTTGATTAAGATCAAGTGGAACAAACAGCTCGATTTCAAACGTCATGCCTAGTCTTTTCTTAAGGATATTAGATTGGCCTTGAGCCCCGCGGTGGGGTACGTCAATCATCAATCGCCCCGCCGCCTTTCAATAACCATCCTGTCTCTGGTTCAACCATCGCGGTTACCTTTGTCATTATCCAGAAACAATGTCTTCTAACGCCAATCGTGGATTGTCACACCGCGGTGTTCTTCACGAATATGTATGACCCGTATTGCTACAGCGAACCACACATGAGCTGACCACTCATTTCAGGCTCCCAGGCTCGTAGCCTTCGAGTTCACATCGCCCACCAAAGCGAGCAGCAAGCCAAATAGCTTGATCTTCGTGGGCGGGCTGACGGACGGGTTTTGCACAGTTCCCTATGTATCAAAGCTAGCGGAAGCTCTAGAGGGGTCGGATTGGTCACTGTTCTCCATCTTATTGACATCTTCGTACAATGGATTCGGAACCAGCAGTCTCGACAGAGATGTGGAGGAACTTGGTAAATGTGTGCAGTTCATTCGAGACCTCAAAGCCGATCGACTACCTGGAGCACCTTCAGCGTCTGGGAAGATCGCGATCATGGGCCACTCGACAGGCAGTCAGGATGTCCTGCACTATCTCTACGCTCCCAATCCTCTTCCCAAGACGGATTTCGACATGGGACTCCACTACATTGTTCGGCCCGAGATAGACGGTGCAATCATGCAAGCCCCGGTCTCCGACCGAGAAGCTATCCTCGCTACTATGGAGTCTGCCCCCAATCCGAATGAAGCACGAGGAGCCTATGACCAGCTCGTGGATGCCGCCAAGACCCGGCCGTGGACCGCAGATGGAACAGACTCCATTCTTCCCATGAACATGGTTGGAATGACTGGTCTGCCGGGTGATGCGCCACTCAGTGCTCGCAGATTCCTCAGTCTGGCTAGCCCGGACAGCCCAGCAAACCCATCGGAGGATGACCTCTTTAGCTCCGATTTAAGTGATAAGCGCCTTGAGGAGACCTTTGGGGCAATCGGGTCTCGCGGTATTTTGCAGACAAAGTTGTGTGTTCTGTATTCTGGCAGTGATGAATATTGCCCGTCGTGGGTGGACAAGGAGAAATTGATGGGAAGATGGAAACAGGCCACCGAGGCCGGAGGTGCCAAATGGGATGCGGAAACCAGTGGCCTCGTTTCTGGTGCAAGTCACAATGTTCAGGACCAAGGCCAGACGGACCTGATTGACCGCGTCGTCCGATACCTGGAGAGTCTCTGAAGTGAGTGACACTACAAGTGAGATTGATCATATTAGATCGCTGGAATTATGTCAAATCATTAAGATGATATTACAAACCCACATAACGGGACAAGAAACATTGTATTTTATCAACACATCAGAAATTGCGAGACATGCAAACACCAACCAGGGGCACAGGAATTTATAAGGAGAGAGAAGAGATCGAAATGGGGTATAAGGAGAATCGGATGGTTCCCATCTGGAGAGCAAATTTGCCGCCAGACGGGATCCGAATGGATGCGCGGGGCTCCTTTCAAGCCAATCGGTTCACGCAGGACACGCCAGTGAAAAGCTTTAAACCTTCAGCCACAGGTTGAAAACACCCTTGAGGTACTCGACGATCTCGGATCCGCCAAGCTTGCTCTCGCCGAAGAGGCGATCCACAAAGGTAATAGGGCACTCCTGGACCTTGTAGCCCATAGCCTTGGCGCGGACCATCATCTCCATCTGGAAGCTGTAACCCTTGCTTTGAGTGCTGGTAATGACCTTCTCCAGCACCGCCTTCTTGTACAGACGGAAGCTACCCGTCAGGTCGCTGACACCGGGCATCAACATGACGTCGGCGATCAGGTTGGCAGTGCGCGAGGTGAACTTGCGGAAGAGGTCCCAGCCGTAAACACCACCCTTGATATCTCCGCGGTTCGCATACCGCGTGCCGGTGACAATATCCGCGTCGGTCTCCTTCTGGATTCTGATCATCTCGGGGATGAACTTGGGGTGGTGGCTGAAGTCGGCGTCCATGATAATGATGAAGTTGCCGGTGGCAAACTGCAGACCGTGGACGTACGCAGTGCCCAGACCGAGCTTGCCCTGGCGGGGCTTAAGGACAATGTGTTCGGGGCCGTAAAGGCGCTGGAGCTGCTTGCCGATCTCGAGGGTACCGTCAGGGGAGCCATCGTCAACGACAATAATTTCCCAATCCAGGTTGCTACATTCAAATCAGAATGTTAGTATTGTGCAGCTCTTCCGTTGAGGGTAATTGGAGGTCCGCACTTCTCGTTGAAGGTCCTCTGGATCAGCCAGGTGATAATAGGGAGGTTGCGCCGTTCATTGTAGGTGGGCAGGATGACCGAGTACTTGTTCTTGGTGGCGGCCATTTTGTTTTCGAAAGAATCAGGTATTTTGGAGTTAATTAATTGTCTCCAGGACAAGTGCGATCCAGAAAAGGAGAAAAGAAAAGAGTAGGGAGCGAATGGCTAACAGCTTGTAGCTTCATGGAGGATCCCCCAGACGCGCCAACTCGCCAGATCCGGAGTCCACCGCCTTGGGCAGAATCCGATAGCTTATCGCGTCCCACGAGCTTCCCCGACTTCTTGATCAACTGGTTCAGCCTCCTCGTCCGTCATTGCTTGATACTCCAATCCGGAACATGGCGTCCCCGGCTTTGCATCAGCGCAATGCATCTAGATGTAAGTATTCTGTTGTCAGGGATGTTCATATCAATATTCCGGTCACAAGGCTGACCATATTAGCTTCACGGCCCCGCAGCTCAACACGCGGTCCTTTAGATGTATCAGATGAGTGAGCAACATCCTGAGAATCATTGAAATGGAAAGCCCCCCTAATACAATGAAAATAGCCCACTTTCACTCTCGTCATTATCCATCTCCCCTAGTGCCGATAAACATCCCTTATCTCAAACCGACGGCTTCTCCGGGTCCTCCTTCCACGATCTAGACCCGCTGGCTCCAGACGATCTGCCAGAAACTCTAGGCAAAGATCTCTCATTCCTCTTGCGCAATAACATATTCCATCCTCTCTCGCAGGTTGATATTCCTTCACCACTCCGCTCGGAATTTGTTGTCCTCAACCCTGGCGAACCCCTTTCATCCTCACTTGGTCTCCTGGAGAAGCTACTCTCAGAAGGTCGCTTCCTAGTCGCCGCACATTTCGCCAGCTCCATCTTAACATCCTCCTTAATTTCACCGACTGATATCAAGGTGATATTCTCATTGTTTTACACGCGCCTGGCTTGCCTGGAATTGTCTGGCAACACGGTACTCGCAGCCCAGGAGTCCAAGGCTCTGGAGGATCTCAATTCCACATTTTACTACATCGACTCCAGTTTGGACGACACTGAGGCTGAGAAACAGCACGAGAAAGTTCATACAGACTTTCCTCGCCACATTGTGCCATGGCCACTTCGAGTGCTAGCGGTGCGGCTTCAAAGCATTGGATTTGGGGACTCCCGAAGAAGTATTGGTGGCTTGTATGAGATCGGGTTGGAAGCACGAAGCCAAATCATGAGGAATGATTGCAGCGACAGCGAACGGAAGATTTGGAGAGAGAGGCTGGCGGATCTTGGAATCCGAAGCGTTAATGCTCTGGTGGAAATGGGAGACCTGGATGCAGCGAAGCGATCACTCGAGTCTCTCCGGGCTTCTGAGGATACAGAGGCCATGAAATTAAGAAAGTCGCTTCTTTTCTTGCGAATAGGTGACCTCGATGCCGCAGAGCGAGTTTTCGGGGATTCTCGCGAGTCGAAGGAGGCGGCTCTCTTGAAGCCACTTCTGAGCATGTCGGAGGGTCGCTATCAAGACGCAGTGACCGAGTGGCGAGCCCTTCACGAAGATACGCAAAGGACAGATAAGGCTCTAGTAGGTCAAAATCTGGCCGTGTGTCTTCTTTACTCTGGGAAGCTGGACGAGGTACGTCAACCAACCTCCTTCTCTACTCTGATCTACTCACTGATTAAAACATTAGGCGCGCCAACTCTTAGAGGACCAGGTTTCCGCCCACCATTCGTTTGGCAGCCTAATTTTCAACCTCTCAACCGTCTATGAGCTCTGCTCCGACAGTGCTGGGACATTGAAGGGAAAATTGGCTGCAACCATCGCAGAGCAACCAGTATCCGGCCAGACCAATTTAGACCGGCCTAACACTGACTTTAAGCTATGAGACAACTGAACAAGCATGAATGACCAACCAGCCGAATGGATTGAGTCCAAGCTCCTTCCTATACCGAGCGCCAATGTGAATAATACCCACTCCATGAATGAATGCCAACCCGATAAGAATAAATATAGAGTGCAACCCTGTTCACACCGAACACCATGCATCCAAATCCATGCAAAACATAATAAAAACGCCCATGAATGCGCTGTACATCCAGCCTCAAGAACCCACTGTACTCGGCTGCGCTGGCTCCGGTTTTGCAGGTGCCCGCGTCTTCGGCCGTCTAATGACAATCTTCTCGCCCTCCTTCTCCCAACCAAGTTTCTCAACGTCAACCAGCTTCTCCCACGTCCAGCCCTCGTCATCGCCCGTGCAACCGCCCACGATCCAACTCACATGGACATTGAGGTACGCACTGCCAACGGCCTTGAGAGCGTGTCTCCGGACTCGATCCACCGCCCAGTCCATCACTGCCTGCGTATACGAATCCACGGTCTTGCGTACCCGCCAGAAAACGATCCAGTTATCATGCATCAATGCGTCAAGGGCCTGGTCAATGGTTTTATCGGAGAATGCGTAGTCCCTCCGCGCGCGGGCACGTAGCTCAAAGGCCGAGACCATATCGTCCTGTCGACAGGCATAGTCGAGAATCAAGTACGAGACTATCTCTTTCACCTCGGAGTCTGGGAGCGGGTGCGATCGCGAGTGTAGTTTGTCGAGGCTGTAGCGCAAGGACGGGAAGTATGATGGAGGGTGCTGGGCGCGAATGGACAAGCGGATGGAGAATATATGGACGCGCTGGGTGAAATCGATAGGCGTTTCCGAAGCCGTGGCAAGAGTGGCTTCGCGGAGCTTGCGCAAGGAGAGGAGGAGAGTGGACAGTTCGGATGAAGGTGGGGGGATGCCTTTGTCCGCGGGGCTTCGTTTCGAGGAAGGCAGGGCGGCTGGAGGATTCGATGTCGCATCGTTCGAGGCGCTGGTAGGGAGGGATGCGAATGCAGCGTCGAGATCTTTGGAGTGATCTGCGCAGAATTTCATATATCGCGCCACGATCTTGTCATAGTACTCGTGTTGAGCTTGGTAAGTGAGAAGCCTGCCATAGCCCCCGTCAGTAACAATGGCAATCTGATTGTGACTCTTGTTCGGCGACCATACTTCTTATCGCCCTTGGACACGAATCCGACATTTTCAAGCGAGTCGGCCACCGGCTTCAACCGGCTTCCCTGCGCCCTTGACTGCATTGCGCGCGTGAGGGCAGTTTCGCGGGGATGAAGCGGGCCGCCGCTGCCACAAGCTATACAACAGTTGTCATGTGAAGATGGACATTGCACTGACCGCCTTAATGCTTCTCTTATTCCTACTATACTGTCACACTTAGAGCTATGTCATTATGCAGAAGATAGAGTATAATATAGGAGTCTACAACTTACCTTGGCATTTTTTTATTTCTCTAGAAAGAATGATCAAAAATTTCCCCATTGACCAGTGATTTGTCTAGCTTCTCGCATGGTCACTATCAGATGCTACCTGTGTTTGGCTCGTTTGCACCGAGGTTCCCAACGAGGCGAATCTTCCCAACTACTCAACGCTCCCTTTTGTATATAGATTTCCACTTTTTTTCTTTTCTTTCAATCTGATAATCTACAGACCCGCAGTAGATCGCTGGTCTGCTTACCTACCTTGCATAATCCGTGGCTGATCTGCCGACTTCAAAATTGCACAGCTTCCGGCCCTGCATCTGACTTGCATGTGAAGTGACAAGATGTCTCGCCAACGCCGTCCTGTTCAGGAGAAGACTTCAAGATCGGAATTACAGACATCTACAGTGGCCAATGCAGTCTTAGAGGTACCGCCCAAGGTGGTGAAAAGGTTGCTTCATTGGGATGATTTGCCTCATTGGCAACGCGATAACCATCACATCCACACCGGTTATCGTCCAGCGTCATCTTCGTTCCTGGGCTCGTTCCATTCTCTGAGCTACCTCCACAACGAGTCTGTGAACATATATACGCATCTACTACCGGGGCTAGCGGCCATTCCGGCCTGGTATCAGCTTCACCGAGTTCTCGCACCCCGTTATCAGACTGCAGATGATTCGGATATCGCGGCTTTTGCCTGTTTCTTTGCCGGGGCAGCTTTCTGTCTGGGCATGTCCGCCACCTACCATACCATCTCAAATCATTCCCCTCGTGTGGCACGAATCGGCAATGCTCTCGACTACATCGGTATCGTCGGTCTTATCGTGGGTAGCTTCGTGCCCAGCGTCTTCTACGGATTCTACTGTCTTCCCACGCTTCAACATCGATACTGGACCATGATCTGTACTATCGGGCTAGGCTGCGTGTGTGTATCTATCATCCCCTCGTTCCGAACTCCCCGCTGGCGACCCTTCCGTGCAGCCATGTTTGTCGGGATGGGCCTGTCGGCCGTCTTCCCCGTGCTCCACGGGGTGACCCTCTTCGGGGTTGAGCGCATGCTCCAACAAATTGGCCTTGGCTGGCTACTGCTCCAAGGCTTTTTGTACATTCTCGGTGCGAGCATCTACGCGGCACGCGTGCCGGAACGGCTGTGGCCGGGCAAGTTTGATCTCTTTGGCCATTCGCATCAGATTTTCCATGTGCTTGTGGTATGTGCTGCAGTGGCCCATCTAACAGGGTTGCTGAAGGCATTTGACTATCGCCACAGCGGGAGTGCCGAGGTTTGTCAGATTCCACGCGGCTGAGTCGTGACGAACGGACATGAGAGGGAAGAAGAGAAGGAGAAAGGGCTTAGAGCTTGGGAGCAAAGTTGGACAACAGACTCATGGAAATTGGGTAACATGGGATGACACAGTGCACCTGTGTTGTTTACTAGAGAGATGTTTCCACATCCTGCCTCGGGTAGAGTCAGGTCTGGAAAGGTCTTTTTTGGTTCCCAGCTGACGAGCACCCAGTTCGTGATGTGCAACAATGACCACGATTCCAAGGAGCGGTGGGCAGCCTCTGGCATTGTGTGTCCGGTCAGCGGAGTCGAGACGGATCCGAGGATCCTGTGTCATTCACATGGGGCTCTCGTTGTTTTCTGGGGTCCCTGGATGATCATTGGAGGAAAAAAACTGGGATGAACTGTCAGGTCTTACTAGTGACAAATGGGCTGCAGCTCATGACAGGCCCAACGGTGCCGCGTCCGTCGGGCTTCCCACGATGAGATAAAGGGGAAATGCAGAAACGTCTGAAAATCAAATTGGCTGGATGCGATTGACAATGTTGCATCAGTGTACGACGTAGAGAGCTCTTGGGTGTTTCCACAGAGAATCAAGAGAACCAAGGAACGACGAGAGGACAGGAAGCGGCAGTGCAATTCAACGAAAGCCTGTTAAATTTCATTATATTCCTTAGAAGAAATTGAGCGTTGCTCTACAAGAGCCTCCACCGGAGTCGCCATCGCCGTCCTCTATCGTCGTCTCACTCGAACACCAAAACCCCCAAGTTCTGGGATTGTCCAAGTCAGTGCAACGGCCGGGGGATGTTGGAAAGACCCTTTTCAACGTGCCAGTTAGCACTTGCATGCGAGGTTGATCAGATGGGAACATCTGGGGTTTCACAGCGGCTGACTCCGCCATTGCGGCTGGCGTCGGTACAGAATTCCCAAATGTGAGTGTGACATTTTTGGAGGGTTGGATCTTTTAGGCAAGAAGTCTGAGCTTATTCGAGCTTGATGGGCTTATATAGACGAAGACATGCCAGGCCGCGGGCACGAAAAAGAGAGGAGATGGAAAGACTTTATACCTATTGATCTATACAGGTCGATAGGTATCTTTGTATATCCAACTACGTGGGTGTATACCTTAGATTGCTAGCCCTGATATCCATCTAGCATTTTATCTTTCTCATTACTTTCTTCCAACGTCGCAGTCACATTGATCTATTTTTCTATCCGTCGATCATCCTTACCCTGGCATTCAATACACCCATGTTGGCAGGACAGAGCGGACCTCTCCATTCAATACCACGAAAACTCCCTCTCGGGACCTTCACTGCCACGCCAGATGCTTGCCGACTCTATTGGAAACCAGCTTGCGGGAGGCGACGCACCAAAACTCCGAACCGCATGCGAGAATTGCAGACAATCCAAAGTCAAGTGCAATCTGTCTGGCAAGAAGGTGTGTACTCGCTGCCTCCGGAATGGACTGCAATGTCAATATGGATTCGCCAATCGCTCCGGTAAACCAAAGGGTAGTAAAAACCGAGCGACGCTGAGGAAACTGGGCCAATTACCGGAGGAAAAGCCTCCTGTTCGGGGATATCGTGGTGGCCGGCTGGTGCCTCCTGTTGTAGATCGTAAGCCGCTAGTGAACGCAGGCTATCAAGCGCATATGAGTGAGGCAATGATAGATGATGATGTAGGTGATGGTATTGTCATTTTCATCGGAGAAATCTAGGCTAACGTCCTATTTCTCGCTGGTGTTTACAGGTCTGCTTGATTTCAGGCTCATCAAGTCTTTGGGATAGCCCACAAGGTCTTGGCACTCTATCTCTGGAAACGCCCATATGTCCCTCGCAAATGAGAGCAGTGGGTGGCTCACCCTTTGCGGACTTTATGGATGCTTGCCCTCCCTTCTCCATCGGTCTAGGCTACCCGCAAACTCCAGTGACACCCACGTTTCTCGCATCAGATCCACTGGGAGATGGCATGACAAGCCCACCACTTAGTGGCTCCGTATCCTCACCTTACCCAGGGATAGTATCGTGCGAATGTGTTGATATGCAGTTGTTCCATATGAATCGACTGAACCAACTCCTGGCCGAGTCTCAGCCACTCCGCTTCGACCAGAGCTTGCAGACAATCAAAGCGACTTTTTGCGCTGGGCAAATCTTCCTACAGTGCCGGACATGCGCCAAGGATAGTTCCAATCTGCTGCTCCTCATTTCCGTTCTCAATTTGACTCTGCAGCTATTCGAGTACTGGATATCGCGGGAGACTTCTCGAGCGCCACAGGCGGATCACGGAGTCGATATCAGATATGGATACTACGAGGTCCGTCATGAGGAGAACCTACAGATACGCAAGTTTTTACTCCGAGGTCTACTTTTGCAGTGTAGAGAGTTGCTCTCCCTGCTAACAACGACTATCAATGCCTCCTACCTGGACGGTGAGAGCTCGGCCGTGGTAAAGACGACTACCGGAGAGACAGATCACCAACCCTGGTCCTCTCCGGGTAGTCTGTGCACCCCCTTGTCCGACCTTGACCCCGAGTTATTGAATCACAATGATTCTGAGAGCAAGTGTCTGCTGCCGATCGTCGCGGGTTACGAGGCAACTGTGGATGCATTCCTTCAGACCGTGTCGATGAATGAATGCATCTGTGGATCGAAATGTGGAGATGAATCTGTTTAGGTGCCTTGCTTGAACATATCGGTATGAGATGGTACGAATTGGAAATGGATTGTTTGTTTTTTGCGATTTGTATTCTATCCAGGGAGGGCCAGTTGCGAAGGAAAGTCAATTTTGAACCTTTGATTCCCACAAGTTCTACAGTACATGCAGATCAGTTTGTCACACGAATTGAACATTCATTTGACCGAATAGGCTATATGATCTTCTTGCATAGACATTAAGAGAATAATATCGTGTTATGTACTATGTGCAGTGTTAATACGTAGAGTCCATATTATCTCCGGTCTTAACCCCACACTTTCGGTCCGCGGCGAGCCTCGGCATTTCTGGACCGAGTTAGCCTGCGACCTGCACTCCAGACTGTATAAGACCCCAACCTTCCAGTTTCCCCTCACGCCTACAAAAGCCAAAACCAAAACCCCAACATCAAAATAAGGAGCTGGACAAAAGGAACCCAGAACAACACAATACACTCTACAACCATGGCTCCCTCCGACCGTCTCACCCAGGTCAACAAGCACCTCAACTACCCGGCTGGCATGCTCGCCGGCCAAGTAGCCATCATCACTGGTGCAGGCCAGGGTATCGGCGCCGAAGCAGCACGCCTCTTTGCCAATGAAGGTGCCAAGGTAGTCGTCGCTGATATTGACAGCAGTACGTGTGACCCTCTACTCAACCACCGACACCGTTTGATGACTCCTCCCCGCACATGGCAAGATCAAGCATCAGCCTGGCCTAGCTAGATACTAGCATTCCCACCCTACATCAATGGATGAGGGAGTTTGCGGTAATTCACTCTATTAAGCTCAGCGCTAATATAAACTATAGAGAAGGCGAATGCTGTCGCTGACGCTATCAACGCCGTCGAGCCGGGCCGTGCACTCGCTGTCGTCGGCGATATCCTGGACGCCAGTTACGTCGAGACGCTGGTGAAGCAGACGGCCGAGTTTGGCGGTGGCAAGATCCATATTATCATTAACAATGCCGGGTTTACCTGGGACGGTGTGATTCACAAGGTATGTTCTTCGCTGGGGTTGTCATACCTTACGAGGCGGTGTCCTGGATCCCGCCAGTAGAAAGATTGGCCTTCGGTATATACTTTATACATGAATTCTTATGCTGACGCACTACACAGATGACAGATAAGCAATGGGACACCATGCTAGCCGTACACAACACGGCGCCATTCCGTCTCGTCCGCGCCGCAGCCCCGTACTTCCGCGTTAAGGATAAGGAGCCCCGAGTTATTATCAACATTAGCAGTACGAGCGGTATCCACGGAAACGCGTACGTCCATCTCCTAGCCCATTTCCCCCAATATCCCACACTACTCTACACCCATACTAATACCTCCCTCCCCACCACAGCGGCCAAGCAAACTACGCCGTCGCCAAAGCCGGCGTCGTCGGCCTAACCCGCACAATCGCCAAAGAATGGGGCCCGGCCTTCGGCGTCCGCTCAAACACCATCGCCTTCGGCTACGTGACCACCCGTCTTACAGCAGCCAAGGAAGCCGGTGCTTTCATCACCACGCCCGACGGGACTAAGGTTGCCCTCGGTATCCCCGGGAAGCAGTTGGATGGGAAGAAGGGCGATGAGGCGGCCGCTTATCCGGATATTCCGCTGCGCAGGCCGGCGAGTCCTGAGGAAGCGGCCAGGGCGGTGCTGGGTGTTGCGAGTCCGTATTTCTCGTATGTTAATGGGGAGACTATTCGGGTTACTGGGGGGAGGAATATGTAAGTTTGAGGATGGGGATGAAGAAGATGTGGAGGGGAGGGGAGAACAAATCGGGGACGTGTATAGTGTGGTTTGTGGTAGGGTGGTGAATTATTTTATTGGTGGGGTTAAGTTAATATCATGCCATGTTAAAACTACGAATAGAGAAGGTACAGGGTCTCATCTATATCTATGTGGGAGGGAGTACATGGCTCATGCAGCAGAACGTGGATTTGCCGTTTCAGTCCAACTGTCAACCTACCGGAGCTATTGAGCAATTTAACAGCCTTGTGTACTTTCAACTACGTTTCAACACTTTCTCCAACCACCTTACTAGCTTCCCGCCGTTAAACTTACAAGGGCCCAGACTCATCCTCAGCACCAGACCTATTTAGCTAACGTAGATGGCTACCGTTCGTAGAAGGTATCACGGACCACGCTATCAACGACAACGGCCACCGTAATGGTAACAGACAGAGCAGTAATATCTGTCTTACGGTGACACGAGCACCACCTGGAGACCTGAAAGCTTACTTCGAGTCGAGGATAGTATAGTCACGAGACGTACGGCCGAGGCGATGCCCATCGGGTTCGCCGTTCTCGCCTAGGTGTGGCATTCAGGGATCCTAGGAGGACTGTGGGACAAGAGTAACGTTGCACGGGAGGGAAAAAGTCAAACTGGGAAATTGGAAATGAAGATTACCAGACGGGTAATTGCTAAGAGGGTGAGACGTAGATAAGTAAGAATGGAGTTGATGATGAATAGCAGTAGAAACTAAAACGAGAGCCAAGTAAGAGAAAAAATAGTAGTAGATGAGATGCATTTATTTGTTCAATTCGCTCCGTAGAGTCTTCAGGTATCATATCGTAAATAGTCAAAATCCCAATCCCAATCCGAATCCAAACCAGCCTATGCCGCGAAAACAAGATAGTCTATGCACATGCAAACACAAAAAGCCGAGAAGATCATATCTGATCACCACCCATAAAATCGTAAACAGAAAGAGGAGGAAAAAACAGGAGCCCATTTCAGGAGGAAATTCAAGGAAGAGAAATAGCTCAACGCCCGAACGACCCGTGCAAGGAAACTCAGGGTTCCAGTCCACATAAAAGAAATGTTGACAGCAGCCCTACTCAAGGGTCTGTCTGTCTTCACGCGAGCCTCCCAATATATATTATGCCAATGTGTGTCAAGAGAAAAAGAACAAAAGACAATCAAAACATCCATCCGGCCAATATATGGCAAAATATTAAAACAATAGAAAGGAAAAAGATCCATCCTGTCCTGTCCGGCGGGGACGGTTTAGGATAAAAACGCCCAGCGGTGTGGGATCCAGAAGTCACACGGTCGCTGGGCCAAGTTGTGGGGGGTATAATCCATAAGAAAAACGGTAAATATGTCCAGGGAATTAAAAAGGGTCACAGGGAAGAGAAGCTGGTGGCCGAGACTCCAAATGGGAAAGGGGATTGATCATCCTCGGCAAGCACACTTTTTTTTTGGTTGCGCGGCAGCTTTTGAAGATGGAAACAATCCAGAGAGTAGAGCAACCGAGATGCTTAATCGAATAGAACTCCAGGCGCAGAGAAAAAGCAAAATCCAGGGTGGGTAATTGTTGGGTGAAGGGGCGTGAGATCGTGAAGCTGCGTTAAGAGGGGGAGTAGGTAGAAGGGAGTCCAAAGTGGGAGATATCGTGAAAGTAGTCAGGGTGTTCAGCAAACCTGGATCGGGGCGCCAGCAATGAAGGAATCCACGGGAACGGAATGCTCCACGCAGATTGGATGAGGGAAGACGACCTTGCAGTCCGGGATTTGCACCTGCTCCGAGGCAACTGGCGACATACAGTTGTAGTCGGAGTAGTCGGAGTAGTCCTCGGTGAGAGCGGACGCATCGGAGATCGCAGAATCGGAAAAGTCCGAGTAGTACGAGGAATCCGATGACGATCCAGAGGGCTGGGCATGCATAGGCAACTGCTGGTAATTGGGATCCACGGGAATGGTGAACGGAACCTGGTTGGCAGGCGGAATGAGGGTATGGTCCCAAGCAGTGGGGACCTGGACGGGGACCTGGGGCTGAAGGACCTGGACTGGGGATGGTTGAGCCGGGGCGGGAGCCGTGGTCATGACTGAATCGGTGAACCGGGGACAGTCCACAATCATCTGGCGCAGTTCCGGAATGGTTATCCTCTTGGCTGGGTCGCGTTCGAAGACACGGCTCAGAATGTAGACCATCTCCGTGGACAGGGGCAAGATGGACTTGAGGAAGAAAGGATCCTTGAGATAGGCCCGGAAAGTGGAATCCTCGAGGGAGGCGCGTTTCCAGGGGTTGCGACCACAGGTCAGGTTGACCAGCATCACGCCGAGACTCCAGACGTCATTGGCGGCCGAGGCGTAGCAAGACATGGGGCGGGGGTGGGATTGTTGACACTCTGTGACGTTTCGGGTATATTAGGATGGCCGTTTCAGACGAGAGGTGTGTGTGGAGAAGGGTAGGCAAGGAGAAGAAGAAAGGATAGCCAGGAAATCAATCCTAATGGCGGAATGGGCTCAAAAGACGGAAAGAAACAAGAAGAAAAGACACAGCATCAAGTGTCTCGGATCAAGACTTCAACACTTACCAGGCGACATGTAGAAAGTGGAACCGCAACCGAAGTCCGAGGTGTAGTAATCCTCGGTCGCAAGGCCAAAGTCGGCGAGCTTAACGGTCATGCCTTGGTCCGTCACCAGAACGTTCTCCGGCTTCAGATCCCGGTGGTAAATCCCAATGGAATGGCAGAACTGTACGGCATCCAGGAGTTGAAGGAACACGCGCTTGACCAAGGGGTCATTCCCGACAAAGTGGCCCTTGTCGGTGATGCTGGAGAACAGATCGCCCTCGGGGCAAAACTCCATGACGACGTAGGTACAATCCAGGGAGTCCATGATGCGAACGAGGGAGACGACGTTGGGATGTTGGCTGGCCCGGTGGTGGAGACGAATCTCGCGCTGCTGATACTTGAGTTGTCGGGGATCCAGCCCGGACTTGTTGAGAGCCTTGACGGCATATCGAACGTGGGTGTGGATGTCCAAGGCAGTATATACGACTCCATAGGCGCCGATCCCGAGGATGCCGGTGAGTTCAAGCCGGTTGGCCAGGATCAATCCTAAACGGTCCTCGGGAGCATAGCAGCGGGGGATGGGAGTGAGGGGAGGAGTTGGTAGCTCGTTCGGATACATGTTATGGATGTGATGTATCCGGGGGGGAGGAGAGAGAGAAAGGAGGAAGAGAGAAGGAGGTGAAGATATAGTCCAATAGAGAGAGGGTAAAGATCCAAAGTGGTTTACTCCTGGGGATATAGTCGGAACCTCTGGTTCAGATAGTCGAGTGGCAAGTGTTTATACAAACGGGTCGTGTCCAGGATTTCAAGTGGCAATAAAATCGGGAGTCCAAGGTCCAAGGATATTGTGGTGATCTTTTGGAAAGTTTCACACGGTTCCAAAATATACTCCAGGGTTCATTCACAGGCGTCCATTCCAGGGAAAAGAGAGAGTGATAGTCCAATATGGGGGAGGGAGTCCAGAGAGTGGGCGATAAATAAAATAGAAAATAAGATGGTAAGACCAAAGGTGTCAAACCAAGACCCCTAGTCAACGGGCGAGATCAAAAGGAGAGAGAGGGGGATATATAAGAAGACGAAGGAGGGTGAGAGAGAGGGAGAAGAGGTAAAGAGGTAGGAGGATCAGGAGAAGAAGTATAATGATGATTGTTTTGGGGCGGAGGAGGAGGGGGACAGATAAAAATAAAAATAAGATCGATGATGCCGACATGTGCGTGGAGATAGAGGATCTCACTGGCAGTGGCACTATTACTGACAAGTACTTCGACTAGGCTGACTCGGGCTGACTGCAGTGTCCACATGGCTGGCCTCCTTTTCCTCCGCCTTCTCTAGTACTCTAGTATCCTACATACTTTACACTATCCCCCTTGGCTTTGTAAACTTTCCCTTCTGTCAGTGTTGGCGGTGTGCACTAACTTTGGACTTCTTACCAACTTGCGACTAACGCTTCCCATTCGCAGCTCTAGACCAATCACCAACGGGCCTGCCGCAGGTCGTGCAGACGCCACCTGCAGGTGGTGATTGGGTGGGCCTAGAGGCAAGTTGCGAATAACGATCGACTCGACTCGCCCCCTATTTTTTGCTCCTGTACTGTATGTATGGAGTACTTCCGGTGGCAATAGGGCAGAATCCTTTTCTCAGTAATACCACAGCCACATCCGATCCACCATTCCACTAGTCTCGAGACTCCTTCCAATTCTTTCCTCTCCAAAGTACAGTCCTCCAGTATCCTCCGTTCAGTATACTTTGTACTGTACTTCCTCCTCTTCCAGTCAGCCACTCTCACACTCCCTCGTAAACTCTCTCTCTCTCTCTCCCTCTCTCTCCCTCTCCAACCGGGCTCGATCCTCTTCCCCCCCCATGTTGATTTCCCGCCACCTCACCGGATTCATCTCCCATGATCCATCCAGCCTATCTGCTCCATCTTGGTTCCATCTTGGTCCGTGTCCACAACTGTCCTTTCCACGGCCCACTCCCAGCCCCGCAGGGTGCGTGGTGGGTGGATCATCCTTTTCCCTAGTGGCCGTGGAATGAGGCGTGTCTGGGTTTGTTGCTGCTGCTGCTCCAAAACAGCCTGTCCTCTCTGTGCCCCGTTTCATCCCATGGGTCCTGGCTACACCGTATTTTGGCCTCGTCAACCGTTTGATTCGGATGAGCTAATCGTGAATCCACAGTCGGGAGTCTAGAGTCCTACCATCCTCAACCTGGCCTACATGTTTTGTTTCCAACTCTCTGCCCCACAAGGCAGACAAAAACAGGTCAGCACAGAGGCTAGAGCCAAAAGCATCCAACATCAACAAGAACCGGTCTGGCGGGGAATTCGGTCGGTGGCCAGCCCATGATCAGAAGTGAGGCGATGAGGATAGACCTCCTCTGGACCAACCAAGGCAGCCCAAATGGCTGGGGGAGTGTTCGTTTTCGAGAACGAGTGGATCTTCCCGATTTCGCACGGGCCTGGGACCCTGGCATCTGAGCTGTCGCTCATTGGGGGAGAGAAGGGGGGTGGGTGCACGGTGCACTGCCCGAGTCACAGAACTGGCACACCTCGCAGTTGCACCAGCGACCAGGCTGCCCGCTGGCGCTTACAGGATGACCTGGATGGGTGGATGGTCGTGACCAAGCCCTTGGCCACTTGTCCTGCTGGTGGTGGATGAGCTGGTCTTTACTCTATCCCCCTGTTGGTCTGCCTCCTGCCTGCCTGCACAGCACCCCCCAGTCCTGAGGCCACGCCCACACCTGTTCTCTCCCTATCACTGCTGATCACTAGGGAGCGACATTTCCTCCCTCAACCCACCACTCAGCTCGAGTCTGCTTTCCACACACTCCAATCTACCTCTCGCGAGCGGTGAGTATCACCTGACCACTTCATCGATGCATCACATCAATCGGCGGGAATAGCCTACTGTACCCCAGGATTGCCATTGCAGCTGAACTCACGCGGTCCTCCGAATAACTAGCAAGTTAGTTCAAGAGCTTGCTTTTTCATCCGCCCTCACCGCTAGTAGCTACCCCATAACTCGCCCAGGGCATGTTACCAGTACATTTTTACGGTGTCCGACCGACATAGTCCTACATAGATCTACATAGTTGAATCCATAATCCTTCATAGTCGCTGCATAGTCCTGCAATTGAACCTATGATTGTCCAGAATGTGCTATCTTGTCAACTAGCATCGAGTACAAAGTCTACATTGCGAACACCCAGCAATGAGATCTACTCATCTCCCCCCTTCTTATCCGCCCAATACGGACAACGGTACTGGATGCGCCCCAAAGTAATTAATGCGATCCATCCATCCCATCCACTCCATCCTCCATTCCGATCATTGCATGATCTCCCCGCCCTGCAGGTGGCGGAATGCCAGTCAAAGGGGGAGAGCACATACTGTAGTACAGTAACCATGAAGGCGTCTGACACAGCTACAACTCACAAAACACTAAATCCCCCTCAAGACCCACAAAATAAACACACACCTCGACATCATCATCGAAGGGAAAAAGTAATCATCACATCACCACTTCTCCCAAGCTCTCCCGACGCGGAGTTCTTTGCCACCATTGGTACAAACAACCAGTGGCGAATGAGGCAACTTTTCTCCTCTTTGTTCCTTCCAGGGGGGGAGTCTAGACTAAACTCGACATGGGCATCGAGTCGAAGTTTTTAATTTTGTGATATGATATAATGATAATAATCATGGAATCGGGTGAGATACTATTCCGAGTAAGAAGGATTGGATGATCATGGGGCTATGGGGGGATCGACGTCTTCCAGAAGACTCTTCGCCGCATCGAAGTCATGATGCCCAACTGGGTTTTTGCTTGTTACTTGCTTCCTTTTGCCATCTCAAACTGCCGTATCTTCAATGATTAGTACTTTGTAATAATCCGTGCTCCAGTATAGCAGTAATCTACCGTCCCCACATTCATCAGAAATGCAAGTATAATCACAGCACACCTCCGAATCACCCCTATAACACAATAACACATTGAAATCAAGAACATACGCAATGAATAAAATCCACCTCCACAGGTCCTTCTCGCATCCACCCAACCGGCTCCCTCGGCAGGGGCCCCATCCCACAGATTACACGTTCCACCGGTTTCTTTGTTCTCCTCGCCTCTCGTATTTGCCATCCGTCCTCAGGCCACCCAACCCCCATCAACCATGGTGACTGGTCAGCGGCCACGCAATTTTCCAAACATCCTATCCTCCCCCGGTCCAATCGGCTATCATCCACGACTGGAAATCCCCCAAGGCGATTGCTTCCAGCGACTTGCGCAGGACATAAATTATTCATGGATCTTTAATGTGCTGCACCTATCGCTCGACGGCAGATTATGCTGTAGGGGCCACGAAGTATGGTGGAGTATAGACGTAGGTATCCTATTTGTCCGACCTCTTCGATATCGTGTCTGATTATCCGTTCTCTTGGGACTCTCTTTCAATGGGGGTACCAGAGAGACTCAAAACTTGAATAATCCCAGCCTCCAAGCCCCCCTCATGTTTCACTTAGTTGACAGGCTTTGTCCACCTCCGTCCAACTACTGTAGTACGTTGCACGGCAACGCCAGCCGATGGATGGATTGATGGTCTATAGCGGCGTAGGCCACGCGAGAAAAACAGGCGGCCGTTGGGTAATCGCTAAACAGTAGCCTTTTGTGATGGGTCATCCCCTCATCTATTGCTAACCTTGTCTCGTACTACTCTATCATTGCCAGGTTGAACTAGCCTATTAGCAGTCATCATCAACGGAAACTGACCCAGTCGATCGGCACGACGGTTGTGGTTCCATGGCTCGTTGATGTCAGATGTGCTGATCTAGAACGCTGACCTTTGCCTCTTACTACCTGCAGTAGGTGGACCTGTCCTCCATACAGCGAGGAGTAGAGTACCCCATCCATTGCCAAGATAGGTACCGTAGATTGTGTAATTATGCTTTTCCCCTCTTACCTTTCTCGGAATCCCATATCTCCGGACTCGACTCGTTCATTGAAACTCTATGGCTGCTGGGATACTGACGGCTGACCTGAAACAGCTCTTGGAGAAACCCTCGTGCCATGGTTGTATATTTGAAATCTAGGAACTAAGCTGGGATTCTGCCTTGGTTGTGGATCGAGATGTTCACGAAGAGTGCCCGGATGTAGTTTAGCTACTCGTACTTCCAATCAGCCCCGGTCTTAAGTTGACCTCTTATCGTTGATATGTTTGCTGCATTCGAATAGATCGTCTTGCAGTAGCGTTGCTGATAGGCCCGGCTGTGTTGACGCTAATCCCAACGCCTGCGCCCGGGTTTTAATATGTATGTTGTAGCGGGGTATTGCTTATTGATCGCGCCACTTACTCATGTCGGAGAGGGGCAAGGGGCTGTGAAGGCTGATAGGATAGGTGCGAGGCTGACATAGTTGGTAGCCTTGGTAACGTGTGTATATTGTAGTATTGACTTTGCCCGGCTATAGTTGCTTGCTGGGGTTGCCACGGGCGTCCAAAAGGAATCGATATTCATAAATTACTTCACAAGTAGAAGTACAAGTTCGGGGCTTTCTGATACGTGCAGCGAGGCGGGGGCAGGTTTGGATGTTGATGGAGTTTGGAGGCGAGGTTCGGCCGGTAATGGGTACAAATTACTGATTTGCATGGAGTATAGGACAGGACTTGGTAGGTGGAGGATCCATCTCTATTGTCGTTCCAGAATGGTAGGCTTTCTGATGTTGATTGGAGATGGAGGCTCGTAATGGAGGACGAGATATGAGGACCTTTAGACGTAACATAGAAGACATTTTCCAAACTCACAATATCCTTTCCCTACGCGCGTCCATTATCAACGAATTTTATTAGCCAAAGAGATTTAGAAGTACTTTTTCTTCATCTACTCCATGGCCAGTCTCTGGATCTGTTCAAGACCATAAAGTATGAAGTTATCTCGAAAGAGCTTGACAACTAAATGAAGGGAATTGTTTGAATGGATCTCCGGTGCTTTGTCCATGATATCCTTTGATAAATTGGCTGTGTTTCGAGACTACGTAGACTGTATCTCAATATTATCATCTAACAATGAATCTTGAAAATCCTCCTCCCCTCCTTCCAAGCGCATTACTTCCCGGTGCAACACCGTGAGCAGGAATTTCCTTTTGACTGTTTCAGGATGTCCAGCACCTAGCACAGTCTCGCTTGCCTTTGTCGCGTGTAGCAAAAGGTCTGTCGCTTGGCCAAAAAGCTCTTGGTCGAAACATGTTGTCGCAAGATTGACTTCTAAATCCAGCGTAGTAGGATGCTCATCCCCTAGTTCCATCCTCATTGCCTCGAGCAGTTGCTCCTCAAGCCTCTGTGCTTCATCCCAATTCCCTTCGTTACCATATGTTGTCGCAAGACGGGATCTAGACATTTGAAAACCCTGGAGGTACTTATCACCTGATATCGCCTTATTTGCCGCGAGGACTTGCTCCAGTAGCCTTTCGGCATCGTTCGAACGCCCTTGCTTCGAATATATCATTGCGAGGTTGGATTTGCTAACCCAAGTATCAAGATGATGATCGCCTAGTATTGTTTTTCCTCGCCCCGAGAACTTGTTCCTCGAGTCCCTCTGCTTCATCCCACCGCCCGAGCTCACCGTATATCGCTGCAAGATTAGATTTGCTAATAAGAGTCTTAGGGTGCTCGTCGCCTAGTATCCTCTTTCTTGCCTCCAAAACTTGCAGCTCAAGCTCCTCTGAGTCATCAAAACACCCTTGCTCCCAATATGTTGTAGCAAGATTGCCTTTAACCGTCAGAGTATGAGGATCTTCGTCACCTAATACCCTCCTGCTTGCCTCGAGAACTTGCAGCCCAAGACTTTCTGCCTCGCTCCACCGTCCCTGGTTGCAATACGCGAGCGCAAGATCGGATTTCAACGATAAATTCGCAGCATGATCATCCCCTAGTGTCATCTTCCTTGCCTCGAGCACTTGCGTTGTGAGTTCTCCGACCTTATTCCAACGGCCCTGAGCCGCGTGTATGGATGCCATTCATGCCATAAAGCCGAGAATCCTCTCATCATTGTTGTCAAGCTGCCCGCGTCTAGCTTCTAATATCTGCAGGTAAATCACACCCGCTTCATTGAATCGTCCATCATCCTGAAGACAATACCCAACCTTGAGAGCCAATGAATCCCTAGCATATTCACCCACATGTAACTCCTTGCTCTCCAGCAGGTGCTGGGCATGAGACAGGTACTCTCGCCACAAATGACGATTTACTGGGTCATTGGATGGAAAGACCGACTCAAAGTGTTCTGTTGCGAAAAGAGTTCGGGTAAAAAGGAGATCCTCCTTCGCAAGCCAATTTCTGGTGGCTAAATGAACAAGACGATGCTTGCTAATGAATTAACTATCGGTCTGGACTGTGATGAAAGAGTAAGTTTTGAGAGTTCCCAATGCTTTCTGTTGCTCAGGCTGCGAGCCACACGGTGGGAGTAAGGATAAAGGGATATCTCGAGGGTCAATGCATGCCATGAATGAGAGATAGTCTGTGGCGAGACTGTCCGATCTTTGAAGCTGCTGGAAGGATACAAGCCAGGTAGCTGCTATTGGATTCTCGGTATCTTGATAACGAAATTCGTCTTCGAAGTTCTCACTCAACAGCTCTATCAGGCCCTCCTCTTGGGTATTGAGCAGAGAGATGTAGTCCTCCGGGGCCATGGAGTTTTCATTCTTGAAGATTGCCGCCTGGACCAAAGCTAGAGGTAGACAGCAGAGTTGATGCACCAACGTGGTGACAGCTTCGTTTTCCTCGATCATATCTTTCTGATGGAGTGACTCTCTCAGTAGATCTTTAGCGAGTTCATCGTTCATTTCTGAAAGTGTAATGACATCTGGCCCAACTAGTTGAGTTGTAAGCTTCTTGTTCCTGGTCGTGAAAAGGACGAATCCATCGCGGCTCCGAGGAAGAAAGCCCTTCAATGGGGGTGGATCCTTTGAGGCAACCCACATGTCTGTATCATCTGCATTATCAATGATCAAGAGCCATGCGCCAGCTCTTTCAGAACTTAAGTGCTTTTGAACTTGTGACTTCGCATCAGCAGCTTTCAGATCCGGTAGCCCCAGGAGCTGACCAATATTTAAAAAGGCTTGTTCGACCGCTTCGATGCTTGTTGAGGGCATCCAGAAGACGGATCTTTCGGGATATTGATCACGCACCCGATAGGCCAGTTCAAGCACAATCTGTGTTTTGCCCATGCCTCCTAACCCTGAGATAGCTGCCTTTCGGGCACGATCTTTGCAAGCAATCTGAGTCTGCAGCTGCCTGATCAGGTCGTCTTGCCCGAGGAATCGAGGATTTCGATCAAATGGGACCATCCAGGTGCCAGCTTCGTGCACCTGCTGGTTCAACCCTGTCTGACTGGAACAAACGAAAGAAGAATTTTCGCATAGACGGCGGCGACAAGAGCTGCATATCCTTGCCACTCCTTGTTCTTATGAGCATCGCAGTAATCACAAATCCCGCGGACCACCAGACATGGAAGGTGGTTCATAATACCAGCTGCTTCCATCTCAAAACAAAATGCATTGGACTCTTTTCCGATCGTCTCGTTCAGGGCCATGTTTGATCACACGGTTCCCGGATGCAACGATTCCATAATGAACCCTAGGCTCGTTCGAAGGTCGTTCGGCTCGGTGATATTTCTTCTCCGTGGGAGACATTGAGTCGAAGAGGCGGTCTTCTGTGAGAGGTCTAGAAAAGCCGTCCTTCATAGCTGGAAACCGCGAGATAATATCGGCCATCATCTTTGAGATACGCTCATCTGGATGCATCATCGAATGAGCCCCCTTCCCCGAGGCTGCAGTCTAGAGGACAGTCGGAGGCTGGTTGAGCGATCCTGTGCGTTGAAAGAGTCTATCGCCAACTGTCTTCCCCAGATCGTACTGGACAACACCTCCTAATGTACACATGGTTTTGCTAACGACCACATCTCCGAGTCTAATATCAGCGGTATCGCTCGGTACTCCACCTGCGATACCGACCGTCAGCCCGTAATGGACATTGGGAAAGGTCTACTTGATGTGCGATACGACTGCCGTTGCTGAAGTCGTACCATAAACACCAGCAGGCAAACAGGCTACAACAATGTTATGTCCTTCGATCTTTCCAAGCGAGTAGCTGACATGGGCGCTAACAGATGGAAGGATAGTATGAGTCTCGTCAAACATGGCTTTGGCCGCAGCCAGCTCGAGAGGCAACGCGCAAATCCATGCCAGTCTATAATCTTCATGGCAATAGCGATTTGGCTCCGCCATGTTAAACCCGTAGACCGAGGGCAAGTCTCTCACGTCAAAATATCCATGTGAGAGCTGGAAGGAGGTCAGAAAGAGGGGAGAAGCGGGCTGGGGGCTGAAAATGGTCGGCGACCACAGGACCAATCAGGCCGATTCTTCGATACATGATACCTATCAAATGCGATATTTTGCCTCATATAAGCCTACGTGTAAATCCGCCGTGTTGAGATATAAATCTGGAATTAACTAAACCAACATCTCTAGGTTATAGACATGAAATGATAATTGCGTCTTCCAAACAACGCCGTCATAAGGTCATCTCGCAACACCTATTTTCTGTTCAAAAAGGGATGCTTCAGCGCCTCGGCAGGTGTGCAGCGCTTCTCGGGATTGAGAGCCAAACAGCGGTCGAGGAATTCTACGAAAAGCGTCAAATCTTTCGCATCGGCATCAGACATGCCCCTAGTTCCCTTGCCCATCACGCGAGTCTTCAAATCACGGGTCGGCTTCTTGAAATCCATCACTCGGGTAATAGGACGGCCAGTAAGCTTGTCTTCTTCGGTGCTGTGGAAGTTGAGCATGTCGTCGAAATGCAGATGTGCCAGAGATCCCTTGCGGAGGAGCTTGGGCGGGTATTTGCCGCGACATTCCATGATAGACTTGAGCATTTGGTTGTTGTTGCGGCCAGTGAAGAGAATCTTGCCAGTGTACAACTCGAAGAGGGTGCAGCCGATGGACCACACATCGATAGCGTAGTCATAAGGAATACCCAGGATAATCTCGGGGGCACGGTAGAAGCGACTGACAAGATAAGGCGTGATCTCGTTCTCCGATGCTGGAGATGCAGAGCCCAAGTCACAGACCTTTAGGATATTGCGTTGCTCGTTGACGAGGAGGTTGTCGGGTTTGAGATCTGCATGCAGGATGTTACACTTGCGAAGCAGACTCAGACCTAAAAACATCTGTTGCGCATAGGCACGGATCGCGCGCAGATTTAGCCCGACGTCACGACCGAACTTCTTAAGCACTTCACGCAGGTTCATGCTCAGATTCTCAAAGACCATGCACAGATGGCCCTTGTGCTCGAAATGCCGAACGAATTTGATGACGTGCTTCTTATCCTCTGGGTCAGCCTCATGCAGCTGCTCCAAGATCCCAATCTCTTTCATGCCAGCCTTGCGCATAGTATCGTTTTGACGGATGATCTTGACAGCGACCAAAGTACCGGTAACCGAGTCGCTGGCTCGTACGACCGAGGAGAACATTCCCTTGCCAAGATTTTGCTGGACATGGTAGCGGCCGTTGATCAACTCACCGAGCCGCACGTTGTAGTAACCTTCTGGATCATCCCAGTTGTCCATCATACTGATATCCAGCTCTTGGGGTTGCGGCACAGCGGTTGCCGAGGCATGTGCAGGCTGTTCATCCTTGGTATCCTCGGCGAACATGTCATCGTCGTCATCCTCGGCGAACATATCGTAAGGGTCTTTCTCTTTCGGGGGTGGAGGTGGCTGCTCAGCGGGGGTGTCAGGGAGAAGAATATCCTGCCTAGTCGTTTGTGTTTCGTCATACGCGGCGGATGAGACATCCCCGTTTGTACCATCCAACTTTTGTCTTTCTTCCTTTGTATCAAGCATCGGGTCGTAATCTGCGGCAGAGGGTTCATCCTTCTCGATTGCGTCCGCGGGGGCATTAAGATTGGCCAAATCCGCGTCCTTGCCGATCGTGAAATCAGAGAAAGCGTCTCCAATCTGCTCACTTGGTGTGTGTACGGGTGAGATTTTCGGGGATTCTGTTGAGGCAGACCCGCTCATATTAGCTGGTTGTACATGAATTTGTCTTAAGTTGTAAGACCTACCGGACATCTCTTGAGCACTCGTTGGCTCAGTACCAGGTGTCGATGAATCCGTCTCGCCGTCGGGGACCTGCAGGGCTTTGAGGTGCATAGGAGTCGCTTGGCTTCGGTACTTCGCTTTAATAGCCTCGCGGCGCTTGCGACGAGCTTCCAAAGCAGCAGCTTCGTCCATGGGTTCTGATGGCTGCGACTCTTCCGCCGGTTCTGACATGGGAGTATCTGCTCTGAAGAAATTGTTAGCATTTAATCCAAGAAAAACGGACGGAGAGCTTGAGACATACTCATCGGAAAAGCGGGCACGTTTCGGGAGAGCCTGCTGCACCTGATTCTCTCGTGTTTCAGCACCAAGCTTGGAATCCCGAGCGCTAGCTGGGGTCTTTCCTCGTTCGCTCACTACCTGTTCAGTAGACGATCCGCGCCTGTCCACCGGGGGCCTTGTGCCATCCGCACTCGGGTTCGGGTCATCGTACTGCTTCGGCTTTCTCACTTCGCGGTAGGGCGATCGGCTATGAGTACGTGGTCTCTTGTCCCTGCGTCGGTCGTACTCATCGGTATACTGCAGGCCACCGCCGTAGCTCTCCTCGCGGTCATAGTCGTAGTACGATTTCTGTCGGCGGGAGGGTGCGTTTCGATCATACAGTCTGTCGTCGTATCTCGACCCGAAACGTCGCGACGGCTCCTGTCGGCCGTGCCGGCTCTCTTGCCCATCATACTCGTCGTCACGTCTTCGCTTGTAACTTCTGTTGTCACGATATGGCGAGCGCGAGCGGGATCGGGATCTCGTCCATGACCTGCGTCGGCGTGGCGATCTGAGCGCAGAGGAAGTACTATCTCTGGGGGGACGGTCAACGCTGGTGCCATTAAGAGGAGGTTTTGACGCAGTTGCCTTCATCTCTGAGCCTGATTCGATGATCTCACCCTCAGAAGGGGTCGACATGGACCTCGAACGATTGCGGGACGCCATACTTCCGACCGTCACGTTGTCAAAGTCGAATATCACCGCTCAGTGAACTGGGGTCTTTTGATTTGCCTTCTCTTCTTCTTCCTCTTCTTCGGTTTCCTCCTCTTGGAATGTGTATGCTTTTCTTCAATCGGCCTTTGGGGGAGGCTTCAATGAGAAAGTCTCAGTTAGCTCGAGCTTCTGGGAACGAACGAATCTTCGGGGATGTTTGAAAGTCCAACCGGCTTGATAGGCCTGCCTTCACACCAAAGCCTTGCAGCAGAGATTATCCCAGGCACATAACTTGGCCAGAGGCAAAGGTCTTGAATGGGATGAGAGATGAATGCAATGATATGATAGCGTAGACTTTCGGGTTGAAGAAAGGGTATGGAGATCGAAGTTGCAGCTGCTGGGTTGAGCTGCCCGCGATAGGCAGATTCTGCGCCATACCTAGTATGGCAGGCGGTGAAGAGCCCCTCTGATAAGCCACTCCGGGGTTCATCATTTTTTTCCATTTTGCCATCGAATTCAAGTCTTCTTGAGCCTCTCATCTCTCATTCTTCTTTCGATCAATTCTTTCCCTTATCTTTGAACTCTAGTCAAAATGGGTGGCGCAAGCAGAGAAGGTTCGCAGGATTCCCCACAGCTGCAAGTACCCCGCTAACCGTTTCCATAGGCGGCAAGGCCAAGCCCCTCAAGGCTGCCAAGAAGGAGAAGAAGGAACTCGATGATGATGACCTCGCCTACAAGGAGAAGCAGAGAGCTGGTGAGTGTTCTGTGCAGTGAGAAAGTTGATCGCTTCATTCTGACTCGTGGTTCATCGCAGATGCTGCGGCCAAGAAGGCCCTCCTCGACGCCACCAAGGGCAAGAAGGGTCCCCTCAACACCGGCCAGCAGGGCATCAAGAAGTCTGGCAAGAAATAAGGGATCGGCTTGGGACGATGAACAAGCGCCATGCGCCTATACATATTGCGACTCTCGCACCTTTTACGAACCAAACGAGCCATGTCACAATGACATCGGAAACGACTGGCATTCTTCCTTAGCAAATACATACCACTACTGCGCTTCTGATATATCTCTTGCATATATTTGAGTAACTCAACCTCGAACACTCTATATCAACCTTTGGCAATGTTTCTTCTCTCGTGCCATGGCATTTTTCTTCATTCTGGCGGCTATGATTGCCTCGCTAGATGACATTACCGGGAGACTAGAACTCACTCATTTTGTTTGACTTTTTAGTATTACATTCAGATTGTAACTTGGACAATGGTCAGACGGACTGGTATAGTTACCAGGATGTCTTCAGCATATTTGCATGATGTTTTCATATTTTGGAGGCACATTCTGACATCAACAAAAGAAAAAGAGGGTATCTTTGGCAGCCTCGCCCTGCATGGGGAATCGGAACGCTTCAAAAACTCCAGGGCAAAATAAAACAGAGTATCAAGGAAACCAAGTATCCAAATCAGGGGGAAAAAAAGCGAGAACAGTATCCCTTGTTCCAAAAGTCACCACATCAACTGGTGACGCGCTTGACCCACAAGTTACTTCCATCACCATGATTCTCCCTCTCATCCAACCGTCTCCACGCGCGGGTAACCTTCAATCCAAGCTCGTGCTCTTCACGCTTGATCTCCGCAATCTCGTTCTCGATGCTCTGCACGCTGCGCTTAACCTCCGCCTTCGCGGCGAGATCATACGCGATAGACCCCGGCTGAATTACCCGGGTCAACTCGTGAATCACCGTCTCCAGGTTAAATCTGCGTTTCGCGAGCTCGTCACGTCGGGCCTCGAAGGCCTCAATGCGACCTAACGTATCCTTGGGGGCGTCGTCGGACTGGGTTGCCAATGTTGGCTCTTGAACGGCCACCGAGGGAATGGGCTTTCTTACTGGCTTCTTTGAGGTGGGCATGGAAATGGGGACCGGGCGCCGGCGCGACATGATAGAACCCGGGAGGTCCTCTGTAGACTTCGTTCCTAGGTTTAGACTTGTGCGCGGGCTGTCGTCTGGGCTTGCAGTGACGCTGCCGGTATCCATAGCGCCAGCAGTATTCGGCACGCCAAAACGACTCGGAGGCTGTGCGGACCGCAACATGTCGTCTATTGCTGGGTCAAGATTGTTGTTCGATATCTCCCGCCGAGGGGCCTTGTAGGCATGCTCGGTGGCCGGTCTCTCTGGCAACGGTTTAGGATTGCCGCCAGTAATCGTGGTAACGACCGTGGGGACGAAACCCAAATTAGGATTTTTAGGTTGGGAAATCGCGTCTTTATTGACGGAATGCTCTGCCAATGGCAACACACGTGACGACGATCGATCGCGGGTTTCTGGCGCGCGATTATTCTCGTTCTTGGAGAAACTGCTGATCCGGCCCCGCGCTTGTGCAAACTTCTTCTTGGGCTGCAGCTGCTCGCGGCCCCAATGCAAGAAGTTGGTAGTGTGTGATCCGGATACCTTGTGAAAGTTCGTGTTGCGCGGCTCTACTTGGCCTGCTCTGCCGGCGTTGCTCTTTGTTGGTTCGCCCGAGTATGCATCCCAGCGAGTAGGTTGCTCATCGCTATTTGGCGTGAATTTGATCGTCTTAGGTGCCGACTGCGAGGGTTCAGACAGCAAAGGCTCAGTATTAACTGCACGAGATGGGGCAGGAGCAGCGACTCCATAGCCCCAAGAACCCGTTCGATCGTGACGGAACCCTCGATCAGTCTCGCTCTCCTCTATTGGTGATACACAGAAACTGCTTCCGCTATCGCGGACTCGAGGCCCCAATTCAGGCGAAACGGCCGGAGATACATCTGGATATTGTTCGTTCTCAAGGCTATTGCGCGCAGGAGGCATAGGCGCGGTGGCTTGGTCAACTTGAGCACCCTTCACTGAAATAGTTGAGTCGCTGGAGAATATATTAGGATATTGATTTAAGAAATGTGATATCAGAAGCACATACTATGGCAGCGCAGGCAAGTCCTTGGCGTTGGCATACCGCGCGGGATCCGCAGAGAGTGACGTTTTATCCGCGAATGTGGGGTTGCCAATTGGGCGACGTGATTTGAACGGTCCCTTCGACCACATTTTGATCTGAGAAGGAGTTGTGTATTGTTTTGATAGAGACGGCTGTCGATCAGCGATGCGATGGGATTAAAGGGCGCTTAGTCTCCTGGCTTTGCGCTGAGGAGAGACAAAGACTAGAAGACAAGTGGGCGATGAGATCAGATAGCTCCGACAGAGCCGGTGCAATAAACCCAAGGCAATAGGCAATAGGTATGTAATGAAGAAGCCGGAAGATCCGACTCTTTTACCACGGAAACAAAAGCTGGCGGGGCAGCACACGTCAGATGTCAGAGATGAACTGGAGGCTGAGTGATGTGTTGGAGGAGAGAAGAGAAGTGTAGAATGAGTGCCGCCTGCGATGCCAGCATGGCATCAGCCAGGCTTCCCTAAGTGGGCAGGGACAAATTAAAATGGGGGCGATGATCAAGTGGAGTGAGTCTGAATGGAGATTCCAGGGACCTGATGGGACTGGGCTGTGTTTGGGGGGAGAAAAAGGGAAGTCGAGCCTGTTTCATGTTGTCGCTTGGGGGCTTCTCGTATAATGAAAGGGGAGATGCTACATTAATAAGGTCCCCTTCTAGTTTCAAGTCATCCTGTGCTCCATTTTTTAATTTTATTTATAGTTATAGTTCTGAATGTTATTTTCGGCCTGTCTAACGTCACTGAGTAAGGCTGGTAAGGAACGAATGACGAAAAAGAAAAGCAAAACAACCTAAGAGTTACTAGAGTAGTGGTGTAGCCTAAGCCAACTGGCCATCACGTGGAGTGGGGGAAACATCGTCATTCTTCTCCGCAGCCTCCGGATTCCTCCTCCACTTCGTCCTTCCCGAGAAGCATCCCGGAAGATTCCATTCGTCCTTAATCTTTACATATCCCAAAATGGCTGCTGCCGGTAAGTTCGATGCCCAGTGTCCATGGATGAACCCTGCTAACTCCATACTCAAGAGGGCTCCACGCCACAAGCTGAAGTGTTAGTAGTGTACATATCTCACTCTATCCCCCGCCAGTCTAACTAACCCACCGGCTAGGATGTCAATCGCTTCCCCCATCAACCTCATCCTCCTCTCCCTCTTCGTCGTGCTGCTGTACTGGAACTTCCGCCCCAAACAGCCCGTCACGCTCCCGCGCGGCCCGCCCCCGGTCGTATTCCGCACATACACGCCCAAGACGCTAATCGAGTTCAACGGCGAGGACGGCCGACCTGTCTTCCTGGCTGTCCGGGGCCGAGTCTTCGACGTGTCTCCCGGCAGGAACTTCTACGGACCAGTATGTGTTCTGCAATGTAATGGAATGTTTCGGGGATATGGTTTACTGATGGCGCGATAGGGTGGTCCGTACGAGAACTTTGCTGGCCGCGATGCCTCGCGTGGCCTGGCACACCAGAGCTTCGATGAGGAGATGCTGACCAAGGACCTCTCCGGTCCATTGGATGACCTCAAGGATCTGGATGCCGACCAGCTTGAGAACCTGCAGTCCTGGGAGGAGCGCTTCTCCGAGAAATACTTGGTGGTTGGAAAGTTGGTTGCCGAGGGTGATCCCGAGGCTCCCAAATCATGATCTATGCGTATCTTGTCGAATGGTTATGAGGATCAGAAATCGATCACCAAAAATGATGGTTCGGCTATTTGAGCGGGGCCGTTCCGCGTTGTATGCAACTAGGCTTTTGAGTCCTTCGTCGTTTTCGGATATATTATCAGGTACATGAGGGCATTTCAATGCATATCCTATTCCAGCATTTGTCCAGGAAATGTCCTACTGAGCTGTAAAATGAATCATAAGTTACTCCAGGGCCATTCATTTTAAGCAGTAACTACTATTGGCACAGCAGGAAAGGAAGAAAAGCTAAAGCCCCCATAAAATAACATCTCCAATTAAAACCCCAAAAAATCCAGAAGTCGTAAGCATCGTATTCAAAGCACGATGATGGCGGAAGGAATCTCCGGTCATCTTATCACGCTCAATTCAAAAACGAGAAGACGCGGTGTTTACAGCTCGCCCCGAATCTTCTCGGTCTGCTCAGCAGCCTTTTCGCGGACCTTCTCAGCCGCCTCCTGGCCTTGAGCGCGGCCGCTGGAAGCACCGACCTTGAGCTTCTCCAACACCCAGTTCAGGGTATCCATCACCTTGACGTAAATGGTATCTTGTGGGTTGTTGGTACCGAACCGGAAGTAGGTCGCTTGACGACGAGCAGCAGCGCGTAACTCATTAATGCTTGATCCCTGGTAGACGGGAATGCCGTATGAGTCAAGGTACTTCTTGAGGTCGGAGTGTGACCAGTTGTCAAAGGTAACCTGCTTGGCGGTACCAGTCGCTTCGGCGAGGTTCTTAGTCGCAGAGGCATAGTGCTCGCCGCCAGCCTTAGAGGCCTTGGTGTACGAATCCCTGGCCTGCTTGATCAATTCTTCGCGAGAAGCATCAACCTTCTTTGCGGCCTTGGAGTTCATGGCCGAAAGGTATTTCCTAGATATCGCCACTGTTAGATCAAGCCTCTCTGAAGATTTTTATTTCCCAACTTACAAAAGATGCTCCTTATCCCAGGTATCAAAGTTGTACTCATTCCATCCACCAGCAGCAAGGTGCGCATTGGCGCGCACCTTGGCAAGCAACTCATCACGCTTGCCATACTGAGGAACGGGAACACCGCGAGCATCGAGGAAAGCCTTCAGGCGCGAGTCGGACCAAGTCTTGATCGCCGCGTCAAATTGATCCTCTATCTTCAACTTGATATCGTCTGTGGCACGGGCGTACTCGTTTCCAGCCTTGGTGGTAGCGGCACCGAATGCCTCCGAAGCGGCAGAAGAAGCGCTGGATGCTTGGCTGACGAGATATGCACGGTGCTTGCGAGCAAGGGCGACAAGTTCATTACGCTTGGATCCCTGGGGTACCTTCACACCGTGCTCATCAAGGAATTCCTTCAGCTTAGAGTCGGACCACGCGTTAAATAGCTCCTCACTCAAGGAGGCCTGGGCAGCCTCGGCTGATGCCATTGCGGATGCAGAAATACTCTGAGCCTGCAAGCTCGCAAGACGGGAGTTGCGGCGCACAGAGGCAATCAGCTTGTCACGGTTTGTAGGCTGGGGAGCAGGCCATCCTCGCTCATCAAGCCATGCCTTGAGATCGGACTCGGACCAGTTCTCGTACAGCCAGTTACCGGGGTATGCGGCGGTTTCACCGACCTTCTGGGCAATGGACTCGTAGTTCTCACGGGCAATCTTGAGCAAGATATCGCGCTTGCGGGGTTGAGGTGCTGGAATGCCATGACGATCGAGGAATGCCTTTAGCTGGGAGTCCGACCAACTAAGAACATAGTGAGATTATCAGTTAACGAGGATTAAGGAATAACGGAATAGAATGCTTCTTACGTGTCAAAGACCCATTCCTTGGCCTCGTGGAACTCATTAGAGACTCTATCTGCGGCGTTACCGAGTGGCTTCTGCACGCGGTTGTCCCAGTTCGACTTGACCAGGTTCTCGAGATCGCGGCGGTCGGCGGGGGCAGGGTAGGGGATATCTAATGAAGATGTGTCAGTTTCTTACACGATCAGTGATATAGATACGTGTTATTCATCCATACCATGATCCGAGAGCCATCGCTCAAGCTCAGTCTCATGCCACTTGTTGTAGACTATATGCCCGATGACGTTAGCGGGGACTGGGGTCACCGATCTATACGGAGCATTGTCACTCACCAGCTTTGCTCCACCAGCTGGAAGCCGCAACAGCTTCAGTGGTTGCAAGCAAGCACACTAGGCCAGTGGCCAGATTGAACTTCATCCTGGCGCTTCGAGTTTCAGTGTTGTGGTAAAGAGCTTCGAGTAAGCTGTAGCACGAAGAGTCAATCGTCAGTATCGGCTGGCGCTGAGTTGTAAAAAGGAATAGAGGAAAGACATACCACTAGTAGCTGAAAGGATATTAACGGGGTTGAAGTGAAAATGATGCGATTGTTTTATTAAATATGGAGGGCTCCGATCGCGACAAAGGGTGCAGACAGGGAAATAGCAAGCCGCAGGGATGATCGCGGAGTGACGTAGTTGGGGAATTTACCTGGTTCCCATGAGTGCATGATTCATCAAGGCCCATTCTTTTGCTGGGCAGAATTGGCGTCATCTTGAAGATCTTACCTGCTCCTTCTTATTTGTTACACGAAGCCTGTATTTGTGGCTGCCTCTAGGTCGTGCTATACAAGTCAAGGGGTCTTTGCTCGCCGAGTCTCTTCAGCTGTAAGAGGCTCGGCACCCGGTCACACTCGCGAACTGCGGTTTTCATGTGGATGAGGGACTAACACTTGGCTTTCTTTAGAAATCTATTTACATAATTAGCTACTCTGATAAATACGAGGCGCAACATGGCTTTATACGGCCTAATTTGGAGTACCACACGTCCATGGCTGTCAATAATGTGTGTCTGGAATGCGTGGAGTTCCCAGCTGTCAACCCAACATCCAGGCATGACCCTGCGCATCCCCCACAGTTACTAATGAGCCTCTATTTATTCCAAAGATCTTTCCAGATATCCCTTGAAATGATATTTGAGCCAAGGGGCCATGTCCTTCACTACGATTGGCACTTTCAAGATCCCCTGGCTTGTTGGTCTAGAACACTTGTGGCCTGAGGCCATAATGTATACTCATGAACCAGCCAATCAGCACTCACTTCCTATGAAATGCATTGCTGAGTAAGCAGATAGTATCCCCGCTGCACAAAACTAAATGCGGCTCTTCAACATGGTGAAAACATCACCGAATGCAGCCCACGTCGCAGTATACACCCACAATGGCTGACAGTCGATCCCTGCCAAGAGCAACTCCACAGGATGATGTTACATGAAGGAAGAAAAGACCCTTAAAAAAAGTCAGGCCCCGGGTAGGTCTTGATGAGAACCATCTGTCTTTGGAAGCAGTCAACCCCACGAATATATACATATTCCTCAGAGAAGAGACACCCATGGCATCGGACTGACAACCTTGGAAGCCGCCATGATTCAAACGGGGCGTCCAGAAGACTTCTTGAGCAAGAAGCTTTTTGCTTTTTGTCTCTTTTCAATTGGATTCACCATTTTCCTGCTCTTTGGCTCTCCAGCTCCACCATCCCCGGACGAGCTCAATAGCACTTCTGTCTCGGACCAACATCGCCCAGCCATATACAAAGGTCGCCAGGCTATCAGTACATTCCTAGCTACCAAGTCCAACGCGAAGGCAGGGCAGGATGACAACGAAGATAGCTACTTCGTGAGCGCGCGGACGCTCGTATATCAATTGCTTCACTCTCCCACCACCAAGCTCCAACACCCAATCCCCGTTGTGGTGCTCGTCGCCAAAGATGTCGGGGAGAGCAAGCGTCAAACTCTTCGAAGCGATGGTGCCATCGTTGTCGAAGTTGAGGACGTTACACATAGCACGCCAATTGCTGCCGAACGCTGGACATCTATGGCCACGAAGCTGCACGTCTTCGATCCCACCGTTGTGCCCTACGAAAAAGTCCTCTTCATGGACGTAGACATGGTCCTGACTCGTCCCATCGACAAAATCTTCCAAGAACTCAGTACCGAATTGGGCCCAATTACCAATGCCACCCAGGTCGACGCTGAACTCGGTCCTCTTCCCGAGCAATACATTCTAGCCGCTTCTCCAGAGTCACACCAGAAGGACCATGCATACCCGTTCCTCGACTCTGATCACACAGTCAGCACCTTCAATAGCGGCTTATTCATGTACTCTCCCTCCATCGAGATGTATCAGTACTATATGCGGCTTCTCGACCACCCTGATCTCTACTATACCGGCATTCCGGACCAAGATCTCCTCAACTACGCACATCGCTGGGGCGGACCGATGTCGTGGAAACGCCTCAACTGGTCCTGGTACATCAATTTCCCTAACGAGAATGATCTGCAAGGTGGAATGGCTTTATTGCATGCCAGATGGTGGGAACAAGGAGCGTCTGTTTCTAGCGAATCCGTCGAGCAATTTGCTTTTGCTCGTAGGTGGGAAATGGAGGGATATTGGATGGGCCAAAAAGCCAAGACTAGTTCTTGATAGAGAGCACTCTATGGTGCCAGTATGATTGTGTTTCCATTGTCTTGTGTTTAGTAGGGAGGCATACCACTTTGATCAACCTATGCAAGTTTCGAATTTCGAACTCGATTCGAACTCGATTCGTGAAGATGTTCAGGTACATACCATTCAAGGTGTTTTAGAATCTTTCGATAAGCGAGTGAAGGGCCTGCCAGGCTGCATATCTTGATTCCTCCCATATTCCTAAGGCTAAAATCCCTACAGCCTTTGTGTAGCCGTACTTTGAATGAAACAATGGACGCATACCTCTGTCTCCCAAGCTCGTGGGCTGGTCCCAGTTCCTCTTACATATCTCGCACTTCCCATATTTTCATAATAGGACTAGCGGTCACCTAGGCGTCAACTCCAAGTGATTTCCCATACTCTATATATCGAATAGCCTCATTTTCTACAGACCGCCTACAGACCTTGGTCAAAAAGACGCGTTCATGTTTACTCTCACCAGCTTCGTCTTTCTCTGCTTCACAATCACCCGTTCCATCGAGAGACCCTCCGTTTTGTCCCCAACTCTTACGAAATCGACAAATTCCATCATATTTGCCATTTCGTACCCATGTCATCAACAATGGAGCTCATAAATCTCCCCACAGAACTCATCCTCATCATCGCCAACTCAGTTGAGAACCACCGGGAGCTTCCAGCCCTCGCCAGCACGTGTCGGTTCCTCTACGAGGTCGCCAACCCGATCTTATATGCCCACAATGCCAAGTACGAAGGCAGCTTTGCTCTGCCTTGGGCTACCAAGATGGGTATCATGGAGACTGTCAAGTTGTGCATCGAACATGGTGCCAACTTGAACGCCCATGATGGAGACCGCCGAACAGCGTTGATCCACGCTGCCGACAATGAGGACACCGAACTGGCCGAGCTGCTGCTCGATATCCCGACCACCTATATCAGCGCGTGTGATATAGATGGCAATAGCGCAACCTTCCTGGCAGCGAGAAACGACGATGCCGAAATGCTTGACTTGTTGCTTCACCGATGCTGACCAGGTTCATAGAGATGGTATGGGCTTGCTGCACATACCTGATCTATCGTTCAGGGCCATGCAGACGCTCCTTCGATGGGGAGCCAATCCAGGGCGAATGGACAGCACGGGCAAGACACCACTGTCCAGAGCCGTCAAGTCTCGCAGTATTCGCGGAGTCGATCTCCTGCTGCAATTTGGTGCCGGAAACATGACCGGTCCCGCCAACCTTGAAGACGACCCTTTGACAGTCGTACTGGACAGTCAAGACGAGAACATCCTCCGCCTCTTGCTCAAAAATGGTGTGCACAGTTCCCGTGCTATTACTTTGCAGGGATCTAGTGCACTCCATGTGGCAATACAACTCAACAGGCCAAGGATGTTGCAAGTACTCCTAGAGGAAGGTGTGGATCCGGACCGGCAAGACCAGCTTGGGCGGACTGCGTTGCACTTCGCTGCCCTTGCGCACAGCCTGGAAATAGCACGGATTCTCGTCGAGTTTGGTGCCAACGCCCAGCTCACTGACAATCAAGACGAGACTCCGCACCATGTGGCGGCTGCCGATAGGCAGATCCTCCTCCTTCAATATCTACTCATGAACGACCCCGACACAGTCGTTCGTGAGTTTTTCTTGAAGACTCCCATTGACGAGTATGACAGCCCCGAAGTGGAAGCTGTCCTTCTCATCAAGGGACCAATGGGATCTCGCCTGGCACGCCTCCTCCAGGATCATCCTGACGCAAAGGCATTGCGTGCACAGTCTGCTAACAGGAAAGGGCGCCGATAGAAAGGTTCTCATCTGTGGTGCTGGACATGAGGTTCTGTGGGGAGAGAGTGTATATATAAGGGCGTCAGCGTGCCCTTGACCATTCAAGTTTCAGATCTTCGGATCAAGAGCTGTTCCCAATTGCTCTCGGTCGCTGCGGTACAAGTACAAGCTTGTGGAGTTGTTGTGTTTTGTGGTTAGGATCCGGATCGATGGTCGGGCCAGTGGAGCCAGTCCCGTTTAGCGCCCAAGCCGCCAGGAACCCAAACCCGCTTGGTGCGGATCAGTGCGGGGGTCATCCTTGTCAACCTTGAAACCCCCTTCTTCCCTGGACTTCTGCTCGACAGTCCTGTTCAAATCCGCCACCGATCGCCAGAGCATGCAACTATAGCGACCTTATATTGAACGCGTAGGCTCTTGATCGTGACTGTGCTGGCTACCTGCTCGCTATCACGAGAGCTTCAACCCGACCGGAAGCTCCAGCATCAGCTACCGTCAACGTCATCCGTCGACACAGATTCTCTGAACACACCTTTGCGTTGTCCATAATAAAGCTCGAGAAATCATACTGCGAGCATGAAGGACCCTTCAACACCATACTGCGATGAGCTAGCATCGCCAGGCTGGTTTCAGCCTGTACTCTCGTCGTACGAATCCCGTCGAGCATCAAACCCCATATCCTGAAACTGACGTGACCCTGGCAGGTTGATCATCGTTGGCATCCTAATCTCCTATCTGCCTCAACACATTCGCATCATCTCCCGACGAAGTTCCTTCGGAATCTCTCCCTACTTCGTCCTCCTGGGTACGACGTCCGGCACCTCCGCCTTTGTCAATATCCTCGTCTTCCCCAAGACCGCCGCAGATGTTGCCTGTTGCCAGGAGATTAGCGGGCTTGCCTGTTTTGCTGGGCTGCTGGGTGTGTTACAGATGGGCATGCAATGGCTATGCTTCTTCTCCATGTAAGTTGATCTCAACACTGCTTCACTCTTATATGTTCAATTACTAATGCGCAAACTAGCCTCCTCCTCTTCGTGATCTTCTTCCCTCGCGCAACCTCACCGACTGATCCCACACACTCGGTATCTTCAACCTCAAACGGCCCGACATACCGTACCGCACTTGCCATCACTGGGATCTGTCTTCTCCATGCCCTGGTGGCAGTCATAATCTCCGTCGCCTTTGCCATCCGCCAACCCTCCGCCCTCCATGCCTGGGCCAACTTCCTCGGAATCGTTTCCGCAATCCTGGCATCGATCCAGTACTTCCCCCAAATCTACACTACCTACCGACTCCGCTGCGTCGGCAGCCTGAGCATCCCGATGATGTGCATCCAAACACCCGGGAGTTTGGTGTGGGCGGCAAGCTTAGCTGCTCGCGAGGGAGCCAAGGGCTGGAGTATCTGGGGTGTGTTGCTGGTTACGGCATCCTTGCAAGGGACACTCTTAGTTATGGCGATATACTTTGAGTACTTCGGGCCTGACAGCAAGCGGAAAGCTGTGCACCGGGCTGATCAGGATGGCTATCTCAACGGGGCCGGAGCAGAGAGGTCGGACAGACATGCTTCTGCACAAGAACCGATACATGCAGAGCGTCCTTCGGAGGAGACTCCACTGCTTCAAAGCCAGTAATGGCCAGTCCACGAGTTGCATTGCCGATTTAGCGCGTTCCTTACCTGATTTACCATCTTCTTACATATAAGACGGTAGAAACTCCCCACACTATTCAATGAAGTACATGTTCAAATGGAAATAGTTTGAATTTTGTCCCACGGACCAAGCCGGGTCTGTGTCTTATTGGAACCGAATGACCTATATCCTGCGAAATGCCATTCCGGGGACACACAAAAGTCCCCACCTTACAAAAAGATAATCTCCCCCGTCATCGCATCGTAGCATTTAATCTTCGCCTTTCGCTGGCAATTTAAGAAGCAGCGTAGATAAGGCGGAAGACGTCGTTGAGCACGAAGAAGCTGCCGGCACCGTCGGGCTTCAGCGTGAAGAGCTGGGTATAGTTCATGGGCTTCTGCTCCTCATCGACCTGATTGCACAAGAGGTGTTAGAGCACATAGAAGATGACGGACATTTGGGGGGAGTTTCAAGGACGTACCAGGAGAGCGCCAGTAACCAGGACGATGATGTTCTCTCCCGAGGGCTGGGCGTCGAGAGTAGCCAGCTGGTGGCGCACCTGCTGGAAGGGCAAGCCCTGCTCAATGAAAACCAGATATTAGTATTGAACGAATGATGTTATATCGAAAATTTGGCGGCCCTGGGAATCTGTTTGGGTGTACGTACAGTCAGCTTCTCGGTGATAGCGACGGCACCCTGGACAGAGCTAGTCTCGAAGGTGAGCATCGACTCATCGCGCTATTAATGAAGGCATTCAAGTTAGTTTCGACGGTTCCGTGATGAGTTTATTTCTCGATTCCATTAAATAGGAACCCGGGGAATGGCAAGCTTACATAGAGACCGGTCAGACCGCCGCGGTTGCTGTCGAAGGTGTTGTAGTAGAAGTCAACGAACTGTTCTGTTGGATGAAAGTATCATGAGTCAGATTCTGCATCCTCTCGGTATAGTTGATGGCTTATTTCTAGAAGTTTTCGTGGGGGCAAGGATTCGAGTCCGCGCGGGGTTGTTCTTGTGCGCAGCGCACCGAGGGTCGGAACTAGGGGGGACATACGAGCGATGCTGGTGAAGTCTAAAGCGCAGGGAATAGTTAGCATTGAAATACATGTAATAAGACTTGAACGGGTTTGGATTGAGCTGATCATGATCTGATATTGCTCGGCGCAATGTATCCCAGGTGGGTTGGTTGTGACACAGAAACGACCCCACCAAGGGAGAGTTGCCGATGCAGCTTCAAAGAATGGAGAGTGAGTGCAATTGAGGACTTACCGGCCATTTTGGGAAGAGAAGTTGAACAAACAGGAGCGATGCGACTGTAGAGGAAGAAGAGAGGCGGAGGGAGGGGGTATTTGTTGACGCGGGAAGAGGAAGAGGAAGAGTGAAGGAGGGGGGTGGGGCACGAATTCTGCCGTTGGTGCCTGGCTGCCTTATGCTCGCCCAAGCCGAGTATAAAATGTGAGACTTTAGGCTATACCCTCGATCAAGTTCTCTACAGCTGTATATCTATGAACCCAATTGACTCATAAACAGGGAATCCGATATCATTACAATCGTCGCTATCTATACCAGTAACGGCTGGCCAGCTCACTCCGAGTCCGATGCGAACATGTCCTCAGCTTTGGGCCGTGGTCTGCGTGGCCGCCGAGATCCTTCTTCTTGGTGCCCGTCTTCCTGCTCAGGCTGTAAAGGCTGATCGGGTACCGACGGCGGTACATCGCCTTCATCCAGCGGAGGCGCATCTTCGTCCATGGGTTCCCCGTCATCGTCCAGCATTTCCAAGTCGCTGTCTTCCATGGGAACGCCGTCGAGGTCACTCATGGATTCATCCTCCGCCGTAGCAGCTGCTTCAGACGGAGGATGCGGCTGGCTCTCGGCATCGACAGGGCGATCAGAGTCAAATTTCCCAGATGCAGGATCGTCTTCAACGGTTTTCCATCGGCTCTTGCTCTTAGAAGCCAAATGAGCGGCCCGTTCAGCTTCAGCCTTCTCCAGCTCCCTTTGTGACTCTTCTTCGGTGAGTGGTGGCTGTTCAAGCACCTTTAGGAAATGTTCCTGGTTCGCTGGCTGGAAAATACTCCAGCCTTCCCATTGGTGGAGGAGGCTGCCCACGCTGCGCTTCCATTTCTCAGCGCGGAGTCTGCCCCAATTCAATTCTTTCTCGAGCCTGCCAAGGTGTTCAAAGACCTTGTGGGACCGAAGTGCAGTCTCAAACAGGGACCGATATCGCCATCCCTTGGGAACTCCACTCGTGGCAGACGACGCGAGAATATCGGAAATAAGGTAGAGCCCAACCAGTTTGGCCGAGGACATGTCGATCTTCTGCTTCGAGGGATTTGACATGTCCTTATCACCCTCCTCCTGCCTCGCGGCATCCTTCTCCATTTCTCGCTCGGGATTGGCCCCTGTATATGCCAATGGATGAAGAATGTTGAGCACGATCATGTCGACAACCTCACGCGCCCCGGTGCCTGCATGTTTGATGGCAAAGGCTGTGACCCGGGCGACATCGCCTCGCCGGAGCTTTGCCTGTGTGGTCGGAAGACGGGCAAGAAGATGCGTAAGCTTCGCTTTTTGTAGGGGATTCATGTAGCCCAGGCTGTCATTCTGCGTACTGGTGCCCTCTGGAGGGGGCCCTCCTCCGAGGTTACGCCTCTCTTCCTCGCCATCAGACATCTCCTCTTCGGAAGAATTGTAGTCATCTTCCGATACAAATTCATCCAGACGTGTAGTGTACTCAAACTTGATTTCCGTCTCCGGTGGAGTCCAGGTTGGCCCTCCTTCGAAAATGAAAGATGACTTTGGGCCGCCAGTTTTCCTTTTGCTGTGTGCCCGAGGGTTGGTGATGATTTGCCACAGCTTCCACCGGTAGTAGACACCACCGGGACTTCGGGCATCCCAGATCCAAGCCCATTTCTCTCCCTTTTGCACCTCTGGTCGACTCATAAGCAACGCCTCGAATTCAGGTCCATAGTTGAGGAGGTTCTCCAGCGTCTTATGTATCAGTCTCAATTGCTTGATATCTGATGGTGCTTGTACTTCGACCTGTGTAGAGCCTCCACCTCTCCCAAGATTGGGCCCATATGAATCTGGAGGCGCAAACCCTCGATGAGGCCCTGGGGGTGGAGCTCGGTTCAGGCTTCCACCAAAGGTGGGTTGAATAGTCTTTGCACCAAATGGGAGTGACTTGGTCGTAGTTGTGCCAATAGTCGCTGGTAGAGTTGAATTAATTGCGGCGGAGGAATGGCCTTTGTGGATAGACAGGTAGTGACCCCTGCCAAGGTACTTCTTGTCGAGCATGCTGATGGCGCTATTTACATCGGAGAGCGGAGTATCACTGGCGAGGGTAATGATGGCGGCTGCGGACTTGCGCTCGGTGGGTGGTTGGTTGGTTGGTCGGAGGATGTTGACATTGTCCACGTTTAAGAAAGATGGGATCAGAGACTTGAGCACAAAGGGAGATGTTCCTAGCGGCAGCGATTCGAGACAAAGAGTGTATCTAGCCGCAGCCTTCTCTGCCTCTCTCGCATCTGTCCTGCGATCATCTTCGTCATCCGAAGTGTTGCGAAACGCCGGTCGTGGGCCTGGGCCTGGCTGGTCGTATCCCAAAATACCTTGTGTCGAGTCTCGGTTACGTGGCGAAGCCCCAAATCCTCTTTGGTTCCCACGCGGTGCGAAAGGCCCAGAAGGAGGTGGTAGACTCCCTGGTCCACTGGTCCGTGTCACGGAGCTTGAGAAGTGTCGCGATGGTCGCGCTCCTCCAAACCCACCACCTCTGTTTCCAAATGTACCTAGTCGTCCATCCGAGGCCCGGGAGGCCGTCGAAGTATCCTCTTCGAATGATTTGACGAAATCTTCATAAACCGCGGCGGTTTCGGCTTTTTCCCGGGCGCGTTTAGCTTCGGCTTCGGCTTTCGCTTTCTCGAATGGCGACTTCTTGGGTAATGCGGAGGTTTTGGCGTCCGTATCGAGGAATCCCTTCCCCTTTGAGTCGTCGGGCATTTCGTGGAGGGAGCTGCAGCTGCAGCAATAGCGAACCAGCCTGCTGGTGTCAAGTAATGTCGAAGTAAAGAGCTGGATAGACGTGGTCCTTCTATCCTTCCCAATCAGGAACCCGCATCAATGCGCGGGCGGTGAGAAAGGCGGTTCCTTATCACCCTCTCTTACGGGCGTCATATCAATCCTGGTCTGCTTCTTTTGAACTTAGGCATTTCATTGGATATACGAAAAAGAAAATAAACACAGCCAGAGGTGAAGATCAGTGCCCACCATGGCATCTGCACAAATTCCAGCTCTCCTGCGCTTCCTGACCCAGGATGCCAAGGTCCCGCTAGCTCTTGCGATAGGCAAGACACCAGAGCTACAGAAAGCTAACCTGACCAGGTGAGCGTCCTATTACCCTGGTCGACATGACTCCGACTTATGACCACCTAGCGCAGATGAAATAGCCAAAGCAGATATCCAAGTTCTTCAAGACATATTCAAGGATCAAAAAGTCGCCAAGCAAATACTCAATGCTGGCAAGCGAGTCTCCAAGAAACGCGGAGCCCCAGCTGACAATACAGCGGCGTCGCCACAAAAGAAAAAGAAGAATACAATCATAACGAAAGACTCAACTCCATTTGATATTGAATCATCACTCAGGCTGCCAACTCCGTCAAGCCCTGATAACGAACTTCGCGTCATGATTATCGTAACAAACCGAGCACCTTTGGTGCTTGCTTTTGCTGTCTGTGTCCTGAAATATACCATGCCAGAACAGCCTATATCGAGCCGACTGAGTCTTGCTCAGGCGCTAGTAAGTGCCAATAGTCGGTCTAAGGCTGTGAGTCTAGGTATAGAGAATGGTCAATCAGCGGAAGAAGAAGGCTGGGGCGAGGGCCAGCCCGTTGTTAAGGTCCTTGGAAGAGATATTCGGGTGTTGAAACGCTGGGACTATAATCCTCGTGAAGGGCCGCCCACCACATCGCCAGCTTCAGGGGAACCAGACTCGAATACAGCCCCCGCCGACGACTTTCTAGGCAACGGTGATATTGACGACGCCGATAAGATGCCTCCCCTTTGGGGGGTTGATCTAGAGGCTGCTAGAAGCTCTCAAAACAATGCAAGTTCAGAGAAGAAGACCGGCGGCTTGCCAATATACACGGCTCAATCAGCGCGGTCGTACCTTCTGCGGTCCATATCAAGTGTACAAACGACCACTACGTCTGCTAAATCCAAGTCAAATACGGCCACAGTCCAGGAAAAAGAAGAATCTGTCGCTTGTCTTCTCTCTGTCATCGACTCCGTCTGTCGATCGTGGGCCACAACTTTGAAGAAGGACGAACTGGATAGGCGCGCGTGGGTGTGGTACCTCAAGGTCCGACCAGATGTCCAGAGCGGAGTTCAAGGCTGGGGCCAGAAGGGGCAAGTAAAGTTATCAGACATCCTTGCTCTGCGAAATGACTCTTGATGTCACGTCTCAATTGCGAGCGTCGCGAATTCTTTACTGCAATAAAGGGACAAGGAACTTTTGACAACCACGATTATTATAGATTGAGAGGAGTATACCCTTGATGAAACTATAAGCTGCCATCCACGACAGCAACAAGAAGAGAAGACTCGCGCTCAAAGACGAGAACCAGTAATTTTGGCTACTTCTTCGGCGATGTTGTAATTTATCACTTTCTGCAATTGGCCAGCCATGAGACTCGGAAACAGTCCTGGAACATGTTAGTCTTGTGATTTGGAAGAATTAAGATGATCATGCTCACCCATAATCTTCAAGAAAGTATACATTGAGTACTCTTGGATCACGCCCATGTCACGTTTCTTGCTCTGAGTCTGCTGAGCATGCTTCAAGATCTCGGTGACGTGCGGCTTTCGCAAAGCCATATACTGACTAGCCGCTCTCTTGATAACCTCTTTCTGGGTGTTCATTTCCAGCACATCCTCCTTATGATCGTTTTGGCGAAGGTAGTGCGACAAAAGAAGCACAAAGGCCTCGACATCTTCCAAAGCTTGCGACGAGCCTTGTCCCGAGCTTGGAGGAAGTGCATGGGCTGCATCTCCCACCAGAACAACGCCGTCTCGTTCCCATGTCGGAAGAGGAGGAATAGTCCATGTTGGATACATGCTCTCGACCTTGAGAGATTGGATGACTTTTTCGACGACGGGGTCTTTCCATTGCGAGTGCCTCTCACGTAGTTGACGAGTGACGTCGTCCATGTCGAGGGTCTTGCGATCCGGACAGCTCTCGATCTCATAAGTGGACCACCATGCCAGCGAGTCACCTGGCTCAGAGACGTGATATGGAGAGTCATGATTGGGATCAGAGGGGTCACTTTCTGAATAAAAGTAACCAAAGAATCCATTTCCTCCAAAAATGAAGTTCATGGAACCTTTATCGACAAGGCCTTTCACATCTGCAGCTGGAATGAACCCTCCAACACCTACAAGACCCCTAGTAGAATCAGACCGATCAGTGTCTTGTTCCCAAAAGGGATGTCCTTTCAGAATGGTGACTTACTCGTAATTCGGCGGGTAAGGGTCTTCCTTGGCTTCCGGGAAAATTGCCCGCTTGGCGGTGCTTCGAACGCCATCAGCACCGATGACCAGGTCTGCCTCCACTGAGGGGCTGCCATCAACAAAGTGTATTAAGTTCTTGCCATCTGATTTAGCAATCACTTCCGAAATACGCTTGTTGATGATATGTTCACCCGGGACTCGTGACCGCAAGGCTTGCCAGAAAGAATGTCGACTGGCGGCTACCATATGCATGCGTTGCTTCTCTGAATAGGCGAGACCAGTAGCGTCCATAGACACAAGGGACCACCCATTCTTGCTCTTCATGTTGAACGTCGAAGCAGCGTATCCGCTACGCACAACGTCCTTCAATAGGTCCTCATCTAGGCGTCGTAGAACGTTGAGACCATTTGCGGCAATGCCGAGACCACCACCCACGAGAAGAGTGGAGGAATGAGTGTTGTCTTCTTGTTTCTGCTCCCTCTCTTTTGAAGTCACATTCAAGTCGGTACTATATGCCTCATAGATGATGATCTCATGGTCTGCTTCTGAGGGTGGAAGGTGCTTGCGCAATTCAAGGTATGCTGCGCATCCAGCGATGCCAGCGCCAATGATGACGATCTTCATTGAGATTTGAAAGTATTGTGTTTGACTTCTGATAAGCTTAATATCACCGGAAACACCGGAATTCCAAGCATTAAATACCTGGTCAGTGCCTACCATGGGTAGTATACATCACTGGTCACGTGGAGGTACTGTCGCAAAGCTAACCCAATCAGGTCTAGCGTTCTGGCTTAAATCGTAGTGGGTCTCTCGTATCTTCCGGTCTCTGGACGCCAAAACAATACATCAAGAAGAAAATTATTTGTGTTTTTGGGTCCATCGGTTCGCATATTGAGTCAGAAGGCCATAGGCAGCAGTATAATGAGCCTGCGCCACACACCCTCCCGGAACAATACCAATTTGTTTTTGCCTCCCTGGTCAATGCCAGAGAATCAAACCTCCATTTTCAGACGACATGGTATTCGATTTCCTCGACCTCAATATTGTGGGAGCCTGAACAACCAGCGGTAGAGAAGTACATGTCATCTCATGATTCATAAGGAGAGAATCTCTGAGTTGTACCGTTGTAGCACATAAGAAGCAACTTCTCCAAAAAGCTCTTTTGGGGGATCTGAAGAAGTCACACGATCTTCATACTGGCAATCAAGTCCCGGCAAAGGATTCCTAGAATTAAAAACCATGTCTGACGGGCTCCAAATGCTGATAATCTTTAGTGGTAATCCCACCATCACTGACCCACGACTAGAAGTAGGACCGGGAAATGTCGCGACGAACTCCTTCGCTAACAATATTGATTTGACATGCTGTTGAATTCTGTTCTCATATAAATGCGGAGTTGAGGAGACCAGAAACGACAATCGCAACATGATGACATTGGCTGCATCGTATAGTGCCGATAGTGAAGCGGACGGCATGTCCGAATAAGGGATTAGAGGATAATGCTCAGGATACCCAGGAAGACCTTCGAATCCGCTGTTTGGAGTTCCCGTCCACTGTTCAGAATTTGCTTCGATGAAGTTCGTTGAGAGTATGCATTTTGTCCACCAAGAGTGTAGTTGCGATATTAAGTCTCGAACAAGCTCATTCAGCTTGGCCTTGAGACTGCTGGGCCTCTCGCCGGTCGAGTGTATCATCTCGCTCGCCACGCTCAAGCACGGTAACAAAGAGAGTAGAATGTCCACAAACTCGTCAAATGCAGTCTTTGAGTGAATTTCGAATGGAATCGTTAGCCATTCCTGCGAGGAGAAAACATGTTGCTGGTTTTTGAACAGTGCAGCAGTGAACTTAAGTCCGATGTGTTGTCAGCAAGATCAGTCACAGATACACTCAAAGTACATCTCAGATACTCACGGCTAAAAGTCTTAAATGCCTAAATAGTTGGTGTAGAAACCCATCTCGACAGCTTGCGGGTCCGCCTGATTGGAGCATCTGTGTTGCACCTTGCACATGCTGGAACCATGCTTCTCCAGAGGTTCCGGCAGTAGTCTCAAAGTGAGCAAGCATCACAACAGAGCAAATGATATCCCCGGTAAAAACCCCAGCTTGCTGTTCTAGCAGACATCGCAGCCCGTGAAGAGCCTTGAGGTACCACTTGTTGGCTTCGGTGCGTATTGAAACATCATGCACCAATGAGCCATAGAAAAACATTGACCCAGCTCTGATGGAGCTCTTGACGAGCGTTGGAGATGGTAGGGTGATGAATACGGCTAGCTTGTCAAGCCAGGTCGACGACGGGTTATCAGCTGTAGATTCCTTGAAGCCAAACGACTCGATGAAATGGGAAACAAAGAGCTGGTCGAAGAGATCTGCCCGGGAGGGCTGTTGATAGGACGGTAGTCGAGGAGCCCAGTATTGATCATAGCTCCACTCCTGAACCGCGCCAGCAACGACTGGGCCCTTCAAATTTATTGATATTTGTTTCGCTATTGGCTTAGTTGATGTCGACTCTGGTAAGGCATGCACGAAAAAGGCCCCTGTTCGGGCCCCAGGGCAGTGCAGCCCCATCTTCAAGCACTGAGAACATGCTGGTAATGATTCATCACACTGTAGGGGAATGTTAGACGGCAAGTTCAGTAATGATTTCGGTTTCAGCCAAACCTTGATCTTGCGCCTGCGGCACGGTACACAGCCTCTACTTCTGCCTGGGACGTTGACCATGACTTCAGCCGGTACACCATAGCATATAACCCATTAATTAACTCATTTTGATAAGCGGACGCTTTTATGCCAAGCTCGAGTTATGTCGATATGGTGTGACAGGGAAAGTTGGATGCCTGTGTCGATACGTCGAGAGTGCAGGAGGTAAGTGTTCTCGGTGCTCTGGTTGGTCGGCGGGAGGCAGAGACCGTCACGTAATCCACATTAATCGGGCATCTGCCAAGACCACGCCCAAGTATACACTCAGGCTGGGTTCTATCTATATCGAAAGAGCCTGTAGTTAAGTTGGTAGTAAATTTAATACAATTCACTTGAGAAGTGCCACAAGCTTATACCATGAGGCCGTTCGTCATCAATTTCAATTAATTTCCCTAATCTATTTGGGCCACTATATTCTCCAGCTCACATTTCCATAATCTTCATGGAACCACATCACTGAATTTGGCGTTTATTATCACATAAAGCCCTGTGACTTATGAAATTTCAGTCTCCCGGGGTTCCACTGCCTCCACATTGGCGGCAGTGGGCTTGCCGTGGGCACCTCCTTCCAGCTCTAGCTCCTTAGCACTTGGCACCTTCACATTAACCTCGGTATTGCGATGGAGATCCATGCTGTCCTTCTTGTAAATGTTCACGTAGATGGGGAAAATCATGGCAAGTATGTAACCCATCATAGGAATAGCCATGGCGGTATGGGCATTGACTCGAGTCTGAAAAAGAACATCGAGGTTAGTTACGAGTGATCAAGCAATGAACGAGTATGAGAATGGAGAATATCGACGTACCACGACAGCCCCCGTCATCGGAGGGAAGACCATGCCGCCCGAGATGGCTGCAACGAGCATGGAGCCACCAAGCTTAGTGTGGCGGCCAAGGCCTCGAAGAGCCAGGGTGAAGATGGTAGCGAAGCAGCACTATACTCACAGTCAGCTGCGAGAACCAAAGCGTTCACTCTCGTGGGATTAAACTGACCGATTCAAAGCAAAGGACGAGGATAAGTATCGCGATAGAAGTGTGGCCATGGGTCGTTATGGCAGCAACGGTGAAAACAACACAAAGTGACAAAAACACAGTCAACATATAGCGAGGCTTGAATGCGGGTAACATCATCAAGCCAGAGCACACGAAACGCATGAATGCGTAAAGTCCTTGTGCCACAGCAAGCAAGTCGGCTATAGTAGTATGTTAGAAATTGTGTGATCACTTGAGATTTTCCAAAACTCGAAACTTACAACTTTCGGCAGAGGTCTTGCCAGCCTCTTTGCAGAAATTGATAAAGTACCCAGCAACAGCGACTTGTGCTCCAACATAGCAGAACTGACTCCAAACACCGAGGAACAGGTTGTACTGTTTTTTGAAGGGACCGGTGTTTTCATTCCCGTCCACGATCTGGCTTTCCAAGGCTTCTTGGTCGGCGTCGGTAATTTCAGGGAACGGAGCGAGCCAAAACAGAATGACTAGCAGAGCGACGAAGCAGGCAACTCCCAGATAGGTCCACTGGACATTCTTCAATCCCGCGTCAGTGTCAACAGTGTTGGCAAAGAAGACACGAGACGCCAGGAGGGGAGCAACAAAGGTTCCAACACCCTGTACGGCTTGTCCAAGATTCAGTCGGATTTCACTATACTTGGGCGGACCGCAAATGGCGAGGAAGCTAGAGAATAAAGTTATTAGTAAGGAACACCTCGAACTATTGGGATGAGTCGGTTAAAGACTTACGGATCAGCTGCAGTCTCCAGGGTTGACAAGCCAGCCCCGACGACCTGTCGAATCATGTTAGACAAGAGGCCTCTGTTGAGGATGACATTCTCTGAGCAAACTTACAAACATACTACCGCAGAATCCACCAAATGATCTCTTCACACCACTTGGCCAGAACAAAAGGCATCCGACGGCAAGCACGGCAAGGCCTAAAGAGCATCCCAATGGTCAGGATGTCCCCGGTAGCAAAGAAGCACAAAGAGCCCTAAGACCTACCAGCCATGAATGTAACTCGGAATCCATATTTGCGAACAATCCAACCAGAGATTGTCAGCGGGCAGATGAAATAGGCGGCAAAGTACGAAGCCTGCAGGCCACTAGACTCGGTGGCGCTGATATTCAAGGTCGTTTGGAAGTGCGAGTTCAAGGTATCCAGCAACCCATATGCAAAGCCCCACAGAAAGAAAAGAATCGTGACTAGGATCAAACGTTGCAATGTCAGCTCGCAGGGTTTCGGTCTTAAAGTCCATCAGTGCATGACATACCCAGTGCGTTCGGTAGCAAGGACTGTCGCAGCGTCAAGTGGACGGCCGAGGTAATTGCACTGTCCTCGACAGTGATCTTCCTTTTATACAACCCCATGCTGAATTGGCCGTCTATATAGACGGGATTTTGGTCTCGGTGAACTAGCTGCCTTCCAGGCCTCGAAGCCGATGCTATGAGGAATCGAAGCTAGAGACCAACCCCATGATCTTATACACGTTCCCCAGACTCCCCACACTCCGTATAGAGGCAGCACAAGCTGTTCGGTGCCGGGGTAATGTATAGCGAAGAATGATCAGCACCTAGCCAGCCAGGCGTGCTATGCAACATCGGGTCTTCACGTTCTCATGTCGGCGCGGCCTCCCCAGTCGGCTAACGGTGGGCCGACAGTGGGAAACACGCCAATCAGGATCATAGATCAGGATGCCATGTTCGGGAAGCGGACATTGGGCGCAATTCTTCGGAAAGCATCATATATTGAATTGGTATGACTGGTTAGCTTGAGTTCTTGTCTGGCTGGGTTTGTGGAGAAAGCCGGGGAAGGGAAGTGGAGGCGGGGCCAAGTTGGTAGATTCCTACCAAATAGAGGCCCGGTCTTCCTCGTAGCCCTCCGCCACTTCAGCCATGGACTCAGTCAAGATGGCTTTTGCAAGAGAGCTCTATCTTTCAACTCGCATCTCGCTCGTGGCCGTTTTATCCTTTCCCTGTTGTATTTGGATGAGGAAGGATTGTAGAGCCCCGAACCCGATGCGGGCAAAGATCAGACCGTGGCCAGCGTTAAGATGCAAATCCAAACCAATCACGCCAAAGCCTCCCCCTAATCCTCTATAATGTGTCGACCAGCCGTAGCACCAATAGGTCACAGTCCTTATATCCTCGGATTCTCATACACCGACGGCCCGACGCGTAACATCTCGGAAAGCATGTTGGATGTTCGAGGCCGACGCCCGCATATGGAGTCCAAGAGTCGGGGGCGTTTTTCCAAGAGTGACAATGGATGGGACTATTCACATGAGTCCTACGGGGCTTGCCAAGAAACTCATATATTTTGATTCTTCCTTCTAGAACCAGTTAAGTCCATAGGCTCACGTAGCTAATCTTACAGAGTTCAGCAGGCCGTTACCTCGGAGCCGTATACTCGTATCCTCGTATAGGCTATTCTCCTTTGTTTACTCGGGAAATCCGAAGTCATTCAACACTCTTCCTCGGTCTGTGTCACCGTCCAGAACCCATCATACTAAGAAAAATAAGGGCATGGAATAGACTTCGATAGTTCTGCACTATGTACCCGATTCCCCTCGATCAGACATTCTTCCGGGTCTTGTGCTCATGTTTTTAGAAGTTTAAAGAAAAGGTGGAGACAATTCCTCGATAAATTAAATGCTCTAGAATGATACATGGTATGCTAGAAACTTCCAGTTTTTCACAGAGGAATCAAGAGGTCTACATTGGGACAGATTTAGTGCCATGCTGGCCGCCGGGCATAGATGATGCTTATTTTACCACTCTATATTCGAGACCAGTATGAGAGATATAGCGAGAAATAAATTGGAAAGGAATAACCATTGACTGTCATCGAGAGTGACCTGGTAAGCTTCTCGCTAGATGTAGGGGGAAACTCCCAGAATGTGACGGCGGCCGTGAGGCCTCGAAATATATATTATGACACGAGGTCACCATTCTCGTAATAACAGCCGTGCAAAACTGACTACCTAAATGTGTAGTACTGATATACCATAGGACATTGATACAGGAGTACCCCCTTTCCTTAAAAGCATATTTCAAGGCGGTTGACCATATCGCTGATTATCAGCGGGGGCGAAGAGTTGGGCCGTACGTGAACCACAGCAACCTGCAGCACAATGGTCTACGATCGATGTACAAAGAGGGATGCAGATATTTTCACGAAAGCAGGGTTTGACTCAAGACTCGAATACTTTGTACCTGTCTTGAATGCTTTGCTGTTTCCAGATAGGTCTTGTTGAGGGCAATGCCGCGTATTCGTTTGATTCTGCGCCGGTTTGTGGTAGACAGGTAAAATTAGGATGATAATCGATAATTACAGTATCCAATAGCCCTTATTTGCTCAAATGGGCCCCGATCTAGCCATTCGGCAGAGGACACTCATACTCATGCCCGAGGGAGGTATAGTCGGTGTGTACAGTACCTACTCTTGGGATGAGGTTTTGCACAAGCCGGTCCACTTCACGCCCCACCATTGCAGAAAAAGGAATATGAATGGTCCTACGGTCAAGGTCCAGGTGCATCTCCTCACCCATGGGTTTAACAAAGGAACCCCTGAAGAAAGAAATACGGTTCTATTCTCCCAAGGAGCCAAGGAGGTACCTGACTGGGATAGGGCTATGAACGCGTGGCTGGTACCCCGCGTCAAGAGGCTGGACTGGTCCATCAGCAACCTCGAAGGGGCTGAAACGCCGCTATCCGCCCAAGTTTCAAGCGTGTTGATTGCTACATAGAGCCTTAGACTTGACCAAGGAAAAGGATGGCACGCTGTACCGATGTTGTTCAAAGAAGATCGTCGTCTAACTATTATTGATTAGGCGTTCGTACGGAGTTATATTCTTCCCACAAGACAACGGGAGTCATCCGAATGCCCTGGATGGAGTTTAGTCTTCTTGGCAGTGGCCCCGTTTCTTTCCAAATGGCTTCTAAGGAGGATCCATGGATACGAGGCCTAATGTGATTTTGTTGCGGCTTCTGTTCCCGACGTGATTGACTATCATTAAGCCTTTTTGGACCACCAGGGTTAGCCGAGGGCGCATACGCCAAAGAAACCTCCCTCGATCATGCGGCACAATGAGCCTCCAGTTCTCCGTAACTGCGCCCGACTTAAACCAGCTTGAACAAAGTGGTGACTCTCTCTTTCTGACTGGCACGGGTAACGGCTAGTCCGCTTTTTAAGACATCCGATGCATGGTCCGAGATATCCGCTGGCCAATCTTCAGCCTTGCTGGGTCGGGTTTGGTCAGATTGAGTTTTCTCAGGCCACTGGATGTGCCAGGTTTTCCATGAGATATCCGCTCTCCAAGATTGTTAGGACTGGGAATTGCCCATTGAATGGTCGTTCGTCCGTACCCGCTGGGAGTTGGTTGGGTCTTCCTGGAGTACCCGAAGACGATTGGTTCTGGGCAATCTCCTTCGCTCGCGGTCGAATGTGGTCCACAATAATCGGTGAATCTGCGAGCCAGCACGTCGAGGCCCTGGGCTCAGGCCGGAAAAATCCCCACGGGCTGACAGCGATGGAGTTATGCCAGAAAGCGACCATCCAGGTCTCCTGGCAGATACCGAACGCGCGTGGTGATTCTAGGCTTTGAGATAAGTGAGTATCATTTGTTGGCTGATTGCAGGAATCCGATTCTAGACTTAACAGCCACGAGAAGCGGCTGCACGTCGACACCAGTCGAGTTTCCAGGCTTGGGGTGGCGAAGCCCCGACCCACCGTGCGTAGTCAGAGGTGAGTCTAGTCGCTAGTTTGGTCGCCCTAGTGGCCGTAGCGCACACGGAGGAGTCCCAGTCGATCATATCCAGTCACAAGGGTCCGTTTTCGTCCCTTTTCAGGGCCATGGGGAAACGTTCCTTTGGACAGGGTCTTTGTAAAAGAAAACAGAGGATCGATGGACGAAGGAAGAGAGAAAAAACAATACGATAATAGTTTATTGTCTCGGTCCGTAAAGAAAGAAGCGGCCAAGTCCCGTGATATCAGTGATTACCACGTCATTTCAGTACAAGACACCGGTCGCAGCGCAGCAATGCCCCCTCCCCCGAGGTATTACCGTCACACTAAGTCTCAAACTTGTTCTCCCCCCCCCCCCAGGCCGCCCCCATCCCTCAATCCTCAATCTCACCCTCGCCCTCCTGCTCTCCATCTTCACTCACCCCATCACCACCCACCATCTACCATCACCACCCACTGAACCACCCCGATCGTCGACTTTTAACGGCCCTTCTCGACGACCTTTCCGACTTTCGCCTCCTTCCTTTTTCCCGCCTCCCATTCTTTCTGGGGGCCAAACCGTGAGACAGATTGAACCGAATCAAAGAGGTGGCCCGACAGGGCTACCGTTAACAAGGGGAAATGTCTGGACGCATTTCATCCGATCATTCTCGCTCGGCCTCACGATCATCCCAAACCCCTCGTTTATCCCAGGGACAGGCTTTTGAGCCGATGCCTCGCCAGTCCTTCGGTCGCAACTCACGCGTCCCCAATCCCAATGTCTTCTCCGACGAATACTCACTAGAACCGATCAATACCGACGACCAAATCGAACGTGCTCCCTCCCCCGCCTCTATTTCTTCCTCTACCACCCTTCGCTCTCTTCATCACCCACAAAAGACCGTCGGCCAGGCCACAACTGAGAATGAGAATCCATTCGGCGATGACGCTCGAGTCTCCTTTGAGGAAGCCCGTCGATCGAGTCTCCCTCAGAAGGGAATGGGCGGTTTCTCCACGAATCGTGGCTCTATCGCCTCAGTAAACAATAGCCCCTTCGCCATCCAGCGAAACCAGAGCGTTTCATCTCGTTTCTCGATACCGCGCGCCATGAGTCCTTACACCGGAGCGACCGGACCAAGTCATCCCTACGCCATGTATCCTCAAGTTGGAGTAAGTCGCTCGCCAAGTATTGCCAGCACCTCGACTATTCGCCAGCATGATCGCCCGTTGGGGGAATCTAGTGGACCTCAACATCCTTACGCCATGTACTCGCAAAACGTTGTCGAGGAAGGGATAGACGACGATGTGATCCCAATTGGATTCCCTGGTCATAACCCATCTTATCAGCCGCCTCCAGGCCGTCGAGATAATGATGTGGGTGATATCATTGGAGCAGATGGCCACGCGGAGCCATTACCACCCTATTCACGCTACCCAACAGGGGTGGTCCCGAAACCCCCAGGTGTCGAGATGATGGCCGATATGAACGCCCCTTCAGAGACACAACAACTCCATTCAATTTCAAGAGACCAACACCAACCAATCTCGGAAACGTCGACACGGGCTTTGGTACCCTTGTCTTCTGGAGGTACTACGGCTGTGGATTATGATGACGACGACATTAGGGAACGCAGGGCTCCCCTTACAGGCATCATGGCGTTTGAGGAGAAGCTCAAACAGAAAGGTAAAAAGACTGCCTGCTGCGGTCTGCCCGTTTGGACTATTGTTCTTGTCGCTACCGTGATGTTGATCGGCGGATCCATTGGAGGCGCTATTGGGGGTGTGATCGGCGGTAAGAGGGCAGCCGAGCATGATCGACAAGCGGCAGCTCAGTCGAGCGGCCCACAGATTGTGACTGTGACCGCGACGCCGCAAATGGATTACTCGACAATGACCAGTACTCCGACGAATCTCAAGTCGGTGCCTACGGGCCATTATCTTGTCCCGGCCCAGTTGCAAAATTCTTCGCGGATGTGTGTCGAGGACAGTCAATTCAGACCTGCTTGGGGCTGCATGGACAATCCCACCGACTTCGACGTCGTTGTTGGCGGGGATAATGGCCATCACTCAATCATCTTCAATAGCGCTGGCCCTACTTCCACGTTCACATACGGTGCTCAACCCCCAATTCTGCCCACCCCTACTCAATCTCTGGGTTTCGCGATCGACACCAGTGATACAGGCTTGGGCCCCGCACTCTTTTTCTTTGCCAAGTTCGACAAGCTGGTGATCGTTCCCGAATCACAATTCGAGTCGTCAAGCTCTGTTTCATCACGGTCATTCATTGGAGATGACTCCTTCCTGGCGAAGCTTCATCGCATGCAAACAGCCCAACCCGGCGACAAGCCTTGGTTCTGCTATTGGAACCAGACAATGATGGAATTTTTCATCTACGTTAATCAGACGATAGCGGCGGACTCTGGTACCACCGCGTCAACCGCAACCGATATGGCAGCCAGTACGGCCAGTGCCCAATCTGCTAAACGCGGTGATACACTTCTTGACTATCCACGAAAAATCAAGGTTGAAGAACGACGTGACTTTTCCGGAGCTCAAGCACCTTACTGCCAGCAGATGCAAGTCGGATCTGATGGTCATCTCGTTGGACCTATTACAAGCCAGGTCATCAACATCAAGGAGCAGGAGCCCACGCCAACAACCACCTACATCAACACGAGTGGGGGCTCCCAGCAGACGTACACAGCAAAAGCACAGTATGCAACACCGTGTTATTGCATTTCTACGACTGATTAGCGTTACTCTTTTCTCCTTGACGTTCGAGCGAGTTTGTCCTTTTTCATCATGGTTTTTCGGTCTGAAAACCTCCGGCGTTGGCGTTGAATCGCCGTGGGAACTATCTACTAGCATCGGCTTATGTGCACATGATTGTCATCTTCTATCACTTTTGTGTCAATTTACTACCCCTCTACTTGATCGACCCGTCTCTCCGAGCTTGACGGCTTCGCAAACGATACTTTGAACTCTTTTTTGATCCCACCTTTCTTCGACACTATGTCTTTGACATTTACATTACGTTCTTGGGTTCGGTATATCCGGCTTGTGACATGATACGATCGTCCACCTTCATGCGTACCTTCTCTTCTCTTCTTGGGTTATATGTGGTGTTTCTTACCCTTTTGATCGTTGCGTGAGATTGGATTATTTTTGGCGTCCATCGGATATGATGCAGTGGGGGGTATTTTGTCCTCTAATCCTGCGAGTACCGCCTTTTTTTTTCTTTTTCTCCCCTGTTTCCTTTGGGACCAATGGGACTGAATATTTTCGTCCTGCTGGAACATCTCATGATGCGGTGGCGTTGTCACCACCATGTGTTCAAGTTATATCACAAAAATATAATGAATTTCTGGGGACCTCTCTCGGATCTGAAGAAAAATAGTCACGCCATAAATATCCTCGCCTGCTGCCTTGAGGCATGCACTGAAATAGATCCATATTGGGTCAGAACCTAGCATGATTAGCAACCTTCATATCTCTTGATTTGGGTACCTTAGAAATCGACAAACGAGAATGGATATCCTGATTGACAACGAGTCCCTCAACTGTTTCCCCTTTGAATTTCCATGTATTGTAGTCTCCTGTTGGATGATCGATCTTGAAAAGAGATGGGTGACTGAGTTATATTAGCTACAAGGTGTATTAATGGGCTAATTAATTTTATGTAAATGTATACTCGACTGCAATCCAGTGCAGTGGGTACTTGGAATTATTGCATGTTCTGTATTCCGATGCCTCTTAGGTTGGTATAAACAAACCTGGGGCTGTCTCGGTCCACTGGCCCCCGCCTCACGAGGAACAATGACTAAGCGCATATCAGGTGACCTTGTCTGGAATTCGTCGAGCAGAACACGCGACAAGAGATTCCCTTGTAAGGCCAGGTGAAACGGCAAATTTGTGCTTGTGAAGCTTGCCAGGTTCTCGTACCGTGGTTGCTTAGAGTGCGCGCTAGACGAGGATAGCTTCACCTCAATCCCCTTGCTGCTTCTCTCCTCACCCACTCCTGCCTGACAGCCCAAAGCTCACGTTCGTCCGGAGACACCTGAGGCACCCACACTTCTGACACCTCGCACCTTGCACACCAATCCTCCAACCTCTCCTCATTGCCCATCCCAATCCTCTTCCACAACCCCACCCCTATCCTTTCACTCTATCTCACCCGAGCTCCGAATATCGCATATTCACCCTCATCTTTCTCTCAGCTACATCGGTCTCGTCTACGTCCCCATCCTTAAAAATCTGTCTGTGGACCCTCCAGATCAAATGATCGCGTCTCCTAGATGACCTTCCCTCCCCCTCACCCTTCCGCCCAATCGTCGATTGCTTCTGGCACCGGTAAATCCTCTTCGTCCAGGACCGAGATTGGTGCCTGGGGTCGGTCCTCATCACAGTCTGGAATTCGTCGTGGGTTGACTCCTCTCGCAACCAACCTTTCTTCCTTCGCCGCTCCCTCCACATCTGCCCGGGGCTTGGACGCAGGCCCTGGGGTTTCAACGCCTTCTTCATTTTCGGCTGTTCTGAGCTCCGCCAGGGGTCTTTCCGGCGGTAGCCCGAAGCCCACACCCTCTCCGTTCACTTCACTGCAGTCGGCTTCACAGCAGCAGGCCCAATCACTTTCCTCACCCAAGTTCCGCGCACACACCCCTTCCTCGGTGTCTCATTTCCCCTCCGCAACAGGTTCTATCCCAGGCACTGGGGGAACCGGGGGTGGTGGTGGACCCGGATCAACTCGAGGTGTTGCATTTTCACCACTCTCGTCCGGCACAACCGTGAATTCACCTACGGGCTTCGCTTCTGATAAACCAGGCTCAGCAGCTGCCCACTCGAGCCAGTCATCTCTCACGAAGATTTCGATTGCGCAAGTTTTCCTCCTGTTGGACTCGATCACAGAGAAGGAAGGTAAAGAAAAGTGGGAAACAAAAGCTGCTCAAATCCACAAGGTATGTTCAGCTGGAGCCCGAGTCATGATTTCCATTGCACGAATGCTAACGACTTAATTTAAAAGCTTGTATCATCCAACGGCATGGAGGTCTTTTCAAAGTATTTCCGCCGCCTGCTGACAGGCAATGCCCCACAAATCTTCCCTGGCGTGAACAAGTCCGTCGAGAATGCGGGCAACTACCCCCTCCTAGTGCAGGAAATGCAGAAAGTCGCCTCCGACATTGATCAGGCGCAGAAGATTGCTGAGACGGTAGACAACTCCGAGGGAGACATCTTCCGCGATTTCGATCTCTCCACCTTCTTGGATCACTTCCGTCTTGATCCTCTTCTGAAGGTCTCTCTTGCGTTGGCGTTCAAGCTGACGAGCAAGTCTGACCTTCGAGCTAAGGGTAAGCCCATTTCCTTTATGTTGCATCACCTCGAGGGAGTGACACATCGCTAACATTTTTTTATCCTACCAGCCGATGCCATCCTTTCCAACTCTATCACCCCCTTCCTCTCTAGCTTGGCGAATCCCTCCGAAGCGACCAAAGATTTCCCGAACTCCTTCCTTGGAATGACAATTGAACGATTCATCCTATACCCCCCGCGCAATTTCACCAACGAGGTCAAGGCAAAGTTGGTCTATGCAATCAATCTACGATTCCAAAAGCTCGCCCTCGAGACACCAGGCGAGGTTAGCTCGGCCCTGCAAATGTTCCTGTTTGTCGATCCCGAACACACTCTCGTGCGGCAGCTTCACGCCAAGGGACCTCGTGCCACGGCGAACGTCGAGGCCGCCACGGAGGCTATCAACGCTGCCGGACCGGACGGTTGGAGCGAGGAAAATCTGGCCACTGCGATTCTATTCACGATCTCGTCACAGTACTCGCAGCAATTCTCGCTGGAGACTCTTTTGAGCGCATACGCGGGGAAGCAGATCAACTGGGCATTGGTTCTCCAGAACTTTGACCGAGACGGTGTACGAGTGGATCCCAAGCAGTTCTCGCGGCTGTTCGATGTGTTTTCCAGCATTGCTGCCAGTGACTCTTCCCTAGATCTCCAAAAGCTCTGGGGTGGAGACTGGGAGCATCGTGATTCACAGATGTCACTTTTGACAGCGTTCATCGCCTCACGTCCCGATTTATCGCTCATTCCTAATCTGCGTCCGGCGTTCCCCGCAGATTTCTTCGAGGAGGCCCCCGAAAATCTTAAGCTGCAGGGTGAACGGGCTGTCCAGTCCCCCCTTCGTTCCATGGATGCGATGAAAGCGATCTTCGATGTTGCACTGTTCTCACAGTCTTCATGGGCTGCAGCAGAGAGCCAGCTTCTCATCAAGACCATTGTTCAATTCGATCTTCCGGTCTTCCTTATTTCGGCTCTCTCTATCAAACAACCATGGACTGACGTCCAAACCAACTTTGTGCTTCGTACCTTTGTCTTGTTCCTTTCTAAGCAAGAAGAAGGGTACCAGCTGGCGCTTCATGGCGCTTGGCTTCAGGACCGCGATTGGGTGACCGGGAAGCTCTTCGATGCTTTCAACCAGGATCCAACGTCTACTGCAATGATTTATGAGACAGCTGCAGAGCATGGATGGCTTGACTGTCTTCTCGAGTTTACCACTGGCTTGGCTTTGGATCTCGCCTGTTACTGTCACCGAAAGACCAACATGGACCTCGAGGAATGGGTTCGCAAGGCTTCTCAGAAGGGCCACACGAACATGGGTGACCTTCTCTCCAAGTTCCTCCGTATCAAGGCCGAGGATGAGCTCCATGTCCAGCGAAAGGAACAGCCAGTCCCGCGGATGGTTAGCCTTGCCGTGAAGACGGTGTACACTCTTTTGTCTGTCTTGGAGGAGTACGTCGGCGATCGTGAAAACCTCACTCCCGTTCAACGTATCTGCATTCAGACTTACCCTCGACTGATCAATTACGGTGAAGGGTTTGACGACATCATTGATGCTAATGGCGAGAACGGCAACTCGCTCCCTGACGCAATCGACAAGCAGATGCAGGATCTGTTTGGCAAGATGTATCACGAGGAGCTTTCTCTGCGTGAAATGCTGGAGTTGATGCGGCAGTACAAGTCGTCTCGGGACCCCACCGAACAAGATTTGTTTGCCTGCATGGTGCACGGCTTGATTGACGAGTACCACTGCTACCATGAGTACCCCCTTGAAGCTCTGACCAAGACTGCCGTCATGTTCGGTGGTATTATCAACTTCAGGCTGGTGGATGGAATTACGCTCAAGGTTGGCCTCGGCATGATTCTCGAGGCCGTTCGAGAACATGAGGTGCATGACCCAATGTATAAGTTTGGTGTGGAGGCCATTGAGCAGCTTATCAACCGTCTCACTGAGTGGGCTGGCTTCTGTCATCTGCTCCTCCAGATCCCCACTCTGCAAGGCACTCCGATCTTCCAGAAAGCAGAGGAAGTGCTTCGTGATCAAGGGCCCCAGCTCGGTGAGGGTGAGCGATTCGATGATTTCGGTCCCACCACCTTGCCCAATGGCACCAACGATGATGCCTCCGCGACCGACGGCGGATCTAGGAAATTCCGCGCTATTCAGGTCGATCCACCACTCCGTTCTGACATCTATCATGACCCTGATGAGGACATTCAAGACAAGATTCTCTTTGTTTTGAACAACGTTTCAGAGCAGAACATTGATGAGAAGCTTCGGGATCTGCGTGAAGTGTTGCGCGACCAGCATCACCAATGGTTCGCTGCGTACCTGGTGGAGGAGCGTGCCAAGTTGCAACCCAACTTCCAACAGCTCTACCTCGATCTTCTGGACCGCATTGGCGACAAGATTCTCTGGGCCGAGGTCCTCAGAGAGACCTATGTCAGCCTCTCAAAGCTTCTTAACTCCGAAGCTACCCTCACCTCTTCCACGGATCGTGGCCACCTCAAGAATCTTGGCGCCTGGCTTGGCTCGTTGACAATCGCGAAGGACAAGCCCATCAAGCACAAGAATGTCTACTTCAAGGGACTGCTCTTGGAGGGCTATGATACCCAGCGGTTGATGGTCACCATCCCCTTCACCTGCAAGGTGCTTGTCCAGGCCACCAAGTCTCGGGTCTTTAGGCCTCCCAACCCTTGGTTGATGGATATTCTGGGTCTCTTGCTCGAACTGTACCATTTCGCCGAGCTCAAGCTGAATCTCAAGTTCGAGATTGAGGTATTGTGCAAGGATCTTGACCTTGATCACAAGACTATCGCACCAGCCATCATCATTCGTGACCGTACCGCTCATGTCGCTGAAGAAGGCCTGCCGCCAGCGGCTGCCAATATCCCAGAAGGATTGGAACCTTTCAATGATCTCGCTATCGGTCCTCTTGCCCCAGGCATCCAGAATGAGCGTTTGTCGCCAGCTGCGATCATGTCGACACTACCTAGCCTCGATAAGATTCTTGTGCTGCCTCCCTCGGCGAGCAGCATGGTGGATCCCAGCGTTCTTCGACAGATCGTGCACACCGCAGTGGAGCGTGCCATTGCGGAGATCATCACTCCGGTTGTCGAACGCTCTGTCACTATTGCCTCTATCTCCACCGTCCAGCTTGTCTCCAAGGACTTTGCTACGGAGCCTGATGAGGAGAAGGTACGGCAGTCTGCTGGTATCATGGTTAGGCAACTGGCTGGAAGCCTTGCCCTGGTTACTTGCAAGGAGCCGCTCAAGGTCAGCATGACCAACTACATTCGGATGATTCAACAAGAGTACTCTGATCAGCCCATGCCCGAAGGCTTGATTCTCATGTGCGTGAACGACAACTTGGATGCTGCCTGCGGTATCGTGGAGAAGGCCGCAGAGGAGAAGTCACTGCCTGAGATTGAGAAGGTTATCGAGCCACAGCTGGAGGCACGCCGGCGCCACTTGGCTACGCGGCCGAACGAGCCATTCGTGGACCCTTCGATGAACCGCTGGGGCCTCTTCATCCCCGAGCCTTATCGCCAAATGCCCGGGGGGTTGAATAAGGAGCAGTTGGCAATCTACGAAGAGTTTGCACGCCAATCCAGAGGTCCTGTGACTGCTCATCCCCAGAACGTTTCTACGGATTCCGGTCGTCAGATCCCCGACGTCCTCCAAGAGGCTTTTCCTCCTCCAATCCCCAACCTCTCGACTCCCGCTGAGCAGCCGGCCGTTCCTCATCGAACCCCGCAAGCGCAGAATGCGGCCGCTCAGATGGGTGTCCCCACAAACGGCTTCCTTGAGGCTCAAAGTCCACGGGAGCGTGTGGATTCTCTGATCTCTGAGCTCCAGCTCTCTGCCCGAAATGCCCCTGAGGAGCACGTCAAGGATCTTGGTCGAGAAAGCACTGTTCTCCAGGAATACAACCAGGCATTGCGCGCCATTCTGGCTTCACCCAATGGGGAGGAGCTGGCCCGTTTGACCTCCCTGAAGATCTGCACCACCCTATACTCTCAGTCCTCTGGGTCCCTGGAAATCGAGGTTCTTGTCCACCTTCTCGCCAAGCTCTGCGACATGTCTTCCCTCATCGCACGCTACACCTGGGCCCTCCTGTCAGAGGTCGATGATGAGCACATGTTCAACGTGCCTGTCACCGTTGCTCTTATTGATGCCGGCTTGCTGGACATCCGCCGGGTCGACATGGTCCTGACTCGTCTTATTTCCCAAAAGAATGTCAGCGCCTTGGAACTTCTCTTGAACCTGATGAACCGTGTCCTGTTCAACGACGAGCCGTCAGCTCTGCGGTCTGACTTCTCCGGAAGTCTGGAAGTCATGAGTCAGTGGCTTGCTGAGGATGGAACCGTTGCTCCTGCCCTGGAGATCGTCCGCAAGCTGCGCGATGTCGGCATCCCTGAGGTTGTCAACCCACTTCTTACCGATCAGGCTCGGTCAAAGCGTGACCAGATGGAGTACATCTTCAGCGAGTGGATTGGCGTCTACAAGGCCTCCGGCGCCAGTGAGCGCACCTACCTGTCTTTCCTCCAGGACATGCACAACCGCCAGGTGATGAACTCCCAAGAAGACTCCGCGCTGTTCTTCCGCCTCAGCATCGACATTTCGGTGGCTATGTTCGAGCATGAGTCCCAGAACCCGAACGGCAGCCTCGACGAAGCATTCCTGTACATTGACGCTCTCGCGAAGCTCGTTGTTCTCTTGGTTAAGTTCCAAGGGGAGAGCACTGGTTCTGTCAAGGCCGACAAGCCGTCTTACTTCCATTCAATCCTGTCCGCTCTGGTCTTGGTCCTCAACAATCACCAGGTCATGCGGGGAGAGGCGTTCAACCAGCGTGTCTTCTTCCGCCTGTTCTCCAGCATTCTGTGCGAGTATTCGGTCGCGGGCCTCCAACACCACGAGCAACACCAGGGCATGATCTTTGCCATGGCCAACAAGTTCCTGTCACTCCAGCCTCGCTATGTGCCAGGCTTCGTGTACGGATGGCTGTCTCTTGTCTCCCACCGTGTTTTCATGTCCGACATGCTCAACATGCCAGAGCGCATCGGCTGGGCCCCCTACTGCGAGATCATGCAAGCACTGCTTTCCTACATTGGCGAGCAGCTCAAGGCTGCTGAAATCCACTATGTCGCCAAGGACTTGTACAAGGGTGTGCTTCGAATCCTGCTGATCCTCCACCACGACTTCCCCGAATTCGTTGCTGAAAACCACTTCCAATTCTGCAATGTGATTCCTGCACACTGTGCTCAGCTTCGCAACCTGGTTCTCAGTGCCTACCCATCGTCCTTCCAGAAACTCCCGGATCCTTTCCGTGAAGGACTCAAGGTTGAGCGGCTTGAGGAGATGCGGGAAATCCCCAAGATCGCTGGTGATATTGCTGCGCCTTTGCAGCAAGCAAATATCAAGCAGGTCATTGATACCGCCCTGCAAAACGATCAAGCTTCCGATGCTGTGGTGCAGCAGATTTGTGACGCGATCATCACCCCGGAGCCCAAAGAGACTTCCCTCTTCTACGTGCCCATCAACGTGGACGTCGTCCTTGTGAATGCCATGGTCCTTTACATTGGCCAGCAAGGTGTGGAGGAACACGCCTCCAAGGCCAACACCCGCAGTGCTTTCGAGACCTCGGCTCACGCCACCCTTCTGGAGAAGCTTGCCCAGGCAATGCAACCCGAGGCGCGTTACTACCTGCTGAGCGCCATGGCCAACCAGCTGCGCTACCCCAACAGCCACACCTACTTCTTCAGCTTCACCATCCTCCGCCTGTTCGGTGTCGATCTCTCCGAGTCTGATGACTCCGATATCCGCCAGCAGATCATTCGTGTGCTTTTGGAGCGACTGATTGTCCACCGTCCACACCCTTGGGGACTGATCATTACCCTGCAAGAGCTTCTCCAGAACCGGAGCTACTCTTTCTTCCGCCTTCCCTTCATCCAGGCGGCCCCCGAGGTAATTCGGAACATACTCACAAGCCTCTCCAACGCATACTAATTCTCTTTCGCAAAGATCGGTCGACTGTTCGATGCTCTCGTCCAACACATCCAACAGCAAAGCCCTCGGCCCGTCGCCTAAGCTTTGACTCCTCCCTCCCCCTCCTCTCCTCGCATATTATCTAGTCGGCATTTCTACAAAGCTGCCGGACTACGCTTCGCTTCTCATTGTATTCTTCAAGGGGTTTATTGCTTTCACGTTTCCAATATTTTTATGTCTCATGTTACGGCCCGGATATGCCGTGGGGATGGCTTGCATCTTTTCTTATTCGTCTCACGATGTTCGCATGACCTGAGATCCTATGATATTTCTTTTTTTCGCTCCAAAGATGCGACCTGTAATGATAAGATTGTAAAAGCTGGAGTTGATGGTTCTTTTTTCCTCTCTTCGTTTCTCATCTGTTTCTCTGCATCAACGGTGGGGGTTCCTAATGCAATCTATCATTTACGTTCGTGTCTTGGGGGCGGGATCTGGTTCCGATAATGTTATTAGAGCACGAATCTACTTAATATTCAAATTTTTGTTTCAAATTGTAGAGACATTGCCCTTCGTACGTGCTTCATATAGCCTTGGTGGCAGCGGAATTGTGGAGACCTCGTGGATGGAGGCAGCTCCGATAAAGCAGTAGCTCGGGCGCCCGTGCGACAGCCCGCCGAGGAACTTGCTTTCCAACAAACACCCACCTCCATCGACCCCCTCAACATGGCCGACTCGGAATATACCGATGACGAGACAGAATATGGAGGTCCCTCCCACTCACAAGCGGTCGTCATGGTCAGTCTGGTCCTCTCGTCGTAGTAGTGACTTTGTCTAACATGTGACAGGACGCGCTTCTGACGCCATTCCGCGCGCTGGTATCCAAGACTGCGCTTCGCATATACCTCAACATAATCCTGTTCTCTGGAGCTACACTACTGCTTCTGGGCATTTCGGGCATTGCATATGCAATCTTCTACTTCAGGTTTATCCCTACGGTCGGGGTGGACCGTGAAATCCACCTGCAGTTTGGGTAAAGATGCTATCATCCCCCGTTCGCAATAACGTACACATACTGACTCTGGTGGTCTTCATAGTGATCTCAACCCTTGGGGAACTGCATCCTTGGGGTCCGAATTCGTCTCATCTCAACCCTACGATGTGTCCGTGGCACTCGACCTACCCCGCACGCCTTCGAATCTCGACGTGGGCAACTTCATGATCGACCTCACCCTCTACGCCCCAGAGACCGCATCTGTACTTCCAACGACGGCCAATTCACAGAATAAGATCTCACACTCGCGCCGTCCGGCGATTTTGACATATACTTCACCGCTTGTGGATGTTGCGCGGAGACTAGTTCGCCTACCGCTGTACGTGGTGGGCTGGCGGCGCGAAGCGGAGACACTAGAGGTGTCGATGATGGAAAAGGTGGAGTTTGCGCGAGGGTCGCGGAATCGGCCTCAGAGCCTACGGCTTGAAATTCAAAGCGGCAGGAAGATGCAGATCTACTCGGCGCGTGTTGAATTCCGCGCCAGATTTACAGGGCTTCGGTGGGTATTTCTTGATTAATATATGAGTTGGATGTCCTAGCTAATGCAGATTTAGGTGGTTCATGTACCGCTGGAAGCTGACTTCCTTTGTGGTATTTAGTTCTATTTTCTGGACTGTTTCTATGGCTTCTGCAAGTCTGACATGGTTCCTCCTGACCTGGATCATGCAATCCGACAAGCCAAAGGGGGAGATCAAGGAGGAGGGGGAAGAAGAAGAAGAGTTCTCCGCGGCAATCAAAGAAGAGCTTGAAGATAGTGGCTCATCCAGTGAACCCGTCAAGGTTAAGAAGGAGGAATCCGAGACCAGCTTGCTTCAAAGCTATCCTGCCGAGGGCGAGTCTGCAGGTCTGGGTTCCGGACGGGAAAGTGCAGAAGCACGAGGGGTGCAGAAACGAAGGAGTCATTCGACCGAGGGTGATCATTGAAAGTAATAGTCATGAGAATTAATGTCTGAAGCTTAGTATACCCATAATAATTTACCCATAACTATACATGATGTCAATGCCAAGGGCTAGTGACATGATGTGATTTGGAGGTCCTCCCGGTCCGATAAAAAGCGGTTCTGCGGGGCACCTTGTTCTCCGATTTCTCTCTTCCCCTCCATTTCCCCCCAATTGCCCAACCCAACATGCACATCCTAGTCAGTACTGTGTTAGAACTTCTCTACTTATTGCCATGCGTATAACTGACCCCTATTCAGGTCACCAACGACGACGGTCCGCCGTCGAACCAGTCGTCGCCCTACGTTCATTCCCTCGTCCACTCGCTCCAAGCCGCGGGCCACACAGTCTCCGTCGTTCTGCCTCACCAGCAGCGCTCATGGATCGGTAAGGCGCATATTGTCGGCGCGTCCGTGAAACCGACATATTTCCGCCCGGGTACCCTGCACCAGGAAGATGGGACGATACACCATTTGCCGAGGGGAAGCAACGGCGAGCCCGATGACGGCGGCGACGAATGGATACTGATCGACTCCACTCCTGCAAGCTGTGTCCAGATCGGACTCTACCATTACTTCCAGGAAAAGGGCCCCATTGACGTCGTGGTGTCCGGTCCAAACTATGGCCGCAACACCACGGCGTTGTTTGCTCTGTCGAGTGGAACCATTGGCGGTGCCATGGAGGGTGCCGTTTGTGGGAAGCGCTCGATTGCCTTGTCTTATGCCTTCAGCTCTCGAAACCATGACCCCATCATCATTGCAGAGGCCTCTAAGCACTCTGTCAAGGTGATCGAGTACCTCTGCGCCAACTGGGCGGATGGCGTAGACCTTTATAGCGTCAATGTTCCCCTCGAGCCTGGCGTGAGCCAGAAACAGGTTCTTTATACGGAGATGCTGGAAAACAAGTGGACCTCTGGCAGTTGCTTCGAGCCTGCTGACCCCGCCACTGGCGATGATCCCGAACTTCAAGAGCAGCGACTGCGTGACGCGGGCGAAATGACTGGAAAGAAGCCCGAACCGGAGGATACCACGATTGATAAGCCCGCTGGGCAACCTAGGATCAAGCATCAACACTTTAAATGGGCACCTAACTTACAGGATGTGTATCGAAGCGTGGAAGAGGGCCCTGCTGGCAATGACGGTTGGGTCGTCAAGGCGCAGATGACTAGGTGAGTTTTGTTGTCGTCCTATATAAAAGGCATTTGCTAACATCTTTCTTCTAGTGTCACGCCTCTTAAAGCTTGCTTTAAGCATACGCCCGGTATCACGGGAGAGATCAAGCTGTGAGTGGAGTTTAGACATGATGGTTTTGAAGGTTTCGTTTCAGATATACATACTACAGTGCGCTTTAGATATCTGGCCTAGCCGATAGACCTCATGCTCCCTTATTCCCACTTGATCTTATTTTGAACTTTCTGTTATTTTCTGTTCTGCAATGTTACTTGATATGCTTGGACTGGTTCTGATAGAGGAGGTCTATGTAGATCAGATAACAAGTCAACGTTATTCTCCATCGTTGACTGCGACGATCCCTACGTGCAAGCTCTCGTCGAGCGAGCATTAACCCGCCGTCTCGGAGATTCTGCTCGCAGCCAGCGCATCTCAGATATCTCTGAGCTCCCCGATAACTCGACACCTGTATTCCAATATCGCGAGTATGAGCGACTGGACTTTGAGCATGTCATGTCACGCCCCTCAACCTCCCTTGCAAACGCATATATTATCCGCAAGGCACTGATCCGCAAGCACTATCTATCCAACACGGTGGCCAACTGGATCTCCAAGCATCCAGACAGTATCCTGCGCAACCATTTCAAGCCTGCGTTTGATTTCGAGCTCGACTACTCCGAGTTCCTCGACGAGGCTCTCCTAGAGGCATACGAGTTGCGCGAGAGTCTGGAGAAGAATGAAGAGCGGCCAGATTCAGAGAAGGAATGGTGGATCCTGAAGCCTGGCATGAGTGATCGTGGTCAAGGTATCCGACTATTCAGCACCGAGGACCAACTCCGCGAGATCTTCGAAGAATGGGACGAACCCTCCGACGTCGAAGACGAGAGTGATTCCGAAACCACCGTCCCCCAGAGCACTACTCCCGCCGCACACGATGACGGCGTTGTTACTTCTCAACTCCGCCACTTCATGGCCCAGCCATACATCGACCCCCCTCTCCTCCTGCCCTCGTCCTCAAACCGCAAGTTCCACATCCGCACGTACGTCCTCGCAACGGGCGCCCTGAAAGTCTACGTCTTCAAGGAGATGCTCGCCCTCTTCGCTGCTAAATCCTACTGCGCCCCTCACGAAGAGGAAGACGAGGTCAAAGACTTGGCTCGCCACTTGACGAATACCTGCTTCCAAGAAGGAGGTAGCTCCAACGAAGGCAGTGTTCGCCGCTTCTGGGATCTCGATCACCACGTCCCGGGTCTCTCGGCAGACTGGAAAGAAAAGATCTTCGAACAAATCTGCACAGTAACGGGCGAAGTCTTTGAAGCTGCCGCGCGAGGCATGATGGTGCATTTCCAGACATTGCCGAATGCGTTCGAGTTGTTTGGTGTTGATTTCTTGGTTGATGCGGAGGGGAATGCGTGGTTATTGGAGTTGAATGCTTTCCCTGATTTTGGACAGACGGGTGAGGATCTGAAGGAGATTGTTGTTGGGCGGTTGTTTGAGGAGACGATTGATGTTGCTGTGAAGCCGTTCTTTGGGCTGGGGGAGGATGAGGGGAAGGGGGATATGAAGTTGGTTGCTGATTTGGATTTGGGGAGACATGCATAAATGAGCGATGAGGATGAAAATTGCATTCGGGTTGGGATATAAAGTCTGGATGGGCGTTGTGGATTGAGATGGTATTCCCATCAACAAAAGCTTGTATACACTCCGATTTCAAGATACAAATGCATTTGAGGATTAGATGAAATGAAAATGGTACATACAGACAGTACCGTGGGGAACCTTGGCTCCTAAGCAGCCTCTTGTATCATAATTCTATAGAGTTTCTATTAATCAGTCCGCATTAGTGTAGTGGTTAACATATTTGTCTTTCACGCTGATTGGTTTGAGCGCACAGAAGCCGGGGGTTCGATTCCCCCATGCGGAGAACTTTTTTTCGCTTGCCTGCCTTACCTGAGATTCTTTTTTAAACTACGGCTACCTAGTGGATTTCCCTACCTAGTAGTGTAGTGGGGGAACTGTTGCCGGAACCTGGTGCATTTCTCTTGATTATTTGATCCGTTATATATACAGCCCTTTTGTCTATTTAATTAGTTTGCTTTCCCGGTTTAGAGAGTGGCGGCGTAAGGCCTTATGGAGATGAGAGGGAAGGGAGATCACATAGACACACTCTCTTTTACTATTCGAATTACATACAGTTTACATGCTCGTTTTGATAAATACTCCTTCACTTCTAATTCAATTCATTTATCACATCTTTTAACGGTCGCTTCCTCTATATCTAATTAGCCCATTCGGTTTTCGCTGCTAGTCTTGTAGCGCTCGTATGGCTTCCTGGCAGTCCTCCTTGTGGTAGTGTATTGTCTCTTTTCTCTTTAATTTGCCTCTCTCTCGTGCCTCGACCTATCTGTTCCGATCAGACTGCTATAGCGTATCCCCTTAGTTACTTGCTACGACGCGCTAGCCCTAACGAGTGTAGAAATTTCTGCTAACTAATCTACCCATCCCGCCTTTTCGTCTCTCCCCCCATTGTACTATTTTCTAACTACCTATAGAGTTGGGATGAGTAGAACAATCTCCTGAAAAAATAATCACCAATCCGCATTAGTGTAGTGGTTAACATATTTGTCTTTCACGCTGATTGGTTTGAGCGCACAGAAGCCGGGGGTTCGATTCCCCCATGCGGAGTACTTTTTTTCTCTCCTGTAACTTTTTTTCCTCTCCCGAATGCATCGTGTTGATATGTGGGTTTAATGTGGTCGTCGGCAAGGGCCTGAGTGCCGGGGATCGGAGAATACGGGCGCGGGTCTGCGCCGCGAATCCGGGGAACTATGGCTTGCATTGAATTGTATTCCAATGGATTGAGTGATTTGGTATTCATAGAGAGCTCTTTTTGGGTGTGGATTTTGATTCTACGAGTCAGAGAATAGGAAATTATGCCCTAGAAAGTTGCAAAGAGCTGGACATCTTAATTGAAGCCTGCCTAAGATAACAACGGTTATTCACCTGTCTTAGGAGTAGGAGCCATAGCTATACTAAATGTACAAAATCTACTTGCGCAGTCTCTTAATCGTTGCACCCATGGGTTCACCTGCCCGCAAAGCCTGCATAGTCTTTTCATCAATCTCAAATCGTTCCTGACACAGCTCAACTACCTGTTCCAACAAGGACGGCGGGACCACCACGGCACCATTCTCATCACCAACGAGAATATCATTCGGATAGACCCAAAGATCGCCTTTGAATTGCACCGGGACATTAATCTCCGAGGCACGAGTAAAAGTATTTGATCCAGGGACCGCCGTATCTCGAGCAAAGACCTATTCGTTCAGTTATTAGCAGAACTCACTGCCGAAAGGAAACTCGAATGACAAAAACACAATATCACTGCTGTCAATGCGAGTACGAAAACTCACCGGATATCCCATCTCAACATGCTCCCTCGTATCTCGCATCCGCCCATCAATCATCGTCCCCAAACTGCCCAATTTCTGCGCCCGAGTTGACATAAGACCACCCCAACACGCCGAGTACATCCCCTTCGGCTGCGAAATGTACATGATATGGCCCTCCTTATTTGCATCGGCGAAATGCATCGGCGGCATTGGGCCGGGACTATTCGTCTCGACCATTTTCACCGTGATGGCTGGGCCGTAGATGCTTCCACCGCCTGGGGAGTACATTTTCAGCCCGTCTAGATAACCGCCGTAGGGCTGTTTGAGCTTGACTAGGGCATCGCCGATCTGGTGGGGTGGCTGGGTTAATTCAAGAATGGGGAGGGAAAGGGGGGAATTACGTACGTCGCAGGTTGTGAAGCGTTTTAAGCCCTGGAGGGCTTTGGAGATGTTGCTCATTTTGTGGGAGGGTGGTTGTAGCTTGGATGTCTGAGAATCGCTTTACGGCGAACTCGGGATGTCCATGTTGTCGTATGGTAACGTATCGTAATATTCCAGGGTCCTAGGTAACGTTCAGTATGGGTTATGCCATTAATTTCCCATTATACGCCCTGAGTAGCAATCCTAAATAATGCACTATTTAGTAAATCTCCGAATTGTGTATCTATTTATTTTCACCCCATGTCCGACAATTCCATGGAGATGAACCACGCAAGGCTCGGCTGTGGGGGTACGCCTAGCAGAAAAAAGCAGGCTATGTATGTACTTGCGACTAGTGTATGGTGCCAGCTACTTTTGAACCAAGGCAATTTCTTTCCTCTCTAAGGGTCCTTTTCTTCCCCAGCTTTTGGCTCAGCCAAGTATTTCTTGGCTGAATATACTCCCATAATGTCCATCCAAATCTGGCTATGCAGGTAGCTACCTCCCTCTATTTACATTCATCCGCCTAGTAAATCATACTAAACCTCCCAGTCTTCTGGCGACTCTAAGCCTTGTATCCTACATTGCTCAGCTTCGAAACCTACGTGCAAAGAGATACAAAACAAGCCCACCTCTGTCCTACCTCATCCTCCATATCTTCAGTGCGGCCGAGCAGGCGAAGCTGTGTCATTGGTACTCCGGCCAAGCGGCGAAGCAAGCTAAATCATACCAAGACACCTATGCCAGAGGCGCTCGTCAATGGATGTGTATATCTGAAATGACGATGGTCTGGATATTCTTTTCTTTCGTACAGTAAGTGAATCAACGGAACTCTTCTAGAAATCCCATTGCAGATTACCCTGGAAAACACGAATGTATCGCTAATGACTGACTTGAGTAGATTCATGACCAGTGTCGCCTTTAGCTCCAGATCATTCAGACAGAAAGTCCTTCTGATACTTTCATATGGGGATTACGCGTTGTTTATCTCTATCCCCTTCTTTTTTGGTAACTCTCGCTGTACATTGGCCGAGATCGTTACTTTCAATTTTCCCCCATTGCTACTCTACATCAACCCGGCACTCGTTTATCTGGGTTATTCCACATTTTTCAAGAGAAAACCTACGAGACCGGAGCCTGCTTATACGTCCATGTCCCTTTTGAGCCTCGCAGGATTCGCTAGCCAGGCAGTAGTACACGGTATTCTGGCCTTTTTCTGGGCTGTGAAGGTCCGGCCCTGGTCAACTCCATTTACGACTCTCGTGTGGCCTGCTTGGATCATGTCTTATAATTTATTTTGGTGGCCACTGGGGGATAATGCTGTGTTTATCGCGATACAGGGGAAGTTCTTTTGGGTTGCTATCAAAGGAAGGAAGGAAGGTCGTCTTTGGGGAAAGTCAAGAGAAAGTTCGGGATGGAGACGAAGAGACGACTTTAGTTGGGACGATATGAGATTCTGTCTGCTCAATAGAGGATTTAGGGGATGGCATTGCAAAATGAATTGCTTTGTGTACTAGTTGTGTATACTATGACTCTTTTTAAATGCCTCCGGAGAATTACTGTAGATTTGCTGACAACGGCGTATCAGTCATGAAGCTCTAGACACTCGCATTTGGTCAATAGTTCCGGATGAAGACATCGTGTGTATAGCTTTTTTTATCCCGCGAGAGAATATCATACAGTCGTAGGTCAGACAGCTCTAGTCAAAGTGTAGACGCCGATTTGGAGAATGCCTGTTAGTCCAAATGCCGTGGTGACTGTTGCCCCGCACGGAATACTACCCAGCGGAGTTAACGAATCACGCCTTAGTGAGTCACGACTGCATATCCAGGGGAGTTACTCTCCAGTATCATTTCTCATTGGGCTATTCATCTTGCAATTTGCATCTTTCTAGTACAGTCTTCTCCCTTCCGAATTCCAACAATTGACATCTCTTTTCTTTGTCACTATACCACATCTTTGCGGGGCACATCATTTCCTATCAACAACAATTTCAATCATACTCAAGATGGATCGCCCAGTCGGACCTCCCGTTGAAATCAGACAAGCCTTACCACCACCTTCGACCACAATTACAGGCCCCTCCGTCCAACTGGAACCATTGGACCCCAAACACATCGACGACCTGTACCCCCTCATCGGACAGCCCGAGCACGCCGCTCTGTGGACATACATCCCCAAAGGCCCCTTCACCGACAAACCCTCCTTCACAGAAGCCATCACGGCCCTCTCCGAATCCAAAGACCCCTTCTTCTACGCCATAATCAACAAAACAACCCAGAAACCAATCGGCTTCTTCAGCCTCCTCCGCATCGACCTCACCAACCGCGTCATCGAAATCGGCTTCATCGTGTTCTCCCCTCTTCTGCAGCGTACGACTGCTGCCACAGAGGCAGTGTATCTCCTTGCGAGAACGGTCTTTGAGGATCTGGGTTATCGCCGGTTTGAGTGGAAGTGCGATAATCTGAATGCGCCGTCTAAGAAGGCTGCGGCCCGGTTTGGGTTTACGGCGGAAGGGGTGTTTCGCCAGCATTTGATTGTTAAGGGGCGGAATCGGGATACGGCTTGGTTTTCGATTTTGGATTCCGAGTGGGCTGTCGTGAAGGGGGCGTTTGAGAAGTGGTTAGATCCGGGCAACTTTGATGCGGAGGGGAAACAGGTGCGTTCTTTGGTGGAGTTGAGGGGTGTTTGATGTTTGATGTTTGATGTAGAGGCCGGGGATTTGGTGCATCAAAATATAGAATATGCGAGCCGAGTAGGTATACAATACAATAGATATGGCACAAGACGATGGACGCTAGTAAGATGAGTTCCTATGTAGGAAAAAGGGTATATAATGGGCAAGTTATGCGAGGATAATCACCATCTAACCAAATCGCTGCTTTGCTAATGCCTGCAACCACCCAATAGTCTCCTCCTCCTTCTCACGATACTTCTGAACCCGTTCCTCTCGCTCCGCAGCCCGAGCTCGCATAATTTCCTCTCGTCGAATTTCCCGCTCATTCTTCTTCCGTTGCTCCCTTTCTTTCTCTTTTTTGAGGGACGCAAAGTCATCATTCCCCATGAGGTCTGCATCAGGAGCTGCTTCCGGAAAGCCTCCACGGGCATCGGCAAAGGCACGATTGGCAGCAGCAGCTTCGCGACGTTTCTCAAGCTGTCGCTCCCGGGTACCAGGCTCGGCTCGTGGGGCGACTTCATCTTCGAGATGGCGCACCTCGGCCTTGTGGGAGCGTAGTTCGGAGCGGTATTGTTGTCTTGAGTCTTCTCGGGCGGCGATTGCGTCTTCAATTGCGGATTCTATAGGGCGGAATATTAGCTTGGCGCCGCTTAGATTTACAGGCTTGAAAGTTGCTTAGAGCTTACCGCGCTTAAGTTCGAGGTCCTGCATGTTTGGTATAGTAGGCCCAGAATGTGGGACGTCTCTCGTAGAACCCGGAACCGGTAATGTTGGCCCGTATTCCTCATCATCCTCGTCATCATCTCCCGTTGGCTGTGGCGCCGCACCTCCACCACGGGAAGATTCACCTCGTTCATACTGCGGCGATGCTCTCTCCATCGGACCGGGCTGATATTCCGCTGCACTCTGGCGTGCCCTTTCGAGTGTAGCAGGATCATACCATCCCTCGGCGAGTTCACCATGATTCCTATACGATCAGTAATGTTCACCCTCGTAAGAGAAGTTCGAGTACATACCACTTTCGAATGAAACTCTTCCACCGCCCCTTCACCTCTTCTTCTGGCAGATCTTCAATGAGGATCCCTTTTTGAATATCCAAGTACATTGCAAACATTGGCTCGTAGGCCTCTAAATCGCGCCGTGAGAGCTCCCGCGCCTGGAGCGGGAGGACAACGGGCTGCGCTGGGGCGTCTCGACTTCGTTGGTCATGACGGTCTCGGTCTTTCCGCTCGGTGCGATCGCCCTTTTCTCGGTCATGTCGACGGTGACGCTCTGATCGGTGGGGAGAACGAGAGCGCGAGTGGTCGCGGTGTCGGTGTCGGTGGGAATGCGAATGCGAATGAGATTCGCCATGGCCATGGCGGCTGCGGTGGTGCCGGCGATCTGAATCGCGTTCTGCTGACGGCGATGTTCGCTTTGTGGATCTCTCAGGGGATGGCATTGCTGCTATGCTTAAGCTGTGGTAGTTGGTTGATCAAAGGAAGTGTCAAGATTTTGAGGGTCCGAGGTAAAGCTTGCGCTCCTTATCTTATCGGGAACATTCAACCCCATTCACCCCATCTTTACTATTTCCACTTGCTGCACTACGAACGATATAAAGTCTTGAAAAATCAAATGCAAGTCCCATATAAACCAGAAGAAGAATAATCCGTAGTGGTAAATACATCTAAGCGAAGAGGTATACAATTTCAGTTCAGGCTTACTCCTGGAACTTAGCTGGGAGGAGCACTCTGCTCAGCGGGCTTATCACCTGCCGGGGCAGGGCTCGACTGAGAAGCGCTCTTGGATCGGCCAGAAGCAGCCATCTGCCAGGCCGGGATGGAGGCAGAGCGGCCGAGTTTGGCGAGAGGGCTATCGGCAGCTGGTGCGGGCGTGGGCGCAACAACTGGCTGGGGTTCCTGCTCGGCTGGGGTCACGGTGGCCTGCAGGCCGTTGGTGGCAGGAATAGAAGCGGGAGTGGGCTCGGGAGCCGGCTGGGGAGTGACAGAGGGAGTAATTGTAGAGCTGCCGAGAGTGCGACCGACAGCGGGAGCAGCGCCGCTGCCGCCCAGTCGGTTACCCAGCAAGACCTTCAAGCTCTTCAGCTCAGAACCCAGCTCCTTCAGGCGGTTCTCGTTGCCCTCTCGGGCACCTTCCAAAGCCTTAGGGATCGCATCCTTCAAAGACTTAACCTCATCGCTGATACGGCGGGTCTCGTCATCTCTGCGTCGCGACGCATTCTTCAGGTCTGCAACCAGGTTCTCCACATCCTTCAGAGCCGAGTCTAGACGCTCAGTGCGAGCATCCTCGGCGGCCTTCAAGGCTGCAGTATCGGTCGAAAGCTGATCAATCAAATCAAACGCACGCGAAAATTGCTCGTCAATGTTCTCCTTGTCTTGTTCCAACTGAGGGGGAGTCGGTGGGGCAATCAATGGAGCAATGTAGCGCTAACGAGGAATTATTAGCAGGGGAAGCCATGGCAGCGAGTATAGCGAGCCTTACCTTGCCAACAAAATACAATCCATAACCAACACCACCCATCACCGTTGCCATGATAAACCAATCTCTCCAGTCTCTCTTGGGCGGCCTGTCATGCGATCAGTCTCCGGTTCAGTAGGCATTCAAAACAGCGGGATGTACATACTCTGGAGGCGGCTGCCATTGATTATATGGAGGATAACCATATCCCTGTGGTGATTGTGGAGGTGGTCGGTATGCAACCTGTTGTGAGTTGTAGCCTTGGGACGGCGCCGATACGGTTCCAGCAGCCGCGGCCGCGGCAGCCGGGTCTTCGCCGACTCGCGATAAGGCGAGATCAACCTCCTCTTGTGTAAGATTCTTCGATTGCAGGAATGCGACTCGTTTCTCAATAGGCGATGAAGCCACCGAGGGATCCTGTAGGACTGCGTGAGGGTTAGCGCGCAACTTCTCCACCTCGCCATGCCGTGGGGAATGGGGATTAATCATACAGGTCACCTAGAGAACATTGATTAGCGACGGCGAGCGGAAGAGGAATTATAATCGAAGAATACTTACCGCAGAGGCAATAAGCTCCTCTCGAGGAGCCATGGTGATAAGTCCTGTCAATCACTCACGAGGACGATGGAGGAGGAGAAAGTCCAGAGGCAGGGAAAAGTGACCGTCATCGGCACCGGCCGTTGGACCTCGGAACTCAGGACCGCCAAGCCTCACTTCCCCAGACCGAAGGTCTCGTGATTCTTTATCGGTGCGACTGTTTTTCCAGTGCGACTCTACCGCTTTCCGTTTCCGGAAGTGGCACCGGTCTTGTTTACATCTTCCCGCCCAGCCCAGCCTGCACGACAAAACAACCCCCCTCATCCAGAATTTTGCGCCGCGAGTCCAGATTTGAACTGTCAATACTTGGACCTTGAACATAATTACTTCAACTTTGCACAAGTCAAGTTTTATTCCTGCCGCGACCGCGGCTTTGTTGTCACCATGTCGCAAGATACTGGGTTGTTCAGTATCAGGCGCCCCCGAGAGGTATGATGATGAAAGCTGAACTAGCTGTCGCAAAGATATTTAGGTACTAACAATGCAATCTAGACCCTCGGGAGTGTACAAAACTATTCTTCTATCCCCCAGCCGTCATCAGCTATGAAGCGCACAAGCTCCATTGGCTTCAACAATCCCCCATTTACCTCCCAGCACGCCCGCTCGAACTCCCTACTGAACTCAACGAGTCGACCTCAGCAGCCCAACTTTACACGCATGTCCATGGCTGGCCCCGATGCCGGTCTCTCGTCTGTACGCCGATCTGTTTCGAGTAATATGTTTCATGGTGCGAGTGCTGGAAGACAAAGTTTTGCGCCGGGTTCACTTTCGTCCAATTCTGCATCGCAGCAGAACTTGCAGCGTCGTAGCAGTGTCTTTTCGCGCCCGTCAGTTGGTGGGCCCATGGGTCACCAATCTTTCTTCAACTCGGTTCCAGCTGTAGCGGGTGTGCCCAGGGACCCCCGACCGCTTCGCGACCGATCATTCCAAGCGCGCATTGGGCAGGAGCTCCTGGAGTATTTGACGCACAACAATTTTGAATTGGAGATGAAGCATTCCCTAGGACAGAACACCCTCCGCTCGCCGACGCAAAAGGACTTCAACTACATCTTCCAATTCCTATATCACCGCATTGACCCGGGCTACAAGTTCCAGAAAGCGATGGATGCGGAGGTTCCTCCCATTCTCAAGCAGCTGCGATATCCCTTTGAGAAGGGTATCACCAAGTCACAGATTTCGGCCGTGGGTGGCCAGAACTGGTCCACTTTCCTCGGCATGCTACACTGGCTGATGCAATTGGCACAGTTGATGCAACGATTTGATAGTGGAGAGTATGACGAGGCATGCGCGGAAGCAGGAGTCGACGTCACCGGTGATCGCATTATCTTCCGCTTCCTTACCGGCGCCTATCATGACTGGCTTCAAGGTGGCGAGGATGAGGATGACGAGACGGCAGAACAACGATTGGTCCCCCATATCGAGGCAATGTCGCAGGAATTTGCCCGCGGCAACGAACGACATGTACAACAGATGGAATCATTAGAGGCGGAGAATCAGGCTCTTCGCGATCAAATTCAGGAAATGGAGAAGAATGCGCCAGACATGGCCAAGTTGGACCAGCACTTCCGGATCCTGGAGGATGATACGAGGAAGTTCGAGGACTACAACCAGAACGTCAAGGGCAAGATCGAGAAGTACGAAACTCGCATCAAGTTCTTGGACGCAGAGATCCAAAAGACGGACGCCGAACTTCAAATCACGGAGAATGAGCGTGCCGAGCTTCAGGCGAGCGTCGACCGCCAAGGAATCACCATTCAAGATATTGATCGCATGAACACGGAACGAGAGCGGCTTCAGAAGAGCCTTGAAGATAGTATGGCTCGCTTGGAGGAGACCCACGCCCGCGTCATGGAGAAGGAGGCGGAAGCAAGCCAGAAATTGGAGGACCTGGAGCAGATCGTCAAGGCGTACAACACACTTGGCTACCAAACAAGCCTGATCCCCTCCTCTGCCGAGAATGCCAAGGGTCAGGACTTTGAGCTTACTCTCAACGTCAATGAGAACAATTTCTCCGCCAGCCAGATCGGAGGTGCGCCCAATCGGATGTCATCAGAGGGCGATCGCCTCTTGGCCGAGCCTTATACGGGCTATCACCCGGCTCATTTGCTGAATTTGGACCTTCGGGGCTCCGTCCGCAATAGTCTACAATCATTGCGCAAGGAGATCAACGAGCGACGGAAAAAAGCAATTGACGATGACCTTGATCGTCGCAATCTACTTGACAACATTAAGGAGGCGATGGACGAAAAGCGCAGTGAGGTTGAGGCTTTGGAGCACCGGCGCCGGGCGGCAGAAGAGGAGTTTGAACGCACCAAGGAAATTACCACCACTCAGAAGACGGCATCAGACGCCCAGATTGAGAAGATGGAGAAGGAACTCGCCAAGATGCGGGCGACTCTCAGCGACAGTGTCCAGTTGATGGAACAGCGCGAGATGAATACCAATATCGAGTATGAACAGCTGACACTTCGAGCCAATGCGCTACGAGAAGAGTTACATACCAACGTTGAGACTATGCTCAACGATGTCATTCGCTTCAAGGTCCATGTACAAAAAGGCTTGGAGGACTACGAGAGCTTCGTGGTAGACGAAGTGGAGCAGGAGTTGGGTGGCGATTTGCCTGCAGACGAGGATGAGGAGCTATGAGATCTCCAGTTCTAGCCATGTGTTCCTCCCTTGTTGTTGTGTTTAACGAAGTGATGATGAAGATTTGGCGCCCGGGGTTGATTCTACGGTGGTCTTTGGTATCACGTTAATTGAGCCCCCCTACATTATCTGATGTGTACATGTTTAATACCCTCGCAATTGCAATGGTACAAGGATGCGGTGATGCTATTTTAGAGTGAGGACGCGCAATGCTCGGTGGGCCAAGCGTGTAGCAGATCATTAGGATGAGACCCGTGGCGTTTTGCTCTACTTTCTTCGGTGGATTTGCTCTTGTCGGCTTTTCCAGGGAAACGAGATGGAGTCCACATTCTGCAAGCTCCACCGCTAGTCAGCGCTGTACATGGATACAGTATAGTATGTACATTGGTCATGACTTCGGGGTAGTGTATGTTTTCGCCGTGTTGAATCTTGTTCTGTACTCTTTAGAACCGCCTCCTTAGCGTGTTTCTTGCCCACTACTTTGTCTGGGTTTCATCCAATCACTTCACTCTGCTGGTATTTACTAGCCCCGCTCTCGTCCCTCCTGAATCTCAATCTGAAGCAGCCCAGCCGACCGATCGGCAGACGACGTGTAAGCTCAAGGTGGGGGAGACCTCCTCAATGCCAGCCTCCTTCTGACTCGCTCGTTTCACGTTAAACTTCTCCACGAACGAACACACCGCACGGCGCTTGACGTGATGCCAAATGCAGCTTGTGTGCTTCATTGGGACAGACCGGCAGTTCAGCCGTGGCGCCATCTGCTTCAGAACTTGCCCCTGGTGGCCCTGAGAAGCCCTGTCCAGTGTCGAGCCTCTGCTTATTGAGCCCCTTCCCTGTAAGCGGCCCAACCTCGCCTCCATGATGGACTCCTGCGTCGGCTCCACTCTGGAAGTATGAAACTATATTGCACCAATACGGACCTGCTGTCGATAGGGCTGTCCATTTACCTCCTCGACGATCAACCCTGATTCGACATATTGACCCTGGATGGTCCTTATGAGAAACCACCAGCTGCGGACTATCAATGCCGATCTCCACAGTTCCCAAGTCTGAGCAGTCGGTCTAGATGTCTCGGATATTCCTGACAGCGGAACTGGTCTCCTCATTGCTGGGCCTGATAGTCTCGCAACCCGAAACAGACGGGATGCTGAGACCATGACGGGAAATGCAAACGAAAACCTCTAGATACGAGCTATATAAGGCCCTCGAAATCCTCCATCAAGAACTTTTTTGAATCACAGTGCTGTGCGCTTTCCTTTCATTTCTACATTCTTGAGATCAATCGTCACCGAGTGACTCAGTCCTTCTTTTTTAAACCCACTTTCATTTTTGAACAAACACACATCTTCAACATGAAGTTCAACGTTGTCTTCGGCCTGGCTGCTGCTCTCGCTCTGGCTCCCAATGCCGTCGCTTTCAACCTGGTATGGTGATACACCAGCCAAGAATCTTCTTGCCTCTTTTATCAGATGAGATACTGACCTACCATATTAGTTCGCCAGGCAGCAGGATGCCACTCCTACCATTACTGCTCAGGCCTCCGGCACTGTGCCCACTGGTCTCCCCCAGGGCTCCAGCAGTGGATCTGAGGGTGGTTTCGGCGGTGGTGCCCAGGAGTCTGGTCGTCCCCAGGCCTCCGGTACCGTTCCCTCCGGCGTTTCTGGGGGCTCCGAGCCCAGCGGTAGCTTCGGCCAGGGTGGTTTCCCCTCCGGTGGTGCCCAGCCCAGTGGTGGTTTCGGCCACGGCGGTCACCACGGCCACGGTGGCCACGGCGGCCAGGGTGGTTTCCCCTCTGGAGGCGCTCAGCCCTCTGGTAGCTTCGGTGGCTCCGGCCAGGGTGGTGAGGGTGGTGCTGCTCCTACTGCTGCCCCCTCTGGCACTTTCGGTGGCTCCAGCGGCCAGGAGTCTGGCTTCATCACTGTCTCCGGTGCTCTCCCTACTGGCTCGGCCACCCCCGAGTCTGGCAGCTCCTCCGAGGGTAACCAGCAGTTCGAGCGCGTCCACGCTCGCCAGATCCGCCCCTTCTAAGTCTAGATTTCTTATGGGTCATTCGTTCTTCCCGGGACTCCCGTTGTCTCGTGTGAAATAGTTCAAGGTTGTGTTTCTGTGGCTGCTGGTTCGGTCATAGAGAGAAAGTGTTATGTATCATAGCCTGCAATCCATGCAAACGAGCGTCCTTTTGCTCCTATGAAAATTGAAGTGCTCAATTGTAAGATAGTGCGTAGCTATGAGACAGTCTCTTAGAAGGACTTGGCGATACCATCGACTATTCCATATTCATTTCTTCCTCAGTTGGCAGTCGACAAGAATCTGCCAATCCAGTCACTTTCCACTCCCCATTCAGTTTATGCAGTACGAATAGTTCCACCCCGACATGGTCCACAACCCCATTTATCTTAGCCCGAAAAGGAGCCCACACGGTGGCAAGGTTACCAGCTTCGTGGATTTTGACTTCAGGATTCCAGATGCGCTCATCAATAGTGTCTTTCAGCGTGGCCACATGCTCAATGAAAGAGCCAATTGTGCAGAAGCGTAAGGCAGTAGGTGACGGAGGTGCGAGGGACATGCCCCCAGCCCGAATGCAGTGTTTCTCAAAGTCCACTCGAGACTTTGTATTCAGTGCTGCAAGAAACCCTTGAGTGACCGCAATAATAGCCTGGGTCTCCTCTGATAGGTCGCGTTCGAGCGGTAGATCGGCGCAGACGTGGGTTGGTATTGTCCCGCACATTGGAGTAGGAGGCATAGAATTAACATGAGCTACAGGCATAGAATTTGGGACGTAGACTTTTGGCAATGTTCCAGGCTCAGGCTCTGTTGTCTATTTTACATCAAGTTACTTAAAGAAGCAAACGTTCTGAGTGTATCGGGTTTCTTCTTCGGGGTATCGCTGGCATCGTTGCAACCACCTTGCGGCCCGTCTTGTGTGACGTTGTGTAACTTCTCCATCTCATTGTAGGCCAGGATTATCTTTTGATCTCCGAGTGCATGCATTCCCTCGATTCACCAGTATCAACCAAGTTGTCCTCGCCCTTTCGATGTGAAGTAAATACGACGACTCCTATTGGCTGCGGCAGCTTTGCTGAGTCAGCGCGCTGGGTCCACCCGGCCAAATTTCCAGCTTCACGATTTCCTCCGCGATCATTAGCGCTCCCTATCGCGACAGGAATACCAATCACTACTTGACCTAAAGTTGGTCGTGTATCAGAGGTACGAATCCAGAGACCTCCGCGACATGTGCACATCCTGATCGGCTCCGAAATGCGCCACATTACACCCGTGCCCATCGAGACCGTGTTTCCTCCGCAGGCGCCCTCCGCGAGGCTGATTGCCGTGTCATGAGAAGGTGCTTGAGCCCCGGCCGGCTTCTGCGAATTGGCCGCGTGCCAATTGTGCCTGGCCGGCCTGCTCTTTCGTTCTCATTGGCATCCCGTCTCCAGACTCGTTTCGCCTCGACGATAGACCGGAGAACGCTCACCGACGACGAATATCAACTTCTCTTCTCATACAATGGACCCCCATCTATACCCCTCGAGTCGTCGCAGAAATCCAATCCCGGCAGTTGGATACCAATACTAGAAAAATGTGCACCGGCACTTAATACGCAGACGAAGAAAAAGACGGAACCGGTCAAACCTGAGGAGCGGGTTAGGTCTCTGTTTGAGCACGAAAATGAGCTCCGTCGGGCACATGCGTTGATGGGATATCTGTGGTTGGCGAGGACACATTCAAATTTGGATCTATTGGGACATTTGGGATTTGAGCTCAACCAGTGGTCTGCGGTGCATGCTTACTTGACCCAGCTTATTGATGCATACGAAACTCTCGTTCCATACATGGCCTCGCACGATGCTTTCAAGGGGTTTGATTGGAACGTGGGGGGTCTTTCTCTAGAAGAACTCACTGCTAGGGATGTCCGACGTCCGAGCCAGTCCATGAAACCGCTTCCGCCCTCCGATATAGTTTCTCTTGATCTTTTGACGGAACGGCCTGCTGCGCGGGATTTGGGTGATAGGTTTCTGGGTGAGCTCTTGTTAAACCTAGGCTTGATTGTTCTAAGAGCTGCCGACGCGTCAAAACAAGAAGCCAATTTGGCAATGTCTCACGTCTTCCGCATCCTTGCTCGCCTGCACCACCTGGATTTGATATCCGACCGAGTTTACCAGTATCCAAAGAACGATCCCAGCCAAGTTTCATTCCGCCCTCCCGGCCTCAACCTACTATCAAGCAATATCATGAGTGTCTTGTCCGACGCTGCGTGGCTTGAACATGAAGCCGCACTCGCAACGGCGGCCACCGAGGCGGGTGAGGAGCCACCTTTTCTGCCTTTCAAGGTGGGAGTCCGCGAACTTGGCCCCGAGATCTGGTTTGAGCTGGTTCTGTGGTGCTGTGTCGAGCATGGATTCGCCAAGCAGGGCGCATCTCTGGTCAAGGAGATGAGCCAGCGGACTGGCGACAAGGCTTGGAAGATCGACAGCTGGGCGCCTCTACTGAGGGATCTCGACGTTGTGCAACAAACCAATGTCAGCACTGAGACTGTCTGGCGTCGCCCAGATGATACCAATCCACCTCAGACATTCAAGCGCCTCGACAAGCCTCCGTTCAATGGTCTCGGGAAACGAACAATCAGCACGGAAGTAGTTGCAAGTCTGCGAAGTGGCTTGGTCAACAAGGCCTATAACGGTGTGGGATTCCATGGTGCAACACCCTCGGACATTCTTCAGCAATCGACTTCTTTGAATGCGTTACTCGAACCGACCAATGCCTTGGATGATCTCCGACCCACGAATAAGGCCACCAACTGGCACCTTATCAGAGTTTTGGAGTCAGGCTGTCTGCATCCATATGAAGACCCAACTTTGTTTGAGCGACTATTACGGTCTACTCAACACGTAGTACCACCGTGGGGAGGATACGGCTCTGCGTCAGACCAAAACCTGAGCGGCGTGACGAGAGCGCAGCTATATGACGAAAGTGCTGCAATCGCCGGGTTGGTGGAACTCAATGTCAAGGCCTATGCCTATAAACGTCAAGCTAGCCGCGCTTTCTACGAGTACGCTTGGCTACAAAACATTGTCGATGCTAGCAAGGCCTATCACATCCAAGCATTCTTTAAACAGCTCACCCTTGCCAAGTCAGAACACCTTCCTTTCTTCGACTCTCAGCGATTTGACGCCCACGAACGCGACTTATCTTCCTTGCCGCAGGTCTCGAATGTGACCTTGGCTGAACTTCTTGACTTGGCCGCCGTTAATCGCGCCTATGACTTTGGCAACTGGTTGCTTTTCAATAATGGTATAGACGGCCCTGCGATCCCGGCTTCTGTCTACGGTGACCAGGTTATTGCGCCATCGATCCTCCGGTTTGCCTCTGCTTCACAAAATACCGAACTCAGTGAAAAGGTCATTTCCTCGCTTGGCATGCCACTCTCTGTCAACATGCTCAAGGCCTTAGTCAACTCATATATTGACATGGAAAATTGGGATCGTGCAGTTGTCACGCTCGAGTATCTTCGTGATTTCCGACTGAAATCATGGGGCTTTAGCAATCTCACGGCACTTGGAGCCAAAATCATCCGACTTGATGCGACTATCAAGCACCAGCAGTCCATCGGTGGCCCTGTGGACGAGAAGTTGATCGCGAGCCTCGAGCGTGCCAACGATATTTTCCTGCGCTTTTACCGCATGGAATTCAACACGCCTGTTAGCAAAAACCGGCGAGTCACAGCCTTCCAACAAAATGTCTTGTTGCGTCTGCTCTCCGTGTTCCGAACCCTTCCTGGTCACATTTCAGATCTCGCCAAGCAGGTCGACCTCAAGGCTCCCCCACCAAGCCATCTCAAGCTCAAATACATTCCCGCGGTCTCTTTCCATAACCTCCTATCTGCCGTTGTGGACACGTACGGCAGCACATTCGGCTTGACCATGTGGTTCAAATGGTGCATCCATCGTCTTCCACCTGACCGTGTTCGCCAGCGCGAGGGCGGCCTCACCCGCCTCCCTGCTCGCAAGGAAATGTCCTGGCATCAAGGCGACCCAACCTTCAGCATGCAGTGGCTCAAACACACACAAAAGCGAGCCGTGGTCCCCAACTACAACACCATCCGTATCATCGCGCAAGCCGCCATGCGAGAGTTCGAGATGGAACGACATCCGAAAAAATTCCAATCCGACCCCTCATGTTCATCCTTACCTATCCCTCAACACCAACAACTCCCCTTCTTTGCCCGAGGCCGCATATACAAACCCCTAATCTCCCGCTTCGAATTCCAAGGGCTGCCCGTCAGTAGCGGCAAACCACCTCAAACCGCCCCAGAAGCCTCTCTCGACTTTGCCGTCTGGATGTTCCTGCGCCATGGCATGCCGCAGGACCAGATTGATCTGGAAATACCCGGCTACATATCGCGCATGTGCAGCCGTGGCGTCTTTCATAACCCGGAGAAACGGATGCGGGATCGTATCTGGGAAATTCGACGAGACCCTTTTATGCAATCGGGTCCGTTTTGGAAGATGACGCGTCCCAGGCGTAAGGGTGGTTCAAAGGCGAAGACCTTGCCGGAATCCCAGGATCAAAACTGATTCTGGTGTGTATATTATCTGAGTCTATGATTGTAATATAGAGTTGATATCCAACATAAATGAAGCGTCATTGAAGTTACTTCTACTTTCTACCTTGACATGATTATAGACAGGATGGGGGAATAGACTGATCCTGGCAACAAGACTGATCTCACTTGCCCGAACGCCGTCAATAAAGCACACACTGAGGATTAAATCCCGTACATTTCAAGATATTAAACCCGAAAAAGTCGACCAGTCTGTGATTGAACTATATCCATCCGAAAAGAAGACGCCAGCTCCATCCAAAGTAAGAAATTGCCACCAATACCAAAACTCCATGTAAAAAGGACCAAAACCACCCACACCGCTTTTATAGGAAATCAAATTCACACGGCCCATCCGAATCCCAAATCCTAAATCCCAACATAATCCTCATCCTCATATGTAACGCACGCCAAAAGAAATCCTCCCAATGTACAATATGTGTTAAGATGATTTGGTACAGAGCTGGTGACGTGAAAGGATAAAAAAGGTGCCGGTAGAAAGAAGAAAAGAACCTCTCCCGAAATCGATGACCAGACTGATAGAGTTGAATAAAAATCGAGAGTCAAAAATGATAGAGAAGAAATGGATGTCACGTTAGAACTTATGGCCAGTGGCAGTAAAGAGGCAATCAGAAAAGGTGAATAATAGGTTGTATGAGATGACGAGGGATAAAAGGACCCGGAGGGTAGGAAGGAGGTGAGTATGATAGGTTCGTGTATGAAGGAAGATATACCAGATATCAAGTATAGAGGGTCACATCGTGGAGAAGATAGAAAAGGTGAGAAAGAAACGAAGATATTGGAGAGTTAGGGGAGAAGGAGAAGGAGAAGGTAGAGAAGGAAAAAAGTAGAAGAGGAGGAGGAGGAGAAGAAAAGGGATATAATGAGATTCGTCTTTTTTCGTGTATCTTGACTCATCAATGTGCATATAATCATTTCAGAATATCTTCGTCCATTAACAGACCCAAATCCAATCATCAATTTGGATCCCAGTTCGCTTCCTCATTGGGAAGCGGGAAGAACGAGCGGATGAATTCACCGCTAATAGGATCATACGGGAAATACAAATCATCCGTAGTTGGGGCCTCGGCCTGGAGGCCAGTCATCGGGTCGGTGGTAGGCATGTTTGAGAATGTCGGGTAGGACGCGTAAGGGTGATTCCCGAGATTGGACTCCTGACTTGCTCCTTGGGTGTGGTTGCTCAAGGAGAGGTCCTCAAGAGCGGGGCCCCAGTAATCGTTTGTTTCTTGCGTGGTGCCTTGGTTCGCGTGTTGGGTTTCGGGGAGAGAGAGGGTAGACGTAGGTGCAGGGTGGTATGTGTGGGAGGGCATGTCGCTGACATCAAAGCTCATGCCAGAAGCGAGGCGGCGCAGGCTAATATCGCAGAGCTGCCAGGCGCGGCGTGAGGCGATGCTATGCTCAGACATGGAGTAAAGCCAGCGAATTCCTTTCTTGGCTAGCAAGAGGAATTGCTTTTCTGAATTGGGCGCATGCACAGTGCCAAAGGAGAGCTCGAGGAGCAGCACCGTTACCGCTTGCATCAGATAGTGCAGGATGCACCACCAGGGGGAGATCTCGTAGAGTTGGACCGCGTTCGGCTCATCGGGGATCAGGTCTAGCATGCGCTCAGCGGACTCGAGGGTCAACACGGCCATTTCGTGGCTAAAGTTCGTTCTCTCAGCAGGGCTTTTCTTCTGCGCGTCCCGCCGACAGAGACAAGGCCGACCTAGAGTGATCCGCGCACTATAGTAGTGGAAGGCGAGGGCAAGTTTGCAGCGGAGTAGCTCCGGGCCCTCATCTTCCTTGCCGGTGAAATCGAGGAACGTGGGAATACTCTGGAACCAGAGGTCGATTCGAGAGCGCAGCTCGCCGATTCGGTTCTCAATGTGTTTCCAAGGCACCATTACGCAGTCCACGGAGTACACCTTGTTCACAATCTCTTGCACAACAACTGCCAGATCGCAATAGTACAAGTGGCAGAGACCCGAGTTGAAAGGAATACTTTTCACCCACGAGTTGTCGCGTTTTCGTGATGAGTGTGTGGCTGGCTTGCCACCGGTAGGATTTAACGGCATGTGTCGAACCCAAGCGCTAGCCATTACCACGTTGATGCGCTCATCTCGGATATGAGTGTTGTTGAGGACCTCTGCAGCTTGAGGTTCCTGCAATTGTTCTTCTTCAAAGGGAAGTGGCAGGGGCGTGGTGCAGATACCATCGAGAATACAGGTAGCCCGGCCAGTCATGATACCTAGCATATGCTCGAACGTGTAGAGACACCACCATACCCTATAACGAGCCTCTTTAGAGATGTTCGGGGTTGTGGTGCTACTACTCTTCATGTTAATGCCGAGCGTGATAGCGGACCGCACTGCCAAGGCAGAGATGCGCCATGCACGATTAATCTGGTCGGATGCAAGTAGATAGAAAGCGATCAGGCCCTCAACCTGGACCTGTTGGAGATCGGGATGGCTGAACAGTACATCGCCATTCATGCTTAGAATTCTGGCTCGCGTCAGGTATACCAGATGATCCCGCTCATCTCCTTGCCACGGTGCCTCTAAAAGATGAGCATGTTTCGCGCCAATTGCGAAAATCATGTTCAAGATTGCGAGCCACTTGTCGCCAGGCCGTGCATTGCTGTCGAAGAATGTTCGGTATTGTGCGGAGAACAGAGGTCGGTTTATAATGGGAAAGAATGGATGTACAGTCCTCAAGTAATCATCGAACAATTTATCGGCCACATGTCGAGGGGGCATGGCGTAAAGTTCGACCGGTCCGGGCACGGAGATGTCGAGGTCGTCGAGATGGTAACTCACAGCATGTAGAGCAAGATCATCGTCCTGCCGCTTACTCTGCCCTGGCTCCAAAGACCCCGGTAATCCCCTTAACCTATGCTCCGCCTCCCTTTGAAGTCGTTGCATCCACGTAACCTCAGAGTTCTTCCCCATAAACCCAGTCGCCCTCGATTTTTCGTTTCGGTTCAAATCCTCCTCCACGCGGTCAATCGCTTCAAGTGATCCAATCGATGAAGGCGAGCTCATTTCATCATTATCATCCTCTGGAGGGTCGTCATTGGGAGTAACCGAATGAGATTGATTGCTGTTACTATTAGAGGAGTAGTCGACATCCGTGCCATGCTTCACAACGACAGAGACGTTAGTTACGGTGACCTTTTCTGCGATATATCAAATGACGAACCTTGTCCAGCAAGCTCCTGATTCGGTCTGCAGTACGAGTCTCCACCAAATGACCTAACTCCTTGAGAAGATTTTCATATTCTTGCGCTTTTTCTGAAAGATTGTCTACTTGTCTGTTCCATAGTGACCGTGGTTAGCATTCAATCCAAAAATTCTGGAAAATATATGGCACAACAGCTGGGAAGTATACAATCATACCTTTTAGTTCTCTCCTTCCACCCAACTGGATAATTGCAAGTAACCCTCAACTCCCGACACTGGCGACAAACCGGCGTATCACCACTACACTTTGTCTTGCGCGCCCGACACGATTCACAAGCCCGCGGAACCCGGCGATTATATCTGGGAATGATACCCCCACGGGATCTCGGGATCGCAACCTTAGCCTGACTCCTCGATCCTAGAGAATCCGCGACTGAGGACGCTGGTTTGGGAGGTGGCACGTTATTGTTCTCCGCTTCGGGCTTTGCGGTTCCATTTGGAGGCGCGAGGCCCTCACCCGGGGGGTTTTGAGGCGCCTCCTCCATCGTCATGATCGCGATTGTGTGGTCGCAGGATTTTTGGGATGGTCGTTAACAAGGGAATGTCGTGGTTGGGGATAGGTGGAGGGGTTAGCGTTGGATAGGGTTATCGCGGAGAGGGGATATCGAGCATGTACGGCGCAGGCGCAAATGCGATCTTCCCTCAGGGCGAGTTGGCGCGGCGATCGGGTTGGAGATGAGTGTAAGCCGATAGGTTGGCCTACCGTATGTAGAAATCCATGTATCTCGTCAGTAGGAACGCGGCCCTTATCGATGAAGCGTGCAAAACGCGAATGAAGTCGTGAACCGAAGTGGCGGAGAGAGATGGCCCCGGCTCGACCGCCTGGAACTTGCTGAAGTAAGTGGCGGCCCTGTAACTAACTAACTAACTAACTAGCTGCCAAGTGATCCACCCAATCGTAGTGTGGCTCGGGGAGGGGGGGGGGGGAGACAAATTGTTAATCTTGATTCGTAGTACATTACAATAATCTATTTTACTGAGATTAAGATGGGAAATCAACGAGATAATGAAAATGCGAAGAAAAAAACTTCACGAGTTCTGGTTTTGCGTGACGCCTAAAGCATACAAGAAATAAAGTCGCTTTTTGCCCTTCTTTTAGATAGTAAAAAACCCAGTAGATCCCGATAAAATCTCCATAAATCTTCCTTCTACCCATCCAGGGCAAGATCAAAAGGTTCCAAAAAAACAACAAAAATGTATATATACAGTGAGAAGGAATTAGCCAAAAAGGAGTAAAAAGAGCACGGCGTAGGAGATGAGAGCCGACATATACAAGGGTCCAAGTAAAGAGGGGGGTATAACGACGACGGTGGCTCTCAGGCCGACCGGGAGTGGAGAGATAGAGAGAGACAAGAGTTGGGGGAATACGATGATGGCAGGAATAAAAGGCACGCAACGCAAGCAGGCCGGAGATGCAGGGAAGAGAAGATGATATACTATATGTGACGTTTAGATTTCGCCAAACATCTCATCCAGCTCATCAACTTCCACGGTCTCCGGGTTCTGCAGCTCTCTCCAGGAGTCGAAGATGGGCTCGGTGACGTCCATGCCGGTAAAGGACCGGGGACCCAAGCTGAGCTTCTCATGCGACTCGGTCAAATCGGACATCTTCAAGTCCACGTCCGGGAGGCCGCTGTTCAACATATCGAGCGATCGCTTGAGAGTTGAGACAGGAGCAACGTCGGGGAGACTGATCTGGGGAGCAGCAGGGAGCGTGCCAGCCCGCTCCTCCGCATCCAACCCGGCATCGGCGCTCGTGCCAGACGAGACCGACGATGCCACGGAGGTGAGCGAAGGCGAAGGCGATGTGCCAAACAATGCGGCGGCAGCGGCCTCATCCAAGTCCGCGCCGATTTGGTCGGCGGGGTTCATGTGAGAGAAGTAATCACTGAACTCCTGTTCAGACATGCGGTCATCAGCCGGAGAGAGCGAGCCACCGTTCACGGGAGAATTGGAGATGCTCATCTCCTCGTCTATCGAGCTGAGGCCCTCGGACAGGACGGAGAGGCTCCGGGCCGACTGGTTGGCCTTTTCCTCAGAGGCACGCTCGCGCACCGCACTGGCAGTCTGAGTGAATTCCTTCTCGTCGCCCTCCAGGGGCGGGGAAGCCGCACGGTGCGAGTGCATTAGGCGAGTATGGCTCGACGGGTCTGGGAACTGATCGGAAGAAGTTCCCCGGCCCGCGGGATTGTTAAGATCAACATCTTGGTTCTCTTCAAAGTCGGGCGACGACAAATCGACTTCGGGACTGGGACTGCGCTGGCGCGCAATCATGTCCTCGTCGTCTTGATCCAAACTTGAAACGCTGGGGGTAATATGTTTGCCGTCGACACCCAAGATAAGATCATCGGATGGATCGGGAATGGGCTGACGAGGGAAGGTCGTCAGATAATAATACACTTTGCGCGGGTGGATGAGGATCAACTCTTTAGCCATGGGGCATGGCGAAAGAGCCGTCCACGGACGCTTCATATAGGCCGCAAGGCGCGAGGAGAGGAGCGCAGCGGGATTCGCGGAACTGTAGAAAAGGCAGGAAGTCAGTATTGATGTCTGTATGTGAATAGCAGAGAGAAAAGAAGGTGGAAACCTACTTTGCGACAGTCGAGTTCAAATTCACGAGAACCGCAGCCAACTCCTTCACGAGGTGAGGGCGATTTCCCGTCTTCTCCAGTTGTTCGATCACCGCAACGACAATATCATCGTTAATGCCTTGAGTATCGATTTTCGGAGCGACGCCAACATCCATCGGGGAAGGTGGCGGCGTGTGCTCGAACGCTCCGTGCCGGCCGGCGCGCACGACAGATTCCCGGCGGTCCGTGGAAGGCTCGGGTGATAATGAGGTGTGCGACCTCTTCACTTTCTTGGTAGGCGGGACATCGTCGGTCGCAGTAGGTTTTGAGACGGAGGGAGAGCGGCGCGACGAGTTGGGGAGGTGAATGCCGAGTGAAGGGAGAGATAGTGACTTGCGACGGGTGTTGTAAGGCATGATGATATTATTTGGGGGGTGGTGGTGGAAGCGGCGCGAGGCAGTTGGAGAGGCGGGAAGGAGAGTCAAGGAAGAGGTAGAATAGGGAAAGGAGAGTCAAGGTTTGGGGAAGAATAAAACAATAGAACAAAAACTAATCAGAAAAGAACTAGAGAATAGGTTTGGAATAGATAATAACAATACACAAGATTGAGAGGGGGATAGAAAAGGGAAGGGGGAGGATTATGGGTGGTAAAGGGAATTGGGGGGGGGGTCTGGAAAGATCGAGGGAAGAAAGGGTCATCGACGATGCGACGAGCTCTTTTGCTTCGTCCAACGGGGCCTGAGGAATCTCTAGTTGGAACGGATTTTCCTCTTTTTTTTTTTCTTCCGCTTTTTTTTGCTCTTTTTTTTTCCTTGTGACGGTAATTAATTACCATTAATTACCATTCCCGTTTGGCCGTTACCACTAGTCCGTGACCGCACGGGAAATAAAAGGACTCTGATTGGCCGGGGAAGTCTCTTTTCTGCCAGCCAACTTGGATTTTCGAGTTTTCTGATGGATCTTCTTACGGAATGTCGACTGGCCAAAAATCCTTCCATCCATGGCTCTCCTCGCGACTTTCCGGCAATACTTCCATACTGTAGCTGACGTATAGAGCTGCTCAAGACATGTTGCCTCTATTATTAAACAGACTGAACCTCGGCGTCAAATATCTACAAATTTACATTTTCTTCTACACCCGCCCAGACATTTACTCGTTTGCATATTCCAGCGGCAAACCAGACAGTACAGGGATGCGACATGCATCGAGTCAAACAACAAGATCGAAACAGAAACGAGAATTTTTTTGAATCCAAAATTCCAGGCGGTCAGTGGAGCTGGGAGTGTTCATATTTTCCGTCATTCATATTTCCTAGTCTCACCCTTTTCAAACTGTCCAAACAAAGAGGAGCTTTCGACTCCATACCTTTAGCCCACTCATGGCCTAGCTCCACCACTCCATTCCATCCTCGGCCGTAGTGCATACCGATGGTAGGGAAGGAGGCAAAAAAAAAAAGTAGGTGGGCCACACCATGTGTCCCATAACCCGAAATGGCCCTACGGTCTCCGCGACTCCATTTTTCACGTTATTTGTTGCGTCGCCCCGTCTACACATCCATGTTGGCTAATCATGGTGCTGGCTTGTGAATAATAAGATGCTCTCTCGATCGCCTGATTGGATTAGGGAGCATCCGGCTATTTGGCAGTTGTTTGGTTCCATCAAGCTGAAGGAACGCATCCCGTGGCCAAAGTCCATCATGATGTCTTGTTTTGGCCACTAGTGGATAGGGTCGTATGCACATCCATAGTGTTCAGAGACACACCGAACAGACCATGATGGTGGGATGCGATCTGTCAATATTCAAGAAAGTTGTACTCCGTACTCTAAAGGAGTATAGACTGGTTGCTAGGTGACCAGTCGCTTTGATCAAGGTTGACCGCTGCTCTTGGATCTCCTGGACGGAGAACCCGACAGTATGTTTATGCTTAGCTATGTACCTAGCCACAAAGATACCAGCGAATCGGATCCTCCGTCGATATGTGATGTATAAAGGAACCCACTAGATTCTCTGTCGTAGCCACGTACCGGAAGTACTCGATGGCCTGTAAACCACTATACATCCTCGCAACTCTTCATTATCATCAACATCGCCTTCCTCTCTGCCGAACAGGAGAGCACCCGAGGTCTCCGAGCGAAAACACCGATTCCCAAAAAAGATCCCTAGCGTCGCCGTTGACTCCATAGGTGGATCCCCGAAGAATCGAGGAACAGTCCAGATGAACAATTTGGTACGGGATCTCCGTACCGTTTGGACATAATTCCGGTCAATAATACACATAAATATACACTAGTGGCCGCTCTGACAATACCGTACGGCTTGTTTCTAAAAATCCCAAGGGATACCCGCAGTAGCGCCGTCGGGGGGAAAGCAGGCTCGCCACCTCCGATGATGCACCTGAACCTACACTTACAGCTGTTGGTACATCGACAGTCCGGCTGCATCTTCGATTGATGGTTCTTGAGTCTTTGGTTCTGTTTGAGGTTTCAATTTGGGGAGTCGGACGACACGTTCGCAGCTTTGAACGCTTCTGGCGCTCGTGGTCGCATTTTCTGTTGATCGCTCTGCGACCAGCGCCCTCGCAAAAGTAAAGCTGGTACCCGATCACACCAAGAAAAGTAGTGATGACATCTCAGATGAGGGGAAGTCCCCGTTGCTCTAGCCTGGATAGCCCATCCAGCGACGTCGATATGATGGCAAGCGCCTCCAATGGATCCCCATTTTCTTTCCTTTTGCTCTGAACTCTGCATTATTTCGTTGCCGATACGGATCTGATGCTACCCCTCGATTGGCCGGTGGCGTATACGATACAGCAGAGGCTTGAGGTTATACTAGATGAGCAGCACTCGCTAGATAGTCACTACTACTCCATACTCTACACTCTTTCGCCTAGCCTATTCAAGTCCGCCTTGTCTCGTGGAAGACATGGTAAATTTTAAATTTCAGGCCCCTGAGCATCTCAGCAAGGGTGCGGCAAGCAGCATTTTACTGTACAATCTGCACGTCTGCCCACTGTAGGCAGGCACCGGAGATCATTCCATGAGGCCAATCCCTGCCCTCATGGGGAAAACTACCCCAATAACTATGTGATATTGATCTCCCCCCAGTAATCTAATAATCTACCCTTGCTGGCCCGTTACCCGGGTCACTGATACCCCTCATTGATCGGCCGGTGCCGTTTGCATGACATCGTCCACTGTCGGGATGGTTACTTTCCAGCCATGCTCGGGTCAAACCCTCCTCAACCATGGGAAGACCTGGTTGCCATCCGCCCATTGTTTGAATGCGTCGGCCGCATGGAAGCGGACTTTATCTGATCTGTGAGTCTATCTAACTAGTGGATCAGGGCATTGTTTCTGTAGGCAGTACGGAGTACACAATAGTATTAAGTCTTGTGTAAACTTGAGAGCAGCAGGTAAATCACATCAACTCCAGTCCCTCTTAGACATACATCATGCATCCGGCACTAATTCTCCGCATCTCCACAGATATGTGAGGTTGTCTGCTCTAGCCAGTTAGGCTGCCCAGTCTGTCTGTGCGATGCGCTCAGACTCCTCCCAGCCTCTGGGGCACCTACTCAATTAGTTAGCTTTCTCCAACATTGAGTTTCTAGGAAGTCTATGTGCCCGGCTTCGAGGTCGTGGAACAGGTGCAGTTGCTTCCAACAAATCAGTATTCATTTAGCGTCTACTGCCTAGTCCGGACCGAGGCGTTATCCTATGTGGATATAAGATGTTTCCCCATCAACAACACATCCAATAAAGATATCACATGGCAGCTTCCATGTCATCATACAACTATAAAGTTCGTTATTCTACTGTGCAAGACATCGCCCCCCCCCCCCCCTTCCCCCTCATCAGACACGATCCATCCATCCTCCAAGTCATCAACCAACCCCAATCCTTGCATACCTGTCTCAACCCAACCCCGCGCCCTCTCTCAAACTCCCCACAAAAACGAGAGGGGTTAGATTAACAGGTCCAAAAAAGCCAGATCCAAGACATCCAAATCCTGAATTCAAACCCCTGCAGCGATCTGCGACCTGCATATCGCTATCGATCTAGATTGGAAGGCCGCGTTCTCCGCTCGACACCGTCGTTTGCATCGTGATTACTCCGTAGGTTGGGCCGAATAGATATCGCGGGTCACCCTCCATCTTGACATAAGCAAGGCTGATGGGTGTGTAATTTCTTTGTTGGATTTAGCCGAGTGGGATCTTGTATTGGTTTGATGTTTGATACCCTTGTTCGCGCATGTTAGCACATAGTTGGGTAAACTTGGTCGGTCGGCTCGGATAACCGAGTCTGGTATTATGTGTATTAGACTTAATTCCACTTACAGTCTTCCGCATTGTATGATACTGTACTGGCAAACGCTATGGGAGCGGGCCTCTTTTCTAGATTGGGGGTTTTGATGTTGCTACACTGCTTAGTGTTCCATGCATTTTGAAACAGACTTGGAGGCGCTTATCGGGTTAGCGCATTCCGATCCGGTAAGGGGTTTCAGTGGGCGCGTTGGTCTGCCCTCGTCAGTCTGCGACGTGTTGCATGGATGGTGAAACGAACTTCAATATTGGATAAAGTAGCCAACCGGGCCAATAACACAGATCTATCTACATGTACATTAAAACTAGGCCACCTTTTATCAAATCAAGTATTCTCAATAAGATACTTGATGCAAATAGACGGAAACAGTTGGAAAATTGTGTTCCAGTTTCAAACATGTCAGGGACTAGGTAGTCTTACAGATCCTCAAATATATACAACCACACATCGTACACAACACCACCAAAAAAAAGTCCAAACATCACTCCATCATAGATGGGCGGGCCCTATCGCAAAATCATTCCGCCCTACCTTGATCCTGCTTCGGCCGTAGAACATACTTCCAAGTCGTTCCAAAATGCCACCGTTTCTCCTCCACGATCTCCAACCCACTCTCCTTTACAATAGCCCCAATATCCCGATTCCACCAACACCCATGGCGATCCGCATGTGCCGGCGCCAGATTATCCAAAATCCGATTCAGCCACCCATAATACGACCTTCCATGCTCTAGAAGCAGGATACGACCCCGGCTAGGCTCCGTAATCGAGCCCAAATGCTTCAACGTCGCCACGGGGTCCGGCATCGAGCATAACCCCATAGTCTGCACGATAGTATCGTAGTACCGATCTTCCCGAGGTCCATGCCCATCGCCAACATCCTTGGATGTCTTAATCGTAGCCACCGGCTTCTCAACGACCACCTTCGCCGCATCCTGTGCACGGAATAGCACTCGCGCAAACTCCGGCCTCAATCGTCGAAACTTCTCCTCCGTGATAGCCACCATCTGCGGACTCAAATCCACCAGAGTCAGAGTTCGACATCCCTGAATAGCACTCTTCCCCTCCGCGTCTACTCCACGCCGCTCGCCCAGCTCGTAGTACTCCAGATTCCGGCCCGTACCGCAGCTCACCTCCAGTACGTCACCGCGCGCCATACGAACAAGCTCAGCACGCTTGGTACCCATGCGCATGGCTTTCTCAGACAACTCAACCTCAGCGTCGAAGGTCGGCGCGGTCGAGTTGTACCGATCCGAGACGTCGGTGGGAACCTCGAGGGATTGCGCTTTGCTGACTTCACGCGTATATGACGCGTACAGGTAGCCCGTATACGTGCTGATGGTCAAGGCTGTGATACCCAGGAAGGTGAGCACGCGTGGTGAGATTCCATGGTAGGTCTTTTTTTGCGTGGCTTCCTTTTCCGCGCGGATGCGTTCTTGGAAACGCTGAAGTTCGGATTTAGGGGGTGTCTGCCTCTGTGGAGGATTGGTTTTGGCACTGGGATAGTAGTTAGCGGATAGCCGTAGAGATGGGAATTGAAATATATGGTGTTTGGAACATACGTTGATTGTGGTTGTCGACGGGCTTTGCTTTTAATGCCTCTGGAGAAGGTGGTGGTATGCCATTTGGCCTGTAGAGAGGCACGGCCTATCCGAGGCGCGCTCATTGTGCCTGTTGTTGGTGAGGAGCCACCGGGGCCCTATTCCCTGATGAAATATCTGAATGGAAAGGAACCGATATCGACAACACAATATTGTCTGGTAGTTCTTTTTAGATAGTAGAACCGCCGTCGAGGAACGTGGTAAAAACGCGCGATTGAAAATTTCAGGGCTTCACGAAAAGATACGCAGGTCCAAGGATATGCGGACGGGACCGGGAGATCCCCAATATGTTTTCTGATCCCAATATATGACCCGCTACTGCGTGAATAGCAAGACTCCCCGGTTGACACGCCCTGCAACAGCGTCGGGATGTCGAATGGAGAACTCGGCAGCGGAAGCCGACCTGGAAAAACCGGGGCAACTCCGTTATCGGGCTATCAATTTCCACTTTCCCCGAGATGCACACCTCTCTTTCTCCCCCGCACGAACCCTGTACAGAGTGAATTTCTCCAACACATCCCTTCTCACAATGGCCCTGCCGCCTAAGATTCTAATCGTCGGAGGAGGTGTTTTTGGCCGTAAGTCAAGCCCTCATCAACCTCGCTCTCTACACTGGCCAATGCCATATCGGCACACGACCGACCCTATGGTGCCACCAGCACTGCCCAACACCCGACACAGAATTTAACACAGAACCCAGCCTGCCAGGGAAAACTAAGAATACCAACTAATTGATCTTGACAGTATCAACGGCCTTGTCCCTCCGCGAGCGCCACCCCAATTCGCAAATCACCCTGGTAGAATCAGGGCCCATCCCCAACCCACACGGCTCGTCCGTGGACACATCGCGCATTGTCCGCGCTGACTATGCCAATGCCGCATACAGCCGGCTCGCAAACGATGCCATCCAGCGCTGGCGCTCGACTGCTTGGGGCGCCGAGGGCCGCTACACACAGACCGGTTTGTTGCTCGTGTACCCCAGCGACAGCGCGAGTGCAAAGGAGTATGCGCGTAAGAGCTACGCCAACGTGCGGGCGATCGAGGGCGACAAGGTGGTCTTTTTGCCAACTCAGAAGGATGTCTTGAGTGTTGTACCGCCGTATGGTGAGGAATTGGATGTTGCGGGTGGTTATGTGAATTGGGGATCTGGGTGGAGTGATGCGGCAGCTGGAGTGCGATTTGCGAAGGGATTGCTCGATGCCGATGGCAAGGTTGAGTTCAAGACTGCCGAGGTGGAGAGAGTCCTATTCGACCAGTCGACTCCGAAGCCCAAGGCCAAGGGCGTGGTGCTGGTGGGCGGGGAGACGGTGGAGGCGGACTTGGTGATTCTTGCGACTGGAGCGTGGACGGGCAAGTTGGTGGATTTGCGAGGCAAGGCCGTGGCCACGGGCCAGGCTATTGCGTATATCAAGATCTCAGATGCTGAGCAGAAGGAGTTGGAAAATCTGCCGACTATCTTGAACTTTGCGACGGGTATCTTCATTATCCCACCGCGGGATAACCTGCTCAAGATTGCGCGCCATGCGTATGGTTATCGCAATCCGACTACCGTGCCCGTTCCTGGTGCGAATTCATCGGGTCAGACCATGCAGGTCAGTCTGCCCGAGACGGGTGTTCCCGTTCCCCTGGAGGGAGAGGAGGCATTCCGTGAGGCACTGAGACAGCTGCTTCCGCGGTTCGTTAATCGGCCATTTGTCGATACTCGTATCTGCTGGTACACCGACACGTAAGTAATCCTTGTCGTCCTACTGTTTCTTTTGACATGAAATGATTCAACTCTCGTTCTGGCCTTACCACTAAACGAAGGCTGGCTCTCCCTCAAGTGCCACAACTAACATCCCATCCAGCCCCAATGGCGACTTTATCGTCTCTTATCACCCTGAATACGAGGGCCTTTTCCTTGCTACGGGTGGCAGTGGACACGCCTACAAGTTCTTCCCTGTCATTGGTGACAAGGTGGTTGATGCGTTGGAAGGCACACTGGAACCCGAGTTCCGGAACTTGTGGACTTGGAATGAAGTGGTGGCGCCTGGTGCGGCTACCGATGATATTTTTGATGGTGATGGCAGCCGGTCTGGAGCCAGAAACTCAATTTTGAAGGACGAGCTGGCCAGGACGAAAAAGGCTGCTAGAAAGGGTGTTTTGTAGATGGTTGTTGGGGGGATTGTACATGTGATTGTGAAGAGTACATAGCACGGAGTATATGGATTGTATAGAGCATTGAACATACAGCATATTGCAGTCAACAGAGACGCACGTCCTGTTTACATTAACAAAGACCAGACTACAAAGGACTACAGATGGTGGCCACTGGGTTATTTATGCTACAAGGGAATGAAAGTATTTTTTTCCCCAACAATTTCCATTTTTGATAACGGAAGCACTGCGGCAGAACAAGAACCAAAGCCGCGCTCAATCTCCCATCATCTACCAGCATAGAGCAACGATGATATCTAGGGAGCCTCTCACCATTTTTTTGGGCCTACGATAGGTCGCCCTATCGCAGGTATGTCCAGCGCAGAGAAAAGAAAACAGGATTAAGAGGCAGCCATTCGACCAGCGCACAGAACCGCCTCCACTGCGGTGTGCAGCAATCTAATTGTAAAGGCAGTCGAAATGATGAAACAAAACCAGGGATCATCCCGAATCGCTAAAACGCCGAAGAATGCTTGCATGAGAAATCGTGAGGGAGCCACAACTCCGAGATGAAAAGAAGCAAATGCGAGGTAACCTAGTGCCAGTAACAGACAGTGCTCTGTGCTGTTTGCCGATATGCAAGGTTGGACCGTCGCTTGAGAGGGTGAAAACAATGAAAAGCAAAAAAGGGGAGAGTGTTAATACATAGATGGATGAAAGGAAGATCTTCCTGGTAACGTGCAGAGTCTTTTAAACCTTGCGGAAATCTAGAGTTGTTGTTAGTGATCAGCTACATTTAAGACGGCACTTGCCGGAAGCACAGAATGCATGGAACCTACCAGAGAGCACAGGATAGATCAGCTCGAAAGCCGAGTAAATCTCCTCACGCACTTTGGCGCCAGTCAAGACAATCTTGCCACTGACGAAGATCAAGAGCACAATCTTGGGCTTCATCATACGGTAGATGAGACCGGGGAAGAGTTCAGGCTCGTAGGAGCTGAAATGGTGGTGACGAGAGGCCAAACCCTCCAGACGGATGGGGAACTTGATATCGCAGGAGCCGACAATGTTCTGAATCTTGAAGTCCGTGAACTTGGCGTTGAAACCAAGCTTCTGGATGATTCGAGCATACTTGCGGGATGCCAGCTTGGAGTCATCCTCCGACTTGGCACCAGTGACGACCATCTTGCCAGAGGCGAAGATCAGAGCGGTAGTCTTGGGCTCACGGATACGCATGATGACGGCGGCGAAACGCTATTTGCAAAAAAAAAGAGAGACCAGTTCAGCCACACTGTACCCTGAATGCATGGAACAAGCTCAGGGAAGGTGTGGAATATACCTTAGGATTGTACTCGGCGTTACGCGCGTGCAGCGCGATAGTCTTCAAGTCAAGACGGCAGTCCAGGTTGACCGTAGCCACAATGTTCCTTTTCAGGTGGAGAAAGTCTCAGCCGAAGGTTTCTTTGGGGTGGGGACACAAAGAGACACAGGGCTTGGAAACATGGGTAGTACTCACTGCAAAGTGGGCACGATGCCGCTGGGGTTGTTTTGGGTGGCAGCGCCAGGAGTCGCAGCCGGAGTAGCGGGCGTCACCCCGTTGCCGTCAGCGGCATTTCCTCCAGCTGGCTGTTGACCGTTGAGAGCCTGGGCCTCTTTCTCCGATGAGGGCGGGGTGAGGTCACCGGCACCGCCTGGGAAGGAGAGCGAGGAAGGCGAGGTGAAGGCACGGGCCTGTTGCGCGTTCGACGGGTGGGTCGTAAGCGAATCCATGATGGCGATTCTCGGGGATCGTAGGGATCAACGATGAATCAGGTGGGTGAAAGGAAGAGTTCACGGCTGCGAGAGGGGAAGAGAGGAGGAAGGTTAGCGATGGTGGCGAGATGAGAAGGTGGAGGATAAGAAAAGTTGGGGTCGAGGCCCGAGTCAAGAAGGCGGTGATGGAGGGCAATATATCCATCACGTGAGGGTAACGGGAACTTACCAAGACTGGGCGGGAGATGGACAAGTGAATGTATCCCCTACAAGCAGAAATGCGGTGCGATCGAGATGAGGCGGCGGTAATGCGAATCTCAAAAAACTCAAGATCGACCAGGAAGAATGCTCGATGATAAGACACGAATCAAGAAAAGCACACTCAAGTGTTTTCTGGGGTCAGGATCGACGAGTTGGGGTTATGACAGAAGATGAAGAAGAGACCACTTTTTTTTGTTTTTGCGAACGTTTCTTTTTGTTTTCTTTTTTTTTCGATCCTCTGCTTTTTTTTGTGAATGGGATTTGGAAGTGTCTATCTTGTGCAGTGATCTGAATGAGAGTGGTGGAGCGAGACCCTGAGGATGAGCAGGAGACAAGCTTCCGGATTAGGTAAGCCCAAGTATGAAACTGGGAGAGAACCTTGGTGGTACTGCTTTTGATTGCAACCTCTGTTTTAGTTCTTTTTAGATTTTCCGTTCCGGAGAAACAGAAAAAGATTAAAAAGAAAAAAGCTGAGGAGCTTCCCGAGAGATGAATCCTTGAGCGAACTCGAAAGGAATATTAGTCGGAAGGAGGGAGGGGGGAAGGGAAGCGTATAGTTTGGAGCGGATGCCAAGACCGAGACAGAAATCCCAAAATTCCAGGGAGGGCGCGGGCGAGGGAGGTTGGGCCTTTATATAGTGCTGACTCACTGCCCGCGTCAGGGGAGGCTGGGCCCGCTTTGGGTGGCGGCAAAAGCAGCGAGCCCTTCACCCTGTTCCACCCATTTCCACTGTTCTCTCTTCTCGTCCACTCATCATCCACTCTACAGCCACTAACTCCCATCCAACTCCACCAGGGGCCACTAGCGGCTCTGAGACTGTCCCGTCAAGCCAATCAGATCCAATCGCTGCTATTAAGGCGAATGATTTGTCGATACGGGCCCACTTTGCCTCGTCCTGGCCCCCTGAATGGCCACGCCGCCCTTGCTTTCATCCTCTTTCCCCCCCGTTGACTCTCTTTTATCCTCCGTCAGCGCCATGGGTGTCGCCATTGGGCGTCCAGTCCGCGGGCCTCCTGCAGCTGATAGTCGGATCCGTCCCATCCTGCTTGCTGCAGCCCAATCACCTCCCTCGCCGCTTCGTGGCTGCTCCCTGGACGACGCGCTATCCTGTCGCTGCTTTAAGCGATGGCAACTGAACAAAAATTGTTCGGGGCGGGCGTCTCTCTTCCCTCTCCCCACTACTGGGAGAGGGCGTTTGCGAAGCGCCAACAAACCCGGACATCCTGGTTTTTTCGTCCCTCGCGATCCATGCTAGCCTGCGAATGACTCAACGCCAACATGGGCTAGAGGGGGGGAGGGGGGTGTCACCACCCTAACAAATCCTCTCTCCTGCTGTTGCCCATGAGTCGTACCGTTGGTCTCCGGTCGTGTTGGAATTCCAGTCCATGAGGACAAGTGGCCGTTTAGGGGAGAGCAGATTTTGATTTTGGGTTCGACCGCGTCGACCAAGTCGACTGGTCGAATTCGCGGATCCGATCCACCCGCCCGCCAAGCCTGAGATGAATCTCATGGCATGCGGGTTGATGATCGCTGCTTTTCTCCAGGCTGTCACTTTTTTCGACCTCGCGTTCTCCTCATAGGGTAAGGGGCGGTCGGTCGCAGCGGAGTACATCTCCGTACATTCATACTGTGTAATGTACGGAGTACTACTGTATCTTTTTTGACCAGCATTTTCCACGAGTTCGGTATGCTGAATACCATACCCGGCACTGCCGTTGTCACATTCCTGCAAATCCCCGGTATTCATGCTGAATCTGTCAATACTGGACTCCATTTTGTACACCCAGTGCTGACTGCATAGCCGCGATAAACCGTACTATAATTACAGTAATTAAATTCGACGATTCTTAAAGTAAGAGCGGTGTGATGACAGTCCAGGCATACAGATTTGATTGCTTAGCATGGGGAAGAGTCGAGCTGATGTAGATCACTCTGGAGGTAGACAAAAGTACGGGGCTACTCTACACGTACTCCGTACTTGTACAAGGAGTACGGAGTACATACACCTCGTACTGAGCTATCGAGAGCTTGATCCTTAGCTAGTTCCTCTCGATCAGCTCAGGGTCGATGATGTCAAGAGACTGTCAAACTGTAAATTCATTTTTTTTTTTGCATGTGATACACGTGATTGGGGCTGTTATGCAATACAACTGGAATCATCACCTGACTATCATCCTACTATGTATCAAGTCGAGTAAGCTATAGCAAGCCATGATATCTTTTAATATGCCTCCTCATCGTTCTTCTACAGCCTACTTGAACTGTCCCAGGGGAGCCAGGGTGAATCTCCGAAGACCACCGGCGGTCGGTGACCCAGAAAGGTGCCAACGGAGAACTTCCTGATTCACATCACCAGAACTCTGATTGGTGGACGACAGGGCGCTGAGCCTCGGGTAGGCGGTTTTCGGCGTTTTGAGTTGCAAAAAGCTCGGCCGCGCTCGCCGACAACCTTTCGGCTATTCAAGGCCCAAACGTTAACGTCGAAACCGTCCAACGATTCCCCTCACAATAGTCACCTTTCTCGACATACTTATCGACAACCTCAAATTGGTCATGCCCATTGTCGCTCGGTAGGAACGCTACTTCTCCTCGCCTCGTCCGCTTTCCCTCCTCCCCATCTATACATCATTGCGCCTACGATGGCGTCCAAAGGCGCCGTCTTGCCTCTGTTGAGGCGCGAGATGCGATGCTCCTCTTCCCGACTCGCACGAGCTACCCCCACGCTCGCCGTCCCCGTTTGCTCTCCTGCCACTTCCTTCGCAACCTCCCGTCGACAAATTGCTCGCCGCTCCGCACCTTTCCTTCCACCTACCCAGATCCGCGCCTTTTCGCAATCAGTAACACGCCGGTTTGACGACGAGGATGGAAACTTTGACCCCCGGTCCATCGAGCGAGAGTCCGATGAGGTGGATGTCTGCATTGTCGGTGGTGGTATGTGTTTGCAATGCCTGGGCGTTTAATTCCTTCCCTCTGTAAACTGTTGTCGGCTAAACGAGACCTCTCGATCAATCTAGGCCCCTCCGGTCTCGCCGCCGCCATTCGGTTGAAGCAGCTCGCGAATGAAGCTGGCAATGAGGATTTCCGGGTGATTTTGTTGGAGAAGGCCGGCGAGCTCGGTGCTCATATCGTCTCCGGCAATGTTCTCGAGCCGACCGCGTTGAACGAGCTTCTCCCCGACTGGCTGTCAGAGGATAACCCCGACCGCTTCGAGGGCGCGACTCCCGCCAAGGGCGACAAGATGCGCTACCTCACTAAGAACTCGTCATTCCCCCTCCCCACCCCGCCGCAGATGCACAACCACGGCAACTACATCATCAGTTTGAACGAGTTGACCAAGTGGTTGGGTGAACGTGCGGAAGAGCTCGGTGTGGAGGTTTACCCCGGATTTGCCGCCAGTGAGGTCGTCTACAACAGTGATGGCTCGGTCAAGGGTGTCGCGACGAATGATCTCGGAATTGGCCGAGATGGCCAGCCGAAGGATACCTTTGAGCGCGGTATGGAGTTCCATGCCCGCGTCACTCTCCTTGCGGAGGGATGCCACGGCAGCTTAACCAAGCAGGTGATGAAGAAGTTCGATCTGCGCCGGGACAGCCAGCCCCAAACGTACGGTCTGGGTATTAAGGAGATCTGGGAGATCCAGCCCGAGAAGTTCAAGTCGGGTGAGATTACTCACTCGATGGGCTACCCTCTGCCCAAGGATACCTATGGTGGCGCTTGGATGTACCACTTTGGTGACAACATGGTCAGCATCGGTCTGGTGGTTGGTTTGGACTACCCCAACCCGTGGCTTTCACCGTATGGAGAGTTCCAGAAGCTGAAACAACACCCCGTGTTCCGGGAAGTGCTGGAGGGCGGCAAGTGTATCTCCTACGGTGCTCGTGCGCTGAACGAGGGTGGCTTCCAGTCCATCCCCAAGTGCGCTTTTCCCGGTGGTGCTCTGATCGGTGATACGGCTGGTTTCCTGAACGTCCCTAAGATCAAGGGTACCCACACTGCTATGAAGTCGGGCATGCTGGCCGCCGAGGCTACCTATTCTGCTCTGCAAAGTAAGAATGAGGGCACGGTATTCCTGTTCGACTATGAGAAGTCTTTGCGGAATTCGTCCATCTGGAAGGAGCTGTACGAGGTGCGCAACATCCGCCCCTCTTTCAACAGTTGGCTGGGCTTCTGGGGTGGTCTGCTCTACTCTGGATTGGAAGCTATGATCTTCCGCGGCCGTGTGCCCTGGACTCTCAGCCACCACGGTACGGATGCCGCGGCCACCAAGCCCGCCTCGCAGTACAACAAGATCGAGTACCCCAAGCCCGATGGTGAGGTCACTTTCGACATTCTGACCAGCGTGAGCCGCACGGGTACCAATCACGAGGAGGACCAGCCAGTCCACCTCCAGGTGAAGGACTGGGAAGCACACAAGGACCTCGCCTGGCCGGTGTATAAGGGTGTGGAGAACCGGTTCTGCCCGGCCGGTGTGTACGAGTATGTTGAGGATCCCACCAAGCAGCACGGTGTCCGATTCCAGATCAACGCTCAAAAGTAAGTCCCACTTATCTGCCTCCGATGGACCGAGGATATCTACCTCGAACTATTGTATAGTGCATGATGCTGACTGTCTCTCTTTTAGCTGTATTCACTGCAAGACCTGTGATATCAAGGTTCCTACCCAGGATATCAACTGGCAGACTCCCCAGGGTGGAGAGGGTCCTAAGTATATCATGACTTGAGGACTGTTTTCTCTTTCCAGGAATGGAGTTCTGGGGTTTGTTATGAATATAGTTGGCGAGACCTCGATCGCCTGTATTGTATATATGCGAGAATACCAAAAAGACAGAGCGTAGTGTTTTCTTTTATTTCTTTTGGATCGAGTATCGAGTACCCAAGTACGCTGTAGCCCTTGTACATACAGTGTACCTATACACCGTATCTCACTATCTCGCCGCTTTTACTCAAGTACCTAGAAGTGGGCACATCCCTGCCAAAGTTGGGCAGTGATCACTACACAAACAACCTTCACTGCCCAAACATCCTAATTTACCCATCGAGAGTGACCATAGAGCCCTAATATGAGCATCCCGGCCCTCGTTTACTTACTGAACCTGTCAAGAACCTGAAAGGGTAGTGACATAACGAAGCGGGCTTGATTAAACGCGACACTGTAGTTGGTTGCCTATCCGAATTTCCCCTCTAGGTAATTTCTCCTGTCTCTGTGGAGTTGCACAGGTTACTTTTCTCAACCCATTTTATCGCCATGTTCGTGGAAGACTAACGTTCGGTCGCCTACTGCCTAAATAGTAAAATTTACAACAATCAAGAACCAATAATAATGGGGCCTGAATGCTAGAATCGGAATAATCCTCTGATTTCTACGAGTAAATGGGAGTTGGTTGCAGCGAAGTTTGCACGAAATTGGCCCGTAAAGCCCCGAACTCCACTGATACAAGCTTGAGTCTGGGGCCGCCCCCGCACCTCCCGCCTTCCGTACTTTGGAGCTGGGGAGATCTGGATCGGAGTTCTCGGTTATATTAGGGTGGTGGATGGAACCAGACAAGAGCTTTTCGGAGCAAGGTTGTTTGAATTCTGAGAGCCTTCCTTCCGAATCGCAAAGATGCTTGCTATTATTCTAGTCCCTCTCGCACTTGCAGGCTTGTTGTACATTGTCTTAGTGACTGGCAGACGAGCCAAAAATCTTCCTCCAGGTAAGTCCATACGAGGGATGTTGTATAAAGGGAGATATGTGCTAATACAAGGTGCTTCTATCAGGACCTCCAACCCTGCCTGTCCTCGGGAACCTTCACCAAATCCCCAGGAAAGGCTCTTACTTGAAGTGAGTAAGCTAATAATCATGCATAGTCCAATCTAACTTGCAAAACAGGTTTACCGAATGGGCCAAGCAGTATGGCGGTCTTTACTCCCTCAAATTAGGTACAGGGACGGCAGTCGTTATCACCGATGGGCGCATCATCAAAGAACTCGTCGACAAGAAGAGCGCCAAGTACAGTAACAGGCCTGTTTCATACGTCTCTCACGATCTCATGACATCGGGCGACCATCTCCTAGTCATGCAATATGGACAGCAGTGGCGAACTTTCCGAAAATTGATCCACCAGTACTTCAGAGAGGCCATGGTCGAAAAGGAACATGTTGAGGTTCAGAATGCCGAGGCCGTACAAATGCTGCGTGATATGTGTGTACGCCCGGACCAGCATATGCGTCATCCTAAGCGATATAGTAACAGCATTATCATGAGTCTTGGTTGGTTTGCTTCAAAACTCGTGTTTTGTTCAACGATTACTTACTTAAGCCCCAGTCTTCGGCTTTCGGACACCATCAGTGGAGACCCCTCATATGACGCGCCTTTATGATATGATGGTGAGTAATCATCGAACAAGCACTGCAGAGCGACAATCCTAATGGCTGTGGCTGTATTTTAGGAGAACTGGTCTCAATTAATGGAACCTGGCGCAACTCCACCCGTTGATATTTATCCATTCCTTCACTATGTCCCACAAAAGCTTTTCGGCAACTGGGTATCCAGATCGAAGAATGTCGGTGATGAAATGAACGAATTGTACGCCGGCGTACTCGACCGTGTCCGAGAGCGGCGACGATCGAATAAAAAGCGGGACTGTCTGATGGACTCTCTGCTCGACGAAGAGGACAAACTGAATCTTACTCGCCACCAGCTCTACTTCTTAGGTGGTGTTTTGATGGAAGGTGGCTCTGATACCTCAAGCTCTATTATCGTTGCTTTCATTCATGCTATGACCAAATGGGGCCATGTCTTACGGAAGGCGCAAGAAGAGATTGATACGGTTGTAGGTGAAGATCGCACGCCTGTCTGGTCAGACTATGCCCAGTTGCCCTATGTTGCAACCATCGTGAAAGAAGCCCAGAGGTGGAGACCTGTCGTTCCTCTCGCATTTCCCCACGCTGCTGCCGAAGGTAACCTTCTGTTTTCCTTTTCCTCTCAAAAAGATCTCAAAAAGAATAGCTCTAACCGAAGTGAACAGATGATTGGATCGATGGTTACCTTATTCCAAAAGACACGGTAGTCATCATCAACGGATGGGGTATGCACCACGACGAGAAGCGTTTCCCAAATCCCGAAATCTTCGATCCCGATCACTACAAAGGTCAAACCACGCTCGCCCCCGAGCTCGCAGCTGCAGCAGACTACGAGAGCCGCGATCACTACGGTTATGGCTCTGGACGGCGGATTTGCCCTGGAATTCACCTGGCGGAACGAAACCTGTTCCTGGCAATCGCCAAGTTGATATGGGCATTCTCCATTGGGCCTGCCTTGGATGAGAATGGTCAACCAGTTCAGTACGACTACAGCCCAGAGACTGGTTACAGCGAGGGTTTCTTAGTTTGTGCGAAGGACTTCCCTTGCGTGATCAAGCCGAGATCAGAGGCACGGCGTGCGACAATAATGAAGGAATTTGAAGTAGCTCAGAGAGATGTGTTTTCGCGATTTGATGTCTGAGATTAATAGGTTTAGGGCTATTGGAGAGGAGTTTCTCTATCAAATTCATCGTTTGTCCGATCACCACTATGCACATTACTGCTCAATCATGACTTTAATAAATGAAATTATATGAGAAAACAGGAGCCTTTTTAAACAGATAACTGAACAGGCAGTGAAATGGATTCATTACGTATTTGTTGACTAGCTGGGAAATTGCGCAAGCAAATTCTACGGTGAAGCGTTCGGGCCGAGCCAGCAGTGATCGTGGGCCACTTCCACATTTATGGACATATTTTCTTAGTTAATGACATAAAGTGATATACCGCGAGGAAATACTGACAATTCTTTCCATATTAGATTTTTGACCTCAATCAACCGGTTGGCCCGTATTGCCCACTTTGCCCACGTCGCTTCTGAGACGGCAGATGGCGGGAGAAATGATACGTGAACACCATTTGATTTCTGATAACAATAGTGCTAGTATATTACCCCTGCAATCTAGGTCGTCGTTTCGCCAGAAGGGAGGCAGGGGGCTAAGGGGAGTTCGCCCCACCCTGAATTAGCCATATATTGCTTGCTTTCTAAGGGCTCAATAATATGATACTGCACTCCGCACTGGTTGGACCCTCCCCCAAACACGCGTGCGACGCCATTGGAAAACGATCGGTATAAGGGATATAGGCAATACAAGTTTCTGGATCCTCAGCTGAATCCAAGGTGTACAATGTGGGGAAATGAAACATTTCAGCAGGTCGCACTATCTTCGGCCCAACTTCGTTTCCATGGACATGCAAGGATCCTCGGATTAGCCGGGCGTGAAGTCCTCCGGTTTGGCGTTTTACACCCTTGTTTATGCCTTCTGCAAGATTTACAACTAGGTCCCGCTGAATTACATCCGTAGGCCCCGCCGTGGACGTTGCAAATAAATCTGCGCAGTTCCGCTACTAGAGATCAGGCTTCATGTATACCAACCCATCGAGAAGCAATGGCTCCTTTCCTCACGAGTGATATCAGCGAGAAAGAGACAGATCGAAAGCAAGACGCTTCGGCTGCAAACGGAAGGGAGAGCATTACTCAACTCGACAACTCAGATCAAGCGGAAAATCATGTTGTTGATACCGAGTTTCTCATCGTTGGAGCTGGGCCAGCGGGTGCAGCTTTGGCTTGCTTTCTCGGTTCTTATGGTTTGTTCTACATGATATGAGTCTTTGATCACGGCTGACAACCCGAAGGTCTCAAGGGTATAATGGTCAGCAGTGCACCGGGAACAGCAAATACTCCACGGGCACATATTACCAACATGGCAGCGCTGGGTAAGTGATACAAAGATCTTATCCAAGCACCAGAATGCTGACAGGATCATTTCTAGAATGTCTACGTGATATTGGTTTGTATGATGAGCTGAAGAAACTGGGATCTACGGGGGCCGACCATATGCAGCACACTCGATGGTGTCACAGTATGGCAGGCGAGGAGTACGCACGTATCTATTCCTGGGGAAATGATCCGAAGAGAAAGGTGTGTCTGACTTCCTGCGTTGTTCCTTCGAGAAGCACCAAGTACTCCCCAAGGCAGAATACTAACGGAAACCTAGGGGGACTATGAGCAGGCTAGCCCATGCGAACCATTCGATTTGCCGCAAACTATTCTGGAACCTTTTCTGGTTCGCCATGCGGCTTTAAAGGGCTTCAAATGCCGCTTTGACACGAAGCTGGTTTCATTCGTGGAGAATGTAGAAACTGGCTTCATAACAGCTACTATGCTTGATAGCATCTCCAACCAGACCTACCAGATCCGCACGCGGTATCTGTTTGGCGCTGATGGTGCCCGGAGTGTGGTGGTAAAGCAGCTTAATCTGCCTCTTGCGGTCCAGCCTGGCCAGGGTATCGCAATCAACGTGCTGGTCCAAGCTGATCTTTCGCATTTGGTCAAGAACAGGACGGGAAATCTTCACTGGGTGATGCAGCCGGATTGTGAGCATCCTGAATTTGGGTGGATGGGGATCGTCCGCATGGTCAAGCCGTGGAATGAATGGATGTTCATCCTATTCCCTAACCGCGATTATGACCGTTCTCAGAGCAAGCCATCTGAGGAGGATTATCTTGCGAGGGTGCAGCAATTCATCGGCGATAACACTCCTGCAAAAATCTTGAATGTTTCAACGTGGTATATTAATGAGATCGTTGCGGAACAATACGCAAAAGGCAATGTGTAAGTGAGCTCTCTGTGAACCCGATAGGTGAATGACGCATCTCTGACGGTCAACCTTTCTCAGCTTCTGCCTAGGCGATGCCGTGCATCGTCACCCACCCTTGAATGGCCTGGGCTCCAACACTTGTATCCAGGATGCCTACAACCTGGCCTGGAAGATCGCCTATGTACACAAGGGCCTTGCAGGGCCGTCGCTTCTCTCGACCTATTCTGTCGAACGACAGCCTGTAGGTCACTCGGTCATCACCCGAGCAAACCAGGCATTCCGTGACCATTTCCGTGTATGGGAAGCACTCGGCATGCTGCCGAAGGATTTATCCGAACGTAAACAGATCCTTCAAGAGCTGAGCAGCGCTACAGCGGCAGGGACAATCCGCCGCCAGGCCTTTCAAGCGGCAATAAAGCATACCTCTCACGAGTTTCATGGATTGGGAGTCGAAATGAACCAACATTACGAAAGCCGAGGGATTTATACCGCTGACGAGCCGCTTCCATACACACCCTCTTCACTAACGGCCGAGGATAGTGTACTATTTTATGAACCAAGTACATATCCTGGCTCTCGAATGCCGCATGCCTGGCTCAATAAAGCAATTCCAGAGGCAGCAATCTCTACTATCGACATTGCCGGCAATGGCGGTTTTGTCCTTCTGACTGGGATTGGAGGTGGCGCGTGGAAAGATGCAGTTGGCGCCGTTGCTGAAAAGCTTAAAGTGCCCATTCGAGCATACTCTATTGGATTCCGACAAGACTGGGAGGATGTATATTTCGAGTGGGAAAGCGTGCGTGGCGTGGATGAATCTGGAGCCGTACTAGTGCGCCCTGATCGATTCGTTGCCTGGCGCGCATCGAAGGTTTTGCAGGACGAGGACGCATGTGCGTCAAAGCTTCTAACAGTCATGAACAGTATTCTGGGGTATTGATATTAGGTAAACTTGTCTTTGATGTCTTGTATCTTTTCTCTACTTTATTAATAGTGTTCACAGTGACATGCTTAACTCCCACATGGATGGCAGGAACGCACTCATTTTATTGTGATAGTAGCTAGTAGATGTAAATAGCCAGTTAACAGGTAGTTTTTTCTCCACATTTTTTTTCAATAGAAAGAGGTTTCTTTGTTGGAAGTTGGACCACTTTCACTTTGTAGGTTAGGGTGGGCTTTGCCACGGATAGTCTCGGACCATCTTCGGTGTGTCTTTAACAGTGTAGCACGAACCTCGCCCCGCCCATTGCCCCACATCCGCCCCCGCATTGTAAATCTTCAGCCTGGAGCTTGGCTGGACTTTTGATAGGAATTTCTTCACGGCTACATCTACCAAAACGACGTCTTGTGACTACAGTGAGACCGGGAGCAGATTGAATACGGAGAAGTAAGGTAGGGAAAGGAAAATCCTGATTGTATAGAATGTGGGCCCCCTCGCTGAAAACAAGAGAGCTGATGGCATTCAGCTTTCTGTATTTGACAATAAAGATAGAGTAGTAACCTAGCATAGACATGGCCATTTTTACCAACTAGAATAAAAATAAAATAGTCCCATGAGTGAAACATTGAATGATTTTATGGACAACATTTTCTTCTTAGCGAGGCCTCATATTGCAGGCAACACTTCCTAACTAAAAGGGGCTGGCAGATTTCCTCGATTAGCTAATTAATGTGGGGGTCCACTGACCCCAAACTTCTGCCAGGCAATGGAAGGAGATTCGATTTTACACTCATCCAGCTTCCCACTTTACCCTCTATTGAGTAAAGTGGTGGGAATAGATGCGTCTATGATGTCTGAAGCCTCGCGCAGAATGCAGAAATCTGACCTATCCTGCCAGTCCTGTCGCAAGTAAGTGCCATCCTCATTACGGATGAGAGGCCGAGGGCCACTTTCTAATCAAAGTCATCGTCTAGGCGGAAGGTCAAGTGGTATGCGATGGCTTAAAGAAGCAATTCTTGACTCTGGGATGTTAAAATCTAAGCAGTGATCGGATTCGTCCACAATGTATGGTCTGTTCCCAATCAGGCCAGACCTGTAACTATCCTCTACGGTCCATGAAACCTGGACCAAAGATCGGTATGAGTTCATCACCTCTGTGTCATTGGGGGGTTACACTTACCAGATTTAGGGTCCCTGCAGAAGAATAAAAGACCTCGCTTCAGGGATGAAATCTCCCGGAAACGATCGAGCGCCTCACCTTATAGCTATCCAAGGGATGCGGATAACGCATATAGTGGTAGCTCCGAAGCTCTTCATGATGGGCTAGAGAAAGAAAGCCCAAAACCAGCCGACTGCTCCGAGACCAATGGAGCTAATGAACGACGAAGTTCACGTCTGAATATCCACGACCTTTCCTTCATCCTTCACCCCTCCCACGAATCCACGACTCCGAACAACGAGCAAGACCCGAGCCGGAGCCCTAGCGAGTCTGGGAAAACGGGGCTTTGTCGTCAAGCTTGTGCCGAATTACGAGTTTCTCAACCCTTGATGAATCAAATGTAACCGCCTCAACTACACCGAGAAACTCAGTCTCAGTGGAACAAGAACTTTGGCTTACACATTCCAATGGCAGGATTCGAGTGTTCTTCGACAACATGGTTGCTCTTAATCTTTTCCATGAACCTACCTTTACGGAAAAGCTTTCGAAAATTTCGTCGCTTTGGGAGTTGACTGCTCTCCTTGCTGCCATGGCTGCGTTCGCGTCCCGCTTCTTCGACCACACATCGGACACCTCAACCAGCGATGGAGATGGATCCCAAATCCCACAGACAATCCATCAGCCCGCATACTTTCTTGACCATGCTTTCAACTACATCAACAAGGCCGTGACTGAATGCGAAGATGAGGTACCTCCTCTTTGCGTCATCCAGGCTCTTATCATTGCAACACACTGTCAATTGACCCGAGGGGTCCGCGGAAAGGCCTGGCGGTCTTTAGGACTCTGTGCGAGTCTCGTATACGAAGCAAATTTGCATGTTCTTGATTCAGAAGCGATCGCAACACCAGATCCTCAGCAGTGGCAACTAGAAGAAGAAAAACGTCGTGCGTTCTGGGCTATCTGGGAAATGGATGTTTTTGCCAGTACTATCCGTCGGACACCCACCGCTATCAACTGGAACCAAATGGCCGTTCTACTACCTGCTGATAACGCTAATTGGTTCTCTGGAAACCCAACTTCAAGCTGCTTCATGGAAACTGATCCTAATCAACGCTGGAAAACACTACAGGAAAGTGGCAACCAGTCAGCAAAGGCGTGGTTCCTCGTAATCAACTCTCTAATGAAGACAGCTCAAACAACGGCTAACCCCCGAGGAATAGCTGAGGCATGCAAATCTGGCCACTCATGGCTCGGTCATCGTGTCTCAACGCCAAAATCAATCAGAGACACCCGCCAAAACCTAGAGACCTTGGCGAACGCGGTGCGCTGTTTTAGCCTCGCACTGCCTGACCGTCTCCTCTACCGAGACCAATATCTAGCCTTTGATGCTCCGGTTCACCGGAAGGTAGAATCCCAGCGACAGCGGGATTGCGACATATACAATATCTTCGTGATGATGCAACTTGCTCGGCTGATGATATATCGGTATGACGCATTCTCACCTCAAAGTCGTCGCTCCGAAATCAATGGTCGTGACGGCGCTAGAGACTCAGCTAGTCGGGCTGCGTCTAATGATACCGAAAACGTTGCATTGCAACAGTACTACGACGCAGCCGATCGCATCTTGAAGATAGTCAGACAGAGCTGTGAAGAGCACATCAAGCATATCAACCCATTTCTCTCTAGCACTATCTGGCTTGCCGCAGCGGTCCAGTTGGTCCGCAAGCACTTTACTCGCCCTTCTTCAAATACGAGCCTAATCAAGTCGCGTTTTGATGTTCTTTATTTGACATACAAGCGGTGTACGCTTTTTTGGGACACCCAGACTGCCCTCCAGCGAAATCTGGAGTCTCTTGAAGAACAACTAGAAGCCAGACAGAGACTACCACATATACGAAGTCGCCAACATTCCCCAAATGCCACGAAGAGGACAGTGGGCGAGTTGGAGGCGAATAGCCAGTCCTCGGAGCAACAAGGTGACCAAGCCAAGCGCCATAAAAAGACACAAGGGGCACACACACCACTGTCCAGCACGCAGCAAAGCCGTGCTGCTGATTTGCCCACTACAGCAAATTCCAACGACGTTTCAACGCAGTACCTGCCCGAAAGCCCAATCAGTCCTGTGGATTTCCCGCTGTTGGCGCATGAAAGAATGCACATATCAGCCGACAACTATATAAGACAACCCTTTACAGCGCTAGAGAGCACAGAAATTATGGACCCGATGACCCTTGCTCAGCCTGGGAGAGACAACATCACAGAGACCTATATGATGCCCGCCAATTCTGATTTTCTTGATTCGATGGATCTGGGAAATACTTACGACGATCAGGCTCTCGAATGGGAGCGACTTGATTTTCCGGCTAGGATACATGATATTTTTGCTGGATGGACGTCATATTAAATGTAGTATACACCGAAATAATATCCTTGTTTTGGTTTCTCTATGAGTAACAAACTTCCATGATTTGTAGCATGAATCACTACTGGGCCCTAATAGTCAATTCTAATAGATGTACTTATCTTTCCAATCCATGGCGGCGAGATCACAAGTACTCTACTGGTCTCGGGGCAAAGGAAAGGTCTCGGCTTGACTACATGACAAGGTTTCCACGGATATGGGGCATCATCTGGCTGGGTATTAAGTGGATTGGAAGATGCGTGGATATATGGATTCGTAAATTAAAATCCTGCAAATAACGGGTTGCTCCGTTCTTTGCCCATTACTTTCCCAGAAACCGACCGAGGATAGTCCGTGCCGAGAGCGGGCTAATTTCACGTACGTCCGTGACAACACCAATCAATATAGATGAGTAGGAGGATATAACTAGCGAGCCGTGGCATTGAACTACAGTACTATGCTGATACCTTTCTTGACAGTATTTGACTATCAACGTTGCAGGAATGGCCGTCTCGAGCAAAGATACTCGGATCAAATTGGTCCGCATCACGCATGTCTACTACACCCACAAGGATATCGAAAAGGCTCATGAGTTTCTCCTAGACTTTGGGTTTCAAGAAGTCAAGCGCGTAGGGAAGGACATCTATTATCGCGGAAGCAGTGCAGAGCCCTTTGTCTACAGCGCACGACAGGGGGAAGAAGATGTGTTTGGCGGCGCAGCGTTTGTTGTTGAATCCGAGTCCGATCTCGTTGCTGCCCAGAAACTTCCTGGCGCCACCCAGATTTACGAGTTAAGTGATGCGCCTGGTGGTGGTCGTTGCGTGACTTTCTATGACCCAGTGGATAATTTCCCCTTCCATCTTGTGTACGGACAAAGTCCTCACCCCGACGAGAAGGCGCTGCCGCAGCTCGACTTGAATTTTGTAAGTTGTTTCCATGTAGCCCTCCCGGCGTTTTATGACCTTTCTGATTATCATCCAGCCAACAGATAAACACCGGCCGGGTAACAAATCTCAGCGATTTCAAAAGGGTGAGTTATCAAAACGCATCTCCTGAATAATGAGCTTGAATGCCCTAATTATACATTGAAGGCCCCGCGCCAGTGCACAAACTCGGGCATTTTGGCATGTGTGTCACCGATTTTACCAAGTCATATGAGTTTTATACCACCCACTTCAACTTCAAGCCGAGCGAGGTAAGTCTCCTACATCTAATCACTCGCTTCGCTATTCGCAAGCTCTTTGCAAGCTCTTTGCAGACTGATGCGGCTCTTTCCACTGCTATTCAGTTAGTCCATGACTCTACTGGGAAAGATGTCACCACTTTCCTTCACTTAGACCGTGGCAATGAGTTAGTCGATCACCACTGCTTCTTTTTCTTCGAAGGGCCAGAATCGCACGTACATCACTCCTCATTTGAGACCCATGACTTTGACACACAGTTGTTAGGTCATGACTGGCTCCGCAGTAAAGGTTATGAGAGCTGCTGGGGCGTCGGCCGCCACATCATGGGCAGTCAGATTTTCGATTATTGGTATGCCCCGTTGCTTTCACTCTGTCTGATTTACAAGTCTGACGATGTAAATAAATCTAGGTTCGATACTTCTGGCTTTATCGTTGAACATTATGTAGATGGAGATCTGGTCGACGACAAACATCCCGTTAATCGAACACTGGCCTCGCCTGATAACTTGCATGTCTGGGGTATGTTTGGGCAATAGTCAGACTCAATCATATTACTAACTGTCTACTAGGTCCGGATCTCCCTCCAGGTTTCTTACAATAACGGCGTAGTTGCTGTGGTATATTGCGTGCTGCGCTCTTACTGACGGGGTTTATCGACTCTGAAGTTAAAAGGTATTTCATGAAAGTCATTTAGATATCGATATTCAAAATTTTGTGTATTTTCAGGTTATTTGAATTGCATTTCATCAGATACTAAATTCAAAATCGGCACAAAAGAATTCTGAATAAATTGAGCGCAAAATCTTATATATACAATGTGCTTGTGTGCGGTACCTTCGGTCAACTAACACATAGGTAAGTGTCTATCAAGGACTCCTGCAAAAATAGTTCGTAATCGTCTTCTAATTTTCAGACTTGATTTCTCTTCGGAAATGTATAGACTCGACCATTATTCGCTCGTTATCTCGAAAGTTCCTTGTTGAGATCACAGAAACTGGCTCGGTACATAGGATCACCCCACTCGTTTGGAAATATAGCCAGCCAACTGTAAGAGCAATTCCAACCAAAGAGGAAAGATAATTAATACGCAGAGGCGTTATGATTTCTTGACCTTGCATTATTGATCGTCTCAAACAAAAATTGTCCGAAAATTGTGCCGAGAACAGTCCGTCCGGCGGACCCATAGTTCAACAAGGTTCCAATGGGAAGTTGGCAATACGGGTCCCGGTCCGAGATCTAGCATCATTTCCACCATTTTCGGGCTAGGTTTGTGACTGTAGGCTATCACATCGAATCATGTTTTATTATCGTGATTAATTCCACCAACACAGGCTCCTTATAGGTAGAATTTGTATCTGACAATGCGCACCTAGAGAATAGGCCGAAGTCGCCTCCAGAGTACGGGATTGGCCATATTTCCGATGTGATTTAGGACATTCAAAAGACACTGGGTTCGCACTTAAGATCTGTGTTCCGCATAAAATTCCTTTCCCACCCCCACCCCTGATTTGAATTTCACAGCTGGACTGAAAATGTCTCCCAATTGGACAAATCTCGTCCGCTTCATCAGCGAGGAAGATGGCCAAATCCACCTTGGCGAAGTAGATTCTACGCAGTACCCAGATGTCGGTTTTTCTATCTTCAACGGCCAGAAAGTTGCCGCCAGATTGGTCAAAGGTTCCATCTTTGATGGCATCGTAACAGACACCATTATGCACATTGCGCGAGTATTACTCACCTTCTCAATCTCCCATCTCGATCCCTCAATCTTACTTACCTCTCTTCTTTGGAACCAGATTCTCGCGCCTGTTGGGCTCGAAGACGTGCCAATCATCCGATGCATGGGACTGAATTACCGAGACCATGCTAAAGAGGCGAATATGCCCATCCCAGATGTGCCTGTACTCTTCTTGAAGCCCCGTACCGCGCTCAACGGACCTTACCCCGCAAAAATCAATGTACCAAAGATTGCACAGGATGGATCGAGTGACTACGAGGCAGAACTTTCGATCATTCTGTCCAAGACCGGTCGTGATATTCCCGAAGCCGAAGCGATGGAGTATGTTTTGGGTTACACCTGCAGCAACGATGTCAGTGCTCGAACCCAGCAGTTCAAGAATAGCCAGTGGTGCTTCTCAAAAGGTAAGATAGCCATATCCAATTTCACATCGCGAGTGCAACAGCGACTTACCATGAATCCATGTACGCTAGGCCTTGACGGGTCTTGCCCACTGGGCCCGGTTCTCGTGTCTCCCTCTGCCATCGGCGATCCACACAGTCTTCAGATAAGAGCTATCCACAATGGCAACGTGGTGCAAGACTCGAACACCAGGTACGACTGCGTTTCCCCCTAGAATTGCGGATTTTTGGAAGCTAACATCGCTGATTTAAGGGAAATGATCTTCGACGTGGCAAAGACCATCGCATTTCTCTCTCAGGGAACCACTCTGGAAAAGGGTACTATCATCATGACCGGCACGGGTCTTGGCATAGGTGCTATGCGAAACCCAAAGGTCGTCTTAAGGGATGGTGATGATATCAGAGTTGAAGTGGAGAAGATTGGGACTTTGGTCAACCAAGTTTACTACGAGTAGAGAATTGTTCAAAATCCACTGGCTTCATCGTGATTTTCAACTTATTTTGGTGTTCTTTAAACAATCGCTCCGCCTATGCCTTGGTAATTTTTTGCTATTAGCTTCCTGCTATTACAGAGTCGGCCACTAGTATACTAGCGAATGGAATCTTGTATCGTCTTTTGAGACAGCAATTGTATAACCTTAACTACCTTACCCTAGGTACCTAGCCCTGGTTAGTTATAAATGCTGTTAAGTAAGCAGAGGCTGCTCTGAATGATCACATGACTTCATTGACCATACGCTCATGTTGACATTTACAAAGCGAGTTTGAGGCTGAGGAACTCTCATTAAAGTACCGATAGCCCAGCAGACATAATTATCTTGTGTACAGTATACAGTCGCATGCTGTACCTAGTACATGATCGGTACTTTGTGGTTGTCTGGTCGTGGCAAAACGCCCCGGGGAAATCCGCGGGCAGAACCGTGGAATGCAAGTGGAGGTCCACGAGGCGGATCAAAGATGAACTAAACTTACTGTTTATGGTGTAAACGCTTTATCAAGGTTGATGAAACTTCCTATACCACCAAAATCTGTGCAGTGTGAAGCATCTTTATTCCTCCTTCCTAGTGGGGGACCACGTGGATCGCTGGAAGAAAAAAGTGAGGCGGCCAAAGTTTCCAATTGCTGCGCCCACCGCCATCTCGACTTTCTCCCTCTCTTTACCACTCCCCCCCCCCTCCTCTTTTCTCTTCTGCACTTCCTGCATCTCCCTTGTCTTTCTCTTTCTCTCTCCTGCACCGTGGTGGAAAGCGTGTGTGCCCGATATCTAACCTTCCCAGCCTAACCTCACCCCCCCCCTTTTCTCCTACCCGGGGGTTCTAGCGCCCGCCTTTCCCTGATTCGGGGACCTCTTCACTCGCGTCCTTTTTAGGCCACTATCTCTTGTCTCATCAGCATCGCCTGACTGACCGCCATGACGGAGGTTTCATCCACCCGATTGTATCTTGGGAACCTTCCCCGCAATGGTATGCTGGCAACCCACCTTTTTTTCCTCGTCTGCCTTCCCTTTGTCCCTGTTGGTTCCCCTTTTCCAAGGATTTCCCTCTCACCACCCCCACTGAGAGGCGTGGTCCACTTTCCCATGGAGTATTTTGAGCCGCATGGAAACAACAGCTCCGATCCGTAGGAGCTCAGCCACCATGGATTGCGATCTTTCTTCTTTCAAGGCCTGTGCAGCTGACCCCGTCTGCCATCGAATGACTTGCAGTCACCAAACAGGACATCGAGGAACACTTCAGTACTCATGGCTCCGGTAAGATCACGGAGATCAAGCTGATGAACGGCTTCGGCTTCATCGAATATGAAGATGCGATGGATGCCCGTGACGTTGTACCTGGTATGTCTACTCACCGGCTGATCCTTTGTGATCCTACTCAAAACCCTCAATATTTGAGGGGGCCTGAGCCTGCAATCCGTGCCCATGATCTGCTAACTTTCGGGCCCTCCCGTTCTAGCTTTCCGTATGTGATCTCATTCTGGTCATATGATAACCCGAATTACTCAAGACCTGGACTTGCTCACAACCTGGCTATAGATGGCAGTGACTTCAAAGGAGAGCGACTGACAGTGCAGTTTGCTCGTGGTCCTCGACGCAAGGAGAACTTTCCTGGTCCCCAGGATCGCCCGGCAGTTCCTCGTCCTCGTCGTACCATGTTCCGGATGCAGATCTCCGGTCTCCCTGAAACTAGTTGGCAGGTTAGCAGCCCAAGCCCATTCCTCCCTGGATGCCCTGGATCTCTCTTATCTTTCCCTGGACTTCTCTTTGTTTTTCTTCCGCATGAACCATGCCGTTTCTTCCAGTCTGTGATCCGTTGCCCCGGGTGATTGGTTTTGACTCCTGGAACTCATGGACCTGCTATTCATAAGGCACCCTTTCCGAGTTGGTGTCCCATCTACCCTGCCGGTCCGTTTGCATCTGCAACTTTTGCTCCAAAATGCCCGAGCAGTGGAAGCGTGGTCCTTGTTGACAGCCCACAAGGATGTTCCAATGAGGCCATAATGGATCACAACCCCTTGCTTGACTGGACGTAGACTGTCACCACTCCCGTTCTTCCCCGATTTGCCTCTATGGACTTGACCGGACATTTTCTTTCATTCTTCCGGGACCCGGACTCACCATTCCTTTCTTTAGGACTTGAAAGACTTTGCTCGCCAGTCAGGACTGGATGTGGTCTACTCCGAGACCGGCCGCGAACAAGGAAGAGGGTGGGTTCATCATCTACAACCCGAGCCATTGACCCCGGGCTCTCTCTATTTATCTTGGACCCCCCATTGACAAAGGAATACAAGGTTTGTTGAATTCGAAACCGCAAACGACCTCAAGACTGCCGTGGAAAAGCTGGACCAGCACGATTTCAAAGGCTCTCGCGTGACCTGCGTTGCGGATGTAAGGATACCCAGCCTCCAGCCCCGGACATATCAATCCCTCGTAGTTTGCTCCCCAGGAAACCAACACCCCGTCTCATCTCTTTCTTCAGATCCAAAGCTATGAAGACCGTCCGTACCGTGAACCGTACCGGTCTCGCTCCCCACGGCGGCCCTATCCTCCCATGGACGAATACGACCGAAGGTTCCCCGCGCCCCGTGGATACAGTCCCCGGGACCATTATCGTGAACGATCACCCGTTCCCATGCGCGCAGGATACTATGAACGCGATGGCTATGGACGCCGTACGCCCCCGCGCCCCCGGATGGAGGACTACCCGCCTCCCCGCCGTCCGTACGAGGACCCTTATGATGCCCGGCCTCCGCCCCCGCCGCGCCACTATGATGACCCCTATCTAGCGGCGCGGGCCATATGGCCGCCCACGTTCTCCTCCCCGAAGTGACTACGTTGCCTATGAGCGTCCACGCTACTGGTAGATGACATCTTGTCTTCAAGATCGCTTGCGTGTCTCTTAGGGATATAGCGAGTGCTTTATCCTTTCTTCCTCTTGTCTCCTACCCCGTCAAATACCCAGCCGTTCCGTATTGTATTGTGTGCTCTTCTTTTTCCCCGATGGTACCATGCTTCGTTATGTCTGCCAAGTCTCTCAGCGTGTTTTTTAAGGTTGGGGACTCATCTGCTCTCTCGAATGTGGCTAACAAGCCTGCATCCTGACGTCTTCTCCTCGATGTTGAGCTGGGCTCTTCGAGCTCGGCGTAAACTCTGAGGTTCTCTGATGCAATGCTATTAGAGACGCATTTCACAATTGGAGCTTAATTCCCCCCGGGCCGACACTAATGCATTTGCACTCTGATCTTCAAAACTCGGTCGCCTGGTGCTTTGATTTTTCTTTTTTTTTCTGCTTCTACATTCTGGATTTTACTTCGTCTGTACAGATATCGACGGATCTGGGGGGGGGGGGGGGGGGGGGGGGGGGGGGCACAGAGTAGAGATCGGATTTTATGCTATGATATGTTGACGGACTTTGTGCATCTTGCCTGGTTGATGATAGCGTTCCTAAGCTATAATCAGCTATGATGATGACTGTGATGGGTGCCATGTGACGGGACGGTACAGACCGGTCTGTAGTGTTAATAATTTACTTCTTGTCTCCATTGGCTTTTAGATTCGTCATATGCAAATACTAACTCTCAAGCATTAGAATTGTCTTCAATTGATGGAGAATCCAAGTCAGTTCCGTTCAGCGGGGATCTCGTGCCGTCATGATCTGCGCCCCGCCCCAAAAAAACTTCCCGAGCTCTCCATTCTTTCCCCCACCATCCAACCTCGTTCCATCGTTCCAACTTCGAGAAGGAATGCTGGACACGGTCCTGATTCTTTAATTCAATCACTGCTCCAATTGACACAATCCATATCTTATCCTAGTCACTTACCAAAATACACCCTTTCGATCTCTGTCGGAAATTAATCCCGCAGCAACGGTAGCTCCCCCACCTTCTACCTTTGGAGCACCAGCGAACTCTTTCGCAACCCATCAAAATGTCCTCCCCCCGATCCGCCGTGCACATCCCTACAACCCCGGCTGTCCTTGACAGCGTCCGTCTCCGCAACATCGAGCTCCCCCTCCCCGCTGCCCCAGACCCGTGGCATCGCCCCGACAAGCCGCAGCCCTGCACAGCAAGCCTCAAGCTATCCTACTCCTCCGCCATCGCTGCCGCAGAACAAGATGATGTGTCGCTCTCCCTTGACTACGGCAAGCTCTTCCGACGCTTGGAAACTGACGTCCGTGAAATGGCCCACCACACCACCTCCCCGGAGCACCCGCATCACCGCATGGTCAGTGTCGAAGGCACGCAGCGCGAGGAGATGAAGATCAGCGCCGTGGGCCAGGACCCGCGCGTTACGGCCGGTATTGTCGCGAACTGTGGTCTGGGCCTGTTGGACGAGACAGCCGCCGGTGTGCGCCGCATGGCGCATGTGCATCAGAGCCCGCGGAATAGCTTCTCAGGTGCGCCAGCGCCCCTGTCCCCGCGCCTGCTCGCTCGTCCCCAGTTGCGGCCGAGTATGGCCGGTGCGAGGTGTGGCTGCATCTTCCCAAGGCGTTACTGCGTGCAGAGGAGGGCCTCAAGTATCGGAGCGTTACGGTGTGGGGGTACAAGGATGGTGCGGATGCGGAGGCCTTGGATTCTGAGTCGCGGTGTCCCGTGGTGTTGGAGGAGGAGTTCCGTATCGAGGGGATTCGCTGCTACTGTATTCTCGGTGTGAATTCGCATGAGCGTGTTGAGAAGCAGGCTGTTATTATTTCTCTGGGCTTTTCGGGTCCTGGCCAGTTGGCTTGGGGGTCGACCGTGGTCGATACGTATGTGGCTCTGACGCGGGCTGTTGCGGAGGTATGTATAAGTATCCTGTTTGATCGTGATGGTCATCTGATCTTCTCGCCTGTCGGTTATTCATGGTCTAACCTTGGATTATAGAAAGTCGATGAAACCACTTTCCAGACTGTTGAAGCTCTGGCTACCTTTATCGCTCGTATCGTGACGGTGGAGTTTGGCAATGAGCGCGTCACCGTTCGTGTCGAAAAGCCTAGCGCGTTGGCGTTTGTTGAGCGCTCTGGTGTCGAGATTACTCGGTCCCAAGCGTTCTTCAAGAACCACGACGTGGCGCGCAGGTAAGGTTGTCATATGATGATGTGCGTGGAATCGATCGATCGTGCATGCTGCACTGCGGGTGCTCCCGCGGGACAACGGTGAATCGAAGTTTCTGGATGGAATGGACAGGACTGTTTGCGACGGCATAAATCAGGAATTCCTCCAAAAAAGAGTAGTAGTAATATTTCGAGTACAATTTCTCAAGCCATTTAGAGTACTTCAATGTGGTTGTGCTGTAGCCAGTCAGATTTGGGTTGATAGTCAGCTTCGTAGTAGGTAGCAGGAGTAGTTAGTATCTGCTCCGATTCTATTGGCAGTCGTGACAGCTTCATGTTCCAGTTTGCAGAATACGAAACGAATTCAAGAGTAGCTAATACTACTCTATCCTGACTCTCCCTTTGGTCCCTTTCCTTCTCCCTGTCATCTCCAAGGAGACCATTCATAGTTCATAGATTGCCCATGCCTTGCACGTGAACGCCCGATCCGGTATAGTCCATAGGCCCCCCGGATTTACGCCCGAAAGTGATGCTTTTCTTCAGCTTTGTCTCTCTCACCCTTTCAACTCATCCTTCACTAGTGGGAACACCCGAGTTTGTTCCTCCTCTTTGACACTCTCCTCGGATCAGTTGATCAACCAAGACCAGCCCCGCGATTTCCTCTATGTGCCAGCCTGCGCCCTCCTCGCTCTTCTCGACTTCTTTGACCAACTCCCTGGTCAACCTGCCCTTGATTACCTCCGAGATCTCCAGCGACCGCTCGCCGACCAACGACCTCGCCGTGACCGCATATCCCCAACTGACTCCCTCCGCCTTGGCTTTCGACTTCGCGGTCGGCGAGGTGATTTGGCTAGGGGTCCCGGGTCCGTCCTGAAGAAGGGCGGACGGTAAAATTACTCGAGGATTTGCGAGCTGGCTGAGAGTCAGCTAGAAAGAGACTGTACCATTCAGCTATCACGTTGAGGTGAGTCTTCGTTCCTTCCTTTCCCGGAACCCGAGAGCTTGTCGTTATTTTTTTTACCTTCATCGCGATTGGTGGGGCAAAAACTCGCTCGCGAGGAAGCTCTCATCTACCCCTCCAACTCTCTCAGGCAAGTCGAAAAAAAAAGATTAAAGCTAATATGGAATCGGTGGACGATAGTGGCAGCCATACAGGCCTCTCGAGTATCTATTTGCCATAACAAACACCATTGGTGTGTCCTCAATTGCCCTCCGCACCGCGACTATCGTCGGCGCCTCTACTGGGAACGAAACCCCGAGGCTCAACTCGGAGTCCGAACTTTTCTCCAACACCGTTGACTACTGCGACGATCGCAGTCGAGCATCATGCCTTCTTCTGCGCCGCCCGATGATCTCTCCGTTGGAGACGTTTTTACTCCGCAGGCTGACAGCGCGCAGCCCTCCGCCGTCGACATTCCGACCAATCACCGCGTCCCGGATGTCCACATGGGAGACGACCAATTGTCGCCGCGCAAGCAGATGGCCAATTACAGGGCCAACGGGGACAATCTGATGCAGCCCCCAGCGTTTCACCCGAACCTGTTGTCCGGCAAGCAGCGGCGCAAGGCTAAGAAGAAGAAGCAAGCCACGCAGGCGGATCCGGCACTCTCGACGGTCCGTGGTTTCACGCCACTAGCCTCCGCGGATGAGGACTCCGATTTCTCCACGACTAGCTCCCGCGCTGCCGAGTCTCGTCCGATGACCTCCAAGGGTGGAGCGAGTCCGCGGGCTCAGCCCAACACGGGCCACGGAGTCAGCGCCTTGAAGCTCCAGCTTGACTCGCTGGGTCTTTCGGGGAAGCCTACTGCGGGTACCGGCGGCTTCTACTCGGGAACTCCCAGCAACGCAAGCGTGTATTCCGACAGCGACCAGACTGAGATTTTGACCAGCTATGAAGTGCCACTGGAGCATGACTTCGTCAGCGCAGATGCCACAAAGGAGGAGGAGGAAGAGGGACCTGTCAGCACGAGCCCAGTCGCAGCTGGAAATGGGGTCGATATGCGGAACCAGGTCTGCCGGAAGATGACCGCAGAGGATTTTGAGCCTTTGCTTTGCCTTGGCAAGGGTTCATTCGGAACTGTCTTGTTGGTCCGCCATGTTGTCACGGGCAAGCTCTACGCTCAGAAGCAATTCAAGAAGGCATCGCTCACTGTCCACAAGAAACTCGTCGAGCAAACCAAGACGGAGCGCATGATCTTGGAGAGTGTCAACCGCCACCCGTTCGTGGTGAAGTTGTTCTATGCCTTCCAGGATCACGAGAAGCTCTACCTGATTTTGGAGTACGCCCAGGGCGGCGAGCTGTTCACCCATCTTGCTATGGAGCGTATGTTCCAAGAGGATGCCGCGGCATTCTACATGGCCGAAATGGTCCTCGCCCTGGAGCATCTGCACCAGAACGTCGGCGTCCTATACCGTGACCTCAAGCCAGAGAACTGCCTCCTTGATCACTACGGCCACCTGCTCCTCACCGACTTTGGCCTGAGCAAGATCGCAGTGAGCGATGATGAGCGCTGCAATTCCTCCCTGGGTACAATCGAGTACATGGCCCCCGAAGTCATTCAGGGCAAACCCTACGGCAAAGCATGCGACTGGTGGTCCCTAGGCGCGTTGGGCTTCGACCTGCTTACCGGCTCCCCTCCATTCCGCGCCAACAATCACGCTAAACTGCAAGAGAAGATTGTCAAGCAGAAGCTCGTCCTGCCTTACTACCTCGGCCCAGACGCAAAGGATCTACTCATCCGACTGCTCCGCAAAGACCCCGCCAAGCGACTCGGCTACCACATGCCCAAGGATCTGCAGACAATCAAAAAGCACCGGTTCTTCCGCAAGATTGACTGGGCAGCTCTCGAGCGACGCGAAATCGACCCGCCAATTCAACCCGTCGTCACGGATCCCGCGCTGGCCGAGAACTTCTCCGCTGATTTCACTCAGATCCCTCTTAGTCCGACGGTGACGGGTGGGTTTGATGATCTGTACGCGCAGAGTCGATCTCGATTATCGTCGAGTTTCGCGGGCCAGAGCGCTGGTGACGGTGATCCATTCGGTGGATTCAGCTTTGTGGCTTCGAGCAGCTTGCTGGATCACGGGCTCGGGGTGATGGCGACGGGATATTAGGCGATGAGCTGTCCCCGATGGTTCCGAAGCTTCTTTACTGTCTCGTTTCCAGGGAGTTTAGGTTGCTTTGCATTGTACTTTGCTTTTCCTCATGTCATGGTCGCTGCCCGTGCATCACTTTCTGTCTATCTTGTATCCTCAGATACAAGCGTTCTTGTTCTCAGCTTCCACAGTTCAGGACAACAAATCCGGTTCTACAGCGCTATCACATTCTTCCGCAGAGGTGTTACACTAAGCGGTTCTTTCTGCAAGAAATGCATTATTCAAATTCGGTTTTATTCTTGATCATTTCGAATTTCGTAGATAGTCATTGATGTACAATACAGTTCAGTTCATCCACCCTGCAAGCCAATATGGAATCCAAGCAACACAAAAATCCAAACCAAGCCAAAAACAAGGAGAACAGCACCCGTATGCCGGACCTTCCCCGCAAACTCCCCGAGTATTATGATACCGTATGCCATCTAGATTTCGCCTTCTTCGCTTCCACCCCCTTCATCATTTGGTGCGGACGGGGGGCCCGTTTCCTTGGGGTTTGCAGAGTCCGCTGGGGCTGTACTCGGGTCAACGCCCTTGTCGTCTGAGACTTCGCCTTCTTCGGCGCTCGTTTCCTCTTTCTGGGGGTTCTGTGTTGAGGATGACTGGGTGTTTTTCTGATCTTGTCTCTCGCTGGAGAGTCGATCGGTGGGTTTAGATTGTCGGACTGCTTCTAATGCGCGGAGGGGAATGCGCGGGCGAGCTGTTGTTGATGGTGAAGCTGTTGCGCCTGCTGCAGCGGGATGGGGTGAGACGGTGCGTTGGCGTTTTGGCGAGCGCTCCCCATTTAATGAGGAGGATTGTTGTGTGTTTGGTGTTGGGGTTGGTTGATGGTGTTCATTAGACTGGGAGTCTGGCTCACGCGAGCGTTTGCGCCCGTTTAACGCGGCCGAGTCGCCTGGTGTGCTGAGGGTGGGTGTGGAGACTGGGTCCGCGATGGGGTTGTTGTGGAAGAGGCGGGTTGGATCGTTGACGTCTGCGTCGGAAAAGGCAAAGTCTGGATAGCCCTTGCTTAGGTTTTGCTGGACGCGCTCGTAGATTTTGACGATAAGTTTGCAGGCGCGGATGAGCTCGTCTACTTTGACGTCTAGTTGTGCCCACCATGGTCGTCCCTCGGAGTCGTCTGGGAAGGCGATCCGGCAATGGCGAGCTGCGGCGTAGAGGGCCGCTGCGGCGATGACGCGGGGCTGGAACTGTAGACAGAGCACTGTGTATGTGGAGTCGTTTAGGAAGGCGTATGCCGAGTGGCGGAGGGGTCTGTTGTCGCCCACGCCGAGGGAGAGAGAGTAATCCCAAAGGATGCGGTACGGCGACTCGAGCTGTAAGTCGAAACAGAGGAACTCCAGCATGACGCTCTCATTCTGGAGAATCAAGTCGCGCCACTTCCAGTAGTCCTTTGACTGCTCATCCACAACAAGATCAGGCTGCTTCATAGCGACACGGCAGCAGGCCACGACGAAATCCTTCATGCGGCGCATCGTCTCGTCAACCTTGAACGCAACGAACAGGGAGACTGCCGCGATGACCTTGGGGTGCATGAGGTCGGCGCCCACCTCGGGGTATTGTCCGCGAAGAGAGTATCGCATGAGAAAGCGATGCATAAACACCGTCGCCGTCATAGACGTCTGCGGCGGCATCTTAAGCATCATGCTGACCTGCCAGATAAACTCGACAGCTCGATGCCGGATATAATCCTCCTTCTCCCGGTCGATTTTGTCAACCCGCGACGGCGTGCGCTCGAGGTCTTCATCGCTAAAGATCCATTTCTGCTGTGTGGCCGCTATAACCGGATTAGGTAGGCCGGGGATGCGGTGCTTCGGCGGTGCTGGGGACGCGGAGGCTTCCATCTGGTCGTGTGGGGGCTCGCGCGAGGCCAACGGTTCACGCGAAAGGGGGATGTTGTAGGCGAAAAGAGAGGCGAGGATGATTGTGAAGGCGAGAAGTGGAGATGCCAACTATCTCTCGTGAGAGGTAGCAAGGTAAAGCGCGCCCGCGCGCTCCTTTGCGGAGGGTTATAGAGCTTCCTATCCCAGGGTTGGGTGTTGTCCGATCCAATCGCGCATTCCAGAGCTGTTCATCGCATATTCGAACGGTCAAAAAAATTATCTCACGGTGATTTCGAAGGTGTTCCGGTGTGAATATATGGGAGAAAGACTCTCAGGTGCTGAGAGCTTGGTTCAAGGAAACTTGGGTGCATGTGGTTGCGGCGAATCCAGCGAAAGTGAAAGCTGCTGCCCGGGCGGATTAACTAGTTCTCCGGAGATATGCTATTGGCTGGCTGAAGTATAAAATGACCGAGAGGGAACACGCAGACAACTAGTTGATCTTTCGAAAAGAAGGCTAGATTATATCAACAGGGGTTAAATGATCAAATCTTGATACTTTGGGGGAGAGTGAAGAAAGTGGTAAGTTAACCAAAATCTTGGTGTGGTCAAATTTAGCGACCACCAGGCATGGATGCTTGAACTTGCCCGGTCAAGCAAGCATCAGTGAATACCCTCATATTCCAAGAATGAAAACCTCTTGTTTAAGGACTCTTTTTCATAAATGTTGATCTTTAAGAGCTTGTGGGTCGACATGCTGGTGGCTCTTTATCGGTTACTTTGAATGGAATCCCCGGTGGGAATCACTAGGTTGGATGATCATCTACAGTGTCTTCAACATTAGGTCAAGCCTCCAGGCCTTGTTATATTTCATGAATTTTGCCAGATTATCATCCACGAAATTCTCTGCTCAGACATGCTAGCCAGACAAGCCAAACCACCCGGTATGATTGAATGTCTTTGCGCCCAGGCCGATATGAGTAGAGCAAATGACATTAGGAAAATGGGATCTATCATATTAGGATTAGTGAAGGTCATACAGCCTATCTGTTGACTCAGTCTACCTCTAGTATTGATGTTACGAAGGATCCTTCGGGAAAAATAAGATACAAGGTAATTCGCATTGTTTCAAGGTATCGATATGTATCACGAGATCTCTTGAGATTCAAGACCTATCATCCATCCTTAGCTCCCCTAGCGAAGCACGCAAATATCTAGAGACATCAAAAGCACCACGGTACCCTTCTCAACCAAAGAACTGTCTGGCAACGTGTGATTGCAGTTCAACCTTGAGCCACATGATCTGGGCATCCCTCTCAGCGATTTGACGCTTCAAGTCTTCGATTTGAGCCTTTAGGGTAACCTCATGCTTCATCTTGCGGGTTTTGGTGGCCGCCTCAGTGTTATTGGTGAGCTTAGGAATCACAGGGTGGGGAGTCATGGGAGTGACTGGCTTGGGATTGGTCATAGGTGGGGTGTGATCCTTGCGAGGGCGAGTGCTTTTGGCATTGTTCGAAGCGTTCGGGGTGCTGGCTGCCGATGATCTTGGCGACGAGGTAGTAGGAGTGGCAGGGAGCTTTTGCTTGGTGGCAGGTTTCGCCCGGATAGTCAGGACGGAGCTGGTGGGAGCTTCCATGGTCGACGCGTCGTTGGAAGCAGGGGACTTAGCCATGATGGTTCGGAATGTTGATGTTGATGAAGAGAGAGGAGGTGTCAGACGTGAAACGGCAGTAGGTAACCGGAGAGATGGTGTCGGGTAGGAAGGAAGATAAGATTTCACGCTGGGTCGTTTGGTGAAGATGAGGAACCTGGGAAAAGGAATGAGAAGAAAGAGAAAGCTATTCAGTCAGGGACATTCCTGATATACGGTCTTACAAACGAGCATGACTCTTATCTTCCTAATTCGGTATGTTTGCTGCTATCCACAACTCCAGTGTCCAAAATATGTGCAAACATCCAGACTGGGTTGATCATCATATGCTCGATGGTTTCTTAAAATCCAGGCTAGAGAAAGGTAGCCTAACAGAGCAGGACACACAATTAAGGAGTAGATTGAAGTGATCAATAATGTATACTGTTCTTGATATTCCACATACCTTGGATTTTCCCCTTCACGACCTCAACTAAGCACGACTCTTTTTGGACAAGAGTGATGTTGAATATGAGATTCAAGGAGTAATATCAAAGGAAAACAAAAAGGTAACTGAAGAAGAAACGAGGGATGATCATTCACTAAACCACCTAATTGACTGCGCATACATAACAATGTAGAAAGTGGTATCTCTAGTCCTGCACCCGAGCGCCACGCTGATATGCAAAGATACAATAACCTCAAAACTAACGATACTTATTCCTCCTCACTGACCTCACTCTCATCATCACTAGCCACATGGTAACTCCTCTGACCATATTGGTGGCTACGGGCCTCTTCCTCACGCGCACTCGCTTCAAAGGCGGCTTCCATTTCTGCAGCCAGTGCATCATCGTCCTCCATATCATCTCCGGTATCGGCGGGAGCAGAGGGAGCGGGCTTGGTATCTCTGGCTGGGGAGGGTAGCCGGAAAGACTCCATTTCCTCTTCCGATTCCTCGCCGTCCCTATCGTCGGCTGGCGTGTTATTCGAGGAGAAGAAGGAGGGGTTGACTTTGAAGGCTCGTTTAGGAGGAGGGGAGCCCATGTCAATAATCAATTCCCCGTCGATGATGATATTGGAACCTGGGGACTGGATGGACCGTTGCGAGCCATTGCCTGTGCCTGCATCTGATATCGACAGTCGAGAGTCGTCCTGGTCAACCGGCGGTTCTGGACGAGAGACTGGCTCTCGGGGTCGCTCGGCGGGTACATCCCGGGGAACCTTCGGCTTTACAGGCGGCTTCTGTACACGCTTGGTTTCGCGGAGAGGGTTCGTTTGCTTTTGCGTCTTTGGTCGGGGTGCAGGCTTCGCCGCGGGTCTGGCAGGTGGTAGCACGGGCGTGTTGGCTTTGCTGGTGTAGATCGGCTCTGGCGTAGAGTTCCGCGAGGCGGGCTTGACATCCTCGGCACCCTCCTTGGGGAGGAAGTGTCGAAAGTCGTAGGGATTGCTGTCATCAGCCGGACCTTCGTCTTCGCTGGTATTTCCTCCATTGCGATCATCGCCCGATATGTGATCCTCCTCCTGTGATATTCGTAGCTGCTCGTATTGTTCCAGAACTTGCTTCTCCGTCTTGCCCGGTGCCGACCGTAGATTGAAATTCAATTTGCTGGAGACCGGCTCCAGCACGAAGACTTTGCGTTCGGGGTCGAAGACCAGGACGAGGGCTCGCTCGCCCGTCGGGTCTTCGCTGCCTTGGTATGAATAAGTCAAGGTGTGATCGGCGCTCGGAGGCTTATCGGTGACGGTCAGGTCGTAGATATCGCGCGACCGGGAGGAACGGGTGATCGTTGATCGTTGTTGGGGTGTTGCAGCTTTGGACTTGTAATTGTAGTTGACATTGATCAGGCGGTCTGAGTCTGTATTTTTGGCCAGTCGTTCACCCAGGACGATAGGGTATTCAGCCTGCTTGGTCGGGTCGATCATGGTTGACATCGTGGGGGCGGCCATGTCTCCGCGCGGAAACGAACAGCGGTGAGCAATGGAAGAGGGATTGTGAGGAGAGTCGGAGATGGCGAGTAGAATAATAGATAGAGGAGACAAAGAATGAGACGAGGGGTTATGTGGAATGGAGGAAGAGAGGAGAATTTGTGAAAGAAAGTCCGAGGGAAGAGAGACAGGCGCAAACATGGGGAAAGGAAAGGCGGAGACAGCTGAACTCCGCCTGTTCTGACGAATACTTTGGGTTGGTAGAGTTTAGGCTTGTGTTACCCATACTTTAACCGATGGATCAATGATTGGGGCTGTTGGGAGGTTCCCTAGATTGAATTTACATCTCATAGCACTAACCAGAAGTATACCATAAAAGATTAAAGACATTGTAACCTTAGCATAGCCTATTACTGATCACTGTCTCTATACTTCTTGAGATGGACATCCATCAATGTATCTTCAAGCATGTAGGCTTCAATCCAAGACCATCTTTAAAGTACTGCTCTGTGTATTTACAAGATGTATGTCTCAACTAGCAGTGGGTATATTAGATGGATAAACTACATGGCATCCGACATTCAATGTACCGGCACTCGACTTGTCAGTTGCTCTAAACGTCCGGCCAGTGCCCGATGCTTACGCATCACTTCTTCCCATTCATACGTAATATCCTCCTCCCCGTCCAGCTCAGTCAGAATCATGCCAAAGTCACCTCCTAATCGGCCGAGACTAGCCGCACAGTACAGCAGCTGCGTCAGCAAACTCTCCCTCGAGCTGCGATCCCGAACATTCGGAAGATATGCCCGCATGGTATCCGTGAGTAACTGCACCAGGTGCATCGGGAATGTCGCCAATGCCGAAGGGAGTCTTTGAAGCGGATCGTCAGATCGTGCTGGATGGGACTGCGCCTTGTGGGCCTCGACGCCCCGGAGGCCTGAAATAGCGGGTTCGGAATCTGACTGCTCAGAGCTGAAGATATTCTTGTACAGTGAGACAATGGCAAAGCTCTGTTCACGGAATATCTCAATGTATCGTTTCAAGTAGCGGTCCGTCTGCTGACCGTCGGACCATGTTTCGGACTTGTCTTTGCCATTGACTCTCCGCTGGGTTTCGTGGTCGGCAAGCTCTCGCAGAGGATCCAAGGCTTCCAGAGTCGAGACCAAATGGGCTAAGCGGCAGATCAAGAAAATGGCGCCCAGTGCTCCTTCTCCAGTACCTGTTGCTCCCTCACTTTGAAGACTCTCCAGATCCGGGGCCACTCGGCGCAGCCAGCCGACGGTTCGCATGCCAGCTGCTAGCCGTAGGTTCTGGCCGCGAAGGCCTGCGATCAAATTGGTGGTCATTTCCTTCATAGCATCTTCTGCCTGAGATGCCACATCTTGAATTAATGGTGACTCGGGGTATAATGTTTGTAGTCGCTTAATATGTGCATGTAGGTCGAGAGCTGAGGAGTATGTGGTAGAGGCTGCTCCGGCGCCCGAGTTGGCAGACGCTGCAGACACCGCAGTGGACAATAGAGAAGGTAACTCGAGGATATCAGACAGCCGGTCGACATTGCGTGCCAGCTGCATAGCCTTCTTCCTCCGTTCTAGGGCGGCATTATCTGTAATCTTGCTGTATTTGGTGGAGAACTTGACGGCCTCTTCGTCGAGCTTCGGGATGGCATCGCGTAATTGTTGCGCTTCACGAGTTAACTGTGGAATTGATGTACGCAGGGTAGAGAGATGGTCGGCAGAGGTAATAAAGGCCCGGTGGGAGCGGTTGGATAGGGCTTGGAGCGAGAGGAGTGTTGAATGGGAGGATTGGGCCAGGGACTGTGGTTCGGTGGTCTGGAGTGCGTCCAAAGACAGGGTGGACAAGCGATTGAGATATTGTGACGTCGTAGCATCATTTGGCGGTGGCGATTCCAAACGTGGAGCCAGCAGCTCCAACAGCGAGTCGGCCATGTCGTTGGGGTCAAGATGCCAGAGTTTCGATGCGGAAAGCGAGCGTCCTGAATGGCGAAGACATACGGTGGCCCGTGCGGCCAGTTTGCGCATCTCCGCAGTGTTTCCAACATTTTCCGTCTTGTTTTCGTTTGCCTCTTCATCGAGACTTACAGTTGAAAGGGCTTGGAACTATTCTATAGAGACACTATCATCCAGACTATCTTGTCTGAAGAAGTGCTTTTCGTTTCTTCGTTATCGTCTTCATCTGCCCCTCCCCCGCATCTTCCCCTTAGTGGCCTTGTCCCACATGCCCCTTCAGAGCCATGGGGAAACCACGCGTAAGTATTACCTTCATCTTAGTAAGGAGTCTGGGAATGCTCGATCTGACCTGATCCTATTCTATAGATGATTATTCTTGTCCGCCATGCGCAGTCCGAAGGAAATAAGAACCGCGATATTCACCAAACCACTCCCGACCACCGAGTGAAACTCACACCCGAAGGACATCGACAAGCACAAGAGGCCGGCCGTCGACTGCGCGACCTTCTCCATCCCGATGATACCCTCCACTTCTTTACTTCTCCATATCGGCGGACGAGAGAGACAGCCGAAGGGATGCTAGAATCGTTGACCTCCGACGATCCCAGCCCATCGCCATTCCCGAGGCACGGCATCAAAGTCTATGAAGAGCCCCGACTACGAGAACAAGACTTTGGCAACTTCCAACCATGCTCGACCGAAATGGAGCGTATGTGGATGGAACGGGCAGACTATGGCCACTTCTTCTATCGTATTCCCAACGGCGAGTCCGCCGCAGATGCTTACGACCGTGTGAGCGGATTTAACGAATCGCTGTGGCGACTCTTCGGCGAGGAGGACTTTGCCAGTGTATGCGTGCTCGTCACCCACGGACTGATGACAAGAGTGTTTCTTATGAAATGGTACCATTGGAGCGTGGAATACTTCGAGGACCTGCGCAATATCAACCACTGCGAGTTCGTGATCATGACCCTCAACCCGGATAACGGCAAATATACCCTCCAGAATAAACTGCGGACATGGTCCGATTTACGCAAAGAGCGAGAACGCGAGCGCGAGGCCAGCGGCCAACCTCCCGCTCCCGCCCCTTCGGATCATATTCCCATCCGACGAAAATGGGGTGGTTGTCCTGATGGATGTACCCACGGGTTGACCGGTGATGCTAAAAAGTCCCTTCGGACACAATTGATGGAATCGATGCATCGTGGTCATACACGAGGCAATGTCGCTACACATCCCGATCACCCGTCACCGCTGAAACAAGCTGCTTCTACCTCCGACAGTATGGAAGGGTCCTTCCCCTTCCCCAATGATAAAAGCATGTCTACCTTGCAAGACACCAACAACGACGGTAACTCCACTACTCAAGCGGGGGACGAGAACGAAGATACGTCCGGACGCTCTTCTAGCTCGGATACTCGCTACGGTGGGATTGCACGTCCCATCCGTCCAAGTCTAGGTCCTTTCCGCGACAGCGAAGACCACCTCCTCCACCCTCCCGCTTCATCCTCGTCCACCGCCAATCTCAAAATGGCTCTACTCCATCTAGGCGGCCGCGACGGGGGTGGCTCTATGAGCGGCGCAAACAGCCTCGCTCCATCCGACGACGAAGGCGACGATAACGACCACCCTCACCACCACGGTCCCCGCAGTGGAACGCCTACTCTGCACTCGCACTCACACTCGCATGTCCACTCATCGTCAACGTCCAGACCATCCCAAGACGCGGAAGAAGATGGCGACGACGAACTCAGTTCCCACCCAACAGAAGACTCGAAACGTCGTCCTCACCACCATCCACACCATCATCACCATAATCACTCTACAACACATACACACCCGACCATCCGACCCAGTCACCACAGACAGACGTCCTCAACAGCATCCCAACAACCCTGGAGAATGGCAAATATCCTAGGAGACGGCGATGACGAAAGCGAAGACACGCAAACACCACGTACGACAGAGCCACGAGGCCATCAGGGGAATTCCGACGAGAAAGATCAAGGTAATAACCAAAACAGTCAGAATAAGGAGGTGCTTTCCCTGGAAGCGCAGCGGCAACAGGACCAGAGTATTCAGGGGAGCGTGTATTGAGATCGTTCAGCTGGGGGTATAAAATTGGGTATACCGCCTTGGAAGCTTTCTAATTTGATAAAAGGATGTAATTAGATGAGGAGGGTTTTATTAGTGACTGGCCTAGATGATAACTATTACTTGACTGGCATTGGGTTTCGGATAAAGCGTTATACTATGACTACACGAATGAGAATGACACTGCATGATTCAAGAGGTTGAGTATGTCGAATCGTATGTGATTGAATTTCTACTAGGTAGATAATAGGTTATTGCCTACTATCCACCAGACTTAATTTACGAATCTACAAGAATACCAGAACAAATTCAGCGACAAAGACAATAGTTTGTCACATATTTCCCGAATAATCCTAAGACAACGAGACGTCCCAACACAGAGACCATGAAACCCCGCTCATGGAAAGCCAAAAACAAGCCCTGACACCAGATTCTCACAAACCCAGTTTCGCAGGCTATCTCAAAGCCCACACTCACGGAGGGACACAGGCAAAGGGAAATGGAAAACAAGGACGAAGTCGAAAGAACCAATAGACTACATACAGGAATCAGGCCACCGCTAGCCAGCCTCTACCCATGGAATGTAGATAGAAACTGGAAAGGATATTGACTGCCTTAGGAAAATCGCCGCCTCGACACGAAGGCAATGGCAGATGCAAAAGGGAAATTGGAATAGGTGTAGACGGTCAAGGGAAAGGGAAGAGGAAACCCAGACACACAAACACGTAACACCGAACCTGATCCCCTGCACATCCCGTATGCAATGCCATCTAAGCGGATGGGGAATCAAAGAAAAAAAATATGGCTAAGTCGGTCTTTAGTAAACAACAACGAGTCTCAATTCAATTGAATGAATCAAGACGAGCGAAGTTGTTTGTTGACCGAACGGGGGGAATCAAAGATGGAGATGGGAGTTCAAAGGCAATCATGAAGGCTGCAGAGAAAAGAAAAAGAGTATTTCAAGTTTGTTTGGATGAATCATGGTTGAGAAAAAAGAAGCGGAACTGCAAGACGCAGATAAAGAGAAGTTGATGAAATGCGTCGATGAGTGAAGTGAAGTATTAACGCCGGGTGCACATAGGCACAACCGCTTCATTGCTTTCCGATTGGCCAGCGCAGTAGCGAAATGCGACAGAGATGTGCGTAGTCGAATGGAGATAATGTACCGACATGAAGAGAAAAAGAGAAGCGCGAGAGAAATAAAACAGCAATCTATGGGTAATCAGAGCCGGACGAAGAATGCCAAGCATGGGAAACGGCAAGAGGCAATGGAAACAAGAAGGTCCAAGAAGAAAAAAAAAACGAGCCGAAGATATGAACCAAAGGTCATGGGTAATAAACAAAGTCAGATTTTAGGGATTCGTGATCGTCGTGACTGCGGTCCCGGCCAGGGAGTTTGTCCGACCATCCGTAGATAGGACGAGACAAGAGAAAATGAACCGACGAAAGGACCACTGCATAATCATATCGTCCAATGGCCCGAAGAGTTGGGTGCATGGAGGACAAGTAACGATGGAACCATGTCGTATCGTGAGAATGGCCGGGACGTGCCAATGTCGCCGTGAAGAGCGTCTTTTTCCTCTTTTTTTGGTGTTTTGGGAGAGTTTTTCGCTTAGCCGACACGAACCAGCAAGTCGCAGAACAAAAAGTGAACTTTTCGGGTGTTGACGCGGAATTGCCGATCGCTCAAGTGTTGAGTGTGGACAGCGAGTCAAAAAGGAAGAAGGAATAAAAAGGACTTGGCAAATGGAGGGGGCGTAAACATCGAATCGAACAGGTGGAAGCGGGAAACAAACGGTATCATCGAACAGAGAAATAAACAAGTCGAAAGACAAAAAAAGAATACCCATGCAATATCCTCCCACGCGATTCGAAAGTCGAGAATAGGAAAAGAGAGAGAAAGAAAAATTCTAGAACCGAACAGAGAGAAGAAGAAAGAGAAGGCCGAAATAGAGACGAGACTTTTACAACCTCTTTAAGAACGCCAAGGCTCAAAAGGACGTTGGTTCATCTCGATTTTCGTCCCAGGTCATGAGATAATATCAGCAAAGATGCAACATGTAATAGACCGCACACACAGATAGAGAGACAAGTTATGTGTGCTTAGCCAGCAACAATGGGCTGCAGAGCAGGGAAAGCACTGTTACACATGTAGTGTTCCATATGCTTGGCGCAGTACATGCAGCCACACGAAGAGCCATGGCCAGTCCAGACACTCTGAGCAAACGGCAGGCCGTATGCCGGAGTGTGGTGGTAGGACGGGGGTTGCGAGCGAGGTGCAGACTGAGCAATGTACCGTGGGGGCGGAGCGATCCAGGCCCCCTGCGAGTAAGGCGGCGGTGGGTTTGAGAAACCCCAGGGTCCGACCGAGTAGTAGTCGGGGGTGTTGGGGCCGCTGTGAGGGGCCGACGGCGGGGAGTACTCGGAGGCAGCAGGGTTGAGCCAGGAGCTCTCAACGTGCGAGCTGCGTTGGTATTGCGGCGGGATGGGTCCCTCGGGGGACATGAGCGGCTTGGAAACGGACTGGTGGTGTCGGACAACGGTAGTGTCGATGGGCGCCAGAGTCTGACGAGAAGACTCCTGGGCCCGAACGTTGGCCTTTGCACTCCAGTTGTCCCAGTGTCGGCGCCACGAGGCAAATCCGTCTTGCTGATCATAGATGCGCTCGTGGATCTTCCAGTCAAAGGCAAAGAGCCACTCGAGCTCCATTTTGTTCAATTCGGCAACGGGAATGTTGCTGACTTCGGCCCATGACTTGTTTTGGAAGGTATTATCATCCAGGAACTTGCTGCCCAGCAGCAGGCCCACCGTCAACATACGGTAGATCTGGCCACTGCCGGACTGGAAGACCCGCTGAGCGGACAAGATGCGCATGCGGCTAGACATGTAGAACAGGCCCAACAGAATAGTCGAACTGGGGAGGCGGGTCGAGGACAAGATCTGGTAGACGTATTTCCTGAACTGAGGGGGCACGGTAGTTCCTGGGGAGATGCTTCGCGCGAAGTCAATATCTGAAAGGGTGATCTTGGTGTTGTATAAATCATACATTCCCTGGGTCATTTCCGCCACGAAGTCGGACATGCGATCCATCTCGTAATCCAGGTGGGCGGCGACACCTCCGGTAGCTTTTTCCTCCTTGCGGGACTGGTGCTGTTGCTGTTGCTGCTCCAGCTGCTGTTGGTGGTGGTGCTGCTGTTGCATCGAGGTAATCTCCTGACGGCGGTATTGCGGGGGAATGGCACTATCCATGGGCGGCAGCTGGACGTTGGCCCGAATTGGGGGCAATGCGGTTGCCATGGGGCCATACATTGACTGCTGGTGGCCCATGGAGTGCATGTCGCGCGCAGAATGCATAGGATGCCCGGATCCAGGGTGCAGGTTCATCGCGTTCGGTTTAGCGTAGACCAGGGACTGCGAGTACTGTTCAATGAACTCAGAGCCGCTCTGGTGGTAGCGAGGGGGGAACGCGGAGTGACCAACCGGATAGAACGAGGGTTCATCCAGACGACCACCGCTGTTGATATGAGGAGGCGTGGGAGGCAGGCCGTGGCCTGGAGCGAAGAAAGACGGCATCTTGAAAAGGGGGAGAGGGGGGTTGAAGTAACCAAGTTCAGGATGGGAAGTGGTAGGCGGCGCGAATTTCTGTCCGTTCACCAGAACGTCAGTACACACAACTAGCCAGGTCCGAGGAGCAGCGCAAGGATACAGCTGGGACAAATGACCAGGGGGAGGACTGGTGCGAATCGAGGATTGGGAGGGGGTGTAAAAACACGAACCGTCTACAGCTTCACCAGGCCCTGATCCTGGGGGGGGGGGGGAGGAGAGGAGAGCGCTGCTCGAGGAGCGCGTGGCTCAGATATCGTCGTAGTGAACGTCTCTAGTTGAATGACATTGAGGGAAACTCTTCAATCAAACCGAGTGGACCGAAGAACAAATGAGAGAGAACGAGCGTGGGTTTTATGTTGGGAACGAGGCCCTCGATAAATTTTCGGGAAACTGGTCTTTTTGGAGGTCGCAGTAGTCGAAAGTCGAGCAAGAATTCGAATCACACAGACAGATAGACACGACGGGTTAGGAAGGAGGAAGGGGGGAAAGAGGCGGGTTGGCGAACGTATTCTCTGCACCGAACGTAGTTTTTTGGAGGAAGGCTTCGGTGGAAGAAGAGGACGCGTTCACAAGAGTAACAGGGCGAAACCCGCGGGGAAAGGGAGAAGAAGATCACAGAAAAAATGGGGAATTCCCTCGCGTAGAGGCAAACCTCACGAATGAGGTCAGCAACGACACTTAGTGAAAAGCTCGTTGGAAGGAGGAGGAGTGGTTGAATAGGGGAGGAGTGGGAGAGAGAAGAGGAAGAGAGGAGCGAAAGGGGAGAGTGAGCGAGAGGAGAGTGGACTTGTGGATGTGTGTGTGTGGGCTTTGACAATACGTGACACCGTTACCATACCTGGGCCTCGACTGTTGGTGGCGGGTGGTTTTTACTGTGGACTCGCCCGTCACCGACTATTACCGACTCCGAGACTCCTGAGAATCAAGTTATTCCTATTCTTCTATCATAGACAGTCCTTCATATGGGATAGCATTGATAATGATATTTAATTAGACTACTAGACTATTTCAACGGCTATACCCCGTTAACCCCGTCTTGAAAATCCCTAAATTAATCTAGATAATACCAATCAAAGCATCCTTAATTAATCCCTCCGTCCGGACAGAGTATACAGCATACAGTAATTACCTCATTGCCCCAGATGACAGCACACGAAATCCCCTCCGGAATAGTAAATCCAGGAAGGCAAAAAAAAAAAAAGAAAGGAACTCTACGTAAGAGTACAGGCTTAGAAGAGTCCAGAGAGAGGTACCTAGCCACCCTAGCATCATACCCTATTATTATGCGGGAGGACTCCGGCGTGAACGTGAACGGGCGTGGGCCATGGCCGAGCGAGGACTAGTCACGTCTCATAGAAAGTATGTCAGTCGCCTCCCCTCAGACTCAAGAGCCCAAGACCGAAAAAAAAAAAAAAAAAAAAAAACCAACACTCAAGCCTGGTGATGCAACGCCCGTGTCACTTAAACCAGTTAGCGTAGCAGAAACGAGAGAAAAAAAATTCTAAAAAAAGGAAGAGAGAAAAAAAGAAGCGGGCCACTCGTGCGGGTCTCCACTTGACTAAGCTGTAAAGCTTGTAAGAATGGGGTTTAGAAATTTCAAGATTTCCAGCCTTTTTTTCTAGTTCAGGAGGCTACTGGAGGCTGGCCGATGGGGCAGAATTACGAGTGCAATACACTTTTGTACGAGAACAGCGATAGGGGGGACACATTTTTATTCTGTGTGGGGTCCAAGCGTTGCAGACTGACATTCCTTCTGTTGCTAGGTCTACGGTGAAGGATGGTAGTTCAAGTTCATACTACTTTTAAACTGGGGATGGACTGAATAGCAGTAATATAGAAAGTGTGTATAGGTCCTCCGTACACAAGCAGGAAACTATGTCAAACTCGTACCTCGGATCACCCCGTACAACCAAGCAAGGGCCGCCTACAGTAAGAGGCCAGTAGGCCATGCTTGATGACCGATGACCGATGACCGACCGGATGATCGATGACTTGTTCACGGCCCCTCTCTAACTTGCTGGTCTCTGGGTCCTTCTGAGTCACCGAGTCTGGAAGCGATCCCTGCAGGGTGCATAGCGTCATGCCGGTGACAGGAGGAGGTGTCCGAAGAAAACGAGTGGCCGGAGAAGGCGGAGAGGCAACGCCGGTGTGTCGAACGGACGGGCGGTGGACCAGTTCATTGCGCACGGGACGAGTTGGTGTATTCCCGTAGTGAGTTACCTAGTCGTGGCTAATTATGTATATACATAGACAGAAACGTGGTTATTATGTGAGATCATTCTGAGATGTGATAGCTGCCTAGCAACCAGTACAGAGTATATACAGTAGACAGTATACTACTATTATTATTTCCGTAGGCATCGATATACTGACGAGGCATGATGACTGCGGCTACTTCGTATATATCGCCCCCCAGCTTATATACGAGGATCTACCAATCCCCTTCTCCAGTACGATGGCTATCCAAGTAATCCAAAACATCTCGTACCTACAGTACTCCATAGTAAATCCCGCATGCACAAACAAAAAAAAAGCCTCTCCCCAAATCCTATTGGAGGTGTATCACTATGCATTCCTCCAATAAATCCACGTCGACTTTTTCTCCTCCAACGCCTCCATAGTAATATATCCCTCCAGCAGGCGTACTCCTTCGTACCAAGACTATAACTGGTTCAATCAACCCACCAACAGGAACCCTTCTCCCCATCCCCTCCTCCCCTCTCCCTGCCCAACCAGTGGAGCAAAAAAGAAAAATAACAAACCGCTGTCTTCCGGCTACATTCGGCCCAACCACCAACCACAAGCCCGGAGTACCTAGTTACTACTTTCTAGTTGGCTTAGCCAGCGGCAGTCAGATTTCTCCCAACTCCGCTTCTCCTGCAGCCGGTCGGGCAGAATATACTTCCCAACCCCGCCTAGGAAAATTCCGGGCGCTTGTACTATCCATCATAACCCCCCCCCCTCTTCTAGGCTCTCCGGGCTGCAGCCGTTCGAGGGCGGGGGAGGCAAATAACCCAAATACACCGTAGACTACATTCGCAGACTCTAACCACGACTAAACTTCTCCAGAAGCGCCGCGGACCGGATGGCTAGGTGGGGAAGGGCGTTTTGACTTCCTCCAGTGTTAATTGTTCGATGAACGGCCGGCGTCGGAGTTTGGGGTTCGAGGGGGTTCTGCATTAGAAATCAATGCTTTGGATTTCGGGTTTCCGGCAACTATACTGTTCTTTCTTTATTATTTTTTCGTTTTCTTTTCTTTTCATTCCTCTAATGAAAGTGAGGGGGATGACTCGACATCTTTAATATCTAGCTCGTGTTTACAATAACACTAGGTCAGGCGTAGGTAGTCACGTAACTGTACATGTACTACCGGAGAACAAATTCCCGTATAGATGCTTTGGTATTTTTGTTTCTATCATGCTCAAGCTTTTTTAATTGTATAACATGCACCCGAACCACAGGAAGGGGGGCAATGGGGATAGGATAGACGCCGGATCCAAAAAGATCTAACGGGCAAAGGGGACGGACGGTAAACACGGGGACCGGTGACTCCAAACTTTGTTCGGAGTCAAACGGTCCTCGGCTCTTACCCTTCCGTGCTGTTCCCCAAACCAGAAGAGAATGCAGGATGATAATTGGGTCCACACGACAAAAAGCGTGTCAAAGATGAAGTGGTTCAACAGGGGAAAAAGAACAATCCAGAAATTGGTCCAGGCATAGGCCGGCCAGAACAGAGGGATATCATTAAGATTCAAAAAGAACCCATACGCAAAAGAAAAGAAAAAAAATGACATAGACTCGTATACTCGGAGAGGTCGTCAGGGGAAGGAGGGCTGGGAGGAGGGCACAAGAGGCCGATTCCATTCCAATCCAGTTCCCTCCCGGCCGAGCACTTCCGGGGTGATTGTGGTGTAAAATCCAATCAACTCCCGATCCAGCGCTCATAACAGTCCAGTTTGATCACAGTGTGATACCAGACATCACAGAGCTGGGATACAACCGTATATAAAAATAGAGGCACTCGATATGAGAGCTCTATAAATCACACACCAGACAGAAAGGACGAATAAATCAACATTACCAAAACTGGTCGTGCTGTTTACTCTTCTTTCAGGCTTCCCACCAGGTTGCGCAACACATCCATAATGACCGCTTCATCCTTGGGCTCGCCACCAGGGAATGAGCTCTCCGTGGCATTGCCTAGAACCCGGGCACGCGCACTGCGAAGAACCTCCCGGATGTAGTTCTTGTCCTCGTAGTCTTCCATGAGAACATTCTCAAAGTCGTCAATGGCCTTGTTGGCGCGCTCAGTGAACGAAGGAGACTCTGGGGCAACCGGTGGAGGAGGACCAGACTGCACAGAATGGTGCTGGTGTTGCGGCTGATGTTGCGGTGGTGGTTGATGATGGTGTGTTTGAGGTCCTGGAGGTGGAGGATGTGGTTGATGTGACTGGTGATGCGGTGGTGGCACATGCTGATGTGGAGGAGGTTGATGTGGCGGTTGCTGGTGCTGTTGGTGTTGCATCTGGACCGGTTGTTGGATTGGGTGTTGGTGCTGAGGTTGATATTGCGGCGCAGCGGGAGGAGGATAGGCTTGGGATTGAGAGTTGATATGTGGCTGTGGGGTAGAAGGTGCCTTTTGGGGTGGGGGATAAGGAGAATGATGCTGCTGCTGCTGCTGATGTTGCTGCGGTGCCTGCTGTCCCGGTGGCCCTTGAATAGGCTGTGGCTGCGGCTGCGAATTCTGCGGAGGTGGCTGTTGCTGTTGAGGAGCCTGCGGAGGCGGGTTGGAGGCATATGGAGAGGTATAGGTTCCAGGTGTGGTCCGAGCAAAGGCAGCTGGGAGGTTGCCACGCAGGGCACTTGGAATAGGGAAAGATGCAGGGGCTGGCACAGGGGCAGGTGCAGGAACAGGAGGAGCCGGAGCCGAAACGGGAGCAGGCGTAGTTGATGGCGGCGCTGGTACTGACACGGGTGCAGGCACGGGAGTCTGAATTGCAACAGGTGCCGGCGCAGATACTGGAGGAACGGCAGCAGGAGCAGGAGGGGGAGGGGCGGTAGAAGCAGGGGGAGGAGGTGCATATGGACTGGTATGCTGTTGTTGAGGAGGCGCTGAAGGTGCAGAGAAGGAATTGGAAGGCGGAATGGAAGGGAATTGGAAGTGCTGATGCTGATGCTGGTGCTGATTCTGCATTGGAGCAGGCGCACCCGTCGGTGGGGCATACGAATGAGGCATAGGAGGCATGTAGTGCTGAGGAGGCGGCACTGATGCTTGAGGTGGTTGCGGCGGTGGAGGTGACGGACGTCTCTTTTTCTCCTTCTCGACGGACGCGCCGGGACGAAGTTGCCAGGACCAGCCCTTGCCATCTCGCTCGGCGTGCATGAACAAATGACTATTGCCGTTGAGGTTGTGTCGCACACTCGATGTCCATCCTTCAGTCTCACACTTGAAGCGGAAGTATGGATACTTCAACTTCAAGGCACGGTAAATCTGCTTCAGCGTCATCGGGTTTCCAGCTTCCGTCAAAGCATCAAAGATCAGAACAGCGTAGTTATAAGGCGGCTTGGCCAGGTCCTCGGGAGTATAAGCAGACTCCGGGGGATAGTTGGGAGACGGAGACCGCGAGGGCTTCCGTTTCTTGACGGGTGGAGGTTTGACATATTCCTCAGGCCGGTGCTCAGTCGTGAATTGGCCTCCCTCTGTTGAAGGCAAAGGAAAGTCCATGCCATCGCCCTTCTTCCTTTTGGTATACTTGCGCTTCTCGGCAGGTTTCACGGAAGACGGTGGAGATTCAGCACCAACTGATTCTTTGACGGTCTTTCCAGCCTTGCTAGCAGTAGGTTTAGTAGGGAGAACGGGGGGTGGCGGAGTGACACCACCGTTGGCCTCCCGTTTGGCAGCCATCTTCTGCTCCCTGGCCAGTTCGGCCCTCTCGCGCTTGGACATGATACCGTCCTTGGGAGGACGACCGGGACCCCTGCGTCGTGCAGGTTGCCCGCCATTCTCCCCGCCAGCCTCGATAGAAGGCAGGGCCTTGGAGGAATCAGAGTCCTTGGTCTTGAGGACGATCTTGGTGATCTTGGAAGAGGGCTCCCTGCTCTCGCTGTCACTGAGAGGCTTGTCAGTATCATCAATCTCATGCTCGGCATCGACGGAGCCCCGATCAGCCTCATCTTCCTCGGCTAGTTGCTCCTCCATACGGTCCGCACCAGTCTCTCCAATGGGGACATCTGGCAGTAAGAATCGGATGCGGACTCCTCCAATCTGAATATAGTCACCGCTATGCAATGGCCGGACTTGCCCAGGGGACAGCCAATCAGCACCGATAAAAGCTCCATTGCGACCCATGACTTCCATTTCGAACAAATTGCGATCAAAATTATAGGCAATGCGGACGTGTCGGCGAGAGATACCGCGGTGACCTGCAGCCGTGCCGTCTATTGTCGAGGGAGGGTGAATAGGAATGGTTGGACAAGAATCAGGAGATGGGAGGAGAGCCAATGTATCAACCGGCTTGGGATCGCCATTTCCTTCTTGAAGGGACTGCATGGCGAGTGCATTATAATCGGTGGGGGCTTGTAATTGAGCCGGATTGGCGTGCAGCGGCACGACTGATCCATCAAACGAAGATTTTGAGGATCTTCGGTTCATATCCAATTTACCAGGCATGTTGTTGCCAGAAATATTTGGAGGAACGTCGGGATCAAATCCCATAATACCTCCGCGGTCGCTGACCACGCTGCCCATTATTGCAGCGCTCTCTTCTCGCTTCATCCGGTTAGGCGTATGAGAAGTATTACCGCCGCTCGAACTCTTGGCCCGAGAGCTTCGCACGGCCTGCCGATACTGATACTCTCGCTGGTGCGCAGCGCGCGCTGCCCGTACATCGCGACCCAAGATAAACGAGTACGTATTGCAATAGAAGTGGCCATCGTCAAACTCCAGCTTCGCAAAGGCCTGAATCCGAGGCTCTGATCCGGCCACCGAGGTAGATCCATCTTGGTAACCCAAGGCGGACAGATCGGCGCTCTGTGATAGATAGGCTGCGGTGAGCATTTCGTTCTGTTGAAGGGCCTCAAAGGCGTTTTTCGGGGCGATGGCGAAATCGAAGGGGGGAAGCAGGGACGGTTGCTGGTCGAGGTCTGTCTTCGAGTTGTTCAAGGGATCGGAAAGGTCCATGGCGTCTGACCCTCGATGCCCCGTATGAGATCCATCCTGTGGCGTCGCATCGAGTTGCGCGAAGATATCATCCGTCGATTTACCCCCATTTGACATACTTTGCATCCCTGCCGAAGCCGAGGCCTGTCCATTTTGTTGTAGGTTGAACTCGAGCGAGAAATCGTTGTTCAGGTCCATCTTTTCATCCAGCTGGCCATCCTCGTCGCCTATCTTCACATCCTGGTGATTTCCCGTTTCTGTCCCTGTCCCCGTCGCCGTCCCCGTTTCCATCGTTGGTAACCCGTTCGTCGGGACAGAATTCGTCGGCGCAGATTGATTCCCGAGAAGTTGAGCAAGCAGCGCACCCGCAGCGGACTGGGTATTGATATTCTTCTGATTTTCGGACCCGGCCAGATCCTGAGCCTCGACGGGTTCCATCTTGATTCCGATTGGAGTGGCGGGCAAGCCCTTGGAGGTTGGGGCAGAATTATGCATGTCGCGGATTGCGGAGTCGCTCCTGGAGTCGGTCGGAGGCGAAGCGTCGTTCTGAGAGCCGCCATAGTCGTACATGGGCGTATCGGGGCCTGGATCAGGCGGTCGATGGCCCACTGCTGGCGCCGTCATGGTCTGCGACGACATGGCTCTAGAGGGAGAGAAGAAGGATGAAGAACAAAAGCTGGAAGTTCTCTCTCTTTGGGGCCCGGGCGGTGAGGGCCGATTGCCCGGTTGGTGGCTGCAGAATGCCGTACCGTACTTTTTTTTTTTTCTTTTCTTTACCTAACCTTGGAAATCCATCATGGATGATATGGGATGAAGAATTGATAGGTATGGTAGAAAAAAAGAGGTTGAATCAGGATAGAACGGTCTTTTGCAGAATCTGGAATGACCCGATCTTGTTCTGTTTCCCCCCGTTGGCACCAGACGATCCTCCGGGACAAATTTTCTTCTTTGCCGCCCCGCCCAGTCCGATCCACCCAGTTGGGTGCCTGGTTCCTCACCGATTGGAGATTGGATCTATGAGGTTGAGGAGTTTACCATAATAGTTGAATGGACAGTATATTATTCTTTCCATTCTTGAGAATTAATTCTAAATATACAGAATATTAACACCATATCCTTCTATTCACTCCTGCCCGACGGAAAACCAAGTGGAGTCAACCCCTCTCGCCATGTCCAGTGGCTTGCCTCCGCTGCACACTCGGGACGTATGGACTCTTTAGCTTATACCCCGACGATCAGCCCGCATTCAAGTTATGGCAATTGATAGACCCCACGTGCAAGACACTCTTTGATCCTCGATAGTCCTCAAATCAGAAAATAAGACAGTATTGTTTATCGTATAGAGTCTTCTATACATATGTAAAGTAGAGAATTAGAGCGGAGTAAACCCGTTGGAGAAGCCAAACAATCACCTGCAGACCCGAGCAATCTTATCAGCACCACACACCGACTGCTCAAGATCCTCTCTCATTACTCTCACCTCCACCTCCCTCCAAACTCAACAAATACCACACCAAAAACATGGCCAAACCAAAACCTCAAAACAAAAAATCCGACTCTAAACCTCAAACCCGCCAACCCCCCACTCCCCCTCCCAACTGGCCACCCCTCCGCCCTCTCCTCCCCGCAACAGATCTACACCTCACCCCCCTCGTCCACGACCAGATCTACCTAATCCGCAACTTCCTCCCGGCAACCCTCTGCAAAACATACGCCTCTTTCCTATCATCGCTGCCGCTAACGACTACACCGGGCCGGCCGAAGAAAGACGAGGCCGTGCGCGTAAATGACCGGTTTCAGGTCGAAGATGCGCGGTTTGCGGAGAATTTGTGGAGCGGGACCGCATTGAGGGAGTTGGTTTTGGAGAGGTTTGATGAGGATGAGTATAGCTATGGAGACGAGGATGGTACACCAGAGCAGGATGAGTCGGCCAAAGCGCAAAAGTTATGCGAGACGTGGGGTGGACAACCGCTAGGTTTGAACCCGAATATTCGTATATACCGCTACTCGAAGGGTCAATTCTTTGCTCAGCATTGTACGTTGAACCCTCCTCATATATCCTATATATACAGTATCAACATATTAACACATCAACAGACGACGAATCTAACACCCTAACTTTCCACCCCGCCTCAACACCACGCTCCGTCCCCGCCCGCACAACCTGGACCCTCCTAGTCTACCTAACAACCTGCACCGGCGGCGAGACAGTCTTCTACCCAGACGCTACACGCGAGAATCCCAATCCAGCGGCTATCGCGGTAGCTCCTGAGGTGGGAATGGCGCTGTTGCATAGACATGGGGATCGGTGTATGGTGCATGAGGGGAGGGAGGTTACTGGTGGGGAGAAGTGGGTTGTTAGGAGTGATTTGGTTGTTGCAAGGTAGATGGGTTGCATGGAGATGGTATATAATGTTGCGCATATAGGGGTATCGGAGTTTTGAGACTAATTGTATGGAGAAAGTATACATAGCATAGGATAGCATAGCATGGCGTACGAGGACCTGGCTTCATTTCTATCACTTACGTCTCTGACCCTCTTTCCCAAGAACATTATACAATATCTTCTCTTGATACTCTATCCGAGCTTTCAAAGATCCCGAAGACGAGACATTCTATCTCCATCGCAGCTCCAATAACCAAATCAAGCATAATAAAAATTCTAGTTCAATTTGCGCAGCCCTGCCTATATACAGCAGGACCAATTCGGATAATTCAAAAGCAAGCCAGCAAGGTAAGATAGTGTGACACGATGATATACCTGGTCAGCCAGAAAGCAGACCAAGCCAAAAGGAAAACTTAACAAAAACAGGATTTGTAGATACAGGAAGTGTAATAGTCATCGAAAAGAACGTAGTCTGGTCTGAAGGGAATCCGAGGAAGAAAAAGGAGAGAGTCGTTGTAACATAAAACTGGAGTTAATAAACGGATGGGAGGAACACGCCGAGGTGAACAGAAAAAAAAAACAAAAATGAAATTGTCACAAAGTGGTCAGAGAGAGAGACGTCTCTCTCTCCAGGCCACGTACACCTTATTCCTTCATTTTGTCTTCGCAGAGTCCATTCGCTTTCGTCGTATCATATCACATTTATTTAGACACGGGGGACTTGGCTGCGTCCACCTGGTAGTCTGTCCGACGCATGATATCTTCCACCGGTCCCAACAGTCGCTTGAACCCATCCCGGCCCAACCGTGCAACCTTGACATCAGTTTTGGAGATGATGCTGGCCGCCCGAGGCTTATCATCGAGCAGGGCCAATTCACCAAAGTAATCACCGCGGGAGTAATTCTTCACCGAGACACCATTCTTGAAAGCTTCGACTTCACCGGATTCCAGGAGGTAGAAAGCATCGCCAGGATCACCTTCAGTAATGATGGTAGACTCGGCCGGGTACTTGATGGGCTCAAGAGCGTCGGCAATCTTGGAACGCTCGTAGGGCTTGAGCGAGGAAAGAAGGGGAACCTCCTCCAAGAACGCTTCGTACATACGGCGCCGCTGGAAAGCCGAGTCCATGAGAATGCGTCGGAAGGTGATCCGGTCCAGAGCCCAGAGGGTGCTCTTGGCGTCGGTAGAAATCACCGTCGCGGCACGCGGGGCGTTGTACATAAGGGCCAATTCACCAAAGGAACCCCCGGGTCCGGTGGAAGCCACCTTGTTACCCAGGCCATCAGGCCCTGGCTGCACGGAGCCCGAAGGGTGAATGTAAATGTCAAAGTGGCCCTTCTCGACAATATAGAAGTAATCACCCGCATCACCCTGGGAGATCACCTTGATATCTTTCGCCGGGATAGGTTTCTCGACCAGAGCATCCAAAACGGTCTTGAACTGGTCGTCATCCAGGTGAGAGAACAAGAAGTTGTTGCTGACCGCAGTCTTGAGGCGGGCCAGCTGATCCTCGGTCTTGGGGTGGTGCGGAGGTGTCCAACTATCCGATCCCGCGGACGTGGGGTTCAATGACTCTGCCGACACCGAAGTTCGACGACCCAGCGCATAGTTGTTGGGGAACCCATGCTGTACCGTTCCTGTCGGGAGAGCGGCGGGCTGCTCGTCGTCGGGGCCATCAGCCCCGCCTCGAGGCCCCGAGTCAAAGGGACTCCGGCCGAACAATGAAGCCCCGGGGTTCGCTCCGGTTGCTGAACCGCCCTCTGCAAATGCACTTCCTCCAAAAATGGCCGAGCCACCGCTGTTGGCCTGTTTGAATGTCACGTCGGTTGGTGACGTCACCTCAAATTCATCCTCCTCCGAGATTTTCTGAATGTTGGGTGATTTCTCTCTGGCGCTAGTGTCGAGGAAGGGGTTAGTCCCCGGAAAAGAGTTCTGTGCCATGACTTTATAGGCTGTAGGGGCCGGAGAGGCCGCCACTCCGGCCACGGTGAAGGTGGATGGAGAAGAAAGGTGGGGTGGGGAGCGAGAGTCTGTGCTGGATAGAGACCTCGTCGCGGGGTAGTGAGAAGGGCCTGTAGTCCTGAGAGGATACTGTCAGATGAGAAAAAAAATAGGAGGAAAGCAAATGCAGAGAAATGATTCAGTAATAAATTGGGAGGAATGCAGGTGGACGGGAAGGTGCAGAGTCAGAAAGAAGCATCCACCACCAGCAAGGACGGAGGGGCAAGTCTCGGCCTAGCAGAAGTGGGGTTGATTTGTTGGATGACTCTAATTGAAGAAATAGCGAGGCAATAAAAGAGTGCCAAACTGCTATTTCGGAGACTCTGCTGGGATGATATCTTGCCCTTGCCAGGAGTTGCAGAAGTGAAAGACGTGAAAGAAACTCGATGTTACTTACCTGAGGGGGTGGTAGTAGAGGGTAAGGAGATGAAAGAACGGGTGTGCAGAGAATGGGCTTGCTAGAAGCCAGATGGTTAAGACGGGAGAAGCAGCAAGGAAGAAAGGAGAGGGAGGAGAGGGAGGTGGAAAGTGGAAAGTGGACAGAGGAGGGGTAGCCAAAGAGGAGTAAAGTTGGGGCGGGTTGGTCTGAGCTTCCTTCTCGTCGATCATCCTCTCCTCTCTACCTCCTAGTCCTTTGCTTGCCTACTTCCTACTACTATCTGCTGGGCCTACAACTACTGACTAACTCATCGGATTTCCCCCCCTCTTCCCGTCCTCCATCAACGAATCCCAATCCATCGATGGGCTGATCGACGTCACTCATTCCAATCCTAGGGCTCCGTTCCCCCAGAGTGGATGGAGCAAGCTTGTAGCCGAGACTATCGACTCTAGACTAGAGACTATAGGTCGATGAGAAACTCTATCATGGCTGAAAGAAGGACGGATGGGACCCGGTGGAAGCACACGACCCTGGCTGCGACCTCAAAAAAGCTTCGTCACGGGGGGTTCCAGGTGTCTTCTAGAACATCTGCGGGTTCCGAAGGAAGATACATGACGGTGGCAAAAACTCCACTCCATTCCTTGAGTTGTACCACCTTTAGCATATCGTACTTTTGTATGTTGCTCACTGTGACTTGTAAAGTGTTGAACTCGGGGAGCAAGGTACGATACGACCAAAAGTATGGGTGATGGCAAGCTGGAGCCTATTAGGTGGACGAGAGTCAAGACTCTTGAAGTCATGCATTTTGCCCGACAGAGCCGTTTTCGGCGAGCTTGGCCCACTTGGTTCCAGCCTATTGTAGCTATGGAGCCATTATTAACTACAACATGACTCGAGGTTCTGTTCGGGCCATTGACAACGAATGATAGCTGTCTAGACTAGCACATTCTCAATTGCTAGTATTTTTCACGTATTTTTCGCTAACTTTGAATCAGTCTTCAATATTCTCCTCTCCTGCCCGCATAGACCACTTCATTATCGGTTGACCTGCCGGGTAGTGTCGATCGGGTCTGTTCGTTAGAGGGAGCTTGAACTAACTCTTGGGAAAGTTTAGTAGTATTGTAGGAACTTTGTTCCATAATGCGTCATCAATGCAGCCTTCTTGCGAAAATTCTATCATTCAGCTTTCCCCCCCTTGATTTTTCTTTTTTCCATACCGTTCCATTGGGCTTCTGTACCAGCCACAATTCATGGTTTCGTAGGAGAAAAAACAAGTCCAAGTCCGGTTGCCACGGACTAGATCTGAGCGCGGCTCTAGACTCGACGGGGATGAACCTAGCGGTGTGGAAGTGGGATGAATCGATGCCTAAGCACAGCCCTGTTCAATGAAAAGTCGGGTCCAATAATTCCTCCGTTATCTCCTATCCAGCTCGATACTCTTAGTTAATGAACCATGATACAATTCGAGGTTGATTCTAGGGATAAAAAGTGCATATACTACTCCGTACTAAGTACTACTAAAGTAAGCTGGTTCGTGCAGACCCTGGGGCCTGTGTCACACCCCCACCCGAAAATGGGCGCGAAGCTTGGAAACTCAGCGCTTGACCTTTCTTCTCTTCCCTCCTCCCCCAACCATTTATTCTACCACACTTTTCTCCTCTCCTTCCTCACTCTGACGTGAGGCAGCTGACCTATCCAACTCAGCCGCAATGGGGACTTTTACATTCAAATGGTGAGTCAACCCGAGCCATTGGCGAGCTGGGACGCTGAGAGGGCTGGCTCGTGAGCTATTCTAGCGCCCGAGACAAGAACCCCCGAGATCCCGCCCTTCGTACACGCAATATGAGCTCGAGTCTTTCCCCCGTGGCACAGACTCATAGCTAGGATTAGAGCGCTGACTGGTCGGTTCCTCGCATTTGCATGTAGGCCTCACAGTGCGAACGAGGTGTTCGTCACGGGTACCTTCGATGATTGGGGTAAGACCGTGAAACTGGACCGGGTGGGCGACATCTTTGCCAAAGAGGTTTCGTTACCTACAGACAAGAAGATCCAATACAAGGTAGGTGCGATTCATTTTTGGTGCTTTTGTGCTTTTATGCCCCCTGAAGCCGGATCGTCTCTGGACCCTTTCAATTGTCCCAAGCGTCATCATTTTGTGGCTTGCGCGCATAGATAAATCCCGTTGCGGTGAGCGTTGGAAGCCTTGATTTTCAGGCCATTAGGCAATCCCCCAGCTTTCCATGACGCTTCACCTCACCGCTGACGTCATCCGTGGCCCCCCTCTCCCCTCTTTTCCTCTTCAAGGGCCAAAACTATAAAATCAAGGGCGAAGCGCCACACTTGGGAGCGTCACTCCTTTTCTTTGCACTTGCTGACGTGAAGTTATTTCCAAGTTTGTTGTTGACGGCATTTGGACCACCGATAGCCACGCACGAGAGGAAAACGACGGACACGATAACATCAACAACGTGCTACTTCCCGAAGACATCCAGGCCCAGACCCACACCCAAGAGGCTTCCACCCACGACGTCACCACGCCCGCGATCATGTCTGGCGTGACCCCCGATTCCACCACGGCTGCTCTAGCTGCCCAGGTCCCCAAGGAAGAGCCCAATGGTGGCCTCCCGGGAGCTTTCCCTGACACGCCGGGACAGGAGTCCGAAAAGACCCTGTCTGTCAATCCCATTCCCGCCTCGGGTGGCTACGGTAACCCGATCAAGCTGAACCCTGGTGAGAAGGTCCCGGATCTCAGCTCCATCCATGGCAACACCGTGGAATCCACCGTGAAACTCGACAAGGAGTCCTATGAAAAGGGCGACAGTGTGCCGCTCGGCAGCGCTGGCACTCAAAGTGATACCGCCGGCTCGAGTGCTTTCACCGTGCCCCCAGTCACCAAGAACATCATCCCCGAATCCAGTCTCCCCATGGGTGGTCCTGCTCAGCGGGCTGCCCAGGCTGATCAAACACAGACTAGTATTGGTGGCCCTGCCCAACAGGCAGCCATGGCCGACCCCGGCTACACGATCCAGTCTGCGGCGCCAACCTCCACCACTGCTGCCCTGGCTGCTGAGGTTCCCCTCGAAAAGAACAAGCAGACCAATGGCACTGCTGAGCCTGCCAATGATGTTCCCCAGGTGGTGAAGGACTCGATTGCCGAGGCCCACGAGAACCCCGAGGCAGCTGCCAACAAGGAAGCCGTGGAAGAGAAGAAGGCGATGGAGGAGGAATTGCACAAGACGGTTGCCGTAGAGCAGTCTACAGGTGCTCCAGCTCCTACTATCGCTGCCGAGCCCGCCAAGGACGTCCCTCAGATCGTCAAGGAGTCGATCGCCGAATCCAGCGAGAACCCCGAGGCGGCCGCTAACAAGGTGGCCGTGGAAGAGAAGAAGGCGATGGAGAGCGAGCTACAGAAGACGGTCCCCGTGGAGGAGTCTGCAGGTGCTCCAGCCCCGACTACCACTGCTGCTACCCAGGCCACCGCCCCAGCTGCTGCTGGCTTGGCTGTTCCCCCCGTCGACTCCACTGATGTTTCTCCGACCTCGACCCCTCCCCCCGGCCGTGTCGCACCCACCTCTGCTGCGCCCACTTCTGTACCAGCCCCTACCGAGACCCAGACCGCACCGGTCGTGACCACCGGCGTGGCTACTTCGGAGGCCGCCGAAAAGTCGACCCCCAGCAAGCCCACCGAGCCGGCTCAGCAATCCGCCAATACCTCTGGTGCTGGTGAGCTCCACGCCAAGGAAGAAAAGAAGAAGCATCGCCTGAGTGGATTCTTCAGCAAGCTCAAGGAGAAGCTGAAGTAGATGGGATGACAATTGCACTCTACTTTTTCAATCTCCACTGATGAACCATTGTTTCTTTTCGTGGGCGGATACGTCCCCTTTACTGCTGGCTGGCTTTTAGATCGCGACCTGAAGAAAGCTACGAAGAGGATTTTGTTTGGGAAATTGCGTCGAATAACCTCGTCCCGACGAGTCGGCCATTAACCCTTGTGACGATTTGCTGCTCTTTTATCTTCTTGCGTCTTTGTTGTTCTTTTGATCTGGATACCTCATCTGCACTGCACTGCTCTCCCTCTCCCTGTCTCCACATTGTATTCCAGCAAGCCCTGTGTTTTACTCTGACTGCAGTGTACCTTTCTACCCTAATACTGTTTATGTTTTATTCCCATTTCCTGGTAGTTTATCCACTCGTCGCAAGAGAACATTATCGTAAATGGTATTATTTATTATTCGATATTTCCATAGTACCCAACTCCATAAATCCTAAATCCTAGACCTAACACAAACGCCAGTCCATAATCTTCATTTCTCGGAAGTATGTTCAACTCTCACCGATCTTGTCAGAACGGTATGGCGTTACTGATTTTCCCATTCAATTTTACCGGATAACCAAGCACACTAGCAATTCCCTTGTTAGCTCTGTTTTTCGTCTTGGGCTCGCGGATGGGAAGATCATACTCTCGTCCTGTCTGTGTACACCCACAACCACAGAAAATAGATGCCGGCCAACAAATCACCTATCAATGGACCCAGCCCAGTCAGCATACTCAGCTAGGTAAATGATACACTGGACGGGGACTTGAGAATATCGAGTGATGCGATGTGTAAGTATGGCTTTGCTTGTCCGATCACGTACCGCTGCGACGATTGTACAACAGAATCCTGCCCGGCGAGAATTTATCAGTCCTCCCTGTTTTTGGGCGATTTTGCAACTTGGTCTAGCTGGGGAATTTGGGGAGGATAAGTATATGGACGTACCTAGTGTTGGTCCGACGACTTTACAATGACACGGGTTCTGATCTGTGCCGCATTGGAAGCAGATTGGGAAAATGGGGAAGAAGGGTATGTCGCACATATTGGAGGTATGAATTAAATTGCAATTAGGATGAGTGTTGGCAGGAAAGAAATGGAAGTCCCTTATTCGATTATACCTCCAATGCTGACCTGACCGACTCTGTCGGCGTAGGAAGTAGGTAGATTGATTGGTTGGCTAGTGCGTATATCAGGACTTTTGCTTTGATAATAGGATGAAACTGACGATTAATTAATTAATCATTTAGACACTGGGATATCTCTCAGTGATTCTACAGAACCGGCTTCATCGCTTGAGTTTGGTCGATTCTATAGTATCATGATGACGCAGATGAAGAGCGTGGTCCACCGATCGGTCCCGGTTGGTTTACTGTGGGTACGAGTGGGCGCATAGTTGTCCGAGTGGTACTGGGGATCTAAAGAAGTTGTTTTCTTAAGGACTCGAATTGCAGCAAGCAATTATTTTGTTTAAATTATTTCTTTCTTTATGCAGGATGGCTGGGTAACTGGGCCGGATGTACGGCATTGGCACTTGTTGGTTTGCGCGTGCCAGATCCAGTAGCGGTAGAATGGCTCGTAGCTGTTTTGTCGGAGGCTGTAGTATTAAATGTTGTTAGAGAAAGGTACATATAAGGATCTACCCTCGTAAAGAGAGATGAAGACGAAAACCTGGAATCAAGACTAGAGCGGGTGCAGTATCTCAGCGCAATTATAATAAAAGAAAATCGCCTCGGCAATCCGAAAGGCTCTGGCTCTAGAGAGGACACTGCGTTAGGGGCTACGGGCCTTTACAAGAATATGGAATAAGTCAAAGCTCATCATCGTGTACTTTCTTATAGAATAACCTCATTTGGGGAGCGACACTAAAAGGATTGCCGAGGCACGTAGAGTGCTTAGTAGGGCAGAGAATAAATCGGTCAACATTGAATATCAGGGCCATCGCAAAGAAGATCCCAGGTTTTCCACCAGGGAATCGCTTGGTTTAGAGGCATTATCATCCATCGTGGCGCATTCGCTAGGAAGCTGACGTATAACAAGCCGAAGGAAAAAAATGTACATCTGAAAAAGAAGAATATGCCAAGCGTAGTAATAATGGAGACGGATGGAACAAAGCCCGAAATCAGGGGCGCATCGAGACGTCAAGCCGAAAGGAAGAAGATGAGAATAATGGTTGGCTGGTTTAGCCGGGGCAGGTAGACCGGCGTCAACTAAGGCGATATATAGAAGACTTTGACAAGAACCAGTCGTGTCGCAGATAGAATTTTTGAGGCTGGAGCTACAACCGATCCATGGGATTAACTGGAGTGCCTGATGAAAGAAAACGAGGTGTTAGGTCAGTCGGGACACCATAGTGAAAATTGGAGCAATGAACGACTTCACTTACGGCTTGCGCTTCTCAACGCCCTCTCCTGAGTTTTCTCCCGACATATCCCACAGACGGCTCTTATAAGCCGGGAATTTGGTCTGATTCCACATGTTGACCAGGACGCTAGAATGAAAAACTTCGTTAGATCCAAGTCCTCAAGTAGAACCACGAAGGTCGGCTTGCGGGTAACTCACCTCTGCGTCCGGTCCTTGTACTGCTCATCTTGCATTTCCTTCACTTGAACCTTCATTCCATCCTTGGTAAAGGCGATATGCTTGCGTTCCATCTTGGCGCGAGTATTCTTGCTCACATCTTGGACGATTGTGTACACGACATAGCCGACGACGGCAAGGACTGCGACGAAGAGGAGGAGCAGGATGAGGGGGAGGACGTTGATGCCCTTGCTTTTTGATTTGGACATGGTTGATGGAAAGAGGTTGTGGTGGAAGGTTTAGGTGTGTAGTTTCGAGAGGAGTGTCTAGTAGGTTGGCACTGAGGCTGGGCTGGTAGGGCTATCGAGGGGTGTGGCGTAGATGAAGTCAGTCAGATTCGATGGCGCCGGGGAGTGGAGTCTTTATTGTGCCGAGGAAGAGGGAGGGCCTAGGAGTGTCGTGTGCGTGGTGGATGTAGGGCTTAGCCAAGGTTGTCTCGGCGCGATTTATGATGCTGCCTGGTAAGCGAGAGTAGTATGTGCAAGTGAGAGTAAGGAGAGAAACGAGTGAGAGAGAAAGAGGAGCGAAATCAGCTAAGCCATCTGTGAGGATGAAGTAAATGGCTGAAACCAGGCGAAACGCAACGTCTGGCTGGTCAGGGGCTTTTCCCCTCTCTTGGATACAGTACCAGAGATCGCCCGGTGACGTTGATTCGAGGACAGGATTGTGGCTGTGCATGCCACTTCCCCGATGAGGCGCAGTCAATGCAGTGGCTTGAAAGATTGTTTCTGCCTGATGTTGCATGGAGGTCTAGATCTACAATTCTCATTGGGGATTTTGAAACAAGCAGAATTATTATGGTATGTATAAAGTATCTAGTATCTAACATGACTGTCAACTGACAGTCTGCCACATGAAAAACGCCAGTAGATGAGAAAAAATGGTAAGGAAGGAGAACGGCTCGCATTGCGTGCGTCAAGTGCCGTGAGAAATCGTGTAAAGGTGAGGGGGCGTATAATCAAGGTCAATCCGATCCAGAAAAAAAACGCCATATTGAATCCAGAACCCATAAGGAGGGTGAAGCGTGACAGAGGGTATAAGTCGTATATACTAAACTCGCACTCAGGTGAAAAGCGCAGACGAAAATTCGCATGCGCGCAAGAAAGAAGATTAGGGCTTGGAAAGTTGCTCTTTGCGGAAGAAGAGCAGGAAGCCAGCACTGTTGGTTAATCGTTAGCGATCCTGTTATGTTATTGGCAGTGTTGGAAGAATGGCTTACCAGACAAGGAGTTGACAGAATAGGGCAACCCAGAACCAGGCATTTGCCAAAGCATGAGCACCCTTTGTCATGTCAGGAGAGATAGGTCCCGGGCCCACGCTGTTAGGACCGAAGGCTCGGGCACAGATGGTTGCAATGGAGCCCAGCACTTGAGAGGCAATGAGGGCGAAGCACATATGCACTCGTGTCAGGGTCTGCAAGAGAATGACACCGAAGCCAAGGCCTTGAATTGAATCCAAGACTCCCAACCACAACCAAAGACTACGCGAAGCAAGTGCTCCGCCGGTGAAACCTCCACCGACCCAGGGAAGATAGTAGCCAATGCCGGAGATAGCCCACCAGATTTGAATGAATCGTGGTGCGCCGAGACCACAAGCGAACACAGGAAGGAACCAACTGTGCTTCTTGGAGAATCTGCTGATGATGAAGAGGAAGACACACCAGACAGCACCGAAGAAGACAATGCAGAGGATGACGATCTGCCATGCGTGGGTGTGGCTGGAGTTCCACAGGACTGGAGAGACGCATTAGCATTCAAAAGTATTTCAAACGTGGACGGGAGAAAGCTGGCACTTACAGCTCCAGTTGCGACCGTATGGAGCACTGAGGAAGAAGTTCTGCAGGATGACGGCCACAAAGTTCCAAAGGACAATCTTTCGGCGGAACAGGGACTTGTAGAAAGATGGAACCTTGCCAGGCTTTTGACGGTAGTAGTTGGGCAGACCGAAGACTAGGAGAAGACCAACACCCCAGAGGAAGAAGGCAATCGGATAACAGATGGCGCTATTATTAATGTTAGCAGTGTTTTCAAGAAGTTCCTCGTAGATATAATACGTACGTCATCTTCCAGGTGTTGGAGATGGTGTTGTCAGAGGTCAAGAGACCCTCGCTGGAAGCCTTGCTCAGAGTCGAGCCCCAGTACCAGAGAGCAATGACATATGCCTGTTGGATACCCTGGATAACGCAAGCGCGGAAGATCCATGTCTCGACAGGAGCACCACCCTCATCACCAAAGTTGGAGGCAAAGAAGATAGATCCGCTAGAAGACGCCGCGGCATAGAATCCGCTTCCGACATTCTGTAGCCATCCCCGGTTGAATGAATTTGGTACCCAATGAGCGGAGCCGATCAACAAGAAGGCGAGACCGTAGAAGAACCAGGGAGTGGAAAGACAAACGACGGACTTGAAGTACCGGTACACCATCCACCAGCAAACGGAGGTCACTGCATAGGTGGTCGCGATACCGTAGAGCTTCTCGGCAGTCTCACCCACCTCACCCGTGAGAAGAGTGATCTGGTATGAGTTTGCAGCGATGATCTGACCCAGAGCGAGGAAAATAGAATACACTGGCCAGTCTCCGACCTTGATCTGCATCCACTTCTTGAGTCCAGTGGGGGGAACGTAATCCTTACCCAGCAGGAACTCATCATCGTCAGAATCATGCTCATCACTCAGAGCGATGTGAGAAAGACCGTCATTGTAAGACTCGGCAGCCGGCGAAGCATTATTCTTAGAACGGAAGATCGAGGGAGTGGGAGACTTGTGACGACCCAATTTGGCGTCACGGAATCTGTCGAACCACTCCTGTTCGCTCTTAACCAAGAACTCTTCAATGCACAGTTGACCTTCGGAGTTGGAGCCATTGAGACTCTGCAACTTCTGCTCAAAGTTGTGGTAGTACTCGCCGGTTCCGTCGGTGAAGAAAGGATCGACCTTTTGCAGCTTGAAATCCTTCTTGCTACCCACGACGGAGTCGAGGGAAAGAACGGATGCATTACTGTAACGGTGGCTCTCGCCCAAAGGTCGAGGGGGCAGAAGGAGCGAATCCGAAGCAGGAGGTGTACCAGGGCTGGTTGGAGGCAAGAGGAAACGGGGATGCAAAGACTCATCACTGGGGCGGCGGCGAGGTGAAGAAAGGGGAGAAGAGTACGAGACAACATCTCTCTGAGTGCTCTGCATCCGTCGACTTTCCTCAAGCTGAGCAGGAGTGAGAGTGTACTCGTCGTCACCGTACACACTGTGAGCTCGCTCCTCGTCATCATCGGTCTCGTCCACGGCATCACTGCTGTCTCCAGACTCCGGGATATCACCCTCAGTCTGACCGTGGCGGCCACGACGAGAGCGATGACCAGGACCAGAGCGAACACCAAGCGAGAGAGAACGGCTCAGACCAGACTTGGGCTGCTCAGTCTCAGAGGGGCTGATATCACGGCTGTAGATTCTCTGAGAGCCTAGATCGCTAACCTGGTTGAAGCTCGAGTAACTGCTGTCTCTGGAGTGCTGCAAAGCTGCATTCATTCCAGGAGCAGGCAGTGGGCTCATCGGGGTCATACCCATGTTGAGCGATCGCAATGTACCGTTGGGAGTGTTGGTGCCAGACGAAGTCAGAGGGCGCCCATGACCCTTGGAAATTTCCTTCTCGTGAACAGCAATGGCCGTAGACTGAAGGATCTCAAGGTCCTCTACCCACTGAGCCACGGGGAATCGCTGCTTAGCAGATCTGGCACGCATCATAGCACGAGTTTCAGTCTTGGAGTTGAGCGCAGCATCGATTGCAAGCTTGAATTGCATCAACAGATGGGACGTAGAAGTCGATTCCACGTTGTACCACCAGCCTGGCATTTGACCCAAACCACCGACACGAGCTCCAATACCCAATGCACCCTTACGACCGAACTCGACTGCGACGAGACCGAAAGGCTCATCACGAGACGGGATGAGGGCGAATTCGGCTCCAGAGAAGATGAACGGTGGGAGAGCAGTGAACTCGGGCTTCGAGAATACACGTCCGGGGTAGATTTCCATACAGCGACTGAGTTTGAGCGCAGCGAATTTACCGTAGAGATCAATCACAGGACCGATACAGATGAGTTGCACGTTGGGACGCGCCTCTAGAACCGCAGGCATAGCGTCAGCGATGAGATCGACACCCTTTTGCATAGACCAACGACCGACAAAGACGAGAAGGTCAGCGTCAGGGTTCTGCTCGAGTCCAGCCCACTCTTGAGCCTGCCGCTTTAGCTCGGCACGACCAGCCTCATATTCGGGATCAACGGTTGCCTCTGCGACGGGCTGCTTGGTCCACTCGCCAACATCAGAAGGATCTGGGTTAGGCAGATTGCCAACCTTGCGCAGGCCCCAGAAGATGGGATAACGGGCATAAGAACGTTTACCGTACTTCTTCGAGACGCCAACGGCACCGAAGCCTTGCTGGTTGACACGGAGGTAGCTAGCACCGGCGTGGAGAAGGTTGAAAACTTCACCGAATTGCACATACTTGCGAGCAATATCCTCGTCCAAGTTGAAAACCTGGCAGACTTCGCGTCGCTCTTTTTGAGTACGCATAGGCCAAAGACCCTGGAACTCGGCATTGTGGAGAGATAGACAGGCGGGAATGGTCTGTGGGAGGAGATAGAGAGGAGCGACGGATCCGTGGTAATCGTTGATGTGGTAAAGGTCGATGGGGAAACGCTTGATAGCTTCGGCAATACACTGGTTCCATGCCGAGTAGTACACAGCGCTGTCCAGATCGTCCATGCGAGCAGGGTACGGTTCAGTCTTCGATTGCTGGCGGAAGACAGGAGCGTCAAGAAGCACGTAGGTGATGTTGTTAAGACGGTGGTATTGAACCTTGACCTGGAAGGCACTGCCCAAGATGGTAACCTCCATGGGCTCTGCTTCTTGGTCAACGGGATAGTCAACGCCGCCAACGCAAGGAACAACCCAGATGAGATCCTGGTGACCCAAAGTCTTGCCCATCAGCTGTGCCATCACACCAAGACCACCGATCTTAATCTTGATGCCCCAGTCCTCGATATCATACTCCATGGTAGCAATCAGAACCATGCGACGTTTACCGGAAGCGCCGACAGCGCCCAATGCAGTGGTACTTTGCATGAAGCCAGTCTTGTTGGCGACACGCATGAGAGGGTTGATGGAGTTTTCACCAGAGCGGCCGGGAGCAAGCTTCTTCAAGAAGACCATTGGGGAAAGACTGCTCTTCTCGCTGACACCGACTTCATTGAACTTGACCTTGTAGAAGGACACCATGAAGATGTAGACACAGGCCGCACCGGTCAGGGCGGGAACGATCCAGAAGAGAACGAACATGACAATCTGGACGGATCTGTGTCCAACAGGCAGGAGACGGAAGTGCTGGGTACCGTCGTTGATCTGGAGCTTCCATGAGAGGTATGGCTTTGGTGGAGGTTCAGTGATGTTGATCAGCGTGCTCGAAAGAGACGAAGGAGGCATCCGATCCAATACACTATCATTGTCCATATCACCAAGCACCCAACTTTGGTCTGGCTTGCCATCCGGGTTGACACCCCAGATATTGATCTGTCCAACGGCGGGCCATTCGTAGGTAAAATGATACTTCCAGTAGCCATCGAGCGAGTCCAGCTCAATCACATTGTCAAGACCGCCATCATAACCATACTGGTTGTATGGGCCATTGAAGAAGGCATGAGGGAAGCGCCGTTGAGTGGTGTGAGCCCAGTTCGTGTCGCCTTCTTGCACGTAGGAGCTGCTACCAGTCCAGCGACTCCAGTACTCGACGCGCACATGGTCACCCTTCCAATCTTGCTTCTTTGTACCAGTCCAGGCCAGGCGATCAATCGTGTCATTACCACCCTTGTAGGTCTTCCAATCAGAGAAGGTTGTTCCCCAGTTGGTAGAGTACCGGTACTTGTCGGCACCGGCAGCGTGATGCTGGATGAAAAGAGTGTTGTTACCATCTTCCTGGTGCAGCAGACTGCTCGAATAGTTTGCAGAGGTAAAAACCATGGGATTGTCAAACTGGCCAATGCGGAACAGGAAGTGGTCAATTGCATTAGTGGACGCATTATTGTTGGCATTGGTCACGTTGTTCACGCTCAGTTTGTGAACTCCGTTGTACACTCCGGTCAGATTCGCGGACCACTTCCAGGCGCTTGGAATTTCTCCGGTGTAAGAAGTTTCGTTAAGAGGAACCGTGGTGCAATTGACTGTCTTGGTGTTGACAGTGGGGGATTTCCCGATCTCGGTCGACGAGTTCAAGGACAAATTGTTCGTGATGGAGTCACAGTCCATAGCCTCGGAGAAGTAAAGCTCAATGTACACATCTTCGGCTTCATTTGGTGCCACAGTCGACATAAGAGGGAAATCATGACCAGGTGTGAACTTGGTGATCATGGGCCGAGGGCTTTGGAACAAAGAAATGGGGACATATGCCCGGAACTCATACGCCTTGAGGGTTAGGTTGGGATAGCAACCGTTCCATTCCTTCGATCCGTTCAAGCCAAGCTTCCTCGGTCCGTCGATCAATTCAATCTCATCGTGGGGATAGAACAGATTCTTGACTCGAGTGCCCGTATCAAAGGGAGACAGAAGAGTAGATTCGTTACTCTTGCAATCAAATTTATAGTCCATGGTGCGATTGACATTCTGGTAGACGAGCCAGACGGGTGAGTTTTTGGCATCAGAGCCGAAATCCTGGACTTCAGTGTTCAGGTCACGAAGAACAGACCACATTCCAGTTTCAGTGGCTGTCCCGTTGGAACCGGGATATATCACGTCCCAAGTCTGATTGGACATATTCGACAGGGTATATCCGTCGTTCAGAACGGGGAACTGCTCACGGAGCTGGTACATGTGCTTCATGATATTGCGAACCGGGTGAGATGGATCGCGATGATCATAGGTGGCAGCTTCATCGTTACAACCTTGGCTGGCAGCTTCAATGGGCCACTGGTAGTATTGGGAGGATTGCAATGAGAAACATCCGTGTGTTTTCCAGGCAGTGGCAGATGACATTGCTTGCCGACCATAGATATAGTTGGATGCTGTAGCATCCAAGATATAAAAGGCTTGCTCCTCACCCCAGAGAAGGAGCGGGATGCCAGGGATCAAGATAGTGGTCACAAAGGAGCCAAGCAGCTGTCTTTCAACACCATACTGGATCGCAGGCCAACGGAAAACATCCTGGTTGGTGGCTCCAAACATGTGGCGAGGATCGAATTTACCGGTGTTTGCATTAATGAGATCGTTCGAGGTAAGCATCTCATTCCATGCATTAACCCAGTCAATGGGCACATCATAACCGGCGGAAAGCTGACCGTCCATGCCGAGGAATCTAGTGAGGCCACGGTATGTCGAGTAGTGGAAGGCTGCGCCGTCGATTGCCTCATGGCCAATCTCACGCAGGAAATACTGGGAACTGGATTCGTTGGTCATTGCCATAGCCTCAGTAGTAGAGCTCGGGTACTGGTTCGGTTGACGACCGCGACCCAGGTAAATCGAACCAAAGGTGTTACCACCAGTGATCTCACCGGCGATGAAGAAGTTCTCCTTTCCGACGGCGCGGGCGCACTCTCGGTACGCAAGAGACATGTCTCCAAGGGCATCAACTGTAGCCTGTGTGGCCTTATCGTACCGGAAGCCATCGATATCCAGAGACGCGATGATCATGCAAGAGTGACGGATCAAGCGCTGGCGCACACTGGGATGCCATTCACGCAGACGATCCTGCACGGATGCGAACTTGGCAAGCTCACGCTGCCAATCTGGGAACACACCGAAAGCTTCAATGTCACCGTATTGATCAAAGTCGCTGTCGTAGCAACCAACAAGGTCGGCGATCTGAGATTCATTGACAGGGTACCCATTCTCAAACCAGAAGCGAGGGTAGTCGCAGGTCTCGTTGTACGTGTTTCCAATGTTGAAATCCACGTAGCGCCGCTCGCTCTTCCAGGTTGTCTTGTGCTCCTTCTCTGAGAAGGGCGTCGTGGTGTTGAGATATCCATCGAATCCGATGAGATCACCCATACTTTCAAACAAATTAGCCTTTCATCTCGAACCGAGTAGCAGGAAGAGAAACTTACGTGGCGATGGTGTTGTCGAACAGAACATACATCCCCCTCTTGTGAATTTCGGTGATGGCATCGCGCCAAACCTGAATGGTACCATAATGTTTATCAAGAAGTGTTGTATCAAGAGCCGAGTATCCGTCGAAGCCCCAAGGCTGGTTCATCAATGAGGTTCCTGCGAGATAGAGACCCTGTAGGTTGTCAGTATTTGCTACTGCGGAAGCCTCTGTCGGTCTCAAGTCAACCATACCTTGATTCCCATTCCTTGCAGGTAGTCCAAAGTATCAACCAAGCCAGCAACGTCACCACCATGGCGCATTTGAGTCGAATCCAAATCGTGCTCGAACAATGTGCCGTTGATATTATCATTAGTAGGATCGCCGTTGACGAAGCGGTCCAAGAAGAGTGTATAGAATGGGAATCGCCAATTATCCGGCGAAGGGTGGTAACTCCCTTCGTGATTTGGCCATTCTCCCCAATAGTCGGCAGGATCTGTCGCCGTCTTATTCTCATTGAGATTGTACTGAAGAAAAGACTCGTCGTACGGCCAGCATGTTGACGTTGTTGCGAAGAGGGCGAGGAGCCCACTGGAGAGTAGCCACCTCATGGTTCAAGCGAGTGTGACTTGAATGCTTGATTATTCTCCAGCGTCTTGTTCAAGGCGTCCAAGGAGCCTCTGGAAAGAGTAGAAGAAACTCAAGACACTCAGGTGGAGGCAGACATGCGTCTAGCTAGGTTGACCCCAGGTACTTGCAGTGGTTCGTTGTAATCCCCAGATTATCAGAGATGCAGAGAGATAACGATAGATAGTGAAGAAAACGAGAGGACGACGCTCAGAGAAACGTAATGAGGATAAATTTCCAATGATTTTCGAAAAAAAAAAGAGAGATAAAGGTGATACGATGGGAGAAAACGAATGTAGCAGAGGGGAAATTGTTAGATCACGTAGCAGGACAGTGATGAGATGATGGCCATTTTAGTGGCGTATGAGTTCAGCTCGAGATAAAAATAAATGTCAAGACAGGCTAATTATTCTGGAGCAAATGAAACCCCTATGTAAACGAGTTGAGGCTGATTACGGTTACGGTTACAAAAAAGCTAGTAGTGATGGAGATGTCTATTTCCTGTGGTGCCGGTGGATGCATTGGATGCACTAGGGTCTTCCACGACAGTTCGAACTAAACTCGAAACTGCAATTGTGCTGGATTTTTTCCAGATTATTGATGCATCATAACTAGTCTCCCACGAGCATTGGGCCCGCAGCCAAGATGTTCACTCGTGGCTCGACGGATAACCGCCGCGAGAAATAACCAGAATGGGTAGAGTTGACTTTTCGTATTGTTGAAATGCCTTTTTTTAAAGTCTCTTTTCGGATCCAGACCATAGGGCTACAGAGTACAGGCCTTGTATCTTTCTCAGACAACCTGGTTCCACTAGTACGCTGCTCCATCTGTACTATTCCAACCGAATAGTTCCATCCGAGACAGGTCCACTTCGAGGTGAATCAACCAGAGTGAAAGATCCGTATTCTATCCAAAGTAGAAAGTCCAACACGAGAGAAGAGATTTTGTTTTCTGAAATATCTTTCCTACGAAAAAAAGCATACTGCTAAGGCTACTATTCTGTACTTCCTAGAGAATTCAGCCGAGTGTGCGTTACTTCAACATCCAGATGCCCATAGATAAGCGTTCGGCGCAGCAGCTCGTATTTGTCGTGCAGGCCGATATATGCGAACCTGATCGGACAGTACCTATACATAGAATTTCACCGATAAGAGAAATACGGCCGTACACACGGCCCGCAATTGATGCAATCTTCGGTACATATGTAGTAGCTCTTCGGTAGGCTTAGCCGGTGGGTCCGGTTAGCCCGGGCGTCTTTAGGGCAGTACTACTGAGACATGTAATTTTCGATTCTTGTAGATTGAAAATTCGACACTGTAAGAGGGTTATTCGACGGTAACAGGTACATCAAGTCACTAACCCTGGCTCGGGCGTTGAGCCACTTACCGCTGACCACTTCTTATCTCAGGCACCTGTAATGAACTGCCAAGCTAAATGACAGAGGTCAACCATTAATACAACACGATGGTGATATCCTTGGCTATTTTGAGTTTTCATTCCGGAAAGAGAGGCGCTGTGATTACTATGAGGCCTTCAGGACAATCCTGCTATGCGAAATATTAGCCCTAGGTGTGCTATCTCTTTGAAAATGTGATCATCGTTCTTATCATTTTGGCTTGGGGATTGGCGAGGGAAAGGTAGATCAATCGAAAGATGTGGGAAATTGGAATGTAATTTCAACCCTTACATCGTTATCATGGGCGTGACTAGGATATGACCGAGTCGACTCATAACCTGCCATGCATATTCTGGTAATCTCCGACATTCACGTTATGCCTGATAAGCAACCTGCAATCTTTCTTCTTTCTTTTTCTGAAATTTCCATAGTCTTTGAGCTTGAATTTTCTTCGCCTTTCCAAGAAATCAAATCAAATACAGAGCATTACTTGGATAGTACCCCTTTTTTATTTTTGGGATTTTTATTTTTGTTTCTTTCTCGCGCCACTTACGGAGAACAAGATTGGACCCTGAGATCGATGGATATCGCTGGAGGTGGAACCGTGGGTTTACAGGTAAAATAACCACTGGAATTCTCAATACGGCGGCAAAAATACAGCCACCCGCTGCGAATTAACCGAACTTGGAACACCGTATCATGTCACATATTCTGGTACGACGATAACCATATATAAAATACCAGCAAATCAATTGGAACCAGTGCCTCTCGCTGTTCATTTCGCCAAGGCGCATCGTTCGCTCTCAAATCCTTTCGCACTTCTTGTACCTCACAGGATTCGATTCGGTCGAAATCCGACTAGCGATCGATCCGTGCTCAGATCATCCAATGGCCTGTTTTTGTTGGATACATGGTGGTCTTGCGCCTGATCAGGATCACATCCTAGATCCCCATAGTTGCCCACTTCGAGGATGTGGATATTACCAGGTCTGAATTTCAGGACGCCTGAAGTATACGCTGTGTGTCGGCGATTGGTAAGAAGGGAAAAGTATAGTAATATTAACGCGCCCATATGCCGACATACTGGCGAACCCGCCACTTTCTCTGTCATTTTGTCTCGGGGGAGTAACCAAGTTAAAGTCCGTCTACTTTCAGTCCGGGTTTGACCGCTAACACGATTTAACCGGCGCGGATTATTCCGTGCATGTCTCACTCTCGCAGGAATACGAGAGTCCTGCTGTTGGCACTCGAGAGGAGAGAGGTTGACTCGAATGTTCGAATAAGTCTCACCCATGCAAATTGTTCGAAACATTTCCATCACAGCCGCGGGGTTCGTATATGTAGTAGATATGTCGCAACGGGTTGAGTCTGGCCTAGAACCTTGGGTCTAGAGGTCCTCCGTAGCATATATGCACCCATATCTCTCCTCCTCCTAGCGTTATAGGTTTCCTAAATTCTACGGATTCGCCAAGGCACCATTTTTTTCGGAAACGCTTCTCCGCATGTTAGCTTCTGAAGAAGTTTGAAGACTCCCCGGATTCAAGATGGAAAACTGCCAAATATGATCATCGAGTCTTCCACAAGTTTTTATCTATGCCTCTATAGGGACATTCTCCCGCCCTAGGGCAATGTGACCATGTTCCCAGATTGCTCAAATCACAGCTAGTCTATGAAGCTAGGCTCAATCACACCTAGGCGGGTTCACTTTACCGCGGTAGCAACCAGGAAGATGTATCCAGAATCACTCAAGTGACCAATTTTTGACCCATTTGCCCCAGTGTCCCCAGTAGCTAGGGCTTTTTCCACTATGTCCGGTCTTTTACCCCGAATTCTTCAGTGCGAACTCTAACCTTGATTGCAGTCTTTCCTTTCCCCAGGGGTCGAGGTCACTCTCATTCCTTCCTTTCCCAGTCCTTTCCCCTCTTCTCTAATCACTCCTCTACGCTCGTTTCTCATGTGATTCAAATCCCTACTAGACTGTCTCTCGTTTCCTTATCACACTCGTTTACCCTGTCACTCGTTATACCCCAACATTTTGTCTCTCTTTTTACGACGTTTTCGCGTCTCTAACCCTCGATCTCGTACACGAGCGTGGCGCGTCCTAAGGACCCGCCATGTTGCCCACATCGGCCATCTGCTATGTAGCAGGCATTGCTTCCATTTCAAGTCTCTTTGGACCAGCTTTCGCTGCGTCGACGTCAGAATGGAAAACCCGATCCGTTTATCAAACCATGACGGATCGGTTTGCGCGCACCGATGGCTCTACGACGTCTCCTTGCGACCTTGAGGAGGGAAACTATTGCGGAGGAAGCTGGAGAGGAACTATTAATCATCTTGACTACATCCAAGGAATGGGATTCGATGCTGTCATGATCTCTCCGATCATCAAAAACATCGACGGTCGCGTTTCTTATGGTGAGGCTTATCATGGTTACTGGCCGCTAGACATATACGACTTGAACTCGCATTTTGGAACATCACAAGACTTGCTTGACCTCAGCGACGCTCTGCATGCTCGCGGTATGTACCTGATGATGGATACGGTCATCAACAACATGGCCTATATTACCAATGGTTCCGACCCTGCCACGCACATCGACTACTCGGTCTTTACACCATTCAACAACGCAGATTATTTCCATTCCTACTGCGAGATTACGGATTGGAATAACTACACGGATGCGCAGCTCTGTCAAACGGGTGATAACAAGACAGCGCTCCCTGATCTCTTCACTGAACACGCCGATGTCCAACAGCTTCTGGAGAACTGGGCGACCGACACGATAAAGAAATATTCTATTGATGGTCTTCGAATTGACGCCGCCAAGCACGTCAGCCCAGGCTTCTTGAAAAACTTTGGAGATAAAGCTGGCGTGTTCATGACTGGTGAAGTTCTCGAGAGCAGCGTGGACATCGTTTGTAACTACCAAAGCAAGTATATCGGGAGTATGCCCAATTACCCTATTTACTACGCCATGATCCATGCGTTCACTCAAGGCAACATCACCGAGCTTCCGAATCAAGTGGAGGTGATGAAAAACGCGTGCCCTGATGTCACCGCAATGGTCTCATTCTCTGAAAATCATGATCTTCAGCGCATCGCGAATATGACGTCGGATATGTCGGTACGTGTAACTACGTCGGATTATCACCGCACAATCTCTGACCTCGGTTGTACATGTAGCTTGCGAAATCCATCATCACGTTCACACTTCTGTTCGATGGCGTCCCAATGCTCTATCAAGGCCAAGAGCAACACTTGAATGGAGTTTATAACCCGTGGAATCGTGAAGCGATCTGGCTTACCGGCTACAAAAATGACACCGTTCTTTACAAACTCATCGCGACGCTGAATGGAATCCGGAAACATGCCTACACCCTGGACTCGGATTACGTTGACAGCCAGACGCATTCCATCTTCACGGGCGGCAGTGAATTGGCTTTCTCCAAGGGCGTCGAGGGACGACAGGTCATCATGCTTCTGTCGAATCAAGGCACACAAGGCAAACCCTACACCTTGACATTACCAGTCTCCTACAATGCCGGCACGGCAGTGACTGATGTGTTGAATTGCAAAGCCTACTCGGTCAGTGACATTGGGGAGCTCACCGTTGACATGGATCAAGGAGAGCCTCGAGTTTTTTTCCCTACCAAGTTGATGAATGGCAGTGGACTCTGTGGTTACTCGTCAAAGAACATTTCCTATGCCGATCTGATGACGGGTCGCGGGTCCGGATCATCATCTTTGGGGGCCAGAAATAAAGGCGGCGCTAATATTAAGCAACCCCTTTTGCTGACATTCATGATGAGCTTAATGTTATTAGGCATGGTCTAAGTCTTGGCGTCAAACCACATTGTTTGCATTCTGCATTGGCCAGTGTGTTTATGATCTGACTTTTTCCTCCTGATATCCCTCGATGTACTCGGTTCCGATCGCTTTTTGCCCTTTTTTCCTCTTTCTTTTAGCCACAAACACGGTCGCACTTTTTCGGCTCATCTCAACATCTTTTTCGCGTGTTCATATTAGTTAATCTTCATGTATATATTGAACCTAACCCACCTATTTGCCTCCATATACTGATATACGAATTGTGAAATTATTCTTGCCATAACTCGGGGGTCAATTTTGAGGTATGACGCGGGTCCGGAACAGATGTCTCGCCCCCATCGGATGCTGACTGGCTGTGTAATTTACGCCCGAAATCTCGAATACAAAAAGAGTTGGGGCGGCCCACTTTGTGTTGAAATTTTCCGTTTCCACTTGTCTTGGACTCTGGTCCGTGCGGATCCCAAAAAAGCAGACTTTTAGGTAACTGAATATTCCTTGCCCCGAGTGGATATGCAACTAAATATGGAAATGGATGAATTGCAAGTATTCCGTTTCTAAGAGGGAATCATTCATGCTTTCATTGGATTTGTTCTGTCCAATCCTTTGCATTATTTTGCTTGCTATACACTGTACGCTATACTAGGAAGCCCCCTATGCTATCGCTATTCTCGTGCTGTAGCCGGCCACTTCGGCGGAGACAGCAAGTTTGGAAAAGAGAAAGAAGGTCAATTTTGTTCCAACTATGCCTTTGTGAATACTATCATTCTAACATGTAACTTATCCTAATTAGAGGCCGCCAAAAATCTTGATCAACTCCCTTCGTGGACTGCGCCTGATAATACGCTAATTCTGCAAGCCTTTGAATGGCATATGCCTGCCGATCGACGCCATTGGGCTCGATTGCAGGCTGCATTGCCTGAGTTCAAGGCGATAGGCGTTGATCAGTTATGGATTCCTCCCGGATGTAAGGGAATGGACCCTTCCGGGAATGGCTATGATATCTATGACCTTTATGATTTGGGGGAGTTTGATCAAAAGGGTGCCATTTCGACAAAGTGGGGCACTAGGAAAGAATTGGAAGATTTGGTATGCCAAGCTCAGGCTTTGGATATCAAGATCATTTGGGATGCTGTGCTTAATCACAAAGCTGGTGCTGATTTTCCGGAGAGTTTTGAAGCAGTGGAAGTAGATGCTAAGAGTAAGTTGATATCATTCACCGACCTCTAGTGGAATTGTGGAAAAGTGTAAATCACAACGTTCGGACGGCTAATATATAACTGACAGGAAGGGATATTGAGGTATCCGAGCCTCTAGAGATAGATGGCTGGACGGGCTTTGATTTTCGGGGCCGTGGTGATTTGTACAGTTCGATGAAATATCACTGGCAACATTTCACTGGCGTCGACTGGGATGATAAGCGTAAACACCAGGCAATCTACAAAATCCATGCACCCCACAAGGACTGGGCCGCCGACGTGTCCGGGGAAAACGGGAACTATGACTACCTCATGTTTGCTGACCTGGACCTTTCTCACCCTGAAGTCCGCAAAGACACTCTACAATGGGGAACCTGGATTACCGAGACTTTATCACTCAGCGGGATGAGGCTGGACGCAGCAAAGCATTTCTCTGCGAAATTCCAAAAAGATTTCGTGGAGCATATTCGCAGCACTGCTAATCCGGATTTCTTCGTGATTGGGGAGTATTGGACCGGGGATGTACAGGCCATTGTGGATTACCTGGAAGAGCTCGAGCACAAACTTGCGGCTTATGATGTTCCACTCATTGAAAAGTTCTCAAAGTTGTCACATACACCCGAAGCTGACCTGCGTGGTATCTTCGAGGATACTTTAGTACAACGCAGGCCGGACCGGGCGGTGGTAAGCAAGTCTCCTTCTTCAGCTGGTCATCATTTGATATTCCATAGACTAACTTTTGAAAAGACCATTGTTGCCAATCATGATACGGTAAGTGGCGCAGGTCGAGGCCTTCCCTTTAGGTTTTTTGGGCTCATATATTGACTTTCTTGCTTATGGCTTCCAGCAACCAGGGCAAATGCTCGAGGTAAGTCACCACCAACCCATTTTCATGGGATCACAGCCTTGCTTACTGAAGAAATTAGACTCCCGTAGCATCGGCTTTCAAATTGTTAGCCTATTGTTTGACACTACTCCGTAAAGAAGGACATCCCTGTGTATTCTGGGGCGACCTTTACGGCATACGTGGTGGAAATGCCGCTCCCCCGATAACGCCAGCATGCAATGGCAAGCTTCCAATCTTGACTAAAGCAAGAAAACTATATGCCTACGGCGAGCAGGAAGATTACTTCGACCAACCAAACTGCATCGGTTCGTGCTTCCCCTGCCTTGCCCCTTAATTTTTTGCGAATTTTCTTTTGGACTTGTCGTTCCTGACTATGTCTCAGGTTTCGTTCGCTATGGAAGTGCTCGTCACAGTTCTGGCCTTGCCTGCATTATCAGCAATTCAGGCGCAGCCAAGAAGCGCATGTTCATTGGTCGGCACAATACGAGCCAGCGGTGGATGGATATCTTAGGCCACCGGCCGGGGGCGGTCGTTATCGACAAATGGGGCTATGGGCTTTTCACTGTCAACGCGATGAGTGCCAGTGTCTGGGTTGATTCAGCCGCCGTTGATTGTGGTGGTATGGAGGAGAAGTTGTGTGTATCTCCCTATCTCCCCCTTTTTTCGACTCCCTGTTCTGCGCTAATCTACCAAAATCACTAGCAACTTGAACATTTACGACTATTAATCGTTGGTAGCTGGCTCGGAATATTTTCCCAGGGACCCCCTAGACCAAGTAATTATGTACAATGGCTTTCAATGCAGAAATTTTCGAGTTTATCCGTTAGGCAGCCCAGATCACCACTTGCGAGGTAATCGTAACCGCCACTTCCGCTGGCCGAACATAGATACTACCGTAACTTCTACGGGCGTTTTGACCCTGAATCCATACTTCAACGGTGAGATATGGAGCAGGCTCCATTATCGAGACACACTGAACGTTTTTGCTCTTTTTCCGGACGGTACCTGAATCGGACGATACTCGGTGAAACATGATGTACCCACGTGTATGAAAACTGCCTGTTCCTGAAAAGTAGCGTGGGTCGATATACGGATAAAGCCATGGATGTCTCAAAAGAATTTCCCTGGAAGCTCCGAATTTTTGGTGAGTCTGCCTCATGACAGCAATATTATTAATCGGCAAGTCATGTTCGCTCGGATCCTGCAGAGGGCCCAGTAGTAGAGTTTGGGACCTGCCAAGAGGCGATCGGACAATTTGTTAAGCCATTGGTACATTTCCTTGATTGTACTGGATCTCAACCTGGTTACCGGGTCTCTCGATGCAGTCTAGCGTAGATCGGATACATCCGTCCAATTGATAGCCAATCAATGGTTATTGTTCAGTACCAACAGTCTCGATGGGGTCCGTATTTTTACTTGAAGGGAATTGAGTACTTAAGAGTATTTAAAACATTGTTTCTAATCGAATCCTAAATTATTACAATGAGGATTTGTCTATATGCCCAAAAGACAAAACTCCGCAATAAGGAGGTGTTGCGATAAGTCCGTGCTTTGACACTGGCCAAGGAACTAGTAAGATGGTGTAACAAGATAAGGTGGCCGTTAGAGCAAAAATAGAATTTATACTACTGGTAAAATACAAACGATACATATACACTGCGAATTCTGAACTTACCCGTAACTCGATGACAGGGCTCCATATCAAGCAAAAGACAGAACCAATCATGCACGGCGAGCGCCAGCAAACGCTTGGCGTGTCTCGGTTCAGCCTCCGCAGCGCCTCATCTCGCTAGGATGCATTAGTGGCTTGCAAGGTCACTATCGGCCCAATCGGCTGTCTCGTTAATACGAGTGCACCGAAATCTCCGGCCCAACGCCGCCGGTTCGACCGAGGACTCTTTGTGGAATCCCGTCACCACCCGGGTCCCATTCGGGCGATCTTCCGTCCGAACTTTTTGTACGGAGTACAAATGGTATTATTGATTTTGCAAAAAACTTGGGTACTGTATTTCGCGTGGCGTTGTTTTTGGTTGGTACTGAGACTGGTCCCTGATTTCAAGATGGAGACCATGGTTCCCTTTCCAAGGCTCGTGTCCGACCTGTGGCAGAGACATGTCATGTCATGTCCAGCTGGCAGCAATGCATTCACTGCCAGGTTCGTGCCGGATAATGCCATCAATTGATTCAGATATTATTAGACTTGTCTTAGCTATTGTGCGAGATTGTTTTTAATCGTCGTTTGTGATATTACGTTTGATTTTATATTCTTCTTCTACTTAATTATATTAAACTCTCTTCACTGTCGTTGGAGATATTCGGTAACTCTTGCTTTCTTGAATATCAGTCTATCGTTTTTCGATTACTATTCATTCGTTAAATCATCACAATGCGTCTCTCGCTCGTTCTGTCTCTTATGCCTCTTGCAGGCTTCGTCGGAGGTAAGTCGAGTCCATCTCCAGCCTCGGGAACTTGCTAACAAAACCATCAGCTCTCCATGTTACCGAGCCCGAGAAGGGTGCTGATATCAAGGCTTCTAGCTCTCTGACTGTCAAGTGGACTTATGTCAAGTAAGTTATACCCTGATCTCGATGTCTTCATACGTTCAAAGTCATATCTAACCCGGAACAGCACCGATGCTAAGAGCTTCAACCTCTACCTCGTCAACAACGCCGTCTATCCTCCCGTTAGCGAGAAGATTGCTACCGATGTCGAGACTTCCGATGGTTCCTACACCATCGACAGCCTCACTGGCGTCACTGCCGGGTATGTTTCGCTCCCACGAGGCTCTGCCGTCCCTTCCTCCAGCCTCGGTGCACATCATTCCTAACAAACATCTCCAAACTAGCCATGGCTACCAGATCAACCTCCAGTCCGACGAGACCATGAACACCGGCATCCTTGCTCAGTCCGAGCAGTTCAACGTGACCGGCTCCGCCCAGAGCTCCTCCACTTCTAGCTCTTCCACTGTTTCCTCCTCTTCCTCCACCTCGTCGGGCACTTCCACCGATTCCACCTCTACCACCGGTACCGCTACTACTACCAACACCTTGATCACCGTTACTGGCACTTCCACTGGCTCCAAGACTACCGGTACCTCCGGTGCTACCGGCTCCGCGTCGTCGACTGGTGCTTCTGCTAGCGGTACCTCTTCGCAGACTGCCGTTCCTTCCACCGGTGCTGCTGTCGCTGTTATGGCTCACCCCGCCGCTGCTGCCGGTCTTTTGGCTGGTGCTTTGGCTTTTGCCCTGTAAGCTTGTTGAGAATACAGCTATGGGTATGAGTGGTCGATGGAGCATTCTTTAGGTGATGAGGGGGTGGGGAGAAATGAATGTTGTGGTTGAGGGTGGAGGAGAGTTGAATAAGGTTGAAGTGGAATAGAGATATACACGGATTTAATGATAGATGGAGTGGCTTTTTTTCGTCTTTATTTCTGGTTCTAGTATTTACTTTCAGATGACATCCTACGGGAGGTTGATAATGATAACACTTATACAATAATTGCAAGCATGATCATAGCCTGACGGTTCGAAGGTGCGATGAGTATGTCTTTGCCTCATAGATGACTGCCTGTCAAGCACCATACTGATAGTCATAGGTAATTCATCTCGTTCTTTGACCACATCTCTCCTTCCTAGTTTCCTCCAATGGTAGTTCTTTCTTCAGATTTGATTCTGTTATGTTGTCTGAAGATTGCTGGCTCATGTAACTGAGCTGCAACAAACGTAGCCCAACTCCCTTTGTCGCGACATCAATAGAATATAATATAGACGGAAATTTTGCTATCTAGGCCGAATATAATGGTGTAGGTACACGGAAGGTTGACGCGTGGCCTCGAAGGCTTTTTCCGTCCCTTTCCTGGATATATATCTTGTGCTCATGGACGTGATCCCCGCGCTTCACCCCATCCACCTGCAGTTTTCACAAACCAGCGGCGTAGATGATTGAAGTATACGAGCCCGTTTGGTTTTAGGCTATTCTAGCTTGATGAGTTCTCCTTCTCCATATTTACACTATGACCTAGTTGAGTGAGATGCAAGCCCCCAAACCTACTGTTCACATGATTAAGACAACTTTACGCGCCCAAACTTAGTTTGGGATACCTGAATTTTAGATTTACCTGACAGATGCAAAAATGTCATTTGAAAGATATGAATATACAATAAAAAATTTTCCTCGCCCAATAAACCACAAGGATGTTTAAATATGCAATGATAGGCTATATCACCTGGGGGCGAATAGCACGTCATGGCCATGAATTATGCCTAGCATCCGTTTCCATCCGCACCTTCTCACTGATCAGCATAATAGCTATAGTCCTGATTCAGCAGATAGAATGCACTAGGCTCAGGCTGTCCACTACCGCCCTCCCAAGTCGGGGTCGCCAAGGTCTTAGGCGTATCATCCCGACTGGTACCTGAGAAGACATACTCGAAGGTCTTAGCCCATTGGACCCGGTTGTTCAGGCCCTCCAGCCCCCACAGTTCCTGCAGGAAATGCAAGATTGAGGAGTGGGTGTAGGCGGAGTTCTTGGCGTACGAGGTACCCTCGTCGTGGATGAGGGTGTTTGCAGGGATGAAGGGAGAAATGAGGAACGCAGGAACGCTGTGCCTTATTAGTGGGAAGGTCTTTTCTGGGTTGAAGAAGGATTGGCCTACCGGACTCCCAGGCGAGTAAAGTCGTAGTTGACCTCGTGACCTTCGGATGTGCCGGTGAAGGTGATGTTATCTTCGGGCTGGGGTACATTCAACGGAGTCGGGACGTGGTCGGCAAAACCACCATGCTCATCGAAGTTGATGATCAGGAGACTGAAGAGTATCGTTAGTATCAACCAAGGAGGAACTTATTTGATCCTGATGACTTACGCATTGTCCCAGTACTTGGAACGACGGAGAGCATCGTACAGGTGCTTGACCATCTGCTCGCCAGATGCCATAGGGCTGGTTGGGTGCATCGAGTCGATGGTGCAGCACTCGGGGTTGATGTATGAGAACGTGGGCAGGGTACCCTGTTCCAAGTCGCGGTAGAACTCGTCCGCATGAGCGAGGCGATCCATCGCGTTATCTTGAACCCACTTCGAAAGGTCAGCACGACATACATTTGATATATGATTGAGTTGAGTACTTACCTTGTACATGTATGCGTCGATGATGTCGGTCTCGTAGTACTAGAAATAGCTTTGATCAGAAGTTGTCATATACAGCCAGAGAGGCCAACCTTACGTTCTTCCAGCTGATGTTCTTGTTGCTCAGGGATTCGAAGATCGATGTGACGCAAGTAGTACCAGTGACATTATTCCAGAACCCAGCAGCCTGGTCAGTATTATCAACAAAGCCACAGGACGATCCCGAAGTTGCAAATTGGCGGTTGGGGTTGGTTGGGCCGGGGTGCTCGGCGAACTAAATTTCAGCTTTAGTCTTGACGTTCCATTCTCCATCTTTTTCAGGGTAGCTCTCACGTAGGCATCGAAGAAGGCAAAGTTTTGCGCCAGCTCTGCCAGCAGAGCGGTCTTCTTCTGATCGTATGCCTTGATCACAAAGGCCGCATCTCCGGGAGTCGACTCGTACTTCTCGGACTGGCGCTCAACGAAACCACCCATGTTGGGGACATCATCCTTGGTGATGTTCCACTTGCGGAAGATCTCATAAGTGACGCCGGCAAAGTTGTGATCGGGATCGACAAGCGGGACTTCCGTCTCGAATGGGGCAGCGCAGATCTCCAGTGGTTCTCCCCACACGGTCCAATTGGCATTGGTGTATTCGTTGCAGTAATCAACCTTGCGCAGGTTGTCAATGTCCGGGTGGAAGTCCCAGTAGCCAGCGATGTTGTCGAAGGAGTGGTTCTCCAGGGTGAGATAGATGACGTGCTTGATCTAGAAGAGCCGTTCTGGGATCAGTTGCTTTGCTCATAACTCCAACTTGGAGAGGAAATACTGTAAGATGCTGTAATATCACTCACATTTTCACGCAGCTTGCTCCAGGACTGAGTGCTACGCGCTGTCGGGCGAGCTGATGCTGCAGCAATGAGGCCTGAGACGGCCGCAATCCTCCAAGCTGACTTCATGATGAGTGTGGTCTGCCCGTCTCAGTGAACGGTGAGTGGTGTCTTGAGAAGCTCTGACGATGCCTGCTTTTTCGAGCAGGCATGCAGGGACATTCTTATAGAAAGGAGCGGAAATTGCAAGTTCTCGCCAGACGGAATCGACGATTCCTTTCTTGGAGTTCCTGGGAGCAGGTGCGCTCCTTCCATCGGCACCTGCCGTAATTGCACACCATCAAGGGCTCCATCTCTCGATCTAACGTCTTGGTCAGGAGCCCACGACCGACGCTAAGGAGTGCAGCGACGGAAAAGACCCGATGCTAGCGATTTAATCCGAGCCCTAACATGGCTCGCGGACGCGGCGTGGTCCACTCTTCACGCCATTCCACCTTGGATGAGGGGGGCATGGCCATCTCATCCCTGTAGGGATGCAGGTGGGTGGGGATGATAAAGTACAGACGAAAGGGAGAAGGGAGGAGAGGCACGCAGGAGATTTCCTTTTCTGTCGCAGCTATTATGGTGTTGATTAGATCTGTCAGGGGGCGGGTGACATTATCCGCTTTATCGTGACTATTGGGATCTATACTCCGTGCATATCTGCGGGGAAAGGAGAAGCCAGGATGGTGATAAACAATGCTAATCAAAGGGATGGATGACCGAGTCGGATGTCGGGTGTACCTGCTTCGTGACTAGCCACGAGGCTATATTTCCCGAAGTCGGCCACGATCTCAAAGTTAATCAACCAGAAAAAAAACATTAAAAAAATCCAGAAGAATCACGAGAGTTAAATGAGTTGACTAAATGATGAAAATGATCTAAAGAAGTACGGGGCTCCACTGGTCAGCAAAGAATAGCCAATCAACGGGAAGACTTCACCCGCGATTACAATCTCTGTAATCTGATTGGTGGTATCCCTGGATTTAAGCACTAACAAGCTCCACATGGCTCCACCGCCTGCCAATTCTGCCCCGCTCACCAGCTGATCCTCCGCGAATCAGCGTGGCACGTGCCTGACAAACACCGTCGCAACACCGACCACTGCCAAGCACGTTGTTCCTTAATAGGCTGGGATGCTTTGCGATCGGCGGGGAACTTGACTGACGGCCTGTCCACCGGCCTCCCAGCGACTCCGATTACTCCGCACCACCAGGTGTAACGCTTCCAAGCGAGAGGAGAGAGCACATGCAGCTCCACGCTCGCGTCCTTCTCTTAAGCCCGCCTTCTCGAATCTTTTTTTTTTGGTCTTCCTTTCTTTTTGCTCGCGTGGAAAGACACTTTTGAGACATCCCTAGTTAAACAAGGGATAACAATAACATTCATCTGGATTTTGTGATTCCAACCCATTCATTTCTTCCGAGTCTCTCTCCTTTATCACCATGTCAATTACTTCAACGAGTGGCCTCATGTCGAACTATTCACGTCTTTCCGACCACCGGTCCTCGACCGACGAGGAGAATGAGAAGGATATGCATTTGCGTTTGCAATCCGATGTTGAAGCTGGTGAGAGTCAGATTCGCCGTACGGTGGCAGCAGACAAGAAGCCATCACGCTGGATTGACGGTCGTACCGTCTCCGACGCCATTATCGGTCTCTCGGACGGCATGACGGTCCCATTTGCACTCACTGCGGGACTATCAGCCTTGGGCGATACCAAGGTGGTCGTTTTTGGTGGTATGGCGGAGCTTATCGCAGGCGCCATCTCTATGGGCTTGGGTGGCTACCTTGGCGCAAAGAGTGAAGAGTAAGCCAAGCTTTCCTTCCAATTTTCCAATGCACGGCCTAGCCATACAACAAACTACCTCAATGGGCCCTTGAGAGCAATAATCGCTGACTAGATTTCACAGGGAATCCTACAAGGCCACTCTCAAGGAGACCGAAACCCAGACTATGACGGACCCCGCCTCCGTTTCTACCACTATCGAGGAGATCTTCGAGCCATACGAGCTTCCCGCCGAACTAGTCTCCCAGTTGACCAGCCATCTCTCCGCCTCCCCCATGCTTCCATCTTTCCTCATGAACTTCCACCACACTCTCCCCGAACCTTCCGGCTCCCGTGCCGTCATCTGCGCCCTGACTATTGCCTTGGGCTACTTCATTGGTGGTTTCGTGCCTCTGCTGCCTTATTTCTTCGTCGGCCCCCACGATGCTTTTGTCGCACTGCGCTGGTCCATTGCCACCATGGCCGTTGCCCTGTTCCTCTTTGGGTATGGCAAGACCTGCTTCGTGAGTGGATGGAGGGGGCGCAGAAATGTGCGCAAGGGTGTGATCGGTGGCTTCCAAATGGTGCTGGTTGGTGGTGTGGCAGCTGGATCAGCCATGGGACTGGTTAAGGCGTTCCAATTGCTGGCGAATGGGCATGAGCATGCCAAGCATGACTAAGTCTGAGGAAGTGAAGACTTCTAGCTTTATGTGTACAACTTCGATTCCCCTCATTTCCGTTCTTTCTGGCTGGGTTTGATTTGGCGTTCATGGCATGGTGTTCTCGATCGGGCCACTCAGGCCGCGGCGGCGTTTTCTCGTTTCTTTTTTTCTGAGTCTCCGATTCATGATATGTGATCATGAATGGAGGCAGTCTACAGACATTATGGACAAAAGTATCCACAGCATCAAACCAATATAGACATGCTTTTTTGTGTGACGGGTCATACCGAATAATCAACCGTACTATTAAATTAGACGGACAAGTCAATCGGACAAAAATTCAAACTGATGCGCATTTGCAGTAGCAGTATTTACAGAAGACTTAGACCCAGATAGTATGTACACCCCAACTCCCTTCCCCCTCAACATCAAAGCTTAGAAGCGACGGGCCGCACATCCCGCAGCTCATCGTGAACAATCTTCGCAACTCTCCCACCGTCATCAATAGCCCCATCGATGAACCCTCTCCATCCAAACGAAGAGTCTGAGCTCGCAAAGAACACATTCCCATGTCGTTCTCGCAGCGCCTGCAAATACTTCGTCGTCATACCCGGCCTCAACCACTCCCACGCACCACGAGCAAATTCATCCTTGTGCCAATTGTGGAACACCAACCGTTGAACATTCATGCCCGGGTAGAATTCCTCGAAGGCCTTCTTGGTGACTTGAATATCCTGCTCGGGATCCAAGTGAACACCGGGAAGGGAGCTTCCAAAAGCAACGAGGTGAGTATTTCCTGCGGGAGTAGTCCCATCACCGAACGTGTAAGTGAGTCTGCCATTGGGGTAATTCGTTGCCCCGAGCGAGCGCATCTCGGGATTCGCAACTTCAGCATGACACTTAACAACTTGGTTGACATGACCAGCCAGAGAAGCCTCCGTCTTCAGAGTCGGCAGCCCCGGCGTAAAAGCCAAAGTATGCAGGACATTCAACGGGACGGTGCAGACCAAACGTCTCGCCTTGAAGACCTCCACCCCATTTCGAGCGGTGACTTCAACTCGATCTCCGTGATCAATCACATCCCTGACCGGCGTGGAGAAAGAGTAATCCAATCTTCCCGTGGCGACAGCTTCGTCGAAAATGCGTCTCGCCAGTGCAGACTGGCCATCACGGAGCTTGTACGTGAGTCCGATAGCCATGAAATCGGGATAATTGTAGTTCATCAATGCCCACCACCGCAGTAGCTCGAAGAAAGATGCCTCTTCCCATTTTGCGCCGTGTGTGATGGCTAGGAATCCCTCGAACATGTTCTTCTCTAAGGGCGTCAAGTGAGGTGCAACCTGTGCCATGCGGTCGGCCATGGACATGTGGTCGTATTCCTGAACGCCGGCCATGTTGAATTCGATATCGTGTGGGTAGGGAATGACACTGCGGCCGAATTGACCGTCCACGTTGATGAATTTTTTGAACGCAGATTCGACAGTTGCATCCTGGATGGCCGAGTTAGTAACAGTCCCATCCTTCAAAAATTATTATCTGAGAAAAGGTGCGTGTATAGCATACCTCCTCATCATGCGATAAATGCTTAACCTCCCCATCCAAATTAACAGTAACCTTCGCCCCGCCCTCAACATTCTTCCTTGGCGAAATCTCCAATTGATCCATCATCCCATACCGTCTCAACTCTCGCCACACAAACGGTTGATGCCAGTGCACCCACGTCCCACCCATCTCGTAGGGATATCCGCCAATATTTGATGACCAAGACCGCCCACCGATACGGTCTCGCGCTTCGACGAGGAGCACGTTGTTGCCGGCGAGGGCGAGGTCCCGACAGGTAGTTAGCCCGGCGTATCCGCCTCCAATCACGATTACGTCGTAGTGCTTCCCCCTTGTGAAATGGGTGGATGGTTGAATTAGACCTAGGGTTGGGACGCCTTGGACTAGGCCGGTGGCCTTGGTCCATTGGTAGCCGTCACGGCTTTTGGGTGAATTAGTCATGGTAGAAGATTGTGATGTTGGTAGAATTGATTCTTGAAGAGAGTTGTCTCTGGGAGGGTACTTATATTCTTATATTTCAAGCAAATCTGGGTCATCTATACCCCATGATTCAGCGGCTATCTTGTTGCCTCAACCTGCTCGGAATCATGGATAGGATTCCGAGGCCGATACCGATATCGAGGCTTATCGCCCGCGCGTGCGGAGAAACTGCGCTTGTTTTTCTATTTCGGGCATAGATATTCAACTATTCCCTCAAATTTGCTTATTATATGATATTCTATTTCCGATTTGCAGATCTTGTTGTGCTTACATGGGGATGATCACGGTTTCTTGACGTGGAGGTCTACCCTGCATATAACCTGTCCGGCAATGACTGAAGATGATGATTGAACGAGAGTTAGCCATACCTATTTCCTAGACTGTTTACTAAACTTAGCCTTCTCCCATTGAGCATACGTTCCTCCTCTATTTTGTGTAAAATTTCTATGGACTGGTCTAGTTGTTGTTGAGTGTATCCCTCATTGAAGGTTGCGATATCACATACTCCACTTCCTCTCCACATTGTCCAATCGCATCGCCCCGCCTCTTTTGTTCCGTCTCGGTCTACCTTTCCGCTTCCGAGCTTTCTTTAACTCCCATCGGTCTTGCAACGACGCACCCTCGTTACATTCCGTCACTTCTATACTATCATTCCTCGGATCATGGCAAGCGAATCGCCTGGTCGAGATGTGGATCCGACCGCATCATACCATCCGAAGAAGCGAGCGAAATACACTCAGATCGCTTGGTGCGTCACCCTCGCTCCGTCCCGCGATCTAGCACAGGACAGACTTCTGTGGAACGATACGTGCTCGTGCTGACTATTGTAGCAATGAGTGTAAACGGCGCAAGATCAAGTGTAGCGGGGGCTCTACATGTTCACGCTGTGCCCGTGGCAAAATCCCGTGCATTTATCCCACGGATCGCACGCCAATCCAAGAGACCGAGTTCAAAGATGCGCGGTAAGTCTTCATAACAGAATACGACTAGCCAAGCCACTGTAACCAGTCACTGATCCCCCATAGCGTCGGCCCCAGATTTGACTCCGTTGATCGGCAATTGGAGAGGCTTCAGCGGGAAATGCGGAGTATATCTACTCGACTGCGAGAGTTAGAGGCTTCCAGTCCGGGATCGTCAAGACCTGCAAAGACATCTACTCCAAGGGAGTTGGATCGTATTCTGAACGCCCCGAAGTCACCACCGTATGTTGGGCCAACTAGTGCGGAGTTTGGACTTCGACGACAGAGGGCTTCGTCGAGAAACCCTGCTAGTGATGAGGCCGATGAGGACATGCCCTTGTCTACGCCAACTCGGAGTCCCACTCCAGACGGGACTGCTTCGCATGCAGGGAGTGGTATCCGCCTCGGTCTTGATGATGCCCTTCGCCTAGTACAGGTGTATGAAGATCTTGTTGGAGTTATGTATCCCTGTGTGGATATAGATGGTGTTCGTGGCTATGTGCACGAGTACTATCGCTCCCACGATACGATACTTACCGATGCGACTGACTCGCTAGATAAAGCTTCGACAGACCAGGATTGGTTCTTTGCTCGGGATATCCAGGTGTTGAAATTGATTCTCGCAACTGCCCTGCTAGCGGAGTCCCATGGCCGCAGTGAAGCTGCTGCGCAGCTTGCGGATAGTGTTGAAGACCGGTTTGCCAGCCGGTTCAAGGTTGCTGAGGTGGATATGAAAGAGATATTGATCATGACATTGCTGGTATGCTAACCCCCTACGTGTCACCATTGTCCGAGATACGTACCTGGTCTAACTTTCGTCAATAGTCAATTTTCCACTCGTATCGAGACGATGAGGTCATCTCCTGGCGTATGATTCGCATCGCGACAAGTGCCTGCATGGAACTGGGCCTCCATCGACAGGAAACTTGGCAGCGGACAGGAGGTGTCTTCCCCGGTGAGCTAGCCTGGACTTGGGCGATGCGGCTCTTCTGGTGCATCTACGTACTCGATCGAAAGTGGTCATTTGGCAGTGGACTTCCTTTCGGCATCCAGGACATGGATATGGATACCAATCTCCCCGAGCCGGGACACTCTACCCCATACTTGACATGCATGATCTCGTACGCGCGGTTGAGCACCAAGATCTGGGGCTTGGTCATGGAGTGGCCCAAACACTCGCGTCTAGCAACCGCCGATAAATGCGCCGAGTTGGATGCACAGGTGCAGCAATGGATTTGGTCGATTCCTCGCGAGCTACGCTTCGACCCGAATCGGCAAGCTGGCTTGCTTGCCAGAACCGAACAATCACAGCAAAATGATCGTGCGATGATGCTGCAGGTCTTGCTCGCATTGCAGGGAAACCAGCTTCGGATCCTAGTATATCGGCAAAATCTACAAAGCAGTGAACACATCGCCGGAGACGTTGCTGGAGCGACTATCGCTGTTGAAACGGCGAAGAGCACAATCCACATGTTGGAATATTTCAGCGGTGTGACAAATATCTACTTTCAACGTCCGGAGCCGTTCAACTATTTCTTGATCTCTGCGTTAGCTGCTCTTCTCTTGGCAGTCCTGCACGCCCCGAGTCGCTTCAGTCACGTCTGCCGGCCAGAGTTCTATACAGCTATAGAGCTTGTGCGTCGTTCAGCGACTCGTGCTCGAACATCGCGGCGCTTGCAGAAGATCATCCGCAGTCTGAAACATATTCAGTTACACAAGGGAGGCCCAGATCATCAAACGGGCTCTCATGGTCGTCCGGCAAAACCACGGACTCGGGGTACCAAAAGAGCTGCAGATTACCACCCACACCCAGCAACACAGACAGATTCGACGACTTCCCGCGGTCCGTGGGATATCAATTCCCTCTCAACTCCAGTATCACAGCCTACATCGAATCTCCATCCGAACCAACACTACGACACATCAACGACTCCATGGCAAATATCCCCCGGGGTGATAGACGAGTCTAACATCTGCGAAGATCTGAGCAGCTTCTTCGAGAATGCCGGTGATCTCTATTTCGATTCTCATGCAACTTCGGACCTACACTTGCCCACCGGACCGGATTTGTCATTAGCCAGGGGGTAGATATGGGGTTTTTCTCTGTTCCTGCGAACCCACAGTCACCTAATACCGCTTTCGATGCGTTTGAAGCCGACAATGAGGAATTGACGAGAGTGATGGCTGGTCTGCTATAAGATTTAAAGACTTCATGGTTAACTACCATGGTTATCTGAATTCCTTTGCCTATTGAGCTTCCGTGATTCCAAAAGAACAACGTGCAGCACTTATTTGTCAGCTGACCTCCATACATCTGACATCTCCAATCAGCACACCGTTCCGAATGTTTGCTAGATCACTAGTCAGTCTCTTATCACGCGAGTTAACGACCAATGCTATCAACACGTTGCTGGCCATCAGGCGTGGCGGCGTGGAAGATCGAAGTATTGCGTCATGGCACCCTCATCAACTGCATGGCCGCAGGACTCGTTTCGTCCTGATCGGGCTGCAGTTTTAGTTGGGTAGGAATAATAAAGCCTTGTTAGTAAGGATTAGTTCGTCACTTTTTACAGAGTCTGATCCGGCCACTTATCGGGTAGTGGGTCGATCGCTGAGGTCATATGTTGGGGGAGGGGTATGATGAAAGTGCATGTTGATATATACAGCGATGGTGTATACATGAAGACCTATCCTAGAAAGTGAACGCAATAGGCGATATTCTAAATCAACACCATCGCTGTGAATTCCTTGTTAAACTTGCTGGCAGTTAAGTCGCGGGGGCTATGCCATCATGCCAGATATGATGGTTTCGTCTCCGCGTTGCTGTGATCCACATGATCTACCAGCTTCTGCAGACCATGTAGCGGTCACACGGTATCAATTTACAGCGTCCACGGGAATAGACCGAGCATCAGACTTTAGTATCATTTTCTTACGGGCCATTGCAAGTCGCATCGATTTCCTGGTGGGATAATGGAGTACTGGGTGGCCCCCAGGAATGCTGGCTGTGCAGTGCCAAGGTGTTGTATTTACGGGTGTAAGGGGTCTGACTGAGTACATAGCCACTCAAGCCGACATTCTTGGGGGCTAAGGTTGGTGAAAATATGGGGTAGGAGGGGTTTCAATGTGTAAATATGGTGCATAGTATATGCTACTGCCTGGGTCTTGTTCTATGGTTAGTAACTCGAGATTATGGGTCGGGTTGGGGAGATTGTGAAATCGTCCGTTGTCCGTTGCCCTTGCGTTGGGTCGGAGGTTACATGCGTCTTCTAGTCCTCTGATTAGTTATCCTACGATGCAGGATCCGACGCAGTGCTCGTCCTTGAGCGGTGCATCAAGCACAATCAGGGAAGCAATCAAGGGATGGACATGATTTAGGGTTCAAGGGTGCTTACAGTCATCGCGAAGCATATGACTGGAAACGGCAACACGCTTAAAGGAGGACTGGAAGTTAGAAGAGCTCTTCCTGATTAACCAGTTAGCACAGCGTATTCAGCCTCCAGCCAACGCAAGCTGACGATGATGAGGTCAGGCCACGTCCCCCACGCCATGTGGCGCAGTGACTGGCTCGTGCGGGAAAACGGTAAGATGGAGAGCGAACACGTTGACGAACGTTGGCCAATGCCAACGTATGAAGTAGTAGAGCCTACTCCCAGCCTTGTATTACTACGCAGCTACAAGAATCAGCGCGCAGTGCTTACCGTTTTCGTGGGTGATGCTCTGGAAATGAAAGGAGCTGGTCCGTCGCTCAAGCCTTGCATCACCATGGCCACGGCCATGCACAGCCCATTCCGCACGTACGGCGTATCCACCGTCGCGCTAGGCAGCCATTAAGATACCCGAGTCAAACGAATACGATTAGCATTTAGATCAATGAGGATAGTTGAGGCGGTTAAGTGATAATTATAAACATGGTACCAGTGGTTTTGACGGTTTTGTCACGGTTGTGAACGTTCCGATGCCGTTACGATGGTCTTTCACGATGTGACTGTACGGCGATTATGGGAATGCCGTGTCTTGTAAGCGCCCTCGTGGGGATTTGAGGAGAGCCGTGGGCGGTTTGATTGGAGGGTTCGTGTGCGCGACGTTGGAATATGAAACGACAGGTTATCTGGTCGAGGGGGTTGGAGGGTGTTTGGACTGGAGGTTTGAGTATGCGATTACAGTAGGAAAGAAGATGTAATAATTGGATGGAGTAGCTAGTCTGCAAAGTTAGACTCGCATATATTGAGGAGAGTCACAATTGGAACCGACTCGTCAAAATCAAGCTTGATAGATGTCAAGGCATGCTTTCGTTTACTGTTTACTGACTCGGGATATGTCGACATCCTGTTGAATATATCTGGATCTTTACAATCGTAGAAGAATCAGTGCAAAGCGATCCCGTGCCATATGATACTGGTGATCTATACTCTATGCTGTATACTTCTTCTCATACTCGGTCAACATCGTCACTTCTTCGTTTGCTACTACACCCACGCCGAAAAAGGCAACAACGATGGCGACAACTCCTTCTCAAAACGATGTATCTCAGTTTCTAGCAGGGAAGACAAGGAACAAGAAATCCTCATCACGATTCTTCAATCTCAGCCTTTGATCACTTGGTTTCCATCTTGAAGTGTACTACCACCACCCCAACGCCAAACAATGGCGCCCATCCCCGAATGGATCCACGCAGTCCTACACCACCAACAAGTGATCGCCTCGGACGCCAGCTTCGCCGAAAAGGCAATCATTCTTCTCGTCGTCGGACACATCCTTGTCCTCTACACGGTGCTATGCTGGCTGGGAGCTAGCACGATCACTGGTGAGCTCCCATCTGACAGAGAGAAGTTGAGCTTCAGCTAAAAATGTCATCCCCAGCCGACACCCGCGATCATCGAAACTCGGAGTGCCTCGAGAACCAGTACGAGCTCGAGCCACGATCATGGAGCACCAACGTTAAGAAACACGGCCCAAGCTCCTCCGACCTGCATATTTGACAACAGGCCGGGCCAATGTCGACGCGAAAGTGATTGCGATACGTCGAATTTGCCGTTACCAGACTGGATCGTCGCGCATGCTACTGTACCACGGAGCAAACATATTTAACGGAGCTTGGACTAATGAACTGCTCGGCGAATAAATTTATCCAATTACCGCTCAGGTACCGCGGAGCTTTGATCTGCAGTGATTGGACGGTCGCGCGACACGGCGATTTCTGAAACTGGGGGGCGGGAAAACTAGACCGTGATGGTCTTACGGCGAAGGATGGAATGGTCCTGAATCAGTGATACCTACAGTATGGATTGTGCCTATACGAATATACGAGGCTACGAGACCCCCAAATCAGTGGCTGGAAAAGAGAGGGGGCTGGTGGGATTTCGAATCGGCACTAACGACGGAGCATCAGCACAGAACATTGAATATCGGTGGCTGGATGGTGTTTACCCCTGAACTAGTGATGGACTGACAGGAAATCGTAGTCAATTAGGATGCATTATTCATGTTTTAATTATGGGGCCCGGACATTAGGAACTGCCATTTTTTTGAGACAAGAAGCAATAGAACTGCACATCCTCATTTCTCCATTTCTTCAGTAAAGCGCTGGGGCCCTCAGCGGCTCCAGCTCCCGCGAAATAGTCTTCGGTAGTGCCGAATGAATCTGAAATTTCAGGATATTTACCTTTCCATTCTGCTGCCCAAGCTGCGAGGAGCTGCTAGTTTTGTATTCTCCGGTAGCTTCGTTGGCTGGCTACACTATTTGGGTACTATTATCTAGTATTTCTTAACTATAGTTCCGTACCATTGGCTGTCAGGACCTACGGCTGTCAACTTTGAACTATAACCTCCACTGCCGTGCAGTTATGCGGTAGTTTCCAGTCCATATCGTCGTACAGAGCAGGTTCACACGCGACCAGAAGTATAATCCTCCCCGTGATTTACGAATAGGCACACGTCGACCAAGTATCACCAATTCACCATGCCCCTGGATCCGCCGCGTCACCCCGAGGTCTGGTTCCCTTGGGACGTCGTGTATTTCCAGATTCGCTTCTCATGGCAGGTTGAATACCCGCTGACTAAGTAATAATACACCAGAGGTGGAATTGCTTCACTATCACTACGGAGTTCTGTTGGTGAACTATGGACATTGGAGTCCTACTAGGGCGGATTAGGGTAAAGAAACAATTGCAGTAATCACCCCGACGACCGACGCGTAGTCGGATGCTGTACGACCGTTGGTGGGCTAAGCGAAATTGAGGTCGGAGGGTGAAAAGGACTTACCTCCGTATTCAGGATTCTCGTTGGCTTACGAGTGTAATAATGGGGGCCAAGGCTGAAGGGGAGGGGCCAATAATGGATCTCCTGGGCTTTTATTGAAAAAAGGTCGGAAGGGCCAAGAAGCTGGATGAGATTTACGGCCAAGTTACTTACTACTGGACGTAGGAACCAAGAAACAAATAGTAATGCTTACAGTGGGTTACTAGTACTACTGGAAGAAGTTAGCTAATTAGCAGCTGAAAAGCGGCAATGGCTGACCAAACTTTCGAAGGGAAAATTTGCTTCAAGGACCTAAACGGGTCTTTGTTGGTGGTTTTTGTGGCTTTAGATTGGTTCCCGAGGGGGTCCATCGTCGCTGCACCCGTGGTCTTATTCTGCACTTGTTCGCACTTTTGGTAGTAATCGTGCGGTATTTTGGTTTTATACCTGCATAACCTTCCTAGCGTGACTTTCGTATTCTGTACGGAGTGGATTGTGGCTGCTTTGCCTTGTGCTTCATCATCTCGTAGGGCAGGTTTGTAGACACGAGCTGTTCTAGCTTAATAGTCAAGATTTATGACGATGATAGTCTAGTAGCTTGGCTATAGGGCTTGTAAATAGTGTCAAGCTATGGTCTCGGTCGCTGTATAACTTCATTATTCGAGGGTCGGGCAATCATAAGAAGTCATCTCGGTGATCTCTCGTGCTTCAGCCCGATCGGCCTCCGTCACCTCCGTTCCGCCGCATCCGCCCGGCACTCTCCCGGAGCTTATGGATCGTATGGATACCACGAGAGTAAAAAAAAACCAAATCAAAATCGGATTCTGATCTGATTATCATCTATCATGAAGAATCTGTTAATCTGGTATACCTACATCTCCAATATGGCTGCCTATCTGATTATAATTCTCCTAGAGACTATTTCTCGGCAGCTGTAATTAAAGGAGCACCGCCCCATGAACTAACTAACTACAGTAGTAATGTAGACCTAAGTTAGTTAACTTAGTTAACTGTAGTTCTTAGTCAGGCTCTTCGTGACGTTATGGACTTTTTTCTCCTGGCCGAACCCTGGAACACCCGTAATACCAATACCACCGTACGCGCTGTTCCTCTTCATAATCCTTACTCTCCCCCCCCCCTCTCGAATTTAATCTTAATCCTGATCCTCATCTTCCACCTCTTCGGCACACGCCTTGCATACAGACCGGACCTCCCACCTCCTCCCCTTCTTCCCCCTACCCTACTACTACTACTCTCTCTCATGCCGGTCTGTTGACGTGGATCTCTCGCTGTCACCGCCCTGTCGAATTCCTTCCCGTCTCATCCCGCGCGGTCTATCCCTCGAACGCCAGATTCCTCCTTCTCCCTTTCTCCCAGTTCGAGTGATTACCACGAGTCTTCTCTCCGCCAGGAGACTCGCACCGCGCAAAGATGAGCACCTTTCCGTCATGGAAGGATCGCACCCAGAACCAGTTCGGCAAGCTCCAGATCCAGATGCCATGGCGCTCCTTTCAGATGCTCGTACCGCATCGCATGCGTCGCAAGATCCGCTCAAAGCTTCGAAGTCGCTTATCGCCAACCTCGTCTATCTCGACTCTGCAGACCTCCTTCTCCCCCGTCGATACGCTTCGTTCGCTCCAGTCCCATCGCTGGACTATGTATGACTTCCAGTACCTACTTCTCCTTATCCTCGGCTTCTTCTCCTTGACGGTCATTCAATCCCCTGGCCCGCTGGCGAAGACCTCGATCGCGACTCTACTCCTATTCTCCCTTCTCCTGCCGATCACTCGACAGTTCTTCCTGCCATTCCTGCCCGTCGCTGGTTGGCTTATCTTCTTCTATGCGTGCCAGTAAGTCTGAAATTCAATCTCCCTTTTCGTTGGTGGTGTCGCCTCTCGTACGGGCTTACGCCCGTACCGAGTCAGCCCATACCGATGGCGAACGGAATGCTTCTCCGAGACGCGGTTCTGGAGGCAAAGCTTCGTTTTGTTTTTGCCGCATACGACAAATTGAAACAATTGGGTCTAACGGGTCGATTGCAACAGGTTCGTTCCTAGCGACTGGCGTCCCGCCATTTGGGTCCGGGTCTTGCCCGCCATGGAGAATATCCTCTATGGTGCGAACATCAGCAACATTCTGTCTGCCCACCAAAATGTGGTGCTCGATGTGCTGGCTTGGATCCCCTACGGTCTCTGCCACTACGGTGCTCCCTTTGTCGTCTCCCTGATCCTGTTCATCTTCGGACCTCCCGGAACGACCCCCCTCTTCGCCCGCACTCTCGGGTACATCAGCATGCTCGCTGTTACCGTTCAGCTGGTCTTCCCCTGCTCGCCCCCCTGGTATGAGAACCTGTACGGTCTCGCCCCGGCCGACTACTCCATGCAGGGTAACCCGGCTGGTCTCGCCCGTATCGACAAGCTGTTGGGAATTGACCTGTACACTTCGGGCTTCAAGCAGTCTCCGGTAGTCTTTGGCGCTTTCCCTTCGCTTCATGCTGCGGATTCCACCTTGGCCGCTCTGTTCATGAGCCACGTCTTCCCTCGGCTGAAGCCTCTCTGGGTCACCTACACCCTCTGGATGTGGTGGGCCACTATGTACCTGTCTCACCACTACGCTGTGGATCTGGTCTGCGGTGGTCTGCTCGCCACCGTGGCCTTCTACTTTGCCAAGACCCGCTTCCTCCCCCGTATCCAGACCGACAAGACGTTCCGCTGGGACTATGACTATGTTGAGATTGGTGACGCTTCTCGTGAATTCGGGTACGACCTCGCCAGCTTGGACGGTGACTTCAACCTCGACAGCGATGAGTGGACCGTGGGTTCTTCATCCTCGGTCAGCTCAGGTTCACTGAGCCCCGTTGACGACCACTACACCTGGGAAGGTGAGACTCTGACTTCGAACCACGACCTCGAAGCCGGTCGCTGAGCCATTCCTCTCGACTTGCATATATCTTTTTTCGACTCTGTTCATTAATGCATTTTTTATCTTTTTCTCCCCTTTGAGGGACGGCGTTACACTTCACGACAAATTTTGGGACCATCATCTGCATCGAGCCATTTTCGACACCTACGGTTTTTAATCACACCCCTACTATTGTGGACCATTGGATCAGGCGGTTCCCGACCCGCTTGAGCCGAAGGTCCTGTTTTTACCTTTCTGGCTGTACATGCCATTGTTCAATTCTCTCCATTGGGAGTTGAACGTCTTCCCGTCTATAATCTTAATACCGGCGGCGGGCCCTGGTCTGCCTACCTGGGCTTGTGTGACTGCGGAATGCATCTCAACTCCGCTCGCATCGCCACCGTTGGACACCTTCGCTTGTACAGAATACGGACTCGCCTCGACCCTTTTTTTCGAGACGGTCCATTACTTTCGATTCTTCAATTCTCACTGATGTCTTTCGCTACGACCCTTTTTTCACTGGATGAGCCTTTATTTTTACTCTTCGCTTCATCGCTCATCCAGTTGCACAAAACATTTTTATCATTCGTGTCGATCGCTTACGAATTGGCGCCTGGGAACTTTTTTGGGATACGGTTTATCGGGACTGGAAAAAAAGTTTCGGCGCCTTGCTTGCACTATCACTCGCTGTGCATTAGAACATTTTTTGGTTGGACATTCGCTAATTCGAGCACATTTTTGCATTTGGCACATAGAAGGAGGAATTGGGGATAGGAGAGGGTCTCCTTGTGGGTGCCGTCCTCGCTGGCAGGTGATATGATATCCTGTCGATGGTACCCGGGCAGTTCTGCCACGAGGAGAATCCTGCTGTGAGAGGTTTGAGATGAACCTGAAATTCTTTCAACGATTGGGATGGAATCTTGGCGACTGGGAGGTTGATGAGAGAAGGGAATCTGGACGGACCCCGTCTCTCCTACCTGGCCAGGTTTATTTCGCCAATCATCGCTGGTGGCTTTCGGGAATAATGGCGTGAACCGAACTCGATTTTGATTCGAGACATGCACCACACATACTACGCACCTTGCTCCACGACTCTTAATGTTTGACTCCTAATGTCTTCTTTTCTTTTCTCTGTTTCTTTCCTAGAGACGGTTGGCGGGGTGCTTGTGTGGTTGCTCTTTTCGTTTCTTTTCGGGGTACTGGGCTTGCAAGGCTCGCGGTTGGTGGTTTTCATCGTTCGCATTATCCTTAATCCCTAGATGAACTTATGAAGAATTGTACATTATTATTACTGTCATTGTGTGCTCTAAGCTCCTCGTAATGTATCATATTTTGCTCTGGGTATAGCTAGTAGGTACTCGAGTGAGTTATCTCGACATGCAACTATATCTACAGCTGTCTTCCACCTTATCGTAAAATAAAACACCGTATTCCCTCGTTATACTGTACCATCCTCTTAACCGTACCAATTACTCCCAGTGTCCCGTACTGTACAATATCCAACACCCCCGCCTTTCCTGCAGATCACCCACTAACATATGACTGGCTCAACCATCCTGCACGGGTCGATCCCACGGGCCCAAGGGTGCATGTGCCTTTCCGAGAAAGGCCGGAGCTAACCTCGACTGAACTAAGCAGATAATAGTGCGTAAATCAGGTGAGACCTTGGAAGGTGGATGTAGGTATACTTGGCTAGTTATGCAGGTTTTATGTCTTGGTATGCAGGGTTTAGCTGTACTTAGCTGTGCTTGTGCTTGTGCTTGTGCTTGTGCGTGTGCGTGTGCGTGTGCTTGGTTAACTTCTCCTTTGGGGGGTTTCGTATTCGTGAAAGTTGCTTTTCCACTGGATTATGCAAGCGAGGTTTATTTGGAATGGGATTGTGATAATGTGAGGGTTATGCGTCTGGCACATACAGTAAAGTAGGTTTTACGTTCGGGAGAGCGGTGCGTCGGATCGCCGATTCGTTCTGTTGGATTCCCGGACTTAAGTCTGCCGTTTTATTAAGGGATCTTCTTATAGGACTATGACATGCCCTAGATAACTAAAGGGTTCCTTTGCATGTATTATTATGCTGCTAGCATACTTGGATAATCGGAGTTAACGGCTGCATTATGTTTGTCCTTTAAATATCATACAAGTTTCTGTCAGAGCAATGGAGCATGACATGAAACCAGCCAAAGCGCATCCGTAAATTTTCATCAAAGTCTCTATACTATGGGTAGGTCTTATTCGTCATCAAAAATTTGTACACGCTCTGCGTACTCGCGGATATTCGACACGAATGTCTCTTCGATCAGATCGCCTTTTCCACCGGCGACGCGGAGGATAAGGTCGTTTAGTGAGGCGCGGCCGAGGATGTCAACGTGGTCACCTGGTGTTGTTAGATTTGAGCACGGTATACGGAAAGAGAAATCGGGGTGATGGTTAACATACCTGTGTTTGGGCCACCGCGTGCTGAGAAGCGGTCCGGTTCATGGGGCATCTCAAAGACCTTGATCTTCGAGCCCGCTGGGTTATATCGCTTCATGCGCCAACCCTTGGCACACATATAGCCTGTACTGAGCAAATTGACAGTACCGTCGCCTTCACCCATCATGACACCGTGATCGATATGCTCGTTAATGGTCACGGTAGTGTCGATACTAACATTAAGATTGACCAAGGGATCAAGCTCCTCCTGGTAGAAGTAGCTCCGCTCCGTGGGCTTTCCAACGCCATAGAAGCAGTAAATCTTCATATCCGGGGCATAGGGCAACCGGGCCTCGAGCGGGTTTAACCACGTCCGTGGGTCTTTCTCGTTGGCCTCGACTTCCCGCTTTGTATGGGCTACACCGTGCGAGTAGCTGCCCAGCACCTGCTGGCGGTACCAATCCTCACTCTGGTCCAGGAGGTACTGCAGACTCTCGGTGGCCGTAAGGTTGCGGCGTGTCCAGGAGGAGTTGGTCTCACGGAAGTTGAGCAGATTGCCGAAGCTGATTTCTTGCCCTGGCTGGTCATCCGGGGCCCAGGTTGCGTTGCCCCAAACGGCTTCGCCGCCCTTGGGCAGCATACTAGAAATGCCGGGCATGGCTCGGAAGATCTCTGCACGCTCTTCCTTCGACAAGAACTTCTCCAGGCCGTACACGGCAAAGGCGTTCAGTTGTGCTGTATCGCGCATCTCGCCGGACAGCACAGCGGTAAGTCCTTTGACGGCACCAAGCATGCATCCACTGATGTTGACCCACGAGTCAATGTGCTTATTGACCCAGTCCTTGCCACCCTTGCCGTGATCTTCGCTCTCCACCCATTTGAAAAAGTACATCACGACCTGCGATCCCATACTGTGCGATGTCAGTGTAATCTTCTCGCCCTGGCCCTCCACCGCGGCTTCGATATAAGATTTCAGCCGGCTGAAGTACTTGTCGCGAACTTCGAGATTGCCATACGCTAGCCGCCAGTCATAAGCTGCAGTAAACGCATTGGTCGGGTCATAGCCAATAGTCGCCAGGTTCTCGAGAATCTTATTCCAAATCCAGTACCCAGTAATAAAGAAGTCTGTGGCATCGAATCCCTGTGCAGCCCGTAGCTTGATGCCGGGTGGATCGAGACCAGTTTCACGATCGAGCATGATGTGATTCTTCCATTCTGCTTTATCCATCACCAGTGCCCGCATCATGCTCCAGCTGCCCCAGAGTCGACGGCGGAAATACTGGCGCGAATTGACACCGGTGCCCCAACTTTCCAGACCGGTTGAGATGACTCCGGGGATCATCACGACCGGGTGTTTCGCTTCGACCCCTTGTGCTTGAAGGTGTAAACCAACTGAGAATGAATCGTAACTGACGGCATCGCGTTCATGTTGCTAAACTCACGCGATAAGAGTTAGCAGATCTCTCCAAGCACAGGGTAGCTAGCTAAACAAGGGCGCAAGGCAAACGCACCGAGAACGCCTTTGCATCACGCACAATTCCTTGGGGTATCACATCAATCAAAGATTCGAGGTTCAAGTCCATCAGCGAGTCCAAGGAAATGACCTCTTGCTGGTTCGCGAAGAACAGGGCGATAAATATGCCGAACAGGCCACCCAGCACGAAGATGAATCCATTGCGACGTTTGCTTCGCGGTCGGATAACCAGCTGCTTCACCTTTGCGCCATCGAATTCAGCGCGAAGTTTGTCCTCTTCCGTTTGGATCCGGTTCAGCCGGGGCTTGTCCTTGTTGTCGTTACTGTCGCCAGAAGGGGCGTCGTCCTTGCCCGTGCGGCGGCGCAACATATTGCGACCGCTCAGAGGGGTATGCTGCTCAAGAGAGCTATGACGAGAACCCAGCAGTACACACTTTGCCTGGAGAGGATGGTCGATGTAAAAAAGGTAGAAGAACTCAGTACTAAGAGAGCATCTCCCTAAAATCAAGGAATGTGTACCTGCGCGAACGTGAACGGGACGATCGGCGTCACATGGCAATCGCGGACCCAACTTACTTCCCAGCTTGCTCCGCCCCACGAACGCTTCTCTATCACCAATCAACCTGCTTTCCCACCAACAACCCAGAACTCCACGACCCATTCCCAAATTTCGAGATCGGAGCTCCGATACCTATACCCCTCCGTATCCATGAGCTCATAACACTGCGGCAATGACCCAAGATGCCCCCTCCGACTTGCGCTACGTGCGGTACGACAGCGCCCGCGAGAATGAATACGTCGCCGCCATGCGCCAGCTGATCTCCAAAGACCTATCCGAACCATACAGTATCTACGTCTACCGTTACTTCCTCTACCAATGGGGGGACCTGTGTTTCCTAGCAATGGATGACAAGGACGAGATGGTCGGTGTGGTGGTGTCAAAGCTGGAGCCGCATCGCGGTGGCCCACTACGAGGGTATATCGCCATGCTGGCCGTGCGCGAGGAATACCGGGGGCGGGGAATTGCGACTAAATTGGTTCGTATGGCCATTGACGCAATGACCGAGAGGAATGCGGATGAGGTATGTGTTTGTCCAGGCGAGTATGAGATCTCTCGCGAGTCTAGCTTTGCTCACCGTTTCGTGTGTTCGTGTGCAGATCGTCCTCGAAACTGAAATCACCAATACCGCCGCAATGAAACTCTACGAGCGACTGGGCTTTTTACGGAGCAAGCGACTACACCGATATTATCTAAACGGCAACTCTGCCTACCGGCTCGTTCTATATCTTAGGGAAGGGGTTGGCTCGATTCGAACGTCGTTTGACCCGTATGGTCTACCTCCACCTCCGCCTATGGATCAGTCATACCAAACTCCCACAGCCACACAAGGGAATGGGAGTTGAGCTCTCTGCACTGCACCTGATCGCATATCCCCATGGCGAAGGGAGGCCCGATCATGATAACTTGATGGGAAACGACATACATGAATGAATAGACTTGCACTTGCACCTGGAATCGGCGTCTAGGTCTGATAGCGAATAGCATCATCAAAGCAAAATTAAAAGAGAGAGGAAATTACCTCCATCTTCCTACGAAGCAATATTCTATCTGTTGGAAGTAACTGGAATGCGGAATAACTGCACCTAGTACCATGCATATATCTCGACAAGGTACACCAATTCGGCAGTATCAGAGGAAATCCACGAGCCTATGTGCGGAAATGCCCGTCCACCATTGCTTATGGAAAGAACTGCTTAGACCCAGGAAGTTGTATGACAGGTCAGGATGAAGTAGAAGCGCCAGCATCACCTACATCCAAAGATTTGCGTGTCAACTCGACTACAAAGGTCGATTAAGGTCAACTTAGCTTTGTCGAAAATGTCACAAGAACCTTTATCCCTGTCAGTTATTTTGTAATAAGTAGTCTCGTCTGTTCATCATGGCTCGGTGGCCTTATCCTTGGTGGCACCATAAATGTGTCAACGGCAATATGACATTTTTGTAGCACCTGAGCTGGATTTCAGTTCTTACACTGAAAGAACGCATCTCAGAAATACTTCTCTACTAAAAAGATTTAGATTTCCGAGGACTTTATATGCGCGTCTCTCCTGGGCTCTGAACCTTGGCAAAGTGATAGTTTATGTTACTTTGATAAGATTCGTTCGATGTACGATATCGCAACCTCCAACTAGAGAAGTAGCTCAATACAGTACCATGTAGTACCATTCGACCTACCATAAGATGACAGGAAACAATATCGAGATCATACATGGAATACCTGGTAAAAGGAGCAGCTTGAACCTGGAATACTTAAGCACAGACTGATGCCCGCTTTTCTCACGATCTTTATCAGGAGGCAGTAGCTAACCAGCCCTATCAGCTTCGTAGTATCAATTCCGTAGACTTTAATTGGTGTGCAACTCTCCTTGCAGATTTGATTTCATCCAGTTTGGTTGCACTGAAGGTGAACAGATGCCAGAAATTAATATAATTGATCAAGTTTGCTTCGCGCCCCCTACGTCATCGTCTCCATCGCCCGGTGCATCTTGATATACAAAACAAGCAACACATACCTTCAACAGCTTTAATTATTGACGACCAACCTGATAGAGAACCTTTCTTCCCTCCAACTTTCCCTAAATTAATTTTACTTATTGCTTGCTACTATTCCCAAGCAACTTCCTCTACACACACAATGTCTCTCGACCCAGTTACCAGCGGTGTAGGCCGCGGCCTACCCGTCAACAAAGTCACCGAAACAGCCACCGACACAGTCCAATCAACCACCCAAAAGCCCATCCAACAAGTCACAGAAACAACCAAACCCCTGACCGACCCGATCATGCCAGGCGAATTCCCTTCCGATGACGGACCCCGCAACGACACCGACCAACCTCCACCCGAGATCAACTTCCGCGGCCTCTGGGCCGGAATAACCCACTGGTTCGCATCGATGATACCCCAAGCCTTTGACGGGTTCGAGTGGCTGATAACCTGGCTCGTGAACCGGTACCTACCACCGCCAAAACAGGCGATGATGTACGAGGAGGCTCTGAAACGGCCTATTGCGTCCACGTTTCTGGTGTGTCAGGCGATATGCTGTGGTGTGCCGCTGTTAGTGTTTTTGGTTGGGGTGGTTATCTTTGCGATTATTGCGGTGTTGTTGTGGGCTGTTCTGGCGTTGTTGATTCTTGGGCCGATTTTGATTGTTGCGAGTATGATGGGGGTTTCGCTTTGGGGGTGGGGATGGGTTTTGTATGGATTGCTTAAGTGGGTGGATCGGAGGTTTTTGGGTGGGATGATTGCGCGCTTTTGGTTGCCGAAGACGCAGGGGACAGAGAAGGAGAAGGAGGAGAAGGAGAAGAATGGCGGGGAGAAAGGGCAGGGTGAGATGGAGACGGAGACGGAGGTGGATGGGAAGAAGGATAATTGAGGTAGTGTCCAGTCAGAGTTTGTTTCTTTGGGGTTTGGATGAAATTGTTACATGAACAGTTATGATGATGGAAGGTTAGTTTGGACTTGCCTACTTCTTGCTTTCTTACCTCTCATATTCAGATGATATACGAGATATGATGAATATAATTCCTAGCGTATGGCGTGTGATGTACTCCATATAAAATATAGATATCACACACGAGACCAAGGATGATCTACTTCTCCATCAAGAGATTCCAACGGCGGCAGAGTCACCTGATGAATACACACTTTCCTACCTATTCATGATCAAGTCCATGCAACCTCATCATCAGCCGGCCACTATCATCTCTTTACGACCGCTCCAGACTCGACTCTCCTCCCAGCACAGACCAACCTAGGTCGAGTATGTGGCTATGTGCTGCAGTCAGCCGATAGGCAACTTGGCGAATTTCGCATGGACCATTCCCCGCTAGACAAGAATGCAAGGTTCGACGGCGGGCAGTTAGTAAATTGCACTTTCATGGCGATCTTCTTCAACCGGTTGGGGAGACTCCTAAAGCGGTATATCTTTGAGTCGATCTTACGGGAGCCCGCTTATTATCCGTCAGAGACCATGTCATACTGTAATCATTGATATGGAGACTCGAGGAAAAGGGGCAGAAACATGAATGAAGAATACTGCGGTAGAAAAGAAAGTACTGTAACTACTCGCTACAGTGCTCATGGGTAAACCTTTTCGTAAAGTTACTGATCGCAATCTCTGCGCATTAGATATCAAGTGTAGACCAGCATAAATGATGTACAACATGCCAACTACTCCGCACATGATTCGACTCTTCCTAAACAAGACTAGAAGAATGTGCGGCACGGCAGTTCCCGGGCATTCCAATTGAGGGGGTTTCTATCATTTTATCAGTTATTACTATACTCCATATCTACTCCGTACTCCGTGCAGTAAGCTGCAACTGATCTGCGACGGCTCTTGGCGCGTTTCATGACAGACGGGATGGGATGCACGTTGGCCCGTGTGGGATCGATGATCAGCCGAGCTGCGAGGGTCGGGGGTGGGTATTGCATGCATTAAAACTCGCGGACATTCATGATTAGTTCAGTATTGCGTGTATATAAGCCTCGTTTAGATGATCGTTTGGTTCTATCTGTGACCCTTCAGGATTAGGTATCGGGTGCAGAAGAGAAATTTCATTTCCTGAGATGATGACCTTCATGGTTTTTTATTAATATTTACTATTGCGCCTATCATGCTATTTCCCTGCCGTTCCATTAATCTCCCTACTTATTAGTATAGTAGTACGTGCGCTACATATATCATATACCTCGTACTATTATTCACAATAGAGTACTCCGTACCATCCTTGCCATCCTTATGAGTACCTCCTACCACCGCCACCCCCAAAAATGTGTCGAGTACGAAAGAATGGACCGTTCCTGCTAGGCACCTCCATGTCTCACGCAACACGGATAGCTGCACTGCATTAGAACGGTCCTGCGATCAGGGGGCAGCATGACATGTAGGACAAGTCGGATCATGCAGCAAGTCCATCATCCAGTGTTCATCCTGGCACTGCGGAGAGGGGGGGAAAGGAACTCTGAACTCTCAAGGATGGCTCCATCCCGAGGATAAGGTCCCACTTTAGGGGATCCACTCATGCAGTTTACCCCTGACCAGCCCCCCCGAAGCACTGACCAAGTCAAAAGCAAGTGAACGTAGAGGAAGGGGGCCAAAAGAAAAGCAGGAAAAGAGCAAAAAAAGCAAGAGAAGACAAAAAAAGCAACGAGGAGACAGGTGGTCTAGGATACACCCCCGCATGCGACTCATGCGACTAATGTGTCTATTAGGGTTAGTGTGGGATGAAGAGGGTTGGTGTTTTTGAGCTTGGGACGCCAAAAGGTCATGACGGAGTAGACTACGTGGGTTTATTGAACTGAAATCGCTATCCGAGTCACGCTACTTCACTGGTGTGAGGTAAAAAGTGCAACTTTCTGACTTTCAGGTTGAAAATGATCATGTGGAGGAAAACAGGTATATGCTACTGAATTGGCTTTGGGAAGTTAACCATGTTTTGTTCTTTCTTTGATGCCACGTTGGTTCTGGTCTCGAGGGATTGGACATCTATATTTCTTTGTTTCTACAGGTACGGAGTATAGTAACGCAATCAATGATGAAAGCGGACCACAGACCGCAACGATGTCGGATGGACGAGCCGGAAGGTCTGCCAATCCGGCTGAGATCCGCTAGGAGCCTTGCAGCTGAGACATCCCGTTGATAGCGTCGAACGATTGCAGCACCTGCAACAGTCCAGTGTTGTGGATGGAGGAAGCCAAGTGGAGTTGGTGTTTCTTTTTTTGGTCCTCGATTCAAAGTTAGTTTGATCATGGACTCCGGATATTCAAAAGCAGCCTTTGCAGTCCGTGGAGGAAGACAGAGGGTTACGTAGACCGACAGAAACAATATTATAACTTTGGTTAAATCAAGAAATTATAAATCTAGAGGACCAATTATGAAGTCACGTTTCGAGGAGCTAGGATCTCGTCCTGCCGACCATGGATAATTTCCATCCGCCACTCTGTACAGTAGTATACACATTGCGATTTTCATAGAATCTTGTAATTGAGATCAAACTAGCCCCTCCCCTTTTCCCTTTCCAACCCGTGTCAAAATCAATCTGAAACTGGGTATTATTTCCAGCTAGACATTACTTTGTAACCATTTCAGAGCGGGGGGAGGGGCAATACATTCCAAATATCGGATCACTCTATGCTCCATGCTCCGTTCATCCTACTAACTCGTTAGGTTGAAGCATGTCGGAATGCAAGAAAAGCATCCATCCATCCCACATGGAGGTCTCGTGGACAGCGTCCCGCTAGTCGCAGTTTTGAAAAGAGGCTCTTGACTGGTCAGCTTCTGTAGACTCCCCCACTTGGTCACTCGGCGGGAAGTCAGTGCGGCCCCGTTCTCCTCCCCCATTCTTGCTTCGGATGCAGGTACCGCGAGCAGTGGGCCATTCAGAGAAAGAGACCCGTGTAGCTTTTGGAGCATTGCCATGGTCCCCGAGGGTGGGTTGACGTCAAGACTATTGAGTTGTCAAGTACGAATGGGGAGGTTAACAAGAGAGGGTCGGCTTCTGCCTTCGACGGGACTCCGGAGGAAGTTCGGAAGACGGCAGTTGGGGGCGTGAACTGGAACAGGGACGGGATTTTGAGAGTGGAGCAGTTTGGACGAGGAGTGGATGAAGATTATCAATCATGATAGGGTGTAAGAACTGCCTCAGATAGCTACGAGTCGTGCATGTCGAGTATGTACATCATAGAAGGAGACTACTTCTTCTTATGGAAGATAAGTACGGAGGACTGTACTGAAGTATTGTAGTGTACGTCAGTAGCCTTATAGAGAGTCATGCACTAGGAAAAATTAAGATCTACTTTGACAGGGCGTGCACGATGATTACGAAATTAAAATCAAGATTATAATAGTATATACTTCCTCATCAGGTTTACGTAGTAATCATAATCATCATCATAGTAATTTGTATGGGGTGGACTGGGATTTGGGTGTGGCAAAAGGCAATGCAATCTTTGGGACCGGGTCAGGGGAAGAATAACATCGGTAGATAATAATGCATAGTAGTAGAATACTGGAGAGTACAGTAGTTCGTAGCTGTGGCGAAAAAAAAACAAGGTCCCTGGGTTAGTTCTGGGTGCATTGGTCCAGGGGTAATAACAGAAAAGAAAAAAAGGCGACAGTTCACTCGAAGAAGGTTCCCCTTGCATAAAGAGGAAAAGTATGCTTCCCTCCTCTACGAGTCGACCGTTTTGACAGGAGATTATCATTCGATGAATTAGACCGAATAGATTATTAGACAGAATAATAGTTCGATAATTAATTTGATCAAGAACCCTGACTGGAATTATAATCGACTCCCCCTCCTGCTCCACCGCTTTATCCACCAGCGCGTTTCTCTTTTTTCCCCAGGCCCTAACTAGTTCGTTCACGAAAAAGATTAATCCCCCTCTCCCCCTCTTCTTCTTAGTAGGGACTCTCTCTTTCTCTTCTTCCTGCTCTCTGCATTCCCCCCCCCTCCTTTGAACTCTACCTTCATCGATTCCTGTTGGGCATCGTTATCTTCGCCTAATTCTGCCCTCGGGCCCGCGCCAATTGAGTTGTTTCTCTCGTCCGCCCGATTTTCCCGCTCCCTTTTCCGTGGTCTGCGACGAATCCCCTCTACCAACCTCTTTTTACTCTTCTCCCTGCTGGGTGTGCGCCTTACTGTCTCTACGCTGGGGATAGATTCAGAGGTAGGCGCCTGCACATTCCTGTTTGCTGCTCCCCCCGTGGTCGGGGCTAGTCAGCTTGGTCGATATATACTCATCCCCCCTATTTTCTGAAGACTGCCGCGCGAATCGACTTTCCCAATCATCGCAGTCCTCTCTGCGGTGTAGTCGACTTCGCCTTTCGATCTCCCTCCCCCCCTAAACCGGCACGTCGCCCAATCCCACAATGTCCGTTGCGACCATGCTTCAACCAGCATCGAGAATCTCCCGAGCCTCCTCCTCCTCGTCCTCCTCGTTTCAGCCCGTCGCACGACAGAACACCATGTCGTCGCACGATACTAGGTCAATCCGCCAATCCAAGCGGATGTCGGTCACCGCTCTCTACCTGTCCATGTCCGCAAAGGATCGGGATTTGGAAATTTCGGATGACCTGGCACGAGGTACGCGATGGCCGTTTCCCCCTATGGTATTTATGATTGGTGAGTGTTGTGGTACTGACTCCCAGAACCAGCCCAGAAATATCTTCGCGAACTCAAGACCAAGATTTCGTCGCAGTCGAAGAAGAACTTCGTCTTGGAGAAGGATGTTCGATACCTAGATTCGCGGATTGCGCTGTTGATTCAGAACCGAATGGCGCTAGAAGAGGTAAGAGAGTGATGCGAATGGGGGGGATCTTCAACGTCATGTCACTCACACAGCTCTCTTTTTCTAGCAAAACGAAGTCGCCAGCCACCTGGATGATACGGCCGATCCACAAGAGGGATTCTTCCCCAATGACGAACGAACTCAGAAATACGGCAACCTCCTCTTCCTTCTACAGTCCGAACCTCGTCACATCGCCCACCTGTGCCGTCTGGTCTCCATGGCCGAGATCGATTCGCTCCTCCAGACCGTCATGTTCACCATTTACGGAAACCAGTACGAGAGTCGTGAAGAGCATCTGCTACTCACCATGTTCCAATCCGTCCTCACCTACCAGTTCGATAACACTCCCGAGTACTCCTCCCTCCTGCGCCAGAACACCCCCGTCTCCCGTATGATGACTACGTACACTCGCCGTGGTCCCGGTCAGAGCTACCTCAAGCAAGTTCTTGCCGATCGCATCAACTCTTTGATTGAGCTGCGCGACGTCGATCTGGAGATCAACCCGTTGAAGGTGTACGAGAGCATGGTGAAGCAAATCGAGGAGGAAACTGGCTCACTTCCCGACTACCTGGCCCGATCCGTGACCGCCGAGGATGCTGCCGACAACAAGCAGGTTCAGGCCATTATTGCCCCTCGCTTGAAGATGTTGACCGATATTGCCAATGGGTTCTTGACCACCATTATCGAGTCGGTTGACGAGGCGCCGTATGGCATTCGCTGGATTTGCAAGCAGATCCGTAGTCTGTCGCGTCGCAAGTATCCCGATGCCCAGGATCAGACTATTTGCACTCTGATCGGCGGTTTCTTCTTCCTTCGTTTCATCAACCCCGCCATCGTCACCCCTCGCTCTTACATGCTGATCGACGCTACTCCGACCGACAAGCCTCGTCGTACCCTGACTCTCATTGCCAAGATGCTTCAGAACTTGGCCAACAAGCCTTCATATGCCAAGGAGCCTTACATGGCCAGTCTGCAGCCTTTCATTGAGGAGAACAAGGAGCGAGTGAACAAGTTCCTTCTCGACCTGTGCGAAGTTCAGGACTTTTATGAGAGTCTGGAGATGGACAACTACGTGGCTCTGTCGAAGCGTGATCTCGAACTTCAGATCACTCTCAACGAAATGTACGCTACCCACGCTCTTCTGGAGAAGCACAGCCTGGCCCTCGCCCAGGACCACAACTCGCATCTCTCCCTGCTGTTGCAGGAGCTCGGTGCCGCCCCGCCCCAGGTCCCCCGCAAGGAGAACCGTACCATCACAGTTCCCCTGTTCAGCCGATGGGAGACTGCTCTTGATGATTTGACTGCTGCTCTGGACATTACCCAAGAAGAGGTGTTCTTTATGGAGGCCAAGTCGACTTTTGTCCAGATCCTCCGTTCCCTTCCCCCCAACTCCTCGGTCGCTCGCCGCCCCCTGCGCCTGGATCGTATCGCCGAGGCGGCTGCCACTCTTAAGAACGACGCCGTGATGGTGCGAAAGGGTATTCGTACTATGGAGCTGTTGAGTCAATTGCAGGATATGGGTGTGATTGATCGCTCCGATGAGTTCAGCCTGCTCCGGGACGAAGTCGAACAGGAACTTGTTCATCTCGGCTCCCTCAAGCAGAATGTGCTCGAGGAAACTCGGAAACTCGAGGAGGTGTTTGCGACAATCCGTGACCATAACGCTTACCTGGTCGGCCAGCTGGAGACTTACAAGTCCTATCTCCACAACGTGCGTAGCCAGTCCGAGGGCAAGTCGCGGAAACAGCAAAAGCATCAGGAACTGGGACCGTACAAGTTTACGCACCAGCAGTTGGAGAAGGAAGGTGTCATTCGGCGGAGTAATGTGCCGGAGAACCGCCGGGCCAACATTTACTTCATGTTCAAGAGTCCGCTCCCTGGCACCTTTGTCATCAGTCTTCATTACAAGGGTAAGTCACGTTGCTTGGGAGTCATTCGATTTGTCCAGGTATGCTAACCAATTGTTCGATTTAGGCCGCGCCCGTGGATTGTTGGAGCTTGACCTCAAGCTCGACGACCTTCTCGAGATGCAAAAGGACAACCTGGAGGACCTTGATCTGGAATACGTCCAGTTCAATGTTACCAAGGTGCTCGCCCTTTTGAACAAACGATTTGCACGCAAGAAGGGGTGGTAAAGGTAGACACGTTTTGCATAACTTTGCCTGAACTGTCCACGAAACTCCCCCCTTATGATTGATGAGATTGAGCACGAAGGAGAAGCATTACTGTCTTTCGAACCTCCTCCGTGACTTGGATAAGGTGGGCCTCGCTTTGTGCCACCTAATACTCTTTTTTATGATCTTGATGGACACGGACCTGTCCGTAATATACATATACCCGTCCGTCTTCGGCCTCACAGAACGATGGACTGGACCGATGCACTTGCCATGACTTGATTGTGCCCGTCTACCGGCCCAGCTCTATACTCTCCCATCGACGAGCTGGGCACGAGTGGCGCACGTGTCTCGTGTGAATGTGAATTTGATTATGTGAATGGTGTCGATACACGAACATAGCTGATGGAGGATGATCACCGTGGGAATCCGCTGGCTCGGGGACTCATTGGCGATTGGATTGATCGGATGATCGGATGATTGAAATATTTCAGATCTGCTTATTATTTTCTTTTGTGTCTTGTGGTGGATTTTTTGGTGGCAAGTTATACCCAGCGCATAGTTCTTGTTCTTGTGTTTTTTTGCCATTGGCTCTGCTTTTGTTTTGTTATATTGTCGATTTGGCCAGGGGTCTGTCTTTTAATCCTGTCTGGAGCATTTTTTTGACTGCCTCTTTTTGGAATCTTCTATCACCGTTCGTGCCCATTGGTTTACCGGGCCTCGTTGCGCTGTGTATAATAATCCCTGCTCATTGCTGTGCGGTTGTCTGTTGAGTTAAATACCCGATTGTGCCTGTTATTCCCCTGCCTGTACAGAGTCGAGCCATTGGTCGTTAATAGTCATCGCGAATTTACTCGGGCTTTTATGATTGGGGTTTTACTAATTGATCTTTATCCCAACAACTCCGTACTGTGTAGATTGTACATATCAGAGGACCTGGACACGACTGACGTCGAATTTGCAGTGACTCTAATTCGTAAGTGCCGATGATCTCGTATTGCTCGGATCGCTTTAGTTAGCTCGACTTAGCATGAACTAAGAATTAGTTTGTGAGTTAGTCCTTGTTGTCCTAGCGTCTGGTCTTATAAGTGGATTCACTCGACACCGCCTCATGCCTCATGCCCCTCTTCTTGGGACTTTTCGGATTTTTTGGCCAGTGGTGAGAATTATTTTCTATAGAAATTAATTGGGTGTCACCTAGCAGGCTATAATGGTCACTAACAGCCCCGTGATGAAGCAGAGAAGCACCCAAGATGGCCATTGCTCCGTCCTGGACACACAGCCACTCACTATATAACACACTATGAAATGCCCCACGTACCCCCTATATGGCTTGTGTTTAAGGCGTAGGATTTTCCTTTTTTTTCTCCAGTCATAAGGAACTCGGGGGAATGACAGCTGGTCGATGGGCCTAACATACAACCCAAATCCATCCAATGTACATATTAGGCCAACCCCCTTAAGATGGAATTGACTATATTTGTCACCTCATAGATTGAGTCCAGAGACTCCTTGCCATAAGTAAATGAAATAGTCCTCCATAACTCCGTACAAATAAAAATAAATGCCATGGAAACCTTAGCGTCACTGTTTACGCAGCAAATCAAGCCGATCTCCCAGTCGCGCCGTTTTTAAACCTCGAGGTGGCCACAATCCCGCCTTCCACCCACTCTCCACTCTCCGCGAACAATCTCTCCTTGTTTCTTTGCCCCCCTCCTCCTCCTCCTTTTCTCCTAAACTCCCTCCTCCTTCTCCCTTCCACCTCCCCCCTATTTAATTTCTCTCCTACATCCATTCACAATGGCGGCCACCGAGCAGAAGCTCCCCCACCGACCCCAAGTACGACAACTACGATTACCCGACCACCGCGCCGGAGAAGCAAGATGGCCACCCCGGCCACACCACCCCGGAACAGGATGCGCAGGTTCACCAGTTGCGGACGATGCTCGAGCAGCTCGGTTACACGGAGCGATTGGATACTCTGACTCTGCTGCGATTCCTGCGTGCCCGCAAGTTCGATGTTGAGGCGTCCAAGGCTATGTATGTTGTTTTCTTGCCCTGAAGTTGGGGACTGTGATGCGGGCGGAGAGGGGGGGATCGGGCACTGTTCTTGGAGAGAAATTCCCAAGGACTTTGCTTGAATACCGGATTTTGTCTCGCTGTTTCGTCATCGTTCGTGTCTTTGGTATGATTGGTTCTAATTCGTGTCTTTCGTGGCGGATAGGTTCGTGAACTGTGAGGAGTGGCGCAAGAAGTTTGGCACCGATGACCTGCCCAAGACCTTCGAGTACCCCGAGAAGCCCGACGTGTTCAAGTTCTACCCTCAATACTACCACAAGACCGACAAGGTAGGTTTCTTTCGGGTTGTGGCGAAGTCGTTGCTACAACGGCCCCTGCTTCAAGAAAATACCAGACTGACCACCCCCGCCTTACTTGCAGGATGGCCGCCCCGTCTACATCGAGAAGCTGGGCAAGATCGACCTGAATGAAATGTACAAGATCACCACCGGCGAGCGCATGCTGCAGAACCTGGTCACCGAGTACGAGAAGCTGGCCGACCCCCGTCTGCCCGCCTGCTCCCGCAAGGCCGGCAAGCTCCTCGAGACTTGCTGCACCATCATGGACTTGAAGGGCGTTGGCATCACTAGCATCCCCTCCGTCTACGGCTACGTCCGCCAGGCCTCCGAGATCTCCCAGAACTACTACCCCGAGCGCCTGGGCAAGCTGTACCTGATCAACGCCCCCTGGGGTTTCAGCAGCGTCTTCTCCGTCGTCAAGGGCTTCCTCGACCCCGTCACCGTGAACAAGATCCACGTCCTCGGCTCCGGTTACCAGAAGGAGCTCCTCGCCCAGGTCCCCGCCGAGAACCTCCCCGTCGAGTTCGGTGGTTCCTGCAAGTGCGAGGGCGGCTGCGAGTTGTCCGATATGGGTCCCTGGCAGGAGTCTGAGTGGGCTCGTCCTCCCGCGTGGGCCACCGCTGCTCCTAAGAAGGAGGGCGAGGAGGCTGTCATTCAGAACGAGGATCCCGGCCTCGAGAAGAAGGATGCTGAGGGTCAGGAGGGTGCCCAGGCCAGCGCTTAAGCGTGAGTTGGGGGATCTGGGAAAGCAAAGCAATTCAAAGCAATTTATAGAGAACGTTTTTTATTTTTTTTTCATCATCCATTCGCTTCGCCTCGCATTCGTCCGGAGCATGTTCAGTCTTGCTCTACTACTGAACCACCCCATCGTTCAATCTCTCATCCTCTCCCCCTCTGCCCCTTGTTCGTACCGAGACATTCGAATACGCCCTTTTGGATATGAAATAGAAAAGAGAGAAAGAGAGAAAGACAATCCCCCAGACTGGCGAGATTGTGAATGGGAAGATCTGGTCTATGAGCGATGTGCAATCTAATCTGTCGTTTCTAAGGATCAACTGGAAGAAAAAAACATGTTTCTATTTGATATCCCCGAATTTCTGGTCTATGTTTAATTGCAATATATTGTCTCAATACAGTTTCGTCTATCGAGTTCTTGCTGTAGTGTATGCTGTTTCCTAGCTAGTTTCCGTTTCTTATTATCTATCTATATCTGATAGAATCGGGTCAGAGAGGAATGCTAGGGTCATGCGAAAAGGAAGTCTTCAATGAAATGATAGCTCAACGAGCGTAAAGTAAGAACATAAACAAATAAGTGAGTGGTATCATAAGTCCTCAATTCCAAACCTGACACCAAAACGCCTCGCCCTCCATCAAAAACAAAAGAACGAATCCAGCCATAATCCACTCCAATCATAATCCGACATAACCGTCCCATCCAAAATTTGGGACAGAAATAGACATGCCCTCACATCCTCTCCACAACCTCAGCTGCCCGCCCTGCCCTCTCAGCCTTCCCCACCGTCGTCGCCAACGCATTCCCCTCAGAGCCAGCTTGCCCTCCCCCCTCACTATCCCCTTCACCCTGCAATCGCTGCAGCGTCCGTAACGCATTCTCGTATACCTCGGCCATATCCCCGTTCCGCCAGCGATCGACTTCTTCGTCCGTGCCGAGCGGGACGTCGATTTTCCACGCTGGATTGGGACGGGCTCGACGGGGCCGCTGGCGTTTCGTAGATGCCGCTCCGGATTCGGTGTCTACATCCATAGCATCGGGGTTTGTGTTCTGCGTGTCGTCTGGACCCTCTGCACCATAATTCTCATCCTCGTTCTCGTCCTGGCGGTCGTCTTCCTCCTTGCTCTCCTCTTCGATTAACCCCGCCAACTGAGCTGCGTAAGCCTTGGCTGCTTTCCGGGGCGCTTCGCGACGTAATTGGGCGACGGTCGTCGTGAGGGATTCTAGTTGGGCGTAGAGAGTGCTTACGCGCGAGGCGAGGTCTGAGTCAAAGGGTTCGTATTCGACTGTTTCTGGTGCGGTGAAGGCTGAGGGGAAGGGGAAGGCGGGTGATGAGGAGTCTAGTCCGTTGATGCTGATTGAGGACGAGGCTGTTGTGAATGTGCGGGTTATGTACTGTGTTGGGACGTGGTGTTAGCTCTTTGTACTTGGTCTTTTGTTCGTTGTAGATGTATGGATGTAGATGGGGAGGTTGTATGGTGTTTAAGCCGAGGTAGATATATTCGAGTATCGCCTTGAATGGCTTGAGTTGCTTGATTTGGAGAGGGATGTCAATCTCACCTCGTCAACCAATTCCCGCACGCGCTCGCGCATCGGGTCTGGCTTGTCATCGTTCGTTGCGGAAGGGGGTAGATTCAGGTCCAATTTTTGCCGGGAAAGCGCGACCGTGTTGGCGTATAAATAGGTGAAATCAGCTGGAGATTGTAGCTCGACTTTGCGGTAGTGTGGTGCAGCCATGATGGTGGTTGTGGTGGTTGATAGAGTGTTAGTGGGGGGGTTGATTGGATTTGTTGATGAGACGCGTTTGGAGGAGAGTCTTGGCGGTCAAGTTGCCCAGGAAAAAGGTTTCTGCAGAGTCCCCGCAAACGATGTCATCGATGGAACTGCGCCTCGTTTCGAGGAGCTCTCCTTTTGGGACTCGTTTCTTGAATTGACCTCTAGGGCCATTTTGTTGGTCATTCATTCTTTTTTAATCTTCCTACTTAATCTCTTCTTTTTGCTTATCGCCGACTCTAATCCATTATTGAGCGCCCGTTTAACTTCCAACTGGTGGTGGAGTGATGCGACCAACGTCATGATAATGCTCTTAGCCCAAGTCCATCGACCTGTTTAACCTTACCACCAGCTTTAATACACCTGGGAGAATAGTCTCGAGGAATATTCAATCACAACCATCTGATTATCCCCATGGAGAATCCCACTGGCATTTCCCTCGTGGATAACACGGTCCCTTCGCAACAGCCCACCAGCGGCGAATCCTCACGGCAGCCCTCCGCGCTCGGTCGCCAAACCAGCTTAACAAAACACCTCAGTCGAGCATCCGTATCTGGCCAACTCGCAAAGAGGAAATATGCCAAATGGCAACCGGAAAGACTCGGTTTGACGTCCGACACGGAGCAGTCGTTGAGCAGAGAATCATCGCGGGCACGAGGATCCATCTCGGCAGCAAGCTCCGGAGGTCCAGCAAGTCGACAATCTTCACGTCAGAGGAATGGCACACTCAGTACTTCAGGCGCAGGCGCCTCGGAAATCGACACGGCCGATTTTGCTCCCTTGCGAACTCTAACCACTACCACCGAGGGTCTCACCCAAGCACCCACTGCCACCGATGAACCCAAGATCCTCTCCGAACTAGACATTCTCTACGAAAACCAGCGCGGCTGGTTCTTCTTCGGCATCCCTCTTTACTCGCATAGCTCCCTCCTCAACTTCGACCCCTCCGCCTGGATGACCCAAGATAAGCGCGCAAGCGCCGTGAATATCACCAATGCACAAGTCCCAGATCCAAGCTGGGAATGGGCCTGGCGCACCTGGTACGTCGACATGTCCGGCGATGTCGATGAGCAAGGGTGGCAGTATGCCTTTTCATTTTCTTCATCTCAATGGCACGGCACGCACCCCTGGTTTCACTCTTTCGTCCGGCGACGTCGCTGGGTGCGTCTTCGGACGAAGATCTCCGAGAGGCGACACCGTGGTCGTTCAGATTTTGAAAGAGCGCATATGCTGAATGAGGATTATTTTACAATCCATTCGTCCAAGGTGCGCAGCCGTGAGCAGAGTGTTGCCGGGTTGTCCAGGGTTGAGTCGGGGTTTTTGAGCCGCGTTGGCTCGAAGGTAGAAGAGGAGACGCATATGGAGGAAATTGGAGATATCCCGAGTCTGTTACATGCGTTGAAGCAGACATCCATCGATCGAGAAAGGATCGATGCGTTGAAGAAGTTTATTGAGGAGGGTGGTGAGGAATTATATTATTTGAACGACAAGGTAAGAACAGCATTTGATGTGGACATTCTAAGCATAATGCTGATTACATTTTTTTTTGTTTTGCAGATCCAGGAGATCATGCCAATGTTCCTCTTCCAAGCCTCCCGCTGGCAATTCATTTCCTATCTCACAAAAACAATCGACGATCTCACCCAACAACTCTCAGACCCCAACAATGAAGACAACGATAAGATTGAACGCAAACGAGACAATCTTGTTCGTGCAGCCGAGTCCGGGAAAAGTCATATCACGGGCCCAGATGTCTTCACAGATACTTATGGTGAATCGGCAACGGGTCTACTGGATTTGACTCCCGTATCAAGACATGATACATTATTGTCAATGCGTGCCCAGATGACCGATGAGCCGTTGCATGTATTGAGGACGAAAGAAATCAAGGGCATTCCGAAGGCGGCAGAGGTTGGCAGGGAAGATCATATTTATTAACGCTCTCCCTTGGCCTGTGAAGGGTAAAGAGGTGTACAATTACTACTATTCAGCGTTTTCATCTACTCACATTGAACTATATTAATCTAAGGCCGGATGTTGGTGCGAAGGCCATACAATATCAAAGATGTAGTACGTACTGCTAGCAGTAAGAAGCTAGCCGTGTATACCTTCGATACCGTGGGGTCCAGATATCGAGTCATAATAGGTGACTGAAGACCAAGTATGGGTTATGGTTAACATTAAATGCCAGGTTATAAAATCCCTTTCCGCAAGAACCACCTCATCAAACCATATACTTCACTTCAAACCCTCTCCTCCAACCAACCCACCCCCTGTAGCCTAGTCGCTAACCGTAACTCACCCTGGGTGCTGCCAGACCGCGCCCCTTACACAGGGTATCAGGTTTACGGGGCTAGTTCCCCTGGCGTCTTGGGGCGGATCTTCGGAGATGCTTACTCGACGTACCTTGTTGGATTGATTCCTCGCTGTGGGGCCTAATAAATGGTACTTGGGTCTGAGCTTGAACTTTCGGGTTTAACTGGGACTCCTTTTAGTATTTTTGACTGTTGGTGGTGATATTATTCGTGCTTTTGTGTTAAGGGTGTGAGACAGCTAGGGCATGCGGATGATGCTATTCAGGCCCGGATTCTGGGAAGTGAGTAGGAACATCAAATTTGGGGTCCTGGGTTGAATCATGCTTTGGGCAAATGGTTTATTTTAACTTGTTTTTCTCTTTGGGCATGGCTTTTTCTACTTATTATCAGCGGCAGCTCTACCTATTCTTGTCTGTCCTTGTCCTTCCCGTTCACCAGGTTAAAACTATCTGACCATCTATCAAAGCCAGTTTATAGGTTCGGTTTTATAGACTTTTGATTCCTAGGGCCAACTTTGCTACCACCTCTATGCTGTAGGTCTGCCGATTTTTCGTGTTTCGTGATGCACCCCGGCGCTTATTCACCTCCTGCATCTCTCGGCAACGAGAACCTAGGCTGTATATAGTGTTGATTGTATGCCCAATCAATTGTCGGTCAGACACAACCACCCTCGCTGGTCAGCTCTTATTAATGTCTATTATTGCTCTACATAAAGCAGTCTCCTCCCTCCGGTGGCTGGACTAGTCCATACAAGTTCTTTTAGATCAATAGTGCGCCCAATCTCAGCCACTTCACATTAAATATCGGCTACCCAACTAGGCCAAGGCGCTCAAATTAGGTATTGATTTATCAAAAGCAGAACATTGAAATCAACAAAACGCCCAGAATAACCCTCCAAAATTTACGCCGATCAAATACCCGAATCATCCTGCTCGACTCCAACCGCCGAGTCATATGCCGTCCAAGCTGCACAGTTCTGTTCTAGGGATGGATAATCAATCAAATCCTTAATCTCATCATAACGCTCAATAAACTGCAAAGCAAAGCCTTCCGAGGTGTGCCACCCAATATGACAATGCATCAACCATGCGCCGGGATTATCCGTTTCAAAGGCGATAAGTAAATATCCCGAGCTCTCCAGCATTGCGGTATCTCTCCGCGGAGGATTCGCATGAGATAAAGTCTTACCATCCCAAGGATTTACTCCCTGCGCTAGAATGAAGAAATCATGACCATGCAAGTGGATCGGATGCGCGACGGGGATTGAAGTATTGATGAACAAGTAAACCCATTCATTAGGATTTGGAACTTGAATAACGCCACTCGAGGCCGAGAAGTTTGTCGCGTCATTATAGATTTGGAGCAATGTCGGATCTTCCCACGCTACCTGCATAGTTGTGCTGTTCAAGTACCAGCGGAACAGATTCTGTGCATTTGTTTTGACAATCACATCTTCCATGGACTGCCAGTTTGCAGCAGAAACTGATTTTGATACAACCGGAACCAGATCGCTCGGACTTTCATCGACGCAGCCATCGTCAAAATGAGTGGCATTCGTTTCAGGTATTCCTACCTGGGTGTGGTAGTGAAGAATACCCTTAATGTTGTTGACGTTGTCATTCTCTGAGCATTGAGTCTGCGGCACTGCACGAATCCAAAAGTCTCGAGCCACAGATGCCTGATCGGCGGTGACGATCACGTCATATCGCTGGCCTGCAGATTGAAACTTAGTTATGGCTTGTAAGCATGGAAGTACTTTCACTTACCCATCCCAATGTTGACGAACTTTGTCCTATAAGGCTTGATCGGCACGAGGTCCATGGCAATAACAGTCAATGTATGATCATCAATCATAAACTTCCAGTGTGTATCAATGGCAGCATTGACGAGTCTTAGACGATATGATTCCCCTTTATTGGCTCTCATCGTGAACCTTGATCCAGTGGAATTGTACACATTGGTTCCATTAATCAACCCAGTGTCAAGTGTTGGAGGGCCCTTGGTTTGAGCATAAGTAAATAGCTCGTCCGCCGTTTGATGGCACCAATCATTGAGGAATAAAACACCCTTATCAACATCGTAATTGGAGCTAGCAGGCCCATTGATAATGATTCCTCCAAAGACTCCCTCCCAAGCCTGAAGTCCAATATGCGAGTGCCACCAAGAAGTGCCATATTGAACAGCTCGCCATTTATAAGTCACCGATGACCCGGGGGCAGTGGGACACTGGGTGATGGAAACGACACCGTCATTCCCATTGGTATAGTTTTGACGAATACCATGCCAGTGGATGCTTGTTCCATTTTTTGATTCATCCAGGTGGTTTGTGACATGCACAATTACCTCGTCGCCCCAATCGGCATATATTGTGGGCCCGGGAATTGTCCCATTGACCGCCATTGCTGGGCGTGAAACACCGTCTGGGGCAACAGTGACTTCGTCAATAGAAAACCAATATTCACGAATGACACCCGTATTAGGAACAGTGGTCGTGTAATCGGTGTTGATGTTATAATCACACCACTTCTTCCGGGTGTGGGCCGTGTTTCCTGTACATTTTTTGGAGTTGCGAGCCTCAAGGCCAGGAATGATGAAGGCAGCAGTCCTCAACACGAATACAAAAAGAATGGTGTATAGAAACTTCATGATAGCTGTCTACCCGAAGTAGGTATAAAGAAGGAGTATATAACGAGCGTCTATGAATCCCGAAGGTCTGAACCACAACGCCGACGGGGCTATCAAGGGCAATTTAAGAGAATTTCTACTCTATAATCTAGATCCAATGACTCTACAGCTAACTATGGCTCTATATTTCCCTCATTAGCGAATCTCGGGTCAGGCTGTCTATAATTGAGAACTATAGTGCATCAACGAGGCCGCCCGTGGTGGACCATTCTTCCCCTCATTCAGCCACGCTAGTCTAGGATGCAGATGATATCAAGGCACTAAAATCATAAGACCTCGCAGAATGAAGTCAAGGGCGTATATTTTACTGGAAATTAATCTTAAATTGAGTCGATTATCTTTTTACATGGCGAGGATACACGGTCGTTCATCCACCCAAATCGCGGGGTATCCTCGTGCAATTGGCCGTAAAACCCTCAACTCTTCGGTTTTTGGATTCAAAAGCTGCTATCGGGTAGTCTTGCCGAAGAAAAACTCGCATCTGCATGTCTCAGTTTGCAAGACAACTGATTGCCTGGCTCTCATCCGCTACAGGGCGTAGTGAGATTATAGCCCGAGCTGGGCGTGGAGCGTCACGAGAGCTTACCTCCGAGGATCACCCATCAAGTACTATACAATTATGAATGGGGGATTTCTATAGGGCGATAACCGGTACTAAAGAGAATTGCTTAGGTCCTACCTCGTGTGGCGCCTGCAATGTTCGTCGTCATTATGCTTCAGCCACCGGGCCGGCTGTGGAACGGTAGCAAGAGTAGGGATGTGTTTCTGAGACCAATAAACGAGGCTGATTCTGGGTGGAAAGGTACAAGGTGGACCCCAGATATTCCAGGAACGCGGACTCGTGAGATCCCCTCGGAAGTTTAGGCATCTCTGTGCGAGCGTGCCCTGGGGAAAAGGAGAGCGTGGACGCGTATCCTTTACGGCTGATGGGATTATGAAGTGGGCTATGAATGAAATATCATCTCACTTATAACATGGCCAGATCAGAATATAGTTCGCGTATTGCTAACTGTGCAATATTTGTTGCTGTGTCTGACTATATTGGTATAAGTCTCACCATACTTTTATTCAACCCTCCTTTTCTTCTACCAGAACAAATTGCCTTTACCCTTTACTTGAGAGAAATGCCCTTTTTATACTCTTTTCGTCTATTTCTTGCTCACGCCCTTTTCGGCTTCATCTGCTCGGGTTGGCCGCTATATGAACGTGGTGCTAAGAATCTATTCCACATCTATGCTTTTGGAGACAACATCAGCGGCCTACAGGTTTTCTATGCAGACGGTAATCTCCATTCTTGCCTTTGACCTTAGCACCTGATATCACTCTCATTCTCTCTTTTTAACTGCAGGAATTGCAAAAATTGGCGACCCGACGCAGTCTAATGCAGCCGAAGTAGTTCCGGTTTACTGTAAGTGATCGCCCACCTTCGATCTAGCCAGCAGGCAAGGTCCACCGAGTGTCCATCGGCAACTAAATGATCTCACCCCACTCTAGTTACAGTTTCGAGCACAGAGGAATACACATGGCTTGCGCATGCTGACTCGAATAATGCCACCTGGTCAACCAAGGTTCTCTACATGGCCGATGGAGGGTCGGGTGAAGTTGGCTTCACTTCGTCCGACTCTACAGGCAAACTTACCGATGTGTGGTGGAATTATGGTCATTATGTCATGGTGAAAGTCGACGAGGCAAATTTCTATGCTACGCCTATTGCCGGTGCTACTGGCTGGTACACTTTGTCGTGGAGCAATTCGGGCCAGGAAGGGTCAGGCCAAACGCTGGTGACTTTGAGAACCATCGAGCCCTCCACTGGATCTGTTCTGAGTTGAGAGGGCTGGGCTTTGAAGACTCGTTTCCTGTTTTGGACAATAATACGAGTGGGGACAAGGGCTTGTGGATTTGGGGGCTGAATTGATTGCTGGGGAAGTAGTCGGTCTATGGAAGTACTACTATCTCGTCACATCGTGTTGTTTGCCAAGAAATTTGATATGAGAATTGAGAGTGATACACCAGACTGCGATTACGTATAGTGCCAATTTCCGGCCTCCACTTGCTAGCGTCGGTAATTTATGTGGCCCCGGATCATGCTCTTTTTACGAGTGAAAGTAGTGGCTGGCAGGGATAAACCTGTCTAAATCCCGGCTAGCATGCATGGTAGTGGATACCGAGCGATCGGACAGATCGTGAACCATCGACGGTTAGCCACGTCAATCCCTAAGCCTTAGCTGGCTTAGATCCCGGCAGGACAAAGACTGACGAGTACATTATTGATGGAGCCTTGTCCTACCTTTTGTTCGTGTGGCCCCGCCTACCCTCCATCATCTTACTCTCGGCATTTCAAGTCACACGCATAAGCTAGCGCCTACCTGTAGCAAGCTTATCGAGCCCTCAGCCGGATTTGCCGATGAGACTGTATCTACCACCACGATCAATTTTGCGCTGCTTTGATCATTCTGTTGGAGCACGCGAGTCACCTAATAGCTGGGTGCCATCAAAGGCTCCAGATCCCTGTAGACACCCCCCGACGTTCGGGCCCGGGATACGACGAACGGGCTTGAGTGAGACATTATCCGACGAAGGCCTCACCGATATATATGTTTTCTTCTTCTTGTCATCACGGCATGCCAGTTGTCCAAAACTAGTGCCCACTATTCTCGTATCATATAATCTTTCCTCCCAACCAGATTTCCAGCTGGGCGCCTTGGTTGCCAAGTCGGGTTATCCAACCCTCTCATACTCGGGCGTCGCGCTTAACTCTAAAGAGAAACAGCTACATTAGACCCAACATAGAGCATGCACACAAGCGAAGCCAAGCAAAGAGGTCCTTCCATCTACAGATCTTGGAGCGGAAAGCTTTTTCTCCTCAGAAAGCACCTATTCTTAGATTGCGGAGGATATGTACTGTCCCTTTTGTGCTTGACCTCTGCCGTGGTCTGCACGTACTATATAGTTAGTGCTGACCCCGCAGGCTCGTGGGGACGTTGTGGGACGGCGCCTCGTCGTAATGTGTCTTCGTGGACTGGTCTGGATATCAACCTAATGCACGATCTGCCGCTCGCTACCACAGGGCTGACAGAGTGAGTTCATTTGTTTGCCGTCGAGAGGCCCAGAGCGAGCCGATATCCTGGACAATTCTAATGATTTGTAGCCCCCTCCGAAGCCCGGACTTTCCTGCAGACGGGATTCGAATGTAAGCCTTTACCTATACAACCGTAGGGTTTGCGGCTTCTGATTCCACGGCAACAATAATGGCAAACGGACATAGCAGCCAGATTTACACCATACGACCATGTAGTAGAATTTCACCTTGAGGTACTAATTTGGTTTGTGTCGAGGATATAACAGTCAACTTTTATAGTATTTCCCCGTGGGGTCAAAAGATTATGCCGCCCTTCGTGCGCACCTCCTCTTTCCCGGAATATGAATATCTAAGAATGTACATAACTGGTTTATAATACAGTTTCAAGTCGCCTTGACTAAAGATAGCTCTACCTAAGCCTTCTTTTCGTTCACCTCGGTTGTAGCAACATCACCTCGGGCGGTGTTCTGTGCAGTGTTCTGGCCCTTCAGAAAGCTCACAGCTCCCGGACCCGTAAAGTTCTTCCGGCCAGTAGTGAACCAGGTCACAATGCTAATAAGACCGATGACACCAACAGCAGCGCTAGTGTAGTTCATCGACTCCTCATTAACAGGAGCCGTACTGGGGAAGTTGAATGTGATAGATGCGAAAAGAAGGAACAGAAGTCCAATAAAGTTGAGACCAATCGACACAGGAGTGGAGAATGAATAAGGGCCCTCCAGCTTGGTGACATGGCCGGAGAAGTATCCAATAAGACGGCTGAAGAGAGCCATTGCATAGGAAAGATCTAAGATTATCGTTAGTCATTTTCTTGTCAGTTAGAAATTAGATATCTTACAGAAGCCTTCGGTCGAGATTGAGATGACAGTCTCAAAGCCTGTTGTGGTGCCGAATTCAATGGCATCAAGGGCCAACTGGACGGCCAGTGTGAGAAGAACGGCGTTGACGGGTACCTGACTCTTGCTCTCGACCTTGCTGAATACGTTCGAAAACGGCAGTCCGTTGTCACGAGCAAAGGCAAAGACAGAGCGAGATCCTTCGGCGAGAATGTTGACACCCGCGACAATGACAATCACCGCAATTAGGCTAGACAAAATGCACGTGGCGACCTTGCTGCCAGTCGAGTCGTAAATAATCTGAATGACGGGAACTCCGGTACTGCTCTCTGCAGTCTCTGTGATATCGCCAATGCAGAAGCAAAGAGTGAGCAGGAAAGCGAATCCAGTAACCGCACCCAGAACCACGGCCAAGACGATAGCCTTGGGCGCCTCCTTCGAGGCGGATTTCATTTCTTCCGTCATATGCGACGGAGCATCGTAGCAACACATGCCAAAGCATGCCTGCAAGATACCGATAATCGCGGCCATGCCAGTACCCCAGCCTGTGGTGTTCTGGAAATCTTGGAACACAAAAGAGGCCGGTTGTTTATGATCGTTCATTGCAAGGAGGGTAACGGTGACGATAACGAAAGAGCCGACGTTCCAGATTAGAATGAATTTGGAGATTCGATGGAGTAGGTGAGAGCCCCAAAGATTGATTGCAGCCGACAGGAAAGCCACGAGGTAGGCTACCAACACCGTCTGCCATCTTTCGATTGTATATTCCGGGAAAACTAGATTTGCCATTCCCAGCACAAAGTTGGAGGCAATGGAGTTATTCGTGGCGCCCATCGCGAGGAGGCCTTTTTTCCACAGGGTTAGCATGCCTATAACGCGTTTGGTCAGTCATTGGGATGGAGACATACCAATAAGCATGAACCAGCCAGTAGCGTATGATAAACCTCGAGCAAACCGAGGAGGCGTAAGTGCAGCAACCCATGAGTACTGTCCTCCCGCAACAGGGTACATGGAGCACATTTCTGCCATCGGGATAGCGACAGCCAAAGTGAGCAAACTGACGCCGATGAAACTAAAGACCATGACTGGCGGACCACCCGAGGTCACACCAACGATGAACACACCACTCAGTGCCGTCCATCTAGGGATTTTGTTAGATACGCAAATTCCTCCAGCCGAGGGGAAAGCACTCACGATGTCACAACACTGAAGCTAAAACCAATCATAGACAACAACCCGAAAGAACGTTTGAGCTCTAGGGTTCAGCCAGATGTTAGTATCAAGAGTATAAGCACTCGACGATCAACGGGGCGGTGTCGTTGACTCACCCTGCTCATATCCCAAATTTTCAAGGCGAACATCTTCGGTGGTAGTGCCTTTGAACACCTGTGAATCCTCGTCTTCTTTTGACATGGTTGCAATGAAGCCGTCCTAGGTAGGTAGAGCAAACAAGTTTCACCCGGACGGGCGAGGCCTATCATTTAAAAAAGACTGGAGGCTGGAATGCCTGTCATCTCTACCCCGTGGTATCTCCAACACTCCATAGAAGGACCAGGTGATCCTAGTCAAAACTGTCGGGGTGATAAGATAGATAGACTCCCATGATTTCCTGATTGAGAAGGTCTGCGCGATGCCGGTGGAGCCCAGTCTGCCAGTCCCGAACGGCCAGTGAACCTTCTCGGGAGTTTTGCGGGGGATCAGGCAACGCCTTCAAATCGGCCCCCTGCCGCCGATAAGCCAAGTCGGCTCTTCGCAGCCTGTCATTTGTCCAGTCATCGATAGACCAGGGAGCTGATATCAATTGCCATAGCGGTTCTGTCGTGACAATTGGGTAATAAAAAAGCCTGGGGCCGCCTGTCCATCTCCTGGTCCTGCCCTTATTGATGCGGTCGTCGGCTAATCCAGGGCCAACTTTCCTCTATGAGAATCAAGAGTTTTCAGGGAAAGGTGCGAGGCTTACGCCTCTTCTTCAGTCGGCTTGTCTCCGAAGGATAATACAGGATCACTCGCTGGTTCTCCGAAGAGATGTACTCCGTGCAGCTCCCCCCAATCGGATGGCCAGCAGGATCCCGCCGAGGGAAAGCCAGGAGCCCTTCCAATTTAGGAAATAGGGCTTAGGGCTCCGGATGATGGAGGTGCCGACAAGCATTTGCATGTAATTTTGCTTGTTACCCGATTCTGTATTGTTTTCGGCAGATCGATGCAGGAGCCTTGTCAACTCTAGATGCAGTTGACGAGAAAATAACCTTCTACACGTGGCAATGAGACCAAAGAGCCTAAATTTAAGCTTGTCTCTTCCCAGCCAGCCTCTGCTCCTAATGAAATCAAGCATTTTGTCCTCATAGTACTGCTTTTTTCTAACAAACAGCACACCAGAACTCAGTCGTACTGGAATTACCCCTCGCCGTCAACTGCCAAATGAATGGTTCGATGGCTGTTGCTCTGGCCCTTCTCCCCGGAATCGTAACCACCGAGGCCCCTCCAAGCGAAGCATGATGAACCACTTCGCGACGGAGAGCGGATACAGCACCTCCCGTCGCTATGAGGAAAAAATCACTACTTAAGGCCAACAATGGCTGCTCTGTCGTAGGCTTAGTTTCCACAAACCCCTGTCGAAATCTTCACCTAATACAAGCCAACGCGGTAATACCAACCATCTACAATGTCTGAGCAGATTCTCGCAGGCAAGACGTGCCTCGTCACCGGTGGAGCTGGTGGATTGGGCAAAGCGATCGCGACTCACTTCCTCGGCGCTGGCGCCAACGTGGTGATTTGCGACATCAACGACGAGCGTCTACAGCAAGCCTCGGCAGAATTGTCCTCGAAGGGACCCCTCCGGGCCATCAAGTCCGATATCACTAAATTCGATGAGGTGAAAAGTCTATTCGACGAGCTGATCCGGGAATTCGGCAAGATTGACGTCTTGGTGAACAATGCTGGTATCATGGACCATTTCGCCCCCGTTGGCGATTTGGATGTTGAGCAATGGGAGCGGGTGATGGCCCTGAACCTCACTGCCCCTATGGTCCTGAGCAAAATGGCTGTTAAAAACATGCTGGAGCAACCGAAGCCTGATGGTCGCATTATCAACATCGTCTCTGTTGCTGGTCGAGCTGGATGGGCTGCCGGTAAGTTGCACGCCCCTTTTATTTCGCTTTGTAAAAAACAAACATTCTGACTTGGATATAATTAGGTGCCGCTTATACTGCCAGCAAGCATGGCTTGGTTGGATTGACCAAGAACACTGCCGCCTTCTACGGCAACAAGGGCATTCGCTGCAACGCCATGATGATGGGTGCTATGAACACCAACATTGCCGACGTGTTCAAGACCGGTATGCACATGGAGGGCTACCAGAAGATGAACTCCATCTACGAGTCTATGCAGGCTCCTGCCTGCGATCTGGATGAGGTTGCTGGGTTCTGCGTGAACTTGACTTACGGTCCGGGTGCCAGTGTCATCAACGGCGCATGCATTGCTATCGACAACGGCTGGACCTGTGTCGTTGGCTAAACTTTTGTTTATTTTGACCGAGCATGTGAGATCTGGTATTTATATTTGTGTACATATATCAGTAGCGACTTCCATTCATACCTCTTTCATGGCGCTTCGAAAGAACCATGCTTCTCATGAAAAGTTTCAAACGTAATCCTCCACTCCCTCGCAAGCCAGTGCCGTCAAAATTTACAAATTTATTGTTACTTTTTCCATATGAGAACCGGAGATCTAATTTCCGAATCCACGTCGTGTTGCTATCTCCCCACTCATAGGGATATATTAAGGTTGCGAAGTACCCCGCTTTTTGTTTTCGCCGTGGCCCATACGATATCTCACCATCCTACTTCACTGTCATCTAATAAAGAAGACAATGAAAGGAATATAGCTTTTTGTAGTATAAGCTATCCGAGTCTATATAGGCCAAAAATTCATTCAATTATTCTCATTTAGGAAAACGTGGACAGGCATCACGCACACTGAATCTCCACTCAACTCTTCGACTGCGCTTGAGTCGGTCGCGGCGGCTCCGTCGCATAACTCTCTACTCCCTCCGGAATATCAACAATCGCATGCTGCGTCCAAACATGCACAGCACTCCTCATCATCTCCTTATCCAGCCCCACCAAACACCCACCCTTAACATTCGTCGTCGCGGTAGGACCGGGCTTCTCGCCTGGCGCCGGCATCGAATCCTGAAAGCGGTGGAAAAGCCGAACACCACAGTTCTTGCAGAATACACACTCCATCACTCGGCCCTTCAGCGTTGGGCGAGTCCATACTCCCACGAGGTCGGCGGCGGATGAGGGGAGATCAAAGTAAGGAAAGATGGCAGTGATGCCGTGCGCGGAGGCACTCTGGTGTTGGCATTCCGTGCAGTGACAGACGTATAGACCTAGTGGTTTGTCTGTTGAGGTTTCAAATTCGATTTTGGCACATTGGCAGCGTGCTTTCATGCCCATTTTGGCCGTTTTTGAGGTGTTGGGGCTTTGATGGGTGTTGACGGGGTAGTTGGTGGTTGTCGTGAGGGTGAGGGGTAGTAAGTTAGATAAAAGCTTGGTACAAAGGGATCGGGTAACATGGATCTGATCTCATCAGCAAGATCCCATGGTTAAATATGAGATATTAGTAGCATGTTAGGCGTCCCATCTAACGCTTTCTGCGTTCTGGAATATTAAGCCTTTACGCCTAATAGGCTAGCGGGGCCCTACACACGGGCCATGAGAATTATACGAGCCTGAGAATATACGAGCCTCCTAGATTCCACTAGACTATCTAGTCTCGTCAAAAGAGACCCTAATATTACATTCAGATCACTGTCGATCGGAAACCGAACCTGGGTCTCGAATCCAAACCCAATGAAGCAAGTCCACGAGTAGTCACTTTGCCAGGCTACTCTTTCCCTCTCGATCGCAATGCTTAAACGTTAATACCCCGATATGATTATGGATGCACTCGGATAAATTGACCTATAACCATGTCAGAAATCTTCCCTGGAGTATGCGACTTATACTCACCGAAGCACACTGGTGGGTTCCATCGTGATCGTTTAATTCAGCATACAGCCACGGAGCTCTTTCTGGGCCTTCGAGGGAAAGACGAATCTCCGTCGCGCTGTGTGCAAAGCTATCACCTCCCCAGACAAACTGGCCTCGAGTGAAGTGTGAGAAAACAGGGTTGCAGGTCTTGCGATACAGTCTATACGTACCGTTATTATTACCTAGGCAGAGATTCAGGTCTAGCTGAGAATAACTCCATGATCCATTCGGTCGCTTGCAGCGACAGCTGAGAGTGCACCGATTCCTTAGGTTGATATTGATCGAGTGTGTATGGAAGGCCATCGTATCTTGCTAGAGGCTGCCTAGCGGTCAACGAAAAAGGAATGGTCCTCGCGCGGGGACTAGGACTGATGATTCCGAGTGTCTGTCAGGTCAGATTTCTTCTCTGACAGCTGAAGATGAAAGGTCTTTGTGTTCTGAATGACGATACAGGGGCGTCAGGGCATCTCGGTGACGTGCGAACGACCCATGGTTCACAACCTAGATACACCCGTGGAATATACTCGTGCCTATTCTTATTTTAATTTCTTTTACAACAAATCAGGCGTTGTGCATTCATGCATCTACTTCGAGAAGCTTGTTATATGTCGAATCTGTGTATATAGCATCGCCTCAACCACCTCCTTCTTCACCCAGCGACAATAAGGCCTCATCTCGACCCTCATCTCCTGCTATCCACACGTCCGCTTCTTACTACCATCATGTACTTTTCCCCTTGCCTCCACTTTCCTCGCAATTCGCGACCACCGCAGAATACCCTAGAGACGTACGCCCATTCGTTGTGCCGTCGCTAAGAAAGCCTTGCTAGGCGAATCAGCCAGCCACTACATTGGCCATGCGCCCTTCTAAGGCGTTCAAGAAGTCATCTAGAAACTATCAGGTTAAAGACTTTCTTTGTCTTGAATCGACTTATAGATATACATCGGTATAAATCTATATGTTTTTGAACCCTTATAAATAGACACTGGCATGGTTGGACGGCTACAAGGTACTTTAGGTAGGTCTTATTTTTACAGGGAGCAGGCTGGCCAAGTTTCTATCAGTAACGTCCATATCAAAGGAGGTTTATTTGACTGTATCATCCGACGGGGCTTGTAGAGGGAATCATTTACCGGCTAGGTAGCCATCTCGCGAAGGATGTCCAAGTATTCCACAGAGAAAAGGCGTGGGATGATGGAGGGGCAGTGCCAGCATGACATGCATGAGGTTGGGGTAAGTAACGGCACGGAACATGCAGGGGCATCATCGGCAAGGCTGCACCGATCTTGCCTCTTCCGAGCCACATCTCCACCGGGAGATGTACAAGGTGGCTGTCCATCTCCATCCTAGGAGGGGTCTTCGCGACTGAATCACCCTGGTCAATGTGAGTCATTAGTCTCATCCACATTCTTCAGGTGTGTTGCATTTGAATCATTTGGGCGATCGCTAGCTCCTCCTTCTCCATCGGAGAATCATGAGAGCTACCAAGACACCATATTCCCCCGGGGGTGCATCGATTCCATTGGAAGAATGAGAGACTAGTCAGTTATAGTCCGCTGGTAACATCCGCAAAGCTTCCCGTGTAACCAGCACGTACCCGCTGCAGCCAGCGGGGGTGTGGAGTGGGAGGGGGGGGAAGGGCACAGCTAAAATCAAGATCTATATGCATATCATTCCACATCCATATCTCGACTAGGCGAGCTTGCCGTGACCCTAGGATTCCTCTCCCAAAAAAGCAAATTCTGCAGCCTCGACAGCTCAGCTCCCGGATGAACCTCCTGACTCATTTATCCCCAGCTTGGATGGTAGATGGGCGGGGGTTGTCACCCCTCCCCCAAAGGCCAAAAAACGAAAACTAGAGTCTCTTCATCCGAGACATTCCCTCTTCTACTCATTCCCCCCGAAGGGGAAAAAAAAGCAAAGAGAGGGAAGCAAAGGGCCAAGATAGTAACGGAAAGAGGAATATTCCTTCGTCAGCGATCTCAGCCACTGAAAGACACAGGGACCCTCTCTCCTGGGATGGTGATAGGTGAGAATCCGGATGAAGAGGAGGGAAGGTTTTAGTAAAAAGGTGGTCCGAAGGTGTGAGTGTCGGCTGATCGTCTGAACGAGACGTCCTGGTTGGTCGGGCTGAACATCCCTGACTCTTCCCGATGATTTGCAGCGATCATGTCGATTTGATTTGGGATGATTAATATTATCAATTCTGGTCATTTCTGTGGAATTGTGGTGCACTGTTTCTGACTATTTCTAGCACTATTATGACCAGGCACCCATGACCAGTCTCTCGGAGATCTACATCCCCCCCGTTTGCCCGTTGCCCGCCACTCTGGAGATCGGGTTGACGTGGATGATCCCATCCCAGGTACGTGATATGAAAGAACCCACCCACACTCGGTCCAGGGCTGTGCCTTGGAACGAACGGCTTGCTCGGGTCACCGGGCGACGCCGCGTGGAGAAAAGTACGGATATTTATGCCTAGAGAGCAGATAGATAGTACCTACAGGACACATAGAGTTAGTATAGTTAGTGCTAGTATCTCCCCCGACAAGAGGCGCAAAGAAAAGTAGTCAGTCCCATGTTTCACAGGTGCCTGGCCAGCTGAAGCTTTTATAAACCAGCTGTTCTCTTCATATTCTGGTTCCTCTTTTACCCCCCTCTTGCTACTGAAGATTCTACTCCGATCCGAATATTTTCTCGAGTATGTCGATAAACCACGATAGCCCGCTCGATTCTGAATGAGACTGGGCCCTTGCAAAAGTTCTAGACTGGCTTTGAAACGACTCTGGCTCCACCATACCGTTGAAACTGTGACAGAATCCTGTGGACGTGATTACGAAATCTCCTGTATGCTGTCCACAGCGAATCAGCAGGGGCTCGGAAGGGAGACTCCGGGCTAATCCTACACGCCTTGGGAATACTATAGGATCTCCTATAGAGTGGTTTACTTTCGATTTCATAGACCTTATAGATTCTCACATTTTACAATGGTACGTGCTTTTCTTTTTCTCTTTTCTTTCTTTTTTTTTTCTTCTTTCTTTTGGCCCAGGAACCCCGATGGTATCCGTTGGGAACCGTGGAATTGCGGCGCCCAGTGGAGCCTCTCATACGCCAGAATCCATCCAGAACGCCTTTCGAAGAGGAAGGCATCGGATTTCTTGGCCCCAAAATGTTAATTCCCTTACTATGTTCCCCCTCCCTAAATCCTCAAAATGACGACATTCCGGATAGGCGGGAGTGGAGCCCACCCCCGCAAGGCGTCCACCAACTTTTTTGGCTGACGAGAGAGACAGACGATGCGCCGCAAACAATTAAAACCAGCATCCACTTCCCCTTTCTCATACTCTTCTTCCTCGTCATCCTCCTTCTATCCATCCTCTCTCAGCAGCAATTCATACTCGGATAGTAAGTGACCCCCTATCATCATATATTGTTCTTCAATGATATTCCTCCATCTCCCCATACCCAATGTCTACTGTATCCTACTATAGACTTTCCCCCTGATACCCAATACCCACCTATCATGTCTTGATACGTCAATGGCCCAATAATTAGAGCGAATCTCAATCGCCGCCGTTTGCCGTGCCCCTTCCCCTTCCCCAATCCATCCTGATACATTCCACTGCTCGACACGTGTGACATTCCGTCACCTCTCATTCCCAAGTCTGACCCTCTTAGGCCTTTCCTCTGGATCGCGCTCTCGTTCGTCCCCTTCCCGACCGCGGGACCATCTGGAGCATCTGATCCTCAAGCACGGTTACCCCACTCCCGTCTCCCTGTCCTCCCTGCGGGATTTGACGGCCACCTCCTCAACATATAACCCGCCCACCCCTCCTCATCCGCGACGTTCTCGTCGATCGGACTCAATTCCCATCGACGCCTTCGACTCTCTTACCCTCTCTGCTTCGTCCACCAGGCCCATTCCAATCCCTCGCCGCCGCCACGGCCTAGAGTACGACGATCATCTCCCCGTGACGCCGCTCACTGGCCGCTTTGATCACGACGATTACCTGGAAGACTGGGAGCGTGCCTCACTCTCGGCTAGATCCAGACATCTTCGATCGCCGCTTGGATCAACCCGTTCATCCCGATACCATCATCACTCTCCTCTTCCTCGCAGCATGCGTGCCGATCATTCCCCCTTCTACTCGCCGGTTGCTTCACCCACCATGTCCCCCCGCCGCCCAAGTTCCCCACAACCCTCGCGCTCGCGCACCCAAACCCCAGCCAAGGCTATGCCAGGCTTCCATCTCGGAAGTCTACCTCGCTTCCACCCTGCCGTCTACCAGTCCAGCACCGGCGGTCACTCGGTCACCGGCCAGCCGCCGTCTCCCCGGCAATCCCGGCAAGGGAATTACCGCACCGCATCGGGGTCACGCGACATCAAATGGCAGTATCGAGACCTGCTGGACGGCTCAACGCAAAGTCCGTCGGCCCCGCGCCTTGATCCCCTGCGCAGCCCGGGTCCCGTCACGCCGCTGGCTCTCGAGTCTGCTGACTATCTGGCCGCCGGGAATGCTGGTAACGTAGGCCATGGCTCTCGTGATGCTGCTGGTCAGCACTCGGGCCCGCCAACGGATTTGGTGGAGAAGTTGATTGCGCGCGAGAATGAAAAGGCACGGCAGAAGAATCGCTTGTCTGCTAAGGGGCGGTGATGGGATCGCTTCTTCTCGTGCCTGTCGTATGGCCTTGTCTCGTGACTACGGCTACGCCTTCGACTACTCTTCCCTCTCTTGCATCAGAATCGGTGTTTTATTTTCCTGGCCCTCTCCCTCTTTGCTTCTATTCTTTCTTCCATTGTGTTATGGTGTTCTGGGCATGGAAACAAAGACCCAAGAGCGCTACAGATCGAGCTCTGCGCATGATATATGCCTTTGGATTTCCTTCTTTCCCCTTCCATTCTTCTATTGCTCTTTCTCTTCGCGCATGAATCATTTGTCCCCAGCCCAGACCCGATCACCCACAGCTTTTGTTACGGGTTATTCCCTTTTGCATTACGATAGCATATATCTATACCCCCCACTGGTCTCACAGTACGGCGATACGCATTCCAGTTCCAGACTAGTCAGACCTTTGTTCTTTTGAATTTCAATAATTTGAAGGCTTCTGCGACCTTCATTAAACAAGATTTCTCCAATATGTATGCCTTACATTCTGCGTAGATTGGATTTAATAAGATGCGTTGAAATAATGGCATTGTCGTCGGCTTAAATCAGTAGTCCTAGTTGATTGTCTCCACGGGGCGATCATTCTTATCAATTTGAAATTATTTACAAATTGCCTCCTTATTTTCCTTTTTCCGAGTTTGTTTCCTTCCTCCATTCCAAAAATTGCGGGGTTAAACTGCCAAGGCCGTAGATTCACCTTCCACCTTGGCAACACAGTACCATCGATCTCAAGATCTCAACTCCAATCCACGATTCGGTCCGATCTAGATCTAGATCTCGACTAGTAAAGTCTCAGAATTCTCTACAAATCACGAATCATAATAACAGATCGATCGATTCTTCCCCGGGCAATAACCTATCGTCATACTGTACTCCGTACTTTAGCGACTAAAAACTCCAGCATTGATGACTGAGGTATCCACCCAAGCGGAGTCCGGAGGAAGACAACCGCTCCCCGGGCAAAAGCTGCGGTTGCGGGGCCCTCAAGGGCGGATCATTAAAGACTTTCCGATCTCGCTCCCCTTGAATTGTTTCTTTTTTTGACGCTTTTTTGAACGGACATAATAACAACCCTCCCCTCCTCTAAGCGCTCCGTATCGCGAATCCTCCCACTCGGTCATCCCAAACGCTCAAGGCGACCGAACCCTCTACCTCGGTTGTTACGATCTCCGGCTACGCGAAACATTTTCCGCATTGAATTCTGGCGCCGCTGACGCACGCGTCGGCTTTGCGGTTAAACTTGGACAATGTCCTCGGCGCAGGCGCCCTTGGAAGTTTTACCTACATCTACGATGACGGAGAAGCAGGTTGTGAAGGGGGCGGCACAGGAGAAGAGTGGGAGTAATGCGCCTGCGGCGGCAAGCAAGTCAAATTACAAAGGGTTTGTGGCTGGCGTGTTTTCAGGGATTGCAAAGTTGAGTGGTGAGTTTTTTTGGTCGTCATTGGCTTTCTAAGTTTTTCGATCGACAGTTGGGTTTAGTGTCAGTGCTAATCGTCTCGTTGAAAACTTTTAGTTGGACATCCGTACGTCATTCGAGAATCTCTTTTCGTTTTCCCCCCTTACTTGGAGCACGTTGGAGGCAGGGTAATAACTGTTTGGATTTTATAGGTTCGATACTGTCAAGGTTCGACTTCAGACTAGCAAGGATGCGCACTTTAAGGGACCTTTGGATTGTACGTTACAGACGGTGCGCAAGGAGGGTGTGCGGGGTTTATACAAGGGTGCTTCACCACCGCTGGTCGGATGGATGATGATGGATTCTGTGTGAGTATTTCCTTGGCGTGGCGATCCCCTGCTATCAGATGGAGGGGGAGTAATGGTTGGAAGATCGATGAAGATCGACGCTGATTATCTCTTCGTGGAACAGAATGCTGGGATCTTTGACGTTATACCGAAGACTGCTTCTAGAGAATGTCTTCTCGAAGCCCGAACTCCGCCGATACATGCCCTTCTCGCGCAGTACCGATCTATCAACACTCCCCTCCTTCGGCCATGGTATTGCTGGTATCCTGGCTGGTACGACAGTCAGCTTTATCGCCGCTCCGGTCGAGCACATCAAGGCTCGATTACAAGTACAGTATGCAGCGGATAAATCCAAGCGCATGTACAGCGGACCAATCGACTGTCTGCGCAAAATGGTAAGCCATTCACCCCTTTCACATCCTTCACAATCTAATAGAACAATTCAGCTCCGCACACACGGCATCAGCGGTGTATACCGCGGCCTCTTCGCCACCATGTTCTTCCGCTCCTTCTTCTTCTTCTGGTGGGGATCCTACGATGTCCTCACCCGCTACATGACCAACAACACAAACATGTCCGCTCCTGTAATCAATTTCTGGGCTGGTGGAATCTCGGCCCAAATCTTCTGGTTGACATCCTACCCCTCCGACGTGGTGAAACAGCGCCTGATGACAGACCCGATGGGCGGGGCCCTGAATGATGGGCAAAGACAGTTCCATAGCTGGAAGGATGCTGCTCGGGCTGTTTGGCGGGAACGTGGGTGGAGAGGGTATTGGCGGGGATTCGTGCCGTGTTTCCTGAGGGCGTTCCCGGCGAATGCTATGGCTTTGGTTGCATTTGAAGGCGTGATGAGGACCTTGCCTTAAAGGAGCTTGGGAGTGGTTATATTAGAACTGCTCATATCTTCACTCAATGACTTTGTACATATACATATGAGATGCTTGATACATACGGGAAGCATTGGAATGAGAAAAGAACCAATTTTTCAACGTCATACCCTAGTGAGACTTCATTTTCCTTGATTTAGCTCTACGATTGCTACGCCGAGGTTATCCGAATTGCGGAATGTGAGATGTTGACAAGCCGCTTTCGGTAGATTGCGCTGCTTCGGGCCACTGTTTTGGGCATCCCGCAGTAAGCCCGTCAGGAAATGGGGTTCCAGAGGTGCCATGCGATTTGGCGATTGGACAAAGCCTATTGTGTTCGAGATTGTTGCTGTTTAAGGAGAGCTTCCCGATAGGAAAGCTGCATATGTCAAGTCAAGGTCCGAGCATAGTTCTCTTTCCGGCCCTAGAATCCAAAGCTCGAAAATAAGACATGAACTTCATCGATATCTTTTCTCCTCTTCAAACCCTCGCTAATCAAACACAATTCCTTCGGAGTCCGGACCAGGCCGTCCGTGTCGACAATAAAAACTACCAATTAACCACTTGATACCAGGATACTCGGTGGGCCAAAGATTGAGATCATCCGCTAGCGACTCCGCCGGCTGCCTGAGGCCACGGGCGTGCTGATCGCCGTTTCAGATCTGAGCTACCGCAATTCTACAATCTGTCACAACTACTACAACTTCACAACACAATCGCAAATAGAGGGAGAACGGCCATGGCCGTCGCACGCTCTATGCGCCGTGCGAGTCCCATCAGCCTCGTGCTGGCTGCCCTGCTTGCCTTTGGCTTCATAGTATTCATGCTATCTCCTTCCACGCCCTCCGTCTCCGCATCCGCATCCGCCGTCTCCTCGCAACAGCGCCAGGAAGATGCTGCAGAACACCCTCTCTCCCCACCGACAAAACCCTTCCTCAAGTCCCCGGCCGTCCGGAGCAATGGCGTCCAAGCTGCCCCGCCCGTCGTCCACTATAACCTCAACAACCAGACGAGCTCGAGTAACGCGATCGCCAACCGCGAGCGGATCCTCATTCTCACCCCGCTAGCCCGCTTCTACCAAGGATACTGGGATAACCTGGTCAAACTGAGCTACCCACACGAGTTGGTCTCGCTGGGCTTCATCGCACCCAAGACGAAAGACGGAAACGCCGCCGTTGCCGCGCTTGAGAAAGCCATTCATACCACGCAATCCGGCCCGATCGATAACCGCTTCGCAAGCATCTCCATTCTTCGACAGGACTTTGAGCCACCACTACAATCGCAAGACGAAAAAGTCCGGCATAAAATGTCTGCGCAGAAAGAGCGTCGTGAATCTATGAGTCGCGCGCGGAATAGTCTCGTCTTCACCACGATGGGACCGAGTACCTCATGGGTTCTCTGGTTGGACGGGGATATCGTCGAAACACCTGCCTCGCTCATCCAAGATCTCACAAAACACAATCAGCCCGTCATCGTACCGAATTGTTACCAGCGGTACTACGATTCTCATTCTAAGAAATGGGATATCAGACCCTACGACTATAACTCGTGGATCGATAGCGAGCAAGCTCAGAATTTAGCCGCGGAAATGGGCCCAGATGAGATTCTGCTAGAGGGTTATGCAGAGATGCCGACTTACCGCACGCTGATGGCCTATTTGCCTGATTTCAAGGCTCTGGATCCCCACCGGATGGTGGCGCTAGATGGTGTCGGTGGAACGGCGCTTATGGTCAAAGCCGACGTCCACCGCGATGGCGCCATGTTCCCTGCTTTCCCGTTCTTCCATCTCGTTGAGACGGAGGGTTTCGCGAAGATGGCGAAACGGTTGGGATATTCTGTCTTTGGACTGCCGGATTATTTCGTATGTATCTCCCATAATCATCTATCAAAGAGATCCATTGCTGACGCCAGAACTTCAGGTCTATCATTATAACGAGTAAACGGGACCCAAATGAGTCCCTACTTCTAAAGAACAGATTTAACATGCAATGCATGTCTCGCGCGCTGTGCGCTCGATCTGCGTCTCCTATTCGTCTTTGCTAGCAAGGACGGAAGACGCGCCTCCCACATGAGAAACCACACCCCTCGGCGTCTTTGTTTTGCGAAGTTCTGTGTTTTATTTCTTGAGTTATCTTTTTGGCATTCCTCTTCGTACTTTCTTCGATACGTTGTCCCTACGAGCAGAGGATTCGAAATTTCTCTCATAGAGGACGGACTTGGTACTAGATTTGATTATGAATTCGTTTCACGTGGGTTGTTTGGTGTGGCGTTGAGGATTTCTTGTTGTATTGGGTGTCTTCTGCATACATTGGTGGTCTGCGTCAGATCAGGCGGGATTGGTGTGAAGCTTGGGACTGCTAGATATACGACTGAGAAATGTCATGTTTTTCCGAATATTTGGTGTTTTGAAATCGATCAGGAATAGAGGTTTAATGCCAAGCTCTAATTATCAATTGCCAAGACTGAAACTAATTTCTACTATCTACTATTTTACCCCATATAATGGAGGTGAACTATCGATTACCTTCTGGGGGTATTCATATAAGCTCCATCAGATTATCAGGGCTTTTAGTCCCAAGAGATTCTATCAACTTGGTCAGTTAAATCACTCTTCTGAAATCGGGGGTCAATATACTCACGCAAGCATGATACCGGCGCCAACGGCAACAGCCAAGAACTGCGTAATAGTCTTCCGCACCTCGGCACCCTTATCCTTACCAGTCTCCAACAACTCAGGGATAACAGCCACAGTACCAACATACAAGAAGGTTCCCGCAGTGAAAGGAAGTAACATATCCCCCCACTGGAGGCTAGTGCCCCAAAGTCCAGCACCGGGACCGGCCTCGGAAACGGCACTGTTACCCCCGAACTCCTGGACAGCGATACCAATGAATGTTCCCAAGAAAGCACCAACGGCCGTGACGAATTGTGCGCCCATAGCCTTGCGCTTGGAGAAACCGGATTGGATGAGGAGGGCAAAGTCGCCGACTTCGTGGGGGATTTCATGGAAGAATACGGCGACTGTGGTAGTTGCGCCGATGGTGGGGGATGCATAGAAAGATGAAGACAGGGCGAGACCGTCGGTGATGTTGTGAGTAAAGTCTGCGATGAGGTTGAGATATCCGCCCAGCTTGACGCTAGGGTTGATCTCCTTCTCTGGGGTCGAGTCCTCCGAGACCTCCTTTGCGGACTTGGACTTGCGCTGCTTCAGCTCGCCACTGGTCTTGTCGTTGGCTTCGGAGCTTGTGGTGCTTGCGGCTGCTACTTCGGTGTGAGAATGGCCGTGGGAGTGATCGTGGCCGCCCTCGCCGCCTGTAGCGATGCGCAGAGCCTTGTCCATTGCAACGAACGTGAAGAAGCCAACCATGATACCCAGGCCAAGCAGGAGGTTCTTGTTTGGTTCGACCATGACGAAGCTCACGTGGTCGGGGGAGTCTTCGCCAAGGAAGATCTCTGGCAGCAGGTGGAAGAGGGTGTCACCGAGTAAACCTCCAACGGCAAAGGCGACCATGACGGACAGCGAGGCGGGGTCAATGTTAGGGGGGCATAGTGCCAGGAGGAAATCTGTCAATGTGATAGGGATATTGTTAGAAAAGCTCCGACGTGTATATTTGATAAATTCCATAAGATGACAGACGTACTAGGAGGACCGGAAATATACAGCGTAGCCAGGAGGGAGTTCACAGCCGGACTTCCAGGGAACAACACAGCGAAGATCTGCGAGGTAAGACTCGCAGTCTCCGGCGCAGAAGCTCTCTTTTGCTCATTGAGAGCTTCGACCAAAGGACAATTCTAGAACCAAAGTGTCAACATCTGTAAAGAGGGGCCAGAAATAGTCTATAAGCTCAAGTCGACCCAAGCTCGTGATGTATTACCTGCAATTGCTCCTCAATCTCACCAACAGACAAGTCACCCGGACGAGCTGTAGCAGCCGCCAACGCGGAGAACAAAAGACATCCAGCAACGAGTGCAAAGCCCGTACGGCGCGAGGGCATGAATCGCGAAGCCATTGGTGAGAAAATAACCCGAGGGATGTAGAAGGGACAACAAGGGAATAAACAGCCCGCGTGTGGGCGGCTTATCGCCGTGGTCGGACCACTGATTACTTTATCGGCGGACCCTTCGACAAACATGCCAAGACTCCAGAGGAAAGATGCAAACACAAAAAAGTTTCGATAACGCTGATACTGATTGAATTCCAACGATTCCTCCGAACATCCATCCACATCAACAGTCGCAAACATGGGCAAGATTCTACAGAAAAAGAAGGCTCGTTCTGGTCTCTCCAAGGCCAAGGCCAAGAACAACCGCCTTAAGAGCGGTAACAAGAAGATCAATGTTCTAGGCAACGCCATCATTGCGCAAAACTGGTATGCGGGAAACAACCTCGAAAAAAAAAGTTGCTTTTATGATCGCATGCACTGACATCGATTTCCCACTAGGGACCGTGACTTGACCCTTACACAAAACTACAAGAAGCTCGGTCTTCTGCACAAACTCAACGCCCCTACCGGTGGTAAAGAACGCATCCCCGGACGCAACGACCTCCAAGAGAAATCAAACTCGCTCCACATCAACGGCAGCGCCGTTGCCGCCGCGCAGATCGATCTGGGCGAGACAAAGGTCGAGCGCGATCCCGAGACCGGCAAGATTCTGCGAGTGATCCCCGACTATGAGGAGATCGAGGTTGCCGGCAAGAAGCGGCGACGCGATAACCCGCTCAACGACCCTCTGAACGATCTATCAGACAGCGAAGACGCCTCTTCTCGGGTCATTTCCAGCTCCAAGGTTGTTCAGCAGTTGGAGCGCCAGGCCGATATGGAGGGACAGGGAGAGAAGGCTAAGAAGCCGCGGCATCAGAGCTCGCGCGAGGGAGAGTGGATCTCGCGGTTGATTGAGAAGCACGGGGATAATCTCTCGGCTATGGTCCGTGATCGCAAGTTGAACCCTATGCAGCAGACTGAGGGTGATATTCGGAGGAGAATCAACAAGTGGAAGAAGAGCCAGGCATGATATCGAGGAATTCCTTTCATTTCAGCATTTGGTTAGGGCGAGTTTGGCGTTTTTGAACTTTTTTACCCCAATCTTTTTGTGGTGGTTTTTGATAAAAAGTACCTCTTTCTATAGATATTCACGAGGGAGATGTACTTGAACAGTGTATAGTTCCTTCAAACTGAGCACATATCAGAGCTATCGGTGTCTACTATATACACATATGCCTTATTATAATCTTGGTATCATTGCGCGGTCGTACATTTAATTCTGGCCCAGGGTCGAGTATGTGACGGTGACAGCTCCAGTGGGTGGAGCATTCATGCGCTGCACAATCCGCACCCATCGTCGGCGTCGCCACTCTCCTACTCCATAGGAAGCAGGAGCTGCTTCCTCCCAGTCTCCGGATAACTTCGCCCGGTGCTTGCCCTTTGGCGGCGAGGCGGCTTTTGACTTGGATGATGGGGTCGACACGTCCAGATCACCGTATGCCATGGGAGTTACTTCGTCGTCCTCTTCTTCTCGCGTAGTGGATTGCTCAGAGGGGAGATCCCAGACCCAGCCACCAACCTGATCAATGATGGCGTTGCCATCCGGGGTGACCCCCGGAAGCTCGAACCCAACCCCAGTAATCATACGCTCGACTACCCACTCTCGGCAATCCAAGTCAAGTTCCCATTTCTTGCTCTTCCATCTCCAGCCAGAGGGAGGCTGGACGTCATCGAAGAACCGGCATCCGCGGGGCCGATCTCCGGCGATGCGTGAGGGCGACAAAGGGTCATACGGCTGGGGGCTGAACAGGAAATTCTCCCATCCAGACTCTGACATTTCAGATGTTCGGTGCTGGAGCTCAAAAATCTCGACTTCTCGCTCTTCGGGGTCGGTGTCAAGTGAGATCTCTGCCAACTGTTCCAGTGCAGACATTGCAACGGAGGGATCCTTGGGGATCGCAGCTCCAAATCCACCCTCGTCCTCGTCGCCAGCTATCGAGTCCAGGTCCGATAATCCGCTACCCACATCCTCCATTAAGCCCTTGACAAAGTGTTGCACTTTGGGGTTGATAGACAGAACGGCAGCGTTGCCAACTGCCAGCATGATCAACTTCAAAGGCAAGAGATGCGCCATGATGAACATTACCGCTGTAGCCACCGTACCCCCTAGGAAGATAGTCGAGGATAGCTTTTCGTTTGAAAAATTCGTCAGTGGAGCAACCACGCCGATGATTGCATCGTGAGCATCTGAGAAATCTGCCATGACGTTCTGGAGATCTCGCATGTTGCGGAAGAAATCCTTGGAGGTCTCCGAAGCCGGTTTTATCGTCTTTGCTGGTGCTAGTGCCGGACCTTCATATGAGTAGTATGGAACGATACTAGACGTAGATGTAGAGGGTGGTGGAGGGTGGCGGGTTATAAACGCCGGCACCATGATAAACAGAAGTAGAACCACCAAGGGTAGAATCAGAACCAGGTGCGGATCCAAGCAGATGAAAGAATAGACGAATAGAAAAGATATCGTATGTGCTGGTGTTTCCCAGCTGAGCACACGTTCAACTCGAGTCTGGAAGAGAAACACTACGCCGATTCTAGACAACCCGTGGTTAGCTCTCTCTCTCTGTCACAGAGTTGGGCAGTCTGAGGATAAATGTCTCGGGTTCCAACTCACCTTGCATTAAACCGGCGAAAATTGTTGGACATAGTCGGTAGACTAAAGGGTGGCCGCTTGGGAGATGCCACAAAGGCCTTATCTCCGAGGTCACCATCGTCGTCGGCGGGGATGATTTGTTGTAAAAGTCTGGCATCGCTACAGTCAGAAAACGAGCATAAACCCCCCTATCGAGGCCCGGTCTAGGCAGGTGAATATAGTACTTGGAGAATAATCTGTCCTGGATAGAGTTCTTTGACTGCGAGGATGATCGTGAATGTGCACTGTCTGGAGAGCCGCTTCTGCGCCTCGGCTTCTTCATGTCCAGCATGGGGGCAAGATCGTCACGGTTCACCATGGCGTCCGGAATATGTTCATCCATGCTGGAAAATGGTCACCATAGCCCAGAAGTAGACAGTAAGAGAAGTGAAAGAGAGAGCAGAAGAGAAGAAAGTAGGAAGAATGGCAGCTGGGGGGAGAATATCGGCGAGCTGGTCGAGGCACATGTGCTTCTCTGTCGATGCCTGCTAAATCGGGCAAGGGTCCTTTTCTGGGGGTGGGCGGTACCGCGTATTGTCAGATCATCACCGGCGGAACTGTAATGGCAGGAATAATGCTGGTAACTCTGGTATGGTATGGTAAGCCTGTACAAGTCCGCAATCAGGGGAAGTTTGGACTTTGAGAAAGTCGAGGAAGCGGGCATGTTTACTCTTTTCCTCTTCTTGTCCTCTCACTCTCCTTTTTTCCCTCAAAGCTCTCTTTTCCCTTCACCATCTTTTGCCTGCATTTCGTCTACACTCTCCTTTGTTGGTTGTTGGTGGTGGATCCCCCATAGTATCCATCGCGACCGCCTTGTGCTCCTGCCCCAGCAACACGACTAGGAAAGCTACGCCGAAATTATTTCCCCAGTACTGGAGCCCAAGCCAAAAAAAAACAGCCCACCTAACACTTCTCCTGGCACCGCTAATCGGCCATTCCTCTCAACTTGCTCCCGAAATGGACCGGTAACCGCCTCTTGACGGGTCGCGCGACTGTGCTTAAGGCTCTTCCTTTTTCTTGATCGTCGAGGAGGCCCGCTTTCTCCTGAATGCCATTTACCGTCGGACCCTGACACGCCTGGGTTTTGTCTTTAAGTGGGCTGTCAATTCGACGCGAGTTCGACTTTTTCACAGCCCAAAATGGATTCCTGGACAATGCCGACCAAACCGGCGCAGACCACGGGGAGGGGTCCAACGGGGACAACCCAATCTCGGGGTTCCAATCCATCTAGACACGACGACTCGGGCTCTGGAGGTAAGGAGATCACCCCTCCTTGGACGCATTGAGGTCTATACAGCTAACAGAGTCCATCATAGCGGAAACCCCTGCCCGTAGACGTCTTCAAAAAGCTGCCTCCACTACCTTCCACATCAATACCACGACCAATTTCGATTCGCAGTCCTCGAGGGGCATTGCAGGCCCGCGCTCAGGGGAAATGGGTAGGAGGAGATTGTCCATCAGAGGTCCAAAGGCTCCTCAGGGGCCTCGCCCACAGGATGCTTCGCGCGGGAGGTAGGCGCCACTTTTCAATAACCTTCGACCCCTCCCCCTATCTCGCCCGCACTAGAGTTGACTTGACGGGGGGGGGAGGAGGATAACAACGATCACAGAAAAGCTAACCACCAATGTTTCATAGCAAACCCTCCGCCACCTACTTTCACTCCGAGAGTTCCTCAATTGATTCCACAAACGATTCAACAGTGCCGTATAATCTTCGATCTACAAGTGTGGGCAACTTGGCGAAACCAGAGACCAGCCAAGCCCCCCAAGCGGAGAGAAATGATTTTTTGGCACCGATCAGTTTCGATGATTTCCACAATAGCATCATGGCCGAACCCAGTCTCAGTAATTTCCCTATGCCTGGTAATGGCGCCGCGGGATCTGAAAACAGGGATTCTGGGTTGTCTACAACCAGTTCTTGGACCACCCACAGCTATGAGAGCACTGCTTCGGAGCGGGCAAGGGGCCCTGCATCTCGTCGAAAGAGCGAAGTCCACCGCTTCAACGGTCAGACTCCTACGAATTCGGGGCTATCGGCTGCCTCCGCCAACTCGCGTAGCCGCCGCCAAAGTCTTGCTCAATCCCCTGCCGCGGCCGCTGCGAGTACACGAGGCTCGCGCAAGTCTATAAGCTCAGGTGCTTTCGCACCTACCAATGCGTCTGCTAGGCGCGCTAGTCTCAGCGCTCGCAAAGTCAGTGTCGACACGACGCGAATTGATACGAATAATTTCCTTCGCCCACGGGCCCAGCAACCGGACCAAGGCCAGGATGAGACCAAAGTTCCGTCGTCAGTCCGAAGCCTAAAGGCCAAATCCTTCCAACCGTCGCCGCGCGAGCCACGCAGTGCGTTCTTGACCGCAGCTAGGACCACGGATCATACAAGGTCCTCTTCGACAAATGCAGTTCGTACGCCAGTCAAGAACCCCGCTGGGCCTAGTGTCGCGAACACGACACCTTCCTCATCCTCTAAGCGCATGTCTACCATGCCTCATGCAACCGGCTTGGGCGCCCGCACCATCAGTCCTACAGACGCACGACGCATGAAACGCATGTCAATTGCGCCTCCTGCACCACCCATGCCACACACCCCTCCCACGCAGCAGACAGAGCCTCTTCCCACCCGACCTATCTCCACAAATCAATCTCCATCATTTATTCCGAGGAAAAGCGTCACCCCTTCCTCTAACCGAACAACTCCTGATCCGAATCGCAAGTCATACAGTTCAGGGCTATCATTGTCATCGAACACTAGCTACAACTCTGTTCGAAACTCAAGTTCGCTCCAACCTCGTCTTTCTCAGAATTTCTCCTCATCACGGCTACCGACTCCCAAACCGCGTACGGAGCAAACCTCAAAGGATTCGGAGGAAGAGGTGCCCCCTGTCCCCGCAATTCCCAAGGCATACGAATCCCCCAAGGGCGAGCTTGATGCGCCAGTCTTTCCTGCGCCGAGAAAGTCAAGCTTGCCGGTTGATATCAGTCTTCTCAACATTGCGCGAGACTCGGATTCTGATGCCCTCGGCGGTGTTGGTGTGACTACATGCGACAATGCTGACATCACCAATGGCCGTGTCACGAAAACCCCAGAGTCGCGGACGCGGACTTCTACAGTGCTGGGTCGCAAGGGCCTGCAGCCGTTGAAGCTGCCGCCTCTGAACTTGCTTCCTCTTGGTACTCCAATGACAACAAAGATTGAGGCATTGAGAGACAGAGAAGCCGAGGATAGAAAGGCCCATACCCCTTCCAACCAAGTTATGTCAAAGACACCCAGTACCCCCATGACTGCGTCCAAGGCAAACTTCTGGTATCGCGATGAGGATGACAAGGGCCCAGCAACTCAAGTTCGCAGCAGCACGTCGCACTTTGCACTTAGCTCCGTCTCCACAGCCGGATTGCGTACGGCAAGCAGTAACGGCGCCTTTGGCCCTACAGATACGCCCAATGGCACTCGCAACATCTCGCCGTACGCCTCATATACGCTTCCGAAGTCCAGCACCGAGTTCAATGCTCTCCGTCATCAGGCTAGCGGGGATTATTCCAACAGAGTATCCCAGTCCTACAAGCTCACTGGGCCTCGACCTCAGACACAGAGCGCCATTTTCGCACCAGCCTCTGAGAGACTTAGCCAGATCTCAACCCCATCCGAGCCTGAGAGTACCACTGTGGTGCCGGCTTCCACTCTGAAAGATCGCCTGAATGTGGCTCGCCTGCGCAGCAATTCGAAGGCAAATCTTGCAGCTGAAGCTGAAGCTGACCGTGCCAAGTATGATAACATGCCGCCACCAAAGCTCCCGGCTTCTGCAACATGGAATAATCTCTCTTCCGTGACCTCGACCAGCCCTGTTACGAAGACTTCGTATCTCAAGCCTCGGCGCCAATCCTCCGTTTCGAGTATCACCAAGCAGCCTGCTCCTCGGAAACCAAGTGTGAGCAGCGATCGGAGCCTTCCCCTCGAGCACACCATGACCAATGAGTCCACGGGTAGCGATCATTCTCACAACCGTGGCGCTAGCAACTACGTGTCCTCTGTCCACAAGATTATTAGCAATGCTCGATCCAGTGCAGCCGCCACTTCACGCACAGCTGATGCCAGTGTTGACGCAGATACAGTTATCGCAGATGAAGAAATGAGGCGGTTGGGTGCGAAGCGGAAGGACTTTGAAACTGCAGCCAAGCAGTTGGATGAACTGCGTCGCAAGGCAGGACCAAAGGATCGTGTCAGTCCTGCCCAGGCGCTCAAGATGGCGAACTTGAACATCTTTGAGCGCGGTGAGATTATTGACTACCGTGATATCTTCTTCTGTGGCACGCAGAATGCAAAGAAGCACGTGGGAGATCTGCACTCGGGCGCCGCGAACTTTGGCTATGACGACGATCGTGGAGATTATAACATTGTGATTGGTGATCATCTCGCCTATCGCTATGAGGTTGTGGATGTCCTAGGCAAGGGAAGTTTCGGACAAGTTGTGCGCTGTGTCGACCACAAGACTGGAGCTTTGGTCGCTGTCAAGATCATTCGCAACAAGAAGCGATTCCACCAGCAAGCTCTCATTGAAGTCAATCTCCTCAAGAAGCTAAAGGATTGGGATTCCGAGCGCCGACACAGCGTGGTCGCTTTCGACCAAAGTTTCTACTTCCGTGGTCATTTGTGCATCTCCACCGAGCTTCTAGGCATGAATCTTTACGAATTCATCAAGGCGCACGACTTCCGCGGGTTTTCGCTCAAGCTTATTCGCCGCTTCACGAAACAGATGCTCAGCAGTCTGGTTCTGTTGCACGCTAAGAAGGTCATTCACTGCGATCTGAAGCCCGAGAACATTCTTCTTGTTCACCCGTTGAACTCGGAGATTCGAGTCATTGACTTTGGGTCAAGTTGCTTTGAGAATGAAAAGGTCTACACCTACATCCAGAGTCGTTTCTACCGCTCTCCGGAAGTCATCCTTGGAATGTCCTACGGCATGCCCATCGACATGTGGAGCTTGGGCTGTATTCTGGCTGAATTGCTCACCGGTTATCCCATCTTCCCGGGTGAGAACGAACAGGAACAGCTGGCTTGCATTATGGAGGTCTTTGGCCCTCCCGAAAAGCATCTGATTGAAAAGAGCACCCGCAAGAAGTTGTTCTTCGATTCTCTCGGCAAACCACGCTTGACTGTTTCGTCCAAGGGTCGCCGTCGCCGTCCAAGCTCCAAGGATCTTCGGCAAGTTCTCAAGTGCGATGATGAAGCCTTCTTGGACTTCCTCTCTCGTTGTCTCCGCTGGGATCCCACTCGTCGACTGAGCCCCCATGACGCGTTGAAACATGAGTTCATCACCGGGGTCAAGTTGTCCACTCGACCTCGGATGTATGCGGCCGCATCACCTTCCAAGCGAGGAGCCTCGACCTCCAGTTCGCGGCCGCTGCCCGAGCCTCCGGGTGGTACCCTGAAGAGTGCTCGCACTCGCGATGTCTCGGGCACATCCCCAGTCAAGGGCAGCAGTGGAAAACGGCACTCAACGGTCACCGGTCTGCCACCATCCAGCCCCGCTAAGCGAGGATCAAACACTTCCACGATCTCCGGGACTGGGCTACCTCGTGCCTCGGCGCGCAGTATCAGTGGGAAGCCAGACCTCGCCACGGCGGCGGCTGCGACCAGCCTTGTGAGTTGATGATGCTGCCAGCCATGCCAGCACTATGAGGATACATGCTAACAAGCAACAGAGGAGCAAATAAGCCGTCTTCTTCCTTTCCCCTCGCCTCCCCTCCACCACTCATAATTTTGATCCCCTCCCTGGATCTCTATCCCCCTTGCCCCCTTCCTCATGTAATCATAATTGCTCTGGTTTTCTTTTCGTTTGGCTTGTTTTATTCTCATGCATCAGGTGGTATGTCATGTCAGCTTACGTTGGTCTGGTTCGGTGAACCCATGGAGATGAAAACAGGACGACATGCATCCTATACCCATTTTATGTTCGTTGATAGCATTTGCATCTGGGCCCTGATATGATTATTTTTGTGAAAGGGTATTGCGTCCATGTCCTCCCATTCTCACGTTCGCTTTTTTCTTCCTATATGACGACCCCCCGTTCCCCTTTTCATCAGGACTCCTTTTCCGGTCCTGCTATCTGTACATCTTTTTTCTTTCTTCATTTTATCTCCTTGCATCTCTCCTCGAGAGTTTCGCTTCATGATGCTGTGGAACCCAAGTCGTGGAGAGCATTCGGATTGGCAATTAAGCTTGCATTTGCTATTCTCAAATACACTTTTACCATTTATGTACAGTAGTGATAATACTTTTTAATTGAAACATTCCCTCATCATAGATGATTCTTCATGTCGAATATCCTTGCTTTGTTCGGCAAATCCAATCAAGTAAACGAGGGGGCGCTCAGCAACTGGTGGATCGCGGCAATCGGGCTACTTGGCCTCATCGCCTTATCTGACTTTATTACTCCACTCCTCAAGCCTCCCCCGACTTTCTGCCATTGGCGAGACATTCGCTTCCCTTCATGTCGCTGTTGGGCCTGCACATTCGCAATGAATGGCTATGAAGCGAAAGGCCTCGACGAGGATGCCTTTGGGGACAAGGGTAATCTGTCAGGGCTAAAGACCTTTGACGCTTTCCGTAAGTTTACAAACACGTTTCCCCGATGCAGGAACAAGGAACAAGCCAGGAACAACCCCTTGACAACAACACAACACACGTTCTTATACTCTAATAACCTCCAATTCATCCCGGAATTAGCAGATAGAGCTAACAATTTACCCAATTTCTATCAGCCAAAACCAAAGCATCCTATACAACACCCACCACCCGCGGCGGCCAATGGACCGTTATAATCCTCGCCATCTGCACCCTCTTCAGCTTCCACGAGCTCAAGACCTGGTGGCACGGCACAGAACAGCACAACTTCAGCGTGGAAAAGGGCGTCTCCCACCAGCTCCAGCTTAACCTCGACATAGTCGTGCACATGCCCTGCGACACGCTCCGCGTGAACATCCAAGACGCGGCCGGCGACCGCATCCTCGCCGGCGAACTGCTCCAGCGCGAAGAAACCTCGTGGAAACTGTGGATGCAGAAGCGCAACTACGGGTCGCACGAGTACCAGACGCTCAGCCATGAGGAGGCTAGTCGGCTGAGCGCGCAGGAGGAGGATGCGCATGTGCACCATGTGATGGGTGAGGTGCGGCGCAACCCGAGGCGCAAGTTTGCGAAGGGTCCGCGGATGCGATGGGGGGAGAAGCCGGATGCTTGTCGGATTTATGGGAGTTTGGAGGGGAATAAGGTACAGGGGGATTTCCACATTACGGCGCGTGGTCATGGATATCGGGAGTTGGGGGAGCATTTGTCGCATGAGGGTGAGTTCTTACCTTGGTCCTTTTATCAGATCATACCCCTGGATGGATTCAATTGCTCCGGATTGCTTCGAGAGTCTTGCCTGATCGTCTCCATCTGGTTATCTATTGATCCTGTCGTCACTAACAACTATACATCCAGCATTCAACTTCTCCCACATGATCACCGAACTCTCCTTCGGCCCACACTACCCAAGCCTCCTCAACCCGCTCGACAAGACAATCGCCGAAAGCGAAACCCACTACCACAAATTCCAATACTTCCTCTCCGTCGTCCCAACCCTCTACACAAAAGGCCGCTCCGCCTTCAACGCCTACACCCTCAACCCTTCCTCGCTCGAAGCCCGCCAAACCCGCAACGCAGTCTTCACAAACCAATACGCCGCAACCAGCCAGTCCGGCCCGATCCCTGAGTCCCCCTATCTCATCCCTGGTATCTTCTTCAAGTATAATATTGAGCCAATCTTGTTGCTGGTCAGCGAGGAACGGACGGGGTTTTTGAGATTGATGATTCGGTTGATTAATACCGTTTCGGGGGTGCTTGTTACGGGAGGTTGGGTTTATCAGATTTCCGGTTGGGTGGGTGAGTTTATGGGGAAGAGGAAGAGACAGAGTGAGGGTGTTTTGACGGGGAAGCATTATTCGGATTGATGGGAGTTTTATATTTCTGCGGATTTTCTTTGAATTTGATTGTTTTTTTTCTATTGCATTGTACTGAGTATAGGAATTCATCTTTCCTTTTGGGTAGACATACTGTCTACGTATACTGGTAGAGAGCTGTATATCATTGTTATGAGAGCTTACGGAGCACCATCTCCAAGGGTTCTAGGTTTATTAAACCAATCTATGGGATCATATGTCTTCTACCAGAGCATAAACATGGCCATCAACCCATAACCCCTCCAAAAAATTGTATTGATAACAAAATTCGTGGTATATAACATGAATACGCCTCCGCCCATCAAACCATACCTCATACCCACCCGTTCCATGAAAGATACAATCCGCACAATGCACAACGAAGCCTCAAACCTCAAAGATCTGCCCCAAAGCCAAACCAGGACCCTCAGCCCCAGCCCGGCTATCAACCAGATCCAGACGCCAGCCCTGCCAATCCCGGAGCTTACGCTTGATCTCACGCACCCACTCCACTCGCTTGCGTGCCTCTTCTTCAGCCTGAGCGCGCGCAAACTCTGCCTCGTCGAATTCATCTTCCAGGTTTTCTTCGGACAGGAGCTCGAGACTACCGCGGGTAGCTGGATGCGGTGGGTTAGATGAACCGGCGCGAGCACGGTTTCCACCCGTGAACGCGGCAAAGCCACTAGACAATACGTCTGAGAAGGATGAGTGCTGCTGCTGCAAGGCCATACTCCTCCGGCGGGCGTGATCGGGTCGACCGCCAACGAGATCGACATCGTCAAAGGCGTTGGCCGCAGCATCACCCGCAGACTCGAGTCCCTCGTCAGAATATTGCTGGCCAACCAACTCCGAGCGCTTCTCTTGCCAGACACCACGACGCAGATCAAAGTTCTCGCCTTCCAATTCGCGAATACGGCGCTCAAGACGTTGGCGCTCTTCGTCTTCGAGTTCGTCGAGGGCCTCGTCGTCTGCGCCACCGGCATCACGCTTGCGCATGCGATCACGCTCTTCGCGGAGGCGGAGGTTCTCATTTTCAATGCTGGCGAGCTTCTTCCGCAGGACTGCGGTTTCTTTCTCTGCCTTTTCGCTCTCACGCAGCCGGGTCTGGTGCCGGGACTCTGATTCTTTGTGCAGGTTGCTCAAGGCCACGAGTTTCTTGTCCAGAGTTTCTATCTTCTTTTCTCCTTCGACCTTTTCGCTCTTTAGCTCTTCGACCTCGCGCTGCAGCGATTTGATCAGGGTTTCGGTAGATGTCTTGTCCACGCCTTCCTTGACGGCTTTCTCCGAGGCGCGAGTAAGAGCTTGTTTCGTGTCATTGAGCTCACGCTGGGACTTCTCGAGAGCGGTCTGACTCTCCGATAGCTTCTCTTCGAGGGCAGCCACCTGGGTCTCGTGCGCACTGCTCGAAGATGTCTGCGACGTCACCTGGGCGCGCAGATTGGAGATCTCCAGTTCCATAGCCTCAATAGTGGCGGATTTGGATTCTAACTGGCGCACAAGATCTGCTGGCGGCGATTCCGACGTCCCAGGCACGGAAATACTAGCGTTATTGCGGTGTGACCTGGACTGGAGCTGTGAGTTTTGCCGTTGTAGCGAGGCAATCTCCTCTTTCTGTCAAGCAAGTCAGTACGACCCCTTCCGTAGCCTGAAGTTCTCAGTAACCCATACCAAAGCCTCAATACTAGCCACCTTCTCCTCAGCCTGTTTCAATTGCTCCCTCAACTCTGCTCCGTCCACACTAGCCTCCCGCAAATCCTCCAACTGATCCTCCGTCTTGCGCCAGCGAGTCGTCGCATCTGAGAGCTCCTTCTCCAGCCTCTTATTGTCCTTCTCCAATTCTTCGATCTTCGTCGACTGCTTCCGGAACACTTCGTGAACGGACTCACCGTCCCCTGTCAACGGGGGTAGAGGTTGTGGTGAGGTCTTGGGAGCCGATGGAGATGGGGCGCTACCCTGGGATATAGAGGTCTTTCGGAATGACGACGAGCGCATCTTTGACTGGATCGACAGGGACGGTTGGCGGCCGTGCCCGGCGCGAGGGGTATCCAGACGTGCAGGCTGCGACTCGGTCTCTGGATCAGGCGAGGTGGGGGCGGGGGGCATGGGCTCGACAGGGGACTCGACGGGTTCGGACGGTTCAGATGGCCTTTCTTGCGATTCTGGCTCGGGCTCTGCTGGTTGTTCTGGGGTCGTGGTCTCTGCCGGCGTAGTTTCTTGCGGCTTCTCCTCGGTGGGGGTATCTACTGGAGGGGTAGTCTCCGTGGTAGCCGCAGGCTCTGGCGTAGCTTCAACTTCTTTAAGAGTCTCGGCATCTTTGGGTGTATCTGTAGCGGTTGAGGCCTTCTTGCTGGCCTTCTTCTTTTGCTTCTGGAGCTGGGCTACCTGCAATAACACGGGAGTGGTTAGTGATTGCAATAGCGCCACCGGCGAGGTTAACGTACCCTTTTCTTGGCGGCGGCGAGCTTCTCAGCTTTAATGCGCTCCTCCTCATCGGCCATTTTTGGAATGTTTATAGTGGTTTCAATGGGTGCGGAGTAGTTGTGTCGGAGTGGCAGACAATGGAGAATGGACAGCTTTCCCCATTCGGCGCACGGGCCACCTCCGATGTATACGGCAGGCGTGATAACATGGGGATCTAAAACAAGGACATCGTCTTATTTACAATTTTCGAGGAAGTACTCGATGCAAGATACATTTTTTACTTTGGATTAGGTTCTACATCCCTATATTCTTTTCATCTAAAGACGTCCCTCCATCAGATGAGACACTGACCAGGCATCAAATAGATTCAAAGCATTCAATACAAGTCCGAGATCAAAAAGTATATTATTAGAGTATAGACAGGAGCAGAAAAGAAAGGTTTCAGCATCAGAGTCAGGAGGGGGCGGCGGTTCATATCAGTCTTGTTCGTTTCATAACGCCCCTCATGGCCAAAAGAATATAAATGCAGGTTGAATTGCTCCATAAGTCCATCGAGTCCCAGAACCTCAACGCCCCCAGCTAAAAAGACGGTTAACGATAAAAAAAGGAAAAGCAAATCACCGATCAACGGGACCTGAAAAGAATCAAACACAATCAAGGAATCAAAGACAAAGAAAAAGCTCTACCGGTCGCATCGCTCATATCTCCATGGTATCCACGAGCTCCTCACTCATCGCCCGAACCATGCCCTTGCTGCCCCTACGCGAACGGGTCTCCTCGTCACTGAGGATATAATGATCATCATCGTCATCATCCGCGTTCTCGGCATTGTGCAGCGAAGACTCCGCGCGATTACCGAACCAGTACCGGGCTCGCTTGCTCGAGCTCAGATCTGGCGTCAGGTAGCCGTCGTCGAACGTCCGCTTGCCGGTAGGGGTAGAGGCAATTTCACTATCTTCGGGCGGTGTGTGGCTGAGAATCGGGATTGCACGGAGATAGAGGTAGCAGACACGTTTCCGCAGCGGGTTGAAGAAGAAGTAGTGCAAACTCCAGATCGCTCCGTCATCGGCGTCGGAGGGGTCCTCCTCCGGGGAGTACGAGTAGACCGAGCACTCCTTGAGCGACATATGCTCATCCATAATCCGCCACATCCGAGGACCCCAGGCAGGTGATCCCGAATTGTATGATCCAGAAAGTGTGGCAGGTGATGATGGAGAGAGATCGATTGACTCGCGAGGTCGGAGGTTGAACAGTGTGGAGTTGACCGTATTCATCACGCGCTTCATGTGCCGCTCACGCCGGAAATCAGTGGGTCTCAGCACGTGTGAGAAGTCGTAATCGGGATGGCTGGCATTGAGCGTCGCGATGAGATAGGCAAAGGTACGTCGACTGGAATGCTCGCTCAGGGGGCCGAACGGACTTGATCGGGATAAGTTCAGGGTCTCGGCCGCATCGTGAGCGTTGGGTGGGGAAAGTGAAGCTGAAAGACGGAGGATCGATTCATATTGGGCTTCAAGTGATTGTTCGATGTGATTGTAGAGTTTCCGATCGGAGCGGGCAGCCTTGGTTGTGTACAGGTCGCATCCACCCACGATATGACAATCCGCCGTATCGAAGTTCAACGAGCTCGTGACATCTTCGAACTCGGGAAGAGGTAGGAACTAGATAAGTGAGAGGAGTAGATAAGTGACTGCGACCAGGATGATGATGATGGAGCGATGGGATTCGACGTTATCGCCATGGCGACCGAGGGGAGTAACGGGGACCAACCTTCATGTTGTTCAAGTCGCCGTGACGGTCAGGCAGTTAGACTGGTGAAATAGTCTTTGAGCTTGGGAATGCCCAACGTATTTCGATGGATATCACGATCAGCTCACTGGCGCTGAAGTGATGGATGATGACGCGAGGTGGTCGCGCCGGAGACGGAGGTGATGGCGCCGATCGGCGATAACCGCAAACAGGACAGATAAGGGGGAAGTGAGAGTGTCCGCGACACCAAACCCAGGAAGTTGCCTTTATAGAAACAGAGACAAAGCGTAGAGAGAGAGAGACTCGACTGCGATAAAGAAACGGAAGACAGATGCGCTCCGATCGACCAGACGAGGGGGGATGCGTTGCGACCGGGGGGTGTGGGATCACGTGCTGGAGTCTGGGGGGCCAGTGAGAACCCGCACTGACCTCACGGGCGGGCCAACCTTTTGGGTGTCCAGTCGACGTGTTAGGAGGAGAGGACGTCGTGGAATGAGTGGCCAGGGTTGATCCAGCGTGGTCCAGAGATCAAGACTGGTTCGGCCCAGAGTTCCATGGGTCCAGCCTGGCCCTCACAGCCCGACTCGGTCCAAGTTGCGCGACACATCTTCCGAGTCCTGAAAATGGCAGTGACATTGATTAGTAGGTAAAAATAGACGGAATCACGCTACGCCTGCAGACAAAAGCAAAACAACATAAAAAGACCAAAGCACACAAAAGCAATTAACCAAAAGAGAGTCTCGAAATCCCGGTCGCTACATGATCTTGGTGACCACATCTTCCTCAACCTGGGGCGAGAGAGCATTAGCCCGATTGCGCCTGGGAGAGAAAGGGGAGGAGTAGAAGGTCAATGGAGAGACGGGGGAAAAGAGTATCCCAACTGTCATGGTACTGGCTTGTGGCACAGCCGCATGACAGGGTATATCCCCTTGGGAGAAGAAGAGGGAGAGAAGGGCTGTAGGGGGGACAAAGCATGATCGGGCTTACCTCCATATCTTCCAGACTGTCCTGCTGGCTGATGCAACGAAGCACATTCTTCTTGCTACTTTCTTGCATCTCACCTGCTAGTAATAGCTCATCCAGGATGAAGTATGCTTTCTGGAAATTGAAGATGATATCCAGCTCGCACACGTTCCCGTAGTATTTGTCCATCTGCTCAACGTAACGGTGGACGATCTCGAGGGTGATCAGTTCGTTATCGGTGGATGCGCAACCGGCGATGAAGAATAGGGAGGCATAGCGGCGGTAGACGACTTTCGAGTCTGGGCAGTCAATATCGTGGTCAGCATTGCCTGTTTGTACCTGGGGAGGCCCGGGGCCGCGGAGAAGAAGAAGCCACCTTTGTATTCGAGGAAATTGCACATGCGCGTCCGGCGCGACAGCACAAGTTGAGTCACATCCTTGATGATCTTGGCCTTTTCCTTGGGGGAGAGAGTAGTGAACCACTTGGCGAGACGCTGCGAGAAGAAAAATCGGGTCAGTCGGGGGACCTCAAGCCGGTTGAAGAAACGGGGTGGGTGACGAGGAGGGGGGGACGCACGACTTTGCCCTGCCGGGACAAGAGGATAAGGTAGCTGGGAAATAGAGTTAGAAACTGTTTAATTCGTTCCAATGCTCATCCCACAATCTTACCTGATGGGCATTGTGATGTAGTTTGGGAGTTGAAAAGGGGATGGCGAAACGGGAGGTTGGTGCTGTCAAAGCCGTGGCGGACCCGAGCTCTGGAGAAATTCTTCGAGTGGAGCAGAGGGGAGATGCCCCGCTACCAAGCCCTAGCTTGAAACTGCCAACTGGAGAATGTCAAAAGAGATTATTGAACAAGATGATTAGGGAGTTGATCAGAAGAAGAGTGTCTCCGTAGAAATCAACAGACTGAGGTGTTGTGTTTCTCCTGCGCACGGATGAATGAGTCAAGGCTGCCGCCCCATGCTGAGAATCCAGCAAATTGTACGTCATGCGATCAATCTTTCAATTGCTGCCTCTAGATTCGGGAGAAGAAAGCTAGAGGAAGCAAGACTTATATTGTAAATATCAGTAAATTCTAACCCTAGGTCAGGTCTATGAAAGTCTGACAAGATACAACTCTTCCGGTCGGCGAGTATAAATGCCGCATTGCTGACGGAGTATACCAGGTACCGTATACATCCTTGCATGTGGCTCACCCGAGAGCATTATGCCAGCTCATCTACCACAAATTACGAAGAACCTTTTAGTAAACGATGGATCAAAAGCTCTGGCATTGTCAATCGGTATCAAAGCTGCAAAATTAATCAATATTATTAATGACATCGTAGTAGCACAATAGCACCCAAACACATTATTCCATATCGCGGCTCGATGCGCGATATTATCGAGAAAATAAATAAAGCGACCCGCATCTTCGTCTTTCGTTTTCCGTTTTGCATTATCCATTTCGAGTCATCCAGGATCCAGGCATTAGAAGGAACCCAGGCGGATATCAAATATATACCTCCTGATAGATTCCATCCAGCCGGATCGTCAAGTCATACAGTACAATCGTTGTAACAATCCATTGCCGTCAACGCCGTTTCAAGTCACAAACCATATTCCGTGGTGTCAAGTGGTTCTGGGCCGTCATGACACTATCGTATCACCTTCGAAGAAAAAGGCGGGCTTATAGGCCCCTGGATAATGACACTCTAGAGATTCAATCCAGGAAGCCCACAAGCCCATCTCACTTTGTCTGCAAGCTTAGACTTGGGCCATGTTGGGGCGGCGGCGACTACCACTGCGACCACGGAGGTTGACAGTCGATGACCGGGACATGAACACGGAGACGATGACAGAGGCCATGTATCCAGCCCAGGCAAACCACAAGAAAGCCACAGTCGCTTGAGCTTCACGGCAGCGCTTCGACATGTTGTGCGAGCCGTTGGTAATTTCGTTGCTGACCAGGTATGACTGGTGAAATTAGTAAAAAATCCCCATACGTGAACGGAAACTATAAAATCGGCGACAACGTACATGATTACTGCAAGAGTGGCACGTCAACTTCGCGGCGAGCGCGATAGCCGCGCAGAAGAAGAACACGCAGTTGAGCACATCGACCACGACCATGATGATCGGGTGGATGGCCCAGTCCGAGTTCCACGAGGCTGGTACCAGGTAGAAGAGCGAGAGCATCGAGAATGCCGACACATACATCGAGTAGTTGACTGTCGACGGGTTGCCCGCGAATGACTCGGCAATCATGTTACCGACGAGGGCCATGATGAGCAGAGTCCATAGGAACTATAACGAAGATGAAGGGCGTTAGCAAAAGCATATTTGCGCCATAACTCCTTAGCTTAATCTGATACGAACCTCCCACACACGGAGACCCAACTGAACACCCCGCAGACTCATAGTGAATTTTGAGATGGAGCTTGCTTGAGTAGCGGAAAAGGTTAAAGAGGTTCGCGGTTCGCGAAGGAAGTCGAATGTAAGATATAAGCTACAGATTAGTATCGGACGCCGAGTCGAGAAAAAAAGACCTGCGGGATGTCGAAAGTAGACAGGGATGTTGCAGTGGCTTTAGCTACTCCTAGATACTACAGGGCCCTCACTACGATTATAAAAGTTGCGGATCGCCCGGAGGGTGGTGATGACGATATAGAAAGGCTAACGAAGACCTTCGCTACGTCATGCATCGACGCGCTCGGGAGCCGGCGGCAACAGAGCAAATCGAGGGATGATCAGGTTTAAAAAACTATGCGACCAACAAATTATGGGGCTACTGCTTGGTCAATGACCAAATGAACTAGTCGGAACGGGTCATCGTCAACGATGAGCTTAAGTGAAGAACATAGTAGTGGTTCCTTGGGCGAACCGGCTCTACAGTTAAGTACATACTGTAACCGCTTTTTTTTTCGCAGGCTTTGAAGAGGGGTATTGTAAGAAAAGGTGTGCAACTGCTTGCTGATTAGTAGCCTGGTAATATTTTCCACGGCACAACAAAGGAGGGGGATGTTCATCCCATGCTAATCATTGCCTGTTCGTTTCATGCGCAGATCTTGTATGGGAAGAGCACTTGGATGGTAGAAATGAAGCACCCCTACAACCCATGGGAGAAGCTCAGGGAAATGCATACGGTATTGTAGGTATTCTTAGGATCGTGAAAAATTCAGTAAATCGAGAGAACCGAAAAAAAAAAATCGAGAACAACAATGTACCAAGAAGATCTCTGAACTAGCCGGAGTGTAGAAAAAAGACAAAAAGAAATGGTCCCAGAGGGGGTCGAACCCTCGACTTTGGCGTTATTAGCACCACACTCTAACCAACTGAGTTATGGAACCCGTTACTTGTTGAAGACACCGCCACAATTTTTACTTATAATCTTCTTCTATCATACCTCACCCGACACATCGCATTGCAGCATCAATAATTATAAGAACTAAGCTTTGCTCCAAACCCCAGTGGTCCAAGACTTGTATCGAATTTAATACAATCTCACGAGCTCAGTATCTTTTGATTCCGAATTCCTCCGCCGCCACTCTTTAATGAATACGAATCATTGAACATCGCCATCGTAAGCTCATTCGTCATTAGCAGCCAATTGACTGCCCAATTGGTAAGCGTAGGTATTAGAGATGTGGCCTAGTACATTACCCTCCGGTGGATTTCAGGGGTAAGTCTTTCCAGGTACACCGGTAACGGAGAACATCTGAGGCTTCTTGTCGTGGGGTATTCGTCCTGAAGCGATGGATGGCTTAGGTCCCTACGAACGTGGGGATCCGTCGAAATATATATAGTCATGGATCTACATGCCCTGCGGACCGTCGTCTACGTAGCACGGTAGAGCCTCGTAGAAAATTGATTACCCTGCTAGAAAAAGAAATACCCCCAACCTCTACCCTTCGCTTTATTTCAGCTCCGCAACCGTAAAAAAAGGGTAGCCTGCCCGGAACCAAGGTTAAGCTGGAATATCGGAACATGGCAAAATACAACCTACCAACAGCAGTCTAACCATCGCCATCTAAGCAAACGCCCCGTACAGCTACATCCATAAACACATCTGATAAATCCACAAGACGGCAATTATTCTCATATTCCTCATAAGTTCATGCCTCGCTATTATGTATGCAAAAAAATCCAAAACACCGAGAACTATGGGCAGCAGCGCACCGAGTCAAACGAGAAGGACGCAGTAACTACTTCGGATTGAATGCGCTCTGGACAGATGCATACCTAAGACTTTTGTTAGCAAGCACATCCCATAGCCCACATTATAAGGTTCAATCAACTCACCCCTGAGGACACTGACGACCCAGCGCAACGCTCCCACTCCGCATGTAACAAATCTTGGCCTTCTGGCAAGCCTCCGTATCACAAACCGGGCTCTTGACACTCATTCTGCCCTGAAGATGAGTCTGCAAAGTAACAAGACTAATATCCTTCTCCATAGCCTCGGTGACACGGTGCCAGAAAGTCGCGTTCAGCGGGGCATCCGTGTCCCACCCCGCCGCCGGACCGTACGTATCACGAGTAGAGTATTCGAAGCGGTACGTCGGCCCTGTTTCACGGAGACTCGTGTATTCGGAGACATTACTGAAGAAGGTGTATGCCTCGTAGACGTTGAAGTCTCCCGTGTCCACCTCGTAGAGGCGGAATCCACTGTTCATGTTTGTCAAAGGTGTGACGCTTGGTCCGATCCAGCCAGTGGCGAGGGCGGTGTTTGCATTTTGAACGGTGCCGTTGTTGGCGTAGTAGACCATGAATTGGTCTTCGTGGTTGTGTCCGAAGAATATGTTGGCAATGACGTGTGGGGAATAACGGTCTACGATTTGGTAGAAGAGGTTGGTTGGGTCTGGGATTGGATTGCTGCCATCCCAGCCGCTGGGGACGTGACCAACGAGCCAGACGCGTTCGTTCGTGTCCTCGGCCTTTTGGAGCTCATCGATCATCCAGGAGAAGATACCTGAATTGTCTGGATTTGTGGTGTTGATCATGTTGAGGAGGTTGGAATGGTACCAAAAGTCTACGGCAAAGTTAGTCTATCCAGTCATCTAATTAGTCTGATTGATCAACATACCCGTGTTGAACGCAATGACACGCAGTCCAAAATGCGTCTTGATCGAATATCCACCGTAATGGGTCCGCGCTTCCTCGGCCGTCTTATTGCTGATCCACCCCTCGTGCTGCCACAGACCAGCTAGATGCCGATAATTCCAGGAGAACTGCTCCCCGAGACGCCCGGGAAGACTATGCGGCGAATCGATGTTCTCGGGACTGGAATCGTGATTTCCCAAAGTCGCAAAAACGGGCCCCGAGAGGTACTTCTTGAACATGTAGAAAATGCTGGTCTCAGTGTACTCGAGGTATTCACGAGACATTTGAGACTCGGGATCATGGGAGATCAGATCGCCAGTGTAAAGAGTCCACGCCAGAGACTCTTGTTTACAGCCCTTACCAGTGCCGGTCAAAGGTCCCACGGCCTGCAGAGCAGCTAGGCCCAGATCATACGGGGTATCACAACGGAAGGCCCCGTACGCTGAAGCTGGAGAGACAACGTGGTCCTCCGAACCAGCATGATGCTTGTCGCTGCGACAGCACAATCCACCCGTACAGTCGGCTTCCGCACTGACCGCATAGCGCGCATCAAGATGGAAGTCTGACATGTGAAGCACCTTGACACGCTCCCCGCTGGCCTTTGGCACTTGCACCTGCGCTGGCTTGGGCTTAGGGAACAACTTGGATGTATCCAAGTGTTGGGTCTGAGGCTGCTCGCAAAAGTCATTATTGAGATAATGGCAGATATACTGTCCATCCAGACCCTCCAGATCAGCGTAAGCCAGGACCTGCGTCCAGATAGCGCCGAAAGCCTGTGATGCAAAAGTCTCCTCGCAGGCATCCTCAGACTTGAACCCGAAGGTCTTGCACAAGCTGATCATGGCATCTGGCACCAGGAGGGGAGCGTACAAGGCAGCAGGCTTAGCCGCTGCCATCGCCCTCTTGCACTTCGAGCAACGAGTCTCCGAGCCCCCGGACTTGATAATCTCGGAAACATTCGTCTTGATGCCCTCGACTAAGGCATGTTTCTGGTGCGAGTTTAGGTTCCCCTTCGGTACGGGATAGAACACCTCATCCGAGCTCTCGGGGATAACATCTGGATTGGTCAGCTCATAGGGAAATGTAAGGTCCAGCACGGGATCGTAGATGATCGGCTGAGGCTCCCGGGTTGGCAGAGCAGGGGAGACATAGTAGGATCTGCGGATCAGATTAGCTTTAGAGTTGGATCGTTACCACCGGGAATGTTTTCCCTACCCAAATGCCGAAGTCGGGAATCCCGGCCCAGCGACGTATGAAGACAAGCCAGGGAGTGAGGATGCCGTGACACTCGGAACCAGATCTCCCAAAATTGCTTGCATTATGAGCAGAGGGACCAGGGACCAGAGTCTCTGGAGATGAAGAGTGAACTTGGCCATCTCGGAGGGACACGGGAGTGGCTGTTCGGCGGTGGGTAGCGTTGTTGATCGTTCCTGAATGGGCAGCGCACGTGGGGAAGAAGGGGGCGGGGAAGAGAAAGGGACATGGGTGGGAGGTGGTGATATGAGGTAAAAAGACTAGCAGAAGATTGACTAGGATAAACATAAGAAGCCATGGTGAGTGATCGTCTCCAGAGGGGCGTGTTCAGCACGAGTCGAGTATGTGGTGATGGTCACGTCAAACCCATTCTTCAGCTCCCAGCTCTTCCAATTACATAGAGAGAGAAGCTGCGAAGCCCCTGATTTAGAGGCCGGCACTATATTAACAGACCCGAAATAGGAGATTCGATAGTAATAAGTAAGAGTATTAAGTTCATTAATTGCAACTAGTCCATGAAGAAAGATCCCCAGTAGGAACTATCATATAGAAGAAGTAAGGAACAGACAACAAACAGTCGATCTGAAGAATCTGATTGGCCGATTCCATTCCATCCAAAACCGTCAACGTTATCCGCAACCGGAACAACAAAATCCCGTTTCCACACGTGATCCACACCGTCAACCAAAATTTTCTTCAAGGCCCAAGCCCAACTCTGTTACTTCAACTATCCCCTTGGATTTTCAATGATTGCTATTGAGTTGAATATACGACTGCAAAAGCACCAGACAGACATTTTCTCAAAGTCCCAAGAGATGCACGCTGATCAAGAAATCAGCGTCAAGACTGGCATACAGAGCCAGTATGGGTGGGTCTGTAAGGGCACAGATGTAGATCGAATGGTAGGGAATTATGAGCAGCTAAACCAAAAGTAGAGGTACAACGCGGGGCTTGTGGCCTAGTTGGTTAAGGCGTGGCTCTTATGCGATGGTCCCTCCCGGGACGTTGTCATGATAATATTAGCCGAAATCGGGAGTTCGAGCCTCCCCTGGCCCATACATCATTTTTTGGCCAGGACCACCCTCCTGGAGATCTGGAAAAACCATCCTGGCCGGGCAAGTTTGGTCGTACTCTATCTATACCCGATGGCTGGTCATGCTATTGGACGGTCGCAAATAGATTTTAACATTGGTCAGCCTATTTTCGAGAGTCATGATGTCATTCTAATAAGCCTCATTCGATATCAGAGTAGCAAGGTAGCATGCCTAGCTAGCTAGACACCTATTGTACCTTCAAGGTGGGCATTAAAGTGGGTTGGGGTTACGTAGAGCCATCGGCCAGTACGGATCGAAATGGGAACGAAGGGATAATAAATCAGATCAAAACTGGATTCAATGCCGAAATTATGTGTATATTTGTATTTCAACTCCATCCTTCCAGACCTGCTAATCAGGACGTCTGATACAACACTTTGTTTGCACCTTAGCTTTCAATTATAATCCACCCAACACTTCAAACATTGTTCCTTACGGCCATCACAATGCCCGTCCACCCCTCCCTAGAAGGGTCATCCTTCGACGCTGACCTCCGCGACCGCCACTTGATATACGACTACGACGCACAAGACAGCGCCGGTCGACCCGAGAAATGGCGTTACGAGATGTGGTTCCAAAACGAAGACCGCATCAACTATGCAATTCACGGTGGCCCAATGGCAGGCCGCATCAACTTCCAAGCCGCCGAATATCAATGCATCCGACCGGGCGAGCTATGGCAATGCAACTGGCTCGAAGAGACTGGAACAATGTGCTCGCTGGTCTTCGACATTCCGCGACAGAAGATTACTACCATGCTGGGGTTTTCCAAGGGTCATTGGGAGAAGGCGGAAGATGCACATGGCGATAAGAGGAACCCGGCGGATCTGGAGAGGTGGAGGGGTCTGGCGAAGATTGGGATCCAGACGGACAGGGTACTGCTCTCTGAACAAGCGGATATCTTGGAGGATTTCCGGGGACCTGGCAATCTGAAGCCTGCTGATAATAGCTGGCCAACTTTGTGAGGCGTCGCGGTGTCGACGGCAGAGGCCGGAAAGCCGGTGGGATGAGGAGAGCGTCAGGTTCTGGCATTGCTGCTCCATGTGTATTACCCAAGGTGTCTGTGTCTCGAATCCATACATCAATGTATTAGTTGAACCATATTGGACCTTCGATAATGCCCTGGCTGGGTTGTGTAGATAGCGAGACATGCTGATCCGGCTCGACGATATGAGTCTGGTGATGAATTCAATCCCGACCGTATGGCAGACCAGCGTTATCGCTGTTCGACAGTGTCGTGCCAATCAAGGACCAAATAAGAAGGCATATCCAGCAAATGGATTATCGGAACCGCAGTCAGCAGTCGGTAATTTTGCGTTAACCGTCGGGCCGGAGAAAAAGATAAAGAGAGTCATGAATGACCAAATCATTCGTTTGTGAAGCCCCTTCTCTCATGATCCCTTGTAAGGCCCGACCGGCGGCCCTTGCGGGGCCTGAAGGCACACTAGCTCTACCTGGATTTCATCAGGGGTGAGCGGTGGAGGGCTATTGTACGTCGGTGAGCGAGCAATAATTCCAACTGCGACTTGCGAGGCTTGCTGGTGCGAACTCATGCCATCGATGTACCAAACTTGCCAGGGGTGATGGCCCGAGCCCGGAGGCATCACGCTGACATTAGGACCTGGGATTCTCTCCTTGGCAAATTCTAGAGGTCATGGTCAGTGGTCACGATCAAATTGCCAATGATTTACTGAATCAGGGACATACCCTGCACAGGAATGGATGCCACATCAAAGATGGGAGCTCCGCAATTCGGGAGGGAAGGAGGATACAGCATCATATGTGCCAACGTCGCTTCGAGAGGCTTTGAATAGTATTCGCCCGACGTGGCAAGGAGGAAGATGGTATGCTGCAGAGCGCCTTTGATATCATGCGAGCAAGGGCGCCCCCAAATCCCGTCGCACCCATTTGTAGTTCCCGAGGGCGTGCCGGTTAGATTGCCCACACGCAAAGCAACCTCGGACGTCCGATTCGACGTCACCTGATCCTTGTTGATCTTCCGATCCTGGTATCGCAGCCAGTAACTAGTCTTGGTCACCGGGCCCTGGCCTTTACCCGATACAAGTTCATCGAAGCCATAGTAGAAGGTGATAGGGTCTGGAAATAGTGGCGAGAAGTCAATCGGAACGGCGGTCTGGGCGAGCGGGTCGATACACCCTGACTCCCAGAAGGAGCACATTTGGGCCGAGCCGCACTGCAGCAGAACCAGGACAATCAGCAGAGCGTAAGGCCGCGCAACGGACGTGTACTCTAGGATGGAAGCCATCGCGTTCGAAATTCACGGTCGGCCAGAGATAATAATGGTGATTGTTTGATGATCTCAGAGTCCAAGGTCCACACGAGCGACCGCGATGGGCCCTCAAAGGTACCACGATGAACGAGAAGGACGAGCCAGAACAGCCTCGATCATGCTCTACTCATCGTCTTGCGTCGAAAACGGTCGTGTGTTGTAGGGGGAGTCCGGGTATAGCTGCTCACAAAGTCGACGAAAGGGATTCGATGTTCGATTCGAGGGCGAAGGAGGGAATAATATTGTCCAAGCAAAAACCAAACCTGATTCCCACGGGCTAAGGAGGAGTGAACGGACCAGGACCCTGCAACTCCAAGAGTGGAAGCCAGGGAAAGGGTCCCCGCAGCACTAAAGGACACGGCGTTGTTTTGGGGGCCTTGGGTCCCTGTGGCTATCTCCGACGGGCTCCTCTTTTTGCAGGGTTGACCCAATAGCCGATGGCGGACGGCGGAGTCTGTGCTCGGGAAAGGTAACGCCTAGCAGAAAAATAAAGAAAAAGGGTCTTCAAGAGTGGATGTCAAGAAAATCACCAGTTCCCAATGGACAAGCCAAGTCCTGCCAGTAATAGGAATGGAGCCTCTGAAGGGAAAATGAACCAGGGAAGGGAGATTGGGTAGTATCGAGGTCAAAGGGTTTTCTTTTTTGACAATTGATGATTGCCAAGGGGCCACAGCGGGCGGTACAGCACCAGCAACTGTCCCAGGATGGATGCAAGCGATAAATTAATAAATAATAAATCAGAAAAGTATTGTTTTTCTCCGGCACATTCTCAGATGGACCATAAGATGCCGGTGAAACAGGGAGGGCCAGCGGGTGGCCGTGGGCAGTTGCTACCTCGGGGGCTACCTGCAGCGTGGGTTGTCAGCGTAGGGGCCTAGCATGTCACCAGAAGGGTTTCGCAGCATTGCTCGATGCTCACAAGCCATCGCTGGAATCCTTCTCCCAGGAAAGAGCAAAAAAGGCACTAGAGAGGATAGGAGGGATTGGGTGGAAAGAGTGGAGTCGAATGGAGTCAGAAGCAGTTTGGGCAGAGGCAGCCGGTCCTTGGCTGGCGAATCACGAGACAGTCACGGGACCTTCTCGGCCAGTCCCCGCATTACCGCCCGCCCAAATAGGAAAATATAGACGGAGATCCTTCAGGGTTACTCTCTAGTGACTAGTCTGGATGGAGTACAGGGGGTTGTTGAAGGCAGGGACCAGCCACTCAACTTTTCTCCTTCCATACTTCGGCCAGAAAAAGGGATCCCCCGGAATTACTCGACATCTGACTTCTATTGGTGCTGGTGCATAAGATACACCACACTTGCAGCACCCTGGATGCTGGACGGTACACAAATACCCTTCAGGGCCACCCATCATTCGGTCATATGGCCCCCAAAACCGAGTCAAGCATGGACTTAACGTGAGATAAGAATATAGTTTCCGTTTCCAGTTCCATGTTACTTGGTCATTTCCCAGCCGCCAACTAGATGAACTTCGAATTGCGCCAACGAACCTTGATACGCTCTTCTCCTTGGCTTGAAGACGGAAATTATGTCGGAATAACCCCCAACCTCGTTAAGATTACCGGAATACAAGATTCCATATACATTAATCTACCATTCCACTTGTTTGCCGTGCATTTCAGGCCCTGCAGAAAGCGCGCCGATGGATCCGATTATCCATTCCAAACTGTTCCATATCTCGTATGTACTTCGTACTCTACATATACAGATGAATATATCCGTATATGCGATGCACTCCGACTGCACCATCGGTACATTTAATCCCCTCCCAAAGAAGAGCCCAAACATGGTCTTGTATCAGATCTGAGACGATGATAAGCCATATGATTGACGAGTGATCTACTCCTGTCAATCATCCAACCTCCCGGCCCCTACGCGGAGTTGCGGACCTGCTGATACCACACGATTGGACCCTTGCTAACTCCCTCTGACGTAAGAGCACACCAAGTGGGAATCGGAGCATTCCGACAGGAATATCGTGAATGTTGCCCTGCGTCATAGGTTGGACTCGGGAGTCTCAGATAGCGCGTTTTCATTGGATCTTTAAATCCGTGACCCTTCCGGATGTGCGGTGGACTGGTGGCGGCGCCACCAATGAGGGGCCTTTAGGTGTATCGTGAGGCCGATTGAGTCGGTCGGCACTTCAAGGGTCTTGGCAGGTCACCTCTTGGCGGATTGTCCGGCTCGGGCAGAAAGTGTCAGACCCTGAGCTGTGTGGCTCGGGTTGTACAATGGCATTTACTGATCCAACATTATTTCCCTGAGAGGTTGTTGAGATGTTAATTAGAAATGTTGTCCAGGGAAGAACCGGAATGGCAGAGGGTTATAACAGAGTCAAATGCCTGACTTGACTATCTATCGTTTTTGGGTAAATAAACACACCTGAATAGACAAAGACCGTTGGCCGAAATACTCAGAAAGTCTCCTTCAGGGATTGGTGGTCATATCTAGACTTAATTATTTCCACTTTAGGTAAAATCCTTCGCAGTCTGCGTGGTCTATTGCCTGAGTATGCAGAGTAAGCAGACGAGCCCAGCGCAATGATTGACCTATCTCATACCTATAGTCAATGGAATTCAACTATATTTGGGAACTCAGCGAAACTCCGGGATGAGCCCGGTCTGCCACAAGTACTGTGAATCAACCATATTCTACATAGCACTTCAATCTGTGAGCCGATAGGCGGGATGCCCTTAGGAAGTATGGTTGACACCTGTTATTCACGATCTGAGTTTGGCTGTCAAATTATATCACGCCGGAGACGTCTCTACGTCTACACTCCAGGAAGCAGTGAGCCTAAAAGCCGAAGAAAATCGGTCTATTCAAGAACGAGGGAAAGAGCCACGATACCTTCAGGCTGAGAAAGAACATGCACAAACGCTGGTCCTGAACTCTGTAGGAAGATCCGCCAGACACGAGGAAATCTCCATCGGAAACAAAAGAGGGTATACTAACCCAAAGAAACCGAAGACTCTCGTGACTTCGTATCAACCGTCCATTTCCTCTGATCCCATCAGCCAATCCGAAAACTCAAGCACTACTTCTCTGTAGCCAGTTTCAGCCGGGCCTGTCGGGCGACCTGGGACGCACGAATAGACTCCGTCAGCTTGCTCCGTCGTTTGTTTTCTCGTGCCACGTTCCACGCCACAGGTTCGTTTATACAGCCTCGAATTCGGCAATCTGACGCTCGCTCAAGCCGGGCAGCGGGTCACGGCTCCCGAAGTGAGCTTTCGTATTGAAAGTCTTATTGAAGGTAGTTAGTTAGCGCCATGTATGATTGTCTGAAGTGAGCTAGGCCAGGTCTAAAAGCTTGGCGGCGCGGATAGTCTGTATAGTCTAACATTTCTAGAAAAGTCAAGAGGCACTTGGAGATACTTTTATCTCGTGACCGATGGAGGGTCCAATGATATCCTGTCCTCGGCTGTCCCGAGTCCCCATACTCTGCCTAGAGTTCGGTTCGGGTGTGGCTGCCGATCTTGACAGGGATTCTAGTATAGGGTTTAAACTGTGTTTATGATCGAGCGAAGACAATTGGCTTCCACAAGAATGATAGATACAGTATGTACCCTTATCTACAATATAATATCATTGTCTTATATTCTTTATCTTCAAAGTGTGTGTATTACAGAGATCCATAATCATATCACTAATCCAATTACTAACAGAATCTCTATGGAAGAGTTATCCCGAATAGGTGATCGAACCCGCCAGTGCTTCAGATAATGGGCACCCAGAAGATCCACTGGCTGCTCAATAGATATCTCAACTGAGTATCTCTATCCAAGTCATGGCTTGTCAAACCCCGCATGTTGCACCTCCACGCTACGGCAAGACTACCGGTTCTTCCCCACACAAGATTACACGATGAACCCTCGTAACGATATGGGGGTTTGTTTGTAGCGAGAACTAGAAGATCAAGATTTATAATGGCCAGGACTCCTTTGAGTAAATGAAAAGTCTTGTCGATTTGTGCTTGAGGTTGCTGGTTGACATATAGGAGTCACATCGGATTTCTTAAACAGGTGGTCCGATGACCTTTGAATATCATTGTCGCCTCGGAATTCAGATTTGCATTCCAGCTCGTGGGGGCACCCTGTCTCCTTTCCCAGAGATCTCTTCGAATTTGGCAAGGAGCCCTCCAATCATTTTTACACCTGTCCGTCGATCAATTTCTTTCTCAACCGTCGCCTTCCGGTGACGTATTTCTAGACTCCTTCCAAATGGATTTGCACTTTATACCATACCTAGGAGAGAGTCACTCAAGGGTGTATCTTTCTCAAGAAGAGCTTGCATGGCCACACGAAATCTTCCAGTGGCTGCTGTGTATTCGCATCAATGCTAAAGATAGAGTTCTTCGAAGGAACACTCGAAGAACAAGTAGGGTAAACTTTATATATATATGGATTGTTCCTCAACGAAACATTCGCAGCGAGTGTCGATATCGGTACCTAGCCCGAAAATTTGCATTCAATTTCGTTCACCCCCTCAATCTGAGGATCTATAACCCCTCTTCTCCTCACATTACTCCAATTCGGAAATTGCGGGGCCCCACTCAGCGAAAAAGGAAAAGGGACGACGATGTTGTCCGTGTCATCAGAATTTCTGAGCCTTGATTGGATAGCAGGAGGGTTGACACGTATAAAAGAAACCAATCTGCCCTTGTAAGCGTTTATCTTATTCCTATGCACTGAATTTCCATCATGACAGTGTCAGAGTTACCTCCTACGAAGGATGAGATTGATCCCAAAAACTCGCCTAACGAACTGACTCATGATGTTGTGTTCGGCGAGATCACTGAAGACGGACCTAATTACCGCAATGTGCGCATCACAAACTAATCAATGCCACTATAATCCTAGCAGAATCTGACAATTCATTAGGTGGGGTTTGTGGGCACTATCATCCTCATGATGAAAACCCAGATTGGCCTGGGAGTACTCTCAATACCTACTGCCTTGGACACCCTGGGGATTGTACCCGGTGTCATCTGTCTATGTGTCATTGCGTGTATTTGTACGTGGTCCAACTACATTATTGGTACTTTCAAGTTGAATCACCGTGAGGTATATGGCATCGATGATGCCGGTGCTCTGATGTTTGGCCCAACTGGTCGAGGGGTCCTCTCAGTAGCATTTTGTCTCTGTAAGTATTCCAAACAGGAATCAGACTACGCCCTTTCTAACAGATTGGCAGACTGGGTGTTTGTTAGCGGCTCTGGAATCCTCGGTGTCTCTATCGGGTTCAACGCCGTCTCAAGCCATGGTGCATGCACTGCCGTGTTCTCTGCCGTTGCCGCCATTCTAGGATTCACTCTTAGCAGTGTGCGTACACTCGGTCGAATCACTTGGCTTGCATGGGTTGGCCTCCCTTGCATCCTAACTGCAGGTATGTCTTCATGAGTATATCAGTTATCTAAAGGTAAAAAAAAGGCTTACCGCTTCTAGTCATGATTGTGACTGTTGCCGTGGGCATACAAGACCGTCCCGCTGCAGCACCGAAGGCCGATGAGCCCTGGGTCTCTGATTATAAGATAATCGGTCATCCATCCTTCACGGAGGCGATAACTGCAGTCTGCAGTCTTGTATTTGCATTTTCTGGAACTCCAGGGTTCTTCGCTATTGTTTCTGAGATGCGCGACCCTCGAAAATACACACCAGCCCTACTAGTCTGTCAGGCCGGCGTCACAGCAATATACATAGTAATTGGCTGTGTTGTCTACTATTATTGCGGTTCTTATGTCTCTTCTCCAGCACTCGGATCGGCTGGAGGTGACGTGAAGAAAATTTGCTATGGCTTCGCACTGCCAGGATTGATTGTTACTACAACAATCTGCTCACATGTAAGTTCTTATCAAAATTTGTTCTAGATTTCGCTGACACAGTGATACACGAAGATCCCGGCAAAGTACATCTTTGTTCACATCCTGCGCGGCTCAAGGCATCTGAATAGCAATAGCGTCACCCACTGGGTCACTTGGCTCAGCTGTACTTCAGGTATTGCTATAGTCGCTTATCTCATCGCGAGCTCTGTCCCTGTATTTGACTCGTTGGTTTCTCTCATTGGTGCTTTGCTGGGAACCCTTATGTGTTTTCAGCCAATGGGTTGTATGTGGCTATATGATAACTGGGCTAAAGGTAGGAAAAGTTCGAGGTACTGGATTCCCATGGTTTGTTGGAGTGTTTTTGTGGTACTCATAGGGTGCTTTATTACTGTTGCAGGCACTTATGGGTCTATTGTTGGGATCATAGATTCATATAGAGAGTCTGGGGGATCAGCGGCATTCTCTTGCGCCGACAACTCAAACTCCACCTGAGGGTTGAGGCACATAGATTAGCGATAGAACTTTCTCGAGAAACAATTTTGTGAACTGAGTTTATTATGAATATTGTTGGACTCCAAAAAGGCTGTACATTCATATTTGAAACAATATGTTTATGGTTACTGTAACACCTGTAGGGGGCCCAATCTGCAAATTTTCTGTGTCTAGAATGCAACAAACCGCACAGCTCAGTCAAATGTATATGATGGAGGATCCTCTCCTGACAGCCAATCTGGCCGGACATCCAAGGCACCATACGGCATCCCTGGATTGTTGATCTGATCGACGATAGAAAGAAACTCATTGGAAGAGATCCCAATACTATCAAGGAACTCAATGTTGGCTGGAGCAAATGAGCCTGCAGAAGATGGTCGATTGTCTTGAACAGAAGACTGGAAACCCATCGCTGGCTCTGCAACGGGTCTTTCTCCCGATTGAGACTCGTCAGGAATATTCAGAGGAGCAAGATCTGTGAGACCTTGATCCGCTAATGTCAAAATTCGAAGGCCTTCTTGCTCAACTCGTCTGGCCAGTTCCTGGAATAAGCCCTCGATACGAATTAACTCTCGCTTTCGTGCTTCCGCAACCCGGTTGCCGGAGAGAATCATTTCGTCAAGAATTGAATGCGCCACATGGCCATATGACTGGTTGTCTGTATTGGGAGGGAAGAGCGCATTGGCCATGGTTAAGTGTAGAGCAGCTGCATATGTCAACTCAAGATCAAAAGGTAGGAATGTTTCTAAGCCCCAGTCAGTTGATGCGATCAGCCATGGAGATTCAATCAGTCGTACCAAGAAGGCCATTCTCATCACCAATTATTTGAAGCGTTTTCTCAGCTGATTTGATGCCAATGGATATCAAGGATATGGGAAGGGCCAGAAATTTCTGCCAGTCCTCTTCTGCCCGACCAAGCTTTTCAAGTCGCTCCTTGAGGACGGAGAGTAATAGCGGCCTAGTGGCAACGATAACACACTAGAGGAAGTTAATTAGACAATTCACAAAGCAAAGTGAGAAAGCTGGGCCTTGCTTACTTGATGATACAATAATATTGTGTGACGTGTTTCCTCGGACACATTGTCTATAGAGCCCTGAAAGCTGACATGGATCATCTTCTCGATTTCCTCGGCGTACCTAGCCATAGTCTCTAGGATGCTCCGAGTTATCTCTAGGAAAGTACCAAGTGGAGTCTTTTCCGTTTTGTATATAGCTTCATCGCATGACCGTCAGAGTTGTATGGAGGTAAGAAGGACAGCGAAGAGAGACTTACTACCAATAATGAATGAATGCATCCGCGTGATCCTCACTTGAAGACTAAATGTAAGATCTCTCGGACTGGAGCTTGGGGAGCTGATCAGCGTGGTAATTTCACTGTCTTTGGTTGTCATCGGAAGTCCCAAAGATGGCGAAAAATGGCGATCCATGGTGTACAAAGACCACCACAGATTGCGACACCGGGCAACTGTCGCAGCCCCAAGGACTTCTTCCGGAAGCTGCGTATGCATTCCTTCCAACTGCGCAATTCGTATCGCATGGCCAACCTAAACCGATACAAGTCAGCAAGGACTCTTGACGTGGGGGGAGATGCAATGCATACGTGAACATGAGCTGCTTCTCTATGGTCGATAGCATACAAGTACAGACCGACCAATGCCAGGGCCTCGATTGCTAGAAGACTATCCTTCCCAGTACTCGTATAGTTTGGCATCGCAGCCATGGCACGTGCAAAGAATTTTGCGCCAGGAGGGTCTTTCTGATTGCGTGGCCTCGAAAGAAAAGCATTACCGAGGGCCAGCACCATAAGGAACTGAACGAACCAGAAGCGAGGTTCAGCAGCCTTTCCATCTGAGCGACTATTGTAGAATTGACGAATTCGAGCGACGAACGAATCATGATCGAAGAATCTGTATGCCTGACCGAGGTGGAACTGAACGATTTGGAATAGATGAAGAGCATAATCGAGAGATGGTAAACCGCTTGTGTCTACTGGGTCGGCATTCGTGACACGATTCCATGCGAAGGGATAGATATCTCCATCTAGGTAAAATCGAGGTGTATCTTTGGCGGAATCAACGTCGAGCTTTTCTGTCATCATGACAATGAGTCGAGCTGTGAGGGACCATGCCGAGGACGGGGCCAGCCAAACTATCCAAGCATGAGACCATGAGAGAAACAAAATATAACGAGACAAGATACATCACTCACTCCAGTTCCTTTGTTCTTGATGTGTGTCTTTGATGACGGTCGTTGGAAGGGTAAAAGGGCTTGCCCAGATAGTGCATGATAAATCAGCTGCAGGCGAAGTAGGTGATCCTCCAGGCGCTGAGCCTAGAAGCTCTGCGGTGGCCCCAAATTCATTCACAATATGCCCTACATCGAGATCGTCATCAAATCGGAAACAGTCCTCTCGAGGACGCTTGACACCCGTTGCTCGTTGCCAGTTATATGCCTGTTTTTGCAAATCTCGAAGGTATCTGCCATAAGTTCCAGCCTATTAGACAAGTGCCACAAACGATGATAAGGAATTGGGGAATGATAGAATACCTTTCGGAAACTAAGATCTTGTTATTTCCCTCTGCAAACTGGCAAGTCAGGGATCGTCTTCGGCAATTTGCGCATGGCTCATCGCCAGAGCACTTTATCTTGCTCTGTCTGCAGGCGGTACATCTGCCCACGTTTCCATGTCAAACGGGCGTGTTTGTGTACGGAGCAACTGGGATCTTACGCGATAGCAGCCCTCCTTTGCTTCCTATTTGCACCAATTGAATCTGACCGCGGTGCAGGCTGCATTATGATCTAGCCATGAGTTCCAGTGCGACAAGATAAGGTCGTAACTCAAGAGAGCTGTGGCTGTGGTCGTTCTAGTCGGAACCCCGCACCGGCCAAAATTATTTCCTCCCCACCTCCCTATTCTGATCATCTGGTTGCTTAAAGTAGTACACACGACGAATTTCCATTTTCATAGATAGACGGTTCCCTAGGGTATGCTAATAGAGCGACTGTGTTAGCATCAAGGTGGGAGGGTATTATTTCCCTAGGTCGAGGCTTGCCTTTTAGTGTGCATCGGAGCAGTGAATGGAACAATTATCACTGATAAAATTCGCTTTCTTCCCAAGCATCTTCTCACTAAGGGTGATACTATTCACAAGATTGATTACTTCTTACCAAATGGTTACGTGGCACGTATATGAAGCACAAGTGTGACCTTTGTTGCCCAACACATGAACCTGGCAGCACTAATGATTCATTTTCAAGTCAACCAAGACGGTTCGGCTATGAAAACCGAGCCGATAGTGATCATGTGTGACAAACAGGCGATAAAACGCCACTATCCACGGTTTGTACGAGTATCTACAGCTATCCCTCGGGGATGCCGAACCCCCACGCCGTGGTCGGCTACGAAGCCGAAGGGTTGGGGTCTTATCATTCTGGGGATGTGGGGCCTCCTGTCAAAGAATCATGAACTATGACGATTCTCATTGGTCAATAATGGGATAGTTTGCAGTAGCTGGCCCCCAAGCTTAGTGGCGGCAACTTGAGTCTTTGAGATGTTGGCTTTCGGCGTCTCGGCTCTGCCGAGGAAAGGCAGCCCAATCAGCACAAAGGTATAGCTGGTATCAAGCACCCCAGTCCTAGATTGACGGTTCCAGTGCCTAATTTGGGCGATCTCACGCGCTAAGCTTTGGGTTACTTGACCAATTTGGACTATAAGGCAAATCACCTGATCGGAGTAGATAGCATACCCCGATGAGATACCTGGGGCGTGTTCAGGTATATATGGAGGTGAAGACGGCCCTCAATTCCTGATGGCATATCATCAGACACTTCATCGAATCATTACTTCAAACGATCTTGCGATCTTTCTATCGACTCAAACGTCATGGCGACCTCGATGATGCACTATTTCGGCTTCGGCAGCAATGCTCCTCCCTCTGCCAAAGACGAGGTGAAAAACGAACCCGTGCGTGCTTTGCCATCATCATGGTACACATCTCGGGAGATGTATGAGCTGGAGCGTCGGGCAATCTTCTCTAAGAGGTGGATCTTCCTCACCCATAGCTCACGCCTCAAGGAGACTGGTGACTGGCTCAGATATGAACTGGCTGGCTTCGATATCATTGTTACCCGTGACCGACAAGGAAATATCAACGCGTTCCACAACATCTGCAGACATCGTGCGTATCCAGTGATCGAGAAGGAGGGCTCTGGAAACTCCAAGATCTTGTCTTGCCGCTACCACGGCTGGTCCTACGGACTGAATGGCAAATTGGCCAAAGCCACCGGATTCAAAGAAGAGAATAGCATCGACAAGGATCAGAACAGCCTCTTCCGTGTTCATGTCAAGATTGACGTTAACGGTTTCATATGGGTCAACATGGACTCAAAAGAAGTTCCGGAAGTATCTTGGGAGGACCATTTCCGCGACGTTGACAAGCAAGAACGATACAAAGCCTACAATTTCGACAACTACGACCTTGACCACACATACGAGCTAGAGGGCCACTACAACTGGAAGATTCTGGCTGATAATTTCAACGAATGTTATCACTGCCCTACGACGCACGCCGATATCCCAGAATTCCTCAACCTCGACTCCTTTGATAGCGACCTTAAGGACGGTCACATTCAACATCACTGCATTTCCACGCCAGAGCAGATCGTCAAGGGTCTCTATACCGCCAGCACTTACTACTTCCCTGTCACTGCCATGGTCGTCTCGTAAGTTGCTTCACTGTGCGCCTGTTATATGAAGCTTTCTGACCTCAATTTACAGACCACACTTCATCATGATCCAGAAGTTCCTTCCCAGCAGTCCCAATAGCTCGAAGATGGCATACGAAGTCTACCGCAACAGGAACTCCTCAGACGCTGATTTCAAGCTCATCAGTGAGATGTACGCGCGTGTCATGGGCGAAGACAAAGTCCTCTGCAACAACCAACAATTGAACTTGGATCGAAACGTATTCATCAATGGTCAACTTCACCCCAAGTTCGAGAAGGCACCCATTTTCTTCCAGAGCACAGTTCGCGAGGTCATCACGGAGCACTTTGACCGCGAAAAGGCCGAAGGTCGGGAAATTTGGCCAGCGAAACAGAAGTTGGCATGCAACTCCAAGGTTAGCGAGAAGGATGAGGAGATTTGCGCCGCTATCAGTTGCGGAGCACAGAGCGAGATCTTGGCTTGGTGATATGGGATTTAGAAGCTACATGGCCCTCTTAGATGTTTCTTGGACTTTGAGCCCTTTTTATTGTAACTAGTTTTAGCAGAATGCATAGAATCTCGAGTTCGACTAAAGATGACTTTCAACCTAGAACATAGAGACCGGGAATGCAATAGAACCGGTGTAATTGCCTCAAACTAGCTTCAGATGTCGCAACAGTTCTACCCGGAGAACAGGTTGATAAAAAGTGCAATAACTTTGAGTGGCAAATGGCAGGAGTGGCCGCGAGAGCACACTGGTGTCAACTGTTTTGAGTATCCATCTGGGCATTTATTCAGCTCCAAGGTCTTGTCACATTAGTATGGCTTTCATTTAAGATCTATTTAGCCTAATAAACCAAATCACTCATGTTGTATGAGACATAGAGAGCAAGAACACCCGGGGAGACATTGAAACCCTCTCATTCAACCTGGACATGATGACCACTACATTTATATACTGTGGTACGGTACTCCTTATTCCTTTATCAGATCGGAACGGTCATGCTCTCGGACCTGCCCTCACCGCCTTCCCGAAAGGCCACCGCGCCGCAACAATTTTCGGAGGAAGCGTGCGGCCTTTACACTCTATCCTCAAACCTCTCCAAGCACATAAATTTCCCTTTCATGCAGTGGATGCTCTTGGGAGGCATCATTCCATATGATATCGCGTGGCTGCACGTGTCTAAGAAGGCCTTTGTCTGCCGCCTTAGATACCATCGCGGCTGGCCCCGATGAACCACTGCTTTTCCTTTACCCCCGATGGGCCGCGTCGGCCGTTCGACGAAGACGTCCAATCTCATCCTTGACCCGTGCTTCAGTCGCATCGAAGAATGGGAAGAATGCTAGCTTTCCTCCCCATGCAGATGTCCGTTCAACCGCTTCAACATTCGCACCGACCTGCCGGCACGCGAGCCGATGGATCTCCAACGATACGATCTCTACTCAGCTCGATGGTGACTCCTATGTCAAACTGCCCGGTGGTCACGCAGACGATGTGATTCAAGACAATAATGAAGGGAAGGACCCGGAAAATGTTCTGGATTCGCAAACTGCAAGCCAGTCCGTCTCGGCATTGGAAGACCCAACGGCATCCAGCACCACCAAGCTGAGTGGTGTCTGCGCCCGAGCGACAAAGAAACCAAAGGACCCAGCATCAGAGGAGTCAGACTTGTGGCCGCTTACGCCGGGTTCGCGTAATCGTGTCCCGAGGGGCCTGTGGGAAAGGAATTTGTCGCCACGGAATCGGAAGCAGGTTCGATACGGTGAATTCACCCTCGAAAGGCAAAAAAGCGAAGGAAAATTAATCACAAATCCAAAATCCTGGATGGACTTGCGAGATATGTTGCTGAAGGCGCAGCGGCAGAGCAAAAACACCACTCGGAGGGGCACAAAATATAAAGAACTGTTCATCCCCGAGGAAACCATCGCCCTCCTGTCTGGAGCCACAACGCCAGGCAAAGCTATGGAGGAGAACATTTGGCATCTTCCAGTTCGCCATGGATGCCTGGTACACGTTCTACCTCCCGAGAAGGGAAATGGGCTTTGCCGCAAGGTTGTCTTAGTGGGCTCGGAAGGCACCCTTGAACTTGTTGAGGATAGCATTAAGCGGCAGCAAGATCTGCAAGCCAGTGGGGACCCCCTTGTCGAAGTCCAAAAAGCGCCAGTGCCTATCGTTGCTTCGATACAAAAGCTACGGCAGCTAAATCGTCCAGTGCCATTGATCCGTGGAACTTGGACGACGCCTTCGGACGACCAAGAGCCAGTCTACATGAGTATATTGCTCGGAGGCGGTCCATCATTTGCGTCAGTCAAGGAATTTGCGGACCATGTTGAAGATGTGGTCAATTCGCAACCGCGGAACCCCTTCAAGGCGGCCAGGGAGGATGAACGTAGTGACATTCCCTATGCCGGGCGGGCTGCGACTTACCTCTCGCGGTTGTTTTCCCGCGATTCGAACCGCAAATTTTTCTCCACTGCTGCTTTGAATAGTGCGTTAAGATATCTCTACAAGTACGAACGTCTCAGTGTTGCTCGAACCGTGTTCAGCGAAGCAGAGCATCTCGCGACGGTAGACTCATATAACATTTTGCTGCAATCTGCGGCCTTACGCCAGGACAGGCGAATGTTCGAGTTCTTCTTGGAGGCAATGGCTCAAAGGCGCATTCGCCCCAACGCGGGAACTTGGTTGGCGTTGTTGCAGGGCATGCTCACGCAAAAGACCAAGGCCATGATCATCAAGGATATGGCCAAGAAGGGATATATGAAAGATATCAACGCTATTCGCAGTGCGCTTCAGTCGACAATTTCGGATTCCTTTTTTGTTCACCTGGAAAGCGGACGGGATGTGCACAGCTTCTTCGATCTCATGATCAAGACACATGGAGCGGATTGGTTCACTGCTTCGTTACTCAGCCAGATGTTCAACGTGACTTCACGCCTGAAAAATCGCGTTGCCATGCAGGAGCTGCTCGATATCTGCATTGAATATCATCTTGACATGAATAGCGCTTGTCTCATGCAAGTTCTGGATATGGTTGAGGATGACATCTTCACTGCCCTTGAATACACGTTCAAGATTATGAAACGGCTCTCATTCACACTTGAAGGCCATGCTCTGGAAAAGCTTTTCTTCATCGCCTACAAGGGCTGCCACTACAACATTTGTCGCGTATTGTGGCATTACGCGTGTATGGAGGATGCTGGGACCCATCACATGCGAGCGGTCGTCCTGGATTCTCTTGTTCGCAACGTGTCCTTGAGAACATCCTCCGACGATGTTAGAAAGATCTGGCACGTCTGTGCTGGCAAGGTGATTATTCGCCGTAATTCGCGAGCCAAATTCAGGATCAGCCAGGAACACCTCGACCAACTCCCTCCTGAATTTCACCACAACCCTTTTCTCTACTTGGTATCTGGCTACAAGGCCGGTCCTGATCGAGCACTCCAACTTCAACTAGCCAAGGCCTATATGCACCGTGACATTCTCACCGAGGCTTTTCCCAAATACTCTCTGCCTCTGATGTTGGAGGCCGCCGCTACTATGGATCAGGAGTGGGCAGGTAAACCCTGGCCTTTAGCATGGATGCTCCAGAATTCCATTGGAATTCCGACCACGAGGAAGTTCGAAGGTTTACAATGAGTCACATCGTTCCCGTTGGCTGCTCTCCTCTCTTTCTTCTGATGCTAGCGTGTTGCATTTGATATCCCATTGGCGCGGATTCGTGGAGACTTGTCATTTACCCTCACCTCACTCTTGTACTATTTCTTGTATATATTCATCCAACATTGTACAACACTGACAGTATAGAACACTTAGACTTGACATATAATACCAGAACAAATATTGCACAAACAGGTTTCCTTGTCAAAGACGAACTTCTTCTACCGTCGAGGTACCAACTCATCCATAATCTCATCTTATTCTCACGGGTAGCAATTAAACTTGTCCAATAAGTTTCCCTCTAGTAGGTGCGTTGGAAACTCTTCCTGGAAGCATATCAACTTTTCTTCACGCTTACCGGACAAATTCGCAACTATACACCTGCGGATAGAGCGGCACATCACCAACGACTTCGTAACCTACAAGATATTATTAAATGGGTATATCAAGCAGCCACCAAATTGATATCATCTGAGCTCGTGGCAACCACCAAGCTTTGTCAAGCTTTTTGCCATCTCTCTTGGCGAGCACGGATACGATGGCCGCATCTGACTCTCCCGAGTATAGATGGCACGGTCCAATCATCGTGTGCATGCCGATCATCGTGCGTCCGTGACTGGCTACCCGGACGGGGAATTTTGGGGGCTTGATGCGTTGGAAAAAGCCCTGGTGTCTGTGGTCTGAGGGTTGGACGGTTTTGTAGAAACTTCCGTGGTGGATCCGCTAGAAGGATTTTGCATGATGCATTGCATAGGCATGTGTGTGTATAGATGCTGGAATGGATGCTTATCTGATCAGAGGGGTTAAGGTGGTGCAGCTCAAGAAATCAATGATTGAGATCTGGACGGCGCGAGGTCCGTTTTGGTATTGGGTTGGGGGCTAGACTGGTCATTCGGCGTGGTATTCTTTAGCCGAAGTGATGACTTTGTTCGATGATTTCTATTTAATAATAGCATCCTAGGCGATGTCTCAGAGGAGCATAACCGTGTCGCATTGGCTGAGAGACCCCTGGTTAGCAAATGGTGTGATGATTGTGGTGTTGTATTCCGGAGTTAACCCGTCATGCGCGTGGCAAGCAAAGACGCGCTCTAGAAAAAGGTCAAGGGCAAACTCGTGGGTAGCTTATTAGCAGCGCGTGGAGGGGGGCGTGGGGCTATGCGGCGATCTTATTCGCTATCGAAGATGAGCCCAGCTGGAAGCACGGGGTAGAATGGAGTGATCTGATTGGCTAGCGGATTGGAGTTTAAATGCGACATGTGCTGTTTTGCCCGAAGCGACGAGATTTCCAGGTTCTCTTTCCTTTTTGTTGTTTATAAAAGAATAAATTCAAAATTATGGATTGATCCACCCCCTGAGCAGAGACAAGCAATGCCCAGAAAATGCCCAGCCGGCCACCCAAGCATGCGGCGCCGAAGGCGTTGCTTGTCTCTCACAGAGTTTGATATACGAGACTGATATTCATTTGTATACACTTTTGATTACTGATTCAAGCTCTCATTGAATTTAGATTAAACTTGCTTTTGCCCACTCAATCCACCTTAGCCCATAGTATTTGGAACCTAATACCTAGCCGGGCTAGCTACTTCTCCCCTCCGACCCAATCAGACCGACCCAATGACACGACGCCAGTCACTGTCTCGCCTTGCAAGGGCCGTTTCCCCTTCTAGAAGTGTTTTGCTCCACTTGATATCCATCATCTAGGTTCATTCTACGGAGCACGCCCTTCTCGCCTTCCCACTCAGTCGAGTATACCCACCGGCTCGGACTGCGCTGATGCAGGCACCAGCGGGCCTGTTTTTCCATCGCCTGGTCCGGTAACCTCGTCGGACTGGTTCAGACTGGTTCAACCTGACCATCGATATACCCACTGGCGCGTGCCAGATGGATCCCTCCCCTTCGGTCAGTGCACCCGAGATGCGATACCCCGACCTAGTGCCGGAACGGAAATTGCAAGGCTCCACCGGCGTCGCCAGTCGTGCGCTCTCCCATGCTTGCGATAGGATGATCAAACACTGCCAGAGCTGCAACTCTTTGGCTCTGCGCTTAGACCTAGTTCGAAGTCAGAACGTGGCTTTCCTAACTGACATTCGGTAGCATGGCTACGGGACTTTTCGCTGACGACCATGTCTAGTGGATGGGCAGGCCTGGTAGGATAAATACGATCATCTGCGCCTGTCCATAAGCCTTTTTTTTTTTTTTTTCTCCGAGTCACAGCATCGCCCTTTCCCTCCTTTGAGCTGACATCCTGTGTGGTTTTTGAACATTGAGTTCACTTGCTACCGTGATTCACAATGGATCCGACTACCAAGGAGACTATCTCCTTCGAGGAGATGGAGGTTCACGAGAAGGCCGCCTTTGACGATATCATTCGCCCAAAGGACTGCTATGCCCCCGATGGTACCTACTGGGCTGACCTGCCTTTGAGCCAGCGTATCAGCTTCTGCTTGGAGCAGGACCGCACCGAGGCGAGCAAGGAGTTTTCTTGGCTCTGGACTGAGTTCAAGAAGGACCCTCTGTCCCCAGTTACCCACTACTTCAAAAACTTTGTTCTTCCTGGTGCTGGTCTGGGTCTTGAAGGGTATGTGAAGACTACCGATCCGATGTGTATAAGGAGATAAACTGACTAGCGATTGTATAATAGTTACGTGCTGTTCTCCATCAGTAACAACACTGCTCTTTTCGATGCCTCCTTCGAGTCCTGCTGGAAGGGCAAGACCTGCGACAAGAACTGGATTGCTGCCATCAACTACATGGAGGTTATCGGTATTATCGTTGGCCAGATCCTGGTCGGTTACTTGGGTGATTCGTACGTTTTACATCTCACAACGACCCACCTATTCGAGCGATACTAACGTCTTATCCGTGCAGTATCGGTCGTCGCTGGGGTCTGATTCAAGATGCTGCTATCATGTTCGTCGGTCTCCTCATGCTCGTGGCCGCTTGGGGTCTCACTGAGAACGGCTGGGTTATCTGCTACGCCTGGTCTCTCTTCTTCTACTCCATCGGTGTCGGTGGTGAATACCCCATGACTGCTACCATTGGTATGGAGAATGGCTACGGTTCTGGCAAGATCGTTACTTCCCAGGATCGTCTGCACCGTGGTCGCTCCGTCGTCGGTGCCTTCATGATGCAGGGTTGGGGTCAGTTCGCCAACCAGGCCATCCTTATTCTCCTGCTGCTGATCTTCCACCACGGCACCGGCGCCCTCCCTATTTCGGCTACCGCTACCCAGTGGACTTACCGTGTGTCTTTCGCTATTCCTGCCGTCGGAACTGCTTGGCTCGTCTACTACCGTACCTACCACATGAAGGCTGCTAGCAAGCAGCTCGAGGCTACCAAGAAGAAGGCCTCCGTCACCGGTTATGACACCGAGTCTCTGAAGCTCACTTTCCGTCACTTCACCCCTCGTGTTATTGCTACCGCTGGTGGCTGGTTCGCCAACGACGTCTTCTTCTACGGTAACAAGCTCTTCCAGAGCAAGTTCATCAAGGTCATCAGCCCTAACAGTGGCAACAATGTCACCACCAACTGGCTATGGAACTTGGCCAACATCGGTGTCAGTTTGGCTGGTTACTACTGCGCTACCTGGTTCGTCGACACCAAGCTCTACGGACGTAAGTGGATGCAGATTGTCGGTTTCCTGATGTGCTTTATCCTCTTCGTCATCCCCGCCTTCAAGTTCGACTACTACCAGGAGCCCGCCCACATCCACTCCTTCCAGGCGATGTACTACCTGAGTTCGTTCTTCAACCAGTTCGGCCCCAACTGCATTACTTTCCTCGTCGCCGCCGAGGTCTTCCCCACCCCCATCCGTGGCACCGCTCACGGTATCTCCGCCGCCGCCGGTAAGGTCGGTGCCCTGATCATCGCCGTCATCGGCTCCTACACCACCACCCAGCAGCAATTCTACATCGTGCCCTGGTTCGGTCTCGCCGGTGTCCTGGTGACCTGGCTGTTCCTTCCGGACACCACCGGCCTGGATCTCCGCGAGCAGGAGCGTCGCTGGCGCTTCATCCGCGAGGGCCGTGAGCAGGACTACCACGGTCCTGCCGTGCACTCCAAGCACTTGTCTGTCTGGGAGCGCTGGACCGGCAAGGGCAAGCACTACAATGCCGAGCTGGACTACAAGATGAAGGTTGAGGAGTTCCGCGCTGAGTGGGAGGCTGCTATTGCTTCCCGCGGTGAGGAGAAGACTCTCTTTGACATGGATGATGTTGATGAGAACATCCTGCACGGCTCGATGCATGCCTACTTTGAGCGTACTAGCCCGGAGATCCGTGGTATGCGCAAGGAGGTCCAGCCCATTTCTCTGCCTGCTGCTGCTTCTTCTGAGGACCAGAAGACTCTTGGTGAGCAGTAGATGTGTGTGGGGGTGAGGTGGTGCTAAAGTATCATGTTGATGTGTTGTGGTTTCGGAGATGTCTTATAGATTGTGTTGTATGTTAATGCTGGGCTGGTGCGAGATGGATCCCGGAGGAGGAAATCTTGGCTGGCTGGAAATACCCCCCCCAAATTTTATAATTTCTTTGTGTCTTATCAGAATTGTTTGTTCATTGTTCTTGAAAAATGAGCGAAATACCAATGAATCTTTCTTTTTCTTGGTCAATCATCACATACTACTCTATGCACTTCATGATAGTAGGACTCGGAAGTCCCAATCTGTAAGCATGAATTATATACTGGACAAGGTCCGTAGAGGCTGTTCTTGCCGTCAAAGAGATGTCGAGGAAACCGGCATGTCTCATAGACTTGCCAAAATGCGGCCACTTTAACTGTAGAGGGTCTCGGGCAGATATGATTCGAGGCCACGGATCACATCATGGGCTTCTTGGACATAGAAACAAATAAATGGATCGCGAGTAGAGATATAACTAAATGGAACAAAAAACAAGGCCAACAACTATTTAGTTAAGTCTGTCGTCTCTTCCATAGTCAACACCGCCAGGACATATTGTGGAATCATCAATACCCATTGGGTGTTCCATCGAAAGTACTCAACTTGAGCGATTACTCAACTTGAGCGATAAGTCAATTCAACCTCTCACCTTTCGTTAGCGTACAAACTTACCACAGGGAGGATCAAAAAGAAGACTGATTCTATGCATAAACACGACATCACCATTAGGTATTCGGCTTCGGTGATAGGCAGGAGGACATGTGACTCTCCCGGAACAACCATATCTCCGGGCCCCCACATCCAGCAGCTTTCCGTCGCCTTCTGCCAGAAAAGTCCCCCCATCAGACGACCAGTCCCCGATCATCCCCCTGGCTGATGTCTTCCAGGACGCCGCCATCATGAAGTTTTTCGAGAATGTGTTCACCTATGACTACTCCTTCCCTGCCGTTTCTCTCGCCTACTTCCTCCGCTACCCGAATCCCTACTCCCGTCATGTCCTTACCACCGACGTGATCGACCGCTATGTCGATCCGGCCACCCAGCGCCTACATACCATCCGTCTACACTTGAAGAAATCCAAAGTCCCCGCTGGCATCCTCAAATTGCTGCCCAAGGGTATGGGTGGCTCCGATAGTTCCGGCCAGAGTTACATCCTCGAGACCACCGTGGTCGACCCCAATGAGGGCTGGATGGAGACCGAGTCTCGGAACATGGAGTGGACCGGCATCCTCAGTGTTGTGGAGAAACAACGGTATCAGCGCCATCTGACCGAGGATAACTCTCAGGCCCTCGATGGTCTCTCAATCGATAAGAAGGAGCAGACTACCGTGCGGACCACCGTCACTTTCCGCTCCCGTCTTGGTCAGGGCAAGTTGCTCGGGCGCAAGAAGGCGGAGGCGATTGATCACGCGGATACGGAGGAAGAGGCTCCCAAGAAGGGCTTCTTCTCCTCCTTGTCTACTGCCGGCATTCAGCGGACCATTGAATTGATCGGCGTGAGCAGAACTCGCGAGGCTGTGTTGAAAAGCAAGCAGGGCATGAACGTGGTTTTGGAACGGCTGCGCAGTGGTGGTATCGTCGGTGTTCTCGAGGGCATGCGCAAAGATCGCGAGGCTGCCTTTGGACCCGATGGCCCCTTCAAGCGCGTGTGGCTGCAAGGCAATGGCCTCAAGGAGCGTGTCCACGTCGACGACGATGACAACTGAAGTTCCGGGTTGTGACTTTTTTTTCTCTTCTTCCTTTTGTCTTTCTCCATCTCTTTTATCTTTGATTTCTTCGCATCTTCGCATCTCCGCATCATTGCGGTCTGAGCGTATCTCCCTGCATCTTCTGATTTTATCCAGCGTGGCGTTACTGGAGTTGGGGGACACTATCGACGGACACTCTCCCACGAAATTCTTTGTTTACCTCTTCTGTTGGAATTTGTGGATATGTATATTGCTTGGTTGGGTTTACATCGAGGCTTCTGCTCCTCGTGTGTGTATATTAGGGAACTTGGATGTGTTGGTGAGGCTGCTTATGCTGATGGAGGCATGCCACTTGTACAACTATGATATCAATCTATTATTCATTGATGCGCTATCTTGATATTTGGATTCATTGTCGCTTGTACTTGAGAATTTCTTGTGACTTGTCACTTCAGGGGCGTAGATCTTAAGAGCCGCGGCGCAACCGAGATACCTATGAAGGGAGGGAACTGAACGCGGGGTAGAAGAAACTAACCAACTACCCTGCAGTCGAAAGTGATTCAAAACAAATGAATAATAGCATACAACAAGACTGGTGTGAAGTAAGCCGCCCAGAGTCCGCTTTAGGCATGTTTATGCGGAGTGCAAGCTTATCGCACAGGATCTACTGGTCAACAGTCTAGTACTGATAAGATGCTGCAGTTTCAGGGGAGACAATGAGTGAATATTTGATTCGAGAGTCTATATGAATTAGTAAATTGACCCAAACCATCCTCTCTTGTCAATTCTGTCGGAGTCCGCCTTCTAGGCTCGGTCATAATGGCAGTTTCCGACATCTTAGCAGCGTGGGAGGAATGCTCCAAGATAGACACGCTCTTCATCCTTGTCTGCTGTGTCTTTTGCTGGCTGATTATCCCCGCAGTTGGCCTCGGTTATTCGGGCTACTCCATTCACCGTAATGGCCTTGCATCCTTTTATCCAAGTCTTCTCGTTATTGCCGTGTGCTCTATTCAATGGTGGATCATCGGGTACTCCATAGCATATGGAACCGGGGGTGGTATTATCGGAGGCTTCGATAAAGCTTTCCACGTCGGTGTGCTCGCGAATCCAATAGGGACGATACCGGAAATTCTGTTCTCTGAGTTTCAGCTCATCTTTTGTGCTACGGTGTGCGTTATTTCGATTGGTGGGGCCTGTGAGCGTGGGAGAATGCTTCCTTTGATTCCTTTTATCTTTGTATGTCACAAGTTTCACAAAGCATACCCTTGAATCATTGTTTCTGACTCAATTTCCACTAGCTCTGGTGCACCTTTGTCTATGAACCACTCGCGCATATGGTCTGGTCCGAGACTGGATTCCTGGGTACACTGGGCGTTCTCGACTTCGCCGGTGGAACACCCGTTCATATCTGCAGTGGAGCATCAGCCACTGCATTGAGTGTCTACCTATCGCATCCTCTTTTCCGATCAAGACGGTCGGCTTCTCGCACACCGCAGCACTTGAAGCTCCATCGGCCGCATAATAGCATGTGCCAGCTTCTAGCTTTAATGATCATCTGGAATGCTTGGCTAGCCTTTGACGCTGGTACAACCCTCGCTCTGAATTTCAAGAGTATAATGACCGCGGTTGTGACGAATATCTGTGCCTCATCTGGCGCATTGACTTGGGCTCTCATCACGTATCGGGAGACCGGCAAATGGAGTCTTGATAGCACATTTATGGGCGCTATTGCTGGCTTGGTTATGATTACTCCAAGCGCCGGCTTTATCGATATGACTACGGCATTTTTCTTCGGCATTGCAGGGGCATTGATTTGTCGCCAGGCACTGCGAATCAAATTTACGAAATTTGCCGCGCATTGGAGATGGGTTGATAATGGTGATACATTTGCAACGCATTGTATCGGCGGGCTGGTGGGTACTATAGCCACTGGTTTATTTGCACGGAGAGATGTGGCTGCGTATGATGGAGCCACGGAGATACTCGGTGGATGTTTCTTTGATGGGAATTGGAGCCAGCTCGGAATCCAGATTCTTGAGGCTGTTGTTGGGTTTGTATGGAGTTTCGTTGGGAGTTATGTTCTTTTCGCATTGATTGATTGTATCCCGGGCTTTGAGGTCTTGGCTACTGATAGGTAAGTGATGAGTGATCATTTGAAAACTGAGACGACCGAAACTCGGTCTTCAATCATAATGCTTGCTAATATGATGATAGTGAGATTGTGCTTGGAATGGATGCCTCGCAGATGGGAGAATCATTATACGAAGCACAGTGGGCAGAAGAGGAAGACTACTACCCATTCTCGGGCGAGTGTCGACTGGACTGAGCATGAAAGGATTGATAGACCATCAATTCGTTCTCAGAAATCTCTCCTTCAAAGAGTAGATTCTATGTCAACCTTCACTCTATAGCCCTATATTGAAATATGTTACCGCATTAGAATAATCATGCAAGAATATATAATTATGCTTGTGATTCAATTCAACTCCAAGATAATTATATAAGCCTTTTTTAATTTCATTACTAGCAACTTTTGGCTAACAAAAAACCATCCGAAACTTACTTTGTTTATAACTGACGACGCGTTTTTCTTACAGTCATGGTTCTTTGACCTCTTTGACAGGCGCTTCTTGTTTTCTTCTTCTAGGAGCATCAATGACTTTGAGTTGAAGGCCTACGTCATGACAACAAACATAAAGGTCTCTCGCTTCTCCATCTTCTAAGTCTTTCTTCGTTGATTCTTGATATCAACGAATTTCCTCACATCCTCATCATATCCATCACATTGATGATCTTCCCAAAGCCCATCATCCACGATAATGGCTCATGTCAACAATGTGAGCCCTCCAGGGGAGTCTAGTTCATGGATCGTCGAGGATGAGGAAGTCAACTTGTCCGAGCAGGAAATCATTGCTCTATACTGTCGAACTGGCCCATTCAGTCTAACTGGCACCGAACCTCCGGGAAATTTCAACGAGGAGGAGCGAGAAAGAGTTACCCAGTCGAACAGAATCAGCATCCCAGAGGAACCGGTTCCCACTGCCTTTGAGGAATTCCAGGCTGCCGGCTCAGTCCGCCAAACCTGGATTGAGAATCCTTCAGTGCCATGTCCTATTACTCGTTCTGAACTGACCGTTCAGCATCTTTTGGATCTAGGTTGGTCTATTCAGGATCGCGAGCCCTACTTGGACTGGTTCGAAGTTAATGAGATTCGGGGTCTTGATGTCCCACAAGACCCCGAGGACCCAACTGGCCGATTGGAGGACTTTGACTACCGATTTGAGGAATGGAGTGGACAGGGTGCCAAGTGGATCGGGTGGACTGGTCCCAGATTACTCGTCGTGTCTGACATCGAACGAACCCTAGATTCTACCTCCCCACCTATCGCGGAAGTGACCAAGATTGTGTACGAGAGAGCTTTTGATATCGATGGTCTCAAGTACGTCTTTTTCCAAAACGTCGTTAACAAGCAAACTCAGGCTTTCATCAAGCGCCTACTCTATACGACGGAACGTCTGGGATACACCTGGTACGATCGCCCTGGAGACCACCGTGTCTGGGAGAGAAACTCTCCAGAGTACCAGGCTCTTCTAGGAACTCGGATAGGGAAGATTGTTCTATATTTGATTCTTGCATCGTACCTGCGTGGCTCGCGGCGCATCACAAGGATCGTGACCTATCATATTGCAGGCTCGATGACAGTCAACATACGATTTGACATTGAGACTCTTGGACGTTCCTCGCGACGGCGCAAGTGTCTCTCGTGTTTGCAAGGTGGGCGCGGGGGCTGCTACATTTTGTAAGCTTTTAAGAGGTATGTCTACCTAATCTCTCTTTTTTATCTTGCACCTCCTCTGGAGGTAGGTCTCCTAATTCAAAAATTGATCTCAAATTATTTGAAATGTTACGTTTGATCATCGCTTATTCTTTGCATAATTAGCTTCATGTAAGCAGGCTCGAATCTATACGTAGAAGGACTAGCTATTCTAATTACTTCTCAGTAGTCTGCACGCCCCAGAACCCTTCTACAGTGGGTAGATTTTCAAAAGGAAAGACATTTGCCGGCAATAGCTTTTCCCTGCCATCTTGGGTCAACACCAAGCGGAGTTGGGAGGGAAGTCTCAGTACGATACCACGGCCGGGCTGCTGCCCACCATTACCCGCAGCACCGTTCTGAACTGCCAGCTTAGGCATCTTTAGGCTTGTATTTTTGTTTCAAAAAAATGTAGAAATCCTTTTATTGACTGTAAGGTGGTGGGAGAGGGAGGAAAAAATCCAGGGAAGAAGAGTTGAGGACGGGAGAGGGAGAGGATGGGAAAGGATGAGAGTGTAAGTGAGAGAAGACCAAAAAGGCGCCCTTAAGCACGAGACTCTCTGGGGATAGGCGGCGGCTAGTAGTTTATGAAAGATGGAAGGCATAACCCTACGTCCACGTGAGGTGACTGCCTAGTCTCTAGCTTCGTCTCTCACTACGTCTCATTCTCGATATTCCTTACACTCACTGTGGCAATCACCATCCATCGTCCACCATGAACTTGCGAACCCCAATCGTCGTATTTATTACTCAAGCTAGCACTGCTGAGCCGACACCGGATATACACCTGCGACATCACGGGTAACTACCGGAATGGTACTTACACTTTTATGTTCCCTAACCATTTCGATAGCCGTACTCATCGAAACATTCGTGTTCATTTTACAGTCGAACTCGCCGTTCAGACCAGCAGGAGAGGCGATGAAATACTTTCACAGATCTTATTAAGCGGGCTCAGCAACAGGATCGGGATATCTTGCTTGTTGTGGGTGGTTGGGACAGTTTCACTGCTGGCCAAGGAGCCTTTCGGAAGATGTTTCTGTGTGTCTGCGGATTTCATCCATGTGCGGAGCAAGAATATCCAGAAGGAACTCTCTTCTCGAGCATATGTTTTCTCGCAGTATTGGTAAGTTTTCGAAGCTTTGCCTGCGTGCTTCGCACCCTCGATCTCTAACGCTTAGTCCTTTCTGAACCGATGCGTCCTAAAGGCCGCTGCAGTATAGAAGACTGCATTGTACCCTTCGATATCGTAAATGTGGCTGGCTTCTGTTGCCCACCGATGCGTATTACTTCGAAGTCAGTTCCCGGAGCTATAATTGATATCAAGCCAGCCACTGTATAGCAATCATGATCTTTGCCAAGGCCTCTACTAAAGGAAGCACATACGAGTTCTAAATCGTACGACAGTCTTAACTTAGCTGCGGCGATTGCGGGAATCCACTCGATATAACTTGGTCGACCAGTTGAAGTCAACGTCTAGATCCTCTGGATCAAGGTCTCCTGCCCAGACGGCACATACAGTCAGCGTTCAAAAGTATTTGGAACACGCTACATGCCCCACTTATTATTCTGCCGGTTAAATCGCCTATTCATTCAATATCTCAATAACTAGTATGCCATCTTCTGTATGTAAAGATCTCCTCTACACGACGAGGTAATGGCTTAGGTATATTAACGAAATAGCCAAAAATTCAAGCGAATTTACTCGATTCGACCGCTTTTACGAGGACACATGTAGCTACTGTTGGTAGGCGGTGTATGAAAGCGGTAGAGGTGGGAAGTACTGTGTTCCAAATACTTTTGAACGGCCACTGTACATGGAGGGGATCGACGTCGTAAAAACGAGGGCAAGGAATCTTGTCTTCCCAACGATCAATCCCCATGGAGGAAATTGACCGGGCAGGCTATAGAGTTCCCTCTGGAGGAATATGCCGAGTGGCTGTACGGTTTGCTTCCATGCTTTCAATAAGGCCTTGACGAAGAGTGGCGAGATTTTGCGTATTAACCGTTCATGAACGTTGAAAGACTAAATTGATATCATCTTTTTTCTCATCTTTTCTTTCCACCAAATCTTCCATGAAAAAATGGTTTCATAGAGTCTGTTCTATTCATAGGTGATAGTTTAGCGCGGGCCGGTCTGGCCCGCCCTAATTTGGCTAGCTATTGCAACGTCTGAGCCTGGCTGACCGAAGAAGACGGTGAGCTTGATATGTTCTATATTCTCTTCTCTTGACCGATTTTCTTTAAAATTACCTCTCGGCTTGTCACTTAGATCGTAATTCAAGAATAGTCATTTGAAGTTTACTTCATTCGTCATGTAGTCGCTCGTCAACGATCTGACTTGTCATATGAGTAATGACATCCATCAAACATGGACTTACTGCCTGAACTTCCAGAATACATGGCCATCTCCCCTCAAATCACTTCCCCGAGTTAGCACCATCTCAGAAAGTATAATAGCCAATCAGGGAAAGTAGAAACCCTACAAGGCTCGTCATCTTTGGCCACTCGGCAGACAAGCGGTGTGAAGAGGTGACCGGCCAATAAGCAACCAACCACGGTGTTGATCATGAACGAATGCTTCTGGGCTCGTGCATGGCCATGTACGATTCATCTGTTAGTAGTTGGTCCGTGTCCTGCGCTGAAGTAGAGATAGCCCTGGGAAGCGAATGAAGAGATTCTATTTCCACAAGTCCTGTGGCTTCTCCGTTCTCATAGTCCGTGCTTGAACGCAGTATCACCACACCCACGAGTCAAAGTCATAGCGTGAAGTCATCGCTGGGATCTGAGTCTGTGTGTTGCTGTCATTCTACTTATAAGATTCTACTGATACAGAGACTTTCCGGTCCTAATCTGAGGTTCTGAGGTTGCCTTCCTCAGACTAATATATCAGCCGAACCTACTTATCTCCATTAGCTGGAAACCCAAGATTAAACATGATCGCTTGGTTCTTGTTAGGAAGTGCCATAGCCTATGGCTTGGTCATCACAATATACCGCCTGCACATCCACCCACTCAGCAAATTCCCCGGGCCTCGGTTGGCAGCATTGACGGGACTATACGAGGTGTTTTGCACTGCTTGGGGAGCTGATTCATTCGATGACGAAATCGACAGAATGCATCAAATCTACGGTGATATCTCCTACCATTCGCAATACCGAATGGCTGATCCTGTACTGACATCTTCGAAAGGTCCCGTCGTCCGTATCACCCCCGACGAGGTTCACGTCCAGGAGCAATTCTACAACCCCTACTCTGCCGATCGTTGGATCAAAGGCACCAAGGTTCTAGATGCTGCCAGTCGCCAATCGGGAGACACCACCCAACGCTTCCAAAGCAGGAAGCGATCGATTTGGCAGCTGCGATCAATCTTTCAAGTCGAGGTCCATCAGATCATCCGGGGCCTGGTCCGCAAGCACCAAGTGCATCGAGTGTTCAGCTGGAGGGTTGGTCCCGTCATCCCAATAACCGAGCTCCGTGGGACGCAAGCTGGATCCTCGGATGTAAGCAATCTAGAAGACGGATCTCCAATCGCCTCAGATCCGGCGCGGGGCCGATCGATGTCCAGGTCCGGCCAGGAGTGCAAGGACCAGCTCCCCACGCCGGATAAGACAAGCCCACGGACATGGTATCCGCAGGGATTCAGCGGGCAAGCATGGTATTCGCCGACGCAGGGGACGAGCAGTCGAAGTCTGCCGTTTTGAGACCCGTTGGGACTCCACAGAGTTTGAGGACGAGAAAGATCCGGGGAGAAGGAGCTGGAGAGTTTTGCTTATTGGCACATGGTTCCACGCGAGAGAATGGTAAAAGGGGAGGAGACTCTATCACTACCGAAGGAGGCGCTTTAAGGTTACCGAGCGGGGGATTTGACCGGACTTTGGAATCGAGTTTGATCGCAATGACGGGCAAATCGACGTGATTCGATCGGTGGACAAAGAGCCGACGGACAATTGACTCGCCGGATGAGCTAATCGCAGATTGTCCAGGCGTTTAGGAATTTCCAGGATATCAACTGCTTGAAACGGACAAAGGAGAAAAGGTTGGGAGAACAGAGAAGGTGTAACGCTTCTTCTTGGTGGTTTGTTGCGTCCCGCCGGGCAACCTCCGATTTCTGCACCCTCCTCTTGTCCTCCGTCCCTTAAAGACTCCCCTCGACTCCCCTTCGCACGACACGCCTGCGAGATCTTGCGATTGTTCCTTCTCATTGCTTTCTCTGATCTTATCCTCTATAATTGTCATCATGGTACGCTCTCCACCCGTTTGATCGCGCATACCTCGCCTCTGCAGTTTCGGTCGCGAGATCGTTGATCGCCAGGGCCGCAGATCTCTCAAGATAGAGCTAACTCGATCGCATCGTTTAGCCTCACGCCGACTCCTCCTATTTCTATGGCCAGACCAAGGCTGAGGTCTACTCAGAGCTCTTGGACCAAGCTAAAGGCCTGCTCGACGGACAGCGCAATTGGGTAAGTGCTGCTTGAAGTGATCGCGTCATTTACGTTCAAATCCCCCCCCCCCCCCCCCCTGGACCTCATTCATACTCAGTTTTGTCTGGAGAATCAGCGTGCTAATCAAGTTTCACACGAATAGGTCAGGTGAGCACAATGCCCTCAGCATCACGCGACCATATCGATGCGCTTGAATTGCGCCTCTCCACCCTCCAAGCAACATCCGAATTGACTCTTCCACTAGCAACCTGTCCAACATCTCCTCCCTCCTCTGGCACGCTTATGCTGCTCTCCCTTCCCCATCCTCCGCCGTGAACTGGGCCGGCTTCTATATTCGCGATGACAAATTCCCGGCGCTCGCCTCGCCCGTTTCGTCACCCCCGCTGCCCGGTGCACCCGGCCTTGGTGGTGTAACCATCTCGACGACCTACGCCTCCCACGAAGACCAGATCTTGCTCCTCGGACCTTTCCACGGCAAGCCCGCTTGCCAGCAGATTCGCTTTGGAAAGGGTGTTTGCGGTACAGCTGCCGCTAGCCAGAAGACTGTTATAGTTCCCGACGTACATGAATTCCCTGGCCACATTGCCTGTGATGCCGACAGCCGGAGTGAGATTGTCGTGCCCATTGTCATTCGTGGAGAGGTATGCATTTTTTTTAATTTGCCAAATGGTGAGGAGATAGGCTGACAAGACAATTGATAGACCGTTGCTATCATCGACATTGACTGCACCCTCCCCTCTGGCTTTGACGAGGAAGACCAGCAATACCTCGAGAAGCTCGCCGAGCTTCTGGCCGAGAGCTGCGATTGGTGATCAAAAACCAAAACCAAAAACAAAAGTTCAAATGTTTATATGAGATATTGGGAATCTGTGTTATGTGATTATGACTGGAATTGTAAAGGGGTTTGTTTTGGACCATTCGCGTTTGAAACTTCCTGCTGACAAAAGTTTGGGTTCTTTCTTTGGTTGTAACATGCTACGGTCACAGGGTACCTAGCTAGTTTTCTATTTTTGCATCTTGCATTTGCGTGGTATATAGTTCCATGAACCTGTTACCTTCACGGCAATTAAGCAGTCCCTGTCAGGGATGTGCCCCACTAAAGGTCGATCTTGCAACATCCACCTTGGTTCTCATGAACAGTTAATCTAGATGCTACCACTTGGTTCGGCTAGAGCTACCCTGAAACGCAAGATCTGCATGTGGGGAGGTAGCGCAGGGTCCTTGAGACCCCTGCCAAGTGACATCGCGCGTGTCTGAGCGTTTAGCTTGCCAAGGTGAATTACTGAAACAATAGACTGCAACAGTAGAGTGTGATGGCTACTGGAAGCTATTTCCATGACTTCCATCTCTTCAGCAGGCGAAGATACCTACACGGTTTAGTAGCGCGAGGTATTAATTTCCAGCCAGAATGGAAAAGCCTTGTTTCCGAGCAGAATTTATATGTCACATTCACTCTAAACATGAAATTTGAGATATTCACAAGCTCGGCTTTAAACCAGAACAGCCTCATCTGTGGCTTCCTAGCTTTCCCAGAGCTTAGAACCCAACGCTAACCTCGTAACCATCACCACTCTGCTGAGTCAAAAAATCGACCTGACCAACACAGTCACCATACTCATATGGCTTCTCCAGAGCTCCAGCGTTTCCACTCGACGTAGTCGGCGCGCCAAAAGTCACCGAAGTCTTGGGCAACTGGCTGCACGAATGACTACCCGAGTTCCAAGGATAATACTCCACAAAGCCAACCTGGGAACCCTGAATACCGCCCGTTCCAGAAGGCAGCGTGTAAGAGCCGATATGCGTCTCAGTGCCCGTAACAGCATCAACCAGTGTACCAGCCCAAGTCGTGCCCTCCGTGTTCTGGACCTTTAACAGGTATCCGTGGGCATAGGTAGCTTTGATCTCGACCGCGCAGCTCACGCCGGCACCACCGTCAGCGCCGTCGCTACAATTGGCATCGTTCGTGGTAGTTCCGCTGATAAAGCTAGAGAAGACGGCGTGAACGACGGACTCGGAGCCGGAATCCGGGCGTGGCTGAAGACCCGTGTATCCGACGTCGGATTGCCCGCTAAAGCCGAATTGCTGGGCGTAGTAGTACCCGGATTCGTGTGTGGCACCGGGCATTGAGATTGGGAAGGTTATGTCCTTAAGTCCTGTGCTGGGGACGTCGGAGACGCTCCATGAGAGACCAACCAGAGCCTCGGAGGCTTGGAAGATGGAGGAGATGATAGCGGCGCGAAGAATGGTGGATGGGGTCTTCATTTTGGGAATTTTGTGATATGGTTCTGGGTAATTCGGATTGTTGTAGTTCGATCTTGGATGTTAAATAGTTTAAGGTCTGCTTCGCTTATGGGAGTTTGAAGCTCAATCAAGACCAAACACCGCGGTGTTTCAGTGCATAGAGATCTGCAAACTTGATGGGCCATGCGACGAGGTTACATCAGGAATGCACGGAGAACATTACATTAGTTGTGTCCGACTCTTTCTATTAGATTATTACAATATCTGGCCCAGATAAAATTCAGTAGTATACTAATAGCTCGTTCGTATCTCAGTTACCAGACCAAATATACCTCTCAATAACTTATAGTGAAAGCATTGTTAAATGCTGTTAAATTTCAAAAATTTTAATTATGCAGCGCTCAGACGTGTGGAGAGCCCGATAGATACCATTTACAGTATGACATATTAAAATTCCGACCTTTCTTCTTTAAACCCCCTTCCTCGGCCATAACAACTATATTTAAGTTCTTTACCGAGAGCGAGAGTATCATGATGTTTCAGCCATGAAGCTATTCGCATGTTGATATCTCAGGCCAATAAGGGGACTGGAGGATTCTACTCGTACGGCGGCCTTTTGGCAGCTACTCATTACCCTTTCAGTGGCGTAGCTGAAGGGAAGACCTATAAGAAGGATCAAGGTAATTAGCATCAGCTGCATCCTGCATAGATAGCCAAGTTAACTGGTTACACACGCCTACACTCTCTGATCAAGGATTACCCGCTATAGTGCAATAGCGCGCCACATAATCGAATTAAGAGTATCTAATAATGGGTTTACTATGAGTTAAACAGAGGGAAGATTAATCTAGTAACTAAGACACGAATGAGCTGCTATCGATTTTGATCGGAAGCTCTGTGGCCATATCGCTATCACTGAACTAGCTAAGGATTTCTGTCAGCAAGTCAGTTTTAGTCTTTTCCGGCAGTAGGCGCTGAGTTCCTCATAATGAAGAAAGTGTTCGCGGGAATCGAAATAAACATACCGTGGACTATGCCTCTCCACCTTCCTAGGCCGGATTCTAGAAGCTGAGATGTGTGGGGTTTATAGTTTTGGAGCGACCATGGGCCGTCCCTAGTTCGCTTAAAAGTCGACCCCATAATGCCATGCGCTTGACATCATAATACCTTATCGGGATACTGTAGATTGGAATTTCGTTTTCTTACCTTCTTAAAATATTATGCTAAAAGTAAGACGGGATATGTCTACCATATGCTACTAGTCTGGAAATGAGAAGTACGCGAAGATCCGGAAGACATTGAAAGTACTACCCAACTGAAATTAGAGATCAAATAAGTAGTTATATCGCTATCACAGGGTTAAGCACTAACAGCTCATGAATCTTATTCAATCATCGCAGCGTCATCATTCTCAGTGCACCATCTCATATGCGCCAGCATCGTCCAATATACATCCTCAGAAGCTGATTTTCCCACAATGGGATCAAGATGCCCGTATCCTTCCGCCAAAAACCTGCGATAATACTTCTCCCCAAACTGTCGTCGCAATAACTCGTAGTCTTTGAGTGTAGATTCTGGATCAAAGACTTGATTGTCCGTACCAGAGATGAACAAAATCGGCAACTCGCGTAGTCGTTGTAAGCTCTCTGTTGACAAAAGTGGGCGTAGATCGTTATCTAAACAAACTCCCTTGGTTCCCATGCGCACCAAGTGCTTCATCAACTTTGTATAGGTACTTGCAAAGAATTGATGCACATTGTCGTGGATGCTGACGTCGAGATTATCATGGTTCCATAGCAACCCGAATGCGAACGAGGTTCGATGGCACGCCGTTGAAGTGCAGACATCTCGCGAGTGCCCGACGGGATAGAAGCGAAGGATCTGGTCAAGAACCCTTTGGAGCAAACCATCACTTGCACTGCTTGCAACTGGGAAGTAACTTCCAGCAAGGGACTCGTAAAGTTGGATGATGAGTGTCGTTCTTCCTTTGACCCAATTCCAGTATCCAAACACTTGATTCATGAATACCGAGTTGGCAGTTATTCCGAGGAGTTGATCACGTCTGATTATGCCGTCGAGTAGAGCCATGCAGAGAGCGACGGAGCCTTGACAATGGGCTATCACGTATGGTTTCTGCGGCTCCCTGTCTCGAATGTATTGCACTGCTGTGGCAACGTCGAGACGGCAGTCGAACACGGTTGATTTCTGAGCCACGGAGGGATCGCAACTCCAGCGAGGAGTCAATGCATAGCAGCGATGCCCACGTTTAGTGAAATAGTCGACCAAGTTGCTGCGCAAGAATGGCAGTGCAAACACGTTGTACTTTGCCCAAGTTCCAGTGATTCCCGGCAAAAAAAGAACCGGTGATGGGCTCAAGTTGTTCGTGGAGTCGGTCTGGTCTTGGAAAGGAAGGGGCTCGTAGATTTCCAAGAGTGTATGTACGCCGTCGCGCGCTTTGATCTTGCATGAAGAAGACACTGGTTGCTTTGGTTCGGCATTCCTTGCTGTCGAGATTTGGGGGAAGCGCATCGAAACGAAAGGGCGGAAAAAGAAGAGGCTAACTTGATAGGCAAAGCAGATGAAAAAGGTAATCAAAGCAAGGAGAAGGCTCAATTTGAAAGGTGCCGTGGTGCGAAATGTTCTCATCTGTTTCTGAAAGTCCGCCAGAGAGATGTGAAGGACCCCTGATCCAACAATGGTACCGTCACGTCGGGTGACGTTGACGTCGATAGTTGTCGTTGCTTGCCAGGCTTTCCTGACGGAGAACGCAACGTTCGAGTCGATGATTTTGCGTCCTTCAAGGTGATACTGGATCCCTTCTACCGAGACCAGATCTAGGTTGTATGTAATGGCCGACGCTTCAGCTCTATCAGGAATCGGCGTGAAAAAGTCGACGGTTCCATTGACAATTCTGAGTGTAGCTTTGGATAACGCCCGGCATGAGACTGTCCCGGTGCATATACCTTGATATTGTGACTCGAAATGACCTATCCATGTCAGAATTTATCGATGCGGAGACATATCAAAGTGTATTACCTTCTTCTTGACGCCAAAGTTCTATCGTAGCCAAGACTCTCATCGCACAAGAACTCCCCCTGCCTAAGCTCTCGGAGACCAAGGGGTCCCGGTCTCCGGGTCTATCGCTGAAATAGCCAAACAGGTTCTCCGTAAATTGCCAACCTATTGATTTGCAGGTTTGCCTGATGCTGCTTTGAGGATCGTGCTGAATTCGAGATACTTTGGGCTTGCTATGGGCTCCGAGAATGTCATTCTTGCTTTCAAAATCAATTTTGAGACCTGCTCTCTTGGTGATCAAGCTAAGAGATCGCTCTGAGAGAGCTGATATCATTGCAAGTGGGTTGATACCTGAATAATTAGCCTTCAATGCCGTAAAACAGTCCATATTTGGCGTACCTAGTGCAGTCGGAATGACTGAGGCATCACAACACACGAGGCCTCCGTAGACCTGGTCACCAGAGCCGGTGAAAAGTTCTCCTAGGTGATTTGTAACACCTCCTTGTCCCGTCCCATCACTACTCATATTGGCTCCGCCAAGAAGATGGACTGTAACTTCTTCCTGATTTCGACCTAGAAGTATGGTTAGTTTTTCCAATAGAGAACGATAAGCATACTTACCGTAGAAATAAGAATATCCCATTTTAGCCCCCGTGAGAATGAAGAGCTCCTCTAGAAGCCCCTTTATCCATTTGAAATGTCCGGACCGACCTTCTTTCGGTGCACGTAAATGAGGCTGACCATCCTTTAGTGTGAGTGTTATCTCGTTGCTGTCATGGGACATTATGAGATACGTCGAGGTTCGTTGGAGAGCTCCACCGATAGCATAAGGGCCTAGCAGGAAGGATTTCACGGCAGCCAATACCCCCAAAGCTCCGTAACGTGGACTTGAAAGAAGTGACAGAGCTTGACTCTTTATCGTTTGTGCTGTGAGCATTAAGTTTATGACAGGGTTGAATGGCTCTGGAATACAGCCGTCTTGAATAACGAATCCAGATAAAGGGTTTTTTGACGTCCCGTTGACTCGATTATCAATCACACCAGTTACAGTTGGCCCAGGTAGATCTGTTCCTTGTGAAGACGGTCTTCGAGCGATTCCGTTGATTTCAGCGCTGCCATTATAACCTGATATGCATCAGAAGTCTGCATGACCCTATCCTTAGGGTAAACGTACCGAATAGCAACAGATCGCCATTCCCTGAAAGATTCCTTCCAACGAGTGGAGACATCAATAGCCCATGTTTTCTTGATCTGAGCAAGATGGAAGTAGTACCTAGGGAGCCGGCTCCCAAGAAACAGAATTCCTTCTAAACAGACATATGTGTGATTAGCCAAGCTGAATTATTCCATACCTCGAGATCAAGTAGATAAAAAGGATGAGTAGAATTGAAACTTACTGCTTTGACCCAGAATAGCTGCTCCTTGAAATCATCTTTGAAAACCGATCTCCCAGATCCATGCCACGAAAAGTGAACTGTATATCCCACCCCATCCGCGGATTTCTCCACGTACTGTACCTCACATCCACAAAAGATCTCAGCACCCCAATTCCAGGAATCTGCAAGGTACGTTACAGCCACGGAATTCTTGGATCCATCATTAAGACCTGTAGACTCGTGACCCGAGCCACGGTTTGCCTGCATGGGAACACCCGCGTTGTTTCGACCATCGTGGAAGAATATTGTTAGAGGTGTTCGATAGAAATTTTTACCTTTTTCTAGCAGCTTTGACTCGCGGCGGAGATGGTCTAGCTTTTTCAGTTTTGGGTGGCTCTTGGGATATGGGGTTGGTTGGAGCATCGCTTCGGCGCGTGCGTAGTCTGCAGCAACTCGTTACAGGATGACCTTTGCGTGTGATCTTAAGATCTACTTACAGTCGTCTAGCTCGGATGGGTGATTCCTGATTTCTGATGGCCACGGGCTCATATTTAGTGTTGCCTCGTCAGCCTTGAGAAAGACACCGGCGTTTATCAATGAGCAACCCCCAAGTCCTACAATAAAGCGTATATGAGCCTATGCATTGCTTCCAAGTATGAGTGGGTCCCACTTACCATGAGCAGAGAAAGCATGTTGTCCATCGCCCATGAACAACTGAAACAATTGAGTGGGATTATCAAAAGATAGCCAATTGGGGAGAAACGAATTCCTGGACGAGCTTCCAGAAATACTCATCTCCCTCAAACATTGCGAGAACGAGCTCGGAAACGAACCAGCTATATCAATTCTCAGCTTGGATATGTCAATGCGGCTCTAACGTGGAAATAAAGGAATTCTGCAGGTAGAAAACGACCCAACAAATGAGGAAGCAGCTCATACGTTTCCTTTCCCAGCCAAGTTCCAACACTGCAACGCTCTTCCCCGCGCGAGCCATGCGACTCGCTGCTACCCCAGCGCCATACCCAGATCCCACAATGACAACGTCATACTCCTCCTTCATCGAGTCAAAGGGGAGACTAAGCGTCGGATAATTATCGACCCTTCCCTGAGTGTTCGACATTGCGTTTACCCCTTGTGAAAAATCTCGGGAACAATGCGTAAGGTATCACCTAATGCTTAGGCAGGTATGTAAAGGCAATTTGGTAATGTGCATCGGCGCCAGCAGAGGTGGACGTGTTCGGGAAAAAAGATTTATCGAGCGGGATCTAATAAGGGTAAGTTCGCCAACACATAGATACCGGAAGTGGCTAGTTGGGTTCTCTGTGTTAGTCTGTTCTTAAGCGATATCACGTAGTACCTGTAACCATTCGGGGTCGGTGTCGGTGTGGGGCTCTCATGAGTGCAAGGATGGGATTTCGTATTGTATTGGTCGGTGGTAGGAAGTCAGACTGACGGAGATGCACGTAAGCAGTACGTGAGTTGCTGTACAGTATCTGATCTTTTACCGGTTGGGCCTCGTGCATTGCAGAGTTCCTGTGAAACCTCTAGAATTTGGTGCATCAGAAACCGTTACTTCTCTGATGCTACAGAAGATATCCTACGAGGCAAATAGACATTGACGGGAACCGAGGGAAGTTACATTGATATCTCAAAACGACGGCTCTTAGTTTTATGGGATTTTAGAAGCGCTATAATATCTTCCATGGTCCCCTTGCATGATGTTGTGTATCAGTAAGTTGGCGGTGGCCATGTCCCCGCTTGATAAGGCGTTCTTGCACAGTTTTAGTGGAATTGCGAACCTATAGACACGCTATTAGGGGTGCGCTAGTTTGAACCGGGTATAGTCATCTCCAAGATTCTCTGCCAACTTCCTCGCCCCTCTATTTCGATAAGGTTGCTTGTGGGTAAAATGTAGGTAATTCTTCTTCCATTTCTCTAGCCGAGGTCGTCTGTTAGCTTCTTTTAATTTTGGATCCTGGTAGTCTTCTTACGCTAAGCTGTCTGGCCTAGATCTGTTTCAGACGAGCCGAGGGATTGGATAACCTGGGTCAACGAATACAAGCACAGGTCAATCTACAAGGATCGCATGAGAACAGTAGATGTGCTGCGGTAATAAGCTGTATTTGAATCGACGACAGGGCAAGAAAGATGTTCCTTTCTGTTCTAGTTACATGGCTCCGAACAGCCTACAGCCTTTTGCAAACACTTGTATAGGAAAGTCAATAAAGTCATGATTCATTCCTCCCATTCATAGCAAATCCAACAGCGCCCAAGCACCCGAGCGCCCTCGCCCTCTACTTGCCGATCTCTAGTAACATAGGTAGTGACTGTACACTCTAATCATAGCCAGTGTCAATACCCAAAAGGAAGAAAAATAAAAACAAAAAGGTATGGCCGAAAGGTATAATGTAAAGACCGCTAAGCTTTCTCTAGACACGGCGGTAAAATAGACCGAAAAAGGAAATCGTGAATCTTTGAAATTGGTCATTATAGAATGCAGGCCGAGAAGTAAATATGTCGTGGTGATGACGTCCACCGGAGTAGTCGTCGTTAAGCAAGGTAATATCGGATCATGACGGGAGTATAAGATTGAAAAGCGTGTTGGTGGGTACATTTTACATGTTCAACAGGCTCATTTGGCGGCGCATGGGATTTGGTGATAGCGAGTCGCCGTCCTCGCTGGGACCGAGACCACTGTCCGTACCGGTGAGTCCAGCATCGGTATCAATGTCCCAGTCATCTTCGGCATCGCCGACGCCATCACCACCGTCCCAGCTCTTCTGGACAGCACCTCGGGTGTTCCAGCGTAGAGCACGCTGAACGCTGGTGAACCACTCGCCGCTGTCAGAGACAACGGTGGGGAATGGGTACTGACTGGCTTCCACGGTGACGTAATCGCCTTGTCGAAGCTCGACGCGACCTTTACCGTCGAAGGAGCAGTAGGCGGTTGATCGAGAGGCGTTAGGGACAGCAATGCGGAGGAGGTGAGAGTCTGAGAGGACCATGGGGCGGAAGGAGAGGGTGTGGGGGCAGATGGGGGTGAGAAGGATGCCGGGAATGGATGGGTGCATAAGAGAGCCGCCAGCGGACAAGGAGTATGCAGTCGAGCCGGTTGGAGTAGAGAAGATGCAACCGTCCGCTTGGACAACGGTCAACAACTCATTGTCGGCGTAGAGTTCCAGATTCGACACGTAGGGAGAGGGGCCTCTATCAATGACCACCTCGTTCAGAACCTCAAACTGCTCTCCTTCCTCCACTGCCCCGGCCTCTGCACCCTTGCTCCGGTCTTTCCGGAACACGGTACACGTGAAGCGCATCCGCAGATTGACGCGCATCCCGATATCGCCCATGACACCATTGAGATGCGATTTATATTCGTTGAATTCGAAATTCGTCAAGAAGCCCAGACTGCCAAGCGAGAAGCAAAGCACGGGGGGCACCACGCGCTGGAATAGCCAGGAAGTGAATAGGACAGTACCGTCACCGCCCAGTGTCAACACCAAATCGAATTTCTCCGGCGACGTCCAGCACAGATCTGGGGTCCAGAAATGGAGCATCTGGGCGAACCGCGGTTCCTTTTGTAGAAGACCCGCGGCGTCGAACCGTTTGGAGTTCCGCAGCTTCGCATCAACGTAGACATTAACACCCAAATCACTTCCATATCGCGGGGTTGACAGCAGCCACTCCGTTAGCTCGCGTGTCAGGTGGACCAGGCTGTTGTCCCGTGCTTTAGTGACGATCATGATAGTTCGTACGGCACGTTTGATCGGCCGCCTTTGCAATTGTTTTGAAACCTCGCGGACCCCCGTCGCAGTCTGGACCAGCCGTGAATGTGATAGCCACTCGTCATCCGCAATCTCCTCCAACACCTTTTTGATATTAACGGCATCGTCGAACCGCTGGTGGAAGTAACATGGGGACTGGAGCATCAACCGTGCTGTGGAGGGCGACCGCTCCAGATATCCGCTTAGTTGCAAGTTAGACAGCGCTGTAGATAACTTTTGAGAGGAGGCATTGCTGGATCGGCGCTCCTTGTCGTCTGGCGGCGACGACGCGGCTTCACTCGTGCCATTGGCAATGAGACCGGTCCAGGGATTTGTGAAAGGGGGATTCGAGTTATTGCCGGTCAGGCATGGGCGTGAAGCCAGGGCCTTCATGATGGTTTGCCGAGGTATGCAGTCGGTGGACAGTGATCGGGGCCCGGACATGGACTTCTGGCGAAACCGGCGAATGGTCGAGGAAGGGAGTGACCAGCCAGCAGTCTCCTCCTGGGCGAGTCCGTTCTTGGGCGCAGGGAACATATCACAGCCTGGGGGTTGCGGAGCGGGGTCGTGGGAGGGAATGTGTGTCTGGGAGGGTTCTATATGAAGGGCATAATCGCGGAGGAGCGCCGCGCCGACGGTTGAGGCAGATGGGGGAGGTGGGGCACTCGCGCTGCCGTTGGTGTTGGCCGTCGCGGGAATCGGGGAAATGTGAGACGGGGTTTTCGAGGCAAGCGCAGGTAGCGTCGAGGGAATATCAGATCGGTGAGAATGATCACTGCCAGGCGACGCCATGGGAGGAGGAGAAAAAAAATCACAGACAAGGGCTGGGATTGGCTATCGGCAGGATTTCAAAGCGAAGGGTCATGGATGACAAGGAGGGACGAAACCCGGGGCGGATGTAACGGGGTTTGCGGACCAGGAAGAGTCAAGGACCCCAAGAAAATACCCAAAACTGCAAAAGACCAAGCCAATTCTGGACCAAGTCGTCTGGGTCAGGCCTCGGGCCCGGTTTTGGAATGGTTTCCACAGTCTTCCACGGTGGTTCTTCCGTTTAAGATCTGCCGACTCTGGGATCCCGGATAAACTGGGGGAGAGTGCTCCGATCGGTGGGGTAACTCTGTTCTTCGAGGGGGAAATGAGCTTGATCTGGATTCTGTGCGAGGGAGACACTTGAATATAAGGTAAAAGTAAAGTAGACTCCGGAGAAGAAGGTGAATCTGCCGCGGAGAATCCCTCTCTCCACCTTGGCCGTTAGGTGGACAAATTTCCTAAAACTTTTCAGATCCGATGCGGTCGGATAAATTGCTTTTTTATCGCCGAAAAGATTGATGACACTATCTTAATATTAATAGTTACCTAGCATGTATGGATCAACGCTCGGGGCATATCACAAATCATACACTAACGAGGGAATCGGGATTGTTGCATGACTCTTCTACTTGAGTAAGATGCCACACCCTCAATAATAAGATTAGAATTACACGGTCTAATGCGTCGTCATCTTTACAATGGCTTAGTTCTACAAATATTACATCTAGCAAGATGATCAAGGGAGAGGAAAGGGGAGAAAAGAGGCTCGCTGCAGTAGTTTGATGCATCTATTTTCTATCTAAGCATTGCCCCCGCGTTTGGCTGCACCGTTTCCATCCCATTGGTACAGTCCAGCCTCGAGCAGGGCTTGAGCGCCGCTTCCTGATCCGAGAAACTGACTCCGTCTCTCCAGAATCGTGTCGCCTGTTGAACTTTGAAACCAAGGTCGTGCCCTCTTGCGTGACTTGATCTGACAAGGTGAACCGCCCTAGCCGAGCCTTCCACGTCCATCTAGACTCGCCGGGATCCAATAGTGCAGCTGCAGTTGCTATTATCTTTGATCACAACGCTCGTAATGACCCCCTCGTACATGCAGTGACCATCAGGTGATAGTGGTCTTGACTGAGCGTGACGCGTAGCCACCAAAGTAACCCCAGTCTCGTTTTGCCCGTATACGATCGACGGACCTTTTTGGGGTTGCTGCGGACCTGGGCATAGTAAGCAGGCAACGGATGACGGACTGCCTAACTGCCTAGCTACAAAATTTCAAGCTCTGCGGCCATCCGGATTGTATATCGTCTCCGCGCGATTATTCAACTTATTGCCTCAAGCAGAGTCAATCTTCCAGGTGTAATCGCGGTGCAGATGGTCCTCCACGGTCTCGCGGATGAACCCATCAGCATGACCTTCCTCGCCTTCCTCGCCCATTGCGATATCTCCGTCAGATCCGGCCACAGCAGTTCCCCGGCAGGTAGTGTATGCGCGCTCGCGGACTGACTCCCATGTATCGAAATCAAATGGACCCTGGCTTTCGTTGAGCAGCAGGTGGCCCTTGGAGGAGAACGCAAGCACGTGCAGGGACGAGGCGGTCTTTGAATCGACGGGAGATGGGTCGCTGATAATGTCACCCGACTTGGTGACAGCAAGCAATGCAGTGGAAAAGGTCATGGACATGGGGACGGCAGCGGAGAGCAAGGCGAGCAGGGAAGTTTGAAGGAGGGCCGGGAGGATAGTAAGGTACTGTTATTATGTTAGAAGAAGCGATTTCACTTGGATATCCTGGGTTTGAAAAGATAATGAAGCCTTAGACCTACCGAATCGCCGCGCTGGACTGCATCACCGCCAATGATAGCAAGCGTAATGACTACACCGCGCCTGGCAAATCCACGCTCGCGCCCGAGGATGACCTTTTGCAGCATCGTCCGCAGAATGCCCTCCACATATCGCTCACCAACTCCAGCAGTGGTATTTCCAGGCTTGACAAACACCTCGACGGTGGCCTCTTCGGGCTTCAGGGCGTCACGGCGAGCTGGAAGCTCAATGGGTGCATTGACGGAGCCCAGGACATTGTAGCCAGTAGTCGGGCATTTGAAGGAGGCAGAGCCGTCGGCACGGCTCAAGTTTGAGAGAGATGCAGTCGGACCGACCATTTTGTGTGATAGGGGGGATCGGGAGAGTGGTCGAGAGTAGTGGTGAGGGCTGCGATGAGGAGTGGTGGTATTGAAGAGTTGACGGCGCTGGAGCTTCGGTGATTTTTTATCAACCATGCGGGCCACGCTCTGATTGGCCGAGAGCCCAATTTTTGTGTTGACACAACTGCCTTTGAATACTGTTCTGAAATAGATTTTCTTTTGATTGATAAAATAACTAGGCCATCTCTGCTCGATAGTAGATGAATACTGCCTTGAATATGTATAGAGAGTTAATAGTCTTATGCTAGGCGCTGTTCCAAGTGCCAAATAATAGCCAAGAACTATACCTACTTCTGAGAATCTCCATCAGGCCATGAGCTCAATAGTTTTCTTACGAGTTCATTGAAATCCGAGCTATCCAGTCCACGTAATCCGATGTCTCAGTTTCTCTAAACCCTGTCTAGTTAGTTATGACTCGCTGAGATTGTCTATTACCAATGTCTTGCGTAGGTAATCCATGCAAAACTCGTAACCTAAGTCTTGTTAGTAACTGCCGCATTCTGGAACTATTGCCGAGAAACTAATTACTAGAAACCGACCACGCGACAGGATTTCTAAGATGCCGAGATCTTGGAACGTGGCACTGCTAGAGGTTGGCAAAGTGTACAACTGGATGCAGTCATGGAGCATTCGGAACCATGAACCATGGACTAACAAACAAGAGTCAAACTTGTTTCAACTCATAACCCTAGGTATCACCTACGACTTGATGACTTGATACTATAAGGCTCAAACATAGAAAAGAATCCATGTACTGATAAGAATAGCAACTCGCAATGACAGTAGCCAGAGGTGGCTAGAGATGGCCAGGGATGAGCACCGCCCGCACCGGGGGGAAAGCCACCAGGATCCATACATCCAATCATGCAGAGGCTAAGGCTTGGCCCCAAGACTACTTTGCGCATTGCCAACCAGCATCGTCGCAAGCGATGGTTCCGGATCAGAGTGGCCAAGCATCCGCCTGGAGATACCCCCAATGACATCGTGGCTCGAAGATGTGACAAGGCATCCCCCGCATCACCACTTGATCTGCCCCCCTCTTCTCGGTCAAGGGATACCGACTGTTCACCATACAAATATCTCAGTCACTACTTCTTTCAACATTCATCTCATATTTACACTCTGGGAAAAAAAGACTTCCTCCTTTTTGGTGACACAGGGTTATCTGGCTGGTTCTTAGTTGATTCGTGAAACAAGAAAGCGTTCCTTCGTCCCTCGCTCGTTCCTTCTCTCCTCCTTCCCCCCCCTCCTTTCCCCTCCATCTATACTTGAATGGGCATAGAGACGCTTCCTGATGTCGAGGAATCGACAGAGCCTCCTATATGTGCCCTAAGGGAGTACACTTCAAATCCACAGGGAACTGCTGCCCTAAGCTTTGAGCCCTGCGACGCCAATGAAAAGCCAACCCTAGAGCCGACCAGTCATAGTCTGCCTCCTAGCGGTGACCTGCACGTATCACCCGAGCCCTTGCAAAGTCTTGAAGATCAAATCAGAAATACCCATCTTCTGGAGCCAGCTAGAATTGCTGAGCTCCTCCGAACAGATCTCAAGTATGTAAATCTTCCATAAAATACCCGTCCTTATATGTTAACCAGATGCCGTTTATTGCAGCAATGGTCTCTCCAAAGTCGAGGCCAACGAGCGCCTCCAGAAAGATGGTCCTAATTCCGTCCAGGAAGTCAAGAGCATCTCCGTCTGGGGGATACTGCTGAGGCAGGTGTCCAACAGTCTGACTATAGTATGTCTTGTAATATATCTGATAATAAAGTGGGGGTTTGCATGCTAATAGTCCAGGTCCTACTCATTACCATGGCTCTCTCCTTTGGAATTGACGATTACATCGAAGGTGGAGTCATAACAGCCGTGATTCTCCTGAATATCATCGTGGGGTAAGTCCTACAACAACCAGTCCGGGAACAAGGATACATCTAACACTATATCTAGCTTTTTCCAAGACTATCGAGCAGAAAAGACCATACTATCACTGCACCGCCTCTCCGCACCAGAATGCAAAGTCATCCGCGATGGCCGAGTGAATACCGTCAAGGCCGAATCTTTGGTGGTTGGAGACATAGTCCGGCTGGCGGTTGGAGACATTGTGCCCGCAGACCTACGACTTTTTGAAGGAATGAATGCTTCAATGGATGAAGCATTACTGACGGGAGAGTCTTTGCCGGTACTGAAAACACCGAATGCCACCCTGGTATCCCCGGACATCCCCATCGGCGATCGCACAAATATGGCATATTCAGGATGCAGTACTACCCAGGGTCGAGCAACGGGAGTCGTGGTTGCTACTGGCATGAACACTGAGGTTGGAAAGATTGCCCAACTGCTTCAGGAAAACGGACATTCTGGCGAGGGAAGCTCATTCGCAAGGGCATTGAAGCGAGTCAAGACTTCAGGTGCAAAGATTCTAGGTCTAGTTGGAACTCCTCTGCAGGTTAAGCTGAGCAAGTTTGCCCTACTGCTTTTCGCTCTTGCGATTTTGCTGGCCATCATTGTCTTTTCGGTCAATTTGTGGGACGTCCAGGGTGAAGTTTTGATTTACGGAATCTGCGTAGCTGTGGCAGTGATTCCGGAATCTTTGATCGCAGTGCTCACGATTACGATTGCCGTGGGTACAAAGGCCATGGCTCGGGGGAATGTCATCGTTCGAAAGCTGCAGTGTCTGGAAGCCGTCGGGGGTGTCACAAATATTTGCTCAGATAAGACTGGAACTTTGACCCAGGGCAAGATGATCGCTCGCTCTGCATGGATCCCCAGTGCTGGAACTTTGTCAGTACGCCAGACGACTGACCCATATGACCCGACAAGCGGGATTGTCCAGCTGGATGAGATCAATTGGAATTCAGATTACCCTGTTGAGCAACACCCGGCTCTCCATACATTCCTCTCGTCCATTTCTCTTTGCAATCTATCGGCGGTGCATTGTGACAACAATGTCTGGACTGCTGTCGGCGAACCGACGGAGATAGCCCTACACGTCCTTGCCATGCGTTTTGACTTTGGCAAAAGTGCGGTGATGGCCAGACGTGGAATAGAGCTGCATACTGAGTATCCTTTTGACTCGGCGATTAAGAGAATGTCAGTCATCTACCGGAACCCCGCAGAGAAGGTGAACGAGACATACACGAAGGGTGCACCCGAGGCGGTTATCCCGTCACTGTCAATTTCCGATGACGAACGGCGTGTCATTCGAGAGACTGCAGATAGAATGGCAGGCGAAGGTCTCCGTGTTCTCTGCATAGCCTACAAAAGATCACCCATCAACGATGATAAGCAAGTGTCCCCGCGAAGCGCTGCTGAATATAATTTGCAATTCGGCGGACTAGTTGGCCTTTACGACCCTCCTCGAGTTGAGACGGCTGCAGCAGTGCGCAAATGCCAGATGGCAGGCATTACTGTTCATATGTTGACGGGAGATCATATCAAGACGGCAACGGCTATCGCCTCCGAAGTTGGAATCCTTGATCGAGTCACGGCCATTGCAAAGTCAAGACATCTAGTCATGGCTGCGGATGAGTTTGACAGGTTGACGGACGAGGAAGTTGACCAAATTGAAGAATTACCTTTGGTCATTGCACGTTGCAGTCCCGCGACCAAGGTCCGCATGGTTGAAGCAATGCATCGTCGTCAAGCATTCTGCGTGATGACGGGTGATGGAGTTAACGATTCACCTGCCCTGAAGAGAGCAGATGTCGGTATTGCCATGGGAAAGAACGGAAGTGATGTGGCCAAAGAGGCTGCGGACATGGTTCTCACGGATGACAACTTTTCGTCTATCGTCAAAGCCGTTGAAGAGGGGAGGAGACTGTTTGATAATATTCAGAAGGTATGTTTTGCATTCTCACTACGTAAATCATGACTAAATCGCGACTCTAGTTCCTCATGCACCTGCTCATTTCGAACATTGCGCAAGTGATTCTGCTTCTCATTGCTCTTGCATTCAAGGATACCGGAGGAAACTCCGTGTTTCCTCTCTCCCCATTGGAGATATTATGGGCCAACCTGGTCACATCCTCGTTCCTGGCCGTCGGACTAGGTCTCGAGGAATCTCAACCCGATATCATGTATCGCCCTCCGCATGACCTGCGCGTCGGAGTATTCACACGGGAGCTCATCGTCGACAAAATGATATACGGAACTTTCATGGGCTCCTTATGCCTAGTCGCATTCGTCTGTGTCATCTACGCCGCTGGAACCGGTGCCTCAGACCTGGGCGATGGCTGCAACCAAGGCTACAACTCAACCTGCGACACTGTGTTCCGGGCACGCGCCACAACGTATGCAACCCTGACCTTCCTCCTGCTCGTGACAGCCTGGGAAGTGAAACATTTCTCGCGATCCTTATTCAACATGGATCCCATCCGATACCCGCAACGGCTCTCGATCTTCCCCACCCTTTGGCAAAACCGGTTCTTGTTCTGGGCTGTCATGGCCGGGTTTATAGTTGCTTTCCCTGTGATCTATCTTCCTGTCGTGAATCAGCTTGTTTTCAAGCATCATGCCATTACGTGGGAATGGGGTGTCGTGTTTGGTTGCACGGCTACTTATCTGCTTTGTGTGGAAAGTTGGAAGGCCGTCAAGCGTGCATTTGGTATTGGGAGTGGTAAAAACGCCATTCTTACTTTGGAAGATGCAGAAACTCGGGTTGGTCTGAATACCCCGACACCGCTGTCGATGAGTGCCAATGCAAGTGTGGAGTTGAAGTGAGCAGATGGTGTGAGTGGGAGTCCCCGGGTTATTCAACATATAATCGGGGACTGGAGTAGTGGGAGTTTCCGACGTCACTCGGAAAATTGGATTAGGTCTCATTTTTTTTCTTTTTCTTTTTTAGCTTCTGCCCACCAAATTGACCATTGGGCCCTAAATTGTAAATTCTTGAATCGATTTTCTGAAACAACCAGAGAAGCTAAGAGCCCGATATATAACGCCGCCGGGAGATATCACTCCATTGAAACTGGCATAAGTTGTAGAGTCGTAGGTAGTGGCTAAAAATGCAGATGGGTAAATTGATTATTTGGGGGCAAGATATCGAAAATGGAAAAGGGACGTAGCACCGTAATGAATGCTCTGGCCATATAGACATAGTCTTCGCGCCATCACGTGATCTCAAGTGGCGAGGCAGCGCGGCTACTTGCTCTCCCGACTCCATCCATTCCCATGCTCCTTGAGGTGCGCCTTTTATCTGAAGAACATCAATACAAATTATCCATGAATCCTGATCCATTGAAGCCAGTCACTCTACGGCGATCGTGCCAAGCATGCATCAAGGGTAAACGACGATGTGACCAGCTCTGGCCTAAATGCAGCAGATGTCTAGGCAAAGGACGCGATTGTGAATATGCCAATGCTCCTTTGACGGCCACATCTGACTCTCGAAGAAGCTTGATAAAAAAGGCTCCGCGCAATCGCGGACAAGTGGCCTTGTCGCATCAGATCCGCACACCGTTGCGATTGGAGATTGCGAAAGAATACGATCAATCTGCAATTAAATTTCTCGTTCGCGGACTGCGAGAGTACCCGAGGGCTTTTGTGACAGGCCAGAAGACAGATTTTATACATCCGGAAACCTACTCATCTGGTCTTCCGACTGCCATTCGAGATACACATATTCTCTGCGGGCTTTACGCTCAACGTGCGCCACAGGGAAATATCAGTGATATTCTTTACTTCCTTCGTATGAAGTCAGATGAGATCTACCGCCATTTCTCTCACTCTTCTTCATTTAATGACCTTCTTGGTTGTTCACAAGCCTTGATTCTCATCCAATGTATCCTGGCTCTAAACCAGGACCTTCCAAGCCAATATTCTGAGGACACAAGTTCAATGCTCGAAAAAGTTGCGAAAAGACTATGGGAACAGGCACCCGTCCAGCTGCCATCCACGCTTACTCAACGACAAGCGTGGCTTCTGGCCGAAAGTGTTCGACGTACCATTATCGTGAGCTTGATGCTTCGAAGTGCATATTCTTTGAACACGAGGAACTACTCCGTCCGGACCCCTTTTGTGGATGCATTGCCATTCGATGTTCGTACCAGTCTTTGGGATGATGATTCGAACCATGCTCTGGCAGATCAGGACTCTGGTCTATCTGGTTCGATGATTTCTTTACATGAATATTCGGATGCTATGGAAAGAGGCAGTGTTCATAATATCAACAACTTTGGTGCCTTGATCCTGGCTGCTTGTAAAGGCAAGGAACTATCGGGAATACCGCATCCCCCGCAAAACTCCTACATATCAAGTTGAGGGTGGATACCATGATATAAAGCTCAGATGTGATGCAAAGAGACAAAGTCAAATTTCTCTCAAAAACTGGATATATGGCAAATGTGGCTATTCCTAAGTTTGGCAACTATGGTCATCAGACGATAGATGTGAATCTACCGCAAGAACTGCTTGAGCAGCCCAGACAACATCTCAGTCATCTGTTGATAGATCTCCTGTCTCTTGACCTCGAACTGCTTGAAGATATCCTTTGCCGAGCCAACCGCAATCTGATCTTCACCCTCTGATAACCCGGCCCATACCTCGTCAATGAACTCCTGGAGAGGCATGCCGATAAGATGGCCATCTTTCAGATCGGGCTGATGCTTGGCATCGTGCAGCTCAGTCTGCACGGCCGGAGGATAAATCTCCAGAACCTTCACATTGCCGGGTCCGTCCTGCAGCTGTGTGCGTAGAGCGAGAACGAAATGATGCAACGCCGCCTTGGATGCGCCATAGTTCGGGCAGCGCATCATTGGAACGAGCGCCATTTGGGAAGTGGTGAATGCGAGAGCGGTCTGGGTAGTTTGCTTTTGAAGATGGGGGATGAAAGCCTTTGCAATGCGCACGGCCGATGTATAGTTGGTGATCAATTCCTGGTCGAAAATGTCAAGGTCGACGGATTCGGGCTTGGAAAAGTCAAGCGGTCGCTGAATTCCCGAGTTGACGAATACACAATCAAGGTCGGGATTCTCAGCGATAATTTCTAATGCGAATTGAGGGATCTACCATGTACCGTTAGCGTATGCGCTTAAACCAACAACTATTCCACATTTCCTAATGAACGACTCACCTGGTCCAACTGCATAATATCAAAGACTTTGGTCTTAACCTTATCAGCGCCATGACGCTGCGCAAAGGCATCCAAGTTGTCCTTTCGCCGTCCTGAAACAATCACTCGCGTCCCGTTCTCAACGAGTTTGGTGGCCAGCGCCTCTCCAATTCCGGAGGTGGCGCCGATAATCAGAACATTCTTGTAAGCAAAAGGCATAGTGTCTAGGGGAGAAACAGTGGGGAAGATGGTATGATTTTTTCACTCGAGATCCTCACTTTTATATCCTCTGCTCAAGTTCTTGATTCTTAAGCAAAGAGTATGGATGTCATCAATGGCATCTCTCTTATGCGGAGACTAAACCCAATGGGCTCAAGTGGAGCCAAAGTAAAGATTTCTATTGGCTGGTTGGTAAGGTCTGAAGAATGCCGAGGTATTTGCGCCACCGGTGGAGGTTAAACCGAATAGAGATAGTGTGGAATTATCAGGGTCCACTGGGAGCTTGATCAAAGTTTGCATTTTCGATCGTTTTCTCAAACGTAGTACGGATAGATCATCGGCAATGATCTACTGGCAAATTCCGCTGATTGGTGGTCATGAATACAGTAGTGAAATACGCTTACGATTCGCGCAAACTATCTAGAACGCGAGGAAGTGACTTGGTTGATGTCATACACATGAACTCCAGGCTAATTACTAGTCGACTCAATAAAAGCACAGGTAATCAAAAGTGTGATGGTCTTCATTTATTCAGTTCTTTGACTTGTAGTATCTTTATTTTATGATTCCGTTCATGGAGTCTCGGAGACATTGTAGACCAGCTTCTCTCCGCTGACCTTATCCTCCTTCAGCAGCTGCAGTCCCTCCAAAACACCCTTCAATCCATCCTTGCCAACCTTGGGCGGGTGCACCTTGACCTTTCCTTGAGCCAAAACCGACTCTGCAATGGCGACGAACTTCTCAGCGTGTGCCTTATCCTCGGGCTTGGCGGGGAAAGGAATATCTCCAAACTTGAAAGCCTCACCGACGGCAGTGTAACCAAGAGTGAACCGGGAGTTGACATTCTCACGGTCAGCCTTGACATTCAAGAGACTGCTGTATTCACCACCATCGGTGGAAATGGCCGCCTCGCAGAACTTGGCGCTAGGCTCGAGAGAAATGCAGTCAAAGACGAGCTTCAAGTTGTTGTCGGTTTGCTTGCGGATTTCGGCGGCGGACTGAGGGTCCTTGTAGTCGAAGACGGCATCTGCACCTAGGCTGCGGACGAGATCGAAGTTGTGAGGGGAGCAGGTGGTCAGCACCTTGTAGCCGGACAGCTTGGCGAACTGGATAGCGAGAGTACCAGTGGCAGTCGAACCACCGTAGATGAGAATAGGCGTGGAGTCCTTGATAGGCTCGGTAGGAAGAGCCAGCTTCAAGCTCTGGTAAAGGCCCTGGCCAACAGTAACGATGCCGACACCCAGGGTAGCGGCCTCCTGGAAGCTCAGGTTGTCGGGAATCTTAGTCTGCAGGTCACCCTTGGCGACAATATATTCGGCAAAAGCACCGTCCTCAGGCTGAACGGCATTGCCACCGTGGACGAAGCCAAAAACGCGGTCTCCCTTCTTGAATGGCTTCTTGACATCCTTGCCGACCGCTTCGACCACGCCCGCGTAGTCGCATCCAACCAGCACGCCCGGGGGAGCGAGGTAAGCGACGTGCTTCCAATCAGTTGGATTCAAGCCGACGCTAACGTTCTTGACAAGGATATAGTCATCACGAAGAGTAGGAATAGCCCGGTCGGTAACCAGACCGTCCTTCTTGGGCTCAACGACGATGACAGCTTTTTGGGTGGACATGGCGGTTCAATTGGGTGTATAAGTTTGATGGAAAAAGATTGTATTCAGCACGGGACAGGGGCAGTTATATAGATATGATAGGCATCGATTTAGAGTTGAGGTTAACTAAAGGGCACAGGTATTCTTACAAATCGCCTGCCGAAGTTGGCGCTGCCTCCGTGTGTGATGACGAAGTTGCAGACCGGGTGGATCCCCCTTACAGAGTTCCCCCTCCAGATAGTCTCGGTTCGATCGGCTATGGAGATTATTGAGAAAGCTCTGCAACTGGTTTAGTTCACACCGACCAAGATGAATAATCAATCTTTCTTTGGACAATGGAGGGTCCCTCTTATTAGGGGTGAAATTGTGCTAGAAGTCATAGATTGTTCTATTTAGGCATGCTCCGATAATAAAACGATGGGAATCCCCATAACCGGGAGGACTTTAAGCCGACGGCTAGTTAGCTTCTTCTTTAAAAGGGTATTTTGCCTCGGTAGGAAGAAAATATTACGCCTGAGGTGGTTTGGATTCATAAGCAGACTATGATTCTTGATAATGTAATAATGCTATAGCGAGTAGTGTAGCATCCGCATCTTCATGTCGATGACATCATTGCTATTTACGATCTGGAACTCAAGCAATACGAACTGCTCAATGGGAGGCTCCAAGCCAACGAACCACACCGCTAGATCCTTCTATCGATTTTCTAACAAGCTTCCAAAAAGGTCGAAATTGCTTTCATCATCTTCCCATCATGATACCCGAGTGCGCAATCCATACCGGGCTGGACATGAGCCTCGCCAGGGGCGATTGCAAGAACAAAATCCGCTTCCTTTACTAGGCGAAGGTCTGATTGACCGTTAACATAGATAGTCTCACATCCCATGCATTCCAGCGCAAAGCTCACACAGGAATCCAAAAGGACTTCCGAAGTTCCAACAGCTAGCATCGCCTTGCGACATATTGCGTGCTCGTGTGAAGTAGGAAAAAGCTTCTTCCACACAGCGACCGCGTCGTGCATATCACATCGGTTACTCCATACTTCGTTTAATCCGGGTTTGAACATATTTGAAAATCGAACAATACTCTCTCGTGTTAGAAAGTCGTTTGGCGCTCTTGGGAGGACTTTAATTTGCTCCTCTGACATCGCCATCCATGGGGACACGAGAAGAACGGCCTTGAGTTGACGACCACGAAGATCGATTGGAGGGGCGTATGGAGATGGGTGGACAATGTGAGTTAACAGACTTGCTGTCAAGTGGCCACCCGCACTATCGCCGACGAGAACGATGTTCTCTGCTTGAACAGCCTCTTGCTCAAGAAGATACCGGAGACCAGCCACTGCCTGGATTAATTGGCATGGGTACTGCTGCTCGGGGCTGAGAGAGTACTCCAAAAACACAACTTGCTTGGCTTTGCAGGCCGCTGCAAACTGTAAAGCGAGCGGAATATGGCCTTGCTCTTTTATCGGATTGTGGTATCCGCCACCGTGCAAGTAGAAGATTGTTGGTCCATCAGGTTGAGTGGTCGGATTCTTAACAAAATGGAGCACTGGGGTTGGGATGTCGCGCTTCTTATAAAGCGTATCATTATTCACAGAGACAGCTCTATGTTCCAGGTTATATCTGTGACAATATCCCTGAATTCTCGGCCCTGTCAAAAGCTTGCGTTGTTGGGCCTGTTGCTTGCGCGTCAAGGTGACTCTTGATGCCCGTAGATAGGCATGCGCCAGTTTTTGACGCCAATCAAGCCTGGCAATTTCGCCATTTGATAGGCAGAATGAAGCAAAATTGGCCGCACAACGGATGACTGCGTAAAGAAATTAGTCCTCTGCAGTCAAAATTCTTGCACCGAGGGAAACGGCTAAGACCTACCCAACAAAGGGATGCGCCACACAAGGGAAAGCCTGTCGGAGATGCTCAATGGCTCTATGGCCACTGCGGTCGTTGGAATTGTCGACATTAGGTCCAATTCCAGTGCCTAACAGTAGAGTGTGGGTACGGGCATCCTGTTTTGCAGGAGTCGGTTCAGGGAGAGTGGAGAAGCGAGTATCGCAGCGGGGGACCTCGGCTTGACATTTGCGGAGAAGGTTGGTTAGGTCTTTGATGATTTGATAGAGGTCGGGCGGGGAATTTGAGATACTCTAGCAAATAATACGCGGTGACTAGGTTACTAGCTATTGACTTGTATTATTTGTTTAGCTTGAAAGGGTATGGCTGCGCCAAGCAGAGTCTGCTGTGGTGACCCCGCGATGCTTCAAGTGTCGGTCTGCACTTGCACATTTACAAATTACAGCATAGAAATCTGCAGACCGTCCTTATATCTCCTACTTTAGAGTTCGATTTTCTCTAGGATAAATCGACCGGTGATGAACTTCGTCGTCTAAAATCTTTACCCTCGTAAACTTGGCCTCATTCGTCAGCAAAGCGCTTACTCCGATCGAACAAAAATCCCCCGCCCCAATCAATACTCGATTCCCCTCCTTCACCGACTCTCTCCCCCCAATCTCAGTCTCGCGATCAGCAATGAAGGTCCTTTGCCTCCATGGAAAAGGCACCAGTGGAGCTATTTTCCGATCACAGACCTGTAAGCTCCCTCGTCAACCCCTCCATATAAGCTAGTCCTAATCTAACTGCCCCGCAGCATCGTTTCGGTCGAGATTGGCGGATCAAAACATCGAGTTCGATTTCCTAGACGGACCATTTGAATGTAGTGCCGCTGCTGGCGTGGACTTATTTTATGATCCGCCTTATTTCTCTTGGTGGAAGAATGACACCATCGACGATGTCCGAGCTGCGGTCGCCCAAATGAATGAATACATTGCTGAGAATGGCCCATACGACGCGGCAATGATGTTTTCGCAGGGCTGTGTCCTCGGCTCTGCAGCGCTGCTACTTCATCAAGAAGAAACACCACATTTACCAGCGCCGTTCAAAACGGCCATTTTTATCTGTGGTGGCCCGTCTATGCCCGTTCTCGAGGAACTCGGGTTCCATGTTTCTGCGAAGGCTCGCGAGCGCGACGTGGTGTCTAGGAACGCATTGACGCAGCAGGCTGGCAATTCTGCGATCCTTACCCAGGGCACCAATCGTTGGATGGGCTTGGAGTCGTTAACTGGAGGGCTTTCGGAAGATCAACTGCGGAGTGAAATTGAATGCCCGTTACGTATTGACATTCCTACGGTTCATATATACGGCTCTAAGGATCCACGATATGCTGCTGGAGTGCATTTATCTGCAATCTGCCTGCCCGAGAGAAGGAGAATATATAATCATGAAGGAGGACACGAGATTCCTCGTGGCACTCAAGTCAGTGATTCTATCGCAGACCTTGTTCGCTGGGCTTTGGCGGAATGAACTTGAAGATGGCTCAGATTTCTCTCCCCTTTCAGTATCAGCCTGTAATAGGTGCCGGGAAAATATATGGGCAATATACACATATCTAGGCCTAAAGGATACTAAATAGAATGCTTGGGATCTATTTCAGCTCATAGCAGTCAAATAGACTGCGGGATGTCGGGATAGAATGATTGACGAGTAGGGCAACACGTAGGTGATTTTGATTGTATCGTGGGCCATGCGCTGAACATTGAAACCTCTCAGAGGATATTTATTGAGACTTATTTAGAAGGATATCTCAGAAAACTGCAAATAGCACCATAACGACGATGTCTCCAGGCAATGGTCACCATGAGAACGTCTCCTCAAACAGATCAACTGTTTTTTCACCCTGAACATGGCGGACGGCATCGCGGACACTATCCCCAAGGCCACCTGGGCCGCACACACTAACTGCCAACGCACCGACCTGTTCCGCTTTCTCGTTCTCGAGCAAAGTCCGGAAAGAAGGCCTTTCATGGTGAATATTGACAGGTACATTGGATGGTGCGCTATCCGTCCACGTCGTCTCTGGCGAGGAAATGTATTCCTCAGGATCATCCTTGTGACCAGTCACATGGATGCTGATGGAGAGTAAAAGACCTGGGATTTGGAAATATGTATCTCCCTTGGGATTGACGGTGCTGTTTAGGGAGTCGTGGCCGAAAATCTCGGTCATCCACGTCTGGATCCATGCGAGGTGATCTGAAATGATGGTCAGTGTTTGACCAGACGAGAGATAATCTTTTGGATTCAAGGAATACCTAAGTTACGAATCATCCATACGAGATGCACCTTGCGTGTTGCTGTTTTTCGAGAGGCAAAGTTGTTGACCACCTCGTGTAGATAGGACATTGGGTGGGTAATACCGATTCCACCTGCAACCAAAAGCAGAGTTCCGTAGGATGCAAGAGAATGAATGCCGCCTGTGATTCAACGTCAGCAATCTCTTTGCCATAGGTAGTGCATAGGAGCTTTTCTATACCGAATGGTCCTTCGGCCAAAGCAGTGGCCTTGATTGTCCCATCAGGTGAGTCTTCCACCTTTCGAAGAAGTTTCTTCGTAAAGCCATCCTGGCCCTTGATGAGGACTGACATAGTGGTTCTCTCGGATACTCCGATAAGTGAAGCAAATGATTCACTCAAACTGCGCTTCTCGGCGAAACTTGATGAGTCTGACCCTGTAGAAGACCATGCGACTGTGAAAGGATGAGATGTCCACAGTCCCAGACATGGAAGATACATGTACATGTACTGGCCAGGCCGGAACTTCCATGCTCGAGAAACTTCCACATCAACGCGTGCAACAGAGCCTGGGAGAGCTTCTACAATCGCAGTGGTGCGTCGCTTTCCACAGTTGCGCCAAATAAGAATGCAAAGTCGACCCACGCGCTGTGACAAGTCAGTATTCTTTCAGCCATCAAAGGTGCTCAAGGGAGACTAACGTCAAGGCCCCAGAGGATCAAAGTGCCCAGCAAGACTCGTTGTTGCAACAAGTTCTTGAGATGGTACCACAACGCCACAAATGACATGACAGCCAAGGCAATGTGAAGATGAAGGAAAAGCTCATAAAATGCATGTCGGACCGGCGACAATGATTGCAACACAATGAAAATAAAACCAAGGATCGCCACAAGGCCGTAAATATAAAAGGGCATCCGCCAGATTGTGTAAATAATATAGTCGGTTCCATCTATCTCAATGTTAGGAACGAAATATTCTTGTCGCGTCGGATGTACGTACGCATGTAGGCCTGATTTGCCAAAACTGCGCTCATATGTACCACGGCATTTGCTGCGATAACGCGACCGACCCAACGATGCATAAAATTGAATGTATCGAAGGGAAGTCCCAGCATTTGGACCAATGGGTTGTTCCGGCCTGCGCTTAAAACCAAACCCGGTGTGTTCATCACGGCCAAGTGGCCAGCGGCATACTTGAGTTGAAACATTTTATCGGAAAAGTCCTTCCACCAGTCCACCATGACAACAACGAAAATGAAGTTTAGCAAGAGGTAGATAACCAGCAGGATCACTTCTAGACGTAAGGGAACAGTTCCCATGTGGAGCCTGAACAACTTGAAATCTCGGCTGTGGCGGGCGCCACAAACGGGAGCGTAGAATACATGCTTCTTCAAGCTCGCATTCAAGCTACTCGTCTGCGACAGCTGGGTCTGGTCGTCTACCTGTCGAGCTGATTTTGACCGATGACGGTGTCGAATGCGAATGATCGTTCTCCAAATGAATAAGACAGTGACGAATCCTCCTACGGCGAAGAGAGGAACAGCCAGGGCAGGATTCATGGGCAGCTCTCCAGGGCCGTTTCCTTGGAGTTCGACACCCATGTTGCCATGCGTAAGCGACAATCAGAGGCGTGTATGGTGGAATGCTGGCAGGAATACGATCATCAAGTCGTCCAACAGAGTGGATGTCTGCGACGACTCCCTCGGAGACACTCGGACCGGGGAGGAGGGAAGGGGACAGAGGGAACAGAGGGACGGTGGAAAATCGGGGTTTATTGAAGTCCTGGAGAACAGATAGATACAAGATTACATCAGGGTGGAAATACTAGTCTATCGACATCACGGCGTTGTATTCAATCCTCCATGCCATGTCCCGCACATGGATGCCGTCATGGACCCCTGCCCCTGGGGAACAGCCGTGTGTGCGACGGGACTGAATGAAAACATCGTCTTTTTCTGGAATAGCGGGGATCCATCACCTCGGAGGCATATCTTGGGAGGGTGAAGAGCAACGAGTGTAACCGGCCGAATTGGGTTATGTTAGATCACGGCGCCTTAACCTTAACGCTGTTAGCCCTTAAGCTGACCCGTTTGTATGCGAGCGGTAACTGGCTCGGGCGCTAGGGATCTAGATCTTAGCGCCCGTGAAGCCCGATCTCCTACCAGTCCTGCAGAGACTGGCGGAATAGATGCATGGCTTACGTAGTCCTATGTTCAAGACCCCTCCCTGTCGTGACATTTGCGGGATTCATGATGGGGAATGAGGCGCTGGTCTAGACTGATCGACATTTTCTTGACACATTTGGCCGAATTGGCGTTGTTGTCGGCAACCCGAAAACGGAATTGTGTAGGACCAATTGGTTCAATTGGGGGATGCTTTTTTTCCTCCCCGGCGATCTGCCGTCTTCGGTAACTCATCCAAGGGATGGCTTCTTCTCCCCTTCTTTCTATCCGCCCTGGAATCCAGGAGAAAAGTCGATATTCAATAGCGGTTCCTGTCAGAAATCTAGCTCCTCTCAATTGATGCTAATTGACTCCGACAGATACACGTGTATCATTTTGAAGATTTTCGATGTCATTCTCTCCAGCTGTTCATGCCCTCCCTGGGCTCGGATTGCTCGGGGAACTCATAGCGTCGGCCAAGCTTAATCGTCTGGGACGCAACTGCAACGTTGATAAAACAATGGTCAGGTTCAATCTTGTGGAGACAAGGTAGTACTTCATGACGCAATAGCTCTCATCCCACGTCAGAGGGTGAAGAAAGCACAGTCAAAGTTTGACTGAAAGTCGGCTCCTGCGACGTCGGGGTTCGCATAGCGCTCTTCAGTATAGGCCAAATGAGCTGAAAGGCCAAGACCTCTTCCCTAGTTCTGGGACCGGAAGCCGAAGTTCATTGCCGAATCTTACCAAATCGATCTCGTGGGGTCTCTAGGGTCGATCAGAGCCTTCACGAGGTCTCCAATAGTTGTCCTCCCATGCCATCCCTCGTGCCCAGCGGGTCCTTCCATACATGGGCTAGAACTGTGTCGTGTCTCAATGCGTTGAATACTATCGTGTCCATTGACAAATCCGTCCACGATTCAATATACCCCTCATTAACTCCCCATACATGACTAACGGGGATGCTAGTATGGAATCACTAGCAGTAATGTCTCTGGGTGAAAATCATTAAGCCATCCGTCCGTGCTTCAAATGCCACTATGGCATCGGAGAGTCTGCCGGTCTGGAAGCGCGTTGATGAAACTATACCTGACATGTGGCGTGTAAGTGGCTTGAGTCAACCGCTGGAAACACAGAAAATTTCGAAGATTTGCTCATCTGCTCGACATTCTCATCTTCGGTCAATTTGGACATGCTTCTGGAAGTTCAAGGCCGACTTGAGGTACACTTTTCGACTTTTCAATTGTAACCGGGAATACTGCATCTATAGCTAACCTGAATGCTACGACGATTTCTGTGACTGTATGTAGTCAGGCATGTGGTGGTGGTGAGAGGCCTCACTGGTTACCCTGGAAAAGACTACATCTATGTCAACAAATATGACAAGCCAGGGGCTGGCGCTAGATAAGCGTTTGAGTCCACGGCAGTGGCGTATCAAGGTTGAAAAGCTACTAAAGGTTATCTACGGTCGAGGAAAAGTTCGCGTGATAGTGGCCACCGAGAGCATTTGATAGAATGTCTTTTGATTCCCAGCTTTATGTTGGCTAACAATGAATCTTCCGTTAGAAGAACCGAGAGGTGACTTTGGACGAACGAGAGGAGTCCAGGGTGATACATGCACTATTGCGATAACAAAAATAATTCTACAAGTGGAAAAAAACGCCCCAATGCCCCATTTCATATTCCAATTCCAATCCATTCCACTTTATTTCCTCCAAAAAAGCCAGAATCCCATAATCTGGCGAAGCCGTAAACGCCGGGACCATTGATCAATATCCTTCCATTGTACACGAGAAAAAGGAGTGGGATCTAAGTTGAACACTCCAACACACTTTCAGGCACCTTGGCAACAGACTGGGGTTCCTCCTCCAGGCTGAGGCTGCCATATCCAGTGTCATTGCTCGCAGACCGTTCGCGCTGGAGGGGTTTCCCCATACGCGGGTCTAGCACGTCGTGGTCTGCATCGCTTTGGAGAGACTGGTCGGATCCTCCTCGTCGACGACGGTGACGCCGTCTCCGGGAGGGGAGCGGCTCGGGCGCGACTTCCAGATAGTCATCCACGTTGATGCCGGCCTCGGAGCAAAGTGCGGTGCAAGACTTGACAATCACATCGACAAGACTAGACGAGAAGCCATAGAAGGCTGGGTTATACGCGTTGCGTGCCCAGTAGATGAGCTCCGCTGCGACACGACCCAGGTTTGGAATATCGCGAGGACAGATGGCAATCTTGCGTCCGACGGAGCGAGGCTTTTCTTCTGCCTCGTCATCTGCAGAGGAGCCGGCTTCCGAGACTGGGGAAGACGGGGCAGAGGAGTCAGATGATGCAATGTAGTCGACATCAGAGGCCAGTAGGTGCAACAGGTGGTAGACAGCGGAGAATCCGAGCAGGCTTAGTTCGACGGGGTCAATCGGAAGCTGATTGAACCAGTTGATCGCCTTATGCATGGTGAATGACGCAGGAAGAGAAGTCTCCCCCGCAGAGCGAGAGGCTACTATCGCTGCAATCATTGCACAGCGCACGGCAACGGATATTTCATCACGAACAGAAACAGGAAGGGAGGAATCGAGGAAGTTGGCAGCGTGGTTCTTCTCCCCTTTACCCTTATCTTTGGGGAGGGCCGCTAGAACGGCGCTGACATTCTGCACTCGACCCTGCTCGAAGAAGACTGCCTTCATGACAAGAGCACGGGTATGAGCTGCGGAGAGACGAGGAGCCGCATCGAGGGCCATCCGAATCTTCTCCTTGAAACAGTCACGGCTGACCTTGGATGCCGGAGCACCTTCGCTTGCCTCCAGGTATTTGAGGAGCGCATTCTGAAGGAGATGACTGGACCACCAAGCAGCAAGAGCATCGACGGAGCACTGGATTGCAGGGTCCTCTTCCACGACATCGAGCAGCACTTCGTCATCAGCAGCACCTTCTTGTGTGGGTCTGTTCCAGGTAAGGTTGACTGCACGCTGGATGATACTGTCAATCATCACGTCTTCGCAGTCGAGCTTGAGGAGGGCAGCCAAGTGGCTCGGAAGTTGGTCGGGGTGGCCTTCGGGCAAAGCATCGTTGATATCCCTTGCAACTGCCCACTGGTATTTAGCCAGCGCGCGAGCAATGTCGTTCGAAACGTGGAAGGTCCATGACCCGGGTTCACCGACACGCCATAGCAGAATGCGAACGTGCAAGGCCTTGAGCATCATTCGCATGGGGCTTCGAGGCAGGGTACCGGCGGCGAAGATGGTAAGCACAAGACGGCTTTTGCTGATTTCAATATCACCGCCCGTAAGCTGAGCATCAATGGCAATATCCCATGTTTTGACACGACCCTTTTCATCTTCTTCTGTGATACCAGTAGCCCACGAGTAGAGTTTCCAACCCATGAAGCATCGCAGGACGTACTCGAAGCATCTCGAGGTCACCACGTACCACTCACGGAAAAACCTGTGACGCGGAACACCGACTCGTTGCATACTTGTCAGCCAGGCCTGCCGGCGGAAGTCGCTTGACGAGGACGGTGCAGTCTTGCCCTCGGCAACAGTTTTCCCATGAGCGCGCTGCGTGGTGGGCTGAGCATTAAACAAGTAGACGAAGACGATGAAGGCGCTTCCAACAATCAAAGTGGCAAGTAGAAGAACATGAAAGATAGCTCGAGTGTGCCATGAAGACCAGAAACTCTTCATATAATACTCAAGGTAGGGAAGGTTGGGAACTCGAAGGCGATTGAGCAGATTCAGAGGCACAGCCATCAGTCCCTTTTGCTCGGTCTCGGATTTGTCTGACCCGAAGCCCTCCAGAACCATCAGGCCAGCCAGAGCACCGAGCATATACTTGTTAGGCATCTTTGACCGTCGGCGAGAACCCTCCTCGCGACCGTAATCCGAGGCTCGGGGTGTGGACTGGATGTACGACTGCGAGAAAATTCCTCCACTTTTTGCACCCTCCTCTCGCATGCGCTTGAACGCATCAGGGACCTTAATCAGGCCCTCTGGTGGATTCGTTGAAGCTGGGGAAGCTTCACTAATTTCCTCGGGATTTGAGAACACGCTCGGCGAGGTCCCCGAATCGCTGGAAGCAGTGTAGTTGCTAGGCGAAGATACAGACGCACTCGAGGTAACCGCCTGATCAGCTGCCTTATCCACTTGACGGAGTCGGTTCTTCAAGGCGGTGTTCTCATCTTCCAAACGTTTGTTTCGGATCTCAAGGTGTTTGATGTACTCCGTTGCTTTCGACAGGATTGAAGCTTTATTGAGTTTGTTTGCGGGTGTGGCACCGTCGGCGTCTTCATCGTCCTCATTTGAGTCTCCGTTGGCATTTCTCGTCGCTCGAAGGCTCGGCACACTATCACGTAGCTCTGCAATCTTCTCGTTGAGGTTGGCTCGATATCTTTTCTCGATGACATTGTGAGCACGCTTCTTCGCGGGCATCTTTTTGCCGGATTGAACAGGTCCAGTGACTGTGGTGGCGTCGTCGTCGCTGCCGGTCTTTCGCTTCCGGCTCGTGCCGACACTGGAGATTGGGGACACTAGGCCTAATTGTTGATGGCCTGGAGGGGTCAAAGATTGTGGGCCATTGATACAGCTGTTGCCATTCAATCCATTGTGATGGCCGGATGGTATCTCCATAAGACCCAGCGGGAGATTCGGAGAGAAATCCGTCGAGTGAAGCTGGCCTGGGGAGCTGGAGGTGGTGTTTGGGGAGACGAAGGGGAGGTCCAATGGTCTTTCCATGTGCTTCGAGTCGTTGTCGGCGAACATGGGCTCATCCCATCGCATCCATTGGGTCCAATCTTGGCCGGGATTCTCTGGCTGTGAATACATTCCTCGAGACTCATCCCCACCAGAGTGGCGGCGGGGAGAGAAGAGTTGAAAATCATTGTCCATGTCTGGAGCAGACACGGTGTCTGGACATCCGCCGCGAAGATACTCGGCTGATGTCGAGGTCGGTTTGAATAGGGTGATGATATTTCCCAGACAAGTGGTCAAAACTAGGCAGTATGTTAATATCGAGGCCTGAACATGAACCTGCACCAGACTGATGATCTTCGACAGTCGGGGTCTGTCTATGATTGGGCCAGACAGCCAGTCGACAACAGACTAGCTTCCGTATATAGCAACATGACAGACTTACTCAATTTATAGAGAAGCGCAGTTAATGGGCGTCAAGTAATAGAGATGTTGAATATCGTGCAGTGCGTGTGAGACGCAAAACCTTGAAGAGGGGGAAGTGTCAGAGTCCAAGTTCAGGGCACGACCATTTGGAGCACCAGGCAGGCAGTTAGGTCAAAGATACCCACCCCAATCAGTCGTAGCCTAGGCGGGCCCTTGTGACGAGGGGAAGGTGGATTCTCAAATCAATTGGTCCTTTCCTGCAAAGGCGATCATCTCCAGGCGGTAATGTGGTTGTGGACCAAACGGGTCACGACGCGAAATCGGAGCAGAGACAAAGTATACGGGGCGTAGACGGTGTCAATAGTATCGTGTTCGTCGTTGAGTGAACGCGAAACGCGAAATGATGCTGGCAGCCACCATCGAAGTTCGACGGTACGGGGCATTTCGAGTCGTCGTATGATCGCGGCTCGCCGCACTTCCGGCTGGCCGGCCAGTAAAGCGTACGGTAATGGTATGGTGGCTGAGTTTTAGCTGGAACCATGCAGGATTTGCGTGTAATCCCTGGTTTATTACTGTAATTTACGCTCAATTATGATTGGCCCTCTTAACGCCCCACTCTCCCCTGTTGACTCAGCTTTTCTCATGTGATTTCTGTGCCTGAGGTTCCCTCCACAGAGCATCGGCCTGCCAGTCAATCAATAAATCCTTCCATCTTTCACTGCTCAATGCAAGAAATACAACCCAATTGAAAAATTTTCACTGAGAATCTGCTCACCGATCAGCAGGAGGTGTTTCTTGGCGCTCCACTGTGGTGCCACACAAAGAACCAAAAAAAAATCAGAAGATGCCGCGTTCTGATCTTATCAGATCGTGCCAGTCCCCACCCTCCTGACGCTGGTAGGTCCGGACCTCGAGGGAATGGCGAGGCTCACCAATCCCGCTCTCCCGTCATTCGTGAGAAAAGTCTTGTGGGTCGAAAATCCGGTGTCGGCGGAGACATGACTCCAAAAAGCCCCTCCCTCGCAAGCACACTACTGTTGAGGCGTTCGCCCGCAACGTCTTGCTGCGTCATTGGGGCAGCAGCGAGGTCCTGAGGCCCCAATTGGTCTACATTCGGCGAGGGAAATCCAATCCTCTTAATACTCGAGATCATAATGTTACATCCTCAACCACGGATCATATTGTCTTCTCGGGCTAAGTCTAAAACTTGAGATGGCATCCTATCGTGCCCCTGCTCTACAATGCGCTCTCGGTCACAGCTACCGCTCCCATCAGCTCCTTCACCGTCTTCTTGACTGCTTGCCCAGCCTCCTCGTACGGCGTGCGTGGCTTGAGTCGCTCCAGCGCGTTGTCAATCCCCGCCGCTGGTGCAGAGTATAACGCCACCGCATATTTCGTCGAGGCAATTCCACCCTTGCAAGGCGTCTCAGCTAGCGCCGAGGCCCGCTGTAGTTCCATGGCTTCAGTCAACTTACCAGCTGTGAAAAGCTCATAAACCTTCGATGCAGTCTTCGGGAAGACATTGGCAAAGGCAGAGATGCAGCCCGCGGAGCCAACGGTCAGACCGGCGATAAGGAAATCCGACTGTCCTCCAAAGATCGCAAACTCGGTCGGGCTAAATGTTGCAGCCAAGCGTGTGATTTTGCCCACAGAGCCGCAAGTCAATTTAACGCCGACAATATTCGAGACTCCATTAGGGCTGGCGGCAACAGACTCCCGAACGATCTCTGTAATCGTCTCCGAGTCAATGTCCACCCCGTTGCAGACCCCCGGGAAGTTATAGATAAGCACAGGCAAGGGGCTTTGGCGTGCCACATCCGCGAAGAAGCGCTTAACAACGTTCATATTAGTCGCTTTGCCGAAGTAGGCTGGCGGTAGGACCAACAGATAGTTGGCACCGGCGGCAGCGGCATCGTGCGCTAGCTCAAGGGTCTGCTTGGTAGAATGGGTTCCCACTCCAGCCATGAGAGGGTAGTCCGGTCCAACTGCTTTGCGTGCAGTTGCAATCAATTGGGAACGCTCTTCGCGTGTCAAGAGGAAAGCTTCAGAGTTAGTGCCCATGATCACGAGGCCAGCCAGACCGCTACGCGATAGGTATGCATAATATTTCTTCTGTGACTCTAGGTCCAGAGTATCGGTAGCTTGGTCAAAGATGGTCACTGCCGGGCACCATACACCTGATTTAGGGATGCGAGGCTGTGGAGAAACTTGAGGTCCTTGTGATCCCATCTTGTTTACTGTGAGATCGACGATATATTTCTAGCCGTAGGTTGTAGCAAATGAGATGATGTTGTAGCTGTATCGTTGCGAACCCCCTCGAGCGACCGTAGATTATTTGGATAATGTAGATAAGATGATATACTACAACCTCGATATCTTTGCATGGTAGATGTGCTACTTAAATTGGATTACATGCGGGGTTAGAAAGGGTGGAAAAGAATCCGCGTCGGACTGCCCCCGTTGATCGGGCAAGGGGCCGAGCCGACCAGCTAGGTAGCGTGGAACGGCCTCCTTTCCACACGTACCTTTGGACAGCGAGCTGCCGATTGACCTGTTAGTCACGTATTATCCTCTTATCCGTAAGTTTAATGCGAGGTCTAGATTGGTATACGACTAACCTCTCTAGAGGACAAGTCCACGGGTTTGGCAGCCCTACGAGGCTGACCTCATCCCTGTCCCTAGCAACCCCCTCGGTTGTCAATTTACGAATCTACCACCGTCAAGATCTTTAGGCGCTCGATTATTTAACCCCCCTACTGTTTTCAAACAACGGTGGAATTTCTTCAGAGAGTCACCATTGCTCGAAGAATATCACCCTTACCCTATCTACGCAAACCGTGGTTTTGTTCTGAGCAATCTACCATATCGGTTTCATCCCGGCGTCACTTATCCACCAGTCCAGAGGCTGTCCACGAAGAATTCTTTCGAAATACCTCGCGACGATGGATGTATGTTTGGGTTTATTGTGACTTTATTCCCAGCCACTAATTTTTAGACAGATTCAACGAGACCGACCGATTAAACGAACGATACGTCAAGTTTCGACCAACAGAGCTCCAACGGATTGCCGGCGAAGCAATGCAACTAGACTATTGCCCTGATATCGCTAAGCTGGCAGAGGGAGGTTTCAACAAAGTCTTTATTCTGCGAGCAAAGAATGGCCGTGAAGTGGTTGCGCGAATCCCAACACCCATTGCTGGGCCTGCTCATTACACAACTGCGAGTGAGGTTGCGACGATGGACTTTTTGCGAACTGTTCTTAAACTACCGGTACCGGAGGTCTTTGCATATTCAACAACATCGGACAATCCCGTCGGATCAGAGTATATTTTGATGGAGCGGGTTGAGGGGGCAGTCTTTCCTCACGGTGGTTATCTCTCACAACCGACGAGGTGAAAGACATCATGACTCAAATCGCAGATATGGAGAGGACCATTTTTGACTTCTATTTTCCGGCATACGGAAGCTTATATTACAAGAAGGACCTTGACAGGGAAACCCAGATCCCAATCATAGATGATTTTGTTATTGGTCCTGTATCAACCCGGCAGTTTTGGCATGGCGAACGAAGCAAAACAGAAATTGACCGTGGACCCTGTAGGTTTTCCTCCTCTCCCCCTTCTCCCAATAAGTCTTGGCTTCTCAGAAAAAAAAAAGAAACGACATGGCCGGGCTGATCATTTCCATAGGGCTTTTACCCGTGGACTGTGTTACCTCCGCGGCTCGCCGAGAGATGGCCGTCATTGAGCGTCATGCTAAACCTCAGCCTCGGCAGACATTCCTTCTACTAACTAACTATAATATTGATCCCTCTGAGCATACCTCTTTACTTTCGCGATTCCTACGTTTGGCGCCTCATTTAATCTCACCGGGCTCTTCTAGCGCTCCTACGCTAAGACACCCCGATTTGAACCTGAGCAACATTTTATTGGCTCCTGGATCATCCAAAATATCGGTATCATTGATTGGCAGGACTCTGTGATATTCCCACGCTTTATGCAAGCGGGCTATCCCACATTTTGTGAGCACGACTCATCTCAGCCTCAAAGTTTGCAGATTCCATCGCTTCCCGATGATTTTGATAAGCTGGGTATCGACGAACAAAGATATTACAAGGCCATATTTCGCTTAGAAGAGGCCAACCTCTACTACACAGCTGCGACGGGTGTACACAATGACGAACACACGAAGGTGTTGAAAATTCCTCATCTCGGAATGCAGCAGTATCTGCTTCGCCAGACAGGGTATCCCTGGGATGCAGACGTAATCAACCTACGTGCTGCGCTAGTAGGCATCACAACACCGTCGGTATGGGGCAAGATTTCCTCAGAAACTTGTCCGGTTGCGTTTAGCGATGAAGAACGAGAGGCTGCGATGGCGGAATCTCAAGAATGGAACGAGTTTGAACAGCTCTTGTCGCGGGTTAGAGAACACCTCAATATCGATCTTGAAGGCGGGACCGAGCCGGATAACTTTGAGAGGGCAATGGAGGGCAATCGCCAGTTTCGTATGGAAATGCTCAATCAAGCAGAGGTGGGCCAGCAGGAGCTTTGTTGGCGTAATTGGCCGTATAAGGATGAACATGATGACAGCATGCCTCCTCTCGGGGATAGCTACCTTTTGTCGAGAATATTCGAACCGGGGAGATCAGGTCTTTTATGTTCGGCGACAGATAGTCGGACAGAACGGCATACAATTGCGGCGCCAACCCGGGAACGGCAAAACTCCCCGAATCTAATAAATCACAGCTCCTAATAACCCAATCTCGATATCTTTGTAGGATAGATATGATACTTAAGCTAGAGTTCATGCGTGGTTAGCAAGAGTGGAAAAGAATCCGGGTCGGACTGCCGCCGATAGCTTATTGACCGGGCAAGGAGCCGACCAGCTAAGTAGCATAGAAACGGCCTCCTTTCCACCCGTAAGTTCAGACGGATATTGGGAAGTGAGAGAGCCGACCTGTCATTTAATTGGATGGCTAGTCATGTATCCATTCCTTTTAGAGCAGCGCCAAGATCAAAACCAACCCAAATAGCGACGTCGTGATGCTGTCGATAAGGGGTTTAAAAATGAACGATGTTTTCTTTACATATACAGTACATGTCAGCGAAGAGGCTAGATCACAATGATACTATTCCAGCAGCCAATACTGGCATACTTGATATTTGAACAGGCTGCTAACACCGTTCCCGTAAATCATTCCCAATCTACCTTGAGCCTATCCCCGCAGCCCTTGCGGCTAAAAGCTCCCGGAAAACATCCATGCTTACGGGGTAGTTGGTCTGAATAGCGGTATCTGACGCTATGTTTCCCTCAATCTTGATAAAAGCCATGTCCTTCCATATATCAACTGCAACGGGCCCATTAATTTGAAGTGCTTGATCTCTCGTTAAGTTGTCGACAATAATCCTTCGCCCTCCCACATTCAGGGCCGCGTCTACTGGCTCTGGATGAAGGGCTTCGCGTTCCTCCGTCTGTAATTTATCATACTCTGCGTCAGATAGCTGGATGGACTCGCTGCCTGCTCAATGTGCTTAGCCCCATTATAGAAATAGTAGAATATTTCGCAAATTACCTTCCAAAACAGCGCCTTTTTGCCTGAGGAACTCGGCAATCTTTAGCCCTTTCCCCTCACCTAGGGTTTCTTGGAGGAGTGCATGGAGTTTGTTGACCGTGGCCATCTCGACAAGGAGAGTATTGTTGATGGACTTGGCCAGCCCGACATTTGCGACTTGGATTTGCAAGATCAGATCTTGCTTTGCTCGACCAAGCCGGACCATGAAAGATGCCAGCTGTGCTTCGTCCTCTGAACCGCTTATGAGCTGATGGCCGAATTGTCGAAGTGCACTTTTAGGTTGTCCCATCGACATCAGATGTCTCTTCAGCCCCTGGCCGAGGTTCTCGACACGTCGGACCATAGCGACTGCACCTGATGTTTGTAGAGCATCTTCGTTCTGGACCAACTCGACAATTCTTTTGGTCTCACCAACCTCCTCGCTGTACTCCTCGAGCTTTGACCTAAGCTCAGCCTGTCGCTTTGCTGCTTGTTGAATGAGCTGAATCACCATCAGAAGGATGGAAGATGCTTCCGCTGCAGTTCCAAAAATATCCTACTTCATTTTTAGCGATGGCTCATCCTTTCCTCTACATGTCTTTCGTTGCTAACCATGTTTGCGGCCCACGTCTATACTGTCTATCTTGAGCTTTGGGCCTGATCAGTGGTCCCCGAAGTGATTTTCCAAGGAGCAGTGACTCGAAGTGACTGGAAGTGGTTTGGAGTGTTTCGGCGGGGTAATGAGAATGCATTTCACCAGCCCACGAGTACATATTTGGGGGCGACAAGGGTTAGAGGTTGCGGCAACCAGTGAAATGGCCCCGTACCACAGACCCGACAGCGGCTGAGGTGCATCAGCCTCCCTCGTACGGGGATTACACCAGCTGGCTTGTTTCCCGAAGTACAAAATCCCCAGAAATTCCGCCTGCTCATCATTTTATTGTTGCATAGTAGAATAACCTTCATTCCCCCACTTCTACGAGTGCGCTGCCCCATATCGAATAGCATGGTAAGTTCGCGACCGTGAGATTTCAACCTGTTATCTCCCATGTTGATACCCGGTATCGCTTACCGCCGCCTCCCCCAGTCTGCGACGAGCCAAAATGAAACACACTCTTCATTTGAGGATGTAGCCTATGCCACCACAGCCTCGCTGGATATCTCGGACCTTTACATAAAACAACTCGCGAGGCATCACAAAGAAGAAGTCGAAACGACAAAGAAGATCAATGGGTATATCAGCCAGCTTGCTGATCTCAGGCACCTTGTCCAGCAGATCAGGTACCAGAACGATCTGCAAACACCCACCGTCGGGACTGCCCTGCGCAAAGTCCAAGGCGCCACGAAGCAGACCGAACGGGGTTTGAAAGCCGATGAATGCACGCCTGCCTCTCTCGTTAATCCTATGGACGAGCTTACCCAAGCCACAGCCAATCTGATAAGCCAGCTCCCCGGCGACATCTCGGTAGCAAATGAAAATAAGGCAACGGAAAAGTTTCAAAACAATGCTCCTATAGGAGGCAACGCTCCCACATGGAGGGTAAATACCACGGCTTCGAGGAATGAGGCCGTGGGTGCTTTTCAAAACAACGCTCCGATATATGGAGATTCGGCATGGCTTGCTTCATATTTCAAGGATAGTTGAATTGGGGGAATTGGTCGGGGGCGAACAGACAGCACAGCCCTTCAATTCAGTGCTGTACAGTACTGCCCTATAATACTGTATTGGAGATATTTCTATTTACGGTTACTCCGGCCTCTTGCATGCTTGATTGGGTTTTATGATTTGTCAAAGTTGGATGTGCAGCAAGCCACACTCACCAAATTGCGGCCGCGTTTATTGCTAGTTCCTGATTGGACAAGGATGGAGCTGAATTGCACTACATATTGTACTAGTCGTCCCTCTTTCCTGTGAACGGAGTAGAGTATATTTAAGAAGCCAGTCGCCAGCCGTATTTCCTCAGAGCCGGCCCTTTTGTTTTTCCTGAGGCTCCACATTATATTCAATGTCTTCGCTGGAAGACGGCACCGGCACCCATGGTCACTTGGCTGAGAGACCATCCCGGACCACCACGGCGTCCAACAACAAGGCTTACAAGTCATTCCAAAATAATGCCCCCCTTCATATCCATGATGGTGGCAGCTTCACCTACGTCAACTCGAAAGGTATGGTAATGGTTCTTTATCCCGTCTTTGGGTTTTTGGTTGAGGACGGACAACGCAGGCTGAATATCTTTCTTTACTTTGCCTGGAATAGATGAACCAACCCCCGAAGAAGAACGCCTAGAATGCTTGTCGTCCCTCTTTGTTACAAACCCGGAATCTGACCGCGGCAGTATCACTACAGCCAAGGGAAATGTTATCGACGGTACTTGCAGATGGATCACCGACGTCCAGGAATTCGAGTCATGGCTCAATGGCACAAATAATCTCTTATGGATATCGGGTGGCCCTGGGAAGGGCAAAACCTTCCTTTCGATCTACTTGGTCGATATTCTGCGCACCCTGGCCACTGAGGATAAGGGGCCATCCGTGCTTCTACTCTTCTGCGATCATAGCAACCACCAGCGTAATACGGCGCTCGCAGTCATCCGAGGCCTACTCTATCAGATGCTAGAGGCTGATGAGGCCTTGTATGACGATATTCTTGGCCCATTCAAACTTCGAAAGAAACGAGGCGAGAACCTATTCAGTGACGCTTTCCTCGAAGAGCTATGGAAGATCTTCGAGAAAATGGTCGCTAGAGATCCGCGGCCACGATACTTCGTATTGGATGGCCTCGACGAATGTGATCGCAAGTCGATCAAATTCTTGACTACGAAACTGGAAGGAATTAGTTCTCTTCACGCACAGTGGAACATCAAAACGGTAGTGGTTAGCCGCCCAGATACGACAATCCACACAGACCTACGAATCGATTTGGATCAAGAGCATCACCAGAGGACGGAGGAAGACGTCCACACTTTTGTCCAAGTCCAAGTCAAGGATATTTGTGGGATCGGCGACCAAAGGCCTGAGTTAGCACACCTTTTACTGGACCGCGCCCATGGGACATTTCTGTGGGTGTGGTTGGCGACGGCGATGTTAAAAGAGAAGCCAGACCTAGCCCGGCAGATCCTGGAGTCCGAAGCCTCAGCCAATGTTTGGCTACCCGAGGGGCTTGACGCCATGTACGATCGGATGTTACTGGGAATACAGGAGATCAATGCAGAGGCAGCCGCTGTGGTCCTTCGTCACGTTGCCATGGCCTGTCGGCCTTTGACTAGAGAGGAGCTGCGCTATATCTGCGCGGATCAGAAAATCGATCATAAAAAGGTCGATTTGCAGCTCGATTTCGGCTGCAAGAACCTGTTGATAATCACGGGGGAGACTGTGCACCTGGTTCATCTGTCGTTGAAAGAATACCTCGTATCTCTCCCACGACGGAATCTATCAGCTCCCTGGACCCGGTTCTTGCCTTTCAGGAGACAGTTGCCAGGGCAAGGTAAATCCCCACTAGTCCTCTTTGGCATCAACGAAAAAAGAGCCCATGCCGATCTCCTTTTGAGATGCCTGGGCTTCATGGAGTTAAAATTTGGGAAGGAGAGGCGGAAACTTCACCCGAGTACTCTTGTGGCAAATATCGACAAGGCTGAGATCCGCAACTATCTCCCATCTCACGTCCAGTATGCTTGCATGTACTGGGTTCGTCATTTAACGGAAAGCCAGGCTAGAGTTTTGGACCACCGTTGCATACAGCGGTTCCTTGAAGCTCACTTCCTTCATTGGCTTGAGGCTCTAAGCCTCATAGGGAGCGCGTCAGAATCCGATAGGTCAATTCAGAGCTTGCAAAGATTTATCCAAGTATGTTGTTCGAATACATAGGCACAGCTTGTGTATAAACCTGCAGCTAATTCCTAATTAATTCAGCCGACCGCAAGCCCAGCTATCGCAAGCTTTCTCGCCGATGCATCCCGGTTCGTCCATGCAAACATTGCAATTTTCAGTAAAATGCCCAGTCAGATCTACACATCTGCACTTGCTTTTGCGCCCAGAAACAGCATATTGAAGCGAAATTTCCGGAAGGCCATTCCAGAGATTCTGTCTTTCTTGCCTGAAGTAGAGTCGGACTGGAGTGCGTGCCTGAAGACTCTCGAGGGCAATAAAGGTCAAGTCACATCAGTCTCGTTCTCGCAAGATGCAAAACTGGTAGTTTCGGGATCAGATGATAACAAGGTCATCATCTGGGACGCTATCACAGGCGCAGAGGTTCAGACGTTCGAAGTCACTAACTTGCCTTCCCCGTACTATCGTTATTTTAACGACTTCCCCATCGGATCGGTGGCGTTCTCTCACGATACCAAGTTCGTGGTATCTGGAATAGGGGACGGGTCTATCAGGATCTGGGATATCGAAGAATGTACGGATGCGCGGATACTCCGAGGCCATTCAGCATCCGTCAACTCGGTGGTGTTCTCGCACGACGGAAAGCTTGTGGTATCAGGAGCGAGTGATTTGACAATCAAGATCTGGGACTTTGCAGCAGGTATTCTACTCCGGACGCTCGACGGACATAGCCATCCTGTCTTGTCAGTAGCATTTCTCAATAATACAAGACTTGTAGTATCGGGCTCAAGTGACCACTCTATCAGGATCTGGGATATTATGAAAGGCACCGAGACACGGAGGCTCCAGCTTCAAGAACAACCTATGAGCGCCATGTCGATAGCGTTCTCTCGTGATGCAAATATTATCGCATCTGGGTCAGCAGACTCCATTGTCAGGATCTGGGATATCGAAGAATGTGCCAATGTACGGTTGCTCCTAGGCCATTCAGGACTCGTCGAATCAGTGGCAGTCTCGCATGACGGAAAGCTTGTGGTATCCGGAGCAACTGATATGACAATCAAGATCTGGGACGTTATAGCAGGTACCCTACTCCAGACCGTCGACGGCCACAGCTCTGCTATCTTTTCGGTGGCATTCTCCAATGACGCGAGGCTTGTGGTATCAGGGTCGCAAGATAAGACTGTCAAGATATTGGATACCGCAATATGTGCCAAATCCCAAAGCCCTATAGTACACGACAGCTTTGTCGTATCGGTAGCTTTCTCTCATGATGCAAGAATTCTGGTATCTGGGTCAACAGACTCCATTATCAGGGTATGGGATGCTACCACTGGTACCGAGGTCCAGAGGCTCGTGGGCCATCTAGGACCCATTGGATTGCTTGCATTTTCGCGCAATAGACAATTCATAGTATCCGCATCAAAGGATCAGACAATCAAGATCTGGGATATCGAAGAGGGTACAGAGGTTCGGACATTCGAGGGCCATACTCACCAGACATCAGCGTTGGCGATCTCCAATGATGCGAAGCTACTAGCTTCAGGATCGTATAACTCTATCAAGATAAGGGATACCGCAACAGGGGCCGAAGTCCTCACATTTGAGGCTGCTCCTTTTGTTACATCGGTAGCGTTCTCACCTGATGCAAATCTCGTTGTATCAGGATCATCGAATGGCTGTATCAGGATTTGGGATATTACAAAGGGTCCTGATGATGACTATGGGGCTATTGCTATGTCAGCCTCCGAGGATACAGTAAAGTCGGTGTCATTCTCGCATAATGCAAAGCTGGTCGTTTCAGGATCGATGAGTGGAACCATCAAGTTCTGGGATACTGCAACAGGCATGGCAATCGCGAAGATTAAAGTCGGGTTTATTATCAGCCACGTATCCTTCCATCTGACGCGACCCTATCTCTGTACAGACAGGGGACTTGTCGGACCTCTCGACTTCGAACGACTCCACCAAGGTGACCCATCGCCCTCCCCTAATTTCATGGTAGATGTTGGCTACGGAATCAGTTCAACCGGGGCCTGGATCACCTGGAATGGGGAAAACGTGCTCTGGCTACCACCTAACTATCGGCCGATGACGTCGGCAGTAGTGGGCGATGCATTTGAAGTGGCAACGGGAATTGCATTGATCACCCATTCACGCAGGTTCATCTTTCTTAGATTCGCGGGGTCTCCTAAACCGATATGATACTGCGTACACCTACTCAGAGGCGTTTTCTTACCACTTCCCTTCTTAATCACGACCGGTTGCAATTCCCATTCCCTTGGCCCTAATTCATGGAATTATTCCCGTAGAGTTCTAAATCATGATGCGTGATCTACCAATAGATTTAGTACTAGAGCACGGTACGTGCTATATGACAATGCTTTCAAGGGTATTTGATAAAACAATCATGTAACGGATCAATTTAGCTAGCACGGTCATCAACTGAAGAACGAAATTTTCTTTCTAGCACACATGCCTTCCACTACAGCTTCCATCAAGACATGCGTCTGCTTGGTAGTAAGACCGCCAGTTATGGCTACGGCATCGATTCCGCAGGCTCCTATATTCTAGTTGTGATTATTGCTGTCCATGGGAGCGTCTATTTGAGGAAGGGAGGCTGATTTGTGAGCCATGCAGGCTGAAAAGAACCAGCTGTACCGGAAACACAGTTCCTTGTGACAACTGCAAGGATCACGAGACATGTGTAGCCGCTTGCTGTGGATTATGTCGTCAAATGAAGCTTCGTTGCCATGGGAATATGCTCCGTGTAACAATTGCAGCAACACTGAGAAGTGTCAATACCTCACGATGTGTAAGCCCATCAAGTCCATAGATACCAGGCGTAAGACGTCATGTGCCGATTATTCTGGATTAAATAGCGCCCATGGTAATTGAGAAATCCCCGGATTTAGCGTTCGAGAAAAACGGCCATGGAAACTTCAAGCAATCGGCCTCCGTTGGTACGTTGAACGACCAACCACATACCTACCAGATCTTGTCGTCAAGACTAAAGTCATGTCCATCGGTTATAGACTTGCTAATGGATTATAGACTTTCTAATAGAAAAGAAGCATCGACGAATGAAAGACCTCGTTCTTTTTCGGCTCCGAAATTACCAGGGGCGGTAATCAGAGACTAGAACTTTCCATTTAATTGTCTTCCATCGTACAAGGTAGATATGCTGAATTTTGGCATTCAAGCTTGGACGGGCACCCAGCCTAGCGGGACCCAAAAAGCATTTAGCAGTTTGCGAATTGTGTCACAGACTTATCAGTAGTCCATCGGATTGTCGCCATATCCAGCAGGGAAGGGGCCGAGCGGATCATTAAAGTATCGGGAACCTTGGCAAAATCCCGACCTAGTGTGATGAAGGACCTTGGGGTACCTGTTCCTGCTATTAGAAGACCTGGAAGACGAATACACGAAGAAAAATGAATCTGATTCACAACTTTATTCAACGCATCTACGGCTACTAATTAACTAAATGGTACTAAAGAGGGGCCCAGCTTCCTCACAGGCATTGGCTATGTGAAAAGAAGCTGCCATGAGGGCAATAGGTAATCACCCCGAATTCTACCTTGAACCGCAATTTGTATAGCAGAAGTGATTGTACTTAGTGCTGCAGTAGTATGCATCAGCTGCCAAAACAAAGATTACCAGATTCATCCAAGGGTTCCACATACCTCAATATCCTCCCACTTCTCCCAGCCTCGGCCACGAACTTCGGCGAGTTCATCCATTGAGATTTGTTTACCGGTTGTAAAGTATCCGGCATTGATCTTGGCGTCAATTTCGACACGGGAATCACTGGGGATCATGTCATCAGGAATGGGAATACGCTCGAGAATTTTGATTCCGGAATCCACGATGGCATCATGTTTCATGTTGGACATGGACAGCATGCGGTCAATCTTCTTGACACCGAGCCAATGGAGAATGTCTGGCATCAAGGCTTGGAATCGCATCTAAAAAAATAGTTAGCGCAAGGATCCAAGTCAAAAGAGGGAAGCTCTTTGGCATACATCCCGCACTCCGGCAATGTTCTCAGTTCTTGTAAAGTACTTATCGGCAGTGTCTCCACCTCGTTTCCGGGCGTTGTATACAAGGTATTTGATCACCTCGCCAAGGGCGCGGCCTTCCTTACGGAAGTAGATAACCACACCACTGCCACCGTTCTGTGCTTCACGGATTGCTTCACGGATACCAAAGGCCAAGTATGGTCGACATGTGCAGATATCCGACTGGAACACATCACTACCGTTACACTCGTCGTGGATGCGAAGAGCCAGCTTGACATTCTCATCCGCTACTCGCTCTGGTGGCCCAAAGATATAAACGGTAAGACCGCCAATTGGTGGAAGGAAGACCTTCAGGTCGGGGCGGGTGATCAACTCGGGATAACTGCCACCCGTGTGCTCGAACAATGTACGACGGAGAGTGCCTTCATCAACGCCGAATCGATCAGCCACTCCTGGCAAATACCACACCGGCTCTACCGCAACCTTTGTCACTCGCACTTCGCCAGATGAGTCGACAACGATAGAGCCGTCCACCTCGAGCAGACCATCTCGTACCGCTTCCGCAATCTCAGCCAGCTTCATGTTAGCTCGTGTGACTGCCATTGTGGGTCGAATGTCCCAGCCTGCCTCCAGCTCCTCCTTATACTGATTAACAATATCATGACCGTACGGGTCCATTGACACGATCTTGGTCTTATCTGCCCAAGCCTTTTGCCATGGGAAGTCAAAGGTCGGTTGACTGTTGCGAAGGTCTGGGCGGAAGTTTGCATCCAGATCACCGGAAGCAACAGCCAGGGCGTTGTAAATGCTGTAACTTCCACCATGAGCTCCAATGGCATTGCGACGCTTCACGAGGTTACCGCTGCGAGATACCACAACAGGACCACGAGATTTGGCATCTGCAGCACCCCATTTCAATGGCACAGGGTCAATACCGCTTTGACCTGGGTATGTTGTCAACTAATGCCAGTTAGCTTCTCCGTACCTCGAATAGAGCTAGGTAGGCCATCCTACAATGATATGCTTGCTGTAATGGGACTTGGGCGAGGTAGGGGATGGCGGGGTAGGTTCCGGCATTTTGGCAATGGATTCAGTCTCGAGCATTCTGGAGGAAAATAGAAAAGAAGAACTTGTTGGGTTCAAGAAGAGTTGGGTGAAGTTGAAAGGGTAACACTGCAGGGGGGGTCGGCCATGTGACTTCCCCCGCACGTTATCAGCTTATCAGCTCCGTTGCAAAGCGGCGGTCACTCCAGTCGCGTTGTTATCTGCACGCTGCAATCTCCCTGCATTTATCTTTGCTAAGAGGGCTATCGATGGCCACGGATGTTACCTGTACGATGCACGCCAACCAGGCCACTTGCTCTGATTGTTGCCCTGGACCCACCGCTATACAATCTCTCGGCTGTTATGGGGCGCCCCGATATGATCGACCCCACCCCGCTTGTCTTCGGAGTTCTCGGCGTTCCGCCAGACTGGCCGGACTGGTGAACGCCGAACGCGATTCGCCTTGTTGGCACTGCATTTTGCCCTGCGAGGAACGCAGCGGACTGGATCTTGTAACCGAAAGGGCATGAGAGACATAGAAAGCTACCATTTACCACATCCATGAGGTTCGTATTCATTGCAATAGAAATCATTGAAAGACCCCATGCTAATTCTGCTATCAGTAGTGCACGCCGTCGCAACGGCAAGCCGGCCTCGTGCGAGCCCTGCCGACGCGACAAGGTGCGCTGCGACCATGCTTTACCCACGTGTAGTCGGTGCAAGGACCGTGGAATATCATCGCGGTGCTTTTACCACCCAGCGCCCCTGACTCGAACTAGAACGAGACAGATTTTCCCGCTGGCAGAAGGGGTTCCGTTTGACCGTGCGGCCCTAGCCAGGTACGTCTCCACGTAGATCCAATCTGGAATGGTGGGTTTGCGGTCGGGAAACTCCGATATCTCCATCAAACCTCTCCAAATTATCCATTACGAAGAGACTAATCTAGAGCCATGGCTATCATTAGGAATGTACCTCCTGGTGAAACGTCGTTTAATTCGAACACACCATCGACATCCAATGACCATGCATCGTCACGAACATTGGGACCAAGATCTAAACCGCTGCTAGCGGGTTACTTTGGGCCCACAAGCTTTGTGTCTTCTTTGACTGATGATGTAGATCTTGTATCTGCTGGGCAGGGGCTGGATGTAGCTTCAGGCGCGAAGCGCGTCTTGCCACCATACTGGGTGCAGAAGATCTCGGAGATACTATTGACGCTGGGAGACTTTTCTGTTATTGAGTCCCTGCTGCGCGAGTACTATGACTTGAGTCAGAGTGGCGCCATCCCCGCGCCTTTCATCTTGAACAGTATCGGCCCTTTCAAGACAATGTGTGAAGAATGCGTCCGCGTGAGAAATATTGAGGACTTGGCTTCGTCGATCATAGTTCGCATCATTCAAAATACGGCCGAGATATTTGAGGTCCCTTCAACCATGGCTGGAAAGGACTTTCATCAACTCTTCACGGGTCCCGCTATTCGCTTGGAGATGATTGGGGTCATCTGCTCCCTCGCTGGTAGAGCACGGTACTTGGGATTGGCCCGTGATAAGTTTGACGGTCAATCATCTCCTATCCAATACGCGCGAAAAATGCTTGCAGCTAGCGATGCCGCATTGCACATTTGCAAGATACTTACGCCGCTGAACGATCTAACAATCTGGCTCGTGTATGAGAACCTTTTGCTTTCTGACCTGATCAACGGAGACTCGAGTAAGTAGGATGCTTTTGAGCAGTCGAAAGGTTCATTGCTAAATTATTAGGCCCTCATTGTTGGAGCAGACTAGGTGACCTATCGACGGACATCTTTGCACTTGGTCTTCACCGGGATGCGAAGACTGATCAACTCCCAGAGTTTCTTTTCGAGTCGAGACGTAGGCAATTCGCAGCGGCATACCAACTTGATAAAAGTATCGCGACGTTTCTGGGGCGACCCCCTAGGATACCTTTGCGCTATTGCGATTGCCGGATGCCCCTCGATATCAGTGATGACGCGCTGGCACCCGAAGATACAAACCTCCAGTATTCTCCTACTGACCTTGATGCTAATAATTGGAATGTTCATGGTGTCTTTCAACGCTCTTCTTGGATGAGAGTACGGTTCATTATCAGTATGTTCCGTGACGAGATACTGGAGGTCTCATTACAAAAGGTCACGCCCCAAACGGCTAATCTGCTAAAGTGAGTATATCCAATTCTTAAGGCGCAGATCGGACTAACGTTGTTTAGCGACATCTCTCACCGCTGCCATTTAGCCTGGGAGTCGTTGCCAGTACATCTGCGGTATACACCGCACTCCTGGGGGAACCAATACCCAGTGGCAGTGTCCTTGCTTCTGATCGTTTCATACCTGGCATATCTGTACAATGATTTCCTCGTTCAAAGACTACTAGCTGGAAAGAAGAACCCAAGAGGAAGCACCGCTTTGCTCTCGGTGAGCGCAGAGATATTATCCTCTGTCCTAACTATTGGAGCACAGAGGGAACAGATGGTCGACATTCGACCCGACTTTACATGGACAGTAAGTGTTTACCCCCAATCCAATTGCTTTTACCTCCAAGATAATTAACATTTCGGCTCGAATGAAGATTCTACTCTACGGGTTTCCAAGCGCCAGCCTCCTCATCAAAGCCCTTCAGCACCAAAAGCGAACTGGTCAGCCCTTCCTTTACGAAGGATCTCGATCGGCCTTACTTCGCAATCTAAGCGTCTTCATATCCCATCTCGAGACCATCGTCCGACCTGATAACTCGAACTACGCACTCTTTCAAAGAGCAAGTCAAGTGTTTTCGAAGATTATTGACGAAGTCCTCGAGCCTCAAGATACGATTGCAGATACCGACATAAGCGATGCATCCCTCTTCGACTTTGATCAGATGATACCCGTCGACGGCTTGGACTTGTTCAATACTATGGACTTTGGGGTTGCATTTAACCAGTGGCTATTTTGATGACAACCAGATCTGTAACGATATATTGATTGTATTATGGTACTAGGTAACAGTCATAAGGTTGAGTGAGATAATATAAAGAGTCATGAACATGGAACATCGTTTGAAATCCTCATCCAAAGCACATTGCACAAGGGACATGGACAAATGAATCAACCAAAATCTATCTCAACTCATGACTCCTCTCAGTCTCATTGACAGAAACTGTCTTGGGCTGAGACTCGGCACTGAGCTCCGTAGCCCGATCAGTCTGAGGTGCGACGTGCGCCGGTTGAGGAGAATATTCCTGACGTGGGTAACTCTGCTCAGACGGAGGATAGGCAGCCATGGGTGGCATGCCCGGGCCACCTGGAGGGGGCGAGCCGGTCGGGGGATAATAAGGACCCTGTGGATACTGAGCCTGATCCTGAGCCTGGGGAGGCACAAGTCCAGTAAAACCCAGAGCCTCGGCGGCAGGATCGCGGCGATGAAAGAACTTCTTCAACCACATGCCCACCTTCGCACCACCAGACATAGACTTCCATCTTCCCGCAAGCCAAGCCTGTTGATCCGGCGTCTTGGGATCGTACTTCTTCACCGTTAAAAGAAGGAAACAAGACAGAATCGGGCACAGGAATGCCCATGCATACGGCAGTCCGCGCCGAACCTTTTCGCCCAGCATGGCCCGGCGGAAAATAAACCAACTCTCCCATAGACCGAGGAGAAGGAAGAAGCCGAACCATGAGAAGAAGATTGCGAGGAATAGGCCAACAGGCGAGATGCCCCAGGTATAGTAGCATCCGTTGGAACAGCAATAGCCACCTGAAAATGCCGAGCCGCCGATATACCAGGTGAATTTGTCACAGCCAGAACGACTTCCGCCGCTGCTGCTGCCACCACTGGAGGATCCACCACTGTTGTAGTTATGGACGCAGGAGGTGAATCGCGAAGGCTTGTACACTGAACTAACAGAAGACAGGACACTGCTCGGGATATCGCTAGGATCCAGCATTGCCTGCGTATAGGTGATCTGATCGGTGATATACTGATATGTCTGCGTGCTGGTGACAACGGTGGTTGGACGCATCAATTGCTCCGCGTCATATGGCATATAAACGGGGATAGCTGTCGTGAGGGTCGCGCTGGTTGTGTAGGAGCATGATGCCGGCGCCGTGTAGACGACATTCACATAGTATTCGTAGAAGCTGTTGGTAGTGATCGCGACACCTGCCGTTGGAGCGACGACGAGGTTGATAGCTGTCACATCGGAACTGTATCCCTCGATCGTTGTGAAAGTGCTGATCACGGAGGGGTTGGTTCCCGTTGGGCTGATAGGGATGATGGAGGTCTCGACGATGGGTTTCTCTGTGAGATAGGACGCGGTGAATCCGTCGACGACGGTAGTTTCAAAGACCTCAACGTATTGCGTTCCAATCCATGGTGTAGCATTGGACCTAGCAAATAGAAGCGAGGCCAATAGGCCGATCTCTGTGCCGGTGAATAGCCTCATCCTCATCGAATAGACTCTCAGTCGAGGCAGGGTGTCTGTCGTCGGAGATCAAAAGAGGGGAATAAACTCAGAAGAAAAACGGACCAGCAAGGTTTGACGAAGGATCTACTCTCGTACATAAGTCTCCTCGTCTAGAGCCTCTGCCGACGCCTTGCCTGATTGAGCTCCATGATCCGAGTATAAGGGTCTGATGAGAAGAAGGAAAGTAGGGTCTCGCAGGACAAGGAAATTAGGCCCAAGCCCAAATCCTCAGAATAGGTGACCCTGATGACTCTGTTGGTTCTGATTGGCAAAATTTGAAATAGACGCTATCTACTTCACGTTAGGGGTCTCGTATTTTAACCTTGGTCATCCAGTAGTTCTTGGTCCTAGCACGGGTGAATACGAACTGGCCAAGACGCCAAGAGCTTTGAAGCCACTAAACTACTAAAGTTAGTGCGAGCTTTAAAAGCCAAGAGGTTCTTCGCTTGGGGACTATGATTAATTTCCCTTGGACCGTGTGCTACTATCACCCCTAGTCCGTCATTTCACTTTGCAGAAGCTCTTCCTGAATCGAGGTCAGCGCTGACAGAATATGCATTCCCGCCAGCGTTTGAGCCAGCATCTAACCGAATGGGTTTCGATGAACACTTTGATTTTATAGTGTGATGAGTCTCAGTTATGTGATCTGGCATGCAGCTATGATTCAAATCGAGTACTAAGTTTCGATGTGCTATGATCCATTGGAACGCATTTGCCAAGATCCATAGAGGCCTTTTCGATGTTATGACAGCGTCGAAATCCGAGGTCTATAAGGTCATGCGCAATCAGGAATGCACGCCGTATCTGATCCCAGATATCCCCTCTCTGCCAATACCTAACAGAAATACTCTTTCCATTGACGTTGCTCTTTCGAATTGACATACGTTCAGGATTGGGGAATGGGAAATTTACGGGAGAAGGCTAGCTGTACCCCTCGTCCGCGACAGCCTCCGTAAGGCGGTTATGTTATAGACCAGTAGGTGTTTGCACGTCTGGGAGGCTGAAAACTAAATTCATTGTTTGGTATCTATTATCTCTGCTCCAAGAAAGCCCCAGATCATAAGCATAAAGCAGGGGAGGCGGGAAAAAAAAGAGGATTCGTTAATGTTTCGTTTATGTTCTAAGCCAGGTAGTTCATCGAGGGGCAATCGTCCGTAGCTAGATCATCGGGAGCATCACTGGTGGCATAACTCCACATTGTTCATAAACTCTCACTGGTTCTTGGCGAACTGGGCCTGGGCACGTGAGTTCTTGATCGTTCTCTTGATCATGCGCTCGACCTCATCCCAGTCGCTGGTGTCGATGCGGTCAATTTGGCAGCTGAAGTGCTGCTGAATCTGACGAAGCATATCCCACTCCTCCCGGTTGGAGACAAAGGAGATGGCAACACCAATGCGGCCAAAACGACCGGTACGACCAATACGGTGGAGGTAGGTCTGGTAGTCGGGCTCGCGCTGGCGGTTAGGGTTCATGACCTCGGGAATGTCGTAGTTGACGACAAGGGATACAGTGGAGACATCGATTCCACGGGCGAGAACGTTGGTCGTGATGAGCACCTTGGCCTCGCCATTGCGGAAGGCGTCAATGACGGCATCACGCTGAGATCCCTCGATACCACCGGTAAGGGAAGCAACGGTGTGGCCCTCTGCGGTCATGCGCTTCTCAATCTCGACAGCGGAAGCACGAGTCTGGTGGACATGGTTGTTAGCAAATGTAAAAGAGAAGTTTCCGGGTGCAAAGTACAAACCCTGACGAAAATGATCGACGAGCCAACAGTCAGCAAGCCGTAGAGCTGGACAAGGTTGGTGTATTTCTCCTCGTCACTGTTGCAGTCCATGTACAACTGCTTGATACCCTCGACAGTCAACTCGTCGTGATGAAGAGTGATCTCGTTCGCGTCCGGAGCAAACTTAGCAGCATAGCGGTGAACGTGGGCCGGGAAGGTGGCAGAGAACAGCACAACCTGGATAGTACGAGGGAGCATTGACTTGACACGAATACACTGGTCGCCAAGACCCTGCTGGTCGAGCATGTTGTCGGCCTCATCCAAAACCAGGACCTGGAGACGGGTGGGGTTGAGGACGCGTCTCTTGATCATCTCCTGGACAGTACCAGGAGTTCCAACCACAATAGCGGCGGTCATTCGAGTTGGCCGAGCCGAAGCATCGGCAGGGACCGCAGTTCCAATGCTAAGACCGTCGAGGAACTGTCCCATCGCATGAACGACACCAACAATTTGACGAGCAAGCTCACGGGTGGGAGCCAAGATCAGGGCTTGAGGAGTAGCCCGCATTTCTTCGGTGGAAATGTCGACACGGCTCAGGACATTCAGGACGAAGGCGGCAGTCTTGCCAGTTCCGGACTGGGACTGTCCCACGAGGTTCTTCGGGGGGTTTTGCATCAACAGAGGGAGTGCGCGCTCTTGCACTTTGGAGGGTTTGCGGAAGCTCATGGCCGAGAGACCCTTGAGGATACGTGGGTCACTGCGATCAATCATGTTGTTAGTTGTGTATCTGGAACAGGGCATGGCCAATTACTCACAGCCCAAGATCTTCGAAACTCTTCACAGAGAACAGGGGGTTGTTAGGGTCCGCCTGCAGGTCACTGAGCTTGACCTCGACCTGGTAGTCAGGCTCTTGAAGCGCCGAACCCTGGAGTGCAGTTCCGGCACCGTCATCGCTGATCTTCTCGGGGGTCTCTGTGTTGTGACAAAATAAAGAGTATTAGTGTACTGTCCAGCCAAGGTCCCAAGAGAGGTTGTCGCATCGAATCGCAGGTTCTCCAGAAAATCACGCAAGGTAGTTTCCGTGTTCCAAGCAGTGCGATACTGCATGGTGCATCAGAAACCACTTGTTAACATGCCGAGGGGATAATCCTAGCTCAAGGCCATGTCGCGTGTAGTCCGTAGCAACTGGGAAATTGAGCTCGTACCGGTCGTGGTGGTGGCGGGCTGGGAAGCCTCATCAGGTTTGGTGATACGGTCGGCCAAAGAGCCGCCGGTCTCGTTGTTCTCGGTGGACATTGTGTGATGTTAACGAAGGGAGAGTTGAGAGATTGAAGAGGTGATATCGGGAAGTGGAAGAAGCAAAGCTGGAGGGGTGTCGCGGGGTAGTTGAAGAGGGAGGAGATGCGATTGAATTCGAGCGGAGGGAGAAAGGTTTAAAAAGAAGAGTGAGTGTAGAAAGGTGAAGGCTACAACTCGAGGTGAGAGGCAGCAGTCGAGCAAGGCACCAGAGAGAGGAGCTTGTGAAGAGAAGAGTGAAGCTCGAGAGAGATGCGGCCGCAAAAACAGCAGAAATGACGCCGGCGGAGTCAGGCAGTAACGGAACTAAGCCTGTTTAGGGGAAAGATGGAAACGGTACGGTATCTGCCTTGGAGGTTTAGCGGGAGAGTCAACCGCGCGCAACGCAACGTGGACGTAAGGTATTGTCACAGGCACCGGCGCTGCTCCCCGCCTCCTCCCCCAACTCGTTGCGATCATCGTTCTTCTGTCCGAATTGGCTTCGAACTTGTCGAGTCGCGCAATCTACTTCTCCTTTGCCATTTTACTCAGTGGTCTGCCGGATCCAAGGGACCACTTGAGGGCCACAATTCCTTTCTGATATTCGAATCCCATTGTCAGCTCATGCGTGATCTGATTGCGACCTCACTACGGCCATGGCGGCAGCTGACATTGCTCCCCAGTTTGGAGCGGAGCTAAAGGTAATTCGACCCCAGAATGTGATTGGAATGATTTCTCGTCTGACTTGATATCTGGGATTAGGACAACTTCAAACCTGTCAACGCTTGGGTACGTTGCCCGCATCCGCTCGCTTCCCCGCAAAGGGAGCGTCATTACACCTCGTGCCCGGGACCAGAACTAATGTAATCGTGTCGCACAGGTATCGAACGGCATATCGTGGCTTGACGAGATCCAACAATTCTATCGCGAGCGGAGCGCCATCGAAAAGGAATATGCGGCGAAACTGACGGCACTGTGCAAGAAGTACCACGACCGTAAATCCAAGAAGATCAGCTCTTTGAGTGTCGGCGATACTCCTTCCTTGACTCCCGGCTCCCTTGAGAGTGCCTCGTTGACAACGTGGACAACGCAATTGACCGCCGTCGAATCCCATGCTGCCGAACGAGACAAATATGCGACGGAATTGATCGGACATGTGGCAGAACCGCTGAAAAATGCCGCTGCACAGTTCGAGGAGATTCGCAAGTGTCATGCCGACTATCATACTAAGCTGGAAAAGGAACGTGACGCTTCCTATGGCGAATTGAAGAAGGCAAAGGGGAAATATGACGGGGCTTGCCAGGAAGTCGAATCTCGACGAAAGAAAACGGAATCTTCGTTTGATCACGGCAAAGCCAAGGCTCAGTCTGCGTATCAACAACAGATTCTGGAGATGAACAATTACAAGGTATGAAATTTTCCGGTGTTTAAGAAGGCCGAATGGGATGATTAATCGCTCGCGCAGAATCTCTACCTTATCAGCATCAACGTCACGAATAAGCTCAAAGAGAAATTCTACCATGAATATGTCCCTGAAGTTTTAGATGTAAGTTTGATCTACAGCATCCCATCTTTTTCGTAGGTCTATTGAACAGGTTTGACTCTCTCAATAGGGATTACAAGACCTGAACCAGACAAGAGTCAGGAAACTGAATGATTTGTGGTCCCTCGCTGCACAACTCGACAAGTCTTCCTTAACAAACAGCCTCAATCATTCCACCAATCTCATTGGCGAGATCCCTCGCAATGATCCTCGGCTTGACTCCATGATGTTCCTTCAGCATAATATCGCTCAATCACAAGAGCCCGCGAACATGGGCTTCGAGCCTAGTCCGGTGTGGCACGACGATGCATCCATCATCACCGATGAAGCAGCCAAGGTATTCTTACGCAACGTACTTGGAAAGAGCAAGACACAGGTACGCGAGTTGCGGGTGGAGGCGGATAAGAAGAGACGGGAGGTAGAGAACGGCAAGAAGACTCGCGAGGGGATTCAGCAGGGCAAAGACAAGCGCAATGAGGTTGATGTCGTGCGAGGTATTTTCTATCTGCAAGAAGCTCTGCATGAGGTGGAACGGAAGTGGGTCACTGCGGAGGTGGAAACATCCACTATCATATCCGTGGCAGGAGACTTGTCTCTAGGAGCCAAAAATCATAACTTCCGATCGCAAACCTTTAAGATCCCCACAAACTGTGATCTATGTGGTGAACGCATTTGGGGTCTTTCTGCCAAAGGCTTTGACTGCCGGGACTGTGGTTATACCTGCCACAGCAAATGTCAGATGAAGGTCCCAGCAGAGTGTCCTGGAGAACAGACCAAGGAAGACAAGAAGAAACTAAAGGTTCAGCGTCAGGAACAAGCTGGAGCTGTGCCTGCTGCTGATGGTGATTCTGCTACAGCGTCATCCGCGGCACCATCTCTCACTCGTCAGAACACCATGAACTCACTGAGCTCGGGATATGCTGCCAGCACTGCGCGATCAGTGTCGGTCACCAACGTCGCGGCCCAACCTACTCCCGAGAGCCCAGCAGAAGCAGCCCCTGCCCCGGCCCCTGTGGCTGACTCTAAGCCCGCTGCCGCTAAGCGACACAGAGTGTTAGCTCCACCTCCCACTGCATACGTGAGCGCGCCGCCCGTCACGGAGTCCCTGTCTGCTTCGAAATCCCAGGAGCCTCGGGGCAAGATGATTTACGCATTCCAAGCGACAGGAGCCGATGAAGTGACAGTTCAGGAAGGGGATGATGTTGCTATTGTTGAGCCAGATGGTAAGTCTATCCCATTTTTACGTTCTGCTTGCAACCTTACTAACGCTCTCACAGATGGATCTGGCTGGATGCGTGTCCGTGTGGGCTCGCAAGAGGGTCTCGTTCCCTCCTCCTACGTTGAAGCCGCACCAACGCCATCGCCCGTGCCATCGGCGAGCCCTGGCCTAACCGATCGACCGGGATCGGTGTACTCGAACTCCTCTGCATCACTAGCAGGTAGCGCGGCGCCTAAGCGTGTGGGCCCTGCTGTGGCGCCCCGCCGTGGTGCCAAGAAACTGCAATATGTCGAGGCACTGTACGAGTACGAGGCGCGCAGCGATGCAGAGTGGTCGATGGCGGAGGGCGACCGATTCGTCCTAGTGACGCGTGACAGCGGCGATGGTTGGGCCGACGTGGAGCGTGGTGGAGTTACCAAGAGCGTTCCTGCAAACTATATCCAGGAGGTGTAGACCCCGGCTTGGGATTTTTGTATATATTGACCGCAACATAGTACAAAGTACCGTGAGTGTGGGGCGGATGCCAATCATGCTGGCCTTTTCTCATTCTATTTCTGTCGTTCTCATGGGCGTTCTTGCGAGCCCTCCAGCGTGATCTGCATCAGCAAGGAGCGATTAGGGGGATGTTAGTGTTTTACAATGCATCTGCGGACATAGTTTTTTGAGTGATCGTGTTTCGAGCGCAATCCAGTTGAAATTGGATTTAAACTGATTTCCTAAGAAAAATGCTATGTGACACTCATATGCTGCACAGCTAAGCTATTTCTCGTCATGCTCATCTTGATATAAAATGCTAACCAAACAGACATGCCTGGTCATCTCAAATTCAACTACCGAAATTTGCACGCTCACAAGGATACCTCACAATCTGGTCATCACCGGCCCAATGCATTCTCAGTCATAATCATCAGTCGTAACATTGACTGCCACACCGGCAGGACAGCAAATGTTATTGAGACGCAGCAGGATAGCCTGTGTCTAAATGCTCGAATCCCGTCTCTGGCGACCACATATACCTTGACCAATCCTCCACATGGAAAACCTCGTCTGTCAACCCCTCTGTCAAATCCATATCATCCAGATATTCCAAAGCCCCATCATCGAGTGTCAGGGCCGGATCCAGCGGGAAATCAAACGGATTAGTACCCTCCAGCGGGCTGATCATCGGCACGTTTTGAACCAACCCAGCCGCAGACACGGAGGACGAGGCCGCGGCGAGGGAATACATGGGGTCAAACATATTTTCGCACATCGCCGGGTCCAGCGTCAGGGTATCCTGCCCGGAGCGAGCAATACTCTGGCTAGATCCAGTACGACTTATATCGGCCGAAACCGAGAGCGCGGCCATGGCAGAAGATGTAGACGGGAGGGCATAACTGCCACCACAGGACTCATTCCCCGAGCCCTCGGAGCCCGACCACTCTCCCACACTACCGCGGACCTTGGTGCGGCGCGAGGAAGATTGCGAACCGCGAATGGGGGTCTGGGACGACGACACGGAAGCCGCAGAGGTCGACCCGGAGCGCGAGACACGCGCCGACGAAGCGCCAGTCGTGTCTTTGGCGCTACTACTACTGCCCGACGGTCGAGGAGCGATGGGGAGGAAGCCGTTCGAGCTGGGATGACGCGGGTATAGTCTGGCGTGGGTTGCTTTCTAAGAACCAAAGAAGGAACATCAGCACCATGCCGTCTGCATCTCTTCTTCGCATTTGTCGAAGATCTGCCTTCCGGTGGTGGAAACGGCTGGCTTTTTTTGTGTGTAGTTGCGTTACTTTTGAGGATGGAGTTTTAAGCTCCGCTTCGCGCTTCAGGCGCGCGTGTTCCGTTGGTGCCTCGCAGGGCGTGGCGTTGCAAATTGAGCACGTTGCGAAGGGGCGGCCCTTGCGCTTGATGCGGATTAACGGTCGATCTAGTGGGTTTGTGTATTTAGTTAGGCTGAGTTTTGAGGTTGTGGTATGCCTAGTGGCGTGGTGGCGAAGTACGTAGTGTAGAAGCTTTAGGGTGTGTAGACAGGAAAAAGAATCATAAATTCGAACTTACCATGATGTTTGCAACTAGTCACTCGGTGACCTCGAATGCAAGCTTCGCAAGCCCACTTCTGACCGTCGATGAGCATCCCTCGATAAGATGAAAAGAAGCAAGCATAGTGAAGTAGGACTCAGGAGCCTTTATACCTTTGACAGTCCCAATTGATCGGCTAGGCCCGCCATGTTTTTTTTTGGGATTAATTCTTATTGTCGGATTTCCGTTTCCCGTTTTTTATTATTATTTTTCCCATTCATTTGATAATGATTTTTTGGGAGGGGAAGAAAGGTAGGATTGGGAGGGGCGGATTTCTGCGAGTGGGAGCTATGACATACACAACCACACTAAGCACGAAGTACGTGGAGGATGTATGTACCAGCTGGCGGCCCTGGCACCGAGTGGTTCCTGTCTGTCTCGAGAAGGTCCATAACGGCTTGGATTGATTTGATTCGAGGTCACAGCCACAGGATCGACCTGAGGTGGGACTGGCTCGTGCATTCGGAGGGTTCCGTACGGTTAAAGTACTGTTTTGGTGGACATTGACCATGGGAGCTTGGACCAGACATAATTTTCGGTGGCTGAAATTTGCGGTACTTTTTCATTCTTCTTATTGGCATGGATCTTTTGCCGAGCACAGAGCAGGTAACTCGTGGCTCTTAGAACTATGACTTACAGCAGGGCGTTGTTAGAATCTACAACTTCTACTATGGGATGGTAAGCCAAACCATCAGAGATGATTCTACTCTTTTTAGGCAGGACTTTTTTTTTCTCTTGGAAATTTGGGGGTACCAGTCTTTTGCCTTGATTTGTTTAGTCTTATCCGCTCTGGTTGCAACAGCGTGAGGGATTTTTCTCACGCCTCGGCTGCCTGGAGATTTTTACCAGTTCAAATGTTCCCGCGCCAACAAACGCAGTTTGATCACCACCAGAGTGGAAATTGAAACGACCGGGAAACCCCCCTCCTTCCTCGGGCATATCCTTACCCAGGGTACTAGTTAGATGATAGGGTGCTTGCTTATTATTCTTACATATTCTATAGGCCACGGTTGGATTTTGCTGACTCCCCCGGGCTGCCAGATCGGTGCTAGATCTTAGCTACAGATAATGCCTCATACATATCCCGTGCAGCGGTTCGGAAAGGCTCAGTTCGTTGTACCGAAGCCAGACTTGCAACTATGGAGTCATCCTAGTCTCTTCCTCAATCAATAGTACTTATCCATTTAGTACCCACGAGGAGTTTTTCGCCTAGGAAGATTTGGAACTCGCTAATCGTCGTTCGACTATATGATATACACTGTAGTAGAACTCCTAGTCGGCCGACGAAATGGCTGCTCAATCAAGATAGGGCTGTTAGACCAAGTCAAAGACAAGTCTTGATGCCCATCCTATGATATCACGCGTTCAATAGTTTATTGCCAACACGCATGTACTCCTCGCATGAGCCCTGGTCAGCCATATCGGGCTAAATGCAAATGGAGGTGGCTGTGCCGTCGTAGCTTCGCTTAAGTGGCGTCGCACTGATCTGTCCTAAACGGGATTTTTGGAACAGGCGCAGTAGCCTCAAGATTTCAATTGGGGGTTTGTCTTCGTGTTTCACAAGCTAAGGTTTTACCTTGAGCGCTGTCATTTTTTGCATATGCAAAAGCAATAATTCTCCTAAATCTACTCGGTTACCTTTCCATGTTCCTGTAGATCAGGAACAAACAACTTTTGAAAAAATGGGCATCGCAAAAGAAAGGCACGGATAGAGAGAATTTTTTCGAAGCGAAATTAAAGAATATTAAGCTCTTTCACACGGGTCAAAATGCCCTGAAACTTGTCAAAGGTGTGCCGGTTGACCTGCCAATCTGTAAATTTGGGCGGATCTCCACACGGCTCCAGTATGCGCCATTTTGTATACCTGAGGCATTTTTCTTTTCCAATTGTTGAGGTCGGCTTCCTTAAGATGAACAGGATTCTTTCTCACCGTACTTCCTCTGTACCAAAGTATGCGACTGACTCAACGTGTCTATTCACTCCACTTACGAAATGACACGATACCAAGCTGAGGATGATCTTGTGTTGGTGAGGGGAGAGAAGGAGAGGGGGAAAACAGCCAGCCGCACCGGAATGTGGGTGGACTCTTGCCTACCGCGCCATTCTTGCTGCGATATCCATCCTACCTCGTTAGATTGATGTGATAGATGGGGGTATTCTCAGGGCCCCCGAAAAATCTTTCTTCTTTCAATTCAGATTTCCCGCCCGTCGCGCATTCAGTCCACGGCCGACATGCGTATGGCAAAGTATCGTTCCTGAAAGGCCGAATCTATGGGCCTTAAGAGAATGGGTTTGTCCAAAAATTGACATTTCGCTGTCCTTGTTTACCCATTTCCTGGTCTTAGCTTCCCGTCTTGATGGTAGTATCTCGGAAAATGTCTCCGATGTTCGAGAGAAGTTTGCGACAATGCCAATATGACAAGAGTATGATCTCGCAATTTTCCCATCGACGATCAAAACATAGCAGAAAGCTACCACCCCGCGAGATGCCGAATGAAGCTGAATGTCATGGGCAGTTAAGTGAATCAGACTCGAAGACAGATATCGCTTCATTTTTCGCGTTCAGTATCGATCTCGGTTCTGGTCATAAAGAGTGACAGGAGGGCGTACCGGGCCGAATTTATAGTTCTCGACTCCGGTCTATGGCCGATTCGGCTTCGAGATAATCCTCCGCGCACAGGCTCGATTTTGTTCGCGGAGATATATTGCGCAACAACTCAGACCCTGCCATCAAGTGCGACTTGCTAGTTGGATGGCTGCCAATATTCCCGCGCCCTGTCTGTGGCTGACCGCTACGACAGGGTTCTGCTCAAGGGCCGGAGTCTCCCGCAAGCGGCATCGATGACTTGTATATACCTTGCCCAGCTTGCAGAAAAGCCGAAGTTTGCTGGAGATAAGCGTGAGCCAAATTATTCAGCGACTGCCAATAGTTATTTCAACGTGGGCTAGGATGTCGCTTGACATGGCCTTAAACGCTCGGGCCATGATCATCGTCGCCTATCACTGATCCGAACAAGGTCTCCAAATCTGGCCTGGAACATTTGAATGCAGCTCTTAATTTCGAATTAGCTGTTTGGCACAATCAGAATCAGTGTGCTCGAATGAAGAACCTCTACCAATACACCGCTGATGGCTCTAGCGGATTGATATCCTTCGGCGCGATCATTGAGTCCCTTCGCGAAGACGGCCCCCACATACCCCCTCTGAGCCCCAGCATAGTCCCTTTTGAAGATCCTTGATTGGGTACTAAAGTGTCTATCACATCAGACCGAAGGCACTTCATGTTCTGGAGATCGACAGGGCGAATCAGGGTAGAACGCTGAGCCCCAACGTCATGACGAGGGGGGCCGTGTGTATCAGGGGCCAAATCGGGCTAGGACTATGAACAGCCTTCAAACTGCCGTTCACCGCGCCAGTTGTTTTTTTTTCTTCTCATCATTCATCTGCATTCATTTGCGTGAAGTGGTCGCTTGTCGCTGTCTTTGACCAGTCAAGGCCTGACGATACTTGACGGCAGATTCCAGGATTCAAAAGTAGTCTCATTAACCGTTCAAACAAAATGTTCCGCATCCTGCAGGTCATACTTGTGTTGAGCCTAGCGCCAAACCTTGGATTTGCAGCGGCCAGCACCAACGGTACATGCTATTATCTTAACGGAGACGTTGCGTCCGACCATGTTCCCTGCAAGAGCGGCGATAACGTGGTCAATTGTTGCGATAGTCGAGCAGTCTGCCTGAGTAATGGAATGTGTCTCATGCAGGGAAGCATGGGACTCAGTCTTGGCCGTGGTTCCTGCAATGACCCAAATTGGAGCCCAGCATGTTACGCGCCGTGTCGTATGTACCAGCTCGAGACTCCCACCGTCTATGCTGGAAGATCTAAAATGTTTCTTTCTCAGGTGATGCTTATCGCGAGGGCGGCGTGCCAATCTTCCCCGTTACTTGGAATGAAGTGAAGACTCAGTACTGCTGTGGCAAGGTCGAATTGAGTAATGGCAAAACGACATGTCGCTACGGGGACCCGTTTACAATCGCAGAGGGAACCGTCATTCCGGGAGTGGCATACCTTTCCAACGTCACGTATACCGGCTCAATTGAGAATACAACTACGTGCGACAATTCAACATCATCTACCTTGAGAGGACCTTCGTCCTCGAATCGAGGCTTTGCCATTGGCGTTGGCGTCGGGGTCCCGCTTGGTGTGATAGCTCTTCTTTCCCTCGCATGGGCACTATGGGAACGCCGCAAGTTTTCACAGATGAAAGCCTCAACACCCATGGAGGGAGCTTATATTGGACCCTATCGCCCAGCCCAGCGTCCGGTTGAGTTAAGTGCGACGGGGTCTGGAGCTGCAGAGTTGGATAGTCAGAGCGAGCCCAAGCATATAGACTTTAGAGCAGAGGAACCGATCGAGAGTGAGAGGCATGCTTAGTGGATGGTGCTTCATCATTATAATGTCCCGTTTTTGGATATGGCTCCATGAATAGGCGCTTTGGCGAATGACTGGACTGGTGATTCGCCTCTGGAAAGCCCGAGGCACCAACATGGGAATACAGGTGCTAATAATCCCGCTACTTGCATCACCTCCTTGATGTCCTTATTAATCGTCCGATTATTTAATGGGCTCAGGATCTGGCTGAGGACCTATAAAGAGATGGTTGGAAAAGACCAAGAAGAACCCTTTGAAGTTCCGCACCTCCATATACAGTAGTAGTTTTCGACATTCGTTTGACCTCACACTCTTTTGACTTGATTCCCAGAAAATAAATTATGCAAATGCGAGTTCTCATTGGATGTTATTTTTAGCACATTGATCTAAACCGCTTCCTCCATAGTCCATTTATTTAACAATACGCTTTCGTTACCGTATGTGGTGTATTTTACACGAAATCAGCAGACACACGGTCCCTATCCCCTCTCTATCGTGACCATCACGAACTTCGACCATAACACTCGCGCGAGAAGCGAAGCTTATTTGCAGCAACCTTCATCAATCGATGGATGCATCTGCCCCAGGCTCTATGCGCATCCTAATTTTGTCGTCTGTTTTTGTGAGCCAATCTATGGCGTCTAGCTCGACACCTCTGCTCGGCTGGCAGTTAGACGGGAACACTCGCTCGGCATGGGACATCCTGTGGACTTGTTTGTCAACAATTTTTGCCTGCACGTGGACTCTTCTTCACATGGACGTCCCTCCCCGCAATATGTCCGTCGCGAGATTTACAATTAGTAAAATACGTCTGTGGGTTCTAACTATCCTAGCCCCAGAGGTTACGTTCGTACGGGCGGCCGGTCAGCTCGACGATGCGAGAACTTTGAAGAAAGTGTGCAACAAGGCACAGAAAAGACGAGACGCGGAATCCTCAGAGCCAAAACTATGGCTATCACAACGGACTAGGCCGCTTGAACAAGTTGAAAACTTGAATCACGTAGATCTACATCCAGTCCACGCCGATTGGACGCTCTGTCAATGCTTCTGTGTCATCGCTAGCGGACTCGTGTTGCAGACGCAGGATCAATGGATCTACACAATACGGCCCCACGATATGAAACCTCTCATCCAGGCTGGTATTGTCCACTGTTCGGACTTTCGAGACCAGGATATCGAAGATCGAGCGAAAGCAGACTCGTTTGCCAAGTTCTTTACCGTCCTTCAAAGCACCTGGTTTTTATGCAACGTCATCACACGATGGGCCTACGATCTACCAGTAAGCCCCATCGAATTATCAACTGTTGCCTATGTGACCTGTGCTATTTTAATATATGGGGTATGGTGGTATAAACCTAAAGACATGGGCACGTCTATCGCAATCCATCTACGATGTAACCGTGATGATATACCGATTGAGGTTCGCAATATAATAGAGGGGAATTCCACCGGGTGGGTTCATGCACGAGCTCTCGTTAACGAGGATAACCGGGTGTCTGTCTTGTGGAAGGCTGTTCGAACGCCTTTCTTACGCAGAGATATTGAACATCTCGAGTCGATCGATGAAGCAGGTGGTCTTGATCTTATCAAAACACCATTTGGAATCTTCATTTTTGATGTGATATGCAGTTTCACTGCTCTTCTTTACTGCGGGATTCATGTGGCCGCGTAAGACTGAACTCTTCTTTCCCGCGATTGTCCCTGTTTGCTAACGGTAACCTTTTCCCGGATAGATGGGATTTTCCTTTCGCAACTCGCGCCGAGCTAATATCTTGGCGTGTCTTTTCCCTCGCATCGATTGCTATGGCTTTCATTATATGTCTAGTGGGTGGTCTCGTAGACGCTGCAACGCTCCCTAACTCAAAGGACCTACTTCCTTCCTTCGTCGTTGGCCTCACTCGCCCAGCTGCTCTTTGGACTATGCTCGTTACTGTCATTGTTAGCTTTAACTTCTACATTATTGCACGCTTGGGAATTATAGGCCTTATCTTTTCGTCATTGAGGGCTCTTCCCACTGGGTCCTACACAACTGTGGGGTGGATAACTAGCATACCGCATTTCTGAAAAGGAACGAGTCAATCATGGTGCATAAATCATTGATATAATGATATCAAGATCACGATATATCGATAAAGCAGGGGCTGCGGGCATTTGACTGAGAGGACCTAACTACCGTCGCGGGCGATGACATCAAACTTGGTCCCACTTATACACTGCAATTTTCACTTGAAAATATCTATCAGATTCGCTACCTAGGCCTACACATTTGGTGCAGCCACAGGGGATTGAATCCACTGCTTGGTCTGAGGATCAAGAGACTTCTCTTCCGCCTCCTTCCACTCTCTAGTCACCATCTCGGCACGCTCCTTAGACCTGGGGGTGATACAAGCAGGGAATTCCTCTGGCATACACACAAAGCCTTGCGTCAATCGATCCGGGTCCGGGATAATTGGCTTTCCTTGATCATCCAGCGCAGGCTCAATATTGAACGCCCACAAGATACGGGACATACCAAGGAACAGGCTTCGCTCAGCAACGTGAATACCGGGGCAAATACGACGACCCGCCCCAAAAGTGAATGTGTCTCGCTTTGAGGGGTCTGGGTTGGCTGCGGCATCTCCTAGACTCTGGCAGTCGTTTTGATACCGCTCGGGATTGAAGATGCGTGGACTCTCATGCCGATTCGGGTCCATATGGATACTCCACACGTTGTTCATAACTCCTGCACCCTTGGGGATGAAGTAGCCTTTGTATTCATCATCTTGTGTCACGGCATGTGGGACAGCACCCAGGATGGTAGTTGGCATCCACCGAAGAGACTCTTTCATGCAGCCCCGGATGTACTGCAGTTCGGCCAAGTCTTCCATGACAGGGAGACGGTCGGGCCCAATGACTCGATCGATCTCGGCCTGCGCTTTCCGTTGGACATCAGGGAATAGCAGCATAGCTTGCACAAATGCATAGAGTGTGCTTGAGGTTGTATCAGAGCCAGCCTCCAGCAACGTCCCGGAGATATAGGCGGCTTGGTCATCGCTAAACCCATCCCGCTTCTGTGCCTCGTACATTCCAGCACAGAAGCAGGGATTTATAGTGTTCTCCTGTGTTTGTTTCTTTGCCTTGAGCCAGTGGCCTCGGTAGAGAGCTTTCTCGTGCTTGTGAAGCTCCTTGGCCTTCTTCTGGGTCGGCAACAGGAAATCAGGCAACTGACGCAAGAAGGGGAAGAAGTCGATGAGAGCAGCCGCGCCGGTTTGGTTGATGGTTGCGAACTCGGAAAAGCCGTCGAATAGTTGCATCATTTTCTCATCCTCGTAAGTGGGTGTTCTCCATCCAAACACCATGGTCGTTGTAAGTGCATTGGAATAGCGACGGATGTGCTTAAGGAAGTCTTGAGGCTGGGTCAGGAACTCATAGAGCATTTGACGGTTTTCCAGCATCTGATAAGTAACATATTTTTTCGAAGTTGTCACGTTGAGCAGGCTGTGTACCATCTTACGGAACTTTTAATCTGTTAGTAAAATTCGAAAGTAGAGTCACAAATTTGCAGTACTTACAGCACGCCATGTCGGGCCATATCCCTGTTGTCGAGGGCAAATTAGTCTACCGCAAATCTATCACCTAGCGGGCGCATGTCAGGACGTACCATCATCAGCAATCGAAGGTCACCACTACACAAAGTCTGGCCAATATACATCTCCTGTCTGTGGGAGTAGATATTACTGCGTTTGTCTAGCAGCTCCTTCACAGCCTCATCGCTTGACAACACGATAAGACACTTTGTACCCAGCATCAAACTGTAGATGGGGCCGTATTCACGAGCCCATTTCTCAAACTGCAGGTGAACATCCTGAGAAGACATCTTGGAACTTGACATTAGTATCGCAAACAAGTTGGTTCAAGATTAGGAAGACTGAGAACTCACTTGATGGATGTTCCCTAAAATTGGAAGAGTAGGGGGGCCTGGAGGATAGTTCTTAGGTCGACGACCGATCGAAAAAATGCGCGATATCATTACGACAGCAATAGCTGCTCCGACAATTGATGTGATGGCCATCATGTTCAAAGGGTTCTGATTGGCCGCAACTACCCAAGTTCATAGAAGCGCCCACGCAGAAATATATTTCACGTGGGGAGAACGTGTCGCTTGGCATCGTTGATGTGGGCGATAGCAGTGCTTTATAGCAAGCCATGAAATAATATCGACTGTATTTTCAATGGGTAGCACCATGATGGTTGTACACATGTTAATCTTCTTGCATCGGAGCTAATGTGGGAGAGAGTTCCAACTGCGGATGTGGAGGTGGGTAAAGGTGGCATGGCGGATCTGTGGGGGTTGGGAATGACCATGAAAACCCACACTCTTCATGCGGGCCTGTAATCAGCTAGTCGCCTCTTGGTTGATTGAACAATGAATGAAAATACGTCGGCGGATGATCATATTTCCAAGTACCGATGGACCTTTTCGGGTGAAAATTTGCAACAACAAAGGGAATCGTGCTGGGACTAGTGGTACAAGCCTACCGGAGATTACTATATCTCCAACTGAATAGCTACGAGGTCTCTTTTGGAATCTAGAATATCTTGAACTACTGAAAAATGTCAGGAACCTCGGTGTGCCATGCATGTATTATAGCTCCTGGCTACGTGTTGGAGATTTGTGACGTCTGATAGAAGGCCAACATAGACACAAAATAAATCTGTTATTATTTTTCATTGCGCTGGCTCACAGCTGAAACGTTTGGAACCCGACGATCAGGTTGTTGACTTGCCGCATACTAGTCTGATCATATTTGTTCAGAATTGGATCCAATGCACTATCTTCGAGAGGAGCAAGATCGTTCCCTTGCGGTAAATCTCCCAATAGTGCCAGACGCTCTGTCATCAAGCTTCCTAATAGCCAAAATTCAGGGCAGTACCGGCAGAACCCAATTCTCTTCCACATGTCTTGCGGTAAAATGCTCGTATCATCGACAGTTACGTGTGGAGGTAAGCCAGCGGATAATGTCGAGGCAAAAAGCTGCCAAGAATCGCACCAGTTCTGGAGGGTGTTGCGTATTGGTGTCAGATTTTGGGAGCTGCTGACTGAACTGCGGTATTGGAAGATTTGTGAATGAATGGCTAGAGGAAACTTGGTATTAGTACGTATGAACATCATCGAAAGACCTTATACGTCCAGAAGCCTACCGGATGTAAGTGCGAAGAGATTCAAAGGCCCTGATGCGGCTATGATCTGGCGCATGCTTGGCGAAAATGTGTCCTTTGCAAGTGCCTCGAATGCGCCACGGAAAGAGAGATTCCAATATGCGTTTCCACATGGAAGGTGTGTTTGGATTTCCCGATGGCATTCGTCTGCAGTCAATGCTTGGAAGCAGCTCTCGGGTGTTGCGAGGTGCATCTTCATCTCCTTGATAACCATGCGCGGAGGAAGATTATTAAAAATAACAAAAGCTGTATCGAGGAGGAAGATCCATGTGAACATCCTGGCCATGTTAGTTTGAGAGACCCATGTTGATTAGACCGGTGGCCAAACCTGATTAGTTCTTCGCGAGTGGCATATCCCTTCCACTCAAACTCATGCCGACCCATCTCAGCATAGTTCAAATGCGTCGCCGTTGTTATTCCAATGTCTCGTGCCGTCTGGCAACAGGTCAGAGACAGGATCATAATGCCGTGGGTGGATCAGGAACTTACAGATACCAAGGTCGCAAACCTGTTCCGGCGAATTCGACTTTTGCTTGAGTCCGTGCCTTCCCAGTTTTGGTAAAGACAAACAATATATGCAGCTTGCAGAACCTGAATCTTTCGTCGGTGGATAGACATATTGTTCGAGGTAGAGTAGATCGCGTCACTGTTGAAGTCGTCATCTATGAAGACCATCTCTTCAACACAGTTGAACCATGTCCTAGCATCTTCATTATCTGGCATATCGGGTGAAACACACGCTCCTTTATAACGGTTAGCATTGAATTCTAGTAAGCAAGAAGTAAGCTTCCTTACCGATAGTTGCCATCGCAGCTACAAGGGCAGGCTTCGCTGATATCGGATCAAAGCTGGGTCGATGAATAAAATTGACATTCGGATGCCAGATCGCCCAGTAGAAACCAAGGAACCGTCGCAAATTTGCCGGTGAAAAGAATTGTAGACACGCATTTTTCAGAGCGGATGACCAATCTAGTGTCACAGAGCTATTTCTGGGTTTGATTGTAACGACTTCTTCAATGAGCAGAAGAATCTCATGCGTTTTTAGCGACAGTGGGTCACAGAGCCAGTTAATTGGGATGCAGTCAACGGTACTAGCATCGCTCAGGTTATCCAGTAGCGGAGGTGATTCAACAACAGCTTGTAAGCCTAGCGATGTTGAGTTGCTTGACGTATACGTCTGTCCGATTTCTTGGTGACTCTCAACTTCTAGTTGCGCAGCAACACTCTCACGTTGCACCTGAGTCCCACAGTCAAAACTCAGAAGCAGGCCAGTATTGCTGGTAAATCGGTCGAGAAAACGCAATGACTGGCTTCTCCCCGTATCCAAGAGAGGGTTATCCCTAAGGACTTGGCTCTCTGATGCTAGGAGAAGATAGTCTTGCCAGGTCGGGCTAGCGGACTCAAGAAAAGGCCGGCAGAATAGATTATCGAGTGGGCTTGTCGCGAAAACTCCGCTGTTCTGTTGCGTCCAGGGTAACTGAATCGATGAATCTGACGGAATGGTTGGATCTATTAACATCGAGGAGGCTCCGTCCTGTGGCACTGAATCTCCAATAGAACCATCGTGGTCGCGGGAGATAGCTTGACTCAGCTTCTCTTCCGATTCCGGGGCAGTAGAATAGAAACAAGCGACGCCTTTTCTTGAACAATTTTGACACGGCTGATTGGCACTACAGGCTTTCTTCTGGCGGACGCATCTGTCGCACGCCCTCCGACGGCCCCCCGACCTCGAACTCCCACCATCACATGTGCGAAGATGTCGTTTCAGAACATCTGCACGCTGAAACGAACCATCACATGAGTCGCAACGGTATGGGCGCTCTGATGTATGCGAGCTGGTGTGCCGAAAGAGATGTTCGCGGCGCTTGTAGCGTTTCAAGCAGACATGACATTGATATCTCGCTGGCACCGAGGTTGTATCTTGCTCCGAGCGTATTGAAGGGGATAGTACCTCTGACGCCATTGTGCTTTGCTATGTTGATCGAAATTTGGATGGAGGTTGGAGAAGATCCCGGGGCCCCGGGGTTCCGAAGAGTCGGTGAAATGCGGGGGCCGACAAATAAAGTTCGCCAGATTCCGGGCAGACGGAAGCAGGCTTCGGTACTTGACGATTCGACGAGAGTAGCCGCCCTGGATGTGATTGGCACGGCTAATGAAGGCTGTTGAACTTCCCAAGAAGAGAATAACAGCAAGCATATGACATTCTCTAAATTGCCGCCTGAAAATTTTCTATCAACTACAGCCCTCGACAAACCTGTTTGGGGCTTAATGTTTCCGTTCATGCTCATCGATTTTACGTATATCTAAAGACATGCGTGTGACAATGTAGGGTGAAATCTTGAGATCGTGTATATCATTACATATGGATTCCAAGAACCTTAGGTAGCTAGTCAGAAGAAGCACGTTACATGATCAAAGTAGGAGCTAGCTTGGCCAGATTTTCAGTCCATCGACTTGAAGCTTGCTGTGACCAGATTGCTGGCAGCGACTGCATTCCAGCCGAGATGTTATGGAATTTTGTTTTCATAAAGACCTGGTTCATTCGATCAACAAAGAACCGGCGATGTTCGGGATCGGTGCTATCAGCAGCAGCAATGAAGCAGACCCATACCAATGCATGGGATCCCATTTGCTCAGGATCAATTTGAGAAACGAGCCTTTTCAGGTCTTCCAGTAGGTCCCACTGGTCTCGATTGGAAGTCACTCGCCCGAGATATATCTGGGAAGCTTTAATGAAAGCCAACCTGGATATGTGAAGGAGTTTGTGATGTTCGGAATCCGACGGGAGGTCATAATATGTCCAATCGAGGTAGTGATCCAGCGGTAGGCGTAAAGCCTGGACGCCATGAGCCTCTCCTAGTAGAGGCTGGCCCAGGAATTCAAACCTAGAATACGAGGGTGAGAAAGGCATAAATATAAACATGATGAAACTGACTCACATATGACTTTGTTGGTTCAGAAAGTCGCGCGCTGCAGAGGGCGAAATCTGCCCGACATTTTGAATAAGGCACATCAAAGTCTGGAGAAGATGGCTATATTCAGAGCTTCCTGTGATGGTCTCTCCAACTAGCAGAACAATCAAGGTAGCCCAAGTAGATACGTTAAATACCCGATCGGGTGATGCTTGTAATGAGTCTCGGCGGAGCCGGGAGATGATCACCGCGCGGCCCTCGTCAGCCGCACTCTGAAAGCTAGGGTTGTACAAAGCCAGATGTTGACTCGCTACAACCCCAATTGCGGTCCTCAACAATTCATCCTCACAGGCAAGGGGTAATAGGATATCACGGTATCCATTCGAAACATGATCCAATACGACCATGACAGGTGCGACTTGATCGGCAACTGGCTAAAGTTAACGAGAAATATCACACGGATAAGGCAAATGGATACTTACAGTGTGACATTAACATTCGGGCCTGCGGTGATAGAGGCGCAATCCAAGGGTGAATAGGCCCAGGTGAAGCAGGGGCAGGCGCCAGGGCTAGAGCCAAATCCTCTGACTGGTTGACAACCTCATCGATCGGATCAATAGATTCTCTTGGATAGCGATGTGCAAGTTGGGTCCTGTCGATTGCGATGGGGCTACTAGTACCCGCTTGGGTCGCAGGCTCCTTGCCATCCTGTGTGGCGCGCGCCTCCGTGTCTGCTTCATGTGCCCTCGCACGTCGTTTCGCGCTCTTGCGCCTCGCATTCCCCGATTGGTCAGCTTTCCATCTTATGTTGCGCGGAACGGCAGCTGCGGCTTGTGTTTGCGTCTCAAACGCGGATTCGGGCGAGACATCGGCCACCGGAATGGTGCATCCCTTCAACTTTCCTCGTCGCGCCACTCCATTGGAGAACCGAATCCGCCCTAATCCCGAACACTCGATTCCTTTCTTCTGGCACTTTATACAGGAAGGCTCGGTATTATCGCAGACGATTCGACGCTTGGAACATTGGAAGCAGCCTGTATGGTGGGGCCAAAGACAAGGAGGTTAGCCAGGCTTGTCGTGCGACATGGACGCAGGAATCGGCGCAACTCACCTTTTTTCTTGTCAGGAGGAGCTGACATGGACAGCAAGGCAAATATTATGTCGTTTATGCCCGTTACAGAGCTCTCATAAGCGTCTCCGCTGCCGTGAGAGTGTTGGTAGGCGAGTTGGAAGGTGGAGGAAGGTCGAGACCTAGGAGCGGGGCCTTGCGGCTTATCGCAGACTCGCCGCCGGGCACCGGACCGAACCAGATCAGTAGCGTGTCTGGCTAAGCTATCTATCTTTTGTTTCGAAATTTTGAACTGCCACTGTACAAATTACTGTGTATGTGGAAAGTTGAGATAAAATTCTTTAATATCGAAGTTATATCTTGATTTTTTCACCCGGGATAGCCTACTCCAGCCGTGGGCCATCATATTTCCTTCGTGCATAGATCGCCCAGTTGATGCCCCCAAATATCGCCATAACACCAAGTACCGCCGAAGTATAGTCTGCAAATAACATCATATTAGTTCCGTCTGTTGGTATATTTCCATAGCTTTACTTACTCATATTGCTTCCAGTTACGGGAAGAACGGTAGGAAAGTCGTAGAAAATCAGAACAAGCAAGGCAAATGCAATAGTGATGGCATTCACCGTCCAGCCAGCAAAACCCGGCAATCGGAAAGATCGAGATGCAGGAAGCCATTCCTCAGATCGCATGCGGTACATCAGCAGGGCGGCTGGAAATGCGTACGAGATATGCTGCAACACGAGCCCGGAACCAATGAATGCATTGAAGGCCGATGAAGAGCCCAGATAAATGCAGCCGATGATGAACATCACCACAAAGTTGAAGGTAAGACTCCAGACTGGAACTTTGAGCATTGGATGGATTTCACTCAGCCACTGGCTCCCGATGATAGCTCGGTCTCGAGCCAGCGACCAAGTAAGACGAGATGCAGTTTGCTGGGCGCCGATGAGTGCGAAAACAGCAGCGCAGCAAAGCAGCACGACAAAGACTGTAGCAGCCGTTGGGGACCGAGTCGCTTCGTACCACATCTCATAGATCGGGACCCTACAGCATTGTCAGTAAACGAACTGTGATTGAATCATACAAGGTTTTCATACCCTGTGTTCGAGGTAGCGATCATAGCTAAATCACTAGTACAGTAGAGCATAGCAATGACGAATGCGAACGAGGTAACAAATCCAATGATCAAAGTACTCATCAGAGCTCGAGGCACTACCGTGCTCGCATTTTTGCACTCCTCGGCCAAGTGCAGAGCTCCGTCAATACCAGCATACATGTAGTTAGGGGTGACCAGACCAGTGAGGAAGGCGACACCACCGGAACTCCAGCCACTATCATTGATGAAAGTTGTCCAAACACTGCTTGAAGACTCATAGTGGGAGGATGAGCGGGCGACACAAGTGATGGTAATGACAAGGAAGGTAGCAATAGTAACGAAGACTGTCGGGCGGGTGTTAGTGGCTGATCCGCGGGTATTTCGAGAGTGCATTTCAGTTCTTACAAGACAGGTCATGAATCCACAGTGACCTTTTCAACAGTGTGATATTGTATAGTAGGACGCATCCATTTATGGCTTGGTATATGAGGAAATAATGCCACGGCTGCGGTGTATAGCTTGGATTGTAGAACAGGGCGATACCAACGATCAGTTGTGCGGGAATGATAGCGATTCCGGTGCATATGGCAATCCAAGAGAACACATTTGTCATACCACAACAGTAGCTCTGTAAAATATTTAGTGAGAGGCCGTGGGACACAAGTAAAATGATGGACGTACCAGGGATCGGTTGATACCCTTTGGGGCGAGGATTGATGTCCAATGGTACTGCCCACCAGCAGTGGGATACACGCTCGCCAGCTCAGCCAAAGTGAGAGCACAAGCGCCGACGAGGAAGAACATCAAAATCGGTCCATAAACGAGGGTTACTGGGCCTCCCTGGGAGATAGCCAGTGCAATGGTTCCAGCTACGCCGGCCCAGCTATCACAGATAACCCAACTGGCAGAGATGGTCTGCAACTTTGTCATTTGCCGTCCACCTTCAGCTTGAAAGTTTAGTCCCTTGAGCTGTATATGGCTAATAAGACCCTCAGTATGAACAGACTCTACATCACAATCAGTAATTTTGTGGTGGACATAGTTATGATGAAAGAGAGAACTCACGCTGTTCTACATCCAGGGATGCTGCTGCAGTAAGTCAGCGATAGGTTTGAAGTATGAGTATCAAGATGCTATGACATCTTGAATGGTATTCCCTACCATGTTTTTCCTTTATTTCCTTTGCCTCCATGGTGGATCTTGGCACAAGTTATTATGGAGGTTGGGAGAATGTAATCACAAATCTCAAGATCAGTGTCTTCGAGGGCCTTTAAGTATACGAATATCCCCCAAGCCGTAACTGGCTTCTTGGATCAACCTGGGAAGGATACGCTTCGATAGAGTCAGTATGGCAGCGATAACGAGTGTGGTGCGGGGAAGGTTTCCAATATTACCCAAAAGGGTAAATAGGGAGAGAAAGGGCTGGATTTAGATCGTAACTTCTCAGTGGCAACGGTCCGCGAAGATAACAGTTCCCCGGATTTCAAGTGAAACTTCCGACAAGGGCGCAACAATCACCAATTATTTTACCTTGATTACGTTTGGTCACGATAACTTATCCTTTTGTCAAGTAAAATCACTGAAAGGATATTGACGCAAGATAAGACAGTGTTTGCGAGAACATCCTTAATCTGCTCTACTCAGCTCAGATGGATATTACCTCCAGAGATCAAACTTGGTTTCTCCCTATTTTACACTATGGGGCATTGTAAAATATTTCGCCCGATTTTTGAATGCATTCTAGAGCTATTAATTTCAGAATATCTATCGTCTCAATTTACACTATAACCGAACCCGAGGAGCAGGGCTAGCTTGCAGTTCCTCCTTTACAGTCATTGCTGCACGTGTGCCCTCTTCAATGGCCCCATCAATAAAGCTACGCCAACCAACAGCCCAGTCCGAGTTTGCGAAAACAACATTTCCATGACGTCTACGCAGTGCATCGAGTGAGGTTGACAGCAGCCCGGGTGGAGAGAAGAACCAAGCACCCTTTGCAAACTCGTCCTTGCTCCAGTTATGGAAGACCTAGAAAATTGTCAGTATGACATCAAATATGCCGATTGAAGAAACTCACTAGTCGCTTAATGTCCATGTTTCCGGGCGCCATATTCTCAACAGCCTTCCTGGTCTCCTGAATGTCCTCCTCGGGTTGGATGTGGTTATTGAATCCACCAAAGCAGACGATGTGAGTGTTTCCGGCTGGGGTAGTCCCGTCACCGATTGCATACATGAGTTTGTTGAAGGGATATGAAATTCCCGTCCATGAACGCATGTCTTTGTTAGAGATCTCGGCATGAACTTTGACACATTGATTGACGTGCCCCTTGTTGGCAGCAGCCATGCGTTGCGGGTCCAGAGGAGGATTGAAAGAGATGGAGTTCAGAACATTCAACGGAATAGTGGAAACGAGACGAGCGCTCGTGTATTGGCAACCATCACGAGTAGTGAGCGTGACTTTATCCCCCTCATCCTTAATGGCTCCAACTGGGCTGTTGAAGACATAAGAAAGTCTGCCTGTGGACAGTGCCTCTTTAAAGAATCGGATGGCAAATGAAGACTGGCCTCCCTTGAACTTGTAGGAAATCAGAGAATCCATACATCCTTGGTAGGTATAACCGCACAGCGCCCACCAGTGAAGGAACTCGAAGAAGCTGGTGGTCTCCAAGGTCCCGCAACTACAGAGCAACACGAAACTCTCGAGTGCAGCACGTTCGTTCGGAGTGAGGGACAGTGCAATGACATTCAATCGATCCTTCGCGGACATACTATCGTATTGACGTGCCTCGGGCACATGGAAGGCATCGTGTGCGTAAGGTATAATTTTTCGACCGAGGCTACCGTCGACGTTGACAAACTTTTGCAGTGCATTTGCCAGCAAAGTATCCTTTTCCCCCAGTCAGTATTTAGGCGCTTTGACATAGAAAACGGCACGTTACTAACCTCGTCTTCATGGCTCATGATGCTCGTGCCCTCGTTCGTACGCAGTTGGAAATGATTGACTCCCCGAGAAAAGTCGAATGATGGTTCCATGTCGGTGCGCATTTGGTATCTAGAGATCTCTCGCCACACATGTGGTTGTCCCCAGTGAACCCATGTTCCTCCCATCTCAAATGGGTAGCCTCCAATGTTCGAAGACCATGATCGCCCACCGATGCGGTCGCGTGCTTCGACAAGAAGAACTCGAAGGCCTATTGTCAATCAATGAGAAATGTATTCGTTAATCTGTCTCGACAATATCTCATACCTGCTACACACAAGTCACGCGTCGCTGTCAGCCCAGAGTATCCGGCACCGACAACAATAACATCCCACGGCTTGGCCCCCGACGTAATGTTGGTGGGAGGGGAAATCACTCCGATTGAGGGAACTCCCTGTGCAAGTCCCTCTTCCGGAGTCCATTGGAACCCATCGCGAGAGGTCATCTTGATCAACTAGGGGCAAAGGGCTTCTGAAAGGAAGGGTAGAAAAATCTTAGAGCTAAAATTCAAGCTGAAAGAGAGATTTACGCTTTTATAGGAGGCCAGTTACATGCTACAAGTTCCGTATTCCTTCTTTGTCAACTCTGACAGTTTTTCACAATCGCATGTTATCTAGTAGCTATCCAATCGCCACCAACCACTAGCAATGAGGGGCTCGATAAGAGTGGATTTGAATAAACATACCGAAAATAGTCAAAAACAAGAGATTCAAGGATTTCAGTTGGGCTTGCTTGTGGAGAGAGCCGTTGACTCTCTTGCGTGGCATAGAGAACTATAAGCTCAACTTGGACCGTCGAGTGGGGTTCCGGGAGGCAAGATCAAAATTACCCGATTAGGACAGTAATGCGAGAGAGTTATTTGAATCTTCCTTGACGCCCTATTTACCGCTGAAATCTTTTTTAAGAGAGATCAGATGATATAACTAGGCTAATTATGGACAAGGAACCGCTGTTAACCTAGTAGACCATGAAATCGTAAGAATGGCATTTCCAGTACAGTATGAGGCCCATTCTCCCCACCATGTGTGGAATTTCGCAGCAGACCAAAGACACTTTATATCGAAACCAGTAAGTACTTGGCAAGTTATCAGCGGCATTTCAACTCACCATCTGGCAAAACTCCGAAATTGTCCTCATTCCAAGCTATGCACTATGCTATGCAAAAAATATTGCATAACTACATGTAACTCCCCGGAACTACGGCGTACCACGGGGTCCGGGGAAAATGCCACCCCGGGGGAAGCTTCTCGGGCCAAGTCCTTCTCTTCTTCCCCGCAACCCAGCTCTTCTCCAGTCAACATTGCGCTCCACCGTCGAAAAGTCCGCACTCCTAGTTCTATGTGTATGCTCCCTCAGCTACAAGTGAGGGGTCCGTTCCGGCATGGACATGAGCGTTGACTCCCTGCATGCAGGCGGGATTAGGCGTATACGACAAGCATGTGCCAATTGCAGGTGCGTATTAGATGGGAATCAAACCCCCATCGGACCGAAATTGTTGGATAACCCTTATCTAAAAATATTCCAGGCGCAAAAAGACGAAGTGCACAGGGGAGCGCCCTATCTGCTTTCATTGTCGCCGCAATCGCCTAGCTTGTGTCTATGAGCCATATTCTGCGACCGTGAACGATGGCGGTCGGCCAGCCCCTCTGTCCACCTTGGCCAACAATCTCAATAATGTTGGTGCACTTACCAAAGGTATATTCGATCAAAAGACTGACCTTCGGTCTCCAGGTCGAACTTCTACAACGACTAAGCACTATAGAATCTCGCCTTGCTGAACTCAGTGGACAACCCAACCGAAATGAGTGAGCAGCTATCAGAGGATATCTTGTTGCGCCTCAACAACCCACTAACGTTGTAAAGATCTAGTAATGATATCCCGAATTTCTCGTTCGGTGACGAACCCAGCTCACCGCTGCACGATACGATCGCTTCACAACCATTCCCCCCGATGCGAAACTCTCCCATCGAGAATTCGTATGTCATGCTCTCCGCGTCTTGCTTATCATCTTCCAGACTGACTCTGACGGTTTTTTATTTGCTAGAATCTTCCCTCCTGCTCCTGTTCTACGATCAGTGATTGATACATATTTCGAACATGTCCATAATCAGCCATATTCCTACTTTCAGGAGATCTCCTTCCGTCAGAAACTAGAGTCAAACGCTCTGCCTCGCTGTTTGATACTAGCTGTGCTTTCTTCCGCCGTCCGGTTTTCTGCTCATGAATACTATGCGGGAAAGACACGGGAGGCCTCCGAGAAATATGCCAGAGAGTCATGGCTATCGGTGCTCGCAGACCATCTCACTGTAGAAGACAGTTTAAATGTACATGTCGTACAAACGGTGAATCTGCTGGCTGTTGTGGACTATACCGGTAAGTTCATTATTTCGGCTATCGATTAAAACTAGACATGGGATACTAACCTTTCTTCCAACCCAGCTGGTCGTGTTAGCTCGGGATGGTTGAAGATTGGTCTTGCCGCCCGCATCTCCCAAGATCTCCATCTTATGACAGAGCCCGAGGCATGGTTACCCTACTCAGAACAAGAAGAGCGGCGACGCGCATTCTGGTCCGCCTACCTAATTGACAAGTTGATTTCCTGCGGTAAATCCAGGCCATTGGTGATCCTCGATCAGGACTGCAATTTGCAGCTTCCTTGTGACGAGGACACGTTCAACAGAGGAGAATGGAAGAAAACTAACACACTTGATCAACTCCTCAACTGGAACACCCAAATTGCCGACGATCCCAGCGGCTTTGGCCTGGTTATTCTGATGGCGTCTATCTTTGGGCGTTGCACAAGATATGTCCATCAAAATCGCAAGTCTGACGAAATCCCACCCTGGGATACGAAATCAGACTTTAGCGGAATCAACTCATCCTTGTTGCTCCTAGAGTCCTATTCCAAATTGAGCACTCAGAAAATCTCTGAAATTGTTCAACAGAGTCGCCACGGCAACACTGATATCGACCGACAGCAGATTGGGCATCTTATCTTTGCACACACTTTGTACCATCTCTGTCATTGTCTTTTGAATCACCCTTTCCTCATGCGCCTCCGTCTCAAGCCGTTTGGGTCAAAAGTCCCTCCCAGTTTCTCTGCACGGGCCCTCCAAGCTGGCTGTGACCATGCTAAGCAGCTGATGGATCTCGTCCGAGATGCCACAGAGAGTGGATGTCGGATAGAGTCTTCATTTTATGCTTACTGTATCGCCGTGGCCGGGGGTATCCACTCCCTGGCATCACACCTCGAGCATCAGAGTACGGCGCGTCGCCAGTCGGATATTATGCACTACTTCAATGAGAGTGTCGAATCCCTGGAGAGATTGGCAAAGCTTTGGGTGCATGCATCGAATATGGTACGTTGCTCCGATCTGAGTGCCATGCTGTGGTACTAACATTTCATCATTTTTAGGCTTTACGCCTGCGGGAGTTTCATACTATGTCTCATCGTTTTGCGAGTTTGTTGGATCCAAAGTGTCTCACGGAAGAGCTTGACCCATCCTGTGAGGAGGTCTGCTGGTCAATGATAGACTACGCAATTCTAGGCGCAGATCCACGTAAGAAGCCGCTCATCTCCAAGACTGGATTTTCCAATCTGCCGTCTCCAAGTCAATGGGCTCTTGGACCTGAACCTCTTGGTGGTGAGACGCCACGATTTGATGGTACTAGCACGGATATTTTCAGTGGACTCACACCGACTATGCGGTTGAATGATGTCGATTATCTCTTGAATTGTAGTCCCGGAACGAATGATATGGTCTAAAGGCAAGTTCTCAGCCCGTCAGTTTGAGGTTCGGTCCGCTCGGTCCGATGCTTTTCATCCGCTTACCCGAAATGGGAACAAATGTTTAAGATATCACGACTACCAGCTATTATGAGATCCGTAGCTAATTTTGATTGTAATAGATTTGAGATCATGGTTCCCAAAAATGAATTGTCACCCTGGAAGGGCGTCGTGTCTGGGACAACCGCCGCTGTTCTTGCAAATGTCCTTGTATACCCACTGGATATGTACGTGACGTTTTGGCAGAATATTGTGTATCTGAAAAGAAAATAGAATGCTAACTATACTCACAGAGTCAAAACGCGACTACAGGTTCAAGTTCATCAGCACCGAACCAAGCATGGAAACGAGGAAACCGATCACATCAGAATACAAGACGCACAGTATACGGGTGCAGTCGACGCGATCCGGAAGATATTGCGACAAGATGGTATTTCTGGCTTATACGGTGGACTTGAGAGCTCCATTGCTGGCACGGCATCCATGAACTTTGCATACTTCTACTGGTCTGCCGCCGCACGAAGTGTGTACCAACATGGTCTTGAATATTACGGCATTGAGGATTTCAATAGCATCATCAAGGAGTTCGGTCTTGGGGCTGTCGGCGGGGCTCTGGCTCAATTATGCACAACTCCTATTGCAGTGATAGCTACGAGGCAACAGACTCGCAAGGCGGGTGATGGGAAACAGTCCATGTGGGAAACTATGATTGAGATCGTTTCCAGTGAGGATGGGTGGACCGGTTTATGGAGAGGATTCAAGGTCAACCTCATACTTGTGATCAATCCCATGATCACTTATGGTGTGTACCAGTGGTTGAGGGGTGGTCTCGTCGGGTTAAAGAAGCAAGTTGGGTCTATAGATGCTTTCTGTTCGTATCTTTCTCCCTCCACGAAACCGTCCACGGGGCTTACTGTTTCCAACCAAATTCCAGTACTCGGTGCCCTTTCAAAGGTTCTGGCCACCATCGCCACACATCCTCTCATCGTAGCAAAGACCATGTTGCAATCAAAACCCCCACCGCAGCGCCGCGGTGTAGCATTTCGAGGTTTCACCGAAGTCCTACTCTATATTATAAAGCATGAGGGGATACTTCGGCTGTACAAAGGTCTGATTCCGCAGATCGTCAAGGGATTTATCGTCCAAGGTCTCATGATGATGTTGAAAGAAAGGTTAGTCTTTTCATTGATTATTTCTCCGTTATTCTTTATTGACGGAGATGACCAGGACCGAAACCCTTATGTTGATGCTATTTTCGCTTCATCAACGCCGTTCCTACCGCAGACTGACTCTCAAGGGATCACCTAGATAGACTTCATAATCGCTTCTTGAAGTTACCAGGAACTTTTGATGGAACTTTTACTGTATATATTTTGCGTTGAGTACAATTTGAAACCTGGTTGAGGTTGTGTTGCAGTTTTTAAAATTTCTTTCTAGGTATCATAGACCCGTGCCTGCAAAACTCGGTATAATCCTCTAGCAAAGCCTATCCTAGATATATCCATAAAATGTTAATGCCATATCTCTTATTGTGAAGTCGACAGCTTCCGTGTCTTCAAAAATTTGGACGTCTCTCCATCCTCGCGCATGGAAAGTGGGTCTGGGGAAAAGTCAAGCCAATTAACGGGGAGAATCTATCGGTCCGAACGGTGCGAGCCGCCATAGCGTGTCTTCCTGTCCAGCTCGGTCCGGTCATAGTTAGCGCAAGCCGGTCCTACTTGTTTAGCGGAGACCGGGGTCGGGGAGATCTATCGACACGTGAATCCATATTGCTAGTCTAGAAAGCTGTTCCTTCTTTGCGCTAAAATAAACTTCTTCACCCGATGGGAAGTTTCGCGATTTGATCATATTCACTTTGTCCGATCGTACATTCATTCATCAAACTATGTCGTCTTCTGTCTCAACGGTCCCTTTTGCGGATCCCCTTTGGCTCAATCGCTACTACACTCCATATTATAACCAGTCGCATCGCCGGCTGCAAACGGAAGTCCGCGAGTATGTTGATACTCACATCGCGCCATTTTGCGAAGAATGGGAGAAACAGGGCTTTGTACCCCCAGAGGTGAGCATTTCTTTTCACATACAAAAGAGATGTGTTTGATGCAATATCAAGTAGATGAATCGCTGAAAACATATACTTAATTCCCTCTCTGTGCAGGTTCAAAGGCGTCACGCCGAGCTAGGATATACAGCTGTCGCATCCTTCCCTTTGGCGGCAGATTACCTGAACGGCCAGCGACTCCCAGGCGACGTCAACCCCAGAGAGTGGGATGGCTTCCATGACCTCGTTGTAATTGATGAGTTGGCTCGTTGTGGATACTTGGGAATTATCTGGGCACTTGGATGTGGAAACTCGATTGGAGGGCCGCCCGTTATCAACTTTGGGAACGCAGAGCAGAAACAACGATTCCTACCTGATATGTTGAGCGGAAAAGTCAAGTTCTGCTTGGGAGTGACAGAGCCAGATGGTAAGAATTTGACCCATACATATAGATCAACACTTTGACGTGCGGCTGCTAAAGGGAGGTTCCTATTTCACAGCTGGATCCGATGTCGCTGGCATTACCACAACTGCCGAGAGAAAGGGTGATGTGTATATCGTCAATGGTGCTAAGAAGTGGATCACGAATGGCATCTTCGCAGATTACTGTACTGCAGCTGTCCGTACTGGTGGAGAAGGCACACAGGGCATCTCGGCCTTGGTCATTCCAATGAAAGCTCCCGGTGTGACATGCAGGAAGATTGAGAACTCGGGTGTTCACGCAAGTGGTAAGTGAAAATATATCATTTATCGCAGTTGTAGCCTCACATGCTGATCTGTCTCGGGCTATTCAAGGGTCGACTTACATCGAATTTGACCAAGTCGAGGTTCCAGTGGCCAATTTACTTGGTGTCGAGAACAAGGGCTTCCCGGTTATCATGAACAGTGAGTCGGAATTTGAATCTCCCACTATATGAAGGCTTCAAACATATTAACTCAAAGTCAGACTTCAACCACGAGCGCCTTTGGCTAGCATGCACGTCCCTTCGTATGGCCCGTGTATGCGCAGAAGATTCCTACAAGCACGCCATTTCTCGTGAGACCTTCGGCAAAAAACTTATCGAGAACCAAGTTATTAGATCGAAGTTCAGCGCCATGGCTCGTAGTCTGGATTCCACTTATGCGTGGATGGAGCAGCTTGTCTACATATCCGAGGAAGCAAAGCGAAACGGCTCCGACGCTGGAATGGGAGGATTGTTCGCGAACCTCAAGGTCCTTGCGGGGCAGACCTTGGAAAGGGTCAATCGGGAAGCGCAGCAAGTTATGGGTGGACTTGGATACTCGAAGAATGGACGCGGTGCGAGGATCGAGCAAATTAGCCGCGACGTTCGTGTCATGGTTGTGGGTGGCGGTAGCGAAGAGATTCTTTCTGAGCTAGCGGTCAACCAGGAGACTAAGGTGATGAAGAATCTGCAAAGCAAGCTCTAGATTCTTGGGCAGAAAAACGTTGTATTTGTTAGATAACTGAACCTGGAATTCAAATTCATCAGGTGCATTGGAATTCGATTTGTTCGTCCATCTACGATTTTCTTTCAGCAATTCGTTATATTTCTAACCAGGTACATGTCATATACATGGTGAATTTTCAAGATAAAAAATAAATGTGAGTCAAATCCATGTTCAAGTAATACTATGAAGACCCGACCACCGAAAATACTGCATTACCTTCATGTATTCGACAATTACTTCAAGAAACCGAGCACTACCGTTAGCTACTAGTGCACCAATGTCTATAAAAGTCTTAGAATTTACTAAAGTGTGATATGACAGGGCGCCTTTGAAAAACGGCTTCTATCTCTAACTTTTATTTCTGGGTCCGATCAGCTACTTTCTGACCGACTATTTAAATGATCACCTAGCTCTTTCTACTTGTTATCTAACGTAATGTCGATATGAAGATACATTGTATTTAAATATTGCTAACTATATTCAAATGACTGAGCACAGAACTCTCCCCTCTTCAACGGCATCTCCCGTCTTCCATTCCGATTCGAACTTGCCTGATGCACCCACGGCAATACTGACCTCCATCTTCATACTTTCAATCACCATAACCGTCTCCCCAGACTTGACTTCATCCCCGTTCTTCTTTAGAATGGACAATACTTTGCAAGGCATCGGGGCTGTGACTGTCCTTTCCTCAGGTCCATCCTTATCCTTAACCACCGCACGAGTACTTTCGGCAAAGGATAACAAAGTGTCACGCTTGAACTCAACATGTGTTCCAAGAGCAGGTAGGTGGCAGAACACTCTCTGGCTGCGGTCTGTTTGACCTGCCAAAGCATGAGGCTGAACTGAGGGTAGAGCCACATGTGCGAGAACCTTTGATCCGTCTATTGAGACTTCCAAGGTGGATGTGAGCCACGATGCAGTTAAAGCGGGATTTCCTTGGGCAGGGCGCCACGACTCAATTTTGACCACCCGAGGGGTAGTAGACAAGACTTCTCCGGTTCTCAATGCCTGACTGATACTGTTGTACTGCGCAGAAACCTTCATTGCTGCTGATTTGGCCTTCTCCTGACTGTTGGCTGCATCTGGTACCGGGAATAAGTATGCCTCCTCACCCCGAGAGGCCGAAGCAAGACCTTGTGCCTTCCACACACACACAGTTTTTGACTGAAGATTTTCATTACTGGATGTTGTTTGGGGCCAGCTGACCCTTGTCACAATATCACTGTGAATGTTCACGGGATCATATCGTTGATTGCGGAATTGCTTGCGAACATTCCCGAATGGCTTGCGGTGTGAAGTGGTTGGTATATAGTCAGGCAATTTGCGGGCGACCAAGCTGGGAATGACCGAGAGAGCTTTCTCAGCCTCGGGAAGATTCAACTTCCAGGGCGACTGAAGAAGTTTATCCAGGTGGGTTGGAATGAATGCGGTAGTATATGCAGGATCGTGGAAGCCCTTGTTTAGCAGACAAGCCTGCATGAAAAGCTGATTCGTCTTGACGCCAACGCAAGCTGTGTGTGCAAGGACCTTGGCCATCTTCTCGACAGCCAACGCTCTTGATGGAGCCCACACAACAAGCTTGGCAATCATGGAATCGAAATAGATGGATACCGACGAGCCAGACTCGATGGCAGTCTCATATCGAACATCCCGACCAGGTGCCAAATCTCCACTCCCAGGGAGCCACAAATGGACCTTGCCATGCTCAGGGAAGAAGTTCTTCTCCGGATCCTCGGCACAAAGGCGACATTCAATTGCGTGTCCAACCTGGGTCACGTTTTGTACGGCAGGCAAACTTTGAAGCCGTCCACCCGCCGCGACGAAAAGCTGCAAAGATACAAGATCCACTCCAGTAACCTCTTCAGTGATAGGGTGCTCAACTTGCAGTCGCGCGTTGACTTCGAGGAAATAAAATTTGCCAGTCTTCACGTCCACGACAAATTCGACGGTACCGGCATTCTCATATCCAATGAGTTTTGCGATGCGTACGGCAGTCGCACTCATCTTTTGGCGTGTTTCATCGGTCAAGAATGGACAGGGGGTTTCTTCAATGACTTTCTGATGACGCCTTTGAACGGAACAGTCACGATCGAAAAAGGAAACCACTTCACCATGTGAATCGCCAAGGATCTGGATTTCCACATGTTTGCTGCTTTCGATGTACTTCTCTAGGATACAATCACTTGAACCGAATGACCGCTGTGCTTCGGATTGTGCTCGCTCAAGCTCTTCCTTCAATTGGCTCGATTCACGTACGATACGCATGCCTTTGCCGCCACCTCCAGCAGAGGCCTTGAGCATGACAGGGAATCCAATCTCTTCTGCAACTCGCTTCAATGCTTCGGCGTCTTGACTTGACCCGGCAAATCCAGGGATTAGGGGAACGTCAGGTGCATGTTCCCCTAGATATGCTTTTGAAGATCGTTTATCGCCCAATGTCGACATAGCACTTGCACTTGGTCCGATGAAAATCAGTCCAGCTTCGCGGACGCTGTTGGCGAAGTCCGCATTTTCGCTGAGATATCCATAACCCGGATGAATGGCGTTGGCACCGACGTTCACGGCCGTTCGCACCAGGAGTTCAATATTGAGAAAGGGGTTTCGGTCGCTCCGGTCAATGCTACCGATATTGATAGCCTCGTCTGCATCTCGAACGTGCCGTGAGGATGAATCCCTATCTGTGTCAACTTTTCGGAATTCGCTTGGGGCAACCGTTCATGATTTTGCACGTACTCATCAACATAGACCGCAACAGACAATATGTTCAACTTCCGGCAAGTCTGAATAATGCGACAGGCAATTTCTCCGCGGTTGGCGATAAGAACTTTCTGAATGATCGGTCGGCCATCGTCTCCTAGTGGAGGTTCGGCAACAAATAATGGCTTGCGAAATGGGGAGCTAGTGCTTCCGGTTGCACCCTGCTTCGGGGCGCTTGTAATTCCAGGCATCTTAGTAGAGACAAACAAGCTCTTTCCTAATGAGAAGGAAACACTGATACTACTAACGGGGATGCATGAAATGTAAATCTATCTCATATTAGATATTCATTTAGTTTGCCTGGTGGATCCTCCGTGCTTCAGGTAACCTTCTTGTCCGGGGTCCATGTTATGCGTTCGGTCCGGCTTCCGTCACCAGGAGTTGTGGGGCAAGCCGGTCCGCAAGAGTACAGCAAGCCGAGGTTCCGCCTGGAGACAGGCTATCGATCTTGAATAGGAACGCTCAATTCCGGGGAAGATTTCGAACAGCACTCGGAGGCTATCCATGATCTCGTAGTAATGAACAGCAATGATTAAATCAGCGGTTTCTAGGCAAACAAATTCTCATACAGTCAATTGTCCAGGTTATACATAGTATTGATTCAAACTCATCTATCTGAGAGGCAAATAGGCACACAAGCTATATCAAATCCTCGCAAGCAAATTATGCGTTTCTGTACCCTTCGCACCTTGCAAAGTCACCGTCTCCAAACACATTCCCAAAACATCCCGCGTATCTCGTGGATCAATAATTCCATCATCGATCAGCATCGAGCTAGTCGAATAGCATTCCGCATCCCGCTCAACCCGATCTCTGAATCCTTTGACCTGCTTCTGCAACTTTTCTGGAGACAGAGTCTGGCCCTTAGATTTGGCACTGGCTATCTGCACATTTTCCATCACTCCCGACAACTGATCAGGACCCATCACACTGCAGCGACCGGTCGGCCAGGTGAATAAGAAACGGGGTTTGTAGGATCGGCCGCACATGGCGTAGTTGCCAGCTCCATAAGACGCCCCAAGGATGATGGAGATGTGAGGGACTGTGGAACAGCTCACGGCGGAAACTAGTTGGGCGCCCATTTTGATAATTCCTGCGTGCTCGGCTTTAGCGCCGACCATGAATCCGGTGACATTGTGTAGGAAGATAATAGGCGTGTTCCTGCAATATCAATCAGTATCGTGTTGCTTTGTCCTGCGAGGCTGTACTTACTGTTGATTACACATTCGGATGAATTGGGCAGCCTTTGCAGCTTCGTTGGGATTGATGACCGAGATCTGATTTGCGACGATACCAACGGGGAAACCTATGTCACTTTTTATTAGCTCGGAACTTGAGATTGGAGGCCTATGTATGTCACCTACCCATGATGTGAGCCCATGCGGTGATAATGTTGGGGCCATATTTCGGTTTGAAGACTGAGAGCCGAGAGTCATCCACAATACGCAGAAGAACCTCATTCATATCGAAAGGTTTGCGAATGTCGGGATTCACGAGGGATAACAGGTCTTCAATCGGATATCGAGGTGCAACGGGTTCAATAATATCCAGTCTCGGAGGAGTTCGCATCTGCAGCGAAGCTACCCATTCCCTAGCCTTTTGGATGGCATCGAATCTGACACTTGTTAGCTGAAAAGCACAATTGCATATTTCTTGATTTTACTTACTCATCCGTTGCAATCTGGTCAGCAAGACCGGTAGTCACAGCGTGTACTTTCGCACCTCCCAACTCCTCGGCACCAATGATTTCACCCGTAGCCATTTTGACGAGAGGAGGGCCACCGAGGAATGCTTGCGCTTGATTTTCGACAAAAATAGTGTAGTCGGAGAGCGCTGGGTGATAGGCTCCTCCTGCCGTGGAAGATCCGAACACAATTGCGCAGGAAGGCTTGCCGTGCTGCGTTCGCACGGCAAGATCGTGGAATAGCTGTCCACCCTTGTGAAAGACTCGGAACTGCTGAGGTAGGAATACACCAGCCTAGAGAGATATATTTAGAGAGGAACGAAGGAAACTAGTCTCAGGGTATTTGGCTTACCGATTGAACTAGGGAGATCAACGGAAGGTCATTTTCGAACGCAATCTCCATCATTCTATTCACTTTCAGAACTAAACGAGTGTTAGCAAATCTAACCACAAGATAATATTCATATTACTACATACCAGTCATTTCATTCCATGCGCCACCACTTTGCGTCGGAATATGGGACATGAGAAAGCAAGGCCGCCCACTTTAACCGTCAGTATAAAATTCTTTCAGGATATCCTTTGTCTCAACGAACCAAACATTTCCAATCCCAGAAATCAAATTCGCGCAAGGCGTCGAGTCTTCATTTCGAAATCCAGCAAACGCACCCAATTCAAGAAAAGGTGAATCCTGATCCAACAGTAATGCGACGCGATCTCTAGCTATTTACCGCGTTAGACTTGAAACGGGTTTCTCAGGGTGTAAACGTACGCAGAAGCTGGCCTCGAGTTTGATGTCTCCGCAAAGAAACATCATTTCCTTCGGCGGACACTTGCTTCAAGGCATTTTCGAATTTCTCCAGTACGGGAACCCAGCTATCTTTGTTCGCTCGGAATTGTTCACCCCGGAGGTCGAGCTTGGCGCTCAGTGTTGGATAGGAGGATTCAGTAGCCATGATGGGCCAAAAGCAGAATTGGATACCACGATAAGTTGTATTGTACCTCGAGCTCCAAAATTAATTACTAAAAAGGTCCAACCTGACTAGCTTTTGGATGAATGGACACCAGGTGGGTAAGGCATGATCGGTCCGAAGCCCGGGGGTCACCCGGATAGGCCATCGATCCCCAGAGAGGACCCGCCCCCATAGTATACAGGGGAATCTGGGCGAGACCAAATAAATAAGTTATCTTACAGAATAGAAAATAGAGATTTTCAATCACTTTCTGGTATCCGGGGAAATTTCTACCATTCTGATTCAAAGCCATCATGGACCCCAATCTCGCCATAGTTCATGGCCCGACCGAGCCCGCCCTGTGGTCAAAAACACTCGGCAGTTTCATCGACGACCAAGCTACTTCATTTTCCCAGCGACCCTGTGTCATATTTCCATGGCAAAATGTCCGGCTTTCATACGGCCAACTAGCCGATCGCAGCAAGGTGCTTGCCAAGGCTATGCTCGAAATGGGTCTTCGGCATGGAGATTGCGTCGGCATCATGGCTGGTAATTGCTACCAATACATCGAGGTGTTCCTGGGTGGTGCTCGTATTGGTTGTCCTGTTGTTGTGTTGAATAATACATATACACCGAGTGAGCTGCAGAATGCAACGAGCAGAAGTGGTGAGTTGAATTTACTCTGTATAAATGTTTCTATTTGCTAACACATCTAAAGTTTGCAAACTTGTCTTTATAGCCTCTTCAATTGGCAACCGAGATTTATCCGGGCATATTAAAGCTCTTAGGGGAAATTTTCCTCAGAATCCTGTACTACCAGAACTGCAGCGAGTGGTGTGCCTTGGAAATGGTGCCCTCGAACAAGCTGGTGTTGAAATACAGTCCTATAGTACTTTCACATCCAACGGGCATTCTGTGTTTATGAATGATCGCGTCCTCAAGAGGGCAGAGAATGGAGTCACGCCTGAGGATGTGCTCAATCTACAATTTACTTCTGGTATTTACCCTTACCTTTAAATTTCACCAATATCACTATGCTAAACTGTCACGCCAGGCACAACCGGTTCCCCAAAGGCAGCCATGTTGACACACAAGTTAGTTCCAAGAGCCCCTTCAGACCGGAATTCAATCTAACGAATACTAGCAACCTCCTCAATGATGCCCGCTTCGTCGGTGACGCCATGGCCCTCACCCCAGAGGATGTGATATGCTGCCCACCTCCTCTCTTCCACTGCTTCGGCCTGGTCCTCGGCTTCCTCGCATCCTTCACGCACGGCAGCTCAATCGTCTTCCCATCCGACTTTTTCGACGTAAAACTCGTTGTCGACGCAATGGTCAACGAAGACGCCACGGTCCTCCTAGGCGTTCCAACAATGTACGTCTCCGAACTAGAAGTCATGGCGAAAACGGGCCAGCGACCCCGCCGACTACGCACCGGTCTAGCATCCGGATCAGCCGTATCGCAGGGCTTGATGAATGAATTGCGGGCAAAAATGGGCGTTGAGAAAATGCTTATCGCATACGGAATGACCGAAACTAGTCCAGTTACTTTTATCACTGCGTTGAGTGACTCGGATGAAAAGGGGACTATGACGGTAGGCCGGGTTGTGCCGCATACGGCGGCGAAGGTGATTGGGAAAGATGGGAAGATTTTGCGAAGGGGGGAGAGGGGGGAGCTTTGTACTAGTGGGTTTGCTTTGCAGAAAGGGTATTTTGGGAATCAGGAGAAGACTAAGGAGGTTATGAGGAGGGATAGCGATAGCGTGTTGTGGATGCATACTGGTGATGAAGCGTTATTAGATAAGGATGGGTACGCGCAGATTACGGGGCGGATTAAGGATATGATTATTCGAGGTGAGACTGATATTCAAATTTCTGATTGGGATCGCGTTACTGACAATTGTGTATAGGAGGAGAGAATATTTTCCCAAGGGAAATTGAGGAGCGCATCATGTTGCATCCCGCTATTAGCGAGGCCAGCGTTGTGGGGATCAAAGACGAGCGCTACGGTGAAGTCGTCGGATGCTTCCTCAAGGGAGTCGAAGGATCTTCCAGGATCTCTGACTTAAAGGTGAAGGAATGGGTCGGGCAGCAGATGGGCCGCCACAAGACGCCGCAGTATGTATTTTGGATTGGTGATGCCAGAGTTGGTGATGATTTCCCCAAAACTGGAAGTGGAAAGCATCAGAAGCATATTCTTCGGGATATTGGTAATAGGCTGGTTGATCATAAGACAGTCAAGGCAAAGTTATAGATCTTATCCAATACAATATGCGTTCAGATATTGGCATAAATGGTTGTTATTACTATCTTTGTGACGAGCAAGTACACACAGCGGCAGTTTAAAAGTTTGGAACAAGGGATGAACGAAAAGGTCAAGCGAGCCACGCTTGGAGCTCTGCTGTTTCTGAATATCCATCACAATTCCTTTTGAAATGTCTTTTGAAATATCTTCCAGATAGCCTAGGCAGTATCTCTAGGTCATTTTACGAAGCATGACCGATGCGATGATGACGTTTTGACGTTTCGGACTAATGAAACTCCACTGTAGAAGAGGCGGAGGCGATAATGAGTAAAGTAAATCCCATGATGTATTTTCTCAAGTCAGGTGTTCTAGAAAATGGATCCCTTACGAGACAGGCCATACACCAACCAATGCTAGACATGTATAGTCCAATTTGCCTTCTTGACGATGCAACCCTTGGTCAAAATTAACCGCGGCTCTAGTCAGCACTAAGCGTCATGCAACCCCCAACTAAGCACCGGTCCGGCTATCCGAGCGCCCCGTAAGGTTACTGGAGAGTGGGGCGGCTGAATCATGCGGGGGCCCTTCGGTCCGGCGTGCGGATTCCGCGCAAGCCGCTCATCGAAATAGTTGCCGAGGCCCAGAATAGCCTGGTAAAAGGAGGGAGTTGGTCATGACTGGGACAGTTTCTGATGCAAATACATACTCTTTATTTGCTGTAGCTGGTGGAGGTGTTAGCCTAGCTTCAATAGCACCGGGTCAGCACCATGACGATTGAAACACCCCAGGTTCGAATCGTGGAAGTAGGACCCCGCGATGGCCTCCAGAATATCCGCGCGAAAGTGCCTACGCCAACAAAACTGGAGTTAATTCAGCGTCTCCGGGATGCCGGACTACGCACGATCGAACTCACATCAGTCGTGTCGCCGCGCGCGATTCCACAATTGGCAGACTGTCGCGAGGTCCTTGGACATTCTTCGGTGAAAACGTTGCTCCAGAATAATCAAGCTGGTCTGCGATTCCCGGTGTTGGTGCCTAATATCAAGGGTTTGGATATCGCTTTACAGCATGGGGTGAAGGAGGTTGCTGTGTTCATCAGTGCGACGGAGGGATTTAGTAAAGCCAATATCAATTGCTCGGTTGAGCAAGGGATTGCGAGAGCTACAGAAGTGGCCGGGTTGGCGAGGAAGGCGGGCGTTGCTGTTAGAGGGTAAGTATTCCTAATATTTATACCAGCTCTTCAGGCGAGTTTCAGTCTTTCTGACCAGCACAGATATGTATCTTGCATCTTCGCGGATCCATACGATGGTCCCACACCCGAAGCCGCGGTCTGGCGATGCGTCAAATCCTTGCTAGATGCGGGCTGCTACGAGATCAGTCTCGGGGATACCCTAGGCGTGGGCTCGCCGTCAAACGTGAACATCCTGCTCAAATATCTGACAAGCCACGGAATTCCCCTTTCAAAATTGGCTGGTCACTTCCACGATACATACGGTCAAGCCGTAGCCAACGTCTGGGAGGCATATACCTGCGGATTGCGAGTATTCGACAGCAGCGTGGGCGGACTGGGAGGATGTCCCTTTGCCCCAGGTGCAAAGGGCAATGTAGCAACCGAAGACTTGGTATACATGTTCCACAACGCAGGAATCAACACGGGCGTTGACCTACCCAAGTTAGTCGAGACGGGTGAATGGATCTCACAGCAACTATCCCAGTCCAACTCCAGTCGAGCCGGGAAAGCCCTATCCATCAAAACAAAGCCGCAGACCTCAGCACCCACAACCTCCAAAGCCAACTCGAAACAGATAACACCCCTGAAATGGACCCTTATCTCTTCACCAGAAGGCCTTTTAATCCACCGCAATGGCCCAACCCTAAAGATAACCCTCAATCGCCCCAAAAACGGCAACGCCCTAACATCCTCCATGCTAGCCACACTGACATCAACAATTCAAACGGCTAACACCGACCCCCTCACAACCCGCATAGTCTTTACCGCGGTTGGCCGCTTCTTCTGCACAGGCATGGACCTAGGCAAAGGCAGTTCCCCCGTCGCCCAAGGTTCCTCCGCGTCAGATGCACAATTCACTCGTCTCACGGCGCTGTATGAGGCACTTGATACTTCGCCCAAGGTTACCATTGCGGCAATGAATGGGCCCGCATTTGGTGGGGGTGTAGGCTTTGCGTTTGCGTGTGATATAAGACTCTGTGTGTCTGGCCCGGCCTGTACGCTGAGTGAAGTCAAATTGGGGCTTGCGGCGGCGACTATTTCAAAATATGTCGTTCGGGAGTGGGGTGTGCCATTTGCGAGGGAGGCGATGTTGACGGCGAGGAGTGTTAGTGCGGAGGAGTTGTTGACAAGGGGGTTGGTTTCTGGTGTTTCCGGGAGTATCGGGGAGTTAGAGAAGGAGTTGGATGCGTTGTTAGCGAGGATGAAGTTGTGTTCACCTGGTGGGTCGAGGATGTCGAAGGAGCTGGTTCGGTTGGCCTGGGCGCATGGAGGCAAGGAGGAGCAGGCTAAGGGAATCAAGGAAGTGTTTGATGAGATGATGAAAGCGGATGGTGAAGGGGCTGTTGGGTTGAGGGAGTTCCAGATGAAGAGGAAGATGGATTGGGATAAGTTTGTACTTGAGGCGAAGCCGAAGTTGTAGATATAGAATACGTCTCAGAGGATATCCATTCTCTTGATTGAATGCAATATATATGGACTATGGACTAGAGCTTACAGCTGGCAGACTTCATACAGTATGCAAATCTTCACAGAGATACAAAGTACATTGAGTCCATCAAGGTCTGTAGACTCTGCATTGGAGTAAACACTATTGAGTTTGACATAATGATACGAAATAGGTCAATATGTATTCATGCACTCCCCCAGGGGTAAATTCCTAGTGAATAGTGATGTTGTGACAATTCTGAAAGCTACAGGCCTAGATTATTACGTCGATTAATAAGACTACAGGATCAGAGGGGAAACTCTTGATTTGACCAATCATGTGCGTTAGATCAATGATCTGAGGATAGCTTCATGATATAGTCCGGCTCTCCTTCTCTCCTTCGTGCCAGCGCTTAGTCTTCCTTCTCAACCTCCCTCGTCGCTCCAAACTCCTCTTTATGAAAAGCCTTTTCCACTCTTGCTTCCCCGCTATGTCTGAACGTGGCTTTGACCACCGTGCTTTTAAGGATAACTCCCGGCCGGGCTACCCCTCAGGCCGACCAAGTGCCTACGATCTCCACTGCTGGGAGTGTAACCGGCAGGGTCATTGTTAGTAAATTCATTTTACCTTTCTGTGTTTACGGCTAACAAAACCCTGTAGATGCCGGCCATCCACAATCCTATGTCATGAGAATTCGCAATTCACTGTTAGAGCACCACTCGCGGGAGATCGCTATCTGGGAGGATCGCCTGCGCCGAGCGGAAAGATCACACGATGCTGCTGTTAACGTGAGTTATCCATCGCTCGTTTGTTGTCATATGTACTGAAGAAGGTGAGTAGCCCGACGGACACACTGTTACTTCCGCCTCTGCTTCTCGCTCGTACCGTGAGCGCTCCCGTTCTCCACGTCTCTCGTCTGGTGTGCATCGTGATCGTGATACCCCCTTCCCTCCACCTCGCCAAGATTCGGATGTTTCGCCTCTTCACGCTCAATCATCATCTGTTCCGCTACCCGCCGAGTCTAAGACTGCTAGCCCTGCTCCGCGCATCCCTAACCCCATTATCCACGATTCCGTGACCAAGAACCCTTCTCCTGCTCCTGCCGATTCCTCCATCACGGAGGAGGAAATTAAGGCGGTCCGTATGGAGATAGCCGATGTCCGGGCTCTCGTTGTCAAGCTTGATGACCAGTGCAAAGCACTCCAATCCAAGCTCGACGCCCGAGGTAAAGCTGACAAAGCAGACCAGCTCTGTGTGGAAGTAGCGAATACAACTCAAGATGACCAGCCGAAGATGGGGAAGTAAAGCTTTGTGTGCTAGATCATGGTTTTTCTTTCTCTTTTTCTTTTTGCTTTTTACCTCCCGTCTTCTACCTGTATTCTTATTTCCGTCTCTATTCTTATTATATTTTCTTTCCGCTCTTGCTTTCGTCTTTTGTGTTTCTATTTGTGTGGGATGAATCTTATTTCTGTCAGTATGATAGTGTATCTGATTCGGATTGCAGCCATTTGGATGTAGAAAGTTGGCCACGTCTGTGGACACATTATGCGTCTGGACTTTGTAAATAATAGATTGAATTGCCTTAGGCCTCAAGCCAATCTGTGTTGAATTATCAGGAGAAATGTCAATGGCAATGGTTGGATGGTAGAGGCGAGGCTGGAGTTGTGGATAGAGGTCCGCTTTGACTAGAGATGGAGGGAAGGTTACTACGGGGACTGCGGATACAGGACTCCAAGGAGTAGTCCTAGAAAGATATCTCGGCCTTTCTAAACAGATCGTATTCCATACACAACCCAACTGAAGATAAGAGCATGAATTATGGCATACTGTACACTTTGAAGCCACACCGTAGGATATCCCAGAACAAAAAACCACAGACCAGCTAGCTTTGCCTAGCTACAAGCCCAACAGTGTAAAAAAGACCATCGTGTACCAAAAAGAAAACCAAGCCGGGGAACAGCAAATCCGACGAGGTGTGTAAAAATGACAAACAAGAAATATTGTTAATGAAGGAAACCCATCAAAGAAGTTCACAGGAGGATAAGGGTAGCACCGAACAGCGAGGAGACGATGGTCACCAGGCTGACGGCAACGGGAGCCATGCTGATGGTAAAGGGCTTAACAAGACCGGCAGCGGCACCAGAAGAGGTAGCACCAGAGGTGCCAGAGGAAGAGCTGCTGGAGCCAGAGCCAGAGCCGGAAGAAGCAGTGGAAGTGGATTGGGTACCGGCGTTCTGGGAACCCTTGCCGTCGAAACCAACACCCTTGCCAGCACCGTTCTTCAGGTACTTCTCGGCGGGCACAGGGATGGCAGGCAGAGAATCAGAGGAGTCGACATCCCAGTTAGGGGCGTTCTTGGCCGGGCAAGGGTTGGAGCCACCAGTCTTGTTGTAGTTGCCGTCACCCTGAGGGTTGGAGGTCTTGTCAAAAGCGGTCTTGAGAGCATCGTAATCCTTCAGGGTGCTGACGTCGTTGCCATTGATCTCAACCAGGCCGTAACCATTATCAGAATTTGAGTACTCATAGACGAGGCCTCCTGAGTAGACACCGGTCATCTTGGTGCTGTACAGAGCGCTGACCTCCTCGAACTCGCGGGTGTTGGTGTTGCAGCCGTACTCGGACAGGAAGAGAGGAAGACCGTAACCAGTGAAATTCTTCACCTTCTGGTCCCAGCCAGATTGGGTGAAGGAAGAGGGGTCACACCAGGAGTAGTCGTTGAAGGCGAAGAAGTCGGAACGTTCATCGTCGGAACCACAGTTCATGTACTCGGCCATCTCGAGACGGTTGGTGTCAATGTCAGCAGCAGAGTAACCGACGGGAACCTGGCGGAGCTTCTGCTCGGTCAGGTAAGAGCGAATATCACGAGTAACGGCCTTGATATAGGGGGCAGCCTTGGAAGACGGGCCATCATTAATAACCTCGTTTCCAGAGAAGAAGGCCAGGGTGTTGTCGTAGCGAGCGAACTTGTCGACGGTCGCAAAGATGTATTGGAGGTAAACATCGTTGTACGAGGGAGCGGGGTCCGCGCGGTTGAGAGAGTACTTGGGAGTGTTGACGTCGAGCACCAGGTAGATGCCGGCCTCGGCCAGGGCGTTCATACACTCATCGTGGTCGGCGGAGTTGTCCACAGAGTAGACACGGATAGTGTTGAGGCCGAGGTCCTTGAACTTCTTGATATCACGCTTGCAGTTCTCGGCATTGGCAATGGGGTCGGCCAACTTGGAAGAGCCACCGGGCTGGTAGTCGACACCACGGATGTAGAAACGGTCGTTGCCCTGGAAGAAGGCATTGCCCTTGACGGTAATGGCGGTGACGCTGCCGCTGGTAGCACGCTTAGCGGCAGTTGTAGTGGATGAAGGAGCAGCCAGGACGGACTGGGCTCCGAGTGTGAGGGCAGCAGCCAAAGACGCGATGGTCGCCTTCATTGTGATGGTCGTGATAACAAGGCGGATGTATGGAAACCGGGGGATTTATCGGTTGAGTGGGAAATGGGGCGCGAATTGTTGATAAGGTTGTTAAAAGATGTCAACGAGTGTCTAAACGAGGGACAAGAAAAAAGATTAAAAGCGAAGGTCAAAAGAGAGAACGAGTGTGTAGAAAGAAGGCTGGTTGAGGAACGTAGGGATGGGAAGGAAGGGGGGATGACAGTCCAGCTTATACTTCACGCAGTCCAACCGTCCAACAACCACACGCCCACACAACCCGCCACAAACATCGGCAGGTCAAGTCCCTGAATCCCTGAAATCCCTGGACTGATAATCCCTGGCGAATCCCTGGCCTGAAGACCTTCTCCACAGGCCCTGATCGGCCGGTGGCGTTAGGTGGAGCTCCTTTCAGAACGGCAAGGATGGACCTGGTATTGAATGAATGATGACGATTGGCACTATGGATGGACCAGAACTTGTAACATGATGAGGTGCTTGCCAGCATATTACAGCATGTACTCTGGATGTTCTGTACGACTGCATTGGCCTGTATTCTGGCGGTAAGGAGGTCTTTGCGAATGGCTTTCCTTAGGCTCTTGGAACGATGCCCTGGCTGGATCCACGAAAGCCCAGTGGAGCCCAGTGGGTGATACCAGTGGAGAATGAGGTTTGACCCTGAAGCCAGCACTGGCCAATCCTAATTATCCCCTAGAGACTGTTTCCAAGACCGCCAATGCTTCCAAGTCCCTTGGCCATTGGTCCTTTGGGTCGAGGTTTCTGATGTTTCTAGTATTTATAGCTCGTCTACAGTATGTACTTCAGAAGTATGTTCCGAAATGCGTGCTCTATACTTTCTGGGCATAATTGGCGGCTTGTGATTATGCCACCCGGTTATGAACCTTCCTATTATTATTATACTCTCGACTATTTGTTTCGGTCTCTGAGATCTCCGCACGTACATCAGATCCATGGATAGGCCTGAGCCCTGGATACGGCTGCCCCTGAGGATAGCCCTTGAGTCCTTGCCATCGCAATGGACATCAATATAGAGTACTAAACGGATACAATTAGGAATAAAAAATACCATTCAAACCCTTCCTGCAATCTACAAGACCACCATTCGTAAAAAGTGACAGGTAATCCGTTCACACAAGGGGAACTTCATAATTCCTTCTTCTGGACTTGGCGATGACGCACTCTCCCTCTGGGCAGTGGAGCATAAACTCACTGATCGGCTCGCCAAATTTCATGGCATGGGATTGTACCTGGGACAACTTGCTGCATTTTGATCAAGACTCATACAATCTCGAGGCTACAGTATGATGCTGCGAGGCTACCATACCATAACACTACATCTTCGCTCTATCTACGGCGTATCGTATAAATAGGTCCTCTACAGTGATAAGTGATACTGTACACAATATCCACCACTCGGCGCCTAGGTCTTCATCTATCTCAAGTCACATCCGTCCAATCCCGTATCCCCATCTCCTCGCTTCAATCTCGCTGGACCCGCGGGTATGGCTCTCGACTTGGTTCTCGATGCATCCATAACCCCTGCTCCACCACCGATATAACCGCCAGTCACTCCAGTACTACTTGGCTCGAAATTGAATGTACTGAATTCTTAAACATTACAGTGCACCTTCCCTTTGCTCATGAAGACTCCTATTCGCCCATTGGCCCGCTTTACGCTATTCATGGGAAAGTTAATTGGCCATCGAGCGCGGCATTCCCAGGCAGCACTTTAATTCCAGTGCCAACGTCCAGTCAACGAGATTGTCAATTCATACGGTCGCAAAAACGACTGCTCGATTCAATCGCCTATTCCATCAAAAATCAACAACTCATAACTCATGATATCTTAACAAAAAGCTCGGAAAACTTGCCACCCAAAAACCCGACCGAATAAAACATCATGCCGCGTCGCGAATAACGGCCACTTTCTCCTTGCGACGGCCCAGCACAGCCTTCACATCGCCCCACAGACCACCCACAATGCTCCGCAATGCCCCCATACTTTCCACCTGGAATGGGTGTTAGCGTCGTGATTGACATTGACGTGTTTTGAGGCTGGGATGGAAGAGAGGGAAGTTGAAGTGCGATAGTGTCCTCTGTGCTCCGTACTTACCACGGGATAAACGACGCAAATCATCACACTCGTCCAGATCCAGATAAAAGATACCACCACCCAGCCTGTGAAGAAGGACTTGCTGTATACATAGCTGGTGCCGAATAATGTAAAGGGTACTAGGATGACAGCACCGAAGAAGAATATTATGTTGGCGATTATGGCGATACGTGTGCCTTTTCGCGCGAGCTCGGGGTCCATGGGCTCGATTGTGCTGGATTCGAGATAGTCGATTAATTCATTTCTCGAAGTCGGTACTGGTTGCGATTGCATAATCTCGTCGGATACTGGCTCTGGGGTTGTCTTCTCCTTTTCCTCGGTCGGAGGGGTCTGGTCCTGGGTTGGCGTGTGAGATTCGGTGCTTGCTGCAATACCAGTGATCGCGTTCATCTCTGGAGATATATGGTTTTTGGGGAATGCATAGCTCAACACGACGGCCATGATGAACCCGACTCCGAACGACGCAATATTCCCAGCCAGAGCATTGGTTGTGTCTCCAGTACTGGCGACGGTAATTGCCCCATTACGCTTCCATGCCGTGATGAACCAGACGATGACACCGCATAGGAAGCCAATCCAGGGCGCGCCAATGGCTGCAACGGTCGACATGGGTTTCCACAAGAGAATCATCCCGACGGGCAGAGCGGCACCGCCCACGATCACACCCAGCACAGTCAATACCCAGGTCAAGCTGATACCGACTGCATTTAGGACACAGCAGAACGCGGCGAGGACTAGTCCGTATACTACGATCGCCCAATGGCTCACCCTGACCAGATCGGTCGAGGTAGTCGTGGGACGATAGTATGTCTTGTACACGTCAAAGGTCAACAGCGATGAGACTGCAATCAGCTCTGCAGAGGTTGAGCTAGTCACAGCCATGAACAAAAGGATCAGCATCAATACTGCGCCGCCTTTTCCGAGGAGTGCAACGGCTGTTGCTGGTGCAGACAACCCTGCGCTAACTTGTTCGGTGGATAGTGGGTTTGGGTATGTAGGGAATCTCGGGTCTCCTGTAAGAGCTACACAGCCCAGGCCCATGACTGTCGCGAATCCGAATGGAATGCCTACTATGCTGTCAATATGATAGGGTCCTACATTTCCAAGAAACAAAGGTGTTTCCAAGAAGCAGAGGTCAACTCACCATACCACGCAATGCCACCGAGGATATACGCCTTCACTGAAGTCTCCGGCTTCGAGGCAATAGCTCTCTGCCAATAAGCCTGATCCAACCAGACAGTAGAGAACCCAGCTACAAACAAGTCAAAGGCAAATATCAATCCTCCCACGGAGCGAAACGCCAAATGCGAACCTTCGGTGTTGCCGTCGATGGGCATCGTCTTCGAGGCCGCTTGCAGAAGATCGTACAACTTGCCGGGACTACCAACCAAATCACTGGTAGCAGTAATCAAAAAGCCAAATACCAAAATCACAATGAATAGAATCACGGTATGGGTATAATCAGCAATGAAGGTCGACCGCAATCCACCCGCAATAACATACGCCACCACAACGGCAGGAATAAGAAACGTCGCTGCATAAACATTCATCCCCGTCAATGCCTCAACAACCTGTGCACCACCGAGAACTAAACAAGCACCGACAAGCATATTAGTCGCCAGCCCGTAATACAAATATGTCAAATGAGCAATCTTCCCATGTCGCGCCAGCACAATTTCCGGCATCGTATGCGCACCGGGGGCATTCGTCTTGATTTTAATCGCGATCAAGCTGAATAGCAGAATCTGGAGTGTTCCCATTGCGGCGTACCACATCGGTCCGCAGACGCCATATTCGTAGGCGAATGTTGAACTTGTTAGGAGTGTGGCGGACCATGTCCAGGATGAGACGATGCCGGCGCTGATTAGGCCTGGTTTGACGGAGCGGGAGGCTGTGTTGAATTCTTCGGCTTGGTGGGTTGAGAACCGGGTGTAGCGGTTTTGGAGCCAGGTTAGGCTTAGCATAAAGAGGGCAAATACTCCGCCAATGCCGATGACGATTCCATAGCCTGCACCAGCAGGGAGGACGCGGAGCTCGTTGCCCATAGCTGGTTATACGATGTGCAATGCGGTTTGATTCTATGCACGGCTAGGGTTGTGTGACTCTCCTATGCTCATTCTAGCCGATCATATGGTCTTTTGATCATTTATATAGCTCCAGGTAAGACAGATATCCATCCTAGACTCCAACTGTATCTTATCTTGATCATCGTTGCAGAGATAAGCAATGAAGATGGGGTAGCCTTGTCCCAGAGCTATACCTACCCCAACGGAAAGAATTGGGGTAGTCGATAAGGCTCGTCCATCAAGTTTTCTCTACGGAATGGACTAATGAACGTGCTCGGTTAACCTCCGCTGGTGATAAGGGACGGCATGACTACCCCAAGTAAGGCTGGAATCTTAAATGAGCCCTGGTTTCAATGGATACAATACACAGTTGTACCGACTTAGCCCCATGTATATACAATAGGGCTATGCTTTCATGTCGATAGAGCACCCCGGATTTGGGGTTGTGGTTGTACCCCAACACATATCATCGGAGGACCGCCAAGTAGATACACACTATTCTGTATAAAAGCGAGTCGTTGCGTTGTAGGCTTTTGATCTCACTTTGGAGAACAAGGGTGCCAAAGAATTGCAGGTGAGATATACCCCGCGTGGAGTTGGAAATATATCTAGCGTGGGTAAATATTCCATTCGCCGATTGGACTAGCATATGTGAGAAGGACCACGTTATCGGACAGAATGCCGACCTTCAGACCAAGTGGCCTAGAGTCTTAAGGCTAGCTTCGTACTTTTATCAAGGAAACCTATGACTGCAGTTTGACATTGAACGTATTCACTGGCCCACCAAATGTAATCGACCATCAACTTTGCTCTTCCCATGTGTACCCTGCTGCAGGTTAAAATTAAGTCTGATCATCACAAGTCAATGCCATCCCCATCTTCATCAAGAAAAGGCTCTTGCGCAGCCCTTTCCTTCTCCAGATGCCATTGAATCCCACGAGCCCTATTGATGGGTGGCGGGCAACAACTGAGCGCCACGGGTTGCTAGAACTAGGTTAGCACATATGTAAAGAACAACAACGGGCTAGAAGCCATACCAAGTCTGGAACTTCTAGTAGTTGCCGGAATATGTAAACCATGGCTCATCCAGATTTAAGTTGGTCTCGGCTGACGTGTCGTAGTACTCATGCTGAATTAACTCTGGCTTGCTGTAGGGACCTCCTTCAACTTTGTCGGCCTTGTTGCCGCACATTACGATAGGCAGGGAGTCGTGAGTGGCATCGTGCAGTTTCTCCGCAAAGGTAGAATGATTAGTTTAAATGTACTTGGGAGGGAGGAAGGACGCGTACGTTCCCACGATGCGACATGGTTCAAAGTTGACTCGTTGCACGCATCAGACAGAATGAAGGCCACGTCGGCGTGTTTCAGGGCGTCGTAGCTAGAGGCAGACAGCTCAGTGCTGTCGGGGATCTCCCATAAGGTCATGTCCAGATATCCAGCAGTCTAGATGTGCAGTCAGTATTTGGAGACAGCAACTGCTAACGTTGTGTGGATGGCTGACCGTGTTCCACGGGGGCGCGTGAGCCTGGACTTCCATGGTAGGATTATAGCCCTCGGGGAATTCGCCAGTCTGATGTTTTCGTTTGAAGCTGGTCTGACAAGGCATTAGCGAAGGGCAGTGCTGCAGGTCTTGTTTTTGTTACCTTGCCCACTCCGGCATTGCCGAGGAAGGCGATGTTGAACTTAATGACGAGTCAAAGTCATCATTGGGTGTGTACGGTATCAGCTGGGTTGTTGACAGTATCGGGTAGGCGGACTCGACGAGATAAGATCTAGATTTTATTTCGCAGACCGAATTTCCCAGAAAGAATATTGCCGGGGGTGTATGGGGCCAAATCCTGGAACGGCGCTGCATTAGGATTGTATGCGGTGGTAGATGAATTCGGGTGTTATCACCAACTTCCAGGTCTTCTAGGTAATCTCCCCCCTCATATGGCCTAGTTGGTTAGCCAGGTTTGCGCCACCTGGTTGGCCACTGGGTGTGCCCCTGTGAAGGAAAAAAATGAGGGGAAATATGGTTGACTGGTATCCGATGTCGAGCACAGCTCCACGGATGACCGGGCACACCCAAGGGGGGAGAGTGGGCGAGCGAGCTAATCCCCCTCGCTCGCCGATTTCTTCTTTTATTTTTATTTTTTTATTTAATAGATATATATCTTTTATATCTTCTATCCTATATCTAAAAAATAATATTTTAAAGGTATTATGGTCTTGTCGAGGGGGATTGGCTAGTGGGTGTAGTCCCGGAGGGTATGGACTTCGGCATCGTGGGATGGCGATGGAGCATTTCGGTGAAGCGTATAGGGAACTCGAAGGCCGGGGGTTCGATTCACGGGAGAGTGGATTCTTTTTATTTCAAAACATGTAGTACCTAGATTAAGCTCGCCATCATCGTACATACAAACTCGCACTTCACTATCAAATCAACCCAGGCTTCTGAACGATGACGAGATGGGGAATAGTGATGTCTACTTCATGGCCTTGACAACGATCAACAGTAGCAATTTTTGCCTTGTCTGCCTCCAAGCCTGGATTTTCCGCACGGAGTTTCCTCATTGCCTACCAGTAGAGCTTATGGTGAGCTGAGTAGAAGGTCAAAATGCATATTTCGTAAGCTTGATGCGTTTCTTGAGAAGGGAGGAACCGAGACGGGATCCTAAAAGCCGGGCTGCAGATCTTCGTTTCAGATTGCAGAACAGGATTCTTGAAGTGCGAGCCTGTGTAGGGACGGATCAGCTGTGCAGCGGTACAGAAATGGCTGCCAACAGCAGGACATTCTTCTGAAGTAAGACATCATGGGGACAGCCCAAACTGAGTGGGCCGGGCTCCTTTTAGCCAGTTGATAGTCGAGGAGCGTAACGACCAGGGATACGACAGCTTCAATATTTTCTTCGTCGTAGCTCGACACAATACGGTTCAATTACTGTTGACCTCTAGGGATGTCAATATCGACCGCGTTGGACTCTGCGTTGTTGATACAAGCCTGGTATACTGAGGCCATTGGGAATGAGTCGGTAAAAGCAAAAGACCGTCAGCTATAGTCGGAATGGTCATTCTTCCTTTGGCGCCAGGACAATCGGAGGTCAGCATGTTGTAAATGATCGCTTTCTAGACTCTGATTCGAGTATACCCATGAAGTAATGCCTGGAGCCCAAGGCCCCAATGCTACTTTCCATTTCTTGAATCTCCGCTCACTCTAGTGTGGCCACAGCCGTGCCCTCTTCATCCGGGGCTCCCGGTCCCTGGTCCTGGGCTTCTAACGGGACACATCTTCATATTGGGCTGCGATTTGTGGACTATCTTCGCACCATCTAGAGTAAGGACACCGACAGATCCATACTGCATTATATACGTCCGCTGAGTATATCTCAATAGTACCTGGTAGACCTGGCCGATTGCCTGAGTTTCGAGGTTGAAATTCTGGTGGCATCTTGGGTTTGGCAGGTGATTCGACGTCCTGCATATCGAAAATTGGTCCTGGGTGAGAGGCCATCTTTCTGTAGAGCCGGTAAGCATAAAGATGTTCTCCAGGGTGGTGTATGGCTTACTTGGAAGGAAGTGACAATCTCGTAGATAATCACAGCAGATGTTTCGTGTCTCCAGACAAAGAGTAGCCGCCGATATTTGTGGATGAGGATGCCTCGTAAGATAGGCCCGTGATTGGAGGCAGGTTTTAGGCAGAGCACGGCATAGGTAGAAGTTGTCTTCGAATTCGGCGACAGAAGAAGTTGGTGGAGATGAAGGTCGCACTACAGCTATATCGTGGCGGGTAAAACACGCGCTCTAGACAGTTTCTCCGGTGTGAAAGTCTACCGCACTCCTGGAGACAGAATGGTAAAAGGATGTATCCTTTCAAGAGCACCAGTCCAGCCATGCGTTGGTCGTACTTGTGTCTTAATTCCAGTATTGCGACTCTAGAAAAGAGAAAATATCAGTTGACGCAGCGAAACGCCTACGAAACGGGAACGAAAAGCCTGACCTGAGATGGTGTCGTCTTATTTTACAATCCATGACGGGAACGGTGGGCGCTGACGAGAGAATGAAAACCGGCGCAAAGGTTACGAACGGCATTGGCGGCTTTCGCCATCGATTCGGACTCGAAACTGGCCTCGTTCTCCTGCGAATATCGGAAGATGTGCTGGAGGGTCCAGACCTCCGCCGAAAATTCGCGAAGACGAACTTAATCTAAAGTTGAATCGCCAATCAGGTATTGTGCCTTTAACGGACTGCCAAATTTATGCATCGAAAAAGTTTCGTGAGTAATGCTAGATCGTGCACGCCTATACGCCAAGACTGCTCGTGCAAAGTATTAGCGCTGCGCAAAGCTTTCAAGAATTTTGATGTGGTACTTACCTGCAGCAGGTCTATGTAAGAGTCACTGAGCAGCATTCGATTGACCATAAGGGATACCATGATGATTCCTTCCAAGCAAGTGGAACCCTCAATCGAGTAGCTGCCGTATCAAGAGAGTGGGTTGCAAGGGATAACTGTATCAATGATAACTGCGAGATGTAAGGAATGGGGGTCGCGTCAAATGAAGGGCGGATTCTCCAAACACAAGGTTCGCAGAGAGATTGGAGAGTAGTTGATGAAGGAGACCATGCTTCTAAGCAGGAGACAAGGTGAAGCAGATCCGTGTACGTAGGAATCATTTGACAGACACTCCGTATCCCTCGAAACGAAAGATCGAGCTCTTTAAAGTTTCCAGGACCGATTACCTATACGGGCATGAAAAGAGACGTAAAATATAGTATATAGTAACATTTTCACAGCTGGCAGAATGTATTTATAAAATACCAGCTCAGAAGGTTTCTGCTTTAACCAACTCTATAAGATAATGCTGGAAAAGAGGACAGGCTGGTTGGGTGGCTGACAGAGGAAGGAAGGAGATATCAAGGGGAAGCTGCTGTTTTTATGACGCTCGCTACAAGCGGCGAAATGAGAACATCAAAGAGTATCTGACGGGAGACTCCATCATAACATAGAAGGGTATTTCCGAAGTGGAATTAGACACGAAGACACGCAAAATTGCCAGACTGTGGGGATCTGTTCAACAACGCCGAGACCTGATCGCAGCGGTCGCATGATTACTCGGAGTGTCGCTTCCCCAATTTGTTCGTTCCATGCACCCAATCAAGGAATCCAATTGACCCGTAATTGAGATTGAATTTCTCGTGATGAAGGTCATGCATCTTCGCCTTATTCCCGAAGAAATCGTACCCACTATGCACGGTTGCCGTATTAAACAACTCCCAGGCAAGGTACGCCCAGAACGTCAACACGTGGCTATGCAAAAGCTGCGGAGGCAGAGAGATCGGTAGTGCATTTGCGAAAATTTGCTCGATCGGATGCGCGAATTGGGCTGCTAGCGCGATGGGAGCTGTGAACTTGTGATGCTTTTTGTGGATGCGCCGGTACAGGTATGGGATGTGAAGAAGTCGATGGCTGTAGTAGAACATCGCTTCGCGGAGGACCAGACTTGCCGCAAAGTCACGAATGAATTCAAAGGCTGATGGTAGAGTTGTGGTGACACGGTAGGACGATCCCGATCCAGCTTTGCTACTGATGTAGATCAGGCTGATATGTAGCACGGACGACAGGATCTGGTTCTGGGTAACCACGATGAAACAGCGCACGATGTCACTGCGGGTGGGCTGTTTTGGGGCCGGCTGGATCTTGTGCTTCTGACTGAATTTGGGCGCGATCACATCTAGGAATAGATAAACGATCGAGGGTACCCAAAATGTCAGAACTTGAATAAGGAATGTGCCCACAAACTCGATTCGTTGCGCGGAGTAGGTGTCCACAATGCCAACCCAGAAGGCCGAGGCTTGTGCAAACAGGGGGCTAGCATAGTCACTGAACACCTCCATGGCTGTGGGCAGAGATGTATATTCAAGCTGCCAGTCAAGAAAACATCAAATTCGCGGCCGTCGGCGTGCGATAGCGGACAAGCGCGCGTTCTTCAGGGTCTTGAAATTCTTCAGGGTTCGACGTGAAACCTCGGTCGGTTCCCCCACAAAATGTCCGTGTCCCCGCATTCGATCGACCGTCGCTAGCCATCACCAATGATCGGTGGATCTCGGCTAGTGGCTAGGGTCTGCCATGTGATGGACATCCAGGGTTAGGTATTGTTGATACCCACCGTGGAGTATATTCAGAACTCAATCTTGAATCTCTCAAGAATGTTGTATAGATTTCTGGTCTTCATTGCCGTCGAATGAGCTTAAACAACACAGTCAGCCTCCCACTGTGGAAAGAAAACGCATGCCACGAACTAAGTTGGCCTTGATTCTGTGCCAGCTTGCCACGTCAGCAAAATGACAATTAAGACCGTATGGGATTGGCTCATCCGTGGAGTCTTCATTGGGGTTGATAAAGCGAAAGAAGAGAATTGGAAGGTGGCATGGAGATAAAGAGAGTCAAGGCTGGACTTGCAGGAGAATGCCGTAAACGGCCCGAGAACGGCCCGACCAGGCGCGCCAACACCAAACGACGACGAGCTCATCAGACGAACTTTTCTTGACATTTTTCAAGGAAGTTCCCACTCCTCAAGCGCATTTACCATCGCTGAGTACAACTCAAGGTATGCCACCAACCGCCCCTCGTGCAACTTGACCATCGTTCTAGAACCTCACTAACCACGCCAAGATGAACTACATCGAATACGGCATCAGCCGCATCTTTGCGAGCGCCAAGGGCCGCGACGCACGCCTATTCACCAAGGGCCCTGCATTCGCCCAGACCCCCGGTCCAACCCTCACACTCAAATGCATCGAGGTCGGTCCCTCCGGATCAAAATTACACATCGACCACTCCGCCGAAGGCATCGGCCGCTTCCCGACTCTGAGCTGGTCTGCCGCAACACCCGATGTCAAGGAGTACCTACTTATCAGCGAGGACCCGGATGCTCCTCTGCCCTCTCCAATCATTCACGGCATTTACTACGGTATCCCTGCCACTACGATGGGTGTGAGCGATGTGGACTTTGAGGTTGCAAAGGGCGAGTATACGCTCAAGGGTGGGTTTAAGTACGGCAAGAATCGTCGGGGAACGGTTTATATCCCGCCGCGTCCGCTGTTGGGGCATGGGCCGCATCGGTACTTTTTTACGCTTATTGCGCTCAGTCAGCCTGTTGATACGTCTAAGATGAGTCCCCTGCCGACTGTTGACGAGGTGGCTAAGGAGATTGAGGGGAAGGTAGTGGGTTGGGGTGAATGGGTTGGTTCGTATGAGAGGAAGTGGGAGTGAAGGCGCGCTGCTATCGATATGAAGGTCGCTCCAATGGCCAACGCACATTTAATTCAGGACAGGCGATACAGACGCATTGCTACACGTTGTTGCTATGATAATACCCAAGCTTAATAGGAACGCAATGATATTTCCACATATTTCTTGATGCACTTCAATTTTTTGACCGGATTTGCGGTTTCTTCTACTCCGTATACCTGATACTCACTTTGATGTTCGTGGTACACCCAAAGAACATACGATTCCTACAATTTGATATCTCTCTCTCTCATACATTACCTAGCCATAGGCTGGAACCTCACCTTGAGTATCAATCGAACGGGTGAATGGGCAGACTCACCTCGCGATAACTTACTCACCCCACATCATCTTTGGAGTAACTCCATAGCAGTTTTCCGATTTCTCCCAGACTTCCTCGCCCCCTTCTATCTGCCGAACCATTTCAACTGTGTCCTCGCTCATGTTCAAAGTCCCGGCCAAGTAATGCAGAGCTGTGTTACCCTCTACATCCTTTGCTCGAACATCAACACCGGCCCAATCAACCAAAATCCTGATTTTAGCCTGTTGTGCCAACTGTTCAACCACGGTCATGGGCGTTAACTTGTACCCCAAGCCTATCGCCTCTGCAGTGGAAAATTCGATATGTAGAGGACTCGGTAGACGATGGGGTTTCCATTTCGAATCTAGGGTGCGTGCACAGTGTATGCTCTTGGCAACGTGCGGATTGCGAGCCACGGTTTGAGTCGCCGTGAGAGGGAGGCAAGCTATATGAAGTAGCGTATGTCCTAGAGCAGTGGTTCCCGCAGCGTTGTACCCACCTGGAACACGAGTTGCGAGCCATAAAAGGATACCCGGATCGTGGTATGCAGTTGCAAAATGAAGGGCGTGGACGTTGAATATTGGTGTACGCAGGTTTGCATCCAGCTTGGGGTGGGACAGGAGATCCACTATACATCTCTGTACACCTGGGTCGCTGGGATTGCAACGAGCGATGGCGTAAGATAATGGCGGGAGAGCGACCGTCGGCGCTGCATACGGGCGGTAGTTGGGCGAATACCCACAAGTCGACAACAAGTGACGAAGCATAGACTGCTGGCCTGCGGCAATAGCCTCATGAACAGGCGACGATGTCGAGAGATAGGAAACAGACCACTCTGCATCATCGAGTTGAAATTGCTTCTCGTCCAGTGACACCTCCTTTACCCAGGCAGTCTCATCCGCTCCAGCTGCACGTAGCATATCAAGGCTCTCCACGTCACCTACCTGGGCTGCAACTTCCAGCGCAGTCAAAGCCTTCTCCATCTGCAATCGTTGACCGGGTACATTCGGTTCCGTCCAAAAACGGGGAAACCCATAACTCCGCTCGTCAAGCTCTGCCTGAGTCAACGGGCATAATTGGTGACTGATACCTTTTCGTCGAGCATTTGCAAGAACTATATCACGAGGCTTACACGAAGCAAAGCTCGTCACATCATCTCGAAAATGACGACCGCGAATCCACCGTACGGAATAGTCTGACATACAGATCCGATGTATGCCATCAGGGTTGGCCCCGGCAGCTAGAAGGAGACGGGCATTGTGTGGCAGATGGGCGCGGATAGCAGATTTGAGAGGCGACCGAAAGATATTGCATGCTGTTCCACTTATGGTAGCGCCCGGGCCAAGGCGCTCTAGCCGTGAGAGCTCCCGATAGGATAGATTTTCTTCTGCGCTGGCCTTTGCGTGATGGGCGAGAAGGGCTTCTAAGATCGCGGGGTTGGACTTGGCTGCTGCCCGTATTATGGGAGTGTCGTCGTCGCAAGAATCATCGAGATCATCGGCAGTGAGACGGTCCATCGCGCTATAGAAAGATAAGAAGAATTAACTCTCGATGCTTTTCTGGGAATCGCCCAGAAGAATGATGGTGTGAGAAGAGCCGCAAGGCGAGGATGAAGGATGAAAGTGGGGGTGAGGTGGGGAGATTCCTAAATGTCGCTTATCAAACGGTCAGATCTAATTCTCTTGGCACTCTATCACACGTCAGGTACATCTAATTGATCAGAAAGAATATCAAAGCTCAATAACCATCACTATAGAGCTAGTCAGCATTCAGTGTATAGTTCATATTCTTACGCTGCTATTTACATCCCGTTTTGGGATCCCAATCCAAGTCTCTAGACATTTAGCCAGCCAGCCGCACCGACCCATTACTTAGTCCCATGGGAAGCCCTGGCCGGTCAAAGCTCGACGATATCTTATCCAAGATACTAGGTAGGATATGGACCAAGATGCAGTGCTCTGTTTCACGATAATATCATGAATCTATCGAAAATCAGGGAATGGCTATGGATAATCATCGTCATCTATACTATACGCTCGTATCATCACCTATTCAACAGCTTACGCGCTACACAGAGCTGAAGAATATTGTCACGACTTCGGGATTGTCGAACTCGATCGATCTGAATTTTCAACTAGACTTGAATACTGAGACATATCAGTGTTCGCGTGCCCTTTTCTGGCTGGGTGGACAGGCAGTCCCTGGAATTTACCCTATACCAATGATAACATTATAGAGAGCTGAAAAGGCCACACGCGATGATTGCGGGGGTCGAAACTTGTATATATTGCTCATTAAGGAGAGACATTGTTTCATCTCAATCGTCATTGCAATAGCGAGGTCACAGGCACGGTGCTAGCAACGTTCATAGAACTATGTTTCTCTTGAAGTTCTTCTTGTCATGGCTATCGCTAGCAAGTACTGTGCTCTCGGTTCCACTGGACTCGAAACGGAAACTATGCGGGCTCCACAACATCGCTATTCGAAGGGAGTGGTGAGATATCTTCTCGCTATCGTATCCAAATTTGTATATTTCGTCATATCTGACCGTTGTCGAATCTCAAGGGGCGACATGTTACCAGCAGAGCGGATTGGGTATACCAACGCCGTCATATGTCTCATGCATGCACCGCCTCGACTTCCAACTGCAGAGTATCCAGGCGTGCGAAGCCGGTTCGATGATTTTGTTGCGTAAGATTTCACAAACTAAAACACAACCCCAATAGCGAATTCATAGTCATGATCTATGTAGAACCCATATCAACTACACACTGAACAGTCACTACAGTGGATTATTTCTCCCGTGGCATCGGCATTTTCTCTGGTTATTCGAAAAAGCTCTTCGGGATGAGTGCCGGTACAAGGGATATCTGCCGTAAGTCTTTACTTATAAAACTCTATAAATATACAAACACCCTCTCATCATCTCGGCCAGCTACTGGAACTGGCCACTCTGGTCAGGCAACCTCCATGAAAGCCCCCTCTTCGACGGCAGTGAGACATCTCTCTCCGGCGACGGTGAATACAACCCAGACGAACAAAGTTTATCAAGTGGTGCGGTGACCATATTTCGCGGTTCGGGCGGAGGCTGTGTCCGCCGCGGACCATTCAAAGACATAACCATCCACCTCGGACCCTTCCCACACAGTCTCTCCTCTCCAACCGATATCCCCGATCCGGGATTCGACTATAATCCGCGCTGTCTAAATCGGAGCCTTAATAATTTTGTTTCTACACATTTTACCAGCCAGACACAAGCCAACCGTCTCTTATCGGCGAGGGATATAGTCGACTTTCAAATGGTAATGGATCATTGGCCGGCAGCGCCCGAGGGGGTGTTAGGTCTACATGGTGGAGGGCATTTTAGTATTGGATCCACGATGCAAGATCTCTTTTCTTCGCCGCAAGATCCGGCGTTTATGCTTCATCATGCTATGATTGATCGATTGTGGGCGATCTGGCAGGCAGTGGATGAAGGGAAGAGGCGGTTTGCGGTTAATGGGACGAATCGGATTTTGAATCCGCCGTGGGCAGACCTTGTTACGTTGGATATGGAGATGGAGTTTGGGATTTTGGATGGGAATCGGCGTGTTGGTGAGGTCATGAGTCCAGTGGAGAAAGGGTTATGTTACACCTACACTTGACTCTGATCAGGGCAGGGCAGGGGAAACTGGAAAAGACTTGTTGTTTGACAGAGTTCATTAGATAGAGTTTTGATGCGGCCGGAAGTAATAGTAATTGGGAGGAAATGTAAACATGATCTCGGGTCCTTTTGCGAAAGAGATTGTTTCTTAACCATGGACATATCAGTAATTAATGGATAATGATTGGGTAAGGTATGACATTGTGTTCCCCATTGCTCTCCATTGAATACCGTTATTGGCGATAGGACTTCGGCAACAAGCGCCTGCGGGGTGTCGTGAGACACGAGGGGTTTGGTGACACTTCCATTGGATTTGATACATTCGTTGGAGGCCTGGTGCGTTGGCCAGTCAATACGAATGACTGCATGACGAGGAAGATGATGCAAGGCGATGCCAATGCGTGAGGAGAACAATGCTACAGCAATTGCCGGTTATAATTGCAACTAGAGTAAATAAATAAACATCCACGAGAGACATTACCACTATGTTGATGGTCTTGGGAAGGATACCCATGGATCAGCTAGGAACCCGTTTCACTTGCTTGTTATTTTCCCAGCGGGGAGAAAAGTATGACAACATGACTCCGAGTAACCGAACACGACGCCGAGTCGGAGTGGGCCTGCCTATTTTCAGCCCTGAGGGCGTGAGACCGAGTGATGGGTGGGGCTGCACTGCCTGCCTCGTTGGTGTACAGTGTTCGTTTGAATGGAGAATCATAATGGAGGCGTTGATTGGGCCAGTGTGGCAGAGGCTAGCGTCACGGAATGGCCGGGTCCTCGTGTTAGTCGATAGATGTGTACGTATTCTAGAGATGCTCTTGTAAAGACTACTAGAGAACAAGAGGGATTGACTATTTTTGTGGTGTGCTAGATGTATGAAAAGGGGTTCAGGGAGTAGTCCCGACCGGAATGTGTCAAGGATCATTTATGATTTCGCTAAATATGACTACCTACGGTAGATGGAAAGCTATCGTTTCTGGTCGATCCGATCGGCCGTCGATCCTCAAAGAGATTTTAATTCGTTCAGCCACACCGAGACCCGTTCATGAACGGTCGCTAAATATAATCCGAGGCTCCATTTCAGCCTCGTAACCTATCCAAGCTCTCTTCCATAGTCTCGAAAGAATTTATTCAAGCTATTCCAGAATCATGCAATAGATTAATCTATTCATCATCAAAATGCTAATTCTGTCCCCCGCGGTTGATCCAAGCTCCCAAGCTATCGAGTTTTAGGGATCGCTTCCACTAGTGTCTTCCTTCCAACTGGTAGTCGGCCTAAAACCGGGAAGCTGTCTGAGCTCATTGCGTTGCCTCATCCTCGTCTCCATAAGAGGATTTTTTTTTCCTTCTTCTTTCTCTTATCTTGTACCTCTGACCTGCATATTGCCCCATCTGCTCTTATTTCCATATCTTACCCCCCCCTCTCCTCTTTCTTTTCCTCCCCTGCTCCTCTTCCCTCCCCACCACCAAATCTCCAACTCTCTAAACCTTGCAAGCCGCATCCGGCTTGTAACAAATCGGTGGTGCCTCCACACTTCCAACCACACAACCATAAAATTGAAACTGAAATTGAAGTCGCCCACAATGCTGCGAATCAATTTCCTCCAGCTGGTCTTCGTATCACTCATGCTCATGTCTCTCGCCTTCGCGACGGAGCAGCCAGTGATCAACCATGCCGTGCACCGTGAGTCCCAGTCTCTCCAGGAGGTCCTGGCCGGTATCAACGTGAACTCCATTCACGAAGCCCTGCATGCCCTCTCTCGCAAATTCCAGGACGGCATTTTCCCGACTGACATGAGTGCCGCCGAGGCCCTGCAAGGTGATGACGATACGATCGCTAGCCTAGTCAGACTCGCCAAGCGGGATACCAATTCCACCGCTTCCTCTGAGCCTACTACCTCCGCGGATTCTACTACTTCGGTGCCCATCACCACGACTTCCTCCAGCAGTGAGGTTGTTACTACTACCACCGTGCAAACCACGACTTCAAAGTCGACCGCGGAGCCTACTTCGACGACGACTTCGAGCTCGTCTTCCAGTTCAAGCTCGACGACTACCACCGTGTCGTCTACTTCGTCTAGCACGACAAGCTCGTCTTCGTCTTCGAGTGTCCCTAGCACGACCTCGACTTCCTCGACGCAGTCTACTCTCACTACTACCACGAGCCATTCGTCTTCTTCCTCGACTACTTCTGCTCCCACTACCGACAGCTCTTATACTTCCACGTATAAGAGCACTACGACTTTGGCCGATGGCAGCCTGAGCACTATCACCTCGACAACTATCGTGCACGTCCACGCAACGGGCTCGTCCGATAGCTCGACCACCACTGGCTCTTCTCCAGGCCTGCAAACTGGTGCTGCGGCTATGACTACCGCCGGTCTTACCCGGGAGGTTGTCGCTATGGTCGGTGGCGCCGTCATGGTCGCCATGGCGCTGTGAGGAAAGTCTCGACCGTCCATCCAGCCTTGTCATTCAAAACCTCACCCATGCTTCATCTTCACAGTTGATGGCATTTTGTTTTATTTTACTTCCCTGCTTTATTTCGCATCCATCATCATGCAATCGCACCTTGCATCCATCCATTCCAGCGTTATCGACGACACTTCCAGTCATCACCTCACGATCCTTACGAGCTTTACACTCATGCCTCTCCTTTCTCAAACATTGTCTCTCTCCGGCGTTGATCATATCTGGACTCGGGTTAATCTGGGCTATCTTTCCAATTGTTTTACACGGGCAGCATTTAGCGTGCACTATCAAATTTGTGGTTTTAGAAGGTGTTTCTCATCTGCGAAAGACAAAATGCAGTGATCTTTCTAGTCTCGGCCTCGGCGGTCGACGAAAGATACTTTATTTCTTCCAGACTCAAATGCATGTCCATGCTGTCAATATGTAGACATAAAAATCATCGTATATAGTAACTCGCAATATATAAAGCTTCAGAATGTGCAGTGGGGTATGTATGCGCCACCAGGCGCGGCCGAAATTACTTGTCCACCAAAAGAACCAATCACCTCATATACCATGTCCTCGTAGATCCAATCAATCCGCTCTTCTCTTCGATGACCTTCCCAAATTCTTAAAATCCGAGAATATACCTCTCATTGTTCAAGGTGGTCTCGACATCATCGTCCCTGCGCCACACCACCCTGCCACCGCTCCTCGCCCGTCCAATACCGGACCACACTCTCCCACGCGGGTAAATCGCCATCCCGGAGAAGCGCCGCGACGTCCACGTTCAGCGGTGAGTCAGGCTGCGGATCCGTCAGGAGCTGGTGGATAGCGGTGAGCGTGGAGGAAAGCGTGTAGACGGGACTCCAGTGCTCCGTCGTGAGGAGAGTGAGACAGATCTCGCCGGTCGCGAAGGAGATGTTTGGGTGGGATATGCGAGTTGTGAAGTGGATTGTCGGTGGTGCGAGGGGGTAGTTTGACGGGATTGCGATTCGGAGGTGCCAGAGGCCGCCTGGTGAGATGTCGTTGCTTGTTAGGTATGTCCGACTAGGAGTGGGTTGGGCGGGTGGGTGAGGTTAAAGCGGCGCATTACCTTCGTAGGGTGTCCCGTTTACGCCCTTGAGGACGGCTTCCCAGCGGAGGAGGTCTTCGTCGTCGACTGGGCCGAGGTGGAGGAGGGCTTCATTGGGTGATTTGGCGTAGTCTTTTAGCTCGCGCAGCAAGCGCTGCGTGGTGTTGGTGGATGGTCCAGCCATTTTTCCGAGGAATGTGTTGGAGCGCGCAGGTGGAGGTATGAGGAATGTGGTGGTCAATGAGGATAGACAGTGTATACCACGTATCAGGGTGTGAGACGAGGAGGCGTAGTTGTGTAGAATGCGAAAGCAGACCCTCGGCGGGCAGGGAAGGTTGGAGAGGAAGGCACTGGGATCGTCGCCGAGGCTGGGGAATCGCGGGAATCGGCACTTTGCCCCAGACCGCATCCACGGGCCTGAATCCACATGTGAAATTTCCCGACCCCATCGCCTGCTTTCTACAATTGTCTCCAGCTATACGTGTGTGACTCGCGATGCGTACTTCTAGAGCATCCAAGGAGACCGCAAAGGTGCTCCAGGCGTTGTCGCCCCCTGCGCGACGCCAAACTCGCAGTTCAGCCCTCGGCACAGGGGCGCTCAGGGGTTTCGCCTACAATGCGGACTCGACCGAGAAAAGCGAGTTGATACCGACGATTGCTACGATTCCCGCGACTAGGAGCGATGACGAGTCTTCTCTTTCGTCTGCCGATACCGCGGACATCGAAGACCTCTTCGATGATTTCGAACCTCCCTCCAAGCGTCGGAAACCCAACGCCAACCCCAAGGTCCTATCAGCTTCCAATCGCACCCCTCGCAAGCCTCCCGTGAAGAAAGAGGAAGAGCCCGACGAGAAATCAACAACACCAGCCAAGAACCGACGCATGCCTGCTCGTAAAACTCGCGATGCCGATGGAGCAATTGTTGTCGAACCTCCGTCCAACTGGGAGACCATGTATAACATTGTGAAGAAGATGCGCGCGGACAATCCAACTGCGCCGGTGGATACAATGGGCTGTTCAGAGCTATATTGGCGGGCATCTTCTCCTCGAGATCGCCGCTTCCAAACTCTCATTGCGTTGATGCTTTCGTCTCAAACCAAGGACACCGTGACGGCCGTCGCAATGCAACGACTACACACGGAGCTCGGCGACGAACAACCAGACTTGGTCAACACGATCAAGAAAGAAGAACCCGAAACCACGGATGAAGTCAAAATCAAGCCTGATCCCGACGACGACCCCTCTACCACCCTCTCACTCCCAGAGAAAGACAGCACCCTAAATCTAGAAAACATCCTCGCCGTCTCACCCACGTACCTAAACTCGCTCATCGAAAAAGTCGGCTTCCACAACAACAAAACAAAATACATCAAAGCCGCCGCCCTAATCCTCCGCGACGAATACGCAGGTGACATCCCCTCCACACCAGAAGGCCTCATGAAACTCCCAGGCGTGGGTCCGAAGATGGCCTATCTCTGCATGAGCGCTGCTTGGGGTAAACACGAGGGAATCGGTGTCGACGTGCACGTCCACCGCATCACTAATTTGTGGGGGTGGCATAAGACTAAGACCCCCGAGGAGACGAGGATGGCGTTGCAGTCTTGGTTGCCCAGGGATAAGTGGCATGAGATTAATAAGTTGTTGGTTGGATTGGGACAGACGGCTTGTCAGCCGGTGAAGAGGCGTTGTGGGGAGTGTTATTTGGCTGGGACGAAGCTTTGTAAGAGTGAGATTAAGGGGTTGAGTCCGGTTAAGAGGGAGGTGATTAAGGGGAGTCCTGGGCTTGATGAGCCGAAGATTAAGATTGAGGCGGTATGAGAGATGAGCCGTTTGGGCTCGACTCCTTTTGTATAGTAGACAATGGCTGGTATAGTGGGTGGTTTGCTTGGCTATTTAATTGCTCTGTATATCAGACACTCGGCGCAAGGTCGGCGCAAGCTACTCGTCTAGTGTATTTCCTCGGGCCTCGACGCAAAATAAATTACTCTTGGAAGGTTTGATCGAGGTTTAAAAGGCATCCTACGATTTGGTGTCATGCTAGAAATAGCTTGTACGTTGTAATCCATTATGGTACTTTTCCGGGCATAGAGGCAGTTGCATATATCGCTGTTGATGTCGTCAGTAGTAGGTATACCGAATGGGTGAGTAGAGTAAATGCATATCCAGCTGCAGCGAACCTGATCATCAATCATGGAATACTGAAGATCAGTTTTTATACATTTGGTCAATCTATGAACGGTAAACTACAGACCTCTCATAGATCTCTGGCACGGTTCCTGAATGGTCGAGCCCAGCGATGGATCCCCGCGTGGGGCGGACATAGCTGCAGCTTCCAACTTTTATCCCCGAGAGCTTCACACCACACATATCGCAGCCAACGAAGCATCCCAGCGCAATTATTGACCAAAAACTTACCCATCCACACTCTACACGCGGGCTCTCACATATACCCAGCACCCTCATCCCCCCTGCTGGCCACCATGGCCCCACCAACACCCATCTCCATCCCCGCCTTCGCCGAAACACAGCTCCAACTCCTCCTACACGAGCACGAAGCCGAAGTCGCCTCCTCCTCACTCGCATCAACCGCCGCATCCGTATCCCCATCTACAAGACGAACCCTCCAAGCAACCGGCTACGCCCTAACGGGTCTTGTTCTATCACAATGCCGCACCGGTCTGGGCGGTCGTGTGGTGGGCGAGTTCACGCCCGATCCGGCTATTGCGTCGACGTCTAAAGCTCCGGATGGAGGGGACTTGAGGGGTTCGGATGGGCAGCCAAGATTGGGATCGCATGGGATGCGGGTTGGGGATGTGGTTCGTGTTAATGATGTCTCTGCGGGGTCGGGGAAGAAAGCGGGGAAGGAGAAGGAGAAGGGGAAGGATGGTGGGAAGGAGGTTAAGGGTGGTCCGGAGGGTGTTGTTACGAGGGTTAATGATAAGGCTATTTGGATTGCTTTTGGGCAGCAGGGTGGTGGGGGGAGGTCCAAGGAGGATGATGAGGCGATTGAGGAGTTGTGGGGGAAGAAGCTTTGGGCGTGAGTGGAAATGGGTGAGTGGTTAATTTGGTATGCATGAAGCTGATTTTCAATTGCAGGATTAAACTTGCGAATGATGTTACTTATAGACGGTATGTATCAGATAGCTCTTAGTATGTGGACAACAAAGCTGACAGGCTGAAGAATGAGGCAGACGATGGAGAAGATGGTCAAAATGACCGAAGGAGATCACTCGCATTTTATGCGCGTTGCTTTTGGCCATACCACTCCATTACAACCAGACTATGAGGTAACTGGGGATGTACAGTTTATCGATCCCTCGCTGAACGACTCACAAAAAGACGCCATTCGATTTGCATTGGCCGCGAAAGATATCGCTCTCATTCACGGTCCTCCGGGAACAGGCAAAACTCACACCCTGATCGAACTTATCATGCAGATGATCCAACGAAAGAAGCGGATCCTCGTCTGTGGGCCGTCAAATATCTCCGTGGACAACATTGTCGAGCGTCTTGCCCCAAACAAAGTACCCGTGGTGCGAATCGGTCATCCAGCCCGTTTACTCCCGTCAGTAATGGAGCATTCCCTTGAGGTCCTCACGCAGACTTCCGATGCAGCGAGTATCGTGAAAGATGTTCGCAAAGAAATGGATGAGAAGCAAGCCAGTATTCGCAAGACGAGGACTGGCCGTGAGCGACGGGCTATCTATGACGATCTCAAACTCCTACGAAAGGAGTTTCGGGAACGCGAGTCCAAGTGCGTCGATAACCTGGTTCGAGAGAGCAGCGTGGTTCTAGCAACCCTTCACGGTGCGGGAGGTCATCAATTGAAGAATCAAAAGTTCGATGTCGTGATCATCGACGAAGCTAGTCAAGCACTCGAGGCACAGTGCTGGATTTCACTGTTATCAGCTGAAAAAGTGGTGCTCGCCGGTGATCACTTGCAGTTACCCCCGACTGTGAAATCAGCAAACCTCAAAACTAAAGAGAAGAACGGCAAAGATTCCGAAAAGAGGGATGAGAGTGACGCCAAGAAGGAGATACTCAAGGGCGTTTCACTCGAGCGGACCCTGTTCGATCGTCTATTGGCGCTGCACGGGCCAGGGATCAAACGCATGTTGACGACCCAGTATCGGATGCACGAGAAGATCATGCGATTCCCATCGGACGAGCTCTACGAGTCTAGATTGATCGCCGCCGATTCAGTCAAAGATCGACTGCTTGCCGACCTGCCCTACGAAGTCGAGGGCACGGATGATACTCAGGAACCTCTCGTTTTCTGGGATACGCAAGGCGGTGATTTTCCCGAGAAGACTGAGGATGATGATATCGGCAAGAAAGAGGCCCTGCTTGGAGAGAGCAAGAGCAATGAAATGGAGGCCCTGGTGGTCGCTCGACACGTTGACAATTTGATCGCGGCTGGGGTGCGTCCCGAAAGCATCGCGGTGATCACCCCTTACAATGGCCAGTTAGCTCTTCTGTCTCAGATGCTCCGTGAGAAGTACCCCGGCCTAGAACTAGGCAGTGTCGACGGCTTCCAGGGTCGCGAAAAAGAGGCCGTGGTGGTTAGTCTGGTGCGAAGCAATGCGGAGCACGAAGTGGGTTTCCTCGGTGAGAAACGACGATTGAACGGTATGTTTTGGGATGTTTTCACATAATCGGCTTTCTTATTTCCTTATTTCCTCTTTTTCGCGCTACTTTTTGGGTCCCTTTTTTCTCTCCAGCATGAAACATTGGGCTCGGCTAACGGTGGCTATTTTGGGGGTGGGACACTAGTGGCCATGACACGCCCCAGACGGCATCTTTGCATCTGTGGGGACTCGGATACTATCAGTCGGTAAGTAAAGTTTTGTCCGTGCGTGCAATAGAAGCTTGAGGTTAATCGGGGGGTTTTTGTGCGTGACAGGGGGAGTAGTTTTCTTAAACATTGGATGGATTATTTGGAGGAGCATGCCGACTTGCGGTATCCTGACGCGGGGGATCTTCTTTGAGAGAGGGGGTGAAAGTGGTGATGACGAATTCAGAGCGAAAAAAGGCTTTGGTCTTTGATTAGACCGTGTCGATCTCGAGATCATCACGAATTGCACGATAACGAGTCAGTCCAGCCTGGTACAGGCATACAGGATATCGCAGGACCAAGACATGTCCGCCCCGTTTCCCCCGTAGTCTGCAGTAGTATACGGAGGACAGGGGTCCAGACTATGAAACTATAGTACATACAGTATCGTGCAAACTTGCGGAGTTGAGGCCCAAGACTGAACGGTACCGAGCCGTGTTGGCAGAGAGGGCTAACACTTCCTGGTGCAAGGAACTGTCTTGTTAAGTTGTTTCAACTCGCTGGGGACGATCACACGGCAGCGTCGGAGCTACGTTACTTGAATCGGGCATGCCGCGACAGTCCAACTCACCAGCCGTGAGCTGGTCAGATCCATCGTTCCTTGAACCGGATCGCAATGGCCAATGGTTGCTATGGTGGTCAGCAAGCTGAGAACGAACAACCACACGAGACAGTCCAACCAACGTGAATTTCAAAATGCACTCCCTGACAAGCCCAAAGCCTATTCCCCCCGCCTGACATTAGGCATAAAAGTGCTTTCCTCTGCCACGCTGCTTTATCCGATTAGCCTTTTAGTTAACACGGTCTGTGCGGCAGTTTGGAGAAATCCCGTTGGTGCCATGTGGTGTTTCAGACTGGGAACGAGGCACGATGCGATGCAACATCTCAGCCGAAGAATAAAAAAGAACGATCAATGACGAGACTATTCTCGGACGAATCCAGGTCCAGATCTAGCTTCTTTTTTTTTCTCCGTAAGCGGGGTCATCAGGGGTGGCAGCAGTTTCGGGAGATTCTGGATGGAGCTGGAAGCAGTTCAAAACGGCCGTTCAATCTACGGGGGTCCACTTAGTCTCGGCTTCGTGGATCCAGCACGGCAGTCATTGGGAAATGAGAACCCCCTTGATGATGTTTCTCGTTGGTTCGTTGAGTTGGCTTTTTACAGGACTGGGTTCCGATGAGCTATGCCCTATTGTATCTCTCTCCTTGGTTCTCATGCCTAATTGAGGTTGCATGGGTGGGAAGATCCGTTATCGTTCATAATTCTGGAGTCCCTAGGAGGCTAGACTTGTATTTAGTTAAGACTGCTTTCCCGCTTATACTCAACTGGGCCTGACTACTTTTGCGCTCGGTCCTCTCCAGAAGGAGTATCGGGTTGAGTTTGGGGGTTATCGACATAGTATAGGTCGGTATATATCATTGATGATCATTCTATCTCTTCTTACTAACAGTTCTTCTCCCGATCAGACTGTTCCTGATCATTCGGTTGTGGCGCGCAAAAGCAACCCGACCGTACAAACCAGTGTGGGGATTTTGATTTCAAATTCCAGATTTCATAGTTCCCGGTGCAGTTTAGCTTGGATTTGGTTTAGTGTGTGGTTAGCTCTGGTTCTTTTAGCTTGGGATCCCTTTCTTAGCTGGGATTAGCCTGACTCTACAGTGGTGCTGGTTTGAGTCTAGTCGACCTCCTAAATCTCCGCCTCGAGCTGCACGAGCTCCCCTCCTCCTCCTCCTCCTCCCTTCGCCCCGACCGTCAACTCTCTTTCTATTCCCCTTCTCTGCATTACTTTTGGCTACTTGCCCACACTCGTTGTATTCACTCGTTCTTGCACACCTGAAAGTTTCTGCTTGTTTTCTATTCGCACCGCACTCTGGTTCCCGGTCGTGACTTTGAGATATCCCGAGGCTGGCAAACGCGGTTCCGTCCCTGAAAAGAGCTTCATTGGCAACTATGATGGTCCTGATCATTCTGTACTCGGTCAGTCATTTCATTCTCGTTTGTACGACCCCCAATACTGACCCCGTTTGACAGCCCTTTTCATTACACCCGCGACTCGACTAAACGTCCGCTTTCTCCTGGCCTCGATTCGAACCCTTCCGCTGTGCGGTCCTGACTATTATACCATACGATACCCCTCATCCTTTGCTGTTGCTCTCTGCTCGGTTTCCCCATTCTCGACATTCGCTCGGTTTATCCTCCTTCTACTTTTCGACTTCCTTTCGAATCCTATTTTTGTTTGGACATCTTTTTGCGACGACATACATATACCCCCAACGTGCCGTGACGAAATATCTCTTGTGATGAGCATCGACTACTTGCACACAGTCCCTACCAGTGTTCCCCATTCGAACGCGACTTGAAATTTCCAAATTGACACTTCATTCACAACCAAAATGTCCCGAACAACTACACGGTCCATTACCAGTGCCGGCAGCGAGTCCGCACCCAGTCCGAGACCCCGCTCAACATCCGCGCGTGGAGAGCGCTCGGCATCAAATCCAGCTTCTTTCACCTTGGATGCAAACCACTATGACACAGCTCTACCGCCGATCAACTTTCACCAACCACCCATTGCACACCGCCGGACAGGGAGTACGTTGAAAACGGTCATGCGCAAGATCTTCAACCGGAAGAGACAAAGCCACACTGATGGAGTGGAGGAAAGTTCAACTGAGAGTTACTACAACTCTCCGGCGAGGTCATCGGGCCCCGTCGCGGGCAAGTCATTCTTATCGGTTCCCACTCCGACAGAGTCAAAACGGAGTAGTCCTCTGTCAGAGGAGAACTTGCAATTAGCAGAGACTCATTTGTCTCCCACTAGTGCCACCGGTGGTTCATTACCATCGCCGGGAATGCCCCCGCGTCGACGACGTGCGACCTTACCCAGTGTGATCTTCTCCGACGATGAATCCAGATATGCAGTGGCATCAGCAGTGTCCGATCCCCAGGAGGATCGACCTTTTATTCCGGACCAAGAGCGTCGAAGGAGTATGCTCCAATCTCGACGCAGATCCAGGAGTATCGGCGCATTGCAAGACCTGGTCGACCAGCGGCCAATGTCTCCCCCGGAGTGGCCAACGCACACTACCTCTGTCCCCGACTCGGTTACAGACTCCAAGTCACCCCCTCTTGAAGGAGGAAGTTCTGCTAGCGATCATTCTGGTAGACCCTCGACTGGAACGACAGTTACCAGCGTAACGAGAGCATCGGCAGCACCCTCCATCCAAGAATCAGATCCACACGCAGATCAAATCAGTCTCCCACCCAACGTGGGCAATCTAGTGCGCACAATGCAACAAGATGACAGTCTAACCATTGAACAACGCCTCAACACGATTGAAGTGAAAATGATAGACCTCGAATTCGCAATCGCACGCATGCAATCTAACTCCGTCGCCGACAACCTCCAAGACCGAGATCGATCCTCATCTCGCAGAAAAGAAGATTCCTTCCCACAAGTCCGGAGTAAACCCTCATACCTAAGCACAAACGACCGCGACGAATCTCCAACACCAGTATCAAGCCTCCCCACCGCCCGCCCAACCAGTACCAGCACCATCCGCGCTGACACGTTAACCGCGCGCACCCTCCGCCCCGCCCCATCCGCAACATCCCTCTCCGATTTCAACGGAATCTCCATCGAGCAGTACAGCGCTTTAGTCACCCTCCTCCGGCGCGAACAAACCGCCCGCCGGAATTTGGAGAGTCAAGTCTCCAGTTTGAAGGATGACATCCGACATATTCAACGGGCAGCGCTGCATTCGATGGAATCAGGTGGAACTATGTATCCTATTCATAGTGTGGATTCGCAGGAGTTTTTGAGGTTTAGGAGGGCGCTGGATGAATCTGATGGTTCGCCGAGACCGGATGAGAAGGGCAATGGGGCTTTTGAGACGGAGTCTGATTATGATCCGTTTGGGCCGCCGAAATGGGAGAGAGAACGGGACAGGGAACGGGAGAGGGAAAGGGACCGAGAGCGAGAGCGAGAGACTGGGTATGGTGGTAGGAGGGTTGTCACAGCGCCGATGATTTGAGGATGTGCTTTGTTGGTGATGATATCTTTCCACCCCGGCCAATGCCACCGGGGACCATTTGAGGCTCTCGTGCATGCATCATGCATGCTATGCACGAACTACATTGCCCCGTCCAGTCCAATCGACGGCTTCTAGGTCAAGTCGAAGAAACAAAGTTGCTTCTGTGTGAGCAACATAACAGGCATGACATGACGCCTTTCGACTGGCCATTCATTATTCGGACTTACAATGTCCATCGAGTGATGCTCGTTATTCCTCCAACTGTGAGCGAGCCATTCAACTGTCTACTTGATTCCCTGTGTTTTCTACGCGACGGGTTCGCGGCTTTAGGTTTATCTTCTTGGTTGAAATCCAGATTCGATGATTGGTGTGATAGACACTACACTTTACTGCAAATAAATGATTTCTTCGGTTGAGTTTCGTCCCATTGTGTTACCAAACCGGAAACTCAGTCGAGGGTGTCTGAGCTAGATAGTTATCTCTATCTTTAGAATAGTAACCTGGCCTGTCAACTCCGTCTCAAAGCAAGTGTTCACGTCGTGGAAGCCACAGTAAGCTCGTAGGCCGATGCGATTGAGTTGTTCAGAACAGCATCTATCCTGCAAGTTAACTTGAGGCTCATACTACATCTGATAGGCATCAATCAAAATCTTGAAGCAATTATCCCATCTTCCTTCTTTCCCACTCCAACACATAAGTAGTCAAGATCAACTAGCCATCCCCACTCTTACTATCTTCACCTGTCAGACTCAACGTCGTATTTTCCCCACGCCAGCGGGCCACGATAAGCAATGGACCCCGCATTAAACCCATCCCCCAATTTACCTGTACTAAACCCCCAAACCCTCCAAGAATCCAATTCCCAGCTTCACTCTACACACATAACCCACCATGGGAAGCACACCAACACCCCCACCCAAAGACTTCACCGTCACAATAGTCGGCGGCGGAATAGGAGGTCTCACCCTAGCCGCCGGCCTCCTACGCCGCAACGTCCCCGTACAAATCTACGAAGCCGCGCCCGCATTCGCAGAAATCGGCCTCGGCCTCTCGATAGGACCAGCCGCCCACCGCGCCATGCCCCTAATTGATCCGCAAATTCGGGAAATCTACGACTCGCTGGTTACAACGCATGCGGATAGCCCTGGCTACGAGAAATACCGGCAAACCTGGTTCGAGATTATCTGGGCGTCTGGTGCGAAGGAGGGAGGCTTGTTGATGGACCTTAAGGCGTTGCCGTCTGGGCAGACGACGTTGAGACGGGCGAACTTTTTGGATGCGCTTGTTGGGTTGATTCCGCCTGAGATTGTGCATTTTGGGAAACGGTTGGATAAAGTGGTTGAGGGTGTGGACGGGGTGGAGTTGTTGTTTGATGATGGGTCCACTGTGCAGGCTGATGTCGTTGTTGGTTGTGATGGGATTAAGTCCAGGGTTAAGGAGTCGATGTTTCCTGGGGAGGAGGAGGATACGCAGCCCCGGTATAGTGGGATGTATGGGTATCGGGCTGTGCTGGATATGGAGGATATGATTGAGGCGGTTGGGGAGCAGCGGGCGAGGGTTTCGACGATGTATATTGGTGACGGGGCTTATGGGATATCGTATCCTATTATGCGGGCGAAGAAGGTTAATGTTGGACTTTATATTCTCAGTGAGAAGTGGGATTGTGAGACTTGGGTTAGGCCCGCGAAGAGGGAGGATATGCAGCGTGATGCGAGCAATATGGGTCGATATGTGCAGTCACTCATCGAGGTATTGCCGGACACTGAGATCTCGATTATTAGGGACTACTGCTAACTAAGATGCTCTAGCATATGCCTGATCCCTCTCAATGGGCCATCTTCGAACACCCCCCAATCTCCACATTCTGTCGCTCCCGAGTCGCAATTCTAGGAGATGCCGCCCACGCCTCAACGCCACACCAGGGCGCAGGTGCCGGACAGGCGATAGAAGATTCCCACGTTCTAGCTGAACTACTCGGTGACTCTCGAGTAATAACAGCACAGGATGTAGTCGCCGCTTTCAAAGCGTATGATGAGATTAGGCGCCCGAGGAGTCAGAGAGTTGTCACGAGTAGCAAGGAGAATGCCTATCTTCTTTGTTTGTGTTTGGATGGAGTTGGGGATGATGAAAAAAAGCTTAAGGAGACGTTTCAATCGAGGCTGCGTTGGCTTTGGGATTTGGATGTTCAGGGACAGGCTGAGCAGGCTAGGGAGAGTATGCTTAAGTTTATGGCATCTAGAGAGGATGAAGGGGATCAAATTGGGTGAGGCTAGAAGAGTGTGATTACAATTAGAGCAGCCTTAACTTACCTTGTTTCTTGTTATTCGCACGATAAACCATCCCTGCATCTGCTCTACTCTCTGCTGTATTTCCTGACTAAATACCAAAGTGATGTTGATTATGATGTAAAGGATAGCCCGAGAGGCAATTCTAGCGCATACAAGGCGGACAATTCAAAAGATCTTGAAGAATATCTTTCAGAAGATAGGCAGTTCAAACTTATCAACTAGAATTTCCTTTATCGTCAGATTCGCTTTTGTCATGCGATTCATAAGATTATTCATCTGACCCTCTTAGAGTAAAGTAATGAAACGCCAAATCGTCGTGGGCCTCTTGCCCATTAGAATCTCTTTCCTACTACAATCCATGCCAGGAATTCGTAAGGCTAATTTACAATTCGCCTAAGATGGTCACATCACAAGGTGGCTTCAAAAACCCCTCTCGAGAGCTAGGCCCCACTCCAGCCAAAATGCGGAGCAAACCATCTCTCTAAAGTAAAAGGAGGAGTTGAGCACAGTCCCATTTGAGAATACCTCGGCTTTTTATAGTCATTACCGGCTTAAAGTCAAGTCTGAGGTTCCCACCAGAACTTGGGTAGATCAACTTTCACCTCTTGTCGCAACTACATTAAACAAATAGATCGAAATGGCACAAATTACCGTCTCCGACGACATTCTGGCGAATATCAAAGACCAGGTTGTCTTGATTACTGGTAAGCCTATATATTCTACTCTGCTGTAATGCATGCTCACAGTTCAAGGCGGATCATCCGGAATTGGCAGGGCGACCGCACAGCTATGTTTGGACCTAGGTGCCAGAGTCGTTGTCGGAGATCTCAATCCTCCCAATCCCGAATTCAAAGACACAGAGAAGGTGCATTACTTGGAAGTGGACGTGACCTCCTGGGAAATTCAACGAAACATGTTCGATCAAGCCGACAAGTTATTCGGTGGAATCGATCATGTCTTCGCCAATGCTGGCGTCGGTCCGACCACAGACTTCCTGGATATCAATCTCAACGAAGCCGGAGAACTGCAGCCACCTAATCTCAGAACAATTAATGCCAGTCTCATCAGCCCATTGTACACAATTAATCTAGCGCAGGCCTACATGAAGCAACTTGCCAGTCGTCGCCCCGTGAGAACCGGTAGCATCGTCCTCACAGCCTCGGCTTCTTCATTCCAGAACTTCAGTGCTCCCGACTACACAATCGCCAAACACGGTGTTCTAGGAATGGTCCGCGGTCTAGTGCATAAGCTTGAGATTGAATGCAATATCCGGCTGAACGCAGTCGCACCCTCGTGGACTCAGACGGGAATGGTCCCCGCTGACTATATTCGCGCTATGGGTGTCCCGGTTCAGTCACCTGAAGTTGTTGCGCAAAGTGTGGTGCTGCTATTTGCCGATGAGGCTCGGCATGGAGAAGTTATTTACAGCTCAGAGGGGAAATTCCAGGAGATTAATAAAGCTGACGGTGGTCTTTTGTCTATGGCGAGGAAGTTACTCTTTAATGATGATAATCTGGAGGGTGTGATGCGAAGCATGAACGCACGAGCGGCTCAATCGTAGCCATGAAAGGCACACGATGATTCCTTTTGGGCCCTGTCTTGAATATTGTCATTATGTTAATGTAGGGCTCTTTTGTTTGTTGGATGATTTGCTGCAATAAGATATATTCGAAAGTTTCTAAGATTTGTTTAATTTTTCAAATGCTCGCAGGTTAGTACAAAGCTAAACTCCTGCCCTCATCGTACATTGCATTATTTATCTCGGTTGAGTACATGATTATGCTCCGTTCCAGAGTTATCGGCGTTGCCATCTATTCGTCTTCGCCCACAGGATCTCTAGGTAGTTCAATACACGTCGGCTTGTTTTCTTGTTTTCCAGGCATGACTAGTATTACCTCGTCTCGGCTTCGGCTATACCCTTTGGTCATCGTGCATTAAATTTCTCGGCTTCCCCTCATTCTCCGCATTTTCGATGTGGAATGACGCGTTACCTGGCTCGCCTGAGATCAACCTCATCGTAAATAGACCGAAGTTTACCCAGGATATGTCCTTTTGAACTATTCTTTGTGTCAATTCTTCTGCGAAGAAACATTTGTTACAGTCTTCAACTGAAATCATCATGGTCGGCTTCCCACTTCATCACCCAAAGGGCCGCGAATTGACAGGTGGCGACCTTTTGGCACAATGCTTGAAACACCTTGGTGTCGAGGTCGCATTCGGGCTCCATGGCGGCCACTTGGATGCTTTCTTAATGGGATGCGAGGATATAGGGATTCGTTTGGTGGACACTAGACACGAAACCGTTGCTGTGCAAGCAGCCGAGGGCTATTGCCGAATCAGTACAAAGCCTGGAGTATGCTTTGTCACGGCAAACAGTGGGTGAGCTGTTAACCTGGGTCTTTTTTCTATCCAATGGTTGGATTCTGAAATATTTAGGTTCTCGAATGGACTCCCTGGCTTGGCCACTGCCTACGGCGACCGCAGCCCGATCCTCTGTATAACCTCCTCGCCACCGCTACGGGATACAGAGAACAACTCACTTCAGGGGTCAATCGATCAGGTTGTGGCGGCAAGACCCATTACAAAGTTTGCTCATCGAGTCGTGACGCCGGAGGAATGTCCAAGAATAGTATCCCATGCGCTTCGAGTTGCTCAATCTGGGCCCCCTGGTAAGTGGTCATCACCTGTTTGCTATATCTGGCCACGCCCACTCATGGATGTCCATAGGTCCTGTCCTTCTTGACTTCCCAATTGACGTACTATTTACCCCGGTTAATCCCAACCTTATTGCTTGGGGATCGATTACTTCACCTCCCTCGTTCCCTCCAGCCCCCCACACTGCGGCCGTTGAAGCGGCCGTCAAGTTATTCAGTTCTGCCCAGAGACCAGTCATAATTACAGGGACTGGAGCAAGAGGTCAACCGGTAGGACATATATTGAAATTCCTGTCCCTTCATGAAACACTGCTAATTATCTAGGCACGCCGACAACTGTTCAAATTAGCCGAGGACTGCAGCATCCCGGTATTCAACACGTCAAAATATGCATCTCGCACTCCGTCGTCACCCATGCTCTCCCAAGCCACAGCAGGAACTCTAGCAATACTTCCCCTGGTACAAATGGCACGTCCAGACCTGGTTGTTCTTTTAGGCGCACGAACAGGAATGTTTCTCGGTGGCCGATCTGGTGCTATCATTCCGGACAAAGATTGCAAACTCATTCAAGTCGATTGCGATGGGAGTGAAATCGGCCGCTCTCATCCGGTCGACCTTGGTATTGTCTCGGATGTTGAAGCTTTCCTCTCAGCAGTGAACGCAGCTTTAGGCTCGACTGCCGCTACAAATGTCGATAAATCCTGGGTACAATCAGTCCTTGGATTAGCGTCTATGGAGTCACCATACGAAAAGGAACCGGAGGTGACAGATTCTGGACGCCTCCATCCATACCATGCTGTGAAAAATCTCGTCTCTGGAATAGAGCCCGGTAGTATCATCGTCTTAGATGGTGGTGAAGCTTCGGCATGGGTCGGAGATCTTGCCTCGCGTTGTCAACCGCATACAGTCATGACTGCCACTGGTTATCTAGGATTCCTGGGTAACGGCTTCGGATATACGCTAGGATGTGCCATTGCAGCTCCAGATCGGAAGGTTGTGAACATTCAGGGCGATGGCTCCGCTGGATTCCACCTGATGGAGCTAGATACCTACAAGCGATTCGGTTTAAACATCATGACTGTCGTTGTGAACAACTCAAGCTGGGGCATGAGCTCCAACGGACAGGATCTCGTCTACGGAACCGATCATCCCGCGCGACCTATCAGCGCCCTGAGCTCAGCGACTGAATATGATGTTGTCGCCAAGGGGTTGCAAAATACCACGGCCAAAATCTCTCAAATCGCAGAGATTCGAAGTACCGTCACCAAATTCCAACAGACATCCGGTCCAAGCTGCATCAATCTCATCGTGGATCGAAAGCCAGTTCATCCTGTCACAACAGCTATGGTTGGACTCACCGATGACCCTAATCTGGTAGTAGTGCCTTACTACGATAATATTCCTCGAGCATTTTATAAGTTGTAAAGGCTGTATTTCCTATGTCACGTCTTGGCTTTCCCTTTCCGTTTAAGTACTTAGTCCCTCGCCGCTTTTTCTTACTGAGTAGAACTGAGCAATGGTGACATATTCTGCCTTATAGGTATGAGTTACACTCCTTCCAACGAGAATGATACCTACAGACATAAACTGCCCAATATATAGGAGTGGACTCCCTCGTAGCTAGCCCCTTACCGTCGGTTACCTAGTCCGCAAATAGACGCCAACAGTATTCTGCCATTCACTCGATCCTAGTGGTATATTTAATGAATGTTCGCCTTCCTTATTACATTAATATCCGTCCAATCAACAGCGGTTTAAGTGCATAGGAGGAACACTCGCCGGCGATATCCACTACGAGATCGAGCAAAGAGCTCGAATATATCTTCAAGTTAGGGTCAAGGATAGGGTTCGGATATCACAAGACAACGTTAGGTGAAAGAGCTATTTGATTACGCTATCCACATTGCCATAAGACACAAGACCCCAAAGAAATCAGCTAGGTGCCCAGTACTATAGTCCACTCTATTGGGGTGAAAGATGTCAAATAAAGCTCCTCGAAGCTGCATTTGGGAGAATTCTGAGGTAGTAACAATTGAGAATGAAGGGTGCGCAGTCAATTCTGATCAGACTCTCCATCCTTTGCATTCACTTCGATCTTGCGAGTGGCGACGGGTAGCTTGACAACGGCCTGTCGATTCCGGGTAGACTGCTTTGCGTATTAATGTTGGCACCCTTCTCGAGTAGTAGTTTGACGATGCCCTTATGCCCCTTGCCGGTTGCTAACAGTAGTGGTGTCTGACCGGATGTGGCCTGTAGATTGATGTTGGCGCCCTTCTGGAGCAGCAGCTTGACGATGGCCTCATGCCCCTCCTCGGTGGCCCGAAAGAGGGGCGTGCGACCCAAGTTATCTTGAATATCAACGTTGGCGCTGCTTTCGAGCAGTAGCTTAACAATAAACTCGTATCCATTCCATGAGGCCTGTAATAGAGGCGTTCGGCCCTCGGTGTCCATAACATTGACGTTAACATTCCTCTCAAGTAGCAGCTGCACAACGCCCTCGTGGCCGTTCAGGGCAGCGCAACAAAGCGCCGTCTGACCATAATGGCCATACCTCGTCTCTGCGTTAGCACCATTCTCGAGGAGCAGCTTGACGACGGCTATATGCCCATTCACTACGGCATACCATAGCGGCGTCCGACGAACCATATCTTCAGCATGGATTTTGGCGCTGTTCTCGAGTAGCAGCTTGACGATAGCATTATGTCCGTACCTAGCAGCATACCCAAGCGGCGACGAACCATAAATATCTCGGGCATCGATGTCAGCGCCATTATCGAGAAGTAGCTTAACGATGGCCTCGTGCCCAGCCTCGGCGGCCCATGAAAGCGGCGCCCGACCATGGAGAAATTCACCATTCACATTTGCGCCTCTCCCTAGCAGCAGCTGGACGATGGCCTTGTGCCCGTTCTGGGCGGCCCACGAAATTGGCGTTCCACCACCTCCATCAGGGGCATTGACATTAGCCCGCTTCTCGAGCAGCAAGCTGACGATGGCCTCATGGCCATTTTTGGCAGCGAACAACAGCGGTGTTCGACCATACACATCTTCGGCATCCACGTTAACGCCCTGCTTGAGCAGCGTCCACAAGATAGCCTTAGCCCATCCCCGGATGCCGACTTTGCCAGCTCCCAGCAACTGCATCACGACAGATTCGTGGCCATTCTCGGCTGCGTATGACAGCGCGGTCCGCCCACTCTCATCTTTTGCATCAATATCCTTTTGCAACTGGTTTGCGCTTCGTAATATGATCTGTACCACGCCTATTAACCCATGTCGCGACACGATGTGCAGCATTGTTGTCTTTCCCGGCGGGCACTCGTCAGAGTATATCTCTAGCGAGTTGTAAACTCGCACCCATATCTGCACAAGCGCTTCCGACGGCCAGGCAAAATATTCCAGAAGATCATCCTGAGAAATACCCATCTTTTCGCTTTGTTTCGCGTGTGCCACCCACGACATCGTGGCATAGCTCAACAGAGGAAAAGTGGATGTCCAACCATCCCCGCTGTGGATTGCGATCCCGGTAATCTCGCTCATCTTCAAGTACCGTATACAAGTCCTAGATATTTGACAGTGTGCCATCCCTGCGAAGTCGGCGCGGGAGGATGTATTTGGGGCAGCCAAACTAATAGCACCGGACAGAGCGGATAGACCCTTCGAGGCAAAAAACTCCTTGACAGACTGGTGGATGAATTGAACAACCTTTGTGTCCGTGGTGACCTCGGCAAGACCGCGAGTGAGCGCCTGAACTCGCCTTTTCATCCCCTCGTCGTCAGAGGGGTAATCTCCTGTGGCCTCGCATTCGTGTAGTGACCGTGCTGTGTTATCGGCCTCCACAAGCATGGCCCATCGCAATTCGTCTAGCGACAGAGGCCGCATAGCAAAGCAAATCCACTGGATGAGTTTTCCGCTGTTCGAGGGCATCTTTTGGACGAGGTCGAAGTATAAGGCGTTGAGCTCTTCTGGGACCGATAGGATTACGTGCTCCATGTGTTTTAATCCTGCGCCCTCTAATTCAAGGTCCAAAACTTGCGTCACCACCAAAGAAGCCCATAGGAAAACGCCGTTGGCGCGCTTCATGATCAAGTCCGGAAGTGTGGATGACGTTCGTTTACGGAATGAGGAGAGCTTACCTTCCACGAACGTTGATATATCTGCGCCATTTTCTTTTTCTACGCACAATTCGAACACACCATCCAGGACCAGATTCGGGTAATGTCGGCAAGTAAAACAAATGTGGAAGTCTTTCAACTTCGCAGACGGGAGCCCCTTGAGTACTAACTTGAAGAAATCGGCTAGGTCCTTCGCTTCTACTCGGCCACATTCATCTAGTGCATCGACGAATAACCAAATCGGCCGAGTCTTCAACGCCCTCTGAAGGGATGACCCAAAGAATTTTTGCAGCTCCTGGAGATGCCACTGCCACTTTTCATTGTGTTTGCCAACAGTCTCACATCGTTGTTGGAAGGTGTCCACCACATCCGACAGGGCGTCAGGTACATCTCTAAGCTGGTAAAGCAAAGATCGGAAGAGGCCCAATGGCGTTCTTTGAAGTTCAGTCCCACGACCGTGGAAAAAAAACGAGAGGGTCAATGCCTCCTCTCCGGCGTTGGCTGTCTCCCCAAAATGACTCAGAATATATTGTAGCAACGTTGACTTCCCACAGCCGGGCTTTCCTTGGATCCAGAGCAGGCCTCTATTGGACGCGGCCCAGCGCATATAGACCTTGTGTTGAGACACCCAATTGCATGTTCCAATTGCAGCGGCATCGATATCGTTAAACCGGCTATCCATTTCCGGAAAAGCTAACAATCTCCAGCAATCTCGTGGCAGAATCGGCTGCTGCCCGGTACCTGAACGAAATGATGAGCCGCGAACACAGGCGAAACCCCCTCAATTCTTACCAATATTGACAGGCCCATTGAAGATTGCCCCTGGAAAATGATTTCCATGCCCCTTGCTCTGATTCACGGTACCCCCGGGAGCATGGAGTTGGTCCCCAGTACCACGGGCAGGACCAGATTGGCCTTTGGAAGAGGAGGACACGCTCTTTGTGTTGTTCATTGTCTAGGGGACCGAGGATAACATGCAAATGGGCCAGGCTATATCAGGACCGTGGTTCCTCTAACGGCGTCCTGCCGTCTGGTTCGACCCCTTTTTTTTATCTCTATCAACGAGGAGTGGAAGTATGACCATGCTTGAAGTTACTGAAACGGTGATCGGGAGTTTCAAGTTGTCGGTATCGTTGACATCTATCGCGTACCTAAGCTTTTGCAACCAGCACCTATAGTGGGCGGTTATGGGTGATCAGGAAGTTGTCGCGAGGATATCGAGATAGCTTGCAATGTGTAAATTGACCGCTTCTGAGAAGCGGGGCAGCACCTTCCTAGTCAGATCCACTGTTCAGGCAAAGAGGCGACGTAGCGGTTCGTCCAACCCCCTGGCCTCCAAGGCTGTTCAGCCGAAGCAGTAATGCCTAGGGTCCGTGAGATGAAAAGGCGCAGAACACGCTGAACCTCAGCCAGCCCCCCAACTACATATATTTGTTCCAAACTTTGATACTATTGGCTTCTCTTCTCATATTCCTACACAAGTGACGTGTGATGGCCTGCATGCAGTCCGCATGGTGAGCCAATAAGTCAACATCTAGAACCGCCACCGGGTGCCACCTCACGCTGACACGACGGGTTGGTAAGCGTTAGCAACTGCTGGGGATTCTTATCAGCTAGAGATATTGAAGCATCGGACCTAAGTACACAACGCTACAGGGGTTTAACTCCCCTACCTCCCACTTGGAGCCAACAAAGCCTCTTTGTTATTTATGTGAGCCTGGTTGCTCTGCTTGCCATTCGCAAATCCCATCGCATCTTGTACGATCTGCAACACACAACCTCTTCTGCCAAGTGATAAGAATCACAGGCGCGTACAGTATTAGACCCTGTCCACAGCCTGAATCCCCTTGTGTATTCATGGCAACCGCTATGAATGACTTAGTCTTGAGCATAATTACTACTCTCGACGTTGCAATAGACCACTACAAGGTTCCTGAAGACGACAAGGGTCTCCGAGAAGCTTTCCATGAATCCGGTCGAGGGCTCCCTCTCATCAGAACGGCCCTTCATCATGTGCAAAGTCAACTAGGACGCCGCCAACTGACTGGAAACCCCGAACGCGCCCTGGCCTCACTGCGAGAGTGTATCCCCAAAGGAGAGACATCTGAAAGAATATTCAACGCTGTCGCCCAAGCACCAGAGACATCGAGGTTTGAGGCATACAAAGCGGCTGTGAGGCAAGAGGGCAAGGGGAGGCTGATAGAGGAGCTACTGGTAGGAATGATGACTGGCGTATGTGACGTGGCCGAGGATCTTGCGATCGATGATCAAGTCAAGGCTTTGCGTGAGGCGATCGAGAGGCTGTCCCAAATGGAGCCGTCTGTTCCAAGAGAGGAGTCGGGGGCCATTTTTAACAACTATGGATCAGGCGAAATGCTCAACGCTCCTTACGGTACTATAAACATGAGCTCAGGGACTGGTCCTCAATTTCCTGGTGCTACTTTCTCCGGCTCTGTGTCATTTGGCAACACGACTTGAGGGGGCTTTTTGGGTGATACTGTCCTTGGGGGCTGTCAAAGTGGATGTCTTATATGACTGTAGTGAAGGGAATCAGTCGCTGTTGACCGGTTGCTAGAAGTGTTACTGTAATATCGATTTACCTTTATACCAACCTTCACAACTTCTTTAGGTTTATCCCCCAAACTCTGCAAGACAGCCATCTGAGCCATAGCACCTACAGGAATGTTAATTAGCTCTGTCCCGGTCGGTTCGTCGTCGAAGGTGTTGTATTAGGGGGGCTCTCAAGGCTGTATTTTCATCAATTCATCGAGCCATGAAGCGTTATAAGGCGTTTTTGTGCGTTACTATACGGGGATTAGTTCCGTTCCCAATAGCAAGAGCCTAACCCTCTGTAAGAATGGCACGTCAATTTGCATCATATTCATTTTATTCAGATCCAACAATTAGCCTTTGTTTGGATATCATTAGCACGATCTCGTGCAGATCCCATTTAGCCAAACTGCACCGGCCCGTGGAAAGTAGCCCCAGGGAATTGATTGCCGTTGCCTCTGCTAATGTTTTGAGTGCCTCCAGGTGCATTGAACTGATCGCCGGGGCCAGAATTGCTAAAGGTTGCGTTGAATGGGCCATCGATGTGCCTTTCTTCCATCAGTCGCGGATCTTGTTCGGTCATCGCTCCGACGTTTGGTCGAGGTATGGGAGTCGCCGAAGCATTGCGGCTCCCACCATCTCTCCTGTCGTACTCATCGGCCCCAACGGGCGGCTTCATAGCTTTGTCCGTTCGAATATAGCGTTCCAGAATAGCCTTGGACACTGAGGCCGCTGTCGCTGCAGCAAAATTCTGCCACCCTTTGTGCTTGTGGGAGTCTGCATAATCGCACACTCCTTTAACTACGAAGGACGGCACTTCGTCCCAGACCCCGGCACCCTCCATCTCGAATGCAATCACTCCTGTTTCCCTTGCGATCTTGTCCCGGTATACAGCAGACTTCACCACTTTATCACCAGAGGCAACCGCCCCAAGGTGGATCGCCAGCTCATGGACATCATGGTCATAGTGTCTGGCGAAGAGCCGTTCTCTCGTCACAAGGTGCTTTTCGTCGCAGCCGAGATCGGCGCACGATGAACCGAGCGCTACTTCGCAAACGGGGTCCTTGTCGCTGGCGCAGTGGCGGCAGATGCAATCCGGTGAGACGTGATGTTTGTGGCGGTAGGTTGGCTCAAATAATTTATCGTTTGACGCCCCGGGATAGTCATATTTTGTCCTTCTTTTGGTCCGGGCAACTTTATTATGGATCTGTTGGAGAAAGTAGACTGCGCGTTTCTCCAACCAGTCAAGACCACGATCCGTCTCGAATATGTTGATGAGGTTATGGATGTCCTTGTTCAGCCGCCCAATGCTATCGTCGATAGTGTCCTTGTGTATAAACTGGTCTCCGTACTGTCGACCGAGATCATACTGAATGACGGTCTTGCTGATAACAACGTCGCCAAGCAGGATCTCGCTACCCCAACTGTAAGGCACGGCACCGCATATTCCAACAAGAATGACCAGCCGTAGCCCGCTGTAGCTCGCCCGCATGCTCGCGGCTGCACTCGCGGCGTTGGCCTTACCCATGTGCGGCAGGAGAGCCAGGACAACACTATAGTGACCCATACGGCCAGTCGTATAGTTATTTGGGTCTCCTGCGGCTCTGCCATACTGGTCACCATCTTCATCCCAGAACTCATCAAAGAGGTAGGAAACGGCATTGTACTCGAGTGACAGCGCGCAGATAATTCCTACCTCGAAGTCCTCGCGACAGGATGCTCGCTCCATGCACATAGTGGAAAGAATACAAGACTAATAGAACGTTTTAAGGCGAGAGAAAGGCAAGTAAGCTATTTGGACCCTCGATTTTGCCTGTCGGGCATGTAATCATCCCGCTTGAGGGGATTCGTGATAAGCTGGTCCTGTGTGACAACTATTCAGCTGCGGGGTATTTAACTTGGTGCTTATATTACATCAGCTTCGAGAGAATCGATGCACCTGAACCTATGTACGGGCTTGAGATGATAACTTTTGAGATTCTTAATTTGCAGAGGCTTCTTGCTATAGACCGATAAATTACCCCGAACTTTTTTGTAACTATTGTTAATGCTTCCCAGGATCAGAGATCTCCATTTTGACCACGCTGAATTCAGCATATTTGAATACTGTCATCTGGCTTGACCGTTTCCGTTCCTTGGCTTTGGGGTTTCCTGGGGCTCTGGTAAATATCTTGCGGCAAGTGATAGACCAGAAGCAAGTACAAAGAGAAGTATCCAGATAGCGTATCCATCCGCCAACTGTGTCCTTGCTCCTAGCGCAAAGAGACTGGTGAATAGGGCGGGGCAGAAAGCCCTCAAGCTGCTGACACCCGTCAACGCCAATGCATTCAGCAAGCCTAGAACTCTCGGTGAGGGCGAGATGTCGTTCAGAGAAAGCTGGATTGCAGTGAAACTCATGCTGACTCCACAACCGACGACTAGCATTGTCGGCGCAAATACCCAGAAGGCGCGGATGGACGCTTCGGATCCCGCTCGGAGTAGCACATTGCCAATGGGGCAGCTTAGGAAGAACACTGGATAAGCAAGAGCGCATAATCGAATGACACCTTTCGTCCCAATTCTATGCTGCAATGGGGGGAAGACCAAAAGTAGCCAGGCTGCTTGGGCAGCACCGTTCAATCCCATCATCAGCGAGATCTGCAGGGAGCTGAATCCCCAGCCACCAAGGGGTACTGGGGTGAACCAGAAGACCGGAATAATGGCGGTATAAGCAAAGGCGAGCGTCATGATGTGTCCGTATACGTATAGAACCATGCTCACTCCTGGTGATTTCAAAAGCTGCCTTGTCGAGAGGGTGTTACGGCGACCAGATGCTAGCTCTTCACCATTGCACTCGGTTGTATCTGACTCCTTCTTCAGGGTCTCTTGAACAAAAAAGGCGCTAGTTATAGCAGCCGTAGCGCCTACTGATGCCACCACCAAGCTTGACAGAGCGTAGGGGTTGTCCTCGAAGAACCTTATGCCTCCAAAGACGCCCGGGTACTGGGTTGCAGGATCGGCTAGAGCACCTCCCATTAAAGGCCCTAAGAAAAGTCCTAGGTTTCCACTGAAAGCGAACCAACTGAATGCTCGTGCTTGAGTCTTTGGCGTGCTATGTTCCGCCACCATAGTACGAATGGTGACGATTGTCCCTGCGAAAATGCCAGCAAGGCATCTGAACAGAATCATCTGTGATATCGACTTTGCAAAGCCGAAGAGACCCGTGGCCAGGGCCACGCCAAACAATGAATAGACCAGGACAGGTTTACGTCCAATGCGATCGGCTGCTCGCCCCCAGAATATCATGACGATAGCCTGCGTCAGAGAAAACAAAGACTCGATGAGACCGCTGTAGAAGCCCACATCGGTATCTTCCACACCTCCCATTTTTTGAATCATCTGATTCACATAAGGGAAAATCGAAAAGAAAGCGAGAGGCTCGATCATCCGAGCGTAGCAAAGTAGCAGGACCTGGGCCTTGGGGAGTGGCTTTTCCTCATCGGTGCCATTGGTCGCTGAAGCATCGTCCTGGGTTTCTGAAATAGCCGCATTTCCATAATTAACTTTGGACGGGCCCAGAAGAGCCGTAGTCTCGTCTATGCCATCGCCAAGCTCGTCCCCCGATTTTGGCCCGACAGGAGCCGCCGCATTCGGACCGGGGTGCTGTCTGTCGGTATCCCGAGTGTTGACGACCATATCTGAGTTGAGCAATTTGCAGAACTCGATCTGTAGTCAGAAGCAGAAGCACGATGCGCGTCTGCCTTGGATTGCAGACGAAAAAATATGAAAATGTTTCTGCAGGTTAGGGGCAGAACAAATCGAGTAAGCGGGAGAGGGTCAGAATTCGGATTTAAGTAATTCCCAGCCGTTTTGCCGATGCGGACTATAAAAGGTGCTGGGCAAAGCACCATAGAAAACGAGTCCCTAGAAGAAAATTATTTATTTACATAGTATGTTTCTTATTCACTTTTCTTGGATTAGTGCCCAGAATGAGTGTTCAGGTGCAGGTGTTTTGATTACCAAAAAGACTCACATACTCGTAAAGTATTCGGGTTGTCCATTTACCCGGGTGATCCACTACGAGGAAATTATACAAACGTAGACAAGAAAACAAATGAATAAGCAACTACAATGGATTAAGATTCGCGGAAATTCCGATCAAGTCCTCATTATGAGATACAACTTGGTCAATTTCCTGGTAGGCATGACCAGTCATCCCGAGCGAAATCTTAGAATTTCGAAGCAAAAACAAAGATATATATCCGTATCCAACGAATAAGATTCCCCGAAGAAAGTCCCATGGCTTCAAAGAGCCATGATCTTGTTTGATTGAAGTCGTTCAGCTTGATTGTGGTCTGGCAATTTCTTCCGGCTTGCGACAAGCAGCCTCAAAATTGCGGAGAATTATCTGGCGATTCTCTAGGCCTTTACTTGAGTGTTCCGCTAGCCACTTTCCTTCTTGAACTCGGGCCTGAAGAATACGCTTCCTTGTTTTCGAATGCGTTGCGGTATATAAGCTCTTCATCATCCCATGGGCAGGATAAGCGACCAATCCCAATGCAGCTGCGATCCGTCGTTCAGTATTTATTTCTTAGCTGTAAAAGCTGCAATGCACGTACCTGATGAGACTTTGGTAGTGATACCGAGAGTTCCCTTGGCAATTCCCTTTATCACACCCTTTGCTCCCTCTTCCTGGCCACCCTTATAGGGCTGTGTGAAGATATCGCTGAAACCGTCTGCCATCCCATGAACGAAGTTCTTCCCTGCGAAAGTGGCGCCAGATTTCCAATCATGGATCGTTCCGTGATCTTTGACCTCGTCGCCATATAGTCGAGGTACAGCTCTGAGGCCTTCGCTCACTGCTAAAGGCATATCTACCAGCATGCCTTTGTACCAGTAGCCGACTACCTTCCCCATGCTTTTTGCCGAACCTTCCATCGCCGCCCCCGTAGCTCTCATCTTTGAAGGGGGTTTCATGCTGGAATCGGACAGAGATGGTACTTCAGCTGTAGAAGCAACGCTTCGGGATCGAGCAGCAGATGATTCGGGCAGATCAACTTCCGACGAGCTCTTAGGAATGCGGTTGAATTCCTGATATGGCCGGTAAACAATATCGCCCGTTGCTTTCAGTACATCTGTGCTGGTCCCAATCAGTGAAGAAGCAGTACCTGTGACTGGATCCCATCGCCGATTCTCGATGTAAAGCGGCTTGACTTGGTAACTAGTATTTGTTAACATTTCTATTAACGAGGGCAAACTTGCATAAGTATGCTCACGGTTGAATATCGCTAGGTTTTAATCGACGGTGATCAATTAGAACTTCGGCCGCAACTTTGGACAGATAGAGTGGAGATTTGGAAGATTTTTTGAATTGCCACACTGCAGGTTCTGAAGGGAGAGCGTGGCATTGCATGGTATTCACCGGTAGATTACGATGAAAAGAGGCGACGGCGGTGCTCACGCCTTTTTCATGGCTCATTCGGTTTGCGACTTCTCGGGCTGCATACTGTGCTTCAGGTTGGAGGCAGAAGTGAATGGCTTCCGCCAAATTGGTTGAAGTCAGAGACCGATATGGGATAGGCCTCGGTCCAAGCCCACAGGAGGCAACTATGTTGCCCCAGAAAAGTTGACTAGTTCGATCAGCATCAGACAACGGAAATTTCCAGTCTAATTAGGGAAAACATACTCTCCAAAGAATGGAATGATAGTTGTAGATCGTCCAAACCGTAGACCACATGCTGTTGTGCCGGCCCCTCCATGGTGGACAACGGCTGCAACATGTTGAAATAACCATTCATGCGGGCAGTCATCGAGGTAGAAAAATCTATCATCGGATGAGGCCTCACCAATATTGCTCCAGCCACGAGATATGATTGCGCGAATACCAAGTAACTTGACAGCCTGCAGAATCATATTTGTCATAGCCACCGGATCTTCAATGACAATACTGCCAAATCCAATGTACACTGGAGCGCTGCCACTTCGAAGGAACAAGTCAAGGTCGGGAGGCGGTTTGTAATCCGGGAGGGAACGAAAGAAAAATCCGCAAACATCTATGTTTGATGGCCAATCTGATGGTTTTGACATGAGACTTGGAGACCAACAGTAGGTGAAAGGGACTTTCAGTGTCTCGGCCAGACAGGGACCTTCAGTCACAGGTATAGGCTCCAAATCGAGTGAAGCTCTCCATTCATTAATCACGTCACCAAGACTAGATTCTAGCTTAGCATATGTGTCGGTTAATAATTGAAGAGATGATCCTTACCCCTGCCAGGTCATCCACTCAACAACTCCGTAAGATATGTAATTGGCTATTTTTGGCTCAGTCGTTGAGTATTTGAGATTTGCCAACGGATGCGGGAAGGCTCTTGTGCTGCTCCATGGCATAGTAAACATGAGATGCAAGGGGATGGACAAGGTTTGCGCACAGTGAATATGAGCAAAGCTTGGAGGATTGGCAATTATCGCATCAGCCACGAAAGGTGTTTTGCTGACCGGATCATCATCAATGCAAGACTTCCAGCAACCTTGTAACATCTCGGCCACCATAGCCCGCTTGCGTTGGATTTCTCCGTCTCGTAAACTTTTCATCTGCGGTATCAAGCCCGGATTTTTCACCATATAGGCCATAAGCTCTGTTGGGTCACCTCCAATGGGATAGAATTCCAAGCCCGATGCAAGAACGAACGACTCGAATACCCCATGAGTTGCCAATCTTACCCGATGACCATGAAGTTGAAGCTCATTGCCCAAAGCGATGAAGGGCTGCACATCGCCTCGGCTACCGACAACTTGAATAACGATATTTAATTGAATGTCACAAGTAGAAGGTTCCGTAGGATCTTGAGTTGATGGGGGTGGCCTCTCGGCGTGCGAAAACGGAATCAGCTTTGCAACAGTCCTACAGACCTTGGAGTCCAGGTCAACTTCAACGCGGCCATCGTCTGTCACTATCAGCATTGACTATATCACAGTATCATAACAGATTTTTTTTCGATCGCACCGTTGACATTTGCTCCATCCTGTGACCAACAATCATCAGGCCAGCCGGCCGCCTCAAGCATAGAATATCTCGGAGGTTGATCTTCCATGAATGCTTCTCTAGAGAAACAACTGAAACACTCGAGTGAGAATGGTCAGAGTGGAATGAAATCTCCAAATGCCCGACTCGGGGGTCAATATATGGCTGGGGCATCGGAAACCGCTAACGATTAATTTTAGTATTGTTGAGGCTGAACACCCTACCATGCCGACAGCGTAAAAGCGTATTCGGATGCAGCAAGTCTTCAATCGCCTCGCAGCCAATCAAAAAGGCTAATCAAAAGTCAAATCGATAGGGGCATCCTAGGGCCCGCAACCTAACGGCTTGGCATGATATTAGAGTTGTAGCCCTTAATCGACTGGGATTTACCGCAAAAACGGCAAATATGTTGCGCTGCCGTAGCGGATATTGAAGACCTTTTAGGTATATATAAGTGCTAAAAGCCTTATTCAGGGATTTCTGTCATTGACAAGGCAGTCTCTGCAGACCTCGAAAAACCATCACCATCTTTTTCGTATGCACGGGCCACTAAATGCATGGCTCCATCAATGCAAGACCAATTTTGAATCGGATACGCGTATAGAAGCCACAACTGTGATTGGCTACGAAAAGTTACCAGTGAAGGCCTCCATCGACTGTATCTTCATAGTGCCCTCACTCCATGTGAGTTTTGCCATAGGGCCCTACTTCTTGCAATTATTATCTGCGATAAGTTGGTTGAGGTACCACCATCCCAGAGTTTCTACTCCTTTTCAGTCAAGACTTGCGCCTCAACAGTTATCGACATGCTCGGGAAGATTTTCTCCACGTTGGTACTTGAATGGCTATTTTTCGATAGTTCTTGGCCACTTAGCGGCGAAAACGCGTGAAGGGCTCAATAGTAGCAATACGAATATACGAATATACGAATACGCAGGATGCTATCAATGCGATTGGTCCATAATTTAAACTTTTTACAGTTTAGGAGAGCTTTCCTTTGGAATTTTACCTACATGCACTCAGCATAAGATTATAGGCCCTCCCTGGCACCGAAACTGTCAAGGGGAATCCCAAATCATTAAATTGTAAGAGTATTCACGGCCTAGTGTATACCAACCTCAACCCGGCAATTCTTTTCTCTTCGTCAGTCCTATCCACGCTGGAAACTTGAGAGAAGAGAAAGAGACGAAGACTTTTCAATGGATGTACAGATGTATATTCCATACACAAAAGCAATATAAAGAGACAATTGACATCACTATGATACATGACCAAGTGGAATCACAAGCCGTATTATTTCCCAGTCCAGCCTTTATCCTTTCTTTGCATGTCTGTCTTGGTGTCTTGAGTGCTCTCTTAGAGTATATAAGGCAATGGTCGCAATGTTCAATCGAAGAGCCACGCTTCCGAGATGCCAGATTATAACCTCAACCACTAGAAGGAGCTATCTCCATTCTTGACACCACCATTCTTGGTCAAGAAAGCTGCATAAGAAACATCCGAGTCGTGGCTGGCAGTCGTGTTAATGCCGAGGGTAACCCAGCCGAAGATACCATCTTCAATGGAATCTCCAAGGAGAGCGTACTCGAAGAACGGGTCAGAAGTCGAATCTGCCGTCTCGACTTGGACGACGTGGTCGTCAATGTTCTTGGTGATATCCACTGTACTAGTGTTATACGGGTAGGTGGCTTCGACCATAGTAATCAGATCCTGATCGAAAAAGAGCTGGCCAACATGTGAGACGTGACCTCCAGTCAGGGTGTTATTGGGCAAGACATGGGCATCGGTATGGGCAATAACGTGAACGTGAGTAGCACGGCCAGAGTAATGACCAGGGAATATAGTCTTGAACTGAGCAACACCGTCGGAGTCTGTCTTTTGGATACCACGCAGGAATGTCTTGTCGAGGTTCGAAGCATCATCACCGTTGCCATTGCTATCACTCTGAACACCAGAATAGACGCCTGTGGAGTTGCAATTCCAAACATCCCAGTACAGATCTTTGATAGGCTCGCAAGTGTTGATGTCAATGAACTGGCCATCGAGTATAATCGGGATACCGGGCTCGCCGTCACGAACATCGGAGCGAATCAACTCGCCTTTGACCCAGAAGGGACCAACCTCTCCTTCGGGAGCAAGGATGCACACAGGGTTTTTGGAGAAAAGTTCCGACTCGGGTGTGTTTGGAGACACCTTCAGGGACGAGTGATGGGTCTTGTTGACAGTTGTCTCCGTGTCCCTGGGGAAGAAATAATGTCTCTTGTTTGCCTCGATGATTGCAGCACGACGAGCCTGAGCACGCTCATTCACACCACGTTTCTCGAGGTGATCAGCACATAGGTCCAAGGACCGACGAGCATCGTGCAGGAAATGGCGCTTGGCCATGGAAGAGTAGGAATTGGGCTCATGGACGCCGGGGTGAGCCAAAGACAGGCCACTCAGGGCGAGAACTGTGGCTTTCGCGAAAATCATTGTAAAAAGAAGAAGGCTGGACTTTAGGTGCGTTGTAAAGTGAAGTGCTTAAATACCAATCTCAACTGGAAGATGGAGAGCACTTAAATAGTTTATGTGAGACCAGTATGAAATCTATCTTGTCAGGGCAGTAAGACGCCATTCTGAATTACTATGGAGCTATCTCGCTCTACATAATGGGCCTCGGCATTACTAGATTGTTGACATAAAATGTTTTATCTCTTGATGACGACGCCTTTTCTCCAGTAGAGATACGAGGCTGACCAACGAAAGGGTTACAATTGGACTCTGGTGAAGACAATAAAACATGGTTACTCAGAAGCACTTCCATCCTCCGTAGTTTCTCTGTGTCTGCCTAATGATCGTCGTTGATCTACATTCAAAGTTTCTCTGTCAGGATAGTGAACCTGTTTCTAGACCTGGAAAGCTTCGCGGTCTAATCGAAAAGTTGGTATCTAAGATGAATTCCTAGAATTGCGACTGGCTATTAGATGATGCCAAGGCTCTCCAGCTTTCATCCTTCTAATGCTCATCAAGACTTGTTTATATCGAGTTGTATCGAGTATGCAGAGACACGCGTAGACTCCATCTCCTTCATGGGCCAATGGAGTATTCAATCGCCCTCATAATTTCGGTAAATTCTTTCTACCAAGGGTGATTTCGGTGTCTATGATATCATATCGGTGTTTGCTGATCTTGGAAGCCTACAATCTTTGATTTGAGATCAGCAAGTAGTTCAAGTCCCCAGACTGTGGCTGATTTTATGTCTCCCTTTTCTTCATTCAAAGAAGAGAGGTCAACGTCAACTTAGTTACGCAAATTTCGAAATTTACCCCGAATCAGAGAGGCCTCAATACGCTGCTCTGCAGCAGATAGTCGCCAGTCCCTGAATTAACAGTATGTATACCCTTCTAACGGCGATGATCATATCCTAAGCTCGGTGCAAAAGGAATCCGCTGACTGAGCATATCTTGGCGCTGGTCTTGGCATTCGATCTATGATTCTTGTCGCATACGCGGCCCACGGGTGGAGACCTGCCGCCCGCAATAGACCGGGGGTGACTTGAGAATGCACGACATTCGTCCCAACCCTCCAGTCAGACTTGATGGCGCCACTCCTGCAATCCTGCTAGAACAATTGGATCGTCCATATCACGCAGGAAATCCTCATGGATTCCGCTTCTGCTGCCCCACGTGGCTCGAAAATAAGGAGTGCTTGCGATCTGTGTCGCCTTCGAAAGGTAATGAATGCAGTGCGACACTCGATATTCGGTCAATTGACCCCCTACAATTGCTGATCGTGGTACCTTGCATGTTTGGTTATACAGGTCCGCTGCGATAAAGCCCAGCCTGCGTGTGAGAACTGTCACCTTGCAGGACTTCCTTGTACTTTCACCCCACAGGCCCCTCACCAGCGGAAAAGTCTTCGTCAGTAAGAACGACATTATTTCCAATGTCTATTCGGAGCTTTGCTGATTGGTGAATAGAGAGCTTGCCGAAGCTCAAGCTCGTGTACAAGAGCTCGAACGAGCGTTAGATGCAGGCTTGAACCCCACGCACCTTAGTGTTCAGGATGACCAGTCAAAAACGTCTACTCCTGGGCATCAGAGCATCTCATCCGGGTCACCTCAGAGTCAACAATCATCATCAGCTAACTTGGACGCAAATTATATCCCCGATACTCGATCTTTAGATGCCGCTTTGGCATCCTTTCAATCCCACCTCGCATATTGCGGGCTTGGAAGTCGCCTTTCAACGGCTCGAGCAAATTTTTGCGCAACGATCTACCAGCAAAGTGGTTATACATTTGACTTGGACGAGTTCTTAACTGAAGCCGCGGCATCTTTTGAGAAACAAGGCTATGTATCCAAAAAGAAGACAACAACCACGAAATGGCCCTCACCCTCTCTAGTCCAGCGATGTGTGGAATACTATGCAGGATGCGGACTGTATTCCATGTTTCCTTTTGCGGATGCCGAGGCACTGCAAATGCTCGTCAATGCCGACGTCTTGAATCACCCAGACACGACTCGCGCTGCTAATCGTGCCTGCTTGGCTGCGTTCACGGCGAATATCACTCAAATGCACCGTCATGATCCTGCCTTTTCCGATGCCGATCCCGATGCTTACGCCCAAGCAGCACTTTCTCTCGTTCCACAGATATTGATGGAAGCTCCGGACTTGAGAACGCTTGAAGCCATAATGCTGTTGGTAAGCCAGCTATTAAACTCCGCCTTGGACCAACCTTGAGATATTAAGTACCATGCAGGTAGTCTACATCTCTCCCCTTGGACAACCCGTGTCCGCGGAACTGCTCTTGGGCATTGCAATACAAGTCCTATATAACCTCGGCGGCCACAAAATCCGACCTACACCCGAAACCCCCGGTCGATCACAGCAAAGTCTGCATCTCCGCGCACTCTTCTGGCTCTGTTACGGCATAGACAGCGAATTTTCCATTCGAAAGGGCCAACCTCCAATGCTGAGTGACGTACACTGCGATCTAGACTTACCGGTCAACTACACGTCGAAATCATCAGAGCACCACTTCTATTTCACGCCGTTATCCTCGAAAGAACTCCTCTACCCATCTGATCTCCGGCTGAACTTGATCAAATCAAAGATCTACAAGCTCCTCTACTCGGAGAAAAATGCGTCGCACTCTGAAGCAAGAAGAATACAACTCATCCGTGAATTGGACCATGACTTGAGTACGCTTAGGTCTGAGTTTCCCGTGGATTGTCGACCAGATCTGTTCGCGACTGAAAATGCTCCGGATTATCTGTTCCACGATCTCAGTATACGGGGTGTCAGTATTCATCTGGAATATTATTATTGTCTGGGGAAAATCCACGGGGCAAATAATTCCTACAATATTCCCGCGCAGGGATCCTGGTCCCCTCTGCAATCCAGTGCTGAGATTTGTTATGAAGCGGCACGCTCGACTTTGCTATACATTGGTCGAGTTCAACATATTATAAATTATCACACTTTTTGGTATGTCACCCCAATACTAGACTACATGTCCTCATCGCTAATTCAAAATCGCAGGATCCACGCCCAATTCACGCTGACGGCTGTCCTCACACTTTTCCGTTTCCTCATCACGGCTCCCCCTGCACCTAACTTTGCCCGTGATCTTCAAATATTGGACGACACGGCTAATCTCTTTGCGGAATTCACGCAATCGGACGATTCAGAGAGAAACTGTTTTCCGCCTTTTTACCTCGCTCATGCTTTTATCAAGAAGTTAGTGTTTCTGGCTCGCGAGTCACATATTCGTTCAATAGCTGCATAGAACCGCACATCGAGATCCGAAATATAATGAAGCACAAAGAAAGGTATGGAGTATGGGGCATGGGAGCATTAAATTGTACAATAGACTAAATCACTGCAAAGCAAATGGTATACAACAATCCACAAAATCAAGCACCACTCACACCAACCAAGAAAAACTAACATCAACACTCCCCCCTTCACAACCTATACAAATCACCGTAACATAACCCTGGTCCCAGTCCCTCGCTTAAAGCTTAATTCCAATCTCCGCCAACGCCTTAGTCACGTTCAAGCTAACGGTGAGATTATTCGCGGCCAGCGCCTGCGTGAAATAAGGCAGTTGCTTGCCATTGTACACGCTCGAGTTACCGGTGATGGTGAAGGGCACCATGCCGTCCTTGTACGGGTTCGAGCTGGAGGTGACCATGGTGATGATGGCGCTTTCGTTCACGGTGGAGGTCATCGGGACGGTGTTGTTGCCTGGTTTTAGGACGAGGTTGTCGAGGTAGGAGTAGCCCATTGGGATGCCTGCGACGGAGAGGTCGAGGGTGACGTTGCCCTGGACGGAGTAAGACGGATATTCTACTAGAATCGGAGGGGTTTGGGGTTTGGGAGGGACTGGGTACCATGGTGATTGTCATCACGGAGGGGTTGGGGATGTAAACGGTGCCGTTCATGTTACGGCCGTTCTGGGTCTCGAGCAAGATGTGGAAGTCGGTGACGTCGAAGCCGTTGAGCTTGTTCAGACCTGGATTACATGTTAGCATCATACACACACCTTTCCCGATACACACAGCCAGGGAAACTTACCCTTCATAGTAACAGTCTTGTTATACGTAACCGTCGTCTTAGGCAAACCCCCCTCCTTCAATCCGGGTCTACCATAAATATTCATCTCAACCTCCTCATTCAGCATAACAGCCTGCGCAAAGTCACCAAACGCATCCGCATTGCTCAGATCAACGACCTGATCCACATTAACCTCGGCGCCATCCTTGGACTGCACTTCCGGCACCTGCACGGAGGTGAATGCGGACGCGGCGCCGAGCAGGGAGACTGAGGCGAGGAAGGAGTAGATCTTGGGGTGGTAGGAGCTGTGGGAGCCGATGACTTGGGTTTGGGTTAGGTGGAAGGAGTCCGGGGTTGGGTCGGCGATGACCATGCTGGTTACGTTGAGGGTGGAATCGTTGACTTGGCTTTGGGCGATTTTGGGGTATGCCACGTAGACTCTGTTATATTGTTAGAAAGGGGAGTGGTCGATGTTGGTTCATGCGAATTGTATAGAAGTCGCAACGTTGAGGTTTCGGAAGGAACTTACACAGGCAAGAGGATGATAAGAAGAACCGCGATGAAGATGATCAAGTGCACCCACCACCACTTCTTGAAATGCGCACCCAAGCGTGCGCCGAAGCTGCGCTTGGCTGGTGGCAGGGCAGTGGTAGTCTCCATCTCAGTCACTCCTGTCTTTGACATCTTGTCTTGCAGTGATAAATCCCGAGTCTAGATCATACACCAGTAGTTGTTAGTATAGATTCAAGCTCCAAACTCCCATCCAATAAACAGCCCCATTTAACCTAAAGCCACACTTTCAAATCCGCCCAACATGGACATACCTTAATAATTTTGATCCAGGGCTAGTCGCGTGTAGTCGATATCAAAGGACAAGACTAGACAAACGGTAATAGAAACTACCGAAAGCCTCAGGCGCAAAGAGCAACGGGTCGAAACGAGCGACAAGAAAGAGAGAAAGGGAAGAAGAAGAAAGGGAAGAATTGACGGATGTCAATAAGGTAATAATAGGAAAATACCCACAGCTCTTAGTACAACAGCCGGTGCAGCCGGGCCAACGAGGGTAGCATTTACTTTATAATTAAATTCAGCGTCGGAATACCTCCAGTCTTGGCTAGGTCGCTAAAGGCGCGGCGCGGTTACTAGGCATCTAGTAGTTATAGACTTACATATGCTAATGATTTTAGAACGAAATTAGGGCATCCTCGGCGGGCATCACATGTCATTCAAGATACACGATGTAGGTTTGTCCAAAGGGGTATGAGAGAGATGAGAAATTTCAATGGACCAGGCAAGATCTGGTCTAGTATGGCGCCGCGAGTGGGGTACAGGGCGGAGGTAGGACCAGGTTTGATGGAGAGTGTATTTCTTTCTTTCCGCTGTTGGGTTAGCGTGACCCTTTGTTTTTTGGCCCTGCCCTGCAGACGAGGTTTGTTAGTGGCGAGAATGATAGGCTGGTGGACTTTTATTCCTGGGGAGAGGTCGGAGAACTCGGGGTTGTGGGGGATCGTGTTCCTGGATTGAGTTTTTGTTCTTTCCAAGGTGCTGGTAGAGTATAGCGGAGACCGAGTAGTCGTATTCAGCGCTGAAGGTTTTCTATTTTTTGTTATTGCTCGGTGATGTGCAGTGTCGATCGGATGATCTTTCGATCTCCATTCATAAAAGTATGATGATTGATAAACTAGAGCGTTTCAGATTGAGTTTGTAAGCCGTCGTGAGTCCTGCTAGACAAAATAGCACACTGCCACTATACGAGCAACAGCAACACACGAGGGGCTGGTATTCGCCTCCCTAGTTCGCGGCCAGCGCATATAACTTTGCCTCGGGGCGCCGTAAACTCAAGAGATTGATCAGCTGCAGAAGCATGTGCAAATGCAATAGAAACTGCGCCATGGGGACCGGGCGCCGCCGTTATCCCTCCAGGATCAGGCTCATCTTGGATATCTAGTCCGCGCCTCCAACGAGTCAACGACTCACGATGCAGGACCGCGAATGCTGTACGACAATGACCCTGACCTGTGTTGGTGGGGCACCCCCCTTCTACCGTTGCACCGACCATCCGGGGTCAGCCTAGTTGACGGTTGGCCATTGGCTGCCCGTGAACCTAGCTGCAGCGGGGGCGCTCGCCAAGGCGCCGTGAGCGACGAGTCGGCTGGGGAAGATGGGGCGGTGTCATGTTAGCCTCCGGATCCATGGATGTCCGGTGTTTTTTGGAGGGGTCTAGGGTCGCGTATTGCCCTTGTTGTGTGTAGTGTAATTTGGTAGGGTCGTGGGTAGCGTGCCTAGCCGTTAGTACTGCAGTAGGCGAGGGGTTCGTGCCGAAAGTGTCTTGGAGGTCTGGCTCTAGAGCGCGTTGGGTCAAAGGTCCGGGGTACTAGACTCACGGGGGGAATTCTCCACTTCTTGGGGTAAATTTGGGGGCAGAATATAAAAAGTGGGAAAGGACGACATAAACATTTCTGAGATTAGTACTACTCTACACAGCAATTGTAATTGACTATAGGTTTAATTACAGCACACGGAAAATGTTGCACGATACGAGCAGCTTGAAACCAGCCGATCCGAGGAATTTCTCGATTAGATAGATCACCAGCCCTTCAGAGATGGCTACACAATGAAACCAATCAAAACCACCTGTCCAACCGGGTCTAGCCGGGTCCAAGAAGAGCTCGATGATCGATGGCTCATCAAGTAACAAATAGATAATGACACTAAGCAACAAAGAATGTCCACGCAAAAAACACGGCCTCGATTTGAGTCATGACAGGTGATTGTGACTTCTTGCACGATGCACCAGGTAAGTCCGCCGAAATGAAATCCACATAATGGACGAAAAGTAAGAATGAGAAGAAGGAAGAATGTCCAAAAAAAAATGATAAAAAAAAGGCGGAGGTCAGCCCCACGAAAAGATATGGCCAAGAAAGGAAATTGGGGGTGTGAAACGAGAAGATCAGAAAGAATTCGGCGTTAAGATCCGAGGATAGAAGAAGATGGAAGAATAAGAAGAACAAATCGAAGGGTATCCACGGAGAATTGAAAGATTATGCCCGCGAGGTGAAAGGAATCAACGATCCATCCACCATACTCGAGAAGAAGCTGCCCAGGCGGCTCAGGTAAAAAGGTGGGGGGTATGACAGAAAAGAACAAGTAAAAATGGGTAGTAAATGGCAAGAAATGAAGAAAGGAAAAAAAAAGAAAGATATCAAGGAGTGTAAAGTAATCAAAACAAATGACTCAAAATAGCACTTCAGAAAATAAGGTTTGAAGCAAACCAAGTGTTTCAGCTCAGAACGCTCTACAAACGCATTGCTTCGAAATGCAAAATGAATGCGGGACAGTGCCTCAGGGGGCGATATGCAAGTCGCACATGTCAAAAGACAAGGATAGATGAGATTGGAGGGGGGGTTCTATGCATCAGAGGCAATCTATGCCTCGGGAACAGACTTCTTCCGCTGGAAGAGACTGCGAGTGCGCGATTTGCTACGCGGCTTCTTGTCACTGCTGACAGTTCGTCCGCGCGCGCGTCCACCACGGCGTTCATCGTCGGGCATGTATTTGTCCTTGTAGATCCTGTGAATAGGTTAGCGAAATCGCAATGTCAAGCGGGGCTGCTTGTGAATACGTACCAGCTGTTTCCAACCATGCTCATACCCTTGGACTCAGCCTCACGATAGAAACGCGCAGCCTTCTTCATATCCTTCTTACAACCCACACCCTCGGCGTAGCAGAATCCAGCTTCCGCCATAGCATCCACATCACCCCATTTGCCGGCAATCTCAAAACATCGCAGAGCCAAGGATTTATCCTGCTCGATACCCCAGCCGTTGAGATGGCTGACACCCAGCTCGTAAATACTAAGTGCGAACTGGGCCCGATACGCCTTTTGTAACTCCTTGGCCTTGGAAGCACCTGGAGCGTCGGGGTTCTCGAGCATCTCCAAGCCAACCGAGTCAACAGCCTTGCGTAGCCATCGCACACCTTCTTGCTGGTTAGGTCGCATGCCCCATCCATGACGGCAGGCAAGCGCATAAAGCAGCATACCAGTGGGGTTGTTCTGCTTCGCAGCAATGCGCAGGTGGTAAGTTGACTCATTCAGCGAGCCCGCCTCGTGCAGCTCAATACCCTTGGTGACATGATCGTCAGCTGTGAGGGCGGTTGAGGGTGCCTGGGTGACCTGAGTTGTCGCCGTCTGTGGGCGAAGAGTACTAGCCGAGTCTGCAGATGAGACGGTCTCATCCTTGTCGCTAGTCCTCGGGCGAGTAGACTCGGTGGATGGTCGGGGAGGCCGAGGACTAGTAGACTCAACGGATGGTCGTGAAAGCCGAGGACTAGTAGGCTCGACGGATGGTCGGGGAGGTGTGACCACAGGAGGAGCAGGGGCGGGTCTGGGTGGTGAAATGGGTGCCGGAGGTGCAAGCTTAGTCTCAGGGACTGGAGCGTGGGACAGAGCTTGGGACGGAGACGGGGCTGGAGCCGAAACCTCATACATGGAATGAGGCTTGGGCGAGTTGTCCATGCGGGGATGTGAGGGGGGTGGAGTTCGAGCCGAGCGTGGCGGCTCTTCGGAATGCCGGGGTGGAGAATTCTCAAACAATGGCTCTTGCCATTCGAAATGAGGTGTTTGTAGGCCAGCGAAAACGACCGAGTCTCGTGAGACCATGCGGCCACGCGGCAGTGCATATTTGGCATACACATACGATGATACCGCAGAAGAAGGCTCTCCTTCCTCTGCGTGGGTGGCAGCAGCCTCCTCAGTCGCCAACGGCACCAGGATTGGCGTCGGCTTGCTCGGCCGGTGCATATGATGCGACTGTTGGTTCCACCGATGCTGGTGCTGTTGAGTAGTAGTGGCTGGGTTCGGTTCGGAGGTTGCGGATGGGCCTGGGGCGGACAGGCTGGTGCTCGACCGGCTCAATGGTCGAGAGAAGTTGAAGGAGGGCCGAGGGAGGTGGCCAGTGGCGGAGGTTTCCGAGCTCATCGATGGTGAACGAGGGTGCATCCGGGCGGGATATGTAGACATAGGCGAGTACGGTAAAGACACGGCACTGCCCGAAGACAATTTGCGCGGTTTGGAAAACGTCGAGCCAGCGTTGGAGCTACTGTAGTCGTCATCCGAGCTCTCCGGGTTCACTCTAGCGCTACTTGATGGGCGGGAATGCGGCGAGACTGGTGGCGCCAGGGTGCGCGGAATATGGAGTCGAGATACCGAGTCTGTAGACGACTCGCGCGAGGGGTCGTCCATCGCGTTGCCCGCCGAACCGCCCTCTGCGCCGCTGGCTAGGGACGGATCATCTTCAGGTGATTCCGCACGGGGTATATCGTAGATACTTGAGCTGGGCCGCACCATAGTCGTCCGCGGGGTGGACTCATCATCGTACGAGTCGGCATTACTACTGGCATGCGAGACGGAGCTGAAACGGGGGTGCTCCGAGACGGGTCGATACTTGGGTTCTTCGAAATCCGGGTGTGCTCTCAACGTCGGCTTTCGTGTAAGACTATCGACCTGAGACTCGCTCGATGGGGCGCGAAAATAGCCGGGACGGGGAGTAGACAGCGATCGGGCGACGCTCGAAGGGGGAGTCGGCTCATGCGCCTGTCTCGTCGTCGGGATTCATCCAATTGTTTAGCGAGAAAACGGCCTTGGGCGGCGAATGCATCCAGGGGCGACAGCGCGGGGGGACTTCGCCGTCGTAGTGTTCGATGCGCGGAGATGGCATGCCGCTTCGCAGGGTGTCGTGGGAGGTCGAGCGACAGTCGCTCAAATTCCCGCGAAAGGACATCGTGGGGAGAGAAGGCGGTTCAAAGCGTCGGTAAGGGCTCTGATCAAATGTTTACGTTGGTCGTCCGGTCTTTCGTTCTCAGTCGATAAGCGCTAAGGGGGGCGGTTGGAAGTTCGGGGTGGTCGAAGCAGTCAGATCATCCAGACTGGGTCATTCAATCCACACACGGGACGCATTGGAGACGAAAGGGTTCAAGGTTGAGATAACACGTCAAACGGGCTGAAAGTTGAGCGTAGTTCGTAGCCTCGGTCGGAGGGAAAGGAAGGAGGAGGGGCTAGATGGAATTCTTTGGGCGGGGGGGGGCGATGAGGCCAAAGGAATGACAGCCCTGAAAGGATGGGGGGGGGGGGAATAAGATCAAAAGTCGCGAGAGATATGAGACATGGAGGAGGAGAGAACAAACAAAAAATGGAACGGCAACAATGGGGTGCGTCACAGGAGAAGGGAGAGAGAGAAAAACGGGCGAGGCCCTGACGATCCCAATTGCAAGAGGAGAGTGCAGTCGTGGTCAAGAAGGGGCGCCCCGTGCACTAGAGTGGGCAAACAATGGGCTCCACTGCTTGTTGCTCGCCAGTTATTATTTATTCTCGGATGTCGAATAATAATCCTCAAAGCCAAGAAGAATAGCAAAGGGGAGAGGAAAAGACAAGTCGTCTGTCCATTGCCAGCTGGAATGATGATCGAAAGGGCCCCAAGCAGGTGACTGGGCTGCATGAGCATGAAAGTGAAGTCGCTCAGGGGGTCGCCAAGAACGAAACCACTTCCAGAACGGACTTGACGGACTACAATCGTCTCCTCTATTGACGCCATCCGGGGTTCCTGGTTCCTGTTATAGTTCCGACAGTCTTGAAGGTCTGAAGTGATGGGTAGGGTTTATGGACTTCTATAGGCTCAACATTGATATGATCGATCTGACGGATATAGCTCCGTCCAATGCTTAACGATGCCAAACCTACTTACTGTACAATAGTTACAATGACTCGAGGGCATCCATGATCAGCCTTCTAGAATCTCTCGTCCCGTCCCCTATTGACGGATGGAGTCTTCCAAAAGGATATTCGTGGCCCCTCTCGTTAGTTAACTTAGCCTCTCCCCACACGGTTTCATGATGGTCTCCTCAAGGCGAGTCGGCCCAGTTAGCCACAAACTCTCGGGCCCACGCTGGTATTGCTTGCGCCAATCGGGCCACGGTGGAGGCCCGTTTCTTTATTTGGCTCGCGTTCTGCAGTTTCCAGAGTTTCTAACTTTCTACAGACCAGACGGAGAGGTATGTTTCTCTAGAGTTCAACCTAGGAGTTGGTCGTCTTGTCTGAATCAAGGATTAGCTTTCGATCAATGTGATATATTCGCAAGATATAATGTACTAGTTTAACCTGGCTGGCTTTTTTAACAATTTAGCCTTATAAATAGAGTTCCTACCTGTTATAGGACCACACGTTGTGTTTACTCCATTCTGAGGACAGATCAACTGGTCGCCCTACTCCTGTACTATCCTCGAGACTCGATCATTCAACCCTACTCCTACCATTTTCTCTCTCCCTCACGAACAATTAGGCGCTCTTCCAATCCGGCCCCCTTCGATCGGAGACTGTTCCTATTTCAGGAGGTTTCAGCCGGCCACAGGCCAATCCGAAGCTCAATGGTTCTGGCAGCCGTGGGGGGTTCTCGCCTTAGTGGACAATACTAAACTGTTTCCAGTATTTGGTGGTTGAACTAACTACAAACTACGTCGCTAGAAGCAGTAATTAACCTATGTAGTGGTCGCAACGGACGGCCTTTTAAATTTTTAATCAACGCTAAGTACGGAGTACTGTAGGAGAGTTCTCGTGGTGTGCGTCGGACCAACGTAAGCCCCGTCCCAAAGCGACCACGGCTGAGCTTCACTCGACGTTTATAGCCAGCAGAAAGAACCCTTTCTACCTCCATTCTGTCTGCGCCTCCATCTGCAGTCTGTCTGGGGGAAGACACTGCCTCGGTGAATAAATCCTCATATACAATACAACCCGCCCTCGTCGAATCTCAACCCCTCCCATCCTCCACTATCACCAAACACCCCCGACAGCCACGCATTCAACCCTCCGCGCCCAAAAAATTTCCTCAAACCATGCGCCGCCCCTCCTGCCTCTCGCTCTTCGGAGCAGAACCCAACACGGACGCCCTCCACCGCTTCGAAACCTCCTGGCTCCTATCCCCAACCATCCTCGCCGGTCTGCGCGGCCTAATCGCCCTGTACATCTTTACCACGATCATCGTCATCTGGGCCTGGTACGGTACCCACGATGATCGCATCGCCATCGGCCAGTCCTTCAGCTACTTCACTTGGTTGACGTACTGGGGTCTGGGCTTTTACCATCTCTTCGCTGCGATTCATACGGCTTGTTATGCGCGGACGGGCCGCTCTGTGCTGTTCGATCGGTGGCCCCGCGCTTGTCGTGCGCTTCATGGCTTGTTGTATGCGACGATCACTACGTTCCCGTTCTTGGTGACGATTGTCTTTTGGGGGATTTTGTTTAAACCGCCTTTTTATAAGGAGACGTTCCCTGGTTGGTCGAATGTATGTGTTTTGTGTTTTGTGTTACTGCGTTGCTGCAGTGTTCAATGTCTTCAGCCCTATCGCAAGGAACCCGTTTCTAGCTCCCGTGCGAGGCTGCATGTTACACCCCCCTTACATTTCCTCGGATCACATTTCCCCAAGGTTGAAGAGACACAGCAAAAGCTAACAGGAAAACTAATTAGATCTCCCAACATGGCCTCAACTCGCTGTACGCCCTGTTGGAAATCATCCTCCCAACGACAGCACCACACCCCTGGATGGCTATCCCCGTTCTCATCCTACTGCTGGCGTTTTACCTGTGCGTCGCGTATATCACCGTCCACACCGAGGGCTTCTACACCTACTCCTTCCTCGACCCAGGCTCGCACGGCCAAAAGAGCGGTCTCGTCGCAGGCTACTGCTTCGGAATTCTCGCTGCGATTATCATCATCTTTTTGATTTCTTGGTCGCTGATTCGTCTGCGTGTCTATCTAACCGCTGGCAAAATTAAGCGCGCGGTGCGGGATCCTTTGCGTTGTCAGGATGGACTTGGCGGTGTTGCGACGGGTATGCGTGACTCGTCGATGGAGGTTAAGCCCACGCCGGTGTAATTGGGGAATACCGGTGGTCGGGTGATGATTTGAGAATGAGGTGAAAACTTACATAGCTTACCATTGACGAAGCTTAATCGTTGATGTTCTAATGTCTACATGGTGTATGTTAATTGGATGAACCAATTCGGTTGGTGCTATTAGAGAGAAGAGTATATGTCGATAGTATGTACAGAGTAGCGTAGCTCGGTCATGCTTTCCAGGTATTAGGGTATGGAGAGGGGTCACTTTTTCAGTCTGGGCAGACAGACGGAGGAACAGTCAGCTTGAGTGATAGAACAGGGGAGCCAGTTTAGACACGCTCCCAGCTGTTCTCACTGCCGCTGCTGGGGCTGCCCGCTCCCACGGTCTGTCCGCTGCGGTAGCCCATCATCAAGCCCACCAACCCACTGGGCATCCAGTCGCCGATCAGGCTGTAAGACCTCGCACCTCGGCCTACATACAGGATAGGCTTTTTATGCGCACGACGTCCGAAGATGTTACGAGTCGCCGGTTCCAGGGCATCCAGCACAGCGTGATGAAGAACTCGCGCAGGGGAACCACGAATCGCAGCAGGTCCCGCGGAAGCAACGGGTCGCTGCTCAACGCTGTTCAAATACTGGGAGCCGTACAGCGCCCGCTGTTGCACACTCCACGCCAGGACTTCCGTGCCAGGGATGTGGTTCTGCGCATTTCGGTAAGACGGGCCCAGATCAATGTTTCCAAGCCGGAGCTCGACAACATCGACATTCCCGTTCTCGAGAAGACGGAGTTCTTGGCGGAGGGAGGTCGCGAAGCCTGAAATAGCCCGCGTCGTGGTGACTTCGGGCCCGGCAAAGGGTGCGGAAAGAGATGATGAGATGGATGGGTAGGCGAAGATGAGAGCGCTGCTGTTGCTGCGGAGGGTCAACAGAGGCAGGAAGACCTGTGCGGTGAGAATGGGAGAGAGGAGACGGGTGTTGACGGTGTCGGCCCATGATGAGGCTGGGATGGTAGCGACGGGGCCGGCAGCGAAGTTTGGTGATGGGACGATGATGACACCGCTCAGTTGACAGGTGTGCGGGGGCATCCCCGGGAGGGGAGACTGAGGCTGTGTGATCAGAGCGCGAAGCTCGTGGAGCGAGGGGTGGAGTTCGGATTGATTGGAAGAGGTCTGGATTGACGTTAGGATCAATATCTTCATGACAATGCTTTCAGCTTAGACGAACCGTTGTCAAATCCAGCCACAAAGCTTTGATATCTGCCCGGTGCTCGGACTGAACGATGTGTTCCTCCTCCGCAGACGATACAGTCACATATACAATGTATCCCCGGCGCTCCAGATCAGCAGCAATAGCTCGTGTCATCGGTTCATGCGGTGATCCGGCAACCACTGATACCATCCGTTAGCATCCCAATCTCCATGGCAGGTCTAGCCGGCTATAAAGCGTCCACTCAACGTACCAACGATCTCCTTCCGCGACCCATTACCCGCTTTCCTAGCCTTCCTCCGCTTGCTATTCAACCTTTTGTTTCCATACAACAAGACACATCCAGTACCAACGAACGCAACGATAGCTGCGGTCAACGCACGATGCCGAGTCATCCAATCGTGGACCCGATCAGTCAACCCACGCGGCGGCGAGCGCATATCCTGGGTGCGTAACGACGGTCGAACGGATGGAGGAAGCCATGATTGCTGTGCAAGGGTTTCTCGGATTGTGGCTGCTGCCCAGTCGACCTGGCGATCGATCGAGTCGGCGACCTGAAGCGAGTATCGCCTTACGTCATGCGGTATCGACGCGAGCTGTAAAAACACAACTTGTCAGTACTAAAGAGGGTTTCTTATCAATGATAGTATCGCTACCACTCACGTAGTCAAGGAAGAACTGATCGTCGCTCGTCATGGTGGCGTTTGGTAAATCTTGCAAGTGAAAAAGAAAGACGATAAGATCGACGCGGCCGATAAGTCGAGGGCATCTCCACTTTATCGGAAGATCACGTGCTGGTGTGCACCAAGTACTTGATGCGCTGTATGCAACGTGTACCGTGCTACCTACATATTGCAGGATAATGGTTGTAGAAGCTAGAGCGTCGAGCAACTTCATCTACGATATATTGATGAAATGCTGATGCTACAATCAACGTCTTCGCTTGTCTGCTGGGAATTGGTCGCAAACATAGTATATATTTCCCCACGATATCGACAGATTGAATACGTGGTCAACAAGAAAATATAGTAACCCTGAGGCACGAAAATTACAGAAGTTCTTGGTATAGGTAGTCTTTTATCCAAGAAAGTCATAGACACCTCATATAAAGCTAGCAGGACCACAAAATTTGGTAAAAGGCCGTTGTACGTAGTACCAGAATACTCACGTGACCTTGACAGCCTGAGGGTCAAGGCCAATACAAGGCCATCAACGGGGTTGATTATCAATTGCAGGTGCCACTGGTTCGCAGCAGCCTGTTTTCGTTTAGCTTACAACGCCTTTTTTTACCTATTCTCTATCATTCTTTGATATTCCAAATGTGTATTCGTTGAATATCGACATTTTGGACCGTCAGAGAATGATACCCTCTGGGAGGCCTCAGCCTCAGTATCGCTGGACCTGATCCAAGCCTCTCGTTCATCGTCACTGCGAGAGTTCATTCATTTGCTTTCAAAATGCGAGAACTAGACGCCCTAATCTCAGAGTATCGCCATGAGAAGAAACGGCCCCGCGAGGAGGAGGCCCTTTTTATCTTGCGCAAAGTTGCCTCCTTGGTCAAACCCATCATGCGCCAACGCGCGTGGAGAGTTGGCGCGTTATGCGAATTCTATCCCACGCAAAAAAATCTCTTGGGGTTGAATGTCAACCATGGTCAGAAGATATGCCTGAGATTACGGTATGCTTCGGATCAGCGGCAATTTTTGCCTATCGAACAGGTTGTGGATACGATGTTGCACGAGTAGGTCCTCTTGATGTGTACGCTGGCAAAACATTTCTGACAAAGACGTAGACTGTGTCATATTGTGCATGGGCCACATGACCGACAGTTTCACGCACTGTGGAACCAGCTTCGAGATGAGCATGAGGAGCTCGTCATGAAGGGGTACACTGGTGAAGGCTTCCTATCCCAAGGGAAACGCCTCGGCGGGAACAGAATACCGCTCGACGAAGCCCGCCGGCGAGCGCGCGCAGCTGCCGAACAACGAAAAACCTTGGCCAAGAACTCTGGCAAAAGACTCGGCGGTGCTCCCGTTCTTCGAGGTACAGACATGCGCAAGCTTCGCGCAGACGCTGCTCAACGCCGTATCGAGGTCACTAATGGATGTGCCTCGGGAACCGATCGCAGCGCAGAGCTTGCCGAGGAGGCTTCTAGGAATGGATTCAGGACAAAGGCGGAAGAGGATGATGCGAATGAACAGGCTATTCTGCAAGCCTTTATTGAACTGATCCAAGAGGAGGAGAGAGAGAAATACGGAGATTCTTATATCCCTCCGAGCCAAGAGAATCCTGCGGGTCCCAGAACGGGTGAACGATCCGAGATTGATTTGACTGGGGCGGTGGAAACCTCACAGTCAGGCTTTCCCCCAGAGCAGACGCCCGTCATGTCAAATTCAACTGCAGACAACAGCTCGTACGATTCGCCATGGACCTGTACGACTTGTACCCTCGAAAACCCACCAAATTTCCTATGCTGTGATGTGTGTGCTGCTGAACGGCCTGTTCCTTCAGTCGAAAAGCCCACCATCACGTCACGACAGGAAATCCCGGCTGTCCGTTCAAAACCAGAGCCTGAAAGATCGAAGAAACGAGTATTCCAAGTCGACGAGGCCGAAGAGAAGGATGAAGCCACACCCAAGGGCAATTTCGCTTTTAAGAACCGAACTCGAGCTTTGGACTCACTTGCTTCGATTCACCGCGATACTAGTAAACGACCACTGGGCTGGCTCTGCGACCAATGTGGGAGTTTTATGGAGAGCCAGTGGTGGACTTGCTCTTGTTGTGGAAAAATGAAGCCTTCATCTTGACCCTGGCTACCCTTGACCTGCGTATGGGAAATAGAACTCCTTATGAAAACCACGAATTAACGATCCGAGAATACACGAATTACCCTACTCTTTGTTATACTATACAATGTTCTATTGCACTTCATGTGCCCCGTACCTAGATCCACTGTACATCACGTGATGGATATGACATGACTAAGCACTAGCTCCACCACCCGATTATTTTTGCGGACTTTCGGTTCCCTCAATTCCTCTTTCCTGCATACGCGAGCTCCGCGGTTTCCAACCGACACTTTCCAGCATGGAAAGAGCCTAGTAATGTCCTAGACGCTCCATTCATGCTGGAAACTCCAAGCTATCGGTATGTCCATCTACAATTCATACTCCACGAACGAAGCGAGGGACGAGGGACAGCAAAAAGAACAACGCAAGCCGAAAAGCTTCAAATGATGAGACCTTATCAATGAACCGAATTTTTAGGAAGAGCCGGAAGAGGTATGGCAAATAGGGCCCAAAAGAGGATTCCGTTTGTCGTCGATGCTTATAATGGTTCTGCTGAAGGAGTTTTTGAGGCTTGCTGTTGCTGTTCTCTTGTCTACTCGCTGTCGTGTGGATGGGATGATGTATTGTGAGATTTTGTTACTAATGATATCTCGCTCTATAGATTTTGATTGCTTTTAGAGATGGGATATACTTGTTTATGGACGTGATTAGTGGACTTAAGGGTAGACTAGTACGAGAGGATTGGGTTGGTCACACAATAGAATTCCCATATGGATCAGAGCTATATTCAGAAACTATTCTAGTATGATACATCCCTTGATCTTTCTCTAAACTCCCAAGGATATAGAACTTTTTGTAGAACAAAACCAAACATGCAAGAATTTCCAGAAAAACAAGGTCAATAACTGACCCACAACGCCCATTGACATGCTCAGAACAATTCTCCAATCACCCCCACTAGGCGATGTTCCTGAATTGACGCTTCTTGCCAGTTCCCTTGGTCGCCTCTGCTGACGCGAAAGCCTCCTCATCGATATAATCCTTGGTGCTGTGCTCACGAATCTGGTTGCCAATGATCTGCAGTGCGGACAGGTTGAAACCCATCTCGTCCTTTTGGCGAGCCAGGACACGGCGCAGCGAGGCACGGATGCTATCCAGCATCGGGCGCATCATCTTGCTGGTCACGATCTGGCGGTGATGGGTCTTCAGCATGAAGAACAGCACGCGACAAGTAAGAGGCACGTTCCACTCGCGCTCAGCCCAGATGTTGAGGAAGGTGAAGAGCGAGGGAAGCTTGGAGAAGGGTATAACCAGGAGGGCATCTTGAAGGGCAGCGGCGGGGATCTTTTGCACGGTGCTCAGGACGTGCTGCTCAGCAGAGATGTTGCCCAGGGCGATATACGTAGGGTTGCGATCCGGAGGCGCAGCACCTGCTTTGGCGTTTCTGGCCTGCACTTTTCGCCATTCGCGCATAACCTCCAGGTCTTCCATGCCGAGATCCAGCGCTTCCATGATCTTCTCACCAGCCATCAGGGTGGTGGTAGTCTGCTTGCCGGCATCGACAGCCTCTGCCTTCTCGCCATCTTCATTATCTTCGTCGCGCTCGAGAGAGGCAGTAAGAGTGCTGTCATAGGCCTCCTCCATCTCCTTCTCACGCTCTTCCTCGAGGAACAGCTCCTCGTCGGTCTGCTTCCACACGCGGATGCTCTTGTCGTGACTAGCACTGACGATGAACTCGCCATCGTGGCTGATTGCCAGGGCCCAGATTTCTCCGTGATGGCCGCTGAGTTTCTGGATCTGCTCGAACTTGTCTCCATCCCAGTACTTGATCACGCGATCCTTGCTGGCACTGAAGAAGTTGTGACCGTTCTGTTCCCTGTTGGTGGGGACGAACGCTACTGCCATGACACTGTCCTCGTGGGCCAAGAAGGCCTTGTGGCAGTCACCAAAGTCTAGGCCCCAGAGACGAACGGTCTTATCGGCAGAGCAGGTGACAATCATTTTGCTGTCATAAGATATGTCCATGCTTAGGACCGGAAGCTTGTGACCGTAGAGGTTGAGGAAGAGTTTCAATGAGTCGACGAAGAAGACTTTGACGGTGTTGTCCAGCAAAGACACCGCCAAAAGACGTGCGTCGGGAGAGAATCGAAGACTGAGGATGTCGTCGTTGACCTTGAGCATTCTTGTGTGTACCAACTTGAGACGGGGTGTCGTGCGCTTGGTACCGGGAATCTCCTCTTGAACAACCTTGAACTCCCAGAACTTGGCTGTCTTGTCCGCACTTCCACTCACCATAGACTTGCCATCAGGGTGCACATGAAGAGACCAAACAGGACCATCATGAGCCTTGATTGTGTCGAGCAGGGTCGAAGACGCAATGTCAAAAACTTCCAACTCGCCGTTCTTGTTGCCAACCACCACAATCTTGTCACCGGGAAGGAAGGCAGAGCAGAGGGCATAACCGCACTCGAGGGTACGCAGACAGGTGCCCGTACGAACGTTCCAAATCTTGAGACTTCCATTTGATGCAGAAGCAAGCATTCGATCCTCCGAACTCAGTGCAATTGACCGAATATCTGCGCGGTGACCGGGAATGTCAACGGCGAGACTCCTAGTGTAGTCGGAATCCTCCTCATCCTTGTTCTTCTTGTTCGCCGTGACAACGCTGTAAGACTCCAACTGGTTGTTCGTCGTCGCGGCAAGAAGGCTGAGACCACCACTGGACTTGGTAGCCATCCAGTCAAAAGAGCGAACCTTTCCACCGGTTCGCACAATGACATGGGGAATGAAAACCTCAGTAACCGGGGCGGATGAAGGATCCTCGGTCTTCTCCTTCTCGGCCTCTTCGCCATCTTCCTTGCCCTCTCGCTTCGCCTCCTTCTCCTTTCTCCTCTTCAGCTTGCGAGCCATGGCCTTCTGAACTTCTGTCTGCGAACGAATACGCCAAACCTCAACCGATCTCTCTGAACCGTGGAAACCCACGTAGTCCGCACGAGGGTGGAAGCGAATGCCAGTTGTGCGATCCTTGCCATTTCTGTAGAAGGTACCACGGTCCGTGAGAATCCTCTGGCCTTCTGCGGCAACCTTCTCTCTCGAGATCTCCAGCATGACGCTCTCGTTAATCGACCAGACCTTCAGCTCGCCATCATTGCCGGCCGTAATGCAACCACCCTGGTCAGGCGACAGACCCAGACTCCAGCACTCGCCATTTGTTTGTGCCACGTGCGTCTCAATACAATGTTGCGATGCCAGATCCCACACCTTGATCAGCGAGTCTTTGCCGGTAGTCAAGAGGAAGCCGGCGTGTTCGCTGAGACCGGAGGCATTGAGGAGTTCGGTCGAGGGAAAAAGGAAGTTCAGAGAGGTAATTTGATCGGTATGTCCGCGAAGTCTGAAAATTCCGACTTCGGCAATCAGGTCCCAGAGAATGATATCGGTATCCTTGGAGCCACTGGCGAGGCGCACACCGGCATTGTCGAAAGCCAATTGGGTAACTGCAGATTTGTGACCGTTGAAAGAAATGATGATTGTGCTGGTTCTGGAGTCCCAAATACGGATACTACCATCTTCATAACTAGATAGAAGCCAAGCATAGTCAGTAGATGGACCGAATAGGTTTTGCGCTGGGGTATTTACCCGACGGCGAAGATATCTTCATCTGTCTGGCTCTGCGTGACCACCGTCACTTGTGCCCTGCAGGCAGAATCGCGCCAGCGGCCAAGCAATTCACCCTTCTTGACATCCCAGCACAAGACCTCTTCACTTGCGCCCACAATGGCACGACCGGCGCCCGTCTGGCGAGCAGCACCGGGGGTCTGCTCGTCCTTGGCCCAGATCGCATTAGACGACGCCGAGGCGATGAGCCCGAACGTCTCGGAGTGCTCAAATTTCCTAGGAGAAAACAGAGTCAGCTTTTGGATTATCACAATCCCAGGGAGTAGTACATACAAGTACGATTTCACCATCGTCGCAGGGTTGATGGGAAAATTTTTGGAGACTCCGATCTGCTATCGATAGCACAAAAATTAATACGGGCGGCGAGAGCGACCTGTCCGGCTCCCCCACCGCCCATGACGATCGCATAGGTGCCTCCCCCAACTCCCAACCTCGTGTCATTCCAACTCCATTGTGTCGCCCACCATGCTTCTCTTGGACTATCAGAACGCTTTGATCCAATCGCTCCTCACGGAGCGGTTCTCTGGGTATAATTCCCCTTGCCTAATTACCCGCCTCCTCACATAACCCCTCAATGTATACACGTCAACCCCCCTCAAGGCCCCCGAGCTAATGGTTGCCCGCAGTGCTGCCCCGGTTTCGATTGACCAAGTGGTCTCCGACTTTGATGGCGTGACCTTCCACCTTTCGACCCCCGAATCCAAGACCAAGATCCTTATCTCCATCAATGTGAAGTGTTTCAAGGAGCTCGTTCAGTACGGCGCCCAGGAGGTGCTGGAGCGCGAGTATGGACCGTACATTGTCTCGCCGGAGCCGGGCTATGATTTCTCAGTACAGATCGACCTCGAGAATCTTCCCGCAGAACAAGAAGCCAAGGACGAGCTGATCATGAAGCTTGCGCTACTGAAGCGGAACGCCATGGCAGCTCCATTCGAGCGGGCTTTCGATGAGTTCGCTAAGCTTGCGGAGGAGGCTTCGCGGTACACATCCGAGTCAGCGCCGCAAGGTGTGAAGGAGGGTGGAGATGTGATGGCTATTCATTACCGCGAGGAGGAAGCTATCTACATCAAGGCTAGCTACGACCGTGTTACCGTGATCTTCAGCACTGTGTTCCGGGAGGAGACGGATCGCATCTTCGGCAAGGTCTTCTTGCAGGTTAGTAGCGGAATTGCGATTGGAGAGGCTGCATGTTTGAACTCGGTGCTGAAATGTCATAGGAATTCGTGGACGCCCGACGCCGTGTTGTGACCCTACAGAATGCGCCCCAAGTGCTCTTCCGCAATGACCCTCCTCTCGAGCTCGAGGGTGTTCCTGGACTTAAGAACGCGGGCGAGGGCGAGATCAGCTACGTCACCTTTGGTGAGTGACGACGAGGCTTTGAGTTGTACAAGCCGAATGTACGGTGTCACTAATGATCGCGTTCTAGTGCTGTTCCCCCGACACTTGACACCCCAGCGCCGCTACGAAAACATCTCCCACATCCAGACCTTCCGTGACTACTTCCACTACCACATCAAGGCCTCTAAGGTATGGAAAGCGTATTCGATGATGTGCAGTTTCCCAACTTACATTGACTTACCTTCTATGATAGGCATACATCCACACACGAATGAGGAAGCGCACGGCGGACTTCCTTCAAGGTACGTCCATTGCATTGATCTACTTTATCATGTTGCTAATATTTCATAGTCCTCAACCGTGCCAGGCCCGAGAACGAAGAGCGCGAGCGTAAGACGGCGAGCGGCCGGACATTCCGTGTGCAGAGCTAGATTTCTTTTGGCCTTATGTTGATATCACCTGGAGGCGAGCGTTTACGAACCAGCAAAGCATTTTGATTATCCCGTCGTGCCTTTTTCCTTGGTAGTATTTCAAGCAGAATCGTATATTTGATCGGTCACTTCCTTGGACGGACCGAGATGAGATCTCAAGTGTTTGTGAGGGTTTCCCTGGTAGGCTGCTCTGAGACGGGCAGGCTATCGAGTGCTACTTCCTTCCTTTCTTGTCGCTGCTGATGCCTCATTCCTACACGAACTAGCCAGACTCGAACCTTCCTCCCTTTCCTTTCCTCTCTTGTCGTTTACCCTTCTCCTCATTCTTTTCCTCTACGACCCAACTCTTTCATCTCACACCTCATTTCCCCTGCTCCCCTGAAAGTGTAGACTGACTGCACTTTCTGTTACGATCAAACCAGAGAAGAAGAGCAAGTTCTCGGCCTGTGGGCGTACGATGAGTCCACAGAGTAAGAAGCAGTTCTGGAGCGCGTCGGCGTGGAAAGCTCGTCTGAAGCGTGGCAACAGTGCCCAGTCAACCACCAGCACCGTTGACGACTTTCTCTCCGCGCAATCCTCCATGGCCAGCAACCAGACTGGCCAGACTGACGTGGGGGAGGACCTGGTCGACGAGCAGACCGAAGTTCTCACTCGGTACTCGTCCTCGGTCTACTCAAAAGACGAGGACGGTTGCTCCATGGTCCTCCCCCGATCCGACGATAAGAAGGAGGACGTGGAGGGACACCACCTCGTGAGTTTAGCTTATCCACGTCTCTCACTTTTCTCTTATTTGCCCAATAGAAATTTTCGAAATGATACGTCGGAGCTAACTGACGTGAAGCAGATGTCGCCAAACCGACGACACTCTCGCCCGTACGCGGTGAGCAGTGGTGAGTGGGTGTTGGTGTCCACGTCCGACACTTCTCTGGGTTCAGTAGGAAGGGTCCTGTCCTTGGACGACCTGAATGAGGTGCAGCTCGCCTACTCATTTGAGGGAGTCCTCAAGGTCTTCATCAAAGTCTATGCGATGGCCAAAGTTGTGCAGGTTATCTTCCTGAACTTTGGTGCTGAGGTTAGTAGACCTTCCTCCCATTATTATAAGGCAACAAATATGTGTATGTGCCTGCATCCGCTAACGTTTCATATCCTTGATCAGCTTGACGACACTGAGACAGGCCTTTCCTATTGGATCAGTCGTGCGGAGAGAGAGGTCCGATCTGGCGAGCTTGCCATTTTGATTGAGATTGTGGAGAACCTCTTCTACGCGCTCTATTCCCGCATGATCATCGAAATGGCCGGCATCGAGCTCTGTGCTCTCTTCAAGATTGAACTGCGGCCCCCGACTGGCTCTCGACAATTCCGCCTTCCCGACCCAAACCACATGTACCGCATCTTCCTCGCCTGCAAGGACAACCTTGACAATTACAATGTCTGCGAGTTGCTTCAGGAAGGGATCGTGCACAAGTGGCAGGATGCTTTTGTTCGCCGCCTTGCGACAAAGGAGACCAAGAAAGGGTTCACCGCCGATGATATGCTAGGGTATCGTCGGTTCGCTCAGAACGTTGTCTCGGATCACCGTTCTGCATACCTGAGCAAATGGCGCTCCCTGGTCCCATTCTTCCCTTCCATTCCGAAAGAGATCCTCATCGTCATGTCCGAGAAATGGTTCACCGTTATGCCAAAGGCCACACCTCCTGACGACGTCCCCGCCTCCGAACTTCCTTTTATCAACCTCAAACTTGTCAATCCCTCGCAATGGGAGAAAGAACTCATCTTGGACCACCGGCTCGCAAGCATGGGCAAGCTAGAAGGCAGGTCAATTGGAGATGAACGTCGCGACGACCCCAAGATCCGACTCTTGTACTTGGCCAAGTGTCACAAGTGTATCTGTACATCGACCTGTCTGTGTTCCAAAGAGTGCACTCGTCACGTGGAAAGCGCCTGCCCATGCTCTGAACGATATGTACGCCTGATGACAGCTCGTCTTAGCAAAGATCCGGGCCCGTTTGATTTCTCTGCCCGTGCGAACACGGCTGCTCGCGCGTGTTGGGAGGGGCTCGCAATGCTTCGACGGGACGTTTCAGACGAGGCCTTCCTCCTCGAATGGAGCGAGGCTTTTGCAGTGTTTGAGTTGGAGATTCAGAAGGAACGTTGGGGTAAGCAGGCTTGAAGGGAGTGAATTATTTTTGTGCTGTTGTCTGCTGAGGACGAAGTTATGAGATATGCTGTTTATGAACAAAAGAGAATGATGATGACTGGACAGGATGGCGCAAATGGAGCCTTGGATGGGGATCAACATGCATTGATCACCCTAGTATCTTACTTGAAATCCAGGATCTACCGTTCTTTTTCCTACGATTCTATGACTGCCGTCCATAGATCTTAGCAGTCGGGCAACCGAGTCACCAAGTCAAGGAGAAACGTGCGGGCAAACCGTCAAGCGCGCGAGCACATCTAAATGCCTCCTCTGAGAGCCTCATCCACAACTGCAGTGACCCCACTACAGGGCACCTGGTATGTTACAACAATTCCTTTGACGGGGTTCTGATATTTTCTCAACTCTGTTGTGCAAGTATCTCATTTTAGATCTCGATGACGAGCGCTGAGCCTATCAGCAATCGCAGAGGCCCGTGGTCGTTAATGACGACTACCTGGTAGGTCTCGGAGGGAGATGAAGCTAAGCGGTCCAATTGAAATGATCGCCAGTATTCGAGAGGCTTGGATTTTGTTGAAGTAAACATAGCGTCGTTGGGGGGACTCCACCGAGGCTTGGGGCGTCACTAGATCTTGCGGTCTGCGGGGTTGTAGATTAGATACCAGATAGCCGTAGCTGGTGGAATCTGTTTACGAAATCCTCAATCAGTTCAACAAAATAACGTTTGACAGCGGTGAAAACCGGGGGCCTCGGCGGGAGTGGGTTGTCAGGTACGAAGCGGCGTTTTGTGTGTATATACTTCATGTTGTGAATGGAGTAGCCGCACTCGGCTTCTTGTGCCTCGGTCGTTTTCGGGGCTGCAATTATTGACAATAGTATATCCCCAGATATTCACTAGAGAAGAATAGCCAATTCCAGGGTGATCCTAAAAATATGCAGGAATATCTGGGAATGACCCTGGAGGAGTCATATCGCGGAGGTGGCCGCATCTTCATATGACACGCGGTACTGTGTAGAGCAGAGCACAGGCGTCGGCGCTGTAGGCCAGTGAAACTTCGCGATACCTCGATCGGCCCCGGTGAACGACGGCCTTGGTAATTTTTTCTTTCTCTGACAGAGTCATCAGTCATCTCTCTTTATCTTCCGTCATCGATCATCCATCTCCGACTTTCAATCTTCAATCCTCCCCTTCCCTGCCGGAGGCCATGACTTAACGGCCCCCTCCAGTGAACCCACCTTCCTTCATCCCTCTGGCCTTTGGTGCGCGGAGAGGCGCCCAGTCAGGGATGGTCACCACGGCAAGGGTTCCACCTTCACTCCTCTCATCATTATCATGGGCGATTAGACGGAATGCAGGAACAGCAGCCGGAGCTGGCGTGGGAGCGTCTTTACTTTTAAGTCGCAGAAACCCTTTGACCACCCCGGCTCATTCGGTTCAGGGTCTGGCCCACCGACCGACGGCACGGCGATTCCACGCGGCAGTGTGGCCCTCATACGGCGTCACGACCCCCGTCCCTGAGCGCCAGCTTCTCGGTCTCGCGCAATCTCCCTTTCGTTTCGATACGGGCTATGCCCTCTGCGCCAAACGACCTCCACGCCCGTTTCCTCCTCCTTTCTTATCGCCGCCGTCCTCGTCCTTTTCTGATCCCTTGACGACTCATTCACTTAGCCAGGATAAGAGATTATCCGTACGGGGCGAACTCGTTCGCGGTCTAAACAACGGAGATGATGCGATCATCGTTGCGGAGAACTTTCTGGGTGTGGACGACGGCGTAGGCGCCTGGGCGACAAAGCCTCATGGCCATGCTGCGTGAGTCGATCCCGTTACATGAACGCTACCTATACCTTTTGTATATGCTAACCATTAGGGCTTTTTTTTTGCTTCTTCTTCTGCAGATTATGGTCCCGTCTCCTCTTACATTTTTGGGCTCTCGAGATCGAGCGCCGAGTCTGTGCAAATGCGACCACCCTCGACCCTATCGAGTATCTCCAGACCGCATACGAAGAAACCATCCGTGCAACTACAACGCCGACTCAGTGGCTCGGCACGACAACCTCGGCCACAGCCCTCCTACACTGGACTCGCGAGAGCGACGGTACACAGAAACCTCTGCTCTACGTGACCAACTTGGGCGACTGCAAGGTGCTCGTCATCCGGCCGAGCGAAGACAAGGTTCTTTTCCGGACGACAGAGCAATGGCACTGGTTCGATTGCCCGATGCAGTTGGGCACGAATAGCGTTGACACACCGCGCAAGGATGCGGTCCTGTCCAAGGTCGCTCTGCAGGAAAATGATATTGTACTTGCGCTGTCGGACGGCGTGATGGATAACTTGTGGGAACACGAGGTGCAGAAGATCGTCCAGGATAGCTTGAAGAAATGGGATGACGGACACGTCCAACCCAATGATCAGGCCCCTTCTCCCGAGTTGACGGATGATCGCATGGTCTACGTAGCGAGGGAGCTGCTGAATGCGGCTCTAAACATTGCTCGGGATCCTTTCGCGGAGAGTCCGTATATGGAGAAGGCGATAGATGAGGGTATTGCCATTGAAGGTGGTGAGTTTTATACTTGAGAGTTCATATGCTTAAGGGTTGTATACTGATCGTGCATAGGCAAAATGGACGATATTTCCGTTGTGGTTGCGTCTTGTCAGAGGCGCGTAGGATGATCAGCATGATTATGACCATCAATCGACAATCACATAGTCTCACTGGAGACCTGGAAAGTCAGAGCATGACCAACGGGCACAGAAAGATGTCTGAACGCGTGGTCTGGGACTTGACCTGTACTTGGTGGTTCCACTCCCAACCGCTCAAGAGACGGGCGACAGTTCCATTACATACCCGGATTCCAGGATCTCAAATACAGCTGTATTGACGTTCCAAGCCTACCATCCTTGGGCTCGTCTCAATCTACGATTAGACTTGGATCCCGACCTGCCCTAACCGGGGGAACGTGGCCATGGTCAGACTGTCCACAGATGGACACGACATACATATATTGAAGGGGCATACACAGAAAGCTTGCACCCTCAACCTTACGACTCTACGAATCATTAATCTACTTAATTGCGAGTGGGCGGTGTTGATGGAACTGCGGAGGCTTTTTTACTTCTTTTTGCATAGAACAAGGTGTACCTTGGCTTTCGGATTTATTTCATATCTCAATTTCTCTAGAATTCCGCAGACAGGTAGTTTAATAATCCCATAAACGGAATGACGCCCAAAATCTGCATTATAGAAGAGCTAGAATCTCGTAGACCCATAGGCTGCAGCTTCTTATACTGTAGTCCTCCGCAGACCCCACACCGCCTTGGCCGCCGCCCGGCAAAATGAAAAAAGTTTCGTCGTTACCGCAGCGCAGTAACCTTCGGGACCTATCGACTTCAACATTCAATTCCTCGACCCCCACCTTGCACAATGAGGGCCAAACGTTCAAAGAAGTATCGCAAGCTTATGCACCAGTATGAGCTCACATTCGGTTTCCGTGAGGCATACCAAGTCCTCGGTACGTCCTGTCTTTCAATGCTGTCGGCGAGATCAATATGCTAACTTCCAGATGAATAGTGGACTCGAATTTCCTGCAGCAGGTGCACAATTTCAAGATGGACTTGCTACCTGCCCTGGAGCGGACAGTGCAAGGCAAGGTTAAGCCACGTTAGTACCGCCCCTTGAGCTCGATCTTGTGACCATCTATTGCATAATCAATCTGCATCGGGAAGCATCCAACTAACGAAACTTAATCTAGTTTTGACCAAATGCTCTCTCGCTGCTATTACCGCTGCTCAGCCTATCAACCCCAAAACCGGCAAGCCCTTCCGTCCCTATCACCTCCCCCCGCCAACCATTCTGCCCCTCCGCCACTGCTCGCACAACCCCGAGTCAGAGCCCATCGACGAGGTCGACTGCCTTCTCTCTCTGCTCTCTCCAAACGCAGAGGTCAAAAAGAACAAGGAGCATTACATTCTTGCAACCGCAGACCCGGCCGTTAAGAAGTCAGACAACAACAATGACAACCAGCAGCGCAAGCGCAAGCGCGACGAAGAGCGTGAGGAGGAACAAGCTTTGCGTCGTGCCCGCAACCTGCGCGTTCGTGCGCGCTCTATTCCCGGTGTGCCGATTATCTACGTCAAGCGTTCCGTCATGGTCCTGGAGCCGATGAGTACGCCATCTGAGAACGTGCGCGAGGGCGTGGAGAGGGACAAGTTCCGCGTGGGCCTGCCCGAGCCTCAACCCAAGCCGGATGAAGCCGCGGAAGGTGCGGCGAAGAAGAAGATCCCCGGATTGAAGAAAGCCAAGGGGCCGAACCCGCTCAGCATGAAGAAACCGAAGAAGCGTGCCGCGGAGTCGGGCCCGGCAAAGACGCCTAAGAACAGTGATGCTACGCAAGCGTCAAAGGCGAATGTGGCAGGCGATCAGCCTGATGGCGAGGAGGGCGGTGCTCCTAAGACCAAGAGGAGACGGCGACACCACAAGAGTGGTCCCCGTGAGGAGAATGAGGATGGTGCGCCCTCAACGGAGGCTGGTCAAGCTATGGAGGTTGACGCATGATCCTTTTTCTCTTGGCTGTTGTTGCATTCTATCATCCACGGCATGGCGTTTAGGCAGGGTATCTATAAAAGTTCAATATCAACATCTGTAGCTAGTCTTATGTGAGGAGTGTATTTATGTATGCCGAGTCTCGGACTCATTCATATCTATATCGATCCTAGACTTGTCTTGAAATCCGGTATGACTAAGGAACTGGTGTTCTCGCTGAAGTATAGAATTGCACCAAAAAGACAGGGTTCGATAGCCCGTAGTATATACATTCAACCCATAAATATCGTACAAAGTTCTCTTTGCGGAGAATCACACATCAGCAGTGTGAGAAGAGAGGAGGAATAGGGCTATTATCATAGCCCAAACGAAAAGCAGCACGCCAAACTCCAATCCAAGCTCAAAGAATAATCGTCACACACCACGATGCAAAATCACTGCTTAGCAGCACCCGAGTTCTCTGCACCGGCATTCTGAGCAGGCTGATCCAAGGCCCGCTCTTTAGCCCAGATCTCCTCAATGCGCCGGCGGTTATTGCGCGCATTATCGCGGTTGTTCTTCGCCCGGTCGTACCGTTCCACAGACAGGCATTTGTTCACTTCGCGCTTGATATCATTGCAGTTGCCCAGGGCTTTGTAGATGAATCCTCGGGCGTGGCATTCGTCGAGAGCGGTCATGATCTCCTCGCAGTCTATAGAGCGTTTGCAATTAGCACAGATCGTATGAGGCCGGCGTCCTACGGGGCCGTGGTTATGTCTTGGGATCGAGGGTCTGACATACTGATGTTGTATGGGGTATGAAGATGGGAATGCATAGTGACGGTTTATCAAATATATGACCGAATCGAAACAACTTGGAAGTCTGAAATCACAATGGCAAGTCTTCAAGAGTCAAGTCTCCAGTGCATATGAACGGACGACCACAAATTCCCCGGGCGGTGAGTCGGTCCCACACTTCTGCCGGGCGGAACGCCCCTCCCAGACACACCGATAAAAAAAATATCTCCGATAAAAAAAAAGAGGTACGGTGGTGCTTTTGGTGATTGTCATTCACAATGTCTTCGATGATCACGGCTACAGCATGGGTGCGGCGAGGTGTCGCTGCCCAGTTCCCTACTAAATATGAGATTGACGAGGAGGAGATGAACCGGATATCCAAGCTTGCCCGCATGCAGCTTGAGGAGGCCCAGGACGATCTGAGTGCCGCCAAGGCGGGCAAGATGGATGATGGTGAGGATGATGCTGCCATGGAGGAGGACTCGAAGGAGGCCGATGCTATGGAGGAGGAGGGTGAGAAGGATACTGCCAAAGATGGAAACGAGACTAAGGTTACAGAGTATGTGTTTGGACGATAAGATGGGAGCGAGGACATTGGGCTAATACGCTGGTATAGTGACGATGATGTCCTGAAGGAGTTTGATATGGATCACTACGATAGCGATGATGTCGACGAGGAGGGCGAGAAGGTCACCAGATTCGGCAATGTTCAGTCGCTGGCTTACCACCAGCCCAACGAGGCCGACCCGTACCTTGTCATTCCCGAGGACGAGGATGATGAGGACCGCGAAGAACTCCAGATTCTGCCTACCGATAACCTACTCCTTGCCGGAAAGGTCGAGGATGAGGTTGCCCATCTCGAGGTCTATGTCTACGAGGACCACGCCGACAATCTCTACGTTCACCACGACATCATGCTTCCCGGCATTCCTCTCTGCGTGGAGTGGCTCGATATCCCCGTTGGCAAGGGCAGCGAAGGACGGGAAACTGGAAACTTTGTTGCCGTCGGTACAATGGAGCCTGACATTGAGATCTGGGATCTGGATGTCGTGGACAGCATGTACCCCAACGCTATCCTTGGACAGGGCGGCCAAGATGCCGCCAATGCTGCCCCGTCCAAGAAGAAGTCGAAGAAGAAGTCCAAGGCGAACGACGAGTACCACATTGATTCCGTCCTGGCACTGGCTGCCAACCGTCAGCACCGTAACTTGCTTGCGTCCGCTTCTGCTGACCGCACTGTCAAGCTGTGGGACCTGACCACCACCAGCTGCGCCAAGTCCTACTCTCACCACACCGACAAGGTCTGCTCGCTCGACTGGCACCCCAAGGAGTCTACCATCCTTCTCAGCGGTTCCTATGATCGCACCGTCGTGGCCGCGGATATGCGTGCCCCCGACTCTACCGCCCGCTGGGGTGTTGACACCGATGTTGAGAACGTTCGCTGGGACCCTCATGACCCCAACTACTTCTACGTCACCACCGACGGCGGTATGGTCTACCGTTACGATGTCCGTAATGTCCCCGCCACCCCGGCCGAGTCCAAGCCCGTCTGGTCGCTCCAGGCTCACGACTCTTCCGTTTCGGCTTTCGATATCAACCGCACCATCCCCGGCTTCCTGGTCACCGGTTCTACGGATAAGGAGGTCAAGCTATGGAACGTCGAGAACGACAAGCCCAGCCTTGTTGTCTCCCGCAAGCTCGACGTCGGCAAGGTCTTCTCGGCTGGTTTCGCTCCCGATGCCGAGGTTAGCTTCCGCCTGGCCGTTGCTGGTAGCAAGGGTACCGTGCAGATCTGGGATGCGTCTACCAACGGAGCTGTGCGCCGCACTTTTGTCTCTCGCATGCCTGATCTGGCTGGTGATGTGCCCGAGCGCATTACCGGTATCGGCGCTGACGATGAGGAGTCGGATGATGAGGGTGCTGAGGAGGGTGGTGATGCTGGCCCGGCTGATGGCCCTGATGGCTGGGAGTCTATGGATGAGGATTAGATGATCCCGATGAGGATGACAGATACCCGTGGAGTCATGTCTTGATGTACGAAAAAATAGATCTCTTATGTCACTTACCTTTTTACCTTTACCACATATTCATACTTATGACGTTCTGAATCGAAGTGTGCATTCCCCCACCAACACCACAAATCGCAGACTTAAGTTCCCAAAAAAATGAAAGTAAAATTCTAATTGAATCTAGATCTAACACCGAATCTATGCTCGTGAAATCCCATAACTCCAGAACCCAAAATATTAAGATGATCACGCAGCCTCCTGGGCGTGGACCAAAGTCGTCAAATCGAGCAGGCGGTTCGAGTATCCCCATTCATTATCGTACCAAGCCATAATTTTGAAGAACTATAAACAACTGTATCAGCAAGCTGTTATCATTGTAGGAGTAAAGTGATTCTTACCTGGGGGTTCAGCTCTGCACACGCAGGAGCATCGATGACTGCGCTGTAGGGGCTGCCGTTGTAGTCGGCGCTGACGAGCTCCTCGTCGGTGACGCGAAGGATGCCAGCCATGTCGGACTTGGCAGCCACGCGGAATGCAGAGATGATTTCTGCAAGGGAGGTGGGCTTCTCGGTGCTGATGGTGAGGTCGATCATGGAGACATTGGGTCTGATATGTGTTAGTCTTTTATACTTGAGGTTATGAGAGATTCGATGTGTGAATGCTTACGTTGGGACACGGATGGAAACACCAGTCACCTTGCCCTTCAAGTCAGGGAGAACGGCAGCGACTGCCTTGGCAGCACCGGTGGTAGTAGGAATGATGTTGTTGAAGACGCCGCGGCCTGTATGTAGAGTTGTGATGTTAGTTGTGTGTGGTAATCCCCAGGTATAGTAATGATGTTCATACCTAGACGACGGTTCTTCTTGCTATATCCATCCAACACTTGTTGAGAGCGAGTGGCAGCATGGATAGTAGTCAAGAAACCCTGTGAGATACCAAAGGTCTCGTGTAGCACCTTCAAGACAGGAGTGACACAGTTGGTTGTGCAGCTAGCATTGGACACGACACGGCACTCCTCTCCAGAAGTATACAAGTCCGAGTTGACACCGTAGACGAAAGTAGGCGAGTCCGAGCTAGGCGCAGAGATGAGCACACGCTTAGCGGAACCATAGGTGATGTGATCCATAGCGAGGTCGCGCTTGGTGAATTTGCCAGTGCACTCGAGGACATAGTCCACACCCAGGGCAGCCCAGTTGAGCTTCTTCAAGTCACGCTCGGAGGTGAGTGCGATTCTTCGGCCGTCGATGGTGATGAGGCTATCGGAGACGATCTGAATATCGGTTCGCTCGTCGAGATCACCCATAGAGGAATCATAGCGAATAAGGTAGATGAGGTCTTCGACGGTAACGCAGGTGTGGTTGATGGCAACGACTTGGATGTCAGAGCGGACTAGGGCAGCACGGAGGACATTGCGGCCTAAGCAAGTGAAATTGCGTGAGTATGAGTGTGAATCAAAGACTTGCAGCTATGCAGGTCACCGACCAATACGACCGAAGCCATTGATGCCGACTTGACAGGCCGAGACTGAGACAGGCTGGCTGATGGAGACGTCGTTGATAGAGGGAGCCATGTCAGGATTATGTTTATCTGGAATGAAAGATAGAAGGTTGAGTAATTGAATTTATTCCACTTGATACAAACTAAAATCTAAATAGAGATTTCCACCAAAAACGTGGGATATCAGGATCTATAAGTATACAAATTCTCGTCCTGCCCTGCTTCATTTGCCGCGTATGCCATGTAGAACTATAGATAGCGAAGTAACCCGAGACTTCCCGCGTCCACCACGGATCTTACATCGGCTTGCATCAAGTCCGCCAGCAATAATATACGCAGCTCCATTGAAGCTATCCACTCTTGCAAGCCATACCATCAACCGAAGCATCCCCTCGGCGATACACTCGTCGGATACACGGAGGACCCAATGCCCACCTCAACCAATAAAAGTCTCCCTTCCCGCCGAAAGTCCCGCGCCCACGACCCGATTCCAGCGGAGGAGACCACCTCCGCCGAGTCTTCATGACGCAAAACCTCTGTATGGTCCGGCTATGCTTCAAGTTTCCACTGGGGCTGGGCTTGACTCCGGGGTAAAAGTACCGATAAACGGAGGAATCCATGAGGGTGGACGCTGCGCATTGCCATTGGCTCCAGTCTCCGGGGGTTTGATAACTGTTACTCAATCGCGCTAGGGTCCACGGCTCGCGTTCACGGCAGGATTTAGTCGCGGCGTAAGTGGCCTATACCTGTCTTGTGATTTGCGGAATAAACCTACTCCCGGCCTTCTCTTCCTCCGCATCGGCGTGCCGACGTGGCTTCGGCCCCCCTGCCAAGGTGCCGATTTCCGCCGATCGCTGGGAAGTGAATAGATCTAGAATTTGTAGTTAGAGGGATTCAGTTCAATCTTGGGCATTGCAATGTTTGAAGATAGAACTGGTAATTTACTAAGACCTAGGGCAATTTCTAAGATAGACAGATGGATAGGTCGAGAGCTTGGATGTATACTGAATTTTATTTAGTCCTCGGGTTAGTCAAGCTAACTAATTCTTCAATATCCAAGCAAGTCTTGTATCAAAAATGTCCGAGCTTTTCAATCACGATAATTGAAGGGATCTTAGCCTAGGCATCTCAAGAATGAAGCCAAGTTATCTCTCCCCGTCATGTACTGATTGGCGCCCAACGCCGTTCTGGGGCCCGTTTGTCTATCAATAGACCCAGTACGGCAGAATTTGCACGGGTCCCACTTGATCGAGTTCCAAAAAGTGCCACTTATGAGACTCCAGGCCCTTTGAAGTCGTATTTGTGGCTTAGCCTTTAACCAGCTTTACAGCCAATTGTCTCCATACCTTCATTTTTTCAAGACAACTGAACGAAAATTTCCAGGAAGAAAAATCTATCTCGCAGCTGATCCGTCAGAGTCAGCGCAATTGATGACACATTTTTTCCAATTCAAAGGCTATCTACAGATGCCTCATATTAACATAAACGAGAATTTGCCGGGCAATTGTGGTTCTTAGATTCTATGTTTGAGAAAATTGACATGGTTGGAAAAGAGGGCTCAGCCGTGAAGCCCGTGGCCGTGCCAGGTCTATCTATATACAAGTAGCACAAAGAGCTATCGACTGTCAACTGCTAACGTATTCAAGCATTCTCCTTCATCTCAACCGAAGTACCATCACTTTTCTCATTTTGAGCCATAAAGTCCGCCTCGGTCACCTCGCCTTGCGGCAAATGGCGCGCCATGGAGACAATCTCCCAGGGCGAGGATGCATCGCGGAAGACATGGTTGAGCAACTCGAGGTTCCGGTTCATCGTCTCCGGATAGAAGAAGTATACAAGGACCGGGATACATGCTGACAGAATTGCATACATGATATAGTACCGGTATCCAATTGTATCCAACGCAACGGGGGTCACCATCACGACGACAAAGTTCCACAACCAGTGGTTTGCTGTCGAGATCGATGCCATGGCGACTCGTAGGCGCACCGGTGCAACTTCGGTACAGTATAGGAAGTTTCCTCCAAGGAAACCGATTGGGTAGAATAGGTTGAAGAGGAAGATGAAAGTCGCGGATGCAATGGAAGCGTGTTTATTATCGGATGGGAAGCTGGTCGTAACGGCCATTGCCGCCATGCATACAGCCATGCCAGTGCCACTAATCATAAACAGTGCACGTCGGCCTAAGCGATCGATTGCAAAGAAAGAGATAAAACAGCAAAGGAACTTCCAAGTGAGGGCACACGCAGCGAGGATCTTGGAAAGGCTGTTGCTCATGTGCAGGTTCGATTCGAAGATGGTTGATGCGTAGACTGAGATGAGATTGCCTCCGCACATTTGTTGGAAGAATTGAAGCACAATGCACAAGCCAAATCGGTAAAGTAGACGCTCTTCATCGTCTTTAGAGAACATCTCTCGGATAACACCCTTTGATTGAGCGGTGGCCTCGAGAGATAACTCAATGCCAGAAATTTCAGACTTGATTGCTTCATCGTCAAGACTTAATCCCTTGTATGCAGCGAGACTGGCAGATGCTTCATCTACTCGGTTGACTCGAACCAGCCAACGAGGTGACTCTGGCATGAAGAAGACTGAAGCCAGGATCACTAAGGATGGGAAAAAGGAGATAGCAAGAGGACCACGCCATTGTCCGGTTGTCTGATGGGGGAGCCTGCTGAATCCGAAGTCGATCCAATTGCAAAGGGCATATCCCAAACACATGAAGATACCGTCAGCAATAACATGCTGGCCACGATTTTTGGCAGCAGAACACTCGGACTGCCAAACAGGTACTGCCACGCTGAATTGTCCAACGCCCATACCCAGTATGATACGTCCAACCGTAAATTGGATCAAGGAGTAGGCAGACACCTGCAGCAATTGACCGATGATGGTCAAGATCGCTCCGATGAAGATGGTCTTACGACGACCGAGACGTTCAGAAATATATGTGCAAGAGAGAGCGCCCATAAGAGCTCCAATCTGGAAGGCAGCAATCACTGCGCCCTTGCCGGTGGAATTCTTCGCTTTAACAGCGCCATGGGTATTGACGGTATCGATCTGAGGGAAGACCTTCACCCAACTCTGAAGAGTGGCCAGAGGACCGGCGCCAGCCTGGTTATAACCGAAGATAATAAAAGCAGGAGCAACGACGAGGATGACCTGGGCCATACGCAAGGCCCGCCCAGATAGGCTGGAACTATGTTTGTCCATAGCGATGGGAATTGAGTCCAGCTCTGTTATGAATTATGAAATAGAAGTGGAAGCTGATGATTTCAACGATGGACCAGGCTGGCTGGTTATATAGATCCCTGGGACAATTGCACCATCCCCAATTGTCGCTGGTCTCTTCCTGTCGGCACTTGGGGTTGGCATGGGGACCCCATAAAACTGGGGAAAGCGGACGTTTTCATCCCCGCAATGTATGGGGATGAGCTGGGTAGAGGAGGCAAATGATTCCATTCCCTAGCAAATTTTGCCCCTGTGTAGCGGACTGCGAGTTCGGTTGGTGCTATCTGGGGTGCCCCGTGGAGCCGTGGTCCACTTCCTTCGGAGAAGGCAATGTCCGAGGGCTTTCTCCATCAGGGGAATGACAATGCAACCACGGTATGGCATGAGGGTATGAACTTAATGACGTTTCTTGCTCTGATTTCTGTGCACGACCTGATTCCAGGACGCATGCCCAGCTTGTTCCTTGCATGATGTACTTGGCGAAAACAAGCATTATCATGGACTAGTCGCAAAGGCGTATAATTTTAAACTAAGTTTCCAGTAATGCTTAATCAGTTCCTTAAAAGTCTTAAATTTACTCCCTACTCACTAAGAATGTTTGTTTATTCCGACGTGTGAAAGCCATTATTTTCAAAAATGTTCATTTTCATTCAACGTTAATACATGCATATTCTAAAATTCTGATAAATCACAAAAGTCCCAAGCACCAAAATTCTTTATTTAGATCCAAGCTTCTTAATCTCAGCAACGACAGCATCAGTGACCTCCTTGGTTGTGGCCTGGCCACCGAGGTCACGGGTGAGGACACCCTGCTCGCAGACATTTTCGACACAGTCGAGCAGCTTCTTGGAGGCATCCTCCTCGCCCAACCATGCGAGCATCTCAGCGGCCGTCCAGAAAGTAGCGACGGGGTTAGAGATACCCATGCCAGTGATGTCGAAGGCAGAGCCGTGGATAGGCTCGAACATGCTGGGGTACTGGCGAGTAGGGTCGAGGTTGGAGGTAGGGGCGATACCGATGGAACCGGCCAGGGCAGCGGCCAAATCGGACAGAATATCAGCGTGCTAATGTAGTTAGTTAGCTAAATAAACCAAGTATACAGGATTTAGATGCACTTACCAGGTTGGTGGCCACGATGGTATCCAGAGTCTCGGGCTTCAGGACCATACGAGTAGTCATAGCATCAACCAACATCTTGTCAACAGTAACATCAGGGAAATCCTCAGCAACAGCCTTGGCGACTTCATCCCAGAGAACCATTCCGTTGCGCTGAGCATTGCTCTTAGTGACAACGGTCAAAAGCTTGCGAGGACGCTTCTGGGCAGTCTCAAAGGCGAAGCGCATGATTCTCTCAACACCGTGACGAGAGAAAATGGAGACCTCGGTTGCGACCTCCCAAGGCTTGCCGGTGTGAGATCGACCACCCTGACCGGCGTATTCACCCTCGCTGTTCTCGCGGATGATAACCCAGTCAAGGTCGCCGTCCTTGCACTTGCGCAGCGGCGACTCGGTACCGCGGAACACGCGGGTAGGGCGCACGTTGGCATATTGTTGGAAGGGCTGGCAAATAGCCAGACGGAGACCCCAGAGAGAAATGTGATCGGGGACGTCTAGTATGAAGCGTTAGCAGAGTTTTTGAAGATCTAGATATTTCTGGGGACTTACCAGGAGCGCCGACGGCACCGAAGAAGATAGCGTCGTGCTTCTTCAGCTCCTCAAGACCGCCATCGGGAATGTATTTGCCAGTCTTCTTGTAGGTCTCAGAGCTCCAGTCATAGTTCTTGAACTCGAGCTTAAAAGTCTTGAGGGTATCGGTAAGGGCGTTCAAAGCAGTGATACCAGCCTCGATAACCTCGGGACCAATTCCATCAGCGGGGATAGAAGCGATGCTATAGGTCTTGTCGGAAACAACGGAGGGAGACATTGTGAATGCTTGTTCAGGATGGTTATCTTGTTTGACAAGGATGAAGTTAGATTTGGAGGAGGGGTAAAGGATTAAGTATATGCGGGGGATTTTAAGGTCGCTTTCGCCAACACACCGAATCAGACTTGATTTGGTTCTTCAATGGAGAATTGGAGATCGAGGCCCCTCATCGCGAATGTTTTTGGCCAATAGGCCTTGTCAAACTGCTTCTCGGAGGTTTCAATTGCCGGAAAGTTGAATGGTTCGTCGCAACATGGTCGGGTTCTCAATGTCCGGGTGGAAAAACTCAAATACATCGGAGAAAGACATGTCCGGTCGAAGCGGATGCATTGGTTCTACCGGGATTGGAGTATAGGATGGAATCAAAGTCTAATGGGAAAATAATCATTATATGTCTTGTACACTTGCAAACTTTCTTGAAGCAAGTTGAACGTTGCACCTAGCTGCTAGATTGGATCGCTTCTGGTCAGTCTAAGTTCATCAACATCTCAACTGATCTCATCTCAAACATTTGACCAGCTCTCCTTCATACAACCACCAAGCACCCGAGCCTGGTCCTCGCCACAATGGCACCCTCAAAAATCCCGGAAACAGAGATTGACAGAGTCCTATCTTATGTTCAACCCTTCATAAGCCAACACCTCGATGCGCAATCATCCATACCAACCAAACGCCCCTTCGTCCTTGGCCTAACCGGCCTCCAAGGAAGCGGCAAGTCTACATGGACAGATGCACTTGTGACAGCTTTACAGCAAAAATTCAACTATACCACTATCAATATCTCTCTGGATGATCTATATCTCGACCACGACGAACTTGTCAATCTTCGCACCAATAATCCATCTAATCAACTCCTGCAAGCACGAGGACAACCTGGGACACATGATATTGCCCTTTCACTTGGCTTTTTTGAGAGTTTGAAGAATTCTTCTGAAGATACTTTGATTCCATCTTTTGATAAGAGTCTGTTCAATGGTGAAGGTGGCAGAGCGCCGCATGAGTCTTGGCGACGTGTCCCTGCAGGCACGAGGGTTGATGTTGTCGTGTTTGAAGGGTGGTGTGTCGGATTTCAACCCTTGACAGACGAAGTCATCCAAGAGCGCTGGAATAAAGAGCTACAAGCTCAGACGACGAAGTATCCGACTCAGACATTGAAGGACCATGCAATTGAGCATTTGTTGGAGGTGAACAGCAACTTACGACGATATTGTGAGATGTTCGTGGGACCGCAACACTTTGACTACCTGATTCACCTTGATACAGATGATTTGGTGAATGTGTACGAGTGGCGTATCCAGCAAGAGCATGCGCTTTGGCAGGTGAAGAATCAGGGTATGAATGATGATGAGGTTGTCAGGTTCGTCAAGGGGTATATGCCTGCGTATGAGCTATATCTTGATCAATTGCGAGGCGGCTTCTTCAAAGCCCATGAGGGCGGCAAGGAGAAGGGACAATTGAGTGTGATACTAGACAAGGAGCGGAAGATTGTGAAAACGGCGGATATCTCATAGGTGGTTTGTAAGAATACACGGATGTTATTAGAAATAACCGCTCCACGCAATTATTCTGCGAGACCAATCCGGAACGGGGTCTGGGGCCTGCAGACGGCTTATAATCAACCAATCAGTGGGAAAAGTCTTAAACCAGACACCCTCAATAAGTTAGTGGAGGTCACGTGGTGAGTGGTGACATGCCGAGTTGAATCCGTAGCTCGATATTGGTCTTGCAGCCGTCCCTGGCATTTGCTTTGCTTGATAGTGAGCATGATCGACATGACTACGGACTATTGGGTTCACTTCTCCAAAACCCTTACTTAGTTAGCCATTTTCAAACCGGCAGAATCTCGATTTTACCACAGGAAAATGATTGAAATTAATTTAGATTAACTTGACTAATTAGATTAGTAGAACTAAAATCTAATATAATCTATAACTTATTAATCTAGGTATAACTCAAGGCCAATCTCAGTACCAATCTCAAGACTGATCTTATTATTAAACCGGCCACGTTAGTATATGATACTAGTAAATAATGATTCTTCATTGACGAGCTTATAGTAACTTAGATAAATATCTGTGAGATTTATAAGATAACCTCCGTAGTTAGTTATACGTCAAGAATATTGAGTTCGAGCGTATCGGGCGGTGGAATAAGCGGTGAGGGCACTTGTTAGGATTTAGTGAAGTGAACCCAATAGTCCGCCTCCGCCGTACATGACCTCGCATGAAGCCGTCAGATAGCTTATGATCTAAGGTATCACACTTAGTGTCAATTGAAAGTTGATAAGAATGTGATGATACACACCCGCCCACCATGGCATCCCCATCTTCAGTCAGTACTCGTCTCGAGGAAAACGAGTCGGACTGGCAATATGGACTTCGCTCAGCAAAGCGCCGAAGAAGGGCTTCTACCGCGGGGGCCTCAAGACCTTCACCCCGCGAAATTGGATTCATGAGAGAACCTCAAAGCGAAGGCTCCGCCAGCTTTCTTGGCAGCTCCAGTGGAATTCATTTCATCCGGCACGTCTACAACGCCTTTGCTCGGCGATCGGCAGACCTGCAGCAGAATCGAACTCGCGATAAGAGCTCTGTCCCCGGCGAAGATGACCGGTTACGACGAGGAGGCGAAAGCGCCCACGAAGTTGACGCCTTTTGGCTACCAGAGGAATTGAACTTTGCTCCAACTGCCTTGTTCACTTTCGAGGACCTTGTCAATTGGACGCGTCGATATTTCGAGAATTGGCATCCCTGTTTTCCGTGTCTTCATGCGCCGACTGTTTTGCAAGCTATGGAAAGACTTGCCCGTCAAGGGCCTGAGGCTATTAGCCGCTTGGATCTGATCATCATCCGTTCTCTAATCTCGATTTCGCTCGGGGATGAACGCCAAGCGAAATCCACTGTATCGGAGAAAGAGCCAATTCCTGCAGTACTTGTCTTTCAAAATGTTCAGCATGTTATGCAAGAAATTCAAAGCCTGCTTGCAGAGCCAACAACCCTTCCCCTGCTTCAAGCAGCTTTTACGGCCCAGTTGGCTCTCACTTCACTTTTGCGGCTGAATGCAGCCTCTCGTGTAGGAGGTGTCATCACTCGCACGGCTTTCCATTTGGGCCTGCACCGTTGCCCGGGTCGGTTTTCTTGTTTTAGCAACGAGGAAATTGGCATCCGAAGGCGCCTATTCTGGTCTATCTATTCCCTGGAAAGATATCTCTCTCAGGCCCTCGGCATTCCTCTTGGCATACGAGACGATGATATCGATGTGTGCTATCCAGACGCTGAAAGACATGTCACGCCAAACCCTACAACACCTAATGATCCACGCCTACGTCTGCTCTGTCATCTTGCCAAGTTTGCCAGGATACGAGGTCTGATACTGGAGCTTCGCAACAAATCTATCCTGCATAGCCATGCCGGCGCACTGGAAGCTTCCCATGTCAACGGTGAACTTTCCCAGTGGTGGAACGAAGTCTACGACGATGTCAATCCGATCGAGGATTCTGCAGACCCCGAATCAGAAGCAAGCGCCACGCTAACGCCGTATCATCGGTTATTGTTGATGATCCTCAGACATGAGGCAATCATTGCGATGAATCGGCCCCTACTTGCTGCAGAGAAGCCCAACCCTGATTACAAACATGCTCTGCAAACATGTATTGCTTCGTCCCGATCCTTGCTAGCTGCATTGAGGAAGTATATGTCTTCTGAATCATATGTACCACTCACCTGGCCATCGTTCACCTGGACGACATGGATGGCCTGTCTCATCTTGATGTACGCCTCGTGGGAGGGTGAATTACCCGTCTCCACGGCATTGAAGTACGCTAAAATGGCTGTGCATGTTTTGGAAAATCTTGCATTGCGTGGTAGTAGCTGGCCAGAAACGTGCATTGAGGCAATCAAGAGCATGGAATCGGCTCTGTCAACGAACATACCCGGCAACAATCCACAGGCGATCCCTGCTGGCCCTCCCGGTTCAGCAGGAGGCGCAAATATCAATCAGGTTTCCCAAGAGAGGAGTACTCCAACTGGTGAAAATGGCCTCCTTGATCGAAATCAGAGGCGCCTTTCGAGTCGAGTAAACCCCACGTCGGTCCCGTATGATCATTATGATTCGACCATCTTTTCCACACCCAGGAATCCTGGAAATGATATCAACGACCCTTCAAATGATGAGCAAATGCTAAATGCGCAAAATTCGGCTGGTCTGATCTTTGGAAATTTGGTCAACAATACTGCACCCTTCTATCCCGGGATCGCAGGCCAGGACCCATTACCTTTTTCAGACCCATCCTCGCTGTTCATGAATGATTTATGGAGTGTGGCTGATGGTCCGTGGATGATTCATGGGAACTTTCTGTAAATTTATCTTCAGTTTGTTATTTCTAGTAACATCCGTGTATTCTTACAACCACAAACTACGGCGGACGATAGAGGGGACTTCCCCAAAACCCTTGGTTAGCGATTTTCAAACCGGAAGAATCTCGATTTCAGGTATTCTTTATCCCATATAATCTATACATTTCCTATATCCCCTATAGAAAAGCGATTTTACTAGCTATAGGCAACCGATTAAAATAGATTTAAATCATTACTTAAGATGAAATTTAAACATAATCTACAATCTCATAGCTAATCTCAAGACTAGTCAATCTTATTATTAAACCGGCCACGTTAGTATATAATACTAGTAAATAATGATTCTTTCTTAACGAGCTTACAGTAACTCAGATAAATATCTATATGATTTATAAGATAACCTCCATAGTTAAACGTTAAGAATATTTAGTTAGAGCGTATAGGGCAGTAGAATAATCGGTGAAGGTACTTAGTAGGATTTCGGGATTTTGGGGAAGTAAACCTAATAGTCCACCGTAGTCATATCAATCATACTCACTATCAGGTAAGCAAATACCAGGGACGGCTACAAGACCAATCTCGAGCCACGGGCTTAATTTGGCATGTCACCACACACCACGTGACCTCAACTAACTAACTTTAACTCCGGAGGTTTCTTTGTCCGGCGACATCCCGAGATTATCCCACATCTCGAATCGACAAAGATCGGAGAAATAGTGCGGGTGGTATCAAATTCGCGCTCACTATAAACTAAGATTTACTTATCTCTTTGATTCGTCACGTTTTGATTCAACAATCTGGAGGATATGCGGTCTAAGCGAACTCGCGCATCTGATGCAATCATGCCTGGTAACCACGAGGCCTAGTTGAAGCAACCACTTACAGTATAGATCTGCTAATATACCCCAGAAAACGAGCATTTGAGCTCTATCTCATGCGAACCATGCAGACAGAGAAAATGCAAGGTTGGTTTGCATACTGAGACATTGAGATATCGCTAATCTAGGCATAGTGTGACCGGAAACTGTATGGACTACATGACTACATTTCATGAGTGAATGTGGTGACAAGTGAATTGACATTTCATTTGATAGCCCCTACTGTGCGCAGTGCTCAAACGAGCCATCAAAATGCATATATCCTGAAAGTGGCAAAAGGTACCTATATTGATTGAAGTTGCGAGATGGTCTGGACAGGCGGCGACTAATCTACCTACGCAGGGGCCTTCCTCTTGGATACTTGAACCAACTAGAACAAAGACTGTCCGAGACCGAGGCTGCCCTCTACAGCGCCCTCGTTACCTTGCGAGCGATGCGACCGACGACTATGGTGCACGCATCGATAAATCCAGACTCGGCACAGAAACAAAAAGCTGCACGAATGGATGAATGGAACCAGCTACCACTCCGCGGATGGTCCGATATGGAGCACTGGCTCGCGGGCATGTCGCACCAGTTCGCGATCGAGCAACCACAAACTCCGAATGCACCGTTCACAGAGCCCCCGGAGGGCGGTTTTGCAATCCCACAGTCGCCAAATCACCCACGTCACGGTAGCATCCATGGTTCTGGTGTGAATATGGACGCTGGGGAGCCATCGACTTCATATGTGTGGCCCCCGCAAGGAGATAGCTCTATGGGAAGCCCATATGAGACGCATCTCCGCCCGCCGGGGATGATGTCCTCGCCTATCTATTCGCGGAGTCAAGCCACCGGAGGATCCGACGGGGTGGCGTCCCCGTCTGGAGGGGTGCAGGAGTACACCAACGTCGTAATGTCCGGTGAAAGCGGACCGGCAAGACCAGTCGAGAGTGCGTCGGCCACCAGAGCGGAAGAGCTGTCAAGAAACAGACCTAGCATATATTTCTGATAATAAGTTAGTGGAAAAAGTCTTACTTAAACCAGACACCCTCGATAAGTTAGTCAGATGGTGCCACTCGATGGAGTAGTTGGCAATTTATGTGCAACGGACTAGACCAGAATGTGCCCGTCACGTGATAAACCGTGCCTACGGCAGACGATAGAGGGGACTTCCCCAAACCCTTTAGTTGGCGATTTTCAACCCGGCAAAATGTCGATTTCAGCTATTCTTTATTCCATATAATCTATACATTTCCTATATTGCCTATACAAAAACGATTTTACTATAGGCAACAGATTAAAATAGATTTAAATCAACCAACTAATAAGATTCCTTAAGCTGAAATTTAAATATAATCCACAATCTCAAGACCAATCTTAAGCCCAATCTCACGATCTAGGAGATTAGTTATAGTAACGAGCTGTGTGATTTATGATATAAGCTATATAGTTAGACGGACGTACCTACCTAGGTAAGAAGATTTTGGGATATTCGGGTAGAGCGTATAGGACGGTGGAAGAAAACGGTAAAGGCACTTACAGTAGTAGGATTTGGGAGTTTTGGGGAGGTCCCCTCTATCGTCCGCCGTACCGTGCCTCAGGAACACAAGGGGCGAGACGAGTCCCCGAAATGATCGCAGTTCGTGTCACCCAGCATCGATATAGTTATCAAGCATGAACGGTGACTGTAGTGAGCTGGACAGGTCAAGAATGAGGAATGATGATATGCCAGTCTTCGTACGACTTCTCCATGCCACCTGAAGTGCGTTCGATCTAGCGCCCCACTCTCAGCCTATCCTCGTGTTATCGGTGGAGGCCCACGAGTCCCACGACTTCTTTAAGATTGAAGCGTGGCCCACTCCGATACAACCAAGACGGACGAGCGACGCCTGACAGGCCAAGCGAGTTGAGCCAAATTACCAGTGGATGCTATGGATGGCCACCAGTAGCAAATCAGCAGGTGGTGTCCCTGCAGGCCTCCAAGCGCCGGTCGCACCAGGATCACACCTGCAGCGTCGGCCACGTTGGAGGGGATCATGATTGGTGAGAGAATATCATGCCGGCCGCCCCTGGCCCTGACGATCGGTACGGTCGGGGCACAGACTGCATTTAGCAAGGGACAGAATTTTGTGGTGAAACGAGCTCCGTGCCAGGGCCGGCGTAGTCTCTGCTGAACTTTTGGGAGGAGTTGGAGGTGTCGAGGGCGGGGACGAAGCCCGGGCGTTTCATCCAAATTCTAATATCGGCGGAGCAGCCAGAGAGGTGGCGTCGGAGTGTGTGGGATGGGGCTTCTTTGTTTCGATCATAGTTCACGTGGGGCATGGTGCGGTTCACCAGATGATCCTCCCTCCTGACGGAATATGCGGTGCACACGGTGAAGTGTCCTGTAGGAAGGTACATCATGGACACGTCGAGTGCCTATCCCTTGGGTACCAGAGCGTATGACAATAATCGGAGGAGATCATCGTCCTCCATAGGGAGCGTAACGTTGTGCCTTGCCCGGGATATCTGCCACCCCTGGCCTAGGCACGGACAAGATGACCGTGGCCCGGGCTCTGTCATCGGAAGTCTGGCCATAAATCCTAGGATGACTTAAAATGGTGCTGGAGAGTAGAAAATTCTGGATGAACTGTGGCGATAGGTCCACACCGGATTCGAACATTTGGGCCCTGGGCACTGAAACGAACCTCTCGTCTGACTGGAAGGGCTTCTCAGTCCCTGGGACCGAACCTTGGGCGAAAGAGTTTTTTTTTCTTTTACCTGGGCGAGCCGGACGAGTGAGCGTGCAGGATCCAGGACGGAGGGAAGGGACGGAGTGGAGAATTGACGAAGTAGCCCAACGGGGAGTTTCCATCGCAGTTTAAGCGCCAGTGCCCTCCACGGTTCAGCGTGGGCGACGGAAAGTCCAGACTTGAGAGCCCGTAAGGGACGACTCATCCCTCCCTTTTCTTCTTTCTCTTCTGCTACACCCTCCTTCCTTTTGCTGGGCCCTTCATTCTTTCCATTCCTTTCCCTCAATTCATTTCTCTTCTATAGAGTCCTAGATACAGTGATCTGTGATCCTGGACTCCTTTCCCCCCCCCCTAGGAGTGCTGTCCTGGTTGTACGCCTCCATTCTTTCCCTATAGGCCCTGGACTCCCAACCTCAAAGAGGCCCCGGTTTCCCTCGTCCCCATTTTGCTGCGCAAAAATCACCGACGAGAATCCTCGACATTCATTCTGCATCTGTGCCAGACACAGCGAACTTGATCGTTCAACTAAAAACTTCCCACCAAAACGCCATCCATCTGATACCGGACTTTCCGGGCAGTGATCTCCATTCCTCGCCATCTCCGCATCCGCGATCGTCTCTCCACGCGAGATCAATTGTCTGATTAGATCGCAAAGAAGTGATTGGAATTTTTGATTCCAGAAACCACTAGACAGTTGTCCCAGGCTTGTCTAGAATCAACAAACGCGCAAACCTTACGTCTCGTGCGACAAAAAAAACAATCTACCTCATCCATCATGTCGACCCTCACCCGCGCATTTACCAAGCGCAACAAGCGACCGGAAGTGTCGGCGCCCATGCCGTATCGCGGCGAAGGGCATGTGCGATTCAACTCGGGCTCCATCAAACGGAGCAACATCTCGGGCCCGGTTCAGTTGATATCAACCACCAACATGCTCGCCTACAACGCACCCGACATCCACTCCTCCAACTCCTCGTCCGCCTCGTCGTTGCGGTCGGGGGATGACTTCGATGCGGTGTCTCCGCACAGTTATTCATCCTCCATCACGACTCCCGATGTGTCGCCACATGACTCTATCCCCGTGGATGCGAACGCTGCTTCGTACTTCCCCAAGCGGTCTGTAACCATGACAAGCCACCCGCGCTCTTCCACTACCTCCTCGTCATCCAATGAAGCCCCGCTAGTCCTCAGCGGGCGCTGTCGCACACCAAGCGATCGCACCAAGAGTTAGCCCGGAAGCGCTCCCAACATCGCATGTCGCCACCTCCATTGGCTGCTCCACGCAGCAATCCCACGATCCGTGCCTCTCAGGACGTTTTCTTCCCCGAGACTCACCCGTTCAGCAAGGAGTTGGAGCAGGTCAATGAGGTAGCGGAGGAGTTTGGGGCCACCCACCTGATGGATGAAGAAGAAATGGTTTTGCATCGCAAGGGACTGAAGAAGTTTACCGTCGACGATTACCTCACCGAGATTGAGGATCTCTATGGAAGCATCTTTGACGACCGACTGGGACCTATTAGCATGGGCCCCTGGCTGTGAGCTCATCGATTCATTTTCCACTCCCACCTACTATGTACCTTACTTTGAAGGTGGGCATTTATTCGGCCCGGTTGATCCGGGGTAATCTGCTCGACGACAACTCATCTTTATATTGCGGACTTTTGTGAACGAACTGGATTTTCACTTGCAAATCTCGCTACGACTAACTCTTATTCCTTCATTGACGACTCTCCGATTATTCCCCTGCTTTGCACTATACCATGGGAGGAGCTTTGCGGTTCCTGTGTTCGCTCTATTCTGGTTTTCTCATGTTTTTCTTCTGCCTCATATTGGATGGCTCTGATTGCCAGTTCATGCCATCTATAAATTGTTTGGATCTGCTTGGATCGACCATTCGGGCTCCTATATAAGCATGTACGACACTTATCCGTGCTAGAATTATCATTGATATTTTTACTCGAATCCGTTCTTTAAAAAAATTTCGGTAGCAGTCAATGCATGTAGGTAGAAAAGCTGCACTTTCATAATTTCTTCTTCTTGATCGCCCCACCTTGGGGCTCAAATGTAGTACAAGAGCCGTCTTCAACGGTCAACCAGGTATGCCCCAGGCAGCAGAACGCGAAGGGGAGATTCGGCAGAACGCGAAGAGAACACGATGACATAATCCAATATTACCCTAAATGGTTTAGCTCACTCTCACCGCTCAATCACGCTCAGTCACGGGTTCTCCGCAGCCCCACAGGGTACGCAAGGGAAATTTTTTCGCTCGAAGGTTCATCTCGATCATCTCGTCGAACTTCGACACACCGCTGTCTGCATCCGATTCATCGATTCTCCCACCTGAGTGAATGCCTTCCATGGGTGCAGACAGATACCCGCGGTCTTCCCTCTCCAATCTGTAGCACTGTGTTCAAATTTGAATATCCGGACGGTCGTGTGCTAGGTTGCCTTCTAGCTCCACCACTGTCAACACATCGAGCTGCCCCTCTGAGGTGCTTCGGAGGTATAGACCGACAAATGTCACTTTGTCTGTGACCTCTCTAGAGTTGATTCAACACATTTTCTCTGTCCTTCATCCATTCGGCCATGGTCTCCGTCGCCACTATCCCACAACCACCGGCGCTTACAGCCACCCCCTCCTTGAAGCCATCATCAAAGATGATCCCATCTTCGTCTCCCGTATCCATCCTCAAAACCTCCAAGCCTGCGGGCACGAAACGCAAAATGGCAGACCTCGACCGCAGTCTGTCTCCCGTCTCCTCCGTGTCGGATATCGATGACGCCCAACCCTCGAAGAAGCGTGCCCGCGTCACGTTCAACGAAAACATCCAGACCCATTCCTGGAATCAAAATGATCCGGCGACTCAAAGTGGAATGAGTGTGGCAATGGTTCGGGAAGAGATTCGTGGGGCTATTCATCGCCATGTTTCATCCGGGGAAAGCGAGGCCTATGACCAGATCAAGGAGATCTTCACTGCCGATCCGAAGAAGGCTGCCGACACCGTCTACTCATACGACCTTCCTACACACACCTCCTTGAAGAATCATCTCCTAGGACTTCTCTCTCACATCGCCTCGCTGGACCGTGGTTGCAGCAGCCTTGTCCACGCCGTCCTTGAGAGTGAGTGGCTTGGTCGGGATGAAGCCTACGTGAAACTCTTCATCCGGTTCCTCGGAAACCTTGCAGCCGCGCAAGGTACCTATCTCGGTGTCATTTTCAAGATGCTCGTCAGCAAGCTCGCTGGCGTTGCTCGTGGTACTGGTTGCCTCCCCGGCTACCCTGTAGTCCCTGTTTCTGAAATCTATGCTCGCGTCCACATGGCCCTGCGTCACATTGTCCGTCTGATCCCGGCTGGTAGTGGCACTCTGTCGCCAGTTCTATCCCACACATTCCCATACGAAGCGGATCCTGCCAAGTCTTATATCGCCTACACCCAAAACCTCATCCAGATTATCGGCTACGCTCCCGAGCTCCAGTCCGATATCCTCGCCCTCATCACCGAAAAGCTGGTCAAGATCGACGTTCAAATCCAGGTCGATTTGGAAGATTTCGAGGATGAACTTGGCGAGAACCTGTTGCACGGCGTTTCTACCGATCCCGACGAAGAGCTCGACGACGATGACGATGCGTCCGTTTTGAGTGAAGACGAGGCCGACGAGGATCGACGGGTCACCGAGATCAAGGACAATATTCACAAAGTGGATGGCATGATTGATATTCTTTTTGAGTTTTACAACTCTTCATTCACGACGGGCACACTCGCCGACAAGCGAAACAGCCTGGACCTTATTATCAGCCACTTCCAAACCATCATCCTCCCTACTTACAAGTCCCGGCACTCGCAATTCCTTCTCTTCCACTTCTCCCAATTACACCCGGATCTCCTCAGCAAGATGACCACGTGCTTCTCGGATTTGATCTTCGGCAAAGTCCAGTCGGGCATTATCCGCCAATCCGCAGCCGCATACCTGGCTAGCTTCATCGCCCGCGGTGCCCACATCCCCAGCAGCCTCGTCCGAAAAACTTTCAACGAAATGAGTGCACAGCTGGTAGATATGCACGACAAGTATGACGCTACTTGCCGCGGTCCCGATCTCCGCCGTTACGGCTCGTTCTATGCGACTGCCCAGGCCGTGCTGTACATCTTCTGCTTCCGCTGGCGTGATCTGACGACCGCTTCTATCGATGGCGACAGCCCCCAGCAAGTGGACGAGCTGGAGCCCAGCCAAATCGCCTTCCCGCCTAATGTCAAGGATACGCTAAGCAAAGTGATCTACTCGCGCCTGAACCCGCTCAAGATCTGCTCTCCGGGTATTGTCAACGAGTTCGCCCGTATTGCACACCACTTCCAGCTACTTTATGTCTACCCTCTCATCGAGAAGAACAAGCGTCTTCGTATCAGTGCTTTCCGAAGCATCGCCTCTTCTGGACTTGTCCAGATGGAGCGTGAGATCCGTGCTGGTGATCATCTCGGCTATCAGCTCGACGCATACTTCCCCTTCGACCCATACCAGCTCCCGCGTAGCCGTCGCTGGCTGGAGGGTGATTATGTCGAGTGGCGCGGCATTCCGGGTCTTGACCAGGACGACGATTCGGATAGCGATGCCGACGATGAGGGCGATGATGAGGAAGACCCCACAGCTACTGACAAGGAGTAGCGCATTCGTTTCCGCCTTCCTTTCTTATATCCTATACTTCTTTTTCACCCATTGAAGGTCTACATGGGAATGGCCTACTCACGGCCTGATCTACTTGCTATACATATGTTTTTTCAGCGCGGCGCCCCGGGTTTGATTTCGATTTCGATCTGACATTTACGTGTCTCCCTTTTCTTTCAAAAGTTCGATACCAGTTCTTTCTGTTATGTCCTGATGATGTGATATCGTGCTTTTGAGCGTGCATGGCATCTTACTGGAGCATGAATACTTATTTTTTCCTGCTAGCTTAATTGATGGTTAGCATATGACCTGTCATGGCTTGGAAAATGGGAATTATCTTTTCTATGGAATGATGGCATGCGTAGGCAAACCCTCAGCCAGAGTAGGATCTCTATGCTATAATAAGCTGGGCATTCCTGGCCACGGCGGAGTTGAACCAAGCCTTGATCTTCCAGGTTGGCTGATAGATTGTAGCGACAAACCCTGAGAGTAGGCCCTTGCCTCGGGAGGCCGTCACCAGGCATGTCTACATGGGCAGAAGACCATGTAGTTGGAAACTTCGTGTATAGCCACTACTCACTCTATCGTAGTGAAAGCCAGTCCTCGGAGAATTGGCAATATTGTCGGTTCCATTGATGGAAATTTAGTGGCGCGATGGTATTCCATCTACCACTTATCCATCAACAGACTCTGGGATCCTGGCCGGCAGGTATAAAAAGTTGGCTCCATTATAGTTCATGCCTCTACCTCAAAGCTATACAATTACTAGGCCATAGGTATGTCTTCATTAATCCAAATTCTCCCATTCCCACTCTCAGCTGCTAGGCCTGTTAGCCTTTGGTGGAGTACACCACACCCGATATAGAAACAAACCCGGCCCCGATACATGATATCATTCCTGAAGCCCTGTCATAGCCAAAGTCATGTTTTGAATGGACCAAATTTACAAGGAAAGCCCAAAAATCATCCAGACCCCATAGATCAAAACAAACGCAATGTTGACGACGGTCCACGTGAGGCTACGTTTTTGTTCATCCGTGCCTTGTTTCGTTTTCTCTTGGCATTATCAAAAAATCCACTCGCGACGAACGATGGGGCCTGACCTGCCCAGTCGACCAGTCTGCCCTATGGACCTACTCTAGAGTACTGGATGGTAGAAAAGAAATTCGCAAGGACCTGGGTCTTTCGAGGTAATTTATGACATCATTCGTTCACATCGATTGTGGTTAGCCTATGTAGTAGAGTGACATGTAGATCTGTCGATCTTGAAGCTAAGGTGGTTTCTTTTTGTAGGCTAGTGCTTGTTAGTGTCGGGTCGAGGGACCAGCCAATAATTGTCGTTGGCACGGGTAGGGTATGTGTGTCTGGAGGATGCAGTGGCTGATAGGTTGACCGTGCAGGATAACTAGGATCTAAATGGATGGATATGTAGCCCGTATCGCAACGAAAAGATTCGGGTTTACCGCTCATTGAGAGGGACAGTGGTGGGATAAAAGTTGTTGATTCCCAAGTCAAGAGCGATCCATAGAATCGAATCACGATACAATCGTCAAGTGATATGTACAAAACGCCGTGTATGCCCCAAGACCAAACGCCAGAAGGAAATAGAAATGACCCCGCGCAGTGCTACCCGACATGCTTCTATAGAAAAAAAGGAATAATAACAATCAAGCAAACGACTCACCGATCGAAGATCGCCTTCATATCCGCGCAAGCATCGCGGTAATAGATGTCTACGCTGCCTTGGTCGCGGAATGGATTGGCCGATTTGTCCCAGGCATGCTTAGCCTTTTCAATCATCATGGCTCGTACCCGCTTGCCCAGGCCTTCGAGACGACGTACAAACGTTTGACCTTCCTTCATGAGCATGTCCCACTCACAGATAAACAAAAAGACATCGCGAGGGAGGGCTTCATTGAGGATGCGATCGGAGGCGCGCACCGGTGATGCAAAGGCTGAAGAGCGATCATTCAAGTCCGGTAGATATGCCTCGTCAAAGAGACTAGTGAAGAACTTTGGTAATGTCTTATCTGGCATGATACTCATCGCCCTGCGATGGTCGCGCGACTCCAAAAAGTCCAAGATGGGATACCAGCAGAACAGTGCCACAATATTGAGGTCACTAGTCTGGTTGACCAGCTGTTGTGTCGAATCCGCCCGACTAAAGTGCTCCTTGACCTCGGTCGAGATTCGTCCTCGTAACCTCAACGGTACGGTGACGGCCAGGTTGCCGCCGGCCGAGAACCCGCTCAGTGCCACGCGACTCACATCCAGGGCCAAATCCGCGGCATGTGCTGCCAGGTACAGCAGAGCCTCGACGCCGTCATCAACTGCCGCAGGGAAGGGATGCTCCGGTGCCCGCCGGTAACTCACGCTGGCAACCACCGCGCCGACCTGCTCAACGACGGCAGCCGCCCAGCGGGCATCGTCGGTGGCGCAACCGAGCGTGAATCCTCCACCGTGGAAGTTGACGGCAACCGGGTAGCGGTGACCCAGGCGGCGTTGTTGGTAGTAGTCAGGTGGACAGTAGAAATGGATGGTCACGGAATGGCCGTGGGTATCCGATTTCACGGTTCGAGTGAATAATGGACGGGGAGGACGGGGCGGCGCGAGGGTATGCAGGAACATGCCGATGCGCATGAGGAAGCGCCAGAATACGGCCTGGACGTAGAGCCACCAGCGCGAGGAGGCCATCTTGGGGAAGGGGACAATCGGCGATGATTTGACGGAAGGGGAACCGTGACTGGTCTGATTGAGGAAAGATGTCGGTCGGTCAGTACGGTGGTCCGGATAGTCGGCGCCCGGGAAAGGCCGGGGGATCAGGCAATTTGGAATAAGATTCAAGGGTCCAGCAATTGAGAAGAAGGGGAGAGATGAGGGAATTGAGAAGTGGCACAGAAGAGGGGAAATAATACGGTAGAAAGTTCAAACCAGCGCCCAGACCCCTCGAAATGCAATTAACCCGAACGTTGACGGGAGAGAGTCCGTCCAAGTAAACGTCCTAGAGTCGCCAGGGTTGAGAAGATCGAGAGGATCGAGAGGCGTCATCGGTCGGTTCATCGGTGCCGGTGGACACCTCAGGCTGTTATGCCAAGTACATATCTGGACCTCCGCAGTTGAACAGGTACGGAGTACATGTACATGGATATCATGATAGATCTAGATATAGTATTAGTGGAATGTTGAAATACAAGCGATAAAGAATCTCTACGTACTTCTATAGTACTTTATGCGAGATAAGAGAATACGAATACAAAATCGAGGGCACCTCGGCCATTGGCACATGGTTAGGTTCTAGATCTCGATGAGGTAAAGTCGCATAAGCGTCCAGTAAGCATAAGCCAGTTCTTAGAAAACAGGGTGGATGTCTCTTTTGAGAGAGAAACAAATAGTCAGAATCAGAATCCTACTCCATAATGATTATAATTAATATTCTGATTGATTCATAATAATGAACCTCCTTGGAATCTGGGAATACCCAGTGCCCGCCATGATGTCATAACTCGACCCTTTGGGACCATCGGCCACCAAAGAAGTCGAGGTTTCGCATTCTTGATTAGCGCTGACTTTGGCGGTTTTTCTAAAGCTTCATTAACTCTCTCCGACCCTCTCCGAACCCATTGGCTTCGTTCTTTTCTCTCTGTTCACACCAACCACCAGGAGTCATTGGAATTCTCCCCGACACTCCAGACTTGGGGCCTTGTTACGGTTAGTTGCCCCTCCTCTCCAGCAAAGAAGGATCGCCGCTTGCAGCCCTTCCTTATTCCCCCCCCTCCCCCACTGGCTCGGCTCCATCCGCGATTCAAAGAGGCGCTCTCAGGCCTGTTCAGATCATCCCGAAGCTCCGAGCCCGCTTAACAAGCTAAAGCCCCTCCTCCCCCCTGCCTTGCTTATTTTTCTTATCTTCCACTTTCCCCTCCTCCGATCCCCCTTTTACCTCTCCACTTGTCTCATGCTTTAAGAACAGAGGCAATTGCCGACCATGTCGATTAAACGGGCCCTCTCCAAGGCCATTCGGGGCCATGTCAATGACGATGACTCGTCGGGCTCCCACGTTCGCTCGCTCTCTCTACCGCGCATCTCGACATCGCGCGATAATCACCCCTCCCATTCCCCCACCGCTTCCCCTCGTCGCAGTATCCTAGGCAACTTCTTCCGTGAGAAGGACTACGTCTCATCCTCTGAGGATTTCTCGGATGATTCATCCTCCACGGGCAATCTCAGTAAGAACCAGCAGAAACGACTCGTGCGCCAGCAACGCCGCAATGAACGCTCTCGCCTCAGTGAAGAGCAATTCTCCGAGTCTGACCACCGACGGAAGGAGGAGGAGCTCGCCAAGGCAGCTGCCGACGAGACGCCAGAGATGAAGGCCCGTTATGGTGACCTGCCTCTAATGCAGTCGCAGAGCCGCCCACGCGAGGAGCGGATCTCTCTTGATGCAATCACTCCGGATATGGAGGGACAGGAGGTTTACTTCACGGCACGCTTGCACGTTGTGCGTCGCATGAGTGCGAAGCTGGTCTTCCTCGTGTTCCGTCAGCAGCTGTCTACCTTCCAAGGTGTGCTGCATGAGCGCCCCGGCGTCTCCTCCATCGCCATGATCTCATGGGCTGAGCATCTCCGCGTGGGCTCCTTCTTGCGTGTCCGCGGCAAGATTCAAAAACCCGACGTGCCAGTTCTGGGCTGCAGTATCCACGACGTCGAGCTGGCTATCGACTCCGTGCATCTGCTCGTCAAGCGCGAGGAGCCCGTGCCTTTCAGTGTCTACGAGGCTGAGATCCGCACCAACGAGGAGGACAAGGCTGAAGGTCGTCGCAGCCATATCCCCGATCGCACTCGTCTCAGCAATCGCTTGCTCGACCTTCGGACGGCCACCTCTCAATCCATCTTCCGGCTGCAGTCAGCAACCTGCAATCTTTTCCGTAGCGCCCTCGATGAACGAGGGTTCATTGAGATCCACACTCCCAAGCTGCAGGGTGCTGCCACCGAGTCTGGTGCCAGTGTCTTCCAGGTCAATTACTTTGGTCGTCCTGCCTTCCTAGCTCAGTCTCCCCAGCTGGCCAAGCAGATGGCTATTGCCGCCGACTTTGGTCGTGTGTATGAGATTGGTGCCGTCTTCCGCGCCGAGAATTCTAATACCCATCGTCACTTGACCGAATACACTGGTCTGGATATCGAAATGGCCATTGAGGAGCACTACCATGAGATGCTCGAGACTCTGGATGCTACTATCAAGAACATCTTGAGTGGTGTCTACACCAAGTATCGCCGAGAGATTGATGTGGTCAAGCACCAGTTCCCATCAGAAGACGTCGTGTGGTTGGAGAAGACACCTATCATTCGCTTCACTGATGGAATCCAAATGCTGAACGACTCGGGTTGGCGAAGCGAGGATGGCAACCTTCTTCCAGTGGATGAGGATTTGGCTACTCGCGATGAAATCCGTTTGGGCCAACTGGTCAAGGAAAAGTACGGCACCGACTACTACGTCCTTGACAAGTTCCCCCGCGGTGCCCGTCCCTTCTACACCATGCCGGATCCCGAGGATGACAAATTCACCAACTCGTTCGACATGTTCATTCGTGGCCAGGAGATTGTCTCTGGTGGCCAGCGTATTCACGAGCCGCACATGCTCGAGGAGAACATGCGCAAGTCTGGCATCAACCCCGAAGATATGGAGGAGTATCTCGAGGCGTTCCGCTGGGGTGCCCCACCCCATGCTGGTGCCGGTGTTGGCCTCGAACGTCTGCTGATGCTCTTGCTTCAAGTGGGCAACATTCGTCTCACCTCGCTCTTCCACCGCGACCCTAAGAGTTTGCCCGCCAAACCTCCGGTCCAGCAGCTTCGCCACCCCGAGGCTTCCACTATCGAGCCTCCTTGGCACGAACGCTCCCAGTTGGCTGCTGATGCCAGCGAGCTGCAGCCGCTGGAGAAGTTGGTTGCCAACTACGGTGACGCCACCTCCACTTCCTGGTTCGATGACCGATTCAAGATCTGGCGTGACATGGCCACCGGTGCTGCCGTGGCTTACGTGCCCAGCACCAGCAACTATGTCATCATCCCCGGTAACCCCGCGTGTGATCCTTCCCAGTACTCTCGTACCATCACACAGTTCCTGCAGTGGCTGCGTCGGGAGACCAAGTTCAAGCCTGTCTGGATTCTCTGCTCTCCCGAGGTCGAGACTATTCTAGGCGAGCGCCTGGGCTGGCGCAGCTTGTCCTGCATTGCCGAAGAGCGTGTTGAGCCGTCGCGCAACCAAGCCGCCTCTGACGGTGAGATTGCCCGCAAACTGCGCCGTGCCGAGAGCGAGGGCATCAAGGTTGTCTCTTTCAGCCAGGGTGAGCTGCCTCCCGAGGAAATCCGCAAGAAGATCGATGAACGCGTTGCCCAATGGCTTGCCAACCGCAAGGGTACACAAGTTCATCTGTCCGAGATCCGTCCGTGGATCGACGCCGAGCACCGCTGGTATTTCTACGCCATGGACAAGGAGGGCACCATCTGTGCCTTTGTCGCGCTGGCGATGCTCTCCCCTGCCCACGGCATGCAGGTCAAGTACAGCTTGGACTTCCCCAACTCACCCAACGGTGTCATCGAGTATATCGTTACACAGGCCATCCAGACTGCTTCCAAGGGCGGTGTCAGTGGTCTGACCTTCGGTGCCGGTGCTACCAGCAAACTCATTCCCGGCCACAATCTGCACGGCACCAAGATCAAGATGCTGGAGCACACCTACGAGGCTCTGGCCAAGCAATTCCATCTCGTGCGGAAGAGCGAGTTCCGTGCCAAGCTGGGTGCCACCGAGGAACCGCTGTATATCTCCTACCCAGCTCACGGTCTCGGTTCCAAGGGTATCCGTGCCGTGCTGAATTTCTTCGAGGATTAAATTCGCTGTGCATCTCGTTAGAATGATTCAGATGGGTGTTCCCCAAGAAGTTACGATCTCATGGCAATTTACGAATTGGTGCTATTCTGGTTGGGTCTTGGGTGGTTGTTATAGGGATTCCATCATGGAAGATGTTGAGGATATGCTCATCATAGAGTAGAGAAGGGCAGGGATTGCAAGGAAGGCAAGAATCGGAAAAGGAGGAGAGAAGATTGAACTTGGCATTGTCAGCGTTGGATTTGAATATCGCACCGTTTTGTTCAGTGGATTCTTGCCGTGTTTTGTGCGCCTCCCTGCTGGTTTATCATTGCACATTGCACATTGCTTGGACATATTATTCCCCCTCCTGTATCTGCCCACCGCATGTATCTCCCATTGGCTTAATTAGTGTTTTTTAATGTCTATGTTTTATTTGAATTCGTATACATATCGATCTGTGAATAATACAGGATCTGCATAGTACAAGATACAGTAGTAGATCCAAGTAGGCAAATATCGAAATTCCTTCAAAAGACTCAAGTCCACTTGTTAAATGTACATAGAATCGAGCACTCAAACGCCTCTCTAATCATACAGAGATAAAATACAAAAGCTACTGCTCCTTCTTCGCCTCCCCCTCATCCCTCTCAACCCTCGCATCCTCAATAACCCTCCCCAACTCACCAACCACCCACCGCGCAACAACCCCCGCCACAATGGCAACAACAACAATCCACCCGGCCGTCGGCACCAACGACCGCGGAAACACATTCCACAAGAACGGATCGAGGATCACGTCGACCGCGACGGAGGGGACATCGCGCATCAACGACTCGTCGTTCGAGAAGTAGTCCGCAGCAGCGCGGACTCGTAGGAAGAGTACTGAGTCGGTGGTTGGTGCGGGGTCGTTGGCGGCTTTGGTGTCGCTGCCGCGGAGGAGGGAGTTTACTTGTAGGTTAGTATCTGGATTTGAGAGGCGGGATGCGGAGAATTTGCTGAGGGAGGTGAGGAGGGTTGAGTCTTCGGTTATTGAGGGGAGGGGGTGTGTTGATAGTGTGAAGGATGTTGGTTGCTGTGTTTTGTTAGATTTGGATTTAGTTGAAATAGGAATCGTGGGGTATGAATATTGAATGTATGTTTGATTATCCAATGGGGAACTGGATGAAGGAAGGACGGAAGGACATACCGTCGCTAACCAACAAATGCGAACTTCATATCGCTGGCCCGGTGTGAGATTCTCTAGGAAGAACCACGAGTCCGTTCCTTCGGGAGCCTCGGCCGTGGGAAATGACGCATTCAATTGGGTGCGTACAACCCCATTTTGAGGCGAGAGTCGATCCAGACCGAGATCATCCAGTTCTGGTGCTTCCGATGGGATCGTTGTAGCTGGTGGGCCCAGGAAGATGGTCTTCTCCACGTTGGCGTGGACGAGGCTTGTGAAGAGGGGGAGGAGTATGCCCAGCAGGGTGATGATGGGATGGTGCATGCTTGCTTTTTTGATATTGGGGTTGCTCGCTGGTTGGAAAAGGGATATAGGTATATTTTTTTTTTTCTTACGTTGGGGGTGGCATGGATTCAATTGATGTGGTGATGTTATTTTTGTGTCATGTTGGACTGGTGACAGGTTGATTTAATGTATCCGTGCTGAATAGGTTAAGGTGTGGATGGTGGAGATATATTTCGGGTTGATAGATCCAGTTGGTTTATCAGCAACTTGGCGGTGAGGGATTCGGGTTGCTAGATTCGGAGAGGATGTACAAGGATTGACCAGCAACGTTCTTGTCTGCGTAGTTATTAGGCCATTGTAACTTGAATTTAGATATTTCTTGTATAGATAGGCTCGTTAATATTCTATACTTTAAGAATTGTTCACCATCATACCCAAGTCACATGTCCAAACCCCTCAGGTTTGTTGTTGTTCTAGTCACCTGACTGCCACCAGACCACCAAAAGGCGGTGACCCGCGGCCAAGTCGCCGTCCCGTCAGCCAATCAGAACGCCCGACGCGACCCAACGAACGGATCAACAACGAACTCCCCCCTGCGGCAGCACAGACGCCCTCCTCCACAACATTTCTGCTCTTCTTCTTCGACTCGAGAAGAGATTCCATTCCTCCCATTCTTGGTGTGTATCTCCTCCTCCCCCCTCTCTATTCACCCCTTCCGTGCAATTCTCCTATCCAGAAAAAACCCCCCCCCCTTCCGTGTCAAAACTTGGTCGATCCCCCCAGCCGAAGCAAACTAACCCCCTGAATCGTGCCCAGGTCCCGTGTTTGTTATTGGGTCCTGCCTTCACCCCTCCTTAATTTTCACACCTTCCAAACCACCCACCCAACACAATGAGAGAGATTATCAGCTTGAACGGTACGTGCGATCTTGACGATGCCCCTCGTCATCGAATTCGATTCTTTTCTTGATGGAATCTCGGACGCGCTAACGTGTGTTTGTGACTACAGTCGGCCAGGCCGGTTGCCAGATTGCCAACTCCTGCTGGGAGGTAGGGAAAAAAAACATCATCTATCATCATACCAGCGAAGAAGATACGGAAACACTAACTTGTCAATCGTTTAGCTGTACTGTCTGGAGCACGGTATCCAGGTACGTTGGAGATTCTAATCTCGTCGTGGCGCCCAATCTCAACTCGGGCAGCGTGACCCCCTTTTCCCTTTACCGGGAAGCGAGTACCCGCGACTAACGCTTTTGATAGCCCGATGGTCACCTCACCGATGAGCGCAAGAAGGCCGACCCCGACCACGGCTTCAGCACTTTCTTCTCGGAGACTGGTACGTGAAATTCAACATGGTTTCGATTTTTTAGGGGTCTTGGGCCCAGATGGGGGGTGGGTGTATGGCCAGCCATCAACGCCCCCTCATTCCCCCTTCCCCTCCCCCCCGCCTTTCGAATTGCCCAAAACCTTCTGGCATGGTTCTTCTAACATTCTTCGTGTCTCCACTTTGACAGGCTCTGGCCGCTACGTTCCTCGCACTATCTACTGCGATCTCGAGCCCAATGTCGTCGATGAGGTCCGCACTGGTACCTACCGCTCGCTCTTCCACCCCGAGCAGATGATCACTGGCAAGGAGGATGCTTCCAACAACTACGCCCGTGGTCACTACACCGTTGGCAAGGAGATGATTGATCAGGTTCTCGACAAGGTCCGCCGTGTGGCCGACTCCTGTGCCGGTCTCCAGGGCTTCCTCGTCTTCCACTCCTTCGGTGGTGGTACCGGTTCCGGTTTCGGTGCTCTCCTGATGGAGCGTCTGTCCGTCGACTACGGCAAGAAGTCTAAGCTGGAGTTCTGTGTCTACCCTGCTCCCCAGAACGCCACCTCCGTCGTTGAGCCCTACAACTCCATCCTCACCACTCACACCACCCTGGAGCACTCCGACTGCTCCTTCATGGTCGACAACGAGGCCATCTACGACATCTGCCGCCGCAACCTCGGTATTGAGCGCCCCAGCTACGAGAACCTGAACCGCCTGATCGCTCAGGTCGTCTCCTCCATCACTGCCTCGCTCCGCTTCGACGGCTCCCTGAACGTCGACCTGAACGAGTTCCAGACCAACCTGGTCCCCTACCCCCGTATTCACTTCCCTCTGGTCGCTTACTCGCCCGTCATCTCTGCCGACAAGGCCTCCCACGAGGCCCACTCGGTCACTGAGATCACCTCCAACTGCTTCGAGCCCAACAACCAGATGGTCAAGTGTGACCCCCGCAACGGCAAGTACATGGCTACCTGCCTGCTGTACCGTGGTGACGTCGTCCCCAAGGATGCCCACGGTGCCGTGGCTACCCTCAAGACCAAGCGTACCATCCAGTTCGTCGACTGGTGCCCTACTGGCTTCAAGCTCGGTATCTGCTACCAGCCTCCCCAGCAGGTCCCCAACGGCGACCTTGCCAACCTCAGCCGCGCTGTGTAAGTTATCCCAGATATGTCTCCATATGATATGTTGGGACTTTTTGCTAATTCAATAACCCTTTTTTTTTTAGCTGCATGCTGTCCAACACCACTGCCATCGCCGAGGCCTGGTCTGCTCTCGACCACAAGTTCGACCTCATGTACTCCAAGCGTGCCTTCGTCCACTGGTACGTTGGTGAGGGTATGGAGGAGGGTGAGTTCTCCGAGGCTCGTGAGGATCTCGCTGCTCTGGAGCGCGATTACGAGGAGGTTGCCAGCGACTCCCTGGAGGAGGAGGAGCTGGAGCCCGAGTACTAGATTGGGTATGCTACGTGATTGTTTGTGGAGGATGGGGTTTGATTTCTGCTGTTTGTTTGGGAGACAAACTCCGACCTTTACAGCTCAGTTTTGTTAGCCTGCCTACATCTATCGGACTCCTTGCAAATAGAGGAACATAGGTCTCTGTCCGACGATGTTTACTGGTTTTGTTGTTCGATATATCTTTAATATCCCTGAAGCAGCGATAAGTTTTTCCACTCGTTCCTATCTTATTCTCTCTCTCTCTTTTTCTTTTCCCCTGTCTCTCCTTTTTTATCTATGGTGCGTGTAACTACAAAAGTGAGCCCCCTTGCCCCTCAGAGCATGGTTGCCCCCTGTCCGTTGAGCCATGAAAATTTCCGGTTGTCTGCTGTTTAGTCTTGGCCTGGTTGTGTTAATATCCTCAAGTCCATGGACTTAGCCATATCTACTGCGATCTCCTTCGGGCGGTCCATGTAATCCTCGAATCCCAGATCCCATAGCTATCATGCATAGCCCAGATTCAGTCGCATGAACGGGCCCCCCTTTCTTTATTAGTCAATTCAGTATTCAATCCTGGCCTCAACCGTCTTATTATTATTAGCATAATCATACCCACAATAATCTTATTAGTCGCTGGCGCTAATAAATGAGGTGACCCTGAACTGGTCGGGTACTCAACCGACTGACCGCCTTGGGGGTACCTTTACGACATCGACTCCCTCCAGCCACTCAGTAATCACCCCCCGAACATCATTCTAACTAAACCCCCTCGAAAGTTGTCCTTCTTTTCTGCAGCCCGTCGCTTGTCCTCTCTCGGCTGCGATTCCTGCATTCTCGAAGCTGCGCTTGGTCCAATCCATGCTCGTGGCCTCTTCCGGCTAAACTTACGGCTTCTCCGTACCTCTCCACCTTCTTCCCCCCAGCCCAGGCTACCAACGATTCGGATCCTATCTTGACCTAAGAGGGCATTCGCGCCTCTCAACACACAGCCATGGCTGACACTCGTAAGTCGCTCTTTACTTCTACATACACGGGGAGCTAGCAATGGCCTTCTGGTAGCTCTGGCGCAGCTCAGGAGGGCCGCCGAGAGCTCCGCTGCCTATCCGCTCTACCCCCCTCGTCGCGCGTCTGTCGCCCTTTGAACAATCCACACCTTAGCCACGGAATCGACGGAGACTGACAATCACGTATCAAATAGCACAACGACACCCGAACTTGAATCTGACCGCGGAGGAAAAGCGCGTGTTCTACCAGCTCTTCCAGGCCGCGGATACTACCAACCTTGGCGTCATCACCGGCGAGATCGCCGTGCCGTTCTTTGAAAAGACACATCTCCCCTCCGGTACCCTTGGAGAGGTGCGTATACTTCGGAATCAACGATAATCCGGGTGTGAGACGACTAACGTGTCCATCGTGCCTTCTAGATCTGGCAGCTTGCGGATAAAGAGAACAGGGGTCTTTTGACTCCTTCTGGGTTTGGGATCGTGCTTCGATTGATTGGTCATGCACAGGCTGGGCGCACGCCATCCGATGAATTGGCTTTACAACGTGAGTGTTCCTGAGAAAAGCACGAGCCGTGCTTTTATCGCAAGAGATAGGGTTGGCTGGATCTCAATGCTAACTGTTCCTGCTGTAGCTGGCCCCCTGCCACGATTTGACGGCATTGTTGTCGACAACACACCTGCTCCCCCCGAGTCTGGCGCCGCAAGTCCCCCGCCAGGTGCCGGTCCTCCTATTCGAGTACCGCCGTTGCAGCCCGAAGATGCCCACAAGTTCCTCTCGCTGTTCGAGAAGTCAGATACCTCGAATGGCGTAATCTCTGGTATGAAAGCACCTCTGCAGTTGCTAGCCCGTGCATATTATTTGCAATGCTAATGACTTGAAATGATAGGTGAAATTGCGAAGCAAATATTCGAACGTGCGCGCCTACCCAATGAGGTCCTGGGTCGGATATGGAACCTTGCAGACACAAAGCAGCGTGGAGCTCTCGATGGCACCGATTTCATCATTGCCATGCACCTCCTCACATCCTTCAAGTCTGGCGCTCTCCGTGGCATCCCGCAAACATTGCCCCCTGGTCTCTATGAGGCCGCAGCTCGCCGCGGATCCGGCCGGGGCTCTTTCGGTGCTCGCGCAGGCGTGCCCCCCGTCCCATCCATTCCCAAGCAGTTCACTGGACCTCAGCGCACCAGTACTCCCATGAGCCCTACTCACACTGGTCAACCGGCATTCAGTGGTCCGCTCTCGGCGCAATCGACTGGAGACTGGCTGATCAGCCCCCAAGAAAAGGCGCACTTCGATAGTATCTTTGAGACCGTGGATACCGCCAAGGTCGGACTGATTACTGGCGACCAGGCTGTTGGATTCTTCATGAAGGCTCAACTCCCCGAGGAAGTCCTTGCGCAGATCTGGGATCTTGCTGATATTGATGCCGATGGTCAGCTCAGCCGCGATGAGTTCGCCGTGGCCATGTACCTGGTGAGACTTCAGCGCAGTGGAAAGGAGCCTCTCCCGCAAGTTCTTCCTCCGGCCCTGATTCCGCCTACCATGCGCCGTCAGGCTCCTTTGCCTGCTGTTGCACCTGCACCAGTTCCGGCCCCCGCGCCAGCTCCCGTTCCGCGATCCGCTGCGGATGACTTGTTCGGCCTCGATTCTCCCGTACCGCAAATCGCGCAGACTCAATTCCCTCAGTCTACTGGTGGTTCTAACGCTGCATTCCACACTCCAGGCTCTCCAGCCTCCCGGGCTACTCCGCCCGTTGCATCCACCACATTCAAGCCATTCATGCCAACCTCGACCTTCGGGCAGAGCTTGCAGCCCCAAGTGACGGGTGCATCGGCAGGAACCCCGGTCATTCGCTCGCCTCCGCCACCATCTGATGATCTTTTGGGAGACAATGACCCCGAGGAGTCCAAGAAGCTCACCCAGGAGACCAGTGATCTTGCCAATCTTTCTAACCAGATTGGTTCTCTGGCGAAGGAGATGCACACCGTGCAAGAGAAGCGCACTTCGGCTGAGCAGAGCATTTCCCAAACTTCTCAGCAGAAGCGTGACTTTGAGGCGCGCCTTGCTCAGGCACGTGCTATGTATGAACAGGAGGTGGCCAACTTCAAAGCCTTGGAGGAGCGCCTCCGAGTTTCCAAAGCCGAGACCACCAAGCTGCAGCAAGACTATGCCCTGATCGAAGGTGGCCGTCAGGATCTGCAGAGCCAGTACACCCAGGTTTCGACCGCCCTGGCTGCTGATCAACAGGAAAATGCTAGTCTGAAGGAGAAGATCCGTCAGGCCAATGCAGAGGTTGCTCAGCTGAAGCCAGCACTGGAGAAGGCTCGCTCTGATGCTCGTCAGCAGAAGGGCCTTGTCGCAATCAACAAGAAGCAGCTGGCTACCGTTGAGGGCGAGCGTGATAAGATCCAGGGCGAAATCGATACTCTTGCCCAGGAAACTCCCCAGTACACTGAGACTGCCACCCCCGTTAGCTCTGCTGGAGAGGTGGCTAGCCCTGCCGTTTCTACTGCTAGCCAGAACACGAACCCATTCTTCCGTCGGACCGCGACTGGCAGCTCAAGTGAGCGTGCACTGTCTCCCGATGGCGCTACTGATCAGCAAAAGGCCTTTGATAACCTCTTCGGTCAGTCATTCGCGGCTCCTTCTGCTGCTGGCCCTCCTCCCACCTCATTCCGTGCCGAGTCACCGCTGGCTAGCTCCAAGTCGCCTGTTACTTCGAATGTCCCAACTCCGTCTGTTTCGCCAGTTCCCGCTGTCTCTGTGCCTGGCGCGTTCCCTGGCATTGCGTCTGAGATCCCGCCACCCAGCCAGTCTCGTCAGCTCACCCCGAACTTCCTTCCTTTCGGTGATACCCAGTCGGTGACTTCGTCCACCATGGTTTCGCCTCCTGCTAGCCGGTTCGGTGGTCCTGATACCTCGAGTATTGCAACCCCACAGGACGCTAGTGAGCAGGGTGGTCCACCATCCGTGGCCGCATCAAGCGACTACAGCAAGGCTCCTACTCCGGCGTTTGATGGCACACCCTCTCGTTCGCCATTCGATGAGGTTCCGGCGGCCCCCGAGGCCGCGGTAGCCGCTGCTGTCGAGCAACCCCCATCTGCGATTTCTCCTACCTCCACTGGAAACCAGGAGCCGGCAAAGGACCTGTCTTTCGACGAGCTTTTCGGAAGCAAGGCCCACAAACGGTCGGAGTCTCAGAACCAGAATGACTTTGATGAGGCCTTTGCTTCTATGAAGCAGCAGGCGGACGAGAAGACCAATGGTGCTGCTGCCGCTGCCTCTTCCTCGGAGTTCCCTCCTATCCAGGAGCTGCACCATGACGAGGAGGACGATGAGAGTTCGGATGACGAGGGCCCTCTGGGGTTCGACGATAACTTCACCCCAGTCTCTCCCACGACTTCCAAGAAGCAGGCCGACTCCATCGACGCTGCTCAACTTGCTGCTTTCCCTGCCCCGGGATCGGTTCAGCCGCCACCCCCTGATGCGCAAGCCAGCCCTCCTCAGTATGAAGCCAGGACTGCTGGAGATGCCAGCCACATGCCTCCGGAATTCAACGGTCTGCTGCCTGAGCGTGCCGATCCCACCGCTGCCCCGGATGCTCCTCACTCCGTTGAGTCGAGCACTGGCGCACCAGTGATTGCCAACGAGTCTCAGCGGGACCTTGGATCTGAGGCTGCTGCTCCAGTCATCGCTGGTGGTGCGAAGACGGGCGGACCTGACTTTGAGGCCGCTTTCGCTGGACTCAATCTTGCCCCCGCGAAGGAGGCCGATGATGAGGATGAGGACGATGAGCATGATGAGGGCCATAATAACAAGAACACCTCGGACTTTGACTTCTCGTTCGATTCGCCGTCCCAGGCCAAGCACGGTGCTTCTTCCAGCACCGATGCCGCCCAGGGTGCATCCGCTGATTTCTTCTCCTTTGACAACAATGTGCAAGCTGCGACTGCCCAGTCCACTACCTCCCCAAACGGAGGTGATTCCAAGGCCGATGATCACGACTGGGATGCTCTTTTCGCAAGTGCTAAGCCCGCCGCAGAGGAGACTGCTAATGGCGAGAGTTCCAAGTCTCCCGGCTGGGCCCTCAACAACGATTCTGGTGAAGATGACCTGATTCTGCAGCGATTAACAGGCATGGGTTTCCCTCGTGACGACTCGCTCGCAGCGTTGGAGAAGTTCGACTACAACCTTGATAAGGTGAGATGATCTCTGGTTAATTTGAATGCTCAAGAACGTCGTAACTGACTTCTGCCAGGCTGCGGACTATTTGACCTCGAAGTCTTAAAAACTTTGAATCAATCATAAACCCCATACCCCCTCATTCGCTTCCCCCCTCGTGCACATATCATCCACACATATCTCTCTTTTGCCATGATGCCTTTCCTTTATGACTCCTTGTCTTTTCCTCTCTTATCTTTGTCCTCAGACCTACCCCGCATCGTCCTTCCTCCCTGTCCCCCTTCAGCGTTGTGTACATCTTTTCCTTTTTCCTTCATCTAGTCCTTTGTCATCATGCTGCGCCTCCAGGGATCTCATTGGGAATCGTTCTTCCCAAGTGAGGGCCTGCGCAGGAATCGAGTGACAATTGTCTTTGTCTCAGTGTGCTTGTCTTTCCCATTAGTGTAGTGTAGTTTACGATAACCCATAATTGATCTAATTTCATGAATAATGTGCTAGTAATACGATTGTAACATACCAAGGGATCTTGCTACAGATCATCTTCTCCCTCCTCTAGAGTCAGGATCCTCTAGATTTGGATCTGATTTCAAACTTGCCCGAATTATCTTCTCAACTGCCCCAGACTCTTGTCCACTATCGTCAAGGAAATATGTTCTTCTACCCCTCAACTCTCTGCGAATTCGAAAATGGAGAAAACCCGAAGTATTTGTCTGGGTTGGCATTGCAGAAGTAAAGCTTTTTGCCTAATCTTTGTACCGAGTATGCTAGCGAGCTCAACTTCATGATCCCGGAGAGCTGGAAGAGGTAGATGATCACAGCGACCGGGGTATATCATGTCGGTATGGGAGATATCTTTTGTCTTTGGTGGACTTGTAGTTTGCATTGCCGGATAGCGATGAGCTTTGGCATATGACCTCGGGATTGACTGACCGATAAACTGGGAGGTCAGCGGCGTATGCAGATGCTAATATGAAGGAGCGTTGGATTTCTCACGCCGCGCGGCTTCTGCAGCTACATGGTGAAGGGGTTCGCTGGATTTGATTCGGATTTGATTTGTGGGGATTACTTGTGGAAAGTTGGGACCATGGCTTGAAATGAAGAATGTGAACTACCTACGTGTTTGCTTAGAATTAATTTATTTTTGTAAAGATATACTTATGAAAGAAGAATATCCTAGATGAAAGCTTCGACACCGTCTAGTACTAATCAGTCGTTAGATAGTTGGGATAGCCCCCACTTTCGCTGGAAGGAGTAATCGGAGTCTTCGGAGTTCCCAAAGGAGCAATCGCGATGTAGTGTCAGTTTTCAACTACCGATTTGGACAATCTTTTGGGAAATAACTCCTAACTGATTTAACGTTATATTGTGTTATGCGGATTTAACCTAACGCCGTCATTGATGGCCGAGTCGAATTCGAGATACCCTCCGGGGCTGTAGTTATTTAAGAGTCTTGTCTGCCACTATTCTCGGGGTAGAAGAAACATCAATCTCTATCATCCAGTCCAATTTTCAAGAAAAAGGCATTAACCAATTTTATCGACTTCACAATGACTCGAGTCCTTCTTACTGGCAAGTCTTATTATGCATTCACCAAACTTGAAGCTGCGACTAATATTCCACAGGGGGCAGTGGCTTCATTGCAACCCATGTCCTGGAGACTCTTCTCGCACGAGGTCACTCGGTTGTCACCACCGTCCGCTCTCAACAAAAGGCGCAAGCTATTCTCGCTGGTCATCCAGAGCTATCAAAAGATCGACTTGACTGTGCCATTGTGGAGGATATAGCTAAAGCTGACGGTAAGGGATTTCTTCTCATGGTAATTGTGTTGCTCAAGCTGATATTTGACGTTAGCTTTTGACAATGCCGTGATATCAGAGCCTCCGTTCGAGGCTGTCATTCATACTGCTAGCCCTTATCACTTCCACGCCAAGGATGCGAAGGAATTGCTGATTCCAGGTGAGCACTATATAAACCAAGACTTTGAGAAATAAATCTAATAAAATGTATCGAATAGCGATCACTGGAACGACTGGGATCCTCAAATCTGTGCAGAAGCATGCGCCCTCAGTCAAGCGCGTCGTTGTGACTTCTTCCTTTGCAGCAATCAATAATGTTTACGCCAAGGCTAAGGGAAAGGTGTACTCAGAGGTAATAATACCAAAGTTTTTCTTTTCAACACAAGCTAATCAGTTTACAGGCTGACTGGTGCCCTATTACTGAGGCTCAAGCCAACGATAACCCCGCCAACGCTTACCGGGCTAGTAAGACATTTGCTGTGAGTCAAGCCCAAATACTCTGGAGATTTTTTTTTATCAAACTGACAAATGAAAGGAACGAGCTGCTTGGGACTTTGTCCAGAACGAGAATCCCTCATTCGACCTTGCCGTCATCAATCCACCGCTTGTCTTAGGCCCTATTGCACACAACCTCGCCTCTCTAAGCGCCCTCAACACCTCCAACGAACGCATTCGAGACCTCATCACCGGTGCAGCGAAGAATAGGTGTCCACCGACAGGCAACTATCTCTATGTTGACGTACGCGACCTAGCACTGGCTCATGTCCTTGCGATCGAAAAGCCCGAGGCTGGCGGTAAACGTTTCTTCACGGTGTCGAGCCATTTCTCCAACAAGGAAATTGCAGAGATCATCGGCCAAGAGTTTCCCCAGTTCAAAGATCGACTGCCTTCCGGCGATGCTCTTATCCCAGGAGACTACCCGGCTGATGGAGTGTATGGCTTTGATAACACACGAGCTCGCGAGATCCTGGGTGTACCGTTCCGGCCCCTCAAGGAGAGTGTGGTAGACGCAGTGAATAGTCTGCTGTTGGTTGAGCCACAGATTGCGGATCAATAACTTATTTTGGAGTTTATAGATTAATTTGATTTTGTCGAGCCCATAGTCCATATCGGTGTTAGGACATAGCGTAGCCCGATTTGCGGGATTAACCCTCTCCGGTGAATTCGGTCAATTGGGAGATTCTCTAACAATCGCGAAACCTCTTTCTCCATCCTTTATCCCTCTCGATCGCCGACACCTGGAAATGTTTTCTACGTTTTCTGCTGATCTCACAGAATCCCGCCCTCGTCAACCGCGCTCGAAGAGAAGACAGGTCTCTCGTGCCTGCGACTGGTGCCGTTTGAACCGAATCAAGTGCGACGACGCGCAGCCTTGTCAGAATTGCTCCAAACGTGGGGGCGATTGCACGAACAACAGACAAGCCGAGTCGAACCAGTCGTCGCCGACAGCCAACAGGTATTGAAAAGTGCCAGTACAATGAAAAGAATTAGCTGACAGTTTGACTAGGGAGATTCAACAACTACGGCTACAGATTACGGAGCTACAGGAGCAGCTTAAACTTGTGAGCCAGTACACGCAAGACCAAGCCTTGTCGAAGTACGCATCACCGCCCCGCTCGAATGTCTCTGTTCAGTCTACTACCCCCAACCATCTCACTTCTCATGAAGCGCCATCGTTGAATGCAGCCAGATGGGAAGGTATCTGGCTTTCAGAAGGGAATGAAGGCCGTTCAATTTACTACGGCCCATTATCATCTCGATTCTTCGCAGATCGAACGAGCAGGTTCCTATCTAAAAAGATCAGAGAGTCAGCTTCAGAGCATTCAACCCTTTTATCGATCTCTCAACTCAACCAATCTGCTAGCACCCTACTCTTACCAGATTACCTGGATCAGGACCAATCATGCAAGACAACCCGGAATTTCAGCAACGATCAAGAGTTCGAGGAGCTTACTCGTGCCCAAGAAGAATACTTTATCGACCTACTTTGGCAAACGTTTCATTGCATATACCCTGTCATTATCGAAGACGAGTTTCGGGAGTACTACGACTCCACATGGACGGCCACGGATGATGGAACCAAGCGCAATTCTTCGGCGCTTGTTGATAGCCTACTGGCTGTTTGCATGCAGTATGGGAGCAGTTTCCTAACAAGTGATGATCAAGGGAATATGAGTGGGTCTCATGTCGAAGCTGCGTTGAGGACTGGTCATGCACTCCACCGTCGATCTCAAACTCTCATTCTCAATGAACTTGAGAGGCCATCAGTTCTGACACTGCAAAGCCAACTGTACTGCGTTATTTTTCTTTGCAATGATTCATCTCTGAATTCAGCATACAGCTATCTAGGCCTCGCGGCGAGGACGGCTCAAACGTTAGGGATACATGCACAGTCCAGGGACGAGCTTTCCTCAAGAGAAAAGCAGCTGCATCGCCGAATTTGGTCCACCCTCTTCACGCTGGACAGCCAGATATGCATGATTCTGGGCCGGCCGCCACTCATAGACAGTGGAGAGATTGATCTCACTTCCCTGAGAGACGGCCGAGAAGAAAGCCTACTATCTGGATCAATGTTGACCAGTCCCAACGAAGATATCACCTGGCTCAGCTTTCATACACAATCCGCTCGCCTAGTCTCGCTCGTGAGAGGTGTCCAAAGTGTATTCCAGACCAAATGCGCGCAGACGCTTTTAAGAAAGGCCTTGAATACAATATATGAAGATCCATTCTCGCTCGAAGAGTTAGCTGGCTTCCTCGCTCAGAATGCTCGCGTTATGTACGAATGGGCATGCAATGTTCCCGAGTCCCTCAAAATCTCCCGGAAGGGTTCCGGAGAATCGCTTTCTACGGAGCGCACTCCTCTTAATTTCAATCAATTCAGTCCCATCTGGCTCCAGCGACAGCAAATTCTGCTTGAAATTCTATACCATCATCTTCAGTTGTCAAATTTTCGGTCCTTTTTGCGGTTTACACCTGGATCTTCATCAATTACGCCTCTGTCTGATTGTCACAGCATAAACTGTCTCAATCATGCAATAGCTCTGACGAACATTCTGCATCAAGTCCTCACCGAGACAGACCTACTACGAGGCTGGTCCGCCATTTTCCAATATCAATGGGATGCAGCTCTTTGTATTCTTGGGTTCATTCTGTCTAATCCCGTCTGCCCACCTACCCCCGGAGCTCGAAAATGCATACATACCGCAATTAAATGTTTCGACATTATGGGCGAATATCTCCCTGTTGCAAGAAAGGCAGCTCAGAATATGCGAGAAGCTGCTGCTCAAGCAGAAATCCTTGCTGAGCAGGTTCACAATACCTTGTCGTTCCGCCGGCCAGCCAAGCGAGACCACCTTGGCCAAAATAAGGTACCAGCTGCCCGTTCAGTTACCAGTGCGGCTGTGCAGGAATTAGCTGCCCCGGCTTTGACGCCTGAATACCTTCAGTGTCTCTCAACGGAACCCATGTTCGATCCACTGAATTTTCTGGGGAGTCCTACTAGTTTACTGGATGATATGGATGTCATGTTTCACGGACCGTCGGAGAGCCTTATGAGTGTTGAAACAGATGAGCTGCTAGCTGGGATACAATCATCGTGGATACCACTTACTGAGCGAGTTCTACCGCCATGAGCCGGAAGTGTACGCTCAAAAGACTTCTAGAACTTATCTCTCCTACCTCATTGCCTTAATAGGAAGAATTTGAGATATTATTATTTTGTGAATAAGCTGCTCTTTGGGAAATTATAATGACAAACTCGACTACCTGCGCTAACTTGTGACATTCCAACTGATAAGCTGTACTCGAGTATATTCGTACTCTACAAGCCGAACTGTTTCCATGATTAACCCGAAGGAGAACCGAATACCTCCATGTGGATTCGATCTGGCGAGACGCCCAAGCTCTCCAAACTCTGACTCTGTGCTTTCATAAATGGCTGGGGTCCACAGATGTAGTAATCCGCATCGGCTAAGACGGCCTGATCTTTAATTTGCGCCATGTCCACACGACCGATGTGGTCATAGTCCACGCCTTTCTTGTCCTGCGCAGTTGCTTCCTCGTAGAACACCGACCGGCTAACTGATGGGTTTTGGGCAACGATGTGCGCAAGGTCCTTTTTCATGGCGTGAACGTGACCGTTCCGAGCAGCATGGATAAAAACGACTTTACGTGCTTGGCCTTGTTGATCGATAATGAATTTCAGCATGGACATCATCGGCGTCAACCCCACGCCTCCGCTGATCAGCACAGCCGGAGTTGTGGCATTAATATCGAGAACAAAATCACCGAATGGCATGCTGACGTCTAACTCTGCGCCGACTGGCAACGACTCATGGAGGACGTTCGAGACGCGACCGGCTGGTTTAGGTCCCGTCGCGAATTCTCTCTTAACTGAGATCCGGAAGTGGTCTGGGGTCGGTGAATCAGATAGACTGTATTGACGGGGTTGATAGGAGGCCAATTCGGGAACATAGCATCGCACTGTAACGAATTGACCTGGCTTGTACGTTGGAAGCTTGTCCTTGTCGACAGGAACTAGATGGAAGGAGATGATCTCGTCGCTTTCGATTTTCTTGTCGGAAATGAAGAACTTGCGCCATCCTTTCCATCCACCGGGTGTCTTCAAACCTTGCTGGTAAAGGCCCTCTTCAAAGTTGATGAAGATATCGGCGAGTTGTTGATAGGCCGCACCCCAAGCGCTCAGGATATCTTCGCTGGCTGCGGGTCCTAAGACCTCTTTGATGGCGGCCAACAGGTGCTCACCTACAATAGGGTACTGGTCTGCTGTCACGCCTAGGCTGGCATGCTTGTGGCCAATTCGAGATACCGCAGCGCTCAATGCTTCCGGATGATCAATGTTGCTCGCATATGCCCATACGGCGTGCGCCAAGGCAGCGGGTTGCTCTCCAGTTTCTTGGTGGGCGGTATTGAAGATGTTTTGGAGTTCGGGATGAGCTTCAAGCATGCGCTTGTAGAATAAAGTCGTAATAGTCACGCCATGCTCCTGGAGGGCGGGAATAGTAGATTTGACAATCTCCTTTTGCTGCGTTGTGAGGTTTCTCTGCAATGCGGGTACGAAAGCTTGTCGTCGCAGCGTTGGGAGCACTGCCCGTCGAAGGATACTGACCATCGACATTGCGTCAAGATCTTACTTCTCAAAAATGAAAAGGAGTCAAGATGCGACTACCAAGCTGTTGCAGGAGAATTGGAAATTTAAAGAGAACGATTGGGCGGGTTGTTCGGGATTTGTAGGCCACCATTGACATCACCACCATCATATGGGCCCATCCTCGACCCGAAACTTACTACCCAACTCCGCGGAGATTTGACAGGCAATCAATTGGGCCTTGATGACAAACCATGATTTCAGAATCCTCTCACACCCGACAAAATCACTCACATGACTGTCTTGTATACTTCTTAGGCAGAGAGCATGTCGCTAAAGTACAAGTGGGTCAAAGACTTTTTTTTGGCCGGGGTACTCGTCAATTAGGAATTCCCCGGATGACATCAAACGATGGTACTAATGCGATACCCCGTTATCCCATTATTAAGGGAAACTAATAGCTAGAAACGAGTACAAATGTGTCGGGAAAAGAATATAAAATTAAAATTTCCTCTTTACTTTTACTAAAGGCTTTCATATTTGCGGCGTTCAGCGAATAGGTAGCTTCGTTGTAGTTCGAGAATAGTTAAGCGTAACGATTGCAAATTCCAAGGAAATTCCCGGTCCTGATATGAAAGTCTACACAACAGCCCAAGAGGCTAATTATTGGCCTCGACGGCTAAACCCTTTTATTATGACGTCCCATATTGCTAGGTATCTGACTATATCATAGAATAATTTCAAAGCAACATCCAGCATGTTGCTTGGATCTAACCGAAACTTGGTAGCCGTAGAAGACAGTGTATTCTCGCAGTAGTAGACATAACCAAAGCGCTTTCTTGACATATGTAGATTCTATGCCTTGTGTATATTCTGCCCTTCGAGGAGCGACATCATTCATAAAGTAACAGCGCTCTTTTGGTTGTCTCCCAGTCTCACATAAGTGTTGACCAGAAAGAACAGGTACATGGCCAAGGTACAGTACAGTCTCGATAAGGTACCTCTCGCATGTCACCATCCACCTCGTATTTTGCTGCCTGTTTTCTCTCACTGCGGCACCTCTCTACATATCACCCTCGACTCCTTTCACTTTCCAAAACCTAATCACATCTCGTGCTCACGGGCTCTGCAGGTAATATTACCTTAAACCGTCAGCTTCGTGCCTTTGCGCCATCGTGTGTTAGTTTGCGGCCCTATCTTCAAAAGCGCGACCCGGCCCAGTCTCCGGCACCTCCAACCGTCATGCCCGGGATGGCCTCTGAAATGGAGTTGATGATGCAAAGCCTGCCTGAAGATGTTGGGAAGCTCAAAGATCATACCAACTACACTCGATGGCACAGTCGCCTCCGCCGTGCTCTTAAGCAACGAGACAATCGCTTCTGGCCTACTCTAACGGGCGCGAACAAGCCACCAGTCTTGCACAAGCTGTCTGTCCCTGATGATAATGTCGTGCGCGAGACTCTCGCCGACAAGTACATCGTTTCTCTGGAATCTATCTCTACGAATCAAATAGCCGACCACATCAACAAAACTGTCCACCAGCCTAATGCTTCACTCTTCGCGTGGAAAGCCATCGATCAAAAGCTACTACCTCTCTTCCTGGTCACTCTGGGATCTCATCTCCAGTTCCATGTTAGATTGGCCAAGACAGGCTCGGAAGCCTACCGCATCATCGAGGGCATGTTTAACGGATTAGCGAAACAGCATGTGTGGGCCAACTGGATCAACTGCACTTTCATCGCTCACAAAACGGCTCCGGACTTTATCTACCGCTGGCGTCGAGCTTTGGATGAGGTGATTTATCTTTTCGAGGATGATGCACCCTCGCTCAAGTGCCAGTTCTGTCAGTTTATGGCTGCAATTGATGGTCATCCTAATACAAAGTTCTGGGCACGGAAGGCTTCTTTTGATATGAGTGATGCTTCTGTGATGGAAAGGGTATTTCAGTCCTTTTTGTCACACTTGCCAAAATCTGGAAGAGTGGCCAATGGACTGAAGGTACATTGGAACATTTGACCTCCGGGAGAATTGAGAATTAGCTGGTTACGAAGCTCTCCTACCTGGAATGTCTTGGGGCTGGATATCTGTGGATTAAAGCACACGTTCCCTATTATCCGTTTTTAGGAATTTGGGGTTCCAGCAATCTCAATGGAGTCGACGAGTGATCTTGAATATTAAATGTCTCGGTTTATAACTGAGACAGTGCTATGCTAGTTCATCCTCTTTGCCAATAAAAATCTAAAAATGCTCATCGGAACTCTCATTTCTCTACGACTATTTTCATTAAGCTTAATTTTAGTACTCACTCTACTAGATAGCTCCGGACCGGAGTCCGAGTTACCTCCGGATCGCAATGAAAATAATACCGAAAATCCGGAGCTTTGAGGATATGCAACAGAGAGAAGACTCCTCATAGGTAATAACCTTTCATGTGTCCATGGAAGTAGGTATTGGTTAATAATTGAGAAGGGCATCAAGATGACTACAATCTGGATTTGTTTCTAGGTCCACGTTGCATTGGCATTAGGCAAAACGATCCTGACCAGGCACTATGGAGCGCTGCAGCACAGAATCGGTAGCCTAGAGCTACCCGATCGAGGTTCGAGTGAGAAGCAAGACTATTCGAAACTTACAAGTTCTTGGAGGTGACCCAAAGGGGTTTCTGGTGCTTGCGCAATACACTCTGATACATGAATGTCTACTCCGTACTGGTGTCTAATTTCGCAGAGAGTTGAGAATAATGAGCGACGTTATGAACACAAGCTGTTATTTCCTTGAGTCATGTAGCAAGAACAAATTTGAGAATACATAGAATCTGATATTGCGTGAGCTGGCTTCTTCCAGTCCTTCTCCATGCTCCCCAGGGAGAATTTAACTAACCCTAATATGGATCATGACGACTCTAACATCTGTGGGTATGCCTCAAGTCCAAGACTGAAACTCCTTCTATTAACTCCGACGTCCTACAAACATGAGGCTCAAGCTTGTTCTAGGTTTCTGCTTATTCTGTTCGTTCTGTCAGCCAAGCTAACCAGGCTGTGCACCAACGCCAGTACTACCATTCATGCTCGTACAAAGGCGCATTTGGAGGCCCGACGAGTTGTCACACATATATCCTGATCTCGACAGCGGTGAATTTGAATGTAACCAATAAAACGTCGAACCTTGTCGAGTGGATCTAATCTTCTCGCGCCGAAGTGATCTTCCCCCTTGCTATCAGCCGCATGTTCAATAATAGTACATCCTGTGTTCGGGCAGTCCGTCCGAGTGTTTGAAATGTAGATCCTAAGTATCGTTGCCTGCATGTCGGCCTTTTCATACACCCCGAAAGGATGGAAAGAGCGGCCCTTTGTTTCACTCGGCTACTTGGAAGAATCTTTATACCTGGGCTCTGGACACTCGGGCCGTCTTTGGTCGTTTGGCAAACTTTCAAGCCATTATTTTGCTCCCCCCACGATACGTGGATTAATGTCGACATCTCCTTCTATCCCATCGCCATTCGTAGATGCGGGGTCGCCCTTTGGCGTCTTCTTGGCGGCTCCTTGGCTAAATCCAATGGGAGATTTAAGCCGGTCGCTAAGCATCGTGAACTTCAGCTGGTGACCCGTCAGCGTACTCGGGGGGATGTCCGATGTACTTTTCTTGTCCAGTTTCTCTTCTGGCATATCGATTCTGCTGTTTATTGTCACGCCGGCGATGACTGTGACTAACCCTAATAAGAAAGGGCCATACATGGGGATTACCCTCGGGGCATTGAGCCTTGCTGGGCTGATGGGCCGCCAATTACGGGGGCCCTGAAATGCTTATGGGTCGTACCATCTAGCACTCACTCTTGCTGGGGTATTATCGAGTCCATTTGAGGTAACAATCGTATTCACGTAGACTTTTCTATCAAGAGGACTGAGCGGTTGCATGAGAACTGGAAAGTTCCAACCATCTCTAAATTGCAGAGAGTGGAGCATGCGAGACGCATCATTGTACTGTATGTCAATGGATCTCCTCCGTAGCTTCTTCTAGCCGATGCAAATGCAATGAGAATAATCAGATAATACTACTGTCATGTACTACATCTCCAGACTCAATCAAGAAAGACAGATCAAGCGCTCAACCAACCGTTCAACCACGTTTTTCCTTGTTGAAAAATTCCGCTTCGCAAGTTGAGCCGTGATTGCAATTTCTGCAATATTTCGCGAGGGGCTGCGGGTTTAGGCAACTTAATTTTACCTTTTCCTCGGCTCCAATGAATTAGACAACTCACTAGTTCCGCAGTTTAATCCTAAATAGTACATACAATAAAAATCCAACCGCATGAAATATCCTCCCCCACGCCCAACCTCAAGTGTCGTGATCCATAAGAATATTGCCCTTTGAAGAAAGAGTTTCGTAAAAGGGGCCGAGCAAAACACGGTCCATTGCTTCATCGGCTGTCCTCTCGAAGGCTGAGCGGAACAATGTTCCGATGACAGAAAGCCATAATCAGCCTCCTATTTCCCTTTAACCAAATACGCTGTTGCCTACCCTCGTGTCAGATGGGGGTATGAAACATTCGAGTCCAATAAGACGAATAAGCGACCGAGCGCGCTGACCCATGGACCCTGGACTAGCGTTGTAGGGGGCATAATATGCACCAATCCTTGTCCTCAATTGTTCCCAATAAGCTTTACCTGCCGTCGCTTGAAAGCTTGGCCCCCTGAATCAACCAAAGACATACTCCCAACGGAGGATCTGAGGGTCGATCGTCTTTCGCCCCGTACCCTTTCCTTTGCGTTGGGAATTTCAATTATATTGTTTTTTTGGGGAACATCTATCGGCCTTCTCGAAAGGCAGATTTGACTCGCGACTTGCTTCCTCTTGTACTTTGCATGAAAAGTATAAACCGGCTGAACGGCAAGACGAACTCTTTTCCACGAGATCAACTTCCCCCGCGGGCAAACCACTAGTCTACTAGACTGCTTTTGCTCTCCCAGAATGGCAATGGAGCTTGTGGCCACTTGTTAGTTAAACTCACAGAATGTCACTACTGGCCTAACCCATTGGGGTGTCCCTTTTTTGGTTCCTGTCGTGCTAAGGCTGAGAAGGCTGCCTCGGGTGTGGATCGTAGCATGCGTTTTTCTGGGGCGTAATGGGGGCAACAGGGGGTACGAGCTTGAGCAAATTTCTTTCTTAAGTAAACCGAAGTCCTCGATTGCTCGTGGATGTTCTGTTCCTGCTGTTTTTATTCTTTTTACCCAATGTTCTTTTAATCTTTGCACCGCCATATCTATACACTCCTACCTAATTCACCATGGCGATCTAGATCCTGCCAGCCGGAGAGTATTAGATTGACCGTCCATAATTCTTCTTTTTCTTCTCTTCTTTTACGTGTGTTACTTCGATCCTTGACCTTCCTCCGCTAATCATCCACCTACTTGTTCCTCGCCTTCCCATCTCCCAACATCCTGCTCCTCATCCATCCTCTTGCGCTGGTCTTTGAATCTCTCTACATCTCTCTGCATCTCACGTTTACATCACGCCCATCATGATCGACCTTGCTGCTCGCCATGCTGGTGAGAACTTGAAACACAAGCCTCTCCAAGCAATCTCCAAGCTCGCCCCATTCTCCGCCCTGATCATCTCCATCATCCTCGTCATCTTCTTCCTTATCCGCTTCTACATCCTCGAGGGCTTCCTGATCAAGTGGCTGTATGGCCCCATCTACACCAATCTGAACGAGCAGAACCGCCGTGGCTTCATCAATCATCACATTGCGGGTGCCACCAAGATCCTTATTCTCGCAATCGCCGCCTATCCCTTCGTGGTCATCACCTTTGGCAAGGAAACGTTCAGCACGCCGTTTGCTCCTCAGCTAAACTCAGTGGTCACCATGGGAGACATGCTCATCGTCGTTGCTCAGATGCTGATTGCCATGTACATCTTTGAGCTGCTCTATCGATCCAAGCTGTCTCCCGTTGCGATCCTGCATCACATCGGGACAATCATCATTGGACAATCGGCGATTGCGATTAGTTTGAGGCTGGCACGTGAGCCAGATGCTGATATTGAGTTCATTTTGTGCACAGTATGGGGTAAGTTAATTACGTGATCAACATCCGCAAAATGTCAAGATATCAAATATTAATATCCCACTATAGGTGCTTTCGATATAGTGTCCGAATTCTTCCCCCATGTTGCCATTGTTCTCTATCGCATCTGGCCTAATCGTCACAAGTTTCTCAGCACGGTCTTTCTTCTCTCCTGTTTCACCACCGCAGCTGGCACCACTTGTGAGACGATTGTGACGATGTGGCTCTTCGGAACTCTCTGGAATCAGTGGCAGATAGCCTTCAAAGTGGCTACACCTCTGCTTCACATCGCATTCTCAGCGGCGCAGATCCACGGCAGCATGGTCTTCTGGCGGATGTACAAGAAGCAGCGAAAACTTCTTCGGGAGGAAGAAGAGCGAGCCGATTCCTTTAAGGAAGGGAATATTGGCATCGCACTGCAGTCGTCCGCCGAGTCCATGTTTCCAGAGAATCGGTGAGGGAGTTCCTGCTAGAGGAATAGCTTGTCTTCCAGACATGCATAGCATTTCTGTATTGGTTTTTTGTCGTTTCCAGAGGCGTTTCTACGGTGCATGTGTGGGTCATTGCATTTGCCCAGGGCATACAACGGGCTGGCCAGTCTGCTTTTTCTTCGGTAGTTAGAGGAGTATGGTGATATGTTTCTACCATACTCAAAAATCAATTACACTGGGATTTCTGAATATTTCTTATCAACTTTCTTGTAAATATAGTAATTAATGCAAGGGGCTCATGCATAAGCCCGCTCCGAGAAATGCCCGACCCCCTCTTCTTATCGTCTTGGCCGCTGATCCCCCGCCAGCATCTTCTGTCTGACATACCCCAACTTCGAAACAACTCAATCGCTTCAATCCGCCATTATTTTCAGATCCAAAACCTGGAGCATATACAACAAGACCAGCGCTTTCCAAACCGCCCATAATGGCATCCTCGGCGAAACGTCCCGAACTAATAGCGATTGCCCGCGATCTGGCTGGCGTGCCGATGAGTGACGACTATGAGAAGATGATATCGGGCATGCTGTACGTGTTGACACCCGGCGGTCTACCATTCCGATAGATTATACATATTAATGAATAGTATCCACTATTCTAATACTGACTGCCTAACCTGTTACGCCTCCTAGTTACAATCCACTCCTCCCAAGCCTGGAAGAAGCCCGACACCGCTGCCGCATCTTGACCAACGACTACAACAATCTGGACCCACGCACTGTGCCATCTGAACAGATCAGGGACGTCCGTTTTGGCCTTCTACAAAAGCTGGTTGGGCGGGTAGGTGAGGGGTCGTTTGTCGAGCCGCCATTTCGGCCGGATTACGGGTGCAATGTCGTCATCGGGAGGGATTGCTTTATCAATTGGAAGTAAGTCGGCGGAGCCTATTTTCTTCGTTTCCTGCTGGTGTCTTTCTGTTTGTTCGTGCGGTTACACGTATTCCAGACGTGTTCTTACGTGACAATCGCAGCCTAAGTATCCTTGACACGTCTCTCGTGATTTTGGGGGATCGCATTCAAATGGGCCCAAATGTTGGCATCTATACCGCCGGACATGAGACGAGTGTCTTGTCCCGGCGGAAGTATATCGAGTTCGGACATCCGGTGCGAATTGGCGATGATTGTTGGATTGGCGGTAATGTAGTGATCCTCCCTGGAGTGACTATTGGCGAGGGATGCACTATTGGAGCAAGCTCTGTGGTTACAAAGGACATTCCGCCTTTCTCGGTGGCTGTGGGAAGTCCTTGTAAGGTGATCAAAACTATACAATCCGCCGAGGAAGAGGAACAAGATCCTGAGAATCCTTACCGAGCAATGAAAAGAGAGTTGTAATCATAGAAACTTCATTAAATGGGCCGAAAAAAGAAAGAGCATCTAAATCTGCCATAACAGGCCACGAGCAGGCTAACTTCTGTTTCTGTCGTAAAACATACAGAGCTAAGGATGAGCTGCGTTGCCTCGTGGTAAACATATCATGGCGGAAAACTCTCGCCCAGAACTCTCAAAACAAAATCAAAACTCACACCAGTCACCTTCTCTCCTTCCTTTGATTCACCCCGTTGATATCTTTGACGAGAACCCAATTTGCATGGGCCTCGTCAGGCCATCTCCTTGAGAGTGAGAGTCACTGGGGGGGGGGGGGGGGGGGGGGGGGGATTTTTCCCAGCCTCACTTCTCAAGTCGATCTCTCGTGCTGGGCCGAAACCCGCTGCAGAGAGAGCACTGTGACTGGTTAGTACAAATCCTGTTATAGGTAGGTGCTTTAGAAAAACGGAGGGGTACTTACAAAAGTCCTCCCAGGACCGCTCTCGAGCCTTGGCTCGCAGACTACGACCGTGCATCAGGTCGTCGAACCCCTGCGAGTTCTGCAGGAAGTTATACACGATTCCGAGTATAACAACAACACCGAGGGAGAACACCCAGGTCCGAATCACGGCAACGATGGAGGTTGCCGGGTGGGCAAACGTGCCGAAGACCACCATCAGCGTCGCCGTGATATCGACGGCCAGAACCGCCATCAGCAGCTGCAAGGATGGCAGGTTCTTCCAGAAGGGCCCATCGATATGGCGAGTGACCAGGATCAGCCAGTTCTGAGTCAGGGTGATCTCAAGGAACATCACCGAGTCACGATCTCCGAAGTTTTGTACCAGACCGCCCCCCTCCCCATGCAGAAGCATGGTGCCGAACGCAATCCAGGATCCAGCTGCCAAGATGAAGCCCATGATGATGGAAATGCCCCACAACTTGGGCTGGTTCCATTTGACTGGGGAAATCGAGAAAGGCGCATTGTCATAGGCAATTGCCAGCGTGGCAATGTCGGCAAAGATGGCGACCAGGACAACGTAACGAAGATCCATGACTGCGTTCATGGAGATAATCCACAAGCCAAAGAAGATCATCAGATGCAGTGACAATGCAATGCGATAAATCACATACGAGTACATGCGGTGGAAGATCTGACGGGAGAGCTTGATGGCGTCAATAATGGCCGACAAACCGGGAGCCATGAAGACAATGTCCGCAGCTGAGCGAGCAGCATCAGAAGCACCCTCGACCGCAATACCAGTATCAGCCTTCTTCAGCGATGCAGCATCATTGACACCATCTCCAGTCATGGCCACCAGGTGACCTCGCTTTTGGAGAATCTCCACAACGCTGTACTTGTGTTCAGGGTATACCTCCGCAAAGCCATCCGCAGCCTCGACAAAGTCATTGACTTCAGAGCCAGGCATGTCACCAGCACCAGTCACCCCCAGGCGTTCCGCATTATAGATGTTGGTGCCAAGTCCGAGTTGACGAGCAGTCTCGCGTGCAATACCCACAGCATCTCCAGTCAGCATTTTGATGGAAAGCCCGAGTCGCTGGGCCTCTGCAATGGTCTTTGCGGTGTCGTGGCGAGGAGGGTCCAAGCATGGTACAATTCCCAGAATTTGCCAAGGCTGGTTATCGATCTTGCGAGCAACACCAAGGGCACGGAATCCACGGCTGGCAAACTCAGTGACCTTCTCAAGGTATGCTGTTTCAACCAGCCCGTCGATGGGGTGATCATCCTTGACAGTTCGCAGCACTGGGAGCGGTGCGCCCTTGACACAGATAATTCGCTCGCCTTGAGGTGACTCAACAATAGCCGTGACTTTCTTGGAAACCGGATCAAATGGGTGGAACTCGATGACCTTGTATGATCCAATCGCCGCCTTTACCTCTGGATACGCCCTGAGAGCTTTGAGGAAGACTCTATCGATGGCATCGATTGCTCTTTTCTTGTGACTTGCGGCCAGGCAAGCAGTTAACATGATCTCGCTCTCGGTCACATTGGGAGTTGTGTACGGGTCGCCAAGGGCAAGCTTGTTGCGGGTCAGAGTGCCGGTCTTGTCCGAACAGAGGATCTCAACTCCTGCCAGTGACTCGATGGCGGATAGCTTTTGCACAACCGCTTGTCGCTTGGCTAGGTAGGATGCACCGACAGCCATTGTGGTGGTGACAACAGCCGGAAGACCAACTGGGACTCCAACGACGGTGATTGCCAGAGTGAAATCCAGAATGTCTCTGATTGGGTTTGACCGGTAAAAGGATGCCACCCAGACCACGAAGAGAGTGATGGTCACGAGCGCCAGAAGAATCATACTGATGCCATTCAGGACCACGGTGAAATGACCAGCTCCGCCATCTGCAAGAATCACGAGTGCTGCAGCCCGTCCAACAAAAGTCTGGTCCCCAATTGCAGTTACAATCATGCGGGCGATTCCCCGCTTGACAGTGGATGAGGCGAAGCAATTGTCATTGTGGTGCTTATCGACTGCGAGAGATTCACCGGTGATGGATGACTGATCGACTTGTAGGTGAGCTCCTTCACTGAGCATGACACCATCGGCTGGAATGATTGTGCCCTGCAGATCAAGTTAATAAGCTGTTGCATGATACTGATGAGCGTACAGAGAGAACTTACATCTTCGAGGTGGACAACATCACCAGGGACCACTTCCTCTGCAGCAATCTCCAGCATATGCCCGTTTCGGGTCACAGTAGCCTTGAGAGCCAGTGTCTCCTTGAGGCTGTCAACAATGTTTCCAGCATGAAATTCCTGGGCAAAGCTGACGACTGCATTGAGCATCAGCAGACTGCAGATAACAGCGAAGTCAACCCAATCCTGCAAGCCGCTAGCCAGCAATGCAGAGCACTGTTGAAGTTCTTTGTTAGCTTACTTCCATATGCAAGGCAAAAGGGAAGTATGTGCATCGTCAGGGATACATACCAGCATGACAATCTGCACAGGTCCGACAAAGAGCATCAAGAACTTCACCAGGTTGTTTCGGTGTTCCTGCCTCAGGCAGTTTCTGCCATACTTGCGGCGTGCAGCGATGACCTCTGCATCATTCAAGCCCAAGTTGAGGTTGGTTTCAAGCAGCCCAGCATGATAGCGAAGGCCAGTCCCTTCAGCAATGGTGATAACCTCTGGGTCAGGCCCCTTACCATCCTCCTCCTCAAGCTCAGTGATGAGAAGCTCAATGTCTGCAACAGACTCCTGTTGAGTAGACTCTCGTTGAACAAAATCGTCAAGCCTGACACCGCCAGAACTCTCAGAATTGCAACGGTCAGAGGCTGCAGAAGTTGCCAAAGCATCCTTGTCCTCCTGGTCACTTGCGTGATCTGGAAGGTGGCTGCTAAGCGACATGTTGCGGATATCGAAAGGATCCAAAGTCCTCGGAGACGAAGGGCTGGATACGGTGTTGCGTGGCATAGAAGAGATGTTTTTATGATTATGAAGAACGATGAAAGGAAGAGGTGTTATGGATGGGTGTGGGAGAGAAGTGATGGGTGAGAAGGAAAAGGAGGAAGATGATTGGGGGGGGGACACAACAGTTGAGAACAACCTCCCGTGACTACGGCACATCTCTCTACAGCAGGAATAGAAGGTACGACTACTTCTTCGGACCAGCGTGACGCGTCTGGTTGGGAGTTTACTATGGAAGGGCCCCAGCGAAGCCTATCATGGGCTTGGGACGCGTGCCTACGGTCAACAAAGTCTGGGTTGAGCAAGCAAGAGCGAGCCAACGGCAAAGTCGAAATTGCCAGAAGAGGAAGGGTATGAGGCAGCTAGAGGCTCAGGCGCCTAAGCGCTCGGGATAGCGCTTAGACGAGGATTTCGCCTCGCAGCAATTGGCCGAGGATACCAGCTTCGAGAGGACTGATATCCATTAGATTTCCTGTTGCTTTCTCAGTGTCCTTATCTGGAGTGTGGACATGCTTCCACGGCAATGTCTAGTTCTATATCACTCTGGGACCAGACGAAAATGGAATTTGTAAGCATTGGATCTCAAGTCATGCAGCGCTGTCATTTGCTATTGGGCAAGAAATCCGAGTCCATTGTGGCCAGAACAACAAATTGAGGCTCAATCTACGGGATTCCAATCTCTCCAAAAATGCTATCCTATTTTCCGTCATGGACGAGGCCTTTCTCTAATGTATCTTGACTATGCTGGCGTGATGATGGTCTGTGACGGAGTAGTGGTTGCTTCAATTGAATCGTGACATTCTGGGTGGAGGATGACCTGGAACTACATCAAAATTCTGATGAAAAGTTAGCTCTGCCAGTTCCTTCCAATAATTTGACTCAATTACATCCATGGATACAACCCTTTCGAGGGAGTGAATTATACTCGAGTGTGCCAAAGATATACTTCGAACAATTCGAATGCGGAAGCAACCAAGATGAACATGTTTGCTGGGACACAACATCACAAAGTAAACGAAACTCTACGTTTACGAGTCCACCCCCCAAAAGTCAAATCAGGCAACGACTAAGTGGACTACAATCGTCGCGGCAACCATGTTGAACCGTGGTGGCTGGCGGGTATAGTTAACGATCTATACGACCACCCATCCATGGACCCTTGGTTGTCGCCTCAGGCACCGGATTATGTAATTGCCTGGACGTCGTCGTCGCCATCGAAGAAAATCGATGCCGCTGAAGCAGCCCGTCAACTGGGCGATGGTGGAATGAGCTGTACACGCTTGCTTCAACAATAGCTTTGTGTTTACTGGTCCTTTGAGAGGCATGGTTGTCGTCCCCGTTGCCTATCTGACGGCCTCGTGAGCCTGTCTTTGAATCTTCCATCAATCCGCTCAACCCACCTCTTTCCATTTCCCATATTATGTTTCACGCCCAAACAAGTGTTTTACGAACCTTTTGATTCCTCATTCTCTCACATTTCAATTTGCTACATCGATATCTCTCTTCATCCCAGAGGCTACACCAACCTTGTTCTTCATCCCAGAGCTCCATCAAGATGAATCCCGAGATCCCCGGCTTCTATTACGGTGAGTACCATGCTATCAACTACATATTTAAACTGCACACTTGGCGCCCTCGACGACCTCATTTCGTGGCCCTTTGTGTTTGTCAGCACTAAACTGATACGGCTTCTTATCAAACAGACCCTGAGAAGAAGAAGTACTTCAAGATTCAGCCCAACCATGCTTCGCCACCGGGTGCTCAGTATTCCCAGGAGTCCGTCAAGCGCAAGCGTCACGAGCAAGAGGTCAGTGTTCATCGTCTCACGAACGAAGGTTTCTCAAATCTGTTGATGCTAACTTTCCACAGGAACAGGAGAAACAGGCGCACGTCAGTCGGCGGATCGCCCGCGAGACCGTCCTCAAGCCAAGTTTCCTCCATCACGCACTCATCAGTGTGGACCGGGAAGTTGGAACGCGTTTGTTCTCTGCTGCTGAGCTGCAGGATCGACAGGCTAGTATCTACGTGAGCCAGTTGAAGCGCACCAAGCTTCATCAATTCGAGCCGTGGCCTGGCCCTTGTAATATCCGTCATGTGCTGCGACATCCTCGCTCGGGTATCCTGATCACCAGTACGTACCTAACGCTGCTTCGATGTCATTTGGATGATTAACTAATAAACCTTCACTAGCTGGAATCCAAGGAAATGCATCTTCTGTCTCGTCAGTTCATCCTCTATCTTACTCCCGATGGGAGTACTTGCTTATTCGTTACAGGATCTGCTTCCCCGATAATGAGGAAGAGAAATGGACATACAACCAGACCATGGAGCGGCTTCTTTTCAGAGAGCCTTACAGAGTATGTCACTCCGTGCCTCACCCCTGATAAAAGTTACTGACCATTTCACTTGCAGCTATCGTCAATATCTTTGAGCCATACCGGGTACTTATTGTATGTCATCTCCGGGTATCCTGCATCCCCGTCCAGCGAACCCACTAACACACCGCAGGGCAACAATGGACAGTGGCCCACAAGGCGAATCCTTTCTATCTCCGCGGCTACTCCCAAATCCAGACGAGGGTGGTGACTACCGCTGGCCATCTCAATGTAAGACACACGCATCACGCACCCAACCAGACCATCCATTAACAAATCCCCCAACAGTCCTCCACCCCATCCGCATCCGCACCACGCAAACCCTCTGGTGCTCGGCAGCCTGTCCAACAGGTGACAAGGCCCTCTTCGCCGTCGGAACCTCGGACGGACTGCACACGCTCGAGGGACAGAGCAGCCACTGGACGCTGTCGCAGAAGCCCCTGCCCAAAGAGCAGAGCAACCGGGGCCAAGGATTTCGCCGACACGGCAACTCCTCGCACGCAAGCGTGCAGGCAGTCGAGTGGCTCACCTCGGACGTCATCGCGTCGGGGCTGCGCAACTCGTCCGTCTTCCTGTACGATGTGCGCTCTGGTGAGAATTCGCTGCGGCTGCAGCATTCGCAGTCGGTCACGAAAATCCGGAAGGTAGATCCGTGGCGGATTGTTGTTGGAGGCTACAACTCGGTAAGTCGTGTATTCTACATGTGCTAGGTTAGGTTTGTCTCGCTCACGCTAGGTCAGGTTGAAATGTATGATATCCGTTTCGCAGCCGGGGGCCTCCAACACAAGCCCAAGCCTATGAGCGGCTCTCACATCTCGAGCCGCCCATATCTTTCCTTCCGGGACTTCTCGCCCGAGGAGATCCCCGACTTCGATGTGAGCATTGAGTTGGGCCTGTTGGCATGCGGTAAGATATCGCTTTTCCTACCTTTCCCTATACCTTGATGTTATCGTTTTCTAATCACCCTCACTCTCCAGCATCCGATGATAGGAAGGTGCGCTTCTTCTCTCTGAACACTGGGAAGTCTGTCCGTTCGCCCCTCTTGAACACCCCCTATCGCCGGCCCATCACGGGCTTGTGCTTCGAGGCGACTGGGGAGATGAGCCCGCTCGGGCCGCAGACGCCCAGCTTGCTGGTTTCTTCTCAGGCTACTGTAGACCAGTGGGTCTGGTAAGGGTGCTTTGTCTCTCTGTGGTTCTGTTTCTCGTCTGGCGTAACTTTCTGTTCTTTTCGGGGATACCCTTTTGTCATTTTTGTTGGTGTTTCTTCTCCGTTATTCTTATCATAGGCATCAATGTTTGATTCTAATCCTTTCCTTTCTGTAAACCGTCCGGTGACAGTTCTGACTATACTCTACACGTGATACAAAGGTGAGTATGTAATCCATAAGAAAAGGGTATAATTCATTCGCATCCCACGTAAGGTGTTTTGCATGCAACCGACAACCAAATCCAAACTCCAATGCAAATAGTCTAAATCACTAAACCCATATTCGTACGCCAGTAGTGCATAAAACAGATTGTATGACACGATCAATCCAGTCCACCTGCAAGCCATTCCCCAACCTCGACGCCAATTCCCTTCGCCAACTCCCCAATCCAATCCCCTGACACATTCACACACCATTTCTCACCCGCGTCAGAACTGGTATTTCCGCTACCCGTACTGGCAAATCCAACATGACCCGAAGCAGGGACCACGAGACGCAAACGGCGTAATGTCGCTAGTTCAGCATAGATCTGGTCTGCGACGGCTGCGGTGTTGATAGGGTTCTCAGGTGGATTTGGATCGACGGCGTGGTAGATTGCTAGTAGACGTTCTAGTGGGAATGGACGAGCGGATAGAATGGTTGATGGGCCTGTGATACCCGCGCCACCGCCGACGGCGGATGTCGTTGCTGAAGATGTTGCAAAGGCTGAAGAGAGTGTGGACTTGGTGATACGGGTTTTCGTCCGCTTGCCCTTTCGGGGGGTGGAGGGGTCGTCGTTTGCAGCGGCCCTGTCTTCCGCCTGTGCTTGGGACAGGACCTTCAGTCGGCGACGATGGTGAGCACGCTTGTTACGTGCGGATAGTGAGCTCGACGAGAACTTGGAAAAAAAGATCGTGTCCAGGCGTTGCGGGGTGTGAGATGCCAGGTACGCCGATGTAAGGATCAACGTCGAGAAATAAGGGAGATGAGGTAGAGCAGACGGTGCTGCTGAGGTTGCTAATGGCTTGCGCACTGTCTTGCTCGAAGCAGAAGTGTCCTCGGGCACAATTCGGTGGACCAGTGCAGACTCGCCCTGGTGCCGGAAAAGAGCCCTGTTCTTCACCAGTAGACGGGTAAAGTCCCATTCCGTATTTCCACCGGGAGGGGCTTCGCCTTGAACCACTGGTGCAACGAACAGGGGCCATAGCCGGTGACATATAGATCGGAAAGTTGGAATTGATCCTGCTGTCGGGCCGACCAGGGTGTCGTAGATTGTCGCAACGAAATGGGGATATACCCGTGAGGAGGTCTCGTCGGGTAGATTTTCTACCGAGGGCATCGGAGAGGCTAGTAGAATATCGATCGCCTCTTTCCGCGTATACGGAGGGAAGCTGACATGGGGAACAGCCGCATTTTGTAGGAAGAGCGGTCGAGGAGTCGAACTCAGAACGAGAACAACACAAAGAGACGGAATCTGTAGAGCCAGAAAGTCAGTACTCTATCACGAGCGGCTACATCCCGGGGCTTGGACAACTTACAATCTCTCCGAGTCTCGCCAGGGCAGACAGTAATGTTGGTGGCGCCTCTCGCTGGCGATCAATCTCATCCAGCACCAACACAAACTTTCCACGCTGCTCCTCCGCCCTAGCCGCGAGACACTCCTCCAGCAGCACTGCAAGCGTACTAACATGCTCGCATCGACCTTTGCCGTATTTCTCCCATTCATCTTTCTGACCCAGAGCCTCGAGTGTATTCCACAGAATCTTAGTGAGGAGATGTCGTGCCGTAATACATTCCGAGCTGCGGACGAAGGCGTGCGGTACCTCGAGTGTTGACAGGACACCACGAAGGATTGTAGTTTTGCAAGTAGCGGACACTCCGTGTACGACTAAGCTCGACAGACTAGGGGTATTTGGCTATCGTAAAGAGCACAAGTTAGCAAGCTTCAAAAGAGGACGCTGTCCGGTCTAATTTCCATGGGCTGCGGAGATCCTGGAAACCTCCGAGAAATACTTACATGAAGCAGGCTGGCAAGCTGCCGCGCCTGTACGTCCCGACAGGGCCATTGTGCGCTCAGGGAGCGAGAAACTTCCACGGGCTGCATGAGGTCCCGAATCCCAGCTTCTTTCGCTGTAGAATGAGGTTGTCAACAGTAAGAAACCACGGCGTGTGGTCTCGACCTACGGCTTCCCGTCCGAGGCACCCCTTTGGTCACGTGCTCTCGCGACGCGTCGGAGGAACCAGCGGAAAGATCTAATTTAGCATACATCGAAGCTTAAATCTACAAAGGCAATTAATTCTAGGAGCATGTCTACGACTTTGAGAATGTATTCCCATAGAAACCGAATTCGATTCCAGTGCTAGAGTACAAAAATGCAAAAAGTGTGTGAAAACGAAATGACAGAACATAGATTTGAAGAAGAGTAGGCAGAAGAGACGAGGATGAAGACCAGGTTAGCTCGAAGGAGCTATCCTAGAAGACAGAGACGCTCTCTATCACACCATCTATTCAGTTGCATATGTTCTTGGGACAAAATGACCCATCACAACACAAGTGCAATTCAAAAAGCAAATGAGCGCAGAGTACAGGTAGAAATAAGAGTGAAAGAAAAGTAAATTGGTGGGGAAACACAATGCAGGAAATGGAGATGGCTCGTTGTTCACCTCGACTACCAGACCAAAACAACGAACAGCCAGTTCTTCCCCGAGGGGAGAACCAAGGCCATTCAGTGTCATGTGGGAAGGCCATGTAGACCAAGGGAACAGCAAAGACCATGGGGTGGGGGAAAAGTACAAAAAAAAGGCAGAATGGGGGGAACAAAAGCGAGGGGAGCCCGAAGCTGCACAAGGCTCCCCAACGCTGACTGCACCATGCGAGTTTCGCTAGATGTATGGAGGATGTATGCAGGATGCAACACGTGAATATTTGCCAGATGATGAAAGAGTCGTGACGCATTGCTTCATGCACGGGAAGAGAAAGTCAAATGCAGGCGAAACAAGTATGGAATGGGGGTTGGACGAGATGCTGATGATGAAAAGATCATGGCACATGCAGCTAGACCCCAGTATGATGACAGTCTTGAATTGAAATCCGTTAAATCATCAGAAATTCATGGCATCGTGGGAGTCGATATGGGTACAGGTTGAAAATGGTGTATGCACATGTGTGACGGGGCGGACCAAGCGGGCCCACGTCAATAGTAGGCGGCGTAGACATGTCCATGGGCGCCAATGTGGCCGTTAACGGCAGGTGGAGGTGGGTTGTAGATCACGGTGGTCTCGCTGGGGGCGGGGTTAGGAGGGGAGGCGGCTCCGGACGAGAATCCCTGGCCATTGAAGCCGGCGGTACCATTAGCGGGTGGGAGAGCATTGGGAGCCGGATGGAAAGGAGGGTAAGCCTTCGGGACCATATGCTTGGAAAGCTGCGCGCTGGTCGTGGTCTCGTTGGGGGTCACCTGTCCACTGCTCTGGCCACTGGAACGGCCAGAGCCATCCGCGGCCATGATCTTACCGGCAATGCGGCGGCCGTGGGGAGTCTGGCGGATAGTCGGCAGAATAGGACGAATGGCGTCGACAATGCGTTGACGGTTCTCTGCATCAGCAAAGTCCATGGCAGTCTGAACAACGTAGTTGGCAAATGAATCACGGAGCATCTTCTCCAGCTCGTTGCCAGAGAGGATCTCGTCAATCATTTCACGGCGAGCAAAGCCATCCGCGGTGCGCAGACACTTCTCAATCACGTTGGAGCTGAACTTCTGCTTGGACAAAGAAGGGATGTTACCAGCAAAGGTCTGGCACAAAGGGTTGGTAAAACGCGACTCAGCAAGATCCAGAATGTACTGAACAACGTAGTTGCCGAAGGGGTCCTGGACAAGAGCAAACGAGTTCGAGGTGATCTGCGCAATCAACCGAGCCTTCTGAGCACCAGAGGCATGATCAATGCAGCGCTGCAGAACACAGCATCCGTGACGGTGAGTACCGACGACAACGCAATTAGCACCCACGGCCTCGTAGATGAACTCGGCCTCCTCCGCATTCAAACGGTTCAAGCACTTCTGAATGACGTGGTTACCATTTAGGTCCTGAACGAGCTCAACGACATTATTCTTTAGAGCTTTAATAACAGTCTGAGTCTGCTGAGGGGTGGAGATGAATTCGATCATCTTCTGAAGAGCTCGGGTACCATGCTGATTCAGCGCAATCTTAACGAGCTGGGGAGCTGCATTGTCAATCAGGGTAGTGCGCTGATCATCGTTCGAGTACTCGAGAAGCTTCTGGCACAGGTAGTTGCCGAACGGATCTATAAAGATGAAAAGAAGACAAAGTTAGTTTTGCTCATGAGGAGGCAATGGGGGAAACATACCGGTCATCAGCTCAATAACGTGCATGTAGGTCTCGCTGAAGATCAGCTGCACATGCTCTGGGTCACGGTCCTCCAACTTTCGCTGCAGGTATCGGCAACCATGCTGGTCCTTGCAAAGGCTGTACAGATCACCCTTGTAGTGCTCGATGGGGAAATTGGCGTAGCGAGTCGCCTGTCCCGCGTCACTCTCAGTCTGGCGGCGCTGGGTGACGGGGCCACGAGTAGCAGCAGCAGCATCGTTGAAGCGATAGTTGTTAGCCGCGTAGGCCGGAGCAGGATAAGCAGCGTAGTTGTTGGCCTGCCCGAAGTTCGCAATGGGGTTGGGTGCCTGGGTTGGCTGTCCAACGTACGGCTGGACTGTATAGCCAAACAAGGGAGGGAAAGGCACACCAGCAGGGGCAGCCGAGCCTGTAATGCCATTGTTCGAGGCGGCAGAGGTCAGCTGAGGACCAAAAGGTGCAGCGCTAGCCTGAAGGATTGTCTGCGGGGACAGGCTGCCTTGGGTCAGCTCGGGCTCGGGGGAGCCTTTAACAGCGCGAGGGGTGGCTCCCCCCGTGGGGATACGGCCCATGCTGGCATTGTGCTGATGCAGGTGCTCAGCGTGGGTCTTGGGCGGGGTGATCGCCGCATCAAAGCCAGTGCCTTTAACAGTTGGCAAGTCATTGGTCGAGTAAGATGTCTGCAGCGAAGTGGGGCGAGAGGAAGTCAGCGGGGTCATAACCTCTGGAGTACGATCAGTCGAGAAACTCAGTCCACCCTCGAGCGAGTGACGAGGGAGATGGCGAGAGTGAGCCAAGCCACCACGCTCGTCCTTGGCGGGGCTGGTCAACTGCTCGAAGCGCATCGTACTGATCAGGTTCTGTGGCATGCTCTGGTGGCTGGTGCGGTAGCGGCTGTGGAACGCGTACGACTCTGGGCCTGGGGTACGCGCGTTGGCCAGATCATGGGCATCAGGATTTGCGGAAAGCTGCGAGGATCTGGGTCAGTCTGAAGTTGAAAATCAGTCCAGAAGGAAGCCCTGAGCTTACGAGGTTGGAACCATCCCGGCGCAGAGTGGGGAACTTGTCATCAGGCTCAGTCATCTTGATGTACCCTTTGATATCTGGGGTTGACAGTCGTTCTTCGTCCCGGAGGATGTTCATATTGGGCTCGTCGCTGGGGAACAGATGTTTGGTGGCAGCGAAGGAGTCAACACCAGGGCCAGTTTTGTATCCAGGACTGGAGACGTTGGGTCGGTACGAGCTGCTGAAGTTGTTGCTAGGCAGCGAGTATCGGTGTAGCCTGAAAAGGGGGGAGGGAAGGTTAGAATGAAGCGAAACGCAAGTGGAGCGGTTGCCTTGGGAGGTCACCAAGAGGTCACCAGCCGGGTCACTTGGGAGCAAACACGCAAACAAGCAGGAGAGAAGGATGAGAGAGGGTCCGTAGAAGCGTTGACTTACGAGGGTCCTGGGCGGAAAGGTGCGCTGTCCATGGTGAAATCTTCTTTCTCGGAGTTCCGGCGGGATGTAGGCATCGAGTGACCAGCAAAACGATCGATTGGCTGATGGTTGGGTTGAGACGAATGCGAGTGCGAGGGGCCTTGAGGGGAAGTCAACTGCGAAGAAGGGGCAAAAGCAGAGAAAAATCCAGGCGAGGAGGTGACGCTAGAGGTTGAGAATCTGCCGGGGCGAGTCACTGAAGAAACGGTAGGTTCCACATGCTCCGGAGGGGTCGTCGGCTCACTCACTGGCCCCGAGAGGCCAGCCTTGGCCAAATCGCGAGCGAGCTGATCCATTTCGATCTTTTCCTTCTCGTGCTGCATATCCAGCAGCTTCATGTCTTCTTCGAAGCGCCGTTTCTGTTCTCTCATGTACTCGATATGCTGACGCTTCTTCTCAAACTGGGGGGGAAAAAGGTTAGCTGGCCATTTGTAGAGCGGAATCAACCACGAAAACGATATGCAAAAAGACATGGGTAGATATGCGCCAAAGACCGATTCCAGTGTAGTCTTCGAAAGTGCGTCCTCGAAAAAAAGCAGTCCTCGAAAAAAAGCAGTCCTCGAAAAGAGCAGTCCGCGGAATGTAACGACCAAGTAACGGAGAAGTAACGCCAATTTTGGGGGGGATGCCCGCAAAATATGTCTCACAGGCACCTTCAAAACGCCTTTAAAAAGGACGCCTTAAAAACAGATGCTGGGTAAAGGTACCCAAAAGACACGAAGGCAATATGAGACCACGCCAGAGCCATATGGGTTGACTGCGGAGGTACTTCATAAGTACCTTCTAGGCGCTTTGAAAAAGGACACCAGGTATCGGTAACATATTGCATCAGAGTGGTGGGAGGCACTCGCAAGAGCCACCTTAATGATACCTTCCAGACGCCTTGAAAAAGGACGCCCGATAAAGGTATCCGACAAAAGGCAACACAAGAACACGCCAGAGTCGCGGAAGGTATCCGCAAGAGGCACCTTCATGATACCATTAAGACGCGTTAAAAATGCCAGATACCGGTACCCCCAAAAGACATTCCGAAGGCGACAAAAGACAAAGCCGAAGTTGTGGGAGGTCCTCACGAGAGGCATTTCACAAGCACCTTCCAGATGCCTTGGAAAGGGACGCCAGATGAAGGTGCCCGAAAGACACTCCAAAGGCAACCCAAGACAAAGCCGGAATCGTGGGAGGCACTGGCGAGAGGCACCTCACAAGCATCTTCCAGACGCCCTAAAAAAGCACGCCAGATATCGGTAACCGAAAGACACCCCAATGGCGGCCCAGAGCCACGCCAGAGTCGTGGGAATGTTGCGCAAAAGGCAGCTCAGCAGCACTGAACGGCATAGCAAAATGGGCTCCCGAAAGACACCCCGAAACCAACCCAGATCCACGGCAAAGTCACGCAAAGGGCACTCCCAATATGGATACCGTGAAGATACCCCGAAGGAAACCTTGAGTCACGCCCAAGTCGCTCCAAAAGCACACCAGGGATAGCCCAAAAATGGGTGCCGCAAAGGCAGGCTGAAGACACTTCAAGGCCATGTATCGGAACTGGTACAACACGTGCAGGCACCTTCAGAGATGGGAGATGCGGACAGCGACCAAATCGACCAGACAGGCCGGCTCACAGCGCCGTGTATGTCTTCCAAGTGGCCGCGGACTGGACCAAAGAGATTGGGGGAGGAGAAATTCGGGAAAAGGACAGAAAGATGAGGACAACACGGGGGAGGTGGAAAGGATAAAGAACGTTTGAAACCGAGGAAGAGGCAGATTCTATGAGAATACGCCGGCGGGTCCAAGCCGCAACGGGAATTGCAACGACAAATACTTTCTCGATGTGCCCAATCACGCGCGAGACAGATCTGTGAGAGGTTGCGCGAGGACCACGACATCATCTCTTGTTGAAAAAGCACCAGCTAACCTTATATCCTTCTATCCTAGGCACCGGGGCCGGTATTTGGGCATAAAAACGCAGGGGGAGAATGATATCACAATGTGCAAGATTACAACGAAACATTATACGCACCGAAGAGAGCAGATCGAGAGGGTCTGGCAGTTGCGTGGCCCCCGGAGGATTGAGATAATTCCATGACGAGGACAGTTTACTGGAGTCCGTGGTGAAACGACGTTGCAAGTTGGCTCGGACATCGCCAGAGGGCCGTGAGAAGCCCGATCCAAAGTTGGAGTGGCCGGGGGAGAGAGATGTATATCCAGGAAAGACCGATTCGGAGGGCGGAGAGCGAGGAGAAGGGAAACGGAGCTCGTCGAGGCGTTCACTCAGCCCATTCTTGAAGGCCATGGTGGGCAAGGCAGCCGATAAGTCCAACTATGGTGAAAAAGCAGCATCGGTCAGCACGTCGGAGTTATGGACCAGGAATTTCCGGCCTCCAGAGGATTTTAAAAGAACCACACCAGACCCTGAACCACAGCAACAACGCACTATCAAGCCTCCCAACAAGATACCCCGCAAGCTGCAGAGGTGGCAGGGTAAGGGCTAGGGCTATTGTGCGGACGTGTGCTGGTGGCGGGCTGGCGGTGTGGTTTTTTGGACGGAGTTTCTCCCCAAGTAAGGGGAAACCCAAGAGGGGCTGAGGGGTTTGGATGATCGGCGCGTGAGAAGGGGGGGAGAAAACCCGAAGGCAGGGTATGCTCACACAATGAACGCCTCGAAGGGCAGAAGCGACACAAGTTGAATCAAGAACCACACAATGCGACAGTCGAAGAATTCATCGAGGGGGAACCGTTGGGCTGCAAAATCGGCCGTGGTGTGTTCCTGACGAAGTGCGGAGATCAGCCGCAGGGAGAGTCCTGCGTGGGATGGAGCACGACCTACCGCTCTCTCTGTTCTATCGCTCTCCACTTAGCGAAGGAACACCCAAATACGATAACCAAAAACGAGAGTGTCCAAGAGTTCTGCGCACACAAGGGGAAAAAAAGACCGATTTAACAGGCTGTTGTACAGGAGATGATCAAAGAAAGATGTGAACGGGGGGAGGAGGAGGAAAGGGGAAGGAGAAAGAGGAAGAATGGCTGGGAGGAGAGCGGGGAGAAGGACCTCAACCCTATTCGGTAATCTCCGTACGGTCTTGTCTTATTTTTTTCAACTTTCCACCTGATGACCCCCCGGATCACGTTGGTTTTACAATATCTGATCATTCAGGATACCTAGAGGGATTTCCGATGCTTGTTAGCACTGCTAGCATTTGCTGGCAATGACCTTGAATTGTTTGGAATGGCCCATGAAACCAAGGAACCAGCCGGTGTTTCCCAACTATCTCCAGTCAGCCTCCCGAACCGCCACGATGGCCCCCAAAATTTCGCTATCACAACGATTCCTGATTACAAAGGTACGTATATAATCCAATCTGCATACTAAATGCCCATTTTCCCAATCAATGCACAATTCGACGCCCACAGCAGATGACAGATGATCGCCCGACCTGGGAATCGGTCGGGGCCCTCTACGTATGATTGGGGAGGCTCCGCGAAGTCCGCCTGGGGGTGCTGTACAACCAGAAAAGCATGCAGCTATCGCCCCGAGCAGTACCGGCTGGGGTCCTCCATGGCCGACATCTTGCACGCGAGGCTCGATCCCATCAGCCGTGGGAATGCCAAATGGTCAATTCCACATCGGACTGGGACCTCCCTGAAGAAGAGGTGTACGGAGGGACAGCGCATGCGGAGGACATTCTATCTTCCCTGCAAGAATTGTAGAATATATGTACTCGGGCCTCTCATACTTTGATTGCCAGGTAACACGAATATAATGGGCTATGCACACGGAGAACGAAGCTATATGGATACTCGACGGAGTACAGATGTATACCCGCGACGACTTCGTCTACTGCTAGATCTAGGAAATCTTGCAGAATTCATGGAAAATTAAGAGGAACTTTTCTCAACCCTTTCGAGAGGCCAGAAGAAACCCTGCAACCATCGGGATGCGCTGTTCGCGAGAAAGCGTGGCATCTGCAGCTGCAGGCCGACCACGCCTAAATGTAGCAAATGGAACCGCCACTGTATCATTCTAGCCAAGTGGAGCCCCGCCGAGTGGTGTGCGAGGCCGAGGGGGAAGATGTGACAGCGGATCGCCCTCTAAGTCCTTAGTCTCGAAGCTGGCTAGCCACCGCACGGGGCAGATGGAGGGGAGTGCCTGGATCGAATCTAGCGTGATAGGGATGATATGATTTATGGAGAAAGGCTGCGAATGGCAATTCGTAGAGAGCATGATTATGATCGCTTTCGAGGGCTCGAACAGGTTTACACAGTGAATAGATTTCGATGTCGGGCACTTCGTTGCGCGGATGCTTCACTTTTTGATAAATTTATGGTTCGCGCCCGCGGGGCGTCGTTTCCGCGGTTCGCTTTGTCGCCAACGTGGACATCCAGGGCCATCCATGGGTCTGCCGGAACTCAAAGAATCCCAGCTTTGGGACTTTCTTTTGCTTCTTTTCAAGTTCGATGGTTCTTAGAAACTAGTGATGTAGGGACATACGAGTATTGATTTGGAACAATCAAAGTCGATGGGTTCGAGGGAATGGCTGGATTCTATTGATCACAAGATTCTAGAATTATGTATCCCAGCCCTTTTGATATATACAGCCATACAGGATATGATTCTATTTCGAGTGCCAGCGCCTTACCCCCTTCCGCCTACTTCTTACTACCGACTGGCGACTGGCCAGACAAGCGGTGAAGATGATACCAGCCATCCGTGCTGATCGTGTCGCTTGGAGCCCCTGATCCACCGAATGACGAGCATACCCTGATGTGGAGATCCTGCATCACGAACCCCAGTCAACTTTGCTTTTAGAATTTCGACAAAGGACAGCCAATCATTGCCATCCACCTCACTCTTTCCCCCTCATCCATTTCTCATCCGGAATCGAGATCGGACCCGTTCATAGGCAGTAGTGTGTGCTGCAGGAATACCGTGTTCGTCCCGGTCGGCGATCTGAGTCCCTGGGCCTTCTTATGCGGAGAGTACAGTAGTGATAATTCTAGGCTCATAGCTACAGTAAATAACAAGTCTCCGCAATGCAGGCTATATGTATGTGCGATGATCTCAACCCAGGGCAAAATGACACATCCAGAATAAGCCCAAGCTTGGACCAGTTATCCCTGCCAAAGGATTCCCGAGTGGGCACAATTGAGTCTGGCGCCGTTCTCTCTAATTATTATTTGGAAGTGGAGGCCCAAAGAGAAGACCAATAATCAATCAGTCATCTCATAAGGGGCAAAGTGGGAGGGGTCGCGCCTTCATGCCCAACGCCAAAATTGCCCCTCGGCCAATTCGTAATCATAGTTTCTCGCCTATCGCTACAAGTCGTGACTCACTGAGGTTCCTCCTGTTCTCGGTATTTGACACCGTCCACTGACTGTGAAACAGACTTACCTGGAAGAGGCTAATCATGGTCCTGCTTGTATCTCTACTTACTTACACTATAGGGAGGCTATTCCATACGGAGTATAGAGTACCTGATCTAAGACACAAGTCTCCCTCTCACTTTCCTTTATGTAAATTGAAATGTACTATAAACGAGCCATCGTACAGACTCTCGGCACGTCCCATCGTCCGTTCGTTGTAAACCCTAAACCGGGGGCTACTAAAGTATGAAAAGACGAGCGATCCACTTCTCGGCGGCTGCGGAGAATTATCATTCTACAGTGCTTAATAATATTCATCACAGTTGTAGACCGTTCAGTCCTGACACTGAGTCCTGCTCCAGAGGGGTCGGCTTCATGGTCGTTACAATCTATGTTCATGTAAATGCTGGCGCTGTATAGTACTTTTTGTTCGGCTGAAATTACAAAACCGACACAAGGCCAGGCCCGTTCCATCCTGGGCCACGTGTATCGGGTTCTTTGTCTACAACGTCCATCGTGGGTGTCCTTAATTTACTACTTTTCACTAGTGCCCGTAGGGACTTGGATGGAGTAGACATTATCGGCTGCGGGGACCACTCGTTTGGAGGGGCTTTGGTGGGAAAAAAAAAAAACAACCCCACGGCGAAACAACCCCTCCGTTAACAATAGCCCACTTCAGTGGCGATATGTTGGATTGAAAAGTTGCGGTCAAGCCGGTATTTGCCACGAGTGTCCCCTTCTCTAACGTTACGTTGGAAGTTGTTAATCTCGAGTCGCGGGGTTTCCAGACAGAGAGAGAGAGATACGCTAAAAAGGTTTAGACACATTGTGGTGCCACGAAGCATATCATTGACCATCGTGTAGCGACTCACAAGGCTATTAATACCCTGGATTAATGGTAGCGATAATCTTATCAATATAACCACAAACGTACCCTAATCCATAGATATTTTTCTTCTATAACTTTGCAAGCAAACAAGTCTTTTTTCTCTCGACGCCAAGAACTCATTAATCTCCGTATAGTTAGTTGCTGAGAGCTTCCTATCCTCTTCACTGAGCAATATCTAGGTCAATCATGTACGACAGGGTAGACGTGTGGGTTCGAAACTGGCCGTCCGTGCAGACATCAAAAACGTCAGAAGCGCTGCATGTGCGAAGTGTAGGGGCCCACTGGATTCCAACCCCGAGGGGTCACACAGATACAAATAGCCCTGAGAATAGTTCCAAAAAATGTGGTTCCGAGATGGTTGTTGCGGGGTCTTTGTGTCTCTGCATCTCTTCTATCTAATCGAACTGGTGGCGGGGCTGCTTGGTCCGTCTCTGTCTCTCCTGGGATAGTCGCGACTCCTACTAGAGATACCGAGGGTCGTCATATCAATTACTACCTCGAAGGTCAGTTGTGTGCGTCATGATTTTATGAAATTCCTTCGTTTATGTTCTACTTCTTCTGATGTAGTCAATATAACGAGGCAAACAAAGTTTCAATCTCATACTTCGGCATAGATGATATATAGTTCCATCATGGTACAACACTGCCGAATTCATTTTTAAGATCTCATCCAAAAGGACCCGAGAGAAGTATGACCATAGGATCATCACACATCTTTGTCCTCATTTCAGAATCAAACCCCAAGGGAAGATAGCTCCTAATCAATCATGCAGCAGACAAGTTTATGCCTCAGGTGTCATTTATCCACGCTAACCTGTTTTGGATAGCTGACTGATTAGATAAGCCATCTCCAAATTCTCTCGGCCTTCCCCTCCATCGGCCAAAGGCACTGGCGACGTCGACCAGAAACGTTCATCTCCCTGAAAACTGAGTGGCCTGAGATCGCCGGACTATCGTCCCTCTAGAGCCCAGAATTCCAGCCACAATGCCGCCGCGCAAGAGGCCGCAGGCCCCTCCTGCAGCTAAGCCCCGGCGTCCCTCGGAGGTAACAAAACTTTTTTTTGTCGACGGCGCGCGAAGCACTGAACAGTCATGCTAATTTGAGGTTTGATTTCATGACAGGCTGGCCAAAATGCTACGACTGAACAGCTCAAGCGAAAGCGCTCGTCTATTGCACAGGAATCTGTCATGGAAGCAGTCTCATCTACCCAGACTCAGACTCAGACCGATCAGACCGAAGAACCTGCGTCGAAATACAAGCACAAGGATCCCTTTGATGCACTACTGGAACCATTCTACTACAACAAATCCCTGACCGATCCCATCGATACGGCAAAGGACAAGTGGAATCTGCTGCCCGCGTTCCTCAAAGTCAAGGGTCTGGTGAAACAGCACATTGACTCATACAACTACTTTGTCGAAGTGCAACTGAAGAAGATTGTCGAGTCAAGCTCCACCATTCGCAGTGATGTCGATCACCAATTTTACATCAAATTCACGGATATTTACGTCGGTTCGCCGAGACGTTCGGACGAGACCCAGGATGCTGGGATCGACTTCCAGTCCGACGTGACTCCCCAGGAGTGCAGACTTCGAGATACTACCTACGCCGCACCAATCCTGGTCGACTTCGAGTATGTTCGTGGCCGACAACGTGTTATTCGTCGAGGTGTCTCGATTGGTCGGATGCCCATCATGTTGCGCAGCTCCAAGTGTGTGCTTTCCAACAAAACGCCAGCGCAGATGACAGTCCTTAACGAGTGTCCTCTGGACCCTGGTGGTTATTTTGTCGTCAACGGAACCGAGAAGGTTATTTTGGTGCAGGAGCAGCTGAGCAAGAATCGAATCATTGTTGAGACGGACCCGAAGAAAGAGATTGTCCAGGCCTCGGTGACTAGGTATGTTAAAGCTTGGTTTCCGCCTGGACCTTTGAGCATATTTACTGACTAGTTTTCTCTAGTTCTTCCAACGAGCGTAAATCAAAGAGTTACATCGTTCTCAAGAAGGATAGGCTCCACGTGAAGCACAACGTCCTTAGCGATGACATTCCAATTGTCGTCCTGCTCAAGGCCATGGGCATTCATACCGACAAAGAGATTCTGCAGCTGGTTGCCGGGTCTGACAGCCAATACCAGGACGACTTTGCCATCAACTTTGAGGAAGCACTCAACCTTGGCATTTACACTCAACAGCAAGCGCTTGACTGGATTGGTTCTCGTATCAAGATCAACCGCAAGACAGGAGCATACCGCCGAACTCACGTGCAAGAGGCTGTCGAAGCTATTGCCTCCGTCATCATTTCTCATATCGAGGTCAAGGACATGAACTTCCGGCCAAAGGCTATCTACGTCGCTCACATGGCTCGTCGTGTGTTGATGGCGAAGAATGATCCGGCTCTGGTGGATGACCGTGATTACTTGGGTAACAAGCGTCTCGAACTTGCGGGCCAGCTACTGGCTTTGCTGTTCGAGGATCTTTTCAAGAAGTTCTGCTTCGATATCAAAATGAATATCGATAAGGTTCTGAACAAGCGGAATCGGGCCGAGCAATTCGACGCCTGGAGTGTCATGAGCATGCACGGCAATCACATCACGCAGGGCATGAACCGGGCTATCTCCACTGGTAACTGGAGTCTGAAGCGTTTCCGCATGGAACGTGCCGGTGTTACCCACGTTCTCAGTCGGCTGAGTTACATTGCTGCACTCGGTATGATGACCCGTATTAGCAGTCAGTTCGAGAAGACCCGAAAGGTCTCCGGTCCTCGTGCCCTGCAACCCTCGCAGTTCGGCATGTTGTGTCCTGCGGACACGCCCGAAGGTGAAGCCTGTGGTCTGGTCAAGAATTTGGCTCTGATGACACATATTACCACCAACGATGAGGAGGGACCTGTACGGAACTTGATTTTCATGCTGGGTGCCGAAGATATCTCGACCGTCAGTGGAATGCAGCTTTATGCACCGGGCAGCTACACCATCTCCATCAACGGTACACCCACTGCGTTGACCCGACGGCCCAAGTATTTCCTCAATGCCTTCCGCCGGCTTCGCCGTATGGGACGTATCTCGGAGTTTGTCAGTATTTATATCAACCATCATCAGCGAGCTGTCCACCTCGCGACCGATGATGGTCGAATTTGCCGACCTCTCATTATCGTTGAAAACGGCAAGTCCCGTGTCCGGAGGCACCACCTGCAGAAACTGCGCGATGGGCGAATGCAATTCGACGATTTCCTCGCCCAAGGCCTGGTTGAGTACCTCGACGTGAATGAGGAGAATGACTCGTACATCTCTATTTACGAGAAGGACATCAATGAGGCTCACACGCATCTTGAAATCGAGCCTTTCACAGTCCTCGGAGCTGTCGCTGGTCTTATTCCCTACCCTCACCACAACCAGTCTCCCCGTAACACTTACCAATGTGCCATGGGTAAACAAGCCATTGGCGCTATCGCTTCGAACCAGTTCCAGCGCATTGACTCTATCCTTTACCTCATGGTCTACCCTCAGAAGCCAATGGTCAAATCTCGGACTATCGAGTTGGTCAAGTATGACCAGTTGCCTGCTGGTCAGAACGCCACAGTTGCTGTGATGAGTTACTCTGGATACGATATTGAGGATGCTCTGGTTTTGAACAAGGGATCCGTTGATCGCGGATTCGGTCGATGCCAGGTCTACCGTAAATACGTCACCAATCTCAAGAGTTACCCCAACGGCTTGAAGGACCGTCTCAACCCGCCAGAGTACGAGAACGATGCCCCGATTCGCAAGCACGCACTTCTCGAGAGCGATGGTCTTGCTGCGGTCGGTGAAGAAGTCAAGGCCGGAGAGGTCTACATCAACAAGGTCACTCCCGACGCGGCGCACACGACTGGTCTCGGTGGTGACTCGAGCAAGCCACTCACCTGGAACGCCGCACCTATGACATACAAGCTCCCTGACCCCGCCTACATCGACAAGGTCATGGTATCAGCTACCGAGGGTGAGACCCAACTACTCAAGATCTTGACTCGACAGACCCGTCGTCCCGAAGTCGGTGACAAGTTCTCCTCCCGTCACGGACAAAAGGGTGTCGTGGGTATCATCGCTGATCAAACCGATATGCCTTTCACCGACTCTGGTATCAACCCCGACATTATCATGAACCCCCACGGTTTCCCCTCTCGAATGACAGTCGGTAAAATGTTGGAGCTGGTTGCTGGTAAGGCAGGTGTTCTCTCCGGCCAACACGGCTATGGTACTTGCTTTGGCGGTAGCCCTGTCCAGGAGATGTCTCAGATCCTGATCGACCACGGTTTCAGCTACGGTGGCAAGGATATGCTCACCTCTGGTATCACCGGCGAGCCGCTTCCCTTCTACGTTTTCACTGGTCCTATCTACTACCAGAAGCTCAAGCACATGGTTCAGGATAAGATGCACTCACGTGCCCGTGGTCCCAAGGCTACGCTTACCCGTCAGCCCACCGAAGGTCGTTCGCGTGACGGTGGTCTTCGTCTCGGTGAGATGGAACGTGATTGTCTGATCGCGTACGGAACTAGTCAGCTCCTGCTGGAACGTCTCATGATCTCGTCTGATATCCACGAGGTCGATATTTGCGAGAAATGTGGTTTCATGGGCTATCTCAACTGGTGCCCCGGCTGCAAGTCATCTCGTTCGGTCGTGAAGATGTCCATTCCATATGCAGCCAAGCTTCTGATCCAGGAGTTGATGAGTATGAACGTTGCTGCTCGTCTGAAGCTGGATGACGAGTTCCCCGAGATGAAGGGCCGTTAAATGGAAATATTGCCTGGTCTTATGAATGGGCTGGTGTTTGGAACAAAAAATGGATTCAGGGTGCATGGTTTTTTCAGGATGTGTATAGTTTTTCTACACAAATGGCATAGCGCGGCGATTTGAACATACGAGCGTGGACAAACTTCATGTAGATCTTGTAGAGCAAAGTAAGTAAGGTAAGAATATTGCATTTTGTAAGACAAGTAACTCAAATCAGAACCCTCACAAGATTTCAATAGAAGCCCAAGCCATCTACTTCTGCCAAGTTTTTTTTGTTCAAAGCATCACGACCGGCGACTCAAACGCGACATGCTGGTACTTGGTAAACTCCATCATTTCCTCCAAAAACTTCCATCTCAAATCTAGAGCCTCAAGCAACGACATCGGCATCGGACCCTTCCTGTCCTTATTATCCAAGGCCAGACCTGCCATGATGGACTTCGTTTTATCCTCATCCCCCTTTATATCGAGCGTCCAGTCCAGTCTCTGTGGTGGAATATTAGCCGTGGAGATAATTCGCAGATTCGGATCGATCAGGAAGAACACAAGGGCACGATTATGCCCAGGCTTCGACTTGTCTTTTAGCTCGAAGTGGGTCAACCGATGCTGAACGGTACTGGGGAATATCACGCTACGGCCCACTTTGCATTTGATTGAGCCTGGGCGCTGGACTGCTGGTTCACCGTTTGCAAGGCCAAAGACTTGCTTCAGCCAGACGAAGTCATTAGCTTCGTGGTCGACTTCACCCAGGGATCCTGTTTCGACGATGTTGCGGAATTCCATGACCGGCTCTTCCATGTTCTCATTGTCGAAGACGAGGAATGCAGCGGCGCAGATGTGTTCGTTCTTGCATTCTGGGATTAGACTTGCTCAACTGGATACATTGAATTTGAAACTTACCATTTGGCCTTCGACGTGCCAGTCGGATTGGTAATAAGGATCTTCCGGGGAGAGATCTACACCGAGAATGCGCGTGATGACCTGAAGACCGCGATCCTTGTAGTCCTTGTTGAGGGAGACATCTCGTTCGATACGGACGGCACTAGGCAGGTCCTCTGGGAGCTTGTTCATCAGGGCCGGAGGCACGGCCCAAGGGATGAAGACACCAGCATCGGGTTGGATCACTTTGAAGTTCTCATGTCTCCAATCTAGATACCGTTCTTCAAACTCACTCTGCGCCTCTTTGGGTCTGATTTGCGGCTCTTTGTCGAGAACTGACTTGGGGATCGGATGGTATTCAGCCTTGTGATATTCGATTCTGGCGCGTGAGTGCAACATGTCCTTGAGCGGCGTCATGGTCATGTTGAACTGGGGGATCATGCAGTTGAATGCGTCCTCGATTAGTTTATAGATGTTGCGGTGCCTGATTGGGTGCAAATTGTTGATGTATGAACTAATATGCCAACGGTCATCGTCGCCCAGCTGAAAGTCGGTTGGCAGAATCTGGAAGTTCCGACTATACGGCCTGACCTGGATATCTGACCGCGCCTTTACTCGCCAGGTCATGTCTTCTCGAGTGATGCCCGTCTCCGTGGGTTTGGGGATTACCTCGCCCTGACCGGCGAATCGCAGCGCTTCGTCCAACCCGATAGTTGTATCCGTGAGAATTCGACTTTTGCCATATACAACGGGGTATAATGCCATGGCCAGGAGATCTCGCTGTTTCCGCCAAGATCCTGGATAATAGAATTGTAACTCGGTGTCATCATAATCCAAGACCTTGGTCTCCTTGCTCAGTCTCTCAACCAGTGAAATGGGGACATTTGAATCAGACTTGGTCATGTCACCGTTGTACAAACCGACAGCCTGGCTTGTTTCATAGATCATCGCTTTGAACTTGAGCTCGTCGATGATCCAGTTGGCCATGTTGGGGGTGATGTCTGCATCGCCGTTCAATGCCATCTTTTCCCAATCTTCCACAAATCCAGGATCTTGGATCTGTGGTGTGGGACATTCATTTAGTTGCCGGCGCTTAGAAGAAATGCGGCTCTTCCTTCTTACCTTAATCCACCATTCAGGAATATCAGTCAAGTCTTCCATGACACGAACCATTTCGATCTCACGAAGTGACTGGATGGGCAGTCTGTTTTCGGTGATCAAGTTAGCTTTCTGATATCAAAGGCATCATAGATCCTTACTCTGTGTATCCATTCTCAATGTCTCTGTCGTCCAAGGCGGATGGGAACATGCTCCGACTCTCCACGCCATAGATGTTCTTCTCTACCGGCGCATAGTCCAATGGTCGGCCATATCCAGGAAGGATGAAGCGGGAATCCTTGTTCTTAGTGGCAGAAAGAAACTCCGCTTCGTTGGCACGATGCTGGAACATCACTGCAAAGGTCACAAAAGATAGCCGGAGGAGTCTTCTGTTAATTGATACTTTTGGTAGCGATGCTGATAGACCTCGACCAAGCAATGTCAAGATCGGACAAGATATCGGGAAGGAACGATTTAAACAGTGAGAAAAAATGTATTCAGAGCCAAAAAGCTACAAAATAGCACAAGGTTGGGCCGGCACGAGTCGTAGTATACAATGATGCACTCCTGTCGTCGTTAACACTAGATTATGGGATATTCTACTGCTATTATGCTCGGCAATGAAAGGCGTGGAACTCTCTTCCGAGGGTTGATGCGAGACTTCTGGCGCTGGAAAGGTGGATAGTGCGTGAGATCAAGGCCGTTGGTCATAGTGACCTAATAGCCTAAGTTTCCATGGAAAAGGAGAAGCCAATTGTGAACCGAAGAGCGCATGACTGATGAATCGAACGAGTATTTTTTTCATAACAAAGACCTTATGTAAATGGCTTTAGAAACTCAGCTGTAGTCTCTATTCTTATTGGCACGATTATTTGGTATAGACGGATCACTATGGCATGTCAAAATTCCCGAAACTACTAACCCCATCGAACAAGGAACAGAGTAAACACCGGAATTACGATGCGGCTTCAGCCGGTTCCAAATACTCCTTGACAATGGACCAGTACCGCTCCGGTTGCGCTCTCATATGGCCAACATGCGGCGTTCCTTGGAATTTCTCACGACGCACCACCCAGCCTGATGTTTCCGACTCAGATGCATGCTTCTCCACATCACGCCAAGCAACTAGATCATCTGCATCGGAGTAGATATAACAACGGGTGAGGACCCCCTTAGCATTGGCAGCTTGCACGAGGCTTGTATCATTGATCGCCTTGCGGGCAAGGCTGACCGCATCTGGAGACCGTGTGATTTTCAGAAAGATCTTGATCAGGACGAGCGTGATCCATAGAGCACTCTTGCCAATCAAGCGGAAGATCCACAGCTTGGGCAGTGCGTAAGAAAAGGCCTTCATTGCGGCAGAGGTGCTCGCAGTGCCCGGAGCACTATCGATGATCATTGAAGAGATCGGTAAGGGATTCCCCGTCGCCTGGTGGTATGCTTTGAGCAAATGGGTAGTGCCGAAGAGACCGCCATTCGAGAAGAGGTGCATAAACACGGGAGTCTCAGGGGTCACCGAGGCGCGGAGGGCTGCCACCGCAGGCGCAACTCGGGCCTGTTGCGCGCTCGCCGTGGAACGGAAGAAGAAGTCATTCGAGGAGCTGCGAATGAAAATAACTCGTGCTGAGGGTGCCATGCGTCTGTATTCAACGACATACTTGGCGAGCGCGCGGGGCGGGGCGTTCATCCAGAAGGCGATGAAGATGACCGGCCGACCATCTTGCGTAGTTGTGTCTGTTGGGTCTTGGATGTATACTGAGGGTCCCAACTTGGTGAATGGCGCCAACGGATTTGGAGGAGGAGTTGTAGGGTCTGCTTCCATGATGGACGTCGTACGGCTTTTTGAGGATGCTCGGCTTGGATAGATTGAAAGGAAGTCTTCGGCCGCAGCGATCGCCAGGCTCTCAAGCGAGGTCAGTGTATACGAACCAATGCGCAGCAGTCTTGCATTGTCTCTCAATTCAGAGTGAGTGTACCAGCTGTAATGTGGAATTTACTCAAGAAATTGTCGTCTCAACGTCCACTGGACAACTCATTCTAAGAGTCTATACTTCCATCTGGTTCATATGCCCCCCGCTTAAGCCGAGGCTCGGATCGTGTCAAGTTAGCTGGCTGCATTTTCTACTCCATTGGAATTGACAGTACAAGACAGATTGATAAATATGAAAAATAAGTTTATAATATCTTGCAAGTTTTGAAATAAGAATGACACCCAAAAAACGCCTGATCCTCGCTATGCCAGCGTAACGAAATTCCCCACCACGCGGTCTAGAAGCTCTCGTCTCTAGAGATTTTCATCGTATCGTGCAAGATTGATAGTTCATGAAAGGTTGCATACTGCAAGAAGATTTACCGCTTGGTGCTCCCAAGTGTGCGGCCGCTTGCCTTGCCCTTCTGGCTGTCAGCTTCGCTCCCTGACGTAGGGGTGGCCGATCCACCAGTGTCTTTTTTCTTTCCGCGAAGCGTCTGACCGATTCCCTGGAATTTGGGCTGATCTTCAGGAACCACCTGCCCATTCTCATCACGGGGCTTGGCAGGTTTGATCGCGTATCCAAAGAATAGCTGATTGGGAGGTAGTCGCAGAGGCTGAGGGCCATTGGTCCTGCGAACAGGCGGGGGATGTTGAGGGTTTACAGTGCCGGGAGTTGGAGTGCTCGCCTTCGGCGTGGGGGCTTTGCTGCCCTTCTTCGCGTTAAGACGCTGACCCTCTGACAAGAAATTGGAGGACACAGCCCGGGCTCCAGCAGCGGCATCGGTGGACTCGGGCGCGATGGCGGCGTAGTTGATAGACTGTGCCATACTTCCCTGAGGATGCAACAGTCCACCCGCGGGAAGCTTCCCTCCACCGATGGCACTCCCAGGTGTGCTTGTACCACTGGTCCGCTGCGGCTCTTCGTATCCAACAGGCGCGGCAAAGTCAACTTCCAAGTCGGTTTCCAAAACCGAAATCGCATTTTTAGCCCCAGAGGGTTTAGTCTCCAGGACAGCCATCTCGTAGACTTGATCATTATAGGAAAACGTGAACACGTCGCCCTTGGTAAGACAGGAGAAGTTCCGGAACGCGTTTTCAAGAACGGCTTTCGGGTCGCTAATGTCAAGGAAGGCCGTGGACTGTGCTTGGAGCTTGATGAACTGGCCAGGGGGAAGATCCGTGGATTTGATCTGGAGAAGGTCACCAGGCTCCAAGAGCAAGGTTTGCATGAGCTGTAGAAGCGAAGCTATTGTCAGTACTTGCTGAAAGCTAGCAGCTCCATAAGTTACTCCCACTCACCCAGAATGGTAGGTAGATTTTGCCCTCCTCGGCAATAAACTCAAGAACACCTGCATGGGTCATTCTCTCCTTGGCACCATTGTGTAGCTCGAATAGCATAGGGTATGTGATGTGAAGGCGTGTAAGCTTGTCCAAAGCACTGGGCGGCATGATGACCTTGCCACCATGGTTCACATTCTCACGCTCGGGGCCAGGCAGCATAGCTACTGGATAGCACCGATAGTATTCATCGAAGCGACGGGGGGCTGCACCTGGCCGCATCATACCGCCACCAAGGACACCTTCCATGGGGTCGTCGGACCAATAGTCGGGTCGAAACTGTAGCTGTCAGAGGGAGCTCAAACAAGGAGATCGAAAGATAAAAATGAGGCCTGAAGCTTACCATGATCAAATCACTGTCCTAGGTTGAAGCAGAGTGGAATTCAAAGCTTGATGGAGAAAGAAGCTATGTCAAGAGATAAAGGCCACTACTGTGGGGGTAAGTTGAACATTCCGCCGAGAGTGACGCAAGGTCGTTCCGCCATGTTTTTGCCATGATTTTCCGCTCCGACCCCAGACAGTGTCGCAAACTCGACAGCTACAGCTGACTCGCTCCCTCGTTCCTCATTGTTAAGCATTGTGTCAAGGACTATGGCAAGCTCATACCCAAACCCTAAGCGAGCTGGTGAGGATTTCACTCGCACCCATCACGGCCAAGATGAGCTTGAAGGTCCAGATAGCAAGAAACCCCGATTCGATCTTCGCAACCCCTCCGCACTCGCACCCGATACTCTCGACGAAGACCAGTTCCTAGACGCCGATGAGATTGGAAAACGTGGCCAAAAAGTGCGTCGCAAAGCAGTCAACATTGATGGCTACGACTCAGACAGCGAGAATGAAGGGTTCTCAGCACGCATGGAAGAAAAGTCTAAGCGCAAGCTCGAGAAACATGACGCCGAGGACGACGATATGTTCGCCGAGCTACAGGAGGACTTTGGCGAGGAAGAGATTGATGCCGACGAAGCGATGCGCAAGAACAAGAAAAATGTCCGTTTCTTGCGAGACGATGAGATCGAGGGCCAAGATGCATCCTCAAAGGGTGGAAAAGCATTGCACGCGGACCTGAGCAAAGGCGCCGGCGAAATAGATCTCGAGGAAGATGAAGAAAGTGAAAGCGACGTCGGGGAAGAGGAGCGCGCCAAGATTGACACCGAATTGGACGAGGAGCTCGGCGCGGGCGCGAAGAAAAAGAATGCGCCCCTGCTTGATGCTTTCAACATGAGTGCTGAGCAGGAGGAGGGACGGTTTGATGACCAGGGCAACTTCGTTCGCAAAGCTGTCGATCCAGATGCTGTCTACGACTCTTGGCTAGACGGCGTGTCCAAGAAGGATATCCGAAAGGCAAAAGAAGCCGCCGAGAAGCGTGACGAGGAGAGGAAAGAAAAGGATCGCATCAACGACAGTGTTCTGACAGCAGATGTCTTGACGACCATAATCACACACCTTGAGCGTGGTGAGACGATACTGGAAGCCCTGGCTCGACTAGGAAAAGGCCTCCAACGAAAGCCCAAGTGGCAGAACAGGAAGAAGAACAAAAAGAACAATGCCCCGGAAGACACCGAAATGACAGATGAGAACCCCGACGAAGTCAACAGAAGGAAGGCGATCGACTCTCTTACCGGTGCTGCGGATATCCTCATGGGCCGAGGACAGCCCGAAATCTACGACACGGAGCGCGAGCTCTTGACTCGGCAATACCGCAATGAGACGGGCGAGAATTGGGTTGATCCACCAGCTATTTCAGACGACGGCGAGTCCGAGCAGCGACCTACTATGTGGGAGTTCCGATGGGCTGATGCTCGCGATGGCGGCGATGCTCATGGCCCTTACGACGGCGCCATGATGGAATCGTGGAAGGGCGCTGGCTACTTTGGCGAAGGTGTAGAATTCCGCCGAGTTGGAGATACAGGACCATGGAGTCAAGCAGTGAGCTTTGTGTAAGACTAGATATATGCCAACAGGGTCTCAATCCATTCCAAACAAAAAAAAAGCACAAATATCACCTCAGCAAGCGCCAGTCCTTATCATACATCATTTGATGTGGCAGAGCATAAAAAGCAAGAAATAAAGCACCCAAATCCAGTGAAGTTTTTGTTGGACCCGCTAAACCATCCGCGTTGGTTCATATTAAGCCAGTGAAACACACGTCACGGAGAGAAGCTGGTGTCCCCCCTATTATGAAATCTCCATTGCATCGCCGTTGGCGGTAGCAGTGAAGCTGACGACTCCTTGGTCACCAATGAATCGTTGCTCATATTGGTTAACAAACTTGACACTGCGGCCAGGGTCGTAGAATAGCCGGAAGCTGCGCTGAACGTCGTCGATGCTGACCTCCTTGGCCTTACGCTTCTGGCTCAGAAGATGAGACGTGGTGATGATGTTGCTCGCGTAGCGAAGATTTGATTCTTGGCCGATCTTAGTCAGAAGGGCAAGAGCATCTGGCGAAACATCAATCTCCTCCTCCTGGGCGCGAATGGCTAGAATTTGGCGGATCTCATCGGCAGAGTATGGCTGGGTACTCACAATGACTACCCGATCGAGGAAGTCAAGGGGCAGTCCGTGGGGGGATGTGTATGTGGTACCACGAATCTTAGCCTGGCCGCGGTTGCTTGCCATAATGACGATGGGGGCGAGCTCGGCCTCCAGGGCGCGATTGATGTAGGAGAAGCATTCAATGTCCAGCATGTGGACCTCGTCGATAAAGAGCACGCCAGGAATAATCTCTGCCTTGCCCTCCTCCTTCCACTCCGCCACCTTGGTATTGATCTGGTCACGGACTTCGCTACGGATCTCGCCGGTGTCGCCAGAGAACAGAGCCAGGAATCCTTGTGACCGCGAGTTGATGACATCAATCTCATGCAGACTGACGGTGTGAACGATCTCCTTGCGGACCTGCAGCTCTCCCTCGGGGCACTGAACAAACTTGGTGTCGGCGCCCATCGCGTCGTAGTCGCGCGAGCGAGCGTAAGAACGGCCGAGCTTGGTGATCTTACCAGACGACTTATCGATCGAGATGACATCGCCGGCCATCACGCGTTCTTTGGTCATCGAGTCGATCATCTTGGTGCCCATGTCGTAAATCGTTTCCATGTCGGTGGTTTTAATCGTGAGCTTTCCTTGTTTATTGCCCTGCGTGTGTCAGCATGCGCCAGTCCGTTGATAAACTCAAACTTCAAGCACCACATACCCCAGTGACGCTACGGTCGATCTGAATCTCCACAACTTCACCCTCGATGATCTCGCTCTCCTCCTTGATGCGCACACCGATTGATTTCCGGAAGGCCTGGGTGAGAGCCTCTGTTTTGGACATCTCCATCGAGAAGATCTCTGACGACGCGAGCATTGTGAAAGGAACATCAGATCCCAGCGACTGGGCCATACCCATTGCGATCGCAGTTTTGCCAGTGCTAGGGGGTCCAGCAATCAGCACGGCGCGACCTGCGATCTTGCCCTCCTTGACCATCTGCAGAATCACTGCCGCAGCTTTCCGGGCCTTCTCCTGGCCTACGAGACCCTGAGAAGTACCCCGAGGCTGTAGCGAGTCCGCATCGACACCAAGGCCTCTGATATGCGAATGGGCGGCGATGAGGTTGAGACCTCGGAGCTCCTTGCTCTCCGCAACGGTGGAAATTGGCTGCCCGAAGCCGACAAGTTAGCGTGGGAAACAAAAAGGATAGAAGACGGTACTTACAGCAGCCATTGTAATTGAATCTTGGGAAATATCTGACTCTGAATTGGGGATGGAAGACCAGAGTCAAAAAGCACCAGAGCTCCTCCGAAGAAACAAAGAGATCGCCGATCAGGAAGTGCACTGGTCTCACCGCCCGGCAGTAAGTCAATCAAAGAACTGATCTTCACTTCACCAGACGACTTGATAGTAAAGCTTCAGCTCGACGTTTTCGCTGTGAACCTGTTGTGACGAGTCGACTTTTGACTCAATCAGATTAATCCCCCCTGAAACTAAGCGCTATCTGCGGGTTCCCGCCAAGTCCTCACCGCATCGCGCATCCCTCAACACGCGTTTGCGTTGTGCACTCTACGCGCCAGCATTTTCCCGATAAGTATCGCTAGGTGGTCTGGGATCCCAGAGGCCTTTAGTTTTCATATTCTGTTCACCCAGGAGTTACTGCTGGCTGCTATGTACCTATCATGAAGTCCAAGCCTTCGCCTTCTTGATCAGTTCATTATCCAGCACCATGGATATTGCCACAGGAGACCAGTCCCCTTCAACCTCGACCCCCGGACTGCACCACCCTTCGGCAGACCCTCGCCTGGGTCGCGCCGCTCAGAGACCTTCCATTTCAACCTCACATCTTCCCGCCACTCGACAGACGCCGACCTCAGCGCAGACCCCAACTTCCTCGCGCGCCCCAGAACCTGCCAACCAATCGGTGGACCGAACATCAAAGACAGATGTCTCTGAGCGGATCGGTGACCCCATGTCACCCGTCAACCAGAATGCTCCCACAGTCGACTTTAGTCACATGGTGCCTATTCTCACGAGGTTTTCGGAACTTGCCGCCATTAAAGGACTCAGGGAAAAGGAGAAGGCTCTATTACAGGACGAAGGTGCTTCTATCAAACGACGCCTGGAAAAGGCCAGGTCAAAAGACGCTTTCCCGGTTGTGATCGAGGGTATACAGGCAGAAGAAGCAGTCTCTCAATCCAAAATACGCAAACTCCAGCATGATATCGATGAGAATGAAACCGCACGCCAAAAGATGGCCGAGTCTCTTCGAGGCTTTTTGCGCCAAACGCCGCTCCCTATTTCCTCCTCCAATCATACTCCGACCTTAGCACCCGGCAGATCCCCCGATGATGAGACAATTGCCAAATTGGAAGCTGAGAACCGGGAGATGAAGGCCGAGCTGCGGGAGCTCAAAGAGTTGATCGTCCAAAGAAGCCCTGGAATCCCCGCCGGCACGCAGGCTCAACTTAATAAGCTCGAAAACTCAGTCAACAGCCAGTCCATGAGTAATCATGGCACTAATAAGAGAATTCGGAAACTTGAAGAATGGAAAGAGGGAGTGGACACTGGGGTTATCCAACCACATCTGAATAGCCTCGAGAGGAGCCCGGCTCAGGCTCCAGATCTGGAACCACTGCGACAAGATGTACAGATGGCCCATGGGAAAGCCGCTGAAGCGCAGGAAAGGGCCGAGGCTATGGGTGAACGCGTTTTGGTCCTCCGGCGAGAATTGCAGTCTCTCAGAGACACTTTTGATCGAGACTTATTTGCCCGACAAGAATTCGAGAAGACACTCAACGCCGTGAAAGAGTTTATTGAGCAAGGCTCAGATCTCAAGCGCAGACTAGAATCCATCGAGAAGGAACGCCTCGATCTCAAGGGCGCCGTCGCCACCGCTAGAGAGGCCAAAACCAAAGCCCAAGATCTGGATACACGATATACGACATATATCGACAGAAACAATGGGAGGATAGCCCATCTGGAGTCAACAGTTCGACAATTGGAAATAAGAGACAAAAGTGTCCCAGATGTCGAACCTTCACAACCCACAGAGGCTCTTGAAAGTGTCAAAGATCGCATTGCGAAAATCGAAAGTAACCACGGCTCAATGTGGAACAACGTCAACATGCTGATGCTAGACAGGCCTCAGGTACTTGAATATTGCAAACAAGTACCGAAATGTCTCTCCGCAAACGAATCCCTCGTGGCTGCTGTTCGATCTTTGGAACTACGATACTCCAACATCAACACGGAACATCTCGTGAAAAGCATGGCTGCCGCAATGATGGAGATGTATCCCTCCATGTCGCAAACTCATGAGCAAGTTAGCCAACTCAAGAGCTATTGTACGAAGGAGATTGCTGCACTCAAGACAGCAACGCAAAATGTCGACCTCGCATCCTTGGATTCTAAGTTGAGCCAGCTCCGCGACGAAGTCGCCAACAAGTTGCTTCACCTTAACACTAGTGTCTCTGACCAGGCCAAAAGTATCAGCGAGCAGCTAGAAGAGACCTGGGAATTGAAAAATAAATTCCAGACCCAGTCTGACGCTTTCTCGGAACTTGGTGAATCTATTCCACAAGCGCTACAACAAGTGGAAAGAGTGACCGAACTGTCAACAAAGCTGGAAGCGTTGTGTGATGACCTTACATCGCTGAAAGCTAGTTTCGAAGATCGGGACGTTACAGAAACGGTGTCCGGGCTCTCAAAACAGGTCGAAACCTTGACCGTGCATGTTGGTTCCCTGATCGTGAAGCAAAATTATCAAGGGGTGGTGAAGAAAGTCACAGAGGTCTCGGAAAAGCTTACGGACTTGGCTGCAAATTACCAACTTCTGGAAACAAGGCTGATAAGGCAAGAGCTAGCTGACTGGAAAGAAGTGGATGAGCTCAAATCTGGCCATGGGAATCTCCTTGAAGAGCTAAAGGCCGTGAAGACCAGGGTTGAAAGTCAAGATGGGATAGAGAAGATGAGCGCGGTCTCTGAAAAACTCAAGTCCGTTTCCAACGACTTGAAATCTCTGCAAACCAAGTTTGACAAAGAGCTGCGGTCACTGGAAACCCGCGTGGATACCTTGGGACACAACGAGGAGCTGAACAATCTCAAAAGTGAGCTGCTGACCCGGATTGATAAATTCCAAGCGGTTGTTCAGTCAGGCTTAAACCGCAATGCTCCTGGGGACGATGTGACCAACCGAGCAATTTCTAACCAGCCGAGTATATCCGGCTCTCTTGGGGATCACTATCGAATCCTTGGTAGTGCAGCTCGAAGCCAGACTGGACGTGGACATGTACGAGACAGGCCTTCCATCTCACGCACCGGAGGAGATGGAGCGATTGCGACAGCTGACTCGTCCGGACCATACTTTTACGCCTCCTCAGACAATGAGATTGATAGTTTGGAGGAATTGGGTTCTCGCGATCGCAGCTTACAGTCCGTCTCGGAAGACGAGATCGGTCTTCTGTCCAATCAGCCAGCTTCATCTGTCGATATGCCAATAGGATTACAGATCACCGAGAATGAGAATGGCCATCACGAATCACGATCGTTCAACAAACGTGCTCGCCAAACGTCTCCTTCGGATATTGCAGACGCAGATGATCAGCCCTCTCCCCAAGCCGCGACGAGAGAGATACCCATGGCGTCTCGGGTCACCGAGAACGGGACGTCTAGGAAACGTCCCCGTCAAGGATCTTTTTCGGAGGATGAGCGTCGGCCTCGGCCAGTGGTTCCTGGCCTTTTCGCCAATGGTACCGGGTCCCCAGCTTCCTCCACATCGGCGGCCGCAAAGAAGGCAAAGAAAAAACAGGAGAAAAGGGAGAGGAAGGAGCAGAGGAAGAAACAAAGACAGAGCTTGCCCAACTGATCTTACCTTTTTTTTCCCAGCGCAGGGGCTCTATCGTTATGATGGCCGCGTACGTCAATCCCCCTTCTTTCATGTTATATTATTTATGAACAAGATACATTGTAGATATTCTTCAGCCACTTCTTTCCTTTTCTATGATCTATAGTACATGGTACATGTAGCACTAGGATGATCCTAAGAATTTGAGTACCGCTGCAAAAATGATTGTTAGATCTTCATTTCAGCAGTCGAGGACGGGAGTCAAAATTACCTTGCCGGAATGCCTCCGGGTTCTCAGAAATAAGCCAATGACCAGCATCCACATCGGCAATCTGAGCATTCGGGAAGAATTTCTTGATCGCCGGGATGGTCTCGTCGGTGACATATCGTGATTTGGTACCTCGAACAAAGAGTGTAGGCCCCTTGTATTGCTTGCCATCCGCTTCGGAGAAGGGGAAATCTGCCATGTTATCGAGCGAGTCGCCAATGACGGACAGTGGCACGCGGAACTTTAGCGTATTGTCCTCCTCCGAGCGGACGAGGTTGGTCAGAAGGAATTGTCGGATTGGGAGGGACTAAACGTCATGTTAGTCAAGGAAGATATTCTGGCGATTAGAGCAGAAATTCTCCTTACCTCTTCATACTCCTCGAGAATCTTGTTGGCGTCGGATTGCTTGGATACCTTTGCCTCCTCTACGCGCTGCATACCTCGGACATACTTGGGGAAGTCGCTCTTCAGCGCAGCATTGATGGGAGCGTTGTCAACGGGGATTAGGCCTGAGACGCGCTCTGGAGAGCGAAGTGCCACAGTCATGGCGGCTTTGGCGCCCCTTATTCAAAGTTAGGACCGGGGAACGAGAGAGGCTATGCGAACCAAGCAACCTTGTTCGCAGAAGATATCGAGGGAAGACTTACATGGAGTGACCGATCAGAACACATTTTTCTAGTTTTTGCTGCTCAATGAATTCTTGAACATCCTCAGCCATGACGCTGTAGTTGTGCTCTGGCGCATGGAATGATTGTCCATGATTGCGCAGGTCCTAAAGAAGACGAATCAGCATCGTGGATTCTTCCTGCTATTGCTTTCGGCAAATGACTGGGACGCACCAGAGTGTATATGCGGCACTTCAAGTCTCTGGTCAGGGCTCTATACGGCTGTTAGAAGATAGTTCTTATCCGCCGATGATGTTGTAGACATACTTGCTGATGCTGCGGTTATTCTGCTTGGACCCGAACAATCCATGCAGGAACAGGATTGGGTCCCGAGAACCGGCTTGCTCGTTCTCAGGGCCATAGACCTGATAGGCGAGTTCAGCGTGATAAACTCGCGCCGTTGAGAATGCACGAAGCCCGAGTGAGCCTCGCACAGATGCGCGAGCAAATAGCATGATGTGACTGGCGATGTTCAATGTTTATCGGAGAACGGAGAACTGGCCGTGGATATTCTTGCAATCGGGAAACCCGGCGAGGCTGACTAAGTAGTTCTCCGACCGCTCCAGGAGTCCATCTATGAAAAATGGGATACATTATAGCAAGATTTGTGTCTCTATATCAAATTCTGGGGGTAATCTGATTTAAGTAAGAGCTCCATTCACTTGTTTCATGTGGAATGAGGCTTCAAAAACAAAATTTGGATTAAAGGACTATGATATATGCGTTGCGAGATACATGCCTTCTCAGATATATATTGAGGCGCCAAGAGGCAGCACTGGATCGTGCTATAGGTGTTAGGTGCAAGTGGTCATTAGAAATCTAGCCATATATATCTTTACCTTAACCGAGCTCATACATCCTTCTATTCATGACCCCATCTGCTGTTATCATCTGTAAACTCGTTACAGCGGGAATGCCAAGACATGGCGGGGATAAAGATACAAGGATTCGAAGGATGACGGCCTGTGCATTTGAGGAGAAACGGGGCGGATGACATCGACGATGACAAATGCTGGGACTGAACTAGAAAAACAATAGATTTCCAAGTCGGAGGCTACTTCGAAACTTAGCAAAATCAACCTTTCACTCCACAATGTCTTCCCAGGTGCAACCTTTCACGATCGCAGTTCCCGAGGAAGAATTGCAGGATCTCCAACAGCGCCTTCAATTAGCAAAATTTTCATCTCAGCTCGAGTCGTCAGCGCAAGACTCGTGGGATTTCGGGGTGCCAGTCAGTGAAGTACAGCGACTTGTGAAATACTGGAAAGATGGGTTTGATTGGCGGAAAGCAGAATCTCGTCTAAACGAGCTACCACAGTTCCATACTGATATTGAAGTTGACGGATTTGGGGTATTGGATATTCATTGTAAGGCTTCTATGGTACATGGATATCTGATGTTTTACTCAAGCAATTTACTGCAGTTGTCCACAAAACCAGTCCTGTCAAGGGCGCAATTCCTCTTCTATTTAGCCATGGATGTAAGCTAAGGCTTCCCTTGGCTTCAGAATTGATACTGATTTGAACACCAGGGCCAGGATCCTTTATTGAGGTGACAAAACTTTTGTCGAAACTTAAAGGCGAGAATAGAAATCCCGCATTCCACGTTGTGGCTCCCTCGCTTCCAAACTTTGGGTTCTCTTCTGGAGTGAATCGTCGCGGATTCGGCCTTGGGCAATACGCTGAGGCTCTACATAAGCTTATGCTCAAGCTAGGCTATAATCAATATGGTGAGTCTTGTTTTAAACTTCTTGGCAGTGTTAGTAATGAGTTACGTTATAGTCACACAAGGTGGAGACTGGGGCTTTTGGATCACAAGAAGCATCGGCCTTCTCTATCCCAAGCACTGCAAAGCTTCACATGTCAACATGATCGTTGCTCGACCTCCTCAGTGGAATTCTAGCCCTTTGCTGGCTCTGCAACATGCCATAACGCCCTATACAAATCGAGAGCGGGACGGACGCAAGCGATCTGAGTGGTTCGATCAAGAAGGATACGGATACAATATGCTCCAAAGCACCAAGCCGCAGACCATCGGTGCTGCGCTCGCAGACAGCCCAGTGGCTTTGTTAACCTGGATCTATGAAAAGCTCCACGACTGGACGGATTCGTACCCCTGGACAGACGATGAGATTTTGACCTGGGTTTCCATCTACTGGTTCTCCGAGGCGGGACCTGATGCAAGTGTGCGCATCTACTATGAAGCTTTGCATGCCGAGTCTGTATCTGGGATCACATATGATCGATTGAGGTCTTATATACTGGATGTAAAGCTTGGACTTGTTCATCTCCCTCGGGAGATTTCGGTTGTTCCGGCGACATGGGCTGCTGCGTTGGGTCCGGTCGTAAGACAGAGTGAGCATACACACGGAGGTCATTTTGCGGCATGGGAGGTTCCGGATGCTATCGTTCAGGATCTTTGGGCGATGTTCGGCGCGGGAGGTCCTTGTTATGGAGTAGTTCCTGACAGAAACGGGTATTGAATACCCCCTCTCTAGACCGCAATGCAATGAAGTTCACGGCCTGAAATGTTCGAGGCCTTTGCGCACTTATTGTGTCGATCCGTTGGCAAAGCAAGGTCGTCATAGCGAGTGATAGCGATGCGACCGTACTTTGGGATTTGTCTTCACATTGGAGTCGCTGAAGAAAAGAAGGGCGCGACTAGGCATATGACCAACCTTATATTGACAAGGGAATAACTTCAGTTCGTTGGGTTCTGCTCTGTGATTTACAATCGAGGTCAATGCTGAAGCTAATATAGAATATCTAACTATTTTGAGGAGGAACCTCTGCATTTTTAACACAGCCCTTGCATGAACCTGGGGCTCTAATTCTCCCGTATTGATGCCGTGCTTGCCGATTCCTGCGGCTGGGATTCGGCAGTTGTACTGATGTTGATCACGAAAAAGAGAGCACTGGGCGAAGGATAAGGTGCAGCCAGATATCATAATTTGATCGCCACATTCATATTTTTGTGACTTGAGGTTGTGCAATAGCGTGGGGGCTAGACCCGCTGGGCTGCTGGATGTTGGCGACTACACGCAGACGACGTCAAAAAGCGAATTTGACCACGGCCTCTTCAGACTATTTCTGCACGTAGAGAGAAATACCCCACTCCCATGAGGGGCATCGACGCTGTACGATCATACTAACACATCTCCCTCGGAGCTCAGATGATGGAAGGTTGTACATGTTGTCAAGCCACCTAAATCAAAAAAATAGTGTTCAATTGTGAAGAGTATCGCCTTGGCCATGCACTCGTTCCAGTAGGAACGTTGATTGAATCCAATGGGGTACAATATGGTATCCCTTCTCAACCATCAGGGTTCATCCCCGAGACATGACCAACTGAAGCCAAGTGTAGCGGGGAAGATCGACACAGCAGAAAGATCTGCAATGGAATAACTAAACAAGGTAGTAAGCGATCGTAGCTGAATTGACTTCACCTTGGGCGGAAGACGGGATGTATTCCGGACATGTAACGGCTGCTGCTGTTATCTACTGCCATGCGATTTAGTGCGACCGAGGTGTCATATTTACAATTTTTCATCGGACTGGTCGTCTTCGGTCGCGCATGGATGAGCCTGCCGAGCCCCGGCGCTATTAACGTTTTAGTCGACTTGCAGTCAATATCTCGCTAATCTAGAATTTGATTGGTTCCAATACGCCGGGGATGCGATGAATAAACTGCACCATCGGCATTTGCCTGAGATGTGGGGTTTTGACGACCATAGGGCTCATGCGACTCATCGATCCTCTCTGGGAGATCTTCTTGTGTACCCAGGAAATGTACCCGTGTTTAGAATTTTCCCTAGACAGCTCTATTGGCCCCTTGCGGAATCTATCGGATAGGGCCTTCTAGGGACGGGGTCTGACCGTTGGATTAGACTCGCTCCTCGCATGTTCATACCTTGGCTACTTGGGGGATTGTTTGGTTGCTGCCATTCGAGCTCACTTATTATTTCCGACCAATCTGAACCATGCCGAGAAGAAATGCATCGCTCTCTATCAACTTATGCGTCATTTGCGCGATAAATGCAGGACAGATTGCTGTGCAGCAAAATAATAAGTCTGCGGTGCATGATGTGATACATCCAAGAGCCGCGGTCATGATGGCCCGCAGCCTTCCATTGTGACATGACGATGGAAGCAAGATAAGTAGCCCAAGGCCAGAGCATACAAAATAGAGTCAAGAAGAGATCCGTGTGGCTTTATTGATCTTGAACCATCCCTTGCAAAGTTTGTCTCAATCCCCCAGCATCTGATCGGCTTGATTGGTGGCTTTGCGCCTTTTGAGTATGCTCTTGATATGACAGATCTAGAGAAACAACAATAGCCTTTCTCCCCGCTTTCGCCCCTTCCCTCTAAAGCGACCTTATTTATACTAAGCTTAAGCGATTCCAAATATCTCGGATGATTATTCCAAATCATTTCGGCTGTTCTTTCCTTTGCTCTGCTTACCCGACTGTCTGTCATGTCGTCGTCTCAGCAATCCTCCGGTCACACGTGGACTGAGGGTGATTTTGAACACCCTAATGAGAAAATTCGCCACTCTTTGATCGTGGCTCTTGTCTTTGCGTTTACTTTGCCTACGGTCGCTGTTGGTTTGCGTCTTCTGGCCAGAAGGATTACTGGTAGTAGACTGTTTTTGGACGATTATTTGATTCTGGTTGCTTTGGTAAGGCATTGATTCTTTATGCTAGCTCAGAATAATAACTGACTTGGGATATTTATGGTAGCTATTCAAATATGGATGCTCGACTGGCGTGGTCATTTGTGAGTAAAGGAGTTGCATCGTGAAAACCGAGTCCGATACTAACTGAAGAAATAGTACTTTACAATGGCCTGGGCTCCCATATTGAGACAGTTCCAAAAGAGAATGTCGAGCGTTTCTTTAAGGTACATCATCCCCCAGATCTACTGGCTACGTAAAGAACAGTGAATCTAACCTTTGCCAGATTGGCTGGGCGAACCCATTCGTCTACACTGCCAACGTGATGTTCATTAAACTGTCAATCCTGGCTTTGTATCGACGCCTATTTTCAATCAAGTATATGCTCTTCGGCGTCTACTTCATGGGAATGGTGGTTATCCTCTGGGCTGTGAGCATCTGGGTCGCCGCCATTCTCAACTGTATCCCAGTGGCCAAATTCTGGGACCGATCAATTGAAGGAGCCTGCATCGACCCGGACAAGTTTTACTACGGCACTCAGATTCCTAATATCATCTCCGACGTGATTATTCTGCTCATGCCTCAGGGAGTTGTTTGGTCTCTCCCGGTCGCCAAGTCACAGAAGTTTCTCCTATCTTGCGTTTTCATGGTTGGCGGACTGTATGTATCCCCGCGGCGAGCGCTTCAGAAACGAGCAAAGATGCTAATAAATCTACAGGGCTCTGATCTTTGATATTGTTCGTCTGGTGGCTATGCTTCACCTTACCCAGCAGGGAGACGATATTACCTGTAAGTCTTCTCTGCAAACTCACCCATATCCCATAAAGTGCATTCCACTTACAATCCCGTATAGACTACCAAATGCCCGTCGTCATGTGGACTTGCACGGAGGCCGGTGTAGGTATCATTGCGGCATGCCTGCCAAATCTCCGACCACTGTTCAAGACTGGAGGCCGCGGCTTCTGGTCGCAGCTCCGATCTCTCAGCCATGGATCTTCAAAGGCCCATTTGAACAGCGACAGCACCGGTACTACGAGCTCGAGTGGACACAGGAGTCTGCGAAAGGGACCTGTTGATTCATGCGTCGCTGAAGAGGGGATCGAGATTCATCGTTATAGCACTATTATCGGTGAATCTGAAAAGTAAGGCTCCCAAAAATGTGGGTTTTCCATATTACGAACGATCTGCTTGTGATGGAGGGAACTATGAGAGATGGCATGATCTTCAGGACCGGAAAACACTGGTGGCGTTTCTTTCATTCTTTTCTTCTGAGATACTCCCTTGAGCAATACTGTTTTAATTATCATGCCGATGGATTTCGTTAGTTAGTCTATATACATCCAAACTTGGCGATCAGCGCCTATTCTTACTCTAGCAGCTCTTTATTCCTGACTGGAACACTAAGACCAACGAGCCATAACCACCGCTCTTGAGTGACCCTATTCTGGATTGCAGCTGGAACGGGGGCACAAAATGAACCGTCCGGAGCTTTGACATTTGTTTTGTTCAAGGGACTGCAAAGTCCCATAGAATTCAATCTCCATAGATCCCATAGGAAAATACCTAATCCCCGAAGTGCTAAATTATCTTCCAAATCACAGGGATAGGAACCAGATAGCGTCAGATTCGTTTTGACGGCCCGGAAGACTTGACACTGGATTCCTGGCATACAAGCGCTAGCTTTGCCCAGCTTCCATGTATCCACGCCCACAACCATGGGGATTGATCGTGCGGGCCAGATAGGGTGGTTTACTCCAACGTTCATCTCCAATGACGGGAATATGGGAGGTAGAGCTCGTCAAGGGAAAAGTAGACCTGGTTCGACGCCACTAGATTCTGAAGAACGTGTGCAACTGTCTGAATCTCCTCTTTCACAACTTGACGCATATCTCCCAGGGGGGCATAGAGTAGACTCTTTTCGATCTCAATTTGACTCCAGTTCCAGCCGCCCCAGGATGATCCCTGCGGGTCATTTGACTGTACAGGCTCAGAAGATGTGGCGCGACGAAGGTCGGAGAATACTTGCAGACACCAAAGCGCGCGGTGAACGCGATAATCCTCAATCCACGACGATTGCGCTAGTCCATGCATCTCCCATGTTGGGGGCAGTATCGAGCTAGATCCACCGGCAAGACGCAAGTTGTCGATCATTATGGAGATGACTGCGCAAGCAAGGCGTTGTATCTGAGCAGCCACTCCGATCATGCTCCGGAGTGTATTCGAATAAGAGGATTGATCATCCTTCCACGCCTTGATAAAAGCGGGAGTAGGCCGCGTGCGCTCATGATACTCATGAAATGAAGTGCATTGAAAGGTTGGCGTACGTATCAAGGCCGAGGTGCGAAAGAGCGAGTCAAGTCTCCAAGTATTGGAACAATGAGCTAAAAGGTTCTCGGTGATTCGAAACGCATCTGATTAAAATATTTCTCGGACCCGAGGTGAAACAAGGAGGAGACTGTGTACTCCGACAAAATCAGCTGCATAATGCAATATGAAAGCACTATCTCGGTCGGCAATTTGTAGAAAACATCCATGTCCGAGAAAAACACGGACGATCCACGTCACAGTCAGCGTAGTCGTGTCTGGATTTCGCGACGTGACTTGATAGTATTTTCGTGAAAGGAATCCGTAAGGCTGTTGCAAGAAAGGACTTTCGGGGATGTACCTTGAGGTTCACGGAGCCCCGAAGTGTGTCGACGTCGGGAAACTGTCTTCGGGCCAACTTTCCATCGTGTTAATTGACGAGGCTTGGCTTCGTGCCAAGCGAACTAGAGCCAGCTTGGCCCGCTCTTGAGGCTGTGAGCCTCGAGGTCACTAGTTATGACATATTTCTAGATGCCATCTTCTACTGTTGAGGTTAACAGTAGAACAAAAATTGTATGAAAACGGTTAAAAGTGGCCGAATAACTAACTGCCAATTCAAATGCGCTGTCGAGAAATCTGCTATAATATTTAGCACATCACGACGTATTTGAATTCGTGAATGAATTTCGCTGCTCACAGGTCAACATTGCTAGGTTCAACTGAGCATTGACGGAGTTTACGATCGGTTTCCGAAGATGCTTGATGCAACGTCGGTTTTAACTGGGATCCCAATCCCGCTGGACTAGCTGGACTAGCTGGACCCTGGTGGTGGGGATTCTCGTGTTTCTCGGAGATAATCTGCACGGGCGGGATATCTCCGTATACATTATCGATCCCTGGACACAAAAGCATCAAGGAAGAATTGAACCCTCGAAACACTTAAGAAGTGCCAAATTCCTCGAAATTACTTGTATTTAAGCTGATAGTTATTATCTTTTGATCATAAAAACGTGGATTGTACTTGTTTATATGCAATATTTCCTGTGATTTAATCATGGCTTCCAACTATATCACCAACGTTGCCATTGTCGGAGTACGCCATGCCAATACCCTCTACTAAACCCACATTTCAAGCTTGAATACTAATATTTGACCATCCAGGCTGGTGGCAACTGTGGTAGTTTCATGGCGGAAGCCTTACTGAAAACCGGAAAGCATACTATCACAGCGCTTACCAGAGAGGGTAGCCAGAGCAAGCTCCCATCCGGAGTGATCTCCAAGTCCATTGACTACGGCAAGATCGAGACTATTGTCGAGGCTTTGAAAGGCCAGGAGGCTCTTATCATCACAGTCCCTGGTCAAGCACCTGAGGGTACGGAGCTAAACTTGGTCAAGGCCGCTGCTGAGGCGGGCGTGAAATGGATTCTGAATGATTGGTGCCCGGACACATTGAATGAAGAGTTGGTTCGGGATGTTAATATTTTCCAACCTAAAGGTGAGGATTGAATCGGAATCATATGGACGAGGAAAGTCTTTGACCGTTGCTTTGTTTCCGCAGTGGCCATCCGCAAGTCTATCAGTGACCTTGGAGTTAGCAACTATATCAGTGTGTCGACTGGCTTCTGGTATGAATGGAGTTTGGCAATCCCGGTGGCGTATGGTATCGATTTAATCAATCACACTGCGACCTTATTCGATGAAGGTGATGTCAAGATCACAACATCGACCTGGCCTCAGGTAAGAACCCTATGCGCGAGTCGCTTTCGCCAATGTTTTCTAACCGTCCTAGGTCGGTCGCGCCGTGGCTGGTATCTTAAGCCTACCAATCAAGGCCGAGAACTCTAAGGTTTCTCTTGAGAACCTTAAGAATCAGGTGGTTTATGTCAAATCTTTCACTGTCAGCCAAAAGGACATGCTGGAGTCTGTGTACCGAGTTACCGGTACCAAGGAAGCAGACTGGACCATCACCAAAGAGTCATCTACTGAGCGGTACACCAACGGCTTGAAGGAGATGTACGAAGGTAGTCGTGCCGGATTTGCGAAGATGCTTTATACTCGGGTGTTCTACCCAGATGGCTGTGGTGATATTGAGCACAAGGGTACGATAAATGAGCTGCTTGGTCTACCGACGGAGGATATCGATGCAGCGACGTGGGCTGCTATTGACCGAGCCAAGACCATTCCCTGGAGCTGAAGTACCAGATGTCTGAGGAGATTGGAGTCGATCCATGACGATAGGAATGGGATTGGATCGTCTCTGAGTGCGGACAATCAGGTAGACTGTCTATAGCTGGTATGATGGCAAGATGGATGGTAGTGTGAAAAGTTATAATTTTGAGAAATCCCTCTAAATCATCAGACATGGTATTCGCAACAAATATACATCATTGTCATCTCTCTATACATATATTCATGTCCAGCATCTAGCTGTCCAGCAGCGGGGGGACCTTCTCGCAGAGGTACTCCACGATGGCATCGGGGCCACGCTCGACCTGGAGACCGGTAGGGATAGCGTGCAGCTTGATGTTGGGGACGATCGAGCGGGCGATGTCGTGGATCTGCTTGGCCTCCTCGTCGGTCCACATGGAGGCACTGAACTGTGTGGGGGGTTAGTCGGAGATCTCGCCGAGGAACGGTATCGGAGCTATCAGGGTATCTGGGACCGCGACTCGGATATTCCGAGTGGGATGGAGATGGAGTGAACGTACCAGAACATCGGGCTGGTGCTCCTTGACCTTGTCCTCGACCTGGTCGATTGCTGCAGAATTGTTAGCTTGAAAGATCTTATGATTGATAGCTTGGAGCAAATGGTACTCACCGTCGCAGTTATCGACGTGGATGATAGTGTAACGGTCCTTCAAGCTCTCCGCAACGCGGCCGATGAGGCGCTTGGCGCGCTCAGGCGCAGTGTTGACGGTGACAAGACGGAAGGGACCCTTGGGAGCAGACATGGTGATGTGAATGATTAAAGAAAGAAAGCCGTTACCGACGCGAGATCGCGGGGGGTTTTATTTCCCAAGTGACCGCGTTGCCACTTCTTCCCCACATTCCACTTTTTTGTGGGTGGGAAGTTGCCCCTCCGTTCTCGGCTTTCCCAGCCCGTCGACCCCCGGGGTAGAAATACTCCGCGCATCGCGATAAAGAAATCATTCTTTTCTTCTTTTCTTGAAATCCATTCTCCTTTTCATACAACTCTTCAATCATGTCTAAGATCGCATCCACTTTCTCGCGTAAGTTGCGACCTCATCGATATATCGTATCGCGACAAAGACCGAGCCAACTGACTGACTGTTCCTCTAGGCCTGGTGCGCTTCGTCCCCAAGTCGAACCCCGCAAAGGTTCTGATCGGTGAGCCCGTTGATCCTTCGCTGGATGTTGGCTTGGCCGTGTACCAGGGCAAGGAGGTCGCTGTGCGCCCCTTCTCCGGATCGTCCGTCCTGAACCCGGGTCAGGTCACCGGCTCGACCGAGACCATCGAGCGCATTCTGTCTCCTCTGGCGCAGTCCGAGGTTGGATCTATCCGATGCGTCGGTTTGAACGTAAGTCATGCGCCAATTGAAAACATTGCGAAAAGAAAAAGAGACTAACACTATGATAGTACGTTTCCCACGCCAAGGAGATGGCCCTCCCCATCCCGGATGTCCCGACCCTCTTCATTAAGCCCTCGGCTGCCCTGGCCGATCCTTTCCCGGCGCCTACGGTGCTGCCCAAGATCACTCAGAAGGACGGCACTGGTGATTATGAATCCGAGATGGTTATTGTCATTGGCCGTGATGCCAAGGACGTGCCCGAGTCCGAGGCATTGGACTACGTTCTTGGATACACTGCTGCCAACGACGTGTCCAGCCGCACATATCAGATGAACCAGAGCCAGTGGTGCTTCTCCAAGGGCTTTGACGGGTCCTGCCCCATTGGTGAGTGCAAACAAGAATCTGGATCTGATAGAGCTTCAACTAACCTGAGTGTCATAGGCCCCGTTCTGGTCTCCGCTGCTCTGATCCCCGATGCGACTAAGCTTCACATCCGTGGTCTTAAGAGTGGCCGTGTCATGCAAGACTGCCCTCTTACGTACGTGAACCTCCATCCCCATTGAGATATAAATGCAGCGCCAGAAACACAAGCTAACAATGACTCCAAAACAGTGACCTCATCTTCAACGTCCCCCAACTTATCAGCTTCCTCTCCCAAGGCACCACTCTGCCCGCTGGTACCATCATCCTGACTGGCACCCCTCCCGGTGTCGGCGCCGCCAAGAATCCCAAGGAGTTCATCAAGGCCGGTGACGACTTTGCCGTTGAGCTGCTGCCTCACGTCGGTACCTTGATCAACAAGATCGAGCACCAATAAATATATTCAATGAGAATCAATGAATGAATCGTGATATGTACATAGTGGAAAAAAATGATAGATATTGGATCTAAAACAATCTTCTAAGCTCTTCTTCTTGTTCTAAATGATCCTATAATTATACTTCCAAACCCCCAACATTAGAGTCTACATATTCGCAAATATAGATAATGTTCTACTATTCAATCAGGTAGTCCATCGACTGCTCAAATGCCACACATCGAACCCCCCTCACCCACAAGCAGCGGAAGAGATCTGTTTCGTCCACGCCCTTACCATCCCGAAAACGCCTCTCACGTATACAGTCTTCCAAACTAAGGAAGTGACATATAGAAAGTAATGAAACAACAAGTCATGCGTTGAATCCTTCAACCCAGGAGCCCTTGTCCTAGAGATATCCACCAATCAGCGGTGCAGGGTGGATATAATATTTTCCAATGGCGGAGTAAATCTGTTCCGGCTTTGGACCGTGGTCGGCGGGTGTCAATGTTGCCAAGAGGAAGCACAGGGATGCGAGCTTCGGAGCTTAAGATTGTATCTGTTTAAGGTAATTGAGGTTGACCATTCCTGTGACATTATATCTGGATATTTGGAGATAATTGGAGAATGGAAATTAATACATTTGTAAATTATTCCTGTCACTCTCTCAAGTGTATACATTCCTTACCCAATTTCTAGCTTTGTATGTAAAGACCGAGACCTCTACATACAATTATAGTCAATATACCTCCTCATTAAGCTAGCAATGCACTTCGAAATTACTCTTAATCAAACCAGGCCATCTAAAGCGGTAGAACCCGACCTCAAAAGCCGGTCGTCGCATGTCAGAGCTAGCTCGTATGACCTCTTTTGGACAAGGCCAGGGGCCCGTCCCGATGGTCGCGCTACGGCATGTGTTCGGCTTCTCCCGGTAGACTTCCCGATCGGCTTCGTTGGTGCTGCGGCTTTTCATTTATGCCGGAGGGTCTAGTCTGGGTTTTTTTTTCTTGATGCTGTCAGTTTTCTTTTTTGTTTACTGTTCTTTTCTTTCTTTCTCTCCTTTTAAAGTTCTTTTCGACTTTTCTTTTGCGCTGTGCTCGGTTTTTCGGCTTTTTGTGTGGCTGCTCGAGTTTTGCTGATGAGCAGAAGCTTTTGACTGCTACACACAGTGCTGACTGACCTAACTAACTTGACAAGTTTGGATTGGCAATTATTTGCTACACTTTCTTCCACAGAGCTTTGATCATCCACGAAAACGTTATATATTCACGCCATGACATCGATCTATATACAGTTGGCAGACACCTCCCGAGTCGAATGCCGTATCCCGAGCCGAGTCCAATCTATCCGTCCCGATGCCGATTTCTATATGCAAATTCTATCCTCCCAACCGACCAATCTATGATCAAAACAAAACACAAAGTCGCGTGCAACTTCGTCGAAAGGGAACATATCACGTCAACTTTCTTTTCGAAGCTACGGGACCATCGAACACTTGTTTACTCTTCGTTTGCGCTCCGACGCCAGATAGCTCCACGCCAGTGCAGGACGATAGTTGGGACAACGCTGACGGCGAAGACCATCGCGCAGCCAATTCCAGAACTGGGTGCGACACCGACAGTCTCGAACATGGGCGAGAACCTGCGAAGGGGAATCCGTTAGTCACGACGTTCGCATATACGGGAACAATGTTGGTGGAAAGAACATACCAGAAGGGACCGATGAATCCCCAAATCTGTCGCACAAAGGTGATAAACACACCCACGCTGGCAGCCTCTTGGGGGAAACAGTCTACGGCATAGGTGATCATGACGGTGGTCACGAGCTGATTTCCAGCAGCGCCAATACCTGTGCCAATGATGGGGGATACACTCCAGTGGCCGGCAGGGGACTCCTGCGTGCAGACCAGGAAGACAACGATACCGATGATGACCAGGGCAAAGCCAAAGTAGCTCAGCCACAGACGGAATTCTGGGTCGGGCTTACGGTCCAGACGGTGCTGACGCTGCTTCATCCAGTAATCGGATAGCGCGCCGCCCATCTGCTCACCGATCAGGGATCCGATGATGGCACCCAGGAATTGCAGACCGAGCTGTTCGGCGTTGAGTCCGAACTTCTCTTGCAGGAGTTGGGGAACTTCGACGGTCGCGAGGATGTTACCCCACAGGAAGCACATGGCGTATGCACAGGCGGGGATGACGATGGACGGGCGGCGGACCATGGTCAATGGGCGCACAAACTCCCACAAGGTCAGAGGAGTTGGGTCGATGCGTCGGAGAGACATATATTCAGTCTTCCAGCTAGGCTCCTCGCGATCGACACCACTGCCAATCCAACGGGTCTCTGGTCCGAAGAACAGATACAAGATGAACTGGCCACCGTTGATCTATCGACACACCGTCAGCCATTCGGACGCTTACTAACTCAATCCTCATGATGCAGCACTTACCATAGCCAGAATCCAATAGATCCAGGTATAATTCAACCGGTAGGTCACAAAGCCGAAGATGAACGGACCGATCGGGACTCCCAGAGTGACCATCAAGGTCCAAATACCCATGTAACGGGCGCGGTCCTTCTTGAAGGTGGTCTCCATCACGATGGCACTACCAATGGCCGAGGCAGGGGAAATGAAGAAAGCCACCAAGGCACGGCACGCCGCTACGGATGCATAAGTCGTGCTCTTGGCACAGCCAATGTTACAGACCAAACTGAGGATCAACGACAGCAGGAAGATGGGCCGACGGCCGAACCGGTTGGACAGAGGCTTCCAGAAGAGCGGTGCACCTCCCAGAATGGCAATCTGCAGAGAGGTCAAATAACTGGCCTGTTGCAGAGTGACACCAAGATCCTCTGCCATGTTGGAATAGGCGGGGATGATGGCAGCAGCGGTGAATGTAGCCATGCAGGCGTGGAATGCCACCAGGATTAAATTGACCATTTTCTATCATGACAATGCTATCAGCTTTTCTTGTTTCATTCTCTTACCCCGTTTCTCCAGGATGTGATCCATTGTGGATAGGGTTTTCGTGTCTCTACCATCCGGATAACCCGGTATGGTGGGAAGGGATTTTTTACTAACCTTCCATTCAGGCCAGTTGTAGGGGTCGGCAGGTCCCATGCTGGGGATAGGATCGAGTTCCAAAGTGCCATGGCGTTCAAGGAGATAATCTCGATGGGCTTTGGGAAGACGAGCAGCCACAGACTCCTCGTAGGTGGCCGCCCGGCCAGCTCCTGCACTCTCGACGAGGTCAATGTCGGCTTTGGTACCCGGGTTCTCCTCGAACTGGTCTACGGCCCGAGACGACGACGGTTGCAATTCGAGAGACGGCATGTTGGCGATGACCCGAAGAGGATGATCAGGATAGGGAAAAAAAGAGATGCTGGCAAGCACTGGATGTGCCTGGAAGCCCTTCTGCAGGGAGAAGGATGAAACGACGGCGTTGATCAAGATTCCCCTATCAGGTCGTGGTTCCCTCTTAGGGCTTGTGGGATGGAAGATCAGAGGAACAGGAAGAAACTACAACGAAAATGCCACCAGGGCAGAGGAAATGGGAAGATGGATGGGGCCGGTGAACCAAAGCAGGGATAGAGGGAAGACCTCGGAATTGAAGGTGGAATTGGTTGAACTGTACCAGGAGTTCTGTAACGAAATGGTTGCAAGTGAAAAAAAACCGAATGGCTTGGCGTGTCGCCAAGGGCCCGGTGAGTACGCATAAGCTTGGTGTACGCAGCCACCCGTGACTAGGGTAAGCCTATCAGTCTCAATCTTCTTTCTCTCGGACTCGTCCCGTCTGCTCTCCACCCGGTCGGGGTTCGCCCCGGGGGTATTTCTCCTGCTTATTGCCGACCACAATCGGCCTGGAGAGAAATGCGGAGGCTCTCCAGAGTCTCCACGGCACCCCGGTGGGCTTCTTTCGGCCTCGGCGCGTCCGTCAAGCGACCGTACATGGCTTGCAGATTAGTCAAGAGCCCCATCGTGGTCCATTCAGTGGCTCATCCGGGCCCATCCTGGCACTTGAGGACGGCTACCCGAATGCTTCAGTCACCTGCCGGGTCCTGTGGTACACTGCGTATCCGGCATACTTTGTTCGGGTCAAGTACCGAAAATCTTTGCAACAATGCTGTTTCTCCTATGAACCCCCCCCGGGATTACCTCCGTTCCCCGTATCCGAATCTTCAATTCTCCAGTTTTCAAGACCCTGTGCGGAACGCTTGCGCACGTTTTTTTCTCTGGGGGTTTCTCTTAGGGTCTTTAGGGGGTTTGTCCGGCTACAAATTGGACGGATGATTAGCTGAATTGCCGACTATTAGTGGATTTGTTGCTGATTCCGAGGCTTATTGGTCCTTTCGGGGAGGAATCGCGCCTCGGTCGTCTGTTGCTGGTCACTAAATCGTGTACTTGTGTAACTGTATTTCTCGTAGTGATGGTCCCTTCAGCACGAAGGAGGCGAGGAGGCGAAAAAAGTCGTTGAACCACTCACTTTTCCTGGTTAATGCCACATCCCCAGCCTTACCCACCAAGTCATCGTCATACTGTACACCATATCTTAATTCATTATCCCTTGTGCTATTATTGGACCAGATAGTCCCAATAATACTTTCACTTTCAGCAGTATGAATTCCGTCGGAAGGTCACCATGATTCGTAAGACTCTCGTCCGCCCCACGACTCTTCGGAGGATTAGTTAGACCTCCCTCCTAATCAACGGTCCCACACCCCACAATCGCCTCTCCACACGATCTTCTCCTCAATCTCCTCTTTCCTTTTCCCACATCTCTTCCCATCGAAGATGGCGTCGCTAGAGATCATGGCAGGGCCGCCTATCTCGTCTGCATCATCTGCAGGGGTTAAGAAACTCGTGTGTCGCGTGTGTCAAAAAGGATTCACTAAGGCTGAACATCTCCGAGTAAGTCGATTCCTGCTTCGTCCCCACGAATTTGAGGGGCAGCTATAAGACTGCCAAGGCATGCAGAAGCGATAATTAGGCTAACTCTTAATCAAAAACAGAGACATGAGCGCTGTCGTAAGTCTTGCCATACCTTGCACTGCTTATTCTTTTCTCCGGCGATTTATATCTCTGCCGGATTACCCCCCTCCCCCTTCCAGCAAGGGACAATTGCCATGGCAAATCAGCATGGCACCATGCTTCCCAACCAAATACTCTTACCCCCCATAGATTCCCGTCGGCTGACCGGAAGTACCTCTTAGATACCGGCTCCAAGCCTTACGTCTGTAAAGAATGTCGCCGGCCATTCGCCCGCCAAGATGCCCTCACCCGCCATGAGAAATTGCATCTGCGGGACATGAATGCAAAGCAGGGCCCATCACCACAGTCGGTGCCGCCCCCCTCAGCCTCGTTAGATTCAATGACCTCGTGGGATGCTAGCAGTACCTCTACTACGACGGGTCCGGTCTCGACGTCGGCGACTAGCCGATCGTGGGATGAGCCCCAGGTAGCCCAGCATCAGAGCATGCACAATGTTGCTACTGATCTGGACTTTGCCCTCGTCTGGCCGGATTCGGAGAATCTGTTCCAGAGTTTGATGTCCTCTGATACTACTGATCAATGGCAAATGCCCATGGGGACGTTGCCCTTCCCACCCGTAGTGCAAGATGTGAATGGAATGAATTTTGGGTCGCCCAACTCGTTTGATGATCGGAGTTCTTCCGTGGGTGCCATCCCATCTGGCGGTGGACATCAGGCTGTGCGCGATGTGACGGAGATGATAACTAGCTCGGTAAGTAGAGTAACCTTGGTGGCATGTCATTGTGGCATGTCATAACCGGATGGAAACCATTTTGGTTGTTGATATCTACAAAAGGAATGACCATGCTAACATACATCTACCAGTCCTCGAGTGTCACCGCCGCTGTCAAAGCCACGTCAATCACGTCAGTCTTCCTCGATGAATGCTTGCACATGTTCTTTGTCCGGTTCATCCCGACCTTCCCAATCTTGCATCGGGCCACGTTTGTCTTCCGCGAGTGCACCCATGCGCTCCTCCTCAATGCCATCGCGATTGGATCTTTATACTTGGGTCCCTCCGACTCCGTTGCCAAAGGCGAGGCATTATGGAGATTGGCTCACACGGCCGTTGCGACGTCATGGCAGTCCTTGATCACTCACAACGGGCCTTATGATGCCTGCAAGGGAGTCCAGTTGATGATCACCGCATTGCTGGGTCAGATCTACGGGGCGCTATCGAAGAACCGAGCCGTTCGCACCACGAGTCAAGTATTCCGCCCGCTCGGCTTTTTCTGGGCTCGTCACTGTGGCATGTACGACAGTGAACCCTATTCGATGGAGAACCTCCCTTGTGCCGAGGCTCCCCTAGCTGAGAAGGAACACCAATGGCGTATCTGGGCCGCACGGGAAATCCAACAGCGTGCCCTTCTGGCATACTACGTCCTTGACGGTCTTGTGGCACAAATGTCCGGTGATGGAGCATCGGCTCGCCATGTCTCCAATCCCTTGAGCCTTCCTAGCAGTGAAGGTGCCTTTGACGCAAATACCGCTGACGAGTGGCTGGCACACATGCACTCGCAACAACCAGATCAATCATCTTTCCGTGTCGTCTTCCGATCTCTATTCCCACCGGTTGGTAACTTCAGAGCCCTGGACTACCAGTTCTCCGCATTTGCTCTCCGTGTAGTCCTAGAAGGTCTCCAATCCCTGATATCCGACTGCGACGAGCACGATCTCGCGGTGGGTGTCCCAGGACGCTCCGATGTACGCCGCGCACTCGCTCAAGTACACGAGACAATCTCAATGAGCATCCATTTCTCTGCTGCAGAGCGGCTGGAGATCCTTCTTCGTTGGCACACCGTCTGTCTAGACACTATGATCAACTCCACCGTTCTATCTCGACATGTCTGCTCTCGATACAACATCCCACAACACGTCTCGGGAGGCTGTCGAACAGTCCGTCCAGACTTTGACCTCCTCAAATGGGCCAACACGGAAGATGCTCGCCGTGCCGTCCTTCATGCCGTCGCCATCCAAGATATTGTCGAGCAACTACCACGTGGACGTGCCCATGTTGTTCACATGCCTAGCTCGCTATTCGCAGCCGCCACCGTCTACGTTGTCTTTTCCCTGGCCGGTGTTGCTACCGTCAATCTCCCACGCACGATAGTCTGGCAAGACGCTCTCCTCTCCCACTCAGACCTCAATCTCGGTCACGACGACATCCGTCCCGCCTCCGGGTCCGAGACACGACGCTTCGTGGAAACCGAGCAGGCAATTGCACCTGTCCCAATTGGCGGCACCGTTCGCAATCTTCTGTATGAGTTGAACTCCATGCAGAAGCTTTTCCGTTGTCTGTCTTCCCAGTGGGGTATTGCGCATGACATGGAGAATATTATTGCGCAGTGGATTCAATTGTGTCATTAGTGATCGGAGCTGGACTCGGGCGCTGGAAAGGTTTTTATTCAACTGTATATAGTTTAGCGGATAGGTATGGGTATAATGAGATTATGAAACATGACCGAGTACAACTGCAATTGCATTCTGTAAACTTCGACAGTACTTCCCACGGTATGGCTGTGCCTGTACCTCGAAGGTAAAACTCGACCGTAGATCCAAGGTGTTACCGACAACAGGGGAGAGCCCGAGGCTTTTCTTACCATACTCTATGAAAGTATTCCTCGTACTTCGAGGTACGACAACTCATTCTGGGTCAATAATCAACCCTGTAGACGAGCCGTGTAGGCCATATTGCTCTCCATCTTCTTCTGATATAGTCCTCGAAAAACATATCAGATCTGACGGCTCGGTGACGGTAATGTAACGGTTGTGTGACGGTTAACCAAGTCCAAAGCATCCTGTATACTTCGCATATTCTTCTTCCCATAGTCAGCAAGCGTGACACCTGGATAGCCTGGACATTGGTATAACAGTGTCGACAAGGCATTGGGACAGATGCTCACCGCCTATACACTTGACCGCCCTAATACTGCCGGCAGGCCGCGTCCCGGGTGGACGCTAAACTCAAAACAATTAACCTCCGCTGGCCAGAAGCTTCCCCTGTTGATCTCCACCAACGCCAAGACATCTTCCCGATCGCCACAAAACTCCTTCGTTCGGTAAGTTTCTGGGACCTCAGAGTGGAAATCTGTCATAGAGACGATCAGCAACTGACAAGAATCGATATGTGATGTAGTCAAGATGTCGGAACCTCCGCAGATGGAGAACACACAGATGCCCGCCCCAGCCGAGCATGCTGGACTGCCTCCGAGCAGCACCGCCCTTGCTGGTCCCCGCAGCGGCCGCGGTAAACAGCTCACGGCCCAGGAAGTGTCCGCTCTCTATGGCCTGTGCAAGGCGCGTCTGAACAGTGGCCGCTTCGCTGATCAACCCAAGCGGTTCTGGCGCGAAGTCGCGCAAGCCTTTGAGAGACAAACCGGCCGTCCGTATTCGTGGCAGTCGTGCCGCCGTCGCATCACCAAGCTGGAATCAGAGGTCGATCCCCAGCAGGCTGACGCCCCCGTGCCCACTCCGCCCGTCCCAGCGGAGCCCTCCCAACCCGCCTTTGCTGTCGCGTCCGTCAATGACGATACTGCTGATGACCTGAGTGATGACGACGAGGATGGCCTTCCTCCAGCGACCTCTCCTGTTAGAGAAAGCATCCACCGCCGCTTTGACCCCATGGAGCGTGCCATCAAAGAAACCTGCGCCAAAATCGTCAGCGAGAGCGTCGACAATACGGATATTAAGATGCAAGCCTTTGCCCATTTAGTCTTCAATGACCCGCATGACCTGCGCAAGGTCCAAAAGGCATTCTCCGAATTTAAGAAGGAGTTTGACTTGGCTTTGGAGAAGGCAAAGCGTGGTCAGGAAGAGGGGCGCCAGTAATCCGTCAAACGCACTCTACGATGTGGACAGTCTCCCTTTCGATGGGATTATCTCCCATGGAGGTCCACTTGATGATTTCACGACATAACGAGTTGATGATAACTAGAGATATCCCCTTGATTTCCATACAGTCTGAGATACTGGCAGACCCTCGTTACTATCAATACCAATGAATCTTTGTTTCCCAGTTTCCTGTCTTCATTGGAGCATTGCTACCAGTACTGTTTGAGCCAAAAAAAAATCAACTTATGCGGGAAGGGAGTATGTTATTGCTTGAAAGCTATCTGCAAGATACACAGAAGAAGGGCTTTGCTATTCCAGAGCCCCCTGTGTGCACTATCCGATTCAAAAAGCATGTGGCTGTCCGATGAAACCCGAGAAACAAACATTGCTAGCATGCAATATGATACTGACGTCACCAGGTAACGACCCCATCAATGCAGCTATTTGTCGAAAAACATCAAAAAGCAAATTTGTTCCCGCTATCGCCCATAACGTTCATGAAAAGCAACCCATTTGAGCGCTTTTGTGTTCGGAATTTGGCTCCCTTAGGCCTCCTCGTTGCCAAAGGCAGCATCGAACGCATCACCCGCACCGTTCAGCATGCTGTCCAGGCTCTGAATGACCTGATCATTGGCTTCATCGGCAGTCATGGCTAGAGATGGGAGCTCAAGCTCATACCCGTTGCTCTTGCTGTCCACACGGGTCTCATTCTCCGGGGCGAATGAGAGGAGCTGGGCCATGAGGTCATCCGAATAGTGTTCGATCTTGACACGCTTTGCAGCGGGCTCCTCCATGAGCTGAACCTCGTCGTCGATATCACCGTGGAGGATGGAGTGACTCTTGATTCCAAGGAGGGAGCGGGTGACTTCAGTTTCGTCCTTGACCTCGCGCTTAACCTTGATTGGGGTGTCATCGTCGCTGGAGATATCCACGACATCCTCGGCCTCAGCGGTGTCAGCAGCCTTCACATCTTTGGTGTCCTTGTCCACCTTGTTCTTGGCAGTGGGGGTGGCCTTCTTGGATGCCGGAGTGGCCTTCTTGCCACGGGTGTTCGGAGTGCGAGGGGTACGGGGAGCTGTCTGAGGCTGGGTCAGGGGACCCTCTTCACCCGCGGCGACACGCAGAGTCTCAGCCAGCTTTCGCCAAGCACGGAACTTGTGCTCCATAGTGTTGTACTTCGCGCCTAGGCCGTACATCTGTGCAATCCCGCCATAATCCAGCTAAGGGACAAGTCTCAGTTAGCTTTTCGTTCTCTCATTTGAGGGGGACTTGCTGCACGAACCCGCATCTTGGGATTGGCAGCAATGAGCGCCGCGATGACTCGCTCTGGCTCGACTTTCATTTTGCCGGTATTTTCGACGATTTTAATGCTCTGAATATTCAGTTGTCAGTCGGATTCGCAGTCAGATACGTGTGAAGCGAAGGTCTTCTGCTGTATAGCTCGGGTGGAAGAACAAAAGCCCGGTTGATGGAAGTGAAAAGATGGCGATGCGAAAGAGACAGCACGTTCGAGCTTACGCAGAGGTCTTTGCAGAAGGGAGAAATCAGGACTTACCAGAGGCGGTTCGGTTTGCGTGAGAACGAAGTTTGATCGAGAGGGTGAGGAGTGGTTGTGGTCGAGGACAGCTTTCGGTGGATGGTGGAAGTGAAAGCGAGGACTTAGTCGTGAACGAGAGTTCCTCTGGGTTGATCCATCACGCTTCGGGGCCGGAGTTTGCGATGGAACTTTCTGAGAGGTATCGCGACTGAAGATCGTGAATAGTCTCTCCGCGGAGTTCTTGAAGGGCTACAAACTTTCTGAATTGGGCGGCGATCACACTTCAGCATGAGATTTCCCTACCTGATGGCCTCTCCTGCCGAGTTCTTGAACGGCTATCAAACTTGTGGATTGAGCAACAACCGTATCTCAGCATGGATTTCCATCATTTCACGAGAAATATGTGTTCAGTCGTGTCTACACCGCGAGAACGTCCTCTCATCGAACGGTGCATGGCACATTTATTAGTGGGTATCGCCGCCAATGGCACTCAATACGGCCAGTCAGGCTGATGATATCTACACTTTAGGAAACTCGAATATGCCAAAATGCCATCTTCGGTACTCTACGTTGACGCCGAGGACCATTCCCTTGAACTTTATGGGCTGCCGCGTGAGAGTTTGTTTCGAGAACGCTTCGCATCATGATCGGCTCCGGGTGTTGCGTATCTTCGAGGTCATGGAGACATACCCGATGCATAGCACTATGATAACTTGCGCAATAATCATCCAGGTTTTCAATTCGAGTGGTCAGAGAATCTACACCCCAGGTATGCCATCTCTCAACGTGACTAGATCAATTTTTGTTTCCTTGAGGTTGAATAACGGAAATACACTGGAAGTTTTCCCTCCGGGTTGTTTGGAGCCATAATGGATCAATTGTTGAGGAGAAAATAAACCACCGCCATCGCCCATCATCGTAGAGTTATAGCTCATTAACTCGACGATTCGACAGGGGTGCACAAAATTCAAAGGTCTGGCCTAAGCTAAATTGCCATCGCCTGTCGACTGTAGTCGTAACAGCGCCAACCTGTCATGCCTTGCAATACTGGGAATTTGGTGACCCCAATGAGGTTGGAAATTCGAGGAAGATCTACTCCTTGTCTAACCCATGTGACTGGCCCAGTGTATAGAATTCCCAACCCGGTTAAGCTAGCATAATGATGATGGACAAACAACGGTGATCTGGTGGGAATTATAAGTCCGCAAACCGGATTCGAAAAATATTCGAACAAGAATTGGAATGATTATCCGAGGAAGTATTCGAAGCAATATCCAGCAGACCGGTCAAATTAAGGGACAGGGGTATTGAGGAGAGGCTCCAGGAGGAGGTACTAATTCTTCCCTTACCTACCTCTTCTTACGCCTAGTAGGCTATCCGGTACCTCGGGCCCCTCGTCATATTTTATCTTTAGGAAGCTCTGCTGGTACCTTTTATACTAAGCTCTTGACTCAGCCTATTCTCAAAATAACTCCAGTGCCTCCATAGAGGTCTACATCTGATCATTCAGCCTCTAATTCTCTGCTAAAATTCCACCAAAGAGCAGTACGAGGATATTGGTATAGCCGCAGATTAGTTTCCGTTTAGGCTATATAGGGAGACAGTAGAATCGTAGGAAAATAGGAGAGTATGCTCGGCTTGTGAAAATCAAGGTCATCAGTTGATGCTCAAAATTTTCCTTGGTGCCTCTCTATCATACTAAGAGTATGATCCCTTGGTCGTTAGATGTCCTAGGTTGCCCTGTTAGGAAAAATGCGACTTGGAATGGCAACGAACAGGCAGATAGAATGTTAGATCTAGCATAGACGATGACTGCTGAGAAGCTATTATTCGAAACCATGGCGAAACTTCAGTCAATGGTCGAATATTAGGGGAAATGACAATCAACACTGGTCATTTTAAACCCACGCAGTATATAACAACATAAGAAATTTTGAATTGCACACCTCCGTTAAAAACATCCTATCCAAGTCCATCGGACCGGTGTCTTTCATGCAAGCGGCGGGCACATAATGCAATATCATCTAGTACAAAAGATTTTGACTTCCTTGGTAAGATAGACTAAGGCTATTCCTTGTTGGAGAGGTGGATGCGTGTTGACATCGCAAAACGTAGATGTTTAAGATGGCTTCCCACACTTGAATTGGTTGTCTCTTCTTTCAAGTTTAATCACAACTTGAGAATCTATGAAACTCCGGTCTGGGCTCTAGTATGCTAAGAAATTGGAAACGGGAAGACTTGAAGATGGATTGCTGTAAGACAGAACATATGAGAGCATGAAACCAGCCACATCAAGCTTGTTATTTCAACATGTTAAATCCTGAGAGATTGTGTTGCGTCACGGAAGGACTGGTATAAGTAATACGCATAACTTTAATTCTACAATGTTTATTTTGAATTTGGGAAGATCAATGAGTCCTTTACCATTTATATCACAATTATACTCGACTTGAAATATTGATGTAACATATGTAACTTGCTACCGGTTAAACATCGCGACCGATCAGTAATCTACAGGTATAACGGGCTTAGCAGGATTACGGGCCGTCATGTGGAAATCTACGGCCTTTGTGGGTGTCACAGGGAGTTCTGGTGAATATCTCAGGAGATTTCGGTGGGAGGCGCGGGCCTCGCTCATGGCAATGAGGAGGTGGTGGTTAATATTCTAGATATAGTAAGAACGTATACTGTTATGACAGACTTAGCAAGCCCCCAGGGTGTCAAGTAGAAACCTCGAGGCCTTATGGGGTATAAGCGGCAAGTCTAGGGGTGGCAGCAAGTGTCAGGTGTGGCAATAGTTGAGAAATTCCAGGAAATACAGTCAGGTTCCGCAAGTCTTTAACACACCCTATATGTCTACAGGCAGCTGAGGACACGTCTCGAATCGCGATCTTGCCCTAAAACAAGAGAGTCGGTTTCAGGATAGCTGGAATGATAATCAAACCCCGTTCTGATGCTTTTACGCACTCTTCGTGGTACGAGCCCATGAGTTCAGCTCCAATTATCGTGAAATTTGGCGGGGAGAATATTCCATAATCTCAGGGGTGCACACCCCTTAGATGACCCTAAAAGTCAGGGCTGTGGACGGCTCTTAGATTATCTGTAACACATTTGGAGGCATATACGTAGGGAATTACTTGAACCTCCCCCCCCTTGTCTCTGACCATCTCCCTGTCTGTTTTTTGCCACACTATTCTCTACAGTCCCCCTTTCTAGTTTATATCCACAAGTAACATATTTTTGAAGACGTCAAACAGTCCTCATTTCGGCATATTTTTATGCCTGCTCTATACTGTATTATCCGTGTCCTCTGATTAGTTAGTAAAGAGATCCTCAATCTCGTCCTCGCCAGGCTACTAGACCTCCGCTTCATCCACGGGCGTCCTCCGCGATCTAACAGTGCCCACGGCCACGGCCACGCTAACGAGCCTCCTTATCAGGAGTTTCCTTATTAGTAGTCTAGGAAGAAATCTTGGTGGTGGGTAGGAAAGTTGGTGAAAGAACGAAGAAATTAGCGTTGCGTTGGTTGATAGAGAAAAGCGCGGGGTACTAGGCAGTTCGGGGGTTGAAATCCTTTTCTATTAACTTTCTAACTCCTCCAAGCTGGCAAATAATGAATTAATTATACCTTTATATGGAGCTGATATAGTTTTCCATTCTATTTCTAAAGATCCTTCTTACATCAAATTCCAGTGGTGTTTCAAGTCTTCGTCTACCTAGGGATACCATAATATTCTGTCGGTCAAAAAATGTCACTTCATATTTCCTGTCCTAACCACGGGCTCAAAGCGCATGTTGTAAAACCAATAGACAAACTTTGATGCCGTATACCATCAGAAAATGACTTTTACGCTATCCAAATGATTAGATATGGCCTAGTAAGGTACGGACTAAAAATAGAACACTCGGTAACAAAGTGAGGGTGGACGAAGACTTACAGAACCCCACTACACTATACTCCGATTAAGAATTTTCTTCTTAATACTATTTTTAAAACGAGTTTTAGAACCTCAGTTAAAAGCTCTTTCGCGAGATCTTTTATAACGTCTTTTGTAACGTCTTTAAATCTTCTTTGAAACCTCTTATGAAATAGTTTATGAATTAGTTTATGTAAGGACTAAAGAAAGAAGAAACCAGTCAAATTGACTCACATTTACATGTTAATTACAATTATACACAAAAGCTATGTGTATTAGTCTTAGCAGATTTCAAATATTTCAACGAGGTTAAGTAAAATCATTTCTTAGCTAAGAATTTTGCGTATATCAAAGAACTTTTCTAGCTCCTCTAGGCTTTTACTAGTTCAGAGAGGGTAGAAAATAGAGCGGTACGACGGTAAGGAAATCCTAGGTAGTGTGCCAGGTAGTACCTGTGGTCGAGCTACGTACCCCAAAACAGATAGTAAATATGATAAATGGCTACTTTATACCTTAATAAGTATGGGGTATTTCGACTTGAAATATTAAGATATAGGGTTTTTTAATAAGTCAAATAATATACCTTGGTCTCAAGTAATTTAGATTATTATACCATAAAACACGTTATAATTTTGACATGGGGAATATAGATAGGTATATTTATCTCCCTTATTACTTCTAGCAATTTTCCTATACTTCGCCATTAGGTTAGAGATACCATGTAGATTATATACTTCTGATATTGCATCATAAATGGATACGGTTATTAGGATATCAAGTAGTCATTTATCATAATTACCCTCTGTTTTGGGTTACGTAGCGCGGGCAGGAATTACGTTAGTGTTTTCGGGGTGTCCTAGTTATATTCTAAGCAATAATTCTTATTTCCCCGTCCCTGTAGGTAGGCGGTGAGGGCGGTGACGAAAAACCGAGCAAAAAAACCCGTCGGAAAAAGGTTATTCCACTTGCCGTATAGTCGAAAGATTCTGCCGTTTAGATATAGACCGCCTACTTAAAATAGAGGATCACGTGATCTAATACACAAGCACATTTCGAATGCATACTGGTTCGACGGCGTTTTTTACGGCGGTTAAGATGTGACCTAAACCAGGTGGATATAGGTAGAAAAAGTAGTACAAAATAGATTTGGATTTGCCTTTTTATACCCCAAATTCCCTTGCCCCAGACTCTTCTTCCTTCTTCTCTCTTCACCTCTCTACTCGACGGATTCCCATACTCTACGGTACAGCGAGCTCGCACTTTTACCTCAAACTCGACTTACTTGAAACCCCTCTCAGACTCTAACTGTCATTCACATTCATTCACATATTCTCACTATCAAATTCCTCCACCTCACTCAAGTACCAACGTTCAAAATGCGTTGGAACCCCTCCGCCGATCAACTCGTATGTATATCCATTCCCAACTTTTGATATTACGTTACATATACATTTTCACTTTCCGATACTCTGACACTTTCTCTCTCTAGCTCCTCCTGAAGATCGTGGAGACCCACGATATCAGTGTCGACACCAACAAGGTTGCCGCAGCTTGGCGTAAGTGTTTCCATTACTTCCCACTTTCCCGCAAAACATTCCCTCTTCTTCACTCCAGTTGACTCTGAATGACTTCGTGTCAAATGGCTCCGAGCCAAATGGTTCCCAGTCGAACAAGTCGACGTCAAACACCCCTCATAATATCCATTTTCACCACCCCTTCCACCTTCTTGATCAAATGCTAATTGTACCAGCTTCCTCCGCCGATGGCCAGCCCGGTCCCACCCCTCGTGCCATCAAGGAGCGCCTTGGCAAGCTTCGCGAGCTAGCCCGTCGCTCTGGATCCCATGTTCCAGCTGGCTCGCCGGGCAAGCGAGGTCGTGGAAAGAAGGCCAGTTCCTCCAAGTCCGACTCTGACGCCCAGGCTTCTACTCCCCGGAAGCGAAAGCGTCAGAGCTCTCCCAAGGCTAAGGAGGAGGCCAATGTCAAGGAGGAGTCCAGTGACGACGAGGATGATAAGGTCAAGATGGAACAACTCCTTGACTACCCTGCAGAGTCCACCCACGCCGAAGACACTGGTCATATGTCCCACGAGAATGACGAGTTTTTCGACGAGAACGTTTAAACAGTGAACCATGTGCCAACAGGGAGGATGATGAAACGTTTGCAATTTTCGATCTATTGTGTTTCATATTGCATTCTTTGCTTTCCACATCGAACGTCCTGCTGGAATAGCCGGCACCGGAGTTTGAGGCCCTGCTGAGTTGCAAGTTTCTGCACTCAATTCTGCTTTTTGAATATGGCTTTCATCAAGTGCTGTTTTCCCTGATGGCTTCATTTGCATCCTGACGTATCTACTTTGCCATTTGCTAACGATTTTGAGGACTGTAATCTTTTTTGATATTTTGCCATGAGATTTAACTTTCAAGTTTTGAATTCATATCATGCTGCTTTCTGGGATGGGTTCAAGCGCAGGGTTCTACAGCGTTAGTTAGTGATGTGTTGAAGGGGTGCGTTGGTCGTTGCTCAGGCTACACGACCTCCGTTCCCCTTCGCCCAATATCAACTGAATATCCCCTCTGTTGATTATGATCAGCCCTGTACTTTCTGAACGGTACTGTCCTAGCTCCGAAGCTTTAGCTCGAAGGCTGATAACGGAGTGGGGATGCTTCCCCTTCTTTCGTAGATCAAAAAAATGGCACAGAAGCCATCTCCGTAAGATGGGAATCCAATACATTGCGGCGTATGCCCCCCGAAAGCAGGAACTGGGCATCCAACGGTTTATGGGCTACTTAAACGGTCAGTCTAATTCGACGATGAATAAAGAACCCTCAATAATGATTTGTTGTGCACACACATGACTTACCCCATAAGAGCCTTACTTAATGAACCATTAATTAACTAATATGAGCTGACTGTCCCGATTGAGTGCATATTGAGGATACCCGATGTCCAGTGACACTCGACATTGCCTTACAGGAGCACACTTAGAGTCGAAATTATTCGATTAGCACTCAAGTAATGCAGTCCTCGGTGCAAAAGGTGCCTCATGGTAATTATTGCTAACCGACTACGCTAATAGAAGAGTACGAATGCGAGTGACTGCCACAACTCTGACAAATTGGAACTGGGATTCATTGATCTTTTTCCTCCTTGCAACCTGTACTCACCGAACGCAAATGAAACTAGCTGAAAAGAAAGCTATCTACTTTCCGAGATAATCCTCAAATTGAGAACCTTTGTAAATGGAGAATATGTGCTCCGACCCAATCTTGAAAAAGCGCGAACCCATGAAAACAAAGCTTGCAAAATCCCAGTCGTCAAATGTGTTTGAACCCAAAGAACGCATGATCAATGTCGAAATGCTTGTGTGTCCAACGTCTGACAACACAAGAGCAAAGAAAGCCCGCAGGACGTCTAAGCATATTCGAGCAAGGAGTCGTCCTCGTGGGACTCGTCCTTGGGCTCCTGCTCCTCGTTGCTGTCGTCATCGACTTGATCGAGGTTGTCGTCGTCGATGGCGGTGCTGACCTTGGGCTTCTTCTCGGTATTTCCCTTCTTGGCCTTGGCCTTGTCGAGGTCGGCCTTGGAGGACTTCATGGGGGTTGCACGCTTGGTGCCGGCCTTGCTAGTCTTGCCACGGGGAGTAGCAGGCACACCAGCCTTGTCCTTCAGGCGGGCAACACGGTGCTTGAGGGCACTGACCGAGCAGTCTATAAAATTCAGTCTAGCAGTTAGCATTGGATTCATGGTTTCGTAAGATGAGCATAACTTTCAAGCGTTGTGGTGTTGATGTAGTCCAAAGAAATGTTGGGAATGAAATACGTACCCGGGCCCATGAAGCCAGCCGCCGCATCCCAATTGATGTTGGGAGTGGTAGAGATGATGGCGATCAGGAGCTATTCAAACCGTTAAATCACATTTTGAAGCTATCATGCAGCATGGGAGACATCGATCTGACGTAAAGTCAAGGGACCGGATCTTGGGAGTCGGCTCTCCGAGTATCGAGTCTCGCCTTCAACCAGGTCCCCAGATCACCCCGCAACCAAACCCAAAGACGGTACTTACCCGAGCGTCCGACTCAGTGTTCCAAGTCATGGGCATTTTTTCGGTAGTATCGGAGTCTCTGTGGGGTGAAGTGTGAGACAACATGTGAAGAGCTTGGGGGTAGGTGAGGATGGGTGGTGAAGGGGTGAGGATAGAAAGTGGTCGGGGAGGTGGAAACCGAGATTTGGGAAGTCGGCGAGTCCAAATATGTGGATCCTTTTGGCATGAACGTTGAAGAGTGCGGGCTGGGTGAAACCGGATTTCGGAGAGATGAGAGAGGCAAACGAAGGAAGAGATGGAGGAAGAGAGAAGCGGAACGAGAACAAGAAGGGAGAAAACAGAATCGTGCTGAAATTGCCGCGATAGCTAAAAGACATATGTTTATGGATCTGATGACATATTCAGCTCGAGATAACGCAAATATAAGGAAGCGCCTCTCGTGACTGTCTATATGGTGTGCAATACCGGTGGTCGTTGTCGTACTTAGTATATCTGGCTTGGTTATTATTATGGCGTTTTTATGAGCTAGAGGAATCATCTTTTATTACATCCTAGCTAGATATGTTACTATTATGGCGCTTTTTATGAACTAAACTAACGATCTCTTATGGCGTTCTATCTAGACACGTTGCTACCATAACGTTCGATGAAGACAGAAGTGACGAATTTTTAGATGAGAAGAGAGAGATAGATTCGTTGGAATTTTCGCGTTTAGAATAGCTACCATGCCGTTTATTGCATTCTGTAATCATAGAGTTCATGGAAAACAATATGTAAAGGCAACAGAAAGGGAGAAACACACGAACGCCTAGATACGCCATAGCGGGTTCCTAATAATAGAGCTAGGTGCCTTCAAGAAAGATGCATCCGTCACGATAAGTATCATGGCGGTGCAATAGCAAGAAGCTGTATTCACTTCTTATCGTCGCGGTCGTAGTTGTTCCAGAAGTTCCCACGGGTGCGGACCTTGTCACGGTTCTCATCTTTGGTAGACTTCTCGCCGGTGTTATCATTGTAGCGATGACCCGCCGAACGCTTCTGCTTCTTCTTGTCAGGGGTCTGCTGGTGAGACTTTCGGCGGCGGGTTTCGTTTGTAGCGGAGGCGTCATCGGCGGGGGCGGATTCGATGGAGAGGGAGCGCTTGGAGCGGCGCTTTGGTGAGGTCTTGGTCTTGTTCTCGGCAGAGGCGTCCGAATCGTTGCCCTTGCCCATTCCCTCAATGCGTTTCAAAGCGGATCGGTTGTAGCCCCATTTTCTCTTTGCCTTGCCCTTGGCCACGCTGGCAGCACGGGTGGCGTGGGCTTCGAGCAGGATCTGGCGCTGCTCACGGCGTCGTTCTGCGGCCTTCCGGGTCATGGTCCGCAGGTGCTGCATGATGGCCTCCGGGGTGCAGGCTAATCGTATTTTTAGATGAAAGATGGCATCATTCAGAAGGGTATAATCACTTACTGCCACCCATAATCTCCGCGGTGGTCTCCCAGTCGAACTTGGAGCCACAAGTCTCCCAGATGGCAACAAGGAGCTGGAACGTACAAATACTCAGCATTCAGTCATGTAAATGGCTCAGTGATTATGCACTCTCATGAAATACTCACCTTGTTGTCCCATTCGGGAGTCCAGACAATGACCATGATGATGATAACTGACGTCGAATAATGCTGGTGATGGGGATTGTTTGGGACTGAAAGATGATGGGAGTTACACAAAACGTCGTTTTGGCGGGGTGGATGTAAACGAGCTTTCCTTCAACGTTGAAAGTTTTTGACTTCAGGAGAAGCACGTTTGTATCTCTTGTCAGAGATCGCCCACGCTGTAGTTTCCCGAGATGTAATGCACATGTATGGATTTCAGCCTTTGGGTGTGATCGTGGTTACTTAATGAGGCCTATGCAATGTTTTAACTAACGATAGACTACGTCTCTCAGAGAAGTTACTATAGGCCATGATTTTTGATATCAATAGGGAGAAACTTAAGCTCATACATGGCGCTCTACCTCTTAGTATGCTTCTGATTACGAGAGAAAGGTCAGAGATTCTCACTATACAGAAAGTAATCTACACTAGGCTGTTTTTTCCCTCCTGTTTCTAGATCATATGGCAAGCAGAACCGGTTGAGGGTTGATTAGGAAGCATTCATCTTTCCTAGGCACAGTTTAAGTATATTACTTTCAGTGTGTTAGTTTTGTAGATTTACTAAATACCGCATACTAGAGGTGATAGACTTTCATATTAAAGATTTCTCCTGCATAATCGCTTGCTACTGTTTCATAATCTAGACCAGTGATCTCCTGGTCAAAATCTGCCAGGACGATGTTGAAAATGCTCGCTGCAACGGAACGGCTTGCTGCAGGCTATCTTCATTGATTCCTCCCCAAACAACCAAAAAGTAAACTTGGAAAAGACATATGACTTTAAATAGGTCTTTGAAGCAGCCGAAATCAACTTGGCGGTCTCCCGTTGCAGGATAGACGTTATTAAATTTAGGTCTTGATAGGTCACGTGCAAGGGGCATGGACGATTACCACATAAAGCCGAGGACTGACGTCTGGTAAATTGAAGAAATTCAACTAATGACCGCCGTATAACAAGCCCAATAGTTGAGTACTTGAGAGTGAGCGGCTTCGTAGGTCTAGCCATGAAAATAAAAAGAGAATGCGTGGTTGCGACATATATAAAGTCATGAATTTCCTGACAGGCATCGGCCGGAAAAGGCCGGGGAATCTATAGAATGATAATGATACGCCAAAAGTCAAACAGAAGAGGGCTCATCGGCCGTGCTGTAAGCACAAAAAAAAAAAACAGAAACGTTCCACCCAGCTCATGTCCAATATCATGACTCAACCATGATGAGGCTGGGGTGGCCCGGAGGCTGGTGGTGTCGAGGATGCCCAGGGGCCGCTCACAAATTGTGGATCAGACGCTGCTATGCGGGAGGCACTAGTCGGAGTGGTCCATTGACCTTGATTGGCAGTGAATTGACCGGGTTGTGGATGGTAATTCGCTGCATGATGGTTGGTCCCATCATGTTGTGAGCTACCCTGGTGTTGTGGAGGGAGGTACTGTCGCACACCGGCCTGGGAAATAGGGTATTGATAAACCTGAGCGTCACCATGGACGCTTGGGCCAGCAGCAAAGAACCCCGAGTTGAAGCGAGTGCCAGGTTGCATTCGCAACATATCAGGACTCTGAAAGGAGCCCTGGGCATTCGGCAGTTGAGGACCGTAATCGTACGAGGAAGGTTGTGCATAAGATGCGGCTGCAAGACCAGCTTGCTGTTCGTATTGGAACCCCGTGTTTTGGTGAGACTGAGATCGGGATAGAGGATGACCAGCTAAAGTGTTGGCTGGATTTGCCGGGTTGCCACTATAGGCGTCACCTGACTGTGAGGCAATAGAGGGATGTGAAGATCTTGACGCCAATCCTCTAGAATGTAGCCCGCTAGTTTGGGGAGTAGCATTGGAGCCGTGGAAGGGTTGAGACAAGCTCGACAAGCTATACTGATCGGATGAGGGTGGAGTGACATTACTCGACTTCCTTTGATGTCCTTCAAGCTGCCACTGCGGCTGGGATGAAGTAATGCCGGAGTGAATGAAACCAGGATGCTGGTTCCCGGTGTACACCATCGAGGGTGCATACGCTGAGGTATGAGAAGGTTGTGGTGGATCTATAGGAAAGCTGCGATACCGCCCTGTGGTAGGGTCGACGGTAGGCCCACTTGGGTACGGTTGTGTCATCTGGGGATTGGCCCAAGTTTGCTGATGATTGGGTTGCATCAGAAGTTGTGCTTGGGCGGTATACGCTGCCCTATAATTGGGGTTTCCGGGAACCGGTTGCTGAAAATGGCCCTGGGAAGTAATTAGCGATAAGCACTCGTGGTGGGCTTCGAAGGTTTAACACACTGCCATATACACTCCACCGGCCGAAATAAATGGCTGTGCATGGGTTTGGGATACATTCTGGGCATTATGAGCCAAATGCCATCCCAGCATGCCCTCGGAGCTTTGTGTGGAGGCGCTCGGTTGTCCATTGAGCTGGGAGCTTAGAGAGCTCTATTCCACCATCAGTGCCACTGCTCCAATACTTATGCAGACATGATGAGTGTGATCCCCTACGGAAGTTCCCTCATTGTCCACCGCTGATTCCATTCGCTCCACCAATGAGCTTCCGGTCGTTGTCACTTGTGGGTTGTTGGTGGATGGTTGAGGCGGGGGCGCTTGCGAAGGCCCGGCTCCGATAGACGTCGGGGTTGTGGAGGGTGATAAAACGACCGGCTCGGTTGGTATATCCCATTGTGACTTGCCAGTCGCCCGCTGGACATAGTACCACTGGCGCTGAACGCCTTCCCACTGCGGGAGCCTGGACGCGTATTCAGTTAAAGTTTGGGACACTGGGCAACGGTCAACGTCAACTTACCAGCCCTCAGGGAGTCGAGGCGGAGGAGATGATGGGCCTGCAGTATCTGCAGGGGCATCTTGCGCCATTCTGCACACAGTCAGAGGATGGGAGGCAAGTTGCTGGCGGACAAAAACACTCCGAAGGGAAGGAGAGGTCATCGGTTGGCGATCCTGTGGGGCCCCCGGCCTTGGCTTGGCGATCACGTTCCATCAACATCGAGACTGGCGGGTATGACAATATGGTAAGGACTGGGCAACAAACCATTGGGAGATAACTGTTGGTACATTGCTAAAATACTCTAAGACGATAATCATGTAGATAAAATGTGACAGAACTTGCAAAATCTCCCAATCCCAACCCATAAAAGACTGATAATCCCATCCGTGATAACTCCATAGCCGAGTTCTTTCATATCCAGCCGACCTTTTCCGTATAACCCTCGAGTCTCTCGCCCCCGGGGAAACTTCAAAGAATACCGCCATAGATAAGAATAAAAAAGCATTACAGACCAACAAAACCCCACACTCACCAGGCATGGCGCTGCGGGGGTTCCCAGTCATCGCCCGCCCAGTCCTCGTCACCACTTAGCTCATCATCGAGAAAGTCAGCCTCGTTGAACTGGGTTTCCGTGGGGCGCTGGTTGTCGATACGAATTTTGACATAATTGCACATTCCCCGCTGGATCTCTTCGTGTGGCGCAGGGGAAGGGGACCGGGACAGTGAATCTTTGAGCTGTGCGAGTCGTACACTCTGGCGCTTGGATGGAGTAGAAGGTTCACTGCCAGCAGAGTTGGGACGTGCCGATTCTCCATCAGCCAGTGGTTGACTAGCGTAGAGGGGACGCTTGCGCAATGAACGGAGGTTTGGGTCGGGCGGAGCGCTACGACGCAAAAAGGTTGTCTGCAGCCGGCGGATCCATCGCTCACGGAAGGTAGCACGATCGCGCCAGCCAATCTTAAGAATTGCTGTGATAGTTAGGCGGCGCAGGTCGCGTAGTCTAGGTGCAGCATTGACCAACGACATGAAGAACCCCTCCACTGTTGTCTCGCTGAGCTTTGTGAGTTGGATAAGTTCAATCTCCCGAAGTGTCTCCGGCCACGTGGGAACTTCAGAGGAAGTCAGAAGTTCGTCGAAGTGGAGTGAACTATCGCGGTAGCTTGACCAGTCATGCATGGAAACGTCCATCTTAAACCGCTCCAGGTTGGGGCAATACTCCGCAAGACGGGTGCTGAACGTCATTTTGAGGTGGCGGTTATGACTGAGACTTAGTTCCCGCAGCTGTCGTCCGTGGGATTCTAGATAGGCTTCGAGGTTGGGAGAGAAAACCCGATGGCAATTTGTCAGGGTAAGAGAGCGGAGATTCGATGGCAGGTACGGTAAACCAAACTGGCCCACAATCCCGCATTCGATGAACTCCAAATGCTCGAGCCGGGGGAGTTGCCGGAGTGCTGCAACAAGGCAAGGCTCGAGTGCAGCGATTTCCTCTTGGGTTCGGCCAGAACAATTGACATGGACAAGGCGGAGATGTTTCAATTGCTGGAATGCTGCTCGTTGGTGTTTCTCCAGCATAAAAGGAAGAAGAGTTTCAATGTCTGCTATGAAACGACCATTCCAGTCCCACTTGCGAAGAGCGACGCCATTTTCATCAATGCTTGAGAATAGACGCTCGGGATAGAGCCACTTAGAAACCGGGAGGGAGTAAGCAGGTACGCCGACGATAGAGTCATCCTTGTGAAACAGCCTCATAGTGTGCACTCGCGGCACTGTCGCGATGAGATCGCATAGGTCAAACCAGCCAAGCTGTGGGCCAGTCTTGTAGAGTAGTACAGATTCGGCGTCGACATGGAGCTCTTTGACCTTGACGGCATAGTTGATCGACAGGGACTCTTGAGGCTTTGATAGGAGCCAAAGTAGTTCGAAGCTCTTGGAGGCTGGAATTAGAGGCGGGGAATAATAGAGAGCCGCAAGCGCAGGCTCTAGAAATTGCCGGCATAAAAGAGCCATATCAAGAAGCCACTTGGTTGATTTTGTCCGCTGCATCAGCTGTTCGTCGACGAGAGGATGGGACGCACGTAGGAAGATGTCAAACAGGACATGATATGGAAGTGTCGACCATGGCGGGATGACCCCCGAGGTCAAAGATACCTCCTCGCTCACATCAATTCGAGTTCGCTTCTTCAAGGGCTGACCTAGGGTTCGCCTTGAGGATTTCCTGGGGTTCGTCGTATTGCGTTTTGGCTGTGAGCGTCGGGGAGGTCCATCGCGCTCGCGGTGGCGACGCAGGCCGGTATCACGGGGAGGCGCGGTGGTAGAGGCTGAGGCGGAGTGGGTCGAAGAATGAGGATTTTCCGACGGTGGTGTCAAATGGTGTGCATCCGGCACACTTGCATCATTGTCGTCGAAGGAGCCTTCGGAATCCGTATCTGAAGACTCGCGATAAGATCGACGTGTTCCGGATGACGTGCGCGGACGAAGAGATACGGAAGGAGGCTGGGATGTAGTATCACGTGTTGTCTGTTCCAGACCCGAGTCCTCGGCAGAAGTGCTGTCTTCGTGGTATGTCTTGACTTGGGTGCGCGTGGATCGGACGGGTCTGGAGGACTTCGGCCGTCCACCGGGTGCCATGGCTGCTCAAGTCACGCTGGCAACGGGCTAGGCAGACAACTTCGTCACATCATTCACGTTGAATCTTCAAGGAAAATGGATGCTCTCTTGATTGAGACTCAGAGACTCGATGACTCGAGGGAAGAAAAGGGAGGAGAGTGCACCGAGTGCAACTGGTGACGGCAGGAGCGATGATCAATCTTATCGATAAGCAAAGCAGCTCCATCAGGCTAAACCACATTCAGACTGGCCCTGCACGTGACTGGCCCAGGCATCAAACCCCGCCCTCAGGCCATGGGACTAGTCTATTTTAGGCACACTAGAGACAGCCAAAATTAGAACTCAGCTTGAGCTAAGATGGCGCTGCCAGCCACCCTTGGGGGAATCCTCGTGGGTGGTTGCTTCGTGAACTTCCAATATTATCGTTCAGTCCTCCAAAAGCTCGCTACCGATCAAGATTGACCAGCTGAGAACAATCATGGTGCAGACCCATTGATGCGCTCCATACAATCAGCTCAGGATCCAGAGTCAGCACTGCTGGTCTGCTTTCGCCCCCGCGGCCGGGTCGGGGAGTTGTCGACTCCTTAAGGGAGTTTCAATGGAGAACACCTTCCCTGTTATGATGAACTCCACTGAGCGCCCCAGCCAAAGCGGCATAGGGTCGTCTCAGATGGTAATCCAGCAGTATGCACGATATCCTACAACATTGGAGTCCACTCTCCAGAGCGCATCCTCATTGGGGAGTGCTCGAAGTCAACTTGAAACCCACAGGTCGCCGCCACTGCATCGTAAGGGCACACCTCGAAGCATACAGTCTTCTCCACGGGGAATGCGCTCAGCACTACCCCCATCATCAACGGCTCGGTCTGGGCCGTCCATGTCGCCGCCTCTATTTGATGCCATACGTCATTCTCCGATGAAAGATGCAGCAGATCAAGCCGAGTCTCGAACCCTGCCATCACGGGAGGTGACTGACGAAACCATTGATGATGCTTACGTCTTGTTTATTCTATATTGCAATCCCAATGTACCTTCTTCTGTCGATACCTCGGAGCTTCGCAAGACATTTCGTTGCCCTCCGCGCAGTGATGGCAAAAACTTTAGTGTTTTTACTCTGTACGAACTCATCCGGAAACTGGATAACAAAGAGCTCAAGACTTGGATCCAACTGGCAATCGAATTAGGTGTCGAGCCGCCTTCAATAGAAAAGAAACAGAGTACGCAGAAAGTTCAGCAGTATGCTGTTCGACTAAAGGTAGGGCCTATATCTCCTCTTCATGGCGTATCCCATCTCTAATACTCTTCCAGCGTTGGATGCGCGCCATGCATGTCGATGCTTTCTTCGAGTTCTGTTTGGGTCACCCTCATCCATACTACACTCAGCTTCCTCCCTCAGGACCGTTCGTCAGCGAGTCCCGCGATGGCGTACCGCTAGAAGAGGACCTTGCTCTCCGAGCCTTGGTTCCACAATGGAAGCCCAAACGTGGCCGGAAGCGAGCGGATGAAAGAGAGCTCGAGGAAGACAAAGCAGCCAAGAGACCACAGCTGGATACATCGGTAGCCGGCTTGCAACCACGCGCCTTTCCGACACATAACATTCCTTTTCCTCAAAGCGCAATTCCCTTCAGTGCCTATCCGACAGAAGATGATCCCTGGATGACAGCATCATCATCATTTCCACCACCTGGTACTTCAGACCAACAGGGCAATGATTTACACTGGAGGCTCACCGAGCGTGAGACCTCGCCTGCGGGCTACCCCCAGTCTGCAATCATTCCCAGAGGAACTCAACCCTCAGAAGCACTCATGTCCGCCGAGCCACGCTCTGCAGTCACTCCATCGTCTGGAGAGAAGACTCGCGCCCGACGTAGACATGGACCGGCGGTCTCATCTGCTTGGCCGAACAGCAATGGACCGATAACTGGAAAAGGTCGCGGAAGGCCACCTAATAGGACCTCGACGTCCGGCTCATTTTCCACCTTTCAAGTCAACTCAAGCCGGGATTCCTCTCAAGTTCCCCAACCTCACGTTGCTCAAGCTTCTCCACTCGTTGTTAATGAGGATTCTTCCAATGTTGTCTCAAACTCGACCTTCAACCAATCATCGGTACCAGTCAACCAGGGACGACCGGGTAAACTTCAGTTACAGGTCCCGCAACATCAAGGTGCTCCCGTGCGGCTTGCCACCCCTCCAACACTTCTTGTCAACGGTGTCAACGGTGCGCTTGTCCCTCAAGCCCAAGGGCCAAACCAATCTCAATCAGCCAATACCCTTGACAACGTCCATCACATCGGCAGGTTCGCTGAACACGAGGTAGCCACGACTGACACGAGAATCCCTTTGGATGATATCATGCGTACGCTATCTAATGAGCTTCTGCATGCACGCATCACAGGCAGACCCACTACTATAGCCCCACAGGAGGCCCGGGTTCTGGCGTCTGCTTTGGTCATAAGTTTGACCAATATTTACTCCCAATTGCCCTCTTCCCTCCCGTCGACATATTTGGCCTTCCAGCTTGGCATCGGCCATCATTTCGGCTTACCGGGTAGCGGCCAAAATATGATATCTGTGACGACTGAGCACGCTTCCACTCATACAACTATGGCCGGTAAACAGGGCTCCTCAGAGCCACTTAATGCAACACGATATACAGTCTCGTTCGAGTATAATGTCTCCTCTCGTTTTACTCTACAGGTGGTGCTTGCGAATAGCGATACAGGCATTTCTTCCACTCGGACCTTCAACCAAGGTGCCATTGCTCCTCACAACCCCAATGAACTCGACCATGATGATACTGTGCCTGATTTTGGAGATGAGGATGACGATTTCGATCACGCTGTCTCGGATACTACTTGGAAACAACGCTATATGAGACTCCGAGCGCAGATGCAGAAGAAGGAGCGGTCATTATCCCAATACAAACGCAGAATCGTCGAATCAGTCATGGCGGATATCTGAATGACATTGCACGATGATATTTTCGGGGATCATACCCTGTCTTCACATACTTTTGTCTGAGCGTTCTATCTCTTCTTTGATACGATACCCATCTACACCTTGTTGTCAACTACTATATGGACTTTTTTCTTGAATCTCATCCTCGGGCACTTCTATTACACGCGCCATATTTCTACCTGTACATGTTGAACGAAAGATGATGACGTAGGAGCGCCTATGGCAGGTGTCTACATAATGACTGGGGATATCCTGGCCTTCTGTTGCGTCTTTTTTTACTAAAGACAGGCCACAGGTCCACGTGTATGTCTGACTGCCCGAAGCCTCTGCATCATCGATTAAGACTCTGAAAGCCGTACACGAAGAGCCGTTGAGCGCGATCCATCAAGTAGAAAAGCCACAAATGCCATTTCGCGGCTCTCAGGAATGTATAGCCACCAGGTTGTGTATGCCTCCGGACATAGCTTCTTCTCGAGCGACACTGTACTCCACACCTCATCCCCGGGATTCTTGGTCCCATCTCTCTCCGACGAATTGATGTGGTTTTGCTTGAGGGTCTTCTCCGCCACGGCTGTAGTGTTCGGTCCAGCTACGGACGAGCTTTGTTTCGGTGAATTATGAGCGTCCTTCTTCTGTTGGTATGACATGTCCAGGCCGTAGGAGCTCAGTAGGCGTTCGTATCGCTTGACACTAGATTGTGTCAGCTAAAAAAGACCTTTCAATATATCCTGGGCAAGAAACTTACGCCGTTCCCTCAGTAAGCGTCATCTTCTGCGTAAAGCCGCTGGAGTCGATCTAAAGTAAGGAGTTTTTTAGTGGCTTTCTGGTAGTGTACTCAGTGTAGAGGGATGTGCACCTTTCCGAGCCTTTTTTCTTTTTTATTCATAATCAAGTTGATCATGAACCAGACTTGCTCCTGGCTAAGAATGTTCATGGCCGTTGGTGGGTATTTCAATAGTGCCTTGTCGAACTGTGAATTCGTTGATAGTGGGATGTCAAAGGCCAAGACAGGTACATGTGGAGGTTCAAACATGGGAGTGGAGGGAGTGAAAACGTCTCGAGAATGAGATAAAAAGAGAAACAAATCAATATGGGGAATAGCAAGTATATCAAAGAGAAAGTGGTTGTATAGACTGCGCTACATGGATATCATATCAATAAGAAATTCGGCTATGAGTGTACGGTAGAGGGGCACAAAGAAGAAAGAAGAAGCATCCCACACTTTATACTCTATCTCCAAGTAATGTAGGTTTGTCTTTTACCAAGCAAGCCGGCTCTTTGATGCAAATATGCAACTAGGCTAAACAATGTTCTTTTCGTGCCCATCTTCCATGAAGCTTTTCATGTTTATGTTATCGCTGGGACGTGCTGAACTACGGCTTCTCAATTTTAGAACCATGTCTCATATTCTTTACAAGGCTACAATGGTAATTACGTAAATTCGAAGGGGGGCTTAGACTTATTTTTTACAAAACCATCGGACGAAACGGTACTCCTCTGTTATGCATTTGTGCTAGAAACAGGGGAGAAGATCATGAAACAACGAAAAAGCGTGATCGGACTGGAAAAGAACCCTCTGCATGCCCGGGAATGCGGACGAAGGGGGTGTTGAAACAGAAAAATGAAAATGCCAGTCAGGAGAAAACTGCAGCAACGAAATCGAGGCCCTAGTTCCTCCTCTATTCTCAAAGCCGTGTGAACGGGCACTGAGAGCCAGGCATCTCATTTGATCAGACCTCCTTGTCTGCATCCTTCTCTGGGCTTGGGCCCTTGCGCTTGGAGACCCCCAGCTTCTTCGTCGGGGTACTTGCGCTTCTAGCGGCGCTCTTGTGGCCAGGGCCAGGGGTTGTCACTCCCTGCTTGGGGAGGTAGTGAGTGGTGAGCCCGTAGGTACCCAACAGCCGCTCGTATCGCTTCATGCTATTCTCGGTTAGATAGGAACAGCGCAGAGTGAAGCGAGTAACTCACGCGGCTCCCTTGCTCTTGATATCCATCTTCTGGCACAGGCCTGCCCAGTCGATCTAGATTGGATTGTATGTTAGTATTTTCTAGACAGTTTGTCTGGCGCGGGTGAGAGAGGCAACATACTCCGTCGAGTTTCTTGGCCTGAGTGCTCATGATCACGTTGATCAAGAACCACATGGGATCCTTGGGCGAATCATCGACGTTGCCCTTCTCTTTGCTTGGGGAGGACATGATCGCGGTAGTCTCTTGCGTTGGTAGTAGGTGATGCTTGGATTCAAGATGGGTATGGTTGTTGATGGAGGTTCGGAGTCCGAGGAGCAGGGGAGGTTGAAGAAGCAAGAAAGGTGAAAGACGATGGGGGATTGCGAAAGAAGGATAGTGAGTAGGATATCTCAGGATGCGCATAAGCTAGTTTATTAGTGGATTCGAATCAAACGGCCTATTCTGGGTAATCGCGATGTCGTTTGCCTAAACTCGCCATGGCTCCCGCCCGTTTTGGTCGTGTCCATATCAGAGTAGTTGAAAATTGGTAATATCTGGCACTATGCACTGCTGTCACTCGGCTGATGATTTAACGAAATAATCACGAACTTTCGGATAGTTAGAGAGAGGCTATGCGAGTGGATGAGCTTGATGGATATGTGTGATTGGCATTTTGGTAGGCAATTGTGCTGCCAATGACAACTATAATTGCTCAGAGACCAGTTTAATGTGCTGAGGAGGATGCAACATTATTGTGCTTCTGTTTCGAGGCCTTTTTCTTCAGGGTTGTGGTATTCGGTGCAGTCACAGAAGAACTTAGGGCTGCAGCGGACTCGGCTCCCTTCTTGGGCCAGTAGGACATATTGAGTCCATAAGAGCTGAGAAAATTTTGGATCTACGTTTTGTTAGCTTATTTGAACAATAATATCCACCTCGAGCATCTTACGCAGCATTTTCCATCTTGATTCCCTGTCTTTATGAATGCATCTCAGTCGGTGCGGTGTGTAGTAATGTCAGCTGTTGTATCAGGTATGGGCAGACAGGGCTGCAAGTGCCATACTTTGCCGAGTATACCTGACTCGGTGTTCATTATCCAAGTGATCAAGAGCCATGTGTCGTCTTCCTTGAGATCAGGGTCATCGTGCTCTGTAAAGGATATATTGACCGTCCTGTGTGGGTAGATATCGCTGTGGTCTTACAGTTTGACAAAGGCACAGCGTGGATTGCCGGAGCTTCCATAGTTTCGTTGATGGCAGGTGCAGAGGATTGAAATGGTGGATAAAGATCAAAGAGAATACGTGAGGATATCTGGGCACCAGGAGGAGGGATTCCTCGCGGCGAGATAGCTTCTTATTCGAAGACTAAGTTCATCATACTCACCGGCAGCATAAGCGAGCTGCGCGGATATCTCAATCCTCGGCATATCCAGCCATCTCATTGTTGTCAAGGTCGTCACGCTTTCGCGTTTTCGATTCGCAGTGCTACACTGATCTGGAGCCAACTTGGGCCATCGTAGCATGAGCTGGCATGACGCCGTTGATTCTGGATTCGGGGGCTCAATATTGAAAGCAGGAACGGCATAGAACTGGTCTAGCCATTTGCGCGCAAGCCGGGCGTGTAAGGCCATCGGACTCCATCTGTTGTTGGCGAGAATCCACGACAAGTTGGCCTCCTCAAAAGCCTAACCTCCACCTCCACGCTCTGCGGTATTTCCGCGCTGTATGGTTTCGCAGACTTTGGTATCATCAATGGCACTGTCATATCCTCCAAATCATTGTGCTTTCGCTTGGATGACTTGTTCTTCGGGCCCTCGTCGCTAGGCGCGGCCTCAGTCGAGGTTCCCTCTGGGCTGGCTTCCAAAGCTTGCATGCCCTTCTTGAGAAAAAACGACATACTTGGACCGTAGGAATCAAGCAGGCGCACGTGTCGTTTTACGCTAGGCCGGGTCACTCTCTCTTGTTATGACGATTCCTGTTAACCTTGGATGTCTACTTGAACTGGGAAGAACATTAGTAATATGCTCCTTACCCCGGTAGCTTCGGTAGCACACCTGTATGGATCAATTGATGACTTCCTTGAACCTAAACCCCACGCGCGTTGATTATGAACCACCATCTATTCAAGACTGGGTGCGGATTCGTATTTTGGAGGGGGTGTCATACTTCTCCCAGTCTCCTCCCTTCGGTATGCAAGACAAGATTGAGAACCAAGTTTTATCGTTGTCGAGCTTCTTTTCGGTGTTCTTGTCTTCCTTCGTGGACGGCATTTCCAAAGTGTTCAGGATGTGTATGGATATTAAGATGCTCTGAATCACAAAGATAGAGTGTTGAGATTGGTGACAGGGAGGAAAAGGGGATGATGAACGCAAGAAGTCGGCATCTTCATCCGGTACAGTTTAAGTTGTGTGTGCTGTAGTTTCCCAACCTAGCAGGTGGCATTTAGCATTTGCTTTAGACCACATAATATCACGTCTCGCGTTCGACTCCCGATCTTGAAAACATCATACTGGCTTAGCTGTATATGTACATGAACACTATCGGCGTCGGTTTTAGTGGGAAGTCAGGATAGGCATGTTGATCGCTATACCACTTTATCCTCTATAAAGTATCAAATGCGACAAAGAGGTTGCAGATCCTGAGCCAAAAAAGCTCTTCACAAATTGACTTGGCACACCGACCACAAAAATTGCATTTTCTGCTTTGATATTGCATACTGCCTGGAAATAAGTCATGCCTACCACTCTTGGGTCGTGCTTGGCTTCCCACCCGATTTCAGTGAGTCCAAATCGGTTATTGGGGACATTCAGTAACGTATATGATATAGTAAAAGGTTCTTCGATATACCAACTCGAGAATATAGTGTGGCACATCGTGTGCATACTCGGTCAGGCAGCTTGATAATGGCGCATTCAATGGTCACGATGGTTCAAATGCGAACACTAGAGAACTGTGAAGGCTAATAATGGCTTTCGTGAAACCTGTTGATGAAGGATATGATGGAATCAGGGCCTTTTATTTCTGTATACAAATTTTATAGAAGATACACGGAGGTTTATGGTGGGTGTGGCAGAGTGGAGCAATCAGGCCCTTATGACTACCTATTTGAATGGTTCTCCCGGGACTCGTGATTGGGGTCCTAGCATTGGGAAAGACATGGGAACGTACCGACACAAGTTGTGCCAAGGATCAAACTACCGGAAAGGTACTGAAAGTTCCACTTTCCGTAGAGACACTGGGGAAGGTTCCTATTCCTGAGGGAGCAGATTACAATCAAGCTTAAGGAATTATGAAGCAATCCTCAAGTCAAAAATGGATGGATCGTTTAAACCGCATTACACATTTGGGTCTTTGAAATCGATTGTGTGTCTTTGTTAGATACAAAGAATGAATAGTCGGACATGAACAAATGTAACTCGATAATCCTTTCGCAGGCATGAAAAGCCTAGTCTCCACATAGCTGTTCAGGAACTTGGATCGCAAAATTCACCAGAAGATCGTTGTCATCAAACGTACAAATTGAATGAGCAGACACACCCCGAAAAAGCCTCGTCACTAGGTTCTCGTTCGCATGACATTGTGTATTGTTATGGGCCGTTGTGAGTGCGGCATCGTCATCGAGGGCCAGCCTAGACCTCATCTGCATCATCCTCGGAATCATCTGGGGTCTCAGTGGGCGCACGCTTGCGCTTAGCTGACTTGCGCTTGGGAGTCGGAGTGCTCGGCTCGGCTGTAGTCGAATCTTCACCAGGGGAGCCTGCAGCTTGGCTGGCCCGGTTAGGAGCAAATGATCCCGTAAGCCCGTAAGAGGCGAGTAGACGCTGGTAGCGCAGCCGACTTGGGTAATTCAGCATCTCTGAACACGGCATTCAAAAAAGGGGACCTACGCTGCCACCTTAGTCTTGATATTGAGCTTCTGGGCGACCCCTTCGAAGTCAATCTAGAGTAGAATAAATGTTAGTGTCGTCAACCAGTGAGACAGGCCTGTCAGGAGAAGTAGGGTAGAGAATTCTGTTTATGAAGTTGGAGGTGTCATACCTTCTCAAGCTTGCCACTTGCGGTCTGCATGATGCAGTTGATAAGGAACCACGTTGTATCCTTCTCCGGGACCTTCTCCTTGCTGTCCGGGGACTTAGGAGACGGCTTAGCCGGCTCGGCTGGAGCCTTAGCCATGTTTGCTGGGGCGGACTTGGGTGTAGATGGAGTCATCACGATCAAGAATATTTGGAGATTGTTGGTTAAATGTGAAGGGTGGTGAAGAAAAGAAGAAGAAAAATAGGAGGGGGGAGAAATAAAAAGACGAGGATGAGGGAGAGATCGGTGGAAGGCAGTTCCGGAGTTTGCTCCAGCTCAGGAATACGGTGTGGCAGATATCAAGTCTCTGGCCCAATCCCTCATCTACGAGATTTCAAGCAGCTCCAGTAAAACTTAGATATCAATGCAACAGGAAAGACTTGACAGTGGAATGTTGCCATATCGCTAAGCCGTATCATGTCACTTTGAGGGAGTCTCAAGTACAACTATAATCACAGAGTCTGCCGTTGGGCATAATTTCTCTTCGAGCATCATTGATCTACGCATGGAGAATTCTGTGGGCTTGATCAAAATGGGCAAAGAGTATTGACGGGCTTGACTAAATTCTGGCTCCCTGTATGTGTTGAGCAAAGGAAGTAAATGACAACCCATGGCGTTTGAAATATTCATCATCACGCTCGCTCAGTGCGAATCTACTACACCGGCGCTAAATTTCAGGCCACCCCTGTAGCAATGAGAAACCATGTCTGAAACTGCAAGGAAGGGGGTGTTCTGCAGATGCCAATTGTTAGTTTGGAACGGTCAAAATGAGTATGTTGTATAAGGTAAGACGTACCATAACCATGGAGAATATCTAAGCTTCATTCTCGCTGGTCTTCTCTGCGTCACCGGTGTTCTCGTCATCGGCATTTTCAGAGTCTTCCTTGGGCTTGGACTCCTCGGCAGGCTGGGCCTTGGGCTTGCGGCCGCGCTTGGCACCCGGCTTCTGCACCTTGGTAGGGGAGCCCTTGGGGCTGGCAGGGCCCTAGAGAAAATTAGTCTGTATTCTCAATATCAGGCTTAGATACTCACATCACCACGGGCGTAGGAGAGTTCAACCCGGAGGTTGTACTTCTTCTTCAAAGAGCTGAAGCGATTTCCGGCAGACTTGACATTGCCATAGCCCAGGGCCTCGGCAACGGCGCCCATGTCCACCTGGAATATCATCAGAATGATTTTCTCATTCAGAGCTTTAATCTCAGTGAGTCGGTTTTGCATACCTTCTTGGAGTCCGGGTCGATGTTCCGGAGGCACATGGCCAGAAACGCATTCTCCTGATCGACGCCAGGCTCAGCGCCCTGGGTGGTCTTGGCAATTTTTGGAGGCATTTTGGATGAGTCGTAGGTAGTTGAAAGTATGGAGAGTGTGGTCAGAATTTGAAGTTGTGTGTGAAGCTTGAAGTTGGGAAGTGCGAATGATGAAGAAGAGGAATGTGGGAGAGGACAGAAGGAAGGAGGGAAGTCGAGGGGAGAGAAGAAGTGAGAGCACAATTGCAACGGAGATTGCCGGGGGGACGATGAGATCCAGTCCTCAAACTCAGGCCCGTTCACTTTTCCCTGTATGTCTAGAACTGGAAGCTCTCAACCTAAGTTCAGGATCACCTATGCTGTAAATTCGAGGCACTCCGAGGACCAGGTAATCTGTCCCCGTCATGTACTTGGGTATCTTCGGAAACTCATTCATATCATGCGCACATAGAATTAATACCATCTACCAGCCTACCACACTTTGACTGGCTCTTCAGTATCTGAGACTAGAAAACTTTATGTCCACTATCACTACTTCTGTCAAATCCGCAGTATCAAGCTAGAAATACCTACGTCTGTCTCTTTGGATATTATAGGCTTTAAGGTAGAGTGGGCTCATTCAAATTTGACGAAACAATGTCGAAACTTCATTAGAGCTCAATGATTATAACTTGATTGCATTTTTAAGGTCATTTGCAACGGGAGCCTTCAATCTTTTGTCTATGGAAAACCCATCCCCTAGTATTCAACATTTAAAGCAATGCTAGGGCCCAACTAAGTTCAAATCCCTACATATCAATGCAGATCTTATCACCCGAGGCTTGTTCCGTCTTAATTTCCACAGTCTCGACAGTCTCCTCGCAATGCTCTAGCTCCTCTTTGATCTTCGGCGGGGAGGGTGGAGAATCGTTTTGCTGCTGTGGGATTGGCTCCCATGTTATGACCGGGCCGCTAGTGAAACCAGGTGTCTGGGAGGGAAAGTCTGGCATGTTGAGATCATGGGACATTGGAAAAGATGGGCAGGTTGTGAAACTCAATGGAGTTGACGTTGGCATTGGGGCATACATGCCCGAGGCCAAAGACAGTGGCACACTGCTCGCAATGTCTCGGGGCAGAGCTTCGTGGGAGATTGGCTCATAGTGATCAAGATACTTGGGTGGCATCATTTGCGGGGACGGCATCATTTGGGGAGATAGCATTGATGAGGCTGGAGACATGACTTGTGGGAATGGAGAGTAAAAGTTGTCTTGTGGGTTGGTCATGCCTTGGATGCCATGGACATTCGGGGTGCCGGGCTCGTATTTGACGAACGGGTTGGGGTTGGACTGGAATGGTGACCCATTTGGCTCGAGTTTTGGCACAATTCCCGATTCCAGGAAGGCTGGGTGTGTCATTGTCGGAGGCGCCTGCAGATCTCCCTTCAGGTCGCCCTTGACTCCCTTCTTGGAGTTCTTTTTCTTGGTCACGGGAGGCGGATCTATCTGGTTCTTGAATCGCGAGTAACGCATGCGTGCAGCATGACCGTTGGAGATTTCAAGGTCAGATGCAACCTTGTTCCAATCAATCTAGACATTGGTGAGCATTGTTTCCAGCCAAAGGAAAAAGAATGAAACGAAGAGGATGGACTCACATCTTTCAAGCTCAACTGTTTGATAATGGCATAGAGAAACTTTGGTGTCGGGCCTTCCGTGTCCAACACTTTGCTTCGTTGACCCATGATGAAGGGTCTTGGAGTAAAAACGTCGCCAAGAAGAAGAGAAGCCCCAGCCCTAGAAGATACCTTAGCTGGTAGGAGATACCAAAAGTAGATAGCTGTTCAGAACCCTGTGCACCACCATGCACACCAGGAGACGGATATATATCTATCTCAGAGCATGATGACCTGACAAAGCCAAAGAGAATATTTTTAATGTCACGGACATTAAAGCCCACTCCATGATATGGGGTATCATGATACCAAGAAGCAGCCTGGAGTTTGCCTTTTAGAAGGAAGTGCGGTCAGTGGGGCCTGCACTGAGCCAACCCAACGTCAATGGAAGGACCTCCCTGTATGTTTTCTGTCCGTTGGACTCCCTCCACCATGTGTGATCATAAAGAATAATAGATAAGTACACATTGCAGTGATTATAAAAAAGCCTCTATCAGAATGCATAAGTTCTTTGGTCTTTCCATCAGAAGTAAACGATCCCTTGTTATAGATCTACGAAGCCTGACGTGCCTGTGCTTGCCCTAGCAGCTGCATGAACAATCGGTGCTACTCACATAACAAGAAAGATCGTAACCAGAGTAAACTAATCTAAAAAGTAATAATGATGAACCTTACAGTCTGATGAGTAAATTAAAGAAAAGGAAAGGTACGGAGAGGTAGGGAGCCCTAGCTGTTCGACATGGTCGAGCTAGCCATTCTAGACTGCTGATTGGCTGTCCGGAGATTTACTCATACGCATCGAACATTCCCAGCATGAACGGCTGAAGCCATGGCAATGGACATGAAAGAGTTCAGCCATGAAAGACATTAAGTATTGTCCGGTACCAAAGAATGAATCTGAATGACCTTGAGGTCCCGGACATGTTCACATTCTGACTAATCTGTCGGGTCTGCCCTGCCCCGCGGCAGGAAGTGGACCCTAATGCAGTTCATGCTCGAGGCGACTGTACCTTGCGGAGATACACTCGTAAACAGTCACAATTCTCAAGTCGCTCTAGTTTTTGACTAAGACTTGGTCAGCATGTTGGTCGCAATAGGGGCATGCTATCTGGATACTATCCTGACGTACATTGAGTACTTCGCTTCCCCGACTTTTTGTATTAATACTAAACCATCTGTCCCTCACAGAACGCAGTATTACCCAGGAGAGGATGAAAAATTGCGAGCAACCAATGTAACTCGTCGGAGGGGTGGCAACTGTCCGAATACGCTCGAAGTAATACAGCAATTGATATCCCACGAATCCATGGATCGGGAGCTCCCATTAGCCCTGATCACAATCTTGTCTGCCAAATCATCAATCGCCTCGCAACAGATCCGAACTGCGTTTGGACCACGCGTCAACTTGGACCACTGTATTTACCGAGAGGGATTTGAAGAGCCAGCTTCATGCTACATCATCAAAAGCCAGTCCACTGGCAGTCGCACCATTGTCAACTATAACAACCTCCCTGAGATAACCCTGGAAGAATTTATCGGGGTAGCCAATGAGCTAGGTCCAAAAGCTACTTGGTTTCATTTCGAGGTATGATTCGCGTGAGACAATCTCGATGCGCACTACTCATACTTGGACAGGGTCGAACGCCAGAAATGACCCTCCAGTTTATCCATTATCTACGAAAACAATATCCTTCCATGAAAGTGAGTGTCGAGGTTGAAAAGCCCGGCCGGTCGGGTCTTCAGAAACTTGCCGAGGAGGCCGACGTGGTTTTCTACTCGAAGACATGGGCTCAGGTAAGCGAAAGCTCTACGGGTGACGGCTCTTGAGATGTCACTGACACCTACATAGGATCTTGGATATAGAACGGCAGAAGAGTGTTTACGGGAGCAGTCCACACGTGTACACAAAGCGTGAGTATCCCCCGACTTGGGCGGACTATATGGGCGAATGGCTGAGCAGATATCTAGATCATTGCTATTTTGTACTTGGGGCGAAGATGGAGCCAGTGCCTTGGAACCAAGTACTGGAAACTTTGCAAATGTGGCAGCTTACACAACAGAGAATTTCCAAGTTGTCGAGTGAGTTTTTACTTCAGAATGGAGTGGAGGTATGCTGATGAGTGATAGTCCGATTGGCGCTGGTGATACATTCATTGCGGGAATGCTGTATGCTTTGAACTGCAAAGGCAAGGATTGGGACCTTTCTAAAAAGCTTGTATTTGCGAACCGGGTTGCGGGCATAAAGGTGTCCCAGGAGGGATTCGCGGGTCTAGACCGTGTATTCGCATCCTTTGTATGAGGATGGTTGATTCTGTGGGTCTATTGAGTGTTGTCGCTAAATCATGTTAATTATATTCGAAGACAGGCAAAGGTATTTTCTGCGTATGAATGTTTATCTCTTCTGGGACAAGGAACAACTGGATGTGCCGTTGTGGAGCGGGAAAGGGGCGATAACACCACGTGACCTAGATCGTTGCGGGCCTGGCGGTGAGAGACAAAAAATATTCTGCCACCAACTTTTCTCGGAAGCTTCTGCATCGAACATACCTGCTGCTCAGCATTCACACATCACAATGGCGGCAGTTTACAAGACAGTTTCTAAGAAGAAGGCCCGGCAAGTGACCGAGGATATGGATGAGGACTCTGATATCCCCATGGATGAGCTCCTCGAGGATGCCGACGATACCACCGACAGCGAAGAGGAGGATGAAGTGGAGGACCGCATCGCTGAGGCCAGGAAGCAGCTTGCGGCTGGTTTCATGCCCAAGACTCGTGTTCTGATTTTGACATCGCGTGGTGTCACACACCGGTCAGTATTTTCTCCCAATGCGCTTGGATATAAGGTATGACACTTGCTAACCATACTCATAGCCACCGACACTTGATGTCCGACCTTTGCGCTCTCCTCCCTCATACCCACAAAGAGACCAAACTCGACACTAAGAAGAAGACCGCTGGCTACAACCTCCTGCTGAACTCTCTCGCCGATCTCCACTCGTGCAACATGATTTTCTTCCTCGAGGCCCGCAAGAACGGCCAAGATCTCTACCTTTGGCTCTCGCGCCCGCCCAACGGTCCCACCATCAAATTCCACCTGAACAACTTGCACACTATGGGCGAGCTCGGCGCTGGTTTCGCAGGCAACTGTCTGAAGGGTGGACGTGGTATTGTCGTTTTCGATCGGTCATTCGACGAGCAGGGTCCCGACATGAGTGTCCCCGGTGCTGAGTACCGCGGCCTGGTCCGTGAGATGCTGCGCGGGATCTTCTGTGTCCCCAAGCGCGGTGTCAAGGGCATGAAGCCCTTCGTTGACCGCATTATCGGTGTTTTCGGTGTGGACGGCAAGATCTGGATTCGCGTCTACGAGATCCGCGAGTCTGAGGGTGGTGCCAAGAAGAAGGACGGCGAGGAGGCTGCCCCGAAGGCCAAGGACGGACAACCCGAGGTGTCTCTGGTTGAGATCGGTCCTCGCTTCGTGTTGACCCCTATCGTCATTCTGGAGGGCAGCTTCGGTGGCCCCGTCATCTACGAGAACAAGGAGTATGTCAGCCCCAACCAGGTCCGTCGCGAGGCTCGGATGGGTAAGGCTGGCCGGTACGCTCAGCGTCGGGAGGTGCAGACCGATCGTATCACCAAGCGGACGGATCTGGGTCTTTCGGACAACTCTTCGCGGAAACCCGATGCGCTAGAGACGAGGAAGTTGTTCGCATAGAGGGGAGTGGCTATTTTTCATGTGGGCCATTCTGATGGTTCGACTATTTTGTATATTTGGGCGACGATATCATTCATGGTCTGCTTAGGCGTCAGGGCAATATCTCGTAAAGGTTTATTTCAAAAAAGTATTTTGCACTTGATTGTATTTCCGTTTCCTTAGAATATTTTACATCACCATAGCTCTCCTCGTTTGGCCAAGGTCCATTCTCGCTGCCAAAACTTTATTCCCAGTCTTCAACGGGCAAGTTAAAACCCGCGGTGGAGCTGCAGGTGGGCCCGAGGCGTCGTGGCAGCCATCTGGACCACCGATAGGACCAGCGCCCCCCTGATTGGAACTGGAATTACAACCTACAGACTAACAGGAAAATATTTCATACACGGCCAGTAATTTTGGGGAATATGATGATTGTCCAGGAAAGGCTTTCATACACAAAACCACGCAGCCACAGTGACGCCCAACCCATTTCATTGCACCGGCGACCTTAACAGACCAACGGGAGGAAAAGAGCAGAAACAAATCTGGTGGAAAAGGAATCAATTTAGGTGGAACCACCCAGAAGCACAAGCACGCATTAGAGAAAAAAAAGAAGAGATGAAGTTGGAGAAGAAGAAAAGGAGAAAAGGCAAAGATCCGAGGACTGGGAGCTAGGTCTGGGATTTGGCAGCTCCCTTCTAATCCTCTCAGGTTTTCTACCGTATCCAGATCCTGCCGGTGTATCGTCTTCGCCTCAAATTACAGACTCCATCACAGATCATGGCCATTTCAAAAGTCACATTGTAAAAAGAAGAGTCGTTGCAGTCCGTTTCGTCGGCCCTTTAGCAGCAGCCCTGCTTCTGCTCGTTGGGCTGCGGGGTGAAGTCGATAGTGCGGCCCACAGGTGGGTTCGTGCTCGACTCGCCAGAGTCCAGAGCCTTGCTGGAAACGATGCGGTAGATTTCTGGGGGGAAAGTTCCAGTTAGTTGTTGCCTAGACAAGGGTCTCGTGCCAGGATCTAGATCGAGGTGTTGACCTACCTGTGAGGATGTTCTGGAAGGCAAGTTCGACGTTGCTGGCGTCAAGGGCGGAAGTTTCGATGAAAGAGAGGTTGTTCTCGCCTGTGGAATCAAGTCAGCCCTCGTGGCCTTCCCTTACACCTCATCGTGGGAAATTTAAAAACATACTGGCAAATTGCTTGGCCTCCTCGGTGGGGACCGCACGAAGGTGTCGCAAATCGCTCTTGTTACCGACCAACATGATGACGATATTGGAATCGGCGTGATCCCGCAGCTCCTTCAACCACCGGTTGACATTGTCGTAAGTCTGGTGCTTGCTGATATCATAGACGAGGAGAGCGCCGACAGCGCCACGGTAGTAGGCCGAGGTAATGGCACGGTAGCGCTCTTGACCAGCAGTATCCCAGATCTGTGCCTTGATGGTCTTGGAGTCGACCTGGATTGAGCGAGTCGCAAACTCGACACCGATGGTGGACTTGGAGTCCAGGTTGAACTCGTTGCGGGTGAAACGGCTCAGCAGGTTGGATTTACCGACACCCGAGTCTCCGATCAGCACCACTGTTCATATGGTCAGTATCGTTGTTTCTAGACCCATGTCATATAGCGGAGAGTTGTAGCAGAGGCACGGGTGGGCGGGCGGAGGGGACAGGTGAGGCGAGGCGATATCCGCGCAAGGCAACGTTACCTTTGAAGAGGAACTGAAAGCCCCCCAGTCAGCAAAAGCGAAACACAATAGTGTGCAAAGGGGGTGGGAACATACATCATATTCGTCGTTGGCCATATTGAAGGTGGAATGGAAAGTCGGAGAAAATGAGGGGGGGAGTCGACGGGGAAAAAGAAACTGGGGCGAAGTATTGAAGGCGATAGGAGAGAGAGGTGATGCCTCCAGGTGGAGTGCCTCCTTAATGTCCGAGTCACGTGCGGGTGTTTGCCGCACGGCTCATCTAAACAAGACAACCAAAAAAAAGTATTTGTGAACCTCCTGATAAGGCATTTTCGGTGATTTGGAGCTTGGAAATCAGTTTGCTGTCATTTTGATGTTAAATAATCAGTGTCCAAATATCTGACACCCTTGCAGCTGTCGTTAAGCCAGTCGCAATGACCTTAGGGGACTTTTCTTTCATCTTGGACCTGACCCAAACATCAAACTCCACTACACGAGTCTTTATTCTTCTCGCCAGGAAATCACGTCTTACTTTCCTCGTTCCCTCTGTGGTGATCAAGCTGCCGATGCCGTAATCCTCACCATAATGGAGGCAGACACGGAGATGAAGGATGCCGCCACGCCCTCAGATGCCGATTCCCTGGTATCTACTGCCCCAAGTGAGCAAGGCTCAGAATATGAGGTGGAAGAAATCCTCGCCGAGCGCGTTTCAAAACGAACGGGCAAAAAGAAATTCTTACTAAAATGGGCTGGCTACCCCATGTATCGAGCAACATGGGAGCCTGCTGAAATGTTCCTGCAGATGGAAGACGCCATCCTCAGATGGGACGAGAAAAGACGGAGGGTCAGAGCAGGCACCGATCGACCATTCGATTTAGACGGATGGAAAAAGGCTCTCAAGGATCGCGAACGAGAAACTCAAAGACGCAAAGAAGCTCGCCAACAGAAACGTGCGGAGAGGGCCGCACGGAAGGCTGCCAAGCCTCCTCGTTCGAATGCACTTCCCTTTTCTGCATCTCGAGAATCTTCTCCAGATGTGCCACTCATTCGGGCCAATGCAATTCAGGGCTCAAACTTCGACAAGTCTTTCCAACGGTCTGGCTCGCTCGCCTTTGACAAATCGTCTCTCTTTGTCTCGGCCGATGACCCAGAGACAAAGAATCACTCCAATCAGAACACTCTAGCATCTTCGACACCGACAACAGCTCAAGCTCTACCAGGCACATCCTCCTCTGGTCCTGCGAGGCCCGATGTTGGGCCTCCAAATTCGTCTCTGTCAATCAAAGCTGTCCCAGGTGCCTCCAAAAGCACTATCCCACAGCCCTCCCAGGGCATTACTGTGACATCAGAGCAATCTCAGCTCGCTCAATCAGTATACTCTCAGCTTCTTCCCGAGGGCTCGAAAGCTGCACCGTCGGAGCAAAATAAACTATCTGATAAAGAGCCTAGCCAAGCCACTGATCGCATACCAGCAACTGGACCGGAGCCGACACAGCAGTCACAGTCTCAACGGCCAATGGCCTCATCCAGCCAAACTGTAAAGCAGTTGGCGTGGGGGCCCCTGTTCACGGCGTTTGCATCCAACAAGTCAAAGGACCGCGAACCCGATATCAGCCAGCTGAATCTTCGAAAGCCCTCCGAGTTTCCCGCCAGGGCAGCCGCAGGAGTGCCCGTCCCCTTTGCTAAAATGACTGCTTCGGATAGTATCCGACGGAGCTCTCAAAGTGGGATTAAAGCTACCACTACCAACACCTCATCCGTGTCTCAGGCCACTGCCTCCTCCGGAGTATCTCGAAAGGAGTCATCCGAGGCCATGTGCCCTCCCTCTTGGGCGCCTCGGGCCCCTCAAACAGAGAAGCCTGGTCGACCTCGTCCATCCTCTCCTCGTCGTTCTTCTCTGCCATTCGGGGACTGCTACCGACCGAGCAATTCTCGCGACAGTCCTCCCCCTCGGCGGCCTGGGCCTCGCGGAAGGTCACCAGAGTCCCGCCGGAGATCTTCCAGGTCACGCTCTAGATCTAGATCCCCTGGTCGCTGGTCTTCGGCCCGCGACCAGCGGCAAAGATCCCCAGTCGCACGTCGAAGATCTCCTGACTATTATCGACAATCCAATACGCCTTCTCCATTTGTAACCGTGACGCGTCCAAGATCAAAGGCACCTGCCCCAACTACGTCGTCGAGGTCATCTCCTCCTAGAAAATCTCCTCCAGCTACCATCACCCCTCCAACAACCGTCTCCAATGCCGGGCATGAGCCCAGTTCCCGAGTGAAAGACGATGATGCGCTGACTCTGTCATCTAAGGCTCCAGGTCTACCCAGAGGACCCCCGATGTCCGCAAAGGACCAAATCAAACGCATGCCGATAAGCAAGCCTTCCCCTAATGCCAGGTTGTTACCAAGTGGGTATTTCTTCAACCCCGGCGAAGTCCTGGCACATGTGTATTTCGGCAAAGCCAGGCATTTCGTTGGGGTTGTAAGGTTTTGTGGCCTATCGCCAGAAGTGAAAAAGGACCTCTTAGCTTTCAAGGATGCTACCCGGCGAGGCTCCAAATTCGAGATGTGGTTCCGGGATGTCACACCGGAACAGTATGCTGCTCTTTGTCAAATGGAGGACGCTGCGGGTGGGACCAACAGAGTCGTGCGCACTTGTTGGATGGAGGGCTTTGCTGATACCAATCCCGAGATATTCCACATGTCGGAATTCCTCCGCTGGGAGAATAAGGTTGGCATCTATTTCCCTCCAGGTAATAATGGCTATGTATGGCTTGCCTATTCCCCCAAGTCTCCTGAATTTGAGCATCTCACCCTGCCATTTCCCGAGATCGACCCTTGGGTTCCCATTCGTCTTGCTGTGCGATCACCTTTGCCAGATGCCCTGGATAGCATTGCTCTGGCGCAGCCAATGGGCCCTCAGCAGACCCAATCATCGGCGATGGCCATGGTGCCTTATGACCCGTCAAGAACGGGGGTGCGCGATTCACTCGATGATGCTGTTAGACGCCTGGCACAGACTTCTGGCCCTAGCAATCTAATCGGGTCTATGGATGCTCAAGGATTGTATGGTTCTCCCATCCAGAGTCCCATAGAACGATCTCCGGATAGACCTCCGGTCCTTGGACAAGAGGCCCAGGAGACTCAACTCGTGAGGCAGACTGCCCCTTGTCCGGCTACAAATGCCCCGGTGGACCCTCGCCTCAGGCGTTTGTCATCTATGGCGACTGTACAGCAGAGTCATCAGGGGCAGTCTCGATCGGCAGGAGATACATCCGGGACAAGCAACAATAAACACCTCCAGGTTGCCAGTATGGGAGCGCCGTCTGATCTTATGGACACCGCGCTAGACACTACAGTACCCACAAGCACGGCCTTAATCTCGACCACACAGAATGCCTCGATACAGCAACTATCGGATCCCAATTCCATGCTTGGAGAGTACTTCGAACGTCTCCAAATCACTTTCAAAGAACTTTCGTGCGTGAATGGGAAACCTGATGGCCCTCACGCGGACATGTTTTACCTCCACACCCCCGAAGGTGAAGAGGGCCAGAATGACTGCACTCTCCTCAAGGCGTGGCTAGAACTGAACGGGGCTATGATATGGTCCGATTGGGCGAAGTTTGTCAAAAACAGCAAATGCGGCGTGATTCTGGTACGTCCTCTTCCTGTAGTTTTTACTTATTTTCCTAGATCCGATCATCTAACGAAGCTCAAGTTTCACGAATCCTTCGGAAGGTACGATGCCCTACGACCCAATCTTCGGGATACCCTCGGCAGCTCGTCTATGGGCTTCTGGACATTCCGGATCTCGAGGCCGCTTGACTACCCGGATGTGCGATACTCCCAACAAGGAGTCTATTTTCAGCGTATTTTTAGCCGAGGTGGCGCCTACCTCTTAACTGAAGACGTTCTCGACTCTTTGAAAGAAACCATCGTCATTGTCTACTGGTTCTTCTCTATTCAGAAAAATAATCCAGGTCAATGGAAATTGGTCTGCTGGCCAAACCTGATGGAGCGCCTCGAGGAAAAGGTCGAAGATTCCAATCTCCAAAAAGATGAGCAGAAACTGTACGTTTCATATTGCCTTTTAATCCCTCTATCAAATAATAACTTTACCTAGCCTTTTCACACTCAGCTGGTTAATTAGGAGATGCAACTCCATCGATAGCCATCAGCCGGTCTATCAACCCGACAGCCTGGATCCCACGAACCTTGACAGCGCAAACAATAACATCCTTTCTCTCACCGTGGCCGGCTATGGAGAGCGCTCCGCAGAATCAAACCCCAAACTACCCCAGGATCTCACGCAGACTGAGCGCAACGCGGATCATCTCGCCGAAGCATTTGCTGGCTGGTCTATCGAAAACGCAGCCCGCCTACGGAGGTCCTATATCATCTCAAACTGCAAGAACGAAGTCTTACTCAAGCGATGGGGTTCCTGGGGCCACGTTATGTTCTTTAACGCGAGGGCCTTTATCGAAAAGTACAAGATCAACGTCAACGATACGCTAGAGCGTATCCACAACAAGCTGAATAAGCCAAAAAAGCCTAGCAGGCAACCCCAAACGGGGCAAATCCCTGACAAGGCCCATATGGACCTAGCTTCGCCGATTCAAACACCCCAGACTCCCTCGGCGGCGCGGCTTAGCGGCATCCCTACGCCGAGCGAACCGCATACAGATCCCTCCAATCAACCGAGACCAAGCGAATGGAGGCCGCCGCAACCACAAGGGGATCATAGTTATGCAGCGCCATATCGATGAAACGCTCCGGTCCGGTGTTTACCGCATTCGCATTCGTTTTTTGTTTCGCAATTTTCATGGGATATTCCAAACGTGAACATCATTAACATGATATCCTGGCGCAATTCAAGGTGGGCAAATGATACCCGAATTCCCTGTGCATAGGTACCCGTGGCGTTACGGGTTGAAACTGGTCGTATGGATATCTATATTCTACCTTTGTCTTTGTAGAACGTCCTCCTATATACCCCCCTAAACTTGCGTATGAACGTCTCTTTAGGCCGTCCAAGAAGTCCTAGTGACGCCTGTTAGCTATCTAGGGAAACGTATAGTTTTAAAAGCTATTTACTCTAGATGTGTAGCAAGAAACGCCTTATGTGAATACAGTGGACGCTAGTTGTCACTAATCAGATCCCTACCTTACGTAATCACTCGCTTTCGAGATTCCTATAAGCTCTATTTTTCTATATATAGCAACCTATATAGCGTTTCGAAGGATCAAAACTAGTATATAGATATCTACAATGTAACTTTATCTTCGTAGGAACATATTTTCTAACATATCCCCTCCCTCTGCGTATGAACGTCCGTCTGGTCGCTTTTCTGATAGGTCCTACCGATGTTTTCAAGCTATCCCGAAGATGGCATGGGGCCCCACTGAGCAACCAGTAGCGCGCGGCCTTAATTTGCCAAGACTTTTCTTTGTTCGAACTATACTTTCGCTTACGAGGCCAAATTCAGTCGAAAGTCGTTTCTTTTTTCCCAATCTGCGTATATGGAAAGGTGGTCTTGATACGTCTTCGTCTACCCTTGCTTGGTGGTAATCGAAGAAGACAGAAGAGAAAAGCATCATGCTCCGTGCTCGAGGCCAAATCTATACGAATTTACTTGTTTGATCGAAGGGGGCTCTCGGATTACGACATGCAACCGCTATTCGTCGTTGATGAAGATCATGTTCACTAGATATTTAACAAAGAACGCCTCAACGGAATGAACGAAAAATGCTTCCCGTGAAAGAAAAATTTCCACCCAATCAGATCTCTAACCAATTGCTCGCTTCCGGTATTCCTGGAAGTTCGATGCGTGTTGGGCGTTGTCGACATCAGGCTGCGCCTTTGGTTTCTTCTCGCTCTTCTTATCGGGTCGCATCTTCTCCTCCCATTCGCTCTCCTCCGCAGAGATCATAGCGTGGAATTTACCCCCCTGACCGCGAGCGAGATATATCGGCTGTTCTTGGCGGTCGGCCACGGCTTCAGTTACCAGAATGAATTTGATGCTGGACCCTGGGGCTTCGAACATGGCGTCGCTGAGGATGGTCTCCATCTCGGTGCGTAGGGCACGTGCCCCCGTGCCCATCTTGAAGGCATTGGCTGCGGTCTTATGTAACGCTGGCGTTGTAAAGCGCAGCTCGATGCCCGAGAGCGAGAAGAGGGTTGTGTATTGGGCTAGTAGGGAATTGCGGGGTTCGGTGAGAATGCGTAGAAGCAAGGGCTGTGTTAGTGTCGACAGGGCAGCGGTGACGGGAATCCTGCCAATCAATTCTGGGATGAACCCGTAACTTTGCAGGTCTGCTGGAGTCAGAAGGTCGAGGGCATTGAAATATGTTGGGTCGCTGCTTTGTGTGGTTGGAGATATCGAGGTGAAGAAAGGCAGGTGTTTCTTGTATAGCGCTTCTTCTTCGGATCCTGGTAAGATTGGCTGTGGCTCTTCAGGTGACGCATCAGATTTACCCGGTAGGCCACCCAAGGTCGATGATCCCCGAACTGGTTGGCCGAATCCCATCGAGCCACGCGAGATTCGGTCCATGACTACTTTGTGTAGCCCCACGAATGCGCCCGAGAACACGAACAGGATGTTGTCCGTGCGCACATTGTAGACTTCTCCCTTCGCCGCGGGAGTATTGTTATGCGGTTGGAAAGGAGTAGTACCCAGCGGACTATTTGATGGGTAGGAGTTTGGAGGACTGGTTGATCGAGGGTTCTTCTCCGGCTTGGCCTGCACTTGCACGGTGGTTCCCTCGATGATCTTGAGGAGAGCTTGTTGGACTCCCTCGCCGCCAACATCCTTGCCATGACTCACTTTGGCCGCCGCGATCTTGTCCACCTCGTCAAGCACAATTATACCTCGCTCCGCCTGCTCAACGTCATAATTTGCGGCCGCTAGAAGTCGGTGGACGCATGTTTCAGCATCTTCTCCAATGTAACCGGCTTGCGTGAAAGGTGTGCAGTCCGAGATGCTAAATGGAACGGATAGAACGCGGGCAAGTGTTTTCGCCATGAGCGTCTTGCCTACACCGGATGGCCCCAAGAGCAGGATATTTGATTTGTCGAGTTGTAGCGGGGATGTGTCGACCAGTTCGCCATGATCCAGCAGGCTATTCTGGCGGGGTTTTGTGGCCGTTGGGAGGCCAACGGTGCGTTGCTGTCCGGGAAACTCATCTACATAATTCCAATATGTTAGGTTAGCAAGTTCACTTTGGGGTTCCAAGGAATGGGACAGTAGACGCACCTTCCAAGGGATGACTCTCCAATGCCTCTCTCCGCTGCCGTTTCGCTAGGAGCTCTTCCGCTTCATCCTCGCGACGCTGGATCTCCTGTACTCGCTGATAGTGATTATAGACTGCGACGCTCAAAACCTTCTTCGCACGATCCTGTCCCACGACATATTGATCTAGGTATTGCTTCAGCACCTTGGGCGTAATCCTTGGGGCGCCAAAGGCTGGTGTGGAGCCTAGGGGTCCCGTTGTCGGTAATCCAGTCTCATAGCTACTGGTGAATGGCTGAGTTGTAAAATCTGACCGGTTAAATTGCGAAGAGGTTGGAAAGCTGTTGGAAGAACTAGAGAGCATGCGTGTCTGGCTGACGAACGATAGGTTCAGCCGACATCGGGCATACCGAACAGGCCGGACAGCCTCGCGATGCGCCCGGGCAAGAAGGAGCCGACGCTGGAGAGGCTGCCACAACATGGCCCAGAGACAGCAAACGGAGCAAGATTGAGGAAATGAGATAAATGCGACGAGGAGAGCGTGCGGAGGGATAAATCAGATACGGAGCTTTCCCCGCAGGAGGTGATAAAGCAAGTGGATCTTATCGGCTGAGTCATGGCGCCATCCGGCCCCGATCGGCTTCCGAGGACAAAGATCTATAGTGTAACGACAGGGAGTATTAGGTTATGAAATTAATAGAGGAACAACCGGTATGCGAGTATCACAAGGAATATCTTTATATACTGGCAGTACTCCCCAGACGAAAGATGAAGAACGTGTTTCTTCTGGTTGCAATAGTGGACAGTATGCACTAGATAAGCTTGGCCTCCAATCAAAGCCATCCTGCAGTACAGTAATGTCATTTGATTATTATGGTTGGGATTCTGCTTACTTGCTTACCTGCAACTAGCATTTTAGTATATTGACACTATTGAAATATACCAAGCCATTCATCAAGGGAACTCATTGTCTGACGGTAGATTGAAGCTGGTCGAACCATCCGTTTTTTCTTGTCAATGGTTCTGCATTTGTCAGAACATGCACAAACAATATGCACATAGAGTATATGAAATTCTACATTTTTCCCTCTATTTATCAGGCATTGATTAGATTAGCTGATCTTGCTGACTACTTATTGACCAATGTGCGAAGGAATATGCGTGGTAAAATGAGGGCTGTACTTTTGCCCAACCCGGTTCCTCTAGATCTTAGCAGAGTTGCATTGTCGTAATCCCTAAACAAGCCACAATCCTCGAGGGATTCGCCGGCTCCATACTTTGAAAAGAATTACCTGGTATTGCCTGAAATCTCTCGCTCGATAATTCCTGTTTGTTCAATGCGAGCTATTTTCATTTCCAAATTGGGTCAATCTCGCGAGATCCACCGTGATGTCAACCAACCGGGCCAATACGAGGGAGATCTGCACGCTAAGCCATGCTCAACTTAATCCAATGGTTCACCACCCGATCGAGTAATTTTCGTATTCGCAGCAGACAGGATTATTCTGCGCTGCCTGACCAGGGGATGGAGGGTGCTGAAAGACGATTATATATAGAGCGAGGGTGCTCGCTCTGGAGGGTAATATTCGCACTAGTACACCTAGCTGTGTATGGGAGAAATCCATCATGATTAGCACACTTTTGCTTCCTCTTCTTGCAACTGCGGCCATTGGGGCACCGCAGTCTTCCAATTGTCGATGTCGCCCCAGTGATAGCTGCTGGCCGTCTACAAAGCAGTGGTCAGCATTGAACAAGACCATCAACGGGAACCTGGTGGCAGTCCGCCCTGTTGCCTCGGTCTGTCACCAGCCCGAGTACAATGCAGATGCATGCAAGACCGTTACCAATCTCTGGTCCGACTCTGTCTGGCGTTCTTCTCAACCAGGTGCTGGTCAATGGGAGAACTGGGAAGCTTGGCCAGAGCGTAACCAGTCGTGCTACGTCGACTCTCCCCAAGATACCGCCTGTCAGCAAGGCCGGATCTCGTTATACTCCGCCGAAGTTCAAAGTGCATCCGACATTCAACGTGCTGTTCGATTCGCCAGTACCCATAACCTTCGACTGGTCATTAAAAATACTGGGCACGACTTTTTGGGACGATCAACGGCTCCGGAATCGCTGCAGATCCTCACGCATACAATGAAGGATATCAAGATTTCGGATAATTTTGTTCCTAAGGGTTCGTCCAAGAGTGCAGGTCCTGCGATCACGATTGGTGCCGGTGTACAGCTTCCGGAGATGTATAAAGCTGTAGCTCAACATAACCGGACGGTTATCGGAGGTTCCGCGCACACCGTGGGTGCTGCTGGAGGGTATGTTCAGGGCGGTGGTCACTCACCATTCGGCCATTGGAAGGGCCTGGCATCGGACAATGCACTGGAATTTGAGGTGGTGACGGCCGACGTAAGTAATTTTCATGATGACTTTTTCGAATCTCCGTATTTGTGACGTTCCAATTAATGTTTCCCTAGGGCTCACTTGTCACTGCAAACTCATACCAAAACAAAGACCTCTTCTGGGCTCTCAGAGGAGGCGGTGGTGGAACTTTCGGCGTGGTCACCAGCGTCACCATGCGTACATTTGAAGAAGTGCCAGTCGTTGCGTATAACTTCAACATAACTACTGCTGGCGGCGACCCTCGCTTCTGGGACGCATTCGCCGAATGGCACGCCGCACTCCCATCAATCAATGATGGCGGTGGCTCCGGGTATTATTTCGGTCTCCCGAATTACCCTATCGCTGCGAGCGTCAGCGTATCGACCATGATAACCCTGATGCTGTTCCCTGAAAAGACGGACGTCGCCGAAGTCGACAAGCTATACCAGCCGCTAGCTGCGAAGCTCCAGCAGATTGGTGGAGTTCAGACCGTGAATGCGTCTATTCCCTTCCCAACAATGAATTCGACCATCTTTACTATGCTCATTGGTGGTGAATCTGATAGCACCGGTGGCATATCAATGCTGGCGTCTCGTCTATATTCTAAAAATCTCATGACATCTCAGGATGGCCCCGGGCGTCTGGCCAATGCCTTCAAGAGCATCAAGTGGAATCCTTACGCCGAGTTTATCGGCCATGTGGTTGCCGGTGGAGCCGTTGCGGCTAATGCTGACAAGGTTGACAGTGCTGTTAACCCAGCCTGGCGAAAGACCATCTCGCATCTGCTCTTCTCCCGATCATGGGCGACTACTGCCACGCTGGCAGAGCAGACGGCTGTCATCAAGAACATGACTGATGTGGAGATTCCCATTCTACGGTCGGTCGAGGGTGAGGATCAGATGGGCGCGTACCTGAACGAAGCCAATGGGTACGAACCTGGCTTCCAGGCTTCGTTCTGGGGGCCAATTATCCTCGTCTGTACAGCATCAAGCAGAAGTGGGATCCTAAAGGGCTCTTCATTTCTCGTAAAGGTGTTGGTAGTGAAGACTGGGATGATGCAGGCTTGTGTCGTACTTAGCACAGGAATGATGCAGTTGTTAGATTGGTTCCATAAAGTGGGATATACGAGTTGAGGTTTTGATCTGGGCAAGCCAACAGCGAATTTTTGTTTGAATTATGTTATGTATTTAGAATTCTCGTCAATGATTAGTATGTTGTTTGATGATATTTAAATATGCCCCCAACGCCGGTGCCAAACCCATACTAGTTCAATCCCATTATCCGCTGGAAGCCCACGTTGTTCACCAGCACGCTACTTCCATGCATCTCCACACCCTCGCCCTTCAACTTTCCATCGAACGCGCCGACTGGCAACCCCGCCAAGAATTCTCCCAGAGGCTGAGTCGGGCTATGCATGCCCTTGAAAAGACCTCGGAGGACGGGGCCAAAGGCACTCTCTCCCAGGCGCCTGGTGATTGATACCTGTGGGATCCATGGATGAATGGCCTGGTGGTCCTTCGGGTCGACAAATGCAGGGCGCACGATCATGGCTCGGAAATTGGGATTCTTGGACTCCATCTCCATCAGGGCGGTCTCCGTTTCGCCCTTGACGCGTCCAAATAAAGGTGTGAATCGACCAGGCTCGTTGGTAGCGCCCTCGCCGGACACGAAGACAAACTTGAAGTTGTCCGACTCCTCTGATTTGAGCTGCTCGAAGGCCTGTGCTGCTTCGAGGGTCATGGTCTTGGTGATGTGAATATACTCCCTGATGATAAACTTGTTAATTTAAATGATCTCGTAGGGGGTTTCGAAGGAAGAAACGCATACTCCTTTGAAACGGCAGTCTGACTGATTCCCAGTGCCCACACGCAGCCCTGAGCACCTCGTAGTTGCTCCTTCAATGCACTGTCGTAATTTTTGAAATCATGGAGAATCACTTGAATGCGATCATCCTTGTTGCCCTCGAGCATGGGTACTGGACGACGGCTGATAATGGAAATTTTGGAGATATCTGGTCTGGCTCGGAGTGCGACGAGGGCTGCAGAGCCAACAAGACCCGTCGCGCCGGTTAGGATGATATGCATTGTGGAGTTTGGAGATGAGATATTTAACGTTGATGATATCAAGACTATAGAGAGGCAATGGGGGACATTCTCGCTATTTATAATTCCCCTCTTTCCTTCAGGCGCAAGTGATGCCCCGAGCTTACTACTGGTGATACTGGTCTGTTGCAGCCGCAGCTGGGCATGCTGACAGCAGTCTAACCGGAAAGAGACACGCAACAATAATCGGGACCGGGAATATGATTTCTGCCCGGTTCAACACGCCGAAGCCACTGGTTATCACCGCTAAAACCGAGACATACGGATCGGACATACTCAGGTGTTGGGACATTGAGGCTTAAAGCGATCGGGTCCGAGTTTGGCAATTTGAGTTATCGTCGTCCCCATATCAGAGCTAGATATTGGTTAAAACTCTTGGGGTAGATGGTTTCTCTCTTCATGGAGGAAAAAAGAATCTCCTCTCCCGTGAATCGAACCACCGACCTCCAGCTCCCTATATACTTCGTGGCGATGCTCCATCACCATCCCACGATGCCGAAGTCCATACTTTTGAGGCTGGCCCGGGACCACCACCAATCAATGGTATACGTCGAGACCCCTACGAATACTATATTTTTAAGTAAAAGGATTGAAATATAATATTAGAGGAATTATACTACAGAAATATTATATTAGTTAAAAAAAATCAAAAAAAAGAAGAAATCGTCGGTGAGCGAGGGGGATTAGCTCGCTCGCCCACTCTCCCCCTTAGGGTGTGCCCGGTCATCCGTGGAGTCATGCTCGACATCGCATACCAGTCAACCATATTTTCCCCTCAATTTTTCCTTCACAGGGGCACACCCTTGGCCAACCAGGTGGCGACCAACCTGGCTGACCAACTCGGCCATATGAGGGGGGGAGATTACCTGGAAGACCTGGAAGTTGGTAATAACCCTTGTTTACAGTAATTCTACATAGTGAACAGCTCACAAGACAGTTTTCTATCCCTACAAATTTTTCTAAGAAGACAGCAGGGTTATGAATATGCTCGCTGTAATTGATGAGTTGCGGCCTTTTGATTTGACTATAGACAGATATTTGTATGTGCTCGACTGAGTATCCCTCAGGAGCTACCACGCGCTGGAAAATGGTATATGGGATCCGTCCTCCATGTCGCCGGCATTGGTACCAACATTGTGCCAACAGTACCAAGACCGCTGGGAATACGCATCCAGTCTAATTTCCTGGATCCTCCCATTCGTAGCTTGCCACTGCCACAGAGCTTCAATGTAAGCCCGTGGGCAGCCGTAGATGGTTTTGTTTTGGGTTCGTGGGTATCATATGAATATGCAATAGACGTGTATGCATAGTTTTCGATTTCGGTTTCGGTTTCGGGGTCGTCGAATCTTCATTGGTTGGTCTTGAAAACAGGCTGCTGTTCCATCGTCTGGGAGATGAAATTGCGCAGCGCAGACCAGCGATTGGCAGTCGAATGAGCCTCGGGCGTGCCCTCGCTAGCAGTTCCAGTAGCAGCAGCAGGAGCAGGCTGCATGCTCGCCATCTGCGCCATGTTCTTCGCGAATCGGTCCCGTTCCACCTTCTCTAGCTTTTCGCGACGCTTCAAAGCTCCGGGCTTGTGGCGGAGTGTCTTCTGCTTGATGATGTTCACTTGACTGGCAGCATCGTGGGAGTTATCGGCGGCCTCCGGTAGAGCATCGGCGAGGGATTCGAGGTTGGCGACCAATTTTTTCGAGGGGCGACGCTTCTTCGGTGTCTTGGAGCTTTTCGCGATCTTCGACATTAGAGTCGCATGCTTGATCTGCCGCTTGTCTTTCTTGCTGGTACGGAACTCATCCCCAAAAGGGGTAGCCTTGACAGGGCCAGTCCTCCCGGACTTTGTCTTCATGATGTAGATCTGGTGGAGTATTGAAGAGAATCGCAACGAGAAAAAACCGGTGCGTGGAGTAGTCGTATCGCAAAAAGCAGGCGGTCGAGCATGTGAAGAAGAGCCAGCAAATTTGTCGTCCACCAACGGCCCCACATGACCAGAACTCCAATGGCCCTTGTCCCCGTTGGGCTCACCCAACGATCCCAATCGAAGCAAAGAAAAAGTCAACCATCTTGGACCACTCAAAAGACTCCAATCAATTTTAACACGAGAATGCGTCGCCGCCCTGTGACGTGACCCCCCGACTTTCTGTGCAGATCCACATTCCCCCCCCTCCTCGGGTGTCCTCCATCCCCCGTGAAAAGACTGGCTCGCCCCCGACTCTGACATCAGAACAACGCTGTATACACACCGAAACACCTACAGCCCACACTGAGATTATTGGGACCTTAGCAGTGCATGTCCTTGCCGAAGCGCCTTACTAGTCGGATCTACTTTCCTGGCCAATCTCTTCCGGGCCTTTTGCCTCGGTCGCCTCTAGCCACTCGGACCCAGACCCCAAGCTATCACCCCCGGTCGCCCCCGTCGGCATCCCTAGCGCTCTTTAAATCCGCTGCCCTCCCCGGTCAACCTGCCGTGTGCAGATCATTTTCCTCGGTCTCACTTTCGAAAATGGGATCTCTCGGCCCGTATCAGCGCAAGCTCAAGGTGGCAGTAGTCGGTTCCGGCAACTGGTAAGTGGTCTCGTGGGCAACGGCTGTGCCGTTGCCTTGCATCACTGTTCTCCTTTCAAGTCGGTACGAGCGATAAACTGACATGGGAAATGTTTTCCTAACTTAACAGGGGTACCGCCATTGCCAAGATTGTCGCCGAAAATGCAGCTGCCAACACCGATATCTTCGAGGAGAAGGTGGAAATGTGGGTATTTGAAGAGAATGTCGAGATCGCAAAGGACTCGCCGCACTACGATCCCGCTCTCGAGGGCCCTCAGAAGTTGACCGATGTGATTAACCGCACCCATGAGAACGTCAAGTACCTTCCAGGAATCCGCCTGCCAGCCAACCTGCACGCCAATCCCTCGATCGAAGACGCCGTCAAGGACAGCACGCTCCTTATCTTCAACCTCCCCCACCAGTTTATCCTCAAGACCTGCGAGCAGATCAAGGGCAAGATCTTGCCCTACGCTCGCGGTATCTCGTGCATCAAGGGTGTTGATGTCAACGAGGAGGGTATCAGCCTCTTCTCCGAGACAATTGGAAAGACCCTGGGCATTTATTGCGGTGCTCTCTCCGGTGCCAATATTGCCAACGAGGTCGCTCAGGAGAAGTGGTCAGAGACCTCCATCGCGTACGACCCGCCGCACATGGACTCCAAGGCCCCCACACCCCAGCGCTCTCCGACCTCCTCCCAGGTCGACCTCGTGCAGTTCCAGCACCGTGACACATCGGGTGAGATCTCGAAGGTGAAGTTGCAGGCTCTGCCGTCCGATTACCCTCCCATCAACCATGATGCACTCAAGAGACTCTTCCACCGCCCGTACTTCCACGTCCGGGTGGTGAACGACGTCGCCGGTGTGTCCATTAGCGGTGCGTTGAAGAACGTCGTTGCGCTGGCCGCTGGTTGGGTGGACGGTATGGGCTGGGGTGACAACGCCAAGGCTGCCGTGATGCGCGTGGGTCTGATGGAGATGGTTCGCTTCGGAGATAAGTTCTTCGGCGCGACCATTGACCAGCGCACTTTCACCGAGGAGAGTGCCGGTGTGGCCGATCTGATCACCAGCTGCAGCGGTGGCCGTAACTACCGTTCTGCCAAGCACAGCGTCGAGCGCAACCTGCCCATTGAGGAGATCGAGAAGACCGAGCTCAATGGACAAAAGCTTCAAGGTACCTTGACTGCTGTCGAGGTCAACAGCTTCCTGAAGAAGCAGGGCATGGAGGATCAGTTCCCTCTGTTCACTGCCGTATATCGTACGTTCTTTTCTACTGTCCGGTCGACATTGAATATATACTAACTCATTCATAGGCATCCTCCAGGGCACTATGCAAGTCGCGGAAATTCCTTCCTATATCGAGCGGTAATTTTATTATTCCGGTCTTCTTTTTCCTTCGTGTCTGTGGTGTTAATTTACCGGCTGCATTTCCCTTATAGCCCCCCAGTTTCTCGTACCCCGACTTCTACTTCCAATGTTGCTTCTCAAGGCGAGGATTGCGATGGCGCCCGGTATGCAAATGCGCGACTTTGAGCTTGACCTATGATTTTCTGGATTGTTGGGATTTTGGCTTGTTGATAAATTTACGACTTGTACCTATTGCATTCTATACGAAATGGAACTTCCTGATAACAATTAATACTGACAAATCTTGGAACTGATTTTTGGGCACTATCTTTTAATTCAATTGAGTTTTTATTCGATCGGTTCGATCCAGGGCCAGTCCAATTGCTGTCAAACCCTGCTTTTGGTGCCGTTGGCGGTCCAGACTCGGCGCTAAAAGTAACCTGCCAAGGCGCCCATAACGCCCGGATACATGATGTCACCGGCTCACACAGCTTGGAGGGGAGCTCTGTCCTCCGCATTTCCGTTTTTCTCTTCTCAACAACTCACTTACGGCCACATCTCAGGCCATTCGCTCGCTGAGAAACCTCCAGCAGCTTCGCTGGGTTAAGCAGTTCTCGGTTGTTCGAGATTCTTGCGGCCGGCTGTCATTCCCCGCAACCTACCCACCTTGTTCGCGCCCTGATCACCATGGGCCCCTCACGCCAGGTCTACCTGCTTCCATTGAAGGATGACGGCTCACCCGACGTGCCCGGTGGGTACATTTACCTTCCACCTCCTGGCGACGAGGGATACGTGCTGCGATTCATCATCGAGGGTACCAGCTCCATCTGTCGACAGGGTAGTCTGTGGGTGAACATCCCCGAGGAGGGCAAAGCGTTTGAGCGCCATTCGTTCCGAGAATTCAGGTAAAATTGCTCCTATTCCGTGGAGTCTACGAGGTTATCAAGGAACCGCCGCTGAACTATAGTAGATTAAACCCCGATTTCAATCGCAATATCCAGATCGATATCCCCGTTTCTAATGCGGGCGCTTTCGCGTACTACACCACCTTCTCCCCGCTACCGGAGTTTTCAGTAGACCCTGTGCCCACACCGGAGCCCACGCAGACTCCTATTCACTACATAGACGTTTCGCCCAAGTTGACCCTTCAGGGCAAACATCTGCCACTCAATGCGCTCTCGATTTTCTCCGTCATCTCCAAGTTCATGGGGGAGTACCCTGTGGACTGGGATAAGCATCTTCATGGCATTAGTCAACGGAACTATAACATGGTTCATTTTACCCCTCTCATGCAGCGCGGCGCCTCAAATTCCCCGTATAGTATCTTTGATCAACTTTCCTTTGACCCGGCTCTGTTCCCGAAGGGAGAAGAAGATATCGCATCACTCGTCTCGCGCATGGGGAAGGAGTACGGACTCCTGACTTTGACCGACGTTGTTTGGAACCATACCGCTCATAATAGCAAATGGCTGGAAGAACACCCCGAGGCAGGTTACAGTGTGGAAACTGCTCCCTGGCTCGAATCCGCCTTGGAATTGGATACCGCGCTGTTGAAGTTCGGCGAGGACCTCGAGAGTTTGGGTCTGCCAACGGAGTTCAAGACTACTGAAGATCTAGTGGCCGTGATGAACTCCATGCGGAAGAAAGTGGTTGATGGTATCCGGCTGTGGGAGTATTATGTGATCGATGTGAAAGCCGACACGGAGAAGATTCTCGATGCATGGACGAGCGGGAAGACGGACCCTGCAAGCATCCAACAAGTTGATCTGGTCAATTTCGGTGAACTGACGCTAAAGGAGCAAGCTCAACTTGTCCGCGAGCACGGCATACCCGCTTCAAAACAGGTCTACGGAAGATTTGGCCGTTCCGTAGATGCTGAGTTTGGTGCTGCGATCCTGACAGTGCTCCACGGTGACTACAATCAGGATGCCTCCGAAGCTGAGGCATCTTTGTCCAAAATCCTCGATGAAGTGAACCTGCCTCTTTACAAGGAATACGATACCGACGTTGCGGATATTATGGACCAACTCTTCAATCGCATCAAATACCTCCGCATTGACGACCACGGCCCGAAGATGGGGCCTGTCAGCAAAGATAGCCCTCTTATCGAGACATACTTCACTCGCCTTCCTCTTAATGAAGTAACGAAGAAGCACAGCCCCAAGGCGCTTGCTCTGGTCAACAATGGCTGGATTTGGAACGCTGATGCAATGCGCGACAATGCTGGACCCGATTCCAAAGCTTACCTACGCCGCGAGGTGATTGTATGGGGTGATTGCGTGAAGCTTCGATATGGAAACTCCCCCGAGGACAACCCATTCCTGTGGGACTTTATGACCAAATACACTCAACTCATGGCCAAGTACTTCAACGGTTTCCGGATCGACAACTGCCACTCAACTCCATTGGTTGTTGCAGAGTACCTGTTGGACAAGGCGCGCAAAGTTCGGCCCGACTTGACCGTCTTTGCGGAGCTGTTCACTGGATCCGAAGAGGCCGATTATGTCTTCGTCAAGCGCCTAGGTATTAACGCTCTGATTCGAGAGGCCATGCAGGCTTGGAGCACGGCGGAGCTGAGTCGACTCGTTCACCGTCATGGTGGACGTCCCATCGGTAGCTTCGACGTGGGCCTGCCCTCCGCTGGTAGCAGCCACGCCATTGCATCTGCTCAAAATGGGGTGGGTGCTGAAGAAATCACTCATATTCGACCTTCCCCAGTTCCAGCATTGTTCATGGACTGTACTCATGACAACGAAGTTCCCGCCCAGAAGCGTGATGCTAGGGATACCCTCCCCAACGCCGCTCTCGTCGCGATGTGTGCCTCCGCCACTGGTAGTGTGATGGGCTACGACGAAATCTATCCCAAGCTCATCGATCTGGTTCATGAGAAGCGACAGTATACTTCTCCATTCTCAGGTACCCACAAGCTGGAGGTTGGTGCCGGAGAGGGCGGTATCGGTGGCGTGAAGCGCCTGCTCAATGAGCTTCATACTATGATGGGTGTTGAGGGTTATGACGAAACTCACATCCACCACGACGGCGAATATATCACCGTTCATCGAGTCCACCCCAAGACACGGAAGGGAATCTTCCTCATCGCCCACACCGCGTTCCCCGGTAACGAAAGCGGCGCAATCCTGGCTCCGACTCATATTGCGGGCACCCAGGCCAAGCACATTGGATCTTGGGTTCTGGAAGTTGATGCCGGATATGAGACCAAGGCTAAGATTTCAGGGGACGATAAGTTCCTCAAGGGTCTGCCAAGCAAGACACGCGATATCGATGCGACCAAGATTGGAAGCAATGGCAAGGATGTGACCATTTCCGTTCTAGATACCCTGGTACCTGGTTCTATTGCACTGTTTGAAACCTGGATCCCCGGCGCAGAACATGCCAGCGGTCTGGATAATTTCCTTTCCAGTGGTGCTGATGAGGCATTCTCAGGCCTCAGCTTAGTTGACTTGAACTTCGCACTGTACCGCTGCGACGCCGAGGAGAGAGACTCTAGCAACGGCGAGGACGGAGTTTACGATATCCCCAAACGTGGTCCACTAGTCTACGCCGGTCTACAAGGCTGGTGGAGTGTGCTTGAGAATATAATCAAGTACAACCAGTTGGGTCACCCACTCTGCGACCATCTTCGCGAGGGTCAATGGGCCTTGGACTATGTGGTTGGGCGGATGGAGAAGGTTGCCTCCAAAGAAGGTCATTCCGCACTTCAAAAGCCAGCGGCATGGCTTCGCGAGAAGTTCGACGCGGTTCGGGTTGTGCCTAACTTCTTGCTGCCGCGATACTTTGCTATCATTGTGCAAGTTGCCTATAATGCCGCATGGAAGGCCGGTATTCACCAATTCAGCGACAACGTGCGTCATGGCCAGGAATTCATTCATCAACTGGCTATGGTCAGCGTTCAGCAGACTGGCTATGTCCACTCGGCCTCTCTGTGGCCTACCAAGAAAGTGCCTAGTCTAGCAGCTGGGTTGCCCCATTTCGCCGTCGACTGGGCAAGATGTTGGGGCCGCGATGTATTCATCTCCATTCGTGGCTTGTTCCTCTGCACTGGTCGCTTCGATGATGCCAAGGAGCATATTCTTGCTTTTGCAAGCGTGCTCAAGCATGGTATGATTCCTAACCTTCTGAGCAGTGGCAAGTTGCCTCGGTACAACTCGCGTGATTCGGTCTGGTTTTTCCTGCAGGCCATTCAGGATTATACCAAAATGGTTCCCAATGGTAGCAGTCTATTGCAGGAGAAGGTGCCTCGCCGATTCTTGCCTTATGACGATACATGGTTCCCCTTTGATGATCCTCGGGCTTACTCCCAGTCTCCCACCGTTCTGGAGGTTATCCAAGAAGTATTCCAGAGACATGCTCACGGCATGTCGTTCCGGGAATACAATGCGGGGCCTGACCTTGATGTTCAAATGAAGCCAGAGGGTTTCCAGATTGACATTAAAGTCGATTGGGAGACTGGTATCATCTTTGGCGGGAGCCAGAACAACTGTGGCACGTGGCAGGATAAGATGGGTGAAAGCGAGAAAGCAGGCAGTAAGGGTGTTCCTGGAACACCCCGTGACGGAGCCGCAATTGAAATCACTGGTCTCCTCTACAGTGCTCTTGCATGGGTAGCCAAGCTGAACGAATCCAACCAATATCCTCATTCGGGAGTTGACATTGGCGACGGCAAATCAATCACTTTCAAAGAATGGTCGGAGAAGATCAAGGCCAACTTTGAGCGTAGTTATTACGTTCCCGTCGACCCTAAGGATGATGCCCAGTATGATGTCGATGCCAACGTGGTAAACCGTCGTGGTATCTACAAGGATCTGTACAAGTCTGGCAAGCCGTTCGAGGATTACCAGCTTCGTGGTAACTACCCCATCGCCATGTCTGTTGCACCAGAGCTTTTCACACCCGAAAAGGCGCTCCTGGCCCTCTCCATCGGTGACTCTGCCATCCTGGGACCCGTCGGTGTTGCTACCCTGGACCCATCCGACCTCAACTACCGCCCGTACTACAACAACTCAGAGGACTCCACAGACTTTGCAACCTCCAAGGGTCGAAACTATCACCAAGGTCCCGAATGGGTCTGGCAGCGGGGATACTTCCTCCGCGCTCTCCTCCACTTTGACCTCCTGCGACGCAAGACAGCCGAGGGGCGAACTGAGTCCTTCCAGCAGATCACCCGACGACTTGATGGGTGCAAGAAAGCTTTGCGAGAGAGTCCGTGGAAGGGACTGACCGAGTTAACAAACAAGAATGGAGAGCATTGTGCAGATTCGGTATGTTGATCTATCACTTTTCGCATTTGAGAATAAGTTTTACTAATATGTTGGGTTGGTTAGTCGCCTACTCAATCGTGGTCCGCAGGTTGCCTGCTGGATCTTTATTATGATGCCGCCAATCTTTCTTAATGTGGTGCGGTGAGAGGGGTTGTACAGGAACTTAGCATAAGAAAGCGTCTGATTTTCCTATACCATTTTCCTTTGTTGATTTTGATAGCATCCGCATGCATAATATACTGTGATTTTATGATTTTCAATGTAATCCATCACCATATCATATGTTATCGATATTCTTGATGAGTACCTCAAACCCGGGGCCATACTTGCCTCCGACTTGACTCAGATCCAGGCTTTATTTGCCTATTCTGCAATCTAGACCATCACCCTCCACGTGCCAGATGCCAGATGCCAGACGCTAGGCAGTCACAAAAACTTATATTTGGCCCCTCAAATTGGCCACATTCCTGGTGTTTCAGCTGCCATCGAGCCCAACGTGGCAGTATTCAATTTCAAGGTAAGATGAATGATGATCTTGTGATTGCTCCCATATGGAGTAACAACTAGCGACTAGTAAGTTACCGAAGAACGTATAGTAAGCATCAAGAGATTTCCTTGGCGAGAAGTATACAGATTACCGCATGGAGTCGCATGCGGTACTGGTCTATCTGTATGAGGTTATTCAGAAATAACCCTTTCGGATTTTCAAACCCTACTTTGGAACCCCGAGTTCACTTCACAGTTTAAGCACATTCTTTTTTGTCTCTTTTCTTCTTTTGTTGAAGTTGAAGTTGACTTGTTGATAGTGCAAATCATTGCGATACCCCTACTCTGGAGCACGTGATACGTAGCTATTTCATGTGAGAGAGTATATTCGACTGGTTATCCACCGAGAGAACTATAAAGCAACTATTCTGATAAACAATCTTGTTTACAGTAAATAGCCTAGTACTGTATGGCCTTCGTAAAGTGATGAGGTTAACTTGTCACGTGGTAAAGTCCACTATACCACGATCAAGACAGGCTCACTTCGGCTCCTCAACCATGGTGATCAGCCGAACATGCCAAGCGCCTCGCTGTATGCTTCTGGAAAAATGTCAAGAAATTCCAGCAATGACCTCTGATCATCTTGTCAACTTTCCAGGCCCACATGGCAGGTGCATGGAGACGGTGATCCCCGCGCATTCTCCGGCCTTGCAGCCTCTAGGTGACCAGTGACCTTGCACGCAGCACAACAAAACATACAACAGTCCTCAATTCCTCCTGGTCAGTCAGGCTTGACAGTTTGTTATGATTCAAGAGAATCACCATTGATGGGTTACTTTTTGAAACAGATGTGCCAGGAGTCTCCCCTTGATGTGTCTCATTTGGTGGAACCCCCTTTCTCATCCAACAAACCACTCAGCTGCATCCGGTCAATCGGGGGGCCACATTCTTCACGCGGCGGTTTCACCCCCAAATCTCTCGATGGAATGCGCATGAACCACCAAGGGCCACCACCGGACCACTCTCAATGCGATAGTCGCATTTTCATCCTCGCCCAGACACCCGAGTCTGCTAGTGTGCGAGTCTGCCGGGGATGGCCTGAGCGTGGAAGAGTTAGTCCGTTGCCTTTCCATTCCACACGATCCATCATACTCCATTGAGAGTATCCTCCGGTACGCCGCCATGTTGTACGCCGTCCTTGTCGCTGACTCGCTGAACTCGCTGACTTGCCAAGCGCCCGCCGCCATGCTGAGCACCCGTGGAACCGGGTGAGTCTATCGCCGCGATAGCCTTTTCTCATGGCCAAAATTCTGGCTGGAACGCCGCTGACAGCTCCACCAATGCTTCGAAAATACCTTTCTCTGCCCCATCAAACGTGTTCCATGTCTCAGCAGACTCTCTGTCTACGTCAGGCCGCGATGGTGGTTGGATGGCGAATAAAAGTTTCGCCCCGAAGTATACAGTCCTGACTCGTCGGCCCTCTCATGCAGTAGTAGAAAACCCTTGCCTCGTCGCTCATTTTCCCATCCCCGGTTTCCAAACTATCAGATTTTGTCTTTCTTACTTGAACGGCTGGACCACCGCTTCCGCGCCTTGGAGTACCACTGTTTCTCTCCACTGCCAATACAACCTTGCACTTGCACTTGTACATTGTCACATACTTTGCGTCCTGGGCAGACCCAGACTACCAATTGTCAATTGTCGGATTCAAACCTCCATAGGCCTGATTTTACGGGTAACACTTCCCCCTCGCTTTTTATCCTATGGGATTATAGTCGACAGATCAGATTCTGTTGCTTGTTGCAGCGCAGTTGGCCGACCGATGCGCCGTTAAGCTCTCCCCGCCGCGCTTGTTGGATCTACATCGGCCAAGTGGAGCCCGTCCCAATCATTCCGTCGTTACTCTACAGACGCATTGGGCCTGGTAGACCACTTTTATCGACCTGTTTCTACCTCGATTGCTGGCAATCGGATTTTTTTCACGATCTGTTTGATTTGCCATTCGCAATTTGGACTACCTGCACATTGAGATCATCGTGGCAAAACGACTAGAGGCTCTGTCATACATGTCGAGCCACTGAATCCCTTCGGCATTTTGTCGACATGCCATCTTTGAGATCTCGCAATTACAGCCGTACCGGGCAGGTTCCCGATGTTGAAGCTGCTAAAATTCGACAAGTGCCAAACTTAGATACGGCAAATGTCGCTGCAAAACAAAACTCCCAGCCTGCGATTGAAAACTCAATATCTATCAGCGACCCCGAAGAACCTCTCACAGTATTCGCGCAACATGATTGCTCGAAGATTGCAGGTGGCTCAACGCCTCCGGCGGCCAACATCGCTCCCGCCGAAATTCTACTCCAAATTTATTCCATGTTAACCCCTCGGGACTTTGACAATGCCCGAAGAACATGCTCGCAATGGATGAGAGTCAGTCTCAACCGCAAACTACTAGAAGGAATGCTGAAACGGGCCGGATGGTGGGATGCCTACAAGCAAGATGCCGAGAAACAACGAGTTCTTCGTCGCCCTTCCAGGGAAGAAAGTGATGTTTGGAGAATGAGCAAGCGATTCGCAACTGAATGTCTGCTCTCAGGGCGAAAGGCTAATGTCGAAAAGTCTGGTTTCGTGAAATCAGAAATCGTCGACTTCTCCGGGCTGTCCAAGGGGACGGCCTCGAAGTCTCGGAGATGCCCTACCATTGGATTATCGAAGGCTGCTCAAAATGGAAGTTCGTATGCATCGTCAACTTTCAGCGTGAGCAGTTGCAGTAACTATGTTCTTGCAACCACTGGCTGCATGATCTATGTATTTCAGTTACGTGGAAGGAGGACAACCTCGGTGCTCTCAGCCGATCTGGCAGACACGAACCTGGAACCAATTTCCAGTATCGAATGCCCGTTTGAGGTTCTATCCGCGACTTTCGACACGAGCACGCCGCGCTTCGTGGTCGCAGCTTTGTTGCAAAATCGAGTTGGTATGGTCTGCGATATGGAAATACCCGATCACGCTTCGCATGCTGCTGGTCCAGCAACGACTACGAGGTCACCCAAATCCGAACCTCAGCAGAGCCCGCGTAGGATGTCGAGAACAAATTCCTCATCTCCACACTTCTATTACAATGTCTGCTCGGAGGATCATCCCCCACGAACAATTGCACTCTGCCCTGGCCATCGATGCGTGGCATTCGGATGCGCAGGAGGCATTGAAATCCACTGGGTCGACGAAACAACCCAGAAAGACCAACGCAGACACTTCCCCATGTCCCAACCCTCAGAAGTCCTCCATTTCCTACCCAGCACTCTAGAAAATCCCTCAGAACTACGCCTCATCTCATCCCTGACTGGTCCTGGAGTCCACGAGTGCGCATGCCGACAATCCCCCTACCCAGACCATCCCAAGAAATGCCAATTCCACCTCCTCACCAACGCCCACTCTCTCAGCCGTCGCAGCCCACCCAATACATCCTCCCTAAGCCTTGTCCGAGCTACACATTGCCACCATTATCGCGCCGTCCCCATCAATGACGGCTTCCACATAATCTTCGTGGAGCCACGCACCGGTCTGCTCTGCATTGGCTCCGACGCTCCAATCGGCGGCCCAACAAGTCTAACTCGAGCCTTCGTATGCGTCCCACCCTTCGGCGAAGATCCAACAGAAAGCATCAAAGAAGCCCCTGTCCCGACCGTCTTCACCGTCGGCTCAGATCTAAGCTGGGGTCTCCGCGTCGTCGCCGCATATCAAGATCGCATCGTCCTATACTCCATCCCACTGGACGTCTTCAACGTGATTCGCAAAGAACGCCAACGCCAAGGCGAGGGTGTAATGGGCGATAGCGATCTCGCGCGAGACTGGTTCGTCGATTCAGAGCGCTTCCGCAAACGTCGCGAGAGTCTGGTCCAGAATCAGAATGGGGATTGGGAGTTTCTGTTGAGTGTCAGTTATAGACCGACTGCGATGATGTGGCCGTTCAAGATCTACGGGAAGGAAATTGGTCGTGTGGATAATGTGGTTGAACTCGCGCTGCAGTCTTCAAACGGTGGTGCCCGGGTTTGGGCTTTCGGTGCCGCGGGTGAAGCGCACGTTTTCGATATTGATACCCTCACATCGACTGCCCGGACTATTGCGGAGTCGCCGTGCAAAGTGGTGGCCGTCGGTTCGGACGGGAGTTTGGAGAATGCTCGACTTGTTGATCGTGCTAAGCTGGGGACGTCCCCGTTGGAAGGGTCTCGAAAGCGCAAGTTTCCTGAGCTACGGGATGATTTTGTCGGTCGATATGGGACGACTCGATTCGTTCCGAGCATGACATTGGATGGTCTCGAGCCTACGAGTACCGTTGCCGCGGCGTTATCCGAAAAAGAGGATTCCTCAATCAGACGCCCGTCGTTCGCGGCTTGCATTGTCGATTTCAAAATTCCTGAATTGGGCCCTCGAGAAGGTCCGTGGAGAGATAGTGGGATCGGGATATGAGGATGATGGGGACTTTCATGTCTGCATTTCTCATGCTGGTCATGCATCCTGGTTTTGGTTGGATTACTTGCATATAATTGTTTGCCACTACGGTGGATTGGATATAAGAGTCATGTTTCTTTCTTGTCTTCATATAGTGAGCTCTCAAATAGACTTTCCATGTTCTGTCGAAGCTGAAAATTTTCCATGCGTAGTTCCGGTAGCTCTAATAGAAACGCCGAGTCCCATGCTACTTCTCCTTAATAGAGTATACAAACTTCCAAGTTTTATCATCGAATCTACCTAAGATTGTCAAGGCAAGTGTGAGAATAGATTTATATTCTGTCTCATTTAGAAATTATCCAAAAGCATCAAAACTTTTTCCTTGATTCGCATGGCACAATACGCTCGTGAAATGCCTCAATTGTGACATCCCGGTGTCATAAAAAGGCAGAAAAAAGACAAAAAGAACATAGCGACGCGGTTTTAGTTAGCGACGCTCAGTTTCTGTCTCCGGGCACGAACGGCTTGAGCCAATGTCTCCAACGTGGTCTCGGTGTCTTCCCAGTTGATGCAGGCATCCGTGATGCTGACACCGTACTTGAGGCCGGCCTTGCCCTCGGCAGGGACCTTTTGGTTGCCTGTAGTGAAGCGGGTTAATAAGTTGCAGAAAACACCAATCCAATTTCTGGTAGGAACTCACCCTCGTTAATGTTGCTCTCGATCATGACACCCATGATGGCGGTTTCACCGGCGGCGATCTGCTCGCTGAGAACAGCGGCAACCTTGGGCTGGTTCTTGTGGTTCTTCTCAGAGTTGCCGTGGCTGCAGTCCACCATCAAACGGGGGGTCATGCCCTTGGCCTCCAGCTTAGCCTTGGCATCCTTGATGCTGGCAGCATCGTAGTTGGGACCCTTCTTGCCGCCACGCAGGATGACGAAGCAGTCAGGGTTGCCGACAGTGCCGACGATAGAGGCAACACCGGGCTTAGTGACGGACAGGAAGTGGTGGGGGTGGCGGACGGCGCCAATAGCATCAACGGCGACATCGAGCGAGCCGTCGGTACCGTTCTTGAAACCGACGGGGAAGGATAGACCGGAGGCCAGCTCACGGTGAACTTGGGACTCGGTGGTGCGAGCACCGACCGCGCCGATGGAAAGACAATCAGAGAAGAACTGGGGGAAATAGTATCGAGCATCTCGCTGGCAATGGGCATGCCCTTGTTGGTCAGGTCGACGAAGAGCTGGCGGGAAACGCGCAGACCCTTGTTGATCTGGAAGCTGTTGTCGATATCGGGGTCGTTGATCAGGCCCTTCCAGCCGACTGTGGTGCGAGGCTTCTCAAGGTAGGAGCGCATGACAATGAGCAGGTCATCGGCGTATTTCTCCTTCATCTTCATCAACCGGTCGCAGTATTCCAAGGCCATGTCGGGGTCGTGGATGGAGCAGGGTCCAATGACCACCATGAGACGCTGCCTCTCGGCATCGGTGCCGTGCACAATGGCCACGGCCTCGTCACGGCCCTTGAGGACGGTTTCCCGTGACTTGTCGGTCAATGCGAACTCATGTTGAAGGAGGTTAGGTGGGGTGAGGGGGTTGTAGCCGCGAACTATATCGAGTGTGAGCTAGGGAGGGGCCATTGGGGAGGAAGGAATTGAGAAATAGCATACTCCTTGAGTCTTCGAGATGGCTGGTATTTCCCACATTGGGATTTTCAATGAAGAACTAACGATTGGTTAGGATCAATGGTGCCACGACGGACTTTGCGGGTTACACATGAGGGGTGGAACTTACCGACATGGCGGGGTAAAGAGAGAGGGATGGAGAGTGCGCGCAATTGGGCTAGAAGAGGGACAAGGAAGGGGATATAGGGGTAAGAGATGGTCAATTGAGTATATTTCAGAGGTATTCAAAAGAGAATAAAGCTTCGACTTTAAAAATAAGAACCAGAAAAGGTTCAGGGCAAGGGAGGAAATGAGTCAACCGGAGAACCCATGACACGTGATCCTCGGTGACCGACGCCAATGTGCGTCACCCGCCGAAGAAACAAGAACTAACAACTTGTGGCTGTTTAACTCATGCGAGTTAATATGGTCAACTCCGACGCTTGGGTCGCTTAAAAAATACTTTCCCCCTTCCTTTATGGCCCCTGTTATACCCGATGGTCCAGCTCCTGTAACCCCTGAATTAGTTCCTGGCAGATCTGAGTGTGCTGTTCCTTGACGGACGACATCTGCTGGCGGTACAGCTGCATTCGTGCTTCTTGAGCTCGGGACAGATCATCGAGAATGCGATTGCATCCTTGTCGATAGATCTGCAGCACTTTTCGGATAGTGTGCTGCTCAGCGGCAAGCTGGATTGACAGACGCTGTCAGAGTTCTTAGCATCGGTCCACGTTGCAGGTATCTGGTATTGCGACTTACCTGGTTGGTTTCCAATAGGAGGCTATGCGCACTCTGTTGAGCAGATTGTAGATCTGAGATCCAATCCATATTCTCCAGATTGCCATGCATGAGCAGGTGATGGGACGTGGAACCTGAGCTCTCCGTAGACCCTCGCCTCTGGTTAGTTTCAACGTTTGCATCATCCTCGGCCTCCATCTTCGGGTCATCAATGGTCGTCGGGATGAATCTGGGCGCGGTTGGGGGCGCTATTTCATCATGGGAGACGTGTCTTCTGGCGATACTGTGGTCCCTATGCTCATCTTGACGAAGTTCGGTGTCCTCCTCACTGGTCGCTGCGCTGAGTTGACTCGCTCGAGAATCGACATTGACACCATCGCCGACAAGTCTCGTTCCAGTTATACCTGGGGTTAGCTCTTCGGGTCCAATTCCATATTCCATGAACATGTCTCGCTGGAATTTGGACCATGTGCTTCCAGGCTGGTACTTGCTCTCGGAGTAATAACCATCAGAGTTTTCTTCATCATATTCACTTGAACTGGAGTCTGCGATCCTGATGCTCTGAAGGAGGAAGCGGTCAATATCGAGGCGTGGTTCCCCGGCCTCCTGCGGACAAAGTCGAGGACTCCCATTACGATCAACGACACTCTTCCTTTTGATTGACTTTGAACCTTCAAGCGGAGCACCCTGTCGTGTACGAGTGTGCGCGCTCAGCAGCGGCTTCTGGGATTCTGGGGTTTGCTCGCTTTCACTCTCTTGGACCGGCAGCATCGTGATACAGTCAAGGATCGGCACTTCCGCGCTCTGTGATAGCGTGTCAAGCTCGCTTTCCAGATGCTGTGTGTCGACTTGCAGGTTATCTTGATATGTATCTGGTTGGATCGAATCCATCCACATTGCCTCTGGTGAATGCGTTGCCTGCGAGCTGTCGTCAGGAATCTCCATTGGATCGTCGGCTTTATCCCCACTTCCCCTACGTTTCAGAAGTTCGGCACTATGCAACAGCTTCTGTATGTCTGATGAGCATTGGGCTGGCGGAACAGGTGACTCTACAGACACAGTGGTCTTCAGTGGTTTGTCAGTATTGGCGATTGGTACCAGGTCTTGGTCGTTAGAACTCGCCTGTCCTCCAGCTGTAGACGGGGCAGATGGCTCATCTTGTACCATCTCGAGCCCCGGGCTGAATGGATTTTGAGGCCGGTGAACTCGTGTTTGAAGTCGGGTTTGTAGCGTAGCATAGTCTTTTGGAACCTTGGGGGCTGTCCGACCAGCAGGCATCAGGGTAGAAGAGAAGCGCGATTCAACGGTGGGTTGATTTTGGGGGTTCAATCCGGCCTCGCGGAGTGCATCCGCAATTTTCTGCCCAACAGTGATGCCCCTTCCATGACAAGTTGCCTTCGCTCCCTGTCCGTTGGCTTTTGGTGAATCGGTGCATTTTGCCGGGCTTGACATGTTGGATGGCAGCAAGGAGTCGCTTGAAAGCTCGATTAGCCCATGTTGGTCCATGGCTTTGGGTTCATTTGCATTCTCTTGTTCGAAGATGGGAAAAGAAGCTACAGGCAGATCAACAGCATCCCACGTGCCTGCGTTATCAAGCTGTTCATCAAAGATATTTGATGCCGAATCAGGGTTATCTCCGGTCTCAGTGGTCAAAGGAAGCCGGGCACTGATATGGTCCTTCCCCTTGGCAGCCTTCTGTCGTTTGCCTGAGCCTGGTTTCACCTTCGGTGCTTTGCGTTTCTTGTTGGAGACTTTGTTCGATTCAGCATCCGGTGAAGAGACAGAGGTGTGCTTGGAGGCCTCTCTCCCATTCTTAGAAGATTTATCGTCATCAGTAGGTCGGATGTCTTCACTCCAGTCAACATCAGCCTTGGGGTTAGAAGTAGATGCTCTCCGGGCAGAGCGCCGCGGTCGAATCTGCTCCAAGGAAGTCTGCGCAGATGACTGGGATTTCCTTGGATTTCGACAAGTAATCTTTGAGTGGGCAATACCACTTCGGCCCCCTTTGGAGCGAGAATTGCGTTTAGGGTTGCTTTGTGGGGGGTTCACGTGTGTGTCGATGGCAGCCGGAGGATTGTCAATGCGATCAACGTCTAACGCAGGAAGATGAGCAGATCTTTCCGTATCTTGGTTCTCTGCTTCCTTGATATTTGTTGTAGATTCGCTTATGCCTTCTGATTGGGCCTGTCGGATGCCCGGTATGACGTGCTCAGTAGCAGCCTCATTTGCGTTGGCGTGACTGGCCCTGCGCGCGATCTTGGCTAATCCTGACGAATCCTCCACAGCTGGGGACTCCTTATAAATAGGAACCCCGCCTGCCTCCTGCATGGGTTCTGAAGGTCTGCTAGACACCTCTACTGCCTCTGTGCCAACGTGACTTGCGGAGGCTTCTCCTTGAGTGCCCATTGAATTGCAACTCTCCCTGCGTTTAGACATCTGCCGCGCCATTGTCTCCCGGTCTTTAGCACAGATTACATCCCCTGAGTCCAACTGGATGACGGTAGTTGTGACTGCCCGGAACTTCGATTTCGATAGCCTTGCGTAGGCAGTCCGTTCCATTGAGGGCGGAAGAATCACACGTCCGCTCGTTTGAAACCTGAGTTGGTTGTTAAACGCAGAAGTATATCCGGACCGATTTGAATCTTGAGTCGAATCAGGAAACTAAAAGTCAAAACCATCGTTAGAATGGGCAACCCAGGCCTGAGCATGGATCTGGGTAACCACGAGCCTGATTTGAGTTGAGTCCTCGAGTGCTTCTTCTCCTCACAACTCAACCACCCCACTTAACCCCTTGATGGTGTTGGTCTGCAATTGCACCTGCCTTCGTGTGGGATGGTCTTCTGATGCTGAGGCTGCTGGGAGGTGAGGTGAGGGAAGTTCGCAACCACAACGTCAACGGCAGCTACGAGCGTCACATGATGCCTCATAATTTCTAGAAGTCACTGGTCAGGAGTGACTCTATTTGACTCTTCACTAACTTAAGGCCTTCCAAGATCCTCGAATGATGGAAATATATCGATGCAACGAGTTTGGATGATTTGCTCTTGCATCATGTTCAGCAAAGGCTTGCTACATTCTACTTCCTATGCACAAGCAACTCCTCGCACGATGAGCGCTCCATCAATCTCAAATGATGGAGCGACACTGGCTTAATCATGATTCGGCTTCGTTTCTTGGCGAATGACTCAATCAGCGTCACTCTGACTGTTCACCTTTGAGATGATTCTCGATACCAGTGAAGTCATCACAGTACGAAGGTGCCTGCAAATCTACTCTCAATCCGTCACAAATCAATAACAGCCATGAGCTTGGATTCCAACATGACAGCAAAAATTGGCTGCCATTTCGTCGAGTGCTAATATCAAAAAGACAAAAAGGAAATGCTCACTGCCAGATTTGAACTAGCGACTTCGTGATTACATAACATACTAGTCACGCACTCTACCAACTGAGTTAAGCGAGCTGGATGGAGCAACTGGAAGCTATACCGATTCTTGAGAGCCTCACAGGCATCTCCAACGGGAATCGGCTTGTCCAAATCCCGCTGGTTGCTTGCCCGGGCACCAGTTGCTCCGTCACCGCGATTATTAATCGCAGCAAACCGGCTTAGCAATGCTTCTGGTTCGCTGCTGCGGATGCGACGCATCAATTCGTCCGAACCAGCGTCCACCGCTGTTTATTTAAACATGCTTTCCCCCGGTGACTAACCCGATGAACTGACTTCCAGCCTCTAGCTGTTCATTTCCCCACGTGGAGGCATACTTTTTTCGTGATGACTGCGAACCACCCCCGACGAGCGGGTGACGAGGAAGCACACCCCAAGACCGAAGGCCGCTTCAATGCGATAGAGCCACTCACTCGGTTACGCGGTGCTCTACCAACTGGTCTCACTCAATCCGCGAATCCTGATACCCATCCTCTCCCTACCACCACTTCAGACCGCCGCCGCGCCTCCATTAGTGCGGATTCCCTCGATCGAGATGCGCATCTCTCGGAGAAGGTCACAGAACAACAGGAGAGTGGGCAGGGATTGACTGGAACGTCTGCAGAGGGAGAGACCGTGTTATACCTAGCATACGGCTCGAACCTGGCCTCTCAGACCTTCCGTGGTATGCGCGGGATCAAACCGCTCTCGGAGATTCGGGTGCTTGTACCAGAGCTCCGCCTGACATTCGACCTCCCCGGGATCCCATACGCGGAACCGTGTTTCGCAGGCACACAATATCGGGATCCCGGCTTTGTCCATAATGAAGACAGAGAATCGCAAGATAGCGACCTATCTATCATCGATGGGGACTTCTTATCAGAAAAGGAGCCACTTCTTGTCGAGACGCGAGAGGTACAAAGCTCAGAGGCGGACAGGAATCGGTGGCATAAACCGCTCATTGGAGTTGTTTATGAAGTGACTTTGGCCGATTATGCGAAGATCATCGCTACAGAGGGTGGTGGCCGCGGGTACAGAGACGTGGTCATTGATTGCTATCCCTTTACGAAGGGCTTCAAGTCTACCGATCCAGTCCCAGATCATCCTGAAACCACCCCATTCAAGGCCCACACTCTTCTATCACCTAGCGCAGATGAGGATCGAAAGAAGAAAGAGGCTGCCAAACATGCTGATTCCTCTGTCGTGTATACATCATGTCCCAAATCTTCTGTATTTGGTGACGTGGGACCGAACATGCGTCCCGATCCTGAGTATGCGCAGCCTTCGGCCCGCTACCTGAATCTGCTTGTCACAGGCGCTGCCGAGCACGACCTGCCAATCTCATATCAAAACTACCTTTCTCAGATCCACACGTACAGGATCACGACCTTCCGCCAAAAGGTCGGGAAAGTGATTTTCCTTGTTGTATGGGGTCCGGTTATTCTCTCTCTTCTGGGATTCTCGAAGAGATTCGCGGGTCCAGATGGACGAAGCCCGCCTTGGCTGGTGAACTTGTCGAATGTCGTATTCGCAGGGCTGTGGACCAGCTATGATTATTTCTTCAAGAAAGTGTTTGGAGATGGCGAGCGCACATTGGAAGATACCCCGTCGATTTGAAGTTCATCACTCAACATGTTAAATACAACCTATACTATATATATCCTACATTAGCTCCTCTAATAATATTGAACAAGAACAAATGTACATTTCGTGCTAGAGGTTGACCCTCCAGCAGTGTTGTTTCTGATCCAGCCAAGGACCAAATTTAATTGCTATATCCTTTTTGAGTGGGGACATGTTGCACCGAACGCATTCACACAAAGGAAATTAAATTCAGTTGACTCCTCGAGCACACAGTTTTCGGAAAGGGGCAAAAAAAAGAGATATATCTAGGATACAGATACACGTGTGCTGGGAGCGTTCTAACAAAACAAAGGGACAGCGACCCTAGACACAAAAACAAGATGACGAAAGAGATCTTTCTTAGGCCAAAACCGACGGGGCAATAATACAGGGGGTATGCCCCAATGGGTCACATAGCCTCGTCAGCCTCTCCCATTTTCCAAACTCATACAGGCCTCGTAGCCATCACGTTTAGCGGCGGGGACCGATTGGGGGGCTGTACACGATCTTCCTGGACTTGATGGGGGCCCACTTGTAGCGCTTGACCCAGATGCTGATGGCGAACAGGCCAGTCAGGAGAGCGATAGCCTTGACACCCATCTTCTTGCGGTCGTCCATCTCGGGCTCGGCGGCCCAGTTGAGGAACTCAACAACGTCCTTGGCCATCTGGGAGGTGGTAGCGGGGGTACCATCCTCGTACTCGACAACACCGTCGAAGAGGACACGGCCCATGGCAATACCTATATTATCATGTTCATGTTAGAGCTGCCAATTGGATGCCAATGATAACAAATCATGCTTCACATACCGGTACCAGGGAAGTAGGGGTTGAAGTTCATGCCCTCGGCAACGCTGGCGCCCGCTGGGGGCTCATCGGGGTAACCAGTCAGGAGGTTGAAGACGTAGTCGCAGCCACCGTGACGGCCCTTGATGATCAGGCTGAGATCGGGGGGAAGAGCACCACCGTTGGCGGCACGAGCAGCCTCGTCGTTCTTGTATGGAGCGGGGATGTAGTCGGACAGCTTGCCGGGGCGCTTCTCGATCTCACCCTGGTCGTTGGGCTCGGTGTCGTACTCGTTCTCCTCAGCCATGGCCTTCATCTCATCGACGGTGTGCATAACACCAACGAACGAGCGCCAGGGGACACGGGTCAGGGAGTGGCAGCTGGCGCAGACTTCACGGTAAACCTGGAAACCACGGCGGAGGCTGGACGAGAAAATTCATGTCAGTGGATGCGCGACGGCGATATGGCGGCATTGAATAGATAGGTACTCACGCAGCGTGGTCGAAGGTCTTGTTGAAGCGCTGGTGCACCCAGGGGTAGTGAGTAGCGTGCAGACTGGATAGAGAAAGCAGTTGTTAGTTCTTATTGATCATGCGCAGTCCGGACCGCACAATCCTCGGCTCGGGGTAACGGAGCGACCATGCTGGTCACTCCCAATGTTGGAATGGAATTGAAGACTCACCCCTCCTCAGCAGGGGTCATGGCGAAGGCCTCCTGGCCATAGAGATGGTAGTACCAAGCGGCGGAACCGGCAGCCGCGGCGGTAGCGAGCGAGGCAGTGAGGGTGAGGTAGAAGGGGGAGCTGGCGGCGTCGGCACCGGCGGCGGTGGACGAGGCACGCTGTCAAGATTCGTTAGCAAAACCCGTTTTTCCCGTGCATTGAAGTCATATCGAAGCGATTGCCCTTTTCGGCGAGGTTCAATGGGTTGGACGAGGGTGATGAGAGCGTACCGTGGACTTGCCGACAGGCTGGCGAGCGAAGGCCCGGGCGGCCACGCGCGGAAGGGAACGGCCCAGCATGACGAATTCAGACCCTCCGATCGATTAGCGATGGATGTGAAAGGGTGGGATTCGCTTCGAGCGAGACGAAGGGGAGGGGGGTGGAGGGGGGTGGGTGCACAGGAGAGGTGCTGTCGAGAGGTGCGAGTTGAGGTCGAAGGTCAAGTTTCTCGCTGGGGGGAGGATTGGGTAAAACCCTCACGCTGATTGGTCGCACTGGGGCGGCCGAGCTGACTTCGGTGAAAACCGGCTGTGTGGGTGGCCTGGTTTTGCAGGCAGTAATCACGTATTCCTTGTGATCTGATATCCTCAGAGTACGTGATGGGACTGACTGAATCGTCTATAGATTCTTCTGTGCCCGTTCGAGGAATACTCGAGTTGTTAAGCAACTAGCGTTCATCAATGGCTCACGAGTATAATTTTCCATGCTCATTTTAGTAGGCATCACCACCAGACATCCCCGATCCCGTGACTAGACCTAAGTCACGGGACCATGTTTGATACTTTCCTTTTTCGGCCATCTTTAGCTATCGTTGTCTATACATGTCTTGCTACCACGAGCGACTGCTGGCCAAATCTGTTCGTGATTTCATATGTGGTGAAACTTAATTAATGGGACTCAGAGCAACAAGATGTCGGACAATTTGTTGTCCGTCAATGCCATTGATCTCCAGGAATCCAGAACTTGGGCGCCACCATCTGACTAAACCATTGCCTGTGCTGAAGTAGCAAGTTGACAGTTTGGCCATCAAGTATTGACGTAACTCTATTGAATTTGTTGTGGACTTCCTTTAATTCAATCCTGGAGGGCTAAGCTTAATTTAAACGACATTTCAAAGATGGACTGGACCGGGAATATATAATTGCGCTGCCAGCGTAGATTGGCCAGGGCGTCAAAATTGTCGAAGCCTCCATAAAGATGAAAGTCGTGAATGTTTCAGGATCAAGAAGCGAGAGTTAAATGGAATCCTTAAACATAGGTACTGACAAGTTTAGCCCCTTGATCGGTACTCCACACCATTCCTCACACCTAGTGATATTTTCTCTAGGGCTCTCTGCAATATTGAGTGCAGGCTAGTGCTTGATTTTGGTTCTCTTACATCCGAGTTCAAAGGCCCAATAGAAGAACAATCATCATGGATAGAACACTTAGTTTTGATACACCTAAATGACTTGTCAATGTATACTATAGCTGAATTTGGACGGCATTAGACGTGGAGTATTGCTGGCAGTGTGAAAGAGGTATATGGTGGGGCCTTTCAAAACCAACTCCACACACACCAGCAGGTGGATTTGATACCCGACAAACAAGAGCCGAGACGAGAAATTGACCAAGTAGATTAGTCTAAATTATATCCGCAGGTCTTGTGTGTAGATGATGCTCTGATTTAAGATTCCAACACTGGTTTTGTTTATGCGTCGCCGCTATCGGACGCTGAGAGGATCATCGTGAGTCATTTCGGCGACCAAAGGGGCCGATCCATGGCCGAATTCCCAATGCATCTGAAGGGCGTGTAAATTAGTGCTCAAATGTCCAATAGCTCCGTTGCTTAATGCCGATTATAACCGGGCAAAACAATGAGCGTCTTCGGCTAGTGTCTTGCCAGTCTGGAGTAACCTGCGTTTTTGTAGGAAGTCTAGCCCCTTTCGTTTCCTATTGACCTGGCTTGTAGACGGAACTGCTCGCAAATTGTTTCCTTCTCATGAGTCATCTGAATTACTTTAAATTGCCTTTCTTATTTCCTTTATATAGTCTCCAGATAATTGGCTCATTCCCGGCAATTGTGTTTGCGACGATTTCGACGTTGTCTAATACACATACTTTAATATGTTTCGAATCATACGATCAAGGACAGGAAGCAGAAAGAGTTTCGAAAGATGTTGCACACGACGAGGATTGTCATCGCAGGCTTTTGCAAATGTGATGCCCCAGTCTGCAATCTCGACAGACCAAACCGCGACACAGTCTGCTGAGTGAGTTCAATCGGATGAAGTCCTGAGTCAAGCCAATCTAAACAATCATTCTGTATAGAACCTACGCATCTTCGTCGGCCACGAAGGTATCCCCAGCACCTTGCCTAGACTCAAAACTGCCACCAAGTGCCTCGTACGTTCCATCTCATACCAACAAAGTATTGGTCTTTAACACCCACCTTCTTCAGATTCCTCGGTAAAACGGGAGGGCAAATCTTCCACGACATGATGGTTCACCACGGCGTCAAACACATTTGTTAGAACCTCTCCTCCATTTACTCTAGCTGGCACTAATCTCCATCTCACAGTTGGCTACCCCGGCGGTGCGATCCTTCCAGTCTTCGATGCGATTTACAAATCCAAGAACTTCGACTTTATTTTGCCACGCCACGAACAAGGAGCAGGTCATATGGCGCAGGGATACTCCCGAGTTACAGGAAAACCCGGCGTTGTTCTGGTTACATCCGGGCCGGGAGCCACAAATCTCATCACTCCCATGATGGATGCATTGGCAGATGGCACACCGATGGTTGTATTTTGCGGGCAGGTCAAAACCGGGTTGATTGGATTGGATGCTTTCCAGGAGGCAGACGTTTTGTCTATGTCCCGACCATGCACGAAATGGAACATTAGCGTTCGAAGCCCGGCCGAACTACCAAAACGGATTAACGAGGCTTTTGAAATTGCGACAAGTGGACGGCCAGGCCCGGTGTTGGTGGAGCTACCGCAGGATGTCACGGCCGGAAGACTACGTGAGAATATCCCTCTTTCACCGGTCTTGCCACGGCACCTGGGGACGGCAAGGACAGCCATAAACCAACTCAAACAAGATGAGTTGATGCGTGCGATTAGTGAAGTCGCAAGATTGGTCAACGTGGCGAGGAGGCCTGTACTATACGTCGGTCAAGGTATCCTTGCAACACCTGATGGGCCGCGACTTCTGAAAGAACTTGCCGACAAGGCAAGTATACCTGTGACTACCAGTCTCCAGGGTCTTGGAGCCTTCGATGAAGAAGATCCAAAAGCATTGCATATGTTAGGACTTCATGGGTCCGGATATGCTAATATGGCAATCCAAAGAGCCGATTTGATTATTGCCTTGGGATCAAGATTTGATGATCGAGTGACCGGAAATATCGCCAAGTTCGCACCAGAAGCCAAATTGGCAGCTGAACAGGGCCGCGGCGGAATCGTCCATTTTGATATCTCACCGAAGAACATCAACAAAGTTGTGGAAGCCACAGTTCCCGTGGTGGGTGACTGTGCGGCAAATCTACAGCTTCTCCTTCCACACATTCAATCGGCGGAACGGCCAGAGTGGCTATCACAAATACAAGAATGGAAGGCAAAATATCCATTTCAGGCATACAACCGTAGCGGCCGAAATGACCAGATCTTGCCGCAGAGGTTTATTGAACGACTTTGCCAAGCAGTGAGCCCTGTCAAAGATCGAACGATTATTACCACTGGCGTCGGACAGCATCAAATGTGGGCAGCTCAACACTTCCGCTGGAAATATCCCCGGACAATGATCACCTCCGGGGGACTGGGTACAATGGGCTATGGACTCCCTGCCGCGATAGGGGCCAAGGTTGCCCGGCCTGACGCCCTGGTAATTGACATTGACGGCGATGCATCTTTCAACATGACTCTGAATGAGCTACAAACCGCAAGCCAATTCAATATTGGTGTCAAGGTGGTTCTGCTCAACAATGAAGAGCAGGGCATGGTCACACATCTCCAAACTGTGTATTATGACAACCGCTTTTGCCATAGTCATAACCAGAATCCTGATTTCGTCGAAGCTGCTCGGGCAATGGGGGTACAAGCAGAGGCTTGTTCGGAAGTTGGCGAGGTGGAGGAGAAGCTGAAGTGGTTGTTGGAAAGTGATGGCCCTGCCCTCTTGGAAGTCAAGGTAGCCCAAAAGGCTTTGTCGCTACCCATGGTTCGATCAGGAAGCGCTCTTGATGATTTCCAGTTCTATAGCGACTGATACCTTCGTTGTCACTGTTACAAGTTTGGTAGTGTCTCGATTATGGTTGTCAAAAAATAAAGCATCGCAATATCCATCGTTTGTATTGTTTCGGCTGAACTTTTTTCACCAATGAACATTTTGAGTGATGTAGAAGATGTAATTTTACTTTGGGGTTCAGTCAATTCTCTGCAGTATACATGAGCCTATAAAGAACTTCGAATTTATCGAGCTTAGTCGTTTATACCACAAGTTAAGAAACAAGGCCTACACGCAGTAGGTAACGGAAAAATAACAGGTAGTGGTCAACGCTCTCTATGACCGAGTCTCAAGTGGAAGGCATGACGGACTCGGCGATCCATCTGGCCAAGCACTACTTACTCGGACGGCGACCAAAATGCTCCCCGTGCGCTCGCTGACCATTTCATTACGTAAAGGCTAACTACATAACTACAGGCAAAATGTTTCTGACTTTAAAAGTAGTTTCAAGTTCCTTTATCTAAGAGATCCATGCATATTTAGAATTGACTAGTTGTCCCAGTCAGTTGCTGGACGTCAAAGGCCGTTTGGGTTGATCCTACGTACACCGGCCCGGAATGCGATGGCGTCATTCCAAGAACCACATTGTGCTCGATGCTTTACAGGGTCGATTTGAAATACGTAAAATGGCATATTCTAAGCGTATGTAGTTATTTCTATTGAAGTTCATCGTTTGACATAATTCAACTGTTTTGGTGGGGTTTTGCGTCGATCTGTAAATTTGGTACATGACGGCCAAAGGCTCGGCGACTCGCAACAGAGTCGCCGTTCGGGTTCCGTCATAACCTCATTTTCACTACGCCCTAGAAGAATTTTCTGGTTCTATGTGTCATTTGCCTCTACTCTCGGCCGAAATTTCATTACTCAAATAATGTCCTCTAGAATGACCTTGAGTGTGACTTTTCAGTCATCTCGACTATTGTCTTCCATCCACTGCTACCCATCTGCGATTATTTAAGCCTTGGAGAAGTGTACCCTTCTATTCACCTAAGGGCAAGAGGTACAAGCAATCGGGCATCATGGAAGCTGTCAATAACCTACCAGCTCAATGTGAGCACCCAGAGGCAGCTTCTATATCCAAACATGACCGTGGTTGGCGTCGAGTTATTCGCAATTTCACTCCCGCGTGAGTTCCCTTGAGAATGACCCGAAGCATATTGATACTGACAAGCGCCTTAGCTGGTTTTCTGTGAACATGGGAACAGGAATTGTTTCAATCTTGCTCAACACTTTGCCTTACAATGGTAGATGGCTATATTATCTTTCCATCATCGTTTTCGTCTTGAACGTGGTTTATTTTACGATCATCTTGGCCATCACGCTTCTACGCTATATACTCTATCCGGAGATCTTCAGAGTCATGATTACCCACCCCGTACAGTCGCTATTTCTGGGCACGTTTCCCATGGGTCTTGCAACAATTATCAACATGTTCTGCTTCGTCTGCGTCCCCGCGTGGGGTGACGGAGCGGCTTACTTCATATGGGCAATCTGGATCTTTGACGCCGTGGTGTCAGTGCTGGTCGCTATCGGGATTCCCTTCTTGCTGTATGATGCCCTTTTTCGCGAGTGCAATTCATGATTTGACTGACTCGACTCTCAAGGACTACGAGTCAGAAGACTTTTGACCTTTCGTCAATGACGGCTGCCTGGCTCCTGCCGATTGTCTCGTGTGTTGTCGCGGCTGCATCGGGGGCGATTGTAGCGGACATCTTGCCGAATGTACACCTAGCTCTAGCGACCATCTTGGCTAGCTATATTCTGTGGGGAATTGGGGTTCCTCTGGCACTCATGGTTATTTGCATTTATCTGCAGCGCCTGATGTTCTACAAGCTCCCGCCCAAGGCGATGCTCGTCAGCGTTTTTCTTCCTCTCGGTCCTCTTGGCCAGGGTGGATTTGGGTAAGTCTTCAAAGAGAACATGGAGGCTGCAAAGCTTTTGCATACTGACATATTCGTCAATCGTTTAGTATTCAAAAACTCGGCAAAGTTGCACAAACAGTCTTTCCCAAGACGAATACTCTCAGTGCTACCACGGGAGATGTCTTTTACAGTGTTGGATTCTTAATCGGGATCTTACTGTGGGCATTCGGCCTGGTTTGGCTTACCTTTGCCGTGACCACGTTGATCACAACGAGGGAATTCCCGTTCAACATGGGATGGTGGGCGTTGACTTTCCCCCTGGGAGTCTTCACCACTTGTACTTGTACTATGGGCAACGAGCTCCCTTCGCGATTCTTCTCGGTACTTGGCACAGTAAGTTGTCCCGTTCATTCTATAAATATCTTTGAGTCTACTCCAGCAGCTAACTGAAGCAGATATTCTCCGTCTCGGTCGTCTTGTTGTGGCTTTTGGTCAGCTTCCACACATTCCGAGGTATCGCCCGCGGCGATCTCTTTGTTGCCCCATGCCTTAAAGACCTGGGAAATGCAAAGGTTCGATCTGGAGAGAAGGTATGAAGTGTCAACAAATAAAAGTTGGGTAAAAAAGAAAAAGTATGCAAGTATGAATTCGCATATTGTTATTTACCAGACCGTAAATGCAATCTTCATAATATCACACAAATCTCTGCAATTATTCAAATACGGAAGATACACCACTCAAAGGTTCGAAAATTACACAAATCTTCAGCCTAGGCTTAGTTCATAGCCCGAAATCCTTTCTCTTCAGGTTTTTCTACTATTTTGAGACAAATGAATATCATAGGATCATACTAGGCATTCTGATGACATTGCTCTATAATGTCGACGAACTCTGAATTCTTGAAAAGTTTGGGGTTGAGTAGATATTTAGATTTACTGTACTGTACTTACCAAGCGGTTAGAAAGACATGCTGCGTAGGAAATGCGCACATTGCTAGATCAGTTGGCTGACCACAAGTCAACTCTTGCCTGTCTCGCCGAGCGGTCCCTGATGTGAACGCTAGAAGGCGGCTGCAGTGTCCCGATCGGTGTGAAGACCGAATGGATTCGACCCGACGAGTTGCGGATGACTGCCATCGTCGTCAGTCTGGATGGCTCCCGGAGCGTCCAGGATACTGTTGATGCAAAACTCAGAACTGCCGACGAGGCGAACGCACTTGGCGAAGAACTAGCCGCAAGAATAGTCGTGGGAGGGGCAGAGGAGGGTTTGAACGACATTAACGCTAACCGGCCTGCTAAGGACTGAGTACTGGACATGATATCTTGTGGGCCTTGGTTACGGAGTATCGCCGCGCGCTCAAACGGTATAGACTAGTATACGGATATTATGATGATATCGGACGGAAAAGGTTTCGAGAATATAGGGAATGCTCAATTGAACCCAAAAAAGGAAAACGAAACAAATTGTGCACGACAGGCCGTATGTGATTTGCCGTCTACCCGTCTATAACTTGCGGAAATACACTTTGTGCGCTAAATGCGACATACGGTAGACACAAGAACACAATAACTATCATATGCTAACCAGGGCTGGAACACTATTATTAAAAACCTGCTTTGTATTATATTAAAATGCATTTTTAACTCTTCAAATTCGATGATCGTAGAACAGCTGTAGAGCTAGCTGTGGGGTAGTGCCTCAATTCTGCATCTCCACCAACCGAGCGTATACACCTCCCTTGTTCATCAACTCTCGGTGATTGCCAATCCCAACCAATCTTCCCGCTTCCAAACCGCAGATTACGTCCGCATGCTGGATCGTGCTCAGCCGATGCGCGACGGCCGATCGTGGTCCTCTTCTCGGAAGCTTTATTCAACGCTTCCTGTACCATTGGTTCTGACCGGGAATCCAGCGCAGCAGTTGCCTCGTCCAGGAGCAAGATCTTCGTGGCACGAAGGAGAGCGCGTGTAAGCCATTCACACCAACTCGCTCATAATTGTAATCATTCAGGTTCCCAGGAACTCAAACGTATGTAGTATACGAGTGGATACGAGTGAATTGTATTGAAGACTTCTAAAGACCACTAAAACAGGGCCATAAGGTACCAAAAGGGAAACCGATAGAAAAAGGACTTGATTGGATAAGAGGTGATTTTATAAGAGAGTGTAGGTAGTTAACTAGTTGACAAGAAACAAGATCCGCAGTAGCCACCAATAGAAACCAATTCACCGCCCGGCAAAATTGATCCTCAGTGCCCCAGGTTTATCACTCGGGGGTCAATCGCCGATTGATAAGCCTGCCATTTTCATTGGACGATATGACCCCCCGGAATTGTACATGAAGATACTGTAGGAGGATGAGAAAATAGAAGCAATTTGAATCAATAGTGCTACACTTCGGCAACCGTGCGCAGAAGAAGGTCAGGGATATGCGAGGATCCCTACTTCATGGCGGACTAATGGCTGATTTCAATCGAGTCCTGGAAACGCTATAATCGGAGGGGTAAATTACTCAAATCATCCCATAATATCGCAATCTTTGAAATTAATTCCCCCAATTCTTTACTTCTCCCCAAATTCCCCTTAGGAGGCACTCAAGATGGTCGCGGTAGCCCTCAACAACGACGGGGAAGGGCTTATAGTTTTCACTCCGGGCGTGTCCGCCTCACCGGGCTCGTCGGAACAGCTGCGAACGCCCGAGTCCCATGACATCTCCGATCTCAACTTCACTCTACGCCCTCCCCATTCCATGATGGCCAGAACAAAGAGGAGCGGATTGGTGTCACTGGCATGTACCGAGTGTCGGAAACAGCATCTAAAATGTGATGCACATAGGCCGACATGCTCGCGATGCGTCCAGCAAGGTTACCTTTGTCAGTATCTTCCCTCGCGACGAGGCGGTCGCAGGAAACCCCGACAGGACTCCGATCGCCAGCCACCGCCATCTAATAACCCCGATGAGCTGAATGCTACATCACCCCATGATCTTGCATCGGAGTTGATGACAGAGATGCAGCCTGGGTATCAGGCTCCTCTCGTCTTGCCCGTATCTCGTTCAGAACAGCCAGATACGCCAGATAGCACCACCCCGCAGCGCGGGCCAGGGTCGGTCCCTTGGTCGATAACAACTCCGAGAACTGGGTTGAGTCAAGAGCATTTTCAGCCTACACGGGATCTTTGGTTTCATGATGATCGCTTTCTGCGCCTCTTCTACGAAAACTTCCATGTCGCTCATCCAATCTTGGTGCCCAGTGCAGTCTATCATGATCGCCAGTATCCGGATTTTCTGCAGCTCGTCGTGAATTTTGTTGGATCTCACTATATTACATCAAGTCCCACGCAAGATTACAGAGACAAAGTTCTTGCTGAATTGACTTGTCATACCGACCGCTCACCATGTATGGTTCAGGCCTGGTTAATCTACTCGATTGCGATATACGCACGCGGAGAATGGCAGGAGGCGCAGGACGCCTTCTCGCATAGCGTGGAGATTGCTTTGGAGATTGGCATGAATCGCCGCGAATTTGCCATAACTGGTCGCCCTGAGAATAGTATCGAGGCCGAGAGTCTCCGGAGGACTTGGTGGGAGCTTTACGTGACAGACATCTTTATCGCTGCTCCGTCCAAGAGCAATACCTTCCTTTGTAGCGCAATGGCCCCGGAGGTGGGCTTGCCCTGCGAGGACTCGTTCTATACGGGAACGTGCGAGATTCCAGCACCACGGAAAATACTCGATTTCAAACGCCGCATCTTTGCGCCCGAAGAGACCGTTTTTTCTTCCTTTAGCTATCGCATCGAGGCGACTACCATTCTATGCAGGGCTCTCGTCTTGAGTAGACTACGTGACTACCATCGTGATCATCTTCAAGCGGTTGAGAATGCCCTTGTCAGCTGGGTCAATCATTTACCTCCTAGGAAGCTGGATATTGTCGATTCGTACGGCAACATTGATGAAATGATGTTCCAAGCGCACGTTACGATCGCATACGCTACTATGCTTCTACACCTTCCACGAAGCGATCTCCAACCTGTCTTGTCCCTAACAAACGAACAGTTTTGGCCCGTTGCTACTCGTCACATGGCCTCTACCCTAAATCGCCCTGTTCATAGTATCAAGGCTACCGAGGCATCCAGGCGAATCTCCGATGCTATCTCCCTTTGCCCAAACGTTCTCAAGCACTCTCCATTTGTCATTCCCGCCCTGGCACTTTGTGGAATGATCCAACTGGCCACTTCAATCAAGCACACCGAAGAGTGCTTTGATCATCATTATAACAGAGTGACTCTCATCCTCGGATGTTTGAAGAGTACAAAACGGATATGGGGTCTCGCGGACGCTGCTTACAATCATCTGCGCACCTCTGCGGCAGACGCGTTATCGGATTCGATGGAGCGATGGAGCACGGAACCACTTCGCAAATTCTTCCCCGCAGATTCAACACCTAGTAGCACAGAGCGGACGACAGCTCAGCCCACTCGGCCTACGTCAGCCGTTTCAGAGGGCCAGGATCTATTGTTCCCCCCTATCGTACCTGCATTTGTTGATCCGACATGCTACAACGACTCATTCTTCACTACCATTCCTGAGTTTGACATTAGCTAAGGGCGTGCGACAAAGATATAGTAATGATAAAAACTAATTGACAAGTACTGTCCATCGTTGCACATTTCTGTCCCTCAGTAAATTCTATAACAATCGGCGTAGTGTTCATCTAAACTCTCCCTGCCCTTGCCAAATGATGGCTTTTCTTGGCCACCACTCCTTGATCTTATTCTTCAAAGTAATTAACGAACCCATGAAAACTAGTCGATCATAGTTTGAATTACCCTATAGAAATCCCAAACTGGATGCTTGAAGGGGCGCGTGATCCCTGAAACCAAGGCTTATCTTTCGGAGATTGAATGAGCGGTATGTAGGGTCAATCGCCGATTGCCCTCAACGTCATCGTCCATCGGCGATTGCGCAATGGTTTGCAATGTGTCCACCTCGATATCTCTTATAAAACATCTTCAACTTTGTTAGAATCCCCTGTTGGTCATAGCAAAGTGACTAATTCATCAAGTTGTACCATTTTTCCTTCCAACATGCTGCCTCTTATGCTTCCCGTATCCGCCACGAGCGCCACAATCGACAAAGGATCAGCCGCACCTTATCGGCGATTTAAGGAGCGATACTACTTAGGGGAACTGGTGCAAGATATTAAACAACATTTGGGCCACTCTGGGGGTATCTCATCTGAAGATGTTGACTCGGACTATTTACGGTCTTTACTGGAGAAGTACATCTCCGATCCGAGCGACTGGATCCAGTATTTCCACAACGACCGCAGCAAGAACTATACACGCAACGCGATTGAGAATATCAACCACAAGGCAAATATTGTGAGCAGATATTAATTCCTCAAGCTATCTGATTAAGCTAATTTTGTAGCTCCTTCTAGTGTGGAACCCTGGCAAAGGATCACCAATCCACGACCACGCAAACGCACATTGCATCATGAAAGTCCTTGCTGGAGAACTTCATGAGACCGTTTACAAATCACCTGATAACAAACCTGGGGAATCCAAGCCACTGGAAATCAAATCTTCAACTACCTTTGGCATGAACGAGGTGACTTATATTTCCGACGATATTGGGCTTCATCGGGTTCACAACCCGAGTAGCGACCAGGTGGCTGTTTCACTGCACTGTGAGTATACCAGTTCATGTTTTCTTGTATCAGTTATTCTAACAGAAGTAAATATAGTGTATACACCTCCAAATGCAGCAGACTATGGCTATCATATTTTTGATGAAGCGACAGGGTCTGCAAGCCACGTGCCACAGGCACGCTCCTATTTGAAGCCCCAGGAGAACTAGGAGGGATGATGATAGTAGGATAGAGATAGAGCATTTCGGTTTTTATTTTGTTTCTGGAGTCAACCTCTTGTGGTCAGAGTATCTGCGAGAAGGGGGTTAGCATAGTTTTTGTGTTTTCTTGAGCACTGATATCCCCATCTGCGTGTCCCACTTTCGGATGATGTTTTTGTTGTTTCCTGTAATAGATTCCCAACAGATTGTATTCACTCCTATCAAGCAATTCTATACTTCTTCTCAACTCTATGATTCATTAACCCCCCTAAACCCTTAACTATCACGCTCCCATAGCTAGGACGATAAGGCTTTATACTTCGGGCTTGTTTACTAAATACTGCCGAGTCGCGGGGAAGGCGGTGTGGCCACGGACCCTGCTGATCGCCGCTCGAACCGGAGGCGATCGCTCAGGTGCGCTCCCACCACTGAGAGTATCGGTGAATTCTTTCCCTAAATTTTGCTTCCTTGGGTGCTCTGTCAGGACGGCTGTGTGCTCCATACCTGGTGCTCTATCGGGGATATCTAGGGTCACGAGAGTCGACTCTAGTGCGCCCGTCACTATCCCACCCCGCGGACATCTCGTTATCTCCCGATGAAGAACCACAGACACCGCAATGCCGAACGGGAAGAAAGGGACAACGCCTGCACGGCCGCGCAGAGATGTGCTGGCCTCGTTGCGTATGGCGTCAATGGAGGAGATCGCTCGAGCTTCGCTGCCTGCTGGTACGTCATAGGAATGTTGCGATGCATGGCCATGCACTAATAACCACTCGCCTATAGAGATCATGTCCTCGATTCTAGACTACCTCGACCCCGTTGACCTTATCCGTGCCGCCCAATCAAGCAAGCTTCTACATGAAATGGCGTATGATGATACCCGATGGGTCCAGCGATTGAAACGAATTGGTTGCTGGGACGAGGCAGACGCTCGAAAGCATATTGAAGCAACTTATGGGACCATTGCCAATCCGAACATTGAAGATGGAGAGGATATTCCTGCGGGTACTAGTGGCGCAGTTCCTGTCATTGCTATCGAGAAGGCTCCCTCGTCAGATGTCAAGGAGCTCTCTGATGGGTTCGACAAGATTGAGCTGGTCAATACAAACATACCGCCCGAATCATCTACAACAGTCGAAGACGACCCGGACCTAGTGATTTTGAAAACCGCCAAATCCATACGGGGCGAGGCGCGTCAGGAATATGGGAGGATTCATAGTGCTCTGGCGCCATTCTACAACGACATTGCGAAGAAAGGCCCTTCAATGGATAACTTGGTCTTCACCCAGTACAACGATCAACAAGCACGGGCACAAATGCTGTCGCAACTGGTGGCCTTTTCAAACTCTGATATGACTGATGGCTGGCAAGATCGGACGGACCGCCTACAGAGCACGATGGCTATGTTTGAAACCGCCGCGTTGAACGAGTTCCGAAATGCATACGAGGCAGACGATATTGATGAAACTATGCGCAAATACGCTCACATATTATGGACGCTCAACGGCGGTAAAGCAGCCGTCGATCTTTTTATACACCACAATCACCTGATGACACGCAAGACCGAGCTGGGAACAGTAGCGGACTGTATTGATGCCTCGGGAAAGGTGAAGATGCAACATACACAGGCGTTCTTTACACGACTGAGCGTTGCCTACAATGAGGAAGTAACAATCATGAATCGTGTGTTCCCTCCTGAGCTGGATGTGGCATCCCCCTTCATGGAAAAGGTTGGGCAACATGTGCTCTACCCATTCCTTACGGCTATCTTCGATGAGCTGCATCGCACAAATATGGAATCTTACCTCACGGCCGTCTCGGTTACATTTGTACAGTGCATGAATCTATCCGAGTCACTTTTGCCAATACGAAATTCGGGCGACAAGTTTGATCAGTACCTGGATTCTGTCGTGATCAAAATCTATGAGCCACACATTGATTTATATTTGGCGGAAGAACTTGACTTCTTCCGAAAAGGATGCGAGGCCACAATTGACGACTGGGATCGCCAGCTTTCAGAGCAAGCTGCCTCGACCGAGTCATTCCTCATGTCCAATGTCAACCGCCAGGCGGACAAGCGGGACTTCCTCACTTCGTTCAAAAAGGTGATCATGATGCCCGTCAACATTCTCCCGAGTTTCTCGGGTAACAAGGCCACCGGGGACTCCAAAGCCGATTATGAGGCAAATCGCAGTAACCCATCTGCTGCGAAGAGTCCCAATCGATTCTCCACCATCGCTTCACCGGCCACACCAACACTAGAAGAGGCTCCTAGTACGGAATTGGCAGCCAAGGCCGCCATTATGAAAACAAAGATGGAAGGCATCAAGTCCTTGTTCAGTATTGAAATTGCTCTGAATCTCGTTCACTCGGCCAAGTCCAGTCTGGAGAGAGCCGCTCAATTTGTCCGATTGGGCGGAGAGTATGGACGGGCTGCCAAGCAGCAGTGTGAGGCCATCTTTGTGGCCCTTCTTCGTCTCTTGGGCCTTCGCCATGTCATTATTGGCTTTGACAAAGCCGTGGACCATCTCTCCAACTACCGCCCACGAGAGCAGGAAGAGCGTGATTCTTCAGGGGTTGAGCCTCTGGTTACTTTCTTGGAGCTGGTGAACGTCGGTGATCTGATCCTACAAATGGTGGACGTGTTCTATGAACAGGAATTGATCGGCATGAGATTGACGGACCGAAACGATTTCCTCGATCCGGCCGTCAAGGAAAAGAAGAAGTTCGAGCAAATGCTTGATGAGCGTGTGGCAGCTGGGTTGAATAAGGGTATTGACGTGCTTATGGAGGAAGTGGATTATATTCTCGCCACACGACAGCTTGCCACGGATTTCAATCCAGGCGTCTCATCGGATCCCCATCGACAGACCATGGACGTGGGCATCAGTCAAGCCGCCGCGGCCGTGGTGGATGTGGTTTCGTCGCATACTCAGATGTTGGTGGGCAGCACCGACAAGAGCACTCTAGACGTCTTTAACCAAGAAGTCGGCCTGCGCCTGTTCACTGCCCTCTGCAAACATCTGAAGCGACAGCGGATCAGTGTTGAAGGATCCCTAAAGCTGATCAGGTATGTCATCCCCCTTTTTTACTCTACTGCCTGCGCTAACTCAATTTCAGCGACATGAACCACTACTTCAAGTTCGTCCAAACGCTCAGAAATAACGAGCTTCTCCTCTACTTCAAAGCCTTCCGTGAACTAGCCCAAATCTACCTGATTGACCCGTCTGATGCTAAGGAACTGGCGACAATTATCGCCGACGCCGACCGGTTCTCCGGAATCTGGCGAGTCGAGGAAGTCTCTGAATTCGCGGAGCGCCGGGTTGACTGGTACCAAGTGAAAGGCGACGTGGAACGAGCCATGTACGGCATTGGATGCAGCGTGATGTAAACAGTGATAGATACCCCCGAATTGCATAGCGAATTGGTTGGTTGCTTTTGATTGAATGTATAGATATTGAGTATAGAGCTAGACATGTATCATGTTCACAGGGGCCGATCTCAAAATTGGCATAAGCTCCACCGCCAACCAATTATACTTTGTGAAGAAACAGACTTGCCCTAATTTGGAGAAGGTTAATTCTCCTGCCCGAAGCTCTCTCTCTTTTTAACTAGTCTTTTCTTCATGAAGACACGATTATCCGCTCTCTCTAGTCTTTCGACTTTTTTTCTTGCCCCGGTCCTTCCGCAGGGTAACATCTGACGTCAACGGGTTCACGGCGGCTGCTGGAACATCCCCCTCTTGTTTGAAACAGACATCCAGACTTTCCGAGCCAACACCCGCCCAGGTCCGGTTGCAGCTTCAGACAGTCTGGAAATGGACATGAAACCCGTGGTTTTATTTCCGGCTCGCTCAGGCACTATGCCTTTGGTGGTTGGGCCTTAACCTAGAAGTCGGCGGGAGTGACGCAGAGATCTTCTCCTTTTGGTCGCTATGTAAACGCTGTATTCCTGTGAGAACCACGGTTTGGGGGATGTTAGGTCTCTAGAAGGATGTTATATCTTTCTAGTAGCTCTCGCTGGGGTTTGTTCTGTATTACTATAACTATTTGGGGCGTATTGCTACACTCTAACGGATCTAACACCACTGTGGCGGAGGTCCAGTGTGAATCGACAGTCTTGATTCATAGGAGATTGTCCAACCTACCCGACTTAACGGCGCTAGCCCTATTATGTGGTGAAACCTTTTGAACCCTTGAGGACTCTAGGTTGTTTTCGCATATAAGGGCCAGAATATTACCATCCTTGCAACGATCATGGCCACCAACACCTACAAGAGCTGGTCTCTACTATTACTCCTTGTGATCTACAGCAGCTTCATCACGACCATCAAAGCTAAAGTTATCGTGGTCACAGTCCATACAACAGTGGAAGTTGCATCAACAGTGCAAGGGACGCCAACTATTCCCAGTCCCGCTTCATACACTTCGACCTCTGAGTTCAAAGACACAGTTCTTCGGGTTAGCAATGACTATCGGAAAGCACACGATGCAAAACCACTAGTCTGGAACGAGACGTTGGTCAAATATTCCCACGAATGGGCGCAGAATTGTATCTGGAAACATTCGGTAAGAGTCGTTTTTCGTCTAGATAGCCATGGAATCTCTTTCTAACAGTTACACATTCAGGACGGCCCGTATGGGGAAAACCTAGCATTTGGGTATCCCAACGCTTCTTCAGCAGTTGAGGCTTGGGGCGACGAAAGGGAATTCTATAACTTCCAGAAGCCGACCGGATTCACTGAGAAGACCGGCCATTTCACACAACTAGTGTGGAAATCTACAACGCAAGTAGGATGCGCTGCGATAAATTGTGGATATACCGAGAACACCGATAAAGTACGAAGAGATGCTGGTGATAGCAGCCCGGGTCGACTTCTTGCTAGGGAGCCCGATGGAAGTACGAGAGCGCAGGGCTGGTACGTTGTATGTGAATACACGCCAACAGGGAATGTCGTTGGCAATCACAATGAATACTTCAAGAAGAATGTGAAGCCAAGCGACAAATCATCGTCCACGATAGCTACTTCTGCTACATCGAAAAGTCAACCGACGGGCGGGGCGGCGATGGAGAATAGAATGAGTTCCGCAGTGTGGACGACGTTGCTGGCTCTGGGGACTGTGGCTATTGGGATGAGCCTGTATACTTAGGACAAGAAGAAAAAAAAAGAAAAACTACGAGAAATACAAGATTATGAAACAACAGCTATTGCGTTCGTAGGCATTTCTCATGCTTATCCACATTGCACATCAAGAGCTTCGTCGGACACCACATAGCTCAATCTATTGATTTTTGAGAGTCCCCGATCATCAGCACAGAAATAGGGCCGGATCATAAAACTGGGGCACGTAGAAAAGCCGGGCCCGAAAAGGCAGAGGACGCCGGCGAGAACAAAGGAAAGGAACAAGGAAACACATTATATGCGAAAGAGAAAAAGGGGGGAAAAGAAAATGGGTTCGTCAACCAATGACCTCCTCGGTCTCCTCGATGATCTCCTCCACAATCTCCTCCACCACGGTGTCGCCCTCCTGCTGGATGCCAACGCGGGCATCCTTGGCCAGCTTGGGAGAGTCGGCATCCTCGGACAAGCCAAAGGCCTCCCGCTCCTCGGCCTGGATCTCCTTCTCCCGGCGCAGCCAGGCGAGCCACTCGCTGAGAACGCGTTTGCGCTGCTCGACAACGGCGGTGTTGGCAATGTCCACGGCGTATCGGTCCTCCTCGTCGAACTCCTTCGAGTACTCGCGCAGGTTCTTGCGCACCTGCTTCTGCTCCTCCTTGCTGAGCAAGGTAGGGGGGCGGGGGCGCCAGAGGAACTGCTTGAACTTCTCGGTAGGGTTCTCGGAGAGGGTATTTCCAGAGAAAGTGTGCAGGTTCCAGCCGTTTTCCATCTAAAACATGAGATTAGTCTTGATTCGCCAAAAGACAATAAAAAAAGGATTGAATCTTACCGAGTGAGTCCACACACTAGCACTGCTGACCACATAGCGACCTGTGGGGTCCCACTCAATGTCGGTCACGCCGTAGTGCTCAACGGTCTTCATCAACTGGAGGTTGGCGGCAAGATCCTTCTCAGCCTCGTTCTTCTCACCCTCAAAGTCCATGTCCCAGAAGTCCAGGTCGAAGTTGGACTGGGAGTGGACAGTAGCCACAACGACGAAACGACCCTTGGGCGACCAGTAGATGCCGTTGCTGGTCTTCTTCTCGACGGTCCGGACGAGCTTGAAGTTGCCGGCAGTGTTGCCCTTCTTCTCGGGGGCGAAGAAGGAGACGGCAGTCTTGGGGGGAACGGCAGCACCGGTGGGGGTCTCGCCGGTGGTGATCAGGACGAAACGAGAACCGTTGGGCTCCCAAGAGAAGTTGATGACAGTGTCCTTGAGGCTGTCAACGACCTCAACGGGAACGCCCTTCTCGCGAACCCGGAAGATCTCCAGGTTGGTGGCCATGGACTTCTTGGACTTGGAGTGACGGTCGACCTTGACGCAAACGTAGGCACCCTGGGATTGCCAGTGCAGCTTGACATCGGAGACGTTGAACAGGTTACGGGTGCGGACAATCTCCTTGGAGGGAACGCTCATCATGGCAACACGGGCGGGGTTGCTACCAATCTCGGGAGTCCAGAAGCAGAGGAGCTGCTCGTATTGCTTGACACCCTCGCGGGTGACGGTGGCGGGGGACCACTCAAAGTCGTTAACACCCTCAACCTTGACGGATGTGCGGCCAAGCAGGTTCATGTTGGGCACCTCGTAGATGGAAATAGACTGGCCCTGGAGCATACGGGCAACGTACTTCTCATCAGCGGACCACTTGAAAGCGGGCCACTGAACCTTCTTCTTGGGCTGGACCTCACCCTCAGCGGCGGGGCCGGCAGCCAGATCGTGGGAGACGAATGAGCGCAGAGGCTTGCCGGACTCAATATCCCAGACGATGATGTTCTTTCCATCTTCCTCGAAGGTCAGGATGGGCTGGCCCTCCTCGACCTGGATGGGACGAGAAGACCACGTCGTCAGATAGCCCTCCAGGGGGGAGAATTCAACGAGTTGTACGAAGGGGTGAGGGAACTGTTTTTGCTTGGAGAAGGAGGCGCCGCCCCAGAGCTGGACACCTTGAGGGTGGACGGAGGCAAGGAAGGTACCCTTGGGGGACCATTGGACGAAGAGTTGTGTCCAGTGAGCGCGATCAACGACGTTCTCTGGTGGGTTGGACTTGTTATTCCAGAACACGCCGACCTTGTCGTTCCGGTAGAGGGCGAACTGATCACGGGCATTGGCATCGGCCATCCAAGAGCGCAGATGCTCCTTCTCCTTGAAGGGCTCCACCTCGGGAGCGTGGTACTCCTCCTCGATACGACCCTCGCGACCATATCGCTCGATATCCATAAGCTTGTTCACGGCCAGGGTGTGCTTCTTGTCGAGGGGAACACCGTGGAGTTGCTTGACAGCAGCGAGAGCTTGTTCGGGGGTTTCGTATTCAACAAAGGCGAATCTAGAAGAAAAAAAAAGAATATCCTAGTCAATCATCTCGTCCACTTTATAGATTCGTAGCCCATTCATCCCAGGGTAACGCACCCTTCGGACATGCCCTTGTCGTTCAGCGGCATGAAAACTGCATCTTCGGAGGTGTGGCCAATGGTGTTGAGTTTTCTCAACAAGAACTTGACGAGTTTCTGGCGGCTGTCTTCGGGCACAACGGGAAGGCCATCGATAACGACGAAAGTGTCCAGGCCCTCCTCCAACTTAACTTCGAACTGCTCCTTGAGATCTGCCGAGAAACCGATGTTAGAGAGGGGCACACACGCCAAAAAAAGTAGGGCTCCCAGGGCGTACCGGAGAAGTCAATCTCCTCCTCCTCCTCCTCGTGGAAATCCTGCTCGGTCAGGGTGTCGAAACTGGGCGCCATGCTGGGTGGACTTGAGGCGACAGCCGTGGATCAGAGCGTTGCGTACTTGACTTTGAGGATTTTCGGCCAGAAACAAAACTCGCCGCCAAGCGGGTTCTTTGTGCGCGCTGACTCAGCCGTGAAGGGATCCAGCGCGATCGTGTCACGTGATGCGTGTGTTTTACTCACGTGATCTAAGCTTTGTTGGCGCTGCTGAGTCAGCCTGTTCCCCGGGCGCGCATCGCAAGTTAGTTTGGAGATTAGCAGTTGCTTTCGGAGCTACAGCCGACGCGGGGTCTCGCTTTTTCAGTTCTGGACCTTGCGGAACTTGATGCCCTATTGCTGCAAAGATCACCCGTAACACTGTTGCTTGTGTCTCCTCGATCTTTCCCTCTTGCTGCACCTTCGCCTTGCTCGTTGCGCCCTCGGCTCCCCCGCCGCTCTTAAGCGCCAGTGCGACTATACCCACCTGACCTTCCTCGAAGTACCTACTTGCGCGATCAACACCACTGCCCAAATCTAGCAGCCGAAGCTATCTCTATAGCTGTAACCTACACTTGGAACTTGGATACTGCATCTTTGGAGACGATTGGCAAGGATTGAATGCAGGCAGGATGTCACGTATGTTGCCTCGGCGCTGTCCCGGCTTCAATTGCCGACTCACACCTGGGAGCTTCTTTTCCTTGTCTAACGTGGCGCAATAGTCTCATCCGAAAAGCGCGATGAATACTCAGGCATCATTGACTCGATCCTCGCCAAGAGTGACCTCAATACCGTCTCCGAGAAACGGATTCGCAAGGGTCTCCAGGACGTCATTGGTTATGATCTCACTCCACAAAAGGTCTGCATAATCTGTGGTTATTGCTTGCGCTTTGTTTCCGTTGGAAGGAAGCATGAATGCTTGTGGAACTCTGGTAGCTGACAATGTATTCGCAGGCTGAAGTCAAGCAGCTAATCATGGAACGATTTGACATCTTCGCGAGCAATAATGGCGTCCATTCACCCGAAGAGACCTCCAGTAATGGCCATACACACGCCACCACTGCCGCTGCAGTACCTTCTCCACCCCAATCCTCCTCGCCCGTGAAGCGTCAGGCACATAGCGAAGAAGCATCTGAGCCCGCTAGCGCCTCGCCGCCTCCAAAGAAGCGCAAGCCTGACGCCGATGTTGACGCCGACGCCTTGTTCGCCGCGAAACTACAAGCGGAAGAGAATATGCGAGCACGACCCACAAGAGGCGCAAGCACACGCCGTGCTGCTCCATCTAAGAAGAAGAGCAAGGCCAAGACCGCCAAACGCGTCAGGGCGGAGGATGACTCGGACATCGACTCGGGATCGGAAACGAAAAAGGAGGTCAATCGAACTGGTGGCTTCCACGTATGTCTTGAATGTCGAGTAACTGCTCCACGCAGGACTAATCGCTATGTTTTTAGAAACCACTTAATCTGTCTGCCCCTTTGTCTGCTCTCCTAGGTGGAGAGACTACAGTACGTCTGGCCCCAATCGCAAGCGAAACCTGTACTGACCCTTTCTTCTAGCTGTCGCGCCCGCAGACTGTCAAAAAGGTATGGCAATACATCCGTGAAAAAGAGCTGCAAGATCCAAGCGATCGACGCCAAATCCGCTGCGACGACGCGATGCGCGCTGTGTTTAAGCAGGATCGGGTCCATATGTTCACCATGACCAAGATCCTCAATCAGAATTTGTATAACCCAGACGAATAGCCCTGGTTCGGCGCGAATAGTCATGGGTTGTCCTTGGATGAAGGGACCCTTGGCCTCCCTCAACGAATTTCATCTCTGTTCTATCATTTGCTTTCTGCGATGCATGGGGATGCCGGCGTGACGACTCCACCTTTGCCGCCTTTTGAGGCTTTCTTTATGGCGCCTTGTGCTTTCAAGATTTTGGTTCTTTTCTTGCTCTCCAGCGGGAGTTGGTGCAGCCCTTGAGTGGTGATATCTATCGTTCTCATAATTGCATACCTATTTGAGTTTCGTGATCTCAATAAGTCTCGGTATTTGGGATTTTTGATGTGGGAAACATAGAGCTCATACATCCTCGAGAGTAATGGTGTTCGTTAGAACACCTCACTGCCTCTATACAGTCCTCGTTAAAAGCTTGATACTTTATCTATAGAGTACTATAGTTGAAATATCGCCACAATATAGTAAATTTTGAGAATAGCCCTGCCATTGGCTCTGCTGGATGACGTATAGATAGCGAGAGAAAGTTGTCGAGTATTGTGGAAGCTGCAGGTATCCAATTAATCATCCAATGAAAGTTGAACAATTTGTACATTTACAAAGATGGGTTTGTTCTGACAAACAGTCTCTAGCATGCACTGAGAAGTAGCTTCTTTGTTGATTGCAAAGGAAGATTCCAGCTTCCAAGCACATGCCCGCCGCGGAGGTTGATAAGTCAGCCAGATCTCACTTTTTCCCCGTCTCCCCCACCAACCTTCAACCCCCAGAGAGCTCCGCAGCTCCCACGTTGTTGCCATTGACACGAAACCGCAGCGCCGATCTTGACTCCCACGGTCCCCCGCCATGGCTGACAACACCCCAACTGCTCCGTCAACAGGCCACGGTCGTGGTGGTGGCCGCCGTCGTGGCCGCGGAGGCGCCCCTCCCTCTGGCCGTTCAGATGAGCCGCGTAACGCTGGCGATGGACCAGGTCGAGGAGGCAGGTCCCGCGGTCGCGGAGGTCGAGGCTCTGGTGGACGTGATAAGCAACGGAGCCAGGATGAACCCGAAGCCACCGAGACACAACCCACAAAGACTGTTGCGACTGTAGGGACAAAAGAGGTCCCCGCCGCTACCGATGATGCCGACGATGGAGAGATCTGCTTCATTTGTGCGTCGACCGTTGAACATACCTCCGTGTCGCCTTGCAATCACCGGACGTGTCATATTTGTGCGCTCCGCTTGCGCGCACTTTACAAGAACAAGGGTTGCGCTCATTGTCGAGTATGTCTGCATCTCACGATTTTAGTCGTTGTTGGCCGTTGGCTTTGTTGCGAACCATACTAATCTGCCCTAATGCATAGACCGAGTCCGCCTTTGTCATTTTCACCGATGACCCCGTTCGACGATTTGAGGACTTTGAGAAGAAAGATTTCGCTCGAACCGATGATAATTTGGGAATCCACTATGAGAAGGACGAAATCTTTGAAGACACGGTGTTGCTGCTTCGATACAACTGCCCTGATGAAGACTGTGATGTCGCTTGCCTTGGATGGCCGGACTTGCATCGCCACGTGAAGAGCAAGCATGGCAAAGTGATGTGGTGAGTTTTGATACTATTCTCTAGATGGGAAATAGGCGCATTGAACACGATGATCAAGAGTAAGTGGCTGACTCGCGCTTTGTGTGACATGACAGTGACCTTTGCACACGGAACAAAAAGGTGTTCACTCACGAGCACACTCTCTTCACCATGGCCGAGTTGCGAAAACACGAGAAACATGGCGACCACAAACCTGGTGCTATCGACCAAAGCGGCTTCAAAGGCCACCCCGAGTGTGGTTTCTGTCGGCAACGATTCTATGGCGATGACGAGTTGTACGCCCATTGTCGTGACAAACACGAAAGATGCCATATTTGCGATCGCCGTGCCTCCCATCGTCAGCAGCAATACTATATTGACTACAATGCTCTGGAGGGCCACTTCCAAAAAGACCATTTCCTTTGCCTTGACCAGGAATGCTTGGACAAGAAGTTTGTGGTATTCGAGTCACAGATGGACCTAAAGGCCCACCAGATTGAGGCACACCCGAATGGAGTTTCCAAAGATGTGCGTCGGGATGCTCGGATTGTCGATCTTGCCGAGTTCGATATTCGAAGCCCATATCAGCCACAGCAGCGTCAGCGCCGCGGTGCTGGTCGTGGTCGGGATCCCAACGCGGAGCCTCTGCCTGTCTCTAGCGCACAACCTCTCGGGCGTGCCGAGCAGGCCTTCCAAAGACAGCAAGCAATTCAGAGCTCTCAGTCTGTTACTACTCGTAGTTTCGGCGGACAGCTTAGTCGCAATGAGACCCAGACAGTCCAGGCACCCGCTCGGTCAGCAGCGGGTACCCCGAACCCTGCAGCTCGTCCACGACCCCCACCTACTGCAGAGCTGGAGAGTCTTAGTCTTGCGGCGACATCCGCAACCCTGAGCCCGCAAGATCAAGCTCGGCGTCTGCGCCATACCGCCGTGGTGGAGCGGGCGTCAAATCTACTCCACAATGATGCTAACAAGCTTGCTGAGTTCCGAACGAGAGTGTCCAGCTATCGAACTTCGTCCATTGGTGCGACGGAGCTTATTGATGCATTCTTTTCTCTGTTCGATACCTCTAGCTCGGAGCTAGGCAAACTCATCAAGGAGCTTGCCGATATTTATGAAGATGAGAGCAAGCGAACCAGTCTTCTTCAAGCTTGGAACGATTGGCGCGCCATAAACGAGGACTACCCTGCTCTCCCAGGCCCGGGCGGTCTTCTGCCTGGTATGTCTCCTGCCACAGTGAGCACCGGCGGCAGCCGTGTCTTGCGGCTGAAGTCATCTACCGCTCAATCGTCTCGCTCTGCCGTTGGTAGAAGCGGTGCCATCTCCTCATCCTCCGCCAATCCCTTCCCCCCTCTCTCTGCAGCTGTCGGTAGCTCATCTCGCCGCAACAATGCTGCCACTTCCACTCCCTGGGCCGCTGCCGCCCCTCCACCCTCCATTAGTCGCCCGTCATACTCAACCCCTCCCAGTCGTGCCTCCCCGGCGATGTCTGCTAGTTCCTCGCGCCCCGCTGCTGGTGTAGACGCGTTCCCTGCTCTCCCCGCGGCCGCCAAGCCAAACGTCATGATGCCAGGAAAGACTCGTGGTTACATCCGGTGGGACGAGCGTAAGGGTCCTGCTGCGAATGCTTGGGGGTCAAATCCGTCTTCTGGCCTTGCGTCTCCAGCAGAGCCAGCAGATGATTTCGATGACGAGCCTAGCGATGGGAAAAGGGGAAAAAGAAGAAGGGCAAGCAGACCCTCTTCCACTTTGGTTGATTGGTTGTGAATACCCCAAACCCCGGTCGGATATTTTGTGAGCGTTCTTGATAGACGAATGAGTTAAATAAGCGAAGTTTTTCTATGAAACTGGTTTGGACTGGAATGTCTCTGTTCTTTTAATGTAGAAATAACGTGTATTTAGTCAGGTGTTGGTATGACTAAAAGCCTGTCGTCTTCTAATGATGTGGCATATCAGATCGTCGCCCGCAGGCCATCACAATGATTCTCCCTATTCCATACCATGATATCATGCAATAGACGAAATGTATACGTCTCGAATAAGTCCCTCATATGAGGCCAACAGGCCCGATTCTCCTCGACACCCTCAGACTAAAATGACGCTGTCATGTCCATTAGATTCAGGCTCGGAAGCAGAATCGACTAGTAGAGAATCTGAAGGTAAAGGTGTTCGAGACGAAATGCCCTCAGATGCACGATCTGCGCGGCAAGAAGGAGCAGTGGAATCCACCTGAGAATCCTTCTCACCCCCTCTTCTTGTCCCTCCAATATCTCAGCATCAGCACCACTCCCCAAATTGACCTCCTGGTCGACAGCAGCCATACGCAATGCAAAGTCATTCTGAAGCTTGACAAGATGCTGACGGAGAGATGCGCTATCCATCGTGCTAGTTCGAGCAAGTACAAGCTCTTCTCGCAAAGTGAGAAGTAACTTCCGCTTCCGGGCTATGACCACGGCGCGCGAAGTGCTGTTCCGACGCTGCATAAGCCTGTCCATGCGCTCGGAGACGTTCCTGGCAACCTCCAAAACTGCAGGTGGGAGGTCGACTAGCTTCGCCAGCTCAAGGCCATATCGACGGTCCGGAACGGGTCCTTCCGCGATCTGGTAGAGCATTGTCATCTTGTTTGCATAAGGAGTGATGTCGGCTGCTAAATGCAGATTGATGACACCAGATCTTTCAGATAAGATGCGCGCGAGATCATGAAAATGCGTGGCAAACCATACCAGGGCATTGCTGGCGAGAAGAGCTTCGGCCAGGGCAACGGCGATTGCGAGACCATCGGTTGTACTAGTGCCGCGTCCGAGTTCGTCAACTAGGACCATCGCTCGTGGCTGCACATGGCGCAAGATAAATGCCATCTCTCGCATTTCTGCGGCGAAAGTAGAGACGTTAGCGTCTAGATCGTCGCTGGTGGCTACACGCGCGAACAGTTGGTGCACGAGTGGGAATGAGGCGTACTGCGCGGGCACGAAACAGCCAATCTGCGCCATTACGGTCATCAGGGCGAGGGATCGGATGTATGTGGATTTGCCGCTCATGTTGCATCCGGTGATGATTTGGAATCGAGTTTGTGGCGTGGCGCAGGCGTCGTTGGGGATGAATTTGCTGGAATGGATGCGTTCCCGGATAGGATGCCGTCCAGCCTTGATGGTCAGGGTAGCCATTAGCTCCGGACGGATGTAGTCGTGGCTCGTTGCCAGTTGTGCAAATGCTGATAGCATGTCTAGCATTGCGATGGCCTCGCTGATGCGAAAAAGCCCTGCAACCTCGGTACATACATCGTGGAGTAGCCCTTGGACGGTCTGGTCGCTCATGCTGATCACTTCATTGTGGGCATCGGTGATCTTCTGGTTTAGTTTGACCAAGTCTAGAGTCTGGCACTCGATCCGGTTCTTCTTGCGGTAGACGTTGATGAAGATTTCCGGCAGTGGCTCTGGATGGCCTGTTGGAATGCAGATGTAGTATTGGCGGGCAGTATCGTACTTGAGATCCAAGGATAGATCGAAGGTTTCTGTTAAATTTCTTAATGAGAGGGATCGTAGAATGACCTCTAGTCTCGTCCGAGTCATTACCTTCAAGTTTTGACACCAATTCTGCTGCATCGGCGTTGGCTTCCTTGTAAGTTTGCCTAGCGACATCCAAAAGGCTGCTGACGCCGGCCTGGCTGGGTCAGTATTGGCATATCGAGCGGGATATAAGCTTGAGACTCACCTTTACACAATATATGCGTTGATTACGTAGGTCGAGTGGCTTGCTTTGGTAAGTAATATTTTCATTGAGCGTTTTCTCGATCATCTCTTCGACAGCGCGATGTCCTGCAGGGTGACACAACTACCCTATGTAAGCCGTAACGCAGGTGAGTGAGAGCTTGGCATAAGAGCATACCTCTCGAATAGTGGCCAGGATCTCGCTTTGGGCTGCACCTAGTGCTTGATACACCTTTTTGATTGCCGATACGTACGTCTTTAGCATGATCACATGGTTGACTGACTGTTCAATGTACTGAACGGTCCTCTTGGTAGGTACCAGAATAACCTTGAAATGTCAGCTGAAAAAAGCGACAGATAAAAAAAAATATCAAAACATACCGAAGTCAAAACTTTATCCGCATCGATGAAGCCCTTCAAAGCCTGGCGGACGGACACGAACATGTCTTCCTTTGTGGACAAGTCCTCCACCGCATTGTATCTCGCAGTCAATTTGACCCTCTCGGTGGAAGGCTGGAGAATGTTGGCCCGGAGTAGTCTGGCTCCCATCGGCGTTGTGGTTTCATTGAGCAAACCATACAAGCTATCCTTGGACTTGGTATTGTGAAGATTCTGGATGAGCTCGAGGGAAACAATCGTGGCAAGGTCGATGGTCATGGAGCCTTGTGAGGGTTCGAACTTGATCCGCAGAGAGTGAGAGGCGAATACACGCTGGAGCTCCAGCTCAATGTACTTGAGGGACTGCCCAAGGATCAGTCAGACTGTCTAAACTCGCCTCAACGGGATGGCGTTGCATACCGCGGCAAAAGAGCAGGCTGCGAAATAGTTCCCGCCAAGCGTCACCTTGAGGGAATCCACCTCATCTGGAAACGCAAGACGATCAAGGTACTCATGGCCAGCCTTATCAGACCAGCACCTGCGATCAACAAAGGTGAGGATTGGCTCAGGCAGATTCTCTTCGATAATGTAGCGTAGCTTGGACTCCTTGGCGGTGTTCATGAACAGGATCTCACTCGGTTCAAAGACGCCAATCTTGGTAATGGTCTTGACATAAGTTTGACTGTCGCAGATCTGGCAGAGAACAACTTCAGCCGTGGCTAGGTTCACGAATGCGAGTCCCACTGTGGAAGAAACTCCCCGTGATTCACTGACAGCACAGACAATGTCCTGCGAGGCGATACTCGTGGCCGTGGTTGTGGGCCTTGCTGTTCCAGCTCGCCTCGTGCTGCCTCTGACAGTCAGGGGAACGAAGGAATCGAGTGTTGACTGTCGTGAGGATATCGACATTTTTGTGTGAGTTGGGATGAAAATGAGGGTGAGGTGAGGTGAGAGAAGAGGTAAGTCATTTGCATCGAGTTGCATGATCAAAGAGGCCGGGCACCTAACAGTCTATCATTTGTTTATACTCGTCTACTTTCTTTAATCCTTACACAAATTAGTTAACAAGAGGGTTTAGAAGGATAATCCTTCATAGTAGTACTTTAATCTAAGAAGGATCTATCTATTTTATACTTTTTCTACGTAGTTTTCTATTCGATTTATAGATATCCTTCTAATAATCTAGTATCGAGAGTGAATTACTCTTGCCTCGGATCGTCCTAGAGCTAACGCTGGTGCCCTCGCGGTGCTATAAAGGCTTTCGAAGGCGGCGCACTCTTTGTATATCATCCTTTGGAGGTAGAAATTAATGAATTAATGATTTGTTTTATATTATTTCTATGCCGCTTTCCATTCGATCTATAAAGGTCCTTCTTATATTAAATCACTATTACTAAGGACTTTTTTGACACCTCTTTTAATACATCTTGTTGATTAACTTATGGAAGCTCTTGGGATTCGTCTAAACTTAAAATCAAACCACCACTATGACCATGACCAGAGGACAAGTCACGTGCGATGACCAAGATACGTCTTCAAACGCACCACAACCACCTAAGTTCCACCGAGTGTAATAATTTCGGAAATTGTGCAGAAATTTTCATAAAGATTCTGTGAACAGCACTGAAAGCAACAAAAATTACTGGAAATTAAGAGATAAACGGCAGAAATCAAGAGACTGTTAATTCCCCGCCAGTTGGTCACTGTCCCAAATTCCCCACCCGATAAGATAAGCCCTCCAACCCAAAATTTCTTCCTCCGTTAAACTCCTCCAAGCTAACAATGGCGACTCTCCTCCCCCCGCCCAGTAAGCGCCAAAAGCTGGCCCAGGCCGAAAAGGCCAGGGAGCAGCAGGAGATCCAGAGTATTCCCACCGATTTGGGCAGTGTCCGTGTCCAATTCTACGACCAGGCCACTGGCAATGCTACGGGACCTGCGGTCTCGGTCCCGGTGGCCGATGCGAATATTAAGAACCTCGAGACGCTGTTGAATACCCTCCAAGGGAATGTAAGTGGTCTCTCAGGCGGATTGTGTTACTGCGCCGAAACTAATTGGCTCTTCTTCAACTGTATAGGACGACGATGATCGTGTGCCATATCGGTTCACCTACCAATCCGAGAAGGAGGACGGACAAACCATCGATATCCTCGCTGATCTATACCACTCGCTGCTCCAGCCTGGGATCAAAACTACCGAAGACACCGTCTCGCTCTACTTCACCCCGCAAGCCGTATTCCGAGTCAAGGCCGTTTCTCGTTGCGCCGCCTCCATCGCAGGCCACGGCGAGGCAATCCTAGCCACCTCGTTCTCCCCCGTCAACTCCTCGACCATGGTCTCCGGAAGTGGTGACTCGACAGCCCGAGTCTGGGACTGCGAGACGGGTACCCCGTTACACACCCTTAAGGGACATACTAGCTGGGTTCTGGCCGTGGCGTACTCGCCCAACGGCGCCATGATCGCGACGGGTAGTATGGATAATACCGTGCGGTTCTGGGATGCGAAGAAGGGACAGGCGCTGGGTGGACCGGTCAAGGGCCATTCCAAGTGGATTACCAGTCTTGCTTGGGAACCTTACCACGTGCAGGAGTCTGGACGGCCGCGTCTGGCATCGGCGTCGAAGGACTCGACCGTGCGCATCTGGGATGTCGTCTCGAAACGCATTGAGCATGTTCTCACCGGACACAAGGGGTCGGTTAGCTGTGTTCGATGGGGTGGTACCGGCCAGATTTATACCGCGTCGCACGATAAGACGATCAAGATCTGGAATCCCAAGGACGGCACGCTGATCCAGTCTCTGGCGGCGCATGCCCACCGCGTGAACCATCTGGCTCTCTCTACTGATTTCGCCTTGCGTACGGCCTACCACGATCACACTGGTAAGGTACCCGCTACGGAGGCGGAGAAGGTGGCTGCTGCGCGGAAGCGATTCGAGGAGGCGGCTACCGTGAACAACAAGATTGTGGAGCGATTGGTGTCGGCCAGTGACGATTTCACCATGTACCTGTGGGACCCGGCTGCGTCTAATAAACCCGTTGCGCGACTCCTGGGTCATCAGAAGGAGGTCAATCATGTCACCTTCTCGCCGGATATGGCGTATATCGCATCTGCTGGATTCGATAACCACGTCAAGCTTTGGAACGGACGTGATGGAAAGTGAGTGTTTCTCTATTGCCTTGTTCTAGGAGTAACTATTCGTATGACTAACACCTCTCTTTCTAGGTTCATCACCACATTCCGCGGCCACGTTGGCGCTGTCTATCAGTGCTGCTTCTCAGCCGACTCTCGACTACTGGTATCTTCTTCCAAGGACACTACTTTGAAGGTCTGGGACGTCCGAACCGGCAAGTTGGCTACGGATCTACCCGGACACAAGGATGAGGTCTTTGCGGTAGACTGGTCTCCCGATGGACAAAAAGTTGGCAGTGGTGGTAAGGACAAGGCGATTCGAATCTGGCGGAACTAGAGTAGATATACTAGAGTCCTATATAGAATGATACCCAATGCCTGTTCTGCATAAACTCTCTCCCTCTTCTCTCGGGCTTATTCATACAATGGATTTTACGACTCGCAATGTAAAAAAGAAGTATTGTGATGTGATAATCATTAGTTTGTATTAAAGTCACCCAAAACACTCTACCCGCTCACACGAGAAAGGGTTTCAACTACTATACAAAAAATACACAAATGCCAAGCTAAACGCAATCATATCATCAAATCAAATCAAATCCGCAAGGCCATATTCATCATGCAACGCAATCACTCTCAACATCTAAGCGTACTGCCAAGCAGGAACGTCACCCTCATAAGGCAGCGCCAAAGCCGAGAACCCCAGACAATCACCGACCTTACCAGAGGGCACGGTCGCATTGCTCATGGCGGCAAACACCTGCCAGCGGTTGTCCTCAGTCGGACAGGCCATGAGGCCGGTCGCACCCCAGCCGTTGAATGTGTAGTGGGCCCACGGGGTACCGGGCTGGTAGGCCAAGTTTCCGACTGAAGAACCAGCCGGGATGGAGGCGGAGTGGGCCTGGGTGAAGCTCAGGGCACCGGTGGGGTCGACGTAGACTTGTTGGCCGCCGGGGACTTCGACGTCCTGTAGTAAGGTAGTTAGCCTCAAGAAAATGTTTGGCAATGTTTGTTTTAGACTAGGGAGTATTGATGTATCTCGTGTCACGTACCAGAGCGTTACCGCCCGGTGCCAGGATGGTCTGGTTACCCGGAGGGCAGTTCTGCACGACCTCAGTCGGGCAGTAGGAAGAGGTTTGGCCACCGAGCCAGAACTTTTGACCGGCGGCGTTCAGTTGCAAGTAGTGGATAGGTGAAGCGGAGCGGACAGCCATGACGCTAAAGGGCGGGTTAGCGTCGGTGGTGGCTGGGGTACAAGTAGGAGCCGCGGCGGCGAGTAGAGGCAGAGCCAGAGAAGCGATGAAGGTCTTCATAGTGATGGTGGATAGACTTGAGAGGTGATGTAAGAGATGGAGAGAGTTTGATTTTGATGTTGAAAGTAAAATTCCCCGAAGAATGCAGGGTCTCTTTATAGTCAGGGGAGGCCCAAACTAAAAGAAGGGATCAGCCAGGGATCATGAGCATCAGCAGCATCATCATCCCCGCGATAAAGGGAATCGGCCGTATGCAAAGGGCAGTTTGTATGGTCAGACAACAAGAATAATAGTTGGGGGTCCACTTGTTCCTCCAGGGGACCCCTTTGACGACTAGCGGAGATGCCGAGTGGCAATTCCATTGGGCGAGTTTGAGACACGACGGCCGTTAGATTCGCTGGACTTGGTATAGTCATGATCATGATGCAACATTGGCTATTGCTATAGAGTTAGTACAGTATCCTGCAAGCGAAGCGACGGGTAAACAAGTGAGACATGGCCGAGGATACAGAAGATACATATTCTCCATTCAGAATGCCAAGCAAGTAAAACTCACAGCGGGGCTCTATCCGTGGATTTCTCAGGGTTCTCCAAGTCGGAGAGAGCCGCGGTTTCCTACTGATCTGCAGCTGATGTCTCACTGGGCTATTATTATTCCTCCTTCCTCCACGAGCAGGTGGAGTAGTTAACGGAGCTTTACAGAGTGGAGTTCTAATCAGGGATCTTCATTGGTCTGATCCGATATTATGATGTTATGCTCTCTTGTCCTACACTACTCCTCCCACAGGTCTCACATTCCTATTTACCCGTACGGAGTACATGATGCAACTCTACCTACATCTGCCCAATTCCCTCGCTATTATTATCCCAATCCTGAACGATTGTCTCAAGGCAAACCCTGACGCACATTACTCCGCTCATTCAACCCCCACGCCGAGCTACTCCCATCATGCACCGTTGCCCGTCGCATATCCCGTCGAAACTTACCTTCAAAGCTTCCCCCGACCGCACGATGCATCACACTGGTATTATCCCACAGGATCATATCCCCCGGTGAATCCCATCCAATCCGAAGCACATAGCATGGCTGTGTGGCATGTTGAAACAGTTTATCGAATAACCCCCGCGATGCCTCGGCGTCTAACCCTTCGATATGATGGATATGCGCTGCTATATACATCGTCTCTCGTCCCGATGCCTCGTGTCGTTGGACTAGGCGATGTCGTCCCATCGGATAATCCTCGGGATTGATATCGGTGAAGGTTTCCGGTGCAGCGGTCTTGCGTGAGTGCCAGAGCGAGTGTGCTGCTATATAGTCCTTTTCTCGGAGTTCGTCCTTCAATGTAGTCGGTAGCTCGTCGAATGCTGTTCGTACATCGGCAAAGTCGGTTTCTCCCCCATCCCTGCGGGTGGGAGCTCGTGCGCCCGGAGCAATGAGTATCCTGCTCGTCGGGGATTGAAGCTCGAGTCTACGTGGAAAAGGCCATTGCCCTGTCTCGTCTTTAGTGCGAGATCCGGTATCAATTGGAAACCCATGCTGGTCTCACCTTATTCCACTCACGACGCACGTTATCCAGTGCAAACACCGTCCCGTCTAGTTCGATATTACCCACGTCAAATAGCCGGACATCGGATAGTCGATGCGCTCGTCCGCCAGCCGTGTAGGGTGTCACATCATCCAACTCGCCGAATTGCCCTGCAAACGCAACGTGCCCTGCATCGTCGAGTCCCGTGTTCCGAAACACGCATACGCCAAACTATTTCCGATCGTGCAGGATGAGTAAGTACTCCATACTTGTTTCTGCTAACCTGCCGCTATAGCTCTGGGCGAGGACCCACCTGTGTAATTGCAGTCAGGATCTCATCAAAGACTTTTTTCTCCACTGGTCGCGAGAAATCTACACCGCTTATTTCTGCTCCGAATTTTGGGTGTAGCTTTTTGATGGTGATGTGGTTGTATTCTGGGGAGGTGGAGAGGCCGGGCATTGTGATGATCTAGGTAGGATAGGTGGGTAAGGGTATACTCTGTGATGAATGTCTTACATTTGCCTCCTGTTCTTGACTCTGTGCTCGCTTTTAATATTTCCGAGACATGAGAGTGTCCTCGGCATGAAGAGCGTAGATACGCTGATACGTTGCGGGGAAGACTCGGACTTCTGTCCAGGTTATAACGTCACACTAGCACATGTGCTTGATAAACGCATTGGCTATGGAGGGAACTAAGCGAGTGCAAGAATCTTATCATGTCGGACCTCTTTTCTTATCTGACTGTGCTTTCGTCCGTACCAGTTTCCTGACTATCACTAGACTCTATTAGAAGCGTGGTGTTCTATCAAACAGATTTTTAGATGCTAATCAAGCTAAGTAGAGCCTATCAATAAGCACACACTTTTCCTCGGCGTAGTGGGAACTCTTTTTCACTGTGAATAACTATCTAACAGGATTTATCTTGGTAGGTTACAAGCATACACACCGATGTCTTATCGAGAACCATACCCATGACCACATGATTATGTGTGATAGCATTTTAATGTACATATTCGATAAGCTCCTGGTGCCAAAATCTGACATGCCCAGGTAATTATGCTCCATATGCCTAACTATAGTGACATATATCGTCTTACCCTGTATATAAGTTCTGGCTTGTGAGCAAAGAAATCGGTGCCTCATTCTCGAACTAGCAGGCGAGAGCCGCCTCTGACTAGTGGGCACTCAATGCATCGCAGCTTTAGCACAGTCATGGATACAGTTAAACCACCCAAATATGTCACAATCTAATCTTAAACAGGTTATGGTGCTAACTGTAAAGTAGTAGGCAAATCACAACGAGATTCTATGGATGGGAATAGAAATCCATCTATACAACATCATTCACCTCCCGCAATTGCCCTCGATTTCCTCCGCAGAAATCCAGTCGTTATCCAGTGAGGATTACAACAGCCATGATAAAAACTGATCATCCTAACTGAGTTTATCAAATCCCTACCTGGTAGATACCACGCCTTTATAGGACGAGAACCCGCTCGCTCTGTCGGATAAATCGCCAGCGACCGTCTTGATTCAGTCCGGGAACAAAGTCAAAGTCACATCTTAGATAGGGATGACTTGTAGAGTAGTGTCTAGCCAGTTTTGAAAGTATTGTATATCGCAAGAAGAGGACACGATGCGCTGATGATGTACCTTGCAACTTGAACCCAATGATGCGTCGAACAAGGAGATGAGTGCTGACTAGTACCAGGAGTGTAGGTGCTACATATGAAGTAAAAGACTTGACATACTTTCAATATCTACTTCCCCATAATTCTGTCTAACAGTAATACCTAACCTTGTACCCACCTAGTATACCGGTTTCCTCGTTCGGGTAACGGCATCCACATTCCGATTACATAGCCACGAGGATCTCAAGTCTCATTCGTACCAGAAAAAAACACGATCACTTTACTAGATATTCATCGAATAGTATGAATACGATATACCCACGTCGCACTATATGAGACACCCGACAAGACACCCGGACATGACTCCTTGTCATTGGTCATCCGACTTATGGGGACCCTTAACCCTGCAGGATTCCGGGATAGTGGTCCCGTTTTAAGGTTATCTCCCCCACGGCTCTGGGCCCACCTGTGCAACCAGGTTGTCCCCACGACGCGCACATACTGTATTGAGGGGTGGGTTCAAAGGCAGTAGCCACAGCGATCTATTTCAAAGACGAAAACTATATAAACTCGCTTTGGCCCGAGAAAAACACATTATGGAATCACCGAATAAATATATATACGAGCGGGCGAGGTTGCCGCCGAGGTATAAACATGGCCAAAAGGGCCAACACAACAAAGACAAAAGCCAAACACCTCCTGCACCGATCCGTGTAGCAATGTGGAGGTATAAAAATGGAAGACTTCCGGGGTAAAGAGGAGACAAAAAAGAAGAGAAGGCCGCCGTGAACACCGATAAAAGTCAACACGCCTCCCTTTTTTACCCCCACACGTCTTAATCCGCCAACCCAGAGCAAGTGAACAAACAAAAAGCACACCCATATCCCATCAATCATCGTTCCCATGCGAGGGAGAGACGTGCGTCAACTCCACGTCGGGTGGGGACTCGGTTCGTACTGGAGTGGAGTGGGTCAATCAGAACCCAATTCCAGTACATCAACATATTTTTTTCTCTTTCAATTTCAGTTGTATTAGTAGTCATCCCCATCGTCATCGTCCCCATCTCCGCCACGACCACGTGGACCCTTGACACCATCCTTTCGGATAGGAATCTTAATACCCTGCAGCGCAAAGCATTTGCTCAATTGAGTGCTCTCAATCACACCAGGGAACTTCTTGGCGGAGAAGACTTGGAAGGGTTCACTAAAGACCGAGGCCAGAACGGGAGCAGACCCATGGTTGATCACGGGGGCTCCGTTGCTAGTTTCAGTGGACTGAGTGCCCACATTGACGAAGCTCATTTTGAGGCTATCGAGTATTAGCGCATGGCCCTCTTGTAAAGATGACTTTCTGACTTACCGGAAAGTGCCTTCTGTGCGCACGCTCAAATCCTGCAGAATAAACCACACTCCAATCTTGTTATCCGGGTCCGTTAAACGGAAGGCACTCGCACTGAGACTGCCAATCAAGTTTCGAGTGAACATGCCACCCGGACCGCCGGAAACGGGTGGCGCAGGAGACATCGCAGCGGGCATCTGACCCCCCTGAGGGTAGCCATAGGGTGGGTACCCAACCGCCTGACCGTATGGATTTTGGTACATCTGCTGTTGGCCATAGTAATTGTTCATGGGCGGATATCCGACCGGTTGTCCGTACGCATTTTGGCCGTAGGCGGGGTAGGTAGGAGACATGCTTTGGGGTGGAGGCGGGTATGAGGAGGACATGGCAGTGGAGATCGAGGGAGAGGTGGCGGAGTGCTTGACAAGGTTGACCTCGTTGGTGCCATCGGCATTCCACAGATCAACGGTGAGCACATAAAAGGATGTGTCGATCTCACTAGATCACACGGGCATGGTTAGAACGGGGGAAGCCAGAGAATGGCACGGGCGTTCAAACATACTTGATATCAATTTCCTTCTCGGTGTGTTCATCTCGTACGATGAGTCGAATGCATGGTGGTGGAGTGATAGGTCTTCGATCCTAGAGAGATATTCAGGTTAGTCGAGGAGGATACAGCAGCTACATTCACTCTCGAAGAATCACCCACCTTATCGCCGAAACCACACATGCGAGCTCGGATGGGCTGCTGGACGACCTGTAAGGACCAGATGCGGCCCTCGTGGCTGGTCGAGATAGGTGCGAGATGATCGGAGGACCGCAGCGGGCCTGACCCTGGCGTGGGATACGCGGCAGACGGGCCAGAGATGCGGTCCATTGAGAGGGGTGGTGGTGGCGGCGGCACCGGATGGGCCCTTTCCTGTTCAAGAGCGTACATGGTTCGTGATGGATAGGAACCGAGGACGTTTACGATAGAAATGACGGGTCCCCCTTTGCGTGTATATTTAAATAGAGAAAGATCTGTTTGTGATCGTGGGTCCTCGAAATGCTCAGAAGCGGGGGATCCAACGTGACATGCGACCCCGCGGAATCCAGGACGTCACAGTTGAAGCATTGACTTCGGGCGGAAGCTGAAGCGGTCGCGAGCGGCCTTATCGCGCAGACAAACAAGAACTGATCTCGCAAGGTGTTTAGCCGAGAGAGATTGATGCCAGAACTGCGGACGGGGGGTCTGCTTGGGGGGGTTGTTCAGCCGCACGGGGGTTAGGTTCGTATTTGGGGGGGGAAGGTAGGTGAGGATCCGATCGCGTTGGGCGAGAAGGTGAAAATTCGACCAGGTAAAGATGGTCGGTGCCCCAGGCAGGACCAACGAAATGAGTGCGGGAGTGGCGACTCGAGAACCGAGAACCGCGCTGTCGGGAGGTCGAGGTGGTCGGGGCGTGGAGGGGGGGGGGGGGGGGGGGGTTCGTTCAGGGAGGGCGAGTCAGGAGGGGGATTGACTCTTGAATCTCCAATGGATCACTGTATATCAAAGATTCTGATTAGGATGGGACATTCCAACTTCGATCGCATTCCATGAGGGCCGTAGTAATGGATGAGCCACGAGACGTAGCTGTCAGGGTGCGGGAGATTGGCTGGGCATCCACGGATCGCAGCTCCATAGTCTGCGGTCCACGAGTCATCCCATTTGGATCGACTTACCGGGATCACTAAGTCGGGAAAGACGGAGGATATACCAAGAGACGACAAGATGGAACGGAGTGAAGAAGAAGATGAGTGAAGGTGGGAGAGTGGGAAGGAGGATGAAAGGTTGGAGGTTGGAAGAAAGTGGAAGGAAGTCGGGGAGGGGACCGGGTGACGTTCTCGAACAGGCCGCTCTCTCTCTCTCTCTTTTTACTATCTGCTCGACCTAACTCTCTGCCAAATTATTAACTCATTTTAACTTGCTACTAATTTCAGTCCCAACTGAAAGTGTCAGATCCGCACTGCCGGCGCAGGAACCTCGACCCAGTCCGTCGGGTTCTGGGTTTTCTTTTTGGACGAATGGGGTCGTCTCCTCTCTCATCCAGTCCGATGTAACCGCCAACTCTGCTCGCTACAAATCTCCTATCCTCATTCCCCTTCTACTTACATTGATCTACTCCAAGAGCACAAATCCGCCCGCTAGCCCTCGACGCTTCTGGGGGGAAGCCGTTTGCGGAAATCATTGACTCTGTGGGTCCTCCGTGTGCGGCGGGCACTGGATACATCTTCACGACCCACGACTCACCATAACCTGTAATTCTGCTAATTGGGCAGGACCACTTACCGTTCATCCAGAACCGGCCGACCATGGAAACTCTGCCTGTCATCGGTTTTTTCATTGTCTCTCAGTCATCAATTGTCAAAGCGGCCGCTATTCTTCGGCAGATTCTCGGGGCCTGTGCTGCCGAGGGCCAAGCCAGAGCCCCGAGATCTATACCGCCGGGACTGCGGCGCGATCAAGATCGAGATCCCCGATCTGAAGAAAGGATCGATTGGAATTGATAATGCAGATCGCATAAGCTAGCTGCAGCTGGCATGCAGTGGATCCCCTTTTTCCTTCAACCCCCCCTGTTCCTTTCCATTCCCGATGTCTGCTCGGCCCCCTGCCGCGGTACCAGAGCCCGACAACCCATGTTTTAGGCCGATGACCCTGTCGGACCATGAACACGCGAACCTGTCGGGTGGTACAGCCGGAGATGATGTTTGGAAGTAGCCGTCTGATCGGGATGTAAACAATGCTGGCCGGGTTGCGATACACGAACTCGCCTTGTTTTCCATACGGCTATACAAATTTAGAGGTATACGCCGGATCCTCTACTATCCCCATCGCCTGGCCCCCATATGAAATTCATGGGCAAAGTACATAGTGTTTAAGTAAATGGGGCATCGAAATGGTCGATGAGACGCCCATCTTGCACGACAACAGTGCTTGTTTGGTGAGTCCAGGACAAGGTGTGAAAATGTAAGTAGACCTCCAATCAGACTAACTTTATGGAAACGGCCTTCCAGATCCAGACGATATATTTTACCTGCACGATATCAACCTAGGGGCTGCCTCCCTAATGCGAACGATATGTTCAACTTGCCAGCCATATATGACCTAGCGCACCGCGATCCTGTGATAACAGCGTCTGCATCTACTAAAACGACTGGAGCCCGCTTTTCGAAGTATCTTTTGGCATCCTCTTGAAAGCCGATGTATTTAAATAGGCTTTCGGCCTTGGAGACCGTCCATGCATCCAGTCTTGGTCCCTGCAGGGACTAACAGGCTTCAACTTTTCATTCTTGAAGTAAATATTATGAGGGCCAGTGTTTCAAGCATACCAAATAATGAATGAGTAGACCGGATTTCGTCTGGCTAGCACCTGATCTACATGCCCCTAATATTCATGTATAACCTAAGTAAATGCATTAATCAATAAACCATCTGAGACTAGATATTTATAGAAACGGTTTTGATGATACCGAGAATGGATACTTACATGGACTTCAAGTTGATGAGATAAATGAGTTACACTAGGTTCTCTTTTCTAAAGCACATCAATTATCTGACTAGAGTAGAAGCTCTTGAAGACTAGGACAATATGGTAACAGTGGCTGAAGTATACATCCCCATTTTTTCATATCTTAGAGATGGGAGGGTTCTAACATGAGACTTTGCCGAGCCGTCCGAGGCCATGTTCTCGCGGTCACCGGTACATCCTATCTAATGTAATAATAAGCCAATTTATCAGATGAAAGGCACATGGCCCACCAGGATCTACCAGGTGACCTCAACCATGGCAAATGTGCCGTGCTCTGGTCATGATCCTCCAGTCTCTAGAACCTGATTGGTCTGATAGACTCGGCAGATGTGGGGAATGATTGATGCTTGGTATAACCCCGCACAGGAACAAGCAGCGATAGACCACGAGGTTTGTGCAGTGTATTGACAATATATTAGATTCCGAGAATGAAATTGCATGGGATATCAGACTTTAAATAATTTGTATTGGATGGTGAAGTGATGAAGAGACTGGAATGCAAGGACATTCGGCAGTATATTGACTGCGGTGGGTCGCGCTATCACCGCCACTATGGGACTCCCTTGCCGGAGTATTGATGTCAGGCCTCGTTCCGAGCGGACTGCGAATACGAAGTATGGCTTCCCCCCTCCTGTGTATATCTAATTCTCAAGAGAAGAATAAAATAATACAGGCGGTGTGCGTTGCGTTGGGTTTTTACAGGATGTCCTCTCTAATTTAAGACACATCCCGGCTTAGTGCTGATTAACTACTTGGCAAGCTAGATAATTTTGTCGGTTTGCATGGCCGGAGCCTTAGTCTTGTCATGCTGATAATAATACCCCGGTCCAAATCGAGTCTCCTGCCTATACTCCGCGTTTCTCGACTAGGTAAAATGGTGTGATAGAGAGTAGGCGGCGGGCTATACCTAATCGACTTGCATGGTAACATCACACCATCTAGTTCACGCCGCTGGTAGACCCATGATGCTTGCTTGTGATAGATAATGCGCCAGTGGTATATCTGTAAGCGGCTTGAGTCCCCCGGGTTCGTTCAACCACGGAGCTACTAGATTGACCGTAAGGACTGATATAGACCGGACCTTTTCATGAGATGTAGGACTGGATTAGCAGTACGCAATCAGCATAGAAAAGTCACTCCTTAACAAAAAGATAACCATACAGCCCGTTGGGAGATGTAATCCTAACGTAGTAGCAGCCTTTAGTTTTCCCATTCCTATCAACTAATAACTTTATCTCGCCATGTGAATCCCCATGACGCCATCCGCTTGGATCTTTGCGAGACAACCTCTCCGCTCGGCTCTCGCCTGTCGACTATATGAGCGATTGGATAGGAAGACATTCAAATGTAGGAAATCTTATTCTTGTCGACACTTCAACAAGGCCAAGGCTCACTAAGCCTACAATGGCGTGCTTATAGTTGCTAGCACGAGTGCCGAGTCGGAATATAGTCATGCATAGTGGGGTATATTGGTGGAAAGTATAACCGCCTCATTGTTATCTGACTGGCAGCAGCGAGAGTAAATGTGACTCCACCACATGGACTGACATCCCACCATCCTTCTTCACCCCACCTTGAACCATGCAACGGACATGGCTGATTTGCAGGAGGGCTTGTCTTGCGCAACGAGCACCGGCCATGTTGTGATCGGAAACTGCTGGATTGTCAACCTCTGCAACCATGCAAGATGCATCCGCATCTCATCTATCGCATGGAGGAACGAGAACTACAGATAATGGGTATTTAAAGCAGCAAGTTCCTTCCTCTCCACCGTTTTCGGGGATAGCATTCTTGTTTGGACGGCCCGGCACGCGAGAAGATCCTGTATATAGATAGGCCCTGTTATCCCTTGATTCGTATCGTGTGGCTATCCCCCCCCCGTTATTCCCCCTTCGATCTGCATACCTGGGCCTAATCGACATCGCTCATCGGTCTGGGACTCGAGTGTTTGCATCATGTTGTGGTCTCACGGCTTGAAGGCGATTGCCCTGGTGGCCTCGTGTTGGGCGTCGACGAGTGATGCCATCACATACTCTCCGTTGAAGCCTCCATCATATCCATTGGCCGTGCGGAGTCCATATTTGTCGGGTAAGATACAATCGCAGACCAATTGATCAAGCATTGATTGATGATTGGATCTGATCGTCCTGCTTGTTTACATCCCGAAGATCGAGAAACCTAGTTCCATTTTTGAACGAGTGACTGACTAAGATGATCGACAGCGTGGATCCCCGGCAATGAAGTCGCGTCACTCTCCTCCAACAACGCGCAATTCTGGGCCGGCAACAAGCTGATCTGGTCGGTTATCGCTCGAGTTGATGGAGTCGCGTACAACTTGTTTGGCGTGGCCAGCCCTCCCAGTGGCACCCAGTCAGCCACCGTCACCGAAGCGACTTACACCACCACTCATTCCACCTTCACCGTAACTGCCGGATCGCGCGAATTCACACTAGACTTCTTCTCGCCGGTATCGCCCAAGAACTATCTGCGGCAATCCCTGCCCTTCTCCTATCTCACGGTGACCCTCACTGCTGGAGATTCTGCTTCGGTGCAGGTGTACTCGGATATCGACTCGAGCTGGACCGGCCAGACTAGCGACTCCAGTTGGAGCTACTCCACCAGTGGATCGACGGGTGTCTTTCAGATCGAGACGGTCGGCGCGGCCACCTACTCGCAGAACAGCAACGGCCAAGCTCTGTGGGGCAGCGCCGTCTACGCCACCCGCCCCTCAAACTCCTCTTCGCTCTCCACTGCCTCCGGCCCTTCCCTGAGTGTCCGGGAGTCGTTTGTCAACAATGGCAGCCTCACGGGCAACCATGCCAACTGGAGTTCCACGGGTGTCGTCGCACTCGCGCATGATTTGGGGACGACGGCGGACGAGTCGGCGGTGACTTTTGCGATCGGTCACGTGCGAGAAGAGTCGATCAACTTCTTGGGCGACGCGCAAACGGGCTACTACCGTGCCACTTACTCTGATACGGTGGATGCGGTGGTGCATTTCTTGGATGACTACGACGATGCCTATGCCGAGTCGACCCAGCTGGATAAGTTGATCCAGGATACGGGTACTTCCAGCTATGGGGCCAACTACTCGGACATTCTAGCGCTCTCAGTGCGACAAGTTTACGGAGGCATCGAAGTGACTATTCCGAATGACTCGCTAGACACGAGCGAAACACGCGCTTTCATCAAGGAAATCTCCAGTGATGGCAACATCAACACGGTTGATGTTATATACGCCACGTTCCCGATATTCTACGTATTGAGTCCCGAGATTATCAAGCTGCTCATCGCCCCCGTGTTCGAGTACATGGGCACGAGCGCCTATACCAAGTCGTACGCCGTGCATGAAATCGGTGCCAACTACCCCAACGCGACGGGTCACCCGTCCGATGGCGAGGAGATGCCAATTGAAGAGAGCGGGAACGTCATCTTCCTCACGTACGCCTACCAAGCGGCTACGGGAAACACCGACCTATCTACCACATATTCGGCCCAGCTGAAACAATACGCTGACTATCTCTATCAAAATGGACTATACCCCGCGTCACAGTTGTCTCTCAACGATGCGCTCGGCGCATTGGGCAACCAGACCAACTTGGCCGTCAAGGCCGCCGTGGGCCTGGCTACTTATGGTGCCTTGTCTGGCCAAAGCAACTACACAACCGCCGGCAAAGAATTTGCTGACAAGATCTGGACGGACCGCCTCGGCACGGATGCTGATGGCACCCACTTCTTGATCCAATATGGAACCGACCCGTGGTTCCTCGTTTATAATCACTATCCAGACCTGCTATTCAGCCTGAATGCCTTCCCCGACGAGGCCTATAATGCCACTGCTGATTTCTATCCGACGGTGCGCAGTGCAGCCGGGGTACCCTTGGATGGGGCTATTGGCTGGGGTCAAACGAACTGGCAGTCCTTTGTCGCTGCCACCGTGAGCGGTGATACTCGGGACATTCTAATCAGTGATTTGCATACGTATATATCGAACGGGTTGAATTCGGCTCCCTTCTGCGATCGTTATTGGGTCGAGGATAGCGGGAGTTATGTGGCGGGTCAGGAGAACTCGTTCCGTGCGCGGCCCACGCTGGGTAGTCACTTTGCGCTGGCAGCCCTGTCGGGTGCTAACATTTGGTCTTCTTGAGGCGAATCTTGCATGTTGAAGGGTATTCGGGGTGAAGTTGACTAGAAGTCAGACTATAATACCCGCTTGGGGGTTGACATGGCATACTTTGGGCTTATTTGCATCTGCTTGGCCCTGAATTGTGTCGCATTGCTGCATGCTTTTTGATGTCCACATCTTGGAACAATCTTGCATCTTCATCTTTTTAATCAATCATATATACCCATTTACATCTTACCCGGGCTTGTTGACCCCTGCATCGCTAGTGTTGAGATTTCTCCTCATCTCGTACCCCTCATTTCGGGATATGGTCCAACTTTGGCCGCACGGGTTGCAGAAGTAGATTGAAAACTAACTGCTTACGTATGTCCTCTTGGCACGAAGCTACAACAAGCTTAGCTAGATAGTGGAGGTATCCTTGACCCTCATTCACCGGCCAAGCTTTAGTGTATATAGTCGGGATGTGGGGGCCTCTCCCATGGTCGATGAAGTGGTCCACCAGAGCTTCTCTCATTACTCAGCTGGCCCTGTCAAACAGCTCAACAAGACATTGACAAGACCTTTGCGTCCATCTAGATGCCATATCGTTAAGATTCTCTCCACTTGCTTCCGATGACGATCATTCCCCAGACAATGAATCAGCGGGGGTTCGTTCCCCATGGGGAAAGGGCAATTGCGCGTCCATCACAGCTCTACTTCGACTAACAGCACGAAAAACGAGTATTTAAGAGATAAATGTAGCCTCCTCGCAATCTGTATCCAGAAGAACAGTCTCAGGCACAGTTCACAGTTCGAGCATCCAGGACAATGGTTTCACAGTCACTTCTTCTGCTGTTCCCGGCGCTTGCGCTGGCGTCAATCACCATTGAGGATCCCTCGGATGTGATTAAGCCCAGGTGGTGGACTAAGGACAATGCACTCCTCGCAGATTACGATATTGCGATGATCAGCTCTCAGCCGTCGGACAGTAAGTAACCATCGTTGTCATGGTTGAATTACCACAAGAGTTGTCTCTGACCCGATGTACAGTCCAGGCTACCCACAAGTATGACGGATCTAGCTCCAGTGCTTCTGTCGACCATGTTACCTGGTCTGCTACGGCCAATGATACTAGTGTGCTGCTTGTTGCCAATGGCGCCGAGTTCAATGGCTCGTATATCGACTTTAAGAAGAGTGGATATTCGACCAACCTGAACACGGCCAGTTTCTGGGGATTCAATGCCGCGATCAACGTGGTAAGTATCGAATTGAATTATTGTTGAAAGACAACTTCATCTCTAATAATGATTTTCTGTATTCATAGGCCAATGCATCCACTGCCTACTTCGACAACGTCAATGTCACTGTCCACAACGGAGCCGCTCAGATCTACTCGTATGGAACTGACACTGTTGTCCACGTCAACAACACTTGGCTGTACTCCTCTGGTCCTGTCAGCCACGGTCTTTACGCCTCTGGCAATGGTACAATTATTGGCCACAACCTCCAGGTTTACTCTGGTGGCTACCGCTCGTCTAGCTTCTCCGGTGACTCTCCTGGCGGCTATATCTACGTTTACGACAGCGTTGCCCGCGCAGCTGGCATTGGATCAGCCACCTTCTACTCCCTTGGTCTGATCGATGCCCACAATGTGGTCAGCGTTTCCGAAAAGGGCCCTGTTGTCTTCTCCGATGGTGCTCAAACTACCAACCTGACCAACTGCGATGCCACCGCAGGACTGTTGGGTGGAGTCGTGATTTTCAGCAGCTCCACTCGTAGCAGTGGTGCTGAGCTGAACCTGGTCAACACCAAGTTCACTACCCTCGGCAAGACCGTGCCCGGTCTGTGGTTTGGCAACGTCATCGCCAGTGCGAACTTGAACAACTTCCAGCTCAACACCGACTCTGGTATCCTTGTGGTGGCCAACTACTCCCAGGTCACCCAGGACTTTGACTACTACGCCGACTACGAGGACAACAGCAGCCTGTCCCCCGCCGAGGTAACTTTGACCGTCACCGAGTCCGATCTGGTGGGTGACTTGGTCGCCTACAACAAGAGCGTTATCAGCTGGACTCTCAAAGACTACAGCACCTGGACTGGCTCTGCCTACTCTGGCTACGGAGAGGCGTACTTCGACGTCGCCCTGGACGCTACCAGCAACTGGACTCTGACCCGGGATACCACCCTGCAGAACTTTACCGATACACTGACCAGTCTGTCCAACATTCACAGCAATGGTCACAACATCTACTATAACTCGAGCCTGAATAGCTGGTTGGGTGGTAAGACTGTTCGTCTGTCTGGTGGTGGTGTGGCGAAGCCAATCTCTTCTTCTAACAGCCGTGTCCGTCGCGGGTTCACTGCGGGTCGCCGGCTGTAAAGGACGTTGTGGGACTGGGGAGATTGTAGAGACACAGGTGGTCTGTCAATGAATATAGTCTTGGTAATGTGGAGGATCGGTAAATAATATACAGAACTTGGTAGATGGCACTGCTATTACAATGGACCAATCTGTGATTATCATACAGAAATACCTATCCCAATAAATAAGACGAAAGTGACAGACCCACCTAGGGCTATGAAAGACTGTTTTATCATATTCAGCCGAAAAATAGAATGATTTATATATCGGCTCAGGCTGGGCGTCCCCGTCTTCGCACAGTTTTCTACCGAGATTTCAGCATACATGCCGGTTTGTTTTCTAGCGATATTCTAGAATCTCCGCTTTTCGTAGATTAAGACATGTGCTGGGCAGTTCTGCACCCCGCATTTGGTCTCCTTTCTCCAGTACAGAACCGCCCGTCACGGCCAGCTGGAGAATCAAAGATACCCGTGTCATTCACGTATTCGAATTCGGATTCTCGGATTCTCGTATTCCACGGATATTCTTCCAGGTTCACATACGGAGTACTTACCAACACTAAAATTGATAATACGGGATACGGATACGTCCTTCAGCCCGGCAAAAAGAGCGCATAATAAATCCCGGGGTCAATCCAGTCAACCACTCGCAAGACGGGATGTGGGCCACGACCACTTGGATAGGGGTCTTTAGCCTCAGCGCTAGTCCAGGTTCCCCGCGAAGCTGGAGATTGCTGCTTTGCCCCATGGCACTCCCTTCGGTCGAGCTCCACCCGGAACAACCTCGGCGACTGACTTCTTGAGTAGAATCGATCTTCTGGTACTTAGTTCTACTGGCATTTAGCGTCGATTAGTCACCAAGAATCACTCACGACAGTGCAGAATGACGACCATCATTGCCGAGGCTGGACTATAGGAGGCCCCACGTATGAGTTTCCTGCATGGAATGAAGATGGAGATGTTCTCCACTCAGCAACAAAGTGTACTTCTCGGCATAAGAAACCCCGAATCATTTCGTCGATCTGCGCGACTCGTCGTAGCTCGGATTTTCCGCGTCGACGGGTATATAGACTAGAGGGAAGCTGTAGCATCCAAAGGGTGTCAAGGAGGGGTTTATCACTTTACTCGTTTATCGAGATGTGGACACCTGCTATCAATCTTTTAAGCTTGCTGCTGCTTTGGCAGCCGGTACGAGCAGACACCAATGATCAAACCTCTGCAAAGGTAGATCGGGGGACATTCGATGATCCCGCTGCCCGACTTCGTCCGCGTTTTCGATATTGGTTACCCGACGCTGGGGTCGATATAGAGACAGTACAGGATAATATTAAATCTGCAGGTGAAATTGGAGCCGGTGGAGTGGAGTTTCTCCCTTTTTACAACTATGGTGGTCAATTGACCCCGGAGCCTACGGGTGCGAATTGGACCAAGGATGGATTTGGAACACCTACTTTTCATAAGATGTTCCTAGCTGCGTTAGAGGCCCATAAAGAGGCTGGCTTGAAGATGGACTTTCCTCTTGGACCGAACCAAGGCCAGGGCGTACCGGCTGATCCGAGTGATGAAGGCTTGCAGTGGGATTTGGTATGTGAATGCCGTAGTCATGTGTTTTGGTTGAGATATATTCTGACTCGGAACAACTTCTTAGGAAACATTCTCAGTGGCCGTCCCGAATGGCGAATTCAATGGACAGATTCCCGGATGGGGCGCTGGTGAGCTGGTTGCTTTAGTCTCGGCAGAAGTGCTATCTACCCAGAACATCAGCCTGGATACCAGCAGTACTTCGTCTTTCTTTGGAACAGCTCAAAGTTCATACCTCTCCTTGGTGCTCAAGAATGGCACTCTGGTTGATTGGGCGCAGAATGTGTCCTCGACAGGACATGCTTCTCTCAAGTTCTCCACTGGAGCATCGCATCGCCTGTTTGCCTTCTATCAGTTCTTGAGTCATGAGAAAAACCTTGAATATAGCAGTGGCAACGATGAGACAATCTGGGATAACGGATCGTATGTGGTGGATCACTACAGTGCGCGGGGCGCACAAGTGGTGGCCAAGTTCTGGGAGAAGTACATTCTGCCCGATGGAGTCAAAGACCTATTGATGGAGGTTGGAAACTATGGTAAGACGCCTTCTCAACCAAGTGAGGCTGGTTTTATCACGCATTATACTGATCTATTCTCCACTAGGCTGGGAGGACAGTGTCGAGATCAGATCAAACGTCTCCTGGACCCCTTCGCTTCCCGAAATCTTCCAATCAAAATATGGCTATGACCTCAAGCCATTCTTGCCGCTGGTTATATTCCGGGACAACAATATCAACATACAGAGCAGCAGTCCCGGTGCATTCCACAGTATCCTCGACACTCCCGACCAAGGCCTTGGCTATTTCAATGACTTCCGTGGAGCTCTTGTGGCAGGATACCGCAATTACTTGGAAGAACTAACCAGATGGGTGAACAAAGAGCTCAACCTGCAAATGTCGGCTCAGGTGTCATACAATTTGCCAATGGATATGGAAGCCAATATTCCCTTTGTGAATGCACCTGAATGTGAAAGCCTTCAGTTCGATAGCAGCATTGATGGATACAGGCAGTTCACTGGGCCCGCTAACTTGGCTGGGAAGCGTGTCATCTCTAATGAGATGGGAGCTGTGATGATGAAGGCGTATAATCTTCCGCACAGCGAGCTGTTGGGATACATCAACCGGGCTGTGGCGGGTGGTGTTAATCAGATGGTTCTTCATGGACAGTCATACACTGGTGACTACTATGGCACGACCTGGCCTGGATACACTGCATTTGTGTACTTGTTTTCGGAGCTCTACTCTGACAAACAGCCATCTTGGAGCCATGGCCTCGGAGATGTCCTGAACTATACAGCTCGAGTTCAGTATCTCCAGCAGTCGGGTGTACCACGCACCGACGTTGTGATTTACAATAAGGTCTCTAGTACTGATCCGAGTTTCCCGACACTATACTCGTCAACCGACTTGATCGACGCTGGCTATACATACACATACCTCTCTCCTGACAATTTTGCCTTGCCCCAAGCAAGCGTCAAGGACAATACCCTTGGACCGGATGGTCCCGCATACAAGGCTATGGTCATCACTAGCAACAGCAACCTTACTCTGGATGGTGTGCATTACATTCAGAAGTATGCCCGCGCGGGTTTGCCAGTGATCCTCAGTGGAGGCGACCCCGGTGTCTATGCAACCCACGACAGCAGAGATACACCGGCCATTAAGCAAGCTATCCAAACCTTGAAGCAGTCCCGCAATGTCCACAGCGTATCTGCCGGAAAGGTTGCTGCCAAACTCCAGGCCCTTAGTATCCAGCCACGCGTTGCCCTGCAGACCAATGGGACATGGTATTCGACCTGGAGGGAGGATGCACAGAACGGTATGGATCACGCCTTTGTGTTCTGCGATGGTAATGCCTCGACTGGTACCGTTTCAATCACAAGCAGCAAAGCACCGATCTTTTTGGATCCTTGGACTGGACAAACAAAACCGGTACTCGAATATACTCGTCACGAAAATCAGGTTACCATCCCGCTCAGTTTGGCAGCCAACCAGACAGTCATGATCGGCTTCACCGATAGTGCTTATAAGTCCGTGCAACACGCCAGTCAGCTGCCATCATCTGTCGCAGGATACGACTATTCTCGGGAATCCGGCCTTGTCCTGCACGTCTCTGCAAGTAAGGACAGCCAGTCTCTGGTCCTATCCAACGGCAAACGTGTCAGCCTCGGAAGTACGGACGTACCCGGGTCTTCTACTTTGTCCAACTGGTCCCTTACGGCCGAACACTGGGAAGCACCCTCGAATATCTCCGATGCTGCTACCGTCGCTGTCAAACACAACACAACCCACCAACTCTCCTCGCTAGTCTCTTGGACAGAAATCAGTGCCTTAAGAAACGTCTCCGGTCTCGGCTATTACTCAACCAGCATCACCTGGCCCCCGATTGGTCATGGCTCCGCAGATGGAGCCTACCTCATTCTTCCCGCCATTTCCCACGCGGCACGCGTATATATCAATGGACAGAAAGTTCCTCCAATTGATTTCTCTGCTCCGCGGGTGGACCTCGGTCCGTATCTGAAGAAGGGTTTTAACCAAATCACCGTCGTGGTTCCGACTACTATGTGGAATTACATCCGTAGTATTGCCGGAGACATTCAATCCGCGGATGTCCCGCTTGAGTCTTTCTTCTCCGCTGTTGGGTATACTACTCTTCCTTCTGTCACTGACAACGGCTTGATTGGTACCGTGACGTTGGTGCCGTATGCCAAGGTGCGCCTACAATAGATAGCTAGTGGCCGGCGAGGGTTGTTGAGGGAGGATGGAAAGAAAGATAGTAATGCAGTACCTTGTACCAAATCGCTTTTCTTTGTGAATATGAGCAGATTCTAGAGGCATTCCCAAGCTCTGGTGTTCGATTTATTTGCATTACTGTTGAAAATTCCAGTTCTTTGGGTTCGTCAATTCAGTTACAAGACAAGGCAACGTATCCGATCAAAGTAAATCATGATTTTGAGTCTGATACAGGAATATTGATGTAAGGACTAGTGCTTATGGAGTGAGGATAGTATATCTGTAGCTTCGCTTGCCGAGGCTCTGTTCGTTGAAAAAAAATAGGTTCTGTATATCCTAGGTCGGGTTCATAGCCTTCACCCAAGGTTTCCAGAACTTTTGCATTCCTTCTGGGTAATTCCACCCGCTCCAGTCGGCGTTTGTTAAGCCCCAGGTGTCGGCAACGCCTTGAGCCCCAGATCTTATCCGATAGCTACCAGCGTACGCCCACATGGCCCAACTGATTTTATGAGCCTCGGTGAAGGTTCGAATGCAATCTTGTAGCGTCGCATTGAATAAGCTGGAATCCTGGCCATTTCCAAACTCAGAGAGAATCACTGGTGTCAGCCTTTGCGCAGGTGGACAGTCGCCAGTAAGGCGGCAGCCATCTGCTGGAGGTTGAATTCCCAAAGCATTGAAGCCATTGCGGTAGAAGGCAGCCTCAATAATAGGACACGTCCCAGTATCGATGTCCTCGCTCATGTCATACAGGTGCAGCTCCCAGACAATCTTGTTAGCCCAGGGATAGCTGTCAAGGTCGAAATACACTGGTGGCCGACGGTGTGCGTCTCGAACGGCCGTGCATTTGTAGCATGGCGCAGTCAGCAGGTTCTTCCGAGTGGTCAATGCTGACAAGTCCTCATCGTACTGCATCCCAGACCAAGTTATCAGCAGATCAGGATTGGCGTTGTAAATTGTGTCGGCGCCAGCGCTCATGTTACCAACGAGCGTCATCCAGTTGTAGTCGAGGTTTGTTCGATTCCACGACTCCCGCAGCTCGTTGTGTAATGACATAGAGACGACATTCGAATGTTCCTTCGCCCAGGTTGCCATGTACGCCATGCCACGATGCCACCGGCTGACATCGAAACTCACGTCGTCAAACCATCCATTGCCGTCCGTATGCGAGCAGCACCACTCGGCGGTACTCATCTGAGTATCTGGGTGAATAAAGATACCTTTTTGCAAGGCAAGTCGTGTGATATCCGACCAGATCTCGAGGCGCGTTGTGTTTGAGGTCCACTGCGGGTTCCGCGAAACTATATCACGGGTCACTTTGGTGCCATTAACCTGGCCCAAGCCCTCGATCATGGCCTCCTCGAGAGGAACATCCTTGCCGTTACGGTCGTAGATTTGATCAATCATTTCGACAGCATAGGTTCTATGTTTTTCCAATTTATCAGCCATCAGCTGCCACCGAATGAAAAAGCAGCAATTTCAAGGAATCTCACAATCGTATAAAATTGAATCCAATTCCCGCCATATCGTCTAGGATATCTTCGGCGGATTTGAATTCTAACCCTTCAGGTATCATGGTTTCCACTTCGTAAGATTTTAGTAACGATTGCCTGGTTTTTCTTTGCGATGCCCTGACTTACGGTGTCCAGGCCAGTTGACACCGGCCCATTGGATCACGTCACCCCGAGAATTAACGATATCCCTACCCTTCGTGCTGAAGGGCCCATATGGCCATGAAGCTTTCTGGTCTCCCCTGGGGAAATTCATTTTGTCCAGCTGGGGATTGCCGTTAGCCAACCGCGGTAGATGCACAGCCCCTGCGGAAGCGGAGCAAAGAAGTGGCATTACGCCTAGAAGGCGTTTCACTTTCATCGTTGTGTTGGTTTCGCGGGCCTTCAGAAAATTGATAATGAGATCAATTGTTTGGAAAAGAAATCATAAGACTGAGGGATTGTCTGTCTTTTAATAATATTGATGCGGGGTTCAGTTTGGATTCGTGAAATAATATCGAAATCTTATGGCATAATAGCAGTGCCGATCCCCTCTCCAACACTCGTGGTGTGGGGAAGCCCCCGCCGCGGTTTTCCCGGTTGCAGTATGGCCCAGGGACTGATATGATTAAAAGTTGGCGGGGGTTGGACTCGCGGAGCCGAGTTCCCCGGCATAGTGGAGACTGGCTGGCCCCGTTATTGTTGTAGTCAAGGATGACAAACTTTGCTTCGTCTGTTACAACAGCAAGTGTGTCGAGGCCCGAGTCCATGACGACCGGTAGTTAGAATATAGGCAACTATACGAATCGATTTGAATTTGCTGTTCATCCTTCATTCCATACACAAGGCGGGTTATTCGGCCATTCTATATCTTTGCACGGGCCCAAACTGAACCAGAAGTGGCCACAGGTTCTAAAACCGATAAGGAAAGCTCACTCGGATTTTTGATACTTTATGATGTAAAAACAAAGGGATATGTTTTCAAATAATTTATCTCATCATGTTGTTTCCTATCCACTGCGACATCTGTAACTTTGCGTAATGCAATGCGCCGGAGGCACGAACTTATCCATATTGCAAACATATAAGTAGACATTAGGTCCGTTGGATGATATTTCTTTGACACATCTGAAAAGGAAACACACTACAGAGCTTCATAGACATTGTAGTCAATGTATCCACATATGATAGTTACACGCCCGGGACGTGTTGTGATATAAGGTGGTGACCATAAAAGTGTCACAGACTTTGAGACCAAGCGATCAAATCGAGGCTTGTTGTTCAATAGGCCTGTTGACCAAGAAGTCGCTTCATCATAAATTGATGCAATTGACACATATTCTGGAGTCATTTCCTGCGAATTCGGTATGGCTAATACCGATTGTTTAGGGAGGTAGGCAAGAGCACCAAGTCAGCAAAGTTTCAAAAGTTTTTCAATGGAATCCCTAAATATGAGGTTCCGTGCCTGCGTATTAAAACTTCATTTTGATCGGGTTAACATGCGTGATAGTCTCATTAAATTAATTGGAACCATCTTTATCAGTCGCCCGACCAGTAGGTTGAACTCGCCTTCCGCCGCAGACCAGTGAAACCTTTTGGAGTACGATAAAGTATAGAATCCTGCTATCCAGCAGGCTATACTCTGTATGGTCGGTATAAAGAAGGAAGCGGTAACCACACAATCGAGATATTGCAAATACCTTGGCAATAAATTGATTTAAGATGTAATGTGCTCCCTAATGTCAATTCGAGGGGCAACGGCGATGATCTTGGATTGACGGCAGGATTTCATTGGGCCGCGGGTAACGGATCCGATTAATCTCCTCTTCTCCTTCCCTCAAGATATAGATCCCGGTGTGTCTCCTTTTCTACGGGTTTACCACATAAGAAGTAGGGTAGTAGGAATAAACACAGGTTTGAATTTTATCATTACCCCCACGAACGGCAGCTCCGACCAGGGCTCACGGCTCCTTGTTGATCTTTTTTTATGGTCCTCCAAAAATATCACTCCCAATAGTTGAAAAGGGCACGGCGAACTTTTGGGCTCACTGCCCCAACACCCTGAGCTAGAGATTCTCAACCCGGTAGAATCTCGATTTTGGCCGGTCATAAGATCCACCACACCATCTATGTACGCATTTCCTACATACCTTATAGAAGCACGATTCACCGCAGGATAACGATTTAAATTGATTCAGATTAACCTAACTAATTAGATTAATGGAACTGATATCTAGTTAATATGATCTATAACTTAGTAATCTATAATTTATTAAATCTTTTACTAATCTCAAGACTAATCATTGTGTACCACTACGTTATATTTAGAACATCCCGTTGCCGTTGAAATAAGGTAACAAGGGGTGCAGAATACCTGTCGCTGATAGAACCAGGGCACTTTATCCCAATAGGCCTTCAGCTTTTGGGGATTATTTAAGTATGAGAGCAGATCTTCTTGCGATGGAAGGCTGGCGAAATGAATATAGGGTTCGAAGCAAGGGATTTATTATACGATAGAGCCTAAAATTTTGTTAATGCTAATATGAACCTTCGGTATTTTACATATTTTGTACCTATAGTATGCTACTGGTGCCAGTGAAAATCCGTGTCCTGGAACTTGCGTATTGGTATCAGTGTTGCCGAATTCGCCATACAGTAACTCTTAATCAATATCTCCTTCATGAAACACCCGGGGCTATCCCAGCGCCAGGCTAAGGTAAGTATCAAGGCACTATACACTCCAGAATGTCATACAGCAGTATTTAACCACTACCTATGTGTTCTTATTCTCATTAACTGACAGCGGACATTTACTCCTATATAGCACCAGAGTGATACCAATTCTAGGTCTTTTGCCAAATAAATCCCAGCGATGGTTTATTCGAGTTTATGAAAGCAACCGGAAACGCTAGAATAGGCAAGCTTAAACGCTTACAAGATAGGCAGTAGGGCTCTCCTTCGAGAGATAGTAGTCTACTATAAGAAAGTAATTAACACTAAAATATACGTTAAACGAACCTCACACGTAGGTTACCAGGGCACATTAGGAGCTCTAGGGAGGGAAAACGCAACAATAAGGAAGCGCACCTCTTTCTTCCCTTTATTCACTCAGTATCATTAAAATATTCATAAGCGTCTACGCAGTAGCAAAAATCATCTATATCACAGTGCGCCGTGTAGGCGTATTATTTATATAAGATATTAGCCATATCATCTCCTAGAACTCCTATAGCTAAGCCTTAATAGACCATCTATAGAAGCAGCGATCTATTAGGACCGAGAAGTTGAAGAATTTCGGCACTAGTTATTTAGTCTCTTCCTTAGAAATCATAACGACAAAGTTAGCCAGATCAAACCCCGGCAGCGGTGTATCACCAAACGTAAAGCTTGATGAGCTATGGTCATTCAAATGAAGTCGCTGCTATACCTCATACAGAAACGAGACTCCGGAAGCTGGGCCGATGCAAGGGCCTTGAAGGTCAGTTACTGGGATATCAGGCGAGGTCCTCGATGATAACTCTGTGTCTGGCATTGCGATCTCTGGGACGCTAGGATTGCAAGGAGATGGTGCTCAGCGCTGGTCGGTCGTGACTATCTGATGGTGTCAGAGACACCAGCGTAAGGGGGCAAGAAGGGAAAACTGAGTCAATTGGTCTATCTCTAGAGAGAGCAAGAAGATGAAGAAAAAAGAAGAAGAGAAAGGCTTATATAGGCCTACAAGACAAAGAACAAAGGTCTGGTCTTGGCAATCAGCAAACCTTGCCATGTAGGAACAAACGAGGACTGCACCACCAAATTACTAAGGCCAAGGTCGAGGTCAAGGGGGTCGAGTTATCAAATAGCCTTTCCTAAGATTTAGAGTGATTCTTGGAATTGCCCTGGCCAACGCATACTGGTCACACTAGCTCAAGGTGGCCTGGTTTGCATAGGCAGGTCGAGGCACGAAAGAGAGCAAGGAACAGAGTCGTTGGTAGAGGAGAATAAACCCTCAACAGCTTTGCTGTTGTAAGAGGGAGGGGTGAGATAAATATACTCACGTAATTACTAAACGTCAGACTCGGATACAACTAGAATTCATGACACAATAATTACACCCCTTATGGCCTTTTTATTATCTATTCTCGACCTGCAAGACCGCTCTACATTTGTATAGCTAGTATACAACAGGGTCAAGAAGATATTTACACATATGAGCGTATATAAGAGCCCAAATTTATGGTCAAATGAAGTGTACGACGTATCCAGAAGTACCGGTTTTCTAAGACCCCTCAGTGGACTATTTCATGTACCTCGACGATAGAAAGTGATAAAATCTCCCTCCATAAAGCTAGGTATTCGCGGAATTGTGCCTCAGGCTCGCAGGGCCCTAAGGAACCCTTCCGTATACTGTATTTAGCTAAACCTCAGTATTGATCCCAACCCATTCGCATAACTCTTCCGCTCGCCAATAATTACCCCCTCGCTGATAAATACTATTCCGACTATCGTGCTGACCGGCCCCCGGATTTTATTCAAATCCGATCGTTCTCCACTAATTACTTCCCGCTTTTGATGGGGTCGCACTACATACTGTTTATGAAAAATGCAATCATGCTCTACAGTATCATGTTGTAAGACTAAGACGAGACTCTTCGGGACCGGTACTATAGAACCGGGACCGTTTTTAGTCCATCGCGTATCCGGACTGACTCGCATAGCGGGATCCATAGTGGATGCTTTTACGATGTGAACTCGTTGGGCCCTTCCAGAACGACCGTCCGAGCACCGTACGGGTTGACTTCTGTTTTGAGTATATGTAATATGACGGCCTTGCTTATTACTGGTCCTCAAAGACCTCCGAAGATCTCCAGATCTCCGTTCTCCACTTGTCGCCAATCGTAGACCGTGCATCACCCGACGATTTCATGGATCGTTCCCGCCTACTTTGATGACGGATGTTTCTGGGTATCGGGCATTGCACAACATGCCTGTTGTCGCTGTCATGACTCGCGAGTTTATCCTGTGGGGAATTTACTTCATACCTTATTAGGAAAGAGTCATACTTGTTCTATGATGTGGACATCCGAGGCTAGCTCGGCATATCCGAATACCAAGATTTGCCATTATTCAGGTGGAACAGTCAGCGCAAGGTTAAGTAATTCATTCACCATCACTCGAACAATAACTGATGGGTTACTCACGACAAGAAAATGTGACTTTTTCATAGATTCTACCACACAATCCAGTGGCACTATCCACAACATCTACATGACACCCATACCTCGCGAAATTCTTCGATAACCTTGGCCCCAAAGTTTCGCCCACTTTCGCTCGACCCACCCAATATACGAGATACCTTCGCTTCTTCCCCATATTCTTCTTGTGGCTATTGCTCTAATCGCCACCGGCAGTTAGACACACATCTATGTCCCACGCGGCCGCCTTGGTCCGTGCGAGCCTGATCAAGCCTCGCCCAGATCTGCTTTTCCCGAATGAGGCTACTCGCAAGGGAACGGCCGCGTGGCTCGGTATAGTGAATCGCAACCAGGACCAAAACAAACGGTTTTGGTTAACCAATGATTAGATAGACAAAGCAAATAAGCTAAGACTCGTTTTTAAAAAGAATATCTACTTGTAGGGTAGTTGGCCTGTTGTTTGGGTAAGGATAAACACCAAGTCAAAATCGTGGCAAGGCCGTTTCTTGACGAGTTCGAAGTCCACTCCTCTCAGCCTGGAGTTATATACAGTCTCCTGACACAAAATGCGGAAATACAATAGCGATCAGCAAGAGAATGGGACGCCTGAGCGGAAAGGTTGTAAAACCAGTTAACAAGACCTGTATACGGGGTTCCCCATTCGCCATGCCATCGAAATGTTGCCGGCTGGTCGCTAGGCGTGACAGGGCTGTTGCGAATGGCTCAATCGGGTTGCTTAATAGGGCTACGGGTTGCTAGACCCGAGGATGGTGTGGCGCGTGTCATGACGGTGCCGAGCATTCTAGGATCCTTGGCTAGTTGGTCGTTACGACTGCGTGCTACGTACTACGTACTTCCTAGTTTGGACGGCGTGCTTGGCTTGCACTGGTGGTGGTTTGGCCCCGGTCGCGTGGCGCTTAGATGGGGAGTGTGATCGGTTGAGAATAAGGCCTGTGGAGGATTATGGTCTCGGGAATGGAAGATTATGCTGCAGGGTGCTGTCGGTGACTCGGCGCAAGGCTCGGAGACCGAGGAGGAAGAGAGAGCAGATAGATTGATCGGTAGGGACTGGCATGGAATGCAGAGGGCGTGGGGAAGAGAAATAGAAAGTATGAAGAATTTGATCGTTAGCGCTATGAATCGGGATATAATTTTCAATAATATTGTCGCTAACTAGAGGCGTATTAGGTATAGTACAATCTGCACTTATGTATGGGATGAGGAGTTCTGTGGTTGCATAGGGGAATAAGAGTGTGCATGTATAATGAAGAGAGAGCCACGAGACATGCACTTAACAAGCGATCTAGTACAGTAACTACCTCGCTAGTAAACTCCATAATCTACCGCTATTGTCCACCGCTAGACGCCTCAGTAGAACTATGGAAAGCACTGTACCAAACTATGTACAGTAGCATCTCGCGACATCCACCCATCTTCGACCAGCTCCCAACCAGTCAAAGACTCAAAATCCCTCGTATGCCCCGATCGGGAAAACGCATGGCTCGTCTTGCTTTGCAGCCCCCTCGCCGTGTCCACCAATCACACTGGGAGTAAGGGTCCTCTAGAACCGCTGCAATCAGCAACTGATGGCGGATAGAGTCCGGCCCCACTGGCGCTAAGACTCAATCAGGCAAGACGCGCCACATTTTTTTGTTTCTTTTCTTTTTTGGCCCCGGTCTTGTTCTTTTTCTTTCTTGGGTGCTTCCGACCGATAGGTTTGGAGGGGGTAGTAGAAGGAGAGACTGTGTATATATGGCACTGAACTATATACGATAGTACTGTAATAATCTAACACTCCATACTATGATAGTACGGAGTATAGCATCAAGACCACGAAGTATACTGTACGGAGAACTCTACCGCGGCTGCAGAACGTTCAGAATGTTCGGCCCAAACGCAGTAAGTGGGCCCCAATGATCATCCTGCATTCTCATTCGGACTGCACAGTGTGTACTAAAAGTTCATAATTATGTCATTGAGGGTCACTAGCTCCGTATAGCTGCACCTGCATTTACCGATTCGGGCCATCTAGTGCTTGTCTCTCTGTCTTTGGACTGGTGAGCCTCGATTTCATTATTTTTTATGAATGATTTTTTGGTTGATACTCTTTTTCCCATCTTAGTAGTATCCCCCTTCTATCCATTATTATGACTCCACTCCACTCCATTCAGGATCAGGAGAGATACTGCAGGATGATCGAGGATTAGCCTATGGCCTTGAGTCTGTCCTGTGCAGTATTATATCCCCCAGTCAATGCCCCCACCACTCTAGTCACAAGGGGTGGGCGCAAATGAAGGCGATCTTTACTTTTTCCCTTTATGGTTTCTCGGCAGACTTTTCTATGATTATTTGATCACGAATTATAAGCAGTTTATCGATTCATCTCAGCCTTTCTCTGCAACTCGCACTCATTTCCCGACTTCTCGTAGATCCATCGGGTTCGCCGTCCACCCCCCGGGTAAACCCCCAAGCTTGGGCCTCGCAAATAAACCTAAAGACTTAAAAGTCTATAGCTATCCACTTGATCTCTCTCGTGTGATCTGGGATTAATATTCTCGACTGTTTGCTGTTTTCTCGAAGCGTCCGTCTGAAACGTCCACACCCCCTCTTTCATTCTTCTCCCGTCTTTATCCCCCCTCTTCATCTCTCGTCCCACCCGGCTATACCTATCCATGCTATCCTGGCCGAATAAGCGACCCCGACAGGGTAGTCCGCATCGTGAACCTCAGGTACGTATCCGTCTGCCCGGTTCATCCGAGAAAGTATCAGCCCAAAAACAAGGCCATCTCCAAAAGAGGAAAAACTCCCCCTCAACCCTTCAAAGCTGGCGGAGGATACGCGAAAGCAGCAGCTTCGGTCCCCGGTCCCGTGTGGTTCCGTGGCGTCCATAGCTCCCTGCAGGGCCCCTCCTCTTTTTCTCTTCGGGCTCCTTCACAAGCTCGGGATTTTCCTGGTCTCCTGCTGACGGAGCCCCATTTCTAGTACTCTCAAGCGAGCTGCCCGCATTGTCTCGACTACAAGAGCGTCTGTCGGTATCTGCCGCGCCCTCGCCTGACGCGGTTGGATACCAAGTCTCGCTCGACCTCGTCTATCTCTAGTGCCTCGTCAGCGACCATGTCTGACGTTTCTATTTCTCCGCCGTCGCCAGCGGTGGCATCAAGGATGACGGACCTAGTATCCCCATCAGATCAACCGGTGTCTCAAGAGGAGGGCTCGTCGTTGAATGTACCGGCTCGGTTTCCACCCAAGATGGAGGAGTCGTTGCATTTGCAGGATCTGGAATTGATGATGCATTGGTGTACGACGACATATCGCTCCATGGCCCGCGATCATGCAGCCGAGACTTTGTGGCAGATGGCCATTCCTCAATTATCCTTGCGATTTCCCTCCCTGCGACATGGACTCCTAGCTCTATCAGCCTTGCAACTGGCCGGGGAGAGCTCAAATCCCGAGCGAAAATGGCGATATCTACTCTCGGCGCGCGAGCATCAAACTCATGCCCTGGCAGGTGTGCACTTCGACGACGCCGAGGACCTCACCACAGCGCAATGTAATGCCTCGTTTGCGCTATGCTGCGTGTTGCTGGTCTTTCCATTTGCATATTGTCTAATTGATGACTCGGCCGAGGAGGACGAGGAGGAGCAACCCGAAGTCTTGGATGAATTCCTGGAAGTCTTTGACCTCACACGCTGGCTCGTGGGCGCGATGAGACTCACCATGGACCGAGTCGCCAACGGCGAACTATATCCGCTCGTACGACCGGATCCCACACGGCCCACGATGCCGGATATGTCTCAATTGGTCATTTTGGCGCTGAGACGGCGGAATGCGGTGGAAGCGGAGCGAGATCCGTCTCACGAAAAGGGTGTATATGACCAGGCCCTCGAGCATTTACGGTACTCCCTGGAACAACTCATGAGTGGAGGAGAACCCAAGGATTTCGCTTTTTGCTGGGCATTCCGTATTCCCGTGCGATTCCAGGATTTGGTTCGGGAGCGGCAGCCTTTCGCTTTGGTCGTGCTTGCTCATTACGCTGTGGTCCTGCATCATTTGCACGATTCCTGGTGGATGGGTAATTGGGGCACTCGTATTTTGAAGGAGATTGTCGACTATTTGGACCCTGAGTGGCGCGAGCTGATTAGCTGGCCCATTGACGCGACGGGGTGTTTGTTGCCTGAGGTATGATGTGCTCTTGTCAATCTAGGGAAGCACATTGTGCCGAGGCTATTCAGCGGGCACAAGGAAACCGCCCGATCAGAGAGTCGCGAGGGAGTTGTTGATCAACGACCTTGGATGTTTCCGCTAGGAGATAGGCGCCGGAAATTGGGATAAGTCTATCCCTGGGGAAATGTCAGGACCTCGGTGTGTTGACGACACCAAACGGCGTGTCCTTCCGAAGGAAAGGAAAAAGTAATAATAGGCTGCGACCAGTCATGGCCAGCCCCTGCATTCACATTCGCATTTGCATTCGCGGCCAACCAGACAGAAACCAGGGATTGCGACCATTGTCTATAACGAATCATGAGAGCGTGTCATTAGGATAGAAAAATCCGCTATCGACAGAGAGAGGGAAAGAAGATGGGCTTTTTCTGCACCAAAGTGCTGTGCACCCAGGGAATAAAACTAGAAATTGAAGCCAATCAAAAAAATCTTAAAACGAAATGAAAGCGACCCAGCAGAATCTCGAACGCCCCCCGATAACACCAAGCGCCAGTCTTTGATGGGCATTTCCTTGTACATGGACTCGTGGCCCCAGCCGCGTGTGCGGGAGTCCAGTAAGGCCGTGCAGTAGCGCGAGAAAAGAAAGATAGGCCCAACCAGGAGGGAAAGATAAGGAGAATTGAAAACGCGAAAAAAAGCAACCACCAGATGATAAGATAACCACCCCCGCATTGCCGGAGTAAGTCTTTTGCAACCTCGTCCACTGACCATGTTCTCTACCGTGAGGTTTGAGGCCATGCGGGATACACTGGAAGGTATTCGCTGCTGTTGGAAAATGGAATCGCATGATTGAGTTGATGACCCGGTCGGTATGTGTTTTGCGGGGGGTTATCCAAGGTCATTATCACTGATGTGAAGTCTATCGTTCTAGGAAGATGGCGAGTCCCGGCGCATCTCCTGTCGCTTGTGCTCGATCTCCTTGATGCGATCCTTGGATTGTGTGCGCACCCGGATCAGCTCGGCCTCCTCCTTACGGGCGTGTTCTTCCTCCTCGGGCGAGGGGATGTAGGCATTGGCGGCGCCACCTATGGATTCCAATCGAGTTAGCGACATACTTCCTCACCTCTCGCTGTCCTGTCAGCGCGGGGATAATCCATCACATACCTCGGCCCGTATGGTGGGGGTACTGTTCCCCCCGGAGCGGCGGTGACTCGACATCTTGACTCTCGCGCGCGATCTCTGGACGCTCCGGATCATTCTGCACCATATTCCCCGATCCTCCGCGACCGGTGGTATAGATATCTTGCTTGATCGTCGGCGTGGCAAGATCCTTGGGTGTCTTGGGCGCTGTGGATTTCTGTGGAGGGGCGATATTGCCTACATTGAAAAACGCTGGTCAGCGATCGCTTGTGAAAAAGGATTGTTGGAAATCATACCGGCGCCTCCACGGCCGTACGAGATCACTCGATGAAGAGGGGTACCACTCATAGTGAGAGCCGATGAGATTTGGATTTGAAGATTGTCGCGGGAGTGAGAGAGCCTTTGAATGTGGGGGAGTGCGGCAGATTCTGTTTCCGCCTGGTAAGTCACGTCACGCGGTCGGTCTGATATTTCGAGGAAGGAGGAGTGGACGATCAAAATAATAATGATCTGGGGAAAGATAATTGGAACACGAGGATGATTGTCAGGGGAAGAGAAAGTTTGTCTCCTTTTTTTTTCGCCTTCTCACCTTCTTTTCCCCGTGTTTTCGGTCTCGTGGGACTGAAATCTTTTCCGCGCCAAGCAGGATGAGGTCATGGGACCGGCCGCTTTGGGAATCTCCATCCTTTTCCTCAACCAAAAGGTCTGCTGGATCGTGGGATATCCGGCAATCCCGAACGGGTCAGAAATGACTACCGAGGGTGGATCTATTTCTAATGATTACTGTTGAATTGACAGTCTGTCCTATGGATCTTGCGACACCCGAACAAATAAGGAATTGGTTATGCAGGGAAAGATCGATTGCTTCAGTTATCTAAGCTAAGAATGCAACGCCATCAACAATACAAAGATACACACAAGAGATAAACACAAGCCAATGGATATCATGTTCGCCATGCCTCAAACTCCAATGGAAGCCAAACGGATTCAAATCAAACAGACCAACCACGGACAAAGAAAATAACCATTCAAACAAATGCTAACTCGCCACTACTGGCAACCGGAAGCCCACGAGAACTGGCGCTTCTGAGAGGCGGAGGTTCCAGTCCCATATTCCACGATTGGTTCTCCCTCGCAGCGGCGGCTTTGTGGGGACTAGCTTTGCGAGAAAGATGCTCTTCGAGATCAGATACAACCGAAGAACTCTGCGGGATGCCCGAGTCGGTGTCTGCCCGTAGTTCCTGCGGTGGCTTGGGGTGAGACCCCGATTCTAGGCGTCGAGCACTGCTGAGACTGTTCTCACTCCAGAAGCGTGGAAGAGGAGAGATGACACCGCGGTAATCCTGTGCCAGACTCAACTGACTCTGGCTTTTACCACCGCCCTCGGCGAGAGGGAACAGACCCGGTGGTGGCTGGAGAGGCTGGTATTGGGATATCCGGTTCTCGTCACCATACTCAGACACAGACATGGCTGTGGAATAAGGACGAGCTTGAATAGACTGACGGTATTCGTCGCTGAATGTAGACACGGAGACGGTATCAGCACGGCTGCGTAGACTGCGAGCTCGTTCGAGGGCCCGGAGTCCGGAAGATGTGCGGCGGCTGATTTGAGCAGAGAAAAGCGGGTTCGATGAGTTGCGGTGCTTAGCCCGGCTGTGGACAAAGGCCTCGAGGGAATCAGCTTCGGAGATGATTGACTCGTCGGGCTCAACGGCCCTCAGGGTGACGCGTTTGGTGTTTTCATGGATACCCTCGGCAATGCTGCGCCTGGCACGGGCAGCAGCAGGAGGAGGTCGGGGGAACAAGGGGGTGATATTTCTCATACTGCTGTCATCGCTCATAAATGAAGCCTGGGTGTTTTGCCATGACATACGCACGAAGCCGTGTCCAGGAGGCCCGAAGCCACCAGCACCATGGCCAGCGCCACTCATTCTCACAGGTAGACCAGAGGCGACAGTTGAAATTCCACTTGAACGCTTCGAGTATCGCTTCGAGCGGGATGACTGGATGGATTCACGCTTCATTGCTCGTGGTTGAATGGTCTTTAGAGGCTCTCGGCGGGAACGAGTGCTAGTTCGACGGCGTACACCAGGGCTGCCAGAGAATGAAAGGCGCTGATTCTGCTTTCTGGTGGGCGAATTTTCAACCGGCTTGCCTTCCTCGATGATAGAGTCTCGCAGGGGGACGAATTCTCTGCGCCTTGGTGAACGGGGTGGTGGGCTAGGTTCTGGAATCGCCATCATGCTGTCTTCCGGCTTGTCGAATGATGTAACATTCCAACCAGGGCCGAGTTCAAGCTTGGGGAGGTCAGAAGCAGGTGAGATTGGACTCATCCAGTCATCCGAGTTGTCGTCTTGCGAAGGTCTGCTAGCAGCACCCGGTTGGCAATTGGGAAGATCTGGCCGTGCAGGACGTGGTGGGGGAACCTTGCCTTCCAATGGATCTTGTCCGTCCTCCACCGTCGGTGACTTTCTCCGACGACGCCAGCAGCAGAAAAGGATAATGCAGCTCAAAATGACAGCCACGGGGATGATTACCGAAATTGCAATAATTCCGGCCTTTTGGTGTGAGGGGTCAGAAGGATCGGAGGAATTAGAACCGCTGGTAGTATTGTCTGACGGCTCAACAACATCGATGTCAAAGTCTTGTCGGTTCTCAGTTGACCCTTGGGATGCCTTTAGATGAATAGTGAATGTCTCCGGCTGAATGTCTGACGGCACCTGTCCAGAGAGCGTCTTGTTGGCAGAACTATAAGTAAGCCATGAGAGATCATCGCCAAGATCGACGTCAAGTTGCACCGAATCATCGGTCAAAATTGACTGGTTGAAGACGAATGTAAAGTCCTCGCCGATGGTCGCCTTGCAGCCTTGAACGGTCTTCAAGAAAAGCTCCATGAATTCTAGCCGAACCATCAATTTCGCTTCATCGTGATAGGTGTCCGTCACAGTGATGGTGATATTCTGGTTCACGGCGGTGTTTGGTGGGGTGCCAATCAGAGAGACTGAATTCTTGTCGAGGCTCAACCAGTCCGGAAGTGCAGCGTCAATCGCGATCAGGTCCTTGCTCGCGATGGGCGAGCTGTCCATGGTAATGAGACTCTCGAAGCCAGGGCTATTAAATGTCTCGCCTCTCGTAAGATTGTAGGTTCGCACAGTCTCATTGAATGCTAGGATATGCGGCCCGATAGCGAGCTGAAAGGTCTGATTCACCGCACTGAAGCCTGCTACGTCCGACGCAACCAGCTGGAAGGTGAAATCTTGAGGACTAGAGCCAGGAAAAGCCGGGGTGTTTCCAGAGAACTTGAGGGTTGACGCATCAAAGCCAATCCATGAAGGCAGGGGAGCATTATTGGGCGATGTTCCGTAGTAGATCGTTGACGGGTGGGTGTTGTGGAAGGTACTTGGATCGAATTCGATGGAGAATGGTTGACCAGGGTGGATGTATAGTGTTGCTGGATATGAAACTGGTCCTACAGTCTGCAGTTGCGATACAAGAGATGTACCCACCGTCGGACCTTGGTCTGAGGTGACGATCAGAGTCACATCCATGCTGTCGGAGTCCGAACCATTTGACGCGACCAGTTCGAAAGCCGTGGAACCGCTATCCTGTGAATCTGGCGTTCCTGAGAGGGTACGGCTGGCACTGTCGACTTCGAGCCATGACGGTGCGTTCTTGAGTGAATACTCGGTGTCAGAATCAGTGTTGGAAAAGGTGCTGGCAGCAAACACGAATCTGAAAGGTTGAGAGACGCGTGCGACGGGTGGTAGTTGGGAGTTGACAGGGTAATTGGCGGCTATAGCTGCTGCATGAACTATGGCTGCCAGCGCCAGCGTGATGACAAGGCAAAGAGCCATCGTTGGTCGACCCAGTCCGGATCACGTCCGGAGACTGTGTGTCTTGTGAATAACACAGCTAGCACGACCACGATGGATTAGGATTGAAGCACGACAGCGACACACCACAATGCCTCAATCAGACGGATGGAGAGATGGAAAAAAGAACCAGAGTGAACTGAAGGAGAGAGAAAGTGCAAGATGAGGAGGTGGCTCGTCCATGATCTCCCTCCAGGACTCCGCTCCCTGGCACTCGTGCCAAAGGGACAAGGAGTTATTCAGGGCGTGCCTAGTAAAAGCCATGCCTGGATATGCTAAGCGTCACCGAAGTATGTAACAGAGTGACAGCCGAGAATGAGAGAGAGCAAGCGCGTCGGGACTAAGATCGAGGCTCACGTTTTGCCGGAGCCCCGGTCCCAAGCAAGGGATGTCCAAGCTCCTTTGCTAGCCAAGGAGCATCGACAATGCCCATTCACACAGATGCTTTCTAGCCCCTCGTAAGATTTCCATAGAAAGGGGCCAATTAGACTGCAAGTAATTGTCCCTTCGGGGATGAAGAAAAGGCACGCCCCATAGTAGTATGAGGCCGTCGGATGGCCGCAGGTGGCTTCTTTGGCTTTAACCGTCACGTTCTAAATCAAGGACCATTCTGATGCCCGTTCGTCCAGGGGCGTAGTAATCAGAGATCACTTCGCGCTCCTCGAATCCACATCGGCGATACAAAGCCCGCGCAGGCTCCCTGGCCTGGTCCACCCATAGCTGGATGTACTGGCAGCCCTCCTTTCGCAGGCGCTCTTGAATGTAGGACATGAGCTCTTGCCCAACGCCCTGGCGACGATAAGTCTCGATCACGCAGACCTTGTGCAAGAGGGCGACTCCCTTTTGGCGCACGTACACTGCGTAGGCCACGAGATCCTTTCGCGTAGTACCCTCGACGCGGGTCGAGTATACAACCCTCGTGTTGGGCTTTTTCCTCCATAGTTCTTCCCCAAATGCGAATGCCTCATTGGTTGGAAATGTCTTTTTCTCAACGCGTGATATTTGGGTCAGAATCTCCAGTGCTTCGTTCCTCTTCAAGGAATGGATGTCCGAATGGGCAAGTGTGGGGGTCATTCTTCTCTGTTCCACGCGCCGTGATCACGAATGTGATCCCAGCTTATCGGGGGTTGATTCAAACCGGTTTGCGTTGCAATTTCTAGCTTTTAGCTTCCCCGGCTCTTCAAATTTGCCCAGGGAGTTAGCGATCTGAGCGAGGATTGGAACACCTGAATCGGAGGTGATGGAGAGCTGGTCGACAGGGTTTGTTCGCGGAGATAAGATCGTTGAGGCCTCTGATTTCAGGCACCAACTCAATCTTCAGAAACACCACCTTAAGTAGACCATTGCTCACATATATCCCATGGCGAATATGGCTATGTAGCTACTAAAAAAACCATTCATTCAAATGGCAACTGATATTGCCCATGCTTCAGTCACTCAAACACGGTTTCTTTATATTTCAGTCGTATTGACCTTGGGTATACAATTCTTGAGCCTGTTCCACAACAGGTACTTCGACAAGTAGAGCATTCACATGGAAAGACGGATGTCAAAATGGTACAGGACGCGCCACAGAATATCTCAAAGATAGCTGCCCTTTGAAAAACGCGACCCGTAATCGCTCGCTTTGTTGACCATCTCCCGCCGTTGCGCACTTGTAATCTTTGACGCAACAGCCATATCCTTCTCCCGATCAAAAGCACGAGCACTCGGATCGTCTTCTTCCTCTTTCCTTGCAGCTTGCTCTTTCTCGAGGCGCTTGTTATTTCCCGTTTGATCCTATAAGGATATTCGATTAGCACATGAAACTCGGAGACAGCGCGCTAGCAGCATTCCTCATTATAGCAACACTTACATTGAATTTCTTAATTTTCTCTTCCATTTCCTTAGCTCGGGCCGCATCCTTCGCATTTGAAGGACGCTGCTCTGCGCGGTTTGGCGCGGCATTAACACCCATCACTTCATCCTGTAGTCGTCGCATCCTCTCCTCCGGAGTTTCAACCCATGTGGCATCCACCTGTTTCGAGCCCGGTGCTCGGGCAGACTTTCCAGTCTGGAATTTCCGATTCCGTAGTTGCGTCGGATCAATCTTAGAGGCCCAGTCGCTCGAGCTGGGTGGGTGGAGCATCCATTGGTCGCGCTGAGTCTCCTTCTTCTGGGCTTCTGATATTTGGGGAGCAGACTGGACGGTTGTGTGAGTAGGTTGTGCGCCGCCGAGGGAGGGTGGAAGGCCGGGTCCGAAGTCGTCGTCGCTGTCGCTATCACTGTCGCTACCGGATTGGGAGTCTTTGTTGCTCTCGTCGGGGGTCTCTGAAGGCTGGGGAGGGGGCAACGACGGGCCAATTACTCTTTTCTTGAGTGATGGCTCATCACCGTCTGCCTCGGCATCGAGCTTGCGTTTCTCGGCGGGTTCCATGGTGGTGTAATGGGGAAGAGATGAGGTCGTGTCAGGGAGGAAGGTCGGCAGAAAAGAAAAGCGCGATAAGATATGCTCCTCGATATGCGGTTGATGTCATTGCGCCTGACCGCCTGCTTGACATAGCTATCGTACACTCGCCTACAGCTTCACCAAGACAGATTCTAAGGTCATATAGCTACCAAAAGCTGTCATTGTTTCATGATCATTGGGTCTGTCACAATTTTGGCTATATTTGAATTCCTGTAACATGCTTGATATCTGATTTCCATTTATGAACTCAGTCCGCGCGATCTACAGAGCTGACTAAGCCATAAATCTTTCACCCATCACGAACCCCACTAGAAATCAAAAAGTGCTGGAGCATTCACTGATCAGCAACGGATCCTCGCCCTGTCGATACCTCAATCTCCTCTGGCCCATCATGGTCTACTATTTCACATCTAACGCGGTCTCCCCCTCCGCGTTCATATACGTCGGCAAGGACAAGTTTGAGAGTATGATATCGATTGACTAGTTGCTTCAAGGATGAGCTCCTAACAGTTCTGCCTAGATGAGGATCTGATCAAGTTTGGATTGGACCACGATGTCTGGTAAGTGTGCCTTGAGGGAATATCATTCCATCATTTGTTGCCGGGCTAACACTGCTGTACGATAGGGTCGGTCTTCATACCCCCGGTCTTACAACGGCCCTCCTAGATCACTAATATCCGGCACAGTTCCACGTTGATAACCTATCGAGTGCGCACGTCTATCTTCGTCTCCGCGATGGCGAGACGTGGGACAATATCCCCGAGCCCCTCCTCGAGGACTGCGCCCAACTGACGAAAGCGAACTCGATCGACGGTCCGTCCCCGAATGTCTCTTCCATATACCAACAAGCTACGCATGTCTGACCAATTGTGCAGGAAACAAAAAGGACAACATCACCATTATCTACACACCCTGGTCAAACCTCCAAAAAGACGGTTCCATGGCTACCGGCCAGGTCTCCTTCCACAACCAAAAGCTAGTCAAGAAAGTCCTAGTCCGAGTCCGCGAGAACCCCATCGTCAACCGGCTGAACAAGACCCGCGTCGAGAAATTCCCCGATCTCCGCGCCGAAAAAGAAGAATTCCTGAAGAAGAAGCGACACGACGAGCGCAAGTTGCGAGAGCAGCAGCAAACTCGGGATAAGCAGGAGAAGCGTGAGCGTGAGCAACTCAAGTGGCAGAAGGACCACGCGTACGACGACATGTTTAGCGCGGAGAATATGGAGGCTAGCAGCAACCAGGATCGAGATCCGGACTTTTTGGACGATTTTATGTGATGAACCTTTGTCGCATTTTGCATCTCTACGACAATAGCACATGAAGATATGAACTCCCCCCGCGTTTCTCATTCGAAACTACCCCCTAGGTTAAAAAGTATGTAGATATGAGATCCCATTGACAAGATTTCTACACCTCCCTCATTTCTGTCTATTTCAGCGTCACTCTTCCCAGATCACACTGCTCAGTCCTTCGGCAGTGCCCACGGTACCGGGCTCGCCTACTTGCAGCATGGCAATCTCCTCGCCCAAGTTACCGGTTTCCCGGTCCCGACGCACAATTGCCACCGTCGAGGTGGCCTGGTTTCCAATGGCGACCAGATCACCGGCGCGGTTGATCGTGAAGGTGCGCGGTACTTTGCCATAAGACGAGGTCTTATTCCGAAGCATCATGGCCCCAGAGCGTGGCGACCGGTCCAAAGTGACGATACTATCGTTCGGGGCGAAGCCCTGATCCGTGCGAATGGAGACGTAGAGCACATTACCGACCATCCGGATCTCGGCTGGGGTCGCACCCTTGGGCATCGTGCTGTTGGTATACGGCACCATGGTCTGGGTCTTTTGGAAAGAGAGACATCCGGATCGTGCATAGGCCACCTCAAACACGTCCACCGTGCCGCCAATCTCGTTGGCGAGGTACATCATCGTCTTGCCGACGGCGGCAACCTGGCGCCAGTCCTCTGGCCGACCGTCCTGGCTACCGGTGAAATGCGTATCGTTGTTGATTCCGTCCGTCCAGAACACACCGTGGCGAGGACCACTTCCGAATGTGATGTTGACTGGTGGGCATTGCTGTAGCTTGCCGGACCCACTGTCGATGGAGTATACGCGCAGCAAGTCAGCGCCCAGATCGGGACTTACAACAAAGGACCCGGTTGGGTCGAGGAAGACCTCGTGCGGGTGAGGCGCGTCTTGTTGCGCGACGGCACCCTTGTGGGTCATGTTGAAGTGGAATCCCTGGACAGCGGGCTCATCGTCGCGTAGAGGGAGGGCAAAAGTTGAGATTGCAGAGCCCTCGCTGTGGAATTGTTAGTTTGAGGTCAATAGAATAACCAGATGCGCTTCGGGCAACTTCAACAATCGAGGAATAAAGACTTACTAATGAGCAATGGCAAGATATTTGCCACCCTTCCCATCCTCATAAATAACACTATTCACTCCGCCCCCAACGGTATTCGTCTTCGCAATTTGATGCAATTTCCCATTCTTCCCGGCATGATACGCCCATAGGGAACCATGCGTACTGGGATCCGCCGTGCCATCCTCGTCGGAGCAGTAAACAGTGCGCGTCTCGGGATCGAATGTCAACCAGCTCGGCATTGAGCCGCAGGTCTTGGCCGTGTCTGTAAGGGACAGATCATGGCCATTGAAGGCGAGTGAGTAGACATTGCCGTTGTAGTGGGTGGCCCAGAGGCGGGCGGATGCGCGTGGGGGTGTTTGTTGTAGGGATGCGCTTGCGACAGTGAGGAGGCACAACAGGGGCGCGTGTGTGAGGCGCATTGTGGCGGTGGCTTGGGATGTAGATTTGTGTCTAATTCATTCGCAGGTGCGAATTGGAAATGTTTTGGTATAACGATAGCGTGTTAGTGAGGGGAAGCACTGAGTAGAAGTAGAAGTCGAGGTAAATGTCCACAGTGGAGTAACAAGTCACGAAAGTACTGTACATCAACGGGGGTTTCAAAACACGCGGGATGATCAATTGCAACCCTGATAAATTCTCCAGGGTCTCAGCCACGGTCAACAGGGTCCGGCATCATACCCAGTGACGAGTGCATCGGCCATGTTTCGTGGATAATTGGAATGGATCGACGTGGGGGGTTGCCCAAGTAGTCCCGTTGGAGTGGAGTCGGCGTGGGAGGGGGTTGGGATTTGGGAGTCAAGGGGGAGAACGGGATGACGATGGGGTAGTTGTTAGGATGATACTTTCTATAAGAGATACCTAGAATACTGGGTCCTTGTATGCTATTCGAAGAGTTGGCCAAAGCGATGGATTGTTTTGTTGTGATAATGGAAAAAAGTAGAAGTATAGAACTAACGACTACCACTTTCCCCGACTTTCAGTGCTACCTTGCCACTTCTGCAGATGACAGTAGCATCTGGCTTTGGTTTCACATTAAAGGCACCTGTATAGAGATTATGGGCAATGATGATACGCCGATGATACACCGATGACCTTGGGAGGTGTAGTTTATGCTTCTTCAGGTTGCTATTACCTTTAGACTTTAGTATATCAGGTACGCACTTTCTCTTCAAAAGGTGATCTGCAAGCCGGGATCGCTCCACTGAACCACCGTGCGCTCGATTGTTTGACCGAGATATAGATCCAGTTGACCTATGGAAAGTAACACTGATATGCTATGAATCTCAGATTTACAAGACGGCTATAACAGCCTATCCGATAGGTTCATTTCCCGAATAAATCTAATAATGTCTAGAACATATCTAGCATCACCAATCAAGTTTACTCCACCGTCAAAAGTTGCTCAGTGAACCCCCCAATCTGTCTCGCAGTATCATGAAGATGAATCTCCAAAATCCAATGCCTCTTAAACCCATCCGGCCCAACACAATTCATACTCTTGTCATTCCCCTTGGTGATATACAACGTCGTCTTATCCTTTGGAATACGCTCATGCGGGAAATCCCCAACGATATGCCCAGCAATATGAGCCCCAAACTCAAACCCATGCTCCCGCGCCACATCACAAGAGATATCATATAACTCCTCGCCCGTCATATCAGGATTCTCGTGGAATTTGCCCTTGACAATTTCCCAGATCGGCTGGAGCGCATCGCGCAGTCTTTTCTTGTGCGGATCGTCTCCTAGTACGAATGTACGCCCGAAATCGGCTTCCCATTCTTCGAAGACGGGGCCCAGATCCACGATTAGAATGTCGTCTTCTTGGATGACTCGATCGGGTGGGTTGTCGGCGTATGGTCGAAGGGTGTTTTCTCCGCTTCGAACGACTCGTTTGTGCCAATGGGTTCGGACGCCGTAGCGTTCGGCGCCTAGTTTGTGGATTTCATCGCTTAATGCCTTTTCGCTGATTCCAGGTCGGACTAGGCTTGTTTCGATTTCTTGGAAAAGAGCGATGGCTTTGGTTTGGGCGTCTAGCAGGAATGCTGCTCGTTCGGCTTCCTTTGCTTCCATTGTGCGGGGATTATACTGGACGAATTGATGAAGATGTTCAGAGGATGAGTGATTGTTGGAATCAGCGGGGAAGGGCGTCGTCACCTCGGCTGACCAATTGGGGTGGATACGATGGTAAACATTGAAATCTCCCCGCTGGGGGGTTATCTGACTCATTTGTTGGAGAAGTGGGGGAGTACTACAGTAAGCCTTGGCTTGTGGATATGGGCCAGCGAGTTCTGAACTCTCCTACGTGTTGACCTATATTCGATACTACCCTTGTATTATGTTTCAAAGCCAGCATACCCTTTTCAGATACTCAGCATATTAAGGTGATTTTGTGCCCATTGATTATCTACAAAAGTACTATCAAGGTATTTACGGCAAGTACAAGCAGTTGTCAATGCATCTGATACTTATTGAAAAGACACAATAATATAAATCCATAGCTACAATACAATCAACTCCTCTCTATCCAACCACCTTCAACCCAAAAAGCCAATCACAAATACACATAACAAAAAGGCCCAGCAGTCGTACTCATAAGATCCCTCATCGCAATCGACCCCCGTTTAACATACCCCACATGAACCCGAGTATCAAGCGTAGTATTAGGCGAAACCGGCTCATTCAAAAAAGTCCCCGTCCCCGAAATCGCAAACTCCCGGTTCCCCAAGTCACCATACTGCCAAATCCACCATAGCCGATCAATCATCGCGTGATGATTCCAGAATCCCGGATCGCCTGGGTTCGCATCCGTGTCACGGCCTGGATCACCTCCCATTGCTAGATGGCCCCCGCCGTGGATACCGAGGAGTCCACTGCCCGGTGCGCCTTGGGTGTTTGTCTCAAAGTCCCAGATATCAGTGCTATTTTGGATCACTGCCAGGATGGTTGTGTAGTTGTTATTATCGTGCAGGATGGAGGTGGTTAGGTCTCGCTTTAGGCAGCGGGGGTTGTAGTCGAGTGGATTGGACATTCGGGATACATTGCCCCCCGGGACGTAGAGGAATGAGGGGCCCATGTTGACGGTGTAGTTTACGAAGGGCCCGCTGGTTACGCAGCCTCCTCCTGTGCCGGTTGGGAGGGTGAGGGGTGGGATATCGGTGTGTCCTAGGGGGATTCGGAGATCTGTTTGGTTTGGGATGAATTCGCCGTTACCGGAGAGAGATGTATCGCTACCGTCGAAGAGGGGGGATTCTTCCATTGAGTTTATGTCGGAGCCCCAGTTCCAGTAGCTAGAGGAGATTGTTATTCGAGATGTGTCCAAATGTGAAGAACAAAGAAGACGTACGGGAGATCACCAGTGTAGCCACATTCATTACGGAGAGCTTCCTCGAATGTGTATATGAAATAGCGATGCCATGCTAGGAAGGTGCCCTATACATGATCAGCATAACTGATTAATGTACTGCCTGGAGCTTACAAGACTTACCGTTCGGTGAATATGCCAAGTCTGATTGATATGTGTAGCCACAAAGTCATCATATCTTGTCTTGGCTCCAGCTGCAAGGGCAGAAGGTGTCTGCGGAGGCAATTGTTGTAGACACAAGATTGAGTCAATATAGGCCCTTCTTTCCCCGTGTGTAAGAGATCTCCAGTCTCGACGAACTCTGAGGGTTTCCAGGGTACAACTTCCTCGGTCATGGCTCAGAATACGATTCTCGAGACCGTACAGCGTCAAGTCAAGAGCAGATCGACCCAGTCTGCTCATCTGATATAACGCCACATCCGTAGAAGAGATGCTATCTTTCGTTAAAGCCATGGGCATAGCCCAGGCCCGTGAGACCAGACATAGTAAGAAGCTGATCAATAGAGCATCCATAAGGAAGACTCGAGTACCGCCTGTGGCGCGCATGAATGTCTGATAGCAATGTCCACGCAAGCACTTCTCATGACAACGTGAACATCAGACGACAAACATGAAAATCTGAAGTATATGTATATAAATCCGCCTTCAGCCAAAATAGCCTCCCATTCACTCGGATATCCGGCTGAGCGGCTCGTATACCGTCTTACTCCACTTTCATCCATCAGTGGTTCGGGGTGTTCCCAAATTCCAATTATATACGAGTCTTACATTAGACTCGTGATACCCGAAGCCTCGTGGCTGAACTTTGGGCACCATCTCATGCAGGGGTTCGGCTGCTTCCGAGGACGAATGACAGGATCCAGATGGATGGATGGGTGTCAGGTATCGCGTTTAGAAGAGATCAGTTCCCTGCAGGGCCCGATCGATTGGGAGGCCTCGATGTAACCTGTAACCAACGGAGATAGGTGCTCGGGGCCAAACCTTTGGGATTGGATTATTTGCCTGATACGTTGGTAATAGTGTTGGTCAGCGGCTTAGGATGAGGTTGTTTCATCGATGGTCTGATGTTCATCAGATGGGATGATTGAACCATGTGGCGTTTGGCAAATATTACTCTATTGTTATTTCATTGACTCAGATTCTACAATACCCCTTCGGACGTTGCTGATGACCTCAAAATCCGAGCCAGTCTAGTCTGTTCTGGTTTCAGGTCTATCATATTAGTCAATATCATTACGAACGATAGAGTCTTATCGCAGCATTTACTCTGATCCTGGCCGGACGGTTTTCTCGCTATGCTGTGCACAAACGGGCGTTCTCGCCGATTACAAGCTGGAGTGCATCTCCATTGAGTAATTCTTGCCGATGGCTTCAAGTCAACATCCCATAGGACCCGTTTTATGCATTTCGTTTCCCCCGTGCAACTCTAAATATCACATGTCCAATTGCCGCTCATTTATGTCTATACCACAGTGCCATCTACAGAAACCATCCTAGCCAGTCTTCTCAACGCAGCTAATCCTTACTGCTGCTCCACGGCAAGCAAATCCGAGAGTTTATCAAGGTATGCTAGAGGCCGAACAGGACCCGAGACAAAGTCTTCCTTAGAGCTCACACCCGTGAGAACACCCAGTGTACCACCGAGGTTACCCTCCAAACCAAAGCGGATATCGGTATTGGCCCGGTCACCAACCATGCACGCGCGGCTGCGATCGAACTTGAATTTACCCTCAATCGCATCCATCATTGCCTGGCTGGGTTTTCCAAGTGCAACGGGATCCTGTCCAAGCATCATAATGAGAGGAGCACTCATAGATCCCGCACCGGGGAAGAGAGTCCCGGAATTAGGCAGCGTGGAATCAATGTTCGTTGCGAGGAAGATAGCACCCCGCTTCACGTAGTGGTATGCCAGAGCAAGCTTGAGATAGTTTAGATGGAAATCCAAACCGACGAGGACGACACCGACTTCTGGGTCCAGAAGGGAAGTATCGCCTGCCGCGACACGCTTGTAGTCCTCGGGCTCGATGTCGCGACGGTATGCGGGGTCGGTTCCACCGATGAAAGGGACGTTCTCGGAGCGGAGTTCTTGTTCAATGCCAGATTCACCGATCACGTAGACTTTGCGCTTGTTCTCGGGGAGTTGTAGGATGCGGGAAATGTATATCGAGGAGCTGTATGAAGACGAGAAGATCTCTTCCTATTCGGTTGTCAGTCGATTCGATAGCCTCTTCTGGTAGTCTCGTCCGAACTTACAACAGTGCTTGGAATTCCGAGGCCCTCTAGCTTCTTGCGATAATCGGCGCGCGACTTGGTGCTGTTATTCGTGACGAAGACAACTTGCTTGCCTGGACGAGAGTTAGATCCTTTATTTCTCGTCGCATCGCTCGTGGGAATTCCGCACCATTCTTTCGTAGCAATTCTAGGGTTTCGACTGTGCCGGGGAAGCAGTGGTCTCCAGACCATAGGACACCTAGATCCTAGGTTAGCGCTGGGCGATTTTTGTCGCGCAGTGTAGTTTCAAAATGCGGCGCAACATTGCGGAGGGAAGGCCGAGATCGCAAGGGCTGGAATATGTACGGACCATCGCAGTCGAACAGGAAGACCTAGAAGAAGAGAGAAATCAGTTAGTCAGATATATCACGAGAAAATCAACTGGGAATAACCAACATCAAACTTATCCAAGAACTCGCGCAGACCGGCCTGGTTTCCGGTCAAGTAGAGCGGGGTGTTGGTGGACGCGGGGTGTTCTTGAGTCATGGCGATGCGCGGGGAGGAATGAAACACTGCGCAAACGGTGGAAACGGGGAAGATGAAGGAGGGTGAAAGGACAAGGAGTCAGGAAGATTGCGCAGGTTGAAAGTTCCCCCGAGTCAGAGTGGAAAAACAGAGAAATTAGAAAGGATCCTGTACAACCCGACGGTCGACGGTCACCCGAAGCGACTCGCCGGTGACTCGCCGACCGCGTGGGGCCCGGGGAGGCGGAAGTACCTAAATGGTCCTGCCGCCATAGTAATCTTACAGTTTTCTTATGACGATCTATTACTGAAGTCTCTGTCAAGAAAGAAAAAGTTGATGTAAGAAATGCAGAGTGATGTATCATTTCCCTGATAGCCATTAGGCCAGAGTATCGAATACAAGAATAACCATGTCCTTGCCAAAACACTACCGTCCATTGCCATTTCAACGCCCTCAAGTGGAGGAATTGAACTCCAGTAAACAAGATAAGAACATACTATATACCAATATACCAAGAACCACACTTGCATTACATTAGGATAAGACATTGCGCCGCCGGACCCGGGTCCTTTTATGCCGCCAGATCGCCAAAGCCGCCGTTAATGCCGAAGAATTGGAACCTACATTAGATTAAATCAGTTAGCTAAATCGTTCGGATAGGCACGAAGGCAGAGGTGAAAACTTACCAGTCTTCCACGTTTAAGGTCGTCGGCGCAGTCGGCCCACTGCGCGAGCTGCTGCTCCAGTTGTCGTCCTGGCTAGCAGCGTCCAGCGCCGCTCCGCTCATAGTCCCATCCAGTCCCTGCATGGGCCAGGGCTGGCCTTCCATGCCAAACATCTGCTGAGGTCCTCCAGGCCCCATAGGCATGCCCCCCGGGACACCTGACATCATTTGTGGGCTGCCTTGGGAAACAGACATGCTGCGCCCAGGTACCGGCTGCTGTGGAGTTCCCATCATGGGTCGTTGACTAATATTAGGAGGATGCAGTTGAGATGGGATGTGCAATTGGGGATCGACCGTCCCCGGAGGGGGTGGTGAGGTCAGCTCCGGGAAGATAGCCGTGCCGTCGGGGAACAGCTGGTCCGGTTGGAAATTCTCCCATAGCGACGGTGAAAGATTGGGGGAGTTACGGGTCACCAGGAAGAAGTCGGGCGGCGTGGCAGGTAGAGAGAACTGCGCGTTGAAGGGTGTAGTTGGTCGAGTATTGCCTCGCGACTGGGCGGGTCCTATAATTGGATCTTGACGATGGTTCGGTGATACCTGACCCAGAGGCGGCTGGTTCAACTCACGCGACGGCGTCACGGCTGGAGTCTGTGGGCGCGACCGTTCATACGAGACTGGGGGTGTGGGTCCACCGTTAGGCAGACCCAGATCCATGTCATCAAACTTCCGCTTCGGAGGGTCTGGCCTCGAAGCCTTTGCAGGGGCAGAGCTGTCGTGTGGCCGACGTTGGTGTCGCTTTCCAGCAGCCTTCTGCAGTCGTTCTTCAAGGACCTTGTTACCCAGGATGGATTCGAATAAAGTGTTGACCATCTTGGCCACAAGCCAGACCTTAGAGACATCCTTCAGGGCCGACATGCACACATTGATGCGTTCTTGACAGGTCGCGACAATGGAGGGAACCGAGGAACGCATTTGGTAGACGTGCATGATGAGGGCGGAGAACAAGCTGTAGACACTGTACGTAGCTGTTAGCACTAGATCCCAATGAGGGGGATGGGTTGAAACGGATGAGGTGAAACAAGGGAAACCCAGAGTAATAGGTCAGCATACATGAAGGCAGGGGTGTAGCGAATCTCGTTGTGGGCCTGAAGGCCTTCGATAATGGACGTCATCATGCCGGCGGCCTGGAAGGCAATTGTCCGTGATGGATAAGCCATCTCCTCTACCCGGTAGCTATTGGGCGCTGAGGAGGCAGGCGGCATGTGAGCTCGATGTAACAGACAGAGTGTGGTACTATAGAGCTGTCAGTCCTGAGTGCAGTATTAGTGCTTTATGCTGGAGAGACTCACTAGTAGTTGGAGTGGAGAAGAGCCGCCCAGAAGTGATGACGGGATCGCTGCCAGCAGACTTCCTTGGGGCAGTTCTGCAGCCAGTCGGCCAAGGCCATATCCGAATGTGTGAGATCCATCGCATTCATGCGCCGTGACTTTGATGCGACAGAGTATTGTTGTGACAGCACAAGACCCATGATCTCGCAGAGCTTGACGTATTGCAGGAAGAATTGTACGTGTACTGGTTCGGGCGGGTATTCGGCCGGAATGTCGAGCTCATCCTCGATGAAGTCGTCCTCGGTCACCATCTCGACGTCGGAATCGTCAGTATTGATACCAATCGGACGTCCCAGTGCCACGGCAACTGAGCGGTCGCGAGTGAAGAGCGTCCACCAGATTCGTTTCCATAGTCGCTTATCAGGCTTGTTGAGCTGCGAGGTCTCGACACTGTTCTGATGTTAGACAAAATCAGAGGATTAAGGGAAATAGCTGATCATACCTGCGATGCATACCCGAACCTTGGGCAACGACCATCGCGACCCGGGTCCAGTAGAATACGTTCTTCGTGACATCTATGACATGAAAAGGTCAGAATGCACGCCCAACTCCATAATTCAGTATCTCAAACTCACCTTCAGGCCCCTCCCAATACCAACCGAGAAGTACCAAAGCCTGAACGATGGTCACCCGATCGTCTTCGTAGTTGGCATCGTAGAGCGCCTTGGCCCGCTTGTAGAAGGTCATAGCCGCTGGGGTCGTCGAGCCGTTGGCATCCATGAGCTGTGGGTTCGTGCACACGCGAGAGCCAGCTAGAAGAATGGCCTGCAACAAGAGGAGCGACGGTGGGTTCTTGGGATCACGGTAATGGCGCATGAAACGACTCCGGTTGATAATAGGAACGATAGGGGCAACCCATTTGAAGTAGGCATCGACCAGTTCATCACACAGAGGCTTCGGGGGAAGTAAGAAGGCACCACGCTGGTGGAGTATATCAATCTCGAGATTGTCTAGGTCGGTCAACCGCGCCCGCGAGCCACGGATGTTCGGGGGCAGAGGGTAGTGCACGACGTCGGTGGTGCCATGGCGATCTTGGACCAAGAGGGACAGATTGGATGATTCACCCAGATATGCGACCCGGCCAGCCTCTTTGATCGGTGCACGAGCGAACTTTGGCTTCATGAATTGAGCATAGGCATTGTCGGTGGAGGCTTGCTGTGCAGCCTCCGACTCCGTCAGGGAAGTGATGGGCATGCCCTGATTGGCCATGCGGTCTTTGCGATATCCAAAGGATGCATCTTCTTGATCTTCCGAGCTCGAATCTCGTGTCTTTAGATCGGACGAGTCCTGGTTGATAGGGTCATCGGGGTTATTAGGTCGAAACTGAGCGACTGCCGCATCGACCAGCGACGAGGCAGTGTTGTGAGGTGGCGGGCTGTCACCATAGCGACTCTCGTCCTTGGCCTTGGTGGAGTTCTTCTTGCGTTTGGGGGTAGGGATCTTGCATTCGATGGAGAAGGCGACACAGTTGGTGCAGGGAACTCCTAGACTGGCAGCGTCACAGCGGACCTGATTCAGGTGGGTTAGATTAGCGACAGCGAGGTGACAAGATGGTGCGACCGGGGCAAAAAGCTTACCTTGCGAGAGTGACAGGTCTATACCGAGATAAAACCCTTATCGTTAGCAATGGTGATAACTTTAAAGGCAATCGTGGGGGGGATTATGGAGCCGGTGCGCCATATTGAGGGTAGACCAGTTCGACATGGCGATAAGAGCTGCGTGGCCAAAGGGCCGAGGCACACCACCAGCCGAGGCTTTTCCCCCCTCTCAACCGCACCAAATCGCGTCTCCCCCTCGAAACAAAAGGGACGTACCTCGCACGCGCGGGATGCACGTTGTCTAAGAGTTAGATCGATCACGTTAGCATGCATCTATAAAGACTGGATTCCTTCGCAAAATAAATCCGGGACATCTCTCCGGGGGGCCATGGAAGGTGAAAACCCTGTCGATGGCTCTCCCCTCTTCTTCCTTTCCCCCTCAAGGCTGCCACCAGCGCGACCACAGTCGCATTATCCCACCAACGCACACACAAAGCATATAAGGGCTCGGACTGTCGCTCACCTTCTGAAGCTGAGCGGTTGACCTCCAGGTCCATTGCGCACCGTGATTCCGGATGTTCCTGTCGAACCCGCTGCGCTGGGTGCCGGACTGCCATGGTCGGGCGCGGGCGGTTCAGTATGAGATTCGATCGTAGTACTCATTGCGCGCGGTCCCTCCACGGGGAGAACTCGATCGAGGGATAGTCGAAGAGTCTCGGAGGTGGGGAGGCGAGGGTAGGAAGAGGATGGACGGCGATGGCGGTGGATTCAAAGGTGGTACTGGTGGTAATGGGTGGTCGGTGCGGTGATAATGTAATAAGGACGGCTAGGAAGAGCACGGAGTATGGGGAAAGGGAGAGGGGGGTTTGTGAATTCTCGCGAACGAGCGAGCCACGCGATCAATCCTGGACGGTGACTGGGGAAAGGAAGAAAAAGTACCGGAAGTAATAGGAAGAGGGGGGAAGAAGAACGAGGTGGTTGGATTGAGGGTTGGAAATCGAGTTGGTCGATGGAGCGGAGGATCATTCTGGGGGAGCGTTGTAAAAGGGGTGTGGCAATAATTCCATATCCACGGGTCGATCCTAACGGGGACGCCCCATATGAAATGTGCTCATTAGTGTACGGCACGACTAAGTGGAATTGTCTAGATCATCTATGAAGGGGTCATCTTGATCCAGTCGTATTGCTTACTTGGATATATTGCTTTTGGTACTAATATATACGAACGAACGAGTTCGTTCCTAACTCTTCCGGACTTTGTGTGTTTCTGGTGGCCACACTCAATTTCGCGCGGCCGGGAGGGGGGAATCAGCGTGATTGTGACTGGCTGACGGCCCACGAGACTTTGGGGTAAAACCCACACCAGCAGAGAGAAGTAGAATGAGGGTCTTGGAAATAGCATGGACAATAGTCGAGGCAGTTCTCACCATTTCTACGCCATGGACTATACTTGCGGTAGATTGGGGTTCTCTACGATATTACGGAGTACGGAGTATATCTCAGCTAAATGATCCTCGTGGTGGATCATCGCCATTCACCAGTTCATCGCCTTCAATGAGGACCCTCCGCGTCGGCCCAAGCTACTCAATAAATCTACGACTGGTTGGTGGCCAAAGCCCATACTCCAGTCGATCCCGCTTGAAGACCAATAAGCAGGGACGACGCTCCGCCGTCATCACTGTCAAAGGCCATGAAGGATCAAGGCACAAGGATATGGCTGGAGTGGAGGTGGCCCCCGCGCACCGCTAGCGAGCAAGCCACCACACCACCTCCTGTCATCAATCTGGGGAGATGGCTCATGTGTTGGTTCATGCGATCAGCCTCGGATTCACGCGCTCTGCTGGTCGTAGAGGAGGAGCTCGTCGCATAGAATCCGGGCATAGCTAGATAGCGCAAACTCGACATCCTCAATTCCTCAAGTCTTAACGACCGACTCGGGTAGACAGCACGTCAGAGGCTCAATGATCCGGCCGCCAGGGAGAGATCGACAGAGGGGAAGGCAAAGAAGAAGGGGCGATAGTGGAGGGTGACCCAAATCTTGGACGAGGAGATCGCCAGGGAGGCTCCCGAGGAGAAAGCTCAAAGCCGAGTCGAATTGTTAAGCACAAGGTTTCCTTTTGAAACGGTGCACCTAAAAAGTGGAGGGGACGAGGTGGTCCATGGAAGAAGGTCAGGCACGGCCGAAATACCCTAAAACAGGCGGATCCGAAAGGTTGCGCCCCAGTGCTGGGGCCACCGCGTGGAAATATCACCCCCGGTTCAGCCTCTTCTTGTTTCTGAAGCCTCGAAGCAAGCCGTCGGGTCGGAGGAATTTCAAGGCCGTTGCAGCAAATGGTGGGTTATGAACTTTGATGGTATGCAGGACAGCGCGGAGAATTCTTTCCCGTTTGGGTGGTTTCTGCCGGCTCAGACCGCGATCACGTGAGGGAATATCACGGGATAGACTCGCTCGTCATAGTCAATACTGTCGTAGTAAAATAGCATAGCTTTGACAGAAATAATAGTTAACAAGAGCGTGATGATTAAATGTGCCATATAGTACAAGTGTATGGCTGAAATTAAAAATCATCTCCAATTATGCTCGCGAGTACTAGACACTAAAGTACTCTAGTACCATATGTCTGTCCTCTTCACCCAAGTCCAGGATGGGGCGCAAAGTAAACTGCAGAACCCACCCGTCCGTCAACTTAGAGCTTGCCTAAACCTCAACACGCATCTCGACATAGCACCGATCTGAATACACTAGTCACATCATGTGTCTCCACGCTAACCCCCCGGCCCGGGGTCTATCAATCGATTCAAATCTCCGGATAAAATGACTGCCATTCGCCGACATCCCTACTACCTTATCCTACATCGATAGATCGGTCGCGCCCACATGCCTGGCCCACTAGTGGAAACTCTCCTCGGCCCCTCTCCCCAGCGAGCCCTCCATCATGGCCTCAAAACATACAGCACGTCCTCTGGCAGCTCCCTGGTGACATTTTCAACCAAAAATGGAGTTTCAAGACATCGTTGCCGGTGGTAGCTTTGTTAGCTATGCGCTGCGACACCCTCTGGAGGGTCTGTCAAGCTTTGGGCCGACCCTGAGCGAGGCGACATTCGGGCTGTTGGGTTCGTCATTCAATCCAGAGCGCGATATTTCTGGAATTGAGGGCAAGACAATTTTTGTGACTGGTGGTACTGATCTACCCCATACCTTGATCATTCTTGGGGTAGCTGGGCTAACGATATCCTTCGTATCTCACAGGCAATGCAGGCATTGGCCGAGAGACGGTCCTTCAACTTGCAAAGCACCGCCCAGCTCGCATATACCTCGCCGCGCGCACAGAAAGCAAAGCACAACAAGCCATCGCATCGATACAGGAGCAACTACCATCCCCAGTTGACATCCGACACATCCCACTCGACCTATCCTCCTTCAAGTCGATCCGCGCAGCAGCAGCCAAGTTCCAAGCTGATGGCGACCGGCTCGATATCCTGATTCTAAATGCAGGTACTATGGGCAATCCGCCCGTCAAGACAGAAGATGGCTTTGAGATTCAATTCGGCACCAACCACGTCGGCCATTTCTTGCTCACAAAGCTGCTCTTGCCCACCCTGAAGAAAACAGCTACCGATCTCCAGGCAAGCGGGACAACACCCGACGTTCGTGTCATAACCTTGTCCTCCGTGGGACATGTGACGAGTCCCAACACGCTGGAGGGAATGACATCCACGCCTGAGCTTTTGGCCGGCAGCACCTGGGTTCGATACGGAGCGTCAAAGGCAGCTAATATCCTCTTTGCCTCGGAACTTGCTCGACGACATCCGGAGCTGCTTTCTGTAGCTGTGCATCCCGGCGCGGTGAATAGTGATCTGTACGCGCACGCGAAGTCGATTAATGCCGTTATTAAGCAGTCGCTCAGTCTGACTACGTCTTGTTTCTTCCGCAATATTCCCAGCGGGGCCTTTAATTCTCTCTGGGCTGCGGGTACTGCGAGGGAAAAATTAGTTAATGGCGCTTATTACACCCCCGTTGGGTATCGTAGTAACGGGACTGCATTCGTTCAGGATGCTGATGTTGCCCGGGGACTTTGGGAATGGACCGAGGCTCAGATTGCTGAACGAGAGTGATTGCGCTTGGGAAATACGCAAGCTGATGTACATTACATCCTTGCTGCTCATGGGAACATGAGATGTTGAAAAGCCATGTACAATTGACTTGAAAGTAAATATAATGAACCATACTGTTTTTCACGGTTGACCTTCCTCCATGTCAGGCTTGACAACCGCTGTAAGAAGAAAAACCGTGTGCACTCTTCAAATAGATCAGGCCTTCCCACCGTGTACCGTCCTATCTTTACCCTTTATCGTATATCCCATCGACCTTTCTCCCGTCAACATCTACCTAGGGTATCCAATGCCACCACTCTTGAACAAGCTCACGGGCAAGTCCATCACGAATGCCATCCATCACATCCTCGCAGTTGACAAGTTTCCACTGATGGTGTTACTTATCTTCGATGGGAATGTGGATAGATACGAGGTTTCTGTATTTGCCCAGGCTCTAGAGTCCATCGTTGCCGACAGTGTATGTACTGTGTTTTGGGTTTGGCATTGGCACATGATGCTTTGCGGACTACCCATTCGCTGAGAAAGTTCTTGCAGACTATTGTTCTCTGGAATAGAGATGGGAACTCCATTTTCGAGCCCTGTCGATACTGAGTCGGGGGAGACAAGAACGATGATTTTGGATTGCGGAGATGCGTTGCTTAGCACTTGGAGGATCTGGGGTAATGCATTTTCTAGGACAGGAGACCGGAGTTAGGTTTCCCACGCAATGAATTAGATCGTAGCTAGGGAATTGTAGATTGCTCACCGGTTACAGCATAGTATAATGGCTGGTTATCTGGAGTCGTGAAGCTCCCGGGGGAATGTGGGCTACCAGTGCTTGATATATCTGGCATCGTTTGCTCCTCGTTATTCCCTAGGAATGTTTGATTTGTCCCGTCGCCCATTAGGTCATAAAGGGTAGAAGTCAAATATGTCGTGTCCGTTGGAGAGGGATCAATATTCCAAAGCGACGTCGAGTCTCCAGATAGAAAAGCAGATGACTGTACTGCAGCGCCGGGCCAGGGCGATGTCATGGAGAAGCCGTAGGAAGATCCAAAGTTGGATACAGGCTCTGTCGACGGCATGGAACCATCGGAAGGGCTATGACCCAATATATTGTCTTGCTGGAATGCATATCGGTTTCCTAACAGAGGCGGAGGAGAGTAAGCCTGATCCCAGCCGTTGAGGGCGGCGGCCGCTCGGAGTTCGTTGGCGATGACCCGTTCTTGGAGCTTGGCGATGCGATCTCGAATCTTGCGGCCTGTTATGATAGGGGCTTAGTGAATGTCATCACAGCGTTGGTAATATCTTACGGTGGTTTCTTTGCGAGAGGCGGTTCTGCAGCCGCCGTCTCTCCAGGGGATCTTGTTTCTGGTCTGATGCCCCGTCCCCCTCTCGAGACTCGGCGCTTTTCTTCACTCTCATGATGACTTGGATATGGTCTTATTATCTGTGGCTGTTTCTTTCTAACGTTCAAGGCGCTCAATCTTACATGAGATTTCAGAGGTTATTTGGATGAATTGCATCGCTGACCGGTCAGTCCGCATGGGGCACGCCGATATTTCAAGATTTATAGAGCCGAGGCTTGCAAAAGCAGAGTGATGACAGCGGAGCCAATATGGAACGGTACTTGCAATCTCACTGTCACACATATGTGTGCAACGGATCCCCGGGGGCTGCCAAAAGATTCGGTCTGAAAGTAACGGGGCAGTGTCAAAGAACCTTAACCTTCAAATGAGGCTTACGATATGATATGCCTCCAAGACTTTTGTCTACTGAAATCTAAGCTGTGTAATACCAAGAACCATAACACTTCATCAAACTCAGCTAGCTCACCGTTCTTCCTGAAGAAGGCACTGAATGAGTATACCTTGTTTCCCATCACAACTCGACGATACTACATCCGTTCCACAAGAAAGAGACATCAGATCTCTGCTTCGGGATCATCCATACAACGAAAAACAATTCATCACCCTAGATCCCCGGTTACCAGCGGTCTGGGGCAAAGCGTAACACGCGGAGCCACCCTATCGAAGAGGGTTTGGCATGGTTTGAGTGTTCAGCGGCACTTGGGGCCGCTTATCGTGGCGAGAAACCGGCAAGATTGTACAACCTCCGGTCTTAGGTTCATTCTCAGCTTGGGCTTTTGGCTAATCATGTGTCGTGTGAGGACATCACGGTGAGCCCAAGGGTGAGTCTGACCACCATGCTACTTGTGACGAAGGGGAGATTGTCGGTGTGTAAAGTGACGTTTGGTCTTGAGGCTCCTCGAGCGTTCCTTTGAAGGGGATGGTACTTGGTATGGGCTATTCTAGGCGATTCTAGGCGGTTTTGCGGGAATATAATGCTTCTAAGGGAAAACGGTCACTGTCCAGCGCTATCATCCACTAGATTTGCTCTATGGGTTATGATCTCAAGCATTAGGGCAGCACTTTCTCTATTCAACCGAGGAAGAAACAATGCGCCTCGGAGGTTGATAATAGAGGCTCGCTGTTCAGGGAGATGTATGGATGATGACAAGATTGAATATGCTCCGTATAGACAGTCGCCAAGATCCCAAGAGACCGAGGTCAACAACTCTTCACTATCCCAAGCCAGATGAAGCGGTGTGATCATAGTCGCCGTCAAGGGCTAAACAAATCTGTGCAGACACATACTCTCTGTCCAACGTTTGCCTTAGTTGGACTCTGAACGAACAACCTCGCTCCTGACTGGGGAGACCTGGAATACTTCGATGGTACACCCAGTCCTTGTGCTTGTCAGCGCCATGTGGATCATCCTTGGGAACCAATCTTGCCATCTGTAATTGGTTATTGGGAGATTTCAATATGAGGATGGTCTACGGACAGACCGGTTTTATTTTTCTGTGGCTGGGAGTCAAAAAAAACCCGGCACGTTGTGTGACCTGTGAAGCGGTTATTGATGGAAGGTATTTTTAGGTTACGACTCAAGGACAGACGTATAGAGATCAATCACCAGAGGAATGTTCACTGTAAAAAGGTTCACATGATCTGTTGGAGAACTACTTGATTTGACTTTTACAAAGGGAAGGTTCGGTCGAATATGATAATTGTAGAAACAGAGTAAAATGTTAGGGGCAAACCTTATGTGAGGTCATTGTCAATAAGCAGCTGTCATGTCAGAGTAGCCTCAACCTCCTCCTTCCCGTTTTGAACGATTTGCATATTTCCAACGTCCAGATATTCAAGCCTTTTTTCGACACTTGCCTCTACCTCCAACAACCAATCATCTGCAAGGGCTTGCGGCATTTCAACGGCCAAACACTGCCAGCCTCGCCGGCCTACTGGCTCCAATCGAAATCACCTAGGAGCCCCGCCAACACCATAATAAGCACACTGTAAGCCGCCAAGAGTCAGGCCAGTGCGAGATTTGGATCTCAGGCAACTGAATTTGGGACCCCAGAGACCGCCTTCGTTTTTTGCCCTTTGGTGTAACCCGCCCTTCCGATAGTGAGCAGAAGGACACATTTCTCAGCAAAACAAACTCGTCAAAGACAGTCGTTGCACTTTAACTCTTTCCAACTGTCTCCTAGCCCTTAGAAACGCCTCGCAATATGGGCGGCTTCCTACATACGGTTGGGAGTCTTCTTCCCTACCATCTTCTCTCCTATGGTGCCCTCTTAGGGACGGAGGTATACCAGGTTAGTAATCCGCCCTTCGATGGCTTGGGGATCACCCTCTCATATGAGTAGCGTTGCGAGTAACTGACTATGACGCGTCAATACCAGAGCTTTGTCAATACCAAGCTTTGTTTCCAGGCACTCCCGATGCGCGAGTTCCTTGCATTGCAGAAGCGTCTATTCCCTGTGTACTTCAAATGCCAGGTTTGCTTGGCTGCTCTGACAGCCGCGACACATCCACCTTATAGCATTTTGTCCTTAGCTCGGGATCCATTGGTTGCAGTCCCACTTGTGGTGGTTCTCATCACTGGGTCTTTGAACTGGTTTGTATTTGGACCGCGGACTACTACGGCGTCACTCGTCCGACGGGCTCTTGGTGGTGAGTATTCAATCTTGAATAAGTCGAATATGCCGGTGCTGACATATAGAGATAGAAAGTGAGGATAAGGCGGCAGACCCGAGCGAAGGGAAACTTCACCGGGCTAACCGAGATTTCGCTCGCAATCATGCCATGTCGATTCATCTCAATGCCATTGCTTTGGTTGCCACGATTTGGTATGGATTTTCGCTGTCATCGAGCCTTTTGCCGGAGGGTTGAAATTTGAACACCCAGGGGAGATGAAGGAGAGATAGAAAGCAGAGTCCTGGGTGCAATGAGAACAATTCAACGATAGTCCTAGGAGTGAATCAATTTCCCACGGACGTAGGCAAGATAACCTTGAACACGGGGCATCTCCGAGGACTCGGACCCCCGCAGACTCGGCCGATGCTCATTGCAGCCTCAGGCCCCGCGCTTTCTGCTGGGCATGTGAGCAGCTTTTGCCGGTCCACAGTCGGGGTCTTTCTGACTCCGACGAGGAACAATTATTAAATCAATTTACTTATAGAGGTGTAGTAGTGGCTATGCATTGATTAGTACCATCTTACTTATTTTGCTGGTTTTTTTGTAATTAGGTACGCTAAAACAGGCTTAACTCCAGTGATAGTAATACACCCGAAGTATAGCCCATCCGAATAGCCCGAATCATATTAGCAAAACCCCCCCCCCTGCAACTACACCGTACCCTCTAACATTCAAAGTTTTTTATTTAGCTTTATGCTTCAAAATGCCACCAGGAAAAAACTCCGGAGATCCAAAAAACCCAAATCCAGCCGGTGGATAGCAGCGGCAACTGGATTTCCCGTTGGGCCCGCCTCTCGGGCCAGCAATGCCCCGAGGCCTCGGGGTTTCCCCTCGTCGCTCGTCTCTCCCGATTGAAAAAGGTCGTGACACCCCACGAATTCCCCGGATTCTTTCTTTCTTCCCCTATTCACTCCTGCTTCTTCTCTTGAGATATTTGCTGTCTGCATTGTTTCTCATTTGTATAGCATATCACCATGGGTTCTATCTCTGAATTCCCCCGCATCAAGGCCATCCGTACCTTCGTCATTGACGGAGTCGGCTCTGGCGGTGATTATCACAATGTATGTGAAGATTCGGATTTCAAGAACAGGAGAGGATTGACGTGCTAACTCCCTTCATAGGTCAAGGGCGGTCACTGGCTGATCGACAGCAACATTTCCACTCCTATGACCAAGTGGGCAGAGTACCGTGGCTCGCGGACATCCTGGGGTATCAACGTGTTGGGCTCATTCTGCGTCGAGATTGAGGCTACCGATGGAACAAAGGGCTTCGCAACTGGTTTCGGTGGTCCTCCTGCCTGCTGGCTCACCCACCAGCACTTTGAACGCTTCCTGATTGGCGCTGGTATGTTCTTACTTTCAACCGTCGTGGATGAACATGATCACGGCTAACATCCTTTCTAACAGACCCCCGCGATACGAACAACCTGTTTGAGAAGATGTACCGGGCTTCCATGTTCTACGGCCGCAAGGGTCTGCCAGTCGCCGTTATCTCAGTCATTGATTTGGCGCTGTGGGATCTGCAGGGCAAGATTCGCAACGAGCCCGTCTACAAGCTCATTGGAGGTGCCACTCGCGAGCGTCTGCACTTCTACTGCACTGGACCCCAGCCCGCCTCCGCCAAGGGTATGGGCTTCATCGGTGCCAAGGTCGCTTTGCCCCACGGCCCTGATGAGGGCACTGAGGGTCTGCTTAAGAACGTCGAGTACCTGCGTCTGCAGCGCGCCAGCGTTGGACCCGACTTCCCTCTCCGTGTTGACTGCTACATGTCCCTGACTGTCCCATACACCATTCAGCTGGTTAAGCGCTGCGAGGCTCTGGGTCTGGATATTGACTGGTGGGAGGAGTGCTTGTCCCCCGATGACTTTGACGGCCACGCTCTGCTGAAGCGTGCCCACCCGACCGTCAAGTTCACCACCGGTGAGCACGAGTACTCTCGCTACGGCTTCCGCAAGTTGGTCGAGGGCCGTAACTTGGATATCCTCCAGCCCGACGTGATGTGGGTTGGTGGTATGACCGAACTCCTCAAGGTCTCTGCTCTCGCCGCTGCCTACGACATCCCCGTTGTCCCCCACGCCTCCGGTCCTTACTCCTACCACTTCGTCGTCTCCCAATCCAACAGCCCCTTCCAGGAATACTTGGCCAACTCTGCCGATGGCCACACCGTGGAACCCGTCTTCGGCAACCTCTTCCTCAACGAGCCCATCCCCGTCAACGGATACCTCGACGTCTCCGTTTTGGATAAGCCTGGATTCGGTCTAGAGCTTAACCCCAATGCCCCTCTGATCCCAGCTTCTGCTCTTCTTACTCCTGCGCCTCAAAAGAGCCTGCGTGCTCCGGAGGACCAGGCTCCTAACGGCTCGGTTGAGGGACATTAAGCTTTGATTCGGCGTATAAATATTTTTGCAGCTTTTCATGTTTCTTTTTTTTCACGTCTTTTACCTCCATGATGACCCATTCCTATCTTGCACGATGATGTTCTGTACATAAATAGCATCGACTATTCAATCCAATAGACTGAAATGTTCCAAGGATGACATAACTTGTTCTCAACCTTAGGCTGTAGAGGGTAACTCCTCGTAGCTGAATAGCATTCGTCCTCGTATTCCGTCACTTTAGCCGAATACGATTGGATGACTTGGTCACGCAGCAAATTCCACCAAACGCATCGAGTCTCGTCGGTCCTATCGGGTGAATGTCCTTCGGAAATCCCGTTCACTCGGTACGTGTTGCCCCTCGTGGGGAAACCCGAACCCCACACTCGGTCGAACATCATCGCGAGGCCCGAAATCTTATCGGCTGAGCGAAATGGACAACCCTCCGTAGTCTTTGGCGGGGTCTTTTTTCCTCCAACCTACCACGAAGGAAGTCTCAGCATTTTATTTCTAAAAGCATTGGTTCTCAATTGATAGAACGCACAACTTGGATTTTTGGTGACAACGTCGGTTGAAAGCACAAACTACACATACGACAATATGCCTCTCCCTCAATTACTCGTGGGCAAGGTTGCGGCCATCACGGGTGGTCTGACCGGTATTGGACGGGTATGAAGGCCGTGATCCCAGTTGAAGCACTGGAGTCTCTTCCTGGGAGTAAAGAAACTAACCTCTTGCTCCTTTTCTAGGCAATCGCCCTGGAATACCTCCGCCATGGCGCCAACGTCGCCATCAGCCGCCTAGGTGGCCCTAAGGAGGACGACCTGTTGGAAGCTCTTCGCAAGGAGGTGAACGAGATCGAAGAAGGCGCCGATAAGACGAGATTCATTACCGTTACTGGAGACATCTCACAGCCCGAGACGGGCAAGGAATTCGTCGCCAAGACGGTCGAGGCATTTGGCCGCTTGGACGTGTTCGTCAGCAATGCTGGAGTTTGCCAATTCGCCGATTTCCTGGAGTGAGTCTGGACCCGGTAAAAAGTATCAACAACAGCAAGGCTAATAACTAAATCGCAGACTCGAACCCTCCCTCCTCAACCACACCGTCTCCACCAACCTCTCCGGCGCATTCTTCGCCACCCAAGCCGCAGCCCGGCAAATGGCCCTCGCCCAGTCTCCACCCGGAGGCTCTATCATCGGTATTAGCTCGATCTCCGCGCTCGTCGGCGGCGGCGAACAGACACACTATACCCCCACCAAGGCCGGTGTCCTGAGTTTGATGCAGTCGTGTGCAGTCGCACTGGGCAAATACGGAATCCGTTGCAATGCCCTCCTCCCCGGAACTATTCGCACGCAATTGAATGATGCTGATTTGGCGGATCCCGAGAAGAGGACGTATATGGAGGGTCGGATTCCTCTTGGACGATTGGGTCAGCCGCCAGACTTGGCGGGGCCGGCTGTGTTTTTGGCTTGTGAGGAGTTGAGTAATTATGTGGTAAGTTTTGCTTTTCGCTTTCTATTGGTTGGGTTATACTAATAGGGTTTTCTTGGGATAGACTGGTGCGCAGATTCTGGTTGATGGTGGACTTTTTGTTAACCTTCAGTAAGCATATAATGGGGACAAATTAAATGAATGCATTATGTCGTCGGATTTCATGAATATATACAATTTCCCTGCAGATATGGACAATTTCTCCTCTGTTTCACATGTCGTGCCTAGTCACGTTATCGGGTTGTTTGAAAGCGCATTCTCCCTGCCAATTGGATGTGACATCTTATTATGCGTAGGTGGCCTGATGTATTGAAGACCATTTCGACAAAGCCTCCTCTCCGCAGTAGTTGAAAGTGGGCAGTCCAGAACCACCTGCATAGGCCAGTAGAGCGTGTTATTGGCAAATTTGATACTCGACTGTCCATTTGGATCTATTTCACCAAAGTTGAACCTGACCGTGAAACAGATGATGTTGATGAGATATCGTATTCGCCTTTCAATCTGTAGGCGATATTCAAGGGGTTGGGCTTCCAACGGCCAGCCGTGGAGCCCAGGATCGAGATCCTCGATAGTGTCAATGCATGTCAGCAGTTGCTGATAAAATATGATTTGTGTCGAATGGGTGATTGCTAGGAATATTGTTGTCCACGGGTCGGGACACACATTATCGGGATCTTCGCTGTGTTCCGGATGATATTGTCGTTTCCAGTGGCCTGGAATACATGAATGCCATGCCTCAATGTCCTCAATAAGAAGTTCAGAATGGTCAATCAGGGAGTATAGAGGTATGATTGACTCTGGGTTTGCGTCCCGAGTCCGGGCGGAATTGCAGACTGCGGTTGCTGATTGACAGAATCTGGATATCTTGCTATTCACGATCCCAGCCCGAAACACATTGCAAGGCTTTGGCAGCGTCTGAATGAAAGATGGTAACTCTGCATATTCAAAGTGGTTTGACTTGAGTGCTTGGAGTTGCTGAAAGATGTTAGCTATACAATCCATGATGGAGGTTGATGAGATTATTCACTTACGGTTTGCATCATCATCCAGCCAATCAGTTGTCGTCCATACTTGCCTTGCAATTGTTGTTTGCCTCTCAGTCTCAGTAGATGAAAGACACCCGACATGTGAGGATCAGGTATTCCGATCTCATCTTTGGTTAAACTCTGATACTCGATTAGCTGGTGTTTGCGGAAGGGGGCAGGTTCTGAACTAAACCTACATAAAATATGCTCAGGAGCAGACATGCTGTCAGGATCTCATCTTTGATGACTGAATCCTGCGACTCTAGTGCAGTCTTCAGCAGGCCTAGAGAAATCCCATGGTTTTTCCGGGCTTGAATGTCAAGCCTATGTGACTTGTGTTCGCGGGACAGTGTTAGATATGACACACTCAGAATTGCATGTTTCAAACAGGCATCCTCGCTTCGTTCCCGGTAAAGGTTAGGAAGGAATGCCAAATATCCTTCACAAGGTGATCGATGAACGGGCAAGACGATCCGGTTCATAAAACTGCAGAGAGATTGCCAGTCTGCGGATAATGGAATAGCGGCGACGGGCCTCTCCTGATGCGCTATAGGCTGGGTATGCACTATAGGCTGTGATTCATCAGAGACTGGTGACCGTCTCCGTGGTGAGACAGTCTTTGGCCCTCCGTTTTCTTCAGGTGGCTTGTACTCGCGAAAGCTGAATTTATCAGGGTAGCCGGTACATTTTACCCCGTGTTGACTGCATCGATCGCATTCGGGCTTTGTCCCATCGCACTTGAACTTGATATGAGTACTATTCGGATATAGAGAGGGAGAATCGCTTACCTTCACTTTCCGCCTGCGGCATACGTGACAGCCGGTACTGAGCCTTCCCGGGAATACCATTGCCAATTCCAGGTCCCGACGACGCCCGAGTACTTGACGCCGACCAGCGGATCTTGAGCGCACTCGACGATATAGTCTTATTTCTTGGGATTCGGCCAAGAAGCCAAGGCGATCATGGCCCTCTTTTTTCCTTCGCCAAGCACTCCTCACGGACTGAGGAGGTAAGGGACTAGCGAGATTTTCGCTGCTTCATCACGTTGTCGCTGGCGGGTGGAGGTGGGGCCGAATTGCGCGGCGGGATCATGCCAAGACTTCCTTCTCTTCCCTGTGGGACTCGAGATTTCTTGGGTTTAGCAATAGGCTCGTTGTCATTAGAGATTTGTCTGAAATGATCCATATAGAGGCTTTGTTTTTAATAGTCCGAGGTGATGACTCGGGTACCTTCGTAGGATGTAAGTTATTCTGATCTTTTTAGAGGCCATGTCCGTAGTTGTAACCTAGATTATAATATATATACAGTAAACTCCCGTTTTCGGCACTCCCAGGTTAGGCACACATTTTTATTAGGCACCAAAATCTGTTGGATGGACCCACTTCTTAGAGTTTTCCCATATATAAGAGGCCAACCGGCACACCTTTTTGTCTGGCACACAAAATTCTCTTCAATTTTTGCTTAGTCATATAAACCGACCAATCAGAATGCAGGATTTTTCCCCTTCCAACCCTTCCACCCCTTCTTCGGTCGCTCTTTCAGCTAAACTGGCTATACCAAAACAACCCAACAAAGGCATATCCGATGCTCAGAAAAAAGCATTACGTATCTATGCATCGGAGACACGCCCTAAACCTACTCAGAGAGAATGCGCTGAGTGGTTTTCATCTCAATTTAATCGTCATATCAACCGTGCGACCGTCTCCAAGATTCTTTCATCCAAATACGAGTACCTTGATACTGGTTTAGCTGGTCAGAACAAACGCCCGTTAGCATCTCGGTGGCCTCTATTAGATGAGGCCCTATATATCTGGCAGCAGCGTCACGAGAATGCCGGTTTTCCTATAACAGGCCCATTGATTCAGAGCAAAGCCGTCGAATATTGGAAGAAAATACCCCAGTATAAAGATCTCGACCCGCCACTTTTCTCTGAAGGGTGGCTATCACGGTTCAAACAGCGCCATTCGATCCGATATCATACCTCCTATAGCGAATCTGCATCGGTTCCGGCTTCGATGTATTCCGACATGGAAGCTATTCGGGCTATCTGCGACCAATATCAGCCAAACGATGTCTATAATATGGATGAAACAGGTCTATTCTGGCGTCGAATGCCAAATGGGGGTCTATCGAGTAAGGGTAGTCCTGGTTATAAAAAAGACAAGACCAGGATTACTCTCGCAGTAACGACCAATGCTACTGGTTCAGATCGAATGCCTCTATGGTTAATAGGCACTGCGAAGATGCCTCGTGCTCTACGAAAACTCAATATCCCAGCACTTGGATGTGTCTGGCGATGGAACAAGAACGCATGGATGCGCGGTAATGTTATGCAAGAATGGTTCCGCTCGTTTTATAGGCATATTGGCACACAAAGACGAGTCGTGCTATTGCTCGATAACTTTAGCGCGCATCTCTCTGCGCTTGAACATGCGCCACCGCCGTCTAATATTAAAGTCGTTTTTTTGCCACCAAACGCGACCTCGGTTTACCAGCCATTAGACCAGGGTATCATCAGAAACCTTAAGCACCATTATCGGAAGAAATGGTTGACATGGATGGTTAATATGATAGACCGCGGCGTCGATCCTACGCAGAGAATGAGCCTCTATTACACACTACATTGGATCACCCAGGCTTGGAGACGTGACGTCCTAGATGAGACTATTCAGAAGTGCTTTATCAAGAGCACGCTTATTAGTCCTAGCACTAATGAGATGAATACGTCTCCGTCTGAGGACCTTCAACTAGGTGATTTATACGCAGAGGTGACCGACCGGCTTCCTGGTACAGAGGTTATGGCATTAGATGAATTTCTAGACCCTCCAGGAGAAAACATCGACGTGGAAGAGCCTGATTTATCTGATATTATCGTTCATTTTTCAGAAGAAAATACAGGTGGGGATAATGGGGTTCAGGATAGCGAGGACGACCAGGACGAATATATATTCGGACCACCGCTGGATATCCTCTCGCGTGTTGAAGCTATTGAATATATGCATAAAGCTCTTCAATTTGCCCAGCACCAAGAGGGAATTACTGAGAGAGATCTACGTGATATAGAGAGGATCGCTCATCTTTTTTCTCGATTCGAGATCAATGGGAGGAAGCAGAGAAGGGTGGATGACTACTTTAGACCAAAAACAGACTAGTTCTTACTAGATGAGGTTTAGCGCGATATTAGTGGCACACTTTCATTAGGCACATCGGAATTCTGTTGCACGGAGGCCCGTGCCGAAAACGGGAGTTTACTGTACTCCAGAGAGTGTTGCGAGACATTTTATCGAGTGTACCTGAGTCTGGCCCTGTATCATATCTCGAGATGAAGATACCTTAAGTTTTTGCAATCTCCAAGATGTATGCAATTTGGAGTTCTTCATGAATTACTTTTGCACTGGAATCTAGACACGAAAGATGGAAATGCCTGGCACAAGGAAATCCGGGGTACGAATCGTAAAAGAAGATCAAATTGGAGTCGCAAGTTTGCTCTGTCCTTTTTAGTCACTGTCCCTAAACTAGGACAAGTTCTAGTTAGCGACCGTCACTAACTTTAATGCCAGAAATATAGAGAGACTCTTTCAGATCCTTACCCTAGCGTTCTACATAAAGTCTACGGGTCAAAACATGTCTCTATTTCCTACATCACGCATTTATATTTAGCTATTATAGCTGATATATAGAGCCTGATTTGGTTCGCGTAATATGCATCCGGACTAGGCCGTACTAAGCCTACTAGGTCGTAGAGCAGCCGGCGGTGGTCACTTTCGGACAATCAATGATGTTTGTATGACCGTAATGGGCCACCCGCCACGAACAAGACAATCCCCAGCAAAAGTCTTCACGGGCACTTCGAAAACTGGAGTGTCATCTTCGCTCACCCTCACTCAATCTACACAATAAACACAAAACTAGTCACACCTGGCGGTGGCTTAGTCGACAATTCGGAGGGGCCCAGGCACTCCCAAAATATCCTCAAGAACATGGATTCCCCAAATCCACGAATCCCTTCTCCATCATGTCCTTCGTTTCCCAAGTCACGAGAAGAAACAGTGAACACGCCGCCCCTATATCTTCCTGGCGAACTGTGGCTCCTCGTCGTGAAATCTCTAAAGAGGGCAAGAGATATCAACTCCTTAGCTCAAACCAACCAGCACCTTTATTTCCTCCTTAATCCTTACCTCTATCGGCACGACTCGCGGGAATGTAGGAAAACGGCGTTGTTCTGGGCAGCTGAACGGAGGGAACGAGGCGACGGCTCGAATTTGCATTTCCAACGGATATAATATTGGGCCATCGACAAAAGTGGTATGACACCGCTATATCAGGCTGTCTGTAACGATAGAGAGGAAGTGGCTAAACTGTTGCTGGAAACTGGGCGTGCGAATATTAACCAAAAGCACTACGGCGGTTGTTCCGTATTGTCCCTAGCGGCGGCTAAGGGCTACGAAACGATGGTGAAGCTACTACTCGCGACTGAGCTACTGGATATCGACTCCAGGGACTCTTATGGCCATACGCCACTCTCCAAGGCAGCCTTAGAAGGCCAGGAGTCGGTGGTGAAGCTATTACTCGCGACTGGCCGAGTTGATATCAATACAAAGGATATCCAGGGTAACACCCCGCTGCATCTGACTGCGTCCAAGGGCTACGAGGCAGTGATGAAGCTATTACTCGCGACCGGGGTAGCGGATATCAACTGTAGGGACTCTTTTGGTTGCACGCCACTATCCGAGGCAATTTTAGCAGGCCACGAGTCGACAGTGAAGCTATTACTCCCGACTCGGCTAGTGGATGTCAATATAAAGGACCGCAACGGCCACACACCGTTATCTTGGGCGGCCCAGGATGGCCATGAAGTGATAGTGAACCTATTACTAGAGACTGGGCGGGTTAATGTCAACACGGAGGATAACAAAGGTTGGACGCCGCTGCAGTGGGCTGTGCTGAAGGGCCATAAATCGGTGGTAAAGCTATTGCTCGCGACTGGTCAAGTCGATGTCAACGCGAAGGACCTTCGAAGTTGCACAGCGCTACATTGGGCTGCGTTGACGGGCCACGAAACAGTGGTAAATCTGCTACTGACGACTGGACAGGTAGATCTCAACTCAAGGGACCACTACGGCCGTTCCCCATTTCACTGGGCGGCTCTTGAGGGCCACGAAGGGACAGTGAAACTGTTCCTTGAGAACCCGCAGGTGGATATTAACCTAAAGGACTACCACGGTCGTTCCCCCCTATCCCTAGCGGCGCATGATGGCCGCAAGGCGATAGTGAAGCTATTACTTGAAACTGGGCGGGTAGAGATTGACCAAAACGACCACTATGGTCATTCCCCGTTGTCGGCGGCGGCGAGTAAAGGCTATGAATCGACAGTGAAGCTACCTCTTGAGAATGGACAGGTGGATGCCGAATCTAGTGTTAGATATTCTAGTGATTGAACGCGACTGTCATGAACTGCGTCAAACAGCTATGGGGCAAGGATGGAAGCTGTTACTGGAGCGTGGATGGGTGGGTTCGCTTGGTGACAAAGACAGAAGAGTTAAAGATCAAGTCACAGGGTAGTGGAAGGTTAAGTGGAGGGAAGGGTATCGATTAGCACCGAAAGTGAGGCGATAGATGCGGAGCAGTATTTAGCTATTTCATCCTGCCTCGCTATATGCTTGAAAGCTAGCGAGTGCCTTGCTGCTGGATATCGTATGAGCAACAATTCTGAGCTGCCAGGGACCAAAGGGGTATGTTGCTGGTCTTTGATGGGCGCCATCACAAATTGAAAGATAGATATTGCTTTTAGTACCATTTCTGACAGAAATATAGGCGCCAAAGTTACGCAAAAGGCCAGGAAGGATATCTACAAGTTTGCTTCACTACCTTGTCTCGGGATCCTCTGTAGAATACAAAGAGGAACTTCGATTATACTTATGGGGTATCCAACTGGCATTATGAGTAAAGCCATATTGAATAGGCGAGCCTTGGCTGAAGAGGTACCGTTCATATAGCGTCGCATCGGCTAACACCCCATGCTCGGAGGAAGAGCGAGAAGAGACGAGGCACGGTGACAGCCGAGGAGGGGCGTGTTGCACCGATCGTCATGAATGACTCCAACGGAACCAACAGGAATGGCTAGACTTGTCGTAAAAGGGCATAGTTTTGAGGAACTTGACCCCGCCAGGCTCCGCCTATCGTGTTATCAAAAACCCCGCGCGGGGCATACGACACTGGGAGAGTGGAGTTGTTGGAGTATCCCGCCCAAGGCGTGGGGGCTACGCGGGATGGCGATTTAAGATGCAAGATGCAAGGGGGTTTAATTTGAGCTCCTGTTGCACAAATTTCAACATCCCTTCCTTCTCTCGCTTCTCCAGTGACTCTGTTATCCGTGTTCTTCTATTCCTACTCCGTCATCATGTCCATTCCCGGCGTCAATCAACCCCCGTATCCCCTCCACGACTCCGTCAAGCACTTGTTAGACCCCGAGTACGTCGACTTTTATAACCAACATGTGATCAACAACCAGCAAGTGCATTTGCAGCCTGTCGCGGCGTCACGAACCAGTGGTGTATTGATTCCAGGCGCAGGACCGATGCTGGAGGTGGGCAAGACCCAGGATATCACGTTTGAGCGTCAAGCTACCGAGGGCCCTGCGGTGGCTGTCCGCGTTTTTACTCCGAAAGGCGATGTCCCCGCTGGTGGATGGCCAGTGATGCTGTACTTCCACGGTGGTGGTTGGGTACTGGGTAACATTGACACCGAGAATGTGGTGTGCTCAAATCTGTGTGTTCGGGGGAATTGCGTGGTGGTGACCGTTGATTACCGGTAGGAAGACTTTATTTACACAAGCAAGAGCAAAGATCTAACGACTGGATATAGTCTCGCCCCCGAAAACCCGTTCCCCGCAGCCGTTCACGACTGCTGGGAGGCCCTCCTCTGGCTGGTCCAGCAAGGGCCTTCCGTGCTATCCATCAATCTGTCCAAGATTGCAACTGGTGGTTCTTCCGCCGGCGGCAATCTCGCTGCGATCATGACACAAAAGGGATTGACACTCTCCCCTCCAGTGCATTTCCAGGCCCAGCTGCTATCGGTCCCGGTAACTGATAACACTGCCACCGTGGCTAACAACGAGTCCTACCGTCTCTACGAACATACACCTGCCCTCCCCGCGCCAAAGATGATCTGGTACCGCGACCACTATCTTCCCAACGAATCCGATCGCACCAATCCCGAGGCGAGCCCGCTGTTTTATACCGGTGACTGGGCCCAGCTTCCTCCAGCGCTGGTTATGGTTGGAGAGCTGGACGTGCTGCGGGCGGAGGGCGAGCAATATGCTGAGAAGCTTGTGAAGGCTGGTGTTGAGGTAGACCTCCAGGTTATGAAGGGAATGCCTCATCCTTTCTTGGCCATGGATGGTGTGTTGTCCGAGGGAAAGAGGTGTATTACGCTAATGTGTGATGCCCTGCAGAAGGCTTTCTGGAGTTGATTGGAGATATAATTTGGAGTGTTAGATTCATGAGGGACATAGATACGAAATATAGACTATATCCAATGTTTGCTGGGAATTCTTTTTCTCATGGTAGAAAGAGCTTTTCTTTTGGGATGTATTTAATTACGAACGGGCAGTAGCCTACTTGAGGGCTGACGGATCATGACTGATGATCACTCTTCCCTATTCAATATAATGACGGTCGGAGGATGTAAGAATGCAGACTAGAGTTCATTAAAGCGCCTCTCTCGAAAAACTACACAATCACCAAATTCAGAACTTAATCCAGACCCTTGAAAACCTCCTCGAAACGCAACTCATTCCATCGCACATTAGGCTTCAAACCCGCAAACTTCCACACGCCATCCACCTTACGGTAATAGTGCTCATTGGTAGCATGCGAATGACCGCGAAGCTTGACCTCCTCCAGGCCATCATTGGTATAGACCTGGTGCGCAGCGCGGAGTTGGTGATGTCCGATCACCTCGGTGTCGGAGATCTTCTCCCACCAGGTCTGGCCAAGTAGATGCTGGGTCTTGATGGTGGGATCGCCCAGGAATCCGGGGTGGGTTACCATGGCCATGTAATCGTCGGCGGCCATGTCGTCCCATCTCTTAAGGCCGATCTTGGTGTAGTCGACCTAAGAGTTGATTAGCATCGAGATCTAACTGTTTGGTGTATATGAAGAGACGAGAGAACATACCGTCAGAGTCGGGGCAATGATGCTGCGGAGGCGATCCCAGTCCTGAAATTGAGTTAGCTGGAATAATTTCCCTCTTTGCGACAAGGTTGGTTTACTTTGGCATCGTAGCTATCAGCCCAGTCAAAGACCAGCTTTGAGAGGATCAGGTAGTCTGTTTTTGTTAATGATTGTTTTGAAATCAAGGGATATTCCAAACATACCCTGGAAGCTAATGTCCAGATTAGGCTCGGCGTTGAGCTTGACGGCAGGCGACATGATTAGAGTTGTTCGAGATAAAGTTTGATAAAATCTATAAACTTGGTTGTTGCGTTGAAGCAGACCGTCGGGTATATCTGCAAGTCGAAGAATATCGTACTTTGGAAATTCCATTGGAATCTCCGCATCCGGGCTAAAAAAGAGGATTACGAATTGTCTTGAATTAGATGCATTATTGGAATGCACCCAAGACTCCCGATTTGACCGACGCACGCAGCCATCTGCACTATTCTGAGACACGGCGTTTTCCGCATGCGGTAATTGGAAGGCATGTTGGATGTGAAAACAGCTTCCACGCAATTAAGGCATCCAGTCAGAAGTCTAGATTTGCTTCACAAGCTGTACAGTATGTGCTCATATTCCCATCCCGGAAAACAATATCCTTTCCTGGAAGCTGTCGTGTGGATTGAAAACAATGCCACCCGAGTATACACCTGATTTCAGCGCTCGGCGTTGAAATCGCTACTTAACTTAAGAACTTAATCTTCCTCGATTTCCACTTCTAAAGATTATCTTTTCAATATATCACTTGGTCGCATATTCCCATCAGCTTCATCACATCGTCGTCATGGTTATGGCCAACCCCAACCCCGCTCCTGCCGAGCTCACCGGTAAAGTCGCCCTGGTAACAGGTGGCAGTCGCGGCATCGGATCAGGAATTGCCCTCGAGCTGGCCAAGAAAGGAGCCTCTGTGGCAATCAACTATGCCAGGGACCCCGCATCCGCCGAGAAGATGGTCCACGAGATCAAGAGCCTAGGTGTTCACGCGGCCGCCTTCCAGGCCGACTTGACCAAGATCGAGGCCATCGAGCACCTCTTCCGCGAAGTAGTCTCCCACTTCGGTCAATTGGACATTGTGGTTTCGAACTCTGGAACTGAAAAGTTCGTCTCCTTGGCTGATACGACCATCGAAGACTTCAATGATGTCTTTGACCTGAACACTCGCGCCCAGTTCTTCGTCGCCAAGAACGCCTACGATTATATCCAGCCTGGCGGACGCGTGGTGCTCATGTCTTCCATCGCCGCCGGTGTCGGTGTCCCCGGACACTCGCTGTATGCAGGCAGCAAGAGCGCTGTCGAGGGTTTCACGCGCTGCTTCGCTGCGGACTTTGGCAAGAAGCGCTGCACTGTGAATGCCATTGCACCTGCCGGTATCAAGAGTGACATGTGGTTGAAGAACTCGTGGCGTTATGCTCCTGGTTGTGATCAGAACTCTTCTCTTGAGGATATTGAGCAGGCTCTGGCCAATGGTAGCCCCTTGAAGCGGTGCGGTGTTCCGGCTGATATTGGCCGTGTCGTGGCATTCCTTGCTAGCCCCGCGGGAGAATGGATCAACGGTGAGTGTGGAATGTTCATGTCTGGGACTTTTAGGACATTGGCTAATTTGAGTATAGGTCAAATCATTCCGTTGAATGGTGGTGCCAACATTTGAAGAGATTATTTCTTCGAGGAGAGGATTGTTTCGGAGGTGGTGATAACGTCCAGCGAAAGGCATATGCTGCAGCCATGTATAGAATGAGAACTTTACCTTTGTCTTAATATTTTCCTTATACAATACACTTGTGATAACAATATTGAGGTCGGCATCGAGCCCATAATATCCAAATTATTCACCCTCCTTCGTTTTGGGGTGTCCTAAAATAATGGGATACCCGGCCAAGGGCGAGAAGAAAACTTTAAGACAGATTCGACCTTACTCGATAATCTCAAAACAGATTTTATTCCACTAGCTTAGATGCAATTAAAGCCTTTTGAATGTTCATATATTTACCGCAGAAGTAAGTTAGTCTCGATCAGCTGATCCGGATCCTGTTCAGTAGGTGTTCCATCAAAGGGACAAGTCATACTACCTAATCATATTCATGATCAGTCCATTCATCATCCGTCTCTCTCTCCCACAGATCATCATCCTTGATCGCTGACTGCTTAACGGTAGTCGCGTTTTCGATGATCTCATCAATCCCCTCGGTATACGACAAGCGAGGCAATTTAGTATCCTTCTCAGCGAGTAACTTCTCCAATTGCCTATCAAACACATCGCCCGGAAGACACTTAACCTGCGGTTTCATCCCCCTTTCGTACCCATAGATACAAAGCGCTTCCAAGTTTGGTGGGAGATGATCCACAACAGCAAATGATGCATCGTCGACCTGATCGGCACCGATTCCTCGCGACAGGTAATAAAGGGTATGAATTCCGAGACTCAAGTTCTTTAGCTTTGTAAGTCCACGAAGAGAGCAAGGCGAAGGCTGAACAACCTGCTCTGGCTGCAGCTCCTGAAGTTCGTCTGCCCATTCCTGTTGATAGGCAGGCCGGGATCGTGACGAGGGATCATCGCCGTTGCCAAAGAAATGTTGTCCAAGAGTAGGATCGAATGTCTCCGCCAGTGGGATTTCAGCCTCGACATCTAAATCTAGATGTACCAACGAATCGGCGTGCAAGAGAAGTGCTCGGAAAACGTGATCCGTGCTGAAGATGCTTAATGAGCCATCTGGGGAACCTCGGCCTCCGATAGCATACGTAAACTCTTCCAGCCGTTTGGCCGACTCAATGACGCGTACCAGATGGTGATAGTCTACACTGGAGTTCCGAATGGTAAGGCTGGTATAATTCCCGGATCGGGGTGGTGGCTCAATACTCGAACTCTGCGTGCTCATAATTGCATCGACTCGGATGGATTTTACTGCGGGGAGCCGGCGTACTAAGTTGAGGCTGCCATACAGATCATAGGGCTGGTAATTGTACCAACTGTGGATTCTCGTATCTGCGTCGACAAGAAATCGGACCTGGCGAAGATGTTGTAGGAATGGCAATGTCTCCTGCGGGCTACTGTTCTCCCTGTCCAAGAAATGCCTAAAGAAATAATCATTTCCCCGGAGTGTAGTTCCATTGGTTTGGGCGTTTAGTTTTGAAAGTTTAGATGATTCCTGGCCAACAGGACAGAAGCTCAGCGATTCTAATCGTGGTGAAACGCTGACCAGCAATGCTCCCAATGCCTGGGCGAGGAAAGGGGTTCGTGGATCATTATGGCTAATCAAGTCAGAATCGAGCGATTTGAGAATATGTGCTAGCGGAGCTATGGGACTGAGAAAACTGGAGGGGGGAAAAGCTTACTCCATGGTAGCCGGACTCTGTAGTAAGATATTGAGCATCTTTCCCTGTTCCTCCGGGCAATTAAAGCCGGCCTGTCTGATCGCTGCGGTCAGGCGGACCTGATCCTTTGGTCGGAGGGACCGTTGCGGCGATTTGACCGTGTATGACTGCACATATCCATAATCTAGCGATGGAGATCGGTTCAGCTCTATGTAACGAACATACCCCCCATACCGAGGACTCTTGAGGATCGATCGGAGCATTTTAAAAGCCACGGCCAGATCCAGGGGCTCTCGGAGTTTTACGCGCCGGTATTTGCGCCGATTGGACATGTCACAAAGCCGGTGCCAACGGTGGCATTGTAGAGATAGCGCTGCTGCATCGGTGTGAGATGGCAGGTAAGATAGGATCCGTAGGAGAGTTTCGTCTGGAAGGGATTGAAGAGACATTGTTTAATGCTGGGAAAGTCCAGTACTATCAAACAAGGCAGCCTCTTGTTGAGGGAAGAAGGCTAGGCACAGGGAGCGCGCATGCAATGACGGGATATGAAGGGTTATATGAATTGTTCTCGTCGGATTTACTCTCTGGAATCGAGGCTGTTGGTGTTCAGGCCCAAAGTGGGTAGGTTGGCCATTGTCTAAGGCAAGGCTCACTTGAAGTGTCCTAGTGTGATCTTGGCATTTTATTTCCGTCACGCCTTTAGGAGGATGAGCACTAGGGGACCGCCATGAGGTGCCATGCATTAGTTAGGAAGTTATTTTGGTATATATACAGTCATCATCATAAAGGGTCAGAAAACTCGTTGGATCAGCGTTGACGGGTGTAGATCAATCTCGATGAGAATCGCAACAGATAGTATGAGAGTCACCAAAATCAACTGCAAATGCTCGGTTAGTTATGCCTTAAAACCTTCATCAAAGCTTCAGATAAACCTACCAAGCCGAGTAAAATTCCCACCCAATTAAGCTCCCATCCTCCAGCGTGAACTTTCCCTAGAGAAATAGCACTTTGCTGCCTCCAGAATCGATACGCCCCGATCAAGGCCACTATAATTGCCACGCAGTGACAGGCCACGGAGAGTGGGATACCAACCTCATAGAATCTTAGGCGATCTTGGGGCGTGGTTGGTCGTTGAAGGCGGAATAATTGTGCGATTAGAACCCCTTGCATAGCAATGACAACCGATGTGCGGATGTATGCGAGGAATGTTCTTTCGAGGGCTGTATAGAATTATATAGATAGGTTTGTCAGTTTGACCATTCTAATACTAAATCTCAAGAGTTAGCGCAATATCTTCACACACCTAGGTGGTCGCGATTGCTCTTCTGAGGCACCGTCATGGTGACATTATGAGTCCAGAAACTGCAAACTTTCTTCCAGGCACCTTTGCGCTCGGGGCGCGGGCGACGCACACTCGATCGCGAGGCTGTTCGTGTGGTCACCCGATATTCCTCGCCAGAGGAGGCGGACGCCGAGGAGTAATTCAATTGCTCATCGTCCTCTCGTGTTTGAATCTCCTGAAGCTCGAGAACTTCGGTTGGAGGTGGCGACTGATGATTCCGCACGAGAGCGTTGGCCGGCGGTTCAGGGTCTACAGGTAGTTCTGATGATTGGGCCATTGTCGAAGTGATGTAGATAGGAAAACATTGAAGAGCATCCCGATTGTAATCTGGACCTGAATCATGAGAGAAGAGGAGGGGGCAAAAACACCGGACTCGTTTTTCTCTTATTTTTCGCGTGGGATCGGAGCAATCGGCGAAGGCGCCGGTTCGGCTGGACCCGACTGGCGACGCTCAAACGGCGGATGGTAAGCTGGTTGGCAGATAAGAAGGCCAAGCAGGTCCAAACAGGTCCAGAGAGAACTAGACACAGGTGAATGCAGGCTAGAAAGGGCCAAAGAGCCAATGAATTGATGGCTCAATGGATTTTAGCGGGGCCCAACAGGGTCCGGGGAAGATGGGGGTCGGCCATTGACAAAGGAACGGGTCGGCGACGGGTGAAAGGTCCGTAGATACTCGGAGTTCATTGATCTAACTTGGTATATCAACATAAAATACTGAGTATACTAAATATACATCCACTATCACACTCCATCCGGTCATTTAAGCTTAAAATTGATCGCAGCTGGCTCGTCAAGCCGTTCCCAAAAGAACCCCGCATGCAGCCAATCATCATTCGCCGAATGCGGATTGCATCATTTTCGGGCGCGATGTTGCCAACTCCTGCCAATAACATTCCTGGATAGACTCCCATTTCTTCTCAAATAATAGCCATCTACAAATGAGAAAGCAAAGAAAAGCACACTAATTAACATCCACATGTAAAAACAGTCCAATAGGCACATTACCATGAGAAAAACAAATCATTTCAATAGATTTGGCTTGCAGATATTGATCGAAGACTTCTAACTACTGTGGATCAACAGCTTTGAGGCAATGTCACTGGAAAAAAATAGCCATTTGAATCTAGAACATGAGGAACCATACGCAGGTCATTCTTGAGCGAAAAGGGGCGTGTAAAAGGAGCAAGAAACTTGTGGTGAACATGTCGATTAGTCTAGTGTTCGCCAGTCAGCCTATTCAGATGCACTACTAGTAACAGATCATCTAGATCAATAGCCTAAAATTAATCACGCACTAAGCTTTTGATATGAAAATAACAATGGCCATCCCTATGATGGTTTTGCTGATGTGGCCTAGGGTAAAGTGATGGTACTATCTTCTTGTGCTTGCAAACTCCTGAGCCTGACCCTGGCAAAAGACAGTGGATGTGGAGATACTAATATTTACTATTGTGTCAATATTGCATATATTTGCCTGTAAAATTGTACAATGCTTAACAAAACACAGAGATTTTACGCAAATGCTCAGTAGATACTAGGGGTATGCTGATCGACACCTCAGGCCACTAACTTTCCTACCTGGGACTAGCTCGGACACGATCTGTCGGCGCATCGACGCATCGCCGACTTGATCGATGCGCTTTCTGTCCAGCAGTCAACATGCGGCGCCATCCTCGGAGTGCACTGGGGAGCTGGCCCTCTTCAGCTCTCCCTCGACCATTTATCCCATCATGCACCCCATGGAGCAACGGCGTCAACGCGCGATTCCAAAGCTCAAGCTCCGGCTCCGATAAACCATTCCCTTCCCCCGACGAATCGAACGAACATGTCCGCCGCCGTCGCCGCCGCTCAAGGAGAGATCCGAAATGTCAAAGGCTACCTCTCACTGTGGACTCACTTGGAAAGCCTGGAGAAATTGTGGTTGTGCCGACAAAGCGACCTCCGAGCTTAAAGCAAAAATTGCGGGAAATGAAGAAGACGAATACGGAGGATGCGCAGATGCAGATGCAGACGGTCACACTGAGCTCAATGCTGGATGATTTGGAGGAAGAATACACCCCGTTGACTCAAAGCGCAATTCACGAACGCATTGAGAGTCACAATGCCTCGAAAGACCTGAATGCAAAAATGACCGAGAGCGAATGGGAGTCTGTACGAAACAGCCTTGCTTCGTCATTCACCTACATCCAATTATCGGAATACATCGAAGAATATGACCAACACCAGTCTCAGGGCGAGGGAAATGCAGGAAGATGGAGGCCTGGTATATCCGCTTTTCTGCACGCCAACCCGGATCTACACACGGGAGTTACGAAACGGGTGGCTACATCGCAAGATTTGAAGGGCAAGGCTTTGCTGGCAGAGCGGATCCTTCGTGATTGCTGGCAATTATCGGTCGCCGATGAGATTGGCCAGTTGGACCTCCGTCTGTCGCCAGCTTTCATCGCGTTGCTGCTCAACGCAAAGCACTTTTCCTTCGATGAGGTGGCCACTATGCACCAGTCTAGCATTGACATCACGAGCTCCCTTGGCTTGGTGAGGATTACTGGCCGCCAGAATCCTTGCGAGTCGATGTGCGAAATCATCCTTGATGCTATCGCCAGAATTCGAGAGGATCCGACCGGTCTTGACGTCCTCGCATCTCGCCCGGGCCTGAATCAAATATACCCCCCACACTTGTTGGAATGGATCAGCAAGACCTATGGTGTCGCTCTGGAGAATGGTACCTCTCAAGTCCCAGAAAAGATTCTGTACCTTGCAGAAAACAAAGAAGGTGCAGATAATGCGCGGAGGGTCCTCAATCTCGCACTCCACGAAGTGACTCCTGCTTCAGTACCCTTCTCCACCTATTTCCCTGCTTCGGAGACCGCAAATGTGTACAACTACCATCCAGAGGGCAGTGTTTCATGGTTGGATCAACAAAAACAATGGTTCCGATGGGCAATGCCCTCGACACAGTCTACCGAGACTGAAAACAATTCCACTCCTCTCTTTGATGGTCATCAGACTCGACTCTCAGACCATTTGTTGAACCTTCTCCGCCAGATACCTATTCCAGCTTCGAGTCCGGGAAGCGGTTTGAAAGTGTACGAGTCCGTGACTGCTGCAGTGGGCCACTGTTTATTCACACGGAAACCCTCACTTGAAAATGCGACTATCACCCCTTCGCAGCTGGGAAAGCTATCTCTTCCAAGAACCTTCTCCACCGATATCCCTCGCATCATAAATTTCCTGGCCTCCCTCCGGCCTATCACCCCGGTGGTCGGAACGCAAGTTCACAACATTCGATTGACGCCGTCATCTGCATATGCTAGCCTGGCCCCGACTCTTGATGTCAAGATTTCTTCCAAACTAGGCAAGACCCTGGGAAGTCCCGAAGACTCGTTCGACGTGCAAAGCATCAAGTTTATCCGTGGATCAACCGCTGTCGATTATCTCTTGCCGGAGAACGGCCTCGACCTTCGGTTCACCCGCACAGTCTACAATGAGCTTTCAGGAGAAGCACTCGAAGAATCCGTGGAGAACCTCGATCTCGTCAGGAGCATCGAGTCCTCCCTGCGTAATATTGTTCATTCTGACATGACACCGGCCGATTCAAGCTCATTACCGGTATTCTGTCAAATCTCACTCCCCAGCAACCTCGCCCAGCCTGGAGCATCATCTAGTGACGCCCCCTCCTCAATCACAGCGGAGTACATGCTACCACCGATTCAAAATCTCCGTGGCTCTGCTATCCAGCTCTACGAACTCGCCGACCGACAACTCAGCTACAGTTACTCTGAGACTGGGCCCTTCCTGCCCGCTCGTACCATCGACGTATCCCTCGACATGCGCATTCCCAACTCCCCAACGGAGGGTGTGGAGGCTGATCAATCTCAATTCTCGCTGGAGTCGGAATTCCATTCCTTCTATAACACGGCTTGTCGCATGGCCTTTGATATCCATGACTCGAAGTTGTTGGGTGTACAGGATGGTCTTCTCGAACCGAGTCCCATGTATTAATACTTTTCCTTTCGGGTGTTCATTTTTTTTTGCATATAGATGGAAGCATGCCCTTTACTCACGGGCCTTTGTACAATAGGATGAAATGATATGGAGATGGGATTTCCATCCCTAGTATTTACCCACATTATCTAAACACCCAGTATATCCGTAGATCGCTCAATCTATCTGTTTACGCCAGGACTTCTAAGAACAAATCCCATCCAATCGGGCCTGTATCGTCTTTTCATCGAACCGTCCACTGTCCCCCTCGTAATTCCGGAGAACCTCCAGGGTCATCAGGCGGCGGGGTGCTTTGCGGCCGGTCATCAATTCGAATTGCGCAATGCCTTGCTCGATCACGTTTTCTAGCCCGTCGGATAGAACCCATGGTCGGCCGTTGTCACTTCGGATGCGACGCATTTGTTTGAGGAGAGGTGTGTCTAGGGGTTTGTAGGCCAACTATAGAGTCGTGTTAGCATCTTTACCCATTGAGATTGGGGGCACTTCTATGACTCACCTCTAATACTACACCCCCGGTTGGACTGCCGAGCCATTGCATTGGCATCTCAAAGTTGGCGGGGGGTTGGTCTCCGTCCGGATCGGCGGGTACACAAGAGGCAATCAGACTAGGTGGACTGGCATCATCAGGCCAGTCGTCCTGAAGAGATCGTAGTACTCGCACCACCTCTTCCGAATCAACTTGACCTGCTGCCCAGGAGTTGAAGTGACGTGCGACTTCTTCTGCTCGTGATTGCGTCCGGTTGTAGATGAATATCTTGCGACAGCCCAAGCGCAGCATGGCATAGATTGCTGACCGCGCCATTCCACCGGCTCCGATGATGAGGCCGGTAGTCTTGGCGCTGATCGCGTTACGAGGTGACAAATGTCGAGTGATGCAGGTCATGATACCCACCCAGTCCGTGTTCTCGCCGTACCAACCCAACACAGGGCCTGCCTGGTTGCGTCGACTGGCTTGTTCTTGGAGAGGGTACATCGTCCCATCAGCTGTCCCTCGCAGGGGCATGATTGTGTTGATAGCTCCAATAGCCTCGGCGTGTCTGCTTTTCGCAGCCAATTTATGGTATAGCTCTACACGCCATGGTTGGACAACACTAGACCCGCCAAAGTTAGGATCCCTGCGTAGCTCATCCAATACAGCGAGAGAAGGAGAGTCGGGGATTCGATAGACATGGCCTAGGCCGCAGTGCTGAATGGCTGCGTTGTGCATGGCCGGGGATAAACTGTAGGCTACGCTGGCACCGAGAATACAGAATTTCAGCGGGTCGAGCACGTAGCTCTGAACGAGGGCCTGGACGGCATCCCGCGAAGTGATTTGCGGATCACGTTCGTTCTCCGTCTCTCGAGTAATCGCAGGATGTGTCACGCTCGTAAGAATCGAGTTGAACACTTGTGACGTTCGTCCCAGACGGCCAATATTATAGGCAATCAGAGGTGGATGGTCTCCCGGTAGAGACCGAATCTTGTTGGCGAACTCTAGCACACTCGCATTCTCCTCTCTGGATGTGCCCACTCGGAGAAGTCGCACGAGCTGGCATCCAAGTTTTTCAGCTTCATTATACAAAGACACGCACCCATCATCTTCCCATTTCACACGAGATGACGCTTCAAAGATGTGCTGTCCAATGATCTTGGTCTTGCCCCGAGCGCGGATGATCTGGGCTAATTGAGATCGATTCTCGCCAAGGTTGACCACTAAGTATTCCACTGCCAAGCGCAGAGCATGTTCCAGGATATCGAAGTATGTTGCAGATAGATCACGGCCTTTCGCGGCTGTGAGTGATGACGTGTCCACGGAAAGAATGATCGGAGTCCGCGCGTTACGACGAAGCACAGACACTTGTTTGCTAATCACATTGGGCATTTCGGGACCCCAGCGATCGACACAAAGCTCAATGGCATCTCCACCAGACTCCAGCTCTAGCAGATTGACATTGTCGGCGATGAGATCCGAGGATCGCACGAAGATGGCGTGAGTAAAAGACCGAAGCTCGGGTGGTGTTTCGAGCAGCACGAAGGGCGAATCGTAGCTCGAATGGTTGACATCGACTCCGGTCACGAAGCGGACAAACCGGGTAAGGTCTTCCTTCACTTCTTGTAGTTTGAACGAGTATGCTGCCGAGCGAGGGTCGGGGCTTCCGTCGTCCGAGATAATTCGCGTGCGATCCTCGACATTGTAAAATTCGAAATTGGAGCAAGTTCGATGTAGCGGGTCTCCCTCGCGCAGGAGTCGTACGGATTGGTCGTCCAGGCCGAGGAGTTGTTGAATGCGATCAATGTCGCGAACGAGGTGGACCACGGGGTTTGTCTTGACGATGCGCCGCAGATGATCCTGAACGGGCCGTGTAAGACTTCCCAATCCGCATTCCACCACGCAGCCCGTCCGATGGTTGTCGAGCATCAGTTTCAAAACCTCAATATCCCGACGTTGGAACTCCTGGCTGCCATGTGTCTTCAAGTATTCCTGTCTCGTGACGCCCGTGATTTCTTTAAAGTAGTGGTCTTCTGTGATGAAGCGACGCTTCAAGGCAGTCGCCGCGACAAAACCGAGCGAGCGCTTGCCGCAGCCACGAATACCGACAAGCACCAAGGAAGCATCGGGGGCGAACTTGCGCGGAGCGGTGGTCTCTGGAGGGTGCATTGCGGGGGAGGGTGTGTTCTTGGCCGAGTCGGTACGTGTAGTAGTGGAGGGACTAGGACTGGAGTCGACGGACTCGAGGACGCAGGATTTCCAGTCAAGCATGATGGGTGAGCAGGTTCGGGGAGACGAGGCGATCTAGTTGCAAGGCACGAGTGCCATGACGGGGCACTTCATGTGCTGCAAGTGTCGCATCAAGGGAAGGCAGAGGAAGCGTGAAGCTGTTGGACACGGGACCAGATCGAACGGGGGTGCAGTCTAGGAATCGGCTCCGGTGAGATAGAAGGATAGGTAGAGGTAGACGGCAAAAGTGTGGGACAAGCAGTCGGGGGAGAGGAGAAAAGTAAGGTAAGGGTGACCGGCGACAACTTCGAGACTTTCCCCGGATGAGGCACCGGCAGTGGGGCAGTTGGACTTCTTATCGTCTGATTAGTCGGAAGGTGGAGAGTCGGCAGAAACATTACCCTCTCCGGAGTTGGCACGGCATTCTACTTGTGGGGAGGAGACTATCATGTTTTGATCTGATGTTTGGAGTCTATAGTCAATACTGCACAAGAATTGAAATACATGTCCTATATATTCATATTCAGATGTATGGAATCATAAGTACACTATATGCAGATAATCAACAATGTCACAAGACCCTTCCCTTTAGGTCTCCTTGAACTCGTAGCGACCCTCACGGTCCTGCACTTCCACCGAAATCCGACCTTCCTCAATCTCCTGGCCATTGACCTCGATCGAGGCGTGCATCACATCGCCAGCCTTGACCTCACCCACACCCTTGGGGGTACCCGTGAGCACGATATCGCCCTTCTCCAGAGTCATCACGCGAGAAATCTGGGCCAGCTGCTGGGGGATACGGTAAAGCATCAGACTCGTGGAATCAGCCTGTCGCTCGGTCTCACCGACACGCAGGCGGAGGAAGGCATCGTGGGGGTTGGGGATGCGCGACTTGGCGATCGCTTGGGAAATGGGCAGGAAGGTATCGAATCCCTTGGCGATGGACCAGGGGAGACCCTTCTTCTTGGCCTCTTCTTGAACATTACGGGCAGTCATATCAATGGCAAGGACGTAGCCTGAAAACACGAATCGCAGATGGTCAGTGGAACTGAAGGCATAGACTCGGGCATGAGATAGCGATCCGGGGCGTAGGAGGGCAACCACTCACTCTCAATGGCATCCAGTGCGCCCTGCTCATCCAACGGGTCCAGGTCCTTAACGGTCTTGCCCATCACCAGACCCAATTCGACCTCATAGTGCAGACTGACACCCTTGGGGCGGAGAACGGGACCGCTGTTGGGGAGCAGGATGGAGGAGGCGGGCTTCAGGAAGAAGAAGGGCTGCTTGGGGGTGGTGTTGTTCAACTCGGTAATGTGATCGCTAGAGGATGGTGTATTAGCGATAGTGTCCAGATCAAAGCGATACAGAGGTATGGAGCAGTGAGTCAAGCCGGTTGACTGCGACCGGGGTGGGTGTCGCGGGGATGGGCTACGCACGCGTAGTTACGGCCGATACACATGATCTTGCGGCAATTGGCACGAATGGAGGCCATTTTGATAGTTTTTTGGACTCGAAGAGAGGAGTAGAGTCAATGAGGTGGGAATGTGGAGGACAGAAAGGTCGTGGGCCGGGGAAGAAGCAGTTAAAGAAGTCGGAACTCTTCCGTGGGGAGCTCCGGCGTTGGAGATTGCGATTGCGGAGAAATCACCGAGAGCCGCTTGTATTCTTTTCCCGTTTCCCGGTCAAGAGGATTTATAGCAGCTGGTAATTGAGAAGATATTTAAATGAATTTCAAAATGTCTCTTTTTAAAAGATCTACCCACACATATATATACATCAATCGATATCTCATAAATAATTCGGAATTCTGCGAGTTCGGCCGGGTGACCCGAGTCTCGGCTTATCCGCCCGAGAGGCGTCTCCATTCCAGCTAGTCATTATTCCAGTCTAGTATACTAAAAATCCCCCATTTGTCCGACACGCGGGCGCCTATCAATAGATCTTGATCTGACAGGTGAAACGATGTCTTCGAATCCAAACTGACTATAATTTAACTGACGTGACGGTAAAACTGCCCATCAGAGAATACTAAGGCTAGGATAGAACTACAATAGTAGAACTCGTGCGTCACTCTAGTTGCTTCGTCTCCTCTCTTATACTCTTTGATCATTTAATTGCCTTGAATTCCTTGTTTAATGAAAAATATAATCACTTCAATTACGAAAGAGGCTCTGTGACGCCTGCTATCGATTCTCTACAGCTCGATATATCTGCTAGGCAACCACACGGAAGGAATTGGATTATTCCCAATTGTGACTTCAGATAAGCTCAGCCTCAAGTACATATCTCTGTAAGCAATTCAATCAACGAACAGATTGCCCCGTTAGTCAAATTATCAGTACTTACCTTCGTATTTACATCGCCGAGGCTCCCTGGCATGTGGTTACATCCAACAACTCGCGGGGGAGTTGTGGGCACGTGCTCGGTCCATGAAAACTCCAACTTTCAATACTTTGAAGTCCACGAGATACTTCTATCCCCTTCCTCTAATATCCTCTAACCTTGGAAGCTGCATGAAGTCTACACTATCAGCAGTCATGGCACCTTCCGAGTCCGCGCGTGCAACCCCTAGCTCCGTCTCGAGCAGATCTGTCCCCAAAGATCCATCAGGCAACCCAATTCCTCATACCAAACGATGGGTCTATTTAACTACAGCCCTATCAAACACCAGTATCAGCTCACTGGGAGCGAATACAGCTCTTGTGGCCGCCTTCATCTCTTTCAACTCCTCTACCACAGGCCAGAGGCTCTACGATTATCTCGACCATGTGTACGGCGTGTATAATATGAACCTGTGGGGAACTTTCATCATCACATCCGTATTCTTTTGGCTGTGGGCTGCTGTCTTTGCGATTCCTGACCTGACTGGATGGCCACAGTGGCTATTTAAATACAAAACTCAACCTTTCGTCCGGGTCAATGGAAAGGAATACTTTCGCATTGCGATGATCTCGTTGCGAAACCAAGTCCTCGTCGCATTCCCTATGATACTTCTGGTTGCCCTCGCCGCCCCTCCAATGCCGGTGGCTTCGAAATATCTACCGTCGCCATTCCAAACGTTTGCTACTATCGTATTTGATATCTTCTGCACAGAGGTCGGCTTTTACTATGTCCACCGCCCGTTTCACTCGAACCTACTGTATTCCACCTTTCACAAAAAACATCACGAATTTACTGCCCCTGTCGGGTTGGCGTCGACCTACTGCACAGTTACGGAGCACGTGCTTTCTAACTTATTGCCCAACTCCATCGGAACACTGCTCGTTCCTCATCACTGGTCTCAAGCGGTTTTTACCTTTTTGTTCCTTGAGTTTGGCACCATTTGCTCGCACTCGGGATACAATATTCCATGGATGCCGTCGAATTTGCAACACGACTTTCATCATTTTGCTTTTGATGAAAACTTTGGTCCTATAGGCATTTTAGACGCGTTCCATGGAACACATAGTAAGTTTACGAAGACAATGAAAGAAGCCAGGCAAAGAACTGGAGGAGATGACGAGGAGGCAAGAAAGATTGTGCTTGAGAATCTGGCCAGAATGGGGATTGGCTCTGCTGCTTGTAATCGCAAACTGTGAGCTTTCTCTTGCGATAATAACGGTGTGAAATCACTGGCAACTCCTAGGTACCGGAGCCTCAGACTGACCCCGCGTTCCCTTTAAGTTCCTAGAGAGTTTCTTTGGACAAAAACCCTATGGTTGCATTCAGTCCAGAGGGTTCAAAAATGGTACCAGCACACTTGGTAAGGAACAAGAGGATGACAACATATGTGCGACCTAGGCGATTCGTGATCTTCCTGCTGTTCAACATCTTTCTGCAAGTCATTACCCACCGTTTATATTGCAAATTATGGCTCTCAACTTACAAGTTGCTCATAAAATAACCTTGCGTTTTTGCATTCAGTCGATATTTCTCAACGTCAACTCCAGCCAAGATAGCTTTAACCGTATACGGTTAGCACATAGCTAATTTATTTCTTTATATTATTTAGTATTGTAATACCCGGTAACCCTGTTCGTTCACGTTCACGGAATACCTGATTTCTTTTCTCCTTTGCGAGCCTTTTCAGGGTGCAAATACTAAATTAAAACGTAGGCCCGGGATAGTAGAACTATGACGAAAATTTGGTGAAAGAATGGTATTTGGACAAATCTGATCTCAGGAAGGGATCATAAAAGCTTGTTCTCGATGGTCTTAACTCCAATCAAGTGCTTCACGTCTTGGAGTGCTTTCTGTGATGCCAGTAGATCAGGGTGTTCTTCGTCATGCGTTCTTCGTCGCACTGCGACCACGTGCTCAAGTAGCTGCTCAGCCTGTTTGATCTGCCCGTTGGATTGATATATCCGCGCAAGTTCGCGCTGAGATACCAGTAGATCAGGATGTTCTTCGTCAAGCGTTCTTCGTCGCACTGCGACTACGTGCTCAAGTAGCTGCTCAGCCTGTTTGGTGTGCCCACAAGATTGATATACTATTGCGAGCACTTGCTGAGACGTCAGTCGCTCGGGGTGTTCTTCATCGAGTGTTCTCCCTTCTACCATAACAACATGCTCAAGTAGCTGCGCTGCCTGCTTGATCCGCCCGTTGGATTGATACGCCCGCGCAAGTTCGTGCTGAGACGATAGTCGATTAGGATGTTCTTCATCAAGCGTTTTCTTTCGCACCGCGACCACGTGTTCAAGTAGCACTACGGCTTGCTTGATCTGCCCGTTATATTGGTACGCTGTTGCAAGATCATGCTGAGACGCCAGTCGAGAGGGGTGCCCTTCATAATAGTTGCTTTCAATCCATACACATACATCTCCAAAAGCAATAACAGCTTCCTTTGCTCGGCCATCCTCTAGGACGCAATTTCCAACCTTGGAAAGTAAGCTATACCTCTCACTCAAGTCTTGGTTTTCCTCTCTCCTAAGAATTTCACGGGCATGCGGAAGGAACATCCTCCATGTCTCACGGTTTGTGTGTTCAGAAGATGGAAAACACTTGTCCAGATGCTGCGTCACAGTCGCGATGATCTGTTGTGTCTTACGTTCCCCTGCTATCCATACTCGTGTTGATAGTTGTACGAGGTTGTGTATATCGAACATATCTTTGTCGTGTCTCTTGGTCAGAAATCCATAACTACACAATGTACCAATTGCAAACTCCATCTCTTCCTCCGAATCAAGGGTAGGGAGAAGGGATCGCGGAATTGCCTTTGGCTCAAGGTAAGACATGAATTCCAATAAATCAGCCGCCGAGGGATCGGAACCCCTGATCTGATTAAAGGAAATAAGCCAGGTAGTAGTCAGCGCGTTAGGCATTTTACGGTAGCGAGTGCTATCGTGAAACTCCCTGCTTGCTAGACGCATCCGGTCTTTTTCGGTTTTATGTATAAGTTCGAGGTACCATGTGGTCGTTCCATTATTCCGAGAAATATAGTGAGCTGCTTGTGCAATAGCGAGAGGAAGCAAGTTTAGCTCCTCTAGTAGTTGTATAGTGGATTCTTGGCCATGTAGTGAATCTTCTCCAATAATCTTAGCAAGAAACGCAATCCCTTCCTCTGTTGTCATCTTTTGGAGTTCAACAATATCCTTTTCTGCGAAAGACACCGCCACCTCGCGAGAACGAGTAGTGAGCAAAGTTACCCCTTCCTTACTAGAAGGGAGATACTGATTTAGCTCATCGAAAAGCAAGTCCACATCATCGGCATTATCGACAATGAAAAGCCACTTTCCGGCTTCAGCAGAGCTTAACTGTCGGCGTACTAATTCCATCGCACTTTCATCGTCTGAATTCTTATAGATTTGGAGCTCTTTCACGATTTGCCAACAGGACTGCTCAAAACTCTCGAGGCTAACGGCAAGAGCCCAAAAGATAGAACAGTCTGGCATATGCGATTGAACCCAGCGGGCAAGCTGAAGAGCAACTTGGGTTTTGCCAATGCCACCTAGTCCGAATAGAGCTAGTTTATTGGTGTTTGCTTGGAAGAATAGCTTTTGCTGGAGGTCATATAGTGTGGTCTCACGACCAGTAAAGTGACGATTGTCCAAGGACGGGAGTATATAGTGGACTCGAGATTGATCACCTTGGAAAGATTCAGTGAATCTGATATGTCGATTAGGGTTTGCCATTAACTTACAAGGCTTAGGATTAATGTTTCTCATTCCTTCGATAGGCACGTGGATGTGGTTTATGTGGTTAGCGACTGGGCCATAGTTCACACCAATCTGGGACCCCGAATTTGAACGCCCAAACAACATTGCGGACTCCATGCTCGCCACGTACAATCTGGCATAAATTGTCGCTTTGACGCCGTCTCGAATGCAAGAGTAATAGGCAGAACTATAATATATCGGTTGGCTTCGAAATTTTCCTTAGGCTGTGAACTCGGCTATTCAACAGAGTCGGTGGCTGGAGGTGAGGGGTAGCAAGGAATGTTTGCAACCGCAGACACGTCTTGCCATCAGCGCGTCAGGGGTGGAGGGGGTGCACTGCCTCGACGCCCCGCCCGCATCAGCGAACGAGGCAACTCGATGAATTATGTACATATGTGGATCTCGAACTGCATGAGATATCTCGGGCTATTGGCGACTGAGTTGTGATTACGCAGTAGCGGAACCAACCAGCAACCTCCAAGGTGGGGCTCAAGAAGTCAGATTATCAAACCTGTCGTATCTAATGATGCGTTAAGGCAGCCAGTATCTCAATTTTAGTCTATAGTTACAGCCTTATTATTAGTTATGCTGGTCACAATAGGTGTGATGATCTTAGGTCGACCGGAGGGGATAAAAGGTATTGGGACTGCCGGAAACTCGTAGATTAGAGCGAATATACCTAAAAGACTGTTTACTGCATCCTACAATTTCATTATTTTTGAGTTTACTCTCGATCATATCATAGGTAGGAAGATGCGACTTTCAATGAGGGGTGACCCAGTCATGCGGGAATTCCATTAGTTAATTCAACTAGTTAACTAGTTAACTGCGTACGAGTGCAAAATGATGACTAATCTTGACGGATGTAGAAATATATTTCCTCTCTGCGGGGATCCGCCAGCAGCTCCGACACAGCGCTCTGCCGAAAAATTGAATATCTGAGGACATGCCATGCTCCGCGAAATCGTGCCTTGTTATTAGACCGACTACAAGATTGTTGTAGAGACATCGTTCCTATGTAGCAGAAACTAGGCCTTTGAGTAATTCCGTATGATTTGAGTTTGATATTTCAGCAAGATCATATATTTTTGATGGAAAATATTGTCTGTAAACACAATATGTAGATTTCTATTTTCATGATTTTCCCTCTTGGTTGAGATTAAACGGTTGGAATTCTAACACGGGGTAGACAAGCAACCTTGTTCATAAAATATCTATTAACTGACCTTCTGTTCCACTAGCCGTAATACGCAACTTAACAGGCAGTATTGCTGGCCCCTCTAGCTATTATGGTAGTCTCCAGTCCACGTGTGTTAATCTAACATATGAATAAGGCAATCGACTGCAGAATGAGTACCGAGTAACTTATCGCCTCAACTTAAGTCCTCTCTCGAGATTGTACTACAAAGGGGTGTTTATTAAACATTATGTCATTTCAGGATGATAAAAGCAACAAAGATGTCCACCAGTAGAATAGGCCCGTCCCTCTTCAATATTTCTGCCAGATTCCCCAGGCTTCCATTTACATCCTCTTGCTTGTCTTTTGGTTTGATGTCAGTTATACCTGTGAAAACTTGCTGTGACGCTATTGCCTTTACAATTCACTATAATTCTCGGCTTAAGGGTGGTGGAAACTACATTTCAGTGTGCCGAATTACTGCCATAGAGGGTAACATATCGTCCTCCGATAGTGTTATCTATGTAGATATTAGCTACTCCATGGAGATGAGTTCTTGACAACGGTGAAGTTCTTGTAAGTAAATATGCATGACTAACTACCATGGCTGACTATGTATTTGACTACGTACAGGTATCTTTAAGTCTCGGAGCGTCGGAGGATTCCCTGCAATCTGACGACCAACGGGACATCTCCGATTCCCGACGATAAGCCAGTCGGCAAAGCTGATAAGAAACTCCAAACATTAAGACTTCCCTGATAAACCGACGAATAGGAAAATTAGAAGAAACCTGACTGGTGGTCCCTGCCGACCCCAACTTCTCCAATTATCCCACCATCTCACTCCAAGCGGGGGATTGCCCCTCTCCATTTCCTGTACGAGAAGGTGCTCAGGCTAGTCGCTTTTATTATCGTTGACGAGTCCCCTTTGATTTCGTGTGACCTAGTGAACCTCGGCCGAGTAAAGTGATTCATTAGAAGAGCGTGACCACCCGACAGCGAGTTGTTCCTCTTCTTTTCCACACTTTAATTCCTTCGATACCTCTCCTCCTCATTTCCTCCAACAATGCCACTAAACTCGAAGGCTGTTTACGCCAAGTCGGATGCGGCATATGTGCCCTTTGCCAGTCGACGAAGCACTGTTCACAGCAAGAATGGCATTGTTTCGTGTACTCAACCACTCGCCGCCGCGGCCGGCCATAAGATCCTCAGCCAAGGAGGAAATGCCGCAGTATGTCTCTATGTTTTTCGTGCGACAGTCTCTGTCATATTTTAGAATTGGATGCTGATCGGCGTTCTCCGCGTTTCTAGGATGCAGCCGTTGCCGTTGGTAGGCACCTCGATACCAGCAATGATGCCGAAGGATATGGTCTAACTGATTTATGTCTCTAGCTGCCGGTCTGAACATGACCGAGCCTGGCTCAACGGGAATCGGAGGCGACATGTTCTGCCTTTTCTACGACGCCAAGACGAAAAAGGTACATGCGCTGAACGGATCGGGCCGATACCCTGGTGAAGCAACTCTGGAGAAAGTATGCGAGAAGTTGAACATCGCCCCCGGTGCTGCTGGTCGTATCCCCATGCTTAGCGCGCTGGCAGCTACCACGCCAGGAGCCGCTGCGGGATGGGTTGACACCGTTGAGAAATTTGGCAGTGGCAAGCTGTCTATGGAGCAGATCCTGCAACCGGCTATTGAGATGGGTGAGAATGGATTCCCCGTGTCGGAGCTTTCATCCAACGGCGTAAGTTGTCGCTATTTACATTTAAAGAGGACACGCCAGACATCTAACTCGCTGATAGTGGCAAAAAAGTGAGGATAACATTCGTATTGCATCTCCTAATTTCCGTGAAATGCTCAAGAAGGACCCCTCGGCCAAGGATGGCGTGCGAGCTCCGCTTCCCGGAGAAATCATGAAAAACCCCACTCTCGCAAAGACGTTCCGCACTTTAGCTGCCGAGGGCAAGAAGGGCTTTTATCAAGGCCGAATTGCAGAGGAGATTGTTAAAGTCGTCAATGATCTCGGTGGTTTTATGACCCTCGAGGACCTGGCATATCATGCCGAGGTCGGTACTCAGGAGACGGAAGCCATCTCTCTTAAGTTCACCGGTCAGGATATCGTATCGAAGCAAAGCCCAGGCACCGATGGAGAGCCTAACCAGGGTGTGGAGGTCTGGGAGCACCCTCCAAATGGCCAGGGTATCGTCGCTTTGATGGCCCTTGGAATTATGGAAGAATTGGAGCGCACGGGCAAAATCCCTCGTTTCAGCGAAGCTCAGCACAACTCTGCCGAGTACCTCCATGCAGTGATTGAGAGTCTACGAATTGCCTTTGCCGATGCGGCCTGGTGGGTGACTGACCCGGATACCGAGAAGGTCCCCTCGAAGGGTCTGCTAGAACGTGAATACCTCGCCGAGCGAGCCAAGCTGTTCTCCCCTGACCGCGCTGCGGATATCTTGGATCACGGCAGTCCCGCCCACAACCACTGCGACACAGTCTTCTTTGCCGTGACTGACAGCGAGGGTAATGGCATCTCCTTCATTAACAGTAACTACGAGGGCTTTGGTACGCATATCATCCCTGCTGGCTGTGGTTTCACCCTGCAGAACCGCGGTGCCAATTTCTCCCTGGAAGCTGGACATCCCAATGCATTGGCCCCTCGCAAGCGTCCATACCACACCATCATCCCGGCTTTAATCACAAATGTGGCCGACGGATCCTTGCATTCCGTATACGGTGTCATGGGCGGCTTTATGCAGCCCCAAGGCCACGTGCAAGTGCTGTTGAATATGCTTGCTTTCGGATATCACCCTCAGGCTGCCCTTGATTCCCCGCGAATCTGTATTGCTGCGCCGACATCGGAAAGTACCGATCGCACCATCTTTGTTGAAGAGGGAATTAGCGGTGAGGCGATTGAAGGATTGCGTCGCCTGGGTCATAAGATTGAGGTATTGACGGAATGGAAGAGGGCTATGTTTGGTCGTGGCCAGATTATTCGTCTACACTACGATGAGGGATCACTTGTATACAGTGCGGGCAGTGACCCCAGAGGTGATGGCATGGCATTCCCTCTACTGTAAACCGTGCCATATAAATAAGATAGCCAAATCAACCGTCTGAATTTCTTGAAGACTCTACTCGCAATTTTGCTCTAGAAAAGTTCTTTATCAAGCCATTCCCGCTGGAATATCTCTCGATTTAACTGCACGGCTGACTTCTCTACCCCTCCAGTACTGCGTAATTGTCGATTAAGCTGGTCCATGGAGCAAAGCAGCACCGAACTTCGGAAAGGGATTCCCCATCTAGACCGCAAATTCCGAGCGATTGATAATAGGCTATGGTTTTTATGTTTTGGAACCTACCGTGATTCGTGGATGTGACCTTGCCAGATCCCCACCCGTGGTAAACAGTTGTATTTCCATATACTGGCTACGGCTATGATACTTGTGGAAGATTTGAAGAGAGAGTGAAGGCTGTAGAGGTACATGTCCCTTGCATAGCTAGTCCCTGATGTCTTAGAATACAATGTTCTGCAATGTCTTGCGTCTCTAGGGCATGCAGATTAGAGTCACGGATATACCCGCAGCCCCAGACTCTAACGTGAGCACCTTATTTGAACTTTAGTTTTCTGGGGATAACGTGGATATTGAGGATCACTCTAGACCTCCCGGCGGGATCCGATTCCGCTCAAAGCTCCAAGCAAACTGCAACTATTCGCGGGCCAACCAGGAATGAATTACCCTCACACGGATCCAGGACTTCTCCGGAGTATAATTGCGACCTGTCGCTGAATCATCCCTCCGCAGTGCGTTTAATGCGGAGAGAAGGGGGTCTCCAGATGAGTGACGCCGTCTCGGGTCATCATCCCCGGATGTTTACTCCACCAAGGGGGACCACGCGAGGATGCTGGAAAGTACTATTCATCCCCATGGTGTAGCACCCCGGACCAATCGGAAATTATGGTTGGACTTGGGGGCAATCGAAAAAAACTCCCTGCCTTGGGGCATTACACGCTCTTATAGGGAAGGATAAAAACAATACTTAAGGAGAGTCCGAACCCTCTTGAATGTTCCTCAAGATCTTCATCTTATGAGGATGATGACCCTCTCTTGGATTGGGTTTCATTTATTTATACCTCATCCCAAAACTCGTTGATTTGCTGAACACTCGAACCACTACAGGTTCTCATTATTTACTATGTCCCAAGCACCCGCCGATGATGGCGACGTGGAGAAACTAGAAGATCCCAACGAACACTTCCGTTCCCATGGCGGTGCTCCTCGCCCTAGCCATGAAGAAAGAGAAGGTGAACATGGAGCAGCCGATGGTGCCGCTGACGGTACTACCTCCCATCCATCAGACAGGAAGGAGCTGAAGGAATGGGAATGTTACGATAAACTGGGATACACATTTCCCTGGTGGAAGAAATGGGGCATCCTTACCGTCATCTTCTGTGTCCAGGTCTCGATGAATTGGAATGCCAGTTTCTACGCTAGCAGCATCTCGCTGTATGCTAAGCATTTCAATATCTCCGAGCAGGCAGCGCGTACTGGACAAATGAGCTTCCTGATTGCTTACGCCTTTGGTTGCGAATTCTGGGCTCCGTTCAGTGAGGAGTTTGGTCGATGGCCGATTTTGCAGCTCAGTCTGTTCTTTGTCAATATCTGGCAACTGCCGTGTGCTTTGGCTCCGAATTTTGGAACTATTGTCGTCTGTCGTACCCTCGGAGGTCTTTCCTCTGCTGGTGGTTCGGTTACACTGGGTATGGTGGCTGATATGTGGGAAGCAGAGACACAGCAGTGGGCTGTTGCTTATGTTGTGCTGTCTTCGGTTGCGGGTTCCGTGATAGCTCCGATCGTTGGAGGATTCGTCGCAACTTATTTGGATTGGCACTGGAATTTCTGGATTCAGCTTATCCTGGGAGGCTTTGTACAAATCCTCCATTTCCCCGTGCCAGAGACCAGATGCAGTATCCTGATTACTCGCGAGGCTCGCCGACGACGGAAGAATGGTGAGATGGTCTGGAGTGGAGATGAGCTGAAGAAAAAGCGACTCTCTTTCCGATATCTCTTTATGGTGTGGGCACGGCCATTCATCATGTTCCTTCGAGAGCCGATTGTGCTGTGCCTGTCGCTGCTCAGTGGGTTCAGTGATGCCCTGATCTTTACTTTCCTGCAGTCGTATACGCCAGTATATAAACAGTGGGGGTTCAACACGATCGATATTGGGCTTTCATTCATTCCGTGAGTCTCACTTTCATACTGAATCTTGTTTCTCCAATTAATGTTAACCTGTCCTGTCCATTAGAATTCTGGTCGGATATGTGCTTGCCTATTTCTCATTCTTGCCGTGGATACATCGCCATTGCCGAGTTCAAGAAAAAGACCCAGATGGACTTCAGCCAGAAGCTCGATTACACTGGCTGTTATGGGGTATGCTATTCTCATACCTGTTACTGTTGGCTTTTAGTTACTAACTGCTCCAAAGTTGCCCCTTTACTCACAATCGGACTGTTTGGATTCGCTTGGACTAGTCTTGGGCCGCCCAATGTGCATTGGATAGCGCCTATGATTTTCTCCTGCTTGATTGCTATAGCTAACGTAAGTAGCCCACAAGCATATTTCAGGCATGACCGATGACTGACTAGTAGTCAGTTCTCGATCTATATGGCCACGATCGATTACATGATCGCTTCGTATGGCCCATACTCAGCTTCAGCAACGGGCGGCAATGGATTTGCACGCGACTTCCTCGCAGGTGTCGCAGCGATGTACTCAGTACCAAGTAAGTTTCCTACCGTTCTGGTATCGCCATCATCGTTACTGCTATAGAATAATTCCTAACAATCGACAGTGTACCAAAACATGGGAACGACACACAGATTGGAATGGCCGTCTACATTCTTGGGCTTCATGGCGATTATATTCACAATCCCTATCTACATCTTCTATTTCTACGGACCTAGGATTCGGGAACACTCTCCTTTCGCGCAGACTTTGGCTGCAGACAGGAAGAAGGCTGGACGGAGGGTTTCGCAGTGTGGTTCTGGCGACCCCGATCCTGTGCAGCGATATCTGTCTGGGTCCTCAGCGTGAGGGTATCATTTTGGATGAAGAAGAAGTATTCTGGGGAAGACGTAAAAGCTGGGTTGCTCTACTCGAGTATGGGCCTTGTTAGCTTCTATTGTTGATTACCGAAGGGAGATACCTATCATGAAATTGACTACTGCATGGAAATACCGCAGAGCATCTAATCGCGCGCCTCATTCTTAGCTGTGCTGGTGCGGACCGACCATTTGGGATGATGTTATTAGACCATCATTGATATGGGAGCAATGACATACAACTGGGCAGGTAGAATGATCAATAAGTTCAGCATGGGTATCTGGTAGAGCATTGGTATCTGGTAGAAATATTATTTCCATTTGATAGCCGTGAAATTTACACTAACCAAATATCTATCATCGAGTAGCTATCAATCTATGGGATAGCATAACAATGCAAATCGAACGCTTGCAGACAGTGGAGGTGCGAGTATTCTTAAATCACTGACGAGGCTGCCACGTAATGCTCTTGGCAAGTGGTCCGCCGCGGTCATAAGTAACCAGGGCTGTATGATGATCGAGCGCCAGCACTCCCGGCCAGAAGCTGGAGGCGGGCGAGACCACCTGGGGCTCACTCCAGCGAATCTGGCCATTCTGGGGCGGCCCTGCGAAGACGGCTTTGATAGACGCATGCTTGACCCAGTCTACCTTATGCGAATCATCATCAGTCATGAACACCACCACCATGGAACCATCAGCAAATGCGGAGATCTGCGGCGACCCCGCATTGTGTCCTTGGCGGGGTCGGAAAACCTCATGGCGATGGTGCCATGTCGCGCCATCATCGTAGGAGATCAATGCCTCAACATTGAACGGTCCATAGCGAGTGGTTTCGAAGACCATGACTAGTGCCTCGCGACCGTTGTCAAAAGTAGTTGCGATTCCATTCATCCCGTCGCGCAAGGGGTCTTGGTCACCGTGTAAACAGACTGGGTGACTCCAAGTACTCCCTTGATCATGTGTAACAACAAGCATCGTGCATTGGTTGTTGTGTGCAAATTCTTGAGAGTAGGTTAATTGTACCTCCCCCCGTCGGCCGAGTCGCATGAAGGGCTCCCAGATTCCAAAGGGCGGGCTCTTCTCTGCTGCCTGGGATGCAAACTTCCAGCTGCGACCTCCGTCCGTGGACCTGCAGACGGTGATGCGGAAGTGTGTAGGACCATTAGGACCTAGGTCGTGATTGCGAAACGCTGCGAGGACCACCCCCGGAGCGACCTCGAGAAGAAACATGTTGTCCACATCCCCGGTCGCCCGCGTTACTTCGGAGAAGTTCTCAAAGGTGCGTCCGCCATCGGTGCTACGGGCGACACAGAGGGCATGTTGACCGTCCGGGAAACGTGTGAAGGAGGAGAGGATGGAGCCGTCGGAGAGTCGAGCCAGGCGGGGATACGTGCCATTGTTAGGAGGGGAAGAGAGCGGGCGCTCATCGTCGTGGATGAACCCACGACCGGGTAGATGGTGACCGGCTGAACCAGGAGGTTGGCCCTGGTGGTCTTGCTGGGTATGATGGCCCACGCCGAATGCATTGAGTACTTTTTGACCGAAATGTCCAGGCATCGTGATAATGGTGATATGTTGTTGTAAGAGAGAGAGAGAGAGAGGGTCAGAGGAAGCTCTAAGACGAGGGTGGATGTTACGTCATGGCCGAGCCTTGTTGGAGAGACTTTTGTGGAGAAAAGAGACGGGAGATCTGAAACATCTGAAGAAGTCTGAAGAAATGAACAGGTTTAAGGATTGTGACTTGTGTAGTGAAGCTCGTCAACGGACACGAGTCCATCGAAATCTCAAGGGAGGTACTTCTCTGTCATTCTGCTTCCCTCCTGCTCTCCAACTTCAGCCACCAAGCACATCACCAAAGACCGAGTGATCATCTTCGGCCAGAGACCACCATGAAAAGACCAAATATGGTACAAGAGGCCGGTTTCCCGACCGGATTTACGGTGTTAAGGAAACGCAGAAGATGGAGTTCGGTTTTTGCAGGAATCCAGGGTCCGGACTTATCGCCGTGTAATCTCCGCGCGCTTTACGAATGGAGGCGCGTCACCATTTGACTGCCTGGAAATTTCAAAAGTGGATATCTATAAAAGAGGGAGCAAAGGTCGGAATGAGAGTGTTTGACTCACTTCCAGCACTATTCAAACATTCACACGATGGGCTTCCTCTATTCTCAAGTCTTTGTCCGACCGATATATCCCACCCGCTCCTTCGAGGGCCAAACGGTGCTCATCACCGGCTCGAATGTGGGTCTTGGCCTCGAAGCTGCTCGCCATGTGGTCCGACTGGGGGCTGCACGAGTGATTCTCGGTGTACGAAATGTACCTGCTGGTGAAGCTGCCAAGGAAGAGATTGAAAAGTCTACTCGTCGCCCGGGAGTCTGCGAAGTATGGGAGGTCGACCTGGCTTCCCACAGTTCGACTCTGGCCTTTGGCGATCGAATCGCCCAGCTCCCTCGCCTCGATGCTGCAATTCTCAATGCAGCAGTAGCCACTCGAACCTACCAACAGGCCGAGGGATATGAACGAACTATTACCGTGAACGTGATCAACACCCTGCTCCTCGCACTCCTCATTCTCCCCCGACTGAAGGCCACTGGACAAGAGTTCCCATCATCTCAGCCCCGTTTGTCCTTTATCGTTAGTGAAGTCCACGCTTGGGTTGAGTTTACCGAATGGAAGGACACAGACAAGACTATGCAGCTCCTCTCGGATCCCAACAAGGCCAAGATGGGGGAGCGATACCCATTGTCTAAATTGTTAGAGGTCTTGCTCGTGCAAGAGCTCGCAGGTCGGACGCGCGGCACGGATGTGATCATTACCATGGTCAATCCTGGACTTTGCCATTCATCTCTTGGCCGCGAAGCGGGCTGGCAACTCACCGCAATGAAGCTAGTATTGGCGCGAACCACTGAAGTAGGATCACGCACCCTGGTAGCTGGCATCTCCACCGGTATCGAGGGACATGGTTCCTATATGACGGATGCTACGGTGGACAACACTAGTCTTTCACCATTTGTCCGCAGTGAAGAGGGACGTCCAGCTCGGGAGAAGCTTTGGAGGGAATTGTCGGCAATCCTTGAACCAATTCGCCCTGGTATCATGCAGATCATTTGAAGTGTCTTATGCGAAAATTCTCGGTATCTATGGGTCTACTCTTCCTGTTGGTAGTATCATGAAATCTCTCCTGTATTATATAGCCTTAATAAATTTTATGCATCCTTGAACCTGCGCATTCATAATGAGATCCACGTCGATGGCTTTAATCGGAAAGTTATAGATTCTGGGATACAGGAGACTGAAGTTATGGGAAGCCGATTGGCAGTCAAGAAGCTTCTGGAGATTTTCGGGGCTGAGATTCTCATGTTGGACAAACAGACATCTGTTCTATATCTTCTTTTTTTTGCTGTTGGTGGAATTCGACTGGCTTGTCCCGCCAGGGCTGCATAGTCCCTGACAGCTGCCACCACCAGGTAGTCCGCTTATAAACACAGCCGTTGAGGATGAACCACACCTTATTCCAAAGATCCCATATCTAGCGAGTAAAATAAAAACTCCTTCCTAATTACGCGCTCTGGTGGCTGTGATCTCGTATGGTCTGATTCATTAACCTGGCGGGCGAGTGAAGAATGGGACCAGTACTCGTCACCATGACAGATTCAGTCTCTAAAAGGCACACTCTAATGTACAGAATGAAAATCTACGGGTTTCTAGAAATTTCTTAGGCTACTCCAATTTTATCTTTTCCTCTTCATGTCTCATACAAACAGATAGCCGTCATGGCTCCTGTATTTCTAGACTCCACTACACTTGACGATCGGATCAACGGAGTACCAAAGCCAAGCAAATCCCAGCCCGAGGTCGAATTAGTCCTCAATGAGCGCTGCGAAACTCTTTTATTCTTGATTGAGGCACTTGATGCCCCATCTACCATCAAGAATGAGAACCCTGATGTTCAGATTCAGCGAATACTCCATCTGGCATGGGTCATCACTGTCCGTGCATTTGTCTCGTCTACAACACTCTACGTGGGACAACACTATCCTGAGGACCGGTGCTTCATAGGGGCGACAAAGGATCCCACAGGAGTCACCTCGCAAATTCATGTTGATACCTACAAAACCGTAAAGGATCTGTTCACACAGATTATCAACAACTTGAGCACGACATCATCCGAGATTCGACTCGATAGCTTGTCTGAGACAGTGGAAACTCGTGGGTTGTATGATACTCGCATTATCTACCAACGGAAACCATTCTCTGGGTCTGAGAATGATCGTACAGCCCGCATGGCTCGATCCCAGACTTGCTGTCCATATCTAATTGACAGCGTGTTGCCTGCGTCGGGGCTCCAACTGTACATTCGACGCACTGCCAGCAATTATCTCTCTGTTCGACTTGATGGGGGTATCGCTTCCAAAGATTCATCATTGGCAACTAGTCTGCTACATAGCTTCGACACGGCACTTTCATCAATTGCCTCCCAACCAAACCAGTCTATTAGCACGGTGGACCTGTGCTCGACGCACGATCGCGAGCATATTCGCAATTTTACTCGCTCACTATCACCACCACAAGATGCGCTTCTACATGATCTGTGCTTGCGACACGCAACAACAACCCCTAATGCGTTTGCCGTTCGCTCCTGGGATGGTGACCTTACCTATCTCCAACTCCATGATTACGTCTGTCAACTTGCTCACTGGCTAGTTGCGCAGGGCGTGACTCCCGGTGTCTTTGTCGCTTGTACATTCTACAAGTCAACATGGGCAATCGTGGCCCGTCTGGCAATTCTCATGGCCGGAGGTGCTTACCTTTGCGTGGATGCCTGTGATCCACCACCATACTTGAAGTCCGTCTTGGACAGAACTCGGATTCGAATTATGCTGGCCTCCACTGGATTTGCTCAACAATATGCAGATCAAGTGGATGTTCTTTTGAAGTGAGCGAGGCGTCTCTTCAGGCTCTGCCTGTTTTCCTTGATAAACCTAGGTCCCCCGTCATGCCAAGTGATCCCTGTGTTGTGCTTTTCACGTCTGGTAGTACCGGCAGCCCTAAGGGAATCATTCAAGAGCATAGGAGCTATGCATCTGCCCTGACCGATTACATTCGTGTTATGGGTATGGGACCACACTCTCGACTTTTTCAGTTTGACGCATATGCGTTTGATATAAGCAATAATGATCTTCTTGCACCTCTTATCGCCGGTGGCTGTTGCTTTGTACCCACAAGATCGCTCACGATTGAGGCATTCATGAGCGACTTGAACGATCTCGAGGCTAATATCATGTTCGTAACGCCTTCAGTGGCCGTGGAAATGGATCCCGAGCGTGTCCCAACACTTCAAACAATGTGCATTGGCGGAGAGCCTCTGTCGGATTCTGTTCTCAAAAAGTGGTTGGGTCGTGTCCGTGTGATCAATCAGTACGGGATGGGTGAAGTCGCATCTCTTTGTGCTTACAACTCTAATCTTCAGCTTGGCCGTGGAGCTGCAGTTGGACGCCCTGCTAGTGGTTCTATCTGGATTGTGAGCCCTGACACTCCTGACCGACTCATGCCCATTGGTGCCGTGGGAGAGCTTCTGATCGAAGGGCCTCATATCGCTCGGGGGTATCTCGATCATGTATCGGGTAAATCAGAAAGCTTTCTCAGTACACCTCCATCCTGGATGAAACATGTACATCCTGATCGACCGTCACACCGGCTTTATCGCTCTGGAGACCTGGGACGGTATAACCACGATGGGACTATCGAACTCATCGGACGAAAAGATTCTATGCTCAAGCTTGACGGGGCGAGAGTAGAAGCTGGTCAAGTTGAATTCGTCATCCGCAAGCACCTATCCGCAGGGGATATTGCATTGGTGGATATTCTAGGCACCGCAGATGGAGTCAGCGAACGCATATTGGCCGTCTATCTTTACCTGTCCAGTAACCCGATGAATTTTGAATCCGGATCCGTGGAAGAAATGGAATTTCGGCCAATCATGCAACGTCGTTCCGTCTCTTGTCTTACACAGACTATAAGTAATGACGTCCGAGAGAACCTTCCCCGATATTATGTCCCCAGTTTGTTCCTGCTCATTGACCGTGTGCCGCGTACTAAATCAAAAAAGACTGATCGGCGCAAACTGCAAATGCTAGGACAAGCTTATTATATGGCTCATCGAGAGGAGTTGAAAGACATTATTGTCTGGCCTGGATGGGGTTGATTGATGGAGTCCACCTTGAACGACTCGCTGGAATGAAAGTCATGAATGACATATTGATGTGTTTGTGCTTTTAGGATTTCTGTTTCCAAATTTATCGTGTATCTCGCTATGAAGAAAATCGTCAATGTGGAGTCGTAGCCTATTCTAAACACTTTATTGTGTCCTTGAACGACTTGTTCAAGACCGGTAGCGCGGTACTCTTAAATACGAGACATGTCTAAGGATCTTTAATTGGAGGAATACCTGGAATAGTCCATATTGTTTCGAGTAAAAGCGGCGGTGTGTGCAATTGTCTGCGGCTTACTTTCCATGCTGGTTGGATGATTCACTTGGCATCTTGCCTAGTTGGTCCAATCGTGGACGATCGCGGGTGATGAGATCGCAATCAATGAATGCTCAGTGTAGTGAGTCTTAGATACCTAATCAGGCACCTCGACCCGGCTAGAACTTTCTCGGGTTAACCTCGGACATTTTGCAACCTGACAAGGTGCAGGAGTTTCATACACTATGCTTGTTAACGGTCTCCTTTGTACCTTCTGCAACTGATCTGCATCATGATATAAACCGTCACCAAACACAAAAAATGTACGAGGTTTTCTACTGTGTAATTCATGAATCAAAAACGGCTGCTATCAATCAACATCCAAACACCCCACCATGTGCTCATCATGAAACAATGAAACAATATCGCTCAAATCCTTGTAGTGGGGCTAAAAATGCAACCAGTAGGCCACCCGGCGATCAGTGGGCACTTTAGTCTGATATCATTCATGGACAATTCCATACTGCTGCAAGCTCGGTCAGTTTGCAAAATAAAGTATGGATCTTCACTGCGAACCTCACGTCTACTCAAGCTCAAACAGAGCCAAGATCCACTATCATGTCTGCGCCACCCGTCTCAGGGTCGACGATCAGTTTCGGTCCGTTCATTATCAGGGTATATAGCAGGCTCGATCTCATCCCGGGGATGTGCCTGTGTCCCGCCATCAGTCTTTCCTTTGCCATCGAGGGCCATTCCTCTTTCTCTCCGGTCATTCCTTCACGACTGCTGGTTCAGTCGTTCTTTACTACTCTACCCGTTACGCTCATTTTTCGGTTCTTCTATTTCCGTAATGGCCCTCCAGAGAACTCTCCTGGCGGCCATTGCTCTTCTGGGAGCTACTGCCCAGGCTACGGGTGTTTCTGGCACTGCCTTCGGTTTTGCGACAGGAACTACTGGCGGTGGTAATGCGGCCGCAGCTGCCCCTAGCGATATCACACAGCTCACCGAGTGGTTGACCGACAGCACTCCCCGGGTCATTCTCATCGATAAGGAGTTCAACTACCTGAACAGCCAGGGCAAATGCACCGACTGCAAGTGCTGCATTCCCTCGTCCAACTCCTGTGGCAGCTCTGGTCAAAATGCTATCGATCTGGACTCTTCCTCCTGGTGTGGAAGCTACCCGACTACGACTTGTACCTACGACAAGGCCGCTATCGATGGTATCAATGTTGCCTCCAATAAGTCTATTGTCGGTGTTGGGAGTGCCGGTGTTATTCGTGGTAAGGGTCTGCGTCTGGTAAATGGCGTTAGCAATGTGATTATTCAGAATATTCATATTACCGAGCTTAACCCTCAGTACATCTGGGGTGGCGATGCTATTACACTGGATGGTACAGACCAGGTCTGGATTGATCACGTCAAGATATCCCTGATCGGTCGCCAGATGTTTGTTGCTGGATATGAGGCGAGTAAGTGGCAACCCTGGTCTATTTTTATTAGAGTGAAGATCGATATTGATTGTTGATTCTCCCAGGCGGTCGTGTCACCATCTCCAACAGTGAGTTTGACGGCCAGACGAGCTGGTCCGCTTCCTGCGATGGACACCACTATTGGACTGTGTATGTTTCCCTACCCCGATCTTAAGGCTCCATACTCTATCATGGCTAATCACAAATACAGCCTGGGCTACGGTAAAAACGACAAGGTGACCTTTACTGGAAACTACATCCATCATACCTCCGGCCGCTCCCCCAAGCTTGAGTTCAACAGCTACTGGCACGTCTACAACAACTTCTGGTTCAACAACACCGGCCACGCCTTTGACATCGGTGAAGGTACCAACGCTCTGATAGAAGGCAACGTCTTCCAACAGGTCAAGACTCCGTTCCTGGCTGACAGCTCCCCCGGCAAGACCTTCGCCGTTACCGCTAGCGACAAGTCAACCTGCGACTCTGCTCTCGGCCGTACCTGCGCGGCTAATACATTGACTTCCTCGGGTACTTTATCGGCCAGTGACGAGTCTGTCTTGTCTAGCTGGCCGAGCGGTGAGTCTGGCATTGACGTTCTGGACGCTGGTCGTGTCAAGTCCTCAGTGCTTAGCAATGCGGGTGTTGGTAAACTCAGCAGTGCTACCTCTTCGAAGAAGGCCCGCCAGTTTGACGGATGGGGCCATGCTCTCTCCTCTGCGGGTCCTGGAGCCACTCCCTGTGCGACCCCCAGTGGTGCTGCTCCCAAGTGGACCTGGAAGACTATCGGGGTTAAGCCTACTCATCAGCCTAGTGGTTTCCCTCCTCTTCCTAAGGAGAGCCACGGTGCTGGTAGCGGTAGCTTCCCCTTTGGCTTCTTCTAAGCTGCCTATCTTTTAGGGTTTTAGATGCGCAGCTCTAGTATTGGGAAACAATCTCTACGGAGTACTGGGTTGCTATCCCAACGGGTGGGTGGAATAATGGTTTTAATTTCTCTTCTTCCGGTCGGGTATGCTATTGGAGGTTCATGCATGAGTCTATTGCTAGTCTCTGTGAGGTAACATGGTTACCTGACTGGTGTATTTACTTGACATTCCGAGGTTGCTCCGAGGCGGCCTCGTCCTTCACGGTGCTGTCGGCTAGGTACCTCAGTCAATTTTTTTTGATCCATAGAGCTCGGGTATATCCTTCGTTCACACTTAAAGTGATTCTTTGGTCCTTCTTTTTGATCTCCTCAAAGCCGCCGGTCGTATAACCTGTTACGACGTTCGAGAAGTAGGTTCAACTCGCGGTAGGTACTCCGCCGGCCCGGAAGACCGTTTGTGGGGCTCGGGATTAAGATAGGCATAGCATCGAAAACAATGGCTAGTCGTGCTAGACCAGCTGCCTATTTCAGGCGCCTATGCAACGCTCCGGTCCTCGGAGATTGCTGGCCTCCTGAGTGTAGAGCTTTCCCGCTATCGAGGATAAGCGGGGACAGTGATGGCGAAATGCAGCGGGCGCTGCATGGTTGACGGAAAATTTCGCACGTGGAAATTGCTTTCCTCTGCGGTATGATCCTCATTGGTTGTATGTCCAACCGATGGGATCTGCTGGGATAAATGCTCCTTGCATCTCGCGAAAGTTGTGCATCTCATGTTCTCCCTGAGCCGGACCAAGCTGGTCCGCCCCAATGGTGAACCCGGCACTTGCATCTACCGGGAGCCAGTTGGAGGTTCGGCGGGTGCTTCCATCTGGCATTTCTAGGGTGGTCGGGTATTCTTCTTCTTCCATGTGATGTGATGAGTGTGCATAGGCAAGTCTATCGGACATGGTGGCGTGGGTGTTGGGGGAGTCGGGGGACCGAGACGATTGCATGTCTTCGCTGTCTTGGTCGGTCTCCCAGCGGCCGAATGAGGCATGGCTGGGCTCCGGCGTACCGCACGGATCGGAAATAGGTGACCCTGGGAAGGTCGGGAAGGCTGTGGGTTGCACGGACGGAGTCATAAAGAGGGCTCGTTGAGTGGCCATTAGGGAGCTCCACCGTTGTCGCTCTGCATCTTGAGCTAGTGGATCGGGATATAGTTGTTGTTGATCATAGATAACGCTGGACAGGTTAGTATTGCACGAAACCCTCAATTCCACACCGTGAAGCACTCGGTGGACTCCGGAAAGGAAAAAAAAAAAGGGATTCAGTATTTACCTCGCGTCCTCCCAGTTCTCCCACTTGCCGCCAGCGGAGTGGATCGTCAGGCCCGCCTCCACCCACGATTGCGGATACCGCTGGGCCTCAGCCACTTTGGCGAATTCGGCATGAGCATTATTGTTCCAGCCCAGCTGGTCCACCGTCCATGGCTCGAGATCTCCTTGCACGGCAAAGGGGAACTGATTATTTCCGGCCATGAGGCTCGGATGGAGCTCCTCGTGGGCCACGATGGGTACCAGACCCTCCGTCTCGTGGCTAGGAGCGTCCGTCACGCACCAGGGCTCCAGTTCGTATGCAGAGGCCATACTTGCGAATCTTTCTGGAGGCTTCGAGGTTGGGAGAAGCTCAAACAAAAGTGTGCTCTGAGAAAACAATAGCGATGAGCGAAAATGAAGTTATTGGCAATCACGAATAAACTCGCGCAAAAGTATAGACTTCAACGCGTTGCGATCTCCACGCGCGAAGAAAAAAAAAACCAAATTCCCCGCAAACCTGGGGACATCCTGGCCGACGGTTTTTTAAGTAGAAAAAAGCAAACTAAAAACAAGAGGGCAAAAGACTAAAACCGAAACTCGAAATTGCGGAGAACATGCAAGCGACCTGAGAAAAAAGCTCCGAAGCGAACAGCTCCAAGCGGCAAATTGTAGCCGTTGCACGCACCGCATGATCCCTGGAGAAATACTTTGAATTAACCGAGTTTCTCCCAGCTTTCCCCGGATTGTGGCCCACGGATCGAACCGAGCTTGGTTCCTTAACTTCTTCAACAAGACGCAAATTCGATGCGCCAATCGGTGCATTCCATGGCGGGTTCGGCAAGAAGATGTTTTAACCGACCATCACCCCCCGCAAAGCATGAGAAACCAACCGAAGGGGCTGATGCGGAGTAACCGTTGATCAGGGATCATCAGGAACCCCAGAACGGCGAATGGACCGCTGAGACCGGGGAAATAGAGAAAGAAATAGCCAGTGGGCGCATAAAGTGAGCGCATAGAGTGACTAGTCACGTAATCTAATATATTGAAAAGGACTGCCCCTTTCACGATTCGAACCCTCAACCTCCAGCTCCCTCTGTACTTCCCTGTGATGCTCCATCGCTCCCCCATAACGCCGAAGACCACTTTACCCGGCATCAACCCGATACCATCCCCAATAATAATACCCCTATAACACCTTCAAAAGAATTCTTTTTTTTATTAAATTAAAAGGTACAGTATCCTGTTCATATAAAAAGTACTCTATAATTTTTCCAAAAACAAAAGAAGAAATCGGCGAGCGAGGGGGATTAGCTCGCTCGCCCACTCTCCCCCTTAGGGTGTGCCCGGTCATCCGTGGAGTCATGCTCGACATCGCATAACTACCAGTCAACCATATTTCCCCTTCATTTTCCTTCACAAGGGCACACCCTTGGCCAACCAGGTGGCGACCAACCTGGCTGACCAACTAGGCCATGTGAGGGGGGAGATTACCTGGAAGAACTTGAAGTTAATGATAACTCTCGTTGACCTCACAACTTTTATTTCTTTCTGGTATGTATATCATCACGTTTCCAGCTCATGCTGCTCATACATAAAACCATTCCCTCCCTGTATAGCCTCGCATGCTCCTGGCCCGTTCACGCAAGGTACGTTCCACCTCCACGCGGAGCAGAACTACCCGGGGCCTGTCGATCCGCTCATGGTGGAACGAACCAGGAGATTGCAGGCATGCGCCACGAGGTCTGTTATTGTCCGGCCATTTATCAGTAAATGCCGAGCGGGTATAATGACCTGTATGGTTCTGGAAGCCCTCTGCGCTTAATACTCACGTTGGCGGATGAATAGTCGGTTGGGCCTCTGCAGACAGGATAGACCGACTATTGAGGATATGCCCTCATAACTCGGCATTATCATATTGTATCAATTTTTTCCTAGACTCGACCTCGCCCACTGGAGTCTTGCCTAAATCTCTCTAGATCGGACAGGCCCACATTTGCCAAGGATAATTATACTGTGGGGTCTTCATGAATACATTCGTAGAAGAGATCGAGAACGCTTTTGTGGACCTGAATTAACCATATATCCATGGGACCTTTGCGGGTATTTTGTGGATTCACCGTCAACCCAGAACGATTAGTGGATTCTTATAGTGGCCGGCTTTTCACGCCACTTGAAGCAATAAATAGCTTCTCTTAAGCCACTGTGGCTGGATCAAATCTTTGCACTACATGAGCTAGGCTCTAAGTCTTTTGCACTACATGAGCTAGGCTCTAAGTCTTTCATTGCAGTGGCTGGCATATACCCAGTACCTATTCGCTCGTGCAAATAATACATTTCACTGACTTGCCCTAAATACCAAAGTTGAGATCACGATGGGTACCCTGTACATTAGTCTTCAGTTTTTCAATTTAAACTTCCGAACCATTGCATGGAATGTAAAATACCTTGTGCTATATCTGTATACCCTTTTATCTGTAGTTACCCGGTTGCGTGTAGCTCGGGCGTGGGCATAGGTATGTTGGTTGAATAACGGGTCGAATAGCCGAGTTCGGCAGCTTTAACTGACTGATATACATGGCGGGGGATTCAGAACGTCGCCTCCACACTACAAGAATTCAGGCGATCGCTCGTGCGGGGAAAGTGGACATAAAATTAGTGCATCTCGCCGTTGTTTTTGTCCTCTTCAAGAAGCTACATTTTCGACAAGGTAATGTATTTATGCCGCTGAGTGCATCTACAAAGTAGCATCATATATTATAATCCCTCTATATATTATAATCATCGCCCGGGATTTACTCTAATCTCGTAGTCAACTATTCTCATCGTTATTGTTGATCGAGTGATCTTGCGGGGTCCCCATGCGCCACCAACCGAAGCCGAGGTCGAACATCCATCTCCTTGCCGAACACCATCTAAAAGCTCTTGTATCCCCAATCAAAACAATTCAAAGGAGAGGAGAGTATTCATGATTTAACAGCTTATCTATTCCTTTCTCAACTAGAACAAATCTTCCCATTTACACACCATGATCTTCGACCCAGCCCCCATCGAGCTTCCCGCCTCGTACGAAACAGTCCCAACCACAGGCCATGTCAAGGTCTCGCATCATCCAGCAGGCGCACCATCAGTGACTCCAGTCATAGTCGTGACTCTTAATCGTCCCGCCAACAACAATGCCTTTACTTCACAAATGGTGCACGATTTCGAAAAGTTCTTCCCCATGTTCGACGTCGACGAGCGGGTCAAGGTCATTGTCTTGACCGGCGCGGGCAAGCTCTTCTGTGCGGGTGCAGACTTGGATATTGGCTTTAGCAGCACCCGGGAGCGTCCGACTGATCATCGTGATGGGTATGTCGACGCCTGCATAACTTCAATAAGGATCCCAGGAGCTGACGGATCTTAGTGGTGGACGTGTTGCGTTAGCCATTCATCGCTGCCGCAAGCCTACTATTGCAGCTATGCAGGGCTCTGCCGTCGGGGTTGGAATGACAATGACACTGCCGGCTGTCATTCGGTGAGTCCTCTGGTCTATCTTTAGCAGATGAATTGTTCGATACTAACAACCTGTCGCGGCAAGCATCGCCTATGAGAAAGGAAAATACGGCTTCGTTTTCGGTCGCCGCGGCATCATCATGGAGTCCTGTTCCTCATACTTCCTACCGCGCCTGATCGGCTTCTCGAATGCCAGCTATCTCGTCAGCACCGGGGGTGTATTTCCACCAAACTCGAAGCATTTCGGTGACCTCTTCAACGAAATCCTGCCCGATCCTTCGCAAGTGCTGCCACGAGCTCTCGAGCTGGCCACGGAAATCTCGGAGAATGTGAGCCCGACGTCGCAGTATCTCAATCGTGCGTTGATGTGGCGTAATCCCGGGACCGCAGAGGAGGCTCACCTGCTGGAATCGGCTGTTATTTGTCACGCCTTTGGATCAGAGTATGTGGCAGTCTTGGTGCAGCCAACTGGTGAGGGTTTCTTGTTTTGCTGACAATGAAATAGGGACCAGAAAGAGGGTGTAAAGGCCTTCTTTGAAAAGCGTAAACCGACTTTCCGTGCAAATCTCGATGATAACCCACCTGTTAATGTGCCGTGGTGGACTGAGGTTGACACTGGGCGTAACCCGAAAGCAAAGACCCCGTCGAAGTTGTAGTTGATTAGATTCTTGTAGAACGCTCGGGTGCTTGCTATAAGACCAAACTGATTCAATGGAATCTCCAAACTTAAGAGTCTAATACGAGAATATCACATTTGTATTTGGTGTTTGGATTCAATGTATGATGTCTTCGGGATAATCTTACCGAATTCCACTGTATTGCGAACAAAATCTACAAACCATACTTTCGAGTATCGCAGAGTCAAAAAAACGGTTAAGAAAAGAAATGGGAGCTCGTTGATGGTGATACCAAAGATAATTTTGAAAGTACAGTGTAATCTCCCGGCTCGCCCGCGTCGCTAATGAGGTTGAAAATCAAAACACCGATTCCATAGAAAAGAGAAAAATGCCCTGCTTGGGCTAAAATCTGCCACGAGGGGACAGTTTAAATCGTATGCACACAGAGAGAGGAAACCCGATGCCCCAGGTGTTTTCAAGAAAAGCGAAATTAGACGATAAAGTTACGGCGCTTGCGGTTGTAGGCTCGCTGATCCTTGAGCCACTGTCGGTATCCCTGCACACTGCCAATCTTCTCGCCGTAGTAGTCGGGGACGGGGTTCGCAATCGAGTTGGTAGACGGGTCCACACGGAATCGCTTAATACGGTCGAAGAACTCCTTCTCTTTCTGTCATGGCGGAAACACAGCATTAGTCGGGTGGTTAGGCTTTGATAGGCTGTTCTCAAATGACTTACTGTTGCCACAGAGGGCTTATACCGGCGGTAAACCAGGCCCCAGACACCATTGCCAACAGCTGGACCAACCAGCCAGCCGACAGCACCACAGGCTGCGGTCGCCATGCCGAGAACGACGAACGGATCCAGACCCATGACCTGAGCACCCAGAGACTCCAGATCCTGCGCTGAGAGAACCTGCACACCGGCGGTGGTAGAGACGAGGGAGCTGATAACCGAGGATGCCAAAGAGTAGCGACGGCGAGAAGCGCGGAGCTTGAAGAAGGAATCCCAGTCCAGCTTCACCTCATTCTTGCTCGGTGCCGCAGTCGACTGCGTACGCAGACCGGCTGGGCGGTACTGTGAGATGGTAGAGGGCCGAGCATGAGGCCGGAGGTCTTGGTTCTTGACGGCACACGACGGACGAACAACGGTCGAGTGGAGGCGCGCAAGTTGCGCCGAAGCTCCTTGTGAGCCGAATCGGGAAACGGGAGAGGAATGGGCGAGAACATTGGCCGCAGAGGAGCCCATGCGGCCGGTGAAGATTGAGCGAACAGACATGCTGACGAGACTGGAGTGTATCTTGATCGCCGCGGAGTCGTTGCAAACCAGAGATTGCGTTGTTAGCAAGGGAAGTTGGCCGCCAGGGAGCTGCCCGGAACATGGTTACGTAAGCTGGACCTGGGCCCGAGGTCCATCCAATCAATGGATGCGATGAAAACCTATCGACGATCTTGTAACATCGATCGCACTTTAGATACAGCACAGTAGGAATCTGTCATGTTTAAATTTTTAGGGTAGTCAAACATGAATTAATTCCCGTAATGGGGTGCTTCTCCCGTTGTAGTGTGACCAAAACGTACTGAATATATCTATGGTCTTTGGTGTTCGCGCACAGATCGGTAGGTACCTAAGGATCGAATGAAAATATATATAGCGGTAATGATTTCGCCCAAATCCCTACCTAGCAATAACAAAAGGGACCAAAACGAATCAAGAGAGCATGACATTCGCCGAAGGTGTCGCCGAGTCAAGCAGTCTCGCAATTTTTAGAGAGGCACCAAGTGACCCTTGCTATAGGAATGAAAAACCAACATGGAAAAACCAAAGGCAAACAGGCTTAATAGAAGACAGATGGTGATAACGATGAATCCTTCTTGGTCATTGAGGTGGTCATTTCATAAACTGCCATCTTCATAAAGTATGTACATAACCTGCGACTCTATATTGTGTTCCACCCATCACTCTTCCAAGATACTCATAAACTTACCTGGACACATATCTTGACGCGATAGTCACCCACAGTACACCGTACTCATCGGTTCTTATCTTAAGCAATAAGTTTAAAGTGTCTCCTTTTTGATATCACCCGGGCGAGACTGAGGGGGCAAACCATTACCAAAGCCATTTACACGACCATGCAGCCACTTTAAGGTGATGGTGCTTGAAGCCATCACAACGGCACTCATCGAGAACAGGCCAACTCGTCCCGAAGTGGACAACTGTTCGAAGATGGGATACGGGTACCTTCAGCTAGTAAGTATAGTCATAGCAAACGCTAGTCAATAGTGTCAGCTGCTCTTACCATCCGTTGTTTGAGAAACATTGCTCTACCCAAAACCAGTAAGCGAAGGCGATAACGCTGGACAAACCCAAAGCGGGCAAGGCAGGAATTGTCCAAGGTGGAGAAAGCAACAGCAGATCCACCAACATCACGATGGATGGGACTGCATGGAAACCGAGATCTGTCGGCAGGTTTTAGTGTCCGTTCCCCACCGTTCTCGGCATGAGCCGCCATCTATGCAGCTAGTCCTGTCAACTTACCAGCATGTAAAGGAATGACTGCCCAGTCTGGGAGCACCAGACGCTCATCGATCTGAAAATTCGCGCATCTTCGGTTAGATGGGTCAATCGGAGCGAAGCAACTGTGTCTCCACTTACTACTCGGAGACCCCAGTAGAGCACGCTAATTAGTACTTCCATAGGAGCACAGCACACCGACAGCAGGTTCTTGATCAAGAACAGCCGGCGCGAGAGAGTCACATCGGCAAGTAAGGCAACAATGAAAGTCAGCGTCGAAAGGCTGAGACCGATGACGGTCAAGTACTGGAAGTGCCATCCATATGCCTCATTCCTTGAAATTCGGTTAGCTATGTTTAAATCCTGAAGCAGCTAATTAACCTCTCGCTCCAAGCGAGCAGCACTTACGCCTGGTTTGGGTTCTCGTGCATGCTTTGGAAGGTCGGTTAGCGCCGATTTTTACGTAAAGAAAAGGCTTGCGAGGTTTCAGAAAATATATCATATCAACATACTATTTGAAAGACCATAAGAAACTCGCAAGACCCGTTGCCTACCCAAGTTAGCCATGGACCCTTGACAGATTCACTAGAAGTAGAACCACGGGACGGGATGGACAGACATGAACCAGAGCAGAGAAACCCCTGGAAGGACTGGGCCACCGCTGCAGTGGATGATGGATAATGTGTGAGTGAGCCATTTTCTCGTGGAGGTATGTGCGGATGAGGTAAATTAATTGAGTTTGAAAATTGGCGTCGGAAAGAACTAGGGGACCAGGACCAACCTGACTGGGGAAGGCGGAGGCTATCGGGCCCAGCTAGGCATCCGACCGCCGCTATGATGAGTGTCATGTGACCGGCAAGCCGCGGCATGCCGCCTCGGACTGCGGGTTTTCCCGGATCCCGGCTGATTCATCCCTTATCTTTCGCTTCCCCACACTTTCCCACGCGTGCTCCAAGATACGAATCTTCTTTGCAATTCGTGCTCAGTTGCTTCGTCCTTTGCTTTCTGCTCGCAGGCTGCAGTAGTCGGAGCGAGTGGGCCATTCCTATACCCCAGATTTCTGACCCCTGCTAAACTTGGCCACGTGGAATTGGTCTGCAGATCGTCGCTAGACTAACCGTTCCCTGCATTTTCCCCGGCAGATAAGGTGAACAAGCGTCTGCTATTGCTACCGCTGTAGCGGGACCCTGCTTTTCCTCGGGCACATCTCCCTCCCACACCTCGATGTGCTTGTATACTAGGTGTGGGTGTCTGGTCGATTATCGTTTCGTCGCAACCTGGGGCCAACACAGTTGTAAACGCCGGAAGCGCATCAATCGCAACTTGCTTGTTCTGTGAAGAGCTAGAGCCGATCTCGACGTGTGTGCTCTGTATGGCCGTGGAACAGAACCTTCAACCCAGTGGCTCTCACAAGCCTATCACTTTTCTTCGATCGTCTCGCTACCTGTCATCTAGACCAGGTTGCCAATAGGATCGACTTAGAGGGTGCAATGCCTCGCCCTCGACGACCTGGCGCTCCAGAGCCTAAGCGAAGGAGCCGAAAAGGATGCTGGTAAGTACATTCCGTGCAGGAAAGAGTCGTTGTATGTCATAAGACTAACCGTTCGTCAAGGCCATGCAAGGCTCGCAAAGTCAAATGGTAAAGGAAGCCAATATGCCTCTCATCGTCGTATATCCAACTAACGCATGAAACATCGCAGTGGCGAAGAAAAGCCATCTTGCCTCAATTGCCAACGACAAGGAGAATCATGCGACTACAGCGTTCGCCTCAATTGGGGTGGCCGCACCAAGCGGCCTTCCGTTGATTCTCCGACTTCCACTTCGAGGGGATATGGGGGTACGCTGATTGGCTTTGCTGAGCCGATGCGGACCAGTGCCATTGACTCGGCCGATGTCCCCGCATCAATACCATCAGGAAACAAGGCCCCTGCAGATGGGTTCATTAACTTCAGATCGGGTGACCTCGGGTCCCCTGGAGCCCTGTCGCCTAATAGCGCTGCCGCCTTCGGTGTCTTCGACTCCCCAAAGCCTCAAGTGCTTTCAGAGAATGCGATATCACCCCCTCAAGGAGAGGTTCAATTTCCCACAACATGGGCAGAGCATTCTCCCGTAACCCCGGCTTCATCGGGGTCCATGTCACAGTACTCATTTGGTCAGACCTTCCATAGCTCATTCTCTCCGGCAGCAGACCAGGGAGTCGGTCTTCGATCTCTTTCTGCTTTTGCATTTCACTCAAGCTCGGTATCGCAGCCGGTTTCCTTTCTTCGAAATTCAGTGGACATGACAGGTCATCCATCAGATGCATCGTCCCGTCCAAGTCAGATTGATGCCCAGATAGCCACAAGCCGTTCCTTGCCACATGATGACCATGGGCTGAGTTTCTTATTGAACGACCCTGCCGGACAGGATAGCCCCTCTCATAATCTGACAGGCCACGGTGGAGTTTCAGCATTGCTGCTTCCAAGATCGCATGCATCCTCCTCTCCTGGTCATGACAGGCATACGCCTGTATCGAACCATGCACCAAGGTCCGAATCGCTTCGTTCATTCCATCATTCTGAAAACCTGTGCACTGATTCCAGGGACAGAGAAAACGATCATCCTAGAAACGAATCCCTCGCCGCTCAATGTAAATGGCAGGCCTATCTGACCAGTGTGACCGATAATTATGGTTTGGACAGCGGTCGTCCAGATCGGGATCTGACCTTGAATAATGATCATGCTGCTATTGACATCAACTCCGCCGTTGACAAAGTCAGCTCACAAAGTCGAAATGGTGAATCCCTGTCTCCTACATCTTTTCCCGGCGTCTCCGGTGTGCAAAAGTCCGGCTTTAGCGGGTATTATGCGTCTCCAGTTCCCATTAACATCCCTCGATACCTGTCCCCTCTTCCTTCATCCTTGCTGAAGAACCCAATAAACTTGTTGTATTTCCATCACTTCCTCAACCACACGTCGAAAATGCTGGTTCCACACGATTGCGACAACAATCCATTCGTGTCAGTGCTACCGTCGAGTACGTTTACCCTTCCCTTTGTCTGGCGGCTGTACCGTCTTGGTTTCTCTCATGCTAATTGAGCAGTGGCAATTTCCGACCCCAATTTGTTGAACCTAGTTTTGGCATACTCGGCGAGCCATCGAGCACGTTATCTGGGACATGCGGAACCGGCCACTCGAATTGCGCATTGGGTTAGCGATGTCTTTCCAGCCTTGCGGGTTGCTTTGGAGGCATCTAAAGAGGAAATTACCGATAGCCATTTGGCTACGGCGATCCTGCTCTTGTCGTTGAAGATCGTTTGCCCTGGGACCTTTGAAGTCCCTATCCCCTGGCAGAGTCACCTGAAGCTCGCCCGAGATCTGTTCATTGCTCGTAGCGATCGCATCGCAATGCCTGGGAATCGAATTGGCGCTTTCTTCGCCCGCTGGCTAGGATATATTGATACCATGGGCGCGCTTTCTTGCCGCCAAGCAGGTCCGCCATTGATGTTGTACCACTCCGTTCTGGCAGAGTGCTGTCGTCCTCAAAGCCATGACGAATACTGCGTTGACTGTTTCACTGGGTTCAGCCCCCGCACTGGATTCTTCCTTCTCAGGCTTGCCCAGCTAGTTCAGCAATGTGACAACGAACGATTCGACGATATGGGTAACTTCCAACGGGGCTGGCACCCTTCTGCAGATATCGTGATGGAGGCCCAGGCTGTGCTTGGCGACTTTGATGACCTGAACGAAAGAGTCCATGCCGACCCGGACCATCATCTTGGGGTTGAGGGCGATGACATGATGGCCACAGAGGAAGCCTTTCGCTGTGCTGGGCTGCTCCACCTTCACCGACGAGTGCTTGAATCTTCGCCTGATTCATTTCCCGTGCAAGATGCCCTGCGTAAGCTTGTCGGGGCTTTGGATCGTATGCGACTTGGGGCTTCGACCGAAGTGTGTTCACTGCTTCCACTGTTCACTGCTGGATGTGAGTCGCGCGATACCACCCAGCGAATGAAACTGCTCAATCGTTTCTTCGTGCTAGAGAAGTCCGGAATGAAACAAGTATGCCCCCTCCCCCAAGAACTCTTGTCTGCGGTTTGATGTTGAAGTCTGACACCTTGAAATAGATTCAAAATGCTCGGCAGCTGATGCAACACTGCTGGGATGACAACTTGCCGTGGATTGCTCTGGCTGAAGGGGAGTTCCTCGGGTAAAATTGGATGGTTCTCGAGTGGTCAATATGAAACCTCTATTTTTGTTGCTTGCTCGGTCCTTCCCCGATGGATTGTGACAGTGATCGCACCCTGGATGTATATGATATCCTTCCACCTGGAACTTTTCAAAGTATATACTCTCTTTTCATGTTAGCCATGTTGCATTGACACCTCTCGATTGTCTCTTATCTCTGATCTCATTTGATATCAATTCGTGGCATCTCATTCATCTCTTCAGACGCAGTTAGCAAAAGAAAAAAAAAAGGGCAGAGCCTTTGCCCGAAGGAGAGATTGCTCATCCACGTGATGGGCACTCTCGTTATCCGCACGCACCTTCCCATCAGTTTGATGCTATTCACCTCTCTTCTTTTGAGGATCAACCCGTTTTCTCTCTTTTCTTTCCTTTCACCCATCCCCGCTCAACCTCTACCTCTTTCATCCTCCAACTCCATCTCCCTTTTCAAGTTCAAACTCCCAACAAGCTCTCCTCGGCCTTGAGTTCATCAGAACGAAACGCTACCATCAACATGGACGACCCTGGAATCACCATGCCTTTGGTTACCTCTTCCCTCCTGGATCAGCTGGTCGAGTTCGAGTTCCCGCTGCTCCAGCCCTTCCGGTACGTTCATAAACATGTTTATTCGTTATACTCGAGCTCTTGCATCCGAAAGCGATGCTTTGCCTTCAATGCCATCACTGAATGTATCGAGGCGCCCGATTTGGGAAATAAGTGTCTTCTTCTGACTCTTTGCATTAGTTACTCGAGCACCACTCCCGCCCGGTTCCACTCTGACGGTCCTATCATTCGTGAGGTATGTGCCACTATCCAGAATCATTGCTCTGCTCGCTGGACGGCACTGATTAATTAATTAGGGATCGCCAATTGGTTTTGATTTGGATGTGGCTGAAACCAAGGACTCTGCCACCGTTGAGGACTCACACCAGGCCAATCCCCTTGAGACCGAAAAGTCTTTTGGTCTGTCCCAGCGCAAGGAGAATGTCCTGCCGGCCAAGCCTCCCCCATCGGTTGTAAACCCTTACAACCAGTGGCTGAGATGGACCATGAACCGCCCCGGCGTCTTTAACAGCCCGGAGGAGGAAGCTTTGGCCGCCCAGTTCGGGGCAAGCCGCCATGATCTCTACAAAGGTGTCAGTGACAATTCCTTTTTCCAGTGGGGCCTGCGGTATATGCCAAAGTCCGGCGACGAAAACGCTTTCCGCACCGTGTTGATCGAGAATCTCCCTGACACCGTCACCCTCGATCAAATTCTGACTCGAATCCGCGGTGGCGCCATCCTCTCGGCCTCTCTGACAGACACCAGAACCATCACTGGCTCCCCTACCGCATTGATCATTTTCCTTCACAATAGAGGAGCATTGAACTTCCTGTACCGCGTTGCGCGAGAGGGCTTTTATATCGGATTTAGCCCCGCGCAAGTTCGCCCCGTCCCGACCCCGACCTACCGCACCGCGACCGACTTGGAGAATCAAATCCGCCGCCTTGGTCATAGTCGCTGCCTGGTGGTCCGCACTCCTTATATCAAGGAAATCAGGGACGAGGTTCACCGTGTGCTGAGCCAGTCACGCCTTCGCCATTACGTGGAGTGTTTCGGAGAACGGGATCTTAAAGGCGAAGTCACCGTTCAGTTCCACTCGATCAAGATCGCCACGGTAGCCTACCTGGTGCTGGTTAGGGACCCCAAGTTTAAGGGGCAGTTTGTGAAGTTTGGACCTGACCCGTGCGCCATGTTTTGATTCAACAAGTTTAGGTGCGCCTTATGAGGGCTTTGTCCATGCCAATCGGCAGGCGCGAACTGTGGAGCAGACACAGAACCGAGCAGACACAGAACCGCCGGGCATGATAAGTCCTCATGGGCGAGCATCTACTATCGATATTCAATGAGATGTTTTCAATTTGATATTTTTGCATTCGTTGCAAGAAGTATGTATTATGTAGAGCTTCGGACGAAAGCAAAGTAAATCCAGTAGTATCACTAAATGGCTCGGAAATGTTCCCCGCGGGGTAGACGGGGCCGCCCGATGAGCTGCACTGAGAACACTCCTTAGCCTACTCTCGTCACAGGAATAAACAGAACGGTAACTGGAGGAACATAATTCAGAGTGCGACTATTGTAATCGAAATGGCACATTAAACTCCCTGTCAACTACAACATCACTCGCTGTGATGTGGAACCATCGATAAATTGTGTCTAGGCGGCAGCGGGAGCAGCCGAGACTCCGTTTCATTGTGTTCGAACTACCAATGCGAGAAAGACGGCCGCGGGCTAAGGCTATATCACTTTTTGCGAATACAACTGTACATATATGGAGGAAGGGCACATGGAATACTTGGACGTGGAGGGATCCAAAAGGCGTGTTGATAACGAATCACGTGGACCACAGAGCCCTTACGGGGGTGCGATGGTCAACATCTACATCAACTGTTCTACATGACTGTGCTGGGGTACTGTCATTCTTCAGCTCATAGCTTAGCATCATGCTTCCAGCCTGGCATGTCAGCGAGATCCTTTGCGGGAGCAGCTCGTCGGGACTTGAGTGCATCACCGCCAGGTCTCCATCTCCATTCCTTCGCCAAGTCTTCTGCCAGAGTTCCCTCGAGTAGTTCAACGATGTGCTTGCCAATGTTCGGTAGGAGCTTGAAACTGTGACTGATGTTAGGCAATAGGTTAGCAAAAGTTCATTTCCGGGCTTCGCTGGTAGGATCAAGTCCGTCCATGGATGCGATACTCACCCACTGTCCCCTGTAGCCAAGATCAAATTCTTCCACCGCGGGTGTTCGCAAATCAACAAGTTGGCATCAGCGGTGTCAGTGCACCAGCACATGCTCCGATTGAATAGCTCCTTGCTCATGAATCGAGGAAGGAATCTTGTGATGGCTTTTCGAATGGTGATTTCAGACGCATCGGGATAGGTATCCGTCGGATGTTTAGCGTGGGACCGCGGGACGGAAATCAGCTTTGGAGAATTGGCGCCGTAAGGCTGATGCTCTTTGAAACGAGAGAAACCGGGGAATTCATCGCAGACCTTGATCACTCCATGCCTGGGGATATTGAGGTTAGCAGTGGCCGTTCAATTGGGGGGATAAGAGGCGAGCGTTGCGTGATGACTGACTCGTTTGGCTCGAAGAAGAAGCCGTATTCACCATCGTACACTACAGGAGCATTTTTGTATTCTGCCGCTTCTTGTGGTGTGAGTTGGATATGAGCAAATACCCAGGCCTGAATAGATGTATTAGTTAAGGACAATGTAATTGGAGACCTTCTATGCGTGGTATATAGTGATTTGAAACATGGACAGACTTACCTTCGAAACACACTGGCCATCTAGGTCAATTAATGTCGGACTCCAAGCGCCTGCAGCCAAAACTATTTTGTCGGCGAAATATTGTGTCTCGTCTGCGGTTTCCACGCCGACACAGGTAACCCCGTCCGCTGCGAATAGTGGCCGTTTGAATGTTCCCGCTCTAGAGGGTAAGTTTAGCAAAACAAACGTCTTTCACTCAATTGCCTCATTTTCTGTACGTACCCGCCAAATCCAAACTTGACGCCTTGTTTGTGGAGAAAGTCTCCAATCGCATTAATAGCCTTTGCTGCAGCTAGCCAGCCCCCGTCACCACAGAACAGACCCTTCCATCCCTGTTGGACAAAAAGTGATAAGCTGCTGCCAAGGTTTATCTACACTAGGTGTGAAATTACCTTGATCTGCTTTCGGCTAAATTGGGGTGCTTTTGCTAGGATCTCATCCTCGTTGTCCAGCCAGAAATTTGTCTTCTCAAGGCCGATATTCGCATCTATGAGCGACTGGTGCTTTCGTTGAAGACCGCCGATTCCTTCTTCTGATGACGAGCAGTCGATCTATACAGTATGTCAGAACATGGACGATAGCAGCGTCATTGTTCAGACATTCGAATCCAATAACTCACCATGCCGACTTGATGGAAGAATGATTTGAACAATGGGTCATTTTTCCACATATCCAATGCCTCAAGGGACAATTGTAGATCTGGTCCATTACGGAGGCGAATGCTCATGATCTTATTTAGATCATGACCTGCCGACTGGGCGGAGGGAATGGGATACACATCTAGGACGGTGATGTTGGAGGGAGTATAGCCGGATCGAATCAGGTGCAGTGCGGTCGATGATCCCATCGTACCGCCACCTCCGACCACAATGACCGTGGTGCTTTCACGGAGGTTTGCCATGTTGTCTCAATTGACCAGAATTGACAAGATAGAGTGGTTGTGGTGTAGTTGGAACCGGCTCGCTGTCGGCGGGCAATGGAGATAGGAATGCGTTCGGAGAAACAGCTACAAGCGATAGACTGTGCCTGGGGAAACTTCAGAATTAACCCAATTGATGAAACAATTCGGAGAGCCTCGTCATGTGAGTTCTTGGGGTCGTTGGTGGAGCAAGCGATAGAGCAAGTCAGGCCATTGACTCCGTTCTACAAAGCTAACAATCGAATATGCCAGGTTCGAACTTCCGATTGCGCGATTCTCCGTCATCCATAGACCAGCCTAAGGACAAAGAGTCATATCAATCGCCATTTGACTCCAGATGGCCGACAACCGGTCGCGACTTCGGCGACTACGATTGGCGCGAATGCCCCCACGTCTTACCGAGAATGGCGGACCAGCGCCGCGCTAATGCCGAGCCTGATGAATGATTTCGCTTGGACCTTCTGTCGGCCTTGAATGGCTCCTCGAGCAAGTCGAGACCCCCACAAGAAGCCGATAACGCGATAATATGAACATGTCGGGCTCGGGGAACGCGGGGAATCGACCCGCCAGCCAATCCACAACTCTGGAGACACGCGATAACCGAAAATTATGGCCTTGTCGGTTAATTCAGGCTGATTTGAATCTACAGACTAGTCCTTCCAGGTTATCGATCCAAAGTGGCGCCTCGATCCCGGGATTGGCGTACGCTTTCCGCCTGGACCTTCTGTCAATTTTAACGACAGGATGAATTGACCCCAATATCTACAAAGCAACAAGGATGTGAGGAGGGGAACTTTGGAGAACGTGGGGAAACTCCTCTCCTTCTCCACCCAATTGACCACGAGACTCTGAAGATAAGATTAGCGTGGAGATATTGGAAAAAGATAGACATGGAGTCCGTATCCGATCTCGCGAGTGTATATAAACAACCCCCCCAGGTGACATGGCCCAAGATTCTTTTTCCATGCTCTAAAAGTCGTGAGAATTAGAACATCTCTCGTTATGGCGGACTTGAAATCCAAAGATCTCCCTCCCCACGAGATCCACGAGGGCTCCATTCAACCCTCGCCAACCAATGTCACAGATATCGCCCACGGTGTCGATATGGACCATTACCGAGCAACTGTTCCCTTGTGGAAGCGAGTGTGGCAGCATAGTCTGACACAAATGATGCTTCTTAGCGTCCAGGCCTTCTGTGGTCCTGCCATGTCCGATGCAATTACTGGTGAGGCAGATCGGAGAATTTCCGAGCTTTGAATCGACAGCTAATCAATTGCCAGGTCTCGGTGGCGGTGGCCTTGCAACTCCACAAGTATCAAATATTACCAATGCGATCACGTACGCAATGCTTGCTATCTGTGTGTCCATCACCATATCGAATTTCTGGTGTTGAAGCCCGCTAATCAGGCGTTGTCACCATCTAGTCTGTTTCTTCGGCGGTCCTATTGTGAACAAACTCGGAGTTAAATGGGCTCTTGTCATCGGTGCTGCCACATTCCCAATTCAAGGCTCGGCGTACTACTGCAACAGCAAATTTGGAAACCAATGGGTGAGTATGAAGCATGTGGTGAAGGCGTGCCATCCAGGAGGACCCCATGATGACTGACTGGGAATTTCCTTTCTACAGTACCTTATCTTTAGTGGTGCAATTAGCGGCATTGGAACCGCCTGCTGGTATGTCGCGGAGGCCGGAGCCATTATGACTTTGGCGCCTTCTGGCGCACGTGGAAAGTACCTCGCCCTGTGGATCGTGTCACGAAACTTGGGACAGCTAGTTGGTGGTGCTATCAAGTGAGTCACCGTTCTTCAAAATGAAGCCTGTATAATTGATAGCTTGCAACTAATTACCTCAACCCCTTCAGTCTATCCAAGAACCACCTCAAAGGAGCCGATGGCGGTGTGACTCCGGATACATATCTTGCTTTTGTGATCATTGAGTGTATTGCGTGAGTCAACTCAAGGTTCTTCCTGGCTAGGTAGAGAAAACACATGCTCACTGACCTTACAGGCTGCCGTTTGCTTTGCTGATCACCCCCTTCGAACGTGTCGTTCGATCCGACGGCACGAAGATTGTTACCGCGGAGACTCTTTCGACGAAGATGGAACTCCGGCGCATTGTGAAGACCATGACTTCCAAGCTTGTCATGTTCTCTGCACTATGGGCGCTGTGGTCATTCTTCTACGGGTCAGTTCCTTAATGAATTCGAGGCCTACTTATCGGCGATGAGACAACAGCTGACCAGAATAACAGCGGAACCTGGTCGACCTACTTGGGAACTTACTTCTCCGTCCGAGCACGCGCCCTATCATCCCTCATCTCGCCGTTCTTCTGCATGTGCGTTCTCCATATCACTCCTCATCCCCCATCATGATCATTGACTAATCTCGCTTGAAACCAGCGTTGGATGCTTTGGCCTCGGTTTTATTCTTGACATGAAGCACCTGAGCCAACGCCGCCGGGCCCAGATTGGCCTGTGGACCGTCGTAATTCTCAATGTTGGCGTTTATATCTGGTCGATCATTATGCAGGCCAAGTTTGACCACCACAACCCTGGCCATATCGATTGGGAAGATGGACTGTACCCGTCATCTTTCTTGCCCTACTTTTTTCGTGCAGACGACAGGGCCGTTGTCCCAGTCCTACATGTACTGGCTTATCTCATCCTTTGCAACGGATGCTCAGGGTAAGTTTCTTTCGTGAATTTAGATGGATAAATAAAGTGGTTGGGAACTGACCTTTGTTTAGAAAACGTCCGTAATGGCGCAGCATTTAGATCTATCGAGGCTGTTGGTCAGGCTATTGCCTACGGCATGAATACTCAGACAACTAGTAACCCAATGGTGGGCTTGTAAGTTCCCTTGATATCTCGAAATGCTTGACATGGACTCTGTACTAACTTGCATACTAGCTGCGTGACATTTGGCTTACTCGCTGCCGCTTTGGGTCCTATGATTATGCTCGTGAACACGACGCCGGACCGAATCCCCGCCGATATCATTGCTGAGCAGCAAGATGCAGCTCGGGAGAAGATTGAGAGTGTCTAAATCCAGATATGCTTGGGATATACAGCGGGCAGAGACGAATACTGTAAATAGACTTGATTTTCTTAGAGGAGCCTAGTATGTTCGAATACACGATGATTTCTACACAACAATTCAAACTTTGGTCCATGACGTCTTGAAAAGGGAACCCATTCATGAAAAAAAAATGAAATATTATTTGCTCGTAGCCAACTTGGAGCGGCCCGAGTCTGCGACTACCCTCTATTATTATCCTTTTTGGAGTCCAGCTCCGCTTTACTATAGAACGCACAACCAACCACCACAAGCACGATTCCTGCCCCAGTTTGGATATTCAAGTTGAAGTCTCCCAGGAACAGGATACCCAGAATCAAAGTCAAAGTCTGTCGGACGTTTCCCCATACTGTGATGGCGAGAGAGCCGGCTACCTTGTTTGCTTGGAAGGACGAGATGTTCAGTAGAAGGGCTAACAGGCCGTTTCCTAGTAGTGATAGGGCAGTGGACGTCACGGGAATCGTGGACTCATCGTTCGCGTCGGTGCGCCACAGTGTAGATGGGTCCAGATTGGAAAGTTCGCCGGCATAGACTCCGATGACTATTGTTTGAATAGAGGCGTAGATCGACATTCGGTAGATGAGTTCTAATGAGGGGAGAGCGAGGGATCCGGTCATGAGTCGGTTGGTGACGATGATCTAAATCAGGAATTGGTTAGATGATTAAAAATATCGTGAGAGATCACAGATTCTCGACAAACCTTCAAGACACCCAAGAGCACACCGATTACCGAGATGATGAGGCCGAAGACGGTGAATTGGAAATCGCCAGAGGCAGTGAGGCCGGCACCCAACACGATTGGCACCAGAGCGATATATGTGGCCAAGCGGTAGGAGCGTGAGAAGAAAAGCTTCTCCAAAAGAACGGTAAAGATAGGAGATGTATTTCGGATGATTTGGAAGAATGCTAGGCTGACGAGGGACAATGAATAGTTGGAAAAGAAAATGTTGACGCTGAAGAGCACCGAGTACGCGATCAAGACCAAGTGATCGCGATGAGATAGTTTAGATAACTTGAAATAACCGAGTTTTAGGAGGATGAATGTGCCTATTCCGGAGAATATACTGTGTATGCCTGTTAAGAGCCAAGGGCATGGAAACTGTATCGCGTTGTTAGCTTGCGGATGTTTCGGACTTGAGTACTTAGAAGACTAGGATATTCACCTTTTCAAGAATGAATTTGTTATGGACTGTCAAGAGCATTCCAAAAACCAGTAGAGCACATAGCCATGCATACTTGACGCCCATGGAGGTTTGGTACTCCAGCTCTACAGGAGTATGATCGATGGCTTCTTTGTTATTGGCTTCCAGGTCGTCTGCGACCGTGGAAGACATTGAGGCCCGAGGGGAGGACTCGGGCAGCAGTTTCATTGCCACTTCTCCATCTTCTTGCTTTGAGTAACTCATGTTCTGATCAGCGGCGTATAATGGTATAGTTGTTGTGCTGGGATAATGAGTGAGGAATGTTGGACAGTTCAAAGGAATGGACGCATCAATCAAAGCAAAATGATGCAGGACTCGGATCAGACCAGGAAAAAAGGTGATAGGGGCATCATTGGTGTCTTATTATTATTGATGTCAGCTTTCTACTATTTTTCCGAATTTTCTACTGTAAGATACTTTTAGTTGAAATGGGGTCCGGGCCAAGATGGTGTGAAAAATTACCGTATTGATGTCATCTGGCAAGCTAGAAGGGGCTGAGCCGGTTGTTATCCACTGTAAGCCTATATAGGCAGCACTGCCAACATGAATAATTCAGGGTCCGAAGAACCGTAGAACAATCAATACTTTCAAGTGGGGCGAGGCTGTTGGGATCGGAGGGGCGAAGAGCCGAAGTTATGGAGGCAGACTACTGAATGGACCCAGGACTAGTTGCATGTATGGGAAAATGTGAACAGTTGTGTCTGAAATGTATGCCCAATACAGTCCAGTAATCACTAATAAGCTGCGGGATACATCCAATTCCCAGACCCCCATTTCATTCTGGACAGATACATACTGTAAATGGACGCCTGAAAAAAAAGCGGAGAGTGTATTTACCCGATTAGGCTTAAGCAGAAGGTAAGCGTAGCATCGTATCGGCACATTATTATTTCGCCCTCAAAAAAAACAGTCTTGACCGAGTCATAAATCTTCACCTATCAGGCCTTTTGTCAATCGATAGTTCTTCAATATTGTCCCTAGTACATCCACCTTGGCCTCGTCTCTACAGTCTATACAGTACACGCTACTTGCGCGACTGGTCGCTAATTACATAGTTAGCTCTACTTTCCACTGTTGGTCAGCAGAATTCTCTGCCTCTCCACTTTCCTCTTTCAATTGTCTCAGCTCGAATGTTACACGGCGGTGGCTGTTCAGGGTCCAATTCTCGGCAGCGCCGGCTGTCCCCTAATAATTACTTGGCATTGCTCCAATCTTAAATTATACGAATCTTCGCTTAGCTATCTGTCAAAGCCCCACGAGTTGCCAAGGCACGTGTTCGATTCCGGATTAGCGTAGATCACTAGCGGCTCTCGGACACAACATTTCACCACTTCACTTATCCATCCAAGTCCGAATGTCTCAGTATTGTGGCTGGCCTAAACTGTCAATGCCAGAACGGTGAACCAGTGCCGTCGCTCGTCGAGCCATGTGCCTGTCTTGCGATGGTATCGTCAGTATTTAAGCCGATGTGAAAGTCTGCATGCTTCTGGACTAGTCACCAATCGCGCTGCCTAGTCGAAATGAGCAAAAGCTTCGCTGAAAGGGTAAAAATGTGGATTTGATCTCCACGAAGCGCAAACAATCACTGGCGGTATTCCACCCAACACCTTAGCACATTCTCGAAAACGCTTCAAACCCAGTCGATTGCTTTGAGAACGGTATGGCTTGATGGCTTTGGTCTTTTACACAGGACCAACCAATAATGGATCAATATTGTAGTGGATATTGGTTGCAAAATCAATCGAGAAAGAAGCATGTACAGTATGTATCACAAAGACAACGCAAGCCTAACAAAGCACTCGAAGGCCTGACCCTAAACTTTAATAGGCCACTAAAGTGGTAATTTATGATATCGCCGGTTAGTTAAATTAGCAGCCAGCCAATCGCTCGGGGCTGACAAGATACAAGACACTTTTTGCTCCACTATCGCGATACGAATTTTTCTACATGGGGCTTTTTTAACCTCCTATTTTTAGTGGTCCACATTGACGCCTTCGATAAGTGAAATGAATGGAAAAATGACCCCCAAAGGCCCCCAAAGAGGGGTCCCAAGGGTCTGTCTTACTCTTTTCATTGTACGGAGAGTATTTACGGAGTACGGAGTATGTACACCTACTAAAGCAAGCTTCGGGTCATAAATACTGAAAGTCGGACCTTCGAGAAATAACGCTTCCGTGGTTTCCCACCCCCTAATGCCCTTTCTTGCTCTTCTCGACATCCTGTGATTTTTTGCGCTTCACTTCGTGCCAGATCCGTCTATTTTGCTTTGGGTGCTTTGTTTCACCTGTCCACTCGTTCTAAATGCATTCACCTTCCTACGCTTCCCGGTGGCCCCGGAGGAAGACCTACTCGATTGCAGTGGGTCTGACGATAGCCACCATTTTGCTCGTCCTTTGCTATCGCGCGCCTTCGGTATCCCTGAGAGGCGTCGCCGCGACGACCTCCGCGTAAGTATCTCGGCCCTCGCGTGTGATATCAACTGTGTTGACATGAGATATTAGCGACGATCTCTATAATACCCCACATGACGATTATTCTCAAACTTTGAAATCTTCTACTTCGACACCAACACATGCATCTTCTACTACATCTTCTGCAACCTCAAAAGCAACCCCGTCATCGTCACCGGAATATGACTTGCCTCCGGGTGTTTTTGAACTCATCCAGCCTCACGTTACTTCGATCACCGCGCAGAATTTCACCAGCCGTACTGGTCAAGTGTATCAGCTTCCAAAGGCCCCCAGGTTCACTAAGCCTATGGGCAACCAGATCCTGATCCTCGATGTTGAAAGCCGAGATATCGGTGGCCCAGGTGGCCTTCTTGACGACGGCACTCCCACCACTGATGACTTGGAAGGTCTGACCCTTGGCCGACTCAATCACTATATGTTTGGTAAGCACCAAGCACTCCCGTATATCATGGCGATGCATAATCTCTGACCCTCTACAGCAAAACTTCACGGGTATGACTATCAACTCGTGCAACTCCCGGTGGACCCCACTCTGCACGGAACCTGGAACAAGGTCCCGGCGATGCGTGAGGCCATCAAGCACTACGAATACGTCGTCTTCATGGACGGCGATGCCATTTTCACGCACCCCCATCTACCTCTGGAATGGCTCCTCAACTACTGGGGCATATCCAACGACACCACAATGGCCTTGGCCGAGGATCCAAGTGATCCTTTCTTCCTCAACGTCAAGAAGCTCGATATCAACTTGAACACCGGCTTCGTTATTGCTCACCAGACCCCACGGAGCGAAGAATTCTTCGAAGCCTGGATGACCTGTCCCGATGAGACACGCTACGAGGGCTGTGGTCGGTGGAAATTGACCCACACCCATGAACAGGCCGTCGTCAACGAGTACCTTCGCTACGATTACCCCGAGGAGATTCAAATCCTTCCATGCACTGAGGCAAATCGCTATCCCAACTCGGGCGACTGCAATGGCGAGTTCATCTCGCACTATTGGCCATTCAAGGATATGATTCCAGCCGGTGCGAAGGAAGTTATGGCTCAGTACTTCTGGCCCCCACTCCAGAAGGCCTACTCTCATGATCGGGACAACATTATTGTGACCATGGAGGTCCCGATTAAGGAAGGGGACGTCGGCGCCAACGCTACCAAGACACCAGACGCTGAAGAGCAGCATACGAATTAATTAGCAGAGCAGGGTTTAGCTACCGAGGAGGCGTCAAATGCGACTGTTCTCATTCTGTACATATGTATTAACATCCTGTCACGATATCCATTCTTAGATCAAATTTTACTATGTCCGGTTTGCCTTTATCGCGTTTTGCTCATGCTCCAACTAATGGTGGGAGGCTTAAGTCGAGGGCTTTATAAACAACGATTCAGTCTGTGTCGAATCCAGTTCACGAGCACTAGTTAGATACACTAGTGCTTACCAAAAAGCAGTGAAAGAAAGGAAGCTATGTATCAACGTCTGTATCTACGCTTATCCGCAGATATGCTTGTCACCTGTAGTTTTGTAGTTTGTACAGTAGTTTGGCCCCCAAGTGTTTAGGGGCCGCTCAGCCCCATCGAGTGTCATACCTTCGCTTACATATCAGTCGGCGATAGCTATAAGTCCAACAAACATGGGATATATTTAGCAATACGTTATTTATGCACGGCCTATTGAATCTACACTCGGCATCGGAGTTATCCTAATAGACTACTATCTAAAGTTTAGATCGATCGACGAGGTTTGAAAGAATTTCTTTTAAACATCAGAGACTTCCTCCTTTTACAATAACTATCCAACAATATCTAATACTACATATATATATTTATCTTCCGCCACGGTCGTCATATTCTCGCAGGATGCAGATTTATTCGATCATCGCTGCTGCTACTCTTTCGCTGGCAGGTACTGCTCACGCTTGGGCTCAGGCTGCAGACGGAACCTGGATTGCAAATGAAAACAGCTATATCTTCACAGACAGTAAGTGATCTTCGGGAGGATACGACAAGATCATTCAAACTAATCATATAACCTGTAGATCTGCAATTCAGATGGGAGGTTGTCGAAGCATGTACAATCAGGAATACGAACACATGGCTTTCTAATTATGAAGCTTGCGCTTATTGGGTAAATAGCGAGGGGCTTATCGCTCGTGGAAGTATGTTTTCATAACCGACTAGAATTCCCACCATCGTGCTAACAAGATACTATAGGATGCACGCCTGCTGTTAGGTCATCTGGTGATCCGGTCAACATAGTTCAATGCGAGTGAATTAGGGAAGAGATCGATTTGTGGAGATATATAGAGACTAGGCTCCGAGGAATTTATTGTTACCACGCTATTTTCTTGCTTCATGCGCGCGACTGATTGTAATTGACGTTCCCGGCTTGCTGCGATCTTCTCGTAGATTGACGTCATCTTCTTACACAGCAAGATGACAAGCAATTCAACCCCAGAGTCTCCCAGAAGCCGAGTATTGGACCAGCGACTGGCCTTGTCTGATGTGTTGTTTCAGCATGTAGAGTGCTTGTTCCATAGAGTACAGACCCTCAGTGGGCTCGAAATGACTGGAAAGCATTTGAAGAATCTTGAGAGCAGACCTCATCCCAGCTACGATAGTAGTCATATCGTCCCCCTTTCAAGAAGGGACCCCCTATCCCGTAGGGTGCCTTAGGGATCAACTGCCTCGGGGAACTACGTAATTCGTGATGGAGTGACAAGAGATAACATTGCACGCTATTTAAATGGCGTGCTGCGTTTTGAGATGCAAGCTGCAGGGCTGATGGATCTTTTTTCATACAGAGGGAGGTGGAAGTGCTGAAAGGAGTGCTAGAATTATTCTTAGAGGAAATTTAGAACTAATCAGCCGATGAGTCTCACACTAGTTAATCATTTACTATCTTAGTCTATCATAAAAAGAGGACGTGCTACAATAGCTTTCGTCCCAATAATTTAGCATTCTCTACCAATGTTCGCAAAAGGATATAGGTCTCAATGCTGCGTTTTTAGCGGCAAAGGGGTAATTGCGTCTCATAAGGGAAAAGTCACTTCTCTACGTCCGTTTTGATAATCCTTTCTGAATCATTGAAGCACGGGCAGCAATACATGCGAGTCCATCTACCATAACATCCTATAGTGAGTGCTGGAACTTTGTAAATGAAATCGACAACTGAGGGTTAAATGGCCTCACTCTACTTTTATGATCTACTATGGCACAATTATTGGGCGGGATATATATCGAATATCCTACCTAGGTATCCGTAGATTTAAAGACTGCCATGTTGGCGCTCCCGAGGCTTGCTTAAATAATTTCTCTCCCACATGCTCCGTAAGACGCATATCTACATGGTGAATACCGGCCAGAGCTTAGAAAGGACACTGAGTGTGAAGAACAAGCCAGGAAAGGCAAGTTCAGGTCAATTAATTCAGCTCAGAACCGTATAGTTGGGGGACAATAGACGGCAGTTCTTCACGACCCCGATTGGAGGATAAGTGCCGCCCTCGTTGGCAATGTACGAGTAGTTGTATGTAGGGCTCATCATCTGGATCTGACCAACGGTGGAGCTGAACTTGTCCGCAAGATCCTTGTAGACTCCGTGGCTGAATGAATAAGGCTCGATATCGCATGTACTGGGGTGGCACATGGGGATCTTGATGAATTGACCAGCGGCAATGGTCTCGTTGGCAGTGTATTGAGCGCCGCCGCCGCCGGGACAGATGCCGTTGGTGCAGGTGACGTTTGTTTCGCAGCTGTCACCACCACAGCGGACTGCGTCGAGGGTCATGTTGAGACGACCGGCAATCTTCCACATGGTGTCGCCGTTCAACGTGTAGTACAGACGGGGGCCTCCAATGAGACACTCGTTGGTACCGGGTCCATCGATGATGCATGTGGTCCAGTCTGGGTTACATACTTGACCGGGAATGATGATGGTCTGGCCAACGTTGGGTACAACAGATACATCAACCACTATTTTATCACTGTTAGTCACAATCATTCACGAAGAAAGGATCAGGTATAGTAGTGCTGACTAAGGTTGGCGCGACCAATATCGCAGACACCGCGGTTGAACTTGCGAGCGATAGCATGAACGGTCTGGTTCTCGATATCATTGACATAGTTGAAGCGGGTGGTGTTGAGCGATGCTTGGTTGCATGCGACCTTGGCCTCTGTAGTAGTTGACAGCATAGTACCCATTAGGGTAAGAAGAGAAGCAACCCCGAACATGATGTCTCACACCACAGATTCACTGCACAAATGCAGAGAGAGAAGAATGGAAAGGAGGATGACAACAATGACTTCAACGAAGGAAGTAGCATATTTAAATATGTCCCAAGGCAGGCGATCCTTACCTCAGTACTTTTGACTGGAGTTAGACGCAGCATTGAAGAGTATTCGATAAAGTCTCACAAACTCTATACTTCGGAAGTTTAAAAATGTCTTACGCAACACGGACAGTTCTTTTCAGCGGCCGTCTGGTGCTAAAGAGATTGCGATCCCCGTAGTATCTGCACGGTATTCATCTATGTGCATCAGATAGCGGGGCAGTTTTGGTTGGGGTTTGATTATTTTGAATTTCCACGGAGCTTGTAACCCCATTCGGAAATCTGCAGCGAATAGGCTAAGCTCGCGTAGAATTGAAGATCAACAATGGAAGCTCCGAGTCCCCGAATTGTCAGACGTAATGCCCCTGGACATCTGCTATTATACTCTATGGCAGGATAGTGGCATCGAGTGGTTGGATTTAAGAAGGTATGTCCCCATCATTGAGACAGTGTTTACTTCTAACTACTCCATTGCTAATCTGCCTTTCTTCTTCTGAACCTTTGTGAATTGCAAATCGCTGTCAACAGTACCAATTGTTGGAGATCATCATGCGGGCTACAAAGGCGTTGGCGACGCTTGCATTTACGAGTACTGCGCTTTGTTTTAGTACATTCCCGAAGGACCATGGCCGCGTGACAAGGAGCTCGAGTGATGGTGCGGATCCTACTACCACCCTGGGCACTTTCTTGCATAATCGTATCAGCCCGAACTACTCCCAGCTCTACATCGCCGAGGCGGATGGCTCAAACGAAAGGCTCCTCCTTGGTTCCAACACGGTCTATGAATTCCGCGCTAGCTGGGCTCCAGATGGAAGCTTTGTTACTTTTACGTCAGAGCGGCGAGGAAACGGCCAAGCAGATATCTACAAGGTGGCTATGAACGACTCGAAGGTAGTCGGCCCGATAGAACCGCTTGTTCAATCGGAGGGTGTTGATGACTCCAGCTCAATCTCCCATGATGGCAAGATGCTGGCATTTTCAACCAGCAGATTCAACCACACCAGTGACATCATGCTGATGGTCCTGGAAGAGGGAAGCTTGAAGAACTTGACAAAGGTCCCCGGTATCTCTGAGGCTGCGGATCCCGCACTTCCCAATGGCTACTACAAGCCCGTATGGTCTCCCGACAACGATTGGGTTTTGTTCACCTCGGATCGAAATACCCCATGGCGAGGTCACAGTGATGGCTCTGGTTGGGAGCACACGCAAGAGCTTTCCATCTACGCTTGCCGTCCCAATGGCACCGACTTGCGTCTAGTGTCGTCCCGGTCAAACTACACACAAGGCTCACCCAGGTTCTCGCCTGATGGCAAGCGAATTGTCTTCTACGAGATGAAGACCGAGGATACTTATAATGGCCGTCTACAACCCAATCTATTATACAACGCCTATCTCAACACAAGCATTGTCTCGGTCGACTTCCCCACAGGAGCCAACCGTGTTGTTCATGCCATCGGTGATGGAACTAAGATCAGCCCCTCCTTTGTCACTAACGATGTAAGGACTTGTCTGGCTCTCCTTGGGCCTGCTATAGTTTGGATTAACTAATACCGCATTTGATAGGTCATTGGCTATGTCATGAAGGAGTCAACTAGCAATGGCATTTACTACGTCTCTGTATCCGGAAAGAACTATACTCAGTACCAAACCATTCAGATGAACACCATGACGCCTGCGCTGCGCTCGCCTGCCTGGTCTCCCAATGGGAAATACGTCATCTACGAGAAGCAAGGTCCTACTGGAGGTAGTACCTCCACTTCTAAGAAGCAGTACGGAAAGCTGTGGAGCTTTGACAAGAACTGGGACTATCGCTTCACCGATGTTTTCCCCATGGGCCAGCGATCCGGATGTCCTGTGATGGCCATGTCACAGCAGATGGAAGGTCCGGCAGAGAACAACCTCTTGCGCTTGTCGATGAACGGTAGTAACCAGGTCACCTTGTTCCGGCCTAAAGACGATATGATCAACCCTTCCGTCGCGGAGGGTTACAACGCACGAGCCTACCAGGCCAACTGGGGCCCCAATGACACAAACATTACATTTGGCTTTGGGGCCTACTTTGTGGGTCGGCAAAGCTCCCCTGGATTCATCTACAGCATCAATTCTGACGGTTCGGACCTCACCCTTCTCGCGGGTAACAACATCTCGAATTACGGTTTCCCGTCCTTCAGTCACGATGGTTCCAAGGTCATCTTCCGTACATGGCCTGGCATAGCCAGCAATGGCAGTACAATTGGTACAACTGGCTTGGCCATTGTCGATGTGGCCACTCTCAAGATGAAGCAGCTTACCACTGAGTGGGATAACCTGCCGGCATTCTCCCCCGATGGGAAGAAGATTCTCTTCACCCGCCGTACCAACCTGAACAACATTGGCGACAACTACGATATCTTCACCATAAACCTCGATGGCACAAACCTTACTCAGCTGACTCAATCCATCGCTAGCGATGCTCACGCCGTGTGGACTGCGGATGGTCGTATCCTCTACAGCACCGCTATGTATGGTTTCCAGCAGGAGGCGGCCCTGTATGACGACTCTATGCAGCCTTATGCCATCATCATGGTCATGGATGGTGACGGAAATAAGAAGACACCACTGACCAACAGTTTGTGGGAAGATGCCATGCCCATGTACGCTCCCAACCGTGTGCTGGAAGCCAAGTGTCCGTTCTCTGGACACTAACTGTCTTGCATGAAGCGCGACTACTATAAACTTGCATCGGGCAAGGATAGAGCGCAAAGACGACTGCATCCCGCACCATTCCATTGCCTTTTCATCTGTTTAGACTTAACAAATCTGCACAAAATACTTCCGCTTTGTTCTTTAAAATGTACTTCACAACATACAAAATTTCACGAATTGAGCATAGCTATCAAGCTTTTCTCTATTCTTCCGTCCAAGTAAGCCCATGATCCAGTAAGACCTTTGATGGCTCTAAGGACTCCTGCAAATTACAAAGCTTTAGGGATCAGGTAGTTACATGCTACAAACTACATTGTCTTTCTTTAGTTGAACCTCCTACCGTTGTAATTGCTATGCCAAGATCTGGGCCCAGTCTTCAAAATGGTCCACGATGCATGCTCCATCAAGTCGTGATAAACTCAACCCTGGGTTAAAGAAAGGAAAGCTTTGCTCTGCGTCGACTAGGGCAAAGAGGCGCAATAAGACCAGCCCAAAAGGCCCAAGCGCAACATGAAATTAGTCTCGATACGATGGGCGTTTTCAGTCTTTGTAGCAATCTCCCAACTTGTGTTGGAAGTAATTATTTATGTCAGCGGGCGTATGACGCGTTAAAGGTTCCAAGAAAAGGGCCACCGACATAGAGTGCCAATTAAATTGCAGATAGAATAAACAGTAAAAGTTCGCCATCCCGGGCTAGGTAATGATCGTCTTGGAATACGGATATAGAGATGGGTATATAGATTAAACGCTTTTTGAAACGGTGGGTCCTGCCATCACGGCTTGGATTTCCGGATTTAGGTGGACCTTGCGAGTTGATCTGATAATTTCGGTCATCGATGGAATGATGTAGATAAGTGTCTGAGCTTTCAAGCTTTCTGGTTCAAACCGTTACTCTCCGTGCGCCCTAGCCGAATCGAAACCGCGGGGGACCTATAGAGGGTTTAGGCCCAAGGTGTCCAGACATTGCGTAGTCACTATATTTTTGCTAAATGATGTGTCTGCTTATTTTGCAATTCAGAGTTATCTGCAACCGATTGACTATCCTATCTTACTCAAAATAGGGTATCTCTCATATCCAGTATTTCCTAATTGTAACTAGTTGCACGCTCAGTGAGTGAGCTGCTCCGTGTTGCTTGCCGACAACTATGAGGCTGACTGAGAACCGTGGGTCCCCGTTCTTAAGCTAATCGTCCGTAAATGGCCCGCAACCTATCGTGGACAACCGCGGAGTAACTCTTTCTCTGCAGCATCAGCCTGTAGATAGAGGGCATGCTCTCAGTCCCAGTAAGCTTTGTGAAACAAGATACAAGATAAAGTATACAACATATTTGGTAGAGTTTTAGTGCTGGTCAGCGGAGGGTTGTACTTGACTCTTTTCGACATCCGCCTCGGCGTACACCAATGCAGTCCTCTTCATTCACTAGACTGAATGTAACTAGCGGGCTTTGACCCGAGGGTATCAAGAGTCCTTCGGGCCCAACTTGCCCAACTTGTGGCCACTACTTTCGAGAAGCCAAAGTACCAAGTAATATACTGAGGAACAATTATCTTGGTATCGTTCCCTTCCGGTGTATTCCCTAGGCAAGAACTTCCGCATCACCAATAACGAGAATATCTCATGTCTAGTGTCTCTTCCTCCACTTCCATTGATCCGAGCCGAAGTATACAAAATCAAAATCTCAACGCCCGAGCAACCCCTAACCCCGGCAAGTGGATCCCTCAACCCCAAAGTACAGAACATCTCCGCTCTTCTCCCCCGCGCAGATCCTATCCAAATAGCGCAGACCACAATGCCGATCGTCGGGAATCTTGCTGTGCCCCCAACAATGAATGTTCGGGGGTTGATCAGCTTGTGTTTCCTCCCCGCGTTACATTGGCCCCCCTGTCTTCCAACGAGACCAATGCACGACTCCATTGGCCCAATGCAGCTCGTCCCTGCACAAACAACTGCAGATTTATAAGCTCGCTTCAAAGTGCGAGACCCCGCTCTGTGTGTTTCTTACCAGTTGCGACTCGGGGGATTTTTCTCTTCTGTTTGTGTAACCGCAGCTGGAGATTTTCATCCTGATACCGGGGTCCCTAAACAACGACCATGGCAGCCACCACGGATGAGAAACCCGCTGTCGTCAGCCTCTCAGATACCGAGAAGGAACTCGGCTCTAAGGTACCGGATAAGCTGGCGGGCTTTGAGGACCCGGATGCTGGATTGAGTGAGGAGGAGAAGGCTAGAATAGTATGCCCATCGAGTCAACATCCCTGCATTTCATGCATCTGAACCCCAGATTTCATCATATCGTTGATTACTACCGTTACTAACTGCATGTTGATGCGTCTTTAGGACCGCAAACTCCTGTGGAAGCTTGACGTGCGTCTTGTACCATGGCTGAGTCTACTCTATCTCGTCTCCTTTCTCGATCGGTAGGTTCCTTTTTGACTGAAATGTTAGCGATTAAACTCTGATCACAAATATCTTCGTCTGTCTATAGTACAAATATCGGCAATGCCAAGATTGATGGCCTGTCAAAAGATCTCGGCATGTCCCCGGATCAATACAACGCTACCCTCACAATTTTCTTCGTCTCATACTCCGTCTTTGAGCCGTTGACCAATATTTTGCTCAAGCGATTGCGGCCGAGTATTTTCATTCCATCTATTATGATTGCTTGGGTATGACATTCTTATCCCTGCATATTTTTTGCCTTGCCACCTCTAACCTGTATCATAGGGTATCTGCATGACCTGCATGGGTCTGGTCAAGAATTACTCGGGTCTCATGGCCGTTCGCTGGTTTCTCGGTCTCAGTGAGGCTGGTCTGTTCCCCGGTGTCGGTTACTTCCTATCATGCTGGTATAAGCGTTCAGAATTCGGTGTGCGAATGGCCATCTTTTTCTCTGCTGCTGCGCTGGCCGGATCCTTCGGTGGTTTGCTCGCTGCCGCCATTGCAAAGATGGATGGTGTTGGTGGCAAGCGAGGTTGGGCCTGGATCTTCATTCTGGAGGGACTGGTCACGGTCGTGATTGGTTTCATTTCCTTCTGGTGTGTCTATGACTTCCCCGACCAGGCAACGTTCTTATCACCGGAGGATCGTACGCGAGTGTTGCGCCGTCTTGCGGCCGATCAGCAGTCCAGTGCGGAACATGAAGAGTTCAAGATGTCGTATTTCTGGGCTAGTGTCAAAGATTGGAAGACTTGGATTGGAGCTGTTATCTACATGGGAGCGGATGGATCGCTGTATGCGTTCTCGCTGTTTGTGCCAACAATTATCAACGAACTAGTGAGTTCCTCTGGCAAAACGATGTATCAGTTTGCAAACTAACTCTTGTCTAGGGTACGAAGAAACACACACACCCAATAGTAAATGTTCTGGAAATATCCATGACTAACTTTGCCTTCCACCAACAGGCTACAGCTCGATCCGCGCTCAGCTGCTCAGTGTGCCACCATACGCCGCGGCTGCCATTTTGACCGTCTCGATTGGCTTCATTGCAGACCGCACACGCCAGCGTGGTCTCTGCAATATTGGCGTTTCCTTCCTCGGCATGATTGGCTTCGCCATGCTTTTGGGATGCGAGTCCCCCGGCGCACGATATGCAGGCGTTTTCCTCGGCGCCATGGGTATATACCCAGCCATTGCAAACACCATCTCCTGGTCTAGTAATAACATCGAAGGTATGCCGTGCACGTCTCACCCTGCCTTAGTGCAGCAGCTCACATCCCGTCTCTCTTCTAGGTGTTTACAAGCGTGGTGTCTCCCTCGGCTTCATTATTGGATGGGGTAACCTCAATGGAATCGTCTCGTCGAATATCTACCGCGACAAGGATAAGCCCCGCTACTACCCGGGTCACAGCGTTGTTCTGGGCTACCTTGTATTGTTCCTGTTTGGTGGCTCGGTTGTGCAGTATCTGCTGCTCCGTCGCGAGAATGCCAAGCGCCGTCGCGGAGAGCGTGATCAGTGGATCGAGGGATTGGATCACAGTCAGATTGAGTTGCTGGGTGATAAACGCCCAGATTTCATGTACACTCTGTGAGGATAGTGGGGTTATATAGACACAACGAGTGGTGGTGTAGTGTGACTTGAACGTGATATAATGTGGTATCATAATGCGAGTATATAATCGGCTGAATTGCATGGTGTCGTGGCAGAAAAGAGGCAAAGGAGGAGACCAGACAACGGGATAACAATCCCGAGGATAGCTCAAGCAGATTGCTTGCTGAAGAATGTGCTGTCTCCGTGCCTTCCATCTCATACCGCTCTCTCGTAACGATTGATAATGTCCTGGTTCTTCTTCGGACCCTTAACGACATGCCGACTAGCCCAGCTCAGCACCTCCCCGGTTTCTGATTGGATTCGGAAGGCGTATGCAGTGCGGTACATATCGTTAATGCAGAGGTGATCCCCACGGGCCATGAGAACCGTCGTCTCGACATCGCTCGTAGTAATCGTAGGAGGTGTCGGTGGAGTGATGAACTCGGCATTTCCTTCCTCTTTTCCCCTTCCAGCCTCCTCTACCTCGCCAGAACCCTCAGGCTTGGCCATCGCATCGGCAAAGTCAAAGTTGTGAAAGAGGTAGTCCGCCTCCTCGGGCCCCGGAGCAATCTTGACGAACCACACACTAATGCGCCCGGCGTCGCCATCGCGCCAGATGTACTTCTTAGTCCATCGCAGACCAGGTTGCGCAGCACCCCCGGTAACTGCTGAAGGTATCTCGCCCTCTTCGCTGTATAGCCAGTCGCGGTCGGCAGTGTTGGGAAGCGGGGCGAAGGTCGCCGTGCCGCGGAGTTCACCGTTTAGGTCGAGCGGGTTGTCGCTACGGAGTGTGCGAGTGAGGGCCCATCGCGAGTTGCCCAAGGAGCTAAGGAGTGGGAGGAGCTGACGTGAGGGCGGCATTGAGTCGATTAGCTGGGTGATGGTTGTGTGGGTGGTGTACTGTTTAAAGTGTGTCTTGTTGAGGGCAGTCGCCGAAGTGGCTGTGGCTGTGGCTGGAGTCGGGAATTGTGGAGACTTCCCCAAGTTCTCCAACTTGGAGTCACAAGAAGATCAATGGAGCAATTCATCAACTTGTCAAGTGTTGTCTAATGTTATCCTCGGTATTCATAATCATGCCAGAGGGAAATTTAACTAAAGACTATTCATAAAGCGGGCAAAGATGACACCAGAATAACGCGGTCGTGGGCATTTAAACCCCCAAGTTAAAGGGTTAGATCAAGCCTCTCAAGTTTTTAACAGGAGTATACTCTATGATTTAACTATTATTGCCAAGCAACAGACTCGATCTTGGCTTTTCGGATCTTTGTGGGTCATCTTTGTATTACTGTACTCCGTATTCACAATGAAAAAGATCCGCGCAAGTGCAGTGTGGGATGCTTCATTACTTCCCAATTAAGAAAATCGGGGAACTATGGGCGTGAATGATCATGATCATTTGTTATACCCAACCATGATAATGTCACGTCCCACTCCGTGCCTAGCTTTAGAGATGAACCATGGATAAATGACCCGTTTCATCATATTTATAAGCAACTATTTTGGTTTGGCCCCCTGCTTATTCTCTGCTCGCCTCTTTGGACAGTCTTCTCCAGGCTCTACGATTAAGTCTGGCTGACATGTGGAATCTTGATCGTTTTCGTAAACCGGAGTTAAATGCACTGCCATCCACAGAAATATGGAGAAATGCCATGTAACCTAAAGAATGGGCCCCTCGAGTGAATATGACGATTCTCGAAGAGGGACCGATCGATGATATTGAAATCGGTCCGATTTGATTGGTGGTGTTGGGCTTTAGTGAGGAGTTAGTAACTCAATTGCTGATTGCTCTCTTTGCGCTTGGAAATGAGGTCCTGTATTTGACCGTATTTGGTTGCATGAACGCTTCCAATACGGTACTTTACATTACGAACTATATCCTTGACGCCTGTATGCTTCTTTAGGATATCGCGAGTGGTTTAGACAGGCTCGCTTGGGCAATGCAGGCTGTAGACTAGCCAGTGATCATCACAGACCATTCATGGCAGGATTCTGTCGGCTGACGGGAAAGTTCCCTAATCCCAGGGGCTGCCCAGGTCTTTACTTAAGTCCAACCTATCCCCGAAGAAAGTTAAGATTATTGTAGCTTTCACAAATAATAGCTAAACTTGATCGATTCTCCTTATTCACAGCTACGATGCGCTTTAATACTGCCCTTCTCGCGGTGACCGCTGCCGGCACTGCCGTTGCTGATCGTCCAGCCAATGAGTCCATTTGTGACTACTATACCACGGCCTTGCTGAAGGAGAACAACGCTACCAACCAGTACACCCTCTTGACTCTGTTGGTCAACACTGCCGTCATCGGTAACTACACGCAACCCAACGTGGGTGTCATGGTTCCTGGTATCCTGAACCCCAATGGCACGTACAACAACACCAAGGTCAACTTGGTTCCCTACTTCGATGGAGGTCTTGCTTCTACCAACGATGGTGGTAACATGGGCGTTGCTAAGAACTTCCTTGATGGTGGTGGTGCTGCTCCTCTGATGAAGAACATGCCCGCTGATGACACAACCTCTAACCAATAGTAAATGCATCCCGTCAACTCTCAAAATCAATGCCCTTGAATGCTGACACCTAGAACAGCAAGCTATTGACTCACCTCTACCAGTTCTTCGGCAGCCTCCTCGGGTGCTCTGAGGTTGGCATGACCGGTTTTGCGGCTTATGCTGGAGATGCTAGCATGTACGAGGTGCACAAGTAAGTTTTTTTTCCTGCATATTCGATCCCCAAATAAACACGAACAGCCGCCTAAAGCCATCTCACAAACAGGTTTATGGTCCTCGACCCTCTCCAGATGGGCTACTTCATCGAGCAGGTCGCTCTGTCCGCTGCCTCCTTCGGAGTCGCCACGTCTGATATCGAGGCAGTCGGCCAAGCTCTGGGCTCCCTCTTTAACTACCGCTGTGCCCCCAAAACCACCGTCATCAAGGCCCAGGGTCCCCAGTACCAGAGCGTATGCACTGACGAGTCTTGCCCGCTCGCTGATAATGCAACCTGTGCTGCTCAACCCTCCATGTCTCAGCCCCTCGTTGCCAACGCCACTCTCGCCGACGGTGAGGGCCGCATGCCCTCCGGCTCGGCGACTATGTCTATGTCTGGGGGTTCCACTGGCACGGCTACCATGTCCGGGGGTGCTTCTGGGACTGCCTCTGGCGCTTCCTCTCCAAGTTCTACCTTTAACGCTGCCTCACATGCAGCTCCTGGGCTTACCGGTGTGTTTGCGGCGCTCGTGGCTTTCCTCGCACTCTAGATTCGTCTATGAGAGGATCTATGGAGTGGGATGGGTATCAAGGTTACTGTGATGATCTGGTGAGCATATGATGGTGTAAATCATATTATTCTATTTTATATGTCTTCTTCGATGACAATTAATTTGTGCGTGAATTTCTTTTATGATTTTCTCTTTCACCCACGATTCGTCATTGTTGAAATGTTGTTGCCTTGTAGAACATTTGACTCATTAATTCAGTAATTTATTGTACTTTGGTATAGCTCGTATGCCAGAGATTGAATCTCCCACGTAAGGTTGACTCTACCAAGGCTTCACAAAGACTCATGTGGAACAATCTCGCACTCGCATTACAACCTCGGAACCCCAAGAAAGCCTGTATAGCAACTGCCATCTACGTCATAATCTGGGGAATCCTCAACCGGGGCTACTAAGCTCCTGTAGCACAGCCCGCAGCTCGCTCTATACGCCACGGGCAACAGAAGGGGAGCGGTGGAGACCCTGATGGTCAGCAGCGGACAGCTGCGGCTCGTTTAAAAATCGACGGTTCCTTATAGGTTTAGCGAGTTGTCATAGTTTATCGACCTTCCCAGAATCTGGCCCGTGCGATCGAGATCGGTTTGTTTGTATTCTCGTTCTTAGTCGTTCTCGTTCTCGCTCGGAATGATCGGGATCCGATTGGTCGAGGGGCACGGGGATTTCCTTGACAGCAAGGAATCTGCAGAATTGTATTGTATTAGTATTACAAGACGTAACATACGTTCTATATTTTCCTTGATCTAGTCCCTGCAGTTAGAGAAACCTACGGCCAGCAACCAGAAAGAGCTATCTCAAAGCGAAGACGGGATCCAGGATTTGGAATTCTGCGAGGCCTTGGCGGGTTCTTGAGGGGGCTGTGCAAACCAGCGATTGAATGTAGTGACGCTGAACTCCAAGGTTAGTCCCTTTTCTAGTCTCTTTGTTGGCCATAGAACTCGCTTGTTGATGGGGAGAGCTTTTATCCAGAATTCAGGAAAGTGAGAATAGTGAGTAGTGCTTTATTCGTATATTCTTGCGATAGGCCTCTGCCATCTCGAAGTCCGTTTTTCTATCGTTTCGCTGGATATCTCGTCGCAACGGACTCGACAACTGTTTCTGCAGCCGTGAGGAGAAAGATCTGGACAACTTGGTTTATCTCACTGCTCCTTGACTTGGTAAGTTGACGCTGGAGAGTAATCTATCAGAGCTGTTTTCTCACAGCTGACCGTCAATCCATCTTACAAACCATAGATATCCTTTACCTTCATCCTTACTCTCTTCCCCCTCACTGCTGAGTTACTACCGCGCCAAAGATGACTCCCCAGATAGCCTCCTAAAAAGGCATCTTCCACTACCTAAACGCGCACAAAAAATTCAATCTCAAAACCAATCGACTCCCGCTACAACATCATTCTCCTCGGCGGGGCATTCGACTCGCTCTTCTCTCTCCTCGAAGCCCCAGCCGCACCATTTATCAGTCGACTATCAGATATCTATGGGCGACGACGAGCGATGCCCTTTTCTATGATTGGCAATGTCCTCAGTGTCTCATGGTGGTTTGGCGCAACGGATTTCAGGTCTTTTCTTGCTAGTCATCTCTTTGGTGGGTTGACAGAAGGGAATGTATAGCTTGCTAATTCGATTGTGGCCGATATTAGTGATGAGAGTCAGTGTGATTCCGCGATGGCGCTTGTGGGTGAATGCTTTAGTATTCCTTTTACTTGTGGGCTCGAGCACAGCAGTCCGTCCGCTTTGAATGGCCGACTTCTCTCAATTATGGCCTTATTGCCTCCTTGCTACAGGGTACAATTGTACGACGCACCTCCACTCGTGGTAATCTGACTCTGTGCCTTGTGGTTCTTTCTACTTGTGTAGGCCTCCTCGCTTACAGGTTTGTATAGTGCTGAAGTTCTTCTCGCTGTGGCGCCAGCAACGGTAGTGACGGGTATTAACAGTCTGGGTAGTTTAGAAGCCTGGGAGGCTGAGCGTGAAGCCGTTCTTGCCCATCTTCGAAGTTGGGGGACAGGTTGGTCGAGCTTTGGGGCCGATGTTGTTATGTTTGTTGTTTTGGTGGGCTGGGAGAGATGTTTCATAGGTATGCGACCGGGGGAGCTATGATGGTTGGTGTTGGTGTGATTGTATTTGGTTTACTTCGTTCGCCTTCTCTTAGTTAGTATATCGCTGCAGAGTGAAGTATATATATCCTTGTTGGAATATATAGTCACGTGGATAGAACCATCAACCTTATCACAGATTTAACTTGGCCCGGTATTGTTCAATCAATTCAATTCAAAATTCTGGAATAGATCGTAGGTTCTTTCGTATTAAAATTAAGATGTCTGGTACTGCATTTGTGCGCACCTGGTAAAAAGGAATACATCAAACTAGCAGAGTCGATTTGCGAGATATACCTGCTTTGAACGATGTGGAGAGTAGCTCACGGGATATATATCCGTTATTCGGTTAATTAAGATTTGACTACCTTACCCAGCCTTGTCCCCTTTCCATCTTTCATGATAAGGAATATATTGTTAAATACACGATTTAAACTATTTCTTCTCCCTAGATTCGGGTAACCCCTGGGGATTCACACGTGGCGGATCGAGTGTTTCAGTTGTAGATTGCAGATCGGCAGTCGAGCCCCGTCGAACCGAAAGCTTGGGTGTGCCTGAATCGGAGTGGAGGCTGAACCTGGATCAAGCCATAAGATCAAATGTATCAGCGTATTGTGGACATTTTTAACGTTCTAACTGGATAAGTGGAATAATTTCCAGGAGACCCCGTTAGGAATTTGAGGAGAGTGTGTTTGACTGGAGGAGCGAAAGGAGCGAGTTTCCGCGAATTCATTTCGGGAGAAAATCCTGGCGAGGTGATGGGCCAATCAGATCTCGAGGTTGACAATACATTATGGATAGTCTTTTGGACCCCACACGCGTAGGGCGTTGGTTGAAATTATGCGATCTGAAGGCTAAGATACATCTCTTAGGTACGGAGTATATGATTGAAAACCATCAATCGTCAGTAGATATAGTTCATGTTTTATGACCTATTTTACATTTAATCATTTCATTCCCGGCTGGTCACATATTTGATTCCGTCATGGCCTGACACCGCAACGGTCGTGCCGATCGGCAGTGGGCCCGCGTTTGGGGTTGAGAGGTACCTTGAATCATCGGAAGAGAGATGACGAGGCTGTAGTTATTTATGATAGGATAGTGTTTTTAGGCTGGATGAGAAAGAGAGAGAGAGAAATATGCCAGGTACCAGGAACAAGCAAATAATAACTCCAGAATGTAGTAGGTACCTCGTATTTGGTAGTAAACTGGCGAGTCTCGATACTTCTATACTTCCTACTAAGACAATCGTTACCGTTTCCAGCGTGGATCTGACAGCTAATCTCTTAGCTCGACTCTCTCGAGAATATCGATGCAAGCGGGAGTGTTGATTATTTTCTCTACTACTGTATAAGTAAACTCTAGTATTCTAGTCCTCTAGAATGTCTGAATGCAGAATCCATTGGACCCCAAGTGGAGTTCCGGCTGCGGCCCAGACCCTCGAAAAGGGTAAACTTTGTTTTTTCCGTTAACTTTGTAGAATGATGTTTATTACATGATGATGATTATCATCATAGTTAACTAAGTTGACTAGTAAACTACAGTAGTTAGCTACAGTAGTAATATTACATGCCTAGTCAATTTAATTCCCTTTTTGGTTGGGTCAGTGGTGGTCCCTGTTGGTCCCTGGGCCCTGTCAAGTTCTCTTCCTCCACTTGTCATCTCTCCTCTTCCATTTTCCCCCCTCTTTTCTTTCTTTCTTCCTCCACGCCCTAACTTTCATCATGGACTGCCCACCTTGATCGCGCCCCGTCTATCGCTTGAATCCACCACGTTTCTTACAGGGATCTCAATCCTCGTCTCTCTCTCGCTTGCTCTCTCTCACTCTCTCGCTCTACCTCGCTGGTTTCCCCCCGACTTAACACCACCAGCCATGACTCTCTCTGCCGGGCGCGGCCGTTGGCTGGGCCTCCTCTTCCTCTCGCTTTACGCGTCCACCAGCTCGGCCGACAGTATCCTTCCCTCGTCGGCCTCTTCCTCATTCCCCGAATGTGGTCTCTCCTGTACGGCCCTGACTCAGGCTCAGAGTAGCTGCGAGTCAGCCGCCGAATCGACCTGGGTCTCCTGTTTCTGCCAGTCTTCTCTCCTCACCGGTCTCAAGACTTCCGGCAGTCTATGCTCCTCGTGTACCTCGTCCTCCGATCAGTCTCTGCTTTCGACCTGGTATAACAACTATTGCAACTCTGGTGGCACGGATACGGGCAGTTCGACCAGCAGTACCACCAGCGCCGGCACTGCCACGGCTACTAATTCGGCTTCAACGGCCAGCACAACGGCCGGGAAAAGCACGAGCAACACTTCGGCCGCGGATGAAAATAAGTCTTGGTATGTCTCAGATTTTCTGCCCCTCCACATAAACTCAGACATCCCTCTCTTCTCCCTTCTCCACATCTCCACGCCTTACCAGTCACCATCCCCAACTGAGCTAACCATTTGGTCTCTCTTTACAGGTGGAGCACCCATTACCAATGGGTGATCATGCTGATCGTTCTCGCGATCGGCTTTGGTGCCATCGCTGCCGGTGGTGTCTGGCTCAAGCGCCGCTACGACGCGAAACGACCTGGCCTGTATCACGGTGGAAGTGCAGCGGGCAGTTCGGGCGTCCTGAGTGGAAATCCCGTCTCCAATTCTAATTCGGGAGTCTTGAGTCCCCCTCCGCCGGCTTGGGCGTCGTCCCCGGGGCCTAATCAATCGCAGTCTCTGGCGAGTAGCTCGCGGACGGATATTGCTGCTACTCGTGGGAATGCACCTACGCCTGGTAGTCGCACCCGTCTACCTAAGCAAGGGCAGACGGAAGGGGATGTCGAGATTCGACAGGTCTCTCTGCGGCAATAATTGGATTTTTTTATGTTTTCATCTTGTCATCTTGTGATGTTTTCTTTTGATTCTTCGGATTGTCATGTCTCGTGTTTTTCTTGATATCTTGGATGTTTTATTTTGATGATTCGGGTATTTGTGACTCGGTATGTGACTTGTTAGTGCCTGTTACCGTCTCTGCAGTGTTAAATCTCTGTCAGTTTGAGGTATAGGTACTTCTCTGTCCGTACCTCCTTTTCACCCCACCTTGCATTTTCTCGGCGTTAGCAGTGTGGGAGTATATTCTATGGAAAGATGCGAGGCTATCTGGCTCTCCCTTTCCTCCCTTTTGTGGTCAATTAGACCTTGATTTTCTTTCCTTTTCCAGGATTGGAATTGCTTCTTTTCGTTGAATTTATCTGACGTCTGATGTTTCCCTGTGCCTGGGCGGATTTCGTATTTTGATCCACATCCGGGGCGTGGCTTGGTCTCGTTTGAAATTCCTTTTTTATATCCGTGAGCGTGCAAAAGAAGTACAGTATATAATCTTGATATTCAAGGCCAACTCGCTGTTGGGATAACTCGTGATCTCGTATAGAAAAGGTGAAAAGAAACTAGATGGGGTGTGGTAGTGTACATGTACATTGCTCGATGCTGTGCGGGTCACCATTAAGAAATGCTGATACTGACAATCTTCACGTCTACCTCGGGCTTTTCCTTATGCGTCTTGACATTTTCAATTTTATGCACCACGTCGAGACCTTGCACAGCGCGCCCGAAGACCGTGTGCTTATTGTCCAGCCAGGGAGTTTTCTCGGTAGTAATGAAGAATTGACTTCCATTCGTGTTGGGTCCGGCATTGGCCATGGAGAGGGTATACGGCTTGTCGTGTCGCAGACTGGAGAATTCATCTGCAAATTCTCCGCCCCAGATGGATTCACCGCCTGTGCCGTCACCTTGAGGGTCACCACCCTGGATCATGAATTTGCGGATCACTCGATGGAAGATCGTGTTGTTGTAGTATCCTTGTCGGGCATGGGTGACAAAGTTCTCCACGGTACGGGGTGCAGCGGTCGGGAATAGGCGGAGGTGGATGTCGCCCATGGTGGTGTGTAGAACTGCCGCAGTACCGGTCTCTTGAGGCTTCGTTGCGCCTGTATCAGAGGCACCGGCGACTTGGGTAGGTTTCTCGTTTTGGATATCACGGCTGCTCTTGGAGATATCGGTCTCGTTGGTGAAGAGGTAGAAACGGACTTTGGCAAATCCAGTGCTGACGAGAATGGCATCGCGCTCCTCGGCCTCCTGCAGGAGAGGGTTACTGCTAGCGGCCATGGAAACGGTGACAACACCCTTGCGCTGCGGCTGGCCCTGGTACAAAGCCAGGTTCAGTGCTCGGAAAGGTTCCTCTCGACCATATACTCGCACCACGCGATTCGTATACGTGTTGATGCACTTGATTCCATACAATGAGCCGTAAAGCAAGAAATGGCCGGACTCATCAAAGGATACGTTCACCTTGCCCCGGGTCGCTTCGCCTTCCAATTCTCGTTCGACTGCAAGTCGACGCCCGAACTCAACCTCCTCTAGCTGGTAAGGTGCAGTACCCGCTTGTTGCATTTCCATGATAGTTGCGATGGACTCGTCGTACGTGCGGTAGAGTTTACCCGTCGCAAATTCAAACACGCGGATCTGGCGATCGGGGAAAGACACTGTAGCAAAATGCTCGCCCGAGGGTGAAATGGTGATCCCAGTAGCCGTAGACTTGGCCTTCTTAAAGGCAAACAAGTTTGTAGACGACTTGAGCTCAAAGACATTATCCGGCTTTTCGAAAGACCCATCTCCTGCGCGCCAGTACTCGATCATGCCCGACTCATCGGCCGAGATGACACAATCGAACGTATTGTTGAATGCCATGGAGACGATTGGCGAGCGGTGAACCGACTTGACCGTGTGCAGGGGCTGCGGGTTCTCGCCACGTCCATCAAAGACTTGGAAAGTACTGCTTGACTCGTCGGTCACAGCGAGCAAGGGGAGGGATGCTCCTCGTCGATGCACCCAGCATACACATCGAGGGACGAATTCGAGTGTATACATGGCTAGTAGATCTGTTATGTTGTTAGCACGAACCCCAAGATCAAGGATTGGACATTGCTCATACCAAAGGTAATAACATCAAAGATCTTAACTGTCTTATCCACACCCGCCGTCGCAAAACTACGACCGTCGGCACTGACGTTGACACTGCGAATCTCGCCTGGATGGGCCCGGAACTCCTTCACAAACTCAATCCCGTCGGCCATTTTCTTCCAAAACTTGACCACTCCATCCACCGAGCTGGTAATCACAAAATCCGTGAATGGAGTGACCGTCACAAAGGACAATTGGTCCTTGTGCATCAGCGACTTGGAGTACCGCGCCGAGGCGGGCAGCGCGTTGACGTACACCTTCTCGAAGGGCAGCTTTCGTCTTTTCTTCTTGGGAGCTGCCTCAGAGGGCAGCGCGGGACCAAAGTCATCGTCCGAGGAGGAATCATCGCCTACACAAGAATGTATACGTGGTGAGTCGACTGCGCGCAAAGGCCTGGGCGGAGCTCTGGGAGACACGGGGAGGTTTGTACTCACCATTGTCAGCGGCTTCGACCTCGGAATGAGGGCGTTTGTTAGGAGGGGCTACCGCAGCCTCTTCAGAACCAGCCATCTCTTGAATTATTGCTCCCAGAGAGCAGGAAGTAAGCGTCTGTGTTGTAGATGAAGAAGGAGAAAGAGCTTGGGTTCATCGCCAGCGGCGGGCGGTGGGCGGCCACTCGGGCAGAAGCTCGGACCACCCAACTTTTCTCCTTTCTCGCCGTGAACACCCCCCACTGTTGACGAAGCTGCATCTTTTAGCAGTCGACACCTTTTTTTGATCACTAGTTCGACTGTTCGTTTCTGGCTGATCATCATGGTATGTATTGAATGCGGATGAACTCGGTGTTACCGTGATTATTCACTGACTGTACATCTTGCAGGCGTCATTTGCCAATCCCACACAGATCTTTGCCGACGATGTCACCGAGGAGAAGGGCGAGAATGCCCGTCTGTCGGCCTTTGTCGGTGCTATCGCAGTCGGTGATCTCGTGAAGAGCACTCTGGGTCCCAAGGGAATGGATAAGATTCTACAGTCTGCGTACGTGGCGGGGTGTTCTTGATACTCTTGGCGGGGGAAACATATCGAAATTATATGCTAACGCGGCTTCTCCTACAGTTCGACCGGAGATATTCTCGTGACGAACGACGGTGCTACCATCCTGAAATCGATCGCTTTGGACAACGCTGCGGCAAAGGTGCTGGTCAACATCTCCAAGGTTCAGGACGATGAGGTTGGTGACGGTACCACTTCCGTCACCGTGCTGGCCGCCGAGCTGCTTCGGGAGGCCGAGAAGCTGGTGAGCTCCAAGATTCACCCCCAGACTATCATTGAGGGTTACCGGATAGCTAGCCGTGCCGCTCTCACTGCTCTCGAGAACACCGCTGTCGATCGCAGCAAGGACCCCGAGGCCTTCCGCAAGGACCTGCACTCCATCGCCCGCACAACTCTCAGCTCCAAGGTTCTGGCACAAGACCGAGACCAATTCGCCCGTCTGGCCTGTGAGGCCGTCCTGCGTCTCAAGGGCTCGACCGACCTGAGCCACATTCAGATCATTAAGAAGGCCGGCGGCAAGTTGAGCGATTCTTACCTGGATGAGGGATTCATTCTCGACAAGAAGATTGGTGTCAACCAGCCCAAGCGGTTGGAGAATGCCAAGATTCTTGTGGCCAACACTGCCATGGATACGGATAAGGTCAAGATCTTCGGTGCTCGGGTCAAGGTCGAGTCGACGGGTAAGCTGGCCGACCTCGAGAAGGCCGAGCGTGAGAAGATGCGGGCCAAGGTGGAGCGGATCAAGTCTCACGGAATCAACTGCTTCGTCAACCGGCAATTGATCTACAACTGGCCCGAGCAGCTCTTCACCGAGGCTGGTATCATGTCCATTGAGCACGCCGACTTTGACGGTATTGAGCGCCTCGCCCTGGTGACTGGCGGTGAGATTGCCTCCACATTCGACCACCCTGACCAGGTTAAGCTGGGCTCTTGCGATCTGATTGAAGAGGTTATTATTGGTGAAGACACTCTGATCAAGTTCTCTGGTGTGGCCGCTGGCCAGGCTTGCACCATTGTCCTGCGTGGTGCTACCGAGCAGCTACTCGACGAGGCCGAGCGTTCGCTGCACGATGCCCTCGCGGTCCTCTCCCAGACCGTCAAGGACCCCCGCGTAACTCTCGGTGGTGGCTGTGCCGAGATGGTGATGTCCAAGGCCGTTGAACAGGCTGCTCAGAACACCACCGGTAAGAAGCAACTGGCCGTGGACGCCTTTGCGCAAGCCCTGAAGCAGTTGCCGACCATCCTGGCCGACAATGCGGGTCTGGACTCCAGCGATCTGGTCACTCGGCTGCGCCAGGCAATCAACAACGGCATGACCAGCTCCGGTCTGGACCTGTTGACGCCCGGCGGTGGCATTGCGGACATGCGGGATCTGGGCGTTGTGGAAGCGTATAAGCTGAAGAAGGCTGTGGTGTCATCAGCCTCCGAGGCTGCAGAGGTATGTATTCCCGTTTCAATTGGATGTAGTTCTCTTTTACTAACTTGTCTCCTCATAGCTGCTTCTCCGGGTGGACAACATCATCCGGGCTGCCCCTCGCCGACGGGAGCGGATGTAATATGATTGATGAGATGTGGCGATGAATGACTTGTATGCTGGGTTGTCCTCGAATTAGAGGGGGTTCTTTGCAAAAATTAAAAGAGACTATTCATATTGTTCAATATCCAATACATTCATCCAATCATCAATCACGTGTTCACCATAAGTAGTCTGGTGGCCTTGTGGCCTGAAGAATCACGTGCACATGAACGATGTAATAGTTCTGCCTGACGACTCGGGCTCCCGCTGAGTCAGCACCCCTTTGAACCCCGAAGACCCTCGCAGACCCTGAGGGACCCTGCGGGACCCTCGCCCTAAAGCGTCAGGGTCACTTCTGTTCCATCTCCAAATCGGTTTTTCTTTTCTGACCTAAGAACCCGAATACGACCTGAGTGGTTGGATATGGACACTATAAAAATGGAGGTACCTATCCCCATAAAAAATCCAACAGAGTTTAAATGCGATCATCGGGCATGACGACAAAAAACCCTGTCCGCATGGAGATCGGCGTGGGCCCGTCAGGACTTTTAGTGGCTGTAGTGAATGACCGATCCGAGGAATGCGGGCAGACTCTTTGACTTCTTTTCTTAGGAGGGGTGTTTGAGACAATAATCTCATGATCTGACAGAGCTAATAGTGTACGAGTAAATACTTTTCTGAGACCAGGTGAGGGGCGTGTCTGACTGCCAAGGATGCATGGAGTGTCTCGGTGGTGGTTCATAGCTTCCGCCTACTGCCGCCAGGCACCGAAAGTGTGCCCGTCATCGGGGGGTTATTTTTAGGGTCATCCCCCTGAGAGAAGCAGAGAAGAACGTATTTGGAGGATGGAAATGATATTCTCCTTCATAAGTGAAACTATCTACTCCATGCTATAGCGAACTGTTCAATCTGTATCCGGTTACTAGACTAGACCCTGGTAAAGGACTAGGGAGTGGCTCCATCGACCAGGTCCGTGGCGGAGTCTCCCCCACCCAAAAAAAGAACCAAACCGGCCTCGAGGCACACCTTGAGGGACCACCCAGTAAGAACGAGGAACCAGTCACACTCTCTAACTGCCACTACCACTACCACTCCTCCTCCTCCGCTTCTCCCGCAACTCTCGTCTTCCTTACTCTCTCTCTCTCTTCCTCTCCTCTTCCAACCCATCCTTTCACGCCCCAGCCCCGGCTCTGGCCCTTTTTCCCTTTCCCCACCCTCTCTCTCTCTATCCTCCACCCTGAAGACTCGTCCCTGATCGTCAACCTACCTTCGCCCCCAAAACTACATCCCCTGCTTCTGCAGCTCGTTCGCGCGCTTCGTTCTCTCGCGCAGTCTCTCTTGATTTCGATGCCGTATACCCTTCCACTCGTTTAAATCCTCCATGATCTTTTCTCACTGGCTAGCCACCCTCTTGGGTGGCTCTCTTGCCATCCATGGCGCTCTCGGCGCCATCACCCTTAATGTCGATGATGAAAGTCAGTCTCCTCGATCTCCTCAACTTCTTCTGGCTTCGTTCAATACGACTGCTGCTGCTTTTGTCCAGTCATCTCGATGGCCGGTCCCTGACTGGTATGCTTACAATGCGCTTTTCTAGACTCCCTCAAAACGGCCGCCAAGACGGTTGCCTCCGACATGATCGATTTCTACAATGCCCGTGATTCCAAAGATATTCCCGGAAAGTTTGACGGTACTTGGTGGGAAGGTGGTTCGATGTTTATGGTTCTCATTCAGTACTGGTGGTTGACCGGCGACTCCCAATTCAACGATGCCATCCAAGAGGGCATGTACTGGCAGAAAGGCGACGACGATTTCTTCCCATCCAATTACAGTCAGTATCTGGGCAATGACGATCAGGTCTTCTGGGGTCTTGCCGCTATCACCGCCGCCGAGCTGAACTTCCCCGAACAATCTGGCCAGCCCTCCTGGGTCTCTCTCGCTCAGGGTGTCTTCAACACCCAGGTCCCTCGTTGGGATACCAGTAGCTGTCACGGTGGTATGCGCTGGCAGATCTGGCCCTACCAAAGTGGTTATACCACCAAGAACGCCATCTCCAACGGTGGTCTCTTCCAACTGGCTGCTCGCCTCGCACTCTACACCAAGAACACCACCTACGCTGAATGGGCCGAGCGCATCTGGGACTGGAGTGCGACCACTCCGCTCCTGAAGCAGAAGAACTGGAATATTGCCGATTCCACCACCTGCGACACCCAATGTACCGACCACGGTGATTGGCAATGGACGTACAACTACGGTACCTACATCAGTGGCGCCGGCTACATGTACAACTACGTATGGTCTCCCCGACTTGCAAAGATCTCTGTGGATGAATGGTATCGCTAACTCGAACTCCTTCTAGACCAACGGAACTGCTTCCAAGTGGAAGGCGGGCATTGATGGGTTGATAGGCACCTCCAGCCAGTTCTATCCCACCCAAGGGTACAACGGTGCCGCCGGCAATGTGCTGGTGGAGATTACTTGCGAATCGGTCGAAAAATGCGATCGAAACCAAATTACCTTCAAGGCCTACTTCTCCAGTTGGCTGGCCTTCCTCACGACTATCGTGCCCGGATCCTCTGATTCGATCATGCCCAAGCTGAAGACTTCGGCGCAGGCCGCCATCAAGACTTGTACGGCGGGCTCGGATGGCACTCTCTGCGGTATCAAGTGGTATAACCAGGCCGCCGACGGCACGAATGGTCTGGAGCAGCAGATGGCCGTACTTGGAGTTCTTAATGCCAACCTCATTCCGTTCAAGGGCGGGGCTCCCCTCACTGCGGAGACCGGTGGTACCTCGAAGAGTAACCCCAGTGCTGGCACCAACAGCTCGAACCAGGCGGTTCCCACTCTCAACAACATCACCACGGGTGACCGTGCAGGCGCTGGCATCCTCACCGTCATCTTCGTCACCGGATGGGCAGTTGCCGTGACCTGGATGATCCGGGGTGGTTAAACTTGTTAGACTTGTGTTTTTCTTTTCTACTGTCATTGATTTTTTGAGATTTCTCTTCCTCCGGTGGATGTCTTTCCCTCTCTCTCCCAATGGCCCCCTAGTGGGTTGCCTCTTTCTGTTCTTATATATTCCCTTGACTTGGCCATGTCTGTATTTCTCTTTGTTCACTGCCTTTTGATTCCTCTTCTTTGTATCTATGTGGGCCCTCCTTTCTGATTTTTCTATGTGTTGTCTTGGTTGCCCGACTACAGTATTCTCTCTGGCGGCGGCGTGGACGTGGTGGGGGTGCTACGGCGTCTGGAGATAAACCTGCGATTTTGGGACTTTTTTTTTTTTTCACACTTGTCTTGGCCCAATTCTTTTTGACAGGGAAACCAAATGGATTTGAAAATTTCTCGGGTTGACGAGGATCGACTTGCGTCTTTTGTTTCTGCGGGGCGCCTAAGGCTGTAACTTGTATACCGTAGGGGGAATTGCGCCATTTGAATATCTTCTCATGTACACTCCGGGGCCAAGATGATACGTATTTGGGGTCGAAGCACTCGGTCTAGATGTTGAGGTATACAGACTATTTTATTTGACTCATATCATATTGTAGGGGCTATATTAAATCACGTAATTTCCCTTATCGATGACTGTGTCGTTTGTCACTCTAGTTTGTAACTACAGTTGTAACTAACTACCTAAGCTCGTAGTTAACTACAACCGAATACTCGTTCCCCACATGCAAAGCCCAGGGGCTGACGTGCGTGGCCCCCGTATTGTTCCATACCTTCCCGGTACAGCCACTTTGCTGGGGCCAAAGCCTAGAAGGGGCTGGGCACTGCCCGTACCTTACACAGGCTATACACTTGTATTATTACACAAAATCCTGTGGCCTTCCCCAGGCCTTTCAGCTTCCTCTCCTTTCCATTTGCTTTTCTCCTCGTTTCATCCGAGTTCTCTCATTCTGATCATTCATTTTTCATCCCCTCTCCTGGCTATTTGTCACCTACCGATCCTCCTCTCTGTATAGCGCCCTTTGCATCACTCAAAAACCCATCTACTTCACTAGAGGTGGGGGAATGATCCGCGATCCGGATTCTCGACTCGCTCCACACTAGGCCGTCCACCGTCCACACACACACACGACACTCGACACTCGACCCAACTCGAACCATCCCCCATCCTACCCGGCCCATGAGCTGGTTACGGTCTCCCTATTGACCTCTCTATCCCTGAATCCCCTCGCACGGTGCTGAAGTTTCCAACATGCGGTGGCGGCTGCCGGGCGCCCGTTCGACCCTCCCCGCCAGCGTCGCCCTCCTCCTCCTTCCGGTCCTGGTTGTTCCGCAGCAGCATCCAGAATCCCATGATTTCTCCATTCCTCAAGTCTCCGTGCCGTCAGCGCCCGCCGGAGCAGATCCAATACATGCAAGCGCGGCTACCCTAGCCGTGCCCCCCATCGTGAAATCCAACGATGCGAGCGCCCTAGCAACTCTGGCTCTGGCGGGCTCCGGCCGCGCCGTTCGAGCCCCTCCCGTCCGGGCTAGCAGTACCGCTGCTGGCCTGGCTTCGCAGCTTCACGCGCGGTCCCTGCAGGACTGGGAGGTTGAGGACTTTGTGCTGTTGGCGACCGTCGACGGAACCATTCACGCGAGAGACCGCAAGACCGGCTCTTCTCGCTGGGCCCTCGAGGTGCCCAGCAGTCCTCTCGTAGAGAGTATCTATCATCGTGCCAATCGCTCGAGCTTCGATGAAACACAGCCCGAGGATGACTTTTTGTGGATCGTCGAGCCCAGCCAGGATGGCAGCTTGTACGTCTACAGCCCTGGCCCCGAGGCTGGGTTACAAAAGCTCGGATTGACAGTCAAGCAATTGGTTGACCAAACCCCTTACTCCGGTATTCAGCCTGCTGTGACGTATACCGCTCGCAAGGAGACAACTCTGTATACGATCGATGCCCGGACTGGTAGCATCCTGCGGGTGTTTAGTTCTCGGGGTCCATTCACGGCGGGACAAGAATGTCGGAAGGTGGATGGTCTCGAAACAGACTCTGATGAGTGTGAGACAACTTCTGGGACACTCGTGCTTGGCCGTGTAGAGTATGCCGTGGCTATTCAAAACACCGAGACGGGGGATCAGATCTGCACGTTGAAGTACTCCGAATGGGCTCCGAATACTCGGGACATTGACCTTCAAAGTCAGTACTACCGCACCATGGACCAGAGTCATATCTATAGCATGCACGATGGTGTGGTGTTGGGATTCGATCATTCCCGGATGGACCGGCCTCGGTACACCCAACGCTTTTCATCTCCAGTGGCCCGCGTCTTTGACGTGGTTCGACCTGCCAATAAGGATGCACCGGATGCATCGACACCGCTGGTGCTCCTTTCCCAGCCTCTACAACCCCCAGATCCTGACTACGGTACATTGGATGATCGAGACACTCGTGTATTCATTGATTCTACCAATGCGGGTGGGTGGTATGCCTTGTCTGAAGAGACCTACCCTCTCGTCACCGGCCGGGCCCCAATGGCTCAATGTTACGACAAGGACTTTTTCCGCAAAGGCCAATCCCTCATGAGTTTGACTCCCAGTCAACAGCGGGATGCGTTAGCCGGTGTTCACTCATTGAATGGACCACGCATCACTCCATCCATTCCCCGATTGGGTAGCTCCTCGACGACCGAATTGGCCAACGATACACCTCGCGACGTCCTGCGTAGCCCATCCGAGCTAGCGCTACCCCCTGCCCTTCGGCACAGCGCCATCATCCGCAAAAGTTGGGATAACGCATTGGACATCGTCGTCACGTTGATTTTGTTGTTCATTGGCACGTTCATTTACTTCAACTCACATCATATTCGGGATCTCGCCAAGCAGAAGCTGGACATTAAGAACATAATCAACTCGAATGACAAGTCCTCCCTTTCGGCTCCTGCCACTCCCATCGTCGGGTCGGCCCCGGATATCCATCGACCGTCTACCCCGGCGAGGCAAGTCCCCGGTGTCACTGTGGATGTCGACCTCGGAGATAGCACTGCAGAGGGTGAAGTGACACCTCGACCCTCGCGGGACCACAGTGTGCCCCCTCTTTCGACTCCTCGCGTGCAGATCCGTGAACCTTCTCGGGAACCCGATGATGGTGAGGCGGAAGACGGTGCTCAAGACCCTGATAAGCCGAAGAAGAGACCTCGCAAGCGTGGTACTCGCGGCGGAAAATCACATCGCAAGGGCAAGAAGCCGGGCACCGAAGCAGATGCCAACCAGGCTGATCGGGTTGTCGAGCAAGTAAACAACATGGCTCCCCAGTCTCGTTTGGAGCCCGACGTGCAAATGACTCGTACTGTCTCCAACGAGATTGTGGAGATGGATGGTGTCATTCGCATTGGTCGATTGGAAGTCTTCACTGATGTCGTTCTTGGTCACGGTAGTCACGGTACCGTGGTGTATCGGGGCGTGTTTGATGGTCGAAACGTGGCCGTCAAGCGAATGCTGATGGAGTTTTATGACATTGCTTCGCACGAAGTTGGACTGTTGCAGGAGAGTGATGACCATCACAATGTCATTAGGTACTTCTGCCGTGAACAGGCAGCTGGGTTCTTATACATTGGGTTGGAACTCTGTCCTGGCTCGCTGCAGGATGTCATTGAACGTCCCTCTCAGCATCCAGAGCTGGTTCAAGGCGGCCTTGACATGCCGGATATCCTGAAGCAAATCACCCAGGGTGTGCGTTACCTACATTCCCTCAAGATCGTTCATCGTGACTTGAAGCCTCAAAATATTCTGGTCGCCATGTCGCGCGGTCGAACTTCCGTCCGCTCTTTGCGGCTGCTCATCTCCGATTTTGGATTGTGCAAGAAACTCGAGGACAACCAGAGTTCTTTCCGAGCCACTACTGCCCATGCCGCCGGTACATCTGGATGGCGTGCGCCTGAGCTGTTGGTAGATGACGACAATGTGGGTATGAGCTCCGAGTCGCAGCATACCGAATCGTCAGAGCCCGCCGTTGTGGACCCGCAGACCAATCGCCGCGCCACTCGTGCCATTGACATTTTCTCGCTGGGCTGTGTGTTCTACTACGTTTTGACTCGTGGTAGCCATCCGTTTGATAAGAATGGCAAGTTTATGCGCGAGGCCAATATTGTCAAGGGTCAATTTGACCTGGAGGAGTTGAATCGCCTGGGCGATTATGCGTTCGAGGCGGATGATCTCATCCGCTCGATGCTCTCCCTTGATCCTCGTCAGCGGTATGCTTATTCCCTTCAATTTGTTGAATATGACCTCCGTTTACTGACTCCATTTCCCTTCCAGTCCCGACGCCAGTCAAGTACTCATGCACCCCTTCTTCTGGCCTCCATCCGATCGCCTCAGCTTCCTCTGCGATGTCTCCGATCACTTCGAGTTTGAGCCCCGTGATCCACCCTCGGATGCTCTGCTCTGCTTGGAGTCGGTTGCCGAGCGAGTGATGGGCCCCGATCTGGACTTTTTGCGTCTGCTTCCTCGCGACTTCAAGGATAACTTGGGCAAGCAGCGCAAGTACACCGGTGATCGCATGCTGGACCTTCTGCGTGCTCTGCGTAATAAGCGCAATCACTACAACGACATGCCCGAGTACTTGAAGGCGCATATCGGTGGACTGCCCGAGGGTTACTTGAACTTTTGGACTGTGCGCTTCCCCAGTCTGTTGATGAGCTGCCACTGGGTGATTGTAGAGTTGGGTCTTACCGATATCGACCGGTTCCAGCGATACTTTACGCCCCCTGAGTAGATAGTCGTGTATATAAAATTGCATTTAACTGATATCTATTGTTTTGAAATTGGTCTTTTCTTTTAATTTTCTATTCTGCATCTGACTCGTCAAATTCCGATTTTGTCCGGAGGTTGGATCCTAAGACGGCGCAGCTGCCATCCTTTGTTTGCGGCTGGCGGCGTTTGCCTTTTGTCTTTTGTTTACTCCCATCGTCGTCTCTTCCTCCTCTGCTTCTCCGCGCTTCCTCTTCTCCTCTTTGCTCGCGCGCCTTGACGTTTTATTTCCCCCCTCTCACCACCCTTCCACTCGACGGTCTTATCCACTCAGAGCCTCCTTTTTTCACCAGTCGACTCTCCCATCAGCCCTCGTTTTCAGCCGTTTCTGTTTTCAAACCATGTCATCCGCGCCTAAGCTCCGATTAACCGTCCGGGTCTTCCCCCGGGAGGAGCCCGGTCTCTCAGGGTTGAATCTCGGAGGCACCCATGAGAATCAGAACCAGTCCGAGCCTGCCAAACCTCGTCAGTTCCTACTGATTATTAAGGATCCCGAGAAGCTCTCCCTTGGAAACTTGGCAAATCAGATCAAAGACCAATGGCGGGAGCTATGGCCTTCTGAGGAGTGAGCTCTCCCCTGCCAGACTGGTTCTAAATCCGCGCATGCCGTACTCACCTCCTTTAACAGGCCACTGCAGATCAAGAAACTGCTCGATGACGCATACCCTGATGCGCCGTTTAGCATCCACAACACCGTTGCGGATATTTGGGTTGATAATGGCCGCCACGCGAGAGAGGGCTTTGATCAGCATGGTACCGTCCGTGTGATTCCAACCCCTCTCTCGCTTGCCCCTTCTCCGACACCCAGATTCCAGCGAGAAGGCTCTGTGTTCCAAGATGTTGAAGGCGAAGCTGCACGTGAGGCGAAGCGCAAGCTCCTCGATGCCGCCATCAGTGCAAATGACTCGCTCATCGGAGAGAGGGAGACATCCATTAGAACACCCTCCCGAGACAAAGAACCAGACCTGCGGGAACGTCAATCCAAGAGACCCAGACTGACCGAACAGAATGATGCCCCGTCTCCAAGTCCTGCTGGATCACAGCGCGAGACGACTTCCGGCCCGCTATTCTACAATGACAGACGGGCCCCGTCTTTCGCACTGCCCCGTGGCCACAGGAGCCATCCCCCCAGCAACTCAAAAAGTTCTCCCGAGAAAGGACTTGGTCTGGGTGTCACGGCTAGTCCTGTCAAAGCTAAGACGGCTCATACCAAGGGCCCGAGTTCTATGCCTCCGCCACCACTTCCGCGTTACTCGCTGCGTGGAGCTTCCAATTCATCGCCGCTGGAGTCTAGCTCACAAGATGACTCTCCATTGGAAAATAGGAAATCCAAGCGACTGTTCAACTCTGTTCCGCGGGAGATTTCTCGTGATAAGGAACGTCGGACTAGGGCCAACGTGAAGGCCTCGGGATCTAGCAAGAAATCACATCGTGCCAGCTCTATGAGTGGCCCCACGGGCGTCTCTATTCTCAACAAACCCCCAAATTGGGCAAAGAGGGACAAGGAAGAGCTCGAGGAGATCAGGAAATTGCGCGGAGGATCCAACACAAACCCGGAGTGCTTTGAACTTCTCCGGAAGATGGAGGAACTCCACGAAGCAAGATTAAAACTCAAATCTGGCTCACACACTGATGCACAAGAGCGAAAAAGACTTTTGGATAATACTCGCAGAGCACTTGGTCACCGGCGAGGGCTGCTCCAGAAGCTCAAGGCGACCGGGGAGTTGTACAACGATAACGATGTGCAAACTACCACCAGTGAGAACTTTGCCAACGAGGGTCACAACAGGGACAGTGACGAGAGCAGCGAGGCAGAATTGCCCCAGAGGAGATCGAAGCGTCACAAAGCCAAGCGGCAGGATCTATCCAGCGACACTGTTGCTACCCGGAGGATTTCGTCCCTTCGTGCACATACGCAGAGCCGCAGAGACAGACTTTCAGACGTCCAGGATGTCCAGGTTGTGATTGATGATCTCGGAAGCGCCAGGGTTTCGCCAAACAAAAGTCTTGATGCAAACGACGTCCAGTCGAATGTGGCCGATCCTGAGGATGATGGAATGGAAGATTGCTCTGCACTAAGAGAGCATAAGGACGAGGACGATGATATTATGACGGACAGCGATGGTGGTGATATTGAGTTTGAAGAAGAGGGTCTCGAAGTTGAGCAAACTTCGCCCATCCATAATCCTTCCTTCTCGCAGGGACCTTCCCCGCGCAAGACACTTGCTCTTGGTGCTGAGCCCGAAGACGAAGAAAATGGTTTCCAGGGGGTTTTTACTTCGAAGTAAGTCCGCACTAAATACTTCTAGCTCATCAGAACACATGCTTACGGGTACAAGCAGGCACCTTGAACCCCAGGAGACGCTACGCGTGCCTCCTGTCGATGAACTCCCCGAACAGCAACGCTCGAGTTTCCCAACTCTCAAAATGCTTCTCAAGCAGAAGAAGGAGGCATTAGCTAAGCTTTCTCCATTCGCCGGCAAACGGCCGAGAGACGAAGAGCCGTCCGTGTCGTCGGATGACGAGACTTCGGAGGACGAGAGCAGGGGATTCGACATTGATTACAAGGTGTGAGGTGGTGACATTTCCTGCTGTCTCCAAAGTGAGATCTGAAGAGATATTTGAGTATTCCTAGGTCTAGTCGTGAGTCGTGTTTCTCATCTAGCTGGATGCGATCAGCTGGAGACCTGATGTTTCGATTGTCTCTCCACGAGCTGTTCTACAACATTCTGTACGTGTTTCAGTTCATGATCTTGAGTACCGTGTAAAGAGAGTCTTTCTTTTTCATTCTCAAAAACTAGCTGAATGAGAAACCATTAACAGCTTCAAGGCACTGTAGTTCCACTCTGATCGACCTTCTCTGCAGAACCCTCTTCGATCCATTCCTTGGGAGGAGCCGTCACTTCGTAGTTCCAGCCCATTGAATCCTCAATTGATCCAGATTGAATTCCACGAAGTGTCTGTAGAAGCTTGACACAGACCTCACCACCCTGGGCCTGGTCTCCACAGCGATATTCAAACTTGTCACCCTTGGAACGCATCGTGATACTTCGAACGGGGACAAGTGCAGCTGCAGTTCCTGCAGCAACCACCTCGTCGAATGTGCTTAGCTCTTCATATCCGACTCGTCGTTTCTCAACCTTGTAACCCAGATAGCGGGCGATATCAGCGACGGACGATGCCGTAACCGAATCAATCGCGTTGCGACTGTCCGGCAGCACGACGGTGATATTATCACCATCCCGCTTCACACCGATAAAAGCAGAGGTAGAAAACTCGTCAATCTCGCTGCGCGTCGCACTATCCAAGTGCAAGGTAATTCCAAACCCTTCCTGACGCGCCCGATCACTGTGTCGCAAGACGGGCGCATAGTTTCCACCAACCTTGGCATTCCCCGTTCCAAACGGCGCCGAACGATCAAAGTCCTCCAGAATCAACGCGTCCACCGCACTAGCGCCATGATACACACCTGTCGGCATCACAAACACAACCAACGTATATCCATCCGGCGGACTCAATCCCAACTGCGCAGACGATCCGAACAACAACGGCCGAACATACATCGCAGCACCGGATTCAAACGGAGGAACAAACTCGGCATTCGCACCGACGGCCAATCGCACGCAATCGAGGAAGAGATCCTCCGGGACGGGCGGGATCGAGACGACCTCGGCGGATTTCTGCATGCGCTTTGCGTTGCGGTCCGGTCGGAATATGGTGATTTTGCTATTCTCCGCGTGGCGGAAGGCCTTTAGGCCTTCGTAGACTTGTTGGCCGTAGTTTAGGCCTGGGGCCATCCCGTGGATGGAGAGGTAGGGCGAGTGCACGAAGCGCGGGGTCGACCATTGGCCGTTGCCGGATTGTGAGTAGTGGCATTCGACATGGCCGTTGACTGGGGTTGTTAGTGGAGTGGGTTTGGGGAGGAGGGGGTCATGGGTTAACTTACCATCGCGCACCTTGAAGCCAATGTCGTTCCAGTCGAGAGGTGCTGGGGGAGGAGGGAATCCCATGGTGAAGGTGGAAGTGGAGAGTTGGAGGGTGAAAGTGTGGATTCGGCGATCTGCGGGGGAGAAGAGGGGCTTCTTGGGCTCTTTATACTTCGGGCTGAATGGAGGTGCAAATGGCGGTGACTGGATGGAGTCGTCAGTATTTAGGACAGGGAAGGTAGTATCTTGACATTGTTTCAGTTATTCTTCTTCTGCTTTGGACCAGCTGAATGTCCTCCGGTCTCGGCGTCATCGGGCTGACATCAGGACTCGGGATGCTTGTGGTACAACCTAACTGTTAGTAGATGGACCCGCACGCTAACTATGAATTAGGTATATGGATGACCGCAGTCTGACAAACCCCGATTCAATCTTAATAACTAGCGGAATTACCTCGATGATGTCTATTTTCTTGAAAGAAGAAAATATTAGCGGGCCTATGTCGTTAAGCCTAATTCTGGGTATGTAATCAGGGAGCGTAGCGAAGCTTACAACAAGCTTCTGACGGGCTGAATGAAACAAAATAATTAACAGTTCCATAGAAGATGCTGATTAGTCGTACCCTCACATATAATTTGCATTACGCTTTCACTCTTTTCGTTCTCTCTCTTAGCTTAGGTGATTATCATTCTTATTCAAGCTCTCGACCTCTACCCCTTACCATAACCCCCGCTAGAGCGCGTTTATTGGAGGGGATAAAAGTGGAAAGAAAACACAGATTTATAGGAAGCGGGTTTGCGCCAATTAGTTCTCATGATCTTCCAATTCAGTGCCCCTGGAGAGGGTCATGTGTGTACCTAGTTATAGTATTCAATCATCCTTCATTCAGTGGTACCACAAAGGCTCAATTCAAGCTATCCCCTCACTCACTCCCTTCTTTTCCAATTCATTTGATGGGGTCCACATTCTCCGTCTGAGAGACCTCGCCTTTCTCAACTCCCTCGGTGACTACCGCTGGCATGTTGTAGGTCTGTTGCATTTGGATCTTCTCTCGTCGCATCTCCCTTGATTTCTTGACACCGAAGCCCTCGTCGAATAGGGTGAAGGCTTCGTCGACAGATAGGCCCTCTACAAAAACCATATTAGCAACCTATCATGTCTCTCGATGGGAAAGGTCATCGCTTACTGGTTTCGGGATAGCAGAAATAGGCAAGCACCAGGCCGATAATGATGAAGCCGAGGTATAGACCGTATGTCCCGCTAGGAGTCAGCTGTTCGAGTCTGTAATCAAGTCAGCCAAATTCTCCCAATGCTGCAACTGGAGAGACGAACTCGGTGAGGAATGACACGGCAACCACCAGATTTGCTGAAAAACTAGCAGTTGTGCTAATAGCACTACCCGCTGCACGAATCTCGAGAGCGAGATACTCGGACTGGTACCAACAAAGATGGGCATAGGTGGACCCAAAGCCGGAGACGAAAATCACGATTCCGGCTATAACAAGGCCAACATCCTTCTGGGGATAAGGGTAGCCATCAACCAGGACGTGGCCCGTGGGCTTACACATGTAGTAAAAAGCGACCAGACACCAAGTTAGACCGATGACCATGATGGGACCGAATTTCATCAGCAGCCCACGGCGACCGATCCGGTCTACCATAACCATGCCGCAAAGAAGGAAGAAAGTGTTGGTGATTGAAGGAATTAAGCCTCCAACGGACGGATTGGAAAGACCCAAGAGTCCGAATAGTGTTCCAGCGTAGTATAGAAGGGTGTTATACCCAGTAAATTGACCAAAGACCTGGATGAAACTGACAGTGAAGATTGAACGGCGGTATGGCTTGTGAGTCCATAACTTCTTAGAGCGTTGCCAGAAGGTGGTCGAGCGTTGCAAAGCCGTGGTAGCCGCAATGTGATCTTTGACGATGCGCAGCTTCAGCTCAATGATCTCGGGTGAAGCGAACTTGTAGATTGTCTGGAGTACTTCTCGAGCCTTGTCGTCTTGGCCACGAAGGATAAGAACGCGAGGAGACTCTGGTAACTTGTGCATCAGGGCGAGTTGCAGAAGCGAGGGCACAACCCCAAGACCAAACAGGATCCTCCAGTTGCCGTTGACGTGCTGCATACCGGCACCAATGGCCACGGCGACTGTCTGGCCAAATGGAATGCAAAAACCATTTGTCCCTACACATCGTCCACGAACGGCCGTGGGAGCCAGCTCAGTGATGTAAAGTGGACAGATAACAGCCGCGCCACCCACCCCGACGCCCAGGATAAGACGGCCGGCGATGAGCTGGCCGAGAGAAAAGCTCGATGCGATGACGATAGCACCGGCGGTAAAGAATAGGTCAGAGATCAGTAAACAGAGCTTTCGACCCCATCTATCGGCGAACATGCCCAAGATGGCAGCCCCGAAAATCGAGCCGACGGTGGTGGCCGCCGTGGCAATCTCCTGTTGAAGGTAGGAGAGGGCATAGCCAAAATCAGTTCCAACATAAGGAAGTGCAACGCCAACGACACCAGTGTCGTAACCGTATAGGAATCCTCCAAGGGCCGCCTAAGCTTTTGTCAGTTGATTGTCTCGAAAGCTTTGGATGTGTTTGTATTCTGACCGAAGCAATTAAGAAGAACAAGTACGGTGTCATCTTGTCTTCATTTTCGGCTTGAATAACGTGCTCGTCCTGGAAAGACTCGTTAGCACCATCGCTGTGGCTAGGGTTTGAAAGACTTACGACGAGATGAGGTTGTTCAGCTTGAGCAATCCAATTTTGAGACGCGGAGTCTATCTGATCCGCCTGGGCGGTCTCGACGTGAGATATCATATTGTAGAAGTCCAACTGATTGTTTAGTCGAGAAATTGATGACGGTAACCTGGACATTATGGGTTTATATACTCGAGATTCTGGATCCTATAGATGTCCTGTCGCGGAGAATGAGTGCCGATCGCGTCGTCTGGGCCAGGAGTTACAAAGCTGACTTTACTAGATAAAGTTTTCCGGCTTAATTGGTTTGCTATGGTATTATCTCGCAACCTTAATTGGGGACATTGATTTGGTGATACCTATTAAAAATATGCGCGTATTTAGGGAACGAGATACCGTAAAGCTTTAGGTCAGGCCTGGATGTCGTAGAACAGAGAGTCACACTTTGTATGTCCTATGCAACAATTCTTTAGGAACAACTATACCCCCTCAAGAATTGAGCAGTCCTAGAATATGAGGCAAGACGCCCCGGAGATCCCAAAATCCGGGGTTTGACGCTACCCCGCGAATGTGGAGCGTGCCAAACAATTAGCGTTTACCGAACCCGCCAATCGGTCTTAATTCCAGCCTGCAAAACTTTCACACCGCGTATACTGACCCAATTTCGGGGATGGGATTCCGGCACCGCGTGATAGGTACGCCTCCAGGTGTGCTAGGTTACTGAGAATACCTAAGTCAGTTCCAATCGGCTGTTAGGTGAACTAAGCGCCATTACAAAATCGTGTGTACGCCCCGGGCTAAGAGAGCAGCATGAATAAGGAATATACAAGCAGGAGGTAGGTGGCTATAATTCGGGGGTATTGCAATTGCAATGTCTGCTGTAGCTTGAGCACAATAATAGTACACTAGAGGCCAAATGGTCAGAATCTGGGGATTGCTACACAGTCCACAACTATTTATTGACCGGCAACCCGAGAAACGAGACACCCTATGTCGAAAGTGAAAGGACGTGGAGTGGAATAAGCGAATGACTACACACACAGTAACCATTTGATTCTCATGCAATATTTTGCGAGAACTAACAGAATCAACTACTGGGCTGGTAGTCACCTCCTGACGGCTTGTGCTGATTGGTGGCTGGCCCCAGAGTTTTGATTTTGAGGCGGTGGCGATTTTTCGTTCCAGGCGATCGAGAGTGTTATAATTCAAACTTCACTGTTGCGGGGTATCCTGGATTATATATGGTTGGAGTAAAAGACCCAACTTTCGCGAAAAGACTATTGGAGCTTGGCATTCATATAAGACTCTAGCTTTCCCCTAATAACTTAGACCATACTACCACTTGTGCCTCGTGGTCCTCTAGGAATTGCACCCCCAACTACACTAATCTCGTCCTAGACTTGGCTCCCCCACGAATGGTATTCTCGCTGCTATTATAATGTCTGCTTTTTGAATTTGCATCATTCGCACTTTGTCAAGACACCAGAAGTCTTTCCGCCACCACGCGGGAATCTAACGGGTGTTCCACCATCAACAAAACCAGCTGACTCAGGGCATAATCCTCTGTTCGAAACATTCGTCACTAGCCCCGAGGAAATGAGAAACGCGCTGCAATGGCCCCGCAACCTTCCTCCTTGACTCAGGAACCAAATGGCCTTGTCGGGGGCTATCGGGGGAACAGCACCGCTGTCAAGATTATCATTGGTGTTCTGGTCTCTATCGTTTTGTTTAATGCTGTCGAACTCACGGTTCTCATCCTGATGACCTTTCATCGCTACCGGGGTCTCTACTTTTGGTCTTTGATGCTCTCTGCGACTATTGGGCTTATAGCCAGTGGCATCGGCAATCTTCTACACTTCTTCGCCATTGGGCCGTTGAGTCTGGCTCTGGCACTATCTAATATTGGATTCTACTTTCTGGTTCCGGCTCAATCCCTGGTTCTATACTCGAGACTACACTTGATCCTTTCCAATCCGCGTCTCCTACATTTCATACTCTGCGCAGTGATCTTCAACGGCATCGTCTTCGCCATTCTAGTGACAGTCATGTCATTCGGCTCGGCCTTCCTGCGGACCGGCCCCTGGAATGCGGGCTATACGGTCATAGAGCGGCTGCAGGTGACCTGGTTTTGTGTGCAAGAATTCGCCATCTCCATGCTCTACATCCATGAGACCGTCAAGTTACTCCAGCTTCGACCTGTGACCAGCAATCGTCGAAAGAACATCATGTACCAACTGTTGGCAATCAATATCCTTATCATCATGATGGACACTGTCATTGTCGTGATCGAATTCATCGGTCTCTATTATATTCAAGTCTTGATAAAGGATGCTATTTACAGCATCAAGCTCAAGCTCGAATTTGCGGTACTTGGGAAGTTGACTACCATCGTGGAGGACGGTCATCTTGATCTCACTCAGAGTGATTACAGCGGTTGCTGTGATGTCCAAAATGGCCAAAGTCTTGGGGCATCCGATCCGACCTCACAGATAACGTCAAAGAACACCAGATCCGGCTCTAAAGTGGAAACTACAAATTCGCACTTGGAATGGTTTGATCTAACAGATAACATGTCGCAGAGCGGAAGATCCCTGCATAACGGGCACAGCGCACAGCAGAAAGATTTTCAAATATATTGATTGATTTGGCTTTTCATTTGGGCAAAGTTCCCGCTATATTTGATGTCCTTACGTAGATCTACTCCAGTAGCGAGGAACCACGAATCCTTAATGAGAGTGCCTCCATATTTCGAGCGCCATTTTGCTGTGCCCTCAAAGATATCTACTGATTGTACGAATCGCTGTTGAATCATGATATGGCCCTGAATAGCAACCACCGCTGTAAAGAGAAATCCTTCAGGAAAATGTACAGCCCTTTGGCTATCGAATTTATGTGCATTCTAACCAGATCTCAAATTTATGGACATATTAAAACAAAAATAACAGAACCCGGGGGTAAGACCACAAGCCCCTGGAATGTGAGTCAAACTCACTTCTTCGCCTTGCCCATCATCGACTTGGACGTCCTTACCCGGAACAAATAATACAAGGCAATTGCTCCAAAGATGTTGAAAACAAAGTAACACCAGAAAATGCCGTAGTTGCGCCAGCGATCACTGTAGTAAATCTCCCGAGCAGCCAGATACTGGTCTGCGGAGCTCATGCTACAGTATTGGCAGTCGGATGTGGCGTTCTTGTTGTAGACAGAGCCGCCAGCTGTGTTGACGTAGCTCTCCATGTAGTCCCAGCATGTTTGACCGGAGGGGGGATTGAAGACGCTTAGCTCGGCTGCGTTGCACTCGACCTTGCGACCGTGCAAGGCAGTGCCGGCAATGCCGCTGATGTAGTACGTGAAAGGCGAGACACGGTACATGAAGATCCAGAATCCTATTGCCAAAAAGGTTAGACAATCGATCAAGGAAGTACGCATACTATGCGGGGAGGGAAACTTACTAGGTAGAACGCTGGGCGGCTGTAGAACACCATTGAAAATGAAAGACAGACCGAACATGAGAGTCGCGAGCATGGCACCGAGGGTAGGCTCTGGAATGGCAGACACCACGAATTGAGCCATACTAGCCGCGTAGATGTAGAATTGTACGATGAACAACATAATCAATCCACGGCTCTCGGAGTCTTGACCGGTACCAAAGACAGACCAGTAGAAAGAGGCCCAGGAGCAGACACCTAGGCAAACTTGCCAGGGAACCTCCACCAGGATCTGGGAGAGGATGAAAACTTTCCACGAGTAAATTCGAGAGGGACGCTCGCGGACTTCGTACAACGAGCGCTGAGTGACGAAGCGAGGCATGATCTGGTTAACGAGTGTGTTGAAGATGGTACACAAAAGGAAAATGCTGAAGAGCACATTTTGGAAGCCTTGTTGGGTGTTGTCGGCTTTCCAGAAAGAGAATCCAATGAACAGACCGGATGCGATACCGAGAATGAACTTGGCGTAGATGTAGTCTGGCTGGCGGTAGTAGCCCTGGAAGCAACGGCCAAGGACAACCCCGAGCTGGGTGGACAATGGCATGGCGAATTCAGCATTATCATCATCCAAGACTTGGTCGTGGACAGAGCCCTTGCGCATGGAATGGATTCGGTCGACTTCGGCAACGACATCTTGGTACTCCTGGCTCGAGTTCCACGCCTGGGGCCAATCAACATCGGGACAACCTTCTCCAGCGACCATGTCGAGGATGTATTCTGCGGGGTTCTCCAGCTCCTCGCAAGGTCGGGCTCCCTTGTGTTCAAAGTATTTCAATAGAGTAGAAGACTGTTCGCCGATGTCGCCGAAATATACTGTTCTTCCCCCCTTGGCCAGGAAGAGGAGACGATCGAATGTCTGGAACAGGGTCGCACTGGGCTGGTGAATGGTTGCCAAAACAGCTTGGCCATGGTCTGCGAGTCTTCGAAGGAACTGGCAGATGGTCCATGAACTCTGGGAATCCAGTCCACTAGTGGGTTCATCGAGGAATATCAGCAGAGTGGGCTTCGCGGCAAGTTCAACACCAATGCTCAGAAGCTTGCGTTGTTCAACATTCAGACCCTCGCCGAGAGATCCAACAACTGCTTCGGCAAAGTCTTCCATACCGAGCAACTTGACAACCTCTTCCACGTAGTCGTACTTTTCCTCCTTGGAGACGCTCTTTGGCTGACGAAGCATAGCACTGAAGCGAAGCGCTTCACGGACGGTGGTTGTCTCGAGGTGAAGGTCTTGCTGCTGGACATATCCAGTGCGACGGGGAAAATTTGGCAGCAAGGGCTGACCGTTGACCAAGATATCACCGGATACCACACCAATAGACACACGCTGGGCGAGAACATCCAACAAAGTCGTCTTACCCGCACCAGAAACACCCATCAATGCAGTCAGGCTACCAGGTTTAACCCAGCCGTTGACATTATCCAAAAGACGTCGGGTTCCTTCTTTTACTGGAATGTCATAGTTGACGGCCTTCCAGGAGAAGATGTCTTTTTGCTCAGGCAGGTGGATCGTATCGTTGGTTTGTGTCGGTTCAAGTCTGTTGACGACTATATGGCCGCCTTCCGTGTCGTCCTTAGATTGGAGGTGTGCTGGGGCATGACCGGGGCGGAAGACCAGAGCCTCGGCCTTGGACTTGTCGCTGGAGATGAATTCGGTGGCAACCAGATAAACCGCATTGAAGAAAATCATGAATGCGATGAGAATTCCTGTGTACAAGGTTAGTATGTGTACGAAAAAAGATAGGAAGGTCCTAGTGAAGGAGGTGTTGAAGACGGCCAAGAAGCGTCAGGTTGCCATGTACATACCAAAGTTTCGCCACAGGTGGGAGTAGTAGTAGTAATAGTTCTGTTCGATAAATGCATCTCCGGAGACGAACCTCTCGCCAGCTTTGGCACCGACGGAAGAGCAAATGAAAGACGAGCCAGTTGCATAACTCGGAACTATCGACGAGCACGGGTAGTCCTTGCCATGGAATTCATTGGCAATGAGGGCCTCGAAGGTGTAGTAGATCGGGTTGATCCAGCGGATCCAGGACAGCCACGGGTGCATGTAAGGCTGTGGCAGCGTAAATCCAGTGTACACAACAATGCAAAGAACCAGGATACCAGCAAGTGCCATGGCTTGACCGATAGACTTCGTCAACGCCCCGAGACTGCGGAACAGACCAGACATGGTCAGGACGGCGAAGACCAGGAACAAGTAGAAAATGAAGAATTGGGCGGGCTCCCGGCGAAGATTTGCCATGAAATACAAGACAATGCTGAATATGGAGATTCGCAGGATTTTGATGGGCAAGTCCACAATGATACTGGCTAATGCCTCCGTAAACGGATGAACAAAGGCATAACCCCGTTGTTTCTCGACGATCGGCCGCTGACTGTATAGTTGCATGATCTCGTTAATGGTGAGTAGGGCGTTCATCAGCACAGCAAAGTAACAAACAGCTCCCTTTTGGAAGAAGTATGAAGAAGTACCAGGAGTATTGTAAAAGACGGATCCGATGATCAAGGACAGGATCAATTGAACGATGAGAGGGGATAGGGCGGTGGGTAGATCGTTGAGCATACGCTGGTGGGCTCTCCGAGTACATAGACGGATTTGCATCGGCACGGACAGGATATAGGGACTGCGAGAGCGGGTGTGTCCAGCCTGTTGATGAACATGGCTCTCCTTGAATCTTTTGGCGTCCTCGCCGTTAGGAGGATGTTGTTGGTCGAATTCGGTGATTTGGTTCCGCAATTTCTGGTATTCTGGGCTCTTCTTCCAGTACTCGGCAAATTCCTTCGCGGTGCGAGGGACCTCCTTTTCCATTCCTGGAAGTGCCTTGCGTTCATTGGGATTGGTAATGGCAGTCAAAAAGTCACCGCTCACTTGACGTTCGGGTCTAGCCCATCCCATGTCCTGGAAATAACCCACTGCTCGATCACGAGGCCCATAGTAGATTTGATAACCCTCGTAGAGCACCACCACCTTATCGAACAGGTCGTACATAGACTGGGATGCTTGGTAGGCGGCGACTGCATGGCAAGACTCACCCATGTCAGCTGCTAGGCGCAAAGCCCGAACAAACTTCAAGGCAGAAGCAGCGTCCAATCCTCGGGTGCTATTATCCCAAGCACCGATGCGAGAACGGGAAAGGAACATCTCTGCGATGCTGACGCGCTTGCGTTCACCACCACTGACACCCCGAACAAACTCGCTGCCAACCTTGGTATTATAGGTGTGGGACAACCCGAAGACCGACATGACCACTTGAGTCAGAGTCTCCACGTACTCATCTCGAGACATGGCTTCGATGCGTTGATGAGGTGCACGGGCGTGAGCAGCGAACGAGAGGGTTTGACCGACTGTCAGATGAGGGAAATGCAGATCGACTTCCTTGTTGTATGCCACGTCACCACGATGGTGCTTGATCATCTGGTCGAAATCGATTCCTTCAAAGTGAATAGAGCTGCCGGGTTCCATAGTCAGACCACCCAAGTGTCCACACAGGGTCTTGAGGAAGGTGGTGCATCCACTGCCGGGGCGTCCCAGAACTAGAAGAAGCTCTCCACCTTCCAGTAGGCCATCGAAGCTGTGAAGAATCCTCCTTGGAGGGGATAGACGACCCGTGAGGGCTTTGGATGCGAAGCGGAATGGGAGTGTAAGGCTCGAGATGAGGGTTTCTTGGAATTGTAGTGCCGAACCGGAACCACTGATGGAGAGATCAGAAAAGACCACACCTTGAGATGGAATCTCGATGCCGGCTTCGTGCACCTGGCTGAGGACATGCTGGGCCCATCGGTGATGATCAAACTCGGGGCTATTAGGATTTAGCCTTGGGTCGAGGTTCTCGTTGCGACTGGCCGAAGCGGATAGCTTTTGTCCAAGCTTGCTGGAAGCGATGCGGCCGAGAGATTCGATTTCTCGCTCATCGAGGGCGGTTGGAGTACGCTCTGTGATGGGCATAAACTCCATCTCGGGTTCTTCATTCTCCATGGTGGGCAACTGGGGACCTCCACGGTGTATGGAAGGACGGGGATGTCAAAACAGTCGCTGGTTCTGCTTTTGCAAGAGAGGACAAAGTGGCCTTCATAAGGCTCAGCATATCGGAGCATGATTTTGACCCTGATCGGAGAACACAAACCTTAAGACCGAGAAAATGAACAAACCCTGACGAGTTATGCTTGATGATCTCGGAGTCTTCCCACCCCGAGAGTCTTAGTCTCCATCAACGCGCAAGTCCAGAACAAAATCAGGCCGATTCAGGCCAATTCAGGCATCAATCGGTCCGTCTTCGTCAGGCTCCAGCCAATCAGATCGAGCGTCGGAGATTTTAACTGCCGACTTGCCGACTCACCACTCGTCATGGACCCACTTGCCTATTTCGGTTACCAACTCGCCCATTTTGTTGCGAATCCCGTTTGGCATAAATCCGTCTCCGTCAGCCTACCTCCGTCTTGCATAGATTGATTAGATAGTTCGGGATGCTATGAATAGAATCGTTGGTGAATAACAGGATTAAGCAATGCATAGCCATCTTTTGTCAGGGTTTCCCGGAAGAGATGTGCCCACGCGGATTGTTAACGGGAGCTTGAGCTTTATCAATACCGTCCTCTTAGGCCTCCTTCCCTTTCAACCGTCATTCTCAATGTTATTGTTGAGCTATTCAAAAATCAAAATCAATAATATCTCTCCGAGGGCAAAGTGAAAGTTTAGGTATCATTAGATTTAAGGATGTAAATGAGGATAGCCTCCGTAAGTGAAATTTCTATCCATTCGGTCTATGGTAAACAAATTGACTTCTTCTATTCGGATATTTCTACAACTTTTCCATTTCTCTTCCGGGAAATGCCCTTTCATCTTGCTCATTTATAACCTTGGATGGAATGTTTCGATTCTTTGGCACTTCCAACCAATTATCGACGTGCTGTAAGTATACTTGAGGTCCGGCAAATATATATCTGCGACGGCCATCATCCAATATCTCGTCCAGGGGTACAAATAGGTAAGTAAAGACTGTATGATCACAAGTTTGTCCTATCATGACAGTACTATCTAATTACCTATGCTCTAGATAATAGTGATCATGGATGTACGAACTGACCAAGTCCAGAGCATGGTTCTATCCCACGTGCTCCCACGTGACCACCTCAATCCAAATGCAGGTCTTATCATGTGATAGGTCACCTGACCGCGCTACGGCGAATTTCCCACGTTGTTGCCGTTTTCCGAAAGCGGCTTAGGGCGTACTTAATCTCTTTGCCCCCCTCCGAAACCGAGCACTGGTCCACCGTTTCTTTACTTATGGTAGCAGCTGACGTTTTGCTCTTCCTCCACCCAATCCCCGACCGCTTCGCCATGGCGCCAAGCTTTGGGCCAGCTCGAGTGGATCGGATTGGTGAACCAGGCTGAGAGTTTGTGGCTGGATGGGGGCCGTCATGAGGTTCTTTCTTTCTCACCTCCCCTCCTTGAGCTGTTTCTTTCCTTCTTCCTCCCCATCTTCACCATGGCGACTGCGACGACGACGGCTGCGGCCGCGGCTACTAGCGCCGTCAAGGTGACCCCTCAAGGCGGGATCCTTGAGGGAGGGAACCCAACTCATTACGATTCCAAGAACCCAATCGTTATGTTTATCATTCAGGTATGGGATGATGCCCCGTCGAGCTTGTGCCAACCTCCCCCGGACCCCACACAGGACTGACCGTGCACCCTCCAGGCTGGAATCATCATCGTGCTCTGTCGCCTAATTCACTGGCCGCTCTCAAAGATCCGTCAACCTCGTGTTATCGCAGAGGTGATCGGTGGCATCATCTTGGGCCCCTCGGTGATGGGCCGTATCCCCGGCTTCACCGATACCATCTTTCCCACTGCCAGTATCCCAAACCTCAATCTCGTTGCAAACCTGGGTTTGGTCCTCTTTCTGTTCCTCGTGGGACTGGAAACGGATATTCGATTCCTTGCGAGCAACTGGCGCGTCGCCTTGAGTGTGTCGGCAGCAGGTATGATTTTGCCATTTGGCTTGGGAAGTGCAATTTCCTACGGCCTTTACAACCAGTTTCATGATGATCCCTCAACCGTGCCTATCAAATTTGGTACCTACCTTCTGTTCATTGGTATTGCGATGGCGATCACCGCCTTCCCAGTGTTGTGCCGTATCTTGACCGAGCTGAAACTTCTGGGCACTCGAGTCGGCGTCATCGTTTTAGCAGCTGGTGTCGGAAACGATGTCGTTGGCTGGATTCTACTTGCCCTTTGTGTGGCCCTTGTAAATGCAGGAAGTGGACTCACCGCCCTCTGGGTCCTGCTGGTTTGTACAGGATATATGCTTTTCCTATTCCTTGTCTTCAAACCACTCTTTTACCGCTTCCTTGAGCGTACGGGAAGCTTGCAAAAGGGACCTAGCCAGTCGGTGGTAACCTTGACATTACTTATTTGCCTTGCATCTGCGTTCTTCACGCAGGTCATTGGTATCCATGCTATCTTCGGTGGATTCGTGATTGGGCTGATCTGCCCTCATGAAGGTGGATTTGCTATCAAATTGACGGAGAAGATTGAAGATCTCGTCGCGGCTCTTTTCCTACCGCTTTATTTCACACTCTCCGGCCTGAGCACCAACTTGGGGTTGCTAAACAGTGGTATTGTCTGGGGCTACGTTGTTGGTGTCATTGCCATTGCTTTTATTGCCAAAGTCGCTGGAGGTGCTCTTGCATCTCGTTGGTGTGGACTGCTATGGCGCGAGAGCTTCTCAATTGGCGTTTTGATGAGCTGCAAAGGTCTAGTCGAGTTGATTGTCTTGGTTTGTGCTGTCCCTCCGTTATCCCCTCACGCTCATCCCTGGACGCTGCAGAGAGAAACAAGGACAAAGGAACTGATATTTGAATGATAGAACATTGGCTTGCAAGCCAAGATTTTGAGTACCCGCACATTCACCATCTTCGTGGTGATGGCTTTGGTTACGACTTTCCTTACTACCCCGCTGACCACGATGCTCTATCCAACATGGTATCAAATTAAGGTGGAGCGCTGGCGACGCGGAGAAATCGATTGGGACGGGAACCCTATTCAGGGAGATTCCCGCTCCGACAGTGTCTCTGCGGTGAAGGATCAGCTGAAGACCGTGCCTGTTCGCAAGCTTCTGGTCTATCTTCGCCTTGATGGGTTGTCAGGAATTTGCACGCTGGCTGCTCTTCTTAGCCCCAAGCGCGAAGTAACGCCATCATCTCCCCAGGTTCACCCGTCCAAGAGGCCAAAGCGGGTCGAGCAAAACATCGAGGATGCAGTTACTTCGGAGGATGACAAGGAGACCAGCTTGCGCGTGCATGGTGTGCGTCTCATGGAATTGACGGATCGCGACTCGAGTGTTATGAAAGTTTCAGCCGGAGAGCATGCCATGTGGGATCCAGTGGTGAACACCTTCCGTGCCTTTGGCGAGTGGCAAGACGTGTCTCTCATGGCGGGCGTGTCCGTAGTACCTGAATATTCATACGCCGAGACTGTTGTCGACATGGCCCGCCAAGACACGGCGGATCTCCTTTTGCTTCCATGGAGCGAAACCGGAACGTTAAGCGACCGCCAAAGCGGCCTTGAAGTTGACACCGCCGGCCGATTTGCCGATGGCTCCTACACTGATTTCGTCTCGATCGTCATATCGCGGGTCCCTGGCCCCGTAGGTATCCTGATTGAGCACAACCCAGACTCTCGCGCTGCCAAACGACCTGCCCCTCAGCGCTCGACCAGTGGATTGAGCATTCAGTCTGTTTGGTCGCGACCGGCTTCTGGCAGTCGCTCTCGTCATATTGTACTCCCATTCTTCGGTGGTGACGATGACCGTTTCGCACTACGTCTGGTTCTGCAACTCGCTCAGAATGAAAATGTCACCGCTAGTATTATCCACATTCCAGGACAGCAATCGGACGCTAGCAACCTCGGTATATCGACCTCTATTTCCTCCGGAACGCCGAGTAGCCAGTCAGATGTTATCTTCTTCGAGACTCTGCGTGATTCTATTCCGATGGATCTGAAGGATCGGGTCGTTTTCCAGCAGGCTGGTGTACAAGAGACGATCAGTGACCCGGTCCAGCTGGCTCTGGCCGCCGTGCAAAAGGACCTCGACCTGACTGCGAACAAGGGTGGTAGTATCGTGGTCGTCGGACGCCGTAGTGGTCCTGGTGATTCTAGCATTGCAATTGACCTGGGTGCGCAGAGTATCGGTACCGATACCCAACGCGCCCTTGGGCCCGTGGCCTCGGCGATCGTGCAGCCCGAGAACAAGGTCTTCGGCAGTGTGCTGGTGCTCCAGGCTGGTGGAAGCTATGGCTTGTTCGAGAATTTCCGGTAAACGTGACGTCTCTACGGATGATTTGGATTTCCGTTACATTTGGATATGCATATTTGGTCATGATTTGATTAGAATGGATGAAGCCCTTTTCATTATACGAGACCGAGACTGGTATAGAGTAGGTACATTACTTTTTGTTTTTGGGTAGAAGATGAGAAATAAGGGTATTAGTGTAACATGTATGGCCGGATGAGGTGCTGCCATCTTTCATATGGCACCAATGAAGGTCAGTTTATGATCCTCCTTCATTATACGTCGCTTGGTATATTCATATCCCAGATGAGGTACAACTGGACTGGTGTGAATTCTCCCAAAACCATGGGAAACTGTACATACGACGAGGATGTCGCCCAAAGTCAGGCCTCGGCGGCGTTTCATGCGAAGACGGGAAGGAATTGATCTCTCGCGTGCTGGAAGGTAACTCGTCGTCATTGTAGGTCTGGGCACCCTGGGCGATGGCTACTAATTTGCCGAGAATAGCGTATTCAAGTTTCAGTTTGATGCTGTATGCGACGGGCTTGAACATGACTTGGACGGCGTAGTAGCCGACGTATTCGATGACGACGATGGCGACGTCTAGGAGGAGGATGATGATGTTGATTGTGAGGAGTTGATGGAGGATCCCGTGTGGTCGGCCTTGAGGTCGAAGTCGGAGTAGTTTGACCGTTTCCCAGACGTACAGTCCCGAGATGATCAGTTCCTGGATACAGAATCCTACGAGCTGGATGTGCTCCATGGTACTGTATCCGCGAGACCAGGCACTGACGGGGGCTGCTACCGTTCCGTATAGTAGCACCGTGGTAGGGATATGGAGGAGCACGGCGTCTACCATGATCATCCAGAGGACGCCCCAGAGAATCTTGGTATTTTGCAAGACTAAATGCAGACGCGACCAGAGTACCAGCGATTGACCGGTCACCATGCCGTACCAGCTGAAGACGATGAGGGTGACGCAGATGTAGGGTGATACCCCCGTTGGAAAGAAGAGAAGGACATAGCCCAGGCAATGCGGGACGATACTGGAAGAAGCGACTAGCAGACTCCAGAAATAACAGCCACGGCGGCGTTTGAAGGAGACGAAACAGAGAATAATAAGTTCAATGGCATTGTACCAGGCAATGGCGGCAAACGCCGCGAAGATCTCCGTGCGAACTGGGGTGTTGGATGAGTCGGGATGAAGCAGCGATTCCGCGGCATCGGAGGCTTTCGATGACATGGAGGGGGCACATTGCTCAGAGGAAGTTCAAGAGGAAAGAGAGGGGAGATTAGGATAGAAGTTGGAGAGTTTTCTTTTTTGTTTTCTTTTTTTTTCTTTTTTGGCCAGTGACGGTAGGGATGGTTTGGTGGCTTGTGTGTGAGCCAAAAAAAATCGAAAATCAAAATCAAAATAACAGGGCCGGTTGCCCTTGCGCGGACAATGCGGGCGAATACGGTCGATCACGTCGATCAATAGAGCAGATTCTCGCCAATAAGACGATGAGAGGACCGTGCTGGACTTTGGGGTATGTAACGATTCAGGTTGAGACTTCCAGATGGATCAACTGGTGGCCAGAGCGTCTTGAAGAGGAGATCTCGGAGGTGGAAAGGCCGAGTCATAAATAAGATCGGTATGACAGCTTTTAGCTTGTTCAGAGAGAGGTGGGTTGGGAAGCGAGGCGTTCCATGGGATGCAAGGATTCCATTTGCAAATGTGACAGGACACTTTAGAGACTCGAGACTCGAGACCCGGGACCATGGACCCTGGGAAAGTCTGTGCACAATAAAATGCGGAGGATCTTGGCCTCCTCTTGACTAAACTCGTGCTGTGGCGATGGTGGAGAGATCCGGGGGGAAACTACCTTAATCGTAGTAGATCGTAGTAGTAGACTATCGTGCTAGTAGTACTACAGTATGTAGTAACATAATTAAGGCTGGTGGATCCTCGTCGATCCCTGGAGAAGATCCATATCCCCCCTTTCTAGGTGGATTACTCCATCTTATCATTGTTGTTGTTATGATTATGTTCATGTACTTTTGAAGATTAAAGCTTGCTCATCTCTGCGCTTGTGCTAATTCCTAGTTCTACTATACTATACCTAGTACGTCGGATCTCAGTGCAGGGAGATGGAAATTGAGATCTTAGTATGTACTGTACTACGGTAACTATATAGTGTTCATCTGAAATTGAGTCACTCTCATAATTCTCATTCCTAGCAGGTTCTCGACAATCTGTTACAGAATATAGCAGGTAGTTGCCTAATATATTTATCTTGCTTTGTACTTCCTAGATCACTGTAGTATAAATTGCTAGATGGTCACGTGGGTCTCTCGATCGCATCTTCACGACTTTTGACTTTCACCAGTCAGCTGCATCTCTCAACTCCTGCCAACATAACAAGGCCTCTCAAAAGACCCCCAAATTGACAATGACTGTCCCATGATATAAGAATGGAACATTCAATCATGACCCTCAGACCAGGTGGAGGCCCAAAACCTGCGCTGGACAATCACAAACGCGATCCCAGATCGGGTGACGTCAGGAATCTCGATCGCCCGATCGATGACAATCGACGCGTTTGGCCAGCCCTGAAATATGGAGAAAGCCCGCGCTAATCATGGCTGTCCCGACGCGATGCGTGTCCTACTCTCGTTTCTTCATCGTCACTCCTGTCCGTCTCTTCAAACCCACCCGTTCCTTCGCACCTCCCGTCCAGACCGATCCCTCGCAAGTGTATCGATACATGTTCACCAATCCACTACTCGACTTCGTCACAGCTCCCCCCTAATGGCGCCCAAACGCAAAATGTCCGAGTCGAACGGCGGCAGTTCGCCTACCCATGGCCATAATAGCAAACGAGGAAAGTCCGATGATCTACGACTACCACACCCCAACGCAAAACAAACTGAAGAGTTTGGCATTGTCCTGCGCGACTTTTACCCACCGGAGATGAGCAATGACCGATGCAAAGCCTACAATGATGGTACCATTGAGCGACCAATGGACACGTTGGAAAAGGCGTGCAAAGAAACGGCAGACAGGCGTCGATCCATCACGCCGGGCAAGGCGGTCGTCCATTGGTTCAAGACCGATTTACGTCTCCAGGATAATCGAGCACTCAGCACTGCCCTTCAAATTGCCAAAGAGCACCAGATTCCCTTGATCACCGTCTACATCGTGTCACCGGAAGACTTTGAGGCCCATCTGACGAGTCCCGCCCGTGTTGACTTTACGTTACGAACGTTGAAACAGCTTCAACGAGATTTGTCCGAGCTGGACATTCCGCTCTATGTCGAGACTCAGGAGAAGAGGAGGAATATCCCGGGTCGAATCGTGGAATTATGTCAGAAGTGGGAGGCAAAGCACCTGTGTGCTAACCTGGAGTATGAAGTGGATGAGCTGCGCCGGGATGCTAAAGTGGTCCGTCTATGTGCCGATCACGATATCAATTTTACTCCGTCGCACGATACCTGTGTCGTTACGCCCGGGATGTTGAGTACAGGTGCAGGCAAGCAGTATGCGGTCTATACACCGTGGTTCCGCTCATGGTTACGTTTCCTCAAGGAGAACCCAGACTATCTCGAGTTGTCCGAAGACCCCGGCACCAACCCGGGGAATGCCAGAAAGGACTTTGCGGACCTTTTCGACTGCAAGATTCCGGAGACGCCTAGTAACAAAACACTATCCGATGATGAAATGAAACGATTTGAGGAGCTCTATCCAGCAGGCGAGCATGAAGCTACACGGCGCTTGGAGAAGTTCTTGAAGGAGAAATGTGGTGATTACGATACTAACCGGAGCATGCTACCTGGAGAGAACACCTCCGTCCTTAGTCCCTACTTTGCATGCGGAGCGTTGAGTGCTCGTACGGCCGTGGTGACGGCGAAGCAGGCCAACAAGAACCATCTGGACCGGTACGACCAGGGCCATATGACATGGATCAGCGAGGTGGCCTGGCGTGATTTTTATCGTCATGTACTTGTGCATTGGCCGTTTATCTGGTGCGTTGAACCGGTCTCTCTTTTTTTGACCCTCCCCCTTCCGCACTGGTGGATTTCCATTTCGAGGGTCAAAGACTAACAGATCCTGCAGTATGAATAAGTGCTTCAAGCCCGAAGCCACCGACATTGAATGGGAATACGATATGGAACAGTTCCAGGCCTGGTGCGACGGCAAGACCGGGTTCCCCATTGTCGATGCCGCGATGCGACAGCTTAAACACTGTGCGTGGATGCATAATCGCACGCGCATGGTAGTCTCGTCATTCTTGTCCAAGGACTTGATGCTTGACTGGCGGCGAGGCGAGCGGTTCTTTATGGAACATCTGATTGATGGTGACTTTGCCTCCAACCACGGAGGCTGGGGATTCGGGTCCAGTACTGGCGTGGACCCCCAGCCGTATTTCCGCATCTTCAACCCACTGCGACAAAGTGAGCGATTCGATCCCGATGGAGAATACATTCGACGGTGGGTGCCGGAGCTGCGTGATGTCAAGGGCAATGCGATCCACGAGCCGTACAGTCGGGGAGCCGGGGCGATCGCGCAAAAGAATGGGTACCCTAAGCCGATCGTGGAGCATGCCGCCAGTCGGGATCGGGCGCTGGCTCGGTACAAGAGTGCGCTTCAGAAGTGAGGAGATCTCCTACTAGGAGGAGGTCGTGAAACCACATCCTGGTTGTTAGTGTCTTGGTCCAACTTGAGATTCACCGGAGATCTGGGGAAAGGCCCAAGCTCGACCGTTTCCACTGTACTTTTAGCATACTTTATACTTCTCGACGACAATAATATCTACACTACTATAAAGGTGGACGAAATGATTATCAACGTGTAAACTAGTTCATTCCCCCCTCATCGCTAAAAACTCCGTCCATTCCAAGCGAACCGCGTGAGTGGACGCAAGCGTAAGACACGGCGCCACATTTTCCCCGCGCTGGTCTTTTTTCCCCAAACTCTCTTTCTCCTCTCTCTCTCTCTTTACTCCTGTCCTTCTCACCCTCAATTCCACTCCTCCCTCTCTCTCCTTCTCTGGCATCTCTTTCTCTCCCCAAATGACGTCCTAAATCTCCCTCGCCATGGACTCCCAGCCCGGGGACCCTGATGCGACGACCCCTGGTCCGGTCGACCTCCCCAATGGCAAACGCCGCTGGCGGCGGAATCGAGTTGCGTGCGATTCATGCCACACCCGTCGGGTCCGATGCGACCGCGCGTTTCCCTGCTCTCGATGTCTGCGCAGCGACACCCATTGTGAATTCACTCGCGAACGTCGCAAGCGCGGGCGCATTGCGCGTGCTAAACTGGTGAATGGGTCGACTGGACCCGGCGAGGCGCCTCCACACTTTGCACCCCGGACAGAATCGCTCGACCAGAAACCTCCCGGACAACCGGCGATATCCCCGCAACAGCAGCAGCAGCAGAGTTCCCCAGAATCAACTTTCCACCACCGATCCCCCACGACTAATGATATCAGTTTGTCTGCGCCGAGCGTGGATGGCCCGCACTCGGCTGTTGACAGCTCGCGATCGCAGCGACCAGGGCTAGCACCTGGACCCGGACCCCGCCCGGAAGGGAACGCGACTGAGGAATGGTTGTCGACGGCACATCTATCGCCCGAATCCTATGATATTCTGGGAGGAGTACACGGTGGTGATGGGCCGCTTCCACGGCTTTGGGATATTTGGACTCCGGGGGATTTGGCGGGCCATCATCCTCCGAAGCGGCATTCGCAGATCCCCCCGGTACCTGCGCAACCCCATGCGGGTCAGGGAGCGTCTCCTCCCAAACGGCCGGGGTTGAAGTACCCCGTCCTGGAACCAGTCATGCCATTCTTGGAGTCTAATCTCCCACGGCGTTTAGTTTGCGATCTGCTCGAGCTTTATTTTACAAGCTCATTTTCGACGCACATGCACCCGGTCTGTCACCACATCCATTGTTACGTGTTGCGAAAGGCTTCCTTCCTGAGTACCGACCGGCCGCGACCCAGCAGCCCGGCTTTGTTAGCCAGTATGCTTTGGGTGGCGGCGGTTGACGATCGGGCATTTTCTTTATCGATTTCTCCTCTACAACGTCGGAAGATTTGTCAATTTCTTTGCGCATTGACAATTCGATTGCTCCGGCCTTTGATTCACGTCTCGTTTAAGGATCAGGAGCCCTCCGAGAATTCAAACGCGCCTCAGGACTACTCAGCCGCATCGGCTCATCATCCGTTCGAGGGAGTCGGCGACGACAAGGGTCTCGTGGGCCCTGCCGGATCTTTAGATGATGTGATTACTTACATCCATGTCGCGTCGATCATCTCCTCGAGCGAACAAAAGGCTGCGAGTATGCGATGGTAAGTTTCAAGGGGACGCTTGTGCATAATCACTTTCCGTCTCTCTTTCAGCGACTAACTCCATGTACAGGTGGCATGCAGCATTCACTCTAGCCCGAGAACTCAAATTGAACCAAGAGATCGAGGTCATGCCCAATATCGACAGCCAGACCGATGGATCCAGCCCATCATTTGGCTACCCCCTGGGTGGTTGGGCGAGTTCCCCCGGGGGTCCCGTCTTTGACTATTCAAATCCATCCCGACCGAGCCTGAACTGTGTGTGCGAGGATAAGCATGACCCGCAGAGTAGCCCGCCCGTGACGGAAGAGCATCGCGAGGAGCGTCGGCGCACTTGGTGGCTATTGTATATCATGGACCGTCATCTCGCTTTGTGTTATAATCGGCCGCTCGCTCTTTTGGATGCGGAGAGTGAGGACCTGTTGCTTCCTCTGGATGAGGCCGCTTGGCAGGCTGGTAACATCCATAGTAACAGTCCCCGTGCGGATGGACCACAGTGTATCCGATCGGGTGATCGTAACAAGCGCCGCGTCTTCCCAAATTTCATCTGCCATGATCACTCTATACTCGGCTTCTTCTTACCGTTGATGACGATTACCGGTGAATTGATCGACTTGAACCAAGCGCGGAATCATCCTACCCTCGGGCTTCGGCTACAAGGAAAGGAGGCATGGGAGGTGCATGTATCAGAGGTCCTTCGACAGCTTGAGATTTACAAAGCTAGTCTGACTACGTTTGCCGCTGCCGACCCGGAGACTTCCTTGGCCTCTCAATATGCTAATAAACCGGATCAACCGACCGATGCGTCCTTGTCGCAGGCGTATTCATGGCATACGCAGACTGTGATTGCATATTCATCATACCTTGTCCATGTCCTCCACATTCTCCTCGTTGGAAAATGGGACCCGGTCTCTCTCATCGAGGATAAAGATTTCTGGACATCTTCGCCGGCCTTTGCATCGACCATCTCTCACGCACTGGAGGCGGCAGATGCCGTCCAGCAAATTCTCCGATTCGACCCTGACATCAGCTTTATGCCGTACTTTTTTGGCATCCAACTTTTGCAGGGAAGCTTCCTGTTGCTACTTATCGTGGAGCGTCTCCAGAAGGAAGCCGGCGACGGGATTCTCAATGCCTGCGAAACTATGATCCGGGCTACCGAGTCGTGCGTGGTGACATTGAACACGGAATATCAACGCAGTTTCCGGCAAGTCATGCGCAGTGCAGTTGCCCAAGCTCGCGGTCGGCCAGTGAATCCCAGCGAGATCCGGCATCGTCGAAAGGCGGTGTTGGCGTTGTATCGATGGACGCGCAAGGGTACCGGGTTGGCTCTGTGAGCCTTGGAGTAGTTTCTTCTTTCTTGCCTTGGTTTGGATTATGTACAGTCCTGGCCTATTTCTGTATCACGGATGGCTACGGTGTTTTTTGGGGAGTTGGAGAGGGGGTCAATCATGTTCTTGCACATATTCACACGTATATACTGACACATAACGTTCTTCAGTCGGCCATTGAACCCGTGGTCGGCGGATGTATAATAAACTCGATGTTTGATGAACAATGCTTCAAGTTGTCAATTTCTAGTGCACGATGGTCCATAGAGAGAGACTGTATAATAGCACTGGGTTATCGGATCCGGGCTATACCCGTAGTTGTTCTTCAATAGGCCCTAATTCTTCGAGATACACAATGTAAACTCCGATGGAATAAACAGTCATGGAATTTATGGATGGATCAATCAGTTAACCAATCAAGTAATGACCTCCATTCAAGGCTCATTCCGAGTGTAAAGCACGTCATGTCCCGAGCCGACCCACTCGGCAGATACAAGCCGTTGACGTGGAAGTGGTTTGCTGGGGGGTGAACTGGTTAAGCAATAGCTTGGAAATTGTATTTAAAGGTCAATAGATATTTGACTTATGTTATGGAGTTATGCAGTCTTATTAGGTGGACTGTAGATACGATTATTAGAACCCCCCTTGTCTGCCGAGGTTGTCCGAAGTATTCACAGAGTAACCACATTCTCGATTCTATACATCACGGAGGACTCCGTCAACTTTCGTACTTCTTATCGCTAACAAAGAAATCTAGAAATCTAGAATCCAAAGATGCTCGGCAAATACTCTCTTCAAAACCACTGCGCCATCTGGCCTAACGATGGCATCATTAGGAGGTTTCCCCACAGTCGGCTCCATCGTTTACCGACCGCAAGGCGCTAGCTAGTACCGTAACTAGCTTGAGGAGCTTGCAGTCTGCAAATTGTGATATGATGCCATTATTCTCCGCATCCTGTTCCACTTCGACACAATCAATCATCGATACATAAAACTTATTGATTCCCCGAGGCCTTCACAGTGCTTTCCGTGCTTCTCCTACTTTCTCCTCGGCTTCCTCCTCTGCTCCTCTTTCACCACCGCCAAATCTCCCCCCATGAAGCTCCTCGCCGCGGTCGCCGGCTTGATAGTCGCCGCAGAGGGTGCAGCCCTTGGTCCTCTAGGATCTCAATTCCAAAATGCCCTTCAATCAGTGTTGAGTCTAGGCAAATCAGATTCCTCGAAGCCGCCAAATATTCTGTTTGTGATTACCGACGACCAGGACCTCGAGCTGGACTCGATCTCCTACACACCGTTAATTGAGAAGCACTTGCGCCATAAGGGCACTTTCTTCCGCAATCACTTTGTCACGACGGCTCTATGCTGTCCATCTCGCGTTAGCTTGTGGACCGGTCGCCAGGCGCATAACACCAATGTGACCGACGTACACCCGCCATACGGTGAGTGACCGCGCTGAATTGCTCGGCTTCTCCATAGCAGAACGCAATAGCTGACCCATCACTTTGTGACCTTCAGGTGGCTACCCCAAATTCGTGGATAAGGGATTTAACGATAATTTCTTGCCCGTCTGGCTTCAGGAAGCCGGCTACGACACCTACTATACCGGCAAGCTCTTCAATGCTCACACCGTTGACAACTACCACAGCCCCCATGTCAACGGCTTTAATGGTTCCGATTTCCTCATGGATCCATATACATATTCCTATATGAACTCGACCTATCAGCGGCATAGAGAGGCTCCCGTGAGTTACGAAGGAAGGCATACGACGGACGTTATTACCGAGAAGGCCTTGGGCTTTCTGGATGATGCATTGGAGGGCGAGCGGCCCTTCTTTGTGGTGGCAGCGCCCGTCGCACCACACTCTAATGTCGACCCGCGGGATATTGCAAATGGAGAAATTGTCATGACCGCTCCTATCCCGCTAGAGCGCCATGCACACCTATTCCAGGATGTGAAGGTGCCCAGAACCCCTCATTTTAATCCTGACAAGGTGCGTTCTCGACAAACCATAATGAACTCTATTCGGATCTAACGATATTTTAGCCCAGTGGAGCCAGTTGGGTTCGCAATCTCCCCCAGCAGAACCAGACTGAAATCGACTATAACGACCATTTCTACCGTTCTCGCCTGCGTGCTTTGCAAGGCGTGGATGAATTGGTGGACTCGCTAGTTTCTCGTTTGGAGGAGAGTGGCCAGCTGGATAACACCTACATTATCTATACTTCAGACAACGGGTTCCATATCGGTCAACACCGATTGCCACCAGGCAAGACCTGCGGCTATGAGGAAGATATTCGTGTTCCCCTCTTCATCCGAGGACCTGGAATCCCAGAGGGCTATGTGCAGGACTCGGTGACTACGCATATTGACCTAGCACCTACCATCTTCAACCTGGCGGGAATTCCTCCCCGGGCGGATTTCGATGGCACGGCAATCCCCGTGACACCCGACTTTGGTGGAACTCGGCATGAGCATGTCACTGTGGAGTTCTGGGGAAGGGCTGTCATGGAAGGAATTCATAGCCAAATTGGTATGTTTTCCATCTCTCGACGTTGATCTCTTACTGCCTGTCAAAGTACTGACGCTTTCTCTCTCTAGGCCCTGGTGGATCGACTATGATTCCAAACAACACATACAAGTCCGTCCGCCTTCTGGGAGAAGGTTACAACCTGTACTACTCGGTCTGGTGCAATAACGAGCACGAGCTGTATGATCTTTCGGTAAGTAGAGTGATAAAATACCTCCATGAGTGAATCGGTCGCACTAACAAGCCCCTAGACTGATCCCTACCAATTGAACAACCTTTATACCACCACCATTCAGGAAGACGGGCCTAAAATACTTGGCCGTAGCTTGACAGATGCTATTAACCGTCTGGATGCTCTACTCCTCGTGTTGAAGTCCTGCCAGGGGGCGACTTGTATCGATCCATGGAGTGTTCTTCACCCCGAGGACTCCATTCAGAGCCTCCGGGATGCCCTGAATAAGGAGCATGATTTGTTCTATGCAGCACAGCCGCGGGTCTCGTTTGATTGGTGTGACGCCGGGTACATCGTTGAAGCCGAAGGACCTCAGGTGCCACTGACCAGTCGCTATGGAGTTTCCTGGGATGTTTGGGTGTAATGGTTTAGATGTAAAGAAAGAGCTCCACCAATTTTGTATACCCCGTTATAGTTGCCAGATGAGAACATTGATTGCCACGAAAATAATAATGAGAATTTATTTCTGCTCAATTTCTTTGTTAAGCAGTTTAATTCGTCTACTTGGACAATATATTATGACGTGAAGGGGCTGTCGATCGCGATTGGCCCTCGCATAGTTCTGCTCCTCCTGGGGATGCGCCCTGTCAACAGGAACCGAGGACTGCCGGAGACCAGACCGCTCAATGGTCAAATAAGAATAAAAAGAATCAAGCACGAGATATCGCCCAAAAAGATTCCAGACTGTTATGGTCCGGTCTGTCAAAGAAGAAGGGGGGTGGCTTGGCGAGAGCTCGTCAACCGATCGATGATTGCGCCATAATTCTCCGCCGTGTCGCGACAGCATTGGGGCCACTTTAATACCAAAACACGTTGATTCGATTCATTTTGTGGAGGGAAGCTTGCGTCGTGATGGCTATATTTTCTAGCGCCCACGCAATCCTTTCTGATAAGCGACCGGCCATAGGGATTCTCAAATCACTTAAAATCCCCGGTCGCCCACGCAGGTTTGAGGTCGAATCATCACATCAACACGGCAAAACCTCGCTGATACCTGGTTGACTCTACTATATTGTTGATATTTTTTTTTATCTATTGAGCTGTTCACGTTCACGACTTCTTCACTGGGATTCTCTTTCCGTCCCCTAAATACTTCACAATGACTGGGTCTACACTAGATCGCAGGATATCCGATGTGGATATCCTGTCTGAGAAGCATGTCGTTGAAGAAAAAGTCATTGATTCACCACCCAGTGAAATCGAGCAGGGTATCGTGAAAGACTGGGATGGCGAAGAGGCCTCTGTTAAGCGCAAGTGAGTCTATACACGACTGGGATCGTCAATCACTACACCCGAAGATCACAGACTAACCATGCTGTATCTATAGAATCGACTTCATTCTCCTACCCGTCCTCGCTGTCGCCTTTTTTTCCCTGCAGATGGACCGTGGCAACATCAGTGCTGTCTTGACATCAACGATCACCAAAGATCTGAACATTACCACTAATCAGGTCAACATCGGCAGCCAGCTCTTGTCTGCTGGAATTGTGCTCTCCGAAATCCCTTCCAACATTATCATGCAGCGTATTGGACCTCGGGTGTGGCTATCGGGCCAGCTGTTTGCATGGGGTCTCGTCGCGACCTTCCAAGCCTTTGTGCAGTCATATCCGGCATTTTTGGTAACACGCATTTTGTTGGGTTTCTGCGAGGGAGGTTTCATTCCTGGTAAGTTGGGGATGCCAGCGGTGCTGTGACACGCCTGGAGCTAACAGGACAACTCCCTCATCTATAGGTGCTCTGTACTACATTTCTACCTGGTATAAGAAGGATGAGACAAGTCTTCGGACAAGTCTGTTCTTCTATGGGCAGATGTTTGCCTCGGCTACGTCGAGCCTGATCTCGGCTGGTCTGCTGAAACTCTCGGGTAGTCATGGCCTGGAGGGATGGCGTTGGATTTTCCTTGGTATGTTCAGCTCCTTTTGTTACCATATCACAGTCAAGTGCTAACATTTCCTAGTCGAGGGACTCATCACTCTCTTCATTGGAGTCGTGTTTACTCTTCTGGTACCTCCCAGCGTCGGCGATGGTCGGCCTCTGATCAGCTTCGGTCGCTGGAGCTATTTCACCGAGCGCGAATCGCACATTATCCGTAATCGTGTGCTGTTGGATGATCCCCGCAAGGCTCGGGGCCATATTCAGATCTCGCGCAGTGATATCTGGAAAACCCTCAAGCAGCCCCGCATTATGCAACATGTCTTCTTGACTCTCGTGTCCATGTCGGGCTTCCAGGGCCTGACCCAATATACTCCCAGTTTGATCAAGTCGATGGGCTTCAGTGCAGTTCGGGCAAATGCACTCGCTTCCGTCCCGGTGTACTGCGGTATTGTCTGGTTGACAGCCTTGTCTGTTGGAGCGTACGTTAACATTGTCACTGAACCTATTTAACCACTTCAAGCTGACCGAGAGATTAGTGATCTGACACAACATCGTGGACCCTTTGTGCTTCTTTCTATCACGTGGAACGTGATCTCCTATGTCTGCCTGCGAACGACTCCATCTACCTCCTCAAAGTGGCACCGATACGCTGTGATCGCAGTAGCAAACGTGTCCTATTGCAGCATGCAGTATGTTCATTATCCTTAATATCCGCGAAGATCTAACGACTAACGTGAGCGATAGTATTCTGAACGTGGGCTGGCTATCGGTATATTGCCGCACCCCTCAAGAGCGCAGCGTTGCGATGGCTCTGGTGGTCATGGCGGCGAATTGCGCTGGAATTTCCGGCTCGCAGATCTTCCGCACATCGGATGCTCCTAAATATGTGCATGGTCTTACCGCCATCTGTGCCCTGGCGGGGGCTTCGTGGGCTCTGGCAGCAATCCTTTGCGTACAATATTATATTCGTCGGCGCAAGGAAGAACCAAAGGCTGAGACAAAGCCCGACACGGTGGCTTAGGGTATCTGGATATGGATGATGGATCATTTTAGTTAACTTTATTGCTATCTGTACGAATAATGACTATCGAAATGCAGATGATAGATCGAAAATATATCTTCGGCTAACTTCCACACAATCATCCACCTGCGTAAGATTGAGTATTCGTACTTTGCTCAAAGAAAGTGTGTTCATAGGTAGGCATATCTAGCAAGTAGTTGTTCTAAGGAGCCTAGAATCTCCTAGGGAATACATATAGTACTGTACTGTAGTTCCGGGATATCCACTTGGTGGAGTTTATCCGAAGTCCTTCACAATAGACCAATCAAATGCCCAATTTTGAGTCGCCGAGTCTCCACTCACATCGAGGGGCTCCCCGACTGAACAACCACCCAACAACCCTGACCTCTTCAGCCGCACTTCACCCGACCGGGTTTCTTCACAAAACTTGAACTAACTACTCTGTACTTCCTTTTCAATACCCCTGGAGAATCACTCTCGCCTGAATTAATCCAACACAAGAACAATGACTCTCAACTGAGGGAGACCCTCTGCGACAAACGACCTACTCTAGTTGGCACACCACTCAGATCAATCCGGGTGGCCTTACGCTTTCTAGACCTGAAAGAGGCCCTTGTCCTTGGTTCTTTTGATTTCCAACTACTTGGAAGCTCGCCCGCATAAGCTTAATAAGCTTAATTCGCACAAAGTCCACTCGATTTCCTTGGCCCATGCCTTCTAAGAATATGGATTCGGCTTGGAGACCAGCGCCCGACTCTCAACCTCAACAAGGGGCCCAGTCTTCTTCGGAATTTCTCTGGGTGGACTGCCAAGATGGAAAGTCGCAGGATGCGGCGGTCGCTCGGAACGCACAGGCTTTCTTGCAGACGAAATATCACAAAATGCGGCGCCAAGCGCAACTACAACAATTGAAAGCGTCTATGAAAGCACTTCCCCCTTCGAAATCTCCTTCGGCCTCTACTCCCAAGAATGAGACTTCCTCGGAGAAAGACGACCGTCAACTCACAGTCATTCAGAAGGATCACCGAGTACATCGATCCCTTCAACCGAAAGTGGAGGATATTCTTCCTGTTGTATCCCCGCGCGTAAAACAGAGTGTGGATTTCTACTTTGACTACTGTGAGTTAAGCTCGTGGTTATGCGAAAATCCAACATTCTAACTATTTCGATAGTCAGAGTTCAAGGTTCACGCAGATGGTACCCAATGGGCCAAAGTGAAATGCTGAACTGTATACTTCGCCAATCCTTCGACCATCCTTCACTTATGGAAGTTATCTTGTCAATGAGTGCCTATGACTATGCCATGAAATTCAAAGCACAGCCACAAGGCACGAGTCCAGTCGTGTATAGATCTCTACAAGACGCTTTTTATATACGTTCTCACGTTATTCGGTCCATCCGGAACTTACTGGATAAGCCAGCGGAAATATTCTCTGAGGCTGCAGTGCTACTCATTGGGCACCTGTTTGTTACAGAGGTTAGTCAAGAGATTCTCAGTTACTTATCTTTCTCTCTTCCCCTTTTCTTTTCCTTTCTTTCTTTTTTTTATTCCGAACCCTGATTAATCTCATGCTAGGCACTTGAGGGGAATATAGAGGCAGTTGACGCCCACACTGACGGACTTCGAAGAATTGTCGAGGTTTTAGGCGGCGTGGAAAAAATAGGCGAGTGGCCTCTAGCAAATGTCTATTCGTAAGTGCGGCAAAGCTGAGAGAGATGAAATTTTGGTTTACTGACTATACTGCTAGCTGTGACCCTATACGAGGTCTTCTCAAAGACTGCCCGCTGGTCTTTGATATCCCGAAAGCTTGGGAGACAGAGTCTCTTCGAGCACTTTCCGAAAGAGCAAAACCGTTTCGGAAAGGACATCCCCGGCTCGGTACTTCCTTTTCCCACTCTCATATTCACCCTCGCCTAAAGATGATTATCAGATCTTTGGAAGATATCATCTGTATATACGAGGAGACCCTTCGCTTGAACATAGATCTGGCCATGCCTGATCACAACTGTGCCCTACTTCTAAGCAATCGACTTCATTCAGTGCCGTTCGATTATGCTCTTTCTCCTTTCAATGAGTCAATTCGACTTACACTCATGCTTTATATGCTCACACGGATGTGGGAATTCCAAGCAAGTGTCGAAGGCCTTGTTCGAAAGCTACAAGATCGCTTAGAGGAGACTCTAGGATATCTAGAGAGCTCAGCTCCCAACCTTTTATTCTGGATTCTCTTCAATGGTGCCTTTGCTTCTGCAAGATTCGAATGTCATGCATGGTTCGTCTCACGACTTAAAAGCCTTGCCAGAGAGTTGTTTCTTAGTGAGTGGGAAGACGTGGCGTCATTGCTTGAAGGGTTCTTGTTCGTCAGGAGGTCTATAAATGAATATGCTGGAGAATTTTGGCAAAAGGTGGCACCAAAGGAAGATATTGATTACGTGATAAGAGATAAAATAATTAAGCCGCAGTGAATGGCCTTCTATTCGCCACTAAAATCCGTCCGGTTGTTTAATAAGCTTGTAAAATAACTCAAGTGTCTCATCAACCAGGAAGTAGCCAGCGTACCTAGAGGAGGCACGAGTCAGAGCTCCGCTTCAGGTCAGCATCACTAAAGAATTTGAGCGTAGCCGCACCACCTTGCTCCCGCATTTTCTATTCAAGCGGTTACTTCATTATGCTGTGTTATACCGGTCTTATCTTCTAGCCCTTTGCTTTCGATCTGCTGCGCCAGAATACTAGTCTCAGTAACTCGATTCTCGCTTTTGGTGGAGTTGCCGATGAACCAGGGACTCTCAGTGAACAGTTTCTTCATCTCTTCCAGAGGTAACTGCTTTGTCTCCGGGAGAATGGCCCAGAAGAAGACGGCGTTTGTGAAATTGCAGACCTATGGAGAATGTCAGTCGCAGGCCTTCCTAGCGCATTTATTGAAAATAGACAGGGCTAGGAGGGCGATTTTATGAATACTAACCACGAACAGAATGTAGAACCTCCAGCCGGAGTTTGCCATTCCAATCGGTGTCACCTGGCCAATCATTGTGCTAAGTGAGGGAGACGATGGTTAGATGTTTTCCCTCTAATAGCAACATAGGGATAGGGCTGGAAGACACACTTAAAGGCAAATGAGACCATGCAGCCCAACGCTACACCTTTCGCTCGAGTAGCAGTATCGAATATCTCGGCAGGGATCATCCAAGCTAATCAGCGTTAGTATTGATTCTTTTTAACCGTGTTAAAGTTGGTAAGAATGGGAAAATAAAGTGGCCATACACAGTGATCCCATACTGGCAAAGCAGAAGTTATAAACCCATGTCATAATAATGAAGCCCCAATGTGCGCCTGTATTATTCACTTCGGGAGGGAATTGGGCGAGAAGAATTGTGCTGATAACGTATGTGAGACACATAGCAAGATTTCCGCCAACCACAAGTTTGCGACGGCCAATTCTATCGACAACCATCATGAGAAGGAATTCACCGATAAGGCCAATGATCGAGTTGATAGCTTGGTAGCGCAGGGTGTCAGTTCCATCAATGCCAATTTGTTCCTTTGGGAATTATGTATCAGCTATGTAACCTGTCAAACACAAGGTTCATGACTTCGTTCATGACTTCTTACAAAGATAGTGACGGAGTAGTATTGAATAGCGGACACTCCTGTCATCTGGGTGGCGGCTTGCATAGCGCAAGCCAGCAGGAGACGACGGAAGTTGGACTTATCAGTGATCCACTGATAAAACTTGACCTGATTGTGTTCCTTCTCTGCGGCCACTTGCGTTTTGATTTGCTCAAACTCGGCGAGAATCCACGGGTCGGATGTGTTCCCATTCGCATGCAGTCGCGCCAGGGTCTGAAGACCCCTCTCCAGCCGACCCTGGCTGATGAGCCAACGAGGGGATTCTGGAAAAAGGAAAATTAGACCAGACAGAAGAGCAGCTGGTACGATCTGAATCCCCAATGGGATGCGCCATTGGCGGTTGTCCACAAAACTGATATAAGTGCCATAGCTGATCCAACTTCCACAGACACCACCAATGCCGAGCATGAACTGCTGCAGTCCGGTTACCAACCCTCTAATATTGGGGTGTACTAGTTCTGCCTGATAGATTGGAACAATCATGGTGAGCACACCGATCCTATAGGTTGTTAGTTACTGAAGCTAAACCTGGTAACAGTCCGGTAGAGGGAGCTTACGAAACACCCGCAATGAAACGACCGCCTAAGATGTAACCATAGTTCCGCGCACCAGTCTGTAAGCCACCACCAAGGCAAAAGATCACTCCACCGGCCAATATGGTTGCTCGACGGCCAAAGTAATCCGAGCATGGGTATGCCAAGCCGGCGCCGAGAAAAGCGCCAGCCGTGAGCAGGGACGCAACAAGACCTATCTCAGTGGTGGTGGGGCTGAAGTAGCTCAGAAAAGAGCCACTAGATACCACTGTTTCAGAGACATATATTTGTGAGTTCCTCTGAACGGACCTTGGGGATGTAAGGCGCATTGGTTGACTCACCCTCGGCGACAATAGTAAGGTCGTACCCGTAGAGAAATGATCCAAGTGCGGCAAATGTGCCCACTAGAAACTGGTATACCTTAGGAGGAAAGCCCATGTTGATTTCCGATGATTCCAATTGATCTTAAGCGCGAGTAAAGATTGAAGACCGTTGTCTGCCCCCATATCTGAGGGCGGGACATCATCGGCTTTTAAGCTATGCAGATCTCCTCCATGCGGGGAGCTCGGCTCATTCTTGGCGCGAGAGACTGTTCAGCACTACGATCCCAGGATATGTGCATCGATCTGGACGAGTTCCACCAGCGCACGACGCGGGGAAATGAGTTAAATCGTGTTCAAGTGGAGGTCAACTCTATTATGACGGACGTTGGAAGCGACGAGGTTGAGATCCACTAATTCCCTGATTGGGAAACCTCCCGGTGGCTCGAGAACGCCTGCGGAAAACTAGCCAATCAAAATGCAGAGATTCCGCAGGTGGCTGGTAGATCCAATAATCTCAATAGTATGATCTTGCTATCGAGAATCTAGATCGACAAAATAGTAATGAATCTAGGAGCAAAACGATTCTTCTTTCGGGGTAATGGAATGCGAGATGAGATGATCATGGGATGAACCGGAATGACTCGAGAAGATGGCCTCCTCGCCTTGCTGTCTCTCTCGAACTGTTCGCCCTCTTTTTCTTTTTTTTTTTCTTCTCATCCTCCAGAAAAAAACACAACGTACATTTGATATACATTATCTGAGATGGCTGAGATCAAGGCCTTGCGCTTTGAGCACCATCCTTCGGGATTGGGCATACAATGCTCTTCACCTCGTATCTCCTGGATGTTCGCCGCTGTTGATGAGTCCATCTACGACTGGACTCAATCTCAGTATGAAATTACCGTTTATCGTGATGGCCTGCAAGAAAACTTCATTGTTCAAAGTGCCCAGTCGTCTTTGGTCCCTTGGCCGAGCATGCCGTTACAGTCGCGCGAACAAGCCAAGGTGCGAGTTCGAGTCTGTGGTACCTGGATCAATAAAGAAACCAGACTTGCACACCCAGGTTGGTCTGCCTGGTCAACTTGGCAAACGGTGGAATGTAGCCTTCTCAGCTCGCATGATTGGACTGCAGTGCCTATCTCCAGCCCCTTCAATCCTTCAAGCCAAGAAGATGAGCCCTTGAGGCCCTTACTTTTCCGGAAGGCATTTGCACTACCCGCCACGTTTGGCTCCGTGTCACGCGCTCGACTATATATCACAGCTTTTGGTGTCTATCAGGCATATCTCAATGGATGTAGAATCGGTGATCATGAGATGGCGCCTGGGTGGACAAGCTACCACCATCGCCTTGCATATCAAGTTTTTGACATCGACTCGTTAATCAACGTGAATGGCAACAATGTGTTGAGCATTGAGGTGGCAGAAGGCTGGTATGCGGGCCGATTGGGATTCGGTGGTGGCAAGCGGTATATCTATGGAGACCGGATGGCTGTGATGGCCCAGTTGGAGGTCGATGGGCCTACGGGTGGACGGCTCCAAATTGCCTCGGACATTAGCTGGAAGTGTCACCCAAGTCCTACTATCAGAAGTGAAATCTACAATGGCGAGACCTATGACGTGCGAGCTGAAGTGAAAGACTGGCATCAATATGGACCTCATTATATTGATGCGGACTGGGACGCAGTCTCCGTTCTGGACTTTCCTCGGGCGCAATTATACACGCCAGACGCTCCTCCAGTCCGAGTCACGGAGATCTTGGCACCTCAGGAAATATTCACCACACCAACTGGCCGGACAATTCTTGACTTTGGGCAGAATCTAGTTGGCAAGCTTTGCATACATGCGCTTCCAGCGAACGCGACTGTGATCTTCACTCACGCAGAGGTCATGGAAGACGACGAAGAATTGGGAACACGACCCCTACGTCGTGCCCAATGCGTTGACAAGGTTATCACATCTGGGCAGACGGTGATTGATTGGTCGCCAAAGTTCACCTTTCACGGGTTTCGCTTTGTCCAAGTCGATGGATGGGACCCCCAAACGGAGCAATCCTGGCAGAGCAACATCCAGGCGCTGGTGATCCACACTGATTTTAAGCGGACTGGGCAATTCGAATGTTCTGACATGGCTGTCAACCAGCTGCATCAGAATGCCTGTTGGAGTATGCGCGGGAATTTTCTGTCTATTCCCACGGATTGTCCCCAACGGGACGAACGCTTAGGATGGACGGGAGACATTCAAGTGTTCGGCCCATCTGCAACATTTCTCTACGACTCAATTGGCATGCTTTCAGAGTGGATGGAAGATGTAGCTTGTGAACAGTCAGATCACAACGGGGTACCCCCTCTAGTGGTCCCTAACATCCTGGACCATGTGTGGCCATCCATTCCCCAGGCCGTGTGGGATGACGTGGTGATCATTCTTCCGTGGGTTTTATATATTTCTTCTGGCGATCGTGATATTTTACATCGACAATATCCAAGTATGACCTTGTGGTTGGACCAAGGAGTTCGTCGAGGCCCCGACGGACTGTGGGATCCCGAATTATGGCAATTGGGCGACTGGCTCGACCCCCAGGCACCGCCTGACGAGCCTGGAGACTGTCGAACGAGCGGCACACTGGTGGCAGATGCATATCTTGTCCATGCCACATCTCTAATGGCGGAGATTGCCTCGATCCTCGAGAGAGAGACAGAGAGCACACATTACAGCTGCAAAGCTCAGCGTCTCCGTGCCCTTTTCCAAGACAAGTATATAGCGCCATCGGGCCTCATAGTCGGTGACTCTCAGACAGCCTATTCGTTAGCAATTGTCTTTGGTCTTTTGTCCACACAGAGCCAATTTGAGACAGCGAGGCGTCAGCTTGCTGCCCGCGTACGCATGGCAAAGTTTCGTGTAGCGACGGGGTTCGCTGGCACACCTGTGATTTTACGGGCTCTCACCGAAACAAAGAATCTCTCGTTGGCCTATAGAATGCTCCTCGAAAACGGCTGCCCATCGTGGTTATACCCTATTACGATGGGAGCAACCACTATCTGGGAAAGGTGGGACAGTATGCTCCCCAACGGGTCAATAAACCCCGGTGAAATGACTTCTTTCAATCATTATGCATTGGGGTCTGTGGTTAACTGGCTTCACGAGACAGTCGGCGGATTGAAGCCGCTAGAAGCCGGCTGGAAGACTGCTCTAGTATCCCCACAGCCAGGAGGCTCGTTATCGCATGCTTCGGTATCATATGATAGCGTCTACGGCCGATGGAGCTGCCAGTGGAAATTGGTTCAAGATGCGGATCAAGACGAAGCAGTCACATTCTGTTTGGATTTGATTGTCCCCCCAAACTGCAAGGCTGTAGTTAAGCTCCAAGCTGGTGAAGATGGTATCGGTAAACTTGACGAGGATGTGGGCTCTGGAAAGTACCAGTGGAGGATTCCTTTCCTTCCTTTACCATGGCCGCCCCAGGCCACTGCCCCATTCATAACAAACCCCGGACAGAATGTGAAATAGATTCGTAGCTATTGTATCTTATGTATTGAATCCAAATTTCTTTATCAAATTTTGAGCAATAAATTTCTCAACAAAGTGATATTTACCCGACCTATACTAACCATGCCAGTCACACATCGCACCCAGGCAATTTCACATATAATCTATAGAAAATGGCCATTTTTCTTACATGTCCAAACCCACTCGGTGATTTGCAGTTTTGGGAATAGGCTCACGCCAAATTCCAATAAATCAGACTTTGTGTTTGCATTCTAACTCGCCAGTTTGATTGCGGGGGAGTGGACTCGATGCCTGCCTCTTCGGAGGAACTCTCACCGAGTATTTCCACAGTCATAGGGACTGTGGGCCTTTTCGTTCATTTTTAGTTCAATTACCATGATTGAATTAGTCCTGGGAGTTTCAGCATTTGTGGCAGTATGGGAAAACGCGGGGAATGCGGTTGGTGTCACAAGTGTATAAAAGGGCTGTCCCTCTCGACCTTTGTCTTGAGCTCACCAAATCATTTCAAAATAGTCATATATACTCAGAAGAATCACTCAAAAGATTTCAGTATCATGAATCTATGCTCTATCTTATGTTTTGCCCTCAGCGCAGCGGCGTTGACACTTGATATTGCCTCGTCTGGTGGCAATCAGTCCAGCCCCCTTCTTTATGGGCTTTTGTACGAAGTAAGTCAGCTTCCCTGGTTGTTCTTGTTTAGTTTATTTTTCAAAGGTAGAAGAGTGACTGACGAACGAAAGGATATCTACCACTCTGGTGATGGAGGTCTCTATGGAGAGATGCTCCGGAACCGGGCGTTCCAAGGGTCCTCGTCGGGTGGAGCTGCCAGTCTGGCTCGGAACACGGATTATTGGCATCCTATTGGAAGTGTCTCGCTGGCAATTGATACATCTGCACCGGTTGTTTCGTCCACCTTGCCATACCACATGCGGATGGATGTACCCGCTGGAACCACTGGGACTGTAGGGTTCTACAATGAAGGCTTCTGGGGCTTCGACGTGGATGCCACTAAGCGTTACATCGCCAGTCTCTGGATGCGGGGCAACTACTCTGGGACTGTGGATTGCTACTTTAGTAGTAATACAACGGGACAAATGCTTGGATCTTCCAGCATGAGTATCGATCAGACTTCGTTGGCAGGATGGGTGCAGAGCTACTCTGCAACATTCCAGCCAAGCAAGACTGCGCCTGATGGCAACAACACGTTTTATTTCACCTTTGATGGGTCAAAGCTCGCTGGTCAGAGTGTGTATTTCAACATCTTGAGTCTGTTCAAGCAAACCTTCGATAATAGGTTGAACGGCGTGCGCGAGGATCTAGCTGATGCGTTGGTCAACATGAACCACAAATATATTCGACTTCCGGGAGGGAACAATATGGAAGGGAATAACTCTCCTTATGAATGGAAATGGAACGAAACCATTGGCCCTCTCACGGATCGTCCTGGCCGTCCGGGCACGTGGGGTGATATCAATACTGATGGATTTGGTCTTCTCGAGATGATGCAAATGGCACAAGATCTGGGCCTGGAAGTCATTCTGGGTATCTGGACTGGATTGTATCTGGACGGTGAGGTTGTTTCCGAGGCCAACCTGCAGCCATATGTGGATTCTGTCATGGACGAGTTGGAGTTTCTCCTAGTAAGTTTGCTTTAGAGATGATCCCTTCTGTAGATAGATCTAGGAATACGCACCGCGATCTAAATGGGAAAGACAATGATTTGCTGATGTGATTGAACAGGGAGATAAGTCGACCACATACGGGGCCAAACGGGCTGCTCTGGGATTCCCCTCGCCATTCACCATCAACTGGATTGAGATTGGCAATGAAGACTATCTGAATGGGGGGACTAGTTCCTACTATTCATATCGATACATGGCCTTCTACGATGCCCTTCATGCAGTTTACCCGTCCATAAATCTTGTGTCAACCATCAACCCCAACCCAGTCACATCGAATGGCAGCTCACTCGACCTCCACATCTATGGCAATGAGAACTATTTCGTCTCCCTTTTCAACACCTTCGACCAAGCTAGTCGCGAATACCCAGTCTTCGTCAACGAATACGCAGCAACCAACACCGGCTCCAACAACGCTGGCCAAGTGGGAGCCCAGACTATGGGCACGTCGTGTGCGGAAGCCATCTTCCTCCTAGGCTGCGAAAGAAACTCGGACGTTATCGTCGGCTCCGCATACGGTGCCTTGATCAAGAACTACAATGAGGCACCCGACACGGTGGCTGTTATAAAGCACACCGCAAACGAGGTCCTGTATAGCATCAGCTACTATGTGCAAAAGCTTTTCGCGGACAATATGGGCAAAAGGACGCTTCCAGTTAACGCCACAGATGGTGAGCTTGGCCCCGTCTACTGGTCTGCAACGGCCAACAGCTCTTCCACCATCCTCAAGCTAGTGAATTATAATGGGAAAACGGGTTCGTCCAACGCGGTACAGGTCAATGTCAAAGGCTCGTCAAAGAATATTGCCACCCTTATCACCTTGACTGCCCCGGGCTCCACTAGTGTTAATAGTTTGCCGTCGCTAGGAGGCGAAAGCACTACCATCACCACCACAAGTTTGTCCGGATCTGCGGGTAGCTTTTCCGTTAGCTTCGGCAATTCTTATGAGATTGCTATTTTAGTCGTCTAGAGAGGTCTCCATATTGGATCTAGCTTGAGATACAATCAGTTATTGGGATTGTCAAAGCGGTTATTTCTTATCCGGCCATGTTTTGGAGACAAGGGGTAGAGCTTGGCTGTCGACCAAACATGGCTGTAGACTGGGAACCCGGATGACTTGGTTTGCTTGGTCGCATAGCTCAGCCAATCCACGATCAGGCTGGAACTTGTCAATTTGTCGGTAGAGTAGCAGATTGTGAGATAAGGTTGAATCAATATGATGAGCTGGAATCATTTCAAGCACTCAAGTCTAAAGTAGTCCCCCAGAAGAGGTATCAAATTCGCCAATGTCAACGTTCAGACTATTGTTTTACTTTGAAAGTTAGACTGCCTTAGCTAGTCGAAAATGCAGGCAATCGGCCCTTTTGTGAGAATATGTGTGCCTGTGTGGATATAATCTCCATCTCCAAGGCTGTGTGCGGATCGATTGCTTTATCTTCGAGTGGCAGGGCGTACTCGAAGAGAAACCGCAGCATCCAGCGATCAACACGATGGGTATTTTGATGGTGGGAGAGAAGGAGACAATTGTTCTGGAACTCCATCAATCGGTTTATCTGGAGTGCATTGTTAGCAAGAGGAAAAAGGTCCCGTTTCTCGACAATAGCAAAAAATTCACCATGATTTTGACAATGGGCCAGAACTCTTCCAACTCGAGCAGTGCCTCGAAGTTTGCTTCGAGGCACTGACGTGACTGTGAAAGTTCATTCTCTTCGCCGAAAAGGAGAGTATGGAGAAGGACGGAAGAGGAGACAATCGCCATGTGGCCGACAGTTGGATACACGGCCTCACATCCGGATTGCTGTCTTCCACGCGCGAGCCAGGTACTGTAGCTCAGAGCATGATGTTTACATCGAGCTGCAAATTGACGAGAACGAATAGTCGTCGTTGATCGTGTGTCGAGATACTGGTAGAAAAGCAAGGTCGCATAGTGGTGAAAGCCAAGATGGAGGCCCATGAAGATGCCCCCGGTGCCCCGTTTGCTGTGCTCTATGAGGTTCGACTCCGTCAACTGGACATCCTGTGGAAGTGCATTTTCCCAGGTATCCAAAAGTTGTGCGAGGCGGTAGGTATCCTGCTCAGTTTGATCTAGATGCAACCCCTTGCTGTTGGCCACATTCCAGTTGAGTTCCTGGATTGGGCTGAATACTTCGATCAGCGTCGCCATATGTGCCCATAGACCAGGGCTCTGACATGGCTCTCCAGGGCCATGAAGTCGCTCATCTGGATCCATATCGGCAAACAGACGCTCGTCCATGGGTAGCCGAGCCGGTCGACGCCAGTCTTTCATCTGACGGGGAAGCCCAGGCTCGAAGAGCACCAATTATCTGCTGCGAAAAGTGCCCACCAGATTCGTATTCGAAGCTCGTGAGAGACTTCATTACCGCTCGCTTGTCCAGTACGCGGTTCTATCAATTGCATCATTGCAATTGCCGTTCCTATCATCTCGTTTGACATGAGTGTTCAGGGCAGACCCCGCGGATATATGAACTGAACCATGGGCACTCACGAAAGAACAGAAACTCCGACGATGGGTTTGCATGTGCTACGCATAGATTTGCCACTAGAATGCAAGTCTGAATATTCTCCAGGCACACACGCTCAAGATCGATCTGAAGTAATCGTTTAGACTCGGCAGTGAGCAAGGGCTCGAGTGATCGTAAAGACGGCTGAGTTGCAACGTGAGCACCCATCGCACAGATAGCCAGGATCAGAGCCCTACTGGCTCGTCGATCGTGAATATCTTTCCACAAAGTTGCAGCATGAAATATACTATGGGGCCGACCGTGAATCTTGGATAGATACTGATGAACCAGAACAGCAACAGATTCATCGTTGGAGAGAAAATCATCCACACTCTTGTACCAAGTCTGCGATTCTGTTGATGGCCGAGCAAGAAGTTGACGGGCCTCGAGTCGCGTCCGAGCTGATGGCTTGATCTGACAGTGGGAACATGCAAGGTGATGGCGCCGGCAGCGATGACACGATGGCACGGAATCACTGTCCTTGACAGGAATGCATTTGCGCTTGGCATCGCGACATTGCTGGCAGGATCTCATGCTCTAGGTAGGTAGCACCAGATGGAACTTGAACGATCATGGAGCTAGGACCGGTGGATGTGGGTAGTATATTCTTCCTCGGTCCACATTTCCTCGGCGAAAGCGAGACCGTGGAAAGAATGAGAGCACAGCCAATGGTATGACCACGAGTATGGCAATATATGGAGACGGTGGATATGCGTCAATTGTTAGGTTGTTGATAATCGGGAAGGACATTATAACGGCAGATCCATCCATGGGCGGTGAGTGTCTAAGGGGGCAAGAGTTTGTGCCTGAGGCTTCAACGGGGCGACGGCGGTCGACAAGGCGGTCTCCAGGTTTTGCCATGTTTATCCACGTGATCTACTGGCAGCCACCGTCGGCCAGAATGACCCCTTTTGGCTCTGCTCAATCATCCGACACATTCTGAATATTGACGCGAAGCGGACAAGGACCGAGGTGGCAGGTGGAGCTCCGTTTCAAGGTGATGAAGAGAGTTTTGCCGGGGTTAATTATTGGCCCGACCGACGTGGATTCGCCCGGAGATGTCTCTTCAGGCCCATTTGACCATGCGCCATGATTGGTGGATATTTCCTTCCCCAGATTCTCCGCATACCCGCCGAGCAAACAATAGAAAGCTTCTCCAAATAAGTTCGAGCTAAAGGGCACAGGCGAATTTCTGATTGATGGAACGTGCTGTTCAAGCACCACGGGGTTCCTGGGGGACTAAGTCTGGGGAAATGACAACCCTGGGACGGGGAAATATATGGAGCTTCTCGACAAGATGAAGAATTGTATAAATTCAAGGGCCCTTCCCGGGCCTTGGAGCACCCATCTTCGAAGCTCGAGGATCCACTGGAATTCCTTCCTGTCTCAATGTTGGGTTCCATTTATCTCGCCCTCGCGGCATCTTTGGCCGTCTCGCATGCCCTTCCGGGTGCTTCGGCAGCCCACAAGACTTGTTCGGACCCATGGGCAAGAGTTTCCCCTGCCAAAGGCGCGGTGGTGGTTGATAACAGTGCCAAACCATACCCAGGGTCCTTTTCGACCGTACAGGCTGGTGTTGATGCTCTGAACACAACCACTACCACTCCACAGTCACTCTTTGTCTTCCCGGGAACCTACGTCGAGCAAGTTTATATTCCACGTCTTGCATCCAACTTGACTGTCCAAGGATATACCTGTAACTCCAAGGGATACGAGGACAATACGGCCACGATCACCTATAATCTGGCCCTCATAAATACTACTAGTGATGACAAGACTGCAACCTTGCGTCAATGGAACCCCAACACCAAAGTGTACAACTTGAACATTGTCAACACCTTTGGCCATATTCCCAAGAATGGTCAAAACCTTGCCGTCTCTGCAGAGACCACTGGCCAGGGTTACTACGGCTGCCAGCTGATTGGTTATCAGGATACCCTGCTTGCTGAAACTGGTAAGTTGGTCGTTTTAAGGCAGCGTTCGTGGATCGTGTGTATTGATTCAGTCTTCATTCAGGCTCCCAGCTCTACGCCAAAAGTCTGATCGTCGGCGCAGTCGACTTCATTTTTGGACAGACTGCTCTGGCATGGCTCGAGGGCATTGACATTCGCACCATTGCTACTGGATGCATCACTGCTTCGGGCCGTAGCAGCGCCAGCAACCCGTCATGGTACGTGATCAGCCGTTCGAACGTTGCGGGCATCAACGACACCATCCCGGCGGGTACCAACGACCTTGGTCGTCCTTGGGGATCCTTTGCTCGTGTGGTCTTCCAGGAGACCTATCTGGGTAATATCATCGCCGCCGCAGGCTGGAAGGAGTGGTCTACAACCACCCCAAACACTGGCAATGTTACTTTCGCCGAATACAACAATTACGGCCCTGGATCGGTGCAGGAGGAAGGGCCCCGAGCGAATTTCAGCGAGCAGTTGACTGCGCCTATTTCTATTCAGTCTATTCTGGGTGAGAACTTCAAGAATGAATGGTGGATTGACACCAGCTATCTTGACCCGAGTGACTTGAAAGTTACCAAGACCCATACTACGACCTCCGTGGAATCTACGTCCACTACGAAGACTAGTGTATCGAACGCAAGCACCACTGTAGCATCGGTTACCACAGTCTCGACTACCACAGTCCCAACTTCTGCCAGTGCTGTAAGCTCCTCTTCCGTTGTTACCTCAACTCCCTCTTCCACCACTTCAACTGTCCCGACGACTTCAGCTGTTGCAAGCTCCTCTTTGGCCGCCACTTCGACTGCCTCCTCCGCAACCTCAACCGTAACATCCGGCACCTCATGTGTTTGCACCGACTACTCTCAGATCTCGGCAGCTGTCGCGTCCTGTACCAATATCGTTCTGTCTAACATTGCTGCTCCTAATGGATCTGCAATCGACCTCTCTGGGCTTCAGGCCGGCACCACCGTGACATTTGATGGACTGACGACTTTCGGTTTTACCAATTCCTCCAGCTTCAATCCCATCACTATCAGTGGCGCTGGTATCACGGTCACCGCTAATCCCGGAGCAGTCATTGACGGCAATGGACAGGCATATTGGGACGGTCTGGGCTCTAACGGAGGCGTTCCAAAACCCGATCATTTCATTGTTGTCAAGAAGGTCACTGGGAACTCGGTGATCAAGAATCTGTACATTCAGAACTGGCCCGTGCATCTCTTCACCATTTCTAGCTGCTCCGATCTCGTTTTCCAGGACTTGACCCTGAATAACACCGCAGGTAACGCTCCAAACAGCAGAAGCGGTACTTTGGCTGCTGCACACAACTCGGACGGCTTCGATGTCAGCAGCTCCAGTAATATTGTGATTCAGCGCAGTGTTGTCTACAACCAGGACGACTGCGTGGCGATCACCAGCGGCAACAACATGACTGTCTCCAACCTCGAGTGCCATGGTGGTCACGGCCTCTCTATCGGTTCCGTGGGCTTGAAGTCTAACAACAACGTGACCAACATTCTGGTGAGCATGACTGTAACATTGCATCGGGAAACACTTCTAGAGGTTAATGAAGGCGAGCTCGAAGATAAAGCTCAAAGCCATCAATTACCCTCTTGACTCTTTCCTCTTGCGATTATCCAAGTTCTGCTATATTTCAAATATTGACCTGAAATCTCTTTCCTTATAGTTCACGGATTCCTCTGTCTTCGACTCTGAGAATGGCTGCCGGATCAAGACCAACTACAATGCGACTGGCTTTGTCGCCAACATCACCTATTCCAACATCGCCCTACAAGGTATCTCCACTTACGGCATCGATGTGCAGCAAGATTACCTCAACGGTGGTCCAACTGGAAACCCCTCCAACGGTGTCCTCATCGAGGGCCTTCTCTTCCAGAACGTGACTGGAGCTGCCACCTCTACTGCGCAGGACTACTACATCCTCTGTGGAGACGGTTCTTGTTCCGACTTCACCTTCACCGACGTCTCCATCACTGGTGGCTCCGTGGCCAATAGTTGCAACTACCCGCCCAGTGGGTGCCCTTCCTGAAAGTAGTTCTGTTTGATGAGAAATCTCTCATTCATATCCGATTTCATCTGTATATTCTTTTGTTTAGATATCCTCACACAATCTTTCTTATTTCAAGGACCATCCGTCTATCTGTACAGCCACATGATTCCCCTATGTCTATCTATGCAACAACATGTTTTGTCTCGGGTTATGAGATGGTGTACTCTTCGTTTCCAGCAGGCGATCTAAACCATCCCCACTCCATCCGTCGCAAAGAATTCCTGACATCGGCAATCTCGAGGGCAAATTACCAAGAGTGAGCTCTGCAGAATTAAAATAGAGCCAAGGCCGGATTGCAAGGTTGGGGGCCAAGGACCAACTAACACTCTATGGTGATTGGATGCACTGCGAGCCTTGTTCGGCGACCGTCGGCCGGCTAAATACACGCGGGCAGGAACGCTAATAATGCCTACGCCGACGATTTGTCTCCAGCCATCCCCGCCCCGCCGAGCCTTGTTCAGAATCCCCGCTACTCATCCGTGGCTTACAAGGTATTCACTCAATAAAGTACAGGAACACGAGATGGACGTCCATGTTGTATCGAAAGTAAACAACGAGGTTCACGCGGTTGCGACCCTCGAGAGTCTCGATTACCAGCGACAAGGTCTCGCTGCATCCAGTGTTCGTGTTCAGCCGCTACTAATCACCCTCAGCTCGAACAATCTCAGTTATGCTCGTGGCGGGGATTTGTTGCACTGGTGAGATACATTATCTTTTCTTTTAAACTTTGCGTGTATTGGATTTGAAATGTTTTCACGGGCTGACGAACGTGCAGGTGAGATACGTATGCTGTCCCTACGGGTCTCCCCCTCCATACAATGACCGGAAATCCTGGGGATTGTCCCAACATGGGGCTATGGAGTTGTGACTGAATCAACGACTGAGATTACTCCAGGGACTCTCCTATGGGGGTTTTGGCCAACCGCAAGCATCCAAGTCACACTCAAATTCCAGCAATCTGAGCCAAAAGGCTTCTGGACCGAGATTAGCGAGTCTCGACGGCGCCTCATGACCGTGTACAATAGCTATTCTGAAGAGGGTCAAATCGGTCTCCCTGGATCTGTATCAGAAGCGAAGACATCAATCAGTCTCTCGTCCCTTGTAAATGAAGCACATGGCGTGGACCTCGCTATTCCGTCCTACCTGGCAAACGGGATATCTCCTCAGTCGCCACACTCTTACCTCAGATCCAGAATCTCGGCCACGTTCACCCACTGGGCATCAACCTTCCTTGGACAGCTTCGGATGCGGACATGTCTGGTGCTGTTGTGATCAGTCTCTCTGCATCGAGTAAAACCGGCCGATTTTTCGCCTACCACGTTTTCCGTCGGGATGCCGAGAAAAAAGGGCCCATGGGCTTTCTACAGGTTTCGCAAACGCCAGAGCTGCTAGATTTTGTCCCGGTAAAAATTGGCACCCACGTCCCTACCGAGGCGGTGAGCTATGACCAGACATATGAGGCTGTGCGGTGGATCAGCGGCCTGAAGCCGAAGAAGATCGTGCTTGTAGATTTTGGTGCTCGGGCAGGGACTCTTGCTCAGTTTATTGAGAGCATCAAAGGCGACCCGACTCTTGGAGAAATCGGGACGACGATCGTGCATGTTGGTTCAGAACAAAAGGTCAGTGAAAGAATCAATCTCTACTATTGAATACGTAGACCAATGTGTTCATTCCACAAGCAGGTTTATTCCGCCGGTGAGATTAAGGAAAGCCGCGAGTCCATGCAAACAATGGGCAAGGTCCAGTTCAATACCTCTGGGGTTCAGGACGCTGTCATTGCACAGTCGACTGCGAAAGCTTTCTACGACGATGTTCAGCTTGCGTGGCATGGTTGGGTTGGCGTCAGCCATGAGATTATGCCTGATATTCAGTTACTTCTCGGCCAGGGTGTATCTGGAGACGAAGGAGTCGAGAAGGGATGGAGCAGACTGTGTCAAGGGTCTGCGATTACACAGGAAGGATTGGTGTATACGATGTGATTGATGGTGTGGTAGAGTCGGCACAACATTGGACGATTGAGTCCAGCTAGAACTAGGTTGAGATCTTTGTGCACATTGAGAAATGCTTTGAACGAATATTTCTGTTCCCATTTCAGGTTGTAAGATACCACTTCGCAGATTTGATATGATTGATGGTTTTCAGGATATGAGCAGTCAACGCTCGCAGCCCCCTGACTTGTCCGGCTCCGAAACCAATGAAGTAGCGCGCCATAAGCGGGAGATCAGTCAAATCACATCTACACGGTGGGGCTCAAAAGGCACGGCATGACCAAGATAACCATCCCTAGCTCCGCTGGGGCCAAATTGGTTCGCAGCTGAACAGCGATATACAGAAAATATCGGTGGGCGTGGGGGCTGAAAACGATGTGAATATGGTTACTCTACACTACAGTACTTCCGGTGCCAAGCCCAGTCTTGGCGCACTTTGATTCTTTAAACGGAATAGCTCCCTTCCGGGGCTAGTTAGGTGGCTATACTCAAGATTGGCTGGATAATGGGTAAACAGGCTTAGACTATTGATGTTTCATAATGCAGATCTCCACGGTCTAAAAACAAGCATCTCGCACCTGAATCCTAAATAGGGAACACATAGACAGAACTATCCATCTCTGAACGGAGTGGCCCACATCAACAAGGGTGGGGTCGGATACATACAGTAGGACGCTTATTTCCGAATCCTTAATGAAAAGCCCCACGCGATGATTCAAACTATTTGGTGATGAGATGCCCAGATATTCATCACTCCATAGTATACTTGCACGGGAAATGAGGGAGTTAAGTTTCTGATTTTTCAGAGGCATCTCCAGTTTGCCTACTGAGTTTGGCTTTCCGGAGTTAAGGTAATCCATCGTGGTAGATTTAAGGATTCTCTTTACCCCACAGTCATCGCTAGGGACGAACTGCCAAGAGTAGAGTTTTAGTCTACGCAACATACACCCTGATCGAGTATAGTTTTGCCCAGCTGAATACCTCTGGCGGATACTTCAGCTGGTGTCGTGTGGGAATATAGCCTCGCTAGCTAAGCCGCAAAATCAGCCCTGCAATGGAATTCTATATTTGGTCTAGGTAAGACATCTATCATTTATAAAAGCGCCCCGCATGCCACTCTTTGGGGCTCCACGCTAGGTTTCCTTAAAGCATGCATTACAGTGACTTGAACTCAACTCAGAGCGAAGAATACAACATGATCGAGCAGGATAACTATCAACCGGCGGAGATTGATGGGCTCCCTCCCTTGCCTCTTGATCTTCATGAGCATAAATTTCATATATGCTTGCAATGGGGAATCATATTACTCACAGCCTGTGTAGCGCCATTGGTGATCTATCCAAGCTTGCACTGGGGCGCAGATTTATCTGACAAGATTGGTTCGTGTATAACATGTTTCCCTTGGTTTCTCCCGTGTGCTGTCTCCATGACGTGAACTAACACTGGCAAATCTTAAAATAGCGCTGAGTGTCGCCAGTGCCATCCTGGGAGTATTTACTCTATTGTCGTTCGGTTTACGAACATGGCGACTACTCAAAGCGACATCAAATTGTCGCCCTCTTACATCTCAAAATCGTTGGAACGTATGCTTCCTGTCTTTCTTTCATTATTTTGCCTTCTTTTTTTGCCGATGCAAGGGCCTGGAAGAGTGTTAAAAAGAGATACGCTGACACCAATTTCGATTTCTTCTTTTATGAAACAGTTCGACTTCTTTCACTGGAACTATCTTCTGGGCTTCGTACTTGTCACAGTCGTTCTTGTGATTGGATTGACAGAAGATCCTCCCAGTGTACGAATGGAGTCTTTGCCTCCGTCTATTCTCCTCGTACAAGTTGGCTCCACCCTAGTGATTGTCGGGATTTTGGCAAAACTTCGAGTACGACAACCGTTTCCCATCTCCTCCATTCCAGCAGGTGCAGAATTTCGGCCAGGCATCTTAGTGATCATCGAGGATATTGTTGCTGTAGATGGTGGTAGAGGCAGACTATACCGCTCGGCCCTAATGGAGAGGTATGCAGCCAGCTTGCGGTTTCGACGCCTAATGGAGAATTTAAATTGGTTCTGGGGATTTGGCGGACTTCTTGTGGGCATTTGTTTGATCAGTGTACTTTCCACTGTTCATGACCAGACCTTTGCTTGGGGCCTGGGTAAGTTTATGATTGATCCTCTCCCGTTCCTCACTTTCACCCTCCGATCCTACCCTCCACCCGAAGGCTCATACCTTATTTTGTGTCACTGAAAGGGCTTCAACTAACTTTTTCTGCTTGCATTTGGTAGGGTGGACGATTCCATGGATTTGGGCTGGTGTCTGGGCTGTTATTACCACCTACTGGGTGAAGTCTGCTTTGAGGGAAGAGAAACGCACCTGGTCCGAGACCAGAAGGGAGACCGTGGTGTGACTGGACTGCTTCTTTTCCAAACACATTTGATAACCGACGTGAAGAATATTGCCATCTCCAGCGAAGGAGTTGGCGCTGATTACCATAATCACGGGCTCTGTGCCGATGAATACCCGTGGGTATTCGTGTGTCTGAGTACGACAAATTTCTCTTGAGAACGAGACTATTAGTTTACCGTTATAGTTGAGATGAAATTCAACATTGATTGGGGCGAATCTCCGGTTATCCCACACCCTATACAAGGCCCGTTGTCACAATGCGCTTACCTAAATGCTTTGCGCGGCTGGAGGCTTCGGTAGCTTTACGGTCAAATAGAAAGGCCCCCAAAGTATCTTTTTCCACAGGAGAACAGCGATCAGCATATCACCCGTATATTCCATACATGTTCTCCAACTAAACCAACATGGATTTTACAACAACCCAATTCAAAAAGTTACGCATCCATCTCATAGCAAGTCATAGGAGCCCACGCGACACCTATCCATTCGGTTTTCCCAACTCTGAATTGAATGCATTTGGTAGGACTACACTAGATAAGACAATTATGTCTCTCTTCGGTGGTAATCACTATCGATTCAAGTGCACAGTTCTTAATGAATATTCTAGCGAGTTATTTTTGTGCGCTACTACAAAGATTCTGTAAAGATACATGGTTTTGTCATGTAAAACTAGCATCGTCAAAAACACAGGTTTTCCTCGAGTCATCAAACCATCCCTTAATATCGTTCTCGACTTTTACTCAACGCGCCCAAACCACCATCGCGTTGCCCTTGATTCCATCCCGCGCCATCCCGTCAGGTCTTTAAGACTTTGCGTGGGTGTCTCGACTTTGTGAAGATGGTCAATGAACCGTGCGCTATAAGACTCCATGAACGGCTGAGACAAGGCCTTTTGCAAAAGCTCCTTTTGTATACCCCGAGAACCACCCTCGTGTGGGAAAAAATGGGCGACCAAAAGATAGCGACGTGCAATACCCAACGGAAAAGTGGAACTAAGAGCTGCATAGCCACCCGCATGGGGGCTATAGGATAGAGGCATAGCGTGGATAATCCTGTCGGCGTGCAAAGTAGGATTCCGTTCATCCCGGTAGGTGGGGTATCCATAAGAGGAAAATGGGATCGGAGAATGGCGCATGTTAAGTTGATTTCGACGCGCCTCGATCGTGGCCATGTGGGTAGTAGTATATAAGAGGATAGAGCAGCTCCAGTAGAAAAAGCTTAAATGCAGCACTGCGAAGTCTCTATCAACCTGTGGCATCGCGAGGGTATTGCCTGAATGTGCGTAATCGTAGACTTTCAGATCATCTTTCATGGCAATCTTCCATGTAATTAATGCTTGCTCGATGCGGGAGCATCTGTCCAGTAAGTCGTTGCATGTTATTGGACAAGTTTCCGCAACAGGAATCGTTCGTATGGTGTCCAGGTCCTCCAATAAGCCCGGAATTTGGATCATGATATCGGTCAGTTCCTCGAGGGGTGATTTTTTGATGTCATTCCACGGGGCTGTAACCCATCCCACGTCACTGAAGGGCGACCGCTTTCTTCGGCCAACGCTAAGAATGAACTCCAAATGGCAAAATCAATATCGACGATCCGGTGATGGAATTGGATATGACGACTTACAGACACAATGCGGCCACTCGCGAGTAGGTACCTCCCCGCTTCGCTCCATGGTTTATGATAGCCTCTGTTCATGAATAAGGCCATTTCACCGTCTGTATGGGCGTAATAGCCCTTAACCTGGGGAAGAGGATTTGCTTGGCGTTTTCCATTTGACTCGGCCCCATAGAGAATCTTGAAATATGAGTGACATGGGTCTCTTCCCTAACTGGCACTAGAAAGAACCACTCACCTCGTAGAAGCGGAAAAGTCGAATAGCGGCCAAAAGGCCATCACCAGTAGCTCTTTGTGGATCCTGCAGTGCCACGCGCATTTCCTGCAGCGCCACGCGGTGTGCCTGGAGGCCTTTGAGCTTCAGTTGACAGTCATTATCTCTCGTGGCCAGCATCGACAGGCCGTGCGCCAAAGTGATGAATCGGAGGGTTTTCTCGAAACGACATAGTCGGTCATGGAACCTCAGCCAACCCGCAGAGGATATCTGCGAGGCGTCTCGGGAGAAGAGACGGCCGTTTGGTAGGAATGCTGTGAGGAAAAGCCCCACATATCTATTCTCCCCAGCTGATCTCGCGAGGGACTCGTGTAAGGTGATGATAGGGGCCTCGCTACTGCGTGTGGGTACGAGGCTAGAAGCTTTGGTGTAACTGTGTTTCTCGCCATCTGTTGAGTTGATCCAGACGAGGCGGCGGCAGCCATACCCTTCGCACACCAGTCCCGCTTGAACGCACTGACTACAAAAGGGGGTCTTCTTGTCGCACTGTCTCAATGCCAGGGGTATTAGCACCTAGAAGAGGATATGGGCCTCGAATTTAACGTACGCCTTTCTTTTTTCTTCGGCATGTCGCGCACCCACCCGATCTTCCCGGAACGCCCACCATGTCGATCTAGGTTAATTGGCCAAGGAGGCCAAGGAGGCCAAGGAGAAGTTTTCGGCTTGCGCAAAAAGCTGCCTTGTTTGGAAACAGGAGCAGCAGAGCGGAGTGTCAGTTCTGCCGCCCCCTGACTAGCTCTGCACGTGGTACGGTGGATAAGTATTCGACTTGTAGAACAAGAAAGATAACATCCAGTGTTTCCTCGGTGACCTTTATTATTATAAGTGAATAAAGCAAAACTCCAAGGCTGGATCAGGGGTAAATAGGGGAAATGAGGGGCAATTTCTTCTTTCACAACTCAAGTTTTTCGTGTGTCAGCTTGTTAGGGCGCTCGTTATTCTTCTTCCATGTCGATCAGTGGCGACCACTATTCATGGCCTTGCCGATTGACGAATTATATGTTAGGAACAAGAATCGTCATGATAAGCGCATCTCGCTTGCCTATTCGGATAACCCAGATGCCATTATTATTAGCTGCGGCTGAGTGCAGTTGGGGGTCAAGATGTTTTGGCCCCATTCTCCTCAGCCCTCGGCAAAGCCCGTTACAGCTTGTAGCTAGTGACCCAACCCAGGTCGATAAATGGGATCATGAAAGTCTTAACATGGTCGACCGTTATTGCCAAATTCCATTAAGATGGTAACTTCATCCATGTACTTTCGTATTTAGATTCCATTGACTATCTTCGGAGATATACCGAGGAGTAGATAGTGCTATATATATATATACATATATCTGACTGACATTGTAAACAAATACCATTGATTCGTCAAGTATATCACTTAAGAACCGTAAGTAGGAGGAAGAAATGAAGCTAGTTCCAGCCTATGTTTACTGATTGACTGATTGACTAGGTAGAAGAAGATAAAAGCTTAAACCATATGCAAAGTCAAAAGGCGCGGGTTGAACTATCTACGGTAGACTTCGGGTATGAATCCCCGATATTCAGGCCTGCACATGAGTGGCGCTGGTCGGAGCCATTTTCTGCCTTAGGCTAGAAATAAATGTCGGAGCAGGACCAGTAGCGGATACTCGGAAGAAAGGAGATACTATAACTAACTAGTTAGTTAAACCCGCATGTATTGGTCATTATTATGCCCATCCAAATTGCCAGAAAGGGGCTACATACTAGCAATTCAGACCGGTTGAAATCCGATTGGTGCACTAGATGAGCTCAGCAGCCAGTTTCCGATAATAAACCGTTTAAGAACATATCGAGCCAGGCTCAACCAGATTACACATGCCATAACACGCCCAGCAATGTCGGTAAGAACTTCGGCCGTCGGGCAAATCAATGCCGAATATACTTAGTTTACAACGATGAATCAGAATTTCGGAAGAAAGTTTCACCAATCCGAATATATGTCTGATGTACTACACTTCCCGGTCGGGGAGTGACCGTATCAGTCGAATCCGAAGTGATAACTGAATAATTTGCGTTGCCATTGTCTGCCCCGTTTGGACGATGGGAGAAAAAAGGAGATAGTCTGAACGTCCCATCAGAATTTTTTTTGGGATTTCAATATTAATCAAAAGTATGTCACCGAATCACAGGCGAAAAGACACTTTCAAGTAGTCTGTGGATTTCTACTATTACAGTATGAAGGCCTGCTCTCAGGCAACCAGCAGACCTGTGATTGGACGGCTATCATTCCCCCAGGGAAGTTTGGTCCCTCCATTCTCCGCAAGGATCGCTGCCAACCGATCCCAGCTCCGCTTCGGCCGTTCCCCAGGCTTGACCCATCCGACCAGATCGCGCGGTCTGGTCGTACTGCCCGCACTCTAGTAAAAGCGTCCTCCGTTGTCTGGGCTATAATCTGTCCTGGATAGCCGCTGCTATTACCACGCCGAGCGCTCTCAAGCCCCGCAGAGTCATAGAGGGATGGACCGGGAGGAGGATTAGCAGTGACTAAGCAACCGCACGGACGCATTCCAAATGGGCATTGATAAGTAGTTGGCATGTAACTAAACCTGGCGTAGATCCAAGAATCTGAGTTACCTATAGGGTACCATTCAGTCAATTCATGCCGAAGATGTGACCTTTGTAAGCCCCTAGATCAAGATTGGATATCACCTTAGAGACTTTTGTTCAGGGGAAACATAAACAAAGGGACGAGAGAAAAACAAACATCCCAGAAAAGGAAGTAGAATTGATATTATGGACGAAAGGAATCTTGACTAGCTGTAGATGCAACCATGTTAATAAAGCGTTCCCTGCCCTCGCTCTGGCTACGACTTGGGAAGCTTTGCGTACCACAGTGATTTTCCTTCACCAGTCCTTGACTATTGCGGCAAATACGAACCTTATTCTTCACGATTATTCTCGAGGCTGTGCTAGTCATGAATCACGATATACGCGCTCAGCCCACCCAGCCATATCCAACACCAGTGGTTACGGCAAATCCAAATGGCATCAACCCCCACTCACCATGGGGAAAGCAAACGTCTTCGGAGACACAAGATGATGGCCAATATCATCCAAATCAACAGGCATCCGGGGAAATACCAAATCCCTCCAATTCTGCGAAGTCGAATGGCTATGTGGATAGTCAGTCAGAAGAAGGCCATGTTCAAGCGAACCAACAAACTCCTTCGGATATACAAGATGATGGCCAATATCATCCAAATCAACGGGCATCCGGGGAAATGCCAAATTCCTCCAATTCTGCGAAGTTGAATGGCTCTGTCGATAGTCAGTCAGAAGAAGGCCATGTTCAAGCGAACCAACAAACTCCTTCGGCGCAAACAGAATCAACTCCAGGCTCGCATAATGTCGAAAGTCCACAAGCAGCGCAACCTACGTGGCAGCAAGCGAACTGGCCAAGTTATACGCCGAGCTTAGCAACTGTTGTGGTACCATCCACGGCTCCTATCCAGCAAGAATCATCGACCTCCTATAGTCCAGCAGCGTTAGCTGCTGCAACGGGGGTAGCTGCTGTTACTGCATTACCTAATCACCCAGCCCCAGGGCGTTCTGGTGGCTCAATACGGGCTGCAGCTATTGCTCTATCTGTCATCGTTGTCTTAGGTTTTATCGGGGCACTGATCTTTCTCCCTTTGTACAGGAAGCGCAAAAGCCTTCAAAAAGCCCTTGCCGACCAACAAAACAATTCTAAAACAACTATCGCAACCCAAGCAGTGGACTTGCCAAGCCCACAGCCCCACAGCGAGAGCTCAAGGCCTTCAATTTCAGGTCTTTTTGGGCCTAGGACAAAAAAGATTATTCATCTTCCATGTTCTGTATTCAACCCTATTGTCACCCGAACAAGAAGAGCTCCCGCCGATTACGACACAAAACTTGAGAAAGAGATTTGTTCTGTGCCAAAGCTTGCAACACCCACGTTATCTGGATCGTCAATATACACGACAAGTTCCATATCAGATGCTGAGACTATGGATAGATCCACGTCATCTGTAGCTTCCAAAAACCAACAATCAGATGGGCTTTCAGCAGTGCGTGTTGTTTCGTCAGATTCTACGATGACGGAAGAGATATCCGAACTGCCGCAACAGACACGAACAGCAAGCCAAGAACAGCATGGTGTTTATGGTGCGGCATCGTTAGAGAATCCTAGCATTGGAAACCTCCTTGCTGCCAGTCCCCTGATAAACAACGTTTATGTTGTTGAAATGGATTTCGTGCCTTGTCGGGATGGGCAATTGGAGCTCCATACAGGCCAACTCCTGGGTATATCACAGGTTTTTGATAATGGATGGGTACGTTAACTGCTCCTAAACCTGCGTATAACCTAATAGATCATATGGCTAATAATCACCCTTAAAGGCTCTTGGCGTCAGACTTGACAGCCCCGAGGCAGGCTTGGTACCCCGCAGTCACCTCTCTGCTCGCCCCAGCAGACAGCAAGTCCAATGCAGTGGTAGTGACGACAGACGAGCATCACAAAGACACTCTCTTCCACTGCAATCTATCGGTGTTTTATCTTCCCGCTTTTATTCGTTTTTTTCTAAACCTGAGCGAGAAGCGCAGAACGCTTCTCCTGTCTAGCCCTGGAACATGGTTTTTTGTTTTAAAGATGTTTGAAATTCCGATATCCTTGCTCTTCTTCCCAACTTCTCCCCTTCTGCCACCTTTCTGGATCCCCCTCTGGCGTCTTCTTTATTTCACATTTTTTTTCTTGTACTTTATGATTTAATTTCCTTTTTGATACTGATGACTTGACCCCCATTGACCTCGACGACTCGGTCATTTAGTGGTGCAGTCCTCCATTTAGCCCTGCATAGATTGCTGTGCAGGTTTGCTGGTGGTTTCCAGGACCAGGCCTTTGTCTTCTGTGTTCTTTATGTTGTAGGCCTATTAAGGCCTTTCCATTCTTCTTTCCATTCTTCTTTCCATTCTTCTTTCCATTCTTCTTCTTCTTCTTCTTCTTCTAGGTCATCTTCGTCTTCATGTCTAGATAGACCAATTTGACTCACATTCCCCTTCCCGCTTCCTTGCGCTAGCGTCCATGACACTATCAGATATCTTTTCTTTGTATATTGTCATCTATTTAAACCTGAACCAACAAATACATTGTTTTGTAGGCTGGCTCAAAACTAGGACGGCCACTGTTGCCCAAGATAATCATACCTATCTGAAGGCAGAGCCTTTTGGCAAACACTTTGAGAATATACTCTGAATGGGCTATTCAATGGGGGCTGAACTCTAAAAAACGATGTAATTCAGTTGTTATGATGCACCGACTATCTGCATGCCGGGTGCCAATATATTCCAGTTTAATCCAACTGAACAATGGCCAGCTTGAAGAATCATCGCTGATATTTGCAATTATTAATAGAAAATAGCTCAGCATCTTCGAGTCCCACACCGAGAATGGTCCTGGTCTGCCTGATATTCGCTCCAGAAAAACTTGGGTGACTGTTTGATTGTCAACGAGCGGCGTCTATAGATACCATCGCCCGCTAAGACACTAGCTGTTCATCTTTTTATCCTTCCGCCCCTCTAACATGAAAGGCGCGAATTGAAGCCTGCTTCTACAAAGGTCAATAAATACACTACTTTATTTTGCCCTTTTGCGCGCACTGATTTTGATCTACGATGTCCTGATACAGCCGCAGCTCCTCCTCTACGTGGCTCTCCTACTACGCCACCACCGGTCTTGTAGCTAATACGCCGCGATAAAGAATCATCATCCCGCTCTGGTCCTGCAATCTCTACCCTTACTCGGTCGCATTTCCGTCTACGTGTGACTGGGAACTGCTATTGACTGCCCCCTTATATCAATTATTATAAGGGCAGGAATAGGTAATAGCGAAGTCTAACTGTGCTATAACGAGTGAAGTCTTAAAGAGGTGAACGGATTCAGTAACGAGGAGATATTTAAAAGGGAAGATGCTCAAGTTGAATTATAAAAGGATAAATATTAGAGGCAAACAAACTAGGCCCCAAGTCTGCTAATTAACATGGAGACAATCAAGTACGATACGGGACAAGATTAGCAATAGTAGACAATTCAGCCTTGCCGTCCTTTTGATACAGCCAACATGATAAAGGCATGATCATCTCTCACTAAATCGTTGATCCTGGGAATGCCCAAAGTCGGCAGCGTACGGTGCACTTCATTCAACCCCCGAGACTGCTAGTGATTAGATAGAAACCGCGTGGCAGTAATCTCAGCTATTTCTCCGGATGTCCAGCAGGAAGAACATCTTCGACCGTCTCGTCAGTATTTTGCAGATCATCCGCGATATCCACATGGTCCTTGATACGTAGGAAGATCACTGGCGCGGCGACGAGTAGCGATCCTCCGAGGAGACCCCAGTTGCTGGCGAACTCGGCTGCATAAGATGCCTTGTGGAAATCTATACTCCACACCACGGCCGCACCCGCGGATTGGATACCTTTATAGAAGCCGGCGAAGTTTGCACCTTTGCGCCCTGAGTTGGAAAGAGCCCCCATATACCTGGAAATTCAGGAGGGTTAGATTTAGTTGGGCTTGACATGAGAGGCCCGAGGACGGGCAGGGGAGCGAGCAGGGTAAAGGACAACAAGAGATAGAAGCAAACTGACCAGTAGATAACGCCCTGCCAGACGGCGTCGTAGAATCCGTAGAAAAAGTACAGGAACATGGGACCGACGTATCCCGGGTGGGTCCAATCCCAATGCACAAAGTCCGTTGTGTCTGTGTCTACGGACTCGCGAGTATAGTTCTTCTGCCAGGCCCAGCCACCACCCCAGATAACCATAGTCAGAATGAAAAGGATGGCCCACGCGCTGCGGGCACGCACTGTACGACGGAAGTAGGTCATATCGAGGAGGGGGCCGATGATACTTGCAGCAACGATTTGAGCGAACCAGTATAGGAAGGAATTCAAGGCTCTCGTGCGGGTGTTGAAGTAGGCGACATTGATTGCGTTTCCTTGGTATGTGTAGAACCAGTTGGAAGACCAGAACATGGGGAAAAGAAGGACGACAAAAGGTTCGTTCCTAAGCGTGTCGTAAAGCCCGTACAACTCGGTTTTCCACGTTGGGTTTTTCATAATAATAATTCGGGATCCGTCGCGGCGAATAACCTTCTTTGCATCGCAGAGCATAAGAGCCAAGCAAGCGCCAAAGAACATGAGGACAATGAAAGCAATGTACGTTCCATCGCTGACGGTGGCTGCAGTTGTGACGTCAATATTCGTGCCGAGGGCGATCTAGGAACTGTTAATTAGATGGAGACAATGACGGGCAACGGCCGCACGTACCAGACTGCCCATACAGGCGCCGATATTAAAGATACCCCAGAACCAGGCAAAATACCGGCCTTTCTGGTGTTCGTGGGGGTAAGACATCATGATAGCTCCCTGAGCCGACCACAGGATACCCGCACAAGCACCTAGTAGGGCACCAGCGAAGATGTTGAACCCCGGAACATATTTATGCACGGAGACGAGAAGACTGATCGCATAGATACAATATCCGATTCCACCAAAGGAGAGGGACAGCCGAATCCCGATCCAATTGACAATCGAGCCAGAGAAGAAACCGACAACGGCAAAGACACTGTACAGGGTGAGGTTCTGGCAGGGAAAACGATCGATTAGTTCCAATGTCAACTGAGTCTCATTCTCCCGACCGCGAAAAAAGTGGGAAAGATACCATTTTATCTGCCAAAGTCGGATCGGCTTTGCCACCACCGCCCAGGCCACCGAGCGCATTGAACATGCCCGGGCACATGAAACAGACAAACGCGACCATACCGAGCTGGAACCTCGGAGACGCGTACCAGGGCGTGCTCAAGGACCCCATCTTCCACGACTTATACATCCATCCTCGAGGAAGCTGGAGATCCCCGATCGGCTCGTCGACAGTATGAGAGGGCACAGGACCTTTGTCGGAGGTCACAGTCGGACCGGTGTCAGTCGTAGCATCAGCCATGATGGACCGGACGGAGATTTTTGGGTAGCGAGTCGTGGATAAGAGACAGACAGAAGTCTTGAAACAAGGGTCCTAGGAGAAGACGACTTATTTATCAACGATTTAGGGCGTGCATCAGCAGAGGAAACCCCAAGGTCGTGCGAGTTGGGGGAGATTAGGTTAGGTAGGTGGCCTAGTAGTCAGCTGGAGATCTTTGTTGCAACAGTTTCTTCGCTGCTGGCCAGTTTGCTGTCATGGTTACTCCGATGGTTACTCTCTCTCTCCTAATGAGAGCCTCAGTTAGTTCCAAGCCGATTCGCCGGACCCTTTCCAGGGTATTAGGGGGTCTAGCGTGCGGGGTTGCTGGTTATCGTGGCTTCTTGGCGTAGATTTTGGGGGGCCTAACCGGGTTACCGAGCAGACCCCTTGCGAGGTATGATTGGCTCATCCGTGAGAAATCAATGGTTGATCCTCCAGCCTTCCGTTGCCTCCCTAAGCCATGAAGTGTTACACTCGCCTAATCCCCCAAGTTTAGAATGTCACTTTGCGCGTGTGATCAGTGTAACCTCGTAAAAGTGGTGGTAACCCTCGTTTGTAAGGACATCAATTATGAAATCAATCCGATAGAGAGTATAAACGTCTCTCTATCGCAAGACTACTCGAGACATTACAGTACAGCCACAAGGGGTCGGACTTTGAAAGTGAGACAGTGGCAGGCAGCCTTAGGCTGGCTATCAGCCATCGAGATATGAGATATCACCGAATGTACGGAGTACCATACCCTCCCTTGGCATATCCCTCGTTATCATTACTATTATTACTTGTATTATTGCTATCATTCTTCCTACATTAGTTTTGGGACTGTTACACCCATCTGCGCTCCACGTGGCTTCCATGCAAGCTCCGTCCGGGGAAACTCTGATGGTCAGGTTTCATGTTGACGTTGGCACAGCCCGCCTGAGATACCTACCTCCCTTTTGGGAATCCAGTCACGGGCCACAATTTAGAATGCGACAATCTCACCTTATTATCTCACTGCCAGGGAATCCAGCCACCGCTTTGTCATACTAGCCGTGTAGCATGATAAAATCATTCTTATCGACCACTTGGCTTCCTACATGTCGCAAAAGCCTCGCTATCCGCACAACAAAGCCCCTTCATAGGATCGAAGGCACTCCAAAAGTCTTCGGGTCCAAGCAAGTTATTGTTCGTTGCTATATCTCAGACCTATTATTAGATAGCCTCTCTACGTTATCAAGTTTGATTCGGATGATAACGGTCTAATTTCTTCTTCCATCGTCAATAGTGGTCAAACCGTGAAAGTAACCCCGAATCCACTTAATTCGACAAAAGAGATCACTAGTCTGTTACATAAATGTGACCACCGCCCACGGCAGACCAAATATCTCAATGACAACACATGAATACTGGGGATCTAATAATCTACAATCTAGGCGAGACCAAGGCGCGGCACCGTATGTCAAAGTCTCATTGCAAGTCAGAAAGTCGAATTTCTGCACTATACAGTCTAATTCTTCAAAGTTACAGAAAGATCGTATAACCCATCAACGAGCCGTCATTGAAATCATTCGACGTCATCCCTAAATACATGATTTGTTCCCCTTTAATACTTTCAGAAATATCAAGTCACATCAATCTGCGTCCCGCCTACAGTCTTCCCCTCGCAAACCACTTCTATCTCCACGTTGCGCTGACAGCAGTCTCGAGTCCAGAACAGCCAGTTGGGACGGTATAGCTCCGGTTAGGATCGCTTTCCCAGACAACGCTACCATCCGTCTCTATCTTGATGAACTTATACTCAAATGTAGTGCCAGCGAGAAGGTCCATTGTCACTGTCCACAAAGGGTTGGAAGAGGTGTATGAGCTTGCGGACAGAGCAATTGCCGAGGATGTGGACCAAGAGCCTAACTGACTAATGGATCCAGTGAGATAGATGTTCTCGCCGTATGTTGTGGTCACTAGTTCATCGAAGGTCACTGAAACGGTGGTGGCAGCAGTACATGTTGTCGAAGACGAAGTTGTGGTGCTTGTCCTGGTGGTTGAAGTGGTTGTTGCCGAACCGGTAGTTGCGGTGCTCGAACTAGTGCTCGAACCTGACCCAGAGCCGGAAATAGCAATATCAGCACAGTGAAGATACACTTGAGCTGTCTGATAAGAGTTCCACCGGAACCGCAGCAGTGTGTGATCTGAGTCATAGTCTGGGATTTTGATCTTCTTCGTAACTGTGTAGCCACCCGCGATAGTGGTGGTACAAGAGTTCAGTGCAGCGCCATCTACACCTTGACATGCACGATTGGTATCAGCATTGAAGGCATTGCACGTATACCAGTCATTACGGTAGCATGCTTGATCTGAAGTGCAATCGGGATTGTAGCCACAAGTCTGTCCGTCGACATCCGTACATTTCAATTCACCCTCTAAGAAACAGTCTTCAGCAGCCTGTTTCTCTTCGGTGGTTGGAAGATAACCAGGGGTCAAAAACAAGTCCACTAAAGTTTGATTTTGACAGATACCGTATGTGAACATGCCGCCATGGTCACCATTGTTATCGACACACCATTGAACTTCCACAATATCGTTGGCCGTATACGTAGCAACCACGGTATTTCCCCAGTAATCACCGGGCTGGTTATAGTCGACACTGACTCGGGCATTGTACCCACATGGCCCACTTCGGCCGACTTGGGCGGCTTCAAGGTCAGGCCAGGCGGTGACAGGCTCCAGGATGGAGCATTCGGGGCACGTATCGATGCCAGCCTGTTGAAGTCAGTCTCGTATAGTGAATCCACGGATCCAGTGGAGAGGTGATACCTCAAATCCAAGCCGCGTACGACTCGACGGGATGGTCAAGTACCCGTGAGCATTCACCATGGAAAGCAGACATGGTAGTAACAGAAGAGAGGCAGCGTTCATCTTGAATAGGCGCAACCTTTGGACATCAACTTGGTGACTATAGATATGGAGGAGCAATGCAGCATTTAATCGAGGACCGCATCACATATTTAAATAGTTTCCATCCTGTCTTCTCCGTTGGGAAATTGGTAAACATTCCATCCATAGAACGACCGTTCTACCATATCACAGTCTTCGCTTCAATGCCAAATTCTGGAACCCAGTATGCCCGAAAGGCTTGGCGTGGCTGGGCTCTTCTTGGCGAGTCTGAGATGTATGGACTTTGCGATGTCGTTTCTCGACCATGTCGCCCATAAGCCGATAATTATCCGACAAACATGAGCCGGGTAACATAATGCCAAGGGACGCAGGCGTTGGACCTCAGGAGAGTTTCCGGTACTCTATAGGGCTTCGATGCATAGAGCCGCCGACAAATCCCCGCTCCTCCACATTTTTTTATTTAAGCGACGTCCCGTGAAGGACTGTGGAGTAAAATAAGTCAGCTTATTGGCAAGCCCAACGGCACTAAAACGGGAGCCGAGATTAAAAGGGTCTGCATTTCATCAGTCATGCGGGGAAATGAAATGTCGCGACATGATTTTGGCAAGGCGTGGTCGTAAGTAGCCTTCACCATTGCCGTCCTTGCCAGTCCTACGTGTAAAGGAAGAGATATCCGAAGGGAGTATCGCGTCAGATACTAATAATCACTGAAACGCAGAGGAAAATATTGAAGATTGAATTGGTTGTCACATGCCTAGCCTCGGCCTACTGTATTTTTCGATATCGGAACAATACAGGGGAGAGTCCGCTTGTCAGTTGTTTATTTGTGTACATCTCACATCTCAGTCAAAATGGTGTTATATAGTCGTGCGGGTTAATTCAAAGGAGAGAAGAAGCAGAACAAATCCCGTGCAAGGTAAGGGGTAACATAGAACCAATCGTAGAAAACAATATGGAGGGTATATGCGCCATGAAATCCAGGCTCGACCGAATGATCCACTTTACGGGTATTCGATTATACCGAAACGGAATGGATAGGTAGCGGGTTTAAAAGATAGACATGGTCGTCGTTGGCGCCTGAGAGTGGCCAGTCTGCTACGAACTACGTGGTTTGTTGTCAGAACCGAAACGATTCTCAAGCTCGTTTATGTGTGACGAAGGTATTCATTCTTACCCGAGGGACCATCGACAGACGGGCTATTCAGCTATATTGACGTAATAGATGTGACGATGTCGCTTAGTCGCTAGAGGTAAATGGTGATATCCTCATGCAAATCCATTTTGTCGCCGGGAAGGGGGTATATAGCTCATCAGGTCACTAGGTGGATCAGGCACCTGATCACCTGATGGGCTTTAGTAGTAATTATATGTGATCAGGTAGGATTCAGTGAGATCAGGTGGGGTTTAGTGGGATTTAGTGGGATTTTGCTTGCTGATTATACCATAATCTTAGTACTACCTAATAGGCTTTAGTCGGCCTAGGTTGGCCGTACTAGTAGCTACTAATTACGGGGCGTAGCGAAGCATTCTACCTGTTAAGCAAGGGGGGTGGTGGTGGTTTTCGCGATGTGTTGCACGAAATGGAGGGTTCTGATTTGTCAGTTCGTGGCAGAATCGGGCGGTGAGAACCTATCGCCCCATACAAATTGAACTACATTACTATAAGGGGGGTAGGGGGGTTCTCCCCCTGGTTTATTAGATAATCTCTCTACTAATCGATTATATACGAATTGACTAGACTGTATGCGAATTACCTAGATTGTCTACGAATTGGCTAGATTCTAAGCGAATTGACTAGATCGTATGCGAATTTAATAGAAATCCGCTGCGCTCCGCACATATTGGTGTCCCCCGTGGGGCGCCATTGGAAACCTTCTATGTTTTACGCTGAGGGATGGCTGGAAAATGATGGAGTCTATTTCCAATCCAGCTCAAGCTCTGTGGTGTTTAATAAAATGGAAGTAATTCTATCATCCCGTGGAAGGCATGATGCTTCAGAGGTAACTGATTCTTCACTTATATTGATGTTGCGTCGCGAAACCATGATGAGCTGAGGACCAGTAAACCGTAGGAGATCCGAACTGGTTCTACAGATGGACGACCTGCTAGGAGGGTGCTTGATAATCGTGGTCCAGGGACCGTGGAAAGGGTACTAAACAGTAATGAAAATCGACGACTGGTTAGAATGACCTAGTCGAGAATGTGGATTGATCGGAAAGGATTACATTTGATAATAGGCACCTTGTATATACTTGCAGGGGTTTAGATAGTTATTGTATCTTGCATATTCTTTAGTCAGGGTAAATGATATCACACAGCCAAACTCTTTATATATTATAGTCCAGTATGTATGTACATGATATTAAGATCTTAAAGAACGGATGCAAAATGAGACACGCTATAAATATGACACCAGTAAGCCACATTGAAAAAGGAAATTGGAAAAGACGGAGTATTATATGCGTTTCCGGCCCGAATAGAAACCAACGTAGTCGGAATGGTTAGTCGTAGGTTACCATAACTTGACGGTTAACGAGAATATCAGCTTGGCCAGGCTTTTGTCCATTTTCCAGTATGTCCTTCTGGCTATCGCCATCGCTCAAGCTGCCACGTGGGCCATGGTCGACCGCGGTGGTGGTATGATTAAGATGCTTTCCGCTCTCAAGCTCATAGTTGTGCGAGAACATGGCACCTCCGCTTCGGGAGCCACTGAAGCCGGGCGACTTCTGATAGTTGTTGTAGTCGGAGGTCTTCCCGTCGCGAAGGATGCGGAAAAGGGGACGGAGAGTTGCGATGTTGCCGACCATCATTCCGATACCATTCTCGGCGAATCCCCAGATGACGATGTTTGCGACTTGGAAAAGGTAGTCGGTTTGGCTGGTGAGGGCGACTGTGTATTTTAGGCGGATACAGGCGGAGAGTGATGCACTAGAGTAGAGACAACGTTAACTACCGCCGCAGTAAATCGAGGAGCAGAGGAAAACGAACAAGATTCCAAGGCCCATCAGTCCAACAATCGAAATCTTGGTGTTGCGATTGATCTGCACGTTCCAGAGCAAAGGTACCGGGCTGCGAGATTATTGGATCAGTATCATGCACATAGTTCAGTTAGATGTGGCAGGGACCTACAGGAACGCAGTCACCCAATCGGTAAAGATGTTGACGGCGGTACATGCGTAGTAAACGTCAGCGAGGACATAGCTGGGCTGACAGTGGCCACCATGTTTGAGGAGTTCCGTATCCCATGCAGCTCTATATTGGATTAGCATGATTCTTGCGTATGATTTCTGTACAGAGGTCATACTGGACGGGAATGCAGTTGACTAGAATAAAGATCAACGCGATGACGTTCATCAAAACAAACATGGTAATGACGACGTATTGCACATAAATATACACTTTCCTTCCTTCCGCCACGCGAATCAACATCCAGCTGATACTGAGTTTGATTGGGATGATAGCAGAGCAATAGCCAACCTCGAAGATCAGGAAGAACTAGTAGATTGAAAATTAGTATCGCCGGGGTTTGTAAAGATGGTCAGAGTGATAATCACCTTCTGCGCCTCCGCTGAGTATTTTTCATTACCAGGCTTCGCAAGGGTAGAATCGTGAGCACCAATTCCATTGAATGCCCCTCCAAGACATCCAGCAACAAGGACGAAGAATGGTGCCTATTTCTTGCGTTAGGTGAATTCTATAGGTTTGTATGCAAGGGTTATGGGGAAGCAAACCAGTGCTGCCGTCATGATCCAGTCCTCCGGTCCCCATGATCTGCGGCTGAGTCTGCAGTAAGCGCGTAAACCGAATGTAATCAGTGCCAAAGTCGTGAGCAGAATTGTTGTGGCAGCCAGCCCTGGGGCTGCATCAGCGTAGACGACCATGACTTCGTCCTGTTAATTAGTTTCCACTTCCAAACAGCTCCGTGATGCTGTCAAGGGCCGCTAATTGATGAAGTTACACATCCGCATCGAGTGTAAATAGTCGTGGAGTGGAAGGAACGGGATCGTACGGGGTAGAGTGCGAATTATTAATATCTGTCAGGTCCCTTCCCATGTCGAGGAAGTTCTTTCCTTATTTTAAGCTAGCGTGATGATCTGGTGGGGGAGGACGAGCGACGAAAAACAATGGTCAACGGGTGGATCTGGATCTTGTGGAATATGTACGGATTACAATACGAGGCTCGTGGACTATGACCATTGTGATTCGCTACCGAGTGCTAGTATCTGACAGCTTTGACATCCAACAAACGGGAAAACCCCTTGACCGTCGGTGGATCTACACGCCTTCGGAGATGAAAAACGTGGATCTCCGCACATCAACGTGGAAGCGGCAATATGCCGTCCCAAAAGCCGGTCCGTGGTATTGAGCTGACCCTCACTCCTTAATTATAAGTAGCTTAGAATGAATACACCGTGTACTCCGTATATGTACTTCTTTGCAAAGCAGAACTTGTCGATATCCCGCTGGTAACCGTGAATGACCCCGCCAGTGTCAAACTCGGCACTGACACCGCACGCTATAATGACATGATCTAGCACACTAGATCCAGGACCAGGCATGGAAACCGGAATGGCAGAAGGCACCTGCTAAACAAGGATAACCCAATTTTCAGACCAGCTCCACTCCGCCAAGGCCCACCCCATTTCACCCCTGCGTAAAGCACTACTACTGGCTTTTGCCTCGCAGCGAAAAGAGGGAATGGCTAACAAGACGGGGAAAATGCGTAAAATCTTTCGTACCAGGAAGAGAATTGCGATGGGGATCGGTTTTCACTCGATCTCCCCGATTGCCGTAACCCGCGCACGATAGTCATCGAAGATCCCTTCAGGGTGAGTGGAAGAAAATACTCCGACTGCAGATCTAAAAACTTACGTGAGTTAGTACCTGCTATGGATTTGGCAGGGTACACAGTTTGAAGAGTATTTCTCGTGGGCTCCAACCCAACCCAACCCAGTTGAACACAGTCCAATCGAAATCCTGATCTGACCAACCAGCATCCAGGGGGTTTTTTCTCGAAGCCTTGCCTTCTAGCGCGGTCTTGGCACTCCCACGCGCAGAATCTAGAACTGAGAAATGATCTCGCTTAAGCGGCTCGCCAATCGTCCTGTTCTCCCCGTCCACGACCGTGCACATACCGGTTTCATCATTAGGCGCTGCTAGTGTATCCTTCGACAGATATTATTCGTTTGATCTGCAAGCCATGGCCGATCTTTATTTACCTCTGCTCTGCCAATTCGCCTTACTTTACCTTTGTACGGAGTATGTATACCGTAGAATTGAAAATAGTTTCCCACCCCACCCAGACACACAGACCTTCTTTCCCAGCGCCCCTTGCCGACCGCGCTAGGTCGAATTTGGAGGGTAAACCTCCACTGTTCTTTTCTGTGTGTATTCCTGGTAATACATTTGCCATCATTCGGTAGGTCATGCTTGGCGAAACGCCCCGTGGCCATCTCTGTACTTTGTTTCTGGTTAACTGAAACGAAGGTTGAGCAGTCTTAATGCCCCTAGAAGAGCGACCAACGATTGGTTCTATCTTAAAGCAAAACATGAGTTAAGCAGAGCGCTTCTTGGAACAAATGACTCACATTTGTAATGATTTCAGCACCCTGTGCGGTGATTTGGGTTAAAATATTAACAGCTTTATCTGGGGCCGACGGGTTGGAGCGCCGTTCAGTGTGAGGCCTCCTCGAGCTTGAAACGAATTGCGTATTCCTAAGAGGGCTTGTCGAGCAAGGCGATCGTCGGGGGAGAGGTAATATATGAATAATGCGGAGCTCCGGGCGTCTAAGACATATTGAAGCTGCTCAACAGAATGGATAGTCTTTATAACAGTCATGCATGCAGTTCTCTAGAGTCCGTAAGCTGGTCTTCTAGAGTGTGTTCAGAACACCGTTCGCGGATGGCGCCGTAAACCTGGCCCGAATGCCCAATGGGTATCCAACATTATCGAAGGAGGGGTCCATCAAGACGAGTGGAGATGGTCCGGCCTTGATATTGACTCGAATGAATCGAAAGGTGCGAAAATGAAAAGGCAGTCGTCCGGTAAGCTACCTCTAGGCCTATCTGATGTTGTGATGCAGGTAAAAGGCGTGATTTCGATGGAGCATCCGTAGCTCTCGGTTACGTTAACAGTTACTCGCCCAACGACACAGGAAGGAGGTCGCTCTAAACATATGTGTGGTATTATGCAAGGCGAGAGATTCTATGGTGGTACATTCCTAGTTGAGCATTTGTACTCCAGGAGCCTTGCGGCTACCTACGTAAGTACGGCAGGAGAGGTGATATTCACCCTCTCGTACACGTGCAGATATAAGTCTTCTGGCTCGTCTGTGCGTAGAATAGCCTAAGGGTCAATGGTAGTCTGCCACTTGACACTGCTCTTGATTTCAGAGACCCGATGTTCCTGCGTGTTCGGAACCGTGACTCTAAGTCCCCCCGAAGGTAGTCTTGGAAAACTGACCGCATGTTGCGTAGAGTGAAAGAATCGTAACACGAGAACTCGGATCTGGTTCTTTCCAGATGCTAGATAGGGTGCTATGTCGTATTGATCATAAAGCCAGAGGCTTTGGTCGCCTTATAGAGGAATAAAGACAACTAGAAGACGGTTCTATAGTTCCTAGGCTACGGAGAGTCGTCCACTTATAGTGCCGTTTGACGAAACCCCTTCAACATCGCTACCTAGCCAACCTCTAATGGTTTTGCCAACCGGGTCCAGTCTGATTATCCCGCTGGTAAATGGAACACGCACACACTGCGCTCAGTAAGTTATAGCATCTCAGGGAATTAATGGATGGGCCCTGACCTTGGTTTAAGGTACATGTGGTTCTCCGGTCTCAACTTCACGGATGATATAGCTGCCGACAGTTGGAACCAAGCCTAGCTATGGAATGCCTCCGATGAGATTGGTTTACTTCGTGTCTCCTTCTATAGTTGTGACTAACGACGAACGCAGGGAAATCATTCTCTGGAACCCTTCTTTGGCATCGAATGAAACTGCGAGTTCCCCTGCGGTATCCGCCTCAGTAACCCCCACAAGCCAGGCTGGATTTACCCGATATCCGTGTACCATGGCGCCGAGTAGCTCCCACTGTGTCCAACTCGAAACTCCCACCTCCAGCAGTAAGTCTCTTTAGCAGGAAGTAGACACACTCATACTGACCCCGGTCTCTTTACCTTACAGACAATAGCACGGCTGTCAAAACACCCGTTCCGCGTGCCAATAGCGAGATTGCCAACTTGACCGACTGGTACGCATCGCAAAGCAAGTATAACACATGCTATAGCGTAATCACCGGTCGCCACCTTTCATTCGACGAGTTTTACGCAATGAATCCATCTGTGAAAAGCGACTGCTGCAGGTTGTCTATTGGCATATATTACTGTATTTCAACCTACGAAGGAGGCTTTCCCCTTGGCTTCCTAGGCTGGGTATCAAGCTCCAGCAAGCCCGTTAGCAGCATTCCACTGACGGCCTCAACTTCGACTGGAAATGGGGTCTCGACGCCATCACTAATCCAGACCGGAACGGTGTCAACCCGTAATCAGTTCTACAAGGTTATTGCCGGCGATGGATGTCATGATATTGCCAAAGACCATATGATCTTATTGGCGTCGTTCTACGCCTCGAATCTAGTAGTAAAAACCGATTGCTCTGGACTACAAGCCGTTGAGTACGTTTGTATGGGTGTTAAGTCGACTTCCACTTCGGTTGTTGTAACTGCCACTACCTCTGTATCTGGTGTCACGACTCGGTCTTCGATCCAGAGAGGCATGGTTTCCACGTGTGACACCTTTTACGACGTTCGTTCCGGTGATTCTTGCTATGATATTGCTGACGCCCACGGTGTTTCGCTGGATTATTTCTATGCTTGGAACCTAGTGGTCAAGACAGACTGCTCGGGGCTTCAGCCAGATGAGTATGTCTGTGTTGGTGTCAAGGCAGCCACTGAAACCGGTGTCACGACGCTGTACCCGGTTCAGACGGGAATGGTTGATACGTGTGACGAGTTTACAAATTCATCGTAGGCGATTCGTGCGTCAATATTGCCAATGAAACCCTAATTCTACTGACTTCCTTTAACGCCTGGAACCAGGCCGTGAAGACCGACTGCTCCGGCTTACAAGCAAGTGAGTATGTCTGTGTCGGCGTATCCTCCTTATGATGGGAGCTATAGCTATAATGAAGGGTCAATATATGATTGGATATATCTTGATGTATTATATTGATAGGCTTAAAGTGCTTCGACGGACGAATGGGTATCAATGACATTCCAAGGTTTCAAGGATAATGCTCAATGCAAAACATTCAAACCCTCGGCTCGAGACCAGCTGGGTGGCATTCCTAACAAATAATTCCCCGCTTCCTACGGTCCTGGAAATTGACGTCGGGCCGGGTGTACTCCGCCTCAAAAAGGTCATGATTCGTCCCGTACCCGTCTTTGGGGCTGCGTGTATCTGTTCCATCCAGGGGATTTTCTCCAGACCCATAGAGAAAGCTTGCTACCTCGTCTGAACCTCCCCGACCATACGCGATGGCCTTCCATCCCGATCGTGACGGTCGGTTTCAGATCTCTCTTACTCCAATCCACTTCTTCTGGCATCCTCTCTAGTAGACCAGTCAAACCCAGTTCATCGAAGGGGAACTCGATAAATTCCAAGTCAAGAGATCGCAATGAGGATGGTGCCAACTTGAGTATGTCCATCAACTCCGACGTATCAACACTAAAGCGAGAGAGCGCTAAGTGAGACAGTTGCGGCCACTCCTTGATAGACAGAACCTCTTTTAGGGGAAGAGGTGGATCTCTCATTGAAGAATGAGATCCATCATTAAATGTAGTTGATAAATGGAGATAGGTCAATTCATCAGCCAGGCTGATAGCTCGACGGAATAATCCGCTTTGGAATCCTGTCCAGTCACCACTACTGCCAGTAACGATAGATGAAGACGCCGGAAGCCTGGACGTTTCATGATGGCCGCAAAGTGATTGTATTCCTCACACGGTTAGTCGAAAATCAAAAAGTTGAGTCCGGTGCGGAGTTGCTTAGAGTCGAAGCTTAGGTCTGAAACAGTATGCTTCTCAGCCTGTAACAGGCGAAGAACAATTCAAGCCCCTCTCCATAGCCGCCCCATATAGTCCTCTGTTGCCTCTAACCACGGTAGCGACTCGACAACCCGACAATCCACGGGATCACAGTGCTATCCTCGCGGAATCGGATAATTAAATCCATATGGAAATGCGCGAATCATCTATGTCTCGTATAGCGGAGCAAACAGCCAGCCGTGAGCCGTAAGCGTAACGGTCACTCTCTTTGAGCCGTGAGAATCTCTCTAGGCTGTAAAGAAAGGCTTTTTCATCGTCCTCGGATCTAACCACAGACGTCTAATCATCACAAAGTTGCCGGTAATACTTCCAGCAGGCTCCCAACGGCATTTGGGCATCCATCTGGTGCTAACGTGCAATATGGTCAGGTCGGTCCACGTCGCGGTATTTCCGATGCTTCATCCTGTAGCGGTTCTCATCGCATTCCTCCGCGAACCGGATAGGACATCCCTCATTGATTTCCATACGTTCGGGGTTGATGGTTGGGTGCACGCTCTTCCCATATCAACGGCGCGGACATAAACCGTGCGTCGTCCCAGATAATCTCCCTGATGTCGTGGCGAAACTTTGGATGGTCTGCTACAGCCCGAAAAACTTGGATATTCAACGAGTTGGCTGAAAGAAACACGCGCGAGGAGGAGGAGAATGGTGAAATCTCGCCGAGGGTTTTGCTCGTGAAGCCCTTAAGAGGTATGTCAAGAGGTTGAAAGGTGTGAAGTTGCGAAGATACCAAGATGTGAGTGAACCCTTGACTTTAAAAAAACCATTTCTTGGCGAAGTCGGTTTCTTGCGATATCTCCGGATCCAGGGCTTGTTGAGCGTTGCTGATACGTTCAAATTCAATTTAACTCCAAGCCCTATTGATTAATACCGGTCTTGACCCGGTGCGACCGTGATGGCGCTAGTGGTTAACCCGAACGACATTTTGCTGCCCCTGATGAGGGGATTTTAAGCGGTGCCCCTGTTAGCACTACACGAGAATACTAGCCGTGCTATATGGTGCGTGATTTCTGCCAAGGCTTAGCATGCCTTTTAAATACGATTCTAACCACCCTCCCGTCCTTCTATATACGTATCATTTCCTACTATTTACTACCTTCCTTCCTATCTACCTACCTATCTTATTAAAAGATCTCCTTTAAGGGATCGGAAAATACCTCCCTTACCAAGCCCTTTTAACTATGAACCCCCCCCTCCTGGGCGAGGGAATATTTAGGAAGCACCAACAACGAATGGCAGAGATAGAGTCAGTAGATACAGGTATCTGATAAATTGGCTTGATTGATTAAAGAAGGAGAAATCTGTATCGGGGCACGTTGAGTGCCTTGCCCGATGGAGCGGTACTTCGGGATGAAATTTGAGAACCGCGAATATCTTAGAACACACACAATACCACATGAAACAGTGGATTGACCATCACCCAGACTATGACGGCGGTAAATTTCACTCCAGTTTCGATGACAGCAAGCCTATAGAGCGAATAGACTGTTGTTGGAATTGAACCTGTCCTGAATGACATATTGGTCAAGTATAACCCTCGGTCCGCTTAATCAAACATAGCGGAAATCTCGACTTTGTATAATGCGAGACTCTGCATTCTTACCACGCCTCCTTTGACATTTCGAACGAAGGGCTTGTCTTGCGACGCTAGAATGAACCGATCCAGAGAAAGCTTCACGCAGTCATGACACCGGATGTTGGCATTTTCAATATAAGGCTGCAGCGAAGCAGTAAATTGATCCTTCTCATGATCTGTCATATAATTGGGGAACAGCTCCACAAGGAGGACTGGTGCAGGTCTACCATTCTCGCCAATCAAAGCGGTCTTCACGGCAGGATGGTACTCGATCTCAGCTTCAATCAGAGAGGCATGCATCCCATCTCCATGGGAGAAGTTAACATAGTCATCGCCGCGGCCAATAAACTTCCATAGACCCTTGTGGACAGGATGCTCAACCAGCATGTCACTGGTTTTGATGCGGTCGAGGCCGGGGTTTACTTGGAAAGCCAGAGGGACTAAACAACCTGGCCGGCGCACAAAGACCAACTCATGTAGGTTGCCAAATCGGGGTACAAGTTCAGCACTTGCGTGCTTCTGGAAATTGATGTAGTCCCATGCATCCTTTTCGTCATGGAGCTTGGTTAAAAACAGTCCACCTTCTGTGCTGCCAACCATAGAAGCAATATGGACATGTGGCACTAACTTCTCGCCGGCTTTTGCGGCCAAAGGTGCGCCAGTGTATAAGAGACATTTAAGGCTCCGTAGAGATTGGAGGCCAGTGTCTGTCAGACAGAGGTCCTCGATAAGACTGGGTGTCATCAGAGCACCATCTACTTGTCCATAGTGTAAAATATTTACAACGAGATTTGCCGACGGCTGTACCGCTGGTCCGATTACGATGGTTGATTCTAGGAATGAAGCCATGGCGAGTATCATCAGGGTACCAACAACCTAGACTAAAATCAGTAGGTATTATTGAGTAATCAAAGAAGCAGTCCTTACATGTAGGGAGGGGAGTGGGGTATACCATCTATCCTGGGCGAATTTATGTAGCACAGATAGCTCCAGATCTGGCAAAGATGCCATTATATCTGGCACAGCCATCATTCTGTGCGACCACGTCAGAGGTTTCGGATTGCCTTCAGCACTCAGCATATAGAAACCAGTCAGATATAGTGTAAGGACAAACCAGTTGTGCCTGATGTGTGAAACACAAGCCAGGGATCGTCTTTGCCCTCTTCCCATGACTTAGAATAAGTAAAGGTGGGGGCCTCTTCTTCCTTCATGAATTCGTCGATTTCAGGAACAGTAACAACCCGAAAAGCGGGTGCCTCTTTCAATAGTCCTGCCACTTTATCTGCCATAGATGTCGGTCGCAAGTAGATTTTACAGCTCTTCGCACTAAGAATGCGATTTTGAGCCTCGGGGGTGATGAGGGGAGAGGGCATCACCATCTGATCCATGGTAAAATTAGCAAACAATTACTCATTATTCTTAGAGTGTTCACCTACCACTTTTTGCAGCTTTGCTGCCGCGACCGCAAGTATAGGGTAGCGCAAGTCCTTAGGACCTGCGTATGCAAAGCACTGGAACACATCGGATGTTGGAGGCAGATTCTCTCTCAGCCACTTCGCAGCGTGATTTGCATAGTTATTTAACTGCCGGAAACTGATGTCCTTATATCCTTGAGAAAGGTCCTGTTCATTAATCGGCAGAGAAACCCAAGACTTGCTGGAGACATTGCGAGCCCGGGACTCAATGACCGAGACAAGAATGCGCTTTCCGTGCTCCACACCCGGTAAAGGGAAGACTGAATTTGCCATTCTCAATGATTTCACTTCTCAGATGGGGGAATGGGAACTCGACACGACCTAGGGTGCCTCGCAAGCTTTTAAAGTATTTTCTGCGGGGCTGAGAGTCAGCTCATTTCCGTATCATCTTTCCCGAAACGGCATATGAATAGATGTTAGCCAGAAATGGCATATGAATGGAAGTAAGCCCCCATGTGAAAACAACATGCATTCCAAGAGTGAGGGTAACAAGATGAACTACGAATCAATCCCCTTCCAGGGTCTTTTACTCGCCAGGATCGAAATCTCTATATCGCCACACTGGAATAGCTATAGTACCAAGTTCCTACGATTCTAGAAGGCGAATCGAGCCCGAAACCAGTTCGTTAGATCAACATAAAAATACAATAATCGGATAGAGATAATCTTTAGGAGTCTTATGGTACTATTATCTTTCTAATCGAAGCTATATAGATAACGTAGGAGCTATCTGTTACGCGGTGCCGACTTTTAGGGTTTTAGGGTTTTAGGGTTTAGGGTTTAGGGTTTAGGGTTTAGGGTTTAGGTTTTAG